TGGCCGCCCTGGAATATGAGCCTATATCTTCGAGTACGAGCTCATGATATGCCCTCTGGGCGTCTGATTATTAGACTCAGCCCCAGAGGTCTCAAGGGAGCACTTCTCTTGGTCCCATGATCTTACAGTCAGTGGAACCCCAGCGTAGAACCTATCCTAGCTGCTGTGCCCGTTGTAGGCAGCGATACTCTGCGCCTACGGCCCACCGACCACGGTTGGTGGGCTCACCTACCGAATCATCAAAAAGAAAATTGGGGTGGACAGCCCTGACATCTCACCCTTGGTGCCTCTCAGAGTAATGGGGCAGATAGGTTCATGGACAACCAACCAGGGCCCCAAATTTTCCAGGGCCGATTTGTTACACAGCCGTACGAAGCACAGGCTGTCATGTACGGTATTTCGAAGTATGTTCTCTCAGCCAAGCTTGTATAATGCGACCCGGCACGAACGGAAAGGCTTTTGTAGCCTCACGACTATTCCCTTTCCAAGATGTTGCACAGCAGGAATCCCTCATCTGAGATAGTGGAGAAGTATCTGCCTCAACAGACCTGATTCGAGGTCTGAAAAGGCTTGCCGACCATCGACTAGGGTGGTGGCGCAAATGGATCATGTGCTGGAGATGCCGATCGTGGGTACTGGGAGCGGTCTGTAGATCGCTTGAAGCTGGGAGGACAAATATTTTGGGGAGCCTGTACTTGAATTAGGCTGTAGGTACTGGTTAACACAAGCCCTCGTAAGCAGAGCGATGGTCGAAAGTCCCCTGCCACATCACATGATCGAGTTGTGTGCATGTGTATGCACGACTTGCATGTTTTCCAACCCGTCTAAGATGTAATCAGCAACATTAGAGTTACCAGAGCAACACCAAAGCACATCAGCTGTTTGGGTGTTTGAGTTCTACAAAGTTTTCGTTTCGACATGCCGGTCAGCAGTCGAATGAGTGGGCTGCGAGACGTTGAATAAGCAGAATATCAACGAGGCGTGGACCAAACATCAAAGAAGCTAAAGCCTTAAACGACGGAAACGCGAGCGCTTAGGCGACCGGTGTGGAGAAAATATGCATTTTGAAACCCCTTCCAGGCCTAGGTGCTTCCAGTGATTCGATGAGTCGTATTCAGTCGGTCATGCCTGTTCGTGCGGCTCTACGATCCTAGTCTTCGAGAGGCAGGGGAAAATTAGAGGCATGGTGTCATGAGAAGTCACGGACTTTCAAATTAGAAATTGCTTGTTTTGCCGGAAAAGAGTATGCTGCCTTCGTTGGCCATCATGCGCGAGGTATGCCATTTGCGAATACGTTGGACCAAAGTTTATGCATTGAAAGGCATAGCGCCTGAGCGCGCATTTTCGAAGATGATCTCTGTTTCACTTGCCTGATGATCTGCCATCTTTGCCCAAATGAATGCCCTGACCAGCAGATGTGCCTTGCCGGAGACCCCGAAGTCGGTAGACTGCGATCTCGGATGCAGGTTGACGGTGAAAAAGGCAACCACAAGAGGTCTGGGTGTCTTGGAGGTTGTCCGCTGCGTGACATCACATACCATCACATACCATCACATACCATCACTCCCTGTCAAGTACCTTCACTGTCGGACTTGATATAGGGTGTGACGACTCGAGACTCAAAGAAAAATTGAGGTGTCCTGCGACGGCTAAGGGAGGTGGCGCAGATGGATGGACGCCCTCGGAAAGCCCGACATAAGCCTATTGCTTGCCTTGGATGCGTGTGGATGTATCGGAATATCGATTCTTTCTGCGCCTTTGACATTAGGCGATGCCTAACCATTTGTCGTAGGAAGACCAGTCACCGTAGCGATCTTCAGTGCCTGATGTGCTGCGTGCCAATGGAACCCGGTTGTCATGATCACAAATTCGGGCTAGTGAGTTGTCAACCTCATCTCACTGCCTTTCTTGCTAGGATCAAGTCAATGTGGTGTTGTGACAGCCCAAGCTAGATGGGAAAGACACCGTAGCGAAGCCTTACTATCCTCCAACAGCAGAAAATCGTGCCAACGGAAAAGTGGCGTACAATCTTCCGGGTCGCTTGATCGCCCGGTGAATTTTGTCCCACGATCTCGCTCAATCATGAGCATTCTGGCGTTGTTTACTCTTTGCTGATGGATCCATTCTGCCTCGTATGTAGCCCTAAAATGCGTTTCTACGCCCTGTCATCAGTTTGAAACCAGTCGTACAGTATAATGACCATTTCCCAACAACAAAGCTCCTTACGAAATCGCCTACCGAGACATAAGCAAGGAGGCCAATAGTAATAAATGGTTTCCAGGCTAGTTAGTGCCCACATAGTGCCGACAATGAGTCGACTGTCTGCTTCTCGGAGTCATCGATGAAGCGGTGATTCGCTACATGCCTCTGGGAATTAGATAATTGTTCGAAGGCGAGCAGAAGTGCTTGAAAGCATCTCGGACGGTGGGAGAGGCTTAGATAACACCGTGCCTGGTTCAAAACTGATGATGCTGGAGAAAATGACTTGGCCAGATCTAAGGTTTGCACATCTGAATCTGGACAGAAGCAACTGGAACAGGAGTCACGACAGTGCTGCCGAACCCGAAAAGAAGGCAATGGAATACCGCTGTTTTAGTTCTTCGCGGACACTATATACTCCCTGGCAATCCAGTCAAGCTGGATCAGGGTCATTCTGCTTATGGATATTTTTGGCGAATGGTCCAATAAAGGACGAGGAGCCATGCTTAATAAGTCACGGTAAGTTCATCACGATCCGAGATCGCACAAGGCATGGATTGTATGTTTGGCTTCTAGGATAAAGAAGATCGGCAGGCAGATCCTGGACGTACACTGGCGATTGGACGACGAGAAGGGGCTCGACGGGCGCATTCGAAGCTGCGTCATCATCTGCCGATGACACTGGTGGGTGCCTGGACGAGAAGAAATCGCGCAAGATATCGCGGATCCCAGTCCTCTAGTACCCAAAGTATTGTAGTATCCAAGTATTGTAGTATCCAAGTATTTTACTACTCAACACAATCTCGATGGCTCGATATCACAAACAGATTTGTCATGAGACTGGGGGTCTTCAGCACTTTGGAAGGAACGACCTTGGCATGCCGGTAAGGAAAGAGGGGATCGAGGGAGGAAAATATGGCTAGCCCAGAAAAGGGAAGGCGCCGGCTGCCACGGCAGGTGACATGCAGTGCCCAACTCGGAATCAGGGAGTGGCAGGCACGACCTACAGCCTCCAGTACGACCCACGAGCTGTGGGATATCTCGCATGGCACAGAGGACGACAACGGCGGCGAGGAGTACCTTCTGGCGTTGCCAGATTTCAGCTGTCGGCGGAGGCCGAATCGATACAACTTCGGAACGGACGATGGAACAACATCTTGGTACGCACTAATCCGTCCAAGCTCCCCAAAGCGATCGCCGTCGACTATGGATACCAGATAGGGGTGCATTTAGGGCCCGTCTACCGAGCACCTAGCAAGTCCCAAGGATGGACGACGTATCAAGCACACATTGGCAGAGTCTTGTCAATGCGACGCTGATCAAAGTCAGGGTATCTTGGGCCTCCACCCTGGCATCCACTTGATGATATGCCGTGGCTGGTGTCCAGACATGGAGCTGGAATCCATCAATCCATCTTACAAGAACCATTGCCATTGTCTTGGCAATCCACCACGCTCTCACATTATCATGGGACAGATGATAACTGCTCGCACTCTGATTGATGCAAAGCCTTCGCCCAACGTGCCCGTATCGTCGCTATCAATTGCACGAACCGCCCGGCCAGAGTCTCCTCAATTTCGTGGTGTTTGGTGTGGCAGGATCGTTTCAACCACTTACATCATCCACTGCCTCAGTCGCCCTCGGCGAGACTTGGCATGCCATTTTCTCAGCACTTGCATTTCGCAGCGCCGTGGAAAGTCTGAAGACAACAACCGATGATATCCGGCTACCCCTCTCGCAGCCGTGGCTCTTCTATGCATCTCGCAGGGTCGCAATCGTGTCGGCACCACCTAGAGTTTTTCATCGACCCACTCGCCCCCTCCGATGGGTGGTCTGAAGCATGGAAATGGAGATGTTCTGGAATGCTTCCATGTGCTCGGGGGGGGGGGGCGCTGGTCAGACCCACGGCGAGGCCGCTGTCCGCCAAGGCTTGGCACGCGTCTTGGCGGAAGCTAACAAGACTTGCAGTGGCAAGCCTTTGAGCGGCGGCGTCCATCTTTGCCCAGAAGACTTCGCCAATCTTGACTGGCCTCCGCTCCATCCTTCCGCCCATGGTTGGCCCATTTCGCAGGGCCATGTCTCCCGCCGAGTCTCCTAATCTCTTGGGTGGTACCGTCAAGGCGCTGGACCTGCTCATCTTAGTTAGCTTACTGGCCAGGCCAAGCGGCCATACCTAAACAAACTCCACCCCCGAGGTTGCAAGGCGGGGGAGACGAGATAGCATGACAGACGCAAACTGGTGACTCGTGAGAGCTCGTGTGAGTCGCCTGAGCTTGGAGATCCTGAGCTTCAAGATCGTCTGGCCCTTCCCATGGCTATGTGGACCGAGGGATCCTGGTGCTCACTCACGCCCGAGTGGGTAGTAAGTAGTATTAAAGATACGGTCGTGCCGTGCTTTGCGTGACGCGATTTCCTCTGACTGCTTTTGTTTTTCAAGCATCTGCGACTGTTTGTTGACCAGTCGACTTTCCATACGCTGTTGTGCGCCAGATACACACAGCATTCCTGAGATTTCACTTGGATCACTTCTTCGCCGCTTGGACTGCACACATCTCTCACCATGGAGGAAGCCAAGCATGTTTCCCCCGTCGACTCTGAGAAGGGGGGGCCAGAGACCACACCTCGCCGTGCCAGTGTGGTCGGAGGGACTGATCACGACCTCAGCAACAATCGTGAGGATGACTTCATGACTCGAAATGGTCTCAATCTCAAGAGTTTTCAACGACGTGAGTTGCCCACTCACTTCTACCCTCGTCGCAACACGCCGTTTAACCCATTACACAGGTGAGAATTTCGGCGAAATGGCCCAACTCGATCGGTCGATGAAGGCTCGCCACTTGAACATGATTGCTATCGGTGGCTCGATCGGTGCTGGTTTCTTCGTCGGCTCAGGAAGTGCCCTGACAAAAGGTGGCCCTGCTTCGGTGCTCATCTGCTTTTTGATCTCTGGTGTGATGATTTTCAACGTCGTCTATGCGCTTGGCGAACTCGCCGTCATGTACCCGGTCTCTGGTGGTTTCTACACTTATTCTATCCGCTTCATCGACCCTTCTTGGGGCTTTGCCATGGGCTGGAACTATGTAAGCTCAGTTCTCCACCCCTTCTCCCCCCGAATCACATCGACTCACAAATGCGACAGGTCCTTCAATGGCTGATAGTATTGCCGCTTGAATTAACCGTCTGCTCCTTCACTGTACAGTATTGGAACAAAGACATAAGTGTCGCGGTTTGGATCACCATCTTCTGGGTCTTCATCATCTTAATCAACGTGTTTGGCACTCTCGGTTATGCAGAAGAGGAGTTCGTTTCCTCTCTATTCAAGCTTCTGGCAACCATCATCTTCATGGTCGTGGCTGTCATCCTCATCTGCGGTGGTGGCCCTTCAAGCGGCATTTATGACGAATACTGGGGCGCGCGCCTTTGGTACGACCCCGGCGCATTCCAGAATGGCTTCCGTGGCTTCTGCTCCGTGTTCGTCACAGCCGCCTTTGCTTTCGCAGGCACCGAGCTTGTCGGTCTAGCTGCCGCCGAATCCAACAACCCCAGCAAGGCCCTTCCCAGTGCCATCAAACAGGTCTTCTGGCGTATCACTGTGTAAGAACACCCTGTCGTCCACTGCTTTGCGCCGGCTCAAGCTAACGATTTCTGCTAGCTTCTACATCCTCGGTCTGACCTTCGTCGGTCTCCTCGTCAGCTCTACCGATGACAGGCTGCTGAACTCCTCAAACCCATATGCTGATGGTGTCTCGCCTTTCGTCCTCGCCCCTCTCGATGCTGGTCTGCATGGCTATGACAGTTTCATGAACGTCGTCATTCTTGTATCCGTTGTATCCATTGGCGTGTCATGCGTTTATGGCGGCTCCCGAACTCTGACTGCGCTTGCCCAGCAAGGATACGCCCCACGGATCTTTGCCTACATTGACCGATCTGGCCGACCTCTACCGTCGGTGATCATCAACTTGGCCTTCGGTGCTCTAGCCTATGTTATTTTGGCGTCCACTGGCGGTATTGTCTTTGACTGGCTTCTTGCCTTGTCTGGTCTTGCTGCTCTGTTCACCTGGGGTTCCATTTTGGTGGTATGTGCTCCCGCAGTCGAAGTTTTCCTCTCTTCATTGACTCAATAACTCTGACATTATGAACAGGCTCACATTCGATTCCGACAGGCATGGAAGCACCAGGGCCGCTCGCTCGACGAGATCCCATTCCAAGCCATCTTCGGTGTCACTGGATCATACGTCGGTCTCTTCCTCATCTTCATTGCACTGGCAGCGCAGTTCTTCGTGGCCATTGCTCCTCCATTCACGAGCGACCTGAACGACGCCGAGGGCTTCTTCAAGGCCTATCTCGCCCTACCTGTCGTCCTCTTCTTCTGGGCCGTCGGCTACATCTGGAAGCGACAGGGCTTCGTCCGCATCGACCAGATCGACCTCGACACCGGCCGTCGTGAGCATGACTGGGATACGATCAATGCCTACAGACGCCAAGTCGCCAGCTGGCCTGCATGGAGACGCGCTCTCGCTGCCGTCTGGTAGAGGAATTCCCCCAGAAGAAACAATCAGTCAAGAGAAGGGCACCTCTCACTACATAAAAACTGTCGTGGAAGTCGTTCACGACAGCATGTGGGCGCGGGTTCCACGGCTTTTTATGTAGTATATATGATCCACGGCACCGACCCCTCTTCGACAGCACTGTTGCTCGTCTCCCGACAACCTGCGATATGTAGCTTGAGTGGGGAAGGAACAAGGACGGGTTTTTGTAATAGCAATTAATTATACTCGATAGCAGTATCCCATACCGCTCCTAGCGCGTGCATGTGTGTGCTACTGTGAAGAACATGAGAGTTGACATCGGCTTTCGATTGGTTTTGTATTATTCCTCTGTAGCGTTTGAAGCGCTTCTAGAGACACTGTGGTTCCTATCTCGATATTGACAAGCGTTGCGTGCTTCCTTGCTCTCCATAGGTCCCTTGACAAGTGGAAACCTGCGCCTCTGCTGCCCACGTCGCGAAAAGCCCAATCGATGGGTTTGGAACTACCACCCACACTCGTCGTTGCAGTATTACACACGGAGCAAGCCCCCGGCATTTGTAATCTTACAAGATACTCGCAAGGAAAAGAATAGCGTTTGATCTGGTCGGGTCGGGTCGGGTCTGTACCACTGGCATGCATGGCCTGTACACAAGTACCTGGACAGATCCTCCGTAGAGGGCTGGCACAAGGACAAGGACAAAGACAAGCGCAAGCGCAAGCTCTGAGCCGTCTCCGCTCCAGCGCGCTAGCCGATGTAGTTGGTGTTGGCGTCCGGCAAGCGCAACTATAGGAACTAGCGTCCGCTGCTCCCGATGCCGGGCGATAGAGGTTCAAACGGCGGGGACCTATTTCTGGCATGCCGCATGCATGCAGGTGGGTATGTGGATCTTAATACAATACAGGCATCGACTGAGCTCCCTCAAGAGGCCACATAGATAATAGCGGTGACAACTCCCAATGTCGAGAAATTGGAGGTTTTGTGCAGCCTTCCATCGGTCGATGGCGTTCCCCTGTCATAGATATTACATATATCTATATATATCTATATATATATATACCTTTGTGGAGAAGAGAGTCATCTGGGAGGGTACCGTAACATAACATGCCCCAAGTTTGCGCATGGCCCTGACCCTTGTGCACGTTGTTGTTGACGTGGTCGGTTTCGAAACGTGCTGGACAGGGTCTAGCCTCGAGAGTACTCGTAAATCACGCGACCTGGCCGTCGAACATTCGAGAGCATTTTCGACAACTTCATCGTGGATTAACTAGGACGGGGGCAAAGAGCCAACAGTGGCTCTCTGAACATGTGTAGTGTCTGATGGACACATTGCGTGAACCAGTCTCCGTCCAGAACGGCTAGATCTCGTGACGCCGCGGGTCAGTTGGACGCAGGCACTGCAATTGACATAACATCTGAAGAAAATCGTGCCTGCCATCCATCGATGCCCATCTCTTTCGAGAATAGGTAGGTCCCGGTCCGCTTCCGCACGCGCCCAATCTCGTAGTGCGCTAGTGAGACGTGGGCTCGCACCACCATTTTGGCACTCGAGAGGTAGACAGGCGGAGTGCTTCACCGCAAGTGCAGCGCGTCGCCACGAAACGGTACGGCACGGTATACATTCCATAGAGTAAGCATGTTGCGTACCAAGGGCATTAAAAGGGTCAAACGTGTCGGTGTCGGTGTCGGTGTCGGTGTTCGTGTCGGTGACTGGTTGACCAGAACACAAGAGAGTGGCCAGCTCCAGGAATTCGAACCAACGCTCACTCGGCACCACCGCCCTCAAGAACCTTGGCCCTCAGGATCCTAACCTCCTCTTTCGGCCTATCGTCGCCATCCGTCCTGACCAGCCCGAGCCTCTGCACAACCTTCATCCCACTCTTGACTCTCCCAAAGATCGTATGCTTTCCGTCCAGCCATGGCGTCGGCGCCAGCGTGATGAAGAACTGGCTCCCATTGGTGTCCTTCCCACTGTTCGCCATACTCAGTACACCCGCACCGGTGTGCTTGAGGTCTGCGTGGATCTCATCCGCGAACTTGTCGCCGTAGATGCTCGAACCCCCGCGTCCCGTTCCGGTCGGGTCGCCCGTCTGCACCATGAAGTCCGGGATGATCCGGTGGAAGATCACGTTGTTGTAGTAGCCGCGCGAAGCGAGCGTCGAGAAGTTGGTGCATGTCTTCGGCGCGTGCGTGGTGTACAGTTCGATGGTGATGGCGCCCTAATGTAGGTTGGGGGGATCCAGTTTAGCAGAGGCACGGCTGGATGGTGGAAGGGGCAAAGGAGAAGGAAAGAAGTAACACACCATTGTGGTCTCGAGGAGCACGTCCGTCGCCATGGCCGGTTTGAGAAGAGCTTGGTCTTTGGGAGATAGTCTAGGACCAAGGGTTGTATGTAAAGAGCCGTACTGCGGACTGCGGGTGTCGTGCACATAACTATATAATTAAAATATCCAAAATTGCCTCTTCGGGGTAGCTCGAGATTTGGAATGACCACATGTCGTGGTCATTTCAAACAGCTGGTGTCACGTGCTGAGGAACTTTCGCCTGTTGCTGTTCCTTTACACCTGGCTATCCCCTCAATTGTACGGTCTATGACTGCTGGGAAATGTAGAATGAGAGTGATTGAGGGTGCAAATTATCAGCAGAAGTTCTAGGGATGATGGTGGACCCATCGTCGCTCCTAGCTCGGGAACGATGAATTCAAAATGAAGCGAGCTTCCACCAAATCGCTCTCGACGACAAGGTACAGTGGTATTTGTTTCACGCACTATGGAACTTGTAGCTCCCATCTCTTGTTCAGGCACGCAAGTCAAAGCAGCTGTCAGGCTGCTTGGTACCTATCAGGATCCGTCACGAGGGACACAGAAGCGCCGCTGATCGCCCTCAAGCCTGCCACTGGACGTCAGGCTCTCAGCAATGGCGGGATCCTCGCCGTCGTCGTCTCCCCCTTCATCATCATAATCATCGCCTTCATCATCACTGTCAATGTCGCCCCTCATGTTCCACCACCAGCGACTACCCTTCCAGATCCCATGGACGTCGCCCCTTTCCTCCTCTTCCTCCTCGGTGCCGATCAGCCAGCTCCACTTTCGCAAGAACCACTTCTTCGCCTCCCAGCTACGCGTGCTCCACGCGACATTGTCGCTCATCTGGCGTTTGCGGGCGCGGCGCGAGCTCGCCAAGTCCGAGACGCCGCCCCAGCAGACGAGCCCGCCCGACAAGATGTCCAGGACCAGTTGCTCGTGGTCGAGGATGCCCTGCACGGACGCCAAAACCGTCTGGTCCCGGAAGTAGGGGAACACGATGCAGTCGAGGTACGACGGGTGTGGGTTCATCAGCTGCGCAGGCGACGGCCGCAGCGGCTCCTTCACGGCGTTCATGTGCTCCGACAGCTGCGGCGTGACGGTCAGGTGTGTTTGGAAGAAACTGTAGCGGGCGGATTTGGGCCCCAGAGTGTCGCTGTTCAGCGCCACGTAGCAGCCGGGGAAGTGTGATGGGTGGTCGTTGATGTATGCCGACCGTGGGATGTTGAGGTAGACGGCGATGGTCAGCGATGCCTCAAGGCTGCCCACTCCCAGGAGTCGGAGGTGGTTGATGTAGGGATCTGCAAGTGATGTCGAGGCGGCAGCAGTAGAGGAGAAATGAGAGCTTGCTGTACGCTGTGCGTTGAACGGCCTGATGGCAAGGGAGTGCGGCGGCCGGGCCTTGCGGGGGACGTATGGCTTGTCGCTCTTCGACGGCGGCATTGCCCAGATGGGCCGCAGATCGATATCTCCATAGTCGTCAGGTGTATGGAGATGTTCTAGCGGCTCTGTAGCCGGAGGGCTAGGCGCAACATCAAACCTCAACCCGGTAGTGAGTTGGCTATGTGAGATAGGAAGGTCGCCGGCAGCTAGAAACGCGTCTTCTAGGTTGAGTATCTGCGGCTTCGAGTACTTGGTGGCCGTAGCATCTGCAATAGCATCGGAGTCGGTGACGCGGCTGGCTCCGTCCTGACAGTCGGATTCTCCAAGCAGTATATCATCTGAACCAGAACTCGGAGCAGGCGTGATGAAGGCGGCAGCACTATCATTGGCACTACTACCGACCGTGGCGGCCTGTTCCTCGAGATCCTCGAGTCTCTTTCTTAGCCTCTCACGGTATATCTTCTGGGCACGTCTGTTCTGCTCACGGCGCTTATCAGTGATCCGACGCACATATGGCTTTTTCTGCGGCTTCGTAGGACTTGCATCAGCATGGTTACTGGCCGTTGGCTGACCGGACTTTCCTTCGCTGGTGGATCTTGTCGGTGGCTGGGTACAACCGGCCATAATGGCTTTCGGCTGACTGGATACAATTCGCAACGACTTCTTCCGAATGACAGAGGCTACTTGTGAAACCCAAACGGGCATGTCTGGATCAGGGAAGGAAAGGGAACATGAGCCGGAATGTTGTGGCTGATATGAGCATCACCGGCTTTGGTCCAGATGAGGTAGGTGGTCCCTGGTGTGGTCTTTGGTTGTGGTGATGGTCGTTCGGCCGAACTGAATCAGCCATTGTAGTAAGCCAGAACCCTTTCCCGTCTCGGCAGCGCGGTGGAACGGTGAGAACTCGATCCAATGGACAAGTGCATGAGTAGTCAGCATCAAGGTCAATACGCCATCAAGCATGATGAGAGGGCACCGACAGAGTACATTGCGATGGATTAATAATGGTTCAAGCCCACGTGTAAAACGGTCTTCGTCAGGCGGTGGTGGCTACCTAAGTAGTACGAGTAGTAGTGAAGTGATTAATCTCTCAAAATCATTCATATTGCTGGTTCTTTCGTCCCACAAGCAAAACTCCCATCAGATGCTGTCGTCCAGTAGTAGTCGAATGCACACACATTCGATACTTTTGCTCATGCTACATGCGTCAAGTCCTTCCCTCTTTGCTGTTGCAATTCGTAATTCCGTCTCTCAATTATGGCTGCCACGCAAACAATGCAGCTGGGGGTATCAACCGTTGGCTGGTTCAATCAAAGAAAGCATTTCATATCACCTCGAATAGGTGCCATACACTGTCTGCCACTGCACCAATTCCCGGGTCAGAGTTTCCATCATTTCTGCACTGCCCATGGATGCAAATTCTCGCTCGTCCGTCAATCGAACATGGCCATCTTCTTCCGCAGTCTTTGACTCTGTGAGTCCTGCCTCGACCGCTCGGACCAGGCTGGCGGTAGGGAAATGGAGCGTGGAACCTTTCACCCCATTGGGGGTATTGGCACCTTTTGAGCTGGCACTTCCACTTGAATGATGTGACTGAGAACCCCTTTCGGTTTGCATGTGACCCACGAACTCCAAGATAGCTGCAACCCGTCGCTTCATCTCATTGAGACTGGTCCGGGCCGGGTGTGTTTTCGCCTTGGAGCTCCGTCCACTTTCCCCATTGATACCGTTGGCTCCATTAGGCGAGGCTCCATGTCGACTAGCATCATGTGCTACATCCCTTGAAGGCGTCGAGCCATCATCACCATTGGCAGTATCGCGAGTATGCTGGTTCCTGGCAAGTCGGACTCTTCTCGCAGGAGGGCGTCCTGTCTTGCGATTTGTGGTGGATCGTCCAGAAGGCGGTGTCTCGGCCTTTGGTTTACCATTGGCTTGCGCAGCTTTCGAAGGAGAGACGCTTGGAGATGGAGGAGGGGAGTCTGACTAGATTAGTACCATTTCAAGCTGCGGCAAACCATTTTCACGTACCTTCTCCTCTTCTGCGCTCGGATCGAGCATTCCTTTTATTAGCGGCTTCCGCTCGCTGTGCCGCCTGCTGCTCCTTCTGTTTGTCTCGGATCTCCTTGTCTCGGTTAGTTCTCGAAGGCGGGCCTCGTCGAGAAGTCTGGTTAGAGGAGCGATGAGTTGAGGATCCCTTATTTGCTACTTCGCCAGAAGTGGGCTCTGGAGACTCGCTGTGCTTGGACGCTGTCGAGGATGAGTTGGAACCAGTCCGCAGGCGTTTCACATTTTGATTGAGGCTGCACTAGGTCAGCAACCTGCCACCATGTCTTCTGAGGTTACATACTCTTGTGAGCCTTCCCAGGCCCGTTTAGCATTAGCGAGCCTTCCTAGAGCCTTGCTTTCCTCAATCACATTGAGGAACATTTGTTCTTCGAATGTGCTCCGACTGTTCATGGTTGCCCTCCTTTTCGTATTTTCGATAAGTTGCTTCTTGCTGTCTTTCTTCAGAGATGGGTCTTGAACGGAGGAAGGAGGAGAGGATGTGGCAGAAGCGTTCTCGACAAAAGGGAAGTATTGTGATGACTTGGGCCTGGTTTTAATCAGTTAGTGTCGTTGTTCCGAGGCAAACACAGTAGGCTGTCAACGTGGTTGGAAAGGGAGAGGGTTGTAGAAATCTCCCACCAACGCCAATATCAACAATGAGGATGGAGGGTTGCTCACCCGTTTGAGTTCTTTATGATTTTGTGGAATTCTGGTTTGCACAGCTCGCAGTAGTATTCATCCGGTAGCATGGATTCTTCGAGCAAGCCCATGCAACCACCATGTTGCCAAACACTGCAACTATCACACTGAACAAAGAAATTACCGGTTTCCTCGGTCAGGGTTTCTGCTTGGGTGGCTTGCTGACGTATGGTGGCAGAAGGGCCAGGGTACTCAGCTTGTTCACATATACAGCGAGTGACCTCCTCTTCAGCAGGATCGACGTCATTGTCATCGTGATTTTCAGCCTGTGGATTTGTGGCAGATTCTTTCTCTTCTCCATTTCGTCGACTGCGACGCGGTGCAATTTGCTCGGCACGTGAGCTAGATTCAGGAGCATCGATCGAATCGGATCGTTGGGTGGAGGGCCGGCGAGGAGAGTTTGTAGGATTGATGGATCGAGCATCACGATCAGGTTTTCCATTATTAGAGGAGCTGGAGTTGGAGTGGTTTGGACCAGATGGTGGTTGCTGGGAGGAGCGGGCGCGGGAGGAGCGTCGAGGGCTCATGGTGGAGGAGGTGGATGGAGAGGACCGTGGCTGTTATGTAGTATAAGTATCTGCACAAAGATGATGAAGGCGGACACGGGCTTACAGAGTGTGTGTGTCGAGGTTGGCGGGAGGGTGGTGGTGATCGCGCCGTCAGTGAAGGAAAGAAATATGAGCGTGTTTGGGACGGCGGGAAAGTGATGGGCAATTTGGTGCAAGCAAAAGGATCGAAGTGCTATGACATTGAAAGGGTCGGTAACAATGCCAGCAAGGAGAATGGCATGGTATTGAGTGTCGACATCAGGATAGAATGTGAAGCGAAGAGAAGAGGGTAGAAAGGTGTGCTCCAACAGATTGTAGAGGTGCAGAGGTCGCAGGTCGCAGGTAGCGTAGCAAGACGAGTCTGCGGTGACCATGCCCTCACCTCCATTCAGAGCGTTTACGAAGTGGTGGACAGGGTACTATAGTGGTAGCGGTAGTGGCAGTTGCTTTGCACCGGTTCGGCCGACCGCCAGCCGAGAGCCTTGATGGCTTGACGCTTGAGAACATACCTCAGGCTGGAGCTGTAAGCCCAGTACCAGTGGTCCTAAGCTTGAGCCTCCCTGGAGAGTGGGCACTCGTAGCCCAAGCCCAAGCCCAAGCCCGGAGCCCTGAGCAGACCCTTGAAACAACCAAAAAGAAGTGGGTCGTTTTATCGCTGCTGCGCTTTTCAGTGGCGGAGGGGATTTGGAGGTGCGCCCGGTCAGCTACGGCCCATCATGGCCTCAGTCATTTCCCCTCTTGGTGATTGATCAGCCCCGACCCTCGTTTCTCCAAAACTCGAACCAGCCCTACACGTGCAGATCGAGCTAGGCGATGATGCGGGCGAGTCACCTGATGGGACTGGCAGCATTTTGGGATATGCATGGTGATGACCATTGGAAATTCAGCTAGAGTAGTCTTGATGACTTTTCAGGTACACTGCGTGGAATCGAGCATGTGGTGGGCGTGGAGGCGATATGGTCTTTGATTCAATCCTCCTAGCCTCGTCCTGTCGCTGGGACGGAGTATGATAATTCGATTTCGGCTGCATGGAAAAGTTTTCTCCAAGACCCAGCGTATCACGTGCTATTGAACATGCCAAGAATTACTCACCGCCCCGTCTGCCCCTCCCACACGCGTCCGGGAGACGCGTCAAACTCATCCACAGCCTGAGCGTGTTTAAAATATTGCTGCTCCAGTGCGCTATGTCGACACATGGCCCTTCCACCAACCATCCCATGCGTAGAACCGTAGAACTCCAGAACGCCAGCAAATCCATTTCTCCTAATAATTGCTTGGATCTCTGCCTAGGTACATAGCACTGTGTGGTCAATTCAAATTTGGGACCGACTATTTGGAATAGCCCGATGATGACTGTGCCTGCTGTTAGCTTCAGTACGTGAATGTCTTCCAGCAAGTGCTATGGACTGCTTCGTCTAAGCCTTATCTGCAGCCATACTTTATTCCAGCACCAACCTAAACAGCCTGCCTCATAGATAAATGAATTCTCTGATAGGCGAGTCTGCCTGGGGAGCAACCGCACCATGTCATATAGTCAATGAACTCCTCGCCTCGCCGATTGAGTACTGAATCACTTGAGCCGAGAAGAAAATAATTAGTCATCCCAATCAGCTCTTCTCCCCCATCAGAGAATAAACTAGTAGCCAAGAGAGAACATGGCCATGGTACAGGTACTAGTCAGTTCGATTGTTGAAATGGATCCAAACCAGAAACTGAACGCGTGCAGAACAAGCCATCGATTCCAAGCGGAAAACTGACTGATAGCGGTGTCAGTGGCTGAGGGAGTGGGAACCTCGCGATGTTGTAGCGAAGAGATTCGAAGCATACTAGACAAAGGATAAAGACAGACTGTCAACAGCTCCATTACCTAATTATGTGGTTTCCGTTCGGCTCGTGTGATCAAGACGTATGAGAGGTCTCACCAGCCTAACGCCAATCCTGGATATCGCGTGGTGATATTTCGTTCTGCCACCAGTGTGCTTCGCTCAAAACAAAACATATGTATGGGTAGGTAATAATGTACAAATGGATCGGCCGTCTCTTCGTTATTTCATGTCGTAGTACAGGTGAGAGCAAGGTTGCGACTTGGACGTCAAGCAAGCCTGACTTAGATAAGAGCGACATCAGAACAATGGCTCGGGGCTCGAAGATGACAGGTCCTCCGGTTGATCGCTCGCAATCACCCTCGGCTGTCGAGTAATCTGAACACCTCCTGCTTTAGTCACCCCGTCTCGACGACCCATTGACAGAAGCTCCTCCTCTTTTGATTTTTCCTTGGCTCGTGGTTTAGAAGCATCCTCGGGCAGAGACGATGGTCCAAGATCTTGACTTCCTGTTTGCTCCCTCTTGTGCTGGATCAGGAGACTGAGCTGACTCTTGGTTCGAGGAAGTTTCATCTGCAATTTATCGTCGTCATCGTCGTCAGCCTCATCACTGTCGCTGTCACTATCATCGTCACTATCTTCTCTGCGATTGCTGTGTTCTTGTTGACGTTGCCCAGAGCCTTTGGAAGTTGACTTCGTGTGAGACCGGTCACCTCGCTCATCATCCAGGGGAGGTAGGATCTCCTTTTCTTTGCCCTTGCCAACATCTTCTGGCCTCTCGTCGGCGAACCGGACAGAACTTACGCTTTTCCTCACTCTTTCAAGCCCTGCAAGGTTTGTGACACTCGACAATTTTTTTTGATTCTCCACGAACTTGACCCTGAAGCTAGGGTCGACTAAGTTACCGATTACAGGTTGAGGGGCTGTGGTTGCCAGTCTACGATTTTCGGTGGTTGAATCGACACTTTGCCATGAGGATGCGGAAGGAAGAGCGAAGGGAGCCCCAGTAGTGGTCGCTATGGTCATGGATTAATATCTTGTCAGCAACGGAGAAATTGACGATCCAGACTTACAAGGCGTCATAAGGAGGCTCGATGATACACCTCCTTGGGGTGGCTTGGCCAAGCTTGCACTGCCGGTTTCTTTAGGCGCTTGACTAGATCCCGCCCTCTCCGGGCTCTCTTTAGGGGACTTCGGTGGGTTGTTGATGCCGGGCGACTTGGGCGTACTGGACTTTCGCCGGGGCAAATGAGGCCTCGTCCTTGACTTGCCAGCAGCGGCAAGGACGGGCAGTCGCGGTCGACCATTGCTAGCAGATCTAGTTAGGGAAGGCCGAGAGCTTGACTCGGACGTTGCGTTTGACGTTGAACCTGAAGTGTCATCAATCTGCTGAACAGCCGCTGGGGTGTTAGTCGATGACTGACGACGGCGTTGTTGTTCCCTAGAAGTCGCAGCAAGAGGGAATCGAAAGTCTTGCAGGGAAGATTTTGGTCCTTGAGTTGTCCCAGTTGCAGTGGATGGTACTGGTGATTCAACTGCCCGCTGGTGTGCCTCGTGGAAAGCCTAATCGATATCAGCGTAATGATGGGAAGGAGACGAACAGCGTCCCTCACCAGATGAGATGGAAGCGGTGGAAGTGGAATGCGATGGCCTATAGGGTCCAGCTCGAACTCTTGACCTGTTCGGCGCAAGAGCCTCATCAAGGTGGCACTGCTAATGGATCTCGCAAGCCTAGGGCAGGTCCAAACTCTCCAAAAGAGATTGCGAGCCCTCACACTCGCACTGTCATGAGAGGCATCACTTTGGATTGCGTAGACTGCAGCCGTGGTCAATCGCCATCATCAGGCTGTAAAAAGCATGGAAGACTAACCTCTCCAAAATCGGCGAAGGATCTGTTGATTGTCAAGATCAGTCGTGGACTCCCCGAAAGCATTTTGTTCTATTGTTGCAGGGCTGATAAGACCTCGAGGCAGGATGGCGGTCATGGCATGCGATGTTCAACGATTGTCCCCTTTAGCTCCACAAAACCAACTGTCAACCACAGGGCACGAAGCGGAGCAGCACATATCCTTTGACGAGGGATGTTAATTGCGACAGAGAGAGGTGGCCATGGAGCAAGGGACAACAAATGGGGGATTGAAGAAGGGTGACAGAAGCGTAGGAGCCTGCTGCCAGCAGAGCAGGCAAGACTTGCTGGCGGAAGTTGGTTGAGCAAAGGTCGGTGTGAAAGGGACGACCGATATTTGATTTGAGCAGAGTGGACCTTTTTTCCTTCTGTAAGAAAAGAGAATTGAGCTGGTTGGTGGTGTGGTCCGTCGAAAGCGTGGCGCACCGTGTCAGGAGGGCAATGGGGCAACTGGCAATTGGCAACCGAAGCTGGGAACCCTGAATCTTGGACGGACGCCAGAATCGGAGTTTGGCACAGAATTGGATTTGGACTTGGACTTGAATTTGAATTTGGAGTCTCTGTTGGTCGGTAAGGCACAGTCAGAAGGAAAGAATAGGATTGTGAGCCCCGGAAGCTAAAAAGACGGGAGCCAGTCACGACTTCAGTTGTCGGTCCGGACTGGTGGGCGTGCCATGGAGTCGGAAGCTGGCTCAGTGGTACGAGTACCTATCCCTATCCCTATGTAGATGTGGAAACCAGGAATAGAAAGTGAGCAGATTGACTCAGATCTGGTGAGCCCGTTTTGGCGGAAGGCTGACTGATGGAGAGGGCGGGCAAGAAAGTGAGGTCGATGGCTGAGTGGCAGGAGGGAGGCAGCGGCAACTGGGGCTCTGTGAGGGTGATTTTGGGTCTAATGTCTGAATGGACGGTGGGAGAGGAAGGGGCAAAGCTGTCAGAATAGAGAAGGGATGCCAAAGTGGAGAGGGGCTATGATGGGATGGGAAATACCTTGGGTCTTATGGATAGATCGGGAGGAGAGTCAAGAGCTGGCAGGTTATGGTTGGAAAGCTTTGGGTGGACATGCCAGGGCGGTCCAGGGCGGTCCAGGGCGGTGCTCGTCTCCGTTGGACGTCAGACGACCAAGACTGAGGAGGAGAGGGCGCAAAGGATAGTACCGCAAGGAAGAGGAAGAGGAAGAGAAGGGAAGAAGAAGTGGATATTGCAAATCCAGACTAGAGCGAGGGCGACGCCGCAAGTGGAGGAAGAGCTGTACCAAGAGCCAGACCTTGATGCAGGAACACGGTTAGGCCGCAGCAAACGACGACACTTACTCCGGGAACTAGACCAAGCACTACAACATTATGTAGGTAGGTTACTAGCAGCCGAGGGGGCAGACACTCTGGTCAGGCGACGACCTCGACCTCGACCAGGACCACGGCCAGAGACCCGAGGATCAACGGGCGGATGGAGGTGAAGGGGAGGGGGAGAGACCGGATTGAGACGAATACCCATCTGGACCCGGTCGCTATACGGATACCGCGTCAATGGAGGGACCCACGGATGCGTGTTGCTTGTCGGTAGCAGTACCCAGTACCTCGTACATAGGAGTAGTCATGGGAACATTGTTGGGCAGTAATGAAAAAACGGGGAGGGAAGCTGGGATGGGAAATAGGAAACAGGTGAACGGGGCCGGCAAAAGCGAAAGCCTGCGGCAGGCGTCTTCAAGCGAGCAAGTCATGATAGCGAAGACGATGGTGGCTAAGCATCATGGCAATTACTGGACTGGACTGGGTCGGGCTTCTGACGTGATAGTTGGTGGACCAGGAAAAGTAGGACAGGTGTGAATGAATGAATGAATGAATGAGTTCGGATACAGCATGGCGTTTGTGGTGTTGCAGAGGAGAGTGGCGACAAGATCACCCTGGCCCTGACCGGCAGGTAATACTCAGTGCACAACACCCAACTCCGAGCACATAGCCAGCACCAAGGCGAAGGGATTCCTGGTCACAGAATCGCATGGTGCGTTGGTAGCAAAGGTTGGCACAAGCTCGTCGTACCTCGGAGTCGTACCTGAAGCTCACCGCCTGATGCGTCAAAGATCGTCGCAAGCGGTGACCGGGGCCAGGGTGCTAGGCACATCTGGGCGAGAGGGTGGGTGGGAACAGGGCGCCAGAAAAGTCCAGAACACAAGCATGCAAAGCCCAGTCTCGCGATCACGCTCGGGGCCATCGAACGGTCACAGGCGGCCGACCCCTGGCACGACGGACCTACTGTAGGGGAGTACAGCTACCTGAACCCAGAGGTGATGTTAGGCGCCTCACTGCCTGCTGACGTGCCTGGGTGCCTGTACTGTGGTCTGTCGGGGTACGGGGTGCTCGGTGCCTCGGGGCTACAGCGAAACCCATACTCGCGGCCGGGAGCAACAGAGAGCAGAGAGCAGAGCACCGAGTGCCATTCCTCGTAGGCAGCAAGTCTCAGTCACGACTCACCAGGCTTCTTCATATCGCTGTTACTTGTAGTCCATAGACAGGACAGCACAATCCTCCACCAGGTGCCCTCTACCAACTCGTATACAATTCGATATACAATTTGATGTTGCATTCCGCCCGCCCAGCCTTTAGGCCGTGAATCTGTGTCCCTTCGTTTCGAGAGCACATCCTCCCTGTCATTCATAGCCGAACCACACTTGGTTCTTCCATTCAGCCACACACCTGTGCCATCCCACATTCTGCTTGCAACCGCTACCGCTACCGACCTTTAACACTACTACCGCTTGCCCGTCACCCACGGTGCCGGGTCGACTCAACGAACCATCTAGGTCTGTCGTACTACATGCACTTCAACTTCCGTTCCGAGCGATATCGCGGCCAACTCCGCGACCTTATCTGTGTGCATGACCTCCCCCCCGAAGTCCGATGGTTATGCATCTATTCTACCAACCCTCCATTAACAGGAGCACTCCCAAGAACACATCATATCCTCATCGGCTTCCAGGGCTCCAGGCAGGTCTTGCCATGTTGGCCTCCCGGAAACTGCCGTCGGGAGATGCTCGTCGACGCTCAGCCAATGCCACGCTCCTCTTTCCTTGTTCGTCTCCACCGACCCTTGTTGCTATACCAATACTCCGTACAACCCACCAACTACCTAAGTAGTAATTCTTGCCACCCCAGGCCAGAGCCGGAGGTCCAGTGGCTGCAGTTCCGGCCGCTGCCTGCTTGAACACTCTAGTTTGGCAGTGGGCCCCACCAATGTATCAAGTTGCAGATCTGCACGTGGCAACCCACCGGATAGACGCTGAAGCGCTCGAGACTAAGGTTGGAGGGCCCCTGTTCTCATTCCTCCTGAAGTAGCAACCAGATAGGCCTGGACCCGTGCGTACTTGGTATGCATTGTCTAGACCGTTGCTCTCCGTGTTTGTTAGGCTTGTCGTCAGGTATTCGGTCAATACTTCACAGCGCCAACCACCAAGGCAAGGAAAGATCCCCTGCCTAAAGTATTGAAGATCTTCAGACACCTCTTGCACACCCAAAGCGTGCGGAACCTCTACAGTTCGCAAACTCACGCCCTCAACTCCCGTCATGGCATTGCCAGCGTCCACAGACAGTGGACACGTAATGACTATTGGCAACAGAAACAATTCCCCGATCACTAAACGCACGACAGACATGTGCGACCCTTGGTGCGTGGGATCTGGATATGCAACTATTGGTCCTCCTGGGGGGTTCTGGGTTGCCTGAATGCACGCTATTCTTGATGCAATCCCATGGCGCTGGGTGGTAAGCATGATCACAACGTCTCCCGCGTCGTCGGCATGATTGAACCGGTCCACTCTGCAACACCCTATCATATACTCTAACCCGACGGAAATTATAATGGCCGAGTCCTGCTGCAGCCCATGATCCCCCCGGACTCGCCTAACCTTTGAGTTGATTTGCAGACTGCCCAACCTGGACTCAATCCATATACTATTAATTAATTGGCAACAGCCATTATACTAGGGCCCAAGATTATTGGCTGTGTCTACTCTCTGTTGCACCATCGCCTTACGAGTATGTTTATTGACCCTCAAAGTGCTCGATTCGACACACCTACACTACCTAAGACGCCGCTCCTCGGGGTGACTGTGCCAATGCAATGGCCCAGATGTTGAAATGAGTTCAAGCAGATTGACCGCCGTGACGTGAACATGCTCCCACAAAGAGTCAATAGTCCAGTGTCCCTGTTCCTGATTAAAGCATAGAACCGAAAACACATCGGCCTTGCTTATGTGCATGTATATCTGGGAGATTTCGGTTAGCCACAGCTCAGAGAAGCTCTCGGACAGCATGAATTTGACGACAAGACCCAAAACTCTTCCCTTGCAGGACCGTCTCTGACACCGGTTGATGTGGAGTCGTGGAATCATAATATAGTACAGGCATGAGCGCAGGGGGACAAGAGAACCACTTACCCTCCATCGACCCGAAGATCAGCTCCAGTGACATAGCGGCTCGCGTCACTAAGAAGGTATACCACCGCACCCTGCAAATCCTCCGGTGAACCCATTTTGCCGACTGGGATCAAGGAAGTCCAGGTCTTGTTGAGTTCTGGGTTATCGTCAAGAATTTTGCGAGTTAGAGCTGTCAACATATATCCTGGGGAGATACAATTGACTCGGATGTGGGCGTGCGCCCACTCTACTGCCAAACTAGCGGCAAGGTGGCGGACTGCGGCTTTGGCTGCATTATAAGGGGCTTGTGGTTGAGGGACATTGACCACCGCACCAGACATGCTTCCAATCATGACTATGCTGCCGTGAGTAATGCTGCCTCTCTCCATCAGGTGTCGAGCGACTCCAGTGGCAAAGAGGTAGGTCCCGTCAACATTTACACCCCAGAGTTTCTTGATCCGATCATACGGATATGTTTCCGCCGAGAAATTCTCGGTGAAGCCAGCAGAGGTCACTAGGTGGTCGATCTTCCCGTGCTGCGAGATGATTTCGTTAATGCAGGCCGACACACTTTCAGGGTCAGACACGTCGGAATAGTGTGCGGTCACTCTGGGCGGATCCTCGTCTGGAAAGTCCTTCTGGAACAGGCGAATGATTTCAGCGGCTTGTTTTTCACCTTCCTCCTCTGTTCGGGAGACTTCGTGTCAGCATGACTCCGGACATGGACGACAAAACAGGCGGGCACGCACTATTCAAATCCACGATCGCCAAATCAGCTCCAGAGTTCACTAGAGCCTGTCCCATGACAAGACCCAGCCCTCTTGCACCCCCAGTGACGACAGCGGTCCGGCCCTCGAGGGAAAATGTCGGCAGTGTCCTCACATTCTGCACTCCTCCAAAGCCCCGCAGCGGGCGCTCGTGTCTGTCAAATTCCTTCTCATCCTCTGGGTATTCGACGATGATCTCGCGATCCGTTCGTGATGCGGAGCCTTCGTGGGGGCCTGCACTTGTCCCTGTCGCTTCCGTACTCGACTTGTGGTAAGGGTCGGATTTGTCATTCAAGAGGGATGTGATGCGGAGAGAGCGAGCCGGACTCGTGGAGAAAGCACGAAGGCCAGGCTTAACTGCCACGGCAGGTCGGGAGACTCGAGTTGATGTCGTTGCCAGTCGGCGGAGTAAATTCAGTGAACTTTGAGTATTCATTTTCACCTAGCTCTTCTGCCTGCGGGCACCTTCGGTATGTTCTGCTCCTGCACTGTCGACTCAGGTGGACCGGTTAGAGAACAATCAAACGGACACCTGGGCAGCCAACGAGCGCTCGCAAAAGGGATTGCTATCCACTGACCTGTGCGAGCACTGTTTCGAGGAAGAGAGGTAAAATACAGAACTGCGTTACAAGCGAGACAACCGCGACGAGTCTCACAACCTGGAGCGGAGATGAGGTGAGAACTGTTTGGGTCTCCCACGGACTCCTCCACACGAACTGGATGACAAACGTAAAATGCTATGCAAAGAGCTTTGTGGTCTGTGAAGTAATACCAGCGGGCTGTGGCTGTCTTGGGCTGTGTCAATACTCAAAAGTAGCCAGAAATCAATCAATCATTGAACAACGACCGGCTCGAACGAAGCTCCCATTGAAATTCAGACCACATTTCACCAGCTTGTCTAAACGTGGGAGAGAAATTGTTGACGCGAAGACGTCAGAGTGGGGACCTACCTGGTGAGGGGCTCGAGTGGCCCCATCCACCCCCTGAGAGAGGGGACATGGTGCCCCGTAGTGGCTACTTAGGGGTGCCTTGGTAGGGTGGTGTCCCTCCTGGGCCCCCAGCAAGGCGTACCCATTCGCCTATAAGGTACAGGTACACAGCACACCAGGCAAATCACCGTAGCTCATTACTCGAAAGAGCCATGTTGAGCCGGATCTGCGTCTTGCTACGTACTCGCCAGCCACTGACAGGTTCTCGTAAATGCTGGTAGGGTATTGTGGGCATTCCCATCGTCTCCGCGTGTGACAAGACCACCGAGAACAGGGCATTGTGATGTACTGTAAATTCGACCGACTCACACGTTCAAAGAGGTCCTCGTGCAACCAACGCATCGATCCAAGCCAAGCCATGCCGTCCAGGAAAGTCTTGCACCCACGATCTCGAGGCGGTGACTAGGGGCCATGCGTTGCACGATAATTAGCTGATGATTCTCATTATGGACTTACCCGCACTCCCGGTTTACATACGAGCGCTGCACGCCGGTCGGTACGAAGTCGCAAAGGGTAATCTCAGGCTGTCAGTTCCCAAACCCATTTTAATGTTACATTAGTACGGAGATAGTACGGAGTCCTTGTGTATCTACTCGTAGCTAAACTTCGGGTCCTCTATCTAACGTCGAAAGCGTCCAACAGGGTCCATGCGGCTCTATTCACGGGTTCCCGGGTCTGTGGAGGAGGTACTTCCTACTTCCTACTGCTTTACGTTCGTGGGCTTCGGTAACAGATAGTGCCTCACGTAGTGGTAGTGGTAGTCCCGAAACGCAACAACGCATCCCACGTCTCAAACCTAACCATTCGACACACCGACTCATCTGTCTGTCTGATGATCGATCCGTCGTACCTGGTACGACGGACACCGTAGGAGTCAACCGACACAACGCCAACCGCCTCGCCTCGCCTCGCCTCGCCTCGACCTACCTCGACCTACCTCGCAAACAAACCGAGGTTTTGTGGGCAGGGCGGAAGGGTGACCCAGAGGGGGGGGAGGGGGTTCGAGGCTAGGCTACTGTAAAGCCCAAGCCCAAGCCCAAGCTTCCCCCGGGGGCAGAAAGAAAACTCCGTATTGACGGTCAGGTTCTCGCTCGAGCGCTTCTGTGAAAGATCTTCCCTCTCCTTCGCGCTCTAGAAGAGAGACTGTCCGTGCACAAGCACTCCACAAGTACTCGAGGTGAGGCGGTGTTGATGTGGCCCCAATCAACTCAGTTGCACGTCAATATAGCCTAGCCTACCGGGGGGAGCCCAGTGGGCGTGAGGGGCCTCGCTTCATGGCGGGGAAGAACAATATCAACACAATACCAATATCAATGGCTACCGGATCCTTCAGGTGCTCAACGACTACCCACATACCCTGTACGCGTTCCGAGCGAGGTCTCCGCCTCCCTGAACAGCCCTGGCTGCTAGGAATGGGCCACGGTACTATAGCGGGGCACAAGTACGTAACAAGTCATTCAAGGCCCTCAACGATACTTCGAAGCCGCGGACCTACTGTAAAGGTATGTATGTGTGCACGTACTTCAGGTAGGCGGTTTTGGAAGCACCAAATCTGACAAAAACTGGCGACTGGTGATTGGCCCTCTGCCTACCTACCTGCTAAGTCCAGTCGCCACGGATCACTTACCTACCACAGTGAGAAGGAGTATCAGTTTGGACTGTTCGGTACCTATGCACGCATGCTGAGACTTCAGGGAAACGCATCATGAGGACAGAAAAACCCAAGTCTCAAGTCTTAGCATAGCTACCTGACTTGAAGGGATATTGTTCTCCAAGCCAAAATGCGACGTTTATTGAGGTACTATATGGACACATAAATAACCTGCTCGGAGGGATCTTCGTGCTCGACTCGCTTGCTCGCTGGCTGGCTGACTGGGATTCGGATGGCTTGTTTCTGCGGTCGACGACATGGCCTTGTCAATCGGGTAGTACCGCGGTAGGTGAATTCTGAAAGATGGAAAGACTCAAGGCAAAACATCGCCTTGGTGTTTGTGCTTTGACATGACATATGTACATGACCGCTTAATATGGTGGAGATGGAGCCAGTCACGGCGCAGTCATTGCATGATTTTAGCATTTCAACTCGTGGCGCTGGGGGCTCGGGCGACTCTTCGCTCACCTCCGGCCTTTTTGCGGCCGTATATTTGAAACTTGCGCGCCCGACAGAAGGCGAATGTCGACCAGACCGCGCTAGCGAACCAGAGCCCCAGGTTGATGAGGTCAAATATTACGGCGATCTTCATGTATTGAATGTCCTCGTCCATCTCGACCCGCTCGGGCATATACATCGACCCGAAGATGCCAGTCAGGGCGGCGAAGAGAATGACGAGGACCCAATCCCACGCAAAACAGACGGCGACGGTGCCAAAGTGGAGGAACCCTGCGGCGCACATGAACGTGATGGCGCTCGCGGCGGCAACGGAGCCGACGACGACGGCGTACACCTGCAGGGTGAAGATTAGTCGGATAAACTCTGGCGCGATAGACTCGGCTTCACGTACCCATTTTCCATCAGCGTATACGTCCACCTTGACGGCGCGGTTGAGGTACTTGCCGTACATGCCGACGACGACGAGACCGGCAACCAATTGGAGCAGGCGTAAGATGAAATGGAATATTGTCGTACCCTTCCAAATCTTGGCTTGGCTCTTTGCTCGAGCCCAAAGAGCGCCTTTGCGGTTGACGAGGTTCCTAACGCGAGCGGGCTTCATGTTTTCTGTCTTTCGAGAGCTGGGTAATTAGCTTGTTGTTGGTGTTGGTGAACAGGGGGTTTCAACTCTGGGGAATATCTGGGGAATACTTGGAGAGGGAGTTTTGCGACGTATTGTGCTTCTGAGTAAAGTGTTTGAAGAAATGGTAGGGTATTTCAAAATGTGTACCAGTGGCAGGAAACTGTAGAATGCTAGAATGTTAGGAGGGCCTTTCGTGTGATGTTTGGACTATTCCCAATACTTGACATTCCACTACTAGATAAAGAATGCTTAGTTGTGGTTGTTCGGTTTTAAAGCGGTTGTGTCCCTTTGTTCTCTTCCCTGACAACGGGATTATAGTGACAAGGATGAAAGACCCCGTCTTTGGTTTGAAGGAATTGACCGGGCACTGTTTGTGACGGTGAGCTGGGATTGTGTGTCAAGATTTCGAAAATTGGACCTCTATGATGGTGACTGCAGCTGGTGACAGACAGATGCAAGTGTCGCTATGCAGGTGGCCATATGCTCATGTAGTCAGGTAGCGATCAGTAGCGATGATCAGTCATGAGAGGGAGAGCAAACGACAGTGTTATATCACCAAGAGCGCAGAGACTCAAACAAAAGAATGTACCCGTTTCGACCCACCACCGATAGATAACCTGGAATCCTAAGGTCGACGTTGCTCAATCTTGGATCTAGTTCTGCTATTGTTGGCGCATTGATCAACTGCGTCATCCATGAGCCATTGCAGCCATTGACTGGCACTCAAGCCACGCGTGCCTTGTAGCTTTGGCAGATCGACCCCGCAAAAAGGCATTGATAGGCTTCGTTTGTGCTGCTGGCAGTTGGTGGGAGGCGGAGTCTCAGCCACCTTGACACCTTTCTCTAACGGCGTCCCTGGGCTTGCATCTGTCCATTGGGACTCGTGACGCGGGACAAGCCTGTTTTAGACAGAACAGGCCGGGATCCCTGTCTTAGCCGTTGTCGAGCCCAACCACACGTGACATATTACTAACAACCAACAGCCGCCCCATATGACCACTATACCACATGCTTCAAAGTTAAAAGGGACATAAACGACTGAGTACTCCATTAGTCCTCGGTACTCTGGTGACTTGGTTTCGTATATATTTATCTATCTCGCCAAGGCGATCCGGGGATTCAAGACACCTGAGTAGCCAAGGCATATGGTACCCGGTCCAAGGTTGTCAGAGAGGAGTATGTGCAAGGCTATGGTAAAGGGCTGATCAAGGGAATTAAGTACACATAAACAAAAGGACAACCGCAGGATGAACAAACGACCAAAATACAGACGCCAGTGCAATGCCAAACCAAAGACACAAACAGATAGAGAAAGACAGAGCCAGACGAGAAACTGAGGGATGCATGGCAGCAGCGGGTTGTCCACTGTCATCGTACCGCTCCGCCTCCAGGCCCTCCGCCTGCTGTTTTGCCGGCGGTGGTATTGTAAGTGCCTGGCATCGGCTGCTGCTTTCCAGATGTTTGTGTAGGTGGAGCAGGCATCGGGATCGGGTCGTCGTCATAACCATAGTCCAACTCATCATCTCCCAACTGATCCATATATTGACTGTCGTGCGCTGGTTGATGAACTGGAGCCGCTTGTGTTGCGGCCTTGGTGGCATTCTTGCTCTGCTTCTTGCCCTTTCTTCCCTTCAACTTAGCTTTCTCTAGCAATCTCCTTTTTTCTGCCAGTCGACGACGTTCCTTCCGATCCTTGATTTCATACTGTCGAATCAAAGCATGTGGTGGCTGACCAAAAATACTTTCATATTCGCAGAACTCACAAATCCAGATGTCTTCGGGGGCTGGAGGGTGTTGAAGATTGTTGTACTCCTGCTGAAGCTTCCTTTGCCGAGCTGCAAGAGCATACACATCCCCTCTTCGCCTTCGAGGCTTCTTGCCTTGCGCATTACTGTTGCCTGCCGCGGGAGCTGCTGTGCCGGCTTGCTGTCCACTCTGAGAAGCAATATTGGGACCCGTTTGGGTGGTTTGTGTCGAGTGCTTTTGATTGGCGACAGTTTGTGAAGTGTGTGCAAGATTGTTGGCTCGCTGATTATATCCTGGCGAATAGAGACTTTGTTCGGGGAAGGTAACTCCCTTTGCCTCGGTCTCACAAGTAAAGGTGAATTGTGAGTTCGTAGGGGCAGGTTTGGCTTGTTGATCCAACACCCCGACATTCTCCTGACCTTTGCTTAGAGGTTTGCGGAGAAGGGCTGTGGCATTGGCGATGGCGGCAGAAATGATCCCTTGGTCTTTCGATTCTTCAGCTGTCTTTGTCAGTCTTGATCGATTCCATTTGTAGCAAAGCGTGACCTACCCCTGGCATTGGTGCTCATGTTCTGGTCATACTTAGACGATCCAGTGCGAACATTCGTGCCATTAACTGATACGCCCAAGGGATTTCGACCTGGTAGTTTTCTACTGTTCCGGCCCCTGCCAGCGCCTTGTACACCGAGGCCAGAAGCACTCCCAGAGTGAGTTGAGGCATAATATGCATCATCAGATGCTCCGTTCTTCCCTCCGTTGATGCCCAAGTGTGCAAGGTCGTTTGTTAAAGATGAGTGATGCAAGCTCAGACTTCCAGATGTCGGGATTTTCCGTTTCTTTTTATTGTTCGTGTTTTCAAAGGCTTCGTAGCCATCTGGACCAGACCCAGCATTTTTAGTGCCATACTTTGTCGCTCTTGAAGATCTGGGAGAATTTGGAGAACTGCGATATGAGGTTGAGTGGCGAACAGGACCCAACGAGTCATCACCAGAGTCTAGTTCGTCATCATCTTCATCATGATGGCAGTGATGGTGGTGATGGTGATGGTGGTGGTGCGGGCAATGGTCATGGTCATGATCGTCATCGTAGTGGTCATGGTGGTGGTCATGGTCGTAGCCATCGCTGTGGTTTGACAGTATCACCTTACTCTGATTCATAAACTCGCCGTTCTCACCATAGTGTGTGTAAGTGGGGAGGCTTGTCGAAGGCAGGGTTGGAGGATATGTAATGGCCTCCACGGCCTCTTGAGACAGACGAGATTTGAGGGATCGTCGAGGAAGAGGTCGAATAAGTCGCTCGGGGAAGACAGTGGATGGCGTGTCAGGGGACGAGAGGTACGAGCCATCTGATAGTGTAAAGTCAGACTAGCGGACATCCCAGAAGTGAAAGGAAATGGCTGAACCAGTCAAATGGTGTATAGAAAACATACTGTAAGACATCTTGACGCCCGTCCTTCTTCTAGCAAAGTAAAATGGTCCTCGTTGACTCCATCCACCTCTTGGGGGGGATTATTCTTCGAAGGTGGGTTCTGCACAAGGAGCATTGGAGTCAGTGCATGTCCCTGACGAATGAATGGTAGAGGAGGTCAAGGACCAAGAGAGGATTCATGCCGTGGATTGAAATAGAGTAAATCTCGAGATGGCGATAAAACATACCCCCGTAAATTATTCAGCAGATTGGTGTTCACGCCGATTTGCTGTCCTCGAGGTGCAGATCTGAATGGACGGCAGGAAGGGATTCCGATTCAGGGGTGTAGGGGGAATTGAAATGCAAGAGAAATACACAAATCCCAAAGGTCAAAGATGGATTGATCCTGAGCTCGAAATACAGATGCAGATGCAGACGCAGGTTGAAAGTGGCCGTGGTGGTGGTAGAACTCGGAGACTGGAGTACGTTGTAGATTCAGTTGACTGGCCGTGGCACACTGGCAGTTTCTACTACGGCCGCCAAGCCATTACGGCGACACATCTGGCCAGTATTCACATCCCTTCATGCTATACCACTGGCGCCACTACTACTGCCATTGTGCGGAGTACTAGTGACTACAAGAAGGAAAACACAATGACCAAGATCCTACATTAGGTATCTAGGTTGTACATGCACTGGGCACTGGCAGTCACAATTATGTCTCTTTTCCCACTACTGCAATATCCAGGCTACCTATTCCCCAGCTGTTCGTTGTTGACCCCGCCAGCCCTTGCAGGTATATACCCGAACCGCCTTTTACCAATCCTGCATAGGCGGCCCATGCTCATGTCGTCCAGCAAATGCGATCTCAAACAGCAGCAATTTGATCATTCCAGGCGAGTATCCGCTCAGCGCTATGATTTCCGAAAGCAAAACATATCATTTGTGGAGAGAACAGCCGACGGTGTAAAAGGATGGAGTGGACAGAGAAAGTGTGCATCAAAGTTTCAAACGTTCAAACGTTCGTGCTGCCACGCTTTCGACGCGAACGCCTCTCACTTGTCTCACTGGCAGAACTGCCATTCGTGCTTCGAGCTGCGATTCGCTTCGCTCGACGAGGCTCATCTAACACCAGGTCATTATCGTGCTCGGTGGACGGCTCTTCGGATGCTTTTCGTTTTTTGCTCGTTCTCAGGCCGTCCCCACTTGCAGGCTTCGTTTTCGCATTTCCATTGAGGTGCCCTTTATACGTGGGCTTGGTCGAACCGTTCTGGTGCTGCTTGGGAACTGGTCCGCTGGAAGTAGGTGGTGTTTGTTGGCCTGGCTTCAACCGCCGTCGCTTTCGAGGATTTTCATCGTCACTGGCCATTGATGAATCGATAGTAGCATCCATCACCTGATTCAGCGTTGTCAGGCGCTTCTGACTGGATGAATTCGTTGCTTCTCTTCCACTGCCACCATTCAACTTCGAGTTGCTGATGACATCGATGTCTTCGACTTGAAGATCCGACGTCATGCTTGTCACTGAATTGACATCTCCGACATCATCGTCAATATCTTCATCGTAATCTTCATTCTCGCTCACACTGCCTTCCTCTTCGTATTCATCATCATCTTGCTGAACAGGCTCTTGCTCGAACGACTTTTGCCGCTGTGGTTGCAGGCCCATATCGGCTAGACCGAGATCTTTGGCCCAAGATTCATCGTTGTCAACGACATCGGTTCGGCGACCCCAACCATCGTCCTTGATTGAGAAGACCTGCCTCCAATTCTTCATGAGAGATATCCGATCGCCCTGGCCGACGGTATGAGTGGGGGGCTCCGTCCTTCCAGGCCGTGCCCACACAGTGCCTTTGATCGATCGAGTGATCAGCTTTGTTTCGTTCAGATCTAGTTCAGGTATATCTTTGGTCTCAACCAACTTCCGTTTCTTCCCGCGTTTCCTGGATGTTTGATGCTCGACGAAATCTCTATTCTCTAACGCAGAATCATCGTCCATATAGTCATCACTATAATACTCCCAATCGCTGTGGTACTCTTGAAGCTCGTAACCAGCAATTTCATCCAAGTAGACCGGGCTGTGAAGTGCATGTTCGGCCAGATCATCGGCCAGTTCAGGAGCGGGGTCCGCGTCGTACAAAATGTCCTCGAGGTCATCATATGGAGAATAGGCATAATCCTCGAGGTCGGACATATTCGGTCGCCGTAGACGTGATCATTTGACGCTTTAAAGCGTAGCGGGTCTTGTGTAGAGGAAGGAATCGAAAGCCAATTCACGCTCAGCGCGGTGGAAAAGCGTAAGCACAGTGACGATCTGATGACCCAGCATCCGTGTTCACCGTGAGATAGTCAATGTTCGATGGATTAATTCCTGGGGGTGTTGGTAAGGAGCACGTCAAAGGAATCCAGTCCAAGGCGCCACCAGGTATGAGCAACACGACAACATTGAAAGCCTTCCGCAGGACAGGTTCCAGCGACCTCACGTGGTCGAGGCGGGAGATGCTTGTGGAGAATTACAGCAAAGAGGGGGCGGTAACATTCTATCACGTGATAAGAACACTTCGGCGCTCCTATAATCTGCCGGACTCGATTTTCACAGGCACGGCTTCTTCCCCGCATATCTCAAACGGGGCCGAGAGTAACCGCGCCTGATTTCCGTGCTGATCAGTGAAACGGACTTGTTATTATTGCACATTTTACCTTGAAGCACTTTCTCTTCCCATGCATGAGCCCTTTGACAACAAGAATAGTTGAGATGATGGCCTCTCGTAAATTGCTTCGAGCTGCTTCGTGGCGTTGCAAACCAGTCTCCCGCGTCCGCCTCACATCTCTACAGGCTCGCTCTGAACACACCAGCACCAGCACCCGCACCGACTCTGATATTAGGTCCTTGGATTCCATCCTCATAGCAAATAGGGGTGAGATTGCCATCAGAGTCAACAGGACTGCAGCCAACCATGGAATTCGAACCACCACTCTCTATACCAATCCAGACGCCCTTTCTCAGCATGCTCATTCTTCTCCCTTCTCCTTCAACCTAGGTGCTACTGCCGCCTACCTCGATCAAGAAAAGATCTTGAGAATCGCAAAGGAGCAAGGATGTCAAGCAATACACCCAGGTTATGGATTCCTGTCCGAAAATACAGAGTTTGCCAAACGGTGCGCGGAGGAGGGCATCACCTTTATTGGTCCACCTGCGAGCGCAATCGAAGATATGGGTGACAAAGCTAGGAGTAAGGAGATCATGAACTCAGCGGGTGTTCCATGCGTACCTGGATACCACGGCTCCGATCAAGCACCAGAAACACTAGCAAAAGAGGCCGAAAAGATTGGGTATCCGGTCCTTATCAAAGCTGTCCGAGGGGGCGGTGGCAAGGGCATGAGGATCGCCAAAACAGCCCAAGAGTTCTCAGATATGCTTGACAGTGCAAAGAGCGAAGCTAGAAATTCCTTCGGCAATGACGAAGTCCTTGTTGAGAAATACATTACTACCCCACGGCATATAGAAGTCCAGGTCTTTGCCGACAAGCATGGAAATTGCCTGGCTCTTGGTGAGCGAGATTGCTCCATACAGCGACGGCATCAAAAAATCCTCGAGGAATCTCCCGCTCCTAATCTGGATGACTCAATACGAAAAGATATTTGGGGGAAGGCTAGAGCTGCGGCACTTGCTGTCAAGTATGAGGGAGCCGGAACTGTCGAGTTCATCTTTGACAATGATTCAGGGGAGTTCTTTTTTATGGAAATGAATACCAGACTTCAAGTCGAGCATCCTGTTACTGAGATGGTGACCGGCCTCGACTTGGTACATTGGCAGATCTTGATTGCAGAGGGTCACAAATTACCCTTGACCCAAGGCCAAGTTGAACAAGAAATCTTGAAGCGAGGCCACGCTATGGAAGCTCGAATCTACGCTGAGAACCCCGACAAGGGCTTTATCCCGGACTCTGGAAATCTCCTCCATGTCAGCCTTCCCAAAGAGACAGAAGATGTACGTATCGACAGTGGATTTGTCCAAGGTGACGAGGTATCCAGCCATTATGACCCGATGATTGCTAAGCTTATCGTTCGGGCTGATACTAGAGAGGCTGCTCTCCGCAAATTGACTGTGGCTCTTCAAGACTACGAGGTCGCAGGCCCTGTGACAAATATCGACTTTCTCAAGAGAATATGCAGGTCACCGGACTTTGTGGCTGGTGATGTTGAAACAGGGTATATCGAAAAGCACCGGTCAGAGCTTTTCCCGAAGGCTTCAGTCAGTGACGAGGTACTAGCTGAAGCTGCTATAGCTTCATTCCTCCAGTCGACAAAGCAGAGTTGTAGATCCTCTCAGCCATCAGCCCAATCATCATCTCCCTCTTGGCTGACAACATCCACGGACTTCCGACCACGATCCTTCCACTTCCAATCGGCGGACTTCGAGCCAGGTCCAGGTAAGACTCCAGATGTGTACTCTGTCGAAGTCCACCAGACGAGTCCAGGACAATTCTCAGTTTCCACACCATCAAGCTCTTCACCTATGGCAGTGACCTCGACACTAGACCATTCGACAAACACTCTCACGACCTACTTTCCACAGACTCGGCACACCTCACGAGTTATATTCTCACCTTCTTCCGGGGCAATTCACCTTTTCACCCCGGTGGGGTCGTACCGTTTGCAACCATCGTCACCAGCGTGGCTCGCCAAAGCTTTGGGTGTAGTGGAGAAACCGAATTCTTTGCTCTCACCTATGCCAGCCAAGATCCTTCGTGTTCTGGTTCAACCTGGTGATAGAGTCAAGAAAGACCAGCCACTTCTCGTGATTGAGAGTATGAAGATGGAAACGGTAATCCGCAGCCCTGCGGAGGGAGTTATTGTCAAGCGAATCGTTCATGGCGAGGGTGAAGTCGTTGGCAGTGGCGTTGAATTAGTCGAATTCGAGGAACAAGCACACGGGGAAGACCAAACTGCTTGAGCGGAGACCAACTGACCAGATGATTCTGTGGGCAGCTCCGACCAAATGTTGCCAGCAAGTGCCACAGCGACTCCGACTAGTTTGCAACTATAACTTGGCGTCTGACTATCTGAGCAAGCATGAGCTGCCGATATCAGCAGGGCCAAAGTGCCGCGGCCAGGCACCGAAGGAGACCTGCCGATTCTTAGCATGGAAGCCGAGTTGTGCTGACGATTGCCACATGAAACTGGGATCGAGTCGTCTCCTTTTTACGCAGATCTCACATGGAATCCTGTGCCTGGATACATTGCAGTATCAAATTGGTTGGCCCGAGGACCAAGTCCCCTGCAAAGCGCCAGGAAACGCGCAGTTGGTGGTCACGTAAACAAGACGGGTGGTGCTTGAAAACTGGCAGAATCACCATCCGAAGACTACTGAAACCTTCCAAGGTGGGAGACGGAAACGCAAGCGCCACAGTGGATTATTGGTGCAACTTATGTCTTGAGCGCCAGACCAAGCGATGCGTTCAGTCAACACTCGAAGACAGAACAGATAGTTGGCGGTCAGCACCTCGGAAAGGCAGCGTGGAGCGAAACTCATGTCCGTAAAGTTAGGCAGTAATAACGCAGCTCATAATCCTTGAACTCACAATTGCCCGTCAATGCAATTAGCTGTTGAAGATGCGAGCCGCAAGATTTACAGGATCGACATGATTCTTACCCGTGTGTGCATGACTTTATCCTAGGATTAGCCGTGGTTCAGCACTTCGTACATACATTTACGGACGACACCAACGATGTTTATCTGGCGAAGCCGAGACCCATAAAAACCCGCGTCTCCCTCGTGATCTAATACTCGGGAGACTGCCAGGTCCATCGCATTGTCGCCGATGAAGGAGGGAGCGGGAGCGCTATTGATGATACCTGCGAGGTAGGTACTCCGTACCAGGATTGGGAAAGGGAGTTTCCTATTAATCCGCCAATTTCCAGTACAGATCAGCGGAGCACCCAGATTACAGCCTATTGATTGTGGGGGAAGGTGGGGTGAGGAGGAACGATAAGTCGGACGTGGGAAGGAACCCTTGATCGCAGCACACACAGATCCAGGTATCGAGGTACGGAGTATAGGCCTACTGTACTGTACCAATAAGCTCGTTTGATCTCGAAGTTGTACAATGGACAGTGCGGTCAGCACGGCCGTGTCCAGGAACATCCACTACTCCTCCACCCCAGGGGTGGGTAGCCTGGTGTGTTGCTGTGACTTGGTACGGAGGAGCCGCGGATGCGATGCGCAGGCCCCAGCAGACTCGCGGGTGTTGGGACCGCATACACACTTGAGGGCGTCTTGAATTGGGGTCAATAGGCTGTATGCGTCTTCACACAGCACGAGATCAGCGCTTTCAAGAAGGATAGACGCATGGCGATGAAAAGGGGGTCAGCTAAATCTGGTCTTGTAGGCCCTCAGATGTGGAGTTGCGGAAGAGATATGCAACGATCGCATCACTCTCCATTTCTCCTCTGGGCTACTAGGGTAAGCCACCTACCTACTCGTAAAGTAGTCTGCTTGCCATTTGACATGGCGACGTACGTACTCATCTAATATGAGGGTTTGGTGCCGTTTGCGCGCGAAGACATTCGCTTGCCTTCGTTACTAAGTGTTGTCATGAAACAACACAAAGCAAAAGGCCCACCAGGCAAGACAAGATGTAGATCACGCCTGAAACCTTTTCCGAAGGCCAATGCGACTTCGTTCTCAGTGTCGGGCAGCGGTTAAAGGGGTTGTTATGAGGTTCCAATAACCGATACCTGATCGTCAACCCAGGAAAGTTTAGATGCGGCCAACCAGACGTTTATGCACCCATCGATCTCGAAGGTACGGAGTCAGTGCCGAGAACTACGATCGGCGGCGTCCCTACCTAGATCGTGGACTTTGTTGGGTTCGGGGACTTACTCCGGAATGCATGAACATGGGAATCTTTCAGAATTTGGGCAACCCCATGGATACCTCATACCTTTATGCTTGCAGCAATCGTGAGTCGGAACGCCAGGGTGTACGGAGAAATGCTCGGGTGGCTTTGACGCGAGAAGAATTCGGAACTGACCACCGGGCATGGTATCTTAAGCAAGATGACTAGGTTTGCGCAAACAACGCCATCTAGCAGGACCAGCCGAAGGAAGATATTCTTCTTCGGTGGCAGCAAAGAAGAGCTTGCTCTGCCCTGCTTATTCTTGTATGACACAATTAGCATATGACGGTAGGATTGGCACTTGAGGCCTAAGGATTGAACTTGAGGAATTTAGCCAACTTCTGATGCCAGGTCCCCAGTCTAATCTACATACCAGATCCGCAACGGTGCCTTTGGCTCGGGCCCAGAACAGGAAGAAGCTCGACAGGCACACACATACGTAGAGACCGGGATATTTTCCGGCGGGGTATATGTTTGGTTAAGAAAGTGGATAGATAAAAAAAAATAGAAGGACGGGAATCGAAGGTATTGTGTTTGATGGGTGTATCCCTGGCCGGTCCCTGGTCGGAAGGGTCCTCGATATAAGCCTCCTCCGTCATCGTATCACCACCTTCGGGACAGGTTGGACATGGAACAAACCCTGCTGCGTATTACGGAGCAGTAGCTGTGCCGCAGTGTGGAATTCGTCGACGTTGATCTTGCTGTTCTTTCGGGGGCTTGTAACCGACGGTGCGAAACTGTTGACGTGAGAATCCCACTGAGCAAGGCAATGCTACAGTACCTAGCGTAGGAGAAACACCCTTGGTCAATTGCTTCACTGCCCCTCCAAAGCATGTATCTCAGGCACGAACTTTATCCTTGATGCGAGCAAGGCCACGGCGTAATCAGGACAACCGTGCCAAGTAGGACTCCGAGGCTGGGTAGAGTTGAGGCCGTGCTTTGTCGTTTTCCCCTCACCAATGACGACAAGGCTGGGCAGGTACTGAAGTTATTTGGATGGTGGCAGTGCCGGTTGAAGGAGTGTGGTCTGTGCTCAAGGATTGTGGAAGAAACCGGGGGCGAGCATACTTGGTGGTTACACTGGGGGACGTTTAGACGGAAAAGGAACAGTGTAGAACACCAACCATGGAAGCCGCCTGCAGGAGATTCCTTACGTCCAGGCCTCCTGGCATTGAAATAGAACAGTTGTGAGGTGTCGAGCGACTCGTTCCTGGAGTTGGGAAGAAACGACACAGGAGTGACGATAGCCTCGGTGGCGAGCTCCCGGCAAGGCGGGCTTCTCCATCCTTCAGAACTGGGGTGTTACAGGTCCCTTGTTTTGGGGCGAAGCCACGAAAGAGATCCTTGCTGAGATTGAATGAAGCCTGTGTGGTGGCTAGTACAGAGTAGTGCGTCGGGAGCGTAGGATAGAGCCTGCCCAAAGTGATACACCAAACACCGTGTGAGGAATGCTGCTTGTCCTCGTAATTGGTATCTCTGGTCAAGCGATAGAAAATGTGATCGATACTGTAGACGAAAGGGCGTCGCGCATCGCTTGAATGGATGGATGTCTATTAAGCACGATGAGTAGATGCTAAATTGGTGCTCTTACTATTGATTCGAGCGTCAGCTTCAGGTACAGACATCCTGATGGCATTGGTCTCGCTCGTATGTAGGTCCCTAATCCACAGGCCCAATGGATCCTCCAGGCGCAGGTACAAGGGCCCTTTCTCCATACCAGTCAGTCGCATGATGTATCCGACCCATTATTGCTGCCTCACAATGCTCCGAATGGGCCTCTCAGAAAGTGAGGGTCTCCCGCTACCGGGGCACACGCATCATCGCTTCCGCGCTTCGGGGAAAGACTGGAAGGCCTGCTGCCGGCAAGCAGATCGAGCCTTGAGTGGCAGGCTGGCAGCAGATTCCAGGGGATCTAAACCCGCTCCGGTTATACATGCTCGAGAGCCGGGCATCTGGGGCTCGTGGTCGACAAGGAGGCGCCCAACTGTGCCCGAGGGCCCCTCGGGTCCTTGACCAGGCCCATAACCCCCTGGGAATGATCGTCGTGCCGAGCAGGGATCACCAAAGAGGTACTCGACGACATCGCGAGCTCTGCCTCACTAACGGGGAACCACTCGACCCTTAGCACGTCCCAGCCAACCGGTTGGACTCCAAGCTATCTCATAGACTTACCTAGTGGGAGGTCCTCCGTACGCTTCATGCACCGCTACAATGACCCGTGCTCCGTACCGGTACCCCCAGGACCCATTATTTTTCAATCGGTGATCGAGGGTGTCCTTTTCCATTGACTTCCATCCTGAGTCCGGCCTCTTGTTGACAAGCGCCTCGACTAACTGCACCTGGGAGACAGGCTAAACCCATCTCATCAAGATGGAATGCAGGGCTAACACGTAGCGGTGCAAGGTGCAGACAAAGCGAGGCAGGCTAAGAATTTTTTCAGAAAAAAAAGTCGCACCGACAGGACCTTGCTTGCCGGTAGTCAACCTATAGTCCCATAAGCCCAGCAGTCAATCAGTACCGAGTCTGTACCAATAGAGTCAATCTGCTACTCGTACTTCCGTAGAAGCTGGCAAACATATATCAGGAGCCCCACTTCAGGCAAATGGGAAGGAGCCAACCGTCCTCTGTGTCGTCGTTGCCATCCAAGTCGAACCTGAAGCCCAACAATCAACGACATCCAACAAGCTTATTGCCACCAGTTCTACGTCTCACTGCCTTTGCCTTTGGCCCGCCTCGCCTTTCGGGTTGAAGACCACACGTCTCCCGGCTTCAGTGGGTCCACGAGCAATACGAGCAGCTGAACGAGCCTTGCTATCAGCCTACCACCAACCACCAACCACCCTACGGGAGGACAGTTTCACGATCGGACGGGCCGACGTAGTTCTGCACCAAAGCTCAATCAATTCCAACCAACGCCCATTCGGCATCCAGAAAGGGACTTAATTACTGCCGAACCTCCCATTCCATCCGGCGTGCGCACCTGTCATTAAGTCAACTCACGTCAGGTCGGACTAAGAACGTAGCGAACCGTCCTTGCCCGCACGCCATCTCTGCCACCCAAAAACTCAAGAAAGGAGCTCTGCAAACGAAAGAGATTTTTGAACTTGTCCATATCGACCACCCGACAAGAGGAAAAGCATTCCTGCTCCACCGTCCCAGAACCTCACATCTGAGCCGCATCTCAAGGAGGGTTTATCTATCTACCAGGCTCGGTGAATCCTATTGTCTCTTGCGGTGGGAGGTCTCTGAGATGTAGTAGGCTGGGCGAGATCTCGGATCAATTTATTTTCTGCGTCCTGTCTACGACCAAAATCCATCAACTCCTGGTCCCGTTTCGTCGCCTGCAGGCTTGAGCGCGCGTGCGTGCCTCCAGGAGCTAGGGCAAGCAGGAAGGTTGTGGGGGAAGGAAGAAGGCCTTACACGAAATCCGAGAATTTGTGGCGTGTTGTGTGGGAAAGGAAGCGAAGAATGAGTGCCCAGCAGAGGTAGGCATCAAATCCCATCTGGCGCCTTACTGATCCTCTTCCGTCCGCTCCCCATGCGAAGATGCGATCTCCACGGCGGATGGAGGATGTGATGGGAAGAACCATCTGCTGACCTGGGCGGCTTTCGATTTTCTAGGAGAGAATACCACATTGTTGTGCTCGGCGCTGGTACGTACCCAAAAACTTACCCGTTGTACTTTCATTTACAACACACGTCTATTCCTTGAAACCCTGGAAAAATTAACGAACTCGTCGATTTCAACAGGCGGGGTTGGCAAAAGCTGTCTCACGGCCCAGTTCGTGCAAAACGTCTGGATCGAGAGCTACGACCCGACCATCGAAGATTCCTACCGGAAACAAGTTAATGTGGATGGCCGACAGATCATGCTAGAAATGTGAGTTCGAGGACCCTTGCTTCACGTGTGAACTTTCTGCTATTCTTGTTTACAATTCTACTGTCCCCCCGATGTTTGAAGCCCAGCCCGAAAGAAACCGAAAACCCTGGCATGGCGCCAAATGGCTAACTCGGTTTCTCAACCTTTTACCAGTCTTGACACGGCGGGCACGGAACAGTTTACTGCCATGCGAGAGCTGTACATGAAGCAAGGACAAGGATTTCTGCTTGTGTTCTCGATCTGCAACATGAATTCCTTCTACGAACTGGCTGAGCTCCGAGAGCAGATCATCCGCATCAAAGACGACGAAGACATCCCCCTGGTCGTGGTCGGCAACAAATCAGATATGGAAGACGAGCGAGCCGTGCCCCGGGCCAGAGCCTTCCAGCTCGCTCAGCAGTGGGGCCAGAAGCCTTACTACGAGACCTCGGCCAGGAGGCGGACGAACGTCGACGAGGTCTTCCTCAATCTCAGCGCTCAGATGCTACAGAAGGACGCCGGACAGAACCAACTGCATGACCAGCAACTGGCTTATCGGCGGAGGGACCGACCGAACAGGCAGGATCGCCGTGGTAGGAGGCCCCGGAATCGAGACCGGTGTGTCATCTTGTGATTACATTTGATTACTTTGGGCAGTTATCTTTCTAGTAGAAAGGTTAGCATCAGTGCATCAGTGGGCTTGGGATATTTTGAGGGCAGATGAGGCAAAAGGTTCAACCAAAGCATCAACTTGGCGTTGTAACGAATTAGAATGGGAACGAAAAGGCCACGCGAGCGAAAGGGGGACCATCCATCCTCGAGGGAGAGAGAAAGGGAAAGAGTGCACAAGGAAACTAGGCAGAAGACTTACCGACTCGCGACGTAATGGACAGAGCAGCAAAAGCAGACCAGATGATTTGCACGCAAGCCCTTTCTCGCCTGGTTAATGTCTTGATGCCTGGCTCGTTGATGAGACTGTCTTCGCCTTCCCGAGCTTTCTATCCATTTTGCCTGCTGAATTATTATGTGGTGGCGAACCAACAGCGTGGTTCACTAACCGAGTCGCAAGGTAGAAGTGTGAAGCGGATCCAATGATGACTTTCTCCCTGGCTTTTGTTTTTACATTCTGAACACACCGAACTTGGTGCTTGCGTCCTCGGTGCGCCCGCCCAACGCAGCCTTGAGGCCAAGGCCGAGCATGTGCCTCGTCTGAGCGGGTGGAATGATTCCATCATCCCACAGTCGAGCGGAGGAGAAGGTGGCGTCGCTCTCACGCTCGATACGATCCCGCAGTTCGGGATCCACCGATTTGCCCACGGTCTCCATGACGGCGGTCAGCTGATCAGCACCCATGACACCGATCTTTGCGTTGGGCCACATCCATAGGAACCGTGGCGAGTACGCGCGGCCGCACATGCCATAATTCCCCGCTCCGGCGCTTGAGCCGATGACAACAGTGAATTTGGGTACGTTGGCACAGGCGACGGCGGTGACGAGCTTCGCACCGTTCTTGGCGATGCCTCCCTTCTCTGCGTCGGCGCCAACCATGAATCCTGAGATGTTCTGCAGGAAGACCAGCGGGATGTTGCGCTGGCAGCAAAGTTCAATGAAGTGAGCACCTTTGAGTGACGATTCAGAGAAGAGGATGCCGTTGTTGGCGATTATACCGACCCGGTGGCCGTAGATTTTGGCGAATCCGGTCAAAAGGGTTGTTCCATAATCTTTCTTGAACTCGGAAAATTCGCTGCCGTCGACGATACGGGCTATGATCTCTTGCATTGGGATCTGCTTGCGAAGATTGGTGCCCACAATGCCAGCTAGCTCATCCACATCATATAGCGGCTCCTTGACCTCGGATGGGGCGGGCTGTTCCGCGGGATAGTTCAGGTTGGCCACCGACCTTCTCGCGAGGACGAGAGCGTGTGCATCGTCCACAGCGAGGTAATCGGTGACGCCAGATATCGAGCTGTGTAGCTCCCCGCCGCCGAGGTCTTCGGCAGACACGACTTCACCTGTCGCAGCTTTGACCAGAGGTGGTCCAGCGAGGAAGATGGTTCCCTGTTTCTGGACGATGATGGATTCGTCACACATTGCAGGGACGTATGCGCCTCCAGCGGTGCAAGGACCCATGACAACAGCGATTTGTGGGATTCCCTGGCTGCTCATTCTTGCCTGATTGAAGAAGATGCGTCCAAAATGGTCTCGGTCCGGAAAGACGTCTTTCTGATTTGGCAAGTTTGCACCGCCCGAGTCAACTAGATAGATGCATGGCAGTCTGTTCTGTTGAGCAATCTCCTGAGCTCGCAGATGCTTCTTGATGGTCATGGGATAGTATGTTCCTCCCTTGACCGTAGCGTCATTTGCTACGATCATACATGTGACGCCTTCGACCGTGCCGATACCCGTGATGATGCCGGCCGCAGCAATATCGTCGTCGTACATCTCGTGGGCAGCTAGAGGCGACAGCTCGAGGAATTGGCTGCCTGGATCGATCAGGGCTGTAACGCGATCTCTTGCCAGCATCTTTCCTCTTTCCACATGCTTGTCTCGCGCCTTTTGAGGGCCTCCCTTCTGAATTTTCCGGTGCAGCTCAGCATACTTGGTCATGATCTGGGTCAATTGCGCTGAATTATCCTTGAAGTCCTGACTGGACTTGTCGACCGCGGTGGGGAGGACGGAGATGGCTTGAGCATGTCGAGGATGGGTGAAGGTGGCCGCTGAGCGTGAGCACACACGATGGTGAGGGTGATGGTGTAGGGGTCTGCTTGAGGATCGCAGTTGTTGTTCTCTGAGTGCTCGCCCTAGAGTCCGCAGCACAGCATTGGTTGGTGCACAGGAAGACGCCATGGTTGGGTTGTGGTTCTCACTCCTACACTGCGCTATGCGTTCTCCCGTCGGGTACCTGTCGACACCTTTGGAGCAAGAGGATAGGATCAAGTCGGAGGATTGTACAAGAAAATGGCATTCCAATTGTATCTTGCAAAGGATGAGAGACGAGCCTCCCCACACCGTCGATAACCGAGGAGGAAGACGGGGAGCTGCTCGACTACGGCGGAGTATTGGGCCAATCTTGCCAGGCACCGCGGCTAATCAAGGTTGCCCTTTGGTGCCCATGGTCGCCCCTGCCTTCGTCCACGGTCCGCTCCCGGGCTCCTGCTCTGAGTACCCCGTACTTACTCGTACAGTAGTAGGGCAGCACCTTCCTCAGGGCCATCCTGTATGTCATCATCGGCTTCCATCTCAAACCACCTACGGAGGATTCCCTACCCGTATCTCCTAACAAGTGCACAGTAAACAACAATATCCTCATACGCCCGCTTCCTGCAGTGATACACTCAGGCTGCATCCTTCACTGGGTTCACAACCCGTAGTTCTCAGGATTGAACTAACACACATTCGCATCCGGCTCTCTCGGACTAATTAAGCTAGATAATGAAACGCGGCCGCGTCTCTCCAAAGATTTGCCAGATGGGAGACAATCGGCCAATGGGAGATTTTGTAGAAACCCAGGTGGGATTTAATTACACCTCGGTCTTGGAGGCTGCTCGTTCAGCTGATGTCCCCACGTTTTAGTCGCATTTCCGATCGCTTCTTCGGCCCCGACTTCGACAGCGAGCATTTAAAAGCAACACCTGGATAGTTCGAATCCTTGAATTGAGTGGAGTTGATTATATGTTGATTATATTCGCGGCTGCCTGAAACCCGGCGCTATAAACACCTTGTAGGTCCCGCTGTGTGCGATCTTGTTCACCAATTCTACACCATCGGAAGGTCGCTTGCATCACGACCCCTTCTTTGAGCCACTGAGAAAGGCGATCAATTCAACATACACGATGGCACCAGTAACAGAAATCGTCTATCTGCCTCTGCCGGAGGGCAAAGACCCGGCAGATCCAGCCAGTGGCCTCAAGCCCGTCCTTGACAAATCGTTCCAGACCATCTTGTCACAGCCAGGCGCGCAACGTCTTTTCTACGCGCAACAGAAGGAGAATCCCACCATAGCCACTCTTTTCATCGACTGGGACTCTGTCGAAGACCATAACAAATTCATGGCAGCTGAGTAAGTACGCCACAGATACGGCGAACAGGTAGATAGAAAGAACCCCAGACTAATCCAGACCTTTCCTCATCGCTAGCATCTACAAACCATTCATGGAAGAAGTCCTCAGCCTTGCCGCTGGCCCACCGTCCCTTCACCATGTGAAGTTTGAGCCGTTCCCGCCGTCCGATGGGCTCAAGCTAGGCGGTGCCACCGAGGTTCTCAACATCTATTTCCCAGCAAACTACTCCGCCGAGGACATCAAGACCTTCGACACGAACATCAACAAATTTGCAGAGATCGTCAATGACAGCTCGCCAGACGTCAAGGCCATCGCACATGGCTGGGGTGTCGAGGAAATCGACATCCCTGGCACCGATGAAAAGGGCATCATATACGTTGCGTTAATTGCATGGACGAGCATCCAGGCCCACATGGAGTATCGTGAGACTCAAGTCTTCAAGGACAACATTCCTCTGTTGAGAGGCGCAAAGGATCTCAAAGGAATCAAGGTCTTCCATGTGTCGACTGAGGAGGTGCTCAAGAAATGAAGTGGGTTGCTGATGGATAAGTAGAAAGGCCCGACGCAGCCATTATCGAGTCAATCAGACTCATTGTTATTGCTACATGAGGATAGCTTCAATCATTGATTCCATGACGCAGAATGCAACTTGGGCTGACCTGCTGAAATGTCCGAGCATCGCATCGCCCTCACGCCCGTCTCCCTAATACGAGAGAGAGAGAGAGAGAGAGATAGCTCTCCGCGATGAACCTAAAAGAACATTCCATACTCTATTATGTTCCCACGGTTTAGAACCTGGAAATGTCTTCCTTTCCTCCACATTATAGATAGCCCCCACGTCGTACCATGAATGCAGCAAAACTCATCGCAGAGAATGGTGCCGTAAAGCTAAGCTGAATCTCTGATGCCTGAGGCGTCTGAACGGGCTCACTCGTCGGCGTTGGCGTCCCCTTTCTCCTCTCCCTCCGCATCATCACCATCAAATCTCCAAGAAGACTCGCTCTCAAAGCCATGTTCGTTGATGCCGACCCCGCTTCCATACAAATCGCTCGTTTCCCGTTGTATTGTTCCAGCCCGAGAACAACCGCGATGTCCTTCCTCCTCCATCCGGGTCTCGAGATTTCGCAGAGCTTGCTCAGCAACAAACGCTCGGTAGTCCTCGCCGTTCACATTGACCTCCTTAAGGAGCTCAGTGCTTCTCATCAACTCCTGCTCAAGCCCACGGATCTTATGTGCATTCACAGATGCCTCGTACTTCAAAGTTGAGTTCTCGACGATGAGAGCGTGGATATCCGTGGAGGCATGTTGGACCGCCGCGGTCAGGTTCTGGACTGCAGGGTGCGAAAACTGTTCTGCCCACATTGGATTGTTCGCTGGGTGCTTGTTGAAATTCCGTCGAGCCATGCTGCCGGCGAAGATATGGCTCTGAGGGATGACTTCATCAGGCACGATCCGGCTTGGATGCGTTGGAGGATAGTCGGGGATCATCTGCTCGGCGAGGTTCTGGCTGCTTGGAGAAACCAGCCGCCATTCGCTGTGACCGACCTGCACGAGACGTCGTTGGCTGTCGCCAGCGAACTCGGCCTCGCTGAAGTCAGCCCAGGCACGACCGTCTGTTGTGCGAAAGCTCTCGACGGTGGGTTGAACGTTTGGTCGAATCTCGCTTTGGACGGCTTCTAGAATTGCTGCTCCTGTAATCGGAGGCTGGACGACTTCCCAGTTCATGGAAGAGTTTCGAACCAGGGTTCCACGAAGCTGTCTCTCTCGATAGGACTGGGTACTGGATGGGATAGATGGCAGTGAGGACCGTCGAGTGAAGTTTGGATTTGCTCGTACATTTCGGCTTCCTTCAGGCCTGGATTGCTCGCTGGAGTCAGCGCTATTGAAGAAGTCACCCTCTATTGCTTTCGGAACACTTGGCTTAGGCTGGTGTCGGTATACGTTGGTCTTTGGTTGAGTAGTGTGCTGATTGCAACGAGAGAGAGCATTGCCGGAACGTTGTGGTTTGGATACCTCTTTACATCGTCGAATAGAAACAGCAAGAGGATTTTTCTCTGTTGGAGTGAGCTCGGAATTGATTCGCCACATCGCAATGTTGTTTTCCTCACGACGGGCCTGCCATCTATCTGACATCTCTCCTAAGCTGCTCCGATCGAGGTCTGCAAGGCTAGAGCCAGGCGTGAGATTGCTTCTCACATAGCGGAGGATGGACCTAGCAACTGTCGGTCGGGTTTCTCGTTGCTGTTGTGGGGGTGGAAGACTGGACTTAGCGTCGGAACCGTCATCACTGGTCTCACCATCGCTGCAATCTTGCGCAATCTGGAAACGACGAGACGCTGGAGACGACTGTGCGCTCTCACGGCGGAACACTTGCGACGCCTTGCGGCCAACAGCGGAGAGAGATGGAGCCATGAGGATGGCTGCTGCCGTCGATGTTATACAACACCCACATTTTTTGGATTGGAATCTGACTTACTCAAAGAACTAGAGATCGGCACTGGCGGGTGGGTGGTATGATCCAAGACCTCGATGATAAAGTTGAAATGCGGTCGTTAGTAGACTGTAGGTTAGGAAAGTCGTGGTAGAGATGAAGAACATGATACATGATTGTAGTCCTTCAGAGTACACGGACTCAAAACAACCAGCAGGCAGTATCGCAGGAGAGGATGAGGCATTGCATCGCGTTCTTCGGCTGGGGCGAACAATAACACGACTGTTCCTCGCTGCCTCAACAAACAATAGGTGGCGCCGCGACCGTGAATATCAATGGTAGCCTCATAATGATACTCTGAATCACTATTCACCAATGGCATGTTGTAACTGAAGCAGATCGAACTGGCCAGAGAAAAAGGGCGCGATAACGTGCCACACCGACTCCTTTGACAGGTCATTTTCAAGCGTCTTAGGACGGATCACTTGGTCAGTTGGGTGGGATGATCGCCAGACCTTCAACGCAGGACGGTCAGGGCCCATTTTTTCTTTGTTCTCTCCTCCTTCATCAGGCACACCAAAGGCCGAATGCGGCAGAGGATATCAGATCTCTCCAGCAGTCAGGGAACATTTACCTTCATAGATCTTCAGGCGCTGAGTGTTGGCAATGCATCCCAGTCATCGGCTGCTTTGTGAAAGGCTGGGATTAGGACTAGGTTGGAGGCTGATAGAAGCTGTTCAGCCACGACTCGCGAGTCGCGACAATAGCAGATCCGCTAGCCGTAATTGGCATCGGTGGACCCTAGCGTCAACATTTAGTACCACTAGCGCTGAGACCCCAGCGCTAGCCATATATGCGTTAGCGCAGCACTAGCTCTTCAACTTAGAAACGGGCAAACAGACAAATGGGAAATCCGAAAACCACAAACCACAAACCACAAACCACAAACGACAATCCTCACTCAAACCTCAAACCACGACACAACATCTCCCCTATTCCTCATTCCCATCCCTATCCTACATATTCGTCTAGCTTTCACATCTCCGATTCCGCTTATTCCTTGTTCACAGGCGCTCGCGGCTTTATCACGACTTTTTTTTCTCCACGCACGACCTTCCAACCCCCAACCTCGACCGCTTCGAAGCGCACAACCGTTCGACCGTTAATGAAATCAAATGTCTACTGTGAATAATTGTTTTTTGGGCTAAGACTAATTGCTTCTCGTCACCCGCCCCGGTCCTGACTGTTATAAACTGTTTTATTTTCATTTCTTCTTGTTGGAGAGTCAATCAATTCCGCCACGGGCTTACGAGTAATTCCTCGTTTCTTCTTCACGCGGTCCATCATCTTTACGACGACAATCTCAATCATAACCAATATTCACACCTCAGGACCTCGCGCCCAGCAATGTCTGGAGGTAAGAGCACTCACGCACACAGACTCCTCGGTTTCTGTACTGGTCTGAACCGAGAACTGACTTCGTCGAAGAGACGCCAAGAGTCGTCCCGCTGACCTGCCATGGTCACTCAAGGCCTATCACGCACTTGAGCTTCTCCTCAATTGTCGACGACGATCAATATTATCTCATCTCTGCCTGTAAAGGTATGTTTCATCGTTGATGTGGCGATGCTCGCTCTCGTGCTGAGACGTATCAGACAACAACCCCATGTTGCGCGATGGCACTACTGGAGATTGGTAAGTTACATGATCTGGTTTCCATCGGACTCTACTCAAAGACGAGCTAGGATTGGAACTTTCATTGGCCATAAAGGAGCAGTCTGGTCATCGCGACTGTCAGCAGATGCCAAGATTGCGGCGACAGGATCGGCAGATTTCACAGCGTCAGATCGGATTCTAATCTTCCGAATCTTTACCAAACAAACTAACAGCCAACTAGGAGAATCTGGGACCCGCAGACCGGCGAGTGTCTGCACATCTTGTCGCACGAACATATTGTCCGCTCTGTCGCCTTTCCTCTCCAAGACAACCCGCAATGCGTCGTCACCGGTGCCCAGGACAAGAAGCTGAAAATCTTCGATTTGACCCGTGGTGGTAGCGCAGCCACTCCCGCACAGCTGGCCAACGGCAACAACGGCAACGGCAGCGGCAACCCTACTGTCACGCCAAGCACCACTTCCGAGGGCCATGAGATCGGCGTGGGCGAACACAACGGCAGCATCAAATCGATTGTCTGGAATGTCGACTACAACGTTCTCACCACCGCCTGCGACGACAAGACTATTCGATGGTGGGATCTCCGAACTCAGCGCGCAGTTTCCAGCTTCAAGACCGAACGCGACATCACCGCATGCGAACTCTCTACCACACGAGTCGACGACACTGATCCCGGAATTCTCAGCGTTGCTGCGGGCAACACGTGCTTCTTCTTTGACGCTGGACGACCCGGTGAAATGATCAAGAAGGTCAACTTCGACCATGACGTCGCAAGTGTCGCTATCAACTCGCAGTCCGGACGCTTCGTCACCGGCGGGGGCAAGGATACGTGGGTCCGAGTGTGGGATTTTGTCCAGGAGAAAGAACTCGGTAAGTCGTTCATCTCTTTCGTGGAAAAGTTCGCTCTGCAGCGAATATGGGCTTGCGATTGACTGACCGTGTTGGAACAGAGGTTTTGAAAGGTCACCACGGCCCTATCTGGTCAACTGCCTTCTCTCCAGATGGGAAGCTGTACGCCACCGGAAGCGAAGATGGTACTATCAAATTATGGAAGGCATGCAAGGAGCCCTATGGCCTCTGGCGTTGAACCGGGGTACCATCTAAGGGCCAGAGTCCGTCTACATCCGAATCAAGACAAAAGTCATCCATTCTTGCTCACAACCTTTGTTGACAATCCTTGAATTTCCAGTTGGGACTTTTTGTCACCGAGACTCGTCCTCTGTGTAACTGGAGGAATATTGTCGACAACAGCAAGTGTCAAGTCGAAAGCCCGCACCTCGACTGCGAGAGAAACAGAAGACATTGGAGCCTGACGCAGGGGGGAAACAGGGACATGCAACCCAAGGTCCTGGTGAACTCACAGCATCGCTTGAAGCTCAAAGCCACGGTTCAGCATTGGAGTGATATACCCAAGATATGGGCACAGTGGCCCTGTGACGATCTCGTCCGTAGCTCGGGGCTGGTGATCTTCTCGCACAAAAGTTCAATTTGAACTAGCAAATCTAGAATCCACCTCTGGCCTTCTGGAGGGCTCCGGGTAGCTACAACTCTGTTGATCATGAGGTATACTCTCCATTATGGTCGCGGTTCCCTCTGCCATTGCTTTGCTTTCGTGTCGAATCCTTTAGAGCGTGGGATTCAACGGTGACGACCCTCGGGACTGTGCCCTTTGTCGCACGACTTCAAAATGGGACAAACGCATGTTGCTGTAACACTTTCTTCATTTCATTCAAAGACTTCGCCAAGCCGTCCGTACGCGGGCTAACAGTGTGCTTGACAGTGTTTGCAAGTCCAGATTGTGTAGGCGACAGCAACGCTAGTCCGATCTGCTGGTCCATCCTGCAGGTCCATGTTCTGACCATTTTCACAATTTGCTGATTTGCTGATTTGCTGCCACCATCATTCGCGATGCCCTGAGCAGACAGCACTACCTCTCGCAACTGAGAGTTGAGATTTTCCGAGAGCATGGCGATCATCATCATGTACATGGTTGCCGTCGAGAAGGCGACGAAAGAGGGCCTGTCCACAGTTGCTCTTGATTTGGCATCAACATCCATCAGAGAAGAGCTGTATGCGCCAATGTGTAATTGGGGAAACTCGATTCAAGAGCTCCCATCTAGCGTCCATTTGGTTCGACCCTGCAGACAGGCCTGTATCTTTTCGAACACCGAGATATGGGCATCGGCCATCGACAATGGCAAGACAGTATCAACAGCACGGTCGCGTCATCCAGAGAGAGAAATCTAGGCTGGGTTTCCGTCCCCAGGACTTGAGTTTCTGGCATGCGACATCCCAGTCGGAGGTGGTCATGCTCGAGCAGCTCATCACACTCTGGTGAAGAAAAGGGATCGGATGCTCGCTTTGACATTGAAAGTCATCCTTTCATCACGTCTATGAATCTTTTGGTGAGGGTGAACATTTCTTCAATAATGTACACCTTTGCTACGCCAGCATACTTCAAGGTCGTGACACCTGTGCCCTGTGGTGTCGAAACAGAATTACCCGAGCCCGTTTCCCGGGTGTAGGAAGGCAGTTTAGAAGCGTGTTGAAAAGGGCAGTATTTAGGACTCCAAGCTCGCGGACGGCTTGTTCATACTTTGCCTTCCTGGGTTGGTTCCCTGCGTTTACATCGCTGGAGATGGGTTCGGTGAGCATCTCCTTAAGCGTTGGTAAGAATGTGTCGTGCAAGTCGGTGGTGCCTTGGGAGATGTGGATGACGTCTGAACAATAGCCGCTGTTGCATGGATTAGACCAGTTTGAAGAACAATATCGATTCCACTACGAGTACGAGTTCTCTTTGCCTTGGGTCAGGTCGGCTAAGTGAGGAGAAGGCAGGTGGTTAGTAGTTGAGAGGAACAAGGCTGAAATATGCCCACAACTCACGAGCGTGGCGCTGGCAAAACGGAGACTCGCTCACCAATTGCGAGTCAGGGGGTCATCGAAGATACTTCGGTGAATGATACATGCGAAAAAGAAAATGAAGCAGGCGACACAGAGATCTAGAATAACACGGGATGGCGGTTCTGGGGTAGCTTTGCGGCTTTATCTGTTTCTTCGTTGATGTCGGCGTTCGAGGTCAATGGTAAGAGCAGCTCTGATTGAGTGGAAGGGATCATCCCTATTCACGCTTCCACGAGTGGTGTCTACGGCAATGAGCACTATTATCCAAGAGCTCAACCTTGGGTCGAGCTATCTCTGGGCCATCAACTCTTTCCTCCTGACAAGCACATGCTTTCAACCGACTTGGGGACAGCTCGCCTAGCTGTTGGGCAGACGATGGGTAACACTGTTGTCTGTAGCCATTTTTGTGGTTGGCAGTGGGATTAGTGGCGGTGCTACCAACGAGACACGTTCCTCCTCGGTCGAGCGCTTCAGGGGACAGGCAGAGGCGGAATCAACATGTTGATTGACCTGGTCATCTGCAATTTGGTGCTTCTCTGTGAGCGACCAGGCTTCATAAGCATTGCAAATGCTGTCTTTGCCATTGGTACGCTGCCTCATATGCCACGGTGGCTAACTGCTAACCTACGGCCGAGGTAGGAACTTCAATTGGCCCATTTGTCGGTGGTGCTTTAGCCCAGAATCAGTGGAGATGGGTCTTCTACCTCAATGTCCCAATCGGTGTTGTTTCACTCACGTTCCTCTTCGTATTCCTGAACGTCACGAGTACGAAGCAGACTCTCTCGGAAATCCTAAGACGATTTGACTTCATCGGAAGCTTTCTTTCAATACCGTCGACCGTGGCAATCCTTTTTGCCCTGAACACCACAGGGGCAGTGCATCCCCGGTCGTCATGGCGGGTAACTGTTCTTTTGCTCCTCGGTCTGGTGGGCCTTTCTGCCTTTTATAACTATGAACCGACGGGGGTTCCCACTGACTCACTTATACCACCTCACCTGTTTGGCACAGGATTCCGCAATTGCGTTTCTCTCGACCTCAATTCATGCGACATTCAATCACCATTTTTCTCAGCACGTCAACGAGATCACCAATCCTCAAGTGCGGGAAGTGTTTTCTGGTGGCAATGCTTATGAACATGGCAACAAGGCTTTCATAACTTCGTTAGACCCCACTAGCCAATGGCAGGTTGTTCATGTCTTCGCTCGGCGCTTGACGATGGTGTGGACTGTTGGAATGGTCCTCTGTGTGGTTAATTTCTTGCCGATTATCCTGGAGAAATCTATCGACATGAGGAAGGAACTGAACTCTAAGGTTGGATTGGAGGATCGGCCATATGCAAAGAGCCTGGCAGTAGAGGAGGTCAAGCGCAATGGGATTGCAAGCTCGACTGTTTGAGGGGTTGAACAGACTCTGCAGTCTGGCCGTATCAATGGTTTTCTGTTCGCTGTCGAGTGTCTTACGCAGTAGAGGTATATTGTTCTCACTTGAAGGTCTCCCTTGTGTCCCCTGCATGGAATCGCGTCGCGTTGAAGTGGAATCACCTTGCCGGAGCATGTCATTACTCCTAAATACTCACTTTCAGGACGAAGTTGCCAAGATAAGGGGGATGTCCAAGTAGCACAGCGATGCCGCAACTTATCACCAGTGCTGCAAACAACGGACTAAACTCGCGGCCCTCGCATTATCGGCATCAGTAAACAGCTTAAGGACAAGCTCCCTACGTGACCTGTTGCTCTCCTGGTGGCTGAGAGTGAAGAACAATTCAATGGGCGCAAGCATGCCAATCCCAATGTTAAATGCCAGTGTAACTTCACCGATGAGGTGAAGACAGACTCTTTGACTCAGTTGCACAATCCGAATTTACATAGCGACAACTTGGCTGCCTGTGCCTGCATCCGTTCCACAGCTCCCAAGACAATGGTTGCATGACCTGAAATTAGAGGTGAGAATTGCCCCGGCTGAGGTTGACACCAAGCACAGTACAGAAGAATCCGCCTCCTGCAAGGTGCATATAGCACGTTATTACGAACGGGGGGCTTCAAAGGAATGGAATCGCAATTGGCATCCATCACCACTCCACTGCTCCTTTGGATTGGCGTTGGCGCGTTCCCCTATTCGTACGGCGGTCCTGTCGACACGTGGGAAATATGTAGGTCGCGATAAGCCGTCCGGGCATATGCTCGTCCTTATCTCGACTCTCAACACCGTGACGAGGTGCCTGAGCGGCGAATGCACCAAGTTTGCTTAGGCCCTTCGGATTGGGTTCAGGCCAAGGGCCGCTGGGACGAACCCGCGGAATCGGATCCAGTTCGTGCTCTTTACTCCAGCTCGACTTGGCCTCCTCGGCCAGACACCAGGTCTTTATTGTTGGATGAGGTTAGTCGGTAGGAAATACTACCAATTGACACTCTTCTCACCCCGGCAGGAATACGGACAGACAACTATACCTTGTTTGTACTCCGCACTCTGTCCCTTGGAGATTGACAGTGTCATTATGCTGTCGGGCGAATCAGACCCTATCTCACCAGTTTCACGCATTGCCTGGCAAGATGCGTGTCTCGCCTTTCGAACGGAGCAACTCCTGCGCAAGATTGACGAACGACCCGATCAACAGGGCTTTGCAGGGCTCTGAACGACGCTTGTAACTCTGTGGCTGTTGACCCATGGGCCCCCATGGCTGCCAGCGAGTGGCTCCTCGTTGATCTGTGGTGCCTCCAAGAATCGTCTACAGGGATGTTGCCCCTGGCACACCTTCCGGGCCTAGGTCGTCTTTTGCCTCTTACACAGACGACTGGGACTTCGCTAAATCAACGAACCGTTGACGCCGGTTCTCGGGAATGACCCACGACAATGAGGTTCACGCATCCACTCAACCTCCCCACCACCTCCTCCACCACCAGCGCTGCTATCCAAACGGGGTGAACTCGTCCCTCAGATCTTGTTTCTTATCACCGTCCTTGCCTTTCTTCAAACGACACTACTTGTCACCTTCTGTTTGGAACTGGTGCGCAATATATATTGATTTAGCCCGCTAGCTATCCAGCCTTTCGAAGTTATGCTGTCGATCACCAGTCTCTCTCCACGTAGTTCCTGTCCATCTATCTGAGATCTTACTTGGGTAGCAAGGAGCAAGGAGCAAGGACCGACGTCACCCAAGGCCGACTCGCCTGGCATCTCTACTTAGCAACCACAATGACCTCCTTCGCGGCAGAGTCGTACATTTGGTATGGCTTTACCCTCGCTCTAGTATTTGCGCGAATGTGAGTCATACTCGACCCTCTTTCCCAATCTAATATGTTGTTCGACGCACTGAACCAGCCAGGCTTGCGCGAATCCTGCATTTCAAGTCCGTGCTTCGGCTCGAAGTTGAAGATTGGTTAATGCTCTTTTTGACCGTAAGCTTTGTCTCACCGCGATAGATGGGTCAAATACTAATGGTGCTAGTGCCTCTACACCATCCTCATTGTATTTCTCAACATCGACCTCAGAGTCAGCACCAACCTCATTGACCCGGCACACCCTGTTGATTTGACGCCGCATGAAATCGATGAACGAACCTGGGGTAGCAAAACCATCCTCCTTGTCGAACAATGCATGTGCGCTGTTCAATGGGGCACCAAAGCATGCATGTTGCTGCTCTACTGGCGACTGACTCAGAATTTGAAGCAAAGCTTTGTCGTGAAATGTGCCGCCGTTTACGTTGCGGCGACATACGTGATTATGGAGATCCTGTATTTCGGCGTCTGGTGTAGACCGTTCCACGACTATTGGCAAACACCAACCGACAACAAACAATGCACCACGGCCCTTAACCACCTCATTACGAATCTTGTGTTCAATCTCACAAGCGACGTTTTGATCATGTCTATCCCTCTGCCGCTTTTCCTCAAAGCGCAACTGGAATTCAAAAGGAAGCTTCTTCTGATCTTCCCGTTCAGCCTGGGGCTGTTTACTATGCTTTGTGCCATCTTGAGCAAACAGAAGAGTTTTACTCAGCCATACAGTTCCGAATGGGTCTACTGGTATTGCCGCGAGGCAAGCACTGCCATGATTGTTTCCAACATGCCCTACAGCTGGGCTTTGCTACGCAGAATCTTCAATCTCAGATCCTTTCTCGGAGATTCGACGGCAGAGAGAATGCAAGGTGGACAGTTGAGACAGATCCATGGCTACAGCGCAGGGGCAGTCGGGTTGAGCAGCGGCCCACGATCGCGTTCAACAAGCAAAGCAGGAGAGTCTGGAGGAAAATTCTCTTTGAAACGATTGAAGCGGGATGGCAAGGAGAGCGAGCCACAGCATGGCTCATACGACCTCCAGGGAGGCCATCATGATCTTGAGTCCACCGAGAGCAAAGACATTCAAATTCGTGCAGCTCCTGCCTCGAGTATGACCAGTAGTGATGGATCTATCAAACGGCATTCTGGAGTGCAGCCGATACAACCCACTGACTGGACGCTCGACCGCTTGTACCCCTTGGACGACATCGAAGCTGGGACATTGAAGACAACCCGGCGAGAATATGAGCCGTGAGACTCAACAATGCCCGTGCCTTTGCAAAAAAAAAGCAAGTTGTTCCGATTCATTCATTTGGTGGGTCTGCTTGATGTTTACATTCGGCGTTCGATCACGCAACATTCGAGTTTGTAACCTCGCAATCAGGCTGTGGGTCTTCCCCAGCTCCCGGACCTCAGGAGAAGCAAGGGGACGCAAGGGGACGCATGGATTCTCTATCTGAACAAGGTGAACAAAGGCCATTGTTGCAATCTGGCCGGGCGGGCCGGATTCTGCCGCGAGGATCGGACTTGACCCCAAAGTGGAAAGGTTGGTCTTGGCACTGGCTGAGCGCGGAAAAATGACGCAGACGCAGTCGTAGCCTCACAGTCTCACAGCCAGACTTTCTGTCTTTGTCATTTTGCTCGCGAACAATCCGCCTCCATTGTTGACTGGCTCACACAACGGACTGCGAACTGTGCAAGAAGCCCAACTCCTTGTCGCTCATTTCTTGGAGGGAGGTGAGTCCGACTCTCTGCCCCGACTGCATCTACTCAGCGTTCTGTCCCACACCCTCGAGATACCCTCGCGAAGGAGCAATGGCTAACCAGACTCCAGCCGACACGCAGTCCACGCTATCAATCCATTCTCTTCCCTCCGCCCGTTCGGATCGACCGTCTCAAGATCCCCACGACAACTTGCTGGAGACCAACGCGCGCACATCTGCAGAACCTCCTCCGATTCCAGACCCAAGCTCCACAAAACAACATCAAATCTATGCTGCGATCAGACGGCGCCCGATACATGTCTCTCCAAGCATAACTTCTGCGGTGGATGAAGACGAGTCTGGCCTGTCGCCGATAATCCCGTCTCCACTGCGGGTCCGCAAGCCAACGCCTACTCCGCAGCCTACAGTACGGGTCCAAATGAAGACGGTCCGTCTCTTAATTGCTTCGTTGGGGAACCCTCCGCCTTACCATTCAACTCGACACTCCGCCGGCCATATCATCATAAAGACCATGGTACAGTCGCTAAGGCTCCCTGCACTGGTGAAAAACAAAACACTGGGGAATGGACTGGTCAGCCTCGGGGCGGATGCTGGCAGGTCCGAGTATACGTTTTGGCAGAGCACCAGCATGATGAATGTGTCAGGTGCCGGCGTGATGAAAGCCTGGAAGCAATTCTCTGCATTCCACAATGACAAGGATACCGTCACAGGCTTAATCATCTTGCATGACGAATTGGAATCCCACCCCGGTACGGTGAGGCTACGCCGTGGAGAGTCAAGCCCCAAAGGACACAACGGCATCAAATCGGTGCAGTCTTCGCTGAAATCGGCGGGGCTCTTGAGTGCGATGGGCGACAGGTTCATCAAGATTGCCATCGGGATTGGACGACCCATGTCGAGAGAACGAGACGACGTAAGCGCCTGGGTACTTGGACAAGTCACCCAGGTTGAGAGGGCTAAGCTGGACGCTGCGGCCGAAAGTGCTCTTGCTGTTATTCAAAGTGAAATCATCAAGCTTGAGAATAGCTGAAACGACGGGCAGCACGGATACGCAGACTCAGCATCTTCGCGGAAACCATCTTTTTGGTATTTTTCGCCCCAACACGGGTCCGCTGTTTTACCCGCTCGACGGCCCGATCTCTGTTGCTGCTACGGCATCATCTGATCTCTGGCGCCGCTGAAGCCTTGATGGAGTCGCCGCAACAAGCAACTCTCGGCCCCACCACCTTCCAGCTCGGCCGATGGACTGACGTCTGAAACCCATTGACTATACTGGCCGACTTTGCAATGGATGGATGGATGCGGCCCTACTAGTGCCCTCCCATCTTGCACTTGGTGCAAATGATTTCATGCCATTGACACACTCTCTAAGACCGAACCCGTCGGGTCTGGGCTTCTTTTGCATATACCCTTTTGATAGAACATGGTTTAGCAGAGCGTGGCGTCGCAAGTGAGCATGCTTGTCATGTTTGTACCATAGCTAACATTGGACGGATGGACCGTACGAGATCTCGATGTATTATAAATATAGTGATGAGCTTTCATGTTGAAACGAGATTTTCCATCTCCTTTTTGCACCCCACCTGCTTGACCAAGATGTCCTGGCCGGAAGAACCAGTCACGCCAATCTATACTGTCGCAATATGAAATGTAAATTTACCTGAAGTAACCTCTTGAGAACGAACAAAACCCCGTGAGGAGAAAAGCGGGAAGGGCGTCACATAATAGTACTACGGCGAGCCATTTACGGTCTGCGCGATTGTATAGCCGAGGCTATCTGATGGTCTCACTGACGTCTTTGGGGAATAGAGGCTTTGGTCTACAAGTGAGGCCGGCAATGGCACCCAAATGGCAACCTTGCAGGTGATCTCATCACAACGAGAGATTGTCCTCTCAGGGACGATACAAGTGCCTCGCATCGATGGTATCTGACTCTGTATCGCCAGCGAGGTACCATCGTCGTGTACGCGCTGCTCGTGCGTGTGAGCGTTGTCGAGGCCGAAAGGTGCGATGCGATATTGTTCACAAGCGCGGTCCGTGTACCAATTGTGAGCTTGACGAAGTGAGAGCTCCCGCCAAAGAGTCGCTATTCCTTGAATTCGTTGACAGAAACAGGTCCCTTGTGTCGACAGCTCCGTCAGAAGAGTGCCACCGAGGTATTAGTAGAAGCCTGATCCAACGAAAGACATGGTTTTCCTGACTCGTTCGGATGCAGACACCGCGAAAGCAATCATCATGAATCGACTGCTGCAGGTTCCACGGCTGTCTCAATTGTGCCCGGTGCCAGTGGTGCGCGATGGCATCCAGTCTCAGATGCCTCGACACATCTGCCACCCCAGGCGAACGAGTATCCGAGAAACATGTTTCTAGCTGAAGTATCGGCCAGCTCCATGTCACCCAGGACGGCCGACTTTGCATCGAATACAGCAACCACATCGGCCACTACTCGATCAAACTCAGCCTTGACGCCTGGTCCCAGCCGATTATCGACGCATTTCGGAGAAGCCACGAGCACCTCTCATGGCACTTTTCAGGTGCCAGACTTTGTCGCAAAGCCGTCCAAAGACGTGGACCCCGAAGACCTCGCCCATCTTGCTGCTCAAGGCGTGTTTGATCTGCCACCGGCGCCATTTCTGCGCATCATCTTTGAATGCTTCCTCAACTACGTGTATCCTTTATTGCCGATTTTGGATATCTGTGACCTGCTTCACTCCCTGTACGGACACACCTCTCGGGTCAGTCTGCCTCTGCTCTACGGCATCATGCTCGCTGCGTCGGCATTCGTAGATCAGAGCACTCTCGACCAGACCGGCCATCAATCACGCTTTGCTTGGAGAAGTAGCTTGGGTCGTAAGCTGCGGGTAAGGTGACTCTGAGCGATCTATTTTACTGCAGAACTAGACGCTGATGCATAATCCCCTGACTTTCTAAAGCTCCTGTACGACTTTGACTATGAGCACGATCGCCTCGCAACAGTTCAGGCGCTGCTTCTCATGACCTACTTCCACGACAAACCAGATGAAAGCAAGCACCTGTTGCATAAGATCGTCAATGCAAAACATCTTGCTCTGACAATCGGCTTGAACGGAGACTTTGGACAGGAGAAGAAGCTAGATCCTCGAAGGAGAAGGCTCTGGAAAAGAGTCTGGTGGTGCTGTTACATTCGAGACCGCACATGCGCGCTCGGTCTGCGCCAGTACCCGACCATTGAGCCCAGCGAGTGTCAGTGGACAGACCTGGAGCTCGAGGATTTCGACATCACGCCGACCGATTTCACCGACTACGAGCTCCTTGCGGACTTGGGGCTTCAATCACAATTGGCCGAAATCTGTATCGCGCAGGTCCAGCTTTGGCATCTACTGTCAGATATCATGCACACAAGATTCCAGTCTGCCTTTCCGCGATACGGATTCTCCACGGAGACGACTCTGATCCTGATGCCCATCGCTCCCCAGGCGAACCGCACGGGCATCGAGGACCGCCAAAGAAGTCTGGATCAATGGTTTGCCCACCTCCCTGATCAGTATGCGTACCGACTTCCACTGTCACCTGTGTTTGAACAGGGTCATAGACTGCTGCGGCTACATTGCTGCACGCTGGCTCTGTTGTACAACGCCTTACAATGCACGTTGAACAGGTGGGCGCTCTCACCCAGCTGCAAGAGCAGTCGCGCCGGCGACATCACCGCACGCCAGAAGGCGCGCAGCTCCGCGAACATGATCCTATCTATTTTCGAGTATCTCCGCGACGGAGACATGGTCCAATACACCCCCGGCTGGGCCGTTACCATCCTGATGCAGGCAGCGCTGACATTCAAGACCGAATCGAGAGTGCCCCACTCACAATCTGGCCGACGCCTGCAGGACTGCATGGACGTCCTGGGCTGGCTCAAAGACGCCCACTTCCACTCGAATTTCGGCATCTCCCTCATCGACGCATTCCTCAACACGGCTGATTTGGCATCGACAACAAGACCCGGTGGTGACCCAGTTACCAGTGGCGATGCCCAGCTGGCGTTTCCCAGGTCTGAGGCTCCTCACCGTGCCCATGGCCAGTCGTGCGCAGAACCGCCATTCCACCATGAACCTGGTCCGGAAGACTCTTTGGTGACTGATACTGCCGCTGCCGCTGCCGCTGCCGCGGCGTCGATGGAGCCATCCTGGCTCGCAGACTTTCTGGAACAGGAATTCTGGCCGCAGGACTCTGGCTTGGAGATCTTGGGAAATGGTTCCTCCCTGCACTTGAATTCAGACTCCAGATCTCAGTACTGAGTATACAGATATTAATATCGGTCATCGGACCATATTAGTCTAGTTACAATTAATTCTTGCAAGCAGCCAGCGCTATACTGTACATGGCCTTCCTTCTTCTCTTCTGAAGCCTGGTTAAAGGCCCCTCCTGAGGCTTCTTTACGAAAGTGTACGGCCTCCGTGAGATGTGAAGCTTTCTGTCTCAGCTGAAATTTCTTGGGGAAAGTAGTCATGCCTAGTTCCAACGATGATGAGCGTCTTTGGAGTCGCCCGCAAATGAATTGAATGTGCCAGCATCATGTAGAGCAGCGCCCGCCATCCATTATGGTTTGGTCCCCGGAGCATTTGGGCGATGGAATTGCGCCTCTCAAAGTTTGGATCCTGACGACGGTTTCGGTTCCAGGATGGTCTCCATGACCTGCTTCCACTCTTCGGCAAGGATGGGGTCAATCGCGCACCCGTCGTAACTGACTCCAAACTTCAGGATTCCGTTATCACCGACCGCACCAACGAGAAATTCGCCGTCTCTTGCTCTCACCGTCGTATGAAGTTCACGGAAGTCAGCAGCGATATCGTGGCCTTCTATCAACTCTCTGGTGTTGAATTTGCCGGATGCTATGATAGAACCCCGTGGCCCGACAGAGCTGACACCGCACGTGGCAAGCGTCGATCCCATCTTAGCAGGATACTCGCCTTGAATGTTCCAGCCTCGCTTCCGACCCTGCTCGCTTTTACTTTCGAGACGTTCCATCGTAGCTAGATATAACATGGGCAGCAGTTGCTCGGGGCTTTTCGACCCCAGCATCGCCTTTGCAGGGGCATCGCGGGGACGTTTCTGATATTGACGCAATTGTCGATGTGCTTGTTTGCCTAGTAATCGAAATCTCCCTTCAATATCCAGGTCCCTCGTGAGGAAAGGGAGGGCGATGCCTTCACTAAATGCTAACATTAAATTGTCCTCCTTTCCCGTTGTTGGGGTTCCGTCCAGCAGTGGTCTTGGGTTTACCGGAAATGATCCGACAAAGGGTAGGCGCTCATGCGCTGGAATATCTGGACACCGCCTCTCCTCAAAGAGCATCATCACCAGAGCCACTAGGGCAAAACAGCCGCTTCCTATGCTGATTCGCGCTTCTCGGCATAGGTTTGCAAGCCTTTGCGACGAAGCTGCACTAAGGACCGGTCGTACAGGATACGTGTTCAAAGGCGGCACTCGAGAATAATCAAGAACACTCGAGAATTTTGGTGGCAAGGGCTCTGCTTTCGACAGCGGGATCCTTCGTCGCAGAGGGTTTTGGAATGATGCAGGTGGCGACTTCTTCGTGTGGCGGAGAATCCGGCTTATAGCCCAAGCCCATCTTTCCCTTGCTGGACTGTTACCCATGGACGGGTACAAAGACTCTTGTGCTGGAGGTAAACGAGGGACCACAGAGGCGAGGCAACTCTTTTCTACATCCGACCTCAACTGCTCGGGCGTCCGATTCAACATGTCGATGAAAGAGGACATCCATCGCATGGAAGTGAGACCGTCGACAATTTCATGCCCTGCTGTCATCACGAACCGGGCATCATACAAGCCTTCTCCTTTCGAGACGAGTGGCATAACATAGAACCTGCTCAAGGATGAGAAAGGATCAACGCAACGTGAGCAGTTTAAAGTGTGGACGAAAAACTCATCGTTACCGCTGTTGGGATAGTGATCTTCCATAAAGACAATGTGCTTTTCAGCTTCGGAGTGCAACTCTCGGAGACTCGCACTGGGTTGGAACACATAGAACCACTCCTCTGCACCGCGCCCACTGATCGATGGCAGAACTTCTTTGGCTTGGGCGATTCGGGCCGAAAGAAGAACATGCTTCTGTCTGAAGGCAGCCCATGCTTGCAAGATCCTTTCGCGCAAGGCCCTCTTCGTGACCGACGTTTTGAACTCGACATGGAGATCGAAAGTCAAGTCAGCTCGCCCTTCATAATCAATTCCGTCCGTATTGAACAATCCCTCAACAATCCCGATGCGGCGGTAGTGCATAAGTCTACCATGTTGCATTGTCTGCCTCCAGTCATGGCGGTCGGTGGCATAGCTCTCAAGCCACTCGGGCTTGCTTCGTGTTTCCATGCCTGCCTCTTCAGGTGTGACACATTCCAGAAAAGAGGATGACTGATTGTTATTTCAGGGAGTATTTCAGTATCGACCGACTGTCGTGGGAACTTGGAAGGAAGCCGCGTCAAGATTTCAGAGAGGAAAACTCGACGACTCGACGACTCGACGATTCCTTCCCCGCGCAGGCCCTCGGGCAATCGGCCGAGGCTGAGGGGCTGAGGGGGTTCCCATGCTAGCAATGGGTTTAGCTAAGGCAGCCTCACCGACACATGCAGAAGATGCCCCTCACCTGAAGTGCACCTTAACATGCCTTATTATCAATGCTCAGGAAAGAAGTGATTAACAAACAGTAATGTTACAGGCCTGGCTCTATCAATGCTAAATGCTCATCCCCATCTCTTAAGAGGAAGAAAACAGCAACTAGTCTCAGTTTTTCCCTCTCTTGGTTTCTGGTGAATTACCAATGCACTTCTGCCGGTCTCGAGTTGGTCAATTCATGCATCTCTGGTGGACGTCTACTCTACTCGTGCTGAGTGGTGCATCGCTCCCCTCGCCCTCTTCTTCAGGTGCAGGCTTGGTTTCGAGTGGGTCAGGTGTAAGAGTAGGTGCTAAGATATTGGGTCTAGGAGTATGCTTCTTGGAATCTAAATGCTGTGCTTCAAGGTCATCAAAATCTTGGCCAATATTGGCCGTCTTCCAGTCGAGGAGCTCGAGAATGTGGTAGAAGGCTGCAGCCGCAAGTGCGCCAATCAGTGGGCCAACCCAGTAAATCCAATGGTAGCCGGGGAACGAGTGATTGACAACAGCCGGACCAAATGCACGCGCAGGGTTGATGCCAGCACCAGTAAACTCGACGCCTTTTGGAAAGGACACTTAGTACGTTCCACACTGAAGATACTGGAGACCATGGGACTTACTGCACAAATGGCCAACGAAGAGGGCCATTCCAATCCCAAGAGGGGCCAGAAAGGTCGCTTTATGCTTCACAGCGGCTAGCATGACGACAGTGAGACACAACAAAAATGTGGTGAACATCTCGATAAAGCAGCCTTGTGAGATACTGGTACCAGCACCCAAGCTAATGTCAACCTTCATTGGGCCCGGGAAGGTGCAAGACGCAACACCTGCTGCGGCGATTCCGGCGATGACCTGAGCAATGCATATCGTGATCGTGCGGCGGCCCGGGATAGCGCCCACAAGATATAATGTCAGCGTTACCTTGAGATACTTGGTCAGCCCTCGAACGATTATTAGGGTGCTGGTAGAAAATTGATACTTACAGCTGGATTGAGTTGTCCACCGCTGACGCGATAGAACAGCCAGCAGTTGATGGCTAAGGAAACAGCAAAGCTTAGGCCGATGTAGATGATTCTCAACGTGTTCGCTTCGACAGGCAACCCGTTCCTCTCAGACGGGTCATTCGCAACTTGACATCCTGCGTATGCGAAAAACAGGAATAAGAAGGTCCCAACAAATTCGCCTAGTACTGCGACCATGTCATGGAGGATGCTATCTGGGAGAAAGCCCATAATGGCGCCCGTATTGGGAAAGCCAAAGCGGCGCTTGAAGTGATATCGTAGGCTCAACATGGTGAGAAGCACTTCTGCGACCAGGAGCTATAGTAGATGTGAAAGATGCTGTCGACTATCTGGCTTATGCCAGGAGGCTGAGGGATTGTAAATGAGGCCTTCCATTGTAGCAGTGCCTGTGGACGATGTCTTTATACTGCTTACCACGGCCATCAATGTGCTGTATCCTCGGGTAAAGGTGTCATACTGCAGATTATTGACCCGTAAACCGTATCCAGTAAGTAATGTGGACTGATTCTCAACATCCGCTGCCTTCCAGTCAAGTTACTGTTGACGGGTTAACTATTGAGCGTTACCGGGCAAGGAGGGATATCGAAGTACATTTGTATCCAGGTGCTCATGTAACTATGGTACGCCATGAAGTAACTCTGAGAATGGACAAGAGCGTATAAAGATACGGCGGAGCGTGGCCTGATGTCTAGGTTCTGGATAAAAGTTGATGACTTAATTAGCACACAATAGAACTCATCCCAAAACAGAATATCCGGAAAACCTCCTTGATGAAAGCACTTCCACTACTTGGAAGTCGGCAGCATTATCTATGATATCTAATTCTTAACAGCCGCAGTTCTGTTTTTTGCATTACCCTACTCGCGGAGGTGGTAGTATTAAATATCTATCTAGCAAGGACTTGACCTTGTCAACTGGCAAAGCATCTACATGCGCACCATTAAATCCGGTTAAGCTTTCTGCTTTGCACATGGCGTTTAGGATGGCCTCCTCGGTAGCCTCCGATACAGCGTAGAATAGCGAATCAATCGTCTCGTTCTTGAGCGTTTCCACTGGTTGCGTCTCTAGCTTTGGCAGATACGCGAATCCATTCGATGCCTCTGCCAATTGATCTGGTGAAGTGCCTGTCGAGAACGCTAGGAAGATCTCTCCAGAGAAATTTCGCCCAGCTGCATGGCCCCCGACCTGTTTTGAAGTTAACGCTGAACCTGAAAGATAGATTGGATGGGCGTGAAATATTACCTGCGTAACGCCCATCCCAGCATGCTGTGCGATGCGTCGTAATTGATGAGGTAGCAAGGGAGCGTCCGTCCTATCGTTGAGTAAGCGACCCGACTGGAATGGGACCCATATACATGAGACTCACGCAATCACAACGATGATACCTAAACCATGTCAGTCTTGTTCTTCTGTTGATGTGATTCACTGCAAGCACTTACTACCCTCAACCGCCTTTCCACCAGCGGGCAGACTCTGCTTAAGCAAGGGACTGCTCGTCTTGTTCTCTAAGAGGAGTGCACCAATGGGGACATTGCCGATTCGGAGATCTTCCTTCTTGCCGTAATTCGCCTGTACGAGGACACCAAGGGTATAATCACGACCGTCACCAGGCACGATACGAGAGCTGGTCCCTGTGCCGCCCTTGTGACCATGACATATCATTGCCGTGCCCCCTCCATAGTTACCCTCCTGCACCTCTCTCTGAGTTGATGCTGCTGCTATCGCCTCATTTACCACATCCCGGTCAATGATTGATGCCGAAATGTCATTCAATAGGCCGTCGTAGGTCTCTCCAACGATAGGGATGGTGAAACGTCGCAGAGTCTCAAGATCGGATTCGCCTCTCAATCGTGCTTGCTCGATGCCCCAAAGAAATAGGGCGTCATAAACTTTCCCAACGCTGACGGTGTTTGTGATCGCAATGGGCTAACATGGTCAATATGGTTCTGCACATTCACCGTGGAAATGGGATTACACTGCGCAAAAACCCCCATTCTTTCAAAGCATGGCATCCTGTTAGCTCTCCGACACCGTTGAGATTATGTGTAGCTCCATAACAAGGCCTGGAATAAGTATCCACAGGGTCACGTGGAAAGATGATGGTCAGCCCAGTGTGGATGTCCGGATCTCGATGGATGGTGGCCTGCCCAACTCGGAGTCCTGCAATTAACAAAGATGTTTGTAGACGCTCAAAGACGTTAGAACAATGTAAGGCTTACCTTCGACGTCAAGTATTGAATTTTTCGAGCCTGGGGAAAATTTACCAGGGCTGTAGCCCAAATCCCGGACCCGTGGTCGTTCGACCTTTGTCGCGGTTTGTCGATCCCGGCCTTGATTCATCTTCCAGAGAGGTCAGAGAGAATTGAAGCCTTTAGACGGTTTGCTTTCCGTTTATATGAATCTCCGGTATACTGGCAGCCTGAAAATACATGAGCGGATGACGCAATAGATAGCGTACGAATGGAGGTTTGAGGCGCTAAGGGCAACATCGGACGCCCAATTCAGGCAGTTCACAACGAATAGTGCAGGACAATTGATCTCACACGAACCGTGCAAGGAATGTATGGTCTTTCTCTGCCTTCGTACGATGGCTTTCTGAAGCGATTACTTGCCTCATCACCCACGAGGCAAAGTGCCCAGTGATCAATTATTTAGTGCTCATTCCCTCGGACCTTAAGACTCGTATTGGCCCCTCAGACTACTTATAACTATGATTTTAGCTCCACGACATACCCAGCACGCTACCTAAATTCGCTTACAGCTGAACCTACATCTTCCAATAACTACACAAGTCGTAGTATTGAGGTAAACTTCGGACTACGGTACCGGATTTGCTCATGTTTCGCTAGTAATCGTACTCTCAGATGCTTTAACCGTGACGGAGTTAACTCGTGCAAGTTAGAAATAGACATATACTGCAATGAGCTACTCAGTTAAAATCTGCGTAAATTATTCTACTCCGTGCACCTAAACCGCGTACTGTCTAGCCGCTTGTAGATTGTGAAGAGCTGTTACTGTTGTCAAGGCCGAGGCTGCTCCATGAGAACTAGACTTGCGGATTACTGTCATGCTATTAGATGAAAGAATCCTTAAAGTAGCATCTCTGAGACCGTAAACACGAGGACTCGATACGATCAGCACCACCATTGCTTCCTGTCTCCTCTTTCTAGAGAACGAAAAGATACACCGTGCACAACCAAAGTTAGAGCGAGAAAGGAGCGAGAAGATCACGCGGCGTGGCGGGGCGAAAACTCTTCCATGTTGCGGGACTGTGCTGCGGAGCGCCCTTGTCTAGTTCCAAAGGCGAATATGGGGTATCGCCTATTGTTCGATCTGGAGAGAGGAGCAAACTCTGGTTGGTATATATCCTCGCATCTACACTCTGCCTGGCGTGCAAATGGTCAGATATCTTCACTTCACTCAGCTCACTGAATCTCCAGCATGGATCGTACAGCAGTCAAAACCGAGGTTCCGGAACACCTAGAAGATCTTGGTCATGGCAAAGATGAGCTTGAGCAGGACGTTTCGTCTGCAGGCTCGCCTAGGACTACACTCTATCAGGTCATCTTTTCAATGTTTATCGGTCTCTCGGGCTGGATGTACAACTTCGATCTGGGTGAGTAACCTTTCTATCTTTACACGGCCATTGACTCACGCAAATGTAAGGCTTCAGTGGCGTTGTTCTCCTCATGCAGCCGTATAACAAAGCATTCGGCAGCTGTGGTCCTATGCCGGATGGAAAGGGCAACACTGTTTACAAATGTACTCTCACGGCAACTCAGCAGTCTCTGATCTCTTTATCCATTATATTCATTGCTGTTGGTGCGGCTCTTGGCGGCCAAATTGGTCATCGATTAGGCCGTCGAGGTACAATCCAGATTGGCTGCCTTGTAATTGCTATCGGCGCCGGTGGTATGCTGGGGACAGAGGGTAACTTCACAGCATACATGGCGTGCAAAAGTATTCAAGGAGTGGGTCTTGGTAACCTGCTTGCCGCTGTTCCCCCATACGGCGTTGAATGTGTGGCCGCCAGCAAGCGAGGGTTACTGATGGCTACCTTCAATATCGGGCTCGGACTGGGTAATATGGCAGCCGTCGCTGTCTGTCTAGGTTCCTCCAAGTTCACCACAAATGCATCATGGCAGACTCCAATCGCATGCCAATTGCCCTGCGCCGTCCTACTTGGCGTCGGTGTCAACTTCTTCCCAGAATCACCTCGTTGGCTGCTCACCAAGGGAAAACATGACGCCGCCAGAAGGTCTTTCGCGAAATTCTACTCAAAAGCCCCAGAATCACCAGAGGTTAGTGCACAAATGCAAGAAACTTTGCATTATCTCGACCTCGAGAAATCACACAGTGCGACTTCAAGCTGGATGGAGATCTTCCGATCACCTGATTTAAGGCGAACTCTTACAAGTACACTTGTTGGTTGCGGCGTAGCCCTTACCGGGTCCAAATTCTTCTCAACCTATGCATCGATATTTCTGGCGGGAGTTGGTATCAAGAATCCATATTACATTACCCTCAGTTTCGCCTCTTGTGTCTGTTTCGGTGGACTCATGAGTCCATGGATCCTTGAATACGTGGGAAGGCGACTGTCTCTGCTCGTGGGTTATGCATGCATGGCTCTGTCCATGATAATCGTTGCCGCCATGGGCACCGCTCTCGGACAGCAGAGCAGCTCCGTTCAAGTTACATCGATCGTGTTTGTCTGCCTTTGGGGTGTAAGTTACGGTGGGTTCATCGGCACTTCGCTCACAGTTACGACAGCGGAGATGCATGCAGTCAGGCTACGTAGCTATGGACAAGCATTTACAATCACTATCTATGAGATCATGAGTTTTGGGTCGAGCTTCTCAACGCCTTACATGATCAGTGCGAAATATGGCAACATGGGCCTAAATGTGGGCTATTTCTTCGGAGGTAAGTTATAGTTCCCACACTTAAAGGATTTACTAATAGAATGAAAGTGATCAGCATCATCATATGGGTCTTGATGTTTTTGTTCGTTCCTGAAACTGGACGTTTGACACTCGAAGAAATTGATGATATCTTCATCTCCAACACGAAACCTTGGAAAACATCGCTCAGACAAAATAAAAAGGCCGGTTAAAATACGGTTTGCTACGTAATGGAGGAGAGCCGCTCTAACAGAGGTTTACTACTCGTCATGTCAAGCTACATAGTAGTTAGTCAGTCGAACACAGTCCAACATAGGAGTTAGCTCATTTAAATGAATTAGTGGCAGCATAGTCGAGCAAAGCAAAGCTCGCAGCAACCTGAGGCTTGAGTTTGTGACCTTCATGAGATCTATCTCATTACCACGCGGATACTCTTCCCACCTAATTAGATAATGCTGAGCTTCTAGAGCTTCGTCAGGCATCTTCGAGTCTTAGATTGCTGTGTTGGGGATATTTTTTAGGATATCTATTCTTGGTGCTAATACTACATATTTTAATCTTTAGACCTAGCATCAGTGTGCGCCACTTATGGCCTATCAGTCCAAGAACTTGGAGCTGATCATGAATGAGGCCCAAAAGGTGAAGGGACTCAAGTCTTGGTCTCACGAGCTCGCCACTTTAGATCGGGAGTAATTGGAGACCGTCACTGGAATCTGCAGAATATCTCGGCACTCGTTGAAGTGTGAAAGATAGTCCGAACCAGCCGAGATTTTCCCACTGGGAATTCGCTCCAACGAGCATAGTCTACAGCTGCAAACCTATATAGTTCAGGACGTTCCAGCATCAACCGTATATTACTCAATTTTTATGTTTCCACAAGTGTGCTGAAAGCCATGTCGGTAGAAGACATCGTCTTGGTTCAGCAACTAGTATGCCGCGAACGAGAAGCACGCGATCGTCTGTGGTGGGACGAGATGCGCTCCATCTACACCGAGGACTCCTGGATCGACCTTTCATGGTACCAGGGCTCAGGCAAAGGATTCATTGATAGGTCGATTGATCTTGCAAAGCGAGGGACGTCATCAAAACACCGGCTAGGGCCAGTTGTCGTCCGTGTCAGCGAAGACAGAGGACGTGCGCTTGCCACAGTCAGCGCAGTTATCGAGTCACGTTTCAAGCTCAACGGTATCGAGGTCGATATAGGATCGGAGACAAGATTGATCTACAAAGGGGTCAAGAACACACATGATCACAAGTGGCGACTTTCCGGTTTAAGTTGCATCTATGAATGTGATCATTTGAGGCCTGCAATACCAGGACAAACCATCAACATTGACCCAGAAGAATTGAAACCATATCGGAGCTCGTATCGGTGTTTGTCTTATTTCCTGTCTCAACAAGGACTTTCAGTAAGGATGGAGCTCCCGGGTGACGATAGACCCGAGCAGGTCATCAAATTGTACGACGATGCTTTCCGCTGGCTAAGGGTGTCTGGGTCGTCGGTGGCCAATAGACAAGAATATCAGCATGACGGCCAAGCACAGTCGTTGCTATAGCTATACCGCTGTTTGCTCTATCGCATTCATCAGTCGAGGGTGTCGGTCACTATGAAACTGGACAACAAGCACTGGGGACAAAATTCTACAGCATCTGAAATGGTGAGCAGTATTATTAACTTGATATGCTGCCTGGCTCCGACCACTAGCCATAGTCAGGTAATCGAATGTCACAAGTCCTGGCTTGCGCGGAAATTGCCGCAGTCAAGAAAGGTACTCACAACCTCATCTCATAGTTGAAAATGAAAAGCCTTGAACTCTCGGTGCAATTTGTCGGTGCAATTTTCAATTGGTGGATCCCTCGGCAACTGGTTTTGATTTTGTGGGGGGAAGGCGGGACCAGAGCTTTCCCCCGGCAATCTAAAGGTGGGGGTTTCTTCACTTCAAGATCACATCGTGACCGTTGTTGCTTTCTACAGCCCAGATGTCATAGGCACAATATCTTCGAACAACTCTTTTAGCAATTGACATGTCGACTGGCCTGCGCAGTGAGAACCCAGAGCCGCGAGCGTCAAAAATAGCCTGTCGTGCTTGTCGGAGTCGAAAGGTTAAATGCAATCGAGAGCTTCCATGGTGCTCAAATTGCCGAAATTGTGGCCAGGAATGCACTTATCCTTCGACAATGCTCAAGCCTGGCCCAAAGGTTGGAAGTGTTCACAAGAGACGCCGAATGGAGAACCCCTTAACTCGGAAGAGCTCGCAGCCGAGCCCTTCTACAGCCGGCAATCCAGTAACGAGGGAGGAGCTGCCCTCAAGCCCGAGATCACCCCCCCAGATCATCGGCCATGAGGACGAGAGTCTATACTCTAAACATATACAGGCGGTCTCTGACCTTTGTCACATGACGAATGAAGATCCGTCTCCAGCAACTGCCGACATACTCTCTCCCACTAACACGGCTTTAGCGAGCCAGGATGTACTCACTGCTGCGTGCGACGCACTTGGAGTTTCTCAAGATTCAATAGAGCAAATGTTAGTCGATTCCTTGAGTGTTGCTTTCTTCTGAAAGTTACCGTTTCTCACGGATCTGTGCTCATTTGTCACAGGATAGAGACCTTTTTCAGGACATTCACCCCATTCCGCCTCTTTCGCGAACCCCAGTTTCTCTCAAAGCTGGCCCAACTGCCCTCTGTGGTTCAAGTAAAAGCCTTACTTGCACCAATTTGTGCTTTTGCCTGCAAAGACGCAACCCTCCTGTTTCAACAGAACCCTGATCGATCCAAGGCCTCCGACTTTGCAGATCTAGCCATCAAGTTCGTCGATGAAGCAATTGCTCAGTGTGGAGATGAAGCTCCACCATTGTGTGTCCTTCAAGCCCTTATCTTGACCACTCACTGGGTGATCGTCCGAGGTGTTCGTGGTAGAGCCTGGCGATATGTTGGTCTCTGTGTCCGAGTTGCATTCGAACTGGGACTGCATATTACAGATGTTGACGTCAGGCCCGAGGCGTACAGTAGAAGTCCGGAGAAGTGGTGTGAAGAGGAAGAACGACGCCGCGCATACTGGGCGGTATGGGACATGGATCAATTTGCTAGTCACATCAAACACATCCCAATTACGATAGACTGGGCTCAATACGAAGTTTGTCTTCCAGTCGAGGATGATCGATGGTTTGATGGTAGGCCCCAGCGGAGTTGTGCCCTGGCGGGAGACTTGATCAATCGAAGCAAAGACCTGCACGCCACAGGGAATAAGAGCCCGAGGGCGTGGTTTATTGTGATCGCGTCTCTGAACGCGGAGGCGAATGAGCTAGCTTACCCTCAAGAAAAGATACATCGCCGCTCGAGGGAAAGAGTACTAGCGATTGCTGATCGTCGACAAGCATTGTTCAATGCGATCCAACTCAGCCTGATCCTTCTCCCACAAGAACTGAGATTTCACGGCCAGCATCTCGACTTCGGAACACACACCATGGGTCTAGAGCGCATTCCTTCCGTATTGCATCTGCACAGTTCTATATATCTGATAGCCTTGTTGCCGGAAACATCAAAGATCATTGCTCTAAGACCATACGTCTTTGAAGCCTATTTGAGAAAGCTTCTTACAAAGGCTCAAAGCTCGGGTACTCGAGGTGAAGAGCAGGAGTTGAGTGAAATGCAGGAAGAATCGGCTCGAAAAGTTGAGCAGTGTTACAAAGCTGCTGACGCTATATTAAACATTGTCATGAATTGTCATGAGAGCCATTACAAATACGTCAGCCCGTATGTGGCGCACGTCTCGTGGTTGGCAGCGACGGTGCCTTTACTTCAGCAAGAGCTTGTGGAAGACGACTCCCAGAAACTGGTGATCCGGTCGAGATTTGAGATTTTAAAAGCTACAGTCAGCAGATTTCTCGATTATTGGGAGATGTCCCAAGTACCGAAGCAAAACCTTGATCTACTGGAACTGCGGCTAAAGCAATTCTCGGCGGCTTCGAAATGCCTCAAGCCTAGGGATGCAGCAGCAGATGCAACAGCAGATGCAGCAGCACAGAAGCAGAGGCCACAGCTTGGTGAAAGGTCTCAAGGAGGTTATATAGCTCAATCGACTAACTCTGATTGGCTCTCGGAATCTGAAGAAAATGTTGCTCCCGATAGACCCGGCAATTTCGGCCATTATCACAATCAACCCGATGACTACAGGCCTTCAAGAAATGCCAATCTTCCAGAATCCGCATTATCTGGGACAAGCCAAGCATTACCACCCGACATGAGACCAGAAGGTTCGAATTTTATGCAGCCTAGTCACTGGCATGAGCTCCACAGCCAATTCAACACAGCATTCCCGTTGCGGGATGCGAGTTTAGATTCATGGTTTGAGACTGGTATTCAGCAGGCTCCAAATGCAAGCACAGACTCCGACCCGTCGAACTGGCTTTCTCTTTTCAACAACGTAGAAGTGAATGAAGAATTGACTGATTGGTTTGGTAGATTCTCGGGATGGGACCCAGCCGAGTTCTAAGAATTATTGTTGAGGAAATTTAAGCACGCTCTGGGCTTCACAGAAGCCTGACAACACCGCTGAACGTTGTGCTGGCTAAGAGAAAGGACCAAAAGTTGATTTTCTGATTTAGAAACCTCGTCATTATCATTTCAGTCTTTGAAGCCCTCGCTGGCCAACCCCTCTCGGGCCTCTTCACAGCTCCTCATAAGGATCCTTCCACGCGGGAGAACTGAATAGGCAACGCTGGCTTTTCCCAGAAGACATAGTTCTTGTTAGCTTTGACCCAGTCAAGGTCGTCGTCCATGAGTTTCATGTCAAATCTGAACAGAATCTTGGACAGAATAAGCCGAAGTTCCAACATGGCTAGACTGATGTCCCGATTAGCTTCCAGAATATACACGATGGATGGTGGATCCACTTACTGACGGCCCAGACAGACTCTACTCCCCAACAGGAAGGGTTGGCTAGCAGCCTTATCGTCCTTACAATCCGGGTCTAGCCATCTTTCTGGAGTAAAACTAAATGCGTCGTGGAAATTTGTTTCGATATGTCCAGCCACCCAGGGATTGACGTTTACAATGGCTCCTTTAGGCACGAAGTGACCATCCACCACTTCCCCAGGGCTGATTCGCGGTAGACCAGCTGCAATCGGAGGATATAACCTGAGGCCTTCTTCAATGACAGCTTTGAGATACGGTAATTGATCCGTGGCTCGCCCAGTAATTTGATCCATGGAACTGAAGGCTGTGCGAATCTCGTTGGTAAGCTTCTGATATACGCGAGAGTCCCTACAGAGGTAGTAAGAAATTCCACACAGAGCTGTTGCTGTGGTCTCGCTCCCAGCCACTGTCAGAAGGGTTGCCTGCATCTGGAGTTCTTCGAAAGCCTGCCCGGTCCATTCTTCTCTCTCGGATATCATCCGTTGTAAGAAATCTATTCTTGGCGGCGGGTTGTCGAGTCGCCTGCCCATATTGTTAGGTACGGGAGCTTATCTTCTCATAAAGCGTGTACTGACCTCCTCAATTTTTCATTTGCATAGTTGGCCATCTTGGCCCTCAAGTCATACACTTTCCGAGGTAGCAGTTTCAGGTGCAGAGCGATTCTGAGTATGTATCTTAAGAGTGGAGCATACTCGAATGATCTCACAAAATTTGTGTTCTTTATCGAGCCGAAAAGGATTTCAATCCAGTAGTGAGGTTGCCCTGCGCTCATTGTCAACGATATTGCGATCTATAGTGAGAAACAGATACTCACCAGACTCGACACAACCAAAGGACTCTCCGAAAGCGAGTTCTCCGATCACATCGAACGTGACATAGTTGAACCATTTACTCATGTCTCCTGGAGCTTTTATGAAACGGTTTTCGATCTGATGGAGGAGCAGGTCTATGAAATGGTGGACCCGATCTTCTTGACTGGTTAAGGCGCTCGATGAGAAGCCGTGGCTCAGACTCTTGCGCATAGCCGCATGGTGGCCTGGATCGGAGACTGAAACAATCTGATATGGATCCTCCGGAAAGGCTTCATACCACGATCCCTTGAGAAATGCTTTCCGTCCAGGTTTGTGGCCATGAATATCCTTCCAGCTGGCGCTACTGCAGAAAGACAGTTGGTTGGGAGCAATTCGTACGACCGAGCCATATTTCTCATGAAGCTCCTTAATCTTCCACAGATTGTCACCGCCCATCCAGTGCTTCATTGCGAAGAAAGGTGCAATCGCAGCGACTTTGGGGCCGGGGAATTTCGCTAATGGATGCCACCACAAGTTATAGCTTAGGTACATCGTGTTCAGCAGTATAATCTTGAATCACATGAATGTTAGCATTTCGTCGAAATAGGCAAAGTCGGCGACTAGCAGACTACGTACTATTGCAACGAATAGAAGCAGCCCCGTTTCTCGGCCAAGCTGTGCATGGCAATACTGTTGAAGTTCCGCTACTCGGGACTGCCATCTGATCACTTGGGCCAATGTATAGTTCGAACATGAAGCGAACTGGGACATGTTCGAGGAATGTCTCTGCATGCTCGAAAGCCGCCTGTTGCTTCACTGAGCGCTCTTCGAAGGTCACCGTGAGGGCAACATGTGTCTATAACTGTCTACGTGGTGGCGGGGCAGTACTGGACCCAGAGTTTAATGCAAAAACAAAGTGAAAGGTCGATTGTTTGCATAATCATCGCAGGGTGATCAGCTTTGGTCACGGATTGATTTCTCGTAGCAAGTAGCTAGGTGAAATCTATCCGAACCCTAGGTTTAGCGCGTGGGCCACCTAACTGGTGTGCTAAGAGTTGGGCTAGCTCGGCCTGTTTTGCGGCCCATCTTCTCGGTCAACTTCTCGTGCTCCGGCCACTGGAGATGGCTGTAGCTCAATCATTAAGTTTTTGAATAGATTGCCGACAAGATGAAGGAATCGAACTAGGCTTCAAACTACTTATAGGATCCCAGTGAGATCGCCTGCACTTGTAAGTATCGGTGGATTGTTGGACCCGAAACTACAGGTGCCTTTTCGACAGACGGTATACCCATACACCTTATCATAATGGCAACTCGCGCAACTCTTGAGTATACTCCATTGCCACGTCGCGTTGAGGAGACTGTGGACAATCTGTTTCTATCCGACGAACAAATCAAAGAAGACCTTGCGAAGTTCGTGGACGTAAAGCCTCGCTTGGGAGATCACGACGGCGACACAGAAATGATTGAAGGAGAGACCTTCACACACCACTTTGTTCTTGGACCAGGAGATGGCGAGGTAGTCCAGTGGCACTATGTAGAAGCAGGACCTAGGGATGGCGAGGTGGTTGTTTTCCTTCACGGAATCCCTGATGCCTGGTATCAATGGCATATGCAAATGGCCAAGCTCGCGAAGACCTATCGCTGTATAGCGCCAGATCTGAAAGGCTACGGGCAGTCTTCAAAGGCTCCTGGTGATTACCGCCATGAAGGTGCAGCTGAACAACTCTTCCAGATGCTCCTTCTGATCGGGGTGGAGCGTTTCAATGTTGTCACCCATGATAGAGGCACCTGCCAGGCCGATTTCATTGCTGCAAATCATCCTGAACATGTTCTCCGGTACGCTCGAGGCGAACAGCACCTGTTCCACTTCAATCCGCTTCTCGCTCCGCAAGGTGAAATATTCATGAACGCCGCCTACAATGGTTCGCTGGATAACCCGAATAGAATGGTAGTCTGGGGCCATGTTAGCCTCGACACCAAACCAATCCCTGAGCACCAGATGGCAAGAGTCATTCAAGAATTCTCATACCCGGGTATACCAAGAGCTGTACCCAGATATTTCAATTCATCCAGTTTTCGTGCAGAATGGCTACAGCGGCGAAAGTTTCTCCTAGCTGCATGGAAGTGTCCTGTACTGATTCTACAGGGATACCACAGCAAAACACAACCACGAGAGTTTTACGAGGGTATCAATCAAGAGCATATGCCAAACGCAAAGTCGGTGAAGGTTCAATTTCTTCCAGGGGGGCACTTCTGGCCACTCGAATGTCCTAGCGAGACCACAGACGCCCTTGAACAATTTTTCAGGAGCTGAGCTCTAGCATCAAATTTAATCCCATGTCGGGCTTCTATTTGTTGAGTGAAGATCGGCACATCGAGAGTAGCTTATACAATTACGGACATAGGACTTGAGAAACATTTCTCTCAACAGACAAGGCTCGGTCATGCGCGGTCCTAGTATTCGAGACGGATGGTTAGTGTATGTGTTCGTCTGTAACTACGTAAGTTATTTGCATTGTCCTCTTCATAGGCAAGTCTGAGGCCGCCTCGGGTCCAATAATTGCAATCCTACAACAAAATAAAACTCCTCTGGACACCTATATGTGTGTCATTCATACCATAGCACTCATCTCGCAGACTCTAATTTTTTTCCAGGCCGATAGATTTAGAGATTTTATCGATGATCAAACTTGAAATATGCACATCTGCCGTCCTTACATGCGACTTTCTGGAAATCTTCTGATCAGAGGCATGATATTCATCTGTATCGTTGTTCACATCCCCCATAAATGTGGTACGCGGTTGAGCTATGTAAAGAGCTTCTTATAATCACAACGTAGTGAATCAGGTCGACTTTCCCCTCCATTGAAATTTTGCAACCATCCCTGATTGTACCCAGAACCAAGCAGCATCCAGATTCCATTCTGGCTTACTGGAAGCCCATTCAACGTCGAAATGTCTCAGTATCTGGGGAAGAAATTTCCCCATTTCTAAGATCGAGATGTTCTTTCCAATGCAAGATCGGCCCCCGTGGCCAAACTATCTCTGTCAGCATACATGCCTGAGATATATCTGCATGAAACATACTGCAATGAAACTTCGGTTCATGATTTTGAGTTGGTCTGAAGTCGCTTCTATCCACCTCTCTGGTCGAAACTTGTCCGCATCTTCACCATAAACATGTTTGTCCATATGGATGACTGTGGCATTGACGCTAACGTTGGTCCCTTCGGGGAGCCAATGGCCGCAGATCACAGCGCCTCCCTTGGGCACATACCTTTCCAAGGGAAACGCGACTCCAGGATGTAGTCGCATGGCTTCCTTCATCACCGCTTGGCTTTGATACAGTCAACGTGTTGTAGAATAAAGTAAAACAGATTGGGCTCTTACAGATACGGAAGCTGTAAACTTTCTTCGTACGTAACGAAATCCGATAATCGAGACTTTTCATCTGCTTCATCTATTTCAGCAACAAGCTTCTTGTAGGCACTCGGTGTTTTCATCAGGTAGTAAAAACAAGCTCGTAATGAAATAGCTGTGGTATCGGAGCCAGCAAGGCTGTTTGAGGTCAGCTGATTCGATGATGGTCTGAGTCCACTCACATATTATTAGACAAATGGTTGACTATATCACGGTAGGATAGCTGGCCTCCTTCGGCCTCCTTGGCTCTTAACTGAGCGAGAAAATCTGTCCTTTCCTTTCCCTGAGTTTGGGCTACCTTATTCTCCTGGAGGTCATATCTTTCAATCTCATCCTCAGTGATCTGTCCAAAAGTCAATAGGTGGTTGGCTGAAAGAAGGACTGGACAGGCGTAGATACTTTTACAAACTGTGCCAAGGGATCCGGTAGTTCCATTCCCAACGCTTTTAAAGTGCTTAGTAGCCACTTATTCCCTCCTAGCCATGGGTGAAGGCCAGGGAACTGGCCTATTATCTTGCCATATTGAAGAGCGAAGTGAAGATCGCCGATCATGTTACCTATGTCTTTGCGCTGCTCCATAAACCCAAATCGACGTTGGAATGTTATCGATGCGATGACATCAAATGCATAAAACTGTAGCCAGCTGGAGAGGTCTATCGACTGATTCTGCAACCCCTTCATGACCTGCGTAAAGATGCTGGTACATTCATCGGTGTATATCTCGTAGTTTTTCATATTAGTCATGGAAAATAATTGCGCAACCGGTCTCTTCAAGGTCCGATGATATGCTGAGTCGCGGGTCGCGAACAGACTCTGCATGGGTTTGTCCTTGTAGAATGGAATGAAAACGTCATAAAAATGTGTCTGTCTCAAGTTAGTCTCACTTCCTGGTCAATTCGATCTGTGAGAGCTACTTTAGGGAAGTCTGTCCCAATGCCATAAATCTGAGGAATCACTGCAGGATCCGATATAGAAACATGATTTGGACCAACGCGCACTATTGGACCATAGTCTCGGTGCACTTTTCGATATTTGAACGGTGCTTTTCCTGCGTAAACAAGCCACAGGCGAAACAATCCTGAAAAGCGAGCGATGAATGGACCGGGAACTTGTCGTAATCCCTTTTGGAATGCAGTCCGAAAGACAAGAATGAGGTATGAGATACACGAGGCGACAACCCCTAGAATGAGTATGATATTGGAAACCATAGTTGTCTGCTGTCTGGCGAGACTTTAGTGAAAATTGATGGCCTGGACAATTTCCACTGCATACCTGACTCTGACAAAGCTGAGGAACTATATACACCTCATTTCCCGTCCTTCTCGGCAGAGTAACAACTTTCACCGGGCCATTGTGATGTCCCTGGGGCGATCTGTGGATTATCATGATATGGGACCTTAATTGACACGAGAATTGGATGTGGGCTGCGGGGTCGCTTACGGGTCATAGGGCAGTTAGCATTCTCCTTGTAAGAACTCTTGTTCCCCTCGGAACGATTTCTCGGTGTAGTTTTCTAGTGGTCAGCAGTCCAAGCCTAAGAAAAAAAATTCTAGACCTCCAGGCCTTTTGGGTTGGTGTCATCGACTACGCTTGGTCAAGACTATTACATCCTACATTGCTAAGAAGGATGGTTCGGTTGAAGCTTAGAGATTTGGCTATCTTACACTAGCTTAGGTTATACCTTAAACTTACTCAATAAGTGTTCCCGGCTTGCCGCTTCCCTCCTCCTCACGCCTGAAGCCGAGTATAGCGATCTCCTCAAGGATAAGGCCGTCCTATAGCCAATAGGCTATAACGCACTCAGCTATAACCTCTAATAGATAAATATAGTGATGGTCATAGTATACCCTCGATTTTTAGTAAGGTCTAGTTCGGGTTCGAAAATGAGGTGGAACTCAGCGCATACCCTTCAACCTCCTCTCACGGACCGTCCCTCTGGTCATATTAAGCACACTATTGATATATAAGCATTTTAGATGTGATAATATCTTTCCTGGCTAAAGTACACAATTCTACACTCTTTCCTTAGAAGAAGATCTACCTGTAGGTTAATAGAGCGCACAATTAGTTTTAACAGCACCACTTGCATTATTGTACATACGTCTTTAAATCAATAAGACCATCTTTCGCATTCCCTCATAACTCGAAAGCACCCATTTGGGGGGGTTGATTGGGTTGCAACTATCGGGTTTGAAAGGTATGGTAGGGCCCGTGAGTCACAAGCGGGCAGCAAGAGTTGGTAATGTCTGGTAACACCCGATCGAACACGCAACACGATTATTTCAACCAAAGAATGCCTCCATCAGCAACGATGGAGATTGATAGCCCGTACTTTGTTGTTTGAACGATCCCAGTCTATGCTCCTTCGAATCGACGAAAGAAGAGAAGGGTGTCTTTGAAGTAATGCGCGCGATTAAGGATAGAAATTGATAGAATAGAAACTTACAGATCGGAAGGGTATTGTTGAGATCGAAAGCACTTACTAATAGTTCTTCTTTATCGGGGAGTAGCAGGATAGGCCGAAGGAAAACCCTTAATAAGGTGCACTGAGTGACATCCCCGAGGCTAAAGCAACGATTTAGTTTGCCCTCATACCTTGTCTTCTAGTAAAGGGAAATGATTTTTTGCGCATAACTACTGCTTAGGTCGCACCTTGATTGATGTTGATCAAATGCCACCAACTCCCACTTCCGACGAACACCATGAAACCAATGGAGACTAATATTGAGTTCCTAGATGACCAGTTTGAGTTAACACGACAATGGGAATGCCGAGGGCAAACGAAAGTCCAGGGACAACTAACCTTCCAGGGACAAACAACTTCCGTGGTCACCATGACACTGAAGCCGCGGAGGCAGCACCTTTTCCACGCCTGAATAGTCGAATAACACGGAGGACTATTGCTTGTCGGCGGTCGCTTTTATATAGCCACATTATTCCACGCCATCAAACAGTGTGGCCTACCACCTACTGAAACTCCAACCTCAACAACCGACGATACTCTCTCAAAGTTGTCAGAGATTTCGGCAAACAACAAAGATGGCAGACCATTTTCGCCTTTACTGCCACTACTATTCACTATGCTCCGTCATGGTCCGTTTTAGCAATGCTCTAGTCCGTCCTTTTCCCAAAGAGCGACTCCAGATCGAGGAGCAGATCATTGACATCCAGCACGGAGGACAACTCACTGAAGAATATTTATGCGAAATCAACCATTTAGGGACCGTCCCCGTCCTTGCCGGAAAGACACTTGAGAGGTCACTCACAGACAGTCTGGATATAACGGTCTTCCTGGCCGAACGTTACCTTCCGACGCTAATGCCTACCCATATAGCTGACCAGAGTCGATCCTTACTTGAGGAGATACACGACATTAATTACTTTTCTCTAACCTATACACACAAAGAGCACAGGGTGGCCGAGATGCAAGATGCGATGAAAGCAGCCTGCTCTAATCCAGATATGTCGGACAGGCATCGGAAAGCATTGGAGGATAAGCTTCAGGTGTAAGTCCTCTTTTCTACCCGTTGATTTGCTACCTCAACGGAGCTCGTCTTGTCCCTTCACGGAAGCGGCACCGGTGGCAGTCTTTGCCTCACGAACACGGTCGACTGTTGAATACTAAGATCTAATACCTAGCGCAATCTCATCACAACTACCAGCACTTAGCAACGAACTGGTTGTAGAGGCTGAGGAAAAGACCTTAAAACTTCTTGCAAAGTTGGAGCAGATTCTGATGCAGTCGGAACAACAGTCTCAGACACCATCTCCTTGGCTGTTTGGGACACAGGAGGCAACAGCGCTCGATGGACACGTGGTTCCGTTCCTAGCGCGCCTACTAGATGTGGGTCGTGGTGAGATGCTCGGGAGAAAAGATAGTCGATTGCATAGATATGTGGAGGCTGCGTACGAGACTGAGGCGTGGAAGGAAATCGTAGGGGATCGAACCACAGTATATGCCGGATTTTGATGTCCTAGAATATAGGCATCGAGAAGGTGTCACTGGGGCCTTGCGGGCAGGGCTACTCTGACGAAAAGAAAGCATTGCTAAATGATTATTTCAGCTTGATAAGAATGATATCATACGGGAAAATCAAATCGCACATCTGAAGATCGAGAATTGTTGCATGACAAGCCCGGCAGATATGCCTGGTGGAGCAGAGCGTTTATCTAGGTTACGATATCTTGAACTCTACCACGAAGGCCTTCCAAATGCTTTCACATGGGCCAGGATAGTTGACTAAGCGCGTTCTAGAGATTTGAAGCTCTCGGGGGCATTTTTGGAACATGATCAGAACACGACCGCGCAAATCGACTCTTGTCTATGTATTTACCTCTACTGCCACCGATTTGATGGTTCTCAGAAATGTCGTATAGGGGCTCGGAAATGAGACACAGTATCCCTGGAATGGGTTGCAAGAATGCGCCCTAAACTAGGCCCGCTAGACGTGCTGAGGGCTCAAGTTGCATCAAGTCTGGGCAGTAAGTTACGAGAGAGTTCTCAAATGCGCTCCTGCAAGAATTCACAAAATTTCCCTTATGAGCTTTGATGGTGCTCAAAAGTCAATACAAGACGCACTGAGCAGCGTATGAGGCATTGTGAAAATAGGAAGACATAGCCTTGAACGGCCATCGTACTTAAGGAGCCAACGAGCCTTGACCTATTCTGCAGTCATCATACGACGCCAGGCTGCTGCACCAACTCCCAATTCATTCGATACAGTGACCATGTGAGGATGAGGAGACGTGTTCTGTCTGATACAAAGTCGTGAAAGTTGAATAAAGAGAGACCATGGGATCAATTCCTACTCAATCCGATTCTGTGCTAGTGGCAAATTGACCGTATCCTGCGCGGTCATACTGACTGTAAGTGGTGAAAAAGATTTCCACGGTCCTGAGGCTGCGCAGAGCGCTCGGTGCTGATTATGATCTCAACCCATGTCATCCGCAATGGCCTTGTCTAGTAAACAAACTATTGCTATCTGTGCCTGAAACATCTTTTTCCACAAATCTCAGGTAGTAGCAGGAATTGGAAATGGTGCCGAGAGACACTCTACTACAACGTCACAAGGGCAAAAGAGATGCCGTGAAGGGCATTGACATAGCATCCAGACTCATTTTTCTAAAGGATGCCACGACGGTACAGTGAGTTTCTTTTCCCAAGCCGGCTGGAAGCAGTGAAACGGAAACCGTTTCCATACTGCTTAATTTCTCAGTACGCTAGCCAAGGACTTTACTCTCATAGATTACTTGCTTTCGAAGAGTTTCCGTGCCTCGGCACTCCCCAAAGTCTATTATGATTGGTCCGAGGATGTGTGGAACCCCAAATGGTCATCCAGGACAAGGGCAGTGGCTTGAGGCACGAATATGTATACCATGTCGTCGCCATATCTAAGTGCCTTCCTCGTTCCAGACTATGCACATTCCGTTGACCAAGATCGACTATCTTTTCTAGTCTTTTGCAGGAAACGCGATAATAGCCCATTATGATTTTCTGTTATCTTGGTGGTCACAAACGAAAACGAAAACCTTGCGGCAAGTATATTTTTACCAATCGCCATTCTCAGCGTCTTCTCACTCTGTGCCATCTTGATAACACAATATTTCTCTCCCTTTTGCGCAAAGTTCCGGGGCCACTCCTTGCAGCGGTGGCAGGAACATGGCTATGGAGATTGGATTTGAATGGCACCAGCGTAGCTACCACGTATGACCTGCACCAGAAACACGGGAAAGTTATTCGAGCCCTATTGGTTTCCATATCCTGATGAGCGCTCCAGGGAAATTGGTCAGGATAGGACCTAAGGAAGTCAGCATCCAAGATGCTGAATTGTACACGGATGTCATTTCAAAACTGGGCTCCCAGTTTCGAAAGGCATGTTTTCGTTCTAAAGTATAGGGTTCTGATTAACGAAAGTTTGCCAGTCACCCGAACACTACGACGCCTTAGCCATCGGAGGTCGCAATGTTTTCCCGGTCTCGGATCCCGTGGGTAGCTTCAGTTATTCCTAAGCTCCAGCAATGCTTACAGCTGATGGTGGTGTCTTTCTAGTTCATGATGTTTCCCCGAGTCCAGCAACTTGTACTTCCATTGGTGGCATTACTGCTACTCAGGTCTTGCCAGGCGATATCTCAGCTGAGAAAGGCTCGTTGAACCTCGAAGCGTAAGCTTCTCAAGCTGACATTTTTGCTAGTGAGTCACGGATAGACTCCAAAAGATGAAGACCAAAGATTACGAACTTCAACCCATCTTGGAAGCGCAGGTCGCAATTGCAGAAAAGCGAGGAGTTGAAGTTCCGTTTGCCGAAATTGCATCTATTGCCATCGGAGGCATCGTAGCGGGTACAGACACAACGGGAATTGCCATTCCGGTGGACTTGTGGTCCATTTTCAGCAACGAGAGTATCCAAAAGCGCTTACACAATGAATTGATATCTGTTTGGTCCGATGAAGAGAGACACCCAAGCCTCCAGAGCCTAGAGGCGCTATTGTACCTCCCAGCATGGGTGTTGGAGTATCTCCGGTATGCCTCTCCCATAGCTCCTGAACCCGGTTTTGAAATCGGAGAGCACTACCTCCCCCCATTCACCCGAGTTTCATCCTCCTCTTATCTGGTCCATTTCGACTAGAATGTCTTCAAGGATCCCTACTCATTCAGCCCAGACAGGTGGCTGAATGGAGCAGCTGAAAAATAGTTGGTACCATTCTCCACGGGATCAATGGTGTGTATGGGATCAAGCCTAGCATTGGCAGGGATATATATCGTGCTGGGAACTGTAATTCAATGGTACGTTCACAAGGATACAATTGACAATCGATACGAGTGGTTCGCTCCTTTTTCAACTTCTTTTCCAAAAGGACCGAATGTCAAGCTTGCGAAGAGTTCGACATGACTTACTAATTCCATGCTGCCATTTCGAAACCCCGCTGTCGATGATCATGCGCCAGCAGATGTGTTGAGAACACTGCCAAGAAGGGCACATGAGTAGCATCCAAAGCTGGTTCTAAGATTACGAGCCATACGAGAAGAAACCCCATTTTTAACTGTCAAGTGAAAATGTGCAGGGCATGTGGTCAGGAATTTTGAGACAACAAAAGATGTGAAAAAAAGGCAAGAAGAGATTTGCTACAGCCAAATCTAAATTTCAACTCAAGCAGAGTACATAAACTAGATGAGAAATCAGAAATGCCCCCAATCCTCTGGTGACTATGATGTCGAGTTCGACGACATATTGTCGGAAGATGGATAATGAATCGAAAAGGCAGTAGCATCGAATAACTAACTTTTTTATGGACTCAAGGTGGACATAACAAGACTGAATAGATCTTGAGACTAGCTTAAACTGGAACTATTGCTGTTTGTGCACCACGTAATGAGACAACCGCGTAATGAGACACCCGATTTTGACACGTGCTAAATGCGACTTCTTCTCTTCTGCACCTAATCACTGAACTAATTCACCTCTTCGTACGACAAAATGACCTTAAATCGAGAGACTAGAATTTGCATCGAATTCCAGTTTTCATTATGTAGCGAGACTGCCCAGAGATGCGATCCAAGATAGGTGAACGGTACTGAGATGAGACTTGAAACTCGAAAGTGATGCACTAAGTACTCTAATTCTAAACTTTCTAATTCAAGACTGTAATCATGTTGATGTTTACATTTAGAGGAATTGAATTGCTTCCAATGGGTAGAAGTTGCTTCGGTTTGGACAACGTTGACTCAATCCGCTTCAGGTCCGATACTCATCACGCCGTTCAGATCCTGAAAACTCCCTCTCAATGAGTTCAAGCCGTTCTGGTCGACTCTTTCAAGTAAACCACGAACCTTTTCTGCTATTGAATCACCTTGAAAGCCGAAATGCTCATATGCCGCATCACCAGGCAAGGACTTGCCGAAACTGGACATACTGAACCCGGCATCCGCATATCTCTCCCAGCCATTCACTGCATACGCCTCAATCACAACCACAGGTATATTGCGGCTATATTGCATGACAGACTCACGGTAGGCTGGCGTCTGTATGCCAAAGAGTCTTTGGCATGGGAAGCTAACTATCCGAGCCCTGATCCTATGCTTAGAGAGGACCTCGCGGGTCTGCACTGCGAAAGACATTTCAGAGCCAACTCCAATCAACGTAACGTTTGCATCCGCTTCCTCAATAAAGACGTAAGCACCATGTTGCACCCCATCGCGACTCGAATACCGGGGATACTGAATTAGATTCTGGCGAGAAAGTGATATGATACTAGGTGTGCTTGTAGCCTCGAAAGCAGCAATGAAGGCTCCGGCCACTTCTTCGGAATCACAAGGTCGAATGTACAGGACGTTTGGCATGGCACGATAGAGAGCAGGAAGTGCGATAGGCTGATGTGTCGGTCCGTCCTCGCCTACAATCGTTAGAATCTCTCATGGTATCAAAAAGAGTATGGAGAGACTTTGAAATCCTACCGGTTCCGATTGAGTCATGTGTAGCGATATGAATTTGTTGAAGCCCTTGAAGCGCTCCCATACGCACACCAGCGGCGGCATATATGTAAAACATGAAGAATGTTGACGTGACAGGAAGAAAAGTTCCTTTATTGAACGCAGCTAGACCGTTGGCGATAGATGTCATGGCATGCTCGCGAATGCCATAGTGGATATATCGGCCACTGTAATCGCCTGTCAGGCCGCAGGCTGTTTTCAGATCGGGCTATTGTTAGGATTAGTAAATCGGGAACTACTAAAATTGTTTCGTGATTACAACTCACGTGTTGGAAATCAACGTGTCCTTTCCATGACATATTGACTGAAGGTGTCAAATCAGCCGTACCAACCATCATGTGATTGAGGTTGGTAGCGAGCTGGTTACAAATTAGACCAGCCGATTTCCTCGAAGCGGTCGGTGTTGTAGGAAGGTCACCCTTCACTGGAATCAAGGCTCGCCAGTCTGCCGTAAGCTTGCCTTGCATTCTCAACGTGAATTCTCGTGCTAGATCAGGATAGGCTCGCTCATAAGCATTGATTTTAGCGTCCCATTCTCGCTGATAAGAGTTTCCAAGACTCCGGATTTCCCCAAAGAAGTCCTTCACGTCTTGTGGTAGGTAAAAGTGCTGGTCAGGGTCTAGCCCGAACCCTTTCTTGATATTTTTGACTTCGGCCGGGCCAAAGGCCGCACCATGAGCTTTTGCGTCACCAGCAACAGCACTACCAACCCCAATGACGGTGCGGACATTCACAAAAGTGGGCATGTCTAGGTTTTCCCGTGCTGCGATGAGTGCTCGAGTAATACCCACCACATTTGAGCAACCGTCAAATACGTCGATGACATTCCAGCCGCAGGATTTCATTTTGACGTTGATGTCTTCTGAGCATACTACATCCACCGAGCCGTCGCATGTAATCTAAATTCTTAATTAGCATATAGTTGGACTCCTCGTCCCTTGTGGAAATCTTACGTTGACTCACCTGGTTATTATCGTAAATAATGACAAGATTATTCAGCCTCCAATGGCCAGCGAGCTGAATGGCTTCTAGAGCAACTCCTTCTTGTAAACAAGCGTCACCTATCATGCACCATGTCATATTATTCACCAGGTCGTGGCCAGGTCGATTATAGGTGGCCCCTAGATTCTTGGTTGCCATGGCTAGACCGACTGCATTAGCGACTCCTTGGCCAAGAGGTCCAGTTGTCACCTGTCATCGTTAGCGTGTGGTCGAGGAGGACAGCGCTGTAGACAGCAACAACGCTTACCTCGATGCCTTCGTTCTCAATCTCGGGATGACCAGGGCATAAAGAATCGGCTTTTCTTGAATGATATGACTTCAATTGATCCAGTGTCATTGACTTGTACCCAACCAGATGCATAAATGTGTATTGGAACAAGCATGTGTGGCCTAACGTGGGGAGTTAGTAGCTGCGCCTTTTGTGGTGACATCGAACTGAGTCCTACCATTTGATAACACAAATCGATCTCTATTGAAGTGTGAAGGCTTAAGGGGTGAGTATCTCATCACATATTTCCAAAGGGCGACACCGATAGCTGCCATGCTCATGGCACCACCAGGGTGACCTCCTTTGAACTGCTCACACAAATCTGCAATGAGGCATCGGAAGACCCCCAGGACTCTGCCATGTTGCTCCGATTCTTCGAGAGCCAAGTCACTCTCGCCCACTGTGCGACCAAGTTTTGCAGCACTGGTGACTTGGAGGTTACTTACAACCCTTTCGTATTCCTCAAGTGAAGGCGCCATAATGTGTGGGTGATTGCGACTGGACAAAGTTTGAGTCGTACAATTTCGATAGCACTGTTATCGGTGGTGGATAGTTCGCATCCCCATAGGAGTATAATATTTATGATGGGCATGTGGCAACTCTACGAGCTCGAGATTGACACCCAGCTATGTACCCAATTCTTCGGGATACCATTTTTGGATAACATGGATAGATAACTGCCTAATCTGGAAATTTGTAGCGCTCATACCGTTTCTGTCAACACCGACCCCATCTTAGCCTCTGCTTAGTCTGGGAACCCCAGATTTCGGCCTTACCCCGTTCTAAAACGACCAGGAATTCTTGGACCAGAGTAGCATTTCAGCTGCTGAGACCGGATTTCCAAAATGTCTCGGATTGGTTTTGCACATTAAGCGGGTTTTAGGATAAGTGAACAGTCCCAGAGTCAAAGATTCCTGACTGGTTAAAAGAATACACAAAAAGGCCAAGCCACGAGTTGATATCTATCTTATCGTACGGCTGATTGACCCGACTCAATGAAACTGATACACAAAGAAACCATTAGCAAAACGTGGGTCCGCCTCGCCAGTACAGAACTGGTGCCTTGATCGTGTCGAGATATAGCGAAGGTGAAGAGAGTTCACACAGCCACCGTACAGACTGTTGATGCAGGCCTGGTGCTCTCTAATGCGAAAGTCTTCTCAGGAGGTAGGATTTCGCGTTGAGCGAGGTCGATTAGGGGGATTTTCAAGTCCTACCGAGCCGATCTCATCGAACCAATTCTTGGCAGGGCTATAGCGGTATTCCGAAATCTTTACTCCGTAGGGTTGCTGCGACGTTATCAACAAAACATTCCCGAAGTTAGATATTAAACTCACAGGGTCAACGAGATACAGCATGCCTTGCGGGACATCAATGTGCGGAATGTCTTTCCTTGGTAAGCCATGAAAGTATGCGAGAAGTATCCGAATTACAGCCAAACCGGAGATGAATAACACGTGATTCTTCGAGCCCTCCACGTCTAGAATGATCTTTTTTAGCCGGTGGATGAGATCTCCATATGCCTCTCCCCTAGCACCAGGATATCGGCAAGCGAATTTGCACAGTTGTCGCTTTTCGAACCAGTCCTTGAAGTGATGAAGGATTTCGCATCGAGGGTAACCATCCAAGGCTTCTGCATTCAGTTCGTCAAGGCCCCGTACATGTCTTTTATGGTATGAATCGCCAAAATATTGAGTAGTCTGAACGCTCTTTTGCGACTGAGACGTCCAGATTTCAAATGCAGTAGACAGAGAGTTGCGGTTATCAGCCCAGTTGTGATCCAATGTGCAGGTCCTCCAACTTTGCCTGCGTCTAGCGATAAATTATGAAAGAGATTTTGCAAATTTGAGCCCTTCCGCTGAGAGACAAGAATCACCACCGAGAGTTTCATTTATATCATCCTCTGATTCTCCATGTCGAGTCAACCAAATTTGACGAGGATACAAATGGTACTTCTGAAGAAATTCTGAAACCTGGCAGGACAGAATATTATTGATGTTGTGAGTTATAGTTTTTCGCCCAACATCAATTACCTGACAATAGGAATAGTCATGGTGCTGTTCGTCTTCATCTATTGGAGTGTACCGCTTCTGGTACATCCAGATGCGGCTCTTGAAGTCTATAAGAGCATTGAGGGGGTCTGCGGCTTTGTAATCGAGTCCTGAAAGATTCAAATTGATGTTTGATGTAAGAATCTGTTAGAATTAGCAAAATGCCGCCGCAAGGAGAAATTGAAACGGAAGCTTCATACTGTCTGATTGAAGCATTGAGACTCAATGAAGAGAATTTTCAAGCCTGAATTCACACGCATTACTCGCTTGACGATCATGGCCCTCCTCTCGGTAGTAGTATTGGTGGCATCAAATATAGCGACTTTGCCATCTTCTTGCAGATATTGGAGCAAGTCGTCTAAGACTTCCATAGCTATTTGCTCGCGGATTTGTTTAGCATTTTGATCATCAGGGTCAAAAAAGGCGGCACTATGTGCAACATTGTCCGGCCGGGTTTTGAGATTGTCGCTGTTCAATCCAGTAGCCTCATTCGCTTTCGTGACTGGGTTTCTTCTCTTTTCTCCAACATTGAACACTTTCGTGGGATATTGAAGCCAATTGAGATACCGGCACAACTTTCTTGCGATATAGCTTTTCCCGCGCGCAGGAAGCTCGACCATGACAATGATAAGTTTCTCCTCACCCTGCGGCGGCGATTTTTGATTCTCAGCTCTCGAATAAAACAACCCCTCCGGTCCTTTTATTCTAGGTAAGTCGTGAACGACTGCTGATTCCTGAGTTGGCACTGAGATTGGACAAAGGGCGCGTTCAGTAGCATAATCTTTCCTTCCCTGCTGGTCCTTTTCGGATTCCAACCGAGGGGTTTGATTTCTCCTTCTCATAGCCCCAGCATACCTGAATCCGGATGCGCCATGTGAGGACCTGCTGGATAGAAACATCTTTCAGAAATGGCTGATCAGCTAGAGCCTGAAAACGGTCTTTTCTTGGGACCGTAGGCCAACAATGTGGAGACAAAGGTCATAAAATATGCAATCAGCTTTTTCAATAGCTCAGCGAGATCGCAATCATATGGACCGCGGTAGCACATTGCATGGCACTGTGTTCATCACCGGGCGAACAGAATGTATTATCACGTGATTACAAAAATCCGATCGAGTGCTTGTCGCATCCCAAAATGGAGCTGTAGAGAATTTCCATTTCTGGCAATTCAACGCGCCAGGTTCAAGAACTTCCGGAGGGCCAGATTGAAGCAAGGATTCTTTCAAGTTCAGATTTGACTTTCACCAACACCCCAGAATTCTTTCAGGTCTTGTGCGCGCCACGCCGTTGCCCAACCAGTTTGTTTTTCGAGGCGCTCCAAGGCAGCCAAGATTGCCACGTGCTCTGAACGGTGAGACATGAATTTGCCAGCTATCCAGAGAGGTTGAAGTGCATTGATCGATGCACCGTGATTATCATTCGACAATGCAATTCCACACAGCTGTCGGGCATGCCATATCGTGGATTTGTGTGATTTTGGCATCCGAATCTCCTTTGGCTTGTCTTGGAGCAGCAACAGCATCGAAGCATGGTAAAGCTGGTTGCCGTTCACACCAGCTGGCGTACTGAATAGAATCGCGTTGAACGGGGAGTCCATTTCCTCTTGTGGTGGGGCTAAATTTATCAGGGGTCTCATATCCTCAGGTCGGTCGTCGTACCATCCTTCAAGGACTTCGTAAAGTGCTTTCCAGCGAGACACAAAAGTGCTGTAGTCACTCTCAGCAGTTCGGGGCCAGGGGGAAGCTTCGTTGGAAACCACATTCACCACGCTGGCGCAAAGAAACACCGCGTAGTTGGCGTAGTTGTCACTTCCTGATTTACCTTTGAATTGACTAATTGCTGATGACATTGAGTCGGTGGAGATGAACCAACGATTCGTCGGAATTTTAGTGATAGTGTCGCCGAGGAAGCCTCCCCACACGTCCATTCGAGCAAAACACCAAAATATAGCCTGTCTTACTCCTCCGACAACGCCGTTCACGTCGGCAGCTTCCAAGAGCATGGCGCATCCATCCAAATGCTTCGCCCATGCGCGCGGCGATGAACTCATCATCTCCAATACACACAACAATACGCATGCGGCTATGATCTCAGTGTTCAAACTTGGTAGCTGGACAGCAATGAGTTTGATGGCCTCTTGATATAAATGTAGACTTTCTGTGTGCGTCTTGCTAGGATTTTTCCGTTCGAGCTGACGGGCAGAAAGAGCTAGGATCGAAAATTGAAGATAATCCACATCCTTCGCCATGATGGCCACCGTTGTTTGAAAGTTCTTTTCGCTATCAAACATATCGAGCCACGGGGCAATTTCATCAAGGTAGTTCTGCCAAAGCTCAACATACCGCTTCTGTTTTATGGGGAGGGTCTGCCAGGCGTGCCGAGCTGCTGAAGAATTGGATGTCGCACCTTGTGTGCTCGCATGGCCAAGAAACAAAGGAGGTGAACCCGGGGTATCCCTATGCTGAACAGATTCTATACTACCCCTTCGGGTCAGAGCTTTGTTCCTCGCAGTTTTTACCATATGGTTGTGTAGCTGTGAATGTAACTCTTTATAAGTGTGATCGGGATAATATGTAGAGTACATGTCAGGCGAGCTCGCAACGACAGATCCCGGTATTCCCGGTGAGAACGCTTGACTTGTTATGCCGGTTTGGTTGTAAGCCCAAGGACTAGAAGCCAGCAAATCTAAGTTTGAGGGATTAGAAGCGAGATAGTTCAAGACCTCAAGATCAACATTGCTGAGATCCGCAAGGTTATCATGAACTTCTCCGAAGCTCGGGGATGCGGTAAGTTTGTCTATCAGGTGTGCATGCTGGCCAGTTGCAGGGTTGAAATCTGATGAGCTCTTGCTAGGGTAGGCTTCATTCTGCTGGTAGTGCTCACGGCTTCCTGATGCATCAGGGTTTTGAACATTAGGAGATCCAACGTCAATATCAACATGGGTGGCCTCAGCACGTTCCCGAAAGTCGAACTGATCCGGAGTGAGGAACTCCGGTTGGCCAATACTCAAAATGAATGGTGGGTGCTGTTCAATGCTGTTACCGTCTTTCACAGTCTGGTCCTCTTGACAAGTTGGTAATATTTCTCCTTGATCTTGTTCGCCTAAATCTCGAAGGCAACCATCTCCTGCATTGGCTCCTGCGTCTACCTCCATGTCTAGATGTAAGTTGCCAGAACCGGACTCCAGCTCCGGAATAGCAGTTTGTCGTCGAGTCCGCTTTCTGCCACTGGGGCCAAATTCGACGTCGATTATCTAAAGAAATCAATGCCTTCCACGAATAGTACGTACCAGGCAAGAACTGACCTTGAGTTCCGAGCTCGTTGTTTTGCGTTGAGGGCCAGCTTGTACCATCGAGGGATGTTGGGCGTGAATTCCACCATGGCGGAAGGTGTACTCAGATTGCCACTGGCAACTGTCCCGAAGTTTCGTACATCTAGTACAGGAAGGCTTCTTTTCGTCGCCTCAAAAGACATTAGAAGGCAAACGATCTTAGGGCATATGATTATCCATTCACATTTTTTTCGCCGTTTCCGGCAATTCACACAACCCGATCGACCTCGTGAGCTTTTAGTGGTCCGAGTATTGACATGATCCATTCAAGGTATGCGCCAGAGCGTATTCATGAGTCACCGTCAGATGCTAATAGTGTTCGTGTGGTCATCAACAGATATAAAGCGTGGTCAAATTGATGCTGCTAGAGAGAAGTTTCTCCACAGATCTGCCCCAGTGGGAAGCCTTTTAAGCTTGAGCGCCCTGTTACGTGATCTAACTCCCTAGTTAGGAATGGATGCTGAAACCTCCGCAACTATCATCCACCCCGCATTCCCGCGCCTGGGCAATTCCTTATGTCTAAGCCGATGCACAGTGTCCGCCGTCTACCCGAAGATCTGAACCAGTCATGAACGCACTCCCATCTGCCAGAAGAAACACCGCAGGGGCTTTAAAATCCTCGGGTGCTCCTAGGCGACCAAGGTGTGCCCCCATCATCCACAGTTTCTCGATTTCAGGCTTCTCTTCCAGGAGTTGATCGGTCATGGCTGTTCTTATATACCCAGGGGAGAGACTATTCACCCTTATGCCATGAACTCCAAATTCCATCGCCAAAGAGCGACACATCTGTTGTACCGCAGCTTTGGATGAATTATATGCCGAACAATGGATTCCCTGAAATGGTCAGGAGCAGTCATTGCAGTGGTTTGTCAAGATAGTACACTCACACGGTTGGCTATTTGACCGGACATGGATGCGATCAGGACCAGGCTGCCAGAGTTTCCTTCATCCCGCATGAGACGCGCAGTGTGTTTAGCAAGTAAGAAACTTCCAGTCACATTAACATCTAGGATCCTTCTGAAGCCTTCCAAGGGGTATTCCATTGCATCAATCATTTGTTGGATACCAGCACAGTGCAAGAGGCCTCTTATCGGCTTGCCTCTTGTTTGAGCGTATTCTGCTGCTTGAGCAAGGCTTGAGGAAACAGCGCTCTCGTCGACAACATTGCACTGAAGATATATAGCCGAAGCCTTGGAGCTTTTCTGAATTCGAACAATGTTGGCCCAATCTTCTTTGCTAGGTTCGGGTAAGATGTCCAAACAGATAGCATCGCCTCCCGCTTCAAGCACTGCAGTTGCAAGTGTGATGCCAAGCCCCCTTCCAGCCCCAGTAACTACCACACTTCGACCTGCAAGAGAAAACAGCTTCGTTGTGGGCGCTCTTGCAGGTGTAAGGCATGATTCTATAATATGATGAGGCAACACCGTGTCAGAGGCGGGTTCGACCGAGGTTGCTATAGCCATTCTGAGGTTAGAATTTCTGGAGGAGGTGTTACTGGTAAATGTGGAAGAAAGAGAAGACTATTGGAGGGTGTTTCAGCTGTCGTTATTGTCAAGCGATGATTTTATCAACTTGCATACATTGGACAACCCAGGGCAGACAGCAAACTTGAACAAGACCCCAGATATTGGCGGACGTCCAGCTCTTGACTTAAAATTTAGCGCCGGCGACTCGGTATCGCCGTATTTGGAAAACAATCTATCCAGAATTGTAAGCCGAAGGAATTGCCAAAGGCAGCGAATTTACGCGCCACATAAACCGGTCTTGCAGACATTCGAAGTCTGGCCCTGCCGCTAAGTTTACGAGGCAGGAGCTTATTCCGCAGCCATGACTCGCCAATTACTAAAAGAGAACATATGGAGCGCCACCTTCGTTGCTCCCCGTGTCCATTCTCTTTCCCCCAGCTAGGACATCGGGGAAAAGAGATCCCTCAACTTTCATTGTATGGTGCTTTCCGTATGCGGGGATATCTCGCCCCCGCCTGAGCTACATCCATTCCTCCCTGCTCTAGCCTTCCCCTACAAGATCGCTCTAGGTCTGGAATACACATGAATATAAGACTATGAATCCCCAAGCTCTTCGCCCAATGTTTGTTCAATCCGAAAACGATCATAATACATATTCATCTCAGTGTCACGCTACCTCAAACGCCATACACAAGACTAGCAGCCATGTCTTCCCTCACCGGACCTGCCCTTGATTGGGCCATCACTGCGGCGGCAGGATCAGGCTTCTTGCTTTTTGGATACGGTAAATCTCCACAAGCTACACTCGAGCTATTAATTTTCAACGCTAATCCCATCTCCAGACCAGGGCGTAATGTCAGGGCTTCTTACCGGCTTAGCGTTCACCAAGCAGTTTCCGGAGATTGATACTACAAATGGCGCCAATGGCAGTGCTTCGCTTCAGGGCACTGTGGTAGCTATCTACGAAATTGGATGTTTTTTCGGCGCGATCACAACGTTTCTATTTGGTGAAAGACTGGGAAGAAGATGGTCTATAATCTATGGTTGCATTATACTCTCTATCGGCGCTGTTCTTCAAACAACCGCTTATGGAATACCGCAACTCATCGCGGGCCGAATCGTGGCTGGGATAGGAAATGGCATGAACACCGCCACTATTCGTAAGTAGAATGATGCGTTGAAGGTTTGTGCTCTGGTCTAACGCGATATAGCGGTGTGGCATTCAGAACTAATGAAACCTACGGATCGAGGTAGAGGTCTCTCAGTTGAACTCGCCATAACAATCCTCGGAGTTACTATATCTTACTGGACAGGTAGCCCACGACCGATATTCTTGATACCCTCTCGTTGCTAATGTGCCTTCAGACTATGGTATGAGTTTCGTCAGTAGCGAGGCGCAGTTCCGCTTTCCCATTGGATTTCAAATTTTCTTCGCTATACTCACAATGATCATGGTCTTCTTTCTCCCCGAATCGCCTAGATGGGTAAGTGGCATGCTCGTTCGATTGAGGGCGCGGCTAATTACGTCAAGCTTCTTGCTCACGACCGGGCTGACGAGGCACGAACGATCCTATGGAGATTGCAGAAGAAAGCAAAGTCGATCTCGCCCGAGAATGCCGTTATTGCTGCAGAATTACGAGAGATTCAGCAGGCTCTGGAAGAAGAAAGAGCTGCGGCTGGAGGTACGACCATTTTGGCACTTTTCAAGTCTAGTCCACAACGGTTCCGTCGTCGAACCTTGCTCGGCATTGGTGGTCAATTTATGCAGCAGCTCAGCGGCATAAACTTGATCACATATGTTAGTTCATACTTTCCCAATTGTGTGTTCTACCTAACGCTGATAGTACGCACCTGTTATATTCGAAGTTTCAGTTGGTATTCCACACAGCACAGCTATGTTGCTCGCTGGATTCAACGGAATAGCCTATCTACTGTCTTCCTTGGTGCCTATCTGGTGCCTTGATAGACTTGGCCGTCGTAAGTTGATGATCTTTGCCTGTGCCGGTCAAGCTGCTTGCATGGCAACCCTCGCAGGCACTGTCTCGAATGGAAGTAAATCGGCAGGGCTCGCAGCTATTGTGATGCTATTTCTTTTTAACTTTTTCTTCGCTGTGGGCCTTTTGGCGATCCCATGGCTACTACCTGCCGAATATGCTCCGCTGGCAATCCGAACTAAATCTGCAGCATTGGCCACAGCGTCAAACTGGATCTTCACCTTCTTGGTAGTGGAAATTACACCAGTATGGTTCTTAATATGTACACTTAGCTGAAGAAGGGAGACTAACACTGTCTGAACAGGTTTCGATCAAGAGCATTACCTGGCGCACTTACATATATTTTGCAGTCTTCAACGCTGCCTTCATCCCCCTAATTTGGTTTTTTTACCCCGAGACACGTAACCTATCTTTGGAACAAGTCGATCGGTTATTCACAGGCGATAAAGTCTTACTACATTGGAAGCCGAGTATGGGAGAAAGACAAGGGTCCTTCGCTGCTGAGGCTATTAGTGAAGAATCGATCGTCCAAGACGTGGAAAAGCGAATCAACATCCAACATCATGAATCCTAGACTAGCCAAAAGAGACGCACAGTGGAACATCAGCGGACTACACCAGGAGTACAGTGGAGATGAAGGGGGTGGCAGGGTTGGCTATTTGAGCCGGCCGCGACGTCAAACTATTGGATATGAGCCTGACCCTGGGGAATTTACAGCCAAGCACACTTTACTGCACCGTCTCTTTCGTTCGAGTTCTAGTTTTTGAAAGTAGAGGCGCTGTGTGTAAGGATCTCAGTTGTTACAAACATGATCTACCACGCGACCTCCACCCAGAAGGGATGGTGATCAGGCGACAGAGCCTTGTCAGCAAGGGTCACGTAATGCAGAGGTCTAGAAGAGGAATTGTTTAAGTATAGTGCGAACTATTAACATAGGAATTTAAAGGCCTCATGGAGCTATTAGCACATACACTCCTTTACCTTTGATAGAACTACTTGCAGTTAACTTTGGCGTTCGTTAATAACATTCATCCTTTGATTAGCTAATACCGATCAATGATCAGATCCGCGGCTACGCTTTGGGTGGCTTCGCACCTCGGCAGGATTAGTTGCCGCTAGGAAATCGGGACCGGCTTGGCGGCCGAATTTGTTCGGCCAAATGAACGCCCTCTCTACTACATTCACATAGTACCGGCTTTCCGCTCCTCACCTCGCACAGGTGTGGCTGTTTGTGAAATCTGCTCTACCTTTGCGAGGGTTGATTCCTAGATGAGCCATGACTTCGCCTTCGCCACGTCGGTCTAGCACCGTTAAAGCACCGACGACCCGTCGGCCAGTGGCATGCAACCACTGCCGGGCGAAAAAGATACGATGTAAGCCTATCACCATGTCAGCTCTGGTCGCTTATAGCCGTACTTACGCTATCTTTAGGCAATGGCACTGTTCCATGCAGCAACTGCCTGGATCGTGCCACGGAGTGCACCGTCACCGTAAGAAAGAGGCATCGGCAGATCCATGACAGCCAGTCATCGAGTTTCCCCCGCCATAATAGTATCCCGCCAGAAAGCCCTTCAGCGCTGCATCATCGCTTTCAAGGTAGCCTCCCTCATAGAAATACAAGTGCCTCGGAAAGTCCTTTCAGTGCCGACCATACTGCAGCTGCACGGCAGTTGACGGGTCAGCCACCGAGCCATGGCGTTGCTCTTGAGACAACCGTAAGTCAGTTATCAAAATAAAAGGCCCGGTACCCATGAGCCATAAGAGCTCTTGAAGCATCATATTGAGCTTAAACCCTTCGCATCCATCCGCAATGCTTTTCAATTTTCTTAGTGTGGTCCAACACAAAGCCAATTTATCATAGGATCATGAACCGGGAGACCGTCGGTATCACAGGCAGCCAACTACTAGTATTTCACAGCCATTAATCTTCATCCATCATCAGATCGATGGTCCAGGAATGCCTTCCCAACAACATCATGAGCCAAACCCAGAGGTTGCTGATGTCGACGCAGTTGAACAAGACGAGAGCAGCATTTATGCCACAGACGCAGTGAGTTTCGCATTCGTCCAATTCCATCATGCTCCGCACACGGAAGGCTAATCTGCCCATTGCTGCAGCTGAATGTTGAGTACTATAGTAATAAATCCTTGCCCTTACCAACATCACCGCTCAAGATCGACGCTCCTAATTGTCCTTGGAGCAGGTCCTCGCAGTTTTCTGTCCTTCTCCTCCCAGCCTGGAGTGAACTGGATCAATTCAAAGGTGAAGTCGCCGGAATTCGCGAACGTGGCCATGCGAATCGTCATGACCTTGGCGGGAATGCTGAAGATGAGCCGTACCCCATCGGCTACTCGCGCACCAGAGCCTGCACCAGAGATTGCGTGGGAATACACCGAAGGTATGAGACTAACCTACTAGCAGTTTCCTCCGTGTCAAGGTGTCTAGAATTTTCACTTACGATTTTACCTCCACACAGCGTACTTTGAAGAGGCGCTCGATGCAACGTTTGGCATTGTCGAGCGATCTTGGTTTGAGTCTCGACTCCGTGCCCATTTTCGCGGCGAACTCCCGGACGATAAGTCGTGGTACGCGTTGCGCAATGTCCTATGGGCAAGCGGGTGTCGAATAGCGCTCTCGAAATCATCGAGTTTGAGTTTTCGAGAAATTTCGAATGCTTCAGGAAACTTGTTCGAGAATGCGCTGTCGGTACACACAGAGATCCAAGTTTTGCGAGCATCCATGGTAGGGGTGCAAGCACTGATTCTAATGGTAATGGTTCCACCGAAAGATAAAAATAGCAGCGAGTCTGACGCATCTGTCCTCATAAGGCATACTATAGCGAAGGAATGGGTAAGGTGTCGTTGCAATACATCATGTGCTCCAACGCAATGCGCATGGCCTGTTCAAAGGGCCTTCACAGACGGCCTCCGCGGTCTTGGAACATCTCATCCCATGAAGTGCAGCATAGAAATTGGATTTTCTGGTCCATATATTGCCTGGAGAAACAGATATGTACACGATCAGGTCGCCCTTCGGTATGTCATACTGTCCTATGCGAGGACGGAGCCTGACTGACCGGCCAATCACTCACTAGGTGATGGATGACGATGAGATTGACTGTCAAGTCCCAGACCGTGCGCTGGACGGCGGCGACGGGAACACAATTTATTGCCGCTTACTTACTGAGATGATGCAACTCTCATCCACAGTTAGAAAGCGGCTCTGTACCCCTCGCGCTTTGCAACAGACTCCAGAACAATTGTTCGACATCGTACGCGATCTGACTAAGAGGCTCGACCACCTAAAGAACCACGCACTACACCAATCTAAATTCAGCCTCGATCGTCCCCTCGACACTTTCCGGCTGCCAGATATCGGCCTTACTTTGCGTCAAGTGCAATCGCTACAATCCCATTACTTCTGTCTTGTGTTGGATATAAATACCCCGTTGACATATCCTTGGTCAGCTCTTCGTTCACGCATAGAACAAAGCACATCCGCCTTGGCTCGGATCGAAGGATCATGCAGGGCGGTAGCACAGGCTGCCCGGTCTGCAATCCTTGCAACTCGCCAAATTAAAATTGATGCCAGTTGTCCTGCAATGTAAGCGTTGCCGCCTGAGTCGGTGAAACTCGGTTGTTCTTCAGAAAATACCGGCCCTCCCAATTTGTGGCAGCCATTGCTAATAATATAGGCAGGATCGCACAGTATACTCCAGCATACACTTTCATCAACCTTTTTGTTCAAATACTGCAGGACGCCAATGCACCGACAACAAATTCAGATCTAAGACTTCTAGGTAAGGATTGTATTATTTTTTTTATTCATGATCGACCACTTGCGTGTTTCTGGTCGCTCTCCGATGTTCTAGGCTAGAGCTTTTTGATGAACCTTCAAGTTTCTGACGGTTCGGATGCAGATGTGTTGCTGGGCTACGTCTCCAACGTTGAATTAATTACAGATCTAGAAGTATCACTCTTATTTGTCCGGGATATGTGCCAGTTTGCAAGGCTGGCGGTAGATCGTAACAACAAGGACAAGGACAACCAAGCCAACGACCTCCCAGCTGATAATGAGAGCCTGCACTTGCAACCGCACTCTTTCACATGGAATCAAGACTTAGGGCTCTCGGTAAGTGTCCCTTTGATGTCCCATTTTCATTGAAATCAGAGTTTAAGCCGCTTTTCCAAACATTTCCACCAGGTTTCACGATGCTAGCAGGAACTGATATGAATTTCTATAGGAGAATGATTTTCTCGGTGCATTTGGTGATGATACTTTCGAAATGTGGAATACTTTACTTCCATTTACGGATACAGACGACATCCTGTTCTGATGGCTGGTGTAAAATTAGCATTGGTAGGAGCAGATTATACGTAAGATCTTTAGGGGTTCGTGAATTGTGACACTGGTTGACGTTTGAATTGGAGACGCATGGACTGCGGCGGGAAAACCATGTATCTGTCGTTATGGATTAGTGATGTAAATCCATCAAGGCGGCGCTCTCTCATTCGTTCTTTCTGCTGAGACTCGTGGTCCTCACTGTTCCCACGACCTCAACCCTTCAACAATAAGAATCGAGGTCTTAGCTTGGTGGTGCTTTGATTCCAAGGAGCTGTTCCGCATTTTTATAGGCGATAAGCTCGAGTTGGCCTTGGGTCAGCAGGCCGCTGCTTTCAAGGTCTGTGAACCACTTCAGGCCTTGCTCGTTTGTCGTGAATGGATAATCAATACTGTACATGATCCGATCAATCTTGGTGTTACTGAGAATACAGCGCATGGGGTCTAAGCTCCAGCACGCAGAAGTTGTGATCCATATATTCTCGTCCCACACCATTTTGAAAGGCCGTTCCCGGCGACCCATGATCAGCTCTTGATCACTGATCCGCTGAAGCATGAAAGGCATCATCTCCCCGAAGTGACCCAGAATTAGCTTAAGCTTGGGGAACTTATCGAAGACTCCAGCCGCATGCAATCGGAGCACGTGGACGCCCACATCACTGTGCCATCCCCACATAGCACCTCCTATGACAGTGGCCGATCGAATCGGATAATTGCCAGTGTAGCTTTGTGCGAGGAGATCTTCTGTCGGCCAAGAAGGATGTAGATAGACCGGCACGTCCAACTCTTGTACCTTTTGCCAGAAGACATCATATACTTCACCATCGTAGAATCTAGCTCCAACGGAGACCTTATTATCAACCAGGGCACCCACAAAGCCAAGCTCTTTGATTGTACGCTCAAGCTCGACGGCAGCGGCCATCGGATCCGCCATGGGAAGCACGGCAAATCCAGCGAACCGCTTGTTACACTCTTCGGATTTCGATATTTCCTTGGCCAAGTGGTCGTTTCCTGCTTGGCAGGCCTCCAGTGATGGAGTATCTGCGGCACAATGCGATATGACTTGAAGCGAGACCTTGCCTTGATCCATTTCCTCCAGCCGTATCTTTCCAGCGTCAAACAGCCGGTCCAGTGCACCGGGCCATTTGGAAATTCCAACTTTCATAGAATTGTTGAAGGAGTCAAAGATCGCCTTTGAGTAAAAGTGCTCCTCGAGCGCAATAAGTGGTGGCGTCATCTTGATGTGCGCAAACACCTGGTCGTACCCTGCAAGATACAAAGGCTAAGAATTTGTGAAGCGTATAAATCACACGAGGAAAAGTCACAGTCTTTCTTCATATTCCAGTTGTTTGTTTCCACGGTGTTGATTGAAGAGATGGACACCAAATGCCGACTCGTCCCGGCCGACTTTTGTTCTCGAAACGTTCGGCATTCAATTATCAAACCTTGTGCCAGCCACCACAGGCGATTTCTACTGCTCGGCCCGGCAACCACTGACGTGTCCCACCGACAGCCCGAGATCTAGATATGAGAGCAGCAAAGATTCTAGAATATGCTCAACAGCCGGACATTGTCTGAGGTAAGAGATCGGCCCGGTCATGCTGATTCCTGGTATGCTAATTTCTCTATCTTTGAGGTAGGATTTGTTCTTTCGACCTTCCACCATTGGTAGTCTGTCTTTCATCCTGTTTCATCCTTCTCATCCTCCTAACTAATCTCGTGAAGTCACTACCATCTCCATGTCGCTCCCTGTAGCTGTCGTTACAGGCGGCTCGTCCGGTATAGGCGAAGCTCTGGTCAAAAACCTCATCTCCTTGAGCTGGAGAGTCGTTGTAGGAGACATGCAACCACCAAAAGAGTCCAACCCCAACATTTTGTATGTTCAGACCGACATATCATCCTGGGAGCAGCAAGCGGAGCTGTTTCAAAAGGCCTACGCGTGGGGCAAGCGACTGGACTTCTGTGCACTGAATGCCGGTGTCGATGACCGAGACAACATATTCAACACTCTCTCATATGACCTGAACAAACCACCGCTGCAGCCGAACATAACAGTTTTCTCCGTCAACATTATTGGAACGTATGTAAAATATGCCATTGCCCTCCCACCCTTGACTCACTCTTCTCATACGGCAAGAAACGAAAACTATGTTGACTAAACCATGGATCTCAATCATACAGATACTATGGTGTCAAGCTTGCGGCACACTACATGACGGTACCGTCTCTGGAGGCTGGCAAACCTAAGCCTGGCGGCAAGATCGTGATCACCGCTTCTGGTGGAGGCATTTTCCCGCTTCCTGCGATCCCTCAATATACGGCCAGTAAACATGCACTGGTTGGCCTCGTTCGTGCTCTCGCAAGGAACCCAGCCTCGATCGCTGCCAATGTACGCATTAATGCCGTCTGCCCTTCAATTGTCGATACTCCCGGCCTCCCACGCGGGCTTGTTGAAAAGCTTCCTCCTGACCAAATCACTCCAATGAGTACGATTTTACAGGCCTTTGATGCTTTGGCCGAACTTGGGAACGCTCAGGACGAGGGCTGGGTCCAGTATGGGCGCGTTGGCGAGACAGTGGAAGCAAATGTGCATGAGTTCATCTGGCACACACCTCCGCCTCGAGCACAAGGGACGACTAACAAGTTTGTCAGAGAAACTGGGATCCTGGCAGTCGCGGAGGCTTACAGTGAGAAAGCACTTCAGAGTCACGCCAAATAACTAGGTTAGGTTGATCTGTCCTCCAAGAGGATTCGCAGCCTGTGTGACGTTTCACTTTAAGTCTCTCCTCTTAGATGGTGTGACTTGATTAGTGGAATGCACTTGTTGATATCATCTGTCGGGACGATGCCAAGATTACCGTCTCACATTTCAAATTGGTGTCATTTATCTGCTTAAGAATTTTATAGCTTTTGGCTTTTTTGACTGGCCTATTAACTTTGCCGTCGCATAAATACCTCATTGCACATTGTGTTTAATTCAGGGTTTGCACCTATTGGCCACCTTGCATAGAGGCAACGCTTTCTACTCTGGACAAGTCACTCTGCATTTCCCTGGAAGCAATTTCAAGCAAGAATCCTGCAATCAGACATGTTCGCTGCTGACAGATTTATCAGGATGTTTCTATTCATCTCGGCCATGATCGCGCGTCAATCGAGTTGGAATCTTCTCGTCCGCAACTGCGACAGCCGTGTGATTGGTGAAGTACGGCGAAGGATCCAGAACCCATAGGGACACAACACATGCGATAATGAAGAACGGAATTGACGCATACCACACGTATGCGAAAGCGTCACTGTATGCCCAACGAATAGCTTCTCTACCGGCCGCGACGACGTCTGGTGGGAATTGCGCCAGCCTTGAAGGAACCCTGGACTGAAAAGCCGTAATAAGCTTTCCCAAGTCACTGGCTGGATACCCTAGCGGAATAACGGCCTCTGCAACCCTCTTTTGAAGACTTATGGGAAGTCGGTCGTTGAGGATCGTGTTGAAGATGGTGCTTCCTACAGCGCCACCGAGATAACGCATCGCGCCTTGTAGGCCAAACGCGAGACCAATGTCTCGCTGCGGCACATGCAGACCCACGGTGACATACCCGAGCACAATGATCCACGTGAAAGGAAGATTCGCGAGGGCGTGAAGAAACAAGCCAGGAGCGATCCGGTCTGGGGTCGCAATGGCTAATAGCCCGCATCCAAGAGCCTGGATTGCATTGGCAGCCAGGAATTGCAGAGGAATGTGCTTGATCCGTGGAACCAGACCGCCCAGAACAGTACCACCAATGAGACCACCAACTGCCGCGGGGACATTGTACCAACCGGCAAGTATTGGATCCGATGTGAAGACGAAGAGGATCTGTTGAGGGATAAAGGTGGTACAGGCTATATGTGCTAATCCTGATGTGAACATGATAATGATGAGAGAGTTGAACTCTCTGAACTTTTGGAAGAGTCTGTAGGGGAAAAGCGGCCGTGTGTTGTCTCCTCTGGTGAAGTCCCACGCGAAGGTACAGACAAACAGCACTGCGCCGATGACGAGAGGAGCGATGACAGCAGCACTCCTCCAAGGATGTTGAGCCCCGGCCCAGCCGAGGCCGAGGAGGAAGAGGGTAACTCCTGTCGTGTAGAGAAATATGCCAACGTAGTCCAGCTCATAGAGGACCTGCCGTTTTGTGCGGTCTTGGAAAATGCGTCGAGGTGGCTGATAGAAAATGAGAGTCCCAACAATCGCGACAACAGCTACAATGTCACCTAGGATAAACAGCCATCGCCACGTGGCGCGGTCTGTAAGGACTCGGGCCATCAGCGGGCCAAATATAGCCAAGATGGCAATCTTTGCCTCAATCATGGCGATCCCAGCCGATCGCCATTTGTTTGGTAGAATTTCGGAAACCCCTGCAAAGATGCTGATGACGCCAAGAGGTCAGTAGTGTTCATGACATCAAATACCTGATTGAAGACAGGGCGGAAACATACACAAAAGTCATGCCAGTTCCGACTCCAAGGAGCACCATTCCGGCGATAACCTGGTTGAAAGTCTGCGCGGTCGCTCCGACGAGGTGGCCCAAGAGCAGAAATGTTTGGCCCAGCACCACCACATCCTTTCGACCCAGGTAGTCACTAAGTTGACCAGCGATGGCAAAGGCTACGCTTCCGCTCAACGAGAATCCGCCAGCAATCCAATTGACGTTCTTCAAAGAGCCTTGGAGATCCAGGGCGACCAGCGTGGCCACGGACAAGAAGGAGTTCAAGGTGAAGCCGAGGGACGAGATGAAGGTCAAACCAAGAAAGAACACAGCTGCCCACGTTGTGAGTTTGACTCTGCCGTCTGCATCTGCATCATCGAGGGCCGCCCTGTGAGGGTCGCCATGATCGTCGTGGATGTGTGAATCAAGAACCTCCTCGCCAATTTTGTGCTTTTGAGGCGGCTGTTTTTGCTCCACCGAAATGGTCTCGAGGTTCTCGTTCTGGATAGAGTCGCTTCCCATGTTGTGTTTGTCGTGTGCTGTAACTCACTGCTAATAGTTGATTTCAGGACAAAGGCAAGGCAAGGCTAGACTAGGGTATTTAAGTCAAACCAAACCATGTAAACTTCCTAGGTATTTTGACGAGTCGCCGAACCGACCGAATCAGGATAAAGTGGAGGAGGCTTCCCCGAGATCCCACGTCCTTGGCTCTGGGGGCTCCGCGCTTGCAATACCCCGGAGCAAGGGCAAGCATGTCACATGAGGGATCCAAGCTGTAGTGCTGGGGTCAATATTGAGAGCCGGGCTTGTTTCTGCACTTACGAAATGTATTAGTGGATCCCTTTCAAATCTGGTGGCACACGAACCGTTCGATCTGGCGGAGAGCAAGAAACATAAATCTGATTGATGCTACTCTACTGCGCAAGCCGTTGAGCTGCCGATGATTCTAAAGACGCGGGACTGATTCAACACCCCTTGGACCAATATCGGGCCGGTACAATAACGTTTCCCTCGAGTCGCCCGCCACAATACGGCCAATAAATTCCTCCGGGTCAATATCGACGCCAATGGGATTGTGAGCAAAAGCAGGTGATCGCATGTACTTGTCGGCCTCGTCGTTATCAGTGAAGACATCCACTTGAGTTTCAAGGATATTTCCATCAGGATCCGCGTAATAGAGGCTTATTGTCAAGCCGTGATTAACGCACCAGAAAGGAACCATTCCCTTCGCCTTCCTCTGCCGATATGCAAGAAATAAGTCCTCCAAAGAGTCAAACGTGAAGGCAATATGCTAAAACGTAATTAGAATCAGCAGGTGGTCTTAATACGACGAGGAATGCGGCTTTCGGGCTCGAGATTCTTACCTCTAGCCCGCATGTTCCTCGATCTTTTGGCTTCAAGTTGGGCACCTGAGCAAGGGCAATCCGGTGGTGCTCGTCGTCATATGTAATGAAGGCAAGCACGTCATTTTCATGAACCATCTTACCACCCAGGAATTCTTGGTAAAAGCTCCCCATTGCAGTCTTGTCGCCTGTTCTCAATACGATGTGTGCAAGTTTTGTCGGGCGTACCTGAGGTACCGATATGTTGTCGAAGTCGAAACCCATTGTCGCCGCTATTTGCGCTATTAATTGTGCTACCTGCTGATGTTCCCGTATCAGACAATGTCGAGGACACCTCTTCTGTCTGTGACCTGAGCTTCATACACAAGTTGGCGCTTGTCTTCTGTGTCGAGCAAAACTAGAATCAGGTTTTAAGCTCGGTCATGCAAGAATATCAGCCACCAACGTTTGCACCCGACCAGTTTCGAAGGGATACCCACGTCAAAACTTTACGTGGCATAGTCAGGTCTACTCTTGATGCAATATCTAATCTCCTCGGCATATTGAGCTGCCTACGGAGGAATTGTACCCCGAGCACGACGAATCCGCGGTGCGGTTTTCGTTTTGAGTCGGCTGTTCTTTTCGCCGCGGGTTGGCCAGAACTCGCACAAGTCTCGCCCAAAGCGGTCGGCTGCAGGCAAGATTCTAGAGCTCGAGAATAACCAATCGAACTGCCCTCAATGAGACATGTGGCATGGAGATGGGTGAATTGGATCGAGGTTGAGCATGACTAGGGTTTTGACGCATGGCCAAAGCGGAAGCATCTTAGAAAGTTGGACAGCCTCTTTCATGATAAGGGACGACCTGGAGAGCATTTTTCGTGTTGCCGTTTGCTGTCCCCATGTGCTATCAGTATGACGATTGATGCTTTTGTTCGATTCACCACTCCGAGTGGAAACATCCATTACGGCTCTGTGACCCTTCAGCAGCTCACAACTCCTCTCCAGGGGCAGTATGTGACTGTATTGAGTGGAACCCCTCTGGCTGGCTTTCAAGATTCCGAAGAGAAGCAGCAGGTAGACAAGGTTCGTCATGGTAGTCTCGGCAGAGACACTGTTGTACTGGGGGACGTAAAATGCTAAGTGCGAGTTCATCACCCACAGGTCCTCAGTCCGATAGAATCGACACCTCTGATCATCTGCATCGGGTTGAATTACAAAAGACATGCCGAGGAAGGCAAGAATACGATTCCAGATTATCCAGTGGTATTTACAAAGCCACCCGATGCTCTCGCTGGTAATACGGTGCCCATAGTCCAGCCTCACACCATATCACAAACACCCAACCAACTCGCTAGGGTTTCCACCCGTAAATGCTCGAAATCAGCAGAACAGGTCATAACTGAAGTTTGCAGGTCCTTACGACACCATCCCAGTGCACCCTAGCGCTCAGAGCTTGCTTGACTACGAAGGCGAGTTGACCGTCATCATTGGTCGTGACGCTAAAAACGTGTCTGCGACCGAGGCTCTCTCTTATGTCCTTGGCTATTCCAGCGGCAACGACGTGAGCGCACGAAACTTTCAGATCAAAAGTGCCAGCGGAGGACAGTTTTGCTATGCAAAATCCTTTGACCGCTTTGCGCCCATCGGACCCGTAGTCGTGTTGGCTCACAAAGTGCCGAATCCCCAAGACTTGCAACTCTGGACCAAAATCAACGGCCAACTCAGACAGCAGACAAATACAGACGACATGATTTGGACCGTGGCTCAGATAATTGAACACCTGAGTCGAGGGACTACACTGAGACGCGGCACGGTGATCATGACAGGCACACCCAGTGGCGTGGGGTGTTTCATGGAGCCGAGAGGACTCATCCACAACGGAGATGTAATCGAAGTTGGAATTGACGGACTGGGTTCGCTAGCAAATAGGTTCAATTTCGAGGAAAGTCGGATACCTTCGGGCAACCTTTGAGGACGGAGGGTGTTTCTATAAACAGCCTGTATCCTCCTCGACGCGAGATGTTACACAAACGCATGAAATAGATGCTCATCAGCCCCAGCTGTTCTTACACGTTAAATAGAAGATCAATGCTCTTCTACCTCTTAACTGGAGCCAAACGGGAGCCAAGCACTCAGGAATGCCTGTTAGCTAATGGCTGTGATAATTACAGATTCCGAAAATGCTAAGGCATGTACTATTGTATTGGGGCTCGAGGCGCTTAGTCATGAAAGAAGAGAGAAGGGGCCTTGGCATAGAAGAACAAGCAAGTGAGGAGGAAAGCAGACAATCTAGAAGGACGAAAACCGACCTCACGTACGAGAGCGTGCGTTGAGTATTAGACAGCAGTCATGAGAGCATAGTTTGCAGAATTGAGAGCATTTTTCCCTCTACGAGTTCGGCTGTACAACTATACAGCCCAAGTTTCAGTGGCAGTGACCTTTACGAACAAGGCCATTACAGCTTTGTGCACGTCTATTGCGAGAAGTCTTGAAAGTACAGTCCTTTGGCGGGCTCAAGACCATAGAGATCGACAGCGTTGCTGTCCCCTCGCTGACACAGGTGAATGAAGAGTATCGTTTTGGTTGTGGCTACTATAGTGTTCGTTTTGGCGTCGATTGGTTCTTATCCTACGGTCCTGGAAGAGAGAGAATCCCTAGCAACGCAGCCCTGCCCCCTTATCCGACCTGCAGGATAGGCGAGAATATATGCCGATTCAACCTCAATACACTATTAGTTAGCTACAGCCTATTTTATTGATCTTTGGGCATTCCTCCTTGGCTGGTGATAAACTACAGCCGTGGATGCAGCTTTAGACTTCTTTTGAAGCGCCTTTACCACGTTGTTGGCTAATTTCTTGTGATTACTTTGTCATAGAATTGTGTCATGTCACAACCGATGCTTAATTCGTGCTGTGAGCAGTTCAAACAATTAGAGATATGTTGGAAAGAAGGCTAAATAGCCTCAGAGCAGGCAAGAGAGACGAGGGCTTACACTCAACAGGGCAGCTGCCACATTTGGATCCTCTTTTACTTTGGCTAGCAGCTGAAAGAAGGGATCACTGCCAGCGACATTCTCTGAGCTCTGCATAATCCGCCTGAAATTTGCAGTCGAAGTTACATCGGTGACTTGATTGAATATCTTTCGTCGTATCTCGTCGTACTTATCGAGGATGTCCAACGACGCTTTTCCGTCGTGGATCCCATATAAGCAGTCAATAAGACTACCGACATCTGAAACTCCCGTTGTGAGCCCAAGTCCACCCCTGGACGCAGAAAATATCAGTATGTTCATTCGTTATTCCGAACGCGAACGCAGTTACGTAAAGACGGATCGGAGAGCTGGAACTGATTTCTTTCTGGTATGGGAGCTCACATTGGGTTATTGAGATGCGCAGCATCGCCTGCCATCAGCACCCTCCCCACCCTCATCTTCTCTGCGCAACGCTGGTGAACGGTGTATGGGGTGACGTTTTGGATCCGATACTCCTCTGGCTCAGGGTGGCCAGGTAGTGTTTTCCGGAATCTATCGGGCAGACGGGCTCGGATTTCTTCAGCTGAGAGTCCGGGAGCCTCGCCGTAGACGACGCGCCACAACCCCCTTTTGTCGATTCTAGCAATAACAAACCAATTTTCGGGATGAATGATCCACTGGACGTCGGAGAATTCCAATTTGTCGAAATCCGCGCTCACCTGGTGAGCAGCAAAAGTTAGCGGACTTCAGGTAAGCCGGCCCATGAAGAACTGCTGCGGATCTCCGAATCAAGGGGGCACTCACATTGACGGCGACTAAGGTCTGAGGCCAGGTGTATCCAGGGAAGCTCCCACCAGACAAAGCCTTTCTTACAGCGCTGCCTGCTCCGTCACATCCAATAACAAATTTGGCATGCAGTCGCTTAGTAAGTGTAGAACCATGCTCTTCCACGTCAACCCAGCCATTGTTATCGTCTTGACCAACTCCAATGACCCGATGACCCCAATGTATGGTCGCGTTCGAATACTTTTGAACTTCTTCCAACAAAAGAGTAGACAGCGACCCCACGGGCAACACGACGCTTCGCGGCAAGCCATCGGCCAACGCCTCTAACCTGTTGAATCCAATGATGTATTCTCCATCTGGATGTCTCCAGGCTACGTCCTTTGGAATAAACCCTCGTTTGATGGTCTCTTCGAGCACGCCAGCTCTCTGTAGAACTCTGTGGTGCAAATAATGTTTAATCAACTTTCCTCCGACACAGAAGGAACAGGGAAAGGACGTTCGTACTTTACAGCTGGCAACCCGTAAGCGAGGCCGCGCGGGGACTCATTGACCTTGGATTGTGCTTCAAGGATCTCGACAGGAATGCCCTTCTTGGCCAGTAGGAGAGCTGTCAGCAGCCCAACGGGACCAGCGCCCACAACAATCACCTTTCCAATATTCCCTCGAGCCATATTAGAATATTCCATGTAGACCTCGCTGGGTATAGCACATTCATAGACCTGACCGGCCCTGACGAGGAAGAAAGGATCTCATATGGGCATTCTCTCAAGCATGGATCCCCACCACTATGGCTTTCAGCCGGAGTTTGTCATGAGCAACTAGAACAGCCCCAGTTCCACTTCACAAATATGGTTCTAGATGTCTTATGAGTCGTTCCGCCGAAGGTATGGTATCAATCGAAGGGATCCGCGGCCTTCTTGGGCCGAGCGGAGTCGATTTATGATCTTGCCGCAACGCCCGCGGGCGAGGTTGTAGAGAATTTCCGACAACGCCATTCGACGTCAATTCTTAATATGCAAGGCGTGGACTCTCTCCCGACTGAAAAGTGTTGTGTTGTCAACCTAGAAGGCCCGGAGTCTTTACCCCTTTTGCCTTGGCAGAGGCTGAATGAGTCTCAAAGCTGCCCGGCCGACCAAAAGTGGTAATCTCCACGCCCGGAGTTCATCAGAACGGGGCAAAGTCGACAGAAGATTGGATGGGCCTACGAGACGTCTAGGGGCCCTCGATTGGGCGGCCCAACAAAGGAATCTACCTTGTATCATTCCTCCCATACGCTGGACCTACAAAGGACCAACTCTTGATTCATGCTGTCGGCGTTGCTCCGTGCGGCCCCTGCCCAGCAGCAACCTGGTCGTGACCGATTATCGGCAACACCACCGCCGTGATTCTCGCCCACTCGGTCTCACTGATGTTCCTCCAAGCATGGTTGATGGCTCGCTGAACCAAGCTGTCCCCGGGACTGAGACGTCTCGTCTCGCCCGAGTCCAAGATGACCTCCACCTCCCCTTCGATTACGAAATTGTAGTTCAGTGTCATGCTGCAATGCATCGGTGTGGTATAGCCGGGAGGGAAGTCGATCGTCCGCGCTGCAGATCCGTTGTGGACAAGGATGCCGGGCGGGTTTTGGACAAAGTCTTGGTACACTTTGATGTCGTGCTCACCGCTGACATCGATTGGAAATCCTTGGGTGGCGTAGCAGAAAGATATCTCCATGCCACCAGGGTAGGTGGTTGTTGGTGGCTTCTTGTCCACCATCGGCTCAAAGACCGATTTTCCATCCGTCTTGTTGTGGCCGGTAACAAAGCGCGAGGCAGGGCGTAGAGAATTCCGTATCGAGGCCATAGTTGCTGCTCACAATCTTTCTTGACTTGGTCTTACGACGATGACGAAACAGATGTCGTGATGTATTGAAACCCGTCAATGGATCTCTCATTGAAGTAAGAGACTATTCCAGACGGTTGGAGCCAAGCAGGGCTGTCCAGCTAGTCCCAAAGCGTTCGGGTATTTGCACAAGCCGAGACGGTTTAATGTCCCTTTCGTAGATATATCATAGCCAGACAAGGATATCGGGCTTGCCTGAGAGAAATTTAAGTCCTTTCACAAACCGAGAATTGCACTGAGAAACTTGAATCATTGGCAGGATTAGAATACGACTAGACATATGATCAACAGGCCTCCAGCCGATACGTCGTATCCCTACCTAGGAGCAGGGGGCCGAAGACAGTCTCCTCGGTTATCCTCTATGACTTCAAGTGTTCCGAAAACCACAGATGGGTTTGTTGGAAAGAGAGATTATCGCTGTTTATGGGATCTGGATACTGGACTTCAACGGATGATATGGAGGCCCGCAAGGTTGGTATAGTCACTGGTAGTTCAGACTTAGAGCAGGAACAAAATACCCACACTTTCAACGAAAGTTTTAGATCGCTCCAGGATCACCGGTATGATGTTTTTGGAACGGCTCACATAATTACGTATGCAACCTCCTGCTTTGCCTGATCAAGATCGCAGTCGGCAAACGCGTGATGTCCGAAACATCCAACCATCAACACTAAACCCTCAACGACCAAACTTCAGCTTCAGACCATATCTTCGTCACTAATGAGCCTTTATATGCCTAATTACAAGGGAGAGTATTCATCTCGTCGGTGCATTCAGCAGCCTATATCGCACAATCCAAATGTTCGGTGGTCAACTTTGCGGCGTCGAACTTGGATTTCAGGAGGTCGAGTGCGTTGATGCAGCTGACACAATGGCGAGAAATCTCGTCGCTGCTGGCGTGGGCGTACAGCAAGGATAGATGCAGTGCACAGTCACCTGACGACGGGCTCCGTCACTGCCTCAGCCAGTCTAAAAGGATGTTGCTTGCGATTTTGAGCGCTTTGACCACCTTTTCAGTGTGCGGGTCCCAGTGGAGGGCACTTTAGCCGAGCAGCGCAGGATGGGAAGACTTGGTGGTATTCGTGGCGGCAGTTAATGGAGTGTCCTCCTCGGCCAATGATGATGGTGATGTTGTTGTTAGAATAGATGACGCCTTGGCCGCCTCGGCAATGGCATATGCACTCGTCTTCTTCAAGTCACTCGTCAAGGACGATGAGCCTCGAAGGCTCTGTCCCAGCCTTTCAGACATGGCATTCCTGCCGACAGAGTCTATGCATCGAGCCAAAATGAGACACCCCATGTTCCAACCCAGGACTAGCACGAGATACCAGGATTGAATCTGGGATTGCAGATTCGAGTGCTCTCTGATGCAGGCTGTGAAGAACTCGCCGTAGTTCACGCTACAGTACTGATGCACAGAGAACGCTTCTTTAATGGCGTTCTCAACCCCGTTGGGGTCGAGGGCGATGTTGTCTGCTCATGGGATGATATCGTGTTCTGTAGCTTGCCTGCTTTGCGCCAGAATAACAATTTGAGAGGAACCCCCTGCTGGACAGTTTTGGAGTTTAGCTGTGACACCGACAGTTTTGCTGCTGCTAACAGCCTACTTCGCCAGCTGCTATCGGCGTCCAAGAAAAAGGAGCCCCAAATGTCGACGGATTGGGTTAATTTTTCAGGAAGCGCGTATCGGTGGTCCACGTCTGGCCTCCAGTGCGAGGCCCCAAAGGTGGCGGCTGTGACTGAGTCGAAGTCCAATATTGTCACGCAGTCGGAAATCGTGAATGTTTCGGTGTCGGGAATGATCAAGGAGCGTCGATTGATGACGGAAGATGTCATGTCGCAAATGACACCCAGCCAGAAAAGGAGATTGAAATCAGAGAGGTACTGCGATTCTGGCAGAGCGCTGCTGTTGCATGGAGTCTCTGTGGCTGCTGTGTGAATAACACATTTCTGGTTAAGGAGATGGGACGAAATTATTGACCTCCTCCAAGTAAGGAGGTGGTGAAGGCATATTTCAAGGTGTTCTAAGCCCTCAAGGCCATAGAAAGACGAGGAGATAGTGCGAGGTCGAGAATGCTTCTTGTGGATGGTGCGCTTGACTTCAACTGATCATCGAAGTAGCCAGGCTCGCATGCACTGACTTGCCTGCTACCAGATCCGGCGAAGTAAACGCCCCTAGATTATTCTCGCGGAAATCGTTCGGTTTGTCTTCATCCAGCGGCTGTTTGCTGCAAAACAATACTATGGATGCGAAAATCAAGCGAAAAGAGCCGCAGTACCTCCATCGACCAATGCATCTTTGTGATTCATGCCAGACACTCAATCGCAATAAGCGCTCAAACTCCTGTGCACCGGCCGCCTCGAAGTCAGAGGTTGGTCTTGGTTCGACGGCATGATCTTCATCAGTTTGAGTCCAAATTGTCTCGTGAAGATTCATGGACGAGGATCGCGATGCGTGGGACCACTGGCAAGCAAAAGCCATAATGGCTAGTTTCAAGGCCTTGGAAGAGCCAGAATCCTCTGCTCTTGTTAGCGGCCTAGGTCGCTGCCTTGAGAAAGCGGTATCAAGCCTATGGACTCGTGTGTAGAGGGCCTTCGAGACAGACAGCGATCTTGCTTGTTCGTTGCTGGCAGACGGGCGAGGTCCGACGTCCGTTTCGATTCTGTATGGACAAGTTTCCCTGTCGATCCAACATTCCAGCGCATTTTCCAGGCTATCACAGTATATTTTCATCGAATCGTTCGAGATTGTAATCTTGTTCGATTTTTCTACAAGCCAGGGTTCTTGCATACTTATGGTTGGCCAGTGCTGCATTGTGACACAGTGTGTTATTGATTTTGCGTCCGCGACGCGTCCTGAAGGTGAAGTGGCCGTACGGAACCATCCCGAGAAGGGGTCTTGTAGCTCATTCCGGGGATTCTCAAGCTCGAGGAAGTCCTTTTGGCCCTCCAACCGGGTTGCTCGTAACCCGTCAGTCGTAGGTATAGGCATCCATGGGTCGGATTGTCCTAGTGAGTCCGTTCCATCAAGCCACAACGTTCCAAAAATTTGTTCACAACCAGGTTCTTGGTATGTTTGGCATATTTCTCTAGGTGGGGTCGCACCAGTTTACACACGTCCTAAAAACACTATCTTCTCTTGGTTTGACGATAACGATTGGCAAGCTTGAACAGCTTTCAGGATACAGGGAGCAATTGAGCAAATATTGGTCGACACCACAACATTCGAGGTGAAAAACAGAGTCGGCATTCGAAGTTATCTTGCTAGTTCTTCAACTTGTGTACTATGTATTCGGCGGCCAGTCCTTGGCCTACCAGAAACTGTTTGGCGAACTTGGGTCACGCCGCTTTTGGCAAGCACTCGAGCATGTATGAGATCTCTGTCTCTTTCAATCCTATGGACTCTGTTCTGGTTGATATACAAATCCATGAGGCATTTGATCTCCGTGAGCCCCTTTTCCATGATTTCAAAGCATTGCAAATGCTGATACAATGGCAATTTTATGACAGGAGTCACAGGAGTCACTCACAGAGTTTAGTATCCATATTTGTTAGCGCGTCACGTGCTACGTGAGTTAGTACGCGCTAGAATCTGGCGACTGAAACATTTAATGGTCATGCCCATCTCAACGTCCAATGGCGTGCTAAGACCGGCGCGGGAGAAATATTCATCCAATATACAGGAGTTCTGGAAATTGATGACGCAACAACAAAGGCAGCCAAAAACGCCCCCGACACAAACTCGACGTCGTTCGGAGAGTCGAGGTGGTTTACGAAGATAGCTTTCCAAACATCTGATCAAAGGTTGAGATGGTTGCAGGATTCGATCTTTGTCGGGCAAGGGCGAGTGCACTTGGATGATTAAAGAAATGCGGCTGAATATTTGGTATGTGAATATCGAGTTAGTCGTTTTGGTGTTGAGTTATGAAACTGACCTGCCTGAGCCCCTCTGGATACAGGCAGGACAACGGGCTTACAGAAGGTCAGCAGAGGGTTTAGCATATAGTGCACTGGGTCATTTACCCAATGCGTTGAATGTCTAATCTATCAGGTCGTTGGAGCCTTGAATCTTTTTGCGGCGTATTTTGCTTGTATGTATTCCAGCGAGTCCTAACCCGAGACTTGGCACACGTACGCGGTGACTGATCACAAGGCGTTTTCAGGTTGCATCCTCGGTCGGTTCAAATAGTAAATCTCCGCACCGTCAAAGACTTCTCTCCACGTCCATTTTGGTTGCGCAATAGTCTGAAAATACAATCAACTCCAGAATAGCAAGAAGAACCCCTCAAGGAGTGAGGCGACATTGGAAATCATGCAGAATAACAGCCAGCGTGTACCGAAGAAAGTATGGCTCGAAACGCCACTCATTGAGTCGACGGTGCTCTCTAAGATGGCCGGCTGGTAGGTGGCTCTGTTCATGGACTTGACGAAATACTGATAAAGGAGCATCAAGCCGTGTTTTCTTGAAACTCGAAAATACGCAACCCTCAGGCTCTTTCAAAAGCCGTGGCATAGGAAATTTCATGGTGTCTTACGTCCATCAAAACGGGACTGATAAATCCAATATCCATTTCTATATATCCTCGGGTGGTAACGCCGGGCTTGCTTGCGTGACGGCAGCAGTGTCTCTGAACTGCAAGGCATCAGTGGTGGTTCCTCTTTCAACGGATCAAGATATGATTTCAAAAATTCGGGAGGCGGGAGGAACAGACATCATCTCTTACGGCGAAACATGGTTTCATGCTGACCAGTATCTGCGAGAAACGGTGATGGCAGCAGCAGAATCACGAGGAGAAACAGCCATCTATGTCCCACCATTTGACAATCATCTAGTCTGGGAAGGTGCTTCAACTATGGTCGATGAGATTTCTAGTCAGATGGAAGTGCAACCGGATGCCATCGTTTGTTCAGTAGGTGGAGGTGGGCTTTTCTCGGGGGTTATGCTTGGATTGGACAGAAACGGATGGGATGAAGGCCACCCTACACAAGTCCTGGCCGTCGAAACTAATGGTGCAGATTCTCTGGCACAGTCAGTCGACAAGGGAGAGCTGGTCACACTGCCGGCCATCACTTCGATAGCGAAGTCGTTGGGAGCACTCACAGTTGCCCCAAACGCGTTCAAACAAGCGCTCCGAGAAAATGTCTCAACAGTGGTCGTCGAAGATTCTGAGGCATGTTCGGCGTGTTTGCAATTCGCAGACCACCACAGGCACTTAGTAGAACCTGCCTGTGGTGCAAGCCTCGCCCTGCTCTACAACGGGACTTTGAAAAATTATGTGAATGACTTCGGGCCCGGCAGCAGAGTGGTTTTCATCGTCTGTGGGGGAAGTACCGTTTCCCTGGAAAAGCTTGATGGCTACAGAAAAACATATGGATTGTAGGCTGTGATTCAAAAGAGATAGACAAATAAAATGCTTGAGTACTCCGTCCATTCGCCGACGAGGCTACCGGTCCAGCCTCGATGTGATTTGAGCGGCCCCGGGTCCAATACTCCGCCGTAGCTTTTTGTTCTTGAAGAGCACGCGTCGCGAGTGCGGACGCGTGTGCAAGACGCTCTTCAAGTCGCTCTTCAACAACCCGATTCCGCAGCCTTTAAACGGTTTGTCCATGCAATATGGATGAAAGAAATCTCCTTCATACACCATGAAGCCAGAAGAATTATCTGACTTCGCTCATGACATCCGCCACTTCTCCCCGAAAGACATCGACCGCTTGCACCGAGTTCTTCTCCGCATCCAGGAAAACCACATCGACCCAACTCCAGAGCTTGTCAGACACGAGTACAGAGCTATCTATCTAGAGGACGGGCCAGTTCCCAATACTGAAGATCCTTGTCTACACTGGCTGCTCGACCTCGCTCAAGTCGCGTCCGAAACACCACTCAACGAGAAATTCCTCGATGTGTTGCAAGAGGCCCATATCATTCTTACAACAGATGGCACTGCTACCGATGCAGGCACTGACTATGGGGCCAGCAGACGCGCGGTGTCGGTTGACTCGCAGCTGCCTACCCCAATCAGGTCGGGGTCACTGGACTCGTTCGACGAAAACAGCCGTATCTGGCAACAGGCCATTGCGCTCGACAACCGAAAGCTGGCATCACAAGCCCTTGATCAATGGCGGAACAAACTTTTTGTGAGAAGAGAGGACTTGTTGGACAGGGAGGATCCTGAATTGAACAAATTGGCGGATGAACTTTACCGTACAAACCTAGCACGGAAAGCAATCACTCACTGGCGCAATACAATCAAAGAGATGCAAGACTTGGAACGGGTTGCAATTGAATTCCGAGCCAAGCGCGATGCTGCTTTAGTTTTGAAGACCTGGACACTTGCTGCGCGTGAGAGATTGTTTGTCCGGGTAAGAGACGAACGCCTTCTACACAAGACATTGGGCGCATGGCAAGACAAAGCTGCGGATGTCAGGGAGATGGAAGCTGCTGCTGATGCAATCAGCATTCGCCAGGCTGCCCAAAATGTCCTTGAACTAGTCAGCACTAGAAAAGCCCAACTTGCCGAAAGAGAACACGAAGCCAGCCGAATCTACGGGGTCAATCTTGTTCGCAACATCGTCAATATATGGCGCTTACAGGCTGACCAGCAACATCTGAATAAGAGGAGAGCGGCTGCAGCTGCTGAATATTTCTCCAGCAAGCACACCCTTCAGCTATGGCGGGACAAAACTCGACTTCGAGCAGATGAAAAGCATGCTCAACAAGCTCATGAACAAATGCTGGCGGTGAAGTATTTCCGAAAGTGGCAGACTTCTGTGAAGCACAGTAAAGAAGCCAAATATACAGCAGCATACAAATCCATGAGACGGAAAGTCAAGATCAATATCGGACGCGCCGCTCTCCATAATTGGAGAGGAAAGGCAAGTCGCGTCCGTGAGTTGAGAATCATGTCAGATGAATTTCAAGCTCGAAAAGAAGCCGAAAACACTAGACGAATGGCCCATTCTGCTATCATCGTGATGTTCAACAGGACGGAGCAGATTCATGACCTTGGACGGCAGGGGGACGTTTTCTGTGACAAACAGGTAATTGGACGGCTTCAAATTTTCGGCTCTGGTTGGCTCTCGTCTGCAAGGAAGGTACTCGATTCCCAGCGCAAGGCTGATGAGTATCACACAATAAAAACAGCCGGGTATGCTCTGTCTCGATTGAGGACTTGGAGAAACCTGAGCTTCAGGACAGGCAGACTTGAAGACGATGCTGACGGGTTGTTTCGGCGAAATGAGAAGAAACGGGCTCTAGGATTTCTGCAAAGATGGAGACAGGGCGCCACGAGGGTCCACGACGAACAGCCCAGTGTAGAGGAGAGACTCCCACCAGTGACCCCAGCGGCGAGGCGAAGCCAGCTGTTAGCCTCTACAACTCCTGCATATACACCTGCTTCAGCCATGTTCCGCAGAATTCGGGAGTAAATGGCCAGCGTTATGACTGATGAGTATGATTGATGATTTCGAGATACCCCCCAACGATGAGGTGTGACGCGTTACACTGCAGTAACACCGATCACATAGATAATCCCAAACCCCCTTCTGGTACGAGTCCTGTCCATCCAGCCTCTTATACAATTTTACTAATTTCACTACGAACTATGATGTCATTGCTACTACCTACTCCACTGCTATAATACTACGTTCCCACTCGCCCTTGTCATCTCTAGGCTTGGCTCATGGCCACCAAGGACGAAGAGCCTAACAGCCAAAGACTGACCAACCAACCAAATAGTTTCAGATTTCAGCGAAGGCATAAGTGATGATCTACGCCTAAACAAAGAAAGCAAAGACCTACATCCCAACTGTTGGCATTCTCAAGCCAAACCAATCACAGACCATCTAAAACCCAGGCCGCTCTCTCAATCCATTCTTCTCAGACTAGAGAAGAAAGAAGAGAGAAAGAACATTACAAAAGCCTAAAAATGTCCAACCGGCCCATCAGCGATGTCGACACACCCGACCCATGGATGGTCGCGGCGCAGGGCCTCTTCTACCTGACCTTCACGCTGGGCGACCGCATCGAAATCTGGGCGTCGCGCGAACTCGAGAACTTCCGGGGCTGCCGGAAGGCGACGGCGTGGAAGCCGAGCCCAGGATCCGCGTGGTCGACGGAGCTCTGGGCGCCCGAGCTGCACTACCTGCGCGGCACGTGGTACGTGTACTTCTGCGCGTCGCAGCCAGGGGTGGGGAACCGGTCGCACCGCACGACGGTGCTGCGGAGCGAGTCGCAGGACCCGATGGACGGCGCGGCGTGGCGGTTCGTCGGGCCCCTGAAGGGGCTCCCGGACCATTGGAACATCGACGCGACGGTGTTCCGGCCAAATCCGGCGCATGACCCGGACGGCCTGTACTGCTGCTACTCCGGGTGGCCGCTGGGCGACTCGTCGGACACACAGCAGGATCTGTTTCTGATGCGGCTGGTGACGCCGGAGGAGGCGCTGCCCAGCACGCTGACGGTGATTTCCCGCGCGGAGCTGCCCTGGGAGCGGCCCGACGGCGGGCGCCGCGGCGTCAACGAAGGCCCCACCTGGCTGAGCGTCCCCGGCTGGCAGGGCATCGTGTACAGCGCCAACGGCTCCTGGACCTGCGACTACAAGCTCGCGCTGTTGCGCTATACCGGCGGAGATCCCTGCAGCGAGCGCTCGTGGGAGAAGCGGCCCTCGCCGCTGCTCGAGAGTCATCGTGGTCGAGGAGGGCCTTATGGACCGGGCCACGCGTCTTTCCTGCCCTCGCCGTACGTCGGCGATGCAAGGGTGTTTTGCATTTACCATGCCACGGAGCGTCCCGACGACGGCTGGAGAAATCGCAAGGCGAGGGTCTTGTGTATGGGCCCGGAGTGGTTCCACCCCAATGCTAAGGCTGTGTGCTGCGCTGCCGCCCCGCCGCCTTCTGTTGCGCCGAGCGCCGGGCAGTACCCCGGTCAGCACTATGGCAGCAATGGGCCGCAAGAGGCTTCTGCTGGCGCGCAGAGTCAACATCGGCAGAAGAGGAGAAGCCTGGTCGACAAACTCGGTGACAAGGTCATGCAGAAGCTGGCCGGGCGATGATGACGACCTTGCAGACATCGTTGCACGGGCTCTGTTGCTCATTTGCGATTCTGTCACTGAGCTGGCCGGTGGTAGTGCAGTACGATGCATGGATACCGAGTCGACCCCTAGATCTAGAGGCCTCAATCCACGAGCCATGGGCAGTGTAACACCTCGCCTACACTTACGCACTCGTGGAGGATGTAGTGAGATTAGACGAGGCGCGGAGCATCGCCTTCTGAGAAAGCATTGACAGCTCCGACGGTCGGTCCTCAAGAGAAGGGAGAGGAACTTTGGTCGAAACCGTCTAGCGCTCGCCAGGGAATTCAGTGCTGTGACTGAACCAGGAGGATTATAGACACACAAGGATGAGCGAACGCAGGACGTTGCAGGCTGCAGCGCGCGAGAAGCACGAGATCATCATATTTCCAGTCAGCACGGAGAGGATATATTGGTTCTATCAATAGCAGGTACGTGGTTGACGCAACCAGCCGGTCCTCTGTCAAAGTCTCTTGGTTTCAGCCCATTCGTGAGGGCCCAACTCAGTCAACTCTGTCACATCAAACCCCAAAAGTGTTTGGCTAAGGGTGCAAGTGCTTCTCGTGCACAACTTGCTAATGGCCCAGCATCGAATCCGCTGGGTGAGGGCCCTGGTCACCCTGACTTGCACGGCTGGCTCTTCTGACCTCAATACTTTGTCTCGCTGTGTCGTCCACAGACCTTCGCAAATGCAAGGCACCAGCAACACTATCAATACCATTGGCATTAGAAAACCCCTTCGGATTGCCCACCAAGCTATCTCGCTTGAGGACTTTCTCATCGTATGCATCTTCGTACGCCTCCTCGTCAAACGGAGTCGTCGGGATGCCGTAGATGGTGCGCTGTACAATCTGATCCTCTGGTTTCCAGATGAGGCTGAGCAACGAGTACACAAAGATGCTGACCACGAAGCCGTAGAGCCAGTCAAATGTGTACAAGTGTTTTGCGCCCACGGTGATCTTGGAGCTGTTGTTGATGCTGTACGCCAGTCCGGGGAGATTGGGGCAGACGGCAAGCAGGAACGCAATCATGGCGCGCCAGTTGATGCCGCTCTTGTTGTACCTGTATCGTCCACGAGGGTCGTATAGAGCAGGGACGTCGATGTGTTGTCGCTTGACAATCCAGTAATCGGAAGCGATGATGCCTGCCATTGGAGCTAGGAAGACGGCGTAGCCGCCCATGAAGGCGAGGAACGTGGTGGCGGAGTTGAGGATTTTCCAGGGCACAATGACCCATCCGCCGACGACAGCGGCAATGATACATCCACGCTTGATGTTGACGTATCTCGGGAACAGTACGGTTAGGTCATTTGCTGCCTGTTATTATCATCCGCACGGTTAGCTCTTGATGGATCGAAAAGCCGAGCATGCTTTGAGCTTACCGATATCGAGTTCGCTGTAATATTCGTCCCAACCTGGGCAATGTACCATGAAAGGGCCGCAAAGAAGGCGGCTGCTCTTCCACCGTGACTGCCCAACCAATGTTCGATGATGTCCAAGGGATTCCATAGAAACTCGCCGTAGACAACCTTTGAGGCCGACGTGGTCACAATACCCATCACGCCGCAGACTGTGAAGATCGCAGGCAAGAACGGGAGCTGAACATACTGTCCGCGACTAGTTTTCGCATAACGTGAAAAATCCATGATATTACATGCCAGGGTTGCCTGTATCAAATCAGCGCCTCACTTAAGAAAGTTGGTACAGGGATCAAAGGCGTACCCAGGACCCTGTCACGGAGGACATGCACGAAAGCCAGAGCCAGGCCCTTTGGCTTCCGTGGACGGTCTCAGGCAGATTGAATATGGCACCGCCGCCACCAGCCTTGTGGACGATCCAACCAAGGGTGGCCAACGCAGTGACCGGTGCAGCTAGAAGCTTGACAACAAACAGCCAGCGCAGTCTTGTTGGTGGAATAAGAAGTAACGGTAGCTGAATGATCCAGAAGAGGAAGTAGCTGATCATGCCTTGGGTAGTGATCCCCGCGTCATCTGGTAAATGGTTCTTAACGTGGTGGTAGGATGGCCAGATAGCTCTCAGCATGATCGTGATACACTGAGCTCCATTTGCACCCTGAATTCCCAGCCAGAACATGGCCAGGATTGCGCGAGAGATGATGCAAAAGTAGGCAAAATAAAACCCGAAACTCGACCTGACTACGACTGAGAATGGGATATGCAGCTTGGCTCCAATGGCGCCATTCAAGACCATCGGGACAGCGACACAAGAGGTGCCTGGACGCGAAAGGAAAAGGGATTAGGATGGTGGAATCCACTACTCAACTGGACTCTATCACCTACCTACAACCATGATGGGAATTGCATCCCTCCAATTCAAGCCAATGGCAATAACGGCGCTGGCAGTTTCCCAGGTGCCAAGATTGATGGTGTCAGTCGCCCAGTACCTATTGTCGACTAAGTCCCAAGTGAGTTGAGAGGGATACTAGGGGTTTCATACGCCATCCTGACTGTTTAGCTTCTTGAAAAGAACGGTAATGTGATAGATAGCTCACCAGGTCCACAGAGTCCAGGTTTGATACTTGGGCGGGACCGGATCCATATCAGCGTTGGTCCTTCGGGTTGTCAGTGTCTCTGGAAGCCCACGCTTTGGTTGAGTAGTGTATGACTGACCAAATATCTTTCGGTGCGATGGCAGACTCTGTAATGACATTGAGCTCGGGTAGGACGAAACTGTGTAATACTCCTCCACCAACCTTGCTTTGGGAGCTCCCATGCCTTGGCTGAGGTAGCCCTCGCCGTGAGAGTTTGTCCACTGGGGATGTATTTGGTCACGTACTTATACATGACGGTTGGTGTTCGCAGAATGGAAACCAAAGAAGGATCCGGGACTTGGGGAAATGGGAATCAGGGGTGGTCTCCTTTGGTAGTAATGGTTGTGGAACAGGTCCTGGTAGACGCAGGGATTGATCATCAAGAGCGACACGGCACTAAGAGAGGCGGAACGGCCGACTGCAAATCGCACACCGGTATGTTTTGATAAGATAATGCAGGTGATCTCTTTAGGCGAAGCTGGTAGTATCGGTATTGTCGGGTGATTAGTCGCTGCACAAAAACGCAAAGAAGGGTATAGCAAGCCCTTTTGTGTGCTACATCCGTATGTAGTGCCTACCCCTGCTGGCATTTTCTGATAAGAGCGATACCGAGGGAAGGGGCTGATGATAAGGGGGATAGAAAGCACCTTCAGGCTCGCCCCCGCTCCCCTGGTATGGCTCAGGTGTTCCACATCCTCGATTCCCGTTGGCTGGAATTCCAGATGCGATAAGTGATCGCAGATGCAAGGAAAGTCGACATTGAAGGAGCACATCAATCAAGACATATTGATAGATACTTGGTAATAGTTCCGTCGGATTTGCAAAACTGAATGGTGATTTGTTCCAGCCAGGCTGAAAGAGGGTCGAGAGTAAGGTTTCCTGGTGCTGCAGCCGCGGTGGCTCAGGGAGGCTTATCTCTCTGCCCAGCAAGCTTGTCCACAGAGGTTAACTCAAATGGACCGTGATTCGTGAGGCGCCTAGAAACACTCGTATGCAAATTCTCTGTACTAACACAAGAGAGTGCGAGTCTATAAACGAAGGAAAGTCAGTTCCGCGGGGAAGGTTTGTTTGGGGCGCAACGTCCCGACAAGTTGCGTCGATTGTAGGGATGGAGAGACGGCATTTCGAAGGACCTCGCACACTGGGTAGCGCAGAGACTCGGAATATCCGTTGCTTAATTGTTCCTCACACCAAAAGCATGCCATGGCAGGCCATATCGAACGACATCCGAGAGCATGCACAAATTGAGCACTCTTATCGTTCGGAAGAAGTTCCACAGAAACCTCGGATATCAGTTCGTCATAATCGGCACGTCCACTGGCTCGTGGCAGACTATCGTCGGCCCCTGAAGACGAGAAATGCCATGGAGCCCAGTGGTGGATTCGATGGCGCTGCAATGCGATATTGAATGTCAGGATGTGTTTCTGGTGCTAGGATGCAACGAAGGCCGGAGGTCGTGGACTCGTGGGAAACCCTATATCGCTAAGTATTCCTGTAACATATATTCTCGTTCTGATGGTTGGGTGTGGGGATCGGGATCAGATTAAATATTACATGCACAAAATTAATAGGTGAATAACGCTATTAATACAAGAATAAATATATTTCTAGTACTAGGATACAACGGAGGTCGTGGGATGCTTAGTGTATCCGTCTACCTGAACGTTCCTCTGATCAATTCTCCGAGTCCAAGAGCAGACCAAATGTTGAATACGCGAGGTCAACAGATAAATGACGTCATCTACCGATAGCACATGAAACCCAGGGGGGCTTCTGCCTGCCGTTCGCGATCGTCCGGCTCGAGATCAACATTAGTTATGTAGTGTACGGAGTATCGACAATAAGATAGGATGTCGCGAGTGAGAGCAGCATCCATGGTGAAGAGAAACCAATTACTGATTGCATTCCCACTATTGTATCATTGAGCAAGAGTCTATGAAAATTTGAAGGGCTAATTCTATCATTAAAATCGGTGGCAATTAGAGCGCTCGTCTCCCGAATGCAAGAAAGTATTCCACAGCCGGCTGTCGTGACAATATGGCTGAAACCGAAAAGGCATTCTTTTCTCTTGCTTCGCAGTCGGAGCATTGGAAGCAGTTCTGATCAGCGCGGACAGAACCCCAGAAAGACCAGAGTTTTCTCATCAAGCGATTTGGACGGAGCTGGAAAAGTCAACAAGCTGCCCATATTCACAGGTCAACTCAATCCTCGCATACAACACGAGGAGCCTGAATCTCCCTGACATCTCCCTGACACAATCGAACCTCGCAGGTGCATCTTACCAACGCAGTTCAGGGTATCGTATCTTACTTGTTAAATCATTTGTACAAATAGGGGGCCCGAGGTCACCAGGCTCGGGCGTTCAGATTTATTTGCTCGTTTTCTCTTGGACCACGTCCTTGGCCTCGTCCTTCTTGGCTTGAAGGAAGGAGCTCACCCATTTGAGGGCGTCGGAGGTCAGGATGAGGGAAGTGGTGACAACGGCCTTTCCACCAGTGACATAGCCGTCGCCTCCAATCTTCTTGTATTCTTCGTTATATGTGCTGAAGGCCCAGTCCTTGGTCTCGCCGGCCTTCTCGAGCGGCCAGTGGACATAGCTGAAGATGGTGCCCTTGATCTCCTTTGTCTCCGACTTGACAATGGGGACTCTTTCGTCGAACTTGGAGAGAAACAAGTCACCGAGCTCATCAGCTTTGGCGACGTATGGCTTGGCATATGAGGCAGGAGTCTGGAAGTAGGGTAGAGTGGGCTTGACGAATTTGCTGTAGCCAGCATTGGTCAGGTCGATTGACTTGGCGCCGTAGGGATTCTCCTGGACCAGTTTGATCGAGTCGGAGACGACAGGGTAGGAGGTGATATGCTAAGGCGATGATCGAGTCAGTGGTGAGGCCTGGGAGCAGCACGCAAGTGCTCTGATTCTCGAGGGCTTTGACTTACAGTGAAAAAGGCAGAGTGAGGCACATCGCCGTTAGCAGTAGCGTCACCCATTATGATGGACTGGTGGCTGCAGTGGGAAGATGGATGTCAGTGAGAAGTTGCAGGAGTTGAGGACGAGAGATGGAGATGCAATGCAATGTGATGCAGATGGGACGTGAGGGAAGAGAGAACCGTCCGAGTACTATATTCAAGCCGGGCAGGAATGTTGAGGATGGAGCAGTCACTGAGATTGCCAGGTGCGCGAGAGGTGGGCAGGAGAACTGGCATGTGCAAGTGCTGGCTGATGGCCATCATCGCATTCGCAGCAGGAGCGCCCCAAAGGGGCAGGCAGAAAAAAAGAAAATTGCATGTGAAAGTCCGGGTTTCGTCACGGCGGCAGGCACGGCGCCCGCTTGATGCTCACCCTCTCGGCTGCAGTGCAACGTGGGTTTGCGGTGGGGTCAGAGTGGGAAGAGCAGTGGCCACTGGTGGCTGAACCGGGTACCGTAATAAAGTCAGTAGCACGGTCAGTTGAATGAAGTATGTACCACAATTGACGGTGGTGGAAGGGAGGAGGGGATGGGGTTCTGGTGCTGGAATTGGTATTGGTGTTGGGGTTGGGGTGTATTGGTATTGGTATTAGTATTGGTGTTGGTGTTGGTGTTGGTGTTGGTGTTGGTGTTGGCATTGGTATGCATTGGTATGTATTGGTATTGGTATTGCCTTCAATCGGCCTCCTTCTGGTGCAAGAGGTGTCGCGGGGGGCAGTCGCGATGGCAGTGGCGGGCTGCCTGGTCCTTATCCTAGTCCTTTCTCTCCCCTGCACATTATGACTGCACTTCAAATCTCGTATGCTTGTTGAGCATTTAGCCACCTCATTGCCATCTCAGTCTCCCAGTGCACATGCGCCACACCTACTGCAAGTGACATGCGCATTGGAGTCCTCTCACCGTGCACGGCGTACGAGTACGTGGACCTGCCCAGGTGCCTGTCTATCATTAACCCATCCAGCCCAATCATTGGCCCGGAAGCCCCGCTCGCCGCCCCCTCGGCCGTCTATTGTGTCATTGCCAAGCCTAGGGCACGGAAGGGTACTTCCTGCTCTGCATCTGCCCAGTGGCATGTGAAAGCCGTAGCCACCAGCACCACCGATAGAGGACACAAGTGACAACTCCTTACAAGTGATAACCCTGTGGCACGCGTGTGAGCCTCCCATGCCTGTCTGGACTCTGCACATACAGGCCATGTCATCTCATCTCGTCCTTTCAGCCGTGTTCCATACGGAGGACTCGTATCACCCCGGGATGCCGCCGTGGTGGTGGAATTGCCTCTGATCATTTACTCACGCAGCACACCACTTTCCCTCATCTGCCGACAGCGTTCCTGAAACCATGATGCCACAATCATCATACCCCTGAGCAGCATCAGTCAAAGCCCAGGTCCCTCAGGCGTCTGTGCCGGTCTCGTGTTCTTCAGTCTTCACACTTCACCAAGTCCAAAGTGTCCACCAGCTGCCTTTCTCAGCCTCGGCTGGAAGTGTCATGCAGATTGTGACTCGTGAGTCCACGTACTCGGTAGCGCCCTAGTGTCTGGTGGCGGTGGTGTTGGTATGATCCACGAACCGTGGCCTAACGCGATCATGACATGCTCCGTATAATTAATATTGAGACATATATTCAACAACATCAGAGCCTTATCTCCATCCTGGCCATCCTGAGCCACTCTGGTGGCCATTCGCAGGTTAGATCGCTCGTGCATAAAATCGGGCACCCGAGCGCCCTCTACCAGGTTCGCAAGCATTATATTTCCTGCTACTGCCGCCATTGACGGGTCAAATCACAACGGTTATCTAGAGGAGAGCACTCAGTCGAATGACATGTGAAATTCGGGCTACTCCGTGAAAGGTAGTCAGTCTATCGATGGAGCTCCACACACCACCACCACCACCACCACCACCACCATCATCATCAACGGCCTCACCACGGCCTCAATCGTGACGAGCCGAGGAAACGTGAATCCTGCAGCCGAACGGATCGTCCCATTTTTACGCGGCCTGGAACGATCTCTTTCGCCGCGTGAGCTTCCGGTAGCCAGCCAAGAGCCTCAGACTGACCCAACTGATATATATGCCTTGACAATGACCGCGACGTTGACAACGCCAAACGCCAAACGTGGAACGTGAAACGGTCCGTAGCCTACATGGCCTAAATCCATTTCGATTTTCCCACCCCCAAATAACCCGGACCTGCAAACCCGAGCTGTCCTCGTCCTCGTCTCCCCACCGTCCCAGGACTACGCGGTAATTGCCTAGTCAAGTAGCCAGTAGGGTAATTATGTTGCACGATACTCCCTATGTGAAATCCAACGCGGAAGGACGCCCTGGCCGATCGGAGGAACCTCCCTTCCCATGCAATGCCATTCTACCGAGCATTTCCATTGAACACCGTGGGATCTGAGCACGCTATTGTGAACCATTGGGGAGAATTTAGACAAAACAGAGCACGAGGTCGAGTGAACGGAGTATTGCGACTGTGACTAGCTGATCCTCAGGACTACCTTACCAGTACATCGGTCGAAGGTGGCAATAGCCAAGTACGCTTGTGCTGCTCCCTCCCACCACCATCGAGCATTTCTCATTTGACACGAGACCCAATGAGGGTGGAGTATTCCCTTCCCTTTCCTTCCCCTTCCCCTTTGCCTAGGGGCACCTCCCGAGCGCCAGCCATACTTTCATCAATTATGCTCATGAAGGTTTGTGACCTGGCATACCGCGTCGCAGTGCATTCCGATCTTATCTCGTCATCATAATCTCAATTCACGGCCGTGTCCCCAGGTGTCACTGTGCTGATTCCATCTCCGAGTCGTTAACATCGCATTTCATCTCTGCTCGAGCATCGCTTATCTGTCCTATGAAGCCGGCGTTTCCTTGCTTGTTTCATTCATTTCAGTTCTGTTGTCAGAAAATTCTCGAATCCCTCTGGGACAGCCCAGCCATGGTTCCTACATGCGCGGACGTAGGCTGCGACGGCTTCACCGATACCATAAGTGACCTTTTCAAATGCTGGTGCTCCGTTGGCTCCATTGCCTAGAAATGCGAGACGCGCAGGCCGTTCCTGATCGCAGATCGCCATTCGCACCTGAAGGAGAAGTCCGTCGATGGCTTGTGCTGCGGTCCAGCCGTTGTTGGTCAGGATCTCCATGCACATGGCCCCGCCTTCGGTCACGTTTCCGCCTCCGCCCTGAGCGAAGGGCAAGAAGCGCGGCTTGACGACTCGGATGAACGGAGGTGTGAAGGGGTAGCTGCTGGCGAAGCGCATCTCGAGAACCACCGAGGTCAAGCCAACTGCTTTCATGTCCGTGGAGAGGGGCAGATGGGCGGGAAATGAGTGTAGCTCCACGATCCACTGGTACATGTTGTTGACCAGGTTGGGATCGATGTACCGGCCCAATGTCGAACATACAGTATTTTTCTGCACTTCCAGGGCCTCACGGAACGAGCGCATCAAAGCTTGACTTGAGGCTCGAGTAGCGTCGCGGGGAGGAGCTAGGAATTGAATTCCATCGACGTCCAAGGTGCCTGGAACAAAGTCCGTGTCGTCACTTTTCTCTGCTGTGCGCTTCTTGCCTTTGGCCTTGGAAGAAGCCATGGGCGACGACGAGTCTCGGCACTTGTCGAACTCGGCTTCGCAGTCCTCAACCATCTTCGGGACAAGGAGGGCCAAATCATCATCATCCGAGGCTATGCTGTTAGCATCATCCTCAAGACGTTCAGCGGTGGCTTGGTCCGTGGCGACGACGGTCTTGTTGCGCTTGGGAGTTCCAGCTTCGCCCACTTCGAGTTTCGCACCGGGACGTCGAGACTTGGAAAGTGCGGTGATCGGAATCATGATGACTTGAGTGTGTTCGTTATAGGCCTCGCGCGAGGGATCCTGTTGATACACAGCAGATGGCTGTCCAGGAACCTTGACAGGGATTGATGATTTGACAAACAGGTAACGGGTTTGGATCCAATCAGTTTCTGACACAACATAGTGAGGGCTGGTGTGCACAAATTTGTCTGGACGATTGATAACCTCATTGAGTGAAATTGCATTCATCATACAAAGCTTCGACTGCTTCCAGCCGCTGTTCAACGCTGTAGACAAGATCGCCGGATGGCTAGCAGCTGTGTAATTCAAACTTACCTTGGCATACTGACTGAAGTAAACACCATTACCATAAACCCGGCCATGAACAATGTCGTCAAATCGAAGGCCTTGTCGTATGATGCTGTGCCAGTTGCTCAGATGCGAACCGTGCCAAGCGAAGATGGTGGGATATTTACTGGTCGGGCTAGTCTCTTGACGCATGCAGTCTATAAATCTGTTTTCCTTGTCTGGGGCGCCTTGAGCGAACCGGAATTGAATCCAATCGTCCATACCGCCGACTCGATCCTCAACTGCCGCTGTAGTCTGGAAGCAACCATGACCGTCAAGCTCATTCAACTGCATGATGCAAGATCGGTTTGATACAATGATCCAGCGAAGTACACCGAGAGCCGATTCAGATACCTTGCTCGTCCAGTCTTTCAATTCCCCATTCGGACCTCGATCTAAGAGGTATTCACGCATATCTTCAACGCTGGGTAAGGTCATTAAGATAGCCTGAATAGCCTGGTGTTGTACTGCAGTCGAAAGGTCGTCGAAATTGTGTTCGTACATGTAACACTTGCTAGGCATCCCAGTCACTGTAGGGTTTGCGGATGATCCGGCTGCACCTTGATTCCCATTGCTTGACAAGGTTGACTCCCTCAATGACAGAACGAATTCATCTCCAAGTTCGACACGAGGCAGCTGAATCTTTTTGACCCGGCAGTGGGATTCATGTGTACCAGCATCTGAAATGAGGAATACCCAGCTTCCTGGTCTAAGGCTCTGAGCCTTTCGATAATACTCCTCTTCAACATGCAAAGTGTTCTGATTGGACTGCCACTGACATTTGAAGGATACCTTGTCGGTTGGAATCGTGTCAACCGGGCCTGGCCGGCCAAATTGGGATATATGAGGCATGGCTGAGCCGAAGTTATGGCCTCCTTGGACGGGGCGAAGTGCAACAGGGAAGCTCATACCAACTGGTAGATCCTTCAATCTCTGACCCTGAGCCCCAAAGTAGCAGAAACTGATGAGAAGGTCAACAACATGGGGTTGAGAGACTATTTCACCTTCAATTCTCGGCCCGAAGCCAAGCGACATGTATTGGTAGAGACAGAGGGGTTTGGAGCAGACATATGGCTTTAGGGCCTCAAACTTGTCCTCAATGTGACAATGGCAGACCAAACAGAACTCTCTGCAGCGAGTAACGTGTCGGACGACGAATTGCATGGCTGCCAGGGGCAATGAAACCTCTGCGACACCATTTTCCGCGAGATGATCCGCAATAGCGATAGGCGAGAAACTGTTGCAGCTGGACATATCGTCGACTTTGAATATTCTCATGTTTTCAAGCTCATCCTTCGAAACAGCCGCTTGTCTGGCTTGAATGTATGTCTCTGCTCCAAACCAGCTCAGGTCATGACTCAACCGTGCTTTGACGATCTGTGGGAAGGATTCGCGCAGAAGGTGATTGAGTGGTTTGTCGATGAAAAGTGACTCGAGTGTGCTTTCCGGGCCTTTTCCAGATTGAAGGATATCTGGCTCGAGCTCAAATCTCAGCGCTTTGAAGAGGGGCAAGACAGCAGACAACTTGGGTTTGTAGTGGTTGCAAAGGGCAACACGCATTTGCGTCAGCCCAGACAGACTCGGGTCTTCTTTGACGAGAGTAATATCGCGGTAGCCCTCTGGAAATGCGATCATGAGGAGAAGGTAATGTTTGCGCGGCAGATTCCAAGCTTGCATGGCTTCTTCCGAGAGTCCTAGCTTGGAAACGCGAATGGAGATGCAAAGAATGCCACATGTTGCTAGATTTCCCAGAACCCCAATTCTGAACCCAGCTTGCTTGGCGGCCTTCACGTCGGCTCGAAGTCTGTCTTGACCGGTAGAATGGGACGGTGACGATTGCGATCGAAGAGCGGCTCGTGCTTCACTTGTAGAATTCCGCGGGGGCGCAGAGAATCCGAAATCGATGTCCGAATCCTCTTCGAATTCAAAATCCGGCTCTTCAGACTGGATGTCATTATGTAGGTTCTTTGCCAGCCCGCAAGTGATGACTTGAGTCAGTCGTTGCGAGATCGTTTCCAAGACGCTGGATAAAAGCTGGCCATGGGTGTTATTTGAGAGATCTTGTAGGGTTTCCGGGATGATGCCGCTGAGGGACTCGTCATTGGTGAAGAGCACGAAGGAATTGCCATCAGGGTACTCATCAAGGTCTGTAGCGCACATCTGAATATCAACATCGATGGGTAGCTTATTTTCAGGTTGACTACAGATGAGGCGGCAGGCGACCACCCCTTCCTCCGGAGACTGGACGGCATGAATTCCTGCAACTGCGTCCGGATGTTTCACCTCAGCCAAATGTCTGAGAAACAATCGCCGACCCATGGTAGGGTGGCAGGACTGACAAGTTCGTGTGTAAAGTTGGCTAGGACAAATTAACAAGGAGGGAGGAAAGAAGAATTTAGCAAAGTGTAGCGAAGGGAACAGAAGGTAAGAGAGCAAGTGAGAGCAAGGAAGTGCCTGAAAGCTAGCTGCGAGACGTGAGCCGTTATTTGTGTCGGATATGAGCAAGGCACAGTAATACGATCAACAAACCTGGAGCCATCGAAAGACCGTCGACGGGCCTCATGCTTTCCGTTTGAAAAGACGAAAGAACGACGGCATGAACGAAAGAGCTCATTCATGTGCATCAGAACAGCAAGAACGATAGAACGCGTACAAAGAAGGTAGATCTGTGCCATGCTCTCCTTGTGAAAGTCCTCAGGCGTCACGGTTTCTTTTGTAGATGGACTTTATAAAGGCCGAGGTTGAGGTGGAAGTTCTGAAAAGGCGACCATGGACTATGTGATGGAGAAGTCCTGGCACGTGATTTATGACGCTAATACTGCCATTTCAACCCTGGTGGTCGACCGTAACAGGCGGCTACCAGAATGATTACGTCTGACAAAATAACTCGCGTCTGAGGAGACGGCCTTGGCGCAAGTGTGCGCGAGATTCACTCTGCCTGACTTGCATTTTTCCACCCTCGTTGATTCACACATCTTTCACGTTGCCAGCACTCAATTGACAGTCCATCCTCTGCTATTGTGCAGCGTCATGTTAAAGACAAGCAGTCCTAGAAAATCCGCTGGCTGAAGACTTGGCTATTAGTCTTTGGCCGAATGGCGCCAGTATCACCACGTGTCTGCACCACGATTTCCTCTACTTGTGGAATGCAACCCGAGATACTACTTGGAAGAGGTAGTGAACTCCACCATTCTTTAAGCAAGCCACTATGTCTGCTTCAGTTCAAGCTAGCAATGGATCTGAAGATGCCGGATTCTCGCTTGACGACAAGCTGAAGCACTCTCAGTTCGATCCGATCGACTTTCTGAATGATACATTCCCAGCCCTTAGTCTGTCTTCACAGACCCAAACACAGAAGGCCAGTCGACCGACTCAAATCCAGAGTGTCAGTGCAGACATTCTCAATTTGCTATCCACTCTGAATACATACAACATCCGCTCTTCCTCAGAATTGACTTCATTGACCGATGAGATCGTCCGGAGTGGGAATCGGTTGGCATATGAGGTGGAAGTGCTGCGGGGCGATGTCAATGGCTTGCATGAGCTTTTGTCCGAGTCCCTGCGCAAGGACATAGAACTCTTTGTTGGTGAACAGCTGCCGAATGGCGCCGTCAAGCCTCCAGGTGACGAGACAGACACTCATGCCGAAAACGCGGACGAGACTCGAGAAGCGAAGGTGATCAGTCATGATCCTGATTTCATAATACAGCTACGAATGCTCGGAAAAGCCAAGGCACGTCTGGAAGCCGTCATCAATATCTTTGGGGAAGCCATGAAATGGCCTATCCCGCCGTCCGACATATCTTCGTCACTGATTTCTGTTTCCGCGCCTGAATTGGGAATCCAGTACACGGAGGAGGACGAGAAGGCTCGAGAGGTCTTGCGGAATATAAGGGCCGAGATCACTGACTTACTTAACTCAACCAATGACGGATTTTCAGGCCTCGAAGCTGCGTCACGAAGGGCCGAAGAGTACCGATTTTTGGCGCAAGTATGGAAAGGCACAAGCGAGGAGAAGGCAAGAAATAAGTTCGTGGATGGGTTGCTCAAGACCGTGGAGGATCGCAAGAAGTGGTTGGAGGCTCAGAGGGCTTCACGAGACACAAGGTCAGATGGTTCGCAGCGATCTACTTCTGCCATGGGCCAGCGCTCGAAGGTATCCAATGAGGTTGGTGGTGCTGTAGGTCTTTTCAGAAACCTTCAGCGGCTAAAGGACGATTTATACCTTGAGTAGAATAGTACACGATCAACTGTCACGAGAACAAAATACCACTGAAGACGACCACTGAATGCTCGCTATGAGACTTGGCATTGTAGAATTTGTTTTCAATCCTGACCTTGATCAGGGGTGTGCGTTGAACCACCCTTCATACTGCTTGACTACCACTAATACCACCATGCTCGTGGATCGGAAGAGCGCTGCTGGACAAGGTTCGTGGAATCATGCTCTAATTTGTTTTGAATCATTTTCTGATGGTGTCGGGAGCTGGAAACTGAAACGCCACCTTGCCTGAACTCGTTGTAAACTGCAACCGAGGACAACCTTTCCCACAACCAGGTCTAAAATCTCAGAGGGGTGAAGAACCATCTGTTCTTGCCACTTAGATAGCGCTCTTCCAAGGCCTTCTTCACGTTCTTCTTTGCGTCTTCTCGCTGCGACACCTCCTTAAATGTGTCGTTGGAGATGACGTTCTTCAGTCCTTCTAGCTCGAGCGTGTACCTTGTGGGCATGATGTGGTTGTAGTTGACCAACTTAATGAATGGCTTGACCTTGGATCGCTTTTCGACTCGCTTCTTGCCCATGCGGCGGGTGACTTTCGATGGGTAGCGTTCGATACCGGCAACGAGGGCGTAGGAGAAGGTGTGAGTCTTGGAGCCAGAGTCCATGGGCTGGATGATAACAACCTGAGATTGCGTTAGCCTTGATGTCCAGCTTGCGCAATACCTGCAATCCGACTTTGCCAACTGGCTGTCGAGGGGTCGGGCAACAACTGATTCCATACCTTCTTTCCGGCATATCGGCCTCGAGTGATGATGGCCACACGGCCGACCTTGAGGACTGGGATTTCGTCAGCTGGTTCATGTCAGTCGCGAATGGAGCAGGGCCTCCTACATTTTACCATCTTGAGGTCGACTTCTGGTTTTTGCGGTGGTGGTGAGTTGAATTTGTGCTGCACCAGCAAATCACCAAGTCTTTCGCAACTGAGAAGTTCAGATCCCATTTTGGAATTTCGCAGGCTTGGCGTCCACCAATGTGTGGAGGATGCTGATTGGTTGTCAATCGCCACGCGGAACTAGGCCTGTAATGTATTAGCTTTGTTGACATTGTCCCAGAATAGTCATGCCCAACGTATCGATTGTCCACCCATCGTCACAGTTATCGCTGCTCCCTGCAGAAGCACCGTCCTCGTACTTCTCTTGGAAAAAGCACACACTGCCGCGTGTTTCAAGTGTTGCTTTATCATTTCTTTCTCGCTTTACTATGCTAGCAACCGGCTGTAGGCATACCTCCAAATATTACATGTACACCATGAGCATTGGCCTCGCTTCATTTTAATTGACAGCATTCCGACCAGTGCTTCTGCTTCCCCACAAGGGCATTGACCATCTCTCAGCTTGATGATGGCGAGAGACGACTCTCGGGACCGTGCTGAGTCTCGCCTGGTTAAGCATCAACACTCCTTCTCAGAGTCTGGCAGAAACTCCGTGCCCATGTAAGTTGGCAGTCCCCAGCAACAGATCATTATAGGCCGCAAACATGCTGAACTCCGAGCCAGGTGGGACAGTTCAGACCCTGATAGAGCTCCTCCTCCTCTTCCTCTCAATCCAGTTGCAGGAAGCCCAATAACAAGGTCGAACACATCGAAGCGTATCGACGAAGCAGCTGCTCTCATCGCCGCCAGAGCTAGAGAGAATGCCCCCAGTTCCTACACCACCAATCCCGTACCGCTCCCACTTTCACCAGACAGAAACATCATGCGCGCACAAAATAGAAGAGTGCAAAATATACAAAGCCCAAGCGTGAGCCGCTTGAGCGATTCATTAGAGCGACGGTCTCCCGATAAGGGCCTGCGAACAGCCAAATTTGTCGATTTCGAGGATTTCCGCACCAGCAGATCTCCAGAGCGTAGTCCTGTTCGTCCTGGGTCCGAGACACCAACGCCAGCTGATCGGAGTTCGGCCAGAGCAAAGGATCTAGAGAATACTCCCCCAGGCTCCAGCGTGTTGGCCTTACAGACCATGAGAGCCAGACAGGATACGCCACCTCTAAGCGACATCACTAATAGCACCTCCCCAGCTGCTCATACAACATTCTCTTTCGATGCCTTGTCGTCTCAGATCTTGGGCCTGACTAGTATCGTCACAAATGTGCAGAAGGAGATGATGAGCCTCAACAAGAGGAGTAAAGATAACTACTCGGACCTGATGAGCCTGAAAGACGCAACCACTTCTCGTGATCAAGATATTCAACAGAGCTTGCGGAATTTAGTTAGTGGACTCGAAGTCAAGCTCGCAAACCTGGATGCGCGCCTTTTGGCTGCTCCCGAGGGAAGCCGGTCCACTCCCAATCTAGGGTTATATCTCGATGAAAAGGCGCACAACGGCTCACCACGCCCCAAAAGCTTCGGACTGCCCCGTATTGGCAGCCCATCGAGTTTCTCAGCAGCTTTCGAACGAGAGCTGACGGCATCTCCCTCCCTCGCTTGCGTTGATGGCGCGGCAAGTATTGCCCTCCTGGAGAAGGTTCTACGTGAAATGGCGACCCGGGAAGGACAAGAAGTCATAATGGGTACGCTTGAAGCAGTCAAGTCACAAGCGCTAGTCCGCACAGAGAAAGTGAGCTCCTCGCAACCGGCAATTGATCCATCTATGATGTCCAAACTCGAAGACATCTTGGTAATCATGAAGGATATGAAGGAGAATTCCGGATCGAGAGCTTTGATCCGCTCAGAACCAGCAGAAACTGGCAAATCACCCTCCAAAGTTGACGCGTATCTTGACGGTGGAGCAGTATCGACACTCACGCCAGGTCGTGAAGCCAAAAATTCGGCCATTGCCTCAGATGTAGTGAACGAAGAAATTATGAAGATGTTGAAAAGTGTCAAGCAGTCTCTTGCTCAGGGAGGCGGTCTAACGAACGAGGTTAAGGTCCTAGTCCGAGAATTGCGTGGAGAAGTACTTGGAATGGGTCGAGAGATCGCAAGAAGACTGGACCAGTCGGGTTCACCCAAAAAATCGACAACAGAAGTGCAGGCAGCGACTCGAGATGAGATTTCCACTATCGTTCAACAAGGTCTAGCCGAGCTCAAAGAACATATGCATCATGTGGTTCAAGAGAACAACGAACGATCCCTTGAGCAAACTCGCCCCACAATCGATGCAGAAAAGGTGCTGCTTGCTGTACGCGACGCAATTACCGAACTTCCGCGACCGCACGAAGCACCAGTCAGAGATGCAGTCGCCGAGCGCGAAGAAATAATTGCAGCAGTTAGAGATGCCTGGGAGGACTGCAAGCCTGAGATTGCGCTTGAGCACTTCGGCTTGGAGCGCGACGAAATCCTGGAGACTCTCAAGGAAGGACTGAACTCTTACCGACCGCAAGAGCCTGTCGCAAGAGATGCAGGAATTACCTATGATGAAGTCATTGGTGCTGTGCAGAAATGCTTGACTGACTTCAAAGCTCCTGAAGCTAAAGTATCTCCAAGCGTCACCAAAGAGGAAGTCATGGCGGCCGTGCGAGATTGCTTGGAGGAGTTCGAATGGCCAAGCTTGCCTCCTGCGCCTGCAAGAGAAACAGACCTAACAAAGGACGATATCTTCGAGGCTGTACGAGAAAGCGTTGCCCAGCACGAGAACGCGACCAGGGAATATGTTGCTGAAGCGGTCCGGGAAGGTCTTTCTAACCAACCGGCCATCGCCAAGGACATTGAGTTCAATAGAGAGGATCTCTTTGACGCCATCAAAGCTTGCTTGGAAGGTGAACAGAACCCTCTGGGGGGTATGGGCGAGCGCGTCATTGAGGCTATGCACCAATTCCTCAGCAGTATGAAGACTGAATTTCAACAATACTCAGCTGCAAGTGGCAAGGACACTGAGCAGGTGCTTGACGCGCTCAAAGATGGTCTCGAAGACCTCCGCGCAGATATAGAATCCTACGTGGACCGAAATTCAGATGTGACAGGCAAGGACGAAATCATCGACACTGTCAAGGCAGGGTTTGCCGCTATGCAAGCTGACCTGGATAAGGGCTTTGCCACACGGACAAATGGCGCCACAAACACGCCTGAACTTCTTGATGCCATGGAGAAAGAGTTCCAGCATTTGAGGGATACTATCAGCAAGAGCGCCAGCAGGAGCGGTGAACCGTTGGACAAGGATGAAATACTAGACGCCATCCATGACCTGTCTGACGATCGACAATCGTCTCTCAGCAGCAACAGCGAAGATATTGTGCGCTTGGTGAAAGAAGAGCTTGAGCATATGCGCACCACACTAGCAGGCACTCTGATCAAGAGTGGTGGATCCCTGGATCGAGATGAGGTCTTCGAAGTTATTCGAGAAGGTCTAGAGTCAGCTCGCTCTGCCCCTAGGGATGGCAGCGAGAGCATCCTTTCCAACACGGGGGAGTTGCTTGACGCATTCCAAGATGGTGTGGACGGTATTCGAGCCGATATTCAGAAATTGACCGATCGACCCGTTGATCTCAGCACCAGTTTTGAGATCCTTGACATGCTGAAAACCGGGATCGACGATGTACGCGCTGATATTCAGCGGCTCCACGAGAAGCAAAATGAGACATCGGAGTCCTCATCAACCAGAGGTCAGGAAATGGTGGTGCATGACCAGAATCGCATCTCTACAGAAATAGAGGGACTCAAGGTCATGATCACTCAGCTCAGAATCAAGGTCGAGGCGCTAGATTGCATGGGAGCTCCACCGGCACCCTCAGATGTACGCATGCACAAGGACGATCTGGATGAAATCTATGGAGCAATTCACCAGGTTGAGGAGTCTATCAGCCAATCCAAGTCGGAGGAGACAAGGCTACATAAAGATGACCTTGATGAAATTTTCACCGCCATTCATCAGGTCAACGACGCTGTCAATAAGGTTCGTGATGCGCCTTCTCCGGAGGTCATTATGCCAGAGAATGCCGCTTCAAAGGAGGATACTGATGCAATTGAGACACTTTTGCGCAATGTCAAAGCGCAGCTGGATGAGGTCTTTTCCCCGGATGTAGAGCCACTCGCCAAAGCTGCTCAAGTTGATGCGATCGAATGCACACTCAAAGACATCAAACTTGCAATCGACGATTCAGTCGAACGTGCAGCAGAATCAAACAACAAGGAAGATTTCACGATCATGGAGTTGCTATTGAAAGATGTTCAAGGGAGTGTGGAAGATTTCAAGATCAAGCTGGACGGTCTCAACAACAGTGGCAGTGAGTCAGGTGTGAACCAAACAGAGTTCCTGGTCATGCAAAACTTGTGCATAGACATCAAAGCTCAAATCGAAGACCTCAAGCTGCCTGACATGGATGTTTTGCCAAACAAAGAAGATTTGATGGACGTCAAGAACGATCTCAAAGCATTCCGTGAGCAGCTCGAGGCCGACAATGGTCTCACAGCCCAAGCATTCGAAGCCAGAAAGATCGAGCACGGTGGTTTAGCAACGAAGATCGACGATGTCAAAAATGTCATTGGTGACCTGAGGGATGAACTCATGGGAAAGGTCGATGGGAGCGCGGAGGGCATTATTGAATTAAACAAGGTCCTAGGGATGCATCACGATGATATGAGCAAGTACGCCACAGCATCAAGCATCACCGACATGGCAGATATGATCAAGGCCGAGCTCGAGAAGCATATGGAGCATCATACAGCAAGTAAAACCGAAATGGAGGAAAGAGACGCTACTCTCTTCACCAAGCACGACGAGACGGGGACCGTGCTCAAGGATATCATCGACGAAAAGTTCAATGAGCTTATGACTAAGTATGATGATGCACAACTCGCCAGTGATGCAAAGTTGAGCGCCCTCGAAGACCGCGATACTGCACATCTTGAAGCTACCGATAAGACCAAAGCGGTCGCTGACGACCTCAAATCTCTGATGGACACTTTGGGGTCGACACTAACCGATACGTGTGAGCGAGTTTCGGCAGATTCGAAGACAGTATTCGAATCCATAGAGGAGACAAATTCAAAGCTGGAAAATCTTCACACGTCTAATGCATTCGAACATGGAGTCACGAGGGAGGAGATTTCCAAGACACTAGCTGTCGCAACGAGACTGGAAAGCTCGTCCGCCGAACACAATCCTGCCGTGCTAGCGGCAATCCGAGAAGTTCTTGGGGTTGTGAGCCAACATTATGAACACTCCCAACAGCAAACTGAGAGTTTTGCGAAAGCAACTGAAGAGATCAAATCCGGTGTTGACTCAATCCCTGCGGCAATTCCCCCTTTGCTACCAGCATTACCCGCAGCCCCCTCCAGTCCGATCATGACACCCCAGCTTCCCGCTCAGAAGGAGTATGATGACAGTGAAGTGCATGACAAGTTAGATACGCTGCTGTCCCATGCGACCCTGGCAAAAGAAATTTTCGCCGGCATCGAAAACAACCATAAGGACACGCGAGACTCTCTCTCTAACATGTCGAAGCTCGATGAAATTCATGAGCAAGTGATGGGGACTGCCGCCGAGATCGCGGGTATGGTGACCACTCAGGCTCGGTTGATGGCTGAACATCATGAGTCTAAAGCAGCGGAAGCGACTGAAGCCGCCATCGCATTGGAGAAGAGGACTGCTCAGAAGGAGAAGGTTGAAGCAGACATCGTGAGGTTGAACTCAGAAAAGAATGCTCTCATGGAGTCCATGGCTCAAATGAGAAAAGAGCAGGATGACCTCATCAATCAAACAAAGAAATTGACCAGAGACGTTGCCAAACTTGAAACAGCATTGAATATACGGCAGGATGAAATGCGGGATATGAATGCAAGGGCCGAAATACTCGAACGTCGTATCATGGAAGGATTGGTCAACCATGCTCGATCAACCAAAACCTCACGACCACCCCCGCGGTCAAAGGTCTCTCCAGCCGAGCGCGATGCATCGATGAACCTCAAGCGGGTCCCCAGTAGTGCAAGCACCGTCAATAGGAGGACCTCAGTCAAAAGTGGTGGCACAACCATTGGAAGTGCGGTCAGCGTTGCACTAAAGAAGAAAAATCCCTTGGGTACGAATTCCAAAGCGGTGACAACCCCCAGAACATCAACAGTCGATCGTCGTATATTGAGCACTAGCCATGTTACGGGCAATCGAAACCGAAATGCGGCTGACATGGCCCTGGTGCTCGCTCCTCTTCCGAAGTCTACCGGGCTTGTCAGCCTGAAGAGAAGCCAGTCGGTAAAAAGCAACCCAAGCAGTTATCTCAACGGTCGCAAAGCAAGCTGGAACGGCGTCCCATCTGACCTGACCGACAAAGAGAACTACACCGAGGACCATGACGATAGTATGGACGATGGAGACAGCGACGGCAGCACAGAAAGAAGAACCAGCTATGGTACAAGCATTATGTACAGTGACAGCATGACGTATGGGACCGGCAGCACGCTCAGCGGTCACAGCAGACGTTCAACAAGCTGTGCAAGTAGCATTATAGGCACCGTCAACGGCCAAACGGACATGATTGCGGAGGAAGACGAAGAGTTGGACGAAGATCCTAACACCCAAGTGGTTCTTCACGCTGGGCCTGAACGGAGCCAAGTCAATGCAGGGCAAGACAACTCGATGGGTATGACGACGATGGATGATCTTGACACCGCTCAAGTGATTTTGGAGGGTCTCTCGGATCTCCAGCCACCACCCCTGATCACGGCAGAGGGGCCTAAATACCACGGTAGTGACAGTGGCCTGGGTACAGAGCCGTTGACGGCAGGGACTGACGACAGGAGAGGAGAGGCGCAGGAATACTTTGAGATGACTGCGCAGGACATGCGGACTTGAGAATGGAAGCGGAAGGGGGTGTAATTTAACCCACTAACGAAATAATGATCTTGGGCGTTGTAAAGCGACTTGGCTTATGATTGGTACCAGCGTGGAAATGGGCTGTGTGGTATCAATCAATCACTCTCTCAACATGGGAACATCGAGCTTCGGGGCAGACGGTCATAGACAGATTACAAATAGTCAGTAGTCTCCACGAGTACCAGCCTACCTGAGGCATCAACGCCTATGGTTTCCGTGAATTGCGCATGGCGTTCAGTAAAGCTATCGTAAGTGGCGCACACCCCTTTTGTGGTATATACATACTGCCTTGAGGCAGGGTATAGCAGAGGCAATGAATGTGGTTAGAGTAGTTGACGAGCCCTGCATAGATTTGCCTTATGAGAAAAGTCGTGTAGTTCCTGGGCTGCCTTATTAAGTCGAGGTGCCCACCTCCGGCACAAGGGTGACATCTCCTTGTTCTGTACCTAGGTAGCTATCGGCGCTTAAATCGAAGTAACTCTGTGCAAAGGTGCTGTAGTTCTTGTCTCCTAAAAATTGTGCCTGCCCTGTTGTTTTGTGTGCTTCTCGCCCAAACCCTGTGCTCGAGGCCTCGCGCGTCCCAAAGAATGGCTGCTGAGGCAGACTCAACCCGCAATGGTTATCGTCCGGAATGGCTTGCGGTAAGAGAGCTGACCCGCCCCCACCTTGGCCTTGGTCAGTTGAACTGGTGAGCTTATCCATTTCAGCTTGAAGATGCGGCTGGAGGAAGATACATCATGACCGGAGACTTTGCTGTCGATGTGCCGACCTATGATGCAGTTTTTGCAGGTCTCTCGAAGCAATGGCCCGCATTGGCTGAAGAATTGAAAGTGTGTGAGTACAGGTCGGCCAGGGATGGCTCAGTCTCGATGTTGATATTCGTGTGAACTGGCTGACATGGAGATCACCAGGGGATGAGGCCATAGACACTGCCAACCATGGGAAGGTCGAGGTCCGCATCTACAAGCCAACGATAGCAGAAAATTCTCTGCCTCTGATGATCTACTTTGCTGGGGGAGGTTATATCGCTGGCAACCTTGAGACTGAGGATGCTCACTGTCGAATATTCGCCGCCAAGGTCTCTTGTTTGGTTGTCAGCGTCAACTACCCCAAAGTCCCCAAGGTTAAGCTGGATAATATTATACAGGTCGGGGCAGAGGCCGTTCCTTGGGTATGTGTCCCTTCGTCCATGAGAACTTAACGCCCGCATGACACCTTTCAGGCCCGCGTGAAAGCAAAAGAGCTTGGAGCAGACCCATCGAAGACAATACTTTGTGGGGGATCAGCTGGAGCCTTTCTCGCGGCTCAAGTTGCATACCGACTGTCTACAGAAGGCGACACTACGTCGGTCACTGGCTTAGTCCTTCTCTTTGCGGTCGCCCTTCACTGGAAATATGACGGCAAGTACAAGCACATGTACACTGCCTGGGAGGAGAACGGCTACAGCGGGACTCCCGTCTTCGGAAAGGAGCTGGCCGAGTTTATTTGGGGTGAGTTCATGTTTTATCATACTGAATCACATCAGGGGCACATCTCTGCTGACATCCACTCCCTAGCGCACTACGACGTTGACTTCGAAAACCCACGCCATTTTCCACTTCTTGCCGACGATCTCTCAAAGTTTCCTCCATCATACATCGTGACGGCGGAGAAAGATTGCTTTCGCGATGATGGAAAGCTTCTCGACCACAGGCTGAGGGAAAGCGGAGTCAAAAGCAGACTTGATTACTACCAAGGGCTACCCCATTACTTCCACATGTTTCCTGCCTTGGATGTAGCCCATGAGATGATGGCCAGGGCGGTCGATGGGGTGAGATTTCTCCTAGAAAATTAACGTAAGCAGCTGGCACCCGTCGGTCGGCCTGAGCAATGCGATGGCTCTTGAGTCTTGTCGACTATCTTATCCACATAGGGTTGATTGGCGGGGGGTTTATATTCTGCATAGAAGGATGGATGGACCTGGGGCATTGCTCCACTGCTTGTCCAACCCCAGAGCAGCAGAATCCACAGCGACTGGTTTGAGGTCAGCCTCGGTGTGACAATTAGTTGATGGGGGCATGCTTTGGAGCCCGCCGTGAACCCTCGCACCATCGTGCTGTTACCGGACAAAGTTTCTCATCCACGCACTCCAGGAGCGTCTGAGATCTCAAAGTCCAATTTCCATTGACATCGCCATTGATGGCGTGGCGACCTGACGCGGCTTTTCCCGAACACCGTCCTCGCACTCGCTTAGCATAGCCGGGGAGTCTGGTCCGAGCCGGTTTGTGTGGTTTGAGGAAGCCTGCATCTTCGATCTCTTTCTAACCCACTCGCCATCCTTTGGCAGACAGCGCTACCAAGGAAAAGCGCCCTTGAAGGATCCTGGCTACCATGTTAGCTTAGCACTTGAGCTCGAAAGAGCAATGACCGCTTAACACCAGCGCGGGAGTGGAAAGCGTTTCGTCAGTGCCGCAACCAGTAGAAACCTAAATGGCCAGCTCTCGCTCCCCTCATGACTTGGAAAGTCTTTGACCGAAACCCAGTCTTGTCCTCAATAACCCGACTTGCGAATGATAACTGTCCCACTGCAGGTTTGTGTTGTCCGGGAACTCATCGGCCCGCCAGATTGTGTCAATAATGGGCAGTGCCAACGATCGCCAGAAGAACTGGGATTGGGTCTTAGCCTTTGCTGCAGCATAAGCTCTGGGCAATTCCCACAGACCGGACAAAAAGACGATAATTACACTTCCTCTCGTGCAATAAACTTCCACTCTTGGTGGGGACGATCTGTCAGTCTATTTTGTAATGAGCATAGGCCACATCGTTCCCCTGCTGGCAACAAATCCTGCTTCTCCGCTCAAAGTTGCAAACAATTCGAATCCTCATCCTATGAAATGTGCCAGGAAAGCGCTGGTGTAGGTGAGAATACGCAAATGAGCGGCATTACGCCCGATCCTGACCTCGCAGACGAGAACGACTCGACTTACGGCGAAGATGCATTCAGCGAGACAGCGACAATATCATCGTGGATTCGAGAGTACAGGATAGAGAATGGTCGAACTTATCACGCCTTTCATGACGGGAAATATTGGGGTTCGAATGATGAAGAAGCGAACGAACACTACGATATCTGCCATGTGCTCTACACGAAGACTTTCCACGGCCGCCTCTTTCTTGCCCCGATCAATCCGAACCCATCTCAAGTTCTAGACCTGGGGACTGGCACAGGGATCTGGCCCATTGACTTCGCAGACCAGTTTCCCTCGGCGATAGTGACGGGTACAGATCTCAGCCCAACGCAGCACTACTACACTCCCCCAAACGTCCGCTTTGAGATAGACGACATAGAGAGTGAATGGACATTCAGAGAAAACCAGTTCGACATGATTCATATCCGTGGACTACACGGGACGATCGTCGACTGGCCCACCGTGTACAGACAGTGCATGCGCGCGCTCAAACCCGGGGGCTACCTCGAACAGTCCGAATATTCAGCGCAATTCACCAGCGACGACAACACCATCCCACCCGACGGCGGCATCGCGCTGTGGAACACGATCGGGCCGGAGTGCCACCGCGTGCTCAACCGAGAACTCCAGGTCCTCGAGACCATGCGCCAGCACATGATTGACGCAGGGTTCGAAGACGTGGTCGAGCATCGCTTCAAATGGCCCATCGGTCCCTGGGCGAAGGACCCGTTCCTCAAGCATCTGGGTCAATGGTCGAAACTCCACATCGAGTCCGGGCTCGAGAACTGGACGCTGAGACTCCTGACCAGCGTCCTGGGCTGGTCCGCCGATGAGGTCCGGGTCATGTGCGCCAGCGTCCGTCGCGAGCTGCGCGACCCGAAGGTCCACGCCGTGCATCGCATGCATACCGTCTATAGCCGTAAGCCCGACGGCTTGCCGGCCCGCATGCAGTAATGATTTCATGACTTGCTTTGAATAAATCGAGTTAGGGGCTTGGGGAGTCGATTCATTCTTCCTCGTTCGGGGAGAACCCATATTGCATAGCGCGTGCGAGCAAAGAGTGGTTGGGGACCCAATACCGTACCGCTTTTAATCCCCCAATTCGGAGACGGTATCAGTTCGTAAGTCGTGAGATGATATGCGATCCACACTTGAACGGCAAACCTACCGGGGCGGGAAGTTTTGCTCCTGCGATCGGTTTGGGAGGGGCGGCGGGCATCGGGCATCGGGCAAGGGCAAAATTGATATCTCGGCGCGGCTCTTGTTTTCGTTTTACTGATGAACTTTACTACCTGCTCTCTCTCCTACGCGGAATTACTACGAATTCCCTTGGGAATTGGGAGCATCGCTCTCGGGGACATATAGTATGTGGTAGGGTATAACGATATGTCAATTTAGTGGCCCTCTCCTGGGCTGAAAGTATATATGTATATTGATATACACATATAGCGGACTTGCAGCAGAAGGATGATATGCAGGCACCATGGTCCATATCAAGACCTTCTACACAGATTTGCTTTGTCAAGCTGTTGTCGATTTCAAAGAAAGCGTCTCGCAGGGCAAGGAAAAGACGATTGACTTTCGACACAGTACCTCTCCCATCATGTGAGTGGAAGACCTGCAGGCTTGAGGTTCCATTCTATCTATACAGTGGTGCTACAAATGTTCTCGATTCGGCCTCGGTGCGTAGAGACTAATGGGTTGCTTGGTTCGCCAACGGTGTGATTCCTTGTCTTGACGCATCTATCTTAATCTTCTCAGGGCCACACATTGCTGGTTGATTGTTCTTCGCGATTGGAGGCGTAGAAGTATCACGTCGCCAGCGAGCCCAGTCACCCCGCCAGTAGACAACCACTCGATCGGATATTCCCTCTTCGGACGCAACTGTCCTCTTCTCTGGATCATGCCCAAGGCCTCCTAAGTGATTGTTTTGTCTCACCGAGCCGTTATCCCGCCACGACTCGAACAAGGCCTCGTTGGCTCCGTGTGAGAGCTCCCTGTGCGCGAGCCTCAAAATACGGTTCGCCTGTTCCGAATCTCCGACCTCCATGACCAGAAGCGACGCATCCACTTTGCGTGTAACTTTTACAAGTAGTCGGTAGAACAGGTCAGGTGAGCTGCGGTCCTGGGGACCACAGTCATCGTCGTCAGGTGGTACCAATGCCAGTCTAGGCTCGTACTTGCGCACGCTCTTCTCGACCGAACCAGGTCCAGTGAGTTCCTTGCTCGATATATATGGCGGATTCGAGATGACTACATCCCAAGACCCATCTATGAGACTTTGGTTCTCTAGCTCAGGATTGAGGTAGACCCTGGTTTCGCGGTCTCCCCTGGCCACCGTCTCAAGAGATGTTTTGCCTGGAACGACATCGATTTCTCGGATGTCGCGGGTGGCGAAGTGAATGTCTTTGCGAGCATCTGGATGCAAAAGCCTTTTCTCGACATTGTGCTTCAAGTTCAAACGTGCGAGTTCGACAGCTCGGTCGGAAATGTCCAGCCCCACGACTTCTATACCGAGCTCTGTCTTTGATAGGACGGAAGACGGAGCCATCGTCCCCGGCGGTGGCTTGAGGAGAGAATGAAGGAGAAGCGCTATACATCCCGTCCCCGTGCACAAATCAAGAATGCGAATGCGTTTGCGTTGGCAGATCTTGTTAGCTAGATCGTTTTTCACATCGAGGATACGATCGGACAAGATCTTGCCTATTTGTTCCGTGTATGTTTCTGTTTCTGGCCGGGGGATCAGGACACCCTCGTGGCATTTAATTTCAAGATCGCCAAACGGTTGGGTCCCAAGGATGTACTGCAACGGCTTTCCACGAGATCTCTGCCACACCAATCGGGAGAGTATTTTATTTTGAATCGCTTCGACATCGTGGAAATTTGTAAGCGTCTTTGGTGACTTGGTCTTCTTCTTGTGCGCTACAGGAGGTGTGTGTGTAGCTGACGAGCAATTCCGGAGCACTCTAGTGGCCGCAAGATCGCGGGCATGTTCCTTCAACCATCGAAGTTCGTTTCGAGCGGAGGGAAGGTCGCGACAATAGCGCATGAGTCGTGGTAGCTGGATGTCTACAGAAGCGGCTTGTTGAATGCATCTGGGCGTGAGCCGTGGCATCGGAGTGCCAAATTAGACCTAGATATATTGCAAAAGATCGAGCTGCCAAAGGCTATCTCCTCGTGCCAACCCATATCTCTGCTCTCTGTCATGTTGACGACCGATCTGTACGGTCAGCTTTATCCTTGACTGCGCGGCAGAATATTGATTTCGCAAAAGGCGGTGTAACCTAAAGCCCTGCCGCTTTATACATTCCTGTTTGGGTGGTCCGTGGTCACGTGGTACAGGCAAAAAGCACAGGGCGCCATCCTGGTTTAATCAAATGAGGCCGAGGTCCAAGATATGATCCTCAACATTCCCTGTGGGAGGTATCCCATCCCTTTCATCTGGCATGATCACCCTCCCCCTCGTGTGGAGGACGGCGAGACGGGCATCTCCTCGCTCTGGGTTCCTTCATATGCTCAAGTGCTCTGCACCCGAAGACTCAATCTGGTAGCCATTTTGCAGAAGTCTCGTTGTTATCGTTTCCAATGTAAGAAACGTGGATCGTCAACAAATAGTCATCCGGCATACCTAGGATTTGGAGTCTATTTCCTTGAATCGTTTCTTCAAGCTTACTTTCGAGCCTCTACAGAATGCCCAAGAAAATCTTGGTTGGCTACGGGATCGATGTCGATGCTGTGAGTGGCTGGATTAACACGCAGTCTGGACAGGCTGCAGACCTGACAAATATATCGCGAGGTGTCTTTGGCGCAACGGTCGGGACTGACAGATTGCTCAAGCTGTTTGAGAAGTACGGCATTAAAGCAACATGGTTTATCCCAGGTCACTCAATTGAATCGTTCCCAAAGCAAATGGCCAAGGTCAGGGACGCTGGACATGAAATGTAAGTGTAGGGAACCAAATCTTTGGCTTTCTTCTGGTCCCACTGCTGATTGTTCATCAGCGGTCTCCATGGCTATACCCACGAATTCGTCTCGCAGTTATCACCTCAACAGGAACGGGATGTACTACAGAAATCCATCGAGGTCGTAACCTCGTTCACAGGCAAGAGGCCAAAGGGTTGGACGGCCCCTGCCTGGACGCCCTCTCCTGACACGGTGAACTTACTGGAAGAATTTGGTGTCGAGTATGATCATTCGTTTATGCACCACGACTCTCAACTGTACTATCTCCCGTATCCACCGGCCAAGTGGAAGGAAACAGATTATAAGAACTCTTCGGCCAGTGATTGGATGACACCCATGTCAATATTGCGGCCGTCCTCTATCGTGGAGATCCCGGCCAACTGGCACGTTGACGATTGGCCTGCTTTTCAAACGCTGCGTGGACAAGGATCTTCCGGCTTCGTTGACCCGCACCAAATCGAAAGATTTTGGAAGGAACAATTTGAATTCTGTTACCGAGAGTACGACCATTTTGTGTTTCCAATCAGCATTCATCCGCAAGTCAGTGGCAAGCCACAGATATTGATGATGCACGAGCGTTTCATCGACTGGATCAATCAACACGAGGGTGTGGAATGGTGCACCTTCGAAGATATGGCCAACAAGTTCCGCAAGGGAGAGATGCATGGTGCAGAAGTTGAGGGAGGAGTTGACGTGTAGAATCCGATTGTTCATTCGCGTTGGGGTGCACGACACCCTGAACTCACTCTGGAGTCTGGACTGGCGGCTCCAACAAAGCTCTTATTGTACAACAAAGTGTTTCATGCGTGGGACGGGAAGTGCAATGCCAGATGTGTATGGATTGCCAAACGCTAGTGCATACGTCTGCAGAAGACTTAGGCACACATGTTGAAAAGCACCTACAACAGCATCGAAGGTGTCAAAGGAAACTGAATCAGCTTCGTCGTTTCCAAGTTGATTTTCTCATTTTCCCCAGAAGAAAGTGACGTGGAAACTCCACACAAATCCATGGTGCATCGCGTCGGTGTCAAGTGTCGGCGAGCTTGCATGAGGGACTACCTGGAGTAGAATGGTTCCGATCGAAGACTAGTAGTACTTCCTCTGTTGGATACTTTGCAACGTTGTTCACTGCACAAATGTTTCCCCCGAATACTAATTCTCACTGTGGAGCCGTCTTCATGAAAGGCCGCTTCTTTCTTTCGTCTATCTCGAGCTGCGAGTCCTGACTAGGTTCAAACACTATTATTTGACAGCGCCGAGAAGGATTTCGTCCAGGTACCGGATTAGTGGGCCCTTTGTCTTGTTGGCTGGCGTACCCGTCTCCGTTAATGTACCTGGCATAATCCTTTACCGCACTTTAACCCCTGGCGGGGGATTCCTTGCTATGCTGGAGCCCCGGAACCCAAAGCCTCGTATCCCCTTCTCTACCGATACCTCGTTTGGATGGCTCATATACATCCTTTGCAATATTGGAGCAGTTGTACCATTCTCCACCAACAGCTAATGACTCTCGACACTTTGATCACGGCTTTCACGTTTCTGTTCCACGATACCCTCCAACGAATCAATCGATTTCCCCGCCCCCTACACACCGTCGGAATCTAGAATGTCTGGTATAACAGCAAGCCTTGGAAACTCGTCCCAACCGAGCCTCGGACCCTGGCCCCAATCTTGTCTTGATTCAGCCTTAGGCCATATGTGAGGTGCGCGTGGAAATGGAAATGCGGGAAGGTCATGGTCAGCCTCCTCACCGACTTTTTGGACCTTGTCCCATCTCCTTTCTGGCACGCACCAGAAACAGATTCCTAGTCTATCCTTTCCAACCCCATTATGTAGGAGAATTTCCAGCAAGTCGGAGATATCGTAGATGGATGCTCAAACAGCCATCGCCACAGCTTTCGTCCCTCACCGTACCCGCTATGGCCGGCACGGCAACGTGTGATACGCGCACGGACCGAGTGAGTAGATTCTGTCCAAAAAAGCTGTCCAACCTGATCATTAGGGCTACCAATTGTCGCCTTGACCGACACCGAGTTTTTGTTGAATGCAAGACCCATTACCATCGTCCTGCTCCTGCCTCGCAGGCTGCAGGCTGCAGGCTTGCATCGCATTGCAGCGTGTACAAGGCCAAGTTGATTGTAAGCCAGTGCATCTTGCGCCTCTGTCTCCAAGCTTCCTAATTCCACTCAGCATGCCGAGCGCCACACGGTCACCGCATGTTTGACAGCTGACACAGGTAGAGGGAGCACAGGTGAGATCCCCAAGAATACTTACGTTTTGGGACAAAAGATCAAGCTTGTAAGATGCCCAAATGCCCATGGGTACCTGGGTGGATCCTAAGCCAACAACTCACTCCGCCTCGCACACGCACACCACGCTTTCACGCGAGACCACCAGTAGTACCATACACCATACACCAGATCCCCGATACCGTTGGGACCTGCATAAAAAGCCTCAATCATCTACCTCTTTTCTGATTTTCTGACTCCTTCCAACGATTTGATCAAGTTGCTCAGGTTTTCAAGTATTGAAATCAACCAGGAAACGACAAAGTCATATCAATCCCTCGTCCATCGAAATTGCTCTGGATCGAGCAAGACCATATTACCAGAACATCAACTATGGAGTCTCCAATCAATAAGGGTCGTGGACACTATGACACCACCGGCGTTATCAAGCCCATTGGACCTCAACGACCGTCTTCTCAATGAGCCAAAAACTGGGAGTAAAGGTCTAGAGCTTGACAAAGCTGAGCATACTTGAATATGTCCCGCATAAGTTTTGGACCCGACGGGATAGGAAACAACGAAGCCACCTGGAATATCCCACTGCAGCCTGTCGAGAGAATGTGGCTGAATCACCAGTCAGCATCATTACGCCTCCATTCCACCCTACGACCACCCTCACCCAAGTCTGTTCTTCAGCTTGTTGTCTGGAGATGCTAGAGGAACTCTTATCTCTAGCCTGAGACGCAACCACCATTTCGCTCTCGGCCGGTCAGCCGCCACTATCATCTTGCTCCTCTTCTCCTAGCCCCAATGATACATTGCACGACGTCCATTCCTCCCACAAAAGTCAGATGATCTTGCCTTGACCGCCACACATCGATCTCAATCAAGGGTACACCAATGCAAGTAAGATGGACAGCGGAGCTCTCTGTCTAGACGACTTGCATGTCGAATGCTGGGGCTAACAGTCACCACAGCCTCCGATGGGCCTGGCAAGACATGAGTGCGATGCGAGGCATGCAAGTCCACCCACAAACCTGCATTCTGATCAACGATTACGGAAGTGGTCGCCCACTGGATGGATGGATGCTTGGGGCCGAAGCCTAAGATAGAGCTGAGCATGAGGATTTGGTAGGGGCTGAAGGCTGGGCGCATTTCGCCACACCTAACTTAGAGCCAGAAAATCATACCGAGTAGGGAATACAACAAGAGTTTAGTGTTGCACGCTCAGCCTCATCTTCCCCCATCTTCAGCCGTCGTTTCCCCACAGGTCTCAATGCTCAACTACTCGTAAATGACCATGCGCAAGGCCACTCTCCGTATCGTGGGTGTCTGACAGCAATACCCGGCCTGACAGCAATTAGGTCATTTTCGAACATCGGCGTCAGGATTTTCGTCAATGGCGGTAACGCGCTGGTGGAATGTGTCGAGGACACTTACTCTAGCCAAGATTATTCCTTGCAAGAGATCACATAGTAAGTGCGTGCATTATAGGTGGCCGCCATAACGTAGGAGAAGATCACAGTCACGTGATATGTCTGGGAGGAAAACGGAACAAGAGAACCCTCTATTAATCAAGGGTCGGGGTATAAGACAATCCCCGATAGATCACCGGCTTTAACTACTAAGTACGTATCCAATTACTCATCGCTCTGCATCTCCAATAATTGTGTGGTTGACATCAAAATTTGACCTCAGTGCTGTTCATGTTGCTGGGCGCGGACAAGTGGTCACGCGATGTTTGAGCAGTTTGTGGCACCCTTCCAAGTCCCCACAAAGTGCCAGTCCAATTGCCGGAGGGATCGGGACTTTCACAAACCTAGCCTCCTCCGCTAGCTGGAAGTTATATTTTAAAGATCGAAATGATAGATTAATGATGCCATGCCCTCCATTCCCAGACATGGGCAATTACATGGACAACCTTGGCTGAGCAACCAGAGAAGCCCGCCTTCTAGCATTTCGCCCTTCTCCGTCGTGTGACTTATTCGAAATTGTCTCTTAATGTCTCCCAAAGGACCATACATATTGGTGACGGTGAATACAGCTCCAGAGCGAGCGAAAAGACTGGTTGGGCGTGTTGCCGAAGAGCTCAAGGAGCAATATACCATTCAACATGTTGCCAACTGCGAAAGTAAGTACTGCTACTACTACCATGGGTCGTTCTTGATCGCCTTGCATGGTGCCAAGCATCGCTAACAAAACCAGCAATCGATGAGGTAGAAGGCAAAGTCAAGGAATTCCAGCCTGACGTCTTGGTAGACACTCTCTAAGCCCTTGTGTTGGTGAGACTGACTGGTTACAGTTCTGTGCCTCGATGTGGACACCAGAAGAAAGCGCCCGCATTCAAAAGATTGCGAGCGCCAACAAGCCAGGAATCAAGACACATGCTATTCCCCAGGGCTTACAGGTCGAGAAGGGCCCGGATGCCATCGTTGATTATCTGAAGGAGCGGATTCCCAGTATCCTGGCATAAATTTTGGGCTTCTTATAGAAATCTACCATAGACATAGAAGGCATGAAGAAATGGCCTACGGGCTGTAGACATTAGACAATGCCGCGGCTCCCTCTTACTTCTTCAGTGATTTCTCAGGTTCGTAGGTCTCTAAAATAAGCAAACAGCGAATCGCAACGAGCAGGGTAAGTCCAAGTGGGAAAGTCGTTTGCCGAAGTCGGCGAGAGCTCGAATGCCCTTCCACCAGCGGATATAGTTTTATCCCCTTCAGTCCGACTATCGACAGTAGAAGCCGTGGTTCGTCGAGCAAGGTCCACGCTCCGTAGTAACCAGGCTGGGTGCCAGGTATAGGTGGCGCTGCCCCTCATTTTCGTTTGTGGGGAGCTCGAAAGGCTTGGACTATTAGCAAAGTGTACCTACTGAGTAGAGAGCAGGCATTGATTGCCGGGTTCAAGCCACCTGCAATTGCCGCTAGGCACAACCGACAAGATATGCAGGGGACCGCGAACTGCCTTTTGTCGTCACCATGAATTGAAGGCTAAACACGCAGAACACCACCTGTAAGCTCTGAAATATTTTTTGATTCTTATGCTTGTGACCTCCGTTCGTAGCTGAGAACCTGCTGAACAACCTCGATTGTCAATGCTCAATCAACAAGTATCCAATGCAACCATGCATCCCGAAGTACACTCTTTGAAAATATGCATCTTGGGTGCCGGCATGGGCGGTTTGACCACTGCCCTAGCGCTTGCACGCGCCGGGTTTTCGGAGATCACAGTGTTCGAGATGGCTTCCAATCTTGGATTTGTGGGTGCAGGCATTCAGATGGCGCCGAACATGGCTCGAATCCTTGATCGCTTAGGGGTCTGGGAGGCCATTGCAAAGGAGGGAGTTGTCTTAAACGAAACCAGTATCCGGCAAGGCTCTACAGATGGTGAGCTGGGTCACGTCGATCTGAAATATATTCGAGAGACCTACGGCTATCCGCACATGGTCGGACACCGAGCCACGCTGGCGGGAGAATTGTACAACGGCTGCTTGCGAGAGTCGAAGAGCATCGAGTTCAAATTCGCAACGACATGCGAAAATATCAAGTTCGGCCCCCGGCCGAGTTTCACCGCCATTCCGAGGAAAGACGGCGAACCATATCAAGTTGAATGCGATATCCTCCTTGGTGCGGATGGTGTTAAATCAAGCACACGAATCGCGATGCTCGAAGCGCTGAATGTGGTTGCGAACGTCCAAGACACAAACCAAGCAGCGTACCGGATAATGCTGTCTCGAGAGCAAATGTCTACAGACCCGGAACTTTTGGCACTGATTGATGCCGATAAAGTTATACGTTGGATTGGCGAGAAAAGGCATTTGATTGCTTACCCGGTCTCCAATAAGCAGATCTACAATATTTCGACAACTCAACCAGACGTGAATTTCGCAGCAGCTCCTTCGGCCACTTACACAACAAAAGGATCGAAGAAAGCAATGTTGGATGTCTATGCAGATTTCTGTCCCATGATTCATAGGATGCTCGAGCTTGTTCCTGAGGGCGAAGTATGCGAATGGAAGTTGAGAGTTCACGAACCATTGCCCACGTGGGTCCACGGATCTGTTGCCCTCGTGGGAGACGCATGCCATCCAACACTCCCACATTTGGCTCAAGGAGCGGCACAGGCTATCGAAGACGCAGCCGTGCTGGGTGTGGTACTATCTCATCTTCCCAGCACCGTTACTCCAGCCGACATCAACAAATCACTCAATCAGTACGAAAAAGTACGGAAGGAGCGGGCAGAGACCCTTGTGGAACTCGCGGCCGCATCCGGAAGAGGACTACACCTGGGAGAAGGCAAGGCTAAGGAGGAGCGAGATAAACAATTCGCGGCGCTGAAGGCAGGTAAAGGGCCAGTGCCAGACAAATGGGCTGATGCCGACGTGCAGAGAAAGATTTACGGTCATGACTGTGTTCAGGTGGCGGAAGAGCTAGTCAAGGCTGAATTAAATGGTGCTTAAATCGAGTGCTGCATACCTTCACCATACGGATTCAATGGAATCTTTTCGATAGCAATGAAATAGTAATTCCCCTTGCCTTAATTTATGATCTCGGCTGTCAAGACGAGAAGCTTACACTCATGCATAATTCTAAAGAGCATTCCTAAAACGGACAGATGGAATAGCGATTCGAGGCCCAGCCGAAAGCAAGAGATGATCCAGGCCTGGCCGAGTCTCTACTGCATACCTTGTACATCGGCTAAGGATTTCCAGCCTCTGCTCCAAACATACTAAGCTTTCCTCTCCGCCAAATAGGGTATCGAACCAAGCAGCGGTGACTGCGATACAGCTTACTGCGAATCGCCACCACAGGCGGCTCCATGATCTTCCCCACCCGGAAGGCTTTTCGTCCCCACCGGTTTCTTCCTTGCGGCGGAGAACCGCCTTTAAGTCCCCACGATCCGTGAGCTGATCAATTGTCTCTTTCTCCATGTCCATGCGCTCTCTGATATCAGCCTAGTCAGAACTGTACCGTTATGGAGTGTCGGTTCTGCCAGAAGGGCTTCTCGAAGGGAGAACACCTGAGAGTATGACCAGCCCCAAACAAGTGGTATTGGATGCTGACCTTGCTTAGAGACACGAACGAAGGCGTAAGTTGTGGAACTTCTTACAATTTGCATCAAATGTAGGTCACTAAATCAAGGCATACTAGATACTGGGGCGAAGCCTTTCCAATGCAAGGAGTGTCACCGATGCTTCAGCCGACAAGATTCGCTCGCTCGCCACGAGAAATTACACACACGGCGGCGGGAGCCCCACGAGGCTCAGTCGGTCCAAGGCTCTGATTACAGACCCGTCAGCCCTGAGAGTATTGAACGTATTGATCTGAACCATGGCCCAATCGAAGATGTGCCTGCTGCTTCATCTGATGATAGCCGGACTCTTGGTAAAACTTCGCTACCGCCAGGGGTCCCACAAGCAATCAACCACGGGGCTGAGCTGGACTTTGACCTGATATGGCCAGATACTGAAGATCTTTTCCAGACAATCATGTTAACTGATTCTGTCAATAAATGGCAAACGCCCCTGGGCGCGCTTCCGTTCTCAGTTTCGACCTCTCCATCGTCCAGTGACATCGCACTCGGGACACCTAGCTCCTTCGACGAACGGCCGTCGTCCATAGGAGCAATCCCGCTTGGAGGGAACTCACAAGCAGTTCAAGATGTGAGCAAAATGATATCAACGCTGGTGGGTAGAATCTGAATGAACACAAAGCGCAGACTAACGAGCAATAGTCATCCAGCCTGACGACAGCAGCGAAATCCAACTCCATCACTTCAGTGTTCTTAGATGAATGCTTGCACATGTTTTTTGTGAAGTTCATTCCCACATTTCCTGTCCTACACCGTGCTACTTTTGTCTTTCGAGATTGCGCCCGTACCCTACTCCTGAATGCCATTGCCATTGGATCGCTGTATCTAGGACCAAAGGATGCAGTAGCGAAGGGCGAGACCTTGTGGCACCTTGCTCATACTGCTATTGCTACATCTTGGCAGAATCTGATCACCCACCGCGGAGAATATGATGCCTGTGAAGGTGTCCAGCTGGTCATCACTGCTGTGCTGGGTCAAGTATACGGAACTCTTTCGAAGAACCGAGCCATCCGGACTACGAGCCAGGCGTTCCATTCTCTAGGCTTCGTTTGGGCGCGGCGAAGCGGCATGTTCGATAGTGAACCATTCGATCTGAGCAGCGTCCCATCGCTGGACGCACCAGAGGCTGAGAAAGAACGTCAATGGCGAACCTGGGTATCTCGAGAAATCCAGCAACGAGCACTACTGGCGCATTACATGTTGGATGGGCTTATTTCACAGATGTCTGGCGAGCCCACTTCAGTCCGGCATGCGACCAACCAACTGCGCCTACCCAGCAGCGAGGCTGCATTTGAAGCATCAACTGCCAACGAGTGGATCTCAATTATGCGCTCAACCTCTGCAGCTGAGACGACTTCTTTCCGAACTATACTACGCCAATTATTTCGACCGAGTATTGAAAAGCGCTGGATAGACACACCGCTTTCCGCGTTTTCCTACAAAGTAATTCTTGAAGGTCTCCAATCATTGATATCGGACGATGATACCGAAGAAACGGCTGTTGGCGTACCCACCCGATCCGAGGTTCGGCATGCACTAAACCAGGTGTACGAAAGCGTTACAACAAATTCTTCCCTCTCGTGCAACGACCGCCTTGAAACACTCCTACGCTGGCACTCCATATGCTTGGACACAGTAATCGATTCCTCATTGCTCTGCAGAAACCTTTGTTCCAGATACGAAATTACACAGTACATTTGGCGCAATGCCGAGCCATCGAAGAGTAGCATGGATCTAGTGAGCTGGGTAGCCACGCCTGCGGCACGCAGTGCCCTGCTCCATGCCATGGCGATCCAAGAGCTCGTCGAACAACTTCCGCGCGGTCGAGCTCACGCTATCCATATGCCGAGCTCCCTCTTTTCAGCCGCAACTGTGTACTCGGTATTCACCCTGGCAGGGCAGCCGGTCTTGCAGATTCCTTGCACAGTTGTTTGGCAAGACGTCCTCTCGAGCGGGAGACAGCCTACCAGCAACTCCTACCTCTCACTTTCCGAACTGTCAACCTCAAGCCAGATGCTGCTGCACGAGACGGACACCCTAAGATACATTCACGGAGATGTCTTATATGGCTCAAGTGGAACGTCGAGAAATCTGCTTTACGAACTGAATTCAATTCACAAGCTATTTAGGTGCTTGTATGCGCAATGGGGAATCGCATTTGACATGGAGAATGTGGTGGAACAATGGATTGGGATATGCCACTAGATATGCCACTAGATATGCCACTAGATATGCCTGGAGCGATCGATGTACAAAAGCCAGGGTTATGCTTTGCGATATGACAATGAAATCGTAAAAATGCAATGCTGTCAAAAGGGGAGCAATGAAACATAGTCGTTTCAGCTACATATATGATTACTTTTCAGGGACTAGACATGTCTCCTAGCCAGAACACTTCCTATCAGAAATACTGCTTTCTTGATATTTCGACAGTCCCCTCCCTATCTATTGCTTCTCCGCGAGACTTATCTTCCCATTGTCATCGTACACGATTTCCCTAACCTTGACACTCCTCAAATGACTCTCACCCTTACTCAGGCTCGAATCGTGATAGAAAAGATACCATTTGTCCTTGAACTCGACGATCGAATGATGCGTCGTCCACCCGATCACAGGCTCTAGGATTCGTCCGCCGTATGTGAACGGTCCGAGCGGGTTGTCTCCTACCGCATAAGCGATGTAGTGCGTGTCGCCGGTAGAATAGCTGAAATAGTACTTCCCCTTGTACTTGTGCATCCAGGCGGCCTCGAAGAACCGGCGGTCGTGGTCGTCTGCCACGAGCAGTTCACCTGCTTCGTCGAGGATTTGCAATTCCTGGACGTCCGAGGCGAGCGAGTGCCCGTCTGGGGAAATCTTCGCGCCGCGGGGGAGGAGCGCTGCCTTATCCGTGCCCTGCGGCTCGTGAGGGCCGGATTGTGAGTTGTCGAATTCCCCGGACGTCCAGCACTGCAGCTGCCCGCCCCATATGCCTCCGAAGTAGAGGTAAGCTTGGCCATCTTCGTCGACAAAGCTGGCTGGGTCGATGGAATAGGTGCCCTTGATGGGTTCGGGGTCTGGTGTAAATGGTCCCTCTGGTTTGTCACTCACTGCGACGCCGATGCGGAAGATCCCTTCCTTGTCGCGGGCTGGGAAGTAAAGCATATATTTTCCGTTGATGAATGCTGCATCCGGTGCCCAGAGCTGTTTGGACACCCATGGGATGTCATCCACTTTGAGTGCTATTCCGTGGTCGGTGACGGGCCCACCTATCTCTTCGAGGGACAGAACGTGGTAGTCAGCCATGTCGTATTGGTCGCCATTGTCGTTGAATGTGATGTCGTTCTCCCGATCCTAGATCGGCCATTGTCAGTCGGCGTGAGCCATCAATCGCCAGTTTGTCTTCTCCAGCGCAGTGAGATCGGTCTTGCTGGACTCGAAACATTCAAGGACGGTCTTACATGAGAAGGGTACACATAGATCTTGCCTTCAAAGGCATGTGCTGAAGGGTCTGCCGTATATATATGGGTTACCAAAGGTTCTGGGGCCATGATTTCGTGAATGACTGCCACCAGCGTTGGGTTGGGCTTCCGTTTCAGTACAGCTTGAGCTCTGAACTTTTTCTTTCACGCCTTGGCTACGATGAATGCAGAGTCAGGTATGCGCTAAATCGCTCCAGTGATCTCCTTTTCGTCTACAATCTTTGACCTCATGACTCGGTTCCTAGGACGTATTTATATGGATCGACCTCTGGAATTATGCTGAAAGTCGACTAGTGTAGAAGCAATTTAGCCAGATTTATCCGAGACGCCCAAGGGAGGTGACGGCCATGGGCTCGGTAGATGCTGCATTATTGAATGCAGAGGTGAGGTCCCGAAGATGCGCCGGCTGACCGGCTGAGCTCTTGTATTTGGTAGAAAGCTGTTATTCGTTTCGTAGGGATGGTCATGGCGTCTAAATAGTTCACAAGATTCCATATTAGACGTTGGATGTGGCTGTGGCTGTGGCGCTGTGGCGGCGGACATGTGCCCTCGCTAACCACTGAAGACGTCAGATAGCTAAGGATAGGCTAACTTCGCGACCCGAGGTCGGAACCAAGTTGGCGGGGACGTGACTAACAAGGTAGTATGTTGCAGGGCCATTGGTGGCGCATATATTTCTGGCTAGCTTTTTAACTCTCTTGGGACACTCCTGAAAAATGTACAGGACCTTTAGTTGCGTCCCCTCAAACATCAAGTTGCGTTTCCTCGACCATTGATCCTGGAAGGTCAGAATGCGAACAATATTGAAAAATGCCAAAATCTTCACCGGGGGTGCTCAGGCCGAATCGGAAGGATTCAAGCAAGGCTCAATGCTCATCAACGGCGAGTTAATTGAATACGTGGGCTCAGAAGAAGACGAGGTCATCGTCGCTGCTGCCCAACATGGAGCTGAGGTCTTCGATCTGGGTGGCCAGACTATTACGCCAGGTTTCATTGATGGGCATATGCATCTCTTGATGTTCGGCACTTCGCTGACAAAGGTCAGTCTGGAGCATTGCAAATCGTTACAAGATATTCGAGCAACGATCCGGGAAGCAGCGCAAAATGATCAATCCAGGTCACGAATCCTGTGTCGTGGCTGGATGCATTACATGACTGATGGACGGGCCCTTGCAAGTGACCTCGACGATCTCGACGAGAGAGGGCGGCCGATATATATAGACTCTAAGGATCTGCATTCGACTTGGGTCAACTCCGCCGCGTTGAAAGAAATGGGCATTCTAGAGATGCCGGATCCTGCGGGTGGAGAGATCCACAGGGATGAAAAGGGAAATGCGACCGGGCTACTCAGTGAGGCTGCTGCTGTTACAATTGTTTGGCCACATCTAGCAAGGGTTGCATCCACGGAAGAAAAGATGAGCGCGATCCGTGAGGCGATCAAGACTTACAACGCGGCAGGGTATACGGGACTGGTTGAAATGGCCATGGATGAGAATGCCTGGGAGGCCTTGCTACTGTTCAGGTCGAAGGAAGAATTGACCATTCGAATAGCGGCCCATTGGCTGATTGCCCCTTCAAACACGACGGAAGAGAATATACGGCAGGTCGACAGAGCCATCGAGCTCTGGAAGCAGTATAATCTCGACACTTCACCGAATTTCCGGATTGCTGGGATCAAGGTCATTGGCGACGGAGTTATTGATGCTTGCACTGCATCATTACTTGAACCATATTCCAAGAACGGTATATCTTGTGAGCCCCTGTGGAATCGAGAGCTGCTGAGAGACGTTGTCGCACGCGCAGACAGCGCTGGTCTCCAGTGCGCCCTCCATGCAATTGGAGACGCAACCATTAAGTTGGCCATTGATGTGCTTGAGTCGGTTGCATCCAATGGTCGGCGGCATCGTATAGAGCACCTTGAACTCACCTCGCCAGGCGATGCTAAACGACTCCAGGCAAATGGTATCACCGCATCTATACAGCCTGTTCACGCCGATCCAGCAATCACGCGAGAATGGGACTCCTTACTTGGATTGGAGCGCAGGAAACGAGCTTTCGCCTACCGGGAATTTCTAGATGAGGGAGTAACGCTGGCTCTTGGTACCGATGCTCCTACGGCGCCGAATCTACCCTTGCAGAATTTATACATTGCCACGACGAGAAGATCGGCCAGAGAGCCAGAATCAGAGGAAGTTTTCAACGAGCACTGGGCTTTGCCTTTACTCAGTGCATTTTCTGCTGCCACGCTTGGTGCGGCCTATTCATGTTTTGCCGACCAAGCTGTTGGAACAATAGAAGCTGGCAAGAAAGCGGATTTTGTTGTATTGAACATGAAGTGGTCGCCACAGAGTCTCTTGGAGGACAGGGTTACCCAGACGTGGTTCGGTGGTAGAAAAGTTTACGATGCTAGCGGCTTGAGTAATGGTGCATAGAGTCGTATACCCCATACCTGGTGTCGGACAGCTATTGATTTGCATGGAAGGATGGACTTTCAAAAGTCAAGATGAAGATGATAACACAGCAGTGATCTTGTCTTCCGCCTGATAACTGACGCTGTCCCCGTGCTGTCGAGTCTGTTTCACAGCAGTGTTTGCGTCTTTGCTGTGTTCCTGCACTGAGGTAGATACATCAGCCTCAATCTCGTCCGTCTTCTTCGATGCGGCTTGCAAGTTCGCTTTTTGAGTCTCAACAGCTTCAGCTGTGGCAGGGTTAGTGTCAAATATGCTGCATTCACGGAAGCCTTGCCTTGTCCCTGTTTGCTTCCCGTTAACATACTGCCAACTTGGCCCACGCCGGCCCCTACTGCGCCTCCAGCAAACTGCACAGTACTGCCAATACCATCACCGACACCTTGAACAGTTCCAGCTGCGCCCTCACCCAATGTCCCAACTGTATTTCCAATTGTATCAACCACACCTTTCAATCCACCACCGACGGTACCTCCAAGGGCAGTGATCGCACTCTGCGTGTTGGCAGAAGTTCCGTGGGCTCTTTCTCGGGGGATCTCCCCTGCAATGGCCCCTCTTCAAGCAAAGTGTCAGATGATATAACCCAAAATTGAAGGACAAATGTTCTCACTTTGTCTGTTCTGCGAGTTTATCACATTTGGGATCACCGGGGAACACGTCCAAATCAACCACTCGATTCTCGGCAACCTTGACCATATTGATGACGGGCTCAAGTGTTGGCTGTAGATTCAGTGTACGGTGTCACCACAGATCTCTCCACGGCAAGATATGTCTTGGACCTCGTCCCTACATTCTGCCGTGACGTAAGGGCTACACGCCTCATCATCAGATGCTCCAAAGACATGACGAGTTCTTGTTGACATTGACACCAGGGCCACCCCAGAACACGATAGCTGATCCATCAAGCCCGTCGACTCGTAGGGGTCCTGGCGACAGGGATTCGATCAATAATTATCCTTCAATCATAAGAAGGGGCGACCCCTGGAAGGCCATAAACGCCGATATGCCGGCTCCGATTTAACTCCCCACCAACCGGTACAAAGCCCCAGATGATCTCTTGGATGTCCAGTCTTAGGGACACGACTTTATTTTCCGGGCCTAATGGGTTTCTTCCGCTGGTCAACTAAACCCCACCACGCGTCGCGACTTGAATCTCTGAGCTTCCGGCGTCGGGAGTACATCTTCCCAATGTCTGTCCATGTTCAACAATAATATCATTCGCAGTGCTGTCGTTGCAGAAGGGCAGACTCGCCTTCTTGGTACACTACATCCCGAGCATCGATTACTTCACCAACGCTTGCAACTCAAATCACCGATATCCTTAGTTCGATTACCTTGCAAGGCTTCAACATTAGCAGTATCGTACCATTCAATGTCTTCTCTGTCGCCAAAACCTGCGAAACCACTTCCTACAGACCTACCCATCCGCGCATTTCCCTCTGCCCGCGAGTTTGAGGCTTTTCTGGAACGTGAGCATACCGCCGCCGCTGGAATCCACCTTAAATTTGCCAAAAAGTCTTCTGGGATCGCTTCGATATCTGGCGCTGAGGCGGTGGAAACTGCATTATGTTTTGGCTGGATAGATGGTCAAGCGAATCCCTTTGACGACAATTGGTGGTTGGTGCGCTATACGCCTCGCCGGGCAAAAAGCATATGGTCACAGAAGAATGCGAATACAATAGAGAGGCTGACAGAACAAGGTCGAATGCGGCCTGCTGGAATCGCTGCCGTTGAAGCAGCTAAGGCTGACGGGCGTTGGTACCGCGCCTACGCAGGTCCAGCCACTATAGCTATACCTGACGACCTCGCTACCGCCTTAAAAGCGAATGCAGCTGCATCTAATTTCTTGGACAACATGACGAAAGCCGATCGTTATGCTATACTTATGCGCTTGCAGGTATCCTCCCCAAAACGTCGAGAACAGCGAATAAAAGGTTTGGTCGAACAACTCGCAGTGGATCATACAGATTCTGTGTTGAAGCCCAGCAGGAAGAATGGGGTCAGGAAAGCAAAACCAAAAACAAACCCAGCAGGGCGGGCCAAAGCCTCGACGACTGATTCGTGTGCCAATGCGAGCAATGCAACACCTGGCCAGACGAATCTACCTCGCCGCCCTGGACTACGTAGCCGAGCTTGAACCCGGCTTTTCCTTGTCGGCACTCACGAAGCCATCAGATCCAGGCTCATGTTTGTACTCGGGAGAGCTATTTCGAGAAGAAGCCAGAGGCCCAAGCCATGATTTTCGTCGATGAAGAGGTCGAGCGAACTATGTAGGATCAATCCTCGTCTAAGCACAACATTCCAGCACAAAGCTAGATCCTTAGATCGCCAAGAACATAACGTTGGCGGTGGAACTCTTCTCAATCATCACTCCAAGGCCTACTCCATGAGAAGAGTGCACAGCAACGACTACTTCTTTTTCAGAAGTTTGGTAAATCGATGAGCAAAGATTGGGTACGACATGCACAATGCCAGCCATGCACCCGCTCCTACAAACCTAAATGAACGTTGAGGCACTTCTTTCTGTACTGCAACAAATGTGATTACAGGCCACAAAGAAGAAGGTTGCGCCGTTAAGTACCTATCTCCAATGTTTGGAAGGCTGAAAGATCTAGAAGCGGAGTTGTGATGCCGTGCATGTCGATTTCCGGACGGCCACAATTTGCACAGCCATGGTCGGCCACACATTCTGCCAATCAAAGTTTCGAGATCACCGAAATGGACTCCAGTCCCGTCCTTGCCCACCTACCTCGCGTGACTCACGCATGCATGTTGTTGACTACCATGGAGCAAATGAGTCAGCTGCAGTACTTCGGGGAGTATTTAACGGCCCCTAAGTCTACTCTTGCAACGAGCTATAGGCCAAGGTGATATCTAGGGAATGTTTGCCTTGCACTGCCGATCCTTTCTCACGACTTCACTCTCTCACAAGGCATACTGAATATCACTCCTCAATGGCGTCACAACACTTGCCATCATCCTGTCATGCCTACACATCACCCGGTGTCGCAGAGGATCTATCGGAGGACTCTGCTGTTTACAAAGACATCCGCGCCCTGAAGCGTTCTCAAAGCCGCCACGCCAAACAATCCGCAAAATATCATGGCTTTCGTGGTGTCGACCCCAATTGGGTTGGTCAACCATACGACCCTATATGGCGCTTCGAACAGATGAATTGGTGGAAGCCGGCCAAGGCCATTTCGAATGACTACCCTTCCTATCAGAGAGATACCAATCGAGCAACCTGCGAACTGAATCCAAAATCGCACACCTACACCAAACGAGATATGTGGCTTGACCGAGACATAAATATCTGGCCCTTAGATCGTCAACAGCACGTGGGGAAGAAGATTCGTGAAAAACGGGCTTGGAAATATCAAGAAAAAACACTGCAAAGGAGGACCAAGCAGAGAGCTAGGGCGATAGCCTTTGAGGCAGATGACTCATATTGGAACGAGGATGTTGATTCGGTCTACGACATCGACGAGGAGAGTGGTAATGATCTATATGAACTCCAGGATGGCTATCAAAGCGACGCTGTCTTCCACGAGGATGACAAGATACCTGCGTCTCCCGTTGTGGATGCCTTCTCAGTCCTACACGACCAGTCGTGTAAAGAGGATGACGACTATAGCATGATTTGTGATTGGGAATTTGATGTGGTGTCCATTGCGTCCAATGACTCTGACTGGGGCATTGGATGAGACGGCCAAGAACAAAGCCCTTTTCACTCCCTGAGCTGTTAACTAAACTTCGATAGCTGTCGTAACCTCAGAAAGTCCAGATGTTCAATTCCCTTCAGATCGCTCTTTTTTGGCAACCTGCTTGTACCGTTCCGAAGTTTCGATTATCGACGAGCCAAGAATACTGGGGAGCTTCAGACTTGGAAGATAGGGTCCTTCATCCTATTTTGGAGAGTCTACAACCGTGCTTGCTCAGTCTTCGATAACATTCAATGTTGATGGCACAGTAACACTGCTTCCAATTGCACTCAGATGGAGCTAGAGTTTCAATACATTGACACAATGATGGCCACCCGCTCGCAGTTCTAGGACTGTAGATAGCCCGAACTCGCCTGCTCCAATAATGATTGTCCGTCCTCTATGGCTGAGTTGGCGATCGTGCCGAGAATCAATAGTCCAGTGACGGCTGATAAGGTCTACAGATACCTACGGGCCGTCATCCGATCCAATCTCTTAGGTTTCTTCCAATCAGCTTTTTGTCAATTGACAACCACTGATTTTACATAGGAATTCCCCAGGCAAAACTGCTGTTGATGAAAGGCTGAGTGCACGTGACCGGGAGGGCCAACCGACCCTCCTCTCCCACCCCCCCAGGGATCCCTGTTTGGTGGGTTTCTTGTTCAGTGGGATAGCCGACTCTAAAGAAGATCTAGGGTAGGAGTCCAAGTTTGCGGCTCCAATCAAGGTCAGAGACCACGGGTTGCCTCGAAATCGCCCTGCCGCTGGTTTGATGTTTGAATACTGGAGTTTCCGTACATACCCAGGGCCTAGGCATATAAAAATGCCGTCCCAGACCATTTAATTCTCAATGCGAAGTTAACAGCTCACTGCACTGCCAGGGGCTATACCCATCTGACAACTACCAAAACCAGCGACTGCAAGCTTTTTAGGCACTGTCATCTACTGACAATGCTGGAGGGAAAGGAGGAACAGAAGACTCCTCACATGGTTGACATGGACAGTAAAGTTGAATCACCAAGTGAAGAACCGGTAGCCACTGGAGATCTCATCTCCTACAATGGAGTGGACCCTGCCTTGGCCGCAAAGATGCATATTGTGAATGATGTAGGCTATCCGTATGGTTTTTTCCAGGAGGCCTGACTGATGTTTCCGCCAAGGCTATCAATCAAGTGGGCTTTACCAATTATCACCTCAAACTATTCTTCCTGAACGGATTTGGGTATGTAGATATCAGCGCACTCAAGTAAGCTGATGCTAATTGCTTCAGGTATGCCGTCGATTCCTTGCTGGCCTTTCTCATGAGTATTACCGCTGGACAGGTGACTCTCGAGTTCCAACCATCCTATGCCCGAGGCGGAACTATTGCTCTCTATGTTGGACTCCTCGTTGGTGCCTTATTTTGGGGCGTGGGCGCAGATATCATTGGGAGGAAGTGGGCGTTTAACCTGTCTCTCTTGATTGCCGCTGTGTTTTCCATCGTGGCAGGCGCATCACCGAACTACATTGCCTGGACATCATTTGTTGCGATCACTGGTTTTGGTGCCGGCGGTAATCTTGTACTGGATACGACCGTTTTCTTGGAATACCTTCCAGCGAAGAGCCAGTGGCTTGTGACTCTGATGGCAGTCTGGTGGGGAATAGGACAAACTGCAGCAGGTCTATTAGCCTGGGCGTTTATTCGTGAGTCTCCATACTTCTCCCTCTCGTTGACTCAAAATTGATTCTTGTCAGCGAACTTTAGCTGCACATCGGCCGATAATTGCCCACGTTATGAGAATATGGGCTGGCGCTATCTTTGGTTCACCTCCGGCGCTCTCGTTTTTGCCATGAGCATTGCCCGAGTCACTGTCATTCGCTTTCACGAGACTCCAAAATATCTTCTTTGCAACGGTGAGGATGACAAAGTCGTGAGCCTCCTCCAAGACCTCGCCTACAAGCATGGACGAACATGTGATCTCACCATCGAAAAACTTGAGCGCCATGGCAAGATTGCGACCACCCATTCACGGAACCACCTCTCTCTCAATGAAATTGCCATCCATTACAAGGGCCTTTTTGCCACCAAGAAACTGGGCGTCTCCACGACTTTGGTCTGGCTGTCGTGGACCATGATCGGTTTAGCATATCCACTATACTACATCTTTTTACCAGAATATCTCAGTAGCAGGGGCGCGCAATTTGGGCAGACATCGGCCTATATAACTTGGAGGGATTATGTTCTGACTCAATTTAGTGCCATTTTCGGTCCCCTCGTGGCTGCCTATCTTTGCAGAATGCCTCGGATTGGGAGAAAGTACACCATGGTCATTGGAGCTCTCTTAACAAGTGAGTTTATCCTTTGACTGACAATCCAGTAACTAACCTCTATCAGTGATCTTCTTCTTCGCATACACGTCGGTCCGCAATGATGCTCAGAATGTAGGCTTTAGCTGTGCGGTTTCATTCGCAATCAACATCTACTACGGAACACTGTATGCCTACAGCCCTGAGGTACTGCCTTCTGGTCACAGAGCAACCGGCAATGGTACCGCGGTTGCACTCAATCGTGTTATGGGGATCATGTCAGCTATTGTGGCAACCTATGCCGACACGTCCACCCCAGTACCGGTTTATATTTGCGCAGCTCTGTTTATCGTTATGGCCATCATATCAGCACTCTTTCCATTCGAGCCACAGAACGCGCAGAGTATATAGGCGCCACGCTAGGTTCTAGTGTTGAGACTACCAAAGCAAACTGAAGGTTGCGAAAACATGATTCCATGCCCCATGTATCCCAAGTGTATTTCCAGATAGAAGCGTTGCATAACGCAGTAGGTACAGGACTAGGCCTGCTCTGGGGCTGCCAAATCTAGTACTGATTACAAATACCTCCCTTACATGTCTGATCATCTAAACATGCTTGTGCCTTGCTGTGTCCGACTCCTTAGCTTGTCAACCAGAAGCATATTTTTAACTTGTCGTCCGCTCTGCGGAGAGGAGAGGCGAGCCTCTGCCTCGAATTTTGCCTATGCTTTTCAGGCCCCTGGTTTCACTTTGAACATTGCTGGATGCTTGACATAAAGGATGGGAAATCAGTCTTCTCAGTCTTCTTATTAGTCGCTGGGTTTCATTCACTAAGAGTCTAAGATAACAGATCTTGCCCGGAAAATAAGTTTATGTGTCTCACGTGAGCTCTCAGGCACTGAGTGCCGCAGCGTCATAAACAAGCGCATCTGCCGTTCTGGTCTCCCAAGATTCGGCGCTGAAAGACTCAGCTCCCGACAGAGTCTCATCCACAGGTTTAAAGCAAGGACTAGGACCAGCCGACCCCGAGTAACCCTTGGCCGCGAGATAATAAGCTTCGAGGGGCAAGTTATCATGCGCCTCCATGTAGTAAGCGAGATCCTCCGCGTTGGTCTTACCTGCCTTTTCAACATCTGAGAATCCTTGACCCCAGCACGCGAAACGGTTGCCGCTGTAGCGCCACTCGAAATCTTCCCAGCGGCATGAAGCAAGGACTTCTCGGTAATGCAGAGAGCTCCCTGGCCAAACGGCTGTGACCTTGCCTTGTTTGGATTTATACCATGAGTTGCAGGGGCCACTCCACACCATCGTTTTCATCAGTCGCTGCGTGTGAGAGTTGAAGTCAGCTTGTGCCTCTTCTTTGACGTTAATGGATATTACGTCTTCCCGCATGACCTTCTCTAGAATCTTGATGAAGTAGTCTGCCGTCGCTTCCAAGGTGCCCATCAGGCTGCCGTTGGCTATAGGTGTATTCGGGCCCAAAAAGGTCAGGTAGTTTGGGAAACCTGATACGGCCACGCCGAGGTAGGACGGTGGCTCGTCCTTCCACAGCTCCCTCAGATCCTTACCGTCCTCACCAATGATGGGGAACCTTGGCCGAAACGACGTGTCAAACCCCGTGGCGGCTATGAGCACATCATAGTGCCTCAGAAGTCCGTCCGCGACCAGTCCGTCGGGTGTCGCTCTGTCGATCGACTTGAAAATGGGTTGAACATGGGCCTTCTGTAAGGCTTCCAAGTATGCTTCACCTGGGCTTATTCTCCTGCACCCCACGTCAAATTTAGGTATCAGATCCGCCTGCAATTCGGATCGAGTGATCCTCGCTCTCATATATGTTTCTAGTTTGGCTCGGACTGCTCTTTGCTCGTCGCCGTCTCGAATGAATGTCTTGTACGCTCGGTTAAAGACCGACTCCATCTCTTGCCTAGCCGACAATGAAAAATGAGTGTCCCCTTTGAACATCGCGATCTCGTCTTGAGTATACTCATGATTCCGCTCCTGATTTATAGTGCTACCGGCTGGAGGGGTGATCCACGACGGTGTCCGAATGTAAATGTCAACATGTTCAACTTGGCTTTGGATAGCAGGCAGACACTGGATCGCGCTAGCCCCTGCACCAATAATGGCAACCCGTTTTCCGATAAGATTGGAATCATTATCCCAGGCCGCCGTATGCAACAGGGGCCCTGCAAAGTCCTGTAGGCCTTCTATATTTGGGTAGGAGACATTGTTAAAAATTCCACCGGCGTTGATGAGGAATTCGGCCTCAAAGCTTCCTTTCCCGGCAACTGAGACTGTCCAGGTAGAGCTACTCTCGCTCCACACGGCTTTCTCGACCTTGCTTTTGAAGCTAATGCGTTTATGAATGCCATAATGGAATGTAAAAGCTTTCAAGTATGCCTGTATCTCTGCAGACGACGCGTAGCTACGACCAGGGTCTAGGGTCAGACTTCCACGTTCAAACGGAAGAGTATAGATATGTATCTTACAAGCTTGACCAATAGGGGTTTGGTAAGAAGCTGTATTGGTAAATGTGGCTTGGTACATCACAAGCACAGCCTTGCCTTGTCTGTTAGAATGCTTTGTTGCGAAAAAATTGAAACCTTGAGTTACATACCTGGATATCGGTTTTCAAACCATGTACCGCCTACGTCCTTATTCTAAAGTGTCGCGGTTAGATGGTCTTTTCTTCAAGGAGATCAGAACAAGAATAATCCGATTACCTTTTCAAATAAGTGGAACTCGACATTGTTCCCAAATGTTTCTTCAAGTCTGCGTGCTTTGATAGTGTCAGCCTTATGTGGAAGGAACTGGGAATGAGTAATCAGTTCAAGTACCTATTAATAAACCCGAAACACTTTTCGTCGTTTCTTGTCAGTGAAAACACATGATACACGTGCACTGATGCACCAATGACTCACCCAGCTCCTATTACAATGCACCGAAGCTTCCTTCCAAAATTCTTCTGTGCCATCTTGGCCTTCGCTCTAGATCTTACAGTACAAAGTTGTATATAGCTGAGTGAAAGAAATCCTTGTAAATCCGTTAATCTATGAGCTGGTCCCTAAAGGGTCTTTTCAAAGTATCCGTTACAGGTGTTGGCATTGGAGGTCAATGATCCATCTCTGATCGCTATCTATCTGCTGCTTACCCTATCGGGGGATATGGTCCAGCCGCGCTATCACGGGGTTCTCCAACTGATCCGCAGTTCGGTGCGGACCTGAATCTCCTGGAGATGACATCCTTTCCACAACACCAGGTAGCGGATGGAAACGCGGTTCTCCCGATCATGTGACACGGTCAAGCCGCAGCACTTTGTTGGGTCGGGTTTCCCGAGTTGCACGTTGATCCAGAATCAATCTCCTAGCAGATTATGAAGAGCGACCTATCACCTTCGTCTCAGCCTTTCAATGAATCCCATATTTCCCGCGACTTATCTGCGACGATGACACAAACATACTATTTCCCCAAGGCCAGATCATTGATGTCAATCTCGAATACCGGACATAATGATGGCAGCAACTGTAAAACGATTCCTAGGATACGGGCAAGAGAGGCAGGATGCTTCCACAACAAAACGTGGTCTGCCAGCCTCATGGTATCGCAGCCCGGAGATGTATGAACTCGAACGACGTGCTATTTTCTCTAAGAAATGGATATTGGTGACCCATAGGAGCCGATTTGAAAATCCTGGAGACTACCTACGCATTACAGAAGCTGGCTTTTCTTTCTTTCTTTCACTGGGAAAGGACGACGTTCTAAGAGGATTCCACAACATTTGCCGGCATCGAGGTTTTCCGTTACTTCATAACGATGAAGGGAATGCTAAAATACTCGCTTGCAAATATCATGGGTGGTCGTATGGTATCAATGGAAAGCTCGCTAAGGCACCCCACTTTGAGGATTTTTCCGACTTTGACAAAGACAAGACTAGTCTTTTACCTATTCACGTTCACATTGATCAACTCGAGTTTGTGTGGGTGAATCTCGAGGCTACTGAGGTGCCCACAACATCCTGGGATGAACAACTAGATGGAGTTGATCGGCAGAAACGATTTGAAGGGTTTAACTTTTCTCAATATCGATTCGACCATACTTGGGGGATGCAAGGGGAGTATAATTGGAAGGTCTTGGCCGACAATTATAACGAATGCCTGCATTGCCGTACCGCTCATCCAGACACTGCTGGATTAGTCGAGATAGACGCGTACCGCGTTGAGGGCAAGGCTGGTAACCTACAGCATTACAATAGGCGTCAAGAAGATGGCATAATAGACTTCAAGCTGGCAAGTACTTACTACTTTCCCAATGCTTGCATGACGGTCACGTAAGTCTCCTTGCTTTCAGACTTGCCCTTTCACCTGACCAAGACCCAGCCCAGATTTCTTTTATATGATGAGGTGTGTTCCAATATCTTCTACGGAGTCCTCTATGGAGTACGAGGTGTACCGAAAGATTGATGGCGATCCAGTTGAATTTGACAAGGTGGATCGACTTTTCAAACGAGTTCTTGCCGAGGACAAATGGCTTTGCAACGAGACTCAAAAAAACCTAGCGGCTGGCGTGTATGTCAACGGCCCTCTGCATCCAGCTTACGAATTTGGGCCCTTGTATTTCCAATCAATTGTGAAGAGGGCTGTTCTAGAGCATCACAAGGAAGAAGAGAAACAAAAATCTCTTATATGGCCTGCGTCTCCAACCGTGGGATCATCCGCAGACGAAGATGAGGCCTTCTGTGCTGGATTGAGCTGTGGTTCAGAATCAAATTCACTTGCATGGTGAGGGCCAGGCAAGGATTTCCCGGTTTTGCGGTGGAGGGTTAGAGCGCTGTGAAGGCAGAATGAATAACCGATTTCCACTGGCTCAAACACGGATCTAGTACACATCATAGACAGTATTTTTATCACTTTCCGCAAGACTCACGAGGCAAGGTAGAGATAGTTGATTCCCTTGAATTATGAGATACATAGCAATGCTTGAAACATGGGCAGGTCACGGCTATTATTACTAGATTTCTCCTCTCTAAACGTCCTCGAGGTTCTAAGTAGCGCTCTTCAAACTTTGAAATGGTTCATCTTGATCCATCACGCGCACCCGTCGGAGATGAGCAAAGATATCTCGTGCGGGGTTTATGAGGCAATAGTACTTATCTTCCGCAGCTGAGAACGCCGGATGATCAACCGTGTGAGTCGATGGCAGGCTTACTTCCCAGCCACCTTTTCCTAACTTTATACAGTCCATAACTGCCAGCGACTCTTTCATTCCAAATTAGCAACAGTGAGACCACATGTCCAATTCTCAAAATCATCGAATATCGAAGCGTGCGTTGCAAGCATGTGAGAATTGCAGGTATGAGATCGGCAAGAATCGACCACAATTACCAAGTAAATCACTAACCTTCTGTTTGGAAGACGTAAGAAAACCCGATGTCCTGGTGAAAAGCCTCAATGCTCTAGCTGCGCTCGGTTAAAGCAACAGTGTCAATACTCTCGGAGTAGTGTGGATTCCTGTCACCAGGACGAAAGCCATACGCGTTACCTGGTATGTTTTCATCCATCTTTTGTCGATACGGCAGCTCATGACGTTCAGGAGATCCGTCTGGCGCAATTGGAGGGAAAGATGGAAATGATGATGGAGAAGCCTCAGTAGGTTCCCGCAGAACACTGTCGCATCACGACTAATCAGGACCCTCAGGCAATCCATGACCCAAAGTGACACACCACGCTCCTCACCTGTGGAGGGCGATCCAAGCTTCAGACCAGGCTCACTTTTATTGGGGCAAGAGGTGGCAGCTGGTACAAGGTAACGAAACTGCTGGATCTTGTGCCTTCATTCACTGAATTCAGTCAAGCCTGCTCCCTGCTCAGCCATTCTTAGAGGAGGCTGTCAGGTGGTATTTCTCCTATTGCCATCGCCAGCCATTATGGCTTTTCGATTCCGAGCGAGACTTGGACGCAGATACATGTTGCGAGGAGCTACTCCTCTCAGTACTCGCCCTCACGGCTCAGCATTGTGATGGCACTGAGCCCGCAGGCACCATCAAACCCCCAGAAATATATGCCAACGCTTGTCGAAATCTCATCATGCTCAGAATCGCAGGCGGTAACGTAACAATCTCGGCACTGCAATCGCTTTGTTTATTGGCCTATGCCAACTTCGTTTGTGAGTCGTGTCACTTTTAAAGAGATGATTTCACTCTAAATTATATGCACCACTAGTGAATGATACGCACGTGGCGCGCCTCCATGTATCGCTCGCTAAGAATCTTCTTCAGTGTGCAGGGTTAGAAATCACGTCAACCCCCGAGCGAACCATTATTTACGAGTCTCGGAGAAAGCTCTGTTGGAGCATTCTTATTCTCGACCAGCTCTTTGGAATGCAGTCCAGGATACCCTCGGTGCCGGATGACATCCAATCACCCTGCTTCCTCGACCTTTCTGAGATATCGCAGAAAGCCAGCATAAAGTGCCAACTCTTCCCCCTGGAATATCACGAGGAGATGAAGGGAAAGGCGATTGGCGTCTGGTCATATATGATCCAGCAGATTAGTATTTGGTCGTCTGTTAGGTCATACGTCTGGAATTGTGCGAACGGCCACAATAGCTCCCCCTGGTCTCCAGACTCTGAATACACGTTGATAAATTCAAGTCTCCTCGATCTTGAATGCAGAATACCACCGTTCGTCCGCTTTGGAAATTCAAGACTCTTTGAGCGCTCGTCAACCGACCTGCAAGCCAACAGGCACTTCTGGATGCCCTGGCTCAGCATACAAGTTTTCTACCACGCTATCCATATGGTACTCAACCATCCCTTCTTGTATTCTCAAAAACAATCGCAGCATCGACAAGGGCCGAACATATTCTGGAAAACATCGGCTGAGCTCGCGATGCTTCATTGCAGATGGGTCACGCGTCTCCTGGGTCTATCTACAGACAAGAAGCTTATCTTCTCCGATCCATTTTTTGCATATGCGGCGTCAATCGCCGCAACACTCCACTTTTACTACAGCCGAGCTACCGATATCGAAACCAGCACCGGTGCGCTAGACGATTTGCAGAAATGTAGGTCTTTCATGTCGAAGATGGCGACACACTGGCCAATATGTCGATCCATGGTATGTAGGCCTTCTTCTCCCACTCTATGCCTGGCTTCACTTGTGAGCATTGCGCTGAGGATTCATGCAGTGTGAGGCACTGGATCAACTCGTGAACTCAGCGATATGGACAACACAGGAAGATCAGCGGTACCGCAATGGTTTCACAAGCGTCGCAATGAATACAGCTCTCATGTGGAGAATATTAGACTACTCTGCACCTCGGGGAGACCCTTCCACCGGGAATGGGATATTTCATCCTGCAGCACTGGACACGGCTAACTTTAAGAGGCAGCACGATCAAACAATCATGGCTGAGCCTCCTAGAAATGGTTCTCTCGATGGACTAGAAAGTTCAACTCGTGCCCAGGGTTCCTCACCTGACTGGTTCGACCCCGCGCCGTCGATCTCTAGGATGCCTTTGGACGTTACCTGGGATGCAACTGAAAGAGGACAGGCAAATAAAGAGCCGCAAAACAATTCAATATTGCCAGGTTCCATTGCTAATTCAGAGCTACCTGAAATGTCGAACTGGTACTGGACCGAGGATCCCAACAATGAGACTTTGATGGACTTCTCGAACGACCCCATGATACAATTTTACGACCGTAACAGCGGAAATCCAGCTTGGTGGGATTTCGGAGACTTATAATCGACGCGCCAGTCGATATCAATAATCAGTCCGCAGTGCGAGCCGCTTCACTTAGACCAGAGGCTCAACAGCGGCCCACCAGCACCATTGACAGGGTCCTGGCTCGGTAGTGCGACCGAAGTGATCTCCTTTCGGAATTCTTCAAGATTCACCGGCTCCTTCCCAAGCTCATTCCGCCATTGTGGGGCACCCTGAGACCGTGCAAGTTCGTTTATTAGCGGGCTGAGGTTTCAAGTAATGATTCCGTATGCTGCGCAAGGACATACCTCAGGGTAGACACCAACGTATTGATAGTCTTCACTGCTTTGTAGATTGCAGTGGCCAGTCCCGGCGGGCAGCACAATAACATCCCCAACGGAGACATCGATCTTGGTCCCGTCATCCTCTGAGTCGTGTGTCCCGCAGCCTATGAGGATCGTGGATTCGCCTCGAAAGACGCCTAGTGACAGGTTAGGTATCTCTGACATCTCCCAGGATAACGTGACCGCTTCAGAGTAATCCTGATCTCTAAGAAAGCCACGGGGGAGCAAAGGATTGCGGTCTCACCATAGCATTCATGCGTGTTTGGATGGAAATGCCGTACAGGGATATGACCCCATGTCCCTTTCTTAACCCAGGCATGGGACTCCAGAAATTCAGTGGTCTTTTCTTCTGTGAACGGGAGTGGGAGGCAGTCCCGGTATATCAGGACTGGGTGGTCGTTGTTGGGTGCATATTTGTTTGCCTTGAGGTGGTATACCGCTGGCGCCACGACCATATTTGCCGCTGGTCCTGGTACGTACTGGGATATATTAGATACTATGGTGCGTGAACGAAAGTTGATGGTTGCTTTGTAAACCACTTTCAATGAAGGGAACGGCAATGACAGACTTGCACACTTCAGTTGGTGGCGGAGTTACCGATCAGGTGACCTGTCGCGATAATCCTGGATTTGGTGCGGTTTTGCGGGCCCTGATGGTGCTCCCTAATCCTGACGCAGTACTATCCTACACACTAGTTCGGCATGACTCAGAAGCAAAGGAGCCTATGTTTGTCAATCGATTCTCATGGAATGATGTGTTTTAAGTATACACAAAACACCTTTGTCTTGCATACGAGTCAAAAGCTACGCAGTAGTATATGGTGTTGTCCGATTTGCGGAGTCGGCTTGTGATTGATAGCAAACTGATAGCGTGAATCATAATGAGCCCCGCGGCACGAACGCTCCGATGATCTAGGGCGGTCGTTAGGCAAGTCGTCAGGCTCAGGCTTGCTCGATGATCAGTGCTCTACAGTAGATAAGGGATAGCGGGAGAGGCGCGACGATACAGCATTAGCAGAAATGTGTTCTGCAGCCTTGTCGCTTACTTGATCACTATTTCGACGACGTCAAGAGGGATTTCTCTCAAATGCGCGCTAAAGCGCAGAGGGAACTTGAGAAGGCTGTAGCTACAGTGTCCTTGTCTGTATGCCGAATATTACTGGACCTTTGTACTCGGTACTCAGTAGCTCGTCCTCGTTATGAGAATGTGGCAAGTATGGCGCGCTTTCTACGGGAAATTGCTTATGGAACCATTTTCTCCCCCTTAACTGCCAACTAGCGATATGACTCGTTGAACGACTTGCAACCCTAGATTCAAGGGGCTAAATAAAGCGCATTGCTCATTCGGTCGTTTAAAACGAGCAATTTTAGCACTAAACTTTTTCTGAGTCACTCGTTCTCCATACTCAGTATCCCGTGCATATGTTTCGCACATACAGAGAGCCGGCTAAGGCCAATCGTGACTGGTCAGGAAGTCACTCAGCCACCTCAGAGATGGAAGGTCTGTTTCGAAGTCTGCATCCCAAGCCAGCAAAGCATTCAAGTACTACTGAAGTTGACAGAAGCAATATAGGCATGAATAACTCAAGTCTTTCGAGAATTTCAACTCTGATCGGCCTGCTTGGGTACGTTGCACAAGTCTGGGAGACTGGTCCCTGGGGATGGGCGCACTGTTGGAATATACCCGTAAGTATGCACAAATACTGATAGTAGCCAAGAAACCAGGTGCCAATCCTTCTCTCCATAAATAGGAGCACATACAATTAGCACTCAAGTGGTCTGATAATATGTATAGGACTGGTCCAGACCGGTCATGGGCTCGGTATTAGGGGACATTCTTTGGCATAACGCTTGCGGCGTACGAGTACAGAGTTCACAATAAACAAAAGGAGCAACCCCTTCTAGGGAGGCGGCTGTGTGGCTTGAATTGTCTTGATGGCGTTAGGCTTCGGCCCATCTTGGCCAAGCTAGACCTTAAATCACGGATGATTATTAATTGTTCATGCCTCGATAGACTCCGTGCAGTGTCCAAAGTGTTTCAGCCCTGAAGTCTAGGGGAAATTTCGAAGCTGGCAAATCCTCGGTATGGAGTCGCACTGATGATGCCATTTTCCTTGATAACTCAAGTATGATCGGACGGTCGCCGTTGCTAAATAAAGGGCCTAGACTCTCCTTCGTGCAGTACTCCCGCATTAAGTATCGGGATATGGAGATAGCTCTGAAGGATTTTGCTTCGCCTGTAATGGGTAGCACGTACGAAGCGTCTGGGCAGGACTTCTGCAACACGACGCGAACGTTTCACCCATCGCTATTCCTCGATTGAGTGGATTTCCCGTTCGCGTCCACCCGCTGATGCGAGACGCAGTCAGTATCATCCACACATTTGGGTGGTTGGCGCAAGCGATGAAGCTGACTAAAATCCTGAAGGATCTGGGTGACCCCCTTCAGGATTGATTAACTTCTCCGTCATGAGGCTAGCACGGCCATGATGATATTGTGTAATAAGAATGATGGGGCCCTGTGGAACGCTAAGCCTTAGCGAAGGCGCAGATCTAAAACTGGCATTGGTACATTCTGGCCCCATCGTCTTGTGCAAGCCGCATCACACATTTCCAAGCAGGGTGGTGATACTTCGTATACTGAGGCACTTCGATCATCCTGAATCCTTCCGCCACCCTGGGCGGATGAACTTCCTTGCACAAACCCTTTTTCTTTCTGCATATACTCTGCGGACGGCAGCAGTGCGTTGCTTTCTTTTTCATCATGTCCCGATATTCGCGTCTCAATCAATCTGCACGAGGCCACAATCCAGCAGATCTGAACCGTATGCCGACAAATTATCCAGGCTACGCAGGTAGCGAAGACATTCCTCTGAAGACCAACGCCACTGGGAACTGGTCCCAGATGGACTCGGAGCAAGAAAATTATGCATCTAAAAACTCGAGTAAGGATAACGTTATCCAGATATGGGGCATGATGCTCACGCAGTCATAGTTCCTCAACGACCAACTTGGAAGTCCTTCAGCAGGGCCGAGACTGGAAAGTCAAAACCATCTTTATTCACAGCATCTTCGCCATGGGAGCACAAACTGAACGAGAAACATGTACAAGGAGTCCTTCCGACCTCTGACACGGTCAGATATTTCGATCGGGGTCGTCAGACCCGGAGAGTGTTTCTCGAATGTCTCCTCATGTGGTTTGGTACATTCTTCATCTGCGCAGCACTCGCAGGTACCATGTACGGGTTCTCCAAGATCGAGACCGGCATAACCCGATTTCAAAAGTATGGCTACAACGCCCTAGTGACCGGATTGTCCATCTTGCTTGGTCTTGCATTCGCGGCACAGTTCAAGCAGTACGCAGAGATGATGCGTTGGCGCTTTCTTGCTTCAGAGTATCGTAGCCTCCAGGACTTTGAGCTTGTTTTGGGTTGTGACAGCTACCGTAACACCCTGAGCATCATGTTTGGAGGAAACTCCAAGGGGACCTGGTACCCAAGCAAGAGTCAGGTTCTTGCGTGCACTTGGTTCCTCATTTTTGTTGTCTTTAACGTCTGTGCGGCCCTCCTGGGTTTGACGTATTCCATTGACGTCTCGGAGACTGCTACTGCCTTTACTCCTGGTGAGTGATATCCAATTGGGGGGCAGACTTTTGTCTGTTCATACTGACCGATATCCAGGGCTTCTCAGCGTTACCGACCTAAAGACCATTGGCCGACTCGATAAATTCGGCGGAGAAGGGGGGATACCACTCCCGGACTCAATGGCAGAAGTAAACCTCTGGGGCGAGGTGGGCTTGAACTTTGCCGGAGGCATCTACCAGCGGGAGGGGTCGACCGATTGGATATATTCGTTTTACGATCAGTCGACGAACTCTCAGAACAAAAAATTACGGGCTTCAACCAGAGAAGTTACGAGCTCTGCGGAATGCGTTGAATACACAGTCACGTTCGGAGGATACGGCGACTTTAATTTGGCCGCAGACGACACCGCAAACAGAAACCATCTCAGATACATTGATCCATCAGGTGAGGAACAGGAGATAGTAGTAGAGAATGTTGCCATCGGATCCACAACCTGGATCGGGAATCAGACTTCCGTTGAAGAATCGTCCTGCGGTCCTCGCTGCGCCCAATTTTTAGCTTTGCAAAGCGCCAACAATTGCACAACAGAGCTAGCAACAGATCCAGATAGCCGATGTTCGACCGACGTTAACGTGGAGAACCCTCGCCTCTGGTCCTGCACCAACACCGTAGGCCAAGTCTCCAATGTGAACAGCAGTCTCGAGGGATTTGACAATCCAGAAGCGCTATTGCTACCAGATCTGCAGGCGCAGGTAATCGCAGGAGGAGTTGGTTGGAGCGGTGTCAGCATAACCGACCTCCAACAGGGGGTTATATTTCGTGGCAAGAGTATTATGAACGCTCCTGGCAATACAACTGCGGAATATATAGCAGAGCTTGTGGAGCAGTTCTCGGTGGGAATACTCTCGGCCTGGGATGGCAGTGGAGATAGACAGAATCTTACAGGTGCCTACAGTCCTGGGCCTGCTCAAATCGTCAACGTCAAGTGGATGTACGCCAGTTTGATCTTGATTGGCATTCCGGCGGTCCAGTTCCTCATGTTACTTGGGGTGGTCTGGTTCTCTGGCAAGGCCATCATCCTCGAGCCGAGCTATATGACTGCAGCACATCTCCTACAGCCAATACTCAACCGGGTTGGAGAAGCAGGGCCATTGCTGTCGGTCGACGAGATGGCAGAGAAGCTTGGAGACTATAAGATTGCGTACGGTGTGCGTCCTGATGCAGCCGACCCTGGCCATTCGGACACCACCTTTGTGCGGGACCTGGATGTCATCGAGCAGAGTGAAGGATTTGGATATATCCGTGGACGAATGCCCGAGGGACGATACGACTAACTCGGCTGATCGGACCTTTACTTGTTGATGAAGGAATACAACCCTCAGGTGCGAGTAGATTGAGGAGGAAGATTCTTGTTTGACTTACGAAAAAGCGACTGAGCGACTTTACATCCGAAGGATCAAGTATAGGGCATGCCTAGCCACAAAATTTCATAAATTTAAACATTTTGCAATGAGGCGTACTCATCGAGGGACCAAAGCAACCAGTGTTCTGCCATTGGATGGTCAATCCATCACCAAAAAGAGAGCGAGATCGGTCAAGAGATCCCGCTAGACCCACAGAAATGCAGCTTGGAACTTGCTATACAGGTTGGCGAAGGACGTTGACGGTTATTCATATCATAGTTCATCTACATAACGTCAGAGGTCGAGCTAGCGGGAGATTTTCCATTCGCAATCTTGCTATGTCTCTCGTGTCAGGGGCATGATCTCTAACCTATGAACATTCAAGGATGCACGAGTAGATTGTTCGATGGCAAGAAGCTGGTTTGTTTATCTCCACCTTGCAGCACTTGGTAATCAAAGAATGATGGGATCGCATTGACCGTCCAGATGCTTGTCGATATCCATCGGGCAAAATGGAAGCAATTCCTTGCGTTGGATACATGTCAAGCGATGGGCAGGTCACAGGATAATCTCATTCAGGCTGGATAGAAACGACACAACGCTGATCTCTTGTGATCCATTTAATTCCCCTTCTCTCCGGCCGCGTGAATCACCGACGCCTGGGTTAAACTCTGAATAATGTTCGCACCGTCAAAAATGGCTCCACCTGGGGCCTTCGCCCGACAAAGCGAGTTTCCACGTTCGATAATATTGGCATCACATTCAAGGTTCGCTGTCGCAACACAGGGGAGCGCTCCTCCACCTGCGGCAAGGTCTCAGGCGCTAGTCGTTGGGAGTGAAAAGACAAATTAAGCGAGTGTAACAGTGAGGTGGGGTTTGCTTATAGATTTAATAGACGTGGAAACTCTTACAATTATTGCCGCCGGGCACACCTCTTCCAGCCGCGCCGGTCACGGAGGCACACGCGACCTGCTTCAGGGAAGTATTGGAACGCAGCATGCACCACTGGAAACGGGGAGGTTTCCGTTCTGCGGCTGGCGAGCCAGGATGGCGGTACCGGAGACGGGCGACAGGGTTGCGAGTTTTACGAGAACCGTGAAGAGTGTAGCAGCAAACGGAATATGCATGTTGGAGATACGGCTGGTTATATAGGACTCCGGGGTCGTGTGATACAGGGCGAAAGCAACAGTTCGACCAGCGAACTTGATTAGAATATTGCAGAATTAGACTGCGAGAAAAGGCGAGTGAGCTCTGCTGAAGAACCCCAAGACAAGAGATCAGGTCACTCATGGAGGTTTCTGTAAGATCGAATAAAAGATGGCACGTCTTGCCTAGCACACCGGTTCCCTACATATGTAGGGCCGACCTAAGTCGGTTGGGGACAAGAGAACCATTAAGTAGAAAGTTGAAACTGGGGTGAGACCGCGTTAGGAAGCTCTGTGATGTTTCTCGTCGTAGTGCACTTCGTAACTAGTAGCTGCTTTGCAATGGGCCCATTTTGCCTCACCACAGCATCAGGCTGCTGAAAAGGAACGCTGTCCAGTAGCCATATGGCTATGAGATTGGGCTGAAAATATAGTGTTCATTGACGCACCCTGAGAGGGACGAGAGCGCCATTCTCGACCTCTACCTGCCGGGACGAATCATTATGTATGAGTGAATAAAACTGAATATCGACTTAAGATTAAAAGAGGGTCCATTTTGGTTTATTCGTTTTAGCGTGGTGAGACATGAGTAATACGAGGGTGCTCCGCCAGACAGACACACTTTGTTGGCCTCTTCTCTGCGGATAATTTCTCCGGCATGGACCAGTAAATAAACCCTGTTTGTTGGAAATCAAACCATCTACTCTTCTCAGCACTTTCTTGTTTCTTGAGGTTTGCCAGTCGCTTTACCACAATAATTAAGGATTTTAACTTTGCTGTCCAGCCGTTTAGCCATTCATTTTGACCCTCGGGTACTTAACTTCTTGTATATTTTCCCTTGGCGTTGTCTCCTCACGAGATGTCCAGCGCTGCAACCCCCTGTCGACATGGGAATGACGTCGTTTCACGACCGGTCGGTAGATCGAACTAAACTCCATGATCCTCGCTCCCAACAAGGCAGACCATGTGGGAGACTCGTGGAGAGCTGAAAGTCAGGTCTGCCACGCGAGATCTGAAGACAGAATTCGCCACGGCCAGGACTTAGACAAGTGGCAGACGACGATCCCCTACCGAGGATGACCTTAAATTAGCACTGCATTGAACATATATATCTTCACATCTCTACCCAGGAGGACCTCATGATCATCTCGTATTCGAATTAGCAGTCTGCCCATACTACCTACTCCTCCCACTAATCTCAGACCCAACGTCCGATACAACAGATTTCCCGGTTACGAAGCACGGTTACTTAACCCATGAGTTAAAGCGGCCTTGCCATAGTATACTACTCCGGAGGGACTTTTGCGGCTTTGATAAAGTGTATGGCTTAGTGGATGGCTTAGTAACAAGCTAGGGAGGAAGCAAGCTACCTTCAGTTGCGCCCTTCTCCCTCTTTGAGGATCCGCCCTGCAATGCGGCTCGATCAACTCCAACATGTTCATCTGCGCTCGAGTCATCTCGGGGCTCGGGACCGACTTTGTCAACAACATCATTCTCTGTTGGGTGTCGGAATTAACTTAGGCCTACGACCGAGGATCGAAAAAGACACTGTCGATGCAGATATTTACGGTGGGAAGAGTGTCGTAAATGAAAAACACAAAACTGTGGTTCGTCCCGAAAAGAGAAATATGCATCGATCCTGGATCTCAGAAGTGGCATATGGTCCCAAATACAACTGCTGGCAGGCTCTTTAAGCAAGCCTGTCGCTATCTATCATCCATCATGGTGGCACCAATGGCGACCACGCGGAGTCCGCAGCTCCTTTCAGGATATTGATGCCGCAGCCTACGCAATCCGAATCCAAGGGCAGGAACATCATGTCTTTACTTGATGATCTGATGTCAGACTTATCTCATATGCCGGAACGGACAAGGTTTGGATAGCTAAATAACTTCTACTAGAAACCCAACCGAAGGAGGAATGCTAAGGCTAGCGGCCGCGGACCCGCGGGATCTAGGACTCATGCGCGCGGCTTCTAATATCAGTGCCCAGCCTATTTTGTCCGTAAGGCCTCTTACTTGAGAGTGAAATTCGTTACACTTCATCGTGACGTTTGTGATGAAAACGCGTGCTTTGCTGTATAAAATGTCCAAATTACCTACCTCCTGGCTACGTTGCCGTTATTCCATCGTTGACCTACACATCTGATTTACTTCTTGTGAGAGAAAAACAAAAATCCGTTACCAATCGCATTATGAATACTATCTTCGCCAACAAAGGCGGGGGAAAGCTCGGGGGCCGACCTACCATTATCCCCAATGAGAATACTGCCCCTTGTAACGAGACCATGCTTGCACTCCGCTGGTATGGCGATAGGGATGTCCGTCTTGAGGAAGTCCCTGCACCCACCATAACTGAGCCTGCCGATGTTGTCGTGAAAGTTACCGGCACTACAGTATGTGGTAGTGATCTGCATCTGTACCACAAGGAGATAATGCAGTTGCAGAAAGGTGAAATCTTGGGGCATGAGTTCATGGGAATAGCCGATGAGGTCGGGCCCGGAGTCACATCGATCAAGAAAGGTGACCGAGTGGTTGCGAGTTTCCAAATCGCGTATGTCTGCTCACTCTAGGGCAATTGATCCCCATAGTTAAGATCATCTTAAGGCTGACACTAAAAAACCCAGCTGTGGCAATTGCCAATTCTGCAAAGAAAGCCTCACCAGCATGTGCGAGCGCACGAATTCGTCTGCATTGCAGGAAAGGCTCTACGGAAAACCCTTCGCTGGGTTATCTGGCTACTCTCACTTCGGGGGCGGCTCCGCTGGCGGCCAAGCCGAGTATGTTCGCGTACCCTTCGGCGACTTTAATCTTCTCAAGATTCCCGACTCTGTCCCTAATGAGAAGGCATTGTATCTCAGCGACATCGTTCCAACCGCCTACCACGCCACTGTTTGCGCCGACGTCGAAAAAGGCAAGAGCGTCGCGGTCTGGGGTCTCGGGCCTGTCGGCTTGCTAGCATGCAATTGGAGCAAGCTCGAGGGTGCGAGACGCGTTATTGCCATCGACCAGGTACCGGAGCGCCTTGCTCTCGCCAGAGGCATGGGCTGCGATACCATCGACTGCTCTGAGCAAAATGACGTCGTCGGTGCAATCTATGAACTCGAGCCGCAAGGTGTTGACTGCTGTATTATTGCCGCTGCTTTCAGGAATACGAAACCGCCGGGACAAAGTGCTGAGCGCCGCTTTGATCTAGAGACAGACAGCAGCGAGATACCCAACGAGGCCCTCCGTGTAGTGCGTAAATTCGGAACGATCGCGATTGTAGCAGACGACGCTACAATGACCAACCAGTTCCTCACCGGAACTTTGATGGAAAAAGGTGTCACGTACCGTGGTTGCGGACAAGCTCCCGTACAGAAGTATTGGCACCAGCTACTGGAGAAGATCAAGAGTGGCGAATTCGATCCCACTATTGTCCTAACCCATAGATTTTCGATGGAGCAATTCAGCGACCTGTACAAGGCATTCGATAAGAAGAAGTATGGAATAATAAAGACGTATGTGCAGACGAGGTTCTCCCCACCGCCGACGCCAGGCACTCCCTATTGACCACCTTCAGTTGGGGGCCCGGGGGGGAAGGGTGGAGTTGGATATCAGTACCTGCAGCCTGCAGCGTCTGATTGGCCGGGGCAGGGAATATATGTGAAGAAAGTATAAGAGGTGCCCAGCTGCGGACATGACCAAACCATCGCAGAGCGGCCATTGTTGGTCAAATAAGGCACTGTAGCAGTCATCTAGGCGCAGGGCCGTGCTAGATAGACAATGCCGATGATGGAGGGGAAGCCAGGGCAACCCCTGTTCAATAACAAAATATGCAAGTGATGATTAGTCTTCAGATTCCTTGGTGGCGTCGATGTTGATGCGATTGGACCAAGTCCGCCTCCGCCAGCGTATCGGATACACCAGCAGGAGAAAATGGGAAAAGTGCGGCATAATTTCACTGTGGACTGAAAGACAAACAGGATTCTCCGTTCTAGGCTGAAGCAGCTTCATAACGTGATATTAGATCTGCAGAAGGAGGTTCTCAAGCACTGCAACTTGTGTCTGTCGAAAGCTTGTCCGTCCGGTTTGGATGCGGATTTCCGACAGTTGTTTGGACACAAGAAGCTCAAGTGTATACAAGTACTGTGTGAGAAGGCGCCCGCCGAGCATGGACGATCTCGGGGTAATCTTTGGGTTCTTGGTGTGATTCTGTGGGATGGAACGTTTTCTGAAGCTGTGGATGCTCAAACAGGAGATTTGGACGAAATAATTAAGTGGTTAAAGGTAGTGTTCCGCATTGGAATGTGTTAGGGCAGAAACTAAATTGAGTAGCTATCATATGAGCATGTCCTTTTGTTCACAATCGTACCCGAGCAGATCTCATTCTACATACAGTATCGCACAATTTGATTGGACATGTCATTTCTGTACTACTGTAGGTCTTCCTCCGAGGGGAGGAAATTTCTGTTGTAGGCATTATCTCTAGCTCTCGTGCAGTGTTATGATAATCACCATTCTCGATCACAATTGTCCCCACAGTGCCCTTACTGCTCCTGGAGGTTGATAGAATGGTTGCCTGGAAAGAACGTCCGGCCCACGTAATTTGGGGACGAACCAAGTAGATTCAGGCGCTTGCAGGTCCTACGAGCTGCAGCTCGCTCCATGAAGCCACAGCTCCTGACCCCGCAGCAAGGGCTGGTCACCGGCGGTGGCGCCCCTACTTCCTCGCCCAATGACTTCAAGTCCCTGGTGCACAAGGCGTGAACAACAGAAGTGGGGAAGCTGCCCTTATCAAAGCAAAATCCACGAGTTGGACAAATACTGCCATAGACGTTGCCTGTGGAAGCAGTAACTAAAGATTCCATAGACTAGTAGGATTTGAGACTGTCTACAGTTTTCAGATAGAGCACTTCGGGGCTTATTGCGTTGTTGTCATATGGTGTAGTTTTCGAAAAAAGAGTGTCACGAAGATGTTTGAGTTAAGTAGTTGCTAAGCACTATTCTCTGGTTACATATTGTCTCAGACTTAGACTCTACAAGGGTACTATACAATCAAAATAGAGTTTACGCATAGCGTTCTATACCAAAGTTGTAGACAATGCCAAGTTCTACATATGTGTGCATTTCATCATCAGAGATCCAATCATCAGCAGTTTGTCCTGTCTTGACAACAGTGGAATTTGGGTGTGGCATACGGAGAGTCCCACTTATGTTGTCCACACATTTCTTCGTTGCAGGGGTGTCGAACAGTGCGGCGCACTGGCCTCGCCTTAGCCTTGAGCAGTGTAAGCCTGGAGACGCTCTAGCTCCTCAATAGCCCCTGCTTATGCATGCACTACCTCGCCATGCTTGCTCTTCGTTGATGCTGTGCGTTGAAGACTTTTGTCTTATCGGCGTCTCTCGACGAGTAGGCGTTGACAACCTGGAAGACTCTCAGCAAGGATCTCATAACGACATTCTCTCTGGTCACACCACCTGAGACAAACTTCCTGAGATACACCCTCGTAGACGGTCACCATTGGGAGAGTGGGTTAAAACAAAGGCCAACTAAACCCGGGCACAGCTTGAGGAGTCAGGACTATCATCCAATAGGAGGCGACGTCACCCTTTCTCTCGTAAGAACCGCGTATTCCAGGGTTTACTCGTTCGGCGTGGAGCACCTGGAGCCCACTAGAGTCATAAACATCTTCACGCCTGCAGGGCGATTCTCCTGCTCCTATGGTCGGTGCGATTAATAGAGCCTGATCCTTCAAGCCACTTCGGTAAAGCGGCCAATGCATTGCCTGGCTTATTAGCTTCTGTCTAACCAAGGTGAGCAGACGTGATCCCTGGACCGGAAACATTTCGACCCAATCGCTGTGCGAGTATCATGTCATGTCGGTGCTTCGTTCTACCCTATCTCTTGTCATTTGCGGCATTTGAATTTTGGCTAAATATGATGGCATTGCTTAACACTGACAGAGCAGACTCAAATCTGTCAAAAGCTACAACCTTTCACTGAACAGCTCTCCTAATGAGTTCAGATGTGAAGCTTCGGACCAAGTGCGAGAGGCTCTCATTGACCTGCAATGCTTGCCGCTCAAGGCATCAAAAATGCAATGGTGCCCGACCTTTGTGTTATCCTTGCCAGCTACGTGGACTCTCTTGCAGGTACCCAGGGGTGCCTGATGACGAACAGCCGGCCTCCAAGCAAAAGCGTGTCGAAGACGACCAAAAGCCAGCTACATTGTCGAACAAGCGAAGCAATCAACGTGCTGTCAGTATCAATGACAGTCGAAAAGATTATGGCGCTGTTCAAGACATATTAGTATGGGAGCTGGTAAGAAACCCCCCCCGAGACTCTTGTCACTAGTATTTATTTGACTTCGCCTGCAGGCCGACAAGGGCATCTCTTCAGAGGAGATTCACAAGTTGGCCCAAAAACTTACCAGCACAGTCCTGCCACGATCAAAACTTACGGAACCTCAAGACCCTCCCCCCAGCAATATCCTCGATTTAGCAATTACTGGGGAGCAACTTCTGCACGTCCTGACGCAATTGTGGAAAGAAAAAGGGCATGATCCTGGTACACTTCCGGGGACAACAATCGGCGCCAGTAGAAGCTATGTCCCGCCTTCAGCCTGGTTGCTTCAGTACTCCCACTCCAATGGCAATATCCTCCCGCTGCCGTCCAAGAAGATTGCACATGAATGGCTCATGACGTTTCTGAACGGGCCGAACATGCTTTTCTGCATCTGTGACCATGCAGAAAGCCTGGAACTACTTGATGCTCTCTATGACACCCAGGTTGCCTTGAGCCCAGTGTCAATATGTGTGATTTTCTGGCTAATCACCACTGGCTGCAGGTTCTCGGAAGTCTCTGAAGAACATGTCTATAGGGGTATGTACGAGACAGCAGTCCGCTTGCTGGATGAGCGGATCGACAAGGAGACTGGGTCTTTATTCTGGCTCGTACAAATTTTGCTCTTGAAATGCGTTTACTGGCTGTCAGAGAAGAAGAAGAAGTGTTTGGTTACTCTAGGTATGGATGGAATCTCCTATTATCGCGTAATGTTGCACAACTTGACGTCAACAGGCACCACAATTCACGTCGCCGAGATGGAAGGCCTCGATCTTAGCCGTGAGCAATGCCCACACCTGTCAGATGTGGAGTACAATCGAAGACGACAAGTATGGAATGGGACAATCTCCATGAGCGTGCAAGTAGTCTCCATGAGCTCAAAGCCTTTTGCTAATCGGCCGCAGGTGGCTTGCCGTCGTCACCGGCCGCATACCGCAGATCAGCCCCTATACGACGCGAGATCACTTTATCCAGGTGTTTCGAGGCCACCTGCCGGACCGGGCCCTTGCTGACATTCATCAGGACTGCTGGCATGGCATAAGCAATCCGGATCAGGAGCTTGGGGTCAACATGGCTAAAATCTCGATCGTGGTTAACAAGTTCCTTCGGGATATTTATACGTCGACAGAGAAGCCCACCGCTGCCTATGAGAAGTACTTGCACATGCTCGAGGACTGGTCCTCGTCTCTACCACCAAATCTGCGATACTTCCCAGACCATCTTGCCGGCGAAACTAATTCGACTTCTGCGACCGCAGACGAACTTTCATCAGTATAGTTTTGTTCCAATCCCTATCTTGATGCCTTTGCTTACTATTGACAGCTCTACCTTGAAATGTTCTATCTTGTAGCTGTACTGCTATTGACAAGACCATTGCTGCTCCGTGATGTCCATTCCAGGTCCACTCGCGGTGCTCCCGCGTTGGCCTTAAGCCTGCGAATCTTGGTGCATACTTGGTCCGTACAACCGAGACCGCCTAGCTCCTCGGCTAACGAAGGGGTTCTCATCTAGCACGGACGCGGCCGTACAAATCGGGCATGTAAGTGCCAAAATGGTGCCGCAGGGCTTCATATGCAAAAGGTACTGGCTTGTGAGGTCAGTTCACGCACAGTGTACCTATCAACAAGTTTTCGACTGATAAAGATTCAGCACAATTATTTACCATGCATGCCTTACCCTTCTTCTAGATCTTTCCGTCCGAGAGTCTAGTACGCGATGGAGCTTGACCTCAGCGCAGGAGCAAACCCGGTACCAGCTGAAGAAACACGGCCTCAAAGTTTGCCTGGACGTTTTATCATACTGTGCTAGGAACAGCGCCGACGCCCTGACACTCGTCGAAACTGTGAAGACATTTCAACGACTGCTCGGTGATCAGGAGCCACCAACCTTTGAGTTGCTAAAGGAGAATTTCCTGTCAGCGTTCGTGCCGACGCCAGCATTGTCCGGCTCAACTTCCTCTTCTTCCTACGCCAACTTGTCAGCAATGCCCTTCACCGATCAGTCGGCGATTGGACTGAGCTCGAGCCTCGGATTGGAAGAGATGGCTGGCACCAATCTTAGCAGACCGGCAGCCTTCTCAAGCCAATCATCGGGCGAGAGCGCATTGCCTTCAGAGTCTCCTTCCTCAACCGCATATTTCCTCAACAGGCCCTGGAGTGACACGAGTCGACTGTTGTATGGCACTCATCTTGACACTCCGATGGCAGATCAACCGGGGCAGGCCCCCGTGGCGCCACAGCATTTCCAGAGCTTCCTCCAATGGATCCCAAACTACCAAGGTCCGCAGAGAGCCTATCAGTACCAGGATCCTTCGCTCAACACTGGCTAGTCTGGATCGATGGGACAAAGGAGGCACGTTTTTGACAGGGAGCGATCAGATTGGGAGGTTATTTGTGCTTCAAAAGTTTGTATCTCGAAGCGGGAAGCCAAGACCCCGCCTAAACTTCAGACAGCAATGTCATATATTCAATGGTTCGAGCAGCATATCTTTGTTTCCAATTGTACTCACGAACGTGGCTGGGTGTGTTGGAGTTTTACCTCATTTTGCCCCCTGATGCAGACCAACCGCCATACTCTCAAGCCCAACGCACCTCCGCGAGCTTGCAGCGCTACCGTTACGAAACTCCTTATGTACCGTCGTAACTTCAACTACCGAGGCCAAGCCTGCTCAACTCGGCAACGAACTTCTCAGTCCAACGTGCACTGGAATCATTGCAGGTCAGCTCATAGAGCGTTGTAGGGTAGTTCATTTTGCGAGATCCATACCTGGTGTTGTTCATGACAAACTCCTCTTCCTTCCTGTGATTTGCGGCCCGCTCTCCCAGGTCCATGGTTAGTGCCCGGTAGATCGCATTGGCGGTGGCCGCCTTGTCCCAAGGATTGAATAGCAGGCTGCCTGCCAGCCTTTCCGATGCGCCCGCGAATTCAGAGAGCATCAGGACACCGTGGCGATCCTTTTGGCAGGCGATGTACTCGTAGGAGACCAGGTTCATCCCGTCGCGGATCGAGGTAATAAGGCAGACGTCTGAGGAGGCGTAGAGGACGACGAGGTCTTCGAAACTGACGGACCGGTGCAAGAGTTTGATGGGCTGATAGTTAGGAGTACCTGCCGAGTGACGGTTTAGAATGGGCTGGGTGATTCAGATGGCTAGTCGCAGACAACGACACCTACCGTATTTGGCATTGATCTCATCGACCCTTTGGTGTATCCGCGCCGCCAGTGTGCGGTATTCCAGAACACCTTCTCTGCTCGGGACGGCAACTTGGATCATCATCACCTTCCGCACCATCTCGGGATGCTCTTCGAAGAACAGGTCAAGCGCGTCGAGCTTCTGTGGGATGCCCTTGATGTAGTCGAGGCGGTCCACGCCGATGATGTATATCATGCCTGGATTCTGTTCCGTGAGCGCTGCGATGCGTGTCTTGACTTCGGGCTTCTGCAGACAGTCGAGGATCTTCTTCGGGTCGAGCCCGATAGGGAAGTCGCCCGTTCGGACCAAGCGGTCGCGAAAGGAGACACCCATTGGAGATTCAGTCAGCTTCCTTCGCTGCCGTTAGCAAGACAACAAGGGTCTCGAGAGATTGCCAAAGTACTGAGGACGTACAAGAGGTCGCTACAGGCTCGTTTGAAATTGGCATTGTAGCTCGGAGCGTGAAATCCAATCAGGTCGCAGTGTAATACCCCTTCAAGAAGTTCTCTCCAGACTGGGAGAACTCGGAACATGTCGCCGCTGGGGAAGGGGGTGTGCAAGAAAAAGCCAATCACAAGCTGCATGCCCCTTTTCTCAGCTTCTTCCCGCAGTATTTGCGGGAGAAGCATCAAGTGGTAGTCGTGGACCCATACATTATCGCCGTTGACAGCGTTGAATGCGATCTCGACCGCGAATTTGCGGTTCACTTTCTGGTAAGCTTCCCAGTCGCAATTATTGAAGTTGATCATGCTGTCTTGGTAGTGTAGAGCTGGCCACAATACGGAATCTATTTTGATGTTGTCAATGGCAATCGCTTGCAATGTAGCTTCGAACATACTCGAAAAGCCATTGTAGTGCTTGGAGGCCAAATCTTCTTCTAGGAACACCGGCACTGCTCCATGGTCTCGCATCAAGTCTTTTCGTATTTCACAGTTCTGATGAGGCTCTACAGACCCTGGCCAGCCATACCAGCGGGAGGCCTGATTTGGTCTAAGGCCACTCATGCACGTCACGAGGCCACCAGATGACCTATGGTATTGGATCCGGTCATCGTCAGAGCGGTCGATCGTCACGGGAAGACGGTTAGAGACAAGAATCAGGCGACTGGTGGAAGAATATGGTTTGAAATTGTCCTGGTCGGTAGGAGATAGTGGGGGAGTGATCATGTTCAGACGACGTCCAGTATATTTGCTTTTTCCTCCAGCAGGCGCACAGATAGACTTCTGTATAATGTAGCGTAGATAGAGAAGTGAGTTGGAAACGAACAGCAAGTACTGGATGTCGCGGTTGTATGTGGCAAAGAGTTGTCGTAGGAGGACTGTAGCAAACGACGAGACTTTAAGGAAAAGGGATAGGTGTAGTTAACGGGAACCTACCTGATATGTCCCCAAGCAGTCCATCAGCAGTCCGAAACCATTCGCTGACGAGCCAGCGACGAGTTTCAAGACGTCTGACACGGGAACGCAACCTGGGCATTAAAATCACTGGACACTGACGGAGAGAGTGACGTCCCAGACTTTCTTGTGGCAAGCGGGTGGACTCAGTAGACAGCAGCTTTCTTGAAAAGCGAGCATTTGGCGCGTATAAAGTGTTAGTTCAATATGCAAATGAGGTAGTAACGCTTGTGGGAGGCTGTGGCTGGACGAAGACATCGTCCTCCTCGGAAAGCTAAGGATTTGCCCTGGCTGAAGTCCCCGCGGAAAGTCAAAACTGACTCCGAGGCCGGGTCCGCATCTGCGTAGCCCAGCATGACATTATCCCATCCCGACCACACAAAATGCCCACCGGGTCTTATTTGACTCCGCTTATCTCTAACAAGTCCTCCACAGGATCCTCTGAAGCGGTCATTCCTTCATACGGACAAATAGGGAATGAAACAGGCGGGGAACCTGGTATATGGCGTGAATTGAGCTCGTCTTCAAAGGGGGCAGAAGCTACTAGAACTCCGATATGCATGCACACCATATTAGCATCATTCGAGTATGATTGCTCTTTGACGTCGTGAATCAGCCATCTTCCACCAGAGGGCTCTATGACGAAAGAGGAAAGGTGGACGATTGATGGAGCGAACTTCAACTTTGTCGAGCTTTCGAGTCGATTTTCTGATTTGATGGGGAATGGGCCCATCATTAACATCAGGGGGATCATGCAGCGGGCCGCTGAGCTGGTTCAAACAGGCCCATGCTTCGCAGCAGGGGCAATTTTCCCTGGCCACTCGGGTTCCACAGTTCAGATATCTCCGTCTCTGATATGCGTCGACAATCCCTTGGTCTTTGTCGTTCTTACCCCATGTCTGACTTGACGACTTCGGACCACGCGTTCTCTCAGTGCGCAAGTTCGCGCGGCCATGCCATCTGCTCCGATATTAGAGTCGAGCATTTCTCAAGTATCGGCTGTAGATCCAGGTTCCAATTCTGCTTGTTTGACCTTCACGAATAGCTGTGATAAAGTCTGCCTATCAAGTCCACTTGTTCAACGGATCATAGCAGTGAAATGAGGGCAAGTCGTTCACGCGCTGCTCCTAGAACGGCCCATGCGTGCCTTTCATGTAAAAAGAGAAGGACCAAGGTTAGAGCCCTTCCCAAACTGCCCGACCTCTACCGCTGACAGAACGCCCTAAAGTGTACAGGCCAGCCAGGCCCCTGCCAAGCTTGCAGTAAAAATGGCGATTACTGTCATTTCGACTCGAGACTAGATGCAAGACGCAAGACTGGATACAAATCGTCCATTTTCCATCAACAGCAGATCATCCTCAAGGGTCTGCTTCTAAGCATCAAGTCCAATGATGACGATTTGATGCAAAGGCTTGTTGAGGCAATCAGGAACGATGACTCACCCCCAAATATGGCCAGAACACTCCGGAACAACATTCAAGCCTTACAAGAACGGGGTGAATTAACCAAGGAGGATATCAGTAATCCTGATATGATCACTCTGTTGTTGGAAAGTCTCTTTTACTCACGGCCACGGCCAGGCGAGAGCAGCACGACCTCCCCATCATCATATGACCTTCTTGGACAATCTTCAAGCTCGGTGTCTGAGTTGTCTTCTGATTCTCTGGCTACCGATGAAGATGTCTTTATGGATTATACACGTCCAGTCCAAATCCAAAGCAGTTTCGACGCAGCACATTGCCCAACGGAAGCTCCATATTCTTTCACAAATTTTGAGTCCATGGTTGTATCAAATGTATTTGATGTACCTCAACCCGTATTCTCCTGCACTTTTCACCTCAGTTGAGAAGTGGCTAACGTCTAAGCAGCCGTCAGAAACCCCTCTCCACTCGAAAAATTTCGACAGCGATACTTCTTCGCTGGCAAGCAAAGTTTCCCTGATCGAAGATGGCGATACGCAAATGGCCTGGTACGAAACCCTGAGTGAAAAATATCAACATTTGGAATCAAGTATCTGGCAATTTGGCGGAGCCACAGGGAACTGGCCCTTTATAGGAGGCTCAGATTGGTCGAGCGGCCCCTCGCCGCTGCAAACAGTCACATTGCCCTTGATATATCCTGGCGACCCCATAAACGAGATCGTCCTAAGCTGTCGAGACCGAGCCCGAGATCTGCTCAGGTCTGGCGTTCCCTTGCAGTCTGTCATGGGATCAGGACCCACGGACGTGGAGTTGCTGTTCCGAATGAGGCAACCAGATGAAGAGTGGAACTTGCCTGGGTGGGCGTGTGAGGTAGGGCTACCCTCCGAGTTGGTGAATCTGTAACTCTACAACATCTTTACAATCTGCCTTTTACGGCTAACTTTTTGGTTTAGATGGCATGGGGTCTTCAAGATGTTGAGTGGAATGTCAAACTCGCTGAAGTCTTCATGCGGGTTCGATTCATGAGGTGGTTGATCCTTCCGGGCGCGGAGACCCTCACTGGCATTCCGGGCATCCTGAGACCAACGACCGTACAAATGCGATTTCCCCACCCTGTCGCAATAGATTTCCTCCCGATACCGGCGGTTCGCACAATCCTGGTCCGAAGACCGCGAGACTGGCAAACTCCCTTGAGCAGGTCCAAATACAGCTGCAACTGGGATGATAATCTCGGGCCGGCAATCGTTACTGATCCTCTTACCGGACGACGAATCTTGAGCGCAAAATTTGAGAAGCATATTTGCACCTATCAAAACTGGAGTGTCGGCAAAAGCATTCTAGAAACCTGGCCAGAATTGTGGGGAGAGATGACACTGGACAAAGAGAAATAGGATCGCTGCGGTATGAACGGAGAGCATGGTCAGAGTAAGGCTACCCCACTGAGGGTAGAGCTGAGGACTAAGGGTTTCCTTGAGAGACAGCCTTCTAGCAAGTAGTATTATTAATTGACCGGCGCCAAGCCTCGACTGGCGCATATAACTCTATCAGTATATGATATGGCCATAAACTTGAAGCACTAAAACTCTATGCTATAAGCTAAGATAATTCTTTTATGAGCGCTATTGCACTGCTAATACTAATATTTCAAATTATTTCAAATGTCAGGCATACCTCGGGAGCCCTATGGCGACCATGTAGCTAATAAGTTCGAGATATCCTTGCACTTTCGTGCGAGACCCTACTCTTTTTGAGCGTTCCTCGAGGGCTTGTGGACCTATTGCCTGACATAAAAATAACAAAATAGAAATTCCTAGAGATTATTTACCTAGTTAATGTTTCCACCCTGCAACTGAAGTCATAGGAAAAGGACTTCAAGGGGACTTGCACTGCTGTTGGTGAGTTTTCCAATACGTCTACCATGAGCAAGGCTGACCACTTTTAGTGCAATCAGGGACCTAGAGAACAGAAGTACTGTGTACTGGTCTTTAGTATGGAGATCACGTCGCCCATGTCAGAATGTCCCCAATAGGCATCGGTCCTGAGAAGTCCTCTCGAAAATTGGCCAAACCAGAGGTCCGGGAGCTCTCCTCCTCACTAACAAACGATTACGGAGACATCTGCGTCATCGTCGGTGTTGACAAATTAGACAACATCAAAGGACTACCAAAGAAGATACACGCCCTCGATCAAGCCCTGTCCGAAAATCCTGAAGGATTCGGAAAAGTGATGCTGGTACAAGTAGCGGTACTGAGCCGAGAAAAAACCAGGAGACCGCCAAAACCCTGAATAAGCTCGCGGACTGGATAAATCTCAAATACGGTGGGAGCTGGTTGTCCTTATACGCATAGCCATTGAATTGTATTCCCAACTCAGGTTGCGACGGCTACCAGCCGGGAAAACCTCCTCCATCGCAGTGTGCCCTTCGAGAAACTCGTGGCGCTTTATGCCGCAAGAGACGTGTGCCTCACCTCATCAACCCACAAAAGCATGAAAATAGTCGCCAATGAATACGTCGCCTCGCAAAACGAGTGGAAGGACGTCCTTCTGCTCTCTGAAAGGGTTGGCGCTGCCGAACAAGCCAAGGACAGCTTCCTGTTCAGTCCTTGGGACCTTGATATGGTGGATTCCATTGGCAAAGGCATTACCACGGGCCACCAGCAACGAGCGGCCATCCACAAGAAATCCGAAGCTCACATTATGGGGAACACTAGGTGAGATTGGTGTCAATTTTTCCTCCCACTGAGACTTGCAGACTGACTCAAATGTACCTTCGGGTCAGATATTCAGCATTTAGCGGCCGTCCCATGGACCACAGCCCATACGGCGTTAGACAGTGAGAAAATCGCCAACGGATCAGTTCCGGATGCCCGTGGCGAACGTGGCAACGGACTTTGGAAGGGATGATCGCTCTGACGGCTGCGCAAATCGAAGCCTTCATATCGCTATAATTGTGTCGGGTGTTGTAGATAGACAGGTCTTCCAAGGCGTAAGCACGGGACAGACCACGCAACGAACGCTAATTGCATGAGCGCCAACTTGACCTGAATCGGTCCAACCAGTCATCCAGCACCATCCTCACCTCCTCTGGCCTGCGACATTCACCACGAGACACGTGAGTGAGAAGCTTTGAGCCAAGGTCGAGGATTTCCTCTCGCATTTGCATCGTCTGTTGTTTGAGGAGGTTGTTCTCCACGGCAGAAGCGCGTGTTATTTCTGCTAGTTGTTGGATCTCGCTACGTTTCTTTTCGCGACACTTCGCGGCAGCGCGACGGTTCTTCTCCAACGAGATTCGGTGCTTTTCACTCTCTGGTAACTGCGGTCCATCTGAGGTGGAATCGCCGCCCCTCTTGCGTCTTCGTTTGTATACTCTACGTGTCGACGGGCAGCCATTCCTGCGCGCTGGTGGCAGGGCAGTTGAGTAATTCCTTTTCGTGGTTGTAGAATCGAGTTCCTCTGGAGAAATTGCCCCGCCGTGGAATGAGTGGTTGGTTGGAACGGTCGATAGATCGCCCCCCTCCCAAGACTGTAAGCCAACAGGAGAGTTCCCAAGCTTGCCATATTCAGTATGCTTTTCGAGACCATGCCAACTGTCCATCATCTCTACATCTCCTACCTTGACCAAGCTATGTTTCGATAGGGTTGAAACAGGATTGAAGCCGAAATCTCCTTGGGCTGGTCGGTCCTGCTCCGGTTGTCTTATATCTCCGATTAGGTCGTGGTAGAGGGGGAAATTATAGAACATAACGGAGGTAGTGTCATCATAGGGGGAAGCTGTGGGAGCTGTGTTAGTCATCCCGGTACCGCTAAGCAGCCTTGTTTCTGAGAAATCGGTTCCAAACAGAGGCGGCATTACGTGATCAGGTTGGGCATAATCAAAGTCAGTTGCGCTTATCAGACCTGGCAGAGATTGCCGAGATGGTCGAGTGGTCGATAACGCTTCGATGGAGGCCGTCTGTAGGCCAACCACACATTCAAATGAGTTTGGTGAAGGGAAACTTCGACTACTGTCAGTGGTCTGGCGGGAAATTGAAGACATGCTGTTCGAGCTTGATGGACCCTCGGAGCTGGTAAAAGCGGGACTCGGCGAGGAGCTCGTCGAGGCACTTAGACCCCGAGTTCCCTCTGGGCTTAAATTTCTGACTCCAGCTGCCGGATCTGGATCCGTTCGGTCAATCAAATCTAAGTTCTCTAGGATTGTGCGAGTCGTGATATCTCCAATCTCTGTCATGTCGGAGTTGTCCTTGCAGCCCTGATAGAGAGCATGGACATCTTTGACAGGCGAGTCATGGAATTCTCTAGAGCAAGTAAGCAAAAAGCTTTCTGGAGAGTAATGCAGAATGACTCGATCATACTGAGACTTTAGTGGATGTTTCTGGCCGTTTCGACGGATGCAAGGGATGCCACGTTGCACGCAAGTTGCACATGGGAGGGAGCTGCCACACTTTGGTGTCGTCAGCTTCATGTGATGCGACGGCGGTAAAATTGTCATCTTCTACCTTTGCTTTCTTAAGCCGACAAAAGTCACAGGCTCGAGAGACCCAGTGATGTTTGCCCGTATCGATCTCCGCATATGGTTTGGACATCTGCTTAAAGGGCTGATCTGTCAGAGGGGCTGTTGGATAGCTGCCCAGTTGGCATCTCTTTTTGGTTTTGGCGGCCTGGCGTATTAAGTATACATTGGTTGTTGATGATGCCAGGGAAACGGGGTGTTCCCTTTCCACGTCTAAATATTCACTTTTCTCTTGTTAAAGGGATCTATCTTCCTCAGGCACATGTCGAGCATGACGTCTCACCTTTATCTTCGCACTTTTCGGATCCTAGGGATCGTAGAGTGGTGGGGTAGGCAGGAAGACAACATTTGTGAGCCGTACGTGAAGGCGAGACCATGGCGATTGGTGCAGCTTGATTGACGAACTAACACGGGCCAAGACAGGATTGCGAATAGTCTTTCGGATATACAGTTCCACGTGCGGGCTATTCATCACGCGTGTTTTGACGTGATGTACAGGCCATCCAGCCCAATGCTCTTTTCCTCTCCCCCACCAGCCGCGCCCTAGCCTCCGAGGAGATCGCGCCCTCGGAGGGCTAATCATTCTACCCCACCTAATATTCCTTGATAGGATGGAGATCATGCCACACTTGTGGGAATTTGCTATTCAGGTTGGACAATGACCTTGAGGTGGATTATGGTTCATCTACTCCGCGCTGGAGAGCGAGCTGGCGGGATATTTGTCATTCGTAGTCTTGCCAAGTCTCTCTTCGTGTCAACGGCATGACCTATAAACATTCCAGGATGTATCAGTAGATTAGTCTTGTATGCATTACCGTGGGATTAACAGAGTGGAAATGTCCGAACCCAGCTTGGGTAGAGCTGTGGTGCTGTTTCCTGGGGTTAGAATGTCACCAGGAGCGGCCGTGGGCGGACCACGAAAATTACGTATCAGGATAGGTGGAATTGGCTCAACCAACTGCTGATACGGGCGTATCGGCAGAATATGGGTGCATCTTTGGAACCGTAATCAGGAGAGCCCTGTAAGGGCCAGTGTTGCTACCGTATAAGGAGCTCCTGATGGTATTGTGGCCTTGCTCTTCATCGACACGAGGCTAGAACCGTTGACTGTGAAAGAAATTTGTGCCAATAGATATTTCTGCCGATGACTCTCGACTCAGCCACCCGAGCTACGGACAAATGATCGATGGTGAGAAAGTGATTCATTTATCACTACTTTGTAGCACCTGGAATCAAAGAATGTCTGCATCGCATCGACGGTCATCGACGGTAAAGACAAAATGTCGATGTTGTGGCTCTGTTGTCTGGCGTTGGATGCTCCGCAGTAATTAACTGGCGGAGTGTTAGCAACGCATCTGTCGTGCTCTTATCACCACGTGATCGTTATCGAATCGGAGGAAAATTATGGCACCAAAAGTCCTCCAGGTCTAACTCACCTTTCAACGACCCATCGATCGAACGCTCTACCGACATCAGAGTTAAACTATGGCAAGACCTAGAAAAAAGAAGAGGACTCATCTTTCAATTGACGATGGTGCGGGAAAGCCCAGTCGAGCCAATCGGCCGCCCAGAAGTATGGTCATTCGCATGGGCGCAGGTGACATTGGCCCCAGCGTCACACAGCTGGCAAAGGATTTCCGCGCTGTGATGGAACCTGATACAGCGAGCAGGCTGAAGGTACTACCTCATTCTGTTCATTCTGTCGCAAGTCTTTCCGAGATGTACCCATGCTGACACCGAGGTCAACAGGAGCGAAAAGCCAACAAACTCAAAGACTACACCGCCATGGCTGGTCCTCTGGGTGTCACACATCTCTTTCTATTCTCACGGTCGAAAAACGGCAATGTACATCTGCGGGTTGCGCTGGCTCCCCGCGGCCCGACGATAACATTCCGCCTCGATCGATATGCATTAGCAAAAGACATTGCAAAGGCACAAAAACATCCGCGAGGAGGCGGCAAGGAATACCAAACTCCGCCTTTGTTGGTGATGAATAATTTCGCGTCTCAGACCGCCACGGATGCTGGTGCAGATCCGATCAAAAAGCAGCTCGAGTCCTTAACCACCACGGTATTCCAATCGATGTTTCCCCCAATCAACCCGCAAAGCACACCGCTAAATTCCATACGGAGGATATTGCTGTTGAACCGTGAGTTGCATTCAGATGGGACATACGTTCTCAGTCTACGGCACTATGCGATCACGACAAGAAAGACAGGGGTGTCAAAGCGAGTCAGGAGATTCGACGCAACAGAGCAGCGGCTGCGAGAAAAAAAGACCGGGGCGCTGCCCAATCTCGGCAAGCTAAACGACGTGGCAGACTACATTCTCGATCCTACAGCCGGAGGCTATACTTCTGCCAGCGAAACAGAACTCGACACCGATAATGAGGTAGAAGTTATGGAGACGACGACCCAGCGAGTATTGAGCAAGCGTGAGCAGCAGAAGCTCGCAGATAATGGGAACAAGAAAGCGCGAAAAGCGGAGCAGAGCTCGAATGTTGAGAAAAGAGCTGTGAAACTGGTTGAACTGGGCCCGCGGATGCGATTAAGGATGGTCAAAGTCGAAGAAGGCGTGTGTGAAGGCAGAGTCATGTGGAATGAGTACGTCACCAAGTCTAAAGCAGAGGAAAAGGCGCTGGAAGAGAAATGGGAGGTGAGGAGAAAAGAAAAGGAGGCCAGGAAGAAAGTACAGAGAGAGAACGTGGAGAGGAAGAAGGAGTTGAAGAAGAACACGAAGAAGAATACCGGGAACGAGGGTGAGGAGGAAAGTGAAGAGGAATGGGATAGTGACGACCTAGAGAATTGGGATGTTGACGATGACGTTGACGACGAGGATGAAGCTGAGGTCGTTGGGGATATCGAGGAGCCTGCTGATGGAAACGATGAGATGCAAGATTGAAACGTGTCCCGCCCCGTTTCATTTCCAGCAAGCCACCCTCCCCCGGGCGTTCCTTGGTCATATCGCTCGGCTTCGAGTCCGCATCAGCGAAAATCGAAGTGGATGTGGCGAGCGTTAGCCATGGCACTACAGGCAGTGCTTGGATCCATTTCGAAGGGAGCCGGGGTCACCTTCACCGATCTGTTCACCCATTCGAGGGGCGAGGGACCGTGATAGGATCCATATGGAGTACCCAGGCTTTTCTTCCAAGACTCCGGAGTCACCGCAAGACCCAAGGTCACGGGGCATCCGAAGATATTGCGAAGTCCCGCAAATCCGAGGGACCGGGATCCCTGCGATAATGCACCTCGATTACTCACTTGAAAAAAAAACTCCCGCTTCCCTGCCCTAGTATTGGCCACGTCGACGAATATGCGAAGGAAGAGTCGAGATGAGATGTCGTCAAGGTCTCGCAAAGCTATCGCGAGTCTGCGTGGCTCAGGCATACAACGGCTGCAGCTCTGGGAGCGCAGGGCTGGCCACCTGCAGACTATCTCCAGGCGGAGTTCCTTCTCTCGCGCTCGCGCTCGCAGGAGCCCGAGTATTGTAGCCGCCACGTAATTAGGCACCATCATAACTAGGGGATTGTCTGTGCTATGGTGTTCATCGCACAAGAATAAATCCCTGACTACGTCTAGTACTTGGCGTGGGCCGCCTTCCCGCTCGTTCGTCCATCTCTTTTTCGTCGGAGTCTATAAAAATTCGTTTTGACTTGCGGCGCTCGGTTTCTACACCACACGCCTTCATATCACTCTGGTGGGAAGTAGAGCTGATGTGAAGGGGACTGAGCATTGAGAGCGGGCAATGTTTCTCTTCTCTCCTTGCTCTCCTATGTAAGATGTAGGAGTTCGAGTGTGCCTTTCGTATTTTAATTCGATTTCAGCTTTGGATTCGCCATTTCCACATAATGGCCTACTACTATCTGAGGTAGGCTGCAGCAGACGGGACCAGATCTTCTGTTCTGCTCTGGGCGTCTCTGCTGTGCCTCGCTTGATGAAAAAACGTCGTTGCTTTGTCCATCTTATAAGTGAGAAATGTCCTGCGTGCATGTTCATGTCCCGTCATTGACGGTGCCGCCCAGAGACACAAGCACTCCATACCAGTCTGACCTGTGATGTCGTTCAAGCCAGCTTCAGCATCGATGCCATCTTTGTCTCTGTTACGATCGTCGTCACCATGGCCGTTAGATCATACTCACCACTCACTTTCCCGACATGTCTTGAACATTTCTGGTTCAAACAAACACTGATGCAGTTGCAGGAAACTCGATGACTAAACCTGTGCTCGATCTCATGATATGACGCACTACCCGACCGATGTTGTAAGACTCCATTTCCTTCGCATCTCGGATTCCAGGAGGGATGTCAAGGACATTCGATCGGGAGCGTCTACTTCTTTCCGGCATATCGCTTCACCCATTCTCGGGCCTCTCGCTCGTAGCTGGCGCGGTCGTCGCGGTATTGATCTGCGATCTTGGATTCCACAGCGTCATCGGGGTTAGGCTCTGGGTGAGGGTTTTAGTGTGGGTTCATCTGGGAGATAGCAGCCAAATCCGGTCCAGCATAGTTTCAAAGGCTGATATGGTAGTGAACCGCTCGTGATGAAAAGCAGGGACTCGGAGAGGAGTGATTGGGGACGACTGACCTTTCAGCAACTGTCTAGTGAATTCTAGCACGGCGCTCATCTTGGTAGATGGTTTCCATTCGGAGTCTTTCAGCATGCCAAGACACATGGTGCCTGAGTTGGGGGGTGAGTCATTGGAGATGTTTGGATGGTAAATCTTGGTGGTAAAGGTCACTGTTGGTGGTTTGAACGGGTAATTCGGTGGGAGGCTGATGTTGAGCGTGAAATGGCCGCCCTATTTTGTTGTTAGCTGTCTCGTGGTAACGGGGTTCATCCGAGGACTGGGAGCGCGATTTATGGCGGGGAAGGTTGAGTGATCGTGTCAAATATATATTTCATCCCGGCCAGTTGGTTGATGAAGACCATTGGAGCACTTACAGCATAAGGAGAATCAGCAGGACCATCCATATGGACTTTCCACTGATACAAATTCGACTCGTCCGCCAGTGCTACGGCAACCCCAGCGGGAGGCGAGATGGTCAGCTCGGACAACTCCTAATTCTCCAATTAGTGTTCTGTTGCTAGATCGATGAGAGTGTATGTGCACGGTACTTACCTTGGTAATACGTTTCTGGCTCGACATGTTTACGGATTGTCGACCAGACAGGGATGAGAGGGCTGCTAATGAGGTTCGAAATCAGCGCACTGCGGCGCGGGGCACTTTGGTTGTCTTCAAACGATTCAGTGACCGAGAGCACGCGGGCGAGCTTAATTTTGATGCCCCGATGTAGGAGCGATCGGTTGGGCTTGGACGGCAGAATGCTGTAAGACAAAGAAGACGAAGAAGGAAAACACTATTGATTTCTACGTGATGTTCAAATAAAATGGATTAGATGTTTGCTGTAACATCGCCGCTGCCCCGGATAAATATCGGATCTACTGGTGGCTTTCATCTGATCAGATTAGATTAAGCCCTAGAATGAGGGTGTCTATGCTCCGCCACAATGGATTACGTTCAAGTATTCGGTGGAAAGCGAGGCATCAATCGTTGCTGTGAACGATTGCTCTTGGTGTTCAAACGTTGCCATTGTCGTGATATTCTCTTCACTGATTGCAACGTCGTCTATCCATGTCCGGCCATTTGCACGGCGCCTACGCTTGCAGGTAGTCGAGGAATCAAGTCTTTTGACCAAATAAATCATTCACACCGCCAGTATCAAAGGCTTCTCCCTTCAGTGTCAACCTCCCTCTTAACCATCAGTCCCACTACTTCGGAATGTGACACACACTTGACAATATTCATGCGTCAAATCCAACACATGCTGAGGGAGGTTAGTGGATTGCACGATGCTTCGAATCTTGACGGCGCCTTCCTCTTCAATCAGTTTCCGTATAGAGTAGAATAGTTCAGGTGAGAACTAAGTATTCGTCAGTCTTTGGATTGTCAGTTATCATTCCTTGTCTCTTACCTCAGAGTACCATCGATATTGCCATGTAATCAGCCGAATTAGACAAGCCAACGAGTTTCTAGTGTCTCCTTTCCGCTCGTGCATTCGAAGGATGCCTCGCATCGCCTTGGGGGAGAACCGGATATTCAGACACTGCTGGTAAGCCTCCAGAGCCTCATTTGTGTGATGCAACCGTTCAGCCAGGTCTCCAAGAATTTCCCATTCGGATGCCGATTTCTTATATTGCATCTGCTGCTGCCGGTATTGTCCCATCTCCGTGCGCCATATGGTGTATATTCGCAGATCCTCATACAGCACCATGAATAAGTTATCCAACCACCGCTCACACAGACGTTTATTTTGAAACTGCGGATATTGAGAGTGGGCAGCATCTGGGTCGTCACTCCCGGACTTGACCTCCTCTGCAGCAATTGTGGGAACTGGCTTCTCCATCGTTCGATCGGCGCTGAGTTGGGCATTTTCATCGGTACCACCGTTGAGATTGGACGACACGGATGATCCTCCTGCCACGGCGTTGTCATTTGTTGGAGAGCCATCGTCAGATCCATCTTCGTCAGAGGTGCTGTCGGTGGTCTTCTTTGGATCGCCGTTGGGGGTGCCGGACAGGGCTACAGTGCTGGCATTCTTGCTGGCAGAGACTTTCGGGGTCAGTGAATGCGCCCGTTCAGTGCGGTACTCTTCCTCCATGACAAATACAAGGCTGCGTGTCTTCAGCAGGGAGTCCCAACCAATGGAAGCAGCGATTCTCGTGAGGAGACTATACGCCTTTAGAAATGTGCCTTGATATGTTGCGGCCTGCAGCTTCCGCAGAGAAACATGAACGGAGTCATAAGGTTCACCATGCCGGGGCTGGCCTTCGTCAATCTCTTCCAAGGCGGTCTCCGGCAATATGGGAAGAAGTACTCGTGTAGGTTCAGGCATACGAGGCGAGTCCTTGTCTTGGTATGAAAACATAGGACAGGAGTTGAGGGTGAGAAGAGCGAGATCCCACTGCTCGAGATCAACGTAAATTTCAGCCAACCGGGCCCACGTGCTGAACTCACTAGGGGCAGCCGTGACACCTTGTTTCGCGAGTTCGAGGGCGGTCAAGCCCTCACCCTTTTGCTGGCAAAATGTTGCTTGTGCATCCAGGAGAGCGTAATCCATGGGGACGTCCTGGAGGGCATCGTGCAGTAGCCTTACAGCTTGAACTTCCTCGTCGCCCTCGAGCAGAACTCGAGCCAGCAACGAAGAGACTTCGACGTCCTTGGTCCGCAGCTTTTCAAAGAGATTGATGCCAGATGCGTAACGACCGGCGGTCTTGATGTATTTGAGTAGGCCAGACGTAAGGTGGTTGGAAACCAGATTTGGGATTTGAATTTCTGAATCTGACCCAAGTTGTCGGCCGTTGAAGAAGAGTTTCTCGGCGGCCTCGAAAAACCTGTGTTCCATCTCGGTATTTGTGATCGGATTGAACCTCCTGACACCAATAATCTTCTTGATCGTGTCTCCACTGCCGTCATCTGAATACGAATATGCGCGCAGGACGCCGCACAAAAATGTTTCCAGCCATAAGCCTTCGGTGGCCACTCTTCGGTCCCCTCTCTCGTCCACACAGTAGCTCTCCACGCTGCCGGGAATTTTGACTTCGACTCTCATGTCCAGATGGGAAAAGGCATTGTAGCAGCAGTACAACCCGGATACGACCTTGTGGGTCTTGTCAGAGGGATTGAATGTCAGGGTGTTGACGTAGGCAGCCAGACTGGCCGAGGAAGAGGCATCGATGCCCGTCACATGATGGTAGACGCCGGTCTGCTTCGAGCCAGCTTTTACACTCTGCTTGACCAAATGGACGAGATCAGGGGGGCCGAGTTCACGCAGGCCTGGCAGGCTTTCGGTTCGAGCGTCGACGGCGAGTCCGATGTCGTCATCCTCGATAATCCTACAGAGATATTGTCAGATCTAGAATTCAGGTGGCGTGACGAAGAACTGACTCTGGCACCGCAGGCGCAAGCATCGCAGTGCAGCCCTGAGGGCGTGCGCAAGATTATTATCAGGACAGACTGGCAGACTTCCAGTACTGCTGCGACGGCAGCAGGCGCCTTTTTCAGGAGAAGCAAATGCTGCGGAGTTCGAGATTCAGTTCTTGTCGCTTCCAATTAGGCAAGTGGTAGTTGTCTCGACTCAATGAGTATTCAGATATTGGTGAAATGCAACATGCTAGCAATAGCACCTGTCCTGCGTAGACCGTGTGCCAGTGGCATGTCGGAATCGGAATAATGTTGCTGCATGAAATCTGTCGCTCTGCCTTCCCTTCTGGGAAGTGCCCGGCATGTGCTGCGCGTCACGTCCAGGGCTTTCCAAACCACGCGTTTCACGGATCGTGACCAGTTGATGTGTCAGATATTGCCGCAATTAGCACCAGGTTTATCTCATCTCGCTTTGAATCATCACCAAATCATCAAACCATCACCGTTTCCACCAATATCTGGTCTTGAGTGTTCGATGATGGTTCCCCAGCACAAACCGTTTCTGGGCAACCACTCACGGCCATCGACACCATGTCCAGCTTTACGGCCTTGAATGTTGAGCTCGAAGACACCGTCGAGGAGGAGGTCGACGACACCAAAGAAATCCAACTCGAAGAAGCGTTCAAACTTTATCAAAATGCGCTCAAGCTCCACTCCCAGGGATCTGACTTTTTCCAAGAGGCCCGCGATGCCTACAAGGAACTGTTACAGTCCGACGTCTTCAAATATCCAGAAGTCGTATCTGACTTTGCTCATGACGAACTCGACGAAGAGGTATCAGCCAGCGCCGCCCATCATGACACCGGAGCTCTGGCTCTCCTTCCCAGCAATGCTACGGAGTCATCCGCCAGCTCCATCCCCCAACTTCTCTATCTCGCCTTCAAAAATCGAGGGCAATTTATCCTTGATGTTGCGCGCCATCAACTCTCCGACAAACACGGACCTCGAGTAGATCTTTGTCGATACTACGCCAAGGCCTGCACAGAGAGCATAGGCGACTTCGCCAAAGCCCTAGAAAGGGATGACACCGATCTCGATCTATGGAAGAAGTCCGCGCGCGTCGCCGAGGTGCTGTTGTCCACGCAAAGGATCACTCGTTTTTGCCTGGAGAGTGTCTTAGCCGGCGATGACGATGACACCTCACAGGCAATTGATCTTTCGGGCCTCGATGAGGCATTTGCAGCGGGAGAGCTGGAGGAGGTTGTCAATCTGTTGGAGGACGACCTCACCCGTCTTGGAAAACCCGAGAAACGACCTAGGAGTCAGCTGCTGATGGCACTGAGAAGGACCAACGATCCCTATCCATATCTTCCCAAGCGCACCAGTCGGCTCGAATATGTCGATGACCGTTACCGACCACTGAGTTTTGGCGGAGGCCAAGTCCGACTGAAAATCACATCAGGCGATCTCAACTCCTTGGGCGAAGTCATCAATCAGACGATCCAAGCAGTTCACGGCGGTGATGTATCTTTCAATGCTGCGACGAGCGTTCATGTTGAGCTGCCCGAAGGGTTGGTTGTGCATCAGGATAGGGATATGCCCGATTCTCGAGATATCAGCCCCTCACATGACCCCACAAGCGTCAGTCAGAATCTGCCCAGCAGTGTCTCAATAGCCCTAGTCAATGGCAATCAAGTTTACGAAAGCCCTTCCGGGGAGAAGGAGCCCCCGTCAGAGCGGAACGCGCAGCACCAGGATACCCGGAGCGAGAATGCAGAAAACACCATCGAAGTTGCCACGCAAGTCCTTTCCACTGCAGACGAATTACGGAATTCCGTACCACCTACCTCTTCTGGCGAGCCTGGTTCAAGAAAGCGATCCACCGCCGTGGCCGGTAATGAAGAGCCTGAAGGACGGACAAAGAGTAAACGACTGCGTGCGCGAGAATCCATGGCGGATCTTGCTGCACAAGAAGATGAAGCCACGCATGATGACCCTCAGTACTTCCTGGACCAGCTGGCATTTTTTGAGCAGACAGATCAGGCCATGTTTGACGTTGTCAATTCCATGCTGGCAAAGATAGACCTTCAATTTTACCTGTCGACAGAGGAGGCAAAGCAAGCCTTTTGGCAGAGTAGCACCAACGGGACACACCATAAGCTCGCCTCGGACACATCGCGAGAGGACTTGATACTCCTTGCGGATTTGAGGACTGCATTGTTGAACTGGACCGATGAGAAGGGGCATGCCATCATCTCCGGTCATGGCCATCATGACTTTGCCGAGAAGTCGACCGGAATGTCCCTTTTCCTCCAACATTCTAGGCCAACCCTGGCAAAAGGAATGCAACCTGCCACAAATGGAGACGACTCTGAATTAATCGCGGTGGCCGACTTGATCAATGCGCAACCAAGTAACATATACGACGCTACCTTGATTTGGTTATCATCCCTCTTGATCAGCAACAAGGACGATAGATCGTCCAAATCGCTATACCTTCGTCAACCTTGGTCCACGCAGCTGAGGCATACATTGAATAGCATGCTGTGCATCGCTCATGCACAGATATACGAAACATTACGCCAGTGCTATTTCGCCCTGGAGGGAGCTGACCGTGCTACCAGCAGTGATCATGTGGCTGATGTTCAAGCACTTTTCGGATTCGTTCAGTCTTGGTTTGAACTGCATCTCGATCACCACTCTGCCATCATGAGCCCAAGTAGTGATGTGCCGGAAAGCGCCAGATCATCCAGCGAAACTAAATTACTGCAGTCTGCCAGCCTGGCAAACGACGTGATGCATCTACATCTTGGCATGTCCGGCAGGCCCGAGCTGGACGATCCTTTGATCGTCCGCTTCATCTGGGCGTCTGCCATTTGTGCAACCCTCTCACAGGACGTTGACAAAGCTCATGTGCTGCTGTGTCTACAAGATCTCAAGGCCCTTTTGCAAAAGTCTAGTCTGGAAGTTATTCACCTCCCAAATAGCACTGCCATGCCAGTCATCTCAACATTGGCCATTGACCAGGAGGTATCACGCCTGAGCACCTTGGATTTCTTCACCAACGTGTTTGATACCGATAACAGCAATCCTGTGGCTGTAATCGAGAAGCTCGAGCCAATTCTAGAGCCTAGGTCAATTCTTGGTGTCGACGAAAGACCGGAATCAAGCCGAAGCGATCAACGTGTCCCCCAAATGGAGAGGTTGATCCAGTTCCTGGAAGCGGGGGACGCGTCCCTCAAGCTCTTCCTCTGGAGACGGCTTCAGAACGCTTACATCGCAATTTCATACACACCCAAGGTGATATCATGTCTTTTGCGAGCGATTGAGACCAGTGTTCATGAATTGTTCACCACAAGACATCTTGACTCAGAGTTCGATGCTCGCCAAACATCCATGTTAAAATGGCTACGTGATACCGATGAATTGATGGTCAGGCTGCTGCCCAAAGCCCTGAGCGACAATTCGGCCTTTGAGTGTGTCGATGATGCGCACCTTCGCTCTTCGCTGAAAGCTGTCACATCTCTTACAAGGATACTCCATGGCTTTGTCATATACGAAGACTCAGTTCGTGTCGGTCAAACAGCGCCTCCTCAGCTCAGGGGAGCTGCCTCTTCAAAGCTTTTTGAAAAAAGCAAAGATCGTCTCCGAGAGATGCTCGTTCGAACTTGCCTCGTTCAGTACCTTCTCCTGAAAGAGGCCACGGTACAGCATCCATCATCATTTGGGCGGGCGGCCGACGACCTGGCTGAATACCTGAGTACGGTCCACAATTGTATTGGCATTCGCCAATATTGCAAGTACGCGAACAAGGCGTTTGTCAAACTTGTCAAGGCCGAATTATGTACCCTCAGCACCCAGCAGGACTACACCACAGACATGACCCAAGTCTTCTTCGATCTCTATCAACTTCGGTTCACCAGTGGCGTCGGAGATACCAATCATGGCTGTCCTACTGAGAACTTGGATCGAAAGACGGCGTGGTCGCTGGTCCCTACGATTATGACTTATGCAGCCAAGTACAACATCAAGGACCTGGCAAAGGGTGAGCTTCGGACCACGATTGATAAAATTCAGAGTGCATTAGGAGCTGTCAAAAGCCTTCCACCTTTGATGTACAACAAGCGAATCATATCCAGTTACCTCAAGTCTCCGATCAAATCAGACGATCTCTATCGATGCATCCGCGGGCTGGGCGACCTCCCGACTCGCCATGCGGAGAGTGACACCGAGATTGCGGCCCGCAACGGATGGTATTTCCTGCTTGGGCACATGAGTCTTGCAAAGTACAAATCAATCAAGCGAGTTAGCCCAACGCCGACCGACGATCTAGACACTGCCGCATCGCTGTTCCGACAAGACCTTGACCACAACATCAATAAGTGGGAAACGTGGTACCGCCTGGCCCAGGTGTATGAGGCCAAAATTGAAGACGACCTGATCTGGAATTCCACCAAATTGAACGATTCACGAGGCGATATCGCTTTGCTCGAGCGCCAGGCTATTCATAGCTATGTCATGGCGACGGCAATCGCCATGCGCCTCCCAGAGACCGTGCCAGATGATGCTCTAAAGATTGAAAATATGCTGGCCGAGTTCGCGACACGTCTCTACGCTTCCTCTCGTCCTCCGCTGAATATGGAAGCGTTCAGGACGGACAAGCATATGCGCCATATGAGCAGCCGCATCGACATGACCATGTCGAAACAAGCTTATCACCCTCCCGTTGGTTCATACGCACTTTGGAAATTCGCCGCATATCTCTTGAGCCGCAAATTCAGCGAGAAACCCAAACATTGGACTACCCACTATACTCGTTGCAAGTGCCTATGGAAGATGTTTACCAGTCCGGAAAATCGGACACGACGCCGGCCTGTGACCGCAGAGGAAGTGGTAGAGGCCATTACCGAAGCCATTGAGGCACTGCCAAAGAAAGAAAAGTCGAATGAGCCGATTCTGGAGCCACATTTCAAACTCGTGTCCATCGTTCACAAGCTCGTCACACGACGCGCAATATCCTACACACAGGGCGAGGAGTATCTGCAAGCTACACGGTACGCCCAGGGCATCCATCTTTCCGAGTATGAGGACGGCGCTGGGCCTGAGTGGGTGCCTTACATGCTCGACATTTTGAAGAAGCTTGGAAACGCCGACAAGTCTAACTGGCACCACAGAATCATCGACCGCGCTGCCCATGTTATCTACGACGAATCACCCGGTATAGCCGGCGCCCTGGGTGCCAAACATCAGTTCACCCAACAAATATTTACCAAGACGATGACCATCCAGGTGTGGAAACCCGAGAACGAACGGCCGGGGCGACATTACGTCTACACTGGGCGCTACGTCGCGTTCTTCGTCCATGTATTGGAACAGTTGAACGACCGGATGAATCTGGATCAACTCGTCCGCAGGATCCGTCGCAAGACGACTGATTTTCTGGACCATACCAAAGTATGGGAGGCCGTCACGACTGTGTATGTGAGACTGTTGAGACGTCATGGAAAGATCCCTGACGGTCGTGAGAGAGCACTTTTCGACGGGATGAATCATGAGGAATTTACCAAAAAGTCAGAGAAAATGGAAGCCTGGGCACTGGATCCGGACACCACGTCAGTGTTCCTGGATATCATGCGCGACGGTATCGATCTCAAGAGACTCAATAATAGTTTGATGAAGGGCCCGCTCATCGACGATCTCATCGGCGATGCGTATGCGTGCCTCTACGAGGAATTTGTGGCGCAACTGCCACCAGAAGAGCAGCCCCCGGCGCAACCTGCCCCTTTCCCGCAAGGCACATTCATCAACATGACCGCAGACCTGGCTCCTAGTAATGATGGAGATACCGAGCGGGGCCGACTTAACACCGTCCTTCGAGCTCAGGGAGACGGTACTGCAGAGCTTCCACTAGCTTTGTCAGTATCGGCACCTATCGGGCTTGGTCTTCAGGGTTCATCCAAACCTCTCCCGGGCGGCTCTGGTCAGGCAATGCCAGAAGTACCTCGCGTGCCGGGCAAACCTGGTCGAACCAAGACGGTGACCAGGCGCGAAATCCAGCGAAAAGCTGAAGCCGCCATTGCCAAGCCACCGCCAATCAAGACACCCATTCTAAGCAAGCGTCCCAACATTGAAGTCGTCCTCCGAGACGATCAGGCCGACTCCTCGCCGATCAATCCGAAGGAAGGGGACGCGAAGGAACGAACCTATGACAGTCGGGCGAGCTCGCGCAGAGGCAGTATGCGCGACAGTGCCGACGGCGAGAATGATACGGGCAGTGAACTGAGCGATCTGGACGATCTGGACGATGAGAAGAAGCAACTCTTCTCGGAGCTGGAAAGGGCCAACGAGCGAGCCGAGGATGCTGATGGCGACGAAGGCGGGGATGATGGCGAGGATGATGGCGGGGATGATGGCGGAGACGAAGGTGCTGACGATGATGGCCAGAACGACTCCTTGGATGAACAGAATAACGACGACGAAGAAATGGAGGACCCCGAGGACGAGGCTGATGGTGAGGTTGATGGTGAGGGCGAGGGCGAGGGTGAAATGGAAATCCAAGACTCCCAGGAAAACCTGGCCGGGGATAGCCCCGAGGATGAGCAAGAGGAGTTCCACGAGGCGCGGGAGCAGAATGACTGAGCAGCATGATGGAAACTAAGCATACTGTCGATGTTTCTGCACATTCTCGTCCAACTAGAAGGACATCGAAGGATGGATCTGGATGAATGGGATGCTTGGCATGAGATCTAGGTTGGATTCCAACACTTTGGCGTTCGGAATATTGGATGGCATTAAAGCCCTTCATGTAACATTCCGATGTAATAACTGACCAGAATTCCGTCGCCGTCTTTGTTCGTATGTGCCCTTACTGTAGGTGCCCGGTGATGGCACGTGACGAGGCTGTTGGGCTGTGTCGTCACCTGATTTGGGTTTACTCCACGCTCATCCATCTCAAAAATCCCATGAGTCGACAACTTCTCCAAATCCAAGGCTGCGTAACACGCAGGGGCTTCACGAGGGTTTAATGCCTGTTCTGCGACACTGTCCTTTGCGAGGATTGTCGACAGGCAGGCTCGTGGCTTCTTATTCCCTCTGTTGCTCTCATCCTCTCCCTCCATTGCCGCCGTCAACGCCAGTCCGTACTCTAAGTGACTCCCCGCGCGTGAAGTTTCCACCACCCACCACACCCGTCGGCATGATCACGCCCGAGGAGCATAACTTAAATCAGACAACCGGCGCTCCATTGGAGGCAAATAACCAGGAGAATGACTACAGCTCCTATTCAACTGAAGACTTGATCTCGCGAATCACTCTCCTCGAGCGTCAACTGCAGGACTCGAGGAAAAGCCTCGCCGAACTAACAGCAAGGACTGCAAAAGGCGCCTCTCGCCGCTCCATATCACCAAGACCAATAACAGCCTCTCGTTCGAGTCCTCAGCCCCAGAGTCGCTCAACCTCTCCACGACGCCTGAAAGACTTCGACCCGAGCAAGTATTCTACACGGCATATCGCCTTGAAATTTGCCTATCTGGGCCAACGATACAACGGGTTCGAGCACGCGAACAACAATATCGTGCCCCGGCCGACCATAGAGGAGACTCTGTGGAAAGCTTTGCGCAAGACACGGTTGATCAGTCCCTTATTAGAGCCCGCGGCGGGTGGAGTGCGAGTTGATCAGAGCTACAATGTCATATGGGGCACCGAAGAAAGACTGAGGAGGTACACTGATGGAAAGGGTACGCCGGGGGACCAAGGTGGGAAGGTCAAGCTAGATGTCAACTGGGATGGGTGTCAATACTCTAAATGCGGCCGGACGGACCGTGGGGTGAGTGCGTTTGGGCAGGTCATTGGGATTCGTGTGAGAAGCAATCGGCCCCTGGAAGCATATCCAAACCATGACTCGAATGGAATCGATGGGCAGGATGTTGAGCATTCACAAGAAGAATATTCGAGCTCCCCTCCAGACGGCAACATGCTCTCCATCCCCGCCGATGATACCGATGCCCATGAACTCACTAAACCCTTCGATCCAGTCGCCGATGAACTCTCCTATGCCAACATCCTCAACTCGGTCTTGCCCCCTGACATTCGAATCTTGGCCTGGTGTCCCGATCCTCCACCTACCTTTGACGCCCGATTTTCGTGCCGCGAGCGTCGATATAAATACTTTTTCACCAATCCCGGCTTCTGCCCAACACCGGGCCCTAATGGACTGACTACGCACGACGGCATACCCACAAATCTGCGAGAAGGATGGCTTGATATCGACAAGATGAGAGAAGCTGCCAAAAAGCTGGAAGGCCTGCACGACTTTCGAAATTTATGTAAAATCGATCCCACTAAACAGATGCCGAACTGCCAGCGGCGGGTGACCTTTGCTGATGTGGTGGAATTTGAGAGTTTCGGCAAGGATTTCTCCCGTCTCCAGGATCTGAATCAGACCGGGTACCAAGGCCTGGTGCCATCGGTCCTGGGGACTGCTGCGGGCGACCTACTTTCTGAGCCAGGCCCAAAAGTCTATACGTTCTGCGTCCACGGCACCGCTTTTCTCTGGCACCAAGTCCGCTGCATGGCCGCAATTCTCTTCCTTGTCGGCCAAGGTCTCGAGGAGCCATCTATCGTCGATCAGCTATTGGATGTGGAAAACAACCCGCGCAGACCGGCGTACGAGATGGCTGACGATTCACCGCTGGTCCTCTGGGACTGCATCTTCCCCAAGGATGACGAGGTCATGCAAGACGGCATCGACTGGATCTACACGGGCGACGAGCGTACACTGCCCGCGCTGACGGGTAGGAACGACGGCAGATGCGGCGCAACGGGCGTCATCGACGAGCTCTGGCAACAGTGGCGGGAGGCCAAGATGAAAGAGGTTCTCGCCGGCAGCCTACTCGATCTGGCGATTGGACAGGGTGATGGGACTTCGTTCAAGAGGAGTGGACAGAGGGGGCCCCTGCCGAAGGGCCATACTCGCTCGACGAAGGTCTTCAATGGCGGTGACGGCGCGAGGCTTGTTGGGAAATATGTCCCCGTTATGCGAAAGCCGTTGCTGGATAGTCTCGAGGCGCAGAATCAGAAGTGGGCGAAGACGAAAGGGTGGAAAAAAGATGTCAGGAAAGCGCTGGTGGGACACAACCAGGCTCCAGTAGCGGGGAGTGATTGATGTTCCTTTCTCTCCACAAAGGAAAATATATTTATATGCATATATGATGATTGAATTCCAGCAAAGCTGTGATAAACCTCCCTGAATATGATGCCGTTGTCTTGTGAGTTCAATCGTACTGGTGATCAACTGGAAACAAGACCCAAAAATCTACTGCACTAATCGTAATCGTCTCCAAGTCCCAAATAAAAATATTGCGTGCCGAGGGAGCCCACTACACCACGAAGTCGAAGCCTCAACCTCACTCTCGAAACCACATATGTACAAACGAGAGTCACCGCAGCGCAGGAGCATATACGTTGTCGAACGTGAGCCGGATCCTGCGAAAGTATCCTAAATACTAATATGACCGCTCCTATCGATTAGTACGCGCTAGGTAATTTTTAGCGCTGGTACTATTTTATACAGGCTACATTTTGCTTCTTCCTCAAAGTACTCTTGATACTTTAACCAAGTCCTCTCACGATAGGGAGTCCCCATTTATCAGAAGGATTCAAGAGCATATCTACGTCCTCTTGCTAAATAGAGTGCTGCATGAGACTGGCAACATGCCCATTACGCGACACCTGGAGGTGCTACCAGCTGCTGAACTTCGATCATGTTCCCGTCTGGATCCTCAACGGTCAACAGCTGTGCAAATCCTACCAGTTCTTGTCCCTTAATCAGCAAGTCGCGCTCTGTTTGATTTTTGGTTGCATATTCGCCAGCACCAAGCGCATTCTCGACAGACGCAATCCCTTCGGCGCTCTGTCCGATGCGCTTAGAGATCTTCACTCCAAATTTTTCCATTCTCTCCTGAGCCTTCTCGAGGCTGGGCACAATAAGACCGATGTGACTGAAGGTATTTGGGCGCTGCGTAGTAGCTGTAAGGTTCTTGTCTTCGGAATTTGCAAAGTACTGAAACTCTAGAAGCCCTGCAGCATTATTTTTCTCTCGTAACAGTTCCTCGCCGGTTTGGTAGCCTGTGCCATTCTTCCCTCCATGGGCGTGGCCCATGTAGGTGACACTGTACGAGGGCGTTAATTGGGCTGTGAAAAGATGGCGCATTCCGAGAACATTGCCGTAAAACTCCATGCTAGCCGTAAGGTTGTGCACAATGAGAGAGAGATGGTTGAGATTGTAGCCAAGAGTCTCCTGGTCGGCAGGGCCATCTTTGCCAACTGTCAAAAAATCGGTGCTATCTTGACGGGGCTCGAGGGCACAAGCATAAGCACCTTGGATGCCCAGCAGGAGGCAACAAGTCAGGAAGCGAACGGCTACCATGGCAGCGACACAATGCGGTAAGGTGTCTTGATTCTTGAATTCTCAAGGGAAAAGGAATATGACTATGGGCTATTTGGAGGCTGGGCATCTGGACGGCCGATATGTGCCATTTTTATAGCTGATTCTGTGGCTTGAGCCTCATAATCGATGTCATCAAGCGGTGGAGCTTGATCCTGATCTTCGATTGAACTACCAGAAGCATACAGCTCGACCACCGCGACCAAGCATTGTATTCCTGATAAAGCTGGTAGGCTGAACAATCGACGTGGAGCTAACCAAATGAAGTTCTATATAGCGCTCTCCGCTGCCCCAGTAGCTTCGGAGATGATTCTCGATCGGGAGTCATTCCCTTCAATCACTACAGAATATGCCTGATGAGCGCAGTTAAGAGCCGCAATTGATGTCCACACCTGATAGCAACACATAACAGCCGCACCCAATAGCCGCACTTGGTAATATCCGCAGCTTATATCCGCATCGGTCTGGGAATGCACTCCTACTAACGATAAATGAGCGGGAAACGCGAACTTAGGGATTCCGAGAATGCCAAACAACAAAACTTGGGAACCTCGCGGGCCAAGTTGTGGGCCACTGTATGCATAGGACCTCGCTACTTTGCTCACCGTGCTCAATAACGCGTCAAGACTGGTCATGCCGAGCTCCGGACTGTACACACGATATTTAGCCGATTTCTGATATTTTATTTTAACCCTTAACGGACCACTGATCTTCGCCTTTTACGCGCTTTTCACCCGTTTCTAATAGCTCCTTGTACGTCTATGCAGATTGCCGACGGAGGAATCTTGATTTCAACCGATGGATTGTCGACGCCTAGGGCTACGACAGGGTGAGGCACGCTGACGAGGGACGGGCCTGGAGACTAGAGCTATATAGTTGCGAATTGTAGAGGGGAGCTGGCTCCTTGGTTTCCTCGGCCGATGAAGGGGCCACCTGTGGTCATGGAAAAATCGAGTTATAGTATTGAGGTCTTCTTCCCGCATTTTATTCTCCGGATCGGTTGGGTATGATGCCATCGATGAGACCTTACAACGCTGGTGGTTTGATATGTATATTCCTGATGCATAATTAAAATGGCTTAAGCAAAAGTCCCACATTCCGGCAGCAGTCTGCATGGGGAAAATGGATAGCAACGAGCTCTGCGGAGTCCCATGCATTGTACTCCCAAGGTTACAGATTCTCAGCTCTGTGCTTGGATTCGAATAACGGCACGGCTTCTACAACAACGCAATGATGATGACGTCCTGAAGAAAAGGCAGGACCCTGAAGTCAGCTCGGGCTCTGATCTTGCCATGGAAAACAGGATGAATGAAGCGTGGGTTTCCTGGTATTCTCAATGCATTGCATGAATAGTTGTATGGGATGAGATAGGTCTAGTCCAAGGAGATTCGGGCAGATGCAACCTGGATGGGCGGTTGAGCGTTCTTTTGGCCTGGCAAACCGAATAACTCAACAGCACATACACTGGCTGCCGGATTTGGGACTCTGATGATCCCTACATGTGTGTAGAAGTTTGTTATCCTTGGTTTTTCCTTCTCAATCGCACGACGCAGGATCTCGCTCAATTGGGTGGTTGTTAGTTGGACCGGTTGCCAACTTGTTGTGCAGTACGTATCGTGCGATATGTGCCCTCCACGTAATGAGACAGATGTCTCTCTCGTTCCACAACCTTAAACCAACTGGTAATATCGAGGTGCACTGGCCATAGGCTTCGCTGGCGAAGAAATCAATAGTTGCAGAAGGCGTTGCCATGGTAAGCTATCGGACGTGCTCAACGCTTGTGCTTCGGGCAAGATCTAGCGCTGGTCAGTTGAGTTAACCATGGCTTCGCGGAGCGCTTGGAACGAAGAGATATCGTCCCGTAATGTGACTCTGCAACTCGGACAGTACGAGTACAATATGTGGTCGCTCTGGACAAGTTCAGCTAGCATTGCAGGGCGCAAGTCTCACGATACCAGCGGTTCATAACATGATGCCATGCTGAGCGCTTCGGTGCGGACTACCCAGCGCTGTACTCCGCCCGCCAGACAACGATCATGCACACTGGCGGCTTGAGGAGGTGAGAGGTCGTCCCTTCGTGCAAACGGTCGTCCAACCGGCAAATGCGACGCAAGGCATTCCTGCAGAGCGCCTTTCTCGCCTGAGCAATCATCATGCATGCAGGATACCCGCATATTGATGAAACTTCCAGATCTGAAACACACGATCTGAGGAACTACCCCCTTTTTTTCGCCATGCGTGCGTAGGGCTCTCGGGCGGCAAGGGCGGTTGTCAGCAGCGGTCAACCAGCAGACTCGTGCATTCAAGCCAACCCTGACAGGGAGGAGGGCGGCCTCAGGCTTTGCATCCACAGCCAAGAAGAGGGGCAAAAACCTCGACACCTCTGCATTCAAAGTCCAGCCAGTCAGGGTTCATAGAAGCATTCCAATTGTGAATTCGCCCCCAGACAAGATGCGAGGTATTCTGATCCCCCATATGAAAGTTCCAGCCTGAAACGTGATGGCATCACCGCATGTTCGCGAACTGGGAAATTGACGTGGCCAGAACCCGTACACTCCGTACATTCGGTTTTGAATTGGTCATTTTGGCAATTTGGTCGGGGGTTGCAGTATTGGCCAGCGGAGTTGCAGTTCGCTCCGTTTGGCGAAGAGTTCGAGGGAATGAGAGGTAGGGGTTGCTGACTGTGGTCAGAACCTAGTTGGAAGAGTCACGGGGGCCTCAGGCCCCGAGGCCGTCTCTCAGCATCGAACTCCTAAGGGACGGACCTAGGGTGCGATGCGAGAGTGCGAGAGGCCCAAGCTCAACCCGCGCAATTCCACCTGTCAAGGCCGTCGCAACTCCGTCGGGGTCTAGTTTTTGGAGGTTCTCCCCATGAAGAGGACGCAGCTATTCCTTCTCGCCCCCTATTTCGGAGCCAGCAAGCGAGGAAAGCTAATTAACCTGACTGGTAACGCCGATGGGGCCCCTTGCAAGCTTGACCTTGCAGATGTGGTGGGGGAAGCTGATCGGCAGGCACCAGGTACCGATCAGAATTACGAGGAATATCGTGCTCGGTACGAGATGTACACTTCTGTAACTGGTTATGAACTCTAGGTGACTGGCGCTTCTCCTTACAAAAGCTGTTTCATCAGTCATCACTAGCAGTACCTGGATAGAATGGCGGCAGAAGAAACACATGGTATGAAGGTTATTACTACGTCTGCTGGTGGGTTTTGTCTTTTTCGGTCATGCTGATGTTATTTCAGGCGTCTTGCTGCTTAGGCTCACGGTCATGAGGTCGAGTTACCGAGTGCTACGTATTGTGGCCTGTTCAGAGTATTTCCAGTCGCATTTGCGTACATGATTTGGTGCGCAGATTGTACGGTGTACACTGCACGTTACTGCCATGATATGTATATGCAAGAATCAAAACTTTGATCAACGAGGTTCTGGCATTACTGTAGCATACGAAACAAAACCGAACAGCTGCCATTCCGTGTAATACTTCGCTGCACTTGCTGTCCTGGCCCGTCAAGAGGCTGCACGTGGGGAACTTGGACTTCTCTTCCAAACATTACAAGCACATCAATGACAAAAATGGATGGGTGCTCAAGTAGAAGTGGCATAATTACTGTCTTGAAATGTCAGGCCACTCAAGGATGAGATCTTGATGGACGTTCTGAAGACGGATTCGCTGGAAATGAAGATGGCCATGCACCTGCTACCGTATGCCCGCGTATAAACACTTGCGAGCGCCTCTCCACACTTCTTCAAGTATATCTCGTCGTGGAAGGACTGTCTAGGACTCGTCAGAAAAAGAAGCTAGCGTGTGTGGAAGAGGGCAGCACAAACTGGGAAGACAACGACAACCTCAGTGGCGTTTTCCACAATAACGGCCAGGTAGAACCTCACCTCCAGCCCTATGAAGGCCTCATGGATCACGATATCCTGAACTTGACTTGTTGGAATAAACGTCGTCGTCGGCGGCAGAAAAAAGTAAGGTGAGCTGGTCGATGTCTGAATTCCTAGCCCTTGCAGCACCAGCAGAGATTCCTTGGTATGGTCTCTTTTCAAACACGCGTAGAGGATGACAAGGCTGAGTGGTCCCAATACCCACCATTCGGCGCTTTCAGCAAGAATCCTGATGACCGGACCAATCAACGTCAATTTCACAAGGAAATTTGCGTAACGCTCAGCCGCAGATCCCGGTGAGATCAGACTCTGTGCCTTGGCCACGTTGACTAGCAACGCATAGAGAACGAGCAAAAAGCGACTGCCGTAGCGTACAGCTGTCAGTAGCTTTTGTTTCGAGTTGGACCTCTGACGGGTCTCAACGGTGAAGGAAACGGTTGTGGGAGAGGGACAGTAGATCTCAAGATACTGTGTTGATCCAGAGAACATGCTTGTGGGAGCACAATCTGGAACTCGGTACCCGCCCAAGTGGATGACCGCGTGGCGGAGGAGAGTGTAGCGAAAGGCTGGCTGGCTGACCGACCGCACGCGTGTTGGGAAGATCCTTGGGAAATAATGTTGTGCTTTGCCACTCGGAAACCGGAAACCATTAAACCTTCACGCGTGAAACAATTGAAGACCTAAAAAGCGCTTGCTAGGATGGAAGGGGCCTACTGGGCAGGATCTGGGTCATGTCATTCCTGCTGGCGGCTTACTTGGCAGGGAAGTTGTTGAGAGACCATCGATCAGCACACGCCAGAGGGGAGGCCGGAGATCTAATCCTGGGAGAGTCTTGATCATGGACCGACCCTGGGTGCCTGTCGACAAGATTTGAGGCGGTGGTTTCCTATTCCGACGGACAGAGTATTTGTTGTGATTTGAGGCCCGAGGGAGTCCGTAATGGAAAAGTGGTTTGTTTGTGTGTCTGTGGTGTAAATTATGGCCCCAGCCTGATGATTCCCGAGTCACCGACGTGTGATTCCGGAACGGGATGAATGATTTTCCGGGCGGGTCAACTTGGCATTGGTGGCACGTGAGCCACAGATGCTCGCAAACTTCATCTCATTCTTCTTTGTTGGATCCCAGCTGACTGCGGCCACTATTATTGCTCGTACGGTCCTCGTTTGCTCCCCAAGCAATCCATCAAGGACGGGGATTCACCGTCGTCATCCTCCAGCTAAACACAGAAGCAGCGTCCCTTCGTTTCTGGCATAGCATTCCGCTTTAAGTGGCCTAATTCAATCCATTAGCCCATTTGAATTCCACCGGTAATTACGGTTGGGTTCTTGGGGAGGAGGTCCAAGACGCACTCTGCCGTCATCTCCACACCACAGAAAGACATTGTGCCCAGACTGGCGACCCTGCCCCCTGCGTCAAAGCTGTCCGTTGGCCCATCTGTGTTGGTCTTAGGGCCGTGGCCCATGTCCGGTTGTCTCCACTTTTAAGAACAATGTGGCTGCGGGCTGATCAATGGTGCCTGTGATCCTACGCCTCGTCAATCTGTCGGCCGGCCAAGCACCCACCAGAAAGGGGCTTTGTTGTTTCACACCAGGCTGAACGGGGAAATCTGGGCCCCAGATCCATGAAAGGTGACAATGCATTTTCCACCGGGGTAGCTGTTGCTTTCACTATAACTGTGCCTGACGCCTCGTCAATCTTTGTGGCATGTTCTCTCTCTTTTAAAGGTCTGTGACTTTCGTTTCCCTCTTTCGACGCCTGTCTCCCCACGTTCATTTCATCCCAGGAGGATACATACACTCATTCAGTGACCACTTGATCAAGTTCACTACAATCGTCGACAAGCGTCTCGAAACATACACTCTTTTAGCACTTCGAAGCTCACCAGAGAAATACTTCTATGAAAATGTACGCCCTTAAGACTCTTTCCGTCTTGGCCATTGCCGCCACCACTGTTTTCGCCGCTCCCACCCCGGCTGAGAATGGTGCCCTTGAAGCCCGCCAATGGCGTGGTGGTAATCGATATTGGAACCGCCCTGACTCCAACGCTGAGGTCACCACCTACGCCTATGGAGGCGATTCCCCTGCCGAGACCCCTGCTCCAGCGGCTCCCCAGACGTGGGGAGCTCCATCCTCCGCCCCAGCTACTCCAGCTCCTTCCGCTCCAGCAACTCCCGGCGGTGGTGGCGACTGGCTCGATATCGCCAACAAGTGGCGTGTCGCCGGAGGCAAGCCTGCCTTCACCGAGAGCTCCACCTTGGTCGCAAATGCCCAGAAGACTGCCGACGACTCTGTTGGTGGCCTGCAACATCAGCTAAACCCTGGCACAATGGCTCAGGTCTTGGCACCCGGTGACGCCTCCGACTTTGAGACCGTATATCTCGGCGGATGGCTCTGCGAACTGCCAAACTCCCCCGGATTGGACGGCATTTGCGCTTCCGCTTCTAACGGTTGGAACCATGAGGGACAGACCGGGCATGCCGAGATCCTGACTGGAGACTACAAGAGTATTGGCTGCGCTTTCAGTAGCGGCACTGGGGTTTGGAGCTGCGACTTGGCATGAGGCAAAGACGATTCTTTGCGAAACTGCGAAAGTGAGGCGAGTTGACTTCATCAGTAGGGCAGCAGCTAGGGGAGTGGGAGTAATAGGGCTCAGTTAGGAAATTAACGAAATTTCGATTCATGTACTCTAGAGACTAGAGTATCTTTTTTCAAGTTCTACATTGACGTCGCTATTGAATGAGTCGTCGTATAGTACGTAGTATCTTCAGCTGATGATGATCGCCGTCTCTTGTAACTTGCAAGACCTGTACGGAGTATTTACGGTTTTCTATGACACTGATCAACCAGCCTCGATGTAACCCACACCAGACTGGGAGGAAGGGAAAAACAATCGCCATGTGGCTAGTATATAATTAACCATGCAAGTGTGGCTCCCAGTACTTAGTGTCCAGGCCCGCTCTTTCTCTCTGTGTCGGAGACTGCGCACCCAACGGGAATCCGGTTCATCCCTTGTAATCCAATCCCACCCTCTTCCACGTTTGCCGTTACCCATCACGAGTCGATTTCTTTCCCTTTAATGCGCATCCGTTCATTCCACCATGATTCTCTGAGAAGTTTCATTTAAAGGTCGGATTGTCCGTGTCGCTCCCAGTTCTCCAGATTTTGTGAGAGCTGTTCCTTATTCGCAAGCGTCGCCGATTCGATGCATTGTTCTGTCTTGTCCTGATCACCACCTGAGTTTGATCTTATCGGCCGGCGTCTTTGTCATTCTAGAGCCTATCCTTCGAACTCAAGGCGATGACTAACCAAGCGCAAGAAACATATGGCTCAAAGAGCACAGGCACTGCTAAATTATGACCTCACGGAATTATACCCGGAGGTCGCTCTCTTCCACAAATTAGACTAGTCACCCACTAATCATAAAGCCTTCTGATGACAAAGCCTCAAAAAGAAGAAACTGTCTTTGATCTCATACTGGGCGCCCTTCGATAAGAGATATTCATTGCCGACGTCAAACCGAGTATAGACTGTCATTATGTAAGTGGCCGCCAGAATCCCAGGAGAAATGTTCCATTCCTGAAAGCTCTTTATTCCAGACTGTTTGGAATAGGCAGTCTTCCACGCTTGAAGCTGGGTCCTCAGATAGAGAGGAAAGTCTTTCTGGAAGCCCACACATACACTAGCAGAGAGGCAAAAGCTGACGGTATTGTGGATATTGTCGCAGATCCTAGCGGGATGATGCTAGAGACAATTAAGCTTGCGGAGACGTGGAAGACGAAGGCCAAAGTGGGAGCGTACGGCATGTTGCACGACGAGATGCACGTAGAAACTATGCGCAAAATGGCTTTGTGCATTGCAAGGATACAGTATGGAAGCCAATTGTGTAAGTTATAGTGATCTACCTGCCTGGACGAACGGGGAGCCATGTTCCCTAAATCCCATGGTCAACGATGGATATAACTACGCTTGTCCTGGGGTCACAATTACCTCTTGTTCTAGCGGGTCAGCTCGTTGCTCGAACCCACCCCTGGCCCACCTAGATAGTCGTTGGCCATTAAAGCGAGTTTGGGTGCGCAACGTGCAGCCCCGATCACCTGGTGGTCCTCGCGCTATGTATATGTGTGGCATTCCTTTTTCTATGTCCTGATTTCCACGCACTGCGGTTCCGTATACTCGTACCGCGACATCCATGTGACAACCGCTTTCTGCGGTATGCTTAGTTGAGTATCCGTCCACCCACAGCATATGTAGAGTTGTTTTCAATAGACAGCCTCGTCTACGGATGAGAAGATTCCCATATTTCCAGCTGGCCACAAGAGAGCGATGACCTAAACAAAAGTGACCTATAAGGTCTGTCATGTCTGCCACATTGTCCCTAGAACTTGAGACTGCTGCCACAGACCTCGTAAGGTCTAGGCCAAGCCAAACTTTACATTGGAGGTAGCTAGCTGTTCCGGCAAAGAGGCTGGCTCCGCACACGTATGAGATGACATGAACTTATTTATGCATGCATTGCACCAACGCAGAACGGCTCGGTGCCCTGGATTCAAGTGATATCCTACACCGAGTGGAAAGGGTGGAGGTGCTGGCCCAACCCTCCGGAAGCTCAAGTCAACCGGTTGATTTTGGTGAAGTAGACTTTGAAATGCCGAGAAATAGGGGTGCCGCCTGTATCTTCTCCATAACCCTCAATTCCTGGTTTACCTTGCCCCTTCATCTTCACCAATCGGCTCGTCCGGACGGTCCAGACGTCAGGGACTGCTGGTGCAGGCACCGTATGTACCCTGTCCCCTCTTTGCTAATGTCTTCCTTCAGTAGAATTGAGTAAGAGAGATCCTGACGCTAGGAGGTTGGCTTTCGGAGAGACAGTATTAATTAATGACTCGGCTATGCTCTCGATGGAAACCCCTCGGCACAGCAACGCTGGGTAAGGTTGGATGATCACTTGAGCGCTAGACTTTATGGGAGTTGAAGCCAGGGTCTGAGGGTGGAGGTTCGTACCTCACGTTCCTGTGTAGGACGCAACTCCGTGACATCCCGTCTTTTCCACAAAAACCATTCATCTCCTCTATCAGGTGTTTCAACTTGCCCTTCACTACTTTCCTTCTCTTGCGAAAATCCGGATTGCTTTCGGTGCAATGGCCGGTTACGAAGAGATACCTTCAGCTTCCACGCCGAAGCTCGAAAAGTTCCGCCTGTCAATTCCCGAGCAAGACCTAAAGGACTTCAAGGGTTTACTTAGAATTTACAAGTTGGCTCCGAAGACGAATGAGAACCTCCATCCCGAAAACAGCAATTCCAGTGTCAGTCATGCGCGGATGACGGCCACAAAGGATGATTTGCTGAATGAGTATGACTGGGATGCTCCGACGTTCCTTTAATCTTGATACGCAAGCCAAAATTTCTTGGGATCATCTAGATAATCGTTTCATTAGATCTAACAAGGAAACCTTCTCATAGGCGCTCTACGGAAATATACAACGGCTCATTCCCTAATTTTACTGCTGAAGTACCAGACACCAACACCGAGAGGTTCAATATTCATTTTGTTGCGCTGTTCTCGAAGAAGCAAAATGCCGTTCCAATCTTATATATCCATGGCTGGCCTGGTAGTCATCTCGAATATTTAACAATTCTTGAGCTATACGGAAGAATTTACGCCAGAAGAACTCCCATATCATGTCGTTGCAGTCTCTCTACCAGGGTGGACGCTTAACTCGGGGCCGCCTTTAGAGAAAAATTTCAACATGAGGATATCGCGCGTACTATGTACAGGTTGATGATCGATCTAGGCTTTTGGAAGTGGTTACGTCTGTCAAGGCGGCGACTTAGGTTCTCTTGTCTCTAAAATCATGGCAGGAAAATATGAGGAATGCAAAGGTGAGATTTGCTAAACCTTTACTTTCTATATGCCTTGTAAAGCTAAATCAACCGACCGTGAATTAGCCGTTCTCGTAAGTACCGTACCTTACGACCCGGTTCAGTTTCGAAATCTTGATAACTAATACAGCCGAGCTAGACAGTTTTATCTCTGTACCGCAATAATTCAGGGATGAGAGTAAACTCAGCGCAACGGAGAACCGGGCCTGGAAGTTTCGAGCCCTACAATTTAGTTCAACGGGGAGCGCATACACTCTTATGCACAGCACACGCCCCCCGACGATCGGCTTCGTGATAGCATCTACTCCACTCGCGCAACTTGCCTGGTAGCTCACTCCAATGTCAATTAGGGCCTTGAGAATAGCTGACACTGGACAGGATTAGGGAGAAGTTCCTCGAATGGACGGATGAAACGCCTCCGCTAAGAGATATCCTCGACTCGATTAAGTTGTATTAGTTCACTGAGACTTTCCCACAGAACATTTACTGTTATCGAGAGATCAATTCCATTGTGTCGCCGCTCTTGATTGACTTGCGGAATGGATGCTGACCTCTTTTCTCAAAGTTTGCTATTGATCCTGATCGGCTGCCTCACAGAGACTCAAATTACACCAACAGCAAGCCGATAGCATACTCCTGGTTTCCCAAGGAGGTGCTCCCAGCGCCCAAAGCGTGGGCTGAGGGCTTGAGGCACAAGGTCTTAATATCGTGAGCACCATATCGTAAGTTACTCCTACTCCACGCCTAACGGAGCACATGTGATGAGTTTTGGCCCACTGAGGTTAACTCGCATCTAGGGAGACCACAAGAGATGTTCGAGGATACGGAAGAATTCCTACAGAAGATCGGCTGGCCCATTCTGTGAGAACTTTGTGGGCATGAAGCACTGCGCAGGCTCTTAGGAGAGTTGATCGAGTGTTGAGACCTCTCACGTTCCTGTTTCGCTCTAGACTTGCCGTTTTCATCTTTTTGCAGAATCAGGAGGGCTGTCAGGTGGAAACCTAGATAAAATCATACCCGGGCTGCGATGTTGGATATATTATCAACTATAGTTGTCTATTTCCGCCCTCTCGCTGCTCTCGTAGAGCCTCTTCAATCACCTCATGGCAGAAGCGGGCCGAATCAGAGATAATTCGAGGTTCCAGTAGTCGCCGTTGACAGACACTACTACTGTCTTGCCTAGCTTGTGCCCGACGAGGAGGCAAGCTGCCATTCCATGCACAATGGCCTGTGCCGCCTGGACAGTGGTTGTGATAGACTTGCATTGATTCGGCAACTTGATACAGAAGCCGATCATCACGTTGTCAGATCGACAATATCGTGGTGGTTCACGTGAGTTTGCCGCTTCGACCTCTTGACGACTTCCTCGACGGATGTTCTGCGTCTATCTGAGGCGGTCCTGGAGTTGTGGCAGCCGGTACTTGGCATTAGCAGGAGGTGAAGTTGGTGCCGTATCAGCTGAGGAGCTTGATTGACCTCGACCGCCTCTGGGACACGTCAGATTTGCGCTCGAATTCATGGCAATACTGCCTACATCGACGGGATCGGAGCATATGTGCGGCCTCGAAGATGAAGCCGCTACGGTCGTCGTCTGGTATGTAATTGCAGCCTTTCATACGATTTTCAGGGCCAATACCGTCATATCTCGCTGAGCGTTTGTAGGGAGGATGGTTGTGCCTTTACATCTGCGGACTTCCGAGAAGGTGGAGCCCGGGGCCAACACGAATTTTCCGGATCTGTTTCGAGCGGACAAAGCTAAGACTGGTTCCCAAGTACATCTCAAAATGGTGCCTTACACCGAAGCTATTTCCCAGATTTGCCAGTGCTAGGAGATTTCCAAGGGACCGTGATACATACGTCTCTGTACCCTGATGGGATCGATCTGACTGGTAAATGGGTTGCTGTTATCGGGGCTGGTGCCACCGGTGTGGAGATCGTACAGGAGTTGTCAAAGAAGGCAGACGAGCTGTTCGTTGGGATACGGAACCTACTGTATTGCCTTCCGATGGGCCAGAAAAGACCCTACTAAAGAGGAAAGAGTTGAAGCCAAGAAAGGCTGGCTGAATTACTAACGTAAGCACGCGATACTTTGATAGGATATTCTCACGTTCCACTTTCTGCAAAGATTTCCGACCACAACCTTGAACAACGTGAAGCTCACTGGGAAAGCATATGATTTCAAGGGGATTTTCCCTTTCTACAAGCGAACTGCAGTGACATGCTCACGGACTTGAAGTCAAATCGGGCAGTATACGAGTTTTGGGCTCAAAAGGTTCGTAGTCGTGTCTCCGATCCCGCAAAAAGGGAAATCGTTGCACCCCCGGAGCCACTTTACCCGTTCGGGACGAGGAGGACACCCCTCGAGCAAGACTGCTATGAGTGTGTAGATCAGCCTAACGAGGAGCTTATCGATCTACGGAAGACACCGGTCGAGTTCGTGAACAAGACCGGAATTGTCACTTCAGACGGAACGCAAAGAGACCTCGATGCCATCGTCATGTCCACGGGATTTGACAGCTTCACTAACTCGTACGTTATCTCTCCATGGTTCATGTGCTTTTCTTTACCGACGCCGCTTGCTAAAATCAGCGTAGCTAACCTGTGACTGTTAGATTAAAAGCTATGAATATAATGAAAAGCGATGGTCCAAAACTTTCGCGTCGCTGGGAAGAATGCTACAAGACTTATCTGGGCGTGTTCGCCCATTGACTACCAAATGCATTCATTCTCTACTCACCTCAAGGTACGTACATCCATATTGACCAACTCGTCCCATCTCCCCGCAAAGAATGGGTATTTGTTCTCCCCTAACCACTTCTCTTTCTCTATATTCCTGATAGAAGGCCGCTGACAACATGGAATCCAGCCCCCCGTCGCGTTCGCAAAAGGTCTCACAATGATCGAATGCCAAATCGATATAGCTGTCGATACGATAAAGCGTGTGGAGCATATCAATGCTCGGTCTCTCGAGACCACCGAGGACGATGAACAGGAATGGGGAAACACCTTTGACGTTATGGCTGGCTCAACTTTACTGCCACTCGCTGGCGACAGGTGGACGGGTGCGAATGTCCGTGGGAAGAAACCGCAAAACTCCAATTTTGTTGGTGACTCGGTGGGCTAGACACATACAAAAGCATGTGCAAAAAGGCGCTTGCAAGTTGGAAAGGTTTCGATATCCTGAAGACCTGAAACCATCGCATATAAATAGGATCGTAGTCATGTTGGGTGGCGTACATTATTCTCAATCTTCGAAGACCACTGACTGGATCGTCTTGGGGGATCCAGCAACATGAGGATCGCGTTACATGGGGGCAATTGAGTTACTATCAGAGCTTTTCTCGAGAAAGATCGTCGTGGGTGGGCCCCTGTTTGATAGCCAGTGTATCACGTTGGCGGTAACACCAAACTACAAGATCGCTATGTGCGGCATATTATTCAAGAACAGGAAAGAGCTCGCTCCACCGGACTCACCAACGAATCCATCCTGAATCCATTATTTTAAAAGCACCATTTTAGATCCATCTTTGCAACAACTCTCCTGTGGTCAACAAACAGTCAACCGCAAACAGACACGGAATGCTGCGATTCTGTCGAACTTCACAGAACAAATCTTGCTGTCGGCAGGATTTTCATGCAAGCCTTAACAGCGTGTTCAATCAATCATGCAAGAGGAGCAGTCGAAGCTTTCCTGCAGTTGATTTCAAACAAATTTAGCTTAACAAAACGGCCGATAATTGGCTGTCCCACGAACACTGAGATCCGCTATGTACGAGTACTACGTGTGTAAAAGACCATTGTTACTGGATATTACCATTCTTCTGCTATCAGCAGATTCTCAATTGTCGCAGAATCGCCTCAAGATCCGACAGGGCACACCGGCTCGCGAACAGTGTTATTACGATATTGGTAATGAGAAAGGATGGATGTAGCCGCCTGGCGCATTGAACACGCTAGATAATGGAAGTGGAAAATAGACTCAATTTCAATGAAGCGACCTGTCAATTCTATACGAGTTATATGGGTGTATATATTGGCGTTGCTTAATCCAGCCGTTACCCTCATAAGCTACATGAGCTCGAAAGTTTCGCGAATATCAGTAATAGAGCTTCACTGTATTTTGTAACCAGATATTCAGGCTTCATCTAATAATGGTTTATTGTCGGCCATAATAACATGAACTTGCTTATCCGAACTTACCTATAAGCTCGTCTGCAGTTCGTCACAAGACACCCTAACAGGTGCGAAAAGTCGTCTAATGTCCGCAAGGGAAATATCTTCATTTATGAGGAGGAAAAGTGGGGCATAAAATGCTATACGAGGAGGGTACTTTAGATGCCGAGCTGGGTCTAAGGTTATTTCTTAATCTATGTGTAGCTATTCCTTAATGAATTTACCGAAATCGACCGAGTTGGGGGGCAGGGGCCTATTGCTAGTGTAAGCTAAATTACAGAGCTAGGATAAACGACCTTAACTCCCCTCTGGCAGAGTCTTTTTACATTAAGCTCGAGAGTGAAGGTTATTAGGGTCAGTGACTCTGGCCGACCGAGCGCTACTTGGGATGTGCCATCATATTCCGTTGCCATGATTTTTTTTTGGTGCTGGTCAAGGATCCATTCCTTATATCGACGTTTTGTCGAGCAATATCGCACAACTCTTCGATACTGTATAGAGATTCGGGTAATGTGATCAAGGTGAAAAGAACTGCACAGCGTAGGTAGTGGGCCTCAAGAAAAATCTGTAGCTCGCCGAACTCTGCTGGCCCTTGCTTGCAGATCGGAGTTTTATTACTACACTTACGATCAGCCATACGTCCGACAACACCTGGGCGCCAGGGGTCAATGCCGACACCTTGGACTTTCGATACTAATATGCCTCGGCCAAATGACGGTCTCTGGCGCTCGGACCGATCAAGCGCACGACTCATAGAACCTCAATAAGGACCCCTCAACCAAAGACTTGGGGCTACAGTGTTAAGAGACGTTCCGGTGGTGGCTGGTGGATCCGTTTCACTAATGCTGAAAGACGGCCTGACTTGGGGTTGACTACGGCATATTTTCAGAGCAAGGCCAGACACTCAGCCCAATAATTGACATCTCGGTGTGGTGAAATTGCCAAACGGGATGAAATGCTCATAGTAGGCATTCGACGAGCAGATCATTTGCTTGGCCGGTGGTGTCGTCCAGCAAGCTCTCTGCTTGGTCTCCATTTTTCAGGTAAGGAGCAGCCAGTCTCGGAAACTTTGGTTTTTACTGTAGTTGCATATGAGTTTGTTTGCGTCGTATGGTACTCGCGCTCCCTCCTGGGACAGGCCGAACGAGCTGGATCGCGTTGATCTTCAGTTGACCATCTGGTAGATGCTGCTGAAACTGTACGCCTTGCCGTCGTACAGTGCCGGACTTAGGGCTACATATGGCATTCCGGAATTGGTCTTGCTCGGAACGGAATCAGCATGCTGGACGGCTAGCGGTGGAAAAAGGGAATGATTTACTTATCGAAATCCGCTCGTGCGTGTTGGCCAACTGAAGAAGATGGCAACACAGCAAAGGTGGTTTTATATCCGGCATGATCTCTCAGCGGCACGTTATACAGTGCATGGCGTGGGAAGAGCAAGCTCCCAATAAACTACCAGTAAATCAGGTCTGGAATTTACTCACTTTGAACAAAACTCATCATGCTTATTACTCTCTCTCAACTAGGTCTATTGCTGATCCAAGTTCAAATCTTCTCAAGGTTTCCCTGCTGCCCTAGACTTCCGGTCTTCCAATTGCTCCTTTGGGGACTTGAGGTTAACTGGAGGAGCTCGAGGGTCTGGTGTCCATGGTAGGAAATCAGATCCTTCCACTAGCCATCGAAACATTTCACCTTGAAGCATTTGAACGGTTGGTGCGAACTCTGGCTCAGCGGCAAGATTGGATATTTCATGTGGATCCAGCCTCCGATGGTAGAGCTCGGCAGGCTCGTACAGTCGGTAAATATAAGTCCAGTCCTCGTTGCGGATGCTAATGGCTTTCCCTACAACTCGAGTGTCCTCATGTTGTAGTGCGCCCTTGAGGTCATATGGATACGCGCCCTGTTCGAGCAACGGTTCCTCGCTAATCAAAAATCCTCCTTCGGTAAAAGCGAATTTCTTGTGTACTGTTGATTTTTGTGTCAAAACGGGCACCAGGCTCTTTCCACTGTGAGGGAAGTGCTCCCCAATCCCGGATATTTCGAGCACTGTTGGCACCAGGTCAACCATTTCTGCCATCACCTTAGAGACTTGGCCTTCGGGTAGACCTCCGCCCGCAATGATCAGAGGTTCATGGGTCAACGCGTCGGAAAGTCCGGACGGCCACTTCTCTATAAGGCCATAATCCCCTAGGTATTCGCCGTGGTCGGTGAAGAACATTGTTACGGTATCTTCCCACATGTCCATCCGATCTAACTGCTGAATGACTTTTCCAAACTGATCATCCATCCGAGTAATCATGCCGTAGTAGGTGGCCTTAATTTCGGCCCAGATTTCTGAGGTCGCTCGTGAAGTCCCATAGCGCGTTCGTATCTTCTCCATGTATAGAGGTTCATAACCTGTCTTCCCCGTTATAGGTATAATTGGACCGACCTTAGACCGATCATACATAGAAAAGTAGGGTTCTTCCACCTGGAAAGGGCAATGTGGGAAAATCAAAGGCATGAAGAGTACCCATGGTTTATCATCAGGAGGGCACTCTAGCCATTTCAATGCCGATTTCACCACAGCGTCGTCATAGTCGAGTGCTTGGTGAGGATTCCGTAGGCCCTTATAAAACAGCCGGCCCCATATACTTTCATCCTGCTCAGGTGGATTACCGTTTCCTCCAGCAAATTTTGGGCTAAATTCAGGCGTTTCTAAGAAACCATATTCTGTCACACTTAACTCAGTCACTGTTGCTGCAAACGTATCCCCTCGTGGGCCGAGGCAGGCGACGTGGTAGCCATTTTCTTTAAGGCTGCGAAAGATGTTAGGCTCCCAAGGCTTGATGAGATTGTTCAAACTTCGGTGTCCACTGGCGTGAGGGTATACCCCAGTAAACATACTGCATCTTGATTGCGAGCAAACAGACGCCTGAACGAAACAGTTGGTGAAGAGGGTGCCTCTTTTTGCAAAGGCATCGATGTTCGGCGTTCGGATAACGCTGCCTGGGCCTGCGGTGCATTGCAACGAGTCGTATCTCAGCTGGTCCGGCATGAATATGACATAGTTAGGCTTGTCTCCGCCATTCTTGGAGCTGATTTTGAGCGGCAACGACTTGGTGGGCAAAGACATAGCCATCTTTGATCAATGAGACACCAGCTGACAGGATCAGCTAAAATTTGTGAATTTATCTCATATCACTTCAAAGGGAAAGAAATGAAGTCGTCATCCACCACAGATTGGTTCTACGAAGTCCTGCCGAATGCAAGTGCCGGACCTGTGCAACATGTGGATGCAAACACGAAATATCTGGGGTTTATTGTCATGGGACGATCATGGCCACCCGGAACATCGCGAACTAGCCTCCCTAAGCTGCCGGGTCAGTGGCCGCTCCCCACAGATGTGCGACTCCCGTGCCGATTCCCGGGGTCGCCAAGTTCGATCGATGCCCAGGATTCAAAGAAATTAGTACAATGGGGCTGCATGCCCCAGCCTCTGCTAAGCCTACACCCAGTTCTCCAGGAAACACTAAAGTTGTAATAGAAACTGGTCCTTCGTCTATCAATTACCTCATCTAATTTCACGGACAAATATGGCCTCAGCGAAGAGGCCAAATTTCCTCGTCATCGTCGCAGATGACCTTGGGTTCAGTGATACCTCGCCCTTCGGGGGGGAGATAGAAACACCCAATTTGATGAAGATGGCCATGGAAGGCTTGCGGTTCACGGATTTCCACACTGCTGCGTCATGTTCGCCGACTAGAGCCATGTTGCTTTCAGGCACTGATTCCCACATTGCTGGTCTCGGAGCCATGGCTGAGCGAATGAGAAAATTTCCTCACGTCTTTGAAGATAGACCTGGGTACGAGGGTTACCTGAATTTCAAAGTTGCTGCGATGCCAGAAATCCTTCAGGACAATGGCTATCACACCGTAATGTCCGGCAAATGGCATTTGGGTATGACCAAAGATGTTGCGCCCTGTTCTCGGGGCTTCACCAAGGTTCTTTCCACGCTTCCTGGCGCCGGCAACCACTTCAATCATGAGCCTCAGCTCTATGATACCAAGGAGACGCCCCGTGCTCTACTGAAAGGCAATGGGATCTGGATGGAGCAGGATAATTTTATTGACGGAGGGAGCGACCTCCCCAAGGACTTCTATTCGTCCAACACGTTTACTGATTACTTTTTGAAATACATGAGTGAACGTACAGGAGACGAGAAAGAAAAACCATTCTTTGGTTATCTCGCCTTCACCGCTCCTCACTGGCCGCTACAAGCTCCACCGGAGACCGTGAGAAAATATAAAGGGTGGTATGATGACGGACCTTTCGAGTTACGTGGCCGGCGACTCAAATCACTCATCGAAAAAGGGATTGTTCCAAGCGATGTCGTGCCGGCGCCGCTCCACACGTTGGGAACAACGCCGTGGGCTGAACTTCCAAAGGATGACCAGGTCAAGTCATGTCGCGCGATGGAAATTTTTGCTGCCATGGTTGACCTAATCGACGTCAATGTTGGGCGAGTCATCGAATACCTGAAATCTACAGACGAGCTGGACAACACATTCATTGTATTCATGTCTGACAACGGAGCTGAGGGACAACTGCTGGAAGCCATTCCCATTCTCGCAGGTGCAACACTAGCGGACGTTATCAAGAAGTACTATGATAATTCGTTAGAAAATATGGGGAACCACAATTCTTTTGTCTGGTACGGGCCTCAGTGGGCAAGCGCTGCAACCGCACCATGCCGGGCCGCAAAGTCCTACACCACGGAGGGTGGTATCAGGTGCCCATGTATCGTTAGGTTCCCGCGGGGCATGCCTTCCCAGCGGGAGGGAAGCATCGACAATACGTTCACGACAGTCATGGATATCTTACCAACCTTCCTCGAGTTTGCAGGGATCGAACATCCTGCTCCAACATTTCGTGGCCGCGAAGTCGCTTCTCTTCGCGGTAAGAGTTGGAGGCCACTGTTGTCGGCCTCGAAGTCCAACACCGTTTCTGTATACGACGGTGAGCAGGACGTTGTCGGGTGGGAGCAGCTTGGTATAGCAGCAGTCCGCCTCGGGGCATGGAAAGCCGTTTTTTTGCCTCCGCCGCGTGGGCAAGGAAAGTGGGAGCTATATGATCTGAGCAAGGATCTTGGTGAGATTGATGATCTGGCAGCAAAAGAGCCCGAAAAGCTAGTAGAGATGATTGCACATTACGAGACCTATTTTCAGGAAACTGGTATGTTCGATGCATATGAAATGTACCAGAGTGAGTTGAAAAAGGTCCATCTAGCAGGAAAGGCTTGGTAGAGCACGTGGAAGCGATCAGTCACTTTAGCCAACTCACGGTATCACTTTGCTTGAAGCAGCTAGACCAGTATTCCAGCTATCAATAATTGTCGAAGCGCCTTTTTCTGATCAGTTGCTCGCTTCTCTTAAGCAGAATCGAAACGAAAGAAGGTCCAGGCAGGTGCGTGATTATCCCAGATTTGCTGATCCATCACCTCATGTTGGAGGAACTTCGCTACAGTGGTGTTTACAGCTGTTCTCATCTTGCATCCACATTCCAGGATCGAATCACCGGATGCAAGCAGGAGAACCGGATCGGGTCTGTGTGTTTGGAGATGTTCCCAAACTAGCATGTAGTCAATTCAAATCAATGTTGCTGTACTTCACGATTGTACGGTGTGGTTCACATGATAGAGCCCGAAAGCGGCTAAGCTCAAGACACTGAGGCTCCTGGAAGCGAGCTTCAACTGCACGGGAGTCGGTCGGAAGTCGGTGTAGCCAGGATTCAGACACTAACCAGACTACGGCAAAAAACAAGACTTCAATGAGCAATGAATATTGCTTTGTTAAGGGCCGGATCACACACTACGGTATCCTAAGGAGCGTACCCCGAGAGTACGGGGCTTCCCCACGAAGGTGTAATCTTCTCCACAAGTTGCGGATCTACACAGTTATAAAATCGCATAAAGCTTGCCCAAAAGGTTCACCTGTATCGTACTCTCACTGTCTTCAAACTCCTTCAACTCCCACGCGTCTCAGCACGACGAGTCATGGCAAATATCAAAGATCTTCGTCTCCTAGGGACTCTGAGTTGGCGTCTCCTGCTGGCGTTGTTCGTAATCAACGTGAGCGTTTTCAGTTATGGCTTTGACAACGCCATTTATTCGTCCATACAAGCCATGGACAGTGAGTATGCTTTCACCGTTTGGGAGTGCCTTGTTCTGATCGGTCTTTCAGGTTTCCAAAAGTTGTTCGGCGAGTACAACGAAAATACACACAAATATACCTATTCCGCCAATAATCTCGCCCTGCTCAATTCCTTGGGACTTCCAGCAAAGTGTGTCGGTGCATTTGTCGGATATTTGATCGCCGAGAACTTTGGTCGGAGAGTGTCATACGTTGCCATGCAGTCTCTCGTCATTACAGGGACTGCAGTGGCCTTCACCGCCAAGACATACGGTCAAATCCTTGCAGGCCGCATGCTTGTCCAAGGTATGGTGGGCTGGGACAATTTCCTGGCACCAATGTTTATTGCGGAGATCGTTCCGCCTCAAGTCAGGGGTGCTATGGTTGTCACATACGTCTTCAGCCATATTTTTGGCTCATTCATTTGCCATCTCATTAGCAATGCAACAAAGACGTACCCAGGAAACCACTCCTGGCAGGACCCCGTTCTCAGCTGCTTCGCATTTCCAGTTTTCACGCTGTTGTTCTGTTGGCTGATACCAGAGAGCCCGCGCTGGTTGGTTCGAAAGAACAAGAAGTCGGAAGCTGTAAAATGGCTCAAGACGCTCCATGGTTCGAACAGTGACTATGATGCTGAAGGGGAAGCGAATCTACTTCATGCCGCCATTGAAAACGAGAGTGAACAGCGCGGCAAATGGGCTGACCTATTCAAAGGAACCAACACAGTGGGTGGTTTTGCTTCTTCCAATCATGCATGTTTCGTCCCCACACTGACCGGCGACGTAGCGTCGAACATTGATAGCCATCTTCACCGGTGCATTCAATCAATTGACTGGACAGTCCTTCGTCTCTTCATATGGAACCATCTTCGTCAAAAGCTTCAATCGACTTGACCCCTTTGTGTACTCGGTCATATCTAATGCTATCACTTTGCTCGGAACAATCATTGTCTTCACGATTGTCGATATCGTCGGCCGCCGAAGATTCTATCTTGTGGCTGGCACCATCATGACCGCCCTTCTTCTGACAATCGGTGGCCTTGGAACCACTCAGGTTACTGAAACGCGAGCAGATGGTATTATTGCCTGCGCTGCCCCATACGGAATGTTCTACATCATGTCGTTCGGGAGTATATCCTCTGTAACTGGGGCCGAGGTCCCTCATATGAGACTGAGAGACAAAACCTCCTTCCTGACCTATTTTACCCGTTTCGTTTGCGATTTTGCCGTCAGCTACAGCTACCCATTCCTCTTCGGTCCCGGCCATGCAAACCTCAACGCCAAAGTTGGCTTCATCTATGGCTCATTCGGCGTCTTGGGTCTCTTATGGGGACATTTCTACCTTCCCGAATTAACTAATAGATCGTTGGAGGAGGTGAACGAGATGTTCGAAGCAGGCGTGCCTCCGAGGAAATTCAAGGATTGGAAGCCCACCGACCCTCACAGCATTGGGGTTCTGGTCACCAGTCTTGAAAAGCATCCAGTTCAAGCCAAAGACATCGAAATAGAGCACGTGGAGAAAGGACGCGCCAAAAGTCAAGAAGTTGAAGACCACAGACCACAAAACCACGGTGTAGTATGAGAGAATATTTGAACAAGTTCCTCACCGGGCAACCGAACTGAAGGGGTGATTTAAGACTGTCCAAGAATACCACAACCTTTGTAACGCTCTACATATCCCTGTTGGGCTTACAGAAATTGAACGTACGAAGGCCTTCGATGAGCAGTGATTTTGATTAAAGGCAAAATTCATCCACAGACTTGTCGATGCGCTCCATTTTGCGCTGTCACGTCGGAGGATTGAATAAATCTTTTGAAGAATTGGTAGTCTAGTCTCAAAGTCCAAGCATGTTTGTTCCCAAATCTTTAAGATAGATAGTTGTATCAATTTTTGATTCTCCTCTCTGAGTGTCAATCTTCGCTTAGAACATACAAAGCCATTTTTCTTGGCTGATATTTCATGCATGACGGGCAATTGACAACTGCCGTTGAAAACGTGGCTCAAACCAATGTACGCCATATAAGACGAACCCCTGCATGTCGGGAATGGCCCAAAGAGTCATGAAGCTGGCTCATATATCGCGGTCAACGGTGCATTGATAGTATGCTGGCCAAATCCTAGAATTTTACTCGACAAGGTTTGCTTTACCGGCCAAATGACACGCCTTTTGGCCGACCCTATGGTGGGTGCTAAAGGAAGGATTGTGGAAAATGTTCGCCGATTTGTGCGTATTGTTAACATAGGATACGAAGATTCTGCCGAATCGAATGAACAACTAATAAATTCCTTACACCTGATAAGCTCGCTGAACTGAAGTCTACACGGAGTTGAACTATATCTCAGCTTCTCTCTTATACATAGCTAGACGGAGAGTTAGGACGGTACAGGCCCAGCAGTGCGATAGAGGTACTCCTGCAGAGTTCTGAACCTAGCTCTCCCCAGAAAACTAAGCCAAGGTAGTCCACTCGACTCGACCTTATCGCAAGGAGGCCGAGCAAGTTTCAGCTCGTTACTCTAAGCAATATCGCAATCCATGGCCGAACCTGAAGGCAGGATCTCGTGTGCTAAACGGAGCATCTGAGTCGCTTTCAATCACTGCGCTCTGTGAACTTGGTAGATCAAATGGAAGTTGCCCTTCTGGCCCACAGCCATCCACACCAAAGACTATGTCTAAGAAAGCAGTAGCGCTGCTACCATAGCTGACTAACAATGCTGACGCTTGGCCAGCTATTTCACTTAACACCGCCGGACGATCGAGATGGACGTCGACGATGCTGAGCGGCACTGTTGAGTATATTTCCTTCTGTCGAGCCTTTTCTGTAGGCGAGAATTCTAGAGAGCCTGCATTGAAATTTGCTTCGAAGCCTCCGGGGCGTGGCTCGTGGGGGGCGACAAGGCGAATCAAGGCAATGTCGGCGGCTTCAGGCGTTGCCACTCTCTGGATCTCTAAACCGTATTTTGACGCCAGAATGCTGTGGTCCAAGTTCTCAAAGTAAATTTTCTTTTTCTGAACATCACTGAATGTCAAAGGCAAAGCTTTACCGTCTCGGTTGGTAAGGAGAGTATAGCTGCGCCGTTGAGCCATGTCGGCTTCTCGAACAAATTCAGCATCACCTACCATTGTCGCAGCTGCTTCGACGTCGACAAACGGACTATCGAAAAGCCCGAGAGCGAATTTCTCTGACAATAGCCTTCTCACGGATTGGTCGATGCGGGACTCCGTGACCAGCCCTTTCTGCACGGCTTCGATCACTAGTTCTGGCCGGGACTCCCCCCCGAATTGGTCACAACCGGCGTCGAGAATCTTTACAACCCTCTCTAACCCGCTGAGTTTCTCGCAGCCCCAAGCTCGGGCTGGCATATCCTGACCGAGAATTACAGCATCTGTAAGAAGACCCCAGTCGGTACAGACTATCCCATTGTACCCAAGGTCCTCCCGTAAGAGCTTAGTAATGATGGCTTTATGGAACGCAAACCCAACTTCTTCTGAATAGTCGCCCTTGAGCCCTATAGGTTTGCTGTAGTAGGGCATGATCTGTCTAGTGCCAGCATCAATGGCATTGCGAAACGGCTTTAGATGATACTCAAATTGGCCTCCAGGGTAGACCTGGTCTTTGCCGTACACGAAGTGCGCGTCCTCTCCGTCCTTTTGTGGTCCGGCCCCAGGGAAATGTTTCGTCATGCAGCTCACACTGTCTCTGCCTATGGTGCCATCGGTGCTGCCCTGAAATCCACGAATGTACGCCTTTGCCATTTCCCCAGACAGGTCGGCGTCTTCGCCGAACGTCCCTTCGATTCGAGCCCAACGATACTCGGTGGCCAAATCGAGCTGAGGGGAGAGCGTACAGCGTAATCCTATGGCCACGTACTCGCGGCGGGCGATATCTGCGAACTTCTCCACGAGGCGTTCGTCGCGTAGCGCTGCCAGCCCAAGTGTCTCGGGCCACTGAGACAGTTTTCCCGCTCGAGTGCTGGTGCCCATGTTCTCCTTAAAATGATTTCGAGGATCCGTTGACATAGTCACAGGTATTCCCAGCCTCGTGTTGGAGAGCACGAAGGACTGCAATGCGTTATACCACATAGCCGCCTGGCGAGCGTCGGTCACGGCGCCCAATAAGTTAAAGTGGCTCATATGAAGCTCCTTCACTTTACTTTCAGCACTTGGCAACACTCTTATCGGCCCTTGGCTTGGTGAATTGTTCGGGATCAATACCATATCGTGGAATAATTGCCCGGCTTTCTCAGCCAGGGTCATACGAGACAAGAGGTCAGCCACCCGCTCCGAGATGGGGGCGCTGCTGTCTTTGTACTTCTCTTCTGTTGCAATATTCTCTTTAAGATGAACTGAATCATCCTTTTCGAGCATCGTTTTGTCAATTAAAACTTTTAGATTTGGCTTTTCGATGGTGAATGCTTCAGTGATTATTTTGTCCAGTGGCTTTTATTTTAGATGGCCTAGACGTGGCTATGCCTTAACTGGTGTTGGAATGTGGCCAATTTGCTGTGGTACGTTTTATCTGATGCAGGAGTGCCACTAGGTTCCAACTGAGAGAAAGTTACCAAAGACCTTAGGTAGACAAAAAGTCTTTCGATCTGCGTCGCAGCTCCATCTTGTTAAATCAATTCGGACCACCACACCGCTCCACACACGGCATTTCCCTCGGCAATGATCGTATCCCGCAACCGTCATCTTATCGGAGGTCGAACGATGTGTGGTGAGTCAAAGTGGCCGCAGCGGTAAATCGCTCAGGGATATGGACTGCGAACACTATGTCCGCCATCAAGTAGATTTGTAAAAGGTTATCTACGTCTCGTTCCTCTTACATTCTCACGGACCCTCTGACGAAGGCTTCCGGGCTATGTAGTTCAGCCCTGTCGCTGGATTCTGCACAAGGACTGAGTAATTCCTTTAAAGTCTCTGACTCTTCGTTGGTAAGCCTTGTGGTCTTCCCCAAACTAGCCAACAAGTGAAATAGCTCATACACGTCTGGGCCTATGGACTCCGGGATGTATACGGTTTCCCAGTTTCCATTTCGAATGGCCCTACACTCAAAGAGCTCCCACCTAGTGATATCAGACTGCTCCTCGGATCACGGCATTATCCACAGATTTAGCCAGAATACGATGCCGGGGATCTGCCAAGGGGAGTGACAATCTCTGCGCCACGGGACGATGTCCCTGGGTGAGCAAGCTGCGCCAGGTCCAATAAATCAGCCAGGGCGTCCATCACTGTACAGATTTTGTGCGGAAAGGAGCCTAAACTCCTTTGGAACTTCGGATATCTAATGACAGTAGGGACAGCGGATCCCCCCTTCTGTTGTCCAAGCCTTGTATCCTCTGCGAGGGGGCAGTAGCTGCACATACTCATCTATGATCTGGGGCCGTACCAAAAAAATGAATTGGCCTTACCGATATTATCTATACCGTTGTTGTGGAATTTCCGTACAACCACTAGTGGACGTTGTCGCATAATTGGGAGCGCCTCAACGAGCTGACCCTCGGCGCCGTCGTCCGACATGGCTAGTATGAAAGGATCATCCAGCTCCCCCGTCGACTCCAGGGAACGGACCACTCTAGCAAGATTCTGGTCTATCAAATCATCGTGGTGGCCGAGGAAGTGGTCTCCTTCCATCCAGAATTCGTCTCTTCGTGCGAAAGGAAGATGTGACAGCGTCCTCGAGCTGTAGGTCGTTGTTATAGTGGTTACCAATTCCAGCAAAGTAAGTAAATGCATTGGTAAGCCCGGGTTAGCTCGACTAGTCCCTTCTTGAATCCAAGGTGTCTACACTGCATTTTGCATACCTTCCTTGACTACATAGTACTTCAATTTCAACCTACCACTTCCCTGGCATCATCGTCCAATAGGCTGAATCTTGTAGGATCTCACAAAGTGCCGCCACCCGCCAGTCTTGATACCTTTAATAATCAGGCCGGTCTCTACGCAGTGATTGGGGGCTTCGCGAGTACTCTGTCATCTGACCAAGTCCAACAATATGGTTATCGGCCCCAGAGAAGAGCATAGCACCTACAGGAGAGCAAGCAAGCAGAAGCAGTGTGAAATCCTGTCAAGGTAACACCCTGACAAGCAAGGCGGTCCAGCGTGAGTGGGATTTCGGATCCATAGGGGGACTTGTCACTCAATCCGAAGTTGTCTTCGATGACGAGGACAAAGGTCGGCTGGTTCGACATGTCTAGAAGGACAAGTCGATTCTATGGAGTAGCGAAAGCCACCAAAAGCATGCTCACCATTGTCACGGCTCTCAAGCATGGCCGGGGAGGCATTTCAAACCATTTGTTATCCGCAGGTCTATTCGTTAAAGCACAAGAGTGGCAAGGACCCCTGGATGATATGGTGGCAACCTAGCACCTACATGCAAGCCGTGTTTCCAGGACCTAGATAGTAAACGCCTGAGGGGTTGATGGGGCAGAGGGACTCGATGGAACCCCCCCGCATGCTCTGCATGCCGTCCGACTCCCGTCGAGCCGTGATGATAGACCGACTCCCGGACGTGTCTCACCGACTCCCGGAGACATATGGTACCCACCGTTTTAGGTGTGCCTTTTCTAGTCCCAGGCATCGATCCAAACATTTAAGAGCCACTGCGTGTAAAACCAGAGAAATGCGCTCAGGTTGACCAAAATTCAGACGGTGACCAGCCACAGCTCATTTGCGTCCTTCTAGCGCCTCCAGTACCACGCAAGTGAATGACCATGCTCGTAAATGAGCACTGGGATGCCAGTGGCATACATGCCTCACAGCAGATGGATATTGCAATGGACCGCCGGCCGAATATTATCTTCATCATGGCAGATGACCATGCTTCAAAATCAATTAGTTGTTATGGTGCCGGAATCAACAATACCCCGAATCTCGATCGCCTTGCGACGGAAGGAATGCGGTTCGACCACTGTTATGTCACCAACTCGATTTGTACACCGTCGAGGGCCGCTATATTTACTGGCACGCACAATCACGTCAACGGAGTTATGACTCTCGACAGTAAACTGAACAAGCATATCCCTAACGTTGCTAAACACTTACGAACGGGGGGCTATCAAACGGCGATGGTGGGTAAATGGCATCTAGGCGAAGGAGGAGCCCACGAGCCGACCGGGTTTGATTACTGGTCTGTCCTACCAGGGCAAGGCGAATACTTCGATCCGGAATTCATCGAGCCGAGTGGGACTAAGATCGAACTAGGCTATGCTACAGATATCATTACGGATAAGAGTATCGACTGGATGCGGAATAGAGACCCTAGGCGGCCGTTTTTCTTAATGTGCCACCATAAAGCGCCGCATCGATCTTGGGAGTGCGACCACAAGCACAAGAATCTCTATGAAGACCCCATCCGACTGCCTGATACTTTCACTGACGACTATAAGAACCGCGCACAGGCAGCGAAAGTTGCCAAGATGCGCGTGGAGGACGACCTAACATACCACGACCTCGGCCTTGTGCAGCCTGACGGGGGAAACAGTGTGGGCACGAAGTTGATATCTAAATCGTGGTTCCGCGAGCGGAAAGTACCAGCGCCAGAGGATGTATCTCAACTTAAGTTAATTGATAAGGACGACGGCACCATCTTCACGTTTAGCACGAAGAATGAACTAACGGAATTTAAGTTCCAGCGTTACATGCAACGGTATCTACGCACCATTCAGAGTATAGACGACAATGTGGGCCGGACTCTGAACTGGCTCGATGAGCAGGGGCTGGCCAAGGACACGATCATTATTTACACTTCGGACCAGGGCTTCTTCTTAGGTGAGCATGGGTGGTTCGACAAGCGCTTCATGTACGAAGAGAGTTTCCAGATGCCCTTTTTGATCCGCTACCCGCGGGAAATTAAGCCAGGGTCTCTCTGTTCCGACATCATTAGTAACGTCGACTTCGCCCCAACATGGCTCGACTTCGCCGGACTCAGAAAGCCCTCGTACATGCAGGGCATCAGTATTCGGCCGCTGTTGCATGGGAAAACGCCGGAAAACTGGCAGCAAGTAGCATATCACCGCTATTGGATGCATCGTGACATCATCCACGAGGCGTACGCACATTATGGTGTTCGTGACCAACGTTACAAGTTGATCTACTGGTACAACGAGGATTTCGGCCTCGAGGGCACTCGACCGGGAGGACAACCGAGGGATTGGGAGTTGTTCGACTGTGAGGAAGACCCACTCGAACTATTTAATTGTTATCATGAATCTAAATACGCACATGTCGTCAGGAGGATGACCAAGTTACTGGAGGACAAGATGGCTGAGATCGGCGACGAACCCGTCCATGTGCCTCTCGCTCTAAAGAACTGTGTTTCAGTAAAACTGGGCTGTTAGGTTGCCTCATATCAGGTTCATTCGTTGCTCGGGGGGATGGGCTTTTGGGTTGATTCATCTCTTGGAAGTAGGCTTTTTGCGACAGGAGTCAGTCGCACTTCTGGTAACAGCTGTGACGAGATTAAACACAATAAATACTGATATCATGCATTTTGCGCTGAAGTTCTTTATTTTTCATTTGCCGATGAGCTCTGACCACGTGACTATAGTATTTCGGCTTCCAGGGGCGAACGTCGGAGAGAACGGTCCCAGGCCTTGCCGAGCAAAGGGAGATGTGCTTTACGCCCAAGTGCTTGGAGTCCTTGGGGATAGCACATCTAAACCACAATCATCCGGAGTCCTGAAAACTCCAAGAATCTCAAAAATAGTCGTCTTCTAAAGACAATGCCAGCCCGTATGACTCCAGGGATTCCGAGAACCCCATCCAAGGATTGAACACAGCTTGCATGTCATTTCTCCACTCTTCACGGTTGTGATTTTCGTGTGGGGTCGATACGTTGGGCATGGTCCGCTTTTCAGAGCCAGACTCGGACTGAATATGCCCTGATTGTTCCTCGACTGTTGCAATCTCACCTGCACCTTGCGAATCCTCAACGCGAGCCATTCCAAACGGTGTCGCTATTTCTCTTGCGGGAAGAGCCGTCAGAGTCGATTGGTTTTGTGGCATTGTGCTGAGCTGAAATTCCACGTTTGAGCGGCGGATCTCGGATCTGGTCCCGTCGTGGCAGTCACCTTCAAAGTTGGCTTGACGGATTAAGCTGTGGATGGCCAACTGGCGTCGTATTCTACCTTGTGTCGCTTCATAGTCTTCATTAGAGGCTTCGATGTCTTGAAGCTCTAGAGTACCTGTTCCCGTCCACTCACAGGAACACCGGGTTATAGTATCGTCGATTTCCTTCATCTGATAAAAGTGTCAGCACAGGCCCATTTTAGGTGTACGTGATTCGCCTACCATAGGATCCGCCATCGGGTATCCGACGAAATATCTTGATAGAATGGACTGGGAGAAGCGAGCCAGTTGCAGAGCGTCTGTTCGACTGAGCCTCTGCGTAAACGTATTTGCCGCGATGAAGAGCACCAAGCGGGAGCTATGATAAGCGCAAACTGCGATGTCAAAGTCAACCGCTGGGGGTGAACATTGCGCTGAGAATTCTGATAGCAGGTGCACGATCGCAACAGCGTGTTGCAGACATAGACCTTGCCACTCCATGGATTTCTGTTCGTCGAGTTTTTGTAGAATGGAGAACGGCGCGGCTTCGCGATATCCCGGCAAGAATATTCGGTAGAGATCACAATATGCTTGGTGCCAAGACAGATGGACCATTAGCAGCCGGATTGGCTCCGTAGATTGAGAGAACATGAGTGATGAGTAGTGGTCCGACTCGGTCAAGCTCTGATGGAGCCTTTGCAATTCAACCTCGAAATTTTGGACTGAGTGTATCAGCTCGAAAAGGCTGATACTAGGGGACTTGAGACTCCGTGTCAATCTTACCCAAGTCAGTCTCCGCAATTTTACTCTTCATCTCTTAAGGTGCTCGTATGCTTACCTCATGATGTCTCTCCTGATTGCCTTCAATCGAAGAGACGCAGCGAATAAGTCGAGTAATGCTACAGAATTTGTAGAGACTCCTCGGAGTGGTGCTGTCACGACAGGCGTGCCATCCTCAAACGCCCTTTCAGAACACGGAAGTTGAACGTCAATCATGTCCGGGGGACAGATTTCATACTCTCTAAGTCCGACTGAGAAATGACCATCAAGCAAAAAGCACGACCACATCAGCCGTCGCCGAGTCTCTTGTGCGAGAAAATGGATGTTTGGTCTCTCTTGATAGAGACGTAAGGCTGTGGCTGCTCTCGCGGCAAGTGCTGAAATCATAAAGGCCTTTGAAAATTGGCCATCATCGATCAAATACCTGATGACAAGGAGAAGTGCCTGGAGTCTAGGGATCGAAGGGGATTCAATATTGTGCCACAGGTCGTCTTCAGCATATCTGCTCCAACGCGACACAGACTCTGGGTAGTACGGTTCGATTCTCAGACGCTGGGCAGTTGCTGCACAAAGGGTTAAGGTTAAACAGGCTTCCAACGACCCCGCTAGGTACCTTTGAATCAGAGAAGCTCGATGCAAAAAAGCGTAAGAGGGCAGAGGATAGAGGTGATCGAAGTAGGCCTCTATCAAAGACATGACCGTGCCGGAGTCAGGCAAGAGATCCTCTGCTGGACTCACTCCTGCCTCCAATCTGGTGGACACGAGCTCAGGCTCAGGGTTCGACTGGGTCCTTAGAGCACCGGGCTCTTGCGCTTCGCCTCCTGTAGAAGCAGAAGATTGAGGTACTTCGCTGGCCTTGCTGAGGACCAGGTAAACGCAATGACGGTTCCTTCGAACACAGTCTGCACAGGCGGGAAATTCACCCGAGCAGCGAACTTTAAGTGATCTGCACGCGGTACAAGCTGTAGGAACCCGCCTTTTCTCCAGCTGCATCTGCGTGGCCGTACTGGCTCCCCTGCTGTAGGTTGAGTTGTCACTCAATCGCTGAAAGGAACAGTCAAACCTCAGGCGTTTGCAGTTCTGACAGAAGTCTGGACGTCCATCGCAACGGACCTAATGATTATGAGTTGGAGAGGCTCAGCTGGCACCTTTACTAACCTTTCGAGTCCTACATTGGAGACATGTCTTCTTGAAGCCTCTGTGCTTGTTTGCAGAATCGACCATGGTGGCATATCACTTCTGGTTGTGATCAGGAGTATTGGCACCAAACCTTGGGTCGATGTCGTCAGTTGATTTAGGAGAAAGCTATTGCGTCAGACCGGCTAATGCACGGTGTACATATGGTAGTGCGCGTCAAAGGAGACGATGTGTGCGTGCCATGGGAACTTCGCTATCAAGAGTTGTTATTCCGCAATTCAGCCAACTTCTGGCGTTGTTGAGTTGGCGGGGTCTTTGAAAGACAAGTTGTGACGGCGGCAAAATTCAGAAACAAGTTCTAGGCCTGTATGACTGGGAAACTTGCAATGCATGCTATGCATGCAATTCAAGGCTGTGCTGACCAGAGTTCCTGCCACAAAAGAGGAATGGCTTGTGAGAGGATGGAGCAAACGATTGATATGCAAGTTCTCTGGCCTCGGCCCGTGCAGGGCATGATCAAGATGAGTGGAAGGGAGTGCTCCGGAATTGGGGGAAGTGGCACGTGAGCTCACGTGACGTAGCTGAAAAGGTCAGCAGTGCATTCGACTCGCAACCAACCGTCACTCCCAAGTTGTGATTGACTACCTCACCCAAGGCCTATAACATTCGTTTGTTCTTCACTGCCTGATTCTTCCTTTCTCCTGTTCTGTGACAACAGCCTTCTTCCAAGGCCTACTGCTCTCCTATGCGACCATGATTTTGCAATTGAGAAACTACACTGTCGTTCTGACCCTAGTACTTGGCTAACTCGATTGGACTCTCATTTACCCAGACCTGATCAAGCTCTGCAACTCTTCGAAGGCCAGAACGGATAGCCTCGGCCCTCCTTCTCCGTGCTTCTGTCGGAAGCTTGGAAAACAGGAAACATGGAAGAGGTGGAAAGATTTGCCGCGGAGAGCCAACGACCAAGCAGGGAAGTTTAGAAGCAAAGGGAACAGGACACTAAAGTCACCGGCAGGAGCGAGCTAAGTCGACAGTCTTATAGGGTTGACCCGAGCCATTGCCATTACATACTGCGTCCCGTGGTCCTCAAGACCTTCCGTTCTTGAGTCCATCCAGCATTACGAAGAATTTCTACCACATGCAGCTAGAAAGGGATGTTCTTTCATCGGAGAACGGTCCATAAGTATGCAAGTGGATGTCTTAAACCACCACTTTAGAGGTCCACCCTCCGATGACAAAGTGGCGTGGGTTGGGTTGGGTTGACCTCGGAGTCAGGGCGATAAGTAATTGCCTAAAGCATCTACTCATCGCTTCCATGTAATGAAGTTAAGCGTCCTCTTCAACACGGCCATGGGACATAGGAGTAAGTTCGGAGTCCCCGGAGACTTTTCTTAAGACTCCGGATATTTTCAAAGACCTCGGACACTTCTTCTCGAACGTATATAACACTGGCATAGCATAGTCGATTGCAGGCGCGGGTACTCTCAAACATGGTGTCAACATTAGAACTTTACATTATCCCTGGAGAACTTTATCCACGACGAGTGACGATATACCTGGCGGAAAAATGCTTGAGCCCGAACGATCTGCAGGTGCAAATCACAGCAGTCTCAACAACTCTGACACTTCAAATGGCTGCACCGGGGAAACCTCCTGGCACTGGTCAGACACTTGCACTTGGTGATGGAACGTTTATCCACCAGTCAATCGCTATTCTAGAATATCTGGAAGATATGTGCGACAGAAATATAGACTCGCCAGAGATTGCACAACCGAGCATGCGAGGAACGACGCTCAGAGAAAGGGCTACAACGAGGGAGATGATGCAATTGGCAGACGAAGCCACTAGTTTGTTCTCCTTAGCGTGTCACAAAGGAAGTGGTATGTTCTCGATGAGAAAGGAAGTGGTATGTTCTCGATGAGAGATAAGCAGGATCCTTCTCTGGCAAAAGTCGCAATCGAGTTGTGCAATAAGAGTCTGGCCAGGCTTGAAGACTATTACAACGAATGATTCCGGAAAGCCTCAAGAAGCAACGTGGTCACAATCGCAGACTGCATATTATTCTCACTGCTGCAGTTTACAAAGGTACTATACGGAGTCGACCTGACCATGGATTTGCCGAATCTCAAACGGTTTTATGAGTGGTTTGAGACGAGAGACAGTGCACAACCAGAGGGATTGCTATGTGATGAGAGCTTGAAGAATATCGCGAGCCACTGGCTGCAAGAGAGGAGGTCTCCATTGGGGTTGGTTGCGGAATACCTGAAAATAATTCGACCTTATCTGTCATATTTGGGAACTTTGTTTATTAGATTTTCCAGAAGACGATGAAGTTCCCGAAGCTTGTAGAGCTCGGTGGGGGATAGACGTGAACAAACATATATCAGGCAATCTCTCAAACCCTAGATTACCGGAGGATATAATGACACATCCGAAATCTCGACGACGTGAGACAGCCCTGAGATTGATCCCTGTAGTACAGGAGCTTGTTGCGTCGGAATGCCCGTCAGTAGCAAGTCCTTCCTTTAGCTGGTGCAGATCCAGGCAATGCAATAGCTTCTCTTGGAATGGGTACCAAACGCGCGCTGCCCATGATACATCGCCGTATCGAGAATTTGGATTTCCCGACCCACGCTGGTTGTTGACAGCCATGTGTTGGGAACTGTAACCCGCTGTGAAGCCCCCTCATGTTTTTTTCCCATTCTAGTTCAGCCTTTTCTACCTCAAACAAAATGGAACTGAAAATACGTGCGTAACTTCGGATTCACCAAATCATTCTCATCCCTAGCAGTGAAAAAATTGTGGTCACTTCGACTGTATATCCAAGCCTCCTAGTCAACAGAGCCAGCGAGAAAGGGTCAACTGAATCAAGAAATAAATTGTGCCAGCGAATAAATTCCAAGTTGATTGCAGGCAGCAAGGCTGCCAGAAAATCTCGTGATCCCGCTCGGCGCCGACGACTAGTAATTAGACTCGTAGCTCTGACGCAGTCTTCTGTACGGATCTCAATGCCGAGATATTGTTGGCGTGTACGTGCGTATGATCTCTGTTATCATTTGCTGAATCACTTTACTAAATTCAACGCTACCGGTTCGTGAGGTAGAACATACCAAAGAGTTTTTAAATCATTAAACACCATTGCTAAGATGTAATCACTGTCTGATCGCTCAGGAGGTTCTTAATCGCGCAACTTAATGATCTCACTAGTGATGACTAGGACAGTACAGGCGCGGGTGAGCAAGGTAAGTTTGGGTTGATGGATAATTTCAAATGTGTTGATTGAAGGAAACTCTATCTGCTACTCCAATAACACCTCGGATCTTCTAGATGGTGCCTAACTCTAGAATGTAGAGATCAGTTCCAAACCTATGAAGATAGGAACGTTAAAAACAATATTTTAGTTAAAAATGTCAAAAAATAATTAAAAAATATTTTCTAATGGTATTAACTTTTCTTATTCTTCTTCTTTTTTCGAAAGGGAGGATTCTTTTATCGGCACGACTACTAGCGCTGCGTTGTTGCAGAGTCCCCTTCCATAGTACTATGTCTATATGGGGATTTTGAGATCTAGGCTCCAGTTTAAGTTCCGGTAAGACGGAGTGTTGAAATTTGTTAGGGATCCTTTAGCCCCTTACTCTGGTTCGCTAAGGGCTTTACTCCAGCGCCGGGACACCGTGGAAACCATGAACCTAATGGAGAACAAGAAGCGTCGTCGTCTTAGCACGACAAGAGAAATTTGCTCTAGTGGTGACCTTCGTATACTGGTGAAGACAACTGACCGGTTGCATGCCATTATTTCCTCGAGCTAGGCCTTGACATGGGTTGGGCCCAGTGGGCTGGGCTGGGTTCACTCTTCTAACAGTCCTAAGCCATTAGTATAGGGTTAAAATTGAAATAAATTAACCTAGAGCCTAGTAGGTAACCCGAACTTTAAAGTAGACTAGAAGACTTCCTAATTAGAAAGAAGCTTCTTCCTATTATTTAAGCGGGTTTTAAACAATAAATCTTAAAATCTTTCCAAAATTTAAGAATACTACTATTAATTATCTGAAATAGGGCCAAGACTTTTAGGAACCCAGAACCCGCCGGGCTGGGTTGACTAAGGCTAGAATTCGTCCCAACCTAACCCATGTCAAGGCCTACTTCGAGCAAATAATACTTGGGCTACGGTGCATGCATCAGTTGGATGTTATCCATCGGCACCTAAAATTGGAAAATATGTTGCTGACTAGCGATAGATAGCCTCAAGATGGCAGACTTTGGAAATGCAGAATGCTTTGGACCAATCGAGACATTGAGAAGAGTAGGTCATGGCTACGTATATGGATGGGACTTTACTAAAAGACAAGAATCATAGTCACTGGCGCAATGTGATTTATTCCATCCTCGACCCTGTTGTAAGTCGACAACTCAAACTCAAACCGTCTCAGCCTTTTGATACCAAATGGGTCAGGGGCATTAAACTTTGCGCAGCCGCAGAGCAGCCTCGCTGAATTGCCAGAGAGCCGAACCGAAACATTCCAGCCTCGTTGTTGACCTCGAGAGAAGTACGCGGCTCTCTGAAAGCATGATTTGGCATACGAAAACGCCAATCTTCGCCAGAGCCGTGCCATCAGAGACTAGACTTGGTGCCAATACCTTGCAAAATAGGGTAGTCTGCTTCACTGAGGTTACGGCCAAGGCAACGGGCTCTTGTGATCACGATTTTCAGTAAGAAGTTTTCCCCTTGGTGACAGACGACCACACGACGGGTTTGAAAATATGACTTCAACTTCGCAGAATGCCCAAGGCATAGAATGTAAAATGTAATATTCAACAATTACTAGTTGAGGGTGGATGGTACAAGTACCCCCGTGATGAAGAACGAGGGCTGAGTGGTGGATAGTCGAACACTACGTGGGGGTGCTCTTTTGTCCTGGTAATTTTGATTGGGTAATTGGGCGCTGCATCCCTAGAGTTGGGCGAATGATATCTATCACGGCAAGACGGAGGCAATGCTCCCTGTGTTCGACTCACGGGGTGTTCGACTACAGGGGTGTATGGCCCAATCAGAATCTTATCTTTAAGGCGGAACTTATGCAGCCCAAAAGTTGTCCTTGGCAAAGGGATGTAGCCCATCCTTCAGAGCACTGTTATATAATGCCACGAGGATCTGAATCTTAGCTGCTTCCCTCAGCGAACTCGATATCGATACATACATACATACCGTGGCCCATCATGGCCATCACACGCTGGCTGCCTCGAGTCAACTTCGTCATACTTCACTGTAAGCAGTTGCTTGCTCTAGTTACGATTGATGCGTGTCGCTCGCTCACCAAACATAGATGCATACATTATCACCATGGCACTTCTTTCATTCCCTATTTTATATCCATATGGCAATCTTCGTGTGATCGATGCTTTCTTCTTTGGCGCGAGCGGTTCCACCGAATCTGGTCTAAACACGTATGACTGTCTTCTTTCGACACCAACGGCTTTAGTTGACTCCCGACTGGTACAGAGTTGACGTCAAAGCCCTCAAAACCTATCAACAACTCTATATCTATTTCATTCCGATTGTCACAAACCTTGGATTCATTCACATAATGGTCGTTGTTGTTCGTTTGTACTGGTTTGAGAAGCATATCAAGAAAACCTGTTCGTCTTCACAATGAATCCCCGAACATATCCTTTCGGTGCTGAATATTACCAGGGCCGTCAATACTACAAAGAAGATCTCCGGCGACCCAAGACCTAGAGAGCCCTGCTCAGCCCCATATAGTGCGAAGACACCAAGTCGCAAGCGAAATGTCCCCAGAGCACCAAGACAAGGATGTTGAAACCTCGTAAGTGAATGAACCGGTCTTGCCTCCTTTCCGAAGGGTTGACATGCGAGGTTGTTGCAGTTCGGCGCCTGCTGAGGTCGTCGCAAAGGAAAAGGCCCCCGAGGCAGACACGACACAGGACCGCAATAGGACAATAACATTTGACAAAGCCACTCGTCATCCCAAAGACCAATCCAAATCACTGTACATACCACCACCACATGCTCGAGACAAGGGTGAGCGAGAGCTTTGGATCCACTGGTGAATGTGACTGCTGAGATTATCGACAGGAGATGATTTCGCTGAGGTCAGTGACGGAGATGTCAGTGATGAAGGTGGGTCATTCCCATACTCGCGTATGACCAAGCCAAACGAGAATTCTTATCTAGCACGCAGAATCCGAGGCGATTAAACCCGCTAGCCGGCGGAGGTCAGTGGACGGACCATCCATCACCAAAGGTACCATCTCGATGGATCGAGTCACCTCTATTGCTTCCTCCATGTTTATCGTTGGTCACACACCCGCAAAATCACGGTCACACCAGACGCCCCGCGTTTCGCCACCGCAGACCGCAGGACTTCCTCAACTGTCCGCGCAAGTCACGATAGGCCGAAATTCACAGTTTCGCAACTTGACCGCCCGAGATCGAGAGCGGCTTGGTGGCATCGAGTATCGGAGTCTAAAATTATTGCTAAAAATCCTTGTTGGTAAGCATCTTGGCCCCGTAGTTAGTCCGAAATATCGACCACCTTCTAAAATCTTTATCGCTTCGCCTAAATGCAGGATACTTTTTCGGACTTCATCTCTTTGGAGTCATTTGCCTTGTCCCTTGGGTACAAAATGCACCTCAAAAATACCTCGACTGGTTGGCAGAATGCGGTCAAGACAAGACCTGGTGGTACATCTCGACCTACCTTTCTTTCCTTTGTCATTTTGCCAGCTGACCTGTCATCTTTCTTATGATAGGGCCTTCTACTCGGCGCAAACGATGGTAAACAACCTCGGCTTCACTCTAACACCTGACTCGATGATTCATTTCCAAGACGCAACTTGGCCAATGCTTGTCATGACCTTTCTAGCCTTTGCTGGCGAGACCTTCTATCCTATCTTCCTCCGTCTGGTCATCTGGATCATATCCAAGATTGTGCCCAAGACATCGGCTATGCGTGAACAGCTCCAATTCCTCCTCGATCACCCTCGGCGTTGCTACACCCTGCTATTCCCCAGCAAGCCAACGTGGATCTTGTTCGGTATCCTATTCCTCCTCAACTTTATCGACGTTCTCCTCATCATCGTTCTTGACCTTGATAATTCGGCTATTGATAATCTTTCAACCGGTCCTCGCATACTCGCCGCCCTCTTTCAGGCTGCCTCATCGCGTCATACCGGAACCTCGACATTCAATCTCGCCGACGTCAATCCTGCAGTACAGTGGAGTCTGGTAGTCATGATGTACATTGCCGTCTTTCCTATTGCAATCAGCATCAGAGCGTCCAACACCTATGAGGAGAAGTCCTTGGGTATTTACTCGGCGAAGCTCGAAATGGACGAGAGCAAAGGTGCATCGTATGTCTTGATGCACATGCAGAACCAACTCAGCTTCGATCTGTGGTACATCTTCCTGGGTGTTTTCTGCGTCTGTTGTGCTGAAGCAGATAAGATTGTTGATCTGAGCAATCCGGTCAGTTGCAATCAGACCTTCGACGTTTCCAGAGTTGACAATGCGACCATAGGCGTTTTCCGTGTTTCCGATCTTTTTTGAAGTGGTATCAGCATAGTCAGTAACATCTTCTCCTCCCTTCATAACCCCGAAAATTCTCTTGCTGATATTGCTTTCGTTTGGCAGTGGCAATGTTGGCCTCAGCCTAGGTCACCCGTCTGTCATGACTTCCCTTTGCGGCAAGTTTACAACATTTAGCAAGCTCGTCATATGCGCGATGATGATACGTGGGCGTCACCGTGGCCTACCTTACAGCCTTGATCGTGCAATCATGCTACCTGCTGAACGCGACCCGGGTCAAGAAGATTCCTCATCCGATGCCGTACAGGGGAAGAAACAGGATTAGAATCAATATAACGCCAGTTAAACGACGATGAGTAGGAATAGGAGACATTGTTACCTTTTCTGCGAGTTGGGGAGGTCTTGGTGACCGCGTCATGTCACTCATCCCATGGTTTCCATGATTTCCATAATTAGTCACTCTTCCACATGTTATAGGTGGATGTGGTGATATTATTTACCATGACCTCTTCCCCGAGTTGGATCCCAGACCATGATATGGAAAGCAACGGTAACCTTTCAAAGTCTCATGGAATTGTCCCGGGCGAATCATAAATAGCGCGAGATGCGCATAAATTACGCTTACTCGCGTACGGCGCCGTCGATTCGCGTACGGGCTCGGCGATATGGGAGATGCAGGACCAGGCAGCCCCTCGGCGAAGCTCCTAGTATATCACTTCAATATATATATGCTCCTACGCTTGGAGAAGTAGAAGAAGAGCAATAAGAATGAGTATATACTAACCGTAATTCACACGCCTTATTTAACTTAAATAGCTAGGCTATTAATGAGTGATATTCTTGCTGTATTTGAGCCTTTTGCGTTGTTAGGACGAGGTTTTTCTTGAGATTTTGAAGCATTTAATACGGATACATGTTAAGTCATTTGGCAAGTTGACGCTCTGCCCTCGACTTCAAAACGCGTATCGTCAAGCGTCTTTACAGAGATTGGACCGTCGCCATGTGCACAATCATAAATTAAGAATCCCTAGTTACTGCTTTACTCAACAAAAATTCGCCACGTCTATAGCCCTTTGGTAAGGATCTGGGCTGTGAGACGAGCAAATAATCTCACTCTCGCTATCTAAACGGAACAACAAGGATAAGTCCTGAGCTTCATGGCGAGGGGTGGCTAATCATGCCCAGTGTCGCAATTTGGCAACGCAAATCTCGAAATCACAATTCCAAGTCGAGCAAGGGAGCATGTTGTTGACTGCAATGCACGTCACGCTCACCGAATCCTCCTGCTATCCATGGTCTTGGGATCGTAAACTTGAAGGCGAGCGCGGGCTTGAAGAAATGCGAAGCCAGAATTTCCATCTCAGTGATGTGGTACAACTTGGCCAGTTTGGCATCTCCCAGCGCTGGACTCTTTTGGGCATAATTGAAACATTGTTCATCATTGAAAATTATGTCAAATGTGAGTTCGAAAGGCCCTGCGTTCTTTGAGCGGATGACTTTTGCCAGCTTCAGCAGCGGGATCGGCCCCTCTCCTTCGGTAATATGAGCTGAAGTTCCGTTGGCTCCGTTGGTCCTATCTGCCTCGGTGTGGCCGGCAGTCGATTTGTGCTCGCCGTTACTTGCGCTGTTCTGTCCTTTCTGGATCAATAATAATGGTGGCTCCGCTTGAAGGTCGTAGCCAAATTCCAGGTTCCTGGGGGCGGTGCTATCATCAGCAACACCCACAATCGACACGTGCCGAGGGAAGAGAGCAGCTGGATCGGACACGGGCAGCAAATGATAAATGTTAAACTCCGATATTTGACCCAACGGGATGTGTAATGGAGTGACGGGCATGGCCAGATTTCCCGCGGTGGCTACCTGTCCAGGGTAGGCGCCATGAACACAGGCAACACGGGCTAACGCTGCCACCTTGTCGGCAAGCTCCTGAGTCTCGGCTACAACGTCGCAGAGTAAAAAGATTTCCTTGGGAACATGTGAATGGTCCGGTTCAAGAGGGCCCATGGTACCATTCAATCCGTAGCTTCGGAACATAATCTGGAAATCGATCTTCTTGAACCTCTCCTTGATGAAGGCCTCGATACCTGCCAACCAGTCGTTTAACTGCGAGATCAGGATTGGATCTCGAATGCTCCCTTGGGTTATGGTTCGATATCCTGTCACTTTGGCTCCTTCCAACTTCACGGTGTAGGTGTCAGCGACCTGGAACACCGCGCCAGTCGAGCCACCAGATCGACCTTCTGTGGGATAGAACGATGCTTTGGTGAGATCTATGGCCCCCCCTGGACCAGGATGATAGTCGCCGCGCGCGTTCTCGTAAAGGCTATGTGATGCCAAAGAATAGGCTGTGCATCGCGCATGACCCTGGAGAGGCAGCATCTCGAAGCGGTCATCCCAGACGGTCGCAAATGCTTCTCTCGACTTGGGCGTTCCAGCATGGGCACCACATTCCATCACCTTGCCCATATGATACGCCGTGCCGAGGTTCTTAATGCCTTGGTCGACACAGTATCCTGCGTATGGAGCAGGATCGTACGCCCGGCCGGCGATGATGATGTCAACATCAGGGTTTTCCTTGAGTGCTTCCACAAAAGGCTCCAGGCCCATCTGAGCCACAATAGTTGTTGCAGCATCCACTTCTTTCTTTTCAAGCGCTGGGACATAGCCGCAAGGAGTGATAAGGCCTTGGTCAATTGACTTCTTTATCAGGTCTCTGTCTATCTCGGCATAAATCTTGGTCACCTTGAGGCGATAGTTCTTCTTCTGACAATGCTCTTCGATGATATCAACAAATTCATCCACGTGCTTGTTCGAACCGTCACCACCTGCAGAGCTGATCAGAACCTTCACTTTGTGATGCCAGCAGGCGTCAACAATGTGCTCAAAGTCTTCCACATACGCGTCATGAGGACACATGGTAACACCCAGTGCAAGCTTCTGAGGGCCACTATCTGTGGATCCCGCATCAGCAATGATGGCAGTTGCGCCGAGCTTTAGCCCTTCGTACAGTTTGGCGGGGTCGAAACCCATACCAATACTGCCGACTGGCGTGACGATTTTAACTGGAAGTGACATGTATGAAGGGCTTAGATCAAAATGCTGCCACTAAGCCGAAGGACCGAGCACGATGGGCAAAAAAGAACAACTCTCCTGCATTTGGGCGGCCTCTTGTCTTTGTTATACACAGCTGGACACGCCAACTTGTGGATCTTAGCAAATCCGCCTGGCCGTCGTTAGGAACACGACTTGCCCCTGTTGGTCGAGAACCTGGACCGAGCACGACAACAAGCATGCCGAACCGCATTGTAGGCGCTGGCGAAGACCCGATCTATTAGAGGACCTCGAGGACCCAACATCCTAATGCCGACGGTGACATGTGTCCCATGACCTCAACAGACGCCGCATTGGCATTGAAACACATGCTACTTTTCTGTGAGTGCGAGCACGTCCGGCAAAAGGGGTTCATTGCGTGTGTAAAGCTTAGAGCAGCTCCTAGGCCGGCCTTGTTCCAAAGAACTTGCAACAAAGCATTTAGAGGAAGCCACCTATAATGCTGAGCTCTAAATTTTATGCCGGATATGTGTCCTGGCCCAAACACCTCCAATGGCAATTCGCCGGACAAAATGAGGGGGTAACTATTCTCGGCGAAGAGCGTCGGAGCCGGCATGACACGCCGAATGGAGCATCGGCATTCCGTGTGGGGTTTCCAGGCCGCAACCGAGGACTGACATCCCAAGGCTAACATCTCGAAATTCCCCCACACGGCTCTCTTGTCTCAGGTGAGGGGAATTTGTCCAGGACTGATATTTCTTCTTTACCTCAGGCTGATATGGATGTCTATTTGGCAGCATCTGCTTACGTGTTCGACAGTGACAAGGCTTGGGGGAGTGTTCCTGACCGAGTGGGAACATGGCGTATTCGCAGAAGGACCAGCCTTGGCTAGCATTTCCGCGTATAGGCATTCCAGAATGCCCTCCTCGAGGGTGCTGAGCCGGCAAAATCCCATTATTGTCGGGTTTTCACGACCAAGGCATGAAGAAGTCTCATCGCAATCCTTGAGTATCCGAGGCCCAAGACATCTACCCCAGTTTGTATGGTTTGTTGGGGCCGAAGAATTTCGTCACTTGACACTGAGCGGAATCGTTAATCTCGATAGTCCTCCACGGACCAGGTTATGGACTTCCCTTTGCGGGATTCTCAGTCTTGGCCCTTCCTTGAAAAGAGCTATCAATGAGATCGAAGTTGTCAGCCGGTTATAGTCAGTACTAATTTGCTGGCGACAACTTCAGTCTCAGGCAGCAATTAAAAGCTTCAGGATATGAATGCAGCACGATGACCTGCTTTTCCAGCTCTTGGTCTTATCTCCCAAAGCAGCAAACAATAACTGCGCCTCTGACAACGACGATGAAGAGCTCGTTTGCTACCCGCGCGGTATTCTTCGCCAGCCTCGTACTCTGCAGTATCGGTCCTTCCATCGCGCAAAACAACTCTTTTTATACTGCCTCTGCTGGATTTTCGTCTATCCTCGGTCTCAATCCGAAAGTGACCCTCCTTGCAGAAAGCGAGCTGCCTTTATTCCATGAGGGAGGTGTTTATTATGCTCCAACCAACTCTCTTTTCGTCACCTCCGACTTGATCCCAGACCCGTCAACTGCAAATGGTACATGGCAGCTCATATCCCATGTCACGGGCAATCTCACGTCTTCCGCCACGACCCGAGTCACACCACTCAACGCAACGAGCCATGCCATTCCTTACCCACTTGGCGGCTATCCCTATCTGAAATCCAAGGGACTCATTGCCTGGCTCGGTCAGGGCTCCCTCACAAAGCCGGGAGGCGTATTCTTCATGAACCCTGAACCTCCGTTCAATGTTACTCAGGCTCTGTCCAGCTACGGCGACTACGACTTCAACTCTCCAAACGATATCGCCGTCACTCCTTCCGGCGAGATCTATTTCACCGATCCAATCTACGGCTCTGAGTATGGCTTTCGCCCCAAAGCTCAGCTTCCAAACCAAGTTTACCGCTTTAATCCAGCTACCGGAACAGTTAGAACTGTAGCTGATGGCTTCAGCCGGCCCAATGGTCTTGGCATCAACAAGGACGGAAGCACCGTCTATATCATCGACACTGGCGCTCAGGTCGGCGACGGAACCATCGACTACCAAGGCCCCCGAACCATCTACGCTCTCGATGTCCAAGGGAGAAAGCAAAATGGAACCGGTGGATTTCTCGGAAACAGACACCTCTTTTGTTTCCCCAGCTTTGGCGGTGCGAAAGGCGTCAAGACAGACACTTTAGGCAATGTCTACGTTGGATTAGATGATGGCGTATCGGTCTTCGACGAAGGCGGTGAGCTTCTGGGAAAGATTCTCATCGACGATATTGCCAACATTGGTTTCGGTGAGCCTGGAGTCATTTTCGCCATGGGAGAGACAAGGCTGTGGAGGGTAGACCTTTCAGATGCAGTAGTGGGGTCAGCGCAGACGATTTGATCTGGTCTACCGTCATGTCTGTGCTATATTTTGCAAAGTGCGAGAGGCATAACACGATCTACATCTTGGCAATTGTTGGACGTTCTATCGAGGTTCTATCGTGGCCTTGACGATTCTTTTCGTGCTATACAGTTTCAGGCATCAGATATGGTTTTAGACTTTCCACCAAGAAGAAGTTGCCATCAGTGTAGCTGAAGTGTAGTATGCAGCTGTTCCGCGCATAACATGTCATTATCGCCAGGGCGAAAAACACATAGATTGTTCATTTTATCTTTATGTGATCATCGTCTCTCGACGAGATGTTGGATGCTACAAGGCATCAATTTCTTATGTGTAGATGTGTATCTCCTCAGAGAACATTCTTCAGCTTCTGTCCGGCTTGAAACTGTCTCACATTGTGCGCAATGAGACCTTCAGGATCCCGGGGCCTGCCCCCAGCGGCATGAGGTGATAGGATCAGATTCGGCGCCTTCCAAAGAGGACTGGCCTCTGGCAGTGGTTCCGTCACAAATACGTCAAGGGCGGCGCCACCAATCACACCCTTGTGTAGTGCCTCGTAGAGAGCCTTCTCATCCAGAGCCATACCCCTTCCGACGTTGACTACCCAAGCATGCTTCGGCAAAAGTTCAAGTCGCTGAGCGGAAAGCACGTTTTTCGTGCCCTGAGAACCCGGCAGCATCATCAACAGGACATCAGTCTCCGGCAGCAGCTCTTCTATCTTTTGATCGCTAAAGACTTCGATCCCACTCCGGATCCCTGGCTGTCGGGCAATACCACGTACTCGAGCTCCAAGTGCCAGCAACAGAGGAGATAGCGTACGTGCGATATTTCCGAAGCCCCATATTAGGACATTGGCGTCGCACAATGAGGTAAACGCACCGGGCGGCCGATCGGGTTGCATTCCCCCGAGATGCCCGGGCCATTTCCCCTGCATTTGATAATCACGCATCTCGAAGAATCGACGTGCTGCATTCAAAATGAGACCAAGCGTATGTTCAGCAACCGTATGGTCGTGTAAACCAGACCCACTGGTCAAGATGACCTCAGGGCCGAAACCAGCTGCAAGAATGTCGTTGGCCCCGGCGCTCAAAGATTGGACCCAGCGGAGTTTTTTGAGACGCGTGGCGGCATCCTTCAAGTTGTCTTTACTGTTGAACCAGGTAACAAGTATTTCTGCGTCGAGATCTACCTCCCGAAACAGTTCTTTAACATTGTAAGGACAGAGCTCAATTGAGAAACCCTCTACGAGCGAGATGTCCAGCTTGTGTGAGGTTGGGTACAAAAGTTTCACCATTTCGGTTGTCGGTTGGTGAGCAACGGCGAGGTACTTTTGTCAATACGAGCTTCTACTGGATCTGGTCGAGGCAAGCTGTGGTCACCTGTTAATCCGATGACTCCATGTATCATCTTGGCTGGTCCCAAGATCGGGAAACACTGAAGAATTTGTACAATAGGGTACTGGCATTATTGCCGGTTCACTCCGGTCAAAGATTCTATTCTCTACACGCAGGAGTGGGAAAGGCGAGGCCAGAACACAGAACCGGACTTCTCCAACAGATGCCATTCCGGCGGCGAACTATAAGCAGGCAGTCGTGCTTCCCCAGAGCCACGCCCGGACCCCACATTGACCGGCCGCACTAACCCACTCAATCCTTTTGACAACTACATTGGCGAAAGACCACGGTTGTCGGTATGCGATTCCACTTACCAATCGCTGCAAAGTCCTAGCCCCATTTAAAGAAACCTCCTCTTCCATGCTGTATCAGGTATGATTCAATCTCAAGGATTTCTCATTGTCTTTTCATTGCACCTCACCGCCAGCCAGAATAATTTCTTAGTGAGCTCCTGCGACTTTGTACAGAGCCCTTTTCATCGACATGGAACGTCTCAAGCCCACCCCTGGTGAAATGACCACTGTCGACAAAATCGAGGTCGAGAATGCATCCAGCGGAGTGATCACTAGCCGCACCAACGTGGTGCTCAGCGATAAGGATCAGAAAAAGGCCCGTCGTCTTAGATGGAAGATCGATCTCTGGATCTTGCCCATTATGACCATCATTTACCTGCTCGCTGCAATGGACCGCTCCGATATTGGAAACGCTCAAGTCGCCGGAATGCAGAAAGCCATTGGCGCCACCGATTCTCAATGGTCGAAAGTTGTGTCGCTCTTCTATGTCGGCTTCGTTCTGGGTCACGTTCCTGGTGTCTTCGCTCTGCGAAAGCTGGGACCTCCTGTTGTGCTTGGCGCGGCAGTGGCAGCCTGGGGAGTTATGGTCACACTTCTTATGGAGGTTGAGACGTGGTCACAAGCTGTGGGAGTTCGGATTTGCATCGGCTTTGCAGAAGGCATCAGTCATGCTGGTCCTCTATATTTGTCTCTATGGTATACACGGAAAGAGTTAGGTACTCGCGGCGGCATCGTGAGTATTTCCCCTTCCAGTTGACTTTGGATTTGGAGTAGCTATCGGTTCTCGCTCTGCAACATCAATACATAGCTAACGTCAATTCGCAGTTCTACTCAGCATCCAGCTTGGCAGGAGCTTTCAACGGCTTGATTGCATATGGAATCGTCAAGACATATTCTCACCACCCTCCATTTGCTCCATGGCAATGGATTTTCCTGATTGAGGGCTGCGTGTCCATCGGCTTTGGCCTATTCGCCTTGGGCGCCCTTCCTGGAGCCCCTGATAAGCTTAGCTGGGGCTTCACAGCCGATGAAAAACGCCTGGCGCTCATTCGCACGCAGAGAGCAAACAATACACCTCACGAGCGCATTCGCTGGAAGTCCGTCGTTGGAGCTTTCAAAAGCCCAATGTGGGTGGTTTACACGCTGATTTTGGCCTGCACTCAAGTCGCACTTGGTGGGTTGTCGAGCTTTCTCCCAGCAATTCTCAAGGGACTGGGCTACTCCTCTGTACATGCCCAGCTGATGACAGTGCCAATCTATTCGGTATCGGCTGTGTCCACTGTTGTATGTTCCTACTTCTCCGACAAAACGCAACTTCGAGGCCCTTGGCTTGTAGGACTGTCGTCATTTTCCCTGGTTGGCTACATCATGGTCCTTGCTAGCCACAACAACCACGTCAGGTATGGTGGCCTTTTTCTGGCCGCAGCCGGTCAATATCCAATCGTTGTGATTGTATTAACATGGCTGGCTGTCAATATTCCAAACTTCACTCATCGAGCCACGATCTCTGCCACGACTAACATCCTTGCACAAGCTATCACTACCGCCGTCCTCACGACTTTTGATGATCCCCCATACTACCACAAGGGCTTGAGCGTCGTTATCGGCTTGACATGTTGCTCTCCAGTCCTCTCCTCATTTGGCATGTGGTATGTCAGGTGGTTCAACTCCAGGAAGCAGCCTGCAACGGAGCAGCAGCGTGGTATGACTCTCGCGGAGCTTGGTGAGGACCATCCGGATTTCTTCCTCCAGATGTGAGGTGAAGATTGTCGATGGCAATGCCAGGATCCCGGGCTGTGCAGTTTCATTGAAAGACTAGAGGCATGGTTTTGAACGGAAGGTGAATATGTGAGGGGCCAACTGCACACTGTGGCCGACACGACTGCATCGTATGAAACCGTGCATCTGAGCTTCGAATCAGCATATTTATGTAGATGCTCATGTACAGCACGCACAACTACTTACAAAATAGAGACACGAATTGATTGCTTTGCCGGCGCAGATGTCGGCAGGAACATCTCTATCTTCTCCACTGCTTACAACGATGTAACAGATCTCGCCAAAAGTCTCTGTGGTTAGTAAGAGCTAGCAGATTCCGTAATTTGAGCATAGTGCCATAAGCATGGCCAGGATATGGATGCTGCGGCATCAATGCCTGAAAAGGGACTTGTTGCTTCGAGTACAGACCGATTGAAAGAATAGTTCAGTAGAGGCCGGCCAACAGGCATGGACTTGAAAGCTTGCGTCGGTAGCGTTTTAGGCGTGGATTAGGAATGATAAACCGGCATGGGGTGGAGACCGCTCTCACCCGGACCCTAAGGGCATAAGGCATTCGAGCTCTTACCAGTTACTGTGCTATTTGGAGTACCTCCCACCTCCCTCGGCAGGCGCCACCGCGGTAGCTCGATGATTTATAAAGTGTACAGCAAGCTTAGCCAATTTATTCGAGATCTCCTCACATCCGAAGTTCAAACCTGTGTCTCTCCCACAAAAGATTCAGAAGTCTATCGAAATCCACGCCACGACTGACGCACTTACAAGATGGCGATCTTTGATTTCCTACAATCAAATCTGCGCATATTCGACCTCTCTGTGCCCCTCGAAAATGGCATGCCGACTTCAGGCGCGCATCCTGCATTCCACCACGCCTTAGTGAGACGTCACGGCGACAAGTCAAGACCAGGTTCGGGCGGTGGCACCAGTGCGAATGATATTTTCGTGTCTGGAGGTCACGTCGGTACTCACATCGACGCGATAGGACACGTTGCGAGAGACGGAAAGCTGCATGGCGGCGTTGATGCAGTGGAGGCGACTCGAGGCGGTCGTTTCAACGTTATGGGCGTTGATACCATCAAGCCCATGGTCTGCAGAGGAGTTCTGCTTGACATCCCTGCTCTCAAAGGCGTGGAGCATCTCGACCCTGCCTACGGCATCACAGCGGAAGACCTTGAACAAGCGCTGGGCGACACAGAGATTAATGAGGGAGACGTGGTCTTGGTTCGGACCGGTTGGTTGAAACTCTACCATGATGAAAGGGCGTTCCTGGGCGAGGAGACCGGCGTTCCTGGTGTTACAGAGCCCGCTGCAGAATGGCTCGTCTCCAAGGGTGTTCGAGCGGCGGGAACAGATACGATGGCATTTGATCAGATAGTGCCTGGGCCAAAGAAACTGGCCAGGCCGGCACATGGTGTCTTGCTGTGGCAACATGCTGTGCACATCATTGAGCTTTTAGACCTGGAAGAGTTGGCTGCGGCCAGGATCAAGGAGTTTCTCTTCTTCCTTGCGCCGCTCAAGATGACCGGCGGAACGGGCTCGCCTGTAAGGCCCCTCGCAATTATAGAAGAATGATACGGTTGTTTGAATTGCTCGATTGAGTTCATTAGAGGTCTAGAAGAACGTCGTCCGTACCACAGGTTTTGTCTCAATACATTCTCTTCATTTGATCCTCTCTGCACCGCCTGGCACACATAGTCGCTCAGGAGTAATGTTTAATAATCTGTTATTTTATCTCGAGACGTACGCATTCAATCATCCTTGCTTCTGCTTTCCAAAAACAGAAAGGCCTTGGTAGTCGAGAAGTAAATCGTTCGGCTTGCTGAGAAAATGGAGTCCTGGAAGCGAGGCTTTGCCCCTTTACCAGACCAGGCTAATTGTAGAGTAGTGCCCCGACAGTCCGACAAAAGTGCACTTCGATTCCGGTCGGTGACGCATGCCAAGGCACTACTGCGGAGGGGGTTGGTACGAGTACCTTCAGTCCTGGAATTCGTCAAAACGCTGGTGACCTTCAATACGCTCTCTCGTCACCACTCCCACCATTAGTGCACTGACACGGCTGGAAAGCAGCAGTTATTGGCGGCTATAATTTTGGCTTGAGTTCGGCCGAGGTGGCTTTCTCCTCGTCCCAATACGATTAGGCTCCCATTCCGTACGTTCCGGCATGGTCACTTCCACCTCTGGAGTGCCTCCCGAATCCTTTGCCGACGGCCAGCTACAATACTGGGACTCGAGCTCACTCCTGCTGTTAGGCTTCTTAGCCGTAACCTCGAGTGCCCAGTGTGTACGATTCGGATACAGTACCGCTTTGATGCCTGATTGCTGATTCAGAACCAATCTGCTCGCCCGGGAGACAGCTCACCACCTCCTAGGCAATCAGTCACTGTTTGATATCTTCATTTGATTATTCACTTGTCGCCTCGGCCTGCAGTGGCGCTCGGCAAATCGCCCGAACGAATCGGCATCTTCTGATTCACTCCTACTTTCAGCACGAGAGCATATTGCTCTCTAGTCCTGGACTCCGCAGTGCTCACCATGAGGCCGAAAGCTTGTGTGAAATGTCGACAGTGGAAGACCAAGTGTTCGCTGTCCGAAGGCAGTACAGATGGCTGTTCGCGATGTCAGTCTCTGAAGATTCCTTGCGTGTTTGATGCAAGCTACAAACGCAACTCGAAGCGTATCTCTGTGCCCACAACGCCATCGGAGCCCCAGGAACTCCGACAAGGCTACACCGATATCAGAGCAAGTACTACAAGAAACAATGCTACTGCTCAGGAGATTGTGTTACCCACAGACTGGTCCACACTGGTGCCCACGAGCCTACCTAGTGATACTCCTCAACCAATCTCAAAGCCTCCAGAGAGCAGAGAGAATGGCATCCAGATTGGTAATGTCTCAATTTCGCCGGCGCAGGCAACGGAATATTTCAGGATTTACTTCCTGCGCTGTCACCAGTACCTCCCTTTCAAGATGGCAACCACCTCTCCCAAGGAGGTACGGGCAAGAAGCCCGTTGCTTTTCTGGGTCATCTGCGCGGTCGCGTCAACCTGGAAAATTCACCCCGAGCTACAGAGCATGATTAAGATGATGGTTCAAGGAACTCTCTACTCGACCATGCATACGGTGGACGCCGTTCAAGCTCTGCTGATTTTGTGTCTGTGGCCGTCACCAATTTCGTCCCTAAATGAAGACCCATCGTATTACCTAAGTGGTCTCGCGACACAAATCTCCCTACAGCTGGGACTGCATCGTCCGAGCCTACTACACTCTCACCAGTACTTGCAGGAGATGCTCTCTAGAAATGACGACACCGAGGTCAAATTGACCACCTGCCTTGCGTGCTTCGTGGTCCACCAGTTGCAGTCTGCCGCTCGGGGTCTTCCGCCGCTGTCGCAGGTCGACTTCCACCTCCTGAAGAGCCTTGATAACCCAGTCGTGCATCCTAACCTGTCACAGCTATGTCGAATATGCTATGTGATGTCGCAGACTACCGAAGCTATATGTGCCAAGAGCTCAACGCCGTCCGGGATGTTAGAACCAGACGCGAGGCTTAACATGGTGGGTTTATGCGACCAACAATTTGCAACCCTACAGCAACAACATCTTCAATACATGAGTGAGGTGGTTGAGATTGTGTTCCTGAATGCAAGACTCCAGCTATGGTCCTTCGCTTTGCTACCTGATATATCCTCTCTACAAGGGGCTCAAGGCTATGTCAGCAAGGCCCAACGAGATGCAGTCAACCTAATCGATCTCTGTTGCGATAGGAATCTAGCTGTGGCTCCCTTTCACATTCGACATGCCATGAGCTATAGCGGGTTTGTTCTCGTGAGCGCGCTACAATCACGGCAACTTGAGGATTGTGATGTGGCTCGACACAATCTAGAGCGCGTTTGTCAGGCGCTGGAGGCCATCAACTGTGGGCCAAACGATATATCCCACAAGGCCTCGCAAATCCTCAGGGAATTGCCAAATCTGGAGTACTCGACTGATCGACAGCCTATCCAGTCTCGGATGGGAGCAACTTTGCTGTATGACTCGCTCAGACGGTATTATGAGCACAAACATCTTTCTGACTCGTTGTCTCAGCAGAATGGGGACCAGATGCGCGCATTTGATCTCGATGGGATTGACTGGTGTAGCTTGAGTTTGCTATTATGAGAGGAATACATGCTTCAGAATGGTGGTGACTTTGTCTTTGACGAACGAGGAACACGAACCTTCAAAGAAGTACAATTCGTTTTCACTGTACATGCATGAGATGGAGTGTTAGTCTCGACCATTTCTCACAATCTGCCACTGTGCCAATCAATGGAGATGTGGCTGCTGCACTGTAGCAGCTCCACAAGATGCAATGCCGAGGTGATTGTTTCCGCTGTGGCCACCGCGGCTTCGTGCTAGAGCTGTCTTACACTGAGCCAATGACAAGACGCCTGCATCCGGCCAGCGCAGGTTTGCTGGGTGCTGGACCTGCGTTGATGGCCAATATTGGATTGGTCGGCCGTCAAAATATCCACATGGACTTGGAACTCAACCTGAATGCCTTTTCTCAAAACCTAGACCGGCCCTTGTCACCACATATTTAGGGAAAAACCGGACGGGCGAAACCGTTGGCCTTCACTTTGCCTTCGTCCATAAATAGGCACGAGGCTGGGTACGCGCCATCAACCAGCTCAGATGCCCTTGCCAGAATTATTGGGAGAGTTTACTCTTCGATATTGCGTCCACAATGCCAAATGATGCCAGAAATGCGAATGCAGCAGTTAGTAGAACGAGACAAAGGGATTCTACGAGGATCGCCTTGAAGCGGCATGGGCGACTTTACGTGCAGCGTCTCGTTCAAGATTGCTTCTGCCCACTAGGATAATCATAGGAACTCTGCAGCCAGCCCTCCGGCCTCCTTCAATCCACATCCTGGCGGCCCCCGATACCAGATACCAGACGCCTCCATTCTTGCACCATGATCCCGGAAGATTAGACCAAAGTCATGAGAAGTGAGATGTTAAGCGACTGATGTGCTGGATTGGAAGAGCGAATATGGAGTACCGTATGCCTACGCATCTTGATTCCTGATGACTATCCGTACTGTGCAAAATAGAGACCGCAATTAGATTCTCTAGTAGTCGCTCCAGACTGAGCCACGATTCGTCACGACCCCGAACTGAGGTAGCTCTGACTGGAGTGAACTGGTGTACAACCCGTACTCCTATGGTAACAGATATTTCGAGTCATCACGAAACGAAAACTAAGCGGGTACAGCCTGATTCTCACAATCTTGCCTCTCCCCCCACTAATCGAGACACAATAGCATAGGTAAAAACGTATTATCAGACGGGTGATTCTTCTCCCTGGAAACACTCGTACAAGGGACCAACCAGAAGAGCCTTAACTGGAGGCTGAGCACACTTCAAAAGGTGTACTCGGCCCACCTTCCATTTTGTGACAACAGATCCTTCTTCCCCGACCCTTTTCCCCGCGCCACCGCGAGTAATCGCTGCATCCCCCGTCTTACTCTGTAGGAGCAGGAAATATCTGCTGCAGTCTAAATACAGCCTTCTGGAATTCCAAGAAAGCTGGTTGTCGCATCTACATTACAGTCTCAGTATGAGATGTTCCATGATGGTTGAGAGTGACAAAAGGAGTTGCACTTGCCAAAGTAAGCGATGAGGCGTTGAGGATCGAGTGCGCGACATCGAGCGTGGAAAAATCCGGCTCAACTGCAGGTGAATTCCAGATGAGCTTCTGAGAATTAGCCTCGCATCAGCGGACGATTCTTATTTCAATAAAATGGACGCGTCTGCTTCAAAGCCACCAAGGCAGGCGACCGCCTGTAATTGGTGTCGCGCCCACAAGATGAAGTGCGATGCCGAGCAGCCATCGTGTCGAAATTGTCAAAAGCGAAGCATTCAATGTGTTACGACTGATCTACGACGACCTGAGAGGAGTGGTCAGAGAACAGAACCGAAAGGCCGACGTGCTAATCGCACTACTACGCCAATCCTCAGCAGTATTCCCCATCCTAAAACCGACGAAGACTACAATCCATTGACGATCCAGTTGGGGACACGCTCGACCACCCCGCCGCCATCCCCGACCAGTCATCTTCTCGCTCAAATTGAGCATGACAGAGCGATACCTTCTATTTTCACTACGCCCTTCCAGAATGGAGATCAGCACACGAGAAGGTCTCGGCGGACAGCGCATTCTAGCCTTGACTCCACCACCAAGGTGCCTCCCGTCAGCCCGACTAATGTGAGAGGGGACATGACCTCAGAGCCTGGGCTTAGTCCTCAAAACTCCGGGTTGCTGGTCGTTACTGACAAGAGCCGTTCTCGACTTCAAATCGTTGGCAGTGGAAGTAGTGTCTATGTCATGGCACATTGGCTGGATCTCTTCTTTGCGAAGCGTGATTACTGGCGTCCAATCTATCCCTTCTTCCAACAAGGACTTGCTTACTCCATTGAAGTCCCCTTGCCGTTTCTGAATTCATTACCAAGCCTGCCACCTCCTTCAAAGGCTGCGGAATATTTCTCGTCGTTCTTCTCACAACTCTACCCAATATATCCCATAATTGATCTTTTATCGCTGGAGCAATCCATTGGACTTTTGGGTCCCAAATTGGACCAACAGCAACAACGCTTGGCGCCTACGGATTATCCTGCTTTGGCATGTCTCTATGCTGTTTTTAGTATCGCTGCTGATGAACTCAAGGGTCGACCTACCAGCTCTGGTGCAATTTACCTAGAAGGCGCATATTCTCTGTACGCGCATCTTGTGGCCCTGCCGTATGTTGCGTCGGTTCAAGCATTACTTCTATTGGCAATAGTTTTAAGACACCGGAATAAGGATGGTGCTAGTCTGGGGACACTCGGGCAAGCAATTCGAATTGCACAGTCAATTGGACTGCACCAGTATATGCCCACCACCAGTGTGATTGGCTCTAATTCCGGAGGCAGCACAGTGGATGTCTCGGGTGTGACGGACCTCCACTCCCGCATATGGTGGACGGCATATATTCTCGAGAGAGCCATGGAGCTTGAAACGGGGAGACCATCTGCTATTCGAGACAGTGAGTGCGACCAAATCCGTCCCGCACCGGTCATGACTCAGCAGCGCCATATCCCTTCGTTCGATTACTTCGGATCTCTCATTCAGCTCGCTCAAATCCAGACGCAGATAATTGAGCTCTTCTATACGTCGAAACAGCGGCGTGAGACCAAAGAACTCTTACATGAAATGGGACGCCTGGATCGTGCCTTATTGGAATGGGCGGCTCGATTTCCTGAAGAGATAAGGTGAAACCTTGCTTCCGCTATCTCGAGACTGTCATTAATTTGCCATCTAGGCCTGGTCGAGATATCTTCTGTGCAGAAGAAGAATACCATCTGGCGACATATGTGACTTTGCAGTACCACCAAACGTGAGTCAGATCATCGGTGACCTTCCAAAATCTAACTAACACGACCCGTCAGGTTCGTGGCCTTGCACAGACCAGCTCTTATGTCCGCGACCCCCTGGCTGAGAAGTCGTGTCAACCAGCTTTGTGCAGATACACCCTGGCGCAACAGGTTGAGATATGCATTGTGCATCGGTGCTGCATCCGCCCGAGCTAGTCTGAAGGCACTCAACGACTTGCTACTCTATGCAAAGGCTTCTAGATTGATCACTGCGAATCAGACCTTACTCCTTATCCTCGTGCTTGCGATCTATGTGACTCGAATTCCTACGAGTAGGATGAATTCCTCGGATCTTGCGGTAGAGTACCCTCCATTGATTGGCCAATGGCAGTGCTAATGTCCAATCAGATTGTCGTCACGTTTGCTGAAGAGGTGGAGCGGGACTACTTGGCTATGGGGCAGGATATCGACTTTGCAACCGGTAAGCGAGACCCGTCCGAACTGCAACATCCCTTCCGCTGACGACATTTCCAAAGGACTGCGCATGCTACGAGCACAGCTGTCTGAGCATATCAGGCTAACAAAAGCAGAACTCGGACAAGCTTCATCCCCTGAGTGTGCAACGACAACAACCGAAGGCCAGCCAACTGATGAATCATCAATGGGTTTCACCCCAGATTTCGACCTGAGCAGTCTGGATGATGTGTGGCCTTCACTCTGGACCGATGACCTCAACGGACTCTACTTCAATGATACAAGTCAAGACGGCACCTTGAGCGCCTACTTGCTTGGACTGCCACGCACGAACAGCTGAACCAACCGCCAGACTGACCGGATTGCCGCGGTGTTCGCCCTCTTCCACCTATTATTTCCTGAACTATCCTGCTCCATGAACTCCTCCAATTCTTCCAGTACGGCAGGGAAAAAGTCCCCGTTATCTTTGCGCCACCTCCGGGTATCCCGCCGTTGAAACAGCACCCTTTAATTATGGCTGGAAACGCCTCTGTTCCAGAAAATCAAACCCCCGAACCCCATGGTGGACGGGTCGAAGGCAAAAGTTGAGGGCGTGGACGCTGTCCTGAATAAAATGTGGCCAAACGAGTGCAGATCTTCGGCACTGACCGTTAGGTATGAGGCTGCACAGTCGATTCAAACCATTAACTGCCGTTAACCACAGCGTTAAGCATTCAGATGTAATCCTTGAATTTCTTGTTCCAGGTCTGCTCTTTGCAATGGGCTGCAAAGGCGACTATCTGATTAAACACCGTGAAGGTGATTGCGCTTGACATCTTGAGATCATCGTCAGTTCGGCTGCTGTGTAGAAATAGATTGTTCTCACTTACTGTCAACCTCAAAAGCCGGGGGGTTGTCGCCCGCCAAAATACAAGCGGACCTTCCGTCTTCAACATCGAAAGCGCCAATCTGTTCATGCCAACAGACTTGGTAGATCCCAGACTTTGCATCCGGGTTTTGATGTTGTCAAATGGCATCGAAGCGTATCTGGAGAAAAATATGTTAGTATGGGGGGGGGGCGTGTTGTAGAGTGTCTTGCAGGCCAGAGGAGAAAGCTCACGTCGTCACAACGCCACTGAGCGCACCCGCCGTGACGGTAGCACCGACACCATCCATATCCCATGATTGCCGTATCTTGTCCTGGACCCACCCAAACGTTGCGAACCTCACAGCGCTGTTCGTTCCCTGTTTACACAAGACGGGCCCCAACCCGCTCCACAATTCTCTGAGGCCGTCCAATTGGACTATCCGCACAGTTGCCTGCGCCAGGTTCAGATTGTTGAGGCCCAGTCTACCTCCACCAGCGGCAGAGCGGTCGTGGATGATTTTGGTCTTCAACGCTTCGCCGGGCGTGACAACCAGTACCGACTCGGTCGCCCCCGCTGTGAGTCCCGCAAGGACGTTGCTCAGGCCAGGATTCGATTCACCAAATGGCGTTTTCCGAAGGAATGCTTGACTTTGTGTGAATGATATGAAACGAATGCCGCCCTTTGCCGCGTTACTGAGTGCAAGCGCGGAGCAGCCCGAGTAGAGACCGCGAGGCCCAGAGGTCTCCAAGGTGTGACGAAGCACTTGGAGAGAGGTCTTTGGGCGGTGCGCGAGTAACCCGGGGATTGACCCTGATGGCTGAGGAGGCAGCTGTCGACACGTCTTGATGTATTCCGTTGGGTACTAAAGACAGCCTCAGTAAGCAGACCTCGAACAACTCCAAGTACGAGAAGCCGCTAGAATCAAGCTGGGAGGAGGGGATCTCCTTCGTGGCGCGATGCTACCTGCATGTCGCGATCATTCTACTTACAGTGATTAACGTCTCAGCGGCTCCCGCGGTCGCTCCAGCAACAATGCTGACAACAATCGTTGGCTTGCCGTCCATAGTTCTGGTATCGGCTTTTTCCTGCTGTCTGGATCTTTTGCAAGAATGATCAGGGTGGTCAAGTCAAGAACGGTATCCGACATGTTGCTAGTCTTCAGGTGGCGCTACGGATCCAACCATCTTTATTAGTATCAATGTTTGCGAGCAATTGCTCCATTCGTTGGATTGATGAGATGTCCGACCTCTCGCTTCGTACAACGACAGCTGAGACATTCACGAATCGGAACTATTAGGCGCGAATTTGCTCAGGAAATACAGCCCGATGGGGCGGCAAATGGAAGACTTGCGCTACGAAGTACTTCCATCGACGAAACTACACGGTGCCCACCTCAATCTCATGCGAACCCGTATTGGCACTACGCCGCGGAAGTTGACCGAGCGTTGAAAAGCTTGCGGGTGAAAGCGGGGAGGCTCAGCGATTAGGCTTGCTGAGTTAGAAGAGCGGCTGGCAGGTCAAAATCTTCGGGTGGGGCTTCGTCGTCGCCGAACAAGGCTGCCAGAAGAGGCGTCCCGTTTGTAGGTACTCAGATCACGGAGACCGGTTAATGCACGTGCGGACCTAACCCTCCGTCAACGATTGAGTCGCCGTCTGAACTTCCGCATCAAGGGGGAAAGAGGCAGCCTTCCCGTCGTTTATGATGGGCTTCACATGCGAAAGCACTTTCTTATCTTCCCGCAATGGCGTTTGCTCGGTTCGCAGGGGATTTCACTAATTATGTAGCCTCACATGCTCTCAAGGTATTGGTTTGAATAAGGCCAATCGAGGACGAGACCCCTGCCAGAGGCTCATCATACACCACAACACCAGCAAGCTACTCTCATTGATGTGGTGGCATTCAATGCGCCGCACCGACCTAGACATCCAACAAGCATAGGGAGTAAGGGGTGGCTCGGTCAGCGTCCGTGCCATATAGCGGCCACGGAACAATGATTTTCCATCTCGGTCAACTTCCGTGAAAGCCAAGCCCGCCCACCACCGGACTTGTGGAGCCGGAAGAGAATTGTATGGCTTGTTTGAACCCTGTCCCAGTCTGGGGCCATCAACCCAGCGCCACATTGCTTAACCAGCATAATGGCATGAGCCTCGCCACTAAGAAAATGCTTCGGAGTCTTGTCCACGCTTGACATGTCACATTCGATATCTCATTCGAGGTGTGAGAATCGACCCCGGCATTCGAAGCGATGCTTCATGCCATCGATTTTAAGTATTCGCCATTGTAGTGACGAGCAGTACTATAAGAATCCCCCAGGTTTCCCCCGTGGGATTCTTTGCTCCAATTTACACATCCTCTGACAGAGTTCCACACTTTCTCCTCTCTCAGTATCACCGATTCCATCAAAATCACAGGAACAACCTTCGACTTCTTCCAACATGGGTGTCTTCAATCACAAAGAGGAAATGGCAGACACGCCTAAGCAGGTGCTCAATTGGCGTCTCTACTGGTCCACCTTCGTGTTTGGCATCCTTGGTGCCAGCCGAGGCCTCGATGAGGGACTGGTGGGGGGCATGGTCGGCATGAAGAGCTTTACACATGAATTCCCCATGGAGCTAGGCACCAAGAACGAACAGGCAAACCGAGAGTCCAATATCACCAGCATGGTCCAGCTTGGCTCCATTGTCGGCGCCCTTCTCGCATTCGTTCTCTGCGACAAGATTGGCCGTGTCCGCTCACTTCAGGCCCTCTGTGTACTTTGGCTTACTGGCTTCATCATTGTGGTAGCCAGTTTCGGCAGCATTGGCCAGATTCTCGCAGGAAGATTCATCGCTGGGACTGGTATCGGGATGACCACCGTTGTGGGCCCCACATTCCTCGTCGAGGTTGCTCCGAAGGCCATTCGAGGCATGTTGACCAACATCTTCGCCGGTTCAGTCTACCTCGGAGTCATGGTTGCTTACTTCAGTAACTGGGGCGCCGCTATCAACCTCCCTAGCACCACCCGAATGCAATGGGTTGCCCCCCCAGACCGCACATATTGGTTTCTCAGGGTAAGTCACCCACCTTCCACGTATGCGCCATCACTAATTGGGGATGTAGACTGCTTTTCATCCTCTCCTTCACTGTCAATGAAACACCGCGCTGGCTCACTATGAAAGGAAAACATGAGCAAGCACTGAAGAACCTCTCCGTCCTCAGACAGCTACCCGAAGACCACCCCTTCGTACAGAACGAGCTTTTGGATGTTCGTGAACAACTCGAGCGTGAAAGAGAGGCCACCATGGGTTCATCCAGATGGGGAAAGCTCCGTGAGCTTGTCATGATCCCTTCCAATCGATATCGGTTCATGCTCGGCATCATGTCGCAACTGTTGGGTCAATGGTCAGGAGCCAGCGCCATCACGATTTATGCGGCCCAGTTCTTTGCGGCATTGGGAAAGACCGGGCAGTCTGAGAAGCTGTTCGCAACCTGCATTCTTGGTGTCGTCAAGCTATGCTCTGCCTACTTCTGTGCATTCTTTTTGATTGACTTCTTCGGCCGTCGGCGATCGCTCTACACCGGTATCTGTTTGCAACTGGTGGCCATCCTGTACGTGGCAATGTATCTCACCATGGTCCCACAAGATGCCCTCAAAGATGGGCTATTAAGTCCTTCGCAGAAAAGAGCCGCTACCGGTGCCATTGCGGCAATTTACATCTCGGGTTTTGGATGGGTAAGTTGTGGCCTGTCTTGATCATACAACATACGCTAACAATTTGCCAGGCTATGGGCTGGAACTCATTCCAATACTTGGTCAACGCCGAGGTTTACCCCATCAGGCTGCGTGCTCTGGGCTCGTCGCTGGTCATGTGCTTCCATTTCGTGAACCAATTCGGCAACACCAAGGCGGTGCCCACCATGCTGCTGGACATGCGCACCTACGGGTTCTTCTACTTCTGCACCATCGTTTGCGCTCTTGGCCTTGCTTGGGTCTGGTTCTTTGTCCCCGAGACCCGGGGCAAGTCACTCGAGAGCATGGATGCGCTGTTCAGCCTTCCATGGCACCAAATCGGGCGCAACGGCAGGAAGCTCACCGAAGGAATTGGCTCACACACGGATGAAGAGAAGTGGATTGATAATGAGAAGAAGAACACGGAACTTCAGCAGGTTGAAAACGCGACTTAGTAAATGTATCGGCATGGGATTTGCCTCGTAGATCTGACTGACTGGCAATGATTCCTATATGGCATCTACTATCATAAACTGACAGTACAAACGCTGTACAACCAAAATTCACAAGGGTTTTATAATGCTGACCAGCACCAGTTGGGCAAAGATGTGCAATGTTCTCAATAAATACCATCTGCTCTACTCCACCTTCCAAGCTTAGGAGACGCCTTCGACTTACTTTCTTATCCTTCCGCAATCCATCCATAGATTCATATCAGGCCTGTACTATTTCGAGACCCCTAGGCTACACTCAGTATCATGCTAGCTCCTTTGAAGTGTCTTCGCCATTTCCAGCCTTTCTCTGCTATTTCCGTCCCAGAAATGCCCTACAAAACTAGGCGTACATACCACCGTATACAGTGGGTCGGCGCAGGAAATCTCGAGCGACAAGTGGCTGCCTCTGCTGGTGGCATTGTCAGATTGCCCCCTATCCTTCAAGAAGACACAGCCGCACATCTGTACGAGTACAATTCTTGTGCGTACTATGACTTCTAGCCGTACTTCTAACTCCTGCCGATTTTCTAAGACTTCACAGCATTACTCGTTTCCTTGCCTGTGATCTCCGACCTATCCTACTGCCATCCCCTTTGCCAGTCCGGTGCACGTGCTATTGCACTGAGGTGAGAGCAAGCAAGTGTCCCTTCAGGCTGCGCAAACGTTGAATGAGGCTTGCCAAGCCTTCCAAAGCTCTGGGCTTTTTCAAGTGGTGTCTGAACCCTGGACTTGGGCTCCTCCATCACCAGAAACGCCCGGTTTGTGGCTCCGCATCGACTCTGCTATCAATTGTGGCCTAGGCGGGGGAGATTCTGTTCAACCCATCTGCACTTTTGGGCATCTCGTGAGCTGTGTTACGGAAGGAGGGACGCCCTTGGCCGTGTTATTAATCTCGCTATCGCGGTAGTTGTTCTGGCTTTCTCTTTAGCATAAGATTAGCGAAAAGTCTGCGCTAGTCATGCAAGTGCTGTGATGAACTAGCATGAAGATGCGCAAAGGCAAGGGATGAGGGTGACACTGTCCAATATGAGTTGATATGTAGCCGCTAGGGCTTCCTGCCGCTCGCTGCATCAGGTCTTCAGCTGCTTCGCATGCATGAAATCCAGACCCCTGTCCGGGGGACTTTTCTCGTAGAGAGTGTTGTCGGCAGTCCTGGCCCGGCCCGGCGGCTCTTGCAACCTTTCTCACTTCCGTTGCAATATCCGCTGCCCTTGAATCTTCTCATTTCTGAGAGTCCCATGGGTATGTATCCCTCAATACACCCCTAGTCTGTGGTACTTACCTAATTTGAGGGCAACAGCTCGAGGTGAAAAGGAACAACCAAGTCAGGTGAGAAGTGTCCATGGTTGTTGGGCTCAATTCAACACTATACTCATCCAAGTGCAATCCAGAGAACAGGCGGCTAGTCCACTTCTCCCAAGAGACCGCGTACTCGAGCTTTTGTCAAGCAAGAGCAGTTGCAGAAGAGAGCTGGTGGATCTGCTCCAGGAACACTGCCCGCACCCAAAGCTGGCGACCATCGTAGAACAGGCGGCTCTGAAGAGACCAAAGGCTTGACCCAAGTTGAGGGAGTCCGAAGCCCGGAAGTCGTTGAGGAAAACGGGCGACAGCCTGTTGCAAGTCAGAATCCGGTGGTCTCGCAGTGGCTGGGCGGCTTGAATATTACACCAATTGATGATCCAGGCACAGCGCCCTTCGGATACGACCTCCCCCTCATCGGCCATCACAGTCGGCGAGAAGAAAGCATGGAGTCCTCCAGCTCTACATCTCTCATTTCTACCAATACTGGTGACGATTTGTCTACCGTTAGAGACTTTGACAAGAAAGACAAAACACTGAGTTGGCACAAGCTTCGAGTTCGGCGTATCTTCAAGATGGCCGTAGAAGACAAGAAGTCGAAAGAGCTGAAATTAAAACTAGTTCACCAACAAAGCAAGCTGGTAAAAAAGGACCTGTCCTAATTGGTTGTTTTCCTAGAGGAAGCGCTTCAAGAATGTAAGAAATCGCCTCGAACGAAGGACTCGCCCTCTGTCATCGAAAATTTCAAAGATCAATTCCATGAATGGCAGTCTGACCACCGTCTCGCTCAGATGACGAATCGAGAATTCGGCATGGATGTCACTTACAGTATGTCGACAAATGAGGCGGTTTTGCAAAGAACCCTCATGCTTTCAATAATTAACCAATTCTACATCCATGACTTGTTCTCATTCAACTGCGAGGGGCAATGGAAACTGCATCCGGCATCGCCTGCCGAGCACGGCAGGGATGGATCACGTTCCTTTGCCTAAGTCAGACCTTGCTGTCTTCTTTACGCTGAGTGCTCTCATGGGAGCCAATATATGGGCTCCGGCACCCAAAGAGGTTACAGGATGCCTAAACCCAGATAGTGGAGAAGAAAGATGCTTTCCGTTTTTCTTCATGGAGGTTAAGCGCAGCGCTGACAACCTCGAAGCGGCTTTTCGAGCAAACCTCCATAGTGCCAGCCAAGCCCTCTACAACATTTTCCAGTGGATGTCCTTGGTTGACCTTCATGAGAACTTTTTGGACAAAGGTCCGTGTATTTTCCATGGACCTGAACGCGCGAGAGATAAAGTACGCGTCCATCGGGCCACGCTTCATCATGACAGATCACTCTGCTTCCATTTCGACGACGTAGCGTCACTCACTAATTACACAAGAGACCAGGCTTGTCAGCTCGTCAAGGGCGTCCTATTTGACTACGCCAAAACCGAGCTTCACGGCATCCTAACAGTTGCATTCCAGAAGGTGTCCGAGAAGAAAGAACTCTTGGCCCAGCAAGATGTGAGAAACTCTAGAAACAAGCGAAGGGCAGACTCCCTGCAAAGCCAATCTTCCTCAAAGCGAGGCCGGTCCCGAATTATCACCGACGTTCCGCCAGTACCAGGCGATGTAGCGGGCGAGGTCATCGCCTCTGCCTCATCGTTTGGCGCAAGCGGTCTGACCATCTGAGGATTTGCAGCCTCAGTTCATTGCCTCCCCCCTTTTCAATACAGTCCAATCACCTCTCCATTCTCCCAAAGTATGTTGAAAGTTCGTGATCACTTCATTTCTATCTATGAAGCCTTGCAGCTCGCGAAGCACCAGTTGTAGGACTCAATAACATCGTCGGCAAAGAGTGGGTGAAAGGTGGGGGACGGCCAACTCGCACAAGTTGTAAGGCGGAAATGGTAATTTAATATCAAGGCTAACAATAACGATTTTTCGTTCATTCTCCTACAAAGCGTACCATTTTGCGTGTGATGCATTCGACGAGGTCGGAGCAAATCATTGTTTGCCGTGGTCGGGCGATGGTCTACCACAACCGTCGCCTTCATGAGGTCCTGCGGGTGAGATACCCGCGAGTCTACCGGACCATATTATCCTGCACGCTAGAACGGGGGAGCCCTGGCTGCAGGCCGCAAGATTAGGTCTTCTGCTCTCGAGACCTTGACTTGGCTTGACTCGTTAGAAACAGACGCAAGTTCACCGCGAACATGTCACCTAGTCCCCTGCAATCGGATCCACCGCGTGAAAATAACCCTGACTAGAAATTTGTCGTCCGAGCCTCGAGCAAGGTCATGGCGGGCGCGGTCGTCTTTCATCTCCATAAGCTTTTTATTCTTCATAACATCGGTCTGAGACATCCTCCTTTCGAGTTGCCACGATGGAAGGGAGTTCACTTTGCCAACCTTGTCGAGGTATTACTCAGAGCTGGTCATACGCTTCTACGCAATGCAGCGGTTGACGCCATGGAGGGTGGTCATGCCAATCGCCTGAAGGTGATGTGGGAGTTGAAAATTGAGGGTGAAGGTCCAAAACGCATGGGTTACTCAGTCAGATTAGGATGTAGGGGCCGTGGAACAATTTCCGAAGATCGGGATGCTTCAATGAGCAGAGCTCGGATTGAACGCAGATGCGGAGCCACGATAAATGGACACGGATCATGTAATATCGGCGGCTCAACTGGAAGTCAGAGTCGTGACACGTCGAGGCAAACCCGAGCCGGCTAGGCCTCGAGAAGAATCGGTCGAGTTGGACCGTCAGCCATTTTCCCAACGTCCCACAGAGCACACACGCCCGTGTCAACCTCCCTGTTGGTGCCTTATTTCTAATTCCGTCCCGTCTATTTATTTACGATCTGGTCAAGCGCTTCACAAACGGCAATCAACTCCTCATCTTTGTAAGGTCGCCCGACGACTTGCAATGCCACTGGCTGACCTTTCCACATGTTCGGATCATCTAAGGAGAGAACGATCAGTATTTCCTAGCGACAAGGACAAAATATGCGCATACAGATCTCCCAGTTGTCTTTATCGAATGGATTGTCTCGAGCTTGATAGCCAGGATCTTTCTTATCCTTGATTGGGTCAATTTTTAAGTCTTCCACCGGCATGATCACCGAAGGGTAGTCGAGCAGGTTCCACAAGGAGGTGTAGCCCCAGTACACCGGAAAATCGTGGGGGATCGATGCCATGGGAGACACAGGGCACAAAATTGCATCAAATGGGCTTTCCGAACCACCTTCAGCGGCAGCATCTTGCCATGCGTTGGCAAAGGCCCATTTATAGTTCATTTGCTTGGTATTGAGCTGTTGGTTGATATGATTGCTTAGCATATTGCTTGAAAGGCCACCTTCAAGACACTTTATTGCGACTCACAGCATATAGTTTCTGCGTCGACAAGGCCCTTGTGTCATATATCTCAAGATTTCTCGCATAGGGGCTTATTGGCACCTCTCCCGTGGCCGCGATGCTCGCCTTGGCTTCAGCTGCGCCCGTCTGCCAGTATAATGCGAACTGTCGATGTCAAACACAACCCACTTGGATTCGGAGGATTCTTACGGTGGTCAATGACGCTTCCCAGGCGTCGAAGGGGAGTTTGAACTCGACAACTGCTTAAGAGTTAGCTGATAAATTTCGAAAACGTGCGTTCGACTGATACCGGTATGGCCAGCAGCTTTCAGCTTTGTCACTGTTTCTTTGAGAGCTCGAGTGATTGGGGGATGAGGCTGCACGACCCCGTCACTCAACATGAACCCGATCTTGAGCTTTCTCAACGGTGTTTCGACTTCTCTCCACGAACCAGGCAGGCAACTCCCTTCGAAGGGAAGGGTCGGGTGAGTCAAGATCAGATTCGCCAACAATTTGAGGTCCGGCATGGAATGCGTCACCGGCCCGCACGAGGTCTTGATCGATATTTGACCGGAAACGGTGGAACGCAGGCCTTTCCTAGGGACACGTTCAGACGTTGGGCGGAGGGCGTAGAGACCATTGAATGCCGCTGGTGCTCGGATACTCCCACCTATATCGGAGGCCAGCGGTGCCACAGCTGCTCCTCTCAACCCTACGAGCGCACCATCGCCTCCTGACGAGCCGCCGGATCCGAATTTGGTGCTATATGTGTTGAAAGTCCTTCCCCACAGATTGCTGTTGGTCTCGAGCGCCATTCCCGTCTGGGGCATCGCCGTCTTTGCAAATATGATCGCTATATCATCATCAGACGCGTGAGCGGAAATTGAGATTGGTTGTTGGGCAACAGCATGTCGATCCAAGCAGTGTCAACCTACCTCCAGCATCCTTCATCACTTTCACCAAAGACGCATCGGACTGCGCCCGATTATCATGCCAGGAAACGTAGCCTACAGTAGTGAGATGGCCCTTTAGATCGTACCTACCCGCGTGAAATCGACCTCGTCAGCTCATGTACAGAGGGGTAGCACGAGACGTACATATCCTAAAGTCCAGTTGTTTAGATCCAAGGGGGCAGTTTCACAATCGACTAGAGAGATAATACCTTAATCGCAATCGGCAAGCCATGCAATGGGCCCACCGGCTTCCCTGTTTTCTGGAAAATGTCATCGACCGCCTTCGCCGTATCTCGCGCCTCGTCTGGGAAGAACTCGGTCAAGCAATTCACAACCTGATGGGCGAGCGCGGCTCGCTTCAAGAAGGCCTCTGTCACGACTTGCGCTGTCAACTCGCCAGAGTGAATCTTCTTCAGAATCTCGGTGGCGTTCTGCTCGGTCAGGTCCAGCTCTGCTTGAGTGAGGAGCCCCGTTTGCCTAACCACGTCGATGGGTCGCGCGTTGGAATCGATTTGTGACGGCGAGAGCCGCCATTCTGTCGGGATTGAGGATGCTCGGGCCTCTCGTACGCGCACGATAAGTGATGCCGTGTCCATAATTGCTGGCAAGTGCTTTGAAATTGTGATGACCGGGACTTAGATACTACGTTCTTCAATAAGTAACAGGGGGCACTGAGTCTCACTGCTCAGCACTCTGAAGCGCTGCTCCTGGACTGATGTAGTGACTGAAACGCTCAGGCGTGTATCCAAATAAACATTCAAATAGCTAGATCTTTACCTGTAAGTCATCTTGCACATAGGAGATTCCATCGTTATCTAGCCAGGTTCAGGAGAACAATGATAAGCATATGGGACCATCTGCCATGTCCGATATGTGCGGAGTCAAGCGGTCCATTTCTCCAACTTTTTGTTTGCACCGCGGTTGCACTAATGATCATGACAAGGAATCAGACTCCATCCTTTGAAAGTAGTGCATGTTCTTGCCCTGTTAAGGCGCTAGTCCTGGGATGGGATGAGGAGTGAACTAGAGCCTGATGAGCGTGTGGCCTTTGCTAGCATGAAACGAGGCTGAAGAAAATAGAGGAGCCGTATCGTGGAACACCATTTTTGCAGGAATTCAAAGTCTAACTATGGGTTATAATAAAAGCACATCTATGCCGAGCTTCTTCTGAATCTGCTTCCAGTCCACAATGATTTGGTGTGGTTCAATCTTGGATAAGCTCGCTCGGTTTTCTCTTTCGGCCCAGACGTCCTCAATTATCTGCTTAAACGCATACCGATTATGGATGCCCAAGGCACAGGAATACTCCAGCCATCTGGAGACTTTCGTTTGAGCCGATCCCTTGTATGCATCTATCGCAGCCATAAAGACAGGCCACGGAGCGACGCTACCGCCATGATGATCGAGGAATGCAATTGTGTCATCCAACACGCGGTCCACATAATCTTCAAGCATCAACGGGTGCGAGTTGAAGATCGTCCGGTGAAGATATATGATGGTTGCATTGCGAAATATGCGGCGGTGAAGCATTTCCAGTTGGCGAACCGACTTCATGGGTAGGATTCTGCTATCCGTGGTGGTACCGGGACCGTGATGATGTTCCAGTAGAAACTGCGGCAGGTCAGAATCAGACTCTTCAGATTGCAGACTCTCAAGAAGTGGCGTGACAGATTCAATGGCATCGTTGCGCTTCAGACCATCTTCCATTTTCGTCCTAACGGCGTGAATTCCGGCAATGGAGCAAAGGACGTCCCGACTCGCTCCGACGGTGTATCCGAATATGGGCTTTGAGGACACGAACTCTCTTAGGCCATCCATTGCATTCGAGAGCCTATCCATGTGAGGCCGACTGGTTTGTGCTAGTTCGAACAAAAGGACCAAACTTTGAGCTAATATCCACGCATTCGTTGAGACGAGCCTTGGTATTCTCTTCATGGTCTCTGCTAGAACAGACACTGCGCCTTCGATATGGCAGCGCCATTGTTGACTCTCAGCGGCGTAAACACCCTACAAAGATCAGTTCTGGCGTGTACAGAGGAAGAGACGAACCCAAGTTACCTCAACCATGGTCAATGTCATCAGTGTGGCAATTGGAGCATCGAAGTCGGTGATTGTGGACTTGAGACTCTCTTGCAGTTGTATGAGTGATTCAACATAGTGTTCAAGTCCCCTCTGCCGATTTCGCCTGCTCTCTGCACTTTTGGGTAAATGTAAGTTAGAAAGGTGGAACGCGGACTGCGCCAAGAGAGCATGATAAAGACTCGTGTTCGCGGCGGATGTGTCGTGCAGAGCAATGAAAGGATATATGGTCTTCCACGGATTTTCAGCGCCATCGACCGAGATCATCAGGAATGCTACCCGATCGAGATAGTGATGGAACAGCATACGCTCGTTTGTGGGGGCCTCTGAAAGAAATGATGAGGCCAAGGAACATCGAGGCCGCGCCAGCCTCCACAGAGATGACGGTTTGGCTGTGCTGTTGAGGCGAAGCACTCCGAAAGGATTAGGTAGGGTGCAAGATTTATGGCACGTGCAGCTCTCGCTTTCATGTTTGTCCATGAAATGGTCAAGCTGCTGTTCTCCATATAATGGCCACCCATCCCAAGTGGCTTCGAAATTCAAATTGCGCCGGTTGTGGGAAGGATAATGCCCTGTATCAGGGTCCACCCATGCGAGCTGAACATGATAGCCTTCACAGTCAACCTTTCGCTTTTTGCAAGGCGTGCAGTGAGGACGTGCTGCATCGCAGCTGACACGTCGACGACGGCAGGTCCAGCATGCTGAGAAGGTCCGCCTGACTTGTTTTCGCATCCCGAATGCACAGGAGCGCTAACTAATCAGTGATCATCGTAAAACCATCTAGTCGCCAAATCTTTTCGCCATCGTGAGCAACGCGAGATATGTGCAATCCCTGGACCACAATTTTGTCACCGCAAATTGTTGTCAAATATTTCGTCGTGCATGAAGAACACTCTTGTCAATCTTCTATGTAAACGAGGCCAACCTAGTTCAGCAACACGTTGTGGAGGGGTGGGCGCGAGGAAACGGGGAAAGTACGACGGGCAAGAATCGTGGAAGGCCACGACGAGAAGTAATAGTAAAGCGACTAGCCTGATACGTTCCTAGTGCCCACTCAGTGACCCCACCCGCCGAGCACCGGAGAGAAGTGCTTAGCCGCGGGCAAAGGTAGAGACTCTCCGCCGCTTTAATCGACGCAAAGAAAGAGGATGACCACCTAAGGGGACGACTACTCAGATCTTACGCGCTGCTGGTAGAGTTGACGCCTTAGCTAATCTGGTGCTCTCGTCACACCTTCTTGAACTGTGTTGGCCCTCTCGCGTCAGCGTCAACATGCGGCTGTCAACGCATCAACAGCAGGAATTTCCTGACGACGACTTTGAAGCCAAGCCCAAGGCATTGGCCACTTGCCACTTGATAGAGGGACAAAGCAACTTTCAACCTTTGCACTGAACTAGCTTAGCCTTGCCTCGCCTCGTGAGAACAGGTCGGGATATACATCCCTCGACTTTAGAACAGACGTAGTCACAGACAACCCACTTTCTGGTTGACGACGAGGTCCGTTGATACTCATCCTCGGACATGGGTCTAGGGGTCCATTGCCATTGTCTGGTCTCAAATTGTCTTGACTATTGACTGCCTTGTATAGTCATAGGTTGATCCTCGTCACGCCGCCGTCATATGTGATAATCAGCGGTATTAATGCTCCGCCGGAGACGGCTAACCGGACTATCGATAAGCCGGAAGCGCATTTCCGGCCGTCTGCTGATCTTAGTCTTCCAGCAAGCTGTTTATGACGTCAGGTGCCTGCATGTTCGCCCTCACTGGCCTGGCCGCCTACTTCACATGTGCGTAGCTTGTGGAAGATAGAAAAAGAGTGTGATCGACATGCCACAGCACCTTTATTCTTGTGCTTCAATCCAAAATTCTCCTTTGTCCCAGCTGTGAAACCAGTGTCAAAAGCCTAGACAGCCGCGAAGATTCTCCGTGATACCGCGTCTCTTAGTTCGCACACCATGTCTGCCGAATCATTTGCTGCTCTGCGGAGGTCTGGAGGCGATGAGCTTGCCAAACTAGCAGAGGAGCATTTTAAACACGAGTAAGCTCTCTGCCCTTATGGTGCTGAAGCTGAAGCATCGTCTGACCCGAGTCCAGCTTGAACCAAGAGGATCGCGACCTTGTTCGAAAGGCGGCCTCCAAATTCAGCACCCATGCCCTCATCGGAAGTCTGGCAGGCATTGCGTTGGGAGGATTTCTCGCGTTCCGCATTCGAGCAAACCGGACGCAAATGTACCAAGCCTTCCGAACGGCTGAAAGACCTACACATGTCCGATTCGCCGATGGAAGAGAAGAGGCAATTCCAGATCTCACAGAGCTGATGAAGCCCACTCCTTTGGGAGATATTGCGACATATACATTCTTTGGCCTGGGCGGACTGTTCGTGGGCGGCGAGACTGGTCTGCTTACTGGAAGCTGGTCTGCCAGGAGGACCATTGGTAGCGACCCGGAGACGAAGAAGCGCGTGGAGCAGGCTTTCAGATCGTTCAGAGCCGATGTCTTGAGAAAACAGATCGAGGAGTTGGAAGCTGGCAAGAAAGACTCTCTACTTGACATCTAGGTATTCTTCTTCTTCTGGTTTAAGATAATCTCTTTGTGTTACATGTGCATTGTTTTGGGGACTTGCACGGGGAACTCTGGCCTTTCGAAGGTTTGATTAATCCGGGGGAATGCCAGTCGAGTCTTCAAGGACAACGGGATCTCAGGCCCATCGGCAAGCTCCAACTCGTCTCTTCCAGGCATAGAGCCCTAGTTTGGAGTTCATAGCTCGCCCAACTACGCGGCAGACGCAGATTCAGACGATTTGCTACACTCTTGCTCCCTCCCAAGCTCAAACGTCGTTTGTTGCAAGGAATGCACGACTCTTGTGGACGACCATCAACAGCTTCGTTCAAGGTCGGCCTTTCTTCGGCTCTAGCGCCGGTGAGCCTTTCGTCGGGCCAACTTCTCACTGTGATGTCTCTCCTGAGTAGACGATCTTTGTCTTTTACCATGTTCGTTCCGGCGCGGGATTTCTCCGTCTTCTTTCTCTCACGTTTGTCTCTCTGCGGTGCCGTCATAAGATGGATTCTGGCCTCCAGAGAGCTCGCGGCTTGCTCTGCGGACCCTGGGTCTACGACGATCCTCACGGTCTGATCGACTTCTCTCTTGACTGCTGTGGCTCTGCTCTCGGCGAGGTTTTCACCGTCCAGATCCTGTGCATTTCGGACACAGTCCAATTTCTTCGATTTCCTTAGGTGTCGCCCTTCCGCATTTGGTTACGCAACCAACATAAAGCGATCCCGTCACACACCCGCAGCCCGTGTGGACGTAAATCTCCTTGATACACATCCTGTGGGGCCTGGAGGTCGTGCGGGACGGTGTTGTCAATGCAAATTCGATTTTTGGATCTGCTTGGATGGGTCGAGTTTCGATTGACAGATCAAAATGCGCTTTGGAATATTGAGGAGATGACTGAAAAGAGGGCTTCAAGAAGCGGCATTTAAATGATATGCCTCCGGGGTGATAGACATTGATATAAATGGGACGTTTGGTACCGGTATTGACAGCGAGGACTTGCCAGATTTGTGACCAACTTGGCCATTCGCAGATATTTTTGTCCATTCACCGGCCCAATAAGTAAGGGTAGATCACCATGGGAGTCTCACAGGTGACACCACTCTTTCACCAAGACGATACGACGCTTTCGGGTCGAGAGTTGACGAAATCAAAGACAATTCCACGCAGAGACTCGTTCGGTGATTGTGAACCAAACGTGAGTCAGAGGATTGAAGTTTTGAAATCGATAGCACATAATACAAGTTACAAGGTAACCTGAGAGGCGTCTGTGATGAGGACTTCAACTTGGCACGATCTGTGTGAAAAAGGGCTGCAAGGTGGAATACCCTGGGAGTCGATACACACAGCCACGAAGGTATGCCAGAAGCAGCGAGTTGGTTAATTGCAGACTTAATTTCCCTATGAAGGATATATATGGCATTCCATGCTAATTGTGGCTGCAGATCTGCAGCCACAGGAACACAGTCAGGCAGGCTCCTATGTCCACACATAAGAAACGAAGGATCCTGCCCTGGTGATGGCAGATGCTCACGATCCTTGAAAAGCTGCATCATGCTTGCAGGAGCCACAGGGCCTGCCACGCACGGGCATGCATTTGCACAAGTGATGGCCTCATTCAACGCCGCTTCAGTGACCTTTCCGCTTTCCGCTTTCCGCTTATTTGAGGGCTTGGCTGCGCAGGAGTTGCATTTGTCAGGGTCTCTTGATGGCACATCTTTCTCGGCCATCACGCAGCCTTCGGGGAAGCATTTGTGCTCTTTTGCAGTGACGACGCATCCACAGTCATAGAAGACCTTCCATTCAGAACATGTGCCTACGGGTTTGTCTGTGCATTCCCGACAAAGTTCACTTGCTTCGGTAAATGAAGGAAACACCGGCCGATCTGCCCTGCGCTCACAACTGGCGTTCATGCACTTGTGTGTCGATTCCCGAAAGCAAAAGTTATGGGTGGCGCAGTACTCTTCCACCATGAAGCACATGGTTGGTCGAGCTCTGGGATGGATATCGGGTCTTGAGTGTGTGGCCGGGCGAGGATGTTTTGTCTCTGCGTCGTTTCTGTTGCTTTTGTCGAACTGAATTTTGGAGGGGCTGAAAGAGGCCGCTTTTACCTCTATTGATTGAATGAAGGAGATTGTTTCTACCTCCGTATATTGATTGAAAGGATCTGAACTGCATATCTGACCTCCATTGCTTCTGGTGGCAGAAGCCCTGCTTTATAGCAGAAATTTCTGTGCAGATGTGTCATTCTAACATAGTACATGCTAGTAATCAGGGCTGAAGTCATAAAACTTAAAAGGAACAAAGAGTGATGAATCTCAGGAGAGGCTTTGAGTCTTGATGGAGTTGGAATCATGGCAGATGTTCTCATAGCGTCAGCTGTTTTGAATTGATGATTTGTGATGCGAGCCGCGTCAACAATCCACATTTACTAGGCTCCATTTTCGTTTGCTTCGTCTGTTTTTTTGACATTAGCAAAATTGTAGTCAGATAAGTCCTGTACCTAACTAGTCGGGCCTCTATTGACAAGCACAGTCTTCCTTAAGGTATGCGCCATCGTTCAGATGATGGTATGATTTGCGTTTCAGTGATCTGGAACGAGGCTTGTAGCGTGTGTACTCAGAGCCAGCGGAAGGTGCGCTAGTCTATAGGCTCATACCTCTCGAGCCTGTAGAGGCATAGACTCTATTAGTCGGGAAATTCTACTGAAGTATGTAGCTTTATATTGATCCGCTCCCCCTACCCCCAAACTCACCCAGACTTTCAACAAGACAAAGTCCCCATCAGTGCACGGATCCCTATAACAGATGTGTAACCATATCTCCACAGCAGAGGGCCATTTCATGCTAGGTTGCAAGCAAGACATTTACCGCTGTACTTGATTTTCCATTCTGGATTAGGATTCGTGCAATTGCCCGGAGGGCACTGCACGACTGCTGTAGAGAGCTTGTTTTGCAGGCGTAACAGGGGACCCAGTACTTCTTGCACATCCTTAGACCTGGATTGGTTAGAAGATATAGAGGTTTGGGTATAGAGATACTGTGGGCGCATAGTATCCAGGTGGAGTGAAGGGTGGTCAGGTGCATATGGTGAGGAGTTAGGGTCGTATAATTAGATTTCGAAGTTTAGGTTGACGGTTTCGGGAGAGCATATTATTCTCCGGTAGAATAGTAGTTGTGAGGAAAGGATAAAAGAGATGTCCGTATGTATTCATATATCTCCGGGGATTGTTCTGTGTTGCATTTTCAGCACTTGTTCACGTAAATAACGACTGATGATATACAGATGTATCCCCATTAGGAGCTGACACTGAGAATAGGTTCTTCTCCTTGGAGCCTTCACTGATTTCGCCATGTTTTGAGACGAGGTATTCTCTACCTCACCAGCTCACAGTAAATGGATATGTCTTGGCCCATTCCCATAAAACGGTAGACAATCAATTTACCCAGCTTGATTGATAATACCACTGCTACCCTGCGGGTTCCCCCTTCCGCTTCAAAATCTAGCTATATAATGATCTTTGTTCACTGTAAGCCCAATGAGGCTAAACCATCATGTGCGACCCCATTTCTCCACTGCAGAACACCGTTTAATGATAGTTTGCAAGCAAGACACGGAGTAGCGCTGTACTTGATTGCCGAATATTGTGGATTTGGATTCGAGCAATTGCTCCGACCACACTTTTAGAACTCTGAGCCGCGAACTGTGTTGCAGTTAAGGCAGAGGATTCTGTACATGGTGCACATGTTTGATGGCTTGGACGATCTGAAGATGCCGAAAATAGAGGTGCTGTAAACTTTGAAGTTATGAATACCGAGGTGGATCGAAAGTCGTCAAGTACCTGGTATCAGGATTGTTTATGGTGCGTAGTCGGGCTCGTATGGTGGAGAGTTCGAGGCTTCATTTAGCTACTTCGAGGGACTTATGTTCCTCTGATCTCCGACCTAGTATAGTAGTTCTAGAAAAGGAAGGAAGTAGAAGATGCTCGTATATATAGGATTTAGGAGAGAACTTTGTCACATTGGTCTCGCCTTGCTTATATAACTTACACTGGTGACTTATGGATTTTTGACGAACGAACCTGACAGCTAGGGTTGGACAACTCCACTTGCTTTCATCTAGGTGACAGTAGCTGAATCATGGGTCTCGACACAACAAATGCAGTACAAGCGTGAAATGTCGCAGAAATCGCAATAAAGTGACCATATTAAGGTGCTTTTTCACCGGTTTGCTACCATAGAGATGATCGAGAGCTATGCAGGACATAATGGACTTTAGACCGCATTCAAGTCACTAGGGCTCAGTGATTCCATCTTCACAGTAAAGTGTGACATGACCAAGGCTGGGTGGCACACCGTCGGTATCCCATCGGACCGGATCTTTGCCTAGAACGAACTCCAGACTTCCGCCGTCAGCGATGTCGCTTTGATTTTACCAGCTCTGACTCCACGGTGCACCATTTACAGTATAGGCTTTGAACATACATACTCTCATCGGATAGCCTCCAAGCCGTCATATTCAGAATTTTGCCCTCCAATCCGATTTTCAGTGACAAATTTGAAAACAAAGGGACCAAGATGAGATAGACTAGTGACGACAAGGTAGAGGCCAACCATCTATCAAACGAGCCATAAGTCAAGAGCGCCGGCGTCAGAGTTACCGGGCAGACCCGAAGGGCTGTTGCCGTAGTACTGATTCACGATCTCGCGACTGCGGAACATGGATTCGTGTTATCGACCGGGAAGATGGTTGTAGAGGAACGGAGTCGGGAAGATAGGTTGGTTCTCTGGTGGGTGTCTGAATTGAAGAATGTGCTTCCAACTCCGATAAGCTGGACTTCACCAACTCCGCTACCTTTCAAGCATTTAATGAACATGGTGTCAATACGGGCCTCCGTGGTCTCTGGCCCTCCCATGAGATTTATCAAGACTACCGTTTCTACAAATAGGTCTACAAAATCAATCGGTCTGGCGGAAGTGCCCAAGAACAGACAGGGAATCGCGATGGTGAATACCATGACGCATCGTCGGAATAAGTACTGTCAGTGCCAAACCTCTGGCATTAGATTCGTGAGGATCTGCAGAGCTGGCGTTAGCATCGCTTGAAGCAGCGACGGCATATCTGAATCCCAAGCTCTACCATACATTAGCTCAGGCTCGGCACATCAGACAGAATACAGTAAATGCCGGTCTCCCTCACAAGCTAGCTTTCTCTGTCCAAAGGCTAGAGGTCGAACGCTCATGAGTTACTGGAATAGTTGGCTCCCCCGAGTGGGGTATTCCGAAATAATCGGACCCTGTAGTGAATATTTGCCTCAATGAAAGGCTTTCATCAAAGTCAAAGTACGTATATCTCCATGCTCATGTAGGAAGGACCCTGGCAAGTCTTACATCTAGTAAGATGTAACTCCAACGCAAAGTACGAACAGTAAAAGACGACTGCAATTCCTTAGATATAATGAAAGATCTGCGAAGGGACTATTTCGGTGTCGCTCGCTCTGACTTGGAAATGATTACTAGTTATAGTTTCTGATATGGCTGAAGACGATGCTATTCTCTGTGAATGCTTAGTGCTGTTCAACCACAGGTTGATCAGTTTCAGATTTCCCATCACGTGATCAGGCTGTGAGTACTAAGGGGGCTTTCCCCTCTTAACTTATTTGAGAGATTCACCCAGCCATTCACTGTCGACTTCATGAAATCTCACATGTGATAGACATGGCAGGCGAAAGATGTCGTGGCATCGTCCCTAAAGCTCGAGCGCGTTACTGTAATATGAGTGGCCAAGACTGGCTCACTATTTCCAGTGGTAGATCTCATCACACATCTCGATGTTTGGAGTAGTTGGTCCATGTGAACAGCACGACGGCAAACGCGCAAAGTCAGGATTGCGCGCGGAGAGAGGAACTTAGCGAAGAGAGCAGAATTACTTGTCGGGCAAGATGTATTGCGCATCACTCCGTAGGTAATGTTACAAAAGGGAGTCTAATCTGTCACCGGACTAAAATGGAATTCCAATCCCAGCATGTGCTCGTAGAAACGACATGTCGCTCATCATGCATAACATCGGGTATGTCTCAACCGGGTCACTCCAGAAGCAGCCAGTCAGATGTTCCGGGGCATTGCCAAAGAAAAAGATTAAATCAGAGTCTTCACACGTAAAGCTTCTTTCCAGGGTCATGTGAACCCTCATCGATTCGTGTTGAAGAACCAACTGCTGCGCTTGTTGCCGCCATCACCTCCTGCGAGACTTGAAATGATCGGGATGGATGGGGCTCCGTTCATCATGCTGCCACCACTCGCGCCGTCTAAGTTTGTGGATGCTCCGCCACCTCCTCGGAGCGGTTTGGCGATTCTGGCTCCGGCGTTCATGAGACTGTTGAAGCCGCCTGGTCCAGCAGCTCCTCCAGCGGCCATGTTCCTCGACGAAACCTTTGCAGCCTCAAGACGTTCCTTGACGGCAGCGAGTTGTGCCTCGAATCTGAAGTAACAGGGTTAGCATGCAATCGTGTATAGCTAGGGGCTATGACTTGCCTGTGGTTTGTCTGCGTTAACTTCTCCTGGCTTTCGTTGAGCAGACTTTCTAAACTGAGAATTCGTTCATTTCTGGCAGTTAGCTTTCGTTCTGCGATGGCGACCTCTTTCTTGAGACTCGTGTTCTGATCTACCAACTGTCGTTGGACGACAGTAAGCTGTTCGAGATTCCGTTCCAAGAATGCCATCTTCTTTTGTTGTTGACGATTGTTACTCGATCTCAGGACATTGTTGTATTGTTCCCTCGTTTCATCAAGGGAGATCTCTAGCTCGACCACTCGTTCGCACCGGTTCTGTAAATCTCGCATCAGATTCTTTTTCATGAGATCAAAGTCAGAGATCTGCTGTTGAAGTGTCTTGCTGACAGGCCCGTTAGCGGGACCATTACTGACACTCCGACTCTGAAGGTCTGCGATGGTCTTCTGTAATCTCTCGACCTCCTCAGATCTATGTGTTAATTGTTCTCGGAGCCCGTGGAGTAGATCTGTTTGTGTCTCCCGTCTGTCGGTGTAGATTTGCTCAAGTCGTCCCTTGACGTCTTCGACGTCGTCAGCACCCAGGTTGCGGGTCAAGAGGTCTTCATACTCCTGCTGCACGGCCGCTAGCTTCTCTTCAAGGGCCAGTGCACGCTCCTCACTCTCGTTCTCGGCATGGTTATTTAGTGTCTTTTCTGCTTGACGTACCAGAGTCTGAGATTCAAGCAACTTGGCGCGCAAATCCTCTAGGACATGGCTGGGAACGCTTTCGCCATTTAGACTCGCTGCATGCACGGAATCCACTTGTTCAAGCATATCTCGCATACGTTGTTCGTTCTCGGAGAACGCAGTGTCTCCGAGATCGAAACCAGCCAACATTTTCGCCATCTTTTCTTGCTTTTTGCGGTCCTTCTCGTCCAGGGCAGCGGTGGTTTCCTTGGCGCTCATCTTCAAGTTGAGAAGTTGCTGTTTGACTGAAACGAGTTCGCCCTCGAGCTCCGAGTTCGCTTCCTTCAGACTGTCCATGGTGATGGTGTCTTCTTTGCTCTGATATGAGAGTTTCTGAAGCTCTAATTGAGTCTTGTTGAATTTATCCGCCAATACCTCATTATCCTTGGCGGTTCGTAGTGCGCCCTCTTTGTACGACTTGAGCTCTTCTCGAACTTCCTGTAGAGTCCTCTCCGCATTGGCGGCTTGCGTCTCTTTTTCGGTAAGCTGATCTTGGAGATCATTTTCACGGCGCAAGAATTCTTCTCTTTCGTCTTTCTCCATGATTATGCTAGGTGTACTGGATCGCTCGCCTATCCGGGAATCAGGTCGGCTGGGAGTGTCCGATCTAAGCAAATCTGAAGGGGCTCTGGATGGTGTCTCAGGCCTCGGCCTCGGCTCTTGTTTCGAGCTCGAGCCCGACAACGATGGGACCCATCTGTCCTTGGGTACCGTTTCGCCTTGTCTCCATAACTGTAATTCTGCATCCAGTGATGAAATATACTTCTCGAAAGTCATGGTTTGATTTTGGGCGATCTTGAGTTGTCGCTTGAGTTCGGCCGGGCTGAGTTCGGCATTGACCTTGGCCTTGTTCTTGATGGTCTTTGCTCTCATGCCGAAGCGCAAAGTGCCTACGGTTTCCGCGTCGTTGTAGCTGCTAGGAGAGCAGTTGATGATCAGAGTCGTCCGAGAGTTACCACCCAAACTCTCTTGCAAGATTCTGGTCAATTTCGAATCTCGATACGGAACGTGCGTAGATTTCCCATCGGTGAGGGCATTGATGACCATTCCAAGTGCGCTCAAACTCTTGTTGATTTTCTTCGCCTCTTCCAGTGTCTGACCGCTGGCTCCGGTCTTACCCACCTTTTCAGATCCAGCCAGATCGACCAGGTAAAGCATTCCGCTTTTTTGAGAGCCAGTCGTGATATCCTTTTGGTTGATGGTAGTCAGGAAAATCGAATGAGATCGTGAAGATTCTTGATTCATATTGGTTGATGCAGTAACTCGTGAGCGTTGACCAAGATGCATGGCGGTGTAGACCTCGTCCACCGAGTTGACGTAGATTTCGCGCAAGCCCTTGACATAGGGACCTTTCGGTCCTTCGTTGATGGGCAGATTGTCCATCGCGGGGTTTAATAGATCGCGAATTCTTTCCATATAGATTTCAAGGTATGAGATACCAACTGTATATTCCACCGTGGCGGAGCCATGAACGAGGATGGAGTCGAATATCTGCTCTGTGATTCTCGGGATTATGCCTTTCTTCTCTTGATCATCCATGTCGCCCATCATCGTGTATGACTTTCCGGCACCGGTTTGGCCATATGCAAACACTGTTCCATTATAGCCATTCATAACGTCGGTGACGGTAGATCTTATCGAGAAGTCGAAGATATCGGCTTGTTGAGAGGACATTCCAAAGACTCGATCAAAGGTAAAGGGGGCATTTGTTTCGGAGGATTGAAGCTGGCATGTGTCGTCGCCAGAAAACTGGACAATAGGTTGGCCGCCATTTGCGACTTCGACTTTGTTCTGAGGCCGGAATCGGGCAACAACTGTTAGTCTAGTCAGTATACGTGGCCTACAGGCAGTGAAACGAGCGCACCTTTGATATTGTTGCCCCCTCCGCTACTCCCTGCGGCGGTAGTCCTGTGATCCATTATCAGTAGGGAGGACCCTCTAGGATGTGAAGAACACCACTAACGCCATATTCGTGACTTATTCACACAAAATTCAATCTGGCCAAGAGGACCGCATCAGAGTTCGAAAGTGCAGACGGCGCTGCGGGTCGAGTCAACAAAAGGGTCGAGGGTATGATTGTGGTTTGGTTTGGCGCATAGAAGGATTGTCAAGGGTGATGTTATCTCAGGGCGTAGGGTGACAGACAGCAATCGGCTGTCAGTCACAACCTTTTGAAGTTGGACACCAAGGCCGCAAGAGGGGCTCGATGTGTTGGAAAATGGCACGAAAGGGATTCGAAATGTTGATAGAATCAAGCCCACGGGTATGTGCATGGACGGGGCGCGACACGGCAGCGGGATGGTAGCAGGCAGGCCGTGCTTGTGCTGCAGTGCCTGCGGAACGTGACGCGCCAGGCTCAATCTTCCCTGGATTGGTAGAATCGATCCACCATCAAGCCCCTGCACCTCTTGAGGCGGTGCGATGCAATTTCGAAAACCACCAAGTCACGTGGGAAATATTGTCATGTGATTTTGATCGTCACGTGGAAATCATGTCGATAAAGGTGTACTGTACTGTACAAGTAAGCCTTCCCTGGCCACGGCCATCCGGGGGGCAGAGACCCAAGTTCTCACCCTCATCATCCCTCACCTTCAGCACCTCATCCGATTCCAGTGTCTCATTCGATATCAAAGAGCAGAGTCAAATCCACCCGTTCTAAACGCCGACAAATCATGGGATAGACACGTCCAACTGCTCGGTAAGCAAGGCTGTCGGATAGCGTGCGGAGTCTCATATAACCGTATCATACCCGCTCGATCGAGTGTTCACTAATTTTAATACTGTCGTCTCTTGATTCTTGATATAACACTCCTTGTCACTTTGTAATATCTACGCTTCAAGTTACAAGTTCTCTTAGGAAATATCCACCATGGCTTCCGCAGCCGAACGGACGCAATCGCTCTTCAAGGGTCAAGGACTAAGTCATCATGTGACCAGAACCACTTGCGGGTCTGAAGTTCACAGTTACATCTCAGACCTAGGACCTGAGACTACTATCTTGACTTTGATCCATGGCTATCCCCAATCTGCATATGAGTATGTTCTATGACACCATAGGCACCATGAATTTGACTCGAGTGTTGATCTGAATCTAGATATCGATATGTAAGCACTCCCACTGATTGCACTCCGCTCGTTCTGCAGAATCCGCAACGTTTGGGAGGTCCTTGGTCAAGGACAAGAGGCCAGAAACCCTGCTCTGATGTTAGAAGTTGTGGCAGTCTACTCCCAGCCCACTGACTTGCACAGCTTGTCCCAGCACTGAAAGACAAGATCAGTCTTTTCGTACCTGAACTTCCTGGATATGGCATCTCGACGCCCATCAAATCATCGGACCCAATCCCCGCCAACTCCAAGCGTTCCGTAGGAAATGCTCTGCTGGAAGCCCTAAGCGCGGTCTTTTCCACCAAGTCATCCTCTTCCCCGCGGAAGATCATCATCGGTGGTCACGACCGCGGTGCCCGGATCTCGCACCGGCTAGCGGTCGATTTCTCCCATCCGCCAGCCGCCTCAGCCTTGGGTGCCACTCCAGAGACAGCCAACATCTTTCACACCCTCAACTTGACAGTACTTGGGACAGTCCTAATGGACATCATACCGACCTCGGTCCAGTGGGCGAAATTCTCCGATCCAGTCATTTGCCAGGGCTATTTCCACTGGCCGATGCTCGCCAATGCGGAATTGGCTGCCACCCTCATCGACTCCCTCGGGGGCTCTGAATGGGCTCGCTCGGCCCATACTCGCATTTCGGGCCCGAATCCCAAATCCATCGATCGCATCTCTGCTGATGGTGGACTGGATATCTACGGGGACAATTTCGCCACAAAGGAAGTCCTTTACTACACGGCGCTTGACTACGCCGCAGGTGCCGCTCCTGAAGTGACAGAACAGGATGGAGATCAACAAGCAGGGAGGAAAGTCGGTGTACCGATTTTAGTAATGTTCAGCAAAGCCAAGTTAGGAGCCAGGACGGATGTCGCAGGGGAGTGGAAGGCATGGGTGCAACCAGGTGTAGACTATGAAGGAGTCGGGGTTGGAGACGGCTTCGGCCATTACCTTCCTGAGGAGGCTCATGAGACTGTGCTCGAAAACGTGTTTAAATTCATCAAGAAGGTCACTTAGGAAGACGTCACTAGTGGATTACACCATATATCATCATGTTGCACATCACAGGGGCTACATAAGATGATTATATTCATCGTAGATCCAATGTCATAGCCAATGATATAAACCACTGACGAAACTATGTTCTCGAAATACTAGTGGATACCAGAGACTAGCATTCAAAGGCAGACACGGCTGAACCCACATACAATCCTACAGCTTGAATCACCCTCATCCGGCCACAGACGTGTCTCCCATCAGGGCAGAGCATCGAGCACCTTCCCTATCCCCACAGCCTTCTCCTCTCCAAACCGACCCGTAACGAGCTGCACATTTACGGGCAAGCCCTGGATGACACCTGCATTCCACAGCTCCTCATAAAGACGATGATTGTACTCATCGCTAAACCCACGCGTCATACTTTGGCCATACTCTCTCCAAGCCGCATCTCTCGCGGGGTCATCAACCATGCTATCGACCTGCCCCACCGGCAGGGTGAGCACCGCATAGTCCAGCAGGTTCCACAGCGCGGTGTAACCGACGTACTGCTGGGACTCGACCCACTGCTTTGGTCGCATGCCGACCCAAGGAGTGACAGGCATGACGAGCGCATCGATGCCGCTCTCCTTCCATTTCTTCAGGTATTGGGTCTTGAACTTGAAGATCTCGTCGGCCAATTCCATTTTCTGGTCTGCGTTGAGCGCCGTTTCGGCGGTGCCGACCAGCATGCCCGGGATAAGTGGCTCGTCGACCAGCTTGCAGAGATCTTCACAGCGCTTGCCACCGTCAGCCAGCACCGCCTTCACCCAGAGGTCATAGTACGCCGAGCGATGCTCCGAGGCGTCCCACTCTACCACTTCGTGCCCGCATTGTCGAAGTTTCCGGACGACGTCGCGGACGGCGCGTTGGATGGGTGGATGGGGTGCGACGGCTCCGTCGTCGACGATGTACCCGATCTTGAGCTGGTCTTTGGGCGGTACTGCCAGTTCGTAGCGCCAGGGAATGGGCTGGATCGAGGGATCGATGGTCCAGGGCTCGATGGCCGAGTAGGCCTCCATGAATAGCTCGATCGAGGAGAGAGAGTTGCTCATTGGGCCGGACACAGGGCGGACGATATACTTCTGGTCGCGAGCAGAGTCTAGGCTCGGTACGCGACCGATCGTGGGGCAGAGGCCGTACTGACCTTGTAGGGCCGCCGGGATGCGGATACTGCCACCAATGTCTGTGCCGATCCCGAGCAAAGAGCCTCTTGCGCCGATCAGGCCAGCCTCTCCGCCAGAAGATCCGCCCGATATCAGCGCTCGACTCAATGCATTCACGCTCTGGCCCCAAACGTGGTTGTATGAGTCACTCATCATGAGCGACTGAGGGACGTTCGTCTTGACGTAGATCACCGCACCGAGAGCCCTGTACTGCTGCACAGGTAAACCATCCTCTGACTCCGGCTTACCTAGTAGTCCCACCCAGCCAACCGTCGTATCGACACCGCGAACCTGCTGGTTATCCTTCAAACTGAGAGGAACACCATGTAACGGCCCCACCAACTCTCCCGTGTCAGCGTACCACCGATCCAACTCACGAGCCTGGGCGATCGCCTCGTCAAACATAAACTCCGTACAGCAGCCGATCAATTGCGTGGCGATGGCGGCGCGTTTGCAGAACGCCGTCACGACTTCCTCCACTGTCCAGTCACCTTCCTCGTATTTGCGAAGGATCTTGCCCGCCCCGACCGTGCTCGTGATATCCAGTTCCCGTGCTGTCAACAGCCCGGCTCGTTCGATCACATATCGGCTGTCCTTGAAATCCGCAGGGATAGTTTTCAGTCGCCAGCTGGGCGGAATCGCTTCATATTGTTGTTGACGCCGTAGGCGCGCGCTCTCCTTCCAGCCCGCCATCGAACCCATTGACCCACCGCGTTGGTCGTCGGATTCCCGACCAGTATCGATATCTCTGGTATCAGCTGAGAACACAAGTCTTCTCCGATCCTCAAAGCAATGTGTCAGACGCCGACCAGCACTCGGTGGAATGGGGGCACGGAGAAGACCGTGGTCGGTTCAACCAAGTGTGTAATTTCAATTGACCAAAAAATATTCTTGTAATTACAGAGGAAACGGGCAACCCGAATCTTCGACGGACGACGACGACGATTGACAATTAGTACTCGAGAGCAAAATCCAGAATCTTTACACTCGCACGAACCGGGAAGAATATGTTCACACCGAGGTAGTATTGAAAACGACTCGAGGCGGTCCCCTCCCCGACCAAACGTAGTGGGCGGATCTCCGTTTTAACCCACCTCGAATCGAGCGCCAAAAGCATGGCAGATCATGTTCCTCTTTCGGCTTATCTTCCTGGTCCCTGTGGACAAGCATACAGTATCTACCTATCGCTGTTGTGCACACGCAGCACGCACATCTGTAGGGCGAGTAGATAAACATGGACTGCATGCGTGCCAATGACGCAGCGCGGGAAAACATCACACCACTTTTATTTGCCCTGTCGTGCTGGATGTATGGAAGTGGATTATGGAGGAAATGCTTGGGTTGGGATTGTGACTCTCGCGAGTCATCACAACACCCAGTCGAGGGGCTCGGTGGTCTGCGCTCTTACTACATAACGCTCAATAGATCTCTCTTTGGCCGCAAGCACACTATGTCAGAGGCATGACTGTCGGCTGCGAGGCGGTGCTCGCGCGATATCGAATCAAGTGGCTTTTACGCTTTAATAAAGGGAGACCACCGAGGGACTTGCGCTGTCAATGTCGAGGTCTATTGTGGGATGGACCATTACCACTCCTGCAGCCAAGCAGAATGCATGGTGACACACTACCTCCCTCGTCGTAGTCCAGGACCTCCAGAAGAAACTCCGGGGCTTGCTGAAAAGGACAATATTCAGGGAGAACGCTCTACTGCGGTCCACCTTCTCTTACCCGGACTTCTCTCTCTTTTAATTGACTCGCCTCCCCACAGGCCACGTTGACTCGCGCTTCTGACTGGGAGGAGTTGAGTATCAACTTTGAGAGTGTTCGCGTCTGAATTATTCCTTTGTATCTCAGGAGCACTCTCACCAGTTTCGCCACTACCCACGCTGGGTGTCACACCAGCATCGCTTGATCCTGTCGACTCATCCCTTGAGTATCGGCTACCTCCTCGCCATAGACCAGTCGGATTCTCGCCGGATGGAGACCTATCAGCGGCATGCGCCCTTTGACTTGAGCTCCTAGCCGGTGTGAGCGACATTCCACGACCAGATGTGGAGGATTCCCCAATGCTGAAGCCTTCGGGCGCATCCACACCACCAGGACGACGGCTTGCAAACGCAGGAGAGAAGCCGAGTCGTGGGGAGTTCAAGCCCAACGGATTGGAGGCGGCACGGAGATGTTCTGTGGACGCGATAATTTTCATATCGTAGTCGAGCGAAAGGCCAGAGTCCAGTGAGCCTCTTCTCCGAGTGGGGGATATTGGTGTGGAAGGCACCCTCTCACCGGGTTTCCGAACTGCCATGGTCAGCGAGGCTGTTCCCACCTCGTGCAGGGCCGGTGCCCCAGTCAGAAGGCGGATAAGAGCATTACAACCTGCTTGGTGTGTGACGATGACCAGAACCAAGTCCTCATTGTCTTGTAACTCTTCTTCCGAATTTTTCTCATAATGAGCAATCATCTTCTGCAAGCCATTGCGGAACCGGCGGTGCATGCCACCCCACTCCTCGTCGTATGGACCACCGTCCCCCCAGCCGAGAGGGTCACTTTGAGAATCCCAATCCTGGTCAACTTCCAGACAACTATCTCTGGCATGGGCGACGAAGCCTGGTGGAATCTTCTCTGAAGGGGCAATCGCATATGTGGGCAATGGAGGGCTATATCCCAGGGGTTGGCGAAGAGCACGATTCAACAGCCGCGCACCATTTGCTAGTTCAGCCCCAAAGGATATGTTTCTCGCCCTCTTAGGGAAAGAATGTCCCGCGGCTGCCATTGCTTTCAGCCCGGTTTTCTCCTGAGCCGGCGGCAAGATGTTATCATTCTCTTTCTCATCCCACTCCACTGAGGGCAATTCAGACAAGGTGTGCGACAGATCGGCACCTTTGATCTCCTCCTGTGGTGTTTGGAGGGACAGTTTGGCTTCCGAGACGAGAACAGCAGAAGGAGGTGGCGGATTACCGTGTTCGAAGTAGCTTGGAGAAAGCCACTCACCCAGGAAAGGATCCAGACGCAGACGGCAAGTGTTATATCCCAAACGGTTCGTGTGTGGTTGATCTCTACTATTTGTACGACGCAAAGGACTTTCCTCTGACGAATCCGTCGGTTCAGTCCCCGGTTCTGGCATCTCGGTAGGGGAAATGGCTGCCCGTGAAGATCGCTGGCGGGGTCTAGGACGAGGGCGAGAATGGTTCTGAGGATGCTGGAGGCCAGCAGTAATGGCAATAGAAGTTTGGACGCAACGTATAAAGGGAGATGAGTGTATGATTATTTTCCTTTTCTTAGGCGGTGGAGCATCGGTGGATACAAATTCGTCCTTGGTCTCCGCGGCCGGGCCATATTTTTTGTCCAAGTTGTGCAGCTCGTTACTGATTCGAATACCCAAACTTTGGCATTGCATCCAGCCGCCATAGGACAAGGGGGGGTCGTAAGGCTTCTCAGCCGTAGCGACCCAATTCCTGTCTACCTGGTCGAGTCGGGCGCCGTGGCTTTGCCATCAGAACAGTCAGCGACAGCGTTGATGAATGGAAGGGATCAACTTACCGAGCTATGATAATGACAGCGGGCTGTTTAGGCATGCTGACGTCGATTGATCCTGCAAATTTGGGCAGCCCAAAAAGTTGACGGGATAAATCTTAGACTGCGGGGAACAAGACCGAGATGCGATCGCAGGATGAACGACGTCAGGACAATCCCGTGGAGCGACAAACAGCATCCAGAGGTGCAGCAAGCAAGGGAAGTTCAGTGTCACCTGAAGAGTAACATGGTGCCGACCTAGGACAGATTGGCGGTCAATGTGCCAGTCGAGGCACAAAGACAGATATTTCAGCCTGCAATAAGCCGAAGCGGATGCCGGTGAATGAGATGGGAATCTTGGTGCTGCGGCTTGGTGGGAAACAAACACAATCGAATTGTTTCGCAGGTCGAAGAAGAAGGGAAAATGTCACGTTGACGGTTGTGTTTCTCTTTTGGGGACTGAGCCGCGGAGGGATCGTCGTCCACCGGATATATAGATTCTCCGTTGTCCGGATTGAGGCTTGGCGTTTCATCACCTGCCCACGGTATACGAGTACTTTGCTTCTGGTGCCTCTTGTGCCGTTGGTTTGCTTCATCCACTCAACATCAACAGGTTCCAAGCCCTTCTTCTACTGCTACAAGACCAGCGAATCTAAGTATACTAATATAAAATATCGCTACATACAAACATGCTCGAACGCAAGCCTGTGTCCATGTGGCTCGGCAAATAGTGCCATCAGCATGTGCGAGTGTCGGTGTCGGTCCGCGGGTGGTCAGCCCCAGATACTGTCCCTCCACTATCCTGGAGTCTTCTATGTTTCAAGACAGTCAACAATGACGATGTGAAGACAAAGCTGTGCCCCAATCTCGTCTCAAGATTTGAGCTGCTTCGTGCCAAGTCCAGATCTTGCTCAAAAGACTTATCGAGTCGTCCTCGCCTTCGGAAATCCATCCTTGGTGAATCTCCCAGGCCGCTTCTAGATCTGGCTGAGTTCATTTCGCTTACGAACTGTTGATCACTTGGTGGAAAATGGGAAGCCAAATCGGCGTTACGGCTGAAGGAGGGATAAGCACTGCACAAGGTTGTGAGTGCTAGGGATCTTCGTCTCTCCACCAGTGCAAAGACAGCCACCTGGATTGTTGACGCTGTTCGGTGGTCAGTTCTGGCAAACGGCCGTTGTTAAACTTAAAAGGTAGGCAATTGCCCTGCACGGTGTGGGAAAAGATTATAAGTGGGTGGGTGGAATTGAGCAATCACAACCAGCAATATCCCTGTCGTTACGGCTGTTTCAGAAAACAGAGCCACGGCAAGATTTAGCGTGGGCTTGGACCGACTGGTATCTGCACCGATCACCACGCCATTCGAGCCGTCATTTTTAGGCGAAAGGCGTCTCCCGCGATCGTTTCCCATGGCGCTGTTACATACCTACGGTGGACGGATACTCTGTGCACCATACGGAGTAGTTATTTTCAACTTGTCGGGGCAGTTGATGGCACCGATTACCAAGTACCTTGTCCCCTGTGGCGTTACCAGTACGCCGTATCCGTACAATCATCCCCTTCATCCCGTCCCGTACGGAGTCAGCAGCCTATGTAGGGTCTTTGGGATCTTTGCGGCTCGTCTTGCTGTAGCTAAAGCCCTGGGCCTGGCTTTGCTTGCCATGGTCTCATGTCAAACTCTTCATGACAATTTCTTTTGGTTGATTGGCTTTTTCCAGTTGCGTTGTTCTCTGTAATGGCCGGCGTTCTATCTTGCTTACAGAATGTTCTCGACAAGTGGGCAGTTGAAAACCTAGTCCCAGTATTCCAACAACCGTGAACCTTATCCCGTCTGGTAAGTATTAGGATTTACATATGAAGCACTCCGTAGATATCTGAAGTATCTCAGTCCTGTCCATACAATTGTACGCGGCATCGTGGAGCTCTTAGTGACTTTCTCGACATTGGCATGAACTGCCCTGTCGTTTCATCCCCCTGTCGCTCTCTCTCCATCTCTGCAACGGTCCATCCTCCATCCTCCATCCTCCATCCCCCATACGCGTGTGCCTGGTGATCCACCCACGGGCACTTTGTGCCCACCCACCAAATGCCATGTGTGGCTGCCAGGTTGGTCTAGAAACGAGCTCTGCGCCTATCGATCTCAGTTCCTGCATCTGCCCCTGGGAATCTGCCTTGTTTTCTCCCCCCCCCCACACCTCACTGGTTTTCTTCCTGATGGTTTCAGTCTCAGACTCCAGCTCGTGCTCAAGTTCTTTCCCTTCTTACTTCCCGACGAGTTTCAGTGCTTCATGCATCTCATCTTGGTTCATCTCGTACCGAGACCGACACGAGTCTATCCTATCGTGCTTCGCACCGCGTCCTCCATATAGAGTACTGCGTACTCGGTAGTGCCATCGTGAATCGTCCTCGTCCTCGTGCCTATTTTCGCCGAAACAGTCATTCCGTCACGTCAAGCCATCCACGTCGTCATCTCATTGTCTCATCCTGCCCGAACGTCAGCTCTCTGGGCCTCTTCCCGTGAGTTTGGAAGCATTCCGTGCGGATATTTGATTCCATTATTACCAAGGGTGTCCCGTATTCAATGGACCCGTCCTCGAGGTACCTCGTTCTTTGGGACAAGACTCGTAGTCACAAAGCAGCATGTACCCTAATGGTAGTTCCACGATCGTGCCATGTTCAGAATCCTTCGATTTCGCAAGTCCAGGTTCATCAACTCTGGACTCTTCCCGACCCCCTCCTCCATGGGTGCCCTAGGGATCTCCCTTCTCCCCTAGATTATACCACCTGGTCAACGGCTCCAGACCACCACACCGACCATTCAAAGCAATGATGCTCATGGGCGGTCTCTCTCGCCCCCCATTGGGTCCTAGTCACCGAGATGGATCGTCAAACGCTTGGTCCGTTGAATTAGATGGTCAGAAGGGCCAAAAGCTAAGTGGACGACCAACATGCACTACGAGGTACCTCGTCCACTCCACCACGTCCTGTTCACGAGACTCCCGTCTCCACCGCGATTCCCCTCCCGTCATCAAGCATACTCCCTGTCCTTCATGCTGCTCTGCTGTTCTTTTTTTCCGCCAGAGCCTTAACTCTATCAATACCTGCTTGCCTGTATGCCGCAGGACATTGTCGTTCCCTTTCGTTCCGTTTCCTCTCTGGAGCTGGCATTTCCATCCATTCCCATTCCATTCGCCCAGTTTCCGTCTGTTGTATCTTCCCTTGCGTTTCATCTTTCTTGACTTGTCATTGCTTTACAAATCCATTTCCAACTATTTACTCACGATCCATGGTCTTGACGGCTGGTTTCCGATAAGCGACAAGGAACCCAAGAGTAAGCTGCTCTTTTGTTGAACATTATTCTACGTCTCATCCACTCGGGGATCTCAGCCACCCAACCTTTCCATTGCAGACACAACCATCAAGGCGCTGTCAAATGCCTGTCAACCCCCCATAGTCAGCTGTCCAACCGCACCGGCACATACTCAGCACAGAACTCAGGAGTCATTGTTGCTGACGTCGTGTTGTCAACGTGCAAGTCAATTCCTGGGTCTGGGCTCGAGTATATCCTTCAGCACTGACCCCGCGGGCACGTTCATCCACGATCAACCTACTGGTACTTGACAGATCAGATCATCCGCCGTCTGTTTTATTTCTGAAGGCGACTCGATGCTGCTCGAATTGTCGTGCGAGGACTTGTCTTCATGACGACCCTTCTTGACAATACTGGCCTGCCGCTCTGGGTTTATATCGTCCTCATCGTTGTTGGATCTGTTCTTTTTCTGGTCCTCGTCGCCATACTCTTGCGATGGTGGTATGTGCGACGGAGGGCCAAGTCGCCCGAATACAATGGCCTAACAGGGGCCACTCGTCGCATGACCGTGAGACGTGGGAGGATGGTACCCACATCCCAACATCTATCTTTGACGGGATCGAAATTTGGAATGCGACAATTTGGATTGCTTGCAGACAATGAATCCACGCTCACCGGGCGGAGAAGTCCCTTCGAATGGTGGAACACAATGGTCGATAGATCTCACTCTCGACAGGACAGTGTATCCCAGATGGAGGCAGGGTCAATTCACACGCGACCCTCTTCCAGAGCCACTACTGTTATGACCCGAAGAGAATATATGACCGCAACGCCCACACGAACACCGGAGAAGGTCAAAGAGCCCGCGATGAGAACAACCGAGCTCACTATTCCTTCCCCAAGCCCTTCACCCACACTTTCAAGTCATAGGCCCTCCATAAATTTCTCAAGGTCATTTGCACAGAAAGTGCCTTCATCTCCCTTAACTCAACGCTCGCAGTATACATTATCTCGCATCGAAGAACGCTCCCCACCCACTTCGACGAGCAGCAACAGCCCGATACCAGCCAAACGATCTTCTTACTTGTCTGCCATTCATCCCCTTGACAACACCCCCTTTCCAGGCACAGTCGTTGATGCTCGACCGAGCTCAACTGCACTCCGGGAACCAGTGACCATGACGACGGCGAAGAGCCAGCCGGCTCCATCAAATATATCTGTGCCGCTTGGTCAAAGTGGGAGCAGCCTAACATCGTTCCTGATAGGACCAACAGATTGTGACTCTCATCGTCTGAGCGCTTCCGCTGCCTCATATGCACACAGGCCAGGGGACCTTGGCCAATCACCAATTCCACCGCGCCCAAAAACCGCAGGTGCGGCTACCTCGACATCACGCAGGAATCTATCGCAGGACGACACCCGAAATTTTTCAACACCGCGGCGGCCAACGACGTTGGCTGTTCCTAAACCGGTGATGCAAGCCACTAATCGGCGCGGTGAGCCACCGCACCCGAGCTCAATGTATCAGCAAGCGAATCAATCCCAGCCGAATCTGTCCAAGCGGTCATCTACAGCGTCGCAGCGAGAGAGTGCGAAGCCATCTAATTCGAAATCTGGATCCCGCAAGTCCTCGATAAGCATCGGAACAAGCGGAATCGTGTACGAGTCCCAATTACCCGATTACTGGACATCGCGAACGGACTTGCAGGATCTCTCTAGCACGCTTAGAGTGAGAGGATCTGAGCCTCGAGCTTCCTTCAATAGTGCCAGGCGTAATGGAAGTAATTCGGAAGATGAGGGTGAGAGGGATAATATAATAGGAATAGTGACTGTGCCCGGCAAAAACAACAACAGAGTTTTGCGGAAAAAATCACTGAGGAGGTTGCAGCCACAGAAGGGCAGTCCGACGAGTTGAAATTGATCCCCACCCTTACCAGACTGATGCCCACCAGGAGAGCTGGTTCTGGTCACAACCAACCAATATCGGATTCCTTCCTTGCTTTTCTTTTATCTTTCTTTGGGCGCCGAACACCATCAAATCGGCAAATGAAGGGCAGAACGGTACCGGGAGAGGATGGCCTCTCTGCTTGTTGTCTTGTTTTTATATCAGCGTGTGAATTTGTTTGCTGGCAAGGCTACGACATCTTACGACAAGGTTTCATACATTGGCTACGCTGAAACTTTGAGGGGTTTCCAGCAGCCGCTCCGATGAGTTTATTGATGCGATACCATTCGACTTCCTTTTTTCTACCACAGACATCCGGACACGTCAGAATAGTGCTCCTTACCACAAATTTGTTTTCTTCTCCTTCTCCAACTTTTACAACGCAACAACACCATCAACGCTTTGAAAGTTGTATTCTACTCAAAAGCAAAACGACGCTTGATCGCGTTCGTGCTGAATTAAAGGGGCGTTCCACCATGGTTCAAGGAATGATGAATTGGGTTGGAAACCTGACTAGCCACGACTACTCTCGTTAAGAGTCTGATGAATTGTCTGCATCAAGTGGCAAAGGGAAACCATATCACCACCAGCTCTACTCCTAACAAACTACTTACCACTACTGCTGTAACGAGTGCTTCCATAGAGAGACAAGAACCCCTATCAACCAAAAAGAGCTCACACCTACGCGTGAATAATCGGCTTCGTCAATCCCATTTGCATCGATGCCTTGGAAATTCGCCTGCGCCGCAATAGACATCTCCGCTTTCTCCCTGTCTATTGCGTAAACTCCCTCGATTTAGCGGAGTAGTACGCGTAGAAGTACCAAACTTCAACTCCGCTCTCTTCTCCCCAGGATTGGCCTGTCTCCCAATATGCCATCACCTCCTGGCCTGATCGGTGGAATGGAGCGTGGTGTGATCCTACAATGAAGCATTGTATGTAGGCTACGCTTTGTAGTTTGTGGTACTCGAAGTGGCAGGATGAGTCTCTCAGGCCTGACTAGATACTGGGAGATCCTCCTCGACCGAAGGACGCAGTTCGCGCTGCATGTCACTACTGCATATTCGGAGCCCACAAATCCAATAGATCAGTCATTCACTCGCCCACCCACGCAGCGCTCGTACCCATGCAGCCTCACATTCTAGTGCATAGGGCTCTCCAGCCAACCCGAGCCCTTCAACCCGAGCCGGCAATTCTGTTCGTCCAGGTTTTCACCTCTTCGTAGCATCACAGAGTATTGGCAGTTCGAGCTTGCGGCCCAAGCTTGCAAGGCGCCCAACTACAAGCCTACAAGCCTACAAGCCTACAAGCCTACAAGCCTACAAGCCTACAAGCCTACAAGCCTACAAGCCTACAAGCCTACAAGCCTACAAGCCTACAAGCCTACAAGCCTACAAGCCTACAAGCCCCCAAGCCCCATCACAAATGGCCCAAGAATCGTGTCTGTGGGCAGGTTCATTGGAAGTTCGTTGAAGGCCCGGATTATACATCCCCACTCGCCCTGGTTACGAGGGACGGAGGAGATACCAAGGTCGGGGCGAGCCATGCATCGGCCACGATGAGTGGAATTGTTTTCATTCCCAGCCCTAGGTGCCGTATATCTACGAGTATAGTGTACTCGGGACGCAATCATGTATGGACCTGTTCGTCCGCTGGCAGCAGCAACCCTGCCCGACTGAATGAATGTGAGCAAATCAAAGCTCCACCCCATCCCACGTATCCCGCTCGAGGACAACCATACAGGACCAGGTACCACTCTCTAACGTTTCCGCCCCCGCAGAGCCCAGCTGTCAAACCAACCAAAATTCTCCCTTCCCTATATCTAGGAGGTGGTGCTATCATCATCATGGTTCTCAACCGGTGTTTGTGTTTGTTGTCAAAAGTACCCGCATCCTGGGCAGTGCGCTAGAAATCGGCCCATTGGTTTGGCCTCGACCTTCTCGGGGGCTGGCTTTAGGACAGTGTGTGCCTTTTCCACATACGGCCCCCTTTCCCCTTGCTGAGTGATACGGGCAGGGCAGGGTCATCAGCTAGTATTTCCAAGAAGCCGAAGTTCTTAGCAGTAGGATGTACTCCGTACTCCGTCCTGGGTGCTATTGTCCCGAGGACCTGCCCAGGCAGGTATCGTTCCCTACTTCTTTTGCGTTTTGTTCCTGCATGATGATTCACCTACTCGCCAACCGTTTAGCTACCTAGGTTGGACCTAGTGGGTGCCTCGAGGCCCGATCCCAATGAGTCGCAATGGAGTCGAACTACGAGTAGGTAGACCTTCTTCTTGAATCCGCCCACGTGCATTTCGCACTAATTACCCCTTTTCTCCTCTCCCTCACCTGGACCCACGCGTTTCTCCCTTTACTACTGGTGATTCGCTCGTCTCGCACGCCCTCCCTCCGGTCAGCGGCCTAAGCTCTCCGTACGAGTACAGTACACATTCAACCAAATACGGAATTGTCGACTAACGCAGCGAGCCAATGGACTCTGATCTACACAGATGTATATCTTGCATGTTCGTATGCATGTATGTACGCCTCCATGGGTTTTGTTCACCACTCTTATGTCAAAAGATCGCCCTCCGACAAAACCTGCTTCTCGTCCCTCCAGCCCTTCTTCCTTGCCATGCTTATGCTTCAAAAGGATGATTTACTTAGGCCTACGACGACTGGTCCGGGGCCGCCGTCTCGGTGCCGGATTAGCTCTGGGTCAGTAAGTCACAAACTAATGACCGGTGTGGTCCCCCTGCAGAAAGGCGGTCGACGATCGAAACACTAATTCTCAAGAGATTGTGTTTTTTTGTTATGCCTTGGTTGCTGCGTAAATCATCACTGCAGTCTGGATCCTTGTCTTCCTTCATACCAGTCACGAGTGACTTCCGATGAGGGAGTCCAAGGATGGCTTGTCTGGGGAACACGACGAAAGCTGCAGTCATGTATCCCGTGATAAGGGGACATGTTTTTTATCTGTTCCTGGAGACGAAAGATCAGATCGGCATTTCTGGTGATTGGCGTTGATATCAACTTCAATCCTTCGCGCCGCCGCGGTCACATCATAGATGAGGGCTTGCGAGTATGCTGAGTCGATGGGAACTGGTGGCAAGAAATAATATTACTATTGGCCGCAGAACAACGGTGAAGAACGGGCATGCTGGCACTCAGATTTTGGCCTTCGTACATAGGAGTACATGGCCTGGCTACAGTTCGCTGTCGGATATGTAACATATCGGTGCTCGGGATAGATAGACACAGCATTGATTCTTCGGATCGGCGCGCAAGCCTGAACGCCACCCCGATATGCCAATGGATGAAAGGGCCAACTCAAACGAGAATGAACACCTCTCTCATCCGCTTTTGAATCCTCGTTTTGGGGTTCTGGGCTTCGTGATTTTCTTCATTTCGCTGCCAGTCAATATTTTGATTGAAGGACCACGGCCGCCCTCTTGGGCACTGCACACTAACGCCTCTCGTGTTGTTGAAGCTTCTAATTGAGTGAATTTGTTACACGTCGATATGATCAACAATTGAATTTCCTCAAGGCCGATCTGCGTAACCTTTAGTTACCTACTCCACGCTCTCGATTCTCTGCACGACAACGGCAGTAGCTGCGCCGCCCCCGTTGCAGATAGCTGCGACACCGTACTCTCCTGGCTTGAGCTGATGCAGAAGCGTGGTGAGGATGCGAGAACCAGAGCTTCCGAGCGCATGTCCAAGGGAAATCGCGCCGCCAAGAGGGTTGACATTCGCATTCTCGAGGCCAAGGATCTTGAAAATATGTCAGCATTCCCTTGATGAAGATGCAGAAGTAAGCGTCATCGACTCACCTTTTCATTGGCTTTGATCACGGCGGCGAATGCCTCGTTGAACTCCCACACGGCGACATCTTCCTTCTTGATCCCTGCTCGTTCGAGAGCAATGGGCACAGCCTTTGCTGGTGCAGTAGGGAAATCAACGGGGTCGATTGCGGCATCGGCAGAGCTAACAATACGAGCGAGGACACGGCTACCCTTGCCATATTGTTGAGCAAGAGCCTTGTTCACAACGACCACAGCACTGGCTCCATCGTTGAATGTTGACGAGTTTGCAGCCGTGACTGTACCTGTGCCATCACGGACGAATGCAGGTTTCAAGCTCGCGACCTTTTCTTTCTTCAGATTCTGGTATCCCTCATCTTCTGCGATGACTGTGTCACCTTTTTTGCCCTTTACGGTAACAGGAACAATTTCATCAGCGAATTTCTTCTCTGCCCAAGCCTTTTGCGCGCGCTCAAAACTCTGAATGGCATAACCATCTTGCGCTTCCCTGGAAATTTCGTACTTCTTTGCCGTGTGCTCTGCGCAATTGCCCATGTGGAACTGGTTATAGACATCCCAGAGACCGTCCTCGATCAGGCCGTCTTTCAGCTGGATATGACCGAAAGGGGGTTGCTGGGCGGCACGATGGATGAAGTAGGGAACGCGCGACATACTTTCCATGCCACCAGCAACTTGTGCTTCTGCAAGACCAAGCTGAATATTTTGAGCAGCCGTGGTGACTGCCTTCAAGCCGGATGCACAGACTTTGTTGATAGTCACGGCCTCGATGGTATTCGGCAGGCCAGCAAAGATCAAGGCTTGTCGAGCAGGCGCTTGTCCAACACCAGCTGACAGGACGTTACCCATGTAGACATCGGTGATCTTTGAGATGGGGACTTTGGACTTCTCGACGGCAGATTTTATGGCCACAGCACCGAGCTGGGGGGCAGAGAGACTCATGAAGGAGCCATTGAACTTGGCAGTGGGGGTTCGCGAGGCAGAGATGATATATGCATCTTGTATTTCTTTTCGGGCAGCAGAGGTGGTACTGAAATGGCTGCGCATTTGGGTAAGACGGGCACCCGCAGCGTTCGAAGGGATGCGTGAAGCTGCCCGAGCGGCTGAGGAGGTAAATGGCGTCATATTGACGGTATCAGGAGACGATGAGGACGCCAGGGTGAAGGCGAAAAGGAAAGGACGAGGAAAATGCTTTATAGTCGGATCAGAAGGAGCACATGTACGAGTGCGGAAAGGAGCGGGGACCGGGAATGAATGCGGAGGAGGCTGAATGAATGGGGCGGAATTTGGTTGGATAGTATGGACAAGGTGTGAGAGACTGATCAGTAAGTCCCTATGGAAGGTAAAAGATAGGAAGAGTTGTACAGATCACAGTGAGATCTCACATGGCCAGGGGAATGATTATAATCATTTGCCCGTTCCGTGTCTTCCCTCGATGTTGGTTTTGCGAGCCCTGTTCTGGTCGCAGGAAGAGACGGCGATCTCGAAAATCGCATATCCTCGGCTCAAACCTCAAGGCCGGATTAATTCCATGGCTCGAGGAGCCGTAAGGGACACCTAGCCGGTCACATGATCTGGTAGCCTGGCCCAGTTTCTTCTGGTGGAAGATTTCTATCCCTCTTAAAGTGGCACCATGTCTTTCCCTGGTATGGGCTAGTTGCCTCACACTAGGCCCTCTTCATCCTGCCGTTGACAGCGCAAGGCTGCTTCTAAGTTCTGACTGCAAATCGAAACTGCGGCGAAAGTCTCTCCCTCCATCCTCAGTTCATCCTCGCGTGAGCTAACTCCCTTCGTCTTCACCCTCGACGACCTGCTTTTTCTTGGTTTTTACAGTGGCCGCCATCATCTATCACCCACTCTCGTCAAATCTCAAACCATGTCTACCTCCGCAAGACGACGCCTGATGCGAGACTTCAAGGTATGTCCCGCCCCTCCTCCGGTTCCGAGACTGCAACTCCTTCATTCGGATCCGGCTAAGAATATTACTGATCTTCAACAGCGCATGCAAACAGATCCTCCTGCCGGTGTCTCCGCCTCACCTATTGCCGACAATGTTATGACCTGGTAAGCGCGATTTTCCCCGCCCCAGTGGAAGGACTGCTCTGACGAGTGGTCCAGGAATGCCGTGATAATAGGCCCCGCGGATACTCCCTTTGAAGATGGCACATTTCGACTGGTGATGCAGTTTGAAGAAGCTTATCCCAACAAACCCCCTGGCGTGAAGTTCGTTTCTCAGATGTTCCATCCCAATGTCTACGGAACCGGCGAACTTTGTCTGGATATCCTACAGAACCGCTGGTCCCCTACCTATGATGTTGCAGCCATTTTGACCAGCATTCAATCTCTCCTAAATGACCCCAATACGTCTTCTCCTGCGAACGTCGAAGCAAGTAATCTCTACAAAGACAACCGAAAAGAGTATACCAAACGTGTGAGGGAGACGGTAGAAAAGAGCTGGGAAGATTGATACTTCTACGCGATCACAGAACTTGACCTCCAGAAGAATGAACCACTATCAATGTACGACTCAATTTGATCCAGCGTTCTCGCATGGGCTTGGTACGAGGGTATGGCGTTGTGTTATCACGGATGCTAAATGGCTTGCTGATGCCGGGAACTTCCTCCTAGGCATGAGAGCGATGGACGAAATTCTAATCAGCATAGGACGGAGCAAATTGGTTCGAAATGATTGTATTCTTGCGATATCTTACGGCGAAAGTGCTGGCTTGGCGGCAATGATCAATTGAAAGCAATTCTTTTTTTGGACAAACACTCTCTGCGGTAGGAACCCACGGGGCGGACAGTCAGCGAGAATGAGCGCAAGGGACGTTCTCTGCAAGTAGCCACCAATACAGACATTTTCTCTAACCCGGTCTGATCAGAAACATGTTCCTTTCCAGATGGCCCTGAACTTTGTACTGAGAAGAGGCAGGGGTTCCGGGTTTTACTCCACGGTTGCCTACGTTGAGATACTGAAGCGACCCACAATGTGCGTAATTCGAGGCTATTGGGGCTGGCTATTCTAGTTGTTGGTCTTGCGGCATCAACACTCTATCGTGAGAGGAGCCTGGAAGGATACGGCCCTATGCTGCTAGTATATATAACGTATTTATGCTTGCGGCGTGATAGCAAACAACTTGTTGAACACATTTGTGGCATCATACTGAGCCTTGAGCTTTTGCAATTTTGGATAATTGTCGCCGAAGATATCGCGAGATTTTTCATCATATTCTTCAAGAAACTGGGTCAGTCTGCAATGGCTCAAGGACATTCGTAGAACTTACGGTCGTAATTGCCATACAGGAGTACGGCCCCTTTATTTCCACGGACTCCAACACCACCGTCGACGCCCTTTCCAGTCTCCAGCCCGGACTTTTTCAACTCGTCCTTGAACATTTCATTGATGTCTCGCGCCCATTTCCGGAAAGCTTGGTCATTTTCAGGTTTCGTCCACAGCGGGCAAATCATACCGTTCATATGGGTGCCTCGATTGGCAAAGCTGCCAAAGTCTGATGCCACGACCTTCACGGGGTCGTACATCTCATAGAAGACGAGGCTGCCCCTCGCATCCTCGTTGCCTTCGGTAAATTGAATGAAATTAGCCAGAACTTCTTCCACAAAAGCCTTACGAAGGGGCATTGTAAATGCTGCGCCTTTCATGCTCGCTCGTAGACCAATTGGCGGGGCCGTTAAAGTGTTGATGACAGGATAAGGCACCAGGCTAGTAGTGTCAACGATAGGCCCAAGGTCGTAGAATGCTTTAAAAGCCTGTTTGGCTTCAGCCTCTGTACCAAAGTAGATCGTTGGGATGGCCAGAGCGATCTGCTCAAATGTTGGTGGTGGTCTCATGAACACCAGTCCCCCCGCTGCGAGACCAGCTCCATTGGTCTTTCCATTTTTGTCCGCAGTATACAAATCATTGAGGGCAACGACAAGTTTCTCAATCACTTCAGGCGTTGGGGGAAATATGAGCAGGCCTGCCCATACCTCGCCTTGGTCGTAGGCTTGGAGAACAAAATCTGTCACCACCCCAAAGTTTTGGCCTGCACCGCTTAAAGCCCAGAACAAGTCTGGATGTGCATCCTTGCTTGCCGTCACGATCTCACCGCTGGCGAGTACCACAGTTGCCTCAACCAAGTTGTCGATGGTGAGTCCTCGTTGTCCGGTGAGGAACCCATATCCACCACCCAACGCTAGACCTCCAACTCCAGTATCGGTGACTGTGCCACCTACCGTAGCAAGACCATACTTGAAGCCTGCGTTATCCACGTCTCCCCAGTTACACCCACCTTGGACTCTCAGCAGCTTCTTCTCAACCTCGACCTCGACATTGCGCATATGAGCATTCAAATCAATAAGGAGTCCACCATCCGTGCTGCTGACACCGGCGGTGGAGTGCCCGCCGCCCTTCACGGCAACGTCAATGCCCTGTTCAGCGGCGTACTTCACCGCAATGGAAATCTCCTCGTTCGACTTGGGAGCAAGTACGAGGCCTGCTGGTTTCTGCGCCGCAGACGACCAGCGTGCGATCGATGCGGGGTACTTGCTGTCCTCGGATGTGAGCAGTGTGGGGCTTGTTTTGGCAAGCAGTTCTTTCAAGATCGAGATGTCCTTGTCCGTAATAGAGCGCTTCGAGTTATGAGAAATGGAACCCATGGTTGAGAAAAAGAATACTTCTTTCTATTAGACCTTGTTCAGAAGGAAACTGTACTCAAAGAGCGATGGAAATATACAAGAATTCGATGGTTGTAATACGGAGATATGTTTGATCATGTGGGGCGAGGTAAGGCCCCGAATTCCGTACAAGGAAGGAGAAATTACTCGGTACAGCAACAGGTCTCCCAAGCAAGTGAATACGAATCCCTCTTTGAAGGCAGCCTGCCCTGGACCTACTCCAAATTCTTCTGAGACTTACACCAGAGGTGATTCCAATGAGTACGACACGCAGGACAACGTAGCGAATAACTGTATTCAGTCTTCATACAGCAGAGCTCCTCTTCCTTACCTTGATCCCATTGATCGGTTGGACTAACAGCCGTTTAAGTACCCTTGGCTTTCGGCCCATAGGAGAATGAACCATTCCAGGTGTGACGACGCTGTTCAAGAGCCGTCAGCCTGACCGGTGGGGCCTGGAACGGGTGAAACTTGTGACCGCAGCTCCGATTCATGAATAGTTACAACCTTGAAGCACAAACTCAACTGACCCACGCTTCTGCTACGAAGGCGCGAAGTATCTATCAGAGGGACTTCTACATCTGAATAGTTCGGTGGACGGTGAACAGATGGGGATGGATCGAGTATACCACGCTGGTAACCACCTGCATAGCTGGATGGCCTTCTCGCTAGAGTAAATTTGTTGGATAGTTGATCATGGAGAGGTAAGCCAGCGGGATGTGGATGTTCTAACTCGTGATTGATGTGCTGGGAAAGAAACTTCAATTCTGAATCGTTGCAAGAAAGTGCCGCGACAGCCATGACTCAAGTACCTATCACCACGTGATGGTAATGCATCGACGAAAGCAGACAAATATGCCAAGCCTTTCCGACTGCGCCTTCAAACATGCACATGAACTGGAACCTTGTCGTTTACCTGATGACTTTGATCCATCTCCTCCTTGAGCCATAACATCCTTTCGACCCCAAATCTAAGTAGCGGGTATCTTCAGCGTGGCTTGTAACTCGCAGTCGCTAGGAGCCACTGTCGTGTGATCGACCTTCTCACCTGTCACTCCTTGTCACTAACGCGGTCCGATCCAGGCTTTTCTGTTAAAACTTCAAGACTTTACTTTCGCCTGTTCTTTCTCTTTCCCTCTCGTCACTTAGGATCCAAGGCCAACATGGGTGTCCCGGCCCTCTTCCGATGGCTTACGAAAAAGTACCCCAAGATCATTAGCCCTGTCATTGAAGAACAACCCTACGAGATTGATGGCGTGAGTTACCCTGTCGATACAACCAAGCCCAATCCAAATGGCGAGGAAATGCACAATCTATATCTTGATTTCAATGGTATCGTCCATCCTTGTTCACATCCCGAGAACAAACCACCTCCAGCGGATGAAAGTGAGATGATGTTGGAAATTTTCAAGTACACAGATCGCGTCGTGAACATGGTCCGCCCGCGCAGACTACTCATGATCGCAATTGGTATGTTAACCTCGTGTCTTGATTAAATTATGAGACTTCAAGCTGACCAATATTAGACGGTGTTGCACCACGAGCAAAAATGAATCAGCAACGAGCTCGACGTTTCCGTTCGGCGCGCGATGCAAAAGAGGCGGACGAGAAGAAAGCAGAGTTTCAAGCTCTACTGCGTCAGCAGAACCAGGGTAAAACAGAGGAGTCAACAGTCGAGGAAGTAATCAAGAAAACCTGGGATAGTAATGTCATCACCCCTGGCACGCCGTTCATGTTCATTCTTGCTCAATCCATCCGATACTGGGTACAATGGAAACTCAACACTGATCCAGCCTGGGCTGAATTAAAAGTTGTCATCTCTGATGCCAGTGTACCAGGTGAAGGTGAGCATAAGATCATGCAATTCATTCGTTCTCAGCGATCCGACCCTGAATATGATCCCAATACAAGACATGTGATGTACGGCCTGGACGCCGATCTTATTATGCTTGGTATCGCAACCCATGAGCCACACTTCCGTGTTCTTCGAGAAGACGTCAATATCAGAGATGCCAAAGCCAAAACCTGCAGACTGTGCGGTCAACAAGGGCACTATGCAGAGAATTGCAAAGGCAATGCGAAAGTCAAGTCTGGTGAATTTGATGAAAAGGGAACCACTGAAGAATTGAAGCCCTTCGTCTGGCTCAATGTTCCCATCCTGCGTGAGTATCTCGGTGCAGAAATGTTTGTTCCTGGGCAGTCTTTCCGTTTTGATCTTGAACGTGCCCTTGATGATTGGGTCTTCATGTGTTTCTTTGTCGGAAACGACTTTTTACCCCATTTGCCCAGTCTGGATATTCATGAAGACGGCATAGATAAGCTGATTGCTATCTGGAGAGATAATATTCCGATCATGGGTGGTTATTTGACCTGTGACGGTAATGTTGATCTTGCACGTGCTCAGGTGATCCTTGAAGGCCTTGCTAAGCAGGAGGATGCCATTTTCAAACGCAGAAAAGAGACGGAGGACAAGAGAGAGCGGAATCAACGACGCCGCGATCAAGAAAATGCCGCCAGAGAGCAGCGGTTCTCAAAGAAACGCCGAGGTTCTCCAGATTACACGAAAGGTGGCCGTGCCGATGCACGAGCTCCAACTGGTGCCGTTGAAACCTTCGAAGCCAGCAGCTTTCCAGCCTTGACGTACAACGATATCGTAAATCGGCAAAACATTGACAGAACAACCACAACAAACAAGAGTGCAGCTGCCATCTTGAAGGAGCAAATGCTTGCCAAGAAGGCGGCAGAGACTTCAGCGAAGAACGGCATGCACGGCGTCGAACAAATTCCAGGCTCAAGCGACGGAACCCTTAATGCTCTGGGTAAACGCAAGGCTGAGGTTATGGAATCGGAGTCTGACAATGGAACTCCTGGTCGCAACACACCCGTCGAGAAGCCTAAGTTCGATCCAAACGATCCTCCACCAGATACCGTGCGTCTGTGGGAAGAGGGGTATGCCGATCGCTACTATGAGCAGAAGTTTCATGTTTCCCCGTCCGACATCGAATTTCGACACAAGGTTGCACGCTCATATGTCGAAGGATTAAGTTGGGTACTGCTCTACTATTTCCAAGGATGCCCATCATGGACTTGGTATTACCCGTATCATTATGCACCATTCGCTGCAGACTTTGTCGACTTGGACAAGATGACTGTCAAATTTGATAAAGGAAAGCCTTTCCGACCTTATGAGCAATTGATGGGTGTGTTGCCAGCAGCGTCCAACCACGCAATCCCACCTGCTTTTCACCCCCTCATGACCGAACCGGACTCCGACATTATCGACTTTTATCCTGAGGAATTTGACCTTGACGCAAACGGTAAGAAGCAGTCGTGGAAAGCCATAGTCCTTCTTCCTTTCATTGACGAGAAGCGTCTTCTTGCGGCGATGGGAACCAAGTACCCGCTCTTATCAGACAATGAAAGAGCGAGAAATGAATTGGGTCAAGATGCACTGCTCATTTCTGACCAGAATCCTCTCTATGACGACTTGGCGCTTCAATTCTACTCCAAGAAGCAGACAGAAGGTCCAGTGAAACTCAATGTCCGCAAGGGACGACTCGCTGGCACTGCATCAAAGAACGAGGACTTCCTTCCTCACATGGATCTAGTAGGTCCAGAAGAGGACATCAAGCTCGAACCAGCCGTTGATGATGATCGATCTTTGAGCGTCCATTTCACGATGCCTCCACCCACGCATGTTCACAAGAGTATGTTGTTTCCTGGTGTGGTCTTACCAAAAGCAGTGCTTGATCAGGGTGACCTGGCCATTCTCAGGTCCAAAGCCAGGAACTCGGGTCGGGACTTTGGAGGGGCACCATTATACGACAATAGCCGACGTGATCCCTATGACCAACAGAATAGAGGCGGTCGTATCAATTACACGGCTGACCGAGCACCTTTGCGCGCTGAGCCTCCACCGCCCCCCGCATTTGCCAATGGTAATCCATTTGCGGCTTTACTAGATCCGAGATATGCCCAAGGAGTGCCACCACCACCCCAACAATATGGCGGCCAGCAGGCGTACGATCGTAACTACAACAATGGTTATGCCAGCCAGCAGGGAGGATACAACGGCTATCAAGACCAGCGTCGTGGTGCACCAGATCAAGCTTATCATGGGGGCCAGCAAGGGCAATATCAACCTCGCGGACAATACCAGCAAGGTGGCCATCAAAATGGAGGACGTGCTGTAAGTGATGGCTACCACTATGATCAAGATCGCAACAGAGACGATCGTCGGGGTAATGGAGGCTATCGTAGTAGTGGTGGATATGATCAGGGATCTTATGGCCGTAGATAGGAACTTGTCATCAAAGGGATTACTACACCTTGTGTGTGAGCGGGATCCCCTGTATGAACTGGGTATTTTCTCTAAGTGAAGCATGAAGATTTTACTTCGACGCCGCAGCCCAACATTCAAATTTGCAGCTCTGAAAAGCATGTCACATCATGATTGCCACTGCGCGAGGGCTTGTTCAGATGAAACAAAAAGGAGGACTGGACCTGAAGCCTCCTGCCAAGGACCAGTGAAAATTAGACTCCCATCATCGGTCCGGCGGTTCTGCAAAACGTGCAAAACCGCTTATGGTGAAGCACGTTCACAGCCCTTTCGTGTTGGGTATGGGACTAAATCATGTACGTCGGTGTTTGAGCTTCAAGTAAAGCAATTGAATTACTTTATTGATGAATAGACCTATCTATACATAGCCTGCTATTAACTACTATAAAATAACCTCTCTCTTTAAAGGCGAATATTTTCATTTCCAAATAGTAGAGACACAAAAAAAGACGACGAGAATGGGACTCGAACCCACAATCTTTGCCATGTTCTAACTGTAGTGTAACAGCAGACCGGAAAGCAACGCCTTACCATTAGGCCATCCCGCCCGATTTGTGTATGTTTTGAGAACCAAATCAGGTGATAATATTGGTGACTTCAATATATATAACCTCCGTATGTTACTAGTAGCGAGCGCCCTCGCTCCATCCGCAGTCCGGGGCCGGTGGGCTACTGAGAAGTCAGTATCCTGCATAGCGCGTCCACTGGTTGTCAGTAGAAGACCGGCTTATCTCGCTCTGATTTCGCCTTTGGGGTCATCGAGCACATAGTTCAAGTTCTGCAAAGGATAGATCCTCAGATTCTCGAGATAAGGGAGCACATGGGAGGTGTCTAGCCTGACGCGGGCTTTTAATACTATTTGCTTGGTACCCATACATCTTATTGGCCATGGAATGTTCTATGGTCTGGGAGTGTATGAACGAGTTCGTCACTTGGTGGCCGGGCTAATCCCGAGCCACGAATTCGTTGACGAGCAGGTGCTCGCATACCAGCAGATAGATGGTCGCTGATCTTTCTAAGCCCTGGAGTCTATTGTTCTGTGTGAGGAATAGCGGGGAGATGTTTTACTCTAGGAAACATGAGCACATGTTCATTTGGGTCCAATCGTCTGCATGCCACCCATGTAGGCTCTCAAGACCTCTGGGATTACCACACAGCCGTCTTCCTCCCGCCATCCATTCTCCAAGATAGCAGCAAGAACTCTTGGAATTGCCATGGCGGTTCCATTAACTGTGTGGGCAAACTTTTTGCGCGAACCGTTTGCGTCAATTATCCTGGTGTCAAGCCTTCTGCTCTGATAATCGGTGCAGTTTGACGCCGATGTGACTTCACCCCACCCTCCATCGCGCTTTCTTCGTGATGGAAACATTGCCTCGATATCGATCTTGCAGAATGCACTGGCACCGAGGTCTGTCGAGGGCATTTGCAGTACCCGACAAGGTAAACCCAGAGACTGCAGAATTCCGGTCTGGATGTCGACCATTTCACGCCATAGGCGAGAAGAATCGAAGGTCAAGTCCGAGTCAATTGGAATGTTCTCGTCGGGAACGGGGCAATTCGTCCACCCAAACATTTCAACTTTGGTAAATTCGTGCACGCGGTAGAGACCTTTCGTATCGACTCCTCGGGCGCCGGCTTCCGCCCTATAACAACGGCTGCTTCCGACGAATTTCTTCGGCAATTCTGCCTCCGGGATGCTTTTGTTTGCATAGAGGCCTGCAAGTGGGATCTCTGCCGTGGCGGCCAGGCTACGGGTGGGTTTTCCAGTGTCCCTCGCTGACTGCGCGACTTGCCAGATCTGTTGCTCGTCGTTTTGATCACGTGGCTGAAATCCGCAGGATGCGGCCATGTGGGAGTAGACCAACGACGGAGGGCTCACCACGGCCCATCCGCGCTTCATGGCCTGAGCGAGTGCAAATTGAATTAACGCTTGCTCCAGCAGAGCCGCTTCGTTTAGGAGGTAGTAGAACCCCCAGCCAGACGTTGTAGAAGAGGACGAGAAGTCTAGCAGCTTGAGCTTCTCCCCGATGATCGTATGATCAGCCGACTCGCTATATGAAAGTGGCTGGTCCGGATCATAGTTGATATACCGTACGAGCTTCGGCTCGCCATCAAGTGGTGTTGTTGTAGAGGTCAGGTTTGGCAGTGACACAGCCAGATTATGTGTCTCACTAGCAAGTGCTTCTTGCTTCGCTGCAAGTGACGCCACCTCTTTTCTGATCGACTTCATCTCAGCAATCAAAGCATCCTTCGGGTCTTGGGATTTGTTCACTTGTTTTTGTAGCTCTTTCAATTTACGCCGAGGCTCTTTCAGGAGATTGTCGATCTCATTTATTTCTCCCATACAATCTCTGATTTTGCCAGGGACGCCCTGATGGCTCCGGTAGTTTCGTACCGAAACATTGTCCGTGTACACATCGACATTATTTCTGATCTGCGAAAGTGGAGGTTGTTGCTTCGGCGCTGTGGGTGGGCGAGCCTCTTGTAAATGCCGTGGAGAGGTGCTATATGCCTGTCTGCAACGCAGCAGGAAACTCTTTGGGCTCAGTGTTATCCTTGACATTGAACCGACAAGTATGGTCGTATCTCGAGCCTGAGCTCTCCGGGGCTGCTGCACATTGACGCGACTGTCAGAAAAGTTTACTGTTCGACCGTACTGTCTATACGGCCGATCATTAACCCACGGACTGAAGCCGTTAGGCCAATCTGAAGAATACCTAACAACGGTAGGTACCAAGGCTGATGAATAGGGACATTTACTCACACACCGCATATCTTGTCCCTGACCCCTTTATGGTGATTCACAACGTCCAGTGCTGGCTTCATCGGACGCTTTAATGATATGCTTGCACTGGCACTTTTAGTATTGATGACTAAACTCACCGCCGAAGGAAATTTTAAATATGTAAGAAGTTTACATAACGAACGCTGGGAACGTTCGTCGATCTGCAATCCATACCCCTGCTATTCAAGCTAGATTTCAGCCTCAGTGGTAGCCGTAGGCCTTAATTGGTCGTCCAAGGACGGGGTTTCAGATCCCTTTTTTATGCGTCTCGCACGATGTTGCCTAAGTCACCATTGCTTGCAGAACTTTGGTACTCTTTACAACCTGCTCGTTCTCGGTCAAGGCCGTGACATGTAACATCGCATTACATTTCACGATGCTGATGAAGGGAATTCGCTCAGTCGCATCTAAAGTCAAAATGGAGGACACGCATATTCTACTGTATTCGGCGAGCGTGCCACCCGCACCGACGTATATATTGACCGCTACATCTGGCTCATGGCGTTTGACAGCCACCGATCCGCTAATATCAGGACATCGATCCTAGCAAAATGCCTTCCGCAATTCTTCTTGGAGTTCCCAGGCTCCTTATTCTACCTCTATGGACCATAGTCGCACTCTATCGCAACTACAAACTCGCTTAAACTACCCGGCTACCCCTTGTGGTCAGCCCGGTCAATCTTTTCAATCTATTGTGGATTGTCTCGCAACCTTTCTACAACCCATTGCTATCGCGCCTACCAAGGGCGTTGAGTAGTTTCACGAGATACAACACCTGTGGTAGATACGGCAAAGGGCGAGACGCGAGGGATGGCAAGAGAAAGGACTATGCAAGTGATTGCAGATTCGGACATGGCACTGGCGATGAGGATTAATCACCCTGAGAGGTTGAGACTAAGGTGGGAGAAGGTATCTGTTGGTCAATGAGAAGGTCTTATTTATTTAAAGGATGCTCTGAGCGCTATGATCTAAAATCTGCTCCATTCGCTCCTTGCCCTTATCCTTTCGCCATATGCCATGAAGAAGAAGGGCACAGGAATCAAAGCCATGGAGAAAAATCCAAAGATGCTCGATCCCCAAGGTATACCGACATTATGATACAAGGGTCCCACAATGAGCGGAAAGGCTCCCGCGAAGCAACTGCGAAGGAAGGCTGTCTTGCGTTAGAGCTGTAGCCACCTCTGAGGAGATGATAAGACTCACTGTTTGCCGCGACAGCACTGGCAGCATATTTCTGAAACGTGTCAACAAGATAATTCAGTGCAGCTTGAAATATTGTAAAGAATCCAATACCAGTCATGCCAAGACCGATAACTGGAGCAATCCAAGGGTATCTGTCAAGTCCGGTCAGTCAAGTTTCTTTCTCGTCAACGTAGTTGCGACTAACCTTGGATCTGCCGTCCACCCGGTCGTAAACATCCCAGCAGAGAATAGTACGGAGCCAAACGCCATAGGTGGTAGGCGGGCTTCGGGGACAACACTCTTCTCCAATTTATGTGCGATCTTGTTATACCGAAATTGATTCCAGACGTTAATGGCTGCTCCTATTACGGTTCCGACAAGGATAGCTAGGAATGGAAGTTCGGAAGGAATTTGCTTCCAGCCACGATGTTCAGCAAAAATGATTGGGATCGCACCTATTTACGGATGTCAGCCGCGCACAGAAATAATAGACCACGTTGTGGAACGGCTCACCAAGCTGCATGTACAAGATCCCGTAACAGAAGCTCGCATATAGGGCGACAAGTGCGCAAATGGGTGTCGTCAACAACTGGAAAGGCCGTACCAAAAATTTCCTGGCCAGTTCTTGGATTGATACATCCCATTCTTCGAACTTGGCATGGAGTGCCCAGTTGCCACTCTGGTGGCGGAGACGTCGGGCTTTGTATACCAAAAGGCGCGGAGGGTATGATTCATCCAAGAAGATCACATCCAGCACCAGAATGGCGAGCTGGAGGATGCCAGTCAGATATTCTGTCCAGCGCCAGCGAAGACTCGGTTGCACCACTAGTGCGGCCCCAACGATGGGCCCAAAGACCGGGCCAAGGACAACTGCCATAGCATAACTTGCTATGGCGATTCCACGCTGAGAGGACGAGAACAGATCTGCTACAACGCCACCTGTATTCGTAACCGGCGAGGATGCAAAGAACCCAGCCCAGAATCGGGTAATCATAACAGATTGAATGTCCTTGGATACGGCAGTCGCGAAGGCGAAACAGGCTGCCGCAAACATTGGGGGAAGAACCGCATTCTTCCTTCCAAAGACTTCGGAGATTGGTGCCCAAAGTAAAGGCCCAAGACCGAATCCGAACAGGAACAGGGTAGTTCCCAATGTCGCCACCTGAGTCCCAACATGAAATTCTTCTGCAACTTGTTGGGTTCCAGGGCTGTAGGCACTGCTTGCCCAGCTGGCAGACATGGTGGTAAAGCCGTACAGTGCAGTTGTGATAATCTTCTTCTTCACCGACCAATTCGATGGCCGATACGGATCATCGGGTCCATCAAAGTCAACCAGCTCGTCCAAGCTAGTTTTCTCATGTTGTAAGGGGTGAGCGAAATTTCCAATTGGTGCTCTCGATCGTATGCGGGATAGAGCGGTTTCTCTTCGTGTGACTGTACGGTGAAGACCCAGAGAGGTGCTATTCGCTAGAGAATTCCGCCGTCTGCGCGGGTTCTCTTTGGCAGACTCATCATCTGAAGGAGGCCCCAGGTCCCCATACTCGGAATTTGTGGTTTCGCGTGATAATATGCGAGATGTGGTTAGGTTTCCAGGGCGAGTGCCCACGAGATCTCTCGTATCAACCTTTTCTATGTTTTCCATGTTGTCGTTTTGGCTATCCACATCGCCGGCAAGGAGAAGAACACTTCCGTAGATATTAATATGTTTCTCGGCTCACTATTTCCGATGGCGCCGACGTCATTTCTGCTCCCGCCAATAGCCCGTTAAGCCCGTTGGTAAAGGGGTCTGTGCCGCCCAGCCCGAGAAATGTTGGTTTAATAGTTAGGCGGTCGCCCAATAGGCTGCAGTTATGGCAGTGATAAAGCCAATCGAAGCTGAACTATCCCACCGGAGTAGAAGGGTGTCTCCAATCAGCTGTAGGTCCACACCCAAATTGAATGTTAGATGGCCTTTCTGAAGTACGCGAATATGAGGTATTTTGAGCATTGAGCAACTTTCAGAAGATCGTACAACCTTTTTGGTCTCTGAGCAGTCTAATCACAGCCTAATTCCAAGACTTTGAAGCCTTGGTATTGATGGGATTCTCACCACCTCCAACGCTCTACCGAGGTTGGCCTTGGCTCAAATTTGGTCCTCGGGCAGAGTGAGAGAAGGCCAAAGAGCCAGAATATGAACTCCAGTGAAAACATGCTCAGGTCCTTGATGCTGACATCTCAGGATGAATGGACCAATCTAACGTTCTGAGTACTGACTGGAGAAAAAATCTGGTGCTATTTTCGTCGCCTGTAAGTGGTTGCTTGCATGAGGACTTTGGAAGGTGGTTGAGAAATAGGCACTCATGGGCATCATTTCCACACCAATTAGCTTGCCCCGTCCCTCTTCCGGGCCGCTTTAATTATTCTCCTCTCCTTTGGTTCAGCTTCAGCTTGACCAGGCTGCACCCCTGCCAAGCTTGGTCGTTCACCTATCTATGTGATAGAATCTGCTGACCGACGGCTGTTTTCTCTACAGTATTGGTGCAAAGTGCAGACCTACGATCCTGCCTTTTCACTATTTCACGTCCATTCCGTAATCAGCGATACGCCGGAACGATGAGACACTGGCAATCCACCACTCCGACGCAGACGTGTGGGAAAGGAGCATTTTAATGGCCATGCTCCTATCATTGCAAGGTCCAAAGAAGCAGGATTGTAAACCCAACTGCTTTGAAACGAGAGAAGAACAGAGAACGCAGCCGTTGTGCAATAAGTAGCAGAACTGGCATCCAATACTTGATGAGAGCTGGTGTGCAGATGGAAAATTGGAGGCCCCGGTCGCAAGTGTCCGAACTTCGCCTGAGATCTAGCGAGGTTGATACCATTCAAGTAGGCGGCAACAAATTGCAGGAAAGCCGCTGTCGGGAACCTGCCTCAGAAATCCACGGTGCCACAATACTTTGGAGGATTGAGCGCCTAGTACGGACGTAAGGAGGGCTGGATAAGGTCTGCAATAGCTGTCTTAGAAGGGATTGAGGCCTTGGGATGGAGAGCTGCAGCAACGATAGGTATTGGCGTAGCAACGCGGTCAGTAAATGCGCAAAACCTTGGTCCTCTTGAACTCCCAACGATTACGGCTGCTAGCTACTTCGCAATTAACGATCCGAACTTACCGATGAACGTCAAGTGCAGAGTGCAGAAGCCTCGCCCCATGGGTGGGCTTGTGTAACATACCTTGGATGTCCAAACAAGACATTTATATTTAGTCGTCTTTCCGAGCTGTGACTCTTGTGGATCTGGCGCACTCTGTGGGCATTGGAATCTCAGCCAGGCCGCCGTCCTATCAGCAGAGGCCAGAGTGGAACTGATTCTTGCGCGATGGAGATATCGAGGTCGCCTTGCTGGCCCGTGTGGGCGCAAATAGCAGAATGAAAGACCAGGAAAGTGCGACAGATCAAAACAATATGCGCACGATTCATACTTTTGGCTTCTCCTAATCCTTTGTTAGAAGCGGGAGCAGAGATCTATCACCGCTCGAGCGAGCACAACAATGAATGAGGTTGGCCGCCATTTCGAAATCTTTACTTGGTCATATCGCTAGAGAAAAAGCCGCAATAGGGCCGTGGCGGAAATAAGTCATGGCAAAGAGAAGTTAAGCCATCTGTGAGGTATCCCCAGCATGAGGTAAAACAATTTTGAGGAGGTTGATTGGCCTCTGACAACAGAATACGTTGTGGCCGACAAAATGGTAGGAGTATTCGACACGGTTAACGGGAAACGGCAGCAGTGTTGATGAAAGGGTCGAAAGCTGACAATGGTCACTGATTAGAGCCTCGGCACATGCAGGTGTAAGCAGATTGCGTGCACCGCACTAGCCATGCCCTCCCAACATGCGGCCACCCACTAAGCCATAATTATGAAGTCTGCATCTGCAAGTTATTGGTTCATGAGAACATGACGCTCATGAGCGATGGATTTTGCCGCCCGCTGGACGAAAATAATAGCAGGAAGCCGATGGTGTAACATCTCGAAGCCGTTCGCCAGATCATGCGAGTGTCATCAACTTGCTTTCAAAGGATGGAGCCTACGCAAAATACTGATATCTCGGGGAGGGCTACGCCCATTCTGGGTCAAGCTCGACAAAACATCGTGCCGAGCGGTGCGGAGGGAATGATCATAGAACGGATGCCACAGCAGCCTGCGCTTCTCGGTTCAATAGATGACTGGACAGGGGTGACAAAAGCCAGCGATAGAAGAAAAATCCAGAATCGACTGAACCAGAGACTTTACAGTGAGTCAAGCCTCGATCTATGAGTAAGTGGAGTCGTCTGACTTCGTCCTCCAGGAAAGCGGAAGCGGGTTGGTGTTCAACAGTCTCCCGCGAGCACTTCACAGGCGACGGCACTGCGAGCCCCATCTCTATGGCAGATATTCTACTCCGCCGTCGAGTTCCAAAGAGCCGACCGCGCAGCGCTGAGGATCGTGGCCGAAAAGACACCTTTCGGCGCTGGCGAAACAGAACGTGCGATTTCTGAATTCGAGAAATGGGCTCAGAGTCGGTCGATTGGTTCACCCGGGACAGACAATCTTCTCGTGCTCGTGAAATTCAACATCTTTAGGGCTTTAGTCAGTAACTGCAATGATCTTGGTATTCCAATCCACGATACCCTGGTCGACGAGAGTGTTTCCCCGTTTCCAAATCCCGAGCATCCACCAATCGATCAGCTGCGCACACCCGCAGCACTGTGGCCGACGGACCTGCAGAAACAGCTCGAACATCACCCTTGGATTGATCTTCTGCCTATACCAATGATGAGGGATAACCTACTACAGGCACCAGAGGGATATGACGAGGAAGCCTTATGTACGGACCTAATTGGTCACCCAAATAATGCCTCGACTCGTATAGGAATGGCAATTTGGGGTGAACCCTGGGACCCTGCCGGCTGGGAAGTCACAGAGGGATTCTTGCAGCACTGGGGTTGGACTATCATGGGTTGTGACCAACTCGCAGATGCTACAAATTACTGGCGGCAGCGGCGGGGTGAACAGCCCTTGAATTTTGAAGGGATCCATACTAACTGGACAGCAATCACAGCAGTTGCCCCAAATTCTGCAAGATCTCTCCATCTCTGGAGCTAATGCAAGTGTGGACGCTACCAAAGTGTGGTTCTGGGAGTTTTCGCACGTACGTTGAGAACGCTGCAAGCGGCCTCATGCCCGAACCGGCTTTTACTGTGGAGATCATTTAGCCACCATGCATCTATGGATATGAGGCACTCCTTGGACTTCTGGAGTTAACATATTCAGGTTCCGGACCGATTCAGAGGTCCGTTTAGTATAAACGAACCCAGCACTGTTCTTCGAAGGAACCACAACTCACCACAAGGCTCGTCTTCCTAACATCATCAAAGTTTCACCATTCGCAATCTCGATAATCTATCCTCTTTTCAATTTAAATATCTTCCACCATGAATAGCAGGTATGCAGCGGCTCACCTGTCACCAAATGGACCGGGTGATGCCCGCCCAACAGCCGAGCAGATTATTAAAGACGAAAACTTAGAGGGCAAGCTATCAGACAACTTCATCTTGATCACAGGATGTTCTTCAGGCATAGGAGTGGAGACAGCACGTGCCCTTTTTGTGACAGGCGCACAACTATACCTGACCGCTCGAGACCTTAGCAAAGCAAAGGAAGCACTTCCGGATCTCGTCACATCAGACCGAGTACACCTTCTGGAGCTAGATCTCAATTCACTAGACAGCGTGCGGTCTTGCGCCGACAACTTTCTCTCACAATCGAAATCTCTCAATATTTTCATTGCCAATGCGGGAGTTATGGCATGTCCGGAAGGCCGCACCAAGGACGGCTTTGAGACACAATTGGGAACCAACCACCTCTCCCACTTCCTGCTGCTGAATCTCCTCAAGCCAGCCCTGTTATCTGCTGCCACGCCATCTTTCAGCTCCCGAGCCGTGTTCCTCTCCAGCATTGGTCACCGCATTGCAGAAGTCAATTTCGACAACCTGAATCTTGAAGGAGCTTACAATGAATGGGTCGCATACGGCCAAAGCAAAACCGCAGTAATCTGGACCGTTAACGAGATTGACCGTCGTTATGGATCAAAGGGCCTTCACGCTTTCTCTGTAAATCCTGGTGGGATTATGACAGACCTACAGAGACATTTGCCAGATCAAAGCATGTTTGATGGTCTTGAAAAAGAGTTTAAGAGTCCAAAGCAGGGTGCCGCAACCACGGTTTGGGCTGCTACTGCGGCCGCTCTGGGCGGCCAAGGAGCGAAGTATCTAGAGAATTGTCAGATCTCTAAGCCTTGGTCTGAAAAGTATGGGCAGTGGGCAGATGGATATGCGCCTTGGGCATTTGACGAAGAAAAGGAAGGCAGGCTGTGGAGGAAATCTCTTCAGCTGGTCGGCTTGGAGGACGCTGAATCAGAACGGCATTGATATGCAATGATATTCGACACCTGAGGAGCGATTAATACTTGATACATAAGTTCGGATACGCATTCAACCTAGCGATCGGATTTCTCTATTTAGCTCCACTTTTTGACCATCCTACTTCGTTCGACTTGAGGTTTTGAGCGAGGGAAGATAGCCTGGATCCACTACAGGAATCGCTGCAATAGCCAAAATCAGTCAATATTTCAGCACTCTCGTAGCGCTTCGAAGTGTCGGGGCGTGTAATGATAGAGTGTCCCTAGCTCATTATTGACTTCTATAAGGGTCGAGGAAGACCGACCTCAGAACGAACTGAAGCCTAGAGCTTTCCATTCGAAGAGCAACAAATATTCCCGTGAGGACCGAAAAATGAAAGTCATCTTCTTTGCTTGAAACTGTCTTGTTAGAAGGGCTAATGAGTGATACCCGCACACCCCAAGAATTTGAGCCTGACCAGTAACATACCCTGAGCGCGTTGCCTCGTGCGTTTACAGGGTCATAGTAATATCTCTCGACGCCATTGGGTAATTAATGCGGCTCCCTGGTCTCAATATCGGGACGAGATGGCTCGACATTCGCCGGCAGTTTGTTGCTGTCGAAGTGTACACTCCGTTCACCAGGCAACAGCCCTTCTTGAGTTTGGGGGCTAGTAAGGCTCGACCTGTTTCAAGGCCATCGAACGCAGGGGTGGCCGACAATGTCACTTCAAGTTATCAATTTCAGAGATCTCCGAGATTAAAGCTCCTAGATATCCTACCTTTCTATAAGACACCATTCGCGACTTCAAATCATTGGTTGTTGTTGTCAGAATGCTCATCTCTCGACGACTATGGCTGGGCTTCCTGGTGTCCTGCATCAATGCAGTTCAGTTCTCCATGCAAATACAATTAAATGCAGACTCCTACCGAGCTCTTGTCGAGCATTTAGGTGGCCAACAGCACCTGAAAACCATGCCCATCGAGGACATGTCGGAAGCTCGCAAACATCGAAGGCTAGCACAATTCCCCATTAATTCAGGAGATGACGCTACCACGCTCATCAATCACAGGGTGGAAATCTGGGTAAGTGACTTTTCATCCTCATCATCATGAACTGTTTACCCATCCGCTGCTTAGCTGTTACTTTCAATACTGAACCTGACTATGACGGCTGGTTGTTGAGCCCATATGTAGTACTAGCCGCTCTGGGAAACCCACTCCAACCGTTTTGTCTGCTGGTCGATTTGGCTTGGGACACTCTGTTCGTACCATCCGCAGGCTGTCGAGGAGATTTTGCTGCGAACGATGAGGATCTTAAATTCTACGCCAACAGATCTTCGACGTATTGTCTTCTTGAGCCGGATGCTCACCTAATCTATGCGACCGATACTTTCCACATTGCTGGACTCAATATTGAGGACCAACCCTTTATTAGTGCCTATGAAATCAGTCCTTTGGGATTCCTCTCGGTATACTGTCGCCTTGATGGTGGCCTGGGCCTGGCGCCTTGCTTTGACCATCCACTCAACACAGACTGGTGCACATGATGGTCCACCAATCTCTCTTGGATCGAAACTTGTTTACCGGGGAGCTTACTCAAGGAGTCAAAAGCCCAGATGGTATCGAAAGACTAGGAGGACTCAGCTTCAGTGATATCAGTGATAGGTATCATGCAAGCGACTTCTCTCAGGTTCCGCTTTACGAACGTTGGGACCAAGTGTGGGCAGTCGAGGCACAATCAATCACTTGGGAGAACGAAATCCACTCCATTCATGAGGCCTTCTCAAATCTGACCCTCGCTGGCTTTGATTCAACCTCATGGTTTCTTGGGTTTCCTGGAAACTGGACGCGGGAAATATACGCGTCAGTGGACCCTGATTGCGATTTAATTTTCTGCTATGTGGATTGCCTTGCTAGGAAACATATGCCAAACATTTCCTTTGGCCTAGCTGGTCAACAGCTCACACTGAGCCCCTTCGAATACATATCTGAGATGATGACACCTTCTAAGGAGAGAGTATGCTTCTTCAACTTATATACTACGAAAGACCAATATCCTGTTGATGCAATCGTAGTCGGCACTCTCTTCATGGAGGCCTTCTGTAAGTGCGTCTGATGTGAGGCCCATTGTTTACAGAACTAACTATGACCAGTGTTTTTGACTTGGACAAGAAAGAAGTGAGATTTGAGTTTCCGCAGATGTTCTTTCCGACACAGTGCAGTCGTAGCAGCACTTATTACTCTTCGGGTTAGTAATGACTCATACAGTGACGAGACGAATCAATGCGGATCGACTCTGATTCGAAGGCTTGATGTGCTGCTAGCAATTGCTCCTCATGAGAGGGCATCTCCACTCCAGGAAACAGTAGTGCACTCGAGTATTTCATGTCCCTCGTTTCCCATGGCTCGCTGTTATAAACAAAAGCTTTTCTGGAAGCGTAGAAAGCCTCTTGGGATACTAGTCAGATCAAAGACGTTCCTCTCTAGTCAGCGAGTGCGATATTAAGATCAGTCTAATGTCGTGGCCGTGGTGTCATGTGGCCGGGGACCTGGGTTCCGTGGCAGTTTGTAAATTGGATTGAAACAAATGCTTCTCTGTACCACTGGTACGTACTTGTGATGGAGAGAACTACTATGTTAATCCACGGGTCTACGAGTAGAGGTGCGCATTAGCACCCGAGCTGCCTTCGAGGTTTCCTGTGAGGGTCCACGGGGTGTTAAGAAACTGTTCGTCCTTGGGGGCTTGGAGGTTTGGGGCTGAAGATAGGCTCCCGCGAATCAATCAGTGCTACTGATAAGGCGTGTCAGCCGTATTTCGTCGGGGAAGCGTTTGATACTCCTTGCGTTTGAGTTGTCAATTCTAAACCTATCATGATCATCCTTGGCGAAGCTATGAGAATGTTGAAACCTAGCAGCCTCTGGGTAGATCACCCTCCGTTTCCATCTTCGTGCTACGCTTAGTGCACCCTGTAGGCTTCGCCTCAAATTGTGGCATGTCAAATGGCAGTGAAGGCCTTCTGCACAAGAATATACGGCCAAGATGTGGCATCCCAACCTGGATGTGATTTCAGCAATCGCTTCCCCCTAGGTCGACATGCTCCCCAAGGTAGGCTTTGTGTGAGTGCTTTACAGCCAACGACATTGGCGACTCCCAGCCTTCCTGAAGTCCACTTCCCTCAAACTTCACAATTTCGAGATCGGTTTGTTCAATTCATTTGTTAAAGCGGCTCTGGAGGAATGATGCAGAATGGCCTCAGGCAAATCTCGGACGCAAAGAGGCCGTTGAGATCCAGGATGTGGAGTTCACCTTCTCTAATGATATGCTGCTTTACCTTCGGAATCACATTTGCTCTTGGGCACCATTTCTACTACCACTGGCTTGATGGGCAAGCCGTTGGCGATCTGACTCGACAACAATGGTCACTCCGGTTCGTATTGGGTATTGGAAATCTGTCCACCATTTCAGTCGACTGACACCTGTAGAATTGGCAATTTCTTTGCGGTTGCCACCGCAACTAGTCTCAAGCTGGCTGTTGCAAATGCCATTGCACAATATATCTGGCTGAGGCTGCGACAAAAGCATCACAAACTAGAGACAATCGACGCTGCGTTTTCGATGACGAGTGATATTCTTCCATTTTTCCATGCAGATCTCTACAGGACAATGTACCTTGGGGTCGTTCTTGTTGTATTTATTTGGTATTCCGTCTTCGCCGTTTGATCAGCACACTTTACTGACAAACTCGAGGATGATCCCGATTGCGACATTATTTCCCCCGGCGACACTTTCTGTTGTCCTCGACAGCCATGCTAATACGAGCACATTTGATGTCCTGCAGCCGTCAATCTTGAATCCGGAACCAGTGAACCAATACGGCAGGGACCTCACTGAGGAGGGATATGCCTCATCATATATGAAAGCCCCCGAAACCTTTGCAACTCTCGTGAAGTCAGTTGCTTATACCGGTCAAATCAGTGCTCCACAGGCAATGCTACCAGACTCGAACTACTCATATAAACTCACCACATACATTCCACGATTCAAGTGCTCAAATGACCCCAGCGGGTCGCACACCAAGATTCAAGATGCTGCGCAAGAATTCCTGTCTAATCTTTCTACTGTGATCTCGTTTAACAAAGACTCATTTTCATATGTTAATAGCCTTTCTGGTGACGATAAAGACGGAGATGGAAGAACCGGAGATGGCCTGCTATTCTATCTTGGATTGGCAACTCTTGGGGGCACGACGTTAGACGAAGCTTATTTGGAAACCATAGGTCTTCCACAGACTCAGGTGCTTTTTTCCACCGATGAAGCACTGTCGACAGGCTCATCCCTTATTGACGGCCCTTTGCGGGAAGCGATCACAGGGTCGGTGATGATAGCAATGTTGACTGGGCCCACCCAAGTCAAATTCACAAATTGTGGCATCTACAATTCGTCCTTTGAAACAGAAACCTCATTTGCCAACGGTATCGGCGTGACAAATGTCCTGTCTATCACAGACGTTTCGGAGATTCGCAATTTTAGCTCTTCTCTAGGAACACCAACGTCTTACGCTCATTACTTCCGAGAAATGGCCGGTCTACTCCTTGGGGTGATGGTTACCGAAGATACGGTTATAGCAGTTGACGACCCGGATAACGAGATCTTTCGAATGTCAAAGTCAACGTCTGTGGCTGAGTCAACCATCATCGCAGGTGCCGATGAGTTTTCGCAACTGTTGCAGTATCGTGCAGGCTGGATTGGAGAGGCCAAAAATATCAGCAGCGCCTTCATTGGGGATAGCAATGTCACAAATACCCGGTCCCCACAAAACAAAACGTTCGCCGAGCTATTTGAGGAATTGAGTGTCAACGTCTCTCTAAGTCTGATGAGCACTCCTGCATTGTGGTGAGTTTCCCATACATAGTATCTGCTTGCTTCCGACTGGTTAAAAATGACTGTTTGCTGACATCGAACTTATATCCCAGTCGGACTGTGAGTGTTACTGGCGAAGTACGGAAACTCTCCACGATCTATCGCTACCAGCCGATGAATCTACTCATATCCTATGGCGTGGCAATAGCTTGCAGTCTAGCCAGTGTCATCGTTGGATTCGTCGCTTTTCGACAAAATCGAGAGAGCTACGACACCAAGGTTTCAACAATTGGGGCAATGATGCAAAATCCTGAGGTAAGGACAAAACTTCCTTTTCTCGTCATCTAATCCCATCAATTTCCCATTCTGAAAATATCCCTTGTTCGAGGAAGATTGATATCGCTTTCCATCACATGGGTTGCCTACTAATTCTGCCTGATAGCTTGCCCGGCTTTTGAGAAGGTCCGCAGATGATGTATCGAGAACCAGAGAAGACAAGGACATACAAAGTATTCGACTGAAGCTAGAGACTTACGATGTTGCAGATGCAGACGATATATATCCGGACACCTCTAGTGAGTCTATGGGTTTACGGAAGAGGAAGTACGTTGGCTTTGTGACGGACTCGGATCATTTCAAGTGTTAAACTTCTACGGAACCAAGGGGTCTACATGACTGCCCAGCGAAGAAATCATAGCTTATCAAGAAGAAGTGAAAGAAGGCTGTATATCTGGAGTTCCCGGGTCGGTCAAGAATGCAAAGACTTCAACGGTCGTCAGCTGGGCAAGGCGTACTTTTGGGACAAATCATCAGTTTTGTCTTGGACGCCTTCCACGGGTGCTATTCTTATGCGCGGCACTTTCTCGTCTGTTTTCAGTTTCCACCTCTCATATGAACATATGAACCGTCTGGGGACCAACCTGTCTATCCAATTCTGGAAAAGATTTCGATACCAGAAGCCAGTTCAGATCGTCCTGCTTTGACCCAGATCCTACGAGTCAATGAAGCTCTGCAATCGGACGGGTCCAATGTGGAATTCTTCGGCAATACGGAGGAGCCGGAATTTGCTCCGGTTACAGCATCAATTTGGAAGAAACCCAAGGACTGAAGGTTTTGATGGATACCTCCAGCAGACACTTCTTACTCCGAACTGGATGAAGGTCTCAGTGGACGGAACTCTGGACTTCACTGGAGGACACACGTATCACGTCTCGGAGTCTGATCTCACGTTCTTCAACCAAGGTCCGCTACCGCGATCCCTGAGCGGACACAAGAAGTCAACGGAGGTGGTATAAAGGCCACTTCAACGTTGAGTTTGACTAAGATGGCAATGCCCAACTCAAGGCAACTTTCAAACGGTTGAGCGATGGACCTTATGCAGTGGCTTGTGCCTTGAAAGATGCCGACAGATTTGCCATTGTTTTGGGTCACGGTGTCAGTGCCGCGGACAAGAATGACGAGGCAACGCCGGTCGATATCTCGACGTAAAAGGGCGTCAACGATAGACTTAGGAAGACGTACCGTGCGCTCGAGTTTGCTGAGCCAATAAATATGTGGCTAGGCGGAATAGCTCTGTTTGGGATCTTACCCATGAAGTACATTCGAAGGTGTGGGCGGAATCGTCGTTCATTGGGAACCCCACTTTGAATGGACATTGTATGTGGTATTCTTCCCTCTGTACTCGTATCTTGAAGACCTTTTTCTCTAACTGACCGTAGTCCGGAGTGGTGAATGCGACTTGGGTAAGAGGCCCTCGATTGGCGTTAGCGATTTACAGGCAAGGCACGTCAAATAGCAACGTATGGATTGCCTCACGATATCCGACAAGTGATGAGGCATTGGGAAGGTATCTCTATTGAAGATAGCTTCGGAGGCCCTCTCCGCCCATTGAATCCACGTATTCATTCTTTGCAGACGGTATGCTGGGAGAATGGCACCAAATTCGTGACTCCTCCCTGGAAAGGGATGATGTCTCCACAGCCGCTGGAGCGGGAATGGAAGACGATAGCAGAGTGAATTTTATTGAATTGCTTTCTACCAACTAATGCAGCAGCTTCAGCGGGGGGAGACTGTGGTAGGAGACTTTTCGTAACGGGATTTGGCATTAATGTTGCAGCCTGAGGACAGCGTTAACAATGACGTCAAAGAACGCGTCCTAATCCACCGGATCTTATCGTCCTATCTGAATCTGCCACGGAGAAGGGGCCTGTGGTCTCCAGAATGAATAAGATGCGTAGAGTGGAGTTCCTCGTTATGCTAATTACGATACCTCCGTACTTGATGATCGAATGGTATTAACGCAGCTGATCCTAGGTCGAGAACTACTGGGGAAACACCCCTATGAGGCGTGATGTACAAGGTAAGCCAGATTCTGACATTTCCGACATTGAATGTCGCATCAGGCTACAGCCATTCCCTGGAAGTCGGTCCCTTCGGCCCCCAAAATCAGCTCTGCCACCCCAATATTCTACTTAAACCTCCTTCGACCTCACAAATTATGCATTTTCCCCTTCAGTGATGAGGGCTGCTGAGAGCGGGAGCTGATACTATTATCATCACAATGGCGAAAGACATCGTCGACCCAGAAGCTACACCCGAACAGGTCGAGCAGTCAGCCGCGGAGACTGGCGCCCTTCTCACTGAGGAAGCCCTGAATATCACGGAGCCACGGAAGAGGGATTTCGCCCATGTTTTCATAAGAATGTACGCTGTTGTGTTTTTCATTAACATCGGAATGCAGATGATAGCGCCTGCGCAGATCCAGATATACGAGAGGATCTACTGTTCTGAATGGTACAACAAGCACCCGGCTGACCGACTGACTTATGGGAATGATATTCCCGAAGCCCTGTGCAAGATACCGCAGGTTCAACAACAGGTGTCGACACTTAAAGGCTGGCAGGAGTTTTTCGGAGCAGCTCCTGCTTTGCTTGTGAGCGTTCCAGTGGGCATGCTCACCGACGTTTATGGCCGCCGTATTTTGGCCATAGTTACCATTTCTGCCGTGTTCCTGGCCCAAGCTTGGGCTGCAGCCGTTGCTTGGTTTGGAGGAAGCATTCCCCTCGAAGCGATTTGGCTAGGATCTATCTTCACCTTCTTTGGCGGAGGCGCCGTCGGTGCTGAATTGCTCATGGTGGTGAGTTGTCTCTGAAATATGAAGGGAAAGATGCTAATATGGCCCTAGTGCGTTCTCACAGATATAAGTACCAAGGAAAGCTTGTGAGTTGCAAAAGACGTGGTACGAGTCTCAAAACTAACGGACTCATAGAACTGTTGCATTCTTCCGCGTTACTTCCATGGGCTATTTTGCCAAGGTCATTGGACCAGTCATAGCAGCAACTCTGATGCGATATAATCCATGGTTGGCCATATATATTGGCCTCGCATTCCTCTTTGGTACCAGCATCCTCATGACAACGTTCCCAGAAACCTTGGCCTCACGCATTGAGCTTGAAGTGGACGGCGATGAACAACCCACCTCGCCCACCAGCAGAATACTAAAGACTACTTGGAAAGACACCCGCGAATCGTTGAAAGAGATGATGAAAACCTGGACCGACTACAGACTTCTCTTTGTGGCATTAACATATCCATTTCGAATGGTCTGCTACGCTCTTGGCGATCTCATTCAACGATATGTGAGCGATCGTTACCACTGGACCCTAGCAGATGCTACGTTGCTATATTCGATACAAGCTATTTCTTCGGCTGCGATGCTGTTCATACTTTTGCCTTTGGTGTCGGCTCAAATTGACCAGAGATATTCATGGAGTGTCATTCAAAAGAACGTGGTATTGTCAAGGGTATCTTTACTGATACTTGTGTTCGCTTATGCAGTTATTGGATTGGCTCCAACGGCACCGATCATGATCGTTGGGCTTTTGATCGAAACACTTGCCACAGGTCTGCCCGCGACAATGCGGGCACTGGCATCAGCGCTCGTGGAAGGTGAAGACAAGGGAAGAGTGTTCTCTGTGCTAGCAGTCGTTGAGACTCTGAGCGCTATGGTTGCGTACCCTTTCTCGGCTGCCTTCTTCAATCTGGGGCTGGAAAAGGGCGGCGGAGTATGGCTTGGGTTACCTTATGATGTGATCTCGATCGGCGCGGCCATATCATTTTTGATTATGTGCTTGCTGAGATTCGAGAGACGGATAAGAGTTTAGAAGGGCAGTACTTGTACAGTAGATTGTAGCCCGGCGAGTGGTAGGCTAAATGATCAAGCGTAGGCGTGTTGGGCTCTTAACTTTAGCTGTCCAAGGTAGCCAAGGTATGGAGTACTCGGTACGTGCTGCATTAGACAATTAGACATGGGCCAAAACGCTAACCAGGTATTTATTGTATGAGAAATACCGTTGGCCAATGGCGGGGGCGGAGGCGTGGAAATAAATGGGGCGGCCTCTTACAGTACAGTACATACATACAGTAGGCCTGAGTCGCTAGAGGGTAGAAGCCTAGCTATCAGCCTTGCTAGCAGCCCTAGGGGCTTGAAATATGGCGTCATGCACTTGCTCTTCGGCCTGCTTGAAGCTCGAAGCATGCCGCATGCCTGGGCATTCCCTGGAAGGACCCAATGGGGGGGTTGAGTTGGTCAGCTCCAGCCACAGACTGCCGACATGGTGCATAATCTCCGCATCAACGAAGTCCAACCCTCTCGGCTCGTCGATGGCCGCAATTGCAAATAAGACACAGGTGGCACCTCCCACTGTTGCGTACTCGTAGGTCAAGTAAGCAGGCCGTTTGATTTCCTGTCGTCCAAATCATTCCTTTACCAGGCTTTGGCCAAGTTCAGTGCCAGCAATGGCTTCAGCAACAGGTGTCCCCGAGCGTAACCCTGTTCTGGATGAAGACGAGCCTCTCCTTGGTCGTCGAGGAGATGCAACACAACGTCCAGATCAGGGTTTGCAGTGGAATCTTGTGATTGGAACAGGTGAGCATTCATGAACTCATTCCAACGGCTCTGCATTTCGCCTCCAACGCCATGGCCAGCCCGCTGACCTTAGCAGCAATGTTGGCACAAGCTGGCATCTGGATTCTCACCGCGCTTGTGTGGGCATCTGTCCTCGAAACCAACATTATATTCTTCTCCTATCACCCCCTCCTAAACTCGGCAGCAGTTCTCCTGCTTGTGCAAGGCACTCTCGTCCTGCAGCCCACGGCTGCGCAGAAAGACAAGATACATGGAACATACGTACACTCCATTCTGAATACCCTAGGTGTCGCCGGTACGTACTTGAGGGAGGGTGCCCATAATACCTCTAGTAACACTGTATAGCCCTGATTGCTGGTTTGGTGGTCATCGAAATGAACAAAGCATCACACCCAGAGACTCGGTTTCAGAGTACTCATGGCAAAGTAGCTTTGGCGGCATATATCCTGATTTTCATCCAATGGCTCGTTGGTTTGGCGCAGTTCTTCCTCCCAAATATCGTCTTTGGCTCAGTGGATCGGGCCAAGTCCGTGTACAAGTACCATAGGTATGTCCAAGCGAGCTGTATTGGCAGCAACTTCTTATTTTCGCGCTAGAGTATCGGGTTACGCTCTTCTGGTCCTCCTCCTCATTGTCATCGGACTGGCGACCGACACGGCCTTCAACAAGAATATCCTACATATCAAGCTGTGGCCCGTCATTGTCGCAGGTGTACTGATCCTTCTTGGGGTAATTCCGCGCATCAAGAAACACAAATTGGGCTTTTGAATCGGCAAGTGAGAACAGTGAACGACGCCTCCGTCCATAAAATTGCCAGCAGAAAATTGTTAAGATGGCAACTGCAGCAGTGACTGGCCAGGGTTGATATGATTTGTCCGGCTTTGATCGACTCGGCTAGGTGAACTGTCAGTTTGTCCACCGTCACTGGACTCCATGAGGATGGACATATCGCTAAATGGGGAAGCGTGATATGGATGGAGTATGGCGATGCCACAGCAAAGAGGAAAATATCCTCTGAATCGCCCTGCTGCACTTTTAATCTATTTTACACGTGGCTGACATGGCTGCACGGGATTCGGATCCCTTCTCTTCTCGACACTCCAGATCATGTGACATAATTTTCGGATTGATAAAGCTTGACGCCTTGTTCTCTCTTGAGTGCAGGGCTCAGTCCAACTCGCCTAAACCCCATCCACGGGCGGTGTGAGCCACGGAAAGCAGTAATGTTCACAGGAAGGCCTATTGGCGTCGATTGATTTCGCTGATAGTCTTTTCTGTACTCATACTACGTTGTAGGCGTCCTGTAAGTGCCGGAAATCTTCGCATGTGTTGGTAAATATGGAATTTCGGAGTACTTAGGGGCAAAAATTGCTCTGGACAATGAAGTCCCTCAATGACTCCTCTTGACCCGCATCTTCTACTTGACTGGAGTCCAGACATTCCAATTTCACCAAGTTCGCTGCCATCGGCCGTTTCAAAAAACACCTTGGCCATCTCGACCGCACTTTCCAACACAAAGCTTCCCCCACTTTCGTAACCTTCCAAGGTCTTTTGTGTCCCAAACAGAGACATCCTACAGAGGCGAGTGTCACTTGCTCCAACACCTCGCCTGAGCTTAGTTCCACCGACAAGGTGCCTGAGATCATGACGGCAGAGGTGCAGACAAAGAAAGCTTGTTCAGGTCGTCCTCTCTTGTTTATCAAGAAAGTTGCTACAAGCCTCAGTCGCACACCCGCAGAAGCATTTGCAATCGGAGCTCAGGTATCCAAGGCGCACAGGACTTGGTCGAGATCCGTACGCCTAAGGAAACCCCAACTAGCAGTATCACAATGAACCCATTATGCGGCAACTTTAGGAGGATCTGGCTCCGACGACCATGAGAGGCCGCCGCCGCCGGTCTATCAAAGTAGTCAACCTTTTCAGTATGAAGATTATGACACCAATGATTCCACATCTGTGAGCGACAATAGCAGCAGCTATGGTCACGATCAAGAAAACTATGCGGGCGACCCTGCGTTGAATGCTAGCCATCCCGCATCGGGGAGGCCGACTTCCTCCAAAATCGGTATTGCATCGTCAATACCACGGGGAAGCGGCGGTCCCTTGGCAAACAGGAGAGCAAGCTCCATACTGTCCATCAAATGCGAAGATACCTTCTCTACCATGACCTGGATAGAGCCGGCGGATAGAGAACTATTCAACCTCGCCAGAGACTTTCATGTCTTCCTAGCTTGGCCCGCCAGGGCAAGTGGCGTATTCCGTGAACAACTCCACAACACCTATGATAATCATCTGGCAGCCGCAATAGAGGACGAAGCGGTAAATCACGCGTTCCTTGCAGCTGGGTCGATGATCATGTCTTTGGGCTCTGTCCAAAATCGACATCGGTTCATCGGTATGGCAACTTTCATAAGGCCCAGGCAATCTGTATCCTGTGGCAACGGCTAGCTTTCAGAGGTTCCAGCACAAAATTTCTGCCAGTTACCCGGTTGCTTCCGTCTTTAGATTTTGTTGCTGGCGATTATGGAGCCGGTGCCAAATATTTTGCAGCCGCACATCGCCTGTCAGTTGAGATGGAGAGCCATTTGAGACAAGTGTTGAACCACTCTTCATATGCGATGTGTGGTTTGCGCTCACGTTGCTGCTGGACCCAGGCTTCTCCGTTTGTAACTGGGACCCTGGGCCGTGGAGGGATCCAACGTCCGCTACAAATACTCGGCGTGTTGAACGTTCAGGTGTGATTGCTTTTTCACCATTCCCAAATTCCTCAGCTTCCTGTCTACCAGATGCGCTTCTGCACGGTACGATGAAAGATGTGCGCGAGCTTGTGGAAGTGGTGAATTTACTCGATCGTTTCGCGGATGACTCTGACAGGAAATGCACCATCGTACGCTGGCTTCATATTCGCAGCAATGCCATCCTGGGCCGTCTCGTAAATCAGTTTGTGGACATTACGCATTCTTCGTGCCTATCCACCAAACTAGGACCAGAAGATCCAAACAGTCTCCTGAACGTGACACTCTCCTTGGTGAGGGTCTTGTTCATTGGCACACTTTTTCAGACACGCCATTCCCTGTTCCATCCAAGCAGGCTCTGGCAACCTTTGGGACAAAACTGCGGAAATTGTGGACTCGTGTTCTCAAACAAACCGCCATTGTTGAGGATAGTCTGTTACTATGGTTCCTATTTGTCTGCGCATACCACAATGCTACCTCACCCACGGCCAAGGAGCCGGTATTCCAAGACTGGGCTGCAGGGGCTCTAGACTTCTGGCGTCAGCAGCTACATATCGTCGAGTACCAGGATCTTCGATCTCGGTTGTCGAGATTTCTGTATCTTGAACGAATGGATTCGTACCTGTTTGAGGTCATGGCTGGCTTTGATCGATATCAAATAGATTTTGAACTCGGGATCGGACTTTTAGAGGTGCCATGAGCGGGAACCGGTCATTTGGATCAGTGCTCGTTCACCATCAATGGGAGAAGGATGACTTCTGGTAGATTGACCTAGTTTCAGTGGTGTGCTTTCCATTCGAATCTAAAGAGCGCACAGGCGCAAACTCCAGGATATACGGCCGATAGGCGTCGAAATAATTAAAGAGAATTGTAAATGAACGAGACACTGATAACGGTGTTCAGTAGTATGCACGTATGATAACTGGAATGGCACTTGTTAATTCTAGAGATTCATTCTACCATACGAGATCAGAATTGGCAAATAATTATAGGATACCTTGGCGGAGTAGCTTGCTGTGCCGATAACAAGAATGGAAGTTCCGCGGCGAGCATAGATATCTCTCTACCCGGAGCCATTTGCAATCCTGAATCAGCGCCGTTTCCGAGGGAAATTGCTTTCTTCGTGACGAAAGCCAACCTGGCCACCCTCTCGAAGCGACCCCACCAACCACCCTAAGATGCCGTACAGGGATGCACTCAATATGCGATAACACTGCACTGTTCCTAGCGTACAGGCACGTCACTCTTCTGCATGCTACCGCCATGGCCAGACACCCGCTCCTGCCCAGCTGACAGGGCTTCCAGCCGTGCAGCCTGGACTCGGTGTTTCTTGATGATGGCGACCCACTCTGGCTCGTTGAGTCCTGCTGCCGGTACTGCTTTATTCTCTTCGTGGGTTTCGTCCTCCAGCTCCTCCGATACGTCAACAGCAGTTTGTGATTCGGAATTTTCATTCTCGCCTCCCGCGGAAACGGCGTTCAGGGCGTCGTTGGTTGTGTTCTCGTCGGCTTTGATTTCGTCGTCGTCGTCGTCGTCGTCTTCTTCGAGCGATGCGATCACAAGGCTGAAATCTGCACCCAATCGTCCCAGACTGTTGGCTGCATACAGCACCTGCATCAGCAAGGATTCGCGTGAGGTTTGGTCGGTCACATTCGGCAGATATTTTCTCAAGGTCTCGGTGAGGAGCGAGACTAGATGCAGTGGAAAAGATTGGAGGGCAGAGGGGAGAGCGAGAGCTTCGGTGAGCGCAGGTGACGATATTGGCGAGGAGTTCGACGACGTCGAGGTGTTGCCTTTCTCTTCCTCGTCGGAGGGGAAAATGTTACGATACACGCTGATCGTGGCGAATGACTGTTCGCGGAAGATCTCGATATATCGTTTGAGATACCGCTCCGTCTGCTGGCCTTGGAGCGCTGGATTGTAGGTGCTGCCGACGCCTGAGGAATGCTTGCGTGTCAGTTGTAGTCGGTGACTGGTTGTTTTGCTTGACTGGCCTGTATTCCGTTGGTGGTTCGACTTCCGAACAGCTGTCTCCTGGTCGGCGAGGTCACGGAGGGGCGATAACGCTTCGGTCATGCTCAGAAATGTAGCAAGACGAGCACAGAGGAATAAGGCTCCAAAGTGTCCTTCTCCAGGAGGTGCTGCTGATGCAGGCTGTGTGCCTCCTATGGAGGGGATGATGAGTGGCATGGGCTTTGATGCTGCCGACTGAACCGTGTTCTTGCTAGTATTGTCCAGTTGCGGGGCGACTCGCCTCAGCCATCCAATCGTCCTGATAGCAGCGGCGAGGCGAATATTCTGCGATCGTAGGCTCGTGATCAGATTTGTTGTCATGTCCTTCATAGCGATTTCCGCATCATGAAGCACGGACTTGACGAGTTGGGATTCCGGGTAGAGGATTTGTAATCGCTTGATATGTGCAAACAAATCTAGAGCCTGAGAGTAACTCGCTCCGCTGCCGCCAGTGCCCACGGCGCCCGCCGTACTGGCGGAGGCGATGGCGGCGGACAGTAGGTTGGGCAGGTCGAGTATGTCCTGAGCTTTGTCGGCTTGGCGGGTGAGGAGCATCGCGTCCTTCCGCGATTTGAGCAGCGGGTTATCATCTTTCGACTTGCTGTAAGATGAGGCGAATTCGACAGTGCTTCTATCTAATTCTGGAATTGATGACCGAATCGCCTCTATGGAAGACGAAAGCAGCGGTAGCGACTCTCGGAGTGTGGACAGGTGGTCAGATGAAGTTGTAGTCGTCCGATGCGAGCGAGAACTTAGCGCTTGGATCGACACGATGTTGCTCTGAGATGACTGTGCGAGTGATTGAGGTTCGGTTGTTGTCAGATCAGCGAGCTTCAGAGAGACAACGCGGGCGAGGTATTTCGCATCGCTTTCTTCTGGCGTTGACGTGGCGGTCGTGGCGGTTTTGAGATGTGGTTTTAAGAGTTGGTACAAGCCGTCCGCCATGACTGCTAGTCAGTAAATTCATTCGCTAGATACGGATTTCATCCAGTGCTCCGGTTTGGGATGACGCAAATCGAAACATAGTTCACGAGCAAGAACATTAAATCGTTGTACAAATTAGTGGGATGTTCAATGATTGGTTCTGAATGGCTTTGTTGGGAACGCTCGGTATATCTTGGCACACGGCAAGGCTGAACAATATGGCACAAGGCTGAATGTCTTCTTTTCCATGTCACACGCAATGTCCTATCCATTCTATCCTCTGATACGATGTTCTACTTGCAATGCAGTCTCACAATTTAGTCTAACAATTCAATCTCAATACGTGACAGTACTCTGCCTTCTCTCACGCCGTTCGTCTTCAATGATTTGTTCCATCTCCTTCTCTTCCCGTTCTTTGGTTCCCATCTCGAGATCGGCCTCATCCACTTCCGCATCGCTCTGATCTCCCAGAGCGTCGGCAAGCGGTCGATTGGGATCATCAAAATCACCGCGTAGAGCACGCGCCAACGAAGTCGAAAATTTGTATTTGCCAGAATCAAAGGAAGCTGCGAGCGTGTCGCCTTGAGCTTGTGATGTTCCTTCAACGCTTTCTTCGTCCTCTGATCCAACCCCAAATGGGGAGGCTGCGCCTGACCTCGATCCACCACCATCACGGCCCAGATACGGTTTCATTGCAGAAGTTGTGTTCCGCTTTCCAGTATCCAGGGAGAGAGCACTAATCGAGTTTCGTAGATTGCTCGAGGATCTAACTCTAGAACCGTTGGTGTCCTTGCTTGAGCTTCGTCGGATATCCTTTCCTTTTTTTTCCTGACCCCGAGGCCCATGGCTTTTGGCATCTTCCGGTTCCTCTCTATGTTCAGACTCATCCTTGAACATGTCTGCTGTGTTTTTGCGCGCTGGTCGTGGTGCGAAAGTACTGCCTGATGGGTCATTTGCCGTCTGGTGGGATGCCCAGCGTCTCACTGGTATATTCTCTATTGCCGTTGGAGATGATATGCTTTGCTTTCTGGCGGCTCGCTCCCTTCTAAGGTCGGACCACCTCCTTAATTGATTTTGCAAGACATATCTCCCGTTTGGACTATGTTTCATGACGAGAAATTCGCAATGATTGATGTTCCGAAGGTCTTCAAAGAATTCAACGCTATAATGGTACCAAGCCATCAAGAAGACACGGCTGCACAGCCCATGCGTGACCAAAATTGCTACACTGGCCATATTGTCTTCAGAAAACCGCCGCCACAGTGAGCCATTGAAGGAAGACACGCGGTCGTAAACATCAGCCCCACTTTCTCCATTCGGAATCCGGTAAAAGAAGTGGCCATATTCGGCACGTTCCCTCCAAAGCCTCTCTGTCTCTTCTGTTTCAGGTTGAAAATTGCCAAAGTCTTGCTCTCTCAACCTAGGCTCTTCATACACTTTGATGTAGGATCTCTGGAACGGCGAAGGTACAGGATCATTCGATGTCAAGCCACTCAATATACCCTCTGTTGTCTCTCTGGTTCGTCTGTAGGGAGAGATGAAGAAATGAAGCGTATCATCAGGACGCAGCAGGGCACGAAGCTTCTCACCGGCTTCAAGAGCTTGTTGGTGACCTTCGGGGGTCAAGCCGACTTTGTGGTCTGGAACTGTTTGATGGATAGTTTTGTCTCGATTTCCCTCAGACTGTGCATGTCGAATGATGATGATCAACCTTGGTTTACCCATTATTGTGCGGTTTCGGCGTAGCAAGCCTGACCTTCCCCACACTCACCGTCTTGCCAGCCACTTGTGGACAGGATATTCGGGAGTTTGACTACAGCTGCCGTCGATCCAAGATATATTGATGCTTATAAGAATCTGTCCATTCAGCAGTAGCCACTAAACGAAAGCAATATCAATTCCAAGGGAGGAATTCGTTTGCGAGCAGATGTCGTTTGGACAGCCTCGTCGTTTTTTCATGGCTACATTATCCAAGTTGGCGGCTGCCAAGATACTACTCCCAATTTAGCCTAGCCTTCATCCTTGGTCGATCCTCAGATTCATCACGCGTCTCTTGCTAGAATTATCGAGATCTTTCATAGCGATTCTTCCAGTCATCAAACTTGTCACCGGCTTGTCTCCCGCAATGTCAGAGCGCCTTTAACCATCGCCTCCCAATCCAGATACGCGATCCACACCGAGACCAGCCCAGAAGATGAATCCCCAAATGAATCAGCAATACAGGCAGTATGCCCAGGCGCAAGGAAGGTCTCCAGCTGCACGTAGGCCAGGTAAGTGCGAATCAAGCACAAATGAGGATCTGAGGAGTACCGCCGGGCCCTTGCAAGATCATTAGCAGCGCCTCTTCCCCATTTTCGGGCAGGGTGTATGCTGCGGCCGACTGGATCTTGAAGAGACGAGCAGTATCACAGAGATCATTTGCGCTCACTACCGGCGCAGTTTGAAGACTTACATGGCACAGGTCAAATACCCCCAGCGCAGCATGCACACCAACAAGCACAGGCGCAGATGGTGAACCAACAGATCCACCAGCGCAACGCCGCCATTGAACACCAATTAGCACAACGCCGAGCCCGAAAACCAACCGACCGATCGATGCCTGATGGTGTGGATGACCTAGTAATCGGTGACAGTGTAAACCAATACAAAGAGCTACGCGGAATGGAGAAAAAGCTAGACCATGTTATGGCTAGGAAGCGATTAGAGATCCATGACGCCTTCAGCAGAAACATTAAAAGACAAAGGACCATGCGAATATGGATATCCAACACCGCAACCTATCAGCCCTGGCAGACCAATACGGAAGAGGGCGGCTTCACCTTTGAAGCAGAGGGCGAACCGTCATATTCGGTCAAAATAGAAGGAAGGCTCCTCGAAGACCCCGAAGATGACATCCTGCATGATTCCGATGAAGATGATGAAGCCCACGGAGACGATTCAGGCAGACGGCACGTAACCAAGCAGCCCTTGAACTCATTTACCCATTTCTTCAAGGCCATCAATGTCGAGTTCGACAAAGCCCGCACCAGCACTGGCGATCCAAACTACCAAGTATCCTGGAAGAAGGCTGCAAACACTCCCGCAAACAGTGCTGATCTCGATTACATTCAGTTCCAGCGCAGATCTGACGAGAACATGAATGTCACTGTGTGTCTGACGAGAGATGAACAACCAGAACGCTTCCGTTTAAGTCAGGCACTTGCAGCCACATTGGACATGGAGGAAGCGGATCGTGCGGAAGTTGTCATGGGCATTTGGGATTATGTCAAAGCCATGGGTCTGCAAGAAGACGAAGAAAGACGTACCATTCGCTGCGACGAACGCCTTCGCCAGATTTTCAACACAGAGACTCTATTCTTCCCACAAGCGGCCGAACGGCTTGTTCCACATCTTCACCCGCTACCGCCCGTTCGACTACCATACACAATTCGAGTGGATGAAGCATTCCAATCGAATCCGGAATCAACAGTGTACGACATCCAAGTCACCATCGAAGACCCGTTGCGTGCACTGATCTTAAAATTGACACAGAACCCCGAACATCAAGCTGCTCTGCGTCAAATTTCCAGGGTTGACGATGAACTTGCCGTGCTTGTTCAGGCTATTCAGCATCATAAATCGAGACACGCCTTCTTCAATTCCATGTCCAAAGACCCCAAGGCATTCATGGATCGTTGGATGAATAGCCAAAAGAAAGATTTGAGTGTTCTCCTCGCTGAGGCAGAGAGAGGAGATGTTGCTGGCATGGAATTCGCAAAGGGAGGTGACGACGGCGTTTGGAATGCAGATGTCGTTCGCGAGGCAGTGAGATATCGGCTCGCAAGAGCAGAGGCAGTCAAATAGTGGAAGAGTATTTCGGTCCAGAAAACGAACCTTTCGAGTCCGACAGCCTAGAAATGTCCTTGATCACGCGGCTACAACGATGACATGATAGGCTGCCCCGCAAACACTGGGGACAAACGACGGCATGATGCTAGGTGCGGGAAATGGCCGGTTTCACGAAAGTTCACTCTGATCCCTGCACGGCTGCCGTCAGCGAGCCTTCTTTGTCGAGACTTTCTCGGGGTTGAACTCAATAGGATGACTAGCTAGATGGCGATAGTATTGTATGTGTACGAATAGTGTAACAACACCGGTTTCGCCTTGCCTGAACTGAACTTTGTCGAAGATTTGGTCCTGTGCATTCCTTCGGAATTCCTTCTAGAACTTCTGCATGGGCTTCAGTTGCCTCACTATCCTAAGCAGGGATGGGAGGGATGTCACGCTATCGAGTCCCTGCCTGTCTCGATAGCCTTGTTGGCATTACAAGCTCCGCAAAAAACAGTATTTTCAATCAACACGCCCGACATAAATTCAGTAAACTTTCCACCTAAAGGTACATGGGTATATTTGCTAAGCACGTGTTCAATGGGAAAATAATTGTCAAGTACTGCGGCAATTTCCAGAACGAAGTTTGATAGAAGCCGTATTTCAATATCAGAAACGATGGAGATCCATGTGCTGCATTTATGCTAGCAAAGAGGTCTTTCGCGGTCTATTGGCGCGCGTTCACTCCATGAGAGGTCGCAAACCAAGTTTGCAGAATGGCACCGCACCCTGGAGCGTTTGCATTTGCCTCTTTAGAAGTCATTTCCTATATCTGCTAAAGCTATTAGACTATGATTCGCCAGCCACCCTACGAATCCCTAGACTGTATCAAGCCGCCAGCGTACCGGGTACGCCATCAGCCTTGCCGTACAAATCGCGGTGTTTGTTGATTGACACAGATCGCCGACGGAGCCGGTCTCGAAGCCCCTAGTAAGGCCCGGAACGCCACTTAATGCCACTTGGGCTAGACACAAGAGATCGTCATTTCATCCTCAAACGGTACCGTTTTAATACGTGATTTCATTGGGCAGGTCCGACAATCCATGCTTGATATTCCTCGGCGACCCTTGTTTGCCAACTTCAATCATTAACTTTCAGAAGAAACCAATATGTATGTAGATGTTACCTTCATCCTCATTGTTGCGTTGTAAAAAGACTGAAGCCCTCACGGCACGTGGTACTGCCAAGAGCGCCAAGCCTTCAGCCGAGTTATAAAGCAGAGAGGACGGGAAGTTCTCGCTTAACGGCATGAGGCGTAGGGCCACGATTACCGACATTACGGCATTCCCATACTGCCATATTCATATTTTTCTGCTTTATTGATTCATGAGTATCTATGAATCCGATACTACTACTCTGTCCGCTACTGATGTACGAGCCTTTATGATTACTCGAAACACGTCGAGGTCTCGGCTGTCAAGCCATTCCTCTTAACCTAATACACAGATACTGGAACAATTCGGCACTTTCTCAGCCTCAATCTAGGCTCTGAGACAAAGCGACAATCTGGGGGATCAGCTATCAAGATGGACTCAGACCGTTACCTGGACCAATATCTCATCCTAGAGACTCTACCTGCAGGAGCATCACCAAAGGAGAAATTGAATCAACAGTCGAAAGCTCGATCTCATGCCAGTGCCATTGGACGCCAGAGGGCAATATTCGAGCGAAATGCTTTGAACGACGTGTTAAATACCCCTGGTCCCCGAATAAAAGCTCGCAGAACCAGGGCGGGTGTTTACCGGGTCGGTCCCTCGCCTCAGCATGTTCGTCGACATGTGACAACTGAAACGACAGAGGGGTCCTTCCAAAGCAACGCAGGCCCATTGCCTCCACACGTCGAAAAGACGCAAACTTTACCTAAGGCAATGTCTGCGATCCCAGGATCTCCATTCAGCGAGAAAACCAAGCAGAAAACCAAGAAGTCCACCTCATCAGCAGTGCCGTCGATGCCGTCATTTCAACTGATTCAATACAATCCTTTAATGACGACGCCAGAAACCACCCATGCAGTACGATCTAATGCAGTTCGATACCAATGGAAACGATCTAAGGCAGTCCGCGCCAGTGGGCGAAAAACGAAAGTGCCGGAGGATCGCGGCATGGACGATGATATACGATTTGCGAGCACTAATAACCGATCTCGAAGGGGATCAAATCAGACCAAAGAGTTGACCAAATTGCCCAGACCTGGTAGGGATAATTCGCTCCAGCCAGGAGGCTATCCCACAGAACTTCCAACAGAGACCTTAGGACCCCTGTACCACCTTGGTAGGTATTCGCCCGTTTTGGCATGAGTCCAAGCCTTAGCCGAGTATGGACCACTAACTTCATCCAGTTTACGAAGTTACCAATAGGACTTTTGTTGGCAATCAGGTGCAAACGATGTCAGTAATGGCTAGCCAATACGTCCAGCAAATGCGCTCACATCCAGCCTCGTTTCATGCCGCAATCTGGGTCTGTGCCAAGGGCATGATTGATAGATCGTCAACCAACCCATCTGTGCGAAAACATACACGATTGTTGGATATATGTCACAGTATTGCAGTGAAATCCGTCATCCAAATGATTTCCGATCTCGGAGATCCTAACTATATAGCTCCGCCCAATGCTTTAGGTATGCTTTGCTCGGCAATGCAGTCTCTTGCGCTTGGTACTACGGAAGATGTACCTTTACGTGCAGCCCCATCAGGGCCGAGACAAAGCACGTTGACGAAACTGCAAAATCTGAATCTTTTTGGTGTTGCACCTCGCTGGTTGAATTACCATGAAGAAGCGGCGCGGAGAATCTTGGACGGAAATGATTGCAGAAACCCTTTTTGGGCTGGGTTGAGAATTTGTCAAACACAGTGAGTCCCTCCCACGCCAATCCTACCTCCATCCGCAACCACAAGCGAATTCTAACTAGGGATTTCCAACAGGAATGACATAATTTCGTCGTGTAGGACTCTGTCAAGGCCACGATGTCCCTGCGCTTTCCTCAATGCCGACTTTCCGGATCGCTATAATAGAATCATGTTCCAGCTCGAGCCAAGGCATTCCCCCGGATTCATGAAGTATGCGATAACCCTAAGCCCCGCCTTATCTGGACCCTTCCTATCTACAATATCCAATCTGATGGTTTACGATACTATACAATCAACATTGCTCTCCAACCGACTGACTTGGTTTGGCTTTGAGTGTGTCTGCGATGCCAGAAATTGGACCCAACATCAACTCATGTCCCTTCCTTCAAGTAAAGAATCACCACTACTGACAACAGACATCGCAGGCACGACCATCTTCAGTATAGTCCGCAACGCTCTAATTGTGTACAGCCTCATTGCCGTCTTTCCCTTGCCTTTATCCACCGCACCCTTTCCAGAACTCGCCACTAAACTCGAGTTGGATATTTTCGAAGTGCTCGAAGATGACGACGAGAATACCGCATCAACCTCATTACTCCTATGGGCATCAACCATGGGCGCATTGGCAGCAATCGGGACGCCTCAAAGGGCTGCTCTTGTCGCAATTACTGCCAGGCTCTGTGAGAAGCTGCTGATTTCCTCTTGGGAATCAATGCAAGCTGTACTCCAAGACTATCTATGGTCCCGAGATATCAGTGATTTTGATGGCATGTTCCTCTTCCTCGACGTCCAGAACCAGATGGACGAGCAAGACGCTGTTGAACGGTCCCTTCGGTGATGAAACCACCGGACATATTGTTACAAGTTATATAACTCTGGACCAACTACCAACTTCTCCAGGTTTTCTTACTGGTCCAACACTCGTAACACCAGCTCACAACAGTTGTTTGCTTCTCACCGGCCGAGTCGGGAAGCATTCCACTCTTTACTTTGACTTGATATCTATGATCCACTCTCTTCAAGGTGATATGCCAAATCTATGAGTATGCTGCACCCAGAAAAGAGCGTTTGGATGGCGGTCGTCAATGAGCATCGGTGAAGCCGTGCGTCTCCTCTACAGAGGTCTCTAGGCTCTCTATTTCAAAGACATGATGGAGATGAGCGGTGGAATGTGTCACTTAGGAGAAATGGCCAGATGATTCAATTGGCGTTTCATGTGCTTGGTTGAAGCAGTTTATCTTCAAAAGCGATCGAAACATCTGGCCATGTTTTTGGCTAAAACGAACAATCCCAGTGTTCGCACCGTGGACGAGGTTTTTTCTGGGAGCCATCGTGAGTGCAATCGAGCAAGGCGTTGGCGGAGGTGCTTGGGATGTGATGGTTGCATCTAACATGTCGATTTGAATATTGATTATTGGACGACAATTTTGAAGAGAAGGCCACAGCAAAGGAAACGGGAGGACAGTAGCATAGCACTGAGTTGCGTCGCAAGAAGAAGCTTACGGGTCCGATTCAGTCTTCGAGACAGTAGACCATCCGCAGGCACCTGTACGCATGTGAACTTTCTTTTTGCTCTGCATTTAAAGATGACCAAATGCTGTTCAGGAGTCCAATATCATGCAGATCAATAGCCCTCCTCATTTGAATGAGGGGTGTATCTGTCAGTCATTGCTCATACGAACTTTCTGTATATTACACTCTGAAATCCTTGTCAGCGACCGGTCAGCCTATCGTACAAGGGCCAAGGCTAACTTCCCGTCCCGCCACTTGGCGGCTATCCCCTTTTAGGACACTACATTCATTGCATTCTATTGGTCGACGCAAACGACCGTCGTCCAGCCTTTTAAAACACAACATCTTCGCAGGTATCAAGCTAGATGTCGAGCACCTCGATCTCCATGAATCCAGTCAGGTAGGGTTGTTCTGTTCGCCTCATTTGTTACCCAGTGCAATCTCGTCTGGTGCATGCTCTACTCCTTGAGAATCGCCGCGGGCCTCCTGGAGTCTGGAGTCGGCAAGTCATCGGCAATTGAAATGGATGACTGTTAACAAGCTCCTTGGGAGATAGGGAGGCAGGCATCACGTGTCAGGTCGTTGTGACTAACCCAACACCGCTGGTGCACCTACTAAGATGCAAACTTGACATCTGCTCACCGTTATCTGAAGCGGCAGCTGAAGACGCTGACGAGGGCATGCGACCACTCAAGTCGGCTTGCATCTCTGACCTCGAATCTGATGGAGGACTATGATGCAGAAGTTCATGTGGATCCACCCGAGGAGCCCCAGGAACAAGCTGATGGTCGCCATATCAAGTCAAAAGGAAATGCTCACCGTCGTAATCCTCATTCTGGGAGAGATATTCGACGCGATGAACACGAGAACGTGCCGGGTACCAGAAGAAGGGCTGGGCCATCCATATCAACACCTCCAGTCCGCCACAACATGGAGCGAGCCTTAAAGGCTCTCACCAAGCAGCCTGGGGGCAGCTTTGACTCCTTTAATACTCTTCCTTCCGGCGGCGACAGTTCTGACTTCGTAGCCAAGCTCGTCCTACATGGTGAGTAATGCAGGGCAAAAGCCCCAGGCATCTAAACTTTGAGGAGCGAACGTGCTAATAGCTGGCAACTATCAAAGCTCACTACCAGGTGTACTCTAACTTCTTCGTTGGCGAAGCCAGAGCCACAAGCATCCTTCCGTACACAAAGTATGCATTACATCATGAAGCTGCCTACTGGGGCGCAGCATGGTTTTCCTGCACGAGTCGAAGATGGCTGGAAGGCAGATCAATGCGACATACTCCACAAGAGATGTTCTTCTATAGCAAGTGCCTTGAATCGCTGCGGCATGCGTTGTCGGACCCGGTTACTGCAACCCACGAAAGCACGATCTCCGCCATTTTGCATCTTTCATTCCCGCCATATCTACCCTACATTGACAGGAGCGTCCCTACCCCAAGACAATCGAACTTCAAGACTTGGAATCTACTGCATCTAGCAACCGGCCTCAATGTGGCAGAGGAGCACATGATTGGCCTTTCGGCTGTTGTCAAGATGCTAGGTGGTGTCCATAACATTCGGAGCGCTCAAATTCGGCGCTCAGTCTGCTTGTGAGTATTGCTTCGGGTGATGACTCTCCCTGTGTTCAAGACGCTGACAATCCGCAGCCAAGGTATCCACTTCTCCGGCCGCCACTTGAAAGCCCCCCTCTTTCCCTTTGCCAGCCTCTATCCTGTGGAAGAACTGGTCCAAGGATCTCAGCTGATTCACGTATGGCCCGCTCTCGAGCCCATGCAACAACCAACAGGTCTGGGTCGTGGTATCGGTTTCCAATACATCTCCTTCCCCGAAACTCCCAGACACACGCCACAGCCCGCGGTGGTGTGGGCCTATTTGGCCGACATGACTACAATATTAGAAGACTACGCTTCGGGGGGCTCGAGGCTGAATCAGTCGTCACTGATACTCGATCAAATGCAGTACACGCAACACTCCCTACTATCCCTCTTTCCGGCCGCAGACCTCAAGCCTGAACCGACAAAAGAGGAGGAAGACGATGACGAAGAAAGCAACACTGGGCATGTAAGCCGGCACCGATTACAATATCAGCTGTACGAAGTAACACGCTTGGCATGCATATGTTATGCCAACTTTGTCACATACCCAACCGATTACTCAACATTTCCCCGCCACCGGCTCATAAAGATCTTGCTAAAGGAGCTTGAGAATTTGCACGCTGCTAACATGATGCCACAGTACGATATGCATGAGGTACGACTCGTTTTCTGGGCTACGGTGATGGGCGCCATTATGGCGGTTGGGTTGGAACCCGAGAGGACGGCATTTGTGGCTCTGGTCGGTCGCGCTGCTGTGGACGCAAAGGCCACAAGCTGGATTGAGGCCAAGCAAATCATGGAGTCGTTCCTGTGGCATTCCCCGACCAATGATGCCGATGCATTAAAGCTGTGGATTGAGGTCCAACAACTGGGAAGAGGAAGAACCATGTCCGAACGGCTATCCAGCAACAACGATAATAACAGGGGCTCGGGGTCGCAGGCATAGCCCCACTCTTTTCTCAGAGACAAGATAAAAGAGAGTAGAGTCAAGTTGGCAGCGTGTCGATGTTGTCATATTCTTTCCATATCACAGTAAGTATGGAAGTTATATGCGCCACGACCCAATACCCCGGTCCTCGAGTCCAAGGAACATCTCCATTGCATATATACAGGTTGATATGTGTAAATGTGAGTGATGTCTATGTCCGATTAATGCAAGCTAACTAGATTTGACTGACGAAAATCGAGAACAATACCGTCAAACGCCCCTCCAATGCACCGCCACCTTCTGATGGCCTTTTGCTGTACGTCGTCATTATGAGGTTTGATGCGAGAGCAGGCTGACGACAACTTGAACTACCAGCAACCCTCAAAATGAAATAGACCCATCCACGCTATGCATGCAGTACCATCATCGTTCCCAAGCCCTTCTCCTTTTTCAGTTCGTCGCGGCGTTCTTCGCATGAGCCATACAGATTCCGAGATCTAATTGAACCACTCCTCATCTAAGTCGACTTGCCAACAAAGTTAGGATCACAGATGATCTCGCTGACTGTAGTGAGGGCGTCGAAGCTCCAGGCGCCCTTGCCAGCATCGCTGAAAGTGATATCTGTCTTGCCGCCACGGTGGACGGTGATGGGGTTGCCGGTGTGGTCGAGGACCTGGCAGCGCTCGTTCTGATTGGCGACGAACTCGCCGACGGCCAACGCGACAGTCTGGAAGGGGCCGCTTGAGGCAACAGGGGTGGCCTCCTGGTAGATGCCGCCCTTGACCTGGGTCTGGCCTGTCTCCTCCGTGGCATCGTTGCTGAGGATGACGCGCAGGTTCAGGCGCGGGTCTTCAGGGTCGACTTTCTTGAAGGTCGCGTCGCAGGTCACACTGGCGACGCTGGTTGGTGCGCGGAACGTCCACGCGCCCTTGCCGGCGTCGGAGAACGTGACGTCTGTGTTGTTGCCGCGGACCTCGACGATGGGCTTGCCATTAGCGTCGAGTGCCTGACAGCGGAGGTCCTGTGGCGTCACGTCTTTGCCGACCAATAGCCCGATCTTCGTGAAATCCCCGCCATTCTGGACAGCTTGTGTGGAGGGCAGGTTTGAGAAGGTCAAGTTGGTGCCGGGGCCGCCAGCTGCATTGGTGAGGGACACCGCAATGGTGGTGTCCTTGTCGGACTCATAGCTAGAGTAGGGTCGCGCGAGGACGCCGGTGACGGCGAGGAGTGAGAGAGCGAGGCTGGTATATCTGTACTGCATATTGATATTGGAGGCCTTAGTAGTATTAGATTACCGAAGATGCTTGAAAGATTGAATATGAATGAGAAATCTTGGTGGCGTATGTGGCTGGTTAGTTCTTCCAGGTGTGAATGCAAAAAGGAAAAGGCTACTAAGGCAAAGATAGGAAATTGTGGTTTTTGGTTTGGTTTGTTGCCTTTTTGTTGCCGATATGAATTTTATTCAGTGAAGGAGGGCGCTGAAGCATATATGCACATTCTGGCGTACCTTGAAGTTCTCTCAAAGGTACGCATTGTCAAATATAGCATACTAAAAAGGTGCAAGTATAGAAGTACTAAGACAAGAGAGAATTTGGCCGATCCACTTGTCAGCATTCGCCGCCGAAAGATTAGTGTACTTTCGGCATCGAGTACCCACACACGTGGTTTTTCTTTCTCACCCGAAATACTCATCTTTGTGGGTCGCTGAACACAGAGTATTGCTCAAAGTGAGCCCATACCGCAAACGGGAAGTCACAGCTACTCTGGTGCCAGCACGTGTGGGGTGTTGGGAAGCCATGTGTATATTGATCAAGCTCGCCGACAATTGGAGAGCTGCAGGCTAGCTTATGGGCGTCGTTTCAGGATGGTAGCCAGCTAATCAAGTACTATGTACTCCGTACTACGTAGTTAGTCAATCACTGCATCACTACCAAGTATGTGTACCGATTACTGAGGTTGCAAGGAGGGGCACCACACCCAGCCTCACCTTGGATGGGAAGGGGACATGGGTCATTCCTAAGACGATCCGAGGGACTCGTCAGACTATATATTATCCTACAGTAAGTAGTACTAGACTAGCGCCTGGGCGCTCTCGGGTCCGCTTCGGATAGCGTTAGAATAGCCCTCGGAGCTAGTTCGGATACGTCGAAGGGATATAGTAGACCGCGGTCTTTACAATCGCTTGGCATCGCTAATCACAACCTGCTGACCAGGCTAGTGAACATAAGCGACTACTAGCCTCAGCCTGATGCGGTAAGTGCGGGATAAATGTGGCCTAGTCAGGATCGGGATTACTACTGAAGGGATGACCCCACAAGGCTCAGCGGTATTGTGTAATTTGGCATGCTCCGCATATTCTCATCGAGTATGAGACTGATTATGTGTCCTTGTGCTCCAGAGCCAGAGCAGTGAGGTGGGCAATGGTCTTTCAGAATGTCTCAGGCTGCGCTGGTGGAATATGCATCTATCAGAATCGGTGGCTCATGGCATTTCTTGCGCCAGAAGTCCCTGCCAAACTGAATGAGTGGGGTCCTCGAGTGCCAGGGAAGAAGCCGCGCACTCTCATATATGCGCTTACTATGCCTACCCATGGAGGAAAGCTGGAGGATACATGGGGGCTTAGGAAAATTGCATAGCTCTTTCCGTCAGCAGCTAATCGAGTGATATTTCAGCCTCAGAGCTTGATCGAAGGTGATTAGAGAAGTTAGAGCCGGCTTCATTCAAGACATCTAGTCCCGCGAGCCTTCCGTCTGACGGTCTTGAAGCGGGACCTGGGAAAAGAATCCATTCCACCCGCTAAAAGGAGAGTTGACTCATTCAGCTCGAGAGATTAGTCTTGCTCTCGGGCCTCGGAGATTCCTACTGCTCTCCCCAGCATCTTCAAGGGCTGCTTTGAAACGGATTTCAGGGTCAAGATCCTGACATCTGCCGGATTGCTTTTTCGATCGATCATGGCGAATGGGAGAAGCATTCTCAGGTTGAAATTGTGGCAGCTGTCAGAGTCTTTCTTTCGGCGACGATGACGAAAAGAAATACATGAACCCAATGGCTTCCATTCGGCTCGATTTCATCCACGAAGAAGAACTGGATCGGCTTCGCTTTCACTACTGGCCAAGCTACCAAGCCTATTTGGCTGCGCATATAATCTGAACTTGTGGTTGAACCAGACAATGGCAGGACGGGGAAATTTGTTGGTACGTCTTCGCTCATACTGAGCACCTGTGAACAGAGCCTAGAGAAACAGATCCTGATGCCTGCCCGCATTAATTCCCTGGTCAGTCGAGCGATACAGAACTCCATGATATCTTGCAGCCCATTGTACACCTTCTGGTTGGCTGGAAAACACGGGGCTTCCGGCGACGATGCATTCACTCCTGGCTTGTCCGACGACAAGCAGCATCGTCAGAGCGACGCAGCACTGGATCGTCCGAGAGAACTCTTGTTCCTCAGGATGAAACTCCTTTGTTACCAGGCTCCCCTTCTCAGTCAGCGACGTTCGAAGGCTGAGGTAGTATTTCAGTGCCCTCGCTGAGTTGATTTGTGACCATCCCTGCACCAACATCGCGACCTTCGCACCCATTGACTGGAGAAACAGATCCCGCGAGAGCCAGATGACAGCTGCATGCCGAAACTGGATTTACCTAGATCTCAAAGGCTCCGTTTGGACATTCGGTCATCTCTTGCTTCGACCCGATTTCGGCTAGGCTGCAGCACTTCATTTGTGACAGGGCGCATTGCAGGTCCAGCCACATGAGGCGAGCCATAAAGCCATGGTCCGCTGCCATCACAGCCTTCATCTTCGACGCTTGGTCCAGCATCGCCTGAAGCATGTTCCGGTGGATAACCGCATCGTCATACCTCCCCCTAAACAAGTCAGCAGTATGCAGAAAGAGGACGCCGTGGGCCAGTGCGAGGTCCCCAGGCAGTTGCCCTGCATCCGTTGCCTCAAAGACTTGATGCTGTGAGCTTTCAAAGCAAGTAAGTCCGTCGAGTACGCGCCCTTGGTGAACAGCTGTGCTATCACAGTGAGGAAAGCGAGCATCAACCCGTGGAGGCAGCGTTCGACCTGCAAGGCGTCTGAAATGTGAGACCACTCATCCGCCAGCGAAGCCTGTCTAACCGAGGGCTTGGACCTCTCGGACCCGTAAGCACTGGGCTGAAAGACGTCGCGGTAGAACGTAATGATCTGGCTGCCCCTGGGCAAGATATCCGGCGAGAGCGCCTGAAAATGGTGGCAGTTACCTTTTCAAAGAATCGGTAAAAGTCGAGTCTTCATTACAACCTGGTCAGTCCAAGCTGGCTGATCCTCATGCTCATAGTGATATCTAGTTCGCGCCTGTCGAGGCGATTCTAATCGCGATGTCCCCCCTTCGGACTGGGCGTCCGAGCTAGACGTCAGAGCCAACCGCCCACCATATTCCCTCTTTTCTTCTTCCACTTCCTTCTTCCTGCGCCTCCGATGCGCCGCTTTGGCGGCTTGCGATCTAGCGTTCGAGCGAGCGACCTCCTGATCTTTCGATGAAGCGTTGGAGTACGAGCCCTGGATGAATGGAATCGGGTTCTTGCCCATGATAGAACGCACGGCCTAGGCAACTCGAGTCATTAGAGAGCTCAAGACCCAAATCCTATTCCCCAACTACATGGATAGCGAGTGATTGAAGAGTGATTCGATCTCACACTACCCCCGCCAAAGCTTGGAAAGGTATGAACGATCCCATGGATGATTAATCAGTGGGCGTGTGGCATTCATGTGGCTTAGCTAATACCGATTTCGCAACGACACCCAACGACCTAGCCGCGTGAAGCATCTAAATCTTTTCGAAACGCCGGTCTAATTGGCTCTGCTCGGAAAGCGAATTGCTTGTCACTCGTAGAGAAGCGGTCCTATCCGAGACAAGCACGTGTACACTGAGGAGCTGGCGTCGAAACGTCGGTCACCTTGGCAGTGTCGGGCCCCTTTTGCGCCCTGTAGTACCGAGCGCATCGCAGAATGCCCGAGAGAAACAATGGGAGCGGGTCGGAAAGGTCTGTTTGCGACAAAAGACACCCATCATGTGGTGGTTGCACATTCAGTATTTATGGGCAAATAACCTGCTTCACAAGCCATCTACTCATGCCATACCTAACCTATGATAATGCCTAAGCTTTTGGGCATACCCCCGCATGCAGTCTCGTTTGTCCCTCTGATCCAGTCCAAAACTCGTACATTTTTGCTTCGGGTTTCGCGTTGTGCCTTGCTAAGATTTCCCTGGCCCTTCATATCCCCATCTTGTGCAAGGCTGCGAGGAATTTCTTCCTATTCTCGAGATCCTTCTGGTCTCGGGTTATGAACTCCTTCTGCTCGCTGTTCTCGAGATCTTTTCTGTCTCTGTCGCCCAAATTTGACAGCACCTGATCGACCGCCTCCTGTTTGACTTCCATGACATGCTCTGAGACTGGGGATCGAACAAGATTACTCTTATCCGGTTTCGGCGATTGGCAGGCTCCCAAGGATAAGGCTTCGTCGACTGCGTTGGCCTCAAACTTTTCTTCCAACCGATTGGGAGTAGACCCATAAGTCCTGGCCGACAACGCATGAATAGTTTTCAGGAATTCAGCTTCGCGGAAGGTGTTGAACTTTTCTGAGATTCTGGGAGTAGGGGGCCGTGATAATCCGCAATCTGCGCAGCCCGCTGGAAAGCTTCTCTTCGAATATATGTGGCTGTGCACACATGTCGTTAGTGCACCCAGCTCATGATTGCCCCAAGACTTCTCAATCTGGCGAGATGAGTCATTGGTGATCATAGGAAGGATGGTTGTTTCATTGGTGTCCGAAGACGAAATGTAATCTTGAAATGCTTTTGCAGTCGACACAAATGCATTTCGACCGTGGAAAGCAGGACCTACTTCCTCCATAATCTTGAGCAAGCTGTTGTGTACAGCTTCAGTCGGAATGGGTGAAGGGGGGCAAGTATCGCCGTAGCCCAAAGATGAGAGTTTCAAGCCAGACGCTTTAGCGAGAATGAAAAATTGGGCGTTCTGTAAACGCAACTCAGCTGCCACAGGTGGAGCTGAGGCAGCAACATCATTAGACAAAGCATCTTGACAATACACCATGCACGCAAGAGACTGCTTGCATACGAACTGCAGCATCTTCAGTCCTTGCCGCTGTACGCTTCTGGAGGGGTCCGCCAATTTCAGGAGGTGGTTTGCTAATTTCAGATCATCAGCAATCCGAACTACCATTGCTCTGTACTCCAGGATGTCAAAACGGGAACGGAACAATGTGACATAACGTGGTACAAATTGAGGAATTGCATTGTGTAAGTCCTGTAAGCTCTGCTCGACTGGAACAACGACCTCATCTCTGAATCTTCCAATCTGACGATGCAGGTTAATGACATCTCTGTGACGTCGGAGAAGAAGTTGAGTGTTGGCAGTGGCTGCTAGGGGGTTTGGCCGGATTTCAGACATGAAATTTTCTCGACTGTTGGAGAGTGATTTTTGGAAGAAGTCAGTAGACTTGGCGAAGTTCTTGAGCTTTCGCCCCAACTTTGCTAGGAGAAGGTCTAACGTCCTTGAGAAATTGAGAAGCTTTGCCACATCGGAATATCGATGCACTGATGGACATGGTGCCCCACATGTACATTTTGGTTCGTGTAGGAGCTGAGGATGAGTGCCAGTGCCAGAGCCAAAACCCAGAATAGTGCAATCTGAGTCAATGTTGTAGATCCCCTGGCAGTTTTGCAGATCCAGTTCCGACAATTCGGTCATATGGCTGCACTCGGGCATGTATAGAATAGGTATTTTTGGTTCTGCGCCCGAGATGCAGCAAGGGCAGAGTTCCTTTGGCGGACAAAGTTCACCGTGAAGCGAAGGGCAGACATGTCCGCAGGAAAGAACTGTTTCCAACCATTAGTACTAATTTACAACAGACGGCATTAGAGCGAGTGCACGAACCTTTCTCGCATCGCTGGGAACAAGGGAGGCTGAGACTAGGCAGGCAACAAATGATGTTTGATCCAATTTCATGGCCACATTTAGTAGAAGGCTGCTTGACACAAGGATCGCACACATCTGAGCATCGGTTCTTGCAAGGTCCATGCTCACAATTGTCGGGACATGGCTCAGGACATGCAGGTGGACATGGTTTGTCAGCATGACAGAACGATTTGCACAAGTGGCCACAACGCTGCTGCCAACCACAGATGTTTGTGCATGGGGAGTGCTTCTCCAAAGTAGTGCAAGTGCGACAACTACCAGGACAAGTGTGGCCGCATGGGAGGATTGTGCCGCATGCACGAGGGCAAGTCTGGATCGCTTCAGGATCCTCCCCACACATAATATCGATATTGTGGCCACATTTGAGAGCTGCCCTAGTCATGACAATGTTGCACCTTGAATCGGCCCCAGAGCAGAGCTTTTTGCCTTCATGCCCACAAGGAAAAGTGACATCATTGACTGAGAGCTCACATTTTCCGCAAGTCTGATAACAGAGCTTGGGGCATCTGTGTCCGCAGGGGAAAGTCTGTTTGCAGTCTTCCTGGCATATCAGACGTTCATGCAGGGCCGGTGGATGGCATTTCTGAACACATTGATGGCCGCAATCTAGAACCGCCTGGCAGATCGAGGGACACTCTCGTACGCCTTCAAAGTCTGAGGGATGCTCAATAGGTGCGCGAAATTCGGGGTGAGTGGGGCAGCAGGCCGTTATGGTAGAACCGATGTTTCCGTTGAACAATGAGATGATGTTTCTCCACATTGGAACCTGCGATAATGTCTGCGAGTTGCCGATGATGTAGAAGCCCTCACAAGCGCGGCTACACGCGACATTGATGCGATTGAGAGTCTTCAGGAAGCCAGACCGGCCGCCACTTCGCACTGTGCTCAAGATGACGATCTTGGCTTCCTCACCTTGGAAGTTGTCAACACTGGTGAGCCGGAGCATGTCTGAAATAGCAACTTGATCCTTGTGAGCTTTGCCTTCTTCGCCCAAGTCGAGCAAGTCCTCAGCAAGGAGTTCCTCTCGGTCTTTGCCACTAAGCCAAATCTCGCAAGTTGTCGAGAGGCGAGTGACAAGCTCAGATAATTGGCCCGAATATGGAGTCAAGACTGCAATTTCACCTTGGGAGTAGTTTCCTCCACGCAGCAAGTATTCAACTAGGCTCGAGACCATTTCAACCTCATGGAGATTTGCATGCGACTTCAAACCATTGCTACCTTTGAGCTCTGGAACACGATGATCCCACCAATACATCCGCTTTTCCAAACCATAGACTGGCGGTCGATTGTAGGTAGAATCATGGTCCACAAGAAATGGGTATGTAAGACGAGTGATATTTGCAATATCTGGATGCATGCGCCGTTGGACGCCAAGTTGGCTTGCTCGCATGGCAGACAAGGAAGGATCCTTTGGGAACATGAGCCGCTCCAGAAGCGACTCGTCAAGGCGGTAAGCGGATCCAATCTTCGTCTCCAAGGTTAGAGACTGTTCGTTGACCTCTGGTCGAAGTTGAAGAGGGTCTCCGATGAAAATGGCGTGCTGAAGTGTGGGAAGCAATGAGCAGAGAGTATGAGCCTCCATGACTTCTCCTGCCTCCTCGCAAATCATGACCTCAACCTCGAGGGACTTCAGCTGATCCCATCGGCCCGCGCATGCGGTGGTTGTCATCCCAATGACATCGTGTGCAAGCATGGTTCTGGTATCCCTCTTGTTCTTTATCTTCTTGACTGTGACGGAACAATCTTGAAAGTCAAAGTACAGTGCGGCTATTTTGTGAGCGACCTGCTCGGCATTGACTTCACGTTCCCAACCCTGGAGCAGTCTTTGACGTTCACCCAGGGACAGACTCCATACGCTATTATCTCCTGTTCGGCTATTTTCAGCACTTGCCTTGCCAGAAATCTCAAGGACACTGTCAACCACGGTAGCGGCCTCTTCTTCATGCTTGCGCGACACCTGGGCCAGTCTGGATGCAAGCTCTACATGTAAGTTCCTCAAGTTATCCAGATCACCGCCTTTTGACCAATATTCAAATGCGAATGCTCGAGCGATGGGATTGTCACTATTTGTAGCGAATTGTGCGTGCACATCAGGATCATTCGTTTGCAAAATGCCTTCGACGTAGTGCCATGACACAGTTCCAATTCGATTTTGAGCAGAAAGAGCTTTGCATAATAAATCGAGGTCGGTCCAAGCCTGCTTCTTATGAGCGCTACTGGTGTTCAAAGCCATAGACTCTTCTCTGGTGGACCGCGGTTTTCTATTGCGACTGTTAAGGTTGATGGCATCCGTCCACTCCTTTTTGCTTCCAGCACCAACCCGTAGAAGCTTTTTGACGCCAGCGTTACGCAAGTCTTCCAGGAAACTGTCCAGTGCATGGTTCGTCAGACACACAAGGAGAATCGGCTTGTTTCGGGATCGCGACCGAAGAAGTGTTTTGGTCAATTGAACACCCAAGAATGTTTTGCCACATCCTGGAGGGCCCTGTGTAAAGGCAAACTCACGAGACAGGCTGTCACGAAAGGCAACTGCTTGGCTATGGTCTAGGGTTGTTTGGTTCTGCAAAGACTCCACGAACTCATCTTTTGAAAGGTCTTCAAGGGCCACGGACGTGATGTCACTATCAGTGGATACCATATCGGTGAGACTGTAGGCAAAACCTTCTGTTGTTGCATAGCTGGGAGAAGGTACATCGAATTTGGGGGTTTGACCGCGTGTCCGCTGCACCTGTGCGCGTTTCATCACATCTTGGACATCGAGTGGCGGGGCAACATATCTTGAAAAGGCAACATCGTCCTCTTGCATGCTTTTCAATCGGTCCAGGCAATTGTGGAAGCCGGCATACAAGAGTTTTGGGAATTCCACGAGGACAAGTTCGCTCTGGGGGCGGAGCCTCAGTGCGTGGCGAGAAAGCTGATGAACATCGTCTCGGGGACATTTAGGCAGAAACGAGAGTTGAACAGCTGCTCGGAGGCCAGCACCGTTGAGAGCGTTCATGGACATGGTACTTTGTGCGAGATTGACTTCCATGAAGTAGACAGACAACTCCCTGGTGGGGTAATCAAGTTCCAGAATTGCTACTAGCATGCCTTCCTGAAAGCGACCTGAATTGTACATTTTTGCTCCGCGCATGAAGTTAGGACAATGATAACTCAGGCGCACAAGCATTGCTTTGTGCTCATGCGAGAGCAATTCTTCAGCGCGGGCATCTTTGTAGAGAAAGTAGCGGTTCCCGGCTATTGTTTCATGCCGAGCCGGCTCTTGCTCAGCTCCGGGTGTACCAAGAAAGGAGACTTGAGCAGCAGAGTAGCATATGTCACGGATGCTCTCGATGCTGTCACAGCGAAGCTGTCTGAAGAGCAAATCAAGGTGTCTCTTCATCCCAATCTCAAGAGGATTGTTCGCCAATAGATCCTTCTTTGGCATGTAAATTGGTCTGTTCACAGCAAGGATTTCGTCTGTGGTAGGAAGGATTCGGATCTTGCGGTAATCAGAGTGATCATTGTCGTGCCGAGGACCTGAGATTGAGAGGTCGCCAGGTCCATCATCAGTAAAGGCGAGGCGAGGACGCGGGTGAGGTTGCAGGGTGTTTTCGAGCGGCATGGACTCGCCGCTAGGCAATGGAGCAGAGCGCGCACGGATGGACACCATCGTGATCAAGCAGCAGAATGAAGAGTCCCAGTGGGATGGATTCAGTAAAAGGACCTCAAGTTAGATGTTGTAAAGAAGAAATTTCTCACTTCGCACCTCACTGCGCACCTCTTCTCATCGTACCTGCCACTCTCGTTATGTCTTGGCAGCGCCCACCTTCCTTCCAGTGATGCGTTCCAAGGTTCTGAATTCACAGCTTCAATCGGTCGCACTTGCCTGCGTTTGAACCCACGTGACTAAATCCATCCACCACCTGCGTGAAAGGAAGGTGGCGCTCGACGAAGTGTGGTTTCCTCAAACCGTCCTGGAAGCATCCCTTTGCTATTCAAACCCGAGTGGCACACATGTATCCAGGTAGGCATGAAGTCAAAGAGATAGCATGTCCCATCCTTGTCTTGTCCATGTCTGTCAAGCAACTGTGCCGTTCCAATCCGATTGTGTCCCTCAGCAAACATGATCTCTGGAAGACCATGCGCCCGGAGGTTTTACTGCCGTAGACGTGACGTACAGCTGAGCCTTCACAATGTATCGACGCGGCTCTAAGTAATCAGCCATTTCAAAGAGCGCTCATTTGTTCTGCTCAAGGGCAGGGATATCTTGATCTCGGCACATGATACATCGGCCTTATCGACCATCGATCATCTCCGCGGTATGAGTTCATTGAGCGGCAAGCCACGATGACATTATTTGATCTGAATTCTGGATCGCTGTCAACATCCCAAGTACCAAGCTGGGGTTTGTAGATAGGTAGTGAGATGAGGTGGGATATGATGTGAGTGCAGTTGGTTATATCTCAAATAGATGGCTCAAATAGCCTTCCTCTCACCCGAGAGGAGTAGGTTTGGCGAGCCCATCCACATGAATTTATAGTGCCAACCCGCGCCCAGCCATGGCTTCCAAGTTGCATAACAAAGAACTGGAATCTTTGGGTTTAACACAAAGGTGATTCTTCCTATGACAAGGCTTCGGCGGCTTCATGCTGTATTCTCTAACTCCTGCAATATTAACTGGACCACAAAGGGATGTCTCCACTTGCCACCCGGGGTGTTCTGACTTGACAATGTTCAAGTTCCTGGCACGTTGCCTGTGCCACTAAATTGATTGCCTCTCATGCCTCGGACCCAATGGCTAAAAGTCTTGCTTCCCTTGGCTTCAAGTAACATATGGAGGTCTTCGCGTTCGGGCGGAAGCTGAACTCCAAATCCAGGTTTGGGGTAGAGCGCGGCATGCTCATCATAATACCCATCGTATCCTTCATCCAATCCATCATTCCCCTTTGCTCCACCCGCATCAGCGGACTCCGGAGCTTTGGACACCGGCGTGACGTATGTCGAAGTAAATTGAGCTCCAGGTGTACCATTTGGCGGTAGGACTGGAACGAGAGTCTCGAAAATAGGCAAGTCGGGCGCCAGATGAGATCCATCCAAAAGGAGGGCGATCAGTTGTTCTTTAGAGAGGCTGTTGAGATAGGAATACTTCTGTTCAGGACTCAATAGACGGCCTCCGACGCGTGGTCCACCATAAATAAATGTTGGTGCCGGAGGCAGTGATGCAGGAGCCTTGGCCGATGTAGGAGTTTTGTTTTCCTGCTTCTTACCCTTCTTGCCATGGAGGATCCGATCGCAATCAGCGCAGAACCATTCTGCCTTCGAGTCAGAGACTGTTTGTCTGGATATTTGGGGCTCATGACAGCGTTGGTGCCAGCATTTGTTGCATGCATCGCAAAAAACGATCACATTGCCCGAAGGACCATGACCACGCAGGCAGTGTTCGCAAAGAGCGAATTGTTCGCGGCCACGATACACACGGCGCTTGATTTTGGGATGGCTTTTGAGGACAGAGGATGGTGTCACATTTGCAGGAGAATTCGAGGATGTGGTCTTGGAAACAGGGCTTGCTGTTACGGCCTTGGTGGCGAGGTTGACTGGCTTCTGAGTTTGCCGTCCGGAGCGGGTATGTGTGGCGCTAGCCTTGTATTCTATTGAAGATTCACGTGAGTCGAGTGAAATCGAGGGGGAGGAAGTGACACTCATGTTGGGGTTCGATGGACCCGAGCCAAGACGCCTCCTCTTGATAGGAACAGTAGTGTCATTGGTCAACAATCCTGCTGCATCCGTAGAAGAATTCTTAGGGTACACGCTGTCTTGAGCCATTTGATGCCATGGATTTACTGGGCCACGTTTGATACCCGGCCTTCCACGTCCCAATCCTTTGCCGGAAACTATCGATCCGTCTGAGAGAGTATAGTGCTTGTTTCTGCGAGATGACTGCTGTTGAGTTTGTACATTTCTCGTTGGCACAGATCCAACAGGAGCTTCCGTAGCCACATCAATGGTTGCGCCATCCGGGGAGCCCACGATGTCTAGCTCAGTACCCATTCTCCCTGACGGGCCCAGACTTTCGTCTGGGTTACTGTCGGTTTGATGTTCGTCGACCTTGAGTGTTGGCAGCCCTGGCTCACCAGAAGAAGGATTAAGCGGATCACTTCGAGGCGCAGGAGGTATAGAGTGAATAGGATGTGGGAGAGTGTGTCTATGAGGAAGAAATTCGGAAAATGAACCTCGACGGGGCCCAGTCGGGAGGGGATGCTCACTATCAAATTGAGTGACCGGCAAGTTGGTCAAGTGGCCATGGAGAGGGTCAAGACTCATAACAGAATCGACGACGCAGAGGTTATCTGGTTTTAGATCGGTGCCGTCGGCACCGGCAACGGCATTGCTGCCAATTTGATGGACGGAGCTCATTGAAGTGAAAAGAAGGTGTGTCTGAAGGGTGGGGGTGGTGGAATCGTATGATTGGAGAGCCGATCAATCAATCGGGGCATCATGCGACATGCATCTCCCTGGCCAGTTGCTGTGATCGTGAGCAGTGCAACCTCTAACGCTACGACACTGTGAACAGGGCGTTTTCCCGTCAATGTAGGATCAACTCATTGGTGAACGCCGGGAGCGAAGATGTCTGCTCGCAATTGATGGGGAAAAAAGCACGGGTGGCTGCCACTGCACGCACCTGCACCTGCGACTAGCGCGACTTATTTACTCACTGCACGTGATTTGAGGCCTGGGGAAGAACGATCCATTAGCGCCTTGGCCTCTGATCACGTGGCACATCTATCTTGTCGTCATACCTCATCGGGTGTGTATCGAATTCACCGACGAAGCTCTAACTAGTGGTTTCAGAATTTCTACGCACAATTCTCTCACTCTCGCATGCTCATCCAAACATCCAAACCAACAGAATCTTTCCATTCTGTTCCCTAATTTCACATTTTACGCAGAACAAGCGCAGATTCCCCATAAAATGTATATCTTCATTTGCTCTTGCACTGTTCTATCCCCTCCTCGTTCGTCTTCCGTGATCTCCCTTATCTTGTTCCTTCTCTTGTCTCCAGCGACTGACTTCTATCCTTTGATCGATAAATCTATTGCCCGTATTCATCATGGCTGTTACTTCCATATTCCTCGTTTCCAACATGCATTGCCCCTCTTGCGTGTCCTACGCCCAGCATGTTTTATGTGACATCCCCGATATTCTTCCGCCGCCCCGTGTTTCCTTGATCGAGCACACAATCCGCGTCAAACACACGAACCCAGACACTCAACATCTCATTCTGAAGGCTCTGCTTAAAGCTGCGTTTGAGGTCCAGCATGTCACTACCCTGGACTCGACTGGTCGGTCGACTGATTGCGATGTCATCCCTGAGCCTACTACTTCGTCTGCCTCTCGTTCCACATGGCTCATGTCTAAGGCACAGCGCAAGCACATTGAAAACTGCAAGGCATGTCAACGTGACCGCGACCAGGCCAAGTTTCAAATCAAATCAAAAATGCCTTTCCCGAATGCGATGCATGTATCGCGGTTCAAAAGACCGTCAAAGGACAACGCCACCACAGATGTTGAGAAGCCAGCTATCATCACTTTTGACGGTGCTAGCCACCAACTCCCAACTTCTAGTTACACTGCCACACTTGCAATTAGTGGTATGACTTGTTCATCTTGCGTCACGACCATAAAGAAGGTTGTCGGTGATCTACCTTTTGTGACTTCGATAGATGTCAATCTTGTGGCAAATAGTGCCACGACCACATTCCAAGGCCCTGAAACAAATATACAGAAAGTCATTCAGGCAATTGAGGATACTGGCTATGATGCAACGATTCATCATATCGAACAAGAAAATGCCGGCCGGAATCAGATCAATCATCTATACAAAACATCGATCAGCATTGCCGGTATGACATGTGGTAGCTGTGTTGGAACAATCTCAAATGGTCTTCGCGAACTAAATTTCGTACATTCAGCTGATATTGACTTTGTCGGGAATAATGGTACGGTCTTATTCGAGGGCAAGGACAACCTGGGTGCCCTCCTGGAAAAGATCGATGATCTAGGCTATGATGCAGTTGCAGTCACGACTGAGCCAGTTTCTCATTCTGATTCTAGCCAACCTAGGTCAACGGAGAGGGATGTACAGATCCAGATCTCGGGCATGTTTTGTGACCACTGTCAAACCAACATCAAGTCTTCCTTTTCTGGAAGTGCGAGCCTGCAACAGCAGCCCTACACAGTAACTCAGTGGCCAACACTCGAGGATCCCATAATCAGCATCACTTACAATCCTGCCCCGCCGAATTTCACGGTACGAGATTTCATCAAGACCATATCGGACACTCATGAGGCCTTCTCTGCTTCTGTGTATCATGCTCCCACCTTGGAAGAAAGATCCCGACGGATGCAAAGAGCAGAACAAAAACATTTGCTCTGGAGACTCGTTTTTACAGCAATTATCGCCGTGCCAAGCTTTATCATTGGCATTGTCTTCATGAGCCTTGTCCCGAAGTTGAGTCTTACGAGACAGTGGTTTGAGCAGCCCATCTTGGGTGGAAATGCCATGCGAATAGACTGGGTGCTGTTCTTCATCACGACTCCTGTCATGTTCTACGGCACTGACATCTTTCATCGTCGAGCACTGAAAGAGATTTGGGCTATGTGGAGACCCAGAAGCAGAGTTCCCCTTTTTCGTCGCTTCTATCGCTTTGGGAGCATGAATCTCTTGATCAGTGCAGGCACTTCAGTGGCATACTTTTCCTCCCTGGCCGTGCTTATCATGGATGCTACGAGTAAACCAATGCCATCCCATAACGATCGCTCGGCAACCTCTTATTTTGACACAGTCACGTTCCTTACGTTCTTTATTCTTATTGGGCGCTTCTTGGAAGCATATAGCAAGACAAAGACTGGTGACGCAGTTGCTTTGTTGAGCAAATTGCGGCCGTCTGAGGGTCTCTTGGTTGAACAACCATTCGACTCCCAAAATACTGTCCGCACTGTGCCCGTGGATCAGTTGGAAATTGGTGATGTCGTTCAGATCCCACATGGAGCATCTCCTCCCACGGACGGTATCGTAGATCAAGCCGGCTCTTTCCTTTTCGACGAGACCTCGTTGACAGGAGAGTCCAGGCCGGTGAAGAAGTCTTCAGGCGAAGGAGTATTTACCGGTTCAGTGAATGTTTCTGCTCCGGTAAGAATCAAGGTTACCGAAATTGAAGGGACATCTATGCTTGATAGAATTGTCAATGTTGTCCGTGACGGCCAAGCGAAGAGAGCTCCGATCGAACGAGTGGGAGATTTTATAACTGGTTACTTCGTTCCTGTTATTACGCTTCTGGCTCTCCTCACATGGATTATCTGGCTCAGCTTGGGTCAATCTGGATCCCTACCTGAAGCGTGGCTTGATGCAGGCCAGGGCGGTTGGCCATTTTGGTCTCTCAAATTTGCGATTGCCGTTTTCGTCGTGTCATGCCCTTGCGGCATTGGTTTAGCTGCACCCACCGCACTGTTTGTGGGAGGTGGATTGGCAGCTAAAAAGGGCATACTAGTTCAAGGTGGTGGTGAGGCGTTTCAAGATGCTTCTACATTGAACGCGATTGTCTTCGACAAAACTGGGACTTTGACCGAGGGGCAGATGAAAGTTACCGACTTTGAAATTCTCCAGGCAGAGCAGCTTGGTGATCCGGCGGAGGATGTTGTTCTCGTCATGGCCCGAGTAATGGAGAGTTCAAGCACTCACCCAATTGCAAAGGCGATTGCAGAGTACGCCACTCAGAGACCTTCATCTCTACAGTTTGAGCACAGCAAGCTGGAGGAGATTCCTGGCCAAGGAATTACGTGTTCATTCACCTTCAACCAAGATTCCAGAAATCTTCAGTATGAAGCCGCAATTGGCAACGAGAGAATACTGCAATGTACCAGTGACCGGGATCTAGAAGATTTTGATTCCGAGTCCGCTGTGACACCGACAGAGAAGCAATCGAGGCCGCTTTCAACATGTCAGGATTTCTTTCTGGCACCCGCCCTGCAGAAATACCAAGCACTCGGCCGGTCCACAGCAACTCTAGCCATTCGGCATATCGCAGATGACTCTTCGAAACCACTTGAACCGAATCGCTCCTTCAAGCCTGTCGCAATTTTTGCTGTTGCCGACCCGATCAGAGCTAAAGCAGCATCTGTGCTTCAAAACCTACGAGAATCAAATCTGGACGTCCACATGTGTACTGGAGACAATCAAACTACCGCGCTTGCTATCGCGTCACAACTCGGTATCCCAGCTAGCAATGTCCGCGCTGGTGTTCTTCCACAAGAAAAAGCTGCCTACATTCGAGAGTTGCAAGGTCTCTCGCAAGACTACGCAGCCGCTACCACTCACAAACGCAATGTTGTTGCCTTTGTAGGCGATGGGACAAATGACACGCCGGCCTTATCAGCAGCAGACGTGTCCATCGCTCTTGCTTCTGGATCTGACGTTGCAATCACAACGGCTTCCTTCATCCTTCTCAACTCCGATCTCAAGACAATTCTGTCACTGGTGAGACTGGCCAAACGGGTATTCCTCCGCGTGAAGATGAATTTTGCGTGGGCGGCTGTCTATAACATTTGTCTGATTCCAGTCGCGGCTGGAGTCTTCTTTGCTATTGGTGCAAACGACAGTCACGGTGGCTGGAAGCTTAGTCCTGTCTGGGCAAGTGCTGCAATGGCTTTGAGCAGTGTCAGTGTTGTTGCGAGCAGCTTGGCCTTGAAACTACCGGAGCTCAGACTGGAGGTCAAGAAATCCAATTGGTGCTGATTTGAAAGTGTGAGGTGATACAGGTGGCTTTTGGCAAGTATATGTGTATTGAATAATATTCAGTAGCGTAGCACCTTAAACAATTATCACCATCGCCAACGCTAGGAGCCTCACAAGTAATTGCATTTGGGCTCCAATCCCCTTCGGATGCTTCAGGCCAAGACAGCCATTGCAGGCATAAAGCCCCTGATCAGATGGAGCGTCATCCCGACGATACCTGTCCATGTCCCTCAATAATCTACCATCTCACATTCATGAGCTCTAACCAGCCAATTACTGTATCGTCACATGCTGCGTTGTAGCCTAGCGAGAGTTTCTCATCTCGTATCTATCTTTGCCCAACATGAAAATCTAGCTCTCTTTCCCTTGTTTCTATCCTTGACCCAGATCGTATGCACTTCAATCAGACATCACACTCTATCGCCACAAATTCATCAAACCTTCATGCATGGTCACTTATTCAGAGCCTCTCTCACAGCCTTTCAGCACGAGGCTCTCTCTCAACGCATCTAAAGCGTTCAAAGTCCTTCAAACAGGCCGGGTTCCTCACCGTGGAACTAACCTTGATATCGAGACCCGAAATGACCTTCTTGACAGCGATCTCGACCTTTTTCCCATTGATAGTATAGGGGATCTCATTCACGCGGAAGACGAACTTCGGCACATGGCGGGCACTCAGGCCGTCACGCACGGCGGCCTTGATCCTCGCGATTAAAGCGTCATCAAAGTCGCCCTCGTGGCCCTGCGCCATGATCACGAACAGGAACACCGTCTCATCCTTGTCGTGTTTCCGGCGGCGACCCACACACAACGTGTCCGCGAGCACGGCGTTGAACGCTGGCCCTTCGACGATGTTGTAGACCTCGGACGAGCCGAAGCGGATGCCGCTCGGGTTCAGCACGCCGTCCGACCGCCCCAGGATCTGCACGCCGCGCGTCGTTGGGTTCATCAGGATGAAGTCGTGCTGCGCCCAGACGTCCAGCCAATCCTCTTTCCCCGTCTGCGGGTCCTTGATCCAGAACTTTTCGAAATACGCTTCGCGGTATTTCTGGTGGCCGGCGTCGCCCCAGAACCGGCACGGCATCGAGGGGAAGGTGTTGCGACAGACCAGCTCGCCCGGCTCCCCGGTCGCGGCGATGGATTCGCCGGTCGTCGTGTCGAGAATGTCGCAGTCGTGGCCTAGCGCCCACATCTGCATCTCATTGACGTAAACAGGCCCCGCGGGGTTGGTTGCGACCCATGAGCTTGCGATATCGGTGCCGCCGGCAACGGAGGAGAGGTGAATTTGGGTGGGGAATGCGCTGTAGAACCATTGGAATTGCTCGCCTGTGAGGGTTGCGCCGGTCGTGGTTACGAGGCGGAGGTGGGAGAGGTCGAAGGACGATGGTTTGACGCAGGACTGTTCGAGCTCGAGGAGGTACCGGGGGCTTGTGCCCCAATAGGTGGCCTTGAACTTGTCACAGATACGCAGCATCGTCGATGGGTCGGGATAGAGAGCGCCACCGTCGTAGCAGATGACCTTGGCGCCGACAGAGAGGTGCCCGTTCATGACGTTCCAGAGAATCCATGACGTGGATGAGTACTGGAAGACCGTGCTATCAGGGCTTAACGAGTTGTGGAGCAGTGCGATCTTCTTGTAGTTCAGTATCGAGATATGTGGAGATACAATGCATTTCGGCTCTCCCGTTGTGCCACTCGAGTAAACTATGACCAGTGGATGATCTGTTGGAAGACGTGCGTAGACCAGCTTGTCAGTCGGTCTGGACTTCAACAGGAATGTGTTGAGGGAAATCCCTAGAGGTTTGATATATTCCAGATTGTGCTGTAAATGGGGACAATGTGAGGTTGGCACACACACAACCTGTGGTTTCGGTGTTTTGGCAGGGAGAGCCTTCAGGATTTGCAAGACCTTGGTCATCATGCCAGGGCGTACACCTCTTATGGCTAGATCCACATCTGCAAAGAGAAGCTTTGGGGAGACTTGCGCAAAGCGGCTGACGCACCCGGATACACCCATGTCTGGAGACACGGATGAGAAAATAGCACCGATGGACGAAGAGGCCAGGAAAAGAACGATGATCCAAATTGAGTTGGCCATGAGTGCCGCAACGATGTCGTTCTTTTTGATCCCTTGACGAACCAGCGCCGATCGTGCCAGCCTGACGAGTTCCGTTAATTCGGCCCAGGTGATGTTCTCCGGGTTGTCGAGCCCACCCTCGCGCAAGCCCACCAACGCAAGAGCATCCGGGTTTGCCGCTGTATTGGGAACGAGGACGTTCTCAGCATAGTTGAGCTTGTGCCCTGGAAAGAATGTGGGGATGTCGCGAAGCCGCAGACTTGGGTCGTATGCGAGCTTGGTATGCTTTGGCAGAGCTGGGGTGATGCCACAGTATTCATAGAGGTCTATCCAGAATTCATGTCGATTTGAAACCGTCCACTTATGCAGTTGATGCGAATCTTTGAGATTCTGGGAAAACTTGGAGTTGACGTGCTGCCGGTATCTGGCCATCGGAGTGGCTTCTGGGTCGGGAGGTGTCCATAGTGGCACGGGTGGATTTATTGCCATTCTTTCTAGTCTGATCAATTCCCGCGTGAAAAGAATTTCTTTCTCACTGCACTCCTACAGTGAATGTCACGTAAACCTGTCCTCTCAATGAGTTGGGAGTATCAAAATTGGATCTTGGAGATTCTCGATTGATGCGGAGAAAAGATATCGGGAAACAGAATCCTTGGATGGAGAAGATTAGCAAGCCGAAATGGCAATGACCTCGGCTAATGGTGGAACGAGCCGGCCTTTGAGCCTTCTTTCCATCCTTTTTCGCTATGGTGTAAATGAGTCAGATTGGAGTGGGTGGAGCTACACGACGGGATAGGTTGCACTTCGGATCACGCTCGATGTTATGAACGGACATCGAGGCGCCAGGGAATCATTTTCTGAAAACCAGATTTTAGTTTACATGATAGTCCAACCATTCCTTTCAGCCTCCTCTTTTTCGCCACTATCAATAAACACAAATGAGAAGTAGAGGTATCCATTCTTCATTTTCACAATCTGCTGGACGTCCCTTGGCCGCGTCCTCAGCACCTCCAGGCTTTCGATAATTGAAAGGTTACCAACGCCTTTAGACCACAATGCCTGGTTCACGAGTCTGTTTTGGAAATGCGAAGAACCACTAGAGACTGCAACCCCTGCACGTTGTCGAAGCTCAGATTTTCTGATGGATGGGTTCCAGGCTGTGACAGAAACGAAGATGCCCTCATGCGATAATGCAAGCGTCTCCTCCGTCAGTCTCGTATCGGGCCGTGTGCCTGTGAAAATAAGGCAGGATTGCTCAACCAGAATTCGCGGTGTTGGAAGGAATGAGGCCATGCTGTTCATAAAGTCCTCGGCTTTCTCTAGTCTTCGATTGTTCATGACAAAGTCTTTGCGCTCTTCGTGATGCTCGCGGTAGCAAGAAACGACCCCAAAGCACTTGGGAAACAAGTTGGGGATAGCCACTGTGCGAGCTATAGTCAAACCCAGATTAAAAATGTAGAGAAGGATTGTGTGTTTGCAAAAGTCAGTAGATGTGCTCGGAGCATTCCCACAAAAGTTGCACATGCAGGCGGCCGAAAGTGCTGCAGTAACCTCATCGAGTCGATCTCGAGCTTCCTGAAATGGGGCATGGGCATATTTTGCCATCTGTGGAGCTAGGCGTTGTAACTCAGGAAACCAGCTCGTCAAAGTCTCCACCAAGCCAGAGCCACTCAAACCAGGAACACTACTAGCTTGAGGAAGGAAGTAAAGTTGACTATTTGTTTGTTGATGCTCTATAGTGGCGGCGACAATTCCTGCACAGGTGCTGATACCATCAGCAATGAGGCGATTATCGATGTCTGTGAAGGCTCGACCGAAAGATGAGCGGAAAAGTTTCTCCCATCGTACCCGCCCCCCAGTAACTGGGATCGTGCCAGGGTACAGATCCAAGAGCGGTCGCAAATCCGGCGTGTCTTGTTTGAATTCTGGACTCCGAGTCGATAAGTAAACCTGTGCGTGTATTGAATCAACTCCTGACGACGAAGCAAGTGCTGTGCCGGCTTCATGTTCAATATGAAAGCTCAGACCAAAGAGGTATTCTGCAACAGCCGCAAACCAATACACGTCTACGCCAACAGACAGTGAAATTTTCTTCTCTATGGTCCTGACAATGTCACTCATCCCCAGTAATCCATCCACAATTAATCGAATGTTGGCATTGGCGCCTTCCAAGGGCAGTGCAGTCCCCGACCTGGTGATCAACAGACCGAACGGTGAAGTCGAAAGAACGCCATAGCATAGGTGGACCAAGTTCTTCCACTGTACATCGCTTGGTGCAACATTGCAGGGCATATCAAAGGTTGTTAGCATCTCCATGATGACACCCACAACAACATCCTCGGCATAATACTCTGACAAGGCTGCACAGACGCCGAGGAACACGAAACCACCATCGGAATTGGCCAACAATCGAGCAGGATGGCCATCAGGATAGCCGATTCCTAGAGTTTGCCCGGAGAACTCGGATTGAGGAAGGCTCCCAAATGCATTTGCAAGATTGCGCTGCCCAGCAAGACCAAGCTTGATCTGTTGCCCCAGTAGTTCGGCCACCTTCACAAGATATGGATCAATTGCTGCAGCATTGTATTCAAGAAGTTGATTTAGAGTGAACGCTTGACTCTTCTTGCCGAAGTCATGCCAATCTATGTTCCTTCCAGTGCTCCGACCATTCCGGTTCATTATGCTGCTGCAGTAGCTGCTTAGCGTTGGCGAAAGGCTTGCAGAGGCAACAGAGCAATGTGCTGGCGAGACTTTCTCAGATACTCTACTTGCAACATAAAGTGGAAGATCTGTAGCCAGAAAAGGGAATAGGCATCCCGTTCAGCTTGCCCTACGACTATGATGCAGTTCGCCTGCCCCGCATTGGCAGGCTTAATTTAAAGTTTTGGCTTTGCGAGCTAAAAAGTAGAGTTGCTTGGCTTAATACGTAGAAGACGTTCTCTGTTTCGGATTGCTCAAATCACGTGGCTGCAGGAAGCGTAGAGGAACCCGTTCATGTTTGACAATCACGTGACCCTATGTCTGACATCCATAGCCGTCATTCGAAACGAGGTACTCCTCCAGGTTGACGAATTGTTTCACTATCGCACTATTTCCCAGTTCTACTTTAGTGCTCATTGGCCTCCTTTAAAGACTTAGAGCGCCAGGATGTCAGACGATCCTAACTTCGACCACGACGCCGCCATGAGGGAGGCAATGGGGTTCAGCAGCTTCGCTGTGCGCCGCCCAAAAGATGATTCTTGTAAGTACACTTAATTCAGACTAACAAGCACAACTTGAGAGACCTATGCGTCTCTCTAAATGGCAGTACACCCGCAAAAATTCTGTGTGGATTTCAAGTTGTCAATGCAATGGCTCAGGCTACGCATCTCGAGGCAGCACCTTCCTCTTCTCACTCTTGGGACGCAAGGAGGAACACACTTCCTGTACTCTCTAAGGACCGGGTGATTTTATTCCGTTTCCCCCAGTCCTGGATATTCGGTCCAGCGCTCGCGTCACACAGAGCATTCACTTAGACAACACATTCTCCCGTGTTCCAACTCTTCCAGCCTGCCCGCCTTTTCCAAGGAACAATCTGACCTCCATATAGTTCCTACACAACCTGATTTACGCGACCAGCCTCAGGAGCACAACGAGGACATGATGACTGCATCCACTCGAGGGTCATTCAATACTTACTCTGGCACTGAGAATCCTTCAAGGGACTCACTTTCAGTGCACGAATCTGCACCCAGATCTCCAGAAATCGTCTTCACTTCAAGTGCCACTAATACAAATTACACCAAGGCTGAGTTGGATGTATGGGCTCGTGGCAAGAGGAATTTGAACGGCGACTTGGTCTTTTTTAAGCCGGGTTTCATTTCGGAGGATCCCTGGAGCAGACTTCGTGACAAAACTGAGAATAGCGCTTGAGAACGTTCCAACTTCTTCCGGACTCTAATACCAGTCACACCAGACCTGCATGGACACAACAGTCAGCTGGTCAGGTAGAATGCCGCCACAATAATTTGCTGCTGCCTGCTCATCGAATTCAGAGAAAAGAAGAAGCACTCTCACACGATCACGGCAAGGATTAAACCACTGCGGATTTTGAGCTGTAACGATATGTTGTAAGAGGATGAAAACAGCATCAAGTCGTATGAACCCAGCACAACCCCACAGTCAACCCGGCCCAATGATCGCACATTTCAGTACAGCGATTGTCATTGAGCGAGGGCAGAGCTACCTTATCTTGTAAAGCCTCCAGATACGAGCCAATACTAGGCCTTCTCGATGATATTTCCATTTTCTCCGCGAGCCAATGTTGAAGTGTTTTCGGTCTCCCTCACCTCGACGATTTGAGGCGATCGCAACTTGGTGTGACGCGATTTGAAGATCTTGCCAATCAAATTGCATGTGTCTTGTGCGCAACAAATCATTTGCACCATACCCCAAGGAGTGTCCTCGTCGTATAATCCACACGAGCCAATTAGTGAGGCGGTTTTTCCTGAGGACAGCGCGTGCTGCTGCAAAGGGGGTCGACTTGACTGAGTCGATAGGCACCCTGCTTAAGAATATTCAAATCTCACAGCTCAATCCACAGCGCCTTGATGAACTCGCTTTTCCTGTCTCAGAAAGAGGCGTAATATTCTTCCGCAATCGCGACCTCACCACCGAAGGACAAGTTAAGTTTGTTGAGCACTATAGTAACATACATTGAAAGGATTTGAGTTTCTGTTCTTTTTCTGATTTTGCATCCCGGCGTCTTCGACAAGCATCCTGTGCAGAAGGTGAAGTATAAGTCTCTATATTCTCGATTAGCTCAATGATAGAAATCGTTCAACTGCACAATCAAAGAGTATGATCTCGTCCCGCGTGGCAATCAATTCGCCGTCTAACTCGAGTCCAGCATGTGATCATCAAAGGAAGTACGGATGATCGTCGTGGAGTCAGCAAAGATGCACCCAGGTTAAGTCTACGACTTCATGTGCCTGTGAACGGCTGGTTCTTTGCAGCAATCGGGGAACTTCCACACCGAAACATGATTCGAAATTAACCGATAGTGAACCTAGCAGCCAGGAATGACTGGGAGTCCCTGATCGATTTTGACCATCATTTAGCCCCGTCACACTCACTCCTGAGAATGGAAGAGCATCCACCAGTAGGCGGTGACACTGCATCAGTAGGTAGCTAAGTACTTTCGCTAGAGAGTCAAGAACGAGAAGAGATACCAGATGCGCAAACCCTCTATGAGTATCTCAATGTAGCTTATATGATATCCTGAGCGACCACATGAAGCACCTTATCGAAGGATTAAATGCGAATTAATTGTGGTGCGGCTGCCATACCTCGGAAACTTCAATTCACCCTTGTGGAAACAAATAGGCTCCGCGACTTCTTCGAGCTACACTTCCAATCGCCGGATGACCATGCCGTGCGTTGGAAATGGGAGGTTTGCAGCGTGGTGTTCTGGGATAACAGGTCAGTATATGGTTTCATGGCTTCATATCTTTGATTAGAATTCCATACTTCCTTGCCTACTACGAAACATGGTCGTACTCGCTGTGTGTCAGGCCCCCGCACGCGGAGTCACCCCACCATATGAGGCTCGATGGCGAGGGATCTAGATAATGGTCTTCGGAGAGAAACTTAAGTGATGTTGTTCTATTGCCACTGATTCGTGATATCCTATGGCCCCCTGCCAGCCTTTCCTTGGGTTCTTGCACTGCCCCTGAATACCGTTACGGCTCTGACTAGTCTGCAGCTTATTCCGATGTGAAGACTGAGACCTGGTACGAGCGTGCTGAATGTCTGAAAGCAGAACATGCGAGCCTGAGTTATCTCCACCCCTGACACTAGGAACAGCGTAAGTACTATGGCAACCCAACCCTGCTTCCACCCAGTGGTAGAGATTTGTAGTCTCGGATGTGAGCGGGGCTAAATTTTGGTTGAATAAACACCTTCAAGAATTATGACGATACTCCAGTCTAAGGGGCCCCATGTACTGACTCCCATTCAGATTAAAGGAGAACTTGAATGATATATAGGCCACTGCAGCTAGATCAAGTCTTTCTACACCGAATAGTCCGGGGGTGATTGGTCACTTGTATACCCGGGAGCCTGATAAATCACTACAATTGGGAGATTGAAATCCAAACTGTGCGTTGCGTGGCCGAAGACTCGTCCTGGAAACTGACAGTAGACTTTCAGCTTCAAGTTATAGGTGTGTTGAAGTGTCTCCGTGAAGAACGTCGGGGTGAGGAAGCGCCGTGGTAGCGTTGAGGTGATTGTGGTTGCGATGGATAGTTCCTGCTCAGCTGCTGTCCAGGTCGTACCCTCAAACCGGGATCTTAACTCCCGTACCCATGTTGGGGCAGCCATCTTTTGCTTCTTCCCGTTTAATACACCCTGATCGTCGAGGCGCATGCATATGAATTCTTGTTGCCTGGCTGAGGCGTTGAGGATTTCTGTTGTCGGTTGCAGTGCCCAGTCTGCGGATATTTTGATGCAGGGAGGTATGGCCGCGTCTTGGTGAGGATCGTTGAACGTTAGGTCGAGCATGATTCTCGTTGTTGCTAATTCTGACTGCTGTCGGACTGTGAATGGTTCGTAACTTAACAGTTTAACGGCGAGAGATTTCTGCATCATTTGACAGGGATGCGGTGCCTTCAACAAAGGGAACATCGTAGTGCCTCGCTGTAAGGCCACCGTCTCGGTATACCCAACTTCGGACCAGCGCATTGCAGTCTCGAGATGGCTCTCCCTCTCGCTGAGACTTGTCCCTAGAGCCTTAAACTCTCGTTGAAGCTCTCGGTCTCGGTCGTGCTGCAATTTGGTTGCCACCTTGACTATATATTTCACTGACATCCTTAACACAGGTGGTTCCGTGGATGGTATCAAGCCATCTTCATCATGAGACGAGTGACCCATAATATCTAGGGAGGAGGGAAGCTGGGACGCGTCCACGCCGAGCGATGTGAGGTCGATACTGTTGGTACTTCTTTTCGCGTGAATAACGAAGCTCTTAGCGATATCGAGAAATTTATCGGTGTGCATGGGGCGAGCTGCGAATTCGGGTGTTCCATGCCGAACAATGGTCTCGTATCTGTCCACGTGCACGGTGCCGGTGAGTTGTACTCTGACCTGGTGACCTAAAAGATCCAAATCATCATCTTCGAGGATGACATCGAAATTGATAGGTTCGAGAAGGTATAATGTGGGTAGGACAGATGCCACGGTTGTTGAGCTTGGACCTGCTAATGTGTTGTTGTATTCCAATTTCATCTTGTCTGAGGCTTGGAAGGGAAAAATTGGTAGCAATGGAAAAGAGCAGTGGAGAGATAGCAGCAAGCTCGTACAGACATTGAACCCATTTCATTTATGCCTGACTGATGGAGGATGATCAACGGTCAAACTGATGGGAATTTGATAATCTGAGCAAGCGCTGACTCCTCTGAAGCCAACCATGGATATCATGGCTGTATTTCCTGTTTGAGCGAACCCGAACAGCCGCATGAGGACCGGACGGACAACATGATACGTTCACAAGAGAATGAATGAGGAGCACGTCGAAGGTGACAGGCTTCCAGCGCTCTTCATAACTACCAGGCCATCGTCAATCACTCCGATAGGTTGACAATCGTGTCCAGATCTGTTTGCCAGCGCCGAAACCTCAAACGTCTCTGTTATCGCGTCAGGCGTGGACTTAGTCGCTGATCGTCAGATTTTGAACGAGTAGATAAGGACAACCGCGAGAAATATGGTGGAGGTCGATCCAGGTGGTCATTCGCGAGCCAATCATTGAGCAGGGAGTCTCGGGAATTCTGCCCAACTAGGCCATTCCGACACGGCTTCAAATTCCAATTTAAGCTAGACTAACATAATGGCCTCGTTCCTTCCGGGCGTACGCGGTAATCCTGTGTGAAGTTTCGGAGAAGAGAGAGGTGACTGAATTCCACATATCGTTGTCCTTAGTCGGAAGTGAGTCGTTGGATCATATGACCACAGCGAGTTCACTCCCATGTGTGGACCTGGATGCGTTCAAACCACCTTTGATATGATGTAGATTATGCTCTGCTGAAGCAGAAACGCCGGCGGACAGCCTGCATCGCCTCTACCAATCCCTATCACCTTTGTCCTGCAGGACGCTGGTGGGATAACGAGATGCATATTAGTTGTGTCCCGCGTACTGATAACATAGCCTCGGGAACCATGAAGGGCCTCGTTGACTCGGCCGAGTCCACTCTAGCTCCATTTCTACTTTTGTCCAGAACTACTCCTCCATTTATCCTCACTATCCTCTTTTGCCACAGAATAGCCGGCAAAGGGTAGGTGAACAGCAACTCTGCCACAACCGCGAATGCAGACCGTTGAATGAAATCAATCAGCAATGTCACATTATTTCGGTTGAAGCCTCATCTAACTAATAGTATTTATTAAGGTATATCATGAATCTAAAGTCCGGGTCTGCGATATCACACGGAGGGTTCTTGGTCAGAGGATCTGGAATTCTCCTTGAAGCCTTGGTTACCACTCAGGGCGCGATCCATATCATAGTCCTCGGACACGAAGAGAGTAGTAGTGCGAAAAATTTGAACCTACACGGTGCTCGCCAGCAAGAATGATGTACCGGCCCAAAAGGCTTCCATGGCGGTGCCCTGTAGTTTTTGTGCAATGATTGATAATGCAACGGACAGTGAGGTCGAGTCGATGGCGACCATCAGTGAGGACAGCAAATGCAAGGAAAACCAGCCAGAAGCGATATGTGGGCTTGAAGGGTTCAACAAAGGGGGGGGAGGCCGTTTGGTTAGGGTCTTCTTTTGCTGAGGTAGGTTCTGGAGAGCACGATAGAGCCTGCTCCTCCACAATCCGGAGTGCGTTGTTCTTCCTCAGCATGATTGTAGTCATTCTGTTTTGCTCGTGGCAGTACTGCTGTAGAGCAAGAACAACCGAGCGACAAATTCACTTTTGGGGGAAGGGCACTTTTCAGTGGAAATGCGATTGATGAATTCAAAGCTCACCAGCAGTGCAGAAGCAGCAGCAGAGACAGAAAATAGACACTGAAGCAAATGCAGAAGGAGAAGGAGAAATAGTAAGATCTCGCACGAGGTGAGCAGAGAGTCAGGGACTCGCATCGTCAGACAAGCCAGACGGTGAAGGGATCAGCCACGCCGGCTGCTGAATGAATACCTTTTGGGCCAGGGGCGAAGCCGATTAGTGACCGTCAACCAGCACATGCTGCCACGCCCTACGGAAGGACCACTCGGGTGGAAATGCCAGCCAGCGTTTCGACACATAGGCACAAAGATATTTCCATATAGTTTGCCATTGTGTTGCGCAAGCCATGAGCCAGCGTTGAACAACAATATGGAGATCAGAATGCCCGAATCGCGGTGCGGCCAAAACGGAACACATTTCACGAAAACCAACATCGATCAGGCTCTGCGAATGGTGTTATGTACTGTAGACTCGGTGCAGCTTGTGGAAGCGAAGGTACCTAATCTAGTAAGTGTTCTGGTACTCAATCCGGGTATCTAGCACTTAGTAGCAGTACCTCTTACATTTCATAGGTACGTTCGTTGTTCAGCCGCCCCACGGACAGAATATGGCGGACTGGGCGGTTGACGGGGCGGAGCGTCCACTGCTGCTGCAGCCACCGCCACAGCCGCCGGAGCAAAGACGACAGCACGAAAACTTACATAGATTGCATAACGGAGGACTCGGAGGCCATATACGCTAGATTCCGCAATCATTCAGAGATATTCACTTTCAACCGTTGGCTACCGCCATTCTTATTTCTACTGTGGATGATCTGGGCTGGAGGAGGTGAAACTACGTCCAAGCATTTCTCTACAGCCGCAGGTCCATTTGCTCCGCCCTACTATCAAGGACCCTGTCCATATCACCGTCCTTGATGTACTTAGTATACTCGTGTATTTTCACGTTTGCATGATCCCCTCTTCTGGTAACGCGTCCAATTGGTAAACACTCCTCTCTAGGGCTGTCTCAAGATCCAGCCCTCTACTTCACCCCCAAAACCACGGGTCTATCTGGTATTACGGCATGCAAGACCATGTTGCCAAGACTGGACATATATCTGGCTGCCTTGGGGTAGGTCTCGTACTACAACATGGATATAGTCTTGCCGAACTTGTCAAACGGTCTACTGAAGCCGACTGGAAAACCTCCTGTAGAGAAAGCCAAACATGTATATTTACTGTACTCGGTATTCCTACTGCCAGAGCGGACCCTGGCCCATTGATCGACTGGTACCCGTCAACTTCGCTTCGTTTCGCTTCTGGATGAAAATGACGTCGGTGTCCCCTTTTCACTCCTAGAATGGGAGTTAGGTATCAAAACAACTTACGAGTAAATTTTTCGAATGTTTTTTTCCTCAGAGAAAGATCACTACTCCAGGGAGACAGGCCACCACAAAAATCGAACACAGAGAACAGAGGCAATCAGCAACTTGCAGGTGACGCTGAAAAACGGCAAGACGAATCCTCTTACCTTGTACCGCCTCCCAATCCAACCCATGCCTCCCTTCACGTCCCCCGTCTTCATCCCCGTCCGTGACTGCGCCCCTGATTCCGCACCACCATCACCGCTATCATCTATTCACCTTGACTCGGGACTGGGGCCATCATGAGCCTGCGCTCCAAGTCCCAATCCAACCATCAGTCCCAGTCTCACGCGAATACCACTGCCTCCTTACCAGCGTCGGCCTCAACTTCCACCTCCAAATTCGACTTCAATCTTCAAGGCCTTCCATACGGGGCCACAACGGCCTCCAAGCCTCCCGTCCGCCTGCTCAGTTCTTCCTCTGTACATCGAATCCCTGACCTGGACTCGGAAACACCCGACCACCCCTCCTACTCTCAAACAACGACAATTACTGGGGATAACGCGTCGACCTCATCCAATAACAGATACCGGTCTCACGCACCCGCACAGGATGGACACGTCCTCCGCACCAACACCGCCTCTTCAATTTCCGCCCGAGACTCTCAGACGAGTCTCCATACCACCAAATCTCCCACAATAAGTCTGCCGTCCGCCGCTGTCAGCATCCCTCACATTCGAGTCAATGAACCACCCATCCACAACCACAACGGGAGACGGCCAGCCTCAAAACTACCTGCGCAAGAGAACGGCCACAACGCACATGACACCCTCTTGGGCCCCACGGGAATTTCGTTGGATATCAATATTCCTATTGGTGGCTTCGCGGACGAACTCTCGACTGGTAGTATCGAGTTCTCAAAAAGAGGGAGCATGTTAATTGATGGGAGAAGGTTGAATCAATCTTACAAGAAATCCTCTCCGATACTTGCCCCCATCATGGACAACGAGAGAAAGGAAGACCCGGAAAAGCCCACGATGGCGCCCAACACCAGCCAGACTACAACTGCGATGCCTCCCCCAACTCCTCGATCTTTACACGAGAGGCCGCCTGCCAAGGTCCTTTCGGCAGATGAAGAAATGCTTTCGGAAAAAGTCCGTGGCTTCTATGCCGCAGGTACAGACGACCAGCACCCCTCCGAGTCCAGCACCAATCTCGCTGCCAAAATGGGTGCCCGGTGGCAGCAAACTCTGTCTACCGATTATCAAAGCATGAGCATTCCGTCTTTGTCGAGGGCCACGTCAACCACAGATATCAACGAAGATGTCGACAGCTCTCGTCACCCAAGCATGACTCCTTCCGCTTCAGCTCATACATCCTTGGCCCCCGACCGAGAAGAGCTCGAGCTGGCAGGCGGACTAGAAGATTGGAAGGATGTCGAATACGCTGATGTCGACCGCTATGGTTTCATCCTTGCACGAGCACCTACAGACCCCAATGATGGGGCAGACGACGGTAAGCCTCAGCAGCTTACTCGTGTTTCTACAAGTTTACAATTGGCTTCTGAAACCCCGCGACGGAAACTTACCCTTCGCCGAAGCCCTAGTAGTGCACATGCCTCCACGAAATCTGGATACAGCAAACACAGCGCACAGACTTCAGATCATACACCTCCGCGTCCCTCTACTTCACAAAGCGCCCATGCTCGTCTATCACAAGGACGAAAGAGTACATCATCTCGAATTCCCGTTCCTGGATCCAGGAACAGGCGCTTGATGGATTCCGCCATGGACATGCTAACACTTCCAAGCACCGCCCAGTCCGTCATCGAAAATGGCCATATTCATATCGATGATGCGCGGGCGCGGCGTAAGGAAATTGAACGGGAGGAGAAGTGGCGGAAAATGGCTCGCCCGGTCCTCCAAAGCAAGGATCCCAAAACGAGCTTACCCGTAGTTGGTGGTGGCAGTGGCTCGACCGGCGCATATACCTTCGATACTTCGTCTCCCAAGCTCATTGAACGAGCCTGGAAAGGCATCCCGGACAAGTGGAGGGCAGTTGCCTGGCATAGCTTCTTGACGACCTCTGCATCAAAGCACAAAGACTCCCTCCTAGATTCTGAGCTGATAGCGTTGTTTCACACCTACCAATCTCGTGGTTCTCCGGATGATGTACAGATTGATATTGACGTCCCACGCACGATCAATTCTCACATCATGTTTCGCCGGCGTTATCGAGGTGGCCAGCGCCTTCTGTTTCGGGTGTTGCATGCCATGTCTCTACACTTCGCTGAAACAGGATATGTTCAAGGCATGGCCGCATTAGCCGTCACATTGCTCGCATACTATGATGAAGAGATGAGTTTTGTCATGTTGGTCCGAATGTGGGAGCTGCGAGGCCTTGAGGCGCTCTACAAGCATGGGTTTGGCGGCTTGATGAGTGCATTAAATGACTTTGAGACACAGTGGCTCGGCAAAGGGGAGGTTGGAACGAAGCTAGACGATCTCAACATTGACCCTACAGCCTATGGTACACGTTGGTATCTCACTCTTTTCAATTACACCATCCCCTTCCCCGCTCAGCTGCGCGTATGGGATGTCTTTATGCTCCTCGGTGACGACACATCACCTCTTACCCGTCCATCTACCTCAAACCCACGAGCAGACCCAGATGATGGTGAGCACAGCTTCGGCACCACTCTCGACATCCTACACGCAACTTCTGCCGCATTAATCGACGGCATGCGAGATATCCTACTCAATTCAGACTTTGAAAATGGCATGAAGGTTCTCACCAGTTGGATACCCATCCAGGACCCGGATCTTCTCATGCGCATCGCCAGGGCGGAGTGGAAGATGCACCTCAAAAAGGCCGCACAGGGAAGCGGCGGCACTGGAGGTTAGAAACTTCATAATTGTACTGGGAAAGCGAAGCGACTCCTTTCCCGAGGACGGGGCACAAGGCGCCCTCCCGCCTCATCTTATTCTGACCTAGATAAACGTATCTACACCGGGGTTCGCCCGGCTTACACTCAAAGAGATATCCTCTATGTGTGTGCCTTGTATACCTACTGTGTAGTACGGAAATGAAGATTCTCCGTACGCATCATTAGCAGTATTATTAGCAGTATTAGTATAGTATTAGTAGTAATCATTAATCATTAATATCAGCATGACTATCATCGTCCCTCGCCTCAATAGTAACCTAGTAGGACGTAGGATACGGGAGGACGCTGGAGCCCAGTCGTTCGATCCTTGGTTGGTGGCCCTCTTGTACAAGAACGGCTATGATACGTAGATTGTTATTCTTCTTCTCTGGTCTTATTGTTTCCCAATGTCTCGAGTGAAATCAGAACAACCACAGATTCGCACATCCAATTAACTACCTCTCTTACACATTAGTAGTCTCACACGTCCTAACCCTCTCAACTACTACTCATCTAACCTTCTTCTCGAGACATCGAAACTCGACCAGAAGGACGCACGGCGCTCCATACCGCGAAATACTCGACTAATCGATCGTCGCTCCTTGGTAATGTCCACGCCTATATCGATAGTAGTGGAGACAATAGTCCTCTACACGTACAGGGTATGGTCCGTTTGGTCGGGGGGCTCACCAGGTATGTATGTCGTCGTAGACTACTATAAAGAACGAAGAAGAAGAAGAAGAGGAGGAGGAGGAGGAGGAGGAAGAGGGAGAAGGAAGGGGAGGCGGTGAGGACCAGGTCACTGACGAGAGCGCTCTGCTGGTGTAGTGCGCCTATCATGGCAGGCAAATCACGGACTCCTCGTCGACAGTCATGGTATCACGGAGCTGTTCAAGACGGACGGCTATCCCTTTGGGAGTCTCGTGTTTACCGTGTCCAGGAGCATGAAGACTTGACATGCACCCCTCGGACGGACTGACATGGCTCTGGCCGCGGCCAGGCAGCGCCATAGAACGCAGCAGGATGACTCTCAAACGAAAGGACGTCTTCTATCGATTGGGCTCAAGCACCTCTCAAGTTCCACGTCGGCACTCGCCTTGTTGTCCAGTACATGCAATGCCCTTCCCTCTGAGGTGAAGCATGCAGGACCAGGTCTCGGTAGTCAAACACCATCCATTGTTTCAATGAGGAAGATCCAACTCAATCGCATGGCGGATCTCCTCAAAGAGGAGATGCTGATGGACGGGGGGCGGCACTCTCGCTTGCTGCGTCCCGAAAGACCTCCAATGGTTGAGTGGCAGTGACTTCTTCCTTCCGCAGACCGTACACGGCAGAAGGGTCCTCCCTGCCATTCCCGTCGATCAGCCAATTTGGGTTCTGGGCCACCGAGTTGGAACACGCCATGCGAGCGACGATCGTGCCAAACTCTGGGAAAGGGGACGGGAAGGCGACGAGGAGCGGTTGTTCCCTCCTGCAACCGTCACCCCAACCCTTCTTTCTCTCGCTCTCTCGGAGCAAAATTCCAGGCATACAGGATTTCCAGGTCAACAGCGACTGGGATCCAGGATACTAGTACAGTACACTGCCGAATGGTTTCCCAATGGAAGAAGATTGACAACTAGCTGACATACATATGTCTCACCCTCCGTAGTTTCCACCGACCGACCGACCGGACTCGCCGGTCGAACAGTAGGAATAGAAGGAGGTAGATCAAAAGGATCGGCTCCCAAGCAGCACGTTTGTTACGTGATGATTGATCGCTCGAGCATCCCTGCACAACGTGGCTTATTCCTTGCCCCGCCCTGCCCATGGTTTTTGCCATGTCGTGTTGCGGTGAAGCGAAATAGGATCCGTGGTCTGTAGATCCCCAGGAATGGTCGGTTTCAAAGCCGGATGCACGAGTGGTTGGAGGGGAAGTGGGGGCGGGAGGGAAGCAAGCCTGTTGGTGGGCGGAGATTTCGATCTTTTATGAGGAGATGATGTGCAGAATGTGTCGACAGAGGGGGAGGCAATAGGGAAAATTAAATCGAGGGATTGACTTGTGGCCTGAAGCCCTGTGCAAAATTGTGGTTCGGCGTCTGGTTTGGTTGGGTAGCTGACAGTCTACTGAGCTACCCAGGTACGGAGGTACTCGTACTCGTGGGATGGGAGGGTTATGCCGCATCGCATCTCGTCGTTGTGTGTGATTGAGTGTGATTGTGAGTACTTGTGAGAACCTCCGGTTCCGAGATGGGACTCTCGGCGTTTCTATCTCGGATTGAGGCTTGGTCTCCACGATCCATTCAACTTTGTGTTGAGTTCAGCCGACCCTAGCCACGTTTGCCCGTTTCTGGGTCTGTTTCCGCTTCGGGCTGGTGCAGTTCCATCCAATAAGGCTCAGTGAAGATATCCTGCAACCAGAAGGACGGGGTCTCTGGCATTGGACTGGAAGGTTGGAAGATTGGAGTCGGTGGCTGAACCCTGCGGCGTGAAGGGAAATGAGGGGAGTTGGAACCTACAAGGCGGCCCACAGCAGATTGTGGCTTGCTCAGTGATTTGGAGGGTTCCTGGCTTGCACAAGGTTTTGTCATCGCAGTCCCTTAGCGACGGGTTATGGTTTTATTGTCTGGTGTGGATGTGCCCACGGGACTTGAACGTCACTGCTCTAGTCTCGTATCCATGTAGGAGTTTTGAGATTTGAAGAGAGGGGGGAGGAGATCGCGGGGTCGTCAACCGCTACATAGGCTCAGCTGGACGGGAAAATACTGACAATTCCATCCCCAGCACATATTAGGTCATTTGGGCGATTGCAGAAATCAGAATTTCTTGCAGCAGAGAGAGGGGTGGCCAGGTGAGAAGCGAACTCGTCTAACTAGACAAGGTTGGCCTGACAGGTCCTGTCTACTGGGATCATCATGAATGCAGCATCCTTTCAATTTGCTGCTGGTGTTTACACATTCTAGGTGCTATTCTCAGCATGAATGACGATCAAGGCCTTGTAAGCGAAGCATGATGGCCGCTGGTTGCACATCGCTTGGGTAAACAGCGGCTTGGTGTCATAGCGACAGTGCTTCAGACCTTCGGACATCATGGGCGTGCAGGCGCCATGCGGCCTGGAAACATGAGCAGGGACACAGGGGTAGGAAAGCAATGGTGTTGGCATTACCGTGGAAATTGAGATCGCTGTCACGCATCTTGATCGACAAATCGCTTGGAAATTCGCGTGTTGAGATCCTGGAAATCTCGTGGGCCGATTTGCCATGTTTGCACATGGTCAACGTGGTTGAAACCTGCTGATCAGCAAGATAGGGATGTGCTCGTAAACACGTACGCCACGTGTGTGCAATGAACGGCAATGAACGGCATCGGTGACCGAATACTACGGTAGTACTCTGGACTGGACTCTGGACTGGGCTCTTCTCATGGTCGAGTTGAGAGGCTGCCCACGGCGTCGTTGATGTGAGGCTTGGATGCAATGCAGTGGTCATTTGCATCATAAGTCTCGTAGACAAGGGCATACGTGTGGACCGAAAAAGTGTCACTTGCTGATCCCGAGCTGGTTGTGCGAGGCTTGTGATCGGCGACGGTTGGCGAGCAAGGAAGTCCCCTGTGGCTTGACACCTGACAACAGCCACACAACCGATTTGGTTTGGATTCTTTATTCCTTGGGGAGAACGAATCTTCGGAATACGAACGCGACGACCGGAGAATGACCTGAAAGGAGATAGGCGTGGTGGAAAGGGTTAGGTCAGGCTTCTCCTTGTTCCGCATACGATGCCATCTCCGACATCACGAGATGATAGTGTCGCTGGGCGAATTATGGGTACCTTGTCCTCCGTAGGGGTAATCCGTATAGATGTTTAGACTCTGGTGCGACTAGTCCGTATTCCTTGGTCGCATGGTAGCGGTAGCTGCTACGGGACGATCGATCTCTTACACACAACCATGGCGGTGGGAGCGGAAGCTACCAAGTACTATGACCGAGTAGGACCCTCCGTAGACGGCCATAGCTTTCCCGCAAGATTCCTAATGTACCCCTCGTTGCAGCACCAATGGTCGAAGGCGCTCCTTCGCTTGTGCCTGTGGGTAACGGGGCGCCTGAGATCGATCGAGATGCTTGGACGCTCATATCTGGCTGTGTCGCACATGTCGAATCAGAGAGAGATACATTCTCGCTTAGCGAAATTTTTCAATTAGAAAAGAACGATCTACAACGCCCGCGGCATGGAAACTAAACCAGATGCAGATCCAATTAGAGTGGAATAGGCCACAGCAGCGCAAGCAGCTCGAACACGGCATGCTGCACAGGACGTAGGAATGACGCCACAGGAAGCATTGGCTCCAATTGTGTCTGGCGGTCAGTTTCAAAATCTGCTCGCGTTTGTTCGTAGACCATGCCAGTCTCGGTGTGAACAGGGTTGGCCTTGCAGCCGACGGCCGGGGTATGCGTTGGGTTCATGGGTAGAGGCAAGGGTTGCTGCAAGTTGACGTTGTTTGGCAGACTTCTCAACTCAAATCAGAACGACCCAAAGGACCAAGCCTCCAAAAGAGTAAACAGTCACTCCACAGACCTCCCGTTCTGGATAAGGCGTGGTCCCTTTCCAGTCTCAGCAGCTACTGCAAGCAGCACTAGGACCTCGTGCCCTGATGTAGATTGCAAGGCATCGTCAAGAGGGACGAAGGCGTGTTCTCTGATTTGATTGGAAAGGCCATCTAGAAATCGGGAATGTCGGCTGGCCTATACGAGCCAACTTCTTGGGCTTCTGCAGTCATTTCAGAGTCTCCTTATGGCCATTTCCAGCTCGGTCAGCGATCCATTCTGCCGTTTCCCGAACTGCTCCTTTCGGAGAATTCCTGAAGCGGGTTGCCGCTGCAGGGAATCAGAATACGCACTAGGAAAGTGGCCCACACTGCTTTTTCCTCAAGCTCGCCTGATGTCCAAGGGCCATTTCCCACGTTCTGTAAAATCAGATGGAGAGCTTTAGGAGCTGATCAAGATCCCGAGGGAAGCCCGTGGCGTTGTAACAAGTGAATAGCATAGCTTGCTCCTCTTTTAAACAAGCCACATACAAGGACGGAGTAAGGCCAGAAATTGGGAAGGAACCGAGGTGTGTCCTGGACTCCCTGGGTACGAGTACATACTCCATGGTACAGAGTAGGGCACATAAACAAAGCTTGGACCTCTCAGCAGAGAACCCATTTAGCAGTGCCCCGTACTAGCAAGGAAAAGGGCGACGAGGGAGAACGATTTCATCCAGGATTCTCTCGGTTATGCCCCTGGGTACATGGCAATTTCTGCAAGTGTTTCAGGAAGGGTGGTCGTGTGTGTCGTTCTAACTCAGCTGAAAGATCTTCATGGCTATCCACGTAGCTCAGAATTAGGGCGAGCAATGAGAGATGCAGACACTCCAGAACCGAGCATAATGATCTGCTTGTGATCGAAAATGAGTGTGGTACATCTGTTGGGGTGTCAAGATCCCAACTCTCATCCCTGTGTGCTCGGTACTGCCAGAGAGAAAGCTTCCCTGAAGACGAGAGAATAACCTGGTGCTCATTGTTCACTCTTGGATTGATCTAGATTGATAGAGAAGACTCGCCATCGGTCTAGGCCTTTGGTTGAAAGCATTGAAAGGAGGGCTGGCCCGGTCGGCTGCCGTTGGTGTCAGGATGGATACCAAAGTTGACGAATTTTCTGCCGCTCCTACGAAAACAGAGTTTGGCGGAGTCCCTGGAATAGTTGACTACGGGTAAGTGAACAGGGAGCTACTGAGTTCTGTGCACCGAGAGCGCTTAATCTCCCTCCAGGTGCCGTTGGCACTGGACGGAGTTATGCGAGAAGGCAGTTAGCGAGACACTGGCTAGTCAGTCGTATTGGCGTATCTAGGTTGCCTCACTGCCAGAGATGTGACAATACGAACCAAGGGTAGCCTGGAGGCTAGGTTTTTGTGCCAACCAAGTCTGGATATATCGTATAACTATGGTTCCCTGTCGTTGTTGGCCGAGTGATATGCATGCAATTAGAGGAAAGTTGGGAAAGCACTCAATTCCCATGCACCGGTTGAATTGGAGGAAAAAGAATAATGATGGCAATGATGGCAACGACGGCGGCGATGATGATGATGATGACGACGATGGGCAGCGATGGCCATTACTGCGAAAGGGAAAGATCGACTGATGGTGGGGCGGTCAGGTCACAACGGCCCAAGAGCTTGTGGCCTCCCTGCGTCATATGTTTTGGAGCCATGTGAGCGTGCGTGCCATGAGCTACTTGGCCATGTGCAGTGCGGCAGTGCCACTGCAGCGGGCAAAACGTGTGAACCGACAGGGGTCAGATGGGCGCACCTCGGCGTCTGAGCGATCCCTCAGAACAACCGGGACGAGGTCCTGGGCGTGGGTCTAGCACCTAATCAGCCTGTTGAGCTAGATGATCATCACCCTGACAGGCATGATGGACGCAGAACGTGCCATTTTGGGCGATCTCATGCAGCGGTCTAGGGGAGCTTGCGCCCCGAATGGCTCGTTGTTTACTTAGGGCAGGAGGCTACAGGCCCCTGGACCCCAAACGACGGGGATGCGGACGGTGCCCGGGGACTTTTCAGAGACGGACACGAGATTCCCTGCGATCTCAAATGCCTGTCGTCCGTGTCAGTTGACGCCACAACAACAATCGGCATCGAGGAGCATGGATCCTCTCGAGGCTCATCAGCGTCAGGTTGTGCTGAACCTACCGAGGACTGCTACTGCTGACTAGGTGGGCGTCTAGGATGGCATTTGGATCAAGGAGCATGGAAAACCCACGTTCAGATGTACTTGCCGAATTGGATAGCCGCTGAAAGACGATGGTGCCGTGAACCGAGATAGATCTCAACGGCAGAAGCCTTCTCGAACGAGAAGCTCACGCTTGAGACCAGGAGCATGGAACTACGAGTAAGAGGCTAGGAGTGACGGCCGTTACAGCTCCCAGCCCGTCAATATGCCAGCGGTAAGCTGCGCAGCAAGCTTCCAAGAGGAAGTCTTGAGTGGTCGGTAAGGAAGGCGAGTGGCAGCAGAGGCCCCAGAAGCAGCCCAACCTTCACCAGCCTAGGTGGAAGGGACACAAGCTAACTGACGCCAGCTGCTTCACCAACAAGTTAACTTGCGAGGTCTGCCGATGGCTAGAGGGCTCTGGCAAGTTACGACTTACGAATACTGAACTTACGAGGTACCTCGTACCGGCATCGTAAACCCACCACCAGCCACTTGGGTAGGTGTGATGCATGGCAAAACTCTGGCTCCACGAATCTAGCAGCATCACGTCACGCCCGCCTTTTTGCCTAGGATAGGATTAGTGCTGGGGCTTCCTGTTGCGGTTCTGGGCTGCGAGGTTTAGTTAGAGCCGTGTGCTGCCCCCCTTCCCCCCCCCAAAAAGGCCCCTCACCCCTACCCCCTCTCTAAGCCTAGGGCCATACATAGGTACGGAGTACCTCGTGCCACTGGGTTCGCGAGCTCTGGTCCTGGTCGGCCTGGTCAGTCCTGAGTCTCGAGTCCTGACTCCTGCCTCGGGGTGTGTCTAACCCGGTCCGTTTTGAGCTGGTGTATTCGTTTGTTCGCTGTCTTTACAACCCAAGTGTGCCAATTCCACTGGTCATTCGCGGTCAGCGTCCGCCCATCTTCCAACCGCAATTCCATGTGTATACCGTGTTTCTCCAGACCAGTACGAGGGACTGCTTGGTCCTAGCAACGGTGTTTGGTAGTGTGGCCTCGTAAAGGCCATTCATTGACCAGCTACCCAGCGCAAACTGCCGCTGCCTTTGCCTGAGCCTGAGCCACTCACTCAATCTTGCCCTTGCCCGCCGTGCTCCGTACCCCGTACGAGTACTCGTAGTGCTTTCCTGACTGCCCCGTGCTAATTTGCTAAGCTCTTTCTCGCTTCCTTTGTTGACCAGGAAGCTGAGCCACGCAGCATCACATCAGTCATCACCCACTTACCGCGGCGTCCAGCGGCGCCCATGGGTTCATCTCCATCGCCCTCGCTTATCCTTTCTGGTCTTCTTCTCGCCTTGGAAAGACCAGGGTTTCTTGTTCCTCTCCCTCCGATGCATTCCCTGTTGAGTCTGCTCTCACGGACCGTCCTCTTCTGTAAGCCCCCCATCTCCCTCCAGGGCTCTGCACCAACTAGGAAAACATACTCACGCCGTCACGCCAGTTGAGCTCCCTTGCCTCGACCACCTTGGTAGTTGATAATACTGCTTACAGGCTCACCAGGATCCATTCCATTCGTGGTCCCTGCTCCTGCTACCAAGTTTAATGCTGGGCTTAATGCTAGGTATCTCCTCCTTCGTCCTTGGTCTTGTTCCACTTCTGTGTGTGTCATCTAATCCAGTTCTTCTGCTGCCATCGCTGCCTCGCTCATTGCTGCACTTCCTCTCTCGGCTACCATCCTGCACCTTTCTTCCTATCCCATCCCTGGCCACTGGGCAGATACGACATACTGGATACTCCGCCTTACGGACCCAGGCCGACTCAATAACAGCCCTAGTGCACTACATCCAACGGAGTTCACATCTTAGACCATTCCCAACACATCCCAGTGCCGTCGTCTTGCATTGCCAGTATTGCTGCTTCCGCCCATGCCCACGTACGGTACGACGCACTATCTCACTTTCGACCTGGCTGCTATTGGAGCCACCCTGCCTGCTTTTCCTTTCCATTTCCATTTCCATTTCCATTTCCACTTCCAGTTCTAGTTCTAGTTCGATTTCGATCAAGAGTTCCCCCTGCCCGGCCTAAATGGGCTTTTCTTGAATTAAATCACACAAGGACGCCGTCCATTCAATCTTCCATCGTGGATCCTTTCTAGGACCAGCTATCCTTCCTCTCTCAGCACACACATCAGTCCTTACCAGAAGAACCAAGGCTCCTGGAGAAACGTCCATTGTCGTTAAAGAGGCCCGCGTCTACCAAGTACCGGCTCCAGACTGCCTGAAGTGGAGCAACCCTTCACCTCCAACAATCAGATGAAACCTACCGTCTCAACACAGACGTAACCCGGGTCCATCCACGTTTTGATCGACATTCACCAACTTGCAATTAGCCTGGACCGTCAACCATCAATTCTACCAGCTGTGGACAAGCCTTCCATACCACGGACCCTGGATTGGAGATCTAAGAAAGCCACATTTGCAACCCTGCCCAAAAGCCTGGCCCACGCTTCTTTGACATACCCATAACTACCCACCATCCCCATTGTGCTACTCTCCTCCGACCAGCTTGGTCTAGCATATTCGAATTGTCAAGTCTAGTCTATTTCGCCATCATCGACCCAGCGTAACTGACAGCTTCCTTAATTACCCATCTTCCACCACCTGGTATACAAGCGTTACCATCGCAATCTGTCCGGCGAGGACAGAACTCTCAGCACAGGCTCAGGCACAGGCATAGGCACCATCACCACTACCACCTCTTGCATGTCCACGAACATACCAGGGCGTTGCTCCAATCAACCGATTGACGAACCGCACCCATGTTACTAGCACTCTCTCAACCAAACCATATGCAGAACGATATAAGGTCGCCTCATGACTACCCGACCTATCAGAAGGCCACCCCATCTAGATATTCACCTCCAGAGTCTCCTCGCAACCTGCCCTCTTTCTTTGAGGACAGGGATCCTAAGATGAATAACTCCCATCGAGGACTGCCTCTGCCAGCTGCCCTCAGTCTGCCACCTCCAGATCGTGGCCATTCTGCTGCCCCTCCTCCTTTGGGCCATCTCCCCGCTCCTCCTTCGCAATGGGCGGGCCAGGATGACTCGATGCGAAGTTGGCTTCATGCAAAGGCAGAGGAGGACCGCCGAAAGCAAGAGGAGGAAAAGACCCGCCAGGAGGGTTTGCGCCTCGACCAGAGGCGGATCGAGCAGACTATGCTACGGGAATCGCTACAAGGCGGCATTCCTCCGCCCATGGTGCCTTTGATCTTTGCTGGTATCGGCGGAGGCAACCTTCCGTCTCACACACTGGAATGGGCTCAACAGTATCTTGCTACACTCAGCATCCAGAATCAACAGCAGCAGCAACAGATACAGGCCCAGCAACAACAGCTTCAGCACCAAATTCAACAACAGGCTCAACCGCAAATGTCCCCTGATGTTCACCGAGATAGTCGAATGATTCCACCTAATCCATATGGAGGCCCGCAACAGCTCCCACCAACACAACCGGTCCCTTCCTCAGTTACATCGCAGCCCACACAGCCTTCCAATCTCGGGCGAAACTCGATCTCAGGACCCCCGCCATCTACACTGTCACGGCTGAACACGACAGAATTCATCCCGAACTCGACGCCAGGGCAGAACCGACAGCCACTACATCCTCTACAGAATTCGCAAGCCGCTTCCACCGAGGGATCATCTGGGCCAGGATTGTTCTTCCACCATTGGACCCCACCAACCGCATCATCGGGAGGGAACCAGCCTCCGACACCATCTAGCAAGAGTGCTCAAGGTTCGCCCTACTCTCAGACTGCGGCCTCACACTTAAGGTCGGACTATCAAAACTCGCCCAAGAAGCGGAAAGTGGCAGGTGGTCAAGCAGTGGCTACGGCGCCAACATCCCAGCCGTCTGATCCATCACAACCCTATTCATCTCGGTCATCTCGAGAGCGGGAGTTGTCGCCAGGGCAGCGAAACCAACCCAGGCGGCATTCACGTCAGAGCAGTGATGAGTCGGCTCGCAACCACGAGATCGGTGGACGTACGATTGCTCGACCGAGCAGTCGGCAGCAGCGCAGGGATGAGTTCAGTGGCGTGGCGCACGACCCAAGAAGGCAATTAACTGGGTCATCGACCAATTCATTGAGCGACGACAATCCTGTTCGGTATGAGGGCTTTAAATCTGAAACGCGGTAACCGTGCCACCAGGCTGGTCCGGAAATGAAGCGCGACCGATGTGGTAGGAAAGTGCTAGCCGAGGGTGGGGCCTTTGCTTCCTTGCTGAAATCCTTTGGTTGGTTTGTGGCATCCAGGCGGGCGTACGAAATGCATGTCATCTCAAGTCTCGGCTGGGCTGGGTTGGCGCTGGCGAAGAGACCGGTCTACTCGTAATGCTAGGGCACAATGACATGATGGTCCCCATTATTATCTTTCATTGGGTACTTCGTACGGGCAAGGCGGGCAACACCTGAAACGTTTACAGAGACAGCAACCGTCGAGGAAGGCGAGTTGCCGGTCAACATCATTCCACGCCACGCCACGTCATGAAATTTTGATTCCAATGCTCCATATTTTGTGATTGTTCTGGATTGCTGAGATGAGATGAAGACAGATACAGATCAAGTTGAGTTTCCCAATGTCGCTTACAGAATACCGCTGGGGATGGTTGTGGATCACGCGCAAATCTAGTGGGAAGAGGGTGCAAGAGATCCAGATGTACCATAACCAAACTGGGAAAGGACGGTATGACCGGCGTTACGGAGCGCCGCAAGATGGGGAAAGAAATGATTTCGGATCAGGCATTTTGAGATACAAGATTGTCGATGGGACCTACATAAGCGAGAGTAGGCGACATGGTCGAGGATCGTGGGCATGTGGGCTTCAGATCAGGGCGTGCCTTTTTCCGGAAGTTGCGCCAGAAACCAAAACCCGCGCCAGAACCTGAAACATGAAGACCATGTCCACACGGTTGCGGTGGAAATTGGGATGGAAAGGGCAGTTGGGTAAGCAGACCACAACAACGCCACACATGGAACCAGGACCGGGGCCGCACACAGAGGCACACACGCACAGACAAGGCCAGCCGAAGAAGATGAAACATGGCGCGGAAGGGCACTGACAATTCCTGAAAGGTGGGAGAAGTGAACGAAGTTGTGATTGTGCGTGCCGGGCCGCAGATTGCCCAACGGCTAAGTTCAAGCCCCAAGCCTGATGGTGGAGATGTGGCGGAGCACAACAATTAGAAGCATGCGAGCCCCCTCGTCCCTCCGTGCAGGTAGTCCAAGTCCATTTCCTGTGCAATTTAGCCGACGGGTACGAGTACGGAGATAGATCTGATGATAGAAAAGAAAAACACAGTACGGAGTATTTTCTACTCTTATGCCTGTTCTGGGGACGGTGATGCACCTTCCTGCTTGGCATTGCTTGGCACTGTTGCGTGCGCACCTGGCATAGCTACGTACTCGTAGACTTTCTCTAGAGCACTCACTTGCTGGCATACATAGGAAAATGATCAATTGACACAACTCCCTTGCTCCTTAAAACTGGACGATTAGGATTTCAAAAGTCGTTGTTGACGGAGGACCGCATACTCCACAACGGAGCTCAAGCCACACTTCGCAGGGTGAAACACAAGTGGCCGAGGCTTCTGTTTGAAGCTCGGGCTGCTGCTTGGGTGCCCGTTTTCCAAAAGCGCAATGTTGTGAAACACGCTCATTTCGCGTTTCATGGTGACCCACACGGCACGTGGGGTGGCACGGGGCACGGATCATGTGATGTCGCGGTGTTGGTACCGCTTAGGCGCGAGTAGCCCGCCTTCGGGCCCGTCACTGCGACATGCAGAGTCCAAGGCACCAAGTACGTACTTTTTGCACGTCCGTAACTCGTCCTCCGTCCTTTCCTTGTGAACTCCAAGCCCCCACCTTCCGTCGTGTAGCCCGCCGTCCTGCGCGCCTCGCACCTTGTACACAGATATTTACCAGGAATCCATCTAGTGACGACGAGAGTCGCATCGCTTTCAACCCACCTCTACGGATCTCTCTGAATTTCTCTAGAATACTTCTCCGGCGACTGTCAAACGAGTAATATCAGACTTATCCCTCTTAGCCAGGATTGCTACATCCTCCATGGAAATCTTGGGCTGAAAACGGGGGTCCAAGTCGGTTTGCCCGAGCTGAACCTCTTTGTCCGAAGATCGCCGGCACGAGGGACGGAGTATCCTCCTCGAATTCATCTCCTTGTTGTGGTTCGCCCTCGTTGGCCAATGTCGTCTTCACTTCCCCTTCGTACCCTCCTCACCAAATGCCAAAGCAATTCTGCTGGATACCTTCCAGATTGCAGACCACGCGCTCTTCTCCATACGGCTTCCGGCACGACTGGAATTTGGTCCCAGACATTGGGTCTTCTGAGATCATGAGATGCTGTCGTAAAAAGGACCAATCTAATGGGCTACGAGTCAGCCACTCCCATCTCCAGCTCTGTTACTGTAACCCCGGAGCGTACACAAGTTCTGTAGAACTTTCCCGAGCTGCAAATCTAGGAGGTGCTCTTGGACCAATTCGTCCCTGTACCCATGAAACATCATATCCCGCCTGGGACAACATTTTTGACAACGGTCCCTGACACCGATATGACATCCGCAGAGAAGGAATAGCGTTATTGAAAGTCTTGGTGCTCCTCCCTGTGCAGGTGGTGCTCTAGCCTCTCATTGGTACTCATATTTCTGTTGGGCTTCCTAGGACCCATCATCTATGAACACTTCGTCTTCGATGTAAGTTTAACACAAGTCTCGATCGGCACTTCACACCCGAGCACGTGGCGGACTGTATCGGATCTTTCTTCACCTTGGAGAGACATTTGGAAATCGCAGAGACGCCAGCGAATCCTCTAACTTTCTCCTGGAATGTGTTCAATTCAATGGAACAGACACCCACATTCACACATCCACTACTGCGAATCGATGACGTCCTCAAACGCTGCCCTACGGCCAATATCCTTGTTAACTAGGCAGCTTGTGGGAGTCGACTTCCGCAAGAACGACGGCACACTACCTCCCATTACATTAACGCATCATCCCTGGTATTCATCCGCTGGCTGAGCATACTGGCGTGGCTGGCGTATATGTATTGTTGGAGCGTCATGTACGAGTAGGTGCACTGCCCCACTTTTTTGTCACATATGTCTGCGCTCACTGTGAGATTGTGACTCTCATCTTCCTCCAACCTATCCACCTCAATGATAGGAGCATTGAACGCCGATACTGGCTTAAACAAGATTTTCCCGTGATTTTAGGAGAATTCCACCAACTTCGATATTTATGCGCCAAGAGATACCCACGACACCAAAAGTCTTATACTTGATCGCAGCGGCCGATCTGATGTTGAAAAGGGCAACATGAAAATGACCGCTGTCTGAATTGTAAGCTCTATTATCCCGCCCAGCAGTCTTCGGAAGAATGGATATTCAGTCAAGCGTCGTTCATTCTACAGAGCGTTATGGGGGAGCCGGCCCAGGATCACGCTGAAGGGCATGTCCTGCCTAGCAATGCTTTCTCCTACTTTTCTACTGACCAATGACACTGGCCTGGTGAGGCGCCGTTAGAAGGTTGCTGAGATCACTAACTTCCGCCTGGGTCGTCTTGATTAACGACATTTGTTCAAAAAGGATCCAGTGCACTTTATCAGGCTGTTACATCTCAAAGTCCTGTCAACGTGCGATTAGCTTAGCGATCGGCAAAGGCTTGTTCAATATTGCAGTCCCTATCTACGAGGCAGCCTATCTTGTCCCACCGTGTGCACCGTTTAAGGTCCCTCACTGTCTCGGCTTGCCCATCCCCGGCGCTACCGGCGACTAGTCATCGGATACGACCCGCTAAACCCCACTCTTTGACACATTGAGCGTGGTTGCCGTACCTAGTGCCCCGTCTCAATGTCTCCCAACCTCAGATCACCAGATTCACTCCTCCGCTCGAAACCTCACCCAAGGCACCATGTTATACTCCGTAGTGCACGAGAACTATCCAAGGATCTGAACCGCAACTGTCTACCACACATGCTGACCCCATTGCTAGTTTTATGAGGACCAGGGATGGAGAGGCATGAATCAAAGAAGATATTTACCCGCTCTAAAAGTGTGTCGAGACCGACTTGAATTGTTCCCTGCTAACCTGAGCCCTCTGCAGCTGGATGCTTGCGTTGCAGGGAGAAGGTAGGCTCTTATCTGTGTCAGTCTCCGAGTCTGACTGATCCAACGTCTAGCGACTCAAATGTGACGAAACCAAACCGAGCTGCTTGCAATGCCAGAAACGCAATGTGCCATGTCCTGAATACCAGCAGGGTCTCCGATGGTCAGATAAATATGAAGTATACAGTGCCTCTCCCCGGATTAACGTACGAGATGGAGCGCTAGAGATGGCATTTCACACTTCTCCTCCTGCTAACGTTGCCGCCGAAGGACAGCCTCGAAGAAGGCCAAGATCTCCTCGGCGCGCCGACAGCGTGTTTTACAGCTCGGCCACTCCCAGCCAGACGGAGTCGTCTGGTGCTGCGCGTCCACTGGATGGTAGATCTTCCACTTCCGATGTCGGTACGTGGGAAAGCTCTAGGACCGACGATGAAACCATCGGCAATGTATGGGATAGTCGCTCCACAGCGCCATATGGTGTACCTGAATCTGAAAGGTCCTCAGTGCCACGGATTCCTTCCTCCCCGGCCTTTAGCTTCGCAGCGAAGGCTGACGCGCCGGCTCTGGCGGAAATACCAAAAACTGAAGACAATGAGACGGCCCCACAGGCACGGCAGACACATGTTTCCCAGCCCCAGTATCCCCTGCCGGTCGAAGCTAACGCGGAATTCTCTGACTTGCTGAAGTTCTACTTTTATAATCTTTGTCGCAAAAACTCCGTTTTCGACGGACCGGCTAATCCATTTCGCTACATGATCATCCAATGGCTCACGGACTCGCCATTAATCCTCAACTGCGTACTGAGCATGTCCGCCAGAGCATTGGTTGGACATCGTCCAGACATCTTGCCCAAAGCTGTTCGACATCACACCGTCGCCGTTGGCTATTTGACCGAGATTCTGACGAAGCTCACCCACCAAACTCCCTCGGATCCTGTAGACCCGTCAATTCCGGCTGGAGAAGATTCAGCACATCAGATCAAGCAGGCGGTTCTGGCCTCAATACTGCTAGGCATATCTTCTGTTAGTTCCAGTCTTTCTCTCAATCTGGGGGCCATTCTTGAGATCATTTATCATCCCCGCCATTAATTTCAGATGGAAGTGTTTCTGACCATTATCTAGTCGTGGCTCGACGCATCCGATCTAGGGGTCCAGCATCTTCTCGGTGCTCGTAAACTACTGTCACAGTGGCAAACAATGGGCACCACCGAGGCCAACCGAAACCACTGGGTTCCATCAATTGCCATGCAAGACCCCGAGAAAAGCTTTATTATTGGCGCCCTGGCGTATTGGGAGGCTTTGATAGCCTTCGTCATCGATCAGCCTTTGAATGCCGTTGATTATCTTGAACAGTTCTGCGACCAAAGCAGTCTAGAGATGATATATCTCAATGGATGGACTGGGATATGCACTCCACTATTTGTATACCTAGCTAAAGTGGCTATTCTCGTGCGCCAAAAGAGACAATGTTCTAAGATGGCGAACATGGGATGGAATTCCAGCCTCGAAAATGTGCGCTCGAAGCTTCTCGGCACTGCCATCGAGCTGGAGCGTCTCATCGTTGCCTACAACCTGCCTCCCAGGTCAAAGCTCTTTGAGACGGGAGATCCGCTGGTATCATTGAGCCAGTTGGAGGCGCTGGCGCACTGTTATCAGCTAACCTCCTTGTTGGAGCTCTACAGATCCTTCCCAGAGATCCTAACGCAGAAGACCTACACTTACTGCTCAGCAGGCTCCGTCTCCGGCTCCATCTGGGCTGCTGCCGCTGATTCCTCGCCCACAATCGGGGGCATGCAACCTCTTACTCAACTGCTCGTTCAGGGCACCGAGCACTCAAGCAGAAGCCTCCTCTTCAACATGGCAACCACCGTGATCGGAATGATGGAAGGCGTCCCCGAAGGCTCGGGCCTGAGCTACATCCACACCTTGGGCATGATAATCTGCGGGAGCACGCTGAGCGCCCTTCCGGAACACACCTGTCTGGCCGTCAAAGAGCAAGGCCCGCAGGGCCTCCTCATGTCCATCGCCATGGACCGTGCGAATGTGGTCAAGACCCGAGACGCCGTGCTCAAGCGTCTGCGAGCTAATGCCAAGGCAGCCGGTATGGACTCGTTTTGTCAAGTGGAAGTGTTGCTGAAGGAGGTCTGGGGCAGGCTCGATGCGATATCTGACCAGTTGCATCCTGTGGTGGGCGATGACGCGGAAAAGATGGAGCAGGTCCATTGGCTCGATGTCATGATTGAGTGTCGGCTTGAGTCTGTGTATGGATGAATTGGCTTTTAGGGAAAGGAAAAACAAAACTCACTTAGGATTCGCATGCTTTTGCTTTATCCCAGTACTGCCCGGGATGATATCTCGGTGGTGGGTGAAGCCACGGTTCGTGTCCACGACACGCGTCCAAGTCCATACGGGACAAATATAATGGTCCAGCAAGGCTGCGCTGGTCCAAGGCAGCTCTTTCGCCTTTACGATCTGAGTTCTCTGCTGCGCGCCTTGAATCTCTGCTGGACAATGGATTCTGACGTCTAAACTTGACAGTGAAGTTTCCAAATTATTTTTCATTGACTCAGCTTCTAGAGTCATTCCGAAGGGGTAGCAACAGGATAACGGGCAGGCCAGGCCAGGCCAGGACAGGATACTTATCACAATTTAAGGCGGGACCATAGTAATGATTAATGAAATACGGCGGAAATAATGCCTTCCATACAAGGGGGCTTCTTGTCAACGAAGCCATTCTCATTCCCACGCAAACTCGACATTCTCGGTGACTCATTCATTCCATTTCATTTTCACTTCCTCACTCCCAGGTCCCTCAAAGCCGTGCGTTCGGAACCTTTCTCAGCTCCTCGATAATTTCCGCAGAGGCTCGCATCCCTTGCTCCATCGCGCCGTCGATGAAGCCGTGCCAGGCGTCGGCCCAGTCAGCGCTAGCGAAGTGGACGCGGCCCTGCGAAGCTTGCAGGTCGCGCTTGAAGCGGCTGCCGAAGCCCGGTGCGTACATGGCCCATGTGCCCTTCGCGTAGGGGTCGGTCGCCCATGGGTGGTATAGCTGTGTGGAGGGGAAGTTAATTGGGGACGGATGGGAGAGGGCCGTCAGGGGCTTCGGAAGGGAAGACTAGGGTGGGGATTTTGGACTTGGAGACTCACCAGACGCTTGATCTTGAACGGATGGAACGCTTCATAGGCGGCTTTCATCTGGCTGAAACCGTGGTCAGAGCCTGACGTGAAGGCGTCGTTGACAGAAAACGAAACGAGGTGGGCGTTTCCGCTCGGCGTGAGCCCGTCACCGAACGCGCCTGCCATGATGCCGGACTTGTGAGAGTATGCCAGACCCCACCAGCAGCGATGGTCCCGGCCCTCGACTTCGGCGTGCGCTTTCACGCACAGGTTGACCTGGCCCCTGGAAGCGGCGAGGGCTTTGCGGTGGGAAAGCGGTGGGTTGAAGCTGATGTCGTTGAGCGTGTTGAGCGGCACGGTGCAGACCAGGTATTGCGCGGAGATGCGCTGGCCGTCTTTTGTGGTCACAAGCACGTGTTGCCGCGCCTGGTCGATTTGCTGCACGGGGCTCGAGAACCGGTATGACAGGTTTCCTGAGACCAGCGCGTCGCGGAAGATGCACAGTGCGAGGCCCGTCTGCCCGCATTTCAGCTTCCACTTGATTATGTAGTCCATGTACGCCTGTGAATTGTAGCCGGCGAGCGCCCACCATCGAAGGATCTCGGTGCACGCCACCTGGTCTGCCGGTGCGCCTGAGGCGGTCACAATGACGGAGAGGAGTAGACTCTGCTGGTCCGGCGTGAGTCGATCCTTGATCTGATCAAAGCGTTCCGCGGCCGACACCTGATCCCACTTGGCGTAGTTCTCGGCTTCCGTGAATGGCTTATGAGGGAATGGGAAGACGGTCTTTCCAAGGTGGCCGTCGACGTTGCAGAACTCGGTCAATGCCACGTTCATGTTTTGCGCCTAAAATCCGCCAGAGGTGTAAGAAACACACAAAACCGGACAAAGAACGAAAGCTTGAGTATTTGGGGTGGGGTAGGACGGGGCCCTTCTCACATCGTCCTTAGCAGACAAGTCATTTCTGCCATGCTCAAAGAAGTACGAGATCTTGAAATCGACGCCTGGTAATGTCTCTGCTGAGTCTTCCAGCTGATCGACCAAGTTATATCGCGAGAGCTCTGTCCATACGTGAGGCTGGCCCCAGTGCATCCAGGTGCCTCCCATCTCATATGGGTAGCCTTCAATGACTGACGTCCAGGTCCGGCCTCCAATGCGATCTCGAGCTTCTAGCAAGAGGACCTTGTGGCCTTGCCCCAGTGGTCAGCAGGCTTCGAGCAAACACCGGAGAGTTTTTCTTGCAGATATCGCATACATACCCCGAACAACCAGGTCCCTGGTGGCGATTAGCCCTGAGTATCCTGCCCCTATAACAATGGCGTCGTAGAATGTCGCTGGATTGGATTCTAGGGTGCTTGGGACGATAACGCCTTCGCACGGTATGCCTTCGCGAACCCCAGATTCGGGGTCAAAATGGAGTCCATCTTTGCTGTCCATGCTATGTAGTTCACACTGCTGTTTTTCTTGAATCAGTAATCTCTTTTCAGCGTGATACCCGTGAATGGTCCAAGTCAGCCCCGACGGGTTTGACTGGTTACTCGGCCCGACCAGCAGCCCTGAACTGAACTGGCACAAACGGCTGACAGGTCAGCGGTAACAGACTCACAGGGTGTAGGAGTAGGGACGCAGGTCTGCTTTAAAATGTGGGTGTGAACCGGCGTTTTGATGAGTTGGATGCCGTTCTGCGACTTTGGACCAGGTCCACAACAATTCTGGTCCAGACTCATCCTTTGTAGTATCCCTAGTTTTCGCTGGCCAGCAATTGTAAGTCCCCCACCGGGTGGCGATTTGGCGAACCACCCATCGGGCTGAGATGCCCCAAAGTCGAATGACTAGCCTGACCTTCCTGATATGTGAGTGTTGTTCCTCAGGCCAAACTACTTTGTAAAGTTACCTCAATTTGACGATCTACAACTCCTTCCACGGCCATGAATGGCGTTCCAATACTGGGACGCTCGTGTCTCAATTTTGCCTTCTCTCACACCCCCTGCGGGAGATGTTGGCGGAAGCAAGATGTCTTGGGCCATGACGTCGCCCGCTGCTTTAGGGTCACGTGGATCCCGTGGCATTTGCTTGGGGGCTTGCTAAAAGCTGTCCCTTGGAATTGAACAGCCTGCTGCTGCACATCCGCTCACATGGACATTGAGAGTCGCAATTTTGACTCCAAAGGAAACGGAAGTAGACTCTAAATACCGATTCTCTCTCCGAGGTGTGGTTGAAACAATGTTTCTGAAGGGTTTTAATTCCCCCAAATCTCAGCTCTCAGCCTTTCAGCCTCATCAGCTCCTTGTGCCACGCCACACCTCGAGAAGCCACACAATGCCATTCCACGACCCACCACCAGGTGCTTGCTCGTGCGTGCTTGAATTGGGGCGCTTCATCGCTTATCTTGCGGGAGAGTGTGGATACACATTATGCTCGACATATTCGGTAGCCTCCAGCATCCGCTCTGTGCCAGGGATTGAGAGTTCTCGGTTGTTGTGCCATTCGGAAAACATCCATCTTGCTGGCAGACTGGGGGGTGGGGGCCACGCTGGCTGGCTGAATAGCCGATCCACAAGGACCCCAGGCCTCCTCAGGCCCAGGCTCGGATATTTACAGGGGATGGAGCGACGTCGACGTGTCACTCATGATAGGTGCGTTGAGGAAAGGGGGATAACGACTAGTGCGTGGACCTGGAGGCTCGAGCACTACTCGTACTTCTTGACGAAAGCGCCATTGGTCGAGGCGTCGGGGACGATCACTGGGGGAAGCGGAGCCTGTCACGTATCTATCGAGCCTTGGAGCAAGTTTAACCGCAACTGGGACCTCTCAAATGGGTTGTTTGACTCAAATCAGCTCCATTTCATGCAACCACACCTGGAACAAGAGAACGGGCTACCTTGATGGAGAAGCAGCTCTTGCCGACCTGGAGCATACCCGTTACCGCCTTCCCGGGAGTAATGCAGACCCTGAATCGTACGTCCACAGCTGCTCCCTCCCGGATCTGTCGGCCTCACGAGACATTTCAGACGATGATTGATGAATCGGCGTGATGTATACATCACGGTCCTCTCTTTTGCTCACACCCAGGCAATCGATTGGGAAGCATTTCTCTCAACATTCAGTTGTTGCGACCAATCTCTCCTATCTATTTCTCAGCTGCTATTCTTGTCTGTTCTCACAATCCGATGTCCTCGCCTTCAAGTGGATTTAAAGCAGACCCTTTTTTTTTCTGCCGTTGTGTAGCTGAGGCGACGACATGCGGCTGAGGAGGCTGGACTGTGCAGCAGGACTGAACAACTTTGGAGCAAGCTGAGGAGTTTTCTGGCCGCATAGCAAGACCACTACTAAATGCGACAGTCAGCAAAATTTCATGGGATTTTCCCTTTCTTCAATCTACACAGCCGGCCCTCAGCTCGATCTTCGTTTTCAATTCTACCATCGATTCTATTGCCAGGCTTTCTTCCCGATCTGTGGACAAGTTTGCAATTATCGTGCAGAGAAATATCCCAAACTCAATCGTACGAGCGGGATGAGGTAAACCCGCTTGCGTTGAAAGCTCAGAATCGGGAGCAATACGTCGAGCGTTTCCATAAACCCACTGCTTGACCGCGATTGTCCGACTTTAAACAAGAATAGATACGCCGTGGGGACTCGTCAACCCTCTAAGATAACAAGCCTCGCTCAAACAACTCCATTCTATGGCCTTTACCCTTCGATTACCGCACGAGAAGCAATCTTCTGAGATAGTGCATCGAACTTTTAGAGAGGGAGTGTGCATCTGCTGTTGGAGGCGAGCTGAAAGACCGGAAGGCATTATAAACCAGCATGGAGAACAAGATATCCGAGATTTTGAAGGACATACATCCATCTCATCAGACACTCGAGCGACCTAGTCTACTGCCAGTGCCTTGCGATACAGCCGTTCTTGGAAGGCAACAATAGGCCAAGTTTTGTCATTCTCTCGAGACCAAACCCAGTTCCGTACCACACCAGCCAATAGGCAACCGTGCGCAGACGCGGCGCAGGAACTTGGCTTGCACAAACAGATGACCACACAGTTTATGCTTGAAATTATGCAATGATACCCTAGCTCAACCGCTTTACTGGGTTCTACCAGAGGAAACACTGGAAACGGACTATGGCTAATTTCAGGCTCCATCTGGAGCGTTGTCGCAGGGGTTCGAAACGACCCAAAACTCTAATCCAAGTACGAGGTACCGACCACTGACTATTGACCAAGCAGCTTCTTCAAATTCTCAGTCGCAGCCTCTAACAATTTCGGTTCGTATCCGTTCTTCTTTGCTGTGCCGATGAGCTCAACCTTTCAAGACGTTGTCAGTGTCTGTTGCAAATTCACTATTCGGTTGAAAATGACTTACCGTCTTATCTAGTATACCACTGAATTTGTCTTGGGCATACTTCTTGAAAGCGTGATCCATCCCCTCCGGATCCGCGAACGCAAGTGGAATGACATCGGAGAAGATGGTGCTTCCTCCTGCGGCACCCGAAATGATGCTAAACCATTGCTTCTTCTGCTGAGCGCTCAAGAGATCTAAGGCTTTGGCAAAAACTGTCGTTTCGTACGCTGATGTCAAGTGGATGACAGCGTGGGCATTGGCGATATCCCGAATTAACCTATCTTGGTCTGCAGCTGCTACGGTCGGGTTTCCAGCTCTCTGGACAACCAGGTCTTGTCGGTCTGATCCGAATCCTAGGTAATATTGGGCAATGCAGCTGTCGTCCGCGCTTGCGTGGGTTTTCATCACCGCGCTAATCACATCGCTTGCCTTGTTCAGCAATGGTAATTCCACGTTCAACCTGGCCTCCTCATCGCGTATGATTCCCACATCTTTGTCGATGATCGAGGTGGCTGAAGCCATTGGTGGTGATGCACTTAGCAATCGAGGGCCTCGGTTTTCAAACATCCAGCTCCATCCCACCACCGGTTTTCCCGCTGAATCCTTTGTGACGAGATAATCGAAGAACTTCTGGGTATCAGTCCCGAGAACTGCCGCGAATCCAATGATCTCAGAAGCTGAGGCGATGTGGATGCCACACATCACCTGGTTCAAGGCTTTTGCTGACTCGCCTCCTCCAAGTCCTCCAGGTATGTCGTAAAGTGTTTTCCCTTTGCTAGCCACGTTTTCAAGCACTATTTTTGCGTCTGCCTGCTCTAGATTGGCTGGGTCATCAGAAGATGTCATTATCGTTAAAGTACCATTTATCGACCTTGCTACACCCCCTGAGACAGGAGCATCAATCAGCTTGATATCCGGCCGATTGAACTCTTGCGTGAGCCTTTTGCGGACCTCCGCCGGCTGAGTAGGAGGAATCGTAGCATGGATTATGACCGTAGAGCCTTTCGGCAGAGCGTGGACAGCCCCAACCTTGTCATCGAAGAGCGCCGAATGAACGTGATGATGGTTTGCAACCATTAAGCATGTTACTGAAGCATTCTTCACAGCTTCGGATGGCGAGCTTGCAGTCGTTGCTCTCGAGTTCGGTACCTCGTCGCACGTTGACTGCCAGCGGTCTAGGGTTGGTCCGTAAATGTCATATCCGGTAACTGGGAAGCCAGTCTTCACCAAGTGGGTGGACATGGCGAAGCCCATGGCCCCCAGGCCAATAAATGCAACATGTGGTAGGGAATCCATTGGGAATATCTGTAAAGTCGCTAAAATCTCCCCCGAATAGTAATTTAGCCGGAGGCACTGTTATGGCAGCTGGGCAGTAGAAACAAGTAACCTTTTAGATTGCCAGGAGCAAGACACAATGGATTTAACAATTAATCACGACCAAATAGCCCAGAGACTGTGATTCCCAGAGAAGGAGAGGGAAGGACAGAATTCGAAAGAAAGATAAAAACAATTCCATTGCTGTTGCCGCTCGCCTCCTCCGTTCCCCATATGAAAAGAACTCGCGGCTAAATGACGACTCGGCAGTCAACGGTGGCCATGCCGATGTATGATGAATGTGTAGGTGGGGCGGGAGCTGGATACAGATCTATTCAGTTTCTCCGGTGGAGGAGCCGGCATGGGTCGGACAAGGCCCCGCGACATGATTTCCGGTGGTCAGATCATCTGCCACGTGAGAGCACGTGATAAGTGTGCTGGGCTTTTGTCCCTGTGATGCACAGTATGATGGAGATCTGCGGCTTCGTGCATCTGGTGTGCAGTAGGCTGCCAATGGGGCATCATGATGAGGCTCTGCTCGCGTCATCATTCTCTCCTTTCGCCTTTGGTGCTTCGAGCTGCCTGATGGGTGGTCGGCATATTGCTTCTGGCAAAAGGCAGTACGGACACAACGCTCCAGCTTGCGTTCGCAGCAGCCACCAGTTATCTAGCCTACCGAACCCTGGCATTGTTTACTGCCTTCTTACAAAGCCAGCGCCCTGCTGCTGAGGGGGACGAGTGGAAGTGAGGCATTGTCATCTTCTCCAAGATGCCCTACAGAACCCCTCATTCCCTATTTCCGACGCGTCCTGCTGCTCGTGTTCTTGCCGGAACATGCGTTGTGGACCACTCTCGACCCTCCTCGACCAACACTAGGCAACCAGGCATCCCTGGTTGCTCTGCGTTGGCTACTGGTTTTGGGCGTAGCCTGAGGCATCCAGTGGCATGTTATTCAACGGGGTCAGTTATTTTCGGTGTATCTGGTTTGACCGGTCGAGGTCTGGATATCAGATGAAGTCGAGGACTGCGTGTTCAGAGTCCCCGGGGCGAACACGGGGCTGAGCGCTTTTGAGCGCTTTTGTTCGATAAGTCGGCGATGCTTTCCTTCTCTCCTTCTCGATGGTGTGAACACCACATATACCTTCGCATCGCTCCTTTCTCTGGGAAAGCAAATGATTCCAATGATTTAGCCTTATTTTCTACAAATGCCTTTCTTTGCGTCACCGCCTGCCAACAAACCAAAGGCGACTGGAAGCAACGCCTACAGTCCAACTTCTGCAAAGCGAAGCAAGGCTCCCAATAACTATCAATCTCACAAGGCTGAGACCAAGAAGCAGCAAAAACAGGATTATTCTCCTCGAGAGTCATACTACAGTGATTGCGAGTCAAGACCTGAGTCTGAAAAGACCTTCGTTGACATCAAGAATTTCCTTGTTGACATCAACCAATCACAAATGGCCCCTTCACGATCCAATCCTCCTCCGGACAGGGACAGGACTGACTATGGGCGTCAAGAGAGAGAAAGGGGGAACCGTCAAGCACCTCCCCGAAATCCGCCTCGATTGAGCGGAGACACAAACGAATTCCCGGGCGTAGACATGGACGATGTAGCAAACCGTATGGAAACCGTATGCCTTGGAGAGAGCCAGCCCTTCCCGGTCGCTTCCATCTACGAGCAGATCCTCATCCTCCGTCAACATGGTGCTGCCGTAAAATACACCACGAAGTCCCGAGGTGATTGTCTTCGTGATGAACTTCCTCAGCCGGGACAATCAATTCGACGGGGAGACAGCCCCGTCTCTCTTACTGATATCCTGAGCCCAAGCAGAGAAGAGATCAATGCCATTGATCACGCCTTAGCGAGTGTGATTAACACAGGGGGAGAAGTCGAATTCCATCCTTTGCAACCCAGACAGTCGGGAGCCTTATTGGAGTGCGACGCATGCTCCAAAGTCTTTACACTGCAACAAGACCGAGACCAGCACATCGGAGGAGGAGCCCTGAAGTGTCCCACGTGTGGGATACAATTGCCCTGCCAGGGCCTCGTGGAAGATCACATGCACAACAGACACCGAGGCAGAAACAGCTCAGGCCTTTCCTCGGCTGATCGTCCGACCTTCAGCAACTATCAAGAGAGGAACGACCATCAGCCTTGGGCGCAAAGATAAGGCCACGGCAAAAGGCCCCCAGGGGAGTTTTCTTCCCTGGTGACACTCTGTCAGCTCGCTGTATCTCGTTTGAAACGTCGTGGAGATCGGTTGTAGGGAGAGAAGGAGAGGCGGCGATTCTGACTCTCCTCGTGTATTCCATCTTAATGGGCCTGGTTGACTTTGGCTGTTTCCATGTTTCTTGTTTTACTAAGGAAAAGGTTTCATCTTTTTGAGCCATTCATTCCGATTTATAGGCGGAAGGGAGCAGAGCTTTGTAGGATTATTTAAGGAATGGATGGACACAACGGGAGGCTGGCACCGCAGAACTGTCCGTAGGAGGAACCAGCTGGTGCCAATTTGCATCCATCGGTTAGGTGCTTTCCCTACTCTGACTAGAATATATGAGATTCAAAGAATCAAAATTCATCTTTTCAACACCAATGCTCAACTTGCCATCATTGTCCTAAAACCCTAACCTCATAACTCCACAACCTCGAACGAAAGGTCAAGAAGCTCCGGCCAGCGCTTGCGTCGACGCATGAAAACACGCAATTGCTCCAAGACCAAGAAAAATCCAACGTGGAGAAGTATCAAGGATGTCACAATTTCCCCGGGCCCTCTAGCACCAACTCCACATGCTCGAGAGATCGATCCACCATAACCCTGGTAGTTCTCGATCTTCAAATTCTCCGCCTCCTCGTCGACGTAGAAATTGTAGAAGTTCTGCGTGAAGTACCAGAACTCGTCGTCGTTCTCGGGCCGCCATTTGTGACAGATCTCGTTCGTCGACTTGTACTCGTCCCATCCGAGCATGACGATCTTACGCCTATCTTCATTGGTCTTGGGGACCCAGTGGTCGCCCTCGTGTTTCATGTACGCGCGATAATCCTGGTACTTTTGATCCGTTTTCTTGACCCATTTAGTACAGCAGCGTTCGATGGAAGGGACGCGCGGGTGGCATATTGGGTCGATCTTGTTTACCCTGCAGTAGTGTCGCCATTTGGCCAGAGCTGAGAGTGGGTCCAGCGGGCAGGTGTGTGGCCTCGTCGGGATCGTGGCATCAAACGTCCCCGTTCTCCTCTAGCCGTGTCCACGCACGTCGTAGTAGACGGTCGACAAGTGTACGGTGCAGGTCGACAAGGTTACCGTCTTCCAAGTGGTGGTCGGGGTTGATTGTTCGACCGCCATGGTCATCGCAGTAAGTCCTCCCTGCGTTAACGTTGCTGCGGCTATGGCCGTTGGGGTCGCTGTCTCGAGTTCCACCAAGGCCCTTGGAGCCGAGTTTGTTGCCTCTTATCACCATTGCGGTCATCGACACCCCCTTCGTGGGCTCCGTGGGCTCCGTGGTGGCCGCCAAGACCATCTTGATCAAGGCTTTGAGGCCCGTCATGGTTGATTGACGATTGACTGGTGCTCACAACGCTGGAAATCTGCTCTGAGTGCTGGAGTGAACGAGACTTGATCTTAAAGACTTGGGGTAAATCAATGGAGGATGGAGACCAAACACCTTGAAGAGATCAGGGGAGAGGGTTTATATACCAGGCCACGGGGGGATTCCTCGAGAACTTTCACTCTCATACCCCCACACCGAAGGTTTGCGGGGAATGCGTAACTTGACGCCTGGTCCTCAGCAAAATGGAAATTGTGCATAAACACGATTGGAGAACCATTCTATATACTGGAGGTATCAATGGGTCGTTGGCCTTGCGTAGCCTCGTTGCTCCACCCTCACAATGAAAAGACGAATCAAAACCATCCGTGCAGCCACGCATATCAACAGATAGCGGGCCTGCGAAGTGAAAGACAATAACGTAGGAGAAAGGGAGCGCATCGAGTTGGAGCACCACCCGCACCTTTTGCAGATCTCATGAGTGGGTGGATACGCGGAGACTTACCTTTTGGGCACCTTAGATTGTAATATGGAGATGATGAATTCAAGGCGGGTACTAGAGGGTCATGGTCAAAAACTGCGAAGCCAGCACAGAGATTTCAAAGAGATACCGGATGGCAAAAGCACAACTACATTCCGCACAGCATAAGTTTGGTATTCTGCACAATGAGATTTGAACAAGGCTGCCTACAGAATTAGTTCGGAGTAGAGTACTATAGTGCGGCTAGGCGGTCCAGATCGGGCCCATGAGTTCGAGGGCCAATAGGCTACTTTGGGGGGCCTGGCTTCTAAGCACAGCCACCTCGGCGCAAAAGCTGTTTAACAGGGCTACCCTGTCCTCAAGAGCCGCTGTTACGTCATAGGATGCCACACTTCCACCTGCTCTCCGCCAAGCCTGCCCTTGCCAACCTTGTCGTCGATTTGAGGTATCCTGGACGCTTTGCATTTTCAAGGACGCTATTCACGGAGGCCTGCGATGTCTGCTACCCTTCGATCCCTGGTGCTTCGAAAGGGCGGGTAGAGCAGCCACAGGTCAACTCCAAATCGAATCTAGGGTGACGTATCAGCCACACCTGGGTCTTTGCCATGGCCTTTCAAAGTGACAATGTTGGCACTGCTGGGGCCGCATGATGCAATCATGCCTACAACAAGCACACAGTGATCATATCTCCCTTTTAAGACCCTGAGATGTAGGTACTAGTCTCTCTGATCTGTTTACTCTCCACCTCCAGCATCCATCCAGCACGAAAAGATCCACCAACTTGGATTGTAAATTTCCAATACTAGGAAAATTTCACCTAAACCTTTGGTCTCAATCCATAGTCACAATGGAAGGAACAAAGAATTGGTATAACAAGCAATACGAAAGCTGGGTTCCCTGGGTCGAGGACAAAGTACTCGGCTGGTGGGGCGAGAACAAGACCAGCTACGTTGCGAAAGGTTGGTTTCCAAACAACCAAATCTAGTTCGTGTCTCGATCAGCTCGACTAACAGCGCTCTCTTTCTGCAGACAACCTCTCCAAGACAAAAGTCACTGGCGATAAGAATGTCGACGCCGTTCAAGACGGCATCAATGAAGGTGTTGGTGGACAATTCGGAAAGGGTGGAGTTCTAGAGGGTGTCGGCAATCTCACCTCCAAAGAAGTATTCACCCGTTCTGAGCGACAAGGCAAGAATGACAAGGGCGGACACATTTGAAGGATGCATAATCTGAAATTCTGGGGTCTTGAGTACGCAGGAGGAGTCTGGGCGACGACGCGATGACACCTTATATGATGATAATGTCTTCATGGCCTATTCTCGGTCAATTTGATACAATATTCACCTGATTTAAGAGGGTTCTTGGAGGAATATTTTTGTCGATTATGTCGTTCTCAGATACCAGATACAAAGGGCAAACAGTTTTAGGTCTCTGATATTATCGCTTCAAGATGGCTACAGTGCGTGCGTTTGACGATTCTAGCAACCTTACTATCCGAATATTTCTAGTTGGATATCAACAGTGATCCAAAGAGGGTCCCGAGAAATAGTGAAGGGCAGCTGCCCACCAAAGATCATTAAATGATGGTGGCTCCTAAACCTTAGCCCGTCAGACAAAAGCAAAGCACATATCCATACATCAGAAAGGCTGTTAAACCGCTCGTCAGACCTCTATTATTGGGACTTTGTATGTCGCTGCCTTCTACCGTCTCACGTTCTTTCGTTCTTTCTATACTCTCGCTCAACTCCTACTTACAACCTCTTCCATCTCTAGTGCCACATTTCGAAACTGCCTACACGCGGCTTGCTGAGAGCTGGCGTTGTCTCAGAGAACAAGCGTTTGAGCGATGTTCCGTTGCTTAGACCAAGGGGACGAGAAGTCCCTGTGTGGTGAATAACGTTATGCGGTAATGAAGATATGTATGTAGGTCCACACCAGCTCTTGGAAGAAGCTCTTCCCTCTTGACCGCATTGTACTACCTTTCTCTGCATAACGATTACAAGTTACAATGATGCATCTCACGAAACACAAGGACTCTATCAGATATTAGTAGTATTTAAAGATGTACGCTGCTGGAAGTTCTTCTCATCTTGTGGCACCACATCGTCCGTCCGCATCATCCGCATCAAATCCAACACCACCAACAAACAGCCGCCTCCCACAAAAACCCTGAGCAGAAATATTCAACCCCATCCGTCAATCGACATGGCCGCAACTGCCACCAAGGAAGCACAGATAGGGGTATCGCCCCTGTCGCCTGGGAAAGTAGCCTATTTCTCGACACCCGCGTTCGCGCTGCACTCGATTCCGATATCCTATGCGCTGTCGTTCCCGCCACACATCTACATGTTCACGAACCTCATGGCCGCGTCCAAGTTCAGGGCCTCGAACCTCGTACCTCGGGCAAACCTCGAGAGACTCGCCGATACACTGCCAAAGCCAACCATGGACCTGCTGTGGAAAGCCCGCGGCTGCCATCTCAATGCCCTGGAAGGGTTTCCGCTTTTCGCTGCTGCTATGGTGAGTGGTTTCGTAATGACCTTGCTTCTTTGTTTTCAATAGCCCCCGTATCAAAGCAATAGCACCGGGGCTGACTGGTGGTTCCCTCCCGTGCGACATGCAGCTGGCTGGAACATATGCCAAAGTCGACACCAGGGAGCTCAATTTCTGTGCGGGGGAGTATCTCGCCGCCCGGCTCTTGTACAGCGTCCTGTATATGACGGTTCAAAGCGAGAAGACCAGCTACTTGCGATCTGCCGCCTACTTCTGGAGCGTGGGGATTCCCTTCTATGTTCTGTGGAAGGTTGGATGGAAGGTAGCCGAAGGCGAGAAGGATAAGCAGGTTTGATGGGAAAAACGCTAGAAACTGAACAGGGCGTATGTATACATTGTTGCAAGGTTCTTTCATTTTATATTGGAGGCAGGGAAGTAGCTGCTCCTTCTCTCGGCTTTTTGGTTTTGAAAATATATGTATATACACAACGAAATCGTTTGCTTCTCCTTTCTGAAGTATATGCCATGGCAGAAGTAGAGCGAGCCATTCGTGAGCCGCGACTCTCCGCCTCCATTTTGGCTTCGGCAATGCCCGCATTGATATAAAATTACATCGAAAATCATCACTCCTTAGTCGCTTCTTCAGACGGTCCAGGGGATGAGGTCTTTGCTTTTTGCCGTTTCTCTCTGGCATATCGCCAGCTCTTGCCAATTCCAGCGGTAATAGCGCTCTTTATGCTTTGGGTCAGACTGGGCCATCGAATAGTCTTCACGATAACCTGGCGAACCTCTTCGCGCAGACCTCCGCCTTCCGTGTCCTTTGCGATGCGCTGCTCGAATGGCCCTCCTTCCCGCCTCCGGATTCGGTCAGGATCCTCATCTTTCGTCTTCTCCATCAGCTTCATGAACTCTCCCCTTGGAATCTCAAATTTAGACTGGTACTCGAAGTATAATTTCTCACGGAAGGCGTTTGGCAAACGCCGAACCATGTGTCCTCTGGTGACTGGGTCCATGTTCTGTGAAATCTTAGCATTGACAGTAGGGTCGTCAAACCAGTCTCGGTTTGAGCAGGCAGAGTCGTTGAAAGAGAGGTTGGGTAGATTATCGATTAGTGGAGCGTAAAGACGCCGAAAATTCTGGAGCTGGTTATCGACAATGTTGTTAACTTTGCGCGGATCATCTCCGCCGATCGACATTCTCGGATCTCCCATGTACGAAATGCCGGCGATTGTCGAGTACAATTCCTTCTCTGTAAAATTGGGTGGCAGGAGAAGGAGGGCCGTTCGTACAGCAGCAATTAGATTGACCTGATTCGCTAAACGCACAGCCGGATTATCTCGCAAAATCTTGACAGGCTTCTGCAATCGACCCGCAAGGTACAGTGTGTTCCATTCTGAGAGGTCTTTACAGAGAGTGTCTAGATTCACCACTCCATACTTGACCAAAGTACCATTGACGGTCACAAACGGGTTAAAATAGACTCCAGCACCAAATGAATCCTGAATCTTCGAAACGGCATAGGACCCCAGGGATCCGACCGCGGAGTAGTGATCTCTATGCTGTTGAAGATTCAGAGAATGCCAGTGCTGTGTATACGAGACCCCAAAAATGAAGTCAATCATCTTCTGATTGCCATCTTGAACCTTGGATATAGCTGTCGGGGGGGAAGGGTGAAGGGCTCCGTTTCCACCCTTGCTATTGGCACTCTGTGGAAATACACCTGAGCCATAGGCAAAGGCGTAACGTATAGGCGCCCGGAACTTCCACAAGGTTTGTCTCAATGCCTCCTTGAACTCTTCATTTATGATGATGTGTTGATTGACCCCAAAGTTCTTTCCAGGGAGTTCGGAAAATTTGGATATACTGAGATCTGGGTTTTCTTCCCAATCGGCCGGATTCAAGGTCGAAGCATCAGACTTCGTGGAGCCGTCAGCAGAAGAAGATCTTTGCTCTGTAGAGCCGATTGGGGCGGAATTCGTATTCGAAGGTTGTTTCGCTTTCGAGGGATCAAAATTGGGGGGAGGCGTGGCGTTGGGCCTAGCGTTTTCTTCAACAGTAGCATAAAAGCGAGAGCCGTAAGGAACAGGCAGGCATCGTTGTGTAGCTCGTAGAGGAGTGCGTCTGGTGGTTGTGCCGTAAAGCTCCCGCAACCCTCGCTTTCCCAGAATGCTGGGCACAACTCTCAGAGGCATTTTGCTATGAGTGTGTGGGGGCGAGCTGTAAGTATAATCAGCATTGTCAATATTGTATTGAGTCACCGCATTGTTGTTCAATCCATCCCTTGTTGTGTGTTTGCTATTGAATGCCCACGTGGAGCGTGCATTACATAGGGAATTCTGGAGGGAGGGACGTCATTTCTCGCTCTGGAGGACAAACTCGCCAAGAGGTCAACCAAAACTTGCCAATTTAAGGTCACGGGGCAAGTCGGATTAACTCTTCGGTCCGAGTCCACCTCGAAAAATGGCTGCCTGCAAGCAAGCCCCAACTCTCGTGTTGTTTGCATTCCTTTCCCATCTCAACATATTAGCGTTGCATGTCAGGCGTGCCATGTCTACTGAGCTCTACGTCCGGGATCTGTGTTCAGAAAGTGGCACGAGAGGACGATGTAATACCAGCACTGAGATGCATAACCTCAACTGCCGCCTAGGCAACAGGTGGCTAGGACTATACGAGGCCGGCATACATCAAACCTACAATACAACTTACAGTCGACCAGGGTAATTTTTGTTAGCGCTCTCCTCACACCGCACGAGGCTTGGCACATCTTCTAGGTGCTTCGAGCCTAAGCACTGCCTAAGCCATAGGGGCCATTGAGTCACGACTTAGGCGCCGCATACCCAACTTGACCCCCGGAATTGCTTAGTCCCGGTCGCGTGGAGCAGTGGAGGTGCAAACGAAAATCACCCTGCTCTACGGTAGGCAAGTACTGCAAACGCTGTCACACAAATAACCGGGCCAAGACAAGTATTATTAGTGTAATGCTTAGTACGAATAGTAGCATCATAGGAAGTCCGTTGCGGAAGAATTATCGTTTCTTTGCGCTACCTGCTAGGCGCGTCACCGTGGGTCTCTGGAGTCGTTTCTTGATAAAGCATACCCACCATGGAGGGTGCAAGGCTAGACAATCGAAAGCTGTCACGTGAGGTCCAGGCACAGTGAACTCTACATACTTTATGCAGGTGCGGGGCCCATTATCGGCAGGGGGATCAGTGAACCATACCATTTTGTCATACGTTAGCGAGCTTTCCAAGTATCTGCTCGCAAAAGGGCCTCCGTGATATCTCGAACTCCACATGCCTGACAAAATACAAGCTCACCCTTTTGATCTAGTAGTCATCAGGCCTACCGGAACAAGGCCTCATGATATATCTGCTCAATATTACTCGGCCGTACTAACCGCGGGGCAATTCTTTCCCCACAGCCAAGGGAAGGTTTTGTCAGACGCCCGTTTCGTTCCCCAGACCACCTTCGAGACCTCGGTCCGGCAACCGTCCGAACAGGTTCGTAACAATGCAGGTTGCAGGTTTACCCCCGGGGCCGGGAAGAGATGAGAGGTGAGTTTTCGGACGAATAACTGCAGCATGGCCCGCCCTTACACTTCCCATAAATCTACTCTGTTTACCAGGCCAAAGCCAAAGTCAGAGCACCAGGGGAAAACCGTATCATCACACTCACCATGGCTAAGGTTCAAGGTCATGCCGACGCACCATTTGATAATCTCCGTGCTCTTCTAGAGGAGCAAATTGCTTCTGGGGACGAGCTTGGTGCTTCGATTTGCCTCAACGTGGATGGCAAGAACGTTGTCGACCTCTGGGGAGGCTTTTTCGACGAGGCACGTACCAAACCGTGGGAAAAGGACACCGTCGTCAATGTCTGGTCATCCACCAAGACTGTCGCAGCACTAGCTGCGTTGATGCAAGTAGATCGAGGTCAGCTTGACCTCGACGCACCAGTCTCGAAATACTGGCCTGAGTTCGCCCAGAATGGTAAAGAAGGTGTTCTCGTCCGTCACTTCCTCTCCCATACGTCTGGCGTGTCTGGATGGAAGGAAGATATGACGGCCGAAAGTGTCCAAGACTTGTCCACTGCTGTCCCAAAGCTGGCGGCGCAGGCGCCTTTCTGGCCACCCGGGACTGCAAGCGGGTATCACGCCGTGAACATGGGCCATCTTATCGGGGAGTTGACCAGACGCGCAACTGGAAAGCCGTTGAAGCAATTCGTGGCCGAGGAAATTGCTGGGCCCTTGGGAGCAGACTTTCAAATTGGCGCGCTTGAGAAGGACTGGCCACGTATTTCACCGGTCATCCCACCGCCACCTATGCCAATGGACTTTGCCTCTCTGCCCCAGGACAGTCCAACAGTGAGGAGTCTGGGGAACCCGCCAATGGATGCAACTGTTGCAATGACACCAGGCTTCCGCAAAACAGACATGGCTGGAGTCAACGGCACGGCCAACGCACGATCGCTAGTCCGCATACTAAGCGCAATTACCTTGGGCGGTACCCTCGACGGTGTCAAACTTCTCTCACCACAGACGATTGAGAAGATCTTCGAGGAGCAGGCCAACGGGACCGACTTGGTCGTTGGTGTTCCCCTCCGCTTCGGCACTGGATATGGCCTCACGGGTGGCGGAACAAGCGAGTCGGTGTCGTGGCTACCCAAGGGCAAGGTTTGCTTCTGGGGTGGATGGGGAGGAAGTATCATCCTCATGGATCTTGATCGGAAAGTCACTCTGTCCTACACCATGAACAAGATGCATGCGGGAATTCTTGGAAATGTTAACTCCGAGAAGTATCTCAAGGCGGTGTACAAGGCCCTCGGCGCTGAAGGCTACTGATCAAGTTTTAGCTAGGACCTAACGAATGCACAAATAGAAAGTGTCATATATACTCAAGTGGTGTCGAGCATAGAATCACGAGTTCCAACGAAGTATGTCTTCATAGTCCTGTGTTGTCGGAACAGGGATGCAAGGTTTCTGCAAGACGCAGATGGGTCAAAGTCAATGGTGATTATTTTCATTGTATGTTGACGTGCAAAAGGTACTGGTCAAAGCACTCGCTAGCACTCAATCGCCCGTCTGCCTGATCACGCGGCTTTCACACAAGATCCCAGGGCCAAGCCTGACCTTAGAAGTTGTAGCAAGTTCATTGAGGCCGACAGTGAGTTGAGTGGTGCTATCACTCCAAAATACCTGAACGCCAAACTCGGAATTCCCACTTGCGTTTGAACATTGTGAATTCGACTGAGGCTCCGAGGTGTGAATCCATGAAGTATTTAGTACCGTTATGCCCTTAGACCCCTTTTCAAGCAAGAACCTTCGCGGCCGACCTGATGTCAGAAGATTGATTAGCTTCAGTGCAGCGTCGTTGGCTTCTTTCGAGCCGCGGAAGCACAGCTGAGCCGTCCCGTCAACATCCCCCATCGCCAGCCAGCCTCTAGCGGGATGAAAGAATGCTACTAGCCATGCAGGTTCATATCCAAACCATGACCGGTCCAATCGCGGAATAGCGGTGGCGGCCCGAACTTATCTCGGATTCGATGGAGAAGTAGTGGTGATGAGATACGCTCATGAAGAGTGATCTGGTTTTTCCAACCAATTTCAGTCCCACTCAAATCCAGTTCGACGTCTGAGCCAATTGAATGACATCTGATTGCAGAAGTAACTCCATGGACTTCGAGGCGGAGAGTTCTTCGAGCGTCTTTACACCAGATGACCGGGGTGGAACGGTTTGCCATCTGTGTTGAGCAACGACGAGGATATCTGGGCCCTTCCACTGAGGCGGAAGATGAGGCTCATGGAAGAAATGAAAATGAAAGTGGAGGGAGATAAGGGTGAGAAGTAAAGGTCAAAAGGGAGCAGTGCAGGCTGGTTTTGAAAGTGCAAACATTCACTCTAGAGGCAGTTGGAGTGACTCAAGGTATTGTGATGGTGAGTGTGAAGAGAATTTGTTGATAGATGACGGCTACTGACGATTTAGCACTGCGACAGTATTTTTCGTACTATATATTTGCCCTTCGTGCAAGGCTTGAGTCAGCTACAATCAATCGATGAGTAAAACTTGCCAAGCAAGCTCGACACGGGACGCTCTATCCGAGATTACTGATAGTTCTGTTTTGCTTGCGGAATCTCCCACAATTTCGAACAACTGTGGAAGTCGTTGCAATTCTATCTTTTCTTGTATTGGTTGTTCTGCAGGTGGCTCGCTGGAGACATTCTGGTCGGAAGAAACATGCCTAAACCTTCTCTTTCGCCAAAGGAAAAAGACGACGCCAACGGCAGCGAGGGACACGACTATCCCAATAACGAGCCCAATGCCAATGCCTGCACCCGAAGTAAGGCCATCCTTCTCCGGGTAGATAATGGTCTGGCCAGGTTGTAACGCAGAGCCGGTTGACGAAGCTTTGACAGGTGTGTTTGGATTCTTGTCAACCTGTTTTGCATCCGAGATGTACAGGCACTGGCCGCTCTCACAGCACTGTGTAACTGATGCACCATTTCCAGAGCAGTAACTTCCACCAAGGCAAGGGGTGACGAGAACATCGCTTAGTGGTAGATTGCCTTTGCCACAGGTCAGATGCATTCCAAATATTTCCATAATAGCACTTACCGTCTGTTGCTGGCTTTTCGCCGTCAAAGCCGGTTCCGTTTATGAAGAGCTTAATGCATCCCGGGTGCTGCCAGCTAGGATCTGTACAACTCTCCCGCTAATATTGATCATGGTTGGGGTTATAGCATAACCCATCTGGCCTGCAGAAGTCCGCCTCCAAAATGTCCTTTGCCATAGCCGATCACACAACACATAGAGTGCTCTGCAACATTATCACATGCAGCATAAGAATAGCCATCCGCGTAGCCTAATTGCTTATTGCGATTTTCACCCAATGGCGTATAGCATGTCTTGACTCTTGTATCTGGTAGAGCAACACTCCAAAGAATGGGAGGAAGAGAGCAAGGCCGTGATGTGGCATGATAGGAAGATGTCTGCATTCGTGGAAATACGAATCTTGAGAACGACCGGGCAAAAGTAGTGGTTGCCTGCGCTGCAGCTTGTGGCATACAGAGAAAGTTCAAGGGCAGGAAAGGCAAGGGCTCCAAGGACGGTGGTATATCTGTAAAAGAAAGACGCAAAGCCCACCGAGTCTGAAACGAGGTGCTCTAGAGCAGCAAAGACAGAAAAAACCTCCTATAACATTATTATATGGTGCCGTGTCTTCTTGGCACATAGCACTAAATGGTTGAAAGTCAAATGACAAGGTGCTCACCTTCTCCTAAGACATCCGGTTGATATTCTTATTGAGGACAATTGATTCAATGCTTCGAGAAAGTTGCACCTTGGCGCCAGAGTAGATACCATCACTTTCCCTAGAGAAGCGACATGATATTTGGGAGCAACCACACACCGTGATGGGCGTTTCTTTTCGTCCGGGAAGCTGAAAAACAGCACTGAATACTCCGATGCCTGCTAAGGCTTTGCTTCACCTTCAATCGTGTTGGTACGGTTCGAGAAACAAAGTCGATAGGACACGGCACCTGGTGGCTCTACCATAATTCTTTGAAGCCAAGGGCTAAAGATGGCAGGCTGCTTTCGAGTCACCAACTCTTGATAGCAGATTGCAAGTGTAAAAGCTATGGATGGAAACGAAGAAGCTAGTTCGGTCGTATTGGCTTGCATTGTGGACCTAGCTTGGGTTAGTCTAGATTGATAAAACTGTTAGGCTTGAAAGTGCATAGATATGGCCAGCCTAGATGAAGCCAAGTGAAGGAGGTGAACTATCGTAGGGACGCCGTATAGCGTCTTTTTGTCACCATTCACCATAAGATGTACGTGTCTAGACTTGTAGTGAGTAGCGGAAGAGATTTACGAGTAAAGCAATGGATGGAGGATGAGGAAGGACAAGTGCTGTTAGTGGCAGCCAGTTGCATGCTCAGCCAGATGCGGAAAGTCTGGCGAGGGGTGAATCTCCGCGTTATGTCATCTGCCAAGGCCGACGCGGCTAAAGGTCAATAATGGTCGAATCCAGTAACAACAAAACAAACGACGATACTACTCGTGCCATACCAGAGGACTTCAACTTCCAATCTCAACAGCAATACACCAAGATGGAGTTCTCAACCCTAGAAGCACGCCTTGCAACCTTCGAACCTCCTTCGAAACGATCAAAGCTAGGATGGCCTCACAAAACCCCCACCGCCGAAGACCTAGCGAAAGCAGGTTTCTACTACAAACCATTACCCACCAGCAATGATAACGCCATGTGCTACCTGTGCGATAGGTCACTCGATGGCTGGGAGGCCGATGATGATCCGATTCAAGAGCATGTGACACATTCTAGTGACTGCGGCTGGGCAATCCTGATGAGCCTTGGACAAGACACCACTACAGATGTAAATACAATGGAAGACCCTACAGGACAGCTGTATGTAGACGCTAGAAGAGCCACCTTTTCGATAGGTTGGCCCCATGAATCTAAGCGCGGATGGACCTGCAAGATAGAAAAGATGGTTGAGGCTGGCTGGCACTATGCACCAACGACCGAAAGCGATGACTTTGTGAGCTGTATCCACTGCAAGTTGTCGCTTGACGGCTGGGAGCCCAAAGACAATCCGTTCAACGAGCACTACCGCAGATCTCCCGACTGCCCTTTTTTCCATTTCGCAGGCACAACGGCACCCATAAAGCGCCCCCGAGCAAAGAAAGGTCGCGCATCCAAATCCTCCCGAGCATCAAAGGCCTCCACTAGATTATCGACTCAGTCTGTCAATGCAACAGTGCTTTCCGACGCTCCAAGCTTGAACAACATTCCAGATCTTGACGAGTCGATAGACACTAGCGGTGTCTCAATTCAATCCGTGATGTCGACTGCTTCTACAGCGACCACAAAAGGAAAGAGAAAAGCGACAGGAAAGCCAAAAGCGACGAAGGCGAAACGAACTAAAACAACCAGAGCCACGAAGGCCAAGAGACAACAAGCCGAGCTTGAAGAGACACAAGAGCCACAAGAGCAGACCATTCCAGAACAATCTCAATCAAAACAATCAGAAGAGAGGCCAGCTGCAGAGGTTGAGCTGGAACAAGCTATCACAATCCCACCGCAATCACTACCTAGCCCAGTTACCACTCCTCGTGTTGATGTAGAATATCCAAGCATGCCCCGAAGTCCAGGGATTGGCGATATTCCAACGCGACTCAGCCCGGTGGAGCCGCCTCCAGGGAAATCACCTACACCTGCCAGACTCGGAACACGGATATCGCCAACCAGGTCTGCAGCGACACCTCTAAGGACAAGCAGGTCGCGAATTGTAGTGAGCCCGTCGTCACCATCAGATATTGAAAATGCTCCACCAAGTTCACGACCAGCGTCTATTCGACCTCCCCCTCCACAAACGGTTCCAGTTGCGTTTTCTTCCCCAGGAGAGCCAACCACGACCTGGGAACCTCTTGATATTGAAATGTTATTAGAACCAAGCACCCCCCAACCAGCCGATTTATTCGCCCTTGGCGGTGGGACCTTGAGTGACAAAGAGACCAATATGACTGTGCAAGAATGGATAGAATTCGTTGCAGGTGAAGCGGAGCGAGGTCTCAGGAACGAAGCTGAGCGAGTGGTTGGTGTCTTTGAGCGTGAAGGGCAGAGAGCCATGGGCGTTTTGGAAGCAATTGTGTGCGTCTAAGCGTTAGGGGATTGGCGTTCACCAAAGAAATCTACACTGGATGGGGAATTTACGTATCAATTTTGCGTGGTGTCGGGTTTGCTCAGAGTAGGCCATGGATCCCAGGTTGGGCCTTACGCCAGAAGCCATGAGTTCGTTCAACTGGGCGGGTTGGGAAATGCACCGTACAGGAGTAACTGCACAGCCAAGAGTGTAGCTCTTGCACGCGGACATTGTCTTATCCTCGTGGTGTTAACAGTCACATCAGAAATGAAACTCGTGAACAACGCGAAATGCTTCTGGTCCATGATCCTGATCGCCGTATTCGGCTTTTCTGCCCTACTATCTCATCATTTGTATGTATTTCCACTTGATTAGTGCAAGACCGATATCTTGATCCGAAGCGGGCATGCAGCATGGCATAAAAGGCCTCGCCACCGTCATCGCACCTCCAAGTTGGGTATTCTTCTGAGACCGCTTCTGTGTCTCATCTCCATGAGGGACAAACATGGACCATGTGCATATCGAGTTGAGCGCCGCAGTGCACTGGACTGGACTACACCGCCAGAGCAGATGGAAAAGCTGCTCGCATGCGCATGCAAGGGCCGCTCAAACCGCAATGTCAGCGTCCAAAACATCCCGCTCTTCAATCAGCTGGTTTCTCGCCTTGGTGCTGGATCCCGTCAGCGCAGCATCGAGGCTGCGGTATGTCTCGAGTTCTTGGACCGTTTCTATTTGCACACAGGCACGAAATGATTAGCGGCCACGTCCTCAAGCACACTTTCGAAGGGGCTGTTTCCAGCTTTCTGGGCCGGGGAGGGCCAAAACTTACTGGTATCGACCGGACTCGTCGAGAAAATGGCCTTCTCCCGCTCGCCCAGACTGGGATAAATGCCCTCGTTGATCAACATCTCGGCAACGCTGCGGTTGCCCGCCTGGTTGACGTCTGTGCCCTGGGACTGCAGCTCGGCGCGCGCCTTTGCGAGGCACTGCTTGTAGTACTGCGAATGATTGATGTTGCAGACCGAGTCCCACTGCTCGGACTTGTGGATGGGGCAGAAATGGCGCGAGCACAGCAGGCACGTCTCGAGGTATTTCGTTGTCGGGCTGAAGTCGCCTGGGTTCTGCTCGTCGCACAGGTAGCAGGACTGCACGAGCGTGGGTTTCTTCGGGCGCTCTGTTACGGGGGAGGTGGAGGCTGGGGGCACGGGGGCTTGAGAGGATATCGCGGGCGTTGGTGCCGGGGCGGCCGCTGCGGCCGGTGCGTTTACCGTGATAGTTGGTGGTGGGGGGGCTCCGGCAGACATCTTTGCGGTGGTGTTGATAGTGGTGATGGTTGTCGTGGAGGTGGGGGAGGGGGATGTAGGAGAGTAGGAGGGGGCAGGGAGGTAGGCAGTGCGATGTGTTATGCAATCTCTGGCTACAGGGAAAAGAGGCGAGTTTGGCTGGCCGACCTCGAGATTAGGTCTTTGCTGAGGCTGCTGACAAGGGAGGGTATGGAGTCCGGACGATGGAGGGGAAAAGGTGGTGCTGTACGAGACGGAGTTCCTTTTAGTACTGTACCAGGCCGACGGTAAGCCTAAACAGGTTGCGGCAAGTGTGGTTTTGTGAATGCTTTTGGGCGGATTTTGGGCTCCTTGGTGAGACTAGGTAATGCCTGAATTGCAAGAGTAATTAATGAGCACGGAGCAGCAATATGAGTGCGAACAGCGATAAATATGTTTCAAGAACAGGGCTGACACTGGCCGCGCCCCCTCCCATATATGTATTATAGGTCTGCATGAACAAGGCCCGCGTTGAGCTCCGGCTAGTAGAGCTAGCACGTCAGGGCACACGGTTTGTATGGTACAACCCAGCAGCACAAGCCCAAACCCCATGTTCCCTTCCCGTCTATCTCAGCTTCAAGCTGGCACTAGAAGCGAAGCCCCTCCCTTCTACTGACTGGCCCTGCTACGAAGGTGGCTTGCCAAGTTGGAGGGACCAGGATGGCCAGGCGGCGAAAAAGTGACTGACGAGGTGGCCTTACAAGTGACCTATTCCCCAGAGAACGACGCTTTTGGAGGGTTCTGATCAGACCTGCTTGCGGCTGACTAGGACCAGTCGCCATGATCAAAGACCGCTCGGTGCCCGAGAACGGTTTGTCCTTCCTGGTTGGCTACATAACACTGGCGTACGGGCGTCTCTATCATATCAAGCACATCATAGTCCTGGCCTTGATATTACTGCTCTAAAGTTGGGATAGGGACATTTCGACTGGGCCCCAACCCCAAGAATGGTAGTCAATCATCCTGGTTACCTGGCTCCAGCAGTAGGGGTTTGATGGAGAGAGATACTCGGTATGGTTGATCTGCCTATCTGTTCTGACGCTGTCAGATTCACGAGTCCAGACAGACACAAGGTTTGAAACTTCAAAAAGTGGATGACGGAAAGTCGGGGGCATCAGTCACCGACATGCCGCCATCCAGGGCTTGTTTGAGCTTGACGTGCCACAGAAGCAGCCCAAAGAGGGCCGTTCCCCTGTCAATCCATCTGGATATGGGCCTTTCTGTGACGTCGATGGTCGTTGTGAACGATGCACCGGAACGCATATCTTGACGCCTTGATCCCTTTATCAGTAGAGATAAGGCATCATTTCGTCATAGCAATGGTGTGTTCAGGTCCTTCACTATTGAATCAGTCTATACCTGTGCCCCCCCCCGTCAAGAACTGAAGGTCCGAGGTGCCGCCTGGTGCAAGACACTTCACATGAAATCTTCGAGTTCCGGTCGCATGAATAGCAGACAAACACCCTGCAAGCAGATGAGAGCATGTTGCACTCAAACCTTGGTACCTCAATGCCTGCAATCAGCACACCCTCAAACTGGATCGCATACAGTTATAAACTCTGCGACAACACCTGCAAAAGCTGATTAGCAGATTATTGGACCAATAGACCACCACTAGATCCTACCAATCATGAACAGTCTTCCCGTGGAAGCGTCGTGAATAACGGTCGTTGTGAATGGGAGCACCTCTCCATCTCGGTCCTCAATGATTTTCGTCAATGAATACTCATACTTGTCCCTGGCCTCCCGGTTCAATCGCCTCACTCTCCAGACTGTCGCAGGCGGAATTGGCCCATGCACTGGGTCATCCAAACTTGCGACGCCAGCAAGTACTTTCGGCATTGCTGCTGCATAAAGATCGCCATTCGCATCTTCGGAAAGGTTGTCAATTGGGTAGTTAAGATCGATATAGTGAACTTTCGTGACCGAGCCACCCGCTCCAGGCTTGAAAACGGTTATTCCTCCCACCACGGCTCCAGGAACATAAACGAGGCCGTCGCTTCCAAGGAGAAGTCCATTCGGAAACTTGAAACCGCCTTCCAGCTTCCTGCAGGCGCCCTCTGCTGAACAATATGAGAGATCGCCAGTACCTAGAACAGGAGAAAGCTGGTGTTGCTACAAGATAAATGTGTGAGTCAACATCTTCGTACTAGCAGCATCAAGGAATTCGACAGGTCATACTCACCAAGCCAAGTTTATGAAGTCCGTGATCGTTTGTGAAAAAGAAGCCACCATCTTTCTGGACGGCGAGATTGTTAGGTGTTGCAATTTGAGGGTTGGCGAAGGTCTTGACATGTTTCATGGATTCTGCCCCGGGAGTAGTGGAGAAGACATCAATGGTCGAGTTTGCTCCGACGATTGCATTGTCAAGCACTTCTCCAGTGGCAGCATCGACAGATGGACGGTTATTGATCAGCCAAAGATTGATGTCTGAGCCATCCGCAGACGTGGTGCCTGTCATCCCCATGACGTTGATTGTCCCATCGCCAGCAATACCACCAAATCCTGGAGTTTTGAGGACACGGTACGTGAAACCTCCAGCAGTTGCGGGGTTATCGATGTTCATGGCAACAATGTGATCGTTCAGACCCCGTCCAGATGCGTTCAAACGGTGAACACTACATCATCAATCAGTATTGGCGGAAACTGTAGCTCACGAGTATGCATTGATCTAGGAAAGGACCAACTGCGAGGTAGATCTCTTGGTCTACGGGCATTCCAGGTACAAGCTTACTTTGGATTCCACTCTTTTCTAGACAACGCGTCCGAACAGGCGAGAAACAACGTCCTCGATTTCTCATCCAACCACATGTCCTCACAGGCCTGGACATTTTGATCTCCTGTGATTCTATGACATTTGTATGGAAAGGCCGAGACTGGAAGAATCACACGGCCCCATCCGAGGGTTGCGAAAAATAGATCTCGGAAGAAGAGCTGGTACGAAAGGGGGGCGAGCAACACAAGCAATGACACGATTGATAGCTTCGACGCCATCGAATCAAGAATGTTAGCGCACCAATGTATAGAAAAGAGGTAGTTCGATTCGAGGTTGTCTAACAAAGAAAGAACTAGAACGGCCTGGCGGGCGGTGCTCTGGCAGGTAGCACGAACCGCAAAATTATAACGGGTGCGATGGTCTATTCGCTTTAATATAGATGTTCATTGTTTACTCACACCACTGACCTCGTCCAAAACATACACTAACGCTTTCAGCAAGATCCTTGAATAAGAGTGCTAGGATGAACACTCGTATCGGCGTGCGGGTTCGTGAAAAATAAGTGGCAGGCATTGGTGGTTCCCAAGACCACTGGCCATGATGCAGTCCTTACTCAGCAGAAGGTGGCTACCATCAACTCGTAATTGGTTCCAGACTTGGATTTAGGGTACTTACCAGATCTGCAATTCGTCTTCGTCTTCGTCTCGTACGTACCTAGGCATCCGGTCATCACATGGAATCGTGATCGCCGACCTTTAACTCGCATTGATGAAGCAGTTGACCTCGGGCTGGAAGTAGGCGTGCACCAGGATGACCCCGCACTCACGAAAAGTTCCCCTCGTTTCCGTTCCGAGACACAACTGGGGCCTGTTATCCAGCATTGAGGACTGGGTGGTGCTTCTGTCTGTATAGCGCAATGGGTATGCCACTAATATGCCAGTAAGTCTAGCATGTGTGAGGCCAGGGTTCTTCGGAAGGGCGCAAGGCCACCACAAGATGACGCTGAACTCGGGGTTCAGCGAGTATGTTGCAAAAGCTCACAACACCCAAGGCATTCCATCCAGGCAAGGAAAACGTCCAGCAGCAACGGTCATCTTAATTTGGACTTGAAGCTATATGAAAAACTCCCTTTTGTATCGTGATATACATTATCAAAGTTACTGATGGAAGTAGCAAATATGCCACCTCATCTCAATTTAATTCTTATAGTCATCGCCCACTTCTTTTGCCATGAGGTCGAATAATGGCTTTGCGCTGAACCATCCGGCTCTGGGTGTGCCGACAGCCTTGTATGTGAAAGCAGCGTCCTCCTCATCGATCTTGATGGTGGCTTCGTTTCGACCGGCTGCCGCAGCATCGGCCATGAGCTGGGCGTGGCAGCACTTTTCCAGGCTCACGAACCAGAAGATAGCAGCCTCGATGGTCTGACCGACGGTCAAGAGACCGTGATTCTGTAGAAGGCAGGCCTTCTTGTTTCCGACAGCTTTGGCAATGTTTTCCCCTTCTTCCTTCGCGAGCACCACACCCTTAAATTGCCTATATACGGCAAGGTCGTTGTAGAAGGCACAGCTATCCTGGGTGATGATGTCGATTGGTCGACCCAAGGCGCAGAATGAGCGGCCGTAGATGCTGTGAGAATGGGCCGCACAGAGAACATCCGGACGCGCCTTGTGCACCGCAGCGTGGATCATGTAGGCGGCAGTGTTGAGTAGACGGTTAGGTCCACCATCAATGACTTTCCCTTCATGGTCGACAAGAATAAGGTCCGAGGCTTTGATCAAGGAGAATGCAAGGCCAAATGGATTCACCCAGAAGGTATGAGGGTCAACCGGATCCCGCATGGTAATATGGCCCGCGACACCTTCGTCGAATCCGTATTTCCCAAAGATGCGGAAGGCCAGTGCCAGGCGTTCCTTCAAGTACTGGCGCTCCTCGAGTTTATCGGCGAATTTAGGTGGCGAGGGAAAGAACTGCATCTTTGCTTCAGCGCCATGTTGGGTTAGATTGGGTTCGTTGGTGGCAGTGCCCGCGGGTTGTGAATCTGGTTTATCATATCCCGCCGAGGGCGTGGTAGTTTCTGTGTACGTTGCAGTAGGAGGCGCCATGGTGACTGACGTCTAAACGATGCTGAAGCCGTTTCGTAAATTTCCTCAGAGCTAAAAGAGGAGATGTGGAGAAGTGACAGATATAAGTCAGAGGAGCGAAACTTTAGATGTCTGGGATGAGGAATTGCGTGTGATATATGGAGAATGTCACTGGGCGTGGGGAAATGCGGTGGCAAATGGCGGTTGTGAACCCGTCTACATAATTAGATGGCCCTCGACGTGGTTTTTGCAAGGCCCTCTCTTTCGGGGTAGCATATGCCCCTCTCAAATCCAATCCGGCTATTGATGGTGTACAATTCGGAGTACTCAACTCTTCGTTGATTCGCACACCACTTCGACATCCCGTTCTGTGGGGAATTGATTGCGAGGAATTATTGGATTGTTTCCCATTGGCTGTAATCTCGGACAACATGCCGTGTTTACCGTTTGCCATAAGCCGGTGGATTTTGGAACAAGACAAGATTGGTGGATTCTTATCTAGAATGTGGAACCAACCGGGGAAGCGATGCGCTGTTGATATGGCCTCAATGAACTGGTACACAGCTCCTGCAAAATTCAGGACATGACTGGCATAGAGATCTTCGGAAAACAAAGAGCGATTCGAGATAGCTCGGATAGCGACGGCGTAGGCTACGCTTTCAGATCCTGTGTTTATCCGGCAGTTCATCCGTACATGTTGGTATTGATTGGTGTGTTATCATCGACAACCGAGGTCCTCCAGGGTCGGAAACTTGGACGGTATCCCGTAGAGCTAAGGGCTTTAGATCATAGGCCCATTAGCCCGATGAAGAACCGTATTCAGACTTCGAAAAGTAGAATAATTTCCACTTGGGTCAAGACACATTCCTATTGATCTTGATCGCCGAAGCCAACACCAATTGAACATCAGGAAGACATCATGTGAGGCATTGAACCCTTTTGACGATCGATCAGCCTTGCTAAGCGTGGGCAGGAAGACGAGATCGAGCAAATCGATTTGGTGTCATGGGTAGGTTTTGGTATCAACGCGTCCTTAGACATAGTCGCAGAGCTGCTTTGCTCGAGTTTCAAAGCCGAATCTGCACTTCAACAATACCAAGAAGACAGCATCCAAATTCCTCATATCAAATTAAGTGTTCCGGCTCGCAAAATAATGTTGGACTGGATTTCGAGAACGGCTCATACGACTTGATTCATGAAGGCCTCCTTTTCGCCAATTTGGTTAGCGTAGCCAAGGCCAGGGCGGGTATCAGCCTTGCTGTGATTGGTTGGCCATGTTCTCTGTTCCCTAGAAATTTTGGATCGAGAAAAGAAGTTGTCGGCCCTCTGGAAAGATTCACTTGCATCCGCGACTTGCTTCATCCTTCCTTCATCTTGCTTTTGCCCTGCTTTCACCATCACTGGAGCTGTTCCAGCTCGTCTTATCTGTCTCCCAACTGTGTTTTACCTTGACGAATACCTCAGATCGCCGCCAGAATGTATGCTTTGGCCCGGCAGGGGCGGCTTGCCTCCAAGGCTCTTAGATTGATCCCATCCTCATCCACTCTTTCATCCCTTCCGCGCCTCACTCCTCTTGTATCTCGACATGTTGCTCCGAGTCTCATTAGCAAGTCCAAATTCTCCTCCATCTCACCTTTGCGATATAACAACGCCTACGCCGAAGCAGACGATGCTGGACATGTACCGGCCGACGCCACGGATCTCGGAGCGGAAGACATTTCCCATACCAACCGCGAGTTCACAAAGTTCTCAGAGTTGGGTGAAGCTGGCGTCATTGACCCCGTCGTCATTGACACCCTTGTAAACAGAATGGGAATACATACCATGACAGAAGTACAGCGGATGACCATCAATGAGTGTCTGGACGGTACCGACGTTATCGCTCAAGCCAAAACCGGAACTGGCAAGACCTTGGCTTTTCTTATGCCGATTATTCAGCGCCTTTTGCGGGATCCTACAATCAAGTCTCGCAGTAGGAGACCGGAAATTGGTGATACACATGCGTTGATCATCTCCCCTACCCGCGAGCTGGCTGAGCAGATTGCTGCTGAAGCCAAGAAGATCACACACAACACTGGCATCCAGATACAAACTGCTGTGGGTGGTACACAAAAGTCATTTCATCTAAGAATGATGCAACAGCAGGGTTGTCATATTCTTGTTGGAACCCCCGGACGGGTCAAGGATTTGTTGTCTGATCCTTACAGCGGTGTCAATCTCAGTAACATCCAGACCTTTGTGTTGGACGAAGCCGATCGACTGCTTGATATTGGCTTTGGGCCAGATATTGAGGAAATCCAATCATACATGCCTAGACGCGAAGACAAAGACCGGCAAACACTGATGTTTTCGGCAACCATTCCCAGATCAGTCGTTGGCGTGGTGAAGACAACCATGAAGCCTGACTTCAAGTTTGTGCGCACGGTCGATCCTGAAGAGGCTGCAACACACGAATCCATCCCTCAAAAGGTGGTCTACTTACCTGGACTTCAAAATCAAATCCCCACCCTTGTTGAAATTGCTCAGAATGCCATCGAAGAGCACAAGCGAGAACCTGAGACTGCCATGCCATTCAAAGCCATTGTTTTCTATTCTTCCGTCGCTGAGGTTCATGTAGCATATGAAATCTTATCGAATATGCGGGACTCAACTCAGGCAAGAGGAGGACTGTTTTCTAACCATCCTCTCTCTCCTTGTCAAGTAATCGTCATGTCCTCTCAGCTGAGCCAACAAGAGCGCACACGGAACTCCGAAGCTTTCAGACGTGCCAAGAGTGCCATTCTCATCTCCTCCGATGTCACAGCTCGAGGGATGGATTTCCCCAACGTGTCGCATGTTATCCAGATGGGACTTCCCCGATCGGCGGAAGACTACGTACATCGCGTGGGCCGAACTGGGCGTGCAGGTAAATCTGGGACCGGCTACCTCATCCTACACCAAGAACAAAAATGGGAGCTTGATCGCATGCGGCGACGTATTCACATGAAGGACTTTGCCGAGGAGCAAATGCCCACCTCAACATTGGATATGACACAACCATCCCAGTTGGCGCCAGAGACTGCCCGAATCATGCAGATGGTTGAGAGCGGTGTCAGAGGTACAAACTATGCAACCAAAGCAAAGGCCTATCAGGTGCTTATTAGTTCCATGGTCGGAAGTGGAACTGGACAGTCAAAGCAATCAATTATTGACAGGGCCAACGACACCGCGAAATATGGCTGGGGTCTCCAAGAGATGCCTGCCATGTCGAGTCAATGGGCCCAAAAGAATGGGTTTATGGGGATTGAAGGTGTACGAGTGAGCGATTCGTTTGCTCAGCAAGGCTCATCACGCAATCGATTCGGCGGCGGCGGTCGCGATCGCGATCGCGGCTTCAATTCTCGTGATCCCTTCAGGGAGGGCAGCAGAGGAGGGAGAGATCCATTCGATCGAGGCTCTCGAGAATTCCGAGGTCCTCGTGGCGGTGGTAATGGTGGCGGCTTTGGGCGTGGTGGAGGCGATCGCTGGTAATCTATGCTGGATCTCCACTGAGCCTGTCAGATGGTCGTGACCTCCATCAAAAAATCAGAAGCGTCAAGTGGCCTCGCCCCAGAAACTACGTCAACCAGATCTTAGGTCGGACGACCTGTGATTGTTGTCCTGTGCCCCCATTCACAGATTCGTTGACGCGAAGAAACCACCAACCTCACGCAAAAGACGGCTTGGGCCATCCGCACCCACTGTCTGCCTCTTTCGCACACTTTTGTCCTATTCTCTCATGTACTTTTGCATTATATTTTTATTACACTCACCCTCCTCCAGCGTGGTTCGAAATTGCCGATATTGGTATTGTTCCCATGTATATATAGAAAAGGGAATGGACGGCGTATCGAAATTTATGGGGAAGAGAGAGAGAGACGACTAACCTATGTCGTGTCTTGTGTACATCTAGGATGATGTGAGACTATACTGACGACACTACGACCCCCACTTACTACTTACCTACTCATCAAAAATACCCTAGACTCCTCGGTTCGAGTTTTCTTCACTAGCTCTCGCTCTGTTCTCACATGTACGAAGATGGATTTCCTGCTCTGGACGCGGACGCATTTGACGGGTGTTGGAATGGGAGCGATGGCGATGCGATGTGGTGGTGTATTATCGAAACGAGATCAGGTAGTCACTAGCAAACCCGGAAAATAACCAGACCCCATTCAACTCTCATACACGTTTCTTTTCTCCAAGATAGGTGTATTGCTCTCATGTCCCTAATTACCTAGGAGTTGGCTACTATCTGGATGGTGTGAGTGCATGCACTAGCCTCCATCCTCAACTAACTCGCTACCTGGTCAATTAGACATACAGTGGAGTCTGCTCACTCATGTCCCTCTCATGTCTCAGCCACACCACGCGAACTATTTCTTTCCTTTTCTAGAAGCTCAGCCTAAGCATGCTGACTCCTCCAAGTCTCAACCTCCTTCTGATCGATCTCCCTGAGATCATTGACGTTGGCGACCTCGCCGGTGACCGCACCCTTGACCATCTCAATGCCCCGGCCGATCGCAGTGCCCTTGCTGACCGCATACGTAGCCGTGACGGCCTTGACGCGAATGACGCCGATGCGCGGGTCGTTCTCGCCGCCGTCGTGCACGCCGTCGCCCAGGTCGCCCAGCCAAGTCTTGAGCGCCGGGCTGTAGTACTTGGACACGGTGCTGCGGTCCGTCACCACGCTCGCGGTCCCGGATATCGACGCCCAGCTGCCGTCCGAGGCGAGGAAGGCCACGTTCACGTGCGCATCGGAATCGAGGTCCGATGTCTTGCCGGATTGCGTGTTCGTGTGGAAGAGGAGGTCCAGACCGCCGGATTCCTGGGTTGGGAGTAATTAGCACGGGTGATTGGTCCCAGTGCGGACGGCTGATGTATCTTTGACGTGTGCGTACCTGAGCAGCCAGTGCCATGGCTCGGGAGACTAGGAGGCCTGAGTCGGCGATGCGGGTGGTCATCATGCCGAATTTGGAGGCTTTGATGAATGCATTCAGGTCGTTGACCTTCTCTTCGAGCCCGGGCTCGTCTTTGGCCTTGGCCTTGTACCTGCGGGAGTTAATCTTCTTGTTAGCGACAAATTCGTGAGCAAGAAACCGGGATGAACGGCGTAAAGAGCTCGGGGAAGAGATTTTGTTTGTGCAAGCCTTTTGCGGCGTTGATGGCGACTCCGAGTCTTCATTCTTGTGATTCACTGTGTTTCCTTGATTTGGTCGACGGAGAGCCGTGTGTATGTGCGATGAAGGGGTGCTGTAGTGGGAAGGAGGACTCACGGATCTTGTGGTTGAGATGTCATCTTGTTAGGCTGGTGGTGATGAGTATGAGTATGGGTTTGAGTGCTCTGGATTTCTCGAGTCTGGAAAGTAGGCAGAAGAATTGTGGAGGCAGAAGGAGAAAAGTCAAGTGCAGATGTAAATAAGAATCAAGAAGCCAGAGGTCACGTCTACATATGTACCACGAGTGACGTAGATGGAATACCTAATCTATAGGCTGAGCACGCTTTGCATGAATATTTCACACAATGTGGGGATGACTTTGGCCTCGGAATCAAACAACATTTGCATTCTCCAACTTATGCACGATGAGATAGGATAATGGAGGGGTCGTGGACATGAAAATACATCACGTCAGGTACAGCGAAAATGTAATGCGTCATGGAATCACATTTGGCTGTGGGACAGATGATCTGAACAATCTGGACTGTTTTCCCCTCTGTTGTTTGTATATTCCTTGTCGATAGCTGAATTTGGGGTCCTTAGCGATGCATAGTTCTGAGGATCTGTTTGTGCTACTTGGACAACCTTTTACTTGTTTACCCTCCGAGAGAGGTGGTTGTTGGATTGACGAGGCTGGGCGTAGGACCAAGGCTGGTTGGAGGATGGGATTTCCAACCAATGTCGTCAACACCTGACTGATCGCACTAGTCCCAAAAAGGACTGAGACGATCGAAGCCTCCCAAGAGGTTCGCCTTCCTTGGACTCAACACCACTACATAGCTAGGTACATAGCAGTATGTGGAACTTAGGATCTGGCTGTCTGAAGAGATCATCCTTTGAATATTGCTGGATCCCCTAGGTGGCTTCCGCGTTGTGTTTATGGAAGCCAGGCTGTACAAGGCCCGGTGCCTCAGGCTATGCCTGTTGGTCGATAGGCGTATCGGTGTGGCGAACATGAGCTGCTGTTTCTGGAAGCGGGAGAGTTGCTTCCTTGAGCCTTTGAAGACCTTCATGACTGATGTCGAGTATGCCAAAAGTGCCTCTGGGAGCGCCATGGACAGATTACCTGTTCTTGTTCCATGTGTCAATATAGCGCAAGTCGACTCGTTCAGCACCCCTTTCGTAATCTCTGCGTATGTGGAACCATAGGGCCGTGAATCAGGTGATAATCCCTAAACGACCTTCCCATTCTTCTTCTTTCTTGATCCCAGTTTCTCCATTACCCTTTCTTCGTTTCTCATTCCGTTTTCGCCGTTTTTCTTCACGCTCAGCAGCATCAATTTCCTCTGCCTTTTTAATCCTGGCTTGAATGTCAACCTCGCCTAGCCTTCTGTCCTCCTCCTCCTGTGCTCTCTTGCGGGCCTTGAGCATCTCCAGTCTTTCTCTAACGTCCTTCAAAGTGGCCCTCTTGACCTCTCCGGATTGACCAGTGTTGATGAGATGTTGCTTGGAGTTTAGATGCTCGATATATTGCACATTGTCTTTGTAGGTGAGATCGCAAGCCTCACAATAGAAACCAGCACCACGGCCTCGTTTTCCGACACCTGCGCCAGCAGGAACCAGAGTACTCTTGCCTACCATGGAAGCAACATCCAATCTTGAGCCACGCGCAGAGGTGGAATCCAGAGAGGAGAAATCGACAGGCTTGTGCCATTTCTTGCCCTCTAGTTTTGCTTCATATCGGGCTTTTGCCTCTTCCCTTCGTTCTTCAGCCTCTTTCTTCCCCTTGGCCTCGTATTCTGCCTTGTCCCAGGTTCTCCGGAAGTCAGTATCGGAGGCAGGTGCCCCATAGGCAGATTTGCGATCTGCCATGATGGATTGGAGCGGAAGCAGTAACAGATCAACTGGATAGAATGTTGACAGGAAGCACGACTATCCCTTAGGCGATGAGAGACTGGCGCCAATCTGCCTGCGGTTTTAATTTGTTCCGTAGTCAGTGATGGCCGGGGTGCGGATAAACTATGGATGAATTGAGGCACGTGGGAGGCATTTCATTGGTGATGACTCCAATTTTGCATTGCTTGTGCGGGGTAAATATCATTTTTATCGATAACCAGAACCCTGCGCATTGTGCCCTGATTGACACCAGCATTTCATCTCAGCTTCTTCGAGTGCAGTCTTTGACAATGAGCAAGAAGACCTCGCCCTTTGACCTGGCTACTTGTGCCAGGCCAAATATCCTCAAATTGCAGCCATATAGATGCGCCCGAGAGTGAGTTATTACTCCCCTTCAACTCACCTCAACCCATACCAAGTCCTGACTCATATCTCACTTTCAGTGACTATAAGGACGACGGCACCAACATCCTCCTTGACGCCAATGAGAATGCCTATGGCCCTGGTCTGGCACTAGACACTCCTAATCCCCCTACCACGAACGCCCAGGTTGATTTTCTCGGTCTCAACCGGTACCCGGATCCTCACCAGTTCACGTTGAAAGAAGGATTCTGCAGATTGAGAAACACACATACCCACACCAGCAAGGACTTGAAACCAGAGAACTTGTTCTGCGGAGTCGGTTCAGATGAAGCCATCGATGCTCTTCTCCGATGCTTTTGCACTCCTGGCAAAGACAAGATTCTGACCTGTCCTCCAACCTATGGCATGTACACAGTTTCAGCAGAGGTCAATGACATTTCTATTGTTCAGGTCCCACTCAATCCAGATGATGGCTTCTCACTGCAACCAAATGCAATTGGTGAAAAACTTTCGTCCGACCCAACCATCAAAATGGTGTACATCTGCTCACCAGGCAATCCCACAGCGGCGCTGATCCGGAAGGAGGACATTCAACAAGTTCTCGAGCATCCTACCTGGAACGGTATCGTGGTCGTGGATGAAGCATATATTGATTTCTCTCCGGAGGGATCGAGTTTGGCAGAATGGGTACTGGAATGGCCTAATCTGGTGGTCATGCAAACTCTCAGCAAGGCCTTTGGACTGGCAGGCATTCGTCTGGGTGTAGCATTCAGTGCAACAGAAATTGCAGCTCTGCTCAACAACATCAAAGCGCCTTACAACATTTCTAGTCCCACAAGTGCTATTGCCACAGCAGCATTACAAGGGGAAAATCTGAAGGTGATGCAACGATACAAAGCGAAGATCGTGGAACAGCGAGAGCGACTTATAAAAGAACTCCCACTGATCCCGGGAATTGGTCGATTTCGGGGAGGAACCGCATCCAACTTTTTGCTGGTGGAAGTGCTAGATAAACCAGCTGAGGACGGAGGTCAGCCTGACAATGTGACAGCATTGCAAGTGTACGAAACCATGGCGGGGCAGCGGGGAGTGGTAGTCAGGTTCCGGGGCAAGGAATTGGGCTGCAAAGGGTGCCTTCGCATAACAGTGGGTACAGGCAAGGAGGTCGATCGATTTCTAGTGGAGGTGCAGTCGGTCCTGCAGCAGATCTTTGCCTGCGGGTCCGGGCGTGGTTTCCAGCAGACGGTCAATGGAATTGAGCAATCGGAGGAGAAGCGGGAGACAGAGGCGAACGGGGTGATCTCATGATGGTGGTGGATGATGCAGGTCGTGGATAGGACCGAAGCGGGCATCCCAGCGACAAGCAGCCAAGGCCCAAGATCCAAGGACCTGGTGGTGCTGCGGCCTGGACCGAGCATTGCAGTACTTACGAGTACTCTTACAACTGACACACTGTGACCGACCCATGTAGAAGAGCTATAACGACGGATGTCCTCCGTCCTTCGTAGGCAGCTACTGTTAGGAGCCGCAACTTTGGCGGCAGGGGTCCCAATTAGTGTTGAAGATTAGGCTTGACGGGCTTGGTAGGCTTTGCTTAGGCGGGGCTGCCGGCCCAACTTTAACTAAATAGCTAAAGGCTAGCCTATGTCCATCCTTAAGCCTACGAGTAAGACCTTCACTAACTTGCTCTGCCTAACTGCCTAAGTTAAGCAGGCTAGCCCAACCCGGTGACCGTGCCTCCATTCCCAATACCGACTTGTGTTTTTCAACCGACACAGCGATTTCCACGCTTCCACGCTTCCACCTCTCACAATCTGCCAACACATCATCTCATGGGCCTCTTCTATCCATTCATTCACTCACTCGCTGGCCCATTCACTCGCTCTCTACCATCCTCCCTCATCCACAACCTTCAATCCCTGCGTCGCCTCAGGAACCACAGACATAATCACCGAGTCTACTGTTTGCCTGCCCCCTCCAGGCCTTGCCTGTCCAATTACCCTGTGGACGAATGGCAATTAACCCACCCAACAGCCACTCTCCTTGCCTCGCTTGATAACATCATCAATCGCCTTGCACAGTACCACTAGTTGTACCTCTCCTCAATCCTTCTGTCGCAAGCTTGGTCCTCCCCTTCTCTTCTCCGTGGGTTGTACACCGGATCCCGATCACATATCATTCACTCTGCCATTATTCCAACTCCAACCGACAGGTACACTCCACCTGTTCCTCACCACTCCAATTTTCCAACCGAACTTTGGCTGCGAAATCATGTTGAATGAAACCAAGAGAAGGAGACTGTTGATCGTTATATCCCACCTCTAAGATCGCTCAGATCGCCTTTCTTCCAACATGGTCAAGGCGGATGTCAAGCGGGACTACTATGCGGACCTGGAATTGCCGCCAACTGCTGATTCTGAAGACATCAAGAGACAGTTCAGACTGCTGGGTAAGCCGGCTTCCTCCTCCTTTTTTGTGTCCTGACACTCACTAAAAATCCCTTAGCCAAACAGTATCATCCGGACCGCAATCCTGGCCATGAAGTCGAAGTTGTCCCCAAATTTCAGGCCGTTCAAGCTGCCCACGAAGTCTTGATTGATCCTGTGGAAAAGCAGAAATATGACCAGGGCAGGGCAAAGCTCGCTGCCAAGATGGGGCCTCCCTATGCGCAGACGGCCGATCCTTATTCTTTTGCCCGTTCTAACAACCACCCAAAGCCTACGACGGCTGCGCCGTCTTTCGGCTTCCCGCCCCCAAAGCCAAAGGAGAAGCGAACTCCATTTCCTCCTCCCAATCAGAAGCCTGCTTCATCGGGCGCTGACAAGTTCAATACCTGGACTCGTTCCGCGCCGAACAATACCTGGGACCGATCGAGGTTTGAAGCTGAGGCTGCTCGTGGCTTTTCTAGCATGAGACAACCACAGAATTCTCCTCAGATGCCACCTCGATCCACCCGCCAACATCCTACTGCACCCAAGCCACCCCCGCCTGCTGAGACTGCTCACGTCCCCAATGTTCCTCCTACCAGTTTCCCGGGCTTGTCAAGGACCCAGAGTGCTCGGAGGACCACAGGATACATGCCAGGTGCCCATGGAAATGTCGATGAACCCGCTGCTCCACGCACTTCAGCCTACGCACATGTCAGAGCGGATCGTACGTATCCGCCACAGTCTTCAAATATCCATGTATCTGAGCCTTTCAATATGCGATCTCCCCCAGTTTCACGAGCAAGACCGACTGTAAGTCCACTACGACACGCTCGTTCTTCAGATCAGGATATGCGATCCGAGCGTATCAACACCTCCCGCCCATCTGCCAAGTATGCGACCCCAGGTGGAGAGAGGACCGACATTCGTGACGATGGTCTACATCGGTCCGCAAGTGTTCGAAACTCCCCAGTAGAACCTCATTGGGAAGAACGGGGTCCTTTCGGTCAGCCCTCATCGCGATACGAACAGGTCCCTCGTCACCGTAGTGCGAGTCCCAAGGTGAGCTCGACAGGAATTCATGCTGATTATTCCTCGTCCTCGGGTGAAGACGAAGCGGTCCATATGAATAGAAGACCAAAGGCAACTCCAAAGAGTCGCCCCAAAGCACAGACAGGTCCCAGCTTTCGAGCTTTCGCCGATGATGATCCTGCTCTTACCGGCCAGTTTCCCAGTACTAATTATACCAAAATCATCGACGAATCCCAACACCATTATCCTCCTCCTGAGCCCAGGGAGCACACCCGGAAGCCTTGGACCGGTCTGGCGTCGCCCGATGTTGAGATTCCCAAGCCTGAATTTGGTGGACGTGGTGAAAATATGGATGGTCCCAAGTATGCTGCTGCTCCCCCTAATGAGTTTCCCCAATCTTGGTCGCAGCGTTTGGGTTTGAAAGAGTCGAGACGAGGGCAGTCTTTCAACGGTGTACCTTCTTGGGCGGTTCCTTCAAGTGTCTACCCTCAGAGGACACCTCCGCGAACTGAACCGCGAAAGAACGCTCGTCGTACAGTCTCCGATGCTCTGCACCGCTCTGCTCAAACCCCCTGCTCTGGCGCTCCTCCTCCCTTGGCTAGAATTTTCACTAATCCAAGTAGCAGTCACAGTGAAAAATCGACACACCATGCCCACGTTCCTTTTGTGGCATCCGAATGGCATGACAAGGTTACATCTGATGATTTTCTACCTAATCAATCTCAGCTGCGAAAGTCCCCTTCCAAGACTTCTCGACCTGCCAAACCGATCACTCGTGGCCGTGGGCTTTCAAGATCTGCTGATCGAGACGGGCAATCTTCATCTGAAAGTTCTGTCGGGCATGGAGTTCCTCCTATTGAAAGACGAACCCGGGATGTGCCACATACCACAAAAGCAGAAGCCTTTCAGCCAGGGAAACTCTCAGGCGATTGGGCCTCGAACCTCAAAGCCTCCAGCAGTCGAACAGAAGATCGAGCCGCGTCGCACCACAGAAACGATGACACGAGTTCGGCAAGCTCCAGGGAACCATATGTTGTGGTAGAGGAAGATGTTATGGACGTGGATGACAGCCCCGTGACAGGAAACGGTCTTCACCGCCGCGCTACTAATGGTATCAATCACTCTCTTCGAGATGCCTCTAGAAGATCAAGTAAACGACAATCCATGAATGGAGGTGTAGATCTGAGCGAATTCTCACAACATGCACCATTTACCACGAATTTAGGTGGACTGAAAGACATGGATGATATGGCTGCCAACCTCCCCTTTGAATCCCGGCCCGAGAATAAAGTCGACCTTGATCGAAACTCTTCCAATAACAAAACCTGCCGTCCACTAGCTCTACCTCGCCCACCAAAATGTGTGATTCCACCGGCTGAGGACCGCCTTTCAATGGAAAACTTCACTCAATACACCCAAAACATGGGTTTGTACATGCAGGACTGGAATAAATTTAATGCCAGGATGCTGGAGCACTTCCGTCGCCGTCAAGATATGGTGTGTGGCGACATGCTAGAAAATTGGATCAGAATGCGCTCGGATGGCCCCGATGCACACGGAGACGATGGAGAGGCTGGAGCGACCGCACGGCAAGGAGGTTATGCAGGTTATGCAACCTATATGCAATGGTTACAAGATGACGCCAAATGCCGCGAATGGTGGGATCACGCCAACGAACTGCACATGAAGTGCCTCGAGGATCTAGGTCGTATTAGGGAGAAGGCAAAGAAGTCTCTTACTCATTGATTGTGTAGCATTGCATGAGGGAGCTGAAGGATATGTGGCCTTCTTTTCCTCGATTTTCTTCGTGTACAACTAGCATTGATTTGCAAGCTCAGGATGGACTACTGGGTCGAGCGGCCTACTGAATGGGTTGGATCCGGGGTTTTCATCTTTTGAGCCAACAACGCGACACGACATGACACGACCCGACACGATTCGATACCGTCATCAAGCATCGTTAGGGGTTTTGGGAGCGATTGATTGATGGACTGTTTATTAACGATGGTGGATATTCGGCTGGATTGGATCACAATTCTGAACAGGGGAGGAGGTCATTCGATGATGTTCCTTATACAACTCGGTCCAGGGTCTATTGTCCGTCTTAAGAATTAGACGCGCCAGACCAAGACTGGCGTCAGCCAGCGTACAAGCACACGCGCATTACATACCAAACATATACACAATTTCCATGTGTACATCTCTGTCCCCCGGGAACCAAGGCGGTCCCAGAGAAGAGAGCACTAAGCTGAATTCAGAGATAATGAAAACAAGTCCTTTGGGATTGAATTGATTTCTAGTCTTACTATTTCCTTTCCGTTGCTTACTCCTCTCCAATCAGATTAGACCCCAATTAATGCTGATATATATGTATGTAGCAAGCATCGAGGGAGAGAATAGTGCAAAAACGTGGTCCGGATAGACTTTTTGAGCCGCCTACCGCGGCCTGACGGTGGCTTTAAGTTGTACGAGCACTAGCTATTCATACGGCTCTTGCCCCTGTACGCTCGGCCAACACGTACCCGTACATAGGTAGGCATATAGCTAGCCTCATTAATACACTCCCCTTAACGATACGAGTACATGGGTACGGTACCTACAGGCAAGTGTTTTCTTATGCAAGCCATGGAACGGCGCAAGATCCGATCCGGAGATGCCGTCCCCTCTCCCCACATATGTCATCCCATCCATCGCGCCTCCATGGAATGTAGCTAAGGGCTTTCGGCGAAATACTCGGTCCTTTGCTTAATTATTTGCTGCCTGCTCCTTTTGAGTTTTCCTTTGCCTTGACTCCAAAAGTCAACTCGGTCCGAGATTCGCGATACGAAATAGAATCTAACGCCGGTGGTCAGCTCACCTACAGTAGGTAGTCAGTATGGGCAGCGAGTGGGCAGTGCGTATTGAATGCTCGAGGACCCCGTGCTCCTAAGGCGATGGAAACTTAAATGCGCCTTCGCTCCCAGGTTTTCATTCTGTGGAATCGCAAATGTCGAGCTCGGTCTAGGGGAACGAAGAAAACACGCCTGTATTTTCGTATCCTCCTTCGCTGAGCAAGTTTATTCCATTTCGTGGGTTTGTTTATGAATGCTAGATAAGTAAGAAGTTTGCGCTTCTCGGATCTTCCTAAAGCGCCCTGTTGTTTCTGTCACAAAGGCACGTGAGAGTGGGGAGATGGGAAAGACGGCGAAGATGAGTACTATCGGCAACGAAACCCCTTCAACGGCGAATGCCCTGAGCACAGGTCCCGCATTGAAACAGCCGATCCAGCGGGCATGGTGGCGCGAGGCGTCAGTGTACCAGATCTACCCAGCTTCATTTAAAGACAGCACGGGGTCAGGTCGAGGCGACATCCCCGGCATCATCTCCAAGCTCGACTATATCGCAGAGCTGGGCGTCGATATCGTTTGGCTGTCACCGATCCTGAAATCTCCACAAGTTGACATGGGCTACGACATTTCAGACTACCGCGATATCGACCCCATTTATGGTACGATGGAGGACCATGATCAGATGATCAAGGGTCTGCATGATCGAGGCTTGAAATACGTCATGGACCTGGTGGTCAACCATACCAGCGACCAGCACGAGTGGTTCCGACAATCGAGAAGCTCGAAGGATAACCCGTTCCGCGACTGGTACTTTTGGCGGCCGGCTAGGTACGATGGCCAGGGAAAAAGAATTCCGCCGAATAATTGGGAGTCTGCGTTTTCCGGCTCCGCTTGGCAATGGGATGAGGGTACTCAGGAGTACTACCTCCATATTTTTGCGAAGGAGCAGCCTGATTTGAATTGGGAGAACCCCAAGGTCGTGGAAGCCGTGCATCAGATCATCCGCTTTTGGCTGGACAGGGGTGTAGATGGGTTCAGGATGGATGTGATAAATTTCATTTCGAAGGATCCTGCCTTACCGGACAACCGAATTTACAAGCCCGGGTTTTTGCAGATGGGCGTCGAGCATTTCGCGTGTGGACCAAGGCTGCATGAGTTTTTGCAGGGCATTGGCAAGATTTTGAAGGAGTATGATGCTTTCAGTGTGGGTGAGATGCCAGGTGTGACTGACACGAGGGAGATCCTGAATGGAGTAGGGCAGGATCGCGGAGAGTTGGCGATGGCTTTCCAGTTTGACATTGTCGATATGGATCACGAACGTCGGTCAAAGTGGTTACCGAAAAAATTTGATCCTCGTGAGTTGAAGCAGGTTGTCAACAAGTGGCAGAGGTTCATGCTCGATAATGCTGGCTGGAATGCTCTGTACATGGAGAACCATGATCAGGCAAGAACGATCAGCAGGTATTGCGATGAAAGTGAAGAGCACAGAATGAAGAGTTCGAAATTACTTGCCAGTCACCTGGGATTCCAGTCGGGCACGGTCTTCGTTTATCAAGGGCAAGAGCTCGCACAGGTCAATGTCCCCGAGGAATGGGGATTGGACGAATATCAAGATCTGGAAGTCATCAACCATTGGAAGACGGTGTTGGAAGAGTATCCTAACGACAAGGAGAAGCAGGCGGTATTCAAGAAGCAATATCGGCAGCTTGGGAGAGACAACGCAAGGACTCCCATGCAGTGGAAGCCCACCGCTCATGATTATGCAGGGTTCTCGCCTGAGCCGGCTTCCGCCGGTGGGAGCGACAAAGCTGCGTCGACGAAACCCTGGATGTCGATCCATCCCGATTATAAACGATGGAACGCGGAGTCGCTGGTCGCGGACAAGAGCTCTTCCTTCCACTATTGGCGCCGTGTGCTTCAGTTCAGGAAGGGACATAAAGACATCTTCGTATATGGAGATTTCAACATGCTGGACTTTGAGCATGAGCATGTCGTGGCGTATGTTCGAACGGCAGACGGTAAAGATGTGGGAGCGCTTTCGTCGAGATGCCTCGTTATCACGCATTTCGGAGGCCAGAACACTTGGTGGACGCTACCTGATAGTGTCTCGGATATTTTGTTTGACAACGAGGGATTGAGAGAACATGCCATTGTGCCTGATTTGAGGAACTACATCTCTGAAGGGAAGGACAACGAAGTGAGAAAGGGCGCAGACGGGAAGTGGGCCATTAAGCTGAGACCGTGGGAAGTCGTGATTGCACTTTCGCCCCGCCGAGTGGGAGCTTCGAGTCTTTGATCGAATGTGCCGCCAGGCAGACAGGCAATGACAGCGCGGAGTCGACACAGAGGCATAAGAAGCATGCGCCTGCGGCGGTGGCATTAAACGGAGTCCAATACCGGGTCGAGGCACTGAAAGTCTCTTCTTGAAGTAGGGTATGAATATTATAATCACTAGTGGATACTGTCATACTCAGCTACGCTATCACTCGACCTGTGGGATTTTCATCGTCGTCCTCATTCTCTTTGCCACTATGCTTTAGCTCAAACATTGTCTCCTCCCTTCGGAACGATCATATGCAAAGGCGAAATAGCTCAACTCTTGTCTGGGACTGAAGAAGTCTCGAGCTCGACTCCACGACGCTTCTCATCCAAGTCAGTGCTGTGGCTGATGGTTCCATCTAGGCCAAGATCAGTAGCCATGCTGAGTCCCTTGTCGGTGGCAGCGGCACCACCAATAAGCGCATTGTCTCCGTCAAAGTGCTTCGCAATTTCCTCGAGGGGAGTGTTGCGGGTTTCAACGTAGAAGAAGTAGACGACTGCGAGTTCGCATGCGAGCCAAACGCAGTAGAAGATATAGTACTTCCATTGGATTGCTAATGTCCTTGTTAGTCTCAACTCCGAGGATTGGCCACAGGGAGGGGTTTCCTTACAATCAAGAGCAATGGGGTTGACATATTGGTTGAAGAACAGCGCAATGTCGACCATCAAGAACATGACAGTGAGACCCTTGGCTCGAATGTTGTATGGGAGAATTTCGACGGTATAACCGACAAGCATGCCAGACCATGCAATGTTGTACCAAAAGTAGTAGATGTAGATCATTCTGAGAGATTTAGCAACTGACAGTTCCTAGAGCGAACATGAACATACCCAACAACAGCATTGGCAGCTGATTTGCTCCCTTCAATGGCGTATCTGGCCGAGCAGATTGTCCAAACGATGAAAGTGCAGAGCATACCAGTGGTGGAGATGAGGAAGAGCTTGCGACGCCCGACTTTGTCGACAAAGAAGCAGGCAGTGACGGCAGTGATCAGGTTGAAGATTTGTAGGACCTATCTTAGGGTTAGAATTATGCCCACCCCGACAATGGAAGACGTCGACTTACGCCGTTGATGAGATTCTGGGTCAAAGTATCCGTGTAACCAATTTCGTTCAAGATCTGAAGGAGGTTAGGCCATGTAAGAAAGACGGTGAGGGAAAATCTTACCTTGTTGATGTAGTAAGAAACCAGGCCATTGCCAGACCACTGTGAAAAAAGACCAGCGGAGAGGAGGATAATAAGTCTGTGGCGGTTGCCCTTGGTCTTGATAAGCTCGAGCCAGCCATTGCCTTCGGCCTCCCTTTCCAATCTGAGAGTGTCACGAATCTCAACGAACTCGGTTTGCACCATCTCATCATGCTCGTTGCCATTTGCATGGACCTTGGCCAAGATTGCAAGTCCTTTATCTTCCTTTCCGTGGGCAATGTACCATCTAGGTGACTCGGGGACAAACCAGATACACGCGATTTGAAGACAAGAAGGCACTGCCTGGGCGATGGTGGGAATTCTCCAAGACCAGTTGTTCTCGATATGATTTGTTCCATAGGTCAGCCAGGCTGCAACAATGGAACCGGCGTACCACGTGGTGTTGTAGATGGTGGTGAAGATGGCACGATGTTGGGGGTGGACCAGTTCCGTAATCAGCAGGGGCGATGCTCCATGAGCAATGGCAACGCCGAAACCGAGCAGGAATCGTGCTCCCAAGAACATGCCGAATCCGGCAGAGATGGACTGGAGGACCACACCGACCAGCATGATGATACAGCCGACAAGGATACCCATTCGACGACCGAGCAGATCGGCTGCATAAGGCACGAACGGAATGGCAGTGATAGAACCCACAGCCATGATTGCGTTCAGGATACCGATCTTGCTGCCTTTTGGATGATTGAAATGATCCTGCCAAGCGGGCAGAGTTTGAAGGCCGTTCATCATAGAACCGTCGTACCTAATTGAATTAGCGGATGCCGACCCTGGAGAGGTCGGTCGGGTACTTACCCATTGGTGGCACTGGTCAGGACGACAAACATCAAAATGATATATGTCCTTCTCAACGCGGGATCCTTATACCAGGTCACCGCTGGAAATTGGCGACCGCCAACTTCAAAGTAGGCTTTACCCATGCTGGATAAGATGTCGTTCACGGGCAAGAGACAGCTTTTGAGATAATAGGAACACAACTGTCCGAGAACAATGTTGATAGAAGCGAAACCGAGGAGGCAAGGGGGTTGCGAAGAGGCTTTATACAACGTGGTGTTCAAGGCACCGACGGCAACTACTCTGAATCCATGAACATTCACGCTGTCCGCATGCATTCGGTAGTAGCGTGCGGGAAGTCGACCTAGATCATGACAGGGGTATCAACAGCCAACAGCAAGAGTCCATCGAAGGACGATCAGAACACCAAGGATTCTGAGGAGGCTCGAAGCCTGTCCCAATGGAGACTACCATCCGAAGCGAAAAGCCTGGAGGTGTGTGCCAGGGTAAGTTGAACTAGTTCTGAGGTCCACTTTGCAGACACCCTTACCTCAGCCTGAAAGATCGAATTATCCATGGGAGTCGTACCACCGAAAGTCGGGGGAAGAGTCCAACTCGTGATCCTAGAGCCGTTGATCAGCCGTCAATTACTCTGGAGGGAAGATAAGCTCCAAACGGGCAGGGGAAGAGCAACAAGCGCATCGATGAGAGACATCTAGATTGCTTGGAGACGGCTCAATGCACTTCCAACGATGGAGGAGTAATCGAGTTGTCAGAATGTCTTATCATTGGCCCGGCCTCTCAAGACAATTGCCAGCCAGTCCTTCCATACGGAGACTGAAGCTGGAGAGAGAGAAATGTGGATGACTTTGTGGAATCTGGCAGCGACTTGGCCCCACATGCTACCAGGGTTCACGCCCGGTTTTATGACTAAACTCCAAAAGGGACGGCGGAGGCTGGCATTCGACGACAGGGGTTTCTAGAAGCATTGACTGTTCTGGTATTGATGAATTTATCCTATTTAGCCGGCACTCAATCCTGGGACGTCGGGCTCTCCTATGGCAAATCACATGGATGACTTTCTCCATACACCCGCACCTGCTCATACGCCTGCACACGAGCTCTACCGCCACAACCGCCACCGAAAAGGAGGACATGAATCAAGAAAGGACCTTGATATGGAGTCCGGGGCTTTTCGTCGTATAGTAGCACTGGCTATTTCAGCACGCCCACCATATGCTTAGCCTGAATGGCTTGATCTCAAGTCATTGGCCTGGCTCTTACTGCCAGAGAGGAGAACAGTACCGACAAGTATTCCGAGCAGCACGAAGCTGAGCTTCTCCTTCAAAGTCGTCGTTGCCGAGGCTTGCAAGGCTCGGTTTTGTGAGAGACCTTGATCCGAAGGCTTTCAATATAGCCTCTCTCTACTCCATGGTTGGAGGAGGGGACAAGGCATGAGCAAGCAAAAGCGAATCTCCCGAACCTCATCTCAAACACGATCGCAGAGTATACCAGAGTACTATGGTTTGCTCCCCCGAATCAGGAAGCCAGATATTGGGGTATACTCCCAACTACCCAGTTGAGCTTCCCATGTACAGGCCAGCCGGCTGATACATCTGATTAAATGTATGCGTCACCATTGAGCCGCAACACTGTCTCCGCAGAAGTGCCTCCATGGATCGACACCGTGCAATCTTGATCTACAACGAGAGTTCGACGGCATTTGCCTGCCACCGAAGTATATGTAGACGGGTGTCGAATGGTAGGTAGCTCACGGTAGCTTTGTTCGAGGTCGCTCCCTCTCGTTGTGCCACCTTTGAAATCTCATCTTCAGCTGCTTGTCATCATGCGGTGTCCCAAGAGCCTCCTGCTCGCCATTTGCGCGACTCTTGTCGCCTCGAATCCTGTGAAGAATGGGTGGCCAACGACAGCAAACTGGGCTACAACTCGAGGCTGGCCACATCAGTCTCCACCGGCGCAACAAACTGAATTATCGCAGACACCCCCGCCAGAGCCAGCTTCGTCGAGGCCTTCATCAGTTCCTGCACCGACCTGTCAAGGATATTTTGAACCCACTGCTCCACCTTACTTGAACGACCTGGCCCAAGCAGCAGGGAAGTTGTATTTCGGAAGTGCGACGGATCAGCCCGTAAGTGGCCAACAATCACGAGCTTCGTTCTCAATTACTGACCAGTAGTTATAGGGGACAGGTGAAGATGAAAACATTCTATACCAAACCATTCTCAACAATACTCACATATTCGGCCAAATCACACCTGCAAACTACATGAAATTCTGCGCCACAGAGCCTGAGCAAGGAGTATTCAATTTCACTGGTGGACAGGTGGCGGTTGACATTGCCAAAGACCGCGGGAAATACCTGCGGTGCTACAACCTCGTGTGGAACTCTCAGTTGAGCGACTGGGTCATCGATGGCACCTGGACAGCGGAGACGCTGACAGCAGTCATGGAAAACCACATAAAGACACTGATCACGCATTTCCAGGATCACTGCTATGCTTGGGACGTCATAAATGAGGCACTCTTTTGCAACGGGAGCTTTTCTCCTAGCATCTGGGTGAGCTTTTCCGGGAGAGGTCGGCGTGGTTCTCAATCAGGAATTTTAAGCTAATGAAAACTCAAGTATGATACCATTGGACCCAAGTACTTCATCCTTGCCTTCCAATTTGCCCAAGAAGCTGTCGAGGCAACTGGGAAGGACATCAAACGGTACTACAACGACTACGGCATTGGCGACACTGGTAACAAGACGCAAGCAGTGTATGGCCTGATTAAAGAATTGCAATCCCGGGAAATCCGTATCGACGGCATCGGGCCCGAATCTCATTTCATCGTTGGAGAGACACCGAGCCGTGAAGAGCAAGCTGCGGCCAAACAAGGCTACGTCTCCCTTGGGGTCGAAGTCGCCACCACGGAGCTTGACATACGGTTCGAGTTCGCGAATGCCACCAACGCGACCGGCTTCGCCATCCAGGCTCAAAACTACTACGACTCGGTGGCTAGTTGCATCGATGTCGACGGCTGCGTCGGAATCACTGTGTGGGACTTTGACGACCAGTATTCCTGGATCCCGTTGACGTTTGAGGGCCAAGGTGCTGCTACGCTGTACAATGGGGACTTTACGAGAAAGCCCGCTTATTACGCGGTCGGGGATGCTCTGCAGAGCACGCCTTGCTCTGTGCGTTCTGCATAGAGAGTCTTGGGACACGTGTAGATCGACATTCTATACCTCGTTCTTCCCATACCGTTTTTAGCTAGTTACCTCCACAAAGTCGTGCCAATTACGCTGTAACAGCTTCCCCGTGCGTCTGTCTATACCCATATAGCTATTCTTTGACTATACTCTCCAGGACGGGGTTCAACGACCAATGAAGAAGCGGAATACTGCTGCAAGCTTGGGTCTCGGAAAAGCCAGTACGAAACTGTATTCTTTGTGTGTGTGACTCTTGGAGCCCTGCAGATTTCAGGCCTCCCTCCGCGCCGCCGAATTCTCGCTACGAAGTCGCGCCGAACGCCTCTCGTTTGCGACCCATGTCCATACCCCCGCGTCATGCAATGTACTACATTGGCGCAAGACACGTCCAATCGTTTGCTGCTTCGGGTAAAACGGTACATTTGGAGCTTGTGCTCGCCACCGAAGATGTGCCGTCTCGTTCCTGAATGGTGGTGGAGTTTTGTGATGCCGTACTTGCTCAGTCAATGATCACCAGATCGACATCTAGTCTGAGAAGAGCAGGAGGATTTTCTTCGAAGAGCCACGCGAGGCTCGCTGTTTGGTAGTTTTGGTTCTAGTTGCGGAGTATGTTTAAGTCTATAGGGGTTATCCTTTTGTCAGACTCGCAAATCCTTTTGCTTGGAAGTGCTTGGAACGGGGCAGGGAACTGTAGCCACAGTGCTTGGTTTGCGATCATATCTCCAAAGAGCCTCGAGCAATGGTTCAGGATAACTGCTAAATAGCTGTGAATCCATACAAGACAAAAGTAGTATCTGCCGAACCGCCAACGGCGTCACAAGATTGCCTTTTTGTTTTGCCGTACAATTCATCCCTGGGGTCTGTACCGAACTTGAACCAAGCGAAAAACAGGTCTGCAGGCTGATTGGCCAACTTACCGTCAAGTTACCATATTCACTTTTCCGGCTGTTGAGTAGTAGCAGATCTGAATTTAGATCACGATCTAGACAACTAGTTCAAGTTTGTATTTGTGTTGCGGATCTCCGATCGTGGTCGAGAAAACCTGTCTAAGAAGAAAATGGCGCAAGCTTTTCTGGCAAGCCTTGTGACAAGCCAGCCCCACAGGATATGCATGCTAGATCGAGTGTTGTATGACCCTTGCATCCAGGGACAAGAAATATGGGGTAAATGAATTCAGCCTGATATTGAAGTCCCCAGAACCGTCAGGCGGATAGACCAGGATGGTCGAAATTGCCCGACACTCACGCGACTTCATGTCATGCTTCTATGGTGAAGATAATTCTACCGAGTCCCGGGAGACACATAGTGATCAGCGGATACAACACCTTGGTATGACACGTGTCGTCGTCAATTCAATGCCCAATACTTCGTAGTCAAACCTGTTCGTTGCCTCGACAATAGTGCCCTCTGGTGGGCCGAAGAAAACGCGCACGGCTTCGTCCAGTTCAGATATCACTATTGCAACAAGCTCAAAATGTAATGTCCGAACGTGATGATATTCAGCTCTATTGCCTTTGTCACGGGAAAAAGGTAGAAGCCATGTTTGGACACGTCGGGGACAATATCCAAACATCAGACTGGAGGACGGTGGTGGCGAGAATGACCGGTCCACCTTGGATCAGCTCAAGGTCTAGATCGTCAGCGACTAAGGTGAGGGCTATTCAGAGCATTCCGCTATTGGCAATTCTGAATCTCTGTATCAACTTCTGATACAGGGCCTAGGACTCGAGACGAGGAACTGTTTATGGATAATGCCCTTTGCAGCCTAATGAAAACCTCTTGCCTCGGGTAGATCCTAGTAATGAGGCAGGAAACATTGTATGTCCGAGGACGGAACGAGATCTAGAGGAGGATCGCCCCAGTAGATATAGTTTGAAGACTACCAAAGTAAGTACTAAGAGACCAGTGCCACGAGGTTTGGGGAAAGGTGTTTGGAGTCTTATGTGATTCGCACCAATGCACCTTGAGGCTCTGGTCGCCGGTCTAATTACCAACCAAGCGCTTAGCTGAGAAACCGACGGCCTCACATGGGAAGAACTTCCCCTTCATGAAGAGAACGCTCAACCACCCCAGTTGTGTCTTCCGGACCAATCGGGTTCTGGCTTGCTCAGATGCGAGATCGCTTGGCTCGAGCCTGGGAGCATTGGTTCATGCCGTAAGAACCCAGGTGTCGGCTCGATCTCGCCGCGGTGGTGTGTCCAAAGCGCCGTCAATGGTTACCAGCTCTGCCACAGGGTTCGCTTTGATAATTGATTTGAGTGAATGTTGGCGCATCCCACTGGTGTGTAGAAGCATACAACGGAGGTAATATCATGGAGGACACGTAGTTGCGTGCTTGCGCTTAGTATGTCCAGCCTGCAGCATTCTATCATTAAAGCGTTCGCAGATGCCTTCATCGTATTTACATGGGTCCTTTGACTGAAGGCGCAGCGGGAGGAGCAAACCCTCGGTGTTCTACATATAGCCGGAAGGCAAATCGAAAAGCAGTGCTCTTCCGTTTCTAGCTGTCTCTTCACGTAGCAGAGTTCCATCCAGGAGATGAAGACCGCATCGTCCGTTCGTCCTTTGGCAGGGGGCGATAATGGTCAGTCACGTGAATGAGAAAGTAGCCATGTGCAGGCTGCCTATGGACATCACCAAAGTTCCGGGATGGCGAGCTGGCAAATCTAGTACTGGCTCATTGTCGCAGCAGCAGAATGGCACCTCGGAAGGCAAACAGGGACTCACGCATTCTAAAGAGGAACAGCGAGTGAGAATAAGGCTAATATAAGTGAAGAAGCGCGGGGATCATGTCAACCTGAGGGCATTGTTTAAGCAACATCAAGCAACAATCTCGACTTTTAAACGAGGCGCGCGGCAAGGATGAGAAAAGAGGCGTCTGACGGAAATATGGACTGAATGTGCGGCGTTGCTGATGTGACTCGGTTCATAGGTGAACACCAACAGGTCACAAGAAAGGCTTGTCAGACGGATTTCCATAAAGTCTGCAACGTCGATCTGTTCGATGAGGGGAAATCGGACTGGGAGGTGTGTGTCACACACTGTGTCCACTCCTGAAGCTTTGTCCTCCGGATGCCAGAAAGCCCTTGATGGCAAGAAGCAGCAAGCTGGTGTACGAGGGTGATTATACAGGAGCACAATTAGGCTAAAACCAAAGATGAGAAATTGATCCAGCCTCGCTGCCCTCAAGCTCCGGACAAGTGGTTATGATCATGCAGAATCTCGACGGCACTTGAAAGGGATCGACAAATTCAGATCCGATATTCCACCAATCTATGACGATCATCTATCCACCAACAGGGTTCTCCAGACACACACAAGCCTGTCTGCATAACCTGGGTCCTTTGTACATCGACATATTCTTCCGAGTCGAACGGCTCTCATTCCGCAATCGTGCGTTGTATGCTCCCGGACAGTGCCTGAAAGCAAACTGCCTCAATGCAGGAAGAGAGTCATTGGTTTTCGCTTTTAGGGAAAGGGCTCCATGAAAATGTGTCCCTCCTGAGAACTCAAGGAAGCTTCCTAGATGTGTGTGTGATGATGGTAAGGGCGTTTCCATAAATTTGATTTGACATCCAAGCTTTAGCTGTTGCAGTTTCACCTTGAATGTCCTCCCAATCCCCGCAGCATCATGTCTTTGCTTCGAGCCTTGCTGTCCCTGGCTGCCTTGTCGTTCGTTGCTCTTGGACATCCATACCAATCGCCTCGTGGTGCCTCTCCAACCGTATGCAATGCCGCGACCTCGTTAACATTGCTCTATCAAAATAATCTGAATGCTTCAGACGATGACAATCACGTCGGGGCGATCGTTCTGGATCCCATGACAGCGGAGAGCGGAGCGGCAGCATGTGGATCGCTAAGTGAAGCGCTCATTACGCAGACAATCCTTCAAAATTACAGTTCAGATTTATCCTCTGCGCTGGCTTATGTCGCATACTCATCAACGCCGAATCAGGCTTACCACGTCGCCGGTGGCGTCTTGCAACTTTCTCCTGGCGGTGGTTTTTCATTAACAGATTGCCCAGAAGGTGGCACCGAACTCCCTGTGCTTTGCACTCAATCGAACAACGACAGTCAACCGCCAAACTCTACTGCCTCTAATCTGAACGGAGTTTCTGTCGCCGCGGCTGGCAATATCTACGGCGGGTATCGCAACAAGAAGTCCTTCCGGTTTCTTGGTATCAGGTATGCAGAACCGCCACAGCGTTTTGAGTATTCCCGGCTGTACTCTGGTTCTGGAGAGATGGTCAACGCGACCGGCTATGGAGAGCAATGCGCGCAAGGCAGCGGTGGCAGTGAAGATTGTCTCTTTCTCAACATCCAGACACCCCATATCCCAAAAGCCGGCTCAACGATAAGCTTACGACCAGTCTTGTTCTGGGTCCATGGTGGAGGTTTCACTGGAGGTACAGGTTCTGACCCGTTGAGTGATGGCGGGAACCTTGCGTCCAGGGAGGACATTGTGGTTGTCACCATCAATTACCGCCTCTCAACTCTGGGTTTTCTAGCCATTCCTGGGACCGATATCAAGGGCAACTTTGGTATCGCCGACCAAATTGTTGCATTGCAGTGGACGGTACGTAATATTGCTAGTTTCGGCGGAGATCCCAGCAAGATCACGATTATGGGCGAAAGTGCCGGAGCAGGTTCAGTTCGCACCTTGCTGGGGAGTCCACCTGCAATAGGCCTGTTCCAAGGAGCTGTTGCAATGTCAAACCTGGGAGGTGGCCAGACCCTTGGTCTGGACAGCGACTATGGGACGACGTACTCTTCATACTGCACGATCAACGAGTCGTATACTCTTGCTGGGCCCCGGATATTCAATGCTTCTAATTGTACAATGGGCAGTTTGAACGACAAAATCACATGCCTAAAACAATTCAATGCCACCGAGTTGGTATCACTCGAGACGGTGGCCCGATATGTGGTCCAGGACGGTGTCATTGTGAACACCCCGCAGCTCAACGTGTTCAATCAGAACGGCAGCTCGGCACATGTTCCTATCATGTTCGGCGTCACTGAAAACGACGGGGCGTCTTTCTCCACGCTTTCAGCAACCCCTGTACAGAATCTCACGGAAGGCATCATGACTGGTCTGGGCATCAATGAATCATACGCCGAAGCAATCATTGCATCCGGGTTGTTTACTTTTCATTCCACTGGAAATTTGACTTTGGATGCTTTCAATGTCTCCCAGCGCGTTGCTACTGACAAGACATTCCGGTGCATCGACCAAGCGACTGTCTACGCGGGTGCAGCAACAGGGGCATTCCCAGCCGCGTATTACTATCAATTCCAGCGCACAATCAACGGATACAATCCTAACGACGTCCCGGATGCCCCTGTCACACCCGGCTTTCCATACGGAAATCCGAACCTCCCGTATTTCAAGCTTCACGGGGCAGATATGGACTGGGCCTTCGGCAACTTCTACAAGCCGCTCCGTGATGCCAACGATCTCTACTCTGTACAATTGGTCAGCGGGTATTTTGCCGAATTCGTGAAAACCGGACAGCCAAACCCGAATGTGGAGTACCTGAAAGTGAGAGGCTACGGAACGACGTTGAAGGGTGTGCAGCAGGCAGGCAGGTGGGAGAAGGTCGCAAGCAAAGAGGGACCGATTATGTTCCTGGACTATCCGGCTAACTCGGGCGTGTTTGTGGATGTCCAGCAGTGTAGTTGGTTGAACTATAGCATTGGATACTATCTTGGGAAATGATGAGGCTGCAGTGGGGAGTCAGACCAATGGCTCTGTGTTGGATAAGTGTTGCAGAGAATCCATACATTGGCGATGGATGGTTAGAGGACAAGGCGATGGCGGGATGCTTTACGGTGTAAGTAGATCCTTTGGTACGGACGAAACTATCCGAAGCACGATACCAATCGCAGTTTCCCAATGCATGTTGATAGTGCCAGGTAGAACAGGCTAATGCTGTAACCAATGGTGGACATATCAGCCGTAGAGGATGGAAAGGACAACCGAGAAAGTCTCCTCAATGTGGATGATTTTGCAGACCGACGATGACCGATGCATTTTAGCCGGAATCCCTATCAATTCTATCGAGACTACATAGTTCCAAAGACTCCATTTCTCCGAGAAACGACTACCTCAATACAGTTCCCCGTTCAGCTGCTCAGATGTCGTCTCTGGGGGGACATAGTCGAATGATGCGAGGCCGAGCATGAAACAAGCTGATGGCCAGAACCGTAATACGTACATCTTCCTGATTTAGTATGGTTTCTAGGTCATCCAAACCAGTTTTTTCGGGGTATTCTTTCTGACGGTCGAGATTTCAGAATACGCGAAATTTCGCATCGGACGAGTCTCGTCATCTTGTCAACAGGAATCACGGTCGAGCAAAGGTCGGTCCTGGTCACATCGAAGATCCAGGCCAAACAGCAGGAGAAGAGCAGACGACCCTCACACCATCACATTATACCTCACCAATTGAACACTTCTTCAGATTAACGCTTGAGAGGTGAACGGAAAGGGAGAATATGTGGGGGGAAACACACCAGAGACCGGAAGTTTATCGAAATGACCGAGACGAGGGCGGATGTGCTCCCTGATAAAACCTGGCGACTGTGAACGCCAAACCAGATGGCTTGAGATGTGCAAGGACAGCAGGATGTCGCGCTCAAGACTCAGCATAAGCCAAGCTATGTTGTCTGTTCATCTAAGCCGCAGCTATCCTCGTCGTTAGGGTGGCAATTAGTAGCGTTGATGATTCATCAGAGCTGGATAAGATCACATTAAGCTACTGCTGCTGTACCTCACAGGAGCGGTTTTGCTCGACAAGATGCTTTCATACATCAACAAAACTCGGTGTACTCCGTACGGATTCTGATGATGCTTCGGTCAGCATGTTGGATCTTGGGAGTCCGTGGTGGAACGAGTGAGTGGTTCAACAACCTGGATTTGGCGCCAGCCCCGGTGCCCACACGATGCTGAGTTCGGTGGTCGTGCCAACATCAACTCAGCGATCGAGTGGTCGATCAGATGACAAGGAAGTGACCAGTCAATCACTCTGACACTGCCCCGTAGAGCATGCTCGCTCGCCGGCGTGCGGCAGGTTGGAATTGGAAATTGTCATTCTCGCAGGCCAATGCCTAAAATGGGCGGTCAAAAGCGAAAATCGCGGTCGGCAGTTTTAAGTCATGGGTATGCAGCATTAGGGGCCTGGTCACCAAGAGGCAGCCGAATCATGATCCTTACAAGGGGATTGTCACATGTGAGAAATTGATTTCAATGCAGGGAGCAAAAGAGATGCTTGCAAGAGGCTGCCATGAACCTGTCTGCAAAGAAGGGTACGTGGTCCTATTTCTAGGACCAAGGTCGCCGAGGACGGAAATGAGATCCCTTTGATTCACATCTTGAGCACATCGAGCAGATGTGCCTGCTCAGGGAATAGTGGTACGAGGGAGTGAAGCTCGGACGAGCCATAACGGGCTCTTCTAGGTAATGAGAGTTCAACTAACAGACTCAACTAGCCAGAGGGAGAGACCCCCAAGGCCCGAGGGCAGTGATGAGTTAGGGGAGTTAGTTAGGCGACGGGTAAGCCTGAGGGGCCCAGCGGCCCGGCGGCCCAGTCGAAATGATGCCTAGGCCTGCTAGGCCTCCTTGTTCCAAGGGACTGCTTGCCGGCGGCTCATGCCGGGGACGTGACTGGACTGGGACTCTGACTGGACTGGACCTATGCAAAACCATCGAGTTTTGGTCCCCCGGCTCATCGATCAGACGAGCCCCGCCTTCTCCCTTCTCCACACTTTGTCCAGGTTTGACGCAAGAAAGTAAAGATCCGGTGGATATGGGTCTGGCCACTCTGGTGAGAGGCACGGCACTTGTTTACGAGGCTTGGTCCCGAGCACTCTTGTGTGATAGTAACGGAGTCAGTCCTGCTTGGAATCAAGATGTAATTTCCTTGCGAGTTGTTGGTATGGGTAATGAGGGCGAGTATGAGAGCCCGGTAGTGCTCATAGTAATGATATTGATATTATTCCCATAGCCTCCACTGACAGTGTGTGGAGGGCGGGCTTGGCGGTCGTTCTTCGAGTGCTCCGTACTCCGTACTCCGTGCCTGGGTAGTTCCTTCCTCACGTCCTGACTCCTCACGCTACCTCGACGCGTGCTTTCCCGCATTTGCTCATCACTCGTTATGCACCTGCCCAAGAGAGGAAAGCGACCAGAAAGTAGGCATGAACGCAAGACAGCAAGAAGGGCAAGGACTTAGAAGGTGACCTGATCTGATCTGATCTGATGGCGTCTGATTCGGGCTTTTTGCCACGGCCTGCCTCTCCGTGCGCCTCTCCGTGTCTCCCTCTGCAACATCTCTCTCCCTCCCTCTCGCCCTCTCTCGTCCTCGATCGTGCTCTCGCGCCCTCTCGCGCCCCCTTCACCACTTCCCTGGGGCCCCTCCTCCTCCACCCCTGTCCTCTGTAAGATCAAATCCCTAATCCCGTATTTTCTGTCCGACTGGAGCCCTGCAGCTTGGAGCCCCATTGAATCGTTGACTCGCTGTGGCCCTGCTGGATCAAGCCGTCTCGGACAAACTTCCACCATCGGCTGACCGAGCACCTCTATACTCGTCCAGTAGCTAGCTGACGTCCACACTTCAGACTCCAGTGCCGACCCCGCCTCTTTCTACCCTGCTCCATTATCGCTCCTGCACCTCTACACCCTACTCGTTGACACCCGCTCCTGCACCCCATCGAGCCATGTGTTGCGCTTTCCTCCATTTCTACTGGGGGTCCCCGTCCCTCGGCCTGTGGTCTTTTCATCCCCAAATGACCACAAATTTTTGTCCACCACCAGATCCTCCACATTACTGCGAATTGCCTGACTGGTCAGTGGTCGCTGCTCAGTCCTCACAGTCTTCACAGGCCCAATCCCGAGTTGTAGCATCTGGCACCACCGCTCGCTTCCACTCTCTTTGCGGCTGCCCTTGCCCTGGCGAACAACAGTCCAGCCCCGAGCCCGGTCTCGAAAAGTGCTCTGGTGAACTCGACTTCCTCCATCGCTGCAGTGCTACAGCACACTTTCTACCACTTCCGGAACACTTCCCAGTCTCCAAGCGGATGATACGAGAGATGTGTTGAGCCGCAACTTAAACCTCCAGCATCGTTTTACACACGTCGACATGCTGTCTCGAATTCCGCCCCAGACTCAGACTCACACCTCCTACCCCGAATACCATGACTACTCCCAGCGGCCCGAACTAATCACCTCGGTGCCTCAGCACCTATCCTCCACCACCCAGCAGGACCGTCAGACTTTCAAGACCGAGAACCTGCAGGCCGGCCGTAAAAGAACAGACTCCGAGGTGGATGGCGATGAATCCGGCGAAGCAGCGGCCGTCCGCCGCCGCATAAGTCGAGCCTGCGACCAATGCAACCAACTTCGAACAAAGTGCGATGGGAAACAACCTTGCGCCCACTGTACTGATAACGCCCTCGCTTGCGAGTATGCACGGGCCCATAAGAAACGAGGTCGTGCGCCCAAGAAGGAGATGGACCAGGTGGACCAGATGGACGATCCTCCTTTCTCGAATCCCAGCATGAACCATAGTACGCAACCTAATGGAATGCCGCAGCTGGGACACAGAAAGTACTCGAATACCACATATGCTGGCCAAGACCATCTAGCCGATGGCCATGCTCTACCATCAAACAACACTCCACCGTCTGCCACCTTCGACCCGAATCACCAGACGGCCTTTTTCGCCGGCTTCGATCACTCCTCCGGCTTGAACATGCCTGCTTCGGGCCAGATGCACGAGATAGACCAGTCACTCGTACCTCAGATGAACCAAGCTCGAGCCCTTGATTTCTCAGTCCCAAATCCAGCCTACTCTACTCAAGGACTCGACCAGATGCATGTCCAGGGTGTCAACACGGGTTTTGGCTTCCCTCTCGGAGATGACTATTCGGTAGCATTCATGGGCAAAGCTCCCATGGTTGAATCCCCGGATTGGCTATCTCTCACATCCCCTTTGTTTGTCACCGAACCTCTTCCTAACCAACCGAGGATTACAGACACATTGAGATATCCTGTGCTTCGACCTCTCCTGCCCCATATTGAGTCCATCATTCCCCAAAGCCTGGCCTGTGATCTACTGGAACAGTACTTTACTAGCACCACCTCAGCATATCTGAGACCTGCCAATCCATATGTGCTGGGCTACATTTTCCGCAAAAAATCGATCCTCCATCCCACAGACCCTCGCCCATGCACACCTGCTTTGCTGGCAAGTATGCTTTGGACAGCTGCACAAACGAGTGATGCAGCCTTCTTGACTGCACACCTTGACGCGCGTGGACGTATCTGTCAAAGGCTGCTGGAGTTGACGATAAATATGTTGAAGCCACTCATTCATAGCCACCCAAACACCAGTGCTGCTACCCCCAACCCTAATTACCCTCAGATGATATCTAGCGACGCTGGTTTGGGAGCTTTGGTAGTCCCAACACATTCTCCTGGAAGCGCAATCGACCGGTCACAGATTGACAACCTGGCTACATATATTCACTTAGCGACCGTCGTCTCCGCCAGTGAGCGTAAAGCGGCAAGCTTGCGGTGGTGGAATGCGGCCTGGTCTTTGGCTCGCGAGACTCGCCTCGGTCGTGAGCTTCCCTTGAACCCTACCGAACAGGATGGAGAGGACACGGGCAAGATTTCAGGAGACAACCAGTCAAGCGAGGGTCGGAAGAATTCCGTGGACGAAAACCGCCGGAAGGCTGTGGGGTATGTCTCCGAAGAGGAGCGGGAAGAGCGACGCAGAACGTGGTGGCTTCTCTATATGCAAGACCGTCACCTGGCGCTCTGCTATAATCGACCAATGTTCTTCCTCAACAAAGAGTGTGAGGGTCTACTGCAACCATTGGATGATGATTTATTTCAAGCCGGCAAGTTCGAGCGAGCCTCTGATTTGAATTATCGTCGTCGCGGGTTGAACATCGAATGCACATCGCATAGCGTTTTTGGCTATTTCTTACCTCTGATGGTGATACTGGGAGAGATTCTAGATCTCAATCATGCAAGGAATCGACCGCGATTTGGCCCCAGATCACAGCAGCCCAAGAGCTGGGATGATGCTACGGACGAGATTACGCAACAGCTGGAAATGTACGGCCAAAGTCTGAAGGACTTTGAGGCATCCAGTGGGCACGTGTCAGACACCAGCCACAACGATGTCGTCACACCGTCAGTGGTCTCTGCAGGTACCAATGATTCACACAGCGCTTCGGAACTGGCATTGCAGACCAAAACAGTGGTTGCGTACGGCACGCATATTATGCATGTGCTCCATATCTTGTTGACGGGAAAATGGGACCCGATCGCCCTGCTCGACGACAATGATCTGTGGATATCATCGCAGTCATTTGTCACCGCTACGGGCCACGCCGTGAGTGCTGCTGAAGCCGTGGCTGAGATTATCGAAGACGATCCGGATCTGAGCTTCATGCCCTTCTTCTTCGGGGTGTATCTCCTTCAGGGCAGTTTCCTCCTCCTGCTATTTGCAGACAAATTGCAAGGCGATGTCAGCCCGGACGTGGTCAAGGCTTGTGAGACAATTGTTCGAGCACACGAAGCATGTGTAGCAACTCTCGACACTCAATATCAGGTACTCTCTTTGGGCCCTCCCGCGTTGTGATACGGTTGTGCTGACAAATGAACAGCGAAACTTCCGAAAAGTGATGCGATCAGCGCTTCAGCAGGTTCGTGGCAGAATACCAGAGGATGTGGCCGAACAGCAACATTGGCGGCGTGAGGTCCTGGCCCTGTACCGATGGACAGGCGATGGGACAGGTCTTGCTCTTTGAACAACGCGATAACAGGGCGGACTTTCTCGTTCTCCGACGACCGAAATTGAATCAACGGCAATGAAACAGGGACAAGGGTCCTGACGATGCTAACCGCTACTTAGCCTAGTGGCGTGATAGCAACCACCATTCTCTCTGTGAGGTTCCAGTACCTGGGACGGTAGACGAAGGATGGACTGCTTGTTGTGGCCAATCGCATATCAATCGATCTCTCTAGTGCAGCCACTGGGAGGGCTTATCAGCAACCAAGAACTGTTCAGTCATGAGAGCACGGAGGTTGGCTCTTTGCATACCACCCGAGGGCACATGTCAATTTTGCCAGGTTGTGTCATCAACGAGATATGACGATGAGATGGAATCGCATTGCTTGTCTCACAATATCACACACCTCTTTTGCGGGGATGACAGCTGGGAATGGTAAGTCGGGGCTTTGAGGGAATTTGATCCAGTCCCATAGAGGGCAATAATGCCTGCAATCAAAGTTGCAGCTGCACGACATTACAGTCTTCTGGACCTTGAGATTCAGAGCCGCTACTGGACGGAGACATGACGAATACTTGAGATTTATGAATGATGAAAAAGGGTGTCACTCTCGCAAACCAGGAAGCGATTGGGTAGAAATCTCCGTTCTTGAGACGCGAGCGGATCATACCTGGTCGTGCTCGTCTCGAATTGGTTGTGCCAACAGTTGTTTGTTGTTGAGGTCGTGTTTGTCAGATTGTCGGGACAAGGGGCATAGCAAAGGCGAGATTGTTCTTGAAGCCAAGTGGATTGACGTAGTGAAAGTAGCCCAGAGCCTGGAACGCGTTCACGCCATGGCGAAACGGTCGTATCAAATATGGACTGTACTCGTACGGAGGAGTACACGACACCCACAAATTGAGTGGGCATGATGGGGAATGTAGAACCAGGGTGTTTTGATTGGGACAACTCTATTCTCCAGAGAACAAGCAATATACGAGGCATTCGGAGTGGTCATGCCTCGAGTTGTGAACTTGTCGTCGTCAGCCAGCAACTAGGATTGTTTGCCAGCAAGGGGGTTGATTACATTGGTTAAATTGGGCGCTGACGCATACACACGGCTATTGGCTATTGTCCGAAGGGAGTAATAGACTCCTTCCGTGGTACCATAGCGGAGGAAGAATCGCACCTACTATAATTCGTGTGAGTCTGAAGCCAAGGCGGACAGAAGTAGGTACTCGATACTTGGGCTCACTAAGAAAATCAAGTGCGTGAATGGGTTTCCGGTACGTCGTGCTTCGCAGTCCATAATTAGCCTGAAACAAACACCACTTAGTGGAAGAGTATTTGCAGTTTCTTCAAAAGGCCAGATACCCCGCCGTCCATACAACCATCGCTCCATGGTCCGTTCCATAGACGTTTCAAGCTGGATTGAAGTGAATGTGCGCTTCTGGACTGGACAAACATGATGGCTGGTGGTCCGAGGATGGATGGAGCGTGGCAGGTCGGGATTTGGGAGGCGCCAGGGTTGCGTTCGCTAAGAGGGATGGAACTGGGGGATCGTAGGCAGCAGGCGCCTTATGGGATGGTGCTGGTGCTGGTGTTGGTGTTGGTGCTGGTGCTGGGCGGTAGTGGTGCAGCTGGCGCGTACCGCGTACCGCGTACCGCCTACAGCCTACTCGGTACGTGCTGGATAGTCTCTACTCGTATGATAACAGTCTCTACCCGTCCACCGGCCTCGAGTTGACAGTTGGCAGTCTAGCATTTGTGGCATGCTAGCATGCGACGCAGAATAGTTCTGTGCGGATAAAGTCTCTTCTCGCCCCTCCAGGGGTCATCCCAATTGGTGTCTGCTTGCCTATCTCGCCCATGCCAAGCACTACAGACTCAGACATTTGGCGTCAACCCCAAGCAAAACCCAGCCAACGACAACACGCATGACCATTGTCCGGAGATCCACACCGTGAGCGAGCCGGAGCCCCAACCTCAACCTCACCCTCGCTTTTCTTGGGATCAGACCTCAAGATAGTGGCATGTACCTCGCACTCCGGTCGATAGAGATGCTGGTGGAGGAAAAGCTATCAAATAATGAAGGGCATGGCTTAGGTCCACTGAGATGCCAGGGGACGGTCTGTACAGCAGCTGTTGGGAGCGACTGCCATTGTTATGGCGGCCGCAGACCGTGGCGTTGGAGTCACCTGTTGGGCTGTTGCCCGGGATGGAGGCACCTAAATGCACGCCACATGGGATGTTACTCAGGGGCGTCGGTCGAGGCTGTTCTAGTTAAGTGCTTAGGGCGTTCCCGGGCGTTCCAAACTCTGGAACGATGGCGATTAAGCGTGGGTTCACACTCTCCCAGTCTCTAACCTCGATCCCCGAGCCATCCCATCCCATCCCCATCTTGGGTTGCCGTAGGTATGGGCGATAACCGGCACCCGTCGCCTCTAACACTCTCTCTCCCGCGACATTTCCCCCTCCTCCTCTCCCATCCCCTCCTCTTCTTCTCGACGTCTTTCAGTTTTCTTGACTTCTCATTCTTGTAACACATGCCCTCGCTATCCAATACATCACAGCAATTACCATCGCACACATATCTCTCTCGTTAATTGGCTCTTTTCAACTTGTATCGCCAGCGGCGCAGGCACACTGCTCACTTCTCGCCCCAACTGCAACAACAAGACCTCTCGCTTTTCCCCATTCGTCAATCACTCGCATTCTTATTCCGGAGGCTTGTCTTTCGTTTCGCTGCGGAATCACGACCAAACCTGCCTGGAATCCTGGATATCTAGAAACGAGAATCCGGCCTGACGATCAAACCCAGCAGATCGTCAATTGAATACAGCAACACACCCACAATCCCTTCGCCTTAACGACACCACCGAAATCCACTTGCAAATCATTGTCAGCCATTCGTTTTCTGTCTCGCCTCGCCCCCCTCTCTTCACATCAGATCTCGGGCATTGCGATACCCAGAGAGCGTACTAACAACGGATCCATACCATACTGACGGTAGCATGAATCAACCTGCCATACTATTCTTGTCCCAGTTCGGCCCGTGTTAGTCGGCTGCCTGCTGTCACGCCTAACTAAGCCTCACAGCGCCTGAAAAACAACGCTGTGAGCAACAGTTTCCCACGCCTTTGAATATTATCCGATATCTGGGACGCCTCAATCGCGGCGCATCTATTCGTCCATCCACCAAGTATCAAGCAGGGACAGGCTGCACGGGGCTCCGTACCACGCATCTTTTCCCCAAGACCAACCACTTCCAACCGCAAAAGACCTTGCAATCGGGTCATTCTGTCGTGCACAGACTACGAGCCTACAGGTATCCATTCTGACGGCTCCATCCTGCTACCGAAACCGTGCGCCCAGCCATTACCATTCCCGGTGTCCAGCCTGCCAGCCATGGCTCATGCACGTCCTACCACAGGTAAGTTTTTTTTGTCTCACTTCGGCTTTGCTGGCGCCCTACCAGAAACATTATTCCCACTGTCTGACCACCCCTCCCTGCCCACCCTACCCATATTCCCCAGCCTCTCCTCAACCTGGCTCTCCCAGGAATGCTGTCAGACGAGACGACATTACCCGTCGATACCCACTCAGCTGCAGATCTCACCACTGCAGACATCTGATTGACGGCCAACGCCATGACGCCGCTCGTCACCATCACCATCGACCCTCGACCCACAAACTCACTCCATTGCAACTTGCATTTTCTTCTCAACCAAGCATTCATGACTATTTGGCATTTTCGGTACTTTCTCTCTAAGCATTTACTAACCTGATTCCTTTCTTTTTCCTATCCAGATGAGTTCGACATGGCCAAGTTGCAGAAGAGTCTGAAGCAACGCCAGCGAAATTCCATTCGGAACAAGAACCATGTCGCCAAGTTGACCCCCGCTGAGATTCGATCTTTGAACAACAGTGCTGTTGCTTCTATAACAAGCAGCCATACCAGTTCGAAAGGCACCTCTCCATCTACCTCACGGCGCGGTACCACAACCACCCCTCCAGCAAGTCCCGATGATGCTAATCCCTTGGATCGCCGCACTGACTCCATTTCACGCAATTCCGTCTCGAGAAAGTCAATAACCAATGTACCAACGCCTCCTCTCACACCTAATGATCGCCGTCATTCATCATCGTCAAGTATTCGCAGCCACCATCAGAGTCATGGTCATGGTCATGCCCATACCCATGGCCAAGGTAAAGGCCACATGCACCATCATGGCCACGCAAATGGGATCATCTACGCACCCCGCCCTCGGGGACATGTTCAACCTACATTCATGGCTTCAAACGGAATCTCTTCGCGACCTTCCAGTTCCGGTTCGTCGACGTATCGAGGACTGCCTACCTATCGAGGTCCAGAAGTCACCCGAACTGGTTCTATGAACATGCTCCAACGTCCATCACCCACGATTGTCGCAAACCCCTTGTCGAATTTTTCACGACCGAGGCAAAGCATGTTTAGCTCCTCACCAGAGAGATGTCGTCATGATTCTCAAGATATGCCATATGAGCGTACCCACAGCTTTCAGAACAGCCGCGCCAATTCCCTACCGAATGTCAGCGCACCATCATCTAGGCCTGCAAGCCCGCCTAGAGTCAGCGACTCACCTGTATCCATGTTGGCCGATGACACAGAGAGATTCCCAGCCTTTGATCCCGATGATCCACACAATCAACCGAAGGATCTCTCCGAGGATGAAGAAATCCAAGCTCGGGACATGACGCAACAGTTCAACACTGACCAGTCTTCAAATCAACCGGTAGAACGGCCAGCCTCGCCAGTTTCCAAGCCTCGTGAAGTCGAGCAGGCAGAATCGCCAAAGAAAGACAAGGGTAAAAAATTCACGATTGGGACTGCTTTTTTTGGAGGAGATAAATCTTCATTGGGTGAGAACACGGACAAGGCTGCTGCCAAGCTCAAGAAAACAAGGAGACGGACTTTGTCTTTCACCAAGGGCGGTGAAGTTGAGCAAACTCCTTCAAATCCAGACGAAGGACACGCTGTGGATGGAGGCGCATTGGAGAATGATGACTACTCTACGCACCCTGCTATTCGACCTCTATCTCTCGAAATCCCGTCCGAAGATAAAGGCAAAGGAAAAGAAATCCAATCTGCGCCTGTCTACGCGAGATGTGCTTGTTGCGGCAAGATCAAGAAACCTTCAGCCTTTACCAATGAGCTTAGCCCCGTGCTGGAGAACGAGAATCTGAGAACTAATTTCAGCTTTGAAATCGACAGAACATCTGATTCGACGGGGAGGAGAAGCTCCGACGCGAGTCGCGGAAAATTCATACCCATCATCCCCATGGCGGTGAGCGCGACCGAAACCCGTCAGGCCTCGATCGAGCCCTACACGAACCCAACCATGAGTAGTCCTGTCAAGAACAGCCCCAAGAACAACAATCAAAAGTCATCCTTGACAACGAGCCCTCGCAACCGCCAGAAGTATCTCGATCCGCCGAAATTCGTCCGATTCGCCAGCCTACATGGCCGCCGGAATACGGACCCCACTATCATCGCCGAGGAGGATGAATACAGTGATTCCCAGCAGAGTCGACCACTCATGAATGGTTTTATGGAAGGGGCCGAGAGCTATCGTGACGAGGATAACGGCGGTGGTGTGGATTATAGCCACGCGTTTTCCCGCCAGGCGCTATTCATCGCCAGCACACAGCCAGTGATTGACGGGCCGGTCACACATCGGACTGCAGCAGAGGACAAATCGAAAAACAACCACAATAACCTCGCAATTGCACCACACAGATCATCCCATGACACATCGTCGGAGACAGAGGTATTCTTCACCCCGAATCGAGGCACGAGTCCTGCGGTCGTCGACGCTACTGCAGCGGCTCAAACCCAGCAGCCGCAGCCGCAGCCGCAGCTACCAGCACAGAAACAGCGATTAGCGCAAGAGGATTCATTCAGCGCCCTACCAGAGACTAATTTAGCCATCGATTTCAAGGACTTCGTCATCCCCCCGCCCACGCCTACACCTGGTTCGGACGCGCTGTTGACTGGCGCTGGGAAAGAGCAGCAGAAGTGTGCGCCGCAGGCGCAGGTTGTGGCTGTTTGAATAGTTGAATAGGCCAGCGAGCGCCTTGCGAGAGAAGGCGGCTGGCCTGGTATGAAAGGACCTGGTGGTGATATGGGAAGCGTGCGGACTGCGACTATGGTGACATAAAATGAATCTCGAACGCGGAGACAAGAAAGACATGGGTTTTTGGGGGTGTTTTTTCCAAAGTATGCTTGGGGATTGGGGCGTTGCTTTTCTTTTGGCGGGGGGATCCTGGCATTTCTAGCATCTGGCGCATCGCGCCGTGCTGTGTCTTTGTTTCGTGCATTGCATTGCATCGTCGAGCATTGTGTATTGCATCAACCGATTATCTTAAATAACTCTACATACAGGATATATGGGACATGATGGGGGGGGAGGGGTGGAAGGGGTGTGTGTGGCCGTCTCTGTGGCCGGAGCGATCGATGGTGCGCAGGTCGTTGTGACTGGTGACTATATTGGTACTATACCTAGGAGTGTAGGGTGGCTCTAGACGGCCCAGCGCCTGTCTATCTGACTGACTGAAATAATGAAATATAAATCTATAAATCTATAAATCTATAAATCTATACATCTATACATCTATACATCTACAAATCTACAAATAGATTATCATGTCTCTATGAACGACCACAAGGAAAAGTTGTTAACTTCTTGCTTCCTCTTTAAGCTTGTACAATTTTTTTTCTCCTCTAGACAAACGTTGTATCTACACTACGACGAAGCTGTATAATACTAAAAAGTCGTGGCTTGCGTATCGTGTAGTGAGGTATAATATACTATTAGTACTTCTTACCCCCTTATGTGCTTGTTTATATAGTACATAAAATATCTTCTGTTTCTGCTTCTGCCGCATGGTTTTAGATTCCCCGGGGAGTCTTGGTATAATATCAGGCTCAGGCTTCTTGGCCCCCTCCCCCCCCACCTGGAGGGAGGGAGGAAGGCAGGCAAAAGGGTTGGCTTTATGGACACCGTCGTTCCTTCACTCGCCGACTACACAGTTAGCGCGTGCGTGCGATGTCGGATTTTTGTTTTCTTCGTGCAACATATATCCATGGCGGGCGTGTCGCTGCGCTGGGCCCGGGCCGGCAGGACGGAGAGCTCCATGGTTTATGCGCTACCGAGGAAATATTTACATGTGGCGTGGCTTCGCGAAGTCACTGTCTGAATCGGCTTCGACGGGGTCCGGTATATTCGGCGGTGGTCTTGAGTGTTGTTGCCGGTAACTTGCGTTCGGCTGGTTCATCTGATTTGGTCGATAAGGGTAGAGCTGAAGCGGTGGTGCTGGTGGTGCTGGTGGTGCCGGTGGTTGGGGGAAGAGGGGCAGGTATCTCGCACTGTGCTGATACGGATGCGGCTGTTGCTGATGATTCGGTGAGCCTGGCATAACTGCGGGCTGGATGCTGTAGATTCCACCATATTGGTCCTGCACCATGTGTGCTTGGCCGTGTCCGTACGCCCCGCTGTAGCCGTGAGAGTCTGCATATCCTCCTCCTATTCCGGGGACGTGGGAGTGGGAGTGGCTATACTGATGCATTTGTGTCTGCAACTGCGATTGCATCTGCAGCGCCGAGTACATTGAAGGGCTTCCGGGTGACATGGTCGTTGCCGCTGAGAGGTTTTTCGCATCCTGTCCCCCGGCAGCGGTTTCTACCGCTCCAGCTGTGACGGGGTGCTCAGAGGCGACGACATCTTTGTCAGACTTCTTCCTTCGCCGAAGGCAAGCCATACAGCCTGCCAAGATGCTTAGCATGAGCAGTAGAGCACCAACGCAAACTCCAGCCCCGACGCCAGCTTTGGCACCTGTGCTCAGGCCAGAATGCTCTTCCTCGACGTCATCAGCACAGGGAAGTCCTAGTGCAAATACCCTATCATTTTACTTTGTCAGCGTCATAGGAACATGAGTTTCCTTGTTTGGTGGATCATTGCACAACTTCCACATGACACAGAAGGGGAAGGATGCGCCTAGGCGTTCTTGTCTTCCTAGCTGTATCTGTCGACGATGCAGGAACGCGAATTGGAAAGCAAAACCAAAAAAAGGAAGAAGCTGGCACACACCCGAAAATGAGGAGACTTACTGATTGACAATGACGCTGATAGTCGGTGTACTGGTCGTTGATGCAGCTGACAGAGATGCCGCAACGACAGAAGTTATCGAAGCGAGTACGGATGCATCAGGAGAGTAGACTGTCGTTGTGAGGACGCTGAAACATGGCAGATTGCCGATGATCTGTTGCCCGTAGCGAGAAAAGCCGATGGGACTAAGTAGAACTCTATCAGCATCGATGCCAGGCATCTGTCGGATACAGGCGCGAATTCCGAGCTTACATACCAGCATACCTGATCAAGATCCGCCATATCACTATGCTAAAGTTAGTAGAGGTATCCAGGATCGGTCGCGGGCCGCTGGATCGTTACCTCGGACAAACGGTCAATGGGTATTTGCTCAATATTGAGACCACACCAGTTGGAGTCGGGCTTGTCGTTGAACCTGTGGTGGATGTAGTGGAACTTGTTCCTCCTGCTGCGGGTTCCGCCGAATTCAAAGAAGGGCAGCAGTCAGGGCGGTCGTCCGAGCAGCCTATTAATGGAACTTCGATCGATCCGCCATCGGGAAAGGTGAGGATGGTGAACTGGGGAAGTGCACAACTAGCATATTTGATGAGCGCGCGCAAGTAGTGGTTTATTCCCGTTTTCCAACTTACGTTCCTACCAGTAACCCCTGACCGGTGAATTCTCTTGTCTGAATCGCTGGCAGACCTCTAGTTGTGCTGGTTGCGAATGTCGTTGTGGCGGTACTGTAGACGCTACCAGCGGTGGAAGAGTCATGGGAAAGACTGCTTGAACCCACATCGGTATCTGAGGCAGAGGCAGTACTGGCGGCCTCGGATGTGATTGTGGACGAGTCGGAGATCGTTAGAGTATAAGTGTTTCCATTTGAATCGGTGCTGTATGATATTGTCTGAGACACAGTTTGAGCAAATGCTATCGAGCGGAAAAGCAACAGGCTGAAGGCCAAAATCGGGTTCGGTTTCATAGCGGACGAGGCTGTGGGGCGGTACTCCCTAGACTGTCATTGTCTCGCCTCAATCGAATCTGAAGGAAGATGAGAACGTTCTGGAACGAGAACGAGACATCGGTAGCAAAAACCCAGGATGACAGTAGCAGAGGATGGAGGGCGATTTTGCCAGTCCAGGAGCTTTCATATATCTATAACCGACTGCACATTAGTGGATATTAGGATTATTGTCGTCAAGTTGCATGTGGAAGGAATGAACGACTATCTCTGCGGGCGTATGTTGGGGCGAAGACACTTGACTGGGCATTCTATTTGCAAATCCCAGGTCTCCGGACATCCATTTGGCTGGATATACGAGCTTGGGTGCATGCTGCCGTGATGGGTGTTGTCAAGTGCCACAAAGCCCAGTTCGTAACTCTGGAATGGCCATTCTGGCTTGCAAGAAAACCGCCCATGATTGGTCCATTGAAGTCTAGCCCCCATTTACACGAGGAAACCCGCAGACTCTTCCACAACACAGGTTGTAGCAAGGGCTTGACTTGTCTTGATTTGATGGAGGCACCGGGCTGTTCGAGATTGTACCCATCCGAATCCCAGTGCATGACAGCCGGCTTCTGAAATGGACAGTGCTGGTGCACAAGGAAACGCCTCACAGTGCAAGCTTTTTGGGGCCTCACAGAGCATGGATAAGCAAAAGTTTGTTGTCCTTGCTGACGACGTACGCCAGGTAGCGACTTACTTTGCTCGTATCTAGGTGATTCACCACCACTCAGTGATCGAACTGAGGATGGCCTGTACGAGGTATCTCGTAGGTGACAGGCAGTTAGAGCTTGTCAAAATCAAATGAGAGAGCGTGGACCACGATCAGAAATGCTTGACCTCCTCCACAGACTGCCACCCTTGGCATTTCAGCTGAGTCAAAGTGAGCAGGGATAGCCAGCGAAAGGAGCAGCCGTGGGGTCGGAATATCTCTCACTAGGCTTTACGCCTTAGTAGTATCGACCGTGAAGATAGTAGTATTAGTAAATTCAATCTGGTATTCTCAGAGTTCTCGGTAAAACGCCTGCTACACAACTCCACCTCCTTGGAAATGTGGAGTGTCTAAGACCGAAAGCCCGGGCCACAATCCAGCTATAGCCGAACTGTGAAAAGAATTCTGAATGCATATAAGAAGTGGTTGCTATTTCAGGCACATGGCCACCGAAATAGCATCCCCTGGATTCAGGAGCGCAACTCCAATGACTTGATCAATCCTCTAACGCTCTTTATCCAGCCTCTTGTATACCTCCGACTCTCATACCTGCTACCAACAAAACCGGTGCGGTGAGCTGCTTCTTACCATGCAATAGGTACGTTATAACGCTGAGGAGAATCACTCCCACCCAAACAGCTGGAGCCCAGTTGGCTGTGCTTGTGTCCACAGGAAGACTGGTTGGGAAACAGCTGAACACAATGGCAAAGCCACAGTAACCGAAGGCCAAAAAATTCATGGATAATCCAAATCTGCCGAGACTCCAACGCGCTGGTGGTAGAGGCAAGTCGAGAGTAAGGACAACAGGGTGAGGGAAATGATAATGTTAAAGGCCGTCGTCGAGCCCAGATTGATCAAACAGAGCACTGCAGCCCAGAACGACGTTGCATAAACCGCATTGAAAGGAATATGTCGCTTTTTCTCCATCTCGCGAAGCCATCCTGAGAATGGAAACCCCTTGTCTCGGGAGAATGCGAATACTTCACGCCTCGTTGTTGCCAAAGCCGTGATATTGCCGCTGAATATAAGGAAAAGTAAGATGATGGTGAGTGCCAAAAGCGGCTCATCTTAAAATCTCCCACTGCATCCCATGCTACCCATATTTAATAGCCTCCCGTAGTGACTGCGTTTGATCCTGAACTTTATCCCTCAGCCCATGAAACGTCAAAAGGATATCTGCCGCTTCAGAGGCATCGGTCTACTGATCGCTACTTGGGCCAATCATCCTGAACCTTGACGGTAGGTGTATGGCGTGGTGAGGTTGATATGGACGTTTTTGGGCTGCCAATCCGATTTGCTAGCGTGAGGAAATCTTCTAACTCGAGTTTCTTGATAGGGGCATCACTTCTCGAACTCGTTAGAGATTGTGTCGATTGTACGGTAGCTGAGAAATACTGTCCTGGGATATTATGAGATTGAGAGGAAGGACTCGCGGGGTTTCGGCCTTCAGCTGAATTTTATGCTAGAAGTATTGAAGACTTGGTCCACACTATAATTATTTTGTTGACAAAAAGTCTTCGGAAAGCTACCCTAGTATACGTGAGCGGCACCTCCCTAGGGCGGAACGTAACATCCTTGTGTGCTTCAACCAGAGCGCGTCTCAAAGGGTCAAAGGCTCGCAAATTCGAGCGGTCGTTCTCGCCAGGAGGTTCCTTGACACCAAAGAGATGGGTGGAACGACTCTTGATTGCCTCGAGCAATGGGCTGTATCTTTTTTTGGATCAAGCTCTAAGCTAAGGGCGTTGACCGCTGGGCCGCTTTGCTTTTGCGAAACAACAGCCAAGCAGTAAGAGTCAAGTCATTCATCTGGATTTTCGCAAGGGGACCTCCCGTGCTTCATTGAAGGACTGACCACTTTTCTAAGCGAGTGGGGGAAAGCTAGACTAGTAAACAAGATCATCATAAGCTGAGTGTGCTGGTCAGTATTTCCAAATATGATAATTCTAATGTGCGAAAATGGGCGTATAAAATAAAATTCGAGGAGATAAAAAGTTCATCAAATTTACTCTACTCAGAAAAACCAAAAAAAAAAAAAACCCATTCTACCAACAGAGCCCCAAAATCATTTCTCAACGCATTCGACCCCACAGATGGATGTCTCACTGTACAGTCTTATCCCGACACTGGCATCGACACCTTGAATCCCCTCCGCCCGGAGGATTAATGCACAACCAGGATTTGTGGTTTGCTTGGACACCCGGAATAAACCAACAACGCCTTGCGCGTGATATAGCCAAGTGCATATCCGAGTTCAATCTGGATTGGCCTGCTCATTAATGAAACATATTTCAACACCACTTTACAAGCCAGCAGCGATCTTGCCAGCGATCTCATCTGCCACACTCTCCTCGTACCAGGCCTTGATGCGTGCTGCCTTCTCGGGGTTTCGGACCTTGACATCCATCTCGAAAGGTAGAGGACCACCGATCAAGTTGGGGGTGAACTTGTAGCTCTCGGGCCACTTTGGTTGTCCATTGGAATCCAGGTATGGCTTGAGTTCGAAGCAGCCAACGATGCTGCCACAGGCAACAAGGAGTTCGGCTTCAGTAACCTCGATACCTGGGCACATGCGGCGGCCCATTCCAAAGCCATGGTGACCCATGAGTCTGGGGTGCTCGGTCAAAGGCTCCTTGTAGGTAGGATATTCCTTTTCGAGCCAACGGGCAGGGTTGAAGGTCTCTGGGTCCGGGTAAAGCTTTGGGTTACGGGCAAGAGCGAGATCGACAACGTGGATGACAGCACCCTTGGGAAGGAAATAGCCATTCCATTCATCATCTTCCTCGAGGAGACGGGGGACACCCAACGGGACTGGTGGTCTCCATCGGACGCATTCTTTGATTGCAGCGCGGAGAATTGGCAGGTTGGGGGCATCGCCGACCTCAACAACACGGTCCCCAATGACCTCATCGTATTCTTTGCGGACCTTCTCTTGCCATTCAGGGTGAAGGACCATAGCAAGGAAGAAGCAGTAGAGAGGACCACCAATGGTGAAAATGGCAACGGTGACCAACATACCAACGGCATAGGCAGCTTCATGGTCATCAAACCCAAAAGATCGAGAGCCGGTTTCAGCCGCTTTGCGCTCAAAATAGGTCTTTGCGTAACTGATGGGGGCAACACCTTGTTCGACTTCTTGGCTAACTTGCTTCATGAGACCCTTCCAGAGCTTCTCTTCCTTCTCACGACGTTCACGAACCTTGCGGATGGATGGGTTGAGCCATTCAGGAAGCCCGCCAAGGAAAGGCATCAGATTGGTGATAGGGCCAGATGGAGAAATTTGAGGAATGAATTCACCGGCATTCTTGCAGTGAGCAGCAGCAGATTCTGGTCGACCATATCCCAGGCGAGCGCTGATCCGACCACAGAAACGATCTGTAAGAGCGAAGTGGTCCTTGGGATCAACAAGAAGTTTGTACAAGAATCGCTTAGCCTCGTGGCTGACATATCCGTAGTATTTCTGGTTGAAGCCCTGGGTGAGGACGGTGTGGGCGAACTTGCGCTGATTTCTCCAGTGATCTAGAAATGTTAGGACAGAACGAGGGATTATGGAATATTGCAGCTTACCATCATGAGCGAGAAGAGGAAGATACTGGCCTTGAGAGTCGCTGCCAGGAACAGCAGGCACCTGGGGCCGGGAAGAATAGATCTTTGCCTTCTTGCACAAAAGCTCGTAGCCAATGTCGGAGTCACCAATCCAAATGTGCATCTCACCGCAGATGGTGGAGCGGAAGATGCCATTGTATTCATCACAGAACTTCTTCATGGCGAACCATGGCTTGTTTGGGTCGACATCATGGACGCGTCCAATGTAAGGAATGGTAGAGGTAGGACCGGGGATGAGCTTCAGACCTGGTGGAGGGCGATCTCGGAGCATATACTTGATGATCTGAATAGCACTGACGATAACGAAGATGCCAGTACCGATGAACCATTTGTAGGTCCCAATGGCCGTAACAGCATCGGACTTGAAAAGAGCGTCAGCGGTCTCATTGTGGTTGGTACCGAGGTAGTTCTGGATTTGGGTCACGATGACCGACGGCGAGATGGACGCCGCCATGGTAAGAATGCTTCTGCAACGAGTGATTGCAGGGAAGCAAAAACTGCAAAACGAAGGCAGGGAAATAATATACAAAGCAAAGGGAAAAGGGGAGGGGAGAGGAAGATGGAGCCATACATAAGCACAACCATAATATTACTTGCTGGTAGGGAGGTCGGGCTAGGCGAGAGTTTGGCTAGGCATAAGCCGAGTTGGGCAGGGGGCGGGGGGTGGGTTGTTCGAGGGCGCAGTTTCATGCAATAACTCAGCACGAGATGGACACCACAAGGAGCTGCCGTAGGGATGGCATGTCAAAGTCTCACAGGTTCAAACGGAGTACGGATTCCCGTGTAAGATTGTCCGTGGGCCGTGGCTAAGATCCTGTCGGTCGCATCTCCATCTGCATCCTGAAGTCCTCAGCCCCAAGATGGAGCATCGCAATGGCCACCCACACTGGGCAACGGATTGAAATTGGGCAGAGGCAATACATTAGTTGCACATTAGTTACGGACTGGGTTGGGACATTTGATAAGCTAGAGGTGCAGGCTAAGCTATATGAGGCGCTAGTCCCAACCATCCACCCTCCCAAAGTTGGAACCACCCGTGCCCGGTGGCCAATGAGAGGGGAGCTCCACGCCCTTTATTGGTTGTCCTCTGTTGACGACGGGTTTCCCCTGATATCGTACTTACAGTAGCACGGTACAGCCCCGGAGACCAAATTGCTAAAATTGGAATTGCATCTCCGTAGCGCAGGGTGAGGCTCTCCTGCTGCTCCTTCTCCCCTGGTTTCTCCTGTTAGGTAACCTGAATTTCTCATCTCTGAGACTTTGACATACAAGTAGTGGCCCACGTTCGGCGACCGGCAGCCACCACAGTCACATGACTGTCAATGTCTCAGTAGCCCCGGTGCTATCCACTTGTAGCTTCGTCATTATTCATGATGAACATGAGTACCATGTGCTGCTGTCCATCTAAATCTCGGGACACCCCAGCCCACTTGCTCTACCAAAGGATAAAGACAATCGAACATTCTCTGTCAACTAATTTGAAGGGGACTGCGGTGTTTGATCCATGAGGCCGTCATCTGTCTCCGGAGTGCTCAGCCCGCATGGCGCAGGTGTACTTTCCCAGGCCAAATCCTCCTTTCCCAGTATTTTGACTCAAGGAGGATATCGATGGATCTACAGGATCATCATCACGTCAGATTGTCCCAAGGGGCCCGCGTGCTAGGCCCAAAGTAGTAGCTGGCTTCTTGGTAGAGTGCGAGTGGGCCAAGCGTTCAGCCTTACGAAAGATATACTATTTGAATACGGTGTCCACTACCGCGACTACTGCGGAGTATCCGTACCTCATCCGAGTAACTTGCGCTTGTCAGGTAGATACTGCACAGTAGTAGCGACCGTGCTGGTAAGCTGGCCCAACACTGCAAATCCCTTGGCGTGCCTCACCACGTGATATACAAAACCGAAGTTTTTCCTTGCCATCCACGCTGATATCCAACCTTGATCCGCACTTATGACCGTGAGCCCGGCATTTCAACATCTTCGTCAAACATGACCGGCTCTTTACTACGTGAACAGGGACAGACGGTCGACCAGAATTTGCGACACGCGGCCAGCAAATCTGACTGTTGGCCCCCCCTGATGCATTGAACGAACAAAGTTTGCTCAATTCCCCGTCACCTTGACAAAGTCTACCAGAAGCCGAGCATGAAAGAAACGGATTGGGATACTGTCGAACTGACAGGCTGGCCTGTGTGCAGACATGCTATCACATGGTCGTCTGAGGATCTCGCGGTAGCAACAGGTGAGGTTGTACATATTTTGACCCCTCGCAATGCCTCTGATTCACGAGGTGTACCCGGTCATCGACAATGGCATACTTTCACCCTTCGTGTCAATCAATTTGAGTTTTCGGAGTGGCCAACCCAATCCTTGGCCACTCTCAAACACTTTTCTATCGGTGAAGAGCAGTCAGATTCCCATGTTGCCGCTTTTGCATGGTCTCCCTCTGGTTTGGGTCTTTACAGAAGGAGTGTATTGGCTGTTCTGACTTCAAACTTGATCTTATCATTTTGGGAAACGAACGGGAAGTTGGGTGAGTGGAAGAGAACTTGTATTGTGAACCATCATTTCCAACCAGAACCATCACCGGAATCCTCCGACGATGTAAGACTCAAGCAGCGAGTCCGCAGTTTCGCATGGCTGCCTCCAACGCCTGAGCTTGATACCAATCACAGGACTCAACATTTCCTGATGATCGCTGATGATACTCGTTCTATATCCATCTATGCTGTACGGAAAACAAAGTTTGCTTACGGGCACTGGATGTTCGAGCTTTTGGCAAGATATCAGATCCCTGTTGGCCACAATTCAGACTTCAATGCTACTACGAGAGCAAGTTTACGAGAAACTCTCCTTGGCTCCTCCCCGATCACTAGACTCGACTCGACGGAGTGGGTAACAACTCAAGGAACAGCAAAGGAGAGCGCTACAGCTGCATGCTTGTGCGTGAAGGTGAGCTTCGGTGTCATGGCTCATAATCGCTACCTTTCGGTCTCCGTCCGGAGTCTTACCCAAGAGATTCCAGATGGTAGTGTACCAGATCATACCGTTAGTGTCTCCATCGAACAATCTCAAACACCTGAGAGTTTTCCTTTCTGCCAACCACCCTCCCAAGACCTTTTTGAATCGAGCCTCCGTGGCACACGATCAGATTTCAATGATGAGTACGACCTGGGTGGAAGAGTACTGATTAGACACTGGGGTGCAGTATACTATCCTGATAGAACAAAGGCGGCTGCATGTGTCTCTCTACACCCATCCGATATGATCGAGTCTTGTCTTCCCTCGCGACAGCGTACAACAGTCATTTTCGCAATTCTCAATCCGTCTGTTGTAGCAAATGTGCAAGACCAGCTGAAGACATATGAGAAAATTATCACCTTTATAGCTGGACTACCATCGAATATGCTTAGGACCAGCTCCGATCAGAAAATCCTCGCCAATGCTATTACTCTGACTGAGTTGCACTTCGCGAGTTCCACGAGTCTAAGTCAATGGGCAGTCTCAGCACGCGCCCACTTGAATTTGTATGCAACGAAGAGTCCTCGACATATCACTGAGAAATCATTGGAAGATGGAAGCGTCACTGAAATTGTAAGTGCGGGCCCTCATCTCTCAGAAGTCACTATAGGGTATAAGAATCAAGCCGAGGTTGTAGGCCAGGAGAGTTGTGAGGTGTGCGAGGCTCTCATTACTTTCTCTTCAGCAACTTCAGCGACCTGTGCAAACCACCACTACTTCACTCGCTGTAGTCTGTCTTTTCTGGCTATTCAAGAACCAGGAATTTCCATGTATTGTGCTCAATGTGGAAAGCAATTCCTCCATCCTAGCCGGATCGAGGGAATCAATGGTCCAAGCTTGAGCCAAGCACTATTCAACAGGTTCGATGTTTGTCCATTCTGCCAAGGCAAGTTTCGGGGCTAGATTAGAATGCGGCTCGAGGTGAATCATTCGTGTCACCAACGACATCGACAACTGCGAACAGTTTGTTTTATGAGATTGCATCCTGACCGTTCCTCCTATTTCTTTGTCTGCATCCGATCAGGATCCCTTCTCTCAGTTCGGCCGCTGCATTTCTTGCACAGAGAGAGTCGATCGCAACTTTTGGAAACAACATTTCCGCAAACGGCAATATTCTTTCAGAAGCCGCAACAGAGTCACCGCATGCAAATAACTGCACGATGGAAGCCCTTAAGACTTCAGACGATCGGGATGATGTACTCAAAATCATTCATGTTTTCGGCGAACGATTCTACCCATGGTGTTCAACCCAACAAGTCCCATTCAGACATTCGGCCGGAAACCCCTCATCATCTCTCGAACTTCGGCGTCTCATGGTGAAGTCGCCTCCATTGGAAGAACTTCCGATATGTCAGAAGCCAATTCCAGGCGCAGTTCAACGCTGTCGATTCTACCAGCCTGGCGTGGTGGTATGACAAATAACAATCGTCGGTCCCTAGAACGACATGATCCTCCTCAAGAAATCAGCCGGTGGTCAAAAACAACGACAGAATCTGAAGCAAGCAACGCATTTACACACCCAGAGTCTCCGACACCCACCCCATCTCCCGCGAAGAAGACGAAGGTGCTGAAGAAAAGGCTCAAGCAAAGAAAACGGTCTAAGTATAGAACAGGTTCCAGTCCAGTTGATCCGTGCTATGATCCTAAGACCAAGAAACTTGGACTACCGGAGAAACCACAGCCACCTGTTGTCACGAGTCCAGTCGTCGGCCCGATTACCGGTCCGGATGAGCCTCAATCATTTTATGATTCGGGTTCAGATGATTCGAGTGATGCTGAGCATGTTCTTCAACGAGCCAGCAGCGTGCGGATTAGCAAGCCCCTCATTGTCCAGCATAGCAACAATCCAGGAGGCTCAGTCCCAAAATTTTACGCACTCCAAACAACGCCGACTGGTGATGAGACGCTGGTACCAAAGCCGCTGAGCCTAGGCCACCAGCTCACGAATACTTCCAGCGCGGATGATGATGCCAGGGTTGCAGAAGACCAGCCACAGGCATTAGGAGGGCCACAAGACGCATTAAAGACATTAGAACGCCAAGAATCCCGAGTGGAGACTATGAGTGCCGTCTCTGAAGCTACCTCTGAAGCCTCTACCTCGCCACGGGACACCTTGAAGAGGACTATTCTTGAGTTCCCTAGCCCTCCTGTGGGAGACGAGGCGACCGATACTCTATCAACGCCCATGGGTGGATTTGGATCGCTTCGGACGGGCAAGACGGGCAGTTATACCGGATATTCAACAAGCACCTATGTAGCTCCTTCGATCGACGGCCTTCGCTCCAATCCGATTACAGAATTTGACAAGAAACTGTCAAGGGCAATTTCAGCCCCCGTGCGCCATCCCGCACGCCGGGTTACTATCCGTCCTGCTGACCTGGTTATCAACAGTGCCAACGATGACCACAAACTTTTCCGAGAGTCGATCGTCAGCACACCATACCCAGCTCGACAAAACAGCTTGGTAGAGTTTGACGAACAACCAACGTCACAAGTTGCCACACCGAGGCAGCTGCGTCGTTCAAGGCCGCTGCCGACGACCACCACCAACACCAATCCAGAAGAGGCAAAACCCACAGCAGAGACGCAGCGGATGACTCTGAGGATAGGAGGAGATGAACCATCAAACAAGAAGGATCTTCCACCCAAAACCCCACTATCAACAAAACCCACCCTCTCCAACACCACCAGCTTCGTGACACCGAGATCAGACCGATTCCCATCTCCTGTCGCACCGGAGGTCCTCTTCCTCGACCTCCGTCTCGGGCGCCACCCTTCCGCGCGTGTGACCGTCGAAATCGAAATCAATGACAAAACAACCTTCGATGATGAGCAACTCTTCACCATAATCCGTAAGTCCTACAACACAAAGCTCCTAGGCCTCGTGCGTGGACTCCTCATCGCCCGACGTGTATCCCACGCCAGCTTTTCCAGTAGTAGCAGCGGGGGCGACGACCTCAACACCCCACGGCCTAACTCTGCCGCCTGGCCAGGCCATGGACAGAATTTGCCAACTGGAGCCAACGACTTCACGCGCCATCTACAGCATCCGCCCGTTGGCCACCGACGGAAGATCTGGCTCCTCTGGCTGCGCGACCAGCAACACCAGGGCGCCTTGAATCGACAACAGCGTCGTGCGGAGCGGACGGCCGTGCCACAAATACAACAGACCAGCCCGCTGGATCAGGACGAGAGCCCCGTGGCAATCAGCTTCATGCACCCGCGCAACAACAGCCACAGCTTCAGCCCGGGGCACAGCCCAAGCCAGAACAGCAACGGATCCCCGACCACGGCAACGATCGCACCAAGCACTGTCCTTCATGTCAGCAACGCCTGCACGCTATCCAGACAAATCAGCAGCGCTGCAGCAGTGGCACCGACGCGCCCCAGCATCACGACCCCACGCATGCCATTCCAGCCGTTCCACATGCGCGACAAATCCACTTCGTCAACTACTTCGTCCGCCGCACTGAAAAACTCCTCCACCTCCACCCCCAACTCCACGGCAAGCCAGTCCCAGTCCCACACCACCTCCAATATCACCACGGGCCCACCAACGCTGTACCTGCACTACGCATTCTCCCTCCCCCGAATCCTCGCCGTCTTCGCGCTTATAATCGCTGCCGCGGTATTCACTGCGACCATGTGGATCCTGTTTGGCGTGCCGGGCCGCAGCGTCGCACAGGGCGATGGGATCAGCATGGGCGAGTATGGCGGCGATGTGCAGGCGTACTGGCGCCATGATGCGCACAAGCGGCTTGTTGTGGGATTGCTGCTTGGGCTTGTCGTTGCGTTGGTAGGTTTCATGGCGGAGGCGCTCTGGGTATGGGGCTCGTGGATTCTTGTTTGATTTTGCTTTTGATTCCGGGTGGTGGAGGAGTATTGTTGCTTCTCTTGAGAGGGTTGAGGTCTTGTTGGCATACTAGTAGTGATAGGCATACTGTTACTGGTGGAGTTGGTGCCGGAGGGGGAGGAGAAAGAAGGGGGTAAGGGCGCAAGGTGAAAGGGAACCACAGTAAAGCTTAGACATGGAAAAAGATTTGAAAAGTGTTCCAAATGCCTCCTCCTAGACACAATCTTCTATTTCGCTCCTCTTGTAGCAGATTCGACTCTGGCATTCAGTACTCTTCTGGCGATAGGATAGATAGAGCATTCCGAGATAGATACCAAAATGAAAAAGCGATATATTTCCTACCAGTGTAACACAGGGACCAGTACATTTCTTACTCATATTGAAGTATGGCAGACATAGTATGCAGTATAGGTATATTTGTCTATGTGTCCCCACAGCAGAATCTAACCCCAGGAAAAATGCAACAACAGGTCCCGCGGCAGGAGACTTCTATATCCGGCGGGCAGTAAAAATAGGGTTTCGGAAGACGGTCATTCGTATAATTCATTACCCAGTTTTGGGCCCACCGCCACACCAGCATCTATTCTCGCCTTCGCGTTCTACCTGGACGACGATGTCCATCTTGCGCTGGCGTAGATATAGAGAGACACGCTCTCTCACATCCTCAAGATCAGCGGTGTTAGCAGCAATGACGTGGATGACGCCTATGACGGTTGGGTCATCACTCGAATCACAGCCAGAGTGTCCGTCACTGCTCTTGTGGGAATGCCCATGATGATGGTCGTGTCCACCATGAGAGTGCCCGTGATGGCCCGGTTCTTTCTTGATGTCTTCGAGCCAGAATTTTGGGACTGTGTAGCCCACGACGCCTCTTATCTGGGCAACACCGCTGAGGATGTTTCGTAAATTATACTCAATGTCGGAATTGAGGGACAAGAGAAGAATTTTGGTGGTCGAAGTTACCAAGGGGATTGTCGACGCGAAAATCAGCACAGCTATGATGCAAGATGCCAAGGGATCGAAGCCACTCCAACCTGTCCATCGAACGAGTAAAGTGGATAGAACGACTGAAAGTGAACCGAGGGCGTCTGCCATGATATGAAGATAAATGCCTTGCATATTTTCGGTACCATGGTGATGGCTGCTTGCTGCTTTCTTTCCTTTCATGGGAGAGGCAGAAGCAGTCAACGGGGTTTCTTGCTCGTGGGTGTGGCTATGATCGTGTTGATGATCATGTGCATGTGCATGTGTATGGTCGTGATCGTGATTGTGGTCATGGGAATGGGAATGGGAATGGTCATCGTGTGCATGGTCGTCCCCTCCGTGGGAATGATCATGCGCACCGTGAAAAGCAAAAATGCCCACCAAATTGACAAGGAGCCCAGCAGTACTTACGACCAGAAGCTCGGCGGTACGGCTGACATCGGCGCCTGAGAACAGCCTTTCAATAGCCTCGTAGACAATTTCGATACTGATTAGCATCAGGAAGATGCCATTACCCAGGCCGGCAAGAGTGTCGATTTTTCCGTAACCATATGGAAACTTGAGAGACGGAGGCCATTTGCTCATGACAGCTGCGCAAACTCCTACCAGCAGAGCAACACAGTCAAAGAACATGTGAATACTGTCGCTAATCAACCCCAGAGAGCCTGTCAGGACGCCGTATGTGGACTGAACGACCATGAACAGCAGGTTCAAAATCATGAAGTAGAAGATGCGGCGTGAGTCAGGATCGGCCAGGATGCCATGGAGGAGGGAGTATTTCTCGGTCGAATTAAGTAGAAGTTGGGTAGGCTTTGAGAAATTTCTATGCAAGGTGGGCCGCCGTGTCAAGGCGGGGGGAGTATATGTCGATGTGCCTGGATCCCTCCTCTTCTTAGCCATAAATTGTGCCGTCGAGGTGTCGAGGGAGGGGGCATGGCTAGCGTGTTTGTGGTGGAAGACATTGGTGTCGACAAGAGGGTGGTGATGATTCATGTCGGCTTGAGGCACAACGGATTCGGAAGGAATCCGGGGCAGAAGAGAAGGGGCAGCTAATCGGCTGCCCGCACGCGTTCGCTGGTGAGAACGGGAGTGTGAGGGAGTGTGCGAATGAGAGTGAGAGGGTGAGTGAGAATGGGATTGAGGCTGAGGAGAACGGGAGTGGGCATGATTGCAGTTGTCGCCCGAAGCCACAGGCAGAGTAAAGGTCGCGCTCATGATCCCTTCAACAGGTTCGAAAGCCTGTCGTTGAGAGATGTTCGCAGCGCGTGATTCAACATTCAGTTGTTGGACTCGTCGTCGCCCGGGTTGAGGGAGAAGTCGCAGTTGTTGCAGCAGCAGCGGCAGTGGCAGTGGCGGGCCACGTGAAGGTAGACTCACGTGTTGACTGGCGACAGAGAAGGAACGACCAGCTGCAGTCTTAGCGGGGTGTTGGGTGGGTGGTCCCAGGCGGTGTGTCAAAGAAGCAGAGATAGAAAGTTGAGGTCAGGTAAGGACGGTAATTGATCTGGGGAAGATTAAAAGTGGACAGGGTTATCAGGATGGCGCCTCTCCGTTCCCCTGGCTAGCAAAATCAGAGCAGATGCAGAAGTGATTCGTCCATATTGGCCTCCCCTTTCCAAGGACCGACAGGAACTCCTTGGTGTTGCGTTGACTGGTCGACGTCATTCCAGCCTCCCACACTCACCCAACGCTTTTCCACGCATTTCTGCGATAAGAGCTATTCTTCACCTGGACCATGGAATGCCTCTATGAATCAGTGGATCCAAAACGATGATCCTGACTGTTCTACTCATTCTCTCTACTTTGTTCACTGTCTTGTTATTGTCTTTGCCCTCCCAATGCGATCCTTCCGACAAGAGCTGTTCCGTCCAAGTCCTGGTACTCGGTGATATTGGGCGGAGTCCACGTATGCAATATCATGCATCAAGTATTGCAAAGCATGGAGGAACAGTACAGCTCATCGGTTACCCGGGTACACTTTCTCAAAACCGAAGAGAGTCTTTCCATTAATACTAATCTCTCTTTAAGAGTCCGATGCCCTCCCCGAGCTTGTAGCTCATCCAAATGTATCCATTGTGCCGATTCTACCGCCACCTAAATGGCTTCAGACCACCAATAAGCTGCTATTTCTGATATTTGGGCCTTTGAAAGTCCTCATTCAGACCTGGTTCCTTTGGAAGGTATTGGGATATTCCACCAAAGCATCCAAATGGCTGGTAGTCCAGGTAAAACCCGAGACTCGCTTTATGTTTCGTTCTCGAGGCTCATCCACTATCTTTAGAACCCCCCCTCAATTCCAACCCTGTTTGTGGTCTCTCTTATTTCCTTGGTTCGAAGGACTCGGCTGGTTGTTGATTGGCATAACTTTGGTTATTCCATATTAGCTCTGAAGCTTGGTTCTGGTCATCCCTTGGTCGCCCTCTCCAAACGCTACGAAAAGTATTTTGCAAAATCAGCCACTGCCAACTTTGCTGTCACGGATGCTATGGCACAGCTGCTTCGAACTGAGTTTATCAAAGGGAGCCCCGTGATCACTCTGCACGACCGACCTGCGGACATGTACAGACCCTTGACAGAGTCAGACCGCATTCAATTTCTCCAGAGATATCAGCTCTTAGCAAAGCACTTCAATGACATAGCCGATAAGAAGGCAAGGCTTCTTGTTTCATCAACCTCTTGGACAGCAGATGAAGACTTTGGACTTCTTTTAGACGCACTCTGCAACTACTCCGCCTGTGCTACCTCTTCCCATCCGCACCTGCCAGAATTAATTGTCGTCATCACAGGCAAGGGACCTCAAAAGCAGCAATATCTCGAGAAAATCACAAGTCTGCAAGCCGGGGACGCACTAGAAATGGTCGACATCTACACAGATTTCTTGAGCTTTAAAGACTATGCGCTTCTCCTAGGATCCGCTGATCTTGGTATCTCATTGCATACCAGTAGTAGCGGGGTTGATCTGCCAATGAAAGTGGTCGACATGTTTGGAGCCGGCCTGCCTGTTGCTGGCTGGAGTCGATTTACAGCATGGCCCGAATTGGTGAAGGAAAAAGTCAACGGTCGAGGCTTCGGGAGCTCGGATGAACTAGCCGAGGTTCTTCGTGAGCTCTTTGATCCTGCTTCGGACCAGCTCCTTGGGCTGAAGAAGGGCGCTGAGCAAGAAAGCCAACGGCGCTGGGCATCAGAATGGGATCCTGCTGCTGGCAAGCTATTTGGACTGGTCGACTGAATAGCAATACGCAAAAGGCCTTGCTACCGTTCCTAGTGACTTTCATTGGTCGAGCCATGACAAAATGTGAGTGCTCATGGAGCATGCAGATCTTCTCATCCGGATTCATGAACTATCTTCCAATGCCGTGCAGCCGAAGGTGCAATTCTCAAGGTAAATAAAAATTCAAACTTGACTCTGTGAGCGGGAAAATCATGGCGCCCGAGGAGCCCTTTCAAGCAGCAGGCTGGCTCGAGATTGCTGGCAGAATTCCACAGTCGTCCCACCGGCAGTGTTCGAAAGCATCAAACCGTTTCATCGCCTGCAATACTCGGCTACTCTTGTTAATTCTAGTACGGTGAGGCTTGAGAATCCGCGCATCGCACTCTTGTTTTTCCGATTTATCCGAGTACCCACGTAACCAAGACAGATTCGTCCACCTCTAGTAGGGATAGAGGCGGGTGTATCCTACATCACCAGAACATCCACACGCAATACGAGCAAAGCATTCGACAATGATTGACACTTGGAAGTCTTGGACCGGCACCAACAGAGGCATCGAGGGAGCACGAAGTTTGCCAAGTGGAACGGAGATGGCCGCCAGTCCCGATTTTGCTTAAAGTCGTCGTCAGCATCCCTCCTGCAGTAGGAATGGTTCACCATCCTTTGATTATCTTGACACCAAGCACCGTCAATTGCCGTCGACTAATCACGGAGTCTCCTCCTGCCCTGCCATAACTAAGCGAACTAGTTATCCTATCCTCCTCGTAAACGGACAGCCTGACGCCACACGAATAAGTTTTATGCAATCATGGGCGATTTTTCTGCTGTAGGTGCGGACCAGGGGAAAATTATCTGGCTCTTGTTTTATTTTTTACCATTTTGGAATGTTATCTTTCCATCGCCCTATATTCTCGCATGGTCCTTTTGAGCTCGTGATTTACTATAGATCTGAAGACAGCATTGGAGCTCGAACATCCTTCGAATTGGCTTCAGAGCAACTAGACGCGTGTCAGAATTATCGAGAAATATTTGCTGATGGCATTCTTTCAACAGCAAGCGAGACGTGTTGCATGGTGTTCCGAGGGGGGAGAGGCTGCGTCGACACATTCCATCAAGCGACTATCGCGATCATCTCCAGTGTCATTGTTCATTGAAGCCATAGAACAGGACGGCTGTGTGATCGTCACCGACTATTCTGACCGGACTACCGTTGAACAGGCCAACGAGGAAGTCCGGCCGTGGTTGGAGAAGCAGGGTGAAGGTGCCGTGGTCGGGGCACTCCAGGGCCAGACCAGGACAGTTACCAGACTCATAGGAAAGAGCGAAACCGTACGAGAAAAGTTCTACGCCGACCCACTGTATCAGGATCTGTGTGAGCACTTCTTGGCCCTCGAAACTACCCATTATTATGGAGACAAGCCGTCGACCACGACAAGTCATCCTCTCCTCTCAATCGCGATCACATTCGATATCCCTCCTGGAACACCAGCTCAAGGGTTACACAGAGACGACAAGAATCATCATGCTCGCCACGCTGCAGTCCAGTCCTACGAGCGTAGGCGAGATGTTTTGCTGGGACTATTTGTACCTGGCTGTAACACGACCAAGGCCAATGGAGCTACACGAGTAGTACCTGGAAGCCACCTTTGGGGAGACAAAGCTCCCGATTTTGGCCCGGATGGTAACCATGGGGTCTTGGACGCAGAGCTAGAAGTAGGAGAGGCTTTTATCATGCTCGGCAGTCTTTATCACGGCGGAGGGGCATATGAAAAGGCACTGGGGACAGCTAAGCAAGGCAGCCGCGAGAGCAGGACTGTGCATGCAATGTTTTCATGCACCGGCGTTTCTCGACAGGAGGAAATCTCTTTCTTGTCCTACCCGATTGAGGAGGTCAAAAAATACTCTCCCATCGTCCAAGAGAGACTAGGCTGGAAACAAAGTGAGCCAAATCTTGGCTGGGTGGATCTGAAAAGCCCGGAATTCCTTCTCGAAACATGATTTCATGCTCAGTTCCTGTTTCGGGGTTGAATGGTTCCGAGTTGTCGATGAAAATATCAACCATCAATGCTGGGAGCAAGGACGGTGCAGCTGAAATTGAGCACACCATTTCCGGCTTTCTCCTCACGCTTGAGATATGGTAATGGGCCCAGAGCCAGAGCGTTGTCGCTCAAGACGTCCTCATCTTCTTCTAGAATACCACGATCGACAGGGCCTTTTCTACAACCATTCAATTCATACAAATGACCATCCTTTCCCTTCACGAACGCAATGAAAGCATGGCCAGGGTCTTCACCTAGAGCGGGCGCGATGGTGTCTCCAGCTTGAGCAGCCACGGCATGAGCCTTCTCCAAGATGTCGGAATCATGCACGTATTGGCCTCGCTCGGTGGGCTTGAGGGGGAGAATTGCCTTTCGGAACTTGTCAAGTTCGCTGTCCGCTTGAATCAATTCCGCAGCGGGGCTGTTGGTCGTGCAGTGAAGCAAACCCATCAGGCCGCAGGCATGTGTGATGAGCTGAGGATACCAGATGACTGGTTCATCGGGGCCAGATCCATTGTATGCTTTGTCAGATGCTCTCTCTTGGGCACTGTATGCTCGGGAGAGGTCTGTTTCCGGGTAGATGAAGAGAAGGGCACTTGCTGGTCGGGGAAGCATAGCGATCAGACTGGGTTCGGTCAGGCTGAAGACGTCATGGAAGGATAAGACTGGAGAAAGGCCCAATTGATGAGCGAGCTTCGTCATCACATCTGGGTTGTTCTCTGTATAGTGGATGTTAGTGGGTTAATGAATTGATGACCGTGTCGATGATATATACCAAGTGGAATATAAGTTTTGTAGGCCATTTTTGATGAGTTTGATGAGAATGCTGAGATTCTGGTCTGATGAATTGTAGTAGAACAGATCCTGTTGGATATAAGGAAGAAACCTAGTTGATGTAATCGATTGAGTGAAAGCTTGTAGCAAGGCGTCGAACTAGGTAGAAGGCAGAAGGCAGCCTTGCGTGACGTTAGCCCCGAGTCACGACTAGAGTCACTGGTCCCTCCTTCCTCGTCCTCCCCCACGTTCCTTCCCCAAAAACCTCGGCGCGGAGCCTCGCGTCACTTTTCTTTTGAACGCGCCAACATGTGACCTGTGAACGTGGACAAAGGCAACACCACTGCATTCGCAACATCTCACCAACATTCAATTGCACTGTTAAGTGATTTACTCTAGTACTGCTACCGCTGCTACTCTCTGTTCCATTTACTCCCTAGGTTCCGCGCATCTCCTTGAAACTACTCCTACCATGCGAGCAACTGACTGGACACCCTTGACGCTCTGCTCCTCCCCATGAGAGCCATCCTCCCTGGCCGTCCCCAATCAACGCGACAGGCTCTTTGTACTGCGCATTGGGACGGCCTTCGCATTGTTGTAAGGGCCACCATGTTAGATCCTGACAGTCCGGACCCTAATTGTGACCCACTCTGCAGGCATACATCTCCGGCAATGCGGCCATCATCCTTAGCGGTCCCCAGACCATTCTCCAAACCATCTACGTCGATACAGTCGAGACCATCTCTGCGATAACACTTGATGAGACTACCGGGCGCATTGCTCTGTGTGATCCAGACAATGTGTACATCTACAGACCTGTTGGCCGTGAAGAAGGTGTACTTCGCTGGGTCCAGGTCCAAGAACTGAGGAATCCCAATGCACTCAAAGTCACCTCCCTATCATGGGGAGGTTCCACCGAGGAACTGCTGCTGGGTGGCTCAAGATTGGTTCTGTGGTATATACCCGACTCCGGCAACCCCATTGTTACATGGGATCAAAAGCTGGCTTATCCGACTGTCCTCGCTTACCTCTCTCCGGACAGCGGCCTTATTGCATCCGTAGGTCAACATGACAGGCTGGTCAAACTCTGGAGAAGGTTATCTTACGAGACCGATGGCACGAGGTTTGATGTCAGCTATCTTCCTCACCCATCCACTGTCACAAACCTGCATTGGCGGAAACCCTGGCATGAAGAGCAGAGCCTTGATAACCTACTTTATACTTTCTGCTCCGACGATAACATTCGTGTGTGGACTGCCTTTGATCCCCACGCCCTATCCGTTCTACAAGAGGTGGCCACCATTAATATGAATGCCTCGATCCAACCAAGAAGGCTGAGTGTTGGTTCCATGAGCAGACGACGCTTTGCCTTCATCCTCGATAGCCGAGATTTCGCTAGTGCCACCGAAAAGGCCGTCCAAGGTTCCAATGCCAAATCAGCAGACCACGCACTTGAGCACCTCATTGAAATTGCCAATCGAAGTCCGGAAATCTGTATAGTCCTGGATGGACTCGGTCATATGTCTGTATGGGGACTGGAAAATGCTGGCTACAAGAATAGAATTCTCCCAGCCGTTTTCCACATATCTCATGTCGATGGCATGGACATCAGGGTGCCACTACTGAGCGATCCCCTGGATGATTATGTGCAATTCTGCGTCTTCGCAGGAGGCTCCCAACCTTCCTCCTTATCAATCCTCTTACACTCTTATGCTGGCGATATTGATTGGTATGACAGCCAGATCACTCACCTATTCGATACTGCTATTCGAAAGAGCCGTGCACATTTGATATCGTCGCTCGCGGGCCATAGTGACCCTATACAGCGTATTGTAAGGAATGTGCGAGGCACTATCGTGCTCTCTGCCACCGACGAAGGCCATGTCAGCCTCTGGCAACAAAAAGATACTCACTCCTCCGCCCCGCTGCTCCGGAGAAGTACATTTGCAGCTAACGAAGACATCAAAGATGCCGTGGTTCTGTCACGCGGCCGTTATGCTGTCATCTTGCATTCACATGGCCTGGAACTGTGGGATGTGCGAGAAGCGAAAGCGGAACGACTGGGAAGACTTGAGCTCCATGGCCAAATTCCAGAGCGCATAACCCAGAGCCGTGTCGTAAGTGAGAGAGCACTTACCAGCCGAGTAATTATTGGCTATTATCCAGATCGTACTACAGAAGCATGGGAATTCCTTTTGCCGGCGTTAGATGATAGTCGCCCAAGTTCAGCCAATCGATTCCCAGAGATGATTCGTTCTCTAGGGGAGGTCAAACTACATGTGCACAACAGATACAACTCTCTTGTATCTGTTTGTGATAACATGAGCTCGAGTGCCCAGCCCGCAAAACCCCAAGAAACGAGTGCATTAGGTTTCACTGCTGCACTTGCAAAAGATGGTATTGTCGAAATGGTTAGATCATTCGAAGAACCAGATTCAACAAAACCGCGACTCTCCACCGGTGCACTCCTTGAAACAAGCATACAAAGACCTAGAGCCATGAGTGCTAGTGGCACTGGTAAGGTGATCCTCGTCAATGAGGATAGCAATAGCCTCAGTATCTGGGACGCAAAGACTGGTGTATGGGAATATGAGCACGAATTGGACGGTACAGACACCGTCAAAACATTTGCTTGGGCTCTCTCACCGCAAGGCCACCCACTGGTTGCAATTTGCTTCGACTACCACATTGTTGTCTTGGGCCAGGTAAGATATGCCTACCCTGGTCTTGAGCCAGCGTGGGTCGACCTCCGTCATATTCGAATAAGAGACGTTACCACCCAATCAATAGCAGATTTGTGCTGGCTCAGAAGTGGTGACCTTGTCGTCGGATCGGGTGTCCAATTCTTCATCTTTGAAGGCTATGCGAGGACTCATCATAACAGAGATGCAAGGTCTCTTCATGAAGTACATTCCAAACTCAAGAATAATGCGACTTCCGCTGTCATGGCAATGCTCAACTCCTTGTTACCTATATTTCACCCTACATATCTCTCCCTTCTAGCATTACTGGGTTACTTTCGTCAGACTAAGGATATAATTCATCGACTCCACCGGGATCTGAAGTTTTTCAGTGAAGGAGATGACCTTCCGAGTTTTCTAGACCTTCAGCTTGATACAATAGGGTTAGCAAATGAGGCAGGATCAAAGACAAGTTTCCACAATGGAACCAATGGGCTTACAAATGGCGAGACAGAGCAGGGGACTATTGGAGACATTGCTGAAGGCCTGGTCAAGAACGTGAAGAGAAACGACATATGGCAGCTAAGTGATGCTGACAAAGCAAAACTGTCTGCAGAAATTCAAGTTTTCGTGGAACTTGAGAAGCACGAGCAATCGATAGACACCAACGGTCTTCGCTATCTCCACGCCTTCTACACTTCAGGTGACGACTCGGTCGCCTGGAGTGCAATAGCTTTCGCCTCACTCAGCACGTCCCAGGAGATCCTAATCGATCTAGTTACCCGCTTCCATGGAGGGAAGTTGACTTGGGAGGCAGCCCGTAAATCGGGAATGTTCTGCTGGCTATCTGATCCAGAGTCCTTGCGCCTTCAAATGGAAAACATCGGCCGGACAGAATACACGCGGAACGAAGACCGTAACCCGGTGGACTGCTCGCTGTATTACCTTGCACTAGGCAAGAAGAATGTTCTGCAAGGCCTATGGCGCATGGCAGTCGGGGTGCGCGAGAAGGAGAACACATTGAAATTGCTGATGAATAATTTCAACGAACCCCGCTGGAAATCGAGCGCCTTGAAGAACGCTTACGCCCTCCTTAGCAAGCGTCGTTTCCATTATGCTGCCGCGTTCTTCCTACTCGGAGGAAGCCTCTGGGATGCGGTCAATGTCTGCGTGCACCAGCTGAAAGACTTGCAACTGGCCATTGCTCTCGCACGCGTCTTCTCCAACGATGGCGATCTGCAGCAGAGCTCTGCATCGTCTTCTGCCGTCCTGTCACGGCTCATCAATGAGACTGTCCTGCCACTAGCACTTGAAAGTGTACAGGGCCGCTGGCTGGCCAGCTGGGCGTACAACTCACTCGGTTTGCCCTCGCTCGCAATCCAGTCCCTCGCATATCCACTACACAACGTGATCGGCAAACCACTCTGCGACATCGTCGAGGAGGTCGACTCCGACAGTAGGGGCAGCAGTCCTCAAATGGTGAACAGCCTCAGCTACGCCTCAAATGACCCACTCCTGACGACCTTGTACACACAACTTCGCACCCAGCTGGTTAAGAAGAATCAATGGCGTTACGGTGGCGGCGTGAGTGCAAAAGACGAATGGGCTTTCGTCATGCGCTGCGTCAGGCTATACCGACATATGGGCTGTGATGCGCTCGCGCTCACACTCGTCCAGACCTGGGAATTTATTCCTCTCGAGTCAGCCAACCCACTAGGCCATCGAAGATCTGTGGGCGAAGCTACTATACCAGCACTACAAATCGGGATCCAACGGCGCAAGACATTCATCGATCTCGAGCGAGAAGCCGACGAAGCAGAAGCGCAGCAATGTGAGGCACTATCTGGCCTGAGTCGAGAGTTGCAGTCTACTACTATAGATGAGGGAGACGTGAAGATTCCGAACAAGAACAAAATGGAAAGGGCGAAACCTCCGCCGACGCAGTTCGAAGAACCTAGCGCGGATAGCTTGCTGGATAGTTTTGGCTTCTGAGATTCCGCCGGACCGAGCAGCTTAGATCACTTCATCTGGTTATATTGTGTACTGGTGACTGTAATGAGGCATTGGAGAAAGCAGCGTTGAGATGCATCGGGCATTGAGATGTGGTTGACTGGGACAATTCAGCAATCATGGATGTGACAAACTGCGATATTGACTGAGAGAGGCTTCTCAATCTTCTTTGTGTCCATATAAATTTATATTTGATTTATTTTGCATGTCCACCGCGTACCTCCAGCCAAACAGTTGCAATTCTCACGTATTTATTCGCTCACTTGTTTCCGCCTCCTGTTTTAACGTGCACCAACCAGATAAGACTCACTCATTCGTGGAGGCCTGGCAAGGCAAACAGAAAGCAGACCGAGGGTGGCTTATGCTACTCCTGAAGAGATGAGTCAATGCATGTTAGACGGTGCATGATTGAATTCCCAGTTGACGTGGGACATGTCGTCGAGCCACGAGGCGTCGTTGCCCAGGGCGTCGAGGTCCAGGAATAAATTGAGGTCGACTGGTTCGGGTGTCCTCAGTTCACTGCCGTCCACATCGTCACTGTCGGCGAGATCTGGCGCTTGTGACCAATACCTGAATGCTGGGCATTGGCTTGGCTTGATCATCATGTCTGCATTTGCCTGCTGGTGGTGGTGGTGGTGGTGGTGGTGGCTGGAGACATGACCCCCTGATTGCGCGGCAGTTCCGCTATCAACAACGCCTCCGATCACACTTGTACCCTCCGCGGTAAACGCCTTCGCATGTACAGGCTGCTCATCGATAGCGCTAGAGCTCTGCGGCAGCTTCTTCAGCCGTTCGTACGTGTTCTTCACGTTGCCGAAGATCGGACACATGAGCGAAAACAAGTCCCTCCCGGTGGCGATCTCCGACGTCGATCCCGTGATGCATTGCATGCGATAGCAGAGAAGCTCCAGGTACAGCTCCAATCTCGCGGCGTCTCGGGCGATTGTTACATTCCACTGTCGCAGTTTGGGCGTGCCGAGAGATAGGCGGTACAGGAATGCGGTGTTGCAGATCAATCCCCACCATTGGAGGACTGAGAGCTTCGGGTACTCGGTTAACGGGAGAGAGAGGAATGTCTCGATGAATGCGGTGGCGGCGTCGAGACAGACCATCAGCACGTCGTGCTGGCTGGATATGTTGGACGCCCAGTCTTTGAGGTCTCCGGGGACGAAATGCTTGTTCGAGAGGCACGGGTTCAGGTGATCCATCTCGTGGGCGTGGGAGGTCGCGAATTGTGTTGCTAGGCTTAGCGTCATGCTGTCTAAGGCACTGTTCGTGGACAGGAGCGTGTCCATTGTCGTGCGAAAGGTGTTCAATTTCTCCTTGGTCCTCGCTGAGCACGAAGGTCTGGAGTAGTCGAAATTGCTTGATAAAAAGACTTCATGGTACTGGTCGCCCAGCGTTTGAGATTGGATGAGCGGAAGGATGAGGACGTCCGTTTCATACTCTGGATCCTTTGCCAGGGATTCAGCGCATTCCATCAAGTATTCCGTGCAGTGAAGATTGTTGGGTTTGCGCCATATCCATGAAGAGGTGGCAGAAAGGTAGTGGCATCCAAGATATACACGCCTGGCAGCCTTGCTGAAGAATCTGTCGCATTTCAACCCCCCTACGGTGTAGTGGTGCTCCAACTGGAGTCCGATTTTGCGAGCGGCTGCCTCGCTGGGAGGGTGGTCGAGGCCCATATCGATGCACATACTGATGGCTATTTGAAGCAGTTGATTGAATTGTTGTTTCATCGGGATGTAGAAGAAGTGATACCAGGCCAAGTAGACGACGAAGGCCTGTAGCAAGTCTATACTTTTCTCTCCTTCGATCGTGACAGATCGTAGTAATGACTCGCGGAAGCCTGACTCGAATCTTCTCTGCAGATCCTTGTTCTCCTGCGTCGAAATAGCGAGCACCGCGTGCAGGAGGAATGGTCGTTGTTGGGCCATTGAATCAACGGTACTATCTTCAGATATCATGACGAATGGCGAGTAGTCGCACATCCGACGATATTTGGACAAGTAGAATGTGGCGTCGTTGTAGCTGAGAGCGCCGTCTTGGAGCATTCGTGATATGGGATGTTTGCCTTGACCATCTAAGCCACAGGTCATTGACAGCTGAGGTTCCTGACGACTAGGCAGTGGCAATGGGTGATGGTTGGTCGTCTGCTCATTCGAGCCATTCAAGAGCACTGGGACGTGGGTTTGATCGATCGTGATCGCATCAGACTCAGAGGAACTGAGAGCTACTGGTCGTCTTTCAGGTTGGCGGCAGCGCTTGCTTTGTTCCAATTGTAGAGCCAAGTCAGAGACTTTAGCCTCAAGGGCAGTCACTGTGGCACGGTCCGCAGCCGACTTCCTCTGCTTTCGTGGACGCAACTCCTCGAAAACGCAATGGGCACCCGACCTTTGGCATTTTTGACATAGATCGCCTCTTTCAGGACATGGGATGCACCTAACTTTCAGATCACGGCAAGGCTTACAAGCTCGATCCGTCCGCTTCACTCTCTTTGAGCACCCGTTCATCGTAAATGTGCCAGACTCTCCATTCGGCTGTGCTACTGGGTCTCGAGGGCCAGGTTTTGCCAGCAACGTAGGTATTCATCTATTGGTCGGACACAGTCCATTTATCAGGCCCAGCATGTCGCTCCGAGGGTGATGAGACTACCTGTCGGATTTGGGAATGCACATGGTGTGCGGAAGTACAGTGTCTCGGTTTGGCCATTTGACATGGATGATTCAATAAAGTGTTGTCGAAATCCTTGGGACTCGGTCTGAGGGCAAAACGCGGAAGGTGAAACGAGCCGGTATTCTTTGTAATTTCATGCTAGTTTGTCAGGCGCCCAAGGGCGAAAAACGGCCTGGATCCTTTCCGGCACACTGTAATGCTCAATACACAGCAAAAGTCTGCTTTTGGAGGTGCAGGTTCCCCTCAAATCGCCCAAAGATGGGACTGTGTTGAGCCTTTCATTTCTCCATCAGTCCTGCTAAAACCCACCTATGAAGCAACGGACTACAGGAGAATTCACAAAGTGATCGGTAAGTGACTGTCCCAATTTCTACGCGATGTGCCCTTGGAGCCATGTGTATCATGCCGAGGCGGGGTGTCTATGCTCCCTGGAGGTATGTTCGGATCACAATTGCAAGCCGCTCGAAGGCAGAGCCACGGTTCATATTGTTTCCGGCACCTGTGAACTGATTTGATATATATACCATGTATTCCGAGGTAGTTGTAGATGCAACATGCTCTGTCATACTTCGAAAGCCTTTAAGACCGTCGGAAGAAGGTATTGTCAATCTTCTACCTCTGACCAACGCTTGGCCCAGAACATGTCTGCCATTCCCAAGAAGTATGGCGTCGTGCTGTATGATGGTTTCCAGCTGATCGATGTCTGTGGACCCATTGACGTTCTGAATGTCCTCTCAACACACGTCGAAGGTATCAGCCTCTCAGTCATAGCTCAGACTATATCTCCAGTCTCGACATTCCCCAAGAAATGGCCCGCTCAAATGGGTATGCTGCCTTTCACTACATCGCAGACCCTGCAGCCGACCCATACCTTCGAGGCCGCACCTCAACTGGATGTGCTTATTATCCCTGGTGGAATGGGATGTTTTGATCCAGACCCAATCAATGTTGGCAAGCCAGACCCTGCGGTTGTTGACCCGATCGTCAAATTCATCTTGGCCCAGTACCCAAAGCTACAATACCTCATCACAGTTTGCACTGGAGCTGGTGTTACCTCACAGACCGGTCTGCTTGATGGGAAGAAAGCAACAACATTTAAAGGTGCTTGGAAGGTCATCCCCCTCTGGAGGCCTCAAGTGGAGTGGGTGCCCAAAGCTCGATGGGTGGTCGATGGGAATATTTGGACTTCTTCTGGGGTTTGTTCTGGGACTGACTTGATGTTTGCTTTTGTCAAAAAGATTCATGGTGAGAAAATCGCAAGCGACATATCGATTTGGATGGAGTACACAAGGCACGAAGATCCGGAGTTGGACCCCTTCGGCATTGAGGAATCTTGACGGAGGAATGGCAAGGCCAAAGGAGAGGACTTTAGAGCTAGGAATCAATAGGGCCCTGACATCCGGCTCGTTCCATAATTGTCATCCGAATGGACTGAACCCGCTGGCCGGACAGACTCACAAATAACCCTCTCGGTCGAGGAAATTGACAGGTTGCTTAGATCAAAGTTAATTGCCGCTAGCGGAGGAATAGTATGTGTGGTGGTAGTGACAAGCTTTGCCGGATCGCTGTCACGGAGCTGTCACAGGATTTGCTGGATGGGCAACTATGGACAAATTTCTGCTTTGGGATGGATCATTACCTAATTAGCGATAGGAATGTCACGTCATACTTGGTCCTCCCGACTCATCTGAGCATGATCCCGAACTTCGATATCGATGAGGTGGATGCTGATGGTGCTGAACCCCTATAAAGAGGGACAGACATCAGGCTGCTATAGTTGAGCCGTGAGTCCATGGTTCCGGTGACGATAATTCTCCAATCAGGGGTCCTGACGGTATCTGAATTGCAGAATTGCGACATGATGGAGTTCCAGGGCTGCCAGAAACTTGTGCACCATCTCCATGAAAGAACATTGCTTGAGTCAATCACGATGGACGATCGCGTGACTGAGGTTCGCGTTCAAAATCCGCCCCTTCGGTTGACAGGATTGCCCATTTGGTCGAAATCCCGTCCAAAATATCGACAATGGTGTATCCAAATGGTGTGGCTTCCAATTCTTGTATTCGTGGTTTAATGCTCGGTACATCAGAGCAGCAGCCTTCCCACAGCTCAATAATTTGTTCTCTTGTTCGATTGTCAGGCCCGCTGAGCCATGCAATAAAGAGACAAAGGATCAGGTACGAAGAGCCAAGTGGCCTGAATGCATCTGACTCATGAGCCAGGGTGATTATTTCGTTCGTGTAATACGCGACTTCGACACAGAGGCCAGCCTGTGTTTCGTTGGACGAGGTGAAGGATCGAAGCAAACAGTTAAGGAAACAAACGGTGAACAGACTGAGTCCATACAGCCGTTGATAGTTTGCATACAGGATCCAGTCGCGTGGGGAGCAGACCGATCTGCATTTCGTGCCCGAAGAATCCGTTGCCTTGGATCCGGCATCCATATAGAGTTGTTGAAGATTTTTTGAAATGTTGACTGAGACATCGTAAATCTCTGCTGATTCATTGCGCAAGTCTGAAAATTGGTACTCCTCTCCATTCGTCAGGGCACGATGACGACGTTCTGCGATTTCTGGGACTCGAGCCAGACAACATAACATTTTTCCAACATCAGTCACATTTTCAAGTCTGTTTTTTATAAGGTGATCCCATTCGTCGTTTCTGAAACGGATTTTTCGATTGAAAAGTCCTTCGAAAAGCTGCCGGTGAGAAGTTAGATCAATTTGGGGTTGGAGAGTCTTCATATTCATACAATTGGTCCCCGCAACGAAAGAATCATTGCAGCCTCGAAGTCATCTGCTTCGTTGTACCGGCTGCCTTTGGCCTTGAGTATCTGTGCTGCACCATCCGAGTGGCTTGTGAATGCATTCCCAATCAAGCCAATAAAATACTGTCGGTCTTTTAGCATGCATGCTGCCAAACCTCGCTTGTGTGACTCACCTGGCATATCATCAACAGCATTACAGCACAGAGTGTGTTGGCGCTAGCAGCTAAGGCAGAGTCATCTAAAGTAGACCTAAGCTGGCTCAATGCATATTGGTATTTCGTCAATTCATCCACGGAGGCCACTTTTATGCCACTATTAAAACGACGATGGGACGCGACGAGTGCACTTGCTGCAGCATCCAAAGCTGGGTTCACACCAAGACGTTTCGGCACTTCTAGCAGGTATCCACCAAACGCCCAAGTCAAGCTATACCTGAGATCTGAATCCAGCGTGAATTTGACCCTATCGATAACGCCACCGACGAAAATGGTAAAATCATTGCTGGGTGAGGGAACGACCTCCAGTGGTGGAGACCGCTTGACTGGACTAGCGGAGGACGACGTTGACATCTCGTTATCTGAGAACTGGCTTTTAAACTTATATCTCCGCTCCCCGGAGCCAGTACAAGCAATTCCAAGCCGCCTACATCTTGAACAGATCGGTTTCGTCTCATCACACTGCTCTTCTGATCAGTCTTCCTTTTCTTTTCTTACAGAATTTCCTCAGTTGACTCACCTTCTTTTTCTGTTTTCTACATTGCGCGCATGCTCGCCCGGAAGGTACCCCTGGCATCTTGACAAGGCTATTTGGAATGTGGCTCTTGAGACATATTCAAATTACCAGAACCGACCGATGGACATCGATTTGAGCCCTAGGGGTTGAGAACCTCGATGTTACGTTATACATCAGGCCAGGAGTTTACCGACGGAAAATTCAAACATTCGCAAAGCTGCAGCGAAGCGTAGCACCAGTATTGGTTAGTCGCTACGGACGAGCACCTGTTGCAGCATAGCCCTTCTTGAGCTTCTATGGGGTCAAATGATGCTCCCAGATCATCAAAACAACGTTAACTTGCCGCTTTCTGAGGCTTTGAATGTGGCTAAGAACATCTTTCGAAACTAAAATCAAACTGGGTGCATCCCGTGCCGAAAGCTGAACGGTCAAAGGTGTTCCCAGCGCCATCTTCCGAGCGCAGAGGGAGCGCTACATACCACCTAAAGGGGTAAAGTTACGGCGGGTCTTAATTAGAGGGTTTGGCCGCTGCGGTTGGCTGAGCCCAAGGACAACGCAGAAGCACAAAACTCCCAACTAGATAATTATGGTACACAGCCCGCTCGATCGGCGCCAACGATTCCAGAATCCATCCTTCCATCCATTGGCTACGGAGTTACTCGAGCAATGTTTGCTTTGGGAATAGATATGCACGTGCGTCATAGCCACAGGAGCTGAGTGCTCACATGGAGATAAATGCCCTGCCAAGTTCGCCCTCTCAATGGATCAGAATTCCCAACTACAATCGAAATCAACAGTAAACATCTCGCTACCATATCAAATTACCTTAATACATCAGCTCAGAGAATTTCATTCTAGCAATTCAATCAAAATGCCTAGTTTCTTTGGGCGGAAAGATGACAAGAAGGTATGTGAAAGTGTCCTGCCCTACAAAGATTCCCCATGGCTGTACCACTGGAGCCACCAATGCTGACCAACACCAACAGTCAGAAAAAGCACAAGAGTTTGAAACCAAAGAAACACGAACGATGCATCTTCGCACAGACGGCCTGAAAGGCCGCAAAGCGCAGATCCTGGACGAGGACAACAGCACGGTGCTATACGACATCGATATAAGATTCCGGCGGCCGAACCTGACTTTCCGCAGCCCGGCGCGCAACAACGAGACCGTGGGCACCATCAAATTTAGCCCCATGACGAGGGCTATTGAGGCAGACACCGAGCACGGCACTATTCACGTCAAGAGTAAAAACTGGAAATGCTGCGACCTACCATATACGTCGCCTGCCTTCGGCGGACGCACATTGACGTGGCAGCGACGAACACCCTGGGTCGTACTGGATCACTATCTTATCGATGAGAACGGCCTTCCAATTGCGCGGTTCAGGCCAAAGTGCAGCTTCAAGAACGTTTGCGCCATTGATTTCGTCGACAGGGATCTGCCACAAGATGCTATCGACGAGATCATCATGACCGGCTTGGCTGTCTTGAAGAACACTGAGTACTACGCCTGTTCCGCGGCGAGCGCCGCGGCTAGTTCCAGCGTGGCAGCAGCATCATAACTAAGAGTTCAGACCAGGGGAGTACTCATTGGATAGTTAGCGTGTACAATATTTCAGGTGTTGAGTAGAGATACCCCCAGACTAGATTCAGGAAGTGTTCGCAATATGCTATGCTTGACCAAAGATGCTTGATGGGAGTGATTTGGATTTTAAGTAAAGAGTAGAGTACATTAGATGAGAATATCTATTTCGCGGAGATGTCTAGAAGCAATTTCAGAAACTGTGGCTAGAAATATACGCTGACAAATGTACAATACTCCACATTTATATCCCCAAAATCTCATATCAAGGCATTGGTTGAGCGCTGTTTGGTGTATTAACGACTGCCATCAATCGATATCGCGCTTTGCTGACCATTCAAAAGTTCTTCAGGAGTCTCCTCCACCAAGGCTGCTTGGCCGTGGTCTGGTATTCCTCGCCACTATCATCCTCCATATCTCCACCATCAACATCTTGACGTCTTCCATAGTCTAGATCTATGTCGTGTACTCGGCGATACGTTGTCTTGAAGACGAACTTGTAGCCGAAATAGATGATGGGGAACAAAGGTATAAGGATGTATGCGTCGACGAAATTGCCCGCGTCAAAAGGGCTGAGGGTTGTCCAACCTTGAACCAAAGCAAGGAAAACATTGGCACTCAGACCAAAGTAAGCGTTCCAGGGGTACCACAGCGACTTGAAGGGGAGTTGACGTTGGCTACGATTCTGTGCTTTCCAGGCGGAGCGGAAACGAATGTGGATGAAAGAGATGGCACCCCAAACCAGAAACGTGCTGACTCCAGACAAATTCACAATATATCCGTACGCTTTGCCGGCACCTGTAGAAATGTTCATCATGGATAGCGCTCCGAACAAGTTCGTAAAGATTATGGCGTAGACAGGAACCCCTCGGGAATCGGTGTAGCCAAGGAACTTGGGAGCCTTCCTTTCTTGCGCCATGAAGAGAACCGTTCGAGAACCGATGTAGATGGAGCTGTTGACCGCAGACAGACAAGTGATGAATATGAAGGTGTTTATCAAATGGACACCACTTTCCCAGCCAGCATTCTGAATTGCAATTGTCATTGGGCTCTTAAGCGCTCGGCTTTTCCCATTGATCAGAGCCTCAGCATTCCAGGGGCATGTCATGCCGAATGCAATTGCACTACCAATGTAAACGAAGATGATACGCCAGAAGACCTGTCTGATGGCCAGCGGAACTGCAACCTTGGGATTCTTTGTCTCCGTGGCTGCTACTGCGACTGATTCCACTCCTGCATAGAAGGTTGAGCAGAAGACGAAAACCGAGGCCACTCCACGGAAGCCATTGGCAAAAGCTCCTGGATCATTCCAATATCGGAATCCGAAGGCTCCATCTTGGCCGACCAGGCCGCCGGATACGTAAATGATGGAGAACAAAAAGTATGCCGTGAGTCCGAGAAGCTTGATCAGAGCGAGCCAAAATTCCGCTTCACCAAATGTCGTGACGCCCAGAAGCTGAAAGCCTAGAAATGCGGTCCAGAAGATCAAAAAATAGCCGTAAAGGGGAACTTTGTCGCTCCAGAAAACGAAGATCGAAGACAAAACGTTGTACTCATTGCTGAGCACCGCGATCCATATGATGAAGTAGTTCCAACCAACAGCACAGCCGAACGCAGGATCCACGAAGCGATCAGCGAGGCTGGTGAAAGCGCCGCCACTGGGATAGAGGGTAGTAATCTCTCCGAGTGACTGCATGATGCTGAAGGCGATGATGCCGATGACACCGAACCCGATCAATAGGGCTGCTGGGCCACCATTTGCCAGAGCACCTGCGGAAGAAAAGCGTTTAGCTCTCCTTCTCATGTATAGCGGGCTATTGAGTCTCTTACCCCCAGATCCAATCAATAGGCCCGGTCCAATGATGCCGGCCAAAGCCATCATACTCAGATGGCGGGTCTTGAGGCCTCGCTTAACCCCGCTATGGGGATCGATGGCCTGAAAGTCCGTCGCATTGTGCACTGAGGACCGGGAGACCGAGTCCTGACGTGGTTCCTTGAAGTCGGCCATGACTTAGGGCGATAAGTACGACGTGAGACTTGGATGCTGCGTGGAGGCTGCAAATATTGGAGAAGCGACATAGCTTTGATAAAGGTCACTGCAAAGCCTATATAAAGCATGTCGATCTCGTCATGTGCCAAACCATCCTGGCGACTGTGCTGATAAGAATATTGCCCAGACTGCTTGAATGTCGTGATTGCGGTAGAGACTTGGTGATTGGCCTGGCTGGGCCCGAACTAACCTCCTCCGCCTCAGATGGTGCAATGCTTGGCCAAGCATCACCAAGTGAAACCGAGAGCAGGTCCCCAACGCAATTTTCGCTTACCTTGCTCCTGTGATGGGAAGGGGACACGATCATTCCTAAGACGGTCCGAAGGACTCGTCAGACTATATGGTTTCCTAAGTACGTACTAGACTAGCGCCTGGGCGCTCTCATATCCGCTTCGGATAGCGCTCGAATAGCTCTCGGAGCTAGTTCGGATGCGTCGAAGCGATATAGTAGACCACGGTCTTTACAATCGCTTGGCATCGCCAATCACACTACCCTGGGGAGTGTGTTCTTATACGAGCTTCCAATGCTGAAGCTGTGGAACTCTGACTCTAAGTGTCCTTTGTACCGATGACGCCTTTTCAGAGAAGAGAATACCAAGCCGCTAGACAAGTCTGTGATTTCAACATGATGGTAGAAAAGTCTCCCAGAATCAGGCCAAGGCCAGCCTTAGATGTCCTTGATTTTGTCGCATTGCGTGAATGAGCAAACGAGTTCCAGCCTCCCTCTTAGAGGGCTGCTCTGGGCCTCTAAAAATTGAAGTCCTAGAGGCGAGGTACTTTCTTTCTGATATGTTCGGATGTCAAACCACAAAGTCCCAATGCGCCAAGGCTTACCTGAGACTTCAACTGGAGCGCAAAAGGAGAGACAAATACGACAAATACTAGCCTGTAGAAAGACACCATCACGCAAAGTAAGATTATTAGTATTACGCTGCGATTTCATGCCTATAAGAGGAATCGATTCCTCACAAACCACCAGATGATTACCTCCAACTCTCAAGACCCTCGAAACTCAACTCAAGTTATTATCTCCAGCTCCCAATTAAGTCCAGTACTCCTGTGCCCTAAAAAGCGAACAGTTAGGCTCAAACCCGCTTCAATTACGACGGAGCACCAATCCGTCTGCCAGCCTCTTAACAAGGAAAACTGTGGATTGGACCTCGTACCTCATGCCTCGATGGACCTTATCACAACCATAGACTGAGACACTGGTAGCTGCGGATTCTGCTCATCAATCAGATGTTGTGTTGATGTGCAGATATGCACTGGTTATCTTCCCTGGGGTGTTACACTTATTTGTTCTTGCTCGTTCTCCTGTGTTTTATGAGCAGCCTTGTTTGCTGTTTCCTCAGGGCCAATTTCCTGGTGTGTGAATTGGACCCAGCCAAATGTACTGGCCGTCTCTTGATGTGGGGCTGCGTACCTCGCACCCAGCCGAAGCTGTAGTCTTGCTGTGAGTTCTCTCCCTACAGTCTGGTCTGGCCTGGGCCTGTGCCCCGGACCTGGAGGCTTCTCTCATACCTGCAGCGTTTGATTCCCTGCAGGCTGTGATAACCTGTTGGCGCCAAAGTGACTAGCGCAGGCAACCTCATGACGACGAGCAATACGTAAGTGCTACAGCCTCTGGAATGCTTTAGAATCATGGAAAATAGGCACCAGGAGGTCATTTGCCTAGTAATTTTCTATATAAACTAGAACGGTGACCATAGAATAGAAGAAGACAGAAATCTCATCTACGCTACCTTGCCTAGTATCGATTGGCCCGTACAATTGCACAGTCCAAATCCTCCAACATAACCAATCGCCCTTGGTCCCGGGTATGCTGTGCGGAGTCCTCCTACACCTCTTCTCTCAGGCTGGTGATATTACTCGATGGCGGAGATGACTCAGACGCCACGAAGTGCTCCACAGAAAGGGCTCATAGTTGATTACACCCTGTAGCTGAGACTGTGCGGATTAGTTGGATGAAGGCTTCAAACCACCGAGTTAGCTCACTTGGAAGCAATCCAGCAGACAACACCTAGAAGAGCGTCAAGGCTGTCAGCTTCTCGGTATGGAGTATGATGCCATATCCACTAACACTTCTGGGTCTGTGAGTAAAGATTGCAAAATGCCACCACATGAATGCCCATTTTCCTCCATAGTTCCAACATCTTCTGTGGTACAATCTAGGTGAGAATTACACCAAAAGGTAGTCCTCGGATCTCTAAAAGGGGAATCATGATATCCAAAATCACCAAGGAGATCATTGCCACCAGAGATCTTACCGTCAGAATTTTGGGCTCGTGGAGGAGAAAAGCTTGTTCCGTTTCGATCTTACTCAGCCGATAGGATTTCCCCCTTTTTCTTCTTCGCATGCCTTGCCCAATAGGGGAAGATCGTCAACCCGGTTAGCCCAGAGAGCTTCAGAATCCGGCGGTGGTTTTCGAAAATCAGGAGTCTTTTTTCGAGGGAGTTTAGGCACCCAGACCTCAACGGCTCGGAAATGCTTGATCAGAGAGCCGTTTGATTGGTCGATTTCTATGAATAGCCAGGCTGCGTGGAACAAGAATATGGTGAACCAACATGTCAGGAATGAGCTTAACGTGGCTGGAAAGGGAAGAACGGCCGCTTTCAAGGAGAAAAGCCCAGAAGCCAAGGCTAGAGGAGATACAAAGAGCTAGCACCGCTTCAGCACATGGTCTTCCTGCATCGAAAGATGGACTTACCATCATCATTACCAATAGGGATTTATTCACAGTAGCCAATTGGGCTTGTTTGTTCCCTAACTCGACAGCCAAGTGGTTGAGGTAGTGTCGGCGCTGAAGAGCAGAGAATGAGTCAGCCGCTCCTATTTATGACGCGATTTCCGAAGGACAGTATACTTACGTCTCGGTTGTGTTCTTCACACCGATGCGATACAACTTCTAAGGTTTGCCGAAGCACCACAAGGCTTCTAAGCTGCCGCAATAGCGCCACTTTGACGCAGGATGGCGGCTCTTGGAACGTGGGCAGATTTCGGAAGATGATGGCATCATTATCAAGCAATCTCTCCACCCCATGTATAGTCTCCGATAAGGGGAATAGGAGGTCCCTTGCTAACTTCTGAAGGTTCCTGGTATACCCCGAATCTTCTTGGACTTTGGCATCATCTGCTCGCTCAGGGAAGTTTTTATCCCAGAACTGGAGCCCCTGTTATATCAATTAGTGATTATTGGACATGATAATGAGCTTCGACGCTGTTAACTAGAGAGATCGTGGTCCTGAAAAATCTCAAGGGTTGACGTGTCATGCTTGGGAAAATCTTACTCTCCGGAATCTTCGTTCCGATTGATCCACGTTCTCAATTAGCCGCTGCCACTCAGATGTTGCTTGGGCCAGGCGAACTCGAAGTACCATTAGGAAGTATTCTCTCGGGTCCATCACATCTGTATCTGTGGTTGTGAGTCCCCTCGTTAGTGGATCGGGACGATATAGTTCCCCGGAATCCACAAAGTCCTTGCGATAGCGAACCACGCTTTCCTTTCTATCTGTCGTGTCAAACCAGGTATCAATAAAGCAATAAGCCGTCCAACATTCTTCATCCAATCCAGTGATTGTGCATGAAATTTGCGCCTCGTATAGTGAATAGTGAGCGGAATCATTGGCATCCCAGTAGAGAAAGGACACATCATGGGAATGCCTCAAACTCTTGCCGCCCTTATCTTGTCGATGATCTTTTGTTTTATCCCCCGACCGAAGAGCATAGTAAGGGAGACTGAAACTCAGACTGAAAGGTAAACCATGATTCGTCTGTATTCCTGGTAAGCATTCCATGGTAGAATGTGAAATCATTGAGTCAGGAGGACCTACTTGCGTTGCAACTGAGACGAAACTCTGACCTACTAGATAATGATATATCGCTGCCTGAAGTACCAGAATATATCTCTTCGAGGCTGTAGATAGAAGTGTGTTGATACTGCTTGCGTCGATATTTGGGATCCATCTGCGGCAACCATGTTAGCTTCTCATTTTTCAGCAGACACAATATGGGATGTAAACTGACATTAGTCGTCGACCGATCATGTTCGGGGGTTCAATTCCAGGCCTTGCACCTTTGGGTTTCTGATGGGCCGTACTTTGTGAGGTCTGCGCGACTTATGCATCAGCCAGCTCTCCATATCTTGGTGAGCGTACCTACGAGATCCTTTAATACCTGGTAAAGCCCCTTAGCTGTGAGAGGAGCCAGAGTATTATTGTCGCAGCCATCCATGTCTCCATATTTCTTTTGATCGAATAGTGCAATGGGTGTCATATCAGCAGCACCTTTCCCTCCTTGGAGGGCTGGCAGGCTGGCACCACGTAAGAAAGTGTCAATTGCATCTGCTTCAGGAGAGATATCACTTTCGATGTCATCACGCAAGAGACAGGTGAGAAAGTCCTCTTCCAGCGGACTACTGTTGTAGTCTAGCCCGGATAAGCCATGATTGGCCTTCTGAGTAGTCTGTCCATAACTATACCTTGACTGCCATTCCAAACTAGCCGCTTTCCGGGATCCTATGACGGTCGCGTTGTCAAGAGAAAGGCCTCCCAAGGATGTATTGCATTCAAAAGTATCTGGCGCCCCGGTACGCCTGTGAAAGCTTGAGCGCGAACTTTCAGTCCCCTTGAACTCGATGGCGTGGGGAATATTCTTGGGCGTCGGTGGTCTAGTCTCCATCACAGAGTGGCAATATAACTCGACGTTACTCCCTAACCGATTCTGCACCTCCTCGAAGACGCCAACAGAGGGGACAATGTACGCAACTGTGGAGCGTTCACAGCCTGCTATGAGATGCCCATATAAGCCTCGAGTTTCGGCATCAAGAATCCAGGACCCACAATCACCCTTAAAGATGGGTGCATCGAAATCCACCCGATAGGTCATTTGAAATCTCTTTGAGTTTGGCATTCGGATGAATGACGGCGTAGCGCTCAACGTCCCGGTCGAGAATGTTGACGATCCACTGGAAGCCATAAAGGAGAGTATTTTACAATCTCGGACACCAGTCGGGATAGGGCATACCCGCTGCCACGTATTTGGGGGCATTGTACCCTCTGCCGCTTCACCGAAAGCCATTGCTTCGGGAGTGCTGACTTCGATGAGTGCATAGTCGAGGGTAGTAGAGAAGGCCGTGATAGGGTGTTCATCTGCGGTCACTTCACCTGAATTCAAGGCGAGAGGGCCTCTTGAGACCTTCAAACTGGTGGTGGCGGCTCCAGACACTGCCTCCCGATGAGGATTCTGGATGAGTTGTGCTTGGCTGGTGCGAGGATTGTCATCGACGCTACTTTCCATGCAATCGTCGAAATCGGTAACTTCGCTGCCATGATCACTGTCGAGCTCCCAACCCTCATCTTCCATGGGCGTAGTATCAGGGCACACGTAGGACACAGCTGTCTCAAAGGGGTGACCGGCCGTGAAAAGGAAAGTTCGTTCGTCGCATCGAACAATGCCGCCTACTGTGGCTATGTGAGCCTTAGAGTGTTTGCGGAGATTGTGTAACGTGAATAGTTTGTTATTTGCGACACGAATTATCCCAACCCTACCAGAGTGACAAGAGGTCTGAGCATTGTTTAGAGGCATGGTATCCAGAGCGAGCGGCTGCAGAGGACCATGAGATTCTAATTCCGGTGCATGTGGTGCATTTCCTGTCTTAATACCAGGGTACCTGTCCAGCAATCCGCTCTTATTCACAGCGTCTTGTGCTACCTTGCGGGATTGACAGTCTTCGCTGCAGAATAAAAGAGTCGGCACTGCTCTTGTGGCGTTCCTCCCGATCATATAGATAGAAAAGCTTACAGGCTCAGTACCTGGTCTTTGCTCAATACTGTTATTCAGATAGTCCTTGATCTCTAGTCCTAAGGTCACGAAAGCTTCTCGAGCAGGTCCGATCGCTTCCCAACAAGTCTTTTGTTTTTGTGTTAGATACTTCTTTCCCACCGATTGCTCCGAGTTAGGCCACCGCGAATCTCTGCTTAGAAAATTCTTCAATGGGTTGAAGTTAGTATCACTCATTGTACCTAAGACATGATGATCGCTGGTGCAGAGGCTTGTGGCGGGCGACGGGAGGACACAGTAGCTTTATTTCAGCGAAATTGAGTAAAGGTTATATCTATCAAGCGCGGAAATGATATTTTGTCCATGAGGGCAATGGGGAAGGTAAAGTAGGCTCAAGACTGTTGACAAAAATAAGAAGGAAGATAGTTTGAGCCTTGTATCGGGCAGTCTTGCAGACTACGCGGTCCAGTCACCGCGCATGGATGACTTTTGCTCTAGAAAGAGGGCGCAGCTCGATTCTTCTGCGTGGACTAGTGACAGGTGCGGTGTCTTGCTGATTTTCGACCCGATTGGATAGAACTTGAACCCCAATGCTGCAACAATAGCTGCGCCAGCAGATAGTCAGCCATCCTTCGTGTGCTTGTGCATGAAACCGGTGAGTGTTGTTAGGATGAACGATACCTTGTGCAGCCCTGCGGATTGTCCCAGGGTTGTAAACCGTAGGGTTGTCTATCACTGTCTGTGCGCGTGTATTAAAGATAGTAGGAGTTGTTGGAAAATGCGTTTCGACAAGATTTCGGAGTCTCGACTATTTTGAGACATGGAGGAATTAAACTTGCCTATGCAAGAATTGATGGCCTGCAGTCAGCAGAGAGCAAATTTGGTGAAACAACTATGGGGTAGTGACACGAGGCTGGAATCAGACGCCATGCTAGATATGCAACCATACCTTGAGTACTACCGAAAAGAGTGCTGCCACGCTTTGCATGACGGAGGCCGACATGTCATTTGCAGATATCACAGCGATATCCTGGAAATTGCGAAAGAAATCCTCAATGGTACACCCAAAGAACGTCTCAGGAACCAACTTAGATCCAGGTGGGCACAACCAAATCCTGAGAACTTAGAGACAGCTATTGATGCATCGATCGATCTGACTGCACGCCTTGTGTCCATGGCAAATATTGGGATGTTGCAGTTTGGTGTCTCTGCAGGGATAAAGCTTCCATGGGAAGGTGGGTCGATCCAGGATCTCATCAACGGGCACTTCGTACGGCCTGGACATCAAGAGGCAAATGCCAGACTGGAAAGAAATTTCAAAGGCTGCAACTTAAATCGGAATGCAGGGATAAAGATAGTATGGACAAGTAACCTTGCAGATCACCTTCGTATCACTGACGAAGAGGTTGCGGTATTCCACCACGCTTCGTTCCTGAAGCATCATCGCACGAGGTCAGTTACATCCGTCAGATGTCTTAGCAATTGTAGCTGACCCTCTTAGTGGACTCTTTCCATTAGAGTTTGTGGATGAGACCCTACAAACACTAGCTCTTCTGTTTCCGCAGAACGACAAGGGGACAATTCGGTGGCTCAACAGGAGGAGAAAATCATCCTCACAGTATATCGATCAACAGCTGAATAAATGTGGTTTTTTGAGAGATAAAGACCGGCAGATTCAGAAGTTTCGGTTTTGGCGAGAGCGACTAATTGAACTGGAGGATTTCTACGACGAGTACTCCCCCAGGACAATTCGGCAGCTATGGAGGGACAGGCGCGACGGTCTTGCATGGCATACCTTTTGGGCCGCGATGCTGATTCTCTTCTTAACAATCTTCTTTGGAATTGTGCAAAGCGTAGAGGGAGCATTGCAGGTTTACAAGGCTTATTTCCCGACAACGATGAACTAGGCCGGTATGACAGGTCAGCAACATTGACGTCCACCAGCAGCATGGATACGCCGGTTATGCCTCTCTTGAAGTCAAAATCTTACCTTTTGATATCAATGTGGGCGCAATCGTGGGCAAGGCGTGAGGTTTGGACGAGCAATAGTGTTTATTGTCATCAGCAGAGGATTCTTGTTCTGAAGACATTTCAATTCGACGCATAAGGATTGTGTTGATCCGATTACAAACCTTACCGTACCGCTGTGCAAGTGCTTGCGTTCACTATTAAGTGGGGAGGTTCGTTCTTTTGCCCATCTCATTGCTGCTAGGCTAACATCGAAGGCATGACTGATAGATGCTATCAGACCAGGTCTTGGCCGTAAAGACATGATCCTATGTCCAGAATTACTTGCACTTGGAATTGAACCAAGTTCCTTGAAGTGGAAAACGCCGCCTAGGCAAGGGCGATTCCTACATGACCATATTGTGAGGCAGTAAATACAAGAATAACCAAGTAACATTGGCTTTGCATAGAAAATGTCTGAGTATGTGACTCGTGGGAAGTCTGAAGTTTTTGGGCAAGGGGGACAACTAGGCCAAGCGAAGGTCGAAGGTGAGGATTAGGATGGCAAGTATATGCATAACATGTACGAGCAATGGCCCATGGGACGATGTTAGGCTTTTTAAAGCGGCAGGGTGGGGTTTTAGACTGGTCCGGGTCGAGAGTCACGTGCTGATAAGATCTTACTATAAGGTCGGCAAAAAATATTCGAAACAAACATCTTCGGTCAGTGCGGCTGCGCCCTGCCAGAACCATCTCTAGCATACATAAGATAGCAACAATGCCGCCACTTAAAAAGAGGAGAATCAGCCCCGAAGATCCTCCTTCGAAACATACAGAGAACGACGTCCCCTCCACCTCTGAGGACACTACAGGAAGTGGAGATGATGGGGAGCAACTCCATCAAAAATCGTCAGCACCAACAACGTTCAAAGAGCTGGGCATAATTGATTCGCTTTGCGAGGCTTGCGAAGCCCTGGGCTATAAAGCGCCAACTCCGATCCAAGCAGAATCTATACCCTTAGCCTTACAAGGTCGAGATCTCATCGGACTTGCGGAGACTGGAAGTGGAAAGACTGCGGCCTTCGTTCTGCCCATACTTCAAGCGCTGATGGACAAGCCGCAGCAACTACATTCGTTGATACTGGCTCCGACAAGAGAATTGGCATATCAGATTGCCCAAGCAGTCGAGGCTCTGGGATCACTGATCGCGGTCCGATGTGCGGTCCTGGTAGGAGGTATGGACATGATTCCACAGTCAATCGCGCTTGGAAAGAAGCCCCATGTTGTTGTGGCTACACCTGGGAGATTGCTGGATCATATGGAGAACACCAAAGGATTTTCCCTCCGACAACTCAAATACTTGATCATGGACGAGGCGGATCGACTGCTCGACCTTGATTTCGGACCCATTCTGGACAAGATATTGAAGATTCTCCCAAAGGAAGGACGCAAGACATATCTCTTCTCCGCCACAATGTCAAGCAAGGTGGAGTCTTTACAGAGAGCTTCATTGACAAATCCTCTGCGAGTCGCAGTCTCGCAAGACAAATACCAGACTGTGTCAACTCTCCTACAGTCCTATATCTTCATTCCACATAAACATAAGGATCTCTACCTCATTCATCTTTTGAATGAAGTAGCAGGTCAGACAGGCATTATATTCACGCGAACAGTAAACGAAGCACAACGGATCTCAATCCTGCTTCGAATGCTCGGGTTTTCCGCGGTACCTATCCATGGCCAGCTATCTCAACAAGCCCGCTTAGCAGCATTGAACAAGTTTCGTGCAAGGTCGCGGAACTTACTGGTAGCATCCGACGTCGCTTCTCGAGGCCTTGATATCCCGTCGGTAGATCTTGTGGTAAATTTTGACCTACCTCATGATAGCAAAACATACATTCATCGAGTGGGACGTACGGCTCGAGCAGGGAAAAGTGGCAAGGCAGTATCTTTTGTTACCCAATATGATGTTGAGCTGTGGATGAGAATAGAAGGAGCACTCGGAAAGAAGCTGAACGAGTATGAAACCGTCAAGGAGGAAGTCATGGTTCTGGCTGAGCGTGTTGGTGATGCCCAGAGAGCTGCCGCGATGGAAATGAAGGAATTGCATGAAAGCAGAGGCAAGAAAGGTGCAACTCTGCGGCATACGCGCACAGGTAAAGCCGGCACTGGAAAGCGAGGCCGTGATGATATGGATCGAGATGAGGGATAGGATTGGAATCCTAAATAATGTCACGACTGCAGACGAGAAATACCCATTGCGTACTTTCAAATATCGCCTAAGAACTTTGCAACTTATCCCTCAAGGAGGCAAGAATCCTGCGTATGCCAAACTTTAACTTCCTACATTTCACTGTTCTTGTGAGATCTTTCAGCCTGCGTACAAGTTACCACACCTTCGACGCGCCGCACTGCTGGCGAGTCAAGGAGGGCCAAGCTCATCGACTTCGCTCGATTCGGTGTGAGCACAGGGCAGCATCATTTCTCGTCCCAAAGCGGCTATATAATCTTGGCGCAAAAGTTGGAGATCTGCGGCCGTGGACTTTTTGAATTTGTCTGGAGATCGATATATCCCACCAGCCTATTCTCATTCTCCCATTAAGCAGAATATATCGCATTGTACATTGTGAACCCTCGTCGACCGTTATTTCATATTTCCGGCTCTGCTCCCTCAACTTTGCGTCCAAAGACTCCTATTTTCCCAAGTGTGCCGCCTGAACAGCAGGCAAGATGCAGGCACCGGTTGTGGTTATGAGTACGCATTTCTCCTTTCTTCACAGAGAATCAACCCACTGACACATGTCGCAGACACCGGCAATGGTGAGAGACAAGTTGGTCGAAAAGCACAAATTTCAAATATAACCGCGGCCAAAACGTGAGTGCCCTCCCACCACCCCGCCAATTCCATGGGACTGACAGAACCCAGGGTAGCAGATATTATCAGATCATGTCTCGGTCCGAAAGCCATGTTGAAGATGTTGTTGGATCCCATGGGAGGCATAGTATTGACCAACGACGGCCATGCCATCCTGCGAGAGATCGAGGTCGCACACCCCGCAGCCAAGAGCATGATCGAACTGAGCAGGACACAAGATGAAGAAGTAGGAGATGGAACGACAACTGTGATAATACTAGGTATGCACCTCTGATATGAAGTCTACAAACAAGACTAACGTCTCCCGTCTAGCTGGAGAAATGCTAGCGCAGGCCCTTCCACAACTCGAACGAAACATCCACCCGGTTGTGATTATCCAAGCGTTCAAGAAAGCCCTCGCGGACGCCCTCGCAATCGTGGAAGAGATCTCGATGCCTGTGGACACCGCCAGTGACAAGCAGATGTACCAAATCATCGAATCCTCCATTGGCACCAAGACCAGCTCCAGATTTTCCGATCTCATGTGTTCCTTAGCTCTGAAAGCTGTCCGCGTGGTATCACAAGACCAGACATTCTTCTCCAACGCCCCTCAACCGAACGGCGCGGCAAAGGCAGCCTCACCGATAAAACCCCAAGAAATCGACATCAAGCGATACGCCCGGGTGGAAAAAGTGCCGGGTGGAGAGATCGAAGACTCACGCGTGCTGGACGGCGTGATGCTGAACAAGGACATCACGCACGCCTCGATGCGCCGACGCATAGAGAACCCACGAATTGTGCTCCTCGACTGCCCCCTCGAATACAAAAAGGGCGAGTCACAGACCAACGTGGAGATCACAGACGAAGACTCATGGAACCGCATCCTGCAGATCGAAGAAGAGCAGGTCAAGAAGATGTGCGACGCCATCCTGGCCGTGAAGCCCGACCTGGTCATCACGGAGAAAGGCGTATCAGACCTCGCGCAGCATTACTTCGTGAAAGCGAACATCACAGCGCTCCGGCGCGTACGCAAGACAGACAACAACCGGATCGCACGCGCGACGGGCGCCACGATCGTCAACCGGGTCGACGACCTGGTCGAATCCGACGTTGGAACCGGCGCAGGGCTGTTCGAGATCGAGAAGATCGGCGACGAGTACTTCACCTTCATCACGAAATGCAAGAATCCCAAAGCATGCACAATCCTCCTCCGCGGCCCGTCAAAAGACATCCTCAACGAGATCGAACGCAACCTGCAGGACGCCATGTCCGTCGCCCGCAACGTCATGTTCCACCCACGGCTCTCGCCCGGCGGCGGCGCCACCGAGATGGCCGTTTCGGTCCGCCTCGCCCAGAAGTCCAAATCCATCGAGGGCGTCATGCAGTGGCCGTACCGCGCGGTCGCGGAAGCAATGGAAGTGATCCCGCGTACGCTGATCCAGAACGCCGGCGCCAGCCCGATCCGCATCCTGACGCAGCTCCGTGCGAAGCAGGCCGAGGGCAAGTCCACGTTCGGCGTCGACGGCGACACGGGCAATGTCGTTGACATGAAGGAGTACCGCGTCTGGGAGCCCCAGGCCGTCAAGATGCAGAGCATCAAGACCGCCGTCGAGAGCGCCTGTCTGCTACTGAGGGTCGATGATATCTGTGGTGCGAAGAGCGCGAAACAGGTCGGTGGCAGTGGCTTGTCGGGTGGTGGTGGCGAGGAATAAAGGCCAGAAGGGAAAAGAAAAGATCGCCGAGATGGAATGTCCTGTGCCACAGGGGACGATGACGATGTCGACGACCGGCCGCCATGGTTTCTACACTGTGAACCAGCTGCCTGGAAATGGTCTAGATGAGAGAATCACTGATGAGAATGATAGAATTACAAATCCGGACATCTATTGACTCCCACCGATCGAGGGAACATTAGTATTGCTTCGTACGTGCCAGATGGCGTCTCCGCATGATCGTGGTGACAAAGTCTCCAAATTCAAAGAAAGCATCCGGATGAATAAAATTACGCTCGTTCACAGATCCGCTGCATACGTAGATTGCGCTACGAAAAAACCTTTTTGGGTTCTAAAAGATGGCGGTTCCGCCGTGGTGGCATGTGACCCTTCCCAGTCTATGCTTCAGCTGTGAAGGTACCTTCTGCATCTGAGTCCAGTATCAAAGCCCCCAGCGTATCTGCAGCGCTCAACCAGAAACATCAATCAATTAAGAGCTCGTCTGCCCTGGGCAGGCAGCACGTGAGTCAACCCCGTATTACGCTCACATCTTTCGTTACCGCTGAAGAGCAATCAAGGAGCGCCGCCAGGTAGGATGCATCCCGGTTGGCTCCCCTCAAGTAACAGCAAACTAACCGCAGAGGGATTATTCCTCCTCACTGACCTCACTCTCATCACTCTGTTGGTGGTGGTGGTGGTGCTGCATTCCAATCCCTAGCCCAATTGCGGCACTGGCAGCCTCGTCCTCTTCATCTAGCGCAGCCTCCAATTCAGCGGCAAGCAGGTCCTCGTCGTCCTCGTCATCATCTTCATCGACCTGCATGCGATCGGTCCTTGGGGCTGGAGGGGTTGGTGCCAGCCCGCTGTCCTCCTCGTCATCATCTTTTTCGACGTGCGAGGAATTCAGCAATGAGGAAGAAGGTCGCTTCTCCTGCGGACTGCCGAGCTCGAATTCTTCGACATCCCCGTCTTCATCCGAGGGCGAAGACTCCGCTTCAATGTCTTTCATTGACACGTCTCGATCTCTTTTGCTGCCAGCAAGACCGTCCTTAGAGCGAGATTCGTCATCACGCCTCGATAAGGGTCTGCTGCCTGCCATACCGACATTCGAGCTATGGCCGCCAATCGGTGTGCCAGTGTGAGAGCGGAACATCTCTGGGTCGACTCTGTTCCTCCGATTGCGATCTTCTGGTTCCGGACTGCCCATATCAATCTCGAGATCACCATCGTCATCGTTGATAATTATATGGGGGGAGCTACCGATGTTGGCAGAGACATTCCTGGTATGGCCTTTGGCACCAGGGGGTTTGGAGCGTTGTGCATTATTGACAGCTGCTGGACGGGATATCTTGGGCGCAGGGTTACGAGATACAGCAATGGTCTCGCTGTCAGCTTCAGAGTCCGAATCTGTTATTGTCTCCTTACTCAGGGGCTTGGAAGCTGTGCTTCGCTTGGCGGATGTGGCGTTCTTTGCAGTTGTGGAAGATGTCGAGCGGGAGTGGCCTAGTCCACCACGCGAAGATGAACTTTCTTCTTTCTTCTTACGTTGTTGAGGCGTCGATGATGCTTTTGGCACCGCACCAGTAGCTCGGAATTGAGGTGTGGTGGACACAAAGCGACTGGCGCCGGGTGGCACTGGAGTTGTGATACCACTGATTGGAGTACGGTTCCCAGCCTGTTGTTGAGTGGACTTCTCAAGGCTCTCCCGTGCTTCAGCGATGAAGTGGCGGTAGTCAAAGGGGTTTGACGAGTCACCTGGCTCGTCTTCAATCGGAGGCGAAGATTTGCTTTTCCCTGTTGATTGTGTATTGTCATTCGACGACTGGTGATGATTGCTGTCATTGTCTGGCAGTTGGGGCAGTTTCCGAGCGGATTTGGCGGTATATCCCGCGCCAGATTTAAGATTCATGTCGAGCGCGGTTGAGAGGGACTCAAGCACGAAAGCGGATTTGGATTTATCAAAAATAAGAGCAAGGTTCTTTGTAGATTGGTTGGAACCGCCACCTGAATGTTGGCGATTCAGGGTGCCGCTGTACTGAAATTCACCTCCCTCGTCATCGTCGCTGTCGGCTGGTCTGAAGCGGAGATCATATTTGTCGCCAGACTTGGTGAGCTTGCTTCTGCGAGAAGTGAATCCGGATTTTGGCTGCCAGTTATAGCGTATGTTGACAAGTGAGTCCTTTGTGTTGCTGCTCTCGTTTTTCAGGCTGGCTCCTAGAATAATCGGATAATCTGCTGGTCGTCGTGGATCAATCCAGCCCGCAGGGCGAGTTGGTTGGAGAGCTGGGGATGCCATTGGGGAGGACTTATTAATTGGACAGGTTGGATGTCTTGCGTAGGCTTTCAACGTCTACGTGTGCGAATTCCAAGGCGAAAGTGAAAGTGTCTCTTCGTTGCTTAAGAGGGGTGTGACAGGGTATCACCACGCAATTTGGGGACAATCCAAACAGGGTCTGCCTATAAATAAGCCAGACAAAGAGATATGAGACAAAGGCGGTATGTAATAGACAACCTATCACAGACAGGATATAACTATGCCCACTCCAAAAGCCTAGAGAATGAATGAGAAAGGGCCGGACTCCAAAGAGATCGAAGAAATGGAAATCTGGGGAAGTGAATATGGAGAGAGTTCTAAGTGGAAGGAGCTGGCCGAGGAAGGAGGTGGGTTTAGTTAGAGAAGGCGCGGTGGTGGTTCTGGAACATTGTTTCTCCTAGCTCCGGGCGGCTTTGCCGCTGCCGGGATGCCCAGCCGCGCCTAATGACTCAATGAGCCTTGCGACGGCCCCACAGATGTGCCTGCCCTCCCTATGTATTTCACCCCGCCCCTGCCAACAAAGGATTCGGACCAATACCCGGACTTGGGCAGTGACTGACCTCCATCTCCATCTCCCGTCTTCCACGCACACTCACACTACTGGTACCTGGGGCACCATATTCGATACTAAGCCTGGCTTACACAGCCTAACGACGAGATGTCAACTAGGTAAGACTATGTGACACATAGTTAATGGCTGTCTGGACTGTTGTTCACAAAGGCACAAACTGCTCTCAGTAATTCATTCATCATGGTTCATGGGGTATCTCGTGCATTATCGGTCAACAGGCTCGGCCCCGTCGGCTCTGATCTTATCTAGTCATTAGACTTCATATCCAGCTGCTGAAGTTGTCGTTCCAATTCGTCAATAGTCCTGTTAAGCATCACAGTTGCTCCTCGGCTCAATGGCCTTAGAAAAGCACTCATCCCATCCTCTGTTTCTCCAACTGCATCCATGAGTCTTTCATCTTGCTGCCGCCTGGCTTCTTCAGATCTGTGAGCTATCGTTCTCCCCCGTGCTATGACTGTTTTGAGAAGTGAAGTCGAGTTGGCGTTTCGTGCCGACAGGTACACCCAGGATAGAACATCTTCCACCCCACGCGGAGGTTGGGTCAAAGCGTATTTCACAAACCCTCGTGCCATGAGAAAGGCCTTTTCGCTGTATAGCTCCGATTCACGGGTGTAAACTTTGTCATTTTCATAGCCTTCAAAGCCTGCTTCGTTGTAGAACGGTTTCTTGACAAATACAAGACCTTGTAAAGACACAAGTAGCTGGAGGAGGGTGGCTTTCTCGCTCCATTTCTCACAATCATGCTTACTTGCCCACGTGCCTAGTAAGCTTAAGCAGATCTTACCTTCCTCGTATAGATTGGGGTTGATGCGACCTAGTCCGCTGGTCCAGCTATGAAAATGAGCGAGAGGAGGGTCGGTAGGGAATCTCTCTGGCAGGTAGAGGTCGATCAGAAATGGCGCATTTTCATAAGGTGTATCCCGTGGCCCAATTATTAAGCAGCGCAGTAAGTCCAGCCGACTCTCATAAGTACGCACATAAATTTCACCAGCTGGGAGTGATGTCGCTAGTGCACCATGTTCCTTCACTATTCGCTTCAAAAACGTTCCTGCTGTTGGGGCTGAACGCAAGCCGAATTGATCCGAAGGCGGATCCTGCTCCAAAACAGCAAATTGAGGAGGCGGTTCAGCAGCAAGCAGCTTCTTGAGGTGAATTATACCGGCCAGCTTACTGGGACTGTCCGGCCCAACAGCAATCCCATTGTTTGCCGTCATATCAACGTCGCCGGTGTCGCTTAGCTCTTCTTGAGCATCAGCAAATTCTACGTAGTCGTCTTCGTCGTCTTCCTCACCGTTCTCTGACTCCCAGTTTTCACTGTCACTATCATTGTCAAGTCGGTGACCTCCCTCATATTCTACTGTCTCCAAGATTGGCTCAATGTCCCCATCATCTGACCATTCAGACCCGCCAGAACCGAGGACAGAGTCGAGATCCATAGCGTCGTCACTAGCGTCGTCTGGAAAATCGTCGCCGTTATCGAGGAGCGCCAAGATGCAATCTGAACTGATCTGAATATCTTGGCAGGGTTGAAGTCCTCCTAGTCGCACGGTGTTCGAGCCGTCAAGGCCAAGGGCGACTATTTCACCAAACCAATCAACGGGATGTTTAGATTTGCTTGATGACTCTGGTCCTGAGCCACCAGAGCCCCGAGGGAAAGTTCTCTGCCATCGTGGCTGTGTTGCCTCCGATGATGTACCAATGCTTCTAGCAGATTTGCTCACAGAAACACCATGAGAGCTAGTTTCACCTTGTTTGGATGCCGTTGATGCTTCTGGTTTTGTAAGGATGCACATGTCTCTGCGTTTCCGTTGTAATGCAGGGAATGACATGATCTCATACAGCGAAACGTCCTCGATATCATCCCCGATGGGCCCATACCGGGAGTGGGGGGATATCGTTTCTCCATTCGATCGGAGTTCAATCTTGGGTTCTTTAAACCAACGTACTGTGGCCACTCTTTCTATAATATCAACATTCTGAATGATTCCAACGCTCGTTGGCAGGAGATCATGGGGACTCTCAAAGAATGCCATCTCATCGAAATCCCTGATCCCCGCCTGACCATGGCCTCGAGGTCCCACCGCTCTTTGGCGCATGCCTTCACGTTTGAGTACGACATCAGTGGGCGCCAAATCTGGCTCAAACAATGCATACCCATAGAGCAGTGCCGAATCAACTGTTGAGACTGACCCGTCCTGCCAGAGAACAGTGGTTGATTGTTTTATTTGAAGGACTTTAAATTCATTCAAGTCCCATCCATAGAATAGTTCCGGGTCAAACCTGAGGAACTTGCCATGAAGTGTTCCATCAACGCCCTGGTATTTGACGGCCGCTGCAGTAGGATCACGAAACCTCACGTGATCCCCAACTTCAATGTCTTGGCCAGAACAGATATCTCGATAGTCAGTGATTTCGGAACCTTGCTGTCCTTGGACTCCGTTGGAAGAGTTTCCGAGATGAGCTTGAGCCTGATGCTTGAAAGGCATTTTCCCCGAGTCATATATGATCATATCCGTCCGCGGCCTCAAGGCAGCTGAGCTCTTGAAGTCTCTACTGTTTTGATATGGTTCCAGCTCATAGGGCGGGCTAGGTCGCACCCGTCTCTTGCGAACATTGAGAGGGAAATTCCGTTGTTCCCAATGTACCGCAGCCTCTCCAGCTCGAATCTCAAGGATTGTTCCCTGGGGAGGCAGTTTAGGATCATAAGTGCCTCGTAGCCACCGCCCTCTACGCAGCACCATGCGGTCTGCGACGACAAATTGCCCAATTCTTGGATGTATCAAGGGTACAGTATGGGCCCATCCTTGGAGAGCCACAACTCCGTCGGGTCGCCACACATCGCTCTCTGGGAGCGCAATGAGAGGCTTTCCGTTGTCTTTCACAGGCAAATAGAGGCCGTAGAGGTTCCTCACTACCACAATTGACAGGTTTTCGAGACAGATGACTATATCGTATTGAACATCTTCCACCTGCCCGACCCAATCCTCAGCTATCAGATAATCATCCTTGACCAGGTCTTGAGCTCGCCTGAGTTCCCGCGACGGAACATCATAGAGGAGGGCGTGAGGATTAGGATGGGGTATTTGTGGAGATGTGGAGGCCGGGCAGTCGAACCCGCACTTTGGTAGCTGTTGCGGACTTGGGTACGGAGATGTGAAGTAGCTTGGACAGCTGAGGATGGGGGCAAGGAGATAGGATTCGGACAAGTTCACAACTGCGCCCGTCATGGGTGAATTCGCTCGCTTGACGTTGTCGCCGATTTGAAAGGTGCGAGACAGCAAACCGATATCATCCTCACTTAGCAGCGCATTTCCAGCGGACTCGTCTTCAAACTCGACATAGACATAGCCAGGAGGAGGTACGCCCGCCTGGACAAATTCGTTCAGGACGTCAATGGGCACCTCAGTATATCCAATGATCAAGTCATCGTCCAACGGCTCGTAGGAATCGGTATGTGTACGCTCGACAGTACCATAGAGAGCCGGGTTGTCCTTGAGGAAGACATTATCGTAGAGTTCAAGAGCTCGCATCTGTTCGATCAAGTTGCGAGATGACTCTTCCGCGTCTTCGTTGCGTCTGCGTAAGTGCCGCGGGGTTGTAGCCACCGACAACTAATTAGGGCACACCGTGACTGACGGTTGGGCAACTTTTATAAACGAGGCGGGCGCACGCCCAAGGAGACTTGCAAAAGGAAGGTGAACCGATCACTAAACAACCCCCTCCTCACCCCACTTCGAATCTATTTATCCACGAACATCCATCCATCCTTGTCGCCAGGTACCCTTGGACAGTTTTCGCTGAATGCAGACAATGAAGGACCTTGGAAAATATCCCATCTATGATGGGCTATGTAAATTCGGTTCGGATCATTTGTCCGCTAGCGTCTGAGACTGGAGCGATGTGTCTCGCTCCTGGGATCAGGGAAGACTAATCACTCAAAGGGGGAACAGCGAGATATCCCCCAAACCATCCATCTGCAGCCTAATCTGCCTTTGGCCAATAGAACAAGTCGCAAAGTCATAAAGGGTGAGGCAGTGAGGCAGGATTTTCTGTTAATGCAGCCAGCCAGTCGTCACATCCTCGTCACCAACTGCGCAAACAGGAGGTACATTCGCTCAACTTCTTGGTACTAAGGATAGAGCAAAGCTCATCAGTATCGTTGCTTAGACTTCCAATGTATTGTTGCTTGAAGACAGAGGTGCTTACCGTCGCAGGGTCCGTGAAAACGCCTATTTGATCTGCATGATCTATTGTGCTGTTCACTCCCAGATGCCAATACCGCCCCCTCCGATTGTTCCATTGGAACCCTCTGATATCAAGCACAAACTGGTCGTCTGGGCCGCGCATAGACATTGTGTTGACGATCCCATCATTTGGTTGAAATTCCTCAGAGACTTGTTCCGGTCTGTTGCGGATGTTATAACCACCCATGGCGAAGGTTGGCAGCATGAGGAGTGGTAGCACATCAGACCGCGGCACCCGTGCACCTGGAAGAGGGATTCTGTTGAAATATCCCAACTGTCCCAGGTGCTCATTCGCCACTTGCACGAACCATCTCGCATAATCGATACTGGTAGGGCTGAATGGTAGCTTCGAATATGCCCATGCTCCAACGGAAAAGGGGAAGCCTCCCGGGTTAGCGAGCCAAGATATCGGTGCGAGAAGTGGATTCATTGGGAAGGTCTGAGAATTTCTGGGAGTTGGACTAATATCCGGAAATCTCAGTGTCGCATCAAACGACATTGTGAAATATGTGATATAGGGTGAGGGATCAGGCGCAAAAGCATTCAAACAGGCCACGCCCTCAATGCTGTTATCGTAAAACCCGTTATGCGGATGGGACTGTTGTCCCGGTTGTACCTGAGGACCCTGCCACCACTGCGAAACGATACCTTGTATCCGAAGAAACATGACCTGAAAAGTCTCCCCTGGCAACCTCGAGAAACCCCAGTGATCTAGCTGGAGATCATAGAATCGGGGAGTTCTGAAAGAAGTCGAAGCAACAAGTCGCGCGATGATTTCGATCGAATTTTGAGGCAAAAAGTGCTGGGATGTCACACCATTAGCACAATCTTTCTGGTTTAGTGTTTGTAAGTGTTTGCTAGAGCCTAGCCTTACCCTAACAACATCTGTGACTGTTGTTCCTTTATGCGGCGTCCCTACTGTGACGACGGATCTGATCCATCCCTGATGACACACATCAGGGAAATATACGGGATGAAGAGCCTGGTGTCTCCCACTCATGAGTTCGATGAGCATTCGAATAGTATTCCCGCCCTGGGAATGACACAAAAAGTGAACAGGATTCCCAGTGCCCCAAGTCCAACCGCCGGGGAGAGCTCCATACAGCATTGCTCGCTTGGTGGTGCCATTCCTATTATATCCATATTGGGCGGGATATATCGGGCCGTAGTCGATTGGTGTTGAAGTTGCCGGAAAGGTAGTAGGGGTATCAAATGCTCTGTATCAACTGTCAGCGTCCTTGTACGATTATAGTCGATTTCTCGCCACATGACTTCACCGACATACCCAGAACTAAGCTGTCTGTATACCTCACATGCTCGTTCCCAGTTACTGGAGAGCGGACCAATCCTGACGACGATGACTGTGTATCCTGCATGCAGAAGCGCGGTAGGGATATCTCCGAAACCACCCCAGTAGTTGATAGTTCCGAATATAGCCTCCCCCCAGCCTGAAAAGCCAGATACTAGAACCAAAATTCAGAGCGAACTCCGGTACATGAATGATGAGGCTGAAAAACGTACCTAGCACGATAGGATTTGTCAAATCTTGTCTCTGAGCCTGATTGTTGCCCACAAGAGTCGCCAAATTTTGAATACCCTGGTTGACTGCCATGTTTAAGGAGAAGGAGAAATGCTAGCAACGGGACGCATATTGTTCTACAGAAATAATGGCAGTGCCCCTCCTATCTTAATATTGTTTATCTTAGAATGCTCTTCTCACTTTGGGTGGGCCTCCTCGTACTCAGCCGCACATATCTCTCATCAACCAAGGCAGTAGTTCTCGTGTTCTCGTTGAGATCTCTCGATTGGTTGATGAAATACGAATGTTCGCGGTGCCTCTCCCTGTCTGTAATCCCTTGCCATTGGCTCACTTTCCAACCATAGGTGCGACCATAGGCCCTCGATGCTCCTACGAGGCATACCGCTCGTAATTTCCAGTGCCTAGCCTCACAAAAGATCCCATTTGACACCCAGAACACGACTGATGCATAAAGTACGAAGTCCGCATGGATCCATCGCAATCTCCAGAACCGGCCTTTGAGACGCCGGAGGTTGCTTCAGATACTTCAAAAATGATCATATGGAAGGAAACAGCCCTTGCATCTATTTGATTGATCTCATCGGCATCGAAGGGGCCGTATACAATTCGGAGGTCACTGTGACATGAATCTGTGACAAATAAGTATCATTGTTCCTGTAAACAAATACGATCCAACACATTCGAATAAGAGTTATAAATTGGCTTGCGTATGTACCCGGTGCTGAGGGGCGTGGAGGTAAGCCCACTCCTCGTATTTCTTATGGGGCCGGCATCGGGGAAGGGTAAGGCTGAACACATTTCAACGTAAACACGAACTTTCACTGTCCGTGTGGCTAGAAAACATTTGGCAACTACAAGGCCGAAACATCTTTGTCTTGGATCTATCACAACTGCTACCCTTGTTGAGCAAGATCTCTTTCTCCCCAGGCGGAACAAGCTGGGGTCGCCAGAATCTCCTTCGTAAGAAGCCCTTCTGCAACTACCGCTCGTGAGCGGGAAGTCTGCATAACCTCTCACATGCCGCATGCTCAAAGCGACACAAGCAACCCCGTGCCAATCGACCTGCACGGAGTTTCACGTTGGTCGTCACAAAAGAGACTCCTTAGGGACCATGTGGTCAGCTAGTTGGACATCAAACCATCGAATATCTTTCGGCGGGCTATCCTCCATCAACATTGAGGCCCCAATTCCCGTGAAAACGTCTGTCAATCACGAGCTGTCTCCCATAGGAAGAACAAATCAGCTGGCAGTATCTGAAGTTTCACCATTCGCGATCACCGTTCCTGCCTAGGATACTGTCGCTGAAGCTTAAAAAATAGGTGTCATCTACCGGGGGCTGATCCAAATTGTTCTGGAGTGATGCCTCGAATTCAGTCCAATATAGACTCAACAGATTATTCCCCAACTCAAGCATCATCCCTGCAGTCATATGTAAGACTGTGTCCTCGATGTGCCAGTCTTAACTTCTGAGCATCATCAATGATTGGCTGCCCATGAACGCTTCAAAAGGGCAGGAAATGGTCTAGGCTATCTTGGTGGTGTCCAAAGGCTCGCCCTTGAGCATTTGAGCTGACAGTCGGATTACCCTTATTTCAGCATCGAACATGCATGGGAGCAGTGTCCAGCCATGGGGTTTGGTCAAATCAAGAGTGAAAGAGACATATCGCAATAAGAGTCTGAAAGAGCCTGACAAATCATGGATGAGAGATCATGCAACATGGTGGATGACCGAATGCTGACTCCGAGGAATTGTTTATCTCGCGAACGTGATCACCTCGTTATTCAAGGCAGGAATGTAGAGTAGTTCGGCCGTCCTTGTGTCGCTTTGATATTGCCTATGGAAAGCCATGTCTAGGTTACCACGAATATAGACTGGCGCAATGCCTCATGACGACTCTGAGTTGAAGGAATTTGGTCCTTTGAATTAGTCTAAGCAAGCCTCAGCGTCGTAGTTAGCGTTGTCTAAATCGTTTTACTGCAATGTTCAGGCTAGTGACAGCATTCATCTCGATCGTATCTTACCTGAAACCAACATGAACCATCACCTTGCTTCAGAATATTGCTTTTGGGCTGAGTTTGCTGAACCATTATCAAGGTATCTCGTTTGAACGGGTCGTTGTATCCGTAATTTAATCACGCCATTCCAGCCGAAGAAGGATTAGTAGCGTGCCCCGCTCGCTGGAGCTTCTGCACGACGGCACAACACGTACTGCGGATCCACACGGAGGAGTTGGTCTCTTTCTCACAAGGTCTCAATCCATTTACTCAGATATGTTTACCCGGCGTCGTTTTCGAAGACTTGCCATCTTACTTGTGATGTCGCCATAAGTACCAGCATGTAGTGCATTGGACTTTAGACCTGGATTCGAGGTTGTCACAAAGAGAAAGAAGGGACATAAGTCGCCCTGTGAACCAGCCTCCAATGCTTCCTGGCAGGCGAGGAGCTTTGGGGAAGATTTGCCCGAAAAATCTTGACCTGCCGCGCTCCAGCTGAGCCCCACGAGAACAAGGATGGTTCTTCCTCACGGAGACGAATACCCTGTACTCGACCTTCTGGTGGTCTAGCTATTGATAACCCGGCATTGGAATGCTCGTGTCGCAGAAGAATCTCATCGTCGTCGAGGGGAGAATTGTACCAGTCTTTTGCTCATGCCTCGTCTCCAAGTCCTAGCAACAGGTCTGTTCGCGATGTTTCCCACGTATTGGGTGCTAGCAATGGGTCTTGTCTCGTGGCCTTATCGAGGGCAGCACAGATCAATCCATAATCAATGATGGCACAATTTTCGAACCAAATATATCTTTTCCAGGAATTCCTGAGGTCGACAACGCCCAGGCTTGTCACCAAGTTCAGCCCAAAGCTAGCGTATCGGATCCTAGCCGCTTCCTCCGACGAAGTTGCAATGCCCACCACCGCTGCCCACCATAACATTTCATATGCTTGAGAGCTCTGTTCCAAACATCTCAATAAATTAGGGTGGGCATGACTTGTTATCTTTCGATAAGCCTCCACGGATGAGACGGCTTTAGTGGCGAGATCCCTCATGACCCAAGTCGTGTATTGCAACCAGATCATGGCAGGGTATATGCATGCCATCTGTTCGGGTTCAGCAGGTAACTGCTCCCGCAGAGCGTCCATGAGTTCTTGGCATTTGCGGATGACTTTATTCTGAAGAGCTTCATTCTCGGACCCCCTGAACACGAGATCATTACACAAGACCCCGGCACGAACACAGTCAACAACAAAGGGCAAGACCTCCGTAAGCTCTGGCCCTAGAATACTGGCATGTTCGAAGAAACCAGAGCCGGCGGAATCCTCGTCCGAGATCTCGGGAACGAGCTTTTCCCATCCTGGTCTAGGTGAAGGCGAGGGGGGAAAGATGGATGGGTAGCCTGACCACCAGCCTCGGTCCATTCGGCGGATGTAAACCTTGGTAACCTCATCCAGGTACTCCATACCGCCAAGGTCCACCACAGCTTTTAGATGAGCCCGACCTGCCGCTACACTCTTCGAGCCGAAGAGCTCGTAGTGCGCCAAGAATACTATGGGCCAGACCACCTCTTCTAGGGAAGCATTGCCACTCTCGATGCGTGATCGAAGCTCCGAGAGAGCCTGTCCAGCCATCCGTAAGAGAAAAACTTTGGAGACATTAGCGGCGGGCGCCCGCTGCAAAACATATGAGATGAAGGCGGCCATATGCAGCTTGTCCGTCAAACAGCGTTGCACAATAGTCCTCACCGCTATATTCGTGGCCACCTGACGATCAGTGCGGCTAGGGATAACATCTGCCGCCCAGCGCGACCATAACTCGGGGAAGTACTCGATTGAGCGGATCGTGCCATTATCCAGCTGCACAGGATACGATTGTATAGGGCTCACAATTCTGCCGAGCAACTTTTGGTTGAACTGCCAGTCTTCATGCGAAAATTGATATGGCTCTGGCAAATTGGATCTTCTTTTGTGATCCTTGGTCGGCGAGCTGACGGCTGATTCAGGTTGCGGTAGTAGTGGTCGAGGGCCGCTCCTAGCTGAAACCGTGGCGGCATCTTCACTTTCTGGAGAATCTTTTGTGTTGCCGAGTTTAAAGCCTGGGACACTCGTGCTTTGGACATTCCGACGCTGCAGCAACGACTTTTGATAAGCCCAGCGAGCAGCGTGCGCTTTTGCTTTCGAGTCAATGAGTTCCTTATCCCTAGTGCTGCGGCGTCCCGCAGCATACTCGATGAACATTCGGCACCCTCCGCAGAGAATCAAATACCATTATCGATCCTTTAAACCATGCCGCCATATACCTCGTGGTTGGCACAAAGTTAGCCTGACCACCATGCTTTGTGGAACGCAGATGGCGTGGAGCCAGTGTAAAGTAAACGGTTTGTACAGGCTAAGACACGGTAAATTCCATGTTCGGCAAACTTACTATCTACGGCAACTTTTTATTCCGGAGGCACAGCTGTTGTTTATTCTGTCGTGAAAATATCCAACGTTCAAGTATCTCCTTTTTCCGCTCACTAACCACAATCGATCCCTTTGCAGGGTCACTGGCGCTATTTACAGTCTGCATACGCTCTTTCGACTCCTCTGATGGGGCGACACGGATTCTGGGGGTGAAACTGAGAGCCAATAGGCTAAAAGCTTTGAAAGGTGAGCCCTCAACCATGTCTAAGAAAATACACTCTGGAAATTGTGCACTCGGGCCCAGCTTAGGCAAAAATAAGCAATTTGCAGTACCAGTCTATAAGTTGGCATTGTTGCCCACCATCTGCGAACTGGACGGCTAAGCGATGAAGGTTGAAGCACCATCTGACATCACGCGAGGCTCACTCGTCATGGTGGTCTAGGTATTATAGCATCAACACGAAGGTCGTCAGCAATCATCTACTATTAGTTCCAACTGCAATATGAATGAGAGCAGGACCATTTCTCTCCCGAAAATGCCTGACTGTTGCATGAGCTCCCTGCGCAACCACTCCAGTCGCTAAACATGGCACCTCTTGCCACCACTACATCGTATATCTGAAGCCTTTCAACCTTTCCAGGACTATTCATATTCCTTCACCAGCCAGCCTATTCAATCTCCGACACCAGAGAGATTGAAAGATTGAAGGGATTACGGTAAGGCTCTGTACAGTCATGATAGCGGTGATGCTCGGAACGTACGCCGGAGCGTCATACCGAGAAGAAGTAGCGGTATGTTATAGTAAGCTAGATCACTCGGCGTTTGCCTAAGAATACACGATGCGACTAGTTCTCCAGTGGCTCTAAACATGACTCGAAGTGCTCCTGAGACTGATTGTCTCTTGTTTTCTCTGCAATTGTTGGCTTGCCAGGCCAGAACAGATGGGATGATCGCGTTTGAGCCGGCTGCTCCAAGGAAAGCACCCACCAATCTATCACGTCTCAGTCTAGCTCAACCTGAAAGATGCGTTCTGACCTCGAAGCTGGCGTTTTCGTGCATGTCAACGGCGCTAGCTCAATGATACTGAAAACTGCCTGAACACCGACAAACTTCACTCGATCGGACAGTCAGGACAATGTAAATGATAGGATGACGGCAAAAGTATCTCGGATATTCGACAGGACGAAAGAGGCTGCCAGAGAAGACCCTAGACTTTTCTTGAGGATCGTCGGGAGAAAAATCCCCACAGCATAAGTTTCAATCGTGGCCTAGAAGTAGATCCATGCGCAGGGTCACACTCTCAGTCCTTCAAGTCCTTCATCATGGATTGCAAAGCCACTACATGAGTTTCATTGACTTCCCGATCCCAGGAGAGCCTCTCGTTGACGAATATCTTCTCCTTTTCCGACAAGAACTTGGTCCTGGGAGAATTTGGGAAATCGATCGATTATAGGTACGCCACGCTGCCGAGCACAACGGTACTAGCGCCTTCGATAGTGGAAATTCAGCGCCATCCTTTGTGTGTTGTGCGGTTGCCATCTGCACCAAGCGGTACGTGAAAATGTTGAAAAACCCTTTGGAAAACAAGGAGCAAGAAAATAAACTGCGAGTCGCTTTTACACCTCATATTTTTGATCCTATGCTGACACCAAAAGGATGGATTTTGAGATTAACTTGTCTACTTGATGATGCCGATCATTTTCCTCTTGACGGTGCCTAAGTATCCTCTTGTCCAGATATAGCAAAGACAAACAAATCAGGAAGGTTGAGAAAGACGAGCCCTAATCCCACTACTCTAAGGATGCTGCGATGAATACTAGAGGCCATGATGCTATAGAGCAAGTGAATACTTAATGAATGCTAGCAGTTACAGAGATTAAGCATCTAGCAAAGAAGCTTGAACCTTGAAGGAAGTGAATCTCGTATTCTTGGGCCCCTGTCTGCATATCTCAACGGCCCAGCCGTCCCAAGTCTTCAGGGATCAGTCGAACTCTCTGCGTCTCTAAACAACATCCGTAATGGCCTGGTTCGACTTTCCGTATTGCGAGGATGTGCGCCGTGTTTTGAGGCTCTCTGTTCCACAATCCCAGTCGATCCGGACTCTTTTTGCGATATTCTCGCGTGGAAAAGTTGCTCCACACAGAGTGGATTTCCGAGGATAAAGTACAAAATGATGGACCCTGTGATTGGAAGGTCGTTTAGTCGATCAATACTGCTGAAGAAGTCGCCCCATCAGCTCCATGTGCCAGAAGAGTTAAATGATAAAGCAAAATATGATACCTGAGTTAGCTCAACCCCTGGTTGCAGCTGGGTGGTAGCCGTGTTATGGTTAGCACGAGAGGGAGTTTGAGCTCTTCCAATGCTCACACGACCTACGAGAACGAGTACAGTCCCGCTTCTGGGTCCTCCGTACAAGAATTGGGCCAGCCAGGTCTCAGGGAGCTTGCCTCTTCTAGTTCTCGTTGAACACTGACATCACTTCCGCCTGCTTCAGATTCAATTATGATATTCTCTAGGCGCCCCTTCCCTGGGGGGGACAACGAACCCTGTGTAGATTTGACTTCTAACACACCTAGCGGTTGCAGCAAACATTGTCCTGGCGGCCTCCAAGGATCCAAAGCCTTTGCCTTTGGATCTGATAAGCATTGGTCGATCTCGGGTCGAAAGATGCCTGCATTAGCGACATTATTGTGAATTTTGCTGGTTGGCGAAAGATGAACGGGCTGCCTCAAACAAGCGGGCCTGATCCTCTCCAGTAAACACATTGATTATATACCTTATTCGCTGTGCTGCGATTCCAGAGGTCTTGTCTCTGCATTTCTCCATGTAAGTGTCCCGAGAAATCATCCAATTGGTCTCGAAGACCGCTGCCTGGCCCGACAACTGTTCAGCTCTGCACCAACACCATATGGGATTTTAGCAAGTTGATTTGACAAGGATAGATCTGAGAATCCTTTGCGTCATTTGCATTCAATCCAGCTAGCTTCAAATATTTGACCTTAGGTCGGCTCATTGGCCGCTGCTTGGTTCACCTTGGGCCTGGCTGGCTTTGCTTTGATTTATCCGTTTCCATTCCTAAATATCTGGTTGTCAAAGTTGCCTTTTGAAGAAGAAAAACTTAAGGCTGTGCTTGCACAGACAGCTGAGTGGGCTAATGGGCGCCAATGCCCATTACAGGTGCTTTGGTCAGTGCATCTCCCAATCGATACTGACTCTCTCTGAAGTACTGTTGCATGACCCCCATGCAGACAGGGTTTCTCAAAAAAGCTGAAGAAGTGCTAGAAAAAGACGACGTGGAAAGGTCCGTTGCAATTGAATCATCGGAAAGCAGTGAGTTGAACGAAGAAATTGAAGATACGTTCGACCGCTGGGCTCGCCGTAAGTCAGGCACTGACTGACCGGCTGCCAGGCTGTGCAACGAGTAAGCAAGGACGACGTCTTCGTTGTCAACCATGTCAGTCTGCACTCCCGCATCTGAATACGCATAGTGCCTTGCAGGTGCAGGTTGATATTGTCTGGACATCCTTGGAGGCGAAGCTCCGCTTGTTTCCAGTCTTCTCAGCTGGTTATCTTGACTTTGCTTTCTATCGTGCCATGACTTCATCGCAAACGCTCCCGCTATGGCTATGCTGCGCGGCCTCGATCCCTTCGGGGTTGTGCTCCTTCGTCTTATGAAATCTGTCCGTGACTCTGGACCGGGATCTGAATAGGAGAATGTATGTGATTTCCTGCGCTGCTCTGGTAATGCCTTGGAATCGCTGGTATCTGGGGAAGAACAGCGTTGGCTCATGTTATTTGCGTTCTCTCGGAACTCCGTGTTCTTGTGAGCTATGCGCTCGAACTTGTCAAATGCAAAGAATTCGTCGTAGTGACCAAGTGAGACCTGCAGTGTCGAAAGGTCTCTCGTACCCCCGTTTGCGGGAAAGAGCCAGTCGTCGAGTACTTTTGGAAGGCCATGCCTTTCTGAGAGCAAAAGTCAGCCTCTGTTCCAATCGCAATGCCCGGTGTGCTACCTTGTTGATATGCTCCGGTTTTGTCCTGCCAACAAATATAATATCGATCAAATGCACCGAAAGCATACACGACGATCTTGTCTACACTCTCGAAATCCCCCAGGATGCTATTGGGTCGGACATCCACGCTACGAGGCCTGTTGGGTTTTGTCTTTGTACTTCATGGGATGTCAGCACTGTTTGATTCAACGCACAGAGAATTCTTCTCACTGATCATCTAGGGTATCTTCCGGCCCCTCCATACTTTGTGGTATAGAATTCGATAAGTCCATGGCTCTTCCACCGACGCTCTACTGCATCTCGGCTTGGGAATTGTATGCACAGGTATTATTATCGAGGTTTGAGAAGGTCTTCGCTGAGTATCATCCAAAAATCCTAGTCAACTGGTCTTTGAATCGGGAGAAGTATTGTTGTCACAGACTTACTAACAATGGTTTCTAGGGAAGTCAGGTGGGTCTTTCTCCTGAATGGACGAATTATCAGGCCACTGACCTGCTGATGAACATGAGGCGTAGACTGTCGCATACAACACAACCAAAAGCAGTTCTGACACTCAAGGCGATTCGATGCACAAAACGTTGCAAGTGCTTCCCCAGGTGGATATGTTATACTCCTTCTTAGGACTTGAGATTGTTCAGACAAGGGCACAACCCTAGAAGCCTTGATGGAATAACATCAAGATTCCCCCAGACCCTCACGTGCTGTTCCACGGACGATGCTTTCAAAAGCACCATACCTAAAGTCTACCTCACGTAGATTGATTCTATGTGCGGTTGCTGAGTGTGAGCACTCTGATCATAATTATTGCGTTCTAGCTCATACATGCTCCATGATCTCGACGTGGCTCTCCGTCAAATGCCGGCAGGCACTTGTAGTTTTTCGTACTCCAGAAACCATTAAGGATTATCCTTTCATGAATGAGTTTCCTTTTTCAAGAGACAGCCTCTCTTATTGAGAAGAAAACAGGTTACAAAATGCACTTGTCCTCTTCGTTATTGCATGTTGGCACCCACTCTATAATCTCAAGACAGCTACCGGTTGAATTCTGACAGGCATGCGCAAATTTGGGTCTTTCACGATCTGTTCAAGGATTATCCTTATCCTTCCGAGCTTCCTCCCAAGTCTAGAATGTGGCTCTTTTGATATGGAGAGCCAACTATTTGAGGTGCGAACAGCGCATCATCTATTTCTATGTTGTTTGTTTTGCTTGTTCCTCTTGTCGGACAAGCGGATCCTTTTTCCATCTTTTTTCTCTCCTCCACAATTCGACTTCCAAAACCCGTTTGCCTGGACCAAGCTTGGACCGCAACCCATCGTCATCACGATCGAAGTATAGCGCCCATAAGCTGGGGGCTTCTTCGACGACAACGAATCCCTCCCAGCCTTCAAGCGTCATCCGTCGGTCTTGTCTCGTACAATCAAATGGACCAGTGACATTATCTTGGGCATCTAGCCGAACCCCGTACTTCACCTCGTAAGTGTCGTTGTCGACATAAATCCAGTTCAGTATGGGAGGGTCTTCGCAGATGGTCGATACGAGCCCTTCGAACTTCGAACCTGGATATGGTAGGAAATATCCCGCAAACGCATGTCCAAATGCTTCCGTATTCTCCTCGTCGTCGCCGTTATCACCCTCGTTCCTGGTCATCGTCGTGTCGACATAAAGCTTGTGAACCTCGAATTAGCCCCTACGGCCGCTGTCGGCTTGCTCGTACTCCCCGTCATACCTTTTTACCCCGAAGGACTATCCGTCGATTGTCGACCTCCTGGCTTCTGCTTGACGATTTCACACAGGTCGCAACCAAATTACATCGGCGAGCTCGATGTTCTTCTCTGCGATCTTTGTTTTGTCCCTGTCGAATTGCTTCCGCCGTTGCTAACATTGCAGGGCATGCTACCAGCGCCACCATCAAAGATAGCACCATATTTGATCTAGCTTGGGAACTGAGTACACCCGTAAGTTGATTTTTCGTTTTAGGCTTAGTCGATAGGTCCCGTTCAGTTAGCCGATGGGCTGGCTGGTGTGCTCCTTGTACCCCTATTCGAGGAGTGAAGTACAGTATGGTGATCAGCTTAGGCAACGCGATGGGCAACCGAGTATTATTGTATTGCAACTGCAGCGTCCATGAAGACGATCAGGCCACAGACCGTCACCGAGGTGGAGAAGTACGAATACGTGGACCGATAGGAATTCATGTTGAAACGCAGGGGGTTTTGTTTCAGCAACCAAGTCGCTGGCCTGGCCCGCGACAAGCGTTCCCAGTTGTGCCAGCCTCGCCAGATCTACGCACACCTAGATTCGCTCCAACGTTCTTCAGGCATCTATTATTCGCCTACTCGAGCATATCAACTCCACATAGTGCCCTGCAAGGATTACACTGCGAGCCTCCTACAATGTGCGAGAACGAACGGGCCAGAAATCGAGATTACCAAAATGCTCCAGGAGCTCTCCTGGCTCTCCAGTCAGAACTGTTTCAGTAGTTCAACATCGGACATAAAAGAGCAGCGAGGCCTCCGAGCAATCAACATTTCATGAACAACTTTCAATCAACAACATCAACAAACTCTAAATAGAAACCTCGGATCTTCTGGCTAGACCTGAAGAATCATCCTAATAGCTAATTCTCCAACCCGACCCAACCCCAAGGAATCACCACCTCAACCACCATCGTCACAATGTCTGCCACGTGAGTATCACTCTCTCCGATTTGGATTGCAACAAGTCATATTGACTGAACCCAGCGCCGCCTACAGCAACACTGCCAACAAGGACTATTCCAGTGGGAGCGAGGATGGACAAGCAGCAGGCAAGCGCAAGGCTCTCGCTACCGTCGGAGGAACATCATCACTTCCTCTCCCACCCAGCTCTGACAATTTGTCACAGCCGGCTGGTAAGACTCACTGTGGTCCAAGATATTCCAACCCAACCGCGGCTAACGATCCTGGCAGGCGGCCTCCTCAAAGGAGCAACTGATGAAAACGGCAATTTGAAGGCTGCTGCATTGATGGTCGGTATCAAGCTCGATCTCGAAGCCGAGATCCACTTGACTGCTCGAGTTCGTGGTGATATCACGATCGGTCTGTACTAAGCACACAAGCCACTTATCGTGGTCGGAGCGCACAATGTTGAGGAGTGGGTGGCTTCATGGCTGCTGGCCAGCCTTAAGCTGCGACGAAACTATTTGGTCTTGCAATGTATCGTAGTGTCTGAAGCCTTGGGACGATCTTTTTTGAGCCATACCCCTGGAGTTTCATTCGACGTCATGACAGAAGCGGCCAACAATCTTGCTCTGGAGAAGGCAAAGAGCACAGTGCGTGCATCTCGCCAAATGAAATGGATATGATATATACAAAATCCCCCGCTTCAGCATGGATACGAAATGAAAAGTTCACTTGATGACCTCCTAAACGTTTCTACTTGCATCCTCATACCCATGGTGCATTGTAGCAAGGGAAGAGATTAGGGTTTAATGATTGCCACCGCTAACTGAGAAGCACTGGCGATCATCTAGGGTCCTGCGGCTCCCTATACTTAGCCGCATGCCACTAACGCGACCTATTCGATCTCCTCCATTCTTATGGCAGGGGGCGTTGTTTACGCTAACCAGAACCCAGCACCATGCATATTTATTTCGTGGGGAAAGATAAATCAACGCCTCGGCGACTCAGGCAATCATTTTCCCGACAGGTTCATGAGCTTGAGGCCTTTGGCTGTCAATCTTCGCGCAACCTACGGGCCACAATTTTCGCTTCCGATGTGTTGTCAACATCATAATCAAATCCTTCGCTCCATTTCAAAGACCGGCCGGTCTTACAACGATGATTCATGTCGCTGTCAGCAATAATGGTCCGACAAGCTGAGCTCCAGGGTCGTTGAGAGAGGCATTATCCCACTTATATCTACTCCTCCACCTTATGGATCATTGAAGAAATTCTTGATGCTTAGATATTCCTGCGCAAGCCTTCGACCGACTGGTAACAGGCGCTAAAGCTTCCTCAGTCATAGTCTTAGAGCCAAGTGCCCCACTGGATACCTGTTTTCTTCTACTTGACTCATACTTCCCTTTCCTCTCTTGTCCTATACTGACTAAATCAAAGCCCCTTTCCCGGGCTATATCATTGAACTCCTTCAAATCCTGCAGTGGGTTGATAAGTCATGTCTTCAATCCAGTCCTACACGATTTCGGTGCCAGAAGAGAAGATCGAGCGGCTCAAGGCAAAACTCGCCCTCTTCGACCTCCCCGACGAATTGCCTGACGCAGAGCCGTGGGCTCGCGGGCCTCCGCTTTCAGAAATCAAACGGCTCGCAAACTACTGGGCCAACGGATACAACTGGCGAAAGGCCGAAGCTCAGCTCAATGAATTTCCCAATTTCATCACCAGGGTCCAAGTCGAGGGATTCGACACGTACGATGTTCACTTCATTCACCAAAAGAGTACTGTGAAGAACGCAATCCCATTGCTTTTTTCTCACGGGTGGCCGGGAAGTTTTATCGAGGCCACGAAGATTCTACCGTTGCTTGTGGACGGTGGGAAGGACTATCCGGCTTTCGACGTTGTGGCACCGTCTCTGGTGGATTTTGGGTTTTCTTCTTCGAGTTTAATGGTAGGTGACAGTAACCTGCATCTTGGTTCTCTTGTGAGATAACAATCGAGTGTGAAAAGTCCGGGTTTACTGTTGAACAGCATGCGGAGGTGTGTCACAAGCTCATGCTGCGGCTTGGCTATGAGCAATATGGTAAGCTTTAACCCATTGCCATCAGTCGATCGACTTGTACTCAAGCACCGTGCGGTAGTTGTGCAGGGGGGAGATCTTGGCTACGCTGTGTCGCGTCTTCTTGCAATGAAGTACCCCGAGTCCGTGAAGGGACAGCTCATCAATCTCGCCGTCCCAAGCGAACCGACAATCACCAGCCATCCAGCGCTTTTCCAACAAGTGCAATCGACACCACTTACGGAATGGGAAATGGCTGGCATTGCAAGAACCGAATGGTTCAGCGTTGAAGGCGCCGGGTACAATAAATTGCAGCAGACAAAGCCACAGACGCTGGCGTACGCAATGGCCGCGAACCCAGTCGGCCTGCTAGCCTGGATATACGATAAGTTGCACGACTGGGCGGATGAATACCCCTGGACGGACGACGAGCTGCTGACGTGGGTAAGTATCTATGAGTTCTCCACGGCGGGCTCATGGGCGAATCAACGCATCTACTATGAAGATGCCCACGCCGCGACCGGCCCGTCTTTCGCGCAGGCCGCGAGCTACATCGACGTCAAGTTGGGCATATCTCGATTTCCCAAGGAGCTGCTCTTGAGGCCGAGGCTGTGGCATCATACCATGGGTCCTGTAGTACTGATGAATGAACACGACAAAGGCGGCCATTTTGCCGCTTGGGAGGTACCCGAGTTGCTTGTTAGAGATATTCGTGAGATGTTCGGCAGAGACGGTGGTGCTTTTGGTGTCGTTGAGGGTAGATCTGGGTATGAGCAGTAGGCGAGGCGCACGTCGTCGACAGAGTCGCCTCAAGCCATCCTTCGGATAATCGTAGAGAATGAATCGAGTTTCTAGATTTCCGGGGATGGAATACGGATGATTGTGCTTTGGAGTTCCCCGGATCAAGAATACACGCCCATAATCATTTAAATGGTCGGGAACCGGATCAGGTTCTAGGCAAACCAAAAATATAGTCAGCCCGTCAGCCCTTCTACTCGTAAGACTTTGCCAAAACCAGCACGGAAAGCAAGTATCTTTGTGATATGACCAAAGCTCAAGGCCAAAATGGATAACTAGATGCATGCTATTGTGTACTTGATAATAGTCGCCGCCAGGTCTCGAAGGCAAACGTCTGTCTTGTATAACCTCAGCCAGCCTTGGAACTAATGAAAGAAGAGCTGAAGATGCCTGAGGCTCGATATTCTTAGGGGCATTATTATGGCTGGCTGAGGGTTTTCAGCGTAACGCGCCCTAACCCACTTCAGGTCTCTGTAAACATTCCTGGTCTTCCGGAGGGCACATCATTATCATGTCCTCGATCACATAGGCCCGTGCACTAGCTAGCCGGGAAAATCATCAGAAATAGAGACCGTTGGCGCTTCGAGGAATGCATTGTAAAATTGAGTCACAGTTTGACTCAACTCGTCAAGACTCAAGGGCTTGAACGCCCCCATTATTCGACTCTTGGAGCGCGGTCAATTAGCTCTGGGGAGATTTTCCCCAAGCTTGATCACACTAACCGTTGTTCAGCTCACCAGACGAAACCTGCCAGGCCTAGTTAAGTATCCATTTAGCTAAAGGTGGCTGGCTCGGGGGTGATCTAAGGGAACAACAATCTCCCGTGGTTGGCCGATGGGGCTCGTCCGACCATCTCGGTAAGGATGGTTCTTTGAGCCATGCAATTTCGGGCTTGAGGCCACTTTACGGAGTATCGATTCTTCGATCTGATGCCCGCTAATAATATCTTGGACATGGGGTGTTGGGTTTACGAGTAATGCAGACCGCTTGTTGGCGACAGTGGGTTCCCTGCCACGTATTTTCTCTGGATATGATGAAAAGCAATTGTAGGTCTCTTGCCCTCCCTTGGTGATCTAGGTTTTCTCAGGTCTGCTTTCTGTTCAAGGATTGTCCTCTTCTATCATGGGGTACTTCTGTAACGGCGCATATAAGTGAAACGCGCGAAGGGCATTCTTCTTTCTTCCTCTGCGAAGGAGATTCCATTGCGGTCATGGATGATACTAGACCAAGGACGACTCGCCCAGCGCAAAACGCTTCCTCGGAACAGATTGCAGGGGCAGCCCCGATCGTCAGCCCAGAAAGCGAGAGGAGGGCGCAAATGATAGAGGGTGAGGCAGCACGACATGACGGAAATACAGATGCGGATTCACGTGCGCCTTCTCCGATAGTTCGCGTCCCAGGCCAGGATGGCGGTCAGGCACAGCGTCAACCAGCGGGTACCTCAGGTAGCGCCGTTGCTGGACAAGGCTCAAATGGAGGCCAAAAGAGTCCCCCTGTTCTTGAGAATAAAGAGGAAATGTTTAAGACAATCGTGGGTAAAGGTAAGCTGGACAGAAGCAATTCAATAACCCGCCGACACAGGCCCTGATTCAAAGCTAGGTGGATATGAGAACTTCAACCACAAAGTCAGGAGAGCCCATCAGTTGCACACTTATCAATATTGGTTTGTCGCCACTACTTCGAACGCGCTCCTGTTCATACAGGTGGTTCTCGGGGCCTCATTGACCGTCTTGGGAGCTTTCAACGACAGAAGGGCGAGAACGGCGACTATTTTCCTCGGTGCAGCGAACACAGTCATCGCTGCGCTTCTGACATATTTCAAAACTCGTAATCAACCGAACCGGGCTCGACAGCTGCGGAATGATTTGGGCAGGGTGGTTGATCAACTGGACGACGCCGAGGCAAATTTCCGCACTGCCAATGTTCCCGAAGACGTTACTGCAACGATACAGAGTATCAGGACTGCGTTTAAACAGGCCAGAGCAGATGCAGAATCGAACTATCCCGATCTCTGGGTAAAAGCTGGCGACGTCAGAAATCCCTTCAATCCGGATCAAGAGAAAGATGCCACTCCACCAGAACCATTGGCTCAACCATCACAACCAGGACAACAGAACCCGGGATCCGAGGTCTTCGCATCCGGAGCTCTGGGTGGTCCGCCACTGTCTAGTAAAACAGGAACGGTTCCGCAGGCCACAGGATGATAGCCCAAAATTCGACCCAAGACCAGCTTGGACCCTATGCGGATTATTTGACCATGAAATTCCCGGGGAACCGAACTTCATATGCTGAAAGGCTAGCAAGACCCCGTCCGCCAAACCACCAAACCGAATCGCCGTACTGGAGGCTCGCCAAATCAATCCTATCATTGTTCGAACTTTAGGGTCAGCACATTAAGCTGACGATAAAGAAGCATATACAGAGTGACCTGAATTGTGCAGGAACGGAAATAGAACAATGCCGGGTTCGAAATTTGACGATTCAACCGAATCGCTCCAAGCCGATGAAGGTGAACAGAACGGCCCATCCAATTTTGGCTCTCCTTGGCAATAGCAGCTCCAAGTCTTTAGACGAATCGTTGACCACAATATTCGCTCAGAGAGACGCAAACATCTGGACCTCGTGAAGGAATGGGCGGGTCGTACAACCTCCTCGGCAGGTTCCCCCAACCTTGATGTCCACGAGACACCGCTACCTATCTGCACGTTCCTTGGGATCTCAGAGCAGATACAAGGCAGTACTTCACTTTTCCAGTACCTCAGAAAAAACCCCTCTGCAATAGAGGTCGGAGAGGCCGTTCAAGGAGAATTGAAATTGAGGACAACAGCCATGTTTTCCCCACTTGCGCGATGACGCAAGCTACCTGTAATTATAGGTACCAAATTCAGAGACTCATCCACCCACAGCCGAAAAAAACTATCCACTTGTACATTTATGAAATCGTAAAGCCATCAGAAAACGGTCATCCGCATTGCATGCAGCCATTTTTCTTAGTATAGAAGTTTAGACATCTACGATTTTTGTCAGTTTCGCAAGTAATCCTGCAGTAGATGGTCCAGGGATTGAGCGTTCCTCTGGGTGAATACGTACCCCCCACCAGTAGCTTCAAAAAGTAGACATCCGTCTCGCGACTTGTAATTCATACTGAATATAGTTAGAGAAGACATCTGTCAGCAAGTCTTTCCCTGCCGGAAAGACGTCTCGGGACTCACCATCCATTTGTGTCATCGCCGTAGTTCAGGCAGCCTGTTGAATTACTTCGATTAGTATGATATCGTCACACCAAAGTCATATGGTGGCCTTGACTCCGAGATAGACACTGGATGGTACTCACCTTCCGAGCGATCCCCATAGTTCAGACAACCTGGAAATGAGCGCTGGTCAGTACAAAGTCCTTTGGATAATCGTTGGGGTGCTGTGATTCGAACATCGACGGTTCACGAGCGATCATACCTTCTGCGCGGTTTCCATAGACCATACAGCCCTGCGCACCATCACCGAACGTACAACAGCCCTCTTCCGTCTTATAAGGTCTGGCTTTGGCGGTGTCGGACTGGCTTTCAGAGTGTTGTTCTGGTTGGGGTCCTCGCTGTTCTGGTTGCGCGTTGTCTTGCTGTGAAGCTTGATCCCGAGACGACTCTCCAAGGCCACCTTGTAGTCTGTCATTGCTATGGGCAGAAGATGAAGGTGATGATCCAGCTTCGTAGGGAGGAGGCGGATCCATGCGTGGAAAGGTGGGCGCCCTCGCACTGGTAGGTGGACTTCGTGGACTGGTTAGTTTACCCATGAGGAGGTGCGCGAATTAAGCAGATATAAGTCTGGTAGGCAATTGCTCCGAGAATGGTGGCTAGGACGAGACTTGGGTGTGCGCAATTTGACTACTACTATGAGGATCCTGGTGAGCTGGAGATATAACGTTGATATATAATATGGATGTTTTGCTTATGGGTGAATTGATGTTACGAAAGCAAACAGCAACCCTGAGTGGGCTTTTGGTCGGAGGTTTGTAGTCTGTACGAGTAGATTTAAAGAGACGATTGGAGACTAACACGAATACGAGCTGTGAATTAATTGGGTGGTTTGAAGGCTGCCTAAGGTATGAAGGCTGCTGTTGTAGCAACTGATGCATCGAGGGGTGTGGCTGTGGCTGAAGAATCGGGAGGCCCAACCCATTCAAACGGGAAGCGCGGCAGATTTTATCTGGGAGCCTAGAGCGTAACCGCTTTGGGAGATGTGGCTGGTGGGAGCTGTGGCTGTGGCTGTTGTTGTGGCGAGCATCTGTGGCGCCCACGTGGTTCCTGATTGAGGTAGTTAGATTACCAGTATCTCATCTACCTCGGGGTCTTCAGCTTTCATCGCTTCTCTCTTGGATTACATCAGTCTGCTTGTACGAGTACGAGGTGTGACCGCTCAAAGGTCAAAAGGCACAAACAGGAAAGGTAGGCAGGTACAGTAACTGCACGTGGAATAAGCAGGAATTGGGATATGACGCAAGAGTTATAAAAAGAACCGCAACAGGTGAGGGCTTTAGCAGCAGTGACCATCGCGCCCGTGCTACACGCCTGGCACTGCTCACTGGAAGAGCCCTTATAGGCGAGGTTTAGGCATATGCGACTAAGACCCGGTGTTCTGGAGAAGGAAGCAGCCAGTCACAAGGAACCCCTGATTCCCACGGTGGTGTTCACAGGTGGTGTGCTGCTGTACTGAGTATGTATGCCCCTAAATTTTATTATTCTGTCATTGCCGACAATGATGCATACGGGAGTACATACACATGCAATCATGTTCAGGGAGTCTTCTAGCTGGTTGTAGAACATGCTCATCAAAGCCTCAGGTGATGTTGGTTGGTTGGCGTCGGTGCTATCGATACTGTAATTTTACTTTTTATCGTCTCTCGTGATCTGGATGGCGCACAGACACATTCTAGGGTTAGTCCGGGACTGGTTCGGTTAAAGGCTCCTGTTTAGCCCGCCTTGATCGCCAGGTTTCTAGGTGGCCAGGCCGGCGGCTTAGGCTTGCTCGTTGCCCCTGAGTGAATTCCCCCCTCCGCCCCCTCACTGCTCAGTCCACCCCAATTACCCAACTGCCCCCCCCCCTAAGGCCTCAATTGGCGTGGTGGTCTTCCTCTTTCCTCTCCTGGGCGCAGCTCTCAGAACGCCTGCTTCAAATCCTACATCTTCCTTACAAAACAACCCTCTGACCTTTCCCATCGTCACTCCGCCAACACACACCATCGACCTTTTCAATTCGCCCGCGTATCACCTGCGCATCTGTCAAGAAGCAACACTCACTCGTTTGTTTGCTCTTGTTCCAGATTATATTTCTTAATCCTTTTTCAATTCTGCTCTCGTGGCGCATCATCGTGCCAGTTCCCAAATCCCTGCGCTGCGCTCTCAGCACCTCCCGTGTAACTCTTCCAACCTCGACTGCCAGCGTTGACAGCCATCATACCGCCAGTATGGGTGGCCAGCATCACTACCGTTCCGTTTCGAATGACGAATCGCATCCTCTCGCTCCTGAGAAAGAAGGATACCTGAGACCATCAGGCTGGGGCAAGCAATCCATCTTTCTCTCCATTGCCACTGGCACCTTGTTCATTGCAGTAATTGCTGCCGTTCTATCCACAATCGGTTCAGCTGTTATCTCTTACGGCGGATCTGGCTCATCTGCTGCAACAACCACCGCAAGTGCCGCAGCCGTTGAGGTGAGCACCTCAGTCTCAGCTGCTCCCACACCTTCAGCGACCACTGGCAATGATGACTTGAAATCAACCGACCCAGACTCCGATATCCTCACCCCCGCTATTATCCAGGACTGTGGCTACAGCCCTCAAGAAGCCAGAGATCGAGGTTGCGTTTTTGATGTCATGATGCAACTCTGGACGCCCGCCGCCTGTTTCGATGAGATCCTTTCAAACCGTTTCCTCGAAGTCGGCAACTGGACCTGGTATGCTGATCCAGGCGCCGAACATATATTCACCCTGGAAGAAATGAGAAAGGGAGAGCACGACGCCGTTTATGTCGCTCAAGATTATCACATCACTCATTGCATCTATGCTTGGGAAAGACTTGTTCGCGCTATGAGGACTCGGACCCCGCTGATTACCGAACTTATCTCTTACGACCATGTTATTCACTGCCGTCACAAGACCCTCCAGAGGGCCGATGGAGGCAGTTCAATTCGTGGCGTCAGAGCGCCAACTGGTTATACCCAATGTGCCATGTACGATACCTGGAAGTTCAATCTGCCTCCCAACGAGCACTCTTCGACGGAATAATTCGCCAACGTTAAATCATTTTCTATGTCAGAAATATATATGCAAGATTCCAAATGAAACAATATTTCTTACGGTAACTCTTGGGAAGAAAGATGCTCGGAAAACGTATCGATCTTTGGGAGTAATGCAGAATTGAATTTTCAATCATGGCTTGTGATTGACTGAACCCTATTCCCGCTCCTTACAGGAGTGGACGAGGCTTCAATTCGAATTCATGCGCTTAGAGCGAGCCACAATATCTCGACATATACCCTGGCACCAATCAATTCCCAAAGAAAAGTGCGAGGAGCGCTTTGAGGATGCAGGACTCGCCTAGATTTGGGAGCCGACGCAATTGTTATCTGTATATTCGAGGTGGCTCTGGGTGCAGAAAGAACCTTTCCCTTTCACAGCTGAAGGCGATCTTCGATTTGGAGATGATCAAATCTCGATAAATAGTCCCTGTGCAATGTTATACCTTTTTCTCTGTTGCCAATATTTCGCGCTTCTCCCCTGTGTGCTCCTACGGACTTGTCGCATCGTGAGGAACGCCCCTCGATCGTTGACTGCTATAGGAAATTGGGTGGTTGCGAATGAGTAGAATCCTTCATCGATGAGCAGTTGGCTATGTCGCGTTGAGTCCATTCGGGAGAAATGATGAACAGGACTCTGGACTGACTCACATGAGCACGTGGTCTCAGTCACGTGCAGACCAGTTAACGGATCAACTCACTTCCGTTCCATTTTCTCACATTTGCATATTTACTTGCTTATCTCATCCTCACGTCAAGCAACATCAAAAAGCATTCACCCCCTTCCCGACGGGGTCCTTGGATTTTGGTTCGATTACGTTGCCATCTACCTATGGCAGGAAGGTTTCCAATGCTGCTCAGGATGTATGTCCCATCCTTCGCCATCCGATGATATGCTCACTTTCCCGAGACCGCACAGCCTCTTCCCCAGTCAGCTCGATGAGAGATGACCTAAAAGCCGATCCATTGCATGTGGCGGAGCAGCACTGCGTCTTCTAATCAAAGCTGTCCCCAAATTTTCTGCGGCTGTAAAGCATCCACGCGACGAGGCATTGTGTGGTGTGGTTGTTGCACCCCTGTTATCATTCACCGACAGAATACACATACCAGAGGCACCAGGACGCGTCGCTTCCACCCTCTTTCCAAGCACTACGCTCACCAGCTCAGTAATAGGCAAGCATAGGCCCAACCCACCTCTACGGATAATTTATCATAGTCAGCGAGCATGTATAGTGGCGATTCTTTGCCCCTCGCGCATCAGCATGGAATCCTACCAGAATCGAGGCCCTGCTTGAGTTTGATGCTTAGCGCTTGTCATCAACTAGGATGTACTTGTCAACTTGAGTATGTTTGCGCATTTTAAGTAATTCTCTCATCCTCTATCCTTTCGAGGCTATTTCAGGTCCATTGAGCTCCACAGAATTTAGAGAGGTTTGCCCCGAAGCCTTGTGGGGAACGGGTTTTGATTCGGCAACTGTGTGACATGGCAGCTCAACGGTATGTACGTATCGTGTTTTTATGTGGGATTTCTCATCATCTGAGTTCCTATACACAAGATGGAAGCGGCGCACGCAAGTACAGGTCTGTCTGCCACTCCAAGCCGAGGGATCGCAGGATTACTCGGTGCCAGTTCGGGTGGTGGCACAGCACCTGTGATTATTTGCCATTCTCGAACTGGCACAAGAGGTATAAGATACACCCACACTCATTATCATCAGAACTGCTTCTCATCACATCAACAACACAAACAGCAAAACAGAAGCTTTCTTTTCTTTCGTTCTTTCATTGTTCATTTCCTAGCTTCACTCATTTCCACATCTCAGTTAATATACCTACATTCTCTACATCCAAAGTTTCGACACAGCCCTTGCACTCATTGTTCAGAGCACTCACTCACTCAGCCCTACCACACAATCCTAGACATCTATCTACAAGCAGCACACCTCTAACACAACAAACAACCATCAACATGAAGTCTGCCGTATTCTCCAGCGCAGCCGCCCTGTTCTTCGCCGCAATCGCGTGCTCCGCACCACTGTCCGTGCGCGACTCCTCCGTGATCATCACAATCAAGACCGGCGACGGCGACTCGGCCACCACGCTTTCAGTGCCCCTGGACCATATCACCATTACCTCGGGGCAATCAAGCCAAGCTGTGGCTGCGTCTGTCTCCGACAGCGGCGTCTTCTGCCAGGCGTTCTCTGATGCAGGCGCTGCTCATGCCACTGGGCCCGTCTTCTCGGCCGGCCACGCTGCAAGCTACAGCGCGACAAGCAGTGGCGGCACGGAGTCCGTGTCCAGTGACGCCGTCGACATCGGGTCGTTTCTCTGCTCTAACTCCCAGGCTGGAGTTGCGCCCTCATCGTCCTCGTCTTCTTCCAGCGCCGGCACCTCTGCTACCCCTTCCTCCTCAGCCACTGTCCGCGTGCAACTAGAGCAAGTCTCCGACCAATTTGTGCAGACCGAGATACCGCTCGACACCCTGATCGCCACCGGCAGCACCAACTTGGGCAGCCGGGGTCTGGACCTGTCGCTTGTCACCGCCGACGGCATCGACGTGAACCAAGTCGCGTGCCAGGTTTTCGCTGACGCCGCGGGCCAGAAACCCATTGGCGTTGCCGCAACTGCCACTGCGAACTCGGTCTTGACTGCTGACAGGAGTGAACCGGCTGTCGTCGCTGCTATTCAGTGCAGCGGCTTCGCCTAAGGTTCTTCATGGTTTTTGCCGAGCATTGGGCACGAAGATGCCGTGACCAGAAGGACGGCCAATCGCCCGGGGAAAGCTGCTGGTGGGTTTCTCGAACAAGCTTTTGTGGGAGAAAAGGGGGGGGGCTTGATTGGGACACTGTTTTTCATGTGCATAGGGAGTTTGAATTTAATTATTTGGCTATACTCTGCCTTTTCGGGCGTGGCGAACACCACACGTATGCGCGGGGTTGTTGTGGGTTTAGACTGAATGTGTTAATCTCTGGATGAATAAGTAAAACCACTTTCTTTCCTGCTAGCATTGCATAAACGTCTTTAGGAAGTCGACCCTTGGTGTCAAACTTCACTTCGCTCTTGAGGCCAGTCTCCTGGTATGTCATGATCCAAAGCGGCGGCCGCTCCTCTGTGGCTGCCTCAGCACTCCAGTATTCAGATGCCATGGATACACTACGAATACATTCAGAGGGACTGACACGATGAATACCACTCCATGGTCGTGTGCGTCATGAGGGAGTGGAAGGAAGCTCGCCACAGTCAGATCGACCAACCACCCAAAAGTTTAGTCGCGTTGTGTGTTCCATGAAAAGATGACTTTTGTCATTGCTGTGTGAGGAAAGACCCGAATAGGAAATTCCCCCCTTCCTAAAGCGGCCAGTGTCACGCCTGGCCAATAGAACCGCCAGTAACCCTAACCCTGGGATTTTGCTGGATCACGATTTTGGGGACCAACAATTCAATCAGGAAACAATCAGTCCCTATTGGGGGGCCCCATACGGTCAGTGGTGGAGTCTTTCTGCACTGCATTTTTGCGTTGTTGGCTCGCGAAAAGCCTGATCTGGAAGGCACAGCTTCCGCTTTGGGGAACTAAACTCCATGACAACCTCGGCATTTTGAAGCAACAAGGCTGAAAGTGCAATTCTTCACAGCCGTTCATAGGATTCGAGGAGCCCGAGCTAGTGCATCCTCCTACTTATGGAACCAACGAATGATATGTACCCCATCTTGGCATGGTGGATGACTTCGGCGGTCTCGAGGATCCTGGTCGATGACGACGGGATGAAGCCACGAGCGAAGCGTAGTAACATATAAGGGCTTGTTCAGGTAGCAGGGTTCTCTGTGGAGAGGGGGAGCAGCACCAGCGAGCGACTTCGATCCGATGGAAACTGTGTTGATGAACGACCCAACTTGCTCGTTTTGCTTTTACTTCTCTCTGGTATGAACGTTACCCAGAGTACCGTCTTCGCCATCAATATGCTTAGAGACTTTCGGTCTCCTCCTCTTGCGTCTCTTCCCGTGACCGCGTTCGTCATAGCTGTCATCGCCCGGCGCATCGCTTGGTTCGGAGCCCGCGTCACCCCTCGCGGCAAGCCATTCTTCCTTCTGTTTCAGCTGTCTTGTTTCGGCCTTGTCCTCTTTCGCCTGGCTCCGCTTCTTCCATAGGAAATAAATCGCAATCACGCTGGCTGTCAGAGCTAGTGCCACGACGAAGAAGATCCAAATGTACCCGGATACTTTGGGTGGGTTCTCGTCGAAGGAGAAGAAGTTCATCGATATTATTGCTGCCACAAAGGTCGAGGGCAGAAATACCATTTGCAGGAAAGACATGGTTTTGTTACTTTCGGCATCGTCCTTGGAAGATCGACTATCGTACCACGCTATTTGTCCCTTGATCTGTTCCACACAGAATTAGCATTTCGTATTTTGCAAACACGGGAGATGTAACGGAAAGGAGAGCGCAATGAATTTGAGCAGCCAGATATTCTTTTTGGAAGGCGGTAGTGTCATACATAGTCAAGTGCATCCCTTGTTCTGGACTGCAAATATTGGCATGTCGAGAGATTATTCTCAATCAGATTTTGGATATTGTTCAACTTCTCCTCAATGTGAGGGTTGGTCTGAAACACATATTTCCTATATTGCTCGGCCATGCCGCCATCACGGCTCATCACCGTTCTCGCAAAGATCTTTTCTTCGAGAAACTTGGAGGTCTCGAGCAGGAACTTCGACAACGACAACTGGAAGTCTAGAGATCGCCGCGCATATTGGAGTTCGGTCGTGATGGTATCGAAGTCTTCCAAGGAACTGATTTGTGCGTCACGTGAAAGGATCTCAAACTCTCGGACGGCTACGCAAAGCCTGCTGATTTCCCAGGCAATGTGGTCGAAAAAAATGTTAAGCAACACCACCGGCACATTGAGTGGGTGTGCATAATATGGTTCTCTCGTTTCTTGCAGGCGTCGCATCACATCACCAAAGGCGAAATCGGTAACGCCGTCAAGGATGCCTCTTGTTTTGCCGTTCAGTAGTGAGTGTGACATCGCGAAGGACCAAATGAACGGATCATCACGACGCGGGTTGTAGTCCGACTTAGCCGTCCGGCGAGATGGGAGTAGACTACCTTGAGTATGGTCGGCGAAATACTTCACTCTTCGAGCCGGGCGAAGCACGAATGGGAAATGTATGACGAGTGCTATTGAAATCTTGAGCTTTGATAGCAATGATTTGCGTGCTGTGACCTGGAGAGGGAGAGGAATTATGAGAGACTTACCCATACGTTGAGCTTCTGGGTTCTCGAGATCGAAATTCCACGAAGTCTTGCGGTAGAAATTACCGACTTCGCGAGAGTTGAGTCTCATCCAGACATACTCCGGATTGAGGTCCCACTGTCGGATTAATCTCTGCATCTCGGTCGCAGTAAATGGTAGATAGTTGATTTGTCTATCCCCAACACGTCGAAGATCATCAATGCGTGCATACTGGCTGCTCCCCAGAACCGGCCTCGTCAACAACAGTCTCAGTGCCAGACGTCGTCCCTTTGGAACTTGAGGGTGGAAGGCCTCAAACAAACCCTCAGGGAGTCTGCGAGATATCGGATAGTTTCGGGGGAAAACATCGGCCCCTTCATCTGATTCCCAGATGTCGATGGTCCTTGACTCAAAGAGAGACGCACGCTCCTGCTTTTCAGGGTCGTTGTAGGCGGTCTGCTCATCGCCAATGGTCGCCTGGAGCGCGACACCGATAGGATCAAGGACGAAATTTTCCAGTCCATGATAAACGGCGCTTGTAGAATCGCTCATGATCAGCAGGAAGCAAGACAAAGCAATTCAAAAATCGCATCCCGATTTCAAGCGTCGCAGACTGCTCTCGTCGAGAAAGGCTCTTGTAGCTGAATCTTAGCAAGCCAAGGGAAGAATGCGACGTATCCTGGACTTGGAACTGGAGCTTTTGAAAAGAAGCTGAATGTTCAACGATGGTACTCGAGACCTTATCACACGGATAACCAATCTCGTGCCATACGGCTACGGTCGAGCTAGAATTCGACTCCTGCTAACGAAGGGGCTCTAGGCAAGCCACAAACACTAACTTACATGGGGGTCCTTGAACATGCCTGTCATTGGTAATTATTCACGGTCACCCAACTTGTAGGACAAGCATTCAGAGGCAGAATCATGGCAACCTACTCGGACGCAACTAGGTCGCTCAAGATATGCGCTTATCCTGAGCATCTAGATGGCACTGTCCGTGTAATGGTTTATGGTCAAGCTCTTTGAAAGAGGAAGACCACGCAGTCGGGCCCAATCATGAGGGACGAGTCTTTGGTGAGCGTCATTGGCCCAGGCGGTCGTGTTGCTGAAGCCCCAATGTGCTTGGATGCCCTAATACGAAGCAGCTAGCAACATAACCGAGCTCAAGCTTTACCCGCTTGAGGCTCATCCGCCGCCCCATTTGATGAGTAGCCTGCCGATGTTGTACTCTTGTCCCAGGGGAGGGCATCAGAGAGATCCCCGCATATGAATAAACAGTTGTCGATTCATGCTAGAGTTGAATATAGCATCGGATAGTACAGGTTGCCTTTCTAGTCGTTTGCGACTGTGTGCTTAGGATAAAGGAAGCAGATTATACGTGCCTCGATGCAATCTCTGTTACTAGGAACACTCAGAGATTGATGAAAAGAGCGACAAAGGGCTCTTCAAAATAAGAATTGTATCTACTTTTTAAATCCGCGTCTCCCAAAGATTACAGCGCTTGTAGTGTCCAACCGAGTAGTCCCTCATTACTCACGCCACATCCAAAATCCAATTGCTCTCTGAGCCAGCACTCTTTGCCGCCAGACCCAACCCAGTCATGCCTCGAGCGAGTGCTTCACTGCTCTTGCTTCCAACCCAGACACTCTCACTTCGATCTAGACCTTCCTGGACATCCCATCCGTCACCGCTAACTGTATAGATGACTCTTCCATGAAGATACTTTTCTCTCATTCCTCGTTCGAATCCTTTCTCATACCATATCCCTCCACCGTTTGTGGTGCTAGCCTCATTTTCGCCAATGCCCGGTGTAGATGTGTTGGTCGCGATGATACCCGCTATCACTCGCGCAACATCTTCTGGCCTATCCGGAGGAAGCTGCACCGACATACGGCCCCCAGATTGTGCCACGGCACGAGGCACCATAATGTTCGTTGCAACGGCATTGATTCTTACTCCATCACGCTCTGGGTCTGGATCTATTGTCGATCGTAAACTCCGGAGTAACCCCAGAATCGAATGCTGTGTGATTTGGTATATTGGGAGTAGCGGAGTTTCCTTAAAAGCAGCGATGCTCGTCACAAAAGTCAAGCTTCTGTCATCCTTAGTTGCGTTGGATCTTGGCTCTGGTTGCGGCGTTGAATATGGATTAATCGGCGTTTTCTTGCTTGGTTTCGACTTTGGTGAATATTTGAGATACGCAAGGGCAATACGAGTGAAACGAACACTCGCAGCGAGAATGTCTCCTAGGTCGAAAGGTTCGCGTTCAACTTCATTCAAAGCCATCCGTGAGGTTTTGTTGATGCCAGTGCGGTCGTCAAACCAGCCCCTTTCACCTTCTCCAACTGTAGTTGCTTGACCACCATCATCGCCGACATTGTAGATGGCATGGTCGACGCGACCATACATTGTGGTTGCCAGCTTGAAAAGATCGAGAAGATCAGAATATCTCGTCATGTCACATTTGTTGAAGTGCACCACATGAGGAGGCCCCAGAGACGTGATGAGCTTGCGTGCCTGATCGCCATTGGTGTCACCAAATATGACCCGACAGCCAGCTTGGTGAAGTTGCCGTATAAGAGATTGCCCCACTAGAGAAGCGCCATTGGTCATCACAATTACTTTCCCGTGAAAGTCTTCCTTTGGAAGCGGCGGTGGAGTGAAGCGACAAGGATTAGCCACTACTACCGGAGAGGATGTAGACAGGGATTTCTTTGGTCGAGTGGTCGTGAATGGGTTCACCGGAGCGACTGTCGACGATGATTGTTTGGGTGAAGTGGGCGGTTCTGTCTGCAACACTGGAGTAGCAGTTGGCTTAGGAGAAGCCGAGGATGGATTCGGTGCAACTTGCTTCGGAGTCGAAGGCACAGTAGTTACCGGTTTTGGCGACGTTGGAGGAGAAGCCTGATGTATGGCGGGCACAGAATTGACAGCGGTAGGTGCTGGTTGGCTACCATCGGGAGGAGCAACCTGGGAGACACGCTTCTTTTTCTTTGGAGCGGGCGACGTTACAACAGGGGCTTCCTGTCTCTGTGGCTCAGGAGAGGGAGGTTCTTTTGGTTTGACCGGATTTAGATCAGCTGCTAATTCGAAAGTGTGAGGACTTTTCGTAATTGTTTTCCGTCTCCGTGTGGGCTTCGTAGGATCATCGGTTGATAGCCCATTTTCTAATGGCACCTCAAGTCTTGAGACAGAGGGTGCAGGACTTTGGGAATGGGCCACCGCTGCTCTATCAGGAGAACTAGTAGCAGGGCTTTTTGAAGCCTTGGAGACTTGGCGTGATAGAGCCTCTCCGCCATTTACAGCGGATGGAGATTCACTTGCCCATGGATTTGTAGAATGGGACTCGGAAGACTGCGACGTAATGGTTGATGTGACGTCAAAATCATTCGACGAATCGGTTTTGGAAGACTTCGTTTTCCGCAATGTGTCTTTCATGGCTGACATATGGCAGGGTGGTTGTTACTGTATGACTCGACTCGCATGCTACTACTAAGCGTGTTGAGATAGTATCACCAATTTCTGGAACAAAAGAACAACCTTATCGGGGGTAAGTTGGTACGAAAGTAGGCTCAGTAACTTTGGAAATTGAGACCGAGGTGGGATGTCGATCGGGGGTGGCGCAGAGTTGGAAGAGGGCCGTTGTCCAGATCCAATATCGGACGGAGATCGGTGGCGTCTCACCAGCAAATCTCTAGATAGCACGCACCAGATTCAAAAGCGACTGCACCTCATGTAGTTGATTCCGCCGATGTTTTGGAGATCAAGAAAGTATTGTGCAGTAGACAGAAAATGGGTAGAAGGTGTTTCGGATCCCGAAACATGCGTGGCCCCCAGGTGGGATTCTAGAACGATTCCCGCGATGAAACAGGCTAAAGGAGCCAGGATGTTAACTGCAACGGGATAATTGATCGGTGGTGGTGATTTCTCGTAATTGCTTAGAAGACGCTGAGACCGGTCCTAATACCGATCAAGTAGTCTCCAGAAAGGACATGTACCGTACACGTCCGAGAACAGTCTGGCGATTGGATCGATGGCCTTGATGAAATGCAGAATGACTGAGCAGATGAATGTATGGAATATCTGTCGCTCGCAACTTCATACTTCGCCAGTTGTGGCTGGTTTCGATAAGCACGAGGAAGTCGCCAGTTCGGATGTCGGAGCGGCATTGTTCCGTGCGGTCCTGCCTTATGATCCAGAGGCAGTGGGCGGGTGGCAGCCTGGCAGGTGCGAGGCCCAGTAGGCTAAACCAGGAACGTGCATGTATTACTTCACTTCTTTTCTCCTTTATCATTCCTAAAATCCCCTTTACGAAAGTCCGTCCGGGGGGAGATCATAAGATATCCAGATCTTGGCCGATTCCGTAATCAATGCCATCCCCTAAGGCCATGTCATAACTGCTTCCAATATGCGTACATGTAGCTCTCGTACTCGTACTTAGACCTGGAGAAGTTCTGACCTACCTAAGCTTAAGTAAGTACCTGGTGTCCTACCCGAAGCTAACGGACATGTCCTGCGAACGGTAGCCGACGCAGACCCGATCGACCTCAGCAGGACTTCGTACAAACCAGGTACCGTGCAAGCTTGAAAGACAATTTTCGTCATTTCAGCAGATACCAATTGTACCTGAAATTCCAAATGCTTATGAATTCTCCAGAATTACCTCAGCACGCTCTCTTCTCGTCTCTAGATCTCGATAGCCACTGACCGCAGAGTGGGTGAATTTAAAAGGTCCTGATTTTAAGTGGTACTCGACAGAAACAGAATTTTTGATCTTAGTTGTCACTGATACATGACCCGTTGCTCAGACGATATTCATAGGCGATTTTCGATCTGATATCGCTGATACATAACTCAGTGTTGAAACGAGATCGACAAACCATTCCCAAGACAGAGAGGTAAGCCACGGGCGCGCACATAGCGTTCGCAATAAATCATGGGCTCGATTCCCGAACAACTTCCTCGCGGCCACTGCCAGCTGTACACGCAAGAACAACTAGCAAGATACCTCGAATTTATCAACCCAGACCCATCCTACTCATTAGCGGCTCTTCAATCAGAAATTAGTCAAGACCCGCTGGCGGCACTGTCCCTTCTCCAGCTTCGACAAAACTGTGCTACGGTTTGGGGCAATGTCGCGCTACACTATTCATGGCACCGGTCGCTACCTTTGGATCCTGATACCTTGTACCACAAGATCGTCGAGCGGCGGCTCGGGGGCTATTGTATGGAAAACAATATGTTCTTCTCCACGATCTTGAGATCCTTGGGATATGATCTTTACGTCACAGGGGCGAGGATTAGTAATGCGTTGATGGGTGGCAGTCGTGATCCTGAGGGCTTCGCCGGTTGGTGAGTGATTTGTTTTTGGGAAATCTCTTTTGATTGTCTTGATTATCTTTAGCGGCTTCATCGACACGTTGGTCTGCCCGCTTGGCTGACGAAGAAAATCGAAATTGTAGGCAGCACGAAGTTATCATCGTCACCATCAGCGGCCGGCACTACCTAGTAAGCATCATAACTCTGACTCACAACTCAAGCCACCAGTATGATATTAACCGCAATCCCAGGTTGATGTCGGCTTCGGCTCCGGGTCCCCAGTGGATCCTATACCACTAACCAAAGACTCTGAACAAGAGCGAGGATCCGTACCCGGCTCGTTCGTCCGCCTCGTCCACCGACACATCGCGCCCAACACGACTTCGCACAAGGCGTGGGTGCTCGAGCTGAAGAACACCACGACGAACAGATGGTCCGGAGGCTACTGCTTCACGGAGTTCGAGTGGCTGCCGCAAGACTTCGAGATCATCAACTACCGCACGTCCAAAGACCCAAAGAGCTGGTTCACCTACAAGCTGGTCCTTGTGCGCACGCTCATTGACGAGGAGACGCGCACCAAAGCAATCGGCACGATTATCCTCACAGAGAGGAAGGTCGAGAGGAGGCTCGGCACAGGCAAGAAGGAGGTACTTGTGGAAGCGAAGAGTGAGGCTGAGCGGGTGCAGGCCCTAAGGCAGTGGTTCGGGATTGTGCTGACGCCGGAGGAGGAGAGGGGCATCAGGTCCCTGGCTACTGAAATCACAAGCGAGATCGTCAATGTTTAGAACACACGCACCACAAGTCCTTTTCCCTGATCGCGACAAATGCTCTAGAATGGATTCTGCGAAGGGAGGAGGTACAGTCAAGCACTACTTGTTGGAAAGAGGGTAGGCTGGTTTGCTGGCAAACAAACATCGTTGCTACCGCGAGGAATACAGTTGTAGGCCACAATAGCTTACCTTTGCAATCCCCGCCCTGTCCGAAGCACCTTCATACGTGATATCCTGACCCAAATGCTTCCGCCGAAGGCACCCATCATCACGCCAAGAGCAAAATCATAATGGAATTAGCTCTGTTGCATTTAAAAAACTAGTCTGTCTGGCCTGCTCCCTTTACAGGTTTTCCGTGAGCATAATAAATGCAGTACAACGGGCAAAGCACGATTTCTTTCTGTGTTGTCTTGGAGGGCATTGCTCGCTGGTTTCGAAGTTGGGAATCGGACTCTGAGTATGAGCAGCATGTTGATCAGCTGTTTACGGCAAAGGGTCTTGTCTGCGGTCCCGGAACAACAGCTTCACTGCAGTCAAACATACGCCACTTCGCCTTGAGAGAGAAAGTCAGTCTTCTGCCAGCGTAACATCGAATCAGACAGGGCACAGTCGAGAAAAGGGAAGGGAACAGGAGAGTGTGTGGAGGAGACAGTGGAAACGCCTAGAAGCTCTGGGGATTTCATGTCTACCTGCTCTGTCTAAGGAGAAGTCCCGTGCCGGATAATACGGTAGTAAAGGCGAGAACATGGAGAGAATTCGGTACCAAGTTTTCCTTGCTCCATCGCGCTGCACTCACGTCGCTTGGGACCTTGCCGGCCTGGCAGCAGTCTTGGAGCGTTCTTGATCGACGAGGAGGGCCCATAGAATGGCTCGATTATCACGGCTCGAGCAGTCATCCAAAATAGTTGGCCGGTCTCAAATCCCCGAGACTATCAAGGTTCCTTCAGAGCAGCGGCGAGGTGGCCCGTGGATCGGCCCATATGGGTACAGGAAGAGGGTAAGGTAGCTTGCGTAGATCGCCTGGTGCCAATGCTAGTTTCGACTTGAGTTCGACGTGCTACTGCGTCCACTTGATTGAATGGACCTATTTTGGGGCGAGGCATACCGCCCACCGGGGGTTGGGGGACTGGCAGTGCTGTAGCTGGGCAATATGAGAGAGCAAATGAATGCTTATCGTGTAGACTTAGCTAGGTATTGATGCACCCTGACGACTAGATTAATCTGGTAGTGGAGGGCCGCTTTCTGTAGTGGGTGCAGCTAGCTACCTGGAGATTGCCTTCGTTTATTCATCTCATGATATAGTCCGTTAGGACTTCGAGCCCATGCCTATTCAGCCTTGACAGTATTCAGGTAGCGAGTAATCTCTAGGCGGCTCGCTTTATGGGTATACGGAGGAAAGACAAATAGTGTTTACCTTCGCGGGTCGGCAATTTAGAGACGTTGCCTACCGTTTTCGACCAGGGACTTGACCCGTGATTCTCTAGAAGACGGCAATCCAAAAGTCGGCAGCTAATGGTGATTGTGGCTCGAGGACCGGGTGAATAGGATTCGGGCGAGGCATTTGGGTTATGCCACCTGATGGGGCAATCTCTAGTCTATCGAGATCGCCAGAGATTGTGGGATTTATCCCGGCCCCGAGTTTGCTCCAGTTAGTGCTTTTTATTAGCTATCGATTGACTCTGAGACACGAGAGTCGGCTATTAGCTTGTCGTTGGGATGTGAAGCATTTCCGCTAAAGGTATGAACGTGTGTGAAGACAGGCCGACCCGGGGACGGCTGCATTACTTTCGAGATCCTGCTACTACATTTAGATACGCAATAGCAAACTCTCGACGTTGTAGAGATACGAGTACGCTGTGTCAATGTGCGTGCGGGACTTCCACACCTGCATGGCAAACACAAGCTCATGGAAGCGGTGATCCGACCTGAGCCGTCCGATGAAGTTGAATCGTGCCAGACCGAATCTGGGGAACCTTACCAGGTTGAGAACGGTGCATTTGAGCTAGATGCGCCTATCATGCTAGAATGATGCAGTAGCAAATGTGCCGTTGGATCCACGGAGTCATAGGTACTGTAGTGATAACAGATGTGGTAGAGTATATTTTCTCGCGGTGCCCACAGGCAACTGGATTGAGTCGAAGGATATTTTTGGATTGTGGGGATGTGTGGCGTTGGATGGTCACGGGGTCAGAGTCTGGTCACGGGCCGCTTGGCTGGGCTAACCCGGATGGGCAAGTTTCCAGAATCTTGGGGCGATCAGTATCATCAGGGTGCCCAGGTGCCGATTTCCGAGCCCGCCGTGGGCTGCCAATGTCTGCCAGTCGTTCATGACGATTAGACCCTGTGGAAAAGAACTCTGGGCAGAGGTCATTTTTCTCAGTTAGTCTGAACACTCACAATCTCGTATGCAACCAAGACTAGGGCCAAGCAATGGGTCCTTGGTACACGGATTGGGCAAAGGTGTCCTTTCGCGCTTGTTGATGGCTATCGCACATTCCTAGGTGCTGGCACGCCCCAACGGCAGTGGCAGTGAGGACACTCAAACAGAGGTGAACATTGCCTTGGGGACAACAAGCTTCGGGTGAATACTCGTTGCTGCTGTCAGTTGCTTGCCCGAGTGCGAGAGAAGTATCGGATCCACAGCCACGGAGGATTGTAATTACCGCCAAGGCAAGGCTCACTTGTTGTAGGCACAGCAGGTGGAGCTGAGGACCGCAATGATCCAACCACTGCCCGGGGCGGTAGTGTGATGGTAATGCTGTTACTGAATGTCATGATCAAATTCTTCTAGGCATTATCTTGTAAGTCGTTGTTCAAGAAGACTAATGTGGACGCCAATGCAACTACATCCAAGAAATGGTGCCCATCCTCCGTCCACGCTCATGTCCAACGCTGCAGGACGCGTGGTTCTTGCATTAAAGCGGTGCACCAGCAACGAACCAGAAAGGGAGAGTTTAGAGGTAAACTCGATTAGACCAAGCTTTCTTGCCGAGGGCCTAAGGAGGTCTAACAGGGTATGGGGGTATGGGGGTCTCAAAGGGGCACCCATCATACACGGTGGATTCGTTCTGTCAGAGCGGGAGTTCGGCTGCCTGGCAAGGTTGATGACCCGGCAAAAGAATCTACGAGTGAATAGTGCTCCAAGACGGCTCATTGCATTATAGTATTGCGCTTTGTGACGCCATGGACGAATCAATTGTTTCGCACTCGATTCTTTCGGTGGGGACCAGCCGGCAGCACGGAGGATGGCCTCAGGGCCTATGGCAGCAAGGTGAAGACGGATTGCATTGTGTGTGTGCATAGCCTGGAATTGGGACCTGGGACCTGGGACTGGCCAGAAATTAGCACTGCCCCAGAGCTGCCAGTGTTGCCATGACAGTAGGCCAGTGGCCCTGGGGTTGTGGGCTCTAAGCGAAGCGTATTTCGCTTTCTTTGCATGCCCGGAAGGTTGGTGTCCTGCGCCCCCGACTCCCCTGTAACCCCGGCCAAGATGATGCGCCTAGGCAGAATTGCTAGGCTCTCTTGGGCACCCTGACACGTTGGACACCCTTTAGGCTCTTAGGCTCCTAGGTCCTAGGCTCTTATGTAGGCTCTTCCTCTGTCCTCGGGTTCGTGAATACGAGCAGCTCTCTCGCTTCTCCAGGCGTGGGCAGATCCTGAGCTCCCTGGCCATTATTGTGGCTTGTACTTGTCCGGCGACCCGTTAGACAGGAGGAACCCGCAAGGGCCGTTCTCTTCTCAGGTTAATGGGAAAAAGAGGAGATACTGGCAGAATCCAATAAGCAGGGATGCTGGATAAACCTCCCTCAAGTCGTCGTTCGATCGTGATCAGCGAGAGGTAGATCCCATGGGAGTTCTCATCTGAAAAAGCATCACCCGTGATCTCGTGCGGGTGGGCGCAGTCCAGAAATAGCGCCATGGGTCATGAAGTCATGGGCGGTCGGACCCCCTCTTCCACTTCCTCCTCCTCGTCTCCCAATTGAATGTTCCATCCACAACGTGACCCACCAATCGCTCCCATTCTTACGCCCGCGCATTCTCACGTCTCACTCCACTTGACTTTCTCCTCAAACACTTATAAGACTCCCTGCATTTACCATCCGAACCATCCATGACGCTTGACATTTAGTAGCTACATTACATCCACGAGTCCACTCCATCCCTCCATCAACCTTGCGTCTCATCAACTACTCCCCAAGTTGCGCGTCCCCCCATCCGCGTGCAACAAATACGCAAGCAGCTCTCACAGTCCTATTTCAATAAACAAACAGCTCCAAGCTGTCGTCGACGCGCTCCCTGCTCGCTTCGACCTCAAGAACACAGCCCACAATGGACTCTCCAAGACCATCTGGGCCCGACACCGGCAAGTCGCCCACACCACCTGTCGGCTTTCGCCCTCAGAATGGTCCTTTGATCAAGGTGCAACCCCCGCGACGAGAGGACCTCCAGCCATCATATGCCCAGACCCTGCAAGGCGATACTGACATTGAGACTCACGGCTGGTATGGATCAATGAGTATGTGAATTCCCTACTACCACTGCTATCCATCCATCGCTAACCATTGCGCAGTCAATTCCCTCGGTGCCTGCGTTGGTTTCATGGGTGCAATCCCCTGTTGTGTCATCTGCCCCAACCCCTACAAGCCTGTGTCGCAAGGAAATGTTGGCCTGGTCACCAGGTTCGGGCGTTTTGCACGCGCTGTCGACCCCGGCTTGGTCAAGATCAACCCCTTGTCCGAGAGACTCATCCAAGTCGATGTCAAGATTCAAATCGTCGAAGTTCCGCGACAAGTCTGTATGACCAAGGACAATGTCACGCTGAACCTCACTTCCGTCATCTACTACCACATCACATCTCCTCACAAGGCTGCCTTTGGAATCTCCAACATTTGCCAGGCCTTGGTTGAGCGAACCCAGACTACTTTGCGCCACGTTGTCGGCGCACGCGTGCTCCAAGACGTCATTGAACGGCGTGAAGAGATCGCTCAGTCCATCGGCGAGATCATCGAGGATGTCGCATCCGGATGGGGTGTCCAAGTCGAATCCATGCTCATCAAAGACATCATCTTCAGCAACGATCTCCAAGACTCGCTCTCCATGGCTGCTCAATCCAAGAGAATCGGTGAATCCAAGGTTATTGCCGCTCGTGCAGAAGTCGAATCTGCCAAACTCATGAGACAGGCTGCCGATATCTTGAGCTCGGCACCGGCCATGCAAATCAGATATCTTGAAGCTATGCAAGCCATGGCCAAGACTGCCAACAGCAAGGTCATCTTCTTGCCAGCAGCCAACCAAACAATTCCCCCGGAGGCTTTGTCGCAGATCCAACACCACTCAACGGGTGAACCAAGCGGCTTCAACTCCAAGCAAAACACCGGCGGAAACGCCTTCGAGTTCGCCACTGATGATGGTTTCCAACAAGCTATGAACGCCAGAGTCGTCGAGAACATCTGAACGTGTCACCCCTGAGCCGGGTGCAAGTAGCAAGGGACGAACAGGCATCCGGGCTAGACTGCTCTGATGCGGAACTACTTCCCTCCGGAATGACTTTTTTCACCTTTGGTGGTTGGTCTGCATTTTCTCAAACTTTGTCGGGCGTTGGAATCACTGTTTTAACCGAGATACCCAACAAGTATCAGAGCACTCGCTTTCGCTTGTATCAATATTCCCTCGTGGAATTCCCATCGCGATAGTAGTTCATAGTATGTCTACACTGTGGCCCTCAGCGGCAGCAGGAAAATAATGATCACATGAAAAGGATCGGATTTCTCCTTTCTCCTTCGGGCTCTGGATATTGAGAGTAGCTGTGCTTCGCCTTCCACCTACCTTCGCTAGGCATAACCCAACAGACAAAGCCCCTTGTGCAGAAACTATTTCGCCTTAATAAGTGCACCTTTGAGCCATTGAGCAACACATACGACATGAATATTCGAACAAAGACTGCCAACGCTGATATACTTGATTCATGCTGCATAGCTTATCCCACGTCGTCCCTGCACCCGGCCTTAGGTAGACCAATCCATCCGTTCCCTTTTCACCTACATAGTACGGAGTACTGCAGGTCGAGTTTAGAGGCGGTCCTCACGTTTTCCAACCACCACCTTTTTGCATTGAATTACAACACGCTCCACTTCCAACTGGTTTACGCAAAAGACCACTTCGCCTTCTCGGCAAAGCCCTTGAAGGTATTCTTCTTCGCGCCCTCCACCAAGAAGGCATCGCTCTCGGCCTGGTTCTTCTCCGCGCCCTTCCCGAAATAGCTGTAGTCCCTGATCAACAGCATATTCTGCGCGAGCTCCTCGGCGATCTTATTGCCGATCTTGGCGGCAGACTCGACGGAGGCGGGCTGCTCGACGAACCTGACCTGCTTGCCCGTGACGGTGCTCAGCGTGTCGACGACCTCTTGCGGGTGGAGCCATTGGCTGGTGCCCTGGACGGCGAAGCCGTTGGCGCGCTCGCCAGCCTCGAACAGCCCCACCGTGAACAGGCCCGTGTCGTTGCGGATGTCGATCATGGGCAGCCAGGTGTTCTGCGCATTCCAGGGCAGCGACAGCGTGGCGACGCCGTCTTCGCCCGCGTTGATCTGGCCCGTCAGGTTCGACATGAAATATGCGGGCATGAAGTACGAGACCAGCAGGCTGTCGCCCTTGACCTTCTCGGCGTACTCTTGCACGTTGGCCTTGGAGTCGAAGTGCTCGATCTTGGTGAGCTCGCCGTTGGTGAGCTTCTCCGCGTGCGGCAGGCTGCTCCACACCAAGTGGCGCACGCCTTGCTCCTTGCATGCGTCCACGATGTTCTTACCTTGTTGGAATTCTGCGTCCTTGTCCATCGTCTCCCAGTAGTTTGTCACCGCGAAGACGCCGTGCGAGCCTGCGATCGCCGCTTTGATGCTGCTAATGTCATTGAGGTCTGCTTGTGCGAGCTCGGCCCCTCGAGACGCGAGCGCTTGCGCGCTGGGCTTGCTGGGATCCCGCGTGATTGCTCGGATCTTGTACTTGGAGGCGAGTGTTGGGTTGTTGAGCACCGCGGAAAGCGTGCTGCCGCCTTGGTTACCGGTGGCGCCGAAGATGGTTAGGACCTTTTTGGACATGTTGAGGTTGTTTGGGGTTTGGATGGGTTGAAAGAGCTTGTGTCAGGGTTTTGTTTGAACTGGCCCTCTGCAGGAGTGATATGTGTTTTTGAATTTGGGAGGCTGTTCGCTACAAGGATGGGCAGATGCTGTGTATGTGGGATGGAGAATGAGTGGTTCGACAATCCCAATGACTCGACCTACCGTTATATATACAACATCTCAGTGAGCTGAATCAAACTTTGCCTCAACTACGTACTGGTAGCTACATTGAGCCACATGTCCAACTATTGGGTTAGGTAAGTGGTCAGGGTGCCGTCAGAAGGGCCAGGGTTAGTCATCGGCTCGCGGTTCGGCCTTTCCAGGGAGAGCTTTAAGGGGTTTCTAATGTGGATTGCATGATCTGCTCTTCGGAGCCACGTCCCGCCGGTTGCTTCGTAGGTTTGTAGACTGCATAACATTCTATGACGAAATATTATTAGACAGAGGAGATGCCAATCGGTCCTTGGATGGCTACATAGTTCCCGGTACCAATGGCAAGCTACAGTGTAGGTTAGGAAGTCAGAAGCTGCATGTTTTCGCTCCTCCTTAGTCATCGCTAAGAGTTCGGCTTGCTCTTCGAATATGTGCGAGTACGATGACTAATCTGTCGGGCCGTGGTGATGCCGATGCCAAGGCCTTGGCGCTATAATAGGAAGTCACTGACTCCAGTAATTATCGGCCTCTTTCTTTATCGGCCTCTTTCTTTATCGGCCTCTTCCAAATACTCGGATGGATGTACCACCTGGCCTTTATTGTTATCGTAGATTCCTGATATCGCCAACTTAGGTATGGAATCGAGAATTTATAATCGCCTGCCCAAGGGCTACCGATCTCAGGCCGAAATGACAGCATCTCAGTTACCTTCAAAGAAAACGCTGGTTCTAGAGAGCTCTCTATCCCCAAAGAAGCTCCACATATCCTGGAGCAAGAGGTCTGGGTTGGTCAGGCTGGCAAAATGGCCCCCAGTCTGATGTACAGTCCGTATCTTGACGTTCCCTCCCCGCTGCGCCCAGTCCAATGGAGTTCGATACCACAGGTCGAAGGGGAACTCAGATATCGCTACCGGCTGCTTTACGAACGGAAGGAGATTGATGCCTTTCGTTGAAATTGCACCATCCTAAAGCGCCGTGTCAGCAATCAACAGACATTCACGGATAGCACACCAAATTCACCTTAGCACCGTTCTTGTACAGGCTGAAAGCACCATATGGTCCGTTGATCCAATGCATCATTGTCCAGGTAATAATCAGTTCTGGAGTCCATATACTTTGATCCGGCACTCCAGAGACCACCGAGTCGTAGATCCACATAGCCAAGCCCACTGGACTATCAGTCATGGCACCCGCTAACTTGAGAGGGCGAGTCTGTTGGATCTGGGCGTATCCCCAGTGACTCGTCACGAAATCGTTGTACAGTTCAATGAGATAGTTCTCGTCTGCAGAAGTCTCCTTCCTGCCATATCTTTCCATGTCGTCCTCATTGGGGGGAATGATCCAGAAGTTGGAATGCCCAGAAACCACACTGTCGGGAAAGTCGACAGCCATGTAGCGATTGATCAGATCACCGGCATCACCCCCCTGAAATACGTACTTACAGTAACCCAGCCGAGTCATCAAGGCGTTGAAAGTTGCTCCTGCTTGGCGATACCCAAAACCCGGTTTCCGAGGGGATGGGCTGAAACCGTATCCAGGAATCGAAGGAGCCACAACATGAAAAGCCGGCAAGCTATCGTCTGCCGGGTTGGTCAGTGGTTCGATAATGTTTTCCACTTCCAGGAAAGACCCAGGCCAGCCATGGACAAACAATAGTGGGATAGCGTCTCTGCGTGGTGATCGATGATGAACAAAGTGCAAAGGCACTGGCTCGGTGTAATTGGTAGACTGGGTCGTAAGTACAGTGGTAAATTGTTTGAGCCTCGAGTTAATATCGACCTCTGTTGATCGCCAGTCATACTTGTTCATCCAGTGATCTGCTACGGCCTCTGCCGTATGAAGGGGAGGCCCGTCCGTGAAGGGTGCCTGATCCTCCACTTCTTCAACAAACCGAGTCAACGACACCTTTAACTTTGTAGTTTCAAGGAAACTTTGGTGTACATCAATAGTGAAAGGGATGATTTCAGTTGTGAAGTTGGCATCGTAATTGAGCTTCAACTCTACGGACGAGAAGCTTGCCATTGAGCTGGGACATGTGGTCAGAAGAACCAACATCAAAAGAGAGCTAAGAGATAGGGCGATCATCTTGTACACTCACTACTATCTAGTAAAAGCAACAACTTTAAGGCCAATCATGAAATGATTAAGTTCATATGATCAAGAGTTTACTCAGACAAGGCTAGGGATCGTGGCACCCAAGTGATCAGATGAATCCCTTTGATAGATCACCTCGGATGATTGGGCTGAGGCAGTCACACAAAGGTCGAAAGGGGACACAACAGCGATTGCGGTCAGCAGCAGATCGCCGTTAACAAATCTGAATAATCAAAATCATGCCATAGGAGAGCGTCAGTTCACTAGAGACCCAGGCCGTGTTGCTGATCGCCAGGAGCCAAGCCTTACGGTAACTGCAGCCAATTGGAAACCTTGCCGAGGTAGGGGAGATCCAAGTGAAGATGTCGCTCACTACCCTCGGAAACCGTCAACAACAACTTACCAAATCCCAGTGTGCTAGAGGCCAAGCAGCGACCTTACCGACCTTCTTTTCTCCTCGTCAACTTACCCTCGGGTGTGGAGCCCCATGGGGTCATGCGCCTGGCCTATGGAGTGATTATCATTTCCTCAGACGAAAAGGTCGTTTGTGATGGCACACACGAAGTCTACATCGTAAGTTGTCAAATTCACCACCGCCTCTTTTCGCTTATCCTCGGGTGAACGATGAACCCCGTGTGTACCATCTCATCCCTCGTATCTGGGAGTGATCAGTACTAGTATTAAAGCTGCTGACGCCTACTTGATCCCTGGGGAAGGCCTCTCATAATCTATAGGAAGAGAGAGAAGGAAATACTCAATTGGACTACCAGTATCTCGATTGCTTCAACATGGCGGAACAGCTAGAATTCGAGCATTCGAAGTCGAGACAGTTCCGTTCGTATAATATCTTGATGATCCTGTTGATGTCGCTTGGGTCCATCGGTTACGGATACAATGCTAGCATCATTGCAACTACTTTGGCACAGCCATCTTTCATATCATACTTTGAGCTAGACACGCGCCCCGACGGCACAGAGTTGATCGCAACCACAAACGGTCTTTATCAAGCAGGAGGCTTTCTTGCTGTTTTCTCAGTCTCCTGGCTTGCAGATCGATGGGGTCGACGTTTTGCGATTGGCATTTCAGCACTCATAAACCTGATCTCCGGGGCTGGTCTCACAGGAAGCGTACACATTGGCATGTTCATATTCTTCCGGTTTCTGGCCGGCGCCGGGGCATTCATGATAGTGGCCGCTGTTCCGATATGGATGAATGAAGTTGTGCCTCCTAGTGTCAGGGGGGTATTGGTCGATTGCCATTGTGTGGGGCTCCTTATTGGATACACGTCTGCAACGGTTATTGGTTACGGCTTTTTCCACCTTCCACCGGACAACAATGGAGGTTGGAGAGGTCCTCTCTCGTTCCAATGTCTACCGGTGGCCCTCTTACTCATAGGGATCTATTGGATGCCGGAGTCACCGAGATGGCTCATCAGCCAAGATCGCATCGAGGAAGCAGAAAAGGTCCTCAACAAGCTTCATGCTCCAGAAGAAGCAAGGATTGAGCTTCAACAAATTCGCACTGCGATCGATATCGACCGCCACTTGGAAAAATCATGGTGGTCGATGTTTGCTAAGAAAAGCTACCGGAAACGTTCATTTCTGGCCATGGGCATGGCTGCTTCGATTCAGACGAGCGGGTACGTTTCTCCCCTATATTTCACCAAATTTCACTAATCCCACTTTAGAATCCTGGTCGTAAACAATTATGGTCCGACAATCTATGCGTCGCTAGGATTCGACACCAATAAACAGCTGATCTACCAAATCGGATGGTGTTGCACTGCCCTCGGAACTGGCATAATGTCATTTTTCATAATCGATCGCTTCAGAAGACCCACCCTACTCGCCTTGGGTGTCGGTGGCTGCGCCTCATGCCTAGTCATTCTATGTGGTTTGATTGGCAAGTATGCTAGCTCACCAGAGAAGTTGGGGAATCCTAACCGACCAGCCCTCAACGCGGCAGTCGGCATGATATACTTGTTGACTGCATTCTATCAATTGGGTTTGGACGGTGTCCAATTTGCATACCTTGGTGAATTGTTTCCTAATCAAATCCGCGCTAAGGGCATGGTGTTGGGGATTGCAACGATTTGCGGTATGAATATCATGTGGTTGCAATCAGCTCCTGTAGCTTTCAAAGAAATCGGCTGGAAATTCTACATCTGTTTCTTTGTGCCCGGTTTGATTGCAGCAACCATCATTTGGTTCTACTTTCCTGACACTTTGGGCGTACCACTGGAAGAGGTCGCGAAACTCTTTGGAGACCATGACGAACTGTTCGGCCCTGAGACGATTATCCAAGAGAAGTCCAGGCAATCCGAGGAACTTCCAAAACAGGATATCAGCACCCACGTTGAAACAGCTTCAGTGTGAGAAGACACTTCTTACCGATATCATAATGGGTCCACGTCCTTTGGGCGGATGGATTCGTTCAGTGTTTGAGGATGATTGGCCAAGGCTCAATGGAAAATTTCGGCAGTATGGGTGGATGGATGACTGAGGATTGTTTACGGAACTTAGGGATGATGAACAGCCTTAAACAGCAAGTAGTTCTCATGGATACACGGAATCTACAAGTTTTTACAGCCAACAGATGGATCTTACATGAGATATAAATTTTAGTGTTAAAGCGCTTTATCAGACACAACTCATTTTCAAGGGGCGCCAATAATTCCACATCAGTACATAACAAATATGTAGCCATAGTCTGGTTAGTGTGCAATAAGAAATCTTAGCATCTGCAGCGGGGACAGAAAGGTGCTTGTTACTTACTATCAGCTCAACAATTGTACACGACCCAGAGTTGATAGGGATTACAAATACTGCAGCCATAGATTTTCCAGTATCTGTTATGGGAACAAATTTATGGCGCTACAGACATTAGTCTGATGCGTTGGTACACTGAGATGCTTGTAGCCTCGGAGGAGTCTTTATCGTAATCAAGCCATGCTACCAAGGTAGCAATATATGGGCTTGGGAAGGTTGTATCAAATTTCCTGCGCCGGGAAATATTGCCTTGAAGATCCTCGGCTTCGACAGCCCAAATGACACCCGAGGAAACCGCGTAGTACATGTTTCAGGAAGACCAAGCATGGGTCTAAATCTTGGTCATGCCCGGTTTTCGAGGTCGAATCCTCGGAAACGAGAGCCTGTCAAAGCGACGGTCTCAGCGTGTACAATGATATATTGCTGAACCAGTAGCCTAGCTTGATTCCTGTACGTCAAATTTGCTTCGCGTTGAAGCCGTTCTCGTCGAAACATACTTTCTGGAGAGAGCAGCCCAAGATGCCTCTCATTCCCACTTCAGCTCCGCTCTTACAGCACGATCAAGTCCCAGACTATCCGCAATGCACACCCCATCGTCTGAAGATAATCCACATTGGAATGGGAGCATCAGGACTAGTTTTCGCACACAAAGTGGAGAAATACCTCAAAAACGCCGAACTTGTATGTTATGAGCGAAATTCAACCATCGGGGGAACCTGGTATGAGAATAGATATCCGGGCTGTGCTTGTGATATTCCAGCTCACACCTACACTTTCCCATTTCACGGCAACGCTGAATGGAGTGGATATTATAGCGGCAGCAGCGAGATCCAAGACTACTTCCTGCGGTTCGCAAAAACCTTTTGTGTGGAGAAGTATGCCGTACTGAACACAGAGGTGCTAGCGTGCAGATGGGATGGTGATCAATGGATTGTTGAGCTATGCAAAAAGGATGGCACAACTTTCACTGACAACTGTGATGTACTCGTCAATGGCTCTGGGATCTTCAACAAGTGGAAATGGCCGAATATTGAAGGCCTCACTGAGTTTTCTGGGGTTGTTGCACACTCTGCTAACTGGCCGCAAGACATTGACTGGACAAACAAGAACATCGCTGTTATTGGCACTGGATCAAGCTCCATCCAGATGGTGCCAAAGTTTGCGGCCAATGCGAAGCAAGTCACAGTATTCATGAGAAACCGCACGTATATTGGACCGCAAATAGCCTCAGGCGTATCGAATAAAGACGCCGACCCTGATGCAGTGGAGCCCTCGGCAGCGGGAAAGCACTATTATACAGAAAAGGAGAAGGCACGGTTCAGGCAAGATCCAGAATATCACTTGAAATATCGCAGAGACGTCGAGCGGGCCGTCGTGAGTGGCTTCAGTATCTTCTATCGAGGCAGCAAGGCGAATCTAGAGGCCAAAGCAATAATGCAAAAGAATATGGCTGACAGAATCGGCGCTGGCCACGAGGAGCTTAAAGCCCGGTTGATACCAGATTGGAGCCCAGGATGCCGCCGTCTTACTCCTGGGGAAGGTTATCTTGAATCACTGGTCAAGTCCAACGTAAGCCCTACATTCGAAGAAATCATAAAAATCACCCCTGATGGTATCCTGACGAATGACGGGATCGAGCACAAAGTGGACATTATCGCCTGTGCAACCGGATTTGATGTGCAGTACCTGCCACATTTCAAGATTACTGGAATAAATGGACAAGTTATGCAGGATCGTGAGCCAAACGTTTACGCTTCGATAGCTTCTCCCGGCTTTCCCAACTATTTCGTGGTGAACGGACCTCGAGGAAACTGGGGTCAGGGATGTGCACTTCCGAGTCATGAGGTTCAAGCTGAGTATATAATTCAAATCTGCAAAAAGATTCAAGAAGATGGCATAAAGGCAATGATGCCCAAGGAGGAGGCTACTTTACAGTTGAACTTGTATATGGACGCATGGCATCAAAAAAACTCCGTCTGGGCAGAGGGCTGCAGAAGCTGGTACAAGGTAAGCGGCCACTCATTTTGATTACTTACTACCATGGACATTAATTGACGATATTCAAAGGATAACAAGCCAGACGGACGAATCCATATTTGGCCTGGAAGTCTTTACCACCATCTGAAATACATGAAAAGACCACGCTACGAGCATTATGATATCGCATACCGAGATCCTGACAACATGTTCGCATTCCTTGGGAATGGATTGACCATCACCGAGGTGAACTCTGACAAGGAAACTATGCCAGTCCCCTACATTCGAAATGACGAAGATGAGCTGTGGGACATAGAATAATTCAATTCAGTTACTTAGAACATGGTCAAAATCTCCAGGCCCCAGATTGAAGAATAGATCAGGGCTAAGATCCAGCAGGCTGTAATCAAACACATCAAGTAAATCGTCCTGAGTCGCGGCCTCAGCATTCATTTCCTCTTTGATTCCGATATCCGTGGCCGGTTCACAAGCTATACTATGCGAACTGTCTTGCAGCAGAAACAAGTCGTACGGAGAGGGCAGCTTCGACGGTGAACAGTGGAAGCTTTCCCATCGTTGGCATGGTTGGGTCTCGGTAGAGACTTCTATGGCTCTATTGAATTTGGGATCTTGATACAGTTTTGCCGCTGCGGAGACGAGGAATGATTTTGCACAATGTGAATAGATGTGGACTTCCATGAGACTATCAAGGTATTCCAAACAGGTTTCCAGTTGATATCTGCTTCGGTCCCGCAGCGAATTTAGACTTGTCGCTGCATCACATAGATGGGTGACTGCTGCTTGTAGCAGACATGTTATTCCGGATGTGGGCAGAAGATGGATCATCTCTTGGAACTGGAGATCTCTTAGAATAGATATGATAGCGTTGGCGGCGTGTCGCGACGTTCGTTGCGAACAAAGTTCCGACGCGGGGAGCGCCCTTGCTATTGGCGGTGGCCAAGGCCGGTGGAGTATGCAGACTAGAGCGTAATAGAACAGATTAAGCAGAGCACAGTGGAACATCAGTAAGTGTTGTTCCGGTGCGAACTGTAGAGACGACGGCGATCGGTATTTCAGTTGGTCTGGCAGGTCTCGAAACCAAGCAGTGAGCTCGAAAGCGCATGTTTGCACTGGTGATGAGTTGGTTCGAGAAATCTTCGGGGCTGACACCAATGTCCTTGTACTTGTGCATCCAAGCTTAGGCACAATAGTCTGAAAACGAGTGCGCAGTATCTTAGAAATGTTATGGCAAAGTTGTTGTTGCGCAATGCAGACCTCGGCCAGTCGATGCTGCTGATCAAGGTCGTGGAGCAGCCCGCAGTGATTGAACGCCGATAAGACATCGCTTGTAGCAGGCCGAATATCGAAATCGTCCAGGACAAGATCAGGTGACTCACAATCCTCTTCGGGGATGATTGGTGGATGCCTCAAGCCTAAGGCAAGCATTCGATCCCGGATGTAGCAGGACCACCAAACACGTTTCCAAAGATGTTTTCGGCGAGGCGACAACGAAGATACAGCGGGATCTTTGTTCAGTCCAATGAAGACCGAGATGTTGTAGGCAATTCCAATCCAATGTCGGAGGTGCTTTACCTCATCACCTTTCTCTTGCCAGCAGGTCATGAGGATCAAGGCTTGGACGAGAGTCAAACGATCAACCTCAGAATCGAAGTCGTATAGCAACCTTACTCGGTCGGCAAGTTCCTTTTTCAGAGCCATACGGGATTCAAAACCAGCCGCTCTGATGTATTCCATCTCAACAAAGGAACAGCCTGAAAGAAGCATTGCTTGAAGCAGGAGGAGACTGATTTTATAGTCCCTGCCGTTTGTGGCAAGCGCCTGTAAAATCTCATGTATGTCAACCACGGGTAGCTGCGGATGGACATAATGGACATAACTTGTGAGTATAACGTTGCGGAGCTTTTCATCTAGAATGTTGAATGCGCCTTGAGCGTGGAGAAATTCCCAGTGCTGGATGCATCTCTCCGAGTTTATCGGAGCAATAAAGCTTGGTAGTACGAGGTCGCCGATTTGAGAAGCTCCCACGTTACCTGGAGCGATGGGTTTTTCCAAACTAGTAGCAGGTGAAGGTATCCCAGTGTGATTTTCCAGATCCCCATCCTTCAGAAGCCCTAATGTGAAATCCGGGAAATGATCTTCAATGTGTGGTGGATTCTGTACAGCGCCTAACACTGCTGGGCAGTTGGCATCAGGCGAAAAGTTGACAGCCGTCGATGGTGGACTGACAAGTTCTGGTCCAGCTGCTAGACTGTCCCAGATGATAGTATTGTCTTCGAGCTCTTGAAGGCTACTCCTTGCTGGTTGGACTTTTCTCATTTTGGGTTTATCTTTAGTCGTGCGATTTTCTTTTGCTTGTCGCCTCGAAAGAGTGTCGATGCATTCGACTTCATCTAGCGCACAGTTTGTACATTGATCATCCCGATGCACAATATCGCATCGGACTTTTCTTATTCTGCATCTCTCACATGCTTTGGGTGCCCTGCGCTTCGCGGTTCGCTTTGTGGTGGATGATGACATGATAGATAGCTAATTTATAGTGAGAGCCCGACTAACGAAAACTGCGATACTTGACGATGTTCGTGCTTGCTATCTTTTAAGCAGGGATTACGACCGCACGAGGACCGGGGGAAAGGACGGATGACGAGCTTGGAGTTGAGTGATAGAGTGTAGAGATTGTATAAGGCGATGAACTCTCTCTGGCGGGGCCCCGTGTTCTGATGACAAATTAAGACTGGCTCCAGACGAGCAACCATCAAGCCTCTCGGCAGGGGACCGTAGGCTTCTTTGTTGTCATGCCGATTGTAGGCTCAGTCTTTGCTCTGACCAATATGTGGGTCATAGTTGAAACTTCTCCAGCAGAGATCGCAGAGATTAGTGGCTTAGTGCTATCAGCTGATCTAGTATGTGCAGCTCAGCAAAGCTAGCCAATATATGCTATCGCCAGATTTTCCATTCGGGGAGAACCCCTTTCATTTCAGCCTTATCGCGTGACTGACGGCATTCTATCTCTTTTCGGTTGAGGAAGGAAATATTGCATCGGCTACATATCTACAATTATCATAGCAGATATATTCTTCATCATCGGCTTTCCTGTATGGCCCCATGTAGTCAAAGAACAGGGTGGCCAATTCTCGGGCAACTAGCGTCGAAAGATGGAACAGCAACCAAGTGGGAGCCAACGAACATGAGGGCCAGAACAAGCCAATGTCTACGAGTAAGGATCAGACCTCGGGGAACTGAGTAAAAGTCCGTTTTTGCTTCTTTGCAATTGAGTTCCCAGACCTTGGTCATCCCATGGGGGAGACTCGTCTTTCCGAGGGTGAGCGACCCGAGGTTGTTCCCGAGGTATGACATGAGAGCTTGGTAGTGTCCAGTAGTGTGTAGTGCCGCCATCTGACAACATTCTTGTCTCCTCGTGATCAAAAATGAGTGCAGGCTTACTTCAACTAATTTATAGGTGATGCGATGTAGTGATATGATGCGTCTCTAAGGCCTCACATATTGGCCCACTGCTTATACTTTAGAAACAATGATGAAAGCGGCAAGATATTATGGCAAAGGTGATATCAGGGTCGAAGCTGTTCCGATTCCAGAAATGGGGGAGGGAGAGTGCCTTGTCGAGATCGAGTGGTGTGGAATATGCGGCAGTGACTTGCACGAATACCTTGCGGGTACGTATAGGATTAGAAAGTACTCCATACAACAGCTAAGGAGGAACTGTTAGGACCGATAGGTATTCCCACACTGGAAAATCCTCACCCACTGACCGGCGGCCATATCCCTGTGACTCTCGGCCACGAATTTTGCGGTCGAATCAAGGAAGCTAACCCTGGGTCACGATTCAGACCAGGTCAGCCTGTGATGGTAGATCCGCACATTGCCTGCAAAGGCTCAACTTGCCATGGCTGTAGGTCAGATAAGGATCATCTCTGCGAAAATCTCGCATTCCTGGGAGGAAGTGGTGCAAAAGGAGGAGGAGGCTTATCTGAATATGCTGTCGTTGACGAAGAAATGCTGCATAAAATCCCTGACAACGTGAACCTTGACCATGCGGCTGTTATCGAACCGTTGGTCGTCGCTAATCACGTTTTGAAAGTTACTGGAAGGAGTCTGAGTGAACTTGACGTTCTGATCGTGGGTGGTGGACCAATTGGGATTGCACTGGCGTGTCTACTCAGTGCCCAAGATGCTCGTATCATACTCAGTGAACCAACCACTAAGAGAAGAGATCAAGCCATTGGCTTACAACTCATTGAGAAAGTTGTTGACCCCAGATCTGAAGACTTGGGTGAAGCCTGTCGTCGTCTGACTGCTGGAAAAGGTGCAGACGTTGTCTTTGACTGTGCTGGCGTTCAAGCCGCTTTGGAGAGCGCATTTGATGCAATTGCCTATGGTGGTACATATGTCAATGTTGCAATGTGGGAGAAACCAGTGAGAGCTCCACCGCGTTCCAGGGTCTCCAGCTAATGACAAGGCAGTTGACGATACCATTTTATACATTCTTTCGAAAAGAACTCCGGATACTGAGCTCATGCTGCTATAACAGGGAGGACTTTCGCGAGGTCATGGAAATGATGGGAGATGGTGAGATTTTGAGACTTCACAATCCTGCCGAAGCTTATCAGACCGACTGACTTAGGGGAAGGTACATTTCAGGGGTACGAGAAGATGATCACCAGTCGAATATCGCTTGATGATGTGGTGGCTAAAGGCTTCGAGGAGCTGGTCGCGAGGAAGGACGACCACGTCAAGATTCTGATATCACCCAAGTTAACTTCTTGCAGAGCTTAGGAATGACAGCAGAGGCAGAATTTTTATGCTCATAATTTTCTGGTGACTTTGCACCGATACATTTGACTCGGGTTGAACCAGAGATATAATGATCTTGGAACCTCCATAAAATTAATTGATCGTACTACTTAGTTTTCTCTCTACGCTACCAGCCGTCCTCTATGTATTCTGTTCCCTAATATAATAGCATCTGTTATAGCCTTTCAACTATGACCGGGGTATTAGCCTCGAGACTCTTTAACAATGCCTCAACGACAAGGACTGCCTTGAGTCCCTCCTCAACTGAGCAGTTAGGGGCAGCCTCCTTTCTAACCCGAATAAAATGCTTCAGCTGCCTAGAAACGGGGGAATATCATCGATATCCTGCTTTACGGTTTCGTCTTTGCTCAATGGAAAGTTCCAGTTCCTTTCCCCGCTAGGACGATCTTCATAGTGATATGTCTTCCTGGGCACGCGTAAGTACATACAAGGTCAACGAAACAATTTAACTTACAAGGAAGGCACATCAATTGTCCCCTGGTTTCCAAAAATACTAAGCGATGGCTTTCCTGTGACAGGAAAATGAGGATTTTCCCCAGTTGCGCTTTCCCACGAGTTAGGTGAGACAGTTGTGCTAAAACTGTGATAACTTGGTAAGTTTCTCGCAAGACGAAGAAGCGTAGGGACAACACAAATTCTGATAATAAGAAAGATCCTACAACGCCTGAACAGAACTTCATGATAATCTGAACAGTGGAGTCCACCTCAAAGGGCCGTTCTCTGACCCCTACATTGCAATTACCTCCGCTATATCGCCCAACCAATGTTGTAACATATCGACTTCGTGGATCGCGTTAGTCAGAATCTGTGTTGTTTGTGAGTTGAGCTCTCCTAGAATTGGAGGGTGGATCTAACCACACCACCAGATTCAGCCTGTTGCCTCCATGGAACCTTGAAATACTCCTCTGATTTCCGCATGGCCCAAACTAAATCAAATTGTCAGACAATATTAAAAGGTAAAGAGCATCGAATGAACAACAAACCTCCATTGACAGCAATTATCTTCCCTAGTTTCCCTTCCTGAATTTCCTTTTCGATCGCTCTAACGTAACAGTTATGCCTTCGGTGATGTCCAACCAAAATGACGCTGTTTTCATTGCCCTTGGAAGTGGCGAGTAGCTCTCTTCCGCTCTCGCCAGTGGCAGCCACGGGCTTCTCGACCAGGATTCCAATACCAATGTCCAAGAGCTTCCTCGCTTGTGGCACATGTGTATGCGTCGGAGTTGCTAGAATGATTGCTTGGGCAAGAGATCTGCCATCTGCTTGGGCGTCCGCACATTCATCGATGTCCCTGAAGTGAGGAACACCGTAATTCCTTGCCAATTCTGGCGCGGTTGCATCAACGTCACTGAAAATAATCAATATTGATGCCGAGCCACCTCCTTTTCTAACAATTTTCTCTGTGGAACTCACATGATAGCCGCAAGCTCTGAAAAATCGTGAGCCTAGAGGCCTGGGGATCTAGAGGAAGTTGAAAACTTAGAAGCACTTACCTGCCTCGGATTCATCTAGGATGTGCTTCAGATGCCGCCGACCGATGACTCCGGTTGCTCCTACCAGAACCTTAACCATCTATAAGCATTTGGCCTGTGGGTTGATAAAATAGAAATTGAAACTCGTATGGGACTTGAAATATGAGTATCGTCTGTCAGGTCTAATCATCAACTCTACTTGCAATTGATTTCCAAACTTTTTGTAGTCATGGCGCACCTTCATCACATCCGAGCTATTCTTATAGTACGGGGCTTAATAAATGCTCCGGAAAATGATAACTCCGCCAAATTCCGCTAATAATTGTGCGATCTGTAACTAGACAGTAATCACCAAATAGATATAGCGCGGATTTATACTACTCCATCACCACGGACACATTGTATTGTTTGTGGCCGTGAGTATCAACCTTGATATGGACTGCAGTTGACCGTTGGAACACTGCATACGACAGTTCAGTCCGATCTTTTCACAGTGATAAACTCCCCCCCGGCCCCCCCCAACAAAACTTCGCGGCAAAACGGCTGACTATGAGCATGAGCATAGTGACAGCATTTGTTGGAGAATCAAATACATATTAGCTGACACTCCCCAGGGCTGCTCTAGCTTCTTTAGCGTGCTGCAGAAGAAGTTCATATCGTAAAGCAGATGCATATTCGCATTTCTATGGAGTAGAGGGTCTCGCAAAAATCGGCGCACCGGGATGTCAAGGTCATCGTCTGAGCATTGGATATCCGCGTCCAGGTCGATCAACAATACACTCTCCCAGTTGATATCGTCAGGTATAAAAATGCTAGTTATACCTGCTAGCATGAACGCACAATAAATGAGACCAGCCCCGAATATTGCCACTGGTACATGAATTGTCTGGACCCCCATCAATGGCATTTCTCGTAGAAGCTGGTGGATATTGTTTGCATGCAAGATTGCGAGGTGGGCTTGAGGGGTATCTTTCCAGGTTTCAAGGTCGATGGAGCCCTCTTCCTGTCTTCCAAAAATATGTTGTTTGATATTGAACTGGCCACAGATGCTCCGACAGAGCTCACCTAGATTGAAGATTGCGTTGGCGCTGATCGCATGCCACCTCATCAGGATAGTCTTTTGAGCAGCTGGCGACATTATCGTGTTTCCTGATATAAAAGGATAAAGCCTGCTCCGTGCTCGGGCCAGATCGAGATGCGACGGAACACCGACCGGCTTCAGTCCAGCCGGATATCTCTCTGTCGTTAACGACTTCAGACCTTCCAGAATGACAGATATATTGAAAGTAGAAGGGGGAAGACCCAGATGGCGTATATGCATATGATCAGAGAATAGTGAGGAAAATAGTCTCAAGAAAGGAGCATGTTGCCTAAATGCTGGTTTGTGGTCCCGCTGCCATTGACCAGCGTTCAGTGCTTGAAATGCAGCATCAGTTGAAGCCATGGGTAGAGTGTGAGTTGTATGTCGCTGCGACGTTGGTCTACCACTATATTCTGAAATCTGACCGTCTAATATGTAGTGCCCTAGCAGAGCTCGGATCTTGGTCTCTTTCGCCGCCCAAGTTCTCCATTGATGCTCAAGAATTTTGGGAGACTTTTCGGTATCCTGTACATTGGAGGCCTGTTCAGGTTCAATATCATACATACCTGTTTCATGAGCCCCTAGAATTACCGATCAGCCACAGTTGATCCGTTGCTACTGAGGGACGACTTCAAGAAAGGAATCATTTAGGACAACATCCTGAATTTCTTTGCATATGGACCCTTTCGGATGTTCGGAACTTACAATAGAATCCCAGGCTGTGGAAGACTTGTGCAGTCATGCGTAGATTTTGATTCTAGTTCGATCAGGAGATCGAAGAAGTTGGATATTTGGATCACTCACCTTTGAAAGATTTGCATATACTTGTCCTAAGAGCGCAGTAAGAACAAGCTGTACTCCACAGCAAGAATCGTAAGGACCGCGATGCCTGATCAAGCTATGCCACTGTATGATTTAGCATTCAATCCCATGGCCTGCATAGCAAGAAAGCTCTTACCGATGTGGCTACCGCTGTATATGCGAGCCGCCAAAGTATCTCACCCTAGATATGTCAGCCTGACCCAGTATTGCAGATTGTTATCTACCTTTCTCACATAGTCGCTCTTGCCCACAAAAAGAGATCCCAGTGCAATCGCATTCAATAGCAGGGGATGCGTCCAGTCCTTGAACACGAAAGTTGGTGCATGTACAACGGGAAACGACGGCACAAATTCGGTGAAAAACATGTGAAGACAGCCATCCAGAAATGCACTGGTAATCCCAATATTCTCCGCTTCCGAGGTGATATCGGTCGACTGTTTCCGTTAGCAACAGTCATATTCAAGGTGAAGTCATCAGACCGTGTTGTTAATGATTTGGCTCAAATTTTGCACGACATTCTCGCCTCCAAGCCAAGGGCTATGTTGATCCCTTAGGCTCAATCCAAGCGAATTGCGAGATGGGTCTGAAGGTAGTGCTGCGGAAGGGAGCATTGGTTGAGATGGAAAAAGCTCTAACGAAGGCAAGTTGACAAACTCCGCTGACAAGATAGACTGCAGTAGATCTGTAGAATCTGGCCAATTCAGGTAATTGGACGAGTCATCTGTGGTCGCCATTCTGTCCGATTTTGGCAAATCTGTCGTAGGCATGAAGGCAGCTGGTTGTGGGTAAGTCTCATCAACTGTCGATTGCGTGTCGATGGAGTGAAATGAGGTCGCTCTTTCCTGCTCAGAAGAGAGCATGGCGTCAATTGTGTGAAGGGTGTCCTCGGTGCCATGACTTTGATGTCGAGTGCCTTGATTGCCAGTGCTATGCCGTTTCAAGTGGCGGCTCAGACTGTCCATCCGCGAGAACCGCTGCCCACATTGATCGCATGAGAATGGCTTCGATCCAGTATCTGCAGATGTTAGAACCTGTCCTCTCAAGCGAAGTCTGTGTCGATACGTGTTCGTTCATGTCTCTGTAATATCGGGCTCAATTTTAACTCATTATTCTAGCAGAGGACAGAGTACTTATGCAGGTGAAAGGTGGAACTCACAGTTAAGTGCTCCGCTTTGCCATATGACCGGCCACAGGTCTTGCAGGCGTATCTTCGATCTCTAGCACGAGCTTCCATGCTATAATCAGCACATACCGATCATTCTTCCGTTAAATAGCAGCTACTCCAGAAAAAGTGCGTGATGAAGCGAAAGTTACCCGAGGTGATGAGTTTCGAGCTTCTACTGCCATAGTGGGCTAACGCTCCACCGTGCAAATATATGTACTTGGCACAGCTCCTATAATATGATGTTGATCAAGGAACGAAACGACAATCATTCTCCCATTCCCTACATTCTTGCAGCATTAGCTTGTCTCCGGTGTTTGGCATACAGTTCAGGCAGCTTCGAAGCGAGGATCGCCATTTCCTCTTTACAGTGCTTCATCAATCCTGCCCTCATGGATTCTGGAATCTTATCACCTTGTGGCTGTTCCACCCCTTCAATGTCTCCAATCCAAAATCTTGACCTCATCCGGCATGCATTAGGTTCGTTCTTGATTAAATGAATGATGTGACCGGTGTAAGTTACAGCTCCGGTCTCGTCATCCCAGATACCCACTCGAGCACAAACTGCAGTCCCATATCCAGACGCCTTGAAAGCTTCCCTCCAGTCTGGCCCAAAGTACTCACTGGGGTCTTTGAATGATATTTTGAGCTTCGCCAGGTCCCCTCCGATATACTCGTGCACGAGATGGTGGCCGCCAATGTACTCGGACTTGTTCTCGCGTGGGCCTTCCCAGTCAGAAAAAACGTGATCCGTAGGGTGCCACAATTTGTACTGCGCTGTGGTATGTATGAAGCCAAACCACCAATCGATCATCTCTGAAGAGCAGTTGGGCATGTATGTCGATGCAGCCACATGATACATGTTATCCTTAGTGAGCCCATGTCCGTCCTCGTTTTCAAGGTAGTCGTTGCTGAGCAGCGATGCGGCATCTTTGAGACACAGCATTATGACCATTGATTAAGTCTCACGTTCTTAATGGGTTCCGTATGCACTTTCTTGAGGCTATGTACATTTCTCTGTCTATCCCACCCGCCGCAGAAAGTGTGTTTGAACGGAGAAGTTTGTGGGGAAGTCCCCTCTCCTTCTCCGCTTCTCCGCTTCTCCACTTTCAAATCACAATTCTCCGCCGACCGGACCTGCCCTCTCCACAATGTAAGGATAGGGGCGTGTCACTCCGGATACAAATGCAGAAGTGTTCCTTGCTTTGTAGAGAGGTATAACATTGGTAATTTATGGTCGCTGGCCATTCGAGGACACTGAGGGAACAATATCTGTCATGGCTATCGCCAGGGCTCAAAATGTGATCAATGGCGTTAAAGATCACCTTTCTACACCTACGATCGATGATTCCAAGCACAACGTACCTCTCGAGGTCCCAGTGCTTATCATAGGCGGAGGGCCGACAGGTCTTCTTCAAGCATATCTCCTAGCTCAGTTGCAAAGTAGGCTTTCCCTTCTTTGTCGGGATAAACCAACTAACGGTTGCAGTTAAATGCTTGATCATTGAGCGATATCCGGAGCGTCTAGGTGCACCCAAAGCCCATGCACTGTCTCCAAGAACTCTTGAGATATGTCGACAGTTCAGATTGGATGTCAAGAAGATTCGCCAACTGGGTACGAAAAGGGCGGATGCATTCTGGGTGAACTTTCTCACCAATTTGAGTGGCAAGTCCGTCGGGGTCTTGCCGTACGAGCGTATGGATGTCGATGTCCTACAACATACTCCAGAGGTCTGCTTTGGCCATCCTTAAGTAGCACATGTGCTAATACCGCATAGATGATTCACAACATACCACAACCAACTTTCGAACAATTTCTCACAGACGTCATTTCTAAAGAAACAAACGTTGATCTTCGCAAAGGGGTATCTTTCGTGTCCCTGGAACAAGTGAGTTTGATGCCGGTCTTGAACAAGGAAGATACCTGATTGTTAGATCGATGGCGTGGTGGTGACAACGGTCGAAGAACGGGCTACAGGCCATCATTTCCAGATCAAATCTAAATTCGTAGTCGGTTGCGACGGGGCGAGGAGCAAAGTCCGCGCATTCTTAGGTATTGAGAGCGATGGAGAGGATTCATGTAAGTAAATCTTCTATGACTACGTTCAAGATCCTAATTTCTAGACGAAACAATGATGACTATTCACTTCAACGCAAATCTTCGCCCCATTGTTGGCGAGCGCGTTGGTATGCTTCACTGGATTATGGACCCGGAAGCATCAGGCTTTATCATTGCTTATGATCTTTCGGGGGACTCTGTGCTTATAAGTAATTTTGATGTAAGATGCTTCGTCAGACATAACCAGAATTTTGGCTAAATGAATCAACATATAGGCACAGAAGTACCCAGTTGACAGTTGGAATCAAGATCTATGCCGCAAAGTTGTTACGAGTGCATTGGGGGTCGATACAACTTTTCAAATCCATAGCTACCGTCCATGGCTACTGAGCCGAAGGGTTGCAAAGTCATACCGATGTGGAAATGTCTTCTTGTAAGTTGTTTTCAAGCCATCACAATTGGCGCTGACACGACAGGGCTGGCGATGCTGCACACTCCTTCCCTCCGACAGGTGGACTTGGCCTTAACTCCGGCTTGGGAGATGTCCACAATCTAGCATATAAGCTTGCAATGGTACTCAAAGGCGAGGCCGCAGATGGGCTGCTGGACAGCTACGAAGCCGAGAGAAGACAGGTTGCTATAGTGAACTCGATTCAAAGTGTCAAGAACGGGAAGCAGATTTTTCAACTACTGAAAACTCTGGGGATAGGCGATGATGCGACCCAGGCTCGCAAGAATCTGTACGCCTCACTCCAGGATCCTGATAAGAAACGACTGATCGACGAGGGTGTTGAAGGGCAAAGGGAGCATTTTGACAATGTGAATCCTGAGTTTCAAATTCGTACCCCAGAGACTAACGTTTGCTAGTTGGAGCTGCACATTGGCTATGTGTATGGCACGGAGAAAATCCCGCCACATGCATCTTTGTATGAACCCAAATTCGAAGTCGGCGCACGGCTACCTCATACCTGGATTACCCTGCAGCAGACACGCCTTCAGCCTGTGGACGTTTCATATGTCACGGAAATATCCACTGAAGCCGCTCAACGCTGCACCTACAGCACTCTCGACCTGTGTGAGCCCGGATCTTTTAGCATCATTGGCGAGCTTGAGGTTCCTAGCGTTAAGACTTCACGTCTAGGGCGAGACTTCAGTGTCGTTGGACCAGAAGGCGATTGGTGGCTTGAGCGTACGGGGCTGTTCAATGGCGGAGGAGTGCTCGTAAGGCCAGATCAGCACATACTCATGCTCTTGACCGCCGATACAACCGCCGAAGACGTCCAGAGGGTGATTAACAGGCATTTAGGTATATGACGCAAGAGGGCTTGCAATTATCGTAGACAATTTAAGAGACTAGAAGCTAGAGTCCAAGGACAAGATGTAATAAATCTTAACTACTTCTGCGAGTTCCATGGTGTAACCTACGTCTCAGCGTTACTTCGCGGCTTCGTTGAGACTAAGCAATGAAAAGCTTCTTGCTATGCTGGATGACTTCAGTCTGATTAGCGAGAAGTTGCCGAGGTTGCCGATACATTCATTCTTAACATGCGTCGCCGAAATGATAAAACGCCAGACGCGCTGACGGAATGCTTCCTGGATGCGAATCTAACACTAGTGTTCTAGTACGCTATTAGAGAGCCTCGTCCGTGAGGTACAATGGACGATTTTAAACCCCCTGTTGACAACGTAGCCTTCTCATTAAGCTCCCTCCTATCTCACAGTCTGGCCTGGTTGGATGCGTGAATACTGAGCCTGGAGAGATTTCGAATAGTGTCCGTGGCTTCTTTTTCGATTCTCTGCAATAATTCTGCAACAGTCGGGATGTCATGGATCAGCCCCATGACTTGACCTGCGTACCACACCTAAGAAATGTCAGAAGTCATTCAAATCTCAAAGTTCCCAAAACCCGCAGCAATGGGACTTACGCCATGTTCGATGTCACCTTCCACCAGGACTTCTCTGCCCTTCACGCCACTGACAACTGGGCCAACCTGTGCAAAATCGTCACTCACGCTTTGGGTCTCAATCTCTATAGCCTTCTTCGTCTGCGAGTTCGAGTACATCCGACTGGTGTTCTTCCAGCGACGCAGGATCAAAGTCGTCTGATGTTCATCGGCGTCGACAATCGCTTGCTTCACGTTGATGTGGATTGGTGCTTCAACTGTGCACATGAATCTTGTGCCCATGTTGACACCAGCTGCTCCGAGGCTCAGGGCTGAAACGAGGCCATATCCATCTGCGAAGCCGCCTGAGGCGATGAACGGGACGTTGCCGAGTTCTTGACGTGCTCGACTGTTTAGGATCAACGACGCGATGTCGGACTCTCCAACGTGACCGGCACATTCAAATCCGTCAATCGATAACACATCCACTCCCAGTCGAATAGCTGCTTTGGCATGTCTGATAGTTGTGGCTTTGTGGATAACTATGATTCCCGCTTCCTTTAGTCGCTTGATCACTGGTCCAGGGCTGTTCCCTGCCGTCTCCACGATCCGAATGTCCTCTTCGATGATCACTTTCACAAATGCAGGGTAATCGGGCGGGTTCAGGGCGGGCAGCAGCGTCAGGTTGACTCCAAAGGGTAATTTTGTGAGCGACCTTGTCTTCCTGATCTCCTGACGTAGGCCTTCCGGATTCGGCTGCGTCAGGGCGTTGATGATTCCCAATCCACCTGCATTACTCACAGCGGCGGCTAGTTCGGCGTAGGCGACCCATTGGAGGCCTCCTTGAACAACAGGGATCCTGATTCCCAGTAACCGTGTTAGAGCTGTATCGAAGCCCATATTGATAAGATGATTGAGGTCTTCAGTGCTTGTCTGGTCCACCTCATCATAAGCCCATGTCACCGCGAGTTGCTACCAATCTGTTTGAGTCCGGAAATATATGATGAAGTTGAGCCTCACATGAATAGTAATCAGTCTTGTCCGAGATGCCGAAAACGGGCTGAAGGCCGAAGGATTTCTAAACATGCGCTACGCGCGTAAAACACCCGCATCTATCACCACGAAACGCGGAGGGGTAATTTGAACAAAGTCCGACTGGAAGCACATTACTAGAATTAGTGAATTCTGCTTGATGATATGTCGATTGATGGCTTAAGAGTACTGGCTATGTCTATCCAAAACCCAAATTTCCGATCGCTTCAGAACATGCCAAGTGCTAGATCTGGGACCATGCAGGAAATTCTAAATCTTCCCTCGGAATAGACATCATGTTTCGATCCTCGATATAATCTTTGAGCGGCAGGCTCTCAAACTGGCCCCGATTTCCAATATAAACGCCTCGGTGTTGAATCAGTCTGGCAAATTCGACGGTCCTTCTGACAAATTCTTTGTGGTTACCTGAGTTCAGGTATTCAACCAACATCAAGACATCGAATGCGGCCTGGCCTGTAGAAGCAACGGTATGTGGCCTGAATCCAGCCAAAGCGTCTCCAATGAGAACGACCTTACCATCCATAAAAGAATTTGTCGGTGTAATGACATCGGTGATGCACTGGACGAAAGGCTGTTTGGTCTTCTCGACCATTTCGGACATTTGCGGTGGTAAACGATCTCGACCTCTCTTCTTTACCATCTCCCAAGCCTCATCGGTCATTGTTCCAGGTGGAATAGTTATTCTTTTTCTCTTGCCTGACTTGTCTGTCATGACCTTTTCGAGTTCTTCGCTCCCCTCGGGAAAGTTTGTATACCACACAAAGTTGAGTAGTCTCTTGCCCTTTTCCATGGCTCCATTGATGCCGGGTATTGTGTACGTCAAGTTTTGGATCCCTGAAGAGTGGAAGAATGTGAAGCGTTCAATGAATGCGCCTTTTGCTTGATCAGATGCCTCCTGCTCTGGAACAGTGCCCCTGATGACACAATATCCGGCATACTTCCTCTCCACATCTGGGCAGAGGATCTTCCTGATTGTGGAACTTGGGCCGTCAGCGCCGACGAGAAAATCACATGTAATGCTCTCCTTTTCGCCTTGGGAATTGGTATAAATCACCGTCACATTGCCTCCTTCTTTCTTGAAATCCGTGACTGTACAGCCATACCTATAATCTATCTTGCCATCACCTGGTTGCGGTCCAGCCACTTGGCAATAACCACTTTCCTGATGATCGTAGTTTGCGCGCAGCATGTAGTAGCACAAATCCCAGCTCGTCATCGTTTGTTTCATTACCTCCTCGTGTACGATCTGACCAGATTGATCGAGATACACACGTTTTAGCGACTCAACAGCAACGGGTCTCTTGCATCGGTCATATCTATCGAAAAAAGCGAGGGTGTCGCCGCCCGCCACAATGCCAGCGCCTTGGTTCTTGAGGAGATTAGTGGGATTGCGCTCGAGGATAGTTGTATCGAAGCCATGCTGCTTGAGTGCCACGCCAGTGAAGAGTCCTCCAAGGGAACCACCGACTATGACAATATGCTTTGGACGGCCAAACCCCACTGCAGCACGGTTAACGTGTGGATGAGCGGCCATCAGCAAACAGTGTAGACTCGAAACGAGAGGAAGAACAGGAGCCCCACAAAGGCAATAGATCAATCAGTCTGGAAGTCTTGACGTCTGCATGGAAGCCAGCAATGCGGGGATATCTGGGGAGCGACACCAAAGCCTGCTGACGCGGTCCCCTTTGCGCTAATTTCTCGAGGCGATGTACAATATATATATAGGTGGCCAATAGCATTGTTGACCGGGTCCCGATATCAGGATACCGCATTGCAGATGGTCCTTTCGCCATGGTTTTCCTCCATCTCCCTACGGTTCTGGTTTGAGAACAAAGACGCGACGCGATGTGTTCATCCCCAGCGTCGTGAGTGCTGTTTTCCTTTGTTGTTCTTGGCAGTACTATCATGGCAGGTGTTCCGATGCTGGGTAGCTAACTAGATAATAATACGAAGTGCCACCCATCCTTAAACTGACTCCAACAAGAATTGCCTGTTATCTGTTAACAATATCCCATGGTACGAATGGTGAACATCATTGCCAGCAATGGCTCCTCAAGTCTCAAAGGTCTATTCAATCTGTGCCGGCCTTTCACTCTTAGACTATGGACTCCCAGGACAGCTGAGGCTGCACGCGTCTCGTGAATAGCTTCACAATCGCTCACAATCGCCTGGCTCATTGTGTGAATCACAGGAAAATGTTTGCCCATTTGCATTCCAAGCGCTCCTAATTGGGCCTTATGTGCATGCTTCCATTGCAATTAGCCAAGTTGCAGACCAACCAGCTAAATTCTGCAAACATTCACTATTTGTGGACCATGCCATGCTGTCTCCAACCTAGCCTCGCCGCACGGAGCGACTGCAAACGGAATGGCAACTCATTACTGTACCCATAGAGCCTAACGCGACGTGATGGCCCGTCAAAGATGGGTGTTTACACCCAGTCTCCAACGCTTTGAACCATTCAGGCTTTATGAACGTCACGTCGCTTACCGCAAAGGCTTGATAGGAAGTGATGCAGCTTCCTTGTCGTGGGAGAGGTAAGTCCACTGACTATGTACCTACAGGAGTCGTTCGCATAGCGAATAATGACAACGTACTGGGCAGTTTTGCACCTTTCATCGCGGGATTTGTCATACAAGATGTGAACGCGGAAAAGGCGACCGGAGTCGATTGGCGTAGAGTTCGTCGTGATTTGAGCCATACGGAGGAAGCCTACCCAAAGCACCTCTCATTCGGCTCGCCTAACCTTATGGTGGCGTTACCCGGCATGCAACCGCACTGCCTGAGCTGACAACACTGGTGCCATTGGTGGAGCAGGATAATATAATGAAAAACAGCAAGGCTCGTCTTCGCCGCCCAGCTGCGGTCGTCAGGCCAGCCGAAATCCCGCAGGTCAAGGATTGTGTTCAATGGGCTCTGAAGCACGGATTTGGTCTAACCATCATTTGGGGCGGCCACAGTGGTCACTGTATCTGGTCTAATGCTGTCGCGATTGACATGGGCGCCTTTGACCAAGTCCACATCTCTCCTGCTGGAGACAATGGAGAAGATTCTGCGCCTTGGGTCGTTGTAGAGGCCGGCTGCAAGACTGGAGATGTCATCCAAAAGACTATGGCTGTCGGATTGACAGTGCCCATCGGGGCTCGCCCAAGCGTGGGTGCAGGACTGTGGCTGCAGGGCGGGATTGGCCACTTGGCTAGATCACATGGCCTCGCGTATGACGCTATCATAGGCGCCGTTCTGGTCAGCGTGAAGTCTTGCAAAAATTCTTTGCATCGGCTGGGTACCATAAAGACATCAACCGGTGGGTGCGATTCGACCGGAAAATGGAGATGAGATATTGTGGGCGACCAAAGGTGCCGGGACCAACTTTGGCATGGTGACTAGCGTGACCTTCAAGGCTTCTGTGGCCCCGACTTACGTAACTCAAGACTGGACGATCCCGCTTGACGGCAGCCTCGAGATGGGGTTCAGACTCGCCAATTTTGATGGACTGATCGCGTGTAGACTGAGGCGAACCTGTTGTGCGGATGCTTATTTGTGCTTGGACGCTGAAGAACAGCGTCTTGGCGTGGCAATGTTCGAATCGTCGACTCTGAGCCTCCGCTATGAAACACGCACACCTGTACCCTGCCCTGCAATTTTGGGCCTGGAGAACGAGCACAAGGTCGTAGACGGGTTTGGTCTTTTCGACACTGAGCTTAATATGTCTGGAATGCACGGTGAGCACGGGGGCGGCAAGACATCTTCATTCGAACGATGTATATTTCTTAAAGGCATATCAATGGACGACGCTAGGCCTTTTTCGACAGCCCTTGAGACCCGTCCCTCGCCGCTCTGCTATCTACATCTATTGCAAGGTGGTGGGGCGGTCCGTGATGTGCCAGCTGAGGCTACAGCTTTCGGCTGTCGAGACCGGGACTTTGCTTGCGTTGTAACAGGCGTCTGGCCACGAGACCGAGACAACACCGAAGCCTCACGAAGTGTTGTGCAATGGGTTTACAAAGTCGTTGAGAATCTGCTGCCCTTGAGTACTGGAGTCTACCGCGCCAACCTTGGGCCAGACCCCAGAGACGCAGCACTGGCGGCCAAGGCGTTTGGAGCGAACTTGCCATACCTAGTATGTCTTAAAAAGAACATGGATCCGCAAAATGTACTTGCGTATGCTTGCCCGCTTCCGAAGCTAATGAAATCAAAGCCCATCGTTTTGGTAACGGGCAACAGCTGCGTCGGCAAAGACTATTGCGCCAAAGTCTGGGCGTCCATGATCTCCACAAACACCCAGAAAAATCTCAAAGCTCATGTTGTCAGTATCAGCGATAAGACTAAACGAGAAGACGTGACGGCTACCAGTACCGACTTAAGACGTTTGCTTAATAACCGCGTCTACAAGGAGCAACACCGATCACGCATGACCGCATTCTTCAAAGAAGAGGTGAAGCAACGCCCGAGGCTGCTACAGGAGCATTTTCTAGATGTGTTGCACGGCGCTACAGATGTGGACGTGCCGTTCATTCACCGGAATGAGAGACGATGCCCGGTTGCAAGGCTGTCGGGTTTGGTCCTAGAGAGCAGACTGCTCGAGGTTCGCGTCCAAGCCCGTGAGCAGACGCGGCGTCTTCGCCGAGGGTGCGACAGCAATAATGATGGTAACGATCTTAATAATCTTACACGAAATGTGGAGTGGTTGGACTATTCTCCAAGTCCCACCTTCGACAACGGCCCGAGTGAAGACGACCTGGCAAAACAATTTGCTGAACGGTCACCTCCTTTGCTTCTGTTCCATCGAGCTGGAGCGCCCGAGTAAAATGGTTCGGGCAATACCCGACTTCCCACGGTCAGGGATCAAGTTCCGCCACGTACTCAATATCAGTCAGCAGCCTGGCGGACTGGCGCTGTGCATATCCCTGTTGCAAACCCATTTCTCCGGTGACCTGACCAAAGTCGATGTCATTGCGTGTTGTGAAGCTGGTGGCTTTGTGTTTGCGTCTGCACTAGCCTTACAGCTTAATGTACGGTTGTTGCTCATTCGCGAGGTTGGCAAGCTACCACCACCCGTAGTTTCCGTCACTAAGCCCAGATCGTATATCTCGTCTTCAGCATCCGACGATCTTGAGGAAAAGCGGATCGAAATGAGCAGGGCTTGATTGCCAAGGGCTCTTCGGTGGTTGTGGTCGACAACGTGCTGTCCACTGGAGAGACGCTTTGTGCGGTGCTCCAACTGTTAGCTGAAGATGGCATCCAACACCGAAAATGTTAGTATTATCGTTGTGGCCGAGTTCCGGCTCATCTTGGCAGAGAATTATTGCGTCGGCGCGGGTTTGGTGGAGTAAATATCCATTGCCTCTTGGTCTTCGGTGGTGTATAGGAAAGGAGGGCAATTGATTTTGGAACCCCTGGTTTGGGGATAAGCTACGTCTCTGAGGACAGAGATACGCCTCTGGATAGAGAACTTTGTAACTTATTTCTGTCTGTGACTTAAAGCATTCATCTTTCTGCTTCAATTAAATCTAGTGATCTGAAGTCTTGGACAGGTTCATCGAGAACTGCGCATTCTTCACAACGAGAAATTGCCAGAAAGCTGAAGATCCTTCCACTCTATCTCGCTACCAGAGATGACCCGAAAACACGAACTGGCTCTTGGGATATGTATTTAATGTTGTCTGGTTCCACAATCGCGACCGGCCAGGCTAGGTAACAGACCCGGTAGTGGCTTTTGGCGTCCAGGTAGTTAAGAATAGACGGATGCAATCTGGCCACCACAACAACCCTTCGATCAGGCTACTGGCCAGACTAAACGTCCAAGAAGCAAGGAATTGTCCCCCCAGGAACGTGCTAAAATTGTGGGAGCCAGAGAAGTCGGGGGCTTCTTGGCGCCAGATTGTGACAACCTTTGGGATTTCAGTCTCGACTGCAAGACATACGGTAGAGTTGGCATCGAAGCGAGTCAATTCAGTCTCACAGCCACGACCGGCCTGAGGCTCCCCGCGCGAATTTTCAGAGCATTACGAGAGTCACATCGTCCGTGTTCTACAACAGAATCCGAGGATGACGCACAAGGCTTTGTTAGAGAAATGCGGAATCCAGATTGGCAGGAGGACAATTTCTCGGATGCGTAAACGCCACGGTTTTAACAGAGACATGGGAGTAACGACGACTGAGGAGAGACGCGGCGACGATATCAAAGTCCCCATACCGCGGCGCGCTGAAACATTCTTCCGGAATCACGTGAGCTGCGGACTTGAACGCGGAGAGGGGCATGAGGGGTCCCCTGAATCTTGCACACATCTGAGGGGGTATTGAAGAATTTCTTGGAGCATGGCTTCGGCGGCCTCCGCCGCGTCTGTGCGCACCTGCCTCAGGTTGTTCTCGATGGAAAACCACTTCACCAGGGGCGAATGCCAGAAGTTAGACACATCGTACAAACCCCACCACTCTGAGCGTGCAGTCAGGGCTCGGTTGGTTAGACATAACCCTTCTCTTCGACTCCTAAATTTGTCCGAACATCCAGGCAATATCTTTTGTCTTTCATTCAACCAAATAACCCCAGGATTCATTGAGATCTCGGAACTCTAGCAAGTAAACGCCATGGAGGTTCACGTCGAACCTCAAGCCATAGCTGAAGCTGTGGTGGACAAAATCATGCCTTCCTCTTCGACCTCAACCTCTAATGTGAAAGTCACACCGGTTCCCGCAGCACTCATAGACACAACATTCTCCTCCTCCACGAACTTGACAACAACGGCACTTGGAGCCCAGATTCTCTCGTTCTCCGATGAGTACTTTGCCTCTGCATCAAACCTTCTGACTGCCGGGCCACCAATCCGTAAGGCGGGCTATTTCGTCCATACAGGTGCATGGTACGATGGTTGGGAGACGAGGAGGCACAACACAAAAGAATATGATTGGGTTGTAATTAAACTTGGTGCCGTGGGGATTATTGATGCCATCGAGGTTGACACAGCATATTTCAATGGGAATGAGGCTCCATTTGCGGGGGTTGATGGGGTATTCTTGACCCCCGAACAAGAGAAGGATAGTGGTGTCGACAGAGAAAAATTTCAAGGATGGACCGAAATACTTCCTCCCTCCAAGTGTGGACCATCGCAGAGGCAGGCCTGGAGACTATCTGGACCGGCGGTCTCTGGCAAAGAGTTCACTCATCTAAGGCTCAAGCAATATCCAGATGGTGGCATAGCAAGACTCCGCACATATGGCAGAGTCGTTCCTCCACCTTTACCGGTTCAAGCTGCAGGCTCTGAACGGCCAGTGGAGGATCTGGCGAGTGCTCTGAATGGAGGTGTAGCAATTGAATGTTCTGATCAACATTTCGGTGGAAAATCCTATCTATTGTTGCCGGGTCGTGGGAAGGACATGGGCGACGGCTGGGAAACTGCTCGAAGCAGAACTCCAGGTCACACAGATTGGGTAATCGCGAAACTCGGGCTGAAAGGGAGAAACATCTCCAAGGTAGTGGTCGATACGAAAGACTTCCGGGGCAATTTCCCTCGCGCCGTAAAAGTAGAAGCATTGGCCACAGAGGTCGCTAAAGCTGCTCTGGGGACGGAGCCTGAACCAAAACACGATGCAACAGGTTGGGTGGAATTGGTCAAGGGCGAAAAAGGCACAAAGGCTGACACAGAGCACGTTTTCGAAAATGAAGAGCTTGCTGTGTCGGTCCCTCCAGATGGGTTTGTATGGACGCATGTGAAATTGACAATCATCCCGGACGGCGGAGTCAAGAGAATACGAGTCTTTGGACAACGAGCCTAGATCAAATTTACACCAATTCGAACTGCCTTTTCACCTCCTTCGATACCTTATGCCACCTATTCTGCGACTAAGTTTATTTTGGACCGCAATCTTGAACGCAGTCAAAGCTTGAGCATCGGTTCGACTTCATTCGCGGCACAAGATCTGAATCGAACCAGGCAAGATGCTTGCCATGACGCGTTCGAATAGAACGCCTGTCAAGAGGACATGTAAATCTCCATTTCACCAAAATCATCTCTTTTCCACCACTATCTCGCGGTATCCAAACGCGTTCCCTCGAAGTCCAGTCAGAACAAGGTCAAACATTATCAAGCTTGCGAGCTCCAGCGTTGCAGCGACAAGGGAGGCGACAAATGTAAAGTGCTATGGTTTCAACATCAATTCAGTCACATTACCAGGGGTGTTGAGTGATGGAATCGCGATCCACTAACCATTTCGGCACACATTGCTTCGAATGACATGCTGCCATTCTCTAGCGACTTATGCGAACTACACCATGACCATAAACCCCAATTCGCCTTGCCTTTGCTGTCTTGCAGTTTGAAATAAATAGCTGCCGCTGGTCATGCTCGCTGTCGGCTTCCATCAGGCTGTTGCTGTACCGCGTAGCGAGTTGAGAACCAAACTGCTGACGCATGTGCGAGTACTCCCGCAATTGCCGAGCCAATGACCAGAGCGAAATTCGCACGGCCACACGAAAGGAATTCGGCCCTGCCTGTGTCCGGTGCCGAGAGTTCGTGACAGTAGGTGATATTCAGGGCCCGTGGTTGGTGTTGTCGTTGTCATCTGTCTGAAGACGAAGAGGCTCCATGGTTGCTGCCGGCGGGACTATAGTGCCGATTGATCTGTGATAGATATATCGATGAAGGCTTTCGGAAAAATACAACTGTGATGTGGTAGCCTATATCCTCTCTTCTAAAATTCATTATTGGGTTCAGTGTAATTCTCGTGCAAGGCTGTAAAATAATGTGCAGGTGGACCAAACCCCCATGGTACAAAGTCTGTACGAGGCAAAAAATAAGTCTCGATCCTCACCAAATATCAATGATCCACTCTAAGATATTGTGGGAAGCGGGGCCCCTGCAGAGCCGAGGATTTGGCCAGAATGCTTGTAATAGCTTGTTTGTTCTGTCATCAGCGAAATGTAACCATAGCACTTTGTTGCGGTGACTTCGCCAAAGAGCTGGGATTTGAATCCGCTGGTGTCTCTCGCTACGTTGGAGCAGCGCTGCTGTCACACCCAGGGGCAAGGCTCCGCAAGTATGGAAATGCGCGTGCTTACGAACATAGTTCTGAGAATGGGTTGCAATGCAAAATCTTATGGTGGCGCAAAGGGTGGTGAAAGTTTACCCATTTCTGCCGCTGCTGTTCTGATAGTCCAGTGAGTAAAGAGGCTGATGTGCATAGTGCGGTTGCCAGATCTGAGCCTCTCAACTTCTTTCTCAGCCGTTGCGACAATCATTAGGGCGATATTCCATGTGCAATTGAGTCGGTGGGTATGGGTCTGACGGCGAGGATTCCATGGACGGGTCTCGCGTCGAGCATTCTGGTAGAGTTACAGAATAGCCATTCGTGGAAGGAGGGCGGATGACTGCCATCAAGTCGACATCATTGGAATGCCGGCATAGTATACCATCTTTACCTTGTCGTCGTTGGTTGTTTCGCCTACGGACCCTCCTCCCAGGCTCAAGAACTTCCTACAGCATTCGTTGCTGGTAGTGCGATCCAAGAGTCACTCTTTTATCTCAAGAATGTCTCTCGTTACTACCCCTACCTTAATAACACTTCTGCGACTAGCTGCATTCTCACAGGCTATCGAAAACGCAACTTTTGACTTCGCCCTCCAGCCGCGTCAGACAACATACACGCTGTACGAGCGCGACACCCGTGACTGCATGCGGTTCGGGCGACCTGAGAGCACATAACTGGAACAAGTTCAACATTGATGCGCCCTTTTAGGATTCATCAGCCAGTTCGCAACCACAGGCAACTTTGAAAAATTCTTCGTATTGCAGGACTCACCGGCCCAGAACCCGTTTGACAATTTCGACTGCTCCCGTTTTCGAACCAGCAGCTGTACGGTACAAACAGTTTTCAACGGGGATATAGGTAGCGAGTCCATTTTCGATGGATTGGAATAAACCTTCTGCGCAAGCTTCATCGCACCAGAGGCTGGCTTTATGGTGCAGAACTATATCAATATGTGGCAAGGCCTGCAGAATCACCACGACGCCATTCAGGATGCGCCAAACGCAATCACAAGCTCGGAGCCATCAAGGCCATGGCCAGAGCGCTAGAACCGAAGTAGTAATCAATCGCACCTACTTTTTTCAGCCTCATCGCTATTATCGTCACCGATATCTTACCTATCGGGGGAGGATTGAGGCGGCAACGACCTTCATGAAGAAATTCCGTCTCATCTTCAACGAAACGAAATCTGATCTGAAGGACGACTCCAACGACATAGAGAGCATCATCCAATCAAATGAGGCAACTGACCAGGAGGTCAGCGCAACGGAAGAGCAGCTCACTCGACAACTTGCCACTGTGGTCACGGGAAAACAAGCGCGACTGGAAAATAATCCTTGACCGGGTATTCAGAGCGAACAAAGAGAACAAAGACCCACAGGCAGTTAACGGTGCGCCAGAAATCGCTAGCACCTACGCTTGCTGTCCAGAACGCGGCGGATGACATGGTCGTCAACGACGTACCCCGTCGCTCCGACCTGGCCGCACAGATGCAAAAACAGCTCCAAAACTGGGTCGTGAGCGCTGTCCTGACGACAATCGGCTGTGACATGGTGGTCGACACCGCCGAATTGGCCGATGATCTTGCCAACCCAAGCGGACTCTGTAAAGCAGAAAACGGCTTCACGATAGGAGCCAACTGTGCTTTGTTCCGAATCGGCGGAACAGATTTCAAGGGAAATGTGATTGCCGATGGCACAAAGGGGAACAACATCTTCGCACTCTAGGGCAACGCGGGGATGGATATCCGTGTCATGATCGAGAACACTCAGGGCTGTAAGGGCGGGAATGGCGGTGGTGTTGCGGATTTTGAGGACTTGTTGTCCATGGGAAACACTAATGCGCTGCCGAATTGTATGTTCAAGTTCAGGGTGCAGGTGACGAGATTATGAATTGGTAGGTGGCATATCGATCTTGATGTCAGAACTCTGAGATCTAGTGAATAGGCAATAGTTAGAACAATAGCAATGATGGCTCCTGAGGGTGTTGGCTGTCAGCCTTTCACCCTGGATATCAAGCAGCCGGAACATTGAATTTCTGAGGTCTAGACAGCAGCCTGAGCAGTCGTGTCTTACGAGTCTACCTAATCTTGGCACGAGGGTCCGAACCAAATGTCTTCCCTCGAGATCTTAGGCGTGTGAAGAGTTCGGGAATATGCAAGACTAGCCGTGTTTGGATATTGGTGTTTCCACTGATCTGACAATTGTCCCCAGACAAAGGCTGTACCAGTTTGGTGAGATCTTGGAAGGCGAAGGTCTCTTAGCCATGGCTTGGCAATGATCAATCCTTGATTCGAATGTCCATACCGAGGTAGAGAACTTGCTTTCCTCCCATTGACACGCAATCCGCCACTAGGCCAGATACTTTCCATAATGGCCTGGTGTTTACCTGAATGTTGATCGGAACTTCCTCGTGCACATCCATCCCACCTAAACGACTTCGTATTGTCCTTAGTTGCCTGTCTTGATACCTTACTCACCCCGTCTAGTCTCCGTCGGGTTCTGCCTGTGAAAGTGAGCAGAATTCAATGAGCAGCGATGGACCCAACCAGGTCATCCGGCTCACTGGGCGCAGCCTTATTGATGGCCAGGCATCTGGGGAACTCATTTTCTCACATGTCCCCTTGAGCTTCTGGGGAGGGGTCAGCGCCGAAACTGGCGTGATAGTTGACGAGCACCACCCTCTTCAGGGCCAATGTGTGACGGATCGCGTTGTTGCAATACCGGCTGGAAGAGGGTCATGTAGCGGCAGTGGGGTCTTGCTGGAACTTCTCCTCAGGAAGAAAGCCCCGGCTGCGTTCGTGTTTCAGTCTTTCGATGAAGTCTTGACGCTTGGAGTGGTTGTTGCAAAAGCAATGTTTGGGCTCTCGATTCCAGTTCTTACTGTGTCCTCTGACGATTTCTTGCTGTTGCAAGACCAAAGTTACCTGACTGTTGCCGGCGCCAACTTGTGGAGTGGACTACAAACTCTCGAGCCATTAGCACAATCTCGGTGGATGAATGGTCGGAATACTGTCAAACTGAGCGCCAAAGACAGACTCATAGTGGCAGGCGAACACGGCAAGGCTGCCCAGACAGCGATGCAGATCTTGTTAACCGTGGCTGGCCTCCAGGGAGCGGAAGCTCTTCTGGACGTCACCCAGGCTCATATTGACGCCTGCGTATATACCGGTCCTGGTGGCCTCCAGTTCGCTGAAAGGCTAATGGCTATGGGTGGCAAGTTTGCCGTCCCGACGACGCTGAATTCGATTTCAATCGACTCTCGGAGATGGAGAGAGTGTGGCATAGACCCTATTATTGCGGATCAGGCACAAAAGCTCGCGGACGCGTATATGACAATGGGTGCCGCCCTGAGCTTTACTTGTGCACCGTACTTGCTCGAGTCATCGCCAAAGACTGGTGAAAATATTGGCTGGGCTGAGTCAAATGCAGTAGTCTTCGCCAACAGTGTGCTCGGGGCGAGGACCCAGAAGTATCCTGATTTTCTAGACGTCTGCATTGCTCTAACAGGAAGAGCACCGATGGCGGGATGCCACCTTGACTCCAATCGGCTTCCGACGATAGAGATCAACGTTGTCCAAGTTTCTTGGGTGGATGATTCTTTCTGGCCTCTGGTGGGATACCTTGTGGGCAAGCTCTGTGGTCCAGCGATTCCACTGATACTTGGCCTCGAGCATACCTACCCAAGTACCTCAGATCTCAAGGCGTTTGGCGCGGCATTTGCAACCACCTCGTCGGCACCGATGTTCCACATAAATGAAGTGACTCCAGAATCCATCCTAGCAGTCGCCTTGAAGGGCTCAATCCCAACTACCGCAACAGTCACGAAACAGGGCATGCGTACATGCTGGACAGAACTCAACACTGCTCGAGCCACTTCTGTAGGACTGGTCTCTCTTGGAAATCCGCACTTTTCACTCGAAGAGTTCGCGCAGCTCGCCCAACTCTGCTCTGGTCGGAACCAGCATCCAGATGTCCAAATGGCCATTACAACAAGTCGCGTTACATATGAGCAAGCAAAAAGGGCTGGACACATTGGCACGATCGAGACTTTTGGTGCACGACTAATCACGGATACCTGCTGGTGCATGCTCGGAGAACCTGTTGTACCGCTCAGTGCACGGAATCTCATGACCAACTCGGCCAAGTATGCGCACTACGCTCCTGGAATGGTCAAACGTGGAGTCAGGTTTGGAAGTCTAGCTGCCTGTGTCGAAGCGGCGTGCAATGGGCAGGATCACAGCGCGCCACCACACTGGCTCACCGATTGATCGATCGTATACAGATTAATGGGGACAGTGAATCTGCTTTGACGGCTCATTTGAGCTTCAGAAGATATGCCAGCCGTTAACTGGTATCAGCAGTCGGTTTATGTTTCACCAGTGTGGAATTTGGGATTCTTCTCATATTGGGAAATCGGCAAAACAGACTCCAAACTCCTATCAAGATACACCAGATCTCAGCTCCCAGCCCAAGAGGCCCAGAACACAACCTAGTAGCCCAAATCCTTCAACTGCTCCTCCGTCCACGTCCACAGCCTCTCTCGCAGGTTTGCATCGTGACTCAACTTCGAACCCTGGTTCTCCTTGCCTGCAGGAACATAGTACGCACCATTCACGATATCCGACCTCTTCCAAGTCGCAGCCCAGATCTGGTTCAAGGCGCCTGCCTCGACAGAGAGCGGTTTTACCAAGCAGTCCATAACCTGAGAAAACATGTAAAGGAGGCCAGCGTCCTGTTTTAACGTCCTGCCAAGGTTTGTCTCTACTCTACCAGGGTGAATCGACACGCAGAGGATATCTGGATATCGGCGGGCGAGTTCGCGCGTGTAGAGCACGTTGGCGAGCTTGCTCGATCCATAGAGTCTTAAGGTGTGTAGCTCTTTCATTGGCGTCTTGATTTTGTCGAATTGGATGCCCTCGCCGGGCGCCATCGTGTGGCCGATGGATGAGAGGTTGATGATCCGCACGTCGGCGGACGGTTCCTTGGTTGTCTTCTGTAGGAGTGGGAGGAGTTGACGGGTCAATAAAGCATGGCCCATGTGATTGGTGCCGAATTGTACCTCAAACCCGTCCTTTGTGAGTCCATGCGGGACAGCCATGATACCGGCGTTGTTGACGAGAACGTCCAATCTGTCGTTTTCTTGGAGGACTGTCTCGCTTGCTTTCTTGACAGACGCCAACGAAGCCAAATCGAGTTCCAAGAACTTCACGACATCGCTGGCGTTTGGCGCTGCCACCGTGATGGTAGCCATTGCATCGTCATACTTGGCCTTGCTGCGAGCGGCGAGATAAATTCTTCCAGGGGAATGCTTGGCCAGTCGGAGGACTGTCTCTTTTCCACACCCTGAATTTCCTCCAGTCACGACAATGACTTTGCCGGTGAGGGGACCAATGTCTATGTCCGGGTTGAAGTTGTGGACATTGTCTACAGGATTAAACAACCTTTGCATCGTCGCTGGCACTAAAGTTGTGTGGCGGCTTGGTTTAGCTTCAGTGCTTGTGAGAGTGTGGCGAGGGTTCGAGGGACTTCAATATTGAAAGATTCGACTGAGATAATGTTTACCATAACTACTATGACAACGCACTACAGGATATTAGTACAAAAACTTTCATCGGGATGTTACCCGGACTTTGGTAAATACCGGCTTGCAAGTCTAGACATAACGCACGTAATAAAGATACAGCCTGCACGCATGTGGTAAAGTGGCGGATTCTCTTTAGGCACCCACCTTTTTCTTCTGCTGCAATTGACGCCATTCTGCTAATGCCATCTCGACCGAGGCGTAGCACAGCCACTGATTTGAAGCCTGCTACCCATTTAGTGTCAGACTAGGATGCATTTATTCAGGAACAGCGGAACTTCGAAACCAGGTTTCCAGCTGCACAGTAGCTGCAGAAGCCTGAGACCATACAGGTCCTGATCCTAGAAAGATCGTGAGGACTCTAAGATTGCCGTGTCCACTAACCCGGCCTACGAGGCCGTTAGATATATAGCTTCTCAATTAGCGAGAGCCTTGCATTGCCACCCACAGCCTCGGGCCGCGGCTAGCGGCTGAACCCATGAAGGAGACATCTTTCGCCTAACATACTGAAATAACATCGCTAGACCCCATAGTAGTAGGATGAAAATTTCAGACGATAGCAGGAAGTTTCCAAATAAGTCTTACAACAATTCAGTTATCATTTATGCTCATATTACCATTCTATTAACTCAGCATTCACTCCCCGTTATCATCCTAGTAGTGCATTGAACGAGCGTATTAGCTACCGCTTCTACTGCATTAATTTGAAGACCAAATTCCTCCTGGCTGAGACTTGTGAATCTATCTTATGGCGCGGATTCATTAACCATTGAACTGGTAAAGTGGTGCAACAGGTTCGACATCTCTTCTCAGAATGTGCTTGTTCAGGTACCATGGGGCTTTCTCCATGTAGTATTTAGCATGTTCTCTTGCGCCCACGCTGAAGACATCGTCAAGCTCCTCGAGGGTAAGATTCTAGAGGGATATGAGTTATTTTGATGAACTTTGCACGCTCTGGGGACAAATGAGCATACCTTGGTTTCCGGAAGGAAGAGATACGCGAAGAAAAAGGCGAAGAAGTTCCAGCATGCATAAAAGGCGAAGGCACCTTGAGGTCGGAAGGCTCTGACCAGCGCAGGCCATGTCAAGCTGAGGATGAAGTTGAATCCCCAGCAAGTCGCCGTGGCAAAGCTCATTCCAACGTCGCGGATGTAGAGTGGGAATGCCTCTGCCGAATAGGTGAAAGGGACAGGTCCCTCGCCTGGACTGTAGATGACCATGAACATATAAATACCCGACGCGACCAGTCCCAAGCGAAGGTCTCCGTCAGGTGCCCAGAAGGAGAATCCGGTCCAGAGCAAGCACATACCCATCAAAGGAAACGTCGTTAAGAGGAGATTTCGACGCCCGAAAGTGTCGATGGTGTATATTGCTGGAATGGCAAACAGCCAGTTGGTCACACCAGTGCCAAAAGACACCAGCAGCGCGTTTGATCGCGAGAAGCCCGAATCCATGAAAATTTGGGTGGAGTAGTAGGCAATAACGTTTACTTGGAGAAAGTTAGTCGATTCCTTCAGATCTTTGACGAGCTCTATCAGAACTCGATCTGAGGTTTTCCACGTACCTCCGCAAAACTGTTGCATGAACATGACAAAGAACGAGGATTGCGCTGCGCGTCGATTACGCTTAACAAAGAAGAATTCCTTCCACAGGTTTTTGCCTTCTCGTTGGGCAGATTCAATTTCCAGCATCTTGTATGCGTAGTACATATCACGAGCAGCCTGGACTTTGGTTGTCCGTAATCTAGCAAATGCCTTGAAGGCCTTGTCGAATTTGCCTTTCTCCATGTACCTGTAGCATCGTTAGAGAACTTTGGGGCCCACTCGGAAGGGCGCTACAGACCATCGAGGGGATTCCGGACAGAAGTACACCTGAATGCACACAAAGAATGGAGGAATTGCTGTTGAAGCAAGCATCCAGCGCCACTGAGAATATTCGCCCAAGAAGTCGACGTTTTGGAACGCTACAGATGCGACGAAGCCGAGCATGATTCCAAAGGCGGTCCACATCTGCCACATCATTGTCAAGGCACTAAGTCAAAGTCAGCCCTCCACTCATCCCAAAAGCAGAAAGGGCTCAAATTTCCGAGACTTTCCGGTTGTACTCACCCTCTGATGGTCTTTGGTGCGCATTCCGCGGCGTACACCGGTGTTGTACTACTCTTCGCACCCACAGCGAAGCCAAGGATGAAGCGGGCAATCAATAGATTAATCCAACTTGCAGCGGCATGTGTCAGAATTAATCAACATGTTGCGCTGCAGATCAAACTTACCTGTTAGCAGCAGCCATCCAGAATGATGAAGCGAAGGATATCAGACAAGAGATAAAGATTGTTCCTCTGCGCCCGAACAATTTGTTAAGGGGAGCATTGGTCCAACAGCCTATAGCAGCTGAGAACAAGTATCTGGAAGTAATTCTTAGGTCAGTTTCTTGTTTGCGGTGCCATTTTGGACTTGAAGGGACCATGAGAAGTAGTGATGATCACATGACAATCAATCGAACTTACGGAGCGCCATTGAGAAGACCTTGTTGCCATTCATTTGTAATGCCAAATTCCTCGAAGTAGAAGACCTAGCGAATGTTAACGTTGCAAAATGCGGTCTGCTCGTTGACTTACTTGGGCACCATTGACAGCGGTCTGATCCATACCCTGCACAATCGCAGAGCCAGCGCAGAGAACAACAAGGAAGTAAAGCATAAAAGGCTGTTTCCATCGATGACTCTGCTCATATCTTAGAACATCCCTCTCCTCCAGCGAAATCTGCGTGACATGCTCGTATCCGCCTTCTCGGTTGATTACCCGCGCCAGAAGCGCACCTTTCTGGAACTCGTCGCGAAACTCATCTAGGCCTTTCTCGTCCACGAACAGGTCGACATCACGTAGGACATCAGCCTCAGTTTTGCCTGCCAGAGGGTTGCGAAGTTGAGCAGAAACGGACGGCTGGCGCACGCGGAAACTACCACGGCGGCTACCACTGCTTCCACGACGATCTGGGTCACCACCTTCTTTGTGCTGCGGATGGATCTCTTCATATCTGTCTGTAGCTGTCACAGAGGAGTTGGAGGATGATGGACGGCCGCCCAGGGTCTGTATGTCGTTGCGCTCCTTCTCAGCCGCAGGATCGACGGCCTCAGTGTCAACCCTGGGTGGTGGCATGGCGGCGAGGTGCCGGTTGAGTTTTTGTCCTTATTTCAGCGATGAAGGACCTCAGCCGCAAGACCAGCAACAAGGTCAAGAGCAACTCAGCAATCAATACCAAGTAGTGACTAGGACGGTGTTAAGAGCGCGGCCTGCCCCTGACTCAAGAACAACAAAAGCTACAGGGACCGAGGGATCAAACGGGGTGGGTAGGTTCCTAAGTACCTGAAAGTCTTCTGCTCCGCCAAGGTCTCTGATATCTCTTACCATGTGGCTATCCTACCTTTCAGCATGCAATCCCAGCATCGAGAATTTTAAATGTCTCCATCCCAATGTAACAGACCTCGTTGTAGTGGAGACTGTTTTGCTGAGGAAGCAGATCCTAAGTACAATGACATACGTCAAACGCCGAGACCAAGACTTGCTGGAAGCTTGAAGCTTGTGGAGTGCGGGTGAACATGGCGGGACACGTCTGGGGCGCCACAGGTACTGTATGCTTCATGGCCTGTGGCAAGTATCAAACAAACCAAAACGGCTCAGCGACAAAAGACCGCGAGGCAAATGCGGCGGCAAGGCGCGCTGTGAAAAGTGAAAAGCCTTGTCATACGTATGTTGATGGCAGGCACGGTTAAGAGTGTGGGTCTATGAGGTCTTGTCTGACATCATCCGAGGCCTTCGCCGAGCCTTGCCCCTATGTTTACCAGGACGCCCAGCCTCGGCACCAGGGTTGAAAAAGTCTGATGTGGATTGCGATTTTCACATTTCTACCTATCACCCAGGGATCGATGGCAGCGGCAGGCGGGCAGAGCGGCATATTGGTCCGCTTTTGTTTCTTGTGATTATTACCTCATGTCATCTGCATGGGCAAATATGTCACCCAGATGTCCATCGGGAAGAATCATTTGCTAGAGGTCCATACCTTGACCGATAGTCCAAGCGGTTTCGATATGCGGTCGTAGCATGCAGTAATGCAAGACCTCAGCGCCTCCTCCTCACTGATCTACAATCCCGTCGGGAGCTCACCTGGCAAATACCACCTTGGGAATAGAAAATGTGTGATCTATATTCTCACCACTATGTTGCCCGTCGAAGCACTGCCGCATAATGCAGCCACGGGACAAAACGCAAAACAACTCAGTTAAAGTAAGCGATAGCTCTCTTAGACAAATGCAAGAAGGAAGGGCTCAATGTTGGTGGGCACTGGCATCATCAGCAATGGCAATATCGACACCGCAACCCGATCATCATCATCAGTAGCCACATGGACGGATAGAGACAATTGATTGCGGAAATACTTGCTGGTGGAGTATTTGCGGCTCTACAGCAGTCAGACATCTCTCAGTATTCATTTGACTTCACGAGCGTTGACTTCAAAATCGAGTCAGATCCGTCCTGACAAAAGTGAGGATTGGCCATTGAGACCGCGAGACCTGGTCTATGAGAGTTGCCAAGCAGTTAAGCAAAGATAGCAGCTCTTGTCCAAGAAGGCACAAAGTCTTGGTCATTCTGGGACGGCCCCGCAATCATCGCTGCTCTCATGCATGCAACCAACTAAATCCAACGCGTGGACAGCGGCTTGCATCGTTCAAAGCCATTCGTGGGGCACTTCTGATCTCATTGCGAATCTCAGACCTAACAGTAAGGGTTAGCTCTTGGCTAGTGTCCAGCCAGGATGTAGTCATATGCCTTGCAGCATGATTGGAAGCTCCCTAATCCTTAGGTAGGATCGGTTTCTGGCGGTGCAGGTTCAAATCTGGTACCAGTTCTTGCCAGGTCATCCGCCAAATTCATTGACTCCTTGAACGTGTGCCCACATTTGTACTGCCAGTACTTCGATTCAGCATAACATCGATAGTTGTCCGCATTTTCAACCGACTTGAGCTGCTTGGCGTGGAATGTGCCATATCCATCCGGGGGATCTGGTCCGGGGAAATCTCCAATCTGTGGGAAGCCAATTTCACCCTCCTCTATCAGATCATCGAAATTCGGGACATTTTCGAGCAAACTGGTCCAGTGCATAAGCTCGTGCAACAGCACACCACCAATCGTTGTCATTAACTCCGAGTCGTGATCGCCCAAGCCATCGCAGCCCCAGCCTTGCTTACCCTTTCTTGCCTCACCTGGGTCGTATATTTGTTCGAGGCTTGGGTATTGCCAGACGTCTTCACACAGAGAGATCCACGCCCAGTCGCCGAGAGCATGGCTCAAAAAGGTGAACGCCAATGGGGTCATCCCATTTTCCGACTTTCCGCAGAGTTTTTTGGTGCTGGGTAAATCGGGATGGTTTCCCACGCTGAGGACAAGGTGGTTGAATAGTGGCGACATCTCGTGGACATCGGCGCTTGAAAGGATATCGATAACGGTGCCATCATCAATCTTAGCTGTGAGAGGCATGTTTGCGACCGTTTTGAACACATTTTGGACGAATACACCATCAATCTGCTTGAAATATCGTAGGAAAACCTATGAGATATTGTTAGACTCACAGGTCCTATTTCATGAAGGCAGACCCTTGAAGGCGGGCAGTATTGACCTACATCCTCACAATGGTCAAATGTGGCTGCTGCAACTCTAGCCAGGGTCACAGCGTCTCTGAAAGCCTGCTGGACAGCCTGTTGTATTTCCTCAGTGGTATCATCGGGCCATATAAACTCTGGTTGGTTTGCGAGACACTGAGTGCCGATCAGCAAGAGAACGAGGAAGAGGGTCCAATTGAGCGGCAGCCATCTGGAGACATGCATTTGAACTCGCATATTCGCAACGTCAAAGATACTGCTAGTCAATATGTTCAAGAACTGCTCTGGGGGGTAAAGATAGACCATCACAACGTCAATGCGCCTTTTAAAGCCTCTGATTTCAGAATTGAAGGCAGTTGTTGGTGACTGCCCGTGCAACAAGGGATCTCACCTTGGGGAGGCAATGTCACTCCCCATGCTTTGTCACTATTGTAACACGATCAGAAAATAGGTCTTGAACAGCTACTGATAAGTTCACTGCCTGTGGTTTTCACTTGGTGAGAACTCTTCATTCCAACTGAAAGTCCTGGTTGGCTCGACGCCACCATCGAGCAGCATGAGGCATTCTCTTGCTCTCGCTGCACGGTTATATATGACGTGAAGCGAACCAAAAATTCACAACGGGGCTGCAAACCGCCTTCCATGCAGGGTTCTCAGTGACTTCTGACCGAATCAGGGTTTTTAGTTGTTGATAAGTGACAAAAGCCATGACAGGTTTCGCCGTTCAATTGGTGTGAGTCGTATCAGATCTTTGCTCGGTCGTAAGTACAGCGAAATGACTGACTTCTTCGCACCCCCTGTTGCTTAGCCTGGAGAAACATAGCAGTAAGGGATGATACAAAGCACTATCAAACAATCACGGTGAAGTGCACTATACTGTAAGATAGCGATTGCTAATTGTACGCGGTTGGTTTCGTTTGATACTGCTTGACGGTAGTTACCGCACAGTAATGAAGGAGCTCCTTTTGGGGTACGCGTGGTGGTTCCTTCAGTCCCTGCACCCTGGATAGGTGACAAGAATATCTTCCCATTGGGTGAACCTTGAGCGCTTCGTCTCGTAACCTACCATTAGGGGGGAGGACATGATAACGACTTTTAGTTGGTAAAGACCCAGGGGAAACTGTTCTTACATGGCCAGTGCAATGTCTCAGACTGCAGGCGAGAGAGCGAAAGAGCGGGATAATCAAGGACGCGAGATATTAAGACACACGTAGCTTCCGGTCTCGCTAGGTGCTTGGGTGCCTATGTAGTCAGGTTAGAAGATCAATCAGTCTGAACAAAAGAAGAGTCTGAAGCATATCTTTACCCCTCTTACCTAGGTACCAGAGATATGTAGACAAGGGCTAGCGAGATATGTCAGGCCATTTTTAAAATCAAGCAACAGGTCGCGTGCTTCCCCGGATTTCCCCTCTAGCGCCTTGGCAGCCAGGTTCCTTCCGACGTCGGTAGATCTCAAGTTTTAAGGCTTCATTCCTCGTACACACCTTACTTGTACTCCTTTCATTTCTGCAACAGCTAGTTATCCCCAGGGAATCTGAAGTCTAAAGGCCTGGAAAAGACGGTGAGATCATCCGCCCAAGCGCTTTGTATGGGAGCATCAAACCATCCGAGCCTGAGCACCCCCTCTTCAAAATGCGGCCGTTGAACCTAGGACGTGGAGCAGAGATGAAGCTCCGGACCTCCCCGCTGTCTTGCTGTATGGGCCATGGCCGTTCATGGCAGCCAGGAGCTCAGACACTGAGGCCTCTGAGAACTCATTCCAGATGCTACTCAAGGATTCCGCACCACGTCAGAGAGTCAGCACGCCCTACCTGCTCCTACTCCGCGGCGCGGCAACTCTCATTTCGTCCCAGTAGCCGTATCAGGGCCAATGCTACACTCGAGCAGAGGCGGGGCTTCACAGCAACCCCAGCAGGACGGTCACCGTCCTCAGCCCTGCCCCAAGTGATGGTCAACGACATGACTAACCAAGAGCTACTGGTCGACTTCAACAGCGGCATTGCGATGCGCTTCCCATCATTCTGGCTGCGAGACAATTGTCCGTGCCAAGCATGCCAGCACCCTTCGACCCGCCAGCGGCTTCTCGACACTTTCGCCATCGACCCTGAGATCAAAGTCTCCAGTGTCGAGGCCACCGCGGAGGGTCTGCAAGTGACATGGCCGGGGACCGAGAGCGAGGCTCAGAATCACAACAGTATCTACCCGTGGGAATGGCTCTCGGCGCACCCACCCTTCAACCAACCCACAGCCAGCGCCTCAAGGGGCCAAGCCTTACAATATTCAGTTTCGCAGCGCGAATGGATCCACGTCGCCCCAAATAGCCCCAACACAACGCTTCCACGGGTATCCTACGAGGCGATAGCCTCGATCACATCACCAGATGGCCTGAAACGCTTTCTCTCGAACATCCACACCTACGGCCTCTGTTTCATGCCGGGAACCCCACCGACACCTGAGGCGACACAATCACTGATAGAACGTATCTCGCACATCCGCGCGACGCACTATGGCGGATTCTGGGACTTCACGTCGGAGGTGAACCCGATCGACACGGCGTATACCAATGACTATCTGCCCCCGCACACGGACACGACATACTTCACCGATCCAGCTGGCTTACAGCTCTTCCACTGCTTGTCGCACACGTCCATGGCTGACCCAACGCAACCAGGGCAGGGCGGCGAGAGCACCTTCGTAGACGGCTTCGCAGCCGCCTCGCACTTGTATACGACACACCCGGACCTCTACCACACGCTCGCAACCTACCCGATCCTAAGCGCAGCACAGGGCGACGCGGCGCACGGGTCGTTCTATAACAACACGTCCTCGCTGCAGGGGTACCCAGTGCTCATCCACTCCGCTCCAACTGGCTCCATCACGTCCCCTTCTCCGTCGACACTCGTCCAGGTCCGATGGAATAATCTCGACCGCCTGTCGCCGTCGACGCCCGTGTTCCCCAACCACACAGCGCTGAAGAAATGGTACACCGCTGCGCGGGAGTGGACCAAGATCCTCGCGGGGCCGGATTTTCTGCTCACGGTCAAGCTTCAGCCGGGCGAGCCGGTGATTTTCGATAACTGGCGTGTTTTGCACGGGAGGCTGGGGTTTGAGGGGAAGAGGCGCATCTGTGGCGCTTATATCGGCATGGATGATTTTCGTGCGAAGTGTCGGAGTCTGCAGGTTGATGTGTAGAAGGAGACACGCCTTTTCCCTGGAAAGGTACAGGTGTGCTGAGTGGGTCAGAGGCTGAGGATAGGAATGTCAAAGTGTGTAGGATCGGACGAGTTTTTTGCATATGGGACGTTCGCAGATTGAACGAAAAGCATAAGTGTTGCGATCAATTCTTGTCACTCTCAGATTGACTCGATGGCTATGTGTATAGATCTATTAAAAATGTGTCTCGGCGTATCACCTCATATGCTGATGGATTGGACAGTTAGTAAAGGGCTGAGTGTGGTAGTACTTTCGTATACTGCATGGATGCGAGGATATCGATCAAGGCCATGCAGCAAACGTGCTATTACAGAGCATCAGGCTAAGTCAATAGAAGAATTCATGTTGGTATTGGTAGTTCTGGCAAGACTGCTATCGTCAAATTCTAGGCATAGCTCATCACGGCATAAATACCTGCCTCATTACTACCTCAAGAAATTTCCCATTCATGGATCGGAATCGTAGTCGTGCAAGGATCTGGCCTTTCTTGTTGTGAACGGAGAACACGAAATTCGTCAATAGGCCTGGCATTCTAGACCGAAAATAGCTGGACCCATTCCGCTTCTCGTTCAAATGCCTTGTACATATCTTTGGTTGCTGGCTGAATACCTTGACTGAGGTCCAATTCCTCTCGCCGCTGTCCAATCCTCCTGATCTCGCCGCGGTGATAGTCAACAAAATGTGCATAGCTGTTGCGCTGCTGACGAACATTGTCAAGGAGCTCCTTAAGCTTCTGAAGTGAACGCGGAACTTCTTCTCGTGTACGCTGATGAATCTGTAGGCGATATGATATCTCTTTGATCTCATCATTGCGCTGATACACTAATTTCCGGAGACGGTCGAGTTCTCCAAGGTGGTAGTTGAGTCGTGCTTCAAGTCCTTCTCGTGTATGTGGAAGCTCGTCCGGAAGAAGTTGTTTCGAAGGACCGTCACTCTTTTGGCTGCCAGACGTACTGACTTTCCGCAGTGACGAAACAAGACTCTTCAAACTGCCCATCGAGCCAGTACGTTGTGGTTTCTCGCTTTCTGGTGACATCGATGGATCAGTACATCCACTGTCGGCGCTGGGCGTCATCTTCTTCCGTAATTTAGTGGAACCCGTACTCATTCTTTCTCTTTCAGAAGTCGGTGATCTCTATTCGAAGTCACAATCGCTTGCGCCGTCCAACGAAGGTGGAGAAAGAGGCGCGGACCCTCGGCGAGCTAGTCCTGGTCGGCGAGGTTTGAATGTAGAAGAACCTAAGTGATCGACACTCGCTAGACTAGACGGTGATGGTGATACTGTGATGACTCGAGTGTGAAATTGTAACGTTCTGCCACGGGGTTCAGATTCGGGGGGAGCCAATGAAACTTCATTGTGAGTTGAGGCCTGTATCGATGGCGGAGCTTCACCAGTCTCGCTACATTCAGGTGGCGATTTCAGGTTCGATACTGGCTGTCCTGGAGGCTGATGGAGTTGAGTGTCAGGCGTTGTATTCTGAGATAATGGTGAAGAGTGTTCTTCTTCAATCATAGGAAGAGGTGACAGAGAATGACTATCATCAGCCACTGAACCAGAAGTTGTTCTTGTGTGTAGTGAAACATCTGGTCCACTAATCTCACTGGTCAAAGGTTGTCCTACAGCGGAGTCAGACTCAAAGAGTATCGATTGCGCTTGCGCTTGCGGCTGTTCCGCGTCTGTGGGCGTGACTTCAGTTACTTCGACTTTGGATTGATCTTTAACGGAAGGAGGTATGACCGAGATTCGAGGTTTGGGTGCACTCTCGTTCTGCCGGAATTTCAGTGTTGTCGAAGGATTTTGTTTACGGGTTTGGGAGACTTACCTCTTCGTCGACCTCTTCGATAGCAGAGAGATTAGGAGATGACTTGATCTTATAGTGCCCACGGTGAAGGTAGAACTTCCGGCGAAGGGTTTGATGTCTTCTTTTTCGCATGAATGCTGTAGGAAATGATAACCACCGGTAGACCTTTGCTGTCAAATGTTTGGTTTTCTCAAGGCGACGACAAAGCACCGAAGATTTGTTGTGAGCCGCCATGGTCAAACAGTGAATGTAATAAGCAGATAAATATCCTCTTCCCAAATATTTGAAAGAATGACGTGCGGATCTGCCGTCTGGTGGCAGATGGCAACATACACGATGTGGGGATAAAAGTGGTTGATATGGTGCAAGGATACTTGAAGTTCAACTGATGGCCATAGTGGTGAGAACAGAAAGTAAATCAGACCAGAGAGATCCAAGAGACGAGGTTTCGAAAACCATTCATTGCCATTGCCCTTGCCATTGCTAGTGCTCCCCTGAGGGAAGGCCTCGTCGAGCAAACAAATGCAGTGATCTGGATTGGAAGTCACGTTTGCTGGATTGCAAGACGTTCAACCCCATCCTGCCAAAGTCCAATTAACCTTTTCGCCTGCCTTGGTCGTTGTCCGTGGCAATACGGTGCTGTGGTCAATATCGCGATGAGCACCAGCTAGCCCGTGAGCAAAAAACCTCTCCCTGTCAATCTCGACAAGAGACCTGACTTTGAAGCTTGAGATAAGGCTAGCTGCTGCCCAGGGGCCCAGCGACTCCACCTGCCTGAAGGTGGTTGTCACTGTGGGTTTAGTCTTTTGCCGTAGGAGTTGCTCTTCCCCTGGAACGCCCGCTGTGGGGAGGGCTGTATGATAACGAGCATCCGCAGGAGTGGCTCTTCCTTGCGCCATCTCAACCAAACCACGCCGCATGGAGTTGAAGTTCTTGCCTCTAACAGCAGTCCAACCATGTTGATTCATAAGATCATTTGCGGAGCGTAGAACCTGTTGAGACAGTCCTCGAATGCTTGATGCTTGCTTACCAGAGAAAACGATGCGGGACATGCAGATACTCCGCACATCTGAAGAGACTGATAGCAAGCTGTTGTACACAAGCAAATGAATTGGCTGCTCGTGATCGTCGGGATACTCATTATCCTTAGATCCTAGCAGAGTTTCAAGACAAATATTGTGGAGTGCTGACCGTAAGATTGACACTGGTCGGGAAGAATTGTCGGCGGGCCAGTCGATCTGGAGAGTCGTCGGGATATCTTCTTCTTCCTCGGACTTCACCTCGGGAGTCCCCAATTCTATTGAGCTTGTCTTTCGAGCAAGTTCCTCCTCCTCGGTAGGCACCAACGCGTGACACACTCCTGCACGAAGAATGAATTCCTCCACGAATTCGAAATCCAGCCGTAAGGCATCTCTGATCGACTCGTCCTGCTCCCTCCTCACACTTTCGAGGAAGTCAGCGACTTTGCATACCAACAACCTCATAGCCCGGGTACTTCTTCTAACATGAACTTCGCGATACTCGTAGACGGCGGTCACAACTGTTTCCTCCCAACCAATATCCACGACCAGACCCGACCTCATCCCAGCAGAGATTACAGTCATGGCCGGGGCTGGCAAGAGCGTTATGGAGGGATACTTCCACTTCCCAAACAGCAGCGTCAGCACCGTGTCCAACACTGGAAGAGGCATCAAACTCGGCAGCACTAATATCAACCTTGTCGAGCCCGCGTCCACCAGCAAGTACTTGTTGTAAGCCTCCCTGATTGCCCTCTCCAGTATATCCTCCAAAAGACCCAGATCCACATCCCTGATATCTGCTCTCCAGAGCTCGTATTCACTACACTTTGCCTTGACATCTTCCCTCCTTCTTTTAAAGCCGGGCAAGTAACTCCTAAAGTCGCCCACACGTCGATTGGTCTCTGGGGTAAAGCGCAAGCAGCATTGCGGCCCGCTTTCGCCCTGAAAGCCCACGCATAGATACCGCGGGTCGAGCTCGATTATGATCGGGTCTTCCTCTGAGCGAAATAAACCAGAGCCTGGTGAGGAATGAACGGAGGAAATGTGTCTGAAAGGGGGCGTGTGCGGCGAGCCTGAGAGTTGTCGGTCGCGGTCGCGCAGGCTGGGGCGGATGGCAGAGGCGAGGCCGGAGCTCATGGTCTGAGGTTCTCAGGGCATGGGAGGATGGCCGCCTCCCTGCTCCTCGTCGAAGAGTATAAATTTTGTGCTTAGGGCGCGGGCATTCAGATGTTTTGAGTCGCGTTTTAGCTTGGGTCGCGACTCATGACCCCGAGCCTGTGACTTTATTTATGTTTTGCGGGGGAAGAAAGAACACGGGCAATCCACGTGATCAAGAGATATGCTTAGTCAGCATATCTCGACGCCAGGGTATGAGAATTCGGGCACCGAGGTGTCCCCTTAATTCCAAAAACCATGCAGGTTGGGAGAAAAATATTAATAGAAAGTCCTACCGGAAAGAGATTCCAATCAACTCCCGATTCAGGTAGTGGTATAGTAGATACGAATATGCATTTATGTATTATCACGCAGAACTGCTCATATCACTACATATCTATGCTTTTCCGTTGGCACCGCAAACGCACCATCCAGGCATTCCATGAAATGCCCCCTGCCTAAAATCTACATGTATATAACATTTGCCCGTAATGTACACCAAACAATACGTGACATCATAGCAATATCTCCCTCTTAAATGGCCGTGTGTTCATTCCCCATCTTGCCCTTCCCCGTCCCTCGGGGCCCTCAACACCATACATACCCTTCCCCAGCGTAGCGCCCTCAAGAATCTTCGCGATCCGCCAACCGTCCAGGGCGGCCAGAGGCGCGTTGAAGGGTACAATGAACCAAATGGCGAACGGTGGCAGGATAAACATCCATAGCGCTACAGGCCAAAACATCCTCATCGCCCATCTCAAGTCATCCAAGCTTTGACTGACTTGCTCAGGGACTGTTTTCTGCACGGAAAGGAGCCAGAGGTAGGCGAAAAGAACGAAGCGGACCGCTATAGCATGCAACCAAAAGATACAGTAGAGGAAGAAGACTTTAATCGGTCGGCGTTGTCGCACTGCTTTGACTAACAGCATGATTCCGGATGTTGTGCCGAGGCCGTTCGTGTCGCTGCGTGGAGTGCCCGTGATGCCTTCCAGGCCTAGTGTCCAGATGACAAAGTTCTGGGATAGCGTATATCCGGTGGCGAAGGTGGTGATGCCAAGTGAATATATGAATCGTGTCACTGGAATGTCGTCTTCGTCCGCATACCGTTGATAAAGGTAAAGAAGACTCGGGATGATAATGATCATCAAAGTCCCCCAAAATGTACCTTTGATCTTTTGGCCAGCTTGGAAGCCTGGTCTATGGTCAACAGCTAGGGATGAAAAATCTTTCGGCTGCAATGCTGTCCGGTCGAGCAGTACGGCAACCTGTTCGGACGTTGCCGCTGAGCCGTATGGCACAATCTCAAGGTATCGACGGTAAGCTGTGAGGACCATCTCCTCGTCCCATCTGTTGAAAAACAATGACCATGGGGGAAGTCCACTGAACGCAAGACCAGCGAAAATGGAGAAAATGTGCAAGACTAGGGGGACAGGAACCCACATGAGCCGAATGTGTGTAAGGAACAATGCAGGGTTATCCGAGTTTCTTTCAATCTGCACTGTGAGCTGGAGGCACGAGAAGGCTGCCGCACCGCCCCATCTCAGCAAGAACGTGCTTATCAATATTCCGAGTTCTCTCCGGGATATTTCTCCCGTAAATAGTCTCTTCAAAGCGTCCGCCAACTGAAAATTGGCTGCGCGCAAACGGTCACCACTAATCTCACCACGTAAAGCGTGAGTTCTGATCCGCCTCCAGACCCGGTCGATCAACGCTTCGTTCACTGTAGCAGAGATGGCGCTGAACCCCAGCAGGAACACAAACGAACCTGCAACAGTCTGGCCATCGATCCATCCAGCAGAATTCGCTTTTGCTTTTGTCAAGGAGATCAAGCCGACCACAGAAGCAGCAATCAATAGCCAGACAAAGACGCAGAGGGTCAGAGCGGCGCAATCGAATCGAAATCTTTGGCTGGCCTCCTCGTACTCTCTAGAGCTGGATCGAGGGGTATTTGAATGTACCGCGATCAGCGGAAGACTATCGTTAGCCATCGTCTTTCCCTGCCAGGGTAGGCTTTGGCTTGCTGGTGACTGGTATGTGGTCGATGTGTCATGATGCTGGGCGTAGGCTGCAAACCGCCCGTTTTGGAAATGTTGTTGCTGCCATACTGGGGTTTGTTGACCCTCGATCGGTTGGTAGTCGCGATACTGCTTACTGAATGTTTCCATATTCGCAGAGAAAGGCACACAGCCTTGCAAGCATCGAACACGAGGTATGGCGGCTTAAATGAGTTTGAAGAGGTGTAAGAGGGACACTGGATCATTTCTATTAATGGGTTATTAGTCATTCCAGTGGCTTTGGGAGATTCTCCTAATATCAGCCAGGGGAAGACGCCATTGCAATTTGACTAAAACCACGCAAAGGCTTGTATAAAACCTTTCCTTCTTCTGGAAACGACTTCTGCTGACAGAGACCCACCATTGTCACCACACGAGTGTCATTATTGAACCGAACTATTCGTTGAAATATACTATGGAGATCTTGAAAACAAACGGTCCTACCTAAAAATCAAAACAAAAAGTACTGTAAGATGGGGTCTGGAACAGCAGCGGGAGAGAGTACATACGAGTACGGAGTACGGAGTACATATCCTGGAAACGCTGCTCGGCCCGTGCGGGCCCCCTGAAAGCTGTTCAGCCGCAAAGGCTCCACACTCAAGCTTTCGATACGATCCAAGGGTCATGGCTACTTACTACTGGGTAAGTATTTAAGGCTAATGAAGGAGTGGCTTGCTGAAGAATGGAGAGGTATTGTTACGTGGTCCAGTGCAGTGCGACGGTGTTCGTCCTGTCGAAGAAGTGCTGCTGAGAAGCCATGCAACGTCCCCACTTATAGTGATGTGGAAGCAAGGAAGACAGATTGACACGTAATTCGAGGAGTATGGATGGACCCTTTGCCACCTGTTGCCGAGATAAGAAGGGGGTGGTCACTGGTAGGATATTGATAAACACTAGGTCCATACCTGGGGAAGATGCGATCAGAATCGGTGAGTCGCTCCATCTCTTTGGATGTGGCGAACAACTTGAAGCTGTGAAGGAGCCCGGCCCGTAAGCAAATCTGCATTACTGTAAATTGTCATGACGGCTTGGCAGCAGTATGCTCCGCCGTGTTAGATGCACGTGACTACGCGTAAGCCGAAGTGGATCCGACGATCGCTTCAACACCTGGACGTCAACAAACAACAAGAGCACTACAGTAGGTGCATGCTGAGCCGACAATTGATCTTAAATTGGAACATCCGAGCTGCCCAAGCCGACGGTATTATGGGGATACCCGGGTAAGGGTGAAGTTAATCCCAAAACTACGTTCGCTAACATTCGTAGCATACTAAAAGAAATCGGGAAGGGAGAACGGGTGGCGTTGGCAAAACTCGCTGTAGAACATTTCGAAAGATCTCAACGCCCTTATCGTATAGCCATAGATGCAGCAATATGGAACTTCCAGAATCAAGCAGGCCAAGGTGGGAAGAACCCTGCCCTCAGGACGTTGTTCTATAAGTTGTTAAAGTTACTTGCACTGCCGATTCAGCCAGTTTTCGTTTATGATGGGAAAAACAAGCCTCTCACCAAGAGGGGTAAGACTGTATCGAGGTATGGCACCTGCATTCCGAATGAGACTTCAAAGAGGCTCATACACGCATTTCGATTTCCTTGTCACACAGCTCCAGGCGAGGCAGAAGCAGAATGTGCTATGTTGCAGAGGTCTGGAGTCGTTGATGCGGTAATGAGTCAAGATGTTGATGCTATCATGTTTGGTTCAACTGTTACGCTCAGAGATTGGTCGAAAGAAGCTACGAAACACAATAAATCCCCAACTCATGTCAATATTCTCGACCAACGCCGAATCAAAGATATATCAGGCCTGGACCCGGACGGGATGATCTTGGTTGCATTGCTCAGCGGTGGGGACTATGACGAGACCGGAATACCTGGCTTTGGGCCTGGGCTAGCTTGCGAAGCTGCCAGAGCCGGATTTGGCACGGACCTACTCGACCTGATACGAAGTCGCGACGTGGCCGGTGTCGCTGAATGGCGTGAACGGCTTCAATATGAGCTAGAGTCGAACGAAAGCGGCCATTTCAAAACCCGACATAAGACTGTCAGAATTCCCGACAGATTCCCAGACGAGCGAATATTGGGTTTCTACATGACCCCAGCAATCAGTTCTGATGACCAAGTGTCAGAATTGGAGAAGAAATGGCAGGCGGTTTGGGACAGCAAGATTGATATGAAAGGCCTAAGAGACTATGCGGCTGATACCTTCGAATGGTGTTACAAACCAGGTGCATGGAAATTTGTGCGAGTCACGGCTCCCGCGCTATTGGCCAACCTTCTAAGACGTGGCCTGAGAAATCATATCACCTCAGCAGAGCAGATCACCGAACGGCGGAGACATTTCATAAGTGATGGAATTCCAGAGCTTAGGGTGACTGTAATTCCAGCTGATGTTGTTGGGCTCGATCTTGATGCAGAGGAGGACAGTCCAGAATACTTGGCGAGCCTTGCTGATGAGGATGACGAGGGGGTCAGTGCAGAAGCGAGAGATGCGTTGGAGAAAGATAACATTCCTCCTGGCCTAGCCAAACCACGCAACGTTTCTCCCTGGCTGCCACACAATCCCGAAAAGATGTGGATCGCTGAGGCCATTGTAACAGCCGGTGCGCGACACAGCGTTGAGGAGTGGAACCGAAGTCAAATGGAGCTCGAAGCTCGCCCAAAGAAAGTTCCGACTCGTAGATCTCGAAGGCAAAATGACCCTCCCCATGAAAAGCTGGCTGGTGGTATGCCCTCAGGATCCATAGTGCATTATATGGCTGCATCAAGGGAGCCTGATAGAGAGTCTCGCCAAGCCACAGAGGCATCTGGGTCGACAACAGCAAGAACTATACGCACAAGGAAAGCACCACCAGCACCCAGGACCCCAACAAAGGCGAGGAGACAGCGACAAGTATTTGACTCGTCGCCCAAAATGAAGGATTATTTCAACAGTAACAAGCTTGGTGGTCAGCATGAGAGGGAGCAAGCGATGTCGAAGACTGTTGAAAAGCTTTCCCAGGAGTTGGAGGACAAGTTCAGTATCAACGAAGTGAGGGACAATTTGGATGGAAAGCACTCTAGACCTTCCACTTCCATCTCAAGTTCGTCAGGAGATTCTCAAGCTGTACTGGGGAAACCCATCAAAAATCTGCAGAGAGGGCGGGTCAATCGCTCATCCTTTACATCACACAATGCCGCCGAAGCTCCAGGAAACCCAGGAACCCAGGGACTGGAAAAAGCGAAGGATATCCACAAAGGACAGGTTCCAGACGATGCTATCATTATTGGCTCATCACCTGTTCAGAAGCCATCCACTCCTCTCAAAAAGTCAGATGTTAAAGTCCCTCCGCATGACTCCGGGACTATCGACAATATCACGCCAAGAGGCCGCTGTCGGACTAAGCGTTTGGCCAGGGGGCCCAAAGCCGATAGCACGTTGGCGATGGGACGAAGCCCCCAACGCGCTCGGCGACCGATTGATCAATTCTTCGCCCCTTACATCGCAGCTGCACAGCAGAAAATTTCTTCTTCGGAGTACCATGTGAGTCTTGATCCACCCGCGGTACCTCCAGAACATAGCACAGGCATTGCGACATCATTTTCTTCTTCGCATACTTATGCAATCCCACGGTCAAGCTTGCCAGGGACTTGGCAAGAAATGGAGTGTGGGTCTGCTGTGTCATCTCGGGCTGCAGCAACAGCGTCTATATCAAATTCCCGGCTGAGTATAGTCGATTTGACAGGAAGCTGAATGCTCATGGGAGCTTGACTTTCCAGAAGTCTTTATTCTCAAAGAAACTTCTACTTCGAGTGATCTCGACAGCAGCCGCTTCAATGGTGGCGATTGCACTGGGCTTCTCGACGCGAACCTTGGCCATAGTGTGGCCATAGGTCGTGGTCACGATCTGTGCCACGGCAGTCGCTAGAGCCTCGACTGTGAGATATGACGAGCCTTCCACTCGCTGGAAGAATTAACATGGGTCCGGGGAAATATTCTATGCAACTCAACACTTACCTCAGTGACTTCTTGGACCATATTATGGAGCTTTTCCGAATCTTCGGCGTTATCCGAGATCGGCACAACCGAGCCAACGACTGGAACACTGACATCGAAGAACAACAATTGTTTGTAAAGTCTCTCATGCGGATTGACACCAATTATGCAGTCGCAAGCAATTTGTTGGATGGTCATGCTCAAGCTGAAGGCCGGGGTATCTAGAGCTGACCTGTCGAATTGTGAGCGATACAGGACGCCAGCCCTTGATTGCAGAGTTGCTTTTGGCAGCAAGATCTCGATCTCTAGAACCGAATAATCGGTGACAAGGTCTGAGATCTGGATAATGAGCATCTGTACCGTTGCAAACTGTGCCACTAGAGCTAGTCCAGCAGATATCTTCTTATACAGCTTGCCATAGTCCATTGTGAGGTTGACATCGTCTTTTGCAGCCGCCGCCTCGAAATTTGAAGCTGGCTGAACCTCTAGAGAAATGAGGACTGGTTGGGGCTTGTTCCAGCGACGCCATGCATCCAGTCCTACGACCAAGTCGAATCTCAAATTTTTCAAGATTACTTTGTCCATGTTTTACGAAGAAAATAGAATTGCCTGGAGTCCATATGATGCAATAATGGACATGATGGCGGAGAGGGGCATTTTTGTCTCTCCACACTTTCGAAAATGTGGAGGGCACGTGATAGATCCGGGGCAAACTGGTGGCTGGTTTCATCCAAATTTATTTTCTCGATCTTCTGCTGACCAAACCGACCGCCCAACACTGACCACGTTCGCGGCCGGCCACGTCAAACACCTCGATCTCTCCTTTCCCTCTACCATGACTGCTCCTGTCACCATCATCACCACCATCACCATCATCGTTGGCTTCTTATAGTTCTCTGTTTGTTGTCGCCATTTACTCTCTCGTCAATCAATGGGTCGTTCCGCTGCGACTGCATCACGTTGCCTCCATTCATCCTCCTTGCTCAGCTGCGCCTGCTTCACCCTCGGCCGTGCTTATTCAACATCGTCTGCCTCTTCCTATATGCACTCGGTGCCATTCACCCTCACTCCAACTCCAAACGAAGTGGTTTGGCTACCGGTGCACGGTCCGTCCTGAAACGGGCGGACGGTAATAGAAAAAATCGTCATCCACATCCGTCAGAGAGCCTTTTGTAGACTGCGCACCACGATATATGAAATATCAAGCACCGACATTATGAGCATCGGTACCACTCAACCCGTCATGACCCAAATTCAGGATGGACCTGGCGAAGTGCCCTCAAACGTCGACGTGTCTGCCAACCTCGAGTCTGCACTTGGTTCAATCGCTCTTGGAAATGAGACAACTGAGCCTGAGATCATCCCTTTCCGTACCAAGAGTCCTCCCGCTACCCCCACCAAGGCGGTTCCTGTCGGCGAGCGGATGAATGGATCTACGTCAGACCTTGATCAAGGTCGAGGAAGGCAGGAAGTCAAGGGCAGCGTTATTCTTTCCACAAATGCTGCTAAGCGCAAAAAGAAAAGACACAACAAGGCCAAGGCCGCCCAAGCTTTGAATACAGTCCGTGGCTTCACTTCTATCGACTCAGGAGCAGAGGATTCCGATGCATCATTCAGCGGTAGTCCCCGTGTTTTGTCACCAGTTCCCCGTTTTCCAGCGTTGGCTGGTGCTAGTCCCGGACTCAGACCACAATCTCCAGGCATCAGCAGCCTCAAAGCCCAGCTAGATGCTCTCAATTCACACAGTCAGAGTCGAGAACCTTCTCGAGTCAGGAACAACCTGGATTCTGAAGTCACAAGTAGTGCTGCCAGTGCTGCTTCAGATACCCCGGTTGAAGAAGCTACGGAGGATATGGTTAGCTACAATATTCATATCGATCAAGACTTTGTCAGTCAATCTTTGGCTGATACTGATCCGAGCACTGCTTCTCTCGCGACTCTGGACGCTGATCAGCGGGCGAGTTCCATGATAGTTCGCAAGATGGCCGCGTCAGACTTCACTCCAATCCGTTGTCTTGGTGATGGTGCGTTTGGGACAGTACTTCTTGTACGTCAGAACGCCACGGGCCGGCTATTCGCCCAGAAGCAGCTTACGAAAGCTTTCTTGAAAATCCACAAGAAGAGGATTGAGTCGACAAAGTCAGAACGATCCATTCTCGAAAGTGTCAATCGACATCCTTTCATTGTCAATCTTTACTATGCGTTTCAAGACCATGAGAAACTCTATCTTATCCTACAGTACGCGTCTGGTGGAGAGTTGTTCCGACACCTTGAAATGGAAAAGTTCTTCTCAGAAGGAGTTGCCGCGTTTTACATCGCCGAGATTGTTTTGGCATTGGATTATCTGCACAACACTGTTGGTGTCATATATCGAGATTTGAAGCCGGAGAACTGTTTATTGGACGCTGAGGGACATTTGTTGCTTACTGATTTCGGTTTAAGCAAGGTTGCTATTCAGGACGCAAGCACACCTGGCGGGAGTCGGTGCAACAGCCTGGGAGTCGGAACCATTGAATATATGGCACCCGAAATCATCAGAGGCTCAGATGAATCTGATTGGGGCCCAGGGTATGGCAAAGCATGTGACTGGTGGTCGCTTGGTGCAATGGCCTGTGATCTCATGACTGGAAAGCCACCGTTTGGAGGTGGCAATTGGACGAAAATACAGCAGAACATCATGCATCAAAAACTCAGTCTACCATATTTCCTATCACCCGACGCCAAAGACCTTCTCACAAGACTACTACGCAAGGAGCCTAGGAAGCGCCTTGGTGTTGGACCTAATGATATCAACATTATCAAGAAGCACCGTTTTTTTAGGAAGATTGACTGGAAGAAGCTTGAGGCGAAAGAACTCGATCCACCAATCAAGCCCTTGGTTACTAACCCAGAATTGGCGGAGAACTTTTCTAAAGACTTCACCGAACGAGCAATAGACGCTTTGACACGCCGTCATAGCAGGACATTGAGCAAATCGGATCCCTTTGGCGGCTTCAGTTACGTGGCAAGTCACAGTCTGCTGGAAGAGTCCATGCTTTCGGAATGGGATGAGGCAATCATAGACGAATAGAGTTGAGATACACTAGAACCACTGGGTATACACGGAGCGGCCTATACAACACACAACAGTCAGAAGGGCTGCGATTTACACACGACGAAGTTTATGAACATGGGGTTTTGATTCAATTGAGCGAGGCGTATTGTTTGATACGCAGTTGTCCTAACTCTGGTAGTTAGACAGACTTACCCACACACAATAAGAGCATAGAGTCAGGAGTATGGTAGATACATAAGGTGCATTGGGCCCTCATCCATTGACATTTGTTTCATGCGCATCCATCTAAGTCTGAGCCAAACTATCGAGCAGACTTTGAGGCTGCCAGTGGCTCCAAACAACCTGTGAGCACTGCTCATGGGACGCTTCCATTCGTAACCAGGTTAAGGTTTCTTAGGCTTGGCTGCTCAAAAAGGGAATGATGAGTTCCCAGAACTTCTAGGGGTAAAATTACCTACTATGGATCTATTGTATCTCTTCATGGAGGCGTGTGAGAGGGGTGTTGAGGCTACTACACCATCCTCATTGTAGAAGATGTTCAGCATCAACATATAGTTTCGCGTGTCGAGCATTACTCCGTAAGAGATGGGCCTTACTCTGTAAGAGATGAGAATATTTCTTGTCACGACTTATTCGCCTGACAAAGGATGAAGTTGGCAACTTCAAGTTGAGAGTCTCAACGACACTAGCGTAATAATGCTCCGCGTTTGAGTGTCACGGGATTCCGCGTCTGCCTGGAGATGACGCGAGACGTGTCTCGCGGCCGCCAAGACTTTGATCCGAGTCACAAATTACCTCGCCGCTGGTCATTTGGCCCCATGCCTGCCTGCTTGTCATCCCTGTTCAAGCACTCAATAAAAGGACCATGTTTGACCTCTCGTACTTCTCCTGATGTTCACATCACTGCGAATGTGAAGATTTGGTTTCTCTAACAATGGCCACTGAGACTGCGAGACCCCTCCAAATCGTGGATCTAGAACCAGAGATTATTGCAGAGATCCTAGAATACGTGAACGATGAGTCGCCCGGGACCATCCCCGCTTTAAGTGTTGTCAGCAACTACTTCTACCATGCCGTCAAATTGGTCAAGTATCGCCGTGCCACGGTCAATTGGTCTGATAAGCATGTGTCCTGGATTGTCTCGGACAGGAAATATATTCTCCAGCGGCCCAATCAAGCATCAACCTTCAATCTAGACCAAGCCGGTGTGCACTGTAAAGATTCTGAATTTCTACAGCGCGTACGCCATCTCACTATTGGGCCAAGTGAGACTAGATCGAAGAAAAATCAGTCTGTAGCAGATGATGAGCTCGTCGAGATCCTGACCAAAGCGAGCAACATCAAAGCCCTGACATGGAAACCCACCTTTTCCCCATCCGCAGGTGCTGTCGAGGCTCTTGAGAAGTATCATCCCAAGGCAGAGTTGAGAATCTCTCGGATTACCATCCCTCAATCGTCATACAATTGCGACCCTGAACGAATTCCCCTTGCCGCATCTGCGCTGCTCAAATCAACCAGCCTGAGAAGCCTTGGAATCCGGAGATATCGGTCAGGTGATGACATAACCTCTTTCGATTACAGGCTTATCATTTCAAACGCGGAAAATCTGGAGTTTGTTTCGGTCATATCTGATGGGCCAGAAACAGCAGACGAAGATAATTCAAGAACAGAGGGCCGCAAAAAGCTTCGCCATTTGACCTTGGATGGCTGGCAGCTTTCGCAAGACACCGTTGATTATTGGTCTCAATATATTAATCTTACAGAGCTTCAGAGCTTCAAATGCAGCCGTGGCTCTCTCTCCACTTCATATTTCGTCACTGCGGCGGACCTGCTCCCTGGTCTCAAGCATGTCAGTCTAAACCTCGGTTCCCAAAAATGTTCAACCGAGACCACAGAAGCAGTCCAACGATATATATCATCGTGCTCACCTTTGAAAACATTGAGCCTCTGGTCATGGATAGGAAGGGTGTCCTTGCAAAGCATTCTGCAGCAGCATGGTTCCACATTGGAAGTATTGCGACTTCATGAACGAGAAGAAATCGGAGACGACCCAGATGGACAAAAGTTCATTTCTTTGGCTGATGTACATTCAATCCGAGCTTCATGCCCGCGACTCAAGTCATTCACCTTTGACCTGAAGCGGCAATCAAAGCAACCTAGAGCCAATGACTACCAGCCGATCTTGGCAGAGCTAGTGAAGATGCAGCTGGACACTCTCGAGATTTACCTCGACAGCGGCTTGCTTTTCATGTACACGCTGAATAGATGGAATGACTCTAGTGAAGACGAGGAGGACGAAGATGACACCCGATTAATTCCCTGTACTACGGCACAAAGATCCAGATCTAAGAATTCTGCGATCAGAGCCCTCCACTCATGTGGCAGTGCTTTTGACTCAAGCGGATTGGAGCCCATAGACTTGAAACACGTCCGTGGCGGCAACTTCGGCCGTGGCGATACAAATGATCCGGGGCGCAACAAAGTTCATCCTCCCACATCTGCCGACGACATTTGTACCTTCACCGGCGAAATGTGGAAGTCTATCTTTGGATCACGCATAAGCGGACCAAGGATGCTTGATCTCAAATTTGGAGAATGGGAGAGAAACAGCTTGCCACTTCTCACCGATCCCTATGGTGAACCCTACGCAGACATCCGCGTATGGACTCGAGCCAAACCGCATCAACGAGACGACAAACCGGGCGAATGCTCCGTTGAGATGAAGGGCTGTGGAGGAAAGCATCGACGGAAATGGACGACTGATTCAAATTCATCCAGGGGAGTAAAGAGTGGCTGCACAACAACAATGAGTTAGAAGTTCCTTCACGTGAGTGAGGTCTGCCAGCGGTATACTCTAGGGTGATTTGCGGAGGGCACATAGTATCCTTTTTTGTGGGCGTTTCTCGATACGGGATGATGATGAAAGCGTGGCGCAAGGACATACAACAGGGGCTGTCAGCACAGGCAGGACAAACGGTGATGAAAATGAATGCTCTAACGAGATCATGACAGAGTAGGGTTCATATTGTATCCTACACAGGAACGCAAGGCTGAGATAGCTAGCAGATCAAGATTGATATTAGCACGAGAAAGGCATAAGTTACACAGTACCCAATTGCTATGTACACAGTATCTCAGTTACGAGATAGTACTATGTATCTGGTGAAGTTGTCGTGTCTTCGAGTCAGCTGGGTTATGTAGTATATAGTAAGTATTGGCCATGGTATTACACACTATTATGTATAGTATGTATGTACTATACTTTTAGTACTACATATGTAGTATACTATGTATGTACACCCGCCTGCGTCACCCATGCCTGATTACTACTTCCCACAATATCAATCCAACGCTCAGCTTCTGCTCGCAATATTTGAATACCTTCGTCAATCAGTTGCGTTAGCGATCTATGTTTCGAGTTCTCTCTCAGGTACTCATTCCAGGGCTCCAATAGCAGCTTGTTGACATTGATTTTGGTAACCCCAGCACGGACGCAGTCTCTCATCAACTCTGGTGAGAAGTCGTTGGTCCCGTGCAGCACCAGGCTGGCCTGACCATTGAGCTGTGTAGCGATACTGTGGAGCCTTGGAAAGTCAAGCTGCGGCCCATCTGGCCCGTAGTCTCCGTGGATATTCCCCACTGACGGTGCGAGCATGTCGATCTCTGTGTCGAGGAAGTCTTCAACATCTGTAGCGCTTGTTAATAACGCTGTTTTGGCGTCAGCGAACATTTTCCTGTTAAGCTCGTTTATATGGTACCAAGTGTTTACCTTCCAAATCCCCCGTATCTGCAATTCCGTCCTCGCTACCATTGATCCGTCCACTCTCTGCCTCCACAGCAATACCCTTCGCATGACACAGGGCGGCCAATTTCCTCGTCTCGCTTAGATTTTCGAATATGTTGTGGTGGCTCATGTCGACCATGATTGAGTCGACCGGGAGCGAATCGATTACATGTCGAATTTGCTTTTTGTCCTGTGCGTGGTCAATGTGCACTGAAATCGGCACTGTGGCACTATTGGCAGCAGCGGATGCCGCCCATACAAGTGAAGGCAGCTGTGTAAGAGTGGATGGGAACAGGAGGAGGATCAAGGGCGAGTGCTTTGCTTCTGCTGCTTGTACTAGGGCGGTGATATGCTCGACATTGTACCTACATAGTACCGAAAGAAGCACCAGTGTTAGTGGAATGTCTGCAAGGGCCTTTCCTTGACACTTACGCAATTGCGGCAAGTACACCATACGATCCGGCCGCTGCGGCTTTCAGAATGTTCAATGTCTTATTCCCTTTCGTGGAAGAGATCATTTTTGCTATCGTTTATGGCTTAGTGCGAAATTCATTGATACACACAATACTTATTTGGGTTATGTCCTCAGGACCATATATGAAGCAGGGAGATTGACAACGAGAAAGAGAAAATGCGGGTATATAGAGATGTATATAGCATGTGTTTTGCACTAATTATCGTCTCGTTTACTTGTACTTAGTGTTACAAGTATTCGCACCTACTCGTCAACTTTGTCATGGCGTTCGCTTAATGGCAATGGCAAGGCCGCTGAGCCATAGGAGTGGCGCTTGCCTCGCTTGTCTCGTTACGAGCTGCAAGACCTGTAATTACCCCGCATTTAAGCTTACACTCAACAGTTGCTCCTGCCTCGATGCGAAGGCGTTTTCTCTCTTCCCACCAGAATTCTTTCTTGTCGTTATGGCTGCCGTGAAAGTCGTAACGGACCCTCTTGCAAGTCCACGGGTTCAGAAGCCGCGACAGTCTCGAGCACGTGGTTTGCGGACTTCAACAGGTTGGTACGCTCACTCAATATTTTATCCACCAGGCGTCTACAACCCTCCGACTGATGGTGCGTAAACAGCCTCACATGCCGCCAAAGGCGGGTCAAATGTGACGAGGGTAGACCTGTCTGTATGAGATGTACGAAAGCGTCTCGAGAATGTGTCTACAGCCAGAAGCAGCACAGGACGTGTCATTATGATGGTGTCGTCGGAACTGGCAGGGCGTCCAATTCAACCAGGGACCAGAACCGGACAGATCCCAGTATTGACGAGCAAGTCACTAGAAGTGAAGGCGATATTACAAACGCTTTCCAGGTCTTGCATGGCTTGCCAGAGGACACTGGGTCAGCACGAGGGATAGCAAATTCGAACCAGGAACCATTCCTCGACAACAGAGTGTATGGGAATGGTGCTTCATTCGCTGAGTTCGAACTCTCACCCTTCACTTTTTCCTCGGCCGTGTCTCCTGGAACTGCACCTTTCCAATGGTATGATCTTCTTGCTCAGGATGCTTTGATCAACTTCGAGAAGCACTCCTTGCTACATCACGATACTCAATGGGAGTTCGATCCCAGAAGCCTGTCCCGAAGACCTAGTATCTCTCAAGCCGTGCCTGAGAACGTAATCGAGGATTTGATGAGGCCAGATAAAACAGCAGGGACAGAAAGTAACTGTACATATGAACAGCTGGGGGGGGAAAGCAACCCCAAGTTCAATGAACCCTGGAATACCCCAGAACCCATTATTCTCCAGGATGAGGAGGCTCTATACTTGCAATGTTATGTTAGGGATGTCGCACCTATTCTTGACTTGTTCGATTCAGAAAAGCACTTTGGCAGCATCGTACCTCACCTGGCATTGAGAAACCTTGGTTTGATGAAAGCCCTTCTCGCAGTCGCTGCTAGGTATGTCTCCTTGAAGTTGTTCGACGCTGAGGATCGAGATAATTCAACTCCTGCGGCGGCGACAGGAGTTGCTGATCCCCAGAAACACCACAGGCAAGCTGCAACGCAGTATTACTATGAAACTCTGGGATACCTAGCTAGGGCAATGCAGCTCCCGAGCTACACACGCAGCTCAGAAATTCTTGCCACTGCGATCATGATAAGTACCTATGAAATGTTCGACGGCTCTAAAGATGAATGGGAGCGACATCTTCGCGGTGCCTTTTGGATTCAAAGATCCCAAGATAACGACGGCGAATCTAGTGGCATTCGAGAGGCAGTATGGTGGGCCTGGGTGAGGCAAGATATCTGGGCAGCATTGCGGGAACGAAGACGGACCCTTACAATTTGGAGGCCAAAGAAGCCGCTAGCTTCCCTAAACGCAAATGAGCTTGCAACAAGGGTTGTGTATCTACTTGCTAAGGCAATATGTTACGCATCAAAAGAGGCTGTTGAATCCCAGGATCTTGGAAAGAGACTCGCGGAAGGCAATCATTTGCTTCAAACACTGGAAGACTGGTTTGCCGCTCTTCCTCCATCTTACGATCCAATTCAGACTGCAGGCGAGTCAGAGGGCGCGTTCCAAACTATCTGGATCCATCCCCCGTCCCATGCGGCGGCGGTTCAGACATATTGCCTCGCTAAAATCCTTATCTCACTAAACAAACCGTCTGCAGGAAGTGTGTCTGCATATCATGAATGTCAAAATGTGTTGAGGGACGCTTCAAGGACCATTTACGGTCTCGCAAAAGCACCACATGCTACTGACCCCGCCTCTGCTTTTGTCAGTTTTCAGTGCTTGTATGGTGGTAAGCAAGTTGCACCCTCCTTGACATCCTACGTACTAATTTACGCAGCTGGTCAATGTTTACGAACAGTAACACAACAACAAGAATTCATTGATCTTCTAAAGTTATCTATCGAAAATTGCAGGTTTGCTCCCAAGTCACTAATTGACGACTTGCGAGCGATGTGGAAGGAACATACCTAAACGATGAATGTCCCCTGTGTAGTGGCTTGCGATAGCATCAAGAGTCTTCCTTCACGCCTTCCCTTTCCTGACAAGTACATGCATCACAGCATACACAACTACCCCAAGACCTAGAAGGCCAGAGATGACGCCAAAGCCCATGGCGTATTGAGGGCTATCTGCTGAGGGGAAAGATAGGCTCCATATATTTGAGCCAGATTTCCCATTGCATTCACCAGTGCCAGTGCAACAGCTCGAACTTCTGGTTCCATTGAACCAAAGGTCGAAGAGGCGAAAGATAGAGAGAGTGCATTTGAAGACCACAAACCCGCTGCCATCAGAACGAGGAGCGCATACCGGGCGGTAAAATTGTGAATAATGCACACAATTATCGAGGTGATCATTGAGAACGTCAGCCAGGCTGATATCACAATGCCCCTCCACGTTGGGATACGATCCGAAAAGTAACCAGTCACTGCAGTGCAGACAAAAGCTACTGCATAAATCGGGACCTGCCAGTGAAATCAGTAAATTTTCTGGTCTGCGATACATTGGGGACCTCGGCTTACAGTCATATACTGGGCTTGAACTGTCGATGTGTATCCCAAGTTGTGAACCAATGTTGGGTAAAAATAGCTGAGAGTTGAGGATCCAACAATGACTAAAAATTTGGTCAGTCGGCAGATCACTTCGGTGTCAAGGCAATGCTTACCCATGTAGCCCAGAATAAAGCCCCAGGTCCTCCAGTCCTTCAGTGCCAACCAGAAGGATCTGGCCTTGGAAATTTTTGGCCCATGCTCAGTGCGGACTGTGACACCCTCGTCAAGCAGTCGAGCAATTGCAATAGCCCGCTCACGCTCAGTCAATCGCTTGGAGGTTGCAGGAAAGTCGAGTAGAATGAAGCCAGAAACTCCAGCCCAGCCAATGGTGGCAACGCCTAATTGCACAATTAATAACAGTGGAAGGGGATAAAAGGGGCTCTGCGGACTTACCTTCCACGATGAACAACCACCTCCATCCACGCAAGCCGTGAGCTCCTTCCAGTCCGCCAGTGATCGCACCAGCTAGGAGACCTCCAAAGGCTCCCGAGAGAATGGCGGCACTGATGAAGACAGCAAATCGTTTTGATTGCTCGCTTCGCTTGTACCACGAGCTAATAATGAGCAATATCCCTGGTGCAAATCCGGCTTCTAGGATACCGACGAAAATACGTAGAATGATGAGATGGTGGTAGGTATTGATAGCAGCCATTGCGCATGTCAGTCCACCCCAAATTACCATGATCGCGGGCAAGTAACGAGATGGACGACTTCGGACAAGGATCATATTACTTGGTGCCTCGAAAATGACGTATCCGACGAAGAAAACGACCAGAGCGACTGAGTATTCGCTGGAGGACAATTCCAAGTCATCAGCCATACCAGCAATTTTAGCGTTCCCAATACTATAGCATTGTTAGATAGCGATCAGGTTGGATATGGCAGCCGTCTCTCACTTGGTACGGTCCCTATCATGACGAGACCAGTCAGTTCCAGTGATTCCAGGGCATCCAACGTAGCAGAAGTGTACTCACATGTAGGATAGCAGATACATGAGCCAGATTGTCGGCAGGAGAAACAGGTCAATCTTCCGGACCAACTTTGCTTCCTCCTCCTTAGTGAAGGTGACTCCACCGAGCTGTACTTGCTCGACCTCATCTCGCTCGATCTCGTCACAATCGAGGTCGACCTTGTTGTCTGGTCGGACAGGGAAAGTCATTCTAGCGATATCTCTGTGGTCGAAGATGAAGAACTGCGTTTGTGTAACTATACTATAATGATGAATTTGAGATTTTGTTGCCATCTTGCGGCGATCGCATCTTCTTCATATAGGCATTGTCATGGAACTCGAAGAACACCAAAAAGTGCGTACGATGATGGGAGGAGATCTGGGGCAGTCCGGGGGGACCTACATTGCCACCATTCGTGTTCGGTGGACTGGTCCAACCAAATATTGAAACGAGCACTCCAGGAAAGTGTAAATGTCAAATATGACTCGATGCGATGCGCGAGATGCATGTTGACGGAGGCATCCCCAGCATCTCGTTTTGATTTGTGGATGATCCCCTTTGTATAACCGAGCCCCTTTTGTCTGCCAGGGTTGTGCTCGATGCGAAGAAAAACTCTCCATGATCTAGATGCTTGATCATGAGTACTAATTATGTGTTGAAGAGAGTTTGCCAGTCCAACCGAGTGGAAGATTGATCTGGCAATACTTCATAAGCACGGGCGAGTCCAACACGTCAAGGCCCAACTCGCTTATTCTCCCTTTAAACACCATTCAACGTTCCCGCTTACCCTCGACTCATGTCGTTTCTGGGATCTTTTCCTGCACATAGACGAGTTGTCTTCAGAAGACCCAACAAGATGGCCCCAATCGCCATAGAGCCTATTATCATAGTTCCAGCGACCACGAATGGCGCTGTCGACGGGATTGATGTACAGACGGAAAACCAACCTTCAATGGAGTCACAGTCAAAATCGACCTTACCTCCACGGGGATATCACTGGAGGGTAACCCTAGAGGACAAAGTCATTGCCATCACTGGTGCCAACCGAGGAATCGGCCTCGGTATCGCTGAAGTCTGTCTCGCGAATGCTGCCTCTACCGTGTATTCGCTGGATCTCCTCGAGCCTAGCGAAGAATTCGAATCCATCCAAAAAGCCAATCCGGGCCGACTACGATACATCCACTGCGACGTAACGAACGAAATTAGCATCACCAATGCCATCGACGCTATCGTGTCGGACGCGGGCCGCATCGACGGCCTCGTGGCTAACGCCGGCATGACGAAGCATCAACCAGCACTCGACTTCGACAGACCCCAGCTTGAAAAATTGTTCAACCTCAACGTGTTCGGAGCATATTTCTGCGCAACCATCGTTGCGAAGAAATTCATTGAGCTCGGAATCAAGGGATCCATTGTCTTCACGGCTTCGATGACGTCCCACAGGCCCAATCGCGCAGCTCCTTCAGCACCCTACGGTGCAACCAAGGCTGCTGTGCGGAACATAACGCATACTTTGGCGATGGAGTGGGCGGAACATGGCATTAGGGTCAACAGTATCAGCCCAGGTTTCGTCAAGACTGCAATGACTTACTTCGTGGACCAGTCGCCCGACTGGGCTTTGAAGACGAAGTATTACGGCGGCATGCCCCGGTTGGCGGAGCCAAAGGAGTTGGGTGGAGCGTATGTCTATTTGCTCAGTGATGCCGCCAGTTACACGACAGGAATAGATATTCCTGTTGCGGGTATTGTGGGCGCTTGGTAGTGGTTTTGGTAGACTTATAAACTTATGAAAATAGATTATTCATTTATTATCCAAGAACTTCAACCGTATTCTGGCGTTTGAAAAATCCTGCGAAGATGCAGTGATTCAGAAATGTAGCAGGACTACGCGTGCTCCAACTTTAAACACTTATACGGTAGATCCGTCTAAGGGGGCATAGACCAGAGATGAAGGAACTACTCAGAGGGATACTATTATTTTCGGGCATTGGAAGGTAAATATAGCCTTTTGAGTACTCCTTCTATATTATATGAAAAATAACAACTTATGTAGCTGTGAAGTTGATGAGGATAAGTACTAGTAACTATTATCCTCGGGCCTCATAATCCGGTCCCCACGGAACCCTCCTGATCACACTGATCGGGCGCAGCCTCGACAAAATTACTAGTCCCCTCGTCCCAGGAAAACTCCCTTAGTTGAATCCCATATGGTTTCTGTGTTTCACCATGGTTAGTCAGGGTTATTTCCTCTCGGAACACCAAATCATGCCAAGAAAATCCCAAAACTCACCGGTTCAAGGAGGTAAAGGGTGTGCAGCGGGATATCTCGCTTCACCAGGGCGGGTGTCTCGCTCAGATCGCGAAAGTACGCAAGCAGCACACGAAGGACAGCGACACCAGCGATTAAAAGCACATGGTCGTGTAGTCTTTCGAGCTCTAGGATTGTCCACTGGATGCGGTGAGCGATTTCACTGTGGCTCTCTTCGTGGGCGAATGCAGGAGGTTGCGTGCTGGCGTCTTGGTTCTGGGTCTCACTCTTGCTGCTGCTGTTATCCTGAGAAGGGCTGAATGAGTCCAGCATGTGCAGGTGCTTTACTAGGTATTGGGGCTGTGAGAACCCACTGGAGGTTTCTCGACTGCGCACTGCCCGCGAGGCCCAGACCTGGAAGTTGGGAGAAGTGCACTGGCTCGCGATGTTTTGTTTTCCGTCGCTGTGGCTCGTACGTAACGTTGAAGTTCTCTGATCGCGCCACATTATTCTGTGTTTATCGATGAAAGCGGTTAAAGCAGTCGCATACTTCCGACCGTGGTCGCTCAGGTGAGGGTCGGCGGTGTCCTCACCGAATTCGTCATCTTGAGATTCCCCTCTCCGTGTCAGCCATATTTGGCGCGGCTGTAGGTGAAAATTCTGGATATACTGGACGGTCTTGAACGCCAGGTAGCCCTGGATGTTGTGCATCACGAACTTCCGGCCGACATCGATCATCTTGCAGAAGGACCATCCAAGGGCCTCCTCCGCACTGCCGAGCGGAACGTACTTCTTGGAGTACATCACCACTCGCTCTTTGAAATCTGCTAGCGATGCAATGGGGTTGTGGCCCTTGTAGTCTGGCCCTGAAAGCTTGAGTCTCATGTTGGATTCAAGGAGCTGTATCCTCAATGCATTAGTCGCAGCAGGAGGAGTGCTTTGAGAATGGGGATGATTGGTCTTACGTCTTCATCGAAACACTGGCTCTCCAAGAAAAGGACATCAATCTCGTCTCCAGCTCTCTGCCTCACTCGATCGACGACAGTCCGCCGTCGGGGCACAGTCGTGTTCGTAGCATCGAATAACGCTACCGAGCCCCCCTCCAGCAGCAAGAAATCAAGCAGCTCTTCTAAAGTGCCCATCGCAGCGACTTCCCTGATCTTTGAAGCCTTTGGGTCGCTTGGGTCGAAGAAGCTGGCGGAATGCTCCTGGGCCCCTGCATATAAATTGTTCAAAGCTCTTCGCTTGTTGCCGACGTTGAATATCTTCGTGTCATACTGTAGCCAGTTGAGATACCGGCACAGCTTGCGTGCGATGTAGCTTTTGCCACGAGCTGGTAGTCCCACGAGGACGATGATCAGCTTGGAACTCCAAGGGCCAGACCTCGGCAGCGTCGTCGGAGCTGGTGAAGGCGTCCTTCTTCTGACGGCAACACGCTTTTCTGGTTTGAGTAGATCGCCATCAGCCTGTCGTTTTCGCTTGGAGCTGCTTGACATTAGCCTTGCTCCTGGTGGGAACTGGTCAACGAGTGAGGCCGGAAGGACCGGCGAGGTTCTATGAAGATCTACGCAAGTGATGGACATTTTTCAATGCCTGAGGCAGCAGCAAACAACGTGAAAGGTTGACTAGGATGAGGGAGCACCTGGTGACAGTCTAGTCTTCATATTAAGGTGAGATCGGTGTATCATGTTATGACTCAGTATTATGACTCAGAATGGGCGAATGGGCGGGAACACTTGTTGAACATGAATTCTCGACATCGGCGATATGTCTCTCCTGCAAAGGTTCGGTTTCCATTTCAACATATTACCTAGAGGCCATAAACTTGGCTACAGCGAATTGTCCGGTTGAAGGTGTCCGATTGCTGCCTATAATACATGGGCACCCCCCTCCCAGAGGTCGCTTCGGGGCATTTGTTGTAACACCGAGTTAGCGAGCCAACTGCGGAGCACAGCTTCCCTTGGGGGTTTTCGCCACACAAGCGAGCTCCCCACTGGGAGATTTCGAGCCGAAAGGAAATGCTGAGTCCTGGGGGGAAAGCGAGACGTGGCTGGCTCCAAAATCTGGAGTTCGGGACGAGACATACTGACATATTACTAGAGGCTCGTACCGAGGTATACCAACCCCAATGCTCTGGAAAACCTCAGAACAACCTTCCGTGTAGCTTCTCAACGAATGCGTCAGCTATCACCTTCACACAAACGAGTATTGCTCTTCTCTCGCCGTCAATGGAGCGCTGGCCTGGGGACACTCGTGGTCTGGTCTGCTCGGGAAGAAGGATGGCGGGTTCAAAGCAAATATGATGCATATTGTCCTTGAGACCTCGAAGCGATGCCAGTGTCCGACCGCCTCTTCTTCAAAGAGGAGATCGAAATATAAGGCAAGATGGATACTCCCAATCTACGTCAAGCATCAACTTCTTCTTGCGATATCCCAACGTCTACAACAATTTTCATAAAATGGCGCCTTCTTTGGAATACTATGAAGCTGTCTCGGGAGGGGAACTCCCGGTTAAAGCTATCCCGACCAAAACCAATGGAGTCGAAGCTGTTAGCGGCCTGCAACTAGATCAGAGTGAGAAACATGAGATTATTCTTAAGACTTTCCGAGCGTTTATCGCCGATCTATGTCAGCAATTCGGAGGCGGGCATCCTGGGTAAGCTTTGGCGTTTGCTAGCAGCTAGACTTCGTCACTGACTGAGACCACAGCGGTGCAATGGGAATGGCTGCTATTGGAATCGCGCTATACAAATATGTCATGAAGTATTCTCCTACAAACGTAGGGTTCTTCAATCGAGATCGTTTCGTCCTATCAAATGGTAAGTCGGCTATTCTGTCTACTAAAGGTCCCCCGTATGCCTAATTAGTACTGCATAGGACACACATGCTTGTTTCAGTATCTGTTTATGCACCTTGTGGGCTTCAAATCCATGACGATGGAGCAACTCAAGAGCTATCACTCCGACCGAACCGACTCTCTGGCTCCTGGCCATCCAGAGATCGAGAATGAAGGCGTGGAAGTGACGACGGGTCCACTCGGACAGGGTGTAGCGAATGCAGTTGGCCTCGCCATGGCCACAAAACACCTTGGTGCGACATACAACCGCCCAGGCCACACCGTCGTCGACAATATGACGTGGTGTATGATTGGCGACGCATGTCTTCAAGAAGGCGTTGCTCTTGAGGCCGTTGCGCTAGCTGGGCATTGGAAGCTCAACAATTTAGCGATTCTCTACGACAACAACAATATCACTTGCGATGGCTCCGCAGATGTGGCTTGTACGGAGGATATCGATGCGAAGATGCAAGCATGTGGTTGGAATGTGATCGATGTCTACGACGGAGACCACAATGTCACAGGGATCGTACAAGCATTGCTGACCGCACGAATCAGCCAGAAACCAACCTTTATCAACATCAGAACCATCATCGGAATCGGGAGCGCTGCAACTAACAACGCCAAAGCTCATGGTGCTGCTTTCGGAGTTGACGACGTCGCCCAGATCAAGAGGAATTTTGGCCTTGACCCAGAGAAGCACTTTGAAATCTCGAAAGACATCTACGGCTTCTTTGAGGATGTTAAACATCGCGGTGAGAGCCTCGAGGCTGAGTGGAGCGCCACGGTCAAGGATTACGAAGCGCAGTATCCCGAGCTTGCAGCTGAATTCAAGCTTCGAGTCCAAGGGAAGATGCCCGTCGACTGGACTAAGTTCATTCCTTCAAAGGACCAATTGCCCACCAAACCAACGGCATCACGCAAGTCTGCAGGCATTGTCTGCAACTCTCTCGCGGAAAACATGTCGAACTTTCTCGTCGGAACGGCCGACCTCACGCCTTCGGTGAACTTGAGCTACAAACAACAGGTGGATTTCCAATCAGTATGTCCCACCCCTTTCTCTCCAGTACCTCCAAACCCTACTAACAACCTCTTAGCCCGACTTCGTAGCGGCATGCGGGATGACGGGAGCCTACTCCGGCCGCTATATCCACTACGGGATCCGGGAGCACGCGATGTGCGCGATCTCGAACGGACTCGTGGCCTTCAACAGGGGAACCTTCCTTCCCGTGACGAGCACATTCTTCATGTTCTACATCTACGCAGCCCCAGCGGTACGTATGGGCGCGCTGCAAGGGCTCCAACAAATCCACATCGCAACGCACGACAGTATCGGTACAGGCGAAGACGGGCCGACGCATCAGCCCATCGCCCTACCCGCACTCTACCGCGCGATGCCCAACCTGCTGTACATCCGCCCGTGCGATAGTGAGGAAGTAGCCGGGGCGTTCATCACCGCGATTAAGGCAACGTCCACCCCGAGCATCATTTCCCTCTCCCGCCAGAACTTGACGCAGTTCCCGGAATACTCGCACCGCGACGGCGTCCAGAGGGGCGCCTACGTCTTCATCGAAGACGCGGCTGCAGATATCACGCTCATCGGCATCGGCTCGGAGATGGGCTTCGCCGTCTCAACACGCACCCTCCTCAAGGAGAGATATAACATCAACGCCCGAATTGTCAGCTTCCCTTGCCAGCGGCTCTTCGAGCAGCAATCGCGCGACTACAAGGAATCCGTGCTGCGCTACAAATCTTCGTGTCCGATCGTCGTCATCGAAGCCTACGCCGTAAACGGCTGGGAGCGGTACGCAGACGCAGGAGTAAGCATGAAATCCTTTGGGAAGTCGCTTCCCGGAGATGTCGCGTATAGGCATTTCGGGTTTGAGCCGAGTGTTATGTCGCAGAAGATTAAGGGGTTCGTCGAGGAGGTGAGGGCGATGGACGGTGGGGTGCGCGCTCTGAGAGGTGAGTTTAGGGATCTGAATGGCGTGATGGGTTTTGGCTTCGAGCATTGAGCACTAGAATCCTTGATATCGGTGATACAGGAAATACTTTTTCAACTTGAGTTTGAATTACGATGTAGATGGGGAGAACAGAATTTCTTTTTGGGAAACCTTATGAAGTACGTATTGCGAAAGGGACCACATTGACTGGCTATAGACCTGATTCAAATTCGCTAACTGTTAAGCAGAGCATCACACTGCCAGACATGGTTTAGCAGACTCGGCCAAATAACAGCCACACCTTTCTCCATCACCCGTGAATCAACGCAGGTATGCCATAGAGATGGCCAACGAAACAAGCAAGACAGCAACGCTGAGCCAGGGGCCCCTCCATAGCACCAAGGAACGGGGCGGAGACGCAGCCGAGCCAAACACCAGCGCTGTCTCTGTTGGCGTTCCAGGTCCAGCGGGCACCAGGGGCGTTGTGCCAGCCGCGGACCATGCACCGTTAGCGCTCCCGTTTGAACTGCTCAAGGAACTGTTCGTCAGCGTGAGTGTCAGTGTGGCCGTAGTCACTGCCGCTGCCTCGCCAGTTACAGCGTCTGCTGTGCCGGAGAAAGGGAACGAGGTCGGGAAGGAGTATGGTTGGGCATCATGGGTGCCTGTATCCCTTCCTGCCGTATTCGCATCTGCGGCCACGGTAGCGCTAGCCTGATACCAATCTTTGACGTCCGTCTGCAACGCTTGGATCTCACTCTTGCATGGAATCGTGAGCGTCGTAAGGATTTCTTTGTCATTCGTCCCGGCAACTTCATGCCATTCGCTCCAGCCTTCCGTCCCATAATCATCTGATGGCGAGGACGGGTCCCAGTGCTCGGGTCCACCGCGGCAGCTGTTCCCGCATGATACAACCGTAGTCGTCATGGGAACGCTTGGTTGAGGGAGATGTGTGCATCCGCAATACAGAAGTGTGATAGTTGTGCTGAGGCATGTTGGTGTGGGTGTTGGACAGATTGAGGGGTGGACTGGGCAGATGGTTGTGTAGCTTGTGGAGATCACCGTTGGCCAGAGTACGGTTGGTGCTAGCCCTGGAGCGGTGCTGGGAGTTGGCGCGAAGGATAGAGATGAAGGGGTGATATTGGTCCCGATCGTGGTGCTGCCAAGCGTAAGGTTGATGGCATATGATGCAGAAGTTGAGCTCGTCAATGACAAACTCATGCTTGATATTTCTGATGAAGTTCCGGGTGTTTCTGGCGTTGAAGATAATGATGTTGTTGAGCTCCTGCTCGGTCCTATACCACCTCCATTGGTGGATGAGACGCTAGGGCTGCTCATTACAGTGCCAGTGGAAGTCGAGCTTGAGCTGGAGGATCCCGACTCTGCATCAAGGATCGTGTTGTTGTACACAGTAACTATGATCACCTCTCCATCGTTCTCAGTGGTGAATTGTCGTTTCCCCTTTAGCAGTGCTAAGGAGATGGAGAGCGAGGGTTGTAGAATAGTAGCGACCCCACCACATTTCTGGGTTGGATCTCCCGGACAGGGTGTATTGCATGCCGAATCTGGGTATTTGATATAGTCGGTGTCAGGATTGGGAATGGTGTCGCTGTACGAGGAGCAATAGCATTGACTGTGCAGCATTTCAATTAGTGGTTCTACTGAAAAGATACGTCCAATTCCAGTCAAAGAGAATTGGAAGAGTAGAAGAATACTTACGTTGCATAGATAGCAACATACTGCTGTTCACGCGAACTGCACAGCTCAACACATTCGTTAATGGACATGGACAAAGAAATGTCGTTGATGATGAAGGAATTGCCGAACGCAGTGTTTAGTCGGGGACCCAAACATCCAGCATAACGAAATTCATCCACTACCAGCGGACCTGGGAGACTTGGGGTCGGCATAGCTATTTCTGTTGTTGTTACGACTGAAGCACTAGTGGGAACAGGTGGTGAATCGGGAAGAGTGGCTGTAGAAATAGTGTCAATGCTGCCGGTTGGCATCACGACAGCTGTAGTGGCCGAGGATTCATGCTGGAATTGAGAAGTCGTCGAAAAGAATGTCGAGAAGAGACTCGACGATGGGCTGACGGATAATGATGTACTGGCAGGCGGCGGAACGTGCGTAGGAGAAGGCAGGGGTGGCAATATAGTCGTCGATGTGAATTGGATGGGAGACGAGGGCAATCCGCTTGTCATCGTCGTGGAGCTGCTAGGAGGTCCTGAACTGGTCACCTGCATTGGTATTATTGTTACTAGAGGAGGTAATGAGTGCGTAGTGAGACTTGAAGTTGGCAACCCTGTCGTGGAAGGAGTCTGGACACTAGACGGCGGCGGGATTGGGCTAGTGGTTGAAGGTAACGAAACATGGGTAGTGTAGCTGGAAGTTGGTATTGATGTGATCCTCGTCGAAGTGTTGGGTGGAGATTGAGGTGTGGGGGTGGGTTGTTGGACGGATGTGCTGGGAAGCAGTGTCAAAGATGTGGTCGTGGTTGACAGATGGGGGAACACCCATGGCGTTTGCATACTCGTAATGAAAGTATTCGAAAATGAATATGTGTTCATGGCAGTTGCATGGCTCGTTGTGCTAGGTTCTGTATGGACAGACGTAGTTGGGGGCTGAGTGCTGAGGGTCGTAGAGCTGCTGTTGATAGTGCCACTTATAATAATGCTCGATGACATTGTAGGAGAAGGAGGTGTGGAAGTCGACGCAGGTGGTATCTGTGTGGATGATGCGGGGGTAGAGCTCGACATCATAATTGAGCCAGATGATGAGATTATGGTGGTGGAACCTAGCCTTGACGACGCGGCAGAAGACGTCGAAGTTGGTATTGGGTTGGTATTCATGGTGCTCTCTGCTGGATGCGCTGTTGACGTTGTTCCTTTGCCGACGCCATTGGTAAAAGACCCAACTGGCGTTTCTGAGATGAGTGAAAGAGATGTACTAGTTGTTTCAGATGGGTTGATATAGGTCTGTGGCGTGACCACTGTGGAAACAAACGGAGGAGTGCTGCTGCTTGACGGTTGATTGTTTGGATTGTCTGTGGCTTGAGGGTATGCATAATAAATCAGTCGAGCGCCGTTGAAGCCGGCGTTGCTAGGAGTACTTGCAACGCTTCGCTTCCAGTAGCATGCTTTAGAACTGATTTGATAGGCAACACCTCCACACACATTGGATGTGACGTTGACGTTCCAATAGGTACATCCTGCAACGCAGTCCTCAAATGAGTTAACGAGGAACGCTGGATAAGGCTTGCCGAGGTCGCTGCCACCAGGGTTCACGCCACATTCGATCTCATATTTCAAGTCGCTGGACTGGACAACTGTGAAGTTGTACGTTGGGCAGAGTGTTGTACTCGGGGTCGGAGCAGGGCCATTGTCCGGTATCTGAGTTGCCTGTGTTGGCTGCAGGCTTGCTATATATGGGGTCGAGGTTCCATTTCCGCTCGAACTGGAGTCCACTAATTGATATACCCTGATAGAGTTCACTTGCCAATAACTGGATATATCAGCTAAATCTTTCGTGTAGAGGGTTTAGGGCTTACGAAGCTTGGAAAGCGGACGGTGCCGTGGCGACGTATGCCGAACATGATGAGAAGCCGGTGAGAGTAGCGCATGAATTAACAGTCGAGTTCCATACACTCGCGGCCCCTGCATACTCGCCGCAAAATGCATTGTTGAGGATGATTTTATGGGACTGAAAGTGCTCATCAATCACACAGGCACCCTGCATATGAGCTTGTGGTAAACCCCAACTCGCAGGATTGGGATTGGGACTGTTGTTGACAATATCGCTCGGGATCTCGCCTCTTGGGAAGAACCAGATTCTGATGTATTCAGAAGTCCATTGCATTGCATACACGCCGCCACCGATTGCATTGAAGCCGGCTCCGAAACTAGAAGGTCGATTGTCGCTAATTCCACAGCCAACGTTATAGCCAGGCTAAAGATAATCAGCTCAACAAGTCAGGCGCTACTATCTTAGATGACCAACATACGTAATATGCACAGTTAGTAGTCTGGAGCTGACCGGTCATCAATCTTCTATCGCCCGAAATTGTACAGTTGGGATTCCTGCTTTATTAGTATCCAGTCTCAATCCAATCGAATGTTGATCTTACGTATGTAAGGTCATGCCATTGTGGTCCACCAGGTTGACGCCTTCCATAATATCGATCTCTCCGTTGTATGGCCAGTTCGGTCCCAGCGTCCAGACTATGTCCTGTCAAAGCCACGCACACATTTAAAAGTGGGGACTGAACGTACAAGCAGGCCAGCTGCCGCAGACACCAGCCGGTGAATGCTTGAAGTCGCCAATAAACAGCCCGTGAGTCCAAGACCTTTTAGTTGATATCCTCACGCTGGGTCGACCGGCTGCTTGAGTGGAGCCGATTAAGCTAGTGTGGTCGGAGCCTATGTATGCTGGCTGTCCATCCGTTGCATTGATCAGACCGGTGAGTTGAGCTGAGGACCGACTGTAATATCTGCGATTCATGAGCAGGTAAGGCAAACTGGAGAGATTGGGTACTTGCGTGACAAAACCGCCAGTGGGGTCGCCACCCTGTGATGTTCAGCTTTATAAATGATAGTGTCCCTCCGAGTTACCCACGGTGAAAAAATCCCATCCATCAAAGAAATTGTTTCCTGAATACTCGGCATCCAATTGATATGTGGAGCCCGTAATGGCCCAGACATACTGTACATACACGAAAGAAATGAAAAGGGCTGGCAGGCGCAAGTAACGAATGAAAGGAGAGCGTACAGCCATGATCGGCGACAGCGAGTGCGACTTGCAGGCTTCCAGTGAAAGCACGTTATAACGAGAAACGCAGCCATGTTTGAAGAAAGTCTTGATAACGTGGGAAGAATTCCAATGCGAGGCTCGCGAAGAATGTTGGCACAACATTGCCGTGAAGAAGGGATAACCCCTTTCTATTTGTTACTTGGCGCTGCTTGGAACCACAGGTGGTTCTACGCATTGAAAAGGCTCCAACTCGTGTCTGAAGTATTCCAAGCCCTCTTCATCCAACTTTGTTGGATCATCGCGTAATGCAGGAGACTTGCTTACTATTTGGTTTGGTTAGATTGGCGCCATATAGTTGAAACCGAGTGACACATAGTAGGACGCAGGCATGCAAGACTGCACTGGCATGTTTCAATGTCACCGAATATCTAGGATAGAGGACAAATCGACAACTATCGCGAACTTCCGGCAGCGGCTCTGGTAGTTGTCTGGTTCATTTCAAGGCCGAGTGTCCATATCCATTGCCGGAAGCACATTTTCGAGATTCGCCGCATGTACCCCAATGATATAGATGTCAGCCACCCTTCTCGGCGAGTTTAATGCTCGGTTGAAGTTCTGCATCCAGTTGTACAGCTTCTTCGCCTTGTACACTCTGAGGCACAGGCTTGGACACCTCTTTCCGCATTTTAGCACCCCCATGCCAGCCCACCCAGCGCTTCTCATGGGGGCCTCGAATCAAGCAGAGGAGGATTGCCACTGCAACGAAGGCAACACTCGCCGACCCCGAGGCATACCATCCGGAAGCTGCATAGAGAGAATTGCCCACAGCTGTACCCATCAACTGGCCAGAGAAGACACTTACCATGTAAGCAGTATTGACGCGGTTTCTCGCTTTAGGCGCAACCGCATAAATCGCTGTACGGTTTGCGATCTGGCTCGTCTGATTGCCGATGTCGATAAGGATCGCCTGGATGATGGGTCCCACGATGGTGTGTTTGCCGGAGTAGGTGCCGATGGCGACACCCAGTATGCATATGATCTCGCCGATGACGATGGAGAACCATGGTTCATGTTTTTCCATCACTGTCCGGGCGAAGATGGGGCCCCATACCATGCTGCCCATGCCGCAGAGGGCGAATAGGCCGATTATGACGGAGTTAAAGCCATAAATGGGTCCGACAAGGAGGAATGTGAGTGTTGTCCAGTAGCTAGTAAAACAAGACGCAGTGAAGAATCCAATCAAGCACGCTTGGATGATGACTGGGTGGCGGAATGCAAGCTTCAGGATGTCCAACAAGAGCGATGGATATCTCTTCCAGATGGCCTTGCCAGGGTCGGTGGCGGGGTAATCTGGCATGAACAGGTAAAGCAAAATTAAGATAAGATACTGCAGTCCAAATGATATCCAGTAAATGTACCGCCAACCGACGTACTGTGCCACGATTCCTGCCAGGAGTCGAGCGATGAGCATACCTAGTAGCATACCAGAAACGACGATTGAGAGGGAAGTCGATCGACGGTGAGGCGGTGCCATGTCACCGACCAATGGCAACATTAATTGAGGCGTCACGGTTGTGGCGCCGGTGATAAAGGTGAAGACGCCAAAGAGAATAAAGGAGTCTGTCACGCAGAGCCCAATCCTAGCCTTCGGTCAATGATCTTCCCTTGAGGGTTGGTAGAGAGTGACAGAATAATTTACCATAGCGTGGCCGTAAACCAGACGAGCCACAGGGTGTAAGCTCTCCTTTTGACTAGGTCACCCAGAGGACACAAGAACAGTAATCCTGCAGCATATCCTGCTTGGGCCAAGGTTGGAATGTAAGAAGCCTCCTGGTCTGTGACATTGAAGTCGTCGGCCAGTAAGTTCAAAATAGGGTGGGTATAGTACAAATTCGCTACTGTGAAACAGCCCGCAAATGCTAGACCATGACGAATCTAGGTCAGCGTGTACATTAGGTATGAGAGGGGACGAAAGACTCAGTCTTACCAAACAACAGATTGAGTCCTATAGAGAACTTGAACGGTTTCTGTGGGTCATATCGACACCTCGGCGGAATGTATGTAAACCTGTCATACACAGCTTGAACGGTTCTTCTTGTCCCATTTTCTTGGGCTTCCTGCAAAGCCTGGCTCGGACCATCTGCTGGTGTCGCTAGCTGCTCGTTGGCGGCTGATACTGGGGCTGTCTGCACCATGATTGAGCGCGTGAGCCATGGTACAGGAAAAGGATGAAGGAGAGAATGGAAGGAGTGTCCCTCTCCGTTTTCATGATTATGTTTCTTAGGGTTTGCTAACATGGAAGAATTGGAGATGGTGTTATCTGACCCATGCAGGATAATACCCAGGCGCGGACTAGCTGGCGTTGACTCCAAATGACGTGAGGATTGATCGGATGAGGACAATAGATCTGGTGAATGGCTGAAAGATCAGCCGAGAGGATGCCGTGATTGCCGATCAAGTTTTACGATAGGCGGGAGATCGCCCTTTGCCAGGGAGGACCGTTACGCCGGGAACTCAGGCGAATGGGCCCTATCCGCGGAAGCCTTGGGAACACGAGAAGGATTAGACTTAGATCAAAGCTTATAGGGCTCAAGCAAGTGATTTGGTAAGGCTAGCAGGAGGAGAACGCTGAGACTCCTCATGCTCAACTATATCACAACCGTATCTGCGAGGAAAGGCCAATCGGACCATATAAAAAAGAAACCCACCCTATTACAATACGAATAATATCCGGTGCTTTGCGACTCACTTGCTCGGCTGGAAACAGAGCAACCAAGAGTTCCTGCCAAAACTGGTCATACAGCAAGTCGAACAAGACTGACCTGAGAAATCAGATTAAGAAATGAGAACAAAAGAAAAAATACCGGGTATTCAAGGACAAAGCCTCGCCTTTGCTGCGCTTGCTAATGCTCAAAAGGTTGATCAAGAAAATAGCACAATCTGGCCGCCCCTTTTTTGTAATCGAATCGTTGAGTCATTGATGGTCGTTAGGGTCATAAAACGCTGTCGTTGAGCTTATTTCGCTGCCTTGCGGTATTCTTCGCCGAAATCTTCGACAGTATTGACAAAGTCTTCAGCATCTAGAGCCAGTCAGCCTCATAGACTCACGGACCATTAGCGGGCTCGTCTACCTTGGACTAGTTCAAAATCAAGAAAATGTTCCCCGTTTGCTGCAACGTGGGGTGTATAGTCGGAAGAAAAGACGTGTCGCCGTAAATCAGCAAGGTATACTGTCGAGCTGTTCTCTGAATAACGACACCAAGTTGGGGAAGTGATGCAATGAGTAATGAATGCGGTCCAGATTGGTGTGCTGCAAAGAGAATCAGAATTGTAGTGAATGATATATGGATCCGAAAGCGCATACTTCTCCATTTCTCCTTTCAAAACCGAAGCCTCCAACCGGAGCGCATCGGTGCCTCGATCGCGATAAACACGTAGCGCATGCTTGTATCCGCTATCTCGAATTGCACTGGTCCTATTAGTATGCATTTCCCGTCACACACGGAGGCAGCACGGACCCAGAAAAATAACTCTTCTCTTCTGCGAGATCGTGGTCGAGACTGTTTCTGATGTGTCTGCTGCTGTCATGTGATCGGAGCGACAAGAAGGTGCAATGATAGACAATGAGCCCTGTAGTGGCACTTAGTATTCCGCCAAGAAGAATTTGATTTGAATCATACACTCAATTGCGGTGAACTTGAGACTTGCCCAAACGGTGTTCGCGGCCTCAGGTGTGGGCCTGCAGAGATAGAGAAAAGGTCCAGATCTCCTCATGTGCAGGTCGCTGAGTGCCATACAAGACCATCTTTGGCCACGTTTACCCTCCGTCCATTCACAGGCAATCTTGGCTCGATAGTCCCTCGCCCGCCAAAAAAAAGTAGTTCGGAGACCGCCAGGAAATTTGCTACAGCAAATGGTCAGCCGGATTTCTTCCAGGTTGCGCGAGACATACAGCTTGAGTATAGGATCGAAGTCGGCATCCGGCCAGCTGCGTCCACTCCGTGACCCTTCTCCAAAGCAGCGTGAACTGATTTTACATTGTCAGTACCCACCCTCGCTTGGGAAACTTGGCGTCTTACATTTCGGTTGACTCTTCAAGTGAGGTTGAGGGTAGATTATTGTAGATACTAAATGCCCAATGGGTCGATTCGGGTTCGATACTGGATGCATGACTGATCGTCGAAAAGGTGGTAGTGGGAGACCCTGTAGGTGGGCTAGGAACCGCTTGGTGTTTCAGCGAGTCATAGCTGTCATGGGATGTCGTAGGAGACAGGGGACGTTGAGTCTGTGGTCTCACGCGTTCCTGAGATCGTGGTTGCCGGAGAATCGCTGCACGAGATCAGTCTAAATATCTTCTCTATCTCGATCGTGGGACTCCATACCAGACTGGGCTGGCACCAGAGCCAGGTTGGCAAAGGCATCCGTGGCTGAAATTAGGGCTCTGTTGTCGCGTTGTAGTGATTGTAGGTCGTTGATCTCATGGCGTAGATTGTCAATATGGCGGCGGCTATATGTTTGCCTATATTTGGGCTCTCAGCATCAATTGGGAAGAATGGCGACGAGGTCCTACTTTTTCAACGCCTTGCAAAGACCGTAGATGAATAATTGATATGTCTCGAGTCGTAAGTGTAGAGACTGCTTTCCCATCTCGGCGCAATACCTTACAACTTCCTTCCATGCCCTCCGATAATCTCCTCCCGTCCGGCTCTTTGGTATCTTCCCGAGGATCGTCCAGACATCTTGCAGGGTGAAAGCGACACTGTTCTGAAGAAGACCCAAGTCATCAGCAAAGGATCTGGAGACCTTTCCTTGAACGGCGTCGATTTGAGCAGCGAGTTCACGCAGAGCCCAGCTGAGGTTGTTCAGGCCAGTAATTGATAATGTTAGATCCTGCACGTTATCCTTGTCAAAGTTTCGGATTTGGCTAAGAATGTCGGAAATGTCCTGGGCCCTGCCCGCCTCTCCGTCGAGTATTAACTCCATTCATGGTAAATCAAGACAGAGACTGAGAAAGACAAAGAGAAAGCAGAACAGTTCGACCCGTGATGAGGCTCCTTTGTGTAGAGTTTGGTGCAGCAGAGAAGAAGAGAGTGGTAAGTCGTAGGCTAGTCGTGGCGGTATGAATTAGTGTTCTCGTAATACGTGGAGACGAGTTGTCATGCAGGTAGATTGACGTGTCAAGCGGACAGTAGGCTAGACCGATGGCTTGCTGCCGCTGCTGCATGGCCTACTGAGGGCCTGACATGCGCCGATTTGTTGCACGACTCGGTTCCCATGAACTGTTGCACCACAAGCTCTTTGCTGGTACTTGTCATGCTTGGTACGAGTTTTAAATGACCCTCGGCCCCCAGTGAGTTGAAATTTTCCTCTCTAGAAGCCCAAGGAGATTTGCAGCTGGGACTCTGGGAGATTTGTTGCTGCACCTCTGAATCAGAGCTGGATCTTCGTCCTGCTGCAGGAGTTGGTGCCTAAGCCTGGGCAGTGACCAGTGGCCATAGTCTTTGCCTCCTCAGGCTTGAACTTACCACCTAGGGAAGCGAAACCTCTCAGGTAGCTCGACGTGGACTTACATATAGCCTCCAGCAGGACCTATTACCTCTGAATCTAATCGATGTGTACATTTGTTGATTGCTTCAGCGTGCTGATGATCTGGACACGTCTCAGATAGCTACCAATCAGGTCGTCCGTGGTCGTCCGTGGTTGTCCGTGCATGTTTTAGGTTAACCGGTGAGGAGATTTGCTCATCATGCCACAGGGAGACCGGGTCATGATGGCAACTTTTCATATCGTGCAAAGATGTTCTTCTGAGCAGAATGCTATGTTGAGGAAGAGGAGAGAAGAAGGCTATTTAATGTTGGCGGGAGGTTGGAACAGAAGCCTGGCCTTGTGCCTGGTTGCTGCCTGAGGCTATGGCCAAGCATTGAGTCACAAGAGGGGGGCCAAAAATGTGATGAGTTTGGAGCACTCGGTAGGTACCGAGTATGCGACAAATCCCAATGCTTCATTAATAGGGCTCAGGGGATTCATTACCACGTGGCTGGCTGTTGTGCCTCTGGCCATGTGCACGGCCTCCGGGTTAAGACGGTTAAGCTGAGGGCGTCTCGTCTGGGTTACCCAGAACCATGTTCAGGGAGGATCTACATGTCTAGTAAGAAACGAACTAGGACTAGAGACAGTGTGCCAGATATCACATTGCATAAGAGCTAGTATACAGCGGGTCGTTTAGTTATGCTTCATCACATTATGCAGTTGCAGATGCTTGCTCATGATCTCTTACAAGCTTGATCATGAGCGAACCGAAAACCATGGGTGTTGGCCTTCTGATGGACTGCATTCCCCGTCATTTTGACGCATAATGAATGATGACCGTGTCACTCCGGAACCCCTTTGACCAGCCCACCATTGCTAACAGACATGAAGGACAATAGGAAACCCCCCGAAGTAAGTTCATACCACCATCGGTAGACCTTGTAGCAGCCGAATGAGGGAAGAGAACTATCTAGTCAGAGGTCTCATCATCATCCTGGGCCTGTGTATGGTCAGTCATGGCCAATCTGAGATCGAAAATAGTGAACGCTTACGTTGTACTTGGCTTTCTCGTCTTCGTAGCGTTTCTTGTCATTCGCGGCCTTCTTCTCATATGGCTCGCGCTGCTTCTCGGTCAACGCCTTCCATCGATCACCGAGGACCTTGCCGACTTGGCCTATGAGGTAATGAGCGGTTGGTTCCTCGTGCTAGACGTGGCCATCTTACCAAAGGTAATGCCTGGATTCTCTTCACGGACATTCTCACGCTGATCGTTGGCGAAGAACATGTAGGCAGAGAGACCGCGCTTGGGAGCGTTAGGGTCTGGAAGAATCAGCCACGCGCGTCAGAAGGGTGGTGTTTGGTACAAACCCTTCTTCTTCTTCTCGGCACCACGTCCCTTAGACTTGGCAGAGGCCTTGGAGCTTGCTTTAGGCATGTTGATTTGCTTTGGTGTGAGTTGGAAGGAGGTTGGAGAGAACCAGAGGCTATTCTTGACTTTGTGGAGGTCAGTTCACTGCTAGGTCGCGCGACGCTTGGAGGAAACACAAGAGCACAATAGATTAGGTGGGAGTGGGTTGTGAAGGGGCGCGCGCAAGGGAGAGAAACGAGCTAGACCAGCGATGAGAAAGAATTCGCATCGTTATGGCAGCCAGAAGTGGTGGTCGCGCGGTGTATTGATACAGCGCAGGTAAACAGAATGTTTTGAACTCATGCATTGGGAGCAATAACGCGTCTTTGAGAGTGAAAGCAGGTCGCAAGGATGTCGGATGACTTACCAGCGAGATGGAAACGCGTCAGGGAAGGTGAGTTGGTTGTTGGGAGCTGTGGTGGTGGTGGTTAGCCAGAGTCAATCGCGCGGTGAGGATAAGGGCGACGATGAGGTCGGGTGAAGGTGCAATTAGAGTGGAAAGATGAGCAAGAGAGCATTTCGAACGGGAGTTTTGACGGGGAACAAATGGGAAAGTGAATTGGGAATGGAGGCGACGAGGTGGAAAATTCAAATGGGAGAGAGAATTGATGTGTGCATAGTACGCGCAGAGGCGTATGAGTACTTACTGTGTGGATGGTAGAGAGTGCCAGCAAAGAGCAGTGAGCAGTGAGCAGGCGAGAGTACAGCGCAGAGTGGTGGTGGTGGTGGTAGTAGGAGTGGTGGTAGGAGTGGTGGTAGTAGGAGAGAGGGCGAGGACTGAGGACTGTGAGGAGAGCAGCAGCTTTTGGGTGCGGCGGGCCAAACTCCCTGTGAATTCTGTGATCTCAGCCCGGCAACTCTGCACTGACTGCGTGGGTGATCTGATCTCCTCACGCCTAGATCAAAATCGCCGGTCTGACACAGATTACCTGCCGGGATCTCACGGTGGGCTGGTGTCACCTACTGTCATTTCATTCCATCCTCCCTCCCTCTGCACCTGCTGCTGTCACCACACATACAAACACGCGCACTATTGGCCCTGCACCTGCCTTGTTATTCCTACTAGCAAGCAAGCAGTAACCCACCTTGATTTCCTAAGTAACAGCAACTGTAAGGAGTATCTGCCCTTCCCCTCCCCTTCTCACCCCTTCTGCCAATGCTGCCTTCTCTTCTCTTCCTTCCTCGTCTCCTTCCTTTCTGTCACTTCCCCCTCCTGTCACCCACCTTCCCTCTCACCCTGTCTATCTTCCTTCGCCTTCACCTTGCATGGAGACCATCCCGCCAAGCCACGGATCCCCCTCATTATTACTAGGGGACGAGGTAGTCGTAGTGAACCTATGCACCTGTGTACCTGCTTCCTCTGTATCAGTGGCAGCTAATCATTAATGGTGGTACTGCGTTTCTCTATCAATTATAGCTTCTGTCACGCAATAACTAACTCGTATGCGCTGCTAAATACCCTTCGATGTACGAGTACTGCGTACCGATAGCTTGCCGCTGCATTCTAATTCCCTGTCTCCGTCTGCGTCTCCGCGCCTTGTCAAACTGTCCTTCCAGCTCACCACCCCCTTACTCAGCCCTGATTTAGACTCAGACTCTCGTATCTCCTCTCCCACCTCCATGGCAGCTGGTCCCTCTGACATTGGTTGTCATCGTCCCCAAGCGACGTCCGCTTTCTCTGCCATCTAACCAACCATTAAACCCTTATTTCCAGCTCCCGTCCCCACTGCTAATGCATGAAAGCCTTCGCCTCCTTCAGTCTTACATGCCTTCCGAGTAGCCACCCTCCAGAGTACTGCCCTGCAAATGCTGTCGTTGTTACTCGTACTATTCTTTGTGTAGTACGAGGTATCAGGTATCCACACTGGCAACTCTGTGCTTCGGAAGCTGACTCGGATCTTTGGCTGCTGGCCTGCACAACGTCCAAACCATTGTCTTCCCTTGCCTTGCGCGCCTTGATTCAGTTTGTGGTACCGTATGGAGTAAGTGTACGGAGTAAGTGTACGGAGTACATTCAGGACACCAGCGTTAGTCCTCAGTATCCTTGTGCATCTACCAGGATACCTAGGCACCTTACGCAGCTTGTCCCACACCTATTGCGGATTATATTTCCCGGGGAAGGACTTGCGCAAGGATGAATCGCTGGTGTGAACATGGTTGAGTCACGTGAGTAAAGTTCTGGCCGAGCACTCGCTCACTTCCTGAGCATCTAGACAGCCAGCTTCTTTTCAACCCAAAATATCATGTGGCATCTCTCGAAGGGCAATGCTAGAACCCAAGCCACCAACACCGCAACTAGTTCCACATACTTATTCTTCTTTCGTCCGTATCCTTATAGTCTATAATATCCAGCTTCGAGAGCCAATGAATAAAGATGCAACTCAGGCATGCTTGAGATAATTCGGCCTCATGGGAATAATAGTAGCGTGGCCCGGACCAGTATTTGTTGGCAAGGAAGAGCCCTATACTATAGATGATATATTTCTCTTAGTTATGACGATGGAAATAAAATCCTCACCAGCCTCTTCTTCTCGACCAAGTCTAGCGATTTTGCGAGGATGAACAGATATATTTTTAAATAAACATTGCTGCTTTCGCAATCGACCATAGGATGTGGAAAACAGGGCTTCCCGTTCGCTCAGCCGTACTTAAGCCACATGCCGGTCAGTTAGTACTAAAGTGGGTGACCATTTGGGAATCCTGGCTGTTGATTGTTTTTTTGCGTTTCTGGGCAAACTTATTGGCTTGTGGTGGTGGATTTAGTCTTTTTTATGCCACTCTACAACTCTCAACACTATATCTAATACTCGCCAAGGCTCAGTCTGATATAGGCCCTGGTGGCTGCAGATAGGCCGTAGAAGAGGTCGCGCCTTGCGAACATGCAGGCTCATAAGACCAATCTCAATATAGCATACTTTCTGTCTGACAAGAAAATGTCACCTTATTAGTCTTTTTTGGCAGTCTGACACTGAGAATCACGTGTCCCGGCAATGTCACGTGAGTTTTCCAATTCGAGGTTCGAAGAGTGAATTCACTGCTGGAAGAAAGAAATAGTAGAAGACACAGGGGACAGTGCTCGCTGTCAATGCAGGATCTTGACGCGGCAGCCTGCAGCGAAGTTGATGAATATTCTTTTCAGACTTTTTCTGTATGAATGAGCGGACAGTTCTTGGCAAGTGATGAAAAGAACAGACCAACCCCGCCAACTTTGCCGAAAAGCTGTACATCTCGATTCTCCATGACTTTTTTGCAACCGAATTCTCCCCAACACTGCACCACACTGATACCCATGCAAATCTACCAATCATCTCTTGCCTGATCTGCCTTTTTGGGCTATCTGGCACAATTCCATTCATTACTCAGAGCGTGTATTCATGATAGAATAGAGCAACAGGAAGAACCTAGTCCCCTGCAGCGTACCGAGGTCACCAGCTTCGACATCTCTGACTCATCCCACCCACCTAATTCGACGGTACTCCTTTGGCATAAGAGTCACGTGGTCGAATATGATGTCCAGCCAGCTCGAGTTGTATCAAGGCGCTATCATTTTCTCTTGACGAAGGAAGGTTAAATTCGGGATTGACAGTAAAGGCTCAACATGCCACCCAAGGTCGCACCGAAGCCTCGGGTTGGCTTGATTCGCCGACCCATCCATCGAGGCCGTATCGACGGGAGCCCAGCACCAACCTCACTACGAGCAACAACTCCCCTTGGAATGCGAGCATCCACACCAGTCTCCTCTAGACCAACTGGCCTGAAAACAATGAAATGTTCCAATCCCACCTGTCCCCGTCCGAACATCGTCGAAAGTGAACAAGGCTTGATCTGCGATACTTGCGGTGCCGTGGCTCAAGAAGACTCGGGCCTCGTCAGTGAGCAAGGCTTCGGAGAGACAGACTCTGGCCGAATCACAGCTCTCGGTGTCCACGTCGGTGAATCACAGACCCATCAACGGACCTACGCTCCGGGCGGGGCACTCGGCAACGCTGGTCGAGAGCCGACCATCAATCGGGAAAGATCTGAAGCCCATGCACGAACTATCATGGTTTCTTATCAAACGCTGTTGAAAATCCGTTCTGCAGAGGTGGAAGCTGGCATGCAGATATTCAAGCTTGCTTGGGGTAATTCTTTTGTGCAGGGCAGAACTATCGATAGCGTCGCTGTCGTCTGTCTCTATCTTGCCTGTCGCAGAAAACATGAACAGGTCCAGAACGAACGGCGGCCGTTGTACAGTCTCATGATGATCGACTTTGCTGAACGACTCAATATGGATGTCTTTGCATTGGGAAAGATGTATCACGATCTCGTTCGCAAATTATATGGCCAATCAGGCAGTGGAGGCATACAAGCTGACATCAGTGCGGACCTCCTAGCTCACGGTCCCGAAGTCCTCGTCAGCAGGTTTGTAGATGCGCTCGAATTCGATAAGGCGCATCGTGACAAAATCAAAATGGATGCCGTCAGGATTGTGAAGCGAATGAAGCGAGATTGGATGTCTACTGGGCGACGGCCATCTGGAGTCTGCGGTGCAGCAATTCTGCTCGCTGCTAGGATGAACAACTACCGCCGAACTGTGAGAGAGGTCGTTCTCACAGCGAAAGTGACTGAAATCACCATCAACAAGCGATTAGAAGAATTTTCCGACACCCAAAGCAGCAAGCTTTCAGTGACACAGTTCCGCGATAATACCGTGCTTGACACCGTCGCTGCCTCAGATCCTCCTTCATATCAACGTGCTCACAATCCCAAAGACCACGGCAAGAAGAAGCGCGGACGACCTCGAAAGCGACCTTTACAGCAAACCTCTGCTGAGCTTGGAGGCGATGCCGAACCCAATACAATCACAGACTCATCACAGCCACCCTCCAAAAGGCCTCGGCTCGACGCTGAAGGCTTCGCCATTCCCGAAATCCCTCAAAGACCGACACCAATAGACCCCGCGATCACCGGGGAAGGGGAATCCGCTCCAGCCTCTGAAGAGAAAGCAAATCCACGTACTGCAGGTAGACCACGTGGGGCCAAAAACTGGAGCGCACCCCCTCCCTCAGAAGCCGAGTTGGCGATTGAAAGAGAAATCAGAAAGGATATTGCTCAAACCTTCCGAGAGAACGAAGAGCTCGCGCCAGAGTATCAATACATAGCTGAAGATGAGGAAGACGACGAAAACGGCTATCGTGATGATGAGACGGAATTCAACGCTTCCACTCCGCCGGCTGTCACACCTGAGCAATCTTCAACAGAGCAAAACTCTGGCGTAGCGGTAAACGAGTCTACCACGACTGGAAAGACACACAGCCCAGCACCCAGCATGCCCTTCGTCACCAGTGACACAGCCACAGCAACACCTCAGCGCACAAAGTCGGGCCCACCTGGACCGGCCGTCAATACGAATGCAGGCAACATTGGCAACGTCTCTCTATCTCCGACCCTCAAACCAGACGAATTCGACGATGATGACGACGTGTCTAGCTGCCTGCTATCTGAAGCGGAATCACGCATCAAAGAGCGGGTCTGGGTGTCAATGAACGCCGACTGGCTACGACAGGACCACGCGAAACGAATCAAGCGGGAGTTGAGAGAGGCCGAAATGCGCGCACGCGGTCTCGACCCAGCCAAGGAGGCCCTCAAGCTCGCACAGAGCAAGGGCAGGAGAAAGGACGGCACAAAAAAGCCCGGACGCAGAGGCGACGTGAGCTACCTGCACGAAAAAGACAAGGCCCAAGGGGTTGACGGCGAAGATGAAGGACCGAAGGCCAGAGGCAGCGCAGATCGAGAGCGCAGCGCAGCAGACTCGGTGCGCAAAATGTTTGAGGCGCGCGGCACATATTCGACACGTGTGAACTACGCGGTCCTGGAGTCTATCTACGGCGTCGGGGCCGGGGGTGACGAGAGTGACAGCTCGCGCGCTGAAAGCCGCAGTGTGAGCGTCAAGCGCGGCGATCGAGAGGCCAGCGTCGCAAGCTCTGTTGCATCTACTTCGGATGCCGGGCTCATCTTTCGCGGGAATGTGGCGAGGGACGCTGCTGGCCGACAGAGGAGCAGAGCATCAGCAACCCAAAGTAAGAAGGATCAGCAGCAACGTGGCAGGAGTGAGTCTGTGGCTTCTTCTGTGCAGGATGACCGGGAGGCACAGCAGCAACGGCAGCAACCAACACGGCCGAAACAATCCCACCCTCCCAGTGACGTGCCAGGAGTGGGAGCCTCTACCCATACTCCACCAGCCATCAAACCCTCCGGCTCCTCCCATCACGGCTCTCCATCGCAGACACAACCACATAGTCCCGGCGTCCCCGAGGAAGAAGCGCTCGGCCCTGTAGCGTCGCCCCATTCCTCGCAATCACAACCCGGCTCAGGAAGGGACGACAACGAGCATGCCGACGGATATGACGACAACGACGACGACGATGAAGAAGATGAAGGCGAGATCTCGCTGCTCCGCGCTCGCGAACCGGGCGAGTATGACGAGGACGAAGACAGCGAAGGCGACGAAGATGACTATGTCAATGAAGACGGAGGGGATTACAATGGCGACGACGACGAGAATGTTGATAATAATGCCGGGGATGACGATGTTGAGGCCGCGTTCGAGGGGAAATACGGCGCTGCTGGGCAAGCTTACCAGTGAGTTGGCCAGGTCAGGACAGGCCTTGAAAGTTCGGGTGGGACGTGTGGTGCAAGCTATGACGCATAACTACTATCACCCATCCACAGATTGGGAGAGGTCTTTTTTCTCCCCCTGCTGGACTTGATCGGATCCATTGGGCGGGGTGGGTTCTATGAGCATTTGGCGCTATTTGGAACGGAACTGAGGGCCAGACGTACAGGATAAAAACCGGCGTTGGCGTTCAGATACAGGGATCGAGACATCCTACCTCACCTTCCCGGGACATATTCCTCCATCGACTGGAGCCAATTTCCGAAGAAGAGTGGGAGGTTCAAATCTAGGCCTTTTCATGAGAAAGAGAGATATCTAGCTTAAGCAGAAAATGAGCTTCTATTACCTATTCGGAATCCCCGTCACTAGGATCGTGTATATCTGAGTGATGTAATTCAAGCTTATTGGTAACTGGCGAATAATGCTTTCTATCCTTCCCTGCCAAAGTTGGATATAGTTTTCCCCTGAGCTAAGTCTATGAATTATATCCCCATAGGTTGCGGTTGCTTTTCTGGGAGTAAGCGCCAGCAAACCCTATCGACAAGCCTTGACTGCTGGAATGGTTGCTTGAGGACGTGATTCTGATCCGGCTGAGCATTCTTCGCGCTTTCTCTCCGAGTCTCCTGGGTGATGCCTGCATGTCGAGATAACCTTTATAATTGGCAGCCATGGTCTGGCTTGAATCTCGATGCCCTCTACATGGCCGCAAGTGGGACTTTAGGATATAGCGAAACAGGATGATGCTCTCCGAAGGACTCTCCATGGCTGGGGTTTCGGCTTCGCGTTGTAGTCGCTCGTCATCCATCTTGATGGGAGTCATATACGATCTTGTCGTCCCAATCGACTTCTTTCACCAGATCTGCTTCGAACAAGACACAAACTATGCTGTCACGCATATTTTCTACATATGCCTGTAAATATCGAATAGCCGACAACTCAATCCTCACCCGCTTAAGTTGTCCGTTGCTTTACAGTCCTGACTCGTCAGACGCTCATTCGTTTCAGTAATGCGTGCTTGATGTACACCCGCCGCAACCGTGGCGGCAATTATTGTTGTGATTCATAAGTCGTAGCTTCCACCATATCCTCAGGCTTATCGCGTCGGTATGTCTCCGTCAACGTCGTCCTCCCCTTCTTCCTCAATACTCTGCGAACTGAGCGACTTCTGATGTCTTGCACTCCTTCTCCTGAACTCGCCAGCACCGTCATTTGTGTTTTGGTCGCCCGAACCGGAGCTACCACCTGTGACGATATCCCTGAAGCTCATCCTACGATTTCGGTCTCTCAGACTAGGGGCTCGTGGTCGGTGTTCGCCGCGGGCCCGACCGCCCCAGATGGGGATCTCGTGCCATATGCGGCGGAAGATGTAATATAGGAGATCATACAGGAGGGCGAGGATCCAAGGTGCGATGTTAATAATGGCGAGGATTATCTGTAAGGGAAGCTCGGTGTCAGAAGGAGGCCAGATGGGCGGGAGGAGGAAACGGCAGGAAGTTCTCTACGCACGAAAGCCCGAATGATCCACGTCTCGTAGACGGTTAAGTGCGAGGGGAGGATGGAGTACCAGGCCATGGCTACGACCAGACGCGTGAGATACCAGAGCAGAGGCCCGTGGTAAGGTTCTGTGGAGGAGAGGTGAACTCTGGTTCTGTGTAGGCCTGGTGGTAGAAGGAAATTATTGTTGAGGTGCGTCACCACAAACACAAAATGACGGTAGTCGCGACCCTCCTCACCTGGAAGGAACGAACGACAGGTGAGGGAACTTGTAGCATCTGGTTCACTATACACGGAGCCCTCGACTTCGGCAGCTCTCATGTTACATTTTGCTGTTCCATTGGAGACCCAGAGATTGAATCGGATGGGTCAGGAGGAGGTGGCGCAGTAAGGAAACGAATTCCCACAATTCTACTTACATGTGCACATGCTTTGCAGCCTTGCACTTAACCTCCCTGAGTATGTCAGTCGGTTATCGATCAGCCCCGGGCTGCCCGATGATAAACAACGCACAGGATTATACGGGCAAACATCCCCCACTCTACAGGGGTCAAAACAGTGATTTCACTCAATAGGAGCCATTCATATAAGAAGCATTGTGAGAATTCTGATATTCATTGAAAGCTGAATCCTGGTCTACGAAAAAGTATCATTTAGTTAGAAAGCGCGCACTGACAAATCACCCTGTTTGACCTGATCTTCCCATTGCGAAATCAATTGAAGCCATTTGTTGGCTGGTCACCAAATCCCGGGTCTCTCCTTCGTCCATACGTACAATGCGACCGTGAAATCCGTCCTCTTCCTTTCTGGGAGGTGGTCATCCCACTTTCGTTTATTTTGGGGGTCGAGTCGAAATCATTTCCATGCAGAATTAAAGGAAAGCCGAGGCCCTTCGTTCCCGGTAGACCCGCAGTAAAGTAAACTTGGAAGTGAACGCCGGATTAATGATTCCTATCGCAATACAGGGCCCGTCCGGTCGACCAGCGGGCAAAACTAGACATGTGACAACGTCATCATCTTCATGTCATCGTAGCTCGTCAAGTCATGAGTCTACGTCTCTTGGCCGGGGTGACAGCCTCAGGGGTTTGTGGGTGGTTAGGATCACGCACCCGCTGGACTGGTGTCACTCCCTTGTAATGAGACGAGGTGTAGGGAGATGAAAAATGTTTGCGTTTACGACGAGGGGCCGGTGTCGAAAACGGCGAGCTGAAAAGCTCCATATCATGGAAAGATGGCGCATTGCTAAATGCAGCATAAGCTGGGTCAGCATTGCGTCGGAACGCTGTTACATTGTTGTTATTGAGATGCGCAAGTCCATTGTTCATATTCGTAAAGGAGGCTAGCGCATGATTAGGTGGCATGTAGATGGGTGACGTTGGCATGCTTTCATCGTCCGTCTCCTCGTCAAATTTGATCACATCATCCAAATTGATGACATCTTCACCGAGGTCGTCATCAGGGCGGAAATTTTCTTCAAGATCATCTGGGTCTAGAACATAATCCCCAAGCAAAATAGTGTTGGGTGGATAGAACGCTTCCAGTGGTCCAATGGGCAGTCCAAGGTTGGACGGATCGTTCACTGTAGAGTTTAGACTTGCCAACATGATGTCGGCAGCTGGACCAGCGACCAAGTCTGTACCTTGTTCACCTGCGTCACTCTCTTCAATGAGTTCGGCAAAGCCAATGTCCGGGCTGGAGCATTGAGACGCTCCGTAGCGGCGAGCGAACTCCTCTCCAAGCAAGTGAGGGTTCGTCATAAGAATGACTTTGCCTGAAGAATCTAGAATACCAGAAGGCTTCTCACCATCGTCGATGAAGATACCACGAGGAGGACCTCGACGGCGGGGAACCTTCTTGGAACTCTTCTTGGACCGAGGTGAGACGGAGGGAGACAATTCTTTGTCCGATTCGGCTTTGTTGGAGGGACTATGATGTGCTTGCTCAGGGAGGCAGTCGTCAGTCAGGTCAGCTGCACGTCGTTAGTCATCACGCATTTCCTACAAACCAAGAGGAACATACAATCATCCAACTCATCAGCTAACATTCGTTTGTCAACATGTGGCGAAAGGCCGCTGTCCGGAAGAGCCGAAGGTAAGAGAGCCCGAGTAATGGTAGGAGATTCTGACATGCCCAGGAACATGGAGCGGTCACCCTCCACGGCGAAGTGTACTCGCCGCTCTGTAATAGTCTCATTGCCGCTGTCACTACCTTGGGATGAAGCTAGGCGGTGCATACTGGCATCGCTATCATCACCAAAGCCATATGCAGACAAGCCATCAATTTGGTTGAGTAGATCGTCTGCCTCGCTGTTGTCTTCCTCGGACAACATGGCCAGCAGCTCTTGCTCTTCGAGCCCGTCATTGTCATAGTCGCCTTCTGAGTCGCTGATATCGTCAACAGCCTGATACACATCGTCATTATCCTCGTCCGAGTCAGCAAAAACTTTGGTTTCAAACCGCTTCCGGTTCTCCTCTGGTGAGAGCCGGGGGTCGTCGTCGTCATCCAGGTAGTTATCGAATTCACCAAACATGCTGTCCATGCTGCCAGCAATGGAGACGTTGTCCATGGGAAGAGGGTTAGATGGACGCCCCGCCTCATTCAAGCGGTGTGAACGAGACGGGGCCGGGACCGCTGGCAGGTCATCTTCATCATCTGCATCCTCTTCGCTGTCTTCGTCTGAGGCATCATCGGCGGTATCTGATCCATCAATTGAGGAGAGCTCCTCCTCCGTTGTACTGTCGGCCCTTTTTCGTTTGTTCTTCATCCGATTGGTGACGGCGTTTCTCTGGATTGGCTTTGATTTCTTGCTGTTCAGCTGTCGCTGGTAAGTGTCGCTGGTATTTTCCTTTGTCTTTGTAAATTTGGGATAGGAGCCCAGGGTGGGGGGCCGACCACGTGGGTTACGTGCATAGTTTCGAGACATTGTGGGCGAGTTTGTTCGGGAGATTCTGGGTACTGATATTGGAAGAGATATTAAGAGTGGTGAGGGTTTGTGGGTGGGTTGAGGGTACGAGTCGTCCGAAGCACCTGGGCCGCAGACGACAACCGAAGTGCTTTGATGGGGTTACTGGAGAGCAATTTCGAAGACCGATCTGTGGTGGGGGAAGCTCCTACGCGGTAGAGGCCTCGAAAGAGTAGATATATCTGAACGAGGATTTGCTTGCAGCTACTTTTAGAGAAGGGCACGAAAGACCCTCTGGCTTTACCACCAGAGGGTCTCCGAGCGATCTAGAAAGCAGCGGTGGCCATGAGCAAAATGTGATCCTCGAACGATATATGTAAAGAGAGTATAGAGATGCTCTGTATGGTGGTATGGGACTCGGTATGGGTTGATTGTTGTTGGTTGTGGAAGAAGAGAAGAAGAAGAGAGAAGAAAGGGAAAAAAGACCAATATAATATGACCGACTAGGAATAGGCGGAGGTGTAGTCAGACTGTGCCCAGTGCGAGTGCCAGTGGCAGGCGCAATCCATCCGATCTCATCCCCACTTGGTGGGTGCTACACCGCTCTTCCCGTTTTTGCCTACGAGTACCAAACACAGCGCCTGATACAAATCCACCAACTGCATCGACTCCTGTCTATTCGCTACGTTGACGATGGCCATTGGTCGTCAGTGTATTCTTACAGCACATACGTTTCATCGTGCAGATTGAGTCGGCTTGCTTGTCTGATCCGAAATCGACATTGATTTCAAAGTCGTCAACCGGCCCTCGTGCTTTCCCTTTTTTTTTCATTAAGGTTTCAGCCAGTCGAGATCACGTGCTGATCCCGGCGCCTCCCGCCAATCAGCGAGTCACCCAAGCAAAAGTGACTCAATAGCGGGAATAGCCTGACGCATGCCCCTCCATTGTTTTTTCCCCTGTTTTCAGTTGACACCTCCACCACGACCAGATGTACTGCAATCCATGATGTTATTCAACGGATTGCTCGACGGAGAAATAAATTACTTCTGCTCGAGGATTTCCTATTAAATGATTCACCTACAGTTGAAGGTGATCTGGAGAAGTCCCGTGGCAAATATCGTCTGATCATGCCCCTCATTTTGTTACGTCAATCATCAAGCCTGGTTTTGAAACTAACTGCCGCTACTAGAACTCTCCAAGGTCCAACTTGGAACCGAAGAGTACTCGTTTGAATGAATAAAATGAATTCGAATAAGAAATAGAAAGAGCAGAAAGAAAAAGAGGTCTCTGCCCCGATCCACCTTTCTGTCACCGGTCTGCCATTCTCCTTCAATCATCGACGCTTGTGCCATTTCCCTTGTCTTCATAAACGCTGAGGCCCGGTATCGATCACCATTTTCTTAGCCTTATTACCTTCGGCGCTCAGGGCACTGATGTTGGGGGTATGATCGCTGGATCCACTGACTTTCCTACTACTGAACTAGCGTCTGCTGCCGCGGCTTTTGCTGCTTCGACCTGCTTGATACCAGCCTGTACATCTTCCATTGATGCACCCTTCTCTGCCGTTGTTGTAGGTGTCTCGCCGGGGTGTTTGCTCTTGTACTCGTCGTCAAGCTTTTCGACTTCTTGCTCTGTAAGCTGCCGTTCCTTCTCCAGTCGCACCTCTTTGCCGCGTTTGTGACAGTACCAGAATACAAAAAGTAGCACTAACACGGGTCAACCCTTCTGATTAAAGTAAAAAATGGACCCATACTCACCGAATAGGGCCAGAGACCATAGTACGTTCATGCCCATGAATGCTGGGAACCGTGCACGGAGATACCCAATAATCGACCTCAGCATACCAGTAATAGCAGCCGGCTTCCCGACCAACTCTTTCAATGAAGGTGTTTTGAGACCCATTTTTGATGCTGCCGCTGCCGCTTTGCCCGCATTTTCCATATTGATGCCACTCTTTTGTGCTCTCTCAGATGCGGCTGCCATCATTTCCGGTGCAAAGCCTTTAGTCACGGTTTCGGGTAGCTTCTCAATCAGCTTCTGTAGGAAACTCGGGAGTGAGTTGAAGGTCTTCTGTAATTGCCGGTCACCATTGGTCAACAAGGACTCAAGATCATCATATGCGGTGGGAACACCGTTTATAAGATCTTTGAATACAAGGTTGAACTTCTGGAGTAACTCTTGGGTATCATCACTAATGGAAAATACCCGATTATTGACAGCTGCAAGGTTCAGTCGTTCTAAGACAATAGTCATGTCTTCCTCTTCACGTTTGGCTTCTTTGGTGTCATCGCTATCTTCAATTTCAGCCTTTCTGAGATTCGCGGCGATGTGGTCCAAGCCAGATGCAGCTTCCTCCCGTTGCTGAGCTCGAGCATCACGGCTGTCGCGTCGTAGCCAACTCCAGTTTCCTGCTGGCTTAGTTGCAGAAGATTCGGTAGTACTCGCCTCTGCAGCCGGTCCTGCGGCATGTTCTTCCGTAATCTCGTTAGGGGTCTCAGGTAGAGCTATGTTTTGCGCCCCATCCATTAACGCAACTTGAGCGTCATTGATCTCATGGGTGGCCACACCTGGTCTGGCCGGAAGTGGAGGCGGATTCTCCTGCGATATTATGTGATCCAAGAATTGCTCATCTTCTTCGGATAGAACTGGAGTGTCCGACTTGGACGCTGTCGCAAGGTGCGCCTTGGCCTTGATGAATTTAATATACTCCATGCTGATCGTCAGCCTAAGTAGGAGGGAAACAACAAGTTTTCAACTGCTTGCGAGGATAATTTCACCTATCGAATGTCGCTTAGAAGTCTTTTAGGAATGACTTTCTAGGATAATCAAGCGAAAGGGAACGAGTTTAGTTAAGATAATGAGCACATGTTCATGTTCATGTTTATGTTCATCGAGGAAACCCAGTTTGCATGCGCCACAATACGTCATGAGAAATCGGCACTGCCACTTGCCTTGCAGAGCCATTACCGAGGAAGTGTTCTCCTACCTTCAATCCTTTTTTCTCGCAACTCATAAGTCTAAAAGAAAATTTCCCTCCAAAGGATTTGTAGTAACGCTAAGGAATTCGGGGACCGCAAAAGCCAGGACCCTGGGAGGAAGTGAAAAAAAAGTGATCAGACTGGGGTTTGAACCCAGGACCTTCTCCGTGTTAAGGAGATGTGATAACCAGCTACACCATCCGACCTATCTTTGTGATTATTAGTAAACATTTGATATTTAAAATCTATATCCCTAATGTCTTTTTGAGTTGGCTTGTAAAGGTCTTTGTGCTCTCAACCTAGTTTTAATCTCTACTGCGTTCCCCTTCAACTTCAAGCAATCATTTTTTGGTTAGTGTTTTGCGATACTTAATAAGCGCCCGTATCTAATGTTAGAGGTTCCCAGATCACTCAAGATACCGTGACTGATAGTCAATTTACTTTACTTTTCTGAGAGTCTGCCAAGGAACCTCGGTCTCAGTAAAAATGAAATCTTACGAGGCCTACTCATCTTCAAGTATAGCAGAAACGAACTAACCCACCTTGGCACTTCCTTAAAGGCTGAGAGATAAATGCAATACTCTGAATCACCTTAATCAATTCTACTGGTGTGGGATTCACTATGTGCTGCTTGTACACGAGTAGTTGTGACTTTTTCACTCTTGGTCATGTCACCGCCCAACCGACAGTGAGCCCATTCACTGCCTCTGTTCCTCTGGCGCGACACTATACGTCTACGTACCTCTTCCTTCTAGATAGTTCAATTAATCAAACATTTTTCAATCTGACACTTTTTACTTACATCTAGGTGTTCCCTATCCTTAGTTCAGTGCCTCACTAGTCTTTAAGGTGCCTGATTGTTCCTCGAACCTTGATGGCTCGGCCTGCTTTAACTTGACTACATGAAACAGCAGAAAGCAGCCAGCCAGTCATGGACGACCTGGAGGGTCTTGGTGGTGTCTCAGAGAAAACGATGATCTCGATCAATCTTCAACTGACGTTGAGATCCAGGCCAATCGCCTAGAATAGGAGGCTCACGAGGAACAGGCAAGGGTTGCTCTCAAAGTACGGTCTTCAGCTTAGCCGTGCGCAGTGACGCTGCTAATGGTCGCCACTTTTAGAAAGTCTATGCTACTCCATCCGTTCTCCACTCTTGTCAGGTAGACCGCCGCAAAGCGACACATCGATTCTTTGGCAATCTTTTCTTACAGAACCCTGTTGAACACCTGTCATCGGAGCGGCTTCATGAGTATAGTCAGTTGCGTCATGCCATCAGCGGTCTGGAAGGTCGAACGCGTAACCGTAAGTCAAAGCCAGATCCATACCATCTGCAACTAATGTCTTTGCTGACAGCACGCCCATCCTCGTCCTTCGACTACGAATATGAGTTCAAAACATTTCAAGACGCAGAGACCAAACTCTGGCGTGATCGAGGAATCGAACGACCCAAGGAAGAGCTAGTACCTGCTTCTGGCGACATCACTGCTGCCTCACTAGCCCATCGGCTTCATAACCCATCGTTTACCACAACCAATGTGCGCAATGGCGTCACGGCTGACTCTTCCGACCCTTGCACAGCACTGGTCATTGCAAACGGCTTCGATGATACGAACATTATGGTACACCATGTGGTACGGCGAGAAGTCAAAGACCCCTTCACTTATTACCCAGAAGATATCCTTGCCTGCCATGAGCAGCACCTCTCCATCGTCCGCTCCCATATGATCGCGCCTGTAGAAGTGGTCTACGGTGTACCTACATGGAAGAGGACTCTGCAATATCTGCAAGGAAGAATACAGCCATTTGATGTCTTGGGCAGCTACAAAGGCATCAGACTGTTCCTGGATTGGGATTCAGCGGAGAAGACCGACTGTGCGAACGAAAGGCAATTGAAGCGGTTCCTCATTGCTGTTTTCCATCCACAGAATCTTTTAAGAGCGTGGTCGAATAGCTACAAGCCCGCCCAAGACACACTTTTGGAAGTGGCATACAACCTTGCTGAAGTACAATTCGTTCCTCAGTTCTTCGAGACCCATTTGTGGCAGAAACAAATTGACGTCCTGCCACATGCTCATTTCGCGGCGAACAAAATGCGGGAGCATGAAGCCAGGCTCGCGCTTATCGTATTGCACGGTCTTTTGCTTACGAGCGAGGATCCAGAGGTACGGAAGAAGTCGACACGACTGCACGCCCTTCTGACTTCGGACCTAACGCGACTGGTGAATGGTAGAGGCGACCAAGCCTCTTTAGAAGGTGCGTTTACTCCCCCGTCTCTATCACCATCTGCTTCTACGACTACGATATGGCCCCGCACGCTGAATTTTGCCTGGTCACATCTCTTAAGGGACGCCGGAGACTTTTGGCGACCTACCATCTGAAGTCGGTTGTCTGTGTGTCGCTTGCTGGGGAGCTACCGTGGTTGGTCCTGAGCGTTGTACAATTGCAAATCACCCAAAACCTCGTTGGACCAATACTATCCCTCCAAAGTACGTCGAGAGACGGCTGGCCTGTCAAAATTGTGGCACTCGAAGACCATTCATTCCAATTGATGAGAACATCCCGTCAATTTCTGATAGCGACCTGGGTGAATTCTACGAATCTGTTCGTGGTTTCAGTCAGAAGGTGCAACTGGAGAGGCTTCAGGAGCAACGCTCATCGTCAAGGTATCACCGTTGGCCTCAGCCTGCTGCCAAGACGGCCTTGAACGCAGTAAGGACGATTTCAAAGAAGGAAGAAATGCCCAGATGCTCAAGTCAGAACATGTTGAGGCCCGCCTGGACAAGGGTCCAGTACCGACCAAATATACTTTGTGTCACGAAAAAGGTCCTGTCAACTATCATCCTCAATGACTTGTTGGCTTTGATCTCTACCTTGCAAGAAGAACAGTCAAATGCATGTCGGCGACATGTATCGATGCGCATCGGCACTGGATACCAATGGACGAGGGGATTGAGTACATGACCCAGAAAACATTCGATGTCCACCTGAAGAAAGGAACCTTGAGCGGCAAGACACAGTGCGTTACATTGAGAATAAAACATCGACGAAATTAGATCGCTGTATGAGTGTTTGGTGGTGCAGCGAGGCGTCTGCGGGATGAAGCATTGGGGAAGGGGTTCCGATGAGATGAAATGAGATGAGATGAGTGGAGGTCCAATACGTAGAATCATCACAGATTGAACGAAACTACCTATTACAGAGTGTTGCAAGTTTCTACTTGTCTGGATTGCACCAAAATATGATGGGACGTGATCTCGAGAAACTTCGCAACTGTCGAAGCCGCCTCTTCCTCTCAGGTATGGGGAGGAATTCTAGATCGGACCCCTATACTTTCCTTAAGGCGATGTGGTGATAACGCTGCGGCAAAAGGTACCTATTGTTTCGAGGAGTTGGATGGGCCCCTTGTCAGTTTTGAAGCGAGACTCTTCCCCGTCCTCTGGTGATGGCTATATGGTGCATGAAAAAAAGGGTAGGTGGTGCTAGAGGATATTGGTATCAAGGGAAGAAACTCTCCCAAAGCAGCGGTGCCGGGCACCAAACTCGACGGCAACTTTCCCTGCAACTTGCTTTGAATAGCAATCCCCACTTCCGAATCCTTTCGCATCTGCAGGATTCAAACCTTCCAAGGTTTGATTGATTCCTCGAGGACGCCGCTGCAGAAAACAGGAATGAAATTCACTCGTGGAATATTGTACTTAGCCTGTCAGGAGGGACGTTGGAGATTACAGAAACCATCTCATCCTATTCTGTGGTATGATAACCTCGTGATTTGGAGTGGTTGCAACTATCATAGGAACAACATCGTGAAAACACGGAGGTAGAAAACTTTGCAAGTCCAAATCATCCTCTTACCAAGGCTGTCTCCCTGAATGGTTACTATTTTGTCGTCACTTCTTCACCTGTGGTTCTCTAGTATAGTCACCGCGGTGGCGGTTGACTTCACGTTTGTCACGTGAATCACTACCTGTACTGGCTGCTTGATCATATGTCTTTCCTGTCAACCCTATAACTCGACTCTTGACTTAGCGCTTACGCATGCTTCCCAAAGTAATGTGAAGTTGTGTCCAGTCAGCTACTGGTTCCAGACGCCGTTCGACGCATTCATAGAACCAACCGCAGAACATGAGGCTATCCTACCTCGATGCTGGCCAGTCCAGTCCCTTTGATGTCGATTTCGACACCTCGAGCCTTTTCGAATCTCCGCTCTTGACCAATCGCTTAGCAACCAATACCCCGCGTGTCTTCATTGTTCCCTTTCGTCCTAAGACTGCAGCCTTAATACTCAGACCAATCCCCAAGGTCGTCCCTCACAAGAGTCGACGGTCCCTGCCTTACTTTGGACACCAGCAACTTGATTTGGATTATTTCCCTGAACGTGAGTTCTCTCTGACAATATGAGTGTGAGTAACGAGAAAAGAAGGGGGGACGGCTAACAGGGACAGATATTGGGGCACCTGTCTGTGATTGTCCCCTTGGTGGCCCCATTGACGGCTGGGATGAGGATGGCGACAGCGAGGGTGTGGCCGATATCGAGTCTGAAGCAGAGGACGAGGCCGATTTCGAGGTAGGAGATGATTTCAGTATCTTTTGATCTCCCGTGAACTCATCCCGTGTTACCAGGGCGTGAAGGCCACAGCCAAAGCACCTCGCAAGCCTAAGACAACTGCGCGAAAACCTGATGGTCAGATCGCGAAAAAAATGAAGGTTGCTGGTGGTCGGCCAGCAGTGGCCAAGAAAGTGACTGCAGATCTCGATTCTGACGACGAGTTGATCGTTCGTATGAAGGAAGCACGCTACCTTGAGAAAGACATTGCGCAAGCCCTGATCGACCAAGGACGTACAGCTTATAATCCAAAGACTATCGGGACACGCTGGAGACGTCTGAAGGCGGCTCTGCAGAAGAGACAGGATGCTTTGCTTGATGCAGACTTGACTGACTGGCATGATGGTGATGTAAGTGATACTTCCTGTCCCTGGAGCATACCGTCCTACTGACTCAAGAAAGGATGATGTCTTGGTTAGAGCTATTGCCAAATCCGAGAAGGAGATAAGACGCTTGAGAGAAGATATTGAATCACGCAAATGGCGGATGGTGGCTGACGCAATGAAAAATGAAAAGGTCTGCGGCCTGATGAAACTGCGGCATCAGCCAAGTGACTGACATGAATGCTTCTAGCCCGTCCTCAATTTCTCCCAAAATGCCTGCCGCAAACGATTCGAAGAGTTGCTGGATGGGACTGCGAAACCAACCCCAGAGTCAATCGTGAACCCCACAGCTGAAGTGCTTGAGCGCATTGAGTCACGAAAGGCCAAGCAACGCAACCTTGACGAGCAGAGCCCCCAAGCAAATATCGAGCAGCGAAACGTCGAAGCCAATGGATGGACATCTCGGCAGAGAATTTACTTCTAAGCGAGACCAGAGAGTATGTTGCTGTGATCCACACACTGCAGAAGCCATGGGTTGGCTTGGAATCCTTGCTGCATCGATGGAACTTTTGTGTGCCCATGCTAGATGTGGATGGGCGGCGTAGACTGGTGAACCAAGCAGGGGGGGCAGTTTTGGGTATGGGCTACTAAAGGATTCTTATCGAAGGCGACGACACGGCGACACGTCTCATTTATTGCCTGGTTTGAATACAGCGGCAGAGCCATTGCTCATGTCTCCGACCAATGACATCGGTTGGATAGACAGAGATGATCAAATGTGGCAAGTGAGGGATCCTGGAGATATCACCAGAATAGGTAGCTGGCATGACGACCATCATCTGGTCGAGTTTTGTCAACAGGCACATTCCAGGCGCGTCACTTTGTCAAAAAACGCGTCCGCCCTCGTGACGCGGTCAGGTGATCAATTAGTTTCCCAATCCATCTCGACCTGCATTGTTCCTTTTCCTCCATCTCCATTGCTCCGTCCATCCCCGACAGTGCAGCGAGCCCCAACGACTAAGATCGTACCGGATATGCAGCAGTGCCTAGAGGATCCAGAGAGACCTGAGGAGCCTAGTCTTCGTCCAAAGATGTGATTCGGTGACTCAGCCTCTCTCCTGTTGTTGCCTTTTGCCAAGTCGCCCTAGCCGCCTGCGACTCTATATCAGGGTCGTTTCACTTCTTTGGACCTCTTCCCTTTTCTTTCCTCACGCTCGAGCAGGCAGAATAAACCGCGGCGTCCGGCCATCTTTGTAACTTTTTGCAAAGACCCGTACTCCGTCGAGTCTTTCCGCGTGGTCTTCCTTGTGTTGGCATCATCTGCTCCGGATGAGGCTGACGATCAGGGGAGTCATTCAGAAGACTTCGCAGCTCCCATATCACATGGTTACTTTTGTGTGAATACTATCGCGTCATACTCCCGGAAAACCTATCACGCTCTCTACTACTTACATAGGTTCTTCTACCGATCGCTCCTTTCCTCTTCCTCCACTCGTTCGTTGATTTTGGCACTCGACAATACTTAATGCGCTCTTTGGACAAGATGTTCAAGCGATCTTTCAATACCAGGGAAGGTCGCATCGTCAAGTCAAAGAACACCAAGACTACATATCCCGAACATGTGAAGAGAAAGTTGCAGGACAGCGTGGACGAAGCGCCAGTGGCTAGGTAGGCTCCCATCACATGAACCACTCCTTGAGTTCGTGTCGCATGCTGATCGCATTCCGTAGCACGCTGACGAGTCCCATTGTGACATTGGTTGTCGGCACTGAGCAGCGTCTTTTCGCCGCTCACGAAGATATCCTCTGTCATTCACCCTACTTCGCTGCTGCACTGAAAGGCAAGTTCCTCGACGACAGCGCGAAGAGGGTTGAACTGCCCGATGAAGAACCCGAAATCTTATCTTGCGTGCTCGAATTCCTGTACAAGGGTGACTATTATCCTCGCTTGTTGCACAACAAGCGCCGAAACACTTGGGATCTAGAGGACCAGGATCTAAAACTCGGTGGCCGCGGTAGCAGTGCTTCTACAATCTTCCTCTCTGGAGCTGGCGGTGAAGTCCTTCGGGACACCATCGTTTACTGCGCTGCTGAGAAGTACGGCCTGGACGAACTGAAGCGCTTGGCTCTCCGGAAACAAGGACTCCAGTCCGGTGTCCAAGTTGACGTGATCTTGCGATCAGCTCGGTACGCGTACGAAAACACTCCCGACACGGAATCACGTCTCCGCGCTCATTACCTGGCTCTGATCATTCGAAGTCGCAAGACTTTCAAGAGGAGCGGAACCATGCAGATGGAAATGGAGAATGGGGGCAAATTGTTTTTCGACCTTTTTGTGGCCATGTGCAATCATATCGACGACATTGTCGAGATCAGGTAAGGACACAAAATACTTCTTTGCGAGGTTCTTGACTTTGCTTGTTGCAGCATCCTTCCATGACAAGAGCTTACAGTCTTACCCTTGTACAGCAACAGCCGCTCTCCCAAGGTCATCTGAACGGTTGTATTATCCACAAATTGGTTCGACAGTCTGGAGCCTAGTTAGTTGAGGTAGGAAGCAGTATATTTACCAGGAAGAAACGTTGGAAACACCTAACAGCGAGTCTTGTCTCTGGACTCGTCGTATCAACTGCTTGGATAGCAGCCACACACAACAACTCCACTTTCGAAACTCGAGGTCGGCCGACAAACCACTTGCTGGTTTATTGAAAACTCCTACTCATCTTCTGATTGGCCTCCTTATTTGGCGCAATTCGGCTTTCCGCTCTTTTCGTTGACGATTTTTTCTCTCTGGGAGGGAAGAATTGGAGAAACCAATGAAAAACACATAGTGTGCGACTACCACTCGCAGCTCATTTGTACTAGTTGATTTATCTCGACTTTTTGTTGATCGGCAATCTATCTGCCCATATGGCCTCCCCGCTACTGTTTTCTTCGACTTGATCCAGGGGATTGGGAAAGAGAGACCAACCTTTTGCTTGGTGTGATTCAGAAATAGGAAATTGAGAGATTCGGCCACCTCACCTTGTTTTTTCCCCGATTTATATGATTTTCTTTCTTCCTTTGCACATCACTCATTCTTCGCTCTTGGATTCAATGTGAGGTTCTTGTGATAATATCACATGCAAGTCTAGCTAACGAACAGGAGAACGAATATCACCTTGCTTAACCCGGGAGGGACCCTTTTTCTGATCTTCATGCAGGCTAATGCAATCGCCGCACCGTTGCAGGTTGTCTGTCTTATCTCAATTTCAATTCATCATCTAGATTACGCTCTGTTAGAGAACTGGATTTGACCACGACACCTACGTGTGGTCATTGGTTTTCATTTCAATTGTTCTATAGGCTACGCCACCAGCTTGGCTCACTCTTAGCTTATTCTCAATTTCCTCTCATCATCTAGATCACATCTCCTAAGCAACCCTAGCTGACGATATCTAAACGGCGGTCTTGTGTTATTCATTTCTCTAACCCCACGGTGCTAGCTTGATTTCTCTTCGCAACGCGGCAATTTACGTCACCGAGAAAGCATGGCAGGACGACAAGGACAACATAGCAACTGGAGAGCGGACGAGCAACTTAGGCGATTCGAGAATGACTTGTTCTTCCCCAGCGTGACACCCGAAGCGGTGATTATCAACGAAGAAGACGACAACGAGTCGGCGCTCGAGATCCCGCCTCGCTATGATCGCACCGCCAGCAAGAAGCGTAAAGGGACCACGCTCCTGCCGCCACTGCCTCGCACACCGCAAACGCCACGTACGCCAACAATACGAATAATGTCACCACCGCAGGAGAAGCCAAGCGCCGGTAGCGAGACCAACAAAGCGCGAGTGAAAACGGAAGAAGAGCTGAACGCACTCAAAGCCCTTGGCCTGCGGCCCGCGGAAGAGCGCGTCAAGATCTTTGTTGGCAAGACGAATCAAGAGCTCAAAGTGGCGATTGAAACGCTTGGCAAGTCGCCCGTGCTCAAGTCGCTCCGGCGCCAGGACGTGGTGGGCGAGGAGTCCTACGTGATGCACCCACTGCTTACGCACGTTGACGTCCGGCATTTCCAGGCGGTAAGGCACTTCTTGATCATGGACGAATATGATCCGTTTATCATTAGTAATCCTGGTGGACCGGATGTTTTGCCCAAGAGGTTGGATGGGTTGAGGGTGGCAGAGGAGTATCGCAAGGAGGCGATCCGGGCGTGTCATCTCTATGTGATTGCGAAGCAGTTGGGGATGGGCGGGTTGGAGGAGCTGGTGTTGAGGAAAATCACTGAGGCGCAGTTTTTCCCGTATGGGATTAAGTGCTTGTTGGAAATGGCGATGATTGTCTTCTCAAGGGTGGGTGTTTCGATGCCGACCAAGTTGAAGGGGGAACGAACTCTCAGTACCAGTCATTCAGTCTCGAGTGATGCAGGAAATGGTTTTGGCAATCATCAGAATGACGACGACCAGCTGGAAGCCTGGCTGATCGGAAATCTGACCACAAGGCTCCAAGCTGTGCTTCTCAATCACGCTCAGCTGTTCTTTCGGGTTGCGGATGTTGCCGCGTGCAAGAAAAGGGGATTCGCCGTGAAGATCTTCCAGGGCAAGGTCGAGGAATGGGAGCGTGATGGGCCGGATGTGGTTGCCATCGAGGATGATGAATGAGCGAGCAATGGCGGCGTCGTGGTGATTTCTCAGGTTTGGGCTGCTTTGATGGCGTGCGAGGCTGCGGGCATTTTGATGGGTTTATAGGACAAGGAGGCACCATCATTGAATGCGAGGCTGGCAGTTTGTTGGGGCTTTACATGCTCTATCATTTCAAGCGTACCTCGCAGTTTTACTTACCTGGGTAATACATTACACATGTATACCATCCCTGAGCTGCGAAAGCATGGTGGCGTACGATAATGATTCCTTTTTCGGCACACTTCAGGTGGTTGCTTGATTGATCGTGTTGGTGACAACCGACAAATGGCTGGGTTAGGACGATGTACTAGCATTGGTTAGCACCCACTATTAGTAGAAGTTAGAATTCGTCGGCCTCGGTCAATGGGTTTCGGTTGCCTCGCCTATGTCGCTTTGTTTCTGAGATCGAAACTCACCCCACTTACTCTACCCACGCTCAGTGCTCGGTGCTCGGTCTCCGCACCCCGTAACTGATTCAATTGCCTAGGCAAGTCGAAGTGAGATAAGCTGCCTATGGTGTTGCCTGCTGACTCTTGATATGGAGGGGGTGGGTATTGGCTTCCCCTCACTATTAGGTACTGACTAAATCAAGGCCCGGTGTGGGACCTTGGCGCCAAGGCTGCTGATTAGGTAGATTTGGGTAGATAGGCGAGTCTTCCCACTCTCCATCACTTCGACAATACCATACTATTTAATACCCACCAATCTATCATTGCACAACCTCTCTATTCACTTACCCGGAGTCAACACCACAGTCCTACCCCGCAATCGTAATGTGATCTGATTGTCCATCGCCTGCAGATTTCCGACATCCGGTTTCCAAAATTGCCAGGCAAGGACTATTAGGATGCCAGGGTTTATAAGCCAGTCAAAAGCACCATCCGTGCTCTATACTACTAGTATATATTATGCACACACTCGGTCAGACCATACCAAACATCGATCTCCCAACCCTGGCAGTGACACCGAAAGAAAAAGACGAGTAACCCTTGTGCATTGACACCCCCAGCTCTCGCCAATCATCTGGTTTCGGCTGATTCCCATTCTGTCCGCACCAGCGAGGTTCGTGGACAGTGTCGAACTTTCTGACTCGCCCACTTCCACTGCCACGGCCTATGATGGTGGCATCAATGCTGTTGTAAACGGGTATTGCATGCGACTCGGCAATCGTGTGAGTCCTTGCAGTATTGTACCTGTTATGACAGCTACTGATACCCCTCCTGCCTCTTTGCTGTTACCCCATGTCTGTAGGTGCAGGTCCGCGGTACTCGCTCAAGTAATTCTTCGTATGGCAAGTGCGGCTGCCATTCCTCCTGCGCTTACTATTTAGATCTACTCTTCCCCGTTCCTTTTCCCCCAGTGCTTACCTGTTCCGCGCCTTGTTGCTGTGTCTTACGCACCCTCTTCTCACTCTCAAATACTATGTACCTGCGTACATAGATATATATCAATTTTTTGGAGTGAATACTTCCAGCCGCCATCATGTCTGATCCCTCTCCTTCCTTTGACATCCCCAAGGAAGGCTGGGGTGCTGTCGTGGTATGTAGGGAATCTCGAGTCGTTCAAATTCCAAAGGCTCACATGCAGCGAAGAAAAATGAAGGACCCGACTTCTACGTTGAGGTTGAGAAAGTCCCCGTACCAGAAGTTGGTGAGTGGTTTTCTCCTCAGTCTGCTCCATTACGCGCAGGAGGTCTAACGAACGGATCCGCAGGTCCCGAAGATGTTCTGATCAAGCTCAATGCCACTGGCCTATGCTTGAGCGATATCCATTTCATGCTCAACGATTGGGGCACGGCTAAGATGTCAGATCTGGGAGTCAAGTGTGCCGGTCACGAAGGCGCAGGCGTCATCGTCAAGGTCGGCGAAAGAGTCAAGAGTTACAAAGTCGGACAACGTGCGGGCATCAAACCTATCCTTGACGTTTGCCATACCTGCGAGAACTGCAGAACGGGCAAGGAGACCTACTGTCTCGGAGCTATCTACACCGGTGGCCATACCGATGGTATGTCACGTGAGGGTTGGAAAGGCACATGGCTAACGACATGGAAGGCTCGTATAAGCAATACATTATCAGTCCGGAACGCTACACGACAGTCAGTTAAACCCTCTGAATTCTCACAGACACTATGGAGTACTGACATTCACCTTTCGCAGATCATCCCCGATGTAAGCGTGGACAGATTATAGTCCTCCGGAGGTCAATACCATGTACTGATAGGACATTAGGGCGTCTCTGACTATATCGCCGGTCCGGTCATGTGTTCTGCCTCCACCACCTACAGTGCCCTCAAGAGCTCACAGTTAAAACCCGGTGATTGGGCGGTCTTCCCTGGAGGTGGTGGTGGTGTCGGCATTCAAGGTGTGCAGCTTGCCGTTGCCATGGGTATGCGCCCAATTGTGGTAGACACTGGCGATGAGAGGCGAGAACTTGCCAAGAAACATGGTGCTGAACACTTTGTCGACTTCAAGGAGGAATCAGATCCTGTCAAGAAGGTTGTTGAGCTGACTGAAGGTGGTGCACATGGTGTTTTTGTTACAGGTGAGCTTGCACGCACATCTCCCTTGCAAGAGGTCCTTTTGGCTAACAACGGATCAGCCGTCCAGTCGTATCCGATTGCTCTAGGCTACCTGGGACATCGAGCTCAGGGAAAAGTCATGTGGTAGGCAAGAAATGGACCCTTCAGCTGTCGTGTGCTGACTAAGACGCAGCATCGGTATTCCTCCCGCCGGCAAATTCAATATTGACCTGGCTCCTGCCTCATTGATCTTCCGGGGCCAGTCAATCCAAGGTACACTGGTTAGCACCCTTGGAGAGATTGACCAGACATTGGAATATGCCCGAAGAGGTATGAGGTCTCGGAAAACCAAACAGTTCCCATGATTGACAAGATTCTAGGCAAACTTACACTGGAGCCTACGGTTGTTGGCCTAAGTAAGTTCAACGAATCGGTCCAGAAACTGAAAAACGGACAAGTCGCGGGGTAAGTCCGGCCAACCAGCCTGCCAGCCTGGTGGTTGATTTCTAACTCGTGTGCAGACGCATCGTGGTTGATTTCAACATACCTTAAGACCAAGAGAGAAATGTTGGTGATGGAACACACGTCCGATTCGCACAGCTCACCCCCGGCAGAAAGACGTCATTCTATGTTCTTTAGCGAGAAAGTTGCCATCGATGTTCCAAAGAATTCTTGCCTTGACGGCCTATTGCGTCCCGGTGGGCTACCAAAATAGATTCGTTTGAATTGTTTCAGATGGGTCCTGGCATACCGCTTAGTCCAAGCTTGGTCTTAGGCTTAACCATCCAGTAAAGAGAATCAAGATGCCCAAAAGGCAGAACATGCTTGTATCCTGCCTTCCGCCTTGTACATGTACTCGCTCCCTGGCGTGTACATCAACTATGCGTCGAGAGACATTCATTGGCCGGCCTTGGGGAACCGGCGGGGCGGCTCAAAATAGATAGCCAATGACGGCCACCGCTAGGCGCTGAGTCTGTTTGAGCTTCCATCAACCACGTCCCCCATTCCCTTCCCACTTCCAACCTCTTCTCCCATTTCTTTCACCACCGCTGTGTCTCTATCCCTCATTCATCTCGGTATCTTCCCTGTCATTGGCGCCTCCAATGTGACGAATCTCAATGACTTGCATTCTCTACTATCTTGAGCTGGTAAACGCTCGCCAAGGCAATAATGCTCCTTACCACCGATCATTGGATGCTCCCCTCAGGAACAAAGGTTGAGTACCCTAGACCCTTTCCCTCACCGGTCCCAGGTCCCCAGCTCGACATCATGTCCTCTTCTCCAGCCATGCGTCCTGGTTGACCTTCTGCATTTCTTCTCTATCGTGTGTATCTGCTGGCCATACACGACGTCGTTGTTTTTGCGTTGCTCTTTACCCCTCCCTTTCTCTACCCTTTCCTCAACCTACAATCCCGTCAGTTTGTTCGTCCCTTTTCTCGCAGCTGGTCTGCATTCCCCTTCATTCCTCTAATCATTCCTAATCCGTCGCTCCCTCGCCCGACCATCTCGAGATGGCCGCCTCTTCGGTCCAGGGATTCTCCCTCTTCCCGACCACTGTTCCCAAGATTCAAGTGCCAAATCCTCACAAGAGAACACCGAGTCTCCACAGAGTCAGTGTAATGCAATCGCCACAAGCTAGCGTGTCACCAAGTGGCGAGTCAATAGTCATTAAAATGGAGGAACAGCCCCCGATGCCTCAATTTCCTACCCACCTTCAGGAAGTTCGCCGAGATTCGACCCCTTCGCCTGAAGATATTGGGCGGGCGGTGACCACTACGTCTCCCATTGATGGGAAGACACCTGCCCAACCGGTTATACAATCGTCTTCAGCAGCTTCATCAGGAGCAGCAGTTACGTACACCCCTTCAAATTATCATCCGTCAGCCTTTTCACCGCCGCTTTCCTCATCTTTAGAGGTTGGATCTGAAACGACTTTGGTGCAAAGCGTATCAAATGGTAAATCCCCAGCAAAAGACCCATCTCCAATCGTGCCGATTCGATCCATGTTCCCAACCTACGACCCGTCAGTCCCGCTCAAGCAACAGAACTATGTCCCTCAGAGACCAATACCTGCCTACTTGACTGGCAATCTTTCGTTCGGACCTGTTGCCAGGGAAGAGTATCGAAGTAGTCTTTCAACACCGTTTGTTACGCCTGGTCTGAGGAGTGGGCCTCCAAGTGTTGTCAACTTCCCGACCGATGCTGTGAGCGTGAATGGGATATCTATGATATCTACCCATCGCGAGTTGGAAAAGCTGTGGCAGGCCTCTCATGGTACAGAGCCCGACAGCAGGCTCAGGACATTTAATCTGGAAATGGCTCGGTAAGTCGGCCTGAACTAGAATTGCTTTTTATTGGTCGAATTTGCAATCCTAATGCTTTTCAGAATCGATGAAGCTACATTTGTCTTCGGTGCTCATCCATCATTGCCATTTTATACCCTTCAGACATACGATACTAACGAGATCGCCGTCTCGAAAACGTCACCTCGCAAAGCCTCCTCAACTCACGACATTGTTCTATGTCCCATAGAGCCTGCATCACGTCGGCTCCCGCCGAACGACGGTCTTGTGGCATTTATCTTTCCGAAGCTCGCTGCGATGCTCGCGATAAATCAATCCGCTGCCTTGGCAAAGGAGCATAACCTAGCCCCAACTGACCGAGACGATATTGAGGCCCAAGCTGTCCGCAGGGCTGCGAGACAGGAAGCCTGCAATCTACGATTCAACACCCGGACAGGGAATTACGAGCTGGAACATCCTGCCATTGGCCGTGGTTCGATGGCAGAAGACTTCGCGTTGAAATCTCCTGTTCCAGCCTCCCCAACCACCATCCGATCCATGACGGGCAAGCCGGTCCTACTTATCACCGTCAACACGGATGGTCCTCTACCGTGTATCTCTGTGACGGATCCTAATGCGTCAAGCCGCACTGGTGGAATTATAACCCCGCAGGCATCAGCCGGTGCAGGAATTCGTCGCTTGTCGACTATTCCCCAAACAGATACCTCGACGGATAGCTCAGTACTCGCCTCACTCGACCTGACGACCGAAATCCTCCACCTGGATGCCAATGCAATACTAGAATTAATGCCTTCGCTATTTAGTATCGACTGCATCGTCTCCGCCATCCTTGCCATAGCGATCGGAGATGCGAAAACCAACCTTACCCTAGGTGGTATGGAGATCTGGAAACCACGACCCGCACCACCCAGCAGATTAGGCAATACCGCAGGCCCTCCATCCGTCTACCATGCTGCTCTCGGCTCACGGTCAGGCTTAGGCAACCGGCCTGGCAGTGTGAGAAGCTACTCAGGAAGCGTATTCTACGCCACAATCGCCGAGCGTCAAGAAGCCGAGGAAGAAGCCAAGTTAATGCGCCAGAACCACGAACGTGACGTTCGCGGCGCCGGATGTTCCCAGGGCAGCAAAGGCAAGGCCCGAACGTGGTTCGGACGCTTCAAACAACCTCTCGACTCAGACGTTGAGGAAGGTGGGACAACAAGTCCAGAAGATTTCGAAAAGTCTATCACAGCTGATACGTCGGAGTCGGCGCGTGACAACAAAGCGAAGAAGAAGAACAAAAACAAGAAGCCCAAAAAACCCAAGAAAGTCGTAGTGTCCGAGTTCGACCTGGAGAAGCTCGGCCACTATCAGTCCGGTGAGCGCAAAGGCCAGGAGTTGCCGGCCGTGACGAGATCGGCGCTCGGGGGGCTGGTCATGGCTCTGAGGCTGTTCGTGTGGTTCCTCACAAAGCTCGTGCATTTTATTGCCTGGTTGTTGGTCAATGTGTCAAGGGCCGTCACAAGTGAGAAGTTTTGATGTGGGTTTGATTTGCCTTTGGGCGTTTTACTTTCTTTCTTGCAATGGTTTGAATGTGTGGGATGTGGGAAGAGCTAATAGAGTCCTATCCCATCGCCGGATTGCCTCATACCTTGCTCCTTAACAACCCTTCCTTCTAATCTCCCCACCTTTGGAGTCTGGCCCAGCGAGACTGTAGCAAGAGGTAGAATGTCGGAATGGTTTTCCCTTCATCATTCTAGCTTACCGCTTATCTCATTCATGCCCGCTACCTCACCATTTATCAACTTAGTTGGCTCTGGTATGCACACAGGCAAGCTAGGCACGCATTTTACCACGGCGTCAACAGAGCCGACAATCGGAGGGTGGGGACTCGGGGATGTTTCCCTTACTGTTTCGAGAGGTGCATTTCTGTATGGGATTCCAAGACGCACACACATCTTTGGAAAAAAACAACACTCATAAATGGAAAGGAGAGGACAGCGACCAATGCGTGTCTCAATTTCAGAGTATGGGCTCACCCAGTGCCACCGCGCGGATTTATACATGGATGTGGAGTTGCATTTTACTTTTTCTCCCAGAAGCTCTTGCTTGGCATGTCGATGCTGCTGTCGCGGATCTAATGCGCTGGAAGACAACAACTACTCAAGAGGAAGAGGGAAGGGGTTGGCTCTTTGGTAACATTTTATAGGGTTGAATGGGATTTTGGTGATAATGGGTGGGTGGATTGGATTGAACTGCAAGAGAAGTAGTGTCTGTGGCGTTTTATAGGTGACATCTGCTTATGGGACGTAAAGAGAGACAAGGCGATGAGCGAGGACGAAAGCATCGACTGTCGCTGGCATGGACATCAGCATGGAAAGGAAAAGGATGAGGTGGATGCTCAGTACATAACGGATACAGATATTCTCCCGCTGGAACTCGGTGGAAGAGCCTGCAGTGCCTCGCGTAATACCGTCTCTTGTTGGGAAGGCAAATGCATGCCCACCCCGTTTTTTCTACTTCACACACACATTCATCTTCAAGGGACAAAGACCTCCTCTTTCCTGACCGTTACTGTTTGATCGATTACGCTGTCTAAGGGGTCGGACTCGCGCCTGAAACTCCCACGGCGTCGGCAAAGTCAATATCCATGTCAATCTTCGTGGTGGAGTCGATCCTATCTTATAGACCAGCTTAACTACCAGGCTAGGTATTGTAGAAAGCACTCTTTTGGGGGCGGATAGGAAATACTTTCTTCCTTGGACGGATGCCTTTCGTATCGGTCGATGCTTTCTCTGGTCTCGCAAAACCCCCCATACAAAGTTCGTGACATCAATCATCCATCCATGGCGACGTTCGTTCCCGTCGCGCTGCCTCACGATCAAGATCATTCATGCCTTGAGCTCACGATGCTCGACCTCGAGGGTCTTCTCCTCTCCAGTCACACCGGCTTCTTCTTCTTGCATTTTCACGTTTTGGATGACTTGCTCTCTTGCCCTCTCAGTCGAAACGCATTGGTATTTTGCGAACTGGCGGGTTGGAACTCGCTCCTGGAATAATTCGTCGATCTCCTCCAGTGTGCGGTTCCGCATCTCCGGGAGGAAGAAGTAGAGGAAGACTATATCGTGAGGAGACAGGTGAGGTTAGTGATCTGTTTTGCGTTCTGAAGGGATGAGGTCTAAGAGTGGTATAATTTTTGGTTCGTGACAGACTTACTGAAGGTAACGGCATTAGATCCTGCCCATACGTAGCCGATCTTTGCGCCCCAGTTCAACTCGGTTCTGTTGATAAAGTACGGCATCGTGAAGGCGGTTAACCCTGCAAAAAGATGTCAGTCATAGTTTACGAGCCGTGAAGAGGACAAAGGTGAGCTAGGTGGAGATAGGAGGTCGAAGCCATACGAAAGGAGGTACTGACACGCGAACACCATGTTGATAGCTGTAGCTGTTCCGACAGAAATGACTCTCAGTCTTGAGCTCACCACCTCATTTGCGACGGGATAGCTTTGAGCGCCTGAGAAACCATTGTAGAAGAAGTGGTAGCAGAGCGCACAACCTACGATCGCTTTACCGGCGGCTTTGGTTCCTGGAGCAACCGATTGTGCAATGCCCATGCCGGCCATGAATACAGCCGAAGTCGAATGGCCAATAAGCATCATAGATCGTCTCCCTAGTTTCTTGTATGACAGGTAGATGCCGATCGCGACACCGACGAGACCCATAAAAGATTTCAGGATGGTCGCTACGAATGGGTTCTCAACGCCAGCCATTTGGAAGAAGAAAGTCTGCGGGTAGATGATCAGCTTCGGGGACTTCGAGGAAATAGGTTGGGCTTTCCGAAACATACCCCATATGCAACGATGAGTGAAATACCAGAGGATGAATGCGACAAGACCACAGCCCAGCAAAGAAATGTTCTCCGTCGATCGCTACCTTTGAACATATCGAGGAAGGATGAGGCAGTGGCCAACTCTCTCTCTCGCTCAATGCCGCTCTTCATTTCGAGGAATTCCTCCTCCAGCAGTGCCGGGTTCTCTCTGAAAGAAGATCCTCGTAGAATCGTGAGAGCACGGTGAGCTTCTTCTGATCTTCCATGGACCAGCAACCATCTCGGAGACTCGGGGATGAAGAACATCAGAATACTCAAGGCGGTAGGGATGGCGAAGAGGCTCGCTAATGGAATTTGGTAGCAGAGCTTGCTGTCGTATGATTTGGAAAATTGGTTAGCTACGGCTCCCATCATGCTCCCTGTAGTTTATGTTCAGTATTGGGTAAAGGACAGTCACTTGAATGACATACCAATGCTGACCCAGATTCCAAAGAAAGACACAATGCCACCACGAAGGTGGGAAGGGCTAACTTCGGCGGTGTAAATGTTGGCAAAGGTAATAAAGAAGCCATTCGATGCACCAATCAGCAGACGACCAAAGTAGAGTCCAATAAGATTCTCAGTGCCAACTTGAAGGCCTGCTGCCACGAAGGATACAAGCGAGGCGGCCCAAATTGCAGGTTTTCGTCCATAGTAACGAGCAAAGAAGTGAGTCAACAGTACCCCAATGATGGTGCCGATTTGGAGGAAGGAACTGATGAGCTGCTGTGGAACCGTTTCGATATTCCATCCAATTTTGGCCTTGGGATCTTCGTATCCGTAGACTTTAAGGAAGCCCACCATGGCCTGAGATATGATCATTAGTTGTCACAACCAACTGTTTAGCAGAGGACTTGGTAGTCTTCGACATCCAGCCGACTCACCTGAAAGCCAGCAACTGTTGCCGTGTCGTAGCCATACTGACAATTAGCCAGGGACATGGCGAAGCAGATGAGAATGCATTTCCAGTTGGTTTTGAGGGCTGTTTCTCTCGCCCTTCTCGAGCCTGTGGACACCGTGGCCATTGGAAATCTCGTCGGGTGTTGAACAGATTCCAAAGGTCGTTAAGTCTCGTTGCTATGAAGGACCCTTTGATTGCGCGGAACCGTGAGCCTGAGAGTGTGGAAGTACTTCCAGAGAAAAGGACATTGCAATTGCAATTTAGGTCGCAGGCCACACCGCTCGGCCTCGCATCTCCTATCCACATCTCCTCAGAGCCAAGGAGCCCCATTGTGGAGGGATTCCGGGGTATGGAGTAATATGAAGCATTTTATCAACAAAGATTCTTGCCAAGCAAGCCCCGCCACCGGCAAGATGATACTTGATGTCCAAGATGTACAAGCTTACTGCAGATCGCCTTGTTCGAAGCCCCTTAGTTCTTGAAAATGTCAAACCGAACCCAAAGGATCCAGGGGCCAAGCATTGGCTTGGGGAAGCCATCTCCAAAAACATAATGCGTCGGGGTATCGTCGAGTTGATGGCACTATTTCCTCACGCCTACCAGGTTGAGTAAGTTGGCTGGAAATGTAACCGCTCAAAATTGAGTGGTGATTGGATACCTTAGCTTATAGACCATCGTTTAGACAGTAGCGGGTATATTGTCATACCCGCTGGCCGTGCCATAGCCGTGCCAAGGCAACTGGATAGACGACATTCTTCACAATTTCCGGGTCATACCCAACGCATCCTCTGTACAAAGTACCGAGCACCGAATAGCAGGAGAGCATTGATTCCGGGGGCCCCACGATATGGACTGTACAGAGATCTCGCTTTCTGGATCTCAAGACAGCCCCTCTTCGGTACCTTCACAAAAGATCGTTTCATCGGTCCTTTCGCCGAATAACCTATCGTCAGCAGCAACGCGGCTGTGAAGAGCGAGAATATTGCCCACATTTTTGTCCAGCCAAGAACTTGGAAGCAGATATTCCAGCTCAGAAGCACGGCATTGAGACCGCTAGCTAACAGATGGCCATGGTCAAACATGTGGCCCCGTGGCGGCGCAGTGGGGTTGGCTTGGGTTCGTTCTTCCAAAGGATGTAGTGAACATTCAAAGTGATTTGAAGCCGATGGAGCAACATGGAAAGATAGACTCAGTTTCACAAACCTGAGGCGTGGTTCATGTTGGACCAGCAGTGTAAGGAGGCCTTCTGCTCTTCATTCAAAGATTCTGTCAACGCTTTTGACAATTGGTAGGGGTTTACTCACGTTGTGGAGCGCAACTAACGAGGGGATATCGAAGTGGGGATCAAGTTTTGACCATGATTTGCCTATGAGATGGACACAACCCATTCAGTCAACTGCGTCCACTGAGATAAGCGGCGGCCAACTGCAGAAACCACGCGCACATGATCCTGGTCCACGAGATGTGGTGCTGCTGTCTGTATGACACTCCTTGCCTCTCCCGCCGGTCCATAGGCCTAATGACCTAAGCCCACGCTGACGAGTATGGTGGAAGACGGGAGGGCGGCTCTTGGACAGATAAACATTGTGCGGGAGGGCTTCTCAGGTCCCTGAGGGTAACGAGCAGATGTCCATCAGGAGTTCGGGACCATGGATCTGATTGTGATCGTGGTCAAAGTCAGCATCCTTAAAGCTGCTCTCACCGGGCCCTGCTAGCGTCATGACTTACAAATATTCCACAAGGCTGGGCTGGAACGCTTCTGCCGCTCTACCAGATTCTTTTCTGAGAGACAGGAAAGTACCCGCACGTGACGTTGGAAACCCTATCCAAACATCAATTGCAGCATGCAATTATGGGTGTGGATACAGATACTTCACTTCACTACAGTGAAGTGCGAATACTGCAATACCGTGAATGGTCAATCCCGGCGCATTGTTGTCAATGAAACCGTTAGTATTGTTCTTGCCTTGCCTTGTCACATGTTGTTATCAATATCCAGGAGGACATATTATTCAACAGTCCGCCTCAGTGATACCTCTGCCACCTTCAAGCTTCATCCTTACCACAATCTTCTATGGCTCTCCCTCATCGCTACTTATTCGGGCCTTTCGGGAGTGTTCCATTCTTTGCCCGTGCGAACCCCTTAAAACACCAGCTCCCACCGTGATTTGTCTACCTCTCCAGAGTTTTCACCTCCCTCTCTAGAGCTCTCACCTCCCTCTCTGTGCTCAGACAGAGTCAATGATTATCCCCAAAAGGCCATCTCTTGCGTCATATCAATATCACGGCCATGGCGTCCTTTCTCGATCCCGCTGCAGACCCCATTGCTCTATTCCATGAAGGGCCAACTTTGTCTCACGAAGCACTGCACATAACTCCGAGTTCTGGCCCTCCCACTGGCCCTGTTGATTTCAGGGAGGAACGCGTCGAGGAAATGTACGTGAGGTTGAATCGTCTGACGTTGCAAGCTGAAGAAATCCTTGCGCAGCAACCACGAGCAACACAGATCAACCTCACAGTAGAGATAAGGGGCTTGTTCAAGGAATACAAACTCATAGGTTCAATGATTCGCCTGGAGAGAGGTATTGAGAAATTTTTCAATGCAGGTGATAGAAACGGGACATTGATCTTCAAATCCGCTGAGAAACAGAGTTCACAGAAATTGAAAGACTCTGCTACGTCTGGCAATGGAGAACCGGCCCACTATGGAAAAGCATTCATGCACAATTACACCGCGGACGACGACAAGTATGAGCATCCCGAGCCCGCAGAAGGCGGTGTCACTCCAGCTGGGCCACAAGGTCTACACCCTTTGCGGATCATAGATCCAGATTCGACCTCATACGTGACCACACTCCCCTGGGACCCAGTGGGAACCCTAGTGAGCTGGCCTGCAGGACTTCAATGGCCTCAAGGGCTATTGGGCAAAGTCAACCAGATTTTGAGTGTTGTTGATCACGAATGCCGTGTCCGTCTCTTTCACCACGTATGCAAATATGGACCGTCACCTGTCTTAAGGGCCGGCATCGAATCACAAGTCCATACACACTACTCCTCCATCTTCGAAAATAGAGCACATAACTATCTTGGCTTGACACCGGAAACAAGAGTTTTCCTTCGCAGTATCTTCGAGAGGAAATCCAAAGTCAACGTTGCAGAAAGTCGACTTCTGGCCAGGGTCTGCAGAGTGGCCTACGAAACAGTCGACCTGCTTTGGGAAGACCTTCGAATATCCAGGAAAGCTCACATGGCAATGAAGGTCTTCATTACCGCCAGGGAGATTGAAAAGGGGAGAAGGTACATCCGACGTGAGCAAAACGGCATTCTGCAACAGCAAAGAGAGAAGTTTTTCAGGCAGAAAGACATGGTGCAGCGGATGGAGGCTGAGCAGCAAAAGGAAGCCAAAAGTCGTCTCAGACATACTCGAACGTTCTTTGAAAACAGGGATAATGCTGGACCCATGACCGGAGGGATTTCAAGGGGCGAACGTCTTTGTGTTGATTCGGATCTTCAGAGACCCCGATACTAAACTACAAAGCATTTAATGCGCTCTGCTGAAGCTGACAGCATGGACAATCACGTGTCGAGGAATTGCAACAAGCAAGGCCCTCGTCAGTACACGCCAACGACGACCACAAATTCAAACAATCCTTGCCTTGCTGATTTTCCTCTCTCGCCGTGAGTAGTATAACGGTCTAATTATCTAGACTAATTCTCGTCCAATGCTTACCAAGGTATCCCAATGCAAATTATACTGTGAAGTGTTGTCAGACAGAAACAAGTACGAAACGGAAACGCCTATCCGAGAATGACACTACTCCTAACTATCCTATTTATTACCGCCGCAGTGCCCCGGTTGTTATCAAGCACGGAAGCGTCATCAAATCCTAGGTTGAATTTCCCCCTCCGTGGTATCCAATCTTACAAAAGTCCTAGAGCAAAGCAATGGCACCAATGACACCAACTGCACCTGCAAAGAGTCCTTGTGCCTTATCAGTCGCACCCATGCCGTTGAAAGTTGATTGCCATGGACTTCCAGTTCCCGTTGGCGTGCCAGTACTGGAGTGCAGGGTAATTGTACCGGTGGTGGTGAGAGGCCCGGTGTGAGTATTGTTGGAAGAGATGGTCGAGATGGATGTGATTGCCGACGTATCGATTGCCAGAGTGGTATCTGTAAGGACGGTTGTCGAGGTTACAGTTCCAGGAGCAGTCGTAGTGGATGCGGTCTGCGACCCATCTTCTCCTGACGGATAGGGATCTGGCGTCGGCTCTTCTGGAGGCGCACTGCTGCTGCTTGAAGCAGGTGCTGTCGCGCAGATTGACTGTCCGGCTGCGATAGCAGCTGGTGATCGATTTTAGCGTCCATGGTGCGAGAGAATTATGTAAGATGTACTAACCATTCACATCCTCAGCACTACAGACCGAGGCAATGTTTGTACCAATACTAGTAAATGCTGGAGAGGCACAGATACAAGCGGTGTCAGCGAGAGAGCATCCCGTTGTGCCCAGGGCTTGGGTGATGGCATCTCGCTGTAAACAACTATCAGACTAGTTCAACATTCAGTAATTGGAGAGAAACACTTACAGCACACTCTGGGAGAGCGGCCAGGTCCTGAGCATAGACTAGGGCTAAGCCCGAGAATATGGCCGCATTGGTGAAAGATTTGTGGTACATGGTCGACAATCGCAATAGTCTGAGTTAAATTTCCCGAAGCCACTTGATTCAGGAGTTCGCAGAAGTGATGAGGGAAAAGTGAACAAATTTGTTTATCAGGAACGAGTACGCCAAGCAGGGAAACAATTCGAATCTGAACTGTGGAACGCCACTGGAATGTGGGGATGTCCTAGTTGTAAGGTGATCAATAGTAGGAATGCAGCACGTAAGTGTTTACTCTAAAGCCATTGATCTATGGCGGCTTGTGCGCCAATCTCCTGTTCATGACCATTGCTGTTGATCCAGCGACATCCTACAAGGGATGATGTCGGTAATGCTGTACCTGTCCACGTGGGCAGAAAGTATAAATGAATAACGGACAGGTGTCATCGATGTCCTGGCTTGGGTTGGGCAGGACGTACATCTTCTTTCAGTGGTGTACTGTTCAAGCATGCATGGGCTGGCCTCATCAGAGAATCATGCTCGTTTCAAGTGTTGTTCTATGTACGCGAGCCTTGCGTGGACAAGGCTGAGGTTCTGCCGGACCGCCAAGATCCGAAGGCGATATCGGGGCTCAGCAATCAAATCTAATCAGATACGATAAGATCGCCATCTCCCACCTCTCCATGAATCCAACCTGGAGCCTGCATCACCTTCCCTCCTCTCGACCAGCCAACGTTCCAGGCAATGGACAAACTCCCGCCTGTCGAGCTGTCTAAGATTCTTCGATTGTCCTTAAAACCTACCGCTACCCTTGTCACGATCCTCGAGGAGACCGGCGGAAATGGCCAACCGCCGAGCACGGTCGACCCAGAGCAGATCCGCAGGATCATAATCGCGCTTCTCTGGCACCGCAAGTTTATTCTCACCTACTATTTCGTTATTGGCTCCATTGTAGCCATCTCGTGCTTACTTGCACCGTATCAAAGAGCTTTACGATGGCACAGAAAGAGACAGGCAGAAAAAGCGTCAAATATCTTCTCTCCCTCTCCGAAGAGTGCTCCAACCTCCTCGAGTAGCACTATTCGCGAAGGGTCTCCTCCCCCTTCAAAGAACGACGCTGAGAGGACCCCACTGATACCCAGGGATGACACCTTGCTACGTCCGCGTCCTGCCTTTTCACATCGCCTGAAGGCATTCCTGGTGTACCAACCTCGTCCCATCCGGGCTCTGACCTCCCGGGTAAATGTCTTGCCGGACAATGCTACAACTGTCTCAATCCTTTTCTTCGCCGGTCTCAACCTGTTTTACCTGCTCTTCCGTGCCCCTCTCGAAACAAAATGGATATTCATTCTTGCAGATCGAGCTGGGCTCCTTTTTGTCGTCAATCTGCCCCTGCTGTACCTCCTAGCGGCAAAGACGAACCAGCCCATCAAATTTCTGACCGGCTGGTCGTACGAGGGACTGAACATGTTGCACCGCCGGCTAGGTGAATGGATGATTGCATTTTCAGTGATCCACATGTTTGGAATGCTCACAGTTTGGTATACTATTCTTGTTCCTCTGGGATACAGCTTCATCACCTATATTGCTTCTCCAACGGTGTACCTCGGGTTCGTAGCGATCCTATCTTATCTCATTATCTATGGCACCAGTACAGGTTGGTTTCGTCAGTTATATTACGAAGCATTCCTTGGTTTGCACGTATTTTTCCAATTCGCAGCGCTTGCCTTTCTGTTCTTTCACTACCCGACAGCAAAGCCGTACGTGGTGGCCACCTTCTTGGTATGGGCAATTGATAGAATCCTTTGGAGGAGCACTCTGTCTAGCAGGAAGTTTATCGCTACTTTAGAAGTGGCTCCAGACGAGAAGACCGTATTAGTCCATTGTGATATCGACTTGCAGCAAAGGACTTGGGGTATCCGAGCTGGACTGCATCATGGTTGGCAACCTGGTCAGCATCTTTTCCTGACAGTCCCGTGTATCAGCTTCAAACATCGATTTCAGACACACCCCTTCACTATTGCTTCACCAGCTCCCCCTGAGAATACACATCTCCAATCATGGCCGTTACAGTTAATCATCCGGTCGATTGATGGCTTCTCATTGGACCTTCTCAACTATGCGCGCCAGCATCAGCATTGTGAGGTGATCCTAGAAGGACCTCATGGTGGCATGGAGGCTCCTGAGGCTGCACATCACTCCGATCGTGTCTGTTTTGTTGCTGGCGGAAGTGGGATTGCTGTTACATATCCATTGGCTTGGCACCATCAAATTAAGAAGCACAATCAACATGATGCAATGCTTAATCTGCGGACCGTCTACCGAGACAGATTGGAGCATACACCCACAGTGCTCGACTGCGGATCTGTCTTGAACACAAGGAGGTTCGGGCACTTCTGGGTGCGGCAAGACCCACGACATAAGCAATGGATATCTATCGTCCCCAAATCGCACGCGTTCAACTCAGTGGGCCTTGAATCCAAGCTCGACATTAATTATACCCCCAGCGCTGACGGTATCGAGGAAGTAACCAGTATAATTACCCATACATTTGACACTAGGCGACCTGGACCGAATGGAGGACGTCCCGACATGAAGACCGAGCTTTGGGATTGGGTGACCTCTCCCAATGTCTCGAGTTCTTCATCCTCAACAACTCTTGGCACACCGGCGACCAGCCCACTCGGGGAGCAGATGTCGGTGTCTACGAGTTCATCAATTTCATCCCGTCACAATCTCCGTTCCAAGAGCCTTTTGAAGAGGAAGCAGGAAAAGATCTGCATTGTTGTCTCCGGGCCCAACGGCCTCGTTCGCGATATCAGAAACGTCGTGTCTCAGCTGGCTCATGAGGGCTGGAACGTCGAGGTCTGGGTTGAGAAATTCGGTTGGTAGAATTCGTGAAGACTATCAAGCATTCAAGGCTTTAGCGGTATGGGTATTAGCATTAAGGTTTGGCGTTCATGTTTTGGAATAGATTCATTAGCTGATGCTTCAGGACATGATGTTGCTTAGATATATTAGCATCGACATGCTAGGATCAAGAGAACAGGAAATTCGTCTTTAGTGATTCCATCACCCGTAACGATGTAGCCAACGCCCTCCCTCTTCTACGCGTCTAATACAGTTTCTAACTAACCAAGCACCCATCAAGGGCGTACATAAGGAAAGCGACCATAACGTACCACATTGTAGTCAGAATAGCATCGGTAGGCATTCACATCACAGCAAAAACGACGCCCCGATCCCCCCAGCAAACAAGCTCGCAATCGTCACGAAACTACTTAGCCCCATAGTCGCCATCCCACTGATCCCATGCCCACTAGTACAGCCCCCCGCCATCCTAGCACCAAACACCATAACAAACCCGCCCACAACGGCAGCAGTGACGCCCATGGGTGGACTCGTCTCGCTCACGGCTGGGATGTACTGCGATATGAGCTTCGCGCCGGCCACGACGCCAGATGCGAAGACGATATTCGACATGCCGGGGCCTGATGTGCGATCGATGAGGCTCCAGAAATACGCGCCGACGTCGGCATATGCGGAAGATGCGCCGAGGGTCTTGCGGGTGAACAGGACCGAGGTTGCTTGTGCGATGCCGATCAGCAGGCCGCCGGCGATGGGATTCAGCCAGTGCCTTTGTCGCGTGTGAGGTGCGAGGTATGTGGCAGCGGCGATCATCAGCAGGCAGAGGGTCTCGTAGATCAGGATCGTGGACGCCGTCGACAGGCCCGTCTGCTCTTGGACGGTCTGCTTTTTCTGACGGGCGCCGTCGCGAGGAGCGGCTGTGCTTTGCGTCGTCCGCTTCATCTGGCCTCCCAACTTGACAAACGCAACGCCTCCAAGCACGCAGCCGGCCGCAACACTCCGCGCGGACCCGACGCCCAGCGCGAGCTGTGCAAGCACCGTGCCAGGACACGCGCCCGTCAGCGCCATCCCAACGCCCAGGAGCATTCCACCGACAATGTTCGCGTCGTACCGCCCGAACCACCCGTATGAGGAGTCAGGTCGGGCCGTCAGCTTTGCGTAGCCGCTCCTGTTGACCCCGACCACGATGAGCGCGCTGCACGCGCTCGCGGCCAGGAAGGACTTCAACATGTGGAAGTTGGTGAGGGACATCTGGGACTGGATTACCGAGGGCGAGTATACCCCGGAGGCGGTGATTGCAGACCCGAAGATCATGCCGGATGCCGCTGTTAGGAGGATGTGGGAAGTGGCCATGTTGAGGAGGAGGAGGATGATGATGATGATGAGCCGTTTGGAAAGATGGCGATTTGGCGATAGCTTTTGCTCTGGTTTCTTGTCCTTCTTTAAGATCACTGTCCATAGGAGGTGATCGAGGGAGCTGCTTTGCTAATTAAGAGAGAAAGCTCTCGTTCGAAGGGTCGATCCCATAGTCCCCGATGATCGCCGAGGAGGGAGGAGCCCCAGAAAAGAACCCATCCTGTGGGTAGGCTGACGCCATTGAGAAGAAAACCCTTTTCGGGCGGAGTTGACACACCTTTTTGGGGCCTGTCGCCAAACTTTGTGCTGATGTCGCCATCGCTTCGGCCCTTCATCCAAGATGCGCCAACAAACTTTCTGGCGCGGGCCTGTCCTCCTCCGAGGTGTTTGTGGCGCACGACTTCCAAATCGAGATGATGCACTGGTAATTACTATCAGTAAAGTTGATTAAACGAACCGAGTCTCCAACTGCGAACTGCTGTGGGGTTCATCCTGCTTTCGGTATATCAAGGAGGCGAAGATGCGGTGACGTACAGAGGTGGTCCCCGAGAAGGACAAGGAAGGCAACATGATTAGTTTTGTCACCTGTGTTTCCATTATTTCCCGGACCTAAATGCCTCGGGACGATTCTTCGCAATAATTAATACAATCCATAACCCATTATGTTCGTCATTAAGTATTCGTATATTTCGCACGGGCGGCGCCTTAAATCCGAGGCTAGGCTTAACCAGCCCCCGCATCCATTTTCACCTTCCCCTTGATACTCTCCCACCTGGGAGCAAAAGACAATACAAATGTCAGACATGCACATGCGATGCAGATTGCAAATGGGACCCTGAGCCCTTCCATGTATGCGGTGATGATTCCCGGGATTTCTTCGGCGCTGAAGACTCTGCGTAGATCAGAGGCGCCCGTGGCGAGAACGAGGGCTGGATTGAGATCTGGCACCTCCCGAGGCAGGACTTTCAACATGGTGTTGGCGAAACCGGCCTGGGCTGCAGAGATCCAGATCGCACCGCCCACGGTTTGGAAGAATAGCACAATGGCTGAGATGGACGATAGATCTGAAGACTCGGATATGGCTTGGCAGACAATGACGGGGATTTGAAGAACGAGACCTACGCCTATGCCAACCAGGGCTTGGTATCCAATCCATTGACTAGACGGGCTGTTAGCGTCGAGAGTGTAGACAAGCCCACAGCCGACGCTGAGGATTGTTGTCCCGACCACCATGACCGGAATGTACTGGCCCCAGCCGGAGAGGAGCGCACCCGAGACGATGGAAAATAAGGATGTTCCTAGCACCAGGGGTAGATTGTCGATTCCGGATTTTGCTGCTGACACGTTGAGAGTGGCCTGGAAATAAATCGGGAGATAATACAGCAAGATGAAGAAGGCACCGGCCACGACGAAGATGAAGCCGCACATAGCCATGATAGTACGATCCTTCAGAAGTCGGCCTGAGAGTAGAGCACGGTCACCCTGGTAATACTCCACGACGAGGAAGGCAATGACGAGGAGCCCAAAAAGCACCAGTGTAGCGATGACCGATGGATCATCCCACGGCTTAGTCGTCCCAGCCCACTGCATTGCTAGTAGGTAGCAGACGATGGCGGCCATCAGAATAAACGTTCCAGGGAAGTCCATTTGAAGGAAAATCTCTCGCCGTGTCGCTGGCTCAGGTTGGACAGGTGCGTGAAAGAAGATTATGATGATTGCTGCGGCTACTGCTCCGATCGGCAGATTGATATAGAAGCACCATCGCCACGAGATGTGGTCAGTGAAGATTCCTAGACTGGGCGTCAGTGACTAGACATCGGGTTCTGCAGAAGACGATGCTTACCACCCAGGAGTGGGCCAATGACCGAGGCGAGACCGAAAGTTGCACCCATGATACCTGTAAACATCGCACGATACTTTGGTGGAGCCGAGAATGCGATGACAATGTATGCACCCGATGCAATTCCAGCTCCGCCCATTCCTGCAATGGCTCTGCCGACAATGAGGGTTGTCGAGTTCTTCGCAATGCCGCAGATCAGGGATCCGACTTCAAAGATGGCAATACTCGTGAGATAGGATATCTTCAGTGGTGTATATTTGTACAACTTCCCCCATGTCGCCTGGAAGGAGCCAATGGTGAGGAAGAAGGCGCTGCCGTACCAACCAAGCTGATCAAGAGAATGGAACTCATCGGTAATGGCTGGGATTGCTGTGGCTACAATTGTCATGTCGAGAGCCACAAGGAAGATACTGCATATCAAGGCAACGGCAATCATGCCAAGTGATAAAGGAGATATATGCCTGCAATCGTATACAGTATTAGTGATGTGGTGAGGAAAACTCGAGGCCTCAATGCAACACTAGACTCACCATTCTGTGGGTTCCTCAGCGGCGAGTGCAATGTCGATACTTGTGCGATGTTGCGATTCCACGTATTGGTATTTGAAGCTTGGTAAAGTCCATGTCATATCAAGCATCGCCAAGTTCTTCTGGACGGTTGAGTCTACCTTGGGCTCCTCCACATACTGAGGGGCAGGTCGATCGAGAGTCGGATCGTATACTGACAGGCCAGCCTGCATGCGAGGATCATAAATTGACGTGAAGCGGCGAGGCATCCTGGCCTCCGAAAAGTCAAGGTTCTCGATCTGCTTCGGGGAACGCTGAGAAGATCTTCTCTGTGGCCATAGAATCGCTTCGCTAATCCACGCAAATCCGGCCGAGAAACTCCTGGACGATTCTGGACGTCCAGATCTTCGTGAGTCAGGTCGCAGTCCATTAGACCGCCGTGATTCGGGTCTCAATCCATTCGACTCTCTTGACACGGGCCTGTAAGAAGCCGATCTTGCTGGAGGGGGGTGGGGAACCGGCTTCCGCTTGACTCGGAAAGCTTGAGGCTTTTGTGGGCCATTCCCGATGGCAAACTCATGTGGGAGAGGCGAGACAACATCCTGTCCCAGATTCTGAGCCTCGCCTGGATGCGCCGGCGGGATCGAGATTGGTGAAATTGGTGGCCTCATAGCTCTACAATGAGAGAATTCTTTTCCTCGAGCGCGGGGATATTGATGGACCTGCTTTGGGTGCGAACAGCAGTATCACAGGGGCTAGAGACGTCTTTAAGCAGCCCAGCATGAACTATACAGTTGCCGAAAGATCACTCGACCGGTTTTTTCTCCGTTGCGGCTGAAGAGTAGTTATAGTCGATGGTAATTCGTAATCCCTCCGCTGTATTTTGGCCTGCCTGAACGGCAAGGATTGAGGTCAACCATGCCGGACTTCTATGAGATCGTCCAGATATTTCAGGCAGGAAGGACTAAAGCCCTACCAGGATCCGAAGAAGAGCCTCCAAAAGCCATAAGACTGGCGGTATACCACTCAGTGGCCCCAATCAGCACGTCAAGGTTACTAGCGGAGCTGCAAGGCTCACTGCCTTGAAGAGGGGATAACGGCAGGTTTAGGATAGATAGCTCGAAAATGGAGATCCTCAAATGTGGCTGTACTCCGTACCAACGTCTGTAAACGCCGCTCAAGCTTCGATCACACTCAATGGCTCCGTTCCATGATGGAAAAACTCCACACGGCGAAACGAGGTTGTAAGACCGATACTGCACTCCGTACCCTGTATGTCTAAACGATGCAACGGTCGCTAGGAATAGTGGTGATGCTTTAACTGGAAGGGTCGTAGCGGGCGGTTGAGGCTGCTAACTTTAGGGGCCAAGCTTTAACGGTCTTAAGGCTTTGGACCTTTATCCAGTCCGCGGATGTTACAAGTTTCTTGGTTAATAGGGCCTTACGAGCAAAATACCCAGATCCCGAGCACGCATAGCCATCCAGGGGGATACTCACGAGCACTCTAAACAGAGGTATTCGATAGAGGAGTCCATGCCTGCATTAGAGTCCTTGACCATACAAGATCTTGCCTCTTATTGATGCTCTTTATTTTGCATGAGGGAGCTTAGCTACTGGCGTCGCCTTGCACACTATCTGAAGGCTACTACTGCCTTTCATGAACTCACGCTCTTCTTAACGCAAGCACGCCACAATTGTTCAAGTTGATCAGGATTGATTGAGGCGTGCGGTGAATTGGCTCTGGAAAACATGATCCACCAGGAGTAAGCCGTAACTTTGGCACATTCGCACTCCGGTGCGCTAGAACCAAGCCAAAGGGCCCATTCGTGCAAGGCGCCCGACATGCACGGAGTAATACAGTAAACTTTTTCTATCTTCGTTTCTGTTTTGTTGCAGCCTCATCCCACTTCGGACATTCTCTTTGCTCGATCCTAGTCTCATGTCGAAACAAACTCGCCATTGGACGGAAAATACTCCAAACCGAGGATCTATCTTCGACGACGGCGCCGGCTTAGGCTTAGTCGCACATATCTACCTGTATTAGGTTAGAAGAAATGGAACCCTTGAGCTATTCTCGTATATCCAAAGCCACAATGGAGACATCGCGCAGAGGCCCTTCTTTCGGTCACTATCGCAGAATTTGGGGTCGACTCGCCTGATTCGTGGTCTCTCACCCATCCGTTGAAACTGGCTACATTAGCAGCGTGGTCGTGTCAGGTGCGGCATTGTCCAAATCTGGGCGCAACATGCGTGTGTGGCCCTTTTGAAGGGATCAGCCAGCATCAACATACTGAGATGCTCTCATCTTGGAAGGATGGTCAAATGCCGAGGTGTGCCGTAGTCTTCGGTCTCCATTGGCTGACATCAGCTCGTCTGAACTTGGAGATCCATTGAGAATGCAATTCGCGGCGCTGCTTTTTCACCAGCATGACCTCTTCAAGATGACTCCCAGGCTGCATGCCATTTTGGAGAATAGCAGGTTCCGGGCTTGTAGTCATTGAAGAGCAACTCCTATCGGTAGTGGGGGCCTTTGATGTTCTGGAAATTGCGAGGCCTTTGGTGAGAATTGAGATCCGAAATGTGCGTGACCTTCAGAGTAGGCTCTTACGAAGGCTTGAGACATTTAGCTTATCATCCAGCGCAACAGTCCCCAGGGTGACAGGCGTGTAGATAGCTCTGTGATGCCACGGAGGGATGTTGCCTTAAAACGACGATGTTCATGATTTCAAATTGTTGTGGATTGATGTCCGGTTACCTTAAGCTGCATCCAATATGTAGACTGTGCAGTCCGCAAGAGAAGACGATGGAGAATCAAGTCCTCAAGGCCGCAGCTGTCCATTGGGCTTTTAAAGTAGCATAACACGCCCGAAGCCGAGTCAAAAAGATCAGCGAACACAATGTCAGCAGTAAGCCGAAAGAGCAGCTGGCTTGCGAAGGGACCTCATGCCCTGTCGGTACGTGAGTCTTTCTAGTCTCTCATGCATTCTAGTTGATCTGTGCAGCCGAACGATCTCGGTTCTCTCGCGAGCGGAGATTTAGCATGCTTTGCCATAAAGCTATAGCCTGGATGCCCCCACAAGCGAATATGCTCCAAGGCCTCGGTTTTGCTAGCAACAGAAAGGCTTAAAGGACTTGCTTTTGTTAACAATCAACAAGCCGAGCCGGCAGTTGGAGAAACATTATTGCATCAGGCTAAGCCATTTGCAGGATTTGCTGCTTAACATATTCGGATGTCGTCATCCATTCAAGTTCAAATCCAGCATAGAATAACCTGACTTGTCTTCATCAAATACCATATACTTCCTTACTACCCGTCATGGCAGCAAAGGCTAAGCTCAATGTGCATAACTTCCCTCGACCACCACTTTTGGAATTGACGGCTCGACGACTCGTAATCAAATGGGGCAAGGATACTGTAACCGACACAACGTCGGGATACTGGGCTTTGGAAACAACCCACCCCCCTAGTAGGTCTGGAGAAGTAATCTAAGCGGGCTCTAAACGGCATTTCTTGTGGCTGCCATGAGTCGCGCCAGCTCGGTACTTTGCACCACAAGTTCAGCTTTAACAGAGTTTTAGCATATTACATCCCACGTGATTCCATCACCGACTCCTTCAAACTTACTCAGGTACCAAACAAGGCATCGCTATGTGAATGGAAGGGGAAGGCTACATACTGGAGCCTGACCAAGAAGAGTACTGGAGAGCAGGTTAGCAGCAAGATTTGGAGCTACGAATCTCCCACTCCGGCGTTCAGGGACATCGAGGGCTATCTCTCCTTCTATGCTAGCGGTGTACCTTGGGAGTGCTATGTTGACGATGAGAAGGTGGCACCACAGGAAGGTTCGTGTCTGGATTTGTTGCTCATATCCGTTGGTTGACTCGGTTGTTATGCAGGTGACTTTTATGGTGGTTGGGTGACGAGTGAATTGGAAGGACCGATGAAGGGAGGCGCGGGCACCTGGGGCTGGTAGTTGGGCATTAGAACACAAGAAAAAAGCGGTCGCCCTTTTATGCGCAACACCTAGCATGTTATCCAATATGTGCTCAGGACCATGTTTCTTGTCGATGATTGGGAGTCAGTGAGACGACGCCTGTGGTACAAGACACTGGCGCAACTCGGCATTTCAGTAGAGATGGGCACGTGATCCTTTGCGACTGGAGACAACAGGCGCTCAAGCCCAAGCCCAAGCGAATGCCGTATTGGGGTTCTTGCAGTTTTTTGGTTGAAAATTTATCCCTACTCAGCACCACAATGGCCATGGCTACTCGTACAAAGGACAATTGCCTGGTATGCCATCAACATGTCAGCTTGGTGGTGCTCGCATATCTCAGGCTCATGGATGACCCTGCTCCTTGACAACCACAGCCCAATACCATCAACATGTCCCGCCTGTGGATTTCAAAGTGTAGAGTTTGGGGATGTCGGAGAATCCAAGGTTCAACTCTGATAGTGGGCGAAACGCGACCATTCCCATTTTGGCGCGGTTCTACGTCATGCCGTGCCCGGACGGGCAGAACTATGGCTTCGCTCCGCTTACATCCGTGATCTTCATTGGGCGGTGGGTGACTTCTTCGTTTCTCTCCATTGGCTGCCTGCAAACATGCTCTTCGACGCCCACTCTTGACATCTTCCGCTTGCTCTCGATGAAGGATAATCAAACGTGATGGCCAGCGTAGATTGGAGCTCCCACTTTCTTTCGACCAAGCCTCATATTTGGAACGAAATCCATTCGGCTGGAGCTTGTGGGCCACAGTTGGAGCTTTAGGGTTGCACACGTGGACGCCGTGGATGCAACAGGGAGGTAGAAACCCAAGCGAGTATCATTCTGTTCGATCTTGACCTCGGATCATATCCTCATCTGGAGCACCTGCTATCTGTCTATCCTCAACGCCCTTTGCTTTGAGATAGAAACTTCTGTCCTCCGCTTTCTTTGCCCCCTTGTTTCAATTCATTCCCCTTGTATCATGGGCGATGTCTCAGGTCCCGCGGACATGCCATTGCGTGCGAAGGTCGTTGACCTCTCACTTGGTTGGTCGTTTAAGCAGACAGACGAAGTCGGTTCGAACGCTTGGTTGCCAGTCAAGAAGATCCCGTCGACCGTGCACCAAGACCTGATAGACAACAAGAAGTGCGTGATGCTCCTAAAAGGAGCCATGCGTCATCACTAACAAACCCTTTCGCTAGATTAGCAGATCCATTTATCGGCTTCAATGAGATCAAGGCCGAATGGGTCGGCCTGAAATCATGGACTTATCGGGTTACAATTTCAAGACCATCACTGTCAAGTACTTCGCGGGCCGTGCTTGCATTTGACGGCCTGGACACGTTCGCGACCGTCAAGCTCAGCGGCAGGACGATCCTGGAGAGTGACAACATGTTCCTACCTCACCGTGTGGACATCACAGATTTCATCCAGAGTGCTGAGAGGAAGAGCCTTGACCTCGAGATCACATTCGAATCTGCATTCCTCAAGGCTCGGGAGATCAAAGCGCAACACCCGGAACATAAATTTGTGGCGTTCAACGGAGACACAGCCCGTTTGGCGGTAAGGAAGGCTCAATACCATTGGGGCTGGGATTGGGGCCCGCTACTGGTGTGTACTGGAATCTGGAAACCCGTCCGCCTGGAGATGTATTCTGTGAGAGTCGCAGAGCTTCGCACCGATGTGACTATCTCCAACGACCACAAATCCGCCACGATCGGCACGAAGATTGACGTGGAAGGCCACCAGAATCACCACCATCATAGCCTCCAAGCAAGACTAGTCCTCAAGCTGGGCGACAAGATAATCGACTCGCTCGACACCATAATCTGCGCAGACGGCACAGCTTCCGGGCAGCTGAAGGTCAGCAGGCCTGAACTATGGATGCCGAACGGCTACGGCAAGCAGACATTATACACTGTGACGGCCAGCATCCTCACCAACAATGGAGAAACCAGTCTGCACACGGAAAGCAAACGCATCGGACTCCGCAACGTCCAGCTCGTGCAGGAGCCTGATGCGCGCGGAAAATCGTTCTACTTCCGCATCAACGGCGTGGACGTCTTCTGCGGCGGCTCGTGCTGGATCCCAGCCGACAGCTTCTTGACAAACGTCACGCCGGAGAAGTATCGTGCGTGGCTCGAATTGATGGTTCCTGCGAACCAGAAGATGATCAGGTACGGTGAAAAGCTAAAGAGCCAACCTAACCTCCTACTTGCGATTCACGTGCCCCTTTTTCTTTCGTGTTCTTGTCAAGAAAACAATGCGATTCCTCCTACTGATCGATTTTTCCATATGGCTGATCTCTTATCTCTTTGCTAGGATTTGGGGCGGAGGGATCTACGAAAATGACGCGTTCTATGATGCTTGTGATGAACTGGGCATTCTCGTGTGGCAGGTAAGTTTGACCTGGCAACAGGGAACCAAAAGTCCCACCCCCTTCGTTTCTTCCATACCTCATCCTGTGGTTGGGGGACCAGCCACCGTTAGGAAAATCCGCCCATAACGACAAAGGAGCAAGTTTTGGGCACCGCCTAAGCTAACTTAAAATTTTCTTGCTATTCTAGGATTTCATGTTTGGCTGCGGCAATTACCCTTGCTATCCGGCTATCCTGAAGTCGGTGGAGCGGGAGGCCGTGGCTAATGTTCGGAGAATTCGGCACCACCCGAGCATTGTGATATTTGCCGGAAACAACGAAGACTATCAGGTGGCCGAGTCTGCACACTTGACATACAACTACGAGGACAAGGACGAGGAACACTGGTTGAAGACTGATTTCCCAGCCCGGTTTATCTACGAGTCGCTGTTGCCCAGGGTCTCTGCGGCCGAAGCTCCGTGGATTCCTTACCATCCTGGATCTCCTTGGGGAGATGGAAAGATCAGCTCAGACCCCACCGTGGGCGACATGCATCAGTGGAATGTATGGCACGGCACACAGGAGAAGTATCAGATTTTCGACTCTCTGGGCGGACGATTTAATTCCGAGTTTGGCATGGAGGCTTTCCCGCACATTGCGACGATCAAGTCGTTCGTGGAGAAGGAAGAAGATCTCTATCCCCAGAGTCATGTGCTCGATTTTCACAACAAGGCCGATGGGCATGAGCGGAGGATCGCCACCTACCTTGTGGAGAACGTGAGGACAGCAACGTCTTTGGCAGCGTACATCCACTTGACACAATTGATCCAATGTGAGGCACTCATGTTTGGCTATCGCGGCTGGCGCAAACAGTGGGGGAATGATAGACACTGTGGCGGGGCCTTGGTGTGGCAATTGAACGATTGCTGGCCAGTGACAAGCTGGTCGATCGTCGACTACTACTTACGGAGGAAGCCTGCCTATTACGCGATGGCTCGTGTATTGGCTCCGGTGGCGGTCGGGGCCCGCCGCAGTTATCACGATTGGAGTGTGACGCATGCTCGAGAACCGCCTACGCAGGACTGGGAGTTATGGGTGGTGAGTTCGAAGCTGACTGACATTATCGCTGACGTGGAGGTCAAATTTGTGTCTGTTCGAACTGGGCAGGAGATCAAGCAGAAGATAGTGCAGAAAGGGATCCGAGTGAAAGCCAATGGCACCACGGACGTGCTGAAAGGAGTGATTGACAACGTGCAGGAAGAGCCCCACGTCCTTGCAGCAAGAATCTGGGTGGACGATAAGCTGGTGGCCCGAGATACTGACTGGCCTCAGCCACTGAAATACCTTCCGTTCCCTGAACGCAAGGTGAAAGTCGAGGTGGTTGGTGGTGAGATGCATGTGAGTGCTGAGAGGCCAGTCAAGTGTCTGGTCTTTGAAGAACGCGAGGGATGCCACCTCAGCGACAGTGCAATCGATATAGTGCCGGGCGATAAGCAGATCATCCAGGTCCGAGGCCTCAAGGCTGGAAGCAACCCTTTGGACTGGACCTACCTAGGCGCAGGGGAACAGTGAGACAGGGGAACCGAGAAATAAAGTTTCGCATGCTGCGGATGGCAAGAGCAGGACCCATTACGCCGTCAGGAGCGACTAGCGAGTACCGATGAGCCATTAGGCAGAGTCACATTGCATGTGACTTGGGTGAAATGTGGTTGACACCGGTCGAGTTTAACACCGGACTAGTGGTGCAGGATAAGGATCAAGTTAGGATCAAGTCGAGAAGATGGGATCAAATTGTGATTGCAATTGGCATGGCTATAGAGGAAGCGTTGAGACGGAAAGATCTGAGCGACGCTGGGGCAAAAACGAGGGCTCTGGAAAGTCATGATTGTTGTTCGCAGCAATGCATGAAGGATGACATGGTACTCCGTACCAATTATCGCTTCTTCAAGGAAGGAGATCCTGAGGTGACGGTAGAACATCGGTGCCCGGCTGCCAGCAAAGCCGGAGTGCAAAGTAGGCCCCGATTGGTAGTCGAGATCCTAAAGAAGGGTTGATGCCAAAGTGAATACCTCGTAAAGAGTTCCAAAGGGGGCTTGACTAGGGAGTACTTGGTAGTCTTGTCTGATCTCAAGGAGTCAGCTAGTATGGACAGGGCCTCGGGCGCTGCTGGAGCTTCCAAACGAACAGAGCAATTGGGATTTGGGAGATATTCGGCAGTGGAGCGAGGCTTGGGAAGATTGGCTAACTGTCGGACATCGGGCCCATCTGTCTCATGGCTCCGTGGCGGTTAATAAGCCTAATATGTGAGGCATTGTCCACATCAACCAGGATGTAGCGGCAAAATGTTGATGGGATTGGCGGAGAGGATGATAGCATCGATGAAGCCTGGCGAGAGCGAACCAGGGCAGGCCGGGTCTGGTCGAAGGGCAGGGGAGCCGAATGTCTATGTCTGATGATTTTTGAGGCAGGCGAGAAACGAACGGGAACTAGGATAGAACAAGCTTATGGGGCCAGAAACTGGAGAATGAAGGCCATGGGAAATGTGGACGATGGAAAAGGCGTTGCGGTCGATGACGCTGGTGGTGGTGGTCAGTGGTCAGTGGTCAGTGGTTGGAGGTTGGAGGGGGTGGACGTGCACGGTTCAGGGTGTGCAGGCAAGGTGCAGGGCGGCCAGGGCCTTGAGGATATCTGACTTGCCGGTTGAGGTGGGTCAAGTCACCGAGGACAAGGCAGAGGAGCAGAGGAGCAGAGGAGCAGAGGACGAGTTGCAGGCCGTATGGGCCTTGGGCCATGGGCCATGGCTGATGTTCGGTTGATGAGACGGGATGGCCAAATAAAGCCATGTGGTTTTTGGGTGGAGGCTGGGCATGGCATGGCATGGAGCACCGGGGGACGGGCTCAACGCCATACCACCCACAAAGCAGGCTGTTATCTGGCAGTTCAGGGAGGCAGTTGGGCCCAAGAGTTCTGCATACTGGTAGAATGGCCGTGTGCGTCCTCCATCTGGAGAGTAAAGCAAGTTCGATCAGACGCGTCGGGCCTTCAAGTAGCGGGACGCGAATCGGCAGAATTCGAGAAGAACCTTAAGGGAAGCATGGAAGGAGCCTTGGAGAGCAGGATACGAAGACGTCGCACCTGCATGTTTGTGCTGATTTGGACTGGCAAGGGAAGGCGCAGGCACAGGCGCAGGCGCAGATGGACGGAAAAAGGAAAGAGGAAAGAGGGAAGAGGGAATGGGGCACCCCACCTTCCGGTCTCAGCACTGAAGTCATGCCTGCTCCCTGCACTTTCAACCTTCTGGCTTTTGTCTGGCGTCTTTTCTGGTCTAATTACCAGGTGCTTAATTGTCAGTTTTTGCCGGGGCTTTTTGGCGTTGATGCTGCTGCTACGATGACTGCTCGCAGCTCCTTCTGACCAGATGCTACTCAGGAGCCAGGCCTCAGGCCTCAGGCCTCAGGACCCTGTACCACGCGGGAGTACTACCTGACTCCCTGACCACATTACGACCTTACTACCTTACTACATCACTCCCACCCTGGTCCTCCATTCCTCTTATTGTCTGTAGCTGCCTGCCGTTGCCCGTTGCCGACTAGCCCCCTCCTCGTCGCCCGTTTAGTTGGCTTTAGTTCATTCATTCTTCGCTTCTGTCAACCTTCTCTGCATTTTCACATTCCTTTCTAGAATCCTGGCTCTTCAATTCTTTGGCCCATCAATGACTAGTCCAAGCCGAGCCATGCCATACAGACCTTGCCATACCAGCCACCACCCAGTCATGACTCGATCACTTGCAGACAAGATCCCCGTGTGGACTCTGGACACGTCCTGCTTCATCCACATCCAACATCCAACATCCACAATTCCACATCCACACCAACACCACTCTTCTCTCCCTAGACTTCTGACATCAACGCGACCCTGGTCCAATTCTGTCCAAGACTGCCTCCACTTTTCTAACACCACCTGGGTCTTGTCCCCAGTCAGGATTTACCCGCGCCTGGTGCCATGTTTGGTGTGGCTAGTATCTACAGTACTCCGTACGCATCTACTCTCTATACCGCGTCTCCAGTTCTCACACCGGCTCCTCCCCTCGAATGCTGCTCTTCCTCGGTCACGCTAACCACACATGCGGCCGATCATGTCAACCAATTTCCCCGGATTCTTTGATTCCCTCTGATCTTCCACCCGTCCCTCTATCCACATTGTGACCGGGTGGTTGTATACCTCCTGCTAGTCATGCACTTTTCTTCCCCTGCCCGCGAGGTATACGGAGCACTCGCTACTGCCATCTTGTATCCGCACCGCATACCTATTAATGACTCAAAAAGGCCCCCTTCTGCTCACTCACAATGTCTCTGATCTGCTTCCTTCTCCCCTTTCCCTGCTCTTCTATCACTGCCACTGCCACTGCCACTACCACTGCACACCTACCCAACCTTCACTCATATTTTCCCGAGGCTTATGCTTGACGACCCTATCTTGGTCTGCCCTGGCTAGCCCCACCATCCTCCCTCGTGCTCCTAGTCGACCATCGAACACTAATCTCCTCCGCCACAATCAAGATTTACACTCACAACCATCAACAGAGTCGGCTTTATATATGGTCTCATCCACCAGGGCCAAGCATTCCGACGTTTGGCCTCAAAAAGTGTACGAACGAGTCTTCGACCACCAAACTCGTGGCTCGAATACTACCCTTGCATTGGACAGCTTATCACGTCCTCATGCCAAGGCCGTGAGCTCATAGTTTGGTGTCGCTCCTCTGACCAGCTCACGTTCCTCAACCTCACCGGTCAAGATGTTTCATACTTTTGAGACCGCCCAATACGCTAGCCCTGAGCAGGCCGATCAAAGTACCGCCTCAGCCGCAAAGAGACGAACTTCCACTGTACGGGCTTGCGAACCTTGTCGAAGGCGCAAAATCCGATGCAATGGCGAGCACCCATGCGAGACTTGCCAATGGTATCGCAAAGCTGCGTCCTGCCATTACACCGAACCAAGGCAGAGACAAATGCCCTCCAGACGGTAAATTTCCATTGTTATCCCGAAATTGCTGGGATCGCTCTGATTTTCTTCTGCTCAGGTCTGTTGAAAAGATTTCACAAACACTACAGGAGTATCGAGCCATCCTACAGAAGCTCTTTCCAAACGTTCACCCGGATCAGCTCAAAGACATGTCTCGTGATAGACTTATAGAGCTTATCTCAAAGTCCAATGCTTTCCATCCACCCTCACCCACAACCCCGAGTGTGGATGAAAAACCCCCGCCGGTCAATCCCGATGCCGGCAGCCTCGAGCAACTTCAGCCAATGCCCGACGAAGGGAACGATACCTTTGAGCCCAAACACCCAGCATTGCAAGGCATTACTGACGATGTAAACATGCTCTCCTTGTCGGTTAAACAAAACTCCTCGTACCTCGGCATATCCTCTGTCATGGCAGTACTCCGAGTCATCACGTGGCTAGATCCAGAATGTCTCGCCAAATCTCCAGAACGAAGCATGATCCCAAGCCGAGCACCGTCACCACCACCGGAATCTCAAGCACAGGGCAAAAACGTAGCTCGAGGAGACGGTTCCTCCTCGTCTGCGTGGGATGAAATCCCCATGATTAATGCCTATTTCACTTACGTTCACCCTTTCATCCCCTTGATCGAGGAATCGACTTTCCGAGAGACTTACATGGCTGGCCAGAGGACGGACTCAAGATGGCAGCTCTTACTCAACAGTGTCTTGGCCATGGGCAGCGTGGCTGCAGGTACTTCAGAAGATGCCACTCACCAGGCATACTTTAACCGCGTCAAGCAGCACTTGGATATGGATACGTTAGACTCGGCTCATCTTGAGACAGTCCAAGCACTAGCCATTTTAAGCGGCTTCTATCTCCACTACTTACAGATCCCCAATCAAGCAAACGCGCTGATGGGTGCCACACTAAGAGTCGCGACAATGCTAGGCCTCCACCGCGACTACACCGAGGGGGTGGGCCCTGCAAAGGTACAAAAGGCCGCCTTTTCTATTGAGATGAGGCGAAGGATATGGTGGTGTGTATTCATGCTCGACGCTTGGGTGGGTAACACCTTAGGCCGCCCGAGCATGGGAAGAATGAGCTATGCCATCACCGCGAAGCCTCCCCAAGAACCAATTGTGAGTTCATATTCCTTGATTAACCCTCCTCTCCTGCTGACGACTTGATGACAGGGTCAATCGACAGTTATGTTAACTCTCGTCCAAGAGAACGTTCGTTTTGCTATCATAAGTACTCGCATGGAAGACAGCCTTGCCGTATCTCCGCTTCTGGATGAGCATGAACGACATGCACTTGATGCTCTATATCTGGAGTGGTATAAGCATTCTTCCGTTCAGAGCGAGTCTCCTCAGCCCAATGTGGCAGAGTTACCTGGCGTCACTGTTCTCAAGAATGTTATGAGATGGCGCTACCTGACAAATAGAATCATTCTCCACAGACCGGCCTTGCTGTGGTATTCTATGAGAAAAATCCCCTGGGAAAAGCTATGCGAGGAAAAGAAGGCTGCCATTGAGCTCTGTAGGGAGCTTTCAGCAGAATTGATCAATGAAATTGCAACCACATGGAGAGCACAAAAGGCATGCCAGATGTCAGGATGGAACGCTACCTGGCTTCTTTATCAAGCAGTGATGGTCCCTTTGCTTTCGCTCTATTCAGACCCTCTGAATTCCGAAGTTGTCGAACAAAGCCGCCATCAAGTGGAGATGGCTACTGGCGTCCTTGCAGAGCTACAAATTTGGTCAACGACGGCGAAAAGATCACTGGAAGTTGTGCTTAGATTATGGGAAGGTAGCAGAAAGCATGCGCCGGACCTAATGGACAAACAAGATACCTGCTTGCCAAGCAGCATAGACACGCCAACATCTATCACCAGTCAAATTCCCGCGCCTTCATCTGCCGGACCTTCTTTCAAACCAACATATATTGATGTTTCATTTGCCAACACATTTGGCAGTGATCAGGGGCTAAACACGGCAAACCAAGAAATGTTCATGGACAACATGTTCGACTCTCTGAACTGGAGCAATAGTTGGGATAGTCCCATTGGCGGACCGCCAATGATGAACAGATGGGACTATAACTCTATGCAGAATTGGGCTGGCATTCAACAAACTGACGAATACTTTGACACCAGCTTCTCCGAGGATCCTCAACACCTACAATACATGGACATTAATCCGACTTCGAATCCGTCAGATGTATTGTCTTACACAAATCTCGACCACAGCCACAGAATGTGAGCATCTCCTATCTTGTGTCATATGAAAGCGAAGGCATCAAAAGTTATCTCGGACCTCTATTCATTGATAGGACCAATTTCAAGTCCTTTTTGTTATGATGGCTGCCCACGTCTACTGGAATCACCAACCCGCGGAATGAACCCTTGAAATCGGGTCCACGGCGATATCGCTGGCAAGCACATAATTCAACAAGTGTGTCCACCGAAAAGATTCCGCTTGTCACTGTTTTGGTCATGTTGACTGAGGCGGCGTCGCATACCAGGTCATCATTGCGATGATGAATCTTTTCCATCATCGGGGACGCTACGCGCCCCGGATCCCCATATGTAGCGACACCCGGTCGCCTTGTGTAGAGACCGAGTCCTGCAATACAAAGGAGCATCAATATTGCTGCTTCAGTGGGAGACAATTCAGAGGAGCGTTTCATAGAAGGCGCTGCCACTTCATGACTCGTACACCCGTAAATGATAGATAAGCATGGGTTGACATAGCTGCTTGTCAACATCGCTATGCAGTCCCACCAAAATGTTCTTGCTGCATCAGTGTTGTTACATACGATACAGAAGAATCGAGTCAAAAATAACAGCCCCGCGATTGGGAAATCACCGGTGGGCATGTGGGCCCCTCGGACCTGACCTCGCCTTTGATTCCAAGCATGGCAATTACATTAGCAGGCCAGCACATGCAAGCCAAAAAGGCCTCCAATGGCAGGCTCGCTTAGTAGTAGCTTGCTTGCTTATCACACCTCGGTCGTGGCAAATTGCCGTAATAGCTGCATATATTTTACGCTATTAATTGGCAAGGGTGCATTCTGCTGGGAGCTGCCGGAGCAAATGTTGATGGACTCTGTACTCGGGAGCCTACCAGCCAAATGGTTCTGCAAACTCGGTCTGTTTCTTCTTTGTTCTGGCATTGCCAAACTTTCTTCTCCCTTGGACATTTCGTTGAATTCACTTTAGGGTCGAGCCCTCGTATCTCTCCAGCCAAGAGGTGAAGTTTCCTATTCAAGTATATACTACGAGCCACCGAGCGAGTACCTACTCGTACTGGACCTATACATAGCCATGAGGCTGGGTATCTAGAGGGCTTGAACGAAATTACTTACACCGAGCAACGTTCCATCGGCCAAGAATATATAAGAAAGGGGGCCGCAGAAATGGCAATTGTTTGAGACATCAATCATTGTCTTTCCAGAAGCAGCTCCTCGTCTGGTCTGGTGCCTTGACCGCAGCCTGGACCACTCATAAATATGGCAACCGATAAATTAGGCGACTCACCCCGTGCAAACAACAACCAGAGCCATCCCAGAAAAGTCATACCTCGGAATGCCGGTGGAAGAAGATAGAGTTCGCAGGCAATACAAGGTAGTCAGCAGCTCATCCCATGTTACACGCTGCGCCGTCCTTGGCAAACTTAGCCCACTTTCACCCCTGCGAGTTTACAAGTTGACAACTTCCGACATGGCCAGACAGTCCCCCTGTACAGAGGCACAGTTACCGATAGCTACCCCTAGCTCCTAGCTACGGGGGAACCATACGTCGCTGGTCTGTCTGCAGAGCCCGGGGAAGAATCTCCTTGCATGAGAAGAGAGGTCTAGGCGGCACTATTCAGTACTATGTTTAACCCAACTGATTCTGCAAGAGAAGGCGCGGGAGGCTCAGTGTTTCTTTCCTCAAGATTGCCTAATAAGGCCGTCCACGAGAAAAACACAAAATCTTTCCTCTCTCTTCTCTCTCTCTCTCGTCTCCCTGGCTAGGCGAAGCCGCTCGGGTGGGGGGGGCACCACACCACACCACACCACCGCTTCGTGTTCCGTTTTCCGTGTTTCGTGTCGCTGTGTCGTTTGCATATGGGCATTTAGCCTACGCCATTAGGCGTGAAATAGCCGTGAAGGGCCTTGTCTTTCGAGAGTGCCATCTACCGAGCTCCTTTTCCGTACGTGCAAGATTCCTTGCTACCTCTATTTCTACGGACACATCAGCCGTCTGGGGTAAATTAACGATCGACATCAATAGTTCCCGGGGCCATACCACAGCTCAAAGGGAGACCGGGGTGACACTGACGGGCACTTGATGACGACGACGGCGTACACTCGGGGAGTCTACCCGATTACTTTGTGACCACTTTGAACCCTTCTCACTTCTGAGTTCCTGGCTTAGGGGCTGAGCCGAGAACCCCTCGGCAGCTCGGGCCTACCCACGGGCCACGGCAACTTCCAGCACTGGCGCGAAAATACCTACTGAAGGTATCCAACTACTTGACAGTCCAACTATATCGGAACGGACAGCATTTGCACTCCACACATATGTGTACGGAATACTCGTACCTCGCAGCATCTAGGTGCTCCGCAGCCATCCAGGTCTGCTTGCGACCCTGGGATCATGAAACAGACGCCTGCCTAAATCGACCTTTTACGGCTTCATATCAAGTGCCGGGCGCGCCACCACTGTACATACTGTACCTCGTGCTTGAACCTGAGGTTTGTTTACGAGGAATTAACCAGGTACAGTTAGTCCCTAGCCCCATTAAAGACTGCGGCGTCAGTTGCTCGCTGCATCGCTCCATCCTTTCGGGACATCTTCGGCCTCCTCCTCCATCGTCCCCGAGTCTCGCGATGTCTTCGTGTGATGGGGAGGTCGCAGTGGACAAACAGATGTCTCTCTCTCGTATACAACACAATGCTGTCCTCCATCACGTGTTTGTATCTGTCAGGTAGCTGCTACTAGTGCATGCTCCGTAGTGCATGCTCAGTTCTCCATACCCTGCAATGTGGGGATGATCCTCCCCTGCGACAAAGGCCAAAATGATATTCAGGCACCATGTCCTTGAAATGTGGGGTTGCCGCTGTTGTGGTGCTACATGTACTCCTTACAGACGGACCTACCTCGACACATGATTATTAGTATTATTTGTGTACTTGCTCATAAACCTAGTCTCTCGTGTACATGTGTACACATAATACAGTATTAGGGTGGAAACGATTTGAGGAAGCAACAGCAGAGAATCCGCCGCCCGATTGTCACGAGAATCTCTGATCCTACCTGACACTGGACCAGAGACAGTGAGCGAGGGACTATGCTCCTCAAAGGGGCTTCTCCACCCGCATACATTATCCTCCTCTCCAGGCAATGCGCATGGTCCCTCAGGCTGGCTAGGGTAGAGACAGCATGGTGACTCTCTCCAGTTAGCGAGTCTGACTGTATGGACATTGCACATATCGTGGGTCCTAGACTCCTGTATAGCTCCAGGGGCACATCTGATATGTGATATGTGTGACGGCTACGTTGTATAAGCAGACTCTAGAGAAAACATTCGCGCGACGAGACGAGACGACACGACACGACACGACACGACACGACACGAGACGGGGACCTCCAGCCTGCTGGCCGAGCGTCGTACAATGTATGTACCCGGTTTGGACGTGTACAAGGCTCTCTGCTCAGCCCGGGTCACGGGCACTCCTTTTTCCTCCTGACCGACTTGGACGCTATCCATTATTAGGCAATTCAAAACATCTCCGTGGTCGTCCGTCGGGAGGGGGAACTCATGAGTAGGATGTGTAAGTTTAGTTCGAAAGAGTTAGAGATGCGATGAATGCGCCGTTGCACAAGTACGGGCCTGGGTGCTCCACGGGCCATGGATTGGACGTCCGTCGGCCCTCGGCTGCTACTCACCAGTGACGAGCGATGTTGGAAATCTGAATGAACGAAGGAACCTGAATGGAGACAACAAATTGTCAAATTCGATTGGATGTCTGGGTATGTATGTGTATGTTGCCAACCCTGGAGCATGGTTAGGCTAATGGTCTGGGTCTGGGGTCTGATACATTGATCTGGCGCTCTCCCTCTGCCATCTCCTCCCCATCGATAAATACAGATGTGGAGCACGCGCCCATAAGTACGTACCCGCAGTCTTCCATGCATTCAATACACACCAGCTAGATACGCGTGCCAGGTGGGGCAGGGAGAAAGACATCCACACACATATCCAGGAGTACATATCTGACGGCCACTCCCCGCGTATGCATAAATTCCAGTCCAGTCCAAAATGCCGTTCATTCGCAAATGCCGAGGAAATTCAGCAAGAATGTGCAAAAATTCGAATGTCAGCTCGCCTTTTCATCAACACCGTTGGAGGTAGTTACTTGGCACTAAGCCAACGCCTCCACCTCTGACCCCCTTAACACTCTCTTTCACCTCAGCCTCCCACCAGCCGTCATCCTGCAGTCTCATGACGGCTAGAATGTCGCCTTTGCCGAAGCTCAATTCTTCTGGTATCGCTGCTGAATAAGAGTACATAGCACGAGCTGGAAGGCATTGTTAGAAAACCAAACTCAGGAGGTGTGCGTGCTTGGAAGGGACGTACCGTAGTATAAAAGTGGCTGTTGTTGTGGGGCTCCCCTTAGTGGGATGTTGGCCAGGCTCTTGCTCCTCTCCCGTCGCAGCTCAATCTCACCACTACTTCTCCCCCTTGGGTCTCTACCTCCATCGTACCCCTGACCTTGAGCTTGCTGGTAGCGATCTCCGCCGAAGCTTGAGTTAGGCCTCATGCTCTGTCGGTTCCGTCCACTTCCTGGGCCATCGTATCTTGTTACATCTTGCGAGCTGAGTTGCATCTCCATACCGCTACCCTGTCGTGAAGCTTGGTTCGGCTGACCTCTTGACTGTCTGGTGTAAGGATTTGGGGAAGCTGCCCGGTATTGCGAGCCCGATTGGCCATGAGAACCTGAATTCTGGTGTATCATTCCGGGAGCAGGGCTACGAGACCGCATGTTTGGGTTTTGTTGATATGTCTGAGGCTGTGGACTAGCTGCTCGTTGCATTCCAGGTGCCGGACTTCTGGACCGGTATTGTTGCTGAGGTAATGGACTTGCCGCTCGGGGTACCATTCCTGGAGCTGGACTGCGTGACCGCTGTTGGTATTGTTGAGGCTGAGGGCTTGCAGCTCTCATCATCCCTGAGCCTGGGCTTCTTCGTCCATCACGGGTGCCCGGCCTTGACTGCTGACTTCCTCTGGGGGCCGAGGCCATTGAGTCTGTTCCCCAAGTCTGTGTACGGTTCAACATTTCTTTCTTAGTATGCGCAGGCTGAGGAACTCCCAAAGCACTTTGAGCTCTTCCACTGGCAGTATCATAGGCCGGAGGGGGTGTCCCTCGTTGAGCTGCAATTCTTGCCTGACTTTCAGCACTCATTAGGGATGGTCTTGAAGCTACCTCTTGATCTGGAGCTGGAGTCGCAACTCCATGGTAGCGATCGACAGCAACCCGTGTACTAGCCTGTTTGGACATGCCAGTGCTTCCCGAGGTGCTCTTGAGGTCTGCAAGGGCCCGGGCAATTGGATCGTGCATATCATCACCAATTGATGAAGGTGGGAGAAATTGGCTTCGACGATTGTTCGGTGCGCTTGCTTTGGGTGTTGATTGATGGCTATCAGGACTGGCTACATCGAACACGTTGTTGCCAACGTTTAGCTGGAAGCTAGCTCGAGGATCCGCAGCTTCCTCTCCTTCTGGGGCGACAACACCGGCATTTCTGTTGAAAGGGTTTCGAATCGGAGATTTGGTTGGACTGGATTGTGTGCTGGATACTGTAGGGTTGAGGTTGATCCGGCTAGTGGTTGAGGCAGAGACATTCCAATCATTGCGGTTTGGAGGACTGCTGGTGCTGGGATGTTCATGTTCCTTGCGTGATTTCCTCCGGAAGGGACTATTGAAGAAGCCCGATCTCTTCTTCAGCACACTCTTGTCAGGCGAGGTCATGCCAGGTAGTGGGACTCCGTTGATGGGGCCCATCTTGGTTGGAGAGGCAGCTCCAGAAGCTGGCTCCGCGCTTGTGAATGAGCTAGGAGCAGAATATTCACTTGCACTGTCTCTACTCTCCGGCCGAGTGTTGGAAGATAATGTCGACCCGTTGATGGAGCCAGGCACATCTGTCCGACAAAACATTGTCATTCCATCAGTAGGATATTGGTTATGTGGGACCTGTGGGACATGACCATGCTGCGAAGGAGAATAATTGGGAGGTACATTGGGAGTAGGTTGTTTGTAATTCAGCGGAGCTGGTCGACCGCTGTTGGGGTTGGCTGGTGCTGGCATATCGTCCTCTTCGCGGCCCGTGGGCTCTTCAGACATGCGCTGAGGTGTACCGTCTCGAGTGCTCCTGGACGCAGCGTGCGAATGTGTGGGAGACGAAGATCTGAAGGCTGGATTGGTGGTACGGGGGAACTGAGCAACCGAGTAATTTTCATCCTCCGAAACTTCCGAAGCTGTGTCGACATCGCCACGACAGAAATTGATATACTTGGGGGGGCCAGGAATCTCTTGCCCTGTTCCACAGGTCTTGATGAAAAAGGTAATGTCCTTCTCGACCTCACAATTCTCCAGAGCCAGACGAATCTTCTCGCAAGAAGCATCATCAGAGACGCAGACTGTGGAAGCAATGTTGGCAAAAGCCCATAAGGAAGACTTTGTGAAGTCAAGTCGTTCCTCCTCGAGGTCCTGAAACTTATCGCACGCAGCTGCCCACTCCTTCTTCCAGCGGCCGGTCGTTTCCTCCAGGACCTTAACTGCAGTTTCATATTCATTCGAATTGGCGGCCATGTTTATCTGTGTCTTTTCCAGCTTCGATTTATTCTTGCGTTCCTCTTGACCCATGACCATGTGCCCCTGGGCAAGATAGCCTTTGATACGCAGACAGTCCTGCTCGTACTTGTCTCGACTCTTATAGACATGAGCAGTCTGTTGTTGCTTGGTCTTCAAGAGCCTCTCGATTCCATTCTGGACAATCTTTCTGCGCTCTTTCATGCCACCTGAGAATGCCGCCAGCGGCTCCTCCAACTCGGACTTCATCTGCTGAGCAACCAAGGCATGTTGCTTGCCCATAGATTCGGTTTCCCCCCGAGCGACATCGAGACTAGCGCGTAGTGTACCCTGCTCAGTGCTTCCCAGTGGCTTTCTGGATAAGCTGAGCAGCTTCTTAGCATAGTCTTCCTCTAATGCGGCCCGCGCAGTATAGAACGCCTTGAGTTCGTCACAGGTGGTTCGGGCATTTTGCACTCGTGTTAGGAGAGGTTCGACGCCGGCATCATCTCGTCCCCAGAAATTGTTGGAGACTATATTATGATCAGAGAATGCTCCGGTTCGTCAAGATTTGGAGTGCAACTTACAGCTCAATGGCACAGATGGAGGGGCGCCGGACTCGGATGCGGTGCCTGCTGGCATCGTGCCAGCTTGTAACGAGTGACTCTGGCGATAGGTAGAATTGTTTGTCCTGATTGAATAGGTAGCAGGCAGTAAAAGAACATCGAATAGGTACGATTATATTCAGAATGTCTGTGCTTTGTCAAGAGTTGTCTTGCAGATGGAGGTTCGGATCTCGACTGGAGTGCTTGTACATGTCCAACGGAGTGACGAATGTTTAGGTCTCCCTGCCTAGATTGGTTGCCCAGCAACCCCACGGAAATCCAACAAATCTGCCAAGCGGTATATCAGCACCTGACTGCTTCCACGTGACCAAACATTCGATAAATCGATAGCAGCCATCGACTTTACTGTACTGTATGTGAACTGCAGTCGGAAAGCTTTGACATGGTCAATCCCTTGTGGTTTATTCGAATATCCGACCCCAGCCCTTGACTAGCCCTGTGTTGACTCCCACAATCTTCAGAACTCCCCACACCACCGTGCTGACTGTGTCTAGAACAATGATCCCATGAGTTTTCTCCCAATATTCGACCCGTTGTGCAGCGCGCAGGTTAGTACAGAATGTGGTAACCACGTGAGCTCCGTTATCTACCACTTCCTGTACCATTCGATCCAAGGTTCCCTCATCAACCATGACAATCTTGTTGTTGTCCGTGATCCCGAGATGGTTTTCCCGCGACTTCTCGATTGCGATTCCCGCGGTCAAATAGTTTCTGCTAATTCTATCGTTAATTTCCTCCAGATAGGGGGTCACCAATCCCAAAGCTTTCACCCCATGAAGTGATAGTAGCTGGTTGAGGGCTAGTGTTGAGGTCGTTGCTGGGATCTTAGTCTCAGCTTCTATTACGGCACATAATCTCTCGTCCACTTCGAAACCAAGCCATCCAGCCGATGTCCCACCCCACCCTATGACATTAACATGAGCATCTGCAAGCAGTCGAGCGGCTGAAAGTATCGTTCCAAGCTCAAATTGAGCGTTAGCATTGTGTGTAAGATCGATTGTGGTGACCCGGAAGCGTGAGAAATGTACGGAAATGGAAAGCTCCTCTGATTGAATGGAGGAGAGGATGGCAGAGATCAGTGGCTCCAGTATAGTATTGGAAGATGGCACTAGGATTCCAATACGAAGTTGTCTTGCCATGATGCTACTTCTAGTCAGTAATGAAACGGGTGCGCTGGGGAAATTAAGGCTCACAAAGTTTAGTTTGATGAAATCCAATTAAAGTCGAATGATGGCTGGTGGCCGGAGTTCGACGTCCGTTCCCATAGGTCAACTCCGAATGTCTTGAACTGTGTTTCCTGCTCAACTCAGACTCTGTGAGTCGCTAGAAGGCCGAAGTAAATCTTGATTATCCATGATTAAAAGGTCTGCCAACACACATTTGCCCTATCCGAAAAACGCCTTCGCAAGATTCCATATGCTTGTTCATTCGTTATCAACGAACGAGTTGGCCAGACGGCCGAAAAAGGGAACTTCGAAATGCTCAAGGTTTTCCACATCCCGGTAAGCATGCATTGTCAAGAAGCCGATCAAGACCAGGTCGATGGCAAAGAGAAGCCAGGAGAGAAATTTCGACCATGACAGGATCAAGTGCAAAATGAAGATGGCCGAGAATAGCATGCTAGACTGCCATGCGTGGAATCGCACGTAGTCACTCTTGTGTTCCAGTATGAGCAGCAGTACGCCGCCAGCGGGAGGTAGCAAGAGATATGAAAGCATGGCTTCGTGGTCCAGACGCATAGGTAGGCTCGACTGGAAGGCTTCTAGACTCTGACCTCGCTCTTCTCGAGACAACGATCCACCCAAGAATGCATCGTTGGAAAACGAGCTTGGTGGCGGTAGTGGTTGTACATCCGAAATTGCTCGCGTAATGGGCTGGGATGGTCTATTCTGAGGTGGAGGGGATCGTACTCGTGGTGACTCAATAGAGCCTCTTTTGCCAGGCGGCGGGGATAATGCGCGCTCTCTGAGAAACCATCAGTCACGGTATTGTAATGAGTGGCCTATGTAGACACCTACAGCTCTGGGGATCCGTCTTGGTATGGTGCAAAGTCCATTGTTTACTTTCTCTCTATGGAAAGCCAGGGATGCAAAGTGGTGTTTCGTTTGCTGATCTTTCCGTGGCCAGTAATTTTTGACAGTGAAATACCTCTTCTGAAGGATGATGGCTCAGGTCCCAAGTTTCTCAATCAATGTCTCCTTGATTGGCGACTACAGACCAACATTCAATGCGTGATATGGTGGCCTGCGCTGGGCCGTTCTGCCTGCAGCCGCGACCGAAGCGGATGGCGCTTCCTGAAGGCGGTAAGGCCGCTTCCTGGCCGAGGGAGCAAATAGTTATAGCGGCGCTGGATTTGCCTGGCTCGGACTAGCACAATATCATTCGATCAACTCCGAGTCACTAAGAGAAGGACGAGAGGGACACAACACAATTCACGCACACACGCTTTCGGCCGAAATCCGATCCTACAGTGGAAGCAATCTGTCCAGGCATTTTGCTGAATGCACTTTTCATGTAACCCGATCAGGCTCTCTCCATCAGGTCCTCTTTGGAATGTGTCATCAAGGCACCAAGGTAGCCACCCGTAGCCCCTACCAGGGATAGCTCTGTCATCAATCATGTAGCCCAGCGGTCCTGGTGCACTAGAAGACATTCAAGGTGGTGAATAGGGTATCTGCTCTTCAGTGTGGCCGTCGCTGAAACATTGCTACTGTTAATCTGGCGTTGTCTTGTGCTACCACTAGACAATATGGGAACTAATTTGACCCGGTAAGCGAATTTAATGTCACTAATTCCGTCTCAGTATCAAATCGCATCGCTCATGTTTAGAACCACCGACAGGGTTCGAAAACGCAATGCATGATTTCACATCCGTACCGTTCTTTGTACCTTACATCATTCACCGCTTGTTTGGCCGTCGACATCGAGGCGCTTGGAGATATAAATAACCCTTGCACTATTTGGAGAAATCCCAGGGAAAAGGCGTTCAAGGATGTGAACCCTGTGGCATGATGACGACTATATGGGCATGATGTATCGCCTACGGAGTCTTGGATTTAATTTGAATATGGCTTCCTGGGGAAACATGAAGCGGTAGACTTGGTGACCAAGGAGCGCGCTTCTTCACCTAAAGGAGGTCCAACTTGATGTCCGTAGACTTCAATCAATTGTCGTCAGCCCTCAACGAAGTCCTACCTTCAACAGCTTTGGCATGGCCCTTCTCAACGTTATCAACGTCACCCACCTCTTCCACCACCACTTCATGGTTCGCATGGTCCATATGGATGTTTGCCGCGAATACTGCGACCTGATCTTCCTCACCAAACAGAGCAGCAATTTCCTCGAGAGGTAGTCCTTTCGTTTCTTTGATCTCCAAAATGGCCCATATAAAGGCCACGGAAGTGATGCAAATGAAGACCAAGTAGAACTTCCATCCAATTGTTCTCATTGCTGTTGGTGTAACTTGGAGGAGGACCTTTCATCATGTTAGCGAAGTTAGCTTAATGTGCATTGGAAGAACTCACGAGATCAGTCAAGGCAAGAGAAGCGACTCCTATGGACATCCCTTTCGCCCGATAGTGGTTGGGGAAAAGCTCAGGCAAGTAGACCACCAGGGCGTTGTCGAGCGTCGAAGCGAATATCCAAATGAAGAGATATCTATGGTCCCGGGTTAGTACAGATTGCCGTTCGTATATGCAGCAATACTTACAGCATCGCAACTGCCGTGCCCAACGCCGCTCTGTTCGGGTTCTCTGGAACAGGCGTCGCAAAACGAGCTATTATTGCGGCCAAGACGACCAGACACACGACACAACCTCCAAACCCAAAAATAATCATGGGTCGACGGCCCCATTTGTCCATGAGCCATGCACCTGCGATAAAGTCAACGAAAAGGGCTTGCAGTTAAGCGTGTGCGACTTGCTCACCGATCAAAGAAGCGAATATGCCACCAGTGATCCACCCGCAGAGCAGAATCAAGGTTTCCTCCGTGTCATATCCTAAGGAGCTGTAAATCATGGGACTGAAATTGTTGATTACTATCACACCAGATGCTTGGCCAAAGGCACCAATAAGCATAACAGTAATTGCTCGTCTGCGATATGAGGGTTTGGAGAACAGTTCCTTCCAGGACGAATTCTGGGCCCTGTCGTACTCTGCCTGTGTACGCATCTGATAAAACTCGCTCCGAGAGAACTCGTCATCGGGACCACCTCGATGAAGTCTCCGAACAACTCTCTCAGCCTCCTCGGGTCTATTTTTGAGCAGCAGCCAACGTGGAGACTCAGGGAAGATCGGTAACATAAGGAGCATGAGTGCAGGAAAGAGCAATGCGAGGCCTAAGGGTGCTCTCCACTGGGCCGCAGGATTCGTTGAGTGGAAGAACGCCAGTCCCATGTATGAAGCAAGAGAATAGCCCGATAATATCAGAACCCCGTTCAACCCACCGAAGAAACCACGCAAAGCTGGTGGCGCAAGCTCAGAGGTATATACTCCCGTCACCGGGACGAATGCGTTGGCACCTACGCCAACTAGAAAGCGAAAGGCAATGAACATGCCGGGGTTCTGAGCTGCACAACACATAGTCCCGCCAATCAAGGCAAAGGTAGAACAAAAAATGATGCCAATTTTGCGGCCCCATCTGTCACTGACGTAGCTAGAAGTGAGAGCACCGACGGCCGACCCAGCCTGATGTTATTTAGTACGTTGCCCAGGCCGTTAGCAGGAGAAGGTGGACGTACAAAGAAAATGCCTGACATTGCTCCTTCGATTGAAGACGCACTGCTGGTGGGGAGGAAGGTCTCAGGGTCTACTAGCTTCATGTAAAGCAGGAACGATGGTTGCCCCATGGTAGTCGAGATGATTGATGCATTGTAACCGAAAGCCAGCTGACCGAGGGAAATCAGGAAGCAGATTCCAAGGTTGTACCATGTGAACTGCTTCGAGCCCCCAAATGCGGCCTTCCGCGCAGGCTGAGATTTGTGATGCATGCTTTCAATTTTGAAGGTCTCGTCAAGAGGCTCGTTTTCCTGGAGATCCATACCTTGCATGCTTTTATATACTTTTGCGCTTATCGAGATTCGATATGAGCCATTCCGTCGGTATGCGTACTTCCCAAGCGACTCCACATCTTTCGGGTCCGTATTTTCGGGCCCAAGCTTCTGTATGTGGGAGGCAAATGCTACTCCGGTCTGGAGCACGCATATGGCCGGGGAAATTACTGGGGATGATCCACCTGGATCGTACAGCCTCAACCCGACCTCGAATTTGCACTGCTAGACGGGGCTAGTCAGTCAACAAACGACCAAAATGGGATAGTGACCTCGATGCTTCTGGCTTGAATCTGGCGACGAGGTGCGAAGCGGACTCTTGGAATGATTTGAAGGAAATAGTTCGTGTTTGAGTTGGCGGAGGCCGCGGCAATACGGAGATCACGGACTTCTGAAGTAAGTGGGGACTTCATCTCTTGGAAATGTAAGTCCATGCTATGTCCAAGAGACCGCACCATAACGGATGGAAAGATCGGCAAAACAATGCACAGGCTGAAAGGAAATAGTAGGACATGCCGAAGAATATGTGCGGCTCCATGTATCCGAGCGATTCGTGGATGAAGTTGAATGAGCTGACATGACGTCTGAATAAAGCGGCGGAAAGCACCATCCCAGAGAAGCTCCAGTGCAGGGATAGGTTTGGCACTAAATACAGTAGGTACATACTCGTTATACTCGGCAACGGATACGATAGGACTGGGGCATCTCTGGATTACTAGAGAGCCCGGGCTTTAATTCCCGGTGCTGAAGAGGAAAGGTTGGTCGGCCTTGTTAGGGAGTTGACTGCCTAGGCACAATCTCAACTTCTCTTGCGACTTAAATCTTGCAAGAGCCAGGTCCTAAGATCTGATACATGCGACATCGAAGGATAGGACACCAAGAAAGGCATTCTTCAAGCTTTCAGAAAGGCTAGGCTGGCAGAACAGCTGGAGTCACCTTCGTAAACAAAAGGAATACTTGTTCTCACTCAACCGAAAAAATATTGCAAGAACTTCTCAGATTTGGCAAATATGCAGTATACATCGCCATGGGCGTCTCTGGCGATTCCGAAGTGCAATATTTTGTCCTACATCTACCCTCCCGCCGAATCACCATCTGAAAAACCCATATGGATTGACGCCGATGACACCTCAAAGCGCTTGTCACCAGCTCAAATGCTATCCTGGATCAAAAGATTCGTTGTGGGCCTAGACCGACTTGGAATCCAACAGCAAGAGGTCATCATGGTCTTCACTCCGAATCACCTATTTGTGCCCATGGCATACCTGGCAGCGGCAGGATCGCAACGTCACTTCACTGGTGCAAATCCCATTTATACGGTGAACGAAGTTGCACACCAAATGAAAGCGATTGAAGCTGCTGTGGTGCTCATCCACCCGTCACTCCTAGAGACCGGCATCGCCGCGGCAAAACTAGCCAATATCTCTCTTGATCGGCTCTTCATCTTCTCTGAATCGCAATGCCCTACAACTTCAGGTGTACGCGACTGGCGCACCATGATTGCTTCTGAAGAGGATGCTGCTTCCTGGAAGTGGGATCCACTGGAAGGCGAGGCCGCGACACGGACCACTGCCGTGATCAATTTCTCCAGCGGCACCACAGGCCTCCCAAAGGGGGTCTGCATCACACACCACAACCTCGTTGCCAACACTGCCCAACTTATATTCAACAAGTACCAAGGGACAGGTCATTCACCCGAGAATCCCGGACCTCCTGAACGATGGTTATCATTTTTGCCCCTCTATCATGCATACTCCCAGCTCGTCACGATAAACGTTGCCTCTAAGCTACAGATTCCAGTGTATATCATACGCAGATTTGTGTTTGAGGACTTCCTCAAATTCATCCAACAGTTTAGAATCACAACGCTTTGGCTGGTGCCACCGATCTTGGTCATGATGGCCAAACGTCCCGAAACAGCTAGATACGACATCAGCAGTGTGAAGCATGCGCTTTCTGGAGCAGCCCCTCTGTCAAGTGATCTTCAGAATGAAATTATGGCTCGCTTTGAGCCTTTGGTTGTTTGTCAAGCATGGGGAATGACAGAAACTACATGTGCCGGGATTGGGACACCGGGATTGACGAAAGACCTCACTGGCAGTATCGGTTACCTTTTACCCAATACTGAGGCTCGATTGGTGAATGATAAGGGTGAGGACCTGACGACAGATGCCGAGCCAGGAGAATTATGGCTGAGAGGTCCGCAGATTATGCGGGGGTACTGGAGAAACGAACAAGCTACGCAAGACAGCTTAACAGCGGACGGTTGGTTCAAGACTGGCGATGTAGCTGTGACTAGGCAGGGGAAGTGGTGGATCGTGGATCGGAAAAAGGAGTTGATCAAGGTCAATGGACTTCAAGTCGCGCCCGCGGAGCTAGAAGCTGTGCTCCTCGAGCACAAGGACGTAGCCGATGCTGCTGTCGTAGGTATCAACCTGCACAACGAAGAATTCCCGCGGGCATATGTTGTGCTGCAGGAGCACGCCAAAGGAAAGACCACCGTTCTAGACGTCCAGGATTTTGTCGCTCAGAGAGTGGCAAAACATAAAAGGCTGACTGGTGGGATCAAGTTCATCGATGAAGTCCCTAAATTGGCGAGCGGAAAGATCGTGCGGAAGTTGATAAAGGAGTGGGCAAGGAACGATGTAAAAGAAGTTGAGAGGATCGTCAAGGCTAGGCTGTGAGCTTCCTTCTGTCGTGGCTGTCACTTGTAGCACAGCTGTAGCTAAGCTGGAGGTACTCTAGCGGATGTTGGATAGTGCTCAGAGAACATAGACCATTTGTACGGATAACTGGAACTCATTAGAGTTATGATATTGCAACGCCTCAGCCCTTGAATGAAACCATTGTATCTGGAAGACAAGGCTGTGCGGAGCGGGGTCCACGCCTCTGTACTCGTCCACATATCTGACAGTCTCTGATGGATTGATCGTCACAATGGATGTTGTCCATTTGCCGTAAACCTTTGAATGGATGAGTAGCAGCTCTGCGCAAGGCAAACCCCAGACACCAGAGCTAAGTGCGCCCGTGAAACTGGGTATATAACACTGGGGGGCCGTTCCCTTGCATGTAGGCTAGGCAAATTTTTAGTCTGGCATTATTGATATCACTCACGCTCACATCGGACCTTTGTGTTGCTCTGTGGGCTTCAATCAAAATAGTAGTCGTGGTCGCTATGAGTAAAACCACTTCACCTGGCAATGAACGTACGCTGCCTTTAACCGCAAAGGCCATGGCACCGAAGCACAGAGCCCCGTGATAGGCTTGGCTCAAATGGGCCGTAAGCATCTCTTTCTTCAGCCTAACGTTATGGTAATTGGGGCTTCTCATTCTCAAAATTAGAGGCGTGTAGGCTAACGAAATCGTAGATCGCTATGCATTTGCTTAACATCAAAATGCAGGCTTATCTATTATTGGTCTGGTAGACCGTGGTCAAGTTAATATTCAGGATGAACTCAAGCAATATCCTCTGTTACGAGACTCCTAAACGGCTCTAACACTCACGGACGTCGTATCGATCAACAGGCACGCCAATTCCCATACAGACTATGCAATGGCGGCAATGGAGGCCGGTGCCCATGTGTTTGTCGAGAAGCCACTTGCTCCAACAGTGGCAGACGTGGAACGTGTTATCGCGACGCACGTCGAACCTGAAGGAAACTCGTCTTTGATTATATACTGTGATATCACCCTAGTTGGATTGAATCCATTAGGCAGGCGCGTCAGCTTGGCCCGCCGCACGTCATGCGCATGAACCTCAACCAGCGCTCGACTGGCAATGCCTGGACAATTCACAAACGCTTAGTGCAGAGTGTTAGCCCTCTCGTAGACTGGCGTTCACTATGTTGATGTCATGTTGCAAAACACAGACAGTCACATGGGCGTTCGATTATCGGACGAGATCTCTCCTGACCAGGTCAACTATGGCCAGCTGCAGGTCACTTTCGAAGATGGCTCTGTAGGCTGGTATGATGCAGGCTGGGGACCCATGATTTCCGAGACGGCATATTTCGTCAAGGCCGTCTTTGGGCCGCGGGGGTCCGTTTCTATCGTCATGGACTAGCGCCTGGGATCGATAGATATCAACAGCCATACAAGGACTTCTCGACTCCGCATGAACCACGTCTCTGATGGAAAGGACAAGATGCTTTCCATGTCTGGTGAGCAGACCATTATGGGCTTTGCGCTTTCGAACAGCAGTATCTACTTGAGACAATTCTCGAAGCCCGTAACTTAAATGAACATATGCACAATGCCATCCGCTCGCTCGCGATCGTTCTTGCCGCGGATCAGTCCATGCGCGGAAAACGTGCTGCCGATCTGAATACATAAATGTACCGGATGAACTAAGACTCTTCAATGGCACTGATGGATACGGGGGACTGGAAATGTCTTAATAGCCACGGTTCCACGGCTCGAGGTGTTTCAAACTTGCATAATTCATGTATAGTCGCAGACGTATGTCGTAACTAGATACCTAAAATTCTTCAATCAGTACGAGATCAGGTTTTTATTGCTCGGCCATTGAATGAGGCTCAACAAGTGTACAGGGCTTGACAATCTCAGACAACAGCGAATCGCATGAGATATCTTGTGCCCACATCTTGTCGTTGATGCAGAGACCGCGCGTTGAAAACCACTCTCTGATAGCGGCTTCTGAAAGGTGGTCGCCACCGAGCAGACTGCGAAATGTGAGCAGGTGAGGACGCAACAAGGCGGGATGTGTGTACCTTATAAATCTAGATTTGTGCCATTGCCTAGGCGAGCTGCGTCCACGCTCGCGTTGCTTGTTCCACGGCTTTGGTGATTACCGTGATGACCCGGGCTCTTCGAACTCGTTTAGACTGATGATTGGGATTTTTGAACATAAAGGTTTGGTTCTGCTCGAGAATTGTGATATAGTAGTAGCAAAGCTTCATCCGCGTCCTCTGCTACCTCTGCCTCGGCCAATGCCAGGGTTCGCCCTTCGCGTTGAAGTTGTGCCTCGTTTAGAGCCGGTAGTACTATTTGTTGAGCCACCCATCTGGACATAGGACGTAGAGGTCGACGAGGTCGATCCTCTCCCAGTCGTACCAATCCTGCTTGAACCTCTTGAACTGGTGGGCCTGGACTGTTTGATGGCTAGTTCAGCTTTACGTTTCTCTTCTTCTTCAGCCCGCTGAGCTGCGGTAGATCTTCGCTCTTGTTCTTCAGCCTCGCGTCGTTCAGCTGCTCGCTGTTTCTCACTGGCTTCTTGTTCGATGTTGGCAATGTCCTGGCTCGCACCGTGCCAGTTGGGATCAAGGATAAGACGTTGATTGTGCTCAGTCTGGGACAGAATGCGGGTCCAGGTATTGAGCAATGTTGATGCGGCGCTGACGGTGGTGTTGACGGTCTGTTGATCGTGTTAGAATAGATTATTTGGAATACTTCTACATCAAGCTACCTTGATGTTATTCTTTGCCTTTCCGAGACTTTCGATGACTCCTTCTATAGCTTCGTTGACTCGGCGCACACTTTCAAGTTCATGGCGCAGTTCTTGCTCCCGAGCCTCTTGTTGTTCGTAGGTGGGTCGAAGGTTGCCCTGGCCGGATTTCACGGGTGAATCCCACAGGCTTGTTTCCTCGTTTTGGTCCTCTTGGGAAAGGTAAGAGTTTGGATCCATCTTAGAAGCGAGACTCGGATAACTGTGTGAATGCTTGAGGCCGGAGTCATTAATTTGTCTACTTTTGGACTCCGTGGTCGGTATAGAATGGCCAACGATGGTGGTCAATGTGGAACCGCACCACTTTACGCGAGTCAAGGCTCGGTGCCCTCCAACGCGTCGGCGAATGCAAATTTGCCAAGTTTTGCGCTGTTTGTGCTGTTTGCACTTTTCCCCAGCCCCCAACCACCAGCCACGGATGCAATCCCAATGCCAACCTCCGCCCATCCTGCGACAACTTGATTGTCCTCGATGTCGTCCTCATCGCTTCTATCGCTGTCTCTTTGCCCACCCCTATGAACGCCATATTCCTTACTTTCGCTACATACACTTTTGGAATCTTTTGGTAGCCTTGTTGCGCAGGCAGTACGCGACGAGTTTTTTGAACCTTCACTCCCGGCCGTCACAACCGGCACCATTCACACAATGGCTGCGACACCTCCCCTTCAAATCCTCTCAAGTCCGGCCACACCTCCAAGCCCTTTACATGGTGCTAAATACGATCGAGCAAACGCCTTTCCCACTAGGCGCTCCACACGCGCTGCGACAAGAACTAGGTCAAGGAATCAGCAGTCAACACCCGAACCTCCCCGCCGCAGTCCCAGAGTTGAACAGGGAGCCAACACTCCTCGCTCACCCAAGCCAAAGTCAACAACTGCTGCAGGCCTTCACTCACCAGAAGTCACTCCAAATACAAGAGGCTCACGCCGAGTTCAAGTGATGTCCCCCCACTCTCCTGACATTCACTCTCATTCTTCCTCGTCGAAGCAGCCTCCGCCCGCCGAGTCCAATTCACATCTTCACCCCCAATCCTCTTCCGCCGCCACCATCTCGGACGGCATGCTACCTACTCCGGTCAAAACTCCAAAAATGAAGAAACCGATAGCGAATGCCACCACTGCAGCCAGAGCCCTGTTCCAAGACCGTGCTCAAATGGCTGCTCAGGTAGCACCAGTTCAGCACAGCCCTCGTCGTTCACGGAAATCCCAGCGCTTCAATGGCTTTTCTCTCGAGAGTTTCTCTGCACAGGGTGACGCTACCCGAGGTCAAATCCAGATTTACACCGACTCGAGAGACTGTGTTCCACAAGTCGACAACGACCAAGCCAATCCATTCGTTGAGCGCAAGAGAGATCGCGAAAGTATGTCTCCTCAAAAATCTGTCGTGAGGTCGAAGCGCCGCAAGGTTAGTACGGAGACGAGAATCGATCCCCAGGTTATGGAGGCTATAGACAAGGGTGATGGCATGGTTTATGTCTTGTAAGTTTTGATTGGTCTGATCTCGCTGGAAACTGCTAACTGGTAACAGTCGAGGCAAAAAGGTTTACCGGCGCTTCAACGACCTAGGAGATGACGAAGAGGACATTGATGAAGAAGATCTGGGTCTTTTGGAACACGCTACAAATGGTTCGGCCGAGGTGAAACCTCTGAAGACACTGACCCGCCGCTCAATAAAGCCAAAGCGGCTCTTCCAGACCGCGTCGCAGAAGCGTGCAAGGGAGGAGGAGAAAGAGGAAGAAGCAGCTACCGATATTGAGGACCATGGTGATGTTGCAGAGGATGGTCCTTCAACTTCAGTATCACACACCTCTGAGTCGAGCCTTAGTCGCGGTTTGAGATCGAAGAAGCACAAACTTCCCTCATCCGAACAGAATAGTCCTAAAGAACCAGGTTCACGAAATACGCAGAAGGGAAGTCCTTTTGATTCTTGGCCAAGACAAAAGCCTGGTTCTCGAGGTGTGGCAGGGTCTCAGAAGAGCAAGAAGCGAGGTGCAAATGAAGTGGCTGACGAAGATGTGGTAGCTGAACCTACTGTTGACGCGAAGAAAGCTAGGACTTGAAATTCACCTTGGACTTTCGCTTTGAAAGTGGGTTTGGTCTAGGTCTACCAAAAATGGGTTTCTGGAGGATGATTGTTGCTATGTTCTCCCTGGTCCTGCCTGAAGGAGCGATCAGGTCATGAAGTTTTGGTACAGTGAAGGGATTTCAGAATTCCGCCTTCAGTTCAGACAAGGATAATTTTCATGTGAGAAAGGCTGGATGGGATGATGGATCATTATCTCATGGGCTGATAGATTGGGTGAACGGTTTGCCAGAGGAACCTCAATTACCATGGGGATAATGCGGGTGAATCACATGACACAAATGGGCAACAGTCTAGACACACATCATGTGACCGGGCCAAACCCTGCTAGTACATATCAGGCGCCCATGGGCAGGCACTTGTGCTGGATTATATAATATGTACTCCGTACTAGGACTAGATCACGTGTGCCAAGGTTTTCTTTGGCCAGCAATCCTCCCAGGTTGTCTCTTCGTAGACCCAGATCAATTGTGGAGTTTACCAGAGAAAGAACAACTCACAACTCACACTTCCCTCGACATTCACGTTCAATTCATCTTCATCTCGTTCTCATACTTCACGTTCACGCGTGCCCCACCGCCCTCAACCCTTCTGTGGATTCTCTCAGATTCCCTCATTCTCCTCGACTCTCTCTTACCGCGCCCCGCTGAAGCAGCCGTCCATCTCCCATCCACCCTCACCTTCTGCAAAACATCTCGCACCTCCACACCCACGCCTGCCTTCCAAGGGTCATGATCGTTTCCCATGAGCTTCGATAACCCCTCCTCTTTTTCGACTGCTTCCTCTTCTGATAAATCATCTCAGTCCAGGCAGTCTCGATCTCAGCAGTCGCCCTGGGGACAGCCATTCACAATCCGCCGCCCTCTGACCCTGAACACAACCGCTTCCACGCGCAGGGACCACACCACCTCTGAATCTGACCTTTGTAACTCATCCACCTCTCCCTCCTCCGGCAACTTCCCTCCCTTGGTGGCCAGCTCCGCTGCTCGCTTTGGCTCGCGCCGAGGCACGCCCCCGAGTTCTTCTCATTCCAACTCCCCCATCACCGGTCTTCAAACTGGCGCTCATCAGCTGCAGAGTTATCAGACCCGCTCTATCACATCCCCCAGATCCAGAACCGTCACCCCATCGCAGTCTTTCGTTTCGGGCACTGCAGGCAATTTCTCTCAGCCAGCCCTGGGGGCCGGAGGAGGTGGTGTCTCCGGCAGGAGTGGTGCATATTCGCCTTCTTTGACAGGTACTGGTGTTAGTTCGCCAACCGCCCTTAACTTCGAGCGTTCTCCTAGCATATCATCCAACGTGAGCTCGGCAGCTGTAGCTCCATCATCACTCTCAAAGATCTCTGCAACTCAGATCCTGCTCTTGCTTGATACCATCAGCGAGAGAGAAGGCAAAGTCAAGTGGGATAGCAAAGCTGAAAAAGTCAGAAAACTTCTAGACTCCAACGGCATGGAGGTCTTTGCACAATTCTTCCGTCGGACTGTCATCCTCAATGCTGCTGCCATTTTCTCTGGTGCCAAAGACTTTGATCAAGGCAGCTATAAACTCCTTCGACAAGAGCTAGACAAAGTGCTCTGGGACTATGAACAGTCCTACAAAATTGCAGAAGCAATAGACACGTCCAAGGAAGATCTTTTCCGTGACTTCGACCTTGTTACCTTCATCCAACACTTCTTCAGCGACACATTGCCACAGGTCATTCTGGCTATTGCTTTTACAAGATGTGCTCGAAACGATTTGCGGGCCAAGGCTGAAGCATTCTTGAACGAATTTGGCTCCTCTTCGCTCAGGACCCTGGCAGACAATCGGGCGACCTCCCAAGCCTTCTCCGTCGAGTGCGTCTGTTCGGTCATTGAGTACTATGCACTGGCGTCTGGTACGAAGACTCAGCAGCAAAAGATAGATCTATGGACTGCCCTGTCCGCTCGATACGCTGGGCTAAAGCCAGATCAATTCGCCGCGGCCTTGACATCTTCACAGCTGCTGCGGTTGACTAGCGAGGCACGAGAATTTGCCCGCGGCCTCCAGCGGAACGGCCCTAAGCCTACCGCAACAAAACAAACAGCCCAAGATTTTGTAAACTCGTTTGACGCAAATGTCATCAATGAGTCCGAGGTCACCAACGCAGTCTTATTCTTGATCTTTTCATTTAATCAACATTACGACCTAAATCACCTTATTAATGCCCTTCAAACAAAGAAGCTTGATTGGAATCTTGTCGTTCAAGGCTTCGACATCCCGGGGCTCCGTCTGCGAAGAGATTATTTTCCACAACTCTTGAATGCGCTTAGGGAACCTGCGATTGACGACCCGTCTTTCGACTTGCAGAAGCTGTGGGGAGGTCAATGGCAGAATGCCGACACCCAGATTTCATTCTTAGGAGGCTACCTTGCCGGCTCGCCAAAGGATATCCAATTGGGGAAGCTTCCAAATCTGAGGTCTAGCCTCTCTATCGAAGATTTTACCAATCAGTCTTCAGAAATGAAGCGGCTACTTGAAGCAGAACTTGCAAGTCCCTATCTCTCTGCCGATGCATGCCAAGCAGTCTTCGAGGTGGTTCTCGGACCAAATGCAGCACCAGAAGGCGAAGATCGTCTGGATATCTTGCATGACGTGTATCAATCTCACGCCGCCATCTTCCTCTTATACCTGTCCCGCATCAATGCAAAGCCATGGGCTCCTGATCAAGAGAAATTCATCGCTGAGTGCTTCACCATGTTCCTCGAAAAGGGAAGACCAGATTATCAACCTGTCCTCGAAACTCTTTCCTCTCAAAACCCACAATTCCTCTTTGATCTTTGCCACCTAGTTTTTCAGCTCGATCCTCGCCAAACGGAGACCGTTTACGATCGAGCTGAGGAATTTGGTTGGACTGAGAGTTTCTTGAAGCACTGGTCGAACCCCTTGGCTTTGGACATCGCTTGCATCCGGAACAAAACCGTGCCAGATTTCAATCTTGACAAGTATATCTCAGAGGCAGCTGAAGCCCAACCTAATCTCGGGATGATCCTCTGCAAATATCTCCGAATCAAGGCCGACGATGAATTTCGTGTCCAGAGGGGCGAAACCGCTCCACAATCAACCCCACTTAGTTTGCGTACTGTTTATACCCTTCTTGAGAAATTGGAGGACTATCTTGACAATCGCGAACTTCTTGAGGCTGCGCAGACGACCTGTCTACAAACATATCCACGATTGATGAATTACGGCGCTGGCTTTGATGATGTTTTGGAGAAAAGCAGTGAAGAAAAGGGCAACAAGCTTCCTGAAGCCATTGACAAGCAGATGTCAGAACTATTTGGCAGAATGTACCGTTCCGAATTGTCCATCCGTGATATGGTCAATGAGATGCGACGATACAAAACTTCTCGAGATCCAGATCAACAGGATCTTTTCTGTTGCATCGTTCATGGCCTGTTCGACGAGTACGTCTGCTATAACGAGTACCCCGAGGACGCACTTGAGAAGACCGCACTGTTGTTCGGTAGCATCATCAAATACAAACTGCTTCCTTCCATTCCTCGGGAATTTGGCCTCGCACTAATACTACGAGCGGTCCGTGATCATGAAGGCGATTCTCTCATGCATCGATTCGGTATAGAAGCATTGCTGCAGATTAGTGATCAGCTTTCTGAGTGGCCAGGGCTGTGCAGTTTGTTACTGCAGGAGCCTTCCCTCCAGCACCCAGAAATCCTTCAACGAGCAGAAGAAGGCCTGAGAGCAGAACAAGCGAGTGGGACCGTGGTGGGTACAAACGGAACAGGCAAGACCCTTCCCACAAATGGTGAAGAGCCCACAAAGACCGATGCAAACCGCGGATTTCGAGGCTTGCGAGCCGACCCTCCTCCACCTCGCTCGACTTTCCGTGATCCTGATTCAAAGGTCCAAGAGAAAATCCTTTTCGTGATCAACAACCTTTCAAAGGATAATATGTCCAGCAAATTCACAGATCTGAAGGAGTCACTCAGCACTGAACACTACCAATGGTTTGCATCCTACCTGGTCGAACAACGTGCAAGGTTGGAGCCCAACAATCAAGAGATGTATCTCCAGTTCATCAAACTAGCGGACGATTCTCTCCTTCTGTCAGAAATCATCAGGGAAACCTACGTGAGTGTAGCCAAGTTGATGGGTGCGGAGTCAACCATCAACTCTGCCACAGAACGAAGTCACCTCAAGAATCTCGGTGGCTGGCTTGGCTCTCTCACCTTGGCACAGGATAAGCCGATCAAACATCGGAACGTTTACTTTGTCGATCTACTCATTGAGGGCTACGAAACCCAGCGACTACTTCTGGTCATTCCGTTCACCTGCAAAGTTCTGGCGCAATGTGCACGTTCAGTTGTGTTTATGCCCCCCAATCCATGGCTGATGGAGATTGTTCAGGTCTTAGTGGAGCTCTACCATTTCGCTGAGCTTAAGCTCAACCTGAAGTTCGAGATAGAAGTTCTCTGCAAAGATCTGAACCTGGACTTCAAGAAGATAGAGCCTGCTACGGTCATACGAGATCGTCCTCAAAATGATGACGAAATCACCAATATCTCCGGCCTACCGGACGGTCTTGAAACCTTTGACGAAATGTCACTCAACGGCGCCATTAACCGTGGTGTGAGAGAACGACTATCAGCTCCAGAAATCATGGCGACGCTTCCTAATCTGGAAGAAGTGCTGAAATACCCTCCTACCTCCGGCAGCCCTGCTGACCAGGCCATGGTCAAGAATATTATCTATCGGGCATTTGACCAAGCCATTCAGGAGATAATAGCTCCTGTAGTTGAGCGCTCAATTACTATTGCCTCCATCTCCACAGCCCAACTTGTTGCCAAAGATTACGCCCTTGAACCTGATACGGAGAGATACCGAGAAGCTGCCCGCCATATGGTAAAAGCGCTTGCTGGAAGTTTGGCTCTGGTAACATGTAAAGAGCCACTTCGGATGAGCATCTCCAACTATATCCGTCGGCCAGCCCAGGAGGACTTGCCCGAGCAACTCCTACCCGAGGGCGCCATCCTTATGTGTGTCAATGACAATCTGGACACTGCCTGCAGTTTCGTCGAGCAGGCTGCTGAGCAACGCGCTCTTCCTGAGATTGACCAGGTCATTGAGGGAGAGTTGGAAGAGAGACGTCGATTCCTTGCTGAAGCAGCTGGTCGGAACTTCATTCCCTCGGGAATCAATCGTTGGTCAGCGTGGATTCCTGAGCCTTACAAGCAAACGGTTGGCGGATTGAACGACGCTCAAAGAGCTGTGTACGAAGACTTTGATCGTCGCGTCCATGGAATGAACGTAAACCATGTGACTAACGCCTCCGCCGACACTACCGGGCGCCAAATCCCTGACGTCTTGCAGGATGCTTTGGCAATGCCGGCTCTGTCTACACCAGCCGATCAGCCCGTCCTGCCACATCAGAGTCCTCTGGTTCAGCAGGAGAACCGCATCCTGTCGGCATTGCAGCAACCTCGAGTCAACGGGTTCCCAGAAACACTTCCCCCCCATGAGAGAATATCAATCCTCATTGAAGATGTCCAGAAAGCTGCAAGAGCATCTGAAGCATCCCGACTGAAAGATTTGGAAAGGAACAGCTCCATCTTTCAGGATTTTCGGCAGATCCTCATCGTGCTTACCTCCTCTACTCGCCCAGCGGCAGATCTATTGGCCAGGCAGATCGCCGAGAAGATTTGCAACATCTTTGTCTCAAAGCCACCTCAAGGCCCCCTCGAGGCTGAGGTTCTTGCATTCTTGTTGTCTAAACTTTGCCAGCTATCCGAACTCATCATTCGCGATGTTTTAAGATGGATGACAGCAAATGAAGACCTTCTGTTGGGGAGCTCCAATGTTGTTGTCGCTTTGTTGGCAGTGGGTTTGATGGAGTATACACGGGTTGATATCGCTATTGCGTCAGTCCTTATGGCACGAAATCCTCACGGGCTCCAGGTCTTTGCAGATATACTGGATCAGACCCTGTTCACCGACGAGCCAACCGCGTTGCGTGCCGATTTCGCAAATAGTATGATTGCTATGTCATCATGGCTCAAGGAGGAGTCTGAACTTCCCTTGGCCACCGAGATCAACCGAAAGTTGGAAGCTCACGGTTTTTCACAATTCGTCAGTGTGGACATCCCTGACAAAGTCAAAGTCAAGCAAGATCAAATGCGATACGTCTTCGATGAATGGGTTGGAATCTTCGAGAATATTGGTCCAAACGAAGGTACCTGTGCAGCATTTCTCAAGGAGCTCCATAAAGAACAAACAATCAACAGCACAGAGGATTTGACGGAATTTCTGCGTTTGTGCCTCGAGGCTTGTATCGACTGCTACGACCGCGAAGCGCAAAGCGTTCGAGGCAGTGTTGATGTTGCATTCTCGCACGCTGATGCACTTGCTCGCCTTGTTATCTTGTTGGTTAAGTTCCAAGGTGATAACACCGGCGCAGTCCAAATCAACAAAGCCACCTATTTGCAGAATATCTTGACAGTCCTCGTTCTTATTCTGAACCATCACCAGGTCATGCGTGGTGTGGCTTTTCATCAACGCCTCTTCAACCGTCTCTTCACCAGCATGCTTTACGAATACTCTTCAGCAAGACTGGAGGACACATCTGATCACAATGATCTCATGCTGGCGTTTGCCAAGTGCTTCAAGTCTCTACAGCCTGCATGGTTCCCGGGCTTTACCTATGGCTGGCACAGCCTGGTACTCCATCGAGTATTTGTGAGTGGTGTTCTCAGACCCAACAATCAACGTGGATGGGATAGCTACCGTGAGCTCCTTGGGTTGCTTCTGCTTTATATCTCGGAGTTGTCGAAAACACCTGGTCTCGATCTTTTGAATCTTGACCTTTACAAGGGTACTCTTAGAAGCATCCTAGTGTTACTTCACGATTATCCTGAGTTCCTATGTGAGAACCACTCTCATCTCTGCTCCAGAATCTCATATGGCATCCCTCAATTGAGGAATCTGATCCTTACGGCCAAGCCATCAGCATATCACGACCTTCCTGATCCAATGACCCCTGGCTTGAAGATCGAACGTCTAGATGAGATGAAGCGAAACCCGGTTCTTGCTCATGATTTTGATGCACCACTAGAACATGAGGGGTTAAAACAAATCGTCCATGATATCGTCCACGAAAGTACTGAGGTGGAAGTCGGGTTGAAGCAAATCAAGGCTGTACTACAAAGCGAAGCAGCACAAGCTTCAGCGGTGTCGCCAGCCAAGAATGTGGAAATCATCAACGCCCTGGTGCCCTTTACTGGACAAGATGCGCTGAATAGTACGCCAGGAAGATTTGATCCTAACTCGGTGCACGTGTCATTCTTCACCAAACTCGCGCTTGGTCTCGACTATGGCGGACGATATCAGCTCTTGAATGCAATCGCCGATCAGATTCGCTACCCCAACACTCATACCGACTTCTTCTGCAAATTGTTGCTTCACTTGTGGGGAAGTGGAAACGTGGAAGAGGAACAACGAGAACTGCGAGAACAAATCGCTCGTGTGGTGTACGAACGCCTTACCGTTGCACGACCGCATGTTTGGGGCATGAGCATACTTTTCATTGAATTACAGCAGAATGGTGCCTATGGCTTCTGGGAGTCGATAACATCCGATGTGAATATGCAGCAACGTCTACAGCAAGCAATGCGGACACCGAACTGAGGCCTGGTTAGAGTCAGGTCGAGGAGCAAGCAGCAATGGACTTTGATACAGAGGCAGAGAACCAGTCCACTGGCAGGCTTTTACTGGAGAAGATCAACCGCCACCCCAAATTTGGGTACGAACCATTCGTTTTTCTTGTACACTTTTTCTTGCAGGTCGTGCTGTGCATGGGAGGCGAAGGCATTTGTCACAATAACTGTACCCTGCATACCAATGATGGAGTGACGGTTTTCAACGTGGAAGAATTGGGGATTGGATGGATGGCTGTTCCTTTGGTCCAACTTGCGAGAAGGCAGAAGATAAAACTAGGCATAATTGTAGCATGAGAAACGAGGGAGTCTTGCGGTGGCGTTCAAGAATGCTGCAGAAAAAGTGAGGTTATTATTGATAATTGCACCGACCCAAGACAAGCGGCAGCACAGGCGTTTCCCTGTTGGAGGTGTGGTGGATGATGATAGAACAGAGTCGAGGTTGATGTGTAGCGAGGGGAACATGCACAGCTACCCGGGTCTGTTCTACGATCGACTGTCAATCTTAGTCTGATACTGGTTTTGTGTACCATAGAAGCTCGAACGAAGGTGTTTATTGATGCAGCGGAACTCGTCTTGTCTCCGTCCATTGTGCATTGTGAGCCAGCACTGAACAGCGGGTGTGCCGTTTAAGCTGTGCCTATACAAGTATCAGTATAGCCCGCACTTTCGGCTCAGTCAGGGCCCCATCTAATTCGAATTGATCAGTTGTCAAATCCGTCAAGGGAAAAGGGGGACTAGGTTTGAAGCCGTTTTTGTCTAATTGTTATTATTATGTCGCGGTGAGACTAGACTCGATCTATGAGGCTGGCTGACCTCGACCATCTCCCGCTCAGCCCATACCACCTGCTGCTCGGTACCGAGTATCCCAGACCTTGGTCTTCTATCCCGAACCAGTAATCGTTTTCTTTCACGAATAGGATAGTGGCCTGAACGCGACCAAATGCTACTCGTCAAAAGCGAGGATAACATTCGATCTTCCTGGGTTTCGATGGCTGTCGATCGGCGTCGCCTAGACCCAAAGTCTATCGAGGCGGTGGCTGAGGATCAATCAATCCTATCAGTCTCTTCCCTGCACACTCCACCCACGTACTGATCATCTGTCAACAATGAACACAGAGGACAGGCCCGGCAGGCCTTAGTTGGACAGGATTTCCAGCATTGACATCACCGACTCCACACTGTCTACCCTTTTTGTCTCACGGTTCAGCTTCGAACGTGCCACCAAGCACTGTTCTGACATCTCTGCCGGCCACTGCTAATTTGCTGGCCTTTGTTTTGTTGGCATCTAGTTGAACTCACACGGGTACATCTGACATCACTGTCACACATTTGTCGGCGCGCAACCCTGCTGAAGATGGCAGTCCTGCATTCCGCCCAATAATGCAAATCCGGGTAACCTTTGCTCGAGGAGCGGATATGTAGATTGAGCAGCTGTATCCGTCCGCCAGAATCAGGTTTGGTTTCAATCCATCTGTCAAGCATCGTCATACTCGATCTGGGCGTACGCCACAGATGCTTTGATTTCCCATTTGGTAGGTACAAAGTATTGTCCTTGGTAAGACTATAAACGTATTCCCACTAAAGAAGGAATCAGGAAGGCGTCTGACTCTTTTCTGTGGTGGTCGAATTTGTTACGTATCCCTTCCTTCTTGATTCCATTGTATCACAGAAGGTGTAGGGCTTGCTTCGAGCAGGCCTATCCTCACCCTCCCCTTCTCCTTCGCTATGGACGGCACGAAAACCCATGTGCTATACCCTCGCCAGGTATGTTCCCAGCCGCGATTCCATCATTGCTGGAAACGGTACTGACATGTCATGCAGTCACAGGGAAGCAGTCGAGACGGTGGCTCAAACTCGCTCTCCAGCATCGTGTCGACGCTGATTCCGACTTTCATCATTGCAGCAATTGCATTCACCATCTTCCTGATACTTCGAGTTCGTCAACCACGCGTGTATCGACCAAGAACCGATGAGCGGCTACTACTTGAGGAGAGAAGAACGCCTCGTTCGGGTTCGGGCTTCTTTGGAATCCTGACAAACCGTAGCTCACTTCCCGACTCTTATGTCCTGCAACACAACTCTCTTGACGGGTATCTCTGGCTTCGATTTTTCAAGATCCTTATTGTGATGAGCTTCGTCGGTTGCTGTATGACATGGCCCGTCCTTTTCCCGGTCAACATCACTGGCGGTGGAAACGAGCAACAATTGGACATGCTGAGCATGAGTAACGTTGCGAATCCGATTCGCTACTACGCTCACGCCTTCGTTGCTTGGGTTTTCCTTGGATTTGTTGTCCTGCTCGTTGCTCGCGAGCGTATCAATTTCATTGGCCTACGTCGGGCATACTTCCTGTCGGCTGCCCATGCACAGAGACTTTCGTCTCGTACACTCTTGATCATGGGTCTGCCCATCGAGTACACGGAGGAGAAATCACTCCGACATCTGTTTGGACCGAGCGTTCGCAAAATCTGGATTCCGACTGATTGCAAGAAACTTGAGAAAGATGTCGAAAATCAAAACAAGGTCGCGCTGCAGCTTGAAGGTGCTGAGATGAAGATGATCAAACAGGCAAATGCCCTTCGTATCAAGGAGGAGAAAAAGCAGAAGAGCGATGCCCATGCGACAAATGCCAACCCAAGCCGCTGGTTAGATGCAAAGAAGCGACCATCCCACCGCCTCAAGCCTCAACTTTGGAAAAAGGTCGACACCCTCAACTGGTGCAGAGGCACTTTGTCTGAACTGGATCGATACGTCGAGGAACAGCAGAATGAGCATATGGACTTGAAGCATACCAAGATCTCAGCCGCCTTCATTGAATTCTCCACTCAAACCGCTGCGCACCATGCTTTCCAAAGTGTTGGCCGAGAGTCCCTGACCAAATTTGACCCGCGATACATTGGCGTCCAGCCGGATGAAGTGGTTTGGAAAAATTTGAGCGTCAGCAAACCCTCACGCAAGGTCAAAATTATGATCGCCACGATCATCATCTGGTTGATGATTTTGTTCTGGGCTATTCCAGTCGCTTTCGTCGGCGCCCTGACGAACATCAACTATCTAACAAACAAGGTCCCCTTCCTCGGCTTCATCAATGATATCCCAAAGGTCATTCTTGGTGTCGTTACCGGTCTTCTGCCCGTGGTCTTGCTGGCGGTCCTCATGGCGTTGGTTCCTGTCTTCTGTCGGCTACTTGCAAAATTTGCGGGAGAGCCCACGCTCTCCGCGATCGAGTTGAAGACCCAGTCTTGGTACTTTGCATTCCAGGTCGTACAGGTCTTCTTGATTACAACATTCAGTTCAGGTGAGAATCCCCTTTTCCATTTTGCTTATGTCTACAGATATTAATGTCTTTCTTCAGGCGCGTCTGCGGTGGCCTCGCAAATCGTGCAAGACCCCACTTCTGCTCCTTCACTCCTTGCTACGAATTTGCCAAAAGCGTCCAACTTCTACATCAGCTACTTTATCCTTTTTGGTCTCATGCAAGCAGGTCTTCAACTACTCAACGTTGTGCCCCTCTTGATGCTTAGCTTTGTTGGACCCAAGATTTTGGATAAGACACCACGCAAACGATATAACCGATTCATGAAGCTCGCCGGCCTTGGCTGGGGCTCCACCTACCCTAAATTCACGAACTTGGGTGTTATTGCTATCTCCTACTCATGCATCTCGCCTCTGATTCTCGGATTCTCAACCATCGGTTTCATCTTGCTTTACATCATGTTCAGATACAACTTCCTGTTTGTGTTCGGCAATGACATCGACATGAAGGGCGAGTCGTACACCCGAGCTTTGAAACAACTCTTGACTGGTGTATATCTGTCGATCCTTTGTCTCATTGGCCTTTTCGGTATTGGAGTCAGTAAGAGCAAGAGCAGTATTGGCCCTCTAGTAGTGATGGTAGTATTCTTGGTTACGGTCATTATCTTCCAGTTCCTGCTTGACCGTGCTCTTGCACCACTAGAGCAACACATCCCTCTGGATTTACTAACCGACAACAAATTCAGCAACATCCTTGTAGAGCAGAGCATGGAGGATGAAAATCAATTGAAGCAAGGACAGCAGATGGGCGCTGGACCGTCGAGCAGGCAGCCATCGGTCACTCCCACATTTGAGAAGACTGATAATAACGGCAATGTCCCTCAGCCCGACCCCAAGACCAAGCCCAAGCCATTCAACTTTCTCAGCCGCCGCCTTGAGCACTTGGTGCAAAAGTACTACGAATCTAACAAATCGATTGTGCCACAGACCGATACTGAGATGTCGATCCCTGGTTATACCTCTGAGGAATATGAGCAGGCATACCTGAACCCCGCCATCACTTCTCCAAGGCCCGTCATCTGGCTGGCAAAGGACAAGTGCGGCGTCAGTCACATATTAGTCCATGAGAATAAGGAGGCTGGTCTCCAGAGCACGGATGAACATGCCGAGTTTGATGAAAAGAACAAACTGGTCTGGAAGGAGGAAACCGTTACGCAGGCTCCTATCTGGGAGAGACCTGTGAGATATTGATTCGGGGAATGGAATGATTCATGCCTTTCCCCTTTGCTGGGTGGCGGTTGCTGGTAATATCCAAAAGCGCGAGCAGTTTTCGGGCGTGATTACTTTACACAGCACTAATGATTGCATCCACCAAAAATTGGAGCACAGTAACAAAAGAGAATACGGCCTAGTTTATGTACTTTTAATATGAAGACGTTAATGCATCTCACGATTAAAGCTTTCCAACTGTATGATCCTTGGCTCTTGTCAGCATTACTCTGGTCTGATCATGTGATAGTCATGTGACCATTTCAATTTTCTGTGGGAGTGACGTAGTTGGCTCAACATCGCGTCCTGCATCAATCGCGCTGGTTGAGGATGTCAACTTTCACATGCCCTCCGCAAATGACCACCGCTGAAGCGTCGTCTGTGCTTGCTTGTCCCTGACGTGGTTCCATCCGCCATGGAGTTGATCCCAAACCCATCCGTTGAATAAAATTCTCGATGCATCTGCATGAACACTCGCTTTGCTATGGCAGACCAGTCTCGTTACAGCGACGATGAAGAGTTGGAGGCCTCACTGATTCAGCGGGCAGTGGTAAGCGTTCACTACCAGCCTCATGGAGCACGACAAACAGCTGACACATCTCAGGACTTGTCCGTCGCGCCAATTCGACTCCTGACCTCTCGCACCGCCATCAAGGCATACCTAAGCACCCTTCTGTTTCTAACCACATCCACCGTCCTCCTCACAATTTCTTCCACGGCATATGGTTTCTTCTACTACAGCTACATCCCTCAAATCAACCTTGAGCGCGTCTTGTACTTGCAGTATGGTGGTCCTGGCATCTCTCCGCACGCTACAACAGAGCTTGACACCTCGGCCTTGATTTCACAACAAGCATATGATGTTGAGTTAATACTGGATATGCCACGCACCCCCACAAATCTCGAGGCTGGTAATTTCATGCTTGACCTATCTTTGCTGGGAACTGGTATGAACGGGAAGAATGTGCCTAACCCGCTGACTTCATGGCTCGCCAATATCACGGTCGATAATGTCCTTCACCATTCCCGTCGTCCCGCAATCCTGCCATACGCTTCTCCTATCATCTCGCTCAGCCATACTTTCCTTCATCTGCCGTGGCATCTCCTCAACTTCCGAGATCTGGATGCATCTCATTTGGTCGTTCCTATGTTCGAGTTGTTGTCTTTCCCACGAGGCTCCCGCAACGTCCCGTCCCATGCCCGACTTGAGCTTCAATCCACCAGTCTACTTCAAGTCTATAATGCTAAACTCGTTTTTCGCGCGAAGTTCCAGGGCCTGCGCTATCTGATCTACAATTATCGCGTTACGGCTTTCGCCCTATTCACCACCTTGTTTTACACTGTGAGCATCACGACCATGGCTCTTGCTTGGGCATTGATTTCATCAGCCTTGGGCACGGGTCAGGAAGACGGATGGCGACCCAAGCAGATCAAGCAAGAAGGAGAAGACAAGCAAGCAAAGACGGATCCAGACTCGGATAGTGGCATGAAGATCAAGACTGAAGACGACACCGAGCCAATGACGCCTGGGACTTTGCTGCCTGAAGAAAGCCAGCGGGCGGGACTGAGAGATGAGACGAATGACAATGCGTTAGCCCTGCAGATCGGTCCCGATGAGGTGGCTGACGACGAAGACGACGAAGGTGACGCACAAGAGATGCGAGGAAGGCCTTTTCATCCCGACTCAGGCATCGGCACAAGTATGGAGAGCGAACATCCTACTTCAGAGATGGTCCGGAGAAGAAGTTCGCGTGGCTTGGCTAGCAGGTGATAATTTCATTATGATACGCCAATATCAATGCCCATTTAGAATCCCATCCACAATCTCTGCCAGCAGGGTCAGAGTCTCATCCTCTTGTTTCATGCCTATTAGCTGAAGAGCAGTCGGCGCGCCTTTGTAAGCATCTGGTCCAGAGTACAATTTGTACATCTTCTCGTCATCTTCCCCGTACTTCGCAGCCTGGTCGACCACGTCCTCTGCCTCTACCCTACCAGTCGGAATAATACAACTTGGATAATCAACCAGGTTCCAAATGGCCTGAGATACCGACGTCCAGCTATCCAGCGGCGGTGCGGTGTATGAAGCCAGTGAGTTCAGAATCGCGTCGAGTTTGTTCTCGAGCCAGAGATCTCGGTACTTTGTCTCGACCTTGTTGCGAGCCACGTTCCACGCGAACAGCTCTTCGGTGCTCATGGATTTCATTCCGACCAATCCGACGTTCTTGACGGACGGAACAAAAGGTTCGTCCGCCGCGGAGAGAAATTCTAGGGTCGTCTGTGTATGGTTGTCAGTCTGAAGAATAATCGACAGGGCTTCGGATCATCACCGACCTTGCAACCCTCCATTGCGAATGACGCCCAGATTGTGACGATATCTTGATTTGTATCTGGCAATTTGATGTCGACTAGTTCCACACCAGCCTGCGCGAGCTTCTCCTTTGCCTGTCTGAGACTTCTGCGTACAGGAGGTGTGGCAGTCGTGATGCCATCGTCCTCGATCACTCCGATTCTCAATGTTTTCCCCTTGGGAGGTTGGAGTCCTTGCCACGGCAAATGTAAGCAATCTACATCGACCTTCCACGGGTGATTCCTCATCACGGCTTCCATGAAATAGTTGCAACTCCTCATACTGGTCGCCAATGGCCCTGCTACAGGTAGGATGCCCGGCAAACCATCTGCAGCTGGATTCGTTTGACCGGCGTAAGGCACGATATTGGAAGACGGCTTGAAGCCGTACGTGCCGCAACAATGGCTTGGGATCCGGATACTACCGGCGATATCTGACCCCATTCCGAGCACGCTGCCTCTCATGGCAACCAGGGCGCCCTCGCCACCCGAACTCCCACCCGCTGTCAAGGACTTATTATTCGGGTTCAGCGTTCGACCGAAGACGTTATTATCCGAGTCGGCCGTCATCATCGTCTGCGGCACATTCGTCTTGCAGTGGAAGACGGCACCGAGCTGGAGCAGCAACTTGGGAAGCGCCGAGTACTCCGTCGACGGCTTTTCTGCGAAGTGCACCATCCCGGCTGACGCATCAACTCCCGGTACCTTGAAGCAGTCCTTCAGTGAGATCGGGAGTCCCCAGAATGGGGGCAGTGATTCATTCGGATTCGCGGTGCGCTGCGCATCGAGTTCTTTCGCGCGCGCAATTGCCGACTCGAAGAGGATCTCGGTCACGCAGTTCGTCTAGATTTTATGAGATAAATGAGTCTCCGATCATGTCTGGCGTCAATCGAACCCCATACAACGATGATAATCCATCGACATCTTGGACAGGGAAAGAAAGGCCCACAAGATGATGTAACCTACCAACTGCTGCGACAGCGCTGCCCTCTTACAGAACGCGGTAACGACCTCCTCGGACGTGAAACCGCCTTGCGCAGGGCCCTTGCGCAGAATCTCCAGCAACGACACGGCATCGTGGTCTTCAGTGATGGTGAGCTCGCGCTGGCTCAAGATCCCACTTTCGCGAGGCACGTGCAGGACGTTCGCTGTCGGCGATGATGTGTATGCTGCCAGCTTGTCCTCGGGAATCCGCCATGAGGACGGGATCAGGCGTGCCCGTGCGTCTTGTTTGCGTTGTGCAATGGTTTGGTACGGGTCGCGCTTGACGGTGGTGGTGGTGGTGGTAGACGACATTTTGACGGGGGTTTGTTAGATGAGCCTAGAGCCCTGGTATTACATACGATATTTTGAATGAAAGGGGTCGAGATGGACCTGATGAAGGATATATAGATCAAACGGAGAAGCACGCTTTGGTTCAATGTCGTGTAACTATTCCGTCGGCAGGCCTTAGGCTCTACGACGTTCGGCTTCAGCTTTACATGTACTACATACCTAGATCAACAACTCTCGTTCTGAACTCCTTGGGCAACTACCTCTCAGAGATGTCAGCTTTAGCCGGATCCTGAGCCTAGGCAACTCAAATTGCTTTTGTATAAATAACGTTTGGCACCTTTCCCCCGGGAAACAAATCCACGAAGCTTCAAGATTGAGGCTAGACGACATGCTCTTGCGCAACGACGACCACAGGAGTTCTGCATAAGTGCAGAGACCCAATCTAGGCATGTAGCTAGTAATCAGCAGCGATCGGATGAGATACGATGGAGATTGAGATGGGTGGGTGTGCGGGCGAATCGGCTCGAACGAAGCCATTGCCTCGAGCTTGCGGCGCGGAAACACATTTGTATGGGCGAAGGTAAGCGAAGATCTCCGCATTTTCATGCAGCAGCACCATCGTTTGGCCCTTTTAGCCTCATGTATTACAGTCAGTCCGTTTCTCGGACTGGGGAGGGGCGAGGCTGCATTAGAGGGGCTTGTCGTTTGGCGATAATGATACGAGGCAATGGCTAGATAAATGTCATCCAATAGGCTGTAATTGCGCCATTGTCAGGGATTCGGCAGGCGTCGTTACTACTTAGCAATCAGATCTATCCATGATTGCTGCGTGCCGTTGAAGGACCAGAACTGTGAGGCTTTCGAATTCCAGATTTCTTTAGATATGATACCGATATAGGGTCGTTTCCTCCAAGAGACGGACGATCCAGTGGCATTGGAAAGTCTCGGCCCAGTCTCCGGATATGTACAAGTCCGCCCCCAGACACCAAGTACGTATCAACCCCTTTTGGAGCTTCCTCCACCTTCGGCGACGTTCGCCCATCTGGTCTCTTTCGTCTACGAAGCCCTCACCGCCGCCAACTCATCCAAATGCTCCGACAGCGCCACATCCCTCATCATCTTCAGCCGCCCCTCCTTCCGCTCCTCAACCACAAACTGGAACTTCCGCGGCGTGGAGACCGACACGCCCGTGTAATCGTAGAAAGGTACCTCGACCTCCTTGCCATCAGCATCCCTCGCCCGCTTGATATTACACGCCCAGAGCAAGCTCGAGAACTGCAGGAAGAGTGCCTTCTCCGAGACTTCCAAGCCCGGGCAGATCCGGCGGCCGTGGCCGAACGCAGCGAATCTTTTCAGGTTCGGATATATTGTAAGTGGTTCTTGGTAGGTCGAGTATTCCGGCTGCAGCCATCTCTCGGGCTTGAATGATTCGGCGTCTGGGTATTGTTCTTCGTCACGGAGGATGGCCCATTGGTTCGGGATGATCACTGCGCCTTTGGGGATATGGTAGCCCTCGTAAGTGTCGTCTTTGGTCACTGAGTGCGGGAATCCTATTTAGTTTTATTACTCCTGTCAGTGGTGATTGAACCTTCGATATCATAAGGTGATGATATATGACAAACCTCCTGAAAGAACCGGTCTCCACCGTAACGTTTCCTTGATTACGGCCCGGATCGTGGGCAGACTGCTAGAGTCGTTGTAGTCTGGTGGTCGGTCGCCGCCGACAACACGTTCTATCTCCTCTTGTATCCGGCCTTGCCACTCCGGGAATAGACACATATTGAGAATGAGTGATTGCATCGCCGTGGAGGATGTCCCCGCTGCACCACCGTAGATGCTCGCCAGAGCCCAAACGATCTCGCGGTCGTCCAGGTTCCAGTCTTGCTTACTCTTTGAGAACTTCTGAGAGAAGCTTTCGGGCTGGCCAGACCGTGTGTCTGCGGACTTCTCTGACTGCACGAGTGGTGCGAGGTAATCCCAGTGGCCCTTCACCAGCCGCTGCGCCTCTTTCTTGAACGGTGCGAGCCACGTTGGGAGATTCATCAGCCAGGGAAGAAATTCCACCAAATACGCTCCTGGAATAGCAACACGCTCGATATTCTCCATGAAACCGCATATCCCTTCCACATGTTTCTTCTCCGCGGCTCCACGTTCTTCACTCACTCCGTAGATCTGCTTCATGGAGACCATGACGCCGGCGCGCTCCAGCCAGTACGTGTACTCTGCAGAATCCCTCGCCAGATCAACGACCATCTGCCTAGCCTCGAGCGTCTGCTTCGGAATTGACTGCTGAATGATGTTGGTGCTCAGCATCGACTGCGTGAAACGCCTCGCTCGTCGCCAGTAGTCATTCCACCCGGAGGCACCGAGAAATCCATTGTCTGAAATAAGTCCGGGCATGATCAGCGCCGGGCGGTCGGAGTAGATCACGCCACGGAGGCTGAGGAGCTCGTTTGCGATAGATTCCTTCGAGATAATCACCAAAGTGGTCCCGAATGCGCGTACTTGATAGATTGGTCCATATTGGTCTCCCCATTCTTTGAATTTGAACCACGCGTGGGACTTGGGGATTGACAATGCATTGCCGACTATCGGCCAGCCTTAGGACGGATGTGAGATGTAAGCTATCTGTTTTTGAAAGGCAACGATGAAGCTATGCTTCTCTTGCGATAACAATGTGGATGGTATGAGAACTTCCTCACCTTTGGGACCTGGTAGTGGCTTGGAACCTTTAGGAATAGCTCTCCTGTCCTTGAGGAAGCTTGTGGCGCTAGATAGCAGGAGTGCTCCAACAATGCCTACCAGTACAAACCTCACGAGGGTGATATCTGAGGTCTGAATGGGACTGATCGATGCCAACGCTGAGTGAATGTTCAACAGCGCCATGGTTGAATCGAAATGTCAGGCGGGAATATCCACTAGCAGAACACTTCTCGTCCCTCAAGAGGTTCAACGCTCTTCTTTCGAAGTTCATTTATCACTCACTCACTCATCATTCATACTACTGTTATCAGCCTAGTGAGTGGTTCGCATCTTCGAGCATTGCATGACCCATAGGGGCATCATCCGTAGCTAAGCGCAGCGCTGATTCCTCTGATCCGAGAGCTCCTGGCCGGAAGTAACGGAGTGTGCGCGTCGTGCTACCCGGTAAGAGAGTTTCCTTTGAACCATGTAGCTCCCCACGGGGAACCTATTGCGCAGGAAGAATCCCGCCCATTTCGTCCGTCAATTCAAGCTGCAATATCTGTCTTCCTGTTCTGGTGGCGAACTGCATCATGCAGGTAGTTTTGTTGGTTCGACTAGTGGGCGGGTCCCCGCAGCAAGGCTGAACTCCTGAAGAATGTGCGGGGAAACACACCCCCATACGACTGGACTTGCGTTAGTTATGCCGTTATCTCCGACCGAGGAGAATTCGGTGCTTGTATATTGTGTTTCGGCTGGGGCAGGTGGGCCTGGCCTTGCGATTGAACTGGCAGAGATCGAAGGTGAATCTAGCCCGAGGGCAACCAGGGGTTGTTCTCCGCTATTACTTGAGCTTTTCTTGGTGGTTGGTTCTCATCACTATTGGCACATGAATACTATGTGCAGCGGCACTCCCGGGCAGCAAAGTCATGTTGCACTTGAGTAAAAGTAACCGTGTCTAAACACCGCCGGTTCCTATTGACGGCGAGCTCGCTACAGCTGTGGGCAACTAGTCTCCTCTTAGGCAACAACAAACACGACAAGAACGTCCGTCTATAGAGAGTTTCATTCGAGGGGCAGGGAATGTGTTGACTACTGAGTAAACACGAAATTGTGCGGTAAATTAGGAATGTCAAGAAATTGGTACCACGGGTTTGATACAATGCTAGTAGTAGTCCTTTGAAATCTATCAGTGCCTGAGTGGCCTATGCTGTAATTTCTAAGTTTCGCCTTGGGATCTGGGTTATGGTCTTGGCTTCATTCAAAGACTTGCAGCGTAGATTGACTGATTCATGGATATCCTTGACATGCCGTTCTTCAATGACGACACCAAAAAGATAAGAGTTTCTTCATCTAATCAGTTTTCTGCGACTGGAGCAACCTTCATAACAGCAGGATTTCCCTGAACCCAAGCAGGCGTGATAGAGAACCGCTTCATTCTCCATAGCTCCCCGTCCCTGATAATGCTGGCCTTGTACTGGTTGCCAAAGAGATAGTAATCCTGAAACTCCGGGCTTGGGCCCTGACCACCGCGGAAATGCTGCGCCATGACACAGCTCGTGAGCTCTGCGGTGTCGCCGGTGACGGTACATCGGATGTTCGTGGCGCAATGCGTCGTGTCAAGGGGCTTGCCAACCGCGTCCATCAGTCTCTTGACGACATTATCTCGGCCGTTTATCATGTCATAATTCATTCCGGCTTTGCTGAAGGGCGTGAGGTCCATGACGGCGTCCTCTGTCAGTGATGATGCGGACAGCTCTGCATCGCCCTCGTCCAGTGCGCACACAAACCGGATCAAAGCATCGATCGCTGCTTCGCGGTCGGTGAGTCCTCCGGCATTGGGCATTTTTCCTTCTAGTTGCTGGTTCATACGAGGTGTTTAAAGAGAAAGGGAAGGCTACTTATAGCCTAGTCGGTGTCGACTTGTGATTTTCGTTGGGAGTCTGCTTAAAAGATCCGAAGTGCTCTGGCGTACCTGAGCTTCTGTAGGTGCCTCAGATTATGCAAGGTGTATTTATTATCTTTGACGGTGTCTTCAGTCGAGTACTTGGGCCGAAATTTGTCTTTTTATAGTCTTTCTAGAGGAATGAAGGTCGATGGCAGGTTTTCATGTGAATTGAATGGATCAATCCGCATAGTCGAGGACCGAGGTCATGGCTGCCTTTTGAGAAAATGCCAGGGGGTTCAAGTGGGGTCCTTGCAAAAGCCCTTGGCGACAAGGGATTGGATGCCTGGGAAGGGTTCTGGGTACCAGGCCTGCCTTTCCAGGGTGAAACTGAGCTCGTGGTGGCGCGGAAATGAAGTAAAAGTCTTGCGCCTGCGTTCGTTTTATAGAGCAGCCGGGAAGGTATGGAGATGCCGGGGTTGCCACCATCGCTCGGAATTTGCGGAGATCTCTGGAGTTGCAACTTACCTTAGAGTCGGCCAATGGCAAAGCGCGCAGCATTTGCGAGCGAGGTAGATTTGATTGGAACTCTAGTGCTTTGTAGATAGTTGGAGGGCGTTGTACGCTTAATGCAAAGGAGACAAGACAATCTGGTTTTGAATGATGTGTGTACACCTCTGTGGATTGCTTATTGAGCAGCCAGATTGCTAAATAGTACTACATTGTCTAATGTATCAGATCAGTTAGAATCCCCCTGAAGTCCCTGAGCTGAAATTCCAAAGAGAAGACATGGGATCTGTCAGAGATAATCCTGCCGAGTAGTTGAAACCATTTGCTTCCGTGGAAACTGGCGCACCTGAAGGGACCCTGTCCTCTACTATTGACTGCTGTGAAAGTTGGTTAATGGTATAAGGATGGGAAGGTAAAGATTATTGTGAAACTTACCGAGGAATCATCTGTCTGTTCCGGCGTCATCCAATTGGCAGAACCATCAAAGTCCGGGAACATTTGCGTGAGAAGGCTGGATTGTGTGACAAGGCTACCATCGTGGGATTCAGGCCAGGACGCCAGTGGGTCCAGATTCGCGATTCCCTCCATTCCCATCTTTTTTGGATTCGACATTTCAGGATGAACGCTCTGAGAGAGGCGTGAAGGGCCCCGCGAAGGTTGTTGGGTGTGCCTATCATCAGCAAAACCTAGGTTTAGCCCAGAGCTGAAGTTCATAGAGGGTGATTTATCGGTCGTTCTCAAGGATGACCCTGGATGTGTGGTTTGGCGACCTGAAGACCCGGAACCAGGCCTGATGGCGTTCGGTCTTGTGCCAGTCGGTCGCCCAATTTCCGCACTTTGGCGCTCCTTCGGGCTTCGCGCGCTGTTTTGATCCTCTGCCTCGAATTTTTTGACAAGCATCTGAAGAACATCAGCTGCTTTATAAGCTTCCATGCTCTGATCTTGCATCTGTGCAAAGATGCGTGCACTCAAGCTCAATGCCTTGATCATTTCAGACCGTGTCGGTACACCATTTATGGGTTGTTGGTTTGCAGTATTGTCTGTAGCACTTGAACTTAGGTCCGCGGTGATTATTGTTGCGGCCAGGAGATACTCGTGTATCGCCAATGATGTCTGGTAATTAGTGAGACTTCGCAAACGGCCGTCAACTGGAATGTCTTGGTTCTGTATAGCCTGAAATCGGAGGATTGACATAGCTGAGCTCAGGCAAACTCGTCTCGAGTAGATGAACCTATAATCTGATCTAGCAATTTCGAGGAAGCGACTATGCACTACGCAAAGGGACTTGTGATGAATGCTGGATAGCACGAATCGACAGGAGACCAGCACAAGAGAGTCATCGCTGGATAAGTGACCGATTTTATAGTAGTCGGGAACGTCATCGTAAATGTGCCTGAGTTCTCGGTCGATCTCAAGAATTCGTTCCCACGGCATTGTGCTAGCCTCAGTAATTTCCTCCAGTGCACGAGCAAACCCGAAGGCCAATTTCGTTTTTGCAATGAGGTAGGATATCTGTGTTGGCTCGGAGTCTGGTAGCGCAGGTGGAAGGGTGACAGAATTCTCGTTGAAGCTATCGTCATCGTGGATATTTCGAGGAAGGGGAGCCTCAAGCATGCGTGAGCTTATCATCGAAGGAAGCCCCATCTGAAATGAAACGAGGATATCGCATTGTCTGATGAAAGCCCATGCTCTGCGCCGCATCTCGGTCTGACCTCCAAATTAGTCTCATCACACGGATCTATATGCAGATGGTTTCACCTTAAATGGGGTAGATGGTAGAGATGGCTGTGATTCTTGATGATATCCCATTCGCATCGCGAGTCGAACAATCATTCCGCCTAGGACCCAAACACTCGACCTGGCATCCCGACTTCCGACATACTCCCCATATTGATGCATAATCAAGGCCTCGATGAGAGATTCTTGTGGGTGAGTATAATCGGCAAGTATCAAGCAATCTGTAAAACGATTCCGATAGGTCGAGGCGAGGTCATGGCATTTCCCTTCATATTCCAGTGGTTCGTCACCCTCTCGCAGATAGTCAAGCATGGCGATCCTCAACATCGCGAATAAAAGCGCTATCCATGCAGCTGAAGTCTTGCTCTGATCCAACCAGAATTGTTCGTACTAGTACCGAGGAATCAGTGAGTGCGATGATGGCGTAGGAGTGATCCATACCTGTTTGTAGAACGTAGGTCCGTGAAGTACATCTATGTACATCAGCTCCATAGACTCATCCTTGATCCAGTCACTTACATATTGCAGGATACATATGAGAGAAGAACCTGGTGACTAGTATATCTGAACTATACCTTGATGGTAGCTGCGAGAGAATTTCCGATCGGCTGGCCCTTCCCGCAGACCCGAAGAGCAGTGTAGGTCCGGGATCTTCAGGTGACCGTCGAAGAAGATGTGATATTTTCTTGGTCTGCTCCTGATATTCCTTTTGTTGCGCTCTTATGTGACAGCGAACCTCGCCAATCTACCACATACTTCGAATTAGAATCTTTCAGAAGAAGAAGTGACCACTGGGAATTCCGCAAACCTCGTTTAAGAGCAAGGACCAATGTCCGTCATCAACAGAGAGAGACTGTTTGTAGTCTGCACCAATGTTGATTGCTGATTTGGATCTAGCAACAGTCGCGGCCATTTGCGTGTCAGTCGGGTGCGCGACTACGGGACTTTCAGATTCTTCATTTCCGATATCTCCCTCCTCATTCCGGCCATTGTCGACCTCGATGCCGCTGGAAGGGGTTTCAACCTGCCGTTGTCTCTGCTGATCATTTTTCAAAAGGGTAAGTACGAGGCTCTCAAGTTGATCAATTCGTGCCTGAGCCGCATCGGAAAGACTTGTTGATTCGTGTGGTTTTGTGCGCGTTTCAGATTTCCTTGGAACATAACAGCAAGACGTGATATCTCCACGATTGACGCAGTTCCCACATGCAGGCAAGGCCCGATCACATCTCAACCTGATGGGAGAATCAACAGATTGAATGTATTATTTTGCGCAATGACATACTTCCGTCCTCGACATGGCAAGCATGATATTGGTCTCCTGTTCCTCACATTCCGCGATGTCATACGATCACTATGTTCTGCTTGCCCACGGAAAGGCATAGCAGAAGGGCGTCACAGAATAACGCAGGATCTCAACTTCAGTAATTTTCAGGCTTCTAAAAATCTCTGTATTCCAAGATAGTCATCTGAACAACGGAAAGGACATCGTAAATCCATGATAGGGCTGAGTGAAGTGCGTTCGGACGAGGAAACCGGGAGAGCAGGTCCAAGCACGCGGGGTAAAATTGATCAACCCGGAGATCGCGGCGAAGAGACGGAGTTATCTTCTATGCCCGTTCACCCAATCAGATGGCATTGGATCCAAAGAGGTAATGCTACTATTATCGATGGAGTATCTACAAAATGCTGGGTATAAGGCTTCGGCTTCTTTAGAAGGTTTGACGTGCATTCAATAGGTGAAAGCACTCTTCATTGTACGCAAGCTTTCTGTTGATTTTACCGTCTGATAAGGACACGATGCCTAGTCATAGCTCCAAGCAGCGGGATGTCGAATTTCTCTCAGATGGAATCACTATAAGAGGGATATTGCAGTTGCCCAAAGGTGAATCACGCCATCCTTTGGTTATTCTAGGTCATGGACTTGGTGCATTGAAGGAGTGGACTCTTCCCGAGCTTGCCGGCGCTCTCGTTGAAGTCGGAATAGCAGGACTTTGGTTTGACTACCGGAACACTGGTGACAGCGATGGTGAACCACGGGAGGAAGTCGCTCATATCGGACGAATTGAAGATTGGCAGAATGCGATTAGTTACGCTACAACCCTGCCTGAGATTGACGCACAACGTATTGGGATATGGGGAACCAGCCTGGGCGGCCGGGATGTTTTGGCGGTAGCGGGCATGGACAAACGAGTCAAGGCTGTGGTGTCACAGACTCCAGTCATCAAGTGGTCCTCCATGACTGGTGCTCGAATGGGTGGATTTGGTGATGACCTCGTGCGTTATCATCAAGAGTTGGCCGAGGACCGCACGAACAGACTCTTGGGTAAACCGGCCCGTTACATTCCATTTGTGAAGGAAGCCAACGACGAGGTGAAGAAAGCATATGTGGAACAGCTGAGTCAAGAAGAGACTCGCAATTACAAAGGACGTCTGACCCTTCAAAGCTACAAACCAACAGTGTTCACTGATGTCACACCCTTCATCGAGATGATTGCACCAACTCCTCTTTTGTTCATTCTCGCAGAGAAAGATTTTATACCTGGCCAGAGAGAGGCTTTCGAGACCGCAAAAGATCCCAAATTACTCGTCACTATCCCAGGAGATCACTTCTCACCGTACACAACTTCCAAGGCGGACTCTATCAAACATTCCAAGGAGTGGTTTGTAAAATACCTATGTTGAAAGTAAGAAGGCGTGCCGCTCGGATTTCTGAGAGTTATATCACAGCGCAATGTCGATGGAACTCTGGATAATTCGCCCTCAGGTTTCACCTAGGTTACGGATCGTTGTATAGAGACTATATATAGCGAAGGCCTTCACATTGAAAATGCCCCTAGGCATATAAAAAGGTGCAGATTATTTCTAATTTGGAACCCAATTCAGCGTTCCTGTGACACTTTGGTACCACGTTTGATCATACTTCAAAGGCGACCATGACCAATTTAACTTACTAACCAGACTTTCGTTGTATGAGATAGGGACATAGGAAAGAGAGCAAATTTCCGTACAAGAGCAGAGTACCAGAGGTAGGTCTTTCTATTGAGACAGAGTCTAATTTGGATAATAAAGTTGGAGGAGTGGCTGTTTGCCGCCTTCATACCCGGAGCCTTACTTTGAGGAGATCGTCTTTGAGGATCGCCTCTTTCTTAGCTAAAAACTCCTCCATATCCCATTTGGAGTCCACATATCTTGATGCCAACCAGTCTCTGCGCTCTTTCGTCAAGAAGGTAAGCGTATCTGCCACCAAACAAGGCTTGTCCCCCAGGAGGTGATGAAGATGCGAAGGGAAAGCATCTGAAGACATCGCCGTCAGTACACCGCCAGGAGCGATAGCATATACCAAGAGGCCTTTAGATCCATATTCAGCCATCAGGTATTCGTTGAATTTCAACACAGTGAGTTTCGTCGGTTCATACCCTGATCCTCCGGCCACAACATGGTGTGCCCCTATGCTAGAGAGTACAACAATTGTTTTGTCTTGACTTTCCAAGATAAGCGGCAAGAACGATTTCACCATGAGATATACTCCTTTGACATTGACTTCGAAGTTGCGCCACCATTTCTCAGGGTCGGACTCGGTCACTGACACATACGGTGACCCGTAGCCAGCATTGTTGATCAAGATATCCAGGCTTCCCAACTCTGATTTTATGCTTTCGGCGGCACTTTCAACAGATGCCAAATTCGTAATGTCTGTCTTCAGACAGACAACCTTGGGCCGAGGGCGTCCTGCTGCAGTTGCAGTCTCTATGATTTCCTTATTGACTTGAGTTGAATCCAGGACATCAAGGACTGCAATTCCAGATGCGCCTGCTTTGGCGTATGACAGGGCCATTTCCCGGCCTAGGCCTCGAGACCCACCTGTGATCAAGACATTCTTCCCAGAGAGATCAGATTTTAGCGGATCAATCGCGGGATAGGTGTCATTATGTTGAGTTGCAACAAATCCGTACACTATGCCATTATCAGTAAACTATTCGAAGGTGAGCGAGAGCATGCATTACCTTGACTTTGATCCATTCTTGCAGTTTACTAGGATGATCTTCGCAGATGTCTTGAATCTCTTGAATCCATCAACCTCGCCAATGCACCCCCGACTTTGCGATGAAACGCATTATATCACATTGAACCAGCGTCATGGTCTAGACTGGACGCCAAAGCCCGAAATCTTCTCAGGAGACCTTCTGGGGCAAGCCTGATGCCAAGAGGCTTCCCCAGCATTCGTCTCCGTAAAATTCGAAAGCCTCGGCCTCGGAAATTGCATTGGCGAATTTGCGGGCAAAAGTTGGGGTACAGCCGCTCAATGCTAATGCTCGGATCTGAATTCGCTCGGAGTCCGCGGAAAGATGTTACTTAGCTGCTGGCAGCAAGCTTTGTGTGAATAGTTTTCGCACATGGCTAATGTCAAATGCGGACCTGCCTGTCCAAAAAACTTCAGACTATGGCAATCGTTGCATTAACGAATCGTGCATGTCCAGCAGGATCTTGTGATGAGCAGCGTCCTGCTCGGAGGGCGCGTGTCAGGACTCAGCCAGTAGCCATCTCAAAGAAGGGCCGTCTCTTCCGATTGAGTAACGAACAAGACTTCTACCTGTTCATGAGCCTGTCGTGTCAGATTGAGTCAGTTATCCTAAATGCCATGTTCTCTGTATCTCATCACAACGTAATTCGCCGCGGGTTCCCCCATAAATTACGAGAGCTATGGTTAAATTGCAGTTGTGCGGCCTATGTGCTACATAGACTTGGGCTCAGTCCGATTCGACCTAGCTATGGACAGCAAATCTTGAGATCCATCCTCACATTTGAACCCCTTATGGCCAGTCCCACATAACTCTATTTGGTGACTTCGTACACACCGGTCGAAAGCGGTCCATGGAGGATTTCGACGGTTGCAACGAGCTGGACCACGGATACGAGGCCCTGCTGTGTCTGCTGCAGATGATCCACCAATAATAAACACTTACCGAACGAAGAATGGCGTTAGATGTGTTGAGAACATCGTGGTCGTGCTGTCGTTCATGTTCGTAAAGTCGTATAGGTGCCGCTTAACCGAGCCAGTTAAAGCTTGGTTGCACTTTCCTTTGTGGCAAAGGCAAACGACGGGTTGTTCTGGAATACTCAAGGCCATGGCCTACCCCTTGGAGAGTAGCGAGAACTCGGATGCAAGGAAGAAGATATAAAGGTTACTGGGGTGCGCTCTCTAAGACCCCTTGGTATGAACCTCAGAGGCTGACGATACCTAGTGTGGCTTCCCGCGGACTCGAACTACGTCCTTGAAGATAGCGCTGGGGCTATTAGGATTTAAGCGGTGTCATCACATGCAAAACGATGTTTTATCTGACATTTTCCCATGCGGGAAGCGCGTCGCTGGCTGAGAGTATATGACACCGAGGATAGAACAGGAATGCAGGCGTTGATGCACCATATCCTCACAGGCTACCAGGCAAAAGTCGATTTCCGCCACCGATGTTGGTTGACGACTTGGTAGAAATGTACCCAAAATCAAAGATCCGTCGGATAAGATCAGAAGGATCGGGGCAAGGCGGATTCGAGGATTTCCAGGTCATACTCGGCGTTCGTAGCTCTCAGAAGTGGAGGGATTGATTCGATGCCATCCTTAATTCGAGACGAACACCCTGGCTCTTGTGCAACTCTTTTGCTATCCTTCACCGGGAGCTGTGAAGATGCGGCTCGGTGGGGGATAGGACAGAGAGATAAGTACCTCACTTGTATCTCCCTTTTGGGCGAAAATCACAGATGCGTATATTTCCGGGTACTTGAGCAAAACAACTGGAAACGTAAGGACGCTTTCGAGTTGTTGTGGTTGGTGGTGGTATGTGCATCGTATACAGAGTTCTTCGTCACATACGCAAAGAAAAGGAGACCTGTGCTTAATATATAACTTATACACTAGTTCTCACTAGTTCTCACTAGTACAGTCTAACATACACTAGACCGTATCTGGCTGTTTAGTCGGCTTGGCGGGTTGACGACGACTTCGCTTGGATGTCTTGGGCCTTGGTCCTTGATCCTTGGTCCGTGGATTGACCCGGCCGGCCAGTTTCGAGGAGGCGCAGTCTCAGTCCCTCGAGTCTCCAGTGCTGAGATTCCGTCCACGCCATACTATCCATATTCTAATCCACCGCAGATCACTATCATGATCGCGATATTTGAATCCGATTCTTTGTCTGGCAACAGTATCATTGCCAACTGATGACCTTACGATAAACCCGAGTCCGAGTGCGTCCTTCGGGACATCACTCGACAACCCATCCAGCTGCTGCAATCATGGACAGTAAATCCCGCTACGAGCACCTGCCAATCCCCACCTACGAAGAAGCCACTTCCTCCAGACCTGTCTCCTCCCAGTCCAGAATTGGCCCTGAAGAGATCAGTGACGATGCAGAAAGGCAGGGCCTACTTCGCAATGATTCAAACGGCAATTACCGGCCCCCAACTGTCGAGTCCGCCCGGCCCAGCCTGGATTCCTTGGATGGACTTGAGCAAGACACGGAAGAAGAGCGACGGAGAGACATAGAGCAGATGGATATAGAGGATCCTCTCAGCGACACATCTTCCAACCGTTCGCTGTTACGCTACCGCCTTTCGAAGCGATTCTCCAGTTTAACAAACTCCTTTTCCTCCCTATCACTACCTTCCTTCCGTTCGTATTTTTCTGGCCTCTCCTGGCCTCATATAAATTATCAACAGCTCGATACAAATCGCGTTGTCATTATCGGGCGACTCTTCGGCGTTTTCTTGATTATGGGCCTTGTCTATGTACTTATAGCCTCCGATGTCTTGTCATTCACAAGAAACAGAATGGGGATGGGTCAGATGTATGATCCAGAATCCATACGGATATTTATTCAGAACCATATGAATTCTCGGGGGAGTATGCAGGAGCATCTTCAACACATAACTGACTTTCCGCATATCGCCGGTACGGAAGGGAATTATGTACTCGGAGAGTGGGTTGCTGAATTGTTTAAAGCTTCCGAACTTGAAGATGTGGATATGGAGAGATTTGATGTTTACTTAAACTATCCTAGAAAACATGGGAGGAGAGTGGCTATCGTGGAGCCAGAGGAATTAAAATGGGAAGCGAGGATTGAAGAAGACCAGGAGCAAGCATTCGTCTTCCATGGGCATTCCAAATCTGGTGACGTTACCGGCCGTCTTGTATACGCCAATTTCGGGTCACGAGAGGACTTCCAGGCACTTGCAGACAAGGGTGTATCCGTCAAAGATGCCATCGTACTGGTCCGGTATTATGGCTCACAGGGCGACCGAGCCTTGAAAGTCAAGGCTGCCGAGCTTGCTGGTGCAGTGGGGTGTATCATTTATTCAGATCCTTCACAAGATGGATTTGTCCAAGGACCAACCTTCCCCGAGGGTCGATATATGCCGGATGATGCCGTCCAGAGAGGGGCCGTCAGTCTGATGTCATACGTAGTTGGCGACGTACTTACACCTGGATGGGCATCTATTCCTGCCAACAAGGAACATCTAAAGCCTGAAAACAGTCCGGGCCTAAACAAAATACCTTCAATACCAATATCATGGAACGACGCCAAACATCTACTGGAATCCATCAAAGGTCACGGTTCGCAAATGACGGAGGAATGGAAGGGAACGCCGCAAACAGAGTATTGGACCGGAGATGAAACCTCACCCAAAATAAACTTGAAAAACCTTCAAGACGAGGAAATGAAACAACCAATCTACAACGTTATTGGCAAGCTTACTGGCTGGGAACAATCAAACAAACGCATCATCGTCGGAAATCATCGTGATGCATGGTGTACAGGCGGTGCAGATCCAGGCAGTGGTACTGCCGTCATGCTTGAAGTAATTCGTATCTTCGGAGAGCTCCGTCGACTTGGATGGATTCCTCGACGAACGATCGAGTTTGCCAGCTGGGATGGCGAGGAATACAATCTTATTGGCAGCACCGAACACGTCGAGTACCGTGCAGCCGAGCTTCGTGACGAAGGTGTTGCCTATCTCAACGTTGATGTTGGTGTCTCAGGAAGTGATTTCCACGCTGCGGCATCTCCAGTTTTCGAGACAGCCCTTCTCCGGATTATCGATCGAGTTTTCGATCCGGCTTCGGGTGGCTCTGTTCGTGGAGCTTGGGATAATGCCAACCGAAATATTACTGGACTCGGTGCTGGTAGCGACTATGTCGCTTTCCAGGACATTGCTGGCACCTCGTCGATCGATATGTTCTTCAAAGGCAAAGCTTATCCATATCATAGCTGCTACGACAACTATGAATGGATGACCAAATTCGGTGACCCAGAGTTCCAATATCACAAAGCAATGGGTGAGATCTGGGCATTAATGATCTACGAACTAGCAGACAAACCCATCATTCCATTCGACCTAAACGCCTACGCGACGGCCGTGACAAGGTACATCGATGACTTGGACAACTACGTCCAAGCAAAAGCTGCGCAGCAGAAAGAGCCGACGTCATCACTTCGGTCACTCGACCTCAGTCCTCTTCGCACAGCCTCGCAAGTCTTGACAGACCGAGTGCAGGAGTTTCACGCGTTTGACAGCGAGTGGCGCGACTTCTTCTTCGGATCAGGCGGCTTTGAATCCGGCAAACTGGCGATCCAGCGACTTGAGCACAACGACCGTCTTACACATTTCGAGAGCGATCTCCTTGACCTTGCCGAGGGGGGCGGTCTACCCAACAGGACTCAATTCAAGCACGTCCTCTTCGCCCCTCAGCTCTGGAGCGGCTACGACGAAGGTGTCTTTCCGGGGGTGCGAGACTCCATCGAGGAAGGCCAGTGGGATGCCGCCGCAGAACAAGTCAAGAAAATCGCCGGTATTCTTCAAACCGCAGCGAGGAAGTTGACTGAGGCAGATGGTGATGAGAGTAAGAAGCCTGATTGAACCAGTAGGCAGATCGGACTACTTTTGCTGTGGACCGGACCTTTGTTTATATATATCAATCATGTTTCCCGTCAATGTCGATGAGCGCAGGCGTAGAGGGATCCAGTTACTGCAAGTGTCGTGGGTTGGTGATCTTCTTCATGGATTCAAAAATAGCTATATGGGATAGTACAGAAAGCAGTCAATCCTCCTCCCACACTCCTCCTCTTTGCGTGCAGGTGAGTGAGCGGGGCCAACTGGTTGTAAATCTTAACATGAGTTGTCTTCTTTACTAGCTGGGCACTTCGTAGTACCCCGCGAAAAGCCTGTCTCCCATCGTGACTGAGCCACTCGCCGCTTTGCGCATTCCCGTCTCACCTTCTGCTTCCTGAGCGCTCCCCGGATTCTGCCTGAGCCTTTCATTCCTCCTTCCTCTTCAATCTCAACACCAACTTTCGTCAACTTTAGACGGCGGGACCTATTTGAGATGCTGGGAGATCCCACCCTGGCCTTCCTTCTAATGTGCTCGAATTGGTCAGTTCGGCATCTCCTGTGGTGCTCTCTTGCGTCGCAATGATGAATCTCTGCCCACTGCGTTCGCTGGCCTGATAGAAGACTGGCCCTGTACTAGACCTCTTGGACATAAGTACGCCGTCCCTCACCCGCACCATGTCTGCATAGATTCCAGGAATCGGAATCGAAACACTCGCTAGTGGCGATTACTAGCCACGCTTCCTGGCCTGACGATTTCAGAGTGAATGGGACAGCGCAAGCGCCACTAATTACCGTTTATCGCATAGAGCACTACTAAGATACTGCTAAAGCCAGGAACTAGCACGTGTCCCATCCCAAATTCCAAACTCCTCTTGATCAAGCTCAGCCCACAGAAAGCCATACTGCTCACGTAGACTTTGCACCTCCTGTAGGTTCCCTTTTCGAGTATAATATCTCACCACGTCTTCCAACCACCTCACTCGTCTAAGACGATCAGCCTCATTCAAAACTCCTTGGACAACAGAAGTACTTCTTTCCAACGCCAATTTGTAGTATCGGTTCCGTTCGACTAAATTTCCTCTCTTCGCGAAGAGAATCCCCGTGCAGCTGAACGTCCACATACAGACCCTTGAGACACTCTTTTCTCCGGCCTCTGGGATCTGTTCAGCGAGTGCTATGGCTTCTGTCGATAACTCCTCAGCTTCGCCAAGGCGATCTTGCGAAAGTCTTAGGTTTCCAAGTTTGTATACTAAGTTAATATCCCTTGAGGCGGCGTCATCAAGACGATTCATTATGAGCACATCCTCGCTTAAGGCGCTTAGTAGAGCCGATTCCTCGCCTGTGTCGCGGTGCATTCTGCCAGCGAGCAATCTCAAATGCGGCAAGCAATCCAACAAGTCGGCGCTCGACTGTTAGAATTTAGAGAGTGTAACATCTGAAGTAAGGTGGATAATTCGAGAGCTGAGGCCCGTTGATGCATGTTCGTGGAGCATGAGCTCAAGTATTTCAGACAGATAATGGTCCCGACCAAGGACTACAATGCTCATTTATGCGAAGTAGCGCATAAGGGCTACTTAGATCTCTAGATAGTTGAACCATTTGTACTGAGAGAAGTATGCACTGAACTGTACAATGAACTGGAAAGGTTGATTCTCGAACAGTGTTTTGGCTCCCTGACAAGCTTTATTCAGCTTACGGAAGGTAAGTAGTTTCCTGGTTGAGAGGCAATTCAGACCTTCGTCGATGATATCAAAAACTTCTGCTAGGCCTTGGGTATGATGATAGATGGCCTCCGGACTAACAGAGTACTAGCGGTAATATAAGCTTGTATAGCGGAGAATGAGCTCGGAAGTACTGCTTTCTAGACTTTCCTGCAATATCTGTTTCTACAAAGTACCGATACCCTTGAAGGACCGACCTGCAATCGCCTAGCTAGGGTCATGATTCTCGCCTGGAACTTGTATTCGCAAAATGATACAAGATATTTCTTGTCCTTGGTAATCCCGAAAAGAAGTATCCTGCATGGCATCCGCAAGGTTTTGCCACGACAAGAGTCAATTTCTTTCCTTGTCGTTGAACTGGGCGTTGGATCCGGGATAGGGATAAGGACTTTCCCACTAATTAAAAAGCCGTCACCGTTGACGCCACCGTGCTGTTGGATATGAGCATAAGCACTCAATTTTTGCTCCTGCGTATAGTTTTTCCTTAGATCCCAAGACTGGAGTCTTTTCTTATACATATGCTCCTCTGCATGGAAGCCATGTTGATCTCTCATGATCTCTGAGACTCTCCGTAGGGTATGATCTTGCTACAAGTCAGCAATGACAGGCTTCCATTTCTCCCATTGATCTTCCAGGATGGCTGATCTTCTTTTAGTTCGTTGATTGTTCATCATAATTGTGGTCTGGAGACATTAATAACTTGTTCACCCAGGTAAGGTTTCCAAAGCGAGGACATCAACTAATTTCAAAACGATATTGGCAGACGGATTAGCTGTTGAACAGAAGAGAACGTTGGAATGGAGGTATGACCCGTGGATCAGCCTTTCCTATAGTCTCTGAGAGCTATTTATAATCGTTGATACGGTTTTCTGTATATACTCTTTTCCGTCACATTGACTTGACGAATCACTCAGCCACCAAGAGAGTGATGGCAGCGGAGATTCAGCATTCCAGCGGCGGTTGTCGAGCACGGACTGGAGTGCCACAGCTCACACTTGTCTTGGGCGCAGCACTATCTCAGTGAGTTGATTAGACAATCGTATTCTCAAGTCGTGTTTGGGTCCTGTAGGACGCCCACTTGGGGCGAAACGACTGATGCAGTCGTATAAGCGAACTAATGAATACCACAGCCTTTCGCAAAGCCAAGAGTACTTTTGCTAGCTCGGTCAATATGTAGACACTGGTAAGCTTGCTGCTAATACTACATCTTGCGGCGAGACAGGGGGAGTTGCTCTCCAGGCAGCGAGACTCGGAATTCGCAAATTGTGTGTCCGTTTCCCTCCACATGGGCTGTCTTGAGAGAGGTATATCTATGCAGAGTCCCTCCTCCCATATGGATCATACTCTTCTGCAGGATTTTTCATTTCGACTGCATTCGAGCCTGATCAAAACAGGTCCGCTGCTCTAGTATCCTTCAGCATGTCTGGTTCCGCAGACGTAAATCTGCAATCATTGCAAGCGCATTCGGATTTTCAAAAGCAGCTTGGCGCTCGCGAATGGCACCTCAACCTCAGAGCTGGTCCGGACTGTATCCTAATCCTGGCTGAAGCATTGTTGGTTGTCTCCAGGCGGGAAGCTATGGCACTTGACTTATCGGGTCCAGGCTTAAAGTACGTGCATCAAGCAAATTCATGCTCTCATTTGTCAAGAATGATCACTGAAATATTTTTTCAAAGGTATGAGAAGCTCTACGCAGACCTGAGGAACTGCGCTGGGGTTGGGGGGGAAACCTTCAAAAGAACTGGAGAAAGAATGAAACAGGTCTGCCGCTTGGCTGATGAACTTGGGAGACCTGGTGGCTTAGTATAGTTCGGCACTAGTATTTAAAACACGATACATCTAACAAACACTTGCAGATTGAGTTGATGGTCAAGTATCTTGATCCAAATCAATCGGAAGCCCGAGATAGGCAACTCCAACGCTACATATCTCTTAGTGAGGCTAAGTCAATAGAATCTGTCAAGATCTTGAGAAATATTAGAGAAGATTTCGAAGTGTGGAGTGAACTTACACAGAGTATTCTGGGTGCCTTGAACAGGGAATCTGGTCACTTAACCCTGCCTACCTCCTCCTGCTGAGCGCTCTCCCGCGGCTGACTATTACTTCAGCGACAAACGTGTAGAAACAGCTGAAAAATGAGAATCGGCTCAGAGAATGCGAACTGGAAAGAGACCAGAACCAAGAAGCACAGGAGCAACACCGCTAAGTATTGGAAGATTTTGAGTCACGAATTGGTAACGGCCTCAGATTTTTCGAAAGTCTTATCAACAATATACTAAGTAGGTCGCACATTGTGTTGCTAGACGCACACTGAAACCTCCGGAAACATAGGCACTATTGCTGGAGCAGGGACAGTAATTGCAAGCGCCACGGCCGTAGGACTGTGTCCGCAAATAGTTGTACTCACCTGTATAGGGTTGAGTGTCGAATATCTCGTTATTGAATCTATGCAGGGAGCGAAGAAGTCAGCTATTCAGCGCTTGGAGCGGGAGGCTTCCACTTTGAGGCACATATTAGAAGAGCTTTCCGGTGAAGCTCTGTCTATTGTAGGCCCTCATATTGACACATTGATAACATGAAGCAGTTGACCCATGTTTTCAAGGCTACAATCGCCCGCATTGTGAGGCAAGCACTTAGGCGGCTGGATGAATTGCAACAGCGCGTCGACATATTCTTGAAATTCTTAATCAAGATTCAGGACATGGTGATCATTGCAGATGAGGGAAAGAAACTCACGCTCGATCCAGCCCGGGGCCGGGAAGAACGAGCTGACACTGATATCAAAAAGGTGTGTATTTCAACCGACGAATAGAAAACTTACAACGCTTACCAATATCCCGTAGGAAATTTTGGATAGGTCCTATGCAATGAAAATGAGATTTCTCATTGCCTCGAAAGCAGCGGCTCTTTACAATGACATTGACGAGAAATTCATTAGTGTTGGGGTCAATTGGCTTTTCACATTCCGTCCCGATGAGAATTCGCAGGAAGACGTTGAAAGAAGGCTCGTCGAGATCGAGCAGTGGAGGAAGAAGATTTGCGACCGTACAGGGGAATTGGCTTCAACAGTGAGTTCATCATCACTTCCCAGATCTGTTATTTGTTCAGCCGAAGTGTAGCTCCAAATAGAGATACACGGAGCTCAAACAGAGCCTCGAAAACTTGTCCAAGACTTGGGAAGAATCACTCTGAAAGGCCAACCCAGGTCCTTCGCGGGATACCACCACCTGGGCAAAGAAATGAATGAATGAATGATTGATTCTATCGTACACCTTCAGGCTAAGCCTAGGGTCAAAAGCTGTTCGGCTGAGTACTGTGCAGTTCCTATCCCTGCGATGACTGCACGCCTAACCTTAGCTCCCTCCCTATACAGTCTGTCGTTGTTATTGTAGCGACAGACCCAAGCGTAACTCATGAACCCTCCGTTCCGAATCTTCCTGTGAGACTATTCGATTTAACCGTGTACCCTATCGCACCACTAGGCCCAAGGCTTACAAGGAAGTTTATGCAGCAGGATTAAAGCGACCTTCGCTCGTTCTCAAGGACCCAAACGGTACATGGTAATCAGGGTTTTCGTTCGCGGGTAATAGAGTTGTTTTCCTTATCCGACTGCCATATTTAAAGAGTTCTCCAAAAGTCCATGCTATACAATACCACTCACACTACATGAATCTTTGAGGATAGTTCGAATCCAGGAAACTACAATGTCGTGCGTGTTATAGTTACTATTATGCTTGTAGTCACAATGGTACATCCGTTTGGGTTTTCAAGTTATTCGTCTCCCTCTCCACACTCGTCTCCAATCCTTTTTCTGTGTCCATAGGCGTGCAACCTAGGAAAGTATGTACACTCGATGATCTCAAAGTAGAGAGCCAAGAAAAAAGCTGTGAAATCTGTATGTCTCATACGGTAATATACCAAGAGGCGCACGCACCTTCCTGACGTGTGATATACAGGTGGAGGGAACAAGAAACAAAAGCCGGATTCTCCTCCGCTAGAAGTACTGGTATTGTACACCATCGTAATAACATTTCTTTCCTTCAGGACGTCAATCCAATCCAATCCGTTCAGAAATCGTCCGCCGTCCAGGTCTTCGCAATATTCCAGAACTCGGGGTACTTTGCCCGGGAGAGGACATCCTTGGCATGGGTGTCGGTCTCGCAGACCCTGGCACCGAGCCACTTGCGGAACTGGCGCTGCTTGACCTCACCAGAGAAGATGCGATCGCAGCGGTTGAGGCTCAGGTCACGGAGGTTGCCCTCCTCGTCCTCGGCCTCCAACCACTTTGCCAGTGCCTCGCGATTTCCCTCCTGTACGGCGCGCGGCGCTTCCATCTCGGTCCAGTGCACCCGGTTCATCATCAGTTTGTCGTAGTTGCGAATACTATGTTCGCCGCCCTCGACGATCACGAGGTTGAACTTGGGATGCATGATGCAGACGCCGGTGAGTGCGTTTTGATCCGCGTTGACGTTCACTTGGTACCGGTGCTTTCCGTTGGCGAGGCTGGAGATCTTGTAGACGCGCACGTGGATGCCCTGTGCGGCGTCTTCGGCCTGTTGTCGCGCGAGTTTCTCTTGTCGCTGTTCTTTGGTGAGCTTGCGGTCTGCGTTGGCTTGGTCGTGACTTTGTTTCCGGTCGGCAATTTCCCGGTTGACGCGAGCCTCGACGGCGGTGGGGTCCTTTACGGCTTCTTCGCCGAGGACGCGCATGAGGTTGCCTTTCTTGACCTTGGGGGGTGGTGGGGGTTCTAGACCTAGGCGGACTTTGGCTTGGGATTCTTTGAGGTCGGCCATGCGGCGTTGGCGGCGGAGTTTGGCTTGTTCTTTGGACGTTAGATACATGGGTTTGGGAGCTGGATTATTCTTTTCTTGGGGTGGTTCGATTAGGACCGGGTGTTGGATGTAGACGGTGATTATGGAGTCGGGAGTGTCAATTTTAAGCTTGGATAGGTCGGAAATCACGTCGTAAGACTTTCCATCCACCAAGCCCTCATCCCACCACTCTATCTCCGGAGGGTTGGCAACCAAGAACGCTCTGTCTGTGTCCAAATCCTCCTCCAAACCAGCCTGTCTGGCGCGCTCTGCAATCCTCTTTTTCACAGCTTCGAGCTGAGCTTGTCGACGAAGCGCAGCAGCTTGTTGGATATATTTTCCTTTTTGATTGAAGATGAGTTGTTTTGACGTTCGCCCTTTGGCCATGGCATTCCCAAGACTGGGGTCGAAATATGGATTGGCCTTGATTTCTTCAATAGAAGGACCAGAGAGGTCTAACATTTCCTTCTTTTGTGGTGCTGATGATTCGGTTCTTCGATTTCCCATCGTTGTAGCAAACTTGGGCTGGGGCGTCCATGTCTTTGATCGCTGTGTGTCTTGTTGTGTATCTGCCAGCAATGCAGGGTGTAAACCGATATCCAAACCACCTCGTGCCTTGGAAATGTCATCGTTGAAGGCAGGAACCGTAGACGTAGACGGCTTTTGTGTAGTCAAGGAGGATTTATTCGTCATCGCAGCGACTCGAGCCTTCAGGGCAGCTATCCTATCTGCAGACGAGCCTGCGGGAGGCAGAGAAGACGGCGTTGGAGTTTTGCCAGCATTCATCTTCGCTTTCAATTCCGCGGCCCTTGCCTTTGCTGCGGCCAACATCTGACTGACGTCCTGCTTCGGCGGCGCAGCGGGAGTAGTCGGACGGGGCGATCCATCATTGGATCTGGCACGTTTTTGACTTTCATCGTCGTCTTCAGGGTGAGGTCTCTTCAGCAAACTGCTCGCTCTGTCTGCCATGTTGGAGGCTGAGAGGAATAGACTCACTGGAAACAAGAGGCCTTTTATCTCCTGCGCGTGTGATTCGTCCACAATGAGGAACTTGGATTTCAAGGGCTGGTATGTCCAAAGGACAATGCAAACTTACTGAGGCACTGCGTTTGCTATGAAACCTGTGTACGTCGTGATGGTGGTGGTGGTGGTGGTGGTGGTTGGTTGCTTGTCAGGCAAGGTTTGGCCCGCAGCCTTTTTGAGATCCCGGGCCAGCCACGTGATGAGCGGCCTAATTGTCCTGATTCATGATTCTGAAGAATACGGAGGGGCCTTGAGTCAGCACATATGGGGAATCCTTATCATGTTCATCAATGGATACAGTGATCTATACCATAGGTAGCTTATTGACATGTATGACTACTAGTATGGATGGCAGCGCAAATAGACGAGATACTCATGTTACCAAATTCTGATGCTATTCCACCTTCCACCCTATTTCACAATTCAAGCAACACCTCGGACTCCAGTTGCTGTTCCTCCCACCTTTCAAACATCAATCCCCCTCAAAAACACAGCTGCTTGATCATGACATTTGCCTAACAGATTTCTCCCCCTCCAGTTCTCCTCAGCCTCTGCACGTGGGTCATCCCATTTCAGCCCAATGCCCCAAATCCTATCCATCGGAGAACCCTCGACAAATTTTCGGTCTCCAGCTTGGAGATAAAGCTTCTTGAGATTTTCCTCGCACTCGGCACGAGCGATAGATGCACTGACGACGATAGCAACACAAGATTTGTCCCACACTTCGGGAGAAAACTGTGGAACCTTGCGGCCCAGGGTTTTCTGATCACGAGGGCTGGAGCTGAGTAGAATCTGACAGAGATATGTCTTGCGTGCTTTGGCCACGACTTCATCTAAGCTCGGATGACTGACCTTGGACGGCTTGGATTGTCCAAGAATGGCATTGAACAAGGCATTGGTGTCGGATCCATTCATCTCCAATTTGGCCAGCTCCTGTTCAAGCACTTGGTTTTTCTCAAACAACCAGGCTTTGAAAGCCATCATTGCCTGTTCACCACACACGAAGTTATGGTGTTCAAGTAGTCTCGTACTCATGGTGGTTAGACCAGGATGCTCCACCTCTTGCTCAGCGAGACGAGGGGCGAGTAGCTCAATCACTCGCTTTCCAGAGAATGTAGAACCAAGATTCCAATTCGATAAGACTCCGCCCCAGAATATGATGTATTTGTCTGTGATACGTGTGCCTCGACCCTTACCAGTCGACGTTTTCGGTAGCTTGACTGAGTGTACTACTTTTCTATTTTCAGACGGTGAGTCTGTTATCCCTGCTTCAGATTTAGAGACTTGTGTTATCGCAACTGCTTTACGCTTCTGTGAGGCCTTAAAACTGGTAGATAATGAGGTGATCGAGGGTGTGCTGTCGGTGGTTTCTTCTGTGTTCGAGCTGCGCGTTTGATATCGCCTTGTGGTAGCAGTGCCTACATTGCTCTTTAGGCTTTCTGACCTCGAGATAGGTTCCTGACCTCGATTTCTCACGCTGGTTGATGACATTTTTGCGGCTTTTGGACAGCTCAGCGGGCGCAATAGGTTTTTTTACGGAGTACGTCACACTTTCAACTGTTGAATGCTCTCCGCAGATGAGCACAAAAGATGCAAAGAAAGTAACATGCAAGGGCACGTAGAAACCAGATATTTACCAGATTTTAGGCTGCCAACATCTTCCTTGACGCAAACAATGTCGACTAGCTATGTTCACAATCAGAGATCAAATGTACATTCATATTCATTACTCATGGAAGGTTTGGCTGGTTGGTGGAGGCGCAGCAAGGCGAGGGAGGGGCTGCGCCGCAAATTTTGCGGTGGCTCGCAAGACGTAACCTCCATCTGCCATTCAATTGGCCTATCCATGAAATACTATGTTTCTGTTGAGACATAGAAAGGGAGTCGACGCGCAAGACCGCAATCTGAAAATTGGTAGAACTATTGCCGAGGGGGAACCTCAGACTGGAGAAGACAAAACGGTATGTATCACTGATATAGGGAATCTGAGCAACAGTAGAGTTGATCTAGTAGGAATTTGCTAAAGAGTATCAGTCAGGACTTGTACGAAGAACTATTCATCCTTGGCTTGCACGTTATACTGCACCATCAGAAGGTCGGATTCCCTTGCCAGTTAAGTTGATCAGATTGTTAACTTTCTTGGACCCCCACTCTCCCTCTATCCAAAAACGCCAAAAAATGCTTCTCACTCATGGCCAACTTATATCATTACGCCGTAACGCCGCAATATGTATGTCGCAGTTTCTCTCTCTCGATATTCCAAGAGAGACGTGAACATAGGGTATCGAGGCAGAAAATGAGGTCAATCGACAACCATCTTTCCCCTCGTTTGGCCCGATAATTGTTCGTAACTCATCACGTCGTCAAGGGTGGTGGCCACGAAATGGATCTGAGATAGGCGGCGGTTCGAGCCAAACTTGCCATTTTCGCAGTTTTGGAAATTTACTGCGTTTGACATTGTGCTTGCTGGGGCCCATCTTCGTCCTCCCATTGATTTGGTGCTTCATCACCACCGATGTCATCGATATCGGCGACCTCAAAAGTGACTTCGTCTGTTTCTTCTGCTTCGATAGGCTCTGGTGGAGGAGGGAGCAATTTCTGTAGGCTGTCTAGTGTCGCAGGGTCGGTGAAGAAGCCATCCTCAGGGAAGAGAATTTCAATGACGAGGTACAGATCACCTTTGACATCGGTCTTCTTCAACGGCATACCTTCACCGTGGACTTTGAGAACCTCTCCAGGACGTAGAATCTGACCAGGAACTTGAGGATGGTTGAGTTCAAGACCACGACCATCGAGATGTTTTAGCACAACACGGTGAAAGCCAGTCAAAGCCTCCGCGAGAGAAATCTCGAGCTTGGCTGAAAGGTCGTTACCTGTGCGTTGGAATACTTCGTGTGGCAGCTCGACCAGATGGAAGACGATGTCACCGGTCTGTTCGGCGCCGGGTATTTGATCAGCCTCGCCTTCTAGACGAATTTGGTCGCCCTCCCGAGCCCCGCGTGGAATGTAGAGTTCGAGTTGTTTCTTCTCTTCAGTAGTTCTCTTGCCCTTGCATTTTTTGCATTTGTCCTTGGGGTTGAAGACTTGCCCAGTACCTTCGCAGGCACCACACTCAACCATTCGTTGAGTGAGCATACCCGGACCAACTTGACTCAGAACCTGTTTGACACCCTGGCCCTTGCAAGCAGAGCACTCTTTTGGTTTGGCCTTGTCAGCTCCACCAGTTCCGTTACATTTGGAGCAGATGACGTTCTTCGTGGAGGAAAACTTGACAGTCTTGCCCTTGTACAATTCTTCGAGAGTGACTTCGTATTTCTGGTTCTCATCTGGAGAGCGGCGCATCTTGCGAGGACCACCAGGCATACCTCCCATTCCTCCCATGCCAGGGATTCCTCCCCCCATACCAAACATGTTCAAGATGTCTTCCATATTGACGTCCCCGCCCATGCCTCCAGGCCCCCTCGAGCCATCGAAGGCTGCCATTCCGTGAGCATCGTAGAGATGTCGTTTTTCGTCATCATAGAGAATTTCGTAGGCTTGAGAAGCGGCCTTGAAACGGACTTCGGCTTCTTCACGTTCTTCAGGAGCAACTTTGTCGGGATGATGGGCAAGGGCAGCCTTCCGGTAGGCTTTTCTGATATCGGCTTGAGAGGCATCTTTCTCAACGCCGAGGATGGCATAGAGGTCGATTTCTTCGGTAGGGCCGGCGCCGTTCATTTTGAGGATGGAATTTCTGAATCGAGTTGAGGGATGAGAAAGGAAGACAGGAGGAGTGAGTGGTCAAAGCGAGAAGACAAGGAGCAAGCACGGGCAGTCAGGCAGAAACTGGGGATGGAGTAGTGTGTAGTTGAGGTGGGATGTGATGAACTTGAACCTGATGAATGATTTTTGGGAGGGCCGTTTAAGGCGGGCATGGCAGGCAGGGCAGAGTTTGTCATGCAAGGCTGACAAGGCTGACAAGGCTACGAGGCTGTGGCCAATTCCATGCGCAGGTCGCTTCTTCCCATCGTCAACTCGCATTTTCTCGTACCTTCCGTCAGTTGATTGCCACACAACCGCTCTCACACCCCAAGCCCCCTCACCTCCCGCCTTCGTTGGTGCTTCGAATGCACCCACTTCCGGCATCCTTATGAAGGCCACGCCCTCTTCTAGTCACTGGATATGCAATTCCTGTCGAGCAACTCCCCGTCGGACTTACCGACCCGCATTTAAACATTCGGCTTTCGGGTTGACGCGCAAGTCATCCACTACCTCTACAGCACTGTACAACGGTACTCCCATACACACGCGAGGAGTCCTGCCAGACTCCCCAGCTCGCACTCGCTTTGCTCCGTCCCCCACGGGCAATCTCCATCTTGGCTCTATCAGGACTGCGCTATATAACTATTTACTGGCCAAAGCCACCAAGGGTCAATTCCTCCTAAGAATCGAGGATACAGATGCAAAGAGGACGATTCCGGGCGCGGAGGACAGGTTATACGAGGACCTGAGATGGGCTGGATTGCAATGGGACGAAGGTCCGCTTGTTGGTGGCTCATACGGTCCCTATCGACAATCCGAAAGGCTGGGAATATACAAATCTCATATCCAACGCCTTCTCGACGCTGAGTTTGCATATCGCTGTTTCTGTACTCCAGAACGAATCGACGAACTTAATCGTCGTCGCCATGAAAAGGGTCTCCTCCTAGGCTATGATCGAAAATGCACGCATTTGTCAAAAGCTGAAGCCGCGGAAAAGGCCCACGCCGGAGAGGCACATGTCGTCCGCTTTCTTTCTCCTTCCGTTTGGCCCAGGTATTATGATTGGGTCTTTGGTAAAAGTGGCCATGGCCTCCATAGGGGCATGAGACTTCTGGTTGATGAACCTGTCTACGAAGACACAATTCTGATCAAGTCAGATGGCTACCCAACCTATCATTGGGCCAATATCTGCGATGATCATGACATGCAAATTACTCATGTCGTCCGTGGCTCTGAGTGGATGACCTCCACCTCCCTTCATGTTGCTTTGCACCGGTCCCTCGGCTGGATTCCGCCAACCTACGCTCACGTCCCGCTCCTTACCAGTGAACAGGGTCAGAAGTTGAGCAAACGCACCCAAGACACTGATGTTGCCACTTTCCGTGCCAATGGTTATTCTCCCGAGGCTCTGATCAACTTTGCCGCACTTCTTGGCTGGTCACACCAGGAAAAGAAGGATTTCATGGATCTTCAGCGATTGACCGAGCTCTTCGACATGAAGATCACAAGGGGAAATGTCAAGGTTTCCTTCAAAAAATTAAAACATCTGCAAGTGCACTATGCCCGTCGACACATCGAAGCCGGCGACGACATCTTCCAGCAAATTGTTGGCGACGTGGCGCTTGCCCTTGTCAACAAATACGGAGCCCAGCGAATCTTGACCTTCACCGGAGACAGGCAATTAAGAGATGTCGTGGCGAGCATGCTCCGCCTCAGATTCCTGACTTACGACACCCCTGCCGATTACGCGGATAACCTCTGCATTCTCTTCAAAGACCCCCCCGAAGTCATGCCAGATTTCCCCATCGCACCTGAACACATACACCTTGTACACTATCTCCAGATCGCTGCCACCGCCCTAACCCTCGTGCCAAAGGAACAATGGACTGACTCAGTTCACCACGCCAACCTCACCGAGCTTGAAACTCGCCCTGATCATACCATATCCACTACAGATTGGAAGAAACTCCTCTACCAGTATCTTCGGTGGGCGGTGCTCGGGCAGAAAGACGGCCCTGCCGTCTCACAGTGCATGGAGATCCTAGGCCGCGAGACGTGTCTTGCTCGTATCCAGCAGGCAAACACCAAGTTGCGGGAGATGGAGCTTCGCGAAGCACAGCCCGTCCTCGAACAGCAGGGCTGGAAGGGCGATGTCGACGGCAAGAGACGGGCCGAGAAGGACTATAATTGGACGTCATATGCTCTGCAACAAGACAAGGAGAATCGTAGGTAATGGAACCCTCTGCTTTCGAAGTGTACACTTGCCCAAACCTGTACCAAGATATGTACTTGTGTATGTATATCATCTACTTGTCCAACGTAACCTCCCAACCTGCAAAGCCAGTGGTAGACTGGTAGACTGGTAGACTGGTATTAACTGTTTGTAATATTGTATTAAACCATCAGACGATCACATACACACGCACTCATTCATACAATAAAATATGCAGCTGGCACATCCGAGATCCACTTTCTCATTTCATACTCTATCTCTATTCTACTGACATTACGGTGTATACCTTCTTCTTACATGGACGGGGTTTGGGCCGGCGTCAAGAGTAATAAGTTTCTGTGCTCTCGTCACGCATTAGTGGTCGTATTTATGAATTCTTGCCGCAAGGCTGCAGAGTATAGTCAGTGGCTGGTTCATGTGGACACAGGATTGATGGTTTATGGTTGATGGTTGATGGTTTTTGCATTTATTTGGATTGCTTCTAAATTCCTGCTGTCGTAGTATCGTCTGTTTGAACGAAGTCCTTTCTTTCGTTCCTTTCGGGGTTTGTCGTCCTAATTGAGCCTGATTTTGTCATCCGCTATCAGGGATGCTTGCACTGACACGATGAGCGATACCTCAGGGAATCTACAACCCTCACATCTCGAGTAGATTTTTGGTAGTTGCTGTGCCTCCACCTTCTAAGCCATCTACAGGTTGACCTGCCGAACACTATTCAGTAACCTCCCTGACGATCTCCCAATTACCCTTGAGATCTTCCTTCCACAGGGTGACCTTATTATCACCGCCAGAGACTGCGAGAATGTTTCCGGAGAGACTCCAGCTGACTCGCCAGAGTACGGCGTCCAGCTCCAGGGATTTGGCGAGGGTCCAGGAGGAGGGGTCATTTGGGTTGGGGCTTGTCCAAATCTTGACGCTTCGGTCCTGGCTCGCCGAAGCAATGTAGCTTTTCGATAGGAGGGTAGGGCTCCATGCCACATCCCGCACCCAATCGCTGTGACCCTGCGGGAGGACAAGAGTGTTCTCGTAGGATTGTGTTTGTGCGTTGAAGTCCCAGGTCTTGACGGTGTTGTCGCTGCCCCCAGTGACAAAACGGCGGGTAGCTGACGAGGATGCAGAGTTGGCTGCGGCCGTGCCTGTGTCTTTCCGAGCGATGGTCCCTGGTATCCCCGCCGGTGCCCAGCTAACGGCGTTGACACCCATGCCGTGAGCAGGAAAGATGATATGCGACCATTGATTGTCACGGAATTCAAGTACGCTCACATTGCCGTCAGAGCTGGCGCAGGCGAGGAGGCAGCCAAGCTCAGGCGGCGCCCATGCCACCATATTGACGCTGGCGGTGTGAATGGTAGAGGTGAAAACGAGGGACCATTGGGATTGGGACGTTTGCTGAGGGCCATGAGCAGCTTGCGCTGAAGGTGTTTCTCGGTAAATGTGGACGCGCCCATCATAGGATGACGAGGCGAGAAGGGTGCCGAATTTAGGGTGAGCCCAAGACACGCACCAGACTGCTCCTTCATGGCTAATCGAGAGCAGGGCATTAGATGAGAATGCTGTTGAAAGTAGGGTCTCTGCAAGGAGGATGAAGACTCACCCCTTCAACGTCTCAGTTAACCGATGTTGATCGCCTTCGATCTCAAATATCTTGATGGTTCGGTCACTTGAGCATGTTGCCAGCCGGCGGCCGTAGTAGTCTAGTACTGCATCGTGCTGGAGGTGCCATGGTCATGGTCAGTTCTCACTCTCTTCTTTGTGTGGTGTGCATGCAGCCTGACAGATGAGATAGGGTGCTCGAGCGAAAAAGCGTCTCGTCCATGTAGAAGAGGACAGGGTTAGCAGGAGAGGGACAAAGGACGTACAATCATATCATCGTGGCCTGAGTTGGCAATAACTTGCGCCTATGGCAGAAGGAGGATTAGCATTGGAGCCTTGACCCAGGAATGTTCATATTTCTAATTCGTGACCATGTGTCTGATATGAGGTTCCTCCGTTTCAAAGTAGCCGCTCAATAGGTCAAAGGGATCGAGCTCAACATACCATGTCTGCGAGGATAGGAGAAGCCTTCTGGGTTTGAACAGTAAATATCGCGCAAGCGGAAAGAGAGGGAGTGATTTAGCTGGACCGGAAGCACTACGACATTTCAGAGAAGGTATGCAGAGAAGAGAGGTCAAATAGGTGCGTGTAAGAGGAGAGTAGGTGTTGTAGATACTAACGGATAGGTTGTGTTGTGGTGAGTCTGTCCGTGATCTGGCATCAACTCAACGTTTGGTCGCAGGGTTCGCAGGGAAGTCGCGACATGGGCCATTACATTTGCCCGCAGCTTCCACATCTTATCTTATCTCCGCGCTACAGGTACAGTACATACGTGTGTACATAGATAGATATCTGTACATATGTGTAGGTACATACCGTCATCTACTCTGTCCTGTACTGCTTTCTGCACGTGTGGGCATACTGTATCCCTCAATATCTACTTAAGGCTATAAGGACTGAGAACATGATCACCCGAATAAACACCCTGATGCTAAAAGTGTAGCACTTTGAATTATACCCTAGGTACGCCGGACATGCCAACTCACGATGTCGGTATTGCCCTTTTTCTGGTCCTCTGTTCCAGTACCTGAAGGAAGCGCCATCTCCAACCGCCCAGAATAGTAGTTTTACAGGCACGAGAATAGAATGGCTTCCCCGCCAGACCTTGCCCATGTCTCAAGAGCTTGAAACGCCTTGCTTTCAATACCGTGCCATGCTATTTCTGAGAAAGTCGTAAGCCCTTCTCAATAGCGTTTTCGCAGCCATAAATCCCATAAACCGTGAAATTCACATTGCCTCCTCCGCCGAACGTGCTCACATCTGCCAATTTCATCTGCCCAACGGTTGTGCAATTCTGTGCAGGTCTCGTGACCACACTGGAAGTCTCTTGTCCCGTTCGTAAATCAAGCCGCAATTATTGCAGAGTGTCTGTTCGGAAGTTAGTTGTCAAGCACAGCAAGATGCCTGTCAAGCAAACTCACCCTTGGTCCAAGTGGCCCATCTCGCACAGCCCAGACGGCATTACCCCATATCAGACAGTGCTTACACCTCCAGTTCTGTCTCTCATATTCTTGCAGACGATTTCCTTCGCCACCCCAGCCTGCGCCGGCCGAACTGCCACCTTCCGGAGTTTGCGCTTTTGCAACAGGACTTAGTGATCGGAATCTTCGTTTCTTCTTACTCCGCTCTCCACGGCCCATCAATGGGGTTTCGTCTCCGCCAATACCGACTCCAGTGTAATCAAAGTAGCTTCCACGCAACTGAGCTTCTTGCTCTCTAGCAGATAGGACCATTCCAGATGTTGAACTGAATTTGGCTGTTTCTCTCCTCAATCGCCGAAGTTGTCGTTCTCGATCGCCCTCGCGCTTCTCAATCTCTTCCTTACTCAGGGCTTCGAACTTTGGCTCCCACTCCGCCCCAAAGTCATCGATGTCATATCTCCACCCTGCCCCTTCTTCTGGTCGCATGGCTTGATTGTCAATCTCTCCTCCACCCCAAGTCCCGCCACCGAGCATGAGCATTCCGCCCTCGCACGCCTCTTTCTTCAGCCTCAAGACAGCCTCATAGATTGCATGGGTGATAGCCATGACCCATTCGCCACCCAGCCCCATGTCTGCGCAAGTTTGTTTGGCGAAGGCTTCTGCAGCTCCCGGAGGGTGTAGTAGTGACCACTCAAATTTATCCTGATAGAGCTTTGACGACAGGTAGATGGATAATGAGATGATACAACGGTACGTATCGTCAGGGTTGAGATATGGATCATATGGTTCTGCAGGTTGCTCCGCTGCAAGGTCTGGGGCAGCCACAGGTGACGCGACCGCCGCAATTGTTGCTCCATTAGGAAGAAGGGAGGGTCTAGGTGTTTGTGGTGCAGGCGTCCCCGGGGCCGTTGATGCTGGTCGGGATATTGAGGCTCCGACAAGCCTGGGGGTTCCGTCTCGAGAGCTTCCATTCTGCATGACCGACGGCGTGGGAGCATTGGTAGTCTCTGCGATTTGGCCCTGCCGTTTTGGCTGAGTATGGAACAACGGATGCATGGCGACACCGGCGTAGTCTTCGAGTTGATTCCGGATCTGCTGGCTCACGCTCATAGCGAGCGCCGTCTGGTTCGGTAAATCGAGATCCCTCACGAAAGATATGGCAAAATCGTCAGGTGTGAGCAAGTTCTCATGGAGATTCCATAGAAAGATATCTCGAATCTTGTATCCCGGTAGCATGTCCGGTCGTTTGTAAAGTGTCGAGTTCGCTATGATTGGGTCCATCACGCGTGGAATAGGATACGGTGTATCTGGCTGATGCGGCGGGACATCAAGGTCTATTCTGATGGGTATGAGCGTCAAGGGAAGTTGTGCTTGGATATGCGCTTGAGCGTCCGTGCTATGCGATACTTGGTCAGTCTTTCTATCGAGAACCGATCCCTCCCTGCGCACAACTTACGTTGGTCTAACTGTGCGCCTGACGATCCAATCCCTGTAGATCGGTTGGAGATCGACAGGTCTATATAACTCTTTCCCTAGCCTGACTTGTTGTGGTTCTTTCTTCTCGAGGTCTTCTCGTCGCAGGGAACGCAGGCCCGTTAGACGCCGACCTGGGCCCTCGCTGTCTTCAAAGTCATCTTCATCGTATGCATCGTCGGCATAATTGATTATCGTGGTGCCCCGTTTAGTGGTGCGTCCTCCTGGGGCGACATTCTGGGTTTGAAGGACGGGCTGGAGGAGAGTGTTGGCGTATTGTCGAACCCGAGGAGGGTAGCTGGTCACAAATGATTGCGCCAGATCCATGGTGGAAGATGGAAATGGTCGGTGGCCCTATAACATGGCCGAGCGACCGTGGGTGCGAAACACTCGAAACACCGGAGTTGTTCAGAGTGAACAATGGTCCTGTTGCGGCGTTCGTGATCCTGAACCAGAAATGTCCGATCGGAAAAGTCGCGCGACGCAGACTGGCAGACTCGCAGGCTCGCCCTACCATTCGAACGCCAAGCCAAGATCGCGAGTATTACCTAAGCATTTTATCGAGCGTCAGTCACGTGAAACGCTACCGAATGTATTTGATGCTCTTTCAAGTCCCTGGGGGCACGTTTAGATACGCCTACTGTATGCCCAAGAAGTCCTGGTGGGTTGTCTGTAAATATTAAAGATGGTATACGACAGAAGTCTTTCAGATCTCAGATCCTTTCGCTGTGTTGCTCAGATCGAGTCTTCAATCTTCAATCCTGTTAAGGCCCATGCTAGAGTTTCCGGTTGTCCCACACCCGTTTTCCCTTTCACAAACGGAACAAATGCTCCCAGTAATGCCTTCCAGTGGGATATCACTAAATCGATCTTGTGGTTTCCATTGTATTCCCTGAACCAAACACACAACACGATGAGAGAAAGTCCTCTCAAAGTCACCGCAATCCAATTACGCTCTGTAAGCCAGATTAGCATCAAGTTTGGGACACAGCTGCGTTATAGGGTGCTTACCATTTCCAATGTCCAAACTCTTCGAATCCACACTTTGACTTTGCCCTCAACGCCTTCAACATCATCGAGATCAACTCCTTCCCACCAACATCGTCGTGCTGGTTTTCGCCAGAAGAGCAGAAGCTTCTGAGCCATGCCAACAGCATTTCCGCCAGCCAGATCACCTTTGATGTCGGTTCGAAGACGAGCCAGGGCTAGGCTGCAGACGACTGCTTTGTTTGGTTCACCTGCTCGGTGACCCCAGGCATCATCGTGATTGAAACCACTAATTGCCATCAGCCCACATTCTACGTGACAGGTCATGCTCACTTACCCCGCCGTCAACATCTCAATCAAATGCTGCTCAGTGGTGCCAGCTTCTTCGCTCCGTTTTAATCCAGAAAAGATTCCATTTTGCTGGAGTAACGACTTGCCGGCCGCTCTCTTGACTTCGGTCATTTCGGCCTGCTCGATATCTGGTTTGGGGGGAATGACATAGAAGTCTAGATCTTCTCGTAGAACAATGATACCGGCTCGATCTTGAAGCATATCCTTGGTTGAGCCTTGCAATGGCTCGATTGATATGGGATCATGGTCGGGTGGGGTGGTTGGTGATGGAGTTGTTGACGGGATGGATTGAGCAACATCTCGAAAGAAATTTAACATATACTGAAGCGAGGCTGGATCATACTGCGAGGGATATGTTAAATCTCCAATATAATAATAAGGATTGCTAAGAATGGACATGACATGTGCAGGCGTAGTGGGACATACATCAACTGGATAAACATCGCCGTCATGGAACGAGCTCATGTGACCATCTGGTAAAAGGCCGTTGGGGAATAATGATAATAGTACAAATTCGGGAAGCGTCAGGAGCTCATCACGAGATAATGTGAACTGTGTTCCTCTAGGCGATGTCAGCGGGAGGTAATGCTTACCCGGCCAGCGGCTTACCTCAAATCTAAGGTGATGTGCTCGTCCGCAGCAGCTTCTCCGGCTGTTGGATGATGTTAGCGTAACTTGTGCCTGAGCAAGTCTGTGCAAAAGTCACCCACCTCCTAAAGTATTAATGGGAGGACCTGCAGACTGTTGGACTTGTGTAATAATGCTGGCAGGACCACCGGCAGTAGCCATGACGTAGGAAAAAGAGTCGATGGGACTGGACCCTTCGGTGTAGGGAGGCGGAGGTTCTCCTTCGTCAACTGCCTTGGAAGACTGCGCCTTGGTGTCCTGAGGAAGGGCGGCCTTTGTGTCGGCTTCAGCCTTGGACTCGGCGTCGTCTTCGGCGAGGGCCTCCTCGAAGGAGGGTGCCGGAGCAGTTACGAGAAGATTGGCGCAAGCAGTCTCAGTAACACTGGCCCTGAGGCGATCAAGTTCGGCGTCGGAAGGGAAGTAGAGAGAGGAGAAAGGTGGAGGTCTCGGAGACGGCGGACCTGAGGAAGAAGCGACTTCTGAGCCGGGGAACTGGGGTGGAGGAGCAAATTCGATCTTGTCTTGGTCGGCGTCGTGATTGTTGATGGTCGACAACGCCGTGGTGGGCGAATGGTGACAAAGGGGCTTTGGGTTGATGAGTGACCAGAGCGAGTCGAGTCGAATCGAGTGATTGGATTGGATTGGAAGCGCGCAGTCGGTAGCAAGTTCAAGCGTGTGTGTAGGATGCCAATAATAGGAAGGGAAAGGCGCGCCAGAGACTTGAAGTGAGAACCAAGAAGGGACTTGTCCTGCTACTCAGCTCCTCTTGAGGGAGATCATTCAACCAGTACAGTGTTAGCAGTTCAGCGACGTCGAGCTTGCAGATAATGGATTGCAGATAGCCCGGTATGTTACGAAGTACGGAGTAGAGTGGGATGGAGACAGATCTGAAGTGTGAAGTGTCAATTACGATTCACCGCAGGCGTTGGAGAGACTGGTCCTCGGGCTGTAACTCTGTGAGTGTGAGGCGGCGGCAGGGCAGGAGCACCACTCCAACGGATTCCTGGGGGCAGGTTCGCACCCTGGTTCTGCCACTTTTAACCAGAGAGCGCTTACCTAGACTAGCCCCCTCGGCACACTTGCGGCGGTACTAGTCTACCACTAACCGCACTAAAGTCCGAGCTAGCGGTTACTTGCACTAGGAGTCTAGGACCCTTCAAGTGCTCCAGAGTTACTATGTTCCTCTTCCTCACCATCTATCTACTCGTATGTACATACAACATATGTCCCACTATCAGACTACCCAATCCATGCAACACCTTCTCAGATCAACTAATGCTCAATTAAATTCATTCATCGGACCATTAAGTCTGTATTTTAAATGCAAAGTACATTAGATAGAGAGAGAGAGAGAAAGAGAGAGAGACCGCCATGCCAGCCCGTCAATCATCCGCAGTACTCCGTACAGCATCTCCCAGACAGAACAACCAGCCTCGACTTTCTCTCATTTTAAAGGATTCAACTTATCAATAATACTCTTCTTCTGCTCTCTCTCCTTGGCGACGTCTCCCGACCCCTGTTCTGGTGTGAATTGCTCTCCTCCAGATCCGATAATTGAGTTACTCTTTCCGCCGTGGTCTATGCCTGCGATTGCCGAGGTGTCCCTTGGCTGTGATGCCAGAGTCTCTGTTGCTCTGTTCGCTGCGCCTGTATGTCCACTTGTGCCAATCACTCCTGATCCGGCCCCTGCACCCGCTGTCGTTGAGGCTCTCTTTTGCGCTGTGAGCCCGAAGAGTTCGGAGTGCGACGCAGTTGGTTCTGCAATTGGCTCAGTTAGCCCTTTGCTCGCTTCGTTGCTCATTGAGTGGTTGACCTTACCGTTACTTGACATCTTATGCTGGCTAATGAAAAAGGCTTGATTACTCAGAGTACTTTGCAGTTGGATTTGCGTGACAATATTGCGCTTGTGGTATAATATCTTTGGATCAGTTTCCAGCTAAGTTTCGTTTAAATACGAAGGCAAGTTGCATAGATGGTGGTCTTAGAACGGTTCCAGATCTACCTCAAGCTTGTTTCTCTAGCTATATATATTATTTCCTCACAGCCACCCGCAACTCCCTGGTCCACATTATTCAGTACGATTTCAACGGGCAAGCATTTTACCATGACGCTGCCGAGGCCTGGGAGTGGACATGCCCAGCCCGGATACGGTTCCCGAGCAAAACAGAATGATCATATCTACCGCACAGCCAGGATTTATCTCTTCTTAAATGGTAGTTTTTCTTGACTCTGGTGCAGCGTTATCCACCAAATGCCAGTAGTCTATGGTCAATCATCTTGGCTGGCCTGTCTACCCAACCAGTCGATGTGGCACCAGGTGGCTGATGGGCTGTGCTGTGCTCGGAATATCAAAGCAGATTGTGGATATCTAAAATCCATACCATGCAATTAGCCTTTGCGGAACAACTTGAGAGCATTCTTGTTCACGAGCATATCTCGCTCCTCCTCCTCCGGAAACACTTCAGGCAAGTACTGGTCGTGGTCGTTGGATAACACACCCACTGCTTTAACATTAGTGAATGGATAATCACTACCATAGAGCAGCCTGTCCACGTTGACATATTGCAGCAAGCCCTTGATCTGGTTCGGGAAGGCCCAGCCCGCAGTATCGAAGTAGAACTGCGAATTGAGGCGCTCTTTGACCCAGGCCGGGTTCACCTTCGGGTCGACATTGGGCAGCTGCAGCAAAGATCCGATCGTAGCGAACCGATCGATCAGCGGCGGAAAAGTCCCGCCCATATGCGGCACGATGAACTTGATATCCGGACACCTGCTAACCGTTCCTGACAAGAACAGATTGATCACCGCGCGTGCTGTATCGAAGAGAAACTCGAACATCGGTCGAGGGAAATCAGTAATCGGGGTGGCAGGTGGCCCAGAAGGCAGGCAGGGTGTGGTCGGATGCATAAATACGGTGGCCTTCCTCTTGTTTAACTCGTCAAAAACCGCATCAAAATCCCTGTGGCCCAGGTACCTCCCTCCGAAATTCGTCATGACCACGAACCCGTCAGCATCGAGCTCGTCCAGCGCGTATGGAACCTCCTGGAGACAGCCCTCAACATCGGCGAGGGGCAGCGAGGCGAAGAACCCGAATTGGTCCGGCCGCCGCTTTTTTAGATCTGAGCCGACTTCGTTGACGTGCCGTGCGAGGTTTCGTGCGAGTTTGTCTTCACCGTGCTTCAGGTAGCAGCCCGGGGAACTGACGCTGATGATGGATTTGGTGATGTTCAGTTCTTTCATCATCGCTAGGTGGTTTTCCTCGCTCCAGTGCTAAATAGTAGAAGAACGATTTGTTCAGAATATAATGTTGAAATGGGTCGGCACCCGAGTAGGGCTAAACAATTATACGAAGCTTTGAGGAAGGAAGAATCAAACTGGCTTACCGGAATGGCTGGCATTCCATCTGGATTTTTATGTCCATTCTCCGCAAGTGCTTCTCGGTATTTCCTTGGGACACGAATAAGCATCATCCGTGTTCAAGATGCTCCTGGATAAACTCACTCGGGGAGATAGTGGGAATGGCAGTCAATCTTCTCGTAGGGGCTCATGGCTATCAGTCACTATGAGAGCCACAAGGTACTATGAAGGGCTTCTGAACAGAGAACACTTAAAGCAACCAAAGAAGGGCAAAATGACAAAGAGAGGAATATGTCGTCTACGAGTAATTAGTTTGTCGCGGGTCGGGTCGTACAATGGACAATATGGATGCGAGTCGAGGCGGGGTCGAGAAGTGCGGAGAGATCTTGACCAAATCAACACTGCAGGGCTTGTACAACTCAGCATTCCCACATTCTGCTAATCCGAGTCAAGGCCGGACGGTTTTGAGTCAATAATTGCTTATTTAGAGGGGTGCAGTTCCCTGCGCGAATCAATAAGGACTACGATATGTGATTTCATCTCATAAGCCTTCTAAGTCAATGAACTATCAGAAATACGCTCTCTGCTCACCAATTGCCACTCTTAGTTGAGAATTCTTTCTCCATACAAGGTGAAATCGGATGCTTATAAATGGAACTTGTCGTGATACGTAGCCTCGGTGAGTTGTAACATCGGGAGCAAAGACTGTCGCTCGGACATAAAAGTCGAGTTCTCCGGAGGAAGGCATGAGAGAGGGAGGCGTCCCCGGTGGGGTGTGGGAAGCGAAGACATGCACGCCGAGGTTCCCACTACTACGAGCCTCGTCCGAGATAGACGGGAGGACTTGTTGTTCGGCGCTGTCAAGAACATACGTCAACCTCCTGCCGCAAAGACTCCTTCATGGAGCTCTACCACCAGTCGCCCTCGGCCGATTCGGGGAAGGCTTCTGGAGACTCCGGGTAGGCATTGTCAATCAAAGCCCTTGGGGAATCCCATGGATGTATCGAGAGGTTGAGCTGTCCCTCATGGACTGCATCGAAAACTCAGCACCTGGGCGCGGACTATCTCGGTGGATGCTCTTTCTGTCAGGTCCTTGTGAATATGTAGTACGCCATGGCCATCAGTTAGTAGCATCCGTGCACTGGGTAAGCAAAATGAAATATCATGTCATCCAGAAAGGGCTCTTCCAACAAGCTCCTTTGCTCGGTCGCTGAGATCCATCTGTAGCGCCAGATCCTGTCCGCGCTTGCCCATTTTGACCCATGTCTTTTGCAAAATACCAATGATTTTGTCTTCATCATGTCCCTAGCAAGAATAAATCAGTGAGAATTCCCGCACCACACCGTCCAGAAAATTACTGCCATCCATACCTTTTCGAATTCATCAAACTGATCATCCAAGAACACGAGACAAGCCACATCCTCAAGAATCTGAGCATCGGCATCACCTTGCCCCTCGCCCTTTTTCAGATCCTCTTTCGCAATCAAGGCAGCAACCTTATCTGCCTCTGCCTCACTGTACTCACATTCCAGGCACAACTGTCGAACTTGCTCGGCTTGCCGTTTTTTAAGAAAGGTTCTCCAGGCGAAGTAGCCGGCTCTGGTTCGTGGATAAGAATCGCGAGGGACCTCCCACCGTCGGAAATGCTGGGCACGTGCTGCCGTCATGAGCAACGGATCTGCATTTGGCGTGTGAAGGTCCAGAAACTTGGACATTTTCTTTGCGTAGATCAGTTCGTAGGGCGTCGAGTCACCCTCGACGTCCACCCTGTTGGGATCTTCACTGTGAGCGGCATTGATCCTTTCTAGTGCTTTGGCTAGATTTGGTGCCATTTCGGCTGCCAGATATGAGGCTCTGCGTGAGATAGTAAGGTTATTGGCTTCTGCTATTTAGCAGTGACCCTGATTTCGTGGTTTATTGTGCAGAATAAGAACGAGAATTGCTCAGTTGTGATATTTAGGCGAATTAACATCGCGGGTCTCATGCAATGTGACGTCACCCATTGTTGTGCTCTTCCTCCACAAAGCTGGGAATCCAACAGGAGAAGATCGTGATGGAGATGAATATGGTTCACAGTAGGGGAAGAATTAAGAACAATGAGTACGATGCAGATGCAGTGGTTCTGGTGATATACTTAGTATTGTTTTTTGCCATTTATCATGATCTCTCTTGCCTCGGATCCATACGCCCGACGCGTTATCCAGGACTCCTTCTCACCTCTCGACGCCGGTCCAGAGCAGAGTTGGGACTGCTCTCTCTCAATACATTGAAGAATCGCGATGCATTACGCACCGCCTTCCCTCTTTACATACTCATCCTCCATTCTCTCGTCATACAAAGCATCGGCCTCCGGTTGAGTCAGACGCTTCTGTTCTCCTCCACCAACAGTACGCTGCGTAGCTGGTACTCCCGGTAGAATTCGTTGTTGCTGCTGGTTCGTAGCATCGGCTGGCATACTAGTTTTGGTGGTGGTTGTCTTCTTGTGGGATGCATTGGCACCCAGGGAAAGACTGCCAGATACTGCTCCGGCGACAGAAGCACCGGCAGATGCCATAGCCTCTGATGTCTTCTTAAAGAACCCTGCGTCTTCAGACATGTTGGTTGGTATTATCTCGTGGACGTTGTGAAATGTTCGAGGGATGGTGATTACAGATGCGGGTAGTGCTATTACAGTATTGTATTGTCAAGTAGACCTTGAAACAAAGAGAACGGCTACGTTGAATTCCAGAGTTTTCCATATTGATATAGCCTTGAGCACTCTGCCAGTGTCCCTAAGCACACGGACTTCAGAAACAGGTTTTCAAAGTCCGTATTGCCCTTTTCAGGTCGGGGTGCCTAGGTATCCATCGGTAAGACAAGCAATCCCTGGCTATCAAGCATGTGCAACTTGAACCCGTTCGTTCTGGTTTAAGCCATCGACATCATCCGATCTACAAATGACAGCAGAATTAGGCAGGTGTTGCCATTTCATGTCATTTGAAGCTGTTGGCGGATGCGCTGGTAAATTACAGTACTGTATTGTTTGCCGAATAAAAGCTTGGCCTTCTTTATTTGAACAAATGGGGATTGAACTCTCCGAGTTTTAGAAACATCGAGAATAGCTCAATAGCAATAATTTTTGGGAAATTATGATCTGTCCAGGCACAAATTTCCCCATTTCTATCAGCTATCCATCATGGCGCGCACTCTTGGTGATTTCGTGGAATCAGTACAGGGATCAAACTGGGGTGCACCCCTGGCTTCGAGAGCCTCGTCCGCGCTACAACTTTGCAGACATGAGAAAACACTGCCGCAAAGCTGGGAAAAAACCAAACTACGAGTAGGAGAGTTGTGCTAATGCTATGTTCTTTGCTAGCGTAGCTTCGTCGGACGAAGATCTTGGCTTCTCTCCACTCGTCTCAACACTGTCTAGGTCGTAGGCTGCCTGCGGACGGTGAATAAGGTGAGCTCAATCAAAGCTACAATTGGCAAAGGAGGCCTCCAGAAGTGAAGATGTGTCCAGGCAGTGAATCAAAGGATTCCCTCATTGATACCTTCATCACAAGTTCACAACAATGCTTTCTTTACCGCATTGTCTCTTTTCCCCAACCCATCCTTGTACCTTAACACCACCATCTCTTCTTCCACTCGTTCATCAGTTCCTTTGACACCCACAGTCCGTGCCATCAAATGTCCAATAGGACATCTCAATTCTCCATAGCACACTCGAACAAGCACTCTTGCGATCCGCAAACTCAAACGCAACTTGTCAAACACCACAGCGGTCACTATCAAGACCCTTTTTCGTCAACAACCTTTCCTTCAGCCTTGCACTCCCGACAAACATGACACCCCTAAATCCACGACTCTTACTTCTATTCCTTCTTCTCTCCCCAGTCGTCACGGCATTCAACCTGTGGGAACTTTTCACAGCAGTCGGAGGTAGTGCCACTGTTGTAGGGCTCGGCTTCGTCACCTGGTCAGTCGTCGATGTAGGCTCGAGCCGTGCCTATTACCACTTTTTCACAAGCACTGGGAAATCACATCTCTATCCAAATGATGTCTTTGAGGATGTCTCTCCAGAAGGGAATGCTATTGTGCCGGATGCTTACAGCGGGAAACCAGTAACAGACTCGACATTCACCACCATAATGACAAACGGGCAATTCCCCATGGCCACAACATCAATTTTCACAAATACTCTTGTCCACACCGGCAAGGAGGACGTGCTTAAGGTCATATCAGAGGTCGAACTCAGCACAGACGTACCTCCCTTTCCATACAACAAATGCCCAAATATCCCGTTCCCACCTTATTTCATACACAGAAACCTCTGTCCTTCAGTCGTTCTCCTCGAGTCGTTGGCAGTCAAGCCTAACCCCATTCAGATATTACCCTCTCCAACAGACGGCAATGTCCCAGTCCTGCTTGAACTCGCTCGGTCGATGGATCAATATGTCATTCCCATACCACAACTTTACCCGATAGCTGCTGCTGAAAGCTGTATGTCTTGGGTACGCGAGTCGCTACCAGTCCATTTAGCAGCCCTCCGATTTGTACTAGGTGCAGTTATTGAAGCGTGGAATATTTGGTTGCGTGACTTTCTAGTGGGATATCTGTCATATCTGTCTGCACTACTACGGATTTTCCCGCGAGCAATCGTACAAGCTTGGAATTACTGGCCAATCTTCTGGGCGGTAAATTTCGGTCTAGGTATTCTAATTCAGATTGCCCCATTTGTTCTGACGAATGTCTCAGAGAGATACTATCAAACCTCCCGCAACATACACGAGAAGGTAGCGGAGTTGGAAACTCGAGCATATGAGAACTGTGTGAAGGAGCTCGAGCGTGAGCAGAGAATACTTCAACTTGAAGAACTGGTGGAGGAGCACAAACGCCAGAAAAAGTTGACGAATGCCCGAAAAGATGCAGAGCTCCAAACAATCATTGACCTTGAGGAGGATCAGAGGAAGCTCCGAGTTGAGACTACGAAGGCAGATTTGAGGGAAGCTGTTCAACGAGCAAAGCTTCGAGGCTGTCCCCCTCTGACTGGAGGATGGGCTGGAGGTTTTAGACCGACTGAAATGGGAGAGAGCTATTGGAATCCTGGTGCTCAGTACAATGACGACGACGGCGACGACGACGACGGCGACGACGGCGATAACAATGAGGATAGGAATGGCCTTCACCTCCCTGCTTGTCGCAGCCAATTTGGGCCAACCGGTCAACGCTTCGACTCTGCTTCAATTGATAGAGAACATGACGGCGGCGACAATACCGATGCCGAAGACGACTTCGATGGCAATGACAACAAGCCTGCTGCTTTATCGAACGAAAACCGTCAGTGTCGCAATGAATATGACGGACCCGGGCTTGATGGTCAACATTTCTCCACTGCTTCAAATGATCAAGAACATTTCAGCCAAGAGGACGTTCCCGAACACTTGCGTGGGCTGGTCCTTCCGAGTGCTTCTCTGACGAACCCCACGTATCAATCAATTTCCGAGTCTTTGGAAGCAGAGACATCATCGAGTGTAGCCAAAACCACTGATGAGCCCAAGGAAGAAAGCAGTCAATCATCACTTGAACAAGCTGAACCAAATGCTGATACGTCTTCCATTCTTGAGCCGGACGCAACCAGCTCTCGGACTGTCGGAGCCATCGTCACTAACACCACCATCGAGTCTGAGCCATCTATTGAAATCTCTCTTGTTCTGATTCCACCTCCACAAGCCACGCAATCATCGGCAAATGGATACCGGGAGACCGGTGATGAGGACTCTGACAGTGACGATGACAAGTCCCAGAGCTCCAAATCCAATGATGATGGCGAAGAGACTGATGGAGTCACGTGGGAAGACTGTGACCCAAGTCAACCTGCGGTGCAAGGAGGCGATTTGGGCGGATTGGACGCCATCATCACCAGCATGGGAGATGTGGCTCTGACTCCGGCTCCCGAGGACGCCATGGAGATCGTGAACGAAGGAGAGGACATGGACACAGATGATGTCCGAGGTGCTCCTGGAGATTATTTCCAGGATGCCATCTCTGAGTACATGGCTAACGCTATGAACACCTCTCCGGACGAGGATAACCTCGTCCTGAACGTTCAAGACCTCGGTGGCTGTTTCTATAACAAATGGGGCCAAGAAACGGCTCAATATGGAGAACAAGAGCCATTTGATGACGGAGATCAAGAGATGGGAGACGCAGAAGCTGCTTCAGCAATGCTGCAGGAGGATCCGAGGTTCGATGACCTGATGGAGACGGATTTGCTTCCGATCTTCCAACAGAGCGCCTTCGCGCCGATTGCTCCAGCGTCGGATATGTCCTCTGGATATACATACGCGGACGAATTAGAAAACTTCAACAACTCCGACACTACAATGCCGCAGGACGCCTTCTCTGTTTACGATGCTGCTGGCCAACAACAGCCCTTCGCACAGAACAATGTAAACCCAGATGAGCTGTTTAACACTGGTCTCAACTTTATCGAGGAATTCAATCTGAATGATGATACAGCAAATGGACATCAACCCTCCAATGGCACGTTGCCGCAGATCGCCCTCACCGGATACGATACCGCTAGACAACAGGAGCCTTCCCCACAGCAGAGCACAAACCAAGAGGAGCTCAACAGCCTTGCCGTTAATCATTTTCTGGATTTCAATCTGAATGATGATGCGGCAAACGGAAATCCACCCTCCGACAGCACAATGCCACAGATCACCTTCACTGACTATGATACCGTTGGACAACAGCAGTCTTTGACACAGACTAGTGCAAGCCAAGATGGGCTCGAGGGACTTGGTCTCATTCTGGAATTCAATCAGAATTTCGATACCGAGAACGGAAATCAACCCTTCAACGATTGGCAAGAGAATCGCGCCTTAGGCCTCGTGGACCTGACTCCCAGCAATGCCGTTGAGGAGATCCTACAAGACCAAGCTCAAAACAACAATGCCGGTGAGCCGACCACACAAGAGCAGTCTCATGACGACCATACCAGCCAGGCTAGACTAGAAGCAATGTCTCGGGAAGAGTTGGACATGGAGATCAACAACGATTTACTCCAAGACTACGAGTCTGGCTCTCAAGGCGATGACGAGATCTCGCATGCGGTGCAATCTCCATCACGTCCAGACTACAGCAATGAGAGTGATGAGATTGACGACGACGAAAAGACCGTCTATGATTATGAGAGTGATTCTTGCTCTGAAATGTCCAGCGCCGGTTCTGAGCTTGATAGACGACCGCCCCATGAGATCCCGGGTCTGTTCCTCCCTCGTCAGCAGCAGCAGGAACAACAGGAGCAGAGAGCTCCGATCCCGGGCCTGTTCCTAGATCCACAAAGCAACGAAGACCGCGACGCCGAAGACGACGCACAATCCGACACCTCATCGACCGAGCCGCCCGAGAATCCCGATGACTGGGAGCGGCCAGGCTACTTGAGAGGAAGAATCGACCGCGCGCTCGAACGAATTGAGCCAGCGTCGAATTCCTTAATTCCCAGATGGGATATCAACGCGAGAACTGGTATGCTTCAAATCAGATGGAGCTGGGCACTAGAGAACCCTGCGTGGCTACGCACCATGGCGGGACAGAGTTTCCTGCGTGGGAATCCGCAGTTTGCCATTGATCATTGCTGGGAGGTTGTGAACAACATCAAGCGCATTAAGAAGGCGGAGAAAGCTGCAAGAAAGGAGTGAAAGGATGACTGAGAGACTTGGGAGGTTTTGTATTGGGAGTCAGGAAAGGATGACTTGAACAACGAAGAACAGCTGCGAATCAGCGCTGAGAAGTTGTGGGACCGTGATGGAGGAACCACTGAAGGAACGTCGGGACGGGAAATACCTGAACAACGAAGAACAGCCGCAAATCCGCGCTGAGAAGTGTAGGATGGGGATAAAGGACCACAGATGGAACCACCGACTGAAAGTTGAAGAATGGGATACTTGAACAACGAACGACGACGACGACATCAGCACTGAAAGTTTATTGCAGAGACAAGGCACAGAGGGATGATAAGGCACGTCTGGAAGAGACCAGCATGGAAGCCATTGCACGTCAGAGTTTACCAAGATGGACAGGGGGAAGCATATCTCCTGTTTGCATTGACTCTGTCTGCCACTGATGAGACATGATATTCATGGTTATGATTGATACCCCAGCAACTCGATAGTTGTGCTCTGTACCACAAGACAGAATTGAAAGAAAAAGTACTTGGTTGACTTCCCTTGATGTTGCTGACCAGTAGACGCGTTCACTAGATGCCAGGATTATCGTGCAATAGTGCATACCATAGGGCAGAATTGGATGGCAAATCAATGGCTTACTGACTTGCGCAAACACTCCACCTTTGTCAGGCAGATCAATGGCCTACCTTACGAAAACACACCCCATCCACGAGTATCATAGAACAGAGAGGAAGACAAATCAGTGGCTTATTTGCAGTACATACAAACATTCCCATCTTTCACATTTGACTGGTCCATGCGCTTTAAAGCTTCCTACATCGGGGTTCCAATACCGAGTATCGAGTACAGGATCGGTGAAGGTGCCTTCAACACACTGGAGCTGCGCGAGTCAAGACTCAAGACTCAAGACTGGGCCTGGGCCTGGTTCCCGGAAGGAAGACAGGTAGGTATAAAACTTACATTTGAAGGCAGGAAGGGTCACACGACGAGCTCGAACAGGGTAAGCAGGAGGCACAGCACCGTTTTGGTCCGATCGAGAAGGCTGAGACCGCAGCACATGCCACCATTGCATCATGCAAAGTATCTTCGTGTGCTCGGTCAGGTTGCCCGGAAGCATCGAATCGAATCGAAAAGGCAAGTTAGAAAAAGGTCAACCAGGGGATTAGACATCCGTTAGGGCACACCGCGGCTCGTGGGATATCTCCACTTCTTAAAGACAGACACGCTTATCGATCTTCGCGACTCGGCAGTTTTGTTTACTTCGAGATGGGCTCTCTCTCGCGGGGGAAAATTGATAAGTTGGGAAAAATGGCTCAGCCGAGATGGATGGGCTGGCGGGTCTTGCTGTCCCTCATATCCCCGGCTCTATGGCGTGTAGCGGAAGGAAGACAGGGATGTGTATGTGATAATAGGAAGGGTTGGGTGGGATCCACTCGAGAAGATTGACGGCGAAGCGGAAGAGGAAAGCTAAATCGTTTGGGCCCTTTTTTGCTCGATTTGGAGCAAGGGTTAGACAAGAGAGATTGGCAGAGACATGACAAAACAGGAAATGATAGAATTGGCGGAGTGGAAGAATGAGAAAGAACCGGAGAGGCGTTTGTTGACCACTCGGCCGGCAGGTTTTTTTGGGCTGCTAAAGCTGGCCTTTTTTTTGTGCGCGCTTTCGGCCGAAAACGTCCATTTCTGTCCAGGGATCAAGCGCGGAATCCTGAGTAATTGTTAAAATCCGACAAGCACAAAGCACTGTTGAGAATTCGGCAGTCTTCCCATTTCCCGGCCCCAGATCGCTGGCTGAGAGTCCTCATTGAGGTTGATGATGATGATCATCATCATTGAGACTCATACAGGCTGCATGAAGCATGCCCTCTTTGTGGACGTGCAGGAAACAGTCGATGGCAAGTCCCGAGTACTCGGGGGCATAGGGGCCGCCGTTTCGGGCTTTACAGTCGCCGCGGACGGATTAGACTCCCGTTGGGATCTACACTATGGAGTACAGTTGTCAGTAAGTCAAGTGTACGAATAGTAAAGAAAACTGGTTTGTCGCGGAGGACAGTGCAGTCCCCAAGTTCCAGGCGTACGAGTGGTGCAAAATGGCTTTTATCGAACCACCCGGACGGAGACAACCACGATTCTCGGGTGCGGCGGAGTTTTCGGTGCCTTTTCCCTCCGCACTCCGTGCGCGGTTGGCAGGATTGAATAGGGAGGATCCGTACTCCGTACGAGTACGCGTAAAGGCTGAAGGGCCTAGTTACCCGATGGCAAGATCTCGTGCAACGCTCGCGATCAAGCTTTGAGGCTTGACTGGGTTGTGAGTGTTGGTAGTTAGGAGTACTCTCTAGGCGATGCTCTGATGATCCCATGACTTGAGATTGAGCTTCAGAGAGGGCACTACCGAGTACTGTACTCCGTACTGCATATTCAGTAAATTAAACAAACGGCGAATGAACAACCCTTGAGGAAAGTGTGTACCTGGATCCGTGGAGACCCCGTGGACGAGGCGATGTTGGCTTTGATGGTCGCTTTCGGTCTCGTGTCAATTGCCCACCAAGGTGGGGATCATCATGACCCTAGAAAAATCTAAGGCGTCTTGGAGACCAAAGAAGCCACGTTGTAGATACGGGGCCACATGCTGACTTCTGGAGACATACTCGTACAGTAGAGTCCTGGAGATACGGATGGGCTGGAAGCATGTACTCCCTATCCTAAATGCGAGATCTCAAAGGCTGCAATACGAGCAGGTACCTAATGGTCAACAACCAAGACATTTAAACGAGATCGGGTTAGCAAGCCAATGCGTATGGGCGATCCGTATACTACTCGGGGACTCGTAGTGAGAGAACCACCTGGAGAGTACTCCGTACGGGTACTGCAGACGGAGTACGACTACTCGCAGCTCGCGGTTCTTGATCAATCCTAGTGATACTCATGCCATCATCCCCGAGCAATTAGCCTGTGTGGGAAATCAAGCCTGATACGCATTGTGTGCCATGTGGATGATCAAACCTCCCACACATCTCATATCTCTTACACCTGTGCATTAGCGAGTAGGCTTCTTCGTATGGCTGAGCGAACTGTTAACCCCGAGAGGCAGCATAACAGCCTACGCCAGGACTCGGGAAATCCTCCCATGGTCAAGTCTGACATCGTTCAACCCAAGCGAATGGTTAGCCTCACGGGCCTCCTCCTGGTGTCCCAAGCTCCCCGCCCTAAGTTCCAAGCCTAGAAGCTGCAGAAACCAGGCCACTGCGGGCGATTCTAGTAGTTGCTAGTTCCGACTGGCGCTGTGGGGTTACCCGTCTAGGTGTCATCCTGACGGGGAATGACTTAAGCGGACCCTGATCCTCGGCCTATCGCAACGCCATCAAGCACTGACCAGGGTGAGTGCCGGCGAGCAGTCCACCTAGAGGCAACCAAGTACCAACTGAGATAAGCCATCGACTAGCGAGGGGTTTAGCAGTGAGCATGCTGAGAAACGCAGGTGCCTGGCTGTGCCAAGTTGAGGCCTGAAGCCCTGTCCGCGACGTTTCAGAGTCGACTCTGCAATAAGGTCTTCAATGACATAGTCTTGACTCTTCAGGGCTCAAGCATCACGTGAAACACCCCCAAGGCTCAGGTTTTTGCTCAGGCTTCAGGCTGCGACCACCACGTCACGTCATTGCCAACCCGGCACCCATTTTCTCCAAGACGAGTACGGAGGACACAATAATACACGCTGGCATTTCTCAGTTCTCGTCCCTCGTGCTCGCCTCGGGCCACCGCCTATTCTGTCCTCCGTATTCTGTTTTCTGCTGTTCCATGCCAATGCCAATGCCATGCCACACGGTGGCTCCTGTCCACCGAACGCCCATACCCGCACCCACCCACCTGCACCTGCACCTGCACCTTCACCTGCACCTTCCTTGTTCCCTCCCCCCTGTTCCGCCCTCGTCTCGTAATTGCCGTAATCCTTCGTATCGCCTTCAATTGAGTTCCAGGTATGATTCTATCAATTATTAACCACACCCACCATATTACCGCCCAATTGATCGCCTTGCTTGCCATCCATCTCTCTGTCTCAGAACTCAGACTTCACCCCTCAGAGAACACTTCTGACTTTCTTCGTATTACCTCCTCCCTTGCTGTACCGAGCATCAGCACTCACCACCAGGCCTCTTCTCTCCTCGGGCTTATGAGCTTTGCCTCTGTTCTGCCCTGACTCCCCACCTGCATCCAACGGCTTCACAGACCGCAGGCACAAGCACGGCCACAGGCACAGGCAGAAGCGCAAGCACCTGTCCTGTACGTGTATACCCTTGCCATCAAGTTCCTGTCGGCTCGACTTTCTCGCCCACCTCACACCATGAGCCGATTGGCTTATCGACCCTCATAGTTGACCTCATAAAAATCAATTTGACCTACCTTATACTGCATCTTACCTTGTGACCGTACACCCCAATCCCCCCAAACGGAAGAAGAGACCGGACGGTCGCAGTTCTGGGAGCAACCATGGACCATCATCGTGGAAGTATCGATGCAATGGGCTATGATATCTCCCAGTTCGTATCACAGCAACCTCCTCAGATATTCGGCGCCTACCACCCCGACGGAAGCCCTATCCCTCCCACCTTACCTCCTGGGAGCTACTTCGGCGATCTTAACGACGCTGGTCTCGACGATAATGATCCAAAGCGGAGGAGAATTGCAAGGGTATGCTCAGCCATCCGCATCAACTGAAACAGAAACCCTTCTCATATATCTCTGTAGGCATGTGACATGTGTAGAAAGAAAAAGATCAAGTGTGATGGGAAGATGCCCAAATGTGGCCATTGCATCAACTATAAAACGGAGTGTGTATTTACACAGGTCGAGAAGAAACGCAATCCCCCCAAAGGGTGGGTCTCTATTTCAGAATCGTCTCAATATCTCGTTGCTAATCTTCTCTCCAGAGCGAAATATATTGAAGGACTAGAAAACCGCCTGGGCCGCATGGAGTCTCTCCTGCGCATGTCTGGCCTGTTGACCGAAGAGGAAGCCGGCAGGACTGATCTGGGGACTTTGGAGAAGCGCCTTGCGGAAAAGGCATCCGCCAGAGAACCTTCTGTTCATAGAACAAACTCTCCCGCAGGCGTCAAGAGCAGCGCGCCCTCCATGGCCGAAGGTTCTCCCAGACCGGGCTCTCAACCAGATTCAAACAATACCCCCCGTGAAACCGTCGGCTCTCCCAGCACTGAGGGCGAAAAGACCGGTCGTGAGGATGTCGAGAACCTCTCCGAGGCCATGTGCTCACTAGTTACCAACAATGTTGGCGAGACGAGATATATTGGTAAGTTCAGGTGTTGAGTCCGCCCCTAACTCGGGAAACCTAGCTGACACACACCAAGGCTCATCTTCGGCATTTTCCATCTTTTCATCTAAAGGCATCGAGTGGGTCAATGAAAAAACTGGAGATGCCTCATTTCAAGAAACCATTCAAAATGCCGTCAACGAAGAAGAAAACAAGTGGCAATATTGGAAGCCCGAGGTCTTCGGAGACATCTTTGTCCGTCGTGTTTTCAAGCCACTTCCCCCGAAGGAAGAAGCCTTGTCTTTGTTCAAGGACTTCTTTGAAAACTTCAACTGCATGTTTCCCTTGTTCCACGAGCCAACATTCATGCATCTAGTCGACAAGCAGTATTCGAAAGACCCCTACGAGGGGAGTGGTTGGTGGGCCAGCATCAATGTTGCTCTGGCTATCGCATACCGCATCAGAGTCATGAGCAATGTCGTCCCACAAGAGGACGACCAAAAAGCTTGGCTCTACCTCAAGAACGCAATGGGAGTCATCACCGAATTGACCATGCGAAACACCGATCTCCTCAGTGTGCAAGCTCTCTTAGGTATGGCTTTGTTTCTTCAAGGGACGCCAAATCCGCAACCATCCTTCTTCCTAATTGCCGCTGCCATTCGATGCTCACATACCATTGGCCTTCACAAGCGTGGCTCTGCATTCAATCTGAATCCCATCGAAGCTGAACAGCGCAAACGAGTGTTCTGGATCGCCTATCTACTGGACAAAGATACCTGCCTCCGTGCCGGCCGGCCGCCCGCACAAGATGATGACGATATGAACGTCGAACTTCCTTCTGAGGATCCCCCGGATAACATTGGCAACGTACCGCTCGCAGACGGCAAGGGAAAGATCAACTTATTCCGCCTGATGTGTGAGTTCGCCATCATTTCCAGCAAAGTCTATCGCCAGTTGTACTCCGTCAGAGCCTCAAAACAGAGCGATGGTGAACTTCTCAACACAATCGGCGAACTTGACAAAGAACTCGAGGCTTGGAAAGACAGCATACCGCTGGACTTTCGACCAGAGCACGAAATCAAGACGGCGCACACCCCTCTCATACTGCACATTGTCGTCCTACACTTCTCCTACTATAATTGTTTGACCACAATCCATCGCATGTCGGTTCACCACGGCTACTGGACCAGCCGTTTATCCGAATACGCTATACAAGGACTCAACGCACGACCCCTCAATCCCCGTGTCTTTTCATCTGCAGCGCTTTGCGTTTCAGCCGCTCGAGCCTCGATACACCTCATCAAATACATCCCCCAGGGCGACTTTGCCTGCGTCTGGCTAGTTTTGTACTTTCCAGTCTCTGCGTTGGTAACACTCTTTGCCAACATCTTGCAAAACCCGCAAGATACCCGCGCCCGAGCCGACATCAAGCTCATGGATCTCGTAGTGAATTTCTTGACCAATGTCTCGCACGATGAAGATACTGGATCGCTTACCCGCATGCTTACAGTTTGCGCCGAGTTCGCACGAATCGCCCGAGTGGTGATTGAAAAGGCCGAGAAAGAAGGATCGAAGCGGAAGCGCAGGCTGGTCCCCGAAGAAGTTCTCCGGGTCAACCAGTCCGCCATGTCACAAATACAATCCCAGCTGAATGGGCGTGCAGCTGGTTCTCGAAGGTCAAGCGCCAACGGAGGTTCTCCTCTTGCACCTTCAACTCTGCCTTCATCGAACATGCCCAATACTCCTCTGAACAACCACGTTCACCTGAATGGGATCAACCCTAATGTCCCCTTTTCCAATATGGCCGCGTTCGAGAGTGACTACTTAGACATGCTGCCACAGACGGGTCTCAGTCCCGATCTCCTCAATCAGAACCTTCCAAGCTCTACCATGTCACCTCTCAATGTCGGATCTTTCCAACAACCTTTCGTTCCTCAAGATCTTTGGCAGATGCCCATGACATTTGAATGGGACTGGGCCGATTTTGGGCAGCAGGGCTATAACGATTTCGTCTTGAGCGATAATTTGAATGAAGGAATGATGCCGAACCAATGACCATAAGAATTTCACCAATCTCTCCAGCATTCACATTGCGAGACCGACTTTGGTCTCCCTGCCGGCGTTGAAGGTGTTGAAGTAAGACATGGGCTGGATTTTTTCTCTAAGTATTACATATTGTGGTCAACCTTTCTGGCTACGAGTGTACAATATCGATACCCCATTACATGCCACTCAACATATTCTTTCCATTGCCTTATTATCTTTCCCCTTCCTTCTCCTCTCCCGGGGCCCACGTGTGTCCAGCATCATTGCAGGATGCTGCCTGAAGATCACCCGATGGTAATCTAGCCACTTGTGGTGCAAAACCTTGCCGCTTGGCAGAAGGCTGGACTGCCTCACAGGATATTGTTTCTTCACATCTCACTAGCATGGTGGTGGTGGTGGTGAATGCTACAGTCAGTTGGCTGCTGCTACTACTGTTACTGCGCACTTAACATCTTCACACATCGGTAAAGCCAATCTGAGCTTCTCGTCAACCGCGCCTTTTGAACCAATTTCTTCTCTCTACCCATCCACCAAGTCCATCAGATATCAAGGTCATCAAGCTCTGAACTGCTTCTATGTTCTAGCTTCTATCTCCCACAGCACCCGCCACAACACTCTCCATCCTCTCGTCTCTTACCTCGAACCTCTTTTCGGACGTGAAACCCTAGTCACCTCCAGAGACCTACCTGCCCACCTCTCTCCGCACACTTCGATACCAATCTCGGCACAAAGGACCAAGCAGACTGCCTTTGTTGTTCTCACACCAGTCATTCAGTACCAAGGCTATCATCATAGCTCACAGAGTCGAGACCGCGGTGTCAGCCTTTGTTTCTTTATTCGCTCAACCTCGCGACTACCTTGTTCATCTCACATACAATCCAGTCCACCGGTCCTTGTCACACCAGTGATTGGCTCAGTCAGACCATCATCCTCTGGCTTCACAGTGAACACAGCAATAAATCTCATACACCTCGATTCTCTTCTAAAGCCAAGGTAATCAGCCCAAGTCAGAACGCCCTCTACCGGAGCTGAATCATAAAATATTTAACTGTCATCAAAACACCACCATAGACCCACGTCTCTTCATGATGGCCACCTGGGCCATAGGAATGATCTTGAGCTCATGGATCAATCCCAATCCTCCCGCTATCATCGTCTCCGAATCCATTCCTTCTGAACTGGCAATCCCCTGGTTCCAGACTTCTCAATTCCTGGAGCGAGTTGACATCTTTCCTGCTGACGGTGGAGCTGTCGGACCTCCAATTGCTATCAACACCTGTTCACTCTTTCTCATCGAACAGACCGCCTTCTCTCCCGTTTGTCCGAGCCCCCAACTTCCCTCAATCCTCGTCATGCACGACTTGCCCTTGAAGCCACCCACCGACCCAATCATGATTGAGGTTGAGGAAGTCGTCGCCTCGAATGTGACTGATAACCACAACCCGACCGTCGAGGACAAGGGGTGGTACGAGCGGATCACCAGCCTCAACCTGATCGCCAGGTGCAAGGAGTGGTTCAAGTGGTTTGGGAGCCAAGTCAGCAATAATTGCATCACCACCGAGGCCACCAGGTGGTATAAGTGGTTCACCCGCGAAACCAAGAATAATTTCTTGCTGAGTTTACTCTACCTCTACTTGTGCTCGCTTACTACTCTTTTCAGGTACATCAACTGCTCCCATCAAAAGGAAATACTGGAGAAACACAGACAGCTGCTCGAGAAAAAGATCAAGGCCATGAATGACGGGCACCATGCAGATGTACAGGCGACGCAAAACTTCAATCGTGAGCTCGATCAAGCCATCCAGGAGATAGCGAGTCTCATTCAGGAGAAATGTGACCTCACCCAGGAGAAAGGCAGAGTCATCCAGGAGAGAGATGGCCTCAGTTTAGTTCTTTTCGAATCTGAGAATAGGAACAAGGAACTTGTGCTCCGTATTGGGACGGCCTCCGAAGAAAACAGTCGCCTCAAGCACGAAAAGCAAGAGCTTGCAGAATTCATCAGCAAGACCCAGTTGGTCCACTGCGACGAGATCTCAGATCTTAGCAAGAGCCACTCCCTGAAGGTGCATGAGCTTGGGAGGAAGATTGAAGAACTCGAAAAGAACTCTGCCATGCAGGCTACCAAATTGAACGACAAGCTACGCACCGCTATCGTGGGACGGTATCAGGCCCAGAAAGAGATCGAGGCTTACAAGCAAGCGAAATCCACCCAGCAGACTCTTGTCGGCGATCCAGAAGACCAGGTCCAAGAAGCCAGCGCAACACACATCAACGATCAGGCAAGGGCAGGAGAGAGTCATCGAGAGGATGATCATACGACCACCCACGATGGCATGATTGTACCAAGGGGACCTAGAAACAACAATCAAACCCCTAGATCTGGTGCTACCCGTGTCCTTCCAGCCAAGGGACTCGGTCAGAGTAAATTCGCTGCTCCAACTGACCAAGCAGCTCCTGCCTCACCCGCAGATTCTGCAATGGACCCAATCCCGGATCAATCTACTGGCACACTCACAGCCCCTCCTACGCCTGCCACCGAACTGGGCCAGAGTAGGTGGGCCAACGTTGAGCAGGAGGTCTCTCAAGAGAGCTCCGAGCCAGATGACCATGAAACCGGTAACGGCGGCGAGCCTATTAGAAAACCGCGTAAGAGAGGTGGCCGTAAAGTCCAGCACAAACGCCAGCGTGCAGCAGAATTCAAAGCAGCTGCAGAGGCTCAAGGCCATCAGCCAGGCCACAACGATGGCCAAGACAGAGTTCTCCGTCCTGGCTGGGCACCTGATGCAGGGCGCAGAAGACAGGCATAGATGGGGAAGCAGAAGATGAAAGGGGCTTGGGACCAGTGACCAATCTGGCCATGGGTGATCACGAAGCTACAACATCTAGCTACAGGACGACAAGGCCGATGGGTTGCTGCTTCGGCGCAACGAAGGCATGGATTGATGGTGACACTGGGCGGGGTTAAACGGACGGAAACCCAATAGAGATCACAAGGTCGATGAGTCGCAGCTTCCGCGCGACGAAGGTATGAACTTATGATACTGGGGCCAGCTTTGAAGGGCCTTCATGGAATGGACTCGGAGGAGTAAACGGAATTGGACATGCGCCGTCTGTCTTGACTGGCAAACGAAAGATGTTGGAGGTAACACGCATGGGAAAATCATCCTGTGGGCTTCAATAATTCTGTGGATGGAATTGGTTTTCGTTTGAAGGAAAAGGATTCTCACGAAAACATGAGAACCCAAGTATTTAGATATTCCGCGTGGCCTTCAAGCCAAGCACCAGGCGTCGCTTCCAGAAGGAAAATGTCAAAGAAACGATTGAAAACCAAAAACTGAGGTACGATTTGACTCGATTGTTTGACTCGATCGATGGGAGATGTGCAAATACGTGCAGTATTCTTTGCAGGCTCATGTAGTGAACCAACTTAACGCCTTTATCTAGCTAGGTGCATGACTGCGCATCGGCACTCCCTTTCTCGCGAAGAATGAAAACGTGAAAGCTCAAATGCGACCTTGTTAGAACACATAACAACCGATATTAGGTCACCGCTGACCGCGAGTAAGCCTGCACCGACCTAACCCCGAGGCTTGCCCTACTACAGGACGCGCTACACTCCGCAGCCCTGAGCGAAGTCGCGACAGGTCGTGGCGAAACCCCAGGTTTTGGCGGCGTTGAACTCAATGCACTGCTGACTACTGTCTGGGCTCGTGGTGCCGCAAGCGTCGGAGAGCAGGATCGTGTCGTAGCCGTTTGAGAAGGCCTGGTTATCGAGAAGCGAACACGTCAGCATGCATTGGATCTCAGGTCTGTGAGAGTTTGGATTTCATGAGCACGGGTTTGGGTTCACTCACGTCCTGCAAGCTGCCGCCCACACATTGGTCGGTATTCACACCCGTGAAGAGCAACGTCTGGATTCCACGCGCGGTGAGGAACTCAGTGCATGGGGTCCCCGGTCCCCAGAGGCCGGACATGCGGTTCTTGTGGATCCAGACGTCCGGCAGGGGGTTTTTGGGGCTGAGGCCCTCCGATTCGTAGTTGGCGCGTAGTTCGGGCGTGATGTCTGCGTTCCATGTGTCGCGCATGAGGAGGCGGCCGCCTGCCATAGTCGTGCCTTCGTCAGAGAGGGACACGGGCCCGATGTCGCTGCCGAGGCCGCGGTAGATGCGAGAGGCGTTGTCGCTCGAGGGCTTTTTGGTCTCCAATGTATCGCATCCTTCATTGACGCCGTGGGAATCAATGGCCGCTTGTTTCTGCGTGGCTTCCATGTCCACCCACGACGGCGACGATGCAAACTGCCCCGCGGGCACAGTCTCGAACCCGAACGCACGCAGCGTCCCGGGTGGCATTTCCGAGATCTCCGTCTCAGTGAGGCCCCAGTTCAACCACATGATTTGAATTCCGGCCTTGCGTGCCGCCGGAATAGCGTGGTCTAGGAGCTGTTGTTGTGCCTTCAGGCCCTTGGAGTCCCGGGGTCGGCCGAGACATGGCGAGAGGAAGAAGTTCTGCATGTCGACGATCACAAGGGCGGATTTTGGGGCGGAGATGGTTATGGGGACGGTGGTGGTGCGGAATTTTACGTTTTTGGTGGTAGAGGGCGCTGTGGGTGAGGATGGGCGCGTGAGGTCGAAGCCATTGATGGAGTCATACAGCCAGAAATTGGTGGAGTGTGGGTTGCCGATTATACCTTTACGGTGGGTTGTATCGGTATTGTTCATTGTTTTGTGGCGTGGCGTGGTTGAGTAATATTGGTTGTGAGGGAGGGGAGCACGAGGCTGGGCTGAAAAGGGGTTCCGTCGAGTGGGACTTCAAATCAGATAAGATCCTCTGAAGTAAGGAGTTGAAAGTCTCCACACTTTTTCCTTCTGTGGACAACTCTCCGGAGAGATGAGATAGGGATATTTAGTTGTAGAAGAGAATTGGGCAAGATGAACATACTTTGGACCTTGTAGATTTCCTCTGCTTATCAGGCTTCGTAGGGTTTGCTGCTGATCATAAATACCCCGCAAGCTATCTAACGGCAGGGTCGAGCTTCCTGATAAGACTCCGAGATGGGAAGGAGAATTACGGCAATATTGCGTAGATGGGATCGCTCTTCTCCGCCTGGCTTTGAACTTGGAAGTAGAGTCTAGGAATGGATTCGCGAACGCGACATGTGACTTCGGCATCAGTATTCTACTGTGTGCTGTGATGGTGGGTGGCAGTTGTGGGTTGAACCATATAGAATGGTTCATGGAGCACCCAGATATGAGCTGTCAGCAAGCATGCCCAAGCATGTCCACGAAGTATATTGCAAGGTCATTCGGGTTGTGAATGGCTCCAGTTTTGTTCGAGTGTCACAAAAGCGCACCCGTTCAGGTGTGTATGGATTTCCAGAACCGGAAATTTGGGATGACAGGAACAATAATTACCCCGCAGTTGAATTGAGCGAGCCCGAGGAAGGTGCCTGGGCTCGCGGAACGGGAAGGCGCGGTCGTGGAAGGAAGGGAGAGAAATGGAGATGGCAGTCGGGGGCATTGGTACTTATCTTCATCTAGGTAGCCACACAGCTTCTGACTCCCGAGTCTCTTGGATCGTACTTCCCACAATGTCATGACTCTTCTCTTTAAAGTTGAATCAATAGAAACCAGGCGGCACTTTCTCGTGATCACGCCCTGCAGAGTTTGGTGACTCTCATGGCATTTGATGATTAGGTAAGGCAGTCTGTTTACGGTTTACCCCACAATGAAATGCCACCTTTTTGCTTCCCATATTGCTACCTCTACCATTGCCACTGCCACCAATCTAGACTTCATGCACACGACCTCGTCCCACCGCCTTTTGCATTGACCTCCTGCATTCTACTTCTCTCAAATACTGCTCTCTGCATAGCGAGTTTGTTCCGTTCCGTCTTCGTACTCCCTACATCTCTTACCTCTTTGGCAACTCCCAAAATGGCACTCCTTCAGGCTCGAGTCAAAAGTGTCCTCTCAGGCGACACCTTGATTATTACCAACCAAAAAGGTGCTGAACGGACTTTGTCTTTGGCTTATATCTCTGCTCCACGGCTGAAGAGAGAAGGTGACGAGGTTTGCTTTGCCCCTCCGCTCGCGCGGAATGCTCTCCTTCGCTAACAATATGCAGCCGTTTGCTTTCCAATCTCGCGAGTTCATTCGCGATTTAGTATTGGGCAAAGTCATTCAATTCCAAGTCCTCTATGCTATTCCTACCACCAAACGAGAGTACGGCAGAGTTAAACTCCCTAATGGTCCTGACCTTCCCGACTTGATCGTGCAAGAGGGATGGGCCAAGATCCGAGAAGATGCAGGCAAGAAAGAGGATGATGAAAGTGCATTGGCATACCTTGACAAGCTAACATCACTGGAGAATGAAGCCAAGTCCGACAGCAAGGGCCTCTGGGCAAAAGGTGGACAGATTGAAAATTCCTCCGAGGTTTCAGACCCTAATGCTTTGGTGGAGAAGTTCAAAGGAAAGAAGATTGACGCTATTGTCGAACGCGTCTTAACTGGTGACCGTCTCATAGCTCGTATACTACTGAGTTCTACCAAGCATGTTCAGACAATGCTTGTGCTTGGTGGAGTGAGAGCCCCGGCCACTAAACGGACCACACCCGAGGGCAAGGAGGTTCCTGCGGAAGCTTTTGGTACCGAAGCACATACTTTCGTGGAGGAGAGACTGCATCAGCGAAAGGTGCAGATTGAACTACTGGGAGTAACACCTCAGAATCAACTCATCGCAAACGTATTACACCCGAGAGGCAACATTGCCAAATTCCTCCTAGAAGCCGGACTGGCAAGATCCAACGACCAACACGTTACCTTACTCGGCAACGACATGGCACAGTTCAGGCAAGCAGAAAATGCTGCGAAGAATGCCCGAAAGGGAGTATTCACCGGCACTTCTGCTTCCAAGGCTTCCGGAGTCCAAGATGCTGATTTTACCGTCTCCCGAGTCTTGAACGCCGAAACTGTCTTCATACGAACCCGATCTGGCGATGAAAGAAAGGTGACATTTTCGAGTATCCGTCAGCCTAAACCTTCAGATCCCAAACAGTCACCATTCGGAGCTGAAGCCAAGGAATTTGCGAGAAAGAGACTGATTGGCAAGCACGTCAAAGTCAGCATCGATGGTAAGAAACCTGCCTCGGAGGGCTTTGAAGAGCGAGAGGTTGCCACTGTAACGGTTAACGGGAAGAACTTTGCTTTGGCCCTGGTCGAGGCTGGGTACGCCTCGGTGATCCGACATCGTCGAGATGACGATGACCGATCTCCCGAGTATGATGCTCTCCTCCTTGCGGAAGAGACCGCCCAGAAGGACGAGAAAGGCATGTGGTCACCCAAGCCTCCGGCTGCCAAGCAGTATCAAGATTACTCTGAAAGTCTACAAAAGGCCAAGATGGAGGCATCGGTGCTACAGCGCCAGAAGAAAGTGCCGGCTGTTGTCGACTTTGTGCGATCGGGATCTCGATTTGTTGTTCTCGTCCCTCGAGAAAATGCCAAGCTCACCTTTGTTCTGTCGGGCATTCGAACTCCCAAACCGGCTCGTCAGTCAGGTGAGGCAGCGGAGCCATTTGGACAGGAAGCCTTGGAATTTGCCAATCGAAGAACTCTGCAGAGGGATGTTGAAATCGATGTCGAAAATACCGACAAGGTTGGCGGATTCATTGGGACACTGTATGTTGGACGAGAGAACTTTGCCCGAGCTTTGGTTGAGGAAGGATTGGCTGAAGTGCACGCCTATTCCGCCGAGCAGAGTGGGAATGCGAACGAGCTATTTGCGGCGGAGAAAAAAGCCAAAGAAGCACGGAAAGGCATGTGGCATGATTGGGATCCAAGCAAAGAGGCCGAGGCGGAAGAGCTGCCGGCACCTACGAATGGAATGAATGGAGATGCTGCGGAGGCGAGCCCACGGAAAAAGGACTATCGTGATGTGGTGGTCACCCACGTTGACGAAGCAGGGAAGCTAAAAGTTCAACAGGTTGGGACAGGGACAGGGGCATTAACGGAGCTGATGAATGCATTCAAGTCATTCCATTTAAATAAGGCCAACGACCAGCCGCTACCAGGACCTCCCAGAGTTGGAGATATTGTCGCTGGCAAATTTACGGTTGACAACGAATGGTATCGCGCCAAGGTGCGAAGAGTTGATCGAGAAGGCAAGAAGGTGGACTTGACATATCTTGACTACGGCAATTCGGAAACGGTGCCATTTTCTCGACTGCGACCTTTGAGCCAACCGCAGTTTTCGACGCAAAAGCTGAAACCTCAGGCAACGGACGCAGTATTGTCATTCCTACAGGTACCTACATCACAGCAATATTTGCGGGACACAGTGGACTTCATTGCAGAGCAAACGGATGGACGACAACTGGTTGCGAATGTTGATTATGTGGCACCTGACGGGACCTTGTCCATCACACTGCTGGACCCGAAGGTTTCGACCAAGATTGAAGAGAGTATCAATGCCGAAGTGGTACGTGAGGGATTGGCGATGATTCCGACGAAACTCAAGGGATGGGAACGACAATCAGCAGAGACGTTGAGCAGCTTGGGAGAACTGCAAGAAGAGGCTAAGAAGGAACGTCGAGGTATGTGGGAGTATGGTGACCTGACTGAAGACTAAATTCGTTCTGTGTCTCTGTTACTGTCTATCCGCCATAGAACGGACTCAAAGGGTCGGAGAGGCCAGATAACATGGATGATGGAGGCGCTACTGTAGTACAGTACTGGACATGGCTTGGGAACAGGGACAGGGATGACACCAGAGTGGCCGGGTCCCACCCTCGAAGCACGTGGAAGCGAATAATTTGAGCATAATATGTACTCCGTACCCAGGACTCGGCAGTAAGGATGACGATGGTTGTGAGGTTTAGAGCCGAGACATCCTTGTCCCTCAGGGAGGAGTAACCTGGCCCATGATTGCGCAGCCTTGCGCCAGGCATTCGCGGGTTTTCAAGGATCTTATGCGGAAGCCGAATGAACGGTTGCTTCCTGGAGCACCTCTCAACTGCGGTATCACTTCAGCTGATAGACAAACGAAGCCATCGAAAGCTCTAGTGGTACTTTACTCGTAAGCTACGGCAGCTCCCGGTTTCAGCAAATTGATGCGTTTTGACCACCTAATTTTTCCGAAGACTGGCGATGGGATCAATAATTATGCAGACTGAATAAAAATGAACGGCGGGTGCACGACTCGGAGCCAAATGGACGGGTGCTCCGAGATGCGGGTACGAGACAGGGTGGAATGGAAGGTTGGGCTAACCATGGAAATACTGTATTGGCAGAGTACGGAGTACGAGCAGTACTAGTAAGCACGGAGTACCCGTAATGATACAAGGTTCCGATGACATCTTGCTCGTACTGTCGGCGCCCTCCAAACCTACAGTAAGTTTGGGTCCAAGAGGCCGAGGCGGCTGTTGGCGGCATGAGGCTCGAGCTGGGGTCAATGATGATGATATCACTGTCAGTAGGGAACGTACGGGTCGCCCGTACTCGGTCAGTACCCCGTATCGCCCGAATAGCAGCTGTCGAACTTGTGACTTCATTACTCGGAGTCGCACTCGTAGACCGTCGTATCTCCCTCGCTCCAAGGCTCCAAGGCTCGGCCTTCTTGGGCGTTGGCTGCACATTATGACTATCCCTCTTATGCGTCTGATGCCTCTTAGTCCAGTCCCATTCTCGCTGCCAATGCTCACTCAATACTCCGTACGTGCCAAACCGAAGGTCAGCCTTCTGCTCGTCCTCGTCCTTTTCTTCCTGGTCTGCCTTGTCACTCGTCACCGTTACTCACCGTCCTGTCGCCTTCACCGTCCCACGCCAGATTGCCGGCCAATCCGATCCAGTAGCACCAGGTTAAATCCGTGGTTAGATAATACCTGCCCAAGGCAGTAATCAGGTCGCTATGTTGTAGTACTTCATACAGTACTCCGTAGTCTCCGTCCTTCTCGTGCTCTTGCATGGTCATCATCTCGCATCTCTCATCTCGCCTCGCCTCGTCTCGCCTCTCGCATCTTCCATCTTCCGCGCGCCCGCACTTTGCTCCGTCCCTTGTCCCCTGGGCCCTGGGTCTTCGCATCTGTCGGCACGCCTGAAATAGCTACCTCTAACCTGTTAAACTAACTCCCCGCTTGCCATTGGATTGGGCTCCTTCCATCGGTCCCTGTCCTGGCTTGGACTTGCTCTTACTAGTAACCTCATCAGTAATCTGTTTCTTTCCTTTTCCATTTTCATTCTGGTGATCCTCCTGCTCCTGCTCTTCCATTCCATTCCCAACCTCCTCTTCCAACCTCCAATCCTGACCGCTTCTCACTTTTCCTGGTCGGCGACTTGCTGTGTGTGATAAGAGCCTCGACGGCGGGCACGAACTCGGAAAGTCGTGCCTACGAGTACTTGCGAGGTACTCCAACTTTCTCAGCCGCCACTTCGAAACATTCTTCTCCACAATACACAGGAAAACCCGAACATGGCAACGACTCTCTACAGGACCCTGACCGGTCAGTCGCAGAAGTCGCATCACTCAGAACACTCCACCAACACCGCCCATAACACCCTGACCAAGACAACCACCACCGATCCTCTCACCGGCACCCTAAATCATCTGACAACTGCACAAGAGGAGAGGCTTGACGAGTTTAAGGTCCGGTTGGAAAAAGGTGGCTGGTGGTCGCCCGATGGTGTCAACGGGAAGCCCACTCATGACGATGGCACGCTACTGTAAGAGATCACTGTGCAATAACAAACAACTGCCCAATTCAAGAAATGACCCAGTATTGCTGACTGCATATCTTCCGCACAGACGCTATCTGCGAGCCCGCAAGTTCGACATCGATGGCGCAATTGGCCAGTTCACCGATACCGAGAAGTGGTTGAAGGAACAACGCGTTGTCGAGCTATACGATCACTTCGATGTCAACTTCTATGAGCGCGCCCGGTTGATGGTACGCCTGACTCTCCAAACTGCACCTCCAGCAGGGGGTGATGCATGCTGACAACGCTACAGTACCCTCAATGGACTGGCCACCGGGATAAACGAGGAATCCCCATCTACGTTTACCAGATCAAAGATCTCGATGGCAAGAATGTTGCCAAATACCAAAAAGAATCCCAGGCATACAAAGACAGCCTACCCTACCACAAGACCCTCGCCACCCCCGCAAAGTTGATCCCTCTATTCGCCCTCTACCAGAATCTCCTCTATTTCGTCATGCCATTTGTCTCTACCCTCGAACGACCCAATCCCGAAGTCCCTGTCACGAATTCTACGAACATTGTCGATATTTCAGGAGTCGGCTTGACGCAGTTTTGGAATTTGAAAGGGCACATGCAGGATGCCAGCGTCCTTGCCACGGCACATTACCCAGAAACACTCGATAGGATATTTGTGAGTCCCATCTCTGAGGCCATTCGTTCACAGGCCGTTTCAGACCACTAATGATAATCCGCGTCTAGATAATCGGTGCACCAGCCTTCTTCCCCACTGTCTGGGGCTGGATCAAGCGGTGGTTTGATCCCGTCACCGTATCGAAGATCTTCATCCTCGGCAAACACGAAGTCAAATCTACCCTGTCCAAATTCATAGATCCAAAAGACTTCCCCAAGAAGTACGGCGGCGAACTCGAGTGGAACTGGGGTGATATTCCTCATTTGGATGACGAGACGCGCACAGCCCTGGAAAGAGATGGAAATAAGGGTTGGGTCAAAGGCCCCAATCTGTGGCTCGATAATCAAAGACTCTTGGTTGGCTCCGAGAATGGCAAGCTCAGGAAACCGGACAGTGACGTTGAAGCCAAGTTACCCGTCGTCTATGCCGCCGACTACACCGAGGTACCGGTCCATGCGGATCGCAAACTGTCCAAGGGAAGCTCTAAACATGGCAAGATAAATGGAACTGCACATCCACACCACCAGGCCAAAGCCGAAGCGGCGAAAGCTGCACCTGCGGCTGTCACTCAGGCAGACATAATAGCGGAAAGCACGGCGTCTGAGAGTAAGCAGGAACAACCATCCTTAGAACCACAAGCACCAGCGCCCCAGCCTGTGAGTGAAGCGAAACCAAAAAATATTGATCCAGAGGGCAAGAACTTGCGCACCGTCATCGATGGCTCCACTGTGCAGCTCCCAGACTTCCAACCTGCCCAGCCAGCCGTCACCGCAGAATATGTCTCATCAAAGACCCTGACGCCCGTCGCTTCCAAGGCGGCCGTCGAATCCGCCCCTGCCCTCTTCCCATCACAACCCGAGCCGACCACAGCACCATCACCAGCAGCAACAGAAACAGCCCAGACAACCTCAACAACAGAACCGCATCCCCATCCACCATCTCTCCCACAATCCGGTCCCGCCCCGAAACACGTCCTAGCCATGAACGACGCCGTCACAGAAGCACTCTCCCAAGAATCCGTCTCCGAAATCCCCGCCACGGCTAACGGCCACGCCAGCCATCCGGAGGTCCTCCTCGCCAGCGACCCGACCAAGGGCCTGGCCATCGAGTCTGAGAAACTCGCGCGTCCCCCTATCGAGCGGTTTGTCACTGCTGCCGAGGTGAAGTCATGATGGGAAGAAGAGGTTTCAATGGGAATTCTACTTGTGTGTCTGTATGTGTTTTCTGTCTCTCTGCTGGGCTGCGTAGGATTGATTCCGCACCGGCGTTTGATGCTTGATGCCGACACGGAATTGGATTAGGCAAGAGCCAGAGTTTTACCCAACCCGGATTTTGGTCTTTGGGGGTCTTTGGGAATACCAGGAAAGAGCAAGGGAACCCTCTGCTTGGAGTCCACAGAGATGGAGTCTCACCCGCGCCATGTGCCTTTTGAAGAGATGCAATCGTGTTTCTACACTACCGTTAGTCCCTGCTTTTCCTGTTGGTGCAGCGGCAATAGCATCCATCGCCCATTGTATATCGTACATATCATATCCCACAATTGAGTCATTTGAGGTTTTGCACGTCTGCGCGCCCTGCAACTGGCTGTAGCTATCCACGTGCCCCAAGGCTCATCTTTCCTCCAATATGCACTCTGCTGGTGGCCCTACCCGACGTCTGTAGTCTGCAACCCAGACTAATTGACTGACTACCGCCGCTGCTCATACAGGCTCTGGCCTTCCATTCATTGCCCGGAATCAACAGACCAGCCCAGTCAGTCGATCACGCGATCAATCGATCGACTGATCAATTGGTTTAGATGTAGATGTAGATCTTTCTCTGTGTATGCATTTCTCATTCGTACTGACGTGCTGTTGCAATCATCTTCGCCCCGCTGCCCGCTGCCCGGCCTGGCAACTTGTTGTGGCCGCCACGACTCGAGCTGAAACAAGCAACTTTGCGTGCGGGCGTGCGGGCGGGCCCTGTTTTGGGTGCATTGTATCACACGCAGTGAGAGAACCAACTGTGATATGTTTAGAGCTAGCCATAGTTACATAGCGATCAGCGCATGCTATACTCCCCTCCCCTCCCTACATTCTGTGGTGTGTTGTGCGGTGCTATATGCCACGGGAATGAGCAGAGCATGAGAAGGGTGGACTCGGACAGGAACAGGGCGAGTATCCTAGTATGAAGAGCGAGAACAAGCTCTGGGTCGTGCAGATTTTCGTTCAATGACTAGACTATTTGTGGGACATTTTTTATGTTGCTTGCTGTCTACCCGTACATAGGATTAGTACACAAGGACTAGCTTTTAATGTTGTTGTTGTCGTGAACATTCCCTGATCAGCCAGCTGACCAAACAAGACATGCCAATCTCATGGATCGACTCCCTCATTACAACCACCGCATCACATATCCGCACCCCTGTAGGGTTCTGGATAAGATGGGGGTGAATGAGGAAAGTCGGACCAATCATTAGTCGCTTGTTTGTGGCGGCGATTCAAGCTATAGATTTATGCGGCGAGGCCAATGACACCGCATGCAGGTCGGGGGCCAGCGTTGCCAGTCTTCTTGCTCTCCTCGTTCCCGCCCTTGCCGAGATCATCGGTACCAGCGTGAGAGACGACGGTGCGCTATACATAAGTTGTCAGTGATCTGAATGCACGAAATAGGCACGCCTCCTTTCAACGCAATGTTTGTTCAGGGAGGGAAGAGAACATACGCCCAGGACACTCTGCTCGCCGATCAGCTTGATCAAGCTGTCGGTAACGCTACCCTTTGCGTTGCCCTGAGCATCGGTCTTGATGTTGCCTAGATCACCAACATGGCGTTCAGAGTCGGTGGGAGAACCGTGTGTCTTTCCGTGAGGGTTGTCTATTTGATCTTGTCAGCCTCTTCAACTAGCCTATCCTTGTTTTGCTTGTGAAGTAAACGAGGTTCAACATACAGTGAGGGCCAGCACTGGTGCAGCCATTGGTGTTGTCACCGAACTGATGGATATGGAAGCCCCGCTCGGCATTGGCATCATGACCGCTGAGATTCCAGCTGATGGTTGTAGGGGAGTTTTCATCAACCTGCTCGAAGGTGACTTGGCCGGTGACCTTGGAGTCTCCTCGGAGGACGGCAACTATGGCAGTTCACGTTAGCTTCGAATGAATGATGAGGGATAGCTGAAAGTCCGGCCTCAGTGAAAGGATACTGCCAAAGAAAACCATTGCTTCGAGTGGGGGTGCTGACAAAACGCAGCTAGAACTCATCTCGAAGGAACGGGGGGAAAGGAGGGGACGGCGAGAAAAGACTGACCTGCTTTGACCATGTTGACGGTATTGCTTGATGAACTGGTTGTAGCGAGCTATTTGATCAAGTATTTGGATGAAAGGGAGAAATGGAAAAGTAATTTCGGTGTAGTCAGGGAACAAAAGGAGGGAGGGAGAGTTAGAGCGTAATCTAGCACGCCGAACGAAATGGGAGGAAAGCACGGAATGAAGTCAGTGAGGGGAAGGCGCGAGGCATGATTCCGATTCTGCATTGAATTGAGGGGCACCTGGGTGCCAAGCCCCGGATCATTTAATCTCCGGTTCGGCCGCGGATCGACGACTTTCCATCGAGTCTGGACTCTGTACCTCCTCTGCCTTCTCGCTATGCAAAGATACTTAATGAGTGAATGGAATACCTGAACTACCTAGGTACCTAAAGATATAGTGCACATCCTCGTCATCTCTTCCAGCCATGAGAACGTCATGGCAAGCGACTCACGACACAACCTGAACGGATGACTTTCCGGTCTCTCTGCCATTTTCACCAGGGAGAGGCACCTATCTAATGCTAGACTCACATCTGCGACCGACTCTACGTACATGCGTCAAATATGGGCACTCTACCTTGCAACTCCCTACATGGATCAACGTATGCATCTCTCGCATGAAGATACAGCCATGTCTAAGGCCATGCCTTCAATCCCAAAGCCTGCTATGGAGAAATTCCTCCTGGCCATGGAATCCATCTATGGACCATTTCCGTCTTCAGATTCCCCTGAGATCGCTACTTGGAAACCTCCTGCTACTGCGGAAGGACACAAGGGGCGCTATCTGTGGACGGATGGGTTTGCTGTAACCAATTTCCTTACCCTCTATAAGCTGACCAACGATGGTCGTTATCTCACCTTTGCCAGATCCTTGGTCCAAAACGTTCATGACGTGCTCGGTTATACTCGTGACGGACAGTCTCGTCTTCCTGGGGCAACGGAAGCCTATCCACTCAACGGCGGTCTTCGCATCGGCAAGCATGACGAAGCAGGCTCCGATGGTGATGGACAGTACTTTCATTATCTGACTGTTTGGATGTTCGCCCTCAACCGCATGACACAAATCTTAGGGGACATCTGGTATAACGAACAAGCCATCAATATGGCTCGAGCTGTTCTGCCAAGCTTCATGTACAAGATGAACTCTACAAGACCACGAATGTATTGGAAGCTCACAGTGGATATGTCTAAGCCACTTGTTGCGGGTGAGGGAAATCTCGACCCTATTGATGGGTACGTAATGTACAAATTACTTCAAGAGACGGCTGCTAGTTTGGATAATACAAAGGAAGGTGTGCTCGGACATGAAATTACATTGCTGAAGAAGGTCGTCGATACCAAATGGAAGAACTGGCATTCAACTGACCCGTTAGATATTGGTATGACTCTGTGGACAGTCCACTGGCTAAAAGAGCCAGAACAGTGGGCTCTCACCCTTCAACAGAGTGCTGCTAGTTGTTTGGACCAGCTGGTTCGATCAGGCTACTTCGATGCCAAGGCTAAGTCTCCAGGTCAGCGTCTAGCATTTCGCGAGTTTGGTACAGCGCTCGGGGTGCGGTGTCTCCTATCTACCGACAGTCAGGCTCCACCCGGGTCAGAATTGGGGGAATTACCACAAAGGATCTGCAAGACATGGGAAGAAGTCGGATTGGTTCCTGTTCCCACCAGCCAGCAGAAAGAAACAATGGCAGAGCTGATGCCAATCACTGCTGTCATGTATGCGGCTGCACTGTTTCCTGGCTCGATGATGCTCTCATGAAGACGGTTGTGGGATATTAAGCGTGTGCATTTTCACAAAGCCGTTTGGCGCGTTCCAAACCCAAGGGAATAATTGATTTCCTGCAATTTTCATCCCCGTGATAGTCACATCGGATTGTGTTGTGCATCCGATAAGAGTCTCCTCCAGACACATATTTGCTTTTCATCTCCTTACAAGTTGACGCATGGGATCACTTCCCGAACAACGATTCTTCGTCGCGACTCATTTCAGCCTCGCCTGCTTGGATCACTCCCATGTCATGTGATGATCACGAACGCGCATTGCCCAGACAAGCTTGAAAGGTGGTTTCAGCAACAGATACTGTCAAATTCCTGTGATACCTTGATCATCAGCAGATATGGTACGTTGCAGATTCCGGGGACTGATGCCAAAGACAGATTGGATCGACAAAAGATCGCACTGACTAAACCCGATAGGATGGTTATTGAGGGGTTAGAGAGCGAACAAGCCAGCAGAACAAATGCGGAGTGCTCTGCTCGACACTCAGGAAACGTTTTTCGGTATCAACGACAGCAATATCATCGGGACAGCGTACAGACTGGCCATTCTTTATGAGTGCCAGGGTAGATATGCGAAGTCTCAGGAACTCATGATGAGAACGTCGAGCAGGATAGAGGTCGTTTCGGGACCCAACGACCTAATTATCCACTCAGGACGCCCTCTAATGGCTGTGAGAACTGTACCTGAAACAAGGGATGCTCTCACTAGCGAAGAAGCATACGATAACCCATTAAGCGCTACAGATAAGTCTCTTGTACTTGATGATGACAGTATCCTGGCATCAATGGGTACCTAAGGCAAATTACCAAGACCCCTGGTCATAACAAAAGACTCTGGGTTCTGAAGAGCCATATCAAGACACCCTCGGAGGTCATCAGGGTTTCTAGAACGACTGTTTTGCAGTCCCGGCTCCTCATCGCCCTTGCGCTTCTGCGTCTCCCTCGTTATAAGCCTACATATAACAAGGGGACATCACATGTAGGATTCGAAGCAGTTTTTCACTGGCTGGGGCTATGCGTCCCTCGCTGTTTGGGACGTTACAAACACCCAGAAGATGTTTCAGCAAAAGTTTGGAGTTCATAAAGAGTTGGGTGACGGATTTCAATTGTACCCGCTTCTCAGATGTGCTGGCCCATGGATGCAAATGTCCTGTCTTTGCCGCACTGGAGTTGAATGTCTGCCAACACTGTCCAGGGGTTGATTTGTGCGATGCCTGTTTCGGTCAATATAGATCATCTAATCTTAAAAGTTGGAGGGTAGGCGACTGTACCAGCCACTCGTTCTTTCGAGTCCAGCCTCGGAATCCACGCCGGGTTTCGACCGATGAGTGGAATGGTTGGCTTGAACAAGCCACCTCAGAGTACAAGAAAAATGGAGATGTGCGGCTTGGAGAGCAAGACGGTGGAAATTATGGAGTTAGAATCATGAGAAGGAATGTTCCTCGTTTGCGATCGCGGAGACTTCCCTTGAAAATCAACCTGCCCAAGTTCCACACACCATGAGTTTTGTCTACAACTCGAAAGCATGTCTCTGCGTCGAGGCTGGAAGGAAACCTATACTTCAAGTCCGACAGACGAGAGTTGAAAAGGTCACTGTCATGCACACTGCCAAATATCTCACGCCTCTAATGAGTGCGTCTAACTTTTGGTCCGATGCTTCCATGGAGAACGTTCTACCAACTCGTTCGCATACGTGCAAAGGATTTTGCTTCCACTTCCAAACGATCCGACGTATCACCACGGCCGATAGCCAGCCCTTTAAGTCCCAACGAACGGGGACTCGGGAATTTGTGGGGTTGCATACACACGATATTTATCCAGGCCCTGCTTGGGGAAGGCATGGAGATCTAGAGTGGAATAATGTGAATATAAACGGATGACGACGTTAGTGACTTAGTCTCCCCTCTACTTGAACAATGCCATTTCGGGATGAGAACGTGAAGTGGAGAATTTTAAATTTGGGGGCATCATAAACAGAATACTAGGACGTAAAGCTCAATGCCTACCAGTAATTTTGCTACGGCAGGTGAGCGAAGCCTATCTTCTCCTAACAACACGACCATCGTCGTCATAGCCCGTCTCCATGCCATTGCAGAGGGCGACAAGAAGCTTCCGCAAATTCTGATCATGGATGGGCGGTCGTTAACTTAGGATTCATCTCATTATCACCTAGAACAACCATTTCTACGCGCAAACCAGGCTATCTTGCTATGTGGTGAGTAACCACAAGAATTGCGAACGCCCATCATCATCAATACTAGCCCTTATATCATCTCAGCGTCATAAACAAGCCCACGAACTTCAAAACGACATTAACCACCAAAGCGACAGTCACGAGAACAACAAAGATCTGGCCGATCTCCAACCAGCTGTTGAGCGTAATGTCGGTCTCAATAAAGCCGGTCTTAGAGATGCCCTTGGATTCGTCTGCGGAAGCGGCGTCACCGGGGAATCTACCGGTGTTGTACCACTGTTCCAGAAGGTCGTCCTTTTCACGCCAACGGGCCAGAAGCCATTGCTCGAATTCCTTGGCGTCAGTGAGTGGGATGCTCGATACGGCGAAACGCCGCCAGTGCATGTTCACGCATTTGGGCGGTCGTCCTTGGAGGTATGTAGATCGGATTGTGAAGTATTCTGGAGCGAAGCCGCCTTTTCTGTTTTTGATGGGGTTGATCAGTATGCAGTTTGATAAGGCGTTAGGGTCAAAAGGGGGGAAAGCCTTACGGAGTGCCTTCGTAGGCGATGGTGCAGTCGTAAACCCAATCTACGGTGCCTTGTAATTGCTGGAGACAGAAGAACAGTCCAGTGCTTCTAGGTAGGAGAAGGTGCCTGGTTTTTGCAATGCCCTGCTTCTCGGCCCACCGTGCGCTTCCTTTGATGGTGTTGCGTGACAAGTTGGTGCCCTCGGGGAAGATCAGTAACCACATGGGATCCAAACCGGCAGATCCAGATAGTGGACCGCTATGCCGAGTTTTCAATTTCTCCAGACGATGCTGCAGGCGCGGTTTGTCCGAAGCCCATTTCCGAGCCATGAAGATGAATCCATAAAACATCATGCCAGGGCCCAAAAGAGGGACATACTTCAGGGACTCTTTCAGGATAATATAGATGTGCCCATGCATACGGCTGGTATAGGCTATCCACCAGAGGTACAGCCACTCCGTATAGACCTGATGATTTGAAACATAAACCAATCTCTCCGGGAATGTCGTCTCTAGTGTGCCTTTGCTCGATACACGGAACTGTCCTTTTAACTCCGGATCCCAACTCACCCGCACTTTGGTCGGGGCGAACCACCGCGTGCCCGCGGTTCCACAGATCCCAAAGGATTGTTTTGTCAATGCCATCCATGCATAATAGTAATTTTGGTTGTACCAGTATAGCGGAGCACCGACAAACTGGGTTGCGTTGATGGAGAAGGCACAGCAGTTCAACCATGTCATCAGCGATATTGCCCGAAATATTTGCGAAAACGTCCCGTGCTTAACTTCTCCTGCCGGGTGGCCATATTTTTCTAATAGTGGACTGAGGACGCCATTTGTCTCAGGTATGCTGCCGCCGTCAGAAGTCTTGATGGATTGGGAACTGCGCTTTCGTAAGGGTTCGTCATCGGTGGTACCCATGGTGGAGGAAATGATGGGAGAGTGGTGTCGATGCGAGAGGGAATGGTACCAGGAAGGAGAGAAGAGAGATAGTTATCTACTAGGGGAACTTTAGGCTCAACTGTGCGTTGCAGCAAGAGTAAATATTTGTGCTGTAGGGTTTCCGCCTGAGGCAACTGGTGGAGGCTGTACCAGGCGCCAGGCTGCGGCGGAGTTAGGCACTAGTGAGAGATGTCATAACTTGGAGCTGGGAAGAATACGAAATGCGAAGAGCAACAATAGAGGAGAGGTGTCAAGAAGGATGACTCATCGTCATAGAGCACAGATGGGTTTGTAGTGCTAAATGGTATAAGCTGAGCGAGAGTGTCTCGTGCACACTTGAATCCGGGCTATTCTCAGTCAGATAATATGCACGGACACGATAAGTAGTATTAGTAGTCGGTGACAGATGAGGCCGGCGGGCCAAACTCCTTGCATACCAATGACATGCGAGGTGAGTTTGGATGAGTCAGCGGAATCACATCACGTGAGACAATTTCACGTGAGTGATTGGCACGTGATATCAAACTGAACCTCGGGCCATAGTTTCCTCCTGGATATATCCATCCGTTCGTTTGCTCCGATACATCTCTCCTTCTTCGCTCGGCATGTCATAGAACACCTAGACCGTTTGTGTACATTGTATGTATTATTATTGTGTGCCTCGTTCCTGGAGTTGGTTTGAGCTGAGCCTGGCGCCTTTGAAACAGCTTTCTCATCCGTGACACATCCGACCATCTTGCTGCTCTGTATGAAGGAACAACATCAGGACACTTGTCTTCATGGCATTCTCTGCGACAATCAGGCGCGCCATGGCTTCTCGAGTGTCTACAGTCAGTCGCCCCAGTCCTACTTTGGCCGATGCTCGGTATCTTCTCAACCCACCCTGGCCTGGACAAATTTGCAACGCAAACTCTCCCAGCCCATCATCGCAATGTCGACCATTCTCCTTTACCAATACCATTCGATCAAGCAGACGGTCATTCGATGAGCTACCTCATCGCAAAGGCTTCAACCTCAAGCAAACCCCTGCCAACGAGCTTCTCTGTCTTGAATGGCATCAGCCTCCTCGAAATCTTTTGTTGATAAAGAAGGACTGCTCAGACGATGCCGCCGACGCACTTAAAGAGTTCATCAAGCATGTCACCTCCACCTATTCGGACATCAATATCCTCCTTGAGCCACATGTATCAGCAGAAATAGGCTCCGACCTGCCCGCTCAAGCGTTCACCACCACCAGCAAAACTCAAACCGCACACCCACTCCATCAAAAGGTCGACCTGGTCGTTACTTTTGGTGGAGACGGCACCATATTGCATGCGGCTTCTTTGTTCGCCACATCAGATAAAGTCCCTCCCATTCTTTCTTTCAGCATGGGCACCCTGGGTTTCTTGGGGGAGTGGAAGTTTGCTGAGTACAAGCGAGCCTTCCGCGAGGTATATATGTCAGGATCCGCTTCTGAGCGCCATGCCGTCATTGAAAGCAAAGCTCCCCAGTCTGAAAACAACATCCATTTCACGGGCTGGTCTTCTGTGCGGGGCAAGTCCATGGGATCAACAAGAAGTGCTAGAGTTCTTGTGCGGCAGCGTCTGAAAGTAGGGGTGTTCGATGCTGATGGTAATCGATTGAGTAGCAATGGAGATATCTTGCACGATATGCATGCCATGAACGAGGTCATTCTTCATAGAGGGCGAGATCCACATCTCGCGGTTGTCGATGTGTTCGTCGGTGGCCGCTTCCTCACCGAAGCTGTTGCTGATGGTATGATCATTTCAACACCTACCGGCAGCACGGCATATAGCCTCAGCAGTGGTGGCAGCATTATCCATCCCCTGGTATCATCTCTTTTGCTCACCCCAATTTGTCCAAGGAGTCTAAGCTTCAGGCCGCTGGTCCTGCCTGCAACAACGCCAATCACGCTCAAGTTGAGCGAGAAGAACAGAGGCCGAGAAGTTGAAGTCAGTATCGATGGTGTCAGGCGCACTGACGGCATAGGTGTCGGCGCCGAGCTCCGCGTCTCTGGAGAGACAGTGAGAAGCGAATCCGGTAGTCTCACAGGCGGAATCCCTTGCATCATGCGCCGAGTCAACGCTGGCGCTGATTCTGATGATGGATGGGTCGGCGGACTCAATGGGTTACTTAAATTCAATTATCCATTTGGCGAGGAGACGTGAACGATGTCGTGTCTTGAACAAATACCAGGATTGCATGGGTCTGAATGCATGGTCTCCACTGAGTAAGGAGGTTGAAGCGTGGTTGAAGTGCGCTCGGTCAAAACTGCGCGTGAAACCTTCAGCCTTGCCAGAGGACAATCACGCGACGAGGCTGGATATTCACGATGCACATCAACGGCGGCGCTTGCAATCATTATCTTGGCCACACCACAAACACTAAGTCTTCCCTTTGTCTTCCCAGATCGACAAACAAAATCCCTCATATTGACTGTTCGTTCAATTGAGACTGCAGAGATTTCAAGAACAGTCTGCGATCTCAAGCAAAGCCTGGTTCTCCCTCCTCTACTTCCACAACTCGCTCCCACTCTCACTCTTTATTCATCCACTTCTATCAGCAAACCACCAGGGCCTGCAGAGAGAAGCCTACTGTATCTTCCACTAACCCCTGCCTCATCCTTTCTCAACTTTACAACGACTCTCAACTTTCGGACGTCTGACCGATCTGATCTAAGGTGACCAAACAGTTCACACTGCTGACAGTCTCATCAGCTTCACTCACCCTTCTACATCCCATATCACTCTTACCAACAAATAGAACTCGCACAATCCGCAGGTTCTCATCACGATTCTCACTTCCTCGTTGTCAGATCCTCTCCAGACTCCCCCGTCCTTCTCGACCTTCTTCAGTAGACAAATTGAAGAGGCTTGACCAGATCAGACTGCTTGCTACCCTAACTGAATACCCAAAGTCACTAAACTTCAAATTTCCTTGCTACACCGATATCAAGCAAACCACCTACCGAAGATCCACACTTGGGCGGAAACTTCACTGAAGCCGATATCTCAACGTGCAACCCCACATAGATCTACCGGACTCTCAACAGGGATAAATTGTCCCTACAAACACGGCTTTTTTTTCACTCTCCCTGTTGGCTGGTATTTGAAATTGCACAGCTTCAGATATCTTTGGTTCAGGTGAATAACTGAAATCATTCCAGCTCACAAAACTCAAGTCATCGGCATCTTCAATAGCTACACTCGTAAATATATCAAACGCAACTTTCCAAATCAGAACACTTGACCCAACTTCTCCTCGCCAGACATAGGTCCAGGTACGACAAACTTGTTTGGCTGCACTTTCGAAAACGTCAACGATTGAGAGAAGAGCCGTTATTCGTATCGTCAACCTCATAGCCTAGATCTCTACATCCACACAACAAAATGGTGCTCACTCAAGCTCAACAGATTGCACTCAATCAACTTAGCAAGGCCTGTGATATCAACACTGCAGGCGTAATTCATCCTTATCCTACGAGAATTCCACAACCAATGGCCAACCCTCCACCACAGACGAGTTTTCCAGCCTACAACGTCGGATACGACATCAACAACCCCCCCGCAACCATTGCTCAACAGATTCCCCCTGCACCAGCAGGCGGTGCTTCAGGTGCTCATCCCTACCAAGCACTCTCAGAGCAGAACTTGCATCCTCTTCTTTTTCAGATCGAGCCATATCCAGAAACCGAAGCTTCTGTACCGCTGCTCGTCGACAGCCAAACCAATCAACCTGTCTTTGGTAGAGATTCTACTAGACAACTTCGATTTTTCTCTTTCCTTCCGCGCTGGATCGATGTCAATGTTCACGGAGAGCTCGTGGAATTGTGGTTCCGTCTTGAGCCACGACTGCAACTATCAGACATCATTGATCGCCTTAACGTTCCTGCAACGCAGAAGATCCCGAATTCCAACGCATTTAACATGAGGCGCATGCGCTTTCGAGCTCTGCTCTTTGTCCCTCCATTCCTCCCAGGCAGGAACCGACCTTTGAGGGGAGACGTCGAATTGATTGGCTTCATGGCCAAAGAACAAATCCTTCTAAACACCGCGATGATGATCGATCTTCGCAACGAAAGACTCCTCAAGCCCGTCATCAGATTGGGCCAGATTACTGGATATGTGGATGCCAATCTTCCCATCGACCACTTCATCAGTGGCTTCCCCGTCCCTGTCATGGTGCCTTCCAGTAGGCAAATTGTTACCTTGTCTCTTCGGAGACGCTTACAGCACCTCGCGTCCCTCAAGGGACTTGGAAACCTGGCTACCAACTATCTACAGTTGGCAGACGCCGACCTGCCATCATGGTGGATTGGCAGTGGGGCGTTGCCGCGCCTAATCACAGAGATAGACGGGGTCACGCATGGCGCGTTTGTAGACAACCTCCTGAGGCAGTTCCCCGGAACTGCTAGGACGGGCGTCCAACGACAAGTCATGGCGGTTGGCCCTGCTCCTGCTGTTGTGGCGGCACGCCCCGGCCGTCCAGGGACGCGAAGTGTTGCGCGTGGTGGTGTTTTGTCTGGCCATGTTGGGCGTGTTGGTGCTCGCCAGCGGAGACGCTAGGGGGGCGCGGAAGAGGAACAAGAAGAAGTGGCAGAAGCTCGCTGGCCTGCGGCGCCAGTGGACGCAGACCTTCAAAAGGTCAGAGAGTGCTTGGCTGTGTCCGTGTGTGTGCTTTCCCTTTTCGTTTTTAATAGATAAGGGACAATGATGATGACTTCAAAGGATCCCGGGGCGGGAGCCATCTTTCATCGCCTCAGTGAATACCGGTACTCAGAATATGAAAGCTCTGAAACGATTGCAGACAGGATGATCTGGCTGCATAAAATCAAACTGCGGTTTCCCGTAACAAAGAACTACGAACCATGCGGTTTGTACGAACTCCGTTGCTCCACGAGCCTTCGCTAAAGCTGCACTTTTTGCATGGGAGACTTAATGATATGTGACGTCAATAATTAAGACATTCGCGGTCGCAGACTACTTGACCAAGTAAGTAAAATGGAAACACGATATCAAAGGCACAGATTGGCAGACAGTAAAATAATGATTTCATCGAACTAGAAATTCGAACTCCTGCCAAGCGGTAGCCTGATCATGTGACATCTAGTTCTAGGACAAAGTGGCGACAAACAATCCCAAGGCGAAGGCAGACACGTCTATTGAGTCGCTCTTCGGTTGTTTTGGAAATTTATATGCATGAGACATAGCTCGTCCTTTATATCAGTAAAGAGAGTCCTAAAGGATGGACTACAGTCAGTTACATAGCTTTCTGCACAACAAATAAAACCTCCCTTTCCAGTACCCAGCATCGATTCCTTAAACAGCAAAGAACTCCCGGGCTGGTAGCCTCTCTCAGACCTCCAGTTACAAAATGTGGAAATGTGGTATTCACGACTCGCGACAAGTTGCCTGCTGAGCCCGCCAATGATGCCCTATTCTTCTGAGTGTCACCAGGAGAGGCACCTACCCTCGTCACTGGTAGTGTGCAAGCCAAGTACTCGCGCGGGATATGGGGATTCACAACGGCTGACTGCCTCAGATTCACCTCTTTCTAGATAAATGTGAGTGTTTCTCTCCGATCTTGTTTCGAGCGACACGTATTGTTTCTTTGCATCATTCCAGGAGGCATTCATCCGTTCTACATATCCAGCCCATTGCTTCATGACTGCAGTGCGTTCTTGCTTCACATCAGCGGCAATTACTCTAGCAAGCTTGCTCTGCTCAGCAAATACTTTCATTCCAGCGAGGACACCTTTTGCGTTCATCGTAATGACTTCTGGCTGTCAGATATACGCCGGGCCTAGCTGCCAACATCACCATCTCCCACATAGAACAGCAGGTGCTCCGGGCCAGGTGCCACGACGGCGATTCTAGTTGATGATGATGCACAAACAACAACGGGCCATCACCAACAGCAACTGCGTGAGTGTCGTCAATTTTGTTTCTGGCTCGACATTGGTCGCTGATCTGAAAGCGGAGATTCCACCAAACGAAATCGACTTGGCCCCACCGCTCACCAATGCTCAACGGATCCAAGAGGCCTACACCGGCATCCCTGCAGAGGATCAATGCGCTATGACTGGGCGATGAGGTGGGACTTGACCCGAGTCGTGGTTTCGCAGGAGCCAGATCCATATATAGCTGGTGGACTGAGGCAAGCCACCTGAGTGACGGTCTTTGGACGAGAGACACACTTTGCCTACCTCGGAAACAACCCAGCTGTCTGGGAACATTTCTTGCAGGACTCACACTGGCCAGGTGGCCCTCGATATGTTGAGCCAATCTTTCCATCGCCAACCCCACAGCAACAAACTGCGAAACGGATGCTGAGCTGATGCCTCCTCCGCCTGTTCCTCCGCCCCGAACACTATTTATTGCACGAGCTCATGCGCAAGAATCAGCATCAGACGCGAGAGCAGAAGTAGCACAGCCCGCACCAGCACCACTTTCAACAACAGGTGACATCCATGCTGTGTCGATACCACCGCAAGTTCCCATCAGAGATCGCGAGGCACCTTCGCATCCTTGGCAGGATACGATAGTACACGCACCGTATGATCCAAATGCCAATCAAGGGTCACGTAGGCCTGAGTCAGTAACTCCAGCTCAGCCTGCTCCTGCTCCAGCCCCAAGGGCAAGTGAAGCAAGATATGCACGGATCCCTGACACCATTGACGACCAGCTGAGACGGGGAACCAGGTAGTCGGAAGGAATTGCTAGTGATTAAGTTTCTTCAAACTTTCGGATTTGTTGAAGGGAATGAGCGAGTGGCTGCTCTTGTCGGTGGAATACAGACGATCTTGAATGCGGGAATGCAAGCCAGCCCTGCTCTGGGATAAAACCTTCCTGGATGGCCTGACGCGAGGTCATGAAGCAGGGAGGAACTCGAAAGCCGAAACTAGAGGCACCCTGGTGCATGCGCCGAGATAGAACCCGCTTAGCAGGGGAAAACAGAATCCGAAACAAAGAAAATGACCACTGTTTCATGTCTTCCAAACAATTACTCATGAAAGTTGACCGAATTGGGGTGAGTTGGCCGCATGCGGCATGCTTCAGCCTCGCCAAACCTGTCATTGTCGATCAATAAGACCGATTGAAGAACGGCCGCCCAATTCTTTGTGTTGTTATTATCTTCACCCTTCTTTCATCAGGCCAGGTCATGACCATTCTGTCGGACAAGGGATGAGAAGTGCTGGATACACTCTGGCATGATTGCAGAGTAACAATGAGGCTCAGTCAACCCTACTTTCCATCTGCTGAATATTCGTCGGTGAGGGCAGCGATGTATGTTATCGCTAGAATTCCATTTCCGCTCAGCGATATGCCGCACCTGTTGGTTCCAACATTCACATACCATTGCAACTTCTGTACTTCCTGGCGCTAGCGCTCTGAGGAACATCGTGGTTTGGTTCTCAACGCTCCACACAATGGCAGGGCATTGAGGCGGTCACTCCACAGCGCTCATTCAGGTCTTGACGCTGACCCAAGCCCAATTTATCTGCTCCACCAACCAAGGTGAAACTAGCACCGATACATTCTCAAAGACAATTAAGAGACCGATCAACACAAAGCACATTCTTCACAATCACCTTCAACGGGCAAAATTGCCTTCAGATGTGCATATTTTAGCAGCAAGAATCACCCGATAGCCTGGATTGGCAAATTTCTCAACACATCCAAACGGTCTTTCTCAAAACAGTCAGCAAAAGTGTAATTCAATTTGTGTGAATCAACCTCTGGCGGAAGAGAGTTACTACTGCTCGTCAGATTTGAGAGGAGAGCTGAACAAACGTGAGCCCTCTAAACTCACATATCATCCAAATACTGATAAAGTGGGACAGACAAAAACGTCAGTCCCAAGTCACCGAGAATGTCAGCAACCCTCAACAATTCCGAGTCTGTGTCTGAGGCGTCATCTGGTCACCGTAAAAAGAATGCCAGCGACAGCTCTGAAAGTGATTGTGAAAAACCAGAGAGTCGGTCTTTGGAGTCCCGTCTCAGCCTGAACTCTGATTTCGAAAAGGAACTGAAGCAATATGCCGCTATATTCTCTGGCGATGAAGGAGAAGAAAACAGGATCGGAGACAAGCACGAATTCAAGGATGAAGATACTCGGCTGGATCAGGGCAATGAATACGGTTCCGACAGTTCATCAACCCTCAGCAGTGCGTCTTCTTATGAGTTCCGAACTAAAAGCAAGAAACAGCGAAGTGAAAACATGACGACTGCTGAGGTACGTCCCCTGACGCAGTGTCCATTGATCTGTGCAATGCTAACCCGATTGATATCTAGATGCTGGAAGCCATGGATGCAGACCTGCAAGACGAGCCAGTCGATCGCAGTAATTGGAAGCCTCGAAAGTCCATCATGGAACGGGTGGCAAAGAGACAGCGTAAGGAGAGGATGGCCGCTGAGAGAGCCTCCGGAAGGGCTGCTCGAGCGGCGAGACGGGGCGAAGTGGGAGCGAAGAAGAAGCAAGAGAGATGGGCACCATATTAAGTGCGAGCAACTGCTAGAATGAGTAGAAACATGACTAGGTTAGTGGTCTGGTAGAGAGAGCATCGCAGCTGGTGTTGACAAAGTCAAGGAGTCCATGAATTGAAGCGAATGAGAACCAGTATGCCAAATTCCACATTGGGAGGTTCGGCAGACACGTGACTGAACAGTGGTTCTTGCCCCTTTGACACTTGACGGTCGCTCCTCCTTTTGTCATGACCTGCTGACGCATTGCCCATTGCCCACTGCCCACTGCCCATCTGATGTCCCGTCGACCTCAATTGACTCTAAGGACATCTTCATTTGCAGGGACGTCCTGGCCATTTGCAGCTCCTCCATCCAGGTGCTTGTTGGTCTCACCCGTAGCATCAGGTCTGGTGTGACCCATATGTCCCAGTTTCGTCTCTACTTCAACTCCCTTGAGTGTCTGGAGAACGACACAATACCGCTCACTCAATTCAACGAGTTTCTCGACTTTGGATCTATCTTCTTCGTCGACGTCCAATCGGACGATGAGCCTGATCTTCTTGAAGCCTACAGGCACTGCGTTGCCTTCAGGATCCTTGACACCCATCGTCCCTCGAAAGTCGAGGTCTCCTTCGGAAATGATTGTCCCGCCCTTCAAAGGTATTCCAAGACTCGTGGCCACCGCACGCACTGTCACTCCGAAACAAGCCACAAGCGACTCAAGGAGCATGTCTCCCGAGCAGAGTTCACCTGAAGCGTCGAATCCCTCACCACCGGCGGCCCGATGCAGCCCAGCAACCTTCCGAGCGGCTGCACCAGTGGATAGTGAACATGTCAAGTTTGTTGAGGTAGGATCAAGACTTCCAGACGTGGATAGCGTCACCAGGGCTGCAGAAGGCTCCGTTCGATACTTGTCCTTGAGAGGCTTTTGCTTGGCTCGCAGCGTATTTGCAGCTGCCATAGCTGCAGTGGACATCGTGGAGAGCTTTCTCTTCTGAAATCCCACCTGGTTGTCGTGGATAACTCAGGCACGTCTCAGAATTACAGTCGCAATTCAATATAGGAGGTCAACGTGCAGAGAAGGAAGAAATGAGTGATGCATCGACGCTGAAACGGAAACAGCAACAATCTTCTATTCCCGAGGTGTGTGTCATGATTTTGAATTCTCCTGATCCCCGAACTCGACATAAGCAGACTCCAGCAAACAACGAGACTTACCCCTCATTGCAGAGGAAGTGGGGACCAGGGAGTTCCATCAGACCGTCAGTATGTGAAACGCTACATCTGGGTGGAATTGGAAGTCTGTTTTCTCGTGTATAATCTGGGGCTCTGAATTGAAAAACTTCAAGGGCCATCGCAGCTTCAACAGCGCTTCCATACAAACTTCAATCAGGTTCGAAACTAAAGGGCATCAAATTCCAGCATGATCGGGTGACGTCATTTGTGCTGAGCCTTGTACTTGACCTAGCCGAATCTCACGTGATTCCCAGGGGTCCCACCAGAGCCTCAGCATAAGGTGCTTTTGTAGGTCAACCCTTCTCCTATGCTCGATACCCGTCGTCTACGACAAGGCCCGCCACGCAGGCTACGTCAGAAAGTGTTGCCAGGTTCGAAAATGCCACCCAGAGATCAACGCTCACCTCGGCTAAGTGGAAACAGACTTTGGTCTGTTCTTGGCCGGATCATTCACCCTGGATTCTAGCATTCTGCTTTTCAAAAGGATCATCAACATTCAGGCGCGCTCTTTACCTCCGAGTTGAATGCTCGACGGATAGACTGTCCACTGGCAACACGGACAAAAACATTCACCGACGTGGAGCGAGTTTTTTAGACTTCGTTCAACACCAAAACTGACAAGAGGTTGTCCAGCGGTGGATGGATCAGTCGTTGATCAATCCATTCTCCATCTTCGGTGCTATATTGGCTGTAACGTTAGACGGATGTGATAACCCCTCCTACAAACGTTCTCTCTCGGGTTTTCCCTACAGAATCTTGACGATCTCCCAAGGCAAAGGATTCATGCCTGGCCGCTTATGCTTGGGTCGAGATATGACGTTGAGTGTGTCCAATTAGTGATCAAGCCTTCGTGGGCTCGCCGGGCTTGCGCCCTTCCGGCACCTCTAGCGCTCTCCACTTTTACACGGATGTGAGTGCCACTGACGTCGATTCACCACCAGAACGGATCCTCATCTCTTCTTTCCCATCCAGGTGGTTGTCCAAGTAATACTTTCCCATCACGATACGAGGTAGCGCCAACTAGGAATGATTAACTTTCTCCTGTGTCGCATTCCCCGCGCCTCAGAAGTGAGCCCATTATATGCATGTCGGACGTTTCGTGTAAACGGATCGAACTTATAGGTTGAAATGTCATGGGTGGTGTGGTCAAAACTCTATTGCACGAGACAGTGGAGCGCCGTTGCCGCTATTTCCACCACGGCATATTACGCCAACGCTTTCTCTGTCCCATGACAAGCATAAGATCGGAGCCTTGAGGTGATTGTCGATATGAAATGTGCTGATACATAACCGGAGGATTCGGCCTCCATCGACAAGCTACCTCCTTGCTTTATCGTATTCTCACTACTCCCGCACTCCATCTAACCACTGTACCCGCGGGACATACTTGCCTATACGTTTTATATGCAATTATGGAGAATTTTGATAAGCAAAAGCATCTCCCCTCACTTGCCCCTATAGTCCGCGCTCAGGACTCATCGTCCTCGTCACGACCAGCTAGCGAAGAAGCCACTTTCGCACACCGTGAGCATGATAAACACTTGCACAAGGACAGGGGCTCTGCGAACGGGTACCCTTTTCATGCAGAACATGGTCCGCCCATCGATAATGCGCTGAAGTACGATGAAGCCGAGGAGGATTATCAACATCATAAGAGCTTGTGGTGGAGTCGAGTTCGGCATATACTCAGGGATCCGTTCGCCGAGTTCATGGGCACGTTTATTATGATTCTCTTTGGCGATGGTAGCGTTGCACAGGTCATGTTGAGCGCAAATCCAAACCTGCCACAGGCGAGTCAGGACAAGGGCAACTATCAAAGTATATCCTGGGGGTAAGTCTGCTGTCAGGACATGGGCGGCCACTCCAGTATTCCTATGGTCCAAGTTATATTCGCTTCCGCATTCTGATAAATTTCCCTCGCACAGATGGGGTCTCGGCGTCATGTTCGGAGTTTACGTGGCCGGCTGTGCCGGAGGTCATCTCAACCCAGCAATCACCTTCGTCAACTGCCTCTATCGAAAGTTTCCCTGGTGGAAATTCCCCGTTTACGCTTCTGCCCAGGTACTAGGTTGCTTTTGTGGCGCTGCCGTTGTATATGGAAACTACAAATCCGCGATCGACCAGTTTGAAGGTGGTACTGGAGTTCGAACTGTGCCCGGGTATTCTGAGACGGCTACAGCCGGTGTCTTCAACACCTACCCGCAACCTTTTCTCACCAAAACTGGGCAGGTTTTCTCCGAGATCATCGCCAGTTTCATCCTTGTCTTTGTCATCTTTGCACTGAAGGATGATAATAATCTTGGTGCTGGCAACCTGGTGCCTTTATGCCTATTCTTCCTCATCTTTGGCATCGGCGCTTGTTTTGGCTGGGAAACTGGGTATGTTCCGCGCCATTCCCGATAGATACCATGCGCGATCTAACCGACACAGATATGCAATCAATCTTGCGCGAGACTTCGGGCCTCGTCTCTTCACATATTTTGTCGGATATGGTAGTGAAGTCTGGAGTGCTGGAGATTACTATTTTTGGGTATGATATCCCTTCATCTTTCGTTCCCTGCGTCCTCTCCAGAACTAGGAAGTGGAAAGACTGGGGGCCTAGGCCTTGCCTGTCACTGAATCTTATACACTAATACTGAATTCTTGCTAGGTTCCAATGATAGCACCGTTTATCGGATGTGCGTTTGGTGGATTCATGTACGACTTGCTCATTTACACCGGCGAGTCGCCGATCAACACGCCCTGGATCGGCATGAAGCGTGTAGTCCGCCCGACGAAAAAAGGTGTTAAAGAGGCAATCATGGGACATCCGGAAAAGGAGGTTTAAACTATCGCCTCTAGATTCGATACTACAGCAGTAAACATGTCCTGAATTGGTCAGGCTTTGTACAACACGCAGTGACGACAGATGTTCTTTACATCGTTCCAGAGACAGGAGCGATGGCGCTGCGATGACGATGTTCGAAACCCGTGAGACGTCCATAAACACGGTGATGCAAACTTCTTTGATTTGGTACGAACTGCGAATGATTTTGCAAGCGGGTCGGATATATGTTCTTGTTCCTCTTCGATTAGCCAGCTATATATATGTTAGCGAATCTTCACATGTTATGGACATCAGGTCAAATCTCGAGTGATTTATGGAGGGGCGAACTTAGGATCAGAGAAACAGCGAAACAGTAATATTAGGAATGGCTATTAATGTGAGTTGTTGATTGATATCACATTGGTTAAGAGTCATGAGAAGTGCAAGAGAGAGCGAGTCTCTGAATCCATCCTCCTTCTCCTGTTTCTTATTGTAGTCTATTTCCTCTTCCATCTGAGATCTCTTCAAAATTTAACCTTCTTCTTCGGCTTCACGCTCTCATCTTCGTCATCACTCAAGTCCGCATAAATCGTCTTTGGCTGGGTCGTCTTCCAGGCATTCGTAAACAATGGATCATTCGTCGCTTTGTCAGCGTACTTGAGCAACGCTTCGCGCGGATCCTCTTCGCGCATGGAGCTGAGCGGGATGCGCTCCTTGATATGTTTCTGGTCGGGCTGGTTCTTCGAGAACGGCGTTGTCGCAGGGACGTGCGGCCGGCGAGGGTCGCGTGATTTGCCGGACGCGGTCAGCCCGATGGTCGGGTGGCGTGAGGAAAATGTGCTGCGGCCTGAGATCGCCTCGCTGCTTGTCCCTGGGTTCATAATCGCGTCACCTGACACGCCTTGCGACATGTCGGTTGTTAGACTCGGGTCGTCGTCGACGTGGCGTCGTTTGGGTTGTTTCGACATTACCATGAGCGCGCCCTTTTTGGTGGAGCTTTTGGGGTTGAAGAGGACATGTGTTTCGGCGTTGGCGCCGCCCGTCAGGATCTGGTTGAGTTTGTCGTGCCAGAGGACTGTGATGAGCGCGGAGCCGGGCGTGATTGGGGTAACGAGTTCGGGTTTAAGGGTCGCTGGGTTGAGGATGTAGAGGTCTCCAGACTCGGAGCCGGTGATGATGGAGGAGGAGTTGGGCGCGAATTGGATGTTTGAGGTGGGATATTGGCTTGATGTCGAGGTGTGAGTGGTGGTGTTGACGGGTTGTTTGAATTTCCGCGTGTCCCAGAGCTTGACCGTGTCGTCGCCGCCCCTGGTCACGACAAGCCTACCATCGGAGCTGATGTCGATGCCACTGGTCCAGGTGTTCGGTGTATGGGCGTTGTTGATCTCGCCACTTGGTCTCGTGTATGGTCCTTCTCCTCCCCACATCAATATGGAGCCGTCAAGGGCAGCTGCTACAAGAAGACTGCTTCCTCCTTCGACCTGACTCCCCCATGTTACTGCTGTCATTCGACTACGTCCAGCAGAGCCTGCTAGTTTGGACTTGTGTACAATCACATCCTTCTGCTTTATTCGCATGTTGACGTCCCAGATCCGTAATGTGCTGTCTGTTCCGGCTGTGACGCACAGGTCGTAATTCGTCGGATGCCACGTGCCGTTTGTTATCTCGCTGATATGGCCCTTGGTCATGTTCATGTCTCGCAAGTACATGTCTCCTTTAACAAACTCAACCTGGGTTTCGCCATCCCGAGACAATATCCTGGCTTGCGGTGTGGCTAAAACGACGAGCACCTGGCTCGGCGAATTTGGATTGAATTTCGCAACATGCACGGGATGGGTTTCAGAACTCGTCGCTGGTTTCGTCGCCGAAGGATCGACAGATTTGAAAGCCCGTAGTGTGTTCGGCGTCATGGTAGCAAAATCGTGTAGTTTGATGGTACAGTCCATCGAGCCGGTTATCATTCGTGATCCAGCTGGATCAACCGTTATTGTGGTGATTGGACGATTATGAGTCTTGAAGACAATCTCGTGACTTACGGGATGGTCGTCTTCGTCCTCTGAATCACCGTCGTCTTCTGAGTCGTCATCGGAACTGCTGTTGTTTCTTGAACTTGTTGATTTGGCTGGTTTGGACAATTTTCCAGCGCCAGGCACTACCCGCCTGGCTGTTTCTATCTGTTCTTCTGGATCAAACGGACCTCCCGAACCTCCAAACGAGGTAGGGAGAAAGTCTCTCAGCTCATCCTCGTCCATCGAAACGATGAAATCAACGCTCCTAGGTATGCCCGAGACGTATGCTGGGTCAGGTAAACCAGCCCGTCATGTGGCGTTCGAAGTCCAGGCGGCAGAAGCTAGCCTTCCGAGAAAACGCGATACACTAGAAGTCGGGAGAGATTCTACAGCATGTAAAGTTCGAAGACCAGAGATTTCCCAGTTCCCACCTTTCACGTGGATATAGGACGGTGAGTAGAGCCGATGGCAGAGATGCCCGGAAACTTGAAGTCGTTTCCCAACATGCCGCCTTTGTGAAGCAGCCTGACGCTAATCTGCTTATGTCGTGGTTGCGACTTTTCCATTGCCGTTTCAATATCTTGGCATATTTGTCGAGTATGCTCCCTGTTCGTACTTGGCCAGCCACTTCCATCAGAGGAGCGACAGCAAGAAAGACTCGTTGTTTCGATCACCCGATGTTTGGTGCAGGTGCTGAAGTATAGATTGACAATCCTTTGCGCGGCTGACGAACCAGAATGACTTAAATACGGGTGCTACGCAGGCAAGTAACCACCACGAGTCTGCATGTCGCAATGTGCGTGGAGGAATATCGACGACCCCCGCACAGCACCCGCGTTGATGGTGGAGATCTGCAAGACACCGAGGTCTTTGGATGGAACCAATAATTAGAAGCAGCTACAAATGAGGCAGCAATGCGGAGATATCCATTCTCCCAGACCACGGTACCATTGTACTGGTAGTCACATCTGAGTGAATTGATTTGTTCACGATTTCCTCCTCCATACTTGCGTTGTCTCTGTATATAAACGGATACCCCAAGAGATAAGAGTCGTTCATACAGCAAGCTTCCCGAAGGTACTGGGATAGTTTCTTCCCGCAGAGCACACAGCGCGGGTAAAAAGCATATCCTTATAGCTTTTCAAGTGAATATTTGGTACTCTATTCAAAATTTGAGTTATCATGTCTGCAGAAAGCGCGTTGAGCCTCGATCCGACCCTGTTCGGCCCGGCAGCGATATCAAATGACACGAAAGCATTCAATCAATCTTTGATGGATATCATGTCCAAGGGCCCAAAGTGGTACGAGGTACGTCCGATTACTGAAGGCGATCCCAAATGCCTGTCCCTTCCCCCTCCAACCAGGCTTCACACCCGCTCCCAAATGTCGCACGCATGTTTACATCTTCCCTTTGGGCCTATCCCAAAAGGTCGGCGCGAAAAGATACCGTGAGATGCGCGCGGCGGGCGAGACGCCCCTGCCCAAAGCCACATACCTGGAAACTTCAGAACAAACGAGCATCCCGTCACGGGACGCCGGCCGCTCGATCCCCGTCCGAATCCTACGACCACAGAATGGAAAGCCAATCCGTGCAGTCTTTCTCCACATCCACGGCGGCGGGTGGGTGCTGCAGGATGAGAAATCCCAGGACCCGACGTTGCAGGACATTGTCGACCAGACTGGCGTGCTAGCTTTTTCCATCGGCTACCGGCTCGCTCCCGAACACCCGTTTCCCGCCGGGCCGAATGATTGCTACGATGCGGCGGAGTGGCTGGTTGACCACGCACAGGAGAAGTTTGGCGTGCCCATGGGTTTCACTGGTGGTGAGTCCGCCGGTGGACATTTGGGTGTCCTGACTGCGCTGCACCTTTTACAACACCCAGAATCACGGTATTCGGAATTCCGCTTTAAAGGTCTTCTCCTGCACTTCGGTTGCTACTCCATGATCTGGACGCCTTTCGTGTATAATTTCCGGAAGCCGGAAATCCTGGTTTTGGACAGGGATCTGATGGATCACTACGTCAATGTATTCCTCCCCGGAATGACCGACGAGGAGAAACGACACCCCTCGGTGAGCCCACTGTTCGCGGACCTAGAGTCGTTGAGGGGGAAACTGCCGCCAGCGTTGTTTACCTGTGGCACGGAGGATTGTCTGCTAGACGACACGATGTTCATGAGCACGAAGTGGTTGATGGCTGGTGGCGAGGCCGTAGTCAAGATCATTCCAGGGGCCCCTCACGGTTACATTATGTTTCCGCGAGGAACAAAGGGCAGTGGGGCGGACGAGGGCTTGAATGCAGTCGAACAATTCGTTTTGTCAAAAGTTGGGTAGAGATGCAAATGGGGCATGAAGTGAGCGGAGGGAAATACTTAATTCGGGTGTCTTCAGCAGATAAAGGCATGAATAGTATTGCATTGACAGGAGGGCTGATTGTGGCAAATCCTCTTCGAGAACTTGAATGCTTTGTGTGAGCAGAGTTTGAAATAGAGAGATGTATTTGATGAGTAAGAGTCTCGCAATGGAAAAATTGTAGTTGGTCTCCGCCCTCTGGAAAACCCCACGCTTCCCTTGTGGCCGCTTTTCGTTGACAATGATTGATGCATTTTTTAAACTTCCAGAACCTGTTAAGCAATTTGACAAGCCAAGAGAACTTCCTCATTCAATCATATCAATGTCATCACCCCTAGCAGGTGCTGTGGTAGTAGGAGCAACACCCGTGCTATTTCCGTTCTCAGTCTGGGCAGCACCAGAGGTTCCCCAGTAATCGTCCATTTCCGCATCGAGTTCTTCAGCAGTCTTTCGAGGTCTTCCATTGGCCAATCTCGGGCCCTCACCGTCTCGCACACGATCACGTCTCTCGCCAGGACGTCGACCACCACCCCGGTGACTAGAACTTCTTCCACCCCGTTGCCCGGGAATATAACGGTCAATGCCATCCGGTGCAGGCTTTGTGACATCACTCCTTCTGTCTCGTGGTCCAGGGGCTCTTCGGAGTCCTCGTCGGGCACCATGGTCATCTTCGACCTCGTCCGTTGGACTATGACTTCGCCTTCGGTCACGTCCCCCAGGGGCTTCAATTCTGTCAAACAAGCTCTTTGGGTTCTCAACCTTGTCGAAGGGATTGTCGCGGCGCGGCGGTGGGAGAAGAGTGAGACGGATTGGTTGACCTTTTGCATTTGCACCATCGTAGTCACGGATCGCAGCTCTCGCGTCCGCTAGATGTTGGTATGTAACAAACGCAATGCCATCGGACCGTCCAGCTCGATCATAGCGAAGCTTCGCATCTAGAACAGGGCCAATGCGGGTGAAGAGATCCTGTGATTGTCAGGATCATTATGCACAGTAAAACTGCGTAGCAAAACGAACATATATGTCATCCTCAGTCAACTCATAATTCAAGTTTTCGACTCGAATCTTAGCTGGAGGCGGGTCTCTAAACCTTTGTGAGCTTTGACATTCATAGACATGAGACTGCTAACACTGACCTGTCGTGTTCGTAATCGTCCTCACGGCGATCGTCTTTGCGATCCCTACGCTCTCTTGGGCGTTCATAGCCTCGACGTGTTGCTAAAGAAGGTTAATGGATGATCGCCGAGCACCGCCGGAGTGTTGCATACTGTCAGGGTCATCCTCAAATCGATCATGGACCCAATCACTGGTAAGTTAGATTTGCATTAGTCATTGGTATGGTTCTGTCTTACTTATCGAGGTTTGTTCGGTCATCTCTTGTAGACTGTTTTGGAGGAATACGCGGTTAGCTGAATGTGAAGGGCAAACATGCCTGGCCTGAATTTGGGGATCGAAAGTCGGAGCAACACATCGGAGGAGGTTCGAGATGAAGCGGCGATCAATCCGACTGGCAGGACATGCGGTTCTCATGGAGGAATGGAGGAAGAGGAGGTTCGGACCTAGACGAAGGACGTGAGAAAGAAAGTAGAGCAATCAGGCAGTGGCAGTACTACCTTTCTGACGCCATCGCGAGGATAGTTATTGTTGGAGTTGTAGTCTCTCCGGCGCGGTTGAGGAGCTCCTCCCCGGCGAGCGCCACGAGGAAACCTCTGCTCAGATGTTAGAAAGGCAATAGTTTCATTGTTCGGCGAGAGGACAGACTTGTCGCTCAGCTATTGTCTCATCTAAACTGCGGTCCATTGTGATGGGCACTAGAGAGTAGAAGATAAACGCGCTCTTCGGTGTGTCGATTTAAGGCTGAATCAGGCTAAAGAGAGGAGGGACAAGTATAGTCGGTGTGGATGAATCAAAATATGCAAGACGTCGTATCATACAGGTCATTGACCGACGGTACTGGGCTTGTCAACGTGGTACAAAACATTGACCGAAGCCAAATCCGATTTCAAGGACAACGGAAGTTCGAGTTCAGAGGGAAACACGTGCCTATCAAGCTGTGGAGAAATGTCTTAGGTAATCAATACGCCGGCCTGCTGGGTGTCTGTCCACATCCACTTTAACCAGTCATGGAAATGATATGTTAAAAGCGGCGTTTAATACCAGGGGTTGGGGCACGGCGCCCTGGCTGGATTTTCCTGAGGATCGTTCGCTCCATTCTTCACTCATGCCTCTGTCGGCTTCGCTCGTGCAATAGGTGAATATTCCTCAATCATCAAAACGTGTTGGTCTGCTGTCCTCACATAAGCTTGAGGTACATGTTGGCAGGTCACAGGATTCAGGAAAGACCATGACAACAGGCACTATCTGTGAAGCAGCGAGGGCTGAGTTGATTGTTTGATTTTCAACAAATGCCAGGCGCTAAAATCTGCTATGCCATCTCTGCAATCTCATGTGACCCATTCCGATTCAAAGGCTTCAATGATCTCTACCAAGGCATCTGTCTCATGGCCTGCATGGATGTCTGGAAGTGACAGCCCAAGGACTTAGTATAGCGTGGAACCTCCGAAGAATGAAATCGATGAGGTCGAAATGCTCCTCTACAGTGTGTAAGAAGAACCGATGTAAGAGACAGCTCAACTCTCTATTATTTTACTTCTCTTGATCACACCTTCTATCGTATTTGATGGCGGGATAACAATCATTCTGCGGTCGGGAGAGTGTATTAATGAATCAGTCGCCCAAAAATTGCTGCCGAAAAGGCTATCGTCCGGGTAATATCCAGGAGCGCTACTTTTATGGCTCTTTATGTTGCTGGCGAATCCAGTGCATGGTGCTCTGTAACAGACAAGATTCCTGCTTTCTAGACGGCTGACAATGCCCACATCTTGGAAGGCTTGGGGGGCTTTGGATTTGCCTTGAATGACGGAGCCACAATCTGCGGGTACATAGGCGATAGCAATTGAGCTCGAGGCTGCCATGATCGACAAGTAGCTGCTGGGAAGGCTTGGAGAACGCTTTCAACCTACCTCGCGTATTTAAAGAGACAGTTGGGAGCTGAGACGCAATTATATCCCAAAGCAGAGAAGTGTTCTGATAGCATAGCCACCACACAGTAAGGGCGCGCTGACAGGATCGAACGGCATTGTCTGCAACGACCCCGAACTTCCGTTTAATTAGGCGCAATACGCCCTTTACTTCTCACTTAGTTCAAGCTGATATTCTGACGTAGGAGGGTGGGCGTCACCCAGGCATATGTAAAGCTGTAAAGCGATTGCTGATGCCTCTTTAGATCTGAACCTCGAGCATCTCTCAAAAGCCGCATCAGGCCGAACACAGGCGGAAGCCTGGTCACGTGAGGTGGTGTGCACGTTTTTGCCAAGCAGTCCGCGCAATTGGCTTCAAGCTGCGGCTCTCTAGGGTTGCAACAAGTGCCTCAAACTCGATGGATGGTCAGTGGACATATCCTCCTCTCCTCTCCATTCCTCCATACTGTGCCACGATGGCTGCGCGGGGGCTTTGCTCTTGTACAGATATTAGGATCATAGCATTGTCATTTTAACGATATCAACAAAGCTTCAGACTTCTGTCCCCTCCAGAAATTCTAGCAGGGTGCAGGCAACGCTCGCAACGCTCGATTACCTACACCATTCTAGCGGTGTATCCTCGATGCACATATCACCTTCCGTCTTCGGTTCTACCCCGTACCCTGTTTATATGCGAGATGGCGCTGGTGGAGGTGGCGGTTCTCAACTTCGAGAATGGTCCTCCTTTATTGGCATCGTGACTGCCATTGTGGGCAATCTGCTCATATCCTTCGCTCTCAACACCCAGAGATACGCCCATATCCGCATAGATCGCGAGCATAAGGAGTGGAGAAGGAGTGGATCAGGACAGTCCCCAAAATCAAAACCTCGAACTGAATATGGGGCTACGCTGCAGGAAGATATTGCCGAGGAACGCAGTCGCATCAATCTTGGGGGAGCATCATGGAATAGAACGCCTTCAGTTGCCGCTCTCGAACCATCCTTGCAAGCGGCATTCGAGCCCCGGAAGTCAAAAGGTTCTCACGAGAAGGATGAGGACGATGACCAGGGAAGGGAGTCGTACCTCAAGTCACCTTACTGGTGGCTGGGTCTCATTCTGATGATCATTGGAGAGGCTGGCAATTTTCTGGCATACGGTTTTGCACCTGCCTCAATTGTGAGCCCCTTGGGAGTGGTCGCCTTGATATCGAACTGCCTAATTGCTCCTTTAATGCTTAAAGAACATTTCCGAAAGCGCGATTTTGGCGGGGTGCTTGTCGCCGTTGCCGGTGCTGTCACGGTCGTGCTCTCTGCCAGTTCTAGCGAGGAAAAACTCGGCCCGGGGGAGTTGTTGAAAACCATCAAGCGATGGGAGTTCCTCCTTTACGTTGTCATCACCTGCTTGCTCATTGCGGGTTTATTGTGGGCCAGTCCGCGTTATGGTCGCAAAACTATTCTTGTCGATCTTGGCTTGGTCGGGCTCTTCGGTGGATATACCGCGCTATCGACGAAGGGTGTGGCATCCTTGCTTTCGACGTCTCTGTATAAAGCATTCACTTATCCTATTTTATACTTCCTGGTTGTCGTCTTGGTCGCCTCGGCACTCATGCAAATCCGATATCTCAATCGAGCCTTGCAGAATTACGACTCTACTCAAGTGATTCCAACACAATTCGTTCTGTTCACATTGTCGGTAATCATTGGTTCAGCTGTCTTATATCGAGATTTCGAGCACACCGGAACGCGCCAGGCCATGAAATTCATTACCGGTTGTTTCCTGACATTTTTTGGTGTTTATCTCATCACCAGCAAACGGAGCAGTCTCGACGATATTGATCCTGAAGATGCTAATGAAGATGAGATCATTCAGCTGATCAACGAGGAGGCGGAGGACATTAATGAACAGACTCCGTTGAAACGCGAGCGAGATTCGACCTTACTTCCGAATGGAATTGAGCACAATGAGGAAGCAACTGGCGTCTATACTCCTCACCGACCTTCTACTGCATCATCCTCAGTCCCTTCGATTGCTGTCACGCCTGCGGCAGAGCCTTGGGAGGACATGCACAGGCAACCGTGGTCGGTCGACACACCAGATGGAGGTGCACCGCCACGTACTCCACAAATTGGTAGAATTCAGGCAGAATCGGGCGCGACACCGTTCTTTACACCTGGCACATCCAAGCCTCTTCACCGAACCGCCTCATCTCCCGCCAACCCCAGTACTCCCGTAGGGCCAAACAACCCTGGTCCTCCAAACCCTGATCCGCTTGACTCGCCCTATCCTGAGCCAGGCTTTCTCAAGCGCTCTGCACGTGGCAGTATTTCCCGCCTTCTCCCTGGGCCTCTAATGGCACCTCTATCGTCTTCCCTCAGTGCCCTGGTGGCAGATTCAATTCTCAAAGGTGAAGGGGCTTCACGTTCCGCCAGAGCGAGGATTCGTCGTACTCGCTCCGCTCGCCATCATTCCGAAGACGACCGGCGACGGTTTGTTCCAGTTGATATGGATGATAACCCATTGAATGCTCGATCTGCAGAGAATCTGAGTAGACAAAATACCCGTGACACCATGCCACTTCCAGGGCTTAGGGATGCCATTGAAGAGGAAGAACAAGGACCAAGGAAGACCAGGCTGAGAGCATTGAGTGAGACTTTATCGGGGATGATGGCGAGAGGGAAGGGGAAGGGAAGAGAAAACTACCACTATGCCCCGAACGGAAGTCAAGTATGACGAGTGCGCCCGAGCTGCATAGCATGCCAAAGCAATGTAAAAGCTACTCATAGCTTTTTGTAATAGTTAATGCCCAGAAACACCTACAGATTTCAAACAATTGTCATCCTGGCAGGTGAAAATTGTAGGTTGCTTAGTGAGTTGTTAGAAGGAGCTGCTCCAGGAGCTAAGATAGCTATCCTGGTCCACCGGATGGAATAGAAACCTTGGTGAAGGGCGTGCCCCTTCCTGCCTCGTGATTTTGCATAATACAACTCCAGGAATTTACGCGCCACGTTGAGACTAACATCAAGATGGCAGCATGATCTCGAAGTCAGATGCATCGCTACTTTTGGGCATCCGCCGCTTTAACGCGGCGCGAATGATGCGAGAAGAACGTGCTTACCCAATCCAGGAGACGAGAGACTTGGAGAAATCGAAATGCTTCTCTGGGCAACAAGTCTTCTCTGGATCTGGACAAGATTTTTGATTACGAAACCGTGCAAGGGATGGATTGTGCGAGAAAGTGTGGAAACATCGCAAGGCTCCCTGGATCCAGGTGGAGCTGAACTGACCCATGAGAAAGAGTTCTATATGGGTCAATAAAGGGTTTAGCCTGGGTACGTACCTCGCACCGGTCCCAATGGTCTTGTAATGGAGTCTGACTAACACAGCGTTGGCATCACGACTTCTGGTGTCCGTCTGAGGCTTCGTGGTGTCAAGGGACTAAAGCTGATACGGTGCTTGCTCGTAGTCAGCGTGTGAACCAGCCAACTATAAAGGCTACAGCAAGCCTCAACGATGCACCATGCAGCATCTCGTCGAAGTATAATTTGCAGTCACCATGTCTCCCATATCTCAACTTCTCCTCGTTCTTCCACTATTCCTCACAGGACTGAGCCATTGCGCGAGCCTACCACCACGCCATCCGCAACCGGATTCAAACCCAGAACTAATGGCAACCGAAACCAAATACCTCAATGTCAGTGTTGACGGACTGAGTCTCTTCTACCGAACAGCCGGCCTGGACACAAACCCGACAATACTGCTGTTGCACGGTTTCCCGTCATCGTCTCACCAGTATCGGAACTTGATTCCTCTGTTGGCTGACAAGTACCATGTTGTCGCGCCAGACTTCCCGGGGTTCGGCTTCACCGAGGTCCCTGATAGTCGCCAGTATGTTTATACATTCGACAACATCGCGAAAACTCTCTCTCTCTTCCTCGATGCGCTCTCCATCAACAGCTTCTCGGTGTACATCTTCGATTACGGAGCTCCAACCGGTCTCCGATTGGCTCTAGAACGCCCATCCCAGGTGAAGGCCATCATCTCACAGAACGGCAATGCCTATGATGAAGGTTTGGGCGCCTTTTGGGATCCGGTCCGAAAGTACTGGGCATCAGGAGCTCAGGAAGATCGCGAAGCACTGATTCCCGCACTTTTGGAATTTGCCCCGACCAAATGGCAGTATGAATACGGCTCCCCAGATCCCACTGCAATTGCGCCAGAGACATACACCCTCGACTATACCCTGATGTCACGACCAGGCAACAACGACATTCAGCTCGATCTGTTCAAGGACTATGCCAGCAACTTGCCACTGTACCCTAAGTTCCAGGAGTACTTTAGAGAAACTCAGGTTCCTCTGTTGGCTGTATGGGGCAAGAACGACTTGATCTTCATCCCACCTGGTGCGGAAGCTTTCAAGAGAGATCTCCCGCAATCTGAGATTCATCTGCTTGATGCAGGCCACTTTACGGTTGAAACACACACTGTGACCATCGCAAAGCTCATGCGTGAGTTTCTGGCGAAGAATGGTGTTGCATAGATGGCACACAAATTGCTTCCAACAAGAAGTAGGACGCAGCTAGAGGAAAGCAATAGAATAGTCCTTACATGATTTGGACGAGTTTCAATTCGGAAATGTCGAGGGAGGAAGTCCACGACCGTGACAATCTTATTAGAGCGGCTGAGTAGCTTGAGGATGAGCTATTCTCGTGCCTTGATGCTTGTGAAGCTCAGGAGGCTAGGCTGATGATTAATATAAACCACATGAGTCATATATGAAGACTACAAGTACTGTTTGATACCTTTTGATAATGTCATCACGATTGAGAACACGGACCCTCGACAAGAGTCAACGACGATTCAGTTCCCTCCTTCTAGTCTGAAGGCTGCAAACCCGGGGAGCAAGCGTCAAGCTCATACATGAGGAAGCCGTGTTGATATTCACCATTGCCAATTGGTCGTGTTTCTGGGTCATTGCTTTTGAACGCAGCAGCCTTTCCATTACTTCATTTGAGCCGCGTGTCCGTCTTGTGTTCCTTGAATGTGGGTTTCCAGGTATTACCAGGTGATTGATTACTCTCGAAGATTCTCATTTTGACTGGCGTCAATCTGAAGAACTATCGATATTATCTTTTAAACGATGCTGGTGCTGGACCTTCAGTTGCCACGCCTTTTCTAGCACCTGATCCGATGCATCGGTCAAGATAAACCGTCTCATGATTGCCTTGGTTTTGGCCAATGTTTTGGATTGGCGAAAATAGGCGACGACTTTCTGGAGGAGAAAGCAGCTGCCTTGCTCGCAGTCCAACGTCGGAATTTGTGTGTCTTGTTGCGACGTTACACTTGCCGCCACAAGACTCAGACAAGCCCAGGAAAAGAGATTCGAGGCATTGGTATCGTATTCATCCAGGCAAATGGGCATGAGTTCGAGGTTATACTGTCGGATTTCCTCGGTAGAGATACTGGGCAGCTTCTCGTCTGGAGGGCCACTGAGGAGAACAAGAAGAAGACCAATGCAACAAGCTCGCTCAACAGTCGTCAATCCGGGCTCTCTGAGGAGCTGTTGGCAATACTGAATTACCCAGATGTCTGCGGCTGTCGACACACGTGGACCCTTCATATCATCGAGAGAGGCCGACTCTGTGCGGTGCCATGTTGCAAGAGATCCCAATGAAGGATTCTCATGCAAAATGGGGAGGTGGAAATCTCGAACTCTGCTCACAAGTACAACAACATCTGTGCGAAGTCTCTTTTGTAGTGCCAGGAGCCGGAAGCCGGAAGGTAAAAAATCAAACAGTTCTCCTGGGATTAGAATCTCCAGAACCGGCAGGCAATGTAACGGTGTATGTGAAGTAGGGGATCGAGTTCCAGATCGGGACTCAAAGACGTATGATTGGTTGCAAAAGTAGGACCAGAATTCCTCAATACTAGAAAGAGTCAATGCAATTCGCATATGAGATGCTCCAACCACAAACCTAACAATGCTTGGTTTCAGCAGCCTGGGCCAACCTAGGGCATCGACGCCTCCTCTGATTGTGACAATCTTTCTGAGAGCTTCGAGATGGAGTTGGAAGGCCACAAGGTCATTTCTAGTGTACTAGGAGTAGTGTCAAAAAGGTCACCCACAATCTCAGCTCAGAAATCATACCTCTACGCAAATCAATGCTAGGATTGCAAATAGTGTGGCATCTTCGTTGTCAGCGTCCCCTTTGCCGACAACATCTCGAAGCCTTTTGAGACTCTGACCATAATGGTACAGAGTATCAGGATCTCCATGGACACCAGAGTAGCTGCTGGTAGCTAGGCGTGCTCGGGACAGAGTTACGATGGTCTCAAACATCAATGGATGCTGTAATGAATAGCGAAAGTAGTTGCGAACAATGCGCATTCCACCATCGGGGGTAAATATATCTGGGCGAATTTTATGAAATGGAGCGTAGTAGTGGAGGACTTTGAAATGAGTCAGCACAGCCTGAAGTGAGGTGGCGTCCACTCACAGTAGTCTATTGCCGGAGGTATACTTTCTCGGAAATCTATTGGGTAGGAATTGAAAGGGTCAATACGAAGGCCATGTTTATCTCTAGCAAGCTGTGTCGATGAGTGAATAGTGCCAATATTGTGTGTTTTGCCATATTCTTTCGGGAAGCCCTGGAGCCCCCTGTAGGAGGCCAAGCGTACTTGGCGGGATTCTCCTCTCAATTGCAACTTCCATGAATCAGTGTCTGATTTGTAGCGAGGCACGATACCAGACACGGCAGAGTCATGCCTGAATACCTCAATTTCTTTTACTTGGCGAACCTCATCTCGTGAGTTTGCCTTCAGCCTGATACATGAATTGAGACGCTTCCTGCGATGAATGTGTCGTTGAACATGCGAGCCTATGGTACGGCGATTTGGTCCATGCTTGGCTCGATCATGAAGCTGATTTATGAAAAGGAGTTCGTGAGCCTGTTCTTTCAATTGGGGTGGGCGTTGGCGAGGAACATTTCCGCCAGGCTTCTCTTTTGTGACAGGAAGATTGCCCGACTGCAATATCATGGTAATCGCAGCAGTGTCATCGAAAGTTCATGAGAGTTCACATTCTGTTTATGCCTAGAAAAAAGATACACCATAGCTTTGTCTTTGAACCGGCGAAGAATCACTAGACAAAGTGTTGTAACTCGGCTTCACTGAATCTCACTATCTCATCAATGGGCCAAGAGCTGACTCGGTTGTAGTTTGCTTGGGGTCTCGAGCCAGTCCATTCGGCTTTGGGATGCATTCGATTTCCCACTTTGGCGGGTCCCGTAGCTCGGCTGACTAACATCATAGCAGGGGTGTACAGCCCTTTGGTTGGCCAGAGCTGGTCGTTTGCCCTTGCGTGAACCGATGTGTGGCTATGTTGGCACGCCGTTGTGGTAGATCTTTCGCTGACGCGCATTTGTTGGACAAGCGAAGAATGTCTGTTCGGAGCATCGGTTCGTTTCTTGCACTGCGGTTACGTCGTCGCCGAGTCCAGTTAAAAAGTGGCCGAGTTGCTCCTATTCGGATTAGATTCACGCCGCCCTATGCCCGCAAGCCGCTCTTCAGCCTAAGTGGCACCACCCATGTCTTATACTAGCAGGTGGTCGGTGGATCCAATGGAGCTAATATATCTAGTATGTTGTCGGCAAGGGCCATATCACCAGTAAACTCGACCTGGTCAAGGAATACCAGGAACGCTCTGCCGCTCAAGGAACCCCGACGAGTCACATGTCTCAATCAAAAATATTGTCCGACAGTGCAGAGCTCAAGTATCTACCCTCTTGTTCTCAAGAAACGAAAACGCCACCTGTAATCGTAGTACTATTATTTTGTTTCATGGCAGAAAAAAGAAGCTTCAGAACATACCGACCAGAGTGACACTGACATGAATGCATTCCACGTTACCAATTGAAGCCTGTCAGCACTGGTGTCTTTCTGACTCGCCACCGAACCTTAGAATAGCCTTGTGCAGAATGCTGACTTGACAGTCTACTTGATAGTACATACAAAGCCTACGGACACCATTTCGGCAGACCTCGTTTTCGCCCTCCTGGGTACCCTGGGTCGCCTGTTTACTTTGGTCTTTGCGTATCAAGTGTGACTAACCATGTTGAACCTTAATCTGATTTACGTACCAGGCATCCAGTAGTTTGGTCTTACAAGCAAACGCACTTGCTGCCCCACTGTTTATTTATTTTCTCCACCACTTAATTTTGGCCGTTAATTACTCTATCTGGTCATACCGGAGGCTAGTCCAGAAACAGAATATTGTGGCGCTCTTGGCACATTGCCAAGCCCGGCTCAGTCATCACAGCCTTGCCTAATTCAACTTCAGTTCCAGTTGAACTTCGTCTTGTATCAACTTCTGCCGCGGTCTAGGTTTGCCATCTCCTCTCCCGCCGCTGAAGCAAACGCACTCACATATGCATGCTAACGATAGTAATACGAGCGGTTGAGCCTCTGTTCTAGACCTTAAAGCGAAAAGTGGATTGTTCTGACGCAAATCTTGGATTCGTGCCACGAAGGGATGGCCTCCCGGGAAAGTTGAGAAGTCCACGCTCGAGCCAGAAGTCCTGCCACGTCTCCATCCTTTCTATGCCGACACGATCTCGTGAACCGAGCTACCGTGCCAAGTTACATTAGGTTTACGTTCGGTCGACAGACGAGACCATCCACTGTCTCTTCTTGGTATTGCCCTACGCATGACCATGACGCAAGGTTGAGGCTAGCCTCTAGCTTAAACATTGCTCATCATCAGGCAGGTGCGTCCTCCTAGCTCCAACTGAATGTAAGATCTCGCCGACTTTCCCAGCCCATCTGTAGTGCAACTTGAACTCTGTTGGTTCGCCTAACTCATGAGACCTTGGAAACCGATACCACCCAACATTATGATCGGGCTTTCAAGAAGCCCGTCTCAGCCCGTCTCGGCTTGACTCAAGACATGCTTTGATTCACCCTGGACATCAATATGGATCCTCCAGCTCTCGATAACATCATGAAATTGTTGGTCAGACTTCAGTGAGCATTGGACGATTGATCTGAGAGTCTTTTCTAGCAACCTGAAAAGTTCTTTCTATTCGTTCCAGAAGTCCCGCTTTCGTTCAGTCCATGCTTCTTTGCTCCGCTAGCACTGGATTCAGTGACCACAAGCGGAAGACTCCTTTCTGTTTGAAGCAATGGTCCTCCGATGCGTCACTCTCGGGCTGAAAGCGCACCAACATTGAGCATCTGTGGCACGATTTGGCACCGGTGCTTGGAGATTGGGCGCCTTCCAGCGACATAACCACATCATATTTCCTTGAGTCGGCGTTACATCTGGCGTATCTTTTCTCTTAGTGGAATTACCCTGGCTAATTGATATTCAATTCAGCACGGACATGTAAAGGTATCAACCATTGTTTTCACACGTGCGAACAAAAACGAAGTTCTGGACGAAGTGCTTCGCATTGCTTAACGAGGCCAAGGCTATGAACAGTATTCCATTTAGTTGTAGCATCAATAAGACTGGGGTGAGTGCCCCTCCCACTAAATTTCCAACCAACCGCAACGTTTTCTATCTCAGCATCAATGAGGAATAGCCTCCACAAGTTACATAAGCAGCCATCCGAAGACAGACTCCATCATCACCCAGCAAAGTTACAGCTTCCACTGAAGGGAAATTGTGCACGCAAGGATGCTTAATCATGGACATGGTAGTATAAAAACATCTTCATGGCAGTCTCAGGGGATCGCGAATACACGCCATCCCCACTCTGACTTTGCAAGCCTAACAAACAATGGCTGCGAACCCTCCATCCGTCGACGACCTAGTCTCCAGGAACAGGTATGTAGAATCTTTTGCGAAATGATTCTGGAATAACATGGAGAGCATTGCTAAATATCGAGAAGCAAATATGCTGAAGGCTACACCAAAAGCCATTCCGTTGACGAGGTAATGCGTGGTGTCGTGAAGTTCCCCTCGGTTATCGTCGGTATGTCTCACCCTCGAGGCATTGTCATCTAAGGTTTCACGATGCTTCATGAAGACGAGGTTGCGAGGGAGACGCATTTACAGAACGTGGGGCTGATGACCAATTTCATAACAGTATCCTGTTGCGACCCGCGACTCATCCCCGAGGAGTTCGGGCTTTTCTCACGTGAGGGTAGGTAATAGGTGCAACCCCGTCCCCCCCCTCCCGGCTGGCACTGTCTTTCGTGTTTCCATATTCTAGAAGGCCTCATTTTGCAAATTGCTAATGAGATGGCTAGAATACGTCGTGGTCCGCAACGCAGGTGGGCGAGCGGAATTCGCCGTACGAGACATCGTCATCCTAAGCACCATGACCGAGATCACGGATGTCGTGATCATCCACCACGTGGGTACGTACCGTTCGGTGGACTGTCAGCTTTGAACCACAAGAAATCATCCGCTCAAAATCCGTCTCCAATAGATTGCGGTATGACACACTTGACCAACGCGGGGATCCGAGAGAGCCTCAAGAGCAAAGGCCTTGGAGACGATAAAGTCGACTCAACCGAGTTTGGCGAAATCAAGAAGTATTTTTCTTTCCCCTGCTCATACATCATTATCGAGTCTCTAAAAGCTCTTTTTCAATTTTAGTCTCGAACAAAGTGTTAGAGATGACCTAAAGTTCCTAGAATCGTCGCCATACATCGCCAAAAGCATCAAACTCCATGGTTATGTGCACGACATGTTGGACTCGGGTCGTTTGATCAGGGTTTGAATTAGCCGAATTCTGTCTTGGTGTACATAAAAATTTCAGACTTAGAATACCGCATGTTGATTCCTCCAATTTCTCTCTTAATCATTCCATGCCAATAGAAATCCGAATTTCTTGGGTCAACCCAACAGAATTTCCCAGTTTCTTCCTGAGAGATGGGAACAGCGTATATCCCTGCAGACCGAGGAGAGCGAGGGCCGAGAGCGCCTGGCAATTTTAGATATCACATAGGCTGATTCAGTTTTGCGAGCCCAAAATGTCCTCCTCGTTTACATGCAAAGGGTCTATCGCTCATCAAGAAATACTGATGCGCAGGGAAGGGTTGTCTAACTTCCATGGGGAGGAAACTGCATTGACAAGGATGCATGAATGCAAGGACAAGACCTGGAGTCCGAATCGTGATCAACCTCAGATGCAGAGAGACTGTGCCAGTGACAGCTATCCTGGCAAATAACATCCTCTGGTTTCAGCCCCATTAATCCAGTTTTCCAATTTCTAAATTCTCGGAAGCCATTTGATCTGCTGCGGGTTTGCGGACGGCTTAAGGCTTCTGTGAGGCTTGTCAAGATTCAGATATGGCGGTGGCAGTATCGTCTTCGAGCTGGTTGGTCGAGTTGACTCGACTTCAGGGAATAAGCCCACGTCATGTCTATGAAGACAGGTATAATCTCGCCGTTCTGGCTCCAGTCTCGTTCTTTGAGCCTCAAAGTTGGTCTTAGTTGATCTGTGCAAACTTTTTGTTAAGTATGCCGCCAAAAATCGTCAGTATGATCTCTCCCTTTTTCAATACTATAGGCCTCTTAATTCTGGTCGCTATCATCGGCTTCCAGCTTACAGGCGGGATGAATACTTGTTGGTGCAAGGCTAGTACTAAGATTCAACTATCCACTGTTGGGTGGCGATATCAATTTGGAGAACGCAGGGTGCGACCGAAAGCATTTCGCCGTGGCTAGATATTGGGGAATTGGCACAGCCTTCAGAGGGGCTTGTACTCGCTTGTGCACTTTTCGTTGCAGGGATATGGTGGATGGAATATCCATTTATGTGATCGGTTAATGATCGAAATATGGTATATCATTTACACGGGTTTCATGCTAGCACGCCATGGCTTCAATAGGCAACCTCACGAAGTTCAACGGTTTCATTCCAAACGACAGGGCTCTTCCTTCACAGCCACGGAGTCCAATGCCATCACCGTTCGGCATAGCAGTGGGAGATCTTAGTTCAATGCCTCGATGCAGAATGCAGGACATTCAACCCTATTGCTGGGCGTCTTGCTGAATTGGTCGATAATGACAACCTCTGAACTGCTCAACATTGACACACATCATCCGGCGGCATCGGCCGCTGACCCTCCCGTATCCACCGCCATACACATTCTTGGCAACCATTCTCAATTCCATCGGCTTCATGCTATTCTTGTAGTGATCCTGGATATCATGTTTCTCGACGGCAAACTTGATGTTGAAGTGCTCATCCCTCCATAGCCATGTGCTCACATTCCCTCTGCTTCACGTCACTCCACCAGGCCGGCAACATCCATGCGGACTTGGCACGAGCCAGAAAGTCGCGGAATACCGCGAGCGGGGGGTCGACGCCGTAGATGCCGTGGTTGTGACCGCCGAAAGCGTAGTCGTCCTCGCGGCGGAGGCGGAAGGTGTCGATCAGCAGCTCGAAAGTGTTAGTGTCGCTCTCTGGGGCGGCGGTGAAGTCGTCTTTGAGGTTGGGGTAAGGAAGTGGGAGAAGCCGCCTCTCGCCACTGTTGTTGTTCCCATTGCTGGTGCTCGCAGCTAGGGTCAGTCGGGGGCATGCAGCCTTGTGTTGTGGTCAATGAGTTGTTTGGCATTCTGTAAAGCGAACCATGTGCATCTCATATGAAAGGCTGGGCAATCAGCATCGCCGACGAACCTTTAAGAACAGCATGTTACTTTTTCTGGCACCGGCTACATCTCTTTAAGCATGAGCCGGGTCGACAGGTGGGCCTCAGCCTTGCCGCAAACGATGCAAACTCGCGATTCAGCCAATGGGGTTGGAGCGTCTGCCATTGCGGCGCAACGATTTCCCACACTGAAAAGGGCCAATGTGGGAACTATGAACCAAGATAACAGAGTATTGGTAATAACGCGTCAGGGGAGTTGAAGTCTGGACGTTCGTTAGAAGGGATGGTGTTCTCCTGTGTATTTTTTCTTTTGTTTCTACCCCTCAATGGACTCCTCACAGCAACAATATCGTGGGCTGCAGCTACGCTTTATCTAGGAAGTGGAGTGCTGGCCCATGGAGAGTAGTTGGGTTCGAATACCGGTCGAGTTGCCATAATACGTAGGAGGGCACGTTCTCACAGAGCCGCTTCAGGCGGGCACCAACTCAATATTTGTGGCAGGAACGGATCGACCCCACGTGACTTCATTCACACTGGCATCAAAGGTTCTACGGGGCGGGTAGATCTGATCATACTTCATATTTCATATTTCTCTCTAACCTAGGTCCATACTCTATATGACTATCCCACCGCCACTGCAATCTTCCTCCTTCATGCAAGTGGTTGGTCAAAGTATTTTGGTACGCGGCCCAGCGATTTCCCGCCACGGTGCTCTGGTCGCCATCCGAGGTGCTCATTCAAAGCTCTTCTTGTGTCGTTAAGAAGAAGGGAATCGCACCATCAAAGAGGTCGGGTATCATTGTACACACAAAAAGTAAAGCAAACCGCAACATAACGCTCATCGTCTTCCGGTCTGGCCTGACACACTCTCTGAAGCTTAGTTGACTTCCTGTCCTTCGAACGCAGGTAGCCTCTTAGCCACATCTTCCCATGTCTCCTCACCGTCGACAAGACTCTTAACTGCGGCAATGATTTCAGCTTCACTGGCGCGAACCTGCTTGGTAGAATCACGGTCACGTAGCGTGAGTGTGTTGTCCTTGACAGTTTGGAAATCAATGGTGATGCCGAAAGGTGTTCCGAGCTCATCATTTCGAGAGTATCGTTTTCCGATACTCGCGGAAGAATCATCCACCTTATTCGAGACACCAACGCGGCGAAGCCGGTTGGTCAGCTGTTTAGTGAATGGCTTGAAGTCGGCGTGGCTGGAAAGCGGGACCAGAAGAACCTTGGTGGGTGCCACTGCCGGTGGGAAGGAAAGAACACCGCGACTTCCATCGCCTTCGCGAATCCAGAAGACGTGTTCCATCATGCTGTATAGAATACGACCAATTCCGAAAGATGGCTCGATGACATTTGGTGTGTATTCTCTGATATGCTCAGTTCTCTTTCTCTTTTCGATCTTAATCAGATCCTTCTCGAGTTCGGTGATCCCACTGCCAACTCCGGGCGTGGGGACCTCGATCTTTCCAGACTTTTCCAACTCCAAAGAAAGCTTTTCTCGGAGGTCCTGGCTAAGTGCATCCACGGCTGACTCTACAGCTTTGGCGTCCTTACGAAACTTGGGTCCAAGCTTCTTTCGATCTAAGTCAACCTGGAACTCTTCGATGATGAGTGGTTCAGCTCTCGTTTCTCGAACAACCAATGGTGCACCGGTCTTTTCTTTATGAACGGTCAAGTCATAAGCACTTCGGTCAGCACAACCAACACATTCAATCCATCCGTAGGTGGTAAAGAGTTCCGCATCCCAGCAGTCGGCAGCATAGTGAGCCATCTCGTTCGCCATGTGCTGTCTGAACCGTAGCTTGGTCTTGTCCACACCTATCTTCAACAAGAAATCCTGAATTCTTGTGATGAAGTATCCAAGGGTCTCATTATCAACTAGTCCAGTGGCGACGGCGTCACCAATTGTCACCTCGTCGCATTTGGTGCTTCCTGCCAATTGTGTCTTTCTATTGAGTAAGGTGAGTTTCGTATCCTTGACCTCTGCAAATCGGGGATGCTTCTTTCCGCTTTCCGGGTCAACAAAGTGCTCGATTTCGGCCATGAGAAACTCCCGAACGCGAAGCAGTCCAGATCGGGGAGAGATCTCGTTACGGAAGGATTTCCCAATAGACGCGGAAGCAAATGGCATTGATTGCTGGTTGAACTCGAGCAACTTCTGGAAGTTCAAGAACTGTCCCTGAGCTGTCTCCGGGCGGAGGTAGCCATTGGGCTTATCAGCACTGGGGCCGATTTGTGTTTGAAACATGAGATTGAAAGCCTTTGGGGGATCAAGGTCTGCTCCGGTGCTTGGGCCTTTGATGTTGTATTTCTTGATCAGCTCTCCGAGCTCGTCCCCTCCGTAATTGTCAATCTTAGCCAGTGTCTCTTCGTATTCTTGGACCAGGGCATCGTCAAGTTTCTCGGCTTTGTGGGTAATCTTCTTCTTCTTTTTGGCTTCCTTGGCCTCATCAACGTCAACCTTGACTCCACGAGCATCCTTGTCGGCTTTCAATCTCGCCTCAAGAACCTGCTCAACGAGATGGTCTGCTCGGAAGATCTCTCCGCTCTTCGGGTCCTTGCACATCCAGTCGGCAAATTTGTCCACGTGTCCACTGGTTTTGAGGATAGCTTCTGGGGTCAGCATGGTGCAGTCGACCTCAAGCATATCCTCCTCGAGAACAAAGTGTTTCCTCCACATGTCGACAATGTTGGCTTGCAGTGCACATCCTGGAGGTCCGTAGTCGAACAGACCACGTTCTCCGCCGTAGATTTCGAAGGAGGGCGTATAGAAGAGTCTACGCCGTAGAATAGAGTCAATCGCGGCTCGATCTAGGGGTTGGCCAGTTTTGGTGGTACTGGTGGCCATGGCGAGATCGATGGGAATAGCTTGAAGTTTGAATAAGTGGTTTGTTGTCGTGAAGGATCTCGCACAGTGACCGAGGAAGCGCAGTGGGCCAAATGCTCTGACTCGAAAAGGTGATGTCCAAGCCCTCATGAACGGACGGGAGAGGATTTAAATGGCAGTGAGTGACTCAGCCAGAGCACTCAATGACTAAAGGGGAGGCGGGTGAGTTCTATTACAGTAGGAGGTCAGAGAAGGAGTGAGTTTCAATAGTCGAGAGCTGGGGACCCTGCGCAGTCATTTGCAGTCATAGCGAGTACCTAGAATAATTCTCCAGGGCCGTCGGCTAATGTGCGGAGAAATTCACCCGCGTGACCTTCCCTTCTCGGTTCTTAACTTTTTTTCTGAGACCGCCGTTGCACCACCAACCAGTATCTCCATTGACCAGCGACAACACCATTCTCTGCCGTATTGGTGCTCTCGTCCTTGAGGTTTCCTTTGCTATCCAGGGAAGGAAGTCACATTTCCCAAAATGCCGTCTCGTCCCCTCAAATTGTCGGACAAAGCCGCCCTGCCATTCAAGACTGCAAACAAGCAGCGCAGACAAGAACTCCATCTGAAGCAGAAGCGGGCACGAGATGCACTGAAACGAGCCGAGCGGTTCGGGCGCAAGAAGGAAGAGGCAAAGAACCCAAAATTAAAAGCAGAAAGGCTGCAGAGAAATGTCCCCGCCACGCTCGACCGGAAACGTGTTTACGATGAAGTCGAGCAAGAGCCTGAAGATGGTGGACTAGGCAAAGTGTATGATGTTGAAAGGCTGAAGAGGCGGAAGTTGGAAGAGGAGCAGGATCTCCTCGAAGACGATATCCAAGATGAGGAAGCAGGTGATAATGACGACGAAGACGACAAGGATTCTATGCTCGACTCCGACTCGGATGTACAGCACGAAGACGAAAAGGGCTCACTGTCCGACAGTGAGACAGAGACAGCCGAAGACCCTCTCCCATCCAAAGCACAACTGAAATCCAGCACAATGCGCTCCCAAAACCAACCACACAGATCCAGCTCACCCACGCGCTCTACAACCTCAACGAACCTCTCCCTCGCACCCGCTGCCCTGGCCGCGAAATTCCCAACACTGTTCCCCTCCACAGATGACGACGGCGGCGACACACCTGCACCACCAGAGCCCAAGATCCTCATAACCACCTCCATCAACTCAACCCTGCACTCCGAAGCCGCGATGCTGACCTCCCTCTTCCCGAACTCGAAATATATCCGCCGGTCGTCCCACCGGTACGGCTACAAATTCAGCGTGCGCGAGATCTCTCAGTTCGCCGCCAAACACGGCTACACCTCGGTCATCGTGCTTGAAGAATCCCAAAAGAAGCCCTCCGGCATGACGATCGTGCACCTGCCGGTGGGCCCGACCTTCCACTTCAGCATCTCGAACTGGTACACCAGCAAATCCATCCCGGGCCACGGGCGCGCGACAGGCCACATCCCAGAGCTGATCCTGAACAACTTCACCACGCCCTTGGGCCTGCTGACCGCGCACCTCTTCCGCTCGCTGTTCCCCGCCACTCCGGATCTGCAGGGCCGCCAGGTGCTGACCCTGCATAACCAGCGCGACTACATTTTCCTGCGGCGGCATCGCTATGTTTTTCGTGAGAAGCGTGAGACTGAGAAGGCCGTGGTCGGCGCGGATGGCAGGGAGATCCAGGGCGCTGTGAAGGGCATCCGCGCGGGCTTGCAGGAGCTGGGCCCCAGGTTGACGCTCAAGTTGCGCAGGGTCGATAAGGGCATCCAGCGCGCCAGCGGCCAAGATTGGGAGTGGAAGAGTCGCATGGAGATGGTGAGGACGAAGTTCCAGCTTTGAAACTCTTTTGCTGTTGTCTCTTGTACAGGCATGACTTTGGCGACAGATATGCTACGCTGTCTATGACTTTTCTACCCAAGCGTTAGCGATACGAGAGACAAACTTGTGATGACTTAGATACTGATGGTAAATGAAACAAGAATTGCAAGAAACCGCATCTACGTGTACTATGTGGCCGCATGAATCGGTTAGGAATGGACGCTTCCTTGGTAATCTCGCAAGAAAGAGGCTGGTCAATACGCTATCCATTTTTAAGTGTGGCTTGGGAAATTCATGCTCGTAGAAGTTCATCTTGCTAGCAAGAGAATTACGTAAGAAGAGAATTGGGCCAAGGACAAAGTGTGGTGGATCGAGTATATATATATCCACGTGTAGAGTAATACATAAGGGAGTCAGACAGTCAGTTATAAGGTCGGAAAGGCCTCATGTTCTGCTTCTGCTTCATAGATTCAAACGCTCACTCGCTCGCATTGCCTGACACAGCAACATTGACTGACTGACACAGCAAAAGCGTCCATGCAAAAAGGTCACGATAAAAAGCAACCTCCACACAAGAAAGCATCGGTGGCAGGCGACCAGCAATCGTCAACTCTATAACAACGCAAGGAAGATATGCCCAGTGCAAAGAAGTACTGTCACACGGTGGGTCAGCCAGTCTTCCTTGAGTTCACCTTCCACTACCCTTTTTCTTATTCCTCTCAACGACGCCCTCCAGCACTTCGAGCCTCTCGCGGGTAATCTTGATGGCATCCTCCATTTCACGCTGTGAAATGCGTTCCTCACGGACCTTGGCTTCGACGTCCTTCGCTCCACCACCGCCCTGGCTGAGTACTTTCTTGCGCTGTTTCTGTCTCTTCTGCTTCGACCCCTCTGCTGACGATGTCCCGTCATCTCTATTCCCCGTTCCAGCCGACGAGTATTTCGAGTGTTTGCGGGTTTGACTTTGTTCTCGGAAGAGTACCGTGTCAACGTTGGCACGCGCTTCTAGCCAGTCCCAGAATTCGTTTTCTTCTTTCGCCCATAGCGTGTCGTAAGCCACGAGGCGCTCGGATTCCGCGAGCGTGCTATAGCCTGGATATGGACCAAGTTTGATGCTTGAACTCCGTGGTGTTCTAAACCAAAGGAGCATGACCATGAAGGTCAAGAACACCAATAAGATTTCCATCTTGAGGACGGGTCGTAGAATATCAGTCGCTGGTTGGAATGGTCCCCTCAACGACTCAAAAAGACCCCAATCTTCGCTCTTTGTCATAGTTTCCTCAACCGTCGATTCCTTTTGTTTCTTCTCGCCCTTGCGTTTCTTTTTCGTGGCTTTGGATACTTTGCTGGCATTGGTGGTCCCCCTAGGTCTACCACTAACAGCTCCCTTCAGGACCTTTACCAATCCATCACCGTATTGCTGCTGTCCATCGTTTGCGCCCTTCTCAATGGGTCCCTTCAGCCACGACTTTGCTGTCCACTCAATGGCACAATTCATCTGCAGACGAGTGGCATTTCCAGGTGCCCACGAAAGACAATACCTAGTCTTGACGGAAAAAGCATTACCGCTAGGCACATCAGGTGTCTGTGTCGTACATGTGACGGTGACGGCTTTCTCAAGATCAAAGAAGTCCAGATTTTCTGTTGTGATGCACTTGGTCTGTCTCGGGCCGATGCTACCACCAAGTGGCTTGATATATGTGTACTGTCGGCTTTTGATTTCATTGTTGAGGCCCTTTTTGTCATCCTCTAGTACTAGTTCCGTGCATTTACAGTCGTCAGCTAGAAATTTCCGCACAAATATGCCAGACTCAGGACCATATAGAAGTGAGTATATCTTGCCAAGTGGTGCATGCAAGACTTCGTCTTTGATAATCTTATCATAGTGTGTGGAAGCGTCTGTACATTCGGTCGGTGGATGACTGCCTGGTCCGGGAAAACCATTGCCCGCAGCTTCGAGCATTCCTGCCTGAGTCGTTAACGTTGGGGGAACATCGTTGGCTGTTCCTGCAATGATACTAGCAGTCTGGGTAACTGCGGAGGCATTCATTCCAGCAGAAGGCTTTCGAGAGACGGTCTTGGTTTCTGCGAGGTCGCTAGCTGCGTTGCTCGCACTGCTCTCAACGAAGCTGGGTGCACTATCGTCATCCCCACTAGAGTTGGAATCATCCGTCGTGCTACCTTCGCTATGATGCACGATCAACCCGTTGTCTGGAGTCGACCCTGAGACGACGTCTGCTTCATTTGAAGCCAATTGCTTTCCATTCATGCTCTTCTGGAAACTTGCAGGATGACTAACCCTCCATATTCCAATGAGCAGCTCATATGTTTGTTCACGATAGAGCAGACTTCGAAAAGTATGCCGAGCATGTAGTGTTTGGATGGCAATCGCGTTTGGAAATACCATGGCCGTGCTTTCTCGTTCGATGCTAACGACTTCTTCAAATGAAATTACCACAGTAGTGACCCATCCTAGGATATTGCTGAAGAAGCAGATGTGACCCTCGGAAATATAAATTCTGCCAGCAAGGAGAATTTCCTTTTGCAAGGCACAACTATAGTCCTCAATGAGATAGTCATCCTCAGGTACACTTCGAAATTGCTGGTGAAAATTGCGGTTTCTTTGTTTTGGAGCGGTAGTGAAGCCAGTCAATCGAGGTCCTTTCGCAGGGTTAACAAGTGCAGCTGTGCTTGCTCCTATCATCGCACCAATTGCGGAATGACCTGTAGCGACAGAGGATCCACGCGACCTCCGCTTCCCAAGTTTACTCCTGACACTATTCGTTCGCTTGACTGAATGGATCTCACTTTCGTAGAGACTACCGTTGGGGGTTGTTTTTTCGCCATTAGCATTTGCGCTGATCATTTGCGCTTGCTTCATGCTACTCATAGGATCGGAGATTTCTGCGACAGGGGTGGTTCCTGTGGGTGTGCGCTCATATGCAGCTGACACTGCGCGCTTGGCCAGAAGATCCTCCATCTTTGCGGCGGCCTCATCGCGTTCCAGGATGGAATCTTTGCGTATTTCGGTCAAATCTGATTTGGCGCCAGGTGTCGCTGAATCTTCTGCATTCAGACCTAGATGTTCGAAATTCAGGTCACCGGAGCCCATGGTCTCAATGGCTAGCTGTTTGCGCGGTATTTCTGGTTCGGAGACCTCGTCTTCCTCCTTTATGGGTTCCTCAATAGTCTTTGGCTTGGTGGATGGATCTGATGCAGCAGTGCCTGCTCTGCTTCGATTTGGGCCAGTGAGATTGGTAATGGTCGATGCAGCATTCTGTGCTGCAGAGACCCAAGAAGAGAACAAGCCACCACTTGGAGCTCTGCTCCCAAAAGTGGCACCAGATACATTCCTACTGTCTTCTGTGGTGGGAGTCAAAGGAGCAGTCATTGAATTCGAAAGTTTGCTTGGTTGGTGAGAAATGGAAGAAGTAGAGCGAGTCTTGCGGTGGGATATCATGTTTCCTGATGGGCTAACCACGATACTGGAGTTTTCATCTTTTCCATTTGATGTTGGTTTCTCTGAATGCGGGGACCCCGTGACTTCAGCTCCATCGAAGCGGGTGTCAGTTGGAGTGGGGGGAGTGACAGTGGTCAAGGGAGTGCTGATTAGAGCTGATGGAGGTGTCAAAGGCCGATATTTGGTGTCGAGATTTGGCAATGAGTTGTTCTGTGCACGGTCAAGTATGGGAGGATGCTTGACGGGTCCAGTGGGAAGCTCTGGGGCAGGTACAGTTTCATCAGTGGCCAGGCTCTGGTTGCTGAGTGGGCTGGAATAGCCAGTGACCATGTCTGTCTGCCTCCTCTCTGGGCTGACTTTAGGGCTCTTGTTAGGTTTGCCAAAAACATCTCGAAACCTTCGACCAGGTGAAATACTTCGAAGCTTGCTCATGCTATCAGTCCGTGATTTAGGAGCAATGGTGTCTGTACGATCGAGCGCTCCCATAGTTGCTGCTCGATCTGGGAGTATACCGGGTATGGGACTGCCATCCTGAATGGCCGGACTTTTCGGAGACGGGGATCCTTGCCCTTCGTCAGGCTCCCTCACAGTGGGGATGTTATGAGCGTGGAAGAGTGGTAGCGGTGGTACTGGCGGCACCTCGCTCGCATCTTGCTCGGTTCGAGAAGTTGTATGCGAGACCAGAGGTGAAGACATAGTCAGATAAGCTGTATGAGAGTCTCTCGATACCAAGGGAGGAGTTTCGAGCTCGGAATCATCAGTGAGGAGGCCGTTGTCTGCATCAGGGAGACCAAGACTGCTTGCTCGTCTACTGAGAGCTGGGGCGGGACTTGGAGCTGCACTCAAGTCACCCGCTGTTCTTCCTCTCTCAAGGTCCTCTGCAGCGATCTTTAGTTCTTCCTCGTGGATTTTCCTTCTTCTTCTCTTGCTGTGCCCAGGCAGCAGTTTTCGAACTCCGCTCGAGCCGGACTTAGAACTCCCATCCTGGCTAGTGGATCGGGTACTATATCTTGTAGGGGACTTTTCTAGGGTGATGGAGTCGGTAGAGCCTTGTCGTAGATCCTTGAAGCTGGCATCTGAGGGGAGGTCGGAGGAACGTCTCTTGGAAAGGACCTTTTTCAAGCCCTTAAGCTGGGGTGAGGGTTCAGGCATGGTGGGGGCGACATTGGGAGAGGATCGAGTCGAGACCGCCGCCATCCAAGGCTGAGAGACGAAGGGGAGTGGATGATACGCTGGCCTAGCGAGATGGAAGAGAGATGGCAGGATGGAGTACCTTGCTTTGCCCTGCCAGAGCGAGTACCGGTGCTAACGGATGCGTTTGGATTGTTTGGTCGCGGTGGAGGCAGATATGCGAGTAGGCACAGGCCAATTGCAATTATGTGATGTCACACAGATGCGTTAACTGAGAGAGAAGCAGACACATACACCGAATGCAGTGAGGACAAAGAGAGTGGCATGTGGGACCATGCGCCCAGCTGGATAGATTACGAGTAGGCCATGGTTTGAAGATGGAAGATGAATTGAATTGAAGTGTCAACGAGTGAGGGAGTGTCAAGTAAGGAGTATGAGCACTATCGGCCTGCAGAATGTCAAGTCAGGTCATTTCGTCGGACACCCTTTTAGAGGCGGCGAAAGGAGAACGAGCGAGTCGGTTGAGCTTCATCTGCACACCCATCACCCGCCGTGTGTTAGACTCTTGATTAATACAAGGCCGATTGGAGCTAAACTGGTTGTCGATATTTTTGCGAACGAATCCGAACTGGAGAAAAAGACGGTGGCATATGGAGTCAGGTGGTTGAAGCAGCTCGTCGATTCGCCTGGTGCTTCTGGTGTGCGTCAGCCAGGCATCATTTGACCCTCCCAAACCACCTAGCGTCCCCGCCACAGTACGCGTGAAGAAGGACGGCCGAAAGGCTCTCTCGGCCATACTCGTGCCTATAAGAGCCCTGGAATGCCTCAGAAGTCCTGTTAAGACCCTCCCCTACCTCCGTTTAAGCCCCCGAGCGACTCCCCGTAAGGACTAGCAGCCTTCCCCCCTGCCTCCCCTACCACCTGCCCTCCTGTTGCCGAGGAGAGATCAGAGTGACAACCAGACCCACTCCAGACCAGGCTGCCACTTTTCTTCCCCCTCACCCTCTCGCACAGACCGACGAGGGATCTCTGGCCCCCAAATCCAACACCCCCGGGCTGTTTGGTCGCCGAGCGGGCGTCGCTTCCAGCGGCTGAAACCTCTAAACAGTTGCTGTTTTTGATTCCCAATTACGCCAAATACCGAGTACGTCAGGCCTCCCAAGCCCACTCCCCCCACTTGTTGCAGCCTCGTCGCAACCTCGCAACTCGCATTTCGCGAACAGCCACAGGTTGAGTACGCTCGGGATTCTATCCCGGACCTGCGCTTCCTCGTCCCACAATCGAGTACTCCATACCGAGTACCATCTCAAACAGACCACGGTATCCGCATCAAGCACACTGCCTGGGTTAAGTGGGTAGTACCATCCCTACGCATGCTACTAGGTACCGCGGGATGGTGATTGAACCTGGGATACGCTCAATATCTGGTTACCCAACACCACTGCCAAGATGGAAACTGCACCTCTGACTCTGGTAAGTAGCTGAGGACTGTGTCATCGCGACCTTACCGAATACTGATCTCTCTCTTTCTACTCAGGCGCAAACTCATGCTCGTAATGCTGCCCTCGAGAGTAAACGCTCCAATCCTGTCGCCGCCAGCGAAGAACATGATTTGGCTGCTGCCGAGTTCGCAACTGCAGCCCAAACCACCTCGGACTCCGAAGCCTTGCGCATTTTGCACTTGTTGGAACAACATCACAAGAAGCTCGGTCAATTGTTAAGAGAAAGTCATGAGAAACCACTCGAAGTTGACACCGCTCATTCGTCCTCCTCTGCTGCGGCCACGGTTCCCACGGCCACCTCGTCCCAAGCTCCCAATCGTGCATCTTCTCCAGAAGCCTCTCGGCCACCCCGACTACCTCAGTCGCTAAGATCAAATACCCACGATTTGTCCTCTTCGCTGGCCAGCAATCTAGCGTCTGCAAGAGGAATTCCAAGTATTCGGCAGAAAAGACCGACTCCAGTCTCGCCGCTTGTCTCAAATCAACATGCTGATGGTCAAATCTCTCAGGATGATGCCAGATCAAGGCCTGTATCAAGACAGGGCGCAGAAACAAACGAAAGCCTGTTGTCCATGTCGCGGCAGCCAAATGCGCGGCCCTCATGGGCGCCTCCTACTGCAGCTGCAGAAGGAGCCGACAAGGCCGACACTACCCAACCGACCGAGACATCATCTGACGCTCCGTTTCAACAGTTCTATGCCACTTTCGAGAGTCTCGTCTCGAAGCTCAGCGCTCCTCTCGCCTTTGCTGGCCTTCCACTTACAACTGGCGCCCCAGCAAAAGCGCAGGCACCGTTACCAACCCCATCCTCTCCCAAATCTCCCAAGGCCCCTGCCCGAGCGGCTCCCGCACCACCAGCTGTTGATTATTCACAGTTGATCTCCCGTGCTGCCTTGCGTGCTGTCTCCGGGAACCCTAACAATTCTCATAATCCGAGTGAATCATTCTACGTGGTGCCCACTACGGGTGGCACAATATCTTATGCGGAAATCATGAATCGTGCAGAGCGTGAAGAAATCCGCGGTTTACGGCACCTTCGACAAGCCTCCAACCTGACAAATATCTCGGAAGATGACTTTGTGGATGCGCAAAGCACTATACTACCAAATAACCGGACACGTGAGCAGAACAGCGACCGCCGTCCTGGTCGCTTTCGCCGAGGCGTACCTGATGAAGCCAAAGTTGGCGGCAAAACCATGGAGGAGTTGTCCTTGGAGAACCAAGCCCTCAAGCACCTATCTGACACCCTGTCAAGAAGGCTGCATGTGTTCGAGATGTCGGCACAAACATCTACTGCCGCCCTCACACAAAGCATTAGATCATTGCACATGTCACCGCTGACCACACCCATTCTTTCACCCGAGAACTCGCGTGGGAAGAACAGCGGAAGGCCGCTGGATACTGGTGGTGCAGATGAGGGCTTGCTACGGAGGATTGCTGAGCTCGAGGAGATTCTCCGCAGGAGCGATGCAAGGACCCGGAAGAAAGAGGATGAAAATGCCAAGCTCAGGGAGACAATTAGTAAGTACAAAGAAAAATGGGAGAGTCTCAAGGCGGGCGCAAAGGCCAGACGCGAGAGGGAGAGGAAGGGTGGAGGTGAGAAGGGAAGTGAGGCTGGTGAAGGCCCAAGTGCCAGGGGCCCCATGGACGACGGCAGTAAATAATCATGTTCTGGAGGAACAGGCTTGTTGGCTTGCTGGCTTGTTCATTGTTCATATGAGTAATCTACCCGCGCGTGCCCTTACTCAAAGGTAGTACAAGCTGTCCCAGCTCGCTTGCATCGCTTGAAATGAGGACATGATATTATTGCTTGGCTACTAGTCTCTGGTGTTCGCGGCTAGACTCTTTACCATGTCATCTAGTCTGTACTTGATCTGTACTTGACTGCACCCTAGGACCGAGGGGCCGAGGGGACCCTGCTCAACTGTCCCCAGGCAACAGTGTGTCTCGCGTCGTTAACAGCCTCACCACTTTGTGTCCTCACCATGCCAAGGCTATATCTTGGCATCTATGTCACGTGCTGATACCCTGCACGGGCCGCAGAAGGGCACCGCCCAATGACGTGTCGTGCACAAATCCCACAATCCAAGTTATGCTGGCAGGTTTGGAACGAAAGATTCGGGGACCGAGCAATTCCATCTCGTCCGATGTTGCCTATCCACGATCTCATCGTTTCTGCTCGTACTTTTTTTTCTTCATTGGTACAGTAAACGAGTGCGACCATCTTACTGTGCCACCCACGAATATTATCTCCGCTCATGGCTTCCTGGGAGGCCTCCGCCCGCACGTTGCTCAGTTTGGCGGCCTTGCATGTGTCGGACGCAATACTAATCAGTTATCCGACAGGCCGCAGGACTCGTCCGTAGCGTACGAGTACTCGTAGGCTCCATAACAGGAAAGGGAGATTGCCCTTTCCTCGCCTAGCTCGCTAGAATCCGGGGTAGTGAGAAATCCTCTTACGACCCGCAAAGAGACTAACAGGCGTTCATCTGAGTACGTCAGGCCATACCAAAGGAGCCTGGATCGAGCGACTCTCGATGGGTACTCAAGGCGAACGTGGAAATGCTGTGCATGGCGCCCACTGGCCGCTCAGCTCGTCCCGTGGGTCGTCATTCCCATGTGAATCCACGGGAGGGCTAAATCTGATTCAGTGCTTACTGACTCGTCCCCACATCCGAGTCCAACACTGGCAGCGGAACTGCACGCCCATCTCTCAAGGATTCTCTGGGGATGGTGCGAAGAATTGCAAATTCCAATGCATGGACCTGCTTCTAGTTGGTAGGAGTTAGTGTTAAAGGCGATGATGCGGCACACACGGGGATCAAACCATTTCCTTGATTCAACAGCACCTAGCTTTAGCTTCTCGTAAATTATACTACTGTAAACAACTACCCTCGGGACAGATAGCCTCATGTAGCCATGGTGGGGGATATCCGAGGTTAGCAACCCTGCCTTCTTACAATGAAACTCCCCTTCCCAATCCATGCTCTCTTACCCCTCGTGTTATAGATACCGCGTCTAGCCAAAAGTCGTCAGTCTGACCACCCTAGATCCAGCTGAACTAAACGATATCATCGTGCAGCCTGACACCGTAGGTTGCATCCCGAGGTGAGTTTTTGCCATGCTGAGGCCCTTGCTCTCCCAGCGGTGAAATTTCTATAATTCTCCTGCTAAGTACCAGGCAGTTCCTCCCTTTTCTTTTCTCTGTGTCTCTGTCTCCCATCACATTGTATACCTTTCTTGATTCGATAATTTCACGAGCAAACCTCCTCTTGCACTCGTAGACAAAGACTAAACATCATGGGTTCACTTGGAACGACAAAAGACTTTGACGTCTTCAATGGCTTCTACAACACCATCAACGGCAAGTTGACCACTACCGAGCAGACCAGACACGGCATCAACCCTGCGACAGGGAAGCCCAACCCAGAAGTTCCTGTTTCCACACCGAAGGATGTCGATGACTCAGTAGCTGCTGCCAAAGAAGCCTTCAAGTCGTGGTCTAAAGTCCCTCTGGCGGAGCGCAAGAAGGCTCTCCTCGCATTCGCCGATGGTCTTGAGAAGTACACTCAAGACTTCGGCAAGCTACTCACACAGGAGCAAGGGAAACCCGTAAGCGCACTCGGCCTGAATACATTGATCCATATGAACGTTATTGACACTTTCTTCGTTTAGAACCAATTTGCTGTCGGAGAAGTCCAAACTGGTGTGCACTGGATTCGCGAACTGGCCAAGATCGAGATCCAGGAAGAGGTTGTGGAGGAAGATGATGACAAGCAGGTTATTGTCCGATATACTCCTCTTGGTGTTGCCGTCGGTATCGTACCGTGGAACTTCCCAGTGCATCTTGCTTGCGGCAAAATTGCCCCTGCATTGCTTACCGGAAACACTATCATTATTAAGCCCTCTCCATTCACCCCTTACTGCGACCTAAAGCTCGGTGAACTCGCACAGCAGTACTTCCCTCCTGGCGTGGTTCAAGTGCTCAGTGGTGACGATAACCTTGGCCCATGGTTCACAGCTCACCCTGGCCCAGACAAGATCAGCTTCACTGGCTCGACTTTCACTGGCAAGAAGGTCATGGAGAGTGCCTCTAAGACCTTGAAGAGAGTCACTCTTGAACTGTAAGTACTCTGTTAGGGAGAGTATATATCACGTCGCTAAACCCTCCTCAGGGGTGGAAAAGATCCCGCCATTATCAGCAAGAATGTTGACATCGAAACTGTCGCAGCAAAGGTATGATCAACCCTTGGATACATTTCTCAGAGTACTGATTTACCGTAAGATCGCCACCCTTGCTTTCCTCAATTCTGGCCAGATCTGCTTGGCCATCAAGCGCATCTACGTCCACGAGTCGATCCATGACAAGTTCCGAGACGCAATGGTTGCTTTCACTAAGACTCTCAAGGTTGGTGAGGGTAACGAGGAGGGCGTTTTCCTGGGACCCATTCAGAACTCGATGCAATACGAGAAGGTGAAGACCTTCTTCTCGGATATCGAGAAGGAGAAGTGGACCGTTGCCGTTGGCGGCAAGAACGAAACCAAGCCAGGCTACTTCATCACCCCGACCATCATCGATAAGCCCGCTGATGACTCCCGAATTGCAACTGAGGAGCCTTTCGGACCTATCGTCCCTCTCATGACCTGGACTGACGAGAATGATGTCATCTCTCGCGCGAACAACACCCTCATGGGTCTCGGCGCCTCTGTCTGGTCGAACGATTTAGAGGAGGCCAATCGCATTGCTCGACAATTGGATGCCGGAAGCGTATGGGTTAACACCCATCTTGAACTCGATCCTAATGCTCCTTTTGGCGGTCACAAGAATAGCGGGATTGGCCATGAATGGAGCAGATCGGGCTTATTAAGCTTCTGCAATGCACAGACACTGTACTTGAAGAAACGAGCATGAAGAAACGATGATCTGATGAAGTCGTCCCGACCCAAAGTTTGGTAAAGCCTCGTCTGCGACGAGGCTGATACCACGTGATGAGGCCGAATGGATATACCGGCACGTGACCGAAGGTTTTCGCCTGTAAGGGATGTTTCTCAACTCGGTACATAGTCCTCGCCCTTTCGACTTTGGCGCAAGTCCACCTCTTCACTCTAGATTCGGTGTGAGGGCTTCATTGACTTTGTTTCAGTGGCTTGTCGAGCAAGTAACACAAGTGACCAGATTATATAAAAATCGAGGCCTACTGTGGCTGAATCACAACTCAGTATCCGTATAACACTTCGATAGTAGATGTGCAGAGCCTAATAGGAGAGTACAGTCATATTTGTCGAGGTAGAAAAATCAATTCAACCTCTCACCAGCTCGAGAGCGAGGCTGTAGGACACTGGGGGCTACAATATCAGCGAGTACTCCATACTCCGTTCTATGTAGCAAACTTGCCAAGCCTGGTGTGATTAGATCTAACCGCATGCGAAATATTGCGGGTAATCTTCAAGCATAAGGACAGAACAGCGACTTATTAAGGAGGATTGCAATCGTATGCTGGCCATGTCCAACTGTCTAACTCTAGATATATGATCTTCAACTGGCGACTGAGCGTTCGTCCAACCCTGGATGTTCGCTCTGTTCTCCGTCTTGACAAATGGCGTCTCCTACTCCGGCGCCGCAACCTGCACTTGCGACTAATGGCACCCCCGAAGTCCAACTCGATATAGCCAAGTTACATGCCTTGCCTACTGAGCAGCAGGACCTTTACCTACTCACATTCGTGTCGGAATTGCAAAAACATGTCGAACAACTATCCGCTGAAGCCCTCCCCGTACATCAAGCCTCAATCAAGAAAGAAATTATCAAGATCGTAGGCCTCGGTGCACCCGTGCCATCTAGGGCTGTCAGGAACACGCTGGGTAGCATATTAGCGGACTTATTTGGACGTGGAAGTCGAAGTCTGCTCTACGAGACTATCAATGAGTTGCTGGCAATACTCAATACAGGAAAACCAGATAAAGAACTGTCTCTCAAACATGCTGCGGTGGTCTGCCTCGGGGAGACATTCCGCGCTGCTGGGGACAGTGCTATCAGTCTTTCAGGGCTCGTCGTTTCGACACTTCTCAAGCTGGTGAAGACGTCACATACAGGACTCAGAGGGAGAGCTTTCAGAGCCATAAGCGGAGTTATCAAGGGTATCACCTCCAGTTTGGACGAGCACGTGGCCCGAGACATTTGGAAACAGGCTCGAAATGCCGCCGCCAATGAGAAGTCCTTCTTCGTCCAGAGGTGTGCTTGTGTCTGTCTTCGAGATCTATTGGGAGAGACGGCTTATTTCAACAATTCCAACGATTTCGACAACCTGAAAACAACCATCTGGAAGGCCTCAGATAGTGCTGCGGCTGTGAGGCATGCTGCTGCATTTGCATTAGCTGAAGCACTTAGACAGGCATACTCTGACAGTGGGGTTGCCAACGTTCCTGTCCTTCGAAAACCGAAGAAGTCCAAAAAGCCAGGTGCTGACTTGGACGAAGAGGTACAAAATGAAAGGCCAAGCTCACCAACTCCGGGTCTGGCGAAGTCTACTATTCGACTTGTCTTCTCACTGAGCGAAATAATGCGAGTTCTTTCGACCCAATACTGTAAAACCGCTACGACAAATCGAGCACGAGCGTGCATCGCTATGTGCTACAAATATCTTCTTCGATTGTTACCGCGGAAGATCTTGGAGGAAAATTATGGCTCTATGGCGGTCCGCATGTACGCTGACCTGCTGAGCCATCCGACAATTAATTTCAACCGATATCGCATGCTCCTAACCCGAAAGCTCGTTCACTCTATCTTATCAAATGTTACCGGACTTCTCACAGAGAATGCCCAGATTAATGCGGCACGGTTCCTGCTTAATGAGGTCCTGAAGAACTATCCCCAGGTAATGCCAGAACGGAGGGAACCATCAAAGCGAATTATTGCAGGCGCCTTAACAACATTGACAGACTTACTTGAACGTCTTGGCCCTGCAGCTAGCATATTTCAAGATTCTTGTCGAGAAGCTCTCTTTCAAGTCGTGCAGCATCCGAGCCATACGGTTCAAAGCCATGTCAGTCAGTGTTTCAGAGCCTTCGTTCTTGGATGTCCAAGTCAGCTTGTTCGGAACATCGAACACGCCCTCTATGAAGTTCAAAAGGAGTTCCAAGCTTCTGAAGGGAAGCAACCTCATAGAAAATCCTTAGGATACGCCTTAAGCATTGCAGTCATGACTAGCTCGGCCCGACAGCGACCTTTATACGGTTCAACTCGTATTTATTCCAACATCTTCACATTCGCCACTGATCTGTTGAAATCCAGCGCTGCGGCAGAACTGCGAACATCAGCAATTCAAGTTCAGGTGGCCTGGACACTCATTGGCGGTTTGATGAGCTTAGGACCAAGTTTTGTCAAAGTACACCAGAATCAGCTCATGCTGCTGTGGAGAAATGCCCTGCCGCCACCTTTAACTCACGAGAATGCAGCTAAGAGAGGCCATTTGGAATTGAGCTTTCTGTCGCATGTACGGGAGTGCGCATTGAGCGCTCTCCTAATGTTCCTCACTTCCTGTAGCAGCCTAGTGACTACAGATGGATCAAAGCGTGTATCGACCATGTTGCACAACACAATTCAATTTCTAGAGAGCTTGCCATCTGCCCGGGAAGCAGAAGACCTTTCACATCGGTTGGTTCCTGCACTGCAACTACAAGACCTTGCCATCATGCTTCGAAGGCGTGTTCTTCAATCCTTCACTGCTTTAATTGGGTTGAAGCATCTTGATCAAGGCGACGTTGTATCACAATCTGATTTGATTGGTCTGACAATGCGAACTTTCACAGATCCTGAACGACCCATTCTGAAGAATTTGGAAACTTCTCTTGCCAGCGCGGCGAGCAACTTCGAAGGGCTATGGTCTACAGGTGATAATTGGAGCTTTGGTGCCAGTAGCCTGGCCGAAAACTTTGATTCATATTTACATCTTCAAAATCGTTTGCAGACTGACGCCACTACATCTACTGAACAAGAGGTCGACTTTCCAGACAAAATTGTCAGCGCTTCAGGTCTACCAGCGATCGAGCATGATCCCATTCTTCTATGCCGACATGACGCTACATTGGATGAGGTAGAAATCAGTTCACCTGCAACTTCCTGTGTCAATCTCGCAATCAGGCTATTTGCCATTTCTTTGCCACTCCAATCACCTCGCATTCAAGAAAGTACAGTCGAACAACTCATTACCGCAGTGTCTCAACCTCTACAACGTGAACCAGGCAGGAAAGCTGCTATCCAGGTCAATTCGGCTTTGGCACTTCTCTGCGGGTTTGCAGTTGCAAATCACGAGACACCCTTTATGGCAGGCAAACTTAACGTGGTTGCAACTGGCGGGGTCATCCTTGAACTGTTAAGCAAATATGTTTGCAGTTCAGACTCTGTACTACGACATATTGCAGCTCGTGCTATCGGTCGCCTTTGCAATCTTGCAGGCACTCAATTCACGAATCAAGAGGTCAAAGTTCTCATCGATACAATAGTAGCCAATCGAGATCCAAGCGCTCGTGCTGGCTGTGCCCTCGCCCTAGGCTACATCCACTCCGAAGTCGGTGCAATGGCAGCCAGTCTACACATCAAATCGATTGTTGGCGTCCTCCTTTCCCTGTGCAGCGATGGCCACACCACGGTTCATTTCTGGGCACTGAAGGGGTTAGTTCAAGTCGCAGAATCCGCTGGCCTTGCCTTTTCAACATATGCCACGAATACGCTGGGCTTACTTGCCCAACTTTACAGCAATGACACACACAACGAGGAATCTGCATCTATTGCTACTTCAAATCTTGAGCAGGAGCTCTTCACTCCCTCGGCTCTGGCTGAATGTATCGATTCCATCATCAATGTTTTGGGACCTGACCTGCAAGATGTCTCGAAGGCCCGCAATCTGATTCTCATCTTGATTGGTTATCTACAGAAAGAGTCTTATGTCCAGCTTCGGGCTGCGAGCTATCAATGCCTCCGTCATTTATCATTGTACGCTCCTGCCCATGTCCAATTTTCGAAATATGTTCAGGATCTCCAAGTCAACCTTGCATCCGAGGAGGAATTACTGCAGTCGTCCGCGATTAAAGGCCTGGGGGAATTGATGAAACGAAACTCCTCCGAGGTCGCAAGGGTAGCAACATCCAAATTAAGTGACGAGTTGTGGACCCGATTGGATGAGTCGACAAATGATAAAGCTGTTCAAGCAATGCTACAGAATTGGATGCAACAAACAATCTTGACCAATACATCTGAATGGATTGAAAAGTGTCAGACCATTCTTTCTAGGACAAGGGCGAAGAATGAGGATCCGGCTAAAGCAGTTACAGCCACAACAAAGACAGCCATGCCAGATCTGGCCGATGATGAGGTTGCAGGATTTGCTACTGCAGTTCAAGGCGAAAGTACCGACCCTGCACCAGAAGGGCAAGAGTTCCTGCGATGGCAAACTCGAGATTTCGCCATGCGATTACTGAGTGAATCCATGAACATAATCCAGGCTGCTATGTTGCCAGAACAAGTCATCCATGCAGAAGAAGTCTTACAGAGCAAGGTGGCTGAGGTTATTCGAGTGGCTTTCTCGGCCTCCACAGCGAATGTTGTGGAACTTCGGATCTGGGGTCTTCGAATTATCGACCAAATTTTAAAACTGTTTGGGAAAACTCCAGATCCAGATTTCCTTGAAGCTTCCTTGCTTGAGCAATATCAAGCGCAAATCAGTTCGGCGCTGACGCCAGCCTTTGCTGCGGACTCGTCTCCTGAGCTTGCCGCCGAAGCCATCGGCGTGTGTGCAACGTTTGTTGCCACCGGTATAGTAACGAATGCGGATCGCATGGGACGCATATTCAAGGTGCTCTCCGTCGGAGTTGACAATCTTACACAAACCACTCCGGAACCATCAATTGGAGATCTGAAAGATTTGAGCCCCAACGCGCAGGCGATGTTGAAGATGAGCATCTTGTCGGGTTGGGCCAATTTGCAGTTAGCCAGTGGTGAACAGCCATACCTCGATGAGATCCTACAACCATTCATACCAAAATTGGCCCCACTCTGGCTTACTTCGCTTCAAGAATTCGCTGGCCTGAGATTTGAGCCTGAGATTTCTGATACCCTTGGAGGGGAGGTCGCTGGGGGTAACCTTGACGAGCGATATGCCTCATTCAATCGTGAGGTGAGGCTGAAGTTCTATCAACAGAATTGGCTCAGTATAGTGGATGCCATCGCTGTATTGGTCGAGAGAGATAGTGGTTCCGTCTTTGATGCGCTAGACAACAAACGCATCTCATCTCTTGATGGACGGGCAGATGCAGCCGCCAGCTCAGGCCGAGATATGAGTTTCAGAGAGGAGCCTGTGGCGTTCTTCTTTATTCTATTCGGCTTGGCCTTTGAAGCTCTGGTGACACAAGCGCGAGAAGACCCTTCACAAGCTTTGTCTATCTTACAGGCCTTGCGGAAAATTCTGACGCCTGCCGTCAGTGGACATGCCATTTATGAGGAGGCTGTCTTCAATGAGACAACCGACACACTCGACCGTCTTGCCTTAACAAGCACCCGAGAGACACAGAGTGTGCTAGTGGAAATTGCGCGAAACCTTTCCCTTGACCACCTGACAGCTAAGAGTCAAGACCGTGATGATAAACTGTCCGATGATATTGAGCAATTGTTCGAATTGACTCGCATCATCATCTTGGTATTGACAGGTCTCATCCCCACCCTCGAAGATCCTCCCGGCTCAGCAGCCCGTCGGCTTGGAGAAGATGGCCTGGCTCTTGTGGAGTTGTCATTCAAGGCTCTGGTGGATGTGGCAGAGGTATTCCCTGCTATCATTCGCGCAGACCTACACGCTTGCATCATTCACAGCTATTGCACCATCCTCGCCACTGGAATCTGTCAGGATGAAGTCGTGCCTCGCCTGATGCCAATCTTCAAATCCTTCCTGCAGGACATTGGCAAGTCTGATTCTGGAGAAGCCAGTTCTAGATTAATTCGAGGCTGCTTGCACCGGATGCTAACGACGCTCACTATTGCCCAGCGTCGTGAGAATGACCATGCGATCGTCTGCGCAAAGAATACCCTCCTGTCAATGACAATTCTGATCACAACCGCGAGCGCACTCATGCCGGCCAATGACGTCCTCATCCAGAGGTCAATCTCTGAACTCCTGGACTGCCTTCAAGACGTGGGGCTGGCGAAGATCGCCGCGGGCTGCATTCGATCGATGCTTGTCGCCAAACGGAAGAGCCCATGTGAAGAGCTCATCGCGCGAACACTTTGGATACAGCTGATCCCCTTCGTCAGCGACGGCGAGCGGGAAGATCCGGAGAACGTCAAGCCATCCCTCACTCAATCCCTCGTCGCCTCCGTGGCTGCCATCGAAAGATCGGGCCGTTTTGCCGCAACGTCGATCCTGGTGCCGGTCCTGCTCTTGCGCGCGTCTCAACCATCGTCAACGTCACAGGGTAACGTGGGTGCGAGCGGCAGTATAGAGAAGCCACGCAAAGAGAGCGCCGCGAGACTCCTCGAGCTCGTTGCTGCCGATCAGCTCGCGTTCAAGGTCACGGTGGGCCTGCTAAGTGAAGAGCAACGGTCCGAACTAGAAAGTCTCCTCCGCGAAGCAGGCATCGGGAAGCGTCAGAAGGCGGATAACGACAATGCCGATGATGCCAATTCCGACGCGAAGCCGGCTATTCAGCTTCGTATGGATTTCGACTGAGTCTTTTAGTGTTTTTGTGCCGAGGGCGGTCTGTATTATATGTGGTTCATATAGATGTGCTATATCTATGTCAAAGGTAGTGCATGTGTATGGAGATTGGAACTGAACCGGAAAGTGAGTACAGATAGACGATGAATACAAATATATACAGATCTATCCGCGTTAGGATCAACATTGAACAGATGACATGAAGAATACACCTCTATTTTGCGCTCCTGGGTGTCTAGTGTTGCACCAGGATGGTCAATCCCTGTACAGGATTTACCACCAACTGTTGAAGGCCGTTGGCATGAGGGCCAGTCTCACAAGGTGTCATGACGAAGGTAAGACCGCCACAGATGGGACGCATTGGTTGGTGGGATGGATGTTCTTGACGAGATGATCACTTCTGTCCAGGCGCAAATCAATGTCATTGTCGCCACCGTCAGTGATGACGATTGAAGGCCTGTTCCGCCCACCAGGTAGAATGACCGAGGTGGGGGGAGGCTGGAGCCAGGATTTCACCGGTCGGTAAAGGAAGTGAAGGTACCTGAAGCGTTTCTGATGTGCCTCGTCGTAGGTGTTGCCTCCACGAAAGATTTCTCTCGCCGTGGAACCGTGCTGTTGGAAGCTGTTGTGGCAGTGTCAAGTCGTCTTAGAAGTGGGCGAGACGTTGGGGAGCACGCTGAATCCGATAATTGAGAGAACCTTGTTGACACGACCTCAAGATCACGCCGTGACGCAACGCTGTCGCTCCTCGACCGTGGTGGATCAGAGAAGAGGCGTTGGCGAATTCTCTCGAGCGTCGAAATTGGTCCACTGTCTCGAGGAAAGCGGGATTCTTCAATTCTCTCTAGAATACTGAATCCACTGCTCCTTTGCACGTTTGAACGCTGCAGTATCTCGGTGATGAGCCTCTCTACTATCTATTGTTTTTATCATTGCACGGTTTAGAATTTAGAAAAATCCTCTTGTCATGAAGTCGCTAAAATGAGTGCGAAGATCCACTGCAAAAACATCACGGAAGCAACTTTGCCAATTGCAAGCGACCGAAGGTCTCGTGATAGCTTTGCACAGCATCATACGAACGATCCCAACCCAGTCCTCTTGCCTTAGATATATCAAGGTTTCTGTCAATCTCAGAGTAATATCCTCTGCATGATTATTAGTCAGTTGGAGGCGGCTGATTCAAGGACAAAGTACTGGCACTTACACAATGAGAGTGAAGAAATCCCAGGGTGCGTTAGCAACAGTGCCTTTCTTCAGGCTATGCTGCCTTTCCCATTGTTCCCACTGTGGTTTCAAATCCATCACCCACTTTTCGCCTTGTGGAAGGGCCGAATCCTCAACTGGATCAGTGCCGTGCAGGCCAAAGTAAGAACAGATGCCCGGCCAAGTGGACTGCCAAGTCACGCTGTCGTTGTCGGCGATATTGAAAGACTGTCCGGCTACCTTGTCACCTTGCATCGAGAGAAAGATTGTGAAGTCACCTAGGAGATCTTGCGCAGAGTCTGCATGCAGGGTCCGATACGAGGTAGGAGTGCCTGGGAAAGCGACTTCCTTTGAGCCCCCAAATGATTTCCACAGTGCTAGATATAGCCCGATTGGGTGTGCGATGGTCATTGGGTTGCCATTTGGCACAAATCCGATCTTTTTGAGAGGTTAGAATAACGTCTTTTCTTCGGCTTTAGCTCCGGGAAAGCTTCACTAACGATTGAGTCGGGGATAATATTGGCAAAATCCCAGCCCTTCCCCTGTGATAGATTCTGTAATAAACCTTCTTGGGGGTAATAGAAGCAATGATCTGCGTATGGTGATGGGATTCGAGGGTCGGTTCCTTTGAAAGGAGTTTTGGGTTTGAGGATGTGAGAGAATTCTGTCCCATACCACTATCATGCGTCTTGTGAGCTAAATTGCGGAAAATAGGTTGTATCGTAGCCCCAGGTACCTTTGCCCCCGATTGGAGCGTCCAGAAACGTAGCGCTGGTGATAGTGTCTCCACTGCTAGTACGGCATTGCGCAGAATTTCGACATTGATGCGCGTACGGGCATCGCTGTTGGTCTCACCAAATGCGCCATGAATGTACGCTTTGGGTGACCAAGGCTCAGCAAGCTTTGACGATGTAGCAGGAGTGAGGTGCCACTCACCAGTGAAGTAGACATGTGTCGTGTTTTCGATACCATTTATAGTCCTCAACACGTCCACGACGGCGCTAACACCCAAGCTGAGGTCGAGTCCAGATTTCAACTCCAGTCTGGGGTCTTCAGGCAGACTCGAGTCTTTGATGCTCAGGGTCCGGTTGGTGAGACCAATGACTTTGTCAAAGGCGAAGGGCGGCTTTGAAAGCACCGCCGCGCGTGTTACAGCCCACCCGGAGATCCCTGAGGCTCCAAATATAAGTGCCTGGTGGTACATTGCGAAGAGCGTGGCTATGTTGGGCTGTGATTGTTGTGGCCTGTACTTGTTCTATGGGATTCGATGTTCCTGAGAAGCAAAGCAAATTAATATCAACAGACGCTGGGTAAGCACTTGCTCCTGATCCAAGTGGCCCAGGACGTCTCTTGTCCGTGTTTTATTATCATAGGGCCTTATGCTGTTATAGGGATCTGCGGACAACCTGAGGCATATGTCATCGTCAATTGAGTCACGTAGTATATTTCGTGGGATCCGGAGAGCCCTCGACTTTTGCGTCGGCCTTTCGGTGTTGGTCATGTCTCACGACTGTTGAAGGTAAACTCAAAGACCGACACAACGATTTCTAGTCACCGCGACAGTGGAACTGGATCTCTAGTAGAACATGACCGAGGCAGTGCACAGGGGAAATGTGGCTTCCCATTGCTCCCGGGATCTCAACACAGGTATCGTCCCCCTTTGTCTTCAGGAGTGTAACAGAAATCCGGCATCACGTCGCATCATCACCCGTTCTCATGAACCCTTGCAGGACAACGAGACGAGTCTACTATGCACTGTCCTGGACTTTGGCCATAGCCACTCAATCTGGAGTCGGGGAAGCTTCAGAACTTCCAAAAAGCCGACCAGAAGTAACTCGTCGAGAGGCAATATGGTAAGGCTCGCGTTGTAATGCCCATATAACTCGGCGTAGCACTATCTGGTTCCAGTAGTCCCACAACATCCTTATCATAGACACAGTTGCGTGATCACTACAGCAGAATTACACTACCATAAACTTCGAGAAGGAAAATATACAACGTCCGAGACTCTCCTTATGAATTTCTTTAATATTATCTCTTCATCATAGTAGTGCTTTATATATCTAGGTTGATCTGGACCTACCTCCTAGCGCTTTCTAATATGTTACTTAAGATAGTTGACTTTCGATACATTTCTACCTATGACCTTAAGTTAGTCTTCTCGACCTCCGCGTAGTAAAAGCCCGCGTCAATACATCTGGACCACCGAGCGTCTGATCCAGTAGATGCGGGCAAGCTACACTTTATGAGCAAGTTTCGTAAGCACGCACCATCGTCGGAGATACACTCTGCGGCCAGTGTCTACTTCCTGTAGTTCGGCGAACCTATTTAATTGTATGCGACGAAGGATGACTCCGAGAGAGCAAAGCCCAAGTGGGTGAACAACAGGGTGGTAGATTACACTAAGCTACAAATGTTCGGTGTTTTTCGGGAGTTTGGGACAGGGCCAGTCCTACCATAAACGCGATCAACTTAGAAACCCCTCAAGTCGGATAACGTGGCCTGCGGTTGAAACCAACCCGCCAGCCGATCGTCGCCATCCTGGAGGCCATGCATGCATGATACGGCCGAAAATACATAGGCTAGTTAGCCAGACCTGAGGATGTCCAAACTGGTCGGTGTTTGCTAAACACTCACATCAGTCTCTCCGTCTTGACCATCTTCGCAACCCTGCACTGACAAGGTTAGCAATAACTCGCAGTGACTCTCTTGTGCGTTATTACTTCAAAGCAAGCCAGCTCGTGTCTTTGCTTTGTCGTTCCGCCAGTTGTCAAGTCCTTGCCCCATCATTGATATCCCGTTCGCACTTTTGTCCATCGTATCTTTCGAGCCTGTTCCCAAGAATCAAGCCAGGCCAGAATCTGAGAAAGGTCGTCGTGGAAAGTCCCGGAGAAGTTCCGTACAAGAGGAGAAGTTCAGATCTGGGTCGAGAGGAGACCTCATGTTAGCCATACATCGTCTCCACCACAGTTCACCAGCGAATCAACCCCTGATATCAGATAATGGATTGGGACAATAGCCTTGAGTCTGCACAGCCTTGATGGTATATCGTCCTCGTTTACTCGCCAGAGGGCATTCGATGTCCATGGTCAACTGTACCTTTGCCGGATACTAGTTAGATCCTGTATTCCACGGTGTCCCCCAATATACCAAGAAAATGCCACCTCACAAGATGTAGATCATCGAAAGGGACAAGCGTCTCGATCTGTTACTTCGACATTGACGGACCCAAGCGATGCGTATGCTTATATCATGAAGCGAATACGCTCCATTGATACAAATTTCCAAGGCCTGCCGCCTCCCCCAGATTCTCCACCTCCTTCGTGCTCATACAACCTTTCCGGTGGTGGAGACAGTGAGATGGACCCAGGATTCGGCGAATTCGGTGGGAAATCTCGGCCGAGCCCGGCAGCTGCTGAATCGACGGCACTTGTTTATGGCTTGACGTATGATTAGTGTGAAGCCCAAAGTGTTTGCGGTCGGATTCCGTATTGTAGAATTTCCATAAGTATTCGCGAAGCCTCAATCGGAGAATCATATATCTTTCCCCCCTCTGGGGTTATCGGACACTTTTAGTCGCCACCCTACGATTGTGAAATCACTCTCAGACATCATGTCGCCCACAACGATGACTAGGACGAAAAGTGCACTGACCATTTCCTCCGTTTGTCCGGTGCAGATGTCACAATATCCTAAGCTCGACGCCAAGCAAGCCGGACATTTGCGACATTTTCACAACCTAGTTGCACAACCTGATGGTGAGTGGCACCATTTCGGCTCATTGGAAGCTCAACAGGAATGGGACGATGCCTACCGCTATCAATTGGCGACAATGTCTTATGCCGTTGGGGCGGCGCACTATCACCGTTTACCAGCGATGAGAAACGTCTTCAAAGAACTCTTCCGACGCATCATACACAAGATGCTCCGTCGTGAGGTCTGGGGTTACTGGTTCACCACCAGTCATGGGGGGACGCTGCTTGATCCTGATTTGAAGGAGCTTCGAAAACCCTGGGCGGACCCTGTCATCAAGGAAAATATCATGTACAGCGGACATTTGTTGCTGATGACCAGTCTATACGCCATGCTGTTCGACGATGACGAGTTCGAGAAGGAAGGCAGTTTGAAGTTCTCGTGGAACCCTTTGTTCTGGGGCATGGGCAGGGAAGATTTTGTGTATGACAATCGAAGTTTACAGAATGTCATATTCAAACAGATGGAGGAGAATGACTGGGTAGGCGTCTGTTGCGAGCCCAATGCTGTGTTCGTGGTGTGTAATCAATTTCCGGTATGTAAGCGCTTGCATGGGCCCGAACCATGTGCGGAATGGCTGACTCGCAGCGTGCAGATTATCGCCATGAGATACAACGATGTTCGCGACCGTACAAACAACACCGAAGAGATGCTGAAGAAGTACAAAGCGTCACTGGTTCGAAAGGGGATGCTCAACGATTCCGGGCTGTATCCCAGCTTCTTTGCTCTCAAGCAGAAACGAGCGATGCCGGCCCGTCAAGGGGCGCACACGGCATGGGCCAATGCATTCATGAACAGCTGGAACTCCACGAAAGTTCACTCCCTCTACGACAGCCAAGTCATAGGATTCCTTACCGAAGTTGAGGGGAAAACAAGGCTCCAACCATCCAGTGTCGCCAGCGCATTCCGAAGACTTGTCGCAGAAGAAGACGCGAACCCCGCGAGCATGCATACGCTGCACAAGGCTCGCGAGCAAGCTCCACTTTTTGCCAACCCACTCTTTCCTTTCGAGACGATTAGCTGGGGCTGTTTTCTCATGATGCTTTCTGAATTGGGCAAGAAGAAACAACTTGCCGACCTGCTGGAGTATGCAGATTCGCACCTCAACCCAAGATGGGAGTGTGGCGGCTTGTACTACCCACGCAACGACCAGCTTTTAGATCACGAGTACAATATGATTCACATGGAGCCGCATTCTGGAAACTGTGGTATTGGATACGCGCGCTTGAACGTAGCGGACGGCCAGAAGAAGATGTGGGAGCAGCCCTGGACCAGAGAGACATTGGCGGGTAGACCCTGGGTCGACGGTCTTACTCTTGGTGATGGTGTGGACTTTCTGAGAGGAATCTGGGATCAAGAAAAGCGTGCAATGGTCATCACGCTGAAAAGTTGGTCGGGGGAGCGTCGACATCTCTGCTTCATGATCCGGAACCTTGAAGTCGGCACCTGGGCGACTTATGTTGATGGCCGGTTGAAGCAGACAACAGACTTGGTGGAAGACAGAGGCTTGGAGATCTCTGTGAGTATAGCCGATGCTGAGGTTGACATCGTGGTCACCGCTCCATAGTTTCTACGTTGTGTTTATATCCGTCTCGGTGGAATGCATGAGGTGATGGTGATATTGAGTTCCACATACATAAGCATATGCTTGGGGGTGTTCATGTCAATCCACATCTAGGTGCTGGCGGGGAATGACGAAAAGTCGTGTAGGAGCCACGTCCAGTCACACTGTATCGGCTAAGCGCCAGGGTGTCAGGTCTGCGGAAGAACCCTCAAGGACGACCGTCGGAGACGGTACATGTATATGTCATCAAGTTCAACGCACTCCGGAGCTCAGATAGATGAACATGAAGTCACCCTGGTCAGTGCGAGGATCCTTTGGACCAAGACGCGTATTATCTAATATCATCTAATTTGATGCCTGGGCTCAATCCCTTGTTACTGTAATGTAGCACGCCTTATCACTTAACTAACTTACTCGTAGCTTAGTCAGTTCGATGGATGGTTAGAGCTTAGCTAGCTTGAAGCTTGTCCGAGGCGAGGCGTGATTGCGCGGCAGGAGACGGTCGGGTTAGGGACGGTTCCCTGGGGTACAAATGGCAGCCTTAGGTCTCTAGGCACCCGTCTAGGCATGGGGTTAGGTACTCAGTACCTACAGCGGGGTCCAGGAGGTGTGCCGTAAGGGGCCATCAGTGGGGTAGGTGGTCGTCGCTGTCACCCGCTAAACCAAAGCCTAAGCTACGAATACAGCATGTGCCGCGTTATGGTTTGGAGAAGTGCAATGATCTGCTTACTCCTCGCCACTTTCGTCCTATCACAACCTCGCCGTTGCTTAATCATCACGACTCAGTCACCTCGCAGCCACCACGTCTGCTGGACCCGCCAACATAATCATAATCAGCACCCAAACTCCTCTTTCCCTCCGCTTGCTGTAATAGTAACTCCCGGCTGTCCTGGTCGTCTGGGCTGGGTCCCTTTTCTCGTACTCGCTTTCATTTCTCGATCCTCGATCCTCGATCCTCGGGTCTCTTCATCCTCATTGTCACTGGCATCAATCCTTGAGCTCGCTGTCGCCCTATTTCTCTGTCCATCATCTTCATCCTCGGTCAGCAACCCCACCCGACCAAGCGCTACCATGTCATAACTCGGACGCACGTCACCCGTCCACATACCAACGGTGATGGATGAAATCCTGGGCGACGATCTGCCCCTCGCGGCAAGCAGGCTGTTTGAGCGTCTGAATCAGATCCCAAACTACACATGGGACAAATCGGTAGATATAGATGCACCTTGGTGTTGGCCTTGCCCTGGCCCTGCAGCACGCTGACTCGATATTAGTTTGCGCCTTTCCATACCACATATGACCATTGGTGGGTTTTCCTATTCCCAGACTGCCCTATACAGACTGACTGACTGACCGGCGATCCTGATCAGGCATGTATATGGCATTCTTCACAACATAGATGTATTGAATCCTCGATCCTCACTCAGTACCCTCACCAGTTTCTCCCTCCCCTCCGGCTCCTCGAGGAGTTCCCCGAAACTCGATGCGCATCGTCCATCCCTCAGGCAGCATCATCACTGGAGCAGTATCAGCGGTGCCTCTACCGACAGCGAGAACTTGTCGTCCAAGGACGAGCCCGAACCAATATGGCAGCCAGTTGTCGCCCGCATCAGCACCCATGTCCTGCGTCTTGAACGAGAATTCCATTACAATCAAGAAATCATCAAAGAGGCTGATCCCGAGTGCCAACACACAATTCGACCGATTGAGATGTTCAGATTGCCCACCACTCCAGGCGATGCCAATTCCATGATTGTTTGTGTCTATGAGGCTCCTGGAAAGAACTATCTGCGTGAAGTTTTGGACTTTGGTCCGGCCTTCTACGGCCTCCAGGGTCGCGGTCTCAATGTGGATCGCGGCACGTCGGGCGAGAAAGTTCCCCTTCAGGCCTTTCTTGATTTCGCAATTGGATCCTCGGAGGTGTTGGAATTATTGCACCATGGTGCCAAGTTCGTTCATGGTGAAATTCGCGCTGATACCTTCCACTGGAATCGGGAGACAAATGTGGTCAAGCTCATGAATGGTGGAAACGGTCCTCGTGCTTACGAAAATCTGCTTTCGAGCGAAGGCTGGGCTACAATGAGTCGCCAGCTAGGAGTCAAGAACAAGCTGCAATTTATCGCCCCAGAGCAGACAGGCAGACTACCGGCGGAGCCAGATAGCAGAACCGACATCTACAGTCTCGGTGTGCTATTCTGGACACTACTGACCGGTCAACCCGCTTTCGATGCAGACACACCCATTGATATTGTTCAAAGGGTTCTAACTCATCGCTTGTCAATGGTGACTGCTATTCGGATGGATGTTCCCGACGTCATCTCTCATATCATCACCAAAATGACTCAGAAGCAGATGGACGAACGTTACCATTCAGTTAGCGGCTTGAAATATGATCTCTTGCAGATACAAAGGATGTTAGGCGAGGGCGACCAAGATAAGATACGGCAGTATAAGGTCGGCCTACGCGACGTCTCGTCATTCTTCATCCTGCCCTCCAAGCAGTTCGGTCGACACAATGAGACCGAACGCATAACGAAAATCATCGAAAAGGTCCATAAACGCCAACGTTCCGCCAATCGACATTTGTCAACTCAGCAGCCTCTTCATAGTGCAGCCTCCAATTCCTCCATCTCAGACAGTCGCGCGGACGGCCTCGACGAAAGGGAAGGCTCCGAGTCGTCTGGCTCCTTTGGCTACAGAGAGTCGCGAAGCAATTCCACCACCATCGGTCTTGATGGAGCGGTATTTAATTCAAACTTCAGTACCAAAAGCGGTATACTCTCCAAACGGGGCAGAGGCACGCCATTGGATGTCTTATCAGATCGTGATAGCAATTTGTCCGGCGGCTTGCAAGCTTCTCCTGATACTCTTGGCATGATGACCAGGCGCAGAAATAGCCATAAATACAAGCGCAAGAACAGGACAGAGGTTGTGACCATTCTGGGTCCATCAGGTGTTGGGAAGACAACTTTGCTCAAAGCTGTACAGCCGGCCATTCGTCGTCATGGGTACTTTGCCCTGGCTAGATTTGACCGTGCACGCCCATCGCCTTTCGAGCCCTTAATCAAAGCTATGGCAAGCCTCTTCCGACAAATCTTCTCCGAGAAGGACGTGAATACGCCATACCATGAGCATCTTCGAGCACACGTCACTCCATTCTGGCCGATTCTGCACTCCATGCTAGATTTACCGGCCACTCTACTCGATGTGACGGTATTGTCGAAGAAGCTTCTCACCAAGACGGACACTGCAACCCAAAGCATCAACACTGAGGTTCCCACCGTTGATAGTGTATCGAGGACGAATTCAATCTCACTTTCACACAACAGCTGGGATGCCAATGACTTTCTCAGAGGGCCAGCTAGTACCAAATCTATTCGATTGATCAATACCTACATGGACGTCCTTCGCACCATTTGCACCGGTAAACTCATCTGTCTGTGCTTGGATGACTTGCAAGCTGCCGATTCTGAATCAATCGATTTGCTCTGTCATGTCATCAAGGCGAAGGTGCCGGTGGTTTTGTTGCTCTCTAGCAGAACTGAAAATGGACAGGCTCACGAGCACACAACAAAAATCTTAGACTTGGATTCTCTCAACAAGATAGAGCTCGGGAATTTGCGCGAGAAACACGTTTTCGATTATGTGGCAACCACCATGTCCCAGTCTGTGGAGACGATTATTCCTCTAGGAGCAGTTGTGTACGCCAAATCTGAAGGAAACCCCTTCCTGGTCAAGGATATCCTTCAGACTTGCTACGAGCGGAACTGTCTTTGGTATGACTGGAGAGCTTCGGGCTGGCAGTTTGATCTAGACAAGGTTTTCGACGAGTTCAGCTCGCGCGGTTGTCTCGAAGTTGGTTATCTGACTCGACGCCTGGAAGAGCTTCCACCGGCCTCAAGATCGATCTTGGCTTGGGCCTCGCTCATTGGGACGACCTTCTCGTTCAAGCTAATTTCGGCCATTATGGCAGGTGACTTCTTCTACAGTAGCGGAAGCGATCAAACGAATGATGCAACTTGCCCGAAGCGTGTGAAACTTTTCAACCTATCAGAAACAGATATCGTCAATGGGCTACAGCAACTTGTCAACTTGTACATAATACAGCCCGGAGAGACCGACGATGAGTTTCGATTCACACATGCTCGCTCCTTAAACGCCTCGAATGAGTTGCGCGAATGCCAGAATGTGTCTAAGATGCACTTCATCATTGCTCAGACAATGATGACTTATCTGAGTCAGTGCAAGTTCAATTTGTATCCTCTCGCAAGACATATCTGTCTGGCATCGGATATTGTGAAAGAGAGATGTCCCACAAGGATACGGCATCGAGATGTTCTCTGGCGAGGGGCTCAGAAAGCAAATGAACAAGGTGCCAAAGAAACAGCACTCTCCTATTATCAGACCGCAGTGCACTTACTCCAGGATGATAAATGGAACACCGACAACCCGGATGTCTTTTATGACGAAACACTACAACTTCACGTTAACTGCGCAGAAGTCATGTATCAACAGGGTCAAGGGGATGAGGCTTTGAAGCTTTTGGAGGAAACCTTCGACCATGCGCGTTGTTCAGCAGATAAAACCAGGTCCTACATCTTGAAGGGCAGAATTCTGGCTTTCCAGGGTAAATTCCTCGATGCATTTCAGTCTCAGAGGGACTGTCTGGCAGAGCTTGGTCATCCTATGCCAGACATGACCTGGGATGAGTGCGACATTGAGTTCAAGAAATTGGAATTCCGCCTCCGTGAGATTAATAAGGAAGAACTTGTTGCACGGCCGCTTAGTGAAGACAAGACAACAATTGCCCTGGGCACTGTCTTGAGCGAAGCTTTGGGCGCTTTGTACTGGTCGAATGCCCAGCTCTGGTACCAATGGGTCATTGGTAATGTCAACGCTATCCTAAATTGTGGGAATTTCGTCCAAGCAGGTCTGGGTTTCACGATGCTCGGAGCTGCGGCCATTGGTCGTTTCAAAGACATTGAGCTTGGACTCGCCTATGGTGAGATTGCACAGGATTTCTTCACGCTCTATGACGACTCGTGGACTCGTGGACGGGGCTGGACACTGTTCACATTATTCATTGGTCATTTTCAAACCCCAGTCCGGAACCTGCTACCCATCCTTGACAACGCCTTGGAATATTCCCTTTCCTCAGGCGACAAATTCGTTAGCATTCTCAACATCGGGTCAATGGCGCTGTCCAGATTCTGGGCTGGACAAGACCTTGCAGAAGTTGAAGCATTCTGTAATTACGGCCCTGAAGAATTTGAGGACTGGCTCAATGACCGTCGCGGCGGTACCCTCCTTATTGCCACGAGACAAGTTGCTCGAGCTTTGCAAGGGAAGACCATTGCACAAGACGCCAACACACTTCTCGATGACCACGAATTCAACACAGCGACATGGATGTCCGAGTGTCACAGGTATGCCGCCAATGCCGAGCGTCCCAAAGATATATGGCACGCCCTCTCTCTTACAGCGTATTATCTGATGGGCTACCCAGAGTACGTGGTTGAGAAGGGGCGGCACCTTGTCGCGGGCTCTCTAGATGACCTTTGGTCTAACAGACCTGGATGTGGTGCTCGCTTCTACCTAGGCATGGCACTTGTGGCTGTTGCAAAGGAAAAGCCTGAAGAAGAGCGTACCCCTTATGTCGAAGACGCAAGAACCATGAAGAGGTTCATCGACGAATGGGGTAAGGTGAACGATGTAAACTATCTAGCCTGGTCTCATATACTTGAGGCTGCCATTTCTGATGTCACGAATGTATACTACGGTGTGGTTTCCAATCTGGAAATCGCGATCGATCATTGTCAGATCCATGGGTTTGCCCTTGAAGAGGCTTTAGCAGTCGAGCTTCAGGCTGAATTCCTCCTCGCTCGTGGTGCCAAAAGAGCTGGAAAAGTCATGGTTCAAGAAGCAATCGCCGCATGGAATAGAATTAATGCTGGCGGCAAAGCTAGACAATTGGCAGAGAAACATGAGTGGTTGATCAAGACGGCAACCACCTCGAGGACGATGGATGCCACAACCCAGACTCAAGATTTACATGCGCTAACGGCAAGTGAAGAAGAGGCGCAAATCCAAAACAAACGCGATTACACCAATGCCTGGGTTCAGCCAAAAGCTGCGGTTCAAGTACAACTACCACAGGACGTACCAGGCATGGGGCTTGACATCCTCGATCTTACATCGATTCTGGAATTTTCACGCGTCATCAGTTCGGAACTCCAGATCAATAATTTGCTGTCAAAGATGATCTCGGTCATTCTTGAATCAGTTGGCGGGCAAGCGGAATTTTGTGCTATTGTCATCGATTCGGAAGACCAGGGGTGGTGTGTGGCTGCAAGTGCAGATCATGAAACTGGCGTCAAGACCTACCCAGATGGTATTCCGTTCTCCGAGGTCGACGATCAAGCTGCGCAGCAGATCACACATTACCTTCTCCGGACCAAAGAGACTGTTTTTGTGCAAAATGTCTTAGAGGATGACCGGTTCTCCAATGTCGGCGATGCCTATCTGGCCAGGAATCCAGCAGGCCGTTCTATTATTGCTATTCCCATTATTCAAGCTGATCACTTGATGGGAGTCATCCATTTAGAGGGACGACCGAATTGCTTCACGCAGCGCAATATGATTGTCCTTAACCTTCTCACCAACCAAGTTGCCATTTCTCTGGGTAATGCACTTTTGTACAGGAAGGTTCGCAAGGTGAGCGCATCGAACGCAAGTATGATTGAATCACAAAAACGTGCTCTTGCTGCTGCCCGTGAGGCAGAAGCAAAGGCGAAGAAGGCCGAGGCAGAAGCTATGCATAATGTCAAATTGAAGGAAGAAGCAGCGAGAGCGAAATCAATCTTCCTCGCCAACGTCAGTCACGAACTTCGAACTCCGTTGAACGGTGTCATTGGCATGTCAGAGCTTCTCAAGGGCACTCCTCTCAGCAAAGATCAGGAACAATATGCAGACAGCATCCGAGTGTGTGCCGACACCTTATTGACAGTTATCAATGATATTCTCGACTTCTCCAAGCTAGAAGCTGGCAAGATGCAAATGTTTACGGTACCTCTCAGCCTAAAGGAAACCATTACCGAGGTTGTCCGTGCATTGGCATACACCAATCAAGAACACGGTCTTCAAACTATCGAAGATCTTGCTATTGAGGACAGTCTCGTCCTTGGTGATCCAGTACGGCTTCATCAGATTTTCATGAACTTATTGAGCAACGCCTACAAGTTTACACCCAAGGGCTCTGTAACGGTCCGGGCAAGGAAAAACGCCGAAACTAGGGACAAGGTCAAAATCACTTGCTCTGTGTGTGATACAGGCATTGGTATAACACAAGAGCAGCTGTCTAGGTTGTTTCAACCCTTCTCCCAGGCGGATTCGTCTACGGCTCGTTCGTATGGAGGAAGCGGTCTTGGTCTCAGCATTTGCAAAGCAATGATTGAGAACGTTCTTGGTGGCAAGATTTGGATAGAGTCCACACCTGGAGTGGGAACAACTGTTTCGTTTATACTCACGTTCCAGAAAGCACCCAAGAATAGCAGCAAGTACGAGGATATGAAGATTGTTGCCAAAGACCCAGATCCAATGGCGAATTGGTCTCAGGCGGCGAGCCCCGAAACCGAACCGAAGAACTTTAGCTTCTGCGATCTGAGCAAAATTCCCAAAGAGGAGTTACGAGTGTGCATTGCCGAAGACAATCATATCAATCGGAAGATTGCCATCTCGTTTGTCAATAGGATTGGGCTCAAGTGTGAAGCTTATGAAGATGGACAGCAAGCTTATGATGCACTTCGAGCCAAAAGCAAGGAAGGCAAACCATTCCATCTTGTTCTGATGGATGTTCAGATGCCTGTGCTCGACGGGTACGAGGCGACCAAGGCTATCAGAGCGGATCCTGATCCCAATGTAAGTAAGGTTTTGGTCATTGCCATGACAGCTTCAGCAATCCGGGGAGATAGGGAGAAATGTCTTGAAGCAGGGATGAATGATTACTTGGCCAAACCAGTACGCCAAAATGTGCTCAAAGCCATGTTGGATGAGTATTTGAACAACACCAAGGAAGCTATCCGGACGGCCGAGAAAGGTGTTGAGACTGTCACAACTCCAGGTGACAAAGCTAACGGGTTGTCGGAGAAAAAGGTTCACAGTCCAACGGAACAGCAGGCAAACGGGGCTGCATTGCCCAAACCTGAAGAAAAGCCAAAAGTGAGGCGCCCATTTAAAAGGGTGATGAAAAGAGTCGATTCGAATCCAACAGAAACAAGCCAAAGGCTAGGGCGGACAAGTAGTCCGCCTAGTGGAAAGCGGGAGATAGACGAACTAGGAAAGATCAGCATGGAGCATGTGTCCCCGAAACCAACGGACGATGCGGGGTTACCTGTCATGAATGGTCATGTCAATGGTCATGCGAAGGGAGTGGTGCAAACACCTGATGAAAGTAAAGTCGAAGGTCTACCTAAAGCTCATGCTCAAGCGCAAGCAAATGGGGACAAGACAAGTGGTGATTGACCATGAGGACTAGAAGAAGGAATGCCAGCGGCCTTGATTAAAGCTCGTGAAGCCGGGTAGCAGTCCGAATCCATCACGACTTGATGAAATCAGATATAATGAATGGCGTTTCGGGACATTTTTTGTCTCTCCCTCAATTGGACTGATTATGGACAGTGCCGGGGTATTACTACAGTACAAGGCAGGCAAGGAAAACGTTCAGGCTGCAAGTCTCAAACGGGATTGATACAACCCTCATTCGATGTGAAGCTTTCTCCATCCCTGCGAGATTACCAGCTTGAAGAGATCAAAAGGAAAAGAGAAATTGGTTGCGCAGGGAGTCTGAACTTGCTTGCTAGCGCGGTGTCCTTAGCGGTGGGTAGACAGCAAACTATTCGAAATATCATGTATGTATAAAGATGCATGAGCAAATTATGGTTATTCCAAGAATTATGATTGAGAAGCGAGAAACAAATGGATCCGCGCGAAAATGTAAAGCCATTTGCTTCATGGGCCGCTCGACGAAGTGAGTGAAGTGAGACAGGAATCAATCTCCTTGAACCCCGACTGCGGCCGAGCGACTCAGAGTCACGCAGTGGAGATAGAGTTAAGGAGTAGAACTCGTCGAAAGCAGTAGCTTAGCTGGAAATACGGAATTGTAGTAGCGAGAAACAAACGGATCCGTGCAAAGAGTGTAAAGCTGTTCCAACGCTAAGCCATGGACTATTCAACGAAGCGAGTCAAAAGGAGACTGAGATATCTTGAGGAGGGGACATGTACAAGCAACTCATGTAATGGGGTAAGTCAAGGAGAAGGACTTCGTCCTCCGTACATACGGAACTCCATACTCCTGTGCGTCTAGGTCTCTAGCAAGACTCCTTAATTGCATGTCTCTCGTCTCTATATCGACTAATGCCAAATCAGGCATAGCCGTAGTTGGAAGAGCGGGAAGACCCACAACTTTAAATGGGTGGCGTCAAGCATTTTCCAAACCGCAAAGTGCCAAGCCGCAAGGTAGCCAATCAGAGCGATATCCTTGGAAGCGTTCGACCTCATTTTGTAACTCATCCAATCTTCCCCTGCAAGCGCCCAGGAGCTACCACTTCGCTTCTTGCATGCTTGAATTCAGCGTTCCTCCCCAATCGACTTACCGAGGAGGTCGGCCTGGGGGTGAACACAGCCTCGATAGTGGACTTCAACGGGACGAGGAGGTTAACCAGTGCACGTTGGCTAGCCGCGTTCCCCGCCCCGAGCTTTGGTCGGTTGTCCCAGTCCTAGACAAAAACACCTCCTGATTTGTTTCAAAACACTCGATTTTCTGCTCTTATGGGTTATGACCCATGCCGCTTAACCTGATCAGACGGCCTTGCCCGTGCGTTTGCGGGTCATGATTGGCTTTCTCAGGCTAGAAGCGGAGGTGGCTCTGCGGCTCTTCTCTTCAGCCTTTGCTGCAGCTGGCACTCGAGCATTCTAACTGGTTAGCCTTGTTCGCTACAGACAACCGACGACCATATCCGCTGGAAATGCATCCTGAAAAGACTTCATCCACACCCACCTCGAAACGTTTTGTGCGCGTCGCGCGCGCCATCGTTGGGTCATTGCTTTACTTCAGAATGTCTTGAATTGGTGCACCCGCTATCAATAGTGACATGCTGGTTACATTACCTGTCAATTGACGGTGGATTTGGCTTGTGTGAGTGGAGTACGCTTTTTTGCGAGCGGAACTCCTTCGGGCCTACCATCCAGCGACGCTCTATAGACGAGCGCGAAATGGTTACTGATGGTGTTTTCATACAAATGGAGGCATATCTCGCCTTCGACAAGGACAGGTCTTCCTTCTCCTCTCCTCATCCTCCATCTCTCTGGGTCTTTTCAGTCCTAGCACTCTCTTTTCCCTTTTTTTGTCGCTCCAGTCTTTCGCTATCTGCACATACACACTCTCGTTACGCCTCTAGAAGGTGCCCAACGATCGTTAACTGCTTAGTTCAGTTTTGTTATACTTACTTCTTGCACATATCTTACATCAACTACATCAGACTCCTCCCATACACTGGTGATTTCGACAATCACCATGAAGCCCGCATTGACTGCAGGGCTTATGGCCTCTGCCTTGTTTGTGCAGCAGGCTGCAACGACAAGCTGGGGTGACCAGCCGAGCTTCTCGAACCCCGTCAATACCAACAACAACTGCACGGTGGATCAGGGCAACGGCTTCGATTGGTCCAAGCTACCAACCGGGGGGTTCAACAGCTACGACGGTTTCAACTTCGGTGGCTTTGATTGCAAGGATTCTTTCCAGCCCAAGAATCGAAAGAGGACCTTGGAGACTCGAGCCAACTTCCAGTCGAAATGTATCCAAGGCACGCTTCCCAAAGGTGGCAGCAGCGGCCCGAAGATCTCGTCAGGACAGGGCGACAAGTTTTCCATCACCCATTTCGACGTCTCGGTCGGGTTTGATACCGATATCGACTTCATCTTCTCCATGCCCGATGGCTCCAAGTGCAAGCATACGTCCGCCTGCAAGGCTGGAGGTTCCACCGTGCAAAACTCTCAGTGCGGCGGCGCTCATGAAGTCACATTCCAGCTTCCACCGAAGGGTGGCAAGGACTGTGATTTTGGTATTCACTCAATTGGCTTTGAGTGCCATTCGACTTCGAAAACCACCACCACCACCAAGGCTACGAGTACCACGAGGGCATTGACTACTACATCCAACGTTGTGACAACTACCAAGACATCGCCGCCAAGCACCACAACAACGACTAAGGGCGGAGATGTTCCCCCTCCGCCGCCACCGGTTACTACTACCACTAAAGGGGGAGAACTGCCACCCCCTCCACCAGTCACGACTACCACGACTAAGGGCGGAGATCTACCTCCGCCTCCACCAGTGACAACAACGACAACCAAAGGAGGTGACCTACCACCCCCGCCTCCGGTGACAACAACGACAACCAAAGGAGGTGACCTACCACCCCCGCCTCCGGTGACAACGACGACAACCAAAGGAGGTGACCTACCACCTCCGCCTCCGGTGACAACAACGACAACCAAAGGAGGTGACCTACCACCCCCGCCTCCACCAGTGACGACAACAACTTCTCAGGGGGGTGATGTTCCTCCACCACCAGTGACCACTACGACCACCAAAGGAGGAGATCTGCCCCCACCCCCTCCACCAGTGACGACCACTACCAAGGGCGGAGATCTGCCTCCTCCACCTCCGCCGCCCGTCACCACTACAACAACCAAACCTAATGAACAGCCTCCTCCATTCACCTCAATCTCAACGACTACGACATCCACACCACCAGCACCTCCCCCGACCACGCTCACCTCATTCACTCTGCCTCCAGTGACCAGCTCAACCCTCAGCACGACCAGCAGCGGCGCTCCCCCACCACCACCACCACCACCACCACCACCAACAGGGGGCAACGACTCACCCTGCCCGCCGGTCCTCCCCCGCTGCCTGAACACATGGCTCAGCCTGGTATCCTCGTGCCGCTCCAATAGCGACCACGCATGCTTCTGCCCGTCCGCAGACTTCATCTCGAACGTGCAAGCCTGCGTGTCCGCATGGGGCACCTCCGACACCGAGATCACCGGGGCGCTGTCGTACCTAGCTGGAATCTGCGCCGACTTCGTTCCGCAGAATCCCGGCATCTGCACCGGTGTGCCCAGCACCATCACGCTCGTGCCAGTGCCGCAGACCATTACTGAGACGGCGACGAATGGCAATGGAAGAGGGACCAGGCCACCTGTTGGACCGCCAGCTGGTGGTTTCACCATCCCTGTCACCACTGTGACGCTTGTACAGACCAGGCAGGGTGAGACGATCACCACCGCCTACACCGTCCCCCAGGTCGAGTTTGTGACTACGCAGGGCACCGGCACCGCAACTGCCGCTGGTGTTGGTCTGGTCCCTGCTGTGCCTGCTTTGGCTACCAGCACGGGTGTCAGCTCTGGATCTGGATCTGGATCTGGGTCAGGAAGTGGAAGCGGTGCAGGTGCAGGTGCAGGTGCAGGTGCAGGTGCGCCCGCCCCAGCGGCCACTACAAATGCAGCTGCCGCCGGCAACACTGCAACTGACACGCGACCAGCGGCAGCGACCTTCACCGGCGCCGCGTCCAGACAGAGCTTCGGCTTCGGCGCGCTCGCCGCAGTGCTTGCCGTCGTCGCGTTTGTGTTCTAATCATTGGAAACAGGGAGATGCATTTGACAATACATATTATCATGGTCATATTAAAAGAAAAACAACCACGCAGTATCTTTGATCGAGATGGGCGGGGCACATTGGGTTGGGCTTTTATTGGGGATTTGTCTTTTGGGAAGGCGGCGGGTTTCTACGTCGACACCTAAAGTTAGTGCGTAATTTTTAGTCACCGCCCTAATTTGGGCATTATCACAGGGCTGGGTTTTGATATACACCAAATGGAGATCGAGAAGAGAAGATGGATGGGGGGGACATGAAAGATGCAGCAATGTATGTATGTCTGTATGCAGTTGCCGTTGCAGGGTTAGATAATTAATCGAGAATCACAGAATTGTTTTGAAGTGTTTACATTTGATAGCCTTATGAGATGATTAGTAGGATTGGAACCATTGTCCCATGTATTTCTATATAACTAACTAGCATCCCTCCCCCCCTCCTCCCTTTCTGTCTAACCGTAGTCTATGCACAGCTCCACTTACTTAGCAGCGCAACTTGGCAGTTGCCTGATGTTCCATTGTGATGCGGCGTTCAAAACGGCTGGGTCCGTTTGATCCTAGTCTTGATCACCGTGTTCAAGACTTCCGCCACTGGCCCCTTCTCCAAAAGTCTCTGTTTGCTGCTCCGTTTCATGGGTGGTGCAATGATTTCCTTCAGGCCTTTCTGTCCCCGCTAGAAGCTTCTTGCCATCGCCGCATTTGTCAACATTATCAACCTGGATCATCTTCCCTTGACCCTTCACCCATTTTGAAACCGCATCAACTGCTTGTAACGGCACATTGCGATACCTGAGGAAGAAATCCTGCAGCGTGGCGGGAGAAATTTTCTTATCGGGAATTTGGCTTGCGAAGGTTGAGGCAAGCTCTTCTAGTGTCTCAGGAGCTATATCTGCTGAAGCCGGGCCATAGACGTGGAGGAACATGCTGCGAGCCTGCTCCTGGCTGGCGAGGTCGAATTTGAGTCGATAGTCGATCCGGCCTGGCCGTATAAGTGCGGGGTCGAGCCGATTAGCATGGTTGGTTGTCATGATATATATTGCGCCTTCCGGCGACGAAGGGCCATCAAGGGCATTCAATAGCCCAGAGAGCGTCACACGTGTGTTCTTGAATACGACTTGCGAGGGAGGCTTCGACGGTATCGCAGATGCAAACTCATTCTGCGTACAATCACCTCGTCGATCCTCTATGCCAGAACTATCGATATCTTCAAGGAGGATGATGCCATTCTGATCATCAACTCTTCGAAGCATTCCTAGCAGACCCATATCGGTCAATGTCGGATGGAATTGAAGTGAAAAGACGGGAAGAGTGAAATGGCTAGCAAGCGCCATTACCGTAGTTGACTTGCCGGTGCCTGGAGGCCCATAAAAGAGATATCCTCGGCGCCAGGGCATCCCCCGATCTTTATACCATTGTCGCCCTTTGAGAAAGGATTCGACATCTGCAATGAGGGATAATTTATCTTGACCGTCCATCGAAACAGATTTCAAAGACCTTGCAGGTACTTCAATTGACCATGCCCATGAGGTTGTATCTTCGAAAGGATGGGATACTGCAATAACGGTTTTACTCTTTTCAACATTATAAGACTGAAGTAGTTCCTCTAGCATATCCCGAATCGGCCTTGCCGACCAGCCCAGACATCGGAGAACACACTGACCTTGTCCATCATTGGTATAGTAGAACAATGTTCTTTTATAGAAGAATATCTGTTCCAACTGTGAGGGGATGAAAATGACGTTCTTGATCTTCCCTGACAACGTCAGTTCATTTTGAAGGCTTTTTTTATCCGATTTGTTTTTGATGAAATCGAGAGATATAGCGTCAAAATGGGATTTTGGAAAACAGAGAGTAGTGGAGCAGAAGTAGAGAAAGAGTGCGTCATGCAATCGATCCCCATCGCGGAGAGTCACAGAAGAAGTCATGCATTTGAGCAAAAAGGATTTCAAAGAGGCCCTCCAGCTCTCAATTGTGTTTGTGAAAACAGAAGCTCCCATATAGGCGGCCAGAAAGATTGGTAGGAGTTGGACCACTCGTGGATGTTTCGACATCATCTGATGTAGTTGTGGAAAGAAAGTCTTGAAGATGTAGACAAATGTATTGACATCTCGACCAAAGAGATTCATTGCATCCATTCCACGTCCGAGGCCCATGGTCCATGTTATTGCTTCTCCCTCCATTTCTTTTAGGGTCCGAAGGTGTGTCGATATTCTGGGGAAAATGGTAGAATACTTTGACCGAGATGGGCTTTGCGGCTGAAGAGCAGAGGCAAGAAGCTACTGTTTATATAGAGTTTGGAAAACTCAAAAGGGTGGAATGGTCTGTCACCACTGGTGCAGCATCTGACACTAGTCCATCAATGACAGACTTCTGGTCGAAGCAAATGTTGATATTGCAGGAACGGCTGCAGAACATCTTGTCACATAGCAGTCGTTGTCACAGAGAGCCAGGGGTGAGAGTCCAGTCTTTATGATTGGGAAGATTGAAATGCTCCATCCCATCGTTAATTGGCTTCAGGTTGAAAAGCCCTCAATCTCAAGTTCCGTCAGAAACTTTTCGGTTTGGGCTTTCGCTCTCTGGGCTTCAATCAACTTCCGTCGATCATCAATCTCCTTCTTTCGGTGGGATCTTTTGTCCTCTCGCGCCTTGCGCATATTTTCTGTCTCTAATCTCTCCTTCTCCAGGGCTTTCATTTCTCTCTTTCTCTCCTCAGCATCTTGGCTAAAGGCGTAGAAACCGGTACCTTTCGTTCTCACCTCTGCACCTGCATCATAATGACTATCAGGTGGAGGAGTAGCAGATTTATCTCGTTTCTTGGCTATCTCGGACATACGATCTGCAATGACCTGGTCTGGATTAAAGGCGGCATACTGGATAGTGTCACCCATAATGATATTCTCGGGTATAGTTGGCCTTGCAGATGATCGAGCCTCCTCTTCAGCCAGATGAGTGTTGGTAGCCTTTCGTCTTTCCTCGCGGGCGGCTTGGGCTTTTGTTCCTTTCCGTAATCGTCCAAATTCGTCGAGGTATTCCACTGTCTCGTCTTCATCCGTCGCATCGTTGTATTCCGACTCAGAATCGTCACTGGCGGCTGCTCCATGTTTAGCGTCCTTCTCGGCCCATTTGCGATCAAAGTCGACCAGGCTGCGCTCGTCATAGTCGCCCTTTCCTATATACTCGCCACGTTTCATAGCGTTGTACACTCTGACCTTGTCCTCCATCTTTCTCTTGGATCTGTGCAACTCTGCAGTATCCACGGAGCCAATATCATCTCTTGTTTTGTGGCGCTGTTGGCCCTCCTCAAGGTCCGCAGCCGCACGTTTCTTGACATTCTTGTTGTGGGCCTTGAATATGTCTGTCTTCGAGTTCGAATGTCTGGGTCGACCGGAAGTCGGTCTCTCTTTACTTGATGAGGTACTGGAGATTAGCGAGGCAAGACTGGTAGAGAAGGCAAGAGATGTGGATGAGGAGATGTCTTTGGCTTTTGTCTTGGAGGCTTGCTTAATTCCATAGAGACTGTCCGTCATGATACCTACTGTTGAGGGGACAAGATTGAGTCCCGCAAGAGGTCAATTGGATAACCAAGACATGAATTGAGGCAAGTCTTGACAACCTAGCTCGCGACCGGAGGGAGGAGGTCTTGAGTTTGTACAAATCCTTGCCTGGAAATCCACCTGCGCGGTTGAGGCGGCCCTACCGTTTCGGGCATGGTCGCTTGCTGGGCGCGACGCCGCTTTTAAGGCTATAAGACCCACAGGATCCTTGGTCTCTCCCAGCCTGGCCGAAACCCCGCGGTCCCCTTCCCCTTTCCCGATCATCCCCCACATGGAGCACCAAATCATGAGATAGCAACTATGCAGGAAACGCACACCGATCAACTAAAAGGTCGGATCAATCAACTTTGCCGCAACAGGGACAAGACCAGAGCTACAAACCCCCTGACGCGCCACTCCTCAATGCGGCCCAGGACCTGGGATTGTGGAAACCAATCTTGCATCCGCAGAGGACCCAGAATTCATTTCGACACAAATCTCGGCGCACGAAGCCACAAACATACGCTGTGTAAATTGACCATCGGTCTATCTAGCCATGCAGATCAAGACATGGTGAGTTCTACAGGTTGAATATAATCACCAGGAGAAACCGATGCGTTCCCGTTGCGGCAGATTATTCTCCTTTCATGTGACTACTATTACATGCTTGACTTTTGGGCAAGGTTTCGAAATTATAAATCCATCTGTTCCATCCCTCCAAGTGTACAGGATCCGTGAAGGTCGACCAATGGTCTATATCTTCTTTGATGAAAGGAATAATTGTTGGCTTGTACTGCCCTTGACGCTGCATAGTGGACGTCTGCCATTGTGATAGTCAGTGTCAATTTGATATTTTGAAGACGATGAAAAACCTCTCTCTAGACTCCATATCCTTATATGCAGGGAAAGATTGTTTGCGTGTATTACACTGTGACCCTCACTCGCCTCACTCGCCTCACTCTGTTGTCTTGCTTTGCGTTATCCTGAGCTTCATCAACAAGTAAACTAATGCGTAGGAGCTGATTGCGAAGATCACCACAATGGCGGCATCTCTCCAGCCTTGATATTGATGGTCGATGTTGAGCGTGTAGAGGTAACCTTGTCCTGTCTTGTACTCGCAGACTCGACAATTACTGAGGTCATTCGGGTTTGTCAAATTGGCAAGTTGTCCTCTTGCACTTTCGAGATACTCCGAGAGGTATTCGCGGCATGTCACATTGCCAGGCGTATCGAAAATGGCGAAATCCCGTTCTGAACATTCCACATTGTCGTTCCAGGTTGCGAAGACGAGTAGTGAGCCCATTAGGTAAGTGAGGGGGTTTAGCCAGTAGAGCCAATATCGCCAAAATATATGCATCTGTGAGTAAGGCACCAGGCTGCCACAAAACGATACCAATATGCCGATGATGAGAGGGTTCGCCAACGATGCGAAAACAGCGTTCGGCGCATAGGCGGCGATGAATTGTCCAATTCCAGTGTACAAGAACTCATAGAATAACATGACGAACAGAATCCCCCCCCCGCGCTGTTGCTGTTGTTTGGGAACCCCACCGTGTAGTACCAACAAATGAATTAGAGTATTGCACAAATGACCAGATATGGAAACTCAGAGATTATCAAACCTGTGACAAAAGCAATCCAGCTGTACATCTTCGCTTTCTTCTCTCTTGCTTCGAAGATATCTCTCCGTGCTATAAATAGCGGTTGTAATTGATTAATCACTCCAGGAGCAACAAAGATAAAATTGAAAATCGTAAAGAGGTTTAGTTGTAGGTCGCTGACAGAGTCGCTAATCATCCAGAATGAGAAACCGTTAAATAAAGCGTTCGCTATATGGAGAGCGAACTTATTATTCGTGTAGTCGGTATTCCGAAATAAGGCAATATTCATCCGCTGCGTAACAATCATTATTTGCGACCACAGAGGCATCGCAAACTCAAAACCATAATCGTGTATGCCGGGAGCTTTAGCGACTGCTTCGTTTACTATACCGTCCAGCTCCTTCGCTACTCTTCCACACTCAGCGGATTCTAACCATATTTTTGCCCAGTCACGGCCTTGAGATAGATGACCAGAAACGACATCAATCATATACTCCGCTGGATTTGTATTGGGTGGACAAGAGGCTCCATATCGACTAAAATAGTCCTTAGCAGTTGCCGCGTTATCGCCAATATCTCCAAAGTAGACGGTTCTCCCACCCATAGTAAGTAGAAGTAATGTGTCAAACTGCGTGAAGAGCTGAGCTGAAGGTTGATGAATAGTTACTAGAACCGCTTGACCTAAGTCTGCAAGCTTGCGTAGGAAGCGGACTGTATTATATGCTGACTGGCCGTCAAGACCTGATGTAGGCTCATCAAGAAAGATGAGAATACTAGGTTTAGCCACAAGCTCGACTCCTATTGTAACTCTTTTCCTTTGTTCAATAGATAAGCCGGAGCCAGGAAAACCAATCAATGTATCTTCAATATCCTGAAGTTCTAGTAAGTCGATAATTGTGTCGACGTATCTAAACTTTTCCTCCTTTGATGTATTTCGTGATTGTCGGAGTAGGGCCGAGAATCGTAATGCTTCCCGGACGGTCGCGTACGGCTCGTGGATATCGAGCTGTTCACAGTATCCGGCTGATCTCTGAAATGATACGGGAAGAGGTCGGCCATCGACAAGAATTGAGCCATTAATCGTTCCCTCGGTTTTGCGTTGGGCCAGGATATCGAACATCGTCGTATCCAGGACCTGTCGGGACTAGGCTTGTGGCAACACAAGGAATAATCTGGTGGTGGAATTCATTTCCCATGACAGCCTCGAATGCATAGGCTAGTGGGTCAAGCCAGAAGATCCAAATGAACCAAGGGTGCATAGCTGGCTTAGGTATCATGTAGCCCACGTATAGGACCACGGTCATGATCACAAAGCCAGAAGCCTTGGAAGCTGCATCGAAGGTAGTGAAGGCCGCACCAATTGCACGAAAACATGCAGTCATACACTAACAGGGATTGTCAATACTTATTCGACGAACGAGAATGTGAAGATAGCTGTACCATTGTAGTTGAAAATACCATCACCCAAAAGGTGAAAAACTGCCCTGCAGTAGCCCCCAGGCCGGTCATCCAGTAAGCCATTAACCCAAAGGTAGAAACCTGAACTAAGAGCTGTGGAATATCCGCCATAATCTGAGCGAAGCAAAACGCCGCCGGATGGAAGACGCGAAAGATTTGTGTTTCGCCAAAACAGGTCGACCAAAAAAGGATTCTGTGACTTCGGACAGAGCCATCAGAGAGTTGTATAACAGAACAAAAAATAATGAGCCACTTTTAACAAAAGGCCAGCAGAGTTTTTAGGAGCATCGTAAAATAGAGAGCCAGTAATCAGAGCTTGAATGATGGTGGAAACTTGTTTAATGAGGAATGTCGCTTTGTCGCCCCAAAAGATCTGATATTGACGAATCACACAGTCTTTGACTTGTGTAAGTAGTCCACTCGTTAGAGGACTTGAGTGCCGGAGCTGCTCGTCCTTTTCATGAACCACCGAGTCCTGGAAAGCTTTAGTGCTTTCTTGGGCATCATGTGAACTTGGAAATTCATATTGTGATGTCATTTGTTTGTAGACCGGGGACTTTTCGTAGCATTTAATCAGTTCGGGAGCATTCCTCGGAAATATATTCTCATATCCAGGCTGGATCTGTCGCTCCGTCGGTACTGTTACGCCAGTAAGGAAGTCTGCAACATTTGCTCCTCGAGGGCACAGAAACCCAAGCTCCTCCATAAACGGTTTTGCTTGTTCCATAGGCCCATAGTAGACTTGTTGTCCACCGTCGAGCACTAGAACCTTGTCGAAGAGATTGAAAATTCCGTTGCCAGCTTGGTATAAGGTGACAATAGAGCTCAGGCCAAGTACATCTGTCATTGCACGGATTGCTTTAGCGTATCCGAGGGCGGTGCTGGCATCGAGTCCTCTTGTGCTATTGTCCCAGCAATAGACCGAAGCGTTACTAGCTAATGTTTCAATAATAGAGACACGTTTTCTTTCCCCTCCAGATACGCCTCGAACAAATTCGTTACCAACTTTAGTGTCTTTTGTATGAGAAATGTTCATTGAACTTAGTAGGAATTCTCGAATTTCCCGCTGATGGTCTTCTCGTGACTGCGCACCGCTTGGGAGGTGGAAAGGGAGTTTTAGCCGCGTAGCAAAGTCAGTAGTCTGACCAACAGTCAAAGTAGGATAGAAGAGTTCTTCTTCAGTGTTGATGACAATTTGACCCCTATAGCGCTTCGCTTCATCATGGCTCATGGACCCGTACCATACATCGCCTTCGATGGATAAATATCCTGCTCGTCTGTTCGCTAACAGTTTTAGGAAGGTGGTACATCCAGAGCCCGGACGTCCCAATACAAGAAGCATTTCTCCAGGTTTGACGCAACCGTGTGAGCCGTGAAGTATAGTCTTGAGCGGCGGCTTCTGGCGAGCTTCTTTCAATATTCTAGGAAGGTTGAACTGTGAAAGAGTATTGTCGTGGATACTTGCCTCGGTGTTCATGACTGTAACTGACAGGTTGCTCCAAGTGACACCTAGTTTTCTTTCCTTTGGGAATGACTCTAAGTTTCGTTGGTAGTTGGCTCTGACCTGTTCAGTCAGCTCCCAGTCTTCGGCACGGGTCAAAGTGCGCTTGCACTCGTTGTCCAATTGTTGGGTGCGGCCGGGGATCCTGTCACCTTCGGCAGGAAAGGTTCGGAGAACATTGGTAGGAGCGGAGGGTGGGGTGAGACCGTGCTCGCTATCTGAACTCATTGTAGACAACACCAGAAGAAATTAGCGAACGCACATAGATTGTGAAGAACATTTAACCCGCTTTGGGGCATTTCATTCTTATATAGTCCCATCCCCTGTCTTCCGGGGCCGGGAGAAATCTGGTCCGGGTGCAACGCGGTTACCGATATGCAGCGGATCGCCGACAGAGATGTGGTCTTGGACGTCTGTATTTGAGAATACATATGAGAGTCCTGGAGGCGTCGGTGGGAGAGACCGTGTACCGGGTACCCTCAACCAATCGAGCCCGGCCGATGCATTTGTTTCATACTGATCAGGCTGTGGACATCCTCAGAATTCGGGACTTGGATACATCTGGGAACCGAAGCGGATCTCGAACTGAGAGCCAGATTGTCTGGAGCGTTGACTGCTCTTCGAAGCATGTCATAGTCTGATATTAGAATTATTCGGAACAAGCGTAGTGCCGAGAGGCCGCTTAGTCAGCGGCATTGAGAATCCAACTTAAGTACCACATTCAAATGAGACACAAGTCCGTCCCCATCACATCAACCTAACTCGAACATCCTAACACCAACACAGGGCTAATTGGACAAGCAGGCCCAATTTCGTCTAGCTTCCGTTGACTCCCATATTTGGCGGATCTCCAGACGCCACTTTTAGCTCCTGGCAGTGCGGAACCTATTCTCACATGAACCCTCACTACTGTTTCCAGCCAAGACCATGCCATTGTCTAGAAATTCGGAATCTCCGGCCTCTGATGCTCCAGCAACGAGTAATCTGGACAACAGACTAGGGCTGCGTGCATGTGACTCCTGCCATTGGAAAAAGGTACTGTGCCCTGCATCATTGGAAACCCTCCTGTCAGACAAGACGACAGGCACCAAAAACACATTTTGGGCTGGACTGACTTCGAAAAGATCAAGTGTGATGGCGTCCGGCCTCAATGCAATTGGTGTCAGCATCATGGCATCAATTGCACCTTTTGCAGAGCTCAAGGCGGGCGGAGGAGAGCAAACCAGTCGAGGTTCGAGTGTCGTGTTTCTTATCTCACAATTTTGCTCACCAAACCCGACAACAGAAAAGTGAGGGAGAGCAACCTTGTGCGACGAATGGAGAGAATAGAATGCCTATTGACCGAGAATCTCAAGAAGCGCAATGGTTAGTATCGCTAGTCGAAATCAATTTGGAATATGCTAACCTTAGCATAGTTTCATGTGGCTCGGCTGCTCGTGGCGTGAGACTGAATCGAACAGAATAGAGACCAACAGAATAGAGACTCGATCCGACGTTACGGAAGAGAAAGAGCCTCTAGGTTCAGCACGTGTCGGACGAATCTGCTGTGTCGGCTATAAGCTGGGAGACGTCAACCTATTTCATGGCATTCCCTTTCTATCGCGGGAAGGCCAACAGTGGATTGGCCTCAGAACTGATGAAACTGATGATTCCTTGTACGATGGTGAGGTGCACGGTCCGCTGTGGCAGAATCAACAACAAGCGTGGCCCAGCTTGTTATTTCGTGAGAACATGGCACCCTGGAAGACGAGAAAATTACCATCGCGCGGTTTAGTGGAGAAATACCTCAGCTTCTATAACAATTCGCCATTCTCAGAGGTTTTTCCGATCGCTGACAAAGTGTTGTTCCCAGAAGTCATTGAAAATGCCTACAGAGGCGATCTCTCAACCTTGCCAGGAAACTTTCAAGCCAAAGCATGTGTCTTTGCCTTTCTAGCATTTACATCGATGATCGGCTTTCCAAGCGGCGCTGAACTCCCGCCAGTCGATTTTGAAAGTTGTTTAAATGCCACACACTTGCTCATGCCCGATATCCTTAATGCAAGCCCTAGCACTGAAGTTGTCGATGCGCTTATGATGCTTGTAAGTTTGGCGATGCGACATTATTTTGACATGCCGAAGCGCCAAAAACGTTCATTAAACCAACTCATAATGACTGACACAAGAACCTAGGCAGTTTATCAATTCGGTTGTGGAAATATTCAAACCACCGATATCATATTATCTCTTGCAATAAGATTTTTATTCATGTTGAAGGCACATTTATACCCTGGAGAGGTCATTGACGGGCTTCCGTCGGAGTCAATGAACACCGAACATCGGACCATACTGCACAGGCGCGAATTATTCTGGATCGGTTATATACTTGACAAGGAAATCACGTTCCGCACAGGCCGGCCGCCCATTGTCAATGACATATCTTGTGATCTTACGCTTCCGAGATATTATTGGAGCCAAGTCAGCATTGAATTTACTGGTCACCCTCGTCTACCAGGTGACTTGCGCTTGAGCCTCATCAAATCGAAAGCCTACGAAAAGCTTTAGTCACCTCGTGCTCTATCAAAATGCGATGCTGAGATATTAAGAGATATCCGTGAGTTGGATGACTTACTGGAAACTTGGAGACAGTCACTTCCCACCAAATCCAGACCGACCTTCTCATTCTCACGAAAGGCCAATGTTGCCCCGGATGATTGCCTTAACCCATCCACCTTCCTGTTGCAATTAGAGTATCACCATTTCATGACAACGATTCACCAAGCAAGCAGCCGATGCAAAAACTGGGTGGATAATCACAGGATAGACGAGGGACTTAGCTCGAGTCTGGACCTCGCGTTGGAGGCTAGTCGTTCTTTACTGGAATACTTTCACACTAGTGAGCACCATGTTTCCCCGGATCTATTCTGGTATGTAAATGTGTCGGTAACACCTTATTCCCTTTCAGAAAGAAAGCATCGGCTATTATCGATGCCATGAAGCTGAAAGAGGGGACTAATCTTGTTTTAGGGTTCTTATATTTTACCCACTGTCGGCACAATTGACTCTTTTTTGCAACATCATGCTCAATCCTTCTGGCTCAGCGGCATCTTCTGATCTCGACACTCTACGCACGACTGTTCAATATATCAACGGCCGAATTGTTAGGTCGGTGGGACTTTCTGATACCCAAACGTCACATTTAAAGCGTGTTGAGGAGTGTGGTGAAGAAGTAGTGAAACTGTGCCACCGTGCCGTTTTTCAAAGCGGACAGCCCGTCACCTGAGAGAACCCATCGGCCCTGTTTGATGAGTGTACCGAATATTTACACAATATCTGTGATGTAATCAATAATATGTGTGCTATTCAACGAGAAACTTCGGCCCCTGATGCGTAGGCTATAAGCAAGAGGGCCATTAAATTCTTGTTGCAGGATTTGGACTGTGCAATTGTACGAGCGAGTAAGCGTGGATGAGATTTCTGTCTTCTTCTACTCTATGGTCACCGTTCTGGTTTATATGGAAAATTATTAGGCAAATGACCTGCTGGAGCTTATTTTCCATGATTCCAAAGCATTCTAGAGGCTGTAGCACTGACTCATTGTGAAGTAACAACAGCCGGCTATGATACCCTAAATCTTACTCTAGACCTCATGCCTTGGCTGGTGTTGATTTCTGGGCATGTAAACGCTGTCAAATAACACTGTCAAAACCACTAGGTGTCTTCAATACCAAGAGATATTAAATGCAGATTTTCCGAGCGCACATTTCCACCTCGCAACACCATCTTGGCTGTTGCTTTCAGGCCTCTAAGCGATATAGTAGTAAACAATATAATTCTCGTCTATTCATTTATCGGCGTATGACTGCTGAATCTGCTGGCGTTATCGGTCTGAACTCCGTAGGATTAGAGCCAATGTCCGAGAAATGCTTAGTGTCATCACAAGCATGGTTACATCCACGTTGTCGGATGTGGGCAGCAGCGGGGTTGGGCGCCGTCTCAATACCTACCAAGTCTTATCCTGATCAATTACTGGTCTTGGAATCTTGGAATGTCGATCAGTTAGTCCAACCTCAGAAAAGGTCACCAACCCGACCCTTGTAAGAAGGAGATGAACGCCCGCCTGACGTGCTATGGCACAATCCCCGACCTCTAGACTTGATAAGCGGACGGAAAGCTCCAAATCCTTTGGAGCAGCTGTCGTACAATGGCCGCCGTGCAACGCCTCTGATATTTATTTTACTCCGTTCACAACAATTCCCATATTTTCAGCTAGAAGTTGATTCACCTACCGACGGGATAACAATAGCACTCATCTCGCAAGGAAGTGAGGTGAGTAGACGAGCCAGCCATGGCGACAACCTCAGCTTTCAAGACCTACTTGAGGTCTGATAAATCGCCAGAAGAGAGGAAATTAATCCGCAAGGTTGATTTCTTCATTCTGTCCTTCTGCTGCCTCATGTATTTCTTCAACTACCTGGACCGCTCCAACCTGACCCAAGCCTACGTCTCTGGCATGAAAGAAGACCTGAACTTCCAGGGCAATCAACTGACCCAGATCACGACCATTTTCACGTGTGGCTACATCGTGTGAGTTCAACACACCCCAGTATGTTTAATTGTTGCTCATTTGGCCTCGCAGGGGGATGATACCATGTAACCTCGCTCTCTACTACATCAAGCCCCGGATCTTCTTCCCCACCATGGTTGTTCTCTGGGCCGCATTGACCATGGTGACTGCTGCCGCGAGCACACCCCACCATATCATGGCCATCAGGTTCTTTGTTGGTGTCGCCGAATCTAGCACTTTCATCGGAACCCACTACATTCTAGGTTCATGGTACACGGAGAGCGAGCTTGGTAAAAGGAGTGGAATCTTCACCGCCTCAGGACTGGCCGGAACCATGTTCGGCGGCTTTATTCAATCAGGGATCTATAGGTCTATGAATGGTCTGCAAGGCCTTCCCGGGTGGAAATGGCTTTTCATCATCGATGGGATAATCACCTTGCCGGTCGCCATATATGGCTTCTTATTGTTCCCCGACACTCCATCGAGGACTTCAGCCCCATACCTGTCCGCTGAAGAGCGTGCTCTCGCAATATCCAGAGTCCCCGAAGTCCCAGAGCAAAAGCCACTCACCATCGCGTTTGTCAAGCGAGTTTTCCGCTCTTGGCAATTCTACGGATTTGTGGTGCTCTGGATCATCGCTGGCGAAACCGAGAGCTTCAGCACGAACAGCCTGTTGGCGCTTTACATGAAAGCCAATCCCGAGAAGAAATACTCGGTCTACCAATTGAATAACTATCCTACCGGTGTCCCGGCCGTGGGAATCGTGTCGACTTTATTCTGGGCGACCCTGACGGATTTCTTGGGCGGGAAGAGGTACCTCGTAGCGTACTGGATAGCCATTACGGGAGTTATAACCTCAGCCATTATTCTGTCACCCTCCAGTGGCATTGCAAGTCATTTTGGCGCATACTACTGGGCGGGTTCGGTCTATGCGTGTCAAGCGACGTTCTTCGCATGGGCCAACGACGCCTTGCGGTACGAGGAGGACTCTTTACGTGCCATTGTCATTGCGAGTATGAATCTTGGCAGCAACGCAGTCAATGCATGGTGGTCGATAGTATTCTACTCCGCCAACTTCGCGCCAAAGTTCACAGTGAGTTCTATCCGTCCACCATTCCATCAACATTGAATATTCGAGTGTTCAATTGTTTCAATTGTTCTACTGACTGTGAGCGTTCGCAGCGAGGCATGTGGGCGATGATCGCCGTGAGTATCCTGATGGGAATCTGGGCTGCCGGGCTGCAAATCATCCAAAGACGATCGGCCAGGAGTAACATCCAGTCCACTGAAGGCGCCATTCGAGACGTCGAGAAGGAGATGGTAAGCGACACTGCAAAGGTATAAATGGTTGTTCTCTCCTAAAAGGGGGCCCCTTGACAGTCGCTAGTTGTGGAGCCTGATTTTGTGCTATACACCAAGAGGCCGAGCCTCCAGGTCCGAATCAATGCTGTACGCTCTGAACGAGACATGTAGAAGACCATCAAGCCAACCCCTTTTATAGCAATCCATAGACTCAAATTCCGTTCTTCTGATCTGCAAAGATTTCATTGATGACGGCGCAACGCTGTGCTTCCCGACCATCAAGGTCCTCTACTTTTGCCCCCAATGCGGTGATGTTAAGAAAGCTACCGGCGCCGTAGACAGGCCACTCGATCCCTTCGTTTATCATCACAGGTTCAGAGCCATACAAAAACTCACCAAGCAGCGCCTGCAGCGATCTTGCAATAGCGATGTCTTGCACCGGAGTAATCTGGTCGTCGGTGTAGAAGTAATCTTTTCCAAATATATTTTCATGTTAGCCATCCCGTCTCGTTCTGTGCCTTCAACATCCCCAAAGAAGAAAGGAACAACAATTAGCCGAGGTTGGATCCAACTTACACAATGAGTCCAGGCCATGATACGCCGGCGGAATCGACATGACATATCTTCTAGTGGACGTCTCCAATGCTTCTGCGATGGCTATGGAATGGCAAACAAAGACTGCATCGGCTGTCCATTGCCATGCGAGCTGCTCAGGGGCTGCATCGGGCCATTGGTAAAGTGCTTGGATTCGGGCAATCGTCTCGTCAGTGGCCGACGGCAGGATCCTTCGCACGAGGCTAGGGAATCCCTCTGGCATGCCACGACCGGAGGATGTAATTGCGCCCTACACGAAGAAAATTTAAGTTAGTTTTCGCCGGAACATCTCACATATATGTGTCAGACATAGAGGGGGTCTGCTGAAGAGGAATTTACACACTTCATTGGCCATGTTGGCGGAGATTATGGCCTTGAGCCGGCCTAAGCTTTTTGACAGCGTTGGAATCCCAACCGGGAGATCAGGGACGAAATCGCCATCCACGATTGGGCCAAATCCAATACCAGGACCGAAATTCCCTCCTCCGCTTAAACTCGGGACGTCATTGAGAAGATAGCGATTCACTTCACGCAGCTCTTCCTCACTAACACTTTGCAAGCATATTAGCGAAGAGCAATTTGCAGCATCCAGAACGGTGTCGAAAACCTCCCGCCTCCGTTGAGTGGTATTCCACTTCAACGGCAAAGCTGGAGACGAAATGAACGCTTGCTGAAACGGTAAATATCTGTCCTCTGCACTCGCAGACAAGAGCTCGACTATGGCGGCGCCGGTGCTCTGTCCACCGGCTGTAATCCTGCTGGGATCGCCTCCAAAGTGGTGGATGTATTTCTCCGACCATTTCAGTGCTGCCAGTCCATCGTAAAGCCCGATATTTGCCTCCGTCTGCTCTTCATTCGGCGATGATGCCCAACCATATACACCCATGCGGTAGTTGCTGACGACAAGAATGAATGGACTGTCTTGAGAAAGCAACTGGTCGAATAGTCCAAGTGGGGTGAAGTAAAACTCCTTCGATCCGAACGCATATGCACTACCGTAGAGCCAGTGCAGCACTGGAACACCGGCACTCTTGCTGTTTGGAGAGGTTTGAGATACTCGGCATGGGAGATCAGCAGGGACATAGACATCAAGAAACAGGCAATCTTCACTGCCGAAGACCGTGCCGTTGACTCCTGGATATATAATCTCCACTCCTTGAGGCACCGCGCTCACGCACTGTGTGTCGTGGGTGTAATTGCCCGTGCGGACGACTCCCGGATCATCCGCAATTGGTGGAAATGTAGGCCTATTGAACCTCCTTGCTGGCTCTGCGAAACGGATGTTCTTGTAAACATTGACCAGGTGGCCGTTAAGGGTTTGACTTCGCAAGGTCACCTTGTGCCTCGCAAACCCTAGATCAATTACCTCGGTGTCGCATGAGCATGGGTTTGATGGAGCGGCTATGACCGCGTTGTGCGATAAGAGCAGCGGCAAGTAGAGAAAGAACGATTTCATGGTTGGAGGCCGCAAACTGAGGATTTCAGGCAGTTCGAAGGCTTAGCAGTCGCGATTTTTGGATGCGGTGGGGGGTTTATTTTATAGTCGAACCTTGGTGGTTCTTTGAGGGAAGGACCCAGCAATTCTGCCATTCCAATTGAAGCGATTCTGTACGTGTGGTTCAAAGGTCCAAGGCAACCACAGCGGCTGACACATACTCCTGGGTCAGCCTTGTGAACCGTACGGCCAGTAAAGAAAAACGCTGATTGGCTGCAGCCAAGCCTTTCCAGTCCAAAAGAGGAAAACGACCAACCCGAGCAATCGACACTAAGCTTTGAGGCTGTGTCCCCCGTATTCGGAAGAGCAAAAGCCAAGCACAACTACCAACGCGGTAACGTGGGACCTTTAATTGAAGACGCGGCCTTGTCTTCTCGCATTAAATTTTGCACAGCGTCTTCGATTTCCTGATTGGAACCGCACTCCGAAAAAGCCATGCCGCACGCAGAGATAGACGAGGAGGGGAAAAGAGGTCTCGGTGTGCTAAAACTGTCCGCCACACCTCTCTTGCGTTGGGTGAATCAGCCTTATCGACCAAAGAGGAGCCACACGAAGTCGAAGAGAGGATGCTTTATATGCAAGCAGAGACGGATCAAGGTTGGTTAAAAATCGATATATTCCGGGTAGTGGGATCTAACTGGAATGTTTGTAAGTGTGACGAGGAAAAACCTGTATGTCGCAAATGCTCACAAAGGAAACTGTCCTGCACCTACAATCAGTTCAAAACAGCAGACCTTGGGATGAGGGGGAGAGTACCGAAGCCAACAGTGCTCTGGCCAGGTGCGAAGAGCCCGGATATACTGGTGCAGAAGTCGACGTTTTTTACCATACACGACCTCGATCTCCTGCATCATTTCGTCATCGCTGCTTCTCCGGCTACGTTGCAGGATGGTGACCTGATACGTATCACCCAAGAGGTGCCTCGGATGGCCTTTGAGGTAAGCCTCCCTCAAAATCTTGTAGACCCTATCTTCCATTTAATGTTGTTTTGTCACAGCATACACACGTCATGCACGTAACGTTGGCGGTAGCAGCAGCCCATAGAAGATTCAGTGCTGGTCAACCTAGCCCCCCTTCAACCGAGGAACTCGGGCATTGGAACAGAGCTATTTCGATCTTTCGGGATCTCATCAATGATGATTGGAACCAACAGGCCGACGCAGCGTTGACAACGTCTATGTTCCTCAGCATGTTGTCCTTCACGGATGATGGCGTTTCCCATCCTAGGAGGGCTATCGTGCACGGACTTGATTCTTCGTCGTTCTCCTGGTTTCAGGTGCAGACTGGACTTGTGGAGCTGATCACTCTAGCGTCTACACGGGGCTCGAGCAACGTGATTATGCCTTACTTCAAGGACGTAGACCCTGATCTTGCTCTCCTTCATGACGACAGGTCAGGAACCGACGGCATCCCTGACGAGTTGGTGGATCTCTTTGAGGTCAAGGAGGACTCAACTTGTGGCACTCATCCGTATTTGCGGCCACTGCGTCGAGTTTGCAATATGAGTAATATTCCAAGGACGACAGAAAACGGCCTGAAATTTATGCAATTCATGCAGGGTGTGGATAGAGGTTTCGTGGAGAGACTTCAGCAGCTCGACCCGAGGACAATTCTCTTGTTCGGATGCTGGCTTGGCTTTCTATGTCATGTTGACCGTTGGTGGTGCAAGGGACGAGCACAGAACGAATTCCGAGGAATCGCTGCCTACTTGCAGGAGTACCGCCCATGCTTGATGCCATACCTGACGTCTGTGACCGTCGATTAGGAACAAGGTTCGGGAACGCTTAGTCTCTAGGCTTCTAACAGGAGTTGCAATCCTCTGCCTTTGTCTTGATGGTTGAATGGTGGATCATCGAGCCTAACCATGCAATGATATGGCCATCCATGACAAACTCAGTCGGTAAGGAGAGCGAAGGGTTCGCTAACAGGGTAGCCTGCCCAATACCCATCAAATTACCTATCTCGGCCAAAGATCCACTGAAACTCTTCCTGCACGACTCTGGGACAATTGGAAGGCGCGAAACAACATACAGGATATGCATCAGGAGAAGACCACCATGTGCACTACCTGGGAGAAGTGTTTCTTGTTTGGAAGTCATGCCGCCATGCACTGGTGATTGGACAAGCAAGGCGTCTGGGTTCTGGTAAATGAGAAACGGGATAGATGCCGCTATGGCTTCTGACAGCTCTCGGACTTCCTTGTTGAGATTCTTTTGGGAGTACGAGTGCGATACCTGCGGGAATTCATCATCATCACACAGTCGACTTGTGCATGTCGAGATGAAATTAAGCAGCAGGATTCGGCACTTGCGATACGCATTCCAAACGACGCACACAAATACTGTTTTCAAGATCGACCAAAGTCAGCTCTTCGGTTAGATTCTCGTCACTGGGCTCAGAATTACTTACAATCGAAGTAGATGTCAATACGACTCGGAAGGGCAAATGAGCCCAATGCCTTCTCCTTTCTTTCCGTTCCATTGAGGTAGCCGATGGTCTTCGGCGTCCATTCTTGCGGCAAAGTTGAAGGCCAACTCGCAAACTCCTCGTACATGGAAATTGCAAATTCTCTGGCTTGAAGCAGTCTCTCTGGAGGGACCAATGTGTCAGTGAGAAGGTCTTGATTCTGCCGGAAAAATGGGCCGAACCCAAGCAAGAGGACATCGAGAGAATTCGTCGGGTTGTCAGCGCCTGGGTTGCATGAAATGCTGATATCGTGAGGCCACTTTCGACACCAACAAGGTTAAGTTAGTGTGCAATTGAAAAACTCGTTGAAATAGTGGGGCAGGTGATAGAATATCATCAGGGGTATGCAAATTACAATTGAAATCTCACTCAGAGAGGTGATCGATAAATTTGGAGCTCGAGTCTTGCACACCATTACGGTAGGCGGGTATTCGTCATCTGAACTCCTGCTGGACAAAATTGCCGATAGCCCGATGAAATGGGTTCGATGGCCGCCAAACTGGTCAGCGGTCGCAGATATCATCTATGTATATTTAGTGTGCGTGCAACTCAACCCGCCTGTGGTAAGGAGATACCTCGTATAAGCCAAGAAGAACGACAATCGTCAGAGACTCAACGGTACTAATCGCGGTAGCGCGGGATATTGTAGCCTGGAAAGATCGAAGAAGTTCAGGATACGATAAGCAAGCTCGTCGAGTGATGTCTGGATTTCCGAGCTTGTTCCCAAGACTAGCAAGTGCTCCAAGCCTGGTTGCTTCCGCCAAGTTTGACTTGGAACTCCCAGCAAGAAGCATAGATTGCAGAGAGCTTAGATATCCTCTGGATATCGAAGGATCTTTGGAAGCGACACAGTAGTCTTGCAGAAAAACAGCCATCGCAAGTTGATCAATTTCGCCATTCCGGCATAATTGGCTGGTATGGCCTAAAGCAAATCGTGATCCCCATGGAGTTCGAACTGAGCGCATGCGTTGCGAATTCGATTCACCCCTGGCATGATATGGACGAAAGAGCTGCTCTGCTTCGTTCTGGTAGAAGCAGCCTTCTTTAGCCCTGATACATCTTTTGCATGCCTATGCGAGGGTCAGCAAAATGTCTCGGCCACGCTAAGCGTCGAGTGATTGCCCGATGGCTCTTGCCAAAGAACCAACCTCAGAGGTGTGACAATGTACTGACCGGGCGGCTCTCATCACACTACCAGACAACTGTCAGCATTTGGATCGTATCAGAAACCGGGCCTTTGCTGTTCCAGCTTACCTTTTTGCGCTTCCGCTTGCATCCCCCACATGCTCTCGAAACGCCGTGATTGACCATTTTCTTACTGGATGATGTGGGAGACGCGTGGTGACCTCTGATGGATCATACCTTGACTCTGGACGTATATCTTGAGGGATCCGCTTACAGTAGTAGTCGTATCATATGAAAGTGTCTAGAAAGCCAGAGAGCCGAAGATCAGTCATCTTCTACCGTCATCGAAGTTTACACGGGCCCGGGTTAATCAGCCATAAACTCCGAATAGGCCCTTTCAGGTTAGCGTTGCGCCTCAGCCTTCTGGGGGTTAGCGTCGATAGCCTTTGGCGTCATAAATAAGGGAACAACTTCATTCCTTCCTCTTATGGACCAGTCGCGACGCCTTCCAGGCTGTAGTCTCGCAATGAATAGCTACGTGGCCAGGGTCATCTCCTTGAACATGGTGTGTTGAGACCAGGCCTTCATTGCAGAGTTCTACTTACATTGCACAAGGTTCATGGGCCAGGCTCCAGGTTTCCACAGACCCAGCCTATGTTATTGCTTGCCATGAATCATGATGATGCACAAAGTTCTTTGATTCGTGGATATACCATAAGGTAATGTTAAGGCCGGACCTCAGCTGACAATGCTAGCCGAATGATTGCAACAGCAGGTGAGAACACGGATATTTTAAAGGCTCGGCACGAGACCGTATTTTCTGAGACTTCCTCCAACAATCTGCTTCACTAGCTACCTTGTCAGACTTATACACCTCTCCTACCTCCCAGATAAACCTTTCGTTCCATGGCGAACAAGGCTTCTTGGCTCACGGCCGCCCAGGCTAGACCATTGAAAGTGGATGATGCACCAATGCCTCAGCCTTCTGCGGACGAGGTCGTTGTAAGGAATCACGCTGTCGCCATCAATCCGGTCGATTGGGCTATCCAGGCCGCAGGGATGTTACCACTTCCATATCCACATATTGGAGGCTGTGACACTGCCGGAGAGATCGAGGCTGTGGGATCCTCCGTCAAGAATCTCAAGGTTGGAGATCGTGTGGTCGCTACCCTGGACCCATATGGTGGTGGTGATGGCCCGGATTCTCGAAGAGGAGCTTTCCAGTTATTTTCACTGGCTCGAGAGGCTGGTACTACGAAGATTCCAGATAACATCAGCTATTCTGAGGCGGCTGTCCTGCCATTGGCAGTTTCGACTTCAGCCAGCGCGCTATTCCAGAACGATACTTTGGGACTACAACTCTCTACTTCTGGGGGTAACCGAGGAAAAGTCGTCCTTATCTGGGGCGGCGCCACCAGTCTCGGCGCGTGTGCGATTCAACTGGTCTCAGCCGCAGGTTACGATGTCGCAACGACCTCCAGCACCCGCAATTTCGACTCCATGAAGTCCTTAGGTGCTAAATATGTTTTCGACCACGCCAAGGCAAACGTCGTTGATGATATCATTGCAGAATTGAAGCACCTGGACTTCGGTGGTGTGTACTGTGTTGTCTTAGTGCCTGAAGCGATTAAGCAGTGCGCAGAAATAGCAAGTAAGCTTGATGGCAGGAAATTAGTCTCGACAGTCCTTGCACCAGTCATGCCGCTTGCAGATGATCTGCCAAGTGATGTTCGATATACTAAAGGTGAGCCAGACATAAACGGCTTTATCTCAAAGCTCAGAGATACCAAAAGTGGCTAACATGAATTCTGTGACTAGTGTACGGCACCTCCCTCCTAGACAACGAAGTCGGGCCTGCAGTCTGGGGAAAGATGGTTCCTGAAGGTCTCGCCAGCGGAACTTTTAAGTGTGTCCCTCCTCCGCTTGTTGTTGGTCAAGGGCTCGAAGCCATTCAGGGTGCTTTAGATAGATGGAGGGAGGGTGTTTCATATCAGAAGGTTGTGGTTGAGCTCCCGTAGCTTGCTTAAGACTGAGCTCGGCATTAGTACATGGGATGATGGCTTGGTTCTGATCGTGACGTGAGAAGGAGACAGAATATCCAGAGTTGGCGACAGCAACGACGTATTGGTTCATGCAACATTGCTAAGATGGACCTTTTAGCACTATACGGCTGCATTTATATTGGTCGGTACAGCTTGACAGATGTTTTCCCCCCAGTTGTCATGGTTTGGACATCATACATGGTTGTCTTGAAGGAATTTCGAAATTCAGGCAAGGCTGAAGCCGGAAGGGGTTCAACGGGAAACATCATATTGACTGTAAAGACCACAAGTCTGGCCATCCTAGCTCCCAACGACCAGCTCACCAGCACGGCCGGCAAGAGTGGTTCTGAAGTGCACAAGCTACTACACCAGTACCGCATTCTAACTGCCAAAACCTGCATGATTCTGTTTGTTCCCAAAGCAGCTCATCCAGCGGAAACATGAAAATGAGGCTGCACGACTCTTTTCCCATCTCGATACCCATCCAAAACCTCATTGACCTTGTCCGCATCCAAGCCTTCCTCGAAAACCTCAAAGTGCGTTAACGGCTTGATCTTGCCATCCACAAGATAACCCGGGAGCATGTCCCAGAATTGCCTTGCAAACTCCCGATAGAGATGCGAGCTTCCATAGACATTCTTGACATCATATCCCGCCGGCTTCGGCCGGATCTTGGTGTCATCAGGCGGGCCGGAAGTCACGAGGCGGGCGAGCGCCCCCCTTTCCGTGTAGGACAGAGCATTCACGCCTAGATGCTGCTCGCTTGGATCGTTGACGGCGTCGTAGGCGTAAACGAGGTCGTCACCTACGACGTCGTAAACCCTGGCAAGGATGCTCTCTTCACTGCCGTGCCGGGACAGAACGTGCGTCGCGCCGTAGGATTCCAGCTCGGCTTGCTCTCCGCCCACAACGACAATTCGCCCGATCCCTGCCAGCGCCGCGACTTGGACGCCCAGCCTGCCGCAATTGCTGCCCCCGCCAATGATCAAGACCGTCTGACTAGCATAGTCGAATCTCGACGCGGCGGGGGTCCAAGGCGGAGGGAAGTTGAGCGTGTCTGTGTGGAAGAATGCTACCACTGGAGCCAAGAGGTTTGAGGGCAGAGTGGCAGCCTCGTCGTCGGAGATCGAGGCAGGGATTTTGGCGCTGAAGTCGACATCCACCAACGCATACTGCTGCAGCCCGTTCTGGGTAGAACCGGAACCGGAACTGCCTTGGGTGAAGATGCGGTCTCCCAGTGAGTATTTCGCGACTCCTTCAGCACTGGCGGTGACCCGGCCGACGATGTCGTTGGCTAGGACGGCGGGAAGGCGATCAGCGATTAAGAAGCCCCTGTCGCGGCATTTTTGATCGTGTGGATTCACCCCGGCGACCGTCACTCGAATCTGCACTTGAGATGGACCTGGATGGTGGATTTGCCGGTTCGTGATGAGCGTGAGAGGCTTGCCCACCTCGGTGACGACTAGAGCCTTCATCATCGAAGGTTCCACAATCTCTGTTGAATGTTGGTAGCCAGGAATGGTCCCCTCAGTCGCCTTTTTATCCGTTGTTCTTGCACTATTTACCTCACCCTCGGCCTCCTGGGCATCACCAAACGAGCTACGACTGGGACTTCCACAAAAAGTTGCCCGCCATTGACACAACTTCAACGCACTTGTGACTTCTTGATATTGGACCAAACTCTTAGCCATCCGTTGTAGACATCCATCTGTGTTTGAGGTAGCTCCACCGGCTTTGAAATCCTCGCTGACTAATGATACATACTGAAAAGATCAAGAGAGAGAGAGGGGGGGGGGGGGGGGGGGGTGGGAAAGCCAGCCATATTAGATTGTCTCTCAAAAGATGCGGCGGGCACTCCCCGAATACGATCTATCTCTAGCAGTCAGTGTCTTGACGAGGACTTTCTTAGATTGCTGCACTAGGCTCAAGAAGTAACGATATATAACAAGTTCGATGAGGATAGCATTGAGTAATGTTATATCTATCTATAGTCTGACTGATCCCTCTCAAGGTTATTGTTCCATCTGACACTTCTTGATAATTGATAGGATATTTGTTTCAAAGTCATCCGGTCTACACAAGCATTTTCCGGAATCTCCATCAATAATTTTCCAATCGAATGGATCGATCAGACTTCAACCACTCAACACTAGTCCCTTCAGTTTGTATACCTGATATGCTGAGAACGAAATTCCGAAACGTTGTCTCTTATCCACACATGATGGATCCGATGAAGAGGCTAGCTGACAGCTATCTTCATTTCAGGGCATTTCAGCTCTGATCATTTCAAAGCTTTCAAGAACATACTGACACGATTTCAGCGCCCCCATCGACAAGGTTAACTAGTAAGGATTGCTAACAGGTAGACTTGAGGCTGGAGGGCATCAGATTCTAGTTCAACTAAGGGTTGGTAGGAGTTCCCTCATTCATTCCCAGAGTGTTTTCACTGGGTATTAAGTCAGGAGGCAATTCCTGCTAACGCTACCCAGACGTCCTGGACCACCTCTGACTTAGCAAGCGTCTGAAGAGGGATTGTGAGAGTGCTTGTGATGGTGACGTCCTTTAGTTTCATCAAGGTACTTGACCATAGCGTGACCATCGACGCTTGATGATATTCTTTGGACTCGTCCGAGGCGTCCGTTTTTCGAGTGAAACTGTCTGCTTTTGGCCCTGGGTGCTGATGCTCAGACTTTCGACTTTTCAGCCTCTTTTGCGGTTCGCTTCTCCTTCTTGCGAGCATCAACGGCATGCCTCCAGCCTTCGCCCCAGACAGTGGTGGCCCATACGCTAACAGCAGTAACAATAAGAAAAGCAGTCGAGATCGTCGAGAACCAACCCACGCCGACCTTCTCAATAGCAGGCAAACAGACTGCACTGCCAGCCGCAGCAAAGAAATATCGGATCATGTAGTTACCGGCAACGACCTCGGAAGAGAGACCTTTAGCCTGCATGACATCCAGACAGTAGGTGTTGAGACTGGGAAAGCAGAACAGCTGCGCGACGCCTTGCACGAACATGGCGAGCACGGGGAGCGGAACACCTCCGACTTCCTTCTCGACCGACCATCCGTAGATGAGCATGCATGCCGGGATGACTCCGCCGATGAAGGCATAACAGGATCGAAGACGGTCTTCTGGGACACGCTTGTTCTTTTTTCGGATCCACTTCTTCACCATGTAGTCCGCCCAGCGTCCGCCCATGAACGTGCCGACCAGGTAGCCGCAGCCTGGGGCGATGTAGAACAGACCAGACTGGATAGGCGAAGTCAGGTGGAAACGTGGGTTCAGGACATACCGTACTGGAGTCAGCAGCGAGTACATGTTAAATACTAATGAGCTAGACGCCAGGCCAGCGAGTAAAAGATTCGGGTAAGTGAACAGGAGGGTCGCGACCCTGAAAGGAGACACGCCGATGATGATTTTCCTGACACGCTCCCTGCGCGGGAGTTCACGCAGTTCTTCGATCTTTTTCTCGGGAATGGTTTCGGGTAGGAAAAAGATGACCAAGATGGTGGCGAAGCCTCCGAGAGCGGACTGGAGCCAGAAGATGTCTCGCCACGAGCGGAAGGTGACTATTATTCCTCCGATGAAGGGCCCGAACGCAGGGCCGATTAGTGTTCCGCTGAGGAACCACCCCAGGGCCGTAGCGCGGGCCGTGGGTGTGTAGATATCTCCCAGGCAGGAGGTACCGACGATGAGGAAGGACGTCCCCTGGTAGGCGGTGAGCATACGAAAGATGAAATATGAAGCGAGATTAGGCGCAAGCGCGGTGCCGATGCTAAAGACGAAGAACAGCGCAGCCGTGATAATGCATATCCACCGGCGGCCGTAGATGGTTGATAGTGGGCCCCACAGACAAGGCGAGATGCCCATGAAGATCAAGTAGAGGGCGTTAGACAGGTTGATGATGCTGCCTGTGGTGTCATACGTGGCAGCGACTTCGGGGATGGCGGCGAGAATGGTCGTGGAGGAGATCGGGGCGAGAAAGCCACATAGTGAGAGGACACTGGTGATCAGGATCTTGCGTCGTTCGGTAAAGCGCTCGTACTGCGCGGCATTGACCTCGATATACGAGCTGCTGTGACTTGGGATGGCGTGGATGTCGTGGTGCGAGACTGTCGACCGGATCTGACACAGATCGTGCCTGCCATCACCAGAATGATTCTTCGATGGTGCTGTTGGAGTCCTTTCGAGGTCTAGATGGTGGGCCTCGACTGGGTCTGATTGGATGTGAATCGGACTGGCTCGTGAGATGATCTGGTCTCCTTCGATGGCATCATGATGGAGTTCGCCGGTCATTCTGATATCGGTTGAAAATGAAACAAGAGATATCCGTCAAACATTCCTGGTCGGGAATATAGTTTTCAAGAACGAGAGCGATTTGTGTATGGAAAGAAAGGTCGTGCGTCACTGAGCCCCCATAAGAAAGGGGGTAAAAGGGCTAGATATGAATGCTCATTCCCAAAACACGGTGAACAATAAGTGGACGAAAGTAGGTAACACTAAGGCAGGTTTCAGAAAATAGAAAATGACTCAGATTGAATGCTGGGGCAAGATAGGTTGGTATCAATGATCTCAGGGCGTGTCGACCGTCTTGAGAGACTTTCATCATGCCCCATACCGGTCTAGGGGGCCAGACTCCCTAAGCTTAATAGGGACCATATCCTTGATCATGACCAGTGGAAAGGAAGGTATACAGCGCCGGTCTGGCCGGTCTCTCGTCTCGATAACAAACTCTGCATTTGTGAGTACTACTCCAACAAACTGGAGTCCGAAGGAAAGGTACCGAGAGGAGCTGGACCAAATGAACATCCCGCCAAAAGGACCGAGATCGGACGTCTTGGGAAATTGAAGATAGGTCATTGGCTAAGCTTATCTGGCCTTGGTTGCCGGTTTCCGCTCTGGCGAATCACGGCGATGTTTAGCTCAGCATCACCGGCAGGGGACGAAGAAAAAATGTCTCGATGACCCCAACCGCCCAATGCTTTTTTGGCATTTCCTTCATGACGACGCTGCCGACGGGCCAGGAGGGACTTTCTCCAAGCCTCGTGTGGAGAATGTTCCGTCGGCTCAGAGAGTGGCGCAGTCGATATTGATGTACAAATGTATACTGGTGGAAGACTTTGCGCGACCCAGGCCAGGGTAACGTCGGCGTCAGACAGTAACCTCGCTGAAAGCATGGATGGGTATTCATATACAGAAGCGGCCACGATTTACAATTTCGATCCTGCAGCAGCCGACTTCGTCTTCAGTGAGTCTTTAAGCTGGCGTCTCAGGATCTTTCCGCTCGCACTCTTAGGGATCTCGTCGACGATATACAAGCCACCCCTCAACTTCTTGTGATTTGCCACTCTGGAGTTCAGCCATTTCTGAACGCCGTCGATAATAGCCTTGTTTTTCTTCGCCTTAGCACTCGGTTTGACCACGATGAACCCAACTGGAAGTTCGGTGGCCTGTTCCTCTACCCATATGCCAACAACACATGCATCAGCGATGTCAGGGTGTTCCAGCAGCTTCCCTTCTAGTTCAGACGGAATGACCTGCAATCCCTTGTACTTGATGAGTTCCTTGATGCGATCCACGATCGAAAGAAATCCTTCCTTATCGATCGTTCCGATGTCTCCTGTGCGCAGCCACAGCTTCTCGTTTTCATCTCTGGCAAACCCGTTGTCCGTTGCCTCCTGGTTCCGATAGTATCCTGTGGTGACATTCGGTCCACGACACCATAGTTCCCCCTGTTTGGAGGTGCCATTGGAATCTGTTTCCACATCTTTCATAGTCTCTGGATCGACTACACGGAACTCCATGCTGGGTGTTATATTGCCAACGGTGTGTTGTTTGTCAAGGCGTGAGACATGGAGAGCTGTTGCTAGAGGGCTGGTCTCAGTCATTCCCCAGGCTTGTAGCCCATACACTTTTGTCCCGTATAATTTCTTAAACCTTTGTTCGACTTCCCGACGTAACTCCACACTCAGAGGTGCAGCCGCGGACACGAGCCTTTTCAGACTGCTCAGATCATACTTCTCCACCAAGGGATGCTTCGCCAGAAACAACATCACAGGCGGCACCACCACACACATCTCAGGCTTGTGTTTTTGGAGGTTTTCTAGGAACACTTCAGGGTCAAAGCGTGGCAAAACGACCACTGTATTTCCCACCAGCAGGCTCATACATACATAATTGGTCAAACCGTATATGTGGCTCAGAGGGAGAAACGTCACATGTGTCGCATTTCCAACCACATCCTCTGGGAAGTGTACATGCCATTGTTGCAGGTTGGAGACCATGTTTCTATGGGTTGTCATCACGCCCTTGGCACGGCCTGTTGTTCCAGAGGAAAAGCACATGAAACTCAGGCGTTCGTTTGATTCACTAGGCTCAATGCTGACAAGATCGGTCACGGGACTTGTTGCGGCAAGAGACTCCGCCGTAGGGTTTCCATGCTTATCACGGTCTCCATTTGCTTGGATCAGTTGCACATGCGGCATCGACCTGAGTGTTTTCTCGGCGATTTCGATCACCGATGAATGAGCGATCAGAATCTTGGCAGAGGATGTTTCCAGTTGCGCCTGCAGCTCCATTGGAGTGTACGCCGCGCTCACTGGGGAGACCGTTGCGCCTGCCCCCATGATGCCATAACATGTAATGGCATAGTCAACGCTGTTGGGGCTGAAGAATGCGATGACGTCTCTTGGTTTGGTTCCTCGCTCTCTCAGCGCATGTGCGAGGGACTTGGTTCTCCGCTTCACATCAGCGAATGTGCGAACGGTTCCAGTTATCGCGTCCACATAAAGCGGTCGATCCTCAGGCGTATTGTTCGGATTTGAGAAGACGAATTTCACAAGGTCGATATCAACTGGCTTGATATCGGGGAAAGACGAACGATAGACCTTGACAGGCATCTGGGGCTACTGCAATGCGAGATAATAGCCCCAGCAGAGCAACGAGTGGAAATAGAGAAGGAGAGCGTAAGCGATCACAGTTAGAACTCGGCCCAGCGACAATGGAGCGAATCGAAGACCTTAAGTAAACAATCGTATTCTTCCCTTTCGGCCGCATGGTCAGAACAAAATGGGTCCCCGAGCAGTCTCCCAAATTCTGAGAGTAGTGTAGCCGCTGGGAGCCATCAGCGTTGCCTCTTGTGGAAGTCGGGGAAGCTCTGGGCAGCTGGCCGACTCTTTGGCATCTGCTCAGTTAGCTGAAATCGCAAGGATTGTGTTAGAGGGGGTGATCAATAATGGCTCGCTAGCGGCAGCTTTTGGTAAGCTTAGGGTTCAGACTTAGGTTTCAGACAAATACGAGGTCAGAGATTCCGAGGTAAAACAGAGGTGAAAAGCAAAACCTCGTGTCAGACACAGTCACAATTCGGAAGCCTCCCGAGATGGTTCTCAGCTTTTCCCGCGCTATCATCAAGGACAAGTCGAAACGACAACTTCGTCAGCGTCTGGAAGCTGGAGGCTGATTACTCTCGAGATAAAGGCGTCCTTCTGACAAGGTGGATGTCTCGGCTGGAGATCTTGATATTATGGATTAGTGAACTGACCACATGAAGTTAGCCCGACTGAGATAATCATGGGTAGGAAGTCTTGGTTTAATTTCAAGCTCGGCTTCTGTGGTTCATAGCCATCACTGATGTCAGCATATGTAATGAGATATGGGGAATGCACAACCTCATTATCCCAATTGGATCACCCTTGAGTATAAGAGTTGTAATTGCTGCAGAGAATGAAGTTCTAATGGAAAATACCAAATTCATGCCGACTCGAGGCTTGCGGATAATCGTTATTCCGTAACTTATGCATGTCAAGTTCGACTGCAAAGCTGTTCTAGACCCAACTAACCATAGCATTCAAACATAATACATTGTGTTAAAACACCAGCTATACATCCAATGCCTTGCCGACGATGAGTGAAGATCCCTGACTTGGCTTCGAGATGACCACTGCTTCTTGAAGCTTTTCCTCGCTGATATTCGGGAATTTCTTGAAGTAGTATTCTTCTTTCAGCGCTTCGACGACTGCGGCTACCTTACTTTGAGGAACTAAATGCACAGTGCAGCCACCCCAGCCGGCTCCAGTCAAACGAGCGCCGTATGCACCGGCTTTTCGAGATATCGAACAAATGTCGTCGATTTCAGGACATGAACACTCATAGACATCTCTGCATGAGGCTTGGGTTTGGTTCATGAGTCCGCCCAGTGATAACAGCTTATCTTGGTCAAGGCTTCCTGTGTTGGTCAGAATGTCTTTGAATTTGAGCACGCGCCCTGCTTCTTCCAATACGTGCAAAGCTCTCTGTTTGAGTTTGAATGAGTCCGCCCTGATTGGAAACTTGGACATATATTGTTTTTCAAGCTGCTCGACAGAGATTCCCAGGATCTGTGAGATGTCGTCTCGGGTGTAGCTGGATCTGTCAAGCTTGGCGTTTATGGCCTCGGTGACGATTTCCACTTGGGATCTTGCGTCGCTGTTGCCAAGTCCTTCTTTCTTGATCAGCTCTTCTTGGAAGTTCCGCAAGGAGAAGCCAAGAGAGCTGTGATCTGGATTTAAGGATATTTCATGTACTTTGGCCAGAACCAGGGTGGCTAAAGTTACTTCCACCACCCGTAGGTTGTAGTGAATTTGAGCAGTCACAGCCTTGTCCGACGTGACGAATGACTGCGCAATCAAGAACGTTACCTCCGGGTCAGAGGTGGGGACTGATACGTGTTCGGCAGAGAACTTGGGAAAGAATGTGCAGTAGAGCAGGTAGCCCCGTTCAGAGAATATTGAAGCAGCCTGGTCCATGCCTCCGGAAAAGACACCAACAGCACGCTCTGAGACGATGGAGAGGTCGAGAAGATCTTGTTTCGATATCTGGTGGTTATTGCCTGCCATGACGGCGAGAGCAGATGCACACACAAAAGCAGCACTGCTGGAGAGTCCGCCTCCTGCAGGGACATTGCCATCAATGAGTAGTTCTAGCCCGTTGGTCTTGAAAGCCTCGCCCAGCTTGTCACGAAGATACTTCAATGACCCGCTCAAGCCAGCCAGGAAGTAGTTGCTCCATGAGTGGTTCTCTTTATCCACTTCGACTGTGCCCGACTCAGGGACTGTCACATCCTTGGAGGGATACTTGGACGGGTTGGTATTGGCAATTCGAATGAGCGGTTGGCTTCCCGAATTCTTGATGATCCGGGCGGCGATCAGAACATCCACCGTGACTGCTGCAGGTAGGACGTTATATAAGGAATAATCGACATGTTCGCCAATGATGTTGACTCGGCCAGGACTCCGGGATACGAAATCTGGTTGCTGACCATATTGTTGCTTGAATGATTTTATCAGGTTGACAAAACGTTCCTTCAGGGCTTCAGGAACTTGGTTGCCCTCAGATGCACCAGCGTAGACCACATCTAAGCTATCGACTTGCGGGACTAAAGCAGCCATCCTGGAAAGAGCTGATAGATTTTCGGAGCGAGATGGTGCAAAACAGCCACTAGAGTATCGGATTTATATTGATGTATGAATCTCTCGGTGATGAATAGTTGGTCGTTAGAATGCTTTGGGAGTTTCTTCCAAGTGAAAATAAATATGTTTGGATCCGATGAGAAGGACTGAATCCGACTAGAGTCAAAGAGGAAAGTTTCGAGAATCAATTGTTGAGATCAGGGTAGAGTGGTATTGACGAACTTGGGAGTGCAAGTGTGTACGGAGTACTATTGCTAGCTAACCCATGGAGGGTGATGCGGAAAACTAGCCCACACTTGACGGCGCACAGGCGGAAAACTAAACCAAATCCATATCGGTTCTTTCCCCGTGGTCAATGTCACCTTGGTGGAAGCTAGTGTAGTCGTCTCTCATCCACGCCGTCCATGTCCACCTTATGTAAGCCCGTGGTACGGAAAAACGTCATTGCGACTTCCGGATAGATCCTCTTCAGCGGCGCAGCCTAGGCATCTTGCTGCAAGCCTCGTCCCATGGTGTTAGCCGCGAACTCACAGGACAACTTTTATCACCTCACACGATCTCCTTTTGACCTGGTCCCAACGGCAAGGGCAGCTTCACGCCTTCATTCTCCCTGCCCTTCTGTCTTCCTCGAAACTTCACGTCAGTGGAACTCAAGCTTCCGCCTCTAAACCCCTCTGAATCCTTCGGGCTCGACATACAGCACAACCAAAGGCCGCGTTAAATCTGCCCTCTCCTCCCCACCACCTACGCAATGAGTTCTGAAGACTCCGATACCAGCCTTCTAAATAACCCCGCTTCCTATACATCAGAAAACAATGCGCCAAGTCAGAGTGATCCGGAAAGACCTGCAAACCTCTCTCGCACCTCTACTTTCGGCAAGAAATGTTGGATATGTATGAGTGAAGCAAGTGAAGATGATCAGACAAACCCTCCAGTATGGAGATCACCGTGCAGATGCAGTCTGACAGCACATGAAGATTGTCTCCTAGACTGGGTGGCCAACCTAGAGGATCCAAAGACCATCAGGCGGAAAGGTCCTCCACAGATCCTCTGTCCGCAGTGCAAGTCGGAAATTAAGATTGCAAGACCAAGAAGTTACATTGTTGATGCTTATCGTACAGTCGACAGGTCCTTGGCCAAGCTCGTGTTGCCTGCCGTGGGACTGTCATTTTTGGGCTCGATGTGGACGGGATTATGGATTCATGGATTCAGCTCCGTCTATGTGGTGTTTGGTGAAAAGGAAGCCGAACGTCTTTTCAAATATGCCTTGTCATCTCGCCATTATGGCGCACTCGCAGCCTATTCTCTCGTTCCCATAAATCTGGTCCTTTCTCGCACCAACTATGCCGACTTTGTCCTACCATCAGGCACCCTGTTTATCTTGTCAACCCAGATCACTGAGAGGTTCGAAATCGACATGACCGTATGGCCTCCCTTGCCAAGTACTGTGTTCGCATGTCTGCCCGCCGTGAGAACGGCCTACAATTGGGTCTATCATCAAGCCTTTTGTGATTTGAATAAGAAATGGCTCTCAGAGGTGCAACCCCGTCACCAAGAGCCAGTTGAAGGACAAGAGAACAATATAGCAGATGCAGCAAATGCAGAAGAGGCAGCGGAAGCGGGAGCTCATGGAGGGCTTGTCATCGAGTTTGATGTTGATCTGAATGGTGATGCCGGAGGTGATGGTGGAGATGAGAACGAGGATGAAGCTGGTGATCAACCTGCTGGGGGGGATGGTCAGAACGCTGCTCAGCCTGGAAACAATCATGTCCACCGGTTATTGGGTGATCGCGGGGATATGATTGTGGAGGGGACATCGACGATTGGACAGACTATCTTTGGCGCGCTGGCGTTCCCTATCGTGGCATCTGGGATGGGCAGTCTCTTGAAGCTTGCACTGCCATCGGCGTGGCTAGGCTCTGCCAACACCATGAACGGCCGGCCAGGTCTCCTCCGAACGAAGTGGGGAAGGAGTGTAGTGGGAGGAGCTTTGTTTGTTGTGTTGAAGGATGCGCTGGTGATTTATTGCAGATGGCGACTGGCTCAGAGTCATCGGCAGCGGCGAATCATGGACTACAACAAGGTGACGAAAAAATACGTGACATGATATGTTTGGATGGGATGAAAGCAGCCGGTAGTACGTCTTCTCAAGCGGATAATGCAATGAAGAGAAAGACAGAAGGAGACCGTTCTTTGCTCATGTCTTAATGCAATAAGATAGATACCCCCAGATGTCTAGAATCTACATCTTGCTAATGCCTCGGACTTGACATGAAATGTCTACTAGACGTGTGGAGTTACTGGTATTTCAAGTGAGCGCCCCCCCCCCCACCTTGAATGCCAGAATCTCGTCACGTGCTTCTTGTTTGACTCGCGTGCAAGTGGCAGCAAACACGCCAAGACGCGAGCCTCGCGCCAAAGAAACTTCCCAATCGTAGCTGCGAGCTTTCTCTTCGAAGAGTTTCAATCTCATCGACAACATCGACCACTTTCCTTCACAGCAAGTTCGAATCCCTTTCTCCACGCGCTTATAGTGTGGGGCAGATACCCTCTGCAAACTCGTCGACGGTGATAACGAAAAACGATGCACGCCTCATCGATCCGCTCTGCTCTTGCAAGCGCTTTTCAAATCCCACTCCGCCCGTCTTCGCAGTCCAAAGCTATCCGCACTATACAACCAGCGCGTTTGCCCGCTCTCAGTTCGAGCAGAACCAATGGCATCGCCACATCCACGACACCGAAATCATTGGTGGCATCGCTACCGAGCTTGAGATCATCGTTCTCAACGACGGCCACACGCTCTGCGAAGAAAGGAAAGGGTGCAAAGAAGGATCAGAGAATCAGTGAGTGACCGGACTGGTTTATGGACCCCTCTTCTTTTCGCGTCTTCCCACGCCTATTTGTCTTCTGGTGCTATGCGAGCACTTATTTGCGTCATGCGGCTTCCGGCCTTCGGAGGATACCCTTCCTTCGATACCCCCGCTTCGGTGCCCCCTTTCTATCTATGGTGCTATCTATATACCTTGGATGCCCGTTTTCGGCATGAGAGGGTGAAGCTTCCCGACTTCGATGCGTGCTCAGTCTGGTGCGCGCTCTTTCTATATGCCCACATAGCTATAGCATTCACTCGCTCCCTCCGCCCCGTCTCCCTCTGCACTGTTCCCACCGACATTTCCGGTCCACTGACACCTTCCCTCCTTTAGCTCTAATCCGATATTTCCTACACCACCCAACGACCCTCCAACCGCGCCCGCTCCGCTTTTCACGCAACCGTTACTTGCGACACTGGACGATCCAGCGGGCATGGAATCTATACCAATCAAAGCTTAAACAGCACCGACAGCTCGAGCTAGAACGGCAGTACAACGCGATGGCGGCGGCGAACGAAGAGCTGCGGATGGGCGCGGGCGACGGCGGGCGGCTGTTCCGCAGGGGCCAGATGAAGACCGGCATCTGGAGCATTCCGGAACGCGGCGGTGGTGTGCCGATTGAGTATGCAAGGGGACTTGTAGAGTGGGTCGGCTCGACTGGGATGGGTGGCGTGGGGGCTGAGGGTTCTTTGGGCAAGAAAGCGATGATTTGGGATGCTGAATGGAAGCGCTTTTAGAGAAGCTGCAGAGGGGTTTCGATGTGTGATTCAATGGATGGATGGAATTCCCTCGATGTGTTGGGTCCGCCCGATTTGGTCATCTGGGTCGCCGTGTGATTCCTGTTGCTCCTTTTGTTGCGGAAAGAGAGGGAAAAGGCACGTGCTAGCTATGGCTCCCAACCAAGAAAACTAATCTGGCTGTGAGACGTTCTCGTGAAGCTATGGCAACGCAAAATGGGGCTTCATATGGGACGCATTGGGGATGGGAATTGTACAATATGCGCCCGACAAAAAACATTAAACCACCATTTACTCAGTGGTTAAGTGCGCAAGGCCAGTGAAGTATATCAAAGTGGAGTTCACAAGAATCATTACAACAAAATATGTATCTATACATCATCCAGCTTTTTGGTTTCCTTTCATCCGAACCCTAACTCCTTTAGATTGTATAAATTCGTATAAGTCAGAAAGCAAGAAGGAAAGTTGGAATGAGAGAATCCTTCATTGTAGATCGCTAAGGTCGAGCAAATAAAAGGTTAAAGGCATGAGACAAAATGGTCGTTTTGCTGAGCTTGATCGTCAATTGAAGACGTAAAATGAACCGGGGCTCCGATGGTATGCCCACCCATTTGACACAAGTAGGTGCCGTGAAATATGCCTTTCATCACGGATCGTTTGCATCCGTGTTTGTGGAGATGGCCGTCAAACTCCGTATAGAAAGTGCCTCCATCATAACCCGGGGTCCGAAAATGGATCGTCACGGAAATTCCAGCTTTTCCAAGATAGAAGGCAGCGTCAGAACAGCCTATTCAGTCGTTGCTTAGAGAATGACGCAGCAACCCCCACCACCTTGCTTTCCATCAAATTTTAAGAGTGCTGCTCTGGTGGCTGCTTCAAATACATCATCGACGCCTTCGCCTGTCAAACTCGAACACTCAAGGTATTTGCGAGCCCCGCAAGCTTGTGCCATTTCTTGTCCCTCTCGTGCGGTGACAAACTTTTGGCTCCTCTTTCGCATTTCTTCGATGGCGAGCGGGTCTTCTCTGAGATCTTTCTTCAAACCGACCAGGATGATGGGTACTTCAGGACATCGCTCTCGAGCTTCTTCGATCCATTTATGCCGTACGTTTTCTAAGCTGTCTGGGCTGTCGACACTGAATCCAATGAGGATGACATGTGATTTAGCGTATGCTAGGGGTCTCAGTCGCTCGTAGTCTTCCTGTCCGGCCGTATCCCATAATGCTAGCTGAACGGAACGACCGTCCACTCGACAGTCTGTGACGTAGTTCTCGAAGACGGTAGGTACATAATGTGTAGGGAAATATCCTAAGGTGAAGACGGAAAGTAAAGATGTCTTGCCGCAAGCACCGTCACCTATTATGACAAGTTTCCTGTTCAATGATCAGTAGATGCTTGGCTTACGCGAGGCTGTAGTAATTATAAACCGAAGAGAACGGCCAGGGTTATGGCTGGGTGGTGCCCGCAAGAACGTACCTTCGCATGACATTTTGTTGTGCCTGATTTTGAGTCATGGTTGGGAGTGTTCAGTCGACTCGACACCGGGTGCGGGCGAGCGACTGTGAAGGAGTTGAGAACTGATTGAAGGGGTGTGGATGCGCCTCTTTAAAGATTGGTAAGTGGTCAGGGAGATGGAAGAAGGCGACGTGAGCGGGACAGAGGAGCTCTTATAGCGAGCTGAGGTGTGGATCAACTGTGAGCGGTGTGCGACGTAACTGTAGTATTCAACTAGATGTATGGTGCAAGTCTCGGAGGTGTTGTAGCAGATAGACGGCGGCAATTCAGTCTCAAACTCGGTCTCAGTCTCGGGACTCTGAACAAACTCGGGTGGTCTCAAAAGGCGTAAGGTAAATGCCTGAGACTAGTTCGAAGGTTAGAATGGTCGTTCGTGGGGTCCAGAGAAGGCTTGTCCAACAGGAAGGCGGAGTGGTGAGGCGCAGCCACAAATAGACACCACAGTAAGGGAAATCCAATGGTTAGGGGATAAGTAGTTGAGTATGGGGAGGCTGCGATGGAGAAACGGATGCAGGATTGAGAGAGTTTTGGATGGGTGGTGGACTGAACTGAGCAGTTGAGAGATAGAGGTTGGAGGGTGGAAATGAAGACGCAGACACAGACGCAGATGGAGAGGAGATGGTGATGCTGAGGCTTGGAGCAAGGAAGGTGCTGGTCAAGAATAATTAGCATGCACCCAGCATCGCATCTGGCTTCCGAACCTTACGGTTTCAAATGACACTACTCGGACGTCTGACAGGGAAGTGCTATCTCAGCGCCGTATGCGTCTCCGTACAAGCTGCATTTCCGGCTTCTATCGCTCACCCGGCTCTCTTGCCCCACGATGTAACGACTGCAGGTGCAATGTCCTCTGGAACGGTCAATTGCCTCAGACTCTATCCCATTTTCAACAAACAACTCACCCATCCTTCCCTCCCGCTCTGGCGGTTTCTCTTTAACCAAGATGCCTTCTAAGAAGAAGGGGACCCCGGTCACCAATGCTGCAAAACCTCAGGCTCTCCCTCTTACCCACGACTCCTCCAAGAATGGCGATACCACCGAATCTGCTGCGGAACTTCCACAGCCTCAAATAAACCGCAAGAAGCAGAAGAGACGGCAGAAGGAGGCTGCCAAACGAGCTGCCGAGAACGACATCCCTTCATCGAACGGACAGCAGCAGAACGGTATCCTTCCTCCCATCAAACAAGGTCGAGGCCCTGTCAAGGGTTATTTTACCGAGGAGCCCGATTATATCGAACCTCAAGATCCTTCAACATACCCCGAGCTTGGAAGCCCAGAAGAAGCCTTCTACAGCGGTGATGATGACCCAGCTTATGCTCCCCATGACGAGTCCCTGCATGACAGCTCATGGCTACATACAAGCAAACGGAAGAAGTCCAAAAACAAAAAGAACCACCTGGATGACTCAAATCCCATCTCAAGAACATCAACCGCCTTGTCCCGTTCCAACATTCCTCCCATGTCCAATGCCGCCATTCGCGCTTCTCATAAACTGTCAAATGACCAGATCTGGAATACTTCTACTCAGGCTGAGCGAGAGAATATTAAGCAATTTTGGCTGGAATTGGGCGAGGACGAGCGGCGGTCGTTGGTCAAAGTGGAGAAGGAAGCCGTACTGCGAAAGATGAAAGAACAGCAAAAACACTCTTGTAGTTGTTCGGTATGTGGACGTAAGCGGACCGCGATCGAGGAAGAACTTGAAGTCCTCTACGATGCATATTACGAGGAACTCGAACAGTTTGCGAATCACAACGGCGATATTTCGAACGCTCCCCAACTAATGGCTCCCGCTCGGACACCATTCAGACGAGTCGCTCAACCCATGGCAGGCTCCTACCCTTCCCGGGGAAGAGTACATGAGGTTGATGAGGATGAGGATGACCTTGAGGACGACGACGAATATGACGATGACGATGACGAACCTTACAGCGACGAAGAAGGCGACTTTGACGGTCATGGTCTACCTCCAGGTCCACCCGATTTCTTCCAGTTTGGGAATAGCTTGACGGTCAAGGGTCAGAGGACATATCTTTTTACTATGAAGAATGTTCAGGCTAACTGGTAATCTAGATGGCATTCTTACTGTGGCAGACGATCTGTTAAAGAACGACGGCAAGCACTTCATAGATATGATGGAACAGTTGGCTGAGAGGCGAATGCAACGTGAGGAAGACATTCGCTACCCTTCCTCTGCATATGCTCATCGTGATATTCATCAAGGTCACAATCATCCTCCTATAGACGATGATGACGATGATTATGACGACGAAGACGATGAGGAGTACGATAGCCAGGAGGAGGACGATTTCGAGGGCGACGAAATGGTACATCTTCCTTCTACCTTTGCCCATATAAACGGCCTTGCTAATGCTTCACAAGGACTCCATGACCGAAGAACAGCGAATGGAAGAAGGTCGACGGATGTTCCAGATATTTGCCGCTCGGATGTTTGAACAACGTGTTCTAACGGCATATCGAGAAAAAGTTGCCGCCGAACGTCAAAAGAAATTACTCGAAGAACTGGACGAAGAGTCTCGACTTGACATCCAGCGAGAAGCAAAGAAAGCCCGTGAGGCTGCCAAGAAAAAGGAGAAAAAGCGACTCCAGAAGCAGGCCAAAGATGAAGAAAAGGCTAAGAAGGATGCTGAGAAGCTTGCTCAAGAAGAGTCTATTCGGAAACTTGAAGAAAAGCGGGCAGAAGAGCAGCGTCGACGTAAGGAGGAGCAGAGAAAGAAGCGCGAAGCCGAGAAGAAAGCTGCCGAGGAAGACAGACTGAGGAAAGAGGCAGAAAAGCACCGAAAGCAGCAAGAACAGCGCGAGCGACAAGCCGAAGTCGAAAGAAAACAGCGTGAAGCGAAAGAACGGGATCGCCTAAAACGAGAGGAAGCCAAGAAGAAAGAACGTGATGAACGAGAAGCAAAAGAAACAGAGGCTAGAGAACGAAAAGCCAAGGACGACAAAGAGAAGAAAACCAAAGAAGACCAAGCCAGAAAGGAAGCATCTGTGAGGACCGAGAAGGAAAGCAAAAACCATGTTGGTCAACATCTGCCTCAAAAGCACCAACCAGTGGCACTTCCACCTGGTCTACATCCTGCTCCTAAGCCTTCAAACGTTCAGTCTCCTCATTTCCAAATTGCAACACCTGTTGTCCCTCCCAAAGTTCCGACACCCGGTCGAAATCGGCAGACTTCTCAACCCGGACATCAATCACACGGCTCTTCCCCACGATCTCAGAAGGCGAGCACGGAAATTTCGAGGAGTTCCGCTTCACCTGCAACTGTATCAATGCCTCAGACTCCTGGACCTCCGCAAACGACAAAGACACATGGTCACCCACCTGTCTTGCACCATCCTCAACCGTCAGCCCCTAGGTCTCCTCTTAACAATCATGGCCGCGGTCAGTATCCATTTAACATGAATGGCCTTCCTGGCCTGGGTGTCAATGGAGCTCCTATGGGACCTGGCATGATGCCAAACATGATGCCACCCATGCCCATGTACCAAGGTCCACCTCTGGGGAACCAGCAGAGGTTTGCACCAAATGGAATGCAATATCCGCCAGGGTTTCCGCGACCATATCAAGGACACCAGATACCATTTGTGCCTCCCGGCCCAGGTCAAGTCCCAGGGATCCCGAATCCACAGCCAGTCTCAAAACCACCGCCACATTCGCGACAACCATCTGGCGATGCTACAGGTCAACCAGCACCTATCGCCCGACCTGGACCTATTGCTCGACCCTCAAGTACCACTCCTGATAAGCAAAAACATCAACAAAAATCACCGGATGCAGAGCTCGACCAGCTAACTACCCAACTTGGAAGTAAGGCACTCTTGGACGATTCAGATGAGCCTTTCCTAGGGGCTCCTGATGGGCGCATGACCCTTCCTGCTCTTGGTCCACCGGGATCCTCGAGAATGCCTTTTGCAAGCGGGTTTGGAGAACCTAAACAAGAAGCCTTTGGCTTGGGCACTCCTGGCTGGGGCGGTTTCAACCCTGTTGTACCGGCGGCGGGAAATTGGGGACCTCCTCCAAATGCGCGTGCGAACGCCGGCTGGTCACAACCGCCCTTTGGAGCTATTGGTAGCGGACCCCAGCCAATGTCAAGGCCCCACCTTCCACGGCCGGTATCCGTCAGACTCATGCTAGTTCAGGCTTGTCGTCAACTATCCAGTATGCCTGGAGGAAGTCCGGACGGCTATCACCCTGTGCAAAGTGTTGTTCGCCAAGTCAATTCCATCAAAGATCCTAGCGAAGCGGTTGTGTCGATGGAGGAGATGTTGGGCATTTGCGACACGGAAGGCAATTCCCAGAATGGTGGTGGCTCCTTTGAGGTAATAATCGACAAAACGAGGGGACATGTCCTCAAATTTGTCGAGGAGGCATCCAATCAGCCGAGGAATAGCGTTGGCGAGATTCGAAGTCCCAACCTAGGACATAGTCAACATGTTCAAACTAGTCCTTTTGGTGGTATCGGGCAAAACAGCTTTGGGCCTCCTGGGAGGAGCTTTTAGTGGTCGACTCCTCCAAGAACAAGGGCAAAAGCTGAGAACCAGGTCGACGATCGACTTCTTGAGATGTTTGTACTCCACCGTCGAAGCAGATCAACGAGGTGACCTGATGATCAAGGTTACTAGATGCATTCGTGGCTGTATGGATGCTTCCCGTTGACTTGGCAGGGTATTGTTACACCTCGTCTGGCACTGCGAAAAGGGCGGGCATCTCATTTCATGGTGTTTAACTCTGCCCTGCCCTTACACACTTTAATAGCGTATTGTTGCTACTGGGGAGTGAATTCTATGCACTCTCACTCCATCTGTTCCTGTTTGCTCAGTCTTATGGAATTGGGAAGATTCACGGCATGCCTCTCGGGTCCGTCATGCCATGCGATTAAGGATTAGGGGGCAAAGGGATTCGGCATCACATCCTGCTCCGACTGCATTTTTTAGTTTTCTGTGCACTTGGAAACTAGGATTTTTTTCCCTCACATATCACACCTCCCTACCTTCCCCACCCATTGATATCGCTCATCAAGCTACCGAATTCAAATTAATCAAGGCATTTTCTAGGTCCTGTAATTTGGGTTTTTCACCTGTGTTTCTATTTCTCTCTGTTGTTCTCTTCCGAGCCAGTTCCTTGAATGAAACGAACGAATCTATTTGTTGTGCTTGCACTTCCCTCATAAGTACATATATGCATGTTGCTCTTTAAACCCCCCCCCTTTTGTTTTTAAGAAACCACAAGATAAGATCCGAACTGATTCTCCTCCTCCTTCATCTTCTCTCTCTTTCTCTCTCCCCTTGTCAGTCCCGGGTGGCTTGTTATACCATCCATATATATTCAGATCACCGCCCGAGCCTGACTTGGCGAGTAAGTCTCAGTCTCCTCCGCAAAGTAAAGTAGATCTATTTCCAAATGAAAGAGGACTGGACTGACTAGTCTAGCGCTGTGAATCTGGGAGAGTGAACGAACGTAAGACTATCTAGGGATGGCTGGGCTTCCTTCGTAACCACCATTCCATCGCTGTTATGCAGCTTCTGTACGCAGATACATCTGATCTCCGCCATTTGAGCGGGGTTGTCGGCGTTGTAGCTGACTCGTGATGTTGTTGAGAGGCTTGATTTGTCAGCCGGCCAGCCAGCCAGAAAGTCGGTCAGATATCTGTGACTGGTCACTTTTAGGGCACATCGGTGCGAAAGCCGTCGGCAGCGTCGTTGTCCCAGCTTTTGGTGGTGGTGGAGGTAGCGTTGCCACTGTCACCGCCGGCGTTAAAAAGTTGATGCATGCGCTGTAGCGTTTCCTGGTCTTGCTTTGGCTCTGTTTGGAAAGAGATTGGCGGCATGCTTGTGCTGCTGGCTCCGTAAGTGTTGTTGTTGTAGTTATGACTATCGTTGTAGGACTTTCCAAACCCATTCTCGTGAGTCGAGAAGGGCACAGACGTCAGTGCCGGCGTTGGAAGACTGCCTGGGTTCCCCAGGGTCTTGAGCAACGTCATGTAGAAGCGGGCCTCGTCGATGCTCTCCAGCACATCCTCGCGCGCACTGTGGCGCAGTTGCTTGACGGGCGCGGCGGCCAGGACTTCAGGTGGCGCCCAGCGCCGCAGCATCTCCTTCGTCGCGCTGACGTCGAATAGTCGGTAGTGCAGGTGCGCCAGGATCGCGTCCCACGGGGGAACCATCAGGAAGGCCCGGTCTGCGTGGATTGAATTCCCCGCTAGGAGCGCCGTCTGTGGTGTTGGGATGTATGTTTTGATGTACTGGAGTATTTGCGCCGCGGCGAGAGTCGGTGTCGTTGAGGTGTTTGGGTTGAGGCATAGAGTTGTGAGCCCCGTCGATGTGTGTGTTTTGGTGCACCACTCTGACATGCTTGCGAGTTGTGCTTCACTGTGATTGATGCACAGTGTTAGACCTTCGGGTTCCAGCGGTGTGAGGTCGGATGTGGTGAGGAGAACGGAGATGCTAAGGATTGTGTCGGTTCGGGAGTCCAGACCGGTCATCTGTGCGTGGCGGAGAGATAGAATTAGCTTTTTCCTGATTTTGGTGAGATAAGGGGCCCTGAAATGGAAGTCTGCAAGAGAGGTTTTCCATCTCAGCGAAGCATAGACAAAGTGATAGAGTGGTGGAGGAATGGAGGAATGAACGGAGCTCCAGCCAGTGCCGCATTTTCCAAGCCTTCTCCTAGGCTGCATTGGCCGTCCATGCCGTCCATGCCATGGATTGAACGGGACATTCATCAAGAGGAACAAGAACCCAGCCCAAGCCACAGGTTCATTTCTGAGCCCGAACCCTAGACTTGCCAGAAGCACAACCGGCCTATTGGCAATTGATGCACTGCAGCACTATTGTAACATGGTCCAAGACAAAGAGAGAATTACAATTATGTTTTCCCTCCTCCATCCCAAGTTAGGCCAGTGAAAAAAGTCTAAAACCCTCCCGGGGGATCCGTGCCCTGATATCGAAGCAGAAAAAGATGAAATGAAATGAGCAATGTACAAAGAAAATCATCCACTTACCTCACAGTCAATCCAAACGAGAGGATCAGTCGATCTCGTCAAAGCCATGGTCTCTTTCTTTCTTTAAAAGAGCAATTGATCCTCCTCTTCTGAAGCTTGCCGGCTCTTGCCTCACTCGCTTTCAGAGCGAGAGTCCAGAAAATGGGCCCGTTTACCTGTGCGGTGTCAAGGAGACCGGGCCGCGTTGAGTAGAGATGTATTTGATATTGTTGAGTCGAGGGGTGAATAAGTTTGAACCCGTGATCCGTGAGCCAAGACGTCGAGCAGAACAGGACATCAATTGAACACGCGCTGGAAGCTTTCCCACAGCAGTGTCGTATTTCGCCGTTTCCGCCAGTTGCTATGCTAGTAGTATAGGACGAGCATCGCCCTCATTGAGGCCCCTAGCAGAATAACACTGGCAGAGAATATTTGGCAGCGATCGGCGCGCTCCTTTTTCGCCTCAATGCTTTAAGCAAAGGATCTGCGTCTCGCGTTTCTCTAGCTTGGTTCAGACGTCATCCACCCAAACTGAGAAATTAGAAAGGTATTCGTCTTCAATTTCTCGACTCCTGGCAACATCAGATGTGATTCTCCTCTCAAAGGAAGGACAAGAAACGTAAGGTTTTAAACCCTCGGTATGCCAAATGACGATGAGGGGTCCTTTGTATTGAAGCGAGCGATGAGAGTCATGGGACAATGCGGTGCGGCCGATGACGATATACCACGGGAAAAGGGAGAAGACACAGCCATCATCGTCGTTGAGTGCCGGCGAATCGGACGGCGTGTGGCGCTTCCCATAGTGGCGAGTCGCGGTCCGGGTGCCAAGGATCTGGAAACTTTACATGCTTACTCTCGGTAAGTACGAGAAGTACAGTGTAGGTACTTCACTTTCGTGGTACTTGTAAAGTGTCGAGATAACATGAGGCTGATGTGTGAGAGGCTTCAATTGTCATGGTAAGGTGGGAAATGCACACTGATGGCTGGAGAAGTTTAGATGTTTTTCTTTTGAATCGATCAATCGACTGTTTTCTACACTCCGGTGATCCCGAAGTACAGGCAATCCCATGCATAGATGGCTTTCCTAGCAGCCTCCATAAAGAAGAAGTTGGTGAGAATTTGGTGAGTAGTGGTACAATGACCAACCAAGAACACGAAGCGGATTGTTTCAGCCGCTAGGAAGAAGACTAGACTATGTGCCAACCTGTTTCACAACAATTCCATCTTTCTTCACCAAGTCATGTATGCCTCTCGCTCCTCGATCCTATCATGCTTGACGCGAGGTGAACGCTCCTTCCTATGCCCCTGTTTTGGCAGAGCCTGTCTCGTTTCATACCCCCTTGCTCAACAAACGAAAAGTCTTTGTAATATTTAGATACGCCTAGCGGGTGAAGAGGAAATTTCCTTCCGACGAAGAGCCACCTTGGCCTTTGTTGCATGGGAGTTGATTGCTCCGGAGATTGCAGAGAACATGAATGTTTAGAGTCTTTCTGATGTCATGCTGAAGGTCATCCTGGTTCAAAAAAGGTCCAATTCTTAGGAAGTCCGGTATTGGATGTCTTGCAACCACCGATTGTTGGGGTTTCGGCCAAACAGCCACCAAGCGGAAAGTCCTACCCATGAGCTCTGATCATAGTTCGTCGTCATCTTGAACGGGGTCCTTCACCAAAGCACCACCAAACTGGAGCCCGGAGGGATTTGTCGTGGGTGATGACGACTGCGGTTGTCCAGAACCAAGCACTTCGCCAATTGTGCTAGACGATGCTGACAAACCAGTGCCTAGTCGTCTCTTGATATCCTCGTCGAATTCCGCAACGGATGCCCGCTGACGCTTCATCGGACTCCCAACCATAAAGCTCTCCTCTTCTTTTTTGGTGTCCAAACTCGTTCCAAGGGCTGATGAATTGAATCCAGATGGGGAAGTCCCCAGCTCGTCTCCGACTTTGGGCGTCGAGGCGGCTGAAGGGCTTCCAGACTTTGAAGTCTTACGTGCCTCGGTCACACCATTACTATTCAGCGGCTCGGCAGAATGTTGCCGTTTGAGCTGATGATATCTTAGCCCGTGCCGGAATTTCAACGGCGATGGATCTCTTACCTTCATTTTACGGATCCCCTCCGCCACTTGGCCTGTACGTTCAGCATCTTCAGGAGACAGCATGCCAGACTCCTTTTTGATGTCCGCATCGTTGATGTCTTCCATCTTGCCAATAATGCCGGTATCCTCATCGCTTTCACTTTCCATTTCGTCGTCACTACTCCGCTTATTCTTCCGCGTCTGCCGTGTTTCTACGTCCCGGAATTTCGAGAATCCAGCACCACCCTCTTTCTTGAGAGGACCAAGCTTTGGGATATCTGCGACTATACTGCGTCTCTTGGTGGTGGCGGCCGCTTTATCTGCCTTGGCGCCTGGGAGAATGCCCATCTTTTGAAGCTGGCGCTCTCCACGATACAGGAAAGTGAAGACCGCATATGGTTTGTCCGTTGGATCAATACCAGTGACAGTCTGGGTTGAGATGGTTTTGGGGTCCAACGTCTTTGGTTTTGCGAAGCTAGTGGTGTGGTCAACGTCGGCGCGACCTGTACCGTCACCATTCTTAGTAGCTCCTTCCTTGCTATCCGAGTCTTCATCGTCATCATGTGCATCAAATTGAGGAGAATATTCTCCCCGCTTGATTTCACCAGATGCTAACACCCGGAAAAGAGCAACCTTGATCTGGCCGGCGGTTTCTGGAATGGGGTCATCGTCGTCATCAGAGGATCCAGTGTCGCTCAAAGAACCTTCTTGGTCGGACACATCTTGGAGATCGCCGTCTTCGCCATACCTCATCATGCTTTTTCTCCTCCGGGTGGCGTTTGAACTGCCATTTGTTTCATCGTCGCTGACAACCACATCCTTCCTCTTTCGTCTTCTCTTCTCCAATTTTTGTCGTCGTCTTTCGATGGTTGCGGCTGCATCCTTACCATCAAGGTCAAGGCCATTCAACCATCGCTCAAGGCCAACTTCACGAAACAAGAATTCTCTCTCTGCAAGCCCGCCACCCTCTTTTTCGGGAACGCTGACCCACCGAGAGTTGACCCACGTTTCTTCACCCTTCCGTAATAGAGTAGCCACTTCCTCTTTGGCCCTGCCATCGAAGTAGATATATGCGGCAATGGTCTCATTTGGAGAGGTTGTCAAAGGGACATAAGGACCGATTGTGCCGGGAGATTTGGCAATGTCACTTGTGTGACCTGGAAGTCCTCCAACAAGCTTAGGTTTCGGATTGGGTCGTTCCGGAGTACTTTTGGGTGTCGAGTAGGGTACTTCTTGGTTAGGGGTGAGCAGAGTGATGGAAATGGCAAATGTAGATTGTTCAGGCTTGCCAGTGACAGAGTCGGCAGGTATCCGCGCAGGAGGGACAGGGATATATGTGCTGATTCGAGACAGGCGGGATGTTCTCTGTACCGAGTGTTCTGGTAAAGGCCCATTTGGGGTGTGTATGCTCACAGCAAGGCCCTTGAAGCAAGGCATGGCGAAGGGGAAAGAAAGGATTGAATCGGTAGATGAGTCTTTAGATCTCCGCTGTCTGCGCAGGGCAGAGGCGGCGGAGAGGGGATTCCGGAAGGAAATCCAGCAGAGAGACTTGTTAGGTACTTAGAGATTCTTCCTCTTGCTAATCTTCAGGGGCTCGATCCTGAAGGCATCCAAATGAAGTGAGAATAAAAATTCGGGTGAAGTGAAGTCGGGGTTGTTAGGAAGGATTGTCTACTCCGCAGGTCGGGCGGAGACGGTGAGCTGTCCGGGTTGCCAGTTGGGCAGGATTGAGGATGGGGGACCAGAAATAAAGCAAAGCCTGTAAGGCGAGGAGAGGATGCCGTGCAAATGTCAGAGAGAATTTGAATGCCGTAGCCGCAGTCAATAGATCGTGTGCAAATGGAAATTCGTGGGTGTTGCTCGTCCTGGTACAGAAACCAATCCACGAGGCAGACGCAGAGACACTGGCAATGCAAGTGCAGCTGCCAAGCGAGGTTGACCGTAGCTAGGCCGTTTTCAGACAAGGCTGTCACTAACTGCTTTCTGCCTGACCTCGAAGCTTCAAGGCTGAACCCGGGGAAATTCATCCTTGTTCGAGCACAGGCCCCTGAAACTTTGTATCGGCAGCCGCATCTTCAAGTACCAGACAGCTAATTCGTCGCAAACCTATCCAGATGGCGAGAAATCCAACTGTCTGATGACGAGACATGTTTACTTCAGAAGGTAAAACACTGACTTGCGGAAAGCTATGCACGGCAAATAGATTACCAGCCTTTTGACAAATTGTGAGGTGACACTGTTGCTTTCCTGATTGCTTGCTGGGGCCATGAGAGCCGATGTTTTTCATCATGGCTAGTATCAACGTGCTAAGTCTGACATGGCAAGCATTGTCTTGTTGTAACACGAAACATCGACGACAAAGAGTCAAAGAAAGCATCAGGCATGAGCAGCAACGGCTACGCCAGAAGACTGCAGTTGATCCCACGCTTTCTGCTACTAGACTATTGGGAAAACTGTACTCCTTCAGGTCTATATGTGCATAAAAAGTAAGTGGTGGCTGGTTGGTTCCAGTGTCACAAGGCTGGATTTGAGCATTGCTCAGACACACGCACAGATCAGAGCTCGCTCCATGACAGAGGTTGTGGTCTCAGCCCAATCAGGATGTCGTTTCTGAGGTTCGTGCTCATGAAGAATGCCAGGGTCATATTGATATGCAGCGACAGCGATTTAATTGGCGATACTGGATTAGTGTATCACATAGGATGGACAGCCATAATTATCTCGGCTCTTCCAACTGTGTCTGCGAAGGCACACTGGCCCCCAGACTGTATCCGTACCTACCTCGGCAGGTAGCTAGGAACTATGCGGAAGTTAGTATATACAAAGAGCAGCAAGTGTGGTGTGAGCCCCTTTTTTTTTTTTGCTTTGGACCCCAGAGGAAATCCCGGATTAATTTCTGTTGAGGTTTCTCCGTTCCAGCCAATGAGCGTGTCCGTTTTCGCCGGGAAGTGACACCCTGCGGAAGGAGCAGGTGGAAATACAGTGGCAATGACGTTGTTGTTGGGTGGCTCCTGCCCCAGAAAGTCGGATGGCATTCAATCATTTTGGCACCTGCCACGCCCACGCCGACGCACCTGCCCCGCGGTCGATGCTGTATTTCTCGCACTTCAATTGAGGGGGATCTTCTCACAGAGATTTTCTTTGCGGGCACCCTCCTTGCAATAAAAGCTTCAAAGGTCTTGACTTGAGGCCCTTGCCCTCTTCCACTTCAATCTATCCCACCCTGTCCTCAGATCGACCCTGTTTATACCCAAGGACTACCACATAACCACCATGTCTAGAGAAGTTCAATTTAAGTCTTTCGCCGACCAGAAGTATGTCTCAGTAGCTTGCCAGGCCTTTGCTTCTATGTGCTAACCAAACATTCACAGGCCTGGCACATCAGGTCTTCGCAAGAAGGTCACTGTCTTCCAACAGGAACACTATAGCGAGTCCTTTATCACCTCCATTCTCCTTTCCATTCCCGAAGGCGTTGAGGGCTCGTTCCTCGTCATTGGTGGTGACGGCCGATACTGGAACCCAGAGGTGGTCCAACTGATTGCAAAGATTGGTGCTGCATATGGCGTCAAGAAACTGCTCATCGGACAAAACGGTATTCTGAGCACACCTGCTGCAAGCCATGTCATTCGCATTCGGAAGGCAACTGGTGGTATCCTCCTCACCGCAAGTCACAACCCAGGCGGTAAGTTCTCTATGCACACATCGTTCCCCAAGCGAGCCTCAGCTAATCTGAAAACCAGGCCCCAAGGCCGACTTTGGGATGAAATACAATCTGTCCAATGGAGCCCCCGCCCCAGAATCTGTGACCAACAAGATCTTTGAAAAATCCAAGACCCTCACTTCGTACAAACTTGCAGACATTCCTGAAGTAGACATTCACACAATCGGCACAAAGAAGTATGGTGCTCTGGAGGTCGAGATCATTGATTCTGTTTCCGATTATGTCACCATGTTGAAAGACATCTTCGACTTCAATATGATCCGCTCTTTCTTCAAATCCCAACCTGATTTCAAAGTTCTCTTCGACGGATTATCTGGTGTCACGGGTCCGTACGGCAAGGCCATCTTCCAAGGTGAGCTCGGATTGTCAGAGTCGAGCACACAGAATTGCGAGCCAAGCCCAGACTTCAACGGCGGTCACCCTGATCCCAATCTTACCTATGCTCATTCATTGGTTGAACGAGTCGACCGAGAAGGGATTCATTTTGGTGCAGCATCTGATGGAGATGGTGATCGAAACATGATCTATGGCAAGAATGCTTTTGTTTCGCCTGGTGATTCGTTGGCCATCATCGCCCACTATGCCAAGCAATACATTCCATACTTCCAAAAGCAGGGCGTGTACGGTCTTGCACGATCATTCCCCACCTCGGCGGCGCTGGACCTCGTTGCCAAGAAGCAAGGCTTGAACTGTTACGTCGTGCCCACTGGATGGAAATTCTTTTGCTCTCTATTCGACACTGACAAAATGTCGATCTGCGGTGAAGAATCCTTTGGTACAGGCTCCAACCATATCCGAGAAAAGGATGGTTTGTGGGCTGTGACCGCATGGCTCAACATCATCGCTGGCGTTGGGAGAGACACTGGCAAGCTCCCGTCCATTGCCGAGATTCAGAAGCAATTTTGGCACGAATACGGGCGTGTATACTTTACCCGATACGATTATGAGGATGTCAGCAGTGATGGAGCTACCGAAATGGTCAAATCCCTCAAGGAGAAGATCGCCGACAAGAACACTGTGGGATCGGAGATTCAGGGTCGCAAGATCACGGAAGCTGACGACTTCTCGTATACCGACCTTGACGGGTCAGTGTCGAAGAACCAAGGTATCTATTTCATCTTTGACGACGGAACGCGGATCGTGGTGCGCTTGTCTGGAACTGGAAGCAGTGGAGCTACAATCCGGCTGTATGTTGAGAGACTAGAGGAAGACAAGAGCAAGCTTGGTGACGATACGCAAACCTATTTGCAAGGACCTGTCAGCCTGGCGACGGAGTTGTTGCAGCTGCAGAAATTTATTGGCAGAACCGAGCCTGATGTCAAGACTTGAGCGAGTCACTCTTGGTGAATGGTGATTGATAGCAGCAACATTGAGCGAATGAAGACAATGCAAGAAGCAAGTTGAGCGAACCCCAGACACCAATAGTTGTACCAAAGTATCCAATGGGCAGTGAAATGAAATATGATGCCAGTCCTAGTGAAATTGGAATGGCTCAACAGATGGTCACATCCAAGGAGGACGAGCCTCAGGAGCTGACGAAGCCTGTCAAGCGTCAAGAATGGTTCACGACCCGGAGCTTCAAGCATCGGCAATCGAGGCCAAGACCGAAGAATCTTTAGCGCGGTCGATCATGGAGATGGTCGTTCAACTCTAGCATTTTGCATGTTTGAGATAGGATGAGGTGCCACACTAGGCGTAATCAGACGTCCGCAGCACTCGTCCCCTTGAGCTTGTCAGGGGTGAAAAATGGACTGCGGTATGAGGATGCTACACACATGTGATGATCGAGGTAGATATGTTACGCTGTCCTGCCCAGCCCCACAGGATGAAGTGCTCGGGCCCGATCGAGTCCAGCATGTACACAGTGTATAACCTTCATTGATAAGCAGAAAGCTGAGCCAGCTGAAGCCAAGCCCGGCCCTCTTGGATTTGTGCACCGTGTAACACCGGAACAGGGTCAGGAAGAGGTGGGGTGTTATTTCGGAGCGATGTAGTGACACAGCCTCGCGCTAGGGCACAGAGTTGTCCAATGAATCTGGGGCGTCCTAATTGGTGGGCGTGGCACTGAGCAACTCTATATCCAGTAGGTGACTCTGTGACATGCTTGATATGAGATCTACACAGTCGTCAGTACGTACCCGTGCTGTTGACTGTATGTGCTCTCCATACACGGGGTTCGAGGGAGGGATAAGGAGCACATGGTGGAGATTGCCGAGCCTTGGCATAAGTGAAAGCTTGGCATCAGAGAACGATCCGGAGCGGAGCCTTTGGCGATGTTTTCGTTGCTTCACTCCTTCCCTTCCTCCCTTTCCTCTGGCTTATCAAAGTCCTCGGTATTGACGACATCCTTACCTGTGTTTTGGGCTACTCGATCATACCGGACGTCTGATCCCAGAAGTGAAACTCTCAACTTGGTGAGGTATCCACAGTCCGACACTTCCCGTTGCGTACACCCCCAGCCAGGTTTGGCAAGAGGATCAGACAGGCTTTGATGCTTGACGCAGCCACCCTTCTTGACCTGTACCTTTCTCTGTAACATCACCGTCTTGATTCGGGTTGGGACCACTGTTCATTGGGCTACTCAGGTCCGAATACAGCGTCCCTGTCTTGTTTTGGGTTGGGGGGGTTTGGCTTTGAGAACGCCTGACGAGTACCTTCTCCATCTCTGTCGATGGGTCTTATTCGTGACGAGGCCTGGCATGATACGCATTCTGGTGCTATCAGGCTATGCACATGCCCAGCGGATTGGATTGGAATACACAGCCTACCATCCCCTTCTCGTCTCTCCCATCTTGTTCAATGTCACACAGTTGAGGTGAACTTTGTGATCGGGACCTGTGGGTCATGTATCATCTCATCTCTGCACTTCATTTCACCGCTGAGAGCGATAGCAGAGCTCCTCCCATGCGCCTTACTCCCCCCACTATTTGTATAATCTACGGAATGTGGTGAGGCAAGGTGAGGGCGATGTCGTTAAGTACTGATAGGTGGGTATATCTCTGCTGTCTTGGGCGACTGATTCTATTCCACAGTTTCACCTGCCTTGCTGTTGCTTTCCGACAGACAGTTCTCACTTGTTGTGATTATAGTAGCGTTTGTCGTCCTGGTCGTGACATTGGTCCATTACTCCGTTTGGGTCCCTCCGCTCACTGTCTTTTCTTTTTCAGCCCATCATGCCCAAGTGTGATTTATCCTCCGCTGAGAAGGGCGAGACAGACAGTCCACTCCACCGGGTTGAGTCGTCCCTCACTCTCACCAATTCCACCCTTCCCACGCCTCAGTCATCGCGAGACTCAAGTAGAGAAAGAAGAAAGCGATCCAGATCCAGATCAAGTATGACGGTAAGAATTGACCTATCGGGAACACTATCAATGAGGGTGAGGACTCAGAGCTACCTGTATGATGATTTCGATTGCTCTTACAGTAAGCCAGCTGCATCTCCATTTGCGTCAAGCTGCCACTAATGAGACCAAACAGTGAGCCTCATTATCATCATCTGCTTCTTCATCTCTGGGTTGATCGACAGCGTGGCTTTCAACTCATGGAACTGCTTCGTCCAGATGCAGACCGGTCAGTGATAGTCAGCCTCAAGATCTCGCAACCCTCCCGTCCCTCATCTCATATTCTATTATGACTAACATCTTGATTCAACTTCCAACAGGCAACACTGTCTTCGCTGCTCTGGGCCTAGGAGGCCAACCGCAAGCCAGCCACGACCAACAATACTACAAATCCCTGACCTCCATCGCAGCCTTCTGCCTGGGCACGCTCTTCTTCAGCGCCCTGCACCGCTACCCAACCGGCCTCTCCCAACAACCCACGTCCCGGCGCCGACTCATCTTCCTCACCTCCTTCCTCGTGCAAACAATCTTCATCACCATCGCCGCCGTGCTGGTCACCGAATCACTGGTCTCCAACCACCCCTTCGAAACTGGAACCTTCTCGTCCGGCAGCGTCAAGAACCCCGCCAAAATACCCAACTTCCTGGATCTCTGCCCCGTGGCGATTCTCGCCTTCCAGGCCGCAGGCCAAGTCACCCTCTCCAGACTGCTGGCTATGCTCGACCTGCCCACCATCGTGCTCAGCACGCTGTACCACGACTTCACCGCTGACTTATACTCGCTGCGCGTGTCCTGGCGGCAAAGGACCAGCCTGCGGAATTTCTTCCTGGGGCCGCAGAGGCGCCAGGCCACGAGGCTCGCGTCGATTGTCTCGCTGTTCGCGGGGGGCATCATCGGTGGTGAGACATACAAGTCCCGCGCGGGCATGGCCGGAGCCCTGTGGATTGCTGCGTTCCTGAAGCTGGCGGTCACGATTGCTTGGCTTTTCTGGCGGACGCAGAAGAGCGGTGGTCATGATGACGGCGAGCAGCACGACCACGGCGAGCGCACGCCGCAGCCGTCTCTGCCACGCTGATTCTTCCGCCTGACCGCCATTATCGATCGAATCGCACCAAGCCAAGCCAACGCTCGGCCGGCTCGCTCGCTTCTCGGGCGACGCCTTGGTGGAGACAGAGCATCTCAAACCTCGATCGATACTACGCCTCCTCCCAACATAGTCACTCCAGCAACTACTGAAAGTCCACTTGATACGGCATAAACGAGATGTAGCACTAAGGTTATCACCAGCACGACTGGTGCGGAACGGAATGAAAAACGAATCTAACGACAGGACATCTGACGAAGACGACAACGACAGCGACGGCAATCGGCAATCGGCAATAGGCAATGCGACGGGGCGTGGTGACGGCCCGAGAACATAGAGCGGAACCGGGATAGACGTGAGAGTAAAACGGGCGTTATGCACGAGCTAGCTAAGAGTCCGGTCCATAGACATCACAGATGGCGTGTGGCGTTATGTTATGCAAGGGCTGATTGACAACGCACAATCAGATTTATAGAGATAGAACGAGCTAGAGAGATAGACATTGTCTGTTGTTTGAGCTCCGGAGCGAGCCTGCCTCTAGTGGAGTATCTCTAGTGGAGTATGGGGCGCTGATAGACTACACCCCCGTGAGCTGCAATTAATCGGAGGAAACGGACACGACACGAGACATTCTCACCTATAGCAGGCAAATTAGGTAGGCATACAGGCAAGAAGCCATGGTTGATCTTGAAAATGCCTCAAGCGTACTTGTACTTTGCACTTGAATATTCGCTCAAGGCGGCGGTGGAGATAGACCGTAGAGTAGTATCATCTCCATGATTGCTCGGTGTAAAAGTCAGATGGCCTCCTCTCTCCCACGGGAGGATCTGATCTACTTGCGTGAACTACTCAAATGAAAGGTGATTGGGGCAATGTTGAGGCTCGTTGCTTCAAGAAACACTCGCTTGTAGTGTTACTTTTCCCTTTCACCTCGTGGGACCCATTCCACTCACCGCATATTCACACTCCACCAGACTCAAGCATCAACAACGTCGCTTTTCCAGATTATGTTCCAAACACACTTCCGCTGCCGTTCGCCGTCTTCCCATCCGGACTCTTGAACAACTTCCCGCCCTTCCACACATGTGTCACATTCTTCGGGTCCTTGAAAACATTCATATCATCCAGCGGATTCTCACTCAGTGCGATCAGATCAGCATCATAGCCAACCTCAATGCGTCCACTCTTGGGTGCCATGCCCAACCCACCAAGCACATCTGGCGCATTGGCTGTCGCCGCCTCGATAGCTTCCAGGGGTGTCATGCCCCCATCAGAAACTGCGTAGCTCAGCTCGCCCCCGCTGTTCCCCAGCGCAAGCGGGTGAGTCGTCGGTGCAGAGATGCCTAGGTCCGTCCCCAATGCAATCTTCAGCCCGGATTTCACAGCGAGCTGATACGCGGCTTTGTGATGTTTGGCTGTCTCAACCATCTTGCGGTAGGACTCTGGTGACATGAGCTCTGGGTGGTCAATCCCAAGCTTCACGATTGTACGTGTCGGAACATAGATGGCGTTGTTTTTCTTGAATACATCAATGCATTCAGAGTCCATATAAGTACCGTGCTCAATACTTTTACACCCTGCGCGGAGCGCTGCGAGGATTCCGTTCTTGCCGTGGCAGTGGGCGGCGACGACGCGGCCAGCACGGTTGGCCTCGTCAACGATCACTTTAAGCTCGGCGTCGGAGAATTGCTGGCGAAGGGGGTCATCGGCGATGCTGAGCACACCTCCCGATGCAAAGACCTTAATGCACGAGGCGCCGCGCCGGATGAGTAAGCGGACCGCACGCCGACACTCGTCCTCGCCGTCAGCGAGGAGTAAAGGCCCGTACGCCGGGTTGAAGCCGTTGGCTTGTGTGTCACGGACGCCAAGGCATGAGGCGACGAACCCTGATGGCATGTCGAAGACGTCTCCATGCCCGGATGTCTGAGAGATGGCTGCCCCAGCAGAGTAGATGTTGGGTCCTATCAGGCTGCCTTCGGCGATGGCTTTGGAGATCTCGATCGCGTACCCACCTAGATCTCGCACAGAGGTGAAGCCACTCATAAGAATGTCGTGTACGTTGCGCGCGATCCTGGCTCCCGCGAGTGCCGGTGGTGTGGTTGTTAGTAGCTCCGAAAAGTTAAATGAGGTTGCGCCTAGGAGGTGAGTGTGGCAGTCCCAGAGCCCTGGCAGGATGACCGAGACGTTGGTGGTTGGGAGAGACTTGGAGATAGCCTCTGGAAGCGACTTGGTTGATTGGATCGATTGGATCTTTCCGCATTGAAGGATTATCGACATATCCTTCGAAGGCGCTCCGCGCCCGGGAATCAGGAGAGAGGTGTGTATAAGGTGTGCTGTTTGCCCTGCTGGGAGCTCATAATAGAGTGGTAGAAGTGACTGGAACGGTGAAACTTCATCTTGTGAGGTGGTTGAGCTGGTACCAACATGGTCAGTTGTAGTATTGTCGGAGCACTTGTACGGTGTATCGGCAGGAAGTCGGGGTCCTTGAGAACTTGCGTTGCTGGTGGTGGCAACCTTGCGGCGAGTCATCTTGCTGTTCTCTCGATGTCAAGAGCAGTTCGATACGGTGCTTAAATGGTTTGTTTGTAAGTGCCAGTCGTCCCAGCTGTTTGGGGTGGGGGTGTGGGTTGATGTCTCAGATGTAGGGAATTTTATTTAGCTTGGCCAAATGAAAGAGATATCACAGAATGCTTTCAAGACAAGCAATAAGACGTATAAGCACCAGCGGCCTGTGAAAGGCTCTCAAAGAATTCGAGAGATGATATGCGCTCTTCCGTCGATCGTCTCTACTCACGGTGTTGAAATACAACCGCGGCTAGACGAGCGTACTGAAGAGTGGCCGAAACGATGATTGCTGCGGGGCAAATGTACAAGATGCGCTCACTCATATTAGGTCAGGCTCTTTGGTGGAGATTCTTTCGAATTTGTGATCTCGTCCACCTCGTCAGGATTCAAATTCAGTCTGTGAACCTCGAGTTTTTTTCAATCAATGGAGGGAGGTGGAACTGCGGACGGTGAAGAGGTGGAGCAAATCACCGGATAGGGAAGGAGGATGGCTAGGTGGTGAGGCAGCTGATTCGCTAGTATCGAACGTCATCGGGAAGAGGGGTGGCCTTTCCTCGCGCCCAAAGGGAAATTTTCTTAGTCAGCAGGAGTATCTACGTAAGGTATAGGTGGTACGCACCTCGTAGGCATGCTGGAATTGGAGAGCAGGGGACTAACATTTAATTGTAAGAAGCTGAGCTTGAACTCTGTTTATTATCACAACCATCATTGTGGATATAGTGGCAAGTGGTTTATTGATCGTGGACTACACGACGACCTCGAGACGTTTTAGCATTTATTTGCCATTCGAGAATCACTTATCTAGGCTCACTGGATAGGTCATTGAAGTGGAAATATTCATTCTGGGCCATACTTTGACGGTAGGTAAACGCCCGTGTCGAAAACCCAAGCAATATCATTTAGATGGAGGTGAAATCGAGAACAAGGCATTGCTCCTTAAGGTGTCTTTGCAAGGATTATGTGCAAATACAGCTCTCATAACATCGTCCTGTCACTGAAACACACCTCATAGATGATGCACTAACGTACGAACGGCTGACGGACTTCAAAGACAGGCACTTGGTGGTCTCGAACAGCAGAAATCGGACTGTTTAGGCCACTCATTAAGCAGTCGTTTGTAATCATCCCGCCTGTCTGCAGAGTGCTCGAGAACACGTATATCCTCAACAATAGGCTTAGCTAACATGTGGTTGAGGCTAGCTGGATATCAGGTAGGATGGACAAATTTGGCCTACCGCGAATTGAACTTGGCTAGGGGAAAAGGTTCATGAGGCTGTGGCCATGCGCATCGATCATTCAATCGAACCAGAATCGCGTTGAGAGGTCATATGCTCGCGATGCAGCTAGACTGGTAGCCTTGTTGCTACCGATGGGTGCAATGGGCTTGATTGGGTTGGCACCATGTATGGAGCTGGGAGAAATACAGAGGTTATGGGTGCAAAGGCGATGAGTATAACATCACCACATCTGCTGTCCTTAGAGGATGCCCTTCTGTCTCTAGATTCGAAAGATCAGCAGGATGACCACTATTTCGCTCGACGACGTCTTATCTCGCTGGAATGCCGAGACCATGATGTTTAGGAGGGGTATATATGCGAAGTCGCCTGTGGCTGCGGCTCTCATGACTGTCTGCCACGATAATTGTGTAAACGAGCAAAAACAGTTTTGTCATGAGTCGGTGTCCTGGCCGTGGTGCATGAAACCATTGACGAGCGTGTCTGTCTGTGCTTCAAGTCAGGAGATCAAGGACAGAGCTGTTTGAACACGTCGCCTCCGGGAGAGAAAGAAAAGTCCTAACAGGAGATGTTGCATCAATGCGAGCTCCACGACAACACTTCCCTTCTCGATCCTGAAGCACTGCTGGGTGGGACTTGGATCTCCGTTGCACCTCTGAAGGTAATTTTTAGGCATGACTTGAACAAAGAATTCAAACGGAAGCTGCAACCGATTGCGATGAGCAAGATTTGGGATTTCATCCTTGGCGATGTTGCAGAAACCATGCATTTGGACCGTCATCTGGGAAACACCAATAATCTGGGTATGAGATGGATGTACAAGCGCCGGTTTATCGAGCGCACGGCCTCGTCTCATAACAGTGGAACACGCCTGTGGGTAATTGGCAAGATGTGAACAGTTTCAGCGAAGTTCCAGAGCCACAAATAGTCACCAAGTGAAGCCAAACATATAGCGTCTCGGACACCCCTGGTTGGTTAGGTTAGTTGACTCCAGGCAATGATCGGTGGGCTGCACGTGACTTTGTGACAAGAGGTCTGACACGTGATTCGAGACAAATAGTCCAGGCGTGGTGAGACAAACTGAGTAGCAAATGCCCCGGTAATGTTCCGCAACCCGTTAGCACTTGCCTGCTGCCAAATTTTCGGTGGGAACAGCTTGGAGTCATCGGAAGTACGAGTAGTACGGAGCACTACAGACCCTACTACCGTACCTCATGCCATGATCCTAGGAGATGGTGTTCCGATACCACTTGAGTACCATACCACGATCGCTTGAGAAAACCACATTTGTGGCACCATCAGCGAAAAATGCACTGTTCTCCAACAGAGATTTGTTGCGTTTCTCATGTGCAAAAGCATCCCACCTCGAAGCGTCTCTAACGCCACAGCGACGTTGTCCTTGACGCAACTAAACGAGCATGGTGTGGACTTGAACTCGCTCAAACCCATGCAATACATCGGGTACAAATGTATTTTGCCACCTGTTCCCTGATGCTCTTGCTTGAGAGTGCCCAATGACAATGGATTCTATCGTTCTTCCCCGATTCAAAATCTTGACGCAGGGTAGAGGTTTTAAGTTTGTATCTGTGCAAGAGATAATAAGAATGGTGGTTTATCGGGGAATGCTTTACACATCGGCGATTGTTGACACGGAGTAATTCCAAACGATAAGCACTGGGATTGGATTGATCTTCGATACCGGTCGATCGAGGGCTCGGACGGCAGCTTATCACCCGGTGATCTTGGTGATCTTTCTCTATGTGGCGAGGGCTAATGAATGGCCAAGTGTCGGTCGCAGGTGATGGGTGACAGAAGAGACTTCAGACTCTACTTCCACTTGGGAGAAAGGTGCATGATCGGGGTGTCTTGGGCATGGTGGTAGGCATGGTCCTCACAAAGATCCCCGCGATCCCGCGAGGGATAACCACGGGTAGAGAATAGTGAATCAACAACTAACTGGAGTCCACTTAAGAATCTGGCCAACGCTATCAGGAGTTGTCTCAAAAATATCCATGACCTCAAGGAGATATTGACGTAATGACAATGCTATTCGTCTACGGCAAAGTACTATCTTCCTAGTGCTCTATACTGGAGAGTAGATCCGCCGTAGCTGCACAGCGCACGTGACATGACCAATCCTCGCCACTTGATTTATTGTGAAGGCAAAATGCTTGGCGAAAAGGTTGGGCATTGCTTGAACAGCAAAAGTCGGTTGCAGATCTCTGAGGCTGGATTCACCTGTGTACGATTTCATCAACTTGGGTTAGTGATCTCGTGATTGCTGCAAGAATACCCGTACTAATGGTTTGCATCGCCATTCAGCTCCTTGGATGCAGGCTCTGGTGTCACCAAGGCAACTTGGCAGTTCGCCGCCCACCGTGGACCCTAACGCCTCCCTATTGATCTCGCCACCTCGATTGTGAGTCGTCGGCCAACATGACCCAAGAGTTGGAAGGCAGGGGAAGGCAGGTCGGCACACTACTTTACAGTAGTACTCGTACTGAGGGCATTTCAACGCGCAAGAGAAGCGTCCTCGCCTCCTACATGCCGCCTTCCGATGTATTCTCCTACGTAATCTTGTGTCACTCATACGGTGTCTTGCCCGACCAATTTTTCATGAGAGGTTGTGTCACTGGGCCCGAAAATCCCTGCCACAGAGCGGCGCTCACCCCCTGGGTCGTACAGATCCTGACCACACTTTGCCTGAGCACCAAAGCTTTAGAGTCATGCAACAAGCCTTGTGAACATGGTTATCAATGGCGATCCTGAGACACGCGATGAACCCTCCATTGTTGAGTGTCCACTTAGAGCCACCATGCGTGCATTGATCAATTTCGGCAAGCCCTCATGGCTCCTGCGCTACGTTCCAACTATTTGCGCTTATTGGTTGTGGAAGTCACTCCTGATCTTCCATTCGCGTGCTCAAAGCAGGTCACATGGAGGAGAAGCAAGCAGACAACATTTTTGAAGACAATCTCAATTGCAGGTCTTAGCGATGAAACAAGTTCCGCCCGCAAGCATCTAATTATTTGTGGCGAATCAGGGCAAGTCGGAGGACCAATAAATCCTCCAAGCCACACGAGAGTCGGCAGCCGACGATTCCGCCGAGGCTGGCATTGGGTTGGGCTGGGCTGTTACATAGTCAGAGACGGGGAGGCAAATTTGCTGCAGAGTCAGTTCAGCATCGCCTCTCCCATGACTTAGCAGCCAGGGAGGCCAGACCCTCAGTGCTGAAGACACGATCTCTATCCTCGCCTCAACCACCTAGTCTTGGTGGCTGGAGACTTACACTGGGGGCGTAACAAGGGCTAACCTTGAGAATAGTAGGGCCAGAGGACGGCAGTGTGATGAGGTTAACTCCAGGAACGGCCTGCTGTAGCGCTGACCACACACTGCAGTACGGAGTACGCTGGGAATCCCCATCATACGGAATAGCCATGACCTTCTCATAGGCGAGACAATCTTAGCATCCTCATGGCGATAAAACGGTCGGATATCACAGACCCATTTGAGGACAATTGGGCATTGATTCATGAGAAGGCACTGGGAGTCTGCAGGACTCATTTGGAGTGGCTATGCGTTCCTTCCAGTCATTGGCTGCTGTCCTTGATTGGGTCCTAAGGTCGCTTTGAGCGAACTTGTATTGTCATCAGCAGAGTGAGGGGTGCGTATTTCTCAGTCTGGGCCGCAGTCAAGGTGTCCGTCTTGCCTCGCCTAGCCTGTCTGCACGTTACCCATGTCTGCTTTCGAAACACGAGCGAATAACAATCAGTAGCTCAGCAGCACCAGGACGACTAATTCCACCAGTGCGGAGATGCGAGGCGCAAAAAGCAACACGATCAAAGGCAACTCACCGACCAGGCCACTCCCCGACCCTGCCGAAGATCGATCAGTTGTGGTAGTCTCATCTCTGCTGCTGTCTGTGCTGGCGTCAGAGAAATCCAATCATTTCGATTGTGTTCTCCAGAGATTATCTATCAGCTTTTCCAGAGACATGACCAGGCCAGGCCAACAATGTGCCCACAGAAGCATCCTCTTATAGAGTATCTACAAACGAAGAAGGGCATTCAGTAAGACTGCCCGGGTTGGGCGGCGGCGAAGTCCAACACCAGGATGGATGATTGGATGACTTAAACTTGGAAACTCACGATAACATGATCGTCGTGGATTCCAATTTCTCCTAGTTCGAGCAGCCTGCCAGCATCTGGCCAAAAGCCTGCAGTTGGGCAGCGCGCCCAATGGTGAGTCAGGAGGGCTAACTGCTGGAGCGCTCGTTCGTACAGGAGGGAAGGCGAACTAACAGGCTACTGGCTGGGTCCTAGCGCCTGGCGTTCGGTCTCACAAGGAATGTTCATCACTGGTGACAGAAAATGCGCCCAGCCACTGGGTGATCCGACCATGTTGCAACTGGCCAGAGCATGCAACCCACCCGCCTTAATGCTGCCAGACTTGTGCCCGCCTCGTCTTGCTCCCTCCAAGTCCGTCTAAACCAAAACCGCTCATGGCCGACTCGTCATCTAGCGTCAGACCACGGCCCAGGGTTTACGAACCCTCTTGACCTTTGACGCATCTGGGTGGGCCATTAGCTTTGATGGCGTTCTATTCGCAGCTCTCCTCGACCAGGTTCGAACATCGTTACGCCCCACTCACATGGATGACATGGGTCCTTGACGGTCCGTGCGTTTTCGACCATCTTTCATACCTTGCCTTGTTCAGTTGAAACTACCGTCATACCCTAAAGGGACAGTATGCTGCCTCTCTATACTTACTTCGAAATCCCCCCATCACCAGTAAGACCATCATCTAATCCGCCCATACAAACACCTCTTCACCTCACCTCTTGTCTTCATATCTATCTTGTTTAGTATTCCACCTCGAGTCCCTCCTTACAACCTCGAATCACCCAAACCCGACTACACTCCAGGATCTATTGGACCAAATACTTCCAAAGGAAGCCGCGGACTATTTTCTTGAATTCCTCTACCTTTTTCTCACATACAGTCGCTGGATCTTTGGACCCATGTTTTGAGTGGTCTCCTGTCTTGTTGGTCTTTGTCGACTACTCCTTTTCCTTGAGCAAGTACTCCGTACTTTTGGTCTCTACCAAGAATGCTTCTAACCCCCCCACCGTCTCCTCAACTGACGACTTGTCTTTCACCTGAAGACAGAATTGGGTGTGTGTTAGCTGGACGACTTGAACTTGTCTCTATCCTTGGAATCGGCGCTTACGGAGTGGTTTACCAAGCCATCGACATCCTCACAAACATTCCATATGCTGTGAAGGCTTTGCCCAAAGCTGGACTGGATCCAAGACAACGTCGATTCCAAAAACGGGAGATCGCCCTTCACCATCAAGCAAGCCAACATCCTAACGTGGTCTCACTGTTGCGCATCTTGGACAGCCCGGATTGCACCTACGTCGTGATTGAATTTTGTCCCGAAGGCGACTTGTTCTCCAATATCACCGAGCAGGGCCGTTTCGTGGGCGATGATCAATTGGCCAAGCATGCCTTCTTGCAATTGTTGGATGCCGTCCAGTACTGCCATTCCATTGGGATCTACCACCGTGACTTGAAGCCCGAGAACATCCTCGTCACCAATCATGGTTCCACCGTCAAATTGGCCGATTTTGGACTCGCTACACAAGACTGCATCACATCTGACTTCGGATGTGGCTCGACATTCTACATGTCTCCAGGTATGTCAACCCCCAATATCTTGCACTATGAAACGTTCGGATTCTAATATCTTGAACAGAATGTCAACAACCGCCAACAAGACCGTATGCTCGTTACGCTGCTGCACCAAACGATGTCTGGAGTCTTGGCGTTATCCTGGTTAACTTGACCTGTGGCCGTAACCCGTGGAAGAAAGCCTCGCCTGAGGATTCCACGTTCCGTGCGTTCTTGAAGGATCCCAAGTTCTTGAGCTCGATTTTACCCATCTCTGCCGAGTTGAACATGATCTTGCGACGCATCTTCGAATGTGACCCTCAGAAGAGAATCTCCCTCCAGGAGCTCCGGGAAGCCATCATCAACTGTCCCAGGTTGACCATGAGTGCCTATAGTACTCTCCCGCCATCGCCTCCTCAGTCCCCCAGCTATTATGTGGATTCCATGGACTGTGCCAACATGGCTCTGCCTCCTTCTCCCCCGGCTTCTCCTTCCCCCCACCAGCCATTCCAATGTCAACCCTCGGAGTACTCCTTGTTTGATCCTTCTTCAAAACAAGGTTCTTCTTGCTCTACACTTTCCACGGATTCCGGTTACGAGTCTGAGTCTTCATATGCAGACGCCGGGCATCGTTTGCATGCGCCTATTTTCAACTTCTACGGCAACGTTATTCCTTTGAACGATCACGAAAAGCCATACTATTCACCACCTAGTTTTGTTCCCACTGTTGCCGCATATTAATCTTTGGCACTGTCTTATACATACGTTGCGGCCAGTCCTGGTCTGACGCCTTCACGACGTCACGGGTGCTATACGAATTTTCGTTTTTCTTGTTTCCGGATACCCAGGCGGTCTACGATATATCATTTTTAGTACTGGACCTGATCTCGAGAGTTGTCCCTGTTTGTGTTCCAAAAAGCTTCGTGAGAAGATCTTGTTTGTCTGCAGAGGAAGGAAGCATTGTGCTTGGAGTCCATTTTTTTCTAGATTGGGAGGAGATGTTGTGGTGCCGGCCCAAGCGTCGTCGCATCGGATTAAACGAAAAACGGAAGAAAAAGGCGCGACCATCGAATTTGTTGCTTTCATCCTTGTCCCTCGAACCAAGTGCTGGCTAGAGACGACATCTACGATGACCTGGATATGGAGAGGATTTTTGACGGTTTTGATTCCAGTTACCTACTAACTTGTACACCGAACGGACTTCTACTATTCCCGTTGGCCAAGGTTCCCCCTAGGGCAAAACAGTCTCAGGAGGTTCCCCCCTAGGCCTTTCGCGATTACACTTGAGCGCTATTAGTTTGAACAACACAATCCCACCAGAGTCACTTGACGCTGTCGGTTCATGTACATAGTTTGAATGCGAAGTGGATCTCGAAGAAACCCCTTTTTTTTTTGTTTTACTTCCGAAGAGTGATATGTTCGTCGTCAGCTGTATCATGTAGACCCAGTGTCTCATCACGTGACCTCAGAGGGGCCTGAGACGGTCGTTTTCGCTGACAAGTCGAATGATCTGCCAGCGGGAAGAGTGTTCCAGAAACCAATAGGCATGCCATTCACAGGACAGTAGAAGAGGGGCATGTGGGTGGCAGATCTCGTGGTCGCCCTCGATGCCATTCTATTCCTGATGACATTTCTCTCCCCTCCTCTGCCTCCTTGTCCCATCTTCGGCCCCCGGCTGTGCCGCATGTCCATGGGCCTACTGCAAGCCTCCAGGTTCCAAGAAGGCTTCCAGCCCTCAAATCTGTTGACAGCGCATGCGTCAGCCATCCTCCTTCGTGGGAATGCATTGGCTGCCTTGCTTGCCTTCTTTCTGCTGCCCCGCATTCCCAGGAGACTTCTCTTGGGTCTTGCTGGTTCGCCAGGAGGGATGAGAATTAAAGATTTTGCCACCCGCTAATGCAAGTGTCTGCATTTCAAAAGCAAACCTTCTTGCTTTGCAGCGCATGATTTGAGCCGGTGCGGTTCTTAATTGCATTCGGTTTGGCTCCCGCTTCCTGGGGCCATGCGGGCTGGCTGCGTCAATGGGTTCTTGTTGGCTTCTAACAAAAGAGGTCCCCACCACCAGGCAAGCAGACACACGGCGTGCCCTTGACTGGAGCACCAGAGGCACATTCCCCATTGACTATACGGAGTACAGCATAGACTTCTCCAAAAGAGTGCAAATGCTATTTTTTTCCTCGGGGAAATGACCCCCTCCCATCTCGAACTTATCTCGACCACTGCAGCCGCCCATGAACTAATATTGACCCATGGAACGTCAGCACAAGCCTGTCAGAGCACACCACGGCCCTCCATCACTGTGGGACCTATGCAGGAGCTTGTGCAGGACTACGAGTTAGGTTTCCTGTTGCCGGTAAACACGACTCCATGATCGACCGTCAACAAGAAAATGTACCTTGGGGCGTTTCCCGCCTGCCTGAGGCATGGACACTGTGCTGCCACGAGCAACGTGGTCATGTGTAGCCTGTGGCACCTTGAGGTTGTCAAATTCCTGTCACACCGCGGCCCATGCGCCTGCCTTGGGCATCCTCACCCTTCTCTTGCTGGCATCTCTCAACTCGGAATGGACGTCTCTGTCCCTATGTCTGTACTCGTATCATACCAGACCAGACCAGTAAGTGGGTCGGACGTGCAGCCAAAGCCGCAGGTGCCCACCCACTGGTCTAACTGCAATGCCCAGAGCCCACCCGTCAATCAGTCAAATCATCCTTCGATTAGGAGAGACTGGAGAGGCTGCTGAAGCAACCCCGTACTCAATAATACCATTCTTGTGCGCAGTATCAGTCCCTGGCGGCCCCCCACCCAAAGGCCATCGCGATTGGGATGGAACTGGTTTTGGCAAGGTCCCTCCCGGCACACTGTACTCCGCATTCGTCCTGTGATAACCATCGCTGTGTCACCGATAACGATTTTCTCCCGTTACTACTCGTGAGTGCGCAATGGACAGACAGGGAGTGCAGTACCCAGTGCCCACCGCTCAATGCTCACTCAGACACACTTCTCATCAACTCATTACAAACGGGAGTTACAGACTAACCCTAACTAGTGGCCTATCACGATCTAAGATCGATATATACGTCAAATCTTCTCGGTCCCATTATTGATGCCCAGTTTCGAGTGTCATCGTGCGTGATCTAGTTAGCAAACTGTTGCCCCAATAATGATCGTCATAGGTCCACCATTAGATGCAGCCTTGACAACCTGGCGCGATGAAGCAAGCAAGCCAGCAAGCACCCATACCACATTCTAATTCTCCGTTACGGAAATATCTGATGTCACTAGCAGCACTGTACTCGTAGTCGGTGCTCAATGCCCCTCATGAGCAACACCCATGGACTTGTTTCGAGTGAACCTGGTCGCGTTATCACTGCTGGGAGTTGTGGACTTCACATTGGGAACTGTGGACAAGGTACCTACAACACACACTCAGGAGTCGTGAGTCCCATGCACGTCAGCAATACCAAGACACTTTCAGATCTCTCTCGTACTCCGTACTCCTCCAGCAGACTCCCACTGTGCTGTACAGGTTTACTTCGTCCTTGGTACCCAATCTGACGGTCACAAGCTTAGTGGCGTTGGTCTTGCAGTAGTACCTTGCCAACCTAAACATCCAGTATACCTGGGCTAGCACGTAAACTGTGCAGTAAACCAAGTACCTTTCTGCAACCTGAGAAACCTTACGCTCAGTTGTGGAAGCACCCCCGAGTCAAGACCGTGAAAACATGGATTGTGTAGCCCGGTTGGACCGATACAGATGGCGGCATCATTCGACAAAGGTCTTAGCGAGGAGTAGCATGTATCTGAGTTCCTCGTTTAAATCAAGGAAAAGATAGTGATTGATATTGATTGGACTAGCCACTGAAAGTGAGTTCTTCGAGAATAACTCTCTTTGATGTAAACAAACCCATGACTTGATACTACTTGGTGAGTAGTACATAGTAACGAGGACAGTGCTCCGTAGTGTCTCGTCTAGACACTTGGTTAAGGCCAAGTCTCCGCAAAAAAAACACAACGCGTATCCAATGATCCATACGAAACACTTGGAAGAAGCAGGAGCCTTTTTCCGTTCGGTTCGTTAGCGACGCGAGCCAAAGGGCAGCATCCCATCCCAACGGCGGGGCGTGCAGAGGCGTTTAGGACCAAAAAGAGCTAAGCCGTCAACATTTTACTCTGTACGGAGTCGCAGAGTGCCAATGGCACCGTGAACGCGAATCGATCCAGCCCATGCCCAGCTTGCTTGCAAATCTGCTGTCATGCTGCTAATCGGACCAGTCAGCATCCTCACCCTCAACCCCAGTAGCGTCATCATCATGATCGAGATCAAGCGGCCGTTGAAGGTTTTCTATCTGCACGCGGGAAATGCATGCCTAGAAGTTAATGTCCCGAAAGCTGAGATGGTGTGCTGAGCTACCTACAATCACAGGCAGCAAGGTGTGTGTGTAGGCCGTTTTCCAGCCCGCCGACCAGGCAGCGGGTTGGTGGTCCTTTCTTCTCCTACCGAGCCTTCTGGAGCATTGCCACTTACTTGGTACTTCGGATAGTGTTTCCGCCAGCAGTCCTGAGTCCTGAGTCCGGTCCGGTCAGCACGCGTTTTTTTGGTGGTTAGGCTTACTGATTGTGATGGGTGGCTTGCTGCTAGGATCGGCACTGACTGCAGCCTGAGATCCTGTCTGCCGTGCTGCTCCTAGCGAACTGCGACTTCACACTCTTCCTCTCCCTGCGTGACCGCATGACATTTTCATTGGCAAGGCAGAATGATCGTATTTGGCAGTCTAGAACCCATCCCGACAGGAGTCATGATTCAATCTGCCGCTAGCCGTCAACTTCCACTAGTCCGTTCCCAGAAAATGTTGCCCGACCTGACGGACAGACAGACTTTGCTGTCCTGTCAGTTGTTGTCATGGCTGACTCGCAACGGTGGCAAAAATGCCGCAGCCCGCAGAAATGCACGCACACAGAACCGAGCGAACAAGGTGACTTCCTTTTGCCCCGGGACCCAGTGGCTTCGATGCACCTTTGCAATCATCCAATAGGCAGCATTCCCTGAACAAGAAGAATGCTTGCCCGTGAGGAGGCGATTTCGACTACTGGGCAATACGAAGGACAGGTAACTCTGGTTTGTAGGTCAACCTTGTGCATATGCCATGGTCCCTTCTGGGCGGGCGCGGTACTGATTTCAGATTAGCCTGATGCCACTGTCGTGTGGCGATTTCCATCTGACCTTGACACTCATCACGTGCTCATGATCAGACCAGCGATTGATTTTCAGTCACGTCCAGACCCCAGAGACCTGGCAATTTGGTGCCAGCGTCTGGGAGAAGGACAACTCGTACCGAGACGGTGGCTTCAGGACACGCTGGACGGAGTGGCGAGCGATAGCCTTTGCGTCCACGTGTTGTGGGAACTTTGGCTATGGTCACGCCATTGGTTTGACAGAGACGTTGTCAGCGGCATAGTAAGAAGGGGAGTAAATTAGTCTATTGAAATCCTCATGTAGTACATAGAGTAATGTTGAGATTGAGTGGAGGTGATACTGTATGTCTGACGGTGCCACACCGAAGAATATACAATGCTGCACACGTAGATTCGCCTACTTGATGAGTCTCTGGCCATCAAATTGAAATCCAGCACGTCGCCCATCGAACTTGAAAGTAGACCAGTGGCCCAAACCGACCATGTGCTTCGCCCCCTGGAAGCTTTTTTCGATAGCATCCAGAGATCGGTGTCTCATATCATCTTCGTATTGCTTGATAGAACTCTCTGTGATGCCATTTCCCACAAGAATCCTAGTTAGAGCCGCAACGTCTTCCAGAGCCGTGTTCGCACCGATCCCTCCTGTGGGAGGCATTAGGTGGATCGCATCGCCAATGAAGGTGACTCTAGAGCAAGTCTCCCAAGGCGCAATGTCGGGGACGGCTGTTGGCACTCGTAATGCTGCTGTTCTCTTTAAGTCCTGCAACTCCAGAAGGGCTTTGTATGGACTCATGCCAGTAGTGCTTGGTGACTTTCTTGGAGAGCTGGGCAGCGCCTGCCCCTGTAAGACTCAAGAGGGTTGGGTCAGACTCATCGAAAAGTCGCTGGTCCCCCACAAGGACTCAATACACGTAATCATCGGGAAGATCAGCTCTAATCTCGCTATCCTGAAATCGCATTGATTCCACGAACATAGCGAGTTGCCTGCCGGCCGGGTCGATCTTGTCGACAATGAGGAAAGCGCATTGCTCAGCCATTGAAGGGAAAGCTTGCAATAATTCTTCAGTGAAAATCGTCTTGCCATAGTTACAACGAAGACCAGGGTCCAGGAGGTGATGGTAAGGTAAATGTTGATGGCGAACGGCAGAGCCGTTGCCATCGGCAGCTATCAGCAAGGACCCTTCGAATGAACTCCCATTTTCGAAATGCGCCACAACCGCTTCATCGGAAATGTCGAATCGTCTCAGTCTGTGACCGAATGCGACACTTTCCTCCAAGCCGTCAAGGAGCAGGTCCCTTAGGACAGCCCGATCCGCAGTGAACGTATCCGAAATTGGTGGACGCCTCGTAGGTGCATTCCCATTGCCTGATGGTGGACCAAAGTTAGAAGGCAAGCATTCGGTAATGATGGCATCAACCCGGCTAATGTTTTGGGGAGGCTTCCCAGAGCCATCCTTAAACCTTGTCCACAGCTCAAGAGGCAAGCACGCTTGCAGGTTATCACCTTTGATCCCGATGCGATAGCCTTGTGCCCTGAACGATGTTGATAGGTCACTCTCGAAAACCTTGAATGGCAATCCTGCTTTCCGTAAGGCTTGTGCCAATGCTAGGCCAGAGACTCCAGCACCCACAATCAGAACTGGGTTCGACGCAACCATGTTCGGCCTCTAGTTTGACCAATTCGTTTCCTGTGAGAAGCTTTGATTTCCTTCCCTTGTGAATCCACGGTCAAGGCTGGAAGGTTATGCAATCTTTCACATCAGAGAAGGGCTCGGCTTGACGTTCACTGTTCGGGGGCCGAAGCAGGGATGTTGTCGCTGCCGTCATACAACAAAGGGCTGACGATTACTTCTTGACTCTCTCAGGGCCTTATTCTTACCTGGAACCGAACGACGCAATTTCCGTTGCATTAAAGTGTCAAAATTGATGGTGCAATGCCTCGGAGTAGAGTTCATCTTAGGAAGTCAGAGAAGTATTTCCAGCTCGAGCTGAGAGAACCTGGCTCATCCAGGTAGTTGTCTCACTGTTTCAGTTGCTCGATATAATTAGAGGCCCGGGTGCACTTCGCACAGATTTTGCTGAAACGCGATAGCAGTCTAGTTGATGTGAAAGGGGGCATGTTGTTACCTTGTTGTGTGTGAGCTCACATTCAGCTCCTATTGACTGTGGAGCAGATAGATCCAGAGCAGTGGGTCAGAGGTTCAAAAGGTCAGCTTAATGCATCTTCCAAAATATCTCGAGGAATGAGACTATTTCGCCGTAGATGAATCGATTTCAATCAAGCCACGGGATCGAAATGAGGCCGCTGCTCGAGGAATATACAATGAAGCGTGCATATCAAAAGCGTGAATGTATATTCTTGATCAAATCCTGCATCTCACGGTGCCAACCTCTCCCTCGCGCTCTTTCGATCATTGTTCAACAAGATTTGAAGAAAATGAGTGGAGGAGCTGATGGCGATGGCACGAAAGAAAGCTCAAGGCTTCTAGAAAAGTGGTAGGTCTTTGGTGTGACGTCATTCTCCAACCTCCAGCCTCGTTCCTGCACAGCCGCACCAAATCTTGAAAGCTTGATATGCTGCTCAATATTTTTCAGAAAGCAGCCAAATGATTGGATCACCAAGCTCAAGAAGTGATCTATTGCATGCTAAGAAGCTGCTTTAAGCTCTGTTGTACGGAAAACAAAAATCGCTTCTCATTATCAACCAAGATGGAGTGCAGCCTTGAGGGTTTGCCTCTCGGTTTACACGCGCTGAAACCACCACGCATTATTGTCGCGAATTAAGACTGACTTCTGAAGCCCGGAAACAGGCATTGGCATTTGGCGCCGATCTCTACAGAATATTGGCCACGCAACATTTTCCTCTCACAGAGCAAATACCCGACCCCGGGTCCATTCTCCAGACCTACTAGTCCTCCTTTTCTATCACTAAGAATCAAGTTATTCTTCTCTTACGAGTAGGAAAAGCTGGCTAATATCCCTGGTCCTCATCTCGTACCTTGGAGCCACTGTGGCCTCAATTTCTGATGTGTCCCCTCGGTCATGGGGTGTCTTGATTGTCTTGATTGTCTTGGCTGGCTCGACTCGGCCGATACAAGGCTTAACTCCAGACCTAGCCAAGCAGTGAATGCTGCTAAAATTCTCAAAATCAACTCCATCTTAGACCGAAGATGATGTCGTACGGACCTGATCAGGGTGAACCAAAAGCAAAGGGTGGAATTCGCGAGGTTCTCGTTACTAGGTCCATTTGCAAGCTCCATCTTAATCCCGTCGCCGAGCTGTGACTTACCGGAAATTGGTGCTCTCCCGGGCAGGGTAAGATCCATGAGCCTTGCTAGGCATCTCCTCATGAAGGACGCCGTTATAGCTAGGATCTACTGACTGTGATGCGCGGACAAGGCGCTCAGGATTAGACGTTTCTTTCCTTGTTACGGAGAGCGACAGTGTGCCGAGATCTCACCACTACCCAGGACTGACGAGACTCTCTCAAATCCCCAGGTGTGCGCCCATAATCTCAATGGTGGACTAACTCCAAATCTCTGTAAGCACACTACTGCAGATGATCGAGAGGCCCCGGGCTCGTCTGTGAGGTCATTAATTACGTGTTTCTCGCTTAGCGACCATCCCAACGATGTATCGGTCGATATACTTGCTGGAAACACGGGAAGGCGGCCTCGAGCAATTCGCTTATACCAGGTGTCTCGGTCCTCGGGAAACTGAGAGGATGATGTCGGTCGAAACTATTCCTATTGCTGGCCCTCAAGAGAATGACCTCCAACATCGCTCTTGGCTTCTTCAGCTCATGAGCCGAGGAAGGCGTTGATGAAAGGTATAAAAGCTTTCAAGCATCTCCATCTCTAAATCATCACCATATCTCATACAGTGCAACTAAACACCATATACGGTCCAGGTCTTCAAGGCAAAGCATGCAGATCAAACTTCTCTTCGGCTTGAGTGTACACTATTGTGTGGCTGGACTCATCACCATCGTCTCGGCTATCCCCCATGTTGATACTCACGTCTTCCCACCAGGCTATGAATGGCACAACCTTCCTGAGAGCCCTGCCCCTCGACAAGAACAATCAACCGCCGCAGTGGGACGCAGAATTTATATCATTGGCGGTATAACGAGCAACTTCTCATACACACCCGCTACGATCAACGAGCCAGCCGAGCTTCGACCAGTGAGCGATGTTGCCTTCTACGACATCGAACAGCAGACTTGGGCATCAGCGGCCCCTCTGCCAGTCAGCATCAATCACGGTAATGTGGCGAGCGTCGGGGGCAAGCTATACCTTCTGGGAGGTCTATCAGGCACAAACATGAGCTCTTGGAACGGCCTTCCGAACTGCTACGTCTATGATCCTAACTTGGACACATGGACTGAGATCGCACCTCTGCCAGAGGGCACTTCGAGAGGGGGTGCAGCTGTTGGCGTTCATGGTACCACTATCTTCCTAGCAGGTGGGCTGTCGAAGCTCGAACTGACGGGATCTCGAGAGCAAGCAACAGTCAACACTGTCAGCTCCTATAACACCGAGACCGACACATGGAGCACTTCACTTCCACCGCTTCCAGGTGCAAGAGACCATGTTGCCGGAGCAGTCATCGGTCACCATTTCTATGTGACAGGTGGCCGAGACCATGGACAATTCAATGGGCGAAACAGTACCTGGGCATTAGATCTCACCTCACCATCTTCGTGGGTTGAGAAAGCACCATTACCTACCGCACGGGGCGGCCTGGCGAGCGTTGCAGTTGGGAGATATCTTTTCACGTTTGGAGGTGAGGGAAACCCGAACGATGAAAATGGTGTGTATGGCAATACGGAAGTTTATGATTCCATACAAGACTACTGGCAGGTTGGGCCTCCAATGAGTCTACCACGCCACGGGACGAACGCGGTGGCAGTTGGAACTGATATCTATATCCCTGGTGGTGGGATCCTAATCGCTGCTGGACCGGTAAATGCAAACACAGTATACCGGCCCAAAGCCCGGTGGTAGACATACATATTGGTACAACACCGAGGTATGCACATTTCTATCCCAGGCGGAGTGTCTTTCCGGGAGACGCATGGATAGCTATCCAGGAAAGGTTGCAACATAAGACAGGATAGTACAAAATACAAGCTATCACTTTCATTCCTCAAAAAGCCTCGTAAGTCGCACGGAGCCGGTATGCAATGCCTAATGTTTTCTCGAAGACCATGAGAATCCGGCAACGACGCGACCAGCGCTCTATGCAGAATGCTGCCATAAACCATGCTGTTGGCCTCAATTCTATCATTTGAAGGGTCCTTGCAAACACAAAAATTGCGTTGTTAGTAGCTGATCAGATGTCGTAGCCAACACGTAACATTTTCGAAAGTTTCCAGTCCAAAATTTGATATTATTGATGCCCGGAAATGGCCGGTTAGGTCGATGACGGCGTCTGAGTATAGGGCCCAATAACAAAGGTAAGGTATCGACTGCTCCATCGAATATTGCATTTCTAGAACACAAATCTGTAGGAAGGTTCCATGCTAACGAACGACGGACGACGATGAACGTGCGTGCTGAATCTATTCAACACTATTCAAGTTGTAGGGAGATTGCCTCCGCATTCAGCTATACGGACCATTGAAGTCTAACGAAAGAATGGCTTCGGCGAAGAATATCCGCTCTGAAGTAGACCAAGTGGCCCCCGTTCAGAAGGGGGAGTGGAAAGGAAGTTGTTGCCGGGTCATACATACATAGTCATGCAGATCTCGTCAAAGCGTCAAGGCCAAAGCTGCTGTTCCTCAATGTACACTGCAGTAAGAAAGGGCAAACACGCAACAGTGCTTTTCTTCCTGGCTCTACTAGTCAGTACATACGAGGTGCTTTGGCAGAGCACAGACGATGATGATGGGTGGTCAGGGTTCCGTCCTTGGAGTATAGCCGGCCTTGGTTTGATCAAGCCTTGACCTAGTGATGGTGGGAAGCTGTATTGCGAGGCCTCCGTACGTTGGTGTGTTACATGAGGCCCGTCGAGGTGATCCATGTCCAATGCCTGATGGCATGTCAGAGGCCGCTTGTCCCCAAACAGCGCCACAGAGCACTCGTGTGAGAAACAGATGCTGCGTATGCTGACGTGGTATGGACACAGACGCGTCCACGCCGTTGAGGACTGGTACAAAGACGAGGTGAAAGCGGGTGCCTTGCTCAGCCACAAGAGGAAACGATATCCGCCACATCAACATGACCACCACCACGGAGTCACGGACACCAGAAAAGGCGCTGCGCCTCACAGCTCGGGTCCCCTTCCCCATTCGGCGCTTGGCATCACCATCCCTTTCCGCCTTCGCTTATGCAGGTCACATGCCCCACACATCCAATTGAGGGAAAGAGCAACTGTTCCTCCGACTCGTGTCTCGTACTGCAGCTGAAAGAGCATTGACTTCAATGTGACCCTCCAAGTTCCGGAAATAAATTAAACATTTCACCCTATAAAACGCTCAGGGTGCAATTATTAACTGCGCAGTTACATCCTGCACCCACTGTCGCCTTTGACGCAAGAGTCGGGCGTAAGTGCCTCTCTGTCTCGCCTGAGCCTCGAGGGAAACAATAGCGAAACCCTTAGCCTAAACTACCGCTCGTACTGAAGGTCCAAGGGTGAGAGAGAGTGGCTCAGCCAAGTCATCCCAAGACCAAACTATTACGCGTCGAGCGTTCGGCAAACGGCTGCCAGAGCGTCAGTCTCCAGTCATTTGCAAGAGGCCCGCGGCTTCGTCCCTTGATTCCTGACTGTTCAAATAAAAAGCTTTCATGGGCGACTGTTGCTCTCGTCTTGCAGCCTCAAGTATCCTTGGTGTCTCGTCTACAATCGAGAAATAAGAGCGCCATATTTCTCCTCTCAAACACCAGTCTCTGCTGTTTCGGTGCAGTTGAAGCTTTGTCTCTCTCCAACGGCTCTAGACTGCTATCTATTTGATCGATTTGAGCGGATTCTATCTCTTGGAAACTCTCTCCCAACCTTTCCGCCCAAAGCTGCAAAGCGCGAACGTAGAGCCTCAGCCGACATTCAATAAAATCATACCCAAACCCTCGTTTTCCTTCATTTACACACCTCACAACACAACAATGGCCGATAAATACCCACCACCACAATACCCACCGAACACATACCCGAACAACTCGGGGTACATGTCGCCGCCGCCGCAAGGGCAGATGATGTACCAGGACCCAAACCAACAATATGGTGACAACCGCGGCTACTACCCACCTCCCGGCGGGCCCCAATACGGCCCTCCCCAAGGTGGTTATTACCCCCAGCAGCAGCCCGTAGTCGTCGAGGATCGAAGAGGCGGTAGCGGGCCCGGCATCTGTGCTGGTCTGTTCGCTGGTCTAGCCTGCTGTTGTTGTCTGGATTGCCTGTTCTAGAACGCTGTCAGGTCTGAGGAGGGGCAGAAATGGAAAGCCACGAGCTAGGCGATCGGCCAGTCGCTTCGACATTCGAAAGCATCCATCGGGGAGGTTCTCACCATTGCTACCCAGTGCGGCGACGGCGACGCATCGGCCCATTCATACGGCATAAAGGGGTTTTGCTTTCTTCGGGACTTGATTTCATCTTTTTCTATTTTATTTTCCCGCATGGCGTGACATGAAACAAAGAATCAAGCGTGCAATTTTACGCTTGTGATGATTGAGGATGGGCTCAGGTATTTATATTTATACATCAATGTAAATTATGTTAATATGCTATTCCGACCTTGCATAGTCCGTGGTCTTTCCTCTGTTTCTGTGCAGTTCTTCGTGCATCATTCTGAACATATGCAGGCGCTTCATCAATGCGAGGGACGCAAGCCCTTGCCACGACGGGACAACACCCACGGGTGGACTAGATAAGGCGTTGAAGCCATCATATTACTCACCAGCAGCTATTCTCCTCGTATGGCTCCCACAGTGTTTCTATCTCGTCACATTAAACAGCAAGTGTTGACTTGACTGAGTCCGCCTGCGTCGGTTGTAGTCTTTGCAGCAGTCCGGGTAATATCTTCAAGGACTTCCCATAAGAGCTCGCCAGTGACAGCACTGCACTCGGCATACCTGTCACACCGCATCTCCTGTGCCACGCGGTATGCCTCTTGAGGCATGACACACTCGAACGATCCGTCGTCGAGCCTGTTGTCCGTTCGCTCGTCTCTCTTCAACCCCAACAGCATGACAGGCATATTGTGCTCTTGGTCATGGTAGTGCATGGACAACTGCTTCCGCCAGTAAAACTGGGCATTGTGCAAAGACTCGCGGGAGGAGATCGAGAAGGCAATGATGGTGAAGTTTGGCTCGTCTGGAAATGGATCAATAAAGAGTGTCGAGGTGGAAGTGTAAACGTGGACCTGGTAGGGACGGGCGAAGAGGGTCACGTCGAACGACAGTGGCGTTTCAGGTGCGAAGACGCGATCTTTGGGAGCAGAGACATCGAGCTTCCCGTTACGGAGGTGTTGTAGCTGGCTGAAGGGGAAAAGGGTCAATCAGTCAGCATTGGACTTTCTCGGAACGTGGAGGGCATCTCGCCCAACAGCACCAGCGGCACGTGGAATGAGACGGAATTGAAATGCTGTTTCGCAATCCTCAGGGGAGATAAACACTATATTGGTGCTAGGGCAGGATGGTGAAGGCAAATGATGAAAGGTGACATACGACAAAAAGGTAGCCTTTCCGATACCAGGACTACCGAGGAATAGAATGTCGACCACTGGCACGGCTTTACCGTGGTGGACTGACTCCTCCATGAATTTTTACCTGATCTGTATATGCTTTGCAGCAGCCATGATGTCGCGGTGGGGGAGCAATGGTGTGTCAAAGGCAATGAAAGGCGTGAAACGGGGAGAAATCGGTGAAGCATTGTTGGTTTTGAGACGAAGAAGTGGGAGTGTTCGGTGGGGATTGCCTTATTGGGCTAGCGAGAGCGAGGTTGGGGCGCGTCTTGGCGCCACTAACTGGCATGATGTGGAGCGGCAGACGAGGCCAGCAACGCGCATTTACTAATTCGTCCATGATCATTTGGCGGTCGGTGGTGAGATAGTTTCTGGCCGCTGAGGGGAACAGGAACAACAGTCCAGACATGCGTCAAAAAGGGACCACACGAACCACAGGAACCACAGGAACCACAAGACCCTTGATTAGCACGGCTGTCCACGGTATTTGCTCTTCGTAGCAGAGGGGTTTCCGTGTGTTGAAAAATGGCAGGCGCGGGGTACCATTTGGCCTTGCGGGTTCCTGCTTCTTTCTCTTCAAGCTCATTTGTACCCGCCTCTTTCCATTCCACCTCTTGCTTTTCTCGTTCTTCTCTCTTCTTCTCTTCTCATTCACACTCTTCTGTCACCACTCATCACCACTCATCCTTTCATACTCGAGTGGAACATCGTCACAGTCAAGAGCTCAATACCCAGATAAACCACCGTCCAGACGCCATGGGTGAATGTCCAGTCGACCACAAGAGCGCCAATATTGGCGGCGGTGGCACCAGGAACAATGACTGGTGGCCAAATGACCTCAAGCTGGGCATACTGCGCCAACAGCAGCCCTCCAGCAACCCTCTGACCAAAGACTTCGACTATGCGGCTGCCTTCAAGAGCTTGGACTATGAGGGTTTGAAGAAGGATCTCCATGCCCTGATGACAGACTCTCAGGAATGGTGGCCCGCCGACTTCGGTCACTATGGTGGTCTTTTCATCCGAATGGCATGGCACAGCGCCGGTACCTATCGTGTCTTCGACGGTCGCGGTGGTGGCGGCGGAGGTCAACAGCGCTTCGCTCCCCTCAACAGCTGGCCAGACAATGTCAGTCTCGACAAGGCCCGCCGCCTCCTCTGGCCCATCAAGCAGAAATATGGCAACAAGATCTCCTGGGCTGACTTGATGCTGCTCACTGGAAACGTTGCTCTTGAGTCCATGGGTTTCAAGCCCTTCGGCTTTGCTGGTGGCCGCGCCGATCAGTGGGAAGCTGATGAGTCGGTTTACTGGGGCGGTGAATTCACCTGGTTGGGCAATGAGGTTCGTTACGGAAGTGGCCAACCGGGTGTTAAGGGATCCGGTGTCATTGATGGCGAGGAGTCCAAGGAAGCCCACAAGGATATCCATTCTCGCGATCTGGAGGCACCATTGGCTGCGGCACACATGGGCTTGATTTACGTCAACCCTGAAGGTCCGGATGGTATCCCAGACACCAAGGCTGCCGCCAGAGATATCCGCACAACCTTTTCCCGTATGGCTATGAATGATGAAGAGACCGTGGCCCTCATTGCCGGTGGTCACAGCTTCGGTAAAACACACGGTGCTGGTCCTGCTGATAACGTTGGCAAGGAACCTGAGGCTGCGGAAATCGAACTCCAAGGCTTTGGTTGGGAGAACAAGTACAAGTCTGGAAAGGGACCCGACACAATCACCAGCGGTCTGGAGGTCATCTGGACTAAGACCCCCACTCAATGGAGCAACTCCTACTTCGAATATCTTTTCAAGAATGAATGGGAGTTGACCAAGAGTCCCGCTGGTGCCAACCAATGGGTGGCCAAGAACGCTGAGAAGGTAATTCCCGATGCCTTTGACCCCAACGTCAAGCACCCACCCCGAATGTTGACCACCGATATCGCCTTGATCCACGACCCAGAGTACTTGAAGATCTCGAAACGCTTCTATGAGAACCCTGATCAATTTGCTGATGCTTTTGGACGCGCCTGGTTCAAATTGTTGCATCGTGATCTAGGTCCCCGTGCGCGATGGGTTGGTCCCGAGTTGCCATCGGAAGTCCTCCTCTGGGAAGACCCAGTTCCAGCTGTCGATCATCCACTCGTTGATGATAAGGACGTTGCAAACTTGAAGAAAGAGATCCTGGCCACTGGTGTTGATCCTACCAAACTCATCCGTACTGCCTGGGCCTCTGCTTCCACATTCCGTGGCTCCGACAAGCGTGGCGGTGCCAATGGGGCTCGCATTCGCCTCGCTCCTCAGAAAGACTGGAAGGCGAATAACCCAACTGATTTGGCCGAGGTCCTCTCCGCCTTGGAAGGTGTACAGAAGAAGTTCAACGACTCTGCATCTGGTGGAAAGAAAGTGTCGTTGGCGGATCTTATTATCCTGGCTGGTAACGCTGCCATCGAGAAGGCTTCCGGTGCTTCCGTTCCATTCTCTGCAGGTCGAACAGACGCCACAGCAGAGCAGACCGATGTTGAGTCCTTCAGCCATCTCGAGCCTGTGGTTGATGCTTTCCGCAACTATGGCAAGGGTACCGAACGTGTCCGCACCGAACAGTTCCTTGTAGACAAGGCTCATCTACTGACACTCACCGCCCCAGAGGCAACTGTCCTTGTCGGTGGTCTGCGCGCATTGAACGCCAATTGGGATGGATCTTCCCATGGTGTGTTTACTAACCGCCCCGGTCAGCTCACCAATGACTTCTTTGTCAACCTACTCGACACAAACACAGCATGGAAGGTTGGCGACGCAGCTAATGAGATTTATGAGGGTGGTGATCGCAAGACGGGCAGCAAGAAATGGACTGCCACTCGTCACGATCTGATCTTCGGATCTCATCCTGAGCTTCGTGCCATTGCAGAAGTCTATGGCAGCTCAGATTCGCAGGATAAATTTGTGAAGGACTTCGTGGCAGCTTGGACTAAGGTTACGAACCTTGATCGATTTGACTTGAGATCATCAGCCAGCTCCAGCAAGGCTCGTCTATGAGCTTATTGAATGCTACGCCCTTCTCATGAGACGTCCTGTTTCTGTTTGCCGGAGTTCATAGGTATGTAGAGCAAATAGGGAAAAGTCCGAGTTGTGACGCCAAGCTTTTCCGCATATCGGATCACAACTGCATCCCACAATCGATTGCTCTTTACATGTCAACGCCATTGCAGTGATTTGACCCATTCAATACGAGATATTATTATTGAGCAACAGTTGCCTCTTTTTCTGCTAACTCATTCTCAATATCGGCGTCCCCAGAGATACAAAAGTCTGTTGCAGGCCGGGTGAGCTTTCGGAATCCAAGCAGCTAAGGCGGATGCCATTCGATCAAGTGACAAGTCGTTGCAGTGTAGTCAGGTTGCCTGCTTCTAAAACCATGTCGAACGTATGGAGTCACATGTTCCGAGAGGATTATTGTTTTCTAGAACATCAACGCCCAGACTAGTGTGCTATCGCGAACAGAACAGAAGCTATCGTAGTGGAGACACAGTTTTTTCTCCTGTTCGTGAGTGGCCGATTCGCACAGCTTCCCACTGCTTGGCAGGTCATCGTCGAGCTTGGCGTATATCAATTTCCGAATCTGGAGCCTCATCCGTCTCCAGAAGTCCACGGGTTTTTATCAGATCAACTGATAGTCGCTCAGGATCTAATCAAATCCGATTATCGGCACCGCAGGTCTCCCATGTGTGAGATGGATATGTAAATCCTGCACTAGTTGGTTGCCACGCTGCTTGTCCCATCAATTTGAGCCTGCACGTTCATGGGGACGACATGGAGGAACGTGGATGGATGGTCTCGTTAAGACCCTGTTCTTGGTCCGCATCCAATAGCGTGCATGGCGAGCTCGTTGACAGACTCTTTCGACGAATCCAGGGGCCCGACGAGCCTTCTTGGCTCCATGGTTGAAGAGCAATTTTTTCAACCTTGTCGCCGACTCAAGGCCATGTCGAGACTACTACGGATACTAAAGAGCTAGGTGAGGGTCCGTCTCGAGCTCTCGGGAGGTCCAGAAACTTTTCCATTGTAAATACATATATATCTATCTATCTATCCGTGGAGGGTCGCGTCCCTTCTCAGGCTAGCAAGTATTCCCTCACTCTTCGAGATTCATTTCAGGGCCACAGTACGACTGCACGATGGCAGTCACAGGTATCTCAAGCCAGACAGTTGAGGCTCCGACAGCCTCGACCGACAATATTGAGAAGCAGCCCTCAACAGACAACATTAGCCGTGAGTTCTCAGATGATGGAAAGCCCGACGACGCCTCCGAGCGTAAACAGGATGGTGTCCGGCAGGTCGAGGCCATTACCACTGTATGGTCTAAACAAATGCTGGTCGTTATGTTTTGCCTGTACGTGCTTACTCGCCTGTGTCTATGAGCAAAAGAGTAAAACTCAAGATCAAAGACTAACGATTTTCTCTGCTCTTCAGGCTCTACCTCGTCACATTCTGCGACAATCTACTGCAAGGGGTTCAATCGAACCTGACGCCGTACGTGACTTCAGAGTTCTCTCAGCACGGCCTCCTCGCGACCACCAGCATAGTTGCTTCGGTCCTCGGCGGAGTATCCAATCTCGCCATTGCCAAGATCATCGATATTTGGGGTCGCTGCGAGGGCTTTCTCGCCATGTTACTTCTCGTCGTGGTCGGCATTATCATGAAGGCAACGTGCCAGAACGTCGAGACCTATGCCGCGGCGCACACTCTGTACTGGGTCGGCCATCTAGGATTGGTGTACGTCATCTCAATCATTCTGGCCGATACCACGACCCTGAAGAATCGTGCCATTATTCTTGGTCTCAACTACACTCCTACCATCGCGACGACATTCGCCGGCCCCAGGATCGCCGACTTGTTCTACACCAATGTCAACTTCCGATGGGCTTTTGGAGCTTTCCTCATCATTCTCATTGCCTTCTGTGCCCCTGTCGCTGTCATCTTCATCCTCAGTAAGCGCAAGGCTGTGAAGATGGGCGTGTACCCCGTGAGAGAGGGAAACCGAACTGTTTGGGAATCGTGCAAGTACTACTTTGTGCAATTCGATGGTATGACTTCCCTCATGAAAAGGTGCAAGCTTTCGAGGCATTTGATGCTGACTTGTGATGGTTGCGCTGTCTAGTCGTTGGCATGCTGCTCACTGTCTTCGGGTGGTCATTACTGCTCTTGCCCTTCAATCTCGCGTCCACGGCTCCAAAGGGTTGGGCGACTGGCTATATTATCGCCATGATCGTCCTCGGAGTGCTGTGCTTAGCAGCATTCTTCATCTGGGAGAAGTACTTCGCCACCGTGGCGTATCTACCCTTTAGGTTCCTAAAGGACCGGACCATCATTGGCGCTTGCCTGCTGTACGGAATCATGTTCCTCTCTATCTTGTAAGTCTCCCCCCTTATCACTCCTAAAGCACCGGCACACACCCAGTATTCATAATTGGTTCTCAATGATGGACATTCTAATACTTCTCCAGCTGCTGGGATGGATATTACGGGTCGTACCTGCAGGTTGTTCACAACCTCAACATTACGACGTCCGGCTACGTGCTCAACTCGTTCTCGCTAACATCTGCCTTCATCATGCCTATAACAGGTGTCTTAATCCGCCTAACCGGCCGCTACAAGGTCGTCTCGTACGCAGGGATTCCCTTCTGCGTCCTCGGCACCGCCCTGCTCATCCACTTCCGAACACCCAGCTCCGCCGTCGGATACCTCGTCATGTGTCAAATGTTCAACGGCATCTCGAGTGGCATCTGGGTGTCGACCGGCGAACTCGCCGTGCAGGCCTCCGTCAGCCATCAGGAAATCGCCGTCGCGAGCGCGATCTTCGGCATGTTCGGGTCCATTGGTGCCGCTATCGGGCTCGCCATCGCGGGCTCCCTGTGGACCAACGTGCTTCCCGTCCAGCTGTACAACCGCCTCCCCGAAGACGCCAAGGGCCTCGCCGCCGAGATCTACGGTTCGATTGTCGTTCAGAAGTCGTACCCGATGGGGAGTCCGATCAGGGATGCGATTATCGCGGCGTATGCGGATGTGCAGAGGAAGATGGTCATTGCGGGCGCCTCGTTTATTCCGATTCTGTTGGTTTGTATCATGGTTTGGAGGAATGTCAATGTCAAGAAGCTCGAGGAGATTCATGGGAAGCAGGTCAAGGGTACTGTCTGGTAAGAAGAACACAGAGCGTCAGGGGTTGTTTCGATTGCTTGATCGGTTTTCTCCGGTTTCCCTTTACAGAACAAGGAAAGCAACAGAGGAAGACGAGGCAGGTCAGACCTTTCGTGTTGAGGAGAGATGCTGACGATGTAAATCTACGGAGAGACATGCTAGCAAACGAGCTTAACTGTTTGATGTCGTGGTGTACATTGAGGTGTAGAGAGAATATATGTAATGTCGTTAGAACGGATGAACCCGTCCATCTACAACGTACGTCGCACCCCCTGTGCATACCATTTCAAACTTGTATTTAAATTCTAAGCTCCATTGGATGTTTGAGGTCCTGTTCTGTTGCCGCTGTATGGGTCCAGGTATTCTGAAGCAAGCAAAAAGTCCAGATACACCTTGCTATGGGATCGGAATACATTATTCCTCCGCCCCAACAAGAGGAAACAGGTACCCTTGAAATGCCCCTAGCTCGTCTAATCAAACAGCTGTCACTCCAAGGCATATCACGCAGCAGCCCAGCAAGGGGCCGCGGTTAGCGCCCAGCTGGTTTGTGCTACCTTAACAGGGACACTTCTTGGTGGTGTGAAAATATGATCCACGTTTGGCGCACGCCACAGCGGTGTCGGGGTGAGCCGAGGACGGCGAGGCTCGGGTGGCTTGCATATTGAATCCGGGGATGATAAGGGTCGGTCGGTTGTATTTGGTTCCAAGTGTCTAAAAAGATTGGAATGGTGTTTTTGGACAATTGGTATTGTGGCTTCTAGACAGTGAGACGCGAGCGAGAAGTTAACAAACCGCAGAAAGAGTGAAGGCCTTTTATAGTCCGAGGATCCCCTGGGCACGCTGATTCTTATAATGCTCGGGGGAGATGCTCTCCAAACGGGGATGGCACGGTATAGGGATCGTGATGTGATATTTTGGCGGAAGGGAAGGGTGACCGGCCCCGGTTCGTTTGTCTCGACGGGGGGTTGGGAGGATTTGCAGTGAAACTTGCACAAGACCAGATAAGGTTGAATAACCTTGATGAAGATGAGCCTTCTCTGATCCCACATATCATCTGGCTTTCTGAAGTGGGATGGGATGACATACGGATATGGGGGTCCAGCGCGTTCAGAGGAGTGTTGCAACCGATTTAGATATCAGAAGGAGTTGCTGTGACTCTGTGAGCTTGGTCAGCTGTGAGAGATGGTCAAACGCATGAAGGCAATGCAGCTGCCACACCTGTGAAAGTGCCATGAACTTGGAAAAGGAGTGGCGATCTTTACGACGCGTGGTCACAGAAACAACGAAATTCGGAAGAGGTGAGTTCAATGTTCAATTCAGCCGATCCTGCTCGTATGACACACATAGGTTGCTTGCTCGTCACCTAGGGTCACTATCACGCATGCATGCATGCTGATATATGTGGCCTACAAGCATGTAGATGACTTGATTTAGTAAGGCGTCCCATCCCCGAGTGCCAGATCGACTGCCTTCTTGGTAGCCGCGTCAAAATCTTCCTTTGGCAAACCCAAAAGATCATTATGCAACAGCCCGCGCTTCTCATAGTTGGCCTCGTCCGTCGGGTAGAAGGTTCTGGTGTACATGAGCTGCGCAAAGCCTTCCCTCTTGCCCTCCTTGAGCATCTTGACACCCTCGTCATACCGCTCCTTGGTGTTTTGATAGCTAATGTTCCAGTCACTCTCGCTTGAACCTGTGACACGCAGGACCGAGGCAAACATATCCTTCTGACTGACGTTGAAAGACGAGAGATACATGTAATTGTTTCGGAACTGTGACAGCGTGGGCGTCTTGTCATTCTCGTCTTCGGGAAGGACCTTCAGGCTGAGAAGAGCGGCCAATGCCCGACCACACTGGTCCCAGGTACTGGTGTTGATGGCCCTCGTACCCTCGTCGAAGAAGACGACGCTGCGATTCTTGAAGTCGAACCCATACCTGTGCGGCGAGCCGGCGAGTGAGAATTCGTACCAGAAGCTGCATACGATGGCGATCCAGTCACTCTTACCCAGGCTCTCAATGTACTCGCGGGTTTCCGAGGTCTTGTTGCCCGGATAGGACTCTGCCTTGAGCGCCTCTTGAGTTGGATCCGCGCCCCATTCATTGGGGAGGACCCAAGGGACATTGGCCTTGGCGGCAGCCTCGATGAGTTTGCGCTGTGTGTCGGGGGGGGCCATCACGTTCATCGTAATGATGAGCACATCTTGTCCCTGTAGTGCCCCCACAAGGGTGTCTGGGTCGTCGTAGTTGACATGCTTCACCGTCACGCCCTCGGGTAGTTTGTTCTTGCTGTCAGCCCTGGTAATTGCGGTGACCTTGTGCTTTTGGGTCTTGAGCAGTTCCTCGGCGACGTATCTCCCTACATTTCCGCCCGCACCGACGATGGCGATGTTTTCAACGCGGTTTTGGAACCCTGGTGCCTGTGACCTGGCGTATTTGACAGACATCCTGCGTGGCTTCTGGGTCTGGACTTTTCCCAACGAGGTGATAGGTATTCGACGAGCGCTTCTGCAAATGGGCCCTCTGAGAATAGATAGTCAGAAGACTCGTTGTTTGAACATTGGTCGACCGAAGAAAGAAGCTCTATGAAACGAGACTTACCTTCGGCCATTTAATGTCCCCGTCCATTGGTGCTAGCGGAGATCCGACATTAATTCCGTGGGCACGTAAATCCTGCTTGAAACGTGTAGCTGTGCTCCGGACATTAGATTTGCACCAGAACAAGAAAGATTACGAATAGGAGATGCAGATGCAAGGACTAGTAGTTGATGGTTATGACGTCTTATATCGGATGAGCGAGATTTCGAATACGATGGAGGGTTAGCGTTTGCGTTAGTGTGCCCGGAGTTACTCGAGAGCGAAAACCCTAATTAATTGCCATACACGGTTTGATCCTGGAGGGGAGCGAAGGCCGCTTTAAGGTGCTTTAACCTAAGATTTAACTTGAGCCTTGGCTGAGCCCTTCCGGGGCGTCCCTGAGCAGCAAACTGATATAGTTAGGGGGCTAAATCTGGCCCCTTCCATTCTCTCCCCAGAATCTAGCTGCTCGCCGCTTTACTCACTCTTGGCTCGTCTTCTGCTCCCTGAGAGATCCCGGAGCTTCCCCTCGCCTTGATATTCGTCTTCATTTAGACACCAACTTCAGTCAACTTGAGACGGGGGCCATTGTGGATTCCAGGGCATCCCAATTCAGTCTCCGCTCCGATTTGCCCGACCTGCCCAGCTGGGATCCTCCTTTGGTGGTCTCTTGCGCGGCAATCGACCTACTTCCCTTGGAAAGACCAGCTTACCAACAACGTCCCCCCTGCCTCATGTCCTGACTCCAGGAACCTTGTCCTTCCGTTGATTGACGATAGCCTGTTTCATAGCAGTAAATCCTGGGTTCTTCGGATGAAATGGTCGATGTACGTCTCAAGGTTTACCGGCATCATCAGATGTTGGAGTTCTTGAAGAGATGCTCTCCGCTTTGCATCTTGAAGCTGAAGTATATCTGAGCCATGGGATTCAATCGGCACTCGCCGCAACGCCCAATCTCGTAGCACTATACCGCGAGGATCTCGAAGATACCTTTGAGTACCTCTCAATCAAATCACTCGACGATCCTAACTACCACTACCGGCTCTTCCGCGAACCGTCAGCCGTTTACGCGACTCATGGTTTCGGGCTCTGTGAGCATCCGTTCGATTCATACGCATGCCTCGACGAGCTACTGAAGATGCCGTACACCGATATCTTGACAGTTCTGTACACCCCTAATGCACTTTGCGTCGGACATAAGCCAACTGAGGTCCGCCTATGAATACACTCCATTCCCAACATCACCTACGTCGATGGACAGCCTAGGCTCTGACGCTAGATATGATAATCCCAATGAATGGTATTATTGGCAAGGACGGATCATCATGGCCATTGCGGTGAATCGGCCAAGGAGCAAACCTAACAAGATCTTCTTAATGGGTGAGAGTACGTAAGACCTGATGTTCAGAATCATACTGGAAGACACGGTGGTGGGAGCGCTCGGGTACAATCCCGAGGTGCATCCGGGGCACAAGGTGTTTAGGGCGGTAAGAGGGGCGGTAGAGTTTGCACGACGGGAGGATACGTTTAGAACTTAAGTGAGGCCCCTATATATAGACACTGGTATAGGCGGTCGATCGAACACACTCTCCTCCATCAGCGGAAGAGGGAAAGATTGAGAAGAAATCTCTCAATCCAAGTTAGAATTCTTAAATATTCGGTATAGGGTGTTGCTAGGCTTTAGTATTAGACGCCCTTATACCTAGCTAAGAGGTAAGTATAGTCGATTACTAGAGAGGTAGATTAGACCCTCCCTATAGCTTAATATTCCGCCTTGGGGGTGATTAGTGAGGCTCAGTTCAGCCTTGGGTTAAAGTGGCCTTTGCTTAGTTACTAAATAGGATAGTACTGTATTTAGCGAATAGGGGTTTCCCTTGTAAGTAAGAGGGGTAGTCTCGCTTGTAAGTACTTTAGTCCTCCCACTTCCTGTGGGGGAGGTGGGCTTCACTAAAGATATTGAGTCGGTGTCAAAATATGTTGCTAAAGCTCGACAGGGAGTCAACATGTTGTTTCCCTACGCTATTGTGGACGTAGATTTTGTCCAGCTTTCAAGTATGGCCGTGGCGAGTTCCGCCTAGACAAGATTCGAGCCATCACTCAGAAATGGCAGACTGCGATGCCGAGATTCGACAGTTGGAACACAGTGTATCTGGACAACCATGATAGCCGGCGATCTGTGACGCGTTATGGTTTGGATGATCCCAAATCCCGTGCAGATGCCGCAAAATTACTTTGCATCTACATGATCACCCCGAGAGGAACTCTTTTGCTGCTAGTTGGCCAGGACCGGCATGACGAATCTACCGAAGCAAATGGGTATCGATTATTATACTGGTGTGAAAGGGAAGAACCACTATCTAAAAGAGCTCAAAAGCCGTGGTAGCGATACAGGCAAGATGGACGACGTCTTGCGTGAATTGCAGCCGAAGGCCAGAGATTATGGTCGTTTGCCGATGTAATGGACTGGACAGCCCAATGCTGGACTTACTGAAGCTGGAAAAACGCCGTGGATGACGGTCAATCTCGATCCTGTTGACTAGAGTGTCGAACGCCAGGAGCCGGCCGAAACACTGTGTTGTCATTCTGGAGGGACTCGCTCGCCTTGAGAAGAAAAATGGTTGACGTATTCGTCTGTGGTGCATTTCAGATACTGGACGAGCCAGCTTCACAGAACTTTCTGGTCGGTTATAAATGGAAACGCTATGATACTGGACAAAATGCTCTAGTTTTGTTGAGCTTTTCCACCTTGATTCCTGGCGGCAAGAGGGAAGCATGTCTACCTGTGGGGGTTTGCCGGTGGTGGACGACGCCCATGCATTCATGCCTTGTCGAGGGGTGGGAGTCTCCCCCCACAGGCTAAATGCACCGTGCAGTGTATAAGCCTTCCGCCGAATGCTCTTCGGGTTGCAGGCCTCCTCGGCAACGACATAAATGTGAAGCACTCCCAGATTGCCCGGAGCGTGAAAATTCCGGCCAGCAGTTGGAGTGTGCTTGGACGATCAAGATGGGGTCCAACGAAATCTCTTACCAAGAATCTCGGGTGCCGTTGTCGGCGCTTCGCACAACCCTCTCGAGGAATCCAATCCCGGATGATGTCGATCATGAAGCGGTGGTGGCGCATATATGTGGGAGATTGACCAACCTCGACACCTCCGATTTCACAACCGAGGCCCAATGGCGGGACATTGTAGGGTTGACTGGCAGTATACGGACTATTCAAGGGCCTCAGAATATTGTGGAAGTATGGACAAAGCTCAGCTCCGCACAAAATGCCACCGACTTTGATCCCATTGCCGGATCGACATCAGCCATCCGCTTTGGGTCAGTGGCCTGGATTGAGGCTCGGATTGATTTTCGGATACCTACCAAAGGCAGCCTCCCTGGGCGAAAATGCTCAGGGATTCTCCGCATTGTACCCAATTCGAGTAGAGAATGGAAAATTTGGATTATGGTGACGATACTGGAACAGCTTGATGGCTGTGGCAGCGTCGATGTGCTCGTTCAGCTCAGTCCAGAGGAAAGCCTAAGACAAAGAGCGGAAAACGGAGCGGATTCTGGGGTAGACCTCTTTGATTGCGTTGTCGCTGGTGGAGGCCAAGCTGGCTTGTGTACTGCGGGTCGCCTCAAAGCACTGGGCGTCTCGTACGCGGTACTGGAGCGAAACAACGAAGTTGGTGGCAACTGGTTGAACCGGTATCAGTCGTTCAGGCTACACACCTCGAAGGAGTCGAGCGAGATGCCCTTTGGCAGGATATTTGCGAAGGATGAACCTTACTTTCTCAACGGTCGTCGCCTCGCAGCAGGTTACAAGAGATATGTTGAACGGTACGGCATCAATATCTGGTTATCGACTGTACTTGAAAAGGCCGACTGGGACGAATCAGCCCAGCTGTGGATACTGGACCTCCAGCAGAAGCAAAGTGGCCACAGCACTTCTGATGAAGCGCAACAGAATTTTAAGAGACGGCAAATCCGCGCACGACACCTTGTTTTTGCCATTGGAAGCGGAGGTCAGATCCCGAAAGTGCCGTTCATTCCAAATCGCGAAGCGTTCAATGGCGAACTCTTGCATTCAGTCGACTACAGCGTGGCCACGCAATGGAAAGCAAAACGCGGCGTGGTTATCGGAAGTGCCAATTCCGGTCAAGATGTGGCCATGGACATGGTTGCAGCGGGTCTCTCTGCTGTGACTGTCGTCCAGCGAACACCGACCATGATTTTGCCATTGCCAACCTACAAGGCTATCTTTGACCGCGTTTACAATGACCAATCGGACCTTAATTTGAGCGACAAACTTTTTCTTTCGATGCCTTTGAATGTCGAGCAAGCCTTTGCCATGGAAGTTGTACGGCAGCTGGCCGACGCCATGCCCGAATATTGGCAGGCGCTGGAAAAGTCTAGTTTTGTGGTCAATCGGTATCCTGACCTGATTCATATCCTGTACGAACGGCAAGGTGGACATTACTTTGATGTCGGTGCGGTCAAAAAGATTGCGGATGGCTCGATCCAGACTAAGCTTGGCTCTATCGAAAGCTTCACACCCACCGGCCTGCTTTTCAAAGATGGCTCTACCCTGGACGCCGACGTGATCATCCTAGCGACTGGGTTTGAAGGTAGCATGCGGGCTGCTGCCACGAAAATCGTTGGCGCCGAGATCGGAAGTCGTTTGGATGAGTACATGGGTGTTGACGCCGAAGGAGAGTTGAGAGGCTACGCGAAACCCATGGCGGGTCAGAAGAATGTCTGGTAAGTTCCCTCCCCATTGCCAAGCAATCTTGACACAATGCTGACGAGAATCAGGTACATTGGCAGCTTTATTGGCCTCTCCAGGTACTATTCGCGCTTTCTAGCGTTACAGATCAAAGTGGATCTTCAAGCACAATAATTGTGATTGTACGGAGCAATGAAGGCATCGGCCAAGGAAGAGATAGGGAGTGTGCTGTTAATTGCCTTGAACTAGTCATCATCTGCTGAATCATTATCGACGCCTCAGGACCCATGTGGTCAAAGTTCTGTTCAAGTCTTGCAGTCCGCAAGATTTCTTCTCATCACTTGGTGAAAGATGTGCGAAAGTCATTCGCGTCAATGTGAAATTATCTTCAAATATCTTGCATGCCCAGATCGCCAATTCCCGAGCATTATGAAATTTGCTGGCTTCCGCCAGTCTTTCAGTAACTATTCTTAGACCCATCATCTCCTGTCAATCGTCCCGAAGGAGTGCAGCAGGCTATCAAATTTTGGAATTTTTGGGAATCAGGCACATCCATGACTTGAACAAGAACAAGCTCAGCCTCTGGCATCCAGGTGCAATATCTTGATAATATCGTGACGAGCCCAAAAGCGCCGGTATTGTTTCCCAAACATGTACATTGGAACAGAAGTGAGGCAGAGGCCAGCTGAAACACCAGCCATCGTGTAAAAGACGTTACCACCGTCTTTCACATACCATTCGACGATGAAATTGCTCACCCTATGACCAAGATCAGTATTTAGCGTGGGAAGTCCGAAAGTCGACTCACCCGTAGAAGAGGAAGTTCTTGAACAGAATGTTCATGATGAAAATCTCCACGGAGTAATTGGCGAAAGCATCCACAGCGTAGGACGAGACAGCCGAGGCCACGATGGTCATGCCGAAGAGAAGAAATCCCCAGAGAAAGCTGAGGATATACATCGACTGCCCCTGTTTGAGGCAATATCCAAAAGCGGCAACACCAGAAACGGTCGGTAAAGTACCCAGCAAAACGATAGGTATTCGGAACTCGGGTTCGTAGACCCCCCGGTTCTTGCGGGACATGAATTTGATGAGAGGGTCTGCCATTGCAGCATAGGCTATGGAGCCAAGCAAGCATCCCAGAAGAGGACCGACAGACAAATATCCCACGGAAGCGGTTGAGAGCCCGTACGGGGGTGCAGACAGCATGATGCTGCTCAATAAGCTGATAGCGACGAACCATGCAATGATGAATCCAGACACGAAGACGCTGTAAGACGCGGCAACATTCGTGAGTATGGCCGGGCAAGCCAGAATCATCTTGAGAATAGAGCTGTCGCTGAAGGTGCCATTGTACATGGCCATATCCTGCCAGAAAGTCTTCCTGGCCCCGGTCGTTTCGGAGATTTCAACATGTGTAGTGGTGAAGCTCTCGTTCTGCTTGTCAGCGATTTCTTCTACAGTTTCGCCCGTATCGCTAGTTACAGGCACATTGAGGCTTCTAGTCTGCGAAGGTTGTCGGCGATAGGCTGTCTCTGGAAGGAAGAAGATGACCGAGATTGTTTGGAGGGCAACGAATGGAAAGAGGAGATAATAGTTGTAACGCCAGCCGAGATGCTCCATGATAAGGCCAGCAAGGATCGAGACTGCGTTGGTAATACCACTCTGGAGGAAGAGGACGCAGGCGATGAACACGCCGCGCTCATGGACAAAATACAGATCAGTAATTGAGCTGAATATCAAGGCTTCGTAGGACGGAAGTCCAAGGCCTTGAATGATCCGGGTGGCGACCAGAGTGTTGTAATTCTGAGCGGTCATTCCGACGATACAACCGATCAAGCTGAGAACCGAGCCGAGGACGAACAACGGACGTTTCCCGTATTTGTGTGCCAGAGCCGAGACGAACACACCAAAGGATCCCGATGCCAGGAGCAGATAGCCCGTGAGCTTCGTCATATCGCTGACGGGGCGGTGGAGCTCAATGGCCATCTGCACGAGCCCGGAGTTTAACATTGGAATCTAAAATTCCCGGAATATCAGCGTCACAGTCCTGGTGCCGGGGCCGAAATAGGGAAAGAAAAACCATACAGGAACGTTGGGGACAATGATCACTCCCAGAAGAAGTTGCAGCAAGATGATGTGCTTCCTGGCCTGGCGCCAATTCAAGGGGTCGTTGGGATCATCGCTGGGCTGCGGTTCGAGGATGATATTGGAATTCTTGCCCTTTCCTAGCTTCGTGGCCCCGGTCACGAGGCCGCTTCGAATAGCCACTTCGTCCAGAGCAACGGTCCCCGGGGCTTGCTCGCCATGCTTGGCTTCAATGATGCCGAATGGCATGATGAGGTTGAGAAAAAGTTGGTGCAGTGACTGAGCAAAATCAAAGCATGGGAACGGGTCTTGGTGGAATGGAGATATAATAGAAGGGTTGATAGACGAAGCATGAACGCGCCAATCGTCCGAGAAAGGGGTTGTAACTGCTAATCATATCGCCCGTTCGCGTGTCCAACTCCACCCCCGCAATAAATTGGTCTCTCCACAATCCGGCAAAACTCCACTGCGGAGCCTTGAGCCTGGGGCCTCCACGTGGTCGTCGCAAAACCGGAAGACAGCATCCCCTTTCGTCATAACTGGGAGCGTAGGGTATTTCAAGCAGAGTCTGGCGAATCGCTGGGTGACAGGGTATGGTTACTTCAGAACTTCGATCGCATCTCGTCAAAGACCAAGATTGAAGCATGCCCTCGGGGACTAGGAAGGAAGCCCTATGTGGAAGGTCTAGATGAGGCGAGTCCTCAATGAGAGTGGGCAGCTGTCCAAACCAAGTAGCTACACTCGCGCGCGTCGTAAGCCGCTGCTGCTGGATAAAGTAAAGAGGCTTTGACGACAAGGCTGTCCTCACTACGCGAGGTTGACAATGACATGGACGTTAAACTTATTCAGTGGCCGACGCAATCTTTGCATAGTTGAACGCCACGTCAAGCCCAGCAACCTCCAACGGAACCAGAGAGGGTTACCTTCAGTTCAACCCTTTCGTGGACATGGCTCCATGGTGCTGAAGTACCTAGGCACACAGTTTCCGGGGTTTCTGCCGATTCGCTCAAGGAGAAAATGCACGACTTTCGCTCCAAAAGCCTACGATTCAAGAGCAAAGACCGATCTTGTTGAACCCTCATCCCAAGCTTAAGCTCAAACAGCAGTTCATGCAAAGACAATTTGCTTGCCAAGACAGTGGTTGGGCCCGTGAATTCGACAATGAGATATACCCATCAAGCCAGCGAAAGCGATAAGCGTCCAAGAAACCCAGTCTGATCATGGTGAAGCGTGAGTACTGTAATTCCTGCTGGGTGCTGCCCAAATTCCGGCCAGGAGCAAGCGTAGCGTCCCAACATTCCTAACTTAGGGTGTTGAATCGGGCGCTCCAGGGCCCCCGGCAAACCCCCACCAGAGCACCCAATTCCAGAGTCAACAGCGCCCCCAGGCCTATATACCAAGGCTTTCTACCAGCTCGAAGCTTTGGCAGCGAGGCAGCAGCCACTAAGATAACTTACCTCATGTACTTTGTCCGAGCAGCATAACTCAGGCGAGGAAAGTTGACGCCTCAAACGTCCCAGGGGAGGATTCCCCTCGTTTTGGAGATGGAGCAAGGCTGCATGTGGGAATTCGCCGGCATGTTTATTCAGACAGCTTAGCCTATTCCATACCACATTTCGCTGGTCTAGGGCATGAAACCAAGATCGCGAACATAAAATACGCGGTGCTTCTCAGTTATATCGCCCTGTCTCAGATGGCAATTAAGCTATGTTTGACAATGCAGTGAGCTGAACAGAATTGGGACTGTACGATTTTGCGAATGGTGTACGAGGGCTGCAGCGCGAATTCCCGAGTCCGCAAGAATAAATTGGGTCGGCCAGCACGTCTGAGCGGCTCTATGTTCTGATATCTCTTGCTTTCGAATCCGTTACACTCTACTGGCGTATTGGAGAGATGTATACACTTCCTTTGCTCCCTTGTGCGCTACCCACAGCCCACATCCCAGATGATGTCGACCTCCAGCAGCTGGCGAGCTCATCCGTTGACAAGCTGAAGACACTGAATGAGGATGACTTCACTGACGATGCGATATGGAGAGACACATTTGCGATGACCGGGACTCTTCGGACATTTTACACGAAGAAGTCAATCGCAGCAGCCTGGCATGCAACGTGTAAATTGGCGAATCCCGGCTGTTTCGCTAACCAAGGACAGCCTTCGATATTCCGTGCACACGATGTGGCTTGGGTTAACATTGCATTCGGCTTTCATGCAGATGGTCCCCCTGCAACGAGCTGCAGCGGGTCCTTTGCCATTGTCCCTCAGAAGCAAGGAGGCTGGAAGATCTGGATGTTTCGAACAATCCTGGAACAGCTGGACTCTCAACCCAACGTAGATTATCTGGCGCCTGTGGGCATATTTTCGCACGCCACATCTCGCGGCCCCATCACCAATGGCGTTAATCACGCCTCCACCAATGGAGCGCAAGGGAATCTTCCAAGCGGTCCGAACCCATTTTACGACTGCGTAATCGTGGGGGGTGGTCAGAGTGGACTGAGTGTTGCCGGGAGACTGAAAGCCCTGGGAGTGCCTTACTTGGTGATCGACAAGATGAAACGAGTCGGCGATAACTGGGCGCTCCGTTACGGGTCAGCCAAATGTGAGTGTTGGAGAGCATAGTTATGTACCTGTTCCTCTGTGCGCTATAGGACTGACAATTACCCCAAAGTGCATACTATTAGAGACGTTAGTGAGTGGCAATCCTGTCGGACGAAATTGCCCGAGTCGACTGACCACCAAAGATCACCTCCCATTTGAGCGAACATTTCTGGCAGACGAACCGGAATACCTCCCCAAGGACAATGTGGCCGAGGGCTATCGCAAGTGGGTCGCAAAGTATGGCATTGTAAGGCTTGTATGTAGGCTATTTACTTCTGCTCAATCTGATCTTGCCTCGCAGAATATCTGGCTGTCAACTACACTGCTCTCAGGCTCCTGGGATGTGGAAAAGGAGATCTGGGAATTGAAGATAAGCCGCGATGGAGAGGAATCCCTCTTGAATTGCTCTTATGTCGTGTTTGCAGTTGGTGGAGGATCACAGGTTCCTGTCACTCCGGTCTACCCTGGGCGGGTAAGTGGTTGAACTCAGAAGTAGTAGGATGCCATTCTGATACTTTGGCCCTTTGAACAGGAAAAGTTCCGAGGACTTGCTTTCCATTCGACAGACTACACTGATCCCTCAGGCTGGGCGCATAAACATGGTATTGTCGTCGGCAGCGGAAATACAGGTCAAAAACTCTGGATAAGAAGTGTGCGGACTTCGGAGAAGACTGACAAGTGATCTAGCTCACGACGTGGTCGAAGACATGCTTGCCTGCGGTATGGAATCGGTGACCATGATTCAGCGATCCAAAACTTGTAAGCTTTTTGTCAGATTTGGACAGGTTGTCCGGGGAAATGACAGAGACAGGAAGCTAACGTGGGCTACAACAGTTGTGATTCCGGTCAAGCATTACAGCAAGCATCAGGCGAGTAAGTTTCTTGTCGTCGGTTTTGGAATGGTTCACAATAACCATATGATCTGCCAGGGACTTATAACACCAATATTCCGACAGAAGTATCTGACAGAATAACGATGACGACCCCGAACGCCGTTGGAAGACTGCTGTTTGCACAACTCCTCCACGGACTCGCACGATCTGAGCCCGAATGGCTGGACGCCCTCGAGGCGGCCGGGTTTTTAACCGATCGCTTCGGAGATCTTACATACGCGCTCTCTCATCGCTTTGGAGGATACTACATGGACGTCGGCGCTTCGGAGAAAATCGGGAACGGGTCGGTAAGGCGTTACTTTGCTCGCCCTAGGTACATTTGTGCCAACGGTCGTGCGAGAGGCTGACGATATATCCCAGATCAAGATCAAATCTAACTCACTGCCGGCGCGATGGACAGAAGACGGACTCGAATTTGAAGACGGTTCGCACCTCAAGGCCGACGTCGTCGTATTCGCTACAGGATTTGTAGGCAACATGCGGATCCAAGCCGAGGAGTTGTTTGGTAAAGACGTGGCCGATCAATTGGAAGATTTCTGGGGCCTGAACCAAGAAGGCGAAATAAATGGAGCCTTTCAACCATTGTCGCGTAAGTGCAGAGCAGAGGAACTCCCCGGTGCCTCAACGTTCTTTTCAGTTCTAACCCCTTTGACAGATCCGGCATTTTGGTTTCACGGTGGCGCGATGGCCCCGTCAAGGTTCTTCTCAAGATTCATCGCTCTCCAGATTAAAGCGAAGACTCTGCGTGTTCCCTTTTCCATCTATAGAGAGACGCCTGCGAGAAACGAGGTTGATATACAAACCTGAGCAGGTGGACGGAAAGTGGAAAGCCTATATTCCAGAATACGTTTCCAAAAAGGATCAAAGCCCAAAGACATTCTATATTCTGTTTTCCTTCCCAATGGAGAGAGTAACGTGGTCGGATCGGCCACACCCTTACAGCATCATCTCCAGCCTTTGATTCAGGGCAGCAGCCGCTTGACTACCTGGGAAGAATGGCCATCACGACATCGATGGCTGCAACTCGTGATTTCCACAAGTAGTACCTTGCCGGCAACCCGGAAAGGCCCAGACAAGTATCTTACAGGGCGTTCCAGCCATGTGGGGGTTCCCCGGTGCAAATCTGATTTCGGTTTCCGGGGCCTAGTCTAATAGCTGATTCTTCGTAGTCGGTACTATTTTCGGGCTAAAATGCAGCGCCGCCTGGCCCCGGATCAAGGCACATCGAAGCAGGGTGCTCGATCTCCTCACTTTGAGACGGAAAGGCTTTCCGGGCGACTGTATATACATTCGGGTCGTTCTTTGCTTACAGTAAATCTAAGCCTACGGGCTATCGGCCGTTTGGCGAGCCCTAGCGACGAGGTGCTCAAAGTTGTGCCACCTTCTGCACCTGTCCCCACCTGGCCCTGCTCGGACCGGGCTGAGGCTGCAATCCATGCCCCCCCCAGGGGCTTGGCTTCCCCCCGCATCCCCACAGCATTCATGTTCACATCCTTTCGTGTCAGTCAGTCCGTCCTCACATCTCCGCCTCTCACAGTGTCCTCGTTTGGACCTCTACTGTACCCTCAGAAGCCACTCTTGTTCGACGTGACATGGAGGCTACGCCGGGAGAGTCGTCGTCTTTGTACCGCTGTGCGTTGTGCACGAGGATTTACAGTAGACTGGATCACTTGCGACGGCATGAATTGGCCCGTAGGTTCAGTCAGAGGACTTCCTCGGTGCAGGCCAATCGGAGCATTTCACTAACCTGGAAAGCTAGACACTGGTAAAAAGGCGTTCCCGTGTATCTTTTGTGGCACTCAGTATCAGAGACAGTAAGTGCTCAGCTTTCTTGTCTGCTCCTGCGGCGCGATCAGCACTGACCTGGTGGCCTTTTTCCAGAGACATCCTTCGTCGGCATTACCACTCGTGCAAGGTCAGAAATGACCGCCCTGTGCCTCTACAGAAGAAAAAGGGCCGCCACCGGCAAGCTTGTGACCGGTGTGCCCTTTACAAGTCGGCATGCGACCGGGAGAAACCGTGTCGGATGTGCCTCGACAGCGGTGTCGATTGCACATTCTTCCGACTCCAAGATGTTAACAACAGCCCAGACGAAGCGTCGAACGAGCAGCCATCAAGCCAGAAAGTGCAGGAAGTATCTGAACCAATCAGTCCTGCAACCACTCCCGTTTCAAGCCCGTCGACCGTCCTGGACGCAATACCAATGACTCCCAAGGCGATCGAGTCTATCCCACTTCCATTTCTTCTGAGCTTTGCGACCTCAAATACCCATAGATCGATCCCATACACGTTTGGCTTTTCAACTTCACCTCCGGAGGCTCTTCCCGAGCTGGCTTCGCTGTTCGATGATGCAGCCCCTGTTGAGGACCCCCAAGCGGACAAGACCCATGCGTCCAGCTTGCCCAACAGCTGGAACCAGGCAGAAGGCAACCTCAACGTGTCGAGGGAGGCCTTCAGCACATCAGGGCAGGGTGCCCCCTCCCACAGCACGTGGAGCTGCATTCCGTCCGAGAATCCGATCTCTATGTACACTTCGTGGGGCTTTGAAGACCTTGACAACTTCATGACCGGTCCAATAGGCTGCACCGACGACCCGAAGCAAGGCTTCAATGCGCAGGCTACAGCTTCGTCGTCAGAGATGGAGAGTCGGCAATCCTTTGCCCCCGAAAGCTTTACTTTCACATTTTCCATCCAGTCCCGCCTGGATGAGATCTCCACCCAACTCATGTGCTTCTGCATGTCCCTCCCTCCGGAGCATTTTGCATCCACAAAGCACGTAAAGATAAATCTCGCAGGCTGTCTCTTCAAAGTGGTCAATCTACAGACAGCGCTACCTATGTACTTTCACCACTTTCACCGACACTGTCCCGCTGTTCATCCCGCCACTTTCAAACCACAAAGCGCGTCAACACAGCTTCTTCTGGCAGTTTTCCTGGCCGGAACGTTCTATACTTCATCCCAAGCACAACTGGACATTGCAAGGAACTACCTGGACTTGGTCGAGGAATTCGTGCAGAATTGTTCCAGTTTCACCGAAATGTTGACCGGGAACCTGCGTGACTCTGAAGGAGCCCAGCGCGAGTACATAGAGATACTCCAGGCTGCAATCATCATCTACATGTTGCAAGACAATGAGGGTATTCAGGAGGCACAGGAACGGCTACGTGCACAGAATTTCCCAAAGCTTATCAAGGTGGGATATACAACCGACCTGTTTAATCAAGATTGCTGACGTCTTCAAGTGCTGTCGGACTATGAAGCTTTTTTCCGCAAGAAACTCTTTCTTTCAAAGGGACACTTTCAAGGCAGATGCAGCTTTCGACTGGCACGATTTTGTGCTTAGCGAAACACGACTCAGGTGACTACCACCCTTGGCTCAATGCCCTTCCGGTCTGGCAAGACTTTTGACGCTTTGGACAGGATCGTGCAGCTGATCTGTTGGATGGACTTCGAATTCTGTGTGTTTTACAACATTCCGGCAAGACTCACAATGGCGGAGATCAATGCTGAGCTGCCATGCTCAGAGCATGTTTTCGAGTCACGAACATGGACGCAATGCTTCCAGGAACTGTGCCGGCAACCTCCAAAGCGCCGCTGCACTCTCAGTTTTGCCGTGAGACTTATCTTGTCGAATGCTTGGGACGAGAAATCCTCGGAGATGCTCATAGATCTTCCGACGCTGTCCCTTTTCACGCTCATCACCGGTGAATATGCAACAGACTGCTTGCCAGATGTGATTGTACTGATTGGAAATCTAGCATTGAATGCGCTGGCCTGGACAGCTCAGGGATTTTTCTTGGACGCTCTAGTCCATGAACGAGTCGAAGTGGCTTTGGCAAGATGGAAAGAAGCCTGGGACAAGCACCAGGGTCGCTTAGCTCCGGACGAGTTCAAACGGCTCGGGGTACCTAGACATTCTCTGGAGATGTGGTGGCTTGGAAATGTGCTCTTGCAGCTTGCAAAGCACGAGCAGACAGCCCTTACCTCTACAGACGCCGAGTCAGCATCTGAGCACTTCGGCAACTGCACCCGCGATATCAAGGATATCATTGTTCGATTTGGCACGGGCGCAAGGTAAGTATACCATCATGTCGCCATCTGTTTCTCTGGTCCAACTTGATTTGAATAGGAAGTGACGGGTTCGCGTCGGCGAGGACGACAAGCACCAGCCTGGCTTCATATCAATGTATGGTTGCAGGAGGGCGTGATCTTGTCCCTTTAGGCTATCGAAATTAAAATTGCCAAACCCAATGACAGTTGATACTTCAGTTCTCTGAGGTGTCCTTCCAAATCTCAAAGCCGTCGTTGCAGTGGCGACAGCGTCATGTCTGAGCAGATTATCTTGGTATTTGATATCGCAGAAGAGCAACAACGACGGGGACTCATAATCGGCTTGCGCGAATACTCCGTCTCTCACTGCTTGTTCCAAACCGTCGGGCAGCTGGTATATTCTGCCATTCTTGGCAGCGCCTCGAAAGTTGACCGTCAAGCAGGATTTTTGCAGCTTCTCATACAATCTAAGAATTTCTGCAACGTACTGAGACTGTGCTAGTATGCCCAAGAGAACCCCGAGGACTGCTCCGTCCTCTACAGCTATTGTAGCTCCCTGGCTTTGACGGGGTAATGTTGGATGGCAGACGTCGTCGAGGAGAGCCACATAACCCTGTTCTCGAGCCTGCTGGTCCGTCTTCGGTAGCTGACAAAAGCTTTCCAAGAGAGTTCTCACATTTGTCCATTTCTCTAACTCGCTATGATGCAAGACCTTCCACCCAATCTGACCAATACTTAGTCCAAACTGACTGCGAGTCTGCATTGGCCAGTCATCACTTCCTTAAGGATCTCTGGTGCCCGCTCTAACAATATCACACGATTTCCATGGCGACGTAGTCTGATGGCACAAGCAAGTCCTCCAACGCCGACACTGATAACAACAGCGTGGAAAGGGTCTGTGGTAGTGGCCAACATGCTAGCAGACCTCTCGAGAGCCAAAGTGAGAGACGTGAGTTGAGACCTTGTCCAACAAATGGTAGATGTACCGTTGGATACTAGATCTTCATCCAGGAGCAAGTCCGGAAAGGCAGCCGCAATGGGTCAGGGGAACATTGGGTGTCGTGCTAAGCAAGTGTCGTGGGGTTTCACCGGCCCCATCCCCACTCATACACATACGCCGGTCAGGATATTAGACTGCTTCAAGCAATCATTCACGGTGACCATAGGTTCTGTGCATTTTCCTTTTCGATAGCTTGATCATAGCCTGGCCAGGTAACCTGCAACCCGGGCATCGTTCTTGCTGCAGACCATCTTTTACACTCCCTGTCAGCCTTCCTCGAAGAGCCTTCAAAATGGCGGCGGACCTGCCCAAGGTGAAGAGTCCGTCACAGCTTGCCCATGTCTTTCTGAAAACGCAGAAAAAGGACGAGATGGTGGCCTTTTGGAAGGCGTTTCTCGGCGGCACCGTACCTTACGAAGACGAAGTCATGGCATTTGTAGCTTACGATGAGGAACACCATCGCATCGCCATCGGACAGATGCCTCATACTACGCCCAAGGTTTTCAGCAGCAGTGGCCTCCAGCATATTGCCTTTACCTACGACGGTCTGGACGATCTGGTTCTGGCCTACAAACAACGACTACAGCTCGGAATGCGTCCGGTGTGGTGTGTGAATCATGGCCCCACGACTTCGATCTACTACGAAGACCCGGATGGAAACCATATCGAGACCCAAGTGGATAATTTCGCAACTCCCAACAAAGCCACCGAATACATGCTTACTCCATCATTTCGCGAAAACCCTATTGGCACTGATTTCAACCCCGAAGAGCTCCTTCGCCGCCTTGAGTCGGGAGAAGATCACTGGTCGATCAAGGAAAGAGTGAATAGTGGCCCACGTACTGCACCTCCGGCCGTCATGTTAGGGTTGAAGTAGTCAAGGCGGGTTTTTTGTTCGCCAAAGGACTGCGAAGTTGAATACCATCGAACAGGTGAATGATCGAATCAGATAATAAAGAAGTCGTAGGGGTCTCTAGATTGTCTAGTACCCCATGAGAAAGCACAATACCATTATCGTCATGAGAACAGTTTTCATCAAGACTTTGAGAAGGATATCGACCGAGTAGTTTGCAATGTTGTGACCTGTTCAGGATCAGATGCTAAACGTCCTCCACTGGAGCCAAGCTAGATTGTGGTATATCGGCATGACATACCCGCGCCACAACAGTTTCTACGACCTGCACAGGTTGTAATCCCCTGCCCAGTGACCATGCTTGCAATGCCCTTGGAAGTACAGTAGAGGCTCCCAAAAGCCTATCAGAACGACGGACAGTTCGGGTGAGTGTCGAGTTCGGGACCAAATGCCCTGTGCTGTGTCGTACCCGGAAAGTTACAGGAGAAACCCCACTTTAGGGCGACCTTACAAGAATGGCTGCAAAAAGTTGCATGGTCTCGTCTGCTCGAAGGCATTGTGAGGACGGGGAAGAAGAAGGACAAGGACAAGAGACAATGCTTCTTGTCCTTTCATAAACCATGGAATCGATGTTTGAACTTTTCACCGCGCCGAACGGGCTCTGGGATCTGTTTGTTGCAGCGGCCTGGAGAGCCTCAATTATCTTTATCGTCACGTTTTTCTTGGTACAACTCTTCGGATACCTCTATTCTGCCATACGATCCGACTTGAGGCAGGTCCCGGGACCACTTGCCGCCAAATTCACCCAGCTATGGCGTGTTTGGCGGCTCTGGTCCGGAGATGCCTTGAACGAATATCCTCGGATCCACGCTAGATACGGGAAAATCGTTCGCACAGCACCGAATGTCATTTCAGTGGCGGATGTCGACATGATCCCAGTGATATACGGGATCGGCTCCAAGTATCAAAAGGTTTTTTGGGCAACCAATTCCTTTAGAAGAGAACGAGGCTGACGCCCCCTTTCCCACCCAGAGCAATTTCTACGACACGATGATCCCCGTGATCGACGGCCGAGTGTCACACAGCACATTTTCCGTCAAAGATCCTCTTCAGCATCAAATTTTGAAACGCCCTGTCTCACAAAAATATTCGATGACGTCTATCCGGTCCATGGAGCACCTGGTCGAGGAATGCATTGATATCTTTATGGATGCGATGAATGACCTAGCGGGAACACCAATCGACCTAGGTGAATGGCTTCATTGGTATGCCTTTGATGTCATCGGAGCCATCACGTTCAACCGAAGATTTGGATTTATGGAGCACCGAGCGGATTACGAGCAAATGATTGCCGGGGGCCGTTTTAGCCTCTGGTATGCAGGTATCATTGGATTGGTACCAGGAGCACATAAGTGGCTCTTGGGGCAGTATTGGTTTCGTGTTCTGCTCGGCCTTTTCCAACCTGGAGGGCATGATCCTGTGCTCACCATTGCAAGGGTGAGTTCCGCCCTCTCGTATCTCATGGAGCCCCCAAAAGTTCTCAATGTCATAGGTAATTGAGGAAAGCATCACCGATTACGACAGCAGAGAGGCCAACACCCAGAAGACGCGTACCGATTTTCTGGCCTACCTTCGACAAACAAAGGATAATGGCCAGCCCCTCTCCGATCATATGATCAAGAATCACCTTTCTAATAACTTGTGAGTGCCGTGACCGTGTATCCCCCCCTTTCCGAGTTGAACACTGATCTACTGTCCGTATAGATTGGCTGGGAGCGATACGACTGCGATCTCGCTGAGAGCCGTGATTTACTACCTTCTCAAGACCCCAAGATCGCTGAAGAAGCTCCAAGCGGAAATCGATGAAGCAGAAGGAAATCTACAGCTGTCGAAACATGTCTCTTACGAGGAGAGTCTACAACTGCCCTATTTGTGAGTCTCTCAGCATGATTCTCCTCGACCGTCGAGAGTTGACACAATTAGACAAGCATGCCTCAAAGAAGCAATGCGTATGCACCCAGGCGTCGGCTATCCACTCGAACGGTACATACCACCCGGCGGAGCAGAAATTAGCGGGTTTCGATTGCCTGGTGGCACAGTCGTGGGCATCGCTCCGTCGAGCATCCATCAGCTGAAAAGCATCTACGGAGAGGACGCGCATCAATTTCGGCCAGAACGGTGGATCGAGAACCAGCCTGAGCAAATCAAAGTGATGGACAGATGCCTTTTGACCGTGAGTGACCATTTTCCATGATGACATCTTTAGCTGAATCCCAAGCAGTTTGGCTACGGAGCAAGGACGTGCTTGGGCAAAAATGTTTCTATCATGGAGATGGGCAAGCTTGTCCCTGAAATACTGAGACACTTTGACCTCGAATGGGCTTCCGCCGAACCTGACTGGAAAGTGGAGACGTGGTGGATGGCTCGACAGAGCGGGTTAATAGTCAAGCTCATAACTCGAGATAGGAGGCCTGTCCCATAACGGACTGGGTTCAATTTTTCGTCAGGTTGAATGAGGCGAACCTCTGCTGAAGTCTCCAAGTCGCATCTGCGCGCGTGTGAAGGTTCTTAGTGGATTTGGCAGGCCACTGTAGTGCTACTGACTCAGCCGTCAACGTCCTCGAAGCCTGTCAATTCGAGCTTGTGAATGATTAGCTTGACGGGAAATATCCTCTCGTGATTGCGGAAGCCGCCGGGAAACAGCCACGCAACATGAAGTCCCCCACAACACCTTGGCTTGCTGGCGATCCCCTGCCCAAGGTCAAAATATCTAGAGCCAGCAGACGCCAGGCTTCATGCTTCAGTGTTTCAAACGCGTTCCTGCGAGGATTTTCTCGGTGAACTTTTAGGTGCGACATAGCAATTGAGTCCCACATCCACATCGCGGCAGAGTACTTTTTTTGGTTGCTACTGGCTGGTTTCGGGCTGTGCCGTTCTGCATAGAACCTTTCAATCACAACATGATTTCTTTAGATTTTCTTCAGGCATTCCGGACGAGGGAGGGTGCCAGCGATGCAAGGAGAGCGTCTTGGTATACACTTGCCGTGGGTCTATTTTCTATTTTGTTTAGCCAAAATGCTAAGTTTCAGAGGCGTCTGGCTTCACAGCTGCGGGTGAAGGAGCCTACGTAAAAGACGTGTATCAGATTGCGAGCGCAGGGCTCCCACTAGAGGACCAAAAGATAGTGCAAAGACGCATTAAGGAAGCTGTCTTGAAGTCGACCGTCTTTTGTGGCGTTCCACGCACTGCAAAGGCCTTGTATCCACTCTACAATAGTCTCTCTGACGAGGAGATCGACCATTATGGCCCAAGGTAGCGTGCCACGCCCCGTCTCGCACAGGACCGGGTCTTATTATGGTATCCTAACCTTGCCACATCTGCAGAACTGAATCGCTGACCTCGGCCGGCGAGAGTGAACGGGCAGAGAAGGGTCGCAAGTACTTTGACATACTCTGGACGCCGACGGTGGCACAACAGAACCGGGAGAGACTCTTCAAGTGTCATCCCGACAACTGTACGTGCCCAATGCAATCGAAGTCTTTTTCTGCCCCTTGAGGAGTTCATTTAACCCTGCCACCAGATTTGCTCAACCAGAAACTCATCTATGAGTATTGGATGAGCGAAGATCGAATCCTTTCCAGCGTGGAAACGCAGATGAACAACATGGCTGCACTGTTATGCAGTGATTGCCCAGATCAGTTGCTCTGGCACACAAAAGGCCTTGTTCGCCACGGCGGATCTTTGGATCAAGCTCGGTTTGCTCAAGATCTGGGCATAGCCGTTGCTCAGGCCTGTGGTTGCAAAACCAATGGCATTACGAAGCTAGAGGAAATTGATTTTGAGTCTTCGCAGGCCGTGTGAACGAGGTCATGTAGGGGAAGATCACAGTTGAGTCTTGACCAGCCTTTGCCGTAACCACACTGCATTAGCAATCTCTTTATGGAAGGGGGTTGAGATCTTCGAACCCGTCCGACCACTACTAGAATGATGATGCAGGCGAGAGGTAGTCCCACGGTGCCATTGCGTTCTTTATCCATTGAATATTGGCAAGGTCCGCTTCCGTGAGACTGTGATATTTCCATGGAGGGATTTCAGATGATCCCTTAAACCAACACTTGAACAAATAGCCTTCTGCATCCTCAAGAAATTTCGCGGACTCAACGTCGCTATTAGACTTACTTTCGCTTGTGATAACTAACTTAGGAGAGATCAGGGTAACCACACACGTATGAGAGAGAACACCGTACGATTAAACCGTTGGACCTTGTCACACCGCTAGACGCGACGTCACAAGGAAATTTAGGTAGCAGCGTAAGGGTAGGGAATATACCATGTTCTCTAACGGCCGTCTGAAACTGGTGCCTGGCAGAGGAGACAGGCTTAGCCGATTGCTAAGGGGCCAGATTAGACTCTCGACGTGTAGCGCAGGGAGTGCTCAGGGAGCGATCCGTGACGTTTGGCCAAAGGCTCAGTCAAAAGCTCAGGTTAATGCAGCCTCCGCTCCACCTCTAGGATCAAACCGTAAATGGCAGCAAGGTTTCTCGTTCGCGAGTAATATCGGTAATCTCGAGCCAACATCCTTTCCTCTAGTTTCCTCTTCTGATCCAGTCGCACGCCGTTTTGGCTCACCCTGGCCCACCTGCCAACCCCCTGAGCGACCCCGGAGCGACCCCGGAGCATACCTATGCCTTCTCTTCTCTTCTTCATTCTCAACACCAACTTTGGTCAACTTTAGACGATGGGATCCGTTTGGGACGCCGGGGGATCCCAATCCGCCGCCCCTCTATTGTGCTCGAACTGCTCAGTTAGCTGCTCCTGTGGTGCTCTCTTGCGCCGCAATGATGAGTCCCTTCTACTTCCTGCGAAGGCCTAGTGCAAGATCGGCTCTAGGTTGGCCGTCCTGAATACGTATACACCGTCTCTCACTGTGGGCATTTTCGACTCCCAGAGACAGTCCCCCTTAATAAACAGTAAGGGATCCATCCAACTCTTCGAAAACGAGGGGGGCCTTTGACCGCATCACCTTGATCACGACGCCCCGAAAACCTGTAGGGTTGATTCCTCTTGATTTCCTCACCGTCATCTATAGAGCGTTATCTGACCCTTTCAATATCGACTCGAACGGCGTCCCTTCTACTATCTCCTCTCTTACATTCTAGTATCTCTACCTAACTTTAGAGTCTAGACCGAACGCTGAGTCATATTATTTTGCTTTGTATAAGGAATTCTCCCCGAAACTTTCTATCCTACTTGTAGTGACGGTAGGGGAAGGCATGTGGGGTTAGTGGTCAGAAACGTCGAATCGAAATAAAAGGATGACCAATTGATCTGTTACTGGACATCTCCCTTTACTTTGCCTCCCTTTTACAACATTGCTTACAGTATCCCAAAAAGGTTCCTTCTCTCAATCCCAAGATCGCTCCCCCTTTCTGGTCCCTTCTCATACCACCCTTCACCCTCCTCTATCTGCCAAATTGCTTTTCTTGACGTCGGATTCATTCAAAGTAGACGAAGGTTCACATCAATGCAAATTGATTCCAATTCTCGTCAGCATCCATCGAGATTATTCGCTAGTTGTACTGATCTTGAGAACATTTAGGACAAGATCAAAAATGTACGGTGACTGACATCGGATGATTTGATTCTGTCTAAGCTAGAGTATTAATTGGTATTCATATTCAATGCTTGACGATAGATTGGAATGCTCTTACCGACTAACAAAGTCTCACATGGAATGACTTTCCAAGGATCTGCCACGAAATCTAAGGCAGTCTCGCGGAGGTGCAAAGGGTTAATATAGACTTGCAAACCAATATTGTGGGAGAACAGATTGAAAACCCTCATAATCACGAATAGATCATTTGGAGCCGTTGGCGAATGAGGTTCGCATTGCTTCTCTCGCATGAGCTTGTACTGGTTACCACTCATGAAGAATGGAGTATTGCAAGGTCCTGATGTTGTCTTGACTTCAATGTGATAGTGCACCGCAGTCGATGTCATAACAGATTCGAGCCAAGTGGGATACGGAAATGTAGTGTTTTGTCGAAGGATATCCATCATGTCGGCCCGACACTTACTGGCGAAGGAAAGCTGTTGGCAACCTCTGGATATGATACGTTGATGCTTTAGTCAGTTAAGAGAACCAGCAGAGCTTCATCAGTAATAGTAGATGAGCTGGAAACCAGGTCAATAGGAGGATCTTCAGTGCCGTTCGGGGCAGGAAATGGCGAAGGCTGTTGTGATGATACAGGTCTTTCGAACCAAGGGTATTCACACAGGTCCTCGTCCTTCATGATCGTGTTCAGATCCTTTTTAATATCATTCATGATCCGATAGATCACCTTCACTGCGGCTCTGTCTTGAATATCAAGGAGCCTCGCGAGTGCTCCAGGAAGCTCTGTGTTAAAGCACGAATAGAGTCCGTCAGGGTCGCTTGGGACATACGGCGCCAGTCTTCCGTCATCCTGGCTTATTTTCACCACTGCCCTGTCGCTTCGGGCGGAGATATCTTCGTCTTCCTGTCTCACTGTAAGCTCCGTCCACATCTCTTCGCAGACGAACACTTCTGTTCTTAGCAGTAACTGGTGCATGGATGTATTCCTGTTGTAGTATTTAGGGCTGTTGTAAGCGTTGGCACAGCTGGCACAGTCAGAATTCTGTTTCATGATAGGTCTGCAAGACTTACCAGGAGAAGGCGTATGCACGATCTCTGACATAATCTCTGAGAGGGTGGTTTGGGTTGATTTGTGGACGGTAGTGTTGGAAGAAACTTGGTTTGAAAGGTATCGATGTTGAATTCCCAATAGTTCGAAAAAGGGATGCAACAATGACATTTCTTCGTGGCCGAAGTCCACGACCTTTGCTTTGTTTTTGAAAATTTCTCCATATCGCTTGTGATCGTTGACGAAGAAGTGCTGATTTAGGGAGAAAAGCCTCACACCATCAGGAAAGCGTACCGGAAGAAAAGGCGTCTTCTTCAGGGCTTTCAAGAACTCCGCATTGACGTTTACATTGGGATCAGCTGCTAAGAGTTGGCCAATCGCAAGCATGATACGCTTGATTTCCTCAAAGTCAGGGGCCGTTATCGCCTTTGCCGTCCTCGCGAGTTCCTGAACAAGTACATCGATGTTCATAGTCATTACTTTCATCTTGTCAACGAAGAATTTTTTTAGCTTGGGATATACTTGGTCCAGGGGTACACGACCGGAGATTACAACTGTGCAATTCTACAAACATTCAGAAGGCTTCAGCCACCTTCCACTTACAAAAATGAGACCACGCTTGTTGAATTCTTCTCTAAATTTATCGTCAGTGCTTTCATAGTGCAGTTTCCCATCGAAAAAAGAACGTACCAAACGGCTTCGATTATTGAGTCCGAGCGCGCCATGTCTGTTAGAACTGTGTAGATTTCCTGCAATTCATCCCCAAAGGAGGGCGAAACTTCGTTCCTTTCCGAAGCCAGTATCTTGAGTTTGTCGATCAAGTCCCCATGTTCCACGTTCCGCATACTTAAGATCGTCTTGAAGAAACTTGAAGCATTTGGATCGGCTGCATATACAGGACTTAATACCCTTTTCGCCCGCATAAATATTGGGCCTTCCCAAATGCAATCAGTTGATTTGCACCAAGCCTCGGCTCTTGTGAGAGTACGGATGAGGGGCTGATGTGAAAACGCTTGCTGATCCCTGTCAGTAAGTTCCTGTTCCGAGATGAAAGACGACGTACCTGCAAGGCACTAGTATCTCCAACGGTCGTGGTTTGAGTAATGCCGGCATATATCCTTGTACACACCGGTATCAATTGTGTTTTAGCAGAAACGTTCAGCAAGCGCACTGCCGTCAAGTAGAAACTAGCATTCGGTTCACAAATCACTCCAAAGTCTTTTAAGAAGAACCAAGCCTCAGAATTCTGGATATCGTAATCAGAAGGCAGCTTCAAGAATGGTAATATTTCGTCCATGTTGAGCTCTTTACTCTTTTCAACCAGCTGTTGCGTAGGTAGAATAGTTTCACTGAGTTGTTTTGTACTACCATTTTGACATAGTACACTGACGAGCTTTAGATCTTTGGTGATTCTAGACGCTCCGAGTCGGTAATCAGACCAATGTTCTCTGAGGTTTGCGTCAAAGCTCTTAGGGTTGTCCCTAGCAATAAGTACCATCAGAGGGTTTAGTGTATATTGAGAGAATACCGACTTGGTCAAAGGAGGAAAGTATGAAACGCCACATTTCTGCAGCCAAGATATCCAGTCGATATCGTGGCGTATATGCTTGCGAACCTGTGATTCCATGTATCGGGGATCGAGAATCCCATAGTTAGAGAAGCCTTTCTTGGGAGTCGCAGCAAGAAGTTTCTCCGTATGAAATTCTTCTTTTGAGGGGAAGAACAAAGCAAGCTCTGGGTGTAGCACATTCTGGTCACTCACAAGCAATAGATCTACATGAGCTCCATGAGTTACTTGCGACTAGGATGTAGGCTTCCCAAACCAGAAGAGTATTTCCAGATCTCTCATATAAGCGAATATATTGCCGCGGCTTTCCCTGGACTTGTGCGCTTCGAGGGTTTTTTGGGCTACTGTATCATCAGGGCATGAGACGATTCCCAGACTCATGTAAAAGTTCACACGTTCGCCGTCTGCGGCAGCCATCGGGTGCAGCTTCCTCAACCCAAGACCGTCGAGCACCTCGATCCTCACTGAATCTTCGTCGATAATGTATGGAAGGTAGACAGGAGTTGAAATTGAAAACAAAGGCGAGAAAGACAATGGCGAAACCCAGGTATCGTTGCTTAGCGGAATGATGGCTAGCCTTTGTATCTCCTGTTTGACGATGTTAGATTGGAGTAGCCTTTGGATGAGGGCGACGAAGGCCGTATGCCATGGATCATCCAAAACTGTGTTATATATGCATCTTTCCAGGTTGATTCTCTATAAGATTTGTGTAGAACTGATTTTCTTCAAGCCAAGTTCCTTCAAGACCTTTATGTCAAATGGCTCATATCTGTCTGATAGATAGATGTCATCATCCGTGTCCGGCAATAGTGGCCGAAGTTCGTAGATGAACCAGGGAGGAAGAAACTTCATATGATTGAGATCGTGAAGGCGGCCTTGTCGTGATCGTAGAATGGCTTTGCCCAGCAGCTTGTAGGTGGTATCGTCATATAGATCTTCCCAAAAGCCTTCCATGGTTTTCCCAGGGAGATAGCGCATCCACTTGAACTCCAATGGATCGCCTGGCTGGACAAGCTCTATAACCAAGCCGACAAATGCTAAAACAATACCTTCCCGCAGTGCTTGGTTCCAATCTGTGTCAGGTACTGCTTCGCGGTTGGCCGCAAGCACAAAATTTGCATGAATGAGAAACTGCATGCGTCAGCATTATTCAAATTAAATGTATTGGACGGCATACAGGCAGCTGTGGAACGCGCTGTACGGGGAGGTAAGCAAAAACATGCTGTCCCCGAGTCAGGATGATTGGCAATCCATTCGAATCCACTTCAAATGCTATTGTCACATCGGTTGTGGCATCTGTGCGTTAGCTCTCAAATGGCAGGTCGATGACCGTCTCTTGGAATAGCCTTAGCCGTGTAATCTCTGACAGATGATCACCAAATTGTCCAGTCACTATGGTATTGATGTGCATCTCGTCTGAATTCAAATCTCCATCCTTAGTGAAAGTGATCCCAGATGATCGACCATCGTCAGTCTCCACGACCACACTTAGCTTTCTTAGTTGACGCAGGGCAAATATGATAGTTTTTGGAAGTTTTTCAAATTCGGAGATGAGGCGCTTGTGGAAGCTATCGCGACTGTCTGAGTATCGAAGCGTACATCTCGTCCCGACATTTGAAGGTAAAGAGGATAAAATATTAGTCCACATTGGAGTGATCATTCCCACGCCGTCTTCTCCTCGTTTATGCTCAAATCGGAAAGACCAGAGGCCGGATTGGATATGAACGTAATCAGCAATACCAAAGACTGATTTAAAGCCCAGTCCTTTTTCGCCAGTGGTGTTACTATCGCCAATCTTCGAGCTCTTTCCAGTATCACAAATCGATTCAACATCCTTGAGTGAGAACCCTCGCTCATTGGATTCAATAATCAACTCGGTGGGCTTGATTCGAAAGGTAATTGTGGGCTCAACATTCTCAGTGTAGCATGCGTCATCCCCATTTTGCAGCAATTCGTAAATTAGTCTGAATCTGGACGAGTATAATTGCTCGGCGACACTTCTAAAGTTAGAGAATTGGATTTCGAATGCGAAGTTATATGACTAACGTTTTTGTATATCGAGCATACACCTCTCGGTGTATCAACGCTCTTCGACGGTAGTCTTTCTGGAAGTCCTCATCTGTCTTGCGGATCTGATCTTCGTCATAATCATCGATGTGACCTCGATCTCCACGAATTCTGTTGATCTCTCTCTTTGCTGCGGTTGCATTGAGTGGGAGCCCGTCGTTGTCAAAGCCTGGCTTTGACATCTTGTCGTACCAAACTACCGCAGGTGATTCAGATAAGCGCGGGGCTCCATTGCGGCGTCTGCAGGGTGCGAACCCGAAACGTTTTGGCCTCAAGCAACCCCTATCTAAGAGATTCTTTTGCAGTAGGTGCTCCGCTCCTTCTAGACGCTATACTAGATAGCTTCTAGGTCATTAATAGCTAACACAACTCCTAAGTAGCTACTAATATTGAGGTTACATCAGATTCGATATGAAATGAAAAGTGGGGGTTGTGTGTATAGTGAGGTGAGGAGCTGTCAGACACTAGGTCTGTAAGCCCTTGCGGAGCGCTCAAAAAAACTAGAGTCTCGCACGAAGTGCGAGGATATCTCGTACCTATTGGCTATATACTTGTCAGGCCAACAATTCCTGACATATACTAAGAGTAAAGAGCCCAATGCGATAAAGAGAAGAGTTTAGGTATTATCGAAATAATGAACAGGCACGCGATAAAGTCACTATAGCTAAAGAAGTATTTCCTAGTAACGACTTACTATACTAGTTCATCGAAAGAGTATAGCGTTCTCTAGACAACGGTTTATAATGGGCAAAATCCTCGAAAGTAGGGCATACATTACACCACCTTCTTTCCAGCTTCTTGCGAGTTCTTCTCAAGAAATATGGTAGCGTCTACAGTCTATTTAAACTGCTTACACAATCAGCGAGATTGAAGACGACATCATCGATTGGCGGTACCTGGAACACCTAACTCCTGAAGACTGACAGTGGGAGGGAAGACGCCATGAATGGCGTTGTGAGGATCAGTGTCACTGGTCTCCGCACTGCGTCTTCCAATGCTAGACGCTAATAGGCTTTGGGAGAGTCCCTAGACATCTCTTCAGACCCTAAACTAGTCACTTTTAGTAGACAGTTTATGCAACAGCGTAAGGACCGGAAATTTACCAGGTTGGGGTGAGGATTTGAGACTCATGCGTAACTGGGAGGCAGGTTTAGGCGATAGCCAAGGCGCTATATTTGGTCCCCTGTTTGCTGCTTAGGGGCGCTCAGGGACGCCCAACAAGGGCTCAGCCAAGCCTCAGTTAAGCGTCAGTTAAAGCGGCCTTCGCTCACCCTCTAGGATTAAACTGTGTGTGGCAATTAGGTTTTTCGTTCGCGAGTAATTCTGGTAACTAACTACATGACTACGAAACAGACTGGTGTTGCGAGGACTTAGCAATGAAAAGGAATGAAAACTCACCGACTCAGCGGCACAGAAATCATCCGTAGCAGGTGTAGGAAGTGGCTGTGGTGCTAGGCACCAGCATAACTAAGTGAGTACGAGAACGGAGTACATGAAGGAAGATGTTGCCAGTTTCCGAGCCTCAACGATTGCATCTCGGCCGAAGAGACAGGTTTGGGCCAACACGGTTCACCGGGTTATATTAACATGTGACCACCAACCACATGCTCAAAATGAACATTGCTTATCTCCCTCACAAACTCCGGTTGGGTGCTCCAGCACAAGGCTCCTGGGTCCGGACTCATTCAAGGATTACCACCGTGGCCCGAGCATGTTGTTCTTATCTTCGGCCTTTCCACCAATGTCAAAGCAAGCCTTGTGACTCCGCAACGGTTTAGACATTCACCTGTCAGCCAGCCCTTGTGTTGTCATCTTGCACTTCTAACCGAACCTGTCAATGACGACTCTCAACACGGTCATTCCCCAAGGAGACGGGGGTTCTAATGCACTCCTTTTGTCGAATGATGACCCCTGACATGTCCGCATCATCGAATGTTTCATATGACTTGTCAAGCTTGGTCGAGCACTCCCTCTATCCAACCATACGTCCGAGACAACCTTCGACCGATACTTCTCGCCATGTAAAATGGAATCTTGCTGGATGGATGTGGCTCATGGACATTTACGCCTCGCTTGACCCCCCCTGTGGTTGGAGTGAATTGCCAGACCGAGCCGTATAGCTTCTCAACGTTGAAATGTAGTGAAGTCATGGTGTGAAGAAAATCCTTCCATGGTATTTCTCCACTTTGGTCACTTGTAGCGTCAATGTGGAAAAGTGTTACCAGAACCTTGCGGGCTCTCTTACTAAGGACAATGCTTAGACTTTTCTCGTCGAGTCTACCTGGACCTTGATCCGTTGTGATCTCGTGCGGGTGGTCCGGACCGCGAGCAGTATCTGTCAACGTGGGCGTACCTCTTGTCTTGATTTTGGGTTTCTTGATCACTGGGTCGAATGAGAGTGAGTCTTCATTAAGGAAGCCACTGCTACCGAGTCTAATATTTATGTCGAGGGCTGTCCCAACGCATTTGGCCTTGACTAGATCCTTTTCTGAAGGAACATAATCTGCTGTCCTTCGTATCTCGCGAAAATCACTGATATAGTGGACCTTGAATAAGTCAAATAGACCAAGCGGATATCTGGTAGAAAAGTAGGACTCGAGCATTTCCCAAACTTCATCAAGATTCGCTTCCGCTTGTTGCATTGCTTCAATTTGTGCAGCATTGTATGCCTTCTCGACGGGGTAGTAGAACTTCTTGCTCCTAGGGTTGACGAGCTCGTTGACATCGAATGGCTTCGGTCGTTTGAGCACATTTGTAATGCCTTCTACATACGCGGCCGGATGTTTGGGTTCTTTGAAATTTTCCGCTCGCTTATGAATGAATATAGCTGCCCATGGATAGACGTTGTCGATTTGGTGCGCAATCTGCGTGATCAAAGCTAGGTCGGAGAATATTTTGGCCGCGAAAGAGGAAAACACGTTCTTCTGTTCAGGGTCATGATCCAGATAGTATTGCATTTCATCGATTGTGCCATGTAGTGCTCCCATTGTTTGAGCGTCATGTCTGGCAAGGTGGCTCACCAAAACGAGTAATGGTTCGAAGCTATCCTTGCCGCCCTTGCCGCCCTTGATGATGATTTCCGTATTAAAGGCCGTCCCCAATCCGTGGGGACATCTGGCAAATCGGGCGCGCATTGGGTGTGAGCAAGCGAAGGCAACTGTGAAGCGTTGAAGCATCATTCGACATAGGCGACGTAGGGTACTGTACACCAACACGATATGCTTCTCAAACTTCTCGTGCAGGCGTTGTTGAGGATCAATGATTTTGCCGCTGCGTTTGAACTGAGACTCGAGCATGTTCACCTGGCGATGCAGCCTGCTCCAGGATAACAGATCCTCATATGCGCAGGCGACAGCGGTAGAGAGGATCCGATCCCAAGAGTGGAAGTCCTTCTGATCCGGATGACTTTTTCCATCAGTATCGCGAAGGATCTCTGCTCTGTGATCATGATGGTCTGATAGGACCGATGCAAAATAACCAGGATCTTCTCTCATCTCCCATATGTGATCTTCTGCAGCGTTTCTCCTTGCTTCGATCAGTGCTAGAAGTCGTGGTGTATCTATCGTTGTTGGCAAGCGGTAGGGTTCTTCAGCAACGATTGTTGACAGTTGAACGTATGAGGTGTCGTCATTCGTAATTAGAGGCGGAGGCTTTGGTTGAGCTACAATTCCCAGATACAGAATCTCATCTCTTGAGATATCTTTGAGAATTTCAAAGCAGCATTTCACCAAGAAGTCAAGGATTCTGCTTTGCTGTTCGAGCACGAGCAAGCCATGGCCGGGTTGGAACTGAAGTGTTTGCCCGACAGTTCCAAAGTCGAGCTCCTCATCTGCCCAGTGAACAACTTTGCCATAACTCTCTTCTGTGACCTGGCCCGCCAGATACATTGTATGACAGTGAAGGTAGGCTGTTGGGATTTCCGAGCTGTGCCTCCCCAATTCGCATGTTCTGAGATCGGTGTGCGCGAAGACATGTGGCAGGTTATGACCACGAGAGTTGAGGAACAGCAACAGTGTCTTGCTTTTTGCAAGGTCCTCCAGGTTGATCTGTGGACACTTGAAAGCTGCTTCATTCCTGGCTTTGACGGCATTGCTGAATTGTGGTTTCACTCTGTTACAGCATTGGCAGAAGCCTTTTTCCAACAAACGCATCATTATTTGATGATCTGGACGATGGCCATGAGGGATATCTGGACATGCAGAAAGCAAGACCTTTTCTCGTTGTACCTTGGACTTTTTGTTCCATCTACGTCGGATGGTTTCTTCGCGCTGACAGAGGATATGATGAAGGATATTCCAGGATTCGAAGACAGACTTTGAATATTTTTTGGCCTGTTGTTCAACTTCTGCAAGACTGGGGTACGATGCCGGCAAGGCTATAGAAGGAATTTCTTCTTGCAGCACTTCAAACAGCAATTGAGGGTCAGTTTTGTAGTCCGGGGTCTGGCAGTGCTCGGCCCAGATAACACTTGAGTCCATGGTCACTCAAACTGGTTGGAACCAGACAAACATTTCCGACCACCTCGCGCGTTGTGTGTTCTGCCGTGGGCTGCAGGACCAAGGAGGCAAAGAGAATGTAGAGGGTCTTTTCACGATCGTCGTCGAAGCGAGGGAGCAAGTTGTATTGGATTGTGGTGGTCTTCGCGCAGGAATTTCTGATCACAACTGAGAAGATATCTGAATAGGACCACACGAAGCAGAAGTGACAAAATAACTCCCCATCGCTTGGCAGACAAAACACGTGCTCCTGATTGTTGAGGAAGGCACCTTCCTCCGGGCAATCCTGCCAGATCACGTTGACGGTGAAGAACAGCGACTGGCAATGACCGGCAACGACCGGCAAAGTCTCACCCATCCAACGACTGTGCGAGGACATGAAGAATATTGCAAAATGATACGCCCCGGTTCCGGAGCTTCTCAGCAAGAAGTATCAAGACACCCAGAGTCACTGTTTATACCTGACCTTATGAGTGGCCTAATGAAGGCGTTGGCAATGGGCATAAGAACAGAAGAAGCCTTTCAAAACCAAGACACACTGCACAAGCATTTTCACATGAAAATAAGACCCAGCCTGCTGTGGTAAAAACAGAAAACAGCCCAAAGTGCTGCCCCGTCCAAAGAAATCATTGCCGAGACCGTCATGGGAAACCTGCTGCTGCCCGTAGCCGGCTGACAATTCAACAACTCAAAATCCAACCACTCATCATATGCTGAAAAAAATGGCTGAGTGGACTGCTTAACCGGTGACCGCTAGGACCTACAACCCCAACATGTGGCTGACCGAGCGCAGACCGAAATATCATTTGCATTTCCATCACGATCCATCCGAGTCAGGGGTAGAGCCTCGGATCTCTGATTTTAGCGAACGGGCTCCGACTTAGCGATAAGCCTGGTGGTGAGAGCATGGTTGCAAAATATGCAGCTGGTAGACACTGGCAGAAGTGCTCGAGTTGTAGAGAATAATACTGACGCGGAATGATGAAGAGTCCATGTTCCGAGGAAGGATACCGACATTGATGGCCCACCTCCGAGAGTTGATTGGTCATGAGTATTATATTAGTGGCATTCACAGCCAGCCTGGTGGACAAAATTAAGGCGCTGGGATGGTAATCAATTAGTTTCATCGGTCTGGTTTTGTTGTTCATACAGACTTAAAGAATTGCAAGGACACGGAACTAGGGACAAGCTGGATGTGGTCATGTCACCAGCAGCCTGAATATCCAGACTCAAGAAGTCAGGACGGCTCAGCTTTCATTATACATGCCTAGTTATGGCCCTCAGTGGGTTCAATTTGCAGATTGCAGAGGTAAGTGTGCATAAGCACCAAGGGCCAACCCATCTTCAAACGAACCATTGAAGTCATGAGTCACACGGAAAGGCTGCGGTCTCGGAAGCCACTTGAATTATGGACATAACTTGGAGTCTGCCTCAGGAGCAGAAGTCCGAATATACAAGTGGACTTTGAGAGCGACGTTGTATGGTCTGCGCGGACAGGACTTTGAGAGCGACGTTGTATGGTCTGCGCGGACAGGGCTTGGAAACCTCGCGTTGCGGTATATCGAACAGTCGAATGCTCATCCTTCAAGCGCACCGATGTTGATATCAAGGGCAGACGAAAGTGATCAAGAAACGAGTCGATGTTTGGCCAAGCCAGTGCTAGTGTGTTTGCCGAGTCTCGGGTCAATCATTGTTTCCAGATGCGCAGTGTCAAATGCTCCGACGTATTGCTCCTTCCGCCTTCATCGACTTTCTGCTCCCCTTCGAGCATACCAATAGCACCACCGTATCCCTGATCCCAGAGAACTATCTACCCAATTGGTGACTTGGTTCTGGTAATTATACAGTCAGTGTTGATATGTTCTCGGCATCCACCTCAAATGATGCGGAATCTCGATGCGGTCGAGACCTCGAAGGCTGGCTAGCTTGAAAGACATCCTTGGGAGCAGCACACCATCATCAGGGCATACGCACGAAGCGAGGCCTCTTTCCTCCGAGGTAGAGATATACGGGCACGGCCACCAATAAGCGGTCCGAAGACTATGGAGCGAGCAAACGGTAGGTCGCGCCAATCAAGAAGGCAATTTCGCTCAGAAATCCTGGTGCCTGGTTTGTATGCATACAAAGGACTACTACCCCATCTTGGCATCTGAACTATAGATTCCGGCATCTTTTCACATTCAATGAGTGCTTTGAAAGACAATATTGACGCCGAACAGCAAATATGACCCTTAAGATGGACGTCTCAGATGCGCAACTTGAGCTAAATTCCACGGTGTCGAAGGATGGCACCAGAATCGCATATTATAAACTTGGCCGCGGACCAGGGTTGATAATTATTCATGGAGCAATGCAATCTGGACTCAGTCACAGTGAACTTGCGTTCTTCCTATCGAAAAGCTACACATGCTACCTTCCCGATCGTCGAGGGAGGGGCAAGTCCGGTCCTTCTGGCAGCGACTACTGTCTTATCAAAGAGGTCGAGGATGTCGAAGCTTTGCAATCTACGACTGGCGCCAAATATGTGTTTGGAGTCAGTTCCGGGGCTGTGATAGCGCTGAAAGCCGCACTGATTGCTCCCTCCTCACACCTCGAGCGAGTTGCAGTCTTCGAGCCTCCTTGGTGGCCGGACTTCTTAATCGAAGAGAGTACAGCATGGGTCAGTCGCTATGAGGAGGAACTCAGTCGTGGCGACATTGCAGAAGCTTTGACAACTGCGTGAGTTACATTTTTGTGCACTATGCGCCTTTACTCGACCATGCACACTTCCCCTATCATCATCATCATCTTCTTCTTCTCCGGCTCACAAAGCACATTACGGCCAAAATTACACATCTAGGCATGGAAAACTCTTTCCAAGGCTGTTGATATGGTGTTCCAGAGCCATTGAAGCTTGTCCAAGGTCTAATAATGCACTTTTCTTGAAATCGTTTCCTGCTGAATGACGCTAACGATACTCTGCCAGAATGCTTGGGGTGAAAATGGGGCCGCCCCTTTTCCAATCAAGATACTTTCCTCGACCAATCCTAGTCCTCCTTTCGAAACTATTGCTGAAGGCGGATAAAGCTGCCATTGCGAAGAAAACGACGAGGGGAAGCTCCTCTCAAGACTATGCGTATGATTGTCCGACCTTTGAAGATCTCGCACCCACACTGCGAAACGATATCAAAGTCACGAGCGAGATGTTTGGGGAGAGGAACCTCGATACCTTGGCAGAGATCGATAAGGATTTATTCATCATGGGCGCAAGTCGAAGTCCCGACTATCTCAAGAATTCAGTGCGCGTACTGAAGAAACTTCTCCCAAATTCCATGTTTGTAGAGCTCCAAGGGTATGATCACGGAGTGACCGGCAACAAGTCATATCACGGAGATCCTGACGTTGTTGCTCGAGAGTTGCGGCGCTTTTTCTCTGAAGGAGAGGAGGGACAAAGATAAAGGCAACAAGATTATATGATTCGGACTTATCTCACTTCGCAATCAAGCCACCATCTACGACTATGCTTGTCCCACACACAAAATCACTGGCTCTGCTGGCGAGGAAGATGATCGCCCCACGGAAGTCCTCCGGCAAGCCCCAACGACCAGCTGGTGTGCGACCGATGATATACTCCGAATATGCCGGGTCATCGGTATAGACCTTGGTCATGGCCGTCTTGATGTACCTATGAAACATGTCAGCCTTCGACACCAAATTGGCTCAGCAAAAGGAGGGAGTTTTCATACCCGGGGCAAATGCAATTTACATTGATACCTTTGGATGCCCATTCATTACTCATGGCCTTTGTCATTTGCAGCACACCTCCTTTCGTGCATGCGTACGCAGCGATATTGATGTTACCAATGAAAGAAATGATGGACGCAATGTTGATTATCTTCCCCGGCCGCTTCAGCTCAAGCAGTCGCTTCCCGACCTCCTGAGCCGCCACGAATGACGCTTTGAGATTGATTGAGAATACCTTTCCCGTTGTTGATCAGGTTCAGTCCACGTCCTCATGCAAAGATTTATGAAACCCAAAACTCTACTCGACACAAGAGTACTCACCGCATCGATATTCTCATCCGTAAAGTCCTCGACCTTTGCTCTCCTGTTTATGCCCGCGCAATTCAGCAAGATATCGGGGGTGACACCGCTCTCCCAGATCTTCGCGAAGCAAGCCCTCAACGCCGGTGAGTCTGCGACGTCTGTCTCAAACACTTTCAAACTTCGCCCACAAGCCTTGACCCCCTCCTCTAGTAGCGATGCCCTCGGGTCATCCTTGATCTGGATCGAGACGATATCCGCGCCTGCCTCGGCGAGCGCAATCGCCATTGAAAGCCCCAGACCCCCCGTGCCGCCCGTGCAGATAGCTGTTTTCCCGTGAAGTGAGAACAACTCCGTGATGCTCGGCAGTGTGCCCTCGCCCATCTGGTTGACTGACGCCATCGTTCGCTGTCCGGTTGATCTACGGACCAGTGTCGGATCCCTTGTAATCCTACTGATCCCAGATGTACGTCGTTCCCGACAAGAAGTAAATGTTTCTTTCCTGAGAAGAAAAGAAAACCTTGGGGATCGTGCAAAAGTTCAGGCGCACTTATCTGCTCACTGACCCTCCCCGAGTACCTGCTTCCCCAACTTTGGTCCAAATCGACTCCTCTATGTATGTTTTCGTCCTATAACCGAGGCGCCACGCAGCAAGCTTGGTACACTTACTAGGTACCAGCAGGTCCAGCACACACACGTTGAGTTCCGTAGTTCCGATTTGCTGGCCTGGCCACGAGTTGCAACTCTCCTCCACTTCTGCCCCCTCGGCCCTTTCTCCGCATGCTGCTCCAGGCCAAGTGAGGAGTAAAACCCAAAACATGTAGTTACCCGAATGGGAATGCATATGATGCGGCGTCATTTGCAACCTGAACTTGGGGGGGGGGACTGTGCATGCATGTATGTAGTAGCATTTGATCACGCCGAATCCATTGCAGAACATCTCCTCAACGGTATAGAAATCTACTAGTCGACGCAGCAGACATGGGTCGTCTTGATGGAAAAGTCATCATTGTGACTGGAGCAGGAGCAGGCTTTGGACGTGGTGTAAGTGAAGACGAGTCGTTCAATGTCAACATCGCAGGTACCGCTTTCGCTATATACAAGAATCCCTTTACAGATCAGCCCAACGCCCAACCAATCCACAGGTATCTGCAAACATATCTGACCACAGCCCTCTCAACAGATTGTCCAAAAGCTCACAGCGGAAGGCGCGGCCGTGCTCGCGGTCGACATCAATGAGAAAGAGAACGAGTCCACCGTGGCATCGTGCCCCAGTGGCAACTGCCACGCACTTGCCGCGGACATCACACTGGAAAGCTCCTGGCGAGAGATCCTATCCTCTGTGCTCTCGAAGTTCTCGAACCGGCTCGATGTCGTCGTCAACTGTGCCGGGGTAGTGCACATCGCCGCGCCATCGCATGAAGTCCCCGAAGACCAATTCGACCTCATGTTCAAAGTGAATGTCAAGCCGCTGTACCTGAGCACGAAGGTCATTGTGCCCTGGTTCAAAGAGAACAAGGTCGCCGGGTCATTTGTCAACTTGAGCAGTATCAGTGAGCCCAGGCCGCGGCCGAACCTGGTTTGGTACGCCGCGAGTAAAGGGGCCGTGACGGTGGTGAGTTTTTTGGTTTTTGGTTCTGTTGCTTTTGCTTTTGCGTTGGTGTAGCACGCGTCGGGCGAGTCATTGCTGATGAGTTGGGTTACTTTTCAGACGACCAAAGGCTTGGCCGCAGAATATGCAGTGGACCAGATCAGATACAATTGCATTCGTCCAGCCGTGGGTGAAACCGCAATGTAAGTGAAACTCTGAGCTGAGCTGAACTCGGTGATACTATCTGACGGTGACGCAGGCTCGCGCGAGTCCTTGGTGGACAAGACACGCCTGAGGGTCGTAAGAAGGTCCTTGGGACTGTTCCGCTGGGTCGAGTGTGTCAGCCATCCGATGTGGCCAACATGGTCTGTTTTTTAGCTTCGGATGAGGCCAGCTACATCACCGGCGCCGCTTTTGATGTCGATGGAGGTAGAGGTGTAAGCTGATTCGTCGGATACACAATTAAAAAGCAGTTGGGCTCAATTTTCAAATATGATTCGGTAATTTGATCATCTCTGTACAGCGTAGCTCCCTCCAGAATATTTTACAAGGAAATCTCGCCTTTCCACATTGCGTCGGAGATGCCTAATTTCTCGACGACATTCTGCCATCTCGGTCCACCCCTGTCTTCTCTTCTCAGGTATTTGAGCAACTTCTGCCTCTTGTGGACCAACAGCCTCAGATTCCGCTTGTTTTGTTTGTCCTGGTTGTGCAGATTGTCTGCAAGAATGTTGATCTTGGTGGTGAGAATGGCTATTTGCACCTCAGAGGAGCCAGTATCTGGACCAACTCTTGGACGAGGTTTGGAGGGGGTTGAAAGGTTGCTGTGCAGCTTCGGTAGAAGGCTTGAATCGGTGTTATGTCGACCAAATTCCTGAATGCATCGGTCAATATTGACTCGTAGGCGGTCCTTGCTGCTTGAATTATCCAACGCGGCAATGGCTTGGAGCGCTTTCGAGGCATTCTCGTGAGAAACTGCATGAGTCTCAAGCTCTTTTGCATAGGTCTCCTTTGCATTGGGATCGATTTCTACCCTGGGGGCAACCGGCTCAGATAGCCATCTCGAGTAGTCTAAGGACTTTCCCATGTCTTCCGGCTTGAGAAAGTAGTTCAAATAGGATTCTCGCATGCTGTCCGGAATAGCTCTGGAATGCAGTGAATCGACGAAAGGCGCTGATCGAGATCGGACAGGACTGCCCACAGTAGCTTGGCGCTCCGCAAGAAGGACTTTTTGTCGCGCCAGGTTTGCTGATTTCCGTTGTCGTGCCTGCGCTAGGCGGTATGGGTCAATGTGTCTCTGTATTTTGTGTTTCTTCGACCTCTTCGCGTCCAAGGCGGCGGTGGCCGAGAAGAAGCATGTCGAGCATTTTGAGAAGACCTTGCCCCGAGAAGTCGCTGGCAAGTCGTGCAGGAGGCTCATCACTGGCAAAAATATCAGAGAGGAATCTATAGAATATCTACATATACTCACTATTGAATAAAGTGTTCGAAGCAGCTGCGCCCACGAGAGGAGGCATCTTGCCGGCTGTGGTCGATGGCGAGATGGCTGATAGTGCTGGTACTCCTGCTCAGCTTTCTTCAATTGTCGACGTCGGCATACCTTCTTGGCTGGCGTGTAGTCCGGAAAATTGGTTCCGGCTCCGAATGACCACTAGTCCTCTTTCAAGATGAAATCTTGGCAAGCCCTAACTTCCACTTTCATCGAAAAGTTCCTTGCCGCCGTTTCTACGCGTCGCTCAATCCTCGAACTCACTCGAATCACCACAACCTCTCCCTCACACTCCTCGCTCCTCGACTGCATCATACAGAACAGTCGCAAACATGGCGAGCCCAGCTAACCTTCCCCCTATTTTCAACCCTACATCCAACGACATTGAGATGCTTCTTGCGGCGCAATGTCACCTGGGATCAAAGAATTTGCAAGTCCATATGGATCCATATCTGTGGAAGACTCGTCCTGACGGCATCAATGTTATCAACCTGTCCAAGACCTGGTATGTGATCAAGCCTTCGAAAAGCATCACTTGTACCTCAACTGGCGTTTCCTGGCGTTCAGAACAGAGTCCAAGAATACTTTCAATACTGACAAGAAGCGCAGGGAGAAGATCGTTCTTGCTGCCCGCATTATTGCAGCAATCGACAACCCAGCTGATATCGTCGTCATCTCCGCTCGTCCCTACGGCCAACGTGCTGTTCTCAAGTTTGCCGCACACACAGGTGCTGTTGCCATTGCTGGCCGCTTCACCCCCGGTAACTTTACCAATTACATCACCCGCTCATTCAAGGAGCCTCGCTTGATCATTGTCACCGATCCTCGCACCGATGCCCAAGCTATCAAGGAAGCCTCCTATGTCAACATCCCCGTCATCGCCCTCTGCGATACCGATTCCCCAACCGAGTTCGTTGACGTTGCCATTCCCACTAACAACAAGGGTCGCCACGCTATTGGTCTAATTTGGTGGTTGTTGGCACGAGAGGTCCTCCGTCTCCGAGGTACTCTTGCTAACCGTGAGGTCGAGTGGGATGTGGTTGTCGATCTGTACTTCTACCGCGATCCCGAGGCTGAGGAGCAAAAGGAGGAGGAGAAGGTCCCAGGAGCTGATGAGGTAGGCACAGCTGTAGTGGGCGCTGGATTCGCAGACAATGCAGACTGGACTGGAGAGCCTGGTGTCGCCGCTCCTGGAATTGAGGGAGCTGCCCAGGCAGATGCCAACTGGACCGAAACTGCTGGTGAAGGAGACTGGGCACAAGAAGCTGCTGCTCCCACTGCTGCTGCTGCTACTGCTGGCGCAAGCGGCTGGTAGGCAGTTTGGGAGACATAGTCTACGCTGGTCGGAGGTTGTCCGTGCTTCTACAGTGCAAGCCTTGGCCTACCAACCCCACACCAAGCCAATTTTTCACTCTTACCAAATTCCCACCAATTCCGTCACTCAGACAGTCGCATTGTTTGATCATTCATTGAGTCCAAAAGTTGAAGGCGCTCATGAGGGAAAGATACTCTTCTTGGGATCATTCACTTTTCTGAGAAGAGGGAAAGCCCTGTGCCTGAGATGAACGGGATTGTACTTAATAGTTGCCCGGGCCTCGATAGGATGGCGAACTATGTAGACTGAGATACGTGGACCCCAATTCAAATTGGGCTACGATAGAGCAATCCGATAAAGGATGAAAGGAAGATATCAAAATCAGACATTGAAGCTGCTTTAACTCTTCCACTGTTCAATTGATCGTTCATTCTAGACTGAGCAAATTGCCATTAGATAGATCATTGCATATGCATCGACATCTTTCGATACATACATTTCAACAGAGAGCAAAACATCAAAGACCGCAATTTCCCTGCCTCGCAAATGCTCCCTGAACCGATTTCACTTGACCATTTACAGCCCCCTAACCATGATGTTGCGACTAGCGCTCGGTTGGAGAAGGTTTATGGCTGCTCTGCTCACCGACACGAGAGCCTTTTTCGTGCGAACTCAAGGCCTGAAGACATAGTGTGCACGACATAAATTCCTTCTTCTTCGTCTTCTTCTTCTCCTTTTCGCCTCGATTTTAGCTTTGGCCGCCTGAGAATCAGTACCATAAACCCTTCACACATGACTTGTGGCACTTCTGACCAGTCAAATTCATTATCTTATTTTTAGACTTGAACTGAGATAGACAATATGGACACTGATGATTGCACAAGAGGTCTGCCTCAGTTAGTGGCCCTGTGGGAGTGGCAGCACTGGCACCTTGCAATGTTGAAGCCTCACCATGGGAGATCTCACTTTCAGATGGCGCTAAGTCTGTATCCGAGTCTGAGTCTGCGTGTGCATGTTGCACTTGAGCCGTGATGACCTGATCCGAAGCGAGCTTATTGCATTGACTGTCTTGAGTGCAAGTGCCTTGAGGCTCTGGATTAGTAGACTGTGAGAACGCTTGAGCCATGGCGGTAGTATTACATGAGAGACTCGGAATAGGATTGGCCATTGATGCCCAGAGTAGGCGAGAAGAACCAAGGCGCGGGAACCCGGGCGATTTAAAAGTTTGTGGCAGTCTGATTTTGAAAATAAGCGCAGACAGGAGTAACGATTCGTAGTGTAGTAGAACGAGAGACGAATCTGGAGACAATATTCCCAAGTATGGAGAGATGGGCGATTAATATACCTCTCCTTCCGTGATGATCCATCGCTGTTCGCTGCCTGATGGACCACGACCAATGTCTTGCATATCATTGTGTCGAACAAAGATCCATGGAATGCACAATCGATATGTCGACTGAGACCGAGTCGTCTTTGGTATGAGGTAAGATTTATGACCGCTGCCTCAACTATCCAAGGCTAATATGCGACAACGAGGCAAGGCTTCTGTCGATGTGGACAAATGTTCTCAAAGGAAGTGACCCTGGCAAAAAGTCTCAAGACGCGATTGCTGCCTCCGGCGACAGCATCATGAACAAAAGGGGATTGTCACTTCTCAGGTATTCACGGATGAAGTGCATAGTATGCACCATTGTCTATGTTTGAAAGCACTTTGTTCTAAGGGTTTATCGAAGGGATAGGGTGGGAGAAGGAGGCAGTCTCGTCCAGATCGAATCGTGAGGAGCAGGCTCAGGCAATGAACACAAGCCAGCACGCAATCTTCGGACTGCTTTTAACGGTCGGGTACCACATTAGCCCTTCTCGCTTGCATCCGATGAACCAGAGGCAGGCTCATAACGGACATGGATAGCGAAGAGAAGATGAACGAGGTGGAACCCACGCAGCCTTGCTGGCTGGGGTAGCGTCGTTAGGGAAGAACAGATATCCAATAATGAAGCCCTGCTTCTTGCAAGGCTGAGTTAAAGCGAAGATTAGCGTCGCCAAGACCGACTCACGCTAGGAAATAAAAATATCTCTTTCAAGCTCCATCAAGTGTATCCCTGAGTGCTGTATCGCACACCCCACAACAGATACACGATCAATCATGCCGTTGCCCAATGGAACGGCCAAAGAGGTTCGAGTGAGCCTACTCGGTAAAGAAAGTATCATCATCAATTTCGGACTATGGCGCAACTATGTGGCTTCTGACCTCCTGGACACCCTTGAGTCATCCACCTACGTTTTAATCACGGACACAAACATCGGCGGCCTTTACACAGAATCCTTCCGCAAAGCTTTCGAGGCTGCAAAGTCAAAGGAATCAAGCCCATCACGTTTACTTGTCCATGAAATTCCTCCCGGAGAGAGCTCAAAATCGAGACAAACCAAGGATGATATCGAGGACTGGCTTCTGAGTCAGAGCCCGCCATGTGGCCGGGACACGGTGATCATTGCGCTAGGAGGCGGTGTCGTTGGTGATCTAACCGGCTTTGTTGCTGCAACTTATATGCGCGGTGTACGATTTGTTCAGGTGCCGACTACACTACTTGCTATGGTTGACTCCGCCATTGGTGGAAAGACAGCGATTGACACTCCTCTTGGCAAAAACCTTGTCGGGGCCATATGGCAACCGCAGAGAATCTATATCGATCTTGACTTTCTTGGTACTCTTCCCCGCAGAGAGCTCATCAATGGCATGGCAGAAGTAATCAAGACCGCCGCAATTTCTGACGAGAACGAGTTCATCGCGTTGGAGTCAAATTCCGACAAAATCATGGCTGCAGTCAACAGTGACATCAAGCAAGGTGCAGCAAGGTTCAAAGATATTGAACCTATCCTCATCAGAGTCATCTCCGCTTCTGCAAAGTTCAAGGCACATGTCGTTACAATTGATGAGCGTGAGACAGGGTTGAGGAATTTGCTGAATTTCGGGCACTCGATAGGCCATGCGATGGAGGCTTTTCTGACTCCTCAGGTGCTCCATGGCGAATGTGTCGCCATTGGCATGATCAAAGAAGCTGAGCTTGCTCGCTACCTTGGTGTGCTTAGTGGAGTTGCAGTTGGAAGATTGCAGAAGTGCTTGACAGCTTATGGTTTACCCACGCGCCTCGATGATGAAAAAATTCGTAAGCTATCGGGCGGAAAGGTATGCACTGTAGATGGCATGTTGAAAAAGATGGGCGTCGACAAGAAGAATGATGGCGCCAAAAAGAAGGTGGTTCTGCTTTCTGCCATTGGTAGAACCTATGAGCAGAAGGCAAGCGTGGTTTCCGACTCTGACCTCCGAGTGGTCCTATCGCCCAGTGTTGACGTGCTCCCTGGAGTTCCTCAAGATCTGAATGTTGTTTGTGCTCCACCAGGGTCCAAAAGTATCTCAAACAGAGCTTTAGTACTAGCCGCACTCGGAAAGGGAACTTGTCGAGTAAAGAATTTGCTAACATCTGCCGACACCGAAGTCATGCTTGAAGCGTTAAGTAAGCTAGGAGCGACAACATTCTCTTGGGAAGAAGATGGAGAAGTTCTGGTTGTTGATGGTAAGGGTGGTCAACTCTACGCAAGTCAGTCGGAGCTTTATCTTGGTAATGCTGGCACGGCCGCGAGATTCCTGACTACTGTTGTCACCCTTACTCATCTGAGCCATGTGAGCTCAACAGTGCTGACTGGAAATGCCCGGATGAAGCAACGTCCCATTGGAGATCTGGTTGACGCTCTGAAGACGAATGGTGCTGGAATAGAGTACCTTGAGACTGTCGGCTGTCTGCCACTAAATATTACCGCATCTGGCGGCTTCAATGGTGGCGTGATCGAACTCGCAGCCAAAGTCTCGTCACAGTATGTGTCATCCCTTTTGATGTGTGCTCCATACGCAAAGCAGCCGGTGACCCTGAAGCTCATTGGTGGAAAACCTGTATCTCAACCATATATCGACATGACTATCGCCATGATGGCTGCCTTTGGAATTGAGGTGCGGAAATCCCAGGCAGAAGAACATACTTATCACATTCCTCAAGGCGGCTACGTCAACCCGGAGGAATATGTGGTCGAAAGTGATGCAAGTTCTGCAACATATCCATTGGCCATTGCTGCTATCACTGGAACAACTTGTACAATTCCGAACATTGGCTCTACATCTCTACAAGGAGACTCGCGCTTCGCAATAGACGTGCTGAGACCCATGGGATGTGAAGTCAAACAGACCCGAACTTCAACAACCGTGACGGGGCCATCAAGTGGCGTTTTACAACCGCTCCCAAACATTGACATGGAGCCCATGACAGATGCTTTCCTCACGGCATCAGTCTTGGCCGCAGTTGCCCAAGGGGGCAAATCCAATACTACACGAATCTATGGCATCGCGAATCAACGTGTAAAAGAGTGCAATCGAATACAAGCAATGCAAGACGAACTAGCCAAATTCGGTGTGAAGTGTAGGCAATTCGATGACGGCATTGAGATAGATGGCATTGATCGAAGACAATTGCAGCAGCCCAAAGCAGGTGTTCATTGCTACGACGACCACCGCGTCGCAATGAGCTTCAGCGTTCTTGCTCTAGCAGCACCTCAGCCCAGCCTTATCCTTGAAAAAGAGTGCACGGGAAAGACATGGCCAGGCTGGTGGGATACGCTCACGCAGCAGTTCCTTGTTAAGTTGGAAGGCAAAGAATTAGAGGCTACTACAGTTCACACGAAGAAGAAGCTTGATAGAGCTTCAGCGTCCGTCTTCATAATCGGCATGAGAGGAGCCGGAAAGACAACCTCCGGCAGATGGGCCTCCCGATCTTTGGGCAAGAAGCTAATAGACCTTGACACTGAACTTGAGAAGCGCGAGAAAGCCACAATCCCTGACATCGTCCGACAGCACGGCTGGGATTATTTCCGAGCTCGCGAGTTGGCGCTTTTGAAAGCTGTGGTGAAGGAGCTGCCTACAGGTCATATATTTGCATGTGGCGGTGGAGTAGTTGAGACTGCTGAAGCTCGGAAGCTTTTCATCGACTGGCACCAGAAGACAGGACACGTGTTACTGGTAGAACGTAACATCAACGAGGTTATGGACTTCTTACAGATCGATAAAACACGACCAGCTTACGTTGAAGACATGATGGGTGTCTGGCTGAGGAGAAAGCCATGGTTCGAGCAGTGCAGCAACATTCTCTATTACAGCCAGAGCATCCCCAACGAACAGATGTCCGAAGCTGCCGAGGACTTTGATCGTTTCTTAAAGATGGTTAGCGGTAAGATCGACGCCCTTGGAAAGCTCAAACGCAAGCCTGAGTCTTTCTTCGTATCGTTGACTTTCCCTGATCTTCGACCACATCTAAGCATCCTTCCAGAAGTTTGCTTGGGATCTGATGCAGTCGAGCTCCGTGTTGACCTGCTCAAAGATCCCCAATCAGCCAGTGATATCCCTTCACAGGAGTACGTCACATCCCAACTCTCCCTCCTCCGTGCAACCGTGCCCCTCCCTGTCGTTTTCACGATCCGAACAACATCGCAAGGCGGCAAGTTTCCAGACGCAGCTTACGATGAATACCTCGGACTAAATACCCTGGCCATCCGCATGGGCAGCGAATTCGTGGATCTAGAGGTTGGGACCTTCCCGGACGATATGCTCAAAAAAATCCATGATCTCAAGAACGATAGCCACAGCAAGATCATTGCTTCCCACCACGACCCGCAGGGCCGCCTTTCCTGGTCCAAGCCTGGCTCCTGGATCCCTATTTACAACAAATGCCTGCAGTTCGGTGACGTGGTGAAACTAATCGGCATCGCCTCCTCCCTGGACGACAACTTTTCGCTTCGACGCTTCAAGCAATGGTCGGCATCGCAGCACCCTGATCTCCCACTGATCGCCATCAACATGGGACGAGCCGGGCAGGTGTCACGCATCCTAAACCGTTTCATGACACCCGTCTCACACCCAGCGTTGCCATTCAAAGCGGCACCAGGACAATTGTCCGCAACCGAGATCCGCCAGGGGCTCTCGCTGATGGGTGAAATCGTGCCGAAGCAGTACTACCTCTTCGGCTCGCCCATTTCTGCGAGCAAGTCACCTGCCCTTCACAATACCTTCTTCCAGAAGACAGGTCTCCCCCATAGCTACTCACTATGCGAGACAACATCGGTCGAAGTGATGAGGGAGAAGATCCGAGCGGAAGACTTCGGGGGCGCCAGCATCACGATTCCCTTGAAGCTGGACGTAATGGGCCTGCTGGACGTGATCGATGCATCGGCACGACTGATCGGCGCGGTCAACACGATCGTGCCTGTCATCGACCCGAAGACGGGCAAAAAACTCCTCGAGGGCCGCAACACCGACTTCTTGGGCATGGGTGACTGTCTGAGAGCGGCAGGCGCGAGCGCCGCTCTGGGTGAAGGCCCACAGTCTGGCCTGGTCATTGGGGGCGGTGGCACCGCGCGCGCAGCGATTCAGACCCTGTACAGCATGGGCTATGGGCCCGTCTACCTGATTGCGCGGAACAAGGGCAAGCTGGCGGAGCTCAAGGCCACGTTCCCGCCATTCTATGATCTCCATGTCCTCGATGCAGGAGACAAATCCTCTCTGCAGGCCATCACGCGCGAACCACCTAGCGTCGCCATCGCCACAATTCCGGCGAATGAGCCGATTGACCCTGCACTGGGAGCGGCTCTGCACGCCATGTTCGCGGCATCAACGCAGAACAAGAAACCCGGCGGAGGTGTGCCCACGCTCCTCGAGCTGGCGTACAAACCTGTTCATACCGCCGTGATGGCTATGGCCGAAGAGGTTGGTGGCTGGAGCACCGTCCAGGGCCTCGAGACCCTCGTCACTCAGGGGCTCTGGCAGTTCGAGTACTGGACGGATATCAGAGTGAGAGGCGTTGGCCAGCGGATTGCGAGGGTAAGTTCGTTCTTTTCCCCCCTCTAAGCATTTCATGTTTTTTTTTAAGTTACCTCTCTTCCTCTGTCGTTTCCCTCAGGAGTTTGATGATGAGGAATCCTTACTCATTGTTCCTTGTAGGAAGTCGTTATCGGGCCTGGCGCATAGGAACGGATCATCCATCATCAAAAGTTGGGCCTTTCGCAGAAAGACATTCAAGGTTATTAAAGAGGTAGAAATAAAAATCGATTTGGCTCGATAGCCCTTCCCCAAGGTCTTGAAGAGCGAGTGCTTTGGGAGGGTTAACAGTTTCCCTTTGGTTCGACTCGGCATTCATCTGCGTGAATGTTTCTTTTGTTTTCCTGCTGGTTGTCGCTTTCCAGACACCAACAAGCGATACAGTCTTTGTTAAATCATACGTACTACTAAAGGGAAATTGAGAAAACCAACCCGCAATCCATCACATCAAAAGTCACTGGCTCAACGGGGGGGTGATATAAAAATTGCCCTAGGATCCTACCAGACTTAAGTGGCAAGAAATTCCACCCGGAGAATGATTTGATAATAGAACTACTAGCACTGACTAGCACTATTGTCGCTGTCGCTTCGTTACATTATACAGACTCCTCAATCGTCCTTCCAAGTGCACACAGCAAGCTTTCTTTCCGACCCCGAACTATTGAACAGTTTCTCATGACCTCGTTAAGTAGACAGCTCCATATCACCAAACGGTACGGCGCCGACCAATGTTCGAAACTCCTACCGTGTGTCTCCGCATAACATCCCGAAATCTAACGGATAAGTCACCGAGTATTGGTAGAAAAGTGGTCCCCTGTTTGTACAACGCAGTTGGTTGGTTATGTAGGGTTCCAACAGATTACCTCTGGTACCGTTATTGGCCTTGTCCCTGATTCCTTCTTTGCTCCTGTACTTGTCTATGGAATTCGGCCACGAAGGCTGGGTTGTTAGCCCACGGACCGGACTGAAGACCAGGTTGCCCTGGTGCAGCAGTGGCGGGGTTTGGACTCTGAAAATGCGCTTGATGATTGTGTTGCTGAGTATTGTATTGATGGTGGAGGTTTTGCAAAGGTGGCGCACCTAATCCGGGAATGGAGGGATTTGAGAGCGGAAAGTTCTGAGATGATTGTGAGAAGCCAAAATTTGCAGCAGGCTGATAAGCGTTGAAGTTGAAAGATGAGTGTGGTAATGGCGTGATGGGAGAAGGTGACATTGGAGGGTAAGTAACATTGTGTGGTGATATGGAGGGAGTGTTGGGGAGGTTGAGCTGGGGCATCTGTGTCATTGTCCCGTTTTGTTGTGGGTAGTTGCCGTTGGCGTTGCTTTGGTAGGACATATTGTTAGGGCGGTTCCAGGTAGAGGAGTTGCCTTGATTGAAACCGCCACGGCCGCGGGGTGGCCGCTGCCCTCCTCTACCTCCTCTGCCTCCTCTGCCATAGCCCCTTCCGCGATCGTTAAAGTCACTTCTATTCGTTGGTAGGGAAGGCGGAGGGGGTAAGGGATGTGTCAAAGGTGGAGGTCCATTTGCGAGCAATTCGGATAGATTATCTGGCCGTTGGAGGGGTGTATAGCCGTCTTCTGCACCATCTGCAACATCATCGTAATTCATCTGGGGTGTTTCGAGATCTCGAGGTCCAGAATTTGTGGGCGGTCCATGTTGTCCACCACGACCGCCACGATGACCGCCCCTCGAGAATTTTGAACCACCGCGGCCTCGGCCATTTTCTGCAGTTCGACCTTGTCTACGGAGCTTTATCTGGCGCTTGTGTTCGGCTTCTGCTTCGTCATCTGAAAACTCCATCTCATCGTCACCGACTTCCTCGTCGTGGAAATTGGAAGCATCACTGCCTTTGACACTCTTCAATGGTTGTGTGAAGACAAAGGTCGAGTGCTGTGGAACGTAGTGTACTGTAGTGCCGATGTTAGAGACTCCTGCTTCCTCTATGTCCCTCTCGTTGGTGAAGCGGATGGTGTACCTGGGCTCTTCGACCCTTCCAATCAAATCAGCCACCACTCCCACAACACTTCTGTCATTCAAGCATATTAGGGATCCTGTCTCCAGGACTTGGTACTCTCCGGACGTCTTCGCTTTGATGACAATTGTATTCTCCACGACGAACTCGACATTCCCAAGTTCTTCGATTTTCATGTCTTCAGTAATAGTGATATCAGGTTTGGGGATCACTTCCTCGAACTTTTCATTTGCGGTTCGTAGACCAGAGCCTTCGGGCTTGTCTTTTGATCTGCCACCTTCATCGTCTGAACCTCCGTCTCCCTGCATCAGTATGCGCGCGGCCTCCTCAGGGTCCAGCATAGCATAGTCACCATCGGCATCGTCGTCACTATCGTCGTCTGATGAAGTGGTGTCGGAGGAAGAATCGGAATCTGAGGATTCGTACGGCGAAGAATCAATCTCCCACTCCGGGGCATCGCCACCCGTCTCAGGAATGCCGGCGTTGTCTGACGGAATAGCATCCACCCTCAGAGCCGCGGAATTTGTCTCAGCGTGATTTATTACATCCTGTTGCGCTGTACTGTCTGCTGTGGATAACGGGTCCACAGCCGCTGGAAAGAATACCGGAGCACCCATATTCCCTTCTGCTCCACGATGCCCAGTCGCCGGCTCTGTTTCCATTTCGACTACTGGCTCCATAGGGGTAGTGTCCTGGGGAGTTTCTCCATTAGCGACTCGATCAGGGTTGTCTGTGTCTGGCAGGCTTGCACTTGTTATTGATTGAGATGCATCGTGTGAGACTCCATTAGCCTGCGCCACAGCCTGCATTTGAATTTTGTTTAGATCCTGCGCGGGATCGACAGAATGTTCAAGATCCATACTGCCATCATCGGCGATGTGTGTAAGCCCATGGCTCGTGGCAGTGTCGTCAGCTTGGGTGGCTTCAGGGCTTTCTTTCGACAGCTGATGGCTCGGAGTCTCAAGGAGGGTTGGTTTTGATGCCGACGGTGGAGGCTGGGATGAAGCACCGGATTCCACTTCAACCTGAAGCATCAAGGCATCTAGGATAGAGTTGGAAGCGTCCATGCTGGCACACTAGGTCATACTGTCCATCTCTTAAGATTGAACGACATGGGCAGGCACTTCAAGCGCAGCGGTCGGACGCCGCCTCCAAATTCATCAAAAAAAGTCTCAATGCGGAGAAAAGATAGTCTAACCGCTTAAGGTAATGATTGAGATGATAATAACACTAGCGTCATTATAGGCGCCCGATCAGGATTAGGCTCTCACTACGGACGGAAATATCAAATGGGCTTGTCAAGGACTAATTATCTGAGGCAGCATCTCGCTCCCCTTGGAGTCTTAGGCCACCAGTGGCCACCTGGGGCCGTACCTTGTCATGCTGTCACCTGTCGGACGTGAACAGCCAGTTTGGCGGTCATCGAATGCATCCACTTACTTAGAATCAAGGCTCAAAGGTCAGATCGATGCCCGTCGTATACTAGCATGAGGCCACCCATGTACGCATGTCGAGGAATGCTCAATTTATGCAGGCAGAGCATCCACAAGAAGTACATCAAAAGGCCAAACTCGCTGAAAATGAGAGCTCAATTAAATACTACGCTGTTTCCGGTCAGTTTACCAATGCCATGGCAATCACTACTATTCCAGCTCCTTTGAAAGGGAAGGTCGCAATCATTACAGGAGGAAGCAAAGGAATCGGTCGAGAGACTGCCCTCAACTTCGCCCGGAAAGGTTGCAGCCACATCGCAATCACCTACGTCCAAGATAACGCTGCAGCACGGGAGGTTCTCGAGGCGATTACAGACATCAGTCCGGATTGCCGTGCTGTTGCCGTAAAGGCAGATGTCAAGAACCGCGAATTCGGCAAGAAGTCATCCAGATATGTCTCTCCAAATTGAGCATCGATCATATCGATATACTTGTCTCCAACGCCGGTGTACAGGACATTGATGACCATGTACCGGCATCACAGATGAGCTACGAACATTTTGAAAAAATCATGATCGGTCAAGCTTGGGCATCATTGCAGCTTTTAGTTGAAGCCATCAAACACATGTCTGCTGGTGGGCGAATCATCATGAATTCCTCTGGTTCCAGTAAGATGGCCAATGGTGATCCATTTATAATGCATTGCTGCAGCAAAGCCGCGATGGACTCCATTGCTCGCAACCTGGCTGTCATCTACGGACCTAGCATGGGCATTACCGTCAACTCCATCGGTTGTGGATGCACCGATACGGAGTCCTTGAGAAAGTCAATCCAAGTCAATGGGCCCGAATTCGGAAAGCTTACGGAGAACCTCAGCCCGTTGAAGAGACTTGGGAGGCCAGAGGAGGTCGCCAGTATCATATCTTTCGTGGCAAGTCCAGAGGCGAGCTGGATCAATTGTGAGACTCCCTATTCTTGACATGGTGCACCTTGGCTCATCGTAATTTCTTAGGCAACCAAGTGCCTGCGAATGGCGGCATGATGCTAGAATTACAAGGCTGATACAAAAAGAGGACTTGTTGCACTTTCCAAAGAGTGGGAATGTCAGAAGGTTGAAATCCCACATCCGAGATAATCACAAACACAGAGGCGATTCATTGGTTGGTGTTTTCGTCCGCAGGCTCAAGTAGCAAGCAGTTGAGGGCCGATAGATCGCACTGCTTTGCTTTGATGCGTTTCCTCAAAGTCGTGTACACCATTCAAAGCTCTACGCTTAGTTCCTGGTTGCAGGCAGCTACATATGTTGCTGGTCGGCTCTCGCACTGGACGGGGCCGAGGTTATTGAACTGCCGCAATTACTGACCTCCGGCGGCTGTAAGCCTTGGTCCTCACATCCACCCACATCTCTCCACCTCCCACTTAGGTGGAGGAGAAGTCAGTTGTGCTTAAAATCAAGCTCTACATATGGTTAGTAATGCATCGTATGCGTACTCGGTGTATGAGATCATTAAAAGGTAGATTTCTTCAGGACACCCCATAATGTGCAAAGTGGCCCACCTCTCTTGTACAATCATTCCCACAGTCCACAACGTCCACGCCACATTTCTCAATCCTTAATTGACAAGGTAGTATCAAAGAAATGGCAAACTACGGCACCGTCCCCGAGGCTGCCCAACTACGGCCCCTGAGATATCATCTGGAAGTACCAGACCGAGACATCTCAGATTTCAAAGATCTACTGCGCATATCTAGACTTGCCCCGAAGACTTACGAAAACCTGCAAAGTGAGAACAACTACGGAGTGACCCATGAATGGATGTCAAAGGCAAAGGAGTACTGGCTCACGAAATACGACTGGTATGTTTCACTACTGCAGCGAGTCGCCTAGGCAGTGCCTTCAACTCAACGGCGTAAATGCGACATGCTCACCCTCGTGACATTAGGCGACAGCGGGAGACATATATCAATTCATTTCCCAACTTCAAAGTTGATATCGAAGACGACGGAGAGACGTTCCAAATCCATTTCGCAGCGTTATTCTCGAAGAAACAAGATGCAATTCCCCTACTGTTCATGCATGGCTGGCCAGGTCGGTTTGGGCCCATAGCCTAGGAAGAAGGCTTTCTAGACAGCGTCCACTGACTCAACAATGCAGGCAGCTTTCTCGAATTCCTCAGCCTGATGGACATAATTCGCAAACGGTATTCGCCAGAGGAGCTACCGTATCATATAATCGTCCCTTCTCTGCCAGGCTACACCCTCTCGTCCGGTCCCCCGCTAACAAAGTCCTTCAACCAAGAGGATGTCGCACGCATCATGAATAAACTTATGGTGGGTCTTGGATTTGGCGCTGGGTATGTCGCGCAGGGAGGCGATGTTGGGTCGTTCGAATGCAGGATCCTGAATAAGTTCTATGATGAATGTAAAGGTATACCAACACCCCCCTCTCCCCGGGTCATATATGGGAATCCGCTAACAAGCGCAGCAATACACCGCAAGTACTCTCCTGCATCCATGAAGATACCATATCTTAACACTCCAAGACAGTCAATTTCTCCATGATGTGGACCGAACCAGCAGGAGTTGATCCGAAGGAGGTCAACGACGAAGAGCGGGCGGGTGTGGAACGCATGCAGCGTTGGATGGTCGACGGTTCAGCTTATTCCGTGGAGCATCGCACCAGACCTGCAACAATCGGGTTTGCCCTGGCCGCGAGCCCACTCTCCTTACTCGCGTGGTGAGGACGCATGCATCCTACCGCTTCGTTTCGTAAGCTGACTCTCCTCCTTGCCCACAGGGTCGGCGAAAAGTTCATCGAATGGTCCGACGAAACGCCACCCTTGGACGAGATCCTCGACGACGTCACCTTGTACTGGTTCACCGAGACATTCCCTCGCTGTATATACCCGTACAGACCGGTAAGGAAACCTACGTTCCCCCCAGTATAACCAGTAGGGTTCAAAAGACTCCACCAACCAGGACTAACAATTCATCTCCGCGGTGTCCAGGTCGACCCAGGCGTCAAGGAACTAGCACACAGCAATCCGAAATACCGTTGCAGCAAACCAGTGGGCTACTCTTGGTTTCCACGAGAACTAGGACCGATGCCCAGGGCGTGGGTGGAGAAGCAGGGCAATCTGGTTTGGTATCGGCAGCACAATGCGGTAGGTTGCACGATATCTCCTTGTCCCCCTTCCCCCATTTCAGCGGCCAACCTCGTCCTCGTCCTCGACCTTGGTATTTTGTGTTTAGGGTTGTTGTTGCTAACACAGCTCTTGAATTGTGCTTAGGGCGGTCACTTTGCTGCGTTGGAGAGGCCGAAAGTGCTGGTTCAGGACGTGGAGGATTTTGTGAAGCAGGTTTGGCCGGTCATTTGAGAGACTGATGGTGGGTGATGTGATCCATGTAGATCTTAGTGGATTTTCACGTGCAATATTGAATGCATTTCTTCCATATATGCTTCGACTACCTCGTCATTGAGGAAACCTGCAGCCTAGAGATAGAATGCTCTGCCATGTCTACGTTACTACAGGTTTCCTGATTTCCTGACCTTCTGGAGGAGTCTGAAGCCCGAGAATTGCAGGCGCTGCCATGAAATTTAAAGGTCTCTACGGATAACGAACGATTTGCGGGTCCTCTTCCGGTGAGCTATGCAACTGTGGATATGCTGATGTTCAATTATGGGCTAAGACTTGGAATTTTTCATAGTCCTCTCTTCATTGTGATTTTAGGTATAATGCTTAAGCAGCAGCTCTCGTGTTCTCCTCGTCTGAATGATTCGCTTCACCATCCAACTGCTTCCTGATGTCCTGTGGGTGCTCTGGCACTTGCCACGTCAAATAGAAGGTTGGCGGTATGCAGATGGCGAACATTACGAAAGCAATAATCAAATTCACCATTGGAGAAACCTTTGCCGCACCAATTCCGAATGTCAGACAGCTACTAACGGACTCAAATGATCGAATGATGCCCACGGAGAGAGTGAGCGTCTCCACCTCTTCGAAAAAGGTTCCCACAATCCAGTATACGAATATGTAGTGAGATTCATTCATGAAACTGTTCCGTTATTAGCTCTCTGTGGTCTTATGGCTGGGCTGCTGTTCTTACCGAAATAACACGTTCACTACAAACGCGGGACCAAACCCGGGCGAAGTCTAGTCAATGCTGACCTTGGTGGGTGAGTCCTCATATTTGTTTCATTGGCGAATTGCCAACCGAGTAACGATATCATGACAGTCGCGAAGCAGATCCGTAACCAACTTCGCCTTCATAGGATCCGGGACGCGCGTGCCATCAGAACGAATCGCCTTCCCGGGAGGCGAAATCAGTAGTGCGAGAGGAAATCCAAGATATTGAAGCCCGATTAGCACAAGATAAGTGTTATACCCGACCTTGCCCGTCTGTGCTGACCTGTGGTTCAAGGAGAGCTGGATCGATGCGCCAATGAGTTGACCGAGTTCTCTCAGAACAAGCCAGATCCCGGCTACATATTCAATCAGATGAGAGAAACTTTCAGATGTCTGACTAACTTACTGTAAATTCCTCTGTCGTTCACCGCTGGATAACCATGAGCGATTGCCCCCTTGGTAGCCCAAAGAGCCGAAGCAGCGATGCCGCAAGTTGTGGCTCCAAATAAAACAAACCACTCAGTTCCGTATCGATTATTGACGTACAATGCGGCTGAATATGGAGCATAGCCCAAAGTACCGATGATCAGCATTGGCTTGAGGCCGAATCGATATGCCAGAATAGCAAATGTTGAGCAACCGAAAACCATGATTCCAAAGGTCAGGGAATTAGCACCGTTCACAAGGTACGGCTCTTGTTGACCGCCCGCTCCAGTATCTTTGATAGTACGTTAGCATTGATGCATATCCCAAGATCGCAACCTTTGCTTACAATTCAGAGCATTCCAGGTACCGGGCTGTATGAAGGATATTAAGCCAACAATAATCACATTAAAAAGAGTGCTTCGGTACCACCTTACAAGTGTGGAGTGAGGCAATGGGGCCTGTTCTTGTGAGGCTTCGTTCGAATCTCTTGGAAATTCCGCGTCCTTCAGGTCTACAGAAACCCTTGCCGCAGAATGTCCTTGTCTACGTCCGCCATCTTGTGCTGGTGTCCACTGCGAGCGTTGTCTCTATGCCAGACAAGCACTCAAAATTTGACGGCTAGTAGACTTATAAGGACGACTGCATAGATTTCGGCTGGTCCAATGATCACAGAAACTCCAAAACTTCAACCGCTTAACCATGGTGTCATATCCGTTAAAATAAGCGAAGAATTCACATTCAACGTGGGAATCCAAATTGATAACCCTCATAGTAGGCTCCATTGAGACAAGCGGTGTTGCAATGGCTGGTTCCGTTTCTCATCCGTGCGCTTGGACAAATCCCACCATCAGCGAGAGATTTTTACTACGGTCTCGTTCTACATTGTTGAGTGAGCACGCCACTGCACCCTGTGATTTGTCCGACGGGTACTGATCGGGGTGGATAGCAGGGGATCTGTTGTATCAACAGTTGCTTGGCCAAAGCCGTAGCTAAACGAACCTGGCCATGGGTGAGCGACTGGTTCTATGGCCGTTTTACGTCGTCAAGACCGTTCCAAGAGCCTGATATAGAAACAGACAGCGAGTGTGAGTTTTCTAGAAGGCCGAATGTTGATGAGGTGGGCGCATTACGTCGATGGCGTGATTGAAAGCAAAATGTTGCAAGAAGCCTTGGGCGTATCAACATTGGGACTTGGGTATATCTGCAACAGCCACCTGATATAAGACAAAATATATGCTCTGATAAGGAAGGTGCGCATGGCAATCAATCCCACGATCGATCCTGATATTCTTTTGTCCCTCCGATATATTCTGCATTGTTCTTGCGCTGAGGTGAGGAGAATGGCTCATCAGCGGTAGAAGTTCTTAGCACCGTTACGGTGGATCACGACACAGTCTCGAGTGGACTGACCGCAGCGTCAAATGAAAATCATGCAGCATTCAACGCCACAAACCGATATATGCTGGATTCGCTCCCTCTGGAACTTGCACCAGGAGCGAAGGTAACTTTGGATCGGAAAATTTCTGCAGCTTCACGGCTTGCGGCTTGCGGCACCATTCGAGATCTCCTCACCAATCAAGGAGCGATTCACTTCAAAGCACTCGGGTTGAAAGACCCCGAGGAGTTCTCACTGTGTGCCCGATCTTTTGGATGGAGTCCACATGAAGATATCGGGATCCTGTCCGACGGACCATCCTTGCATTCAACGTTGCTGCAGCCAATGAAGGTCCCAACACGCAGCCAGTATATCCTCATAATGAGTTTGGATTGAGCCCTCACTATCCTGCTTATGTCTTCTTTTACTGCTCTTCCGCTCCCGAGGCCGGTTCGTAGACTTCCAAAATTTAAAAATCGGAGAGTGCCTGACAAAATGATCAGGTTGGGAAACCCCTATCAGCAGCTCGATAGTGTTGTACCGGAGACTTCAACAACAGATTCCCGACTTTATCAAGGCGGTGGAAGAAAAGGTAAGCGACGCCCTGGCAAGAACGCGATCGTCGGGTTGGGTTCAACCAAACTCGATTGTCAGGGAGTCCAGTATCAACTATTCTATCGTAACCGTCCGCGAACCGATATTACCTCCCCTGGAACGTCCTTGCTGCAATCTTACGGTATAAAGGTTCTTGACACCAATGACACCGAAACGGCACGCTTGAAGATCGAACGTGAGATACGTCGAATCCCAATTGCGACCTGGCAGTGGGAGACCCAGTCTCCCGAAAATCAACTAGGAGATTTGCGTGTATTCCAGCGGCTGCCTGCAGTCAGACGCCACGAGCAGACTGGCAAGCCTGCCTTCTTTAATAATGTCATTTCTAGGTATTTAAACGCCAAGAAAGCTGGGACGCTCGATCCTCCACATTTGAACGAGAATGGCGAATATCAGCCTCCCGTTTTCATAAGTCGACTTTGAACGAATCCGATGGCCTATCTTTGCTGCTGCTGACTGCTTCTCGACGTAGTATGCTGACGGTACACCAATACCACACGAATATCTTGAAGTCGCCGTTCAAATCGTGAAGTATCTTCTCATCAAAATAGTTGTATTGGATAAACTCTGATCCACTTGCAGTGAAACAAGGTCTTTGGTGGCTTGGGCCAAGGGTGATGTTGTAGGTTCCTCCTTGCCAGAAATGAGTAGTCAAAATCGGTCGGCGGTCGAGACAAAGGCTGACTATCAATTCATAGAATCATGCAGTTCAACATGGCCGAGAACCTTGGACTGGGTAAGTGTCCTCCATCTTCTTCCACAAAACCTCGGCACATGGCTAATCGATGAAACCTGCCAGTGATCGAAAATTGGTAGCGAGTCTTTGGGACGAACCGGAAGCAGTGAGCTCGAGGAGGCGGATGCCTTTAGCATAGACACATTGAATGGATCAGTGATGCACCAGCAAGATCTCCTCAAGTCCCGCCATCTTGTTCTTCTGATATCGAGAGCAGTAAGATATCAGGAAATATCTCAGCAGATCACGCCCTGTGCATCCGGCACCGCCCAGACCTCCACTTCTTCCCAGACTTCCCGATAAGGTGAGTCACATTCACTGTCCAGCCACAGGAAACTTGTGACTTTGCTTCGTGCCAGCTCCCAGGATTTTCGAGGAGACTCGTAGAGTTCACTCAAATTACCATGTGCCACGAGAGGGATGATTTCACGCGCCAAATGTTCAATGAACCAGATCCGCATGCTCATTCCCTGAGTGAGCCATGCCCCAAGAATGCCAGCCCAGAGTAGTAGGTCATGGTCCATGTAGCCGTCGCAAGATCTGAGGGAGCTCTTGCAGGATATGAGGATGTCCTTCAAGCGAACTGCGTAGGCCATCGTGACAGGCTGGACGCTGTGAAGGTTTGGTAGAAGAGTCACGATCTGGAAGACAATGGCGCAGATTCTCGAGATCTCATAGAGGACGATATCTCGTGAGTTTTCTGGTTCAGTAGTGGTGAAACTCGTTGTACCGGAATCTGGTGAGGAGATGCCAATCCACAAATTATCTAGGCTGATGAGTTCGTGCTGGTTGAGATTTCGTGCGAAGATGATCTGTTTGAGGTTGGGAGCATTTGCATCTCCTTGCTGGAAACTGTCAAAGCCAACAATGATGTCACGCATGCCTTGCAGGACATTGAGCAGATCTCTCGCCTGCGGGATTTCCATGTAGGAAAGGAATTTGAAGCCAGATATTAGATGAGGGGACCGCTGGAATGCTAGACTAGTAGGATCACTCGAAGGCCACGATTTAAGAACCGAAGCTGAGGGTATCAGAGTCGGGAAGGTAGGTTTCGACTGGAACATTATTGCTGTGTGCGTGTCAAACCTAGGGTGAAAGCGCAAGTGAGCTGAGACACCGACGACATAAGGTGGGTAGACGATCCAGGTAAGCACTTACGATGCAATGGCAAAAGCAACGCCAGGAACAGATATTTCCTGTAACCCTCCTTTCACACGGAGAACGTCCAGCAATCCTCTCATATGCGACCACTCATACTCCATGCTTGCATAGAATTGCGCATCTTGAGCTGCAGCGAGAATTCTTTTTTCCCTGTAAGTCGCCGCCGTGACCTTCTCACCGCTGCCATGTGAGGCGAGAAGGAGCATGGAGAAGATCACATCGTCCGAGCACATGGTCTCTGGGGCGCTCAATGCCCTTCTCAAGGTTTGGAGAGCTTTTCCTTTGCAAGTTAGACGCAGGACTTGGCTCTTCCGATTGTTGACGGTCTGAGCTTGGTGAAAAGCCTTGTGCGTTGCGCCAGCGAATACTAAAGTATGGAAGAGTAAGGGAGAATCCATGGCTAAGTTCATGACGGCTTGTTTTACCGCATTTAGAGAGCTAGGCTTGTTATCTGGCGCGAAAAGGGTCCATTGGCATGATATTGCTGTTGACTAGTGTCAGCAACTCTAGACTCCGGTGACTGGAAACACCTGTATTAGGAGATTGTTGGCGCCGGCCAATTACTAGGTAGACTTCCCAGAAAGCGTTCGCAAAATGCTTACCATGATCAAGCATCTCATGCACCATCAACGGCTGGTTGCTAGCGCAGTAGACATCAAAAGGATCGAGCCTGCCAGCTCCAAGAGAGCTTGTCGGGTTTGCATTAAGCTGCGCTTCCTCTAATTCGTCACCTTGGACTTTCCATTCAATAAAGCGTCCTCCATATTCTGCATGGCTTTGGACCCCGCCGCGGCTGCCTCTTTGAGTAGGTTTCAAATGTTGCTTTGCCAACTTTGCTTTGCGGTGATGTTCACGCGCGGCGTGTTTCTGATGCGATATCTTAGACCCTGCTTGGGACGCCTCTGACGCGGCATCCGAGGCGGGTTTGTAAGGCAAGAAAAGTAGGCGCATCACTGTTGACCCGAAAGTTCATACTGTCACCGTATGGCGAAGGTACCAAAGAGCAAGAAAGTGGCTGCTGATCGCTAAGTTTGCCCTCGACCGAAGGTTTGTGGAGGCAAGGGTACAATCGCTCCCACCTTCAGCCTCTCTTGTTCGCGTACCCCGCCAAAGCTGAAGGTGGGGTTTGGTCCTTTTGGCAACAGTTCAAATTTCTCGATGAGCCTATGCAAACATTAGCCAATCTCGAGGGTGAGGTGCAGCCGGAGATCTTATTCGAAGCTCTCCACAGAAATGATATGCAATTGTTCCTAGTCTCGATAATCCAGGAGGCTGAGGTCACAGGCCTGACTCTCTACTGGTTCAGAGAAAGTTCCAGATCATGGGCTCCGATGTGTTCACACTTTATCGTAGTGGATGGCAGATAGCTTGGCCTACCAAGTGACCTGGTTATTGGTGGACTCGATGTGTTTCGATTCGATTTATTATCCCTGGACCGCTGATAAAAGTCAGGCTAGCCTTTCGGTAAATGATCGAGTCTTGGAGAGCAAGGTGCCTAGCCAAAGAATGGCGGTGCGTCATTGCACTTCAGTATAACGTTGCGATAGATGGGACATAGCGAAAGTCCCTGAGAGTTATATCGAAGCCATGTCGAGAAGGCTCAGGCTTCCACGTGCATTGGGGCACATGTCGAGCATTCCGAATCTAAGTCGGAGCCGTTTTATAGGAGTGTCCCCGGCATGAGCTAACTCTTTCTCGTCACGATCCGTTCATATCGGAGTGAGCCGCTTCCCTAAGTAGGGGGAATTTGGAAATTCACACACGGCGATTGATACTTCTGGGGAAAAGGCAATACTTTCCCCCGTCCAGGTCTTGAATCTGATCACTCAAGGCCTCCATACTTCCACGTTCTCTTAAACTCTTCAACGACCTCTCTGCTCTCAACAAGGATGCCTAATTCTTGACTCGTCTTCCAACTTGCAGCGTCCATATTACAACTTCCGAGCAAGATTTTCTCCCCATCGATGATGGTTACCTTTGAATGCAGCTTGATTGGAGTGATATCTTTCGCATTTTCCCCACCTTCCCACGCCCCGGGACCATCGTCAAAGAATACTGTTTGTAAGGACCCTCTGAGTGCTTTGGATCGTTTCGCCAAAATCCGAAGACACCTCGGAGTAGTCGTACCGGCTGTCACTATCTGCTCCATTGTCATGAGTTTGCGATTCGTCCAGATGTGGACATCAACACCTCGCTCCAATGCTTGAATTAGATCCTCTATGACAACGGGTTCCGTCAAGTTAGGGGTGAGCATAACTATCGAGGACTTTGCTGTGAACAAGAGATGATGGGTCGTGTTCAACAAAGGGGTCGAAGGGAAGGTATGAGATATGCCAGGGAAACAAGGTAAGTGGCCTAAGATTGAAGCTGGCTGAAGATGATTGGGCAGTAAGGTCGACATATGCGGTGAAGGAAGTAGAGTCATGCTATGTCGGGCGTGATCGAAAACTGCCGTCTCAGCCAGTCCGTCCACCACCGGAATTTGAGCGATCAAAGAACTGATCTCATTTCTGGCTTCCGAGGGATGTATTGGGGCAAGGGGGTTGCCATTGTCCCAGAATTCAGTGTGGAAAGCTAGCAGGTGTCCAACAACAGGACCTTGGAGGGAAATGGCTACCTCGAACCACCGTTCCCATGAGACGTTGCACGAGGGGAATATTGCAATCTCGCGATCTACAATGACATATTTGGAATGAATTATGCCAAAAGGCCAGAAAAACTTGCGGGTGATGGTCATGTTCAACCCAGCAAGTTCGTCTGGTTGGGGCAATCCAAGTTTATCCCACGTAGGTGGGGGATAGTTCTGACCCCTCTTAGGAGTCGGCAGTAGCAGGTTCCGCGGGAGTGAAGAGGAAGAAAAGCATATCCGAACAGATATCGTTGATGACGAAGCTGTGGCTTTCTCCGATAGGTGCCGAAGAGCGTCGTTGATAGCAGAAAGTGTTGCAGAATCGGCCCAAAAGCAGGTCACCAGAATAACCTCTTGTTGGGCGGCTTTCATGGCAGGAATGATGCTGTTCTGATATATACTGAATCCGGTGCCAGTAGCCAAGGATATGGGACTGCTGGTCGAACGCAGCCCTACAGAGATATCCTTGATATGGTCTAGATCAAAACTTCGACCGTCTTCCAAGCTGTCCCTGGTTCGACCGTTGATAAGCTGTCTTGTACTTGACTGATCCATGCCGGTGCCGCAGGACCTAGCGAGGAGAACTTTCAGTCACTGCCCCAGAGGCTTCTTTCGTTGACTTCAATGCGAACTCTTAGACGAAACAGGTGGAAGGTGTTCTATGGTGAAATTGGGTCTTTCAAAGCACAGCAGTCTGTGAGAACAGGGCTGATACGGAGGAGCATATTACGCGTCAAAGCTGCCACGCGTTTGCCAATCCTCAGCCTTGCCTGTCGCAAGGCTGAGAGTCATGATCATGATGAATCATATCTGAAATTGCATGAATTTAAATTATTTAGGCTTCTCATACATGTGATGCAAGTGGCACGGTGTCATATTCTCAAGGAGGTAAAACATCCACTTAAACCGACTACTGGTATGGGTATGATACATCGCCTGTCCTCGGTCCTTGATAACTCCTCAACCTGTCGCGTCCCTGATAATAATCGCTTTCATTTGCCCTTTGTCTCTGGTGCAGTCGCCTAGCATTCTCATCTCGCTCGGCCTGCGTTTGTCGACTTACCCGCGCTTCACTTCTCGGTAGCCTCTCGCGTTCTGTAGTCCCATGAATGTACATTCTTGCCCTTTCCATATTGGTTCTGTTCACATCAGCAATTTCAGCAACTGGTGCTTTCGAGAATTTGCCTGGAACCTCTCCGACGGCATCGGTAAAAATAAGGGGACCTCCTCTGTCGTCTTCGTAGTAGTAGTGAGTTGAAACATCATGCGGATCCACGAAAATACGACCACCACCACCATGTCGCGATGCTTTTCTCCGGAGATCACGCATCTCACCTTCAAGCCAGGTCAACTTCCAGCGATCAAAGTCATCCATTGTCGTTGTCATTCTTTCCGAGAACATCTCCGGGTTGTCCACTGGGGCGTATGGATCTTGCCTTCGTTCATAGACAGAATTTCTGTTCCTATGAGAATCCATCGGATTGGCAGCAGATCTTCTTGGTTCGGGCTCGTAATATCCCTCTTGATCATGGAGTCTGGTAGAGTCGAACACGTCGTGGAACACAGGAGGCGCAGGCGCCTTGGGCCAATCTTGGACCTGATTATGCTCTCCATCTTCATCCAAGCCAATGTCGACATGGAGTGGTCTCTCATCGAAGTGTGCTGGACGGGGTGCAATGCCGGGGGGTTGCGGTGGAGCCCTTTGGGCTCTCAGCCCGCGGGCACCATCCACTCTCTCAGCTTTGCCAAGACGCTCATAAGTGATCTCTTGATCCTCATCCTCATATCTGTGCAATTGCGGTTGTTCGTGGGTATGATGATGCCGTTCAATGCGCGGCGACGAAGGCAAGACATCACCTTGTGGCATGTAAGTCCTAACACGTTGAAGCGCACCAGATTCCTTCCGTCTCTCATCGTCCGCCAAGTCCTGTAGATATTTCTCATATATGTTCCTATGCGGCGGGACCCTTTTGTCTTTGGCGACTCGAGTGGTTGGCCTGCCTCCGGGACGTTCGTCAGGTCCCCGCTGTCGATTCACCGACGGAGGGCGCGTCGATCGTTGTTCATGTGCGCTATTCCATGGTACGGCAGCTATCGGGGGCAGGATAACCTCATCTACTGGCTCCCTTTCAAGGTTTATCGTTGACTCGGCATCACCAGCTTCTCGCATCTGCTGTTTCAGGGATTCCTTCTCTCGGTGTTTGTTGACCACTCTAGCGCAAACCTCTTGGGAGACTTTAGCTTCAGCCAGGATGTCTCTGATCCGATTTTCGAATTTGTGGTTATGCTCTGTGATCAAAAGCTTCACAGCGGTATCGGACACATCGGGCACGAACTCTTCGTGAGAAACAACACTTCTTTCTTTGGGTTGTCCATGACCTGAGATGCCATAAAATGCGTTGCCATATTCTATCTGTCTCTGTTGGGCCTGTTCCTGGGGCTTGTCACGGTCGTCCCTCTTCTTCTGTGAACTGATGCTCTTCCTGGGCTTTTTGCGTGACTTTAGAGGTGGTATAGGAGTTGTCCTATCACTCTGTGAGTCATCCTCCGGCTCCATATATTGTCGAGGGATTGAGTGATCTCCAACGTGCTGATGCTGGGAGCTCGACCGGACCGAAGAATTGTACTCAGAGACATTGAAGGAACTTGACTCTACGCTCGATTTCTCTGAGAAAGACATCGTTGCACGCACCCACAGATTGCTGCCCAAGGAAGGGTTGTCAACTTGTTGTGCTCAGAAGCAGGTCAGATGGGTTGTAACCAGCTAGAGGTGGGTTGTGCAACTTGGCAAATTGCCCCTCCAGCCTCAGGCGACGATGCTCGCTTAGCGAATCCTTACAGATGGACGACATTCAGAAATTGCCCCTTCAATACACGCCCAATCAACCCTGCGTATCAAGCTGCCAACGTAGCCTCACTTAAGTGACAGGCTTTCAGCACACTTTGGGCAGGATTTTCTTTCATATGGACGCGCATCTATCACACTCCGCCCGAATTTGATTTAACAATCTCAGCGCCGCCCTGCACTACTCCAGCCATATTCCTTCATAGTGAGGCATATTATAACTTATTACCACTCCTCTCGCAATCATTAAGCATACACCAAATGACTACTCGCTCGATCATATACGAGCCTCTTTTGTTTGAGCTTAGGGCCTCTATCCGGTAAGATATCTTCATCCTGTCGTTCCACCTCCGCGCCTCCGAGAGCAGCAAAAGAAGAAGCCTTTCGTTGAGTTGTTGCCTCGAGTTGGCGTGAAGAAACCTCTGTCCCTTTCTCCATTGCCCTCTCATTCAACTGTGACCCTCTATCGTGAATATTAGGTTCATCGCGAGCCCTACCCAGCGAGGGACGGGTTTTCGCCTCGGTTCCCCGTCTCATAACTGTACGCTTTGGCAATGCAAGTGAGGATTGTCGGATCTCTTCTTCCTTCTCAGAATGAGCCTTCATGATGTCTCGAGCCAGTTGAACATCGCAACCAGCCTCCATTAGGAGGTCTCGAAGAGAGGCTTCAAATTGATGATCCAAGTTCCTGCTGGCTATAGCGACTGCCACTGTTGTGGGATCGACCGGTTCCTCTGGCACTTTAATGGGTTCTGCGGTACGAGGCTGGTTGGGAGCATCGCTTCCTCCAACATGACCTGCATGCGTACCCTGCTCGCTACTGCCCATGTGATCTTGCTTCCTGCTGCTCTGTTGGTGCTTATGCCCTGGAGATACACTAGTATCGTCTTTTTCCTGATCTAGGTTTGGCGTTTCCACAAGTAGATAAATGTTTTGATCTGAGAGCAGCTGGTCTTGGACAACCCCGGATAGGTCCGCTGAAGTAATTTCGCGGATTTTGAAAGATTTGCCGTCAATGAGCACACTGCTGCGCACAGCTTTCGTTTGCCCAGATGACAAATGGGGAGGCCTGCCACGTTTTTCAGACTCAGGGTCCGTCGTTAAGCTGTCCTCCTTATGCAAATGATCATCTCTCGCAAGGGTGTCTCCATTTTCTACGTGCGAACCAACAATCTCCAGCCTTTCCACGTCCGAACTCTCATCGTCTGTCTCGGTACTATCGTTATGCTCGCCGGAAAAATTGGCCATTGAGATATTCCAGGCATCATGCAGCGGTAGTTCGGGAAGATGTGTTAAACTCAAAAAGTCCTGGATATCGTCCATGATGCCGGATAGCGGAATGCAGACTGTTTCATCTGACTGTGAATTTGTCGCAACAATCATTGCATATGCTCGACCACGCTGATCAATCACCCACGATCCACAGTCTCCGGGTAGGCTATTTCCTCGTAAACACCATGTCAGTTGGATTTTCTGACTTTGGGGGAGCAGAATTGCTGAAGCATTTGGTTCAAAGGATGTAGTATGACACCCAGAGACTCCTGAAATGGCAATGACATGGCTCCCAGGAAGCGTGTCTTTGAATTTGCGGATAGTTATTCGAGGGAGAAACTCAGATGATACCGAGTTGCTGGTCTGGAAGACTTCATTGGTAATTGGAATAAGTGCCCAGTCTTTCTCACGGTTGCAGATAATTGATGCTATTGGATTGCTGTTACCGCCTTCGAAAAGATTTTGTTCATTTACGACTCTCGACCGGCCAGTGAAAGGCCCAATACATGGTTGGTGGCCTTCATCTAGGGCCACAGCGTATCCTGCCACACTCTGAGAAAGATACCGTGGGCTTGAACCGCCTTCTCGCAGACTGGAAATGCTAGGTGACGGGGCATGGGTTGCGTCAGGTTGGAAGACATGAGCAACTGTGACAGCGTAGTAGCGCCCGTCAACGCGAATAACACCACCAATAGTAGCATGATTATCTTTCAAAACGCGGTTGTCATCCAAAGCAGAATCAGCAGTGACGACTGAAATCCGGACGTGCGCACCGCAGAGGTTGAACTTCCTGCCTTCACTCTGGGTCACGCTCTTGTGCCGCTCGAAACGTTCACATTCTGGCGGTTCTTCATCCCCACACAGGGATACCGTAGATTTGGCATAGGAGAGCTTGAAACCTCCGAGCAGAGACCGTAATGATCCATCTTTCAACTTTTGGAAGTACCTGGCGGCGTTCTTTGCAACGTATTCATTCCCGGCTTTCGCGATAATTGTCGGTTGGAGAATTTGAAGATCCGGGTGCTTTCCAATCAGATAGCAAGACCACGTGATAGTCACTGACACATCTTTCAAGCCTTTGAATATGATCGCGCGTACATTGTCATAGCCCGCGATTTCGATGATCTTAGGGAGAATCTGACCGTTCCAGCCCTTTTGCAGAGGACCCTGAACAGCCCAGGCTTTTTTGGATCCGAAATTCAAGGCCGGCTTGGAACGCGGATCAAAGCATGCTGCCTGGTCGTTAGGAGCAAGATTGCCCCAGAACGAGCTCATTATTGGGTTAACAGACGAAGCTTAATCGATTCTTGGTTGCGGGATCATCCCTAACTTTCCGATTGTTTTCACCTGGTATTGGGCGTCATTGCAGAGAATTGTAAGATCCTCCAGGTTGTACAGATCAATGCTTCCAACCCACACTCGATCGGTTTGGTATCGGAATTGCTGCGATGAAGAAATGTTTTGCTTTCGTATTTGCTGAGGCTGAGGCTGAGAAATTCGCTAGCAGCGGGCTGGGACGGTCCCTACCCCTCCCAGTTGCCAGGCATGCAGGGATCTTTACAAGCCTAGCTTCGATAATGGTGTGCATGATACCCTGCCACAGCCTATCATTCAACTTGCACCACATCGTGGTACAGCTTTGGTTGCCCTTTAATTGCTGTCGGCCTGGCCAAATCCTCTCGTCTTTACGTGATGCCCAGCATGCAATCTTGACAACTTCTCACTCACTAGGACAAGTGACCTCGTTCAACATCAGACTTCCACCAAATGAAGCGCCATGTACCGGCCTCGAACAAAACGCTTCCATTCTCGATCTCATCGTGGACGATTTAATTGTCCGAGTGATGTTGATCAAGAAGTATGTGCAGAAGTGATGCAAGGTGTTTGGACGCTTAAATGGGATCCATCAACCATGAAGGATTCAGAAGCACCTCCCCAGCCTTACATTGACCTATGGAAAAATTGCATCGAAGCAGCTGGCGATGGAACATTGTGCCTTCATAATCGGTTTGTGGCGGTTCATCTGGTGAATATAGTCCGACACAACGCACATGAGAGGATCGACGAGATTCGAGACTGTATTGCGACCAAATATCCTGATCGTGGCTCGACAAAAGACTTCACGTCCAATACCATCAATCAAGATCAAGCAACCATAGCCCTCGCATTTGCAATCAAGATGTGGCTCCACCTTCCTTTCACATTCGACTTTAAAACGCCGCAAACCCTGGCCGAATGGACCAAGGGACAAGTGCCACCCAAGACCCCCAAGGATCAAATAATTCCGGGAACTCTATCCAGCGACTTCTGTATTTCTCACTTCAAGAGAAAGGGCGGCATGACCGTGATTTGGGAAGACGATATTACTCAACATCTGAAAGTTGATAAAGACAAAGGCATCCATGTCTTCCGCCATTCTGCAATGCTCACTGCAATGGAGCGTTCTCCTGACCCGTAAGCATAAACTCCTTTTAAAAATCGTGCAAGTTGCTCACAGGTCCAGAAATCCATTCCCTGAAGGCTTCATTGAGGAAACGCTTCACACTTTATATCTCCTCTTCCGTCCCCTAGAACCGCACAAAACACGGAGAAACGTCCGCATGATGGAGAAGAATCCACATATTGATCTTGAGTTAGCAATGGCAAAGCAAGCTTCTTTTGACCTCAACAACTATAGGTACTGGCATGCAAGGCTTGCCAAAATCCAGACTGCCTACGACAGAACTTCCCCCAAAAGCCTGCAACAATGGTGGTTTGATCGGAGAGATCGCGTGCAATGGGCTACATTCTGGACAGCATTTGTTGTCTTCATTCTGACAGTTATATTTGGTATTATCAGCAGTGTAACCGGTATTCTGCAAGTAATCGCGGCCTCAGAATAGGCCCCAGGGAATATCCCCTTCGCTAGGGGAATTGGAATAGTTCTCTGGGTAGATAATAAAAGTAAGAATGGGTAAACTTGTTCAAGCAAACGAACACTATATAGTAGTGCTTAGTTAGACTGGAACTCGATTCTTCCATCTATCGTAGAAAATACCACATACGCAGTGATGATTCAACTAAACTGCGGGTTTATTTTGTATGCCTCGAAATCATGACGCGTACTGTACCGGTGCTTGACCGAAGTCTTGGCATAAATATTGCTTCCTTGGCGCATGTAAATTGTTCGATCATGATCCTCTACTCAAGGGGATCTGGTCTACGAAATTGGAAACAAGACCATGGACCCAAGCATTGAGGAATTTAAGCGACGACAAGACCCTGTCAGGGTACCCAGAGGGTAGGAGTTCACCGGATTCAATGATGGTGACAGCGCTGACCTGCCCAGGACCGCTTCCCAACCAGTGCCTCGACCTGGTCCAGTCAAGTTCTACCTGCCTTTAAATATTGTGTTTTATCTGTGCCTCGTTTCTCATGCTATAGCAGCTCTTTATGCTCCTATACAGGATTGTGATGAAACCTTCAATTACTGGGAGCCCTTGCACTATTTGAACCACGGCTATGGCTTGCAGACCTGGGAGTACTCACCAAAATTCAGTATCCGAAGCTGGGCTTATATCTCTATACATGCCTTGCCCGCCAAAACCATCGGAATTTTCAGTCGGTCTAAAGCTTCAGAGTTCTACGGCCTGCGACTGATTCTCGCTCTTGTCTGTGCTGCCACGGAAACGAGACTATATTCAGCCATATCCAGGGCTCTAAACCCTAGGGTTGGCATCATATATCTCTTCATCGTTGCTTTCAGCCCCGGATTCTTCTATGCATCTACTGCTTTCCTGCCATCGAGTTTCGCCATGTACACATCTGCACTAGGGTTGACTTCCTTCATGGACTGGCATGGTGGATCGAAGACTGCTATTGGAATTATGTGGTTTGGAATTGGTGCGTTATTGGGGTGGCCTTTTGCTGGCGCTCTTATCCTGCCATTTGTCATGGAGGAATGGTTGATAGCTGTGGTTGGCCAGGCGGACCTGTTCGACACATTCAGGAGATATCTGGACGGCGTCGTACGCTGTCTGATAGTGCTTGCTATACAGGTTGGTATTGATGCATTCTTTTTCCACAAGATCGTGATTGTACCATGGCGCATCGTGGCATACAACGTGTTCGGAGGAAGCGACCGAGGACCGGATATCTTTGGCACCGAACCGTGGCATTTCTACATGCGCAATCTGCTCCTAAATTTCAACATGTGGTTCATTTTAGCAGTGGCCTCCGGACCATTCTTCATATTCCAAGCGGTCATCTTGAGACAGCATACGATCAAACCCACCCTGCTTCGTACCCTCACCTTTCTAACACCGTTCTATCTCTGGCTGACGGTCTTCACCCTTCAGTCACACAAAGAGGAGAGATTTATGTATCCAGCATATCCCTTCCTGGCACTAAACGCCGCAATTGGTTTCCATTCATTCCTGACATGGTTCGGCTCAAAGGACTCAGTTATATTTGGCAAGATCCCTGCACGTCTCAAACTGGCAGCCATCTTGCCACTGGTTTTGCTCTCACTCAACATTGGGCTCTTCCGCATCTTGGGGACAGTCACAGCATATCGCGCTCCTTTAGAGGTTTATTCTGGTCTCAACTCGCCGAATTTGTTGCAGACTGGAGATAATGTCTGCTTCGGAAAAGACTGGTACCGCTTCCCATCGTCGCACCTCCTGCCTAACGGTACACACGCAAAATTCGTCAAGAGCGAGTTTGACGGGCTCCTTCCCGGCGAGTATCACGAAGGCAAGACTGGATTTGGGTTTTTTCCTGGAACATGGCTAATTCCTCCCGGTATGAACGATCTCAATCAAGAAGATCCTGGAAAGTACATCCAAGTCGAACACTGCACCTATCTTGTTGATACTTATATGCCTGGAATGAAGCCGACCAATTATGAACCTTTATATACCCAAGAAACAGGGTGGGAAAGAGTTACTTGTTACCCGTTTCTAGATACGGCCAAGACTTCACTGATTGCGCGGATCATTTGGATTCCTGATCTGCCTATCATCCCTCCTCACTATCGTCGGCACTGGGGCGAGCATTGTTTGCTCAAACGAAGAGGCTCCAGGCATCCGGATATTGTTTGAACGATGATGGTTTCAAAGCTGGTAGAACGGTACAATGAGGGTATGACGCCAAAGATAATCGTCCTGCCAGGATTTTGGAGACAGCGCTTGCTCGCGGTGGGATTCCCCTCCACCCTCGCGGTAGGATACCCCTCCAACAGCGCACAGCAAAAAGTGCGGAGAAAAGCAGCGCTCGATCCCCGATCCGGTTATCAGATCCAGATTTCAACACCATACAATTGGTTGACGTCAACAACCTTTCTCTCTGTGGAAACGATAAGGAGATCAAGGGTAGCAGGTTGACAGTGATAAGCAAATCAGCTCGCCAGTCAAGATGTGGTGTACCTGCACTTGTTACCATGAACGGCACGTGTCGGCGACATTGGATTGGTTAACAAAGTCGACGGACCCAACACTGTAGAACACATGAGATCAAATCCTATATATCCTCAAATGCTCAAGCTGTCATCTTAACATTCTCATTGGCATGTCTTCCTGGTCGCACAGCACCCATTCTCATACCCGCCCACACCCTTCATGATCCATAAAACTCGTCTACCATGAACGCCGGTACAATTAAACGGTCCGTGTTGGAGCTGGTTGAGCGATCGCAACCGTACATTGATGAAGCGAATCAGCAGCTACAGAAGTCAAAGATACATTGTGCCTCAGCGTTCAAAAGTGCTCAAAGGGACATCCAAAGACTGTCCCAGCAGCCATACTTCAGGGAGACCAGTTATGCATTGCTCCTCTTCGTCTTTGCCATCCTCGCAGTGTCCAAATATTTACCACGCCGACACCAGCGTGCGCTCTCAGAACGACCATCCACTCCAACTGTCGAAAAGGCACCTTACGTCAAACGAGACGCTATAAGCAGGGAACCAGGAACATGGCCACCATCGTCCTTTCGACGACCCACACCGCCGCCCTATCCAGACTGGTCGATCGAAAGTACGAAGCCACTCCCATACCGACCGTTTCGGTACAAGTATTTCCAGACCATGGGCCTTCGCAGCGTGAAATACGACGACTGGATCGAACTCGACAACCACTATCCACGATTCCACGCGGACAAATCACGACGAATCATCGAGCGCGGCCCCAAATGCTGCAGGACATCACCAGAAGCATACCCCGCCGCAGTCGAACTCCTCGAGGAACTGAGCGAATACCTCTGCGACCGTTATCCAACACTCTACCAACGCACCGACAAAGGCGTCAAAAACCTCTGGTCCGGCGAAGAACTCGATACGACCTCGCGGCCCCTCCCGGAAGACCCGATGCAGACATGCGCGCGCCTGACGCAAGACGACCTCGCCATCATGATCGAAAAGCCCGACGGGCAATACTACCTCCTTGCGGGCGCGATCCTCCTCGCCGGGTTCTGGCGCCTGGAGGACAAAATCGGGATGCCGCTCTCGGAAATCCACACGTCGGGTGACGTGCCGCAGTTCCGCGAAAAGCTCGAAAAGGGCATGATGAACTTCTTCCGGCGCCTGAAGCCCGAAGAGCTCGTCGCGCGCAACAACTACTTCCTGCAGGTTGACGAAGACCTGGCGTGGAGCCACAGCATCGGCAGCGAGGACTCGGACGGCATTTCCTGGAACACGGCGGAGCAGGACCGCGCCATCGAGCACCATTATTTCCGGTCTGAGAGGCAGACGCTGCGCAGGCTGCCGAAGAGCGGAGGTGTGGTGTTTACGATACGGACGTATTTCCATCCCGTGACGGACATCGCGGAGGAGGATTACGTTCCGGGACGGCTGGCCAGTGCCGTGAGGAGTTGGGGCGACGATGTCAGTCGCTATAAGGGCAAGGAGAAGTATCAGAATGTGCTGTTGGCTTATCTCGATAAGAAGCACCAGGAGCAGTTGGATCGTGGGTTGAAGGTCGAGATGGAGGAGGAGGTTAGGACTTATCCTTGGTAGTTAGTTGGTTCATTTGCGCCCAGAGGGAGGGGGTGGAGAGAGAGGGAGCGAGCGAGCGACAGGGATCGCCTCATGAAGTGAGGAATGGCAAGGTTTAGAGCAGGACGAACCCATATGATAGCATGAAATGCCGAAATGCTTAAAATGAGAATGTGTGCCATCTTTCATGTTGTTGCTATTGATCGTATACACCTATATTGATTACAAAACGCTGGTAGGTCATAGCTAGGCTAGACATGACTCCTCGTCACCTCACGGCCTACCACTCCACCATCAACACCCTCCGCTCTCACGCGTCTCCTCTCCAAGCTCTCGTTGAGGGCGCGTTGGTCCTGCTCCTTGATCCAATCACAGCCATCCCGAAACTCGCAGACGCTGCATTTCCACGCGTCTGAGAGCACCACGCCCTTGGGCTCCCGCTCGCCGCGCCAGAACGCCAGCGAGTCGTACAAGTAGCTTCTGAGGAATGACGGGTTGAAGATGATGCTCTTGGAGCCGAGGAGACGGGGCCGGAATGGGTCCGAGTTGGATTTGAGCTTTGAAGAGAGGTATTTAGCCGTAAGCAGTGGGGATAGGAGGGTTGGGAGAGTCATTTGAGATGGAAATTCAAGCGACGAGATCGATTGAGGTCTCGAACTTGGCGATTCATGTCCGGTTTGTGATGTCGATTGGGTTTGGGACATGGTAACCGAGATCGCATCGGTGGAGGAGGCAGGCGATCGGACCATGAACGTCTCCTGAAACTGGTTGAGCATATACTGCCAGAGACTCGATATATTGTTGTGCTGGAGAATGATCTCGAATGAGTCTTGCGTTGAAGGGACAAAGTCATCCTCGTCGAAATCAACTTCCATGCCATCCTCTCTGGAGGAGTTCACGCAGTCAAAGGCTTCCTGGTTGAGGTTTGCTATCTGTGCGATGAATGAGTCAGAGAAAGGTTCGCCTACGTCGAATTTGAACCGCGTTGCCAAATGCTCGAGCGGGAAGTTTCCTTGGGCGAAGTTCTCCAGTAGATGGTGGTACAGGTGTAATTGGACGATCGTAGGTCGAAGACTCGAACCGGTGGGCAAAGACGAAACCCCTCGGGTCTTTACGTCGGTGATGTAGATACGTTTGTCACGTTTCGAATTGCTTGACACTGGTTGTTGCTGGCTGTTACTGCCGGACAGAGCATCAGCGATTGTTTGACTCTGTTCCCGATGCTCGCTAGAGACAAGATATTCCCTTATGCTTGTCTGATATTCGGGAATCGGAGGCTCACTGTCCTGCTTTCCCATCGATCTGAGACTCTGTTCTTCGAGCTTTGGATCGGGGCAATCGTAGCTCAACTCGTCAATCACACCATTGACCAGTTCGCCACCGACTGTTCCCCAAACTTCGAATTCTCGAGTTCTGCCAGTCTCCCTCAGAGTCCTCAAGCCCTGGATTATGTTCCACACCTTCAGGCCCCAGTTATCTTCTCGTTTTGTGATTTTGACAGGGACAGTCACATGTACTTCTTCTTGCAGGACCTTGTGGACCGTAGTTCCTTGTTTCATGGCCGAGGTCGGTTTCTTGCGACCTGTTTTGCTACTGAGAATATAATAGTATTGCAACTCACACCAGGCAGGAGATGTGAGATCTGTGACAGAGATGGGTTTCTTAGGGGGTCTTCGAAATCGTTCGAGAGGAGACCTTGTATTGTTCTGCGGCGTTGTAGGCTCTGCTGGCTCTGCTTTCGCGTCCGCCAGATGAGGTGACTCTCCACTGGATTCCGATATCTCGGTTTCCTTGTCTTGACTTTCACTCCTCGCCACAGCTAGTCGCTAGTCAGCCAAATCAAGTCAGCCAAAATGACGCGCGTGAAAAAGAGAAAGGATATTGAAAGTTTGACTTACCACTCTCGTCGCATATGATCTGGACCAGGCTTGACTGAAGCTGTCGATTCTCGGTCTGGGCTGCGTGATTCCAAGGTTGTGTAGACTGCAGATTAAACATCTCAGACAGATGAACAGCCTGTGGTGCTTCATAGTCTTCGATATCTATGACTGTCGCTGGCGCTGGCGCAGTTTGAATCGCAGACTGCTGGGTCTTCTCTGCCGCCTCTTGCAAAAGCCGCTCGATCACTGCTAGCTCTTCAGGATCTGCGCCAAAGTCACTGAACTCGTCATCGTCGTAGCCCAGATGTGTCGTGTCCCCTGCTGGTGTGGGAACTACTTGCATCTGTATTGTGTAATGTGTGGGTGATCCAGGAGGACTGCTAGGTGATATGGTCATGTTTGGGAATGCAAGTTAGCTGGGTGGCGATGGTAACAAGCGTCATTGAACCATGAAATTGACACGAGGATCCTCATTTCCAACGGGTACAACTCTGATTAGGAAAGTGATTGGAAAGTGATATCTCCGCGTAGTGAGATGTACACATGTATCTATCTCCCATTGTGCCTGCGGTGGGAGTTTACGTTCTGGCAGTGTTGATAGGTCTTGATTCTTGACTCTCGAGGGGGAGCTTCTGCCTGGCCAACTCGTCGCGTCCTTGCCCGAACGCGTCGCGGGGCTGTGGCCCTCATGGTCACACTCTCACACACTCGCCCATCGCGTTGCACTCTTTGCCTCAGAGTGGATTGCGACCCAAGGGATGGGTTCTTGGTCTTGAATTTTGATTCAGTTCTATATCTAGTGGTCATTCTATCTCTATGTTCACAGCTATGCAAGAGGTTCTTCAATGCCCTCCCGTTGACAAACCAGGGGATTTTTACCAACACACTCTCTTCAAATGGCGAAGGAAAATAGTGCTGTATAGCCTTCCACACAATCGATGATGAAGATGATATTCCTGCTCCTCCTGTCATCCTCTGATTGATCTATTCAGCACAGGCATGAGCCTTTCTCTTTTCCTTTTCACTTAACGACTACCCCCCTTCAGGTATAACCGGATGACTCAACGAGTCTGTTGACTCCTCAATCTTCTCTTCCTTCCTATTCAAGAAGCTGAGGTAGCACTGCCAGGCAACAGCAAAAATCCCCGAGAACATGAATCGATATTGGGCGGGGATGACCCAGAAGCTGAACGCTGTGACAGCAGGCCACAACTTGAGCGAATTGACTATACTGATGGGCACGGTGCCTCTGATCCTTGTGAGTGTACCCATAGGCCCTTCGCCCGTGAGGACAGCCTGCATGCCGAAGAAGTAAGTGTTGAACACGGGCGTGAAGACGGCTTGGTTGACTGCGACTTTGGTCGCAATTGAGGCTGCTTTGGACGTGAAATTGAAGTTGCGGCCGAGGAAGAGGAACCTGATCTCTGGTCAATCATGCTGTCGGTTCACAGGTACAGTTTCCATCCTCGAAAAGAGGAGTTGATCTCCGCTCCTTCTTCGCGCAAGGACTGGAAAGTTATAACACGTACCATTTATAGCCTGGCACAGCAGCGATGGCTCCAATAGTCAGCATCCTGAGCGTGCGGTTGGGATCATAGAGCTCTCCCCCAATGTCCTGCGCAAGTAGATCGCCACACAAGTATGTCGTCAGCGTCGTGCACAGCTGCACCGTATACGGTCTCTTCAACTGCATGCGGTGGAACCAACTGAAGAACGTCGACACGGGACCCAGCCGATGGTACCATAGTTGAATTGGTATGTCCACCGGCTGTTCCTTTCCACTAGCCTCCTCAACGTTCTGTGGTTTCGTGTTCGTGTTGTGAAGGGGGTTCTTCGATCCTGCGTTCTTGTTCTTCGATGGTGGTGAGTCACCTGCGTACCTTTTACTGCTGCGCAGCGCCGGTTTCCGGTTTCGGGGCACGTGTAGGAAGAAGGGCGATTGGGCACCACCACCGCCACCAACCCCAAACTTGAACGATGCCCGCTGTAGAGCATTCATGTCAGATAGAATACCATCATGGTGTCGTTAGTAGGAGTAAGCCTTTGATGCCTTCTTCCACTGCAAGCAAGCCAAGTGTCAGTCTGCGAAGAGGAGAAGTGCGAAAAACTTTCCTTACCTAGGTACTTCGTTAGGCTTGTCCCCTCAACGACAGGGTGCCCTTATTGGTGCCATTTGGCAAAATTCCGAGGGGTTTTTCGGGTGAGGGGCGGCATGTCAGGCTCGAAAGGCAATTATAGGCTCCGGTCTGATGCCCGATGACGAATTTCGGGGCTGCCCCATCCCCAAGAATCCTTGTCTTAGGCATTGACTTGCCCTTCTCGTGCAGAGGCTTGCCCCTAACGCAGGCACAGATCTTACCTGCTGTCGCCCCTGAACCGTTGCATCCATCTCTACCCCAAGTACGATTTGGCATTACCTATTGTACGAGTCAAGCACAAAAGCAGGACACAATATGCACAGATAATTCTGATGTTTGGACGTGATCATATTCGACGTCTAGCTGCCCGAGGCGCTTGTCTGCTCAGTCCACGTCATATCTGTATGACTGGATTATTTGATGATTTACAAGCAGAAACGCCGAAGTCCCCATACCCCCCATGATGTGAATGTTTGCTAAAGCAATACAAAACCATTTGATGTGATCATCCCATTCGCCAGAAGCACTCGTGAAACCCCCCGTACCCATCATGAAAACCAAACTTCCCCAAGAATTGGTGACTCATTGTTGAAGCTGGTGAATCATGTTCATATTGTCATCAACATCTAAGATCGTTCACCTCGGAGACGGCGGGCGAGCTGGATGTCCTTGGACTGGATGGTGACACGCTTGGCATGGATGGCGCAGAGATTGGTATCCTCGAAGAGAGAGACGAGGTAGGCCTCAACTGACTCCTGGAGAGCGCCGATGGCAGAAGATTGGAAGCGCAAGTCAGACTTGAAGTCCTGTGCGATTTCTCGGACGAGACGCTGGAAGGGCAACTTGCTATGTGGGTGTTAGAATGTGTTTAGACACGACGATGAGTAAAGAATACTGACCGGATGAGGAGCTCAGTCGACTTCTGGTAGCGACGAATCTCTCGGAGAGCGACGGTACCAGGCTTATAACGATGAGGCTTCTTGACGCCACCAGTGCTGGGTGCAGACTTGCGAGCGGCCTTGGAGGCGAGCTGCTTGCGAGGGGCCTTGCCACCTAGAAATGCAGTTAGTATGGGATGCAACGATGACGATGACGATGACGATGAGCTATGAAGTGAGTCTTACCAGTGGACTTGCGAGCGGTTTGCTTGGTTCTGGCCATTATGAATGGACTACTTGAATTGATGAAGAGTTGTTGATGGATGAAGTTGGTTAGAGATGATGAGTGAGGCTGACAAGGGAAGAAGCCAAGTGGTGGAAGTGGGCGGGAGGAGGAGGTATTTGTAGGAAGGTGGGAGAAGGGCGAAAGGGCAGGCAGTGACTTGGCGTGATCTGATGATCCGGCAGGCAGGTGCGGTTGGGCGGGTGAAAAAAGGGAAGGAAATGATCTCAAAGGAGAATCATGATTGCAGGAAAACAGGGTGGGTGCCCTGGGGGGGAAAGCAGCCAAAACAAAGCGATCAGATCAGAGCGCTGATAATGATCCAATTTACACGCCAGTTTTTGCTGGTGATTCAGAATTGCAGCCAAATCAGATTCCGTTTTAGGTTTGGTGCATCGCCTGATCCCGGGACTTGGCGTACCACCTCGAGATCTCAGCCGCCAGTTTCAGGCATCAAGACCCCAGCATCAACACTCTACAACGAATAGTCATTATTGTAAATAGTCTGTAAATCATCATAATGGCCGACATAACATACCTGCCAAAGGATCAGGTTCTACAAAATGTGGTGGGCGAGGGATCATCCGATGGAGGGGTGGGTGCCTGTGTTGTTGGTGTTGTTTGGCCTGCTGGCAACCTTAATTCTGATTGGCTGTGATCTGACGGCCAGAGTTGATCTGGGACGCTGTGCTGGGGTGCATAAGTCTCCGCCCGCCACACTCCCAATCAAAGCCTCCTTTCCTCTTCTATCCATCCATCATACTTCCAAGTCTCCCAATCCTCACTCATAACCCCCCAACACAGCAATCTTTTCAAAGCTTTTAGCTTCAACCCTCAATCAACATGACTGGACGTGGCAAAGGAGGAAAGGGTCTCGGCAAGGGTGGTGCCAAGCGTCATCGCAAGATTTTGCGTGACAACATCCAGGGTATCACCAAGCCCGCTATTCGCCGTCTCGCTCGTCGTGGTGGTGTCAAGCGTATTTCCGCTATGATCTATGAGGAGACCCGAGGTGTCTTGAAGACCTTCCTTGAGGGCGTCATTCGTGATGCGGTCACATACACCGAGCAGTAAGTTCCTCTCCAACATCAACAGCCAGAACAGATGTTGACATCACACCCAGCGCCAAGCGAAAGACGGTCACATCTCTCGACGTTGTCTATGCTCTCAAGAGACAAGGCCGTACCCTCTATGGTTCGTACTCAATCCTCTCAGCCTCGATTCTTGCTAACATCCTTCCCCAGGATTCGGTGGTTAGGCGCGTCAATCTGATTTCTGCATCATTATCACGACAATCACCCCCAGGCATATCATGCATGTTGCCATCCATGGTCATGATCGTCTCTTCTTTTTTTGGCTTTGAGTTTCGGAGTGGTTGGGCACGCAAATGGGTTCTCGATAGGGGCAGGCTTGCTCGGTCATGGTTATGATGGGATGGCAAATCAATTAAATGGTGCCTTTGATGTATCATACAGGCATAGTATGAGCAGCCTGAACGGCGTTTGCAGAATAGGTCTGAGAGCCATGACATAAGCATCAGTACCAGCATAAATTAAACTGTCAAAGCAAACGCGTCTTGAGTCTTGTCTTTCTTCAGGTGCCGTGCTTCGCCTAGTACAGAACACCTGCTCATGTTAATGGGCCTTTTTTCAGATGGTTGTGATTGTGCTGTAAGCATAAGTCATCCCTGACTTGTGGCCCATGGCCTCGCTCGAGAATCTCATCGCAGCAACGCTTTTCGGACTCACCGGTTTCGCTCTTGGACTTGTAAATCTGAATCTCGGATTCGAATGCGGTGTCGCGTGGGTCCAGTTCGCAAAGTCAAAGATGCTGCTCTGATTGTACAACCCTCGAAATGCTCACACAAGGACGTAGCCAGTCGCGTCAGCGTGTATTCCACCACAAGGCTCCCTTGCCGTTTGTTCTAGTTTGTGATCACCGTGCCATCATCGAGTCAGACTGCCATTTGCCTTTCACAGGCCGCTTGGGATTTCCTGTCGACAATGTAGTACCCCGAAAGCCCATCCCTTTCATTCCATTCTATGCCCAGCATCAACCTACCTGTTCCAGTCGCCAGCCAGCGCTTAAAGTAAGGGCAATCCGGAAAACAATTGTTGGTCGCTACGTGCGAATGTTACAGCAGGTGCCGAGGAGTTACTCCGTCCGGTTCGGAAACTGAACCGCGGTGCCACTGCATCGCATCGGAGTGTAGGATGAGAGATTAATAGCAGTCAGGATGAGATGTGTGTCTCCTCACACAGGCTTCATTGTTCTCCCGTTCCTATGGCTAGGCTGTATCGGGTAGGCATCTTGGTACTCAGCGCGGTAGCCATCCTTCGTCTGCGAATATGTAGCGAGCCTCCCTAGGCTCCCAATCTGCGGCTACGAGTAGTACGATATATGCCGCATCACCGTGCCTCGTATGCGCGTAACCTCGGAGCAAGACATACTGTGTCGATCCATACTAGCTCGTCCAGAGAAGGAGAGTGCGCTCGTTTAATCCAATGACACGATCATGGTGCCTGTCGTAAGGTGCGCGTATTAATTGGATGGTGTTATTTATTGATGATGAATCAACCTCGGGATCTTGAGGATTATTCTTTTTTAATATTCTTGGCGGGTCGCCCTTCCCACTCAACCATCCAGAATGCACTACAGCGGAGGTACCATAACATAAGCACACGCTAATTCTTGATAAGACGGCTTGCACATATACGATAGGACTAATACTAGACCATTCATACTATACAACTTGATACTCGATGCAGTGAGATCGCATGTGTAAGCGAGCGAACCAACTGCCTACCCAGGTAAATAGGTAACCAGTATCCACACAAGCAGGAACAGGCAAAACAGGACGAGGTAGCAAATTCGGGGTTCGAATTGCGGCTGCCTGGGCCCCCAAAGGTTCGCGCGCCGCAGCCTCAGACCTCGTATGCTGTATGCGAGCTGAGGCGTGGCCGCAGTTAACATGATTTTTGGACCCCAATTAGGGCAGCGATGCGAGCTGGCGAATATATACGGTGGCCGTGCAAAGCCTCCTTCTGCTGAAAGAGGCCTGATGGCTAGTCGTCAGTAGAGGTGGCCTTTCAGAAGCCGTGGGATCTAGATTACAAGACCACATCAGTACCGGTTTTACAGAGTACCATGAATCCGAGGATGGTGTTGAAACGAGGAAAGTTACACCTGTATCGTGTGAGGCCAGTTGCGTAGGTACGCACTGTGGGTGTGGTTGCTACGACGGGCTGAAGGTATAATTTTGCTCAGATGGCCCAGTTCTAAACCGCCAATGATACTCAGACCTTTAGTTCTCTAGGCCGTAGCTTTGCGCGGCCACCGATAGATGTGTGGGTGAAGATGGGTGCTGAGTGCTCAGCTACCAGCTGGGGATCTGTGCTTGACTGGCAGTGACCGCATGCATCGTACTGCACCACGACAGACAATCCAAGACGTACCTATGTAGCTGTGACCCCGTCACTGCGCAAAAAGTCAAATACGTGATATTATAGCGGAGGGTGGTACGAAGTACGGATTACATGAAGGTGCGGCTCTGCTGTTTTCTCGGATGGACTTCCTCAAAGAGGGGCGCTATCCCAAGTTCAGAAGGTCCAGTACATGTATACTGGTACTGCGTCAAGCAGCTCGACATGGACTTGTATTGCTAACTGTCAAGTTCTTCATTAGCTCATGATTGACACGGTGATGACACACTGTTGCATGTACTCAGCTCGCACTGTTGGAAATAATGTTGCTGGATCTGGGCTAAATCTGCAGCCCATCGAGTCCACTGATCCCGTTACCAAAGTACCTTTGTCCAGAGAGGGTGGGTGGGCGGTGGTCCCACTAGGCTGCAGGAATTCCCCAGATGTGGCACCTGTGTGGCGGTGCGAGATCGCGTAGCTAGTGTAGATCAAACCGGCGACGTAAGCCGAAAGCCATGCGGCCAGACTGCTCTATTAACTTAGCGAACTTGCGACTGAACAGAGTAACTTGGTAATTCGATTTCTATTTGGCCATTCGGATCTCAAAGGACGACATTAGGATGATTGAGTGGAGATGGAGGGTATTCAACCCGGCCACGTTTTGTGCTTTGATACCTGTTCTTGAGGGTCATGTGGGCCGGGAATACCGATAGGCAGGACACCAAACTTGAACATTGTAAAAAATGGTATTATCGGGAAGCCATGTGGTTTGACCGTTGAGTTTGGTCAAGTGGGACAAGCACAAAGACTTTGAGAGAATGATTTTTTTTCCTCACAGCAGATGCAAATCTCGTGGAAGAGGATCTGCCGGAACGGAAAAATTCATGACCGCGAAGCATCTGCCTGCCTGATCAGGCTTAGCGCAATTAGGGGCCCCCCAACTTTCCACAAGCCTCAGGCCCAGAAGCGCAGACGGGGGCCGCCGACGATAGCCGATATTTCTCCTTCTTCCACCCAAGAAGACAAAGGAAGCGCCTGGGTGCTTCTAGTGACCTTTTCTGGGCCAATAAGAAGGCTGGGCAAGCCAAACAGAGTTTTCTTCCTCGGCTGCCAGACTCAAGTCGGCCTCTCGCGCACGGGCCATGGGATGCGGATAGATTTATCCAGTGGGGCTTCAGGGCTGGGCCCCTCCCCGAAAGTCCCCAATTGCCTTGCCTTTAAAGCAGAGCCCATGCTAAATTTGCACCAGGGTTGTTGTGGGACTCAGATGCAACGGCAGCTCGGCACGTTCCTGCATGTAACTGACTAGTCCCTCGTAGACGAGGAGGATGAAATTCTAGAAGAACATGGCAAGTGGATCCAGACCGCCCAGGAATGGATTCTGTGCATCGGACGAAGATGGAACATTGATGTACCAAAACATGCCTATTGAGTGCTAGGGATCCGTGATCACCCTGTGTTCTGAAACTGGGTCTTATCACAGTCCTGCACGTCTGGGATGCCGCGGACCAGACTTGCGAGTAATGCCTGAATTGCGTGCCGATCATCAACCAGTCTAGCTGGATACGGGCAACGAAATAGCCAGAGCATCCGGATAGAGCGCGAATGAAGAAGTTTCGCCATTAAGATGCCCGGGACCATGGACAAGTCTGTGGCTGGCTAGCGATCAGAGTGGCCGTGCTTGTGATGCGACTACCACTGTACAGCACCGAATAAATGGATAGTGATTCAGCTGGTATTGTATCCGAGTGGGATTACACAGGCAGTCACAATTTAGGGTCACCGACTTAGTCACAAGGCTGCAGGATTGCTTAGGAAGGCACTCGTAAGGTGAAGCGAGCATGTAGGCGCGCGGAGATAGGTGGTCAAACTCAGAATTCCATAATACCTAAAGCAGCAAGCAGGCTGTGTTGTGAAAAGTCAAGTCTGAAAAGGTGACAGGTAATTACTAAGGGACGCACAAAATCTGTGTTTGGGGGTATCCCCGGCCGACGCGACGGTCTAGAATCCGAAGGGGAAGCTTTTCCATGGAACCTGTACGAGGTACTCGTATGCTGTCAGGTTGGACGGAGGGAAGTACCGAGTACTGTCCGCGTTTCTGTATGAAAAACAAGCAGATACCAAGAAAACTGGTGGAACATTCTCGGGAGTGCTCGGGCCAACGATGTTCCGGGCCCTCAATTGGCTGGATGATGCGCACAGCCACAGATGTGACGACATGATCGGGGCCTGGACCTGCCATCATTGGAAGAGAGTGACTGTGCCAAGAGTGAATGTCCCAGTATGGCAGGAAGGTCGTCCAATTTATTACGTGGATGTCGATCAGGAAGGAAGGACGCAGAAAACGTGAATATGGCTGGTATGCTGAATACTTGGTGCATATCCTCGGCAGTGGAAGACCGGCGATAGGAGAATAGCTGCAGTTGGCAGTTATCCTACGAGGAAAAAAGATAGTAGGATGAGGTGAGAAACGAGAAGCGAGCGAGCGTGCCGAAAGAAACCGGGTGTGTCCCAGATGAATGGCACTGGATACCCGAGGGTGGTTGCAGCGGTCAGGACGGCTGTACGAGTAAGGGCAAAGGCGTGTAATAGACGTGACAGTACAAATACGGTCACGACTCGCTTTTCAAAAGGGAAATCTTGACAATAAAGGCCGCAGTGACGGGGGAAACCCTAACGTATTGCCGAGCAAGCCTGCCAGCCCTTAGATTCACGCTTGACGAAATAATGCCTCGACCCTTGTCATGCTGGCTTGGGTCTTGGTGCCATGGATGAACCCTACCACCCGTCGGACTGTGGGCACTGGGCTCTGGACATGGGTTGTCGACGTCACCGAAAATGGTCCATGCAAGGCAGGGTCTCCAGTTTCCGCTCGTCTTTGTCGTTCGTTCCGGCTGATGTGGTGGTGGGTGGTGGTCCATTTCTCTCACCACCACATTTCTATACGACGTTCAACATAATACATCTGCTTTTGCAGTTTTTATCCCCCAAGCCTAATTCTAAATGCTGCTTCCGACTACACTTACTCTTTCCAATCGTCTTAACACTACTGCCATTTTTCTCTCTCGCCCGTAGCAGGGCCGATACCGATACCTCCGCCTACTACCCGTCCTCCCTCCCATTTCCAGCTACTTCCACCCCCGTCTTTCGTAAGCCGTCTTCGTCCGGCCTATTCAAATACCCTCGCTCTCGCATCTACATTTGCCACTGACTCCTACCTTTCACAATACCACTTCCTATTTCGAACACCGTCCACGTACAACCCGTCCTCGCTGCTCTCGCTACCTATTACCAATCCAAGCAGAGTCCTACTATACATCCCGCCCGTCCATCCTCTATCGAGGCCTGATCACATCTTCGCCTCCTCCATATTAGTCGTCTTACCTGTCACCAGAAGTCCCAAGTCTACCGTTCGATGCAAAGGCCTTCTCTCAGTCCAACTGTGCGCATATCTCACTCAAGCCCTACGCCGACTCCTGCTCTCACGGCGTCTAGCCCGCAACTACCCATGCTGGCTCAGAGCACCCTTGTAGGAGGGTGGAACGACGGCTACAACGCAGGCCCATTCCTGAGTGCTCTACCAAAGACCTTCCAGGACCAACGATTTCATAAGAGAGGCTCCTCCGGATCTTCGGTCACTTCGGCCGGCCCACCTTCGCCGCTCAATCATAATACGATATATCCACACGTCGCCACCTCAGATTCGACTTTTCCCACACACTACGAATTTGACTACTCACAAACTCCTCTTACCGCAAAGTCAGACTCCACCGTCATGTATCCTACAAACACCGGCTACGGCGCCGTTGACATGAGGAGAATACAGTCGCAGGGGGTTGACGATCGTGGTGCTTCATACAACCTGTCTGCGCCGCAGTCGGTGTCAACCATGAGCCATAACTCACCAGCGACGCCGCACACGAACTTCGAGCCCGAGTACGATGAGAAGACCCAGCAGATTTTTGGTGAGATCAGCGATGACGACGAACGTTTGTTCGACTACTTACAGTATGATTCAGGTTACCACCCAACAGCAGCATATCAGCAATCATTACAGGATGTCTTCCCAGATCAACAATATCAGCAACAGATGTCTTTCAATCAAGCGCAGCAAAGCATGCAGAGACTGAACGTGGCGCCGCACAGGCAGACCATGATGGCCGACAGATTACAGGCAGCACAGCAGGATCATCTACGGCCCAGCACTTCAACCTCGAATCCTCGACAGAGGTCGCCATTTAGGCAGAACTCACCGTACATGGCTGCGCCTCCTCCACGTCAACCTCCTGCCACCTTGCAAAAGCAGAGAACATCCATCTCACCCAAGGAGCTGATGCTCGACGAGCATGACATTGACGACAATGCCACACCACTGTTTGCGCAAGATCATTCTCAGGATATGTTCGCCACCCATAGAACATCGTCGAATCTGTCGACATTTTACACTCCAGACACATCGATGCAAATACCTCAGCAGTACCCATTCGTGAGTCAACCCAGCCGGCAACCGATCCATTCTAGTCTACAGGATATGACACCCGAATTTCCTGCTCACATGATCTCGATGGAGTCGACTGGTGACGAAGGGCCATCAGAACCTTCGAGTCAACAATCGATCAAGTCGAGATCGCAAGTCCCAAATACTCCGCAGCAGCAGTCACAACCGGTGCAGAGAGCGCTTGACACATCATCTGACTCAGGAACATATTCGTGCACATACCATGGTTGTCACCTGAGATTCGACTCGCCTGCCAAGCTGCAAAAGCATAAGCGGGAAGGTCACAGGCAAACGTCACCTACGTCATCGCAATCGCCAAATCTAGCCCTGCGGAACTCGCAAGCGGGACCCCACCGATGTGACCGCATCAACCCCAGCACAGGCAAACCATGCAACTCCGTATTCTCTCGCCCCTACGATCTCACTCGACATGAGGACACCATCCACAATGGTCGCAAGCAAAAAGTTCGATGCCATCTTTGCACTGAAGAAAAGACTTTCTCACGTAATGATGCGCTTACTCGACACATGCGCGTAGTCCATCCTGAAGTTGACTGGGTGGGCAAACAAAAGCGCAGGTCGCCGAAGTAAATCAAGCAAGTAACAAAAACAATGCCCTGGTGGCATCAGAACCACGAACACCAGCTGGGGCCGACTGCCTGACTCACTCTCCGGTGGCTTAGTCAGCGTGGCTTAGTTGGGGACCTTTTCTGCGGCATTTCGGACACTCCCCTTGTTTTTTGGCCGGATCAGATTTGGCCCGGAGCTACACTTGTATGATTATGGCGGGCTGATAATCCTATTTTTATAAGGCGTTGAGTGGTTGCTGCTTTGGCTTGGATCCCATTGTTCTGGCTCAGCGAAAAGGAACGACGTTGATGAATGCACTCAAGGATTTTGTTGAGTTACGCGAGAGGAAATGCCGGACAGCTCAACCCAGGCAGGAATGGGAGCATGGCGGAAACTTCAGCCTGATTGATCTATGGCGACGGTTAAATTCACGCAGCGGCGGATTTGTTTTGGGTTTAATCTACGAGAATGAATGTGTGTGTTTTCCATTTGTCTTTTTCCTTCGGTGGTTTTCCGCACGGGGATATTTCATACGGTATTCAGCTTACAGGGGCGGTTCTCAAAAAGGAAGATGAAAAGCGTTGGCTTTGGGTATATATGGACCGATAGACTGTACAACACCGCTTTTACATCCACACCCACGGGGCGGTTCTTACTTGGAAAGTACATACTGTACAGTCCAATTGGGGCGCGCCCCTGACTTTTGCAGCATCTAGCTAGCTACTGGTGAGCATGAGAATGAGCATGAATGCTGAGTTGATATCTGTACCGTGTACCTGACGTTGGCTCTTTGACATTTTTTTCTCTCTTCGTTCTCTCGTCACGCGCATCCTACCTGCGGTACTATTTGTTATACTATATCTAATGTGTTACGCGTACAGTATCGAGAGAGTAATCCATGTGCTATCACTCAGTGGCCCTCTTTCGGTCTCCTGTGCGCGTGATCTATGCCGGGTACCTGGCAATAGTCCCCTGTCCCCTCCCTCTTCTGTCTTTTCTTTCTTGTTGGGCCGCATGCCAACTCTAGGGTGTCGGCTTTTAGGCACTATAGTACCGCCAGCAGGGTACCCAGCGGAAATTTAACTCCTTAGTCACGACTCACTTGCCTGTTAATTGATTATTAGTTTCTTCTGTTTGGGGTGTGGGTTTCATTACTCACACCCAGTCCGGCGCATTTAAGTGTCATTTGGTTGTGTTTGGTGCGTTGTGCATTTTGGGTTGCCATGTTGGTCATCGGGGCGGTTTCGGTGAATATAACTTTTGAGTAGTGTCCCTCTCTTCAGCGACATACACAGGCCCATTACCTAGAGCAAGACATAAAAATCAAACAAGATACTAATTGTGACTCCACCACACTACTTGGTAAATGTACTTATTTCCACACTAGAAGTACACAGTATATTATGCCGACATGCTGAACTAGCAAACAAATAGTAATCACACTGGTTGGGTAGTGTTGGTTACGCCCTTTGGTAGCATATTCCAAACCAAGTAAATTTACTGTGGTCCACAGTGGTAACTAACTCGATCCAGATCACCAGGCTCGCCTGTTTCGATTAACACCAGTAGTAATAACTCATCATCTAGATCTCCATCGGAAAACGGGGATGCAAGACAACGAGGAACACAGGGGAGTAAACCTCATTGCTGACTACCCCCCAAACTCGAACATCTTATGATAGATAGGACAATCATGCGGACTCCGAGATCACAGATCCCGTCATCTGAGTTCCCAACAATCTGGCGCACCAGCAATGCAGAGATTAACACATCTCACCATACAACACGATTGTCTGAGGATGGAGCATCGAAAGCATAGCGAAGTAAAGCCGTGACATGCGGACGGCTGAGCGGAAAACGGAGAAATGGGTGTTCGGCTCGATTAAGGAAAGCATATCCAAGGGGTGTGGGCCCGTGCATGTGTTGACCCTCGCATCCAGTGGGACTGTGATTGAGATGGAGAAAACTCGCTGGTACTGTAATGACATTAACTTTATCCTGTCCATGCAGTTGATTGATTCAATAACAAAGGTGTGTTATGGATGGATATTACTCCTCGACATGATCGGGGATGAGGTAATGGGAAACCCAAAGAATGGCACTGATGTAGCACCTAACTACCTTGATTGTAGGGGTCGTTTCGTTTCGTTTCGAGGTTAGCGGCTGCATTCCGCGTAGGAATGTCTTGGATACATGGTGCGAGGGTGGGCAACGGTAGCATTCAGCGAAAGGCGAAGGCGACTGCGACTCAATACCCATAAATAACGTATTGGCGAGACGCAAGCCAGAGGTATTCGCGAGTCAGGTGTGTTCAGATCGAACATGCTACACGAACCAATGCGTGCAAGCTTTGTCAAACCAAGCCCAAGATCCTGCCAGGGGGTTTGGCTGAAGGTGAAGGGCAAACGAAGCCGACATGAGTCAGATTGGGAGAATTCGATGTCGGAATTTCGAGATCGAAATCGAGGTGAGCGGGGGACGGGGAGCATCGCCACTGCGACCGGATGGGGCTCTCTGCTGAACAAGGAAGTCTCGACAAGGTGGAATTTAATCAGAAAGAAGAAAACACGAGATAAGGTGCATACTCGACCACTGTCGGCTGGTTTCCCGAGAGTAAGAAAGCGCGGCAGTCAAAAGGGCAGGAAAATGTTATCCAGCGCCCAGGAATGATGGCTCTGCGAAGCCTGAGGTTGGGTCAAGCGGCCCCAGACGGAGGATATCGTAGCGGTATTGAAAAGTGTCGGGACGAGAAACTCTGGAGGGGCCTGGTTGGCTGGGTCGGCAACTCAGTCGTCGTCGACCCTCTCTGTGTTGGCCGCTGTGGCTGCGTCGGCAATCTCGCCAGGTACATTGCACCGAAGACCAAAACATATTCCGTAGAGATAGCAGGGGAAGCACGGTCCTGGGATCGGGGGACCACGGGCATATCTGGGTGAAAGTTTCTGAAACGTGGAATGGTGCCCTCAACAGTCCAGTCCCACACGACTTATGTGTGTCCCCATCTCCCCCAATGAGACAGTCCTCGGAGGCTATGAGCGACCTGGAAGGAGGCCGACGAATGCCATGTGCATGGGCATGGGCATGGGCATGGGAATAGGCATGGGATTGAGTCCGGTGGGGCGTAGGTGGGAGCGGTCCGAGTGCATACTATGTATGTAGTACAAAGTATGAATCGCAACTTCAAGTGGGTGCGGACGATGTGGAGCTGACCAAGAGACTCGCTTGAGCATGGGCGGCCGCGGGAAGGTGCGACGGCGGCAGTTTGTGGGCTGGGAAAGAAGGGTCTGGATCGTCGTGTCCCGAAAGATGCTTAGTACGAGTCGGCGGCGCGCCGTGAAGGTGAGTGAGGAGGAAAGAGCGACAGAAGGAGTCCTCCGATGGAAGGAACACACAAGGGCTGGCCCGGTGGGAAGCACGACTGACTTCTCCCACCTCCGAACTTTGTGGACTGCGAGTCATGACAATTGATGGTGCATAGTAAGGATGACATGGGACGCGGCCGCATACACGAAGTCGTCCAACAGCTATCCGCCTCAACAAGTCCCAATGGAGAAAATTCGGAGCGGGGGCTGGGCTTGTCAATCAATATTAAACACGAAATGAGCAAGGGGCTGAAGAGGAAGAAGAGATATGAGACGGTCCTGATGAGGAATTTGCAGGGAGCCCTTGCCATACATCGTATTGATCACGCCGTGCTTGCCAAACTTTGAGTTGAGAGTCCTAAGTATTGCCAAGGGGAGGAACTCGCCACATGCTTCTTACTATCCATGCCTATTTCGTACGCTGCCTCCCCAAGGAACAAACTACAGTAGTATTCATCGTACGATGTATGTATGTAATGTAATGCGGGAACCTCCGTTTTCCACACAGAGCATTATCACCACGAGGTAATACAGTATCACAGACACTTGCAGGCTCCGAAGTACGGCTCCGATTCAAGATTGAGGACAGATCGTATTCCGCGTTCCAAATGTCTCTATTCTCTCAGGTCGCACGGAAAGAGAGGACGTGCTAAGTCCACCAGCATCAACTGTATGGCTGATACAGTACATGATGTAGTAGACCAAGGGAATCAACTGTAAGAGCTCGGCTCCTCGGTCTTGATGTCTGCCCGGCTTATTGTTGACAGATTCCTTCCGGATCCGAGCTTTCCCGTTGCTTTGCCAAATCGATTGTTGCGCAGCCTCGGCTTTTGTTTGAAGCCTAAGCTTGTCCTGCTTACTAATGTACCTGGACGTCGTTCTATACACTAATCTACTAGTATGTAAGTACATCATTTGCAAAGTTACCATGTAGGAAGGTGCCATCTGGGTGTGCACACTCCCACGCCTTCCGCCTTCGCTACTTCCCGAATGATGATGGCCCAGCCGAGCGGGAGCCGCCGCCGACACTTTTTTAACTGCTAGTACTTTATTTGGGTACACACATACTTACTATGGCATTACTGAGTAAATCACATCTTGCACAGAGGCATATTTCTTACTATCTAGTATTTACCTACACAACCTTACTAGTATTCTTGTAGATCGGCCACTGAAACACGAACAACAGACCTCGACTTGAATAAGAACTTGAATACTAGTACCCTCCACTGGTATTGTTTATTAGTACTACTATATAATTTATGTACATACATAGTAGTAGTACCTATACACGCTGGTCGTCCCTACTAGAAAGTATTAATAGAGGTATATTATTATACTATATATAGTACGCGCTTGTGTTACACTGCATTGTAACATAAGTGCTTTTCTTATGTATTCGTCTATATCTAAGTTTCTCTATATTAAGGAGCAGCACCTAACGGCGTAGGACATCGGACTCGCTAAGCTCGCTAATCTCGCGGATGAAAGAAAACCTATGGTACTATAGTATACTTATTGGTAAATATATATAGTAAGCTACGAACTACTGACTATACTTAAGCTAAGTATAATGGTCGAAGATCCTACTAATTTATATATATATATATATATATATATAGTACTATTATACTGTATTTAGTGGTAGCATCGAGATTCTTAGTATGCTGCTATAGTGTGTAGAGAGAGAGAGAGAGTACTATATATATTATAGTATCCTTAAGGATAAGGAGCCAGTACTAGGCATAGAATTCTAGTACCCATTTCCTATAGTCTACACTTCTCGTTCGCCTCGGGACCGCGAAGCTCCGCTTGACCTCCGGTAATGCACAGTTTCCCAGTCTCCACGACTCGAGTCTGGAATAAAACAACATTATCTTTGACGGCTTTCCAAGCCTCTGTTCGTAGGGTCTGCCCCGGCTCAACTGTGCCCGCAAAGCGAGCCCGGATGTTCTTGTAAGGGCCGTATCTTTGGAAGATGTGTTTCCCTGAAATACCGAAAAAGCACAGGCCGTGGAGGATCGGGCGCTGAAATCCACTCCGATGGGCTACTGCTGGATCGATATGCAGGTCGTTGGTGTCGCCATTCAGACGGTAGAAAGCCGCCTGCTCAGCTGTAGTTGTCTCTTCACGCTCGAAATCAGCTGGTCCCGAAGGCTGAAGGTTGGAAAGAGCGACTGAGTTCCCCTTCCTCGGGGCATCAGAAGGTCCGCCAAAATTGCCTGCATCTCGGATGTAAGAGGATGATTCGTTATAGAAAATGTCTTCTCCAGTTACGCGATCACGAGTCGTATAGGAAACAGTGACAATGGCTGCCTTCTTCTTGTCCACAACATGAAGCAATCGTGGGTATGTGATGAGTTGGCATTCCGGGGGAATCGGGTACTTGCGAATTTCGAGGTAAATTTCACCGTGTAAAAGCTTCAGTGGGTTCCAACCGGGGAGAATCCCTCCGAAGGTGAATGGGAGTTTCGCACCAAACCAGGGAATTGTGCCAAAGGTTGGAAGGACTTGGAAGTCTTTATCTCGTTCGTATACCAAGGGCAACTCCCACCTCCTAGCTCCTACCGTAAGATCTATAGACAGCCGTCAGAAATGGTCCTCCCAACCCTGAAGTCGATAATAGAATGAACTTTTAGTGGAGCACTTACTGTACAGGATGGCATCCTTTTTGGTATAGCTGAAATGTGATCCTTCGGGCTGGGCCTGTTTCACCTTCTCTATCCTTGACAACGTAATGAGTTCCTGAGCGTGTTGATTGATGATTTGTAAGGCGTTTCCTTCGTCTTCAGGATATAGATGTGCATCGTCGTCATTGAACTTTGATAACGTCTGCATTGCAGTGCCCGTTGATTCAGACGCTGACCAGTCGTTGTCCTGCCAGTCAATACCTTTATTGGCTTCTAGCCTCGTCCTTGCATGCCAACCGCCACCAATCTCAAATACACCCCCGGTTGATGGGTATGAGACAGAGTCAGAGCACATCAAGGCCACAAAGGGAGCCGAGTATTGTGGTAGTATTGCTGTGCTACTTCCTTCAATCGCGCCCGCCAATCCCGGGGTAGAAGCCACGGGCGCCACTGCGTTTACTAGAATATTGTGCTGAGCACCCTCTCGAGCAAGAGCCTGAGAGAACCCAACGATTGCGCATTTCTGCTTAATTGTTAGCACCTGTTGAGATGTGGCTCCAAGTCCTCAGTGACTCACAGCGAGAGAGTAATTTGACTGGCCAAAATTACCATAGATACCGCTGGTGCTGGAAATATTGATCACTCGACCATAGCCTTGCCGTATAAAATGCTCCCAGGCAGCCTTGGTGACCTTGAACATTCCATTTAAGTGGACGTCCAGAATGGAATCCCACAGGTCATCGGTCATGTTGGCAATAGATTTGTCTTGCACAATGCCTGCGTTGTTCACAATCACATCAAGCCGACCATAAGCTTGAATTGCCTCGGCAACGATTCTAGACCCTTCGCTGACGGAACAGGTCACAGTGTGGGCTTCACCGCCAGTACTTCTGATCTCTGCTGCAACCGACGAAGGTTCTTTGAGATCGTTCAGAATTATTCGAGCTCCAAGCATCCCAAAATACAGGGCGTATGCTCGACCTAGCCTGTGTTGTCAGACAGTGTTAGTGTCATGTCGCAGCTCTACACTTGAATTGTGGAGATGACCATACCCTGAGCCGGCACCTGTAATGAGGACAACCTTTCCATCAAATGTGATATTTTTTCCAGGCGAGTTGGGCGGCAAGTTCCTTGTCGTTGCTACGACTTGCTGGAAGTCCCTCGATGACGAAGGATACTCTGGCTTTGAGAAGTCATTCACATCTTGCCACCTACTCAGAATTGAGCCTGAAGACATCCCTGAGTCAGGGTTTAGCCATGTACCTGCCGCTCGTTGCCAACGTAACTTTCGACACCTTGTTCCATGTACTTCGTAGAGGTGTCCAGTCTCGCTCTGGTTTGAACGATGTACCAGTGTTGACAATGAGCAGAGTACACCCTTTCGCACGCTGCTCGCTGACTTCGACTCATCACTCGGGATTCTTGGCAAGGCAAGAGTGGACGCAAGGACATTGTATTTTGCGCCTTCTCTCGCAATAGTTTGTATGAAGCCCAGCTGACCGAACTTTGTGGCTATATATCCAGTTTAGTGCACTAGACCGAGATCCAAAAGGTTCGAGTGACATACTGTCCTGTAAAATTGAATTTTCTGACGCACCCTCTTCCGTTGAAGCGGTACAGATGACCCGCCCATACTTTTGCTTCTTGAAATATGGCCAAGCTGCGTGAGTACACTGGCATTGAATAAGCAACTCAAGTCCAACACTAGTACGAGCTTCGCTTGAACAAACCTTGTATAACAATTTGAAATTATCCCTTAGCAGGGTATCCCAGTCGTCTTGATTTGTTTCGCTCCAGATCGGGTTGCTCAAACATCCAGAGTTGTTGATCAGAATATCGACCCGGCCAAACTTCCTGATTGCATTTTCGATTACCTTGCCACCGTTTTCTGGAAGGCTGTAGTCAGCCACCGCTCTCCCGCCTACCCCTTCGATACTGTTAATCACAGCATCAACAAGTCCCTATAACGGCTTGTTTTTAGCTGAAGGTGCATGTACGTATCCTGGAGTCGTATCAAACCTTATTTCGGTGGTCATGAACCACAACGTTTGCACCACGAGACGCAAAATAAGTGGGATAGAGATGCCCAAGCCCGTTGCTCACACCTGTCACAACCACTGTCTGATTGTCAAAACGGAGTGCCATTGGTGATATGCGTGAAGTTGCCTCTCGATGGGGTAGCATGAGCTAGGTCAACCATGAAGGTGCATTAATACCATTGCAAGCTACAACTTTCATTCTCATCTACAATGGATCGACCACTGCCGACCCTCACTTTGGGAGACAGGAGACACCATTTCCGACATGCCGAGCCGCGTTCCACGGTAAGGTGAAGCGTCAGATTCGCTGATAATGTGGGGAGTCTTGATGGACCCGATTGGTGCAGACATATCGGACAGACTTATTGCTCAATGTTGCTCCATGAGATGGCAATGCCTCGACGTTCAATCGGCAGGAATGACACATTCATCTTTGTCAAACTTGAAATATGCCAAAGTGAGTTTTGTGAGAGAGAAGGAGACGGAGGTGGTTGAGCCTGGGGCCATTCCTTCTCCTTGGCACTCACGGGCGTCAGACAGCCAGGAGGGCCGGGTCACGAGGGACGAACACAAGAGCAAGTTTCACCTCTGCAACTACAAGGCTAGAAGAGCCTACAACAGTGCAAAATCTGGATAGCTGGGTTTGGGTGCTCAGCATGTTGCCGAGAAAGACTTTTTAATACGACGGGCTATTTACTCCGATAACCGCCCATTCTAAAGCCGGGCACTTGTCGGGCTCAACTGCTGCTCCTTCAGCTTCCTCCTTTGCTCATGCACATCTATAGCCGCCTTGTCTCGAAGGAGTCGGCGTAGAATCTTCCCAGACTAGTTTTCCAGCCGTTAGATCAAGTTACTTCATAGGGATGCGTAGGACTAACCGGATTCTTCGGTATCGAATTGCAGAACACGATGCCTCCAGTGATTCGCTTGATTTTGGAGGTCTTCTTACTCATATACTCCAGGATATCTTCTGCGGAAACCTCACTCCCGGGCTTTTTCACAACATATGCCATTGGTTCCTCATCTTCATCTCTATGAGTTCATTAGTATTTTTGGCCAAATGGTCTGTTCGTTATTCACATACCGCTTGATCCCAACAACAGCAGCATCGAGAACGTCAGAATGTTCGAGGAGTAATGCCTCCAATTCAGCAGGGGCAACCTGATTGCCCTTGACTTTGATCAATTCCTATAGCTCTTGTCAATACTGATACCGCTGAAGAATGCGAATTGGTGTGGTCTTTTACTTTCTTCCTGTCAACGATGACATATTTCCCATCGCCATCTGCAAATGCGATGTCGCCCGTCTTAAACCACCCATCAGCAGTAATGACTTCCTGCGTTTCTTTCGGCCTTCCCCAGTATCCCTTCATCATAGTTGGAGTTTTGCACCAGAGTTCACCGGGATGTCCTACAGGAAGTTCGTTGATGCCTTCATCGTCCATGATCTTGACCTCGCAATTGGCTACGGGCTCACCAACAGCCTGAGTCTTCGATATCTCTCGCTCATCCCAGTTGAGCACCGAGAGTGGTAGCCTGTTCCGATGTTAATGGACATTGAAGTTTAGGCACAGTATTGATGGAAATACTGACTCTGTCATTCCCCATCCTTGCTTGACATTGACTTGACCTTCCGGCCACAATTTTTCCAACTCTTCGCACATTTCTCGAGACAAAGGGGCTGCGCCAACACTTACTTTTCGGATGCTAGAGAGGTCATACTTGCCCTGCTTGGCGTCAACGCATTTTGCCATTGCAACGAGGATTGGCGGAACAAGCATTAGCTCAGTTATGCGAAACTTCCCAATGTTCTCTAAGGTTGGTAGTAGAGAATAGCGTTTCATGATATACGTTGGTATCCGGCGATATGGTGACATAGTCGTGAAGGACAGTAGACCCAGACCGTGGTACATAGGGAGAAAGGCAAGGAGGCGGTCGCTTTTGAATTTGTTCGGACTGAGACTGTGAAGATGTCCGAGTTGGACGCAGTTGGCTACCAGGCTATAGTGCGTGATTTCAACACCCTTGGGTATGCCGGTCGTACCAGAGGAGTATAGCAATGCCACAGTTTGGCGAGCTTCTTCTTTTGATTTTATCTCTTTACAGCGAAAGCTCTTGCCTCTGTGTAAAGGAGCAATCAAATGACTCCAGTTACGGACTGCTCCTGAAGGTCGAGGGAAACCCCCCAGTACCGCATCGTCAAAGATGAAGATATCCTTCTGACTGAAGTGTGCGAGTCTCGCGGCTTGCAATGCCGTTTCCTTGCTCGCCTCGGCGATTAAAAGAAATCGTGCCCCAGAATCTTTGAGCTGATATGCCAATTCCCTTGCGACAAAGGCGGGATTGGCAGTAGATATGATCCCACCAGCCATGATGACTCCTAAAGTGACCACGGGGAAGAAGATATTGTTGCCAGAATATACCAGCACACGGCCATTGAGACCAAGTCCAGCATCAACCAGGCCAGCCGCCAACCTTCTGCACCAATATCCAAATTCTCGCCAGGACAGGCGCAGTGCTTCGGGGTTTTCAGTATCGATATATGCTGGAGTTTCTGGCAAGGTCTCGGGGTCATCACCCAGGAGGAGCGAAGGAAGAGACGTTATAGGAATATCCACCGACCATCTCGATTTTTGTGGCATCTTGAGACAATTGATCTGTGTGATCAAGGCGGCTCATTTGCTCCTTGGTGAAGTAGGTACCAATAATATATGGACGAGTGAATAAGTGAGGGATTGTCTAGCGAGGAGACGGTGGTCTTACTTCATAGGGACGACCCCATATGATAGCCCCATCCTTTCGAGTATATACATCGAGTCCGGGTTAGTGTCATCCACAGCGGCGGTATCGATCCTCTTGCCGTGGCGCCGGTTAACGGAATATATGAAGATAGGTGGACTCGGTGGCGAGCGGCAGCCTCGGTAGTTGATACATCACATAGGTTGTGAAAGTGAATGGCCGTAATCAAGACCCCATCTCGATAGCTATCAGCATATGTCGTTGTTTATTATGAATCGCTAGAGGTTGAATTTCAAGGAAGACTAAAGTACAGCGTTCAAAGAACTTTGTTAGATTCATCACACTTCCAGGTGTTTGTTGCATGGTCCTGCTGCGGGTCACCCCAGTGGAATTTTGTCAAAAAGAAGTGCGGTGCAAACAAAAGGCAGAAATCTCTCAAGGTCTGACCGCGATAGTAGCCCTGGCGCACAGATGGAGAGGTTTGACCACGACCAGAAGTGTCACCAATACATCATGTCTCCCGGACATTTGATAACTTTGTTGGTGGGTCCTAAGCACGAAGCACCTATCTTGTTGGGTAGCTCCCTGTCAGTTACACACTAGATAGTCAAAGTCTTATCGTCTTTCTCGTCAAGGGTGAGGCGGAGTAATTCAGGCAGCCTACAGAGCATGGAGTACTTGGGAAGGCCTGAGCTTAACTGACCAACCAACCAACTAACTGGGGCCCACGACTAAAACCAACCCATGCCAAACTGAGTACATATTCCATTACAGGCACCCCACATTGCGGCTTATGGGCCGTGGCCTTCTTAACTGAAGAAGGAGTTTCTTGCCCAGTCACTCCGCTCGTCAATGAGCGGGCTTCGAGTCACCGGGATAGCCAAGCAAGCAGCTAACAAGTAAGCGGGCTGATTTGTGTCTTGGAAATCCCCCCCTCGTTCCACACTCACCTCGGCGATGAAACTACCATCTCAGGTGCATGAATAACTTTCTTCCGCGTGGTTCATCTCTGCTCCTGACTAACTGGCAATCCCGTCTCCTGCATTCGCCTCGGTTGACCTTGAAAATTATTATCATGACCCAGCCTTTGCTACAAAGTCAGCAAAGTCAAGAAAGGATAGATGCGCAACCAAGTGTCACTGCGCCGCCTCGCATGGCGAAAAGCTTCAAAAGGCGTGCCAGCAAGGCGTGCTCTTTCTGCCAATGGCGAAAGATTCGCTGCAATGTCGAAGATCATCATCCGTGTAACAATTGTGTCTTGGAAAAGATTGAGTGCTCAATTACCAAAACCAGGAAATCCAAGTATGTCGCCGCCAGCCTTGTGGTGCTTCTGGAGTGGATGATTGATCTCTGGCAGAAAATCGAAACATCATCATGACCTATCTGAAACCGGTGCACTCCCTGAGCACAATCTAATGGCAGTGGTGGAGCCGGAAAAAGCCATAAAGCTCAGTTGCCAGCAACCCAACCTCACAACGGATGCGCAAAGCGCACCTCCCAGCGTTGACCATCCTTTAGCTACTCCATCAGACAATGCTTCTCTGCCAGCTCATGAACCCAACAAAATAGTTGAAGGTGGGACCAGCAAATGCGACAACTCTTCTCCGCTAATGATACCACCACAGTTCCGTCACTGTCCCTGACTCCTAGTCTTTCTTCAATCCATTCACCACAAGGCCTGTCTAGTGGAATACCAAAATCCCAAACCGTTCAAGTGGTTCTTCCGGACTTCCTAGAGCCAATCCCATCCCATCTGCCGCCAGAGGACATCGAGTATCTACACAAGAAGGGTTGCTTCGAGATCCCTGCACCCAAGTTTCGCGACGCCATTCTTCGTTGCTACGCAGAATTTGTGCACCCCTACATGCCATTGCTTGATCTGGGCAGATTTCTTCATGACATCACAGCTTCCGACCCTCGTACAAATCGTGTTAGTCTCTTGCTATTCCAGGCTATCATGTTCGCTGGGTGTGGGCATGTCGACATCAAACCTTTGCGTATGTTAGGCTTTCTTACCAGGAAGGCTGCCCGGAGAGCGTGGTACTTTAAGACCAAGGTAGGCTAGAGAAGCTTCTGCTAAGGTTGATATTGCTCAAGGAAATTCTAATCAGCCTTAGGCGCTCTATGATATGGAGTATGAACGAAATAGGCTTTGTGTCATTCGAGTTCTTGCACTCATGTCTTTCTGGTACGAGACCCCTGACGATCAGAAAAATGCCTGCCACTGGCTACAGATCGCCCTGTCCTTGAGTCGAAGGGCAGGTCTCGACAGGAACCCAGCAAACATGAACATGGACGAAACAGAGCGACGAATGAGACGGCGAATTTGGTGGTCTTGCGTGAACCGCGATCCCCTTTGTGCTCTTGGTTTAAAGGCACCGCTATGTTGTTCCATAGAAGATCACGACGTTCCCGACTTGTCAGTTGAAGATTATGATCTAGGAGATGTTCCGTTGGATGGATTTAATAAGGTTGGTGTTGAGTGGCCACCTGGGAAACGGCGTTTGCTATGCATGGCATCGGTAGCGCAAACACAACTCCACCGTCATCTTCGCAAAGTCCTCGCTAACCAGTACAAACTTGGAAACCAGCGTGGCAACGGAGGCAATCCAGACGACGAAGCGTCTAGAATGGTGCTTGTACCCGTGACCACCGCCACTTCTCGATCCAATTTAACAAATCTTGGAGAAGAGCTGAGATCATGGCGTACCTCCCTGCCTTCAGAGATGCAGACGACCGCTGTGGGTTTTGAGATATCTGACTCTGGATTCGAACCATTTGTTGTGTTCCGCACTGTCCTGCACATGCTTTATCATACGTGCCGGATCACTTTATACCGGCCATGGCTACAAACACACGGAGGCCAGTTTTCGCATTACGAGAGCCTCGATGAGGAGAGGTTTCAGCACGAGATACAAACCACAGTAAGAGAATCAGCACACGCCATAACAGATCTTGCGGTGGAGCTGCATCAGCTGGACCTGGTCCGCCATTTACCTCAAACAGGATTAAGCGCGCTCATTGCCGCTGTCGTCAGTCATATCTCAGACGTAATGTCATCGACTGACCATATTCGGACTGCTGGACTGCGCGGATTTGAACAATGCTCCCAAATGCTAAACGAACTTCGCGAAAACTACTATGCTGCCGACTTCTCGTATGGATTCGCCAAGCTCTTGGCCCAAGCAAAGAGGCTTTCTCACAAGCCCAAGACCGCAAATGCAAGCTTGACTTTCATCGGAGAGATGTATGATGAAGGGGTTTCTGCACGTTCCGGTCTCCTTTCCGCTGCCGATGAATCCGCTGCTGCAGACGTTCGTCCACCACCAGGGCGGGCGTTTGGTCGCCCTCTTCCTGAAGCACTTTTCCCTGAGGGAGTCGACCTATCAACGAACTGGGCTACCGCGCAAGAAAACAGTCCCGCATGGGACCCTGCGGTGGTCTTTGATCCTACTGCTCAAAACAATGACACGGTGATATCCCTCGAACTTGGTGAGGACTGGGACTACTATCGTAACTTCAGAGACGAAACAGCGAGACTCCTCGGGGAATACTGGGACGATTACCAGGGCAGTCTGCACGATCCATTCCCTGGGATTGAATCTTTGTCGAATTGATGTTATGATTAGCCAATTAACCAGCCAGAGGTGGATCCTAATGTATGCATTTGTTTCATCAACGCTTTCAACTGTCGCACAGAATCAGAAGTTTCACTGAGAAGCAGGCACAGTCGCGCTTAGTCAAGGCTCAGCAACCAATTAAGTCTTTGGCTGACTTGGTTCGCCATACTTCACTTCGGATGAAGAGGAGTGGTTAGCTCGATCACTCCATATTGCGGGACACCGTCCGAAATCGCCGCCTTGCTTGACCCTCAGGGTGACGAAGATCAACGGCTCGCTAAGACATATCAGATTCACCTTCCCTGGCCCGCAATCTGGCGCAATTGTCCCTTACCGAGATGTCGGAACCACACTTGGTATGTCCAAGGACCCAAAAGTTGCTTTTGCTACTGTACGCCCAAAAAGGAATCTCGAACTTTGAACTGTTTAGCAGTTCACGCTTGTTCGCTTGGCTCCAGGTGGGCTTGGTCAATACGAGGAGATTCCAACCGTGAGCCCGTCAGCCGCTAGCCGACCCGCTAGCCGCTGAGCCGGAACACTCAACTCACGTGACAAGGCTGCCCCCCCCAGCTCCTTAGATGGCCGTGTGACCTTATTGTCATAGGCCTTCGAATACTTTAAGCTATGGCCAGATGAGCGGAGGCACGGAGGCACCAGTAGGCTCGCATGATGCTCGAACTAAAAAAGCAATTTCCTGTATCAGAAGAGAAGACATGGAAAGAGAAGCACAATGATACGAATCGTGCTCGCGCGGCTTGCTTGGATGTTCAACTAGTTGAATCCTGGTATTTACAACTTATGGCGCTTTGAGCCATTTCGGACCTTCTCCATTTCTGTATCCACAGCCCCAGAAGCCAGCCTCTCGAGTCCCGCAAAAACCTCAGCGACGTTCTGTTTTGCCATAACATCCCGCTCGGGTGATTGGATCAATGCTTTGATTCGCACAAGGCTTGAAACATCGACATGATCTCCCAATGTCTGCTCCAACTCAGTGAGCACAGAGTCCAGAAAGCTCTGTCGGTTAGATGCATCCGATCCGATGACTTTGTTGACGAAGCCACATTTCAACATCTCCACGGCGGTGATCTTTCGACCTAGCAGCAAGGCCTCATTCGCCAGCGACATACCCATGCGCCGCACCAACGTGCGTGACGTCCCCACCTCAGCGACCAAACCCAGTGAAGTGAATGGAAATAACAGATATGAATGCGGCGCGGCGTAAATGAAATCAGCAAAGGAAACGACTGCAGCGCTCCCGCCCACCGCTGGACCATTAAGTGCCACCACCAGGAGTTTCGAATGGCTCGCTGCTGCATGTGTGAGGAAGATATTTCCTGCGAGGAAGTTCTTGAGAAGGTGCTGGCGCCTATCCGGGTCCTGCTGGGGTGATGGACTGCTGATGTCTGCACCGCTTCATTGAGACGGATTGTTAGTCAAGACCAGACGGATGTAATCCTCAGGCGTGTGTAAAAGGGTTAAGAGGTCCTTACGCTGAGAAGAACCTCCCTGTTCCTGTTAATACTGTGACGCAAATAGCGTCTTGCAGATCAATTTCAAGCAGTATGTTTGCAAGCTCGTAGAATTCTTCCATGCAGAGCGCATTGAGTCTCTGTGGTTTGTTGAGGCGCACAATAGCAAATCTGCCATTTATAATGTAAGATACCACTGCATCGGAAAACATCATGGCTAAAGTGTCTAGGTAGGTGGCGGAACATGAAGAGGTGAAGGTGGTGCGGAAAAGAATGCCTTATTTTCGTGCTTGTCCCCTATCATCGGCCTCTCCCTGGAGAATATCAACCTTACATTCGGGCACTCTCCAAGTCTAGTAACCACCCAATTTCAAGAGTTGCCTCTTAGCCACCGAGAACCTCCCAGCTATCTGCTACTGCGGGGCGAAATCAAAGGTGTATGCGACCCGCGGATTCTCTCCGCCCAGCATTGCTAGGCGTGGCGGCCTCAGACCCGGAGCGACACCTCTGCTACGTTAGCAGCGTACAATGTCTCATCTTGGCATGGCTACAAGCTGCGAATCTACAGGCGCAAATCCATCGCATGCTTCCAAAACGAACCGCATCCACACCTCTCGAACGAGCATGGGCCGAGATCCATGGGGTGAATTTGTGGGGAAAGGTTGGGGGAGCGCCATGCTTCCCGTTATTGCTTTCATAGGCGCCGGCCTTGCCGTGGACCACGGTTGTGGGAATCTTGGCTACAAGCGCTGCATCATGGAGAGCGGGAAGGGCTACAGTAGTCAAGTGATAGTTCTCGGTTACTTAAAGGAGAACCATCATGCTCTGGATGTGCCTGAAGCGCTGCCTCCCTCAAACATAGCCACGCCCTGCATTGGAGTAAACTCGTGTTAGAACCAGCCAGCGAGTATGGAGCCCAAGAACCAAGAATCAGTTCATCTTGAGAAGACTATGTCGGAAACGAAGCAGGACTCCGTTCATGAGGAGAATGCGGCCGTCCCCGACCAGAACAATGTGGTTCAGGACTGGACCGAGAAAGAAGAGCATGCCTTAGTGTCAGTCACGACCAGAGCTGAGAGGAGCATGTTCTAACCTGAACAGACGCAGGATCGACCTCAGTGTTTTTCCGATGCTTTGTACTATATTCGCCTTTTCCCTGCTCGATAGGACCAATATTTCGGCTGCTTACATTGCTGGACTTGCACAAGACCTGGCATTGAACGTAGGGTGCGTTCAAGGTTGTCACTCTCGGCTGAAAGATGCTAACGAAGGGTATTTCGAAGGTCTCGCTATTCGATTGCTCTACTTGTCTTCTTCATCGGTGGGCTATTCGAATTTGGATGTGATTTCCAAGGCTAACAAAAGCACAGGATATGCACTTTTCGAAATCCCCTCAAACATGGTCATTCGTCGCATTGGAGTACGAATCTGGCTTCCATTTCTCATCATTGTGTGGGGAGCAGCGGTCCTAGCAATGGGTTTTATTCATAGCTGGATCTCACTCACAGTTTTGAGGGCTATACTTGGAGTCTTCGAGGCTGGCCGTAAGTATGGCATTCTTGGAGGAAATGTCGTGTGACTAACGTCAAAGTCTATCCTGGAGCTGTATTCGTCATCGCCTCATGGTACCGCAAATTTGAGATGGCCAGAAGAATATCACTCTTCTACATGGCGGCCCTGTTAGCTTCAGGGTTTGGCCCAATAGTGAGACTTCTCCATCCCTCTTCTGCGTTTGGAAAATTCTAACATTGTCAGTTTGCATATGTATTATCTCTCATACGTGTCGGCGACGGGATGTATCGACAAGGCTGGCGATGGAGTATGATCCCAATCAAGCTCCACAGAGAAACAGAGAGACTAACGGAATCCTAGTCTTCATCATTGAAGGCATCCTGACCATTATTGCCGGCCTCGTGGCCCCGTTTTTCTTGGTTGATTGTAAGCCCTGCTTTTGTCATGAATACATCGTGATCGGAGGCTGATCGATGACCATCTACCCAGTTCCTGAGAAGGCAAAATTCCTGACTGAGCGTCAAAAGCATATCGCTATGACCCGACTCCGGGAAGGACGTGCGAGCGAGAGCATGGAACATGCGACAGTCAAGCAAGTGCTACGTATGTTGCTGGACTGGAAGCTGATCGTGTTGTAAGCATCAACTAAAGCAGGAGAAGAGGCGAATGCTTATGACTCGACTAGTTCTTACCAATACTTCGTGGCTGCCACTACTGTCTACGCCCTTGCATATTTCCAACCCATCATCTTGCGACAAGGGATGGGCTACAGCTACGCCGCTGCACAGCTGTTGTCGAGTCCGCCATATGTCTTCGCGACGATCATGAGCTTGACCACGGCCTGGATTTCAGACAAGATGAAGATCAGGTGGCCGATAATCTGTGCACAGTGTGTCGTAGCTGTGGTCGGTCTCGTGATTGTCCGCTATGGAGGAGTGCCTGGATTTCGATACTTTGGCCTTTTCCTCGCCGTTTATGGGTCACAGGCCAACGGGCCGCAGTTCCTTGCATATGCACAGAACCAGACGGCGACGATCAATAAGAAGGGCGTGGTTGCTGCTGTCATGATCAGTGTTGGCGCGGCAGGAGGTGTCACTGGAAGTACCATCTTTCGATCGCAAGATGCTCCGGTAAGTTGTAGGTTCTTTCTCCCAGCGTCCGGTCACTAACCTGTAAAGAGTTACGGCCCTGGTATATGGACAACGATAGCACTCCAAATGATTGCTGGAGTCGCCACATTCTTCACTTCAAGGTGGCTTGGTCGTCAAAATAGGCTGGCTGAAGAAGGCAAGGTGGTTGCTTTGGAAGGCGTGGAGGGCTTCCGATATGTCCCATAGAGTAGGTTCAGAGCGGTATACCTAACTGAACCCAGCATTGAAGTTCACGGCCTTCAATAGGTTATCTTGCCGAAGTACATAACTTGGGAGCAATCATAGCTAGGTCCCACATGTCTAAGCAATTTTAAACACGCCCTTTTCCCCTTGGTCATGCACCCTGTGCAACTTCCTTCAAGATATTTGCCAAACTATCCGGCTGACTATGAGTTGGACAGTGTCCGCTCTTGAGGTTATGCACCTTTACCTCCTTGCCGCTCGATGACTTAATTACCTCAATCATTGCCTGCTGGAACTGAGGCGGAATGATTTTGTCCTCCTCGCAGAAGATATAGTGGACCTCGACGTCGTTATAGCCCGGGTACGTCAACTTTCCCCTGAAGCTCGGGGTCGAGTGCACCGACATTCGATTCGCCCATTTCAAAGCCTCATCTTCCGCGAGGTCGGAGAATGTAAGTGGAGCATTCGCCGCAGCTGAGACGGTCATGTAGTCGTCCTAAATTACCACCATCAGAAATCGGAAGGGGAAACCAATACCTTTCGGTGTGGGAGTTCACGCACGCTCACAGACACCCAGTCAGGCATGTTTCCCCCGAACAACTCAAAGTTCGATGATCCGACCTGCAGAATGACTGCCGTCATGTAGATCACCTTCTTCACTCCGCCGTTCTTGCCTTGAGCACTACGGGCGGTCTGTGACAGATTTTCCAGACTCTGCGTTGTTGGGATGCCGCCGTACGAATGTGCAACCAGAATCACTTCTTTGCCCCGATCTATGAGAGGCAATACAACTCTGGTGATCTCATCCGCGTCATCTGTCATGGTGGCAGGGTCCTTTCCTCGCCGTCCCACAGAGGGGGTGTCAACGACCAGTGCCTCGAGACCGTGTTTGCCGAGAACCCCCACGAATTCCGTGTAGAGGTCTGCTGGGGCAAAGGAGCCTGGGACGATGACGATGGTTGCCATTTGAATGTGAGAGCGAATCTATGAAGCAACGAAAGCTGTCACAGTCGTGTGTTGTCTTGAGTAACTTTCAGCTGGGACAAACGCGGGTGCCTACATATATCCACGGCCTTAACGAGTCAGGCCCTTAGGCGTTCGGTCAGCCCTACAGGGGGCCTAGGGGCGAAGACCTAGGGTTGCCATAGCCCGGGGCTTGGCGGATTTGTGCATAGGGATTTGGTAAGCACTTTAATTACAGTATTCGTTCCCGGTTCCTTATGCCGTCACTCTACACACGTACATAATAGTTTTCCTAATGTGCGGATCATGATTCTAACTAGGTAGCAAAGTAAATAATTGCAATTCCGTTGTCCACCGATCACTAGAAAAGAGTTATTGCTAGGGAGCTTGTCAACTTGAGCTTCACCGTTCGTTCCGTCACTCTGAATGCATCAAATGCTTTCTAGGTGGAATAATGATAACCAGGGTGGTAGTCGCAAAGCCTTTCATAATCCTCGTCCATGTCAGGGTCGACTTCCCCTCTAGCGGCAAACTCTGCCTGTCTCTGCTCTTTTGCCTTGTTTGCTCGGGAACAAATCCACCATGATGCTATGGCGCTGGCAATGCCAATTGTGTACACTGCCAGAGCTATTCCATGCCCAAGAAAGTATCGTGGAGGGTCGCGGTATATCTGTGAAGCCATTATGCTGTAACCTTGAATAACGATCTGGACGACCCAAGATGCGGTCGCTCGCTTCGTGTAACCACCGTGAAATGTCATCAGCCAGGAAATGGTGACAACCAGGCCTGGATACGCACCGCCTGCTACGAAGCATGCTCCAGCAACCAGGGCCACCTTATTTGTCGTGGCTAACAGAATGACAAATCCGGTTGCAGTAATGCATAGGCAGAGAATAGCTACCAATGCCCGCTGGCGAAGGTGATCGGAAAGCCACGAGAAGAATAGAAGGCCCACCAAGCCAAAGGCATACGGGATCATTGAGTAAAGCTGAGTTTCTAGGCGCGGGAACCCGAACTCCTTGATAAATGTTGGCAGGAACACGGAGAAGGCTCCAATTCCAACGCCCGCAGTTCCCACCATGAGTGATCCCGTGTAAAGTTTGGGGTCTTTGAAAGCGATCCAGATCTGGTGAGGTCGCAACTTTGCACCCTTCGAATTTTGTGCTATTCCATACTGTTAGCCAAATTCCAATACGGTCTCACGCTTGGCCGCTGGTTCATCATGGCTTACACTTTCCGAAGCGTCTGAGTAGGGCCTGACGGTCTTCGTGACTTCGAAAAAGGTACGAGCCCTTAGCTGCGGTCTCCTCTGGAAGCCCTGGCAGGAAGATGAGCACAACAAAAGCGAATCCACAGGTCGCGACCCCTTCAATCACGAACAACCATTCCCATGATTTCAGCCCACTGCTGCCCTCAAGATTCCTACCCACTCCGTAAGCGATAATGCCACTAATCGCGCCCGCAATAGGTGTCATTCCATAGATTGCACCTGTTTGTTCCGTCAGAGAAAAGGGCCATGTGGATAGATCGATACAACATACCGACTCTGGTTGCCAATTCCTCTGGCTTGTACCACAAACTCGCGAAGATGAATGCATTTGTTGTGAATGCTTCCCCGAGTCCAATAAGGACTCTCAGTGCCATGATGGCTCCATAACTCCTTGCTGGCGGGATAATTGCAGCAAATGTCCCAAACGCAACAAGTGCTAGGCTAAAGACATATCGAGGCTGGAAATATCTCAGGGACATCGCGGCGGGGAGCTCGATAAGCATCTTGATAAGTGTCAGCCTTCCGTTGTGGATATATGGAGCAAGATGGAGAAGGATGATAGGGATGGAAACATACGTAGCCAACATCTGAATTTTAGCATGGTTAGTCGCCGCTGCCTGCACTCTTTGGGGGCATTTAATACGCACAGAACATCATGACGCAGTTATAGAACTGCTGACTGGTAAGACCTAGATCGGTTTGCATGCCGAGGACGCGAGCATTGCCTATTTGACCACGGTCCTTAAGAAAATTGGTCAGGCGCAAGCATTTCGTCAGAAGAGTTCGTAGACTGCTTACCAGATAGCCAAAGAAGATACTCAATGAAAGAAGCGGCAGTAGGACGAGGTCCAGCTTCAATCGCACCCTCCTTTCTGCTTTCTCGTCCACAGCATCATTGCCCGACGATACCGGTGGCATTTCCTCCGGCAGCACCTCTAGAGCGAGAGCTTCTCCCTTTTCGCTCTCCATGGTTGGGAAAGTAGACAATGTCAATAGTAGGATGTGAACCTGTTTTGATCTTTTGATCTTGGTGTCTGTCACTTGTGAGAAGACAGGGGAGGTCGAGATTTATACCAGGCCTGGCTATCTGGCTTGCTCCGAGTTATCAGCGTTGCTCGCTTCTGGGCATCATCCCAAAATCGCGAAAGAAGCCTACGCCTCCCTGCTTAATGTCCGTCCTTCTGGGAATGATGGGGAAAGTGTGGGGTGGCCAAGGGGCGATACACACGTGACCGGACTTTGGCGACCAAAATCGCACATCAATGTTGCGATTCGGCAAATGTAACCTGAAAGGATGCCAATAGTGAGGGTTCTGAACTAAAAGCCGGAAGCACCAAGTGAGGTTTGGCTTTGTTTGGGAGTTGTCACTCTGACTTAGAACCGTGCATCGCCTGCGGATCTTTCGAATGCGTTCAAATTGCCGATTCCTCATCCCAAAATCGCCTTTGGATGCTTGAAACGTGAATGTGAGATAATGCTCACGGCTTGTTGATTTGTGGACTTGTGGAATATTGGGCGCTTGCGCTGGATTGCATAGCAAACCTGTTTTGGTGGTTGTTTGGAAACCTGTTCCACGCTATCAACACCGCATTCGGGGTGATTCGAATACTGCTGGCAGCTTTCAACTAGCCCCGCCATGTTCGGACATCGCGACCAGAGGTGTTGCCACATCCTGCGGAAGGTCAAACCAGTCATCTGTGACTGTGTTTTCCAGGAATGGCAATGAGAAATCGATCAGGGGAAATTGCAACCAGCCCACATCCATTAAGCTTGCTGCGGACCCGGTGTCTGGAGTGTCTACAATTCCCCCATTTGATGTTGTGGTCTCTTCTGGTCATGAAAGTCAGCGAAGGTACATAATAATCTGGGTTTAAAGAAAGAGCAGAGTCTGAATATTTACCGTCAATATCCTCGTCCTTGAATGGAAGTGGTTCTCCCGTGAACTCCGCTCTCCACCACCAATAGCTTTCATAAAGCACACTCATCCCCAATCTGCTGTGGCATCTCAGTTTCAGTGTGTCCGTCGTACCATCAACCTTACGATACGCTTTCCTGCTCATCCACATTTGCGAGAAGCAGATGGAACATCTTGCCCAGAAATCATCCGCGCGGACCGAGATCTTTTTATGCATTTGAATAATGCCAAAGTAGCACCTCTTCCCGCGTGGCACATCTAGACTCTCTCGAGCCACACTTCTTTCAAGTCTCATGATCAGTACAGCTGCTAGATGCAGATGTTTGATGAGGAATAAGGGTGCGTAGTCACAAAATTGCTGGACCTGGTCGAGGGACATGGCTAGCTCGACAAGACTACAAGACGTTGCAAATAGCGTTTGAATCTTCAATGCGTCTATCTGGCCTCTCGACAGAAATAGATAGAACTGTTGAATTTGCAAGGTCGCTGCCGTTAATGCAAATTGGTCTGCAGTTGTTAACTTGTATGCACACCTTCCGACCACTTCTGACTTACCGACTAGTGTAGGACATTCGTGCTCAAGAGTGGAACGCGTTAGTCGCCAAGCTTCGATCATAGTAACGATGCGAAGGTCTCTTTCGGTTGTTGGGCTCGGGAGTGCTTGAGTTTCGACATTGAAAAGTGCTTCTGTGTGTAACTGGTTCAATCGTTTCTGGAATCGTACCGAGCCTGGTACTGAGTCATAGGCATGTCGATTGGAAGGACGATCGTAGGTATCAGGAATCCAGATCGGAGGTGTTCCATTGATCGCACTGATTCTGCAGTATCTTTTTATTAGTGAAAGTAGCATGAACATGGCGGAAGGCCCAATACTCCACCTTTGACAAGTGGCGATACAAATGGACCAGAGCTTCGTGCGAAGTTGCGTACGCCTGCTGTCATCCGGAAGCTTCGTGCGTGAGAAATCCTGCCCCACCCCAAGCACGTGGAGACCATTGGTCATGGCAATACTTAAAACCGCTCCAGCAACAGTCGGTGTATAATCGCGCGAGAGCGAGTCGAACGGCAACGGCCAGGCGCAAAGGAGAAGGAAAGCTTGTATGGTACAGAGACTCCCGTCCGTTGACAGGATAGCTTTTCCAACCAGCTCCTTGACTTTGGGTGCAAGCAATATCACCAGAGTGGGATCTTTGGCGTATCTTCTTGAACCAATTGAGATGATAGTCCAGAATAGCAGCGTTGATTCGTTGTAGCATTCGTGCGGTCGCAAATTTGCGTCCACTACAGGCTGATGAGGAAGGTAGTTTTGTAGAAAGCTAGATAGAAGTATATGATCAGCAAATCAATCTAAGTAATGTTTTATAGCGCAAGGTGCAAAGTGCTGGTATCATATCTGGCAGCTGGGACGACAACAAACTTACAGATTGAAACAATCCTGCATCTCTGTTTGTCCAACCGTCAAGTCCCCAATTGCCCAAGAGCCCTCGGCGGTTTTCGGTGTGGAGGAGCACTGTTGCTCTTGTTCGATGGCATATTGCTTTTGAGAGTTTTCAGGCGGAGACATGAACTGATCGACTTCCGTGCTGAAGGAGCGACTGCCATCGATCTCCTCAAGGCCAAGCTGGAGTTGGCCACCATTGCGCAAAGTTCCATGGCTCAAAAAGTCCACTGGAGGCTCATGGTACTCTGAAAATGCAGCCTGCTGCAGCTGATTTCTCAGAGACTGCACCTCCGCCTGGAGCTCGGATTTCCTGCATTTGTACGTGTCAGGTGAGAATACCTGAATCCCTGGAGACTTTCTTGTTCGCCTACCTTCGTCGTTTGATCCTTTTGTAGGTCTGTGAAATCTCGCAATGGAGCTTCTGACGCCGACAGCGCGAGCACGGCAACGAGCCGAGGTCTCTAGCATCGCACTTGAGCTGGAGAGTTTTAGCTGATGGTGACCGGCCTCCGTGCCGTAGACGTGTCGCTTACCTTCTGCTGCCGACACTCCGTACACGCCTTGATCCTGTTTCTACTCACGGCCGGTGGGGAATCATCCATAATTTATTTTACAACTCCACGTCCTCGTGCAGACTGTGCTGGCAGGTTGAGGCTGAACTAAGGTGCCATCTAGTGTTGATGTCAATTCGATGTGCAACAAGGTGGGAGGTGGAGAGTCTTGACACGGGACAGGGCTTATCTAAATACCTGCGCCGCACCATAACCTTAAACTTAAACTCCGGATTAACGAAGCAACGAAATAGATCGAATGAGGACTTAGCAATACTGCGAAGGTAGTCAAAGGTCTAATTGCATGGCGATAAATTGAATCCATCCAAGTAGAGGTCTGCTCTTTGAATAGCTAACACGAGTCAACTACCTAATTATGTCGCCCCATACCCCGTGGCATTTGGACCCCCAGAGTCACAGACGAGCCTGTACCATTAGATTTTCAATCGTTTGACCCGACATGTTCTTCGTCCAGTCTACAATCCTATCAATCTTTTCGTGATCGAGCATCCCATTGACTAGCCCCCTGAACTTCTTCTCAAGGGCATTCCAAGTCACAGGTCGCTCCTCCTCCCACAATAATTGATCCACGGACGCCTCGGAACACGAACCATCAGTCCGTGTCACCGTTACTGTCGTTGCAGTCAGATTGGGTACATCTCCCACCTCCACTCTGATCTTGTCCGAGAGTCTCTTGACTTGATCATCGTGCAGATGATCATAGACCGACCAGCCAAGGTTGCTGCCGTATAGAAATGACACGGCGGCTTGGTAGTACACACTGAACTGCGCATCGACAATGTTCTGCGGATGAACCTTGTTCAAAGTTCGTTTTCCAACGACCGGAAAACAAGCGGCAGACATCTTGATCTTGATGGAATCGACCATATTCTCATCCCCTGAACCGTTGGCTAACCGGTCAGCCAGCTCGATCATCCCATGAGTCATCCGACAGGCTGGATAAGGCTTCAGCGCGGTCTTCAAAAAAGACCATTCGCTACCAAGACCATTTGTCAACTTGATCGTGTTGTAATCTCCAGAATATGCATGGAGAAAGCCAAATGCACCTTCTATTGGCAAGGCAGCACCTAGTACACCGGCCTCTGCGAACATAACAGCTTCGAAAGCACTTTTTGCCGCAAGACCAGGGTGGAGCCTCTTGTTCCACGACCCATTCTCGAGGTATTGCATCGACCCTGAAGCCATTGACAATGCGAGTCCAAACGCGTTCTTCAGAGTTGTGGAGTTAATGTTTCTCAATTTTGCGATAGCTGCCACGGCACCAAAAATGCCGCAAGTTGCGGTGTTATGAAAGCCTCGCGTGTAGCCGCTTGCGCCGATTGCAACGCCCAGGCGACAAGTGATCTCGTAGCCTATCGCCAAAGCTCCCAAAAGGTCATGCACGTTGCAAGAGGATGTCTCTGCCTCTGCAAGTGCAGCAGAAACGACAGGCACTCCAGGGTGGAGAGCAGCTTCCATATGAGTATCGTCGAAATCCAGGCTATGCGCATGAGCACCGTTCAACAAAGCTGCGTACGGTGGGGGCATTCGAAGATTGGTTCCAATTACAGTGGCTGTACCTGAACTAGATTGTGATATTGCCTTGACAGCAGTTTGGAAAGGCACACTGGACTCTGGAATTGTTGCTCCAGAGACAGCCATACCGATGTAGTCCAATAATAACTCAGATAATTTATGTCGAAGTTTATCTGTAAGATCTCCAGAGCCAAAATCCATCACAAACTTCACAAGTTTGTCCGTTATGTTCGAGTCGTCTTTGCTCTCCACAGAAGTGCCGTTAATATGGGTTCCACTCGATTGCTCTAGGAAACCATTACTTTTCAGATTCGACTCTGAAGCCACCAGGTTGACGTCGTTAATGTGAGAACTGCCTACTTTTGTCTCGATTCGGCTTGAATGCACACCATTAGTTCTGGGAACCTGATTTCTGTTGACCTCTGTTCCGTAGTACCTATCCTGGAAGTCTTCGGGAATGAAAATATCTCCTTTAAAGAGATAACGCGATGTGCGCATAAAGGATAAAGTTTCGAAGCTCGGCAGACCATTTTCGTCTGGGTATTCTGTTTGCACTGATATCGGTAAGATTCCACCTGGGTGCTGAATCTTGAAGGTGTTTGTGCTGGCTGCTTTGGTGTCTAGCATCAGGTTGATGACAGAGTTCCTGATCTTGCCACAGGCTGTGGTCGCAACTGCACCGGTTAGTGCCATCGCCGTATGGCATTTATTGTCTAGGAAGAGACGTGATTGAACATGTGGTTCGTTGGTAGTCGGTTTGGAGATCAGGACGATCATGGGGAACATTGGCGATTCTTCATCCACTTTCTCCGGATCTTTGCACAGCCCGACCCTTTGGGCAACCAAGCCTCGTAGACGTTTGACCCTGGCAATTAGGGCATTGTCACCAGTCAAATCGAGAGCTTTTTCGCCACCATTTATCAGAAGATCTTTCGCTCTTGCAAATCCAAACAGATTAGCCATGTCTGTTATGGTAACATGCACAGTCTTGTCCCCAAGCTTGATTTCATCGATGGGGTTCCCAGTCGGTAGCAACCCTTTATCAAGCGTCCCACCGGCCACATCTCGATAATCCATAAGTATAGGGGCGCCGGTGCCAGGACAGCCAGCTATAGCATATTCGCCCTTCTCTTTCGCCCTACCAGTCTTTTCGTCGATGGGAACATGGGATATAAGTGTTTTTTGGGTCCCAGTGTTGAATATCCTTATCTGTTGGGTCCGAGTCTTTCCTCCGTCAGGACTCACACCTTCTTTAAAAGTCTTTACAATACCTTCGTTGATTGCAAAGGGGCCGACGCCCGCGGAGATGTTTCCACAATTACCAGAGCAAGAAACTCTCGCTTCCTCGACGCTGAGCTGGTAGAAGGTATAGTCCACGTCCACAGCTTCATGTTGTGAGGGCGCTATGACTGCTATTTTCGAGGTGACGATATGTGTTCCGCCCATGCCATCAATCTGCATGGGATCGGGGCTTCCCATGATCCTCAGGAACAATGAATCTCGTAGTGGCCCTTTTGGTGGAAGATCTCCATCGTGGAAAAACAGCGCCTTGGAAGTTCCGCCACGAATGTACGTTGAGGGTATCGATGCTGGGGTTGTGGGCTGAAACAACATGATGTGCACTCAATGCTCCAAATTTGCGCTTTAATTTGATATCCCTATTGCTGTATAAGCACCATCAAGGTCTGGAGGTACGACTAGTACATCGGGTGCTAGGTCCTTTGAAGGCAAGCGCGCATGACTATATATGATAGAACACATCTTTTCGGACTTTGAGACCTTAGATGCCGGTAAAAGGATGACCGCTATTGTGGTCACTATGAGGAATCTTACTTTGCCAGTGACTCGTAGTGCAAGTAGAGTTGTTGAAAAGGCGATGCTCGGGTTGCGAAGCAGCCACGTCGCAAAATGACGTAATTTGGATACAACCGCAAGGCTGCCAAAAGCCGATGTTCGGACTTTGCCCCGCAAAATCGCATGTCCAAGACTTCTTTTGCCTCAACAGGTGGAGTCGATAGAAAGGTCCAGTGTTGACTTGGGATCATTGTCCACAGTAGTCATTGAATTCTAATCTTGTTGGCGGGGTGCCGCGTGACCCACTGCCCGTGGACAAGTTATGAGAGCCAGTTGTGTGCAGTGTCCGTGCTGTGGAGTGAGGAGATGAAGTAGGAACATTGATGAACGCATTGCTCATCCTTGGACTGAGTTAATCGTTAGTTATGTATGACGAATAGGAAGCCATTTTCCCAGTTCAACTTAGGATAGTGCGCCAAAGGAAGAGTGCCCGGCCGCAATCCACATTGGCACAAGGCTACCCACATCTCCCTGGCAGGTTCGAGACCCTCTAAATTCCTCCGAGGAAAATGTGCAAGAAAATCAGTGCGAAAGTGTCTCGCAGCAACGTGTCCGATATGTACGTTGATCCTCGTACACTTCACATACCTTCATGGGCAAATATCACAGTCGGAACACCGGCATAACGAGCACCATCGCTTTCTCTGCTTGTACCGGAGTACAAGTGTGACTGGCCTTCTGGGTGCCTTCTGGGCCCAGCGCCGCTTATCTCAGCAGAACCACTATCTGGATGCACTTGTTATGCCTTGGGTCTGCGAGACCCTTTGCACTCGTGCCAGAGTCGGCCGAACGCTAATTCGCTAGAACTCTTCAAGCCCTGGATAAGATCAAACCGCTTTGAAGAATTCCAGCCGAGAATAAACTTATCATGAAAGATTCCTCATCCTGCAGGAGGTCTATTTCCCGGAAGACTCTCCAACAAGGGACCGATGATTGGTCATCAGCAGTTTGCAAGCAGGCGAGGCCGCCCGAGCACCAGCAATGCCTCCAGGGGTAATGCAGCTTATCGTCCCCAAATATCTCTCACATGTACTTTAGTAAATGACGCCGTTGGGCGAGACGAGGCCAGCTCTGATACAAAACATTGCCTTCTACCACGACTAAACCCTATCAAGTCAATACTCGTTGGTTGTTTCGCCCGCCTCAACAATGTTCAACCAGAGTTAAGGTCCCCGTCTCGGGAGAAAGAGAGCACATAGCACTGCAATGTTCTATCGTCATTGATCCATAACCCTACAACCCTCAAAAGGCTGAAACATAAGAACGATAAACTCAAGCCAACCATGGACAACATCAGGATATCTCGTTCGAGGAGACCTCCACCGTTGTACGAGGCCGGTGATTTGGAATGAGTGGACTTTTCTCGGTGACGATAACAGACACTGAAAAACATTCAGCCTGAGACTCGGTGCTCGCGTGAGAGCTTACCTCCGGGTAGCTGCTGGCTTTCCGCGTGGCTCATACATCAGGGAACGGGCTTTTAGCACCGTGGAGCTGGTGTGTTTCCACGAAATCAAGTCTTCGGGCAAGTCTTTGGATGCCGGAGGGTGAGGAAATCACATGCCGAGGATTTGATTTGGTGTGGCGAGCCAAATTTGCGATAACTGACGTGATGTGGCAGAAGGCTAGCGGATACCCAGGACAAACAAGCAGCCTAAGCTTTCCCTACGAATTCCAGGGAGAGGCTGCAAACTTAAGAGTACTTTGTCATTTCCCTTCTTTGGTATGGTATGAAACAGATACGGTGAAACGAATACAGGACAAAGATATCTGCCGTGTACGACTGGAAAATTCCGGCAGCTTATGACGCTTGATGCCGCCGCATCTCTTTAATGGCTCGGTAGCACGGTCGGCAGACTCACCTGGCGATGCTTTGAGGGTGAAGTCTTAGGGAAGACCCTCCTACACCAAAGTGTTTCCCACTAGGCGGCCCATTTTGACAACAAGATGAGAACCATTGAATGGACTTGTTTTATTCTCCAAGGCAGTGCTGCTTCAAAACTAATATGGAAGCCTGAACCTACAATTTAACATGGTAGCGCACTGAGCCCGTCCCGTCGCGGTACTGGTCTAGAGCGGCATTCACCTTATCCGCGTCCAGGCCCTCGATGACGGTGTAAGGCAATGGCTTGACCTGGCCGCTCTCCAGCCAAGACGAGAAGACTTTCCAGAACAACCTTCCAAACTCTGGGATAGCACCTGAGAATCCTGAGATATGTCTGTGGTCGACGCCGGCCTTCTTCTGGGCAATGAGAGCTTCGTCCATTTTGCCACCAACGAGATGAATGAGTGTCCCGCGTTTCGTGCTCGACAGGAGAGACAAGGCAAGGCTGTACTCTCCGGTTGAGACAGTGTCAAAGACGTAGATCAAGTCGTCCCCAACGATCTGGCGGACTTGGGATTCAATGTCCGGGTCTTGCCTCGCAATGACGTGTGTTGCGCCGAACTCTTTCAAGGCGGTCGTGTTGGAGAGAGACGCCATGGCAATGATCGTTCCAATGCCTGCGATTCGTGCGAATTGAACGGCTAGTTTGCCTGTATTCGAGCCGCCTCCGATAATGACCAGTTTCTGGCTCGCATAGTCGAAGGTTTGTGACTCAGGGGTCTGCGGGAAGGGCAGTCCAAAGCCCGCAGGGGTGAACAGGGCCATGACCGAGGTGAAGGCGTTGATGGGATAGAGTGCTGCTTCTGTCGCAGGGATTCCTGGTGGGACGATTGCAGCGAATGACCCGTTGACTACAGTGTAACTTTGCAACCCGCCATCAGTCGGGACCTTGAAAGAGGCTTGTGCTAAGATCTGGGCGCCAATAGGGAATGATAAAGACACATCTGTACCAGCCTTCACGACGGTACCGACTAGGTCGCCTGCTAGGATCGCGGGTAGTCTACTCCCAACGTTCATCAAGTTCCTGTCGCGGATCTTCTGATCATGGGGCGCAACTGGAATCGACACGGTTAGACATGGTGCGTGAACAAGGAGAGCAGAGAATAATTCTCAGATTGGGAAAAATACTAACGGCCGGCAGCTGTGAGTTTAATCAAGAGCTCATTTGCCCCGAGCTCGAATGTATCAGGACCAGGTACAGATATCTTGGTTAGGGGCTTCCCAATCTCGGTAAGGGCGAGGGCAATTTGAGTGGACATGGTGAATGACGAGGATATTGACAGCGGAGGGTGATGTCTAACCTTTGGAATATAGGACAGCTTGACCTCGAGGGGAAGTAAAGTTGAGAATTAGCAAGAAGCCCATCCCATGGTTGCTGCAGGGTATCTTATAATTTCGTCTTCGGTGCACAATGCTGGCACAGATTCCATTCTCGCGGTTACCATCTTTAACTCCGCGTTTTATGCATGTATCTCATTTCGAAGGTCAACACAAGAACATGAAATGGTGGGGAGAAGGACCCAGTGACTGTATGTAACTCCCAAAGTATGAGGCTCGCGCTAACTTCTTTGAGATCACTCGCGCAAGTCTAACCAAAGAGAGAAAATGGTGTGGATATTTCCGTCATCAGACCTGGAATATGAGGATGTTTGAAATGCACGGCGTCTAAAGCCCAGATGCAGTCAGTCGCTGGCACATTAGATCGATGACCTTGCATAAATCCGATACAGCATTTCTCCCGTCTTTATGTTGTCCTAGTATGGTGGTAATGGAAGGGGCATAAAGCGACGATGATCCATCTACCTCGGTCTTTTTCTGACGGTGATAGTCCATATCTAGCTAATAGGTGGATATCTAGGAAAGCAGTACATGTATTTGTAGTAGTGCCTACTTATATTTACCCAGATTTGATTAGCATACCCGCCCAGAGTAGGACCTGGCCTTGGACTATGGAGTCGTTTGGGAAGGTTGTTGAAGTCTGTACTGTTCAGTCAGTAATGCGACTAGTCTCTGCTTAATGCTTCGATCTGACCTTGGAGAACACGGTTGCTTGTCCAATGCCCAAATTTTCACCAATCCAAGCGAGACACTCCCTCATCTGAATCTGCAAATGTGGTGGCACGATTGAGAGATTCGCAGCCACAAACAGGGGATGAATCAGCAGTAGGCCACCAACTGCCTTCCCAGGGTCGACTTTCACTGCTTTTACGCTTCCTTGGTCAGCGATGCTCTCAACATTATCTGCCACGTGAAATGGTATGGATGCCATAATATCATTTGCAAGTGTAGTTGCTTCCGCCCGCTTCTGTCCATAGGCATCTTTTTCTTGCAGTCGAGACAAGCATCGTAGCATGATGTCTAATAGCATTAAGCGTGTCTTCCGGTAGACATTCCATGCCGCAGCCACGTATACTGTCATAGTCAGCAAGTATCAACTGCGAAAACAGGGATCCTTACGGTCGAAATAGATGTCCACCTTTCCTGGCCACCAGCTGGGATGGTATAAAGAGGGCCCAGTTTGTGATTCGAGTCTCTTTGGCCTCCATTCATCATGTTGTCTCAACGGCCACCTGGAGAACTCCTTGTCCAGGACAATCACCCTCTGCAGCACTCTACGAAGATCTTCGGACAGAGTCAACTGATTGGATAATAACAACACGTTAACATTCTGCAACACCGGGCAGATATCGCTTGGAGTAATGTTCGTTTCAGAGGATGGTTTAACTGATGATGGGCTGCACATTGCAGCAAAAATCTCGGGGGGTTCGAACTATTCAATGCTTGTCAGTCGTCCGTGAAGTGCCTTTAGCAGGTTACAAAAACCTTTCTGGGCTCATCAAGCCAGAACGTGTCGGCGATTTCAGAAAGCATTCCAGGCATGGTAAGGTTGATCGGCGATTCTTTCGTACCTAGTATTGCTGAAATGCCTCTCGCATGGGCTATATGATTGTTGGAATTCTTCGTGTCGGCGGTAATGAGCTATCATCAATCATCATTCACTAGAACCGATTTCCTTCCTGGGTGGCTCACAAACCTCATAGAGACCTAGCAAGACAGCGGTCGTGAATGGTTGGACCACGTTCTTTGCCATTGAGCAGGACGATAGGGTGATATTAAACGACCGCAATAGCTCTAGATACAATGATCTTGCTTTGTAAAGGAGAGGCTTAATATTGCGCCTGTTGCCGAGGCTAGCTAAAGCAATGATGTTAGAAGCTTGAAGAATTTCGCTCCCAGGCTCAGCATCCCTAAGTAGGGACTGCAAACCATCCAGATAGCCACAAGACAGCGAGCGGTTGGAGGAAGATGCTGTGTAATTGCGGAAAAATGCCGACAAGGCACACTGCTCGATTTGAACATATTCGAACCTTTGAAATAGGGTTTCGGGAGTCCAGTCTGGAAATTGAGCTAGACGAGGCCGAAGCTGCCACGATGTCCGTTTATCACTTGGAAGGGTGCGTCGAAAGATAACATCTGCATCACTCCGATATCCTGAGCAAGTGATATTGGCTTTTGAACATCTAACGCATGACTGTGGCCATTTTGATTAGATTAAGAAAACTACCTGCTCAACAATTTGCGCTCCAGGACAATGGCAAGAAGCGGCGAAGCGGCTGGAATCGAAGCTGGTACAGAAGTAAAGCGCATGGGTGCTTCTATATCATACGCTGCTGGAAGAATTGTCATAATCAAGGGGGGATACAGTTTGACTAACAGGTCTGGACTGGTCACACTGGAAGAATTTGTAAGCATGATTAGGAGGAAAGATAACCTCTTCTTGCCTTTTTGCGTCTCTTTCTACAGGTGCCACAGGCACGGGAGACGCCATGGTAGACCATCTTCAATTGCGATCGATTGTGCCGAACTAGCTGTGCCTACTACTGGTAGGTACTCGTAAGACAGCGATAATGGGGATATTCTCAAGGGAGTTCGGGAAAGAGCACTTTGTAGTCAAGATGTACCACGGTAATGGCTATCGGAAGGTTAACCGAAGTGGGACGTCATTGACTGACTCACTGGCATCTTCGATCTGACATGCACGTGTTAGTTGGAGCGTTTTGTGGGATTGGATTTATGCAGCATGAATGAGATTAGTTTAATTTGAGTTCATAACAGTACTATCGTACTCGAAAGCGTTACAGCTGACAACGAACACAAGTTTTCACACGCGCTGGCTCATCTTGTGATGCAATCTCATTCTGCGATGCATAAAGGACCCTAACTCATCTCTTTCTGGCCATCACTCCAACAGTGACGTCTCTGACAGCATAATCAGCGAAATGGCATCGATGATCCTCGATAAATGCAGTCGCGGTTGATATGTGCGAGACATGCTCAAAATCCCCAGAGCAAGCCAGGGTATGACCTGGGATACGATTTACCCCGTCAACAACCAACGAGGCTGACAACGGTGCTGTGGTGATGGCAAGCTTGATCTCAGCATTGACGGACCTCAACTTCGGGTAGATATTGAATTTGGATCACGGATTTGCGAGCATAGGCGTACCGCGGATCCAAGCTTTCTCGTTGACCTCATTGAACATCCACTTTACCAGGCTTCCCCTGCTCAGGTCTAAGCTGGCCGTGTAGTTCTGATCGAGAAGCCCGGCAACCACAGCTGCATCGCGCAGACCGTCTGTCAAATGTGGGACACGAAACACGGTCCACTCAAGATCTCGATCTTTGTTTCCGACACTGATAACGGCATTGGCGATGCCCGCCATCTCAGAGTTCCCCTGCGGAGCAAACAAGCGAGGCATCTGCATATAGAACCACCATTTCCAAGGCACGGTTTTCGCTTCCTCGGCGGAGTAACACCCGGTAGGTGTGCTCAATGCGATGATTCGTGAGACGTTGCTCGCTTTCATTGTTGGTAAGATGCTGGACGTGAATGCATCCGCTATGGGATGCGACTTGTCGCGGGTAAACAGGGGCTTGAGAGTCATATATGCACCCAAGAACGAGACGACGATGGTGGCAGTCGGAAATTTCTCGTCTGCGGCGAGCGCTTTTTGTATTGCTTGCGGATCAGCAAGGCTCCCTTCAACGAGGCGGAAGTTGGCGTGATCAAGTGCTGCACTGGGTAGTTTGGACTCTGAGCCCGAGCGAATGAAGAGCGTCACATGAGGAACAGGCTTTTGAGCAGCCTCCTCGAGCACCTGTTGGATGAATTCCACACCTGAAGCGCCCGTAGCTCCTAGGAGGAGATAATGCTGACCTTGCATGGCGATTGGCTTCGTCGGCTGATCTTGTACTTGCAGCACCGTCAGCGACTATTATATATTCGACTTCGCAAAAATACACTGCATACATGCTATGCATATGTTTCAAAGAAAGATTTGTTCAATTTTTCGTAACTCAGAAATTCTATTGGACTCCATCCCCAAGAATTTCTCAGCGTTGCTGTTTTCGTCCGTGATCGGGGAGTTTAAGTACCGATATTTGTCTAAAGGGGTTTCCGCGACTTCGCGACAACATACCAAGTCAACAGCGTAGACATGCATTCTGTTGATAACTGTCCTCACGCTGGGAGGGTTCGGCTATGGACCAGACGCGAAAAGGGAAAAGTCAACTTACATTGCAGCGACGAGAAGGAAAGTGTTCCTGGTAGAGGGTGTTGTGGCGTGCCTTCCTCATTGGGACACGCAAGTCAAGGACCTCCATACGCGTGCCTACGCGCTCTCATACAAAGCTCTCCTTTCATTCAGTCATATCACAGATGATATTTATCAGTTCACTTCTTGTACTAAGTAGGTATCGCTATAAGGAGTCCCAGTTTTTGAGCATCATAGTCACCCACACGCAACAATCAACTGCTTACCTAAGGGTACCTCAACGCCACAGATTCACGAAATTACCAGCTAACAAGGTGAACAGATCCGGCTAAGTCATGAATGTGGCGCAACAATCTCCCCTCTCAACACGAGGGAGATTTGAGTTTGTAGGTCTTCCATTTACGAACGAGTCCGTCCCCAAGTTGGTCCCAACTTTCCCAAGATTGGATCGGCGAAGCCCAGATTGAAAGCGGATTCGATTGCTTTAGTATGGGGTTTCGCAGAAACGGACGCATTGGTGGTGCTTGGTAGGAGTACTAAGTACTAACGAACTTAGAAAGCTACCTTCCCTGTCCAGCCTTTCGCAGAAAACTTATCTGAGGCGGCGGAAAGTTAGTGACGCATCAAAAAGAACTCAGACTCGTCCCCATGGCTTACTGTGACCGAGTCCATCAACTATTGAGGCGCTCCCTGTGCGTGATGCACTGGAGGATCATCAACCGTCCAACTTGAACATGGAATGGAGTTACACAAATACCACCTGATCCTCACCGACGGTGACGGACGGTCCGGCTCGTTGGCCTCCTTCCAGAGGAGAGGGTACGAGTACACCCTTACGCAAGCAAGCATTGGCGGGTGTGCATCCATGCCTGTATGTCTCCGCATGATGACGAAGGGAGTACTCGTAATTGAAACACCTGTTGTCGTGCGCGCGGAATCTACCATGTTCGACCCATCGTGGTAGCGCTATCGTTGCTCATCTCACTTAAGCCACGAATGCGCAGATTTGAGTCCCCCACTAATACGTGTACAGCCAAAGCCTGTAAGGAGTCGTATGTACACCTTCCTAAGCGCCCACCGCTGGGCTGGAATCTTAAGGCAGTACTCCATAACTCGTATGGACATACGCATGCAATTAAAGAAAAAGATCCGCTGGTTTGGAAAGGAACCATTCGAGGCATGTTCCCAACTTGATCAATTTTGTTCTCAACACCGTTCACACCAGCTATGTACCACTAAGTTAGTGCCCTCGGTATGGTCGAAGTCCCTATCTGCCGAAATGAGATGCAAGTTGCTTGGTGTAGAAGTCAAGCCAGAATTGCACTACTGTGAGTGTGCTAGTTATTTAGCGAGCATTTACGTAGATTAGTGCAGAGATAACAGTGAACGGACGGCGAAAGCGCGGGGAAATAGATAGACTTGCTTGTAGCACTTGACAAGCACGGCGCGACACGAGGCAAGACATCTACTTAATCACCATCGTGATTGAGAAGGAAGCACTGTTTTCCTGGACACGAGAAGTGATTTTCAGTATAGTTATCATTTCAATTTTGGAATAACTCCGATGAAAAGGGGTTGCTATTGTTCCTCCCTCTTTCCTCCCATCACCAGGCGAGGCTGTCTTGTCCTGCAGCCCCAATCATTACACTGGCAGCCCCTGAGTCTAGGTAATAGTTTCAGCTTGTCTTTGTAGAAGTGAGAAAGTTGACATTAAATGTAGATGTAAGATCCTCCTCTTTCCTTTTTAGGTATAACCTGATTCGAAGAGAGGCGCTGGTGAAAGCACGACGACAACTCTGGGTGTTGAATGTAGAAAGAAGTTCTTTAGCTCCCCCAATCACCACCACCTAAGTAACGTAAAATGGCGCTTTGATAGCCGTAGATGAAGAATGGTACCAAGTGGTAGAGTGAAAAGGTTTAATTGTAGATGGTGAAAAGCTTGTCGTATCGTATCGATATATGAGGCTCTGGTTGGTTGAATGTATCGCTTCGATATATATGTCGGACGAAAGATGTCAAGTCGTGACCCAGGATCTAAAAATAACCCCCTGACCAACTCCATGCCATGAACGACGACCCCCTTTTGCTTGTGTTGCAGAAGTGGCTTATGTGAAGGTAGTCTTGAGGCTGACAGCGGAGCCCATGCCGCCGCAGCCGCCAGAGGGGGCACCCTCATGGATACCGTAGTTGGCACCGGGTTGCGATCCGTTTTCACAGTTGACGAGGAGGTAGTCATACATGCATACGTTGCCTGTGGAGCAGACAAAGACGCAGGTGTTCATGTCAGTGGTGCAAGAAGGGCCGACAATGCTCAGGCTGTGGCCGTCCATCTTGACCTCTCGAGAGACGTCAACAACGCCCCATTGGCCAAAGGTAAATTCACCCCAGGTATTGGAGAGCTGTCCGTTGACAAGTTGGGTATCGCCATAGACAGCGGTGAAGCCACCGGACACACCATCGGCGAACGAAAGCCAGATGGATTGTCCTGCGGGGATGGATGCGGTGATTTGAGGTTGAACAACATTGACCCACGAACCAGCGACGCCCCAGACGACCAGGATCAGATCCTCGCCCGACTGGTTGGAGAACTCGCTCTTGTAGGCACCACTGTCGCCGAGCCAAACAGCTCCGTTGGGGGCGTAGGAGTTGACACCTGAGGAGAGGACACCCAGGGCGGAGAGTTTGCTCATGTCTGCGTCAGTGATGGCGGCAGCGCGTTTCCTGTCGGAGTGGTCAGTCATGTTGGATGGGAGTCTGGTTAGGACAGTTGGGCTTACTCGGACTGGACGTGGTCATGCTTACGAGCATGGCTGTGGAAAGCAGAGTGAACATTGCCCACCGAGGCGGCGAAGGCCTGGCCGACTGCGAGGGTGGCCAGCACCAAGGTCTTCATTGTGCAGTGCATCTTTGGTATTGGGTTGGGTCTTGAAGGTCCGGTCAAGAGGTGGAAGTGTCTGATAGCAGTTGAAAAGGAGTGAAGCTGCGTTTGTGGAGTGACGATCTCAGATCGAGTCTGTTTGTTTTGAGTAATGAGTGAGGGAGGGCGAAGGGAGCGAAAAAGCTGCTGCGTGAAGGAGTGAACGCGAGCGTAGGCTGGCACTGCTGGAGAGCAAAAAAGAGCGGACGACGGTCTGTAGAGACGTCTGTGGTCAATAATATAATCCTGACAGAGGTGGACGGTGGACAGTGGACACGAGGACACAAACTTTGATGGGAGAAGGAAAGGGAGGAAGAGGGTCAGTCGGTGTTGGCGTTGGCCCTGGCGAAGAGGCAACGCAATGCAACAAACAGGAATGGGGCCGAGCCAGGAGGAGCACAGGAGCAGACGAGAGAGGAGAGGAAGCCGGGGGGGGGGGCGGCCGTACCTTGCAGCACTGGACGCAGGAACAGAGCACAGAGGCCAAAAGCGGAGCAGGCAGCTGGGAATGCCCCAATGGGACACCTCGTCCGGGGGGGCTCCCTCGGAGGATTAGGCTGGCCGTGGCTTGAAAAGAGGGTGGGACCGCCTGGGACGGACTGTGGACCGCGCCAGGCCTCCCCTGTCGGTACGTGCTTACTGCAGGCTAGAGCCAAGCATTTGCACGAATGTTAGGCTTGGATCCGCCAGAGTGAAACGGCCTAGCTCCAGTTGACTCTGCCCAATTTCCAGGCGCTGGGCAAATGGGAGGCGCTGTTTCTTCGCGTACCTGGCGTTAACTCAAGCTTATCCTGTCGCCTACGTCAACTGGCGTCCGCCATCGTGGATGTCGTGAGCTTCAAATCTGCCAGCAAAGGGGAGCACCTTACCTCGTAGGCCAGCGCCGGTCTGTCTACGTGTCAGGCTGTCTGTCATCTCCTGGAGACCTGGGAGGCTGGGAGGCTGGCAACAGAGGTTACGAATACCTGGAGTACGGAGGACAGCCCAGATCCCTCTTCTGACCGGCACTTGCTGTTCACGTGAACCCATGTAATGGTCGGTGGGGTCCCTTTGCTTGGCCGCACACTTGAATTCCACAGTTTCGGTTGCCCAGAGGCAGAGGATTTGTTTGCTATCGAACTTTCCACCCTCAGTCTGAAAAATGCACTTCAACAACAGGCTGATGCTCTTCTCCTCTTGCTGCGGTGTAAGTATCACCCAACTTGGCCAATGAATGCCATGTGCATCGGTTTGTTTACCAGCCCCCCGAGCAAATGCCACGCGAATGACCAAACTTAATCGTTCGCTCTTCTGCGGATTGGTTGTCCTGTGCTCGGGTGTTGTCAACTTGTCAGTGGCCCGAGATCTTCGCACGATAACAAACCAAAGTTGACCACACCTTACGGCAAGTCTTCTCGGAATATCCAAACTTCAGGATTTCCAAGATATGCCTGCAATTGCTATTGGTCTGCCAACACACCCGGTCTGCGTTTGCGACTCGCTGTTGAAGCCGGTATTCCTGAGACTGACACATCTCACTGCACCAGGCACCACTGGATGCCACCTTCGACAGTCAGTTGCATCGCGAACCTCGGCAGAATCAATGACCAAGTTTGTGTCTTTTACAATGTGCCCGTACCACCTACCTGGTACAAGGTGGAATGAGCAGTGCCTGTGGCAATCTCATCCCATGAATGGTGCCCTCGACAGGAATGGGATATCCCAGGAAGTTCTGGAGAGAATATTCCAGGGATCAGGGCAAGGTGGATATTTCTCGGGCGGCTCCTGCAGCCGACAAAATACCACGGAACAAACGCAGGCTTGTGCGGATATGCAGGAACGGACTTGGCAGTCGAATAAGAAGTCTCCTGTCAGTTTGCTTCTCACTGTTGAATCTTGAGTCTCGAGTCTCAAGTTTTCGGACCAGCCGCCTGCCGCCTCGCATCGCTGCCAAGTCAACACCTTCCTGTGTGCCGGGATCTAGTCAGGCACAAACCTGTTCCCACTGGAGACCAAAAAGCCAACGCTGTCAGGTGGGGGCCCAGCTTGCAGGCGTATTCTTTATCATGATCTTCATTATCCATATCGGCAATCTGATAAAGAACTGCCCTTGCGGGAGTCAGCTTCGGTCGCTAGCACGTTTCGAGGGCCGTTGAGTTGTCCATCGCATCGCAACTGACCACTCACAACCCTCGCGCAAAGAGAGTTTTTCTCTTCATGCAACCGATCTCTACCAAGGACGTCGGTCAAACCATTCGACTCCCACTACCATATATCCATGGCCGTTGGGCTCCGCCCTTTCCATGGTGACCAGTCAAAACTTGTCCCAAGCCAGATTTTTTTTCACTTTTCATCCGTCTGCCAGTAAGTGCATGCATGAAGCTATCGATAATATCCGGCCACCCACATGGTTTAGCAGATATGGGATACAAGATACAGTTACATGATTCGACAGGATCACTTCAACCATAAGCCTTACCCTATGATGAAGTGCTCCGTGGAGCACACCCTTCGTACCCGCTCCGCTGGCGGGGATGTTTGAGAGTTTTCCATCCTTACCAACATACCCAGCGCCGTGTCGAGTTCCCGCATGAAAATGGTCATGTCATCCTCGGGCTTTTGCCTTGGTTCCCACATTGGCGCCTGACGTTGTATACCACACCTCCCATCTGCTGAACGGCACCTCACCCGGAAGCGATAGATGAGTTAGGCGAAATACCCGGTGGCTGGTCCACTCAGACCCATTGACAAGAGATAGATATGGACATGGACATGGATTGACAAAGTTCGAGGACTAAGGTAAACAGCATTTCTGAGCATACATGGCTTTGAATACGAGATGGACTCCAAGGATGTGGGCTTTTTCAATGCATTGAGGGATTTAATGGACGAAAGAGAGAAGAGAAAGGGGGAATACCTAATCCTCAGCAAGTTCTGAGTGCTAAACGCCAATGCCAATTACGAGGAATATTGTTGCGTTGAAGCCGGGCAGATTCGTCGATTAATGAGAAGACCTGCCGTGACTTCACTCTTTCGGCGGGTCTACTGGTTTACCATGACAAATCGAGTCGTTCTCCGATTGATAGTTCAATCTAGAACAGGTGAGCTACTCACGGGACGCAGGAATGAGTCTAGGGCTTTTTCATAAACCACCGCAAAGATAATGGGAGTCCACGGCGATTGTGCAAGAATCCTGGGCGCTTTAGGACAAAGAACCACATCCATTGACTTACTCTTACTTGACGCAGCTCGACTACTTGGTATGATCTGATCACTGCTCAGCAACCAAGCAAGCATCAGCTTGCAATACTGGCAGTAGTATCATTTACCAGTCTGCATCAAAGAGCACCGCATACGACGTACTATACTTAACACCGAGCAGTAAGCAGTGTGCAGTCAGCACTGGACGAGGATGTCTGTGCGCCGGAAGAAAGCTCTTCCGTCTCCGTCCAGCAATTGGAACCCACCAGCTCCCCATTCTCATCTTCATTTCCCCCCAACGTCTCAGGTTCAAGCCCATTCCCGTTCCCATTCCCATTCCCATAAGCTTAAAATGATCGCCCATGTAAGGTTAACCTGTCCAGGGCTCTGAGCTGACACGCACGTGTCCGCTTAAATTGAATGAAATTACGAGTACGCCCCCGCCCCCCGGCTCACCAGGACTGGACTGTTCTCCTCCGCCTGGAGATCAAGCTGATCTCGTCTACTTGTGGGCTCTAGCCTCTCAGACGAGGCCAGCTAATCATCGTTGGGCTCTGCTGATCCCACGGGAGCGATGAGATATGCATGCGAGATCATACATGATTTAAAAAACGAAAGAGAAAAAACATGAGATTGTGTGACATTCTCTCCTCCACCGCCGCGAGGGACTACGGGACTACCAGTCCACCACTGCTATTGCGGATGGGATCATCTCATGCTACGTCTTACCAGGCATGGCGTACTTGACGCCCAGAGGACGATCGTTCGGTCTGGATCTGTGCATCGTCTGGCTCCCGGGGGCTCCCCAAACAATACAGCACGAAAACATTCGTTTTACGTACTGTACCTACCGAGCAGTACCCTGTACCTACTCCTGGATGGCTTCCAGCATTGACTCGAAATTGACTTGACCCTTCGCGTCACAGGGGACTAGCCCACGAGGCTAGTCAAGGTGCAGCGTAGCTCGGTGCCTACATAATACTGTAGACGACTCATTCGGTAGTGCATCCATATATGCATGCAAATGCCACAGGCACAGGTACCGCTACGGAGGACACGTAATTGAAGAAAGCAACCAGATCCTCTCCATATAGCAGTTTAGCGACCGTACTAAGTAGCGTAGCCAGTATCCCTCCCATGATCGTTAATCATACCACATATTGCCGAATGCAACATTCCTCAACGTTGATAACATATCCGTCCCTGGTATCTCTCCTCTCCTCCCCTATTTTACATATATGCATGATCTTCTCTGCGGAGCTCGTTCGAACGTGTGTCTACCAATGGCTTCGTCACTCTGGGATTTCTTGACTGTCAGTCCCTCTCAATTTGGGCTTGTTCCCGAAGCGACCCTACGAGTGTGTATTGTGCACGTCGACCAGAAGATCATGTCAGCTCCATCCATTGTATCACATTTCTCTCGTTGGCTAGCCAAGATGCTGCGTGCTTGTGTAGTTTGATTGCACATCCGGTAGTCGAATCTGGGGTGATTTAACAGGACTCTGGGTGTTGGCGATGCTCAAGTCATGTCCCAGCCCGAAATTAACGGGTGTCGCTGGTTATGTGGGATCCGATCTTCATCTTCATTATTCGAATCTCCACTGCCGCTGCCGCTGCCGCTCCGAATCTGCGACAGTCATTCCCCATGGTTCGTCAAGTCGGGGGAGTGATGTACCTTACCGGATCGGTGATCCGCGTTGTAGAAGATCGTCCAACGTCAATGAGCGCAGCTAGCCTCTCCAGCCTCGGTTTCTGCATCTTGTCATAGTAGAAGAACTTCTCTTGAAAGTTTCGAAGTACGCTTGTGGTCGTAGCCTCTGGTCCTTGCATTTCTCGGAACAGTCGAATGTTTTCGGGCAGGCCGAGTTCAAAGAGCCTCTCAATGAACCAGTTCTCTTCTTCCGTGTCTGTGCCGGCGCACATGGCGCCTATGGTTAGGACCCATATTTGGATGTCCACCCTTCCTTTCCATTGGTGATAGGGGTTCCTTGCTGTCCTGAGAAGGGACTGTAATTTGGGTGCCATACGGTGTCCTAAGAGCTTTAGACCTAATGTGACAGTCGTGATAAGGACCCATAGGAGTAGAGCCACTCGAATAGCTTCAAAGCTAGCATCTGAAAAGGCCATACTTAGAAGCTTGCATCTTATTGCTGCGCTTCGCCATTGCAGCCATTTGAGAGCGTGTTTGTAGGCAACTGAATGTTCCACGGTTCCGTATCGTAATAGCCAAGCACATTCTCGGATCTCATGCATGACATCTCCCAACTCGTCAGGTAAGTATCCATCAGTTGCAGGTCCTAAGAAAGCAGGAGCTACACTGCCGAGGTCTTGTTCTGGGGCAAGCTGCAACTCCAAGGGCGTAGCGGTCCAGTATGATCCAGGATCGTAGTCACAAGGAAGCTCAGTCGGCTCCAAAAGCACTGCCGAGACGTGAAGATCTCCTATGATGAAGAGCTCCCTCAACGCAGGATCGGGGATGTGATTCAGGCCGCCCCAGGAAGCGAATAAAGCCTTTGCAGCTCGCATGTGGATTTTCGCCGCAGGATAATTCTGCCTATATGCCTCACCTGCATAGAGGTGGAATATGATAAACAAGAGCTGGTCTTTTGATGAAGAGCTGAAGCGTTGCCTGACTGCCACTAACGCGTTGCCCATATATTTGTTTGTGCCTTGGTCGGGTATGCGATCGACAGCTTCTATCCTCGCGGCCATGGCAGCAAGCATAGCATTCATTTCCACTTCATTCTGCATTGCTCGTTGGATGATGAGTTTCGCAGATGGCAGATGTGTGTAGGCTCCATCGACTGAACCCCAACGTTCTGCATTCCAGACACTGGGATGATAGCTCTCGGCGAAATACCGACATAGCCTGGCGACATGGGGGTCAAGCTTGACGACTGACTGTCCGAAGGGGTCTACTGAGGACCCAATGACCTGCGTTATATCTCGAGGAGAGCTATCTCTCGAGTTTAGCAACATAACCGACCCTTTCTTCCTCTTCTTCTTGGCGTTGTGAGATGGATCAGAACTAGCTCTAGACGTTGTCCCTTGGCTTGAGTGGTCATTGGAAGACTCCTCTTCTGCTTCTGTAGATCTAGAGGTCTGCGCTCTCGAATGAGGTCGCGAAGGTATCTTGATCTGCTTGCCTCTCGAAGGCTCGGATGTAGCCTGTCTGTCTAAAATCGGAGAATCTAACGAGGCCGATGTGCTAGGGGTATCAACAACGATAGCCTCCTCTTCCTCTTCCACAGGAATAGCCGGCTTGCTTGTCCCGACAGCTTTTCTCGCTCGATTACCGGAACGACCGGTGTTGTTACCGGACCTTCTGTGCCGACGGCCACGCTGAACGTGGGAATTGATGGAGGACTGCTCAGTGGCCGTGCTACGGGTCAAAGATGAACTGTCGGCATCCTTATTGACGAATAAGAACTGCCTTGGCATGGCTGAGGCTAAATGTTATGGCTCTCGGGACCTTCATCGTCAATACGATGTTTCATCGGCTGAACCGAAAAAACGTCAGGCCTTAGCAAATTCAAGCAACTCAACAGATCCTTAGAAGTGAGGACTGTGGGGGATAGAGTGTGGGCATTAGACCAGGTCTTCAAAGTTGTAGAGGGAAAGCGACTACCAGAAACAGCATGACGGCCTGTGGCCTGTAATAAGAGGATGGAGGAGGGGAACCGGTGAGACGAAACAGTAGCAAGTCAGCACGAGACAACAGGTTCTGCGTGGGGAGGATGCCTGATGTCGACCCATGGCCCAAATTGGAGCGGAAGTGGCTGGATGATTTGAGTCCGAAGCATCTGACAATGCACACGATACCCTCCAGGGTTAGACCGGTCTTGGCACCACAACGGGTTTTCACGTGCTTCCGAGGTTTTTGAGATACTCTAACCTGATCTGGGTTAGGACAAATATGTATCCAATATCGTACCCCTCACTGCACAGGTGGTACTCGAGGAAGTTATGCACCGAGTATTATTCCCTGAACGCTGCAAGAACTTAACAGTTGTATTCGTACATCATCAATCACCAGAACGTCCTCCAGAAAGCTTCTCATAGAACTCCAATGTCATGGCGGCCAGAAAGCATGGTATCTGCTTCTTCTCCTTCACCCAAAAGTTTACCAGATCCTTAATATCAGCTCCAAAAGCGCCATCGGGCCCTCCACTGATTTTCATCGTGCCATTGTCTCCATCGAAGACAATGTAATTTCCATCCTCTTCATCGCTGTCGTCATCGGCCTCGTGATTTTGTCCATAATACATGCTTGATACCTTGGCCTTACCATTGGGCAAGAAATTGACCTTGTATCCTAAAACACTAGCAATGACATCACGAAACTCACCAGCTTTCTGAGTCCAGATCTCTCGCTGTCGTCGCATTCGCTTTTCTTTGTCTGTCACGACCATCTCCATGTCTTTGAGATCGAGCTTGAGAGCATCTACGGTGCTGGCAGGGACAACTTTCACACCTTGCAAGTCTTCTCCCCGAAGCTGCGCAAGGAGTCCCGCGTTCTCCTCTTTTAGTGTGCGTATTGTGGACATCTTGATGATTTCGGCATTTGATGTAGGATTGTCACGGAGTTCGAGAACTCTAGTCTTGCCTATCTCTCGTAAAGCCTTGAGTTGTGCTTTGCTAGCCTGTAACTCAGTGGCCAACATCTGCGCCTGCTGTGCAGTCTTCTGGAGTGCAACCTGAAGATTCTTATTCTTGCGCAAAAGTGGTCCGATTTGCGGACTGTTCTCACTGTCTGCATCCTGAGATTCTGCAGACCTTTTTGTGCCGCGCGGCTCGCCCTGAGGTGCAGCAACTTCTGGAGGGGCTGATTCCAACTTTGACATATCCATGTGAAGCGTATGAATTTCGGATTTATATTGGTCCACCAGCGCCTCCAACTGCTTAACCTGCTCGGATCGTTGCGCGTCGAAGTTCTGATTATCCATCAAGATTGTCTCTTCCGTATCGAAGGTCTTGAGCTGTGCGCGCAGATACTCAACTTCTTTGATGGCTAGCGCTCGCTGACGCTCTAGCCTCTTATAAGCTTTTTGATCATGGCCAGCATCGTCTTGAGGAGTTCGACTAGATTTCGCTTGGTCAAGCTCTGTCTTTAGAGATGTCTTCTCAGCATCCAGAGCTTTGATAATTTCGTCTTTTTCGGCCAATTCTGACTCTACATTTCCCACACGATCGGTGATTGATGCGAATTCAATTCGCTGTTGGATCAAAGCTTTCACCACAGCTTCTGGAGAGTCAAATTCGCTCTCCTGCCCATCACGCTCCAAGAGGCTCGTCCAAGTACGCTTCTCATCTTCAAGGATTTCTCTCTGTATCTGAGCTTCTCCTAGCTGACGTTGGACATCCTTCAACACTTGAAGTTCAATCTCCAAGCCGTGTTTCTGCTCTTCTACAACCTGAACGCTTCTGTGAGCCTCACGCAACTTCCTCAGTTCCGTAAGTTGCTCTCTGTTTATTGTCTCAAGTTGACGAATATGAGCAACCTGTTCGGAAAGCTGTGTTTGTAACACATTGAGTGCGCCACTGTCAACAGACTGTGATTTCGAGGCGAGTAGCTCTGTCTCGAGGTTTTCGACTTGAGCATCGCGTGCTGATAGTCGATTTTGTATCAATTCGAAGTGCTGCGTAAGCTCTTCGAGTTCTTGTTTCACACCATCGACTGTTTCTTGCAGGGCTGTGCGCTTGGCCTCAACATCGTTGAGCTGGTGTTTGTAGTGTCTTTCCTGATCGGACAGACGCGCTTGTGCATCTTCCGAATCCTCTTTCAAGGCCGAATTCTGGTCCTGTAAATCTCGTAGCTTTCGTTCCAGCACGGCTTTGTCATTAACTTTTTCGTCTTGAGCCTCCCGGAGTTCTCGCGCTAGCGCCTCTTGTCGCTGAATTGCCTTCTGTGCAGCGCTTTCCGCATTCTGACATTTCTTGAAGTCTGCTTCGGCTCTAGCTTGTTGTTCTTGGATTTCCTTGTCATGCTGTAGAACCAGCAGACCGCGCTCTTGCTGCAAGTTCTTGAGCTCATATTCAAGGGAGTTGATTCTGGCTCTTAAATTCTCATCTTGAGTATTGTCTGGTCTACTCACTGATGACTGTCTGAATTTTGATTGTCTTAGAGGTTGAGATTGACCATCGGATGCGCCACCAGTGATGAAGTCGTACGTAGGTTGAGTGCTGGGGTGTCTGTGTGTACCCGTCTGCATTTTTCGATTAGAAAGGGTCTGCTCTTTGTTCCTTCCTGGAGTCAACTTACTGCGGAAGAAGGTCGAGGCAGAGCGGACTGACCACCCTGAAGGCTTTTGCGACCAGATAGAGAAGTTCGAGAGGTCGAAAACCGAGGTCGCTTATTTGCGGGCGAACTCATTTTACGTTGAGAAAAGAGAATGGTACTACCTCATGTCTGTGTGGGTGCCCTAATGCGCAAATAAGATGAGATCAAAGGCTAGTAAGACCTGCGAGTCCGACTCCTCTGTTTACATTTCGGATTTGGTCTAGACTTGGCGCAGTCAACACGTGATTACATAAGCAGGTGAATCGATAGAGGCACCCAGAGGCGCCCAACAAGGACAGCCTGCATAGGAAATGCTGCCTCATCAGATGGATCATCGGCTGTCCCTCTTCTTTTCGCGTCTCATTCTTGTGGTGAACAAAACATACCGGAGACAGCCATCAGCAAACAGTGGACCACTAGGAGAAGTCACCACGCGGCACTGATGTCTTGTCAGAGTTTCCCTCCAGGCCCAAGGTGAAACGTTCATAGTAAGCTTCATATCGACTCATAATATATCCACCAGAGTTAGTGCATCGACCTTCTGGCGCTATCGAATCAGTATAAAATACATTCATGCGAGGATGGGGTTTGTGACTGAACGCTACCCTAGGTGCTACTAGGTAAATCGGACCTGAAATGATTCCAAGGATCCGAAGTACATTCGCATGACAGACAATATCCGGGCATCAAGGGCAACTGAATGGCGGTTTGATCGCTTCCAGTCTATCATCTATAATCTTAAGCGGTAGTCGTCATTCATCTATTTCCGCCTTCAAAAATTGCTTTTCATTTCAAAGGCCATGCTCTTTACTCACACAAGATGTAGAGTGCGTGCTGAGTCTCAATTTGAAGAGATCGTTCACGGTGGCATCCAGTTGGGCTACTACATCCCGCTTGCATCTAGCGCATGAGCACAGGCCAGAGCAAGCAAGTCACGGTTTTTGATCCTTTCTGAGCTGGAGACTTTTCGGGAGCAGAGAGAAGACCTCGGAGAAAGCTTGACTGGCGACCTGGAGTGATCCCATCCATCCACTGCCAGGACCCCGGGCTTCGAGGTTGCCTGATAACTCTGAAAGTGTGTCGTCCAGGTGCCCGGATGGGTAAAGGTATTTCTCAGAATCAGACCTGAAATAACAAGATATCTCTTCCCATATTCGCTCTAAAGCGTACTTCATGAGACTCAATGTATGTTCCTGGGAGCATTGCAATAGACATACCTTGCCCAGAGCTCAAGTCTTCACTTGAGACTATGATATCAAGCTCATCATTGTCGTTATGCTCGGTCTTTTCTGCGCCTCCACTTTCCTCACCTCCTTCAGGTACTTCATCAATTTCTACTCCACTGGCATCGACCTCGATATCGTCATCCTCCTTACTCCCAGAGTGATCATTGCGACCATTTCGACTGACTTTGATCAAGAACTCACCTCCAGGCGCGATCCCAACGACCCTGATGGGTCCTTTCGGTCTGCTGGAATCTGGATAAGGATCGATATCGGCGTCATCTACCTTTCGCTTCTTGTTGGCTGGCACTGAAGGTCTAGGGTCGATGTCTGCTGTTACAGGCATAATTATCGGGAGGGAATCGTTAACATGAATGTGGTTGGGAAGGGTCACGCGATGGAGAAAGAGTCGCATCTAAAAAGAGCAATGTGTTGGAGAAAAAGTCACGATATATAGAAAATAGGAAGACAGAAATAAAGTGTCATGCCCACAGGTAATGATTATTCACGATAAGAAAAATCATTGAGGTATTGGTGCTATATGCTTCACTGCTGCACTGCCTCAATAGCAGTCTTAAGGAAACTGGCTTGCCAGGTGGCCAGGAGACTCGATACGATCACTCGCCGCCCAATGTCTTTGTGACAAACACATTCCTGCCAATGCAAGACGAGCTGATGTCAAGCCGCGCAATTGAAAATAATTAGGTCAAGCTTCAAACTGTGCTCTTTTATCGCCATGGCGCCTAGATCCAGATCCACCATAGTCCGACCCATCATAGTCAGTATTAACGCCATCATAACCACTCTCAAAACTGCCACGGTCGACAATAATCTTGGGGACGCCCATGTCGAAAGTTTCTTTCTCCTGCATGTCGGCATTGAACATGTCTTCTTTGTCCCTGGCCAGGCTCTTATCCTTCCCTCTCTTCTCCACCCACCGGCTGACAATGCTATACGCCCTGCGCTTCTTGTATCTTCTCCAGCAGAGGCAGCTACCAGCCAGCAGAGCAAGCAAAATAATTGCAGACACAACTGCAATGATGATAATATACTTTTCTGCGAGATGATGACCAGATGTTGGACCGTCGTCGGAGCTGAGTCCAGCCTGTGCCAGCTTTTCGGTGGCCTGCGTGATCTTCTCTGCGTGGATGGTGCTGGTGGTAGAGGCCATCTGGACGACTTGGTCGTTGCTGTACTCGACAACGCCCGCTTGAACTAGCTTTGTAAGAGCATGGGTGATTTTCATGCTGTAAACGGTAGCTGTTGTTGTTGGATCATTCCCAGATGCAGCATTAGCGAATGCATCTCGTCGATCTCAGCCGCGACATAGGATATGCCATACCGGCTCCATCTTACAAATTTCCAACTGATCTGTCGACGAGCGAACTCAGTCGTTCAAATGGGATAGATTGCGTGGAGATAGATACAACTGTCAAATCACATACATCCAAGAACAAGGGAGGGAAGACTAGATTAGCATTGGGTAGAAGAGTAGTTAAATGTCATACTCGACGGCTGTCATGACCACCGAGGGGCAAACCAAAGGCACACCGTCGAAAAGTAAGCACTTATACGAGAAGGCTTGAAAATGTCAAGGAGAGTGAAGCATGCGTAAGCAGAAATGGTTCCTGATATAGACCACAGATGGAGAGACCATTGAGATGATTGGATAACAGCCCTGACCGTGTCAGCAATGTCCGTTCAGATCATTCAGTCCGACCAATTTCTAGCCAAGCTTTTAACAAGCTTCTTGGCGAAATGGCTTGTTCGTGCTTGGCCTGATAGAGTGACAGGGATAAACAGCGGCAAACCCATACGAGCCCTCTGGTTTTACCTCCATGCTGGATGACTTTGTGAACATCGACCGGGTTGGTGCTGACACATGTCAGGTTATACGCTGCTGAAAGACCGAAGCCGGAGCAATAACGTTTCTTAGCTGACTCAAACGCGAGCTTACACGTGATTAACATGACTCAAAACTTTGAGTATGTGGATGTAACCCTTAACTCAAAACATTCCCTAGGAGGCACAAGACCACACTGCTCCCTACCTTACCAAGGCTACCTACATTATGGCTCGCGCTGCTGGGAAGCGAGCGGCAAAGCCTACAGCGCCATCTAAACCAGAATTTTCCAAGCCTCAGCCGTCAGCCGCTTCAGGGCCTCCGACGCCATTCCAGTATGCACCAGCATCCCTCCGCCCATTTGTCTCGACCCTCCCTACAGACCATCTCTACCTCGTCCACATCGACCGCACAGAGCCCAGCATAAAAAAGCGAGTCTTCGTCGTCCCCATTATTATGAATCTCGTTATCACAATTGGCCTCTGCGTTCGGCTCTACTACGCTGCGCCCGCGTACCTCGAACAAATTATCACGATTTTCGGATATGACACAGCCTACAAGGTTGACACGAGCAGGGCGAATGCAGGGGAGTTAATGAATGTTGTCACGGGCCGGACGATGCTGTTGATGATGGACTACTTCGTATTTGTCATCATCGGCAGCTGGCCGCGCGAATTCATCTTCGGCAGTAAACCACTGCGACTCGTGGGACCGTGGGAATGGCGCAGGACGCTCGGGTTCCAAGACACGGAGATAGTGGTCCGGAGCGGCAGAAGATGGGATGCTCCCCTACTCGTGGGGCCCACGCGGGAGCAGAGCAAAACCTGGCAGGTCGATGAGGAATTGACCATTCGAGTTAAGGTCGATGCGGCCATGCGGAAGCCGTACCTCGCAAAGACGGGCTACCTCCTCCTCGACAAGGACTGGGACCTCGACTTCAAGGCGATGCTGGATGTGCATCGGCTGGTGGACAGAGGGGTTATCCAGTTGAAAGACCTACAAGATATAGCCCTCGTCTACTATCAGAAGCAGTGGCTAGTGTGGCGCGTGCACGAGGAGGCCGTGATAACGCCGCAAGAGGCGGCGCAGGACTCGGTGCTCGAGTCGTTCCGGTGCAAGCTCAGGGACCTGGGAGCCGAAGATGTTTTCTTCCGTTGGATCGAGATGGTTCAGTTTGAGACGTCCCGGCCCGGTGGGTTCACGGAAGGGAGACAGGCTGAGGCGATGAGGGAGTTGAAGAAGCTTTTGAGTTCCAAGGGCGTGGACTACGCCCATTTCTGGGAAGAAATCGGTGGCCAGGCTGGTTTGCCGGGTTTTGCACAATAGAGTATGGTTATTGATTGGTCAAAAGCAAGCGCTGCATGTTTAACGCCCTGATGATCATGACTTCGTAGTGTGTACCATATATTTTACAAGATGTCAACAACGAGACTCTCACCAACGTTGAGGACCCCAGCCCTCCCATTGACGTCCTCTTTAGCAACTTCGCCATCCTCATTTCCTTCCCCTCCCTCGTCTAACCAACGAATACCCCTCTGCTCGCAGGCATCCGCAAACTCAGTCACAGCCTCGACCGTCTCATTCTCACTACCCACAAACGTCCCAAAATGAATGCCAACGGTATTCCGTGCCGTGACGGCCAAATGTATATCGGCAGTGTCGGTGGGTGAGGCATGTAAGGCTGCGGGAATATCGTGATGCGATAGGCGAAGCCCCAAGTATGAGATGAAGCCCAGGCTGCCGCCACGCCAGATAGGCATGAAGCAAAGGTCGAGCGGGCCAAACCGCTCGCCGATCGCGGTGAAGATCGGGCAGATGGGCGAACCTGAGGCCGTGTGCCGCCGGTAGCCTGTGTCACCCGCGTGGTAGATTGCTCCTTTGCGGGTGAATTGAGCTTGGTCTGCGGAGGAGGAGGAGGAGGAGGAGGAGGAGGAGGAGGAGGAGGAGGAGGAGGGGTCTTGGTCTTGCGAAGAGAAGCGCTCAACCACCCACCCGCACCATAGTGTGGCGGCTTGGTCTAAGGGACTGCGGCCGGAGTTGTGCTGGGCTGGGACGCATGAGATTTTCAAGGTCGGCTGTTTCTTTGTCTTCTGTTGTATCTGGTCAAGTGAATTCCTCGAAATCGCTGTGAGGCCGAGGCTGGATATATCGAATTCACGATCTTGCCACCAGTCGAGCTCGACAACTTCGTCCTTCGCGACCTTTATCGTGGCCAGCAGCCACGATTTAATGCCCAGCGAGACAAAATACTTCGCGTGAGGGAAATGCTTGAATATGGCTTTGATTGAAGCCACGTCGAGATGGTCGTAGTGGTTGTGCGAGATGAAGACGGCGTCGCAGCCTGGTAGATCTGCGACCTTGCAGGGGGGTCCTTTGAAGCGCGACACCCCTTGATACTGGGTTGGCCCAGCGCGGGTGGAGAAAATTGGGTCGAAGAGAAGATGGATGGCTTTCTCTTTCTGGCCGTCAGGAGCGCTGTGGTTGTTTTTATTGTTTTGCAGCGGGGGAATCTCGACAAGCGCACTGGCGTGTCCAAGCCATGTCCCGATGATGGACTGTGGAGTGGTAGGGGTTGTGGCAGTGGTGTCTGCATCCCATAATCCATCCGCATTTGGGTGACCCCAATCTGGGCTCACGACTTTGATCTTCCGCGCCTTCTGATGGCCATGCAAGGTTGCTTTGCTATACCAGCCCAATGGAAATGAGCTTTGGAACAATTCAGTCCATGTTGGTAGGGCTGCTGACGGCCACGGGTTGATGAATGACGTAGCGGTGTTATTGGCGTGATGGTTTGGACGGGATGCAGGGTGTTGAGATCGCGGCATCGTGCATTCGACAGGTATGGAAAGACTCGATGTCGAGGATGCCTGACAACGTGCCATCAAATTGCACACAAGTCCAAGACGTGGCAAGGCTGAGACCCGTCAGGGCAGTGGTGGTACGTAATACGTCACCATTTAGTGAGTGGGCCGGTAGCTCCTTCCTTCACGGGTGTTTGTGCCCCGTGGTTCCTGCATGCCACTTTCTGATTTTCCATTGAAATTACCCCGCATTTTCGTAGGTCCACTGTTCACATATTTATGAGTAACAAAGAAATTCATGCCCACAGTCCACAATTCAATTGATGCAAAGGAGCACCATCTCTTCTCTCTCAAGTATCTCTCCGGAATAGACACGCAATGTCAGCCCTCTACCTCGCAGTCATCGGCGTCGGCGGCGTCGGACAAGCCTTCCTCTCACAGCTCTCCAATCTTCCCTCGTCCCTGCGCCCCAGCTTGATTTTCGTCTCCCGTTCCACCAAACAACTTTACAACTCCTCATACAGTGCGATCAATGCATCTGATCTTCCATCTTCTACTTCAAAACTCTTATCTCTTTCCGAACTCTCCACCTATCTCTCATCTGCCCCAGGCAAGGCCATCCTCGTCGACAACACATCCGACCAAGACATCGCGAACGCATATCCCTCCTTCCTGCGCGCCGGTATTAGCATCGTCACACCGAGTAAGAAGGCCTTCTCCAGCAACCTCCAACTATGGACCGACATCTTTTCCGCCGTCGATGCCTCCAATGGGAAAGCCCTAGTCTACCACGAATCAAGCTGCGGCGCCGGGTTGCCTGTGATTTCAACGATCAAAGACCTCGTAGCAACGGGCGACCAAGTCACACGCATAGAGGGTGTATTCTCTGGCACCATGAGCTTCCTGTTCAACTCCTTCGCACCCGCCGACGGAAGTGGTAAGGGGAAGTGGTCCGAGATTGTTGCCCAGGCCAAGGACGCCGGTTTTACCGAACCCGACCCACGAGACGATCTCAATGGCATGGACGTCGCGAGGAAACTCACCATCCTTGCCAGAATAGCTGGTCTCAAGGTTCAAGGTCCTGACAGCTTTCCCGTCCAAAGCCTCATTCCCGATGCCCTGGCATCAGCAAAAGACTCCAATGAGTTTATGCAGGAGTTACGGGAGTTTGATGGTGAGATGGAGAGATATAAGGACCAGGCTGCTAAGCAAGGGAAAGTGGTCAGGTATGTTGGCTCCGTGGATGTGGTTGCTGGGAAAGTGAAGGTTGGGTTGGAGTTTGTGGATCAGGGAACTCCGATTGCGAGTCTAACAGGCAGCGATAATCTGATCTGCTTCTATACCAAGCGCTATGGCGCCAACCCCTTGGTGATTCAAGGTTCTGGTGCTGGTGGCGAAGTGACCGCCATGGGCGTCACGGCGGATTTGATCAAGGTGGTGGAGAGACTGAGATAAAGATTTGGCAGTAGGGAAAGCGAAGGGTATCTTGGTTGACCATGATGGAATGATATCTAGAAAGTCAGACGAGTCAGACGAAAATTCGAAAGTCACTAGGAAACAGACGACAGTTCCTGGTCTTGAAAAATTAGACCATTAGTTCCAATGTAGATGAATCTGATGTATGTACTTCCCATTTCAAAAATTCACACCCTGCCGTTATCATACCCAAGTCTTACCATACTAACTTCTCAAATATCGCTTGACAGCTTCGCCCCAAACAGTCCCTCTCTTGTAGAAATGCATGCCGGGGACACTGCCCTCCTTCAGGCCGTCAATCGCCGTCGCGAGCTCCCCACCTAGGCCGTCCTCCTTAATCTCCCTGATCGGATACAGATAAGTTTTGAAAGCAAATACCAGCCCCTTAGACTTCGGCAAGCGATGCAAGGTCTGGCGCTCACAACGCATGAAAGTTTTGTCCACATCTAGCTCCTCGTCTGTCATTTCTTGGACGATATCGCCTTCGTGCGCGTGGTTCGTGCCTTTCCCTGCCGCGTACAGCTCCCCATGCGTCGTCACGCTCCAATTCACCCGCTTCACGTACTTGCCGACTTCCAGTCGTGAGAAGAAGCGGTCCATTGATCCTTCAATTTTGGCTTGGTAGCCTGGCACCGGCGTGTGGATTGCCGCGAGCCGTTTTCCGAGTTTTTCCGCCGGGTCGAAGCCTGCAGGGCAGCAGACGACGTAGGCTTGGAGGATGTATTTTTCGTTGTCTTTGTCTTTTGGTCCGTTTGATTTTTCGCTTGTTGTTGTAGGTTCTTCTTCGTCGGAGGAGAGGAACAGGATATCTTCGTCGATGGTGCGGCCTAATGTCTCCAGCAGCCTTGTAGTCGGCGTCGATGGGGAGACCTTGGCGGGAAAGATTGCTCCTGTCACCAAATTCTCCAGCATGAAGGCCTTGCCCATCTCATAGTCTGTCTCGTGCAGTTTGAACATCTTCGAGAACCGGAGTGGGAGGTAAGTGCCCATGAGAAATTCGTAGTGCTCGACCACAGCAGGCCGGATGATGTAGTCGTCGTTCACCGCCACCACGTGCGTACCGTGCTTGGACATAATTTCACGCCGGTAGGTAATGCGATCACGGTAGTTCTTGTCCATCTGAAGCAGTTCTGACGGGTTGAGGTTCTCAAGGGCTGAAGAGTCAGATTCCACTTAAGGTGAACGAGAACATGAAAGCAGTCAACATATAAAGCCGGAATGGATAGATAAAACCAAGCGTTCAAACCCGCCCGGCACGAGAAGAACTCACCCATGGTCAAATGGTACTTCGGCTTGAATGGTTTCAACTTGATGGGCTCGGTCTTCTCCCATTCGAAGTCAAGTTGTTCCTCCACTGGGGGAAATTCAGGGCGTTTGATGAATCGATGTTCATAACCGTACTTCTCAGCTGCTTTCTGCTTGGCCTTGACTTGCCGAATGGCTATAAACAGGAACACGACAAGCATTCCGATGTTCACATAGTTGGCCTTGGTGAATGCAGAAACCGCATTCCAGTCCTCTAATGTTCGCCATTTCCAGGAGAAAGTGGGCCTTTCGAGATATTTGGGGTTCTTCATGGCGATGGTGGCGATGAAGTGTTCCAACAGGCCCCTTCTACCACGAATTCGCTCGGCCGGTCGATTTGTTAGTGTTGTTGGCGTACGAGAAATGGATCCCGGGATAGTCAGGGACTTACTTCGTTTTTATATGAATTTCGTCGAATATACTGAGTTCCACATGCACGCCCAATGACAAGAAGCCCGGATGAATTTTGGTTCAGATGCCAGGGAAAGTCTCGCGCTTCTCCGCCCTTTTGGCAGATATCTGACAACGTTGCATCTGGTTGGATTTACTCTGATATTGCGGGGGATAAGTGATCGGGTCACGTGAAAGTAAACCAATCAGGAGAAAGATCCGGATCGGTGTTTCTCTTTATCCCGGGCCGGTGAAAGTTTATCCGATGCCGCCCACGCGTTTGTGATTGGCTGGAGTGGATGCCTGTTTCTCTTCCCATCAGGCACGCGCCACAAGTGTCTCTCAGTGTGACGGTGTTCACTGGTCATGCTGCAGCCATAGTCACCACCCTTCGGCACATGCCATTTGCCATACATGCCATGACATGACTCCATAACTCATTCCCCAGCCTGAATCTGTTGCTGCGTCCAATACCTATTCCCTATCGAGTCTCGACAGGATAAGTGGGTGGTCCATGGGGTAAAGAGAAGGGATATGGCTTTACAAGTTTACATTTCTCACACCGGTGCGGCCTTACCATACAATGATCCTTCCTCGCGCGTGGACGCACTACGGTCCTGGATCGAGGCCGCTGCCGCCATTCCCGTCAACCGCCAGATTTTGATGACTGCGAGAGGCAAAATTGTCAAGAATCTGGCAAACGAGTCCGAAGTCTTCGTTTACGATAAGGAGTTTCTGGGTCCTAACTCCAATCCTCCGCCTAATACGAACCCGAACCTTGACACCCTACAGGAGCCTCCTTCCTCCCTTGCTGACGAAACCAGCCTCGGGGCATGGCATGAACTGTTCAAGTCTAGACAAGGCTGGGCTGCTGATGCTTTCGATATAGCAAGAGCCGGCGTGGAGAACCTCGAGGTTTGTGCTGATGAAGCGACGGTCATTGCCCGATCAATGAAGGTCGCCCTTGATAATTTGAGAACCCATATCATTGGTCTACAGCAAAAATTTGAGGAGACCAAACAATGGGCCGAAGGCTACATTCAGGAGCATCGGGAGGTGCTCAAAGACTGGCAGGGCAGTGCAGACGTTCTAGCAGAACTACCTGTGAGAGAGGACGTTGTTCGCATTCTCCGTCGTTCGGCTGAGCCAGACAGTACTCGGGCCAATACCCCTATTGGAACTTTGTTTGATTTGATCGATCGTGATGGGTTGCAGAGTGCAGCTACCAGAGTGGAACAAACGTCGAACCAGTTCGAGAAGAATCTTCGCGAGTTACAGTCGAGCATTACAGCTTTAGAACAAGATGCAGAACGAGCACAACCCCAAGATCCTCAAATACCAGATATTGATACCCATGGTCTATTGGAAGAAGCAGAGACCATAGCAAAACGGATACGCACTGATATGGACGACGTTCTGCAGATGCCGGATAATCAAAAGTCTGTCGTAGCCGTGTCCAGGAAGGCTGCAGTCCATACCAGAGAACTCCTCCCTGCCTTACAGGGTGTGGTGGAGGAAATTATTCAAGCATCGATGGCAACAACGGACGCAAGAAACAATGCTTCCGCTGGCTGGTACTTGACCTTGCAGAATATCTCGCGTCTTCAGTCCCGTCTTCAAGAATTGCAACCCCAGATTACCAATCTGGATTTTACAGCTAATGATGACTGGCAGGCTCTCAACCGAATCTTTCAATTACCTCTGGTCTATGGTGATACCTTGATAGAGGCAACGAGGAGGTCCGAATGGACAGAGAAGATGAGGGTTGAAGTCGAGGGTCTTCATGATGACCTTTTGCATCAAACTGAGGAAGAACAACGACGTCGAAAGAAATGGACTGCTGCTCACAGCGACTTTCTGAGCGATGATTTGAACGCCAAAGATGCTCTGATTGACTTGAAAACTTCATCACCACGAAACTCTTGGCCATTCGTCAATCGCGATGAAATCTTCGCTTGGATTGATGATCTACGCGCCTTGGGAATTGATGATACAGTGCAAGCTATCACTCAGCGGTTGAAGGATTTGGACGCTGTGGTTCGCAAGCAAAGATCAAAACCATTCAAAAATGGAAGTATACATGACCTCTCACAGAGCGCAGCTCTCCGGAATGGAGATGAGATCAGAAGTCTGCACGACGAAAGAAGCCGGCTTGAAGAGAAACTCAGGGCCTCCGATAGCCGGGTTCGTAAGTTGGAAGATCTACTCCATCGACAAAGTCAACTTAGTCGACCAGCGAGTGGAATCTTTGTGCCTGGGAGTGCGGCTGATTTTGAACGGCAAGCTCCCTCACCAAGTCCTTATAACCAACCGAGCGATTTATCACGTAGATCGTCAGTTTCCACGCGAAGGATGTCGAATACTCAAGACGACAAATTATTGGTGCAGAAAATACTATCACTAGAAGGTCATATTCAGAAGCTTCAAGATGAGGCGCACGCTGAACGCCGATCAAGCACCGAGAGCAGAGATAAGATGCAGGAGGCCGAATCTATTAAGCGAGATCTGATGGCCAATTTCGAGGCCCAAAAGCAGGAGTTTGAGGATGAACGACAGCTTTTGGACGATGAAGTCCACAGATTGAAAGTCAAAATGGAGGAAGCGGAGGATGAGCTCGATCGTCTCAATGAGTCCCGAGACCATCTCCGTAATATGCAAGAAGAAAATATCGCCGACTTACGAAATGAATTGGAACAGCTCAAGAAAGGGAATGCTGAAGAGCAAGCTCAATCCCAGCGCAAGCTAGAAAGCGCTCAGAAGGACATATCCCTACAGCGTGACAAAGCTTCAAATCTCGAGCGTCAGATACACCAAATCAAAGAAGAACGAGCCACTGCCCAAAGCCAAAATTTGACACTGGCAAATCAAATCCGAGCAATGGAGGACCGTCAGCAAGAGTATGTCGGTATCTTGCAAGTGGTTCATTCAAATCTCTCACCTGCAGGATCTGCTCCAGAAGACTTGCGTCGCCTTGTTAATGCTCTTGAGATCCTGTCTGAAGGAGCAGCCATCCACGCCAGAGGGCTGGATGACTCCTTGCAATTAGCAATTGCAGAGAACAAGGCTCTAGAAGAGAAAGTCATACAAGGTGAATATCAAATTAAGTCGTTGACGTCTCGATTGTCGGCTGCAGAAACAAGAGCGAGCGAGACCAGGGAGAACCTTGATCAAGAAAAAAGTAAAGTGTCTGCATTACGCTCCGAACTTGCTTCAGAACGCACTGAGATGCATAGTCTACGGGAAAAATTTGCTGCTGGAGAGACAGGTTCGGGAGCTCTCAGACAGCAGCTCCAATCAGAGGAACAAAAAGTTGTTGATTTGATGGAAAGCAAGGCCAGTGATGAAAGTTCTATACAGAAATTGAGATACGAGGTTGAGAATCTCACGCAAGACCTCAGCGCGTTGAATGAAAGACAAGAAAAGCTCAAGAAGCACCATGACAAACGTGGTGAAAAAGCTAAACAACTCTCCGAACGTCTATTCCATCACCATGATCGCATTATTCGCATGCTCGAGCAATTTGGCTATTCTGTTTCTCGACAAGATGATGCTCTGGTCATTCAAAGGGCTTCCAAGGTCAATGCATCAAGTACAATGATAAGTGGTGCTGAGGGATCTTCGAGCATGAGAAGAACCATTTCAGGCTCTGTGCCACCACAGCATTATTCTGACCCATCCGACTTGGAGACGTTATATTGGATGTCTGATACAGATGTCGCAAACGAGAATAACAAATACCAATCATTTGTCACAGCTTTGCAGCGCCTGGATGTTGATACGACTATCGATCTAATCACCAAGCGTTACAAAGATGTTGAGACACTTGCCAAGAAATATCAAAAAGACGCTCGAGGCTACCGTGAGCGGACTCATCGACTCCAGGCTGAAGCACACGACAAAATTGCTTACCGATCGTTCAAGGAGGGTGACCTTGCTCTCTTCCTTCCAACTCGCAATCAAGCAACTCGGCCATGGGCTGCCTTCAATGTTGGTGCGCCTCACTACTTCCTTCGCGAGCAAGATGCACATAAACTTCAAGCCCGAGACTGGTTACTTGCGCGCATTACCAAAGTCGAAGACCGCCTGGTTGACTTGTCCCGATCCATGCGTGGTTCTGCAATGGCTGAAGCGAGTGATGCAGGCTCCTTGCGCTCCACTGATGATGAAAACCCCTTTGAACTCTCCGATGGATTGAGATGGTACTTGATTGATGCGGTTGAAGAGAAGCTCGGCGCTCCTGGAACACCATCGTTGGGCAAGTCCACCGTTTCAGCAAGCAACGTCGAGGTGAAAGGACACATGGGGCGTGAGAAGCAAATCGGAGCTTCTGGTTCCGGAACTGCCAATACTACGCTCGTCACGAAGACATTGACCAAGAGTCTTGACTCTCGTCGCTCAAGTTCAGGCAGCAAGAAGAGCATGGATCTTACCCGCAAGCGTGGCGAAGCAAGTAGTAGCAAGGATATACAAACCCCTTTAGCACCTATTGTTAGTGACACAGATGCGGAAAGGGATGGAAATAGCAGCACAGTACGCAGGAGCCATAGCATCAGCAAAGACAACGGAGTGGGATCCCCATCGTCGTCTTTTGCTGCAGGTGCAGCAAAAACAACAGGGATGAACCTACCACCTAGCGTGGTACGGCAGCCCTCTGAGACAGGTCAGACAGACAGAGAGGATGCCCATGTCTTTGAAGTGGTGAGGCGCGATCTCCTGCTCGGTCCTTAAGGACCGACAAATACCCTCCCTGCGGTGAAGAGATGGCTGACGAGAATCATGTTCCTCGATAGGCCGCTGATGCCACAGTGCCTGCTGGTGGACAATGGAGAAGTATCCTACCTCCTAAGACCTCTCCTGCAGTGATTAACCCTCCCCCCGGGTCACCTGGGTTGAACAAACGTCCATCGTATTTCACACCGAATGTCCAGTCTCCCTCAAGATCCTCATCCCGATCGCCGTTGAAGCGCAAATCCCCATCTGCGAGCCCTGCGCGGTACTCTGGTGCCGGTATTGCTGGTCTGTCGCCAGCGCCGTCGCCAGCGAAACCACCTTCAAATACCAGGAATTGGGATAGGTTGTTCAGTATGGAGTATCACAGCTGATGAGGGGCCGTTGGACGAAAAGGGCTTCGATAAGAAAGACCAAACTGTCTCGAACCCAATCAATACTTGATTGCGCCTAATTAGTGTGCCTTAACTATACTTAGGCTTCCATAGTGACGATGAGAGTACTATAGTAATAGATGATTGGGATCGCCTCCCGAAGTGACCTTCTCTGACTGTTAATAATCGAGTAATTTTCGTCTCTATAGATCTACATTTTGTACAGGTTTCAGCCTACGACCGACCCACACAAAAATAAGAAATATTTGTCGCAGCTATCTCGTATTTTCTCTAATATATTCCTTACCTCAGATAATTAGATTATTAAAGGAAGTGAAAAATACCAAAAAACAATCAACAGCCAGGATTCCCAAATGGTCACCCACTTTAGTACTAACTGACCGGCATGTGGCTTAAGTACGGCTGAGCGAACGGGAAGCCCTGTTCTCCACATCCTATGGTCGATTGCGAAAGAAATTTGGGTGAATAATAATATATTGTTGACTTTTAATTGCTCACACCTATGGTGACTTTAATACTCTAAGATCTTATATTCCTTTCCGTTTAGAAGCCTCATCGACGGCATCTATCTCTTCTGAGAGGTGCTGTTCTGAACTTCAGTTAGATTTTGGCATCGAGAGACCCTCATCGATCATAACTCAGCAATCAAGGGTGCCCGAGCACCATTTTTCCATGCCCGGGCTGCCCGTCGCGCGATTACGCTCAACAGGCTCAACAAGACGTCCTTTCGCCCAATTGTAAGCGTTGATTGAACGAGATCTCTGTGTTACTGATGCACATTCCTGCCATCGATGCTGATGGTTAATTGAGGCAATGCCAGAGAACTACCCCCGACTGATACAAGTCAAGGATGGTCATCAATTCATTTCAGGCCCAGAGACCTAGCCTGATCCTAGTTAGCATGCTAAGGGGTGGTGCATAGGTTTCCCGTCGGGTAATACTCGATCGCAGTTTTCAACTACTGGGACACTAAGCGCTTCTCCTCCTTACGCATCACTTAGTCCGAATCCATTCGTACTTCCTCTCGTCTGAGAATCAATCAACATCAAAGCCCTTCGCTCTATGTATGTGAGAGCACAGCGCTGACCAATCGATAATTTGACTCTGCCCTCGGTGACAACTCTGCGATATAGGAGTTCTCAGTCATGGCTACGCAACAAATATTCCCCAGCTTGAGAAGTCGGTCAAGACTCTCTAACAACTTGCGAAGATCATGTATGAGTCCACATCTATCGACGGTGCCAACAGTATGGACATCACAAAGAAATTATTCAGACAGCCAGAGCAAAGAAAGCAGAGATACTCGGTATCCCAGAAGCAAATCAAGCGCCAATGCCAACGCCGATCCAGGAGAAGTTCCTCGGTTCAGCATGCGCGACCTTGGTGCTTCACCAACAGTGAAGGTCATCGTCTACACTACAATTGGAATCATTGCCACGCTCGAGACATACGCCTACGGCAGATGGGCCTGGTACAAATGGGGTCCAAAAGCGGACGGTCCGGAGCAGGTTAGCGAAGAATGAGAGATGGGCCGGTCTCAATCATTTCCATTCGAATTTGCGGGTTGAGCGGGATTAACGGGCGTAGCCGATGTGACGCTTTCAGGAGGACTGTTGACTGCGTGACATTTGTATCAACATGGAGTCTCAACTTTCACTGTATCATCGTCTACTCCACTCCTATGCCATCTCTACGGGCAAGAGATGGGCTTATGCATGCTTTAAATCAAGCTTCAATCCAGCACCCAAAGCTGCTTTTTCACCTTGTCATTGCCTTTCGCCCATGAGATCTCAATATCAAGACTGCGCTCTTTTCCCTCTTTCTTGACATATGTCACATTCCCACTGACTTCTTCACCAGCTACCAGCTCATCCTGAGAGTTCTCAATGAGGAAAACCGTCTGCTGCCAATGAGTCGCTTTGGAGTATGGACCGGTCGAAAACGCTGCAAGGCCCTGATCCTTGGCTTCCTTTGCTGTCGTTCCTGGCTTGATAATCTGGGAGTTGGACGTACCAAATATGATGTCAAACCAAGCCACAAAGCCTTCGAACTTTTTGAAGCCTTCTTTCCACTTCACATTGAAAGGCTTTGTGAAGACCAGATCTCCAACCTGAGTGAAGTGGAGATCAAGCTCCAGGAACGCGACACTCTCGGCTGCAAGTTCCTTCTCGTCTACAACCCGTATTAGGGCTTCTTCATTTGCTTTTTCCAGCATCGCCGTCATGTCGAATCCATACACATCGCGCCAGAAGTCGATATGACTAGCTTTGAGATCCGAGTCTGCCAAAGGCGCAATTCTGAGAGCAGCATAAGATGGCACCATAAGGCCATCTTCTGCGAGATACCTATCCCTCGCATAGATCACGCTATCAAACATGGACTCGTAGAGCAGACCATAGCCCATCCATTCACTAATAATGATATCCACCTTTGAAACTGGGAGCTGAACTTCTTCAATCTTGCCTCTCAAACACTTCACCTTATCCTGCAAACCATTGCAGAACACATTCTCACGCGCCTTGTCAATTATTGCAGAATTGTCAACTGCGATGACAGATTTTGCGCCTGCTTTGGCGCAGAACATGCTCAAAATCCCCGTACCGCAGCCGACATCGAGGACGATTTTATCTTTGAAAAGATCCTTGTGATCATAAATGAAATCTCGATAAGCATCAGTTCGAATTGTGTCCTTGATCATCGATTCATGAATCGCATTGTAGGAGTAGGACTCGAAGTATCCTTTCTCTATGTTTTCTGATGCTTCTTGTTTGGAGCTTTCGCCTGCATTCTGTCCAGTCGCCGATTTCAATCTTGATTCCACGGCGGCATTTGGATCCTCGAAACGGTCCAGCATTGCGTTCTGGACCTGCTCCCGATATGCCGTAAACTGGGACTGCAACGACGCAAGCTGCTCTCGCAGCCGCTCGACTTCTGTTGCTGCACCAGTCCCACTTGCAGAATCCTCGAACACGTCGTCAAGGCTGAAGAGCAAGGCATCGTCTTCAAGAACTGGTTTGAGATATTTCTCATCCTCAAATAATGATTTGGACGAGAGATCGGGCTGATTATTGCTAGCCTTGGCGGATGAACGAACGTAATTGACAAGCCTGATCAAGTCAAGGAAGTCGAGGTCTGGACGCCAATATTATTAGGATAGGATGAAATAATATATGATCAGAAGCAGTAGTCACCGAGTCCTTGCCTTAATTTCCAGATATCAAATCCATGGTTGTCACGGCAGTATTCGAGCATATCCCTGGCATTGGGGAATGTTCGATCGTCAAAAAGAGACACAACGGTGATGGATTCCTCGTCTTGCTCAACATCTTCCCAACCTTCGTCATTACGAGTATCAAGAGGATCTGACACGGACGAGGTATCGCTGAGATCCTCTGGTTGGTGATTCGCGGGTGGGAATGCCATTGCTGGAAATCTCTGGTTTTCAAATGAAGATCTAGATATTGCTGTTTCCCTCGCTAAGACGACAACACTGTCCCAGACGAAAAGCTCTCATCCGAGCGCGCCTTTTGTTTTCTGTTGTGGTCGTTAGATGCCGTGTTGTATTTTCCTCGACACTTTTCATTCTGGGAGGACATTTTCACTTTACTCGACTTGGATATTTACCAGCGTGGAGCATGACTAATTAGCGCCAAGCACTGCTACTGTGCAACATAGAGACATTCAAGTCCATCCTAAAGCTCTTTCAAAACTGAAAGTCGACTTCGAGCAACCATCAACGGCTCATCTTCCAGCGCCTTCGAGCAAAAGTGAATTCGCCACTACTCCATCGTATAACACATACGATACTACATGATGAGTTGGTGCGTGGTCCTTGGCTGTGGTCGTACTATCCAACCAACTTTGGCCGATTACTGAAGTAAGGTTCGTTGTCGCACAGTTTTTAAATTACACTGCAAGGACCAAGACAAGTATTATTCTCAAGCACGAGACTCCTTGGTAAGCGAACATGAAACAGCGATCTTCCGGGGACACAAGCTGCAGTGTAGGATGTCCTTATCAAATCACTTCATTTTTCTTTGTTGTTCTATACGCTTGTACGATCATGCTCGCCATTGTCGCGGGATACCCTTCCCATCCCTCGTTGAGCTACGCCATCAAATATCAAACCGAGGCCTGTGCTATCAATTCGCTATCACGGGTGTCTTCCAGTCGTACGCTTCATCCACTGTCACGTCTAACAGAAAACCCGCGACACTTCTCATGCTGGCACTGGGCATGAATCCGGACCCCTTCCCATCACTTCCGTAAAATTTCAGCGGAATGGCATCGGTGTCCTTGAGCATTCCTGGTCGTACCATGACAAACGGGAGTCCTCCAGCCCTGACAGCCTTGTCCACCAGATTGTGGTCTTCCCAGGTTTGATACATGTTGGAGCATTTCATGATCCATTGCATCATACAATTCAGATTGTCGAACGAGTCTCCTGCCCCGAACATGGACATCACAACTAATTTCTGGATGCGTGCTGGCTCAGCAGATGATTTCGCTCCTGAAATCACTGCTTCAATTGACGTTTCCATGAAGCGACCTGGAGATGTCGTTGCGGCCCAGGGATTTCCTGATGTTCGTGTCTGCCCCAAAGTGCTGACAATTACAATGGGAATGGATGACTTGGTGGCTCTGAGAGCACTTCCAATGTCCGAAGCTTTGCACGGGTCACCAGTGACAATTGTGAGATTCTGGTGCTGGGGCAAGTCACTGTTTGGGTTCCGAACCAAAACTGTAACGGAGTGGCCCCTCTTCAACGCTTCGTCTAGGACCAAACGGCCGGTGCGGCCAGTGGCGCCAATCAGGAGTATTTGTGGAAGCATTTTCATTGTGCGATATTGGATGGATTTCAGCTTCAAATTGCTGAGAGGAGAGTATTGGATTGGTCTTAGGCGGATACTAATTCAAGTTATGGCTGAGTGCTGTGCTGCAGGGGTTGCAGCAAACCGAGGGTTCGAATGGAATATTTATTCTTCTCTGCTGAAACATCAAACTGTCTGTTCTGAGGATTATCCTGAAATTCGAATGACGTGGTCTGCAATGCTCCCCCCCATATAAGTCTTGCAAAACGCTTGCTAGGCCACTACGGAGCGCCACAAGGCTGGTAGTTCCACGCTTTCTGATTACTACCTCAGCTCGGCCGACAATCTCGCTCTCGGATATGTAAAGCCGACATATATGCGAAATGGTACCTGTGCGCTAAGTGTCGGCCAGCACCTCTGTCTCCAATCAAATTGTAGCCTTGTATAGCAAGCTTTGCACTAGACCCTAAGATCTGCTCCGGAGCGTCCATGGATCTCACACAGTCTGTCATTTAAGCCCGCCGCTGTAAGTGCGAAAACGAAAACGAGCATTCTGGGCCCGGGTTCGGTGCTAGAAACAGGATATCGAATATGCCAGTGTTATATGTCGGCGACTAAAGTGCTTAATCATCTCGTCTGGTGGTATGTTTTTACGTGGTGCGAATACCATCATGCTGTTTAGTGTACCTTATCTTTATGGTTAGTCCGGTACTGTCTAAAGATAGTGTTCCGAAACATGTGTATTCAAGATGGGCTTACAACCATACAGCATTCGGGTGCACACTTCGCCAACAGTCACTAACCCTGGAAGTTGTACTCGTCGACTACTTGTTTGACCCTTTCCATATTTAGCTTTTTAGAAGTATAGTCTTAGTAGATACCTTTATTGTCTACTGTGTGGTTTCTCAAGGCGAGATCTTCAGCTGGGATAAGAATGTGAGGCTTAAGTTTGGAAGCCACGTCTCTCCAGTCCTAGGAATCAGTGTTATATCAAAGCATTCCTCGAGATGAATCATGATTTACATTGAACACTTTTAAGCCACACGCCAGTGCTCGTACCGCTCCTAACAACTTGAAGTCTTGAATACTCTCCCATCATTTCGTCGGTCTTGAGTTCAACACAAGAGCGACCAAATCCGAAGCTCCGAATATCTAGCATCAGACATGGCACCTCATGCTTGTGATGCGTGATGCTCAACGCGCTGCAGAAGATCTTTAATTGCAGCCACGGGCTTGCCATCAGCCTCCCCCATAGTGATGCAAACCCGAAGAAGCTCACGATCCTGGGCATTGACTTTGGCGCCGTGATGATAGCGGTTGAAGGACTGCCAGTCCATGGGAAGCATCACTTTCTCGATTCCGGCAAACACCTGCGCGATTCCGGCGTCAGTAGTAGATCCTGCCGCTTGCTGGCCTATTGTTCCGTGTATGGTAAGCCCCTGGATCTCCTTCACAGCTGCAACAGCAAGACGCCACAGCGGGTCTGTGCTGTCAAGGTTCTGGAAGCTTGACCAACCCAGAAGCTCGCATACTGCCAATATTGGGAACAAAGAAGATGTATTCAAAGAGAATTGTTCTTCAGATACCACGTTGCAGGTTGATACCCCGCTGGCGTTCCATAACTGCGCAAAGTCATTCGCCGCAGCTAGCGAACCGTCGCCGAGAGTCATGCCAGGACCAAGGCAATCGGTATAAGCCTGATCTGCTTGTGCGAGCAACTTCTCGTCTGTAGGCGCGTGGACAGGCAATGTCACTGCACTGGTTGGATAGATGTGAATGACGAGTTGACCGCTAACCACTTGCTCACTTTCCAGGCCAGTTGCCTTGAGGAACCAGGATCGAATATCTATGAATACAGTGCCGACAATAACCTTCGTCGTCGTTCCTCGTACTGCTTCCCCGATTGTTTTGACCAGAGCCTGACCAACTTCGTTTCTCAAGGCCGCACCATCGAGTGTAATAACGACGTAGTCATAACCTGCACCAAGCATTTCTGACGGACTGGTGATAAGTTTATAGCCTGTGTAGGTTTTGAGCTGGTGGTCGTCGTAGGAGTAGAGCTTCTGAGGTCGGCTCAATGCCTCCGCCCGATGCGGGCGGACAAGAAATGTCACTTCAGCTCCTGACAGTTGGAGGATATAACCCATGATGATGCCCATAGACCCTGCCCCAACGATGAGGATGTGACGATCTTGAGTTTTACCCATGATTATAACGGATGGGCACTAGTTGTTTGGGTGATTTCTGTGATATATCTGCACAGCGTACAGCTGTCGAGAGTATATTCGCCTTTGGGGGTTTCGCTGCAAGTCCGCAAGTCGTCGCAAATGTTGAAATTCGATGGTTAAAATGAGACGCTGTCTTCTCCGGACGGATTCGAGATAATTATGTCTATCTTGAACCACTTGCCCCACACATCCTTTTGCCAGCTCCGGCAATCCGCAATTTTCTGCTTTGGTGGGTTTGCTTAAATTCTAGGGTGCATAAAGATGCGTTCCCCGCGATTTGGTTCGTCACATATGCACAATTACTAAGAATTGAAGCCAACCAGACCGTTTGTAGCATAGCATCGTTGTCAGCATGAGCGGCATCGAGCGCACCTCCCATAATGGCCAGTTGCTGACACGACCGCTGCTTGTCCGAGTTTTCGTCCCCGTACTCGTAGGGAGGCTATGGGCGAGAGAACCAAGACGGTCTGGACATCGACATGCTCTGATTACGTCAACATCAACCTGTGGAACACCCTCCTTCTGCGCGCATTCGACAATGTATTCTGGCTCCGAGAAGTTCGAAATCGATGAAGCTGTCTGTGTTCTCAACACCGGTGCTTCACTGGAGTGACTAGATGCGGTACCGTAGTCCTCGAAGTGGGGTATCTGGCAACTGATTCACGGGCCAAGAGTGTTTGCTTGGCCTTGGACATCCTATCTCTGTGAAGATGACATGACTGGGAACCAGAGTACACACAATTACACTTGATCTCTCAAGATACGTTTCAAGAGCTCCACCATTACCTTGTATACTCTGGCGGAGAGATCGATAGGGGTAGGTGTCAAATTCTGCGGAGCAGGCAATAGAGATAGTTAGACATTACTTACTTTGGGATAGTGAAAGGGAGCTAAAACGATGTTTGTTACGAGGACAGAGGACCGAGTACTAAATCCGCGTATTGAATTACGAGATGCATCATCACTCAATGGAACGCCTGAAAAGTCCACGTACTTCGGGAACAACTCGCCACAACTCACACAGCTAGGCAAGCCTTGCGACAGGCGAGCCAGTACAAAGGGCTAGCTACACGCGAGACGGTGGCAGCAGGACGTCTATTCAATGGACATATAAACCGACGAGTCCTCGACACAGTCGTTCTCCATCATCGAATCCTACGACATTGCAGACCGTCTTCTAGCGCGAACTCATACGACCTAAATTCAGAGAGCAGGTAGGCTTTAAATTATCGGTCTACCTATATGCAATCAATACTCAAGCATGGCAAAACAAGTTGCAATTATAGGCGCTGGCCTATCTGGCCTCACTCTTGCTTTGGCCTTGCACCAGCAAGGGATCAATGCAACAGTGTATGAATCACGATCTTCACCCCTCAACATTGGTGGTGCTGTCATGCTGTCACCAAATGCATTGAAAGTCCTCAATGATCTCGGCTTGTACCAGAAGGTGCAGTCTAGGGGGTACAACTTCGACTTATTGGAGTTTCTAAAATCCAATGGCGAACTCATCGAGACCTACGAGTTCGGCAGCAAAGAAAAGTATGGCTTTCAGGGGAATCGCATTTATCGACATGAACTTATCGACGTCGTTCTTTCCGAAGTTCTTGCGAAGAAGATCCCGGTCGTGTTCGGGCGCAAATATCTGCGAGTCGTCGAAGAAACCGACGACCACATTGTCTGGGAATCTACAGATGGCCAGAAATCGGAGGCGTCGCTCCTCATTGGCGCAGATGGAATCCACTCATCTGTGCGGAAATACATCTACCCAGACATTGAGCCAAAATTCGTTGGGATGGCAGGCATTACTGCAGCAGTCCCCGCGAGCCAAGTCGTCTACCAAGGCGGACGTATCGACAAGCCGCTGACCATCATCTCAAAGGACAAAGGTGCATTTGTCATTGCGCCACAAAAGGCAGACGCTTCAGAAATGTTTTTCGGGAGGCAGAGACATATCGAAGAGCAGGACCGTGAGGGATGGGAGAAATTCTTGGCGGATAAGGAGTCTTTGGTTAAGTTTCTCCAAGCCGATGCCGAAGTGTTCGGTGAGGTCGCCGTTACTGCAACAAAGTCCATTCCCCACGATAAGATCAATGTTTGGCCTTTCTACATCATCCCGCCACTCAAGACATGGGCATCCGAGAAGGGAAGAGTTATCATCATGGGCGACGCTGCACACGCAATTCCACCAAGTGCTGGACAAGGTATCAACCAGGCCTTTGAGGACGTATATATGTTCGCTCTCCTCCTTGCAGAAGCAGGAAAGGGCAAAGTCAAGCTTGAGGATGCCCTGAAGACATGGCTGTCATACCGACAGGATCGAATCAATAAGGTGCTGGAATTGAACAAGCAGATTGACTTGAGGAGAATGCCAGTTCCAGGCGGTGCTGAGGTTGCCAAACAGGAGTTTGACCTGAGCTGGCTGTACAACCCTGACTTCAAGGCTGAAGTTGAAACCTGGGTCATTATGATGAACTAATGAAGGGTGTTGTTGGACGTTGCTGACGAAGATAAAAAGTGTAGTTGATGGAAGAACGCTTGTCCATGCACTGTCGCTTTCTGCTTATTTGGAAGGACCTAGAAACCTGTGATGCACTGGCACAATCTCAGAGTATCTGAGATAAATGAAAGGAGATTTGGCTAGACCTACGACTTCTACCGGCCAAGTATCACAACCATTCCCATTGTTGGGGCTACTAGTATCACAGTTCCCAAATCAAGCGATCGAAGGATATCTGCAAATCAGTTCAGCCCCCTTTACAGCCACAGGTCTTTCAACACAGAGAATCTGTCAGGTTCCTCGCATAGAAGAGCGCTGCAGCAGTGATTTAACCCATTGCACCCTCAGAACCAGTTGTCTGCATCTTCAATAGCACGAAGAGGTCATGTCTTGTCCACCAGCTTCGTAGACGCTTGCCATACATGTAGACTGGGATAGCGAGCAACGACAAGAAGATTGACGTTCCACCAAAGACAAACATGATTTGTTCAGGACCTTTGCTCGCCACCCAAGGATTGGCGAAGTTGGAAAGGCCGTAAAACATGAAATTCTATCAAATGTGTTAGTGACGACTGCCTAACAGCTTCATTGGTGGGATGCTTCACTTACTTTGAAGAGCATGTTCATGACGAAAATTTCGCTGCTCTGGCTTCTGAAGGAGTCTAGGCCGTAGGACAGGGTTGCGAAAACTCCGATTAGAACGCCAACCATCATCACGCCCTGTAGGAAAGCACAAAGCTCGGCTGCAGCGCCGGTTTCAAGAGTATAGCCAAACAAGAACATTCCAAGCCCACATGCGAAGCAGGCTGGAATCATGAAAACAAGTCGAAACTCAGGTTCACTTTTCCCTAGTTAGCATAGATTATTGTAAAAGAAAACACATGACATGAACATACTAAACACCCTTGTTTCGCCTCGTCATGATCTTGATGACTGAATCACCGAAGAATCCGCAAACTAGGGAACCGATAAGCCCTCCAACAAAGGGGCCTGCACCAACATAACCAATCTGTGCTGCATCAAAGTTCCAAGGAGGGCCAGAAAAGATACCAGCCAATATGATGGCCGAACCGACATACCTATATTGTTTTTAGCGTCGTTAATCAAATTGATCTAAATTTGCGAATACATACCAGCTGGTCAGAAGACCCGAAGCAATGATGGCATAACAAGCAGCAGGATTGAGCAACGTGAGGAAGGGGCCCAAGAGGAATTTGAAAATGCTATCGCCCGAGTAAACACCCGTCCAGACAGCCAATTCTTGGACGAATGTCTTTTTCCTTGGGATATTGACTTGGTGCGAACCTTGGCCTGGTTCTCCCTCTTGCGCTTTATGCTCTTGCTCAATAACCACGAGTTCATCTAGTTTTTCGTTTGCAACAACGTCGGTGTCATAGCGAGCATCGCGAATGTATGTTGACTCAGGACAGAATAAGAACATAAGGACGAATTGGAAGACTAGGAAGATTTGAAACATGTGGAAAAGCCACAGCCAACCGAGACTCTGGAAGACCTGCCCGCAAATAATGGAGGCTAGACTGGACGCCGAGTTAAGAATGAAGTTGATGACTGCGATGCGGAGGCCTCGTTCATGGACGAAGTACATATCGCCAACCGATGCCACAATTAGGGATTCGAAAGCGGATGTGGAGAAGCCTTGAATGATGCGAGCTGCTAGGAGGTACTTATAATCGATTTTGGCCTGGCCAACCGCCGTTCCGATGATGTCGAAAAGTGTGGAGACGAGATAGACCGGGCGCTTTCCATATTTTCGACTGAAGGCAGAAACTGAGCCATTGTTAAAATTGCCCTGGCCTCTAGATGTAGAGAATCGAGATGAAAGCTTACCAAATGGGCCGATACACCCAGCGGCTAGGAGATTGTAGCCGGATGCTAGGACTACTGTGTTGATACTTGTGTTGAGCTGCAGTGACATGGAGAAATAGGACGCGTTCAGAAATGGGCCCTATGCATGTTACAGGTCCTGTTCTCTCTAGACAACGTAGGGCATACATACATTAGTGCCAGCATTAAGCATTGCTCCGAAGCAAAGGATGGCGATGGCGACTTCCTTCTTCCACAGAGGCCAGTTCAGTGGGTCATTGGGATCCTCGCTGGGCTGAGGAGACAGGACAATGTTCCCATCGCGTCCTTTACCATGTTTGAGTCCTTGGGTGATTGCTTCAGAATGTGCTGCTTCGTCATTTAGCAGCACAGTCCCGGGGACATGGTCGAGCTTGGAATCTACTTGGAGTGAGTGTTTTGAGAGCCAAGTGAACGCGGATGAATGGAATAGGTACCTTCGAGGACGCCGAGGCCCATCTTAGCTTTGCGTTCGACTCACACGTCAACTCAAATGATCAATATGCACAAGATGAAGCACCGTGGAGTCAGTCAATTGAGGAGAGTGGTGGATCTTGGTAGAGTGTTTAGCCCATGTGCCCGACAGGAAAGGGTATCATATATCTTTGCGCATTTGAAACATCCCCGCGTCAGCTCTTTGATAAGCTCTTGGTTGACATGTTGTTCCATGCAAGTCTGGCCGTCCCCAAATCAAAATTGCGGAGTACCCATGGGGTTGGCCAAGGCTCATCGGAATTTACCCTCTGAACTAACCTGTTTCATTGCATATATCGGCATATCTTCAGTAACAACTGCCGGAAGGGTGATGCATGCATACTCCGTACAGTTAAAACTCATAATATAATATCAAGTACAAGGTCTAACAAGTTGGATGAACTCAAAAGCATTGGCATTCTTGCTGCTGTGCATCCTTGACCTACCTTGATGATCGAAGGGGCACTTAGTTCCCTGTGCTACATGTGGTCCAAGTGCTGGGGGATTGCTCTTTCACGCCGAGGGCGCTTTCCGTTCGAGGCTGAGAGCTTCAAAGTTCCAAACATGAGAACATGTTGACAGATGATTTTTGGGTTCCTTCTTTAAATTCAAGAAACATCAAATCATGTTGAAGCCTAACACATCAGCTTTTGTGGCACCAACGCAATGGGCGCCTGATGGACACAGAGGAGTTTGATTCCTTGAGCGGTTGTATATACTCGTAGTACCCAACTCCCGTGCTTCCAGTCTCGAGGCAAGGTCCTGTCAAAGGCGTCGCATTGCAAGTTTGCAACTGTACATTCAAATAAAGCCAGTTCGCTACTCTGATCTTACCCCATGTTTCCACTTTTATCACCGGACGATAGCTCCCATGATCCACTTTGGGGTTCAACGCCACGTGGAGTCTGAGAGAAATGGATCTCGCCAAATGGATCGCATTCATTCGCGACTTCGCTGGCCAGATGGGTCTTCTCCTCCGCACTAGAGATGGCAACTGACCTGAGTCAGGCTATCATGATCGTGAGAGAATTAGGGAGGCCTTTGCCAGGAGAAAATGATAGTGGGATTTCCCCGGAACTCTTAACTCTCCAACTGGAGTCATGCACCCTTTCCGAGGTCACTGGTTCTGTTAGCCAGAACCGCTAGCACTGGCAAACTGGGCTCAGTAAACCTCGGTTACGGCCAGTAACATGTAATTGCTGCTAGAATTCAAGTCCGTCCCCATGTTAAAAAGAAGAATCAAGGCTGCCCGGAAAACCCCAGGGCTCGAATGGCTAATTGCACAGAGATAACTGCATTTTATCTTTACGCCTTTGGATCTGCCGATGGATTACTCATTGAGAATTGAGAATGGGACAACAGCCCACACACCAAGCGCCACATCACGCAGCCATTGAAGTAGGTGAGGATCTCATATTCAATCTGGATCAATTTGGACTGTTCCAGTGTCTAGACTCTGGACTGAGCTGAAACCACTAGTTTCTACGTATAATTTCCCTACTTAGCCACCGAAAAATTTAATATGAAGTCACGGGGAGTTGGTAAGTAACCTAGGTAAGTGTAGTTCTTGAAAGGTTCTAGTTGTGGGGTCGAGAGGGGCCTCCATGCTAGCTGACTGTGACTACATATGTACACAGCAATCAAATCTAAGGCTGGCCTTAGATTCAAGCATTGCAGCACCCAGAGTCCACCTCACCTTCCTCGTCCTCACAACGACATAAGGCCGTTTGATTTTTATCTTTTCGTGAACCCTTTACCCAGCTATATCCCACCGAGACCGCCTCCCCTCTTAAGACGAAGGTGAAACTATATGGTGTAGTTCCGTTGGATTACTAGTACGTCCAATTAGACTCATGCTAAACTCAAGTCAAATGAGGATGGAATCTTAACTTTACATTATAGCGCTCCTAAAAACTCAGGAGGAGAGATCAGCTTTAATGTTGAGTCAATTCCGCTTCATTTCTAGATTTAGTACAGTTAGCTTCAGTTAGTCCACCCACATAACACCTCAGATGGCGGAAGAAAGCGCCGTAACCACGATCTATCTCTTGAACTCTAGATGTACGGAGGTAAATCTCAGCTCATCCTACATAAGCCATAAGTCATGCGCACATATCGTTCGCGAGTCCAACGTCGTTCACTACGGGACCTAGTTCAGAGCAAACTGCTACAGTATTAATAAGTTCTCTTTGCTATACGGAGGGTGACAGGTTGCCCATTGTCCACTGTCTATCTTTGCCGAGGTAGAGTATGTATAGGAGTTTTATAAGGTACTACTTCCCATAAGCAAACATTATATGGCGTCCAGAAGTGAGTTCGCGGCTTTATCAAGTATTGGGTGTACGATGTAGTACGATAGGAACATGTAAGCGAATCAGGATACCGAGCATGTACAAGTCAGCAAGCCAAGGCACTGGGACACACTGTGTTGGACACTCTAAACATCCCTTCATGGACGGACCCTAGATTCTTTCAACGAGACGGTAAATGAAAGCCTTCACTGGCGAATAAGTTTTGTATCCACAAGTATCTTGATGCATTGTGAATAGCGTTGGTGAGTTGTCTATGTAAACCTGCAGTTGGATTGATCGGTCCGTACTACTTCTGTCAGATTCGAGCCTAACCTTCCAGCATGTTCCAACCATTCCTAGGTCGACGTCAGTAAAAGATACCTCGGAAACTTTATGCCTGGTAATACGAACATCTATGTCGTTGGTTGAGGGAGTTTGCTCACGACTCAGTATAAATAATGTTGAAAAATTAGAGGATTGGACTATCGCCCAGTCGTCATGGTATTCTGTACGTCGTGTTAGCTTGTGTCCTGCTTCATACAATGCGAGATTGGGAATCAATATCAACCTTTCTAGTTCACATACCTTGAACGATATAATTAGGGCCGGGGCATTCAGGAGGCGGTTGACCAGGAAATTGAACACGGAACACTCCTTCATCGCCGTAGGTCTCGTCCGCTGCTGCTGCGTTCCCTTGTATCTCAATATTTTGCTCTCCTGCCTGACATCCATTGAAGACATTGACAGTCCCATTGTCCTATACTTCATGAGCTGTTGTCTTTGGACATCACAATCCAATCTCTAGATACTTACGTTCAGACTATATTCTGCGAAGATACACGTGCAGCCTGCGGTAAATGGTGCAACTGTTCCTGCAACCTGATACCATCGTCCTAGATAGTCTTCTAGATCGAACCCGTCATCTGATTCGGGATAAAAACATTGGCTATATAGTTTGTCAATGGTGTGTTTCCTTGATCGGGGGACCAACCTACCCATCCCAGAGTGCATCGACTGTCCTAGTTCGGGTTTCGCTGCCGGCTTGTCTCCTGAGCAGAGGAGATGCGAGTGCAACGACGGACAGTAACGGCAAAATCTGTAGTGCGAGCATCTTGACATAGAACTATTCTCATTTATCGTTTATTCGTTGTAAGTGACCCCACGCCTGAGACGTCCAGGCATTCTAGAGAGTGTTTATAACCATCACTTTGCCTTTGCGTCATCGAAGAGGTCATGACAAGAGGTGGTTCTCTTCGCGATTTTTTGAGGCTCTGACGCGTATATGGTCAGTTAAGAGTTTCCATCTTCTTGACCTTGTCAGGGCAACCTATCACTACAGGAAGCGGACTCCGACACCCTTGGCACCCACTTGGTGCCAAGAATGACATCATTGGTGATGGAGGTCAAGTTAGGTAATTATGAGGGCGAGTCGTATTGGCGTTTCGACAACACATAGGGAGTATTAAAACCTAATCAAGAATCGCATCTCCTTATGGAACTTGTTTCTTCTCATTCGTACCTCGGTGCTCGGGGCATTGCCACTTGGAACTCTGCCACTTTAGTTGGGCTGTGGCTTGCGCACCACGGAAGGAATCAGCCATATTCCAATGTAGCTGCCCTTAGCCCCTTTCTGGATATTGCTCATGGAGGCTAGGGATGCCTAACGATACAGAAGTGAAAGGATAAGAAGTCTGCTTGCTCTGGCTAACAGTTATAAGTCTAATTTCTGCAAAGCTTACATTTCTCAGCACAAGTCATAAGTGGAAACGTTACAACAAACACTGTAGAACACCTCTCCTCGTTTTCTATCCTGCTTCACACATCCGAGCTCTGCTGACTCTTTCTTCATGTGTGAGGCGCGACTTGACTGAGGAAGCCTGATTCCCAATTGGATCCGCAGAGAGCAGCAAACTCAGTCCAAAGATCCCCGGACTGAGAAGATCCGGGAAGACCAGTTGATTTGAGCCACTGCCCTCGACATCAGGCCATTTGGCCCGGGATTACATGGGTCAGGGTATTCGTGGCAACAAGCACGAATCCGATCCGGTGAAACCACTGGTGTAGACAGATACCAGCATCAAAGTCAAAACCGGCGTCTACATCCTTGTCCAGGGATAGTCTTTTTGTTCCCGCTCTTCAATTGCAGGCCTGATTTTCGAAAGTGCGGGGATTTGCGGAAAGAGACCGACAAAGACGTGACTTAGTGTTCTTCGGCCGAGAATATACAATCCGGAATGCCCTACCTTGGTATTTCATCAATTTCGTTTCACTTAAAAAGTCTTCACCCTGTTTATTCAAAGATGATCATTCCTACCAAAGGTTTCTATTCAAGTCACGACAATGGTGAAGTACAATTTCGATGCACCTGGCGCAAGTGTGCTGCCACCAATGAAGTTGGCGCATGTCGTTCTTAGGACGAGCAACTTCAGCTCCATGAAACAATTCTATGAGACATTTTTAGGTGCGCACGTCGCTTTTGAGAACGAACTCTTTTCTTTCATAACGTACGACGACGAACACCACCGAATTGGGATTATCAACATTCCAGGTGTCGGCGCCAAGAACCCCCTGACGGCTGGTCTTGAGCACATTGCTTTCACTTACAAAACGCTGGATGAGCTGGCAATGTCTTATTTGCAGAGGAAGGAAAACGGCATCGAGCCTTTCTGGACTACAAACCATGGCCCTACAACCAGTGTCTACTATAAAGACCCTGACGGAAATATTTTGGAGACTCAGGTTGACAACTTCGACACCAATGAGGAAGTGAACGATTTTATTCAGTCTAGTGCTTATAAAACGAACCCTATAGGTGTCGACTTTGAGATGGGAGACTTGATGAAGAGACTTCAATCTGGGGAGGATCATGCCTCGATCAAGCGGCGTACCGAAATTGGACCGAGGTCGATAGATACTGTCCCTGTTTGAGACCCATCGGCAATGGCGATAATGGTATAAATTTGCCAGGATACATGGACTACGCAAGGGACATCATTTTAGGGGTAATTTGGAAGATGAAACTTCAGTGAAATGTAAGAGTACTAGTTAATGGAGACAAGCAGTGAGTGACAAAGATTATGATAGGCATAGAGTAGCCCATAACGGAGAAAAGAGAAGACCTATCACAAACGCGTCAGACAACGCTCACTGTAGATCAACCGTTAAGACTCCATATAGGGTGAATAGTACATCTGCAGTGTGATATCGCTTTTGAGTTTCTATAACAGGAATATGTTTTTCCTAGGATTACACAACTACGTATCTGCTGATGCTAGGGCTAGTCGGACTCAAGCCTGACATCACGGGGTCCCCGCAGTTTCCATGCAGCATACGTGGGAGGCCGGCCACAGATCTATCTACCGTGAGGTCTCCCGAAGCACCTTAAAAAGAAGGGTCTGATGACGGGCCCGTTCCTCGGAGAGCTTATGGCTTGGGTACTTCGGATAGCATGTCGGGTGCATGTCTCCAGAAGGTCACAGTATCCGGCCGAGAACTAAAGTCACGTTTCTCTAGGAGGGTGTAGACCACCTATCACCACTGGCTAAGCTTTCCATTGGATGCTCATATACATTCTTCGCGGAGAAATCACAGAGACTTTTCGGTCGAATAGTTTGTTGGTCACGATTAACGACCACGCTCCCACTCCTGCACTACCCGCACCCGTCAATCCTTGTGAAAGCAAGCATTTTCAGTTTAAAGTGGAATAAAGTTAGACAGTCGCTTTCTCAGCCAGTAGCATACGGTGATCCACTTTATTTGAGTTGAGCGGATGTGAGTTGAATTAATAGAGACTATGCAGCGTATCTTCTCCATCAGATTGCCAATGCAGTGTGAAGTTGGACACATGTATAAAGAAACAGAAGTTACTTAGTGATAGTCCGGCTTTGGAATATCCTGCCCTCTCCTTCGTACAGGAAACCGTCACACATGATGATGGACTCTCAGTTCAAAGTATTAATTGTGGGCGCCGGAGTCGCCGGTCTGGCTCTGGCTCAGATCTTGCGCAAGCATCATGTAGAATTTGAGATCTACGAAAGAGATGACGGCAGCCGTGGACAAGGTTGGTCTATCGCATTAGACAAGTAAGTACGCGTCACTGGTATTTTGAAGTCCGAATGCTAACCTGATCTACTCTACCGAAGATGTCTTGATAGGTTGCATGACCTCCTCCCTCAGGATATAGACAGCCTGTACAACGCCAGCACCAATCATAGCATTGGGAAACCAGATGGATTCGAATTCATAGATGGCAAGACTCACGAGATCCTAGGTGTCGTCGGCAACGTGAAGCAATCGCACCTTGGACATAACATTTCTGCTAGTCGCGACCTTTTCCGCCGAATACTCATGAAGCACCTCGACATTCAATACGGCAAACGTTTTGTAAAGTACGAAGAGAGTAAGAATGGAGTGCAAATTGCCTTTGAAGATGGCACAACGGCGACAGGTCATCTGTTGATAGGAGCCGATGGAGCAAACTCACCCGTGCGAGGGCAACTTATTGAAGGGTTCAAAGCCACGCCCAGCAGCCTGGCCACTTTGCACGGGAACACGGTTCTGGATAGGAAATTGTACGAACCGCTGATCGAAAAAGGTAATTCTGGAGTTATAGTGGGTCAAGATGGCCTAAAGTTCACCCTGCTGTTGCTGGAGTATCTTGACGACGGCACGGCATTGTTCAATTGGGTTTGCTCCTACAAGAGCAAAGATGCAGAAAGCGAAACCCGATGGGCTGACACGGCTGACAGAGAAGCTTTGTTTGAGAAAGCTTTGGAAATAGCCGGGCATCTCCCACGTCGTATCGTGGATGCAGTACGAAATACCACTCCAGCGGGTGTGCATAAGCCACCAATCAAATTGTTGGAAACGGTGCTTCCAAAACAGGCTCTTCCCAGAGGTCGGGTGACGTTAGTTGGCGATGCCGCTCATTCGATGGTGAGTCCACCATGGAAAGCTCAGAGTGCTGTGGAGCGTCTTATTGATTGTAACGACGTAGGTACCGTTTCGGGGCATGGGTGCCAACACCGCCATCCTAGACGTGTGCGACTTGGCAGAGGGCATCATCCATGGGATTGAAAGTGGAGACGACTTGAGTTGGATGCTGAAATCGTACGAAACCACGATGATTCCGCGCGGTAGATCCAAAGTCCTTGAATCAAGGGCCACCGGTGACTCAGCTGACGCACTCGAGGTCGCAGGTGGTCGCTTGCAGCGGAATTGAATCCCATGCAAGTCCACCATAATTCGAAAAGCGTGATGCTAGTAGATGAGCCGGGTGATTCTAGAATGAGGTTTTGGTTTGGTGTGTGTCTGACATGCCAGGTAATAGGCCCAGTTCCCTGGTAGAGGAAAAGTGGTGCCTCAAAATGGATGGGTCGTTCACCAAATAAGTGATGGTCACATACCAAATGAAGTTCGAGATGGCCGTCCTCAATCTGACTGCTTGTGTACCTGAGACATGTTCCTCTTTGAAAATGTTGGCGTGACCAGGTGTTGTGGGGGAGAGGAATGCTACTAGGTTGGGGAGACCGTTTCTCGATTTTGATTTCCAAGGCCCTTCGAAGATTGCGTAGAGGCACATGAATATACCCCATGGCACTATCACTAAGCTAAGCCCGCTTGCCTTGCAGCATCCTCCGGATATGATCGAATAGGGAATATCGGTCATTCCTGATATGTGAATGGTCTAGCACCTGGGGGAAGACGAGGCTTGGCCCACTAGGTCATAATTGCCGGCAGCCAATCATATCTCCAAGCCTTCAAGCAAGACCTGATTGATCTGCGGAATATGCTACACGCTAACGATCTATGCCTTGGAAGGTCAAGACATCAAATTCTTTGTCGGCGAGTAATCGCTCAATCATGTGAGTCAATTGCCAGCACAGTCGTAGATGTTAACGGGTATGCGGGTCAAGCTTGATACCGAAAAGTTCTTCGGCCGACAGGCTGGCTTAGGCCATGTTGCGAGTGCAAAGTACTTGCGGTGTCATATAAATTCCTGTAAACCAAGCAAGAATGGCTCTGCTCCCACGTCAGTTGTCCAAATCTCACTTTTAGAAAATATGCAAGCTGTTACCTTTCCTTTTTGCTTCCCAGCCTCGTATTTGGGCTTCCGCGGCTGCTATCCCTTCGACAGTCATCTTCACTTGAAACTGAAACCGACCGTCTGCTCTTCTCAACACCCATTTCCGAGTTTCTGATAGCTCGTGACTCTAGAACCCCATCTGAACTTGATTGGGCCTCCAATGGTTGCTCTTTCTCACCGGAAGAACCCCTAGGCTTCGACTTCGAGCCATCTTGTCAGCGACATGATTTCGGTTACCGGAACTACAAGGCCCAAAGAAGATTTACCGACTCGGGAAAGGCAAGCATAGACGATAACTTCAAAAGAGATATGGACAACCAATGTGCTACGGAAGGGGTTCTCGAGGATTTGTGTGGTGGTGTGGCTGATTTGTATTATCAGGCCGTAGTCAATTTTGGCAGCCGAGTGAAAAGGGAATCCCCTTTACTTGGAGATGGGGGGTGAGTCTCTCATCGAAGGAGGGTGTCATTGGTATGAAAGCTTGTCGGCCCTCTCACCAACAGGGTATCTGAGGAAGCATTTATTCTTTGAAGCGCCAAAATTCGCTCCCTCTCTTGTAGGTGTAGTCTCTCCACGGCGGTGGAGCGCCTCGTGTATGAATTGGGTGAACTTCGTTGCTGAGCGCGAGCAAACCAAAAATGGCGGCAGTGGCGGGTCGTGTAGGCTGACGAAGGAAGGTGACCTTTGGGAATGTTGCGATTTCCTCCATTGCGCTTGGGTTCTTGACCATCTGCAGAAGGGTATGATGTTTGAAATCAAGATACGTTACGACACTTAGGCGTCCCAACCTAGGTAGAGAGGGTAGATGATCGCTCAAGCACTGATCATCTAGGGCTTTATATCGCCTGTGTTGGAAGAATTGGTTCAAACTCAGACGGGCTACCTGCTACTGTATGGATGTGACATCTTTTTGGAAACTCCACAACCTAAAGGACGTTTTGATCCTGGGATCGGGGTGTATGGCGAAGATATGAGCTTCGTTCTTTGAGACGTCTCCCTGTACGTTCCACACCATCTCCGTTTGTCTGAGAAGCAAAGAGGGCTATGGCAAGTTTATCAGAGTGCACCGCGCCACCGGCTTTGAAAGGCTCGCCAAATCATATCCTCTGGTTCAACAGCAGCGCAACTTGGATTGAGAGAGCCTAAAATTTGAGCAAAGGTTTTGGCAGCAAAGCTGCAGTTCTCCGGGGGTGGTGAGAATCAGGGTATCGTCCCAAATTCTTCTCATAGCCGTCGAGATATTGTTGCAAAAGTCGGAGAGAAGCAGAGTTGGGAATGATGGTATGGGAGTGGCAAGTCCTAGATCATTCATGACGGAGACTCAACAGATCTCTCCAAGCTACCAATATCATTGAGTTTGAGACACCGTAAATTTTGAGCATAAAATTCAGCACATGCACAAGTTCAGTCGTGGCGAACTTGGTCTTGTCTGCATTATACGGCACCTTCGGGCACTATGTCAAACGTCAACTGTGCAGATGATGGAAGCCTAATCGGAACTGAGGAGGGATTTATTGATTCGGATAAACTGTCCCGGAGCGATGTCTTCCCGGGGGGGGGGGGGGGCGGACTAACTTTCTTCCCGGAAACGTGACCTCATCCCGATCCAAGCACCAAGGTGCAGCCTGAAGCCGGTCCCGAACTCTGTATGTATGTGCGAGTCCTCATACGAGATACGAGTCCTCTCCACTCCGGTTTAACTCCCGGTAGTTGTGGATCACAAATGGCTTGTTGATCCCTGCCGCCCAGCTGCTGACAATGGTACGTAAGCAACAAGACTTCCTTGCAACTACTGGTCATGGCTACGCCCGGGACTTCTGCTGGATTATATAATCGCTTAACATGCAATGCCAAATCTATCACATCTAGCGATGCCAATCAAGATGGATGCCAAGTGCATTGATGCTAGGTAAACTGTCAAAACTGTCAGGGGTGCCACAACCATTGGCCTTTATGGCTAGTCGTAAGATTGAACACTGGAGAAGTAAACATGTTCATTGGTGTTAAATGGAGGGATCAACCCTATCCTCCCCCATCCCAGTCGCAATCCTTTATGGGCGCTGCAGTTCGAAGGGGCCACCGCGGTAAACCCCAGGAACAACAAAATTCATGCTATGCTTACTCGTACCTAGCTTGTCAGGCGCACGGTGGTCCGCTCTCTACGAGTAGTTCTTCAGGTTATTGCAATCGTGGCTGAGTTTGAAAGCGCAGGGGCCGTACCATGCCCCGTCGGGATTTCATCTTGGCCGATGGATAACTTTGGGTTTATGTTGTTTCCCTCAACTTGCATCATGAACCTTTCCCGGACTGCATAGAGTTATGACTTGGCAATGCACTGACCGAAACGCAGCTCTTTTAATCTTGGCCTTGCTGACACAGTATTTAGGTTGTCGCTATTCCGGACCTTCTGTTTGCTGTATTCAACCTTCAGTGTGTAGTAGAGTCGAGTCCGAGCCTCTTCAACCTTTCCACTGACCGTACTGAATGCTCATACTTGGAGCTCACCTGGACTTGCCTTCTGCTTAAATTGGCTGTGGCCCCAAGATGGCCTCGGAAAAGGAACACGGTCCTCCAAGCCCTCCCCCAGAGAATGCAATCGATCGTCAGGCCACCCATACTACCACCAGCAGCTCTGAGGGCCCGGCTTTTGAACCCATCCGCACCAGAAAAACAAGAGACACTGTCGACTACCAGTTTGAGGACGAAGACAATGCGACACGCGATGAACTTGCTCGAATCGCCTCAATACTTTCCGGCAGCCAGGCCAGTCGGACTCATACTGCTCCGGGTCTGCACAGACAGGATACTGTTGCAGGTATGGGAATAGAATCGCCCGAGTTTGATCCAAATGACCCATCCTTCAACTTTTTTCTTTGGATGAGGAAATTCATCCAACTGTTAGAGCGCAGCGGCGTTAAGCTGAGAAGGAGCGGATTTACCTTCAAGAACCTTACTGTATCTGGGAAGGGATCCGCGTTGCAGCTTCAGCAAAACGTCGGCTCCATTTTCATGCAACCTTTCCGACTTCGCGAAGCCTTCAGCCATCCACCCGAAAAACAAATTCTGCGGAACTTTAATGGGCATGTAAACAGTGGCGAACTGTTGATTGTTCTTGGACGGCCTGGAAGTGGTTGCTCTACTTTCCTTAAGAGCATCTGCGGTGAGCTCCAGGGATTAAGCCTTTCTGGGGAGGGGAGTATCACCTACAGCGGGATTGCTCAAGAAATTTTTCTAAAGGAGTTCAAGGGCGAAGCTATCTACAACCAGGAAAACGAGAAGCATTTCCCGCACTTGACTGTAGGAGAAACTCTGAACTTTGCAGCTGCATGCCGCACGCCGGCCAACAGAGTGCTTGATGTTCCTCGAGATGATTGGGCAAAATACATGGCCTCAGTGATGATGAACATCTTCGGACTTTGTAAGTCGCCTGGCCTGCTGAAATACCCCATTGACAGATGGTGTTTAATGATGGTATCCAAAGTCTGACCAATTTAGCTCATACTCGTAACACCAAGGTCGGAGATGACTTCGTTAGAGGTGTTAGTGGAGGTGAAAGAAAGCGTGTCAGCATAGCCGAGATGGCTTTGGCAGGTAGGTTGTCCTGAAAGGGCAGAGTTTGATGTGCGCTGATGTGCTGTGAAGGTCCACCTATTGCCGCCTGGGATAACTCAACACGAGGCCTTGACTCACAAACCGCCCTCGAATTCGTCCGATCTCTTCGAATTGCTGCAGATATTGGAGGCTTGACATCACTTATCGCAATATATCAGGCGTCACAGGCCATTTACGATCTGTGTGATAAAGCTCTTGTACTCTATGAAGGCAAACAAATCTACTTCGGCCCAGCTGACGAAGCTCGTGAATATTTCGAGCAGATGGGTTGGCATTGCCCAGCCAGACAAACCACTGGAGACTTTTTGACGTGAGTGCACATTAGTACGGGAGGTGATAAAGGCTAATTTAATGGCTACTCTAGATCGGTCACAAATCCTGGTGAAAGACAAATTCGGGAAGGATTTGAGGCTAAAGTGCCTCGAACTGCTGAGGAGTTTGAGAAATATTGGCTGGAAAGTTCCCAGTACAAATCTTGTCTGGAAGAGTCGACAAAAGCAGAGGATGTTGACGCCGATGGTCGAGAGGCCCTCGAGGGTTTCAGAGAGTCTCATAAGCAAATGCAAGCCGAGCACACTCGTCCAAAGTCGCCTTACGTTATCAGCATTCCCATGCAGATCCGGCTGTGCACGACCCGCGCCTATCAGAGACTGTGGAATGATAAAGCATCAACTATGTAAGCCGGGTCTCCATCAGAGCCTATGTGGTATGTGTGACTAACATCTCGTTTCAGCGCCGTCATATTCAGCGAGGTAGCACAGGCGCTGATTATAGGCTCTGTCTTCTATGGGACTCCACTGTCGACTGGCAGTTTCTTCGCCAAAGGCTCGGCGCTCTTCTTTGCGGTTCTGCTTAGCGCCCTTCAGTCCATTGTTGAGATCAACACATTGTATGCTCAACGCCCAATCGTCGCCAAGCACAAATCGTATGCGTTCTACCATCCTTTTACCGAAGCGGTGGCTGGAATTGTCGCGGACTTGCCCATCAAGTTTTGTATAGCGACTGTCTTCAACATCATCTTGTACTTCCTTGCTGGACTACGCAGAGAGCCATCTCAATTCTTCATCTTTTTCCTGTTCAACTTCATGGCAATGCTTACCATGTCGGCAATCTTTCGAAGCACCGCAGCCGTTACTAAAACAATCTCTGCAGCTCTCGCTATTGCCGGCATCATGGTCCTTTGGATTGTCATCTATACAGGATTCACCATGCAGAGGTCATACATGCACCCATGGTTCAAATGGAGTTCGTGGATTAATCCGGTAGCCTACGCATTCGAAGCACTCCTCGTCAATGAAGTTCACGGCCGCGAATTTCCATGTGCTGCCGCAAGCCTGGTACCGCCCTACGGTCAGGGTTCAAACTTTCAGTGTGCGGTCGCCGGAGCTGTCGCCGGTGAGCTCAACGTTTCAGGCGATGCATGGGTGCAGGCATCCTATGGATATTCTTACAGTCATATCTGGCGCAACCTCGGCTTCATGTTCGCCTTCATGATCGTCTTTTACGCTGTATATTTCGTCGCCAGTGAGCTAAACTCGAACTCGACATCGACTGCCGAGTTTCTGGTATTCCGAAGAGGTCATGTCCCCGCACATCTTCTCTCCAATGACCGCCATGACGAAGAGACCGCGCCACTCGCGGAGAAAGGGAATCCCTCTTCCAGTCCGGCAGATGGACAGCAATCTGAAGAAGTCAAAGCACTTCCAGCGCAGAAAGATATATTCACCTGGCGGAATGTCACCCTCGATATCAAAATCAAAGGTGAGCCGCGAAGATTGCTGGACGGAATTTCAGGTTGGGTAAAGCCTGGTACTTTGACGGCCCTTATGGGGACTTCCGGTGCAGGTAAAACCACTCTACTAGACGCTCTGGCACAAAGAATCAGTATTGGGGTGTTGACAGGCGACATGGTGAGTGCTTATGTTAATTCATGCTCCATTCTTGCCCCGGCACTCTTTGAGCAGTGGCTAACGAATGGACCAGTTCGTGAATGGGAAGCCGCTGGATGCTTCGTTCCAACGGAAAACAGGCTATGTACAACAGCAAGATCTACACTTAGAGACCACCACTGTTCGCGAAGCCCTTCGTTTCTCGGCTTACCTTCGTCAGCCCAAGACGGTTTCGATCCGGGAAAAAAATGACTTTGTCGAGGAAGTTATCAAAATGCTGAATATGGAATCTTTCAGTGAAGCTATTGTCGGGAATCCTGGAGAAGGGCTCAATGTTGAGCAACGTAAGTTACTAACCATTGGAGTCGAACTTGCTGCGAAACCTGCTCTTCTCATTTTCCTGGATGAACCCACGTCTGGCTTAGACTCGCAAAGTTCTTGGTCCATTGTTGCCTTTTTACGCAGGCTTGCGGACGCCGGGCAAGCCGTGCTTTGCACTATTCACCAACCGTCCGCAATCCTCTTTCAGGAATTTGACAGACTTCTTTTTCTGATGAAGGGAGGGAAAACGATTTATTTCGGTGATATAGGGGACAACTCCAGGACTCTCCTGGACTATTTTGAACGGAACGGGGCTCCAAGATGTGATGACGATGCCAATCCAGCGGAGTACATGCTTGATATCTGTGGCAAAAAATCCGATCGTGACTGGAGCGAGGTTTGGAAGACGACTCCCGAAGCCCTGGGCGTCCAAGAAGAACTTGATCGGCTCCACGCAGCGGGCATGAACGTGCAAACCAAAGATGATGGATCCATTTCGGAATTTGCCATGCCTCTTTCCTCGCAGCTGTATTATGTTACACAAAGAGTATTCCAGCAATACTGGCGGACACCTTCTTACATTTCTGGAAAGTAAGTCGCTCCAGGCCCTCAGTTGGAGGGGAGGTTAAAGCTGACCTTTATCTTCAGATTTCTTCTTGGCATTATGTCTGCACTCTTCATCGGTTTCTCATTTTACAAGCAGAACAACACTTCATCAGGGCTTCAAAACACTATATTTGCCATTTTCATGCTTGTCACGTGAGTTCAACCCTTCTTAAGCTATTCATATTGTCTAACCCAACTTGCAGTATCTTCTCAACCCTTGTTCAACAAATCATGCCACGTTTTGTGATACAGCGCTCGCTGTACGAGGTTCGCGAACGCCCTTCCAAGGCCTACTCCTGGGTGGCCTTTTTGCTTGCCAACATCACTGTGGAGTTACCATATCAGATTGTGCTGGCTGTTCTAATGTGGGTATCATGGTATTTCGCCGTTTTCGGGAAGAATCAAGATAATGAGACTCGAGGACTCATGCTGCTCCTGGTGGTGCAGTTCATGCTCTTCGTGAGCACATTTGCTCACATGATCATTGCAGCCATGCCCGACGCGGAAACTGCTGGCAATATTGCCACCCTTCTGTTCAGTATGATGTTGACATTCAACGGCGTGTTGCAGAGCCCTACAGCACTCCCAGGTTTCTGGATATTTATGTGTACGTACTGAGTTTCGAAATTTTAGATTAGCCTGCTGACCCGAACGATCAGATCGTGTGTCCCCAATGACATATAGCGTGGCTGGCTGGGCTGGTGCTGGTTTGGGGGGGCGGCCCGTCGAGTGTTCCGAACAGGAGCTAGCAATTTTTGATCCGCCTTCTGGACAGAACTGCCAGGAATATCTAGCAGATTATCTCAACGCCGGTGCTCCGGGTCGGCTGTACAACCCCTCAGCGACGTCTCAATGCCAATACTGCCCACTCACTTCTGCTGACCAATTTTTGGCTGCAACCAACGTGTACCCGAGTGAACGTTGGAGAAACTTTGGCATTGGGTTTGCCTACATCGGGTTCAATGTGAGCTGACTCCCTGATTATTCCACGATGGTGAACGCCAGTGACTGACATTGTGGCAAACAGATTTTCGCCTGCATCGGCCTCTACTACGTTTTCCGCGTCAGGCGCCTTAGCCTCAGCAGTCTGGCCAAGGGCCCGGCACGGATTGCGGACCTTATCATCAATCAGGGATTGAGACGTATATTTGCACGCCATTCAGAGCCTACTCCTGCTGGAAAGGAAGCAGAGAGCCATAAGGCGTTCTAGCGTGGAGATACTAGAAGCAGGAGTAGTACGTGGCTGCCTGGTGCCGACAACCGGATGGGATTTGCCTATAGAAGGAGGACATTTAGTTGCTTAAGTGCGGCACTATCTGAAGGTATAGATATTGTAATTTCAAGATATCTTTCCATCTAGGCCTAAGTTGACTTCGTCTGTGGCTGCTAGTGAGATTACTTGGTATATTCCTAAATACTATGCCTTAAGTACTATGCATCGAGGAAGTGCTTGGTGAGAAAGGATCTACTACCATTGTCTGGCAATATGATTGGTTTGTTGATTCTGGGCTACTCATAACTATTTTCGTTCGCAGGGAAACTGTCAAAAGCATCCTAGACATGGCTGCGAAAAAGTACCACGTTCCCCGCGCAGCTGAAGCTGCCGCCAGTGAAATGGAGGTGGAACGCGAATGCGAGGCTGGCAGGTTGGATCAGGATCAGGAACAACCTAAGAATGTTCAGGGCAAGTACGTGGATCTGTCGGAGCTCAAGCTTGCCCTACCCCAATCCGACAGGTTCGCAAGATACAGGCAGGTGTTCGGAGATGACTGGCTAGAAGATGCTTCAAGCGATGACAAAGATGACGAGGACAACAGCAACGTGGAAGGGAAGGGGAGGAAGATGAAAGGAGACAAAGGAACCACCAATGCACGAAATGGTCCGAGGAAAACAGGCCGGCAGCAACAAGGGCGCAAGGATCAAACCAACGTGCAGGATGACCCCGAAGAAGAGGATAATGTCAGTGACTATGAGAACGATGAGAACGATGATTGGAAAGTCTTCTTCGAAGTTGATCAAGCTAACTACTTCGACGACGACAGCGAGGCCGGATTACTTCAACATCCAGAGGCTGGTTATGCTCCTCTTGTGAGATATTAGACGCATCCATTACGTCCGACTAGATTTTCGCGGCTGTAGGATCACATTGTAATTCCTGTCAGGTTTCTGGATTGTGAACTCCTTCGTCCCCAATACCAAAGTCGGGTCTTCCAGCTGAATCTCGTATCTTAGCAACAGGGAGGCCATCATTTTCATCACAAATTGATTGGCGACATTCCGTCCAATGCATTGTCTGCTCCCATAGCCGAAGCCAAGAAAGCATAACTTCATCATTGCCAGATCCGCTTTCTCGTCCAGCCATCGCTCTGGCTTCCATGTGTCTGGTTCAGAGTAGACTGAGGCATTCCGCCCGATGGTGGCAGCGGGCACGCCAACATCCACGCCGCCTGGTACGTAGACGTCACAGATGACGGCACCGCCTGGTGGGGTCATACGTGGCATAGCGTAGCCAATGGGTGGATGCATACGCAGGCATTCTATCTCGGTCGCTTCGAGCAGACTCAATTTATTAAGCTTGGAGAATGGAATTGGGGCGGAAGCGTCGAGGTTATCCGGAAACATCTCCTCAAGCTGTTGGATGATGTTGCGTTTGACGGAGGGATTCTTGGAAAGATAGTAGGTCATCCAGTTCAAGGTGACACTTCCAGTACTAGCCCCAGCGACCCTAGAGCCAACATATGTAAGTCTCCTTCTTCAATCTGGAAAGTTGAAAAACTACTAACATTAAGGATGAAGCCTCAGCCCTAAGTTCTGGGAAGTCCATTCGTGCGCCGGTCTCTGGATCTTGTGCCTCGATGAATCGTTGCATAATATCTTGCCGTGGCTTTCCGCTCAAGGTTGTTTGCCTCCGGCTGTCCTGGAAGCGCTTTTCCAGGGCCCTCCTTGCGTACTCGAGATACTCGAGTCGTGCTTGCCATAATGTTTGAACATATGGCAGAGGTACCCAGCTAAGAACTTGCACATTATACTTTCCAAATGGCAGCATGCCGCTTAGATTGGCAAATCGTTGCGAGAGTTCAACTAGCTTTGAGTATCTGGCCGGCTTACCAGCGTCCAAAGTGCCAAAACCTTGACCAAAAGCAAGTTCACCCATCAGATCCATTGTGAAAAGTTCGAACCAAAAGTATATATCAAATGGCTGTGCCGTCTTGGCGAATGAATCCATTCTTCGGAGAAAACGTTCTATCATCATGTCTGCGTATTCCTCAAATAGGTATAGTGACTGCATGCTAAAGCTGTGTGCCACCATACGTCGCTTTATTGCGTGGCGCTTCTTAGATCGTGTGGAAAACAAGGATTCTCCAGTTGTAGAGAATGCATCGTACCAGCTTGATTTTCCAAACTCCTCTGCACCTTTCCCGTGCCCTGTGTGGGTTAGAAGTTATTCATGTAGAAGTACGGGTTGTTGATACCATAAATCGCTTTGACTGCCTCTGGGTGGTTGAAAGATACTGAGTTGGGGCCAGTCCGTACTGCCGCAGAGCCAGGATAAAGCGCAAACAGTTCAGTGGCCCATTGCGCGCGCCTTTTGTCTTTCAAGGCGTTTGCTTCGAGCACGTTCGATATGCGTGTGACCCATGGTCCTGGTATTTTACTTAGCGGAGAGAAGAACAGTCGGTATGTCAAGAGCGCTGCGTAATAGCCCGAAACAAGCAGTATCGGAAACCAAACTATGGCAAGAGGCATGTTGAGGACGTGTGAAGTATGCGTGCACTATGACCCCCATGGATGGTGTACGAGTAAAACTCTGGGAAGGCTAAAGTGAGGAGGGGAGAGCAGCCTTGTGTCTCAAAAGAGGCCTTCCACCACCGGGCAATTTGCGGGATCGCTGCTCCACATCAACAGCTTCTCCGCACGGCCCTCGGCCGCCGGCAGTTGCAGCGATGCGTCGAGTGTGGAGGCTCCCTGTATCTCCGCAGATTGATTATTACTTGGAGGGGCTCGCTGGGGCCCCCGGCCCCCGAGGACAGAGAGGGAAACGGCATGGAGATAATTACACAAGTCACCGAGCAATCAAGCGACTCCTGACTAGAAGACTGGCAGCCTCGTTAACGGACTCGGCGTAATGGCGAAAAACACCAACTGCCGACTGGACTTGGCGGTCGGTCGAAAGAAGCGTTTTGAACAAGCATCTGGCGGCTTGATTCATGTCCTAGGGAAACGCTTGTCCTCCGCCAGAGGCATATTCGGCACGAGGCACAGGGGTTAACTGTTCGAGAGAGTGCCGATTATGTACGGAGTACAATTGGACCCCACGATCGCTAGCCCGCTGTTGTAAAACCTCCACAGGTTTGAGACCAGCTCCACCACAATGGTAAGCCACTCCAAGGTCTGAGGTAGAGACGAACAAGCTCTCCCAAGCTTCGGCGCCTCGGAGACTGTAGGCTCTTGGAAATCACATGCGGGGCCCCTCGGGGGTGTTCCAACATAATCATGGGGCTTATATATCCATGCTCACCCGCCACTCGTGGGGAGAATGCTTTTGCACTTGCTCGCACTCTTCGATTGTAGCCGTCCTTCCCTAATGCATGATACAGCAGAGCATAAAGCCGTGGTGGAGGCGGAAGTTGAGCATGCTCATGAACAGCCTCGGGGGGATTCCCTCGGGTATCAAGATCCACACAAGGCTGCACTCGAGGACAGTCCCGAGCATGCAGAAAAGCTCAGTCTATCTGTCATTTTGTCCGCTTTGTTCCTGGGAACTTCCTTTACAGGTCCAATCATCTTTGGCTTTATACTTGCCACGCCTATCCTAGTACAACTGAGCGAGAAGCTTGGAGGCGAGAACATCTCTTTCTGGATTCCCTCTGGCTGGGGTGCCGCGGCTGCTGTCGGCTTTTCTATCGCAGGGCGTCTCTCGGACGTGTTTGGTCGCCGTTATGTCATTCTTGCAGGCCAGCTTCTGACTATCATTGGTGGTGCGATCGCATGTAGTGCGCAGACGATGAATCAGCTGATTGCAGGCGAAGTCATTCTTGGGGGTTCAATTGGCACGGTGTCGGTCGCATATGCAGGTAAGATTGGAAATCAACTCAAATCGTGCCTGTGGAAGTGCTAAGTCGAGTCAGGTATCTCTGAGATTCTACCCAATAAGTGGAGAGGCGTAGGCCTTGCCTGGACAGAATTCAATCTAGCGACCTGGGCCATTGCAGGCACATTATTGGCCAATGCACTCCTTTCGCATGCTAGTTGGCGTATCATGTTCTACATTGCTATGGGCTATGGAGCATTTTCCCTTGTCGGCACCTTTTTGGTATACTTTCCACCAAGTCACCCTCGCCCGGACGGCCTTACCAAGTGGCAGGAATTCAGAAAATTGGATTTCCTCGGTGCGGCTCTCTTTATCTCTGGGCTTGCGGTGTTCTTGTATGGGCTGAACTCTGGTGGAAACACCTATCCATGGAAGGCTGCCGGTACACTCGCGCCGCTCATTCTAGGCCTGTTCGTCTTTCTCGCTGCCTTCGTATACGACTTTACCGTGGCGAAAGATCCATTGTTCCCGTGGTATCTATTCAAGAGCTTTCGGGAATTTTCTGCACTACTTATGCTGGTATTTGTGGCCGGCATGGTATTTTTTGCTGCCTCTGCTCTTAACGCCCAGACAATTCTGTACCTGTACACTGCAGATCCTATCAAGATTGGAGTGTACTCTATTCCCTCGGGGTGAGTTTCTGTTTAATGGTCCAGTCAGACCTGTTGCTAACCTTCGACAGTGCTGGCCAACTCGTCGGTGGAGTTATTATTCCTGGCCTTGTGCACTATATCAAATACGTGCACTATCAACTTACCTTCTCCGTTTTCATGCAAACGCTCTTCTTTGGCCTCGCAGCACTTATTACGCCACACAATATCAACTGGGTGATGGCAGTTCAATTCCTTGCAATGCTGCCCTTCGGATGGATCACTCTGAATTGCTACACCACAGCCTCGCTACACGTACCACAGCGGGATTTAGGGGTAGCGATAGGATTGATTGGCACTTTTAGATCTCTCGGAGGAGCAGTAGGCTCAGTCATATTCTCGTCCATCTTCGGGCAGGTGTCTGCCAAGCAGATCGTCAGTCGCGTCACAGAAACTGCCACGAATGCGAATGTTTCGCCTGAGACAATCAAGGAGCTGATTGGGGCCGTCAAGTTAACCATAGTCGGTGTTCCTGGGCAAGCTGCTACTGTACCCAGTGTTTCCTCATCGGTGTTCTCGGACTGCGTGGAAGCCGCTCGGCTGGGATACGCGTACGGATTTCGCATCACCTGGCTCGCCTCAATACCCTTTGGCGTCATTGCTATGGCATGTGCCATAGCAGTCCGAGACCCCTCGAAATACTTCACCAACCACGTCGAAATTCATTTGGAGAAGGAAATTGGAGGAGGTCATCAATTAGATGAGTCGAAGGAGAAGGTTGTAACCTAAAACTATGGGTCTTGAAATCATTGCAGGCTGGTGATATTCAGTTCGAGGTCTTCTGAAGAGATAATTTCCAGGGTTGTGGTAAAAATCCCACAACTTGGGTTCCACCAGTTTTGTTGGCTTCTGATATTGAACTGTAATGATTTGAACACTAAGTCCAACTATTGCTTACACCCCACCGTTCAAAATATCTGTCGAGAGATTTCTTGAGCACGCCATCGGCGTTCCTCAGCCAGTCGGCATCTTCCACCCGAGTGCTAGTGTTGATGTGCTTCAGCGCGGCTCGAGCGTTGTAGGGGTACACAAGAGGCATAGCGTCAACCGTAAAGGTCACCGTGTTTGCGGTAGCCGGGGCAAGGAGGGACTCGGCTATGTCAATGACTATCTTCGTGACAGTTTCAAGCGCCTCCTGTGAGTTCCTGTACCATCCCTCGAGTGGTTTGAACTTGGCCCTAACAACTTGCGGTGGCTGTCTAAGAATGTGCCAGTGTAATGTGAAGAGTGCCCTAATCGGAGCGAGTGAGGTCAGCCTGGTGCCGTTCTCTATTTAAAAACCTGGCAATCATACACCAGGGCAACCATGATGGGCAACTCACCTGATAGCGAGATGCACTGCTGCGCAAAAGTTGCCACGCCGCGCGTGACCTTGCGGAATAACTAACGAAAGAAAGGTTTGAATAGAAGTATCAAGTCCATCCAGCTGGAGCAGTCTAGAATCAATGTCCACAGTTTCAAAACTTTTGAAAACTTGATCCAGAAGACAAGTCGCTTGTGCTGTTCGTCCGAACCCTCCAACCTTTGGTGCTGTCAGACAAGACACAGGGATAGTAGGCACCGATTGAGGGCTTAAGACGTCGAGCTGATCGAGAACTTCAGATTCAAGTGGTAGCTGAGTATGACCCCTAGGAAAGATTGTAACCAATGGCTGGTCGAAGGCCATAACCTCATTGAGGAAGGCTCTGCCAGCAGTACTATTTTTAGCGTTCATTTCGTCGATGACTTGCCAAGTGCACCATGAAAGACATACCGCTCACAAACAACAAGTCCCCACCACGTATTCGCTGCTTCCTCAGTTTGCAACAAGAGGTGCGAATCTGAACTGGTACTAGATTCACCTGTCATTTGTGTAGGGAAACTTTCCCGGGTGTGGATGCGGGCGGCGTATGCCATTCGCGCACTGCCCGCAATAGTCACAAACGCATCATCCGGTCGGCCGTGCATGTATTCATACACGGCCAACAAAACCCCTGCTTGGATCAGTGGAATGGACGGTGTGCAAGATACCTGAGTCTGTGAAAAGAGGGCCCTCGCAGTGAGGTAGAGGGACTCTTGTTCGATGGACCAGGACACTCCATGCGAATGTTGATGTCCTAGTGCAGGAGCGTGCGTAATTAGACAGAGAACCAGCAGCAGGACCGAAAAGTCAGCGGCTGGGGCTTCTCCCAGGGTGACAAGGTTGTTATAAAAGCGTGTCCGGGAAATGATGGGAAGATGGCGGTGGAAACCCTGAAAGTAGCGAGCGCTAATGTCGTCTACAAACTGTCCCGTGCCACGAATAATACCGTGAACCTCAAGATACACCTGGCCTCTGGTTCCTGTTGGTCAGCAGTCTGCTCTGACAAGATTTAACACGTAAGACAACTGGATGGCCCAGTGTCAATTTCTACTGAGTGTTGACAAGGAAACTCAACTGGTGCACCACGCTTGTTGTCCGGTCTAGTGGTACATTCTTAGATGGTGTCAAGCGAGAAGAGACAAGATTCTCAGGGGGCCTTGCACCCCAGGTCAGCGCAGCATTATGATCCCGGTGTTGCGATGAGAGCGCATAAACACAGTTCAGCCCTTTCCTGAGCAGATATGTGAGCTTAGCCGTTGTTGACGGCGGGGACGGGTGCAAGTGGGAGAAGGAGGACAGCTGACCGAGTGCAATATCCACAAGATGGCAAAAACCTGTTGCATTTCTTCTTTCGAGTTTTGCAAGTCACGCAAGCCTGGGCGGTTGGAGCTGAACGTAGTCGAGTACTGTTGGTCGCCATTATGAGTCGGGGTTGAGGCCCTGGGAATGCATCAGATATGGAAACTGAGCAATAAAATAGAAACCTCACTGCACCCGTTGACCGATTGGGTGCGATTTATGGAGATAAGTGTGGGTCTTGCACTGATAATGCGCCCCAGCTGATTTCCGACAATTCAGGCTCCTGGTACATATGAAACTGATCTGATTGTTAAGTTGAAGTTGATGTCGAGATCGGCTGAGACCTTGACAAATGCATTGCTGTCGGATGAAGGTGTCGGGCCAAGACCGTCGGACGGTGTCGGACTCTGTCGGGTGCTAGGCTGAAAACGAATAAGGCTGAGGCTGATATCGAGGACTGATGGACTATGCAACAAACCCCTGGAAGTCATACATTAGCCCTATCATTAGGATTCATTCTTAGCAACATCATTCGGCTTCGCTACAGATACGGCAGCATTCTCGGTGATTTTTGTGTTCCATATGCTCCGGCGGGAGTTTAGAGCCTTGAAAGGTAAATCTCAACTTCTTTAGTATAAAATGACGACTTCACGAGTTGTAGAATGCTTTCCATTCATTGCCCGAGTGAAACCAAACGTGTTAGGTGCAACTGAACAAAGATGGGTGACGATTCAGTGAACGAAAGTGGTGACAGAAGTGGCGTCGAGGTGCAAAAGGAACACGAGACGACACCAAGAAAGCCCGACTTACTTCCGGAGGAAGGTTTCCAAGGCTGGCTTTGTGTTTTCGGAGCCTTTCTGTGCCTTTTCTGCTCCTTCGGATTCTTGAATGCGTATGTCTTTTATTAAACTTCCACCAAATATAAGATGGACCATGGTATGCTAACCAGGCCGCCACCAGCATTGGGGTTTTCCAAACGACATACCAAGACACGTATTTGAGCAACTACACACCCTCAGACATCGCTTGGATTTTCGCAGTTCAGCTGGCACTCTTATGGGCACCAGGGCCGTTTTTTGGACGCCTCGTCGATACTTATGGACCCGCGCCTGTTCTCTACCCAGGCGCCTTTCTGTGTATATTCGGTCTCTGCATGACCAGTCTAGCGACGGAATACTATCAAATATTCTTGGCACAAGGACTTGCATTTGGTCTTGGGGCGGGGGCTGTGTTCACAGCAAGCACGGTTTGCGTGGGACAATGGTTTCTTCGGCGGCGTGGTCTGGCCATTGGCATCGTTACTACGGGTAGCAGTCTCGGCGGTGTCATTTACCCAGTCTTCCTGGACAAGATTATCCTCCAGGTGGGCTTTCCCGGCGCTTTAAGATATACTGCTCTACTCATGGGAATTCTCCTGGCTTCGTCTTGCTTCATGATCAAGGCTCGATTGCCGCGCGAAAAGTGGAATCCGAATACCAAGTGGTTCGACCCATTGCTTTTCAAGGACAAACAGTTTGCTCTGTACACAGTGGGAACTTGGTTGGTCATGTAAGTTGGCGTACAGACACCTATCTTCTGTGTCCATGGTAAACATTGACTCACTGACGTTGGATTGGAAAGGTGGGGTATCTGGGCGCCGTTTGACTTTGTTTCGAGCTTCGCACTGAACGAGGGATTCCAGCCCGATCTGGCGCTCTACTTGATATCCATCATCAAGTGAGTTTGATCAATGAACCTCATGCTTCATTCCAAGCCAACGTGTCCAATGCTGATTTTTTTTCGTCACTCAGCGCAGCCTCAATCCCTGGCCGGATCGTGCCCCCTCATCTGGGAGATAGGATTGGACACTTCAATGTGATTACCGCCTGTGCATTGTTGATGGGAGGCTCCATGCTTACGCTATGGCTTCCTTTCAACTACCATCATTCGCACGCCGGCACCATCATCTTTGCTGTTGTCTATGGGCTTGTCAGTGGTGGCTTCATTTCCTTGATGATACCTTGCGTATTCAAGTTGGGTAGTCTAGAGACATTGGGTCACCGGTTCGGAACCTTCCAAATAGTAGTTGCAACGAGGTTAGTATCCCTCCAACTGCGGTATCACATCTTATCAGGAATTAAACGCCCATGCTAATCCGATATAGCATGCTGACAGGGCTGCCCATCATGGGTGCCATTTTGAACAATCAAAACAAGGTCGACTTCTCAGGTCTCCAGATTTTTGCCTCTGTTTCGACTTTGGTGGGCACGGCACTGCTTGCAGCATCAACGTACTATCTAGCAAAGGCTCGCAAGATCTGGACGATCTAAAGGGTGGCCTCACGAATACCGAAAGATTCTGAACTTTCTGCGACATCAGGTGGCTCTTAGGGGCGAGCTCCTCGCAGGCCCCAGAAGGTGCATCAGCCACGATATTGCAACAGGGCCAAAATGTCTGGGCCTTGTCACTTGAGGGGTACGGAGTGAAGGGGCCACAAATTGAAAAATGCTTGAGAATGGCCTTCAATACGAAGTGTCACGATCCGATCACCCGACAAATCGACGCCAGTACCTTTTGTCAAATGTTTACTGCCTTCGGGAAGAATTGTCGCTAATGTTACCATACGCGTTTCGAGACGGTGAGCCTGGGTACAAATATTACAATTAATTAGCTAAAGGTCCACAACCCACATACATACTTTACCAAGCGAAGCTACTTGGAGATGATCATAAATTTGCAATGCTTATCTGCCGGCCGTAAGGTGCGGCCAAGACCTTTCAAGATCATGAGGAGATTGAGGATCTGTATCTGGAGCTCTCCCGAGCGAACTAGAAGATAGATCTGTACGAGTGCTTTACAGAGGATTCTCAGCTAATGACAACTGACGTAAGACAACCGGGCCTCTAGAGCCATTCATTTGACAAAAGATCACAAGTTGGAAGCTTCAGTTGGCCGAGAGCGATTGTGTTCATAGCACAAGCAGAAAACAGCTACTGTGTTCGAAGGGCATGAATACTTGTGTTCTCGTTTCTCTACTTTCAGATCCAAGGATCTTACTCTTTATCCCTTGGCGCGATGTCCTCGCGTACACAATATTGGTTTACCATTACCGAGCATTTCCAACTATAGAAAGAGCACACCATCAAGATTATTTTTGCATTTCTCCTCACATACTAGAGTTCTTAAAAGGGGCAGTATATCAGGTGGTGGATTGTAATGCGTGCAAAGATATGATGTATGCTTGCGAAGATGACATATAGAATATTCAGACAACAAAGTCGTTAACCGTCTCTAGTGGCGGAGAACATTTCCGTGGGAGTGGCCAATGCCTTGGCGGCCGGACAAGTGACGCTTGAAACCAGCCTCATAGGGGTGCTTGTCGTGGCCACCAGCAGCCCGGTAGGCGTCGTAGTTTGAGCACTCTTGCTTGAACTCAGCGCCGTAGTAGTCCTTGATCTCGGCAGGGCGCTCGAGATACTGGAGACCCATACCGCCATCAGCGTGCCAGATCAAGTGGCAGTGCATCACCCAGGCTCCAGGGTTGTCGGTCTCGAACCCGATGACAGTCCAGCCAGAAATGAAGGCGGTGGGGCTGCCGCCACCAAAGAGCAGAGCGGTATCTCGTCGGATCGGGTTGTCGAAGTTGAGTTGTCCAACCATGTCAGATGTGAAAACACCACGACCTTGTCCGAGGACGGAGAAATCGTGTCCGTGAAGATGCATGGGATGCGAGGTCTGGAAGTTGTTCTGAATAACGAAGTATACCCATTCGTTGGCAGGACCATCGAGCACGGCACTGTTTCCGTACAAGGAGCTGTTGTAGGCCAAGCCAGGCAGCGTGGACAGAGTCTTGAGTGTGGGCTCCTCAAAGGTCACGTTAATGGTCTTGCTGCCAGCCGGGGTGGCGCTGTTTGTGGAAAGATCGGTCGACGCTCCTCCGAGATACCATCTGAGAATAGATCCAAAGCCATCAAAGACCTGACTGCCAGCGTTTCCGGCCGGGAGAAGCTTGACCTTCTGTTGGAACTCTGAAGCGGAGCCGGCGGACTTCTTGAAGTGGGGAACGAGGCTTGCTAGAGGCTCATCGTTGCAAATACCAGCGGTAACGATGGTGGCGTTGCTGGATACTGGAGTAGCTGCGCAAGCACCCTCGTAGGTAAAGATACCATTTGAATTGCCCAGGCCATTGTTCAAAGATGTAGCACCACAGCCGGTTTGCGAAACAGCACGCAAGAAGTAGGCTCCATCGGGCTGTATATCATTAGCTAGGGGGAGGGCTCTGTGGAGGGAAGCTTACTTGGTTCGCCTCAAGAATGACATTGTATCGCTGCCCTGGTTGAATCCATAGGACCTCGGTGTCATAAGGGACGACTGGGGTGAAATCGGCGCTAACGACCTTGATCTTGTGGTTGTCAAATCGGACGGCGAAGGCAGATTGAGCAGCACTGATCAAACATTAGTAAGGACATTTGAATCAGCTTCGGTGTGGTTACCTGTTGATGATACGGAACAAGTGCTTTTTGCCCTTCTTCACAACCCAGCGTGCACTCTCACCAGTGCTTCCATCTGGAGACTTATTCTTTCCGTTGAGCAAGTAGTTTGTCGATGCGGGCAAGGCTCCTCGGACTCTGGCAATGTTCCAGGCCATCTGGAAGATAGTTTGGCTGAAAGTCTCATCAACCATGATTGTGCCCATATCATAGTCGTAGTTTGCCGTGGCAGGCCCGTGAATGATGATGGGGCCTCGAATACCACCTCCATATTGAGCCAAGGCGTGAGAGTGATACCAACCGGTTCCATAAGTAGAGGCGTGCCAGGTGTAGGTTCGGCCGGTCCCTGGTGCGATACCACACTCAGTAACACCGGGGACACCATCCTGGTCATTCGAGCCAGTTTGTCGGATACCATGCCAATGGATAGTAGTGGCATTATCGGTCAGTCCGTTGATGACAGTGACCTCGACCATGTCACCCCAATTAGCGATGATGGGCTCACCAGGAGTCTTGCCATTGATAGCGAACGAAGACTTGGGGGTGCCGTCAAAGTCGATCAACTCTGAAGTAATGGTCAAAGTGTAGCGCTTGGTATTACCAGTCTGGAAAGTGGTGTGGGTATCATCATCAACAGACCGGCTTCCGCACCAACGGCCACGGTTCTCAGCATTGTTGCATGTTGGAATATCAATACCCACTGACGAAGCTGTTGGTCCACATGACGAAGTTGTGGTAGCACTTGTTGTGGTTTGGCTCGTTGTGGTTCCAGACACCGAGGTGCTCTGTCCTGTACTAGTGGTGCCCGATGGAACCGAGTGGCTGCTTGTAGTGTCGTGACCATCATGGCTGGTGGTGGTTTCGGGGTGTACAGGGCTGGTGGTGGTACCAGGGTGCTCATGACCATCGGTGGTTGTGCCTGTGGTACTGCTCGATCCCCATCCACCATTTCCACCAGTGCCAGTGGTGCTGCTAGAGCCCCATCCACCATTTCCTCCTGATGGACCACCGGTATGGCTGCTGGAGCCCCAGCCACCATCGCCGCCGGTTGGTCCAACTGTATTGCTGCTGGAACCCCAGCCACCGTTTCCTCCTGATGGACCACCGGTGTGGCTGCTGGAACCCCATCCTCCGTCATGACCTCCGGGAGTGGTTGTTGCTGGGGCAGGATTGACCTTGGTGGTAGTTGTCGGGAGATCGGCTTCGCAGGTGAACAGATCAGTCATGGGGCATACTGTCACAGTTCTAGTGGAGGTGAAGTAAACGATCACGTCCGCTTCGGGCTTGTTTGCAAGTGCATGAAAGGAAAAAAGCGGCGAGAGGGCCGCCAGATAGGTGAACGACCTCATGCTGAATATTACTAAAAGGAGTGACTGTACAATAACGAAGGGACGAAAGCAAATGCTTTCAAGAGGTGATACAGACGGAAGAAACGTAGAGACGAAAAGATCACGACTACGCGAGGGGGACTTGAGTCTCGCACCTTGTAATATAGCTATTCATCGCCGACTTGGCCATCCCCAAGGTACCGTGTCAAACAAAGCGCGTATGAGGTGGATCTACGGCTGACTCCAAGAGAAAAGCCATGTGGGTGAATCATTGCTTAGGAGATTAAACGAAGCCTGAAAAAGGGGAGGCCAAGCAGAAGATATCCATCTTTAGAGAGCCAAGTTCTTGTCGGAGGGAACAAGACTCTCATTGAGGAGTGGAAAGACGTGGAGTTTTTTCCAAGACAAAGTGGTTGCACTGATCGATACCTTAAGATTACGAGCCAAGCAGACCGTGAAACATGCAGGAGAGAGAGCGGAGATGTGTCAGAAAGGGTCAAGCATCGATCAATCGAACGCAGATACCAGCTGTCGTTGAACGACGTCTATACGTCTGTCATTGCCACGATGCGTCCATGTCTCTATTCTCTATATGAGAAACCTGCACTGTCGACTGAGTCGCAGTTGAATTGTAAATCAGGTGGGCTCGACGGCTCAGCAGGCACAACATCAGAAACTCAGGAGAAAATGCCGAGCCTTGCCCAGGGTGCCAAGGTTGTGAGCCAAGATCGGCTTAGCCACAACGGAACTTTGCTGAAATTGCGATCTCAGTCCTGACTCTCAATTGGTGGTGTAACGCCAATTGTGTATCACTTGCCCATAGCCCTGGCTTTCTTCGCTTGCACAGGGCTGAGCACTCGAACGTGATATCACCAGCTGCCCCGTACGATGGAACAGGAGTGCAATGATATTTGACGGGTCGGCGATTCAGATTCCACCATGGACCTTCCTCCCGACTTGGCGAAAATCTCTCACAACATTCGGTGCGCCTGCTCCCTGCTATGAAGGCCTCGAACCTGGAACAGGGCAGATTACCCAGCATCCGCAAATCCAGACGCGACGCGCTGTGTATGTGGACTGACGAGTCCGACCCACAGTACACTGCCAATAGCAAACAAGGCCACCCAAGGCCGACACTAGAATAAGAATTCATGGGAGCACCATGATTGGACTTTTGAGATCCATTATTACCAGGCACCTTGAAGCAGAAGACCAGCGACGCGCAAGGTCTTCTCCTCAGTTATCCTACGAGGTATTCCGCAGACGGTACGCTTCAGTACGAGATCATCAGCTTTGTGATCTGGAGACATCTTCGCCACATCGCATGAAAATTAAACCTGAAATTACTTCCGTCATCCGTTTCCCCTATCCGACTGCATTTTGAGGCTGCCTGTTGCATCATCACTCCTGTCTGCCAATTGAAACCGATTCAAGATCCATTTCTTGGGAGTAAGACCTTGTCAGGTTGTTGTTATCAGCTCAAGCTAGCCCGTAAAAAATAATTGCAGTAGGCGTCAGGAAGCAGCTGCACCTCGCCCAATTCATTTGAAACTGTTAGCGCCACATTATCAGCAGATGGGAATTCCCATCTGCTGAGCCACAGGGCTTTTTGCTGATATAAGAATGGATGAGTTGCAATGGCTTTAATTAACATTTCGATGGACCCAGATCCGCCACAGCCACTGGGAAAATCTTGCACCAGTAAGCAGTTCCCTGATGTATATATCTTTGATTCAATTGACACGCGCCTGTGTCTCTCAATACGGTTCATGACAAATGAACGGATCGATATCTCACCGAGCCTTTTGAACAGGGGAATAAGCTTACTTAGTTACGTAAGGGAGAACATCTTGCAGGGCCTGTGCTTGCTTGAGAGACCATACTACCCCGAATTACTGCGTGAATAGTAAGGGTTCGTTGCGAGCTTACCGCCCTCGCAAACGCAGCATTGAGCGTGCCATGGCTGGAGCCCCGAATCGTCTCGATGCCACTGTTATGGCTATCCCGCCTCTCATACAAGGTGTAGTTGGTGGCATAACGCAGCTTGGGCAATGCCAAAACTCTCGCCTCTTTTGATATCAGGCCCAAACCGACTTACATTCGGACTGCGAATGCGGAATGGACTGTGGGACTTCTGAATGAAGTATGGTAGGCTCATTTGAGACATGTCCAGCACATCAGCGTACTTTGTGCCTTCGAGTTCGAATGCCGCTTTAGTCCCTACGCTGGCTTTTATGATCAGGACACGGGTGTGTTCTTGAGTAGTGTTCTTCGAGCAAGGGATGCAATCGAGCGCGTGGTCAATCACAGACAAAAATCTGGGATCGGTTGCTAGCTGCGGAGAAGGATGAAGTTCACCTACTTGTACTGCGATAAATAACCTTGAGGATGAACGTTTACGATGAGATTGGGAGAGAGGACAAACGTCTGGCTGCCATCGTTATCCGCATGCAGCCTCTCCGCGATGCAGGACAAGCAATAGGACATACCGCTTTGAAGAGCTCGTACGGAGTACTGTGAGGAGATACTTGCTCCAAGCTAACCGAATTCTCCACTTGTGAGAGTGTATAAATTGGTCTTCGGACCAGTTACCGGCCGAGACATTTCACAGAGGGGTAAATGCCAGACTGTTCCGCCAACCAAATGTTACAGTATACTGAGTCTTGACATGTTGCAATAACTATGCTGACAAGAACGCATACGCATTGATGCCAGAGTCACTGAATCGGCACCACGGATAGATATGGAAAGCTTATCACGAGCAAATTCGAGTCTGGTAGGTCAATTCGGTGCCTCACGCTCAAGGAGGGTCGTGAATTGTGCTGTTCGTCGGGGGTTAACCTATAATTATGTGCCTCGTCGTCATAGGAAAGGGTTGGTCATATTTTCTGGTCGCCGAACTTGTCTAGTGGGACAGGCTTTTTAACTTCGAGGCTGGTTCCCGTGACTTCGGCAAACATTCTCGGTATGGACAGGAGCTTTCCCGGATGTGGCGTAGCTTGGGCGGGTGGCTCCAGCTCGGGGTCTACAATATTACTAAGGAGCTTTGCTCACCGATAACTGTCAAACGCTTTGTACTGTACTTGAGGTAGCCCATACCCCGAGAAGTCTATTCGAGCGTGCGTCTACTCTGCAGGCGTGTCGGGGATCACAACATGGCCACCTTCCACCAAGTATAGGCACGGAGTACGTGTCCTACGTTCCCATTGGAAAGGGCCGATTCAGCTGAGAGCCCTGTCCTCGTTCATGTCGGCAATCTAGGGGCTTAGGCCACCCGATCGAGTTCCATGGTAGTCCAATTCAAGGATGCAGTGTCAATGCACACGTTTTTTCGGGGAAGCACGAGCGAGCTGGAATGCCATTTCGCGAACGACCTTCAAACTCAATAAAAACACTCATAACCTTGAGAGCTACAATTTCACAAATGAATGAGCCTGTACTGCGCCTTCCTGTCCACCATCCAATACTTAATAGCTTTCTTTCGCCTGTAACCATTATTGCTGTTGACCACTGTTTGAGAACAAGCACCACTCGAATTTATGCGTGCCACCATGGCAACCGTCGACATCGAATCTGTGTCCCAAGACCTCTTTACCAACACCTCAATCCAGTCCTTCTCATGGCAAGAGCTCACTGTGACGGTCAAGGACCGCAAATCGAAGCTGCCTCTCACCATTCTTGATTCCTGTAGTGGCAATGTGCAGGCCGGGCAACTGGTCGCATTAATGGGCCCAAGTGGCAGCGGGAAGACAACATTGCTTAACGTTCTGGCCATGCGATCACAAATCCAATGGGCAGGCCAGCTACGTCTCAATTCCAATCCCATTACCAAGACTGGCCTTCGAGGAATTTCGCGATACGTCGAGCAGGAGGATGCTCTCATTGGAAGTTTGACAGTACGAGAGACCATCGACTTTTCGGCCAGACTTGCGCTTCATGGGGTAAAGAGAGACACCAGGCGTGCAATGGTCAATTCCCTTATAACGGCGTTCGGCCTACGAGACCAGCAGGACACCATCATAGGAACACCGATTAGAAAAGGCATCAGTGGTGGCCAGAAGCGCCGTGTTAGTGTTGCGAGCCAGCTGGTCACATCGCCAAAAATCCTCTTTCTCGACGAGCCCACCAGTGGACTCGACTCTGCTGCAAGTTACGAGGTCATGAAGCTGATCTCCGAGGTGACAAAAAAACACAAGTTGATTGTGATAGCGTCGATCCATCAGCCATCCACGACAACATTTGAGCTGTTCGACAAGCTACTACTCTTATCTCATGGGAAAACGTGCTATTTCGGTCCAGTCCAGGAAGTCGACGCATACTTTGGAAATGTGGCGCCAATCCCGATGCATACCAACCCTGCCGAATTTCTGCTGGACCTTGTCAATACCGACTTTACGGACAATCCATCAGGAAAGGTCGACCTTGCAAGAATTCAGAGCTGCTGGACTGACTCAGCCATGAGCCAGTCCCTAGAAACGGAACTCTTCGCTGAGAAACCAACGAGGGGAGGCCCTCTTGAGCTAGAGAGCTCCAGAGGCAGAGGTAATGGCTTACAACTTGACTTACCAGTAACTTTACTGCACCGGAACTTCATCAAGTCTTATCGTGATCTCCTCGCATACGGCACACGTGTTGCCATGTACACGGGCTTGGCAATCCTGATGGGCACGGTATGGCTTCGCTTGGATTATACACAGTCTTCCATCCAGCCATTCATCAATGCATTATTCTTCGGCGGTGCTTTCATGTCATTCATGGCGGTCGCGTATGTTCCCAGTGTCATCGAGGACCTTTGGACTTTCAATAAGGAGTACGCGAACGGGCTCTACGGTCCGCTGAGCTTCATGGTTGCCAATTTTTTGATCGGAATTCCATGGCTGTTGTTGATCACACTGATCTTCAGCGTGATCACCTATTGGTTGTCCAACTTTCATGCGACCGCAAGCGGATTCTGGATATGGGTGTTGTTCCTTTTCCTCGACTTGCTGGCTGCAGAAAGCCTTGTGGTTCTCTTCAGCTCAATATTCCCCATTTTTGTGGTCGCCTTGGCAGCCATTGCATTCGCTAATGGCCTGTGGATGAGTGTGGGTGGATTTCTTGTCCCAATGGGCACACTAAACGTTTTCTGGAAATGTAAGGAAGTTTCTCGCTATGTTTCGATAATATGTTAGCTAACCAGGACTCTTTCAGATGTTTTCCACTATATCGATTACCAAGCATACGTTTTTCAGGCCATGATGGTGAATCAGTTCAAAAACACCGTATACGACTGCGACCCTACTGGCCAGTCGAGTTATTATTGCATGTACAAGAGCGATCTCCAGGACCAGGGTAAGATAAGAGGTACTGCAGTCCTGGAGGCATATCATTACTCCCACGAGGACGGTAAAATATGGGAATGGTTTGGCATAATGCTGGGCATCATCGTGGTTTATAGGCTACTTGGATTTTTGGCTCTGTGGCTTCGAACTCGGGGTTCTCGCTAAAGGCGCATACTTGTCGGTCACGCCCTACCGCGTGCCCACGGGGCAGGGGCATTATTTACGGGTGCATCAAAGGCCTACTACTGGCAGCGAGAGTCGGAATTCAGTTCACACTGATAGACCCCTGTTTTTCTCAATTTCTGCATTGACTTTTTAGATTCTTTTCTGTTTGCCGTAGACTAAACAAATTCAAGCTGGTCTGGTGCCAATTTAAAGCAAGCCCCGTTCAGTTACTAGATTATACTACTTATCCTTCTCCATTAAGCGAGAGGAGGACGCTTCTTATTCCGTCTGGCCAGAGAACACTGGCGACCCTCTTCTACATTTGAATCAGTATTATGTGCACTTGGCGCTCCACAGGGGCATTTCTCGAAAACCACTGGGGTGGAAAGCTATGTGCCTGGTGTTCTTTCAATGTTGAGATACTATGTACTCGGTACTGCATATCTCGTACTCTTAGCCCCTTTCGAACGGGCACAGGATCTCGATTGCTTGCTGCTTCGGTTCCCTGCGTGGGAGTAAGAGGTACGGAGTACGAAGTACTGAACTGAATGATACCCAAGCTTTAACGCGCCTGTCAGATGTAGACGAAATTGTCTCCGATTTCAGGGATTGCTGGACACCAACAGTCCATCTAGGCCACGATGTTCGCTTCAGCGAGCGTTCCGAGTGGTTGGAGACAAAAATGCAAGCGGTGTACTCGGTACCCGAGACTTCAATTCTATCAGTGGGTAAGTTCTTCCTCTCTGGCAATTCTGACGGGTCGGGGAAGTCAAGCTTCACTACGGAGATCCTTTGCGATGTGTCCCATCTAACTTTGGAGTCATGAGGTTTGAGTCTTCCCAGAGAGAAGATGTAGTGTGCTATCAAGTCAATCAAGTTGATTGGCTCAGGACTGCAATGCTTCTGCGAACAGTTGTGATGCTTCGCCATCTAATTAGGCTAATTAACTAACGAGAGTCTCGATGCGGCTACCGAACGAGGCTGCGCTTGATAGCGCCTAATGCAGAGCCTAACCCCCCCCTTCAACCTTTCTAATCGCACCACTTGGATGGTCAATCCCATCACGCAATTCAATGGTGTTCTTCTAGTCTTCCAGGTACAGCTTGTACGTGAGTTTAGGAATATATTATGTTGCTTGCATTCGGTGTTCAAGGCCTCACAGGGGTAGAGAATCAATCTTCAAGTAGAGATGTTTTAAATTCCTCCGGCGGAGGTAGTCTACTTGTCCACGGTTTGGTCACTCCGGTGGAAGTGAGCCAGGTCTTTTGCTGTGAGGAGTTCCTTCAGGCCCCCAGACCAGGCAAGCGCTCCACCTAAAGTAAAGTCTTTCTCAATCTCTCAGGCCCATTTAGGGGGATTCACCCTGCAAAAGCGCCATTAGCAACGACCGTACGGAGTACTTGCATAAAACCACCGTCCCCGCCACGATAACCGATGGATTTCCCCAAAGTCTACCCCAGAAATGGATTGCAATCTCCGACTCACCATGCTTCGGAGGAACAAGAACATGGTTGTCGATGAGATTCTTGCGTAGAAAATTTCTTTCCATCGTACGACTGATGATCTTTCGAGTTGTGAGCACGGAAAGAGTGAGATCGCCTCTGCTGACGGCTGGTGCAGTATAGGGAGACACAATGCACATCTATAAAATGCACTCCCCTGGCATGCTTCGACCACCGTTGTTTCGGCCGATGTTCAAAGGTAAGCCACGAACTTGACGACCATGAGGTACTCCAACCCTCCCATGATGGCGGGTCTTACAGGCCTTACATTGTTGTTGTGCAGCCTCACCAGTACGCTTGCACAAAATGTGACTTCCCAGGGCACTCCCAATTCAGGCTATCCCAATGGCCTACCGAAAGTTGACCTTGGCTACGAGGTCCATCAAGCCATCAGTTTCAATGTACGTGAATATGCAAAGTTGAGCCTTGTGTACCAGTCACTGACCGCATACAAGGCAACCGGGCAAACGTATAATTTCACGAACATCAGATATGCACAACCACCAGTCGGGGATCTTCGCTTTGCTCCTCCTGTCCCACCAGTTGGAAGAGATCCGGTGGTTCAGACTGGTAGTGTGGGCAGGATCTGTCCTCAGTCGATTCCCGATTGGTATTCTCTTGGTGCTGCGGTCCAGACCGCTATTCTAACAGGAACCTTGGATCAATACAACTACACGGCCCTCAACGATGCTCTTCAGGAGTATCTCAGGACTCACCCACACTATAATCAAACCGACGGGCGAGCCACAGAAGATTGTCTGTTTTTGGATGTGATTGTCCCGAAAAAGGTGTTTGACAAAGCAACCAAACCGAGGCCTGCCAGTGGACCTGGAGTCGGAGCGCCGAATGGTGGAGGAGCTCCGGTCGTCATATGGTCAGTGGCCTCCCTGTTAACCAAGGATCCAGTCCCTGATACAAGATAGGTTCTATGGCGGCGGATACACGCTTGGTTCCAAAGACCTATGGGGTAACCCCAGCGGCCTGATCAAAGCCAGCCAGTCTGGAGGTGAGGACGGGATCATCTGGGTGCAATTCAATTACCGACTTGGTGCTCTCGGGTGGCTCGCGGGCCCGACCTTCCAGAGCTCTGGAGGAACTGCTAATGCAGGGCTTTACGACCAAAGACTAGCAATAGAGTGGGTTTCGAAAAACATCCACCTCTTTGGTGGAGATCCGAAAAAGATCACCCTTCTTGGAGAATCTGCTGGAGGTGGCTCGATTCTGCATCAGATCACCGCTTTCGGAGGACAGAAGCCAGTTTTATTCCAGCGAGCCGTCCCCCAGTCCCCCGGGTTCGACCCCGTTGCAACGAATTTTGCAGCCGAAAATATTACGCAAATGTTTTATAAAACTCTGGGTGTCAACAGTCTTGCAGAAGCGCGCCAGAAGTCCTCCGCAGAAGTGATCCTGGCGAACACGATCCAAGTGGGATTTTCTTTCCCATTTGGAACCTTTACCTACGGACCTATGGTCGATGGTGTTATCGTTCCAGCGCTACCAGGGAACTTACTCAGTTCGGGCCGATTTGCGCAGAACGTTTCCGTCATGGTTGGGCACAACAGCTTTGAATCTGCTAGTTTTACCCCCCCGTACCTAAGAACCGAAGACGATTTCGCAACCTGGCTATCCCAAATGTTTCCGGGAATCACCAAGGCCACCACCGACTATATCCTCAACGTACTCTACCCTCCTGTATACACAGGCGGCCAGCCGTACACGTCCCCACTGGAGCGAGCCTTCTTGATGGTTCAAGAGGTCATCTTCATCTGCAACACCTTCTACATCGACAAAGCCTTCAACAACGCTACATACGCGTACGAATTCGAGATCCCACCGGGATTCCACGGCCAAGATATTGCATACACTTTCTACAACGGTCAAGGTACCAATGTCTCCGCGGGTATGTTTGCCGATGTTGCGCTGCAGCTTCAAGGCTATCTGATGAACTTTGCCATGTACGGAAGCCCCAATGGTCGGGGTTTGCCGAACTTTCCGCAGTACGGTCCGAACGCCATTGTCCAAGGCATCAATTGGAACGCTACCACACAGCACCAAGACGACGCCGCTAATCAAAGGTGCAACTGGTGGCAGAAGGGACTGTATGCCTGATGCAGCAAAACTGAATAGGAGGCTGCAGTGTAATAGTAATCACAGTCCGGTGTTAGTTTATCTGTAATATCTTCAAGCTTAATGGATATTCTCATGGCTAATGCTATTTCCATTGTGATCGATGCAGGTGTGAGCATAAGGCTATAACCATCCACGGAGGCCGTTCTCACTTGTCCAAGGGAAAAGGGCTGAGCGACATGCCAAGGCCAGGCTGTTTCCCCTTTTCGTCTCAGACAGATTCTCAACAAACATTTTGTCTCCGCATGAATTGGGCTTCAAGCGGGTTTCCAAGTTGAAACATTGAATTGGCTGGCACTATAATCGGTGCAAGTAGTCGGCCCATCTAAATTTTGCAATTGGTCCCATTCCCAGGCTTGACGACCCGGTGCAGATATATCGGGTCTGGACCCCAAAAATAGTCCACTTTCTGTCACTGATCCGACGGGCTGGGTTCTAAAACAGTAGGGAGAATGCTGGATCTCTATCACTCATGACTATCATTCCACATGTTCTGGTGCGGCCGGTTGGCGAGTTCCTGCGATTTTGGCTGGTGAGGTTGTAGTGGCATCCAATCAGATAAACACCGAGGCGCGAGAATGGTCTAGACGGCGGAGCCCCGCATTGCGATATCGCAATGTGAGAATGAACGTTGTGAGGGGGATCCTTTTAAATGCAAACGATCTTGTCTCACTTTCGCAATGCACAGCCAAATCTGGTCTACTCGCTTGTACTTGGTCAAAGAGGCAACCGATTAAGATTATGCGAGCTAAGGCCTGCGTCCGTTGTCGTCAGTGGAAGGTCGGCTGCGACGCAGATGTCGAGGGCGCCAATGGCTGTACGCGCTGTCGCAATCTCGGTCTCACCTGCACATTCAACAGCAATTTTCGTCGCACGCCAAAGCGAAGAAGGTTGATGGAGCTGCAGAATGAAGTAGCGCAGCTGAGGGAGTTGAACAGTTCTCTCTCTAGAGGAAATAGTATCGACACGGAGGCTGCCACAGTTCCTTCGGTGTCGCCGGGATGGCTGAGCGAGCCTGGTTGTGCAGCAACTCTTCCTGCCGATTGTGAGCAAGACAAGTCCTTACAGCATACACCGACTTCTTTGCAAGGCTGCGTCCCCTTTGATAAGTGTATAGGTGATGTTCGTCTGGCAGCCACCCAAGTCAATGAATTATTTCGTGTCTACTTCGCACGATGCCATCCATACTTGCCATTCAAGATGCATCGCTCTCCGGAAAAGGTGTATGAGAGGTCTCCGCTGCTGTTTTGGACTATCTGTGCAACAGCTTCTGCGGAGGGAACTCGAATGCAGTTTGAGGAACCGGTTCGAACGCAAATTACCCGCATACTCGACCCATCCCTCTCAACTGTAGAGGTGGTGCAAGCCTTACTCATTCTTTGCTTGTGGCCTTTTGCCTTTGTCTCTCAGAAATCTGATCCATCCTTCATCTATGGCGGAATAGCGACCCAAATTGCCTTGCAAATCGGGCTGCATAGGCCAGCAATGGATCAGCCTCAGAATTCCGACCCGGGAGGCGTCGACGAAGACGAAGAGATTCGAGCCACCACCTGGATTGCGTGCTTCATTGTGAACCAAATCCTAGCAAGCAGACTTGGTGTTCCTTCAGCCACCCTCGCAGATCACGCACTGCTCGCCTCATTGGAAAACCCTGCAGTCCCTGCACAGCTTTCTCGACTGTGTGCGATCTCACATCTTACAGTCGAATCAAGTCAAGCAATAGGTGCTCGCGCTTCAAATGGCTCTGGACTGGCCGATCCGGTTCCTCGAGTTAGTCTGATTAACGTGTTTGCGAGGCAGTTTGACGAGCTTCGCGCTAAAAGACTCTCAGAACCAAGCGACATAGAAGAAATTTTCTTTTTGAGCTCGATGCTCCAATTGTGGTCCTTTGCTCTGCATGATGATGTGCCCGTGTCGTCGGAATCCTTCCACATTGTCCAGAGAGCTCGAGAAGACGCCATAAGGTTGATTCAGCTTGCCAGGGAGAAAAACCTGACACTGGTTCCTTTCTATACCTGCCGCTCGGTCTGTTATGCAGCCCTCCTACTGTACCATATCAAACTCAGTCCTTATGCGGTGAGAGATGAACTGCTTGATGATCACATCATGCGAGCGCAAGAAGCACTCCGTTTACTAAAGAGTCCAAATCTGCCACAGTTCCTTGCGACCGTGACATCACCTGAGAATCGGGAGGAGTTTATTGCAAGACGAGACAAGAACTCGTCACATCGCTGGAAAATGGGGGCGTCTTTGGTATTCGACTCTGCTCGAGCATATTCGAATCTGCTGCGATCCAACGTCTACTTCTGCCCAGAGTTTCTAGACCTTGATGGTTTCCTGTTCGATGGGTCTACCAGTTTCGCAAGCTAAGGGTCCAGAGCACACCAGTCTTCCGTAAGAAGCTTTGCCAAAATAGATCAAGCCAGAATAACATGCGGCGGTTGGTCTTTCACGGACTTGACTGCAAAGTCATTTGCCATCTCCAAAATACCAGCGCCAATTGCGGACTTCTGAGCAACTTTGTCTGAAGATGGTGTGTCGTTGAATCAATCGCAGCATACGACATGAGTGTTTGTTACACCAAGTCATTTGATTTTTGGAAGAATGAGGTAAAGGCTGGATTGAATAGCTTGAGCTTCAAGAGATCTATTTTTGATTGAGGAAATGGCCTAATTGTTGTGCAAGCCTTGTTGGTCACGACTATTCTCTTGAAGAATTCTTGAGGAACTCCCTATAATAAACCCAGGTTTCATTAGCTCTCGACGTCCCACGGTTGTTTCTTCGACCATTTCTAAGTTTCATTGCATGGTTGGAAGATGACTCCGACGGAGAGGGCCCTGAGCACAAATATTTCTGCAAACCTCAACAGAAGATCGAAGAATCGCCCGATTCCTTGGGTCAAGTTCTGCGAATTGACGCAGAAGGATCGAGTGGTCCAATCTAGGCTATTGGTGATACTGCTGTGGCGAAGTTAACCGGGGACAAATTTGAAAGCTGCCGCCTGGTTCGGTTGGAAATGAGATTGAGCAACTCTGCCTTTATTGAGATGGACTGCGTGACCTGGTGGGTGTTCAAAAGTACTTCCCTTGTTTTGCTAAATGCAGCCCAGCCGCAAAAAAGAAGAGCTTGCCAGCAACCATGAACTTTTCGTCCTTGCTCCACTGCATCAAACGTTCGTACAGTTCGCTCAAGGGCACAACAACTCTTTCAATCAGTTCTCCTTCGTCCAATTTCTGATCGGGCATGCTCTCTTTCTCACTCAACTGCACCTCCATCATCACCAATTGCAGTGTAGCATTTGCAAGCCCGGGATCACTTGCCACTACGGGCCCGACATCGAGAATTTTGCCGGTATACCCCGTCTCCTCTTTCATTTCTCTGACCGCAGCTTCCTCCGCAGACTCGTGGGCGTCTATGAGACCAGCGGGCCATTCAACGGTGAACTTGCCGATCGGAGGTCGATATTGGATGACCAGAAGAGTGCTGGGGGGTTTGGAAGGATGAAGCAGAACGTTACCGATGGCTACAGCATCAACGCCGGACTTCGCTGTCGTTTTCCGAACGGCAATTTCCCAAGAACGAGCCGTGCCCGTTTGGTCAATGTACTCAACCTTTTGGAGTGACACCCATTTCGCATCTGATGAAGCTAGGTCGGAGATCGAGGTGATGACGGGGTCCTGCGACATTTTGGGTTTGTGCAGTACGGCTCCTAGAAGGATAGATTTGGCACCAGGCGTTGAGAGCAATAAGTATGCCTGCGACTCCGCGGTCGCGAACGAGTTAAACTGCGAACTTGCCCCACTTGCCAGGGTGCACGCACAATGACGCGTTGTTTGGAGGGGTCGAAAGGCGGAGGCAGTCACGTGGGAGCTTGGCATATTTGCCTGTTTTGTTTTGTCCGGACTCGGGATGAGGTCTCGATGACTGCAACCGTGCTATCCAACAAATTATCCTCCTTGTTTATACCTAGGTACATATTGCTAGACAGTCCTTGAGAAGCAGTATTCAAGTGCTCAATGTTGATTGTTCACCACATATATCATCTGTGGGACCACAAAGGGTATGTGATGTGATAAAGCAATCCTGCTCTGATCTTGTGACCAACGCCGTCATTAATGAAGCTAGTCACTGAAGGGACAGGCGAACATGATAATTGAGCAGGAGCTTCAAACAGGGTTATGCTCGTCTAGTTGTATGTCGAAATGGGGCCTTTTCTTGGGCCGCTTCATCGGGAAGCCTTCTGCGGTCGCGAGTACGGGGTGATTAATCCAAGGATCTGGATCTCGGATCGCTGGGATAAGTACCCCGCCTTAACGAGTCGGTCCAGCTAAGCGATGTCGTGATTATGTGTGGCGCATATTTTGCTCCTGTGATGGGTGAGCTTCAAAGATAGCACCTTCTTGGTAGACACATCTCGATTTCTCCCTCCACTGCTTCATTGGAACCATATCATCACTCCGAAGGTTCTCGTTTGTAGCAACATGGCGCCAACCGGACTGTTGGACTCCTTCCTGGCCGCTGTCCAAGCGAGTCTCTCAGTCCTGCTTGTCATATCCTACGGCGGCATTGCAGCTCATTTGAATCTTTTAAACCCTGATAACACCAAGGCAATCTCTAAAATATGCGTGCGCATGTTCCTACCCGCACTTCTCATCGTGCAGATCGGGTCGGAATTGCACGCCGGTGCTGCAAAGCGATATCTGATTATTTTCATTTGGGCGCTCCTGTGCCATTTTATCTCATTCTTGATTGGCACTTTCGCACATCTGGTGTTTGGAATGCCAGACTGGACAACGGTCGCCTTGATGTTCAATAACACAACCAGCTACCCGCTGCTACTAGTGGCCGCTTTGAATGATACTGGTATTCTCAAGTCGCTCATCATTACCGACGAAACTACCCGAGCAGCGGTGGAACGCGCCAAATCGTACTTTCTGGTATTCGCCACGGTCTCCAGCTGTCTCACATTCGCAGTCGGGCCCAGACTTATCGACTCCGAACATGCGGCCGAAGAAACCAAAGACCACGTCTCTGAGGAGGGCGATGACTTTGATGACGCCGGTTCACCCCTTGACGCCAACGAGGAGACTGGTCTTCTGAATCAGCGAGCATCAGCGGTGCAATTTGCGGATCCCTTTGCACAAAATTCGTTCTTCCCATCCAAGAGGAGAAAACCTACATCAAGAGTGCAACCAGTACAGAATCGGAGAGCGTCCATGGTGCCTCGCAAGCACTGGACAAGGTTGGGCCCGCGAGCGAAATGGTGGCTTCTCTTCATCTCGGATTTCTTCAATGCTCCACTCTTGGGTGCTGCAATTGGCACCGTCATTGGTCTGATACCTTCCCTTCACCGTGCATTCTTCAGCAGTACCCAGGAAGGCGGTATCTTCACCGCGTGGCTCACATCATCTCTGAAAAGCATCGGCGGTCTTTTCGTCCCGCTCCCAGTGGTCGTTGCCGGGGTGTCTCTATACACCTCATGGCAAGAAGCGAGAAAGTCGAGCGACAACAGAACCTTACCGTGGATGACCGTATCATTTATTCTAGCTGTGCGCTTCATAGTGTGGCCAGTGGCATCGATTGCGCTTGTCTACGCCTGCGCAACGATGACCACCATACTCGGGGAAGACCCTATGTTGTGGTTTACCATGATGCTGATGCCCACTGGCCCGCCTGCCATGAAGCTTATTACGCTCATTCAAGTGAGCGATGCCGAAGAAGAGGATGAGAAAAATATTGCAGAACTGTTGACCGTAAGTACACCGCTCGGGCATGAGAGTGGTCAATTGGCTAATTGCTCGTATACAGATATCTTATCTCATCTCGCCAATTCTCTCTTTCACGGTCGTTGCCAGTTTGCGAGCAGCTCAAACTGCAATTTAGCAGCTAAGAACAATGGTGGGCCCGTTTGCGACAACGGGCTTTTAGGAAGTAAGCCAGCCAGTTGCGTCAGAGTATTTTGATACTATAATCTGAACTTGCGACGGATGGTTTCTGAAGGGTGGGGAGTCAGAATATCAGGAATGATGATTTTCTTCCAATGATCAATGGTTTCAGTGCGTGACTGCAAGAGCAGGCTACTCTCTGACCAACTTACCGGCTTCTTCTCAGGTCGGTGTAAGAATGAACAGGGAACCCGAAACCTCAGTGGAACGTCTTGTTGCAGCAGGAAGGCGATCATAATACTGATCATCTAGTCAAGTTTTGAGAAGTGTTTTGCATATGCGTAGGAGTGTGCGGCGTTCTGCTAGCTTATACGGTAAATATAACAGGTCATTGGTGACAGCCCGCTCTTAGCAACGGTCAGTAATTTCGCATGCCGAGACCGCAGATATTCAGAGCTAGGAGAACTACATCCGATCTTCTGAATGAACCGAAGTTTTGGTCTGAAGGAGTACTTATAAATGACTTGTCGTCGCCATGAAAGGAGGCTAGTATACGCTAGGATCCTTCCCATTGGTAGGGCAAATGGGCCAAGGGTACTCGGGCTCTTGGCAGATACCTCGAATCAGAGGGTGTCGGGGAACAAGAATGAGTCCGAGATAACCTGGAGCGAGTTCCGAATAACATCGAAAGGGACTTCGAGTTCCCTCTTCTTCTCAACCAGACGTCATCCGGAAAGCGTAAATGTTGCTTGTGAAAGTAGTGGCTTCAACGCGGATACCGGAAACCGTCCCGCCAGATGTAATCTAGGCCAGGAAGATGAGCGTCCATTGTTAGGATGTATTTACAGCTGTCCAGTCAGACAAGGTCGTTGCTGGATTCGCATCCGACCTAAACGAAAGCTGGTGTGAAGCCGCTGCGGTAAGGGCAGACATGCTCGAGGTAATAACCCCTTCTGTCATCCCCCAAATCGTCCATTAAACGCTGAGGCCGTCCGGGATCTGGATCCTGCAGTTCAAGAAGTTTCTTGTCCTTAATTCTTCCCATCCGTCCCAGATGACTTTCCACCGTACAGTGACTGGGGTTTTCCGCATGCCAGAAAGTGCCAGCAGTTATTCGTGGTTCTATCTCAGCTGCATGAGTCACACAGTTGTCCACACACAACCTGAGATGGGATCTCCAGTTTTCAGGCCCTGTCTGATTCTTGAAATTAGGGACAAGATAATAGTTATTGATATGACGGAATAATGAGAGTGAAAAATCCACAAGTTGATCTAGAGCCATGAATGACCCCGCGCCCAGCAGGGTGGCTCGAACCTGTGACACAGGAGTAAGTGGTTCTTGTGTGGAGTATTTGAGAACACCTGGGAATGCCACTGAGTTGATGGCATTAGTTAATGCGCTCCAACCTAACAGCAAAATGGCGTTCGTATCACCGTCAACGCGTGGCCAGTCGGCCTCATGCAGAGAAGTCAATAACCTTCCGTATTCCTTGCGAATAAACTTCAGCGATATGAACGATTGGCGCTTATTTGGTGACATTTTCTCGACAATTTCATGGTCCTCACCCACATCTGACGAAACACTTAGCAACGTTGGGGCCATCAATTTGACCATATCAGTCTGATAAGGACCATCGTGACACGCTTCTTTGAGGATCTTCCGTCCGTTCCTCACATGTATCGCAGCTGTAGCCCACTCGCCTGTGCATTGAGAAATGCACGTCAACAATCGACACAGAATCAGTGCGATGTCTGAAGTAACAGGTTCTGCTGTGAACTCTCGGATCGAGAGGTTGCTTTTCAACACGAGCAGTTCTGTGCGATCAGAGGGTGATATGCTGGAATTGCATGCAACCGCAAGAGCGACCATTGCATGGCGAATGGATGCATATTGCCACGCCACCTGAGGAACAGTATACTGCCAGAAGAAACGCCACAAACGGGTGGTTGAGAACAGCGGAACGACAGTCAGGAAGAAGTCCCATGCGCAGCGTTGATCCAGGTCTTGACTCCAGGGATTGGAAGGCTCTCTGAGAGGCACAGTGGTGTAGAAAGTGCTCCTAGTGTCAAGGGCGTGGGGGTCCTTGTCGCTTGAGAAGTCCCGGCGAGAGGAAGGCTTCCGTGGTAGGACAGTAGAACATGGCTGCGGTTTAGATTGTACGAGGGTTGAAGCATCAGGTTGCGAGGAACTCCTCTCCTGAAGATTGCCCACCCGAATTTTGGGGCTGATATACCCATCGCAAGTATATTTATCTTTCACACACCTGTTCTAGGTTAGCCAACAGAACGCTAGAGCGTGTCCTATGTGCTATGCAACCTATGACAATGAGGCTTTACTTCATCACATTTTTTCCGGCGAATCCTGGGAACTCAGCTATTAGACATAGGTCTTTTGTCTGGGAAGATTACACTCACTTGCATGTTCCACAACCAGTTCTCGCTTTTGGAGCCCATCTCCGCCGCCGTTCTCTCTTCGGAGATGTCATACCTTTCGAGAGACGTGGTTACGTATGTACACACTTGCGTCAAAAGACAGAGCCGAGAACAGTGCTTTAATTGATTTAAGAAGAGAATTGTGTCGCTGAGCTCAAATTTGGAGTTTAATGTAGATCCGGGTAACGGTCGGTTGAAGTCTTCGACATCTGATAACAAACGTGTTCGAGAGTTGGGGTGACAGGTGCATACATAGTTCAATGTATGATGGCATAAACATGAACGTTGCCTAACCTGTTAAGCTTAGATGCTCCCTCAACCCAGGTTCATGCCGACTTCGGCGGATGATCTTGCAGGGGCAAGGTGGGATTTGAGAAATGAGGCGTCGGAAACCTTGTACCGAGACTGGAGAGGCCGAGGGGGCCTCGGTCGTCGCCAAGTTAGTTGAGGGTTTAATTAAGTTTCCAGGATCCTAGGGAGCCAAATTCCTTGATCTGTAGGTACATATAGGTACTCATCCTGTTGGTGAACTCTCCTACGAAGTCGCAACTGAACCTGAACTCTTGTTGCCCGTGCTCCATACCAAATGCTCCATAGGCCATGTGGAGAAGAGCATCGTTCTCGTTATCCCTCAACAGCCTTGATACCTGTGCTATCCACTGCTAGCTTTGTCTCATTGAACTTTGGAGATGATGGAAGCTCAATATGCACGTTGGTGGATGTTGCAATTCCGATCTTGCCCTCTGCATCTCGGAGTTCCAGGATATGTCCACCAACCGTCTCGTCATCGCTGAGGAAGTGCATATGGTCTCCAGCAACGAAGAACCCTTGCCAGATCTCGGGAGATCGGAAACCCACAACCGTGCCTTTGATGTCCTCATAGTCCTGGACGTGCTGGTTTTTGCCGACTTCAGACAGTGGCTGGCCGTCATATTCTTGACCTCTGACGGTTCGGCATTTCAATGCTTTGAAGGTCCCCTGGAAGCGATAGATCATGAATAAATTGGATGAGTGCTGGTTGAATTTGTCCAGGACTTGATCTACAGATTCTTTGGACCCTAGCTCGACGTCCAGGGTCGACTGGGGAACAAATTGTGTCACCACTGCATACGGAATTTGATCGGTCTCATCAGCCACCCGGGTGTTCCCTTCGGCTAGGAGCTGATGGACTTTCCCATCAAGCATGAGAAGTTCGCCCTTCATATGTGCAAATGTTCCAATGCCTTGGTTGCCCTTGGACAGTAGAGTTTCGACTGTTATTCCAGAGTCAACTACTCCTGCCATCAGAGCGTTCACTAGGGAATATTGGTAAATGTGATTTTCTTCCATGATGGTTACTGGGTTTGGTAGATCAAACAAACTTGAACCGCTGAACAGTTCTTGATACTGTGTTGTGGTAACTACAGTCAGACTTAAATCCCGCAGCTCTCCCCGGACATCTTTGAGCAGTCCGACCTGTTGGGAGAGATATCGCCAAATGACATCAGGATGCTCCCTGGTAAAACTTTAAGTGCACTCGAGCGGCATTTACGCTAGGTTTAACAAGGATATGCCCTCATATCCTCCAAAGCCTACGGAAAGCAGGACGCTTAGTCACAGCGACATCCAAGCATAAGACTGCTCGCCTCTATATTCCATTTACATTTACTCTGGGACAGGTCTTGGCAGACATTTTGGCGTTAAATACCTACGTATCATCCAAACATTTCTCGGTATAAGGTACCTTGGTTCAACTCAGCAAATTGCTTATATGCGCCAGCTTCAAGTCTACCAGGAAGCGCCTTGAGCTTCTGCATCCGAGTCTGGAATCACCATCAATCGAAGAGCGGGTTAAGCTACTATCCAAGCTACTGTCCAAGCTACTATCCAACCTGACCACTCGATATCCGGGACATTCAAGATGGCAGACGATACTGTAGCCCAGATTATTGTGAACAGCTTGTACAATGCGGGTGTACGAGTTGTCTTCGGTATCCCTGGTGCGAAAGTCGATGCAATCTTTGACTGTCTGCTAGACCATCCAGAGATCCGCCTGATAGTCTGCCGGCACGAACAAAATGCGGCAATGATGGCTGCCGCAGTTGGTCGCATCACAGGCGTCCCAGGAGTTTGCGTCGCAACGTCGGGTCCAGGTGCGTCTAATCTTGCAACTGGCCTGGTCACTGCCACCACCGAAGGAGATCCTGTTGTTGCGATAATTGGTTCCGTTCCAAGACTTATGAACACAAAACGAACACATCAATCGATGAAGGCTCTGGAAATCCTTGGCCCAACATCTAAGACCGCCGTCGGCATTGACATTGAAGACCAGGCCGCGGAGATAGTTCTTTCGGCGTTCAGGACAGCCAATGCATCGCCAAAAGGAGCCTCAGTAATTTCGATCCCTGCTGATATTGCGAAGGGAAGCTCTAAGCTCCTTCCTTTCCCCAGAGAGGCATTTACTGCCCCAAGCTACGGTCCTGCCCCAAGGGTCACCCTGGACAAAGCCATAACACTGATCGGAAGTGCAACCCTTCCGGTCTTGTTCTTGGGGATGAGGGCTTCTTCGCCCAAGGTGGTTGAAGCTGTTCGCAAGCTCATCAGCAAATATCCCCTACTCACAATCGAAACGTTTCAAGCTGCCGGCGCTGTCTCAAAGAATCTGGCACATTTGTTCTACGGACGGGTAGGGCTCTTCCGCAACCAGGTGGGCGACAAATTACTCGCAAAGTCCGATCTCGTCTTAGCTGTCGGATATGACCCAGTCGAGTACGACGCCAATCTGTGGAATCCGACCGGGTCACAGAAAATCATCCATATTGATTACACTCCATCCGATTATGGAGTGCACTATCATCCAGTTGCAGAGCTACTTGGATCAGTCGTCGAAAACTTGAATCATCTCACAGCGAATTTGGAAAATGTGGTAGATGCATCCAAGACCGAATTGGCTCAAACTTTATCCAAGCAGTATCTCGCATGGCAAACCTTACCAGACACTTCGCGGGCCAGCGGCCTGGTGCATCCTTTGCATTTTATCTCTCAACTCCAGCGACTTGTATCTGAAGATACAACGGTCGCAGTCGACGTGGGAACCGTTTACATCTACATGATGCGTTTCTTTTTCTCATACCAGCCCCGCCGACTTCTCTGCTCCGATGGCCAGCAAACTCTCGGAGTTGCTTTGCCATGGGCCATTGCTTCGTCCTTGACCCAGTCCCCACCGTGTTCATCCAAGGTGGTCTCCTTGAGCGGCGACGGTGGCTTTATGTTCTCCTCTCAGGAGATGTCTACGGCTGTCCAGCAAGGATGCAATATCACTCATTTCATATGGAACGACAACGCGTACAACATGGTTCAGTTTCAAGAGGAAATGAAATACGGCCGAAGTAGCGGAGTCGCTCTGGGAGGTGTTGACTTTGTCAAGTTTGCGGAGAGCTTTGGGGCAAAGGGATTCAGGATCAACGATTCGTCCGAGATTGAAGAAGTCATGAAGCAAGCACTGGCACACCCTGGTGTTTCTCTGGTTGATGTGAACATCGACTATCGCAACAACAAAGAGCTTGCTAAGCACGTCATTGAAAGCGAGTTTAATTAAGTGTTTCAAAGGCTGAATGAAACCCACGATCTCACGGGCTTCAACCTCCAAAATGCAGATAGCCCTTCCGTAGATTCCACTCTCAAAATATGGACTTCCGACGATGTGTGGGGATCCTCGGAAAGTTCGGGGCGGTATTGCAGGCCCCGATGGATCCTTGCGCCCTTAAAAAATGTAGTTGGTACTACGTACTCGTATCCGAGCGAAGCCTCACTACTCCAGTCAGTCTCTCGGCTCTGGGACCAAGTAACATCATATTGATCTTGTCGACGCCCGCCGCCTCTGTAATCAATAATGGATATCATTCTATAATGGAGGACAGAGGCCAATTCGACTCCACCGCAAGCCTGCGCCACCTCTGGCGGGGGCTTAACCTCCCCGTACCCGCGCTCGCCTCCGCACAACTACCAAATGCAAATGCTCGTCTGCCATCATCATTCAAGATCGGGATTCTAGCACAGTCGTCAATCGCGCTGACCGCACTACTGGCAGCTTTGATTCACTCGGTGCGAACCCGATCCCCGATTCCTCGGATCACCGTCTCAGGAGCACATGCTGTGGTGGAGTTTAAATCCGAGCGACTGTACACGATCAACGGCGAGGCTAGTCCCTCCTCCTGGGGCCCTATAGGCGGCCTGCATAAGACCGTAGATGGATATGTTCGAGTTCATGACGGCTTTCCGGTTCACCGAGACGGCACGAAAGCACTGCTCGGATGTGGCTTCGCGGCGAGTAAATCCGAGGTAGCGGCGAAGATAGCTGGGTGGAAGTCCGTTGAGCTCGAAACAGCCGCGTTCGACGCAGGGATCGTGATCTCAGCGCTGAGAAGCTTCGACCAGTGGGACATTCTTCCGCAGGCGAAAGCTGTGCGCGACTTCCCTATTCAAATCCAGAAGGTTGCTGAGGGGCCTGCTGGGCTGCACAGGCATTTTTCCGGGAGTGCAGCTGATAAATGCTTACGTGGACTCAGGGTGGTGGAGATGAGCCGCGTTATTGCCACGCCTGTCGCTGGAAAGACTTTGGCTGCACACGGTGCGGATGTGCTCTGGGTCAGCAGCCCGACGCTACCGGACCAACCGGGACTTGACCGGGATTTTGGCCGTGGGAAAAGGACAATACGGTTGAACATCGACGCTGAAGAGGACAAAGAAAAGCTATTCGAGCTAGTAGACACGGCCGATGTATTCCTCCAAGGATTCAGGCCAGGGAGCCTCGCATCTCGCGGCCTATCAGCCAAGGAATTAGCGACAAGATGCCCTCAAGGCATCATTTGCGCGAACATGTCCGCGTACGGGCCGGAGGGGCCATGGCGACAGAACCGAGGATTCGATTCCCTGGTCCAGACGTGTTCTGGGATGAACGTCTCCGAGGCCGAGCATTATGGCAAAGGTGAGCCCGCAAGGCCGACGCCGTGCCAGGCTCTGGACCATGCTGGTGGGTATTTCCTAGCGGCTGGAATTATGACGGCGCTCTATCGGCAAGCCACAGAAGGTGGGTCTTATGAAGTTAACGTTAGTCTCGCTGGGGTGATGAAGTATCTGAGGGGCCTCGGGCAGTACCTGGGCGACACTGAGTTCCAATTCAAAGACTTCAATGCTCCGCAGGATATACCGAAGGAGTTCCTAGAAGAGCGGGAGTCGGCATTTGGGCTTATGAAATCAGTGAGCCATTCTGCTGCTATCGAGGGGGTTACAGTTGGCTGGGAGATAATGCCCAAGCCCCTGGGTGCTGACAAGGCTGAATGGCTTTATCGGTCATAGATACCGCAGAAGAAGGAAACAGAGAGCCGCCAGGAAAGGCCACCGTTACAGGTGTGCGATAATAACGTGAAATGTTTGACAAATCCGATTGTACCAATAAAATACATAACGATAACGTCTCCCATTCAGAAGCCAGAACACAGCTCGACATTCTTGACGAGATCAGCCGCGAGAACATCAATTCCGCCCGTCCTCTCGTCCTCAATGCCAAACCCAATAAACAGAACATCGTCCAAATACCCGTGGTACTTTTGGCCGTGTGTCTTCCAGCTCATTGAAGTGACGTAGAGCATCTCAGTCTGATTCCATGAATCCAGCTCCTCAAACTCCTTTCCAACCGGTCGCTTCGCCTCGCCAGCCTTGATCCGTCCATGGATCCAGATCGGCTTTGAGGAAATTCCGTGCACCTCGAAGGGCTGGGTCCGCTTGAAAAGCATGACGTAAGGTTCGTACACACTATGATAGTAATAAAAGCTTTTATGCTGAAACAAAGTCACGATGAAAGTATTTGCGTCATTGGGCTCGCATACTATGTCCGATCGGTTACAGAGTGTCAGCGACAGACTATTCGTGGCTTGATGGACTGATTCCAAGGGCCCAGCAACCTTGGGCATCAGCCTCGCCATGCAGTTCTGGTCACCGGCTGCTGCGAGGGGTGCAAGATCTGGTCCAACGGTTCCATCGATATTTAGTCTGGCAAAGCTTCGGCGTGGAGAGATATCATAGTGGACGTAGAAATCACCGTCTTTGTCCCAGAAGAGGAACCAATTTTTTTCTATCGCGCCGAAGGGACTTGGCCGTCGAATCTCAGTGCCGAGCCGGAAATCGGTCTTGATAGCTGGTTCCACGGCCCACTCTACAAGCATTCTGAAATCTTGAACCCACTGGCCAAAGCACGTGTACCCGGAGTTAGACCCATAGACGGCGAGGGCGTGCTGAGGGCCATAGAAGACGCGTGCATCGTGAGGGCCGATGTTGAATGCAAAGTAGGCCAAGTCGCCAGCACAGTTGTCGCCAGTAGAGGCCGCGATGGGGAGAATCATCGGAGGCTTGATGCAAGACAGCTTTCCTTTCCTGAACTGCGCATCACACACGAGTTCGGTAAACCACGCGGACGACTGGTCAGATCGCCGTAGATGCTGCGCCGCAATGATCCAGGTATCAGCCAGAGTAGGATGCGGGATGATGCTCGGGTTCATTGCTTCTTCATCGCCGAATTCAACGGGAAAGTATTTTCCATTCCTCGTTGAGATCGAAAATATCTCGTTATGTGATTGCGAAACTTGAGTTTCGACTTCGCTCCATGATGGGTTGCCATTAGATTGTGTCCATTTCGCTCGGGGAGAGGGTATCCGGAGAGGGACTTTATCGTAGAAGACGAGGAAGACGATCAGGATGACAATCATGGGACCGACTAGAGTCGTCAGCCGCAATACTCCTCTGACTAGCATTGTATATGGTGAGATACTGAAAGCTCAAGGGTCTGCAAACGTTGCGATAATGTATGAAAAGAGGGCTGCGGGCAGCAGCATGGACGTTATATTCTGAGTCTCTCGGGGCAATTCAGGATAGTGGCGGGGCGATTGAGTTGTGATGGGCCTGTTCCAAAGTTTACAGCATTGGATGTTGCATTCAATCAGCACCTTACAAAGAAAAGTGTCGCAACATTTTGCATGATCATCCTGTATTCTACAAAAACGCTGAAAACCACTTATTATGTGTGGAATTCGATGTCAACCAGCATATTTCGAGTTCCCGACTTTTCAATCTTTGCCGCGACCGATCAACTTATTACCTCTACTCTCGCGACTTGCTCACTAGCACTATCTATTTCAAAGTCCACCAGCGAATGCTATCCTCGAGCATTTATTCTACCGCCGGCCAACTACTGACTATGCTGCAGATACAAAATCGCTCAAAGCCATATCTGTCATGAGTGACTTTGCCCTGTCTGCCAATCAAGAGCAGCTGAATTCTCAGAACTTGATACAAGGTCCCAGCGTCTTGCCATATAGCCATTGAGAAAATCTCACACTAGGCTCATCGAGCAGTGCCGTCACGATCTCTGCCATCCACAAAGTGATGGGCAGAAGGATCAACTGTGGGAGAAGAAACCCAATCTCTAGACCGTATGGGCCAGCCTTTGTTATAGGGAGGAGGTTTATCCATCCGGGAATATTGAAGGCGTGTGGCTCTCTAGACCATCCGACAGCAGCGTAGATTCTGTCGCCCAAGGACCATAAAATAGGCCCATGGACTAAATAGAACGCAAAAGAGATGCGCCCAAGGTATTGGTTGACCCCCGCCTCAAAGAACCGCTTCAGCCACGAGATGTGTGGAACCGAGGCCACCAGAAATATGGCGGCCCAGAAAAGGTAGAAGAACTTGAAATCGAAAACTGCTTGTGGTTTCAGAAAGGATAGATAGTACCATCCAGGAGAGTTTCTCAGAACATTTATATCAAAATCCGAAGCCGGGACTCCTGAGAGATAGACAGCCATCAGGAACAGCATGTAGAACATGGTGTTCTTGAATCGTCCTAATCCTTCAATGGGCTTGGGTAGACTCCTGCTGGCACTCAGTACTTCGAGGTCGCAGACCAGCATTCCAGCCATGAAAGCTGCGCACGACCAGCCATCCGCAATATACATAAAGTAAATGACGAGCGCGACTTCGCACCAGAGTCGAGCGTTCTTGGTGCATCGTGAAAATGCTAGTTGCGCGGTGTAAACAACCAGCGAGCCTCTGAATTCCACAGGGATTGACCATGTGTGAAAGTTATACGAGAACCAGGGCTCGCCGCCCGAGCGGAAGACAAAGCTGAAGTTTTTGAATTCGCAGTACCAGTTCCATAATTCTTCGCGATACGAGGACTTGGGCTCAACATCGGTCCTGTATCTGAATAGATACCACGAGGTCATGTACAAGAATGTCGTACAGATGACCGGTATGTAGAGGCGGATCCAGCGCCTGAAGAGTGCTGAGGATAGGTTGTCACCCAAAGTGAGTTGATCACCAGCTTGAATAAGCGCCAGTGGCTTGGCAGATAGAACATAACCAGAGAGGACAAAGAACATAGTGACCGCCAAATGTCCTCCTGAGAAGAACATGCGTACACCTGGCAAACAAACGAAGTAGTACTGTGAATCGTAGCCATATACGTTCTCAAGAACAGCTTCTGAATTGTGTGCCCAGAGTTCATGGTGGCCCCAATAGACTAGAAAGGCTGCAAAGCCTCGAATGCCATCGAGATATGCTGTTCTCCTTCTGCTAGTTCCGAGGTTTGTATCTCTCAGGAATGAAGGCCGGATCACTTCACCGCACCATTTTGTCGCTCGTGTAAAAGAGGATGTCTCTGTATCAAGCTTGACTGGTCTCCAATAGCCATGATCAAGGATACCTTCATGTGCTTTTGCCATACTGCGAAGAGGTTCCCTCAGATAGTGAGGGCTCTTATCAGGTCCTCAAGCAGAAATATCCTATCAGCTTCGGATATTGTGTGAGCATGGCCTGGCAGAAGGGGGAAGAGAGTCAAGCGTGAAAAGAGGGGAGGGCCTTTTTACGAGGGGAAAGTGAAGTCGGTTGTATTTCGTTAGGTGTATCCATCCAAGATGATATATCTCTCACCAGGTCTGGGACCATGCGTATGGCTGGTACAGCTTACCCTGGAGCAGAGGTATCCCCCAGGAAGGCACAATTCCTCCCACCCCAGTTTATGATGACATCTCCATGGGGTCTTTCACCAGCCTCCACGCCCCAGACCATGGCATTGCTTCATAAGTCGATCGACAGGACTATCACATGCCGCCGAGGGAAGTCGACTTTTGAACCAGTATCCTGAATTTGGAAGCTTGCTTACTTTAGCTTGCCTTTCGGGGCCAGCATTCCAGTCTGTGTCACATGGACAAACACATTGCGTTCCATCGCTCTAAAGGAAGCCTCGGTAAGCTTCAGGCATGGCCCACTTGGTCTCGGAAACGGCCTTTTGAGCTAGTAGATTGTGGTTTTCGTCTTCACCGACGCCCCGCGCTTGTGTTCAATGGGGCCTCTTACAGATTTTCCAGTGATGATCAGCTTTCAGATGACGATCGATCTGTTTTCAGATTGCATCCGAAAAGCCTTCTCTGTCTGGGCCCCCATGGTCACAACCAAGCGACGCTCAGAAGTGAGAGTGTTCGCTAGGTGGACATATCAATCAACCCACAGCCGTGTCCGCTCCCCAGATAATCGAATAGCTTGTATAGCCCTAATTCCAAGCTCCATCGTATTTCGTAGCAGGGCATTTGCGATCTGGGGCAGTCATTGGAGCCTCGGAAAGGGAACTAGTGAGTTAGACTAGTTACGGTGTACGGGAGTACTCGTAGGAAGAAGCAAATGAGACAAGTGTAAGAATGCGGTCGCAAGAAAGCCTGGATCCCTGTCGAATTTGGTCCATCTCAGTGGACGCTATTCTTGGTATGGAAGTAGGCTCCGCTAAAGAACGCCACAGAGATTCAAGTACTGGCGCGTTGTATTAATTGTTGGAAGTATTCGGGAAATCTCGATTCCCATAGTCCTCATACACAATGCGTTCAGGCATGGATTTGACGTCAGGACTATGCTAGGATGAGCCTGATGGACCTGCCAGCCATGAGCTAAGGACATGTGAAGGTGTAGATACTAGGTAATTGGGGCCAGAGCGATCTCACCATAATAGGATGCCGTTCCGGCGCAAAGGCAAGGAAACCAATCATTCAGCCAATTTCGCTTCTGCGCAGTATTCTGTACTACTTACCTTCGTTATTAGAAAAGAATGTACGTCCGTAAATCGGTATATCCAGGATGGCAGGTGCGAAGATTCCTGCCCGTGTGCGCCATCTGCATACTTTTGATCATCCTCCTCTCCACTGCTGGGTCGTTCGGGGAGTTCAGCGCTGAGATCTCATATAAATCGACAGCAAATTCCGGTCGTTTTCCCAGGAAGATCTGGCAAACTTGGAAAGTTGACCCTCTTGGTTTCGAGGAAAGGGACCTGTCTGTTGCCAGAACCTGGACATCCAAAAACCCAGAATACAGATACGAGGTCCTAACGGACCAAAATGACGTTTCCTATGTTGAAATCCATTTTGGGCCCTCTGGATTCAACAGATTGGATATCATCTACATGTACAAGTCACTGAGACTAAAGATCATCAAGGCAGACCTTCTACGGTATCTTGTGATGTACGTCGAAGGGGGAGTATACACAGACATCGATGTCGAGGCGTTGAAACCCATTCACAGATTCATTCCTCAACGGTACTCTGAGAAGGACATTGATATGGTGATTGGAGTTGAAATCGATCAACCTGATTTCAATAACCACACGATTCTTGGAAAGAAGTCGCAATCGTTCTGCCAGTGGACATTCATGTGCAAGCCCCGGTTACCTGTCATGATGGTCTTGATCAACAACATACTCAAATGGCTCAACCAAGTTGCGATGGACCAAAAGGTACCCATATCGGACATCCAGCTTGGATTTGATGAAGTGATCAGTGGTACAGGGCCTTCAGCATTCACGAAAGCCTTGCTATCACATATGTCTGCCAGAGAGGAGAGCACGGTGCAGTGGGATTGTTTCCACAATCTAGCAGAGTCGAAGCTTGTCGGAGGTGTACTGGTGCTCACAGTGGAGGCTTTTGCCGCAGGGCAAGGGCACTCTGACTCGGGAAATCATAACGCAAAGACGGCCTTGGTGAAGCATCATTACCACGCATCTGGTTGGCCAACAGCCCACCCTCGGTACAATCATCCCATTTATGGAGAAGTGGAGAAATGCAATTGGGATGCCGAATGCGTCAAGACATGGGATGCTAACAAGGCCACCTTCGAGGCCCTTCCCCAGGAGGAGCAATTGAGACAGATCGCCATGAAAGAAAATGGTGATCAAACTAGCTTTCCTGCCCCAGGTAGTTGACTACATGGTGGATCTACCATGGGAGAGCTGCTATCGCTACCGTTGTAGCTTGGGTGGATGACCGATGATGACTAGACATGATAATTGCTTTCAGTTTTGGGACCAGTTCGGCAGAAACTTTTGTAATGCCGAGTAATCGTCTGGTGTCATCATCGACGATGCTTTGCGCCGGCAGAGCCTTGTCTGGTCCCGCAAGACCTAGCCATGCGTTTGCGGAGACCCACCTGGAGTGTAAGAGGTGGAATGTGAGAAGCTTTCCACCTGATCAAGCGCTTCACTCGCCCCCTCGAGGATCCATTGATGCATACTCGTACTCAGTGTGACAGTTGCACCGAGGTACCTGACTGGTAGTGGGCATGTGCAAAAGCTCAAATGGTATATTTGGTTCTCTCGAGCTAACATCTACTACTCAAATTCCAGTCCGGTATCTGCTCGTGGTGGGTCTCATGTGCTGGCCGCGGGATCCAGAGGATCCAGACGATGTTACTCGTCAATTCCGCGTCCATCAGCAGCCGAAGCGTTCCTCATGCTGTGAAAGAGGATGCACCCATCTCTCAACATGGAGGTTGTATTTTCTAGAAGTAGTGAAGACTATCAAGAGCAGTGGCGCTAGCTGACTCGCCTCCTCATCCAGGAGCGTAGTGATTTCTCCCTACCGACGCCGTTCCACTGGGGAGGAAGGGTGTACCCGGCCCAAGAGGAGGGGGAATTGCTGGCTGAGACTGCAACACCGAGGCAAGTTGAGCCCTCAAAAGATGTTGATTGGCAGGGAAGATTGCGAACTGCAGGCCATGGTATGTAGTCAATGGCAAGATCAAGGCTCGCTGCCATATCCGATGTCATGATCACAACCCTTGGTTCTGGGAAGATCCAAGCAGGTTTCGTAATGTGACTTCGGCTGGTGCCGAGACACCTCAATTTGGACGCCACCGATGGAAAGCTCGAGGCTGTGGCCAAGATTGGAGGAGTCGTACCTCGTCGTTCAAACTCGAAGGTGATCGAGTCCGGAGTCCGGAATACATACTGCGTCCATCGGTTGCGGGACCATCATTGGGGGCAAGGAGCCTAGGATGTTACGATGCAAGGGCAGCCGTTGGCAGGATGGTTAAGTGGGCACACAGCGGAAGGCGCGGGGAGGCTGCCAAAGACCAGCGCGCGAGGCCAAGGGCTGCAGTCTACGGGGCGCCGCCAGGGATCTCTTCCTAAATCGGACCAGCGCCGAACCCCCGATCATCGTCAAACCCTTTTAAGCTCCAGACGCGCCGGGACTTTAGCCCGAACGAGCCTAGTGGCGGCGGTTCCTGACCATTGTGGATGCTGCCCCGGGAACTAATTACGTGTCTGGCCTCTTCGATTGGCCCTGCCCGCTGCAACACCACCCTTTCCGGTCTTGAGTCCTGACAGACCTCTCCATTTCGACTGGGTGGTTCGATCAGCCTGGCGAGAAATTACGAGACACACTAACTGCAAAGTACGACATACCGAGTCCCTGCAATAACCACACCTTCCAACGCGACCCTATGACTCTACTCGTAAATGATTGATTCGAGGCCGTCCCCACTGACATGTGATGCAACGGCCATCCGTTTCCCTCGGTCGTTCCTGTCGATCCCAGCAATGACCACGGCGCGCTGTTCAGAGGGAAACCACGCATGTGAAAATCCCAGGGCTGCCACAGGGAAGGAGCCCTTCCTTTCATACAGGCAGATTCGGAACGCCCGATCCAAATCTTAGACTGTCACACGCCCCAATGGATGTCGTCCCATTGGTTTTGTACCGTGCATCTGCTACGGACCCAGCCATGGGACTGGACACTGGGATATGATGGTGGAAAGAGGACATCTTGGATCTGGACTCGACTACTAGTAACTACATAGTACTGTCTCGTCGATGCTCTATCTGAGACCATCATCTCTCGCTTAGCCCCAGTCCCGACTCCCTCTTTTCCAGTATCGACCCCAGATCCCAATGTTCTAGGTTCTCCGCGAGCCCCCTCTTCTTCTGCTATTTATCAGCATTCTCTGTCTCTATCTTTTCTCTTCGACATCTCTAGCATCATTGAAACTCGAAGTTGATAGTGCGCAATGGCCACCGAAGCTCCCAAGGAAAATGGAACCACTCACGTTGAGGACGACGGTGTCACGAAGAAAACAACCCTGGGCCAGAAGCTCAAAAGGCACTGTGCGCGGTTCTGGTGGCTCCATGCCTTGATCCTCATCGCCGTTGTCCTGGTCATTGTGCTTCCAATGTCAGTAGCATCATCCTAACCGTACTCCACCAAATCCAGGCTTCTAACACACTTTATACGTAATACAGCATCTACGTCGGCTATCCTCGTCTCTCCCAAAAGGAAGTCAACAAATCGGTGCTGAACATCACATCGATGTCACTGTCTGACCCGGCACCGGATGCGTTTAGTCTAGAACTCAACAGTGTTCTCACCACCACATCCAAATATCACCCTGAACTGGCCGCGTTCAACGGGTCGTTGCATCTCAAGGACAGTGATGCCGCATTCGCGTACCTCGATATTCCAGAGGTGAAGGCCGACAATGGCACGGAGAGCCACGTCAACCAACGTGTCCAGATTGCCGACATGACGGAGTTCACCAAATACACGATGACTGTGCTGGGGACCGAAGAGTTCTCGATCTACCTCAAGGGCAGGGGCGGCCTTCAGCAGGGCGGCCTCCCAAAGACTACCGTCAACTACAACAAAGAAATCACCATGCAAGGCAAGTGTTTTGTTCTTCTGCCTTACCACAGTCTCTTCTTCCTACTCTTTCCCATTCTCTACATCTCACTAACCAGACCCGCCCACAGGACTGAACAGCCTGAAAGGCTTCAACCTGACAGAATTCAACATCCTGACAAGCGAACAAGAAGACGGCGCGAACGCGAACGGGACAATCTCGATCCCGAACCCGTCCGTCGTGAGCGTCGAACTGGGCACCGTGACACTAGACATGTCCGTGGCCGGGATGCCCGTCGGAGTCGCCACGATCCAAGACCTGGTGCTGCGACCGGGGAATAATCTCTTCGAGATGCGCGCCGTCACGAATCAAACGACGGTCGTGACGATGATTTTCACCGACTACAAGGACGGCATCTTGCCGATTGACGTCGTGGGGAACTCGACCACGTTCAAGAATCAGTCGCTTCCGTACTATGAGAAGGCGCTGCAGTCGAATAAACTGAGGCTGAATCTTGACGTGATCGATGCTTTGGAGCGGGCTGGCTTAGCAGGATTGTTGGGCATCAACACTACTACCAAGGCTTAGGCGGTCGTAATCTTAGGGGAGGAGTCAGTGTACATTCTAGTTAATGGTGACATCAAATGCTCAGATTGAACTGCTGCGTCTCCACAAGTACCTGAGCTTCTCTTCAATTCTATCTCGAGCTACACGGGATTCTCGAGCAGGTAAACTGCGAACATGACTCGCATTGATCCATGCAGTAACGCCTTCACCCGCTGCTGCTGTCATCAGGACTAAGCTTGCGCACAAAGGTTTCTTTGATGGGGTCTCCAGGCCACTCCCTGACCTTCCAATTACCTATACCGCACTTAGCAGGAGCTGTTAGAACGGCTCGCCCACCTCCTCCGATAATGAGATTGCCAGGCCGGTAGTTTGGGACGTTCCTCATCCGCTCGATCGCGGAGTAATGAATTTGTGCATTTTGGGGAATGTCGCGTGGTTCACCCATGGGAAGGGGCCTACAATAGTCAGCACAGGCGTATTCCAGATTGAGGGGGGATGTTTGCCATCGAATAGCTTTCCAACTGCCATCTGGCTGCAAGTCCATTCTGTGAAAGGGAAGATATTCCATAGCCTTCCATAACACGACTGTCCTTGTAGAAATTTCGGCCCCTTTCTTCAAGCAATCATGAATTACCCCCTCGGAGTAGCTTTGCTGCAACGCGTGCAAGAATGATTGGCGAGTTTGATCGTTTTCTTTTCGTTGACCATACTCATCAACTTTCTCAGGGATGCATAGAAAACTTTCCAATTTTCTGGTAAACATCAGCGTGACTCAATGGGAATGCTTTTGACGAGGAAAGTGGCATACGTCTCATCAAAATTTAAGCCAGCCCTCTCAGCCTCGTGAATCATCCACACCAGTGGAGCATGACTGAGTGGCCAAGTCTCTCCCTGGCATCTTTTCCACCCTCCACCAATATCAGCGTGGCCACCTGCAAACCACACCTCACTGACATCTTGGGCCTGATCGGTGCCCGAATATCTACGACGACGATGCCTCATTGGCTTCTGCGAGCCTGGCTTGTCCGTAGAAACATCATAGGTCGAAGAAGTCAAAGACCCAGGCTCGATGGACTGACGGTGCCCGCCACAGCCATTCGCCTTGCCATCCACCTGGCCTTCCTTTTTGTGTCTGGAGCCCGCAAGCAGATCTTGCCTGAATTTGGCACGCCGTTCGTCGATCGAGACAGCATGCCGAATCACTTTGGCAGAGGGCCTGGCTGTATACGGGAACTTGCTTCTCTGCATCCATGCGCCCTCGAAACGAGGGACTGAGTTGACGGTGTCAAAGAGACCAAGGAAACGAATACGGCGGACTGGCCTGCAGCTGTAACTTGGTTAGTGCGTGGGAGGATGGTGCAGGCAGCAGATTTCGACGGCCTAGAGAGCGGAATGGTACACTCACAAAGTTTCTCTGAAGCCACGCATGAATTTGTATTGCTCATCCTCATTCCTCTGTGCTTTGTCTGTGCCGTCATTTGTTCGAGCAGCCCATTTTGCATACGTTTTCCAAGCAAAGCGCACAAGCTCCTCGTTGCCAGCACCAAGGAGACCAATGTGATCAAGCATGTCGGCCAGGAAGCGGGCGGTGTATGCTCCACGACTGAATCCGAAGAAATATAGGTCATCTTCACAGCAGTAGTATCTCATCAGGTATTTGTATGCGCCCATGACATGGTCCGCAAATGATGAGCCGACCGCCGAATCCTTCGCTTTCTTGTACCAGGAATGAACACGCCCCACAGCCGAAGTAGTTTGCATCTGTGACATCAGCGAACTGTGGAAATACTCTGATCGATGGCCTGACCGAGTTCGAAGTGATATATGTGCCAATCCCTGGTTGGTAAAAGGTATACATGGTGGCATCGCTCCGATCAAGCATCCGAAATAGCTTGAGGATGTTGCTGTCTGCTTCGGTTCCACCGAATTTGTTTCCGGTGCCCTGAGGGCTTTGTTAGCTGTCGAATCGATGCCATACACTAGAGCAGAATACTTGCATCAAAACAGAGCACAAATACATTCCTCTGCCGTGTGTGCGGTTCGGGTGCCGCCATTGCTATGAATACTTAGATATTGATATAGAGAAGGACACAGTGGATGGTTCGTGGAGGCCATCATCAACAGTTATGCGTTGCGGCGTTCGTAGCACTGGCGCCTTCCTGACAAACAGCAAGGCAAGGGGCAGAGGGGCTCATCTTGCCCGAAAGCACAGACGACGCAGGCATGGACAGCGACCTCAATTTCAAGTGGCTACAGACATTGGCCGCTTGACGTACAGCCCTAGGGAAAGGCCACAATGCTGCAGAGCTGTCACTCCTTCTCAGATGACAAGAATCGAGTAACAATGTCAATAAATCTGGGCTGGACCAACCTATCCTAAAGCGAGAGAGGAAGTTATGGGGAGCTGCATGATGCTGATCGCAAAAGTATCATGCGCAGATGAGGAAATGCAACTGGATATCTAATCTTCCAGATCATCTGGTTGGCTCAAGGACCCGAGATAGGCAATAGAAGGCCAGGCGATTGCTTCAAATTACACCCGAATGGCTGGCTGCATCGGTCGAGAGGGGCCCACGCAGCCTAAGAAGCCTAAGCACACAACCCCCCCCACGCCTATGGTGGTTGGAGATGAGCGGATGGTAGCCTCTTTAGAGAAGACGAGATCGATCAATCGCCTCGCTATCCCCCTAATCCGAACGTGGTGCGTCCCAGTAAAGCTCTCCATCGAGACTAAGAAACTGTATCTTGAAGGGTTACCTAATCGATCAATGCGGGATGGGATGGCTTTGCTATGGATCTTCAACGATGAGTCTGTCAGAAACCTGCCAACGACGCCCCTGGTGCCGATCCGGTCGTACTTCTGCCAACCCATTGAACACCAGGCGACGTCCACAACTCTCCTATCCGCTGATGATCATCCTTGTATCGCGTACAGCGTGGGCCGGCAGATCATGTCCCGCGCCGTCATTGGACGGTCCGATCCGGAATCGAAGCTTTTGCCTTTCTGTCAAGCGGGACTGACAGCTCATCTACTGTCGAAGCGGTGACCAGCTGACAACACTCAAACCTGTCAGACAACAACCTGCGCTCGTTGGCTCTACTCCGTGTAACAAGGCTGCTGCGGTCCACTGGCTCCCCAATAGTCTGGTGTCCGTTGCACGCATATCCTACCTCGAGCTGGTGCAATTTGAGTCATGCTTTCAATGTGACACAAGTCCGGAGAAGTGCTGTCCATGCAAAGCTAAATCCTCTTGCTCCATCTGGATCTCACCACAGCGAAGCGGGGAGGAAGTCAGAGAGAGATGCTCGGAATCGGCTTGAGACCTGCATTGACTGACGTCTCACATCACGACCAATGAAGGCTCCATGAAGCTCCCATTAGTCTCACAAGGACTTCTGACGCCGCTGATTAGGATATTTGAGTGACGATCAGAGCCAAACTCGGCTCAACGAGCAGAGACTTGAGCTGCAGGAGCATTCATGAAGGCCTGGGTTGGGCAAGAGCGTGCCCCTTGTTGAACCCTCTTCATTTCTTCTTAAAATGATCGCCTGCTCAAGTTGAGTTGACCGTCTCAGGCATGCAACTTTATCAGTCTACATCAGTTCCGTCATATCATTCGTGTCACATTAGACTATCCCATTATCCTCGACTGCAGTTCGCCTCATTTCAGATTCCTACACGGACGTAGGCATGGCACTCTTCCGGTCGCTATCCTCTAAGCTCAAGAGGAGGCATGGCGCTCACGCCAAGGACTCTCGCACAAATGGCGCCCTGTCTGCTGTAGATGAGACGAAGCAGCAGTCCCTGGTCAATGGGGAACACACCGACCATGCTGAACCATCTCCGAACACAACTGCCACAGGCCAAGAAAGTCCAGATTGGGCTTATGCTCACTCCTCGACTAATGAAGCTGCTCCTCGTGCACCTCCGACATCCAACAGGGGAGATGATGTTCGTCCAGCCAGCCGCAAAGATGTTGAAAGCACCTTTCAACAGTTCGCTCATCTTATTCATGTTTCGCGCCGTCCTCTACCCACCCAATCTGGTGATGGGCAGTACCTCGGGACTGAGGAGCAATCCGGGATACTCGCTGACCTCAAAGCTCTTGGACCGAACGACGTGAAGAAAGTCATGCACATCTTGGAGGACAAAGTCAGCGGAAAGGCACAGGATGACCGCAAAATGCACTTGGAAGAGATCATGCAACTAGTTGCAGCTCTGCCTGATCGTTCGGCTCATCGGGTAGAGCTGACAAGCTTGCTTCTGGACAAACTATGGAATTCACTGCAACATCCACCAATGTCCTACTTGGGAGATGAATTTCGTTATCGCTCGGCCGATGGTTCAAACAACTCGTACATATTCCCCAAACTTGGTGCTGCCAACACTCCATATGCTCGATCAGTCAATCCAGTGACAGTGCAACCAGGAGCACTCCCAGACCCTGGCCTGCTTTTTGACTCGATCATGGCAAGAGACCAGTTTATACCACATCCAAATAGGGTTTCTAGTATCTTCTTCAACTGGGCCTCCCTCATCATTCACGGTAAGCCATGTGAGTCGATGCCTCAATTGAATGCTGACATGCTCTAGATCTTTTCCAGACTGATCACCGCGATTTTAGCATTAGCAAAACCTCGAGCTACTTGGACCTTTCCATCCTCTATGGTGACACTCAAGAGGACCAGAACGAGATGAGAACCTTTACGGATGGAAAGATAAAACCAGATTGCTTCGCAGAGGAAAGGCTTTTGGCCTTCCCTCCAGCTTGTGGCGTCATGCTGATAATGTTGAATCGTTTCCACAACTACGTCGTCGAGCAGCTCGCACTTATAAACGAGAACGGGCGATTCAACAAACCGGCAGATCTTGGGAACCCACAGTCGAAAAAGGCGGCGTGGGCAAAGTATGACAATGACCTTTTCCAGACAGGCCGTCTCATAACCTGCGGGCTCTATATCAACATCACTCTGTACGACTATCTGCGAACAATTGTCAATCTGAACCGTACCAACAGTACTTGGACCCTAGATCCTAGGCTGGAAAAGGCTGGCAATTATGACAAAAATGGTACTCCACGCGGTGTTGGCAATCAAGTCAGTGCGGAGTTCAGCCTGTCGTATCGATGGCACTCATGTATTGGAGAAGGAGATGAGAAGTGGACCGAAGACATCTACCAAGAACTATTCGGGAAGCAACCTCACGAAATCTCTCTCCAGGAATTGATGATTGGCGTAGGCAAGTATGACCATGATCTTCCCAAAGATCCACAGAAGAGACCATTCGCACACCTCAAACGTGGCATGGATGGAGAATTTGACGATGGAGATCTTGCCCGGATTATGGAGGCTGGAGTTGAGCAAGTGGCCGGCGCATTTGGCGCAAGAAACATCCCAAAGTCGATGCGCGCAATCACGATTCTTGGAATTATGCAATCCAGGTCGTGGAACTTGTGCACCTTGAATGAGTACAGGAATTTCTTCGGATTGAAAAAGTATGACACGTTTGAGGAGGTCAATAGCGACCCTTACGTCGCAGAGCAGTTGAAACACCTCTACGAGCATCCTGACTACATAGAGCTTTACCCAGGACTGGCGATCGAAGATTATAAGGATCCTATGGTCCCAGGTGTCGGTATTTGCCCAACATACACAATCTCTCATGTGGTATTGGCCGATGCTGTTGCTCTAGTGCGAGGCGACCGATTTTACACTCTGGACTGGAGTCCAAAAAATCTCACAAACTGGGGTTTCAACGAAGTTGCTTACGATTTGAATATCAATCAAGGATGTGTGTTCTACAAATTGATGCTTCGGGCGCTCCCAAATCACTTCAAGCCTAACAGCATCTACGCTCACTGTGAGTTTACCCAGTCCTCCTAGCTGATTCCCCGGCCCAAGGCGATATTTGAGTCTTCGTGCACAAACTCTACTAACAGCTTCCTCCAGACCCCATGACAATTCCCGACGAGAATGCAAAAATCATGAAATCATTGGGTCGGTATCAGGATTACGACTGGAGCCCCCCTTCTTTTATCCCTCAAAGAGTCAATATATCGTCCTACCAGAACGCGCAGTACATGCTCACACGAGCCCAGGAGTTTACTGTCATGTGGAATGATGGACTAAGATCCGTCATGGGAATGGAAGGCGAGAGATTTTGCCTTGGAGGTGACAGTCACCTGTATCAGAAGCAGCGTCAAACCATGAATCAACTGATTTACCGTGAGAAATGGAAAGAGAACATCAGAGACTTCTACGAGAAAATTACACTTCAACTTCTTCATGAAAAGAGCTGTAAGGTCGCCAATATCAATCAAGTCGATCTGACCCGAGATGTCGGGAATCTGGCGCATGTCCATTTCGCCGCAAATGTGTTCTTGCTGCCGCTGAAGACGGCACAGAACACGAGAGGTGTCTTTACTGAACATGAATTATGGATTGCAATGAGTGTCATATTCACTGCAATCTTCTTCGACTTCGAGCCAACCAAATCCTTCCCTCTCCATGTTGTCGCAAAGAAGTTGGCGACTATGCTGGGGAAGCTGATCGAAAGCAATGTCAAATCAGTCACAGCGACATCGTTTGCTGCAAAATTCTTCGACAACTTCAGAGAAAATGAGAACTCGCTCGCAGACTACGGCATTCACATGATCCGGCGTCTGACAGACACGGGTATGACCACGAACGCGATAGCGTTCAGCCAAATCCTCCCCACGGCCGTTGCGATGGTACCAAATCAGTCTCAGGTCTTCACCCAAATCATGGACTACTATCTTGGAGAAGGAATATCCCACCTACCTGAAATCCAATGTTTGGCAAGAGAGGACGACCAAGAATCCTTTGGCAAGTTATTGCGTTACGTCAACGAAGGAATCAGACTCAATGGCACCTTTGGAAGCTATCGACGCAGCAACGTGACCCACGTATTTCAGGAAGACGGCAAACAGATTCCAGTCAAACCTGGAGACAAAGTATTCTGCAGTTTCGTTAGTGCCGCGAGAGACCCAAAGGTATTTCCAAATCCTGACCAAGTACGCCTCGACCGTCCCCTTGACTCATACATCCACTATGGTGTTGGGATCCACACCTGTCTCGGAAAGGACGCCAGCATGGTGGCTTTGACGGCGATGTTGAAGACGGTGGGCAAATTAGAAAATCTCAGGAGAGCTCCAGGCCCCCAGGGTCAATTGAAGAAGGTTCGTTTCCCATAGAGCAGTAACTTGATCGAATCGAACGCTGACACTTAGTAATGCAGGTATCCCGTCCGGGTGGGTTCTATGTGTACATGAGGGAGGACCATGGCTCGCTTTTCCCGTTCCCATGCTCATTCAAAGTGCATTATGATGGTGTGCTGCCTGCTCTCCCTGGAACAGAGGCAAAGCATTAAGATGGAGACGGAGGTGTTGGGTTCCTTGAGATTGCTTGGATCGCTAGGATTGCTTCAGCTGACACCGTGTGACCTTGGTTACCTTTTGTTTATTTTTAACCCTAATAGTCGCTATCTTTTCACATGGCTAGTTCAACTGTTCAACCAAGGAATTGAAATGACATTGAACGCAACAAGCATTGAAACACGGGCGGTGGAAAATTGCACTTCCGACAGATCCAGATCCCAGTCAACCCGGACCGTTTAGTCTGATAATTCTGGAGGTTCATCTCATCATCTCTGTAACAATTGATCCTCTTCTCAGGGAGTAGGCTCTGCCTGAATGTTTCTGCATGCAGCATTCCTGCGGCTCCCGTTGGCCAGAGCGCTAAGCACTAAAGTTTCAAGATGTGATCCCCTTGGCAGCGGCGACACGGGCCTCGGCCTTCTGATTCCACTCCTTGACAACCAAATACAAGCCCTCCAGGGTGCCATGGCCGGGGCGATAGGCCAAGTCCATCCTCGCGTCGGAATCGTCGTACACGACATGCAGATTCGCACAGTTGAAGACGGCGGGCTGCAGGATTTCGAGGTCGGCGGGCAGCTTCGGCAGCAGGCGTGGCAGCCAGTCGCGCTGTGCTGCGACGTACCAGGAGACCGGGTACGCGAGCAGCATGAAGGGCACGGGCGGCGAGCGACGCCAGCTGATCGGCGTGGACGGGTGGGTGGTGAGCGAGAGGAAGCGCTCTAGGGACGAGTAGCGGAGGGGCGGGCCTGGGTCGCAGACGGCGTAGCCGCGGCCGCCGAGGTCGTGGCTGTGGATCCGCGATTCGTACAGCAGGTGCGCCAGCGACACGTTCTGCGCCGACACCAGCTGTAGCGTGAACGTTGAGAGCCAGCTGTGGGGAACAGGTCCGAGGGACCCCGGGTTAGTGTGCTTGTCACAAGGTGGTGGTCAGGCTGTCAAGTTGGGGGGCATGGATGTACGTATGGATGAAGATCGGATGTGTGGATATGGATGTGCTGTGCTGTGCTGCTGGAGGAGGAACACGAGAGGAGACCAAAAAAAAAAGAAAGAAATCCAGAACTTACGTCACGCCACCCCCTCTGAGCAGGTAGGTCGTCGCCAGGCTATGGGGATTCTGATCACCATGGCCGTAGATGCTGTGGCCTGGCCTGATGACGCCGGTTCGGAACCGATTTCGTTTGTCGTCGGCCTCGCGGACCAGCTTTTCGGCCTTGGCCTTGCTGTATGCATACGATCCCGGGAAAGCGTCCAGCGGCGCATCGTAGTCTTTGGCCTCGGCGTTGCCGGGCAGTTGGATGAAGCCGTCCGGGGACCTATCCCAGGCCCGGGAAATGGCGAAGAAGCTCTGCCGCTTCAGCGCGACGGCCACCGACGAGGTCGCGATGAAGGTGTCGCATCCTGCTGCTTTCGCGGCGTGAAGCACGTTCTGCGTGCCTTCGATGTTGATCTTGATGTATGGTGGGAGCGAGGCTACGCTGCCGTGGCCCGCGTGGATGAACGCCGCCGTGTGAAAGACGGTCAGTGGTAAGTTCGCGACTTTAGGCGGCCATGGTTGTGAGAATACGGCATTGACGGAGGATGGATCGCGGATGTCGGTTTTGACCCAGGCGGCTTTCCGAGCGACTGCAAGCTCTCTTCTTGGTGCAGCGAGATCTGCAATCCGGATGGCTGCTGGATCCTCTCCGCGCATGATCAGGTGCTCGACGATCCAGCCGCCGACCAGTCCTTGTCGAGAGCGTTTCAGCATTGGATCTCTCTCACACAATCACACCCACACCAATAGGTGAAATGATAGGGAACTTCCAGTGGGCGACTGACCTGATCCTCCAACCACAACATAGCGACGATTCTGCCTTGGCGGGAGATATTTGGTGAAGTCGTGCCCGTCCCGCTCAAACTTGTTCCAGGCGCTTTGGATTTGTTCATCGGTCCATGGCTCCCCAGAAAGCTTGAGGACTTCAGGAGGTAGCGAGATGAGGTTCCGGTCGATGCGGTATAGCCACCATGCAACGAGAGAGATGGTGCATGCCAAGATGGTGACAGGCCAGAAGAGGGCCATTGTCGGAGGCAGGTACTTACCTGATTGGCATTGATGGATGGATGGGTGAAGGGAGGGAACGAAATGTGCTGATAACCGTCGGACAGTCGATCAGCACAAGGTTGGTGAATGTCCAACTTATCGCCCCGTGGGAGAGTGTCTAGAGGGAGAGAGAACGGGAGGGAGGCGCAGAGGCGATGCACAACTTGGCCGCCTTGCCTTGACTCCAGTTCTTGGGCCACTCAAGTAACAGCAACCTTTTGCCAGGGTCCACCAGCCTAGTGTTCGCAAGAGAATCCGCAATGGAGAGGATGCGCGAGCTGACAGAGTTGCAGTGGCTAGAGGGTTAGGCCACCAGGGCTTGTAAAGTATGGTTCACTCGTTGCTTGGCCGACTTTCAGAGACGCCTGCCGGAGGTTGAGAAAGGAGCGTCTTAAGATTGACAATTCCGAGCATCGGTAATCGGCAGAAGAAAAGTAATGTATCACCTGAGGTTTAGGTGGCTTCAGAAGACTGGTACGAGTAGTTGGATGGCCTAACCTTCGACCAGGTATTCCACACTTTCTTAAGCCTTGGTCCTTGACCCCACTCACGTCGGATAGAGCCAAAAGAGGCTAAGTTTACGCGATACGCGAGCGCGTCCGAGAACCATCACCCGCCGACCTATCCAGATACATACTGCAGCCAAAGGGACGTCATCTGCACGACCATGGTTGTGGGGAACCTGGTGTTCCTACAAAGTCAACGTGCTGCTCAAATGGCATGTGATAGTCCTTCCCCAGCAGCGGAGGCCAGCGCTCCGGACGACAGGCCAGATGCCGGGATCATGAAGAGCGAGGAGAGTGAGAGTCCTCATGTCCCTGCTCCTCCTGCTGCTTCTACTTCTCCTTCTGCTTCTGCCACTCTTGCGACGCTGAACGCAAAGCCTGGGCCGAAATCCAAGCCCAGGCCCGAGTCCAAATCCATCTCAACCCTGGAGTCGGAGATCGCAGCCACAGAAGCAAAGCTTGCAGCGACACTGTCGCGTCTGTCGGAGGCACGTGCAAGAAACGACGAAGCCCATCCGGCTTGCAGCCTCGCTCTAGCATCGTCATCATCACCGACAACAACCACAACAAGTACAAGAAGGACTACCGCTGTTCCTACAGCTCCTTCTACGGGCAAAGGACAGGCCATAGACGGCGCGAGCCTCTCACTTGCCCATGATCGCCAACAACAGCAACAGCAACAGCAACAGGAACAGGAACTACTCTCGCACGCGCAGGGGATCTTCGAGGGCCACATCGCGCTGCTGAAGCGGTACAATTCGACCAAAGACATCGCGATGGGCATGCTATCGTTGATCGCAGACAGACAAGGGAAGCGCCTGGCAGAAATCTTGTTGGAGCGGGGGGTTGGACGAGGAGACTGATTGAGAATCGCACTTACATAGGCTAAAGGGTTAGCTGGGTTTATTGGTGGGCAGTTCTGGCGTCTAGTGATCGAGGAGACGCAAGGCCGAGAAGAAAGGAAGAGTATTTGAAAGCGCGTGGGCCGAGCGCACATTCGATGTCTTCATTCCGCTATAGTACTCCGTACTACAGAGCAAAACCCGAAGAACTAACTACTGTAACAGTTACTGACGTTTTGTGGCCCGGCAGCCTTCGATAAGCTGGGCTGGATCGTGTATTCGAGTGGCGATAGAGGTAAAATCATCTTCCACTCTTCTCTTTGCGACGGGTCACATAGATGTAAACCCGTCCCTACCCTTTCTTTTTACTCACTCAATCTCCCTCCATTGTTGGCTCCCCGAAGCTTCCTTTCCCCAAGGATGCTCGATAAACCCAAGTCCAAATGCTTGCAGTTCCCACATGTCTAATTACAATCTTCTATTCGGCGAAAATCCCAAAACATCAATCTTGCGAGACGATGGTGTACAATGCATGCATGTATGCGTTCAACGCATTCGACGAAAAGACGACAAGCTGCCTCCTCCCCCTGATACCATCCAGACCAGGCTTTATCATCACGGATGATCGAATCAATTCTGCTTCTCCAAACTCTGCAGACTTACAAGCTCCCGGTATCTTCCTTTCAAAGCCATGAGTTCCGAGTGCGTACCAGACTCGGCAATGACACCTTTGTCGAAGACATAGATGATATCTGCCTTTTGAATGGTGCTGAGGCGATGTGCCACAGCAATGGTTGTTCGGCCTTTGGCGGCTGCGTCAAGAGCCGCCTGCACGACCTTTTCCGATTCCGAATCTAATGCAGATGTCGCCTCGTCAAGGAGTAAAACCTTAGGATCACGGATCAGTGCTCGGGCAATAGCAATCCGTTGCTTCTGTCCGCCCGAAAGTAGAGCTGCCTTGCTTCCAACATCCGTTGCAAATCCATCACTGTCAATGTTAGCAAAGGGAGTAGGATCAAGCGTGTGCATCAACTTACGGTAGTGACATGATGAAGTCATAGATATTAGCATCCTTGCAGGCCCGTATGACTTGCTCGTCTGACACCTCACCCCTATCGACCCCCAGGAGCACATTTTCCTTGATCGTTCCTTGATACAGCGTTGGTTCTTGAGAGACAAGGGCAAGATGCGATCTGTAGTCGTTGAGATTGAGACTCGAGATCTCCTGGCCGTCAATGTAGACACCGCCGGCGAGGGGATCGTAGAAACGCTCCATCATCGCAATAGTCGTCGACTTTCCACAACCTGAAGCACCCACAAGAGCAACATACTGCCCAGGTCTCACAGTAAGATTTAGTCCCCGAAGCACAGGCACATCGGGACGACTGGGATACCGGAAGTGAACATCACGGAATTCGATCAATCCTTCTACAGTGTCGATGGCTTCGCCGTCGGTTGACCACGGATCAATCGTGGGCTGACGATCGTAGAGCTTCTTTAACGTGGCTGCTGCGTTTCTAGCCTTCGACATATCCCCCGCGAATGAGAACACCGTCCCGGCGGACTGCGCTCCAAATATGATCTCCGAGAAGACGATGAAAAACTGGATCAAAGTATACTCTCCACTGATCATGAGTTTGCCACCATACCAGAATCCCAATGCGAACGCCAAGTACATGGCCGACTGTGACGCCGCATACAGAGAGGAATTGCGCAGATTCGCTTTCAGAGATGTACCAAGCTGGTCTCGGAGTTGCTTGCGGTATTGGCCGTAAATCTCTTGTTCTGTCGTCAGAGAAGCCACCGTCCTGATCGCATTGGTGTGCTCACACGCGTAGCCGGCGGATTTTTCGTAATGCTTCTGTGCGGTAGAGGTGAACTTGGCCAGAATGTAGAATCTGAAAAAGCCGGTCCCGAGAATAACGGGAAGCGCACAACAGCAGACAAGCGCCAATTTCCAGCCAATGGCCAGAGATATTACAACGGCGATGATCAGTGTGGAGAAACAACTGATGAGTGTACCAAGAGTTGCGCCAGAAATCGCAGAAAGATGAGTTGTTTCTGTTGATAGATAGGATGTGAGTGCACCCGTCGAATTCTCGTCTTCGTCAAAGAAGGAAATGTCCTGTCTCAAAAACCTCCGGAAGGCGCCGTCGCGAGCCCGTTGCACCAGACTTTCACTGCAGTAGGCGAAAGCAGTTCCTTGGATAACCATGGCGATGAGATCAACGAACGCCAACATCAGGTACATCAAGCACCAGAAATTGACGTCGCTGCGGATCTGGGCTGCTTGAGACAAAGGGCGAGACATTGCCACTATCGCTTTGGCAAAGAAGATGCCCTGGACAGGTTGAGCGGCGCCTGCAATGGCGCTAAAGAAGAAGCCAATTACCATTAGTTTCCATTCGGTACGATTGAACCGAGCGATAAAACTGATCAATGTCCAGAGGCTGTATTTGACCTCGCCGTCCTCCGACTTCTCGCCAAAAATCTTTGATGAAACGGACTTCTGGCTCTTCGACCTACCCAATGCGAGTTTTTCATCATCTGGGTCCATGTCTGCCAAGCTTGCAGATTTCTTCGACTGAATTCGGACCATTTCTTCGTCTCTACCTGCAATGTCTTTCTCGAATTCCTCGTCATCGTCCCCACCAATACGTTGAGCTGATACCAAGTTAAAGTATGCACCTCTCAGTTCGAGGAGCTCGTCATGAGAGCCCTGCTCGACAATCCTGCCGCCTTGCATGACAACGATGTTGTCTGCGGTCTTGATAGTCGACAAGCGGTGAGCAATGACGATGGTGGTTCGACCCTTTGCAGCCTCATCCAGAGCATGCTGAACGACCCCTTCGGATTTTGTGTCAAGTGCAGATGTAGCCTCATCCAAAAGTAGGATTTTGGGGTCGCTGACCACTGCTCGGGCAATTGCGACACGTTGCTTTTGGCCACCCGACAGGAGAAAGCCACGTTCACCTACGTGGGTTTCATACCCATTCGGTAGAGATGAGATGAAGTCGTGAGCGTTGGCTTTCTTTGCCGCATCGATAATCCTGGCCATTTGCTGCTCATCGGACTCTTGTTCGTACTTGGACCCGATCAGGCCATTTTTGATGTTTCCTTTGATAGTTTGGCTGAAGAGAACAGGCTCTTGTTGCACAAGAGAGATTTGTTGCCGAAGCCAATGCAGGTTCAGTGTGCTGATATCATGGCCATCTAAGTAAACGGCACCTCCAACCGGATCGTAGAAACGTTCAACAAGCCCAACGATTGTGGACTTCCCAGAGCCAGAGGCACCTACAAGAGCTGTGGTCTTGCCTGCAGGCACGGACAAGTTGACGTCTTCCATGACGACAACTTCGGCTCGTGATGGATAGATGTGCTTGATATTTCTCAGTTCCACAGCACCTTCCACATGCTCCAGGGTTTTCCCTTGGTCTGACAAAGGATCCAACGGAGAAGCGCGGTCAATGGTCGCATATATTTTCGAGGCCGCGGCGACACCGGCAGCGAAATGCTGAACATTTGGGCCTATATTCCCAAAAGAGAAAGCGCCGATCATAATGGCCAAAACGATGGTGAGGATGTGAGCCAGGCTAGTCTCGCCGGAGACGAGAAATCGAGATCCCATCCAGAAAGTCAGCCCATAATTGAGGAAAATGATACACAAAAGGGATCCAATCATACAGCCGAGGGCGGCTTTACTGCGGATTCCCCAGTGTCTTGCTTCTAGAAGGTGGACGTCATATTGTTTGGCCAACTTGTCCTGAGTGCCAAACGCGACAGCGTTGCGAATTGAAGCAAGGACTTCTTCTGCAACAGAGCCGCCTAGAGCGTAGGCGGCCAAAGACTTCTTGTTCCAGCCAGACATTTTCGCGCCGCCAGCGCCCATGAGGACGACTATTGCTACGACCGAGCTCATGCAGATTAGGGTAAGTTTCCAGAACTTGATGAATCCAATGACAAAGGCGGCAAAGAAGGCGGCGACCCCAGTGAGGGTCAAGCCAACCTTTTCGCTGATCGCTTCTTGGATTAGATTGGTATTAGCAGTGATCATAGTAGTAACAGCTCCGGCTCCAATTTTGTCAAAGTAGCCAATGTTCTGGCTCAGAATTGCTCTGAGATATTGCTCTCGAATCTTGGCAGTAATGTGTTCGCCTGTGTAAATGAACAACACAGTCGAAATGTAGATGAGAACAAATATTCCAATGGCCAGGTAGACGAAGTAAAGAACATTTTTGTTCAGGACAGCCTCGAACTGGTTTAGCAGGGTGCCGAGAGCCAGGCCCTGGAAAGAGCCGCTCAAATTCCCGAAAACGACGGTCATCAAGGGCATGACTGCACCTGCACCAACTGCGGTGAACGCAGCAATGGCTATTAAGACTTTGTCCCATGTGGTAGCATATCTGTACAGCGACTTGTATGTGACTTTGACTTCTGGAACATCCAGCTGCTTTTTGAGAACAAGGCGCTCATGCTCAGGCAGATGTGCCAGGGCCGCATCGCCCTCTGGAACTTCGCGCACTTGAACAATCTTAGAATCGAGTTTTCGGAGATCAGCAGGTACGGCGGAGGAGGAAGATGCAGGAGAGCCGGGAACCACAGGAGATGTTGGGGATTTCGGCCCGGCTGAGACTGGTGTTCTTGGACTGGTGTCTGACTTTTCCGAGTCTATCTGTTGCTGTGTGGTGATGGCTAAGGCTGATCTTTGTTTCTCTTCCATGCTCTCTTCGATCGAGGCAGCCCCTTTGGACAAGTCACCTTGCCCGTTCGGGTCCATCTCCGGGAGGGTTACGAGTCTGTCGGAATAGTCTTGCTTGTCGGTATGAATATCTCGGGGAACAGGGTGCCTATCTCATGACGTGGTATCGGATAGGGGTATTGAGGATGGGCGGTCGGCACAAGGGAGAGGGGTTCTGCCGCTTGGATGCAGTCGGTGAATTTTATAAAGTGAAGGGTTCAATGCACGCGTGTCCTTGACAGCGTCGAAGGCGAATTAGGCGTGGTAAGGATATAGAGGAGTAACAAGAATGAGAAGGACTGCTAGCCAATATGTGCAATGCAAGTGCAACAATGTACGGAGGAAAAGCTGGGAGTGTAAGCGAATGATATGCAGAGGGATGCTACATCTTGACGCTGCAGACATGAAAATGCGAAGTCGTAATTAGCAGGCGTCATAGTGGACGGAGTACGGAGTACAAGATGGAGTACTCGTAAGTACATGGGGCGACGCCTCTTCGGGCCCGAGTTTGGCGGCAAGAATAATAATGATCATTCACACCGGTGGGTGCGGGTGGGGTGCGGGTGGGTGCCAGGCACCCATAGCGAATCTCAACCCCGTGAGTCACGACGTGAGAGGGGTTACCCGCTGCGCCATTGCTGCTTGGTGTCACTTAAGCGATCGCTCGTTTAAGCTGGCCAATTGGGGGTCGCTGAATACGGAGGTTGTCTTTGCCGGCTCACAGAAATTGTGCACGCCGGTTTACGCTATTTCCCTGTAGAGTCTGGAGCCAAATACAGATCTGGCAGCAACGCAGCAGGAAAGAGTGACCAATAAATAGAGCATTGCTGCCTTGCGGCGGCCACTCACCACGCCTCCCTATGCACGACACGACGCACTCCGATCTCGACGATCTGAAGAGTTCGTTACTGTGGCACCGCATCGTTAAACACTGTATGTCGGATTTCCTGACTCGGGAGGACTTGTACCCGTACTCGGTTGGCCGGTGGTTTGTTGGCAAGATGAGTCAGTCAATCACTCAATGGGCTCGCTAACGCACGTGCCGCAAATGCTTACAAGCCCTCTAGATCACAGATGGTTTCGCTTGTTCGTGTTTCTTACCAAACCAGGGCAAAGCCGGGTAGGGCCACTCCCGGATCTCGTACCCTCGTTCCAAAGGCCGCACGTAATGCATATATTTGTGCACGGAGTTGGAGTTCCCAGAGCATAACTTCACTCGACCTTTCGGCGTTATCCGCGCCAGGTGTTGGGTTGGAACTGGCAGTAATTAGAACCCTGGCACAAAGCCTTTTGCAGTCGTGCTACCTGTCAACCGAGTTCGACTACGACATTTATTGCACTCTCGAGGGGCGAAGGCAAAGCTTTCATCTTCCTCTCTTGACGACTACGAGGTATTGTTGCCTGGTGGACATGGCGAGGGGCTCATATATGTCAATGATTGGTGAAAAGGATGTCTCGCAATAATCCAATTGCCCGTTGCAGGCGAGACGCACGTTTTTCTGGTCGTCTCGGGAGATATCCAAGCCCGCAACTTCGCAGCCAACAGCATAGATTGATGGTAATACAAAGGATGATACGCAATCGGCAATCCGAAAGAAGACCGATGTTCTCCCATTACAACTTTGACCTTGGTGCGCCAACAGCAACAGCGTACTCGTCCACTCTCTTCCTTGCCTCCAAGTCTCTTCGATTTCGGTCCAGATCTCGAGCGGCGGAAAGTCTGGGCGTGTCACCACTCTCATCGATATCCTTGATTACCTCCCGATACAACTCTTCTTTAATCCTGCCATATGATGTCCCTTGAGCCTTGTCGATCAACTTGAATTCTTTGATGAAGGCTAATGTCTCGTCAAGTCCACCCAGTCCATCGATCATTCCTTCTTTGAGTGCTTCCAAAGCTGGGAATCGTCTACTTTCCAGCACCATGCTCCTGAATGTACTCATACCCAGTTTGACTCGAAACACTGATGCCATAGTAGGTTGGAGTGCAGCTCCAAAGTCTAGCTCGTTCAGGCACAAAAAACCCTTGTGAGGGTTCATGATACGGTAGTCGTGGAACATCGCCGTCATCAAGCCTCCAGCAAATGCATGTCCGTTCATCAGCGCAACCGTCGGCATGGGGTATGTGATCAGACGTCGCCACAAAGGGAACAGGCTTCCAGGGAAGAAGGCAGGGTCCTTGATTGCATTTTCGTAGTCGAGACCATTCGAATAGAATTTGGTAATAGATGAGGTGGTGATAACCACTCCTTTCGGAAGGCGGTGCTCGATGATGTCAAGAGCCAACAGGAAAGTTTGATTGAATGCCGGAGTCAAACGGTTGTCGGGCGGGCTTGAGAAAGAAAGTACATAGACCTGAGGCGCAGCTTGTGTGCAGACGAAGTTCCCTTGCTGCGTCGTTGTCGAGCGCTCGACAGAGGCTGGAGGAATGGAGAGCACAAAGACTGGTGGAACTGGCGGCATGATATCGATGTTACCTTTGACTTTTCAAAAACACAGTTTCGATGTGAGAGTGACTGACTGCGATGTAGGACCGGCGATGGATATAGGTCGGTCTACGTCGGTCTACGTCGGAATGCTTGATCGGCCTGCCCATATTGATTAGTCGTCGCTCTTTCGAGCTTGGAACTTGTAGCACTTAGTACACCACCTGGAGCTGACCTGTGCAAGTAGTTTGAGCCGAGGTATGAAGCAAGGTCGGCAGGGAGGCTGGTTTGCCCGAACATGCACGACTGCTTCAATCACTCTGCAGTGCTTCTAGGCGGGAACATTGATGATGCCGTCAGAGTGGTTTTGGTAGATATATCGCTAACAATAAGTTCCAACACCGAAACATCGGCCAGCCGAATGTCACGAGCAAAGTTCTTCTGCGTTTCCCCTGGAGGGGACATTCTTCACGTGCCCCTCGTGCTTCCTTGGAACGTGGGCCAACGGGCCAATATACTGTAGGTGCTTCCTCGAGCTTGACTCAGCATGCCCACTTCGCCTGTAGATCCTCCTCAGCTTGCCCCCCAGCTTATGACGACGCTCGTTTGTCTTCTTCCCCCGTAAGCCTGCTAATCCGGCTACGACCGGATTATTGCGCGAGTAAATGTTACGTGCTTGCTCATTGACAGCGCTGGTGTACCTCGTATTATCTCAAGCTTTCTGCGCATTCTCATTTCTTCAATTTCACCAACGCAGGCATGGTAGTGGCCTTTCTGCAAGCGTTTCTGCAACCTTACCACTGTATCGTCGTAAATTGTCCTTGGAGCCCGTGGCTCAAGGATTTGTCTTTCGCCAACCTCAAATTGCGCCATTGCACATTTGGCCACGATGGCAGCCTCTTCCTCAGCCTCACCCACGCCCAAGACCGGCCCAACATTCTGGGAACGAACGAAGGGCTTTTCAAACACAACTTACGAGAAGCGCTTGAAGCCCGGCTTTAACAAGGCCTATGCTGTGGTTGACAAACTTGGCGCACCTGTCAATCGATTGTCCAACAGAGTCGGCTCCGAGGCCTTTTGGCCTACCACCCTAGACAAAGAGTCCGAGAAGGCAGCTCGAATTCTGAGAGGGTTTTGTAAAGACGGCTTTTACGAGCCGATAGAAGAGAAGGCTGCCAAAAAGATCGAAGACCGTGATGCGACCGCAGTGGGGATTCCCCAAGGCACACAGCGCATTCTCGTGAAAATTCCCCAGAAAGTTATCAAGCAATGTGTTGGGTTGGCCATATTCACAACCATGCGGACAGGCTGGGTCCTCGGAGGCTCTGGAGGTGCAGGTGTCCTCGTTGGGAGACACCCAGAAACCGGCGAGTGGAGCCCTCCCAGTGGAATTCACACCCAGAATCTGTCTTTCGGCTTCCTGATAGGGGTCGATATTTATGACTCAGTACTAGTCATCAACACATATAAAGCCCTTGAAGCATTCACGAAACTGCGATGCACATTGGGGACTGAGGTCGGCGTGGCTGCTGGACCACTGGGACTTGGAGGCGCGCTGGACACAGAGGTTGTCAAGCGACAATCGCCAATCTGGTCTTACGTTAAGAGTCGAGGACTGTATGCCGGAATCGCGCTAGAAGGAAACATTGTCATCGAGCGCACTGATGAAAACGAGACCTTCTACGGCGAGCGTGTGGGCGTCGCTGACATTCTTGTTGGGAAAGTACGTCATCCACCGGTGGACAAGTATCAAGTACTGCTGGATACTTTGAAGGCGGCTCAAGGAGACGACGTGGATGATAGCCTGCTGCCCGATGGAGTAGCACCCAGTGATATGGAATTGATTTCTGACGGTAGGCAAAGGATATGCATACGCTCAGCCTCTTTCGCTAATACTCAGTTTTACAGGTCCATTGTTCGGAATTCCTGCGGAAGATGATCCCGACCCGTTTGGTGTCAAGGCATTAGAAGCAGAAGGGCTGAACATCCGTGAAGCAGGAACACACCAAAGGCCCAGTGCGGCTGCTTTTGAATTCAAACCGTCTCCGACCAGCCCTATCTACACCCATTTCTCACGTCAAAGCGTAGATGGGTCAATTAGAAGCCGGACCTGGAGAGACAGTACCCATAGCCTTGCCAGCATTGACCGAGGTACCCAAACAGACGAAGATGAATCAAAAAGCGCAGGGCACAGCCCCAGAAGGAGTGATTCGACTGCCTTAAGGAACTCAACCAAGATAGTTGAGCCACCTCAAAAACACAGCCAACTCGTAGGAGATGGAGAAGACTCGCCTGGACACCGTCGGGAATCCTTCTCCGACGTGGATTCTGATGCGGAGATCCAGACGGCCGTGCCAGTGGTAACAAGAGCAAGGGTGGTTGAAGTTCCAAGGCGTGTTCCTCCAGCTCTACCACCACGAAACCCTGAGCGAATAGCAACGCCCATCGAAACCCAAGCTCCATCAGACGGATTTGATAAGATCTCGTTGGACGCAACGGTGGAGGAGAGAACGCACGAGGGCGACAGCGATCTGATTAAGACTACCACCAACGGAGCGGCCAGCTCAACCTTCCATTCAGTACCGGTGACACCGAGTGATGAAAAAAAACCCAATGATATCCCAGGATCCTTTCAGTGATGTTCAATATAGCGGTTAATGATCATTGATGATTGCATGGACGGGGCAGACACACACGTGACTTACTGGAGTATTCGATTATCAATAATCCTAGAGTACCAGGTATAGAGGTATGGGTTACTCTGTTTGAAAGCCTACTACCAGTCGGGTCCCCTGTCTGCAGATTGAGGCAGGTTCTAGTGTCATCATTATCCCTGTTATTGTTTTGGTTCTTGCGTCTTCAAGCACAAACGCGGACGCGTGCCTGCCGAAGCAGCTCAGTGGCGAATCTGGTAAGGAAGGTGCCTCTATGCACTCCTTTGTTGTTCCCATCTTCTTCTCTGTCCTCGCTGTTCTTCTCTTCCACATCGATCCATCATATGCACCATTGCTTCGGCGTTCATAGTGCTTGACTGCATCAATCTATTGCATGAAGTATCTTAGCTTTGTGCTTGTTCACACAAACACTTCTTCTACCTGACCCTCTTCACACTTGAAAGTTGCTGCATTTGGCCCAGGTCTTGCGTCAACTTCAATTACCATGCGGCCGACACTTTTTCTCGTTTCCGCGGTCAATCTTTTGGCACTCTCAGCTTAGGGAGCAGGGACATCGATTGACAAGTCCTTGAACGCAGCCGCCAATGGCCACTACCAACCACCTCTCTTGACTCGTGCCATCCTTGACAACAGTTGTGGCAGGGGCAAAGACCAGTGTAATCCCAAGAATATTGGCAGCGGGTGGTGTTGTTCAAAGGCAGTGAGTCATGAAACCCCTCTTTCCGAGACTAAACTGATCATGATCTAGGGTTACTGCGGTATGCTCTGCAATCGACCTGTCTTTCTCTAATAGCACTGACCAAGTGGACAGGAGATGGCGATATTTTCTGTGGTTCTGGTTGTCAAGAAGAATACGGGTAGGTGACAATGGTGTGCCACAATCAAATGGAATTAACTTTGAGCTAGGAAATGCAACAGTGCAACAAACATCGCCAATCGCCCTTCAGCCGTCAAGTACTGTGGTGCTCAACACAGCAATGCTTCGTGTGCTCCTGGAGACTGTTGCTCATCTAATGGTTATTGCGTAAGTGGGAAAGAAAAGTCGCTGTTGTGATTGCTCTAACCAGCCACAGGGCTACGGCGAAGACTTCTGCGAGAATGGCTGCCAGAAGCAATTTGGCAACTGTACACTCATCATGGGCAGACTAGATGACAAAGAAACGTCCGAGTTGTGTGGCGTGCTCAACGGCGGCAAGAAATGCTCAGCTAACGAGTGTTGCTCCACTGCAGGATTTTGTGTAAGTCTCACGCCTCCAGCATCTTACAAAGGTTCTGACACCCTCCAGGGAACTGGCAAGGATTTTTGCGCAGTCCCTGCCAATTGTCAACGAGGCTTTGGCTTCTGCGACTCGGATATCCAACCACAAGGATATAACACTTCACTAGATTCTCGTCCACATATTGGCGACGTTCCCTATGGCCAACTAATCACCAAGTGCAAGGTCCCCAGAACGATTGCTCTTACATACGACGACGGACCGACGGATAACACAGAAGAACTCCTTGATATCCTCAAAGAATACCGAGCCAAGGCTACTTTCTTCATTACTGGGGTCACCAATGGCAAAGGGGCAGTTGATGAAACCGAAAAATGGACAAAAGCCATCCAACGCATGCACGATGAAGGCCATCAAGTGGCTTCGCACACCTGGTCACACCGTGAGCTCAACACAATCTCGACCTTAGACCGTAAGGTTGAGATGGTGAGAATGGAACAGGCTCTCGACAACATCCTTGGCATGTATCCCACCTACATGAGACCACCGTATCTTCAATGCAGCATCGATGGTGGTTGCCAAAAAGACATTGGTGAACTTGGCTACCATCTCATTGGATGGTCTACAGACAGCACGGATTGGTTGCACGATGGCAACCTGGACGCCATGATCCAGGCCACGGATGCTGCTATTGATGCCACTGACGTGTCAGGCAATATGCTTCTCATTCAGCATGACTCGATTCATCTATCAGCCATCAACCTCACCAGACATATCCTGCCGCGTGTTGTTGAGAAGGGGTGGCATGGTAAGTGCACTTCCTCTTGAATCTGTATTCATTGCTGATTCAATGTTGTTCAGCAATTTCAGTGGGCGAGTGCCTTGGAGACGATCCAGACAACTGGTATCGTAAACCAGTGGAGTTAGCAGACCCAGGCTCAGGCTCAGGCTCAGGCTCAGGCTCAGGCTCAGGCTCAGGCTCAGACTCAGACTCAGACTCAGACTCAGACCTAGACTCAGACTCAATGAGTTCAACACCTATCACTTCTCAAAGCATTTCTGCGGCAGCAAGGTTGAACGTCCCTGTCGTTTACAACGGTGGCACACTGGTCTGCACCATTAAAAGCTCGGCTTCATTTTCTCGATTTGCTGTTACTCGCACCATGGCATAGATTCGCCGTGTCGATGCTAGTCTCTGGTAGGAAATGTGATTTCTGGGACACTCGCTGATACTGGAGTTCTGCTGGAGTGTTATTGTGGGATTGGGATGAAGAATGAAAAGCATCGGAGCAGTATCTATAGACAGTGAATAGACTATCATCATCATTGACTCACGAAAAGAGTCGCTAACAGCCCTTGTTGCCATTCGTCCTATGGCGGTACCTCACTTTGCATACGGGTGGTGTGACAGCATGATATATAGTACGGAGTATGCTATTAGCCTCTCGGAGCGACGGGGTCAACGCTTGGTCTACAAGACGAGGATAGTCAGGAAGCCGCCAGACCACTCAGAATTTTAGAAGTCGGATTTAGGGAAGCCGGGCCCAGTCGGAGAAGGACTCCCGGGCCCGCCGGCTCAGTCAACTCCCCAGTCCTTCAGGCTTGGTACACGCGTCTAACCAACAAAGGAGTCCTTCTGGAATGGTGGCGGGACAGCTTCGCAGTGTCGCTCCGGCTCCTCCTCCTCCTTTGACTCCTCGAGACAAATTCATCGCGTTGCACATCTACAAAGTGTTTGTATTCTTCGACATATACGCCGAACATTATGTCCTTGCATTGAGCACCGCTTGAGCTCTATCCTACCGTTCCGACCAACTACGCACAATCCCTGCAACAGAGCCCAACCGCCTCGTTTCCTTCCTCCCAATGAGTCCTCCGCAGGCACTGGCCATCGGCCTCTCTTTTGCACTGACCTGCCTGATCTCCCCCACCTCGGCCCATGGAGGTCACACCGACAAGATCCCCGAAGGTGAAGCCATATCAGCAGACCCTCTCGATTCACGACTATGGACGCATATCCTGTTAATGGTGCTATCCTTTGGTCTGATCTTCCCCTATGGCATGGTCCTTGGCATTATCAGAAGCAGATGGCATGTACCTGTACAGATCGTCGGCACAGTCGTGGCTACAGTCGCATACTTTCTTGGGCATATGCACAAGGGCCGCCAGTTCAAGCATCCCAATATCCATGCAAGCTTTGCGAACAGTCTGGTGTTTATGTTGATTGTACAAGTCGGACTCGGCATCGGACTCAAATTGCATCTTGAGAACAAGGGCGGCTGGATCGGAAAAGCGTTTGGAGGAAAGATTGGCAAGAGTGGGAGGCGTGGTGTCGTGCTGATTCACGGATGGCTCGGGAAAGCCATGCCTGTTGTCTCGTGGGTGCAGATGCTGTTTGGTGGAATTGTTGCCATGGGGTACTGTCGCGGAGACCATCTTGGACAGTGTTTGGCGCATTTCATCATGGGCTCTGCATTCATCGGGTACGGCATTGTCATGACACTTCTACTGCTGGTGGGTCAGGCATGGTTGCGCAGCACGGGAAGGAGCCAGGAATTCTTCGACAGCATCATCATCTCCGCGTGGGGCTGCGTCAATACATTCACCGAGCACCGATGGGGCCAGCCTTGGGTCAAGAACGATCTTCAACACACCAGCATGGGCATCGTATGGTGGTGTGCTGGCTTAGTGGGAGTGTGGCTGTCTCGCTCGAGAACTGGTCGGCCGAAACGTAACATTTTACCTGGTATGGTTATCTTAATCACGGGGTGGGCCATGAGTGCACACCCTCAAGATATCCCATTGAGCACCATGGTACATGCTGTCTTCGGATACACGCTCATGGCGGCTGGAGCGAGTCGCATCATTGAGGTCTCTTTCGTCCTCAAAGACAGTCGTGGGGCCTCTGAAGTCAACAGTTGGCAGCATCTTCCACCATTCGTAAGTCTTCTGCCTTTTCCCTACACAGTCCTTTGCAGCACCATATTTGATTGGATCTTTTGCTAACTCGATAATCCAGCTCCTCTACGCGTCCGGCTTTCTCTTCATGGGCGCGACCGAAGAACAAATGCGCCTGCTATCCGAAGCCGACGTCACACACGTCAGCTACATCCTGATTCTGTACTCGATCGCCTTCCTGCTGTATCTGTTCGTCAACATTTTGCTTTACGTCTACGCCTCACACGCGTGGCCCGACGACGAGAGCAACGGTGTATTATCTCACAGCTCGTCCTCCCACAGCCGCAAAATGAGCACCGCTACTGCTGGCCCTAGCGCGCTGAGAAAGTCCTCAAGGGCGACGGGCAACGGCCACATCACCCTCCCGTCCGCCACAAATGGCTCTGTCCGCTTGCCCAGGCACCGTCCCACGGATAGCCAGCAGGTACGGGATGCAGAGGAGTTTGAGCTTGAGGGGTTGATCAGCGAGGGCGAGGAGGATGGTGAGAGCCCCAAGGTTGCGAAGAAGGAGGGCCTTGTTTGAAAACAGAGAGATGGAGACGTTAAAATGTTCGGCGACCCAATACAGACTCCTCTTCCTCACTTTTTGCTCTTTGTTTTATATAAAGTCATGACGGAGTGGGAGTGAACACAGCTCTTGGGTTCTCGGTTTGTTTCTTTCTCTTTGAATGTGCATATGCGGGATTCTTTAAAACAGAGCAAGAGGGATATGAGGGGATGCGTGGCTTGTTCTGTCCTCATCTTGGTTTTTGGCTAACATCCTCTGGGCTGGGGTACATACGGACTACATACTCATCCTCACATAATCATACATCATGATGTTTTATATATTGGTGAGGGGTCTTCAGGCTGGGTATTACCATATTGGATAGTGATGCTTTTTTTTTCATCACGCAAACCCGGGGGACCGAGGATTGAGTGCGATGCGACGGAAAGCACCATCTAGAGCATAGTACACTAATGTTGACAAACAGCCAGAATGCAATGAGGAGCAGATGGTCCCATCCTGTTCAATAACTAATAAAATTGGATTTACGTTCTGGCATCTTTGGGCCTCTAACTTCAACGCTTGCCCGACAAGCTCTACCCTACCGCAGCGGCAGAATCTTCTGCGGTAGCACGGCCTGCCGGCACAGCGGACACTCGGGCTTCTCCTTGACCCAGTCCTGGACGCAGGTCCAGCAGAAGACGTGGCCGCACGAGGTGGCGCTGGGGTCGCGGAAGGGCTCCAGACATAGTGTGCATTTCCGCTGCTGGCCGTCGGGGATCCATGCCATGGCGTCTGCAGAAGAGATGTCATACCGCGGCGTGCCTTCTGGCAGGATCGGCGTCGCTGTGTTCGCGGCGAGGCCGGGTGGTAGGTGGCTGGGGATGTCGACCGAGGCGAGCAGTTGGTCGGCGGTGGATGTGAAGGAAGAATTTACGGCGACTTCGACGCCGTGGCCGACGAGAGCTGTTGTTGAGGAGGGCTTTTCGCCGTTGGTGTTTTCGGGGGATGTTGATTCGTCGGTGGTGTTGGGAAAGAATGTTGCGCGGATGTGCAGCGTGGATTGCACGGCCATCTGGAGGACAAGGAGCACGCCCAGCACTTCGTAGCCGACACGCTGCTCGTCCGGCTTCATCTGCTTCGTGAAGATGTAGCGTAGGCCGAACAGCCGTTTCGAGAGGTGGTAATACGCGCCCGTGAAGTAGAAGGTGGCCAGGCTCAAGGCGTAGATCGGATTTGGACTCGTCAGGGTATCCAAGTGCTCGAGGATGTATTCTTGGATCCGCAGCCCTCGCGCCGTTATCGAAGACCGCCGGTGTTTCTTCGCATGCTCGATGTTCCACTCCAGCTTCTGGCGCAGCCGGCGTCGTAGCGCGGGGAGGGATTTCCCCAGCACCCACGGCGCAAACACCACGCTGGCAATATAGCCGACTCGTCTGCCTAGGCCGGCCAGTCGCAGCGTGTCGTTCTCGACCTGGATCACATCGCAGTATTCCTCGCCGAGCGTGCGGTTGCCGAGCAGGGTGGTGATGCACAGGTAGAGCAACTCGCTGAGGTTGTTGGTCGCGTTGGAGTATTTGTGTGCGAACCGTGCGCCCAGTAATGCGCGGAGGATCGTCGACGCCTGGGAGGATAGTTGTCCTGTTATGTATGCATCTTTCTGGTGGGTCCGTAGGATGTCGGGGGATGGCGCGAATGGGTATTCTGTCGAGGGCGAAGTGGTGGGCTCGGGATGTGCGGCGGTCGCCATGTTTGCTTGGGAGGCGGGAGTGGTGGTGGGTGGAGGACGAGTCTCGGGTATGAGTCCTATGTGGCCATCTAAACCAAAGTTGTCGGCGCTGAGGTTGATATGATCGCCGCAGGGGTTTTCTAATCAAGAAGGTTGCTGATATTGGCTTGACATGATTGAGCCTTGTCAAGCAAACGATGAACCGAGGTCGTTGTGGACAGTGTGGCTGAATGCTCCGCCGTAATGGTTCCGCCGAGTGCCAAGCCTAAACTATCCCCAAATGGACTCTTTGGGACATGTGGACGTTGAACATGACACGAGGGAATTGACCCTGCCTAGCACACAAGACAGGATTTGTTCACTTCAACTCTTCCTTTCGTGTTTCCCTTGGACCGACTGTCCTGCCTGCTCCTGGGGAAGCATGATTGACTCTTTTTGTCATGGACGGTGACCCGGCTGTTGAGTCAGAGATTGATTCATTCAGTCTCGTGCTCCCTCTTCCATACCGAGTCGCCATCATTATTGTCCTTGGAATATGGGCGTGGGGTCTTAACCTCCATTATTTACACCTCGTCAAGATCGTATGTGGAGGAGGTTGTATCTTGAGTCCACTTCGCTAACATTGAGCTCAAGGACGTCCCGGCCCTCATTCGATATCCCGCCCGTCAAACACATAACAGCATTCTTCACCATCAGTCGACATACAGGCTGGCCACACTCCTTTCTATCCCTCTGACTGTCTCCCTCCTGCTCTTCTGGACGGTCACCCATGGCTCCAAGAGCGCGGCACTCTCATGGCAGATCTTACCACAATCTTACCTCCTGTTCCTCGTTCTTTGCTTTATCGTTCCGGTCAAACGCATGTCTCGGTCGGGCCGACTTCATTTCTTGACAACCTTGAAAAGAATCAGCCTAGGTGGGCTAGCAGAGGTTCAGGATGGAAAATTCGGTGACATTATCCTGGCTGATGTCCTTACGAGCTATGCTAAAGTACTGGGCGATCTTTTTGTTTCGACCTGCATGCTGTTGTCGTCCAAGACAGCCAGCACTGCTAAACCGAATCGTGGGTGTGGCGGCGCGTTTCTGGTGCCGTTGGTTATTAGCATACCAAGCATGATTCGGCTCCGTCAGTGTTTGATTGAGTTCCTTCGTGTGCGGCGCAATAGGACTGTTACATCGGGATGGGGCGGGCAACATTTGGGAAATGCGCTGAAATACTCGACTGCGTTTCCAGTCATTATTCTGAGCGCCATGCAACGAGATTATGACCCGAAAAAGATGAACATGACTGAAGCAGGGTTGTTTAGGTTGTGGTGAGTTGCGTGCGTTGATCACGAACCCAACATTTTCTGACGTTCCAAGGTTACTGTTTGTTTTCCTGAATTCGTTCTACTCGTTTTACTGGGATGTGGCCAAGGATTGGGATCTATCACTCTTTTCCTCGAGTCGAGAAAGAAACAATCCCGAACACCCATACGGCTTGCGACGACACCGGTATTTTCACGCCCAGCAAATGTATTATACAGCGATCGGCATAGACCTGCTACTTCGGTGCACTTGGAGTTTCAAACTTTCGCCACACTTAGATCACTTTAACGATCTCGAAGGCGGGATTTTCTTGATGGAAATACTGGAGGTAATGCGCAGGTGGATGTGGATTTTCTTCCGGGTCGAGACTGAATGGGGTGAGTCCAAGCCCAATATCCAACCAAGATTTGTTCCCATTCTTGCAATTCCATCTAACATGTATTCGCCAGTTCGAAATAATCGTGGCCCGGCGCCTGATGATATACTGTTGGGGGATTTTGCGGGCAAGATAGACGATGATTAAGTCCAAGGCAGCACTGTAATAGTACCTAGTGCGAAGATGCATCACATCACCTGACCTTCCACACGTGACTAGAGTCGACCGCCGTGTCAATTGAAGCAATGACATCTATCATCTGTTTCAGAGTGACTTTCTTTGCTGCCTGGATATCCACACGAAGTCCTCCTGATTCCTGAATCACACTTGGAATACTGGTAAAGGAGGCTCCCCCACTTTAGCTCATGCAGGTACAAATCCCAAGACCCAAGAGGTTAGGCTGAGAGGCTGAGACCCAAGTTGCCTCCTTGTCTGCCACACACGCACATGCTTCCGCTCCCTCTCCGACTGGCCGTGAGTCCCTGACCCAGGCACCACCTCTTTTGCTCCACCGCCACTTTCTCTCGATTCTAAAATACTAATACAACAGCTTCACCCCTGCCCCGTGGTCTCTGCTGGGAATGCTTGCCAGCCTGTTGAGTTGAGATTGTGCGATTCCACACATTCATCCAATATGGCCAAAACACACTCAGAGTCCTCGGAGGACTTTGAATTCATCGAGACACCTGCTGCCGCCTCCCCGCAACTCCCCGTCGAGAATTACGGTGTGCGCACCACTTCTGTGCGTAATCACTCTCTTGATCTCTACCAATTGACCTCGACCTCGTTGCAAAACCACTGACCCTTACTTCCAGTATCCCGCCATCGCAAATGCTCCCCTCCCAGCAGATGGCTCTGGCAGCGACTCCTTCAACAACTACGTCCTCTTCGCCCTTCTCATTGCAGTGCCATGGTGGGTTGCCCGTCAATTCCACGGCGGCTTCTACACCACCATCTTCTTCGCACTCTTGACCTCGTTCCCCATCCTGATGATCTTCTGGACCGTGGCATCCTCCATCTCTCCTAGGAAGAACGAGAAGGCTCGGTATCCTGGCCTTCCCATCGAACACTACCTCTCTTTCCGCAGCCAAGAGGACCGCGATAAATACTATGGCAAGAACCGCATCCCCATGGAGACGTTCTCCGAGATGTACTTCGACGAAAAAGTTGACTTCAAGGGGGACACGCTCGAGATGCTGGAGTACCGACACGACTGGGCGAACTTCCGCTTCACGATGGGTCTGTTCAAGCATTTCTTCACCGGCTTCATCCCTGAGATGCTGTTGCACACCCGCTCGCAGGACGAGGAGCAGGTGCGAGACCACTACGACCGCGGCGATGACTTCTACAGCTGGTTTTTGGGGCCCCGCATGATCTACACCTCCGGCATCATCTCCGACATCAATCGCGAGGAATCCCTGGAGCAGCTACAGGACAACAAGCTGGCCATCGTCTGCGAGAAGATCGACGTCCAGCCTGGCGACAGCATGCTCGACATCGGCTGCGGCTGGGGCACTCTTGCCAAGTACGCCAGCGTCAACTACGGTGCGAAAGTCACGGGTGTCACGCTCGGCCGCAACCAGACCGCCTGGGGCAACAACGGGCTCCGGAAATCCGGCATCACCGAGGAGCAGAGCAACATCGTGTGCATGGACTACCGCGACATCATCGTCCCAGAGGGAGGGTTCAAACGCATCACATGCCTCGAGATGGCGGAGCACGTGGGCGTACGCCACCTCGCATCTTTCTTCCGCCAGGTCAACGACATGCTAGACGACGATGGCGTCTTCTTCCTGCAGATTGCGGGTCTCCGTAAGTATTGGCAGTACGAGGACTTGGAATGGGGTCTGTTCATGAATAAATACATCTTCCCGGGCGCGGATGCCTCGACACCGCTGGGGTTCGTGGTTGACACGCTCGAGGGCGCTGGCTTTGAGGTCAAGAGCATCGACACCATTGGTGTGCATTACTCGGCTACCCTGTGGAGATGGTATCGCAACTGGATCGCCAATCAGGACAAGGTCAAGGCCAAGTACGGTGTCAGGTGGTACCGCATCTGGGAGTATTTCCTCGCCTACTCGACCATCATCTCCCGCCAGGGCAGTGCCACCTGCTTCCAGATCACCCTGGTCAAGAACATCAACAGCACCCACCGTGTCGAGGGCATCAATACCCAATTTGGCCTGAGCGGTGCTTTGAGGGCTGGCTTGGCAAGGCTCGTCGCTCCAAAGGCCAATGGGGCGTCGAAGATCGCCAAGAAGTTGTGAATGGATAGGAGGGCTTAATATTGAACAAGAAGGAAGGGATGGAGACGGATGTGTGATGGTAAAACATTGATAACCGTATAATTTATTGCAGTCAATCAACCAGAAAAGAACCAGGGCCGTGCTAGATGTCCATTGTGGACCATCCAGATGATGATTGATACGTAGTACTCGTAGTGTTGCGATCCAATCCGAATAAATTAGACATTGAGCGTGAGAAGCGAATACATAAAAGTATGATTGATACTTAACCGACAGAAAATGATATCTCCACCACAACCATTACCCCTAGTAGTAAGGTCAGTACGAGTCAAAAGAAAATGGATGTGATCGGGATTTTGGTGTTCTCTTTCTCCTCATTTAGTTGATGGCTATGTTAGTGGTAGGCCACAGAGGCGTATGGTGACTATCAGCTGCTTCTGCAACGTCGACACGGCGTATGTGTGCACCCTAGCTACAGCAGAGGTGACTGGTCACGTCAAACAGCTCTATTCAGGAGCGTAGGATGTTCAGCGTTGAATTTCGCATCGATAATCTGTCTAGGAGTCGTTTGGTAGCAGATGCCACTACACTTCGCCCATATTGGAGTGGACGACAGTAGGAAGAGCATATCGTTGTTCGTAGATGCACTCGATCAGTAGCCCAAACCGAGGGAAGACGACCCTTTCGTAGATTGCAGAACGGCACTGTGAGCATGGAAAATATACACCTCAGGCCAGCGGGACAAAAGGAGTCATGATCATGCTCGAGCGGGCCAGGACCCTGCATACAGCTAAGTTGCCCAGGCAGATCATCTTCGAAGTCATCGAAGTCCATACGGTCGGCACGACTTCATGCCCTATTCTTGAGCCGAACGAAACGTGATCTGGTGGCCAAGATTCACTCACTGAGGCGACGGTCACGGTTGAAGTAGGTGAATCGCTGGCAAGGCGTCATTAGTAGTACATGCCGGCATCCGCAATCCAAATGCCTGTTAGTAACATACGAATAAATCAGGAAGCCGACTGTGAGACGCCCTGGACGACGTGAGTACTCGTACTCCGTACAGCTGTTGACTGTTCCGAAGAGGGCCTGTGCATAGACGTATTTTCACGCTGCAGGCTCGTCGGCATTGATAGACTGGGAACTAGTATTGGCTACCTAGGAACTTTTCAGCAGTAAGAGCGAAGAGAAATCTTGGCAAGCAGGAGTTGGTTGGTGAACGTTGATTCACAGCCAATCATATCAGAACGTGGGCGAGATCTCTTCTCACAATTCACGGCACGTGCATCTCGTTTCTTGGGTGGATTCAACCAATTCAGCAACATGCCCGCCACCATGGATAGCGGCACCAACCATCGACCTCTACAGCCTCGACAATCTCACCATTTGCACAATCCGCCCTGGATGCTAGGCTGAGAGGCCCTTCCAGACGCTACCTCCGTGGAGACAGGCAGGATGTTCTGACAAGCATCCAGACAAGCCTGGACAAGATTTGCACCAATTTCTTGGAGGTTGAGAGTTCTTCCCGTCTGCCTCGATGCCAATGGAATGCCATGGCCCTTCTTCTCGCTAGAACTCTTGTCCAGTCTTGACTTTGCACCTCAGATTGTCATCAATTGATAGGGCGGGTGAAAGCACTCTGATATCATGAAGATTGCAGATCGGAGGTTCCACGGCGACAACCTCAAAGCCTGGGCCCTTAATATACTGGAAGTCTCCAACTCGGCTTCCATGCAAAGACCCTCGACCTAAAGCACGTTCCGCCAACGGTCAACCTGGTTTGCTGCCGCCTAAGCTCGTAGCTTTCCTGCGTGTTTATCATCCGGTCCACTACCGTTCTTCCTAATATCCTCAATCAAATGGGGCCCTTCGAAGCCCACAGGCTATCCATGCTAACTGTGAGAACTAGGGTTTCCCGATATGTGAATCGAAGTGACCTTGTCATCCTCACTGGCCGTGGCGACCCATCACTTCGGGTGTACTACCCTCCTTTGGCTGATTCACTCCTTCTCTTGTGGGTGACCTTTTTTCTTCTTCTGACTGCCTCGTGTCTTTCGATGACCCCTGATTGGGTTTCCGTTCGTGTTGGAGCGTTCTCCACCCCTACCTCGCGGCTCTAGGGCGATCCTCAAGGTTCGCTTGTCCCTTCAATATTTCTTTTTTCCACGCGATGTTACCCATGTCCAGAAGGTATAACTAGAGCGTCGCTGCCGTCTTGGAAACCCTGCTTGGTATTCTCCCAAGACTTCACTGTCGAGATCAAGCCTTCTTGTCATTGCTTGGTGATCTTGGAAGATTCTTGGTCCGTTAAAAGCTATGTCGAACAACAAGACAGCTGGCGGGAACGCCGCGTTCCACAACTTTCACAATGACTTTGCTCACGTCCAGGACCCGAACGAACGAAGACGGTTGGCTCTCGCAGAGATCGACAAAGCCCCCTTTGGCTGGTACCATGTCCGAGCCATTGTCGTCGCCGGTATTGGGTTCTTCACCGATGCCTACGATATCTTCGCCATCAACATGGTGACCGCCATGTTGGGTGTTGTCTATTGGCAAGACGCCGCAACCAAACCCGGCCAAATCCCTTCCAACTCCGATACTGCCATCAAGGTTGCAACATCAGGCGGCACTGTTCTAGGTCAAGTCGGCTTCGGTTGGCTTGCCGATGTCGTTGGCCGTAAGAAGATGTATGGTCTCGAGCTCATCCTCATCATCTTCTGCACTTTGGCTCAGGCTCTTTCCTCCGACTCCGCCGCTATCTCTATCACGGGAATTATCATCTTCTGGCGAGTCATGATGGGTATCGGCATTGGTGGTGATTATCCTTTGTCTTCGATCATTACCTCTGAGTAAGTCTCTTGCGCTTCTCAAACGGGCCGAATTGTGCCTAATCAAAGATTCGCAGATTCGCAACGACCAAGTGGAGAGGTGCAATGATGGGCTCAGTGTTCGCCATGCAAGGCATCGGCCAGTTTACCGCTGCTATGGTTGCTCTTTGCGTCACCGCTGGCTTCAAAGAGTCTCTTCTCACCGCCAAGACCGTTTCCGCATGCGATGGAGTCTGCTTGCTTGCTGTTGACAAGATGTGGCGAGTGATCATCGGATTTGGCGCAGTTCCTGGTTGCATTGCCCTATACTTCCGTCTCACTATCCCCGAGACTCCTCGCTACACCTTCGATGTTGCCCGGGATACCGAGAAAGCCGTATCCGATGTCAAGGCCTATAAATCTGGGGCGCACGAAGGAAAGCCCGATGAAGTCAGCCGTGCCGGTGTCCTCCAGGATTCTCGCGAGCGACTCGCTGCTCCTAAGGCAAGCTGGGCTGACTGTAAGTTCTATCTTCCATTTTTGAGGGATGCACACTAATCACTCCCTAGTCTGGCGCCACTACAGCCAATGGAGGCACGGCAAGGTCCTCCTCGGAACAGCTGGGTCCTGGTTCTTCCTCGACGTCGCCTTCTATGGTCTCGGTCTTAACAATTCTATTATCTTGAGTGCAATCGGCTACGCCAAGGGCAGCAACGTCTACCATATCTTCCGCAACACCGCCGTTGGCAACTTGATCATCGTCTGCGCCGGCGCCATCCCCGGCTACTGGGTCACAGTCGCCACCGTCGACACTATCGGCCGCAAGCCGATCCAACTCATGGGCTTCACCCTCTTAACCATCCTCTTCGTCGTAATTGGCTTTGCTTACAACCACCTGTCGCAAAGCGGCCTGCTGGCACTTTACGTCCTATGCCAATTCTTCTTCAACTTCGGCCCCAACGCCACGACCTTCATCGTGCCCGGAGAATGCTTCCCAACACGCTACCGCTCCACTTCGCATGGCCTCTCTGCCGCATCCGGCAAAGTTGGCGCCATCATCGCACAGGTTGTGTTCGGACCTCTCCGAACCAAGGGCCACGCCACCGCCGACAACCCATCGCCGTGGTTGAACCACGTCATGCAGATCTTCGCGCTGTTCATGTTGTGCGGTATCTTCACCACCCTCCTCATCCCCGAGACCAAGCGCAAGACCCTCGAGGAACTTGCCGGCGAAGTCCCCGGAACACCCAACTATGATCCCGAGTCGTCTGGCCATCGCAAGGATTCTTATGTCCCCCCGACGAGTGAGACTCACTCGGGGGAGATCACTGAGACAGCAGAGAAGTCTGCTGTGTAAAGAATGACAAACTGGCACTTCGTTTAACCGCACTCGATCCTGTAGTTATTTCTGAGCGTGGGAGACCCGTCTGGGAAGAACACATCGGTTAGTCCGCAGATGGACCGATTGGTTTTCTCGGGAAGGAGCTTTACTTTAAAACTTGACTACCAAGTAACTGCCTACGTGGCTTTTTCTCTCTATTGACCACAATAAATCCTTAATAATACGGAAAGTCCTTAATTGGTATGCAGCTGTACTCAGGGCCTTTTATGAAAGACGCCATTGCAGGGAGACCCTTGCAAACGGATTCCGGGAAGGAGAAAGTGTCAGAATATCTGAGAACTCTCTCTGTCACGTTTTAATCAAGACTCCTTGTATGTTTGTGTGTTTGTGTGTTGTCGCCGCAGCCGACGAACTATAAATAATTGTGATTTCTTTTGATTTCAGGCTGTTTATTTTTCCTTATTAATTATGTTGATCGTTCGTCGATGTATCTTCGCGAGGTTTCTGTCTGTATGCAAGCTGGGTGGAGAGAGAGAGAGAGAGGGAGCGGGATACTCTGACTACATGTTCAACTAGACCACCATGTTTGGATAGATAATTAATGAATGGCCCCGGGGGTTTTCGGAATGCCGTCCATTCCGCCCAGCCCTGGAAAGCCAAGACCGCCATTCTTTCTCTACACGTTCCTGGGTTTCCTGAAATGCGCACCACGGCCGCGCTTCTCGAATTGCTTCATCTTGACGATGAAGGCGCCGCGCTCGATGGTGTTGACCAGGATGTTGCCGGAGGGGAAGCCGGCGTAGTGGCTCCAGGTGCCGACGTAGTCGATGATTCCGCCGTTGGGCAGGTGGTCGTCTTCAGGGTAGATGTCGAAGAAGGCGACCTCCGCGACGCCACCGCCGGTCGGGTCCGACGGGATGGAACTCACGTCGAGGACGCGGAGGCCCGCGCCGTAGTTGCTCTGGTAGCTGAGGCCGTCGAAGACGTATTGGTTGTGGTCGATGGAGTAGGCCTTTGATTTGTAGATGCCGGTTTGCTTCGGGTCCTCCAGGCTCGTGATGTCGAAGATGTAGGTCACGGGGAATCGGTCCGCGGCGGGACCGGTGTAGTACTCCTCGTCGAGCTCGTCGTCGATGAGGAGGTGGGTCTGCCAGTTTAGGTCGAGGACCCAGCCCTGGTGGGTGTAGCGGGCGCCGACGTAGGACGTCTTGGAGATGATGGTGGTGGAGTTGACGCCCCATTTGTCCGTGACGTCGTAGATGGTCAGGGTGTCTTCGTTGTAGCCGTAGCAGATTTCCTTGCCCTCGTACTTCTCGTCGGGCCCGTGGTAGATGACACATTGGGCATCATGCACGTATCCGTCCTGGCCAGCGCACCCGGGGGACCAGGGGTTGGCTGGATCCGTGGTGTCGACGAAGATTAGACCCGCCCGACACGTGCTGTTCCTTGGTTGAGCGCCAACCACGGCGACCCAATCGGCGCCCTCTGGCCCTTGCACGACGTTGTGGGTCCGCCCAACGGGCAGATCGGTAAATAATCCGGTGATATCGGCGCTGGTACTGAAGTTGACCGGGGCAGCAGGGTCGATGGTCAGCAGCTTGAGGCCATGTTAGACAAGATGGTTGCGAGGATGTGAAAATAGTCGGCTTGGGCGCTCACCTTTGTCCAATCAAATATTTGTACACCATGTCCCACAGCCTCGCTGCCAATGATGACATAGTTCTTATGAGACCGGATCTCTCGCCACTGGGAGAAGATGGATTGTTGAGGGAGGCGGCCGAGGTAGATGAGTTTGCCCTCCGGAGAGACTTCAGCAAATGCTGTCCCATCTCCCTGGCCGATAGCGACAAATTCCCGTCCATCATCGGAGACCCAACCCCAGGAGGAAGAGCCTTCGCCAATAAAGCTGCCAAGATCTGCATGGCTTTGGAAGTCGAGGAGATCAATCTTGAGAGATTAGCTAATCATTTGTGTTACACGCGGGCCTTGACATACATTGTTGCACTTGAATGTTTGGTTGGGATTGCCATGCTCAACAATCGCAAGGCCGTTCTCACATTTGGCTGGTGCTGTCAGAGCTGGGTACTTTTCGGAAGCATATTCGCCAGCAGCACGTTGTCGCGCAAATGAGGACTAGCCATGTTAGTTAGTCGATCGCGTAACCATCTTCTTCTGATGCCAAAATACCATCTTGGCGCCCATGAGCGTTTCGTGAACGAAGCCGCTTTCGTATTGTTCAAGCGTAAAGCCCTCTGCTTCAGCTCGAGGCAGCTCAATGGCGTTCGCCAACGCCGAAACCAGCAAGGCGACACTAAAAGACTTCATGGTAAGAGTTGGTATTGTATGTGGCCTCTCGTACTTTTCCGGCTGGGACGACTTCTTCGACACCACGCTCAAGAGACGGATTGATCGACTTTATAGCCGTGGCCACATCGTCGGGCATACAAATCTCCCTCGTAAGGATGTCACAACTTCTGTCCTGCGCCAAGCAGATACAAAAGGATGGGATGTTACATTGCCAGGTGCCCCAAGGGCACGATGAGATGCAATTGTGCAAGACCAAACTAGTAGTCGGAAGTGACCCCAGAACAGGAAGCTCCTCATGTTAATCTGTAGCTGTTGCGCATCGTTGACTTGTCACCGACCCGCATTCCATGGTCGGTCGTAGGCTGTAGCCCTTTTGAGTTCTGCACGTCGACCCTCGTCGAAGATAAGAACAGGAACTGGTAACACTGACGAGGGTGGACAGTGTGTTTTGAGCGAATGAGACAACATCACAAGACACATTACCAACCTCGTGCCATGGTTAACCGTTGTTTCCCTTACCTGATAGCATCTATGATTCATGTCTTGGGCTCTTGGAGAAGATGGAGATCCCGCGTTTAAAGTCATCCGAGGCTACGATCTGGCTTGATGATGGTTCGCGGATGTGGCGACACAAGGCTTTGCGGGGACTGCCAATTGAATTAGCAGCAGTCGTCATACTGATTCTGGAAGGTCGTGATAGGCCCCCTCCCTTGGCGGAATGGCGCGTTCTTGCACTCTAGCGAATGACGCTCCTCACATTGCCAACTTTTCGCAAGATCGGGGGGAGGACCGGGAGCTTGGCATTTTCTTGGTGTTGATAGCAGCGTAACATTTCGACGTCTCAAAACAGGTTCCAGGGAAATCCTCCGCCGAATCAATCAGTTATTTAGGACCGCCGCTTTGTGAGGATTGCTTTCCTTGATACTATGCTTAATATTCTTAATGGTGTGTCTCCGGACGCGCCATTCTCGGGGCCCTTGTTTTCTCCCACGCGTTTTCTCGTCTCCCAGGCCGTTGCAGGCTTCCTGGAGTCTTCCTAAGGCCGCATACTTGCTGATGTCGCTTCCTGATATGTGCAGGAATCGGGTGCAAATGGTGTCAACTCCTGCCCCTTGTTTGACACCAACAAGCCATGCGGGCATTGATCCATACCCAGTCATCCAACACTCGCTGTTGTCTACCTCGCCCTGGTAGTCGCCACGGATTCTTCGACACCGAGGATTGGCCCCCCATCGCGGGGGAAACTTCTTTTCGATAGTGATGATTCTGATAGTTGAAGAGATCGAAACATAGCGCACTGACGAGCCGAGTCACCACCCCGTAGGCTTCCAGAGTAGCTGCTCCCGCCACTGCACAGTGCAAGTTTGTACCACAGATTACTGATGTAAATTGAGCGTTGTCAGGATCCTGAAGTACATCCGGGCGCCCTAGATACTTCCGAGCGAGTAGTGTGAGGCACATACTCGGCGTGAGCGCGGCCGGGCGACAACATCGACGGTGTATGTCGTGACTCCAGCGCAATCTTCCATGCTCCTCTCAATTCTTCTGCATCACACAGTGGAAGGTGTTGCAGATTTGGCATCGCTCTGCACAGTGAGCCTAGCGCCACAGGCTGATGCGTCGGTCCATTCTGCCCTTCCGCAAAAGAGTCATGTCACTTGTGTGGTAGAATGGACCAACCCGTACCGTAGGTGGCTGAGCGCGCCCATTCTCACACCTGGAGCAGCCTTGCTTATGGTTAGAGTACAGTAGCTCCTGGATTCATCACACCGGCGCGTTCAGCTCAGAGCTTCAACGTATGGTTGTCAGGGTCCAAGCGCTTGTTATTTCCCTGCCACTGCTCGGGCGATCGGTGGCTGGGAAATGATGTGCCAACAACGAAGAGGAGGCTGTAGCGCTGCTGGTGGCGACCGCCATACAAAGTTAGGCTTGATCCACAGAAGCGGACTCATGGACTGTATAGAATGAGCTCCCCCATTGGCGAACTGACACACCCGTCTTATGACAAATGCCACCTTTGGAAAGGACGAGACTGACCCTGAAGACCAACCGCCAAGCCTGGTCGCGGGGGTGGTCGCTCTCGTCTCGGTCTTCTGTTGCAACTTGCTGCCTCAGACGAATATAGACGTCATGCCGGCCTTGCCAATAATTACGTCCAGGCTACACCTCCCACTTTCGGGCAGCTTAGACTTTCGCCTGCACTTCTCCCGGCCTCCTTTTCACACCGTCAGCTCTCAGTCGAGCTTTCCGATCAGCGCGAAAGGTCCGGTCGAGGTACCTCACTAACTCCAGGTACCAAGCGGGATACCGAGGAATGACCAGAGGTTGACGAGCATCCGCAGGCGTGAGCGCTCACAACTCAAATGTCCAATAGAAGGCAGACGTGCCCTCAGCAGCCATCTTCACTGGCTTTATCAGATCTCAGCCTATGTCTTACTAGGTACATGTGTCCGTCCCCTCACGGACTATCTCGCCATGACCGAAGGTGGGTGGGGTGGGGTTGCAGCGTGTCACTGAATAATGGGTGCATAATCGACAGAAATGGAAGCTCTACAGAGACCAGGTCACTGGCTTGCACCGACTTGCACTGACTTGCAGGGTTCCTCTCGATATCCAGGATATGGATTCTTCCACCCCACGAAGCGTTCCCTTGATTGGGGCTGTTCTCAGCTCTGGCTGCAGCCAAGACGACTATACCAGCGGGGTACCTGTTAAGCCGCTCATCCTCCTCAAGCTCATCACCTAACCGAGTATAGCTGTCGAGCTAGGCGTCATCCTCTACCACCTCTGATCCAGGTCTACGGAGTATGATGGTACCTATGCCGGAAGAATGCAGGTACAGTCTTACACGTTGCCGACGCTGACCGTCTATTTGTCCGACATGAGAGCTTCCGCCTATCGCTGCATCAGCAAACCTCCCCCAAGTGAGGTAGGATGTGCATTGTTAGCTTCGAAATCGAGGGCTATCCTAAGCTCCTGCTGCTTCCATCTCCCGCTTTTCCAGATCCTGGTGTGCTATGAGCTCTCTATTCGTCCACGTGGAGCTTTGCCTGGTGTAAATTCTGCTTTGATCAGTGCTCGCGTTCAAAGATCGCATGGTGAGAAGGGTGCCATGCATGCACGGTCTGGGGTTTAAAGCTTGCGCAAAACCCCAGCGGTTCTGGCCGTCCTGCTTTACTTTTGTTCTGAGGTTTGGCTGACCAACTCAAATCTAGGTGTGAACTGATCACCCTTGACTCAAAATGCACAGTACAGTCAGTAGCCTCGCCGTGTTGGCTGCGGCCAGCTCTTTGGTGGCTGCCATCCCACTTGACCGCCGCCATTACCCAGGACAAGACTATCTTGTGTCTCTTGGTCCTCGTCCATACTACCTCGTGCACAACGTGAGCGAAGGCGCACTGAAGGACAAACTGTTATCCTGTCAAAATAAGCCTGTTGGAATCCAGCCTTTTAGCATCGGCCATCGAGGGGGTGGCACTCTCCAGATTCCCGAAGAGACAGTGGAATCCACTCTTGCTGGTGCGAGAATGGGTGCTGGCGTCTTGGAATGCGACATCTCTTTTACTTCAGATCGTGGTTTGGTGTGCAGACACTCCCTCTGCGACTTACACACAACCACGGACATCCTTCTCAGGCCGGAGCTAGCTGCGAAATGCACCCAGCCTTTTACTCCAGCGAACGCAACCGCCGATGCCGATGCTCTATGCTGTACTAGCGACATCACCACGGCAGAGTTCCTGTCTCTTTGCGGCAAAATGGACGGATTCAACGCGAGTGCAACAAATGTGGAGGATTATCAGCACGGCACTCCGTCCTGGAGGACAGACCTTTACAACACCTGTGGTCAGGTTCTGACATACCCCGATTGGATTGACCTGGTCGATTCATTGCCAGGACATCGCAGCTTCACACCCGAGCTCAAGACTCCTCCGGCGGCCGTGCCCCTTCCATTCAATGGGTACACCCAAGCACAATATGCGCGGGACGCAGTCAAAGTCATGATTGAGAAGAACATCGATCCAAGCCGAGTATGGCTCCAATCTTTTACCCCTGCCGACATCTACCTTTGGCTGAACGAGTTTCCTGCATATGGGAAACAGGCAGTCTATCTCGACGAGGATGGTGACGCTCCAGGCAATCTCACCGTTGCAGTCAACCGTCTAGGAGCACTGAAAGCTAGCGGTGTCAACATTATTGCTCCCCCCATCAATTATCTGCTGAACATCGGTGGCCCTAACAACGATACCATCATTCCCTCCTCCTATGCCACGACAGCCAAGGCAGTTGGCCTTGATATCATTGCGTGGACATTTGAAAGATCAGGACCTCTCGCCAAGGTCGAGGCAACCGAGGAGTATTATTACTCATCGATTGCGCCGGTCACTCACTACGACGGACAGGCATATGATGTGCTTAATGTCTTGGCTCACGAAATTGGTATCATAGGCATGTTCTCCGACTGGTCTTCCACGGTCACCTATTATGCCAATTGTTTTGATCTGTAGTGGTCTGATCCGGGCTGGTCCAGCTTGCTCACCTTGCTGCTGACGATCACACCCGGTCTACGATCCCAACATCTAATATCGCTAATGCTGTTACGCCAGTTTTAATGTATAGTCCCGCAGGGGTATAAATAGTCAGCTACAGATGAAACCAAATTTCGGTCCGGGCTTAGCTTGGGGCTCGGCGTTTGCCATTAATTACCCGATATCTGCCCAGTGTCCAGTGTCCACTGCCCACACACCAGTGACACCACTACTTCGTATTTTGTGATCCGTGCACGCACGTTGCCATTTAAACAGCGGGCCTTTGATTTTCTCGTCGAATGAGCATGTTGCTCCCATGCAGCTGGGCAGGACCAAAGCTTGCGCGGGGCCGTTGGGCCAATTGAACCAATCTCCAGGAAACCCTCGCACGTCCACACAGTAAAGCCTGGGGTTTGGGTTTCTAGAAATTGAAGAAGATAAGATCTCTGGGTTTCAACCAATACTTGAACTCCAGCCGCTCACGTCGGCTGAACCAAACTTTATTCCATGATGGTTGCGCAGTTAAAAGCTCGTCGCACCTCCAGCATGGCTGCCCACCGGAGGCAGGCCTGGCCCACGGCTGGCTCATGACGATCATGAAGTATGTTAATTCGAGGGTTGCTGTTGTGCTCCTCTTTTCGTTGATCGCCGCTCTCCTGTTCCAACTGCCAGGCTCTCAAAGATGGCTCAGTCTCACCACTGGCAAGCACGAGGAACCTCGATGGCTCATAGCCGCGATGTCGGCCGCTACCTCTCAGCGCCGGCGAAATATCATTCGGGCAACCATGGGCAAAGCATATTCAAACCCTTCCTTCACCCTTCGTTTTGTCATTTCGAACCCAGGCGATATGTGGTTGCCGGTCATAGAACATGAGAACAAGACGTTCGGAGACATCATGATGCTACCGCATTTGGAAGAAACAGGTCATCTGGCCAATACAGTCAAATCAGTCGAGTGTCTGAAGCATATTGTCCACTCCGGCGAGACTTGGCAATTCGTCTCGAAGATGGACGATGACTCCTTCGTCGCACTTCCTACTTTCTACCGCCTCTACCTGGAACCTCTGTTGCTTGAACAAGCTACCACCACCACCACCACCACCACCACCACCACCACCACCACCAGCCCTGGCCATGCCGTAATCGGCCGTCGACTTCAAGGCGAAAGACCGTACCCGTACCCCGGAGGCCAGTTTTACACACTATCTTGGGACATGGTCAACGCGATTGTAAGACAATACGAGGCCTATCCGGTCCAAGACGAGGATGAAGACGTCCTCATCGGAAGGCTCTTGAGCGAGGCAGGTGTAAACTTCGATGTTACAGAACTTGAAAACCCCGTGGCATTTGACTATGATGCCGAAAATGACGACAAGTGGGCGTGGTCACACAATATTACAGAGGAATCCATCAACCCCCACCGACTGAAAGCTGATGCTGTTTACCTTGACGTCGCCGCCCAGATGCTCGCCCTGCATCCCAACTGATTCACAACTCGAAGAGAATGGAAATAATCTGCCGTCTGTGGACCGAGAGGCAAGAATCCTTTTTGATAGATTCTGATATATGAGACAGTGGGTGCCGACTACAAGGGACGACAGCCGCCCAGGCGCCTCTCTTCTCTCTTTCGGTGGCTTTTATAATGTCTCCTTTTGGCCTGGCATTCAGCATCTATGCTTCGTCAACCAGGAACTCCGCAATCGCAATACTCATATCGAGACTCATGTCCAATGTTTGCAGACGGTTCAATATCGCCGACTTTGCCGTGCCTTTCTTGGCATCGACGACCTCCCAAATCTCGTCTTTCAAAGTGTACCCGATCTGGGCACTCCTGATAATAGGTTCAATGAGCGATGTGATAACGTCTTCTTTGCATAAGTCCAGTTGTGGATCGTTCAAACCCAGCTCTACCGTCACGTTGGCTCCTGCCGGCACTTCACCAATGTCGATCAGGACACCATTGCTTACTTGCGAAACTTTGGCCTTGCTGTCTTCCACGGGCCCCGAGCCTTTAATGCCGATCTTCCCAACCTTTGTCAAGCCCACAAGGCGCAGCGACCATCCCCGAGATTGTGTATTGGTGCCTGATGCCTTGCCTGATTGTTGGATCTCGACCGTTCCTTCTTTCTGAGTATATACTATGGTGGTCTTGTTCCAATCAACATTCTTTGCCGGTCGGCCTTGAGATTCGCCCTCTTCTAAAATTTCAAAACGGCCATCAGCCCCGACTGCGATGATGACTTCGAAACCGCTAGGGTTTTCTGCTCCATTGGTCGGCTTGAGGGTGTGGTCCAAGGGGACAATCGATCCTTCTCTCAGGAATACAGGATATTGCTCCAACGGTCGACTGATCCACAGCTCACGGTCGCCGTTATATGCAATTCCTGTAAAGAAGTCGACGTATTTTCCGGGTGGCAGCCACCCTTTGGTCTTGGAAAGTCGTACGTGGGGGTTCAGCGGTGCTGTGATCGGGATAACCATCAATTCGGTCCCGAAAAGGTATTGGTTCTTGTACTGGTATGCCTCTTTCCGTCTCGGATATTCCCAGTACATGGGCTGGACGAGAGGCTCGCCTTCAATAGCAGCCCTTGCATTCATAGAGTGTAGATACGGGATCAACCTATGCCTCAATCTTAGCCAATTGACCATGATGTCCCCGAGATACTGCGGTAGATTCCAAGGCTCTTTCCCCATCCACCGGCTCTTGGTCGAGTGGAGTCGCATGATCGGGGACAGGACCCCAAGCTGCGTCCAACGGACAAGTAGCTCTTCGTCTCGCACTCCCATCATGTGCCCGCCGATATCATGGCTCCACCAACCGTAGCCAACGTTAGACGCCGTCGCAGTGAACTCAGGCTGGAACTCCAGGCTCGCCCACGACACGACCGTGTCACCGGAAAATCCGACCGGGTATCGATGACTACCTGGGCCCGCATAGCGAGAGAATATCAAAGGATGCCTGTTCGGGTTGCGCTCCGCGTTGTGCAGGAAATGATAGTGGTTGAGCATCCACAGCGGATCGATGCCCTTCAGGCGCGAGTACGGGCCTTGCTGCCAGTCGATCCACCAGAAATCAACGCCGTCGTCCTCGAGCGACTTCAGCAGCACGTCGAAGTACGCCTTGACGAACGTGCGGTCGGAGATGTTGAATGGAACGGGGTCCTTGTGCGCCGTCGACTGCCCGACCGCCTTGGCCATCTTCTCGTACATGTCCTCGTAGCTGTGGATTCCATCCGCCGGGTGTTCGTTGAGAGTCGCCTTGAGCTTGAGCTTGTGCAGCTGGTCGAGGAAGTTCGGCGGGTCCGGGAAGAGGTCTTTGTTCCACGTGTAGCCCGTCCAGCCGGTCTGCCCGGCCTCGTGCACGCGCGGGTCGTCGACGAGGTGCCAGTCCATGTCGATGACGCCCACGCAGAGCGGTACCTCGGTCTCCTGGAACTTGTCCATCAGCGCGAGATATGACTCGGCCGAGTATTCGTAGTATCGGCTCCACCAGTTCCCCAGCGCCCATCTCGGCAGCAAAGGCGGGGGCCCAGAAACCGTGTACAACGCTTTGATTGCCGCCCGGAAATCATGGCCATACGCAAAGACGTACCCATCGATCCGCCCGGGCCCAGCACGCCTGGGAGCCACGAAGCCGTCCTTCTCGAAGAGGAACGACTCTGAATCGTCGATCGACGCAAATCCCAGTTCAGACACGATTCCAAGGCCCATGTCGATCCGCCCGTCGACCTCGTCCAGCGTACGCGCCGTGCCGCCCAGGTTCCAGCGTGAAGTGTCCTCCCCATATCTCCACGGCGCACGCGTGTCTCCCACGACGATGGCGAACAGCCCATACGGCGTGAATTCCTGCTTGTCGTACGTGAGGTGGAACCTGCCGGTGAAGATCTCCAGGCTGCTGTCTGTCTCTCGGACTTTGAAGTCGGGCACCGGCTGGCCGCGGTGCAGCGCGAATGAAGATGGTCGGTCTTCGAATTTCCCATCCGGGGCCCATTCGTAGCGCAGGAGGCCGTCGAGAAGCACCGTGAATCTGTACTTGCCGTCGCCTCCTACGATGGAGGAGCGGCTCCCCAAGGCGTCTCTGTTGCTACCGCCTTCTTGGGAGATCCTCATATTGATGACCATGGCTCAGCGGGGCCGGCGGCGGCAGCGATGGTTCCAAGTTTATTCGGAAAGCACAGCAAAGCAGTTCAGTTGGTCAAAATATGAGGAAGGATGCTATGAAAATAGCAGGCTGTTGCGGAGAAAGCGAAGAAGCAGGCCGGGGGCAAAGGCTGGGTTGCAGACCGTAAGCTTTAATGGTGGGAATGGTGTAGAATTTACATTGTATTGGGTAACATTTCGTTGCCTGGATTGGAAGAAACTCAATGCCGCCGAGGAGACGATCTCTTACGAAATGGGAGTCCTTTCGACGCGTATGACTCACGGGAGATTCACCGAGCTGCAGTTTGCAATTGCTACTGCATACTACTGTCTTGGGGGACCTGCTCGAGGATGTACTCTTTCTCCACCATATCGACTTTCACACAGATGTCGGTCCGAGTTCTGTCGCCTACGCTACTTAAATAGGCTATGTATCAGCTAGCGGAGAAAGCAATAATCAGCATTCATTTGTTCCCACTGTCCGATTATGTTCCTTGGTATGGTCGTTTTCTACAAACCATGCTACTTGGACTTGTTCCTCATTTCTCCTCCAGGTTCGTTGTCGCCGTGGTAGTTGGCTCCAGCTGAATGGCTTTCAGATTCTCCGAGCGGAATGGGTCTGCTTTGACCTTCAAAAAGCGACGGGCACTGACTTTCTGCTCAAAGAGAACATCTAGCTCGTTGGCACTTAGCCCCTTTGTCTCAGGGAGACGGTAGTAGCTCCAGATCCAGGATATCAACGCGAATCCACACCAGATGAAGCCGCCTTTCCCACGGAGGTTCCACGCGCTCGGGTTCAGGATGGGGTTGTTCAGGAAGTTGGCGCCAATACTTATAATGTTGTAGCAATTCCTGGCCAGAGCAACAGTCTTGATTCGCAATCGTGTGGACGGAATCTCGGTGACCAGGCAGTAGCAGACAGGACCTACCGTCACGTCGTAAGTGAAGGTAAAGAGATATAGAAGCGAACCCGTCGCGTAAGCAATGGTATCGCTTGGGCGGGGGATACCCAAGAATCCAACGATCACAAGGATAGTAAAGTTGATCCCCAGACCGTACAGGTAGAGAGTCCGACGGCCGACATACTGCATGATCCACCAAGCACAGAGCGTGCCAACGAGAGCGACGGCGTTGTGTCCGAGTCCAAAGTCGAAGGATTTGCGTGCGTCAAATCCCGCTTGTTGGAGGAAATAAATAACATTTCCACCAAACCAGATTCCACAGGTAACCTGTATCATCCAGACACAGCAGGTGATCTCTGTCCGTCGAATGTCGATCCCAGTAAAGCAGTGCTTGTACGATGTACCGGCGGAAACTGCCCTCTCATGAGCATTAGTATGGATGATCATCGCAATGTGGTGGTCGACATTATAGTCGGTATCCTTGGCGTTAACGAGATTCTTCAGCACCCTTCTCGCTTCATCGATTCTATCCTGTCGAACGAGGTACCAGGGGGACTAATGTAGATATCTGGGTTAGTCTACTGCACGGTTGTCGGCTAGAGTAGTTTGGTATTGGTCACTAACCTCTGGTGCTAGAATAACGCCCACAATGACAGGCAATGGCCAAATCCTTCATCTCAAAGGTTAGCGGCGGACGTAAATCCCGAGATGTCCAGATTTGGTTCTACTAACCATTGAATTGCGTAAGGGATGCGCCAGCCCCATTCGTCGGTACGGTGGAGAAGTCCTCGAAGAACGCCGGCGGAGATCAACTGGCCCATGACCCACTAGTCTATATTAGATCCCTTCTTTTTCTCGTCAAGATAAGGATTACGACAAGCTGACTTACACACATGTTGACATACGTGGTCAAGAAGGGACGCAGGGGTGCGGGACTGATTTCAGCGGCATATGTGGTTGTCAGGGTCTGGAAGGCACCCCATGGCAGTCCGCAAAGAAGACAACCTGCGAACAGCATTCCGATGTTTTTTGCGAAGAAGGTAAGAAAGATCTGTCGAGTGGAATGTCAGCATCTCTCCGGCTGGACGCCGACAGTAAAGCCCTGTCAATTTCCCGCGGCTGCAAAGGTTGATCGGTGCATGTCGGGCTCCATGGCGGGATAGCAAAGAGATCACCTACAAATGATATCATCATAATGTGGGCGCCGAGGATAGTCTTTTTGTAGCCAAATTTCTGAGCATCAGTACCCGCTATCCACAAGCCAAAGATTTCCCCAACCTGAATGACACCTTGTCAGTTGTGGGACTTCTTGAAGGATCCTGGGCCCCAAAATGCTGGAAGACTTACTTGCACCCCATTTTGAAGCCCAGACTGCCAGGAGGCGCTCAACTGATATGAGCCATCAGGGAGCTGATGACCGAACTTTTCCCGGAACGTCGGGTATCCAAAAAATGAACCTAATAAAGAGGTATCGTAGCCTTTAACAAAATATTAGTGGCAGTGTCTGTCTTAGTTGAAGTATTGCTCTGAAAATCACAGTGCATGCCCCCCAATCTAACGACCTTGCTTACCTTCCATAACAAGTGATAATGAGATGATCATGGAGAATGCCGCCGCCTTTGGATACATGCGAATTGCTTGCCACAAGGTCATCTCGTGCTCGTACTGGGTGCCTTGCTGGGCATCCTGAGTAAGGTTGCCGAAGTTGTCCACCGTCTCAGCCATCTTAGCAAAGACCCCATCGTCCAATCGTGCGGTCTCTAAGAACCTGCGTTGCTCAACATGTTCAACAGCTGACGGAGCCATGGCAGTTGACTTCGCTCGAATGCGAAGGAAACAAATGAAACTACGTCTAGCTAATATGTCTGTGGAACTCGCGGGACGTTGAAACGAAGTCGGTGGAAGGTGCCAAGGACGTGTAGATAGAGGTGGTGAATAGTGCTGGCTTATATACATTAGAGCTTCTGATCGTCTGGTCGCCCCCCACACATGGACGCGGCGTAACCCATGTTGGTGATCTCCAAGTTTAGACGACCTGGGGCCCCAGATCTCGCTGAAGACAATCCAACGGAAAGGGAAGCATGGAACGCGGTTCCCAGGGTTCGTTCGAGTATGAAAAGAGGGTTGGCTGATGTTGCGTTGGTGACTTGCGAACCCGGATGCAACTCTGTCGTACTCTTACCCAAAATGGCTCTATCAACGCAGATCAAACATGCAGAAGGCCAAAGCATTGTACGGCGTTTTGTGCGGAGAATATGTATCCAGGCCCATTCACTTTGCCTCTTCTGGGTTAATCGTGTAAGGGAAAGCACAAGATCTTGTTCTGGTCAAGTCAGAATAAGCATTAGCCGTAGCAGGGCGATTCGCTCAACTCCCTGCCTTCTCCGAATATGAACATCCTTTAGCGGTAGCATCCACCAACTTCTCCGCATTTTCAGATGGATGCTGCTGTAACATGGGGCAGCCTGTTCGAGCTTCGGGGATATCGGGCCCCGAAAGCACCTCGGGGAATACTGGCCTTCCCAATGATGTTGGGTTTAGAAGTTACGCTAACGAAACGAGGACAACAAGATAGGGAACGGAAATCCTGCTGGTAGCGGTCTACCATAATGCATGAATGTTGCAGGTCTGATTTAGGAGGTAATCAATTTACCACCATCAAGTTGATGCCAAAGATGTCCAAGCCGAGGCTCCAAATACTGGCCCAGCTGTCCAGGGATTCACAGTCTCGTAGATTGATGTCACAAAGGGTTAAGGCGCTCCCGCCGTTCGGAGCGTCAATTTGATTGGGCAGAAGTACTGATGACCTACTAATGGCTTGCATGCGAGCCTGAGTTTGAGCGGAAACATAATGACGGAGGATTGCTCCTCTATCGCCCAAGGCTGAAGGATCGGACTTCTGGAGAAAGACAGGCAATACTAGGCCCGAATTAAGGAGCTTTTCCTCACGCCAAGCGCGGCCGGAACAGGCGAGATGAGTAACACAATTACTGCCTAAAGGGGAAACCGTAATAGATATGTCTGGGACTTGGCGATTTTGTGCTGTTTGTTTAAGATACGTGATATTCGACGGCCTCATACCTGGGCAGACTGCAAACATTCTCTATCTTCCCCTTCAACAACAGAAATGCGCAGTGCTCAGAGATTTCGGCGAGAACTTACTACTGGCTCCATTGACGCTTGAAGCCTATGCGATCAATGAATTGCGAGGAGAACACCTGCCGATCTTTGAGCAATGTTTACCTTTACTCCCTTGCTGGGATCGCAGTCTGGTACTCGAGCCTCTCAGTCCCTTCTCGAGCTTGATGGTGGTGTCAAGGTTCTGGTCGATGTCGGGTGGGATGAGCGATTTGACCCTCGGCAGTTAGCTGAAATAGAGAAACATGTCTCAGCTCTATCTTTCATCATTCTTACCCATGCTACCACTTCCCACATCGGTGCTTTTGCCCATTGTTGCAAACATATTCCACTCTTCACTCAGATCCCTGCCTACGCTACCGCGCCTGTCATCGCGTTTGGGCGTACCCTCCTACAGGACCTTTACTCTTCCACGCCCTCAGCCGCCACGTTTATTCCCGGTTCAGACAATGCTGGCGCAGAAGATAAATCTCGCTCTACCATTCTCCGCCAGGCCCCTTCCTTCGAAGAGATCAACAAATACTTTTCACTCATCAATCCCTTGAAATATTCACAGCCACATCAACCCACTCCATCTCAGTTCTCCCCTCCGCTGGAAGGCCTGACGTTGACGGCCTATAATTCTGGTCATACACTTGGTGGTACGATATGGCACATACAACATGGCATGGAATCAATTGTCTATGCAGTGGATTGGAATCAAGCAAGAGAGAACGTCATAGCAGGAGCGGCGTGGTTCGGTGGAGTTGGAGGCGCCGAAGTTCTCGAGCAGCTGCGCAAGCCAACGGCACTTGTGTGCAGCAGTGTTGGTGCAACAAGAGTCGCTCTCTCAGGCGGTCGAAAGGCTCGAGATGATGCACTACTAGGACATATCAGAAGCAGCGTTTCGAAGAATGGCACAGTACTCATCCCAACGGACTCCAGCGCCCGTGTTCTAGAGCTGGCTTGGATCTTGGAAAAGGCGTGGTCCGATGAGTCCAATGCGCCTTTTCTCAGAAACGCAAAAGTGTACATGGCAAGCAAGTCCGGCAATGCCACTTTAAGACACGCGAGGAGTCTATTGGAATGGATGGATGACAGCATCGTTCGAGAGTTTGAAGGCGAGGACGAGAATCCCACTCGAGTTCAGACTCATAAGAGAAGCGGCAGTAGGCAGGTCAACGGTGCGTCGAAGCCAACCAGGCCATTTGAATTCAAGAACGTCAAGATTGTCGAACGGAAAACTCAACTCGAAAAGTTATTGAAGTCGGAAGGTCCCAGGGTTATTCTTGCCAGTGATTTGACTTTGGACTGGGGCTTTTCGAAGACGCTATTGATGGAAGTTACACAGAGGCCTGAGAACCTCATCATCTTGACCGAAAGAACAGAGCTCAACTCTACGGTCTTTAACACAACCCACGAACTCTGGAAGTGGTATGAAGAGCGTCGCGATGGCGTTGCTTTGGAGCGTGCGCCTTCTGGTGAGCAGCTGGAGCAAGTTCACAGCGGAGGCAGGACACTCCAGCTGAGCATTTCCGAGACGGCCACATTGAGTACGCAAGAGAGTCAACGATATCAACAATATATGGCCACGCAGCGACAAATTTGGGACTCGCTCGTTCCCCCAAGTGAGAGAGACGGAGCTGGCGCTGAAGATAACCTGGATGATGAATCCAGTTCCTCGTCATCGGATGAATCAGATGATGAGCAGCAGGGCCGTGTGTTGAATGTATCCTCTGCTTTGGGCCACGGGGCGCGGAGCAAGCTCGCTTTGAGCGACGCCGACTTGGGAATCAGTATTTTGTTGCGGAAGAAAGGTGTTCACGACTATGACGTTCGAAACAAAAAAGGTCGAAATGCTCTCTTTCCCTACACACACGCGCGGAGGCGTGGAGATGAGTTCGGCGACTTCATCAAGCCAGAAGATTTCCTAAGAGAAGAAGAAAAGGAGGAACAAGATGCTACCAGAGATGAAAAAGGTGGTGGGTTTTTGGGGCAGAAGCGGAAATGGGATGACGCGAACAACAAGAAGGAAAACCAAAACAAACGATTTCGTGGTCACGTACCTCGTTCTACAACCCCCGGTGAAGAAGACTCTGACTCAGAAGAATCGGAAACAGAAGATCACATCGAGGCCGAAGGCATCCAAGGCCCTGCGAAGCTCGTATTTTCCACGACGGATATTTTAGTAAATGCGAGACTTGCATTTGTCGACTTTGCGGGGCTGCACGATCAGCGAAGCCTGCAAATGTTAATCCCTCTTATCGGACCCAAGAAACTCATCCTGGTGGGAGGAAGCAGTCAAGAGGTTCTTTCGCTAGCATCAGACTGCAAAGAGCTCTTGGGCATCAAGGTCGTGGGTGCCGAGGATGAGCCATCTACCGAGATATTTACTCCTTCTGAAGGTCAGCTCATTGATGCGAGCGTCGATACCAATGCATGGATTGTCAAACTCAGCCGTGATCTTGCGAAGACCCTGCAATGGCAGAATGTCAAGAATATGGGGGTAGTGACCCTACAAGGCCAGCTCAAGGTAGATGGCCAGGCCTCGAACTTACACGATGATCCTCAAATGAAAAAGCAGAAACTGGACACTGAAACATCCCTTCAGACGGCGGCCTCCAGGAGGACTGGTCCTGAACCCCTTCTTGACGTCTTACCACCAAGCCTTGCCGCTTCCACACGACCTGTCACACAAGCAATCCATGTAGGCGACCTCCGTTTGGCTGACTTGAGAAGGCTCATTGCCCTAGAAGGCCATCTCGCAGAATTTCGAGGTGAGGGCACGCTACTAGTCGACGGAATGATTGCAGTGAAAAAACTTAGCAGTGGGAAAATAATTGTGGAGGGGGTTGCGGTCAATGCCATGACTCCGAAGGCTGCCGACAATTTCACAAGAGTGAAGCAAAAAATCTATGACGGATTAGCAGTGGTTGCCGCTGGATGAATCATGAGAAAGTCTTTTATTCATGGGTCAGCTCTACAATCATCAGCTACTTCCGCTCTATATGACTATGTTCAGCATGACAACGACGCCAACGTGAAGCCTTGCTGAAACAAATCTTGCATTATTCTGTTCGACACCTTGATGACTGCAATTGCATCTTCGTTTGCTCGCCCGTGAACTAAACCGAGTCGCGTCCATCATACAAATGAGCGCATGGCAGTCATCCCTCTGATGTGTCTGGACCGTGGTGACGCAGCAAAGCTCAAGACTACAAATATGTGTGGTCATCGCTCTTCTTCGATATACTGCTTTCCGCAAAGATATCTCGACGACCTCGTTTGCAAGTTCTGAATCGGAAGAACAACCAACTTTCTGGCAGCCTCAGCTATGGCTAATCCATTCTGCCACCCTTTCGCTTTGCCGCCGATGGCTCCGCCGCCTGGTTTTGCTGGAAAGACACAGTACAATTATTATACCAAAGATGGTGGACCTCCAAACCAAGGCAAGCCCCCCGGTCCTCCTGCTCCTACAGGAGCACCCCCGCCGTACTCTTTCCTTCCACAAGTCGGGCCGCACCCAGCAGCCCAGCCTGGGCCATTCGTCGTCCCTCCCCGCGCGGCAAATCCTGGTATGGTCTGTTTTCCGAACGGTGGCCCTCCACCAGCACCAGCACCTCCACAGGCTCCAGATTTGGTTTGGATTCCAGCGGCGCCCGCTCCTCCAGTAGGACCAGCACTGTTACCTGCATGCTCCCAAATTGCACCGACACCTGCGACTGTTGCACAAGCAGCTGCTCGAGGCCCAGAGCCTCCTGTTACAGGGAACAGAATCAAAGACAGCTTAGTGATACTGAGGGAGAGTGGAGGCGCCGGCTATATTGCATCCAAAAGTAATGCAACATTTCACGTCTTCAACAGAGGTATCTTGTCAGTCTACACGCCTGATGTCAACAGAAAAATCAGCATTCCCGCCCACGCCAATGAAAGCTTCCAGATCCAGATAGCGGCATGCTCAATGCCTCTGCAGGAATTCATTGAACAACTGGATTGTATCAAGGACGCGCCAGCGAGCTTTCCTCGATCGGCGATAGGGATTGCGCAATTGGTAGACCACGGTGATGGGTGTTTTGAGGTGGGGAGTAGATTCATGCTGGACGAAGATTGTTCGAAGTCGACGATCGGGCAGATCTTTGGCAATGTTGGAGAAGCTGGCCTCGCTCGACCAGTATACTTGACAAGGCTTCCGTGAGTTCAGAGACATGCATTAATTTGCTAGCATACAATGCTGACTGTAAGCAGGGGAAAGATGAATTGAACCATCCTATCCAGATTTACCGGACGATATGATGCGTTGGAAACTTCCAAACTACTGGTGGTCTTGGATTTCGAGCAGAAACTCGGCTTTGACAATTGCTCATCAGCAATACAGACCTATGGTAGACTGATCCAGCAACGCCGCTTCGCTCTGTGCATTTGACTTTCTACGACCGAGAGGTGGCCACGCCAACAGTATCAATCTGAAGTGGGTATCTATCAGTTCACAGCGGCATCAGCACCGTGATTGAGAAAGATTACTGGGGGATCCGTTAGAGAAGTCATAGTTCTTAGTGTGCCGTCGCGGCAGACGCCAATGAAGGAATTGATGACTTTAGCTTGGGTACTCGGTACTGGCCTGGGTCAATATGCGGCGATTGGTAGATAGCTTGATTGTGCTACATCCATCAAGGGTCTGCATGAACACAAAGATTGCTAGAAATCGGCTCCTACTGGCTGCACGGCTGGAATTCCTCAATATGGTCTAGGCTGAACCTCGTGAGCGCGACCATGGACAGCCCGAGCCCGTGGAAGTATGATAATGACAAGTAATAATCGCTTTGATTGTCTTTCCCCCATTTCGTCGGAAGATCTCAGCCATGCGGTTTATCAACAATCTCTGTTGCCTCTTTGGGATACGCACCAGCCTCGGCGTAGATATACCCCACATTGAGCAAAGTTAGTGGGGTGGACACCTCGACCATTGTACCCTTACCAGGGTCGCATTTATTGCCCATTGGATGGATGAGTGACCTCGACCATTCAGGCATGTGAGGTACGAGTACACACAGCCAAAGCGAAGTTTTGACCAGTCCCTTGGCTAAGGCCATCCAGGACTGCACCCCGAGATATCAGGACTCCCGAAATCTATAACATCAGTCGACTCACGCATATCTTTCGTTTCTTTCAGACCTCTCACTCCACACCTGGGCCATACAGTATCATAGATCTCCAACGATGGCAGCTGTCGCACAGGACTTCACCGCCGAGCCGGTGGCAAAGCAGAACACCACCCACCCCCTTACTCCGTTGTCGGCCTCGGAGATCGCCACCACTGCTGACTTGCTGAGATCAGTATGGCCCGCCCATACCGACCTTCGCTTCAAGATCATTACTCTTGACGAGCCACCAAAGAAGCAAATGATACCTTATCTCGAGGCTTCATATAGTGGTTCGTCTTTGCCGTACATCCCCCGCAAATCCTTTACATCATACTACATCCGCAACACCGTGAGTGACCCCTTGTTCTTGTTCCTGGTTGAGTGCTGTCTCAGTGGATATTAACACGGCATGCGCAGAACCGCTTCCATGAAGCCGTTGTCGACCTTTCAGCAGGCAAGGTTGAGAGCAATGTCCGTCTCGGCCCAAATGAGCACGGAAATGCCGACTATGAGGAAATCCTCATGGTGGAAAAAAACGCTCTTGAGGACGAAGGGGTGAAGGCGGCGATTGCCAAATTACAACTTCCAGAAGGCACTGTTGTTTGCGCTGACCCCTGGATCTATGGTAATTAAATATCCTACGGATTGTACTTATCGGAAGTGTACCTAACAACCCTAGGTTCCGACGGCATCAATGATGATGAACGAGTATTCCAGGTCTTCATGTACATGCGCGACCCAGCCAATCCCAGTGAACAGGATTCCAACCATTACGCCTTCCCGCTTCCTATTTCTCCGGTAATAGAGTGCAACAGTTATAAGGTCATCCGAATCGACTACCTACCGACAGGCGCTGACAACACCATCCACGAGCCACGGCCATACCAAGCCACGCCGGCCAACGAATATATTCCTGAACACAATACGCTTCGAGAAGACATCAAGCCCCTAAGGGTCACCCAACCTGAGGGTGCGTCATTCACGCTGACCGCGGCTGGCGAGACAGGACACATCCTCAGATGGCAGAAGTGGACTTTCTTGGTAGGCTTCAACCAGCGTGAGGGCATGGTTCTTTATGATGTTCGATATGACGGGAGACCACTTTTCTACCGTCTTTCGCTCTCCGATATGAGTATCCCTTATGCGGATCCCCGCCATCCATTCCACAAGAAGCAGGCTTTCGACCTTGGTGATGCCGGTGCCGGCGTGATGGCCAATAATCTAAAGCTCGGATGCGACTGCCTGGGACATATCCAATACCTGTCGGCATTTTTCACGGATGATAAAGGTGTGCCAACACCATTCGAGAATTGTGTGTGCATTCATGAACAAGATGCTGGAATCGGCTGGAAGCACACCAATTACCGGACTGGCCGCGCTGCGGTAGTTCGGAACAGAGAGCTGGTGTTACAGAGCATCATCACTGTCTCTAACTATGAGTACATCTTGGCATTTATGTTCAACCAGGCTGGAGAAGTTATTTATGAGGCACGAGCGACTGGTATTCTCAGCACCCAGCCTATCGACCACGAGCTCGACCAAGTAGGCGTTCCATTCGGTAGCGTGGTGCACCCTGGCGTGCTTGCAGTTCATCATCAACATATTTTCAGTCTGCGCGTGGATCCGATGCTGGAAGGGCATGACAATCGACTAGTCTATGACGAGGCGCACGCAATGCCAATTGATAAGGACTGGAACCCGCACGGCATTGGATACACCGTATCGGAGACTGTTGTTGAGAAATCTTCAGGAGTCGACCTCGACACTTCGGTGAATCGAACATTCAAGATCCAAAATGCCGGCGTCCGCAACCCAATCAATGGAAAACCGGTGGCATATAAGATCCACGTGCCGGACTTCCAGAAGATCCTCGCGCACCCGTCGTCCTACCACCACAAACGGGCAGAATTCGCCGACCACAATATCTACGTCACGTCTCACAAAGACCGCGAGTTGTACGCCGGTGGGTGGTACACGAACCAGTCACGAGGTGGAAAGGGAGTGCGCAGCTGGGCCGACCGCAAGGACAATGTCAAGGACACGGATATCGTGGTGTGGGTTCAGTTCGGCATCAACCACGTCCCCCGCATCGAGGATTTCCCTGTGATGCCGTGTGAGATCATCAAGGTGAGCCTGAAGCCGGTCAACTTCTTCGACAAGAACCCGGCGCTGGATGTGCCTCCGAGTGAGCAGAGCTTCAACCAGAGCACGCTTGTGGCGGAGCAGCACCATCAGCCTGCTGTTGAGGCCGTTGTGGGAGGGGAGTGCTGTGCGGATTCGTCGTCAAAGAGCAAATTGTAGATACCTCTCGATGGCGCTGGTTGCAGGCGTGGTTGGCTGTGTTACACAAGGCATGCATGCATGCATGCATGCATTACACATACGTCCACGTGATCTGACAGGGTTGACAGCGGACATATTCTTACTACTGTATATCATGCTGAAACCCTCCAGCTCGCATATGAATAATGAATATGAGTATGTCGTACGAGAATCATGCAAAGCATAGCCTTTCCGCATATACAAGGCGGAGTAGTTAGTTGCACGTACGAGTAAGGTGTGCCCTGTGTAAGAGTAAGAGAGGATGGATTTTCAGGCAACCCATCTCACCAGCATTATTTTTGGCAATACAGTCCAGGGCAGTAGTGGGTAACCAAGAGGAAACAAGCAGTCATGGCGATGAGCTTACTGGCACATGACAGGTTGGGAGACCCAAACTGAAAAGTCTTGTTGGATCTTGTGAGGCTTGGGATAGATGGCGTTTCGAGAAATTGGTGGGGGAAAACTCGGCCTCAGTCCGGGAGTTTTATTATTATTATTATTATTATTATTATTATTATTCATCGCCAGCACCAGTATATTCTCTGATCTCACAGCTCAACTTCCCACAGGTCGGTCGAACAGCAGTGGGCGGCGGCCGGGGATGACTCGTACTTGATCGAGAGGGGACTCCCTGAAGACCCCTGACACCCGTCGTCCGAGTGCAGGGATTGATCGACGGCCCAAAGGTTTCAGCCTTCGGTTGGCTTGCATGATTCTGGAGACTGAGATGTGCAATGCGTGCTGCCACTGCCACTGCCGCTGCCGCTGCCACTGCCACGCAACACCATGTAGCGGCTGGTACAAAACCACCCTCCCAGTGGGCTAAAAACTTGTTCGCTCGATCACCCTTGCGGCGCAGCTACCAGCCTAGCGCTCGTAGTCTCAGCTTTGTCCTTCATCATTGTCATTGGCATCGTTGATTTAGACACACTCTCTCTTCTGTATAGAAGACGCAGAACCTCTATACCACGATTCTACCTTATTGACGGCCATAACAATCGGCAGTCGTTGTGCGGAAGCCCCTCAGTCGCTCTTTCCCACTCCGGTTTCCACTCGGGCACCTTCCACCTTCCACCTTCTCCCTCTCCGTCTCTGCTGCTCCGTCGCACCTGCCGGTGTTTTCACGCCCTCCCTCCACCTTCCCTCAACCGTGGCCGTCTCATTGAGCGCAGCCAAGCGCAGGAACATGCGCACCGTCCTCTAATTTTATCCCAACTGTGACTGTAGGCAAAAGACCCGGACAAGATGGGGTGGCCACAGTGCAATACCACCGAGGAGGACATGTTGATCACCGAGGAACCCATATGGCACGATTACACCTTCCACCGCCTGGGTCTCTGGCTCTCTGCCGTCTTTAGCATCATCGCTATAGCCGTGTCCTTCTTCCTCATCTTCATGCACGCAACACATTACCACAAACCCTTTCAACAGCGCCATATCATCCGCATCCTGTTCATGGTCCCCGTCTACGCCGCTGTCTCCTTTCTCTCCTTCTACTACTACAACCACAGCGTCTACTTCGAAGTCCTGCGAGACTGTTATGAAGCCTTCGCCATCGCCTCCTTCTTCAGCCTGCTTTGTTCATACATCGCCGCCGATCTGCACCACCAGAAGATCTACTTCCGTTCGATAACGCCAAAGAATTGGGTCTGGCCCATGAAATACTTCCAGAAGTGTACAGGAGGTGAGGACAAGGGTTGGTTGCGCAAGCCCCAAAGCGGCCTGACTTGGTTCAATGTCATCTGGGTCGCCGTCTTTCAGTACTGCTTCATTCGTGTCTTCTGCACCATTGTCGCCGTCGTCACTCAAGCATTCGACCGCTACTGTCTGGAGTCGCTCAATCCCGCCTTTTCCCACATCTGGGTCATGCTCATTGAAGCTGTTGCCGTCACCATCGCAATGTATTGCTTGATCCAGTTTTACATCCAGCTGCGCATGGACATTCAGCACCACAGGCCCCTTCTCAAGGTCCTCGCCATCAAATTGGTCATCTTTTTGAGTTTTTGGCAGACCATAGCCATCTCCTTCCTGACCAGCTCTGGCGCAGTCAAACCAAACAACAAAATCCAGACTCCCGACCTGAAAGTCGGGATTCCTGCCATGCTGCTGTGCATTGAAATGGCCCTTTTTGCGATCTTGCATCTGTGGGCATTCAGCTGGAAACCGTACACAATGGGGTCGAAAACCTACGTTGCTGAAAATGTTCCCGGTGAAGAGACTGGCGGTCGATCGTACAGGGGGGGCTTTCTCGGTTTGAAAGCTATCTGGGATGCTTTCAACCCCTGGGATATGTTCAAGGCAACTGGTCGTGCCGCAAAGTGGCTGATGCGAGATCGGAAACACCGACATAAAGACCTGAGTTACGACTTATCACGAAAGACCACCACCGACGGCTACAGTGCAGAGGGTCAAAAGTTGACGAATCTTAACGCGTCGACCGCATATGGTGGAGGAGGCCCACAGCAACGATTTGCTAACGGCGACGTTGACGAAGGCCAGAATCTGCTGGCAAACAGCCAGTCCATGCCAATGTCACGACCGATTATCGCTCGTATGGACAGCGACCGAAGTGATAGGCCAAATGAATATTACGATACCAGTGATATTGGTCTTGCAACATCGAGCTATGAGGACAACCGATATCAACCCAATCACCAACCGAACCCGAGCTATTACCCTCAACCACAGTACCAAGCCTATGGTGGACAAGAGACGGGGGTTGCCCCAGCCCCGTATCCCGATCAGAGGGGTGAACAGTCTGGCCAGGTGAGACGAGATAATAGAGTCTCAATGCCATTCATCCCCGGTGCGCCATTGCCTGGGAGCTCAGATCCAAGGCAGAAAGCCGGCGGTGGACCTGGACCTGGACCCGGACCCGGACCTGGACGCCCTGGCGGCTTCATGTAAATCATCACTTGTAGACCTTTCGCATTGTGCATTGTGCACCTTTTCAGGAGATATGATATGACTTTATGATACCTAATCAATGTTCTAAGAATTTTACATCACTCGACTTCTGACGAACGTGTTTCTGTTTTCTCAATAGCCGTCTTCCGGTCGTTTGACGTATCGAACTAGGCTGTGTCGGTTCCCAAAATACCCAACATACCTTATCTTTGAGGTGTGGACTCGCAGACGTGGTATGTGTGGTCGCGGTCGATGCCTTATGTAATAATATGCTGGAAAGTGAGGGTTGCACGTGAATTGGGTTGGTGCGCGAAATCTAACGGCAGGCGCGATGGGCGAATCCGGGGATTTGCATGAGGAAACTTGTTCACTACCAAACGTCAGTAGCAGCAACTACTACTCGTATATCTCCATGTGCCACTCCAACACACAAACTCCTGCACCACGGTTCAAGGACACCTATCTACCACACCTTTCTATCACCTATGGTCATCTATGGTGACCACGGACACATCCATCTTCACCACCTGTACATACTCGATCCAAGCAACCCTTGTCGTTCACACTTTCCATTTCTTCCCCGCCCATAATATACCCAGCTACACTATGAAGCCCAGGCCAACCACACCCTGATCCTGTTCTACGACTATACACACGAGCACCATGTCAAACTACAACGCCTACCATGGCGGAGGCCCTGGCCAGCCCCTTCATCCGAACCAAGACCCTAGATATATCGACCCGCGCGCCCAACAGACCCCTCCGACATTTCAGCAATCCCCCAGTCCTCAGCCCACGTACCAACAGTATGGCGGACAAGTCAATCCACAGCAAGTATATGCAAACTCCCAACAGCAGGCCTATGCTGGTCAACTCCCTCCCCACCAAGATGCCATGAATGGGCTTGCCGCACAAATGGCGGGTGCCGAAATCAGTTCCGCACCTGCACGCTCCCACAGAAAGAAAGAACGACATGCATATCACGATATAGGCTCGGCCAATGCCCCGGCACCCCAAGTGGATAGTTCGCAGCCAGGCCAGACAGGCCAGCCAGGTGCGCCCGCTGGTGCGCAGTTCTTTGGCGCTGGCCAACAGATACAACAGCAGGGTCCGCCTGGCCACACCAATTTTGTCAACCCCTCAGACAAGTTGCGCATGGGAGAAGAGTCTGTCGCAACACAAGGTCGCGTTGATCCAGAGCAGATTCCCAGTGTGGCGAGGGCAAGAGATGCTGCTACTCTGCACTATCAAACCAATGTCTACCCGAGTATGGAGCAGCATCTACCTCCCCCCGGTGCCGTTCCCTTTGTGGGCCATGATCAGGGAAATTCTACGCCTAAATACGCTCGTTTGACCGTGAACAACATTCCTTCGTCGCAAGAAGCTCTTGCATCCACCGGTCTGCCTCTTGGTCTTGTCTTGCAACCCTTTGCACTCCCGCAGGAAGGAGAACAACCCATTCCTGTCCTGGATTTTGGCGAGGCAGGTCCTCCACGATGTCGGAGATGTAGGACATATGTCAACCCATTCATGACCTTCCGATCCGGCGGCGGCAAGTTAGTATGCAACATGTGCAACTTCCCAAACGATGTCGCCCCAGAGTACTTCGCTCCCACTGATGTGTCCGGGGTCCGCGTGGATCGCTTACAACGTCCTGAATTGATGCTGGGAACCGTCGAATACTTGGTGCCGAAAGAGTACTGGGCAAAGGAGCCCGTACCTCTGCGATGGTTGTTCTTAGTGGATGTCACTCAAGAAGCCATCAATCGGGGACTTCTCCACTCAGTTTGTCAAGGTGTTCTGAATGCTCTCTATGGCCACGAAAGGGACGAGGACGAAAATGAGGAGACAGTGGCCTCTGGTCTCCCCGCTGGAACCAAAATCGGTATCGTGACATACGATAAGGAGGTCCAGTTCTATAATCTCACAGCTGGATTAGCAACGGCTCAAATGATGGTCATGACAGACCTCGAAGACCCCTTTGTGCCCTTGGCTGAAGGACTTTTTGTTGATCCTTATGAATCAAAAGATGTCATCACCTCGCTCCTCCAATCCATCCCCACTATGTTTACCTTGGTTAAGAACCCCGAACCAGCGCTTTTGCCAACTCTCAATGCCGCATTGGCAGCACTGTCAGCCACCGGAGGTAAAATCATCTGCTCCTTATCTACACTTCCGACCTGGGGTCCTGGAAGATTGCATCTACGTGATGACGGGAAAGGCCGAGATACTGATCACGAGAAGAAGCTCTTCACCACTGAGCATCCTCTCTGGAAGAAAACTGCCAGTGCCATGGTCACTGCTGGCATTGGTGTTGATTTCTTCCTCGCTGCTGCTGGAGGTGGATATATGGACGTCGCAACAATCGGCCATATGTCTCGTCTGACAGGTGGCGAAATGTTCTTCTACCCCAATTTCGTTGCGCCGAGGGACTCTTTGAAACTCGAAACTGAAATCAAACATTCGCTACATCGAGAAACAGGATATCAGGCATTGATGAAAGTGAGGTGTTCGAACGGACTTCAAGTTTCTTCGTATTACGGCTCATTTCTTCAAAATTCGTTCGGAGCAGATCTCGAATTCGGCACAATTGATGCAGACAAAGCCATTGGCGTCACGTTTTCTTATGATGGCAAGCTAGATGCCAAACTGGATGCGCACTTCCAAGCCGCTCTGCTGTATACCTCCGCAACCGGTCAAAGACGAGTGCGTTGCATCAACGTTGTTGCTGGGGTCAATGAAGGTGCTACTGAGACCATGCGAACTGTTGACCAAGACGCGGTTGTCAACATACTCGCAAAGGAAGCGTCTTTCAGAATATCAGAGAAGTCCCTAAAGGATCTACGAGCAGCAATCACTGAGAAGACGATTGATGTTCTGTCTGGTTATCGTAAGAACTTTTCGGGCTCCCATCCTCCGGGCCAACTTGTTTTGCCCGAACATCTAAAAGAGTTCGCGATGTATACTCTCGGTTTGATCAAGAGCCGGGCTTTCAAAGGTTTGTTCACATGATCCTTCCTCCCAGAATCGATGATAACATAATGAATAGGCGGTGTCGAACCTACTGATCGCCGTGTACACTCCGCACGCTTCCTGCGCTCCGCTGGTGTTACGGAGAGCGCTCTCTATCTATACCCACGAATCTACGCCCTTCATAACTTTCAGCCAGAAGACTGCTTCGCCAATGCAGAAACGTTCCAACTCGTTGTTCCACCAACATTGCGAGCCTCTTTTGCACGTGTCGAAGAAGGAGGGGTGTATCTGATTGACAATGGTCAAATTATGCTGATCTGGCTACATTCGCAAACCTCGCCAAATCTTCTGGAAGATCTCTTCGGAGAAGGCAAACAATCGCTGCAAGACCTTGATCCCATGCTGAACGACCTTCCGGTCCTCGAGACCCACCTGAATGCTCAGGTTCGAAATCTTATAGCATACCTCTCGACAGTCCGCGGCTCCAAAGCTGCAACATTCACACTGGCGAGGCAAGGTCTGGATGGTAGTGAATTTGAATATGCACGTATGTTAGTGGAAGACCGGAACAACGAAGCCCAGAGTTACGTTGATTGGCTGGTGCATGTCCACCGTGCCATCCAGATGGAGTTGAGCGGGCAGCGCAAGAAAGAGGAAACAGGCGACCACGAGGGCATCCTCAACTCCTTGACGGGGCTGAAGGCGCCGTATTGGACGTAGATACTGATGAATGGACAATCAATGACACCCACGTGATCTGGGTACCCAAGTGATGTTATGTTTCGTCAAAGGGTTTCTTATCCAACTCTGCACGCCAGAGGTGCATACATTGGATATACTCGTAGATGAGATGACAACGCTTTGGTTACCTGCCTAACGAGAGGCGGATACAAGGTGCTCGAAACCGGCCATGCGATAATGGTCCCTCGTGTACTCTCGTACATAGATCAGGACCCCCGAAACAAACATGATGCAAAGACTCTTCGCTATGTAACTCTTCATATCCGTCGCCGGGCAAGATGTCCGGTGTCGATGATCTGACCTTGAAGCAACCAACCGCGACCGCGAAGCATTCCTCCGCCATTAGGGTCTAGTTCTGGTGCTGGTGCTGGTGCTGGTGCTGGAGGATCTGGCTAGCTACTGAGCACAGTAGGGACCATATAACACGACTTGATTTTGATGGTTCCCGCTGCCACCAGGAGGGTCCAACTAGTCCGTACTCTATGTACTTACTGTCTAGCAATAGCCCCATAGAGAGCCCCCCGATGTATGCATGGGCCCCGTTACCCGACTGTCCGTGCGCACGGCACTGGAGATCGTGCGCCGGGTTCTGCGGGTTTTCGGAACTCTAGCCTTCGATCCGTTCCGTTCCATCGGAAAGGAAAGGTCCCATTGACATCTCTCTCCACGCCTCCCCCCCCCCCGCCCGGAAGTTGAGATCGTTCGCGCGGTGCCCACCTCCATCTCTTGTGCTGGCCGGTGGTTGTTGTCGTCGCCTTTGCCTTTCCCCATCGTCATTAGCAAGTGATGTTCCTGGGTCTCCTGGGTCTCCTGGGTCTCGTCTCGTGGAGCGCAGAGTTCCAGCCGTCAGATCGCTCCGGCGAAGGTCGAAGCTTGAACATGTAGTATATGGAGTACTCCGTACATAGAAGCATGTTAATCCATCATAATGTGGGTACCGATTCCGTAGCCAGGGTCTGTCTGTCTTGTACTTGGGCCAAGTTAATGATGATTTTGATTTGTTATTGCGGTCGTTTAATTAGATATGGTATATACTCCGTAAGGTAGTTTTTTGGACGTCGTCTCCTAGGCAAGGATGACTCCACTCCCCCCCCCGCGGCGGCCCCCCCCCCTCTTCCGCGTGCCAGCACCCAACTCCGGGCCCCGTTTCAGTAGTGTGTAGTCCATACGTGTCTGCGTAGGTGTGCGTGTAGGTATGTAGAAATGTGGGTATGTGTATTATGTATGTGTCAAATGCCATGTGTGTGTATGGATGTATGTAAGTTGGGATAGATAGATTCAAGTCGTGAGCGTTTTTCATTTTTCTTTCCCGGAAACCAGAGGATAATCACAAGTTCAAGACTTGGGGAGACGGCCGCCAAGCTGGTGAGGCCAAAAAAAAGGCCCGCTCAAGAAATGTTCCCAGCTGTCTAATTTCCTCCCAGTGTTGGGCTTGAACTCCAGTCCTGCATAACATGCCATACACACAAAGGGAGTCGGGGTCGGTGCATTGCATCTTTTGTCTTTTGGTTTCGGTGGTTTCGAATCTCCTAACTTTCGTGGCGGGTTTGGTTGCTGACAAGCTGCGGGAAGGGAGAAGGGCCACCGAAGGGGATTGCGCGAGTGAGAGGGGCTGGGGCCCCAGAAAGTACACTTCCCAACCCTTTCTCCCTTTCTATGGTTTTCCTTCGAAAAAAGCAAATAGAAAAGAAAGAATTCGTGCGTATAAAACTCACCGGCGCCACCCGCCCCCCAGAACAAGCGTTTGGAAAAAAAAAAAAAAGGGGGGGGGGGGGGGGGGCACACGCAGAGGAGCTTGGGGGGTTAACGGTTTGGGAGTATAGAGATATACGCGGAGGCAGCAAGCTTAATTGTAATGCTCAGGCATGCTGGTTGGCACCTCGAAGCGCTTACGGCCGCTGATGAACCAGTCGAGCAGGGCGCCGATCATGATGGCTCCCAGAATTGGCGCGGCGTAGTTCATCGACTCGGCAGTGACGGGTAGCACCACGGGGAAGGGGAGGAAGGTGACGATGAAGATTCCAAACGCCAATCCGGCGATGTTGATGGGGATGCTCCACACGCCAAGCTGGAAGGGCCCGTAGGGTGGGTGTCTGCCTTGGAGTTTGCGGGCGAGGGCGAACGCCAGCGGGATTACGTAGGATAGGTACAGGCCCATCGTCGCGAGCGACAGGATCGCGAAGAAGGCGGTCGTGCTGCCGATATTGATGAGCCCGATCAACGCGGCGATCGTGGTGACCAGTCCGAGGGAGTTCAGGGGGATGTGGAGTGTAGGGTGGACCTGGGAAGGGAGAGGGAGAGACGTTAGCATGGTTGTAGTAGTGTACCGGAAGCCTCTGAGGATATTAGGTGGGAAAACAGCGAAGACTTACGCGAGCGAAGAACTCCGAGAACGGAAGTCCGTTGTCTCGTGCGAATGCCCAAGTCAGACGCGATACGGAAGCGAAAACGCCGAAAAGTGCGATCATGGTCGAGAGGAGAATCATGCACTCAATGATTGTGGCGCCTGCTTTGGAACCCGTGGCTTGGTAAAGAATTTGAATCGTGGGGAATCCAGTAGGGGTGTTGATGGCGGCCTCAACGTCGCCGATGCAGAAGAGGAGGGTGATCAGGAAGCCAAGAGCCATAACGGTGTTCAGAACCACAGCCCACATCATAGCACGAGGTACCTTCACGGGGGCGTCGGAGATCTCGTCACTGAGATGGAGGACGCCGTCGAAGCCTGGTTGATTTGGCAAATGTTAGTGGGTGATTTTCGGGGCTCTTCTCGAAACGAGAAGTTTCTGGCTTCAAAGGGACGCCTACCGGTCAAGACCGAGGTGATGGACAGCAGCCCAAGGCACCATTGAACACCCTCACTCTCCCAGCCGCTCTGGCCGAAAAAGGATTCAGTGAAGACGAACTTGGCTGAACTCCTTTCCGACATGACAGCCAAAGTAGTGACGGTGGCAATGAAGAAAATGACGTGAAGGACACCTCCGACGATTTCCACCGCCTTGAGCAGCTTTCGTCCAAAGACGTTGCACAGGACTGGAATGGTCAAGAAAGCCCACATGAGAAGTGTGCTGTGCCATCTCTCAGGGACGTATGTTTCCGAGTTCAGAATGATCAATCCCTGGAGGGCCTGCGCGGACACAAATGGCACGGCGGCGCAAAGTCCGATCCACGAAAAGATCTGGTGAAGAGTTAGGCGGGTGGGTTCATTGTATTCAGTATCCTTGGTATCGGTTTCAACTCACAGTGAGCCATCCTAGGAGTTGTCAACAGAGATTCTCTATGATTGGATCCCGGATTCACTTACCTTGCATCAAACTCCAGAAGGCTGGTGTCATTGCGCTGGGGGCATAAAGACCCGTCCACCGATATTGAGCGCCGACCACGGGTGTACTATCGAGTCTGTCAGAGGGGCTGATCGAGCAATGGAGATGGATTATTGTCCCACATTGAGGCTAATTCTCCGAGAGAGGCAGCCATGCAAAGAGTCCCTGCACCTGATAGAAGCGTTCCCCAGATAATGGTTGTAGGGCCGCCGTTCAGGAAAGCAGAGCCAACTGTCAAGCTGATTCCAGTCCATGACGACAAAACTGTCATGCCAAATGCGACTGCAGGCTTTAACGAAAGGTACCTCTGTTGGAAATGTCAGTGAGTGCGCCACCAAAAAGGTAAACAAAGGTGACTCGGGAACAAGACTTACGTCGAGCTTCTGCGATGCTCTCACGCTCCCGGAGTGTACTCCTGATTTCGGGCCTGTCTGATCATCATTGACACCGCCCTGCTCGATAGAGAACTCCTTAGTATCCGACATGGCCAGTTACACAGTTCGAGTATAACGTGTGATAGAAGGAAAACGAGAGCCACAGATCAGGTCGGAAGAGATGAACGAAGAATCAGGAAATACTCGAGAAAAAAAGCCCCGAGGGGAAGAAGAAGGATCCCAGCTGCCACGCACCCTTATGCAGCAGAGGATGATTGCTTAGAGTCCCTGGCTCACAGAAACGACCCTGGCTAGCATGGCTAGTAGACTCTGGTAGTCCAAAGGTACGGTGGGGGGCATGATAAGTGCGGGATCGGTGGTCAGACCAAGTTTGCATTGTATGCGTAAAACACGGGTCAGGACACGGAGGGAGTAAATTGGAATGCCAAGTCGGCATTGGTTGAAGGACAGAGCGATGGCGACATGCTTCTGCTTCTTAGCATCGACAACCGAGATAATGGGGACGAGAGGCTAATGCACTCGATGGGCCACTCTATAGTGCTTTTGGAATCGGCGTTCCTGCTTGACTTCCTCGCAAGAGAGCTCCTCTGTCTCGCTCAGGAGATAGATAGGGTTGCACAATCGAATCGGCACCGAGTACGCCCGGCAGATGGCGTCCTACGAGCACTCCGTTGGAGGAGTGCGAGTCCTACCACCATTGATGTGACGCGATCTCAGGGACCAGGCAACATACGTGAAACGACACAGCATCCAACACCCTTGAGCAGTAGGCTGCGAGGGTTGGTTCAGCTGCCTATAGGCTGAGATAGCGGGCCTCTGACTGCTTTCGTAGTGGCTTAAAAGAGGCACCCCGTCGTTCGGGGCAAGTGTTCCGTACCCACTTTCCCGCGGGCCATCCCGTAGCGGGGACGGGGTTTAAGCTCTGCTAGGCTCCACTAGGCGCTACGAGGAGCAGGCGGCATAATCAGCAGCGGCCTGTTGTTCTCCGTGACGCTCTAGAGTCTGCCTCGGATCCTCAACATCCTTCCACGCCTGCTCAGCTGCCTTTCTGTTTCGGTCCTTTAGGGAAGAGGTCATCCAAGTTGTCTCGACCAGGGGCTACTCCTGTAGCACTCTATCCGAAATGTAGAATTTTGGCAGAGAATCGAGTTGATCTCTGTCAAATGAGGTTTCAAGAGAGGCGCAAGAAAAGCATGCTTGGAGTGTGCTTGGAATGTGCTTGATCGACCCTATCCCAAAAGTCGGGGTTATCACAGTAGATCGACAGAGTGGCACCTCGTTCTGCTGTGTTGCACGAAGTCCCTCGTGCTGTTGTGCTTTTTGTTCAGTAGCGGGGACCGTGCAGGAACAGAATATCACGGTTCACAGAGTGTTCTTTCAAAGTGGTTCCGGGTTGCATGGAGCCAAGTGCTGGGTAGCCAATAACTCCGGCACTCTCTCACCCTCTAAGCGGCCTGTCTTCGTATTACTCGGGGCACTGCAATCTCATCCCGGCCAAAAGCCACAAGATTTTGCATGACAATTGAACCCTCTTGACTGCCAGATCACACGACCTGACCCTCAACAATGGGCATTGGGGATGAATTGAGACTGACTTGTTTCTCCCAGAACCTGTGACAGGGAACGCCTCTCAATCGCTTGTGGCTGTCCAGGCGTTGTCGATCCGACCCAGGAGGCTATCCCTGTCGAAAAGAACGAGTACTTATTGCTTGTTATCCAAGTCGCCGTCCTGCAGGGGATCGAGGCTCCGTAGCATTACGAGTGCAGAAGAGTTAAAGGCTTCTTCATCGCCAATCCGACCGGCATTCCGTTGGAAACTCCTCTTGATACTGCGATATAGAATTATGGCTACCTCTAATCGCGTTACCTATCCCCCCTTGGTGGCTCATGGTCCCGACAACCATGGCGCCACTGTTGTCGTTGTTACCTATTCATTGATGTTCACAACCATACTTTTCGCTCTCTTGCGGTCATGGTCCTCATACATGCAAAGGAGAGAAGTGAGATGGGACGACATCGCATTCTCGATCGCAGTGGTGAGCAACTCTCATTCCATTGTCTCACCCTTCCGATCGCCAACTAATGCTTGCTTCCTCTAGGTGTTGGTGATACCGGAGAGCATTCTTACCGAACGGGCTGTTGGCCATGGTCTCGGACAACATATCAATGCCGTCGTCTCCTCGGAGCTTCCTGGATATTATAAGGTATATATATGCCATCATCGGTGTCACTACGCAGCCTTCAGTGCCCAAAGCTTACCTAAATGCAAGTATATTTACGCAAGCCTGTTACTCGGTGTTATTATTCAAACTTTGGCCAAGTTCTCCGTCATCCTCATGATAGAGCGCATCGTGTCTAAACATGCAACAAAACGGTCTGGTCTTATCCTGAAGATCTGCATCGGAATATGGGCCATTTTCTCCTTCTTCGCCATTGCATTCCAATGTGGAGTTCCCCGACCCTGGGAGTTCATCAACGCCAAATGTACCGCCGAGGGTAGACTGCTATATGTTATCGCGGCCGGTAACATCCTCACGGATGGTACTCTCGCCTGCTATTTCATCCCAGTCATCTGGAAGCTGCAGATGTCACGGTCATTGCGATTCATGGTCTCTTCGCTATTTGCAGTGAGGCTTGTGTAAGTCCTGTTTATACATTTCCTGCGTTTTCGTATTCTGCTAATCCAAGAATGCAGTGTTTGTGCGGTGACAATCCCCTACTTTGCCCTCTTGCCAAATTATATCTCATCCGATGACAAAACATGGTACAATGCCAATGTTCAGATTTTCCACCAAGTTGTTGTCAATATGTCCGTAGCCACCGCTGGCATCCTCAGTGTGCGCCGCTTCCTTTCCGACTTGCAAACTGGTAAATTAGGCATGGTCTTGAACGACAATGAGATTGAGATGATCACGGGCCAGAGCAGGGATCGAACCAAAAATAACTCGGGAAATAATTCCAACAATACTTCAGGATTGTTCGGGCGCAGCAAAAATAAGAGTGAACATCAAAGTTCAAAATTGCAGACACGCTCCAACATTAGCATCTTGGACAGCGCAGGCAACATGCGTTTACGCCCCGATGAAACCGCACGGTTTACTACACATATTGTCGGAGGAAGCAGCAGCGGTATCGTCCAAGAGAGAGACGGCAGGAACAGGAAGGCTCCTTCGGGTGATACGACCAAAAGTGAAGACGAGATAAGCGACGACAAGTCTACGAGCAGTTTGAGGAAGAATGGGGTGTATCAACGGCGCGATTTTGAGATGCACGTCGAGTACGATTATCCTGATGGAGACAGCAGGTGAGGCGCTCGGGGTGGATGTCACGTTTGCATATCGAGCGCTGTCAAAACTATGTGGATCTACGCATCCATCTGTATCTGTATACACGATCAAAAAGTCTATTAACCTATCTAGTTAGCTATACCTTAGAACGAACGATAGCCTTCATTTACATGGACGCATATCATTCCCCAACTTCTCTTCCACTTCCATGTTGTCATTTTCAGTCCACCGGTCCACCACCGCCCTGTCGGAGGCCTGACATGCCCCAGGTAATTGCGTGCCATCAGCGCTTTGACACTTCTTGAAGCGACAGCCTTTCACAATGCAGGTGTTCAGGGGCATGTGTCTGAATGTTGTAGTCCGTGCAACGGTTTCGACGAGGGAGGCACAATTTCTTTTCTTCCCGTGCCAGCTGAGCGCACTGCCACGTTAGCATGTTCTCGAGGGGGGCGATAAGCGGCCGTATCAAAGCTCTGGAATCGCTGCGTGGCACGGAGGGCTAACCATGTTTTTGATTCGACCGGACCCTGACAAGATGGAGTTTCACCAAAGACACCCTGCACAGTGGTAGGAATCGACTTGGAGGACGAGGCCAACCTGCAGCTGCCGTAGTTTTTTGGGCAAGGGCCAGCGGGATCAGCGATGTCAGGCCCCTGATCGGGTAGCCTTGACCGGCAAATCCCGGTCCTTGAGTTTGCGCTAATCTCCAAGCTTGCTGCTTAGGTTAGAAGCACGGACCTTCTCTATCATCAGGCCTCGAGCGCTGGTTGTGGCTTGCGTTGGGGAGCTTGAACGATCACGAAGTCCTCTTGTTGCAAGTCAATCCGCCTGTGTCCAGACTCTAGAGATCCCAGGTGCTTCCTGGCCCTCCTTGCGAACTAGGCTCTGGCTACTGTCAAACTTCTGCCTTGTCTTTGCCTTTGCAGCTGCGTTTTGCTTAACGATCTGAAGTAGTTCAGTTGACATGTGTTTTCATGTCGCTTATTGGCCTCGCGATCCCTGTAAACCTTCTGGAGTGTTAAGCGGTACCAGGACTTCCTCCGAACATGGATCAGGAAGGTATGTAGTCCTTTGAGATTATCTGGTATACTATCGCCGCACAAACAGGCCATGTATTGTGTATTGCGTATATACCGGTACGTACAGAGTTCATCTAGTCTCCTCGACATTACAAACGTTTGCTGTAGCATTCGATTAGGCCTTCACCAACAAGCGAGACAAGTGCTTTTTCCGTTCAAACGTGGACCTTCTTCCTCGGGTATAATTGGACATCTTGAGGTTCCAATTATTCATAGCATCCGCCGGTGTCTGAATCTATTGAATCTAGACGTTGACCGTCTTTAATGCCATCTGCAGGGACAGTATTCGGGCATATAGGGTCACACCACGACGATTGACTTCCGGTACCATTTCGCAGAGGACAAAGAAGAAGCGGTACGAGTACGGAGTACTTACACGGCACTTCGTACTATCGCCTTCGCTACCATCTAAGCGTAGACCGGTAGACACGTGAGAGTGGATTGCGCGAACATCATCCCGCCGCCAAATGCAAACTTATCGGCATGTGCTGACCCCTTGAACCGGCGCATTGTAGAGTAACCGTTGGCAGAGGGATACCTTAAGGAATACGAGCCAGTGCATATCAACAACTATGCCTCCTCTGAGCATTATTCAACTATCTCCGTGTCCCTGAGATAGGATCCTACCTACTAGGTTACCTCCCCAGCTGTCACAGTCATGGATAACGCTCTGTCTCGTATTGCTCTGGCTTCACCGCCGACACTCTTGGAGATCTTTCTCTACGTCATTGTTGCATCCGTAAGTAAACTGGCCGAGGTAGTTCTTAGAATTTCCCCCTAAACACAGGGTCGAATATTTGGACGGATATTACCGACTGTTCTGCTGACTGTCACTATCGTGGATGCTAGTTTTTGCTCGTCACCATCTATCGCTTGACACTTCACCCACTGGCAAAGTACCCTGGGCCCCTTCGCTACAAGATCTCTGGCTGGCCGTTGGTCTATCAGTGTTACAAGGGCAATCGACATCTCTATAGTCTGAGAGACCATGAAAAATATGGTCTGTTTTCATCCCTTCTTACCTTCCGCTTGGCACGTGTGTGGATGCAGCAGACAGACTTCCACACAATAGCTGCCAATTGTCAGTTGCCAACTGCCCGAGCCGTTCCAAGGAAAGTCTACTAATTCTACTTTGTGCCGCTCCAGGGCCCATAGTTCGCACTTCACCCAATAGTCTATCATTCAGCAGCCCAAAGGCTTTGCATCAGATATACGGGTCGCGGGCCATCAATGTTCGCAAGTCCAAATTTTATGAAACTCTTGATGCCGGACCAGGAGGCGCTACGACGCATACCGAGATCGACAAGGAGCGCCATGCTGCTCGACGGCGCATTCTGAATCATGCATTCTCCGAGGCTGCGATCAGAGAAACCGAGACCTTTGTCATCGACAATGTTGGGAAGTTCATTAAGCTGATCGGGCCAAATGGTGGTGGGACGTTACCAGAAGCGAAGCCCCTTTCCAAGGATCTGGAGAAAGGATCAGACAGCGAGAATGATGAAGGCTGGAGTACTCCACGGAATATGAGTGATTGGCTCAACTGGATGGCCTACGATATCATGGGTAACCTGGTCTTCGGCAAAAGTTACAATTGTCTTGGAAGCGAAGAGCATAGAGAAATGCCTCGTCTGATGACAGAAGGCACTAAATTTGGATACTGGGTGAGTTTGATTGGAGACCAAGTTTGACGCAAGAGTCGAGACCAAGAGACACTTGTTCCTCCACCGTGTGCTAACGAGATATCTTCCAGTTCGCCTACCTCCCATGCGCTCCAGTTCTTCAGCCTTTAGCCAAGACCTCATTCATGCAATGGATCGGGGGAGACACCGTGCGAGACAACGCCGTCCTTGGTGAATACGCAATCTCCCAGTTCGAAGAACGCGCGGCGCTCGAGAAACGAAGGTTAGAAGGAAAGGAAAAGCCCCCCACCCATAAGGATCTGATGCACTATCTCCTCAACAACTTTGATCCCAAAACGGGAATGCGACCCACAACGGATGAGCTCAAAGGTGATACCCTTAGCCTCATTGGAGCAGGCGCCGACACTATTGCGACCACGCTTTCCGCTGCCTTCTTCTATCTTGCTCGGAACGAGTCCGTGTTGCGTAGACTGCTGTCGGAAATCCGGAATACATTTGGGTGTCTCGATGAGATTCACTCGAGTCCAAAGATGGATTCCTGCGTCTATCTCAACGCATGTATCGAGGAAACGCTCCGCCTCGCTCCCGCTGTCGCCTCACAGCTACCCAGGGAAGTCATGAGAGGTGGGATCGTGATCGATGGAGAGTATGTCCCCGAAGGCATTGTCGTTGGGGTTCCATCTTATGTGGTTCATCATACCAGAGAAGCGTTCCCCCAATCTTGGAGCTTCCAACCTGAGAGATGGATCGCAGGTTCGGAACTTGCTGATCACAGTACTGTGGTCTCGAAAGAGGATATAGCTCGGGCGCGTGAAGCCATGTGCCCCTTTTCCTTGGGAAGTCGCGGCTGTATTGGAAAGACGTTTGCGTACATGGAGATGCGTATTGCGCTGGCCTCGGTGCTCTGGTCCTATGATTTCAAAGAGGTGGGCGGTCGCGAAAGGAAGGGCGGTGGTGGTCGAGACCTAGAGATTGGGCGCGAAAGACAAGATGAGTTCCAGATCTTTGATTGCTTCGGCGCTGATCGAGATGGGCCTGTGCTGAGGTTTCGGAAGCGTGAGTAAGATGTGAGCACTTGCATGCTTTGGCAACCACGGCAGAGACCATGGCTTTGTGTAGTCATAACAGACAACCACGGCGTACATCAGAGTTGTTTGGAACACTCTGCTGGAAAAATTTTGGGCATAAGATGAGATATGAAAATAATCACTGATACTTCGTCTGCTCAGCTACGGATTTATATTGCATCAGCTGAGTAGGGAGAAAACGAGGCTTACGCTATTTCAACTTTTTGTAGACGGCTTCAGCATGTTGTGGATAGCGACCAATTCGCTATCTGGTTATTCCTTGAAGCCTATCGTCTTCAGAACGCTGTACTGTAGCCAGCTGTGCAGCGATTTGATCTGCGAAGCTGATGCCATTGAATCCTTGCTCTACTTCTGGAGTTCACGTCAGATGGCGTAGGAGGATGGAACACATACAAAAAGGACTGTTAAATTGATTATAAACTCCGGAGGAAGTTCGACTGTAACTCTGGAGTTGGAGGGATGCCGATAAAATAAGAATTAGGCGAGCCCACAACCTCTTTTAGTGCCTTAGAGTTAGGAGGTACCGGGCTCTGCGGATTGAAGGGGCGACCCCGCGAGCCGCCCGTGAACTTTTGAAGTAGGCTATCGCGGCTTCTTCCGGCTCGATTTCCCGCAGATGCTTGATCTTGAGCTTAGTCCGAAGTACTCGTCCGAAGAGTGCACAGGTCCACGCCGCTTTTAGGTCACCTGCACTGCCAAGCCCAATCACTACCGAAATCAACTCGCTAGTGCCACAAAAGTCATCGACACGCGGCGACGCGACTGCACCAAAACACGTCACTAATGGACTTCAATAAGTTGAGATAGGAGACATGGTATCGTCTGCCCAGGTCCCGGGACAAAAGCGAAAAGTCGCATTTGACAGACCAGCCCTGACCTCGCAAGCACGCAAAAGACAGAAGAACCAAGATGCCCGGTCAATACCAGTCCAGCGGGGCACCTCCAAAGCCATGTCCTCCATCTCCGCCAACGGCGAACTCAACATTGCGTCCTTCATCAAAGCGCGAGAGTTTGAGATCGGTGCGCTTGACAAGAGTATGCGAAATTCTCGTAAAGCCTTGATGTCGAGGGCCTTTCAGCAAGTCCCGAGCCACATGAGAAGGAGGACTGCGAGTCATAATGCCAAAAAGGTGCCCCGGCGGCTGCGGAGGAGAGCAGAACGTGAGGTGAGCTACATCACGCTGAATCCAAGAGGTCTACGCTGACACCCGCTAACCAGGATGGGTACAGATGATGGAAGACAATACGCCGATTGTCACCAAGCGAAGACGGACCCCCTCCAAAAAACTGAGGCTCAGACTCGACCGGGCGAAACTACTTGGAAATTGGAACAAAAATGCAAAGACCGTCCGTCAAAGAAAGAAGGATGCAAAGGCCAATGCAAAACAGGATGACCCTGAAAATCATGTCCAGTTCTCACGCATCCCAAGACCGAAGAAAAATAAACTCGCAGAAGCACCGCGGGCCACAGTCAAGTATAAAAAAAGACAGGTCAACAAAACATGGCTTCCCACGCATCTCTGGCACACCAAGCGAGCCCACATGACACGTCCGGTTGAGCCATTGTGGAGGATGGCTATTCCGTTGCGTCCCACGGAGAAAAGCTATCGCCCTAGTCATCGGGCTGCGGGCCAGCGTGGATGTATTGCTTGGGATACCAGCTATATGTCCACCGTGGCTTGTCGTGGAACACAGTCTGCCATAGAAAGTATGCTAAACCGCCTTGGTTTTGTCCCCAAAGGCCTTTCCCTCACTCTGCAAAATAAGTGGAAATCGGGCACCCGCTTTGCCCAAGGTTGGGTTCATGAGCCAGATAACGACAAGCAGCCAATCGCCCCGGTAAAAATCATCTGGTGCGTAAACGCAATTAGACCAAGCGACAAAACAATATCCAATCCAGTAAGTGCTGAGGGAACCACCGCCAAGCCAAATGATACAACCAAGCCAGAGTCACAAAGCAGGTCCAAAACGAAATTGACCCACCAAATCTTGATTCAAATACATCCTTCAGCCTTCCACCAGTTCTGGAACGAGCTTCTGAAAATGGCCAAGACGCAGAAACCACAAATTTTGGTAGATGATTTGCGATTCGAAATTGGAAGCATTGAGATTCAAGGTCCAGGATCAACGGAGGCTCTTCTTGGTGTGCTTCGTCCACCTCAATGGCACATAACATCCGAACACCCTCATTCGCATGTATGGAGTAGTCTCGCTGGGCTCAACAATCCGAGCCTATTGCCTCAGAATGCTCTCCTTGCTGTTGATATCATGGACCCTCGACTGAATCACCCGCCGACCCAGGTTAAAATCCCCAGGGATGCCCATGATAGCACGTTAAATGAAACTCTTGTATCCTGGATCCCTGACAAGACTCCGACATCATCTCGTCTTTACTCACACAAGGCTCGCTTTCTCTTAAGCAATTCTTTGCCATCACAAAGAGCGATCAATCGACGAAGAGCAATTGCACCTCCTGGGCAGAACCCAATTCCGACCGACAAAGACCCACAGATCCCAGTAATAATCCTTGCCTCAAGAGCTGATGTCTCACTTGGACCATCTACTACGAACTCTCATGGAAGTTGGACAGTTCTGCTCCCGTGGCCCTGTGTCGACTTAGTATGGCGTTCTTTGATGTACTACCCTTTGTCATCAGGCGGAACTCCTCGATTTGGTGGACTGGACCAGACACAACAATTGGCTTTCGAGCAACAGATACCTTGGTTTCCTGCCGACTTACCGGGCACCGAAGCAGGCAAAGCGTGGGAGCGCACTCAGAGCGAGAGAAAGTTTGACGAATGGATTCGAAGACCACCTAAACATCGCTTTTCTTGGGATAAACTTGATTTAGGCTTAAGCAGAATGGGGGAGGTTGGCAGAGGCTGGGCCTGTGATTGGGAATATCTCTTCGAGAGCGGAAAAATACCTCCTGGAAATGAACCAATAAAGAATGGAGACAGGTCTTCAGAGAAGGACAACAAGCCACCATTGACCCAGCGGCAACGCAAAGCAGCCAAAGCGAAGGCAGAAGCCGAAAGGGAACAATCAGCTCCTCGTCGCAATACTTCGAGCCCAGAAATCGAGGACGACGAGAGGGTAGTCTTCCCCACGGGCGCTGACCGCAAATATTTTCAACTCTCTCCTGCAGCCAGCTCGTCCTTGTTGATGAAGCTTTCACATTGGAATTTTCCAGCTTATCCTGTCTTGTCAGCCATCCGCATCACATTTCTCGACCGCGGCACACCGAGCAGGGGGGCTCGCATCTACCGGCTTCCGACCCCCGAACCCAAACTTGGAGCTCAGGAAACACAATCTACCACGCTCTCAAATTCCGAGACTCAAGACCACCCGCCACAAAGCTGGTCCTCAGAAGCCCCCCCACCAGCACAGCGGCCTCCCTCAACCATCAGCCCCAACGCATCATCATATCCTCGCTCATCAGACAATGCCGATAGCCTCCGCAGCCGCTGGCTCGCACTGCTACCTCTCCACTTGACCACGAACACCAGTCGTCTCAGGCAGAACCAACACTTCCCCAAGCCCAAGACCAACAGGTTCGGCCTGCCGAGGAAGCCCAGCGCGATCCCCCGCGAATCACTCGCGCGTGTCAACGTCCTACCCAAAAACGCCCCACAAGAAGTCATCGACAAATATGGGCCGAACAGCACCTACGGTCGCGGAGACGGCGAAGTGCCAAAAGTGATGCCTCCGACGAAAAGGTCGGACCAGGTTAGCTCCACTGCAAGAGGCAACAACAAGGGGAAAGACAAGAATACCCTTGCACAGCGCGACGGCCCAGAAACAGCGCCGGCGCGACGGCCCCAGGCCGAGCCCCAAATTATTCCGCAGTCGCAGCAGCAGCAGCAGCAGCAGCAGCAAACGCAGGAATCACTCACCGGGCTCTTCCCTGCACTCAGCTCCTCTCGCGACAATGAGCACCAACACCCGCCGGTTCCACACGCCCACGACCTGATCGGCTTCGTGACGAGCAGCGACGGCTACAACCTGTCCGAGGGCCGCGGCACCGCCATCGGCAGTATCTGGACCCAGCGCGTCGTCGAGGGCTGGGCGCGTGCGTCTGCACCCGCCACGGAAAACGAAGGCACGCGCGTGCGCACCCGTTTTCTCTGTATTGTCCGCAATGCCGGCGAGAGAGTGGGCCGTCTTGCGAGATGGGAGGTCTGTGCGTAGCGCGGCATGGGATACGGGGGCCGTCGTGCGCTCACATATTTATTTGAATCTATATTAGTGTTGGTAGTCCCCTACAGCATCCTACACTGAGCACCAGACCACTTGGGTACCCGGGCACTCAAGCACTTAGCAGGTTTCCCCTTGTGGATGCCGCGGTCACGTCACGAGTAGGTCCCTAACTTAGAGTCCCTAACCCTGAGCCAAAGCCCCGAGTGGTATTTTGAAATTTGGTAGATCATAGAGAGAGATAATGCCATTCATTGTGTACGGCCTAGGCTTGACTGGACTAAACAGAAGAGACTGCTCTTGCTATTTATTCATTCTCCGTTGATGTGCCACAGTGAGGTGAGCAAGTCATGCAGACGGGTATATAGATCTCTCTCCAACCAAATCCGTACGTCATTGGTATATAAGTAATCAGCAACATCATCCAGGTCTGGACTCATGCTCTTCACTGTTCGAGTCCAATCCATGGCATCCATCATCGACTCGATGGATGCTCCCGGAAAAAATCGGCGCTTGTTTCAGTTGCTTGCCTCCAGCAAACTCAATTCCTCGGGTATCTCAAATCGACCCCTTTCACAAAGCCCGCCAAAGATTAGGTATAGATAGGTAAGTAGTATAAGAAAGATGTCGTGAGACCTGGAATCGCCCTTGATGCAAAGGAATAGGGTATATGGTATAAAAGAAATCTACGGTCGCATCACATGACATCACATCACATGGCATAATTCTCAGCATGCAGAAAAATCTCATCTTTGCTGGGATCACTCCAGACGGTGCTTTGCAAGCGCGCCACTGTTGTGGCCACGTCAGTTCGCATCTCTGGAGGCCCACAAACATAGATACACGTTCTACGGCCGAACTCCTTGCTGAGACCTTTCAGCATGTAAGGAATGTCCGGACGGCCGTACTCCGTTCGCCACCCGTCACGACGTTGGCTGACAACGTTTGTGGGTAAGAAGGCAAAGCGCATGAGATTCTTCTGGAATTTTGTGGGAGTTTGAGGGAAGCCAAAGTCGAATGACCTGGTTGCTTCGGCTTGTGCTTGTGAAAGAGTCGACATTCGATTACTCGGAGGTGGAGGGAAATATGTTTGAGGTTCTTGTCCTGGTGGAGCAAGGTGACGAGGAGGTGCCATGTAGGCCTGGGGGAGCGCCGTAATGCTATCTTCGAATTCTCGTTTCAAGTCGGGCTCTTGTTCCATCATGACAAGAGCCGAGTTGCGTTTACTTCCGGCATTGTGGATGGCATCCGAAATCTTGTCCCTAATGCCACTGAGGCGATGCTCCTTAATATCGGGCTCAGGCTCATAGCGCTTGGCGGCAGTGATGTAGAAGTGGCATTGAACGGAATTAGGAGGGGCGCATTCTCTACATATCCGTAGTTCTTCTTTGAACCATTCCATAATGTCGGGGCGTTTCATGGCCCATATAACATGAACCTTGGTGGTCGTTGCTTTGCCGTCACGCATGCGTTTGATCAAATCAAGGAGCTGGCTTGCAATGGCAGTGATACCACTTCCACCTGCGAAGAAGATGACGTTGTCAAAAGAGGCCATTTGTCGGTGCATACCGCCATAAGGCCCATCGACGAAAGCTCTGTACGTCTTGTATGATCCCTTCTTAAGGGCAGTTTCACGAACCTTTCGGGTGAATCCTGCAAATGGTCTGAATACTAGGGTCATGTCTCGATACTGTTCGCCATATTCGGATGGAAAGTCCATGCTGCACAGAGAGGAGATGGTGAACGGATGATTTCCCAAGACCGAGATCGCTGGCATCCTCAAATAAACGTATTGACCTGGACGCCATCTTTTCTGAGTGGGGATGGTCACCTTAAGGGCACCCTCTGGCAGTATGGTGACAGCGGACTCCTCTCCGATCAGCCATGAGGAGCGTAGGGGATTCATCCAGTTCAAGTAGAACAGGCGAGCAAACATGGACAAGGCCATCAAGACAACTGTCGAGTAGAGATAGGCCCATGATGTCAGATAGTTATTACAATGCCAGAAGAGTAGACCAATGAAAGCCCACGCAACCGGGATATGGAGGATGACAAACAGTTCGTATGCTCGAGCACGGAGGATCGGAAGTGAATGGAGAGTCAGAAAGAGGAGAGGTGCTAATGCCGCGATACCCGTGGTGAAGATGTACCAATTTTGATGGAAGTAGAGTTTGAACGTTGCGAAGCCTTCGGGGTCTTTCATGGATTGCACCCAGTATGGAACGGCATGGATGATACCGAAGATGGCGCACAGGTATGCCGTCCATCGATGAAGGACAATTAGTCGTTCATGGCTAATTCCAGTTACCATGGAAATCGGATTGGCCTTTGTGGCCAAGGCGACAACCCACGGTAAGAGGGAAACCGACATCATTCCGGCACGGATTGCCAATGGAGGGGATCCGTAGGCCATGGTCTCATAGAAGAGTGGCTGAGGCAGGAAGCAATAGAGCAAGGAGGCCACTAGACAGATTGCCACGATGACAAGGACGCCGAGAGAGGGAAAGTTAAAAGTGAACCTCTTGGCAATACGAACTGGAGGAATAGGTCTGTAGAAAATCCATCTGAAGAAGGCGATTGTGTTATTAAGAGGTGCGATGGCAGACACAGCAGCTTGCTGCTTCGGCTTCTCGTGCACAAGCGGGCCTCTGGAAGGAAAGAAGTGTCGTTGCGAGGCATCGGTCATCTCGCTGGCGGCACTAGGGAGTTCGTAGTTCCCGTACATATTGTATGGTGAAGGTGACGCGCCAAAGGGGGAGACGGTGCTGGCAGAGTTGATGACTTCTTCCTTGTAGAGAGCTGTTCGGATCTTGTCGCCCCAGTAGTAATAAAGGCGGGTCAAGGTTGTCGTCACCACCAGGATGATTCCCACATATGTATACAGCAAGCCATACTTTGCTGCATCGGTGAAAGGATCCTGTTTTATGGCTTCGATAAGCAGTGGAGGTGTCGTGCTGTTGATGGGGATGTTGACTCGCTTGACCAACTCCTCAATCTCATCTTCGCCTCGTGCGAACAGCTGCGCCAATACTTCAAGTGGGGACGAAGACATGTCTGGGAGCCGTCTTGTCTTCTTCACCAGCAAAGAAGGAAAGTGGTGGAAGTACGACGCGGAGGGTGGAAGTGTCCTGCACACTGTAGCAGGGCGGACTACCAATGGGTCTCCGGACAGGTCTGGGGGTGGACCAATGTTGAGTGGGAATGAGCTATCGGGGGCCGTTTGTCTCGTTGAAGGTCATATATTCAGTGACCGGTAAAAGCACCCCAGTCGAGATATCCAGTCCTCGGAGGATTTGGGTATATGGTATAACAGAGAGAGAGAGCCAGCTCTCAGCAACAAAGCAACAAGACAGCGAGTGTAAGGAAGGGAGGAAGGTCGGAACTCGAGGCTCTTGGAAGGAGCTGGAGGGGAAGAGGGGAATCGCTGGTGCGATATAGAGAGATGGATCACAAAGAGGAAGGCATATCGCATGCGATCGGGAAGGGAGGGATGTAGGGATGGAGGTGACGAAGAATGACCGCGCGTGTGGAGGAATTGGAATTGGCACTACTCACCGTGATATTGGGACAGAACAGTAGACCAAGAAGCTACTGCTGAGCCTGGAGCAATGGTAGGACAGCTCATGTCTGGCCATGGCTCACAAGAGAACTGTGGCATCTGTGAGGATTAAGCAGCGGTATTGTCAGCGCTTGCAGGATGACGTGGATTGGCTATGATGGCGAACTGGGTCAGTAGCAGGAATGGAGCAGGAATGGCACTAGTGCGACATGGAGCGGACCGAGAAGGAAAAGATACAAGAAGAGAGCGAATGAGAGAAAGGAGCAGGAGGAAAACATGATGGGTAGAGAAGATGACTGGGTGGAGAGGGTGATGGAAACCAGGAACCCATGCATGAGGATGAGGATGGAAAGAGACGGGAGGCGAGTGGATGGGTGGTGGGTGGAGAGGTGGTGGAGGAGGAGGAGGTCGAAGTGAGATAGAGGGCAACTGGTACGAGCAGAGAGGAAGAGAGGCGAGGCGACGGGGAGACGAGGAGACGAGGAGACGAGGTACGGAGCACTGATGGCCATAGACCATCCAGGGAAGGTGGGGTACAACCATCCAAAAGCGCAGAGGGAAAGAGCGACACAGCAAGTCAGAAAGCACCCCAAGCAGCTGCAGCCGCCCGGAAGGTGTGATAGCCTTTCAAGCCCTCAGCCATGCATCCCGTAGCGCTGTCCTCTTCCCACCAACCATCTCCCTAGCTGCCTCCAAGCACTGGCATACTTTCGAGTCTCTACAAGGATCATCCGGGAAAGGTCTTCCAGGGTCTTTGGCTCTTTTGAGCTGTTCCTGTTTTCATGCGCTACCTTGACTCCAACCGTATGTGATATGGGGTGAAGTGGAAGTAATAAACCACGAGTAGGTGTCAAGAACGCTGCGGCACGGGGCAATCGATTATTCAGTTCGATCTGCAAGAGGCCATCGTGGATATGTTGCGCATCTAGGTATACCCTCACCCTTCTCAAGGATAAATTCACCAGCAGAAATCAGACGAAATGGCCAGTACCTAGACTCCATATACAGAAATTCAAACTCTATCATGCCGATGAGCTAGATATTAAAGGAAATGACTTCTTCCATATGGTCATATTTGGCCAGACCAGGGCGACAGCATCTCGTCTCTCAGCCCTTGCCCTCCAGATATGTGCCATCGAGAATAAGACAGAATAGGTCCAAGATGTTCCCTGCAAGGACCCGCGACGTACCCATCTCATTGTCGGTCACGACTTCCTCTTCTTCGCGCCACCCTTCTTCTCCGCGCCGCTCACACTGGCCATCGGTGCAGTGGGCTTCAACTGTTTCGTGTCCTGGTCTGCCAAAAGTTTCTCCTCCTTCTTCTCGCCCACAGCTGCATCCTCGTCGTCGCTATCCCCGCCCTGCCCGAATTCATTGACTCTCGAGTAATCAACTCGGTACTTGTACTTTTGATACAGCCAAATGAAGAAAATCACATCGTCCCGGAGCGTGGCCAGTCGATGTAATGTCGGCATTCGGATCGTGAAGGCAAACAGGTCGTCAATAAACGTGTTCAAGAACTTGTACGTCATGGCCTTGGACGGCATATGCGCCACAGACTTCAGACGGTAGTTGATGTAGAGGCTGGGCACCATCATCAAGAACCCATATGCATAGACACTGCCCACCAGCGTTTCAATCACGAAACTGTACCACGACTTGTGCGTTTCGTAGACCAATGAGTAGACCGCATACGCCAGCAGAAGCGGCACTGCCACGATGTAGAGATAGCGGAACGCAATCTGGTCGTACTCTTGAGTCTGTTTCTCCTTCTCCGTCAATTTGTGTTTGTCCTCAAACGTGACGACATAAGGCAGGAATTTGAACGCCGAATCCGGCCCGGGCTCGCGAAGGCGCACATCGACCGTCTTGGTGATTTTCCAGGCTTCCAGAAGAATTCCAAACCCTTGACCTGCTAGAATCATCCAGCTGGTCCCATCGGCATTATCCACCAGATACAGGAAAATGACTGCCTGCATGAACACATTGGCAAGAATCGTGCGCACTGATGTCCCAACAACATCCTTCTTCTTTCGCCAGTGCGCAATATCGCTCTTGAACGCCAGCATTTCGAATACCATGTGGAAGATACTGACAACAAACGTCGTCCCTAGCAGGTACGAATTGGTGTCGAGCAGAATCTCCTTGAACTTCTCCATCTCGCTCCCGTCACCCCCAGTCGGTGATGGCGCTCCAAAAGCGGCCTGCTGCTGCTGCTGCTTGATGCTATCGTCAATGCTCGACAAGATCGAGTATTTCCAATTGACAAGATTATACAGCTGGATTTTGAGAGGCAGCTCCGTCACCGTGTCGTTGAGCTCTGTCATGTGTGATCGCAGTTGCCAGAATGTGTTCAGATAGAAGACTGGGTAATACCATCCGTTCTGACCCGACAAATCTCGTGCACCGGTTCCCTCCAGTACAATGTTCTTGCGGATTGCAGGATGCATCTGCCGCCAGCTTTGCGTGCCAGTGTTCGGGATGAGCGCGAGCGTGAAATTTGGGTGGTAATAGGACGCAATTTGAACGCCCTGGGGTTCCTCTGGCTCTTCCCCAGAGTCCTCGCTCTTTTCAAGCAAATTCTTGAGTTTGCGCACTTTCTTCTTAGCATGATAGTGGTTCAGTGGTCTCTGGAAGTGATATGCTTTGGCCGGATCGTAGCCTTTCGACGTTGGGTCTATCTCACTCCCCGTCAATCCAACAAAGAAGTGCGCCCATAGAGTGGCATTGTGCTGCACTTCTTTCGGAACAACAATTGTAGTGTCAATTTCCCGGGTGTCCTTGTAATCTCCTTGCTGGAAATTCTTCTCGTCAAGAACGAGCAGCTCTTTAGGGAGGGTACTCAGGGCAGGAAGAGGGTTCCGCGAGGTCACATAGATCTGCACATCGAGCGAGCTATCCTCAGGCCAGATAGGTACGACGTTCAGTGGGATGGTGGAGTAGTTAGCAACAGCAGCGGCATCTGGTCTCTCGTTGAAATTGCCACTTCCAGCTTGGGGAGTAGCACCGGTGCTTTGTCCAGTCTTGGACCCGAAGAACTGGTTGACCACGAACTGTGTAGCTGCAAAGATGGCGATCCCTTGGACAATGGTCTGAACCATCGACTGCGGGCGGCCGTTAGCATGGAACCAAGTGGTCATTGTATGGGAAGCAAGGGAGTGGTACCTTTCCGCCGCCTTCCTCCTGTCGGGCTGCAGCTGTGCCGCTACCTCTGGCCTCCGGCATCTTGTATCTGCGAGATTCAGGAACTGGAGGAGTAACGTGGAAGTAGATTGTCGTAGATTGGGAGTAGAACGGACAGAGTGGCAGTCCGATTCCTACCCTCGACTGCAAGAACGGAGTCCACCCACGCCCCGATTCCCCGCCACTTTTTTCCGCAAGACGCAATTGCACGGGAGAAGATTGTTCCGAGGCCGAGGTTCGAGTCTTGTTCTTGGCGCATTTCGTCGCTCTGAACTTGCACGGCAGTCCAATCACGCAACTAACATAGATATTTCAGCCAAAGAGAACACTGTCTTTCTTCAAATCTTGCCAGAGATCGAGGATGATACTCGATATTGGGCCATGATTGGCGAGAAGCTCTGCAATGGCAAATGGGTCGGTTCCCATTCCTGCGCCTCAGTTTCCCACTCACAACGCCCCGAGGGTCTGGCTATTGACGTCTGGTGACTCTCCAATTGGGATCTCTATAGCTCGCCAGATCTTGAATCATGGTGACTACGTGGTGTCTGGTATTATCCAAGCTGAGTTCGAAAATAATGGGGCACGGAGTAAGGAGTTCAAAAGCTTTTTAGCGGAAGTGGGAAGAAATGCGGGCTGGAAAGATCGTTTAAAGGTCGTTGCGCTGGATATCAGGTAAGCACGGCTGTCTATGAATACTCATTGTCGCCATCGCCATCGCCATCGCCATCATCATCAATTTCCAGTAGTTACGTATCTGAAAGTGCTTGGAGGTTGACTTGTCCTAGGAACGTCGCGCATTGCCAGGCAGCCGTAGCAGAAGGAGTCCACACCTTTCGTGGAGTGGACATATTGTTCTGCTGTACAAGCGAGGCAATAGTGGGCACGATCGAGGAGCTTGGGGCAAGCTACCGCACCCTGACGTTGGTGCGCGACCAATTCGAGAGGAACTTCTTTGGTCCCATGAATATCATCCGCGCTGTGGTTCCCCAGATGCGCTCTCAAATTAATGGCCACATCATTGTCATGACCGGGATCACTGGTCATCTAGGGACACCAGGGTTAAGTATGTACTGTGCTTCCAATTGGGCATTGGAAGGATTCTGCGACAGCATCGCCTATGAGATTGCTCCATTCAACATCAAGTTGACCATTGTTCAGCCCAGCGTGGAGATTGGTATCTTGACCAACAAAGTAACATCTGCTCCACCGATGAAAGAGTACTCGAGAGAATTCGGTCAGACCGCTCCCATGTTTCGAGGAATACTCGACGGGCTTCTGAACCGTCTCCCTGGAATTAGGGAGGAGCATCCACCACCGCCAGAATTCGATATTCAATCACCGTCGTCTGAGGCCGAGAGGCAGAGTGGGCCATGGCTCCTCGGTCGCAATGAAGTGGTCAGCATGTACCCTCCACTGAGCCCGGCTCATACCGAAAAGCTCATTGCAGAGACAGTGCATGCAGTAACGGCGATTGGTGGCCATGAGAATCCGCCTGCGCGTCATATTGTCGGGGTAGAGGGAGTTGCCAGCGTCAGAGAAAAGCTCAAAACAGTGAGCGAGGAGCTCGAGGAATTTGCCGAGACCAGTATATCTGCGGACATGACCAAACAAGGAAGCGGTGCTAGCAAGTTGGGTGTGGTAGATATCGACATCAAGGACTTGGAGAGTGATGTCTTTGATGCGTCACTCGGGTTGCATTTGAGTTAATCCAATGTTAAGGTCCAAAACCCCGATCCCGCGCTTTTCACGGCTTGTCATAGCGTCTTCTGTCATCGTGGTGTCCACGGCGCTCCCGGTCTTTACGATCGGATGATCTGTGTGTGCCTCTCTCCCGGTGATGAGCAGCCTCGTTCCTGGTATCTGAAGGAGAGTATGAGCGCCGACGAGCGGGCCTCTCGAGGGAAGACGAATGTCCTCGTGATCGCTGATCTTTGTATTTTCCTCGGTGTGATTCTCTATGTCGGCCGCCATCGTCGCGTCGTCTTTTACGTTCCCTGTCGCGATCTCGACTTTTGCTTCGGCTCCGATGTCTTCTCCGTCCGTCACGTTTCGGTTCATCATGTCTACGTTTGTACTCTTTCAGCGCATACTGCAGCTCGGCATCGCCGGGGTTCGTGAAGCCTTCAATTCGTTCTCTGGGTGGACTGACCATTTCTGGATTGGGCAGTCCTGCAGGGCGCCCGTATCCAATCCCTCTCGAAGCCGCAGCGTCATTGCCATCTGCAGCATTTTTCAGCATCCCGCTAACCTCGCGCTGGCCGCCTAACTCGTCCATATTGGGATTGTTTCTTGGGGCGACGGGCAGGCCCAGTGCTCTTGCAAGCGCATCTTCCTCAGCCTGCTTGATTCTTTGTATTTCCTCCTTCCGCTCTCTTGCAGCCGTGGTGGCAGGATCCTCGGCGGAATTGTCATGTGCACCAGGGTCGGCTTTCGCATACCAATTGAGATCGCGTCCCTTCTGCCATCGGCCAACGGGGGCCATCAGAGAATGACCCAGGTAGTTCTCGCGGTGAGAGGAGCCTTGTACATCGGACCACTTGAAGTCGGCACGGCCACCCCTCGAGCCTTCTTTTCGGACCGTAGCTAAGAGATCCATGCCGAGGAGGAGGGTATGCGTGAGGAGGGAAGTTGAGGAGTTGAGAGTCAGGTTTGAGTTGGATTAATCAAGCAACTGTAGTTTAGGGATAGCGTGCTGCTGTGTAACGCAATCTCTCATGGGCACTCGCGGTAGGTGCAGTTGAAAATACGAGAGATCTAGCAGGAGCAGACCTTCACCTGCGAAGGGCTGAAACACAGACAGGGAAATAGTTGAAAGATATGATTGCAGGGGATGGACTTGTGCTGCCAGCCTGAGTCTGAAAGTGCAGGTATCGGCTGTGGGAATGGTCGGGGATGGAATCAACGATACATGGGATACCCAGCACGGCGCCGCTGAACGTAGAAGTGGACGTGTAGGATGTGTAGGATGCGCAAGTAGATCCTTGAGAATTGTTCGTTACGAGTGGGAAGAAGAATCCATCATGGATTGCCATCATCCCTGTCTCTGCCGCTGCCTCTGCTTCTGCACGATGCGTCATTTTAAGCCCGAGGGCCCCTCCACTAATAGCAGGAACCACCAACTACGAACTACTTGCTACCTACTCCGTACACCCGCTCACTATTAGATCATACCACTGCGTGTTCCCTCCACCATCAACACTTCAACGCCTCTCAGAAGTCAGAGGCAGAGGCAAAGGCAAAGGCAACGAGCGCAGCTCACACAGTCCAGCCGCTGCCGTCACCCTCGATTCATGTTGTACAGAGTCATCCAACCCTAGGAACCAACCCTCATCCACTATTGACGCCTGTGATACCCCCTGGCCTCCCAGAGCCTGGGCGGAGGAGGTATTGTCCCCTTTCGTCCTTCGTCCTGTTCTATCCTACCGAGCTACCCTACCGAGCTATCCTGCATACATCCTGTTCGCCGGATTGCATGTTTTGGTGCGTTTGACACTGGATACCTGTAATGCCCTGGGCAGGTGTTAGTCCACGCGACGACCCACCAGCCAAATCGTATACACGCCATTCATCGAACCATAGCACCTGTACCAGCCAGGTATGGTAGTCTGAATCTGCCTCTGGCTCAGCCTCCGCTTCGCCTCTCAAACTTCTCATCCGCGACTTCTGGCTACGTCCATTCCTGGCAACGTGCCCAGAGGAACTCGATGCATATCTGCAAGCGACACCACGTCCATTCAATGCTCCCTTGACTAAACAATTGGAAAGTCAGTGTGGTTTCACTTGCAAATCACTTCTCTCTCGGTTGGTCGTCTCATCATATTCATCACTGCCACTAGGAGTGATTCGCTTGATCTCTTTTAGCCTCCCGCTGTCGCACTGGATACTCGGTACAACTTCTAGAGTTATAACGCAATGGAAGCCGACCCCAGGTCATTTCAAGCGGTCAATATTGGATTGAATCGGGTCGAGAGTGGAAAGGCAAGGTTTACTCACAACGACATATATACACCGCCTCCAGTGTCACATTGGAGGAACAATCTGACTGCTCTGTCCCAGCGATTCAATCTCTATTTAGTCGCCTCCGACGAAAATGTCGTCGTCTACAAGCCTGATTTCCCCTTTCAGAGGCTGGGAAGAATGGCCCACCTGGTCATTGCCCCAGACATGGCCAATCCAGATGCCCAGGGCTACATAGACCGCCACAGGCCTCATTCTATCAACCATCTGGTAGTGGGTGACCTCGGAACAGAAGAAATCCTGTTGATAGCTACTGACTCTGGTAATATCACTGCCTACTACACCAGATCCGTGGAAGAGGCCATCCGGAAAGAACCATATCGTTTCAGCAATACTGCAACCGCTGAATATGGCAACGTTCGTCCTTTCTTCTCCGAGTGGGTTTATGAATCCGCCTGGGGTTTGTCAATTCATACTCAGGCTCGCATGCTTGCCGTATCAGCAAATACCCCACATCACATCCCCATGGACGATCCCTGTGCAAAGGTTACCGTTTTCGCATTTGCATTGACAGCTGATGACGAGCCTGCAAAAGAACCCAATCAGGATGATGACGACTCCGATCTTGATCGATTCTCTCAGTGGCATGAATGGGATGCCGCCCACCATGCTGGACTCCCGCCTCGAGACAAGAATTACAAGATCACTCTTGCTGGCTTTGAGGGTCATGATGCCAACATTCCAAGCATTTCTTTTGTGAATACGCCTCAGGACCCACAAGGTAAATGGCTGATAAGTACCGACATCGACGGCAATACAAAAATCTGGCACATCTGGCAAGCTCTTTGTCATAAATCTTGGAACTTTGCAGAGAATAACATTCGTGCAGGCTGGCTAAGGCGCCGCGAAGGGGGCTGGGCCGTTGCTGCCCTTGACCCTCGATGCTTCCGGTCAGTTCGAACCATGGAAGAGTTCTGTGGGCACTCAAGAGCGCCTCCCTACCATGGCCACGTTGGTGAAAGCTATGACATCACAAACATAGTTCGCCTTCGCACACCTGGCAATAGCCATGCTCATCCGCTCATGGTCGACACGTCTGACGACTCGGACGAACCAGTTGAGCCTGAAGATGCAATTGAACTGTGGCCGGAATCCGACGATATCACCAGCACCGATCCAGAAGACTTGCCTACATATCAACCCAGCCCCAATCAAGATGACATTGACCGCTTCCAGAACGATCAAACTACCTCTCGCTCTGTACATTCTCCGCAAGGACACTCTTCCACTGCCCTGGTGATTCAGGAAAATCGCACGGGAGAAGATGTAGCAGTTGCCATCATGGAAGATGAGGAGGAGGATTTCATGTCCTTGGAAGAGGACGATGGTCAACACGAGTCAAGCTCAGATGGCCTGGATGAGGGCCTCTCGTCAACCAGCCATCGCAGCATGACATCTCTTTCTAGTCTTGCCCAGCGGAACAGCCAGGATATCGAGGAGAACGAGAGGCTTCTGCTTGCAAGCCAGAATAGCCCGGGTGAGACCCCGAACCAAAACAAAGTGGCCAACACTTTTGCCACAGCAAAGCAGCAACCTTGGACATCCAGCAGCTTTCAAGATCCTGCTGTTCCTGATATTCCAATGCTTCACTGCAGCGCCTCGAATTTGAGATTGTTGAACGGTCCAGACGCAGAGTCACCACACATTTTCTGTGCCAATCTTCTGAAGCAGGCTTTACCTCCTGTTATCGAGAGAAACGGCCTAGGAAATTTTGATAGATTAAATATGGTCCATCAGATTCCCGATCTTGGGGTCGTCATCATCGCCTCTCAAATTGGCCGATGTGCTGTTTGTACTCTAACTCGGAATGGGAAAACAAGAGCCCCTGGCCTCCGTGTTGATTGGATATTGCCGACGAGAAAGCAAGAGTCAAAAAAGCTGCGACCTGTGAGACCACTACTAGGTATTGCAATATCACCTGTGCAAGGACGTGCGAGCTGCCAGCCGAAGAGCCCCAGCCCCGAAGAGGGAGGTACGATTGCCTGGGGAACCGATGGAGTTGTCGATGGTGTAGCTACGACCTTTGATCCAGTTGTACTACTACTGCGCAACCGAGGATGCAAATCTGACGATGACTTTCAATTTAGTCATGAAGATGAAGCGGAAAGCAGTTCGCTGGTGGCGAGACGTGCTAAGCGCAAACGTCCGTCATATGCGCGAAAAGAGGCAGATACCTCGTGTCACCCCTCAGAGTTTAGGAAATGGACGATGCCTGCTCAGACTGAATCTTGGGCGTCTGCCGAAAATAGTCGTCGCTACAGACTCATGTTGACGTACTCAGACTTCACTGTCTTCACTTACGAACTAAGCCGTGGAGTGGAAAGAGACGATGTTGCTCAGAGAGAAGTCTCGGTCTTTGACCTACTGGATTGATCCCTCATGGACCTGGCTTTCTGTGGGTGACATCGAGATGACCGACACATATTAAGAGCTGATACGACATCTCATTGTTATTGCTGGAAACACCCGAGACACACCGGGGTTATCCCGACGCCAACACGGCCGAAGGGTCTTCTTTCCTGCTGTGTCATTCTGGGAACCAGAGCCCTCGTGACAGCCGTGTTCGACTTTTCAAAAGGCCCAAATCAGCTGGCGATACATCCGAGGCTTGACCCACCTAATCAATTAGTAAACGTGCTCCACCACCCTGAGCCTGCTATGGGAAGTTCGACCCCAAGGAACCATACGAGATGAATACTAGATGTCTTATTTCGCGGACATCAAGATTTAGAGCATACCACAGCCACAAGACTATGCTTCTACAGCTCTCATCATGTCCTGCAAGAACCACGAAACACTTTAAGCACGTGACTTAGTCCGACATTACTACCGTTCAAAAGTGATGCTCCAGCTTTTCGTACCTTCTGACCACTTGCCATAATATACCGGCCCCTGCCACGCTTCTCAAACTCCGGCAGCGACCCCAAATCGCTCACTGTGATCACGTCCCTGCTCAACGGAACCGACTCTTCAATTTTGGAGATGAGACAGATTTCCAGAGGGAGATGTGCCAATGTACCTATGTTCCGAAAAGAAAACAGTCGACTGAATTCAAGAGATATTAGCCCAAGGTTCATTCAACGCTTTTCAAAAATAGCAGCCGAAGCATAGTATCTTGAGACTTACAGGTAGGTCAAGGAAGCTTGTAGGTATGAGTGGCGGGGAGTCGAGAACCATGCTTGAATAGCTCCCGACCATGAACGCGGGAGCTTACGCCATTGAGAATAGGTTGAAGGGCACGAGGTCGAGAGCTAGTCAATTTCTGCTGTTGGAAAATCAAGACCTACGAGAGCCGTGTTATCAATACAGCATTTGCGGTCCACAGACCCAAACGAAACATTTTCAACCCTGATCCATCCGCCAACCAGCGCTCGCAACCAGTAAGTACCACAAACACACCAACACTACACTTTTTTCAAACGCTGTGCACATCAGGTCTATTCGGTCTTGCTGGCTAACAGCACTGTTCTATGACAGATGGATGGACATTTTCACCGAGGTGTTGTGCTAGAGATCATACGTTTACCCCACAAAGCAATGGCGAGCGTGGATGGTCACGCCTGATGGTCACCAAGACGCGAGTGATGAGTATCGTGAAGCTAGCACATTTGATACCCAGGCCAGCTGCGCAAGTTTCAATTTCGGCAAAAGCGTAATAGGCTGTCTTTCTCACAGAACTTGTAATCCCACAATCACTTAACTTGAAGTGTGCCCGCCTGTGGAGTCACCTTGAAAAGAAGCACCAAGCCAATCGGCCCTCAATTTACATTGATTTTGTGAATCATGTCATTTTGCGTAATTATCCCTTGTAATGATTTCTCCTTGGCCCGGTACTGTGCCCGTCCCTGTCTTGCACAGAATCGAAAAAGCTCACTCTTTCTTGATGAGGTCCGCATCGTCATCGTCATCGTCATCGTCATTGCTCTTTGCCACTTCCCCACATCTCAAGCCCAACTATAATTTATATTACTTACTAACACAGATCAACGACAGCAGACAACAGTGATATTCCTCCCCGAAGCACTACAGTGCTGTCGAAACCCCAGCAGCACGCTTGGCTATCTTGGCATGAATTCAAACCATCCATTGCAGGACACCACAGACTCCCAATAGAGCCAACCAATGACGGAACCACCGCCAAAGAAGCGCATCGTGATCATCGGCGGCGGAATCATCGGGTGCACGACGGCGTATTTTCTAACGCGGCACCTTCAATACGACCGCTCGCTGCACACGATTCACCTGATCGAGGCGACGGACATCGCCAGCGGTGCCTCAGGGAAAGCCGGCGGGCTGCTGGCGCTCTGGGCGTATCCGGCGTGTCTGGTGCCGCTGAGCTTTAAGCTGCACGGCGATCTCGCGAGGGAACACGATGGCGCGGAGCGCTGGGGATACCGCGGTGTGGGCGTGGGCCAGATTGAGCTGGTTGGGAGGAAGGTCGGCGAGCGGCAGATGAAGGCTGCGGGAGATGGATGTGGCGACGATATTCGGGGTATCCATCGCTCTGACGTCGCTAGTGATGGCAATTTGGAATTGGATGCGGCCAGGGTGAGCCTGCAGAAGCGCAGCGCGGAGTCCTACGCCCGCCTGCGCAACGCTGGGCTGCCGGATGATCTGGACTGGGTTGCGGAGGAGAGCGTGCGGGCGTACGACAGCATGGGCTCGCCTGAGGACACGGCGCAAGTCCACCCGTACCAGTTCACGACGAGCATGGCGCGCCTAGCGGAGGAGAAAGGGGTGAAAGTGATTCTCGGGTCGGTCGATGAGATCGTCGACCATGACTCGTCGTCCCCTGGATCTGAAGCACTCCACACCGTCAAGTACACCGACAAGGAAACCCGCACTTCGCATTCCCTCTCCGCGACCGACGTGATCGTCACCGCCGGACCGTGGACGAAATCCATCCTCCCCTCCGCGCCCATTGGCGCCCTCCGGGCACACAGCGTGACAATCCGCCCTTCGAGGCCCGTCTCCGCATACTGTCTCTTCACACAGATCTCGCTGCCTAAGGACTACAAGGCCGGCACGAAATCCCGCGCCACAACCGTCACACCCGAGATCTACGCGCGGCCCAAGGGCGAGGTCTACGCCTGCGGCGAAGGGGACCATCTTGTGCCGTTGCCGAAGTCTGCCGCCGAGGTGGTGGTCGATGGTTCGCGATGCCAGGATATCGTGGACTACTGTGCGAGTTTCTCGGACGAAATGCGTGATGGCGAGGTGACGGCACGCCAGGCTTGTTATCTGCCACAGGTGGAGAGGGGCGCGGGCCCTTTGGTGGGCTTGACGCCCAGGAAAGGCGTGTACTTGGCCGCGGGTCATACTTGCTGGGGCATTCAGAATGGGCCCGCGACGGGGAAGATCATGAGCGAGTTCGTGTTTGATGGGAGGAGCGTCAGTGCGGATGTGGGTAGTTTGAACCCTCGGAGGGTGCTTCGCTGAAATCAGGCCAGATAGATGGAGCAAGGGATGTGTTATGTAGCATGGTATAACTGGAAGTGGGGATTACTAGAAAGGTCGAGAGGGACTAGGCAGGGAGACCTTTTTGAGGTTAGAATTACTACGTGTTCGTAGTTGATTTCTCTACCATCATCAGGGAAATCTCATACTCGTAGACGTTCTCTCCAAGCGAGGATGCTGCGTTCGATGGTTGATAACCAGACTTTTTCGAGGATAGCTGTTACAACCATGGAGACCATCCTTCACCAAAAGGCCATGATATCTCTGAATCACCGCAATCAAGCCTTCCAAGCACTCACGACCTGCACGACATCCTCGTCCGCGACGGGATGACTCAAGCCCACTCTCTGCGGAACATGCTTCGCACTCGCGCCCCAGACAAGCGCATACTTGAACGTATCCTTCAATGTGCGATGGATCTGATCACAAACATCCTCGATTGTGCTGTTATTCCTCACGATCAGCGCCTCCCCAAACTCCGGATCAATGCCCTGCCGCTTCGTGTAGATCCTGATCAACCTCAACTCCTGCCAGCAGCGTTCCACCACGTCCTGAATCCCTAGGTCCAACTCACATGACATGACCACGGTGTTCGGCTCATGGGCCAGCTCGTCCAGAAAGTCCACGCTCACGGCGTCGATCTTGTTGTACACGTACAGGCAGTTGATGTACTTGCGGTGGTCCTTCATGATTACGTCGATGAAGTCGTCCACCGTCGCGTTCTCGTCCCGCACCAACACCTCGCAGTTGAGAATCTTGTAGTCGCGCAGGATGTTGTACAGCATCTTCTCGTCCAGGTTCTTCGGCGGCGCTTGGAAGGTGATTTTCATGCCGCCGGCCTTTTTGGCTTTCAGGTAGATGTTGGGCGGCGAGCGGTTGAGGCGGATCCCAACGGCTTCGAGCTCGGCTTCGAGCAGCGCCCGTTGTTCGACCCGTTTGGTCGCGTCCAGGACCATTAGGATGAGGTCGGATGTCTGTAAGCTCGGTGTGTGAGTTGAGAGCGCGATCGTTGATGGAAAATGGGGACCCTTCTCTGGAGGGCCTTACCTTTGCCGCGCTGATAACCTGTCGTCCTCGCCCCTTTCCTTCCGAAGCGCCTTCGATGATTCCCGGGAGATCGAGGATTTGTATCTCTGCGCCTCCATATTCAAGGACACCAGGGATGGCTGTCAAGGTCGTGAAAGAGTATGCTGCCACCTCAGACTTGGTCTTGGTGATCTTCGACAGGAAAGTCGACTTGCCCACGGACGGGAAACCCACCAGAGATATCCTGGCATCACCGGATTTAGAAACATCGAACCCTGCACCTCCACCAGATCCAGCTCCTGGTGCAGGTTCCAAAAGCTGTGCTCGAAGTCGGGCAAGTTTCCTAGAGATATTGAGTTAGCCTTTTTGCATTCCCAAGACCTGGAAGTTGTTGCAGGGGTGAATTTTATGGGCTCTCCTGAATGAAATAAAGGGGTCTAGGAGGTAGCTGGTCGAAGTATAGCTGTGTGAACGAGTGCTACCACAGCCTGGCCATAAGACCAGCCCACGTGATCTGTGCGCTCATCACGTGGATAGGGCACATGCCCGGTCTCAATCGCCAGCATAACTTGTCCTTCGTACCCATCCTCTGAACAAGTAAACACCTAAAAAGCAATGGACGCTTCAAGCTCACCCTTTCAGCAATCCAAGATGGTATTCTGAGACATTTCTGTCAGAATTGAACTGAATATATCTGTTGACTTTGAAACGAACCTGTGGCTTTGTTTTCTGCAACCCATCAGTATCTTGCCAATCGATCTACGGCAAGCTGCAGCAACCCACTTTGAGTCCTGGCCATTTCGGCCTCGATCCTGTGGAAGTGTCAGAATCCATATCGCGTCATAGAGAGGGACCGTCTCCGCACTCTTTGATCCGCTCAGTAATGTTCACCATCTTGCCGAAGTCGATCTGCGGCCCTTGAGAGGAAGATAAGAAGTCCGACCCAAATCTGGTGCTTCGCCGGCGAGAAAAACAGTCGCTTGAACACGGATCGGAACACTTGTCGTCCCCAATAATAGACTGGACTCACACGATAGCCAACGTCCTCTTTCTTGATGCTTTGAGCCAGAAAGGGAAGCCGGCGAAGTTGGAGTTTTGAGAAGCCTTTGAGGATAAACAGATTTTCCGATCCGAACAAGTCTTGGCCTCCTGAATATCCGTGCCTTGTGAGTCAGGCTTCAAATTGCTCACTCTTTTTCTTCCATGACACAAACTGTTAACGACAAGAATGAGAAACATGAACATGGTGTAGGTGGTCGCAGCATTCGCTGCGACCGACTTAGGCATTTCTACCCCTCGTCGGGGGAAAATGCCAAGAGTTTGATCGAACCTAGCAACCGCATAAGTATTCACTGAAAAGTCACTGTGCTGCTTAATCAATCTTTCACCATGCCAGCACGAAAGCGAACCAAAAATCCAGTTCCTCAGGTTCCGAAATCTGAACCGCTAACAATGGCTGAGCCATCGTTTGGTCGATCTCATCGAGTGCTTGAGGAAGAGATTCAAGGCTATCCAGAAGTCCAACGCAATGAGTTTCTCACTACGAGAGCAATTTATCCTGATGATTTTGAGGTTATCCACGGACGCAAAAACGCTTGGCAGGTGAGTCGTTGTGTGACAGCAGCTGAATGATCAGTATCCTAATCTGACTCTAGACGCGGGATAACTTAGCGTTTCAAGTGCGAGTAGGATCCTTGGAAGATAAAGATTACTTCGTGAAACTCATTTTCGAGTTCCCGCCAGAATACCCCAAAGTACCGCCCAAGATCAATATTGTGGCGATACAACCAAAAGACCATGAACTGACTAAGCAAATTGAGCACATAATCACAACATATCCAGCCTTGTATCAAGGAACCGAGTCCGTCTATGAAGTCAACAATGCCATAATGGATCTACTTGACCAAACAATCACGGCCAAAGCCGCAAGCAAAACTGAATTTAGCCTTGAAGAAGAACGCGCAGCACGTGAAGCCACGGAAAAGAAAATGCTTCAAGAGCGAGAAGAGCAAATTCAAAAACAGAAGGCTGAAGAGGCTGAGAAGCAAGAACGCTTTCTAGTCTCTCAGGTTGAAAGTGAAAAAAAGCGCCGCCAAAAATCTACCCTTTCGAGGAAAACCACTGCCGAGGACAATGCCAATCTTTATGACGTCCCCGAAGAACCTGTCAGATTCGATCAGTCGATGGTTGCTAGAGATATAGTCACCAACGCCCCCTTCAAATTCAAAGCTGTCTCCGGAAGAAGTGTCATTCTCAAACGCAAGGACAAGAAGGTGACAATTGTGGCACCACGGGTGGACGTCGATCTAGTCCAAGCACCACAGTTGCTCTTGAAACAAATATATATTCCAGAGTCCATTGCTCCCAAAGCAGATATGCACAAATGGATGGAGGAGATAGAGCAACTTCTTGAGTCATCAAAAGAGCACCACAATCAGAATGTGGTAGACCTTATCAACTACAGGATGGAATATGTGAATCTCAAGGATGGTTCAGCGGTGTGGAATCTTGCAATATTGTCAGAATATGCGAACAAAGGATCACTATCAGATTTACTTGAGCTTTCGGGCCCACTCAACGCAAACAAGATCCGCTCATGGGGTCGGCAACTGGTGGATGCATTGATGTTCTTCGATCAGCAAGGTTATGTTCATCCAGCTGTCCACGCGAAGAACGTACTGATTTTCTTGTCCTCAAGTGGTGGCATAACCGTGAAGTTATCAGATGGATACGGTACAAAGCTTCGAGATCTTGTCAATAAGGCCCGTGATCCTGCCGCTACTGTAGGACGCGATTCACCTCTTTGGGTCGCCCCAGAGCTAAATGGCAATAATCCTACACGCACAAACAAGACCTGTATCTGGGACCTCGGAAAGATTATCTTGCAAATGGCACTCGGGAACAATTTCCAGGAACAATACACCTCACCGATTCAAGTTCTGGAAGGTACCGACCTAGAAGACAGTTCTGAAAAATTGCTGGAGCATCTTTTCCAGCATAACCCGGTCAAGCGCCCAACTCCTTTCGAATTGTCTCATAGGGACTTCTTCCGAAAAACACACGAGGCCATATTTCGGAGAGAGTCACCCAACTTGCCTGGGACACCGTTGCGCCAGAGACGGCAGAGCAACAAGACTGATAGCAAGTATCATAATGAATGGGAGGAAATTGAGAAGCTTGGAAAGGGAGGCTTTGGCAAAGTCGTTTGTGCACGCCAAAAGCTGGACGGCCAATTCTACGCTGTCAAAATAATTGAGAGTACATCGCCGCAAGAACTGAACGATATTGTCGGTGAAGTCACGTTGCTAGCGAAGCTCAATCATCCATACATCGTCAGATACTACAATTCCTGGATCGAGAACGATGATCTGAACCTGGGACGACCTGCACCTCGGGCGAAGGGCAAGCAACAAGTTGTTTCCAGACGACAAGCTATGCCTCTGAGCACCGGTCATGACTTCATGGAGCCTTCAATCTATCGAAATCAAGGGGCTGAGTACAGTGATTCGAGCGGTGGGCTGTTTGGATATCAAGATCCTCCTTCATTAAATGAGCAAGATGGCTGGGATAACGAGGACGATGTCTTTGGCACAGACCCCGAACATGCAACAGATCAAGATCCCACCTCATTCGATGAACACACTGGCGAAAGTCCTCCTACAGATCCTTTTGCTCGTTCCTCCACGGATGCACTCTATACAGACTCTTCAGGACCTCGTTCTATGCATCCCTTCCGACCACCAACCCCACCATCTGTGCAACTCCCAGAGAAAGCTATGCTATATATCCAAATGGAGCTTTGCGACAAGCGGACATTGTTCAATCGAATCGATGAAGGCTTGCATCGTGATCTGGATATGGTCTGGCGCTTGTTCCGGCGTATACTCGAAGGTCTCGCTCACGTTCATAGTATCGGCGTGGTGCATCGAGATCTCAAGCCTGCTAACGTGTTTCTTGACTCTCATGATAACCCTAAGATTGGCGATTTTGGGCTTGCTACCACTGGCCAAGCAACGTCCAAAGCGAAACAGGCTGAAGCAGGAATGATCATTGGAAGATCCACTGGGGTCGGCACAAAAGGATATACTGCTCCGGAGCTGTACCACCACGGCAATAAGTACGACGCAAGAGCGGATATGTACTCCCTTGGCATCATGTTTTTCGAAATGTGCTGCCCCTTCCGATCGGATATGGAGAGATCAGTACTCCTAGACGCGCTCAGAAAACCAAATCCAACCCTCCCTGACATTTTTGACACAGAACCCTACCGCAAGCAAGGCGAGATCATCCGCAAACTGGTACAACACAAGGTCAGCCTGCGACCACAAGCAGCAGAACTATTGGTCAGCGATTTGATACCTGAGCCGCTGGAAGATGAGAAATTTCAACGCTACATTGACCGAGTTGCCGCAGAGAATCCGGCGGAATATCAATCCTGGGTCACCAAACTTTTTGCGCACAAAAATAGTGCAGTCTCAAACCTTGCCTGGGAAGACAAGAATGCCGTCAGCGTCTCATTTGGGGAATCAATGTTGTTAATGTCTATGAGTGATCAACTGCGCGATATTTTCCGCCGACACGGTGCCACTGAACAAAGTCGACAAGGCATATTCCCGAAAGCAGAATCTTACGAAAAGGCTTCTATATTCGTTGATCCCGCTGGACTAGTGGTTCAACTTCCAGCCGATCTTACGCTCCCTCTTGCGCGATCACTTGGACAAACACGCTGCCGATATACCAAGACTTACTGCTTTGGTCAAGTTTACCGGACTACTGCACCAGGACAAGAGCCATTGCAGTTTCCGGAGGTTGATTTCGATATTGTATCACACAATGCTCGAGACTTGAATATCAAAGAAGCTGAGGTGATCAAGGTTCTTGACGAGATTCTCGTCGAATTTTCAGCATTGGCAAATCGATCCTGGACGATTTATCTCAATCATGGTGACTTGCTCGACATTGTTTTGGATTCATGTCGCATCAAGCACAATAACTTTGCGAAAGTAAAACAAGCACTTTCCCACCTCAATGTTGGCAGTACCACTTGGAAGGAAGTGCGAGAACTACTGCGTGGTTCAGCTCTAAACATTCCAGAGACCTGTGTGTCAGACCTTTCTAGATTCAACTGCGAAGGTACGTTGGACGATATACGAACCAAATTTACCAAGCTCTTCGGTGAAAGCGAACATCTCAGCAGGGCTCTACCACACTTGACTCGGCTCGAAGAACTTGTTAAATTCATCAAGAGGATGAATGTCCAGACTGAAATCCGAATCGCTCCTCTCAGTAATAATTCAGAACATCTCTATCGAGGAAGCATCGTTTTTCAATGCATTGAGACTAGCACGAGAAAAGTGCTCGCGGTGGGAGGAAGGTACGACGCGTTGATCGCCGAGTATCAAACCAAGCCTGAAAGAGGTTCAGTCCGAGCTGTTGGCCTCCGATTGAACGTCTCCGACCTCATCAGCTACACGAGGACTCAGGCCCAGAGTCTACTGGGTGGCAAACCGTCACGATCTGCAGCGATGGACCCCAAGGCTGCATCAGCTCTCACCCGATGTGACATCGTTGTCACTAGTTTTGACCCAAGCACGTTGAGAACCACGTGCGTTGACGTCGTATCAACGTTATGGGGGGCCGGCTTTAGTGCCGAGTTGTCAGAAGAATCTCGCTCCCTTGAGGAGCTAGAGATGGCGTGTAAGGACAACGTTGGATACTGGGTGGTCATTGTGAGGGGCGGAGCAGGAGATCGGGGGTTGAAAGTGAGGAGCCCGTCGAAGGAGGAAGACGAGGTTCGGGCGGGTGAGTTAGTGGCGTTCTTCCGTCGCAACCTACGACGGAAGTAGGTAGTTTACATGAGAACGTTAAGCGCATCCGATTAATTCCTCCTCCCAGGGTTCCTTATATAATACGCAGTAGAACGATGTCTACGGCGTTCTTCAGTTCGGTGAACAACCAGTAGCTCACTAAAAGAACGCCGTCAAGAGAGTAGAGCTTCTTGCTGGCGTCGGATAATGGGATAAATACCATGCCTGTGCTTGAAGTCGACCGCAAGGCTGTCGCATCCCTATCATTCCTAGTGTCGTACGCCGTAGTCGCATATAAATGATTCACCGTACAACTCATATTACCCCTGGATGACGTACCGTTTAGGACAAGGCGCGCGACAAGGCCACATGTGTTCAAAAAGTGCGGCGACTTCGAGATTATTGTGTCCCTCTCTCAAAGAACTACGCAACTGACCAGTCCTGCAGTTCTGTTGTTGGACAGAATGTCACCCTCATCCAGAGGTCTCACGTACCGATGGAAACTTTTATTCGGAATATGCATACTCTTCTCCCTGTCAGGTAACGCAGTGCATGCCTCAGACGCAGACTCCAATTCGTCTTTACTATGGGGTCCATACAGACCCAACCTGTACTTCGGTGTACGACCGCGACTCCCAAAGAGTTTGACCACCGGCTTGCTCTGGGCGAACACCGACAGCTACACCTCGGCCCAGACCAATTTTCGACACACCTGCGAGCAACATGAGGGCATGGCTGGCTATGGTTGGGAAGAGTACGATGCCCGCAATGGCGGTCGCGAAGTCATACATGACACTGGGAATAAAATAGACCTTACAATTGATTTTATCAAGATTCCTGGAGGGCAACACGGTGGGAGCTGGGCGGCAAGAGTAAGGGGAGTACCTCGAGAAGACGCGCCCGCAACCCTGGTCACAACCCTGGTCTTCTATGCGGGCATGGAGGGCCTCGGGGAACTTGCGTTTACATCGGAGGAGCCGGACGCTGAAGGCTTCGTGACTATCCATGGCCAGACTGCTGATCTTGGTGAATTTGACCTCACGTTCACCGAATCACCGGAGAATATGCTCCCATACAAAACTCACCCCGCATGGGACAAAAAGCCCGTTGATCGGCCACTCATGGGCAGCGTGCAAATACCAGCTGATGCGATCTGGCAGGCAAAGAATATCATGTTTGCCAGCCTGAAACAACAGGTCGATTCCTACGTCCAGGAATATGGACAAGAAAACATGCCCCCGCCGTGGCAGACGTTTACTATCATTCAAGATCCTGGCCCAGGCAATTTCCACATGGTCCAGAAAGTATTTGTTGGTGCCTTCGAATTTGACATCCTGTTTAGCTCGGCCTCTGGACCCACGGTCACGTCGGACAGCTTGACAAAGGCAATATCTAAAACGTCAACGACCTTTCAATCCAAGTTTAAGGAGATTTTCAAGCCACTGGCTCCCTTCACCAACAAAAAGTTCACCGCTCTCTCCGAGTCCTTGTTCTCTAACTTATTCGGTGGCATTGGCTATTTCTACGGCGACTCGTTGGTGGATCGATCATATGCTCCAGAGTACGATGAGGACAACGAAGGCTTCTGGGAGGAGACAGCCCAAGCTCGAGCTCGAGCCGAAGTTGTCAAAGATCCAGCTGTGGAGCTCTTCACAAGTGTACCATCACGGCCCTTCTTTCCTCGTGGCTTCCTGTGGGACGAGGGCTTCCACCTCATTCCAATCATCGAGTGGGATCTTGATATCACTCTTGACGTTGTCAAATCTTGGTTCAATCTGATTGACACCGATGGCTGGATTGCCAGAGAACAAATCCTTGGACCGGAAGCACGGAGTAAAGTCCCAGCAGAGTTCCAAGTCCAATACCCTCACTACGCCAATCCACCCACCTTGTTCCTCATCATTGACACGCTGATCGAGAAGCTGGAAGCAGGATCTTTCTCCTCCGCAGAGGCGGAGCGAGTCAAGACGGAACTCCAACAGTTATACCCTCTGCTCAAGCGCCAGTACAACTGGTTCCGGAAAACTCAATTTGGAGATATCAAGTCCTATGACCGGGAGGCCTTCTCGACGAGGGAAGCCTACCGGTGGCGAGGCCGCACACCACAGCATATCCTGACCTCCGGCCTGGATGACTACCCGCGACCTCAACCACCGCACCCTGGCGAGCTCCACACCGACCTCATCTCCTGGGTCGGGCTGATGGCCAACACACTCTCCCGGCTTGCACCACTGGCCTCCGAATCGGACGACGCCCCAGACTATACCTCCCAACACAAAGCTATCCTCCGCAACATCGACGATCTGCACTGGTCCTCCGAAAACAAGGCGTACTGCGACGCGACCATTGACGACTACGAGGACTCCGTGCACGTCTGCCACAAGGGCTATATCAGCCTGTTCCCCTTCATGACGGGGCTCCTGCCACCGAACCACGCAAATCTGCCGCACATCCTCAACTTGATCCGCGACGAGAACGAGCTATGGTCCGACTACGGGATCCGCTCGCTCTCGAAGTCCGACCCCTTCTACGGCACGGAGGAGAACTACTGGCGCTCGCCCATCTGGGTGAACATGAACTACCTGATCCTGAAGAACCTGCTGCGCGTCGCGCTGGCAGACTCGGCGCCGGCCAAGGTCAAGACCCAGGCGACCAAGATCTACACCGAGCTGAGGACGAACCTGGTGACGAACGTCTTCAACGAGTGGGAGCGCACCGGCTTCGCTTGGGAACAGTACAACCCTGAGACGGGCGCCGGCCAGCGCACCCAGCACTTCACCGGCTGGACGAGTCTCGTCGTTGTCATCATGCGCATGCCTGACCTCGCCAAAGAGGCGGGCATCAAGCATAGCGAGCTGTGATTGCCTTGCCCGACGGTTAGAAGAGGATAAAAGTCATGACAGGTGGATGGGCTTAAGTTTCGGTGTGCGAGGAATAGGGATCACAAAAAGTCCATGTGCCGTTTATTTAGATTGAATACCATATGTACGCATGCTATGAACGCAAAACAACCATTCGGATAATGCTTACTGGAATGAAGAAAAGAACAGTCCATTTAATTTACATCGAATGTAGTACTACTAGTCGCTATCTTCATCGCTGCCGTATTCCACCAGAAGACCGCCAGCCGCTGCGGGCTTCGCAGGCTGCTGTGTGCGAGTCGGTGTTCTTCCAGCTGCAGTAAATTCCTTCAGCGCAGCTAGCGTAGAGCCCGAGAGTATGCCGTTTTGGTCATTGTCTGCAGGTCCTGCTCGGCCAGTAGGCTGATTCGAAACCACCGCAGGCTCTATATCACCTGCGTCATGTTGGATATCCGCACCGTCCTGACCAGGAGGCGCTTCGAGAAGACCTCGCTCCCCCAATTTCTGGCCCTCAAGGTCACGGTACCTCTGTTGGTTGTACCAAACGGCTTCCGGAGCCTCGTAGCCTTCCAGACCATATCCGGACTCGATTTTCCTCTGGTCTTTCTCTTCTCTCGTCTCCCGCCCCTCAATCTCTCTCACTGCGCGGTCCCCCAACGCTCTCCTAACCGCTTCCGCGGCCTGCTCTTCGATCCTCGCGGCCTCTCGCTTCGCGCTCAGTGGATTCGGATCGACCGTCGCCCAGCGCACATTCAAGATCTCATTATTATCCAGCGCCTGATGCGCCATGGCCTCCTTCGCAAACTGCGAATTTGCTTCGTTGACATACGTGATGAAAGCGACTCCCCGGCCGGTGAGCACCCTCGTGCGCTCGATCTCACCCCACTCTTGGAAATGGCGCGCGACAACTTCCTCAATGTCGTCCGTGACGTGGATGCGCCCAACGTAGAGTGTGCGATTCTGGCGCGTGAAACTGCCGACGCCCCCCATGTCGTCGCGGTAGTCGCTGTGCTTGTCACGCCCGAAGCAGTCGATGTTGGGGTTGAACACGTCGAACACGGTCGGGAGCCGGTGCAGGTATTGGCATTCGTGGCCCTTGGGACACAGCCCTCGCGCGAAGAACAGGCAGAAGAAACTCCCCGGAGTCTTGTCGGCGGCCGTCCAGCCGGAGTCGTTGCGGATGTTGCAACGTGAGGGTGCGGCAGTTTTGGATAGGTAGGCATCCTCGCGGTCGCCGCCGGACCACTTGTTGTACCATATGTTGAAGATCGTACCGGTTTGGGGAGGTGGCTCGGATTTTATCGTTGATGGGTCGACTTGAGGTCGTGCTGGGCGGCGTTTTCGGCGGATGAGTTTTGTTTTCTTCGTGGGCGGTTCGGAGGAGGTAAGAGAGGAGTCATTGTTGGTGGTGGCGAGGGCGTTGCTCGGGGGTTCGGTGGTGGGTTCGTGGTCGGGAGATGCAGAGCGCTTTCGTGATGGTGAATTGGGAGTGAAGGTCGTCCGCGCTTGCACAACTTCTGCCATGGCTGCGAGTAGTACAGCGAGTGCGGCAGGGAGGAGTTCGTCGTTGGAATGAGGTGTATGTGCAAGTTGAAGTGTGTAGAAACGAAATCAATAACGAAGTCACAAGCCGCGCTTCAGAAGAACTTTCCTGACGCTGTTCGAGCCTATCACGTGATATGGAATTGCTCCTTGCCGCTTTACTAGCGGATGACACATCGTTGTCAGCCTCGCTATATCCCCGCCACTACGCAAGTCTTAAACTGAGCGTTATTATTGACCCATTGACTCAACTGCAACCATGAATGGAGTGAGAAATGAATGTTTCTAGGTCTTTTGGATTACAGGAAAGAATAAATCTTCATTCTTATCTAGGGATCTCGTGAAAGTATACATCATTTTTTTGATTAATTCTCATCCCTCTCGTGAACTATCAGCAAATTTTGATGAGGCAGATTGAAATAGAAGATCGAGTGGTCACATTCTTCGTACATCCTAGAGAGAATTTCGTGAATGTTTCGAAATCGTGCCTGTCCTGAATAGTCTTTGATTACACAGAAACATCGCTCGCACTCGAGTACGATCTCTTCTCGGTTAGCGGCCTCGCGGGGGTAGCAGTAGCCGGGGAGACTTTAGCAGTTCTCTTCCGGCGTGTGAGCAACCATGCCAGAGCTCCGATGGTTCCGACAACGGTAAGAGTGACTCCAGCGCCGATACCACCAGCAGCGGCGTTGGACAATCCGGAGCCGCCGCTCGAGGCGCTGACACTTGGAGATCCGGAGCCTGAGGTCGAGCTGTCTGATCCATGCAGGGTTTCATAGCAGAAACCTGCATCAGATTGGCATAGAGTGCACCAATCACTGACCTCAGCGATGCTGCGTGATGAAAGCTCTGAGATAAAGTCACCATAAGGCAAGCTGAGTTCAGATCCGCCAAACAGAGGGAAAGCAGTCAGTTCGTCGTCTGCGGTTCCGTTCTTGAACAGGAATCTAACTCGAAGGTCTTGGTCTGGGTTGGCTGGGAAGGCCGCTGCATTGTCCTCCTCACTGAAAATCTCGAATGCCATGCTACCAGCATAGTTTGGAAGGCCGAAGAAGTCGGGGCTTGCGTCGGTGAGATTGGTCAAGCCATAAAATGCCATCTGGGTATCATAACTTCCAGCCATGAGGCTAAACTTAAGCTTAGCCTTGCCCTCAACAATGTCTTGGATTTGGCGGAGCGCTCCACCGGCAAGGGTCATGCCACCAATGGATCGATCAGGCATCGTTTGGTTATAGTTGTGATTCCATTCCCAGTGGTCGGCGAGATATCGCAGTTGGTCAAGGTCAGCAGCATCAAGGTTCTCGGCAACTGACTCGTTATGGATTGAGCCAACATTCAAAAGGTCAAACACATCATAGGCATTCTCGTATGAGACATTCTCTGGCCCCATGATGTCTCCGAGCAATGGGAGAAACTTCTCGTAGAAGGACGCCGTAGCATTCAAGGTATCTTTGTACTCGGCGCTGTCGTGGTAACTGTCATATGCTGTATTGTAGGTTGGGCATTGATCATCACCCTTGATCCAAATTGTGTCTGGAGTTGTGGTATCCTCGCCATGGACCAGGATGAACTGGTAGCCATTCAGCGGAGACATGACTTCAGTGCCATTGGTCAAGGTCTCCGTACTAAGCTGAGTGTTGAGCTCATCGAGAGGAGGATAAAGACCTTGCAGGAAGTCGGTCGCAGTTTGATACAGAATCCCCTGGTCAGGAGCAGACGCCCATATTTGGCTGGCGACTGCTTTGTCGGAAGAGATATTGAGGACCTTGTTAGAGGCCCCTTGTTCCACGTATCGTTCGCGATAGTACTGACCGGACTCGTACATCTGGGTAGCACCCAGATTGGTCATGCCGTAACCTTTGAAGAATTTGGCCGTTCTGTCGCCATGTCGAGTGAAGACGACAACACTGTACAACGTCTCGGCCAGGACAGGGGAAGCGGCCAGCGAGGCCAAGGTCAACTTCATCAAATGCATATCGAATGCTTCTGCTGTACAATTTCCTTACCTCAAGACTGATTCCCGCGGATTGCAAGTTGGCAGAGAGTAGGGACAGCCAGAAGGAGAAAATCTGAGCGAGGGCGGACTCTCAGGGCGACTTAAGAAAACCGGCGGGGTGGAGCTTCACGGTAAACTTACTGCTTCTTGAGCTCTTAAAGACTCATGATGCTCTTGGTCTGCTGCGGGGTTAAATCTTTGCTCCTTGGGGATCATTGGCGCTCAGTAGGAGAGAATACGGCTCATGGAGTCCAGAAGCGCTGCCTTCACCACTCAAGCAGAAAGCATGCAGCATCCTCAACCACTCACACAGATAGGTTAGAGATAGCCAGGCGAATCGATTGGCAACGAAAATGGGAGACTTGCGGACAATTGTTCTGCCATGGTTAGTAACATGGTAAATCACAGTCAGCTTAAGCATGCACTGGTACGCCGGGATAAGAAATGCCAGAACGACAGCTGCCAAGAGCAGTGCCAAGTCCCTGGAGGTGGATCACCGACGGCTTTCCTCACCAATAGGATGCTTATGTGCTCCGTGCGAGGTTAGCCCTCTCGCTAAGTACTACCCAGGTAGGGAACATCGACCGGGTGGACGGCAACGCACCTTCGTCAGTGGCCCTCTCCGATCAGACCATGTGCTTGTGAAGAATTCAGTCTGGCTTCTATTCAACCTTTTTGATTTCATACCAGAGTCAGGTAAGCATATTCCATCACCTCGAAGACGTCGGAGAGGCTAGCGAGGTGGAAATCCATCACGCTCCATTGCCAAGGACTCCATGGAATCAGTACACAAGCTTCCGGGTGCTCGTACGAGGCCAATTTTCTGCTCGGGCGAGTTTCTCTGATGTTTCGACGAACAGACTGTATCATGCTCCTCCTGAGCCAAGCCGAAGGGGATCTGGATAGTCCTCTACGACATGTACTGTGCGATACCCTCATTGCTCAGTCAGGCTGATCAAAGGAGTGAATTATCCGAAAATACCCAAACTACTTGAATGACAAGAAGCTATTCCCGCTGCCGAATAATTTCCAGTATTCGAATTTGCGGAGGACACTGAAGGGGAACATGAAGGGCTTGAGTGCAAAAGTATACTTTTTGTGATTCCCTCCGACTTTCCACGCTGACTAGGCTTACGAGCGAAGTCGTAGCAAGACAGTCAAGGACTTCGCCAGGACGTTCGCCGTAGGGTTTGATAATAAGATCCAAGGAGCCTTATCTCCTATTTATGTTATGTATAGGTACATAGGGGTGAGAGAAAAGGGATTAACCCAGGCACGAACCGGGGGACTTGGCAGCGCTGCTTTTGTCGGATATCTCCTACTCGAAGGAAGATTACGGGCACCTATGAGTAGGTACTTAGGTACTTAGGCTTCCCGACGGAGAATCTATCCATTGGTAGCCGCCGAGGACATCGGTGAGCGGCATCACCATAGTCTCAAATAGGTGCTGCGGTTACTAACGGACATCAGTCGATTCAAAAACGATTCGGCACGCCCTTTGGCGATGCTGGTGGTCTGCTTTCGCCGACGGAATAGGGAATAAGGCGCGCATCGCAAATTCAATATCTTAAATCCTCCAAACCAGAAGATGCTTTCCACGTGTACCTTTTAACGTTCCGCATCACGATCAAAGATGCCTGCAGCATCTAGTTCCGTAGTAGTCCTTGGTGGAGGAGTCGCGGGTCTCACGACTGCGTTGGAACTCAAGAATAAGCACCCCAATATCAAGGTCACGCTGGTTGCCAAATTTCTGCCCGGTGACGTCGCGCAGGCAGAGTATTGCTCTCCCCAAGCCGGTGCTAATTGGACCTCCTTTGAAAACGAGTGGAATCGGTATGCCTGGTATGACCAGTTCTCATTCGGACGGTTCTTACGCATAGCGGATGAATTTCCAGAAAGCGGTGTCGAACGCTTTCCTTTCCGTTTGGTCCATGGGGAAGAGGCGGACCGGAGCAAGAAGCCATGGTTTGAAGATCTTGTGGGTGGTATCAGACCGACACCGCGAGAGGAACTCCCACCTGGTGCTGCATGGGGAATGGAGTTGACTACATTTATGTTCAACTCCCGACTATATCTCAGTTGGTATGCTCCTCTGGAATCTCCTTTGGCGATTGGGGCTTATGGCACTCTCCTTTGATAGGCTTATGCAAAGGCTGCTGAAAGCCAAGGTACAGATCATTCGGCGTTCGTACAGCCACATTGACGATGTGATATCCGATTTCCCAGCTGCCACGGCCGTTTTCAATTGCACTGGGTTAGGTGCTAAGACATTAGGTGGCGTCGAAGACCAGAAAATGTACGCCACGAAGGTATTCATTGGCCCCAACCTCTGAATGATCAGTTCACCATTCTTACTTGTCCTAAGGGCCATACCCTGCTCATCGGTGAACCCAAAAATCCCATCAAAAAGATGTATGTTTGGAGTCAGCCATCACTGTTTCCAGAGAACGAGTTTTCGCACGTCTTTCCCCGGCCCCTAGGCGGGGGCATCATCATCGGAGGCGTTCGGCTCGATGGCGACCAGGATGAAACCCTCGATGCCGGTCGCACAGAGCGGATAAAGCAACGGGCCTGCCAACTCTGTCCAGAACTCGGCAGTCCTAAGGACTTACAGGTCATCAGTCAGAACGTCGGCTTGCGTCGTAAGTTTTCTCCCGTATTCCGTGAAATCTGGTGCTCTTCAACCACGCTCGAGCTTTTGCTGAACCGCTTTGTCAACAGCAAGTAGGTCTGGGGGAGGTCGTGTGGAGAGTGAGCAGAGGAATGGTATTCAGCTGATCCACAACTACGGGGCTTCCGGAGCTGGTTATCAATCATCCTGGTAAGTCGTTCCCCTGGCGGTTGAGGCAAATTGAGCATTCACTGACTGTGGCTTTCAAAAGGGGGATGGCAGCACATGCCGTGTCTTTGTTCGAGAAGAAAGAGCTTGAATTTGCACCGAAGCTGTGATATAAGTGTCGCCACGTCTGAGATCATTGCTTGCAAGTATCTGCTGTGAAGCCCCGTCGTACATTTCGAGGAACAGTACTTGGTTAGACAGATAAGCATGAACCCTTATCCAACGCTACTTAGCATGCTTCAATCGGGACTTTCGAGTTATCAAAAGTGGTACTCCATGCCATCTTCCAGCTAGTCTTCTCGACGAGAATCTCTTTAGAGATTTATGGGGAATCGATACCGGAATGAGTCGCAGTGCTCCTGATATGATATAAATTTACAAGAGTCGAATAGAACTAGCATCAGGGGCTCCTTCGCTGTGTTCTGTTTCCGGAGACCCGAGTGCTTCTACCTGCCTATACAATAGTGAAGATCTGATTGGGATCATCAATGCAAGCTGCTTGATCCAGTCTTCCATCCGCATTTGGAGCCAAGCAGACGCTCCCTGCACCGTTATTCGGTTGGAGTTTGAGACTTGTTTCTCCTCCGGTAAAGCGGAACAACTGGCTGTCCGTGACGGAGCCGCCACCGTCCGCTCTTCCTCCGCAACTGAAGATCATTACCGTATCACCAGCTGCCCTCCTAGGGTCAAAGTTGAAACATCCTTGAGTCAAATCGCTGACAATCAACGCAGAATTTGGTTGATTGTTGTGCTTTCCTGAGGTGATGAAATCCCACTGCTGGCCTACAGAGCCATCACATGGTTGAAGGACGATCGGGATTAGCAACTCCCGAAAATCACCTGCAGTCCGGTCGATGAACAGGCACTGGCCAGATGCAGATCTGATGGAGACAGATGAGAATGCTCGTGTGGCAGTGTCGTCGCGAGGATTTGCTTCCGCAGCTGCAGAGGGGTTGAGAACACCACCTGCCCTCGAGACCGAGACGACGGAGGGAGAGGCAGTTGTCGTTGCTGCGGTTGTTGAAGTAGTTGGGGGTAACGTGATTGACGATTCCGCATCACTGGTTGTGGTAGGCTCCTGGGGGGCCGATGTGGCGGAAACACTTGTGGTTGCGGATTCCTCAGCAGCCACTGTTGTCGAAGACGTGGGCTCGCTGGTAGGGGGAACATCATCTCCAAAACTGAATGATTGGCTAGGATCTCCTGCAATACAAGCAGCCTGGTCGATGACACCGCCTTTCACAGTCAAACAGGTGCCAGGTGCATTTAGAGGAGTGAAAGCGAGGGGTCCTGCACTCCCTGCGAATGGGAAGAGCTGAGAGTTCGTCACAGCACCGCCTTCGCACGACTCATGGTTATTTATGTGCGCTGTGTCGTCATGGAGAATCAACAACTCACCTCCATCAGCACGTCCACCACATGAGAATAGGATGACCTGATTCCCTGCTGCTCGCCGAGGGTCAAAATTGAGGCAAGCTCCTGTCTGTGAACTCCGACGTTAGAGTGGATCTTTAACTCATGTACGACTACATACAAATGCATTGACAATCAGCATCGTTCCTGGTTGGTCGTTATGTTTCCCAGCAGTGATAACATCCCAGACCATGCCAGCATCGCCATCGCATTCACCAATCTGGACGGGGGTCAAGTTCGCACGGAAATCTCCAGAAAGTTGATCAACAAACAAGCACTTCCCATCAGATGTCTGGTTGCGTCATTAGCCGAGGATCTGCAGAATTCTTCTAGTGTGAGAGCTTGCCTTGATCGGGACAGAGGAGAACACCCTCGTGGCTGTGTCGTCTCGCTGTTGGGCTTCCTCGAAGGCTGCCTGGTTGAGCTCCGTAACTGTGCGTTTTCCAGCGACAGGATGTGCGGCAACAAGTGAGGCCGCTCCCAGTAGGAATGTCCAGACAGAGGAGACCATGATGCTAAGCCAAGAAAATAACAATGGAGAAATAGCAAAAAGAATGGATGCGCCAGGCAAAAAGAATGGAACCCGGTCAACAGGCGTGCAAGCAAAGAATGACGTTGGAATGATCAACACCAAAACCGAAGAGAGAGAGATATGCGAAGATCGCCAGAAGTAGAAAAGATATAGTTTGCCATGATCAGAGGCATCATCTGCGGTATTCAGTATGTCGTTCTCAGGATCGTGCAATCTTGTCACAGTGCCTTTCTCCACAGCCCGGGGACCTACTTCAGGTTTGGCTTGTTTGTTGCATGTTCCGCTCTTGTAAAGGTGCAACACTTTGGCGTCAGACGAGACGGCGGCGGCATGACATGTAGAGGGTTTTCAAACCCCTAGAAACTCCTAACAAGGGCCAATTAGGCCAACTTACTGAGGACACGAAACATGAAACAGTGGTTGCTGCTTATGGGAAGGTAACATCAACGTATTCCCCTGTCACTAGTGCTACCCTCGGACTTAAAGGTACGAGTAGAAAAAGAACTCCAATGGGTAAACACTGCGAGGAGAACAAATCTGCTTCAGGAATGACGCTACTTCACATGGAAAGAATGGTAAAGACTGGCCATCTCCTAAAGCTGGTTTGGTTAACAGCTTCCTTACTACGCCTACTAGCTACTTTAGAGAGCCAGGGGAGTAGGAGCATCTAGAGCCTAACTATGTCAACCTAGGTGGTTTCGAGACTAGCGTGCCTTGGCATAAACCCTTCTTCGCTTAGTTCACACTAAGTGATCTACATAACCATGAGAGCGAGAATCTCGGGAGGTGCCTACGCCCCATTAACTCAAGTCCAATACTGAGAGGTCGAACCTTCCGAGATATCCAGTGCAGTCAAGCGAAGTATAGTACCTTAGCTGGGAGCTTCTGCTGTGTCTTGCAGCCCTAGCTTCAGCCTGGCCCATGGTTCAAAAACATTCAGTCGACCTTGCGTCCACCCGGAAGGACTTATGGCTTAATCAATGAATCTATTTCGATTGTCTGATAAGACACTCATATGTCGTCGGTTCTTCGGCGCGGACTGAAGATGGTTCCACATCCACCCATAGACCCTCTCCTCGTAATCATTGGGGCAACTGGGACAGGGAAATCCAAGGTGAACAACATTCGTGTCCTCCAGGACTGATCTTTCACTAATCGCGGCAGGCAGCTAGCTGTCGAGTTGGCAACTCGCTTCAATGGCGAGATCATCAACGGAGATGCAATGCAAATGTACAAGGGACTGCCAGTCATCACCAATAAGATGTCAGAGATTGAACGAGATGGCATCCCGCACCATTTGATTGATTTTATTGGCCTCGAAGAGAAGCCTTGGACGGTCGCGAAATTTGTAAAAGAGAGCTGCTGTATCATCGACCAAATCAGATCGCGTGGGAAGCTTCCAATTCTCGTTGGAGGAACACATTACTACACACATGCACTATTGTTCAAGGATGCAACGCTGACCGTAGACGCAGCGCGTGATGGAAAATCCGATGCCAGTGATGACGACCAAGAGAAGCAGTGGCCAGTCCTTTCGCAACCAACCGAAGTGATATTGTCAAAGCTCAGGGAGGTTGATCCTGAGATGGCTAATCGCTGGCATCCTCACGATAGGCGCAAAATTCAACGCTCGCTCGAGATCTGGCTTGCGAGTGGAAGGAGAGCGTCAGAAATTTACGCAGAACAACATCGGCATCGTCAGTCCGCGAAAGAGAGTCGAGAGCCAGGCATCCTGGACGACACTGAGATGAATGCAGAGGGCCTTCGCTTTCCTACCCTACTTCTGTGGCTAGAAGCCCAAGACTCTGTTCTCAAGGACCGTCTCAATAGACGTGTTGATGCTATGGTTCAGGATGGTCTGGTCGAGGAGGCTCGAGGTCTAGTACAGCTGAAAGATAAGTTGTCCAAGGATGGTATTCCCGTCGATACTGCCAAAGGAATTTGGGTGTCAATCGGTTATAAAGAGATGGAGCCTTGTTTGAACGATCAAGAATCTAAAGCAGACGCCAACAGGCAATCAAGGATGATGCAGGAAGCCTTTGAATCTGTCAAGGCGGGTACGAGGCGTTATGCAAAGCGCCAAAATCGGTATATCCGTATTCGACTGGCTGATGCATTGAGGGACGCCCGCCAGCTGGACAAGCTTTTCCTTCTTGACTCTACCTCTCTTGACCAATGGGAATCAATGGTGTCTTCTCCTTCAGAATACTTGGTCGACTCCTTTTTACAGGGCGAGCAATTGCCGACTCCTAGTAGCCTCTCACCTTTTGCCAAGCAGATATTAGAAACTCTCCATGGTGACAAGAACGGTTCTCAGAGGCTTGCAAGGACTTGTGAAGTATGCCAGAAAACTTTGATGACCGACAAGGAGTGGCAGGGCCATCTGTCGAGCCGTGGTCATAAAAAGGTTCTTGCTAGCCAGCGAAAGCATGCCTCCTCACCCAGGACAGAGTCTAGCATGTCTCCAAAACTTTTGAGGAGTTCGGACCCGGACTGAACCATAATGATAGCTCGAAGAAGAACATTAGCAAGCTTTTCTTTATACGGGCTCAGAATGAAATGCCGGCCCGTGAATTTGTGACTACGGTTGCTTGCCATTTGAGTTGTCCGGCAGTTCGCCCCCCGCTGCCGGGTGTTGAAGAAGGTTGGTGCGCCAGTCAACAAATGCTGGCAGCAAGATATCCCCATGACCTGTTTCTTCAAGTCGAAAGACTTCAAGAAAAGGCACTTTCTCCCGCTTCCGTATCCTCCAAACCCCTTCTGTGGTTACCACTCCTCGCAACCCTACCATACTTTGTCAGTTAAATCAGACGGAATGGATTCAAACGTACATTCAAGAAAGCTTGAAGCAAAATTGATGCATACTTGGCCGTCCCATAAGCCCTTACCATTAGTTCGAACCTTCTCGGGAATGGTTTGCGTATCGAGTTCCTCGAGCCGTTCTAGCATTCCCTGCTGATCTCGATATCCAACGACGATTTTGGGGACGCCAAGAAGAAAAGATTGTGCCCAAAACTTAAGAAGCTTCCTTTCCAACTTGACTTGGTCACGGTCGTTTCGAACAATAGCAGACGTCTTAAGTTCGACCCAGTTGATTTGCTGACTTTTGTCTTCTGGCTTGTGATCTAAAACCGCATCTACTTCTCCGCCGATAATCATCTTGACCTTGCCGAACCCGGTCCGGACTACTGAGCAGTATTGTGCATAGTTGCTCACAACCTGGTCCTCCCGAGACTCAATATAGCTTCGAGAAGTGCTGGACCACGGGTCATTCAATAGTGCTAGAGTCTCGAATTTATATCCCCAGAAACTCATAAGGTTTTGGGACATTGCACCCGGATGCGCAATTGCCTGGTATTGCTCGTCTCGGGAGGACAGCTTCTTTTTGTGATTTTCTTCGATAAACACTGTACCCTGAAACATAGTCGCATTCATCTCCCAGCTATCCAATTTCGAAAAGGGGACTATCATGATCTGCTCGACTCATCAGCATTGGTTTACGCGTCGACAGGAGGGCCACACCTTCGTCATCATACCTCGCCATGTAATCAGGTCTGTCTCCACCTTTGAACCCTTCACCTTTTCGTAGGCCATGACTGCTTCTAATAAACCATCAAGATGGTCATCCGCTGTGTCGTCAAGCTGACGAAAAGTATCGAACCCTTTGTTCAGGTCGCAAGGCAACGAGGGAGGGTAGTAGTACCGCAAACTGGAGGCGTCATGGCGGAACTTGTGCTCTTCATCGTACGAGAAACAAGTAATTTCCTAACCAGTCAGAGAATATAAACTAGGCATTCTTGAAGACTCACTCGTGGCCGCCGTATTGCAGCTTGAAGGTTCGCGAAACGGTGTGTGGGCTCGACGTCAAATCTGACAGTCTGCGGTTGCGCCATGACACGCAGCTTCAATTTGGTCTCTTCAGACAGCGACAAATCGATCACTCTCCATACTATGCTGAGTGACTGGTCCGAGGGAATATTCCTGACAGTCTTATTAGTATGGCGAACCTGCTAGGAATTGAGGGTGCATAAATCCACGTCACGTGTCCCGGCGTTCGCGTTGCGTCGAATTAACAATAACGCGCCGCATCGGTGATGTCATTCTCCCCTCCAACTACTTGTCCAAGCATCGTGTTGGTTTGCCAGTACCTGGTAGGCGATATCACACTACCAATACCAACAAAACAACCCACCATAGAGCATATGAATCGGTGTAAATGCCTCTCAAGGCCTCGGTGATACCTTTGTCCCAACTGAAATCCTCCTTGATACCACTGATCGGTTGGACCACCGCAGGGTGTCACGTACAACAGCCTTAGGTGGCATTGTTCTTGTGTCAGTTCTCGACTGGGGTCGATTCCAACGAGGTTTCAATGGCCTTGGAATAGCAAGGGAGATTCTTGCTAATCTTTCCGTACTGTGCATCAAACCGAATGAAGTGGGGCTGATTGCGAAACCTGGCCCCTTGATCAATTCGAACTGAAGAGTAATGCTGAACTTGATTCCTTCTCACGAAGGGCTATGACCTGTGAGAAAAATCGTTCTATACTTGGCCCGCTAACCTCCATTCACTTATCCTGCGTAATCCTCCTGATCAGTACCCTGCTCGCTCGCACAACGGTCCCAGTAACTGATATTGATACCACCCTGGGCCAGAAACCCATGAAGGTTTTTAATTGGCGCTGCCAAGCAAGCGTAGCCCTATGCGGGCCTGAAGTCTAGATGCGAGTAGGCTGCTCCTCGCTGCATGAACAGATCAGCTCTGATGCAAATGTACTCGACCCTGAAAAGGTCGATCGATGGTCAAAGATTATGTATCACGAAGCACCTCAAGACGTAGATCCACGCTGCAAAGCCACTGGCGAACTAATCTGTCAGATCCCAATCTTCACATCATATATCCGTTGAGAGACGGCTTAAACTCTCACCGCAGACACCAGTCCTGAAACGCCAATGGACAGTTCGTTCACTATGTCCTTCAAAAACAGTTATTGGCTTTGGGGTGATCTATCTCACAGACATCAATTAGATCGAATATTAGACGCCTTTCATGGTCCAAGAACAGCAGTGCTATTGAGAAGCAACCCGTGTCCATCCCACCATGTCCTGGGAATTCAGGATTGAGCAAACTACGAGAGGTATGAAGTTATTCATTGAGATCACTACCATAGAGGTTGTTATGTGTCAAGATTATATTGCAGTGCCTTCCGGAAACAATGAGCAGAGGAATTCAACACTTTGCTACTGTCAAGGCATTTTTGCCATCGAGGAAGACATTGATACATTGATCGTGTAGCAAGGCTGAGTTGTGAGGAGATCTGAACTAACTATATCTAGGCTAGCCTAGCATAAGATAACTAGGACGGCAATGCACTTGTCCTAATTCAGCTAGGGGCTTGTTGATGAACTCGTATATCATCTTGGCTGTTTTACACTTCCAGTTTATTCCTCCGGAATATCTAATTCCAATTCTACCAACCTTGCCCGGTCATCAGTTAATGATTTTTTATTAGCATTCAAGCCAGCGACGCTTGGTCTTCAAACCTGACTTTAAGTGCCCCAAACTTGCATGATGCTACGGTGAACGGCACGTGAAACCGGGGTTAGTGGTGGAAAGAGATCGTCTCCGCCTATCCAGGACTTTCCGGCAGAAAATGCATAGCCTACCTGCAAAGCTTGCTATTCTTGTGGCAAACGTGTTTATCATTGCATCTCTGTTGGTGTTCGCAAAAGGCTTTTTTCCACACAAAGCCTCTCTGCCCGGTTTCGCGCAATGGCCAGTCTCTTCAGCGGCCTCTTCCAGGGCAGCACCGTTTGACCGAGTAGTTTTTATGGTGGTTGACGCCCTAAGAAGTGACTTTGTCTATGGAAACTCGACAGGCTTCAAGTTCACCCAAAGTTTGATTCGAAATGGAGCAGCAATCCCCTTCACCGGTTATGCCAGTCCTCCTACGATCACCATGCCCCGAGTGAAAGCTATCACTACTGGCTCAGTTCCCAGCTTTGTAGACCTCGTGCTTAACTTTGCTGAATCGGACACAAGTTCAACCCTAAAAGACCAGGATTCCTGGTTGGCACAGCTAAAAGCTAAAGGCGGAAAACTAGTGATGTACGGAGACGACACTTGGCTACGCTTATTCCCTGGATTCTTCGAGCGGTCTGACGGAACCACGAGCTTCTTTGTTTCGGACTTCACGGAAGTTGACAACAATATCACGAGACATATCCCCGCCGAACTGGAGAACGACGATTGGTCTGCCATGACCCTCCATTTCTTGGGTTTGGACCATATTGGGCACAAAACTGGCCCGAGAGGCCCCAACATGCCGGCAAAACAGGCAGAAATGGACGGAATAGTCAGAGACATATATACTGCCATTGAAAGTACTGGTCATCTTGAATCATGCCTGCTTGTGCTTCTTGGTGATCATGGGATGAATGAGGGAGGTAACCATGGTGCTTCATCTCCCGGTGAGGTGTCAACAGCTCTCACATTCATCAGTCCCAAGTTTAAGGCAGCTTTTGAAGGGCAGACAAGTCCCATCAACGACGCCATTGACTATCGCTTCTATGATATCGCCCAACAGTCAGATATCGCGCCTACACTGGCAGCCCTTCTAGGATTTCCAGTTCCACAAAACAATCTCGGTGTCGTCATCCCGCGTCTGCTTGAACTCTGGACTGTGCAGAAAGACCAATATGATCTACTCTACGAAAATGCAGAGCAAATAAAGCACATAGCACAGGCTACATTTCCGAATCATTTCAAACAAGTTGTGTCATCTGAGAGCTGTTCTACAAACACAGGCGATGATGCAACAGCCCTTGCTTGTCTGTGGTACTGGGTATCACAAAATCATAGCCGTTCTTCGACGGTGGGCCCGAACCTCGACGCGATAGCGGACCTGAGAGCATTTCTGCAAAAAGCCCAGGATGTACTAAGTGGAACCGCCAGCAATTACGATCTGATCAGTATGTACGTTGGACTTGGACTCGCGGCCGCCGGATTCCTCTGTTGTCTTCCTCCATTCGTGCGGGGTGCTTTCGAAGCGGGGGCTGATGGCTTGTTCCTGATCTTCGTCATGGTAAGCTATGCAGTTACTATGTTTGCCAGCAGCTATGTCGAAGAAGAACAGCAGTTCTGGTATTGGGTACTCGGAGGTTGGTTAATAGTTCTCTACCTCAAAGGCAGCAGGTTCTCGAGCAGCGAAACACATTCTGGAACATTGGCACTATTTCCTGCATACGTTTTACTTGGTATTATCCGTCGATGGCGACAGACAGGCCAGAAATATGCTGGCGACCCGGACCTGATAACAGAGATTATTGCGCCAAATTCATGGTTCCTCTGGATTCTGGTGAGCCTCACATACGCCCTGCCGTCCAGGAATCTTAGCGCGAGGGCAGCCAAATGGATGGGATCCCCACAAATGGGCCTTTTACCAGTCCTGGTCACGATATCGGCGTTCCTGTTCAAGATTGCATTTACTGCTGCTGATGCCCCGGAACTACTCCGTGACTTTCCTATGCTTAACCCCATGGTTGGGTTTGTGTCGAGATACCCTCTCTTGAAGCTGGCACAAGTGGTGTTCCTGGGCTTGACGCATCTGGGAGCGTGCTCAATCTACTACGAATCTCCATGGAAAGATGTGGAGCACTTCAAGTCATTTCTCAAGGTCTTTCAAGACGTTCTCACGATATTCTTGGTCACTCAGTCTCGAACGGTATTTGTACCGCTGTTCTTGTTCTTCCATCTTCAACTCAATTTTCTTCGGAGAGCCAGAGCGTATTCAGTCGGTGAGGTTACGGTCATGGCTTTACTGTTTCAATACGCATCGTTCTTTGTCCTGGGCGGGACGAACTCCATCGCAACAATTGATCTGTCTAATGCATACAACGGGATCAGTGGATATAATGTCCTTGCAGTTGGCATTCTAACATTCATCAGTAATTGGACAGGCCCAATATGGTGGGCCTTCGGTACTTGCCAGCTTCTGAGCAACAGCGATCTGATAAAAGGCAGCTGGGCTTTCCTCTTGACAAGCCTCACTACCTTTGCATGCGTGCATACCTTGTCCGTTATGGTGGCTTGCACCATGCTTCGGGAACACCTTTTCATATGGACTGTATTTTCACCAAAATATCTATACACTGCTGCCTGGGTCGTCGGCCAGCATACCTTCATTAACACGATTATCGTTGGCGCCGTCCTGTGGCGGGGTGGCAAAGGGAAAACGACGTGATCATCCCATCGATCAGGTGTGGTAATAGATCGATAAGTCTCCCAAAACTGAGTGAAGTCATCAATACGTGGGAGGCCTCGGTATGTCCTATCATCATCATCATCATCATCATCATCATCATGCGCCATTTTTCATCCTTGATACAGCAAACCCCTCGAAAAAGTTGCCGATTCCCTCATTGTCATCAATGGAAAGGACCTTAGAGACATCTGAGAGATCATTAGCTCCTTAGATTAGATCCAAGAATTTGCATCAACCTACACTGGTCTGGTCGCACGATGACAATTGCTCCTTGATCCGGATCGATGTTGTATGTCTCGTAAGCCTTTCCATCACCCGAGTTGTAGCTTTTTTCATCGATGAAGACTTTGTGCAGATCTAAAATAAGTCAGCAAAGACTCGATCTGGATTCTCGGTCTTGTCTTGCCTCGCATTCTCCATTTCCCTGTGACAGGCCAGAAATATTTGGGGATATGCTCTTGCTCGAGCTCCGCATGAGGGCCAATGAGCACGACAATCGGCTCGATCAGGCTATCAATGTCTGCAGCTCGAGGGGTGTATCTGTGAACAGGGCCTTGTGGGGAATCTAGATAGTCGGCAGTCTGTTGTGAAGCATCAGTTCCCTCCCCGTGGCAAGAAAGGTTGGGGCCAATCTTCTTACCTTCTGCAGCCTCGTGATGGTTTTGGCATCTCCGATTCTTCCGGCGAAACATATTATACGCCATCGTCCGTCCGCTTTCAGGGTTTGAATAAGTGGCATTGCCTTTGCGTCACAGAATCGCACCACCTGTGCATTGGGGAATCTCATTCCAACCACGATCTCGGACGCTAGTTCTTGCCTGCTCGATCCACTTGATGTGAGACTAGAGTCCTCATACTTCGAGGTCAGGCCTGCGGTAAATCTCCCCGATTTTATGAAGCCTTGGCTGAACTGTTCTGGAGTTGTGTTCTGCTTGCTTGAGAATAGCTTGGTGAAGAAGCGATCGAAATCGATCAGATCCGCCGCTGTCTTTCCACGTTCGAGATCGTACGTCTTGAGCAGATCAGGGGTAGCGCCGCCCTTGAGCACCGTCGCTAGTTTCCAACCAATATTGTATCCGTCCTGCATGCTGACATTCATCCCCTGACCAGCTTTGGGTGAGTGGGTGTGGAATGCGTCACCGGTGAGGAAGACACGGGTACTTTTCGTGAAGTGGTCCGCGAGACGTTGACCAATGCAGTAGCATGACCACCAGTAGGTGTCAGCATATTCCATTGTGTATGGACTGAAAACCTGGCGTGCCTTCTCGTGTAGGTGTTCGAGCTTTACACTCTTCACGTCGGTTCCGGAAGGAAACTCAATGTAGAAGCGAACGAGTGAGCCACCTTCTCGTGGGATGACTAGAATGCTTCCGTGGTTGGAATGGATTGTGGTCTTCCGTCGGATGTCTGGGAAGTTGGTTCGAGGATATATATCCATAACTCCCCAGACCGCATCTGACGTATCACCTACCATCTGGTATCCCAAGGATCTTCGGACTGCGCTGTGAGCCCCATCACATCCCTGGGCGACTGTTAACGCTTGCCATTGGAGCTAGTCTTGATATCAACTCACCAGAACATACTTCGACTTGAATGTCTCATCTTTTCCAGCCTTCTCAGCGACCACTGTCACAGCATGTGCTAAGGGATCATCCACAAGGGAAGCATCAAGGTCAACACTCTTGACAGTATAACCATACTCTACCTCCTGGCCGCCATTTCGCCGCATAAGGTCAAGGAGTAAGCCATTTATCCTGGCTTGATTTAAAATGACGTGGGGTTGGTGAGATAATCCGGGCTGAGTATCTGCAGTTCTGCTCGTTCGGTGAATGCCTCCTTTGCCATCTGCAGACCAGAACGCGACTTCCAATACGTGGTACGCCTCTCGAAGTAGTTCCTCGGCGATGCCGAAGCTCTCAAAGACCTCAACCGTTCGGCATTGCACCCCATCAGCCTGGCCCATCTCCATGGGCCCATCGCGCCTCTCTAGGATCTTAAAGGACTTGATGCCACAAATAGCCAGCCAGGCTGCTGCACAAAGACCTGCAGAGCCGCTGCCGCAGATTAGGACGTCAACTTCTTGGACCATTTTGCGAAATTAGAAAGAAGCAAGCGATGTAGTACTGTAAAGGTGAGAGACTGATGATTTACTTGAAGCAAGCAACTTCTCCATATGACTCTGGAGAAGCTGTGAGCATTTATGTTCTAGAATTCAGCTCGGCTACGCGCAACGGCGCCTAACGACGAAGTAAACCCGTCTCTCCGGTATTAGTGGTCCACGGGAAACATGTACGGCACATCGAGAGCAGCATGAGAGCTTTAAGATGAGGATCATGAGCAGGCTTTGGGAGACCGAATCTAGAATAACTGTATGGATGGTTCCTACTTCTCACCCCGCATCTCCCGAATATCAGATCCTCCGAGGCGATTCGCGGGCACCCGGAACTTTATCCTTCCGGATCGCACTCCCATACCTTTTCTGGAGTACCTAGCGGTTGTGATTTCTCTGATATTGGCTACCAACTGGAAGCAACAAGATCCGAAATTTTGACACGGTCCAATGGGGTTTGGAGGTGATGATCAGTGCACGGACTTATTGAGAGCCGTTGGGAAAAGCCGCGAAGGCATCTTGCCGAATAAAGTCCTTCCTTCTGACGATGCTAAAACAGGTATCTGGTCGACACATTTTGTCGCTTCTTTCGTTGTGTTTGCTCGGAGTGAAATTTTGTAATTGAAACTGCCATTGTACGAGTCCTCGGAAGGACTCAGAACGGGTCAGGCCGCACACCGCCCTTACCGCCAAGAGCTGTATGCCGCCTTGTGCTTTAATATTCTGCCAGCCTTTTTCCGGACGAATGATAGAATTCAATGTGCAACAATTCCTCACGCACCCTGCTATTTTCGAATGATTGTTGGTGATTATGTTGTGCTTTGGTCGGTAGCCCTTCAATTCCGCGAGATTGACCGAGAGCCAATCCTGCTCGTATTGGCGGAAATGCCTGTGGCAGATCCACAGACTCTTCCCACCTCCTCTATTCCCGCTTCCGCCATGCCTCTCATATCCCCGAATGCCCTCCTTCATGCCCATCTGAAGCAGAACCCACCTCGACGTCCTTCCGGCCGCTCGCCTCTAGAGACAAGGAATGCTCAGTTGAATGTTGGATCTTTGTCACATTGCAATGGCTCATCTCTAGTTAAAATCGGAGCCACCACAATTGTATGCGGTGTGCGGGCGCATATTCTTCCAGTCAGCGAGATACCAAATTTCAGGGTTACAAAGACCTCCCAATCATACGATCCTTCTGCATCGGTGAAGCAGAGTGACCACGATAGACAGAGCAGCGAGCATAGCTACAGCTACAATCCGATATCACTCTACAATCTCCTTGTCCCAAATATCGAATTGGCGACAGGATGCTCGCCCAGGCATCCTGCAAACACAATGCCCTCGGTCGAAGCACAGTCTCTTTCGCAACGACTCCTCTCGCTTCTCCATACTTCAAACCTGGTCGAACCTTCCCAACTCGAAATCACTTACACACCTCCCATAGATTTACAAGACCCAGAGCTTGGCATTGACAGCGATCCAGAAATCAAAGCATTTTGGACTCTGTACATCGACATCATGTGCATCAGTTATGGAGGTTCAATATTTGATGCTGCTTGGCTGGCAATTTACGCCGCATTGAAGGACACAAACCTGCCACAAGCATGGTGGGACGCAGATCTGGGACAAGTCCTCTGCTCGGCGGAGCAGGCAGTGCCTCTGAGCCTGCACGGCCTACCTGTACCAAGTACCTTTGGTGTTTTTGTACCGGACAAGAGGACTATCGCCGATCAAATGACCAGTGACCCACCATATTGGATCGTCGCAGACATGGATGCGTTCGAGGAAGGATCATGTAGCGAGACTTGCTGCATCACGGTCGACGTAGATGGTACAAGTGGGGAAACATCAATGTTGCGAATTGAGAAACATGGTGGAGCAGTCCTTGATTTGAGACGCGTCGAGGATGTTTTGGCGACTGCTGAAAAAAGATGGCGGCATTGGGACCAGCTCCTCAGCAGCGTGTTCCGGCCGTCAGAACAAGCACTTACCCTGGCTTGATGAAATGTGTCCCAACGTATACACGGCTCTTGGCCCATGTGCTGCAAAGCATGTGTAAATGCGAGCTTTTCCGGTAAATCCGGATGTGAACCTGCCGTACTTGCTGGTCACTCCCCACGAGTTTGATCGCGGCCATTACATAGGTTTTAGGATGCTTGAGACCAGGGTGGACCAGCCTTGTCCCGCATTCCAGCCTCGTCGTGGGTGACAGCGATCTTATCAACCCAACACGAAGACCGGCCCGATTGTTGAGAATCCAGGGTGTCGGTTAATCCAGGTCTTGCCCTTTTTGCCTATGTCTCTCGAGTAACCATGCCTCGATTAGTTGTAGGCCGCGCCTTTGGACAATGTAGAAACAAACAATAGCAAGAACACCACATTCTGTGGGACCATGATCGACCACGCGATTAACGGCATAGTGTGCCTAGATGACTTCTTCGATTCTTGGACACGATTTGTACGAATCTCAGCGCATCTCTTCAGACGAGCAGGGAACCAGGCCCGATTAGCCAGAGGTGCTACGAGTCTACGACATGTTGAGTGCATGTCCTCATTTGCGGTATTATCGGGAACGTGAGAACCTCCCCACAATAAGGTCCCTGACTCCCCACATCTTAGGGGTTCTGTGGACGCTCGCGGGACCTTTTTGAACTCAAGCTCGGTTCCGACATACACCCTGGACCAGCCCAATAGCGCGTCTCACAACTACGAGTAAATCATGGACTCACGGCGCAGGCGAGGCGAAGGCTCGAGCGTTTTAGGTTGCCGCCCAGGATCAGACTGCCGTGTGATAATATCTGGTTGCCCGAATCCAAATGGAGTCTTATGAATATCCGGCGTCCCACCTGATGGTTGGAGAGATGGCAAAAGGTCATCCTGACGGTAACGAACCTTCAGGCGCAAGGGTGCCTCGGTTTCAAGCCTGTTAGACCACGAGTTCGGAGCCACATACGCTGAAAAATGGTACCCCAGGACCGAGTGCATCCAGAGTTTAGTTGCGAACGAAACTGATTTCGGTGGCGGGATTCCTAACGTCCCACACCAACGCCGAGGCTCTGTATACGCCCAAGCTGGGGAGTGGTGCTAGCGCTACCACCCTCCCTGCTTGATTGCGGGGACCTATCAGACCCCGGATTGCAGCATCTAGACAAAAGAGGCTATGAGTTCTGGCCCACCAGTGTTGCACATGGCTCTGGGGTGGACAAGGCGGGTGTGAACCGGGGTTAATGTACAAAAAGTCCATGTTCCCCCACGCGTGGTACTCATTTTTCTCTAGTCTCATCGTGTTGCGCATTCTACACTCCCTTCCAGTACCCATGGCCACCGAAAATGCAGCAGGGAGCAGGGAGCTCGGATCATCCGCGCCGGATCATGACCTGTCAGTGGATGAGAAGCAGGACTTCTCGACGAAAGAAAAGCACGTCGAGGTTAGCCCTGAAGAGGCGAAGAACCTCAGCTATAACGATGATGAGGAGGAGCCCGAGATCCACATGCGAACATGGGTTGCTCTTGGGGCGATGTGGCTTTTGAATTACGTTCAGGTTGTAGCACTTCAAGGTCCTCCGGCAGTGGTAAGTCTAAACACCCTCTCCGGCAGTTTTCTTTTTCTAGAGAAATATTAGTGAACTAATACATGTGCAGCTTGACTGGATCGGACGAGACCTTGCAAGTCCAGAAACCCAAACCTGGGTGCCAAACTCGCTCTCCTTGGTACAAGCTGTTCTTGGACCAGTCATTTCGTCGGCGTCAGACACTTTCCAGGCTCGTAAGACACTGCTCGTCGGATCTAGCTTGGTGTCTCTCGTGGGTTCAGCCATCGCACCTGGGTCGAACAGTATCGGTCGACTCATCGCAGCACAAACTTTGATCGGGTTCGGCTTTGCCTCAGTACCACTCGCATATAGTGTCCCCAGCGAAATTTTGCCTAGGAGATGGCGCCCGAGTATGTATTTTGAGACCAAGAAAAGCCATTGCATTAGATGCTGACGGTTTTTCAAGTTATTCAAGCTTGTATCAATATTGCTGCTGCTTGCGGTGCGATCTCAGGCCCCTTAATCATTGGAGCCTTGACCAAGAATAATGCACATACCGGATGGCGTAACTTCTTTGTACGTCTGGGAACATCTCTAAGTCCTCCAGATCGTGAAATGCTAACTTATACAGTGGATACAAATGGCACTCTGGGGAGTTACCGCCATTGGCATATTCGTTGGCTACCGGCCACCAAAGCGACATACTCGACTTGATCATCTCTCATTCTGGCAGAAACTTGGACATCTCGACCTACCCGGCTGTGGCTTGCTCACAGCTGGTCTGACGCTCTTCCTGACTGGACTTAACCTAGGTGGTAACTTATATGCCTGGACGAACGCTCGTACATTGTCCACTTTGATCATTGGACTTGTCATCCTCATCGGGTTCGGTGTTTATGAATGGAAGGGCACTAAAACTGGTATTCTTAACCACGACTTGTTCCGAGGTGGAAAGGCTCGTGGAAGAACGTTTGCTATTTGCGTTGCTCTCATCTTTGTTGAGGGTATAATGCTGTTTAGCTATATCGTCTTCTATCCAGTGATGTAAGGTTGCCCTGTCTACCTTGTTTTGTGCCTGCTAACTTCCCTGGATAGGACTTCCTCTCTTTTCGAAACTGATCCTTTCCTCCTCGTTGCACGATCGCAACCTTACTGGGTTGCCGGACTCTTCGCCACAATTGTCTGGGGCACCGCTAGTACAAGATTCCGAACCATCCGAGAGCCATTGTTCCTTGGTTACCTTCTCTTTACCGCTGGTATTGTCGGACTGGCTACAATGCAACCAGATCACCAAATAAATCAACTAATCTTTTCTGCTCTCGCTGGTATCGGCTTTGGCTCGCCCCTAATTCTCATCATCACTGGTGTCCAACTCTCCACACCTCATAGCTTGATTGCTACAGCTACTGCAGTCACAACGTCATCTCGAGCGGTGGCTGCCACTGTATTCACTGCAATCTACGCAGCGACGTTGACCAGCGGTCTGACATCAAAGATCCCCAACTATGTCGCGGCAGCCGGCGGCAAAGCCGGTCTTCCTGCATCGTCCATTCCTGCGTTTGTGGGTGCACTTGCGACGAACGACCCTGATGCTCTCGCGGCCGTTCCGGGAATTTCTCCCTCGATCATTGCTCTCGGCGTCGCCGCACTGAAGCAAGCATTCGCCGACTCTCTCCGACCAATTTACATCATCGCAGCGTCATTTGGTGTCGTAGCATGCATTGCTTGCTGCTTTTTGGGTGACATGCGCAAGACGATGAACTATCGCGTTGATGCACCAGTTGAGGATCTCCATGCGAAGCATGCTCATCACACTGGGCCTCAAGCGGCGTAGTGGGGGAATACAAAAACCGTTTGCCTCGCTTCTGGCTGCTATATAATCCATGAATGTAGCGAAATACAAACACATTCGTTCTTCCTAACTTTTGGTGACCAAGGAATTGACTCGTCCCTTCTCTTCTATGTGGTGTGCTTGCTGGAATACTAAGGAGCACATTGTGTTCAACTTTATCGTCATTGCGCCATCCCGAAACTTGTGTGCTCAGCCAGGCCTGGTCCACAACTCCTCCGTCCAACATCTACGGGGCCGTTAATGATTTCGGTTGTCTGAACTGTCTGGCTATTCTATGGACCTCGCCGTTTGAAGCCCACAGTCTACAACACGACCATGGAGAACGTAGGTTCGATTCGTTCCACGTTTTCGTGCATGACCTTTGCTCCTCAAGCAACACATAAGATGATTTCGCTGGAATTGTATCCAGTACAAGTGATACATCGCCAATGCCATCACGGCTTCACTTACCCAGAGTCTTCCTAACCACCTCCTCAAGATCCTCCAGTTTCAAACCCAACAGCTCATTCGCGAACCCCTCCTTCTCCTCCCAATTTCCCTCAACAATGCCCACAACACCCACCAGATCTTCAATCGCCTCATGATTCCCCGGGTTCCTCTCGATCTCCGCCTTTGTCTCCGCCATGAACTTCTCGGACTCAACTTGCTCAACCTCCCATTTCTGGTCTGTGACCTTCTCTAGAACCTCCTGCAGCTGGTTCTGCGTAATGAGGAAGCTCTCGATGAAGAGGCGCTTATTCTTCGTTTCTTCGGCCTTGAGCAGAACCGCGGCGGTCGCCTTGGCGACCGTCTCGAGCGTCGTTGCCGACCATTTGATCTCTCCGCCATCAAAGATGCGCGAATAGTTCCGCTTGGGGAAGGCCTGCAGCAGCCCGTCTTCCAGGTAGTCGAAGAAATGACCACAGACAAGCGCCGTCCACGAAAACGAGCCTCCCTCGCTGCTGCTTTTCTGCGCCAATTTCTCGCAATGCCGCCGCACATCGCCCTTCGCGACGTACTGCGGCATCAGCTTCAGCGAGAGCTCGCTGTTCGAGTCGAAGCTGCCGAAGTCGGCGGGGATGAAGCGCTGCACGCCCGCTTGCAGCGCTGCGTCTGCGATTCGCAACTGCACTGCGGCCTTGGTGCCGCCAACAGTCACCACCACGGCATCTTGGCCGGCGAGAGCTGGGATGAGTTCATCTGTTGTGAAGTCGTCGGACACCGGTTTGAGTGCCACGTTGTCGGGGAATTTTGCTTTTGAGGTCGAGCGGGCAACGACCGTCACGCTGAAGCTGGGCTCGGAGAGCAGTGCGCGCAGGATCGCGCCGCCGACCCGTCCGCTGGCGCCCACGATGGCGACTTTGTGGATAGTCATTATTGGGGGTGGTTTGGGCCCGCGGGGGCGAAAGGCAGTGAATAGTTAGGTGAGTGATGGGAGTTCTTTAGGTCTGAAAAGGGGAGCCTTCCTTTTTGTGTATTGATATCCTTATTGAAGTCTCACTATCTGGATACTCACCCGTGTCACTTGAATTTCGTCATCGGCTGCTACTACCCGGACTTTGACTGTCGGCGCCCTTTGACGCTAGTCAGTTAGATAAACTTCAGGCTGGTGAGCGATTGGAATCGAGCAGCCCAGCGTACATACAATATCCGCATTTCAGACGGCGATAGTCCGTTGGATTATTCAGGAGAGCACGGCGGACTAAACCCCAGCTCCTTGTGCGCCCTACCTCGACGGCCATTCAACCCACCATTTTCACGCCCTACCATGATACTCGTATGTAGGCTCTTCGGAGATCAGCACCGGTGTCTTGTGCCGAAGTCCATGCCAGCACAATTTTCAGTCAAGTTTCTTATCGAGCTTGGAATAGAATTCCTTACTACATCTTTCTCTAAATGCCATGGTGAGTCTGCGTACTAGCTAGTAAAAGATCTCACTTTCTATGGTCTGGTTCTTTCTTACCCATCTACGCCTCTTCATACAGGATCAGACTATCTAGTGAGCTGAAGCCAGCAGCAACGCCGCCTTCATCACTGTCCTTGCCTTTCGTCCTCAATAGATATCCGCCCTCACTATTGTGCAAGATCTCTGGCGTTTTGCTACCACTTTTATTTCTCCATAGACAAGCTCCGAAGATCCCCAATTCAGATATCACGTTTCCGCTGACAACTTGGCCATCGCTTCGTAGGACTGTGTTCTTGGCGGCAGCGGGTGGGTGAATCAGCTCCATGAGAATATATTGCTTCCACTGTGACTTGGGGATCGATTGCAGATACGTGGGGATTTTATCGCGGTAGATGTTGTTGCCTCCGCCTTCACGCTGGGGTTTGAGGACATGGTTGGAGGCTGTTTCAGGGGAGAGGGCGAGGCGAAGACCTTCGGGCTCGACGTGAGAATCAGGTGAGGAGAGGGAGTACTGTGGTGCAAAGGTTGTTCTCAGGTTGTTCAGCGTGGCTTCGGGGTGGCGTGGAAGGAAGCCTTTCAAATGGTCGGTGTCTGGAGGAAGTGCTGTAAGGACCTGTTGAATCTTTTTGGAGCCTGACAAGTGCAAAAGGATGCTGGGGCATTTGATGGCTGCACTTCGTTCGAGATGGTGCCTTCCTGCCCAGGAGGTCGGAGTATTATATTCCGTCGGAGCATATAGCGCGCGGAAGTAAACAACGGTGACCTCGTATTGAGTAGAGGGTGAAGATGGTGGAGTATAAATCAACGGTCGGGCTGGATTTGTGTCTTTAGACGGAATAGAAGTTAGTGCTAGGATTTTGCTTGTTGGAAGTCGGAATGAAGGGATTTGATGTCGGTTATGCAGCTCCGATGACAATGCATATTGATCAAAGACGTTGCGCTCGTCGTCTTGAACAAGGAAAATTACACACGTAGGTAGTTGAGGGCCAGACTTTGATGGGCCGTATGCCTCATGAGCAGCTGCGAGGGAAGCTGCTAACGTGACAACCGCATCGTTCAGAGGAGGATGTCCGATACTCGTAATGGAAGGTGACATCGAATCGCCGTGGGCAGTATTTGCAAATAGTGGGTGTGGTGGATATGCGAGTGGTCGCTTTACGGAGGGATAGGTGGCCAGGTGCGTGTGCAACTCAGACACCTTCACAGCCAGTCCTCCAAAAGAAGAAGAAATCGTGTTAAACTCAACCTGTTTGAGAGATGGCTGGATATCCTTAGGAGTGTGAAGCATATAGTCGGATCTGAACATGCCCAGGGATAGGGCCTGAACATAACCTTCCTCCTTGACAGACAAGTGGATCTTCCAAAGATTCGCAAGGAAGTCATCTACCTCGATCAGCCTACATTAAAGGTTAGTCAAGTTGCAAGTCTGCAGTGTATCTGACGAGGCCAAAGCACGGCGGTAAAGAATGGGAGCTGTACTCTTGAAGTATGTTCTCGAGCCATTGTTCGTCGCTCGCAATGGCGGCATAAAGCTCGTTATACACCTGTTGCAGACTTCGAGCCTGTTCGAAGCAGTGCTTCGGGAATGGACTTGGAAACAGCGTCACAGGCGCGTTCGTAGCTAACACGTGGTTTGGGTTTAATTCTGTTGGCACGACTGCTGCTGAAGGCCGTACAGTAAGAGCATGCTCAATTGCCCAATTTTTTACCGTTTGAACCAGATATTCCTGTTGTTCTGGTGTCAGGAGTGGGGGATATGAGCTGTAAATACGATCGGCCATGGTGGTTTACACACTCTTTCATAAGTAGGGATTATATACAGGAACTGAATATAGTATCTTCGGATCTCCACGACGAGCTACGACGAGGGCATGATAAGTAGTATGAATTTGGTGGCCGGGGTGCGATGGCGAAGATTTCACTTGAAGTTTAATCACGACACTCCCGGAGGATTGATTAGTCATTCATTCTCTTCGGGATACTTTCTACTTCGAATTCCCCACACGCGTTAAGTGGTTTCGCGTAAGCAGATCTTCACGTGTAACTAACGAACGGCGATCGAGCACGATTCGTACTTGAGCCGCCAACCAAACCTCAAGGCCAGCGCGCCGTTAAACAGTGGATATTGACCTATCAATCGCCATTGGAATTGGATGGGTCACTTGATGGTAGGGAATCTTCCAACCTGGACGACCCTATCGATTTAGGCAATGCTCCAAGGCTGTGTTCAAATCAGCAATCGATCTCCACGCCTTACATTTCAATTCTCAAGGGCGCTGCCTCCTTGTCCACTATCATCTCGCTGAACTGCCTCGAGCCTACCTCTTCTTATCTGGTGGCATTGGATCACTTCACTCTTGATCTGGCTAAACTGGAAACCCCTGACCTGTGCCGCTGTGGCCAGACTCAGTCTACTCTCACCTCGACCCCTTGGGGCCAATCTTCAGTCCTTACCACCACATCCAGATCGATGCCTGATAATCCTGCCTTTCCGCCCTCTCTGACCTCCGTCAGCAGACAGCAGGCTGTTTTCCTCTGATGAGCCGACTTCCACCATGGAGTCTGCCCCTGATGACGATCCTCAAACCTGGTCTATCGATCAAGTGATTCACGAACTGTGCCACAACCTGAACCCAAGATGGTCTACATCCGCAGCCTCACAGCTTATTCCTGACAGAGAATCCCTAGAGGATACCTTTCGACAAAATCACGTCGATGGAGATACTCTTCTGGCGCTCGACATGGCCACCCTCAAAGGCGATCTGGGTATATCATCCTTTGGCCAGAAGAGAGCTATCATAAGGGCTATCGAGTACCTTCGCCTCCATTCGCAGCATTACCAACTCTCGGCATTTACAGCTGATAGTATTGCGAGGTTACAGTCTCCCAGTTGCTCGACTCAGATCCCACACCCAAGACTTTCTTTTGCCCCACAGTCTCCGGTCATGCCAGGCTTGGGGACAGCTCATGCTCTCGATGCTCGTTCGACTTATTCACCTGCAACTAGCAGTGGAGGCGGTCAGACTCAAACTTCGCGGCTGCAACAACAGGCGCTGCCTCAGGCGGATCACCCTTTCCTCAAGCCCCAAAGCCTCGCCCATCAACCCACCTCCCTGACAAATCGTACAGCAGCGGAGATAGACCCTCATCCCACCCCGGCCGACAGTACATTAGGTACACTTGATTTTCTACAGGCAAATGTCGACGCAGAGTTGTCTCTCAATAATTCAGCAACCAACGACTCTACAGCTTCCATCGCTCTGGTGAAAGATGATCCTCCTACGCATGCCAAACCAAAAAGAAAAATTGCACCGACACTGTTTTCTCAAGCAGAAGCGCCTACCGACAAACATTCCTATCTTTCGAATGAACCAAGGCTACCACAGGACACGTTCTACCACTGCCTCTCAACCGACTGGGGAGATCATTTGTGTCGCTTGCCAGACGACGATGCAGCCAACTTCTACCTTGAAAACCAGAACCACCCATCTGGAAGAAGGCAGATCATAGCTGCCCAGATGAAACACTATCTGCAACAGCCCGTCGAGAGATTGCCTCGCAGCGGGTGGCTCTGGAGAATACCTTATGGTTCGAACCATCGTAAAAGCCATCACAAAAAGACTACCAGAAAGTCCTCGGAGCAGTTTTTCACCCTCTTTCCTGGAAATGGCAGCCGACCAGTTGTGTGTGCACTTGCAGACTTTCCTGAATTAAAAGATACAGTTCAGCGAAAGTCTTTGCATGAAACTCATACGTCCATAGCCCTTTCGTCTGATATGATTGTTGCAGAAGCCCCACCAAAGACCGCAGAATCTCGGAATGAGGTAGAGACATCGGGCCTTGAAGAGTTTGCGTATCTGCTCGGTAAATATCCAGTTACGGAGGAAGAAGAGGCTCTACCTTTGTACGGAGATTCCGGGGATGAAGGAGAGCTTGATGAAGCGACTTGGAAGGAATATGAAGAGGAGAGAGTAGAAAAGCAAAATCTTTCCTTGCATATGACTGCCTCCGAGGTCGAATCTACGATAAATGAAACCCTCGAAGATTACCGGCGTGAATGGAGTCAGACAAGACTGCCGAAAGCCCAAATCAAGGCCTATCGTTTATGGATGATATCCGCTAAACAGAAGAGCAGAAAGGGAGCCCTCGAACACTCTCAATTTTGGAAGGATCATTCAACAAATCAACTACGCAAGCTGAAGGAAGCATTGCTCAAAGATGTGTGGCACAAGCCTGCTGATGTCAAACACCAGTGCCAGAGCATGGAGCTCACAGTCTTCAGCATCGAGGACCATACGTATTTTGTTCAAGCTCTTCTTTCAGATGACCCACCACAGCGGCCAACCAGAGCCGAGTGTCTGTCGAAGCCAACGAAGCGACAACAGCCGTTAGAGGATGGCGAAGAGCTCATTGAATCAGATTCTGATGTCAATAGCGACTTGCAAGATTTCCTGGACAGTAGTTCCGATGCGGGATCGATCCACCATGAACCTGATCTAGACGATTGGAGCCCTATCATCCCGAAGAAGGAGATTATAAGCCCTGCAGTGAAAGATAAGAATATTTCCGAAGCTGCGCAAAACGCCGTGGCACCTAATTTGGCAACAACTCTCACTGCCGATCTTAATGATAACGATGCCGACATCGAGACTGACAGTGATGACGCTATTGTGACACCAAACTCCAGACGCAAAGCATCGCCAGGTAGGATTATATCACCCAGGAAGCTCACTGGCAAACAACAGGCAACGCCCAAGAAGAAGTTTGCTCTCCCTCCTAGCCCGGGAAGAAGAATGCAGCTCGCTAACTCCGATTCCGACTCTGATCTTAACCTACTTTCGCGAGTGCCTAAATCGAAATACCGTCAGAAAGGAGACTCAAGAATCTCTGCAATCGATTTGACCATGTCTAGTCCTCCCTCTGCCGAGAAAAAGGGCAAAGAAACGAGCTCAGAATTTGATGTTCACACACCAGAGTTAAACCCGGATCTGAACAGTTCCCCCTCTAGAAAGACTTCCAGGCAGTCCAGCATCCACTCTCGAACGTCCCTAGGTTATAACTCGGTTGATTCAAGTCTTCCTCCGTGGGGTGATTTTCAGGGTATACGGAACACTGCTTGGGCCAGAATAGAACGTCTTTGTGATGGTCGACGAGCCCTTGCAAAAGCCGTTTACGACCTTAAGTTGTCGACTGCAACGAGCTTGTCGAGACTGATCGCTCCTATATTTCATGACAATCCTAAGCACGACGGACGTGAGCTTATCATACTTGGGCTTACTGGTCTCGGGCGCGATGAAGATTCCGCAATTGGCGCCAGCCTTGAGCTTGATCATCACACTCTTACTCTGGCATTGCTCTACATGATCTACTGCGATGGTCAGAACTTTCTCGATAAAGTCGGACCCTCAGATGGACACATTCAAAATGCGTACAAAGAGCTTGACGCAGGCCACCGCATGTTCTTTGATTTGCTTAAACGATTACTGCGAATTGCCCTTGGCAAACTCCTGGAACAAGAAACAGCAACGCACAATGAGAAGAAGAGAAAGAAACAGTCATTAAGCCCCCGTTTACTTATAGATGACACAGATCTACAAATGAGTGATGGTTTCAGCACCGATCTCGCAGAGCAAGTTCCTCCTCCTTCCTCAAAGAGGAGACGCAAGCGCATTGTTGTTCAGAGCCAAGAAGCAAAATCCCAACAGAAGAGTGACCAGCAGCGAATCGAAGAGCAAGAAAAGCGCCGCAAGGTTATGGAGCAACGATTTGCTCAAATTGAAACCAGTGGCAATGTTGTTAGTCCCGTGAACTTTACTGAGCCATATGTCTACCTTGACCCTCATATTGCGTCACGTGTGAAGCCTCATCAACTCAAAGGAATCCAATTCATGTGGCGTGAGATTATCGAGGACCCTAAACACCAGGGATGCATTCTTGCTCACACCATGGGCCTAGGCAAGACCATGCAGGTCATTTCTCTCCTAGTTACAATTGCACAGTGCATCCAAAGCCATGATCCCAATATGACAGAGCATATCCCTGTCCCATGTCGCAACAAGAAAACTCTCATTCTATGTCCTGCCTCTCTACTCGATAATTGGTACGATGAACTGGCCATGTGGTGCCCCAATCGAAACTTATTGGGCAGCATCCACAAGCTTGATGTCGCGGATGACCAAACTGTCAGAACCTGGGGAAATAGTGGCGGTATCCTTCTGATAAGCTATGACCGATTCAGGAGCATGGTCAATAAGAGTGCGCAGGAAACATCCGATCAGTCAAATTCCTTCAAAAGTCTGGAGAAGATCCTACTGGAAGAGCCCAGCATTGTCGTTGCGGACGAAGCTCACATGATGAAAAACCCAAAGTCAGCAATAAATCAAGTGACTAAGAGGTTCAAAACGCGCAGTCGTATTGCTCTTACAGGTTCCCCACTGAACAACCATCTGGAGGAATATCACGCCATGGTCGACTGGATTGCCCCTGAATACCTCGGAAACATAACCCAGTTTCGTGCGAAATATTCCGACCCCATCAATCAAGGGCTTTACGCGGAGAGCACAGCATTTGAAAGACGTAGGGCGCTCAAAAAGTTACATGTGCTCAAGCGCGATCTGGATCCGAAGATCAATCGCGCGGATATCTCTGCAGTTGAACAAGACATGCCATCCAAGACGGATTATTTCATTACCATAGCAGTCACTGAGTTGCAGAAGGAGGCGTACAATACCTTTGTCCGTTACATGTCCGAGGCTGTTTTGCCTGGGAAAGGATTTCGTGCCAGACTATGGGCCTGGATTGCTATCTTGCAGTTGCTTTGCAATCATCCGTCATGTTGTTATGATAAGCTCCGAGAATGCCAACGCAATCTCCTCAAAAATCCAGCTCAGGTCGCTGATAAGATGGTTGCAGATAAAGAGCTTCAGAGCGACAAGAGCAGCCCAGAAACAGAACCTCAAAGTGACAAGAACAGCCCCAAAGAGGATCCACCAGATGACGTCGTAATTGACATTCAGGGGTCTATGAAAGAAGCAATGGAAAAGGTTCTGGAAGTCTTCGCGCCAATCACAGCCGCAAGAGAATTGAACAATGCCGACCTCTCGTATCGAATGTCCTTGGTCCGTGACATTGTCAAAGGTGCAGTGGCAATTGGCGACAAGACTCTCATATTCTCACACAGCATCTCGACCTTGACGTACCTGGAGAAAATGCTTCGAGAGATGGGGTGCGGGTACATCCGGTTAGATGGCAATACTAAGCCATCAAACAGACAGGCCATGACCAAGTCTTTCAACAAGGATACCAGCTACCAAGTATTTCTCATATCCACGAAGGCCGGCGGACTAGGTATGAACCTTCAAGGCGCAAATCGTGTTATCATTCTTGACTTTTCCTACAATCCATCATGGGAAGAACAGGCTATTGGAAGAGCGTATCGCCTCGGTCAAACTAGGCCAGTCTTCGTTTATCGCTTCCGTGCAGGTTCTACCTTTGAAGAGGTTATGTTCAACCAGGCTGTATTCAAACAACAGGTGTTTCAGCGAGTTGTGGACCACAAAAACCCTGCTCGGCATGCCTCGAAGGATGCTTCGGAGTGGTTATTTCCGGTGAAAGAGACGGAACAAAAGGAATTTGACGAATGTATTGGCAAAGACCCCAGCGTTCTTGACACAATCATCAAGCGTGTTGACTATATTCGAAACATTGAGCTCACCGAGACATTCCAAAGAGAAGATGATGAAAAGTTAAATGAGGAAGACGTTAAAGAGGCTGAGGCTGAATTTCTGATGGAGCGACTATTTCGGGAAAACCCAGAAGCATACTATGCTAAGCAGCAGGAGGAAGCTCGGCAGCAGCAAGCTCTCCGTGCAGGAAACACATTTCGGAGCCAATATCCCTCCCGGTTTCCTGGTCCTCCAGTTCACTCACCCCACTTCCAGAATATTCAAACGCCCGCCAGCATACATGGCTATACGCGATCAGGCCCAGCATTCGGGATCCCAAGTTCAGAACTTTCCCCGATACCAGTTAGCAGATCCGATATGCATGTATCGGCGGCTCCCTGGTCAGAGGAAATAGCCCGGCAGAATAAAAGGCAAACGCTCGAACGAACGACCGACGATCATATTCAACGGCTGGAACCATTCGCGCCAGTTTCAGGCGAGGGTGCCGGAAGCTGAGAATCGAATGTCTTAGTGGGCAAAAGCATAGGATGGTTACGAAAATAATGAAAATAAAACTACGACGGCATGTGGGATTAAACGACATCATCACACTATTTCCAACACTGGCCACGTTTACCAAATGGGCTGAGCTTGCACTTGGGGGCCTTTGGCGGTCGACGTTGCGCGCTGCGCCCCAATTCCCCCTCGATTTTTTCCCCATGTCCGTCATGACGGAGTTTATGCGTGCATCGAGATACCCCCAAAGCGAACTGTTTTTGACGAACGAAATAACATGAGAGATGTGTTGAGATATGGGAAGAAGTTGGTCTCGCCTTTTACTTACTGCATGTTGGTGGCAGGACAGTGCACGTATCATCATAGCGGCAAAGGGAGCAGGGCTTTCCATTGGGAAAGTGTATCACAGCCTCACAGAGAGGCAGAATTGCTTTAGAGCACCTAAGAACAAGATTAGGTACAATTCAGCATTCTCGACCTCACCTTGTTCTCTTTTCCCCTGTCCAATTAAAGTCTCACTGCGATTCACTCCTGAGTGCAGTGTCGCTCATTTCAAAAAAGCAATCGTGACGCTGATCCGTGTGTAGAGGGGTGGGTTGTGCTAATAGTGAGTAAGGCGGACCATTGAAATCATTCTCAATCCTCAGTTGATAGATTAAATCAAATTATGGTAAACGATCGCACAAGTAGTAGTGGTTGGGTGGAGACCTGAGCAAATTCGTCTCTTTGTTTGCTTTGGGGGAAAAATTAAATAAGAAAAGTGATGAATTATTGAAGACTTGGACTTGGAGCTAAATCGCGGCCAGAGACATCTAGAAGAAACACTGATTATACGACAATGCCACCGACGGTGGCGTCTTCATCTCAGCAAGCACCGCGTTTAGAATCACACGTTTCGCCGGACGTCTTCCTGCATGTACCAACATCTGTGGCGCGGTTGAAAACAGGTGGAGCGGCACGCAAAATCCGGCATGAGACGACGGATTCTGGGACGACGGCGACGGCAACGAGTATGTCTTTGAATCTAGTGTTTTTCATCACGGGGAATCCGGGGTTGATTGGTTATTATCATCCGTTCCTGGCGGGGTTGGCAAGGGCTTTGGACGGCAAAGACAAGGACGACGAGCAGCGGGAGAGGTCTCGAGGAGGAGGTGCGGTGCCTGTGCTCGCGGGCTTCAGTCTCGGGGGGTTTGAGGTTGAGGATTGGGATCGGGACTGCGATTCGAGGGCCGTGACTGCTGAAGGCCAAAGCGCGAGCGGACGGCACGAGAGCTTACGCGATCTCCTCTTCCCTGCTTCCGCGGCGTTGTCGCCGTCTTCGTGTCGCGAGAAAATCCACACGCTAGCTGAGCAGGTGGCGCTGTGCTATGCGAGGCTGGAGAACCTCGTGGGCAGGATCCGACTGCATTTCGCGGAGGAACTTGCCGGGTCGCGGCGGAAAGGAGCGGGGGGAGGTGGCGGCGGTGGTGATGCTCCCGGCGCTTCTGGCATGGATGCACCAGATGTGGAAATCGACGTGACGCTCATCGGGCACAGCGTCGGCGCATACATCGCTCTGGAGCTGGTGAGGCTATGCCATGAACGGGCAAGAAATGAGCGGCCATCACTGTCACTATCGCCATCACAGTTGTCTCCTGGATCAGCATCGAGTGCGCCTGCTACTGCTGCTTCTACTTCTACGACTACTGACACCACCACCACCGCCGCCGCTCCAGCACCATCGCCAGCGCGATGGCACATCGATTCCTCCATCCTGCTAACGCCCACCATCCAAGACCTGTACCTCTCGCCGTCCGGGCGCATGGCCAGCCTGCTGCTCACGTACACGCCATTCATGCCCGGGCTAGCACACGGCCTCGTGCAGAACGTGTTGGTGAACTGGCTGCCGGGTTCGTGGATCGAGGCCCTCGTGCAGCGCGCGACGGGTATGCGCGTTGGGAGTCATGGGCTGGCGACGACGTTGGCGTTTTTGAGGAGTCGCAACGGCGTCAGGCAGGCGCTCGAGATGGCGAAGTGTGAGTTGAGGGAGATTCGGGGGGAGAGCTGGGGAGGCGAGGTTTGGGGCGCTACAGCCGTCGCAGAGGTGGATGGACATGGGGATGGGGTAGGTCAGGTTGTGAGGACCCCGAGGCTTTATTTCTGGTTTGCGAAGCAGGATCATTGGGTCGCGGATGTGACGAGGGAGGAGATTTTGAGAAGGAGGGGGGGAAGGAGGACTGGGTTTCTCTACGGTGATGGCCAAGGCAAGCTTGGTCCGGGAGACGGCCTTCAGTCAGAGGAGTATCACCGGGTAAGAAACAGGGCACCGAAGATTTTGATAGATGAGACGGAGAGATTGGTCCACGCGTGGTGTTTGACACAGAGTGAACTGGTGACTCGACGGGTCGGTGGATGGTTAGAGGAGTTATGGGATCAGAATGAATAGACGATGTGGTAACATGGTTTAGTTCAAGGTAAAAGACTGGAGTAGTCAAGCTATGGAACTTTGATCATAAGTCATGGCATCGCGCGAGCAAGCATTCTCTCTCTTGAGGATAGATTCACGTCGTACCCAATCCAGCTCGTCGGAAGAGATCTCCCAAGACATCTGGTTGCTGAGAAGTAGCGTCAGAGGCAGTGCCTTTTCGAAACAAATCTGCCAGCACATTTTGCCCCTCGAGAGGTTGGGATTGAGCATAGTCGTGCGCTCTAACACTCCAGGCAGAGTCCGCGGCTCTCTGTTGTCCGAAAAGCTGTTGTAGATCTATTGTTTGACCGGCTGTACTGGGTGCATTGGCGGTTTGATTTGCGATTGAAGCTCCAGCTTCTTGCATGTGGCCGTTCGTGTGTTGGGCCTGAGCAGCCGCAGCCGCGGCTTCAGCAGAGTGTCTACTGGCACCAGCATGGTCGGCGAGCTTCTTCATGAGATCAGCGTTGTGGAGTTGAGCATTTTCTGTGGAAGTCCCAGGCCCGTCGTGGAAAATATAGACGCCATATATCTTCTGCTCATGGCCCTCCTTGAAACTAAGAATGACATATTCCCCGGCGATTTCAACACCGGCATTTTCCCCTTCTCGCAGTTCTGCGTCAAAGTTGTCTAGGCCGCGTCTGTTCAAGACAATTGCGGAATATCTGTCTTCACCATAACTCCCAGGGATGAGCTCGCAAATGAACAAAGAACCTTCCACCCCGGTCTTTGTCCATTGAGGTTCTGGCGCAGGAGTGAATTCGTAGACCACGGCATAAGGGGCGATTGAAAGGATGCCGACGACCTGAGGATTATGGCGTTTGAGAACGGAGACATTGAGCTCCTCATTGGTGCGATCGGGAGGAGGAGGCCTGGTCGGGTAGTCTGACTGATAGCCCTGATAGTCTGACTCGTAGTCGGAAGAAAGGATATTTGGTGGAGGCGGAGCTTGAAGGGGAGCAGGGGCAGGAACAGAGGGTTGAGTCTGTGTAGAAGAGTTCATAGGAGGATAGCGAGGAAAGTCGACGGATTGCTGGCGTCGAGCGTTTCCTGATCTGCGGTGGACATGCTGGGCCATGGCTGTGGGAGGAATGTATGTGGGCAAGATCAATATGAGGAGTAGTGACCTACCTCATTGAGGGAGAGGGAGAGGGAGGCGTACCTGCTCAGGCACTTGGAACCTCAATTCCGCAGGCAGTTCATCGTGGGCCTGGAGCAGAACAGTGGTGGTGATCATATGGCTACGACTTCGCACTGGAGAGGCGTCGAGATGTGGTTGATGCCAAGCCCCAGCCCTGAAAAGGAAAAGCGCCGGAGCCAAACAGGCACGACCCCGGAATAATGGGCAGGAGGCGGCGAGGAAGGCGCGATGATTGGTGGTGCGCGGTTACCCCTAATTCAATCCCTATTCCTAGTTTTTTGAACGACAGAACTGCACTGCACTCTGCACTCTGTCCAACAACGACATCCTCCTCGCTCAACATTATCCCAACGACCTTTCCTGTACTCTAGGTTCTTTCGTTGATTGTCTCTATTCTTCTCGCGCGCCCGTCTCTTCATTTCTTGCAGCGCTTTATTGTCTTGAGCCTTTTCTCACTTGCACACATCCAAAATGTCTTCACCTCTCAATGCGGTACGTTGTCACCTTCTGCTCTCAAGACCTAAGCACGTCGACCACCATCCCGTCGACACCATCAATCCTCTCACCCTTCTTGTGTCTTATTCTCGTCACTATGTTCTCTTCTAACAAAGTGCGCGCCGCGCAGATAAAGATTCGCAAGAAGAAGAATGTCAAGAAGGGAATTCAATTCTCGATAATGGTGATTGGCGCATCTGGCACTGGTAAGTTGAATGAATCCTTGATCCTCCATCCAAGGCAGATCTGACCATCTACAGGCCGGACCACATTTGTCAACACTCTCTGTGGTCGACGAGTCCTCCAACCCAAAGACGCAGATGACGCAGCCAATGCCCACCTTGAGGAAGGCGTGAGAATCAAGCCAGTAACAGTTGGTATGTTGGTGATGCAGACGTGGAGATGGTGCAGTATACTAAAGATGAACGTCAGAGCTTGAACTGGACGAAGAAGGTACACGTGTCTCATTGACAATCGTGGACACCCCCGGCTTTGGTGATTCAATCGACAACGAAGCCTCCTTCGGCGAAATTGTTGGCTACCTCGAGAGGCAATATGATGACATCCTTGCCGAAGAATCTCGTATCAAGCGTAATCCCCGATTCCGCGACAATCGTGTGCATGCCCTTCTCTATTTCATCACTCCAACAGGCCACGGCCTCCGAGAATTGGATATTGAATTGATGAGACGCTTGTCACCACGTGCCAATGTCATCCCTGTCATTGGTAAAGCGGACTCTCTGACGCCTGCCGAATTGGCCGAATCGAAGAAATTGGTCATGGAAGACATTGAGCACTACCGCATCCCGGTCTACAATTTCCCGTACGACATCGAAGAAGATGACGAAGACACTGTTGAGGAGAATGCGGAGCTACGGGGATTGATGCCCTTTGCAATTGTGGGATCAGAGGATGTGATTGAGATCGGTGGCCGTCGTGTCCGAGCTCGACAATATCCTTGGGGTATTGTTGAGGTGGATAACCCACGCCACTCTGATTTCCTGGCCATTCGCAGTGCCCTGCTACACTCGCACCTTGCAGATCTCAAGGAAATCACACACGACTTTTTGTACGAAAACTACCGAACTGAGAAGCTGAGCAAGAGTGTGGATGGTGGCGTATCGTACGTGTTGCTCCGCTATGTTTCTTTTGCTTGCTGGGGAAATGAGACTAACATTTAATTTACCAATCCAGCGGCCAAGATTCGTCGATCAACCCCGAAGACCTTGCCAACCAGTCAGTTCGTCTGAAGGAGGAGCAACTGCGCCGTGAAGAGGAGAAACTCCGGGAGATTGAGGTCAAGGTGCAGCGAGAGATCAATGAGAAACGACAGGAGCTCCTCGCGCGAGAGAGCCAACTGCGCGAGATCGAGGCGCGGATGCAGAGAGAACAAAGTCAAGGGATGGACGACCTGAATGGACATGGAGGCCTCCACCAGCAAGAGTAATGCAGGGCGGGAAAGCGGACATGAAAATTGTCGTATTTCTGCCCGCGCATGCAGGCCATTCAGAGTGAAGCGGAAATCGACAGGTGCTCTGGTGACTGAGTTGGACAAAGGTGCGGTGGTGCGCTCGAGGGCGATCCAGTAAGGCTGCAGCAATGCGGGCGGTGAAGGGATCAGGGGCGACTGAGTGGACAGAAGATTGAAGGGTTTGGGGCTTTTTCTTCAAGACGGAGTGAAGTGCTTGCAGTGAACGACCGGACATTATGCAGTAGAGTAGCGACTTTCTAATCAGCGGTGACTAGGGTGACAGGCAAGGCAAAGCGAGGAGAAGATTTCCTACATGCAGTACGATTCTTGAACATGTTGATGCGTGTCTTTTTCTCCTTGACTATTAAATTAATTTGCAATGTGCGCGGAGGATGCGCGGGGGATGGGTGAACCATTCACCAGCGCTGAGATGAAAAATGATTCGTGCGTGCCTGGGTCATGGTTACAAGCCGTGGGCCAGACAAGAAGGCTTGACGTTTTCTTGAGCACGAGAGCGTGGGGTTGTGCAGGTGGGTCGTAGGGAATAGCATGACTACTGTACGGAGGTGACTCGTGACTTGACTCATGACTTGGAGGAAAGGGAAGGCAAGGGCAGGGAGGCGCCCAGGGACGGCCGAGGGGGCTTGCAGCTGGTGGCAGGTTGCTGGCCGAGGGGCTCCCAGTCCCGGGACTCCCGGGGTTATTTGCTGATGCAGGTGCATGCGGGCAAAGTGGTACGGCATGGGAGGCAGATTCGATGCCCAGTGTCCCTCTCTGCCCCTCGGTCCATAACCAACAGAATCGGCATTGGAGTCCAACTCTACTCCGTCCAAGCCCTCTCCAGCAAGGAAAGAAAGAAGGCAACCCAAGCCCTGGGTTTTAGGGGCTTTTGCTCGCCGATAGGCGGCCAAGAGCGTTCAAAGAAGTAGAGGCATGGAAACTTCCGCCAAGTCCATGGAACTGGCTTATCTTCCCAGGCGTTCTGGGTGGGTGCAACGACCTAGAGGATCCCTCGGGACGGCCTCTCAAATCTCTCCATGCTTGCCCAGGCTTGCTTTTAGTGGCCCTGCATTTCTCCTTCTCAGCTTATACCAATCCAGTCAAGTCTCGTTATGCTATGTGTGCCCATGCGTCCAGAAGCAAAAGCAACAAACAGACGGAGCATAAAATGCGCGATTTAATTTCTTAGGTGGATTGAAACTTGCCCCGGTGCCTCTGGAGAACCAGATCGACCCCTCCTCAGTCCTCACCGGTGGCCCGCTGGCTGCACCTGTTGGGCCAGTCGTTCCTCTTACGAGGCCGTGGACGAGACTCGTCCAGCCGCTGTGATGTCGTTGTGCATGACGTCTGTGTGCCCGAGGCGCCTATTAACTAGGTGGTGGCCCGATGGAGGCCCTGGGCCGAGGGCGCCTGTGATTGAACCCGGCACAGGGGGGTTGTGACTTGTAAGCTGTCTGTGTCACCTTCACCCGTCGAGCTGCCCCTCCTCCGCACTTTTTCTAGAGGGCTAAGCATTGCCCTTGATGGTCTTTGCCCACGTCGGTGAGCCATCCAGCTGTCTCCCTCAGTGCCACCCCACCCCCAAACCACCCAAGCTATTATGGATTGGGACAGCTACTTCTGCATCTGCACCTGCGCCTGCACCTGCCTAGCTTTGGCCCCAGCAGCAGGCAAGGGAAGGAACGTGGAGTGCAGGTGCCCGTACGACACACGACCGGGTGCGCATTGCAGAACAACGCAGATGCAGACGCAGATGCAGACACAGAAAGCTGGGGGTCCAAGCGAGCTGAATCCCAGACTGATGGCTGATCAGCGTGGGAGGGTTGGAGAGAAGTTTGGACCGTTGATACCGCCAGACTGCCTCGTCGTTCCCAGGAAGATCGTTATATCATATTCAATTGATAGAAGCTGCTGCTGCTGCTGCTGCTACCGCTGTCTCTTTCCCAGTCCTCGGTAGTGCTACGACTACGCCTAGTTATTCCCTCGTCCACACGTTCTTGTTGTCCTCCTCTTCGATCTTCCAATCCTGACCTTCGCGCCGATACCCGCCACGATCTGGTGATCCGCTACACCATTCAAGGCATGTTATTCCAGCCTGATCTCATCTCTCCTGCACATGCTTGATTTCTATCGTCGCTGATGTCCATCATGGTATACCTTACTGATACCCAAATATGGTTCCAGGCTCAATTTCCTCTCTTCTCATATTCCGTTGGCCCGTGCTTCACGGCCGCTTGGTCCCCTAGAGACCCACCACTTCTCTCGCTACCACCCGCGTCTACAGTACCACCATCGGCGTCAGTCCACTGGATCTTGTCCCTCAAGAGTTCTCCCGAGGATAAATACTACAATCCAGACCTGGTCTCCAACTCCAACTCGGTCTCCAAGAAGCTTGGATCCAGAAACTTGGGAAAATCAAGGGACAGCAGCCTGACCTACCTGATCTCGAATACGACCTTTCCGCCCATCATCTTCTTGATTCTTGACACCAGTTGACCCGCTTCTCTCACCATCTACCTCCCTCGCTTATTTTCGATTCGATCCCTGGACGTGGGTGCCCCCATTCGGTCATTGTGCAGCAGTTCGCAGCAAGAGTCCCATCCGTGGCTGACTCCCAAGGTTCCGTCACCCATATCTTATCCTCCAGATCGCTTCCCATTCATCATTTCAACCTCACGCACGTTGTTGAACGCCCCACAACGGCGCCCTGTACCCAGAAACTCAAACCCTCTGCGTAGCCATTCGAATGCAATTCCCTTTCTTCGAGGGAACCACGTTCCCACCCATTTAGGTCTGTCAAGCTTTCGCTCATCTGCCCTCTCGGTGTCTGATTTTCCCCAAAAGAGAAGAGGCGTCAGGCGATTCCGACTCAGCGTCCTATACCTAGGTTGTTCCTCGATTCCTCTCAACCCTTCCATAACCAAACCCCAAACCACGAGCCGCCGTCGCCCTGGATCCTCCTCAGAGCCCGCTCACTCCGAGTGAGCGTGACTCTCGATTGTATCACTTACATTGCCATCCTTTACCGGATCCTCCCCCACCGCTGAGTCAAACATGTCAGTCATGACAAGTACACCTCCATCACCCGCACGAACTTCCAGCGGATTCAGTCTGTTGTCCAAGATCAAATCCCACAAAGAATCAAAGTATCTCAGCCCTTCCCAGCCCCCTCCTATCCAAAGAACTGGCAGTTATGGCAGCATCTACAACCAACCTGAAAGAGCCTCTCTTTTCTCCCTCCCCGCGGAGGAGGGGTCTGGCTTGAAAGCCCGCCGACTGAGCGCCAGTCCTCTGGACGACTTTGTTGTCGACATATGTCCATTAGAAGCAGAGTTCGTACCCTTGTCCAAGTTTGGCCGCAAGAAGGAGATCGGAAAGGGCGCAAGTGCTACTGTCAAGATCATGCTTCGCAAAGGCGACAAGAAGAGCGACAGCCCTCCACACTACGCAGTCAAGGAATTTCGCAAGAAATCTGCGAGGGAAACTGAGGAAGAGTACGTACGCAAGGTCAAGTCGGAGTACACCATTGCCAAGTCTCTTGACCACCCAAACATTGTCCGAACTGTCCGACTCTGTACGACCAACGGTCGCTGGAACCATGTAATGGAGTACTGTCAACAAGGCGAACTCTTCAGTCTTGTAGAACGAAAGTATTTCAAACCGGAAGATCGAAATTGCATCTTCAAGCAGGTCCTGCGTGGTGTCAGCTACCTCCATGAGCATGGAATTGCCCACCGAGATATTAAGCTGGAAAACCTCCTCATGACCGATGATGGCCACATCAAAATCACCGATTTCGGCGTGTCGGAGGTCTTCTGCGGTGATCATCCGGGGGTCGCCATTTCACGTGGACTGTGTGGCCAAGGCATGAGAAATGCACGAAGATCAGCACCAGGTATCTGTGGTTCGAAACCGTACATCTCCCCAGAAGTCCTAGCGCACGACAAGCACTACGACCCCACGAAACTGGATGTGTGGGCATGTGGTATCCTCTTCATGACCATGTGCCTCTGCGGGAATCCGTGGCAAAGCGCCAATACAAGGGAGCTCAACTATGCGGTATTTTTGGAAGGTTGGAAGGCGTTCCTCGATCGCTTCGAGGACTCGTCATCATCGTCACGCTTGATCGATGAAAATACGTATCCCCAGTGTGGGCCTATCTTCAATGCCCTCGCTTCGCATTCTCAGCGTAGGTGCATTCTCAAGATGCTCCATCCAGATCCGGACAAGCGCTGCAGCATTCGCGACGCACTGAATGATCGCTGGGTCAAGGGCGTCGACTGCTGTACGCCAGATGCTCGCGGTGCAACCTTTGCAAATGGAATCGATGTCTCGAAACTTGAGTCTCACAAAGTGGCAGCGAAAATGAAGGTCCAGGCCAAACATGACCATCTTCCACCGCCTGTCAAACGTCTACCGCAACATCGTTTTGATATGGGCGACGGAACGTCGAGATATGACTGATCGATGGGTTGCTGGCGTTCTGGTTTCATCATTGCCCGGTTCCCCACGGTTCATCCTTCTTTTCCTCCCAATGCTCAGACCATCCCAGCATATCATTTAGGGACAAGATTCTGTTGGCAGTGCGTTACGAAGTGCTCGGAAGCGCCAGTGTCACTACAGTTTCCCGTTCCTAGGATCATCTTCTTGTAGGTCCTTTTTCATGGTGGTGGGTTGGTTAGCTGGATGAGGATCGATTGAGCGTTCTTCCGCTCGGATCAGTTTCAAAGAAGCTGTGGATTTTGTTAGCTTGATGAGGGAAAGAGCAAACAATCAATGGGAAGTATGATCTGCTTCTGCGAATGCATATAATTACTCGTACAATTATTGTTGGCGGAGTCATGGAAAACACATCCCTCTGGTGATGTGTTGGCACAATAAAATGATGTGGTGACGGAAGAACAGGGATGAAGTCCCTTATCGATAAAGATGTCAAGCTCCCACCCAAGGCTCTCAATGATTTGTAGCGACCATGTGGGGCCTGTACATCAACCAGGTTCTCCAAGTCCATGTCAAATAGGCGAATTCCAGGCTCTTCACATCAACTTGAGCAGGTTCCCCAGGTACTCAAAGCACTCTCAGTATGTCTTAGCCACATTCTTTAATCTATGAGGTTAATACTTAATATACCCCCGCCAAATTGGTATACATACATAAGTACAAAATGCTTACACGATTTCTCACGTTGGTCGCTTGCGAGTCCACTCGTGTTGATGCTACCCTGCAGGCTAGGGAGTACCACAGAAGACAACGATGACGGGCTGCAGTGGGATCTGGCATGTGTCCCACTGTGTATAATATCTCATCCCTTTATACCTGCCAACTATGACTGGATTCCATATTCTGCCGCAGTCCCGGCCAATTGCTCATCCTCTAAGCCCGGGCATGAGCTTGTTCCCAACGATGCCGGGGCTGGTGGATAATGGGTTGATTGGGGAGGTTACAGTTACGCCGTGTGCCGTGGTTAGTATTTGAGTTGCTTGAAGTTAGAAAACCCGTCATGCGGGCCAAGGACTCTCTTCTCATGGAATACTCTTGTCCAGAGATGAGCAGCCGGAGTCAGCGAATGCACTTCCGGAGGTACTATGAGCAGTTATGAGTCTAGAAAGACGCGAGCAGCACTCTTGCGATCGGAATTCTTCAAGCTCGATTTCTTGTCATGAGCTGGAGGAGCTTGGTGCTCATGCTTGCCAGGCCAGGAGTTTATACCTGCCCCCTTATGCGGTCTGTATACAGACTGGGGTGTGTGCTCGTCGCTGTGCACGATACATCCAACCCATAAGACGTACCTGGATTGCCAGGCTATGCCGCCTTCGAACTCGACCTCGGCTAAACTCAAGGTCTCGACTCGTCGTATTCGCAAGGAAGGCGCCCGGTGCCGGTCACGTCACTGTCTTGGCTGAACTTGAACCGCATCCAACGGTGTCGGTCACAAGAACCGTGCGAGCACCGCCCGAACTAACTGGTTCTCCTCACTTCATTTCATACATTCCAATTCTGAGTCTCCGATGTTTTGAATCGCCATAAGTCGGAATCTAGATATTCATATTCTATATACGTTCAACGTTGGCTCATTCTGGTTAAGCAAGTCACCGTTTCTGTCACCTTTGCCAGCGCAATACATTTGGAGAACTCGTCAGCACCGGTTTCCTTTTTCTTTTTCCCTGGACCCCAAAGGTAAGTCGGGGAACAAGTTGGAGTGTGAGACAGAAGAGAGAGAAGAAGAATCGAGGGGACACATTCTGCACGCACACCGGAGTTGTCTCAGTCGTTTGCACACGTTATTCTTTTTCTACCAGTGTGAAATTTTTGGATGCCTTGACTCGGTGTCGACTCGACATAGGGCCCAACGCACATTGGAAATCATCTTTGTCCCACCTCGGCGCGTGACTCGATTTTGAGACCGTCCTGTTTTTTTTGAATTGGAAGGAATCCGAGCCTCAGAAACGGGCCCAAAAATAAAGAGTCAAGAAAAGGCTGCCCATCTATCTATCTACTTGCCGGCACGGTTCTCTAAACCAAACCCAGAGTGCAGCCAGTCCCCCGAAAAAAATGGCGGACCAGTCGCACCTCCCAAGCTCCGCCAGCGACGAAGCACCGCCCAACCCAACAGAGCCATATCAGCCATTCCTCGACATGAAACCACCCGTCGACGCGCCGATCAGCTCCGCGAACGGGACCCTGGTTTCCGGGTCCGAGAAGGAGAAAGAACTCGAGTCCGACTCTATGCGCGCCGACCGCGAAGCAACCCCCGAACCGGATGACTTCCACATCGAGTTCCCCGCAGGCCTGCCGACGCCGCCGTTCGTGCACGTGCAGGGCGTGCCGAATTTCAGAGATCTTGGCGGGTACCGGTGCTCACCGCCCTCGTCGGCGTCATCGTCCGACGAAGGCAAGACGATCTACACGCTCCGCCGCGGCGTGCTCTTCCGCTGCGCACACCCGACCCACCTCACCCCGAAAGGTCTGTCCACGCTCACCACCACCCTGGGAATCTCCAAAATGTACGACCTGCGCAGCGGACCCGAGATCTCTCGGCTGGCCGCGACGGTCGCCAACAGCCCGGCCGACCTCTATCCGCTCGCAGACCCCAACACCGGCACGATCGAGTCGCACGGTGCGCCGGGCCTCGAACGCGTCTTTGTGCCCGTGTACCAGAACGAGGACTACGGGCCGGTCGCGCTCGCGCGCAAGCTGCAGTGGTACACGGACACGCACAAGCACGACGAGGAGCGCGGGTTCGAGTATTCCGAGGGCTTCGTGAAGGCGTACCGCGACATCGCGACGCACGGCGCGGCCGCCTACACGGCGATCTTCCGGCAGCTGTTGGCGAACGCGGCGAACGAGCAGAAACACGGCCAGGGCTTGATCTTCCACTGCACGGCGGGCAAAGACCGCACGGGCGTGCTCGGCGCCCTGATCCACAAGCTCGTCGGCGTGGACGAGGACACCATCTGCTGGGAATACGCGCTCACGGAGCCCGGGCTGGGGAAGTGGCGCGACCAGTTCATGCAGCGCATCTCCGCGAGTGGCCTGGGCGGCGGCGGCGGCAAGCCAGCCAGCCCCGAGAAGATCTACACCGGAGACCGCCAGGCCGTGTCGCGCGAGGAGGCAGCGCGCATCTGCGGCAGCCGCGCCGGCAACATGCGCGCGTGGTTGGACCAGGTGCTGCAGCGCGAGTTTGGCGGCGTCGAGCGGTACTTGACCGAGAAGTGCGGCTTGACCGCCGACGAGGTCGTGACGCTCAGGGACTACTTGGTTGTGTCGGTCGGGGCGGACGACGACGTCGTCAAGGTGAGCTCCATCGAGGGCTGGACCCCGGACGGTGGTGTTGTTGATTGAGCTTTTGCCGCCGTGTAACTGTGGCTGCGGCTGCGGCTGCGTGTGGTGTTTGAGGCGCGCGTGTTGACTGCGAGCATTTGTTCTGCTGTCAATATCTGTTGCCTGATTGATGAGGCGAGGCTATCTTCTTGTGAATCGGGTGGTGGTTCAGCAGCAGCAGCAGGAGCAGGAGGAGGAGGAGGAGGATGATATGGTGGTAGTGACGGTGTACGACAACGAAATCGCTACTTAAACATACAACTAGATAGACACATAGAGATATATATGCATCCACTTGACAATATGACGAATACTTTGATTCTTGAATTTGCTCGGGACGCTTGCTTTGTTGCTCGATTGCCCAGCCTAGACTTGAATACTTGGTCGCTTCCTCACTCCTCATGCAGACACTAACTATCAATCGTCCAATCTATATCTCTCCTCTCCCTCACTCTCCCTCACTCTCCCAAGGTGCTCTGCATTCCAGGGCGGTCCTTGCAGATTAGCCAATGAGCTAGCAAACACAGCCACTAACCCCAATCCGGCTTTCAACCAAGAAGGAGAGTCTTCCTTTCCTCTCTTCAGGACTCCCGCCTCTTTTCCTCAGAAGCGCCTCTGACAAGGGGGCTCGAACTACCAGGGGGGCGAGTAGGACTAGCTCCAGCACTGACAGCGCCCCTCTTATCCTTTTTGATGAGATTGGCGAAGAAAGCCGACATGGCCTCATTGCTCTGTTTACCCACCCCCGCCGCTGCGCCCGCAGCATTGGTTGCAGTGGCAGCAGTCGATGTAGACGGTGTCGTTGTTCCATCTCCTGCACCGATCCCGCCAGCTTCGCTCCCTGTTCTGCGCATTGGAGTGCTAGTACCAGGACCGGCTTGGGTTGATGTAGATGTAGTGGATCTGTTGGTTGCTGCTGCGGCGGTGGCCGCATTACGCTCGCTTTCGCGTTCTCGTAGCCTCCTCGTAGCTTCTTCAGCGTCGAAATCGATTCCGTTGACGTTGATTTGATATGGACCGATATGCTCGGCCATTCTAGGATTTGATACTCCTTTGACACCACCATCGTCACTTCCATCCACAGCCGAGCCACTGGTTCCTGTCGGTGCTGGAGCTCCCTTGCGTGATTTGCGCTCAGCCTTTTCATCTTCAGCTTTCAATCGCTCAAGGTGAGAGAACTGTTCTTGGAGGAATTCCTGCACAGATGGAACGGCGACGATTTCATCGCCGGTGCGTGGTTGAAAAGTTGGTCGAGAATCCGAGGGGTTTCGGAGAGTGACTTCGAAGATTGATACAGCGGACTCAGCTTCAGAATCCTTAGAGCCATTTTGGTCGGGCGATGTCGCCGTGTTTGTTGAAAGGTCGAGAGTGTGTACCGGGGATTCCTGAATCTCGATCGACCAGGCATCTCCTACTGCCTCAGGGTCGAACCCTTCCTTTAGAATTCGGATTTTCCCCCACGAATCCCAGTTAGGTGGAACGAGGATCTTGTCTCTGTCGATGATGTTGTGTTTGGCGACTTCTCGTTTAAGTAACGAATGAATACTGAGACTGGAGTGTATTAATGTCCTAACATTGTTGGGGTCGAAAGTCGCTGTGTAAACAAGGGATGCGCCATGCTTGAGAAGGACACATCTCAGCCATTGCATAAGAAAATCGAACTGATCTTCTCCCCATCCGTAGTCACGTTCCATTTGTTCAATTTTTTCTGCCTGTACACATACAACGGACACGGGTACGCCTAGACCTTCGTCCCATTCCCCGGGTCCTGGTGGGACGGTGGCGGCAAGTAATTTCTGTTCTGCACTGACATTCCCACCAGGTTGAGCAGACGGGGCATCCGGACCTACTCTCTTCTCTTTCCAGGCAGTCATGGTCTCTTCCATCTCGATCTTGGTCTGTTCGTCCAACGATAAAATGACGGACCTGAGCAACCGAACCCATTGTCGGAGTTGTCTGGCCCATTTGAAGGGATCCGACCAGTCAAGCAGAATCGTTATCAGTGTGTCCTTGACCGTTTTTGTAGTGAAGAGAGGTTTGAGCAACGGTGCAAAGTTAGCGCTTGGGTTGGCAAGCATGTAAATATTCAGTCTGGCGAGAACATCCTCCTGGTCGGCATCTAGCACATCGTGGTAGGTATATCCTAGGGCATAGCGGTTCGATATGGGGGCAGTCCGCGGCTGTTTCCGTCGATCATTATTCAGGTATCGTGGGCGTAAATTGGGTGGGTTCAACTGGTCAAGGAATTCTCGTTGTTGGTCGGGTGTCCCCCCAAGTACGATGAGTTGCTTTTCCGACAGGTCTTTGCCCTTGGAAGCACTATTGAGCATGGGCACCCAGATGGCCTGGTTTTCGCCATCCTTGCTGAGCGGGCGTCGGGAGGGCATTTGACGGGTAGTAGAGGTAGTCATGGGGGTTGAGGAGGTATTGAATGCTGAGATAGGCTGTGAGGTGCTCAACATGATGAGGTGTAGGTGGATGGATTGTGTGTCAAGGCGAATCTTTGCGGAATTCCATACGGGTCAAGAGTCACTGGTACTGAGTATAGGTGTCATTTGACCCCTGTTCGACTTGCAGAGACGCGAATTCGAGAGTGGGAAGATGCAAGGAAATGCACGGAGTACGGAGGCTGATGGTGGATGAACTTGTGTTCCTCGCGTTCTTTTTTCTCCGCAGGCGAGGAGCGGCCTGGAAGGGGCGTGGAGGAAAGCGCTAACGACCTGAAACAGCAACCTGTTAGCGCCATATTTAAGCTTATTTTTAGTCCCCGCAAGCCCCTCAACTTGATTACAACCGTTGGTCCCTTCTCGATCGAGAGTAAAGCGGCGTGCCCTTCAAAGCGTCCTTCCACCACCCAGTACGGAGCATGCGGCCGTACATGATGCCAGGGCTGATCATGTCTATCACTGGGCCGTGGTTGGTGACGTGTTGCACAGTCGTGGGCTGCCAGTTCTCCTCTCAAATCATCAGAATGTCACCAGTTGATATCTCCCGCAGCTCTGCCGAGATGTCAACAACTTGGGCAACCGCCCTTCGTACAAGCACTGTGAGTACCTATCGACTTGTGGCCCCTGGGCCTGACCTTCACAGGAGAATTGTGGAGAGCTACGACCTCAACATTCTGCTGTTTTGTCCGGCCATTCCATGATCTCAAGCACTGAGTTTGCTGCTTCCGAGGTGGAGGAGATACTTCGGCATCAAAGAAGGACTCATACGCTGAGCATTGTTTGCTCGTTGCGCCCGAATGTGCTTCATGACCCAGATACCCATCCCTTATTTAGAGGGAAAGAAATGGCAAAGGTTGTAGAACCCCTATAAAGTACCCAGCTATTGGTTTTACGGGTAGAACAAAGTTACATGGTTCTGGCCTTATTACTAAGGCTTGAGAGTAGTATTGTAACGAGATTGAATCGGTATATATTCTCGCCTATCTAGCAGTTTGGATAAAGGGGTAGGGCTACGTCGCTAGAGGAATGCCTTCATCCAGGGCCAGTAGGATAACGACCAACCAACACCAAAAACAGTACAACAGTAGCCACGTGTAGAACGAAACTTCTTACTTGCCTGTATTACAGAAGAGAGCGTAATACTCTCTTCTCCTACAGTACGAAGCCTTCTATAGAGCTCGACTCCTGAAACTCTTTGCCACGGCCGTGCTTAGGTCTATAGTAGCCTTATTCTTGAAGGCCACTGCCACTCAAACTTTGGCTGTATAGTTGTACAGCCGAACTTGTGAAGGGTGAATCAAATAGTATTCTCAAAACTCAATAAACAATACTCTTGAGCAAGGCTCCGTAGGTCGCTGTCGACTCTCTAGCACCTCTGTGCCAGCGTGCCTCGTCTCCTAGCTGACGCTGTCCTGACGTGTTCTCTATGCGTTCTCCGACTCCTACCGTGTGTACGTGAGTGGTGTGGTTGGCGTGCATGCTTCTTCCACCTAGTCTAGTAATGGTCTGCCCTTTTTACTCCCCTTGCCTCTTGCTAAGCCTCCTTCTCCCTTCCCAAGTAATACTCCTCTTTCCCGCCAGGCCAAGTGCATGAAGCCCAAGTACGGTATGTGATATTTATCGTTAAAAGAGTGCTTCATACAGTGATTGGTAAAGCACTGTCGATCCCGCCTTGCTTAGCCATCATTACCTAGACAGCGTTCCTCGCCGTGTACTCGCCTTGAAGGTGCTCATGCAGTAACGAGTGTTGATATGATAGCTGTAATGCTGTTGGTAAGCCAACAATCGAAGTAAGTAAAGTGGCAGGATTATCAATAGTGCTGTAGGGACGATAGCTAACCTAGTTTCCAAGGAACCACGAGTTATTTTACTGGTTTTGACAATTCCTTCACAAAAACGGTAGTTTCCTGCGTTACCGGCAAATGAGATTTGTAGGTATGACGACAGGGGGCCCGCACTAGGAGGTATTTAATTGATCTATTCAGAACGTGTGTAATAGCACATTTGGTAATACCTAACAATTTCCCTTTATTTCCGAGTGTCTGAAACGACCCAGCATTGCCAGCAAGGGCTGTGTGAATGTACTAACAGTTGGGTTGGCCTGAGAACGCAACACCCATAAGGTTGAGAAGACCAGAACGTCACGTTCACTATCAGGTAAGACTGCAATCCACGCAATTCGTGACTGAATAGTGAAATAATGCTCCCACAGTCTCTTTGAATGACGGACATCATCAGCTACCGGAAGAAGTACAGCATGGATCCGTTGTGTCAGACGTTATACATCAGCGGCTGTATCTGCAAGGATGACGTTAAATTTGGAGTGTCCGAAAGGACATCAACAATGTTTGGAGGCGCTACAATACTCTGCGGTGAGCCGTTAAGGCTGATCACTTTCTGCCGCGAGTTACCAATTTGATCATTCATGTGGTCAATGCAACACCACATGTCATGCATGATTCATTGTTGTTTTTGGCGCTGGAGTCGACATTCGCCTCAAAGGATAGGCTGCTAGGGAACTAGGTAGCTTTCTGTACCACTAGATCCTCTAAATTTGTTGTATTTCAATGTGAACAATTCACAAATACGCCATAGAATCTTCCGCAGAAGTCTTCTCCAACTTCGTTCTTGCTACAGTGGTGTATCACACAGCATGATCTTCCAACCATTTGCGGCCGTGGGATAAGTGCCGCCGGGGAACCGGCGGCGGAGAACTACTCAAGGATCTGGTAGATTCTAAGTGAACGTCTTCTGCGGGTAACTCGAAGCTGAAGGTCGATATCGATGCAGAGGTACCCGAAATGTTAGAAGGCAGCAGTGATTGTATAGAGGGCTTGACCAGTAACAAGTGTGTTGGCGGAGGAAGTGATGTAGCAGCCTGTGCGTTTAGGTTAATGGCGAGTCCCGTGCCGGAGTCCAGTTCGGAGTAAGTTGAGTACATCGATGTCGTAAAAGGGTTTGTTTCTGGCGAATGGGATATTCCTCTGGATGGCATCTCAGCAAGAATGGTGGTGTCTGGGAGTGTTGGCAATGGCTTGCGTTGGGGCATCGCTGTTCTGATTTGATATCGTGGCAGCGTGTTTTGAAACTCGTGAGGGAGGCAGCCCGGCATCTCCTGATAGTGTATCTGTTGTTGGAAGTGGGATGGAGTGGAGAGTGAGTCCATCACTATGGCCGGGGAAGCCGCGGGCCTCGGGGGAATTGGCGGTGGGATCTGAGCAAGGTATTCTGCTTCTGCGGTCTTAGTGCGACTCTCAGAAGACGTCTCAGACGGTCTAACTGGCAAGTCGAAACCTTTGTCCCTTGTCCAACGGCCTTCGTCTTTCGGCACGGCCAGAAATTTGGCGATTCCGCAGTCTTCCTCTGCTCCTCCCACACCAAATGTCAGCCTTCCCAGGCCCACGTCAGGGATCCCTTGATCTTTGTGAGAGCCTGAACGAGATACACTTTGTCTATATCTTGCCCCGGGCGTGATGACCTTGCCTGTATCATCGTGATGTTGTGTATTAAGATTCCTTCCTACTTCTCCAGCCGGATATTCCCCAGTCTTCGCAAATTCGTGCAACTGCTCAGGATCAGACTTCGTCCGCCGCTGGAGAAATTCGACTAGCTCGTAGGGTGGAGGTGGCTTCGGGGATGAAGCTCGTCTATCGGCAGCACTGCTGTGACTCCGATACGGGTTCGTTTTTATCGGGCCTGTCCGGCTGCAGAGAATGCCCATGGCGGCATTCAGGCCCTGGGTTGCGATTGCCATTCTATTAATGTTCGTGGCAACCTTGGGCGAATCTTTAAGCACATATAGTGCTCGAGTCTTTAAGGAAATGTCCTTGGTACGACCCTGTTTCGTAACCATATCGGCGCGTGCGCGTTCGGCGAGGATGGCTACGTCCTTGACTGCGTTCTCCGTCGCAGTGATGCAATTGTCAACGTAGGCTTTTTCGGTGTCGTTGAGGAGGGAAGACTTTTGATGGCGGAGGGTCTTGACTTGTGTAACTGTTTCTGTGACGATTTTCGTAGTCTCCAGCAGATCTCGTGTTTGCTCACCGACGGCCTGGATCTCATATATAATTTGGAATATCCGAAGGGAGGTGGTAACGCCGGAAGACACGGCGGAAACTGCCGAGAGAGGATCTGCCATAGTTGGGAGCCTTATAAGGAAAATTGTATGGAGGGAAGTAGGCTTCAAAGAAACCTGTCAAATGTAGCCAGACTGACTGCCAGAGCCTTCAAAGCATTCGACAGAGACCCCTACGAGCTCATGAGGGTGAGTGACCAACTAGGATATTGGATGATGAAGCCTAATAAGGCTGGACACCTGCTGCTTCTTCCTGAGACTGCGGAAAGTGGTGAGCCCGCCTGACTTACAAGTTATACTCGGCGGTTATGCATGAAAGGAGGCCAGGATTACAGGGTGTGTGCTATTGATTATGTGGATATTGGAGAACTACGCATCCAAACACAGCCAGAGAGGTCATGCTTGTGTATCCGGCAATGCGGAGGACACAATGACAGTACGAGCACCAATCAGAGAAGGCTGCTTGTATATGTTCAGCGTGGCTGTCGCTTAGAAGAACGTCATTTCGACTCTCACCTCCCTGCCAGATCATTGACACCCAACTCGCGACGTCAAAACAAGCCATGAACACGAGACCCACCAGACTAAACAGTCCACCAATAGCGACGACCCCTCTCATGATCTACACACCCCTCCTGAATCAGATTACGGATACAGCTGTGACTCTGAGGGTTGTTTCTTGTAGACCCCAGTACAAACTTACTTCACCTCCAAGTCGCGCGCTACTGGTGGGACTATCACTTGTGGCGTTTCCAGGGGCCGGGCCTCGGCAGAAGTCGTCCTGATTAGTCCAGGACGTAACACGAGCCGCATCCCACGATGACCCTGCTCCCCATGGCGCGAGAGACGCCAGTCCCAGACCAAGGTTGACGGCTGGGAGAACATGGTCACACCAACCTCAGCTGCAACTTTCATGATGCTGACGAGATTACCGCGGCGAGTTCCTTCTCTGTCGCGAGCCCATGGAGAGAACGCGTGGCAAAGGTTCTCTGCTGCATTCGCAATCGCCATATCTCGAGCCGCTGTGTAGGCTCGATCATTTTCTGGCTGCGGATGCAGGTAGGCAGTCAATACACGCCATTTACAGTACGCAGCATCGAAGACCACTTTTCTCAGATTAGCAAATGATCCGATGAAGATATTCACACTTACTGGAATTATTCTTCGTAGCGGTTGCACTTTGTATTGATTGGGGTAAGGCGGTGAAATCTGCGGGCAGGAAAGAGATGGCCGAATTACTCTCCGCCGAGATGCTGGAGACAATGAAGTAAGCAATGGCGTGCTTGATGAGCATCGTCGGACGGCGCGTGGTTGCCAGCAAATCCAATATCGCAGCTTGGTGAAGGTGTGAGTCAAAGTGTGCAATGTTTGAGTGAACCAACGGGTCGATCTTGACGGCAATATCCTGGTAGTATTGTTCGACGTGCATTTCAATCTGGTCAAACAAACCAGAGACGGCTGAACGAAGATCACTGTCAGCTTCGGGTTGCGGCAGGTGCTTTTCCCATGCTCCGACACTTGTATCGGGTGGGCTCTCTTTCGGTTCATTCGCACAAGCTACCTTTTCCCAGCGGCTAGATCTTTTGTGTCGTCGGCTTCGATTTCGAGAGCTCATGATGAAGAATGTTAACAGAGCAGCGATGAGAGCTCCGCCAATCAGGCATCCGACTGCGGCACCGGCAATAGGACCAGTCGTCGAAGGACAATTATTGCCAGGCGGTGGTGGGGGGGCAGTCACAATGGCTGTTTCGTGAACCGTTGTTGTCGACGGTGCTGTTGTCGATATTGTAGTGAGATTTTGGGTTCCAGTGGGCGAAACGGTGAACTCGATGATACTTATCGAAGTCACAGTCTCAGTACCGTCTATTGAAGTTGTGTATATAATCGGAGTGCTAAGAGTAGTAGTAATAGCTGCCATCCTGTCACCCTGATCTGTTTGTTACTATTCGAAATCGATGCTTGCCGGAATTTGCAAACGTGGAGTAATTTGTAAGGCTTGTGAAAGCATCTGCGTTTTCACAAAGATGGGAGGCCGCGATGGCAATTGCAGGCGGGTCATTTTGAGCACTGAGCACTGAGCAGTCCTCGTCTATTTTACTATCAGCCTGGTCAGGCATTGCAGCTGTGTAACACGAACGCGAGGGTTACGACGACTCCTTCTTCCAGCCACCTTGGCCCCTGCACTGGGGCTCGGTAAACGCTCACGAGTTTGAGCAATATCGCGTGATGGAATCCACGCAGTAAATACTCTGGCGCCAGAACCCACCCCTTGAATTATGCCAGTCCATGCGAGGGCCCCTGAGGCTCAGTCTGCCTCAGACGGTTGTGGCAAAGAGCTGATCGATTTGTTAAAGAAATAGAGGTGAGGATCTTATAACTACCAGGTCGCGATCTCTGCCCGAATCGTTGCCGGCATGGCGCTCAAACCAGATATCGTAGTCGGTGTGGACTTTGGCATGACCGGTGCGTAATCCAGGTCGGGCCGTGAGTGCGATCAAATTGACCAGGTCGCAGGTACTGGGGTCGCATACTCAGTCGCACCAGAATGGGCACGTCCAGAAGTCATCCAGAGCTGGCCAGGAAATACAAGAGGCGCTGTTGCCGACAAAGTTGACTCAAAGATCTCATATGATCTTACATCAGGACAAGTATCTGCCTGGGGATTTTTCACAGATTTCACCATACGCCACCACAAATACACCGAACTTTTCAAACTTTATCTCGACCCAGAATTCAACGCGTCCCAAAGAGATGCTCCTAGTCTTGAAGAAGCGCGGAAATGGTTCAGAGATTTCCTTAGTTGCTTGTACAAGGAAGTGATGAAGCACCTACGCGAAACAATTCCGAGGCTCCAATCACGAAAGATCGAGTTTTGCTTCAGTGTCCCCACGACGTGGAAAGATCCCGCCATGGTCGCAGAGCATGAGTTGCTCATCAAACAGGCCGGGTTTGGGAGTGAACTAAACCACATTGCCCGAATTACCCTGACTGAGGCAGAAGCAGCGGCTGTATACGCCTCGAAGCACCAATACCAAAAAGGAGACGTTTTTCTTATCTGTGACGCCGGAGGTGGAACAACCGATGTCAATGTCCTAAAAGTCGCAGCTCAAGACGACGGACAAACGGAACTCGAGCCCCTTTCCTGGGTAGAGGGACAGCCTATCGGTTCAACTTTGATTGACTTCAAGGTTGAAATTCTCATGAGAGAACGTCTAAAACGCATCCGTCATAAGCTTCCCGACGATCCAGATAATATCGCTCGTAACACCATGCGAGAGAGCTCACGTTTTGAAACTTTCAAACGCAACTACGGGAGTGAATCTTTCAGTCAACTCTATTTGACACTTCCAATCTCTCGCCTTCCTCCCGGCTTTAATGATGCTGATGCTCATATAGAAGATTCGATGATGGTAGTCTCAAAAGAGGACTTGAGAGAGATTTTTGATCAACAAGTCTCAAGGATTGTGCGCCTCCTCGAGGAACAACTGGCGACACTGCAGCAGAGCCATCCAACGGAGTCGATAAATTATTTGGTTCTATCGGGCGGGCTCGGGAGCTCACCATACCTCTACCAAAGACTGAAGCTACAATTCGAAAATGGCGCCTGTGGATCCATCAACACGCAGAACTTGGCGATTTTGAAAGCCGACAAGCCTCAGCTTGCTGTCGTTCGAGGACTTGTGATGGATAGAGTGCAAGAAATTACCTCGGACCGAAACATATATGTGGAAAGGTGCTGTCGCAATTCCTACGGCGTGATTGCGCGTCATCCATATAATCCCATATTCCATCACGGAGAGCCGGTTTCCGAAGATCCACGAGATAAACAAAGATGGGCCGAGCAGCAGATAGATTGGTTTATCAAACAAGTGAGTGCAATTACCCATTTTCTTCTCGAGTTTAATCATTCCGATACTGATGCTGATATAGGGAGATAAAGTATCTGTCAAACAAGGCATCAAGCAGCACTATCGACTCAAATTGGACCCAGGCCGAGAACAATTGCCTTGGAAGACCCAAATCGTCATGTCCCCCCTTCCTGTCCAGAGACTGCCCACAAGCATGCGGAAAGACGGTGCCAGAACGGTCTGTGCCATTGAATCAGTTCTAGATCCTTGGGATCTAAAGCTCAAGAACCGTCACTGGTACAACACTAAGCCGAAATATTACAGAGCCGAGTTTGACGTTCAGATGCTCATTGGGTCCGCAGACCTGAAGTTTCAGGTGATGGGGAAGAACGGGACCTTGAGCAAGAAGCACGATGATATCAGTGTCCGCTGGACAAACTCCACGAAGCAGCAAGAGCCCACTTGGGAAAGAGAAAGACCGGGGGATGATTTTGGACTCTATCGATTCTAGTGCCAAAGAGGTGGGGACAATATTCCCCAAGCTTTGTTTAGCGGCTGGTTTATCCAAAGTGCCTTTTGCTGTACATTTTACTCTTTACAGCTCTACTGTTCCTCACGTAGCCAAAGGACGCTTGGGAAAGTCAGGTCACATTCACTGCCGAAACCGGAAGCAATGGTATCGGCTGACCTCTTTTCCAAAGACTCGTGTCTCTGCCAGCGGGTGCGATTTGTGCTCGTAAGTGTGTCCAAAAGAGACGTGAGGTTGGTTTAGGGTCTGGAGTCGCCACCAACGCCCAGGACGAGAAATACTCACACAGACTTATCTTTTTACTTCTGTCACCCAGGGCAAATACGAGGGCTCACCAACCTCTGGAATCTTGATAGTGGCGACTCGGGTCTATCCGAAATACTCGGTAGATTGAAGTTGAGCGCCCTGCATGTCTAATCTCACGAAGGTCTACGGAGGACTTCTCAGGAAAGCTGTGATAAAGGTTGGGCACGACTTGACCTAGATCCTGAACTAGCTAATCTGTCTCAGCCGACGAAAGTTCCACTTTACCACAATGCTATTTCCGGCAAAGGCTTGAAAGGTCAAGATAAAGAGGGCACACATTTGCGAGTCCAAAGAAGTGGTGTATTTCAAATCTCAAAGGGGGAGGGTTTTCAGCCTCACCGATCGCCAGGGCCGCTTCTTGAGCCGAGGGCATGGCATGTGAGACAGGGTGGGACTGGCTGTCGAATTGCAATCGGGCTTGAGAGGCTTCAAAGTTTCCTTCGACCGGTCTGGAAACCTGGGGCAACCATTACGAAGTAAATGCGAAGTACCAGTTCTGGTGGAGGCAGCAGGGGCTTCGACGCCTCTCTGATAGGTCACATGGTCAGCCGCAGCATCAACACTGGATGGTGATCACCATGATCAGGGGGCCTCACCCTTCCGCAACTTAAGTACGATGGTTGTCTTTCCTTTTCGACAATAGTGACACCTCTGAGAGAAAACCGCTCATTGAGCATTGACTCATTCCAAAGGATTGCTTTTAGCAGGCGATCTGAATTGCCCCCTCCCTGTTACAATAGACAAGCCCAGCAGCATTGCCCGTGCCAACTCCTGATACTGCTACTGATCACTCTATCAAGACGCACCTACTCTTCTTCACCCACACCGAAACATAGGCAATCCACCCTCGTCGCCATGGAGAGAGTAACCACCCCTTCCAACCCGCCTGCTGCCACTCGATATCTCGGTAGCAACGCCAAACCTCTTAGGTTCTGGTGGCCACTAGGACTCGGCATCGTTTGGCTTGTCTTCTACATCATCGGCGGAGGCCTGTATGGCGGCTTCACCACATGCTGGGCCAAGCCTCAGACGACGTGGTCCCAGTGTGTCCCACTCAGACAAGGGGGTTACGCGATGATCAGCCTCGCGAGCATCATTTTCATCGCATGGGTCGTCGTCTTGGTTCTCTATATCGTCAGACGGAAACACAATGTCCATGGCGGTGGGGCCCCGATGGTGACGGCGATGGGAGGGTCGAATTTCCAGGCTCAGTCGGTCGCAGAACGCATCAAAGGGCCGGCACACAACAATGTAGGGGAGTTTTGTGGAAGCTGTGGTACAAGAGTCACTTCGGAGTTTTGCACCGGGTGCGGAGCACAATCGAAGAGAGGAAATTGAGACTTTATTAGTGGGGTGAATGTTGTCACTCTTGAAGCTCCTGCGCGCACAGGAAAAGCCTTGGAAGGCCATGGAAGGCTTTCTTACTAGGAACTGTTGTTCTTGCTTCACACTTGTTGCAGTTGCTATTGTTTTGGCTGCCCTGCTTCCTCCTTGTGATTGCCCGCTGATTTGACTGGCTCTGAAACTGAGTGTTATAGGATGTGACCAAAATATACTTAGTACTTCTTAATACTCTGTTCATGTGTGCATCACGATTTCCCGCAAAGTGTTGATATGTAGACTGCTAGTCGCATGTCGGATAAGCTGTCCGAGGAATAGGGGAGAAAAGCAGCAACCTGTGGTGTCCATTTTCGGAAGTGGGCACTTGTTTTCTCCGACGAGGCTGAGTTGGGGTAATTCCAACGTAATAACTTCCCGAGAGTTTTGACTAATTGCCTCGCCCAATCTTTTTTCCTACCAGCAACCAGACCGCGCAATATCATGCAAAAGAGACTGCTGAGTTCTTAGGCATGCTACACTGTAATCCATACTAGATTCAAGCAACAGCACCTCTCTACCTCGTCACTGTCAACGCCGCCAGCAACACCATCACCGCCCGTCCTGAATCCTCACCGCGCTCCTCTTGCACGCCTCGCCTGCCCGCTCCTTCTTCCTTGCATTCAGGAACTGAAGCTCCCTTGCCAAAGGGCCACATATTGATGTCCTGTCCCCACCCATTTCCTTATCCACAACAACGATGAATGCAATCCGCGCAACCCAAGCGCTCAACAAGCGCGAACTCGAAAACGCCACGCCCACCAGCGCCTCATGGCACGTCGACTATCGGGACACAGCATACATCTACGTGGGCGGGCTGCACCTCGATTTGACCGAAGGCGACGTGGCGATAATCTTCTCACAGTTCGGCAACCCGACACATCTGAATCTAATCCGCGACAAGGAGACGGGCAAGAGCAAGGGGTTCGCGTTCGTGAAGTACGAGGACCAGCGGAGCTGCGACCTCGCGGTGGATAATTTGGGGGGCGCGGAGGTGCTGGGGAGGGTCCTCAGGGTGGATCATACCAGGTATAAGAAGCGGGATGATGAGGACGAGGAGACATGGAGGTTGGAACGGCTAGAGAAGGAGCAGGAGCGGGTGGAGGGTGGCCCGGAGAAGGGGAGTGATAGTGGTGGTGGGAGCAGTGAGGAGGGACGAGGAAGCGGAGATGGAGAGAGGGGAACGAAACGGCGGAGGATAAGACGGGAACAGGAACGGGTCCCGTTGAAGGAGGAACTGCAACTGCAGGAGATGCTCGCCATTACGCAGGAGGGCGAGGAGGAAGATCCCATGCGGGAGTACCTGATCAAGGAGAAGAGAGAAGAGGTTGAACGAGCGAAAGAGCGGGAGCGGAGGAAGACCGAGAAGCATCGAGAGTATAAGCACAAGCATGAGCATCATCACCGGCGGCGCGGGAAGGATGGGGGCGACGATAGCGAGGAAGGCGCTGGCGTCGGAGGGGAACGAAGCCGTACGCATCGACATCGAGACAGGAATAGGAATAGGCACAATGGCGATAACCGAAAGGAAGACGGGGATGGCCAAACTGCTGAAGAGCACGGTAGGTGGAGGAAGGACAGAGATGACCATCCTGACAGGAGAAAGGATACACGAGATCAAAGAGCCAGATACTACGACGATGACAGTAGGGAGCGCACGTCGTCAAGGCCACATCGCTCACGCCGCGACGGTGATTTTGATTGATTGACCGAGCTAGTTTTCGTACTCGGTAAGCCAGCTTTAATATATACCAGAGTAACCACTGGGGAATGATGACCCTGCCCCGAAATGACTCCGAGAGAGAGATACATATATATCCTTTCCACTGACACCACGTCAAATGCATCAGACGGCAGCACCATCGCTCTTGGTAAAGATCCCCTATTCAGTGAACAGGAGCGAAGTAGCTATTCGATTTTGGGGGGGCCCGCGGAGAGACCTCACTTCGCGGGGTCCGCTTCCTTCAGCAACTGAATGCCTGTGTCGCGGAGTTTGAATTTCTCTGCACACCTTGTCAGGATTCTAACTCTCGAACTTTCTGTCAGGGGTAAATCACTCACGAATCTTTCCACTAGCAGTCTTGGGATAGTCAGTCACGAAGAAGACATATTTCGGGACCAGATGATGGCTCATGCGGTCGCGGACCCAGCCCCGCACATCGTCAACGGAGATTTCCTTCTCGCCAGGATGTAAATGGTGCTTGCGAATGACAAATGCCGCCACGACCTCGCCGTATTTCTCGTCTGGCAGGCCCACGACACTCACCTCTGCGATCTGGTCGTGGGCAAATAAGCAATTCTCGACCTCCAGAGGGTGAATATTCTCTCCGCCGCGGATGATCAGATCTTTGATGCGGCCCGTGATGCTGACGTAGCCTTCAGCATCGATGGAGGCTTCGTCGCCCGTGTGCATCCAGACCTTGCCATCGGCGTCGGTCTTCATCACCTCCGCTGTTTTCTCCGGTTGGCCCCAGTATTCCTGCATGACAAGGTAGCCGCAGACTGCGAGTTCGCCGCGTTCGCCTATTTCGAGAACCTTGTCGTGGTCGAATGGATCGACGACTTTGGCTTCGACGTGGGGGAGAAGTCGGCCGACGGTGTTGATGCGTTTCTCGATCGGGTCGTCGGTTGTGGTCATGGCTGACACGGGTGATGTTTCGGTCATACCGTAGCAGATGGTCAGTTCGGTCAGATTCAAGGTTTTGTGTAGCTTGCGCATCAGTTCCGCAGGGATGGAAGAGCCTGCTGCAATACCTGTGCGCAGATATTGAAATCCTTCGTACACGATCTGCTCGTCGTTGATGAGCTCAAGTTCGGAAAGAAACATGGTCGGCACGCCGTACAATGCTGTACCTTTTTCCTCCTGGACGGCTTTCAAGGATGCCATCGGGTTGAAGGCTTCTGTAGGAAAGACGATTGCCGAACCGTGCGTTGCAGTCGCCATATACCCCAGAATGCAACCGAAACAATGGAATAGAGGTGGAGGGCAGACTACCACGTCCTCGGGGGTCAAGAGCATGCGATCCCCTATTTGATTTCCATTATTGAGAATTGAACGATGAGACAGGCATGCGGCTTTGGGCATAGAAGTTGTACCCGATGTGAATTGAATGTTGACTAGATCTGTATTTGACAAGGGCGCAGAGGGTGTCGGCAGCGTAGTATCCGTGTCTTGACTAATTGACGACCATGGAGTGGTTGCTCGTAATTGAGACGTGTCCACCCGACCTGTAGAGTTGTCCAACAACACTATGTTCTTCAAAGAAGGTATTGCCTCAGCGGATAAGGAGGAGGTTGTGAGATCTGGAACTAGCCCCTGGAGAAGGGAGACATTGGAGCGTGGAGGTTTGAAAGGGAGGTTTGTTTCGGTCCCAATGACCAAGTGGGTGGACGACAGGTGGTTGAGCGCTGAAATGATCTGGGTTGCGGTGAAAGCTGGATTGAGAGGGACCAGGATTGCGCCCAGCTTGAACAAGGCATATGTAATGGTCGCAAACTCGAGATTGTTCCCTAGCGAGACACATACGCGATCCCCCTTCTTGATCCCCAGGCTTTGTAGTCCCCGAGCCACGACATTACTGTCAAGGTCGAGCTGGTGGTAGGTCAAACGTTTTTGTTGATGTCTGGATATGACGGCATTGCGATCGCCATGGGCAGAGACAATGCGAGCAAAGTTCTGGCCGACAGTTTCTTCAAGGAGGGCAGGTTCGAGGGGTCCTTTGATCCGGGCACTTGTCAGAAGACCTCGTCTTATGTGCGTTGCCGACCATGTAGCGAGGGAAGGCCGTTGAGACCATGATCGAAGGTATCGGTATCCCCGCATTGCTTTAGCATGGCAGCATGGCAGAGGACACTTCATCAAAGGAGTGCCGGGGCCGGTAGTATTCAGTGAGGGTGGTTGTAAATGCTGTCATCGATCCATATTGCACCTGGCGCAGAGAGAAATGGCCTCGAACGAGAGTATGGGCCAACAACAACTGCGTGGCTACTTGTGGGAGCTTTGAGATCGACCTGAGTGCTCAGGTAGCTGATGGGCACGGGAGGCGGACCGGGTCCACGTTTGAAGCGCAGGTCCTCCGTAGTCGGTACGGAGTACCTAGAGTCCGGGGAGCCCGGGAAGCCCTAGAGAGCTTCTGGAGACGCCCAGAAGGCCCGAGGCGCCCCTCAGCGGGGGAATCCAGCTGTGAGGCTCTTGGGGGGCGGGGGTAAGTTAGCTAATTACATTTGCACCGAGGTTGATCCCTTCGCCTCTAGAGACGCACCCCTGAGCGGAATGTCCCCGCTAGCCTCTGATGATACCTACGCGTTTACGAGCCCCACGGTCTTTAGGTGTGTATATCGTGCCAGAAAATTCACAGATTCGCCTCACAATGGTTGGAGTGCCAGATAGCTTTCAATGTATCTCGGCGCGGTGCACTAACTTGCCTAATCCTTTGGGCAGGGCAGTAGTCTTAGGCTACGTGCGAGGCTGGTGTATTCTGTCGAAACAGCGAACAGTGAAATCCTTTCCCCCACACTCGAAGGCCCTAGTCACTCTTCTCGAAACCTAAAATGCGGGGGAATGGGGCCATGGCACTGTCAGCTACTTGTAGAGCGTATGAGGGGTGAAGAGGGACATCCTTTCTCTCGCTGGTCATTCATGGATTCTTGGCCGCTTGTCGATCTCAAGGAGCCTCAAAATTCTTCCTCGAGGGACACTCGGACGTGGCAACTACGATATAATATAGCAAAACTCGCCCGGGCCTGTCCTCTGCAGCCCATCGGCTTCAAAATGCTGCTACAGCGGACCACAGCAGCCGCGCCCAGAAGGTCGAAGCCGGGAAAATCTGAGGCTGACCATCAACCAAAACAAGTTGCTGAGGGAGAGCGACCACTCACATGCATGTTCTATTTCTTTGCCTCTCAGATGAAGCGGAATATCCAACCTGCAGACCCTGATCTAGTCAGAAGGGGCAAAATGCCAGACCGGCCAACCCACCAGCTTGACTCCATGCTTACTCGCATAGGTATGCATGCTGCCCATTCGCCCCTGGTCGCCAAGTTTGAGACTTTTCCTGTCGAGATACCGGATCTTCAAAGGGAGTCTTCCAATGGCCCAAGACCCTCGCGGGAAGAGGTCCATGACACCGTTATGATGATGAAATTCCGTGACAAGAGAGCTCGTGAAGAGTGGATTGTTACCAAGGAATGGCAGGAATTCATGACCAACACCAACGGTCAAGATGTCTTTCGGCGCATGCCCCATGTCAGGTGTGCGAGTAGTGTGAAGGGTCTGATGGACCCAATGGATAGCTTGACATCTTGAGTACTGTGTGCCAGCCAAAGACGTGGCTTCCAAATGTTACAATGATGGTGTTCTGAGCAGTTACTGGCGTCGTCTGTTGCAGAGTGGCAGTCATTTCGTGGCGTCAAGCTGAAAGAGGTGCCTCAGAAATCTTGTATTCCAGTTTCACCTTCCAAGTCCTTCTTCTGATGTTTCTGCGCTGTATCATCCCCTTGTACAAATTCAGGCTCTTCCTCATCGAAGTATCTGTCTTGGGCGTCTTGTTCTTCGAGCAGCCGATCGTCGTATTCAGTATTCTTGTCCACAGCCTCGTAGTCAAAATCATCATCACCACCTCGGAGAAACCTCGTTTCCATCTCCCACCGCCATCGGGCAAGCCCTTCTTCCTTGGTTGTGGGAACCTCGTCTTTATCTTCCGCTAGGATTTCTCCATTTGGGCCTCTTTTGTAGGTAAAGATGCTGTTCGGATCAGGGTGTCTTAATGCATCCAACTTAGCCTCGCTGCGGTACAGGTCTGCTTCAAGGATGCCTGAATAGCCTTTCTTTCTACCTTCTGCTTCTCTTTCGGCGGCGCTTTGAAAGCGGCGGACGAGACGGTCATAGAGTAGCGGATCTGTAGATGACAGCTGGTCAGCTCAATTGGACTTACTCTGTGGAAGCTACGGTTACTAGGTGCAGTAGTTTGAGACAAGTCCCACCTGCCAACTCAAGCTGAGGGCCAAAGTATTCAGGATGTAGATCAAGGTATCGTTTTCGTCGATTCTTGATTTGAATTCGGTCAATAGCTGCTGACGAGCCCGCCGTTTCCATTGGGACGCCAGTGCCTTGAGGGAATCCTGGCATCTCGGAGGGTATGCCTAGAAGTTCAGGCAATTGAGAAAGCAAAGCAGGAGCGAATGAGTAATTTGAAAATCGTACAGGGGCGCCATCGGCTCCAACTTTAATGTACTGTGAGATACATGTATTTCCAGGTCCCACCCAGGAATCGCAGGGACCAATTTAATACGGCACTGCAGACCAACAAAGTCCAACTCCTTATCGATAAGGGATGCTTCGTTCTTGCCTGCTGCCAGCTGCATCGACGTGCACTGCACTTGGCTTGGCTTGGCTTGGCTCCGCTCCCCTTCTATGCACCTCCAAGCCCGATAGTATTCTATGATCCAGTCTGTCTCTAGACATTTCTCTGACACCGGAGCTCAATTTGGAGTTCTACTGCCCAATACCTTTCCTTGCTAGTCTTAGCTATGAAAGTGCGATTGACCTCCTAGGATAATCGAATGATGTTGCATTGTGGCGAGAACAGTCGTTTCAGCGAACGCCTCAAACTGAGAGGCATGCATGCTGCAGAGTTGTAACAGATTAACCCCTTCTTTCTTGTTTGGGTTGCAGATTTTGTGCATCCAGACCGCGGCCATGCTTCCCCCAGAACCTCACTCCTTTGGGGCTGAGATTGTGGCGAGCAGTTGATGGTGGAGAACAACCTCGGGCCAGCCCCAAGCTACCTGCCAGCTATGGTGGAGGTTAATGCTACGCTTCCAGGATCATCTCACCCAAGCTGTCTCAGCCCGAGTCATGTAAGTCCTTACGCGCATTCCCATGCTGCTAAGACCGTGGCGGAAGCTCAAGATGGTTTCAGCGGCAAGTCTACGTTGAAAAAGACATGCCATGCCCAACAGGCTTGCTGAGTGTCATGGGACATCACCAACCACTCCTCGCTCAGATCCTCCGGACAGACGACAGGAATTGCAACCATTCTCTTGCCATTGCCATCGACAATGAAGCGCCAAGCCGAACCAGCCTCTGTCGAAGACGTATCGGACGAAACCAATGAAACGATCCCAGATACTCGAAGATCGGCGACCTCTTCGGAGAAAGTGCCCACTCCAAAGCGACAGAAAACGGTCGGCGTCCTTGATTGTAGCAAGACGAAGAGCGCTACAGCAGCGGTTATTTGTCGTTCTCGCGAACCCGTTTCTCTGACCGACGCGGTTCGTCAGCACGAGAGACCTTGGCCTATGACAATTCTCTCCGGACGGATTAACCAAGATGTGAATGCGAATAAGATTGATGGCTTCCGTTTCAGAAAATTGTTCTATGAAGGCGCGTCTCCTTTCAATTTGACTTCATTCTGTTCGTTTAATTCATATCTAAGAGAGTCATCGTTCCAGATCGTCCCATCAGTAACGAAACCACTACATTCATTGAACGCGATATCTTCATGACAGCAGAAGATGCCCAGGAAAGGAACCCTGACATTTGGATCGAGCAGCGGACCTTCAACGCGTCGGGAAAACAAATATTCAAGGCACGCCAGCTGTTCTTCCCCGACCGAGTAGTACATGGGAATGTCTACATCTTCCCTGGCTGTGGGGACCAAATCCTCGGTTTCGAGAAACTCCCCGACCTACATTTCACGGGCCGAGTGGTGAGTTTCCCCTTTTCTCTCCTTTCTGGGCTTCCTCCAGATCATATTACCTCATTAGAGCCAGCTATTGTCACATTCCTTTTAACAGCCTCCACCAGCTCCCACGAGAAGAATGGCCTCAATATATCTCCAAGACAGCAAAGTACTACGGATACGACAATCTCGTTCATATCCACCCCACCCAGGCACAATTCAACAGCGGTGACGGAACGACATACAGCTTTGACTCTGCGTATGACTGCCCCTGCTCTGGTATGGGGGTGTCGGCCAGAAGACTTCCCAAAATGTCCAGGTCTGGCCAAGACTTACTTGTTTTCGACTTCAAGTTGAAGAGTTTGGGTCCGCTCATTGAAGATACAGGCGCGAGGGCAGACTTGGACGTGAGGGTTCACGTCCCGCAAGAGTGGCTAGGGCAAAAGGGCCCTCCAGTTGAGTCAGCGACGGGCGCCAGAACTGCTTGAACCTCCAGGTTGGCTCACGGAGTACTGAGAGGTTGCATTTGACGGCGTAATGATTGATATGACTTTTGAGAACTTTGCTTGGCGGATGGTTGGTCAAAGGCGGAGGGATCGCCATGAAGCGATTGAGCTAGCGTCGAATCAAGTGTATGTTGTGACCCTTCCACCGAATCATCGATTCAGTAGCAACTTGTAAATGCAATAGCCATGATTGACAGACAATAGACGTTTTCCAAGTTCATTTCAACTGTGTGTCTGTGGGCATGAATGCTCGTTATACATGTCATATGCTGCTATCAAACAAAACATCACGCCCACGCCCACGCTTACGCTCAAGCTCATAATGTGCCATCAAGTGCCCATCATCAAGCCCCACGTTCTCGGTGCCGGGGGCGGAACACGATTCGGTCCGACTTCCAACTTCCTGCCAAGCGACTCGCCATTCATCACTCATGACTTATCATCATTCATCTCATTTCCGAGCAAGGGAAGAACCGCGGTCCTCCGTAGCCATGCGCCAGGATAGCCTGTACGTCGATGTTCGCCTTGGGACACTGGGCCCAAAGCTTGACGAAAATATATCGACCAGAACTAGACAGGGGGGGGGGGATACAATCAGTAAACTTGATTCCGGCCAAAAAGGGAAGAGAGAAAAAAGCCTCTCAGGAATAACTAGGTACTTACATAGGAGGATCGAAGTTGATGGCCGTGCTGGACTTGCTCCTGCTGATGAAGAATCGCGCGTGTGGTTTGATTGCGTCAGGGCCCGCAGAGGAAGGGCGTCCTTCTTCGCCTCTGCTGATTTTTGCAGCTGGGCCGCATTCTTCAGGGTCCGTGGCGTGAAGGCTTGTTGGGGGCTGCTCTGAGGCTGAATTTGTCGGATCATGCGCTCCTGTCGCCGCTGCAAAAGTCCGTCCTCCGCTGCGACTTGGTGTAGCATAGCGAGAGTCAAGGAATCGAAATTCGTCATCGTTATCCTCATGGTGATCAGCCGGGGGCCGACTGCGTCGGCCGAAGTACTCATCACTGTCTCTGATCTGCTGGGCACGCATTCGATCAATCACCCGATTCTGAAGCTCCATATCAACCTCCAATTGACGTCGTTGTCGTCGCTCTGTCTCGGCCGATGGTCGGTCGTGTAAAGGTGTTCCTGTGTCGTCTTCTGAATCACTTGAGGTGGCTGAGATATTGTCATTTCGTTCATTGCCTGGTCCTCCTAGATAGACTGGTCGGTAGCGATCGACATATGACCGCAGCGAATAATCGTCATCGTGCCAGGGTCGGGGTGATACGGGGAGTTCATTGTTGTCCTCATCGCCTGATACGTCTGCCACTGAAACATTGAATCCGGGGACAAGCGTGGTACCGAGATCTGGGAACTCCTCGTGGCTCGTGGGATCGGTGAGGTAGCTCGAGCGATCAACAGAACGCAGTGGCGACCCACTAGGGTTGAGATACTCTTGAGAAGGCCGGGTCCCTTCGTTCCTATGCCGTGAATAGCGGTATGCTCGGGGAGACCATCGTACGTCATAATGGGAGGTTTTGTCAACAAGTCCATCATCATCCATTGAGATGAAAATCAATCCTTCTTGAATTGGAGCATCAAATCCTGCGCGAGGAGCCTTGACAATGATCTTGGTCAAGGTAAATGGCATGCCACCGACGTGTTTGAGGAGCATGTTGCACTTATTGCTTTTGGTGCAGTAGACACTAGTGTCATCCACAAGAATATTCTGGGGATAGTTGTTGATGGCGACATGCGGATCAGAGTATTCACCACCGTCACAGCTGACGATCTGCATTCGTAGTTGACCCGGGACCACCTGGCCGTCGAAGCCATATTGAAATGTCTGGGGTTCTTCGTCGTATGTACCGTCGTCTAATTTCCTACGCTTAGATCTCAATCTCTCCCCACGATCACCGGTGGATATAGCAGGGGAAGCTGGGGAAAGTCGAGCGAGAGGGGAATGGTTATCTGTCATAGGGGTCCTTGCGTTCTGGCCGAGTCTTTCTCTTTGATATCTCTGCAGGCGCTCGCTTGGTCTGAAGGCCCTCCTCCGGGCGCGGGCAGGGCTTGAAGGGCCGGAAGTCTGTAGAAGAGAATCGGAGACAGAAGAAGAGTCATGGGCCTGGTTGTGGGTATCAAAATCTCTTCGTCTCCGCTGCTCACGGGCGGCATAATCTGCAGACATGTAGTCGACCTCTCGATCTAAGGCTTCTATGGCTCGATGCTGGTCAGGGAGATGGCGCTCTGAGTTGAGAAGACTGCGAAGGTTCTGCAGTCGCAGGGAAATATCAGTCCAGGGGTGACGACCCGAGTCATCAGCCTGGGTAGGTTAGCGAGTTGAATGGAGAGTCCAAAGAGAACTGGGTGCAGATACGGGTACAGCAGAGCGTACCATGTCTGAACAAAGGCTGGTGTGCTCGGATGACAGAGCAGATGAGGGTGGTTGCACCGAATGGAGGAAGCATGTAAAAATTCGAGTAGCTTCTGCTTTCTATATCAATGTGACAAACGAAGAGTGAAAGCTGAGATAGATGGTCGTGGTGGGTGATCGGGTGGTGTGTGGTCGGACGACAGTTCTTTAGTCGTAGGTTAGGCATGGCAGTTGGGTTTCCAAATCACGAGCCCAAGCAAAAAGGTTGCCCCACGAGTTGGAAAGCAGCAGTTCCTCTTGACGGGAGTCAGGGACTCAAGGACCCAAGGGACGTCGGGATCACCCGGCCGAATCGCGGCGTGCCTGTACTAAGTGATAGGCGCTGTCTCGCCTGCCTATGCGGCGAGTCTGGGAAGAATTTTGACCGTGGCGTGCCTACGATAGGCTTAGGCAGCTGAATGGGGGGCTGCGTGCTGCGTGCTGCGTATCTCTCCTGTGAGTTAACAACCCAGACAGCTAGTCCTCAACGAGTTGCGGGGCTTAAGTGCATTCCTCGGCCTGCAGCCCATGCCTGCGGCCGCCCCCTCAATCCCTGCAGCTACTGGGCACGGCGCACCCCCTTCCAGGCACCACTGGCACTGTGATGCTTGACGAACAGCTTGGCTGACCATCAACGAAAACACCATCCACCCAAATCCGCGAATATCCCTGTTGCAGCCCGAATTAATGCTTTTGCGACCGTCAATATTATAAAGTCTGCGAATCGTCGAGAGTGCATGTCTGTCATTCATCACCACCATCGTCCGCCTCACACTCCGATCATTTCCTTCTCACAACAAGTTTTCATCTGAATGTTACAAGAAGTCCTCCGCCCCCAATCAACCTTTCCCTCACCTCAAAACACACCATGGCGGATGAACAGCTGCCAGACCGATCTGTTCCTCTAGTCTCCAACGAAGTCACTAACACGTCCGGCCTCAACGTTGATGCAGACGGTGTCGACGGTGTCGACGGTGCCGATGGCGTATCCTTCGTGCCTGCTCCTCCTCTCCTAGACATGAATGGCTTTACGCCCATGCCTGCGCTTGCATTCATGAACATGCCACTACATACCAATGGAGCTGACCCCTCGGTGTTCGGCATGGTACCTCAACAAGGCATGTCAAACGATGAAATCGCTCTCTACGACAGACAGATACGGATATTGGGCTTTCAGGTTCAAGAGAAGTTACGCTCAGCAAATGTTCTTCTGATTGGCCTCAAGGCATTGGGAGCTGAAATTGCCAAAAACTTGGTGCTTGCTGGAGTTGGAACATTGACCATACTTGATGGCGATGCTGTCACCGAAGAGGACTTGGGCAGTCATTTTTTTGTCACTCACGATCAGGTTGGAATGAATCGAGCAGCATCCGCGCTCCCCGAACTACAAAAACTCAATCCGCGAGTAGAGTTGTACACTGATCCAATTCCTGTGGTCGTCAAGGATCCCGTGTACTTCCAGAGCTTTGACATCACCATAGCTACAGATCAGCTCATGGACATCCTGATCAGCGTCAACATGTCCTGCCGAATGTTCAACCGAAAGTTCTATGCTGCAAACACCTACGGAATGTATGGTTTCGTTTTTGCAGATCTCATCCTCCATGACTATATTGTTGAGAAACCACGCAGCAACAAACCTGCCAAGGTTGGAGACATGGATTCTGTGACGAACTGTGTCACTGGAATCATGTCCAAGAAGGAGAATGAGACTACTATCGATATCATCACCCATCAAGAGACCTATTCTCCGCTCCAACTAGTCAATCTCTCCCCCCTCTCGGCCAAAATCAGGAATACTCGCAGGAGCCGTATGCGGGTAACTCCCCTGCTGTCGTGTCTGCGCGCCCTGTTCGATTTTCAGACACAAGCAAATGGACGATACCCTGGACATAACCAGGGTGACCTGGGGACATTCACTAAGCTGGTGAATGAGAAACATCTGGAACTGCAATTGCCTGTTGAAACTCTGCGAGCCGACTTCTTACGAAGTTTCTTGCAAAATCTTGGATCGGAGCTCAGTCCAGTTGCAGCGTTCCTTGGTGGGTTTCTGGCTCAAGATGTGATAAATGTTCTTGGACAGAAGGAACCGCCTCTGCAGAATTTACTGTTGTTTGATGGGGAGGAGTTCACAGCCTCGCCATTCAGCATCCATCCAATTAATGATGATGCCATGACAATGATGAACACTAATGGGCTACCAATCCTGCCTATGGACGCCTCAATCCCTGTCGCTTGAGATTTTGAGATCTTACAATTGACGAGGAGGAATGGAGAACAAAACACACGCCTGTATCAGAGACGAAATCAAAGACGAACATCAAAGAGGAGATGGATAAGTACAACCAATCACCGTCATCCTTGGCAAGTGGATGCAGCTTTTCACATCACCAGCCTAGAAAATGTGCCACCAACGACAAAAATGGATAACACGAACGAACCCTATGTACTAGTATAAGATACCAGTAGCTGGATATCTCGAAATGTTCCACGAGCTACAAATCACAGCGTACGCTCCATCTCTTTGTGGAGTTACATAACAAGTAATACCCTGCCATCCATCGTCATTCCTTCTCGGATACAACAGATGATTCACTCCGCGTAAATTCTTCTTCCACCCAAATCTTGCCCAGCTTCAAGAACCATGTCTTCTGAGCCCCCCACCGCATTGGCCGAATTGAGATTCCATAACATTGATCGCAATCCTTCTATATATGCGACTCTCAAATCCATCCGAAAAGCAGCTTTGTCTATACCAAATCGCCTACGATCGGTCCTTGCAGATGCTGCCTTCGCCAAAGGCATCTCCGAACAGTACAATCTCCCGCTTCTTGCAAATGAGCGCTGTGGAAGCTGGTATATCGACCCGTCTGACAAAGTTGGTAGTGCTTATTTCAAAAGCACAGACGGTCATCATGGTCAGTGGGACTTCTCTCTTCGACGACTCAACCTTCAACTTATCCCCATTCTGGGAAACAGTGGTGGCGCAGTGGTGGTTGACTCTACCCGCCGAGGGAAGAGTCTTCCAGATTCATTCAGCAAAACAGTTCCGATATGGGTCGCTGTGATCAATAGGGCGTTGTTTCCTGAATTGACACACGCCCACTGTCTTCAACATCCACCGGCACCGGATGACCTTGGCTTATCGGAAGTCTCTCAAATCGAAGGCAAGCTGGATGGCTTTGTTCGATCATTCACGCAACTAGGGCTGAATATTCCTATGCTGCGCACACAGCTGAAATATCCGATTCGCATCATTTGGGAGATCAACGGACGTTCCAGGATCGATTTCGAGGATGAGGAGTACGATTCGGAAGCAGAGTCAGTCACATCAGCACTAGAGGGCAACCAAGCCAATCGTCTTGTCTTATGCTCTGCATCTCAACGAGTACGAGGTGCTGAAGCATCCGAAGGCGGATACATCCAAGGTGCCGGTGATGACAGCGAGGGCTGGTCTCACGGGCTTACTGCACAGACATTCTGGAAGCATAGGGAGGAGTTGATGCAATCGCCCGAGGACGAACTCGAACCTCTGATTGAGACTCTACTCCAGCGAGACAAGCAAGAATCACGCAGCCACGTACCCGCCGTGAGGGCTTCAACAACAAGTCACCTATACATTGGAGCCGGCGTTTCTTGCAACACAGACGAATACAGTCTAATCGTGAACTGTCAAAATGATGGCCAACATCCAACAGTCGATCCCAGAGTACTTGACCTGAAATGTCGAGCTATGAAACTGGGAAGCAAAGATCTTCGAGACCAGTTGCCATTATCGAGCAAGGTGATTTCTGAACAACTACGAAAGGATGCCGACAGTCGAGTGTTAGTTACATGTTCCTCTGGCAAGGATTTGAGTGTTGGGGTCGCTGTGGCAGTGCTGTGTCTCCATTACGATGATCAAGGCAAGCTGCGGGAGCCTGGTGTCTCACCGACGATGGACAAGAGCCTGGTCAAACAACGGCTTGCATGGATCACTCATTCGAAACCTGATGCCAATCCCTCGCGAGCAACTCTGCAGGCGGTCAACTCGTTCTTGATGCATCGACCTGACTAACCAGTCATGCTATGTCGCTATCACACTAATACAATATACTATGTGCCGAGCGTTAACGTTGGCGAGGCTGGCGCCCGCCTGGGCGGCCGTCACACCGACTGCTGACTAAGGCCGCGCTGTCCGCTTAATCCATGTTAATTGTTCGTACCTGCATCCATTATTTACTCCATCCAGCATCATCATTCATTTTTCTCCAACCGCATCAACCGCAGGTGAGACTTGCTTCTGTCACGTTTGCTTCATGTCCACACATGTACAACCTTTCATTTCCGTCCTCCTGTCGTCTATATTTCCTCCCCCTTCGATAGTCCCAACATGCCCGACCTGACCCTAAAATCCACCCTCCCTCTCGGCGACACCTCGCTACAAATACCCCGCCTCGGATTCGGCGTGTACCTCTCTCCCGCCGACGTGTGCCAACAGTCGTGCCTCTCCGCCCTCGAGGCAGGATACCGGCATATCGACACTGCACAATTCTACGCCAACGAAGCACAAGTCGGCGAAGCAGTACAAGCATCTGGAATCCCCCGCAATGAAATCTTCATCACCACCAAAATCCTCTCCGCGGCCGGCAGCGTCGAGAAATCCTATCAAAAATGTGTCGAAAGCGTGAGGAAAATCGATCCACGCGAAGATGGCTACGTCGATCTGTTTCTCATACATAGCCCAAACGCCGGCAGTAAAGTGCGCAAGGAGCTGTGGCAAGCTCTAGAGCGGCTATACGAGGAGGGCAAGGCGAAGAGTATCGGTGTCAGTAACTTCGGCGTTGTGCATATCGAGGAGTTGAAGACTTATGCGAAGATCTGGCCGCCGCATGCTAATCAGATAGAGGTATCTACACCTTTTCCAACCCATCCATCCAGCGAACTCCTCTGCAGAGCAGAACCCTCACTAACCCTGCAACCCTCTATCTAGCTACACCCATGGTGCCAACAACGGCGCATCGTGCAATACAACACGCAACACTCGATCATCACGGAAGCTTACTCGCCGCTTGTGCGCAACTACAAAGCCAACGACCAGACCCTCAAATCGCTGGCCACGAAATACCACAAGTCAACCGCCCAGATCCTTATCCGCTACTCGCTGCAGAAGAACTGGGTTCCGCTGCCGAAGAGCGATAATCTGGAGTACATCACCTCGAACGCAGATGTGTTTGATTTTGTGATCAGCGAGGAGGATACGGCCGTTCTGGATGCGTTGGATGAGGGAGAGAGCGGTGCGATTGTGCAGGCTGTTGATAATGATTGATTGGAAATGGAAGGGGGTAGGTAGTTGGAGCAGGGAAGGGCCTGGCTGGTCAGTCTACGTATTAGGGTGGCTTGGGTTCAAGACATGCAAAGAAAGTGATAGATGAGAAGAAGATATGACAGCATTTTCCTATGGGCAGAGCTCTCCTCGGACACATTTCCCATGGTTGCATTCACGACACCAGATATGCGGGGATGGGTGACAATTACGACTTTGGCTCAACGATGAGAACAGAATGTGGCTGAAGAAACAGGGAGGATGTGATACTCAACTATGATGATCCCTCGCCGTGCCTCCAAGAGTTCCCATCCATATGAGGAAAGAGACCAGGTACCTCGTCTCTCCAGAACAAGTCATCGAATATTCCGCCGAGACTACGGAGGTACGTCATCTCAGAATGGTTATACCTCAATGCTTTGCCCCTTACAGCCGTCACAGATTGCCGCTAGATATCTAATATCTAGAGTGCTATCGCTAAAGCAGGTTTTGTGGCGTTTGCCTGAAAAGCCCATCCATCCTACAGGCCGGTATCGCTTGGTGGAGCTGGTTTACTTACGGGACTCTCTCATTCTATCTAACTACTCGGGTACGTGGCTGGTGAGCGTAGTGGTCGGCTTTGTATCTACCAACCTGTACCTAGTTAACACACGGCGTTCCATCATACGCGGCGCCAAACATGCAAACGATGCCGCAGAAAGCGACCATCTCCCATAGTAGAGCCAATGGTGGAAGACGCTCTTCAAAAAGGCGGGTCCAAGGTTTTCAGTGGATGCTGGACCTGTAGGGATCGTCGAGTGGAATGCGATGAATATCGTCCGAGTTGCAAAAGGTGCGAGGTTGCTGGTCTGAAATCCAAGGGATACAACATCAGGTTGGTTTGGAAGGGACTTTCACACAATGTGGCAAACTCAAGATCGTCTTCACTTGTACCCTCGCCTTCGCCCTCCCTGTCACTCTCGCGGCGAAGTTTCCACTTCATGAGAAGGGACCACGTTATTTCCAAAGATCCAGTCTCCCAGTGTCACGCCCAGCATCGAAGCCTTCTGCTCTGTCGAGGGCAGAGGTTTCCTCCATTCAGAGCCATCTCAAGGAAACACAGCTCAATGCTTCATCAACCCGCCAGTGACTCTTTTACGTCTTCTGTGCCCAAGCTAAATCGACGCCCAATCATGAAGACAGGAGAGCTGTTTTCGAATTGATCCGCACCGGAGACTCTGATATCAGCCCGCGGCGGTTCAGTCCCAAGTACCGTCCAGAGCAATCTTGCAGAGGACTCTCAGCACGATAATCCGGACATTCAAACCGATCAGACGAGCACAATCTCTTTTGGGACAGCAGACTGCCTGCAACAATTTGATTATTCGTTTACTGAACACCACTGGGAATCGGCAGACAGCCTCTGGACAGAAGACTTCTTGCCGCCAGCCTACGATCAGATTGTAGCTAAAGAAGCCATGGGAGGGATATCCCCAGGGTTTGAATCTGCTGCTTCGCCTTCGAGCTTCGACGACTCAGGGGGTTTTGCCGCGTTAGGCACATCCTTTACTGACACCAGTGATAAACGAAGCTGGCGAAGACCTGTCGCATGTTTCGACAAGTCCAGGTAATGGACAACTTTGTATCGGACTAAACTCGCCGTCAGCCTTTTCTCTTACGTTGACTTCAGGTCGTTTCTTGACTACCACTACGGACGTTGTACACGCCCCTGCTGAGCAGTCAAAATTGATCTTGCACTTTGTCACGTCTCTGTCCCGTGATATGTCGCCAATTTATCAGAGTGATAGACCTCAGCACTGGGCGTTTGTTACCCATCGTACTAGCTGGGTTGAATTCAAGAACTCGCGGCTTTGACGGAGAGATAGCTGTCTGCCACGGTATATGTTCGGCATCTGCATTCAATCCGTCAAGATTGAAAGAGAGGCAGGGACAGAATCGGCTTCATCAGCTCGGTATTGAGCATCAACAACTCGCGCTCTGTCACCTCTGCCGCAGTATAGCAGGGAAGGAGCAGGCGCGATGCACATCCAATTGGGTAGCTGTTCTGGCCTTACTGGTCCATGCCGGTGTCCAGGGTGAGATAGGTGAATGGCGAACTCACGTCAAAGCATTGCGTTCGTTGGCCCTGGCCAACATAGACATGGTTCAGCATGATGTGGTGGCCCAAGTAGTACTTGAATCGCGTCTCTGCATGTCTGTCCTAGGCGACCTACGCGACGATCATGTTCTAGAGAGCATGATGGACGCGATCCCTTCTGGACCAAGTTATATGGAGACAGCACATGGCATTAGTCGATCCCTGCTCAGGACCATCTACAAGATCATCTTGCTGGCGTCGTTGACACGATCCGGGGAAATTTTTGGAAGCGAGGGCGATCAACTGCATCTAGAGCTACTACTTCATGCTCCTGGGAACATCTCCACCGCAGGCTTGGATGCAACTTCTGCCAGGCTGCTTGTGCATTACTCAAGCATCTATTACGATGCTACGCTGATTCACTTTGAACGTCTCATCCGCCGCAGAAGCCCTACAGCGCTCCAGCGATTTGTGGAAAGAGTCGTTGACCATTTAGAGTTGATCGAAAAGGAGAGTGGGGAGCCCAAGGGATGTATCTGGGTATGGTTGTGTTTGGTCACCTCGGTCTAGTGCACCGAGCCATTGCTGAGGCGGCGGATGCTTTTATGGTGTGAAGGGAAGCGGCGGCATGGGTTCGGCAATACGGGATATTGCTTGTAACACCGGGGAAGAGGTCTGGAGGCTTAGAGATTTACGCCCCGACCACTCTGGCGACGTATACTGGCAATATGTGGTATGTAGTGGTACATATGACATTCTACCTCTGTAAGTCGAGCATCGAACTCTGATGGCAGCACAGCAAAGCACAGAGTGAATAGGACGCAGCCGGCCTTGTGCTGAATAGCATGCAAACGGTAATAAGGGCTGTCGAGGCTGCCTACTGTTCATCTCGTTCAGTTTGTCCTAATCGGGCTGTGCTGGAAGTGAACTGGTTCTGGACAAACACGGATATTCCGCACATCTCACATCCGCTCCTCGAGCCCTGCATTGATTATTGAGGCACACTAGTCTTGTAGCTCCCCAAATCCAAATCTCTGTTATGTATTCATGATCTCCACAGTGGCCAATGCGGCCAGGCCTTATTTCCCGGAATAATGGGTCGATGATGTGGATGGGCCGCCCTTGGATACACAGTCCTCCTCCCTGTGCTCCGGGGCACAATGACCGCTTCAATGGCACCAGCCTAGAACAGCATTCACCAGAGCTTTTGCGACATGCTACTGGTTGATCCCTTTTAACTTCCCCTGTGACAGCCTGGGGGCGGCAATGTAAAGGTCCAAAGGACCACCGCTCGTTGTGCTTAACCAGATAACGGAAGATTGGCCCTCAATTCGTGTTCAACTTAATCAGCTTTAAGCCACTACTCAGGGGAAGTTCTCTGTTATACCTGGGGGAAATCGAACCGGTCCCGATTGGGATGTAGACAACGAGAGGCAACCTGCTTACCCTTATCCTTCGCTTATCAACTCCACATGCATTGCGGCTACTTAGAAACGTGGAGACTCTAAAGTCATCGGCAAGTCCCAGTGTCATCCACTGGCTTTCTAGAGCTTGAGAGAACCATTGGTCGACGGATTTACCATGGTTGAACATGACACTGATTGCCCTAAGACAGTTGCTTGTCGTTCCTCTGCCGACATTGCTAACCAGCTTCTGCCATAAGCGGCCGCAATGAAGGAGGTAAAACCATAATTGGCTCCTTCCCCTTCGTCGAGACTGGTGTTGTGATTAGCGATGCCAAGCGATTGTAAAGACAGGGGTCTACTATATCGCTTCGACGCATCCGAACTAGCTCCGAGAGCCATTCGAACACTATCCGAAGCGGACCTGACAGCGCCCAGGCGCTAGTCTAGTACGTACTTAGGATACTATAGAGTCTGACGAGTCCCTCGGATCGTCTTAGGAATGACCATATCCCCTTCCCATCACATGTGTCACGGAACACGGAAACTGGCCCACTGAATGACTGGGCTAGACCAGAGTAGCTGTTTTCCCACCAGAAGGATTTCTTGAAATAACCAGATATTTTGTGTATAACGAGTATCGGGTGGAATTCATGTAGACGCTCTTTGCTGGTGATAGCGGTGGATTGAAGCTTATGGTGCGATATACTGGGCTAGGCAGGATAACGGCCATATTACTTGCAGCTTAATTTGGTCCGCCTCCACCCGAAGTCTAGTGTCCTTGTTGCGAATATTACCAAATATCTCGCCCAATGCCTTGTGTTCTCCATGAAGTGCTGTAACAGGCGCATTATGAAGTACTGTTGGCGCCAAAGTGACTATCGACGGAACAGGCAGACAACCTCGTAATAACGATCAATGAGTCAGTGCCACAGCCTCTGGAATACTATGGAATCATGGAAAACAGGCTCCAGGAGGTCATCTTGCCTAGTAATTGTCTATATAAACCAGAACGGTGACCATACAATAGAAGAAGACAGAAATCTCAACAACGCTGACTTGCCTGTATCGATCGGCCCGTACAGTTGTACAGTCCAAATCCTCTAACAAGTACAGTCTAGCGACAATATCGTGACTATAGAAAGACAAGTTGTTAAATGGAAAGAGTGCACGCTCCTCTAGTAGGCCTTGACAATGGGTTGGGTTGGGACGAATGATGGCCTTAGTCAACCCAGCCCAGTGGGTTCCGGGTTCCTTAAAGTCAGAAACCCAATCCAATCCTGAAAATATAGGGTTGGGCTGTGTTCGAGTTGGGTTAGAATCTTGGTAAAGTTCGGGTTACCCACCGGGTTCTATCAAAATTTTAACCCAATGCTAATGGGTTAGGGCTATTGAAATGATGAACCCAGCCTAGCCTAGAATGGAGCCCAACCCAGACCCATCGGGTTAACCCATGTCAAGACCTACCAGAAGATACCAATCGGACCAGCACAACATCGCATGCTATATCTATCTCAGTGGGATTGCACATTGTCACAGCATGTCGGACGAGGTGAACCTAAACTTGGTGGAAACTTTCTAGCGTCACGCCTCGATGATGATTCGAAGTACCTTCCCCCTGTGAGACAAGGCACAAGGGCAACACCAGGAACATATTTCTGTCCCTTTGCATCGCTTCCATTTCTTGACCGGGCCGAAAAGTATCAGTCGGACTACTATTACGAGGAGATTGTGATTATCTGCCGGCGTGTTCCGTCGTATTGGGCATACTCAAGTATTCCCTAGGGAAACAGCTACGAGATTCGAGCAAATATGCCGTCCAACGCTCAACCTGTCCTGATTATCCCAGCATTTGACAATTTACAGTCTTATTAACATTACCATTGAACATCACAGTATGTCATATTTTATCGTTCTTTTTGGTTGTGGATCTCCACATCCTTTTCTAGATGTCTCTCATAGAACAGCTTAGGATTTAACTATTGTTAAGAGCTGGCCTTGATGGACAATACTAGGCCGTCATTCTGTGGCCCATCAGAGGCTTTCTGAAGTTTCAGTTTATCTCCTGCTGAAAAACCCCTAATCCAGTTCCTGAAAATCTTGTTAGAGCCGTCTGGGGTTGCAACCTTCAAGAGTATCACCCCAGGACCGGCAAGTGTCTGAAAGATTCTCCACTTATGAATTGAGAATTCCTCATTGTTCTCGGGCCAAAGACTTCTATGTAAGCACTACGAGTGATCAAGATAGTGTGGTACTTCTGTCATTAAGGTATGCGGTGATGGTTTGCGGATTCATTCCCGTGGCATCTTTGAGTTCGCTTACACTTCGACAGATAACGCGATCATGTAGAAAGTCTTTCCACGACCAGTTCTCGACAGGCATACTCTTCGCCACATGCAACGCGAATGCTGCCAATACTCAGCATAAGGATGTAATGTCGAAAGGACCAACGCCAGTGATTTGGCTCCGCATATTGGACCCGACTTCCAAACCACGTTTCATGAGCAAGATGCAAAGAATGGCCGTGGTGGATTCAGAGGGACTTGAACCAGGTTGAAGTGGGCTTCTTTGCTGCGGATATTGGCCTGGAATATTTAAATTGAGAGTCCAAGGGACTCTACTCAAAGCTCCGATCGAAAACTAGGGCGCCATATACCGGAAGCTAGAGGCCCACCAACTCTGAATCGTAAGACAATCAGGCCATAGCGAGCGTAGAGGATTGGGACTTTTGCCTTCTTAGTCTACCACGCCCAATTGTCTGCTATCCTAAGTAGTGGGATAAAACAACAGCAAAGTGTGATTTATCGTCCAGTAAAAATTTATATGTATGACCTATATAATGATCAACTCCATTGTGCTGTCAAGGTGTGGTTAACCCAGTATATAGGACGTACACCTCATGCTAGCGTCATATCTCCGATACAATTCTAAATGGCGAATAACTTTCCTCAAGAACACCCCTTGCTACCAAACCTTGGTCAAACCTTTCTCACCAAGGTCGCCAGCGATGCAAGCGTTGGAGGATTTGGACTGTGCAATTGTACGGGCCAATCGATACCAGGCAAGTCAGCGTAGATGAGATTTCTGTCTTCTTCTACTCTATGGTCACCGTTCTAGTTTATATAGAAAATTACTAGGCAAATGACCTCCTGGAGCCTATTTTCCATGATTCTAAAGCATTCCAGAGGCTGTAGCAGTTGCGGATTGCTCGTCGTCATGAGGTTGCCTGCGCTAGTCACTTTGGCGCCAACAGCAAGACTGAACGACTTCTTGATGAACACTCCCGACCCAGAACGCGACTTGGCCCTGCAGCCAGTGGCTCAGGACAACGCCCTTTCCTTTCTTCAGTGGCACACCCTCCAGAGTTGCCAAGTGCCGAGTCCTTGGGTAAAAAAGACTCGAGTGTTTTACTACATATAGTCTATTAATTTCGCCTATAGTCTATATAGATTAAGGGGGCTCCTAAGCCATGTTTTCTCTAGATAGCACCTTTTAATACTGTATTAGTAAATGAACTAGGGACGTCTTGAAGAGCAGCTTAGTAAGGCGTAAATTGGAGAATAATTCATTAGAGAAGTGTACTGTAAGTAGCTAGGACTCGGAGTCGGATCAGGACTGAGATTCGAGTCCTACTATTACGCCAAAAGACTCGGACTTGGGGCTCGATGACTCTGGAGTTGGCAGCAATGCTGCTTGACTGTCTACTATAGAAACGCATGCAGGGCTCGAAACACCGATTATAGAAGCCTTGGAAACCTTCACGATGCTCCCACTCTAGGCCGCTCACGAAATTAAGTATGGACTATTTACCAACAAGGGTGATCTCTTATTCCATGCCAATCCACCTACTATAGTACCAAAGGGCCTGACACTACTGAACATGCTGTTGTTAAGCTGCATGAAACTAGTGTGTCCTCACATTAGAAGCTCTTTAACATTGACACCATCACATCTCGCTGTGTGAACTTACTCACCTTACACCTGTGGTGTGTGCCACCTGATGGAGGAAGTGACTTAACTCCTTTTGGACATGCGCTCCGTGCTGTATGAAATCTATGGACTCTGTTCTAGTTTATACAGATATTTCCTAGGCACTTGATCTCCAGGAGCCCCTTTTCCATGATTTCAAAGCATTCCAAATGCTGATATAGTGGCGTTTTCATGGTTCAAGACAGGCGGTATTCTAGTCCGACCCTTGTAGTTTAGTATCCATATTTACTAGTGCGGTCACGTGCTAGTAGTTCTGGTACGCGCTAGTTTAACCTCGGCGCCAACACCACCATTCACCTAGAACGCGCCCAGGCGCCTGCTCTGGCGCAGATTGATGAATGGCAAAACTGCTGCCCGGGCAGAATAACGGATGCCATTGCGTCATTAGCCCCATGCACCTACAAATGCGTTGTTGCCATCTTATGCACCAGCTTCTTCTTATGCAGGTTTGTCTCTTCTACAAACAAGGGGGAAACAAGAAATTCCCCCATGGCTTCTAATGCGCCGCTGTATGAAACAGTGCTGAGGGAGATACGTGCACCTCTCGAGAAAGCCTTGAATGACGCGCTGCGTTCTTTCCAACAGAATGGCAGGACGTCTCTCCTGCGTCTTGAGGCGTGTTTCGACAATGGTACTCCGCACGGTGGACAAAGAATTACACTGGTGTGTCTCGGGCACGCTCCTTTTCTCTGGTGAACAGGCTAATCATATGCCCTAGGCTACAATCGAGCTACCTTCCTTCCAAAGAGACTCTGGAAGCACGAAGACCGCAACAGATGATGAGGCCCGACATTCTAATCCCAATAGCCAGATCATCCAGCCTCGGCCTATCTTTTCCAATCATGGGCGCCTAGACCGCGGCCGTCATCATCGACAAACCCGAAAAGCTGTGGGAGATTTGAGGTTGGCCAAGTCCGTGCTTTCTCATCCTCGGGCTGCATCACCCGAAAGGGGTTCGTCACGGCGCCTGACAAGCAATTTTCGCCAATTCTCGAAGCGAACTGTTCCAAAAATCACTCAGCAGCAGGAGCTAGCTCCCTTCGAACGGCTTGTCGTCGGCATCTGGAAGCAGATACACGGTTCAGTTGACTTTAGCCTATCAGAGTTGGTGAGATATTTCCTTCAGCTAGCACATTGCCGTCACTACGTATGTCTCGTAGTGCAATTAACACCACGAGGGTCTGACTACTTTTCTCAACGAGGTTGACGCACCGTCATCTTATCCTATCTTCAATCCTCGCAAAAGGACCCCAAACTAACACGGGCGCTCTTGAGGTTGATCTATGGAACGAAGTGTCTCAAATCAGACCGACGTCGTCCGCAGGAGTGGCAGACTGCAGCCATGGAGCTGCCCTCCCGTTGGCTATCCGCGGAAATATTGCTTTCGAGACTGTCAACTATTGTTGCCGCCAGATCACACAAGTCAGTCGCTGCTGCAGGTCGCTTGAAGTCATTGTCCAAGCTCGATGGATACAATGCTACGACGAGCAAATACAAAAGCTCGTGACAGAAAATCCCGACCTATCAATTCCCAAGGCCCGTAAAATTGCGCTGGCAGACGCGAGTAAGGATTTTGGGTGGAGTGAGAAGGAGCTCCGGAATAGAATGTTAGAACACAGCGGTCTAGAGCCGATACTATGGTCTCACTCTAGATTCTTACTGCGCTTGCTCCATCCTCCACTTCTTTCCAATACTGACCAGAGCGTTTTGCAGAGCAATTTGGCGCGGTTACGACACCATCCGAGAAGCGGGGGGGTGGGTGGCTCTGGCTTTTGCTGGCATGGGCCTCTATCGTTTCTGTAAGTACCGCCTGGGGTTCTGCACAAAGAACATGACGGCACTGAGGAGACTCCGCTCGCGCTTCGAAGTCGCTGCCGATACAATCCACCCTTCATGGCGCCAACTGCTATCCGTAGTTGGAGAGCAGAGTACTTGCGTCTATTCTGGACATCCTTGCGACTGGGTTGTCAGTAGAGATAACCCGCCTATCCCATTAGCCGATACTTACACCCAGTGGATACCGGATTTCCGATTCCAGCACCTGGAAGAGAGCATAGTTGATGAGCATGTCTGGGGCGCGACGGATCCGCGGACGGAAACTCAAAAAGATCAATATAGGCTACCAGGACAGTTTCCTTGCCAAAAGTGCGGGTCGATACAGACCAACGATCTTAGTACGAATGAGTGCCACTGCTTTCCTAATATTTTTGGGAGCGGACCACGCAAACCATGTCCAGTCCAAGTTTTCCAAACGGAAAACGGAAGGAACAATGGCCTACTTGCTTGCTGTGTAAGGGTGTCCCTTATCAAAGACCTCAAAGCCCCGACTAACAGTGACATCTTAGCCATTTGATCGGGGTGTAGCGATTGCCGAATTCGTCGGTACAGTTACAAAGAACATAAGTGACCTCGATGTGATGCAAACAGCTGGTCCAGGTGGTGAGTATCAGATCTGGCAGGGTCGCCAAGGGAACTACACTCGCTTCGTAAATCACTCCTGTCAGCCAAATTCCCAGTACGAACGTTTCTTCTGGCTTGGGTCCTTGCGGATCGTGTTGGTGTCCAAAGGTATCTCCGCTGGGGAGGAGATTACAGTTGACTACTCCAACGAGTATTGGAAATACCTGGAAAAGGTCTGTCTGTGTGGTGAAAGTTGTTGTCGATTCAGGAGGAGCACAGCGATTTGACTTCAAGGAGATCTCAGTTTGATAGGACGAAGTTAAGAAAGCTCAAGAATGACAAGGGCAGTCTGCAGCCCTGATCTTAGGGTTCACGAATTTGTTCTATGTGAGAAGACACTTCGACCTCCAACTGTTAGAGGACGGCAGGCAAGTTATTTTTTAGGATAACTTAGCCCACTGCGGACGGCTTTTCTTTTTGATTTATATCCCAGAGTGCAAGCGTCTATGGCAGCAGCTGGGAAATCCCAATCTGTAAGGACTAGACTAGGTCCTGAGTAGAACGACTTGTCGCCGTTACTCATACGTCACCGGCGTTATTGATGCACCAACACAACTGCTGCACGCCGCTGGAAGGTGCACAGGCGGATCAGTAAATCCGTAAAGGCAAGATCAGGGTAGCTTTCGGAACCAGTATGTTTGAACTGAGATTTCCTGGAGGTCGCACTCAAAGCTCATGCCCCGCCCCGAAGGCGCGTAGCCTGGGGTTGTGCCAAGCAATCGAGACAAGTCTCAGAAGAAGAGGTAACAAGGTCTTTCATCAGTTGCTGCGGATTGTGCAAGGCTTATTGCCTAGCATTGCGCCTCCTTAATACAACTCTGCTCATGAAAATGCTATCCCCTACGGGTACGGCGTCGGACTCATCAGCGTAAGTTCGCACAGGTGGTCTCAATCGATTCTCGCGACCTTAACACCAGCTGTGGAGGTGATGTAATGCGGCTAGGCAGCTGACCCTGGAACCAATCTACAGAGGGCACATGAGGCCGTTCTCATATGGGATTCCCCATGCAATTGCAGCGCCTTTCCGTTAACTGTGTGGCGCTACTAGACCTTCGAAGGGCTCTGTTGCTACTTAAGGAAGCGCTATGGGTGTTTTGTTGATTCTTGAACCAAATCCATTGATCCCTAATCCCCAGGCACAAGTGCGTTTTGTTCAGTCTCCCCTAACTTCTAGATTGCTTAGCCCTAACAGCATGGCGCTGTTTTTCGACTTTCCTGCCTCAGGCTCAAAGAGCTGCGTGCCTACCTTTCTTACCGATGATGAAATCCTGGGTAATGTATATCTCATCCCGCAGGTATGCCTTGAGACGCTGTTCGAAGCAGTCGTTGAGATACGATTGACTGGTGGGCTATGACATGGATCATGATATGCTTTGACTAAAGACTTGGTCTTAGGTCATGTCGAAACCTCCTTGCTGTGGTTGGACAACGCTGCCCCTAACACTGATACAAGAAGCCTAGCATATCGCCAAACGGTACTTCATCTAGATCGTGATTCCCTCCCCAGCTGATACCCGTACAGATTCTAGACGTCGCTCAAAGATACCCAGTGCAAGGAAGATTTTGCGCAGCTTCGCCTGGCTCGATCGATCTATGCCACTTCAACATACGGCTTGCGGCCGCAGCAGTTCCTGGCAACAACAATGCGGACAGATGCATCAACTTTGACCAACTGCCATCCTCACTTGACGAGAAGTCCTCAGCAGCGTTTGATTTTAAGAGCTCGGCACCGAGAACTGTGGCGTCCGTATCCTATTTATTGCACGCGAAGCTCTGGCGTGACGATGTTTTGCTTGTCTCGCACTCACAGAACATTTATATCCTCAATTGCAGCGACGCTGCTCCGCCTTTGTGCCTTGGAGACTTCGGTCAGGAGTATAATAACCGCCACGAGATCGTATTGCGGAAGAATCCTCTTCAGAAAATTGGGAAGATATCGATCCAAGCGAATCAGCCCGATGCTTTGGTGTTCACTGGATATAATACCTCCGCAATAACGAAAGTCTTGCTCCATGTTAAATTACAAACAACGCACGGCCCACGTGAAGGCCCTCAATCAAATGATTTCGAAGCCACGGTCAAGTGGAGATTGCAATCGTCGACCTTTGTCTGCATGCATATGCAAGACGCCGTACCTACCACGCGGCAACTTGTACTGTCTCCTTCAATGGGGTGCATAACTAAAACTATTTCGAGTCATGATTTGAAGATGAAGTGGTCAGATTGGACACGGACGGAAGCGGACGATCCAGACTCCACGGAATGGACAGCAACTTACCCAGTGTGGCTTTCAATAAAGAGTTCGCCAGGACTGCCACCTACATTCTTGCTTCCTTATCTCTCCAGGAGGTACAGCATCGCGATGATAGTCAGCGTACCCGGTCGGTGGCATTCAAAGGCAACCATAAAGTTGCCGGTACAAGTCGCCTACAGAAGCAAAGTCAGGCCGCCACAATGCATCCTCGAATCGAGTCATTTGTGTGCGATTGAGGATCATACTGGCAGGGAGCCGGTATCGTCCAACACCGACGACCATGTATTGCCTCCCTATTTTGCATGATGCGCAAACAGGACATGTGCGGGCCGATTCTCCTTGTCCTTTTCATGCCATCCGCTTGGAGTTGCAATGGTATCATGTCCGGCCCGATATTTGAAGGTCGTCGGAAGCTTCTTCCAATTTATGGACAAGTGGGAATAGAAAAATGCCAATACGAATCCAGTAATAGAAGTTCGAGTGGGGCTAGGAATCGCTTCTTGTGACGTGATGGTGTTGCGGAACTGGCAATGAGGCTTCAATCTTGAGTCCAGGATTGAGCACGGTGGTGTGCGATGCTGAGTTTACAAAGGATATCCTCATTCGCCCGAAGGGATCAACTGCCAGCGCATTTGTTCTGAGCAAGTCCTACTGGTTGTTGGGGTCTTGTTCCGACAGTATTCATTCTTATAGCTTCCGATATATCCTGCGCCTGGGTTGTGGGAGAGCTTCTCGGGAAACCTCTCACAATTGAGCCGCCTTGAACGCGGCAGATGAAGGTAAATATAGAGGCAAATTACCATGTTCACCGTTTAGTGCCACTTTCACTACTCCTGTGAAGGCATTACGCTTATCACATTTGAGGATCGCCCGCCACACAAAACATCAGGTATAACAGGCCATTTAGTATTCCAACCAAAGAGCTTCCACGCGAAAAAATTGGACCACCCGCATCTCCTAAGTAGAGAGGGTGCATCTGATTCAAAGGCTCTTGAAATATGCCTCGCATCGCACAGTTGAGGACTTGCACTTGTTTACTGGCTAGTGGATACAGATTCTCTTCTGAGTCAACTAAATGCGCAGGGTACCTATCCGAAATTGCAGCCTTGCCCCAAAGTAGCACAAGAACGCCGTCAACGACAACGACGGAGCATATGGGCCCTGGACCTACTATAGCTACTCGGAGCACATCGCACCAAACTTAAGATCCTAGGGCCAGATTTTGGGAAAGTCGACAATGCACTTTAGGAAAGACAAGGTTCGTGTACGGAGTTGTCTACGCAAGCAACATTCATAAATGCAACATGAGTTGTCTACGCAAGCAACATTCATAAATGCAACATGTGTTCACAGCACGTTGTTTCAGCGCCAACCAGTTCGACTCAGGCGTGTCAGGACATGGCAAGAATTGGTGGTCAGACCTGCGGGTTTATACTCGGCACTGCACTTGAATTGGGTAGCTGACTGCAGGCATTCATTGGCATTGACATTGGGATTTCACGTCGCGATAGTACACAGTAATCGATAAAGCGCAACCATATCCAAAGGACCATGGGCTTCGTGCCAGATTAAGGCCTCATGATAGCCCCAGATATTTACAAGGCGCAAAACCCATCAATTCACTCCGTGTTTACCCCAGAAGTATGGCGAAAGCCTGAGGGAGAGAAGCATGTATGCCTCAAAATGAGGCTTTAGACCATACACTTTCTGACGTTATCCATTATTCGATGATCATATGTATTAGTACTCAGACCGTATCAGCTTCACAGTCCAAAATCCACAGCCCTCATTGAGCTCACAAAGTGTTTATGATAATCACTTCGACTATTTCTGTCTGTGAATTTCTCGTCTTTTCTCTCCTATTGACGCCTGGCCTCGACGTGCTACGGGTAATACCATTGATAACACCTAAGCGATATTGATCATGCCGAGGTTTGTTCCAACCAGTATACATAGATTACAATAAACTCGGTGGCATGTAGAATGGCAACTTACTTTCTCTCGTTCATAGGCGGTACGATCACATTTCCAGATCATGACGACACAATAACGCAGTCTTGCAGGACCAGCGGAAGCAAGCGGCCGGAACTTATCCCCGAGTGGAAGTAGAGGAACTTCCTTCATGTGGAGCCTTCATGACGGTCAAGCTTCGTTCAGTAGTTGCTTATAGGATCGTGACGAAATCAAGCACTATTCAAGCTTGAGATACCGTTAGGTTAAACTTCAACCTTTCATATTTATGTCTCGATGAAATGGCTCACAAGGGCCTACTCGTCAATGTGAGTACTGTTCACTCGTCTCCATTCTCCAAAGTGATCGAAAATTCGGAATCAACAACCAGGCTTTGCCGGCTCCATGGCACCCTGGTCACAGGCAAGTTCACGGGCAGACCAGTATCAGGATGATTTCACACATATGAGCTCATCATGGGGAATATGATGGATATGTCAAAACGCCTGGGGAAAATACTACGTGACCTCACATATTGAACTTTCTTGCCAGTGGTGACACATCGACATGACAAGAGGGTGGGCATCCTTAGCCCTCCCAAAGCAGGATTTATCTTGTAGGTCTCATGTGTCCCATACTCCCTCTCGGCTTTTATCGGCGGAGGTCAACCTTTACGCATCAGACTACGGGTTCTCTAGAGCAGTGCTTATAAACGTCACGATGGCAATACATACCATTGCATATAACATCCGTACATCCGCTGCTTCATGACAACATCGGGCATTCCTCTAGCGTTATAAGTACATCCTCGATCCTCATCTTCCACTCACCTTCAATCAACTGAATCACCAACAAGTAGTCAATTCTACCAACCCACGATGTCAACATTCGAGCGGCGCAACGACGCCACGACCATAAACCCCTTCCGGGTTAACGACCGCGATGTGGTAATCCACCAAACAGTCCGCGGTGCGGACTGGTACTACACCGTGTGCGCAATCATGGGCGTTACAAGCCTAACCATCCTGGCATTGAGCAAGCGAAAGCTTCGCACGGACAGACTCTTCTTCTACTTGTCCGCTACGCTCTGCTTCGTCGCCTGCATTGCCTATTTCTCAATGGGGTCAAATCTGGGCTGGACGCCCATTGATGTCGAATTCCGGCGCAGCGACCCCCAGGTTGAGGGCAGGAATCGCCAGATCTTCTATGCGAGATATATTGATTGGTAGAGTCTTCCAAAACCAGCAACATGCTATTGGAGAATGGCCGTACTGATGTATGTCTCTAGGGTCATCACCACACCCCTTCTCCTGACCGATCTGCTTCTCACCGCAGGAATGCCGTGGCCGTCGATCCTATGGATCATCGGGCTGGACGAACTAATGATCGTGACGGGCCTTTTGGGGGCGCTGGTGCGTAGCCGCTACAAATGGGGCTTCTACACATTCGGCTGTGTGGCGATGCTGTACATCTTCTACGAGCTGGGCTTCGTCGCCCGTCGCCACGCCCTCGCACTCGGCAAGGACGTCCACCGCGTCTACGTCACCTGCGGTGTCTTGACCCTCGTCGTCTGGCTGTGCTATCCGATTGCCTGGGGCCTGAGCGAAGGTGGAAACGTCATCGCGCCCGACAGCGAGGGTATCTTTTACGGCATCCTCGATATCCTTGCCAAGCCGTGTTTCTCGGCGGCGCTCATCTGGGGGCATTGGAATATTGACCCTGCGCGCCTCGGGTTGAGGATTAATGAGATTAGTGATGGGTTGAGCTCTGCGGAGCGCGAGAAGCGCGGTTTACCTAATACCAGGCATGAGAGTACTCCCGGCGTTCAGAGGGCTATTACTCCTTCTGTTGCTGCTGATGGTGGTCCTGCGTCTGCTCCTACGGACTGACTGAACATGTTTATAGGGAGTAAAATTCGTACCTTAAATCTTCGTTAAGCCAGAAGATTTGAGGCATGGAGGACGCAAACTCGCATATGTTTGGTCAAGTCAGTTAAGAATAAACAAACGGTCCTTACATGAAGGTATCTATTATGAAGAAAGTAGTCTTTGAGGAGAGAAGTAGGCTTTAATATAGATTATGTTAATTTTTAGGAATACATCATAGGATACCTGTCTAAAAGGTCCTTAGACTATTGCTACAGATATTTTCGATTGAAAAGTAGATAATAGTGTTAACTGTGAACGCGTGAAACGTGAAAACCGCGTTGCGTGCGGAGACTTGATCTCACCTACTGTACTATTTAGACGATAATCTCTCTTCATCCTCATTGTTCACTCGACTACATTTCTTTCAACTGCGAATCGTCTTGCGGATGGTGCTCCACCGCGCCACTGTCTGAACCATTTAATAGGGCCGTAAGTCCGATATCGTCTTCAATCTTTTCTTTTCGGGCTCTATCAGCCTGGGCGAAACCGATCTCGCCAAAGAGCTCATCCATCTCCTCCAGGGATCTGCCCTTCGTTTCTGGGACCTGATTATGCAACGTTAAGCTAGAGTTTCCAGTAATCAGTCAAGAACTTACCATGAAGATTACAAACAAAACGCCTGCGGTCGTGACGGCACCAAAAAAGATCTGCGAAATTATCAGCCATCGCCTTTTGTGGATTCGAGCGAGGGAACTCACAAAGGCTCCCATCTGTGTGGCAGCAAGGAAAGACGAGGTCGAGACGGCGACCGCAAACTGAATCAATTCGTTAGTGTCTCCGATCTTGGCAAATGCCAGAGTGCTCACGTTGTTCAACCAGTTTGATGATGCGCCAATGCTGACCCCCTTGGCTCGCATGCCTAGAGGGTATACTTCGCTAATAATGATCCAAGCAACAGGCCCCCAAGAATATCCAAAATTGATGGCATAGAACCAAACGAAAGCGACCGCTACCCAGCCAGCAGCTCTGTGGGCAGGCCAGTCGTCACTGTAAGCACCGGTAATTCCGGCAACGACAAAATGAGAGCAGGCCATACCAACACCACCAGCAATCAGGATAGTCTTGCGCCCAATGCGGTCGACATAAAGAACAGCCGGAATCGTCGCTAAAAACATCACGACGCCAACTACCCCAGTTGCAAGGAGAGACGTCGTATTCTGATCAAAACCAAATCCATTAAAAATGAATGGCGCATAATAGAGGATGGCGTTGACCTAGAAGATTGGGGACGTGAGTATAAACGCCGAATCGGCGGGCTTCTCCACTTACCCCGTTCCACTGCTGGAAAAGCATCGTGAAGACCGCAACAAATGTTCGCTTCAAGAGTGATTTGTTAGTGACGAGAGACATATAGTCGTGAAAACCGAGCTTGAAGTTGCTCTTGAAATCTCCGCCTTGATACTGAGGGAATTTCTCTGCCAAACGTAGCCGCTCAAAGTCGCGCGCAGCTTTGATCTCTAAAAATTCGATCCGAACCCTGATGTCATCCGTTGTAGTGCTTCTTAGTCGTGCTAGTGTTTCCAGACATTCCTGCTCTCGTCCGCGGTTCATCAAATGGCGTGGGCTCTGCGGCATGAAAAGAACCATGCCAATCGCCAAGACTGTTGACGGAACGAGTTGGATGCAGATAGGAATCAGCCAAGCGGCGTCTGACTGGCCTTGACCCCTACCGCCAATGAAGTTCGTCCCGTAACCTATCCAGTAGGAGATCATGATGCCAAAAGTGATGGCGAGTTGCTGGAGAGCCACAAGTGCACCTCGGACCTCAGGGGGGGCCAACTCTGCGTTGTACAGTGGAACCAGCATGCTAAATGCTCCGACGCCAAGGCCCGTTACAAATCGGCCGGCGAGAATGTAGTCTTTGTTGACTGTGCAGGCTTGCACAATTACACCTACCGTGAAAACAACACAAGCAACCACCACAGACAGACGTCGTCCGACAGCATCAGCAAGCCATCCGTTAATCAGCACTCCTACCCAGGCGCCGAGTTCGAGGATGCTCGTGAGAAGACCTTGTTCGATGCCAGTGGCACCATCATAGTAAGGGTTGATCTCCAGAAGGTCAGTGCAGTCTAGACCGTGACGGTGGGCAGGAACTCACCCGGTCGATGAATGAAGGCATAGTAAGAATCTGTCCAAACATGCCTTGGTTATCTGTTTGACAAATTAGCATCAAGGAGCAACTTCATACTCAGAAGGGCTCACAGCCGTAGACAAATCCGCCCAAGGCTGCAAATGTGGCAATGCCTGAAGTTTTGCCATTATGAGCGAGGCCCTTGATACCAGATGGGCCAGAAAATTGAGCCCTTTTCGCTGAAAGAGTCTGACTTTCGCCGACCGGTGCCATTGTGGTGATTTTACAGCAAAGAGTAATGGTGGAACAACCTCAGATACTGATGTTTTGGGAAGTGGTTGATTTGTAGCATTCCGTCTTCCCTCTCCCGCATTTATGTACGTCTCGCCTCCATGCGACAACCGTCTGAGCCAAGAGACTCAGATCCGACTTTCGGAAAGACGGAAGCCTGATCTCTTTGGTATCAAGTCACTGGATTTGTGGAGAGTAGTGCTGTCATGCATTTGGTCATCTGTTTATCTGATGTTCTTCTGCAGACTCTGACCCATACATATTTAGGCTAAATTAGTAGGTAGCTTCGATGTGGCGACAAGGGCGGGCGGAGCGTAAATCCCCAGATGGAACAACGGCTCAGGATATGAACTCCGCCAGTAAGGGCCGAATTCGCGGCTGTTATGTACTCGCCACTCTACCTTTTGAAGATCTTGCTTCACCAAAGCATACAGGGCCATTTCTCACTGTTGTCGAACCAGGCATCCTTGTGGTCGGTCAGTTGTTCCTCCGATGACGCAAAGATTCGCTCACGGATTGATCACATTTTGGCAAAGATCGTCGCCCATCAAAGAGCCGATCCTGTTCATGACGATCTATGTACTCAGCAGTCTTTCCGCTGTTCTTTAGCCGGTCCATCTCATCGCCAGACCCTACTGTGGATCATGGCTTCCCTGGCCAACATCTAATAAACGGCGACGGAAGTGAAATCATTAGTAAGTACCCTTTGGCAGCACAGCACGAGCTCCCAGCAATCGCAAGTACGCTTTCGGAATGAGAATACATGGTGGAGGAAACAATTGAGCCATAAAATTGTTGTCGGGTCGACTCCTACTGTTGTGTCCTTATCCACTTGGTTGTGGGAATGGTTGATTCATGGCGACTCGCCCTTGCGGTGGCGATTAATCGCTGTCTAAGTGGATTTTTATATGCCTTTATGCCTAGAGCCATGAACCGGTGGCGTAGACCACGTCGGCGCCGCCAAAGGTCTAGAAAACGTTGCAACACTTTGTAAAACAGACGATTGAACTTCAGAGTATAACAGGAGAACAAGCTGGGTCTATGATCGTTTCTGAGCGTTTTGTCCAACATCTACTGCAGTCTCGGGAAGTCTGGTCAGGGTTTTCTTAGCGCACTCCCGTGATGTCATTTGCTTGATACTTCGTCGCACACCCCGACTACAATATATGTCGGTCTCAAAACTTGCATGATTGATGTCTTGGATGCAAAACAATGGAATTGGCCTGCAGTCCACGTGGGACAGTGCAATCCTCGACGCCTGATGCTCCGTCAACTTCGAAAAGGACGGACCGTAAGCGCACGACGAGAGCGTGTGATCAGTGTCGAGTCCGAAAGATCAAATGCACTGGACTACATCCATGTCATGCATGTGAAGAATCAGACCGAGGTATGGCCTGAAATCATATGTCTTTGCCACTTTTAGAAGACTCTTGGGATGAATGCTAATATCGACTCAAAGAATGCACGTATTCTACCAATTCCCGCCGAAGAGCCGATCCTACTGAGCGAGCGAGATATTTGCAGCATAAAATTAGCCTTGTGCGACAAAGGATACATGGAGCTATAGGTGAAAACCGTTCTATGCGGGTCGATGAATTACAGAGAGTCCTTGACATCTTGAATCAAAATTCGTCTCTAGATAAAGCTTCGGACTGCACCAATGATGAATCCGCCTTAGTCAGCATGATGAGTAGTTTCGGCCGTGACACGTCTAACGACTTACAACATGCAAGATTCTACGGCGCCCCCTCAGGTCTGGCGTTCTTGCAGAGGACCGAGGAGGTTTTGACAAAATCTGGCCATGGACCCAACTCTGGCTCCGAACGATCACAATCCGCCATTCTTCAACTCTTCGATCCTCCATCAGGGCAACACGACTGGGACGATGGAGACCTGCCATCAGAAGCTATGTTGCCGACAAGAGACACTGCGTTGAAGCTCCTGACAGTGGTACTTACGGCCGCATATCCCTTGTTCCCCATCTGCGACGAGCCAATATTAATGGCAGCCATAAATCAGGTCTACAACGGAAGCTCAGTCGTTGACGAGAAACCGAGCCAAACTACTATGGCACTTCTTCATATCGTCCTGGGGCTTGGATATTTGTTCAGCACGAGTGAGCATCGAAGGTTTGGGTGCGATGGCGCCCTAAAGGCAGCGTAATTCTCAACACCCACATAATTTCCCGTTTCACTAACATGCTTCCTCTAGGCGAAGGCATTACGTTTCGGCATATAAATTGACAGACTTCTCAGATTGTGGGGATTTCCCTTCACTCCAGCTCTTGTTAAGCTTTACAGTCTTTCAAATATCCGTCAGTCGCCTCGCTTCGGCTCATGCTATAATTGCACAGGCGTGTTCTTCGGCTCTCAGACTAGGCTTGCATCACCGATCAACACACCACTCGACGGTTTCGCGTGAAGATCGAGCCACGAGACGGACCGTCTTTTGGACCGTCATCAAGTTGGATATGTACCTGAGCGCCGTCCTTGGATTGCCTCCGTTTATAGATCTTCGACAAGTCGACCCTGCCCTGGACTTAACATTGGCAGAAGCTATAACTGAAGCTGAGGCCAGCCTTCCTGACCCAGCCGCGGCACATTTAGCTATATCTGCAAAACATCTAGAACTCATGAGACTTATCGCTCGGGCAATCAAAGTTCTCTATCCAATGCCGGACCCTAGTGATTCCAACGACGATCCACGCGCACATACATCCATCCGCCTGGTCGAGCTGACTCAAATTGAACAAGGATTTAAGACTTGGCACTCTGAGGCGTCACAAATATTACGGAAAGGGGATGATGAATCTGTTGGATTTGCCAGGTCTGCACAAACTATTCCGCTCTCCTTATCTGAAGCTAAGGAACTACTAGGCTCAAATATGATCTGGAGATGTCGTTCTACTTTAGCCAAATCGTGCTCTTGCGACCATTTCTTCATTCTCTGGCGGACGGCAGTTTAGTAGGGCAGCAGCAGACCAGCAGGGCGCTCATTTGTGTCAAAATCGCCTCACACGCGTTGGCCGAGTTCGAAAGTATGAACGCTCGAGGTCTTTCAAGCTCAGCATCCTGGATCTCTCTTTACACATTGTTTCTATCCATCATTTGCCTCGTCTTCCTTATTGCGACGCAAGAGGGGACACGACGTCCGGTTGAGGCTTGGCGAAAGGCTGAAACTGGCATTCGCCTTTTGGCAGCTGCCTCTTGTCCAGGCATGGGTTCCACACAGTGCCTTGAGGTGTTAAAGGTATTTCTCCAACACAGACAAGACATCTAAATAGCAGTTTGGCTGACATCTAGTTCACCTAGCAACTGGTCAGCCAGCTGTCGCACACCGTTGACCTTGACGTCGCTGGAATTGAAGCGCAGACATTGCGTAACTGCAACCGCCCTGACCTGCCTGACATGGAAATATTGAATCCGAGACACGACAATTTACCCTCCGTCGCACCAGGATCTGAGATACCACCCAGCTCACGAAGTCATTTATCCGGACTTTGGAGAATCACTGGATCCCAATTGCATCTCCATGGCCAGGAGCCATCGACGAACACTACTTTTGATGAGATTTTCTTCAATCCAGATGACCCCATGGCAAACGACCATGGCCAATCTTTCGGGAATCCTTACCTCGATGTCTCATTGCCGCCTCAAATACAAATTGCTACGGATGACACCCTTAACGTGCCAACTGCGCAGCTATTCCCCTGGCTAAGTAATGAATTGACAGGTTCTCCTTGGAAAGGAGATGTTTGGCCGTCATTTCCAACATAGATAATCAACCCCAAGCATCGAACCCGGTGATGTCACTTTCGTAAGCAGCGGAAAAAGATAATCTACTTAGACATCAGTCCTTGATTTATTGCATGGAAGCGTTCCAAGAGTGGACTATGAAGCCCGGAATACCGGCAATCTAGTATCGCGGCTGGCTATTATTAGGACTATAGCATCAAATCTCAACAACAGTAATAATAAACATTCATGTGAAAACTCCCCAGTCTCATGGAAACCGGGTTGGAAAAAGAGGAAATTGACTTTTCTTGTATTGACCGGCAAAAATTGCATGTTGTATGTGTCAAATCCTCGGATCTCACAGATTCATGAGTCCAGCGGCACCACCGAACAGGGCAACCGCTCCGATAGCACCAGTTTTTAGAGGCATCGCTCCAGCCGAGCTCGAACTCGAGCTGCCCATGCCACTTCCACTTTCGGAGATTGAAGCGGAGCCTGTAGGACGTGCGGTATCGACGGAGGTTGTCGCCGATGGCACACCGCTTGTGAATGGTGCGCTAGAGGCGGAGCTGGCGTCACTAAATGCGGGCTCCCCTGTAGATGCTGTGGGTTGAGCTGATACAGTTTGATTGGCAGGGTTAAGAACACCATCGATAATATGCATCACCCCGTTGGCAACCAGCACGTCCGGAGTAACGACTCGAGCGCTGTTGACGTACAGGTCCCCCTCCTCCCTGGTAATGGTGACTGGGAGGCCGTCGGCTGTGACGAGTGTACTTCCATTCTTCAAATCCCTGCTATAGCTGATAGTTCCATTCACTAGGTGGTACCGTAAGATGCGTGAGAGATCCTGCGGGGAGGATGTCGCAAGAGTGGTGCCAACTGCTTGGAAGGCCGCGTTGTTTGGCACGAAAAAAGTCATATCCATCATGGTATCTGTTTCCTCGGCCAGGTTTGCAGCTGTGAGTGCGCCAACTGCAGAGCGCAAATTGAACTGGACGGCAGTATTTGTAAGATTCGATGGAATTTGCAGGAAGTCGTCCACTATATGGACGACGCCGCCCGTAAAATTGAAGGTTCCATTGGCGGTAACTGACGCGTTCTGCAGAAGACCTGAATAGAAAGTCACAGTCGCATTAGACATGTTGGAGCTAGAGATGGCCTCTACAACTTGTCCGCCTGTCACATTGGCGTACATTCCAGGCATCAAATGTGTGTTAAAAAACTCTGGCGTGGTGTTGAAATTGGAGTATGAGCCATTTAGAACGTGATACGAGAAAATAGCAGTGATCATGTCTGCATCGCCAGCTGAGAACATTGCGCCCGCGGACGAGTTGAGCGCGGTCTGGAAAGCCATGTTACTGGGAGCCAGCAAGGTAATGTTAGATAAAGACCTCAGGTTACTGAGAATATCAGGATATAAGTTTAGGTACGTCGTCAGGTTAGACAACGAAGGATGATCGGCGAGCATCTGTGTCAGGCCTTGACCCATGGCAACGGAGGCCATACTAGTGACGAGAAGTTTGCTGAACAACATATTGAACAGAGGCCGATTCTGGTCTATGAGTGAAAAAATGCTAGGTTACAAGAAGTTATCAAGTTCAAGGTGTTCAAGTAGTTTGGGCGCTTGAGCTAAGTTTGGTAACGTTAACAGGTTGAATGCCGACAAAGCCAAGATCGGCAACGAATGGTTCTGACATAATGCCCAGCAGTCGTCACACATGCGGCAGCGATGGAAGATCAAGTAGAGGTTCCTGCTCTAAAACATGAGTAGTGTTCTGCAAGTTGTCGAATCCGCGCTAATAATGTCGAGGCCCCTCAGCATTTCGTCAAAGATTACCGCACTCCTGTTTTTAATTCTACGTTTGGAGCGTCTTCCCCACGGTTCGGAACACTATTCTGCCCTTCCCGATTCAGTATTGGACCCACTACCAGGGGGCGGCCGGATAGACGGGACCACCAGCGGGGCACCGTCAGGGAATAGAAGGGCACGAGTGGCCATGAAGGCACCACCGCCAGAGTTAACGAACAAGCCAATCCCATCAATGATCATTCCCCAAACCGAGGCACGTGGCTAGTTCTCCAGCCCTTTTCAATTCCGTGAAACCCGAAATTTACGTGGCCCTGCAACCTCGACAACCATGGATGAGATCATCGCTCGCTTGGCCCCTACAGGCGTTTCGCTGGAGATGGCGATTGATCGACACAAGCGAAGCTGGAGAAAGTTCTCGGCACGCATACCTGCAGTAGAAGGGCACCGTTATTTGGCAAAAGCCGCTGGCGAGCGTAAATTGCACCGAAGCGTCGCATAAATGACGCCAACCTGCGGAAAGCAGTCGCGGGATTTTCGGACGCTGTTTTGACGAGACGAGTGATCGACACGTTGGGAAATATAATTACTGACGAAGCCAAGCACTTTCTTTTCTGTTGCTGCATAATAGGGATTGTCGTCTAGTCGAACCCAACCACATCCCTGTCCCGGAAGAAGATCGCATGCAATCTTCCGCTCAGGCTGACAAAACCTTTTTTATCCTCAAATGCCCTTTCAATTGTAGCAACAGAGCTCCGATTATAATTTGGGAGACAGCTCTTCACCACTGTCATATGCGGGGCGACTGGACAAGAAAACTACGAAAGAGTACGCTCTGTCGCGTACTCATAATCTCATGTGATGATCATCGGGTTTGGCCTTGGCAATTCAGATGGCCTAGAGAATGTACATAAGTGGATTGAAGAGGGGAGGCGTCCATGACGTTTTCGAAGTGGCTACGAGAGCTGCGCTGTTGACCGTTAATGGGGAGCAAGTGGGGATGGGTCTTGTGTTGCCTTATGACTTACTAATATATATGTATGAGTCGCTGGTGAGTTCGCCCGTAAATGACCTAAGGGTCTGAAATTTGGCCTTCGTGAATGCTTTGAGGCTACGAAGATAATTGGCGGTTCTGAAACCCGGTAGCTGGCAAGTTCTTGAGTCGGACCTATTCGACATCACTTTGACAGTAAGGAGCACTATAACTCAGTCAGTCTTAGGCTGTTTTTAGTTCCTATTCCGATTGATGAAATCAGTGTTCCTCCTCGGTCAGCAGCCTCGCATCACGCTCCATCCGCGTCAATGAGACTCTACCTAGCAAATTGAGCTCTCAAATCAGAGAGTAATAGTAGGTACCGCCGTTGAAACGCTTTCCTTCCTCGGAGACAGCAATACCCTGCCACGACCTTCAAAGTCATCCGACCTGTGACCCTATATCCACAGGAGTGCTCCCCTGATGCCATCCCACTTTAAATACAGCTCAACAATACTGTGGACCTCCAAAAGGTGTTGTTTATCTTTCTTGTGCTCTTGGAACCTAGAAGGTCTTCCGAGACCCTGCTTTACTTCCGCTGATCTTCACAGCCACCGAATCATCGTCCCATCTCGGTTCCCAAGCGACCTCCGCTTACCTACGCTGTATGCGACTCAAGAAGAGCAAGCCGCCATGCCTATATCCTGTAGAATGGTCAATTGGAAGTCGCGAGGTCAGAGAGGTGTTCAGATCCTCTTCAGAATTCAGGAGGGACGAGAAGGCCCAGGCTGTCCAGGGAACTCGACAATACGGATATCACATGACGACGCCAAGGCGCTCTGCACCTGCCACCTACGGCCCACTCATTACCACACCTCACTTAATCCTCACCACCCTCTCTCTCATCCTTTTTAGCTAGACAACATAGAAGATAACACAGTCATAATACTTGTTACTCATTGAGAGTGGCTCTTTCACCTATTCTTGCGCTGTCCTATTACAACGGACCTGCCGCATAGGGAGACAGAGGGACGAGAGGGAGGAGGGAAGGGCTCACTTTGAGTATATTGAGGGTATTTATTAACTACTATTATCAATCTTACCCAACTATAAGGTCTTCTTACAGTATACTAAGGGAATTTATCAAATAAGGAGTATGTAGCTACATGCTATCATATTTACGTTTTCGAAGACGACATCCACCGCACAGCTGTAACGAACGGCGGTGAGACTTCTTCCTCAGTGGGCGAACATTCACGGCATTTCGTTCGCTATCACCTGCTGGGAGCATTCCACAACGGCCGGTGCGAGGAACAGTGACACTAGTGTGTCCGTGATCGCTAGACCCTTGGCCAGCTCTATTGATCTTTTGCTATTTAGTTTTCCGGAATGTTGCAGCGGAGACATGTCGAGAGCTCGATGCAATTCGCAATCAACGGGAGTTTCATCAGATGTTAATGTTCGGCAGGCTCTGGAGCTTCAGCTTTTGATCTGCGAACCAATGAAGGGTGGATGGTAAGACGGAGGGAAAAATGGCGTTGACGAGGATTCGCTTAGCATGCCAAATGAGCTAACTAGTCCTACTACTATGAGAGCCTGTAGTGTGCTCGGTTGCTTTCTTGGCCGTACAATGCTTTAGATCTAGTCTCTTTGATGCCGGCACTCTGAAATCTAAGAGCTCGGTGACCTTCTGATGAGTCAAAGCATTCCTTCAACGGCTCTCGCTCACGAAGCGACCACTAACCAGGGCGAAGTGTGGTTGCAGTAATAATAAATCCCTTTACGCAGCCAATCTAATCTCCATTGTTTCCCTACTTTAGCCTAAACTACCTTTTACCGTAGCTTCATTAGTGAATATGGTGGACGCTTATGGAACAGATGACTAGTTTAGGATAGTGAGCGTTCGCATCCATCGAACCAAGACACAAATGCTGTTGAATGTATTGAAAGATCGTGAACTTATGTACTAGAGACTATTGCCAGTCCTAAAATAAGTCCTTCAGTTATCGTAGCCGTACTGATCTAGTCGATCTAGGTTTAAACGATAGTCATAGAGATCTCCGTGTTGTTCAGAAGGCACCCAAAAGTGCCCATCACTCCAATATCTGAGCTCTTGAGGTTCTTGCACTTTAGGATGGCTGTGCTGCACTTCCTGTTTAAGTGGTAACTTACGAAGGTCTTAGATTCGCACAACACACCTAAATCGTCATTGAATCTAGGGGATCTTAAAGGCTAATGCTCTTATGTACATTATACTAAGGTAAGTAGGTCGCATCTGAAAACCTACAAGTGAATGCTCACCTCTTACGGAGACTCCCATACAATACCCCACAATACCCCACAATACACCAACTTTGATGCTTTCATGAGCGAGGCTTATGCCTCCTTGGGGCTCGTGTCAATCTTCTTGTCTTCGTGCGCGGGCGTTGAGGGAAATCGGCGACCCAAACCCACCCTCTTTGCCGGTTGGTTTATTCATTCTTGAAACTGCAGCGCATCGCAGTGGTAACCCTCCTTACGCAGTCGAGACCAATGCTTGCTTACCTTTTCATGGGCTCCAGCTGTCCAGGAAGATTTTCATTACCTGTCGGCGCATGATTGAAGCTACCATAGTTTCCTTGGTGGTATTTCCGTTCTTCGGATGGAACCATTTCCGTCTATTTAATGATGTCAAATATGGAGTTTTCACGCATCCCCAGGACCCATACTCCGAGTGCCGTACTTTATATTTACCAAACATGAAAGTGGCTCGAAAGTGGCTTCAGGGCAGAAGCTTCTTTTATTTGGCAGGAGAATTTTATTGTCAAGTGAACAAGTTAAATTTCATTAGTTAACAGAACCATGGATAAAGAAATAGCTAAAGGAATGTCTATGAGTATCCGCAAACTCCATCCACTAAGGAAAAAGGGGCAAGGGGGTCACTTTTCATCGTCTCAAGGGTAGAACTGTTTCAACAGCGGGTGGCAAAGCAGGGAATGGCAAGGCTGTCTTGAAGGCACCTCTCGCAATCACACCAGCTTGGCCATCCTGGCCTTCCTGGCCTTCATCCTGTAAGGATCCTCTTCCTCAGGCTTCCAGCAACCCTCAGCGAGTTTGCTGTTCCAGCAGTCTACTGCAGCCTTCTCGTCGATCCACGCATAGGTTTTGCAAGTGACTAGCCAGTTATTCATCAAGTCGTATTCCTCAGTGTCCTCTTTGTAGTCACCACAATTGTAGCAGACGCTTGTAGCGTTCCATCCACTCCAATCTGCATCCTTGCCCAACGCCTCCTTGCCGCACACGCACTCGATGGCGGTTGCGTTCTTGTATTCCCACTCGAGATCGTAGACTTCATATTTCTCCTCGGTGCACCATTCGAGAATTTCAATGTAATCGTCGCACGGCGCGGATGGGCACTTTGGAGTATCTTCGGCGAATTGTGGTAGGGCCATGGTGAGCGCAAAAAGCGAGGCCGCCGCTAGAACAGAGTATTGTAGCTTCATGTTTGTTGGGCGGGCTTAGTGATAGTGATATTTGAATGGCTTGTCCTGCGGGAGAGGGTATTTGTGTAACGTTTTCTTGTCGACTTGAAAGCTTCTAGCTCTAGAGCTCTTGGAGTTTGGATATTATTTGTTGTGAGAGGAAGCCTTGGAGTGAGCAGCATTCATCATTTTTAAATATTGTTTGGTGGTCACAAACACCGTCGCCCAAGGTTTCTCGGTCCCCGACGCCTTCAGCTGCATTCACATGATAGAGCGTGTCCAGAATAGCATTCTAGACCCTGGTTAGTGTCAAGTAATAGCAATAGCAACTCTCAGCCCTGTCTTGAAGCATATACATCCCCCACTGGGCATCTGACTGGAAAAGCCCATCCGCCAAGAAGGCAGCTTCAGCTGTGCAAGTCTTCAAGGGTGTGCCGGACGTCAATAGAATGAGATACTCGATCCGCTTCGAGCAGCGTCCAAAGCGTCTCGGTTCTTGTGCCGAGACGATCGATCTTGTGCATACCTTCTCGGGAGGACCGACTGCCTTTCAAGCCTTAGTGAAGCAAATCCCCCCAGTCTGCTTGCTTCAGAGAGACCAAACCATACTATAACTTGGCCATCGACATGGAAGTACATTCCCTAGACTCTAACTGAAGAATAAAAAGTCTTGGTTATGGCTTAAACTCACCGCTTCATCTCGACTGGACATATCTCCTGGTGGTACCGCGGTCCTTAACGGAAAGGAAACCAAGGCCAGCGAAGGTAAGGTCAAGGCTAGAATACGATGTTACAATACGGAGTATGTGGGAGGAATATACCAAGACCCTACCTAACCTCCTGCAGAGGGCTGAAAATAAATGGCGTTATATGAGAGGTCGATACGAAGCTGAAAAGTGACTTAGTGGAGGTGGAAATACCGAAGTCCGGAGGTTACGCACAGCCAACATTTATCGTCAAGAATCTATCAGGCTTGCTGTAACTGGTCCTAATTACTATGTCACGGTCCTCCTGCAGAGGTATTGGCCAACCATCTGGAGCAGTCGGTAATGGAAGCTTTTCAATAGACGAGTTTTGACGAGCCGTGACCACTTTCTTGTGGGTCGCCTTCGCACTAAGTATCATTTCGGAGTCCGTATCCGCCTGAATGGGTTGATCCTAGAGTGGGCTGATGCGCTCACGGTCTTTGACCTACTAGGCACGCTCCTAGAGGTCTTCGAAAACAACCGATGGGCACTAAGTAAGCGTAAGATCAGGGTGCTGGAATGGGCAAAGCTAAGGTCTTCTAATAATATGACGTCATTAGTCATTGGTGCTACTTCAACTTAAAGGGTTACGGACAAGGGTGACCTCAGCCCTTGCTTGGCCGCTTTGTAGTTGACTTAGCAATTGAATTCTGTCTGGCATGCCTGCGTCCGTTCTGGGAGACGCTATTCAGCGGAAGATGAGCGGTGTTCCCACTAAGAGGTCGGTCCCGTTGAGATGTCGGGTATCAAAATGGCTCGAGCTAAAAAAAAACACAAGGCCCTCTAGTGTATGTCAGCTTTATAGTTAGAGTCCAAGCCACAGCTAAGCTACCCCCAAAGGATACAGCTCTGAAAGTAATTTTAACTTCTCGTCAGTTTATTGCCGGCAGCTGAATGGCCTAAAGATCTCTTCTACGGTTTTGGAGCGCAGAGAACCAGGACTTTAGACGTTGAGTCGTTTCTTAAGACCTTGAAATTGGTATGTTCAACTATTTAGATTGATGCACAAAGGTTTTCAGTAGCTAGTCCTAATCTATAAGACTGTCGTACGCTCTACTAGGAGGGATGTAACTACATACTAAAAGGTAACCTTGAGGGTATTTAGCCTAAAAGCTTGTTGTACCGGCCTCTGAAACGATAATAGATATACTAATTTACATAATCTAATACAGCGAACAATATTTCCTTGATTTATTCTCCTACTCATCAGAGTGATAGATAAAGCCATGCCTTTCGAAGATACTGACAAAAGCCCCGCCCTTAGCCGCTCCGGCTTCTCCCTATTTAGCCTTGGAACTAGAAAATGTATTACTGCACGTAGAGTTACTAATGCGTGCCGCTCGAGTAGTTTAGCTACTATATATATAGTCTTCAGTTCTTAAAGACAGGGAGACTAGACGCATGAATCTCACAGTAGCAGAAGCTGGCAGGGACAGGTCAAAGAAGATCCCATTTCTGAAATTCAAGAAAAGCGATGGTATCATAGACCTTTCGGGAACGCCGATTGGCGGAAAGTCGTGTACCGAGGGATCAATAGAATTAAACACTTCCCCAAGGCTTTACTTTATGCGTTGACAACTGTGCACATTATGTGAGTAATGTATATCCAGTGGTCGGGGTAGCATTTTTTTTTGGCCGAGCTAAGGCACGCATTCAGTAGCGGTGCCATTAAAGGTGTCTTGCGCTATGAGAGTCCTTCTTGTAGATTCATGGCATGATGGAGGAAGAACTCGACCTTTTCCACGCCCTTGGTTTGATATAGCACGAGGAGGGCTATTACTGCTCAGCCTGCTCTTTTATATGGGAGGCATATAGAAAGTATCAGTAAGCCCACCCTCTGATGGAGCATGGTGAACAACGGAAATTGTACTGATCTTCTTGAAGTCTGGTCAATCCCATTCCAGTGACAACACTCTCAAGCGTCCGAGCAGGCCCTTTTGCACGTGAGGCCCGAGCAGCAACCCTCCCGGTCGAACACTCATTCATGTCACAAAACCGACTCCCAATAATGGATTCGATGTGCCAGAATCCAGGCAACTGGATCGTACCCTGACGTCCCTCCTGGGCATTCTGCTACATCGAGGATGCGTTCAAGCCATGCTCTGCTTAATTTGTCGCGATGGGAATGTGTAGTAGGTCAGCGAGAATCGAGGCGAATCTCTAGCACGGTTGATAGTGCATTTTAACTCCTACATTATGTACCCACGAGGCGGACCTTGTATACGGATGTCCTACAAGATTGCTAAACTCGAATGGAACTGCCCTTCTCATAATCTTTGGTATTGGATGAGTAAAACTCGCTCGAAGCAAATCCATCGCTTTCTCGCCTTTGTAGCAGGAGTGGTCGGTACCGAGGCAATTCAGGCGACTGTCTGTTCGCTTTTGCAAAAGTGCCTTTGGATTTTTACCTTTTCATCTACCTCTGACGCAACAGGTGCCTATGAGCCGCTGCAAGAAAACCATGATCCGCAACTCTAGTACAAAATGCGCGGTATCTGTAGATCTCAATATTAACGTTGTACTCGCTCTATTGGCTCTCGATGTGGCATATTATGTTTACAACGCCTAATCCTGGTGCTCCTGACAGGCTTAAGGATGTCAATTCACTTAGCAAGGTATTTCTTGATGGAGAATACTCTTTATAAGGTAGAGCAAGGATTTCTCTGTATCGCCTTGAAGGATAATAACGCCGCCCTCGTAATTACAACACCATTTCAGTCCACAGAGACGAGGATGTCGCTGTTCGGCTACGAAGGCGTCCAAGGAAGAGCTCTAAAAAACCGCAAGAATGGCTTATTTCCGGCTGCGGAGGGGACACGCTGACAGTGAGCTTATCAGTGTGTCAATGATGTTGAAACTACGCAGGTAATTGATTCGAGATGTGAAAACATAGAGAGTCTGTGGTTCAATGCACAAGTGGAAAGGGCGCTCAAACGAGGAAAACTCTGTACATATAAAAACCAAATCAAAAAACCAAATCAAGAAAGTATCCAACATGTCTCAAACCATGACTTGATTACGCCATCCTCTATATTCAGAAATCGACCTTTGAGAGCAATTTTCACTTTGAGGAGCACACCATCCAGTTATGCGCCTTTAATTTCCTGCATCTTATGACTGTCGCAAGGAGGAGAGCATCCGAGACTGCTTCGCCTCCAAACCAGGCAACCCCGGCGTAAAAGCTGCTCGCTGTAGAATCAAACAGTCAGCAACGAAGTGTTTGGCGCTTGGGAGGAAACTCAATTTTCCCTTCCAGAAGGCAGGACTCACATTTTTCGAAAGCTGCGGCACCCAACGCCGACACCAAGTCTAGTACCGTCACCATCACTCGTACAATTGCCATAGCGGTGTCCACTTCGCCTCCAGCGATATCAGCGCACGCTGGAATCAATGCAAAGACCCAATTGACGATAGCCAGCACTATGTCCTTCCCTATTTTGTACTTGTCTGGATCCATTCCTATTTTCCAAGCCCTTCTATCGGCCAGGTCTATGATCCAGCCACAGACCACCGAGGTCACTGGCATTATCCAGCTCAGCCCCCGCATTTCGGGGAAGGGGTCTTTTTTCGCATTCGGGTCCCAGAAAGGGTAGGTTATGACCAGACTCAGTCCTCTCAGAGCAAAGAGAAATCCTGTTCCCATCGCCTTCAAGGGAACACCCCTGGGCTGGACGGCCTTCGGGTTAACTGCGTGAATCGCGCTGGAATCTTCCAGCTCCGTGGGAGGGGAATAGAACTTGTAAAGTTGCGAGTCAGAATTGTTTAGAGACACTGTCCGGTATTCGGGTTCTTCCTGAAGTTTAATGGCGCCGACGGAATCTCCTACTGTTGGGAATTGGTCAGCAAGAGGATTTGTACAGGACACGGAATGTAGACATACCAGGTTCGGGTTTCTGGCCGGAGTTCTTTGTTTTTGCTTTGGCCGCGACCATATCTACAATTAGGAGGACGCCACGAGTAATGAATTCAGTGACACCAAAAGCGAACTCGAGCTCGACGGGAGTCTCATCTTCAGAAACCTTAGTTGCCGTTGCGTGATCGTCCTTGCCCTTCGTCGTCGTGACCGGAAGGAGACCACGAATTGACCGGCTTGGTGTGGGACTCATATAACTCAAGAAGTCGATCTCGCCGATATCAAGAGGCTCGCCCGTGAAAGTGACCATTGCAATGTTTGTGGGGAACGCGATCACAAGCATTGCAGCGCTGAGTGCAGTGAGCGTCTGGCCTCCCGTAATCGTCTTGTAGAAGGCGGAGAAAAAGGGGATCCGGATTTCCTCGTTTATGAGCTTCTTCATGTCACTGATAAACGCTGATCCAACGTCCATCAGTCCCAAGAAGAGCTTTTTCAGCGCATCAATAATTCCGAGGATGACATCAGCTCCTAGCTTCTGGAAGACTTCGCCCGCAGAAAGGTTATCTTGGTCGTTGAAGAGAAGGAGAATGTTTTCTCCCATCGTCACGAATATATCCCCGAAAGACTCGAGAACTGGCTCAATCAAATCGTTCCAGATGGCTTCGAGCGTGCTATGGGAGCCTCCTTCGCCGCCTGCCACTGCATTCGCTGCCGCGCCGCCGTGTTTCATCTGCCTGGAGTGAGCATAGATCTGACACTGGATTCAGGGCCGGATTTAACCTGGTAATTTGCATAGTTTTTCTGGGCGGACGTCTCCTCAGCGTCCATTTCTGGGGCTTGATTTGCCTTCTTAGCTTCATAACCTGCCTTGGCTTCCAAAGCATCTTTTGGATAAGTGAAATTCTTCATAATCTCCGCGGTATCGTCAAACGCCTTTTCGACGAAGGGCCTCCACTGGTTCACCAGAAGTGGCCCAGCATCAAGCATCCCGTTAACGAGCCCCATCAGGGAGCGCTGCGTTTTCAAGATATTGCCGACTGGGAAGAACAGCAGTTAGTAATGGGGGCTTGGCTTTCAGCAGAAACAAGAGCAGCAAGTACGCACCATTGAAAACTGCCTTGAGCCACTCGACAAACTTCTTGAGGCCTCCGATGACCATCTCGAAGAATGCGGCCAGTCCCTTGCGAATTTTCTCCACCGTATCGATCACGAAGCGAACCAAACTATCCTTGACCTCAAGGTACAACTCCACCACTCCTTCAGCGAACTCCACGGCCCAGCTCTTTAGCTTGTCCCAAGCGCCTTTCAAGAACCCCTCGACATATTCCCACCCAAGCGTGATTGCGTTTCTCCGCCGTGCCATTAGCGACTCAACGTTCCGCCCTCCTACGACTCGTCTCGGCGCATCGGGCGAGGTAAATCTCTTGGCGGCAATTCCCTGTTTTGAGCGATTTTTCATATTATTTCGCTCCTTGTTGATGTCCCTGATAACGGTCGCCACGTTGTCAATATCCTCATCTGACGCATCAGTTCCGTCAAGGATCCCTTCGCCGTTCGGCAATTTCGCATTCCTCAAGTCGTCTCCACTTTGGATCAGGTCTAGCTTGGCGTGGACCTTGTCCGCGGGATCGATCTCTATTTCCATTCCGGGGGGGAGGATATCTGGGTGGTCATCCCCAGCATTTGTCACAGTGAAGATGTCGGTGGCTATATCATCTGTCGGTGTAAGCAGAGCTAGTTTACCCATGTCATCCGTGAGCACTTTTGTGCCCTGGGGTCCAACCAGAACGTGTCTTCCATTGACAATGATTTCTGAATGACCAGAAGCCTTCAGCATCACGACTTGCTCGATCAGAGGTTTGCCATTTTCCGCTGTAAAGATCATATCCGTCATATATCCGTCATAATCGATGTTTTCGTTGAGATCTGGAATATAGTATGGCTTTCCACTCCAGATTCCAGATACGGAATCCTGTTGAATGACCTTCAGATCTCCAGAGATGTTGGCAACAATTATTTGTTGGGTTAGACCCTCTTGTTGCACGAAAGGAGAAAAGCTGCCTCCTGCGCCTTCCGGCAAAAGTAGAACTGCGCCCAGTGGCGAGGTAAATGATCTATCCATAGTGGTAGCGTAACTAACAGAGTCCATGGAGGTCGTGGCAAAGAAAGATATCTTGGCGGGACTGTGCGCAATGTGGAGCTGCCGAACGTCCTTGAATTCACCTTCCACAGATATCTTCTTGCCAGGATGGTTTCTTCGCTGGCCCTCGGCAGGTTTGAAGTGTTGCAAACCCTCGTCACCACCAACAACAAGTGAGCTAAATCCAGATCTATCTGGATACGTGGCCAGACATCGTGCACCTGACTTGGTCAGCTCGGTGGCTCGGTGGTCAAAACCTTTTGCTTACCCTGGGGGCATGTGAGAAGAGCCTGGTACGGGAAGCCATTGAACAAGGTAATGGTTTTGAAGAGCAGCTTGGTTTCACCTGAAAGCATTAGACAATATTAGGAAGTAATTCCGCTGGCATACCCTGTATAGAGTACAGACAGAAGTATCCATTGCCAATAGGAAGCACGGCAGGGCAAATGTCATGGATTTCAGCTGCATTCTCCGGAAGCTCGAAGTCCGTTTCCAGCGTCCAGCCCGAATAGTCCTCTTCAATTGCGACGCGAGCTACGTCCTGAGAGTCACGAATGTCCTCTTTGAAAGCCAAGACGACATCCGGGAACATAATAGTGGGAGCCATCGGGCCCTTTGAGAATCAGCTGCAAACATCGCGACCGTCAACGTGGTACGTACCATGAACACTCTGGTTAGCGTCTTAGGGATCGGAGCTCCAGTACGAGGAATGCGAAGGTGGGACAGAGAGTTCTTTCCACCGGCGACAATAGCTCTTGGGTGAAATGGCTTGATAACATGGAGATCTATAGAGTTGCCATCCTGGGAAGCGGTTGCAAAGCTCATGTACATCATTCCGTCATCTGCATCTTGAGACACATCGAAATCGACCAGCCTGGCCACCCCAGCTCCAAAGGCCTGTGTAAGGTCGATCGTGTGTCTGTTCCCTGTGTCGTCTTCCTTGATGGCGAGAAGCTTGCCATTGGTAGAATGGGAGATCAGTAATGGCTGAGCTCTTTCATCTCTGATGGTAGCAAAGCTGCGAGACCCAGGAACTGCAACGGCTGGGACCTGCAGGGTCATCAGTTCGGAATCATACTTGAGTGAGCCCATCTTGGATATAGCGGTCTGGCAGAAATTAAAACTTGGAAAGAGACAGAGTTGAACAGCTTGTTGGAAGATTTCTGCCCAGCAGGCCCTTTAATGGTCGCTCTACCTTCAATCCCTCTCCATCGAGCTTTGTAGCCGAAATAGAGCAGGCAGAGAAGCTCCATGCTCATCATGTCAGCTGCCGTTTTTGAAGCGGGGCGTCAGCACTGCACGAAATGTTGCGACTCCCTTCCAACAGGATTGACAAGGCTTTATCGGAGCAGAACTGACGATAATGCTCCATGTGGTTGGGGTGAGTAGCACTTAATATCCCGCAGCACGGCTGAACAAAAAGTGGTAGCTTGAGAAGTGGGGAACATCATAATGAGGCTGGAACACGAGGTCTGACACTTTTTTTTTTAAACAGTGGGCCATGAACACCATGCTCCCAAAACCTATGCCAGCCTCGTGGCCTTGGCGAACCTTCATGTTGGCTGGAAAACGTGTATCATGCCCTTGGCAGGCTTGGGTATTTGTTCTGGAGTTTGAACCATTTGACAGCTCAACAATACTCGCCTGTGTAGAGTGGACATGCCAGTGCGCCTTTGGCACATAAAAGCGTTCTAGAATAACACTCATTAAGAATTCTTAATAGTACTACTCAAATATGCATACTTACCAAGCCACAGCTTTGCCGAAAAGGAAGTGCGACGCCCTCGGCTGCGCGCTGATTTATACGGTCTGTGCATGGAGGCGGACTGTAGCTGCATGGATAGTGTAGCGCTACGGGGCTATGCCGGGTATTGTGATTGAGAAATCATCTCCTGAACACCCATGGTGCGGTCAATTCTCCAGCATATGATCTCCGGGTTACACTCGTATCCCAATGCCATGACGGGTTTGCAAGCCAGACCCTCGCAATATCGGTGTTATGTGTATTTTAACACATGCAGGCGGTGAAGAGTCAAAACTCTAGTTGAAAGCAATTCAACTTGTCTTTGCGCATTGGAGAGTGGGCCAATCGCTTTCCAGAGCAGGGCGTGACTGAATACTTCTCTCTGGGATGGTAATACCGTTCAGAGGTGAGTAGGGAATGAGACATGCAGCTAGTTGGAGAGCTGCATCCAATACCACTTGACTGATGTTTAGTCAACTGCCAGCAAGATCAACCGCAGCTGAATTGCTGGCATTAGCGGCCGAGTTGTTCACGCCCAAACCTGTTTAGACATATATTCATAGTACATTCAACTTCGTTTTCATCTATCAACTTGAAGCCAAGTAGTTACAGCTCATTTTTCTTTAGTAACAACATCATTCCATTTTCATTGCTAAAGATATCATCGTCATGGCCGAAGGTCCGATTATCACAGAATCCCAGAAAATCAAGGCTACGTTGACGCAGCAAGTCGAAGATGTCGAGGACGATAACGTTGACGGTGGCTTTGACCAACGGGTCGAAATCAACATGGACGACCCTGAAGTTCAGAATGCTGTGCGGGCGGCTCTGCAAAGCGATCCATTGTTGGCCCAGAAGATCGTGGACAAGGCCCCGGAAGTTGGCGCCATTGTGGGCAAAATCAAAATTGGAAAGGTTGTACCAGTCGGAACAATAGAGCTAGCTCCTATGCCAGAGCATGACGCAGTCGGCGAAAATTTTACCCAGGCAACAGCTGGCACTGCTGCTGCTGATGACAGGACTCGGTATCAAGATACGTCTCTTGAAACTGGAAGTGGCCGAATATCAATGGTAGCATGCCCAAGATTCGAAGTCCTGAATTTTAGCTAAAAATAAATAGATTGTCGCCATTACACAAGGTCTTCTGAATAGTCAACTCCAAACCAACCAGATCATCAACAACTTGGGAACTCTGGATGCCTCTAACGATAGGGGAGACACAATAATGTCAGAGTTGCGTCCACCCAAACTCGCTCTTGACATCGCCGGAAATGGCGGGCCTTCAAAGGTTTTCTATCACATGTTTTTCGATACTGGTGGAAGCTGGACGACGAAGAACGAATCGGGCACCTTTTGCACTGTTAATACCGATGGCTGGGTCTTTGTTGCTGAGACCACTCTTACTCTTCAAACACTCGACAAGCGGTCCGAAGAGTACAACAAGGCGAAAACTGGTTTCCATCGCAATGGAAACTACAACATCAACCGACTTATCCTGGACTTGACAAGTATGTAATTCATGCGTACCCTGTCCACGAGGGACATTCGGATTCAGCGAAAAAGCTGAGTCAGAAGACTGACTTGTGATACAGATGAAGGCAGCGTCAAACCTCGCATGGATCTGAGCGAATTCGGTGTCCAGATTCTTTCCGAGGGTGAGTTTGAGAGGTTTGCATCGCTTGTGATCAGTGCATTGAGGGATTCCTTCAATCAAGCGTTGGCATATTCCCTTGAGGGAATAGGCGCGGAGGTTGAATCGACTTTTGCGCCAACGGCACAGCGTCTTCAATGTTTACCGTACCGCAAAGACGGCAAAGACCCCATATCTGAGGGACTCACACAAGAGGGGGACAAAAACCTACTAGTGTACGTGAGCATGACCCAAAATCAGGCGTTCCCAGAAATTTGGATGCTTCCATACAGTGGGAACTGGTGCGTGCCACCGAGCATTCCTGCGACTATGGCCATCGGGCGGACAGTGTTTTTCGACAGTTTCCTGATCCCGAGGCTCAATGAAATCAACAAGGCAACCTTCATCAAGGCCACAGCCGCTCGTACGGAATACAAATTCTTCAAGTACTCCTATGGCTTCTCCTGGTCTACTAGCACAGAGGGATTCAAAGATTCGGATTTCAATTGGAGAAGATCAGGCAGCGACTGGAAGTGGAGCCTAACCACCGAAAAGAGGAAGACTGCTGATTTGCCACGATAGCCAAAATGGAGAACAAAATCATTGTCCCGGTTAACAAGAGCGAGGTTCATATTAATTGCAAAACAACGGTAGTCTTATTCCAGCAGGCGAAAGGTTTCGGAATTAAGCAAAACGGCAGGTAAGGATGTTGACCTTCTGTTTCAAAGTTTCAACTGCTTATTCTCTCAATAGTGTAATGGTAGAGCAGACTGGTGAGATCATTATCAATCTCAAATCGATCAACTCTGGCAGGCTGGAACTCGAGATGAAGAAAAACTCGTTTAACATCAAGAAGAGCACTGATAAGAGCTTCCTGCAGCCTGAAAAGAATATGAACAATTTAGCGAATAGCATGCAAGGCAAGCTTGCAGGCGCAGATTTGCAAGGCAAGATTGCTGCAGCTGGTAGTCGCTTGACTACAGTCGATACCTTCATTTTACCGGGCAATCAGCAGTTCCTTCTGGAAGATGCTACTTTCAACGATGAGCATGATCTCTTGGTTCAAGTCGGGTATAACGGCTAGAGTGATCTTGTATCGTCCGCTGGGGCAGGCTGGGGCCTCGGGGGACATGAAACACATCTAAACCTTCTTTATTACGAGTTCCTGGCGTCATGCTGCGCGCTCCGCTATTAGATATCTGCGCTCAGGCGTTGTAGAAATGTAATTTATGAAGGATCACAATGTTAAAGATAACGAACCATGCTTGATGACGGATGATCCTCGGCTGAAAGTGGGATAAGATACTCCATTGCGGTAGCAAGCATATGAATACAGCTTTGTTCAACGGGAATGGTTCACGGGTGTGGGTTCATGAGAGGCAAAATGAAATGTCCCTAATTGTTTCTATTATACAGTAAGTCTGACCGTATTGTTCATCTCGGCCAAATTGGAACCTCCATCACAGCGGTGGCTGTATGGAGGCTGCCATTGCCAGGCGCACTGATCTTAAAAAGGAACATATAGATAGATCTATCACTTAACGAAAGACAATGAATCAAGTGTTTTCTTTTCTATGACAACATCCTATAAACATACATACCATCTATTGAACCAGTCCTTAGGTCCACAACCCCCACGCCCTTGCGGTATTCGCCTACTTAGTCTGACGTTCTTGACAATCTCACGTAGAGGATTTCTCCTATCCATAGGCTCGCTATAACCCTCCAGAGGCTATTTCTTGCCCAGGCGCACAGGCCACGGGTGCTAAACGTTGTCAAATCGTGACCCAGTGCACTGCAAATACGAGGAACCTCATATTCAGGTTCCCCTAGATCGCCTTCTGGTGGATATTCCGTAAATGGCGCACTCTGATTGGTTGATCTAAGCCAGCCTGGTCTCTGTCTCAGCTGTCCCCGATATTCTCTCAGTTGCAACAGGAGGCACGCAATTGCGCAAGAATGAGACGCTCAAGAGTCTACATGATGAGATAGCACCCATGAATAGGTAGCCGCACGGAGTCGTCAATATCATCGATTGAGAACCCAACACCCTCAGTCGAGACAAATCACGTAATATTCTCTCGACAGGGAAAAAAAAAGGAAGACAGAGAGCAGCTGATTGAACGCATAACGCGGCGTGCGTCGCGGGAGCAACGCGTTGTTCAATGACGAGCGACCATGAGCCAGCGAGGGAAGGATCATGAGCGAGACTAGATGATAGCGGGTTGTTAATAGGGAGGTGATATTCCTATGAATAAAGCCTTCAGACTCACCGTTGGAGGCGAGTGTTAAAATCCGTTCCTGTCGCTACAAACCACATCACCATATTCAAGAAGGGTTAAAGTCTGTACAACCAAGTCCAAATTCATGTATCCCTCAGGGGCTGTTGTGCGACACTAGTTCGATCTGTATTCGGAAAATCTACATCAACAGCATTCAGCACAGTGAGAACATGTTGAAGAACCGAGAGAACTCTCCATAAAGAAGAGGTAGTCCTCTACTATACAGACACACACACATACTTAGGTATCCATCGCCACGGCCAACGTCCCCACAGCTGTTCCCAACACCAAGACAAGCGTTCTCACCGAGTTATGCCACTGCCATCGTCGAACCAACTCAAGCGTACTGAATTTCTTGTCACGCTCGACGCTCCGTCTCTCATTGAACGCGTATGTCAAAGCTATGGCACCATTCCCTGGCCCCGCAAGGCTCTGCGCGCGGCGTGACAGCGCGCCATTGGTCCGACGCAAGAAAGTCAGGGCGTATGGGACACCCGAGGCGGTGGTGGCTGCAGCGATAGCGTACAAGTAGCGGAGGAGTGATTCTTTAGGGGCTTTTTCGTTGTTTTTTGGATCCGCCGGTCAGTGACGTTTATGCTGAAGATGGACAACAGAAATGTATTACCTAAGTATGCCAGGTACCCGAATGCCAGACCGTTGATGACACAAAGTGGCCTTGAGATCTATTCCCCATATGTCTGTCAGATCGAGGCTTTAGGTACACTCACATTCCGGGAACCCTCCCCCCGGGTTCTTCCACATCACTTACGTAAAATCCTGCTAAATATTGCTGGCGCCATTGATTTGCCGTTGTTTTTTCGTCCGCGAGCAGAATCGTCGGCACCGCTGCGTGGGAAAGCGCCCACGTGTAGCCTAGGACCCAAGACCGTAATCAGATTCAGTCTTCAAAAGGCCCGAGAAACTGGTTGAAAAGGCATGTATCAAAGGGAAGGGAGGGGAACTGACCAGCAAAGACGCCTGCCGAGGTTATCCCGAAGGTTTTGGCAAGAACAACTAAATCCATGGTGTCTGCTCTTTAACTGAAGTTACAGTTAAACATTTATAATATAATATAATTATACGGTCAAAGGTGAGTCCGTCCTTTTATCATTCCTTTCAAAGAGCTTGAACAGTGGACGTCTGAGCCGGGTGTTTTCTCTCCCCGTTAGGCTAATCCCTGAGGATGAACATAAGCGCTAGTAGATATATGTACATAGCCTTTCTACGGAAGCCGAAAGAATGTGTCGAAACCCCTAAGCTTGGCACAATGCAGCGCTCCACAGCGAATCAAGAGCGAAAACGCCGTTTCTTCTTGTCGACACGGTGTCTTCATCCTAGATGAGTCTCAGGATCTTTTGGGTCGAACGGGCTCCCCTTTCGTAATTAGTTCTCTAACTCGCTTTCTAAAAGTAGTCTATCTCTACTGTCAACTCATGCTCTGAACTGCAATATGCGCTCAGATTAAGCGCTGAAGCTCCATGGTGACATATGTCCGACCGCATCTGGTTTTTATATGTTTACCTTATGAATGATTAGCTTGTTTGACATTGACTATATTTTACTAAGCTCTCTATACATTAATGTCCCTTATATACAAATAAGATCCTTACTCATTCTAGTTCTATATTGTATTCCTTTATTTAATGTACCTGTAATATTATTACTAGCATGTTGTACAGGTCTTATACTATAAAACCCTCTTGTTCTAATTGTTGACCCTGGTTTCTTTCTAGAACAAGAAGTGAGCCTGATCAACATAGCCCTCAGGCCAACCGTGAGGCAGCTGTAATGTGTAAAAAGTATTTGCATTTTACAACAATAGATAAGCCCCCCAATTTTCCGTTGTCGATGCCTCATTCCAAGATATCATCCATTTACTCCTCCCGGTACTGAGAGCACGAGGCCTATCCTGATCCGATTATGCAGCGCCTCAAGGAACTTATCGTGAAAATATATACGTCCGCAAAGGCCAATAAGGACCACCTCAAGAACATGTATCAGCATCCTACCGATGGAAAGCAGAAGTACCACAGTCGGGCCACATCACCCAATAGACTCAGAGAGAACACTGGATTTAGAGGGGTTAGGGGCTATGACGCAATGGCAATGAATTGGTGGCGTGGAGGACGTAGAATGTTCCGAGTGGCGCTCTCAACGTGCAATCTCCACGTCAAACCATGATACCAGATCCAGGCCGATCAAAATATTCCATTTTGCGTGGCAGAGAACGCGGCTTCAAGCTTGTCTCGACATAGCTATGCATAAGAGGAAGTGTAGAATCCGCCAACTGTTTGCCTTGCGGATAGTGTTAACTAGTCAGTTCGATGGTCCATATCCAAGAACGGCCGGCCTTCTTATTGTGACCACAGGTGGAACCAGCGGGGTGCCACGTAAGTAAGTTGATCAAGGGACACGTTTGGATGCACCCTCTTTTTACCCGCCCAAAGAAGGAGGAAATTGAAAGCCACATTCTCCACTGAAAGGCGGGGAAATGAGCCACTAATCACATCTTGTATGTGGGCTCATTCTGAATTGGGCCAGGATGCGCGCGTTGAGAATGCGGCGATTCTCGCATCCATGCAGGTACCGAGTACATATTTATCTGGTGACCCCCCATCCTCAGGTGCCCGGGGCTTGTCAGCATTTCATCGCGCAAATGAATATTGAATAAGGAACAAAACTAAGACCCGAAGGCCGGCAACATCCAGGAACACGACAAGACTTGCTTTGAGACCAAGGACACTCGCTCTCTGGAGAATTTTCCAATCATCCCTTTTCAAAGATCGTACACCTACAATCACGTAGAAAAACAGGCCTATCTAATTCCCACCGATCCACGAACCACACCAAGGCAACAACCATGGCCCCGAGCGACACCAGCTGCATCTTCTGCAAGAAAGTCGATTGGAACGAGAAAGATACCGAGCAACTTAACTGGGTGATCCAAAATCTCAACGGGAGGGTCGACTCCAGAGTCTGCTTCTACCACAACCAGAAACAAATCGAACGGCTGTCTGAGGCGCGCAACAAGATCCAGCAGGAATTACGACGGCGAACCACACCGGTCGAAGAAGTCAAGCAAAGAATATACTGGGATCATTTCAACGCGATGCGCTCCGATCAGAAAAGTTCTGGCGGCTGTTGTGTGGTCATGTGAATGGCAGAGGCGACTTCCGGGTCGAAACGGCTCAACAAAAAAATCACCAAATATCACAACATGGGGAGGATACGGATATGGACAAGGTTGCGAGCCGAACGCGTGTCCACGATTTCCGGACCGGGGCGAGGGCCAGGTAAGGCTGGCTGAGAAACTCGCCTGGAACTCGCCTGAAAGCCACTAGCTTTCTGGGGGTGGAAATTTGCCTTTCGGAGGTTTTAGGGGTTCCCAGCCTGGGTGGATGCCTCTGCCTCCGGTAAATCCACTCCATCTGAGTTATCCGTTCCGTCGATGAACGAATGTATGGCTGTGCTCGCGAACTGTGAGACCGAGACTCTGACCAATACTGTCGCTGTCACAGGACTTGGGCGCTCCCTCGCAACTGATGGAAGTACCCCTTTGGTGACCACACTACTGATTCAATCGAATTGAACTTGGGCCTAACATTTGGCGTGATTATGTCACGCGTACAAGATCGCGGCTATCAGCACGACGTTCGCAGCCGTCTTTCCACAAGAATGCAATCCTCGAATCAGGAGGAGTGGTTGACAAGTGAAATAAATGGGGTGTGGGCGCCGCATGCGCGCGAATGGTTGATCCTTAAACACTTGTAGCTTGAAAGCATTAGATATTCTAGCACAGTTGCTTGCTTAAGTATCGTACACTAGAACCTAGAGAGGTTTCTTCCTTAGTTAGCGAAAGAATGACTTTCTTCTACTCTCGCCTTGCGGCGAAGCCGCCACCGCCCAGTCTCTTGTAACAGAGCTTTTTCGTCGGCCTGGGAGTAACTGGCTGAACGAATGTCTGCTGAAAACACTTGTCCCGCCAAAGGAGAACAAGCTGGAATCGTCAGATGCACCTTGTGACAGACCTGCGTTGGGGCCGACGTGCGATTTGTAGTCAAGCCACGCCAACTCCATCAGAGGTCTTGTCTCCTTGCCAACAAATTCCTTGGGCACCTTTGCCGCAACTTCAATTAATTCAGCTCGCTTCTCCGGTTGGACTTGAAGCATTTTCGAGATGATGTCCCTCGCATAGGCAGGCACGGCGAATCGATCAGGATAATTTACCACCGGTACCTTCAACGCTTGTTGTGACGCCGTGGACATCTTCCGTTTTGGCTTGACCACGGCTTCATCTTCGAATGCAGGATGGGCTAAAGTCGACAGCTTATCAGTCTGCCCAGTGCATATGAAATAGATAACCACACCACAACTCCACATCACAGCCTTCCGAGCATTATACCTGATGCTTGAGAACACTTCGGGGGCCGTATAAATATCATTCCCAATCTTCGCATCAATACAAGCATAAATTCCACCGATATTGTCGGGTGTATATCCATAGGCACAGTGAAAATCCCGAATGGTTACTTGGCCAGTGTCGTCGATGAATATTGTTTCATCGCAAAGGCGTAGGTGAGCAAAACCCGAGTTGAAGATAACAGCCACACCTGAGAAGAGCTGATTAATGAATGACTTGATCTGATCAGCTGATTGAGAATCTGAACTCTGCATGTATTGGGACAGAGACATTCCCGGTTGTAACTCGATGACAACCCAGAAGTTTGATTGTAGTTCTGTGCTTTCTACAAGTTGTGGGACTCGGCTATCCGAAATGCCACTCAATGCCGCAACTTCTCTCCTCAGCGAATCGAATCTGTTGGCATTAGATTTCGCACTTTTTTTCACCAAAACCTGCCACAGTAAGTCCCATTGCTGATCAAACAAAAGCCCAAGTATCTAGGTACCTTCACGCAACTCACAGCCGCCGTGCCTGGCTGGCCGCTTGACTCCAGTCGGGGCGACAAATGCTCGGCGTCGAGTCCATATCGCTGTAAGAGGGCATCTTCAGCAGCTCCATCCGAGTCTATATCATTGGGTTTCGCATTTGAGGGAGACATGTTCTGGTCTCTCTCAAGGAAAGGGTTAGAGAAAGAATTGCTCATTGCCTTTGAAGCCAATGCTGGTGGATGGTGTGCTTCACGATCCAACCCAACTCCCACAGAATTTACTCCAAACAATGAAACGCCTTCCCGTTCTCGGGACCGTGTATGAACCTCTTTACTCCAACAAGGTAAAGATTGATAACACATTGGTAATCAATGGACGTAGGAGAGTTTTGGATAATATAGGGAATAAGCCTTGAGTCTACCCCGCGCCACGACAGATCTTCCGGTCCCCGAGCCGCGCGCAATGGTAAGACGAAGGCAGCTTCATTCGCGCTGATGAAAGATCATAAGGCATCAGCGGTGTCCCATTGTCATCCAAAAGACAAATATCTGAAGCACTCATGGAAGAGCATGGCCAACCTGTTGCTCGATTCGACCTAAAAATAGGTGCAAATGACCCGTTTTGGTCTGCATCTTCGGCAAACAAAGCAGGCGAGTTTCGGGCTGGAGGATAACCGTGATTCGTGAATCTTGTCATCAAAACAGCTTCTTCTTCGCTCGTAAGGACCACAGGTAAGAAGAACGTACCTGGAGGTATTTGGAAATGGGAGAAGACGAAGGCATGAAGATTCTCGCGTAGGGTTGCACCTTCGGGTCGCCTAAATATTCCCAATCCAAATCTGGAAGCTTCGGAAAATGTACCTGCCAAGCAATTAATCCGCAGCGCCAGCAGTGGAAAGCTTCCAGCAAGGCCATACTGCGGTGCTACTAGCACATGTTGAACTACAGCAGAGACATCTGCCCTTGCGACGAGCTATTGAACTTGCAGCCTTTGGGCATGCCATAACAGTGTGTTAGCACATACATCGACGCTCGCTTCTGGAAAGATCTACCCAAGATGGGTGCCGGTCAATCCAAGCCCGACGACTCTACCAAACATGTCTTTTCCAGCGATACGCCCATTCAATTCTCTCAAGAGTGCGTTCTTTCAGGGAGCAGCAGCATGCTATTGCTCTCCGAGCATGCTCTTGGCAACCAGGGAGCGAGGCTGACCCTTTGTTTACAGACTTGTAGACTCCCTACAAGCGTCCTCAGAAGTATAGCCGCAAACCTCGAGAACCAAATCTCTGATTACTGACATCCATGCTCTTTCTGATAGACCAACTCCACGCGCGCCAAATCGCTCGAACTACACATCGCACAACGTGTCGCCGCCGAGCTTGAAAAGTTGAAGGCCCAGGAATCCGAAGTTCTAGAAGACATCCGGAAGAAGATTGCGAGCGGTGATTCAGATTCCCAAACAGACTCGTCGCTCCTCTCCCTGTCTCCTAAGGAGCTATTATCCTCACAGAGCGCCGAGGAGAAAGCGCGGAAATCTCAGACGACGCAGAAAGTGCAGCAGGAGATCGAGAAGTTAAAACAGACGTTGGGTCAGCGGAAGGTCGTCAAGGAGTTGCCCAGGGAGGTTGAGACTGCGTAGGTTCCCAACCCAGATTGCATACTTTCCACTCCCCCATCTCCCACAGAGTGCCTACACTTCGTGGTCACAGGAGGGAAGGCTAATTAGAAGGGCTTCTGCCCGAAACAGGAGACAAAATGTCATCTCTTGCTTGAGATTAAACGACCGGAAACCCCTTGATTGCTGGAAGGAAGTCGAGGCGTTCAAGCGCGAGGTGCGGAAACTCGAGGAGTCGTATGTTTCTTCTGTACTATGAGACCAAAAGAAGCGGGACACTAGGCCAGGGAAACAAGAGAGAAGGGGGCGTTGTCAAGATTCTGTATATAAGAAAAATAAAAAGCACTTTCAAGAATCTTTTTGGAACAGGGGCACGTGGATTGATTGACTTGATCGTGAATGCGTGATTTTCGAGTTCTATTCCACCGGGTGCGGTCTCTGGAAAGCACCACTTACTACCAGAATAATCCCGTGAGAAGCTGGTGTATATCTCGATTTTCCGGACGGATGAGCTTCGCCACGTATCCAAGATCCTACATAGTATATAACGACTCCTCTGTACGGCGAAGTTCCACTCTGCCCCTCAGTGCCGGACACGTCGCTGTTTTTCTGTAAGGTCAAAGTCAAGGACGGCTAGGCTAACATCAGCTTCTCCCGCTGAACTGACAATGGTGGATAATTACTTGAATGCACCCAGTCAAGATGTTGCTCTCGGCGGTGTTCCCGGCTCGCTAGGCAGTGGAGGGACAGAAAAGATTCATCCTTGTCTTGCCCAACGTGCGTAGAACTAAGCGGCGCATAGAATGGGTAAAAATTGGTGCAAAAGCGGGCAATTTGAATCTTCCCTGTGCGGGTTTTGAAGTTGCTAGCAATGCTGGACAGGCTGACCCGACGGGATGGTCTTGGTCCTTGAACATCGAATTGTCTAGGTCGGAGTGGGAGACGCTGAATGCCCCCTGGTGCTGCCAGCACAAGATGAAGGCTTTCAAATTTGGGCGATAAGCCAGACCCATTTCTTTTCGAAACATCATCCCTGTTCGGGCGCCAGTCCAACCTCAAGACTGCGATTGGGATCGCAAGTGAGCTTGAGCTTGCGCATGCAGTAAATACTGATCCCGTGCCTGATGGCCGTAGACTCTGCTTCATCTTCTTCTCTGATGTCGTGAAAGCAGGAGTGTCAAAATCGCCCTTGCTCTCATATGAGCACTCGTGATAACTATCTCATTGACCAGAGGCTCTCAGGGCGTTAACTTTTGTTCAATTCCTTTCGAACGATCCAAGCCCCGCCGGGTCTCAATCTCCTATAGTACCTTTCAAGTAGCAAGACCCGCTTGAACCCACGTTTGGCATACCATTCCAAAGCATCTTCGTTCTTCTCCCACACGTGTGCATATATACACACTGTGTTGTGCGCATGCGCTAATGGTGAACTGATAATCGTGTTGAGCAGAATGGAAGCAAGGCCAATGCCTCGATACGGTGCGAGTAAAGCCAACGCTTGGATGTATATCTGCTGCAATTGCGGCTGAGAGCCCTTTTCCGGACCGTAAGGCTCCAAACAGCATCGAATCCATCCTACAGGCTCGGAAGAGTAGAGCACAACACGGGATAGCTGGGCAGCACCGTCATCGGTCAAGGTACCCTGGAAGAATTTATCGCTGTACCGAACTTGCAAAGTGGTGTTGGTCAGTCTTTGGATTGAGGGCAGGTGAGCCCGAGAGACATGGACAATCTGGGCCTTTGGAAAGTGTGGGATGGTTCCGGCTCTGTCATCTGTGGAGAGCTGATGTTGAACCTTCTCGATTATGTCCGCACCAGCAGGCACAGATGAATCTTCAGTGCCGTTGCACAATGAACCCACTGCTCCGGCTGACAAGTTCAGTGACAATGGTGGACTAGACACCGAGGGAGGTGCAGAGGTTGATGGCTGTGGTGTCAGATACGCGAGAAGGCTAGCTTGTGGCATCTTATCTTGCAAGTTACGCCTCCAGCCCAACCTCCAAAACGTGGTGGATGCCTGACACGGTCGTCAACGCGTATTCCACGGTCAAGAGTGGAAATTAATTGGAGTAATACAGACTCGCATATGAGGTGGTCAATTTGTCGTTCGACGCGACGCGACGCAGAGCAGCAAACAGGATTCCTGCCTACAGGAAGAAGGAGTAAAAAATGGAAGGCACGACTTACACATTACAGCCGATATCGACGAGGGCTCCTGCTAGATTTCGTAGCCAAATAGATGCTTAAGCGGCTATTCCCGGCGCTAGAGATAGTGCTGTCAAGGCTTGTTCTGGGGCCGAGGGCGCACTCACTTTTCCAACTTGCACCTGCCATTTAGGCCCTTTTATCCGGGCGGTAAGCCACTAACCCGATAGATGCAAAATTATGGCTGCGGCTGCAAACGTTCCATCCTGCCTTCCACCACTTTGGAGTTTGGGTGCTCGCCGGCTCAAAGTCACTGGTTCTCTACAACCACTGCTTCTCTCTACAAACACATAGATCACTACTCTTTCGGCCGGAAGTCGAGTGATTGTTCTCCTCAGATCCAGACACCATCCTGACCTATTCACTCAGTAGCCTTTGACCATATCGACATTCTGTTTCGGTGTCGATATCACGAGCCACTCAAAGAAACTCTCCACGGTCCTGCCATCGGCCCTTTCACAGGGCACCGCCTCCAGAACAAGGAATCAAGAGCTACTTCACTATACAGCATTCGATTCATGGAAGGTTAGACTGTCAATACAGCCCGTTGGGTGCGGCAAGGAGTGAAGGTGTTTGAATAGCAAAAGAAGCACATGCGCAGCCATTTCTCCATTCACATTTGAGTACACAGTAAGTGAATATCTTCAGGACAATGGCCACAATGTGTCTGCTATTGTATGGAATTACCTTGCCCATGATGCATCTATCTACATATACGCCACCTGCAATCTTCCGCTACATCAACTTCCTCCCAATCTACGCATGCACATGTCCATATCTCCAGACAAAGAAACTCTTCGACATCTGTGTACTGCTGGCCAGCACAGGTTTTTGCTATTTCCCCCCTCAGAACACCAGTCTTTCCCGCTTGTCTCTTCATCATGGTTCTAGATAGAGCATATATCTCTTTGTTTCCAAACTCCATTCCTGACCTGGAGCTGTGGAGGCGCTTCATGGCTGATCCTGAGATCATCGCTGACTGTCCACCGCCAGACAATACCCCAGCTATCATGTCCAGCAGCAAACCTTCCAAATCGCCCGTCATTCTGACTGCCGCGGAGCAACACGACGCTGTAGGTTGCATATTGTCCAATCCCCCGGCTAGAGCTGACAACCTCAAGATCACCTACCTTTTAGAGCATTCACTAGAAAGCATTGTGCATAACATTCTCTTGGAGATCCATCAAGAGGAGAAGATTGGTAGGATGCAAACCGCTGTTGTTGAAGTCGAACAGCGAGCAGAGAAGCTCGGTAAGAAACTGAGCAATGATCAACAAGATGATGAGAACGCCGACCAAGAACCCGTTGAAACGAACTCTGCTGTTCTCACTGCTGGTCAGGTTCAGCTTAAGGGCAACCCGATGAAAACTGTCAAACACATCAGATGTCCAAACTGTCGACTCAGGCGGTTACAATATCCTAGAGTCGGCTGGAACTCTCGGCCTGTCCCAGACGCAACAGAGCAATATTGTAAGACAGAACCGATGATCATTCTCGACAAGCATGATGTTCATGGGCAGCGAAAAAAGGGTGTCAAGGTCAAGGGCCAAGCCAAAGGCAAGAACAAGAAAAAGAACGATCCTGGCTCACCAGCTCCTTCCGAAGCGTCAGACCAACTGACTCCATCATCTTCCATCCCCACTGAGCAGTTTGAATTCAAGGAGATTGATTATCCTGCTGCTAAATGTCCCAACCGAGACTCGCACCTTGGAGACCACTGGAAATCCGTCAATGTCTTTGCAACACATCTCAATGGAAGCTGCTATCTAAAGAAAGATCGTGCAGCGGGAAGAGAAGCAAATGCAAAGATCGGTGGCACCCCTCGAGACAGTCGTGCAAACTCACCCAAAGCTGCTCCCAATGGAGTGAAGAGAAAGGCTGACGAGGAAATCGGCGCACCAGCAATCAAGAAGAAACAGAAGATCAGCGACACCAGGAAGGTTGACAAGAAAGCCATAGGAGTGCCATCAAAACTCCGGGAAATCAACACAGTGGACGATGACAAAGATGCTGAAAGTCCTCTCAAAGAGACAAATGGCGACACCATACAAGTCACACCGACAAAGGCAACAAGAGACCAGAGCTCTGAGCCTAGTTTGAAGCTCAAACTAAAGGGTGTCGGCTCGGGCGCTGGAGAGGTCCGTAAGAAGCAAGGAAAGAAGGACAAGGACAAGGACAAGGAGAAGGACAAGGCCTAGTCCTCAGCCAAGACGTAATGTATCATAGCATAAAGTAAGCATAGCACGGTGGCGTTCTCCCTGGATAGGTTGAGAGGGGCGGCTGCCCTAAGAGTAATGGACATTGTCAATGTTAATGAAAGACCTCCTTGGCCAATGCCCTGAGTCCATGTAGCACAATGCTTGCATCCAACGAAAACTGACTCAGCCTTGTTCAGCCTTGTGGTTGCTGCCAAGTCTATCAACCACCGAATTGCGAACACCGTGACTGCGACCTATGCCTTTCTCGAGACCTCGATGCGTGCAACCCGCCATGTGATGCCCTTTCCATCTGGCCGTCTCGGTCACTCTGTTTTATACGCTCTTCGCTCGAGGCATGCCTGCCCTATTCATCTATTGATCCAAGGACAGCGATTTATCGTCCTCGCAGCAGACGCGCCGCGAAAGCATGAGGTCATTCAGATCCCTATCGGCCTAAGCGCGAGCATCAAGCTTGAGTGGGTTTGCTAGATCCCTATCAGTTTGCCAATTCGATACTAAGCGTGTGTTTAGGGTGTTCTCGTGCCAGCAGTCAGATGCGGACAACAAATCAACGCAGCGAAATGTTCTCGTCCATCTGCCTACAGGTCCATCTCTTGACCCTGAAGCATGGCCCTTCTTAGATGAACATTCCAGCCTCCTCGACTGCGCCTCACCGGGCACAACTGTTGTCACTATTCACTACCGTCTCGGCCCTTCCATGGAACCTCCTGCTGGAAACACATACTTCCCTGCTCCAGTCCATGATGTATCCGAAGGGCTCAATTTCCTGACATCCTCATCTTCGCTGTTCAATCATGGCCATGAGCTGAAGCCAAAGATTAGTCTGCTAGGGACTCGCTTAGGGGGAGGATTAGCCGCTATGTTAGCATTGACACGACCGAACGATGTCCATGCAGTCACCATGCTTGAACCAATCGTTGACTGGGTGGGACTGGATGAGACTATCAAACAGCTTCAAGCATCAACTGGGAAGCCCGTGGAGGGCAGGCCGTCGACGTCTAAAAGAGCTTCGCGGGAAAAGAAGCGCGCTTCACCTTTCACTGGCGTGAATGATAAATCGGTGCTCGCAGCAGCTGAAGAACTATCCAGGCTGCGGTCTAAACTGTTCAAGACACCTGCTGCTTATTTCGATCCCTTCGCGAGCCCGCTGCTGTTTCTACGTGCGGCAGGGAGGGATACACCCCAGGAGACAAAAGGTGATGTGTTGATGCAAGAAATGGGCCTTGAAAACATCGAAGACACCGAAAACATCGAAGACGAATCATTTGGGCCCTATGACGACGACAGGGGACAGAACAGCCCAGGACCGACAAGTAGCGCAACGGGCGCTCTTTGCGACGAATCTGCAAGACAGTCATCGTCAGATGGAGACTCCGCCGAATCTGTCTCAGACATTATTGCACCTGAACAGAGCTCTGCAACGCCTCCGCAAGCCGCTCATCCGCCTCGTCGACGCAAGGTCTTGCAACGCTGGCCGTCCGTCGGCAGACCCGAGGACGTTTTACTTCCATACACCAAGATTTTTCTTCGGGCTTCAATCTCAAGCGAGATGAAAGAACCCACAAACGCTGTAGACAACCTCTCTGACACTGTGAATCTCGAGAACGGCTTGCGAGCGCTGCTTCATGCACAAGGCACAGAGTTTGCGGAGCTGATGCGACGTGCGTGTTTCTATGGCCGCGAGATCGGCTTTGCAAATGAGAGAGTCAAAGTACACAACATCGTCTCTAGTCAATCCTCACCTAGTCTTGGGTTAGACGGTGGGTCGAACGTGCATCAACGAGCAGTGCTCTGGGCGAATGAAATTCTGAAGGAAGACTGATGTCTCAGCCTTGTCTATAAATCCTAAGTCACCCTCGAGTCTTCTTCGGTCTGCCTTTTGGCTCTAGTTCTTTCCCAACTTCGCATTCAAGCCACTGACCAACAAGTGCTCCTTGACGATTTCCTCCTGTAGCTGCACAAGTTCATCGACTTTCCAATTCGCAGAGCACCATCTGCCACGCAGGAACTCTGCCTCCGGGGTAAGCAGGAACAACGCTGTGCAGCCCGCTAGTTCTGGCGAGTCCATGACGAATCCCATTTCTTTGACGTGGTGCAATTTCGCTATGCCCGTCTCCACCACGCCCGGGTGGAGGTTGAAGAAGCGTACGTTCGGATAGTCTGTAGAGGAGATTTTTAGTGAAGTGGTGAAGATCGTGGTGATCGGGCTGGCGGCAGGAGTTCGGAGGCTCAAATGAAATGGATTCTCGCATTGCTACTGACCATATTGCAAAATCTCAACGACGCGGTTCGCAGCAAGCTTGCTGGGGCCGTAACCGGTTTGGTTTGGAAACGAGCTGACCGCTGAGGTAGATGAGATGTGAATCAGATTTCCCGGTTTTCCGCCGAGGTGCTGCAAATACTCTTTCGCGACGAGATACAGGCCCTTGACGTGAACTTCCTAAACGGGTTTTGGTTTCAGTCAGCCTTGATTACTGGTCAATTTGACCACCGAACATCTCGATGCTCTCGGTCCATTGTTAAGAGCTGAAGCTTACGTATTGAGACCACCAAGAGCTCGTGTCCGTTTGAGCCAAAGGCGCCAAGTCGATGTTCAGGCCCGCATTGTGGATTGCGACGTCGACAGCGTCAAACACTTCCATGGCCTTTGTGAAGGCGACTTTGACATCGGATTCGGACGTTACGTCCATCTTGTGTACGAGGACCTTCGTGTCCGGGTATGATTCCTGAATTTCCTTCTCGACTTGTTCGAGCAGGCTCAGATCTCGAGCTGTGAGGACCACGGCCTTCGCCCTGGCCTTCGCAAATGCCACCGCGATACCCTGCTCGGCTCAGAAAGCCGCGCTGTCAGACGCTGTACAGAATGGAATCTCCCTTTGCAAACCTCGAGGATGGCTTACTCGGCCGATCCCCCTATTCGCGCCAGTGATCAACACGACTTTCCCTTGTTGCGACAGCTTTGGGTTCTTGAGAGGATCAATCATATCGTACACTTCATGGACATCGGTTGGTGTGAAATGATAAGGATCGTGCAAACTATACGGATTGGACAAAAATGCCTTTTGTTGCTCCTGAGTGCCTAACTGGCGGATCACATAGTCATGGGTCGTCGCGGGGGCCATGGTGCTTTCAAAGGCCTTTTGCGTATCCTGCGTGCTTCGTTGGACTTTCCCTTCGTGAATGATGAACAAATTGTTGACCAGGTAAGATGCATGCGATTTTCTCTTTACTTCTGCCTCTCAATAGAAGGTTCTGACCGAAAGTCTCAGCGGCGTGGTGTGTTCGTCTCGTTCATTTCCATTGTGGCCTTGGGAGGCCTGATGTACCATAACGCACTAATTATGAAAGTTCACGGTCGAACGAAGTGCAGCTTCATTCCAGCCCGGTGGGCCGCGGTTTCCCTCCATTTCTGGGCGCCCCCGCCCGTGTCCTGTCTGGTATTCCTTCGTTCACACTGCTTGCTCCCTCTCGTGGCACTGGAGGAAGGCTCTCCTCGCAGGCCGTACTGATGCGTCTTGATCCATCGGACCTTGGTGGCCTCAAAGTAGTTTGTGAAAGCAAGCACTAATTCATGTGAGCTGACAAGGGACCAGTTGGGTTAGAAGTCAACTGTGACTAATCTTATGATGTCTTTCAAGCCGGCCTAACAATAATCCATGGACCTCCAGGTTGAGCAGGCTTCGGTGCAATGTTGCATGCCGACTCCACTCTCTTTCTTTGTAATACGCCGTACCGAGTAGGGGGCACTCACACTCAGATACCCCAACGTGTCAACGTTTGTCTTGACCAGTGACGACAGAGAGATGGTCGAAGCTTAATGATACCAGCCGACAATTGACCCGAATGACTGGAGCGGATGTCAGCGTTTTCGGGCCCCCATTTATGCATCTGTGAATGTTACAAGAGCAGTCATCCCTTTGATCACCTTCTTGATCTTCAGAACTTGAATTAGACTGCTTGCTAGTCCAGATGGAATTTACCCTGGTACTGCAAGATGTGGTTTGGCGGCTTGCCATAGTGACTAAACGAACGCGAACGCGAATCCGGTGTGCGAGCGACTTTGCGGCCGCAGGAGCCACGGTGCTTCAGTGGCCGTCCAGGGCGAGTATTAGTGGTCACATGTGAAGAGACTTAGCGGGGGTCTATCCCAGCCAAGACTGACAGGATCACGTTGACACAATGAAGCTGTCAATGTTTTGTGCGAGGGCCTGTTGAGAGCAGAGATTGCAGTCTTCCTCATGATTGATCAGGGCAGCTTCGCAATTAACCTGCGCTGACTCCGGCGCTCAAATGTGCAAAGGTCATCCATCCCGGGCCGAGAAAAAGCTGTGCTTCGGACCGAAACACGGTGATTGGTGTGCTCGCACTGCGGACCAGGGTCGACGGGTCCGCAATGACCTTCTCGACCGATGAACACGGACCCCTGCTGACGATGCCGAGCAGTTACTGTGCTCGTAAGTTTCGTAATCGGGGGCTAGGTAATTGCATTCGCATGCTGGCTTTGTGAGCCAAGCATGTCAAATGAGGAGAGTAGGTTCCAGGCGCCTGAATCCAGGTCCACAAAGTTGTTCAACTGTTACCGGGGTTCGTTAGCAGATCTGTAATCTGGGGATGATGGCTTACGCGTTTCGGGGACGGAACATACATCATTGAAGTCCATGGCGTCCTGCTCGAGACTGCCAAAGCCGGCACTGCCAATGTCAGCAGGTTCAAGCTGATAGTCGTGCCCGAAATGAATCTGCGCTGTCGCGTCTGCTGCAGGCGCGCGCCCTGATTCAGTTGTTTTTGCCAATCGAACTATTCTTGATGCGGCGCTCGCAGCGTCTCGTGGTAGAGAGATGGAAACTCGGGATGCAGTCAGAAATTCAATAAATCCGAAATGTCCAGCGCAGACATCGAGCAGTCCGAGGTCTGACATTGCGGACGGCAATGAGGGGTTCTTCACAAGGAAGATGAACAAGTTGATGACTGCGTATATTGGATAGTAGAATGTCAACCAAGAAGGCGTGGTGATGTTCGAATTGACCAGTCTAAGAGCGAGAATGATCTTGCGTGCTGCATCAGCCACTGTCGCAGCCGAGGAGGCTATTTGTGCTTCAAGGGCGTCATTCTGAACGTCCGTAGTATGTCTGGAAATCATCCAGGGGTAGAAGAAATGGGCATGAACCGCCATCAAGCTCCCGTAGATGGAAAAATGCAGATACAAAAGCTGGATCAACATGCGATTAGAATATGGTGGCCTGGCCAAGGTTCCAATCCGATAAGGCGTAGGCATATCTTCCAGAAGCTGACTGAGCTGGTCGTGATATTGATTGACGGCGACTATCAGGTCCTTCGTTGACATCGATAGAGCCTTGAACGAAAGAAGGTGCCGAGATATCTGAGAATGCAGTTTTGCATGCTTTGCTGCGATGCTGAGGCTTTGTAAATCGATGTTGCTCCCGCTGGGGATCGCGTAGGGAACATGAGTACTGACGTTGTCATCATCGATAACAGATGGTCGACCACTGCATAGGGAAAGGTGTTTTTCAAGACAATAAATTGTCCACCAGAGCCAATTTCGCTTCGCGGTCTCATTTTCAGAATTACCCCAAGCTTTATCGGGCTGGCGGTATAACCCCTTGCACTGAGCGATATGAACAGCATTGGCACACAAACTATGTTTGAGAGCAGGGCTGCCCATTCCTTCAACGTAACAGGCCTGTGGCAGAATAATAGTCAGCTTGAACGTTGAAGCATGACGCCATGGGATGCGTACCATCAGTGTCAACGCTCTGACCGCCATCAAACTCGAGGGTGGCAGTATGAGCCTTGTAAACATGGATAATGCATTGTTGAAGTAGTATCCGGCCTTGACCTGTGCAGCAGCAAAGGAAACGGCAGGGTCAGTAGCTAGGAGGCTTCGATACCCAGCTGCAAAGACAATATTTCGCAGAGCAAACCAGGCAGGATCCTTCTGAGAGCTTCGATTATTGAAGTGTGCTTGCAGGTGAACTTCAAGATCAGTTCGGTCCAGAATACCAAGGTCAGCCTCCCAACAGTTCTCATAGAACGCTGCCACGGTCTCTATGAGCATGGATTCGTTCCTTTGCCTGAATTGCACTCACCATTCACATATTCCCAAGCACGCACCTCTTCAAGCTCCGTGTAATTTGGAATTAACGTCAGATATCTGTCTTCCGAGCTCTTTGGATTCAAGTGTTCCTTAAATGTCCTTACGCTACGCACAAAGTCCTGACTCCCTGTCAATCTTTGCATCCATTGCGACCCGGTATCTGTGCAAATAGCCCGCCATGACCATGGCTCGTAATACTCCCAGCCAGACTCTTCTATGAAAGAGACATCGGCTTTATCGACTAGGGCTGCATTTAGAACGTCGGTTTGGGAGTCTGGCGTTGAAGCTCTTGTTGGACGCGTCGATTGAAGCGGGGATAAAATTGCCCCAATGTCTTGATTCCTTTGACGGTCACCTTCATTTGTCGGGGACCTAAAGTTCTGAGCTGTATCCTGAGGATGGCAGCCGGACAGGACGAACCAGGGATTTTCAACTTCCAAGATCTCGTCCCCTTCATCGAAACCTCCCAAGTCTCTATCGTGGGCGCTCTCGGGATTGGAAGCAGGATCATTTCGAATCGGCTGGCTGCCTTTGGCCTGCCGTCTAACCTCTGTGTCTCGAACTTTCCGCTTCCTCTTCTGAGCTGGAGGGTAAACACATTCTTTACTTAGCCTAAGACAGTCTTTGCACGGGTCTCCTCCACTACCTGTAGCAGACTGCTTGTTAGCCCAGCCACCGTCAAAGATCGCAGTGGAACTTGTACATCTGACTTTCCTCCCTCGACAATTTCGACAGGCTATTGCGACTCTCTCGATCTTGAGATGAGGAGACTGAGAAGACATTTTGAGAACAACGCGTGCTAGACACGAGAGTTGTCTAGTTCTTGGGGATCGAGACCAGGTACTAGACAGAAATTCCCATCAGGGAGTCATCGGACAATCTCGATGGGTGCATTTTCGAGACTTGTGAAAGCGCACATCATGGCAGCCACCACTGCTGCTGGGTGGCTAATTAAATGGCAACTCGGCTACATTTGCTCAGCTGGCGGAGCGCCCAGAGGCACAGAGGACAGTCCTTGGTGTGGGTCTCATGGCACCCCCGCAGCCAGTCCGCCGGTCAGCCAGTGTCATCAGCCTCGAGGTGCTCGGCTGCAATCAAGCCCACTAACCATCTTGACACGGGCGGTTGCAGTAGAGGATACCACACTTGAGCATCCCCGGGAGGCCCACCCCAACACCTAGCCCGGAGACCCCGCCTTTTTTCGGCTCTCATTTCTATCATGCATCCAATTTCTCCCACTCACATCCTGCAGGCCAACTTTGCAAGGTTGAATTGAGACCTCTTCTCTGCCTGCACTTTGGGCTTCACCAAAGCCGTCTTAGATTTCTCAGAGACTATCCACGAAAGATAACTCGGAATCGTATTGTGCTGAGGTCACTCAACCATCTCTCTATTCATCCACGAGACACGCACAGTACAATACTCAATAGTCGCCCCATTTCAAGCCACGTTCAATCCTTACAAGCCGCCTATCGAGCGCTGCTTGGAGGTTTTGTGTTTTCCATTTAGGCCAGACTACCATGGAAAAGCTGTTGTCTTTCCAGCCGCTTGACCGCTTGGGATTTGCCATTGAATCTCCCGTTGGCAATTTGTATGATCTTTTTGACGATCCTGAGTCTCTTTCGCTCGACGAAAGTGCAAGTATCTGGGGCTTCGATGCTGCATCACTTGACCTGACAAGCTACTTTACTTCACCTCTCCCTGAGCGTGCCGAGTATGGCAGCCCGACTGAATCACAGAGTGTAAGAGCTCATTGTTTTTAGGATATTTGGAATGCGTGATTGAATCCCTACAGATAATCCCGGAACACTTTGGTCGGTCAGCAATCGAGAATACGAGTCCAACAACTAAAGAACATTAGGTCCTGGGTGCTGGCTGTCACTATGCTCCTCTTCTGGTCTTGCCTGGGTGCAGCAGAGGCATGGCACAGGTAGTTTCACAACCATCGCCGGAGACCTGACTGCAGCTTGGGCAAAGCAGCTAAGACTGGAGAGGAACGAACCGACCGTACGAGGTGCAGAACCAGAACAAAGGCTTGCCCTGGAATATGCTGACGGTGAGTTGTTTTTGATCTGGTAATGAGACCACCCCATTGATGTTCGCGTATGCAGCCTACTTTAAACGGTCCGTGGATTCCTTGTTCGAGGTCATCCATCCATTAGATTTCCAGCACCAACTGCGAACTCATTTCGACAGACAACATCAAGACGAGGATCCGGTGTCTTATGCTATTCGGAACACCGTTTACGCTTCTGGATGCCGTCTGCATAATTCTGCCAATTACGCCGCCAGTTTTGGAAGTATTCAAAAGGAGGCCTGGAGCTATTTTTCAAATGCCCTGTCAGTTCATAGCGAACTATTACTCAGGAGTCCTTCTATCGGGGCTGTCCGAGCTTTGTTGGCAATGGTCAGTCCCAATGTTCTTTTTTCCCTCCCCACACCTTAAATTTAGCTCTCATAGGCACTCTTTGCAGAGGGGCTCGGCAGTCCGGCCCTTGGATCTGGACTTATTGCGAATGCTGCACTTGTGGCACAGGCTCTGGGACTTCATAAAAAGATTGCTTCGGCCGAAACCACTTTGAATAGCGACAGCTTAAAAAATACGTGGCTTTTTTGGGCTGTGTACAGTTGTGAAAAGAATATTTCAAGAAGGATTGGTCGCTCTTCAGTAAGTTTCCCTGCTCTGGCTATGGGCAATCAACTCTGTTGCACGCGCTTGACTCAAGGAATTGCAGGTAATCGACGATGACGATGTGAGCTGTGTGATCCCCACAATGGTTCATCCAGATAGCACGCTCGACCCGATCTTCTTGAAAAGTATTGTCCAGAGCTGTCAAATCTCGAGCCGAGTTTGCAAGGCACTCTCAGCAAAAGGCCTGGACGACCAACCTACCAAGCTGCTAGAAATCGTTGCGAAGTACAACCAGGAGCTGTTGTCGTGGGAAAGTTCTCTACCCGCAGAAATGCGACCGAGGATTTGCTACAAATACATTGAGAACGTTCAACTCTCAAGGTCATTGGGCATCATCTTGCTACATTGCTCCTTTTACGACCTCTCAATGGTTCTAAACGCGCCTTTAGCCTATCCATGGATCAAAAGTGCTTTCGGCACAACCCCCAAAAGTGACTTGGAGAGAAAGATTGATGCACAAATCAGTGAAAGCTCGGCGACAGTGGTGGAATCCGCGAGAAAGATCATCATTATGACCAGGCACTTTGATCTAAACGGAGCAAATACGCATGCGTACGAAATTTGACTCGGTTTTTTATTGCTGTGCAAGTACTAATCAACCAAATAGGTTCATGTTGCACTACCCAATGCACGCTTTCATAAATTTATTCATTCACGTCCTGAAAAATCCAGCATCTACTTCGACTCGATCAGACATGGCATTATTGGATGTTGCTGCCGGCTACTTCGGGCAGCTGGATTTCCTCACTGGGTCAAAATTAGGATTCCCTTTTGCTCGAGACATTACAGCATTTGCCCGGCAGGCAGTTGACAACTATCCAGATCGCCGATTTCCAAAATAAGGGGGCCAGATGAGGTCACAAACTATTCATTGGGCCAGGTTAGGGATATTAGGAGGCCCTGTACTTATAGACAGCTTGACAATGTATGACAGGCGGATTTCAAAGGAGTATTGATAGAACCATGGTTTTCAAGCCTTTAATCTAAATTACCTAGGCATCGATATTATGCTCATGCTGGCAGAGAATATTGCCTCTTGTAACTTTCAATGCCGAGATCTCATGTGTTTCTAAAGGTTTCATTGCTATTCTGTACCTCTGCCGGTCTACTCACTCCACCACCTGCACTGCGTTTGGCACTTCAATTACTGTCTGGCCGTCCATCTTTTGGAGGCCTACTTTGAACATAGGACTCTCCTTTAAGTCTGATACAAGGAGCTTTTTCGCTGTCTCCAAAGAAAGCGCGACGTCTTTGGCTCCGCGCGGGCGCATGCCATCTTCGTACGTAGATATGGCATCCTTCAAAGTGGCTGCTCCTGAAACGGCCGATTTGACAGCGTCGACAACCTCTGCAGCATCTTGCATGGCATTGTTTAGGCCTTGGCCACGATCTTCCCATTGTCAGCACCATACAAATCTGTTGCTTTTGTGACCTACTAGGAAGCATAGAGTGAGCAGCATCCCCTGCGATTGTAACAGTCCCATCACGGTTATCCCAGGAAATTGGTGACCATTGCTGTCCAGGGTCGGCTGGTATCACAGTGTCTTCAGGAAGGGCGGCCGCGGCAGTCGCAAATGGCTCGCAAATGCGGGAACTGCGTTCCTTGAAAAACTGCAGGCGAACCTTTGGGTCAACCAGATCCTTGACACTGGGTGCTCCCCACCAGGCATGATGAATCTGAAAGCTCCAGGTCTCTGGCTTCTCCTCATTGGATGCATCGAGAACTATCATAGTCAACATTTCGATTTCGAAAGTATATGGAAGCATAGCTAAGTCATACCTGTCAGCAGAAATATGCCATCAACATTCGGATCGTAGAAACAAGTTGCCACAGGATGGTACTTTCGCATGAGAAGAGCTTGTTCAGCTGTGTACCCAGTGAAAGCATGGTTGATAATCGTCATCCCAGTATCGAATGGTTTTGTCGCTTCTGATCCCACCAGATAATCTCGGACTTTCGATCGCGAGCCGTCACAACCGACGAGGAGATGGCCCCTCTCGGTCGAGCCATCTTCAAATGTCGCTGTGACCTCAGACCCAGTCGAGCTAACCGAATTCAACTTCTTATTGAACTAGTAGATGTTAGCTTCGTAGTGGCACAAGTCGATGATGGAAGGACTGGCCATTATATTGAGATCTCTCTTCGATGTCAACCAATTCCGGAGCTTCTTCCTCGAAACTCGAACCAGTGCTGGCATTGCTATTCGCGCCATTACCTCTCCAGTTTGCCCATTAATATGAGGAATGGGGACATCTTCTGCCCCATTATATCTTGGATCTACAAGCGTTTCCCCAAATCTGATTTGCAAATCCTCGGGCAGAGTTCTCATCAAGAAGTCCTTTCCCCAGTGCAATAACATGCCTAAAATCTTCAGTCGCATGTTCAAAATATGTAAGGGGCGACAAACCCCAGTCCCGAGTCTTATTCCAGTAGTCTTCCTCCGAGTCTCGCTCGAAAATCGTATATGGTATGCCTTCCTGATAGGTCTCAGCTGTGCGGTAGAAGCAGGAGGCTGAGTACAGCTCTCTCGCTTCTTATTCTCTCATACCTTTTGCAAGCCATGTGCGATTGCCAATCCACAAGTACCACCCCCAACAATAAGTGCGTGGAATATCTTCTTGGACTCCATGGTGAAGTATGGTTTTGGGACGAATTCTACCTGTACCCGTTGCCGCACCTACTCTTCTCGTTGAATTAAAAGGGATCACAGAGGATAGCCGCGCATAGCATGCTTGTATTCAAGACGTAAACTTTTAAAAAATTTGGGTATTTGTTCCGGTCTTTTCCTCTCCCGACTGTGGAAGCCGCGATGGATGTTCTAAATCGCTTCTGGACATCAATGTGTCCGGGCCGAGACCACTGAGTGAGCGTATGTCTCGGACTGTTCGAGTTCGGGTCTTTTGCCTTAGGCTACCGAGAACCCGTCTTCCAGACAACTTAATCCAGTCTCGGAACTCTTAGATTAGGTAGATATTCTGGGGCAGAATGATGGGACTGTTTTGGTTATATTGTTCTTGAACATCGGCTCGGGCGTTGCCAGTCTCCAACGTCCAACGCAGAGAAGAATTCCTCCAAATGTCGGCCCAATTTACAAGACTTGTTCGATTCGAAGACAGCAGTGGGAATGTCCACTATGGAGAGGCTGGCTCGGACTGGAAGAAGAACCTTGTTGGCCAAAAAGTTCCCACATACGATATCTCTGATGTGTTTGGGGACGAGTTTCCATTGACCGGAAGCACCGTCGAGATTGCAAAAGTATGAATTTCTCATTAAGCCACTGCTTCTTTCAGGCCATCAGGCTAACAAAAAAACTAGGTACTGTGCCCCGTGGTTTCGATCCCGATTATGATTGGCATAGGGTTGAATTACAAAGTTCATGCTGAGGAAGCCAATGTGCGATATCTATCACTGTCAGTCACAACGTAGTCTGACAAATAACTGCAGCTACCGATACCTGATTATCCAGTTGTATTCACAAAATTTGCTGGTATTTTAGCCTTCATCATTCTGGCACCATCATCAGCTCACGTGGCTAGACACACTGGCTGGACCCTTTCAGGATATCCACGTCGATGCCATAGCCAAGGAGCTGGACTACGAAGGAGAGCTGACCGTAATTATCGGCAAAGACGTCAAGAACGTAGGCTCCAACGAAAACCCTCTTGACTACGTGCTCGGCTACACTGTCGGCAACGATATTTCTGCCCGTTACTGGCAATGGCCCAAGATGTCAGGCTCGCAACACGGCTACGCCAAGTCCTTTGATAATTTTGGCCCTATCGGTCCTGTCATCGCATCGAACAAAGCCGTTCCCAACCCAGAAACCTTAAGTTTGAAGACCTGGGTGAATGGCGAACTTAGACAAGACAGCAAGACCGATGACCTAATCTTTGGTATCGCCAGCATTATACGACACTTGAGTCAAGGAATGACCCTGAGGAAGGGAACGGTCATCATGACCGGCACTCCGAAGTAAGTCGTGCAGAGTTCACAAATGTCGGGCTAATTATTGACCCTTTATAGCGGTGTTGCCGCCTTCCTGCAACCACGAAACTGGCTGAAGAATGATGACGTTGTCAAAATTGAGATTGAAGGAATTGGAACTATTGAGAACAAGATGTTAGTCATATCTGAGTGAGGAAAATCTTGCATGTGCAGCATTGTAGTAAACAAGTCATCTTTTGAGAAAGCGTTGCTGCCATGTAGGACCTGAGCAGTTTTACTGTCGCTAAACCATCCTCTGCTCTAAAATGAATCATGCAACTAGCATGATCAATCAGGCTTTAATATGCCTTTTCATGGCGAAATTTCTGTAGTTAACTGTGTCTACTTGAATTATGACCTGGATATCTTCTACACAGGGGCTTACATGAAAATAACTCTTGTATAACGGTCAAACAAGGTCCGTGGTTGATATGACTTGGTATTCAACAACCGAATTTCTTATCTAGGTCGTTATTTGAGGTTGAATAGACTCAAACTATGCCGCAAGAGCGATCTCAGGTATTTCATGCCTAGGGCCAATTTCTTTTCTCGCCTTGATATCTCTCATTTCTTCTTCAGACAACCCTTCCTCTCCGTTCGGCTTCATCTTATTCAAAATACGCTCCGCCCATGAAGGCGGGTCGATGTCTGTGCCTACTGGGTTCGCGGTAAACAAGGGACCCCTCACAAAAGCATCCGCCTCCTCCGGCGTGTCGAAGTTCTCGACCTGTATTTCCACCTTGTTTCGTTCCGGATCCCGATAGTACATGCTACTAGTCATACCATGATTGACTGCCCAATATGGCTCAACACCCTCGCCTTTGAGGTGCTGATAGATGCGTGCCATATCGGTAAGTGTAGCAAATGTGAATGAGACGTGTTCAAGTCCTGCAACATCCCCTTTTCTAGGTTGTGTGTTCGGTGTCATCAGAATCCCAACTCGGTGATGCTCGTAGTCGTAACGGAGAAATGCGAACGTCTTTTCTTCGAGGATTATTTCTCCATTTAGAAGCTCCTTGTAAAACCAGACCATTTTCTGGTATTGCTCTGGCGTAGATCGCAGAACAACGTGTGCCAGGCCAATTGGACTTGGCCGTCGGGTGAGTTTCACATCTTTCGTAGCAGCTCCACCACTTGTACCACTGTTTGATGTCATGGTGATCTTGAACTACCAAAGGAGTTATTCTTATCCCAAGGTAGATTCCCTTGCCCTTTGACAAATCTATGCGTAGAGTTTTGGATAGTATTTAGGTACTGGAGCATTGACTTGCTGATGATTGCAATCAAAATAACACACTACCTCCTTTCTTGACCTGCCTCAATTCTCGGGCCAGTGGACATTGTTGGTGGTTGCCGCTTCGGAACAGAGACTGCACGCTCGGACCGAAAGAACTCTTCAACCCCTGACACCTCCACATTGTCAAGGCCATCTTCTACTTGGCACGTTCAGTCCGGGGCTCCATCATTTTACATGGATTTGGAAGCCGATGTGCATTATTGAATGTTTTGTCGTGATCTCATAATTTTCTTTTGCATCTATCAATTAAGTCCGATGCAACAATCGTCCTACTAGCTCCTAGGATCTGAAAAGTGAGAGACAGGCAAGCTCCCTGATTGCAGCAATTACTGACGTACGGTCACGAATTGCCATTAACAACGTTTACCAACCGTCTGAGAGATCTGGCTTGTTTTGCATTTGGGATAGGATATTACACCAGTTCGCTATGACTTCATTCATCATACAAGACGTCCGTCTGTTTGACGGGGAGAAAGTCATCGACAACGCTAGCGTACTCGTGGAAGGCGGCATTATCAAGGGCATTTCTCAAGAACATGAGAAAACTGATCTCCCAAAAATCTCCAAGCCAGGCCATACATTGCTCCCGGGTCTCATAGATGCCCACAGTCATCCCTACGGGGAAGCCAGTCTATCAGAGCAATCCTTTCGATTTGGCATCACCACTTTGATGGATATGCACAATTTACATTCGAACGCCGTACAGCAGAAACAATGGGCGAAAGAACGAAAGGACTTCCCGGACATCAAGAGTTGCCATTTTGCAGCAACGATCAATAATGGTTGGCCTGCCTGGGTTGAGAAGAAATTGAGTAACAACAAGGTTTGTCAACATAAGAGCACTTGCAGAGTGAAAGCTTTGGTAGTTGTACTGACTCTGCCAGAATGCAACCTACGATGACTGGCCAGATGTGGCGAACGAGGAAGATGCCGAGCCATTCATTCAAAGAGCCGTTCGGGATGGCGCTGACTATATTAAACTCATGCACGAAAGTGGGAAGGCCGTGGGATTTGAAGGGCCAACACTGAACCAGCCAAGAGAAGCCGTTCAAAAGGCTGTAGTCGATGCTGCACATAAACGTGGGCTAAAAGTAGTTGCGCACGCATTATCGCTCGAAGACACAACAGAAGTTTTGCGCGCCGGAGTAGACGGGCTAGCACACACGTTCTTTGACCAGCCCATTACACCAGAGGTCATCGAACTCTACAAACGCAATAATGCCTGGGTGAACCCGACTCTAGTCGCTGCGGGATCCTTGACGGGGGAGTCGGAGGGGATTAACAAGTCATTTGCCAGTGACCCCAGGGTCAGAAGCAGAATATCCGAAGCGCAGGCTGAGTTAATGCATTCTTGTTTACACATGAAAGCGCCGAATGCGAAGTGGGAGTACGCCATTGAAAGTGTTCGCCAATTGAAAAAGGCTGGAATAGACATCATCTGGTAAGAATTTCTTCTCCAGAAAATGAAAAGAGGAATTAACTTTGAACAGTGGCTCGGACGCTGCTTCAGGGGCTCCAGGCCTAGCATTCGGGACGAATTTACATATCGAGATGTACCTTCTAGTTACCAAAGCGGGATTATCACCACTAGAGGTCTTGCGAGCCACAACAAGTCTGACGGCCGATCTCTTTGGATGGTCAGATAGAGGAAGAATAGCACCGGGGTTGAAGGCGGATTTGTTGCTGGTTGAAGGGGATCCATTCAATGACATAAAGGACCTATTGAATATCAGAGGAATTTGGAGAGACGGTGTGAAGTTTGAAGGGCACCCGGGATTCCCACTTGAATAGGGAGCTATATTCATAGAGCTTCCAGATAAAAAAAGGTCTTAGCCCCTAACCATTGTAACCTGGTGCCGCTTTCACCCGTCCTATAATCATTTGAGAGGGTTTTACAAATAAAATATTCTCCTTACGAACTAGAGAACCAAAGTAAATGGATCTTCTACGGAGTGTTGCACCAATACCTGGTCTCGATTAGCAAACATCACTGCTAAGCGTCCCAAGTATGGTACAAAGTGCATAAAATGGAACAGGAGACACCGCGAATAATCCTCAGCAGATGATGCATCTGTGCTGCTCAGTTACATGGTGTGAAGGGTGGGAGTCTGACCTGTTCCTTCGTATTGAGCGATGAGCTTCTTGTTGTCTCGGCGCAGTACCGCCTTCATTAGCATGCAGCCAAGGATACTTATTCCGGAGAAAGCCATCACGAGTATCATGGCCATCAAGTATCGAGGAGGATCATTGGACCGGAAAATGTAAGGGCTCCAGATATTGCCGAGTTGACTCATGACAATGATGATTGCTGTTGCACACGCGCTCCTCAGGCGTTTGGCTGACAGCCGAAGCTGCCCATGTATAGACGAGGGCGTTGGCAGCAAACCAGCCGGATATGTACAGGAAGGAGGCAAATAGCGTGCCCAAATGTTGAGAGTGCCGGCAGAGATTGCAAATCTAACGGCAGCAACGGCCATAGTGACCGAGATATGCGAACCCCTTTCGCGATTGGGGTCGCTTGAAAAAGTCACGCCAAAGGATACAGCAGCACCGACAAGTTATTGGGGGAGAGTGCATAATAGTGTGACGGTTCCGGAGCCGAGGTTGAAACCACGGACAATGGCAGCGTAAAAAATTATTAAAGCCGTAGGCGGTATGGTTGCTGCAAAAAATGAGAGCCTAGTGGATGTCAGGAAAGTAGACAGCAAGTCAATAGAGGGACGACTTACGAATGCCCAGACTCGATAGTCCTTGACTGCAAGCTTAAGACCGTCCCGGATAGAACGGTTGGATTCTTGGTTCGACACTTGGTCCTTGGTGATGCGGTCCTTCGCGAATTGGCGCTCCTATTCGGTGAATAGCCATCTGGCTGAGCCAGTGGTAGATATAGAAAGCTGGGTAGTAGAAAAAAAAGCGATAGCACCCGCAAGAAAGCTGGCCACTCCTTCGATTATGAACAGCCATCTCCATCTAGCCAATCCATGCACATCATCGATGCCGGCAAAGATACCCGCCGCAAGTAGACCAGAAATAGCCGTCGCAAGCGCGAGGCCGGAGTAGAGGATGGCTGTTCGTAACGCTAACTCCTTCTTTTTGTACCAGCAGGAAAGTATGAAAAAAGCGCCAGGGAAAAATGGAGCCTTAGCAAACCCCGTTAAAGGTCAATAAGTGCTGCAGTAATGTAGGCATTTGAATCATGGCACTAACCTAGAAGGAATCGGACGGCGATAAGTCCTAGGAAATGGTGGACTCCGGCTGTTGCGGCCGATATACACGAGCAGATATAGACCCAGAATGGAATATAGAGCGAGGGTCGCACTTTGGTGAGAATGATGTTGCTCGGCAGCTGCATGAGTACATAAATTTAAATGGTGTTAGAGTGCGACGATTGAACCGGAGGTATGATACACTCACCCAACGTTGAGGATCGAAACGACAGCTGAAACTTTTTCACGCACGAGCCCAAGGTCGCCCTCGAAGTCGTTAAGCTTTGCTTGGCTTTGTTCATTCTGTTAGGTTTCCGGAACGAGAGTGGACACGCAGCAGTCTCGCTAAATGCCATGGGTTTACATACAACTAAATTCGTGGAGCTGGCTCAGTGGGCCACTCCACAAATGCTTCGGAAGATGATTTTAAACGCAATAGCTGAAGCATCCGATCTCTAACAGGGTGTTGCAAATCCCGATCGTTGAGGTCCAGTTTTCGTGCAGGAACGATGGAGTTTGCACAAAAGACCTTGTAACAATGGTTAGTGGCTCCGAGCTTCAGCGAGATGGGAGAGAGGAATTTGATATCAGGGTAGCTTTAAGACAATGGACTTGGCGAGGCCCGAGGAGGTTGGAGTAGCCCCGTAGCCCCGGATTCAGGCATGTGCTTGGACCGGAGCGGTTGTACACGCCGAGGACCCACCAGCGACAAGCCCCGATCTCGGTTTGCCAGCCTCCTAGGCCTCGAGACCTCTGAAACCCTGCTTTAAGATCCGCGGTAATATCACGAACTAGGTCACTGGAAAGGTCGCTAAGGGCAAGCGACCTGCACCTGACGAAATGAATCAGGGAAGTTAGCCGATAGAGAACGAGGCTACGTTACGTGACTAGCCTGCCTACAGGCGGGAGGGCCACTAGGGCGACTGCCTTAGTAGGCAGTCAGGAGTGATGCTAGGATATTAGGGAGTATCTCCAATTATAAATTAGCTGTAGACCTCCTTAATAGAACAGTAATAGGTTATCTTATTCTCAGTTCAGAGTTTCAACTGTCCTATATCTATGTACTTGTCAGGCCCTTCAGGCCCTTCCGGCCCTTCTCTTCTTCTATGTAACAATATTTACTCGTCTACGCCGGTATGTTATGGTGTCGTGGACGCGCCCGGCGGAACTCAATCCACGGCCTACGACTAGTCCTTTATTCTATATATTTATACCATTATCGCAGAGCTACCTATATAGTTAACTACTCCCTACAATAGTCACTTATTTACAATGCGCTGCATAAGGTGCCGATGTAACCGTAGTAGAAGTACTTAAAGTGCTAGGGGCGTGCTCCTCGATGTTCCCCAGGTCAGTGCTCGTTCTCGATAACCGACATTGTCAGTAACTAGACGCGTCGCCACGGCGTCCTTCGCGTATATAGGTCACACGTACTGGGGCTGTAATGTTGGGTGTTTCGTGAGATGCAAAGGGTGGTTTTCGCGGCTTCGACACGTTGTCAACATGAGATGATCACCGCGTTGTTGAGCTCCTCCTGACACTTAGAGGCAGCTATGGCTGTTTCTCCAAGAGTTCCCAGCGGACACCAGGTGGTTCGAACATATAGATGCCGTTCCTAATGCCGTTCACATCTCTTAGTGCATTCTCTTATGCAGACAGTCGGATATCCTCTTTCCGGCACGCCCAAGCCATCCGAGATCTGGCAATCAACATTGAGCATTCAGGGAAAAATTGTGGTAGAGGTGGAGGCAGAGGCAGAGGATAGCATACGATCAAGTGCTGACAAGTCAGAAGTCTCGAATAGCTCATTGTCATGTGACAAAATGTCAGAGGACTGTAAAGCCATGTTGTTGATAAATTATCTAGCAATCTGCGAGAGCTAAGATACATCTACTCTAATTGGTCTTGCATCAGGTGATTTGAAGTTGAACGAGTTATTTCCTTCAGCTTTACCTTAAGACTGACTAAATATAGAATAAATGCTATTAGGAAACAGAGTGACTCGGAGGGAGATGACTATTCTATATAGGCAGCTGTAGCCAGCAATAGGTATAAGAATCATTGACTCATTTCTCGAGAGGCTACCACTCTTACCCGATATAGTTTAATCGGTATATTTTCAGCTCAACACATACCCGTATACGGCCGTGTTCAATTATCAAAACGTACTGGCTCCGTATTATGAACCAGTGATATGCACTCACTCCGTATCGCCTCACACGTACTGAATCAGTATACGGCCCGTATACGAGTCGTATCGCTAATATTATTTAATACACTGAGGAGAGGTAATAATCCATTTCACCTTCCGGCCGGTGAAGAACCGGCCGCTATCGATCAATACTCACAACTCAAGTACCATTCACCCGCGAAAGGTGGCCTGTTTTCAATCCGGTATGATAGACCACGGTATGTGGACAATCTTTCATGCCATTACGGAAGTGTGCTCAGTTGCCCGGTCCTCACTCACCAGCATACCGAGACTTGCCGCCGCAGGCTAATTGCGTCCAGTACCGTTTGATAGAGAGAACCGGAAGCTGAGGATGGCGTATATCCCGATTGGGTTGGATCTCGGTTGGATTCGTGATAGCCACTGATTTCAAGGAGTGGACAAGCCACGGTAAGTCGTTGAGAAACTCGAAGAACGAGGTAGTTAAGGTCGAGAGAGTCGAAATGGGTTGTTGTGCGTGTGAGGCATCCGAAATGGTTCTGTTCCAGGGAAATGGGTGTAGCTCATGTAACAGATGGTTGGATACGGTATAAGTGCCGGGCTTTCCCCCTTGCTTTGGCACGTAACAAGATAATATAAGCTATGTTTTATCATCACGCGAGCTAATTTCTTTCTACTATCGGTCTATGATAACACGATTAAATTTCCCCTCATAGTAAGATGGCGAACTAATTGTCCATAAAGGCCTCAGAGGCCTTAGGTAGTCCCCCAAGGTTGAGTGCAGGGAGAAGGAGCTGGTTGGAAAAAAATGATGATTACGGTAAAAGGGTGGCCACTGGGGATTATTTGGTTTAGATTCGGGTTTAATATCCGTCTTCCCTGAGCGTTCCCAGGCTTTCCGCTACTCGGAGCCGTTGGAACTGAAACATATGACCACAAATGGATAATAAGACTTAGGATTTCATCATTTTTACGTCTTGCTCGGTTTCTCGTCCCGGTAGACTATTTATCAGTTCTCACTCTAGTCAGTGTAAAAAGTTTTCTACGCAACCCAGGAAATCCCTAGACAAATACTCTCCCAAATACCTAGTTTTATAATGGAAAAGGTAACTTCGACAACTCAAAGATTCTCACGCAAGGTGGGCGATGCAATCCAAGAAGGAACCGACCGCTCTTCCCATGTGCATACGAAGAATCTGTTCGACGTTCAAGGGCGAGTCGCACTCGTAACAGGTAAGTATAGCGCGCTGAGTCTTCAGGATATCTCTAATCTGCGTGCTCCCAGGCGGCGGTTCTGGCATCGGTTTGATGGCCACCCAGGCTCTAGCAATGCATGGGGCTAAAGTATACATCGTTGGCCGTAGTCAGGAAAAACTAGACAAGGTTGTGGAGACTTACGGCAAAACCATCCCCGGGGAGATTATAGCATTGAACTACGACGTCTCTCGGAAGGATCAGATCGACGCACTCTATCAGGACTTCAGCTCTCGCGAAAAGTGTCTCTGTATCCTCATCAACAATGCCGGAATTGGGTCTAATACCTTTGAGACCAAAGCCTCCACGCCAGAGGAAATGAAGCAAAATTTGTTCCTTAGTCCAAACGCGACGTTCGAAGAGTGGACATCTGTTTATCAAAGTCTAGTTCCACAACTATATTTTATGACGACAGCCTTTCTGCCATTGCTCGCTCACTCTACTGAACGCCACCTAGGCTACTCCGGGACGGTAATCAATATCGCATCAGCCTCAGGCATGATTAAAAGCGCTCAGCACCATTTTGCGTACAGCACAGCGAAGGCTGCAACCATCCACCTTAGCCGCCTCCTTTCAAGCGAAATCGCGGATAACGGGTTCAAGATCCGGGTCAACAGTATTTCGCCGGGAGTATTCCCATCCGAATTGACGACCGGGGGAAGTGACGATACTCAGAAGAGCCACCTGAGCAAGGAGACTTTTGAGGGAAGGATTCCTGCAGGAAGACCGGGAAAGGATGAAGACATTGCCAGCACCATATTATTCTGCGCAGCCAACCAGTATCTGAATGGGCAGAACGTGGTAATCGATGGAGGGTACACACTTGCTGCTGGGATGTAATGCACAATCTTACCGTCGAAGGTGCTCGAATTTCGCTGTCATCCGCACCGTTGAAGCAAGTAAAAATGCCCCAGATAACTCGCAATTAAGAGCCGATTAGCAATGAAGAGCTAGAAACCCTTCCATGACATCATAACTACAACTTCGTCCCCGCGCCGAGTGCGTAAGTTTTGACTGTCGGGGGCTGACAGGGTCCTCTACTAGAGCTGTGTCTTTCTGAAGTGCGACTGCAGTCTGTCCCCGTATTTTAACTGTTGTTGTTGACATCACTGGTTACATCTGACCCGTCGTCTTTCTGTGTTTCATAACGGTCGTCGGCAGCAGACAAGGACGTGTCGTCTTCGTCACTAGGGAAAACCTGAGCGGAAATTCTACCCAGTTCGTGATTTGCCTTAAAAAGAAACTTGGTACACGAATTGAGGGGTAATATTTGAATTTCACATCCAATTGACGACTTGTGATCGACGACCATCTGTGCTGCGAACGACACATCAGTTGGGAGTGTCTTCCTTAACAACCGAAGCAGGTCAGTTGCCAGTCTGACCAGAGTCATACCAGGTTCTTTGATATGCCGTACGAGTACTTGGCTGGGCTTTCGTAGGTGATGTAATAGCGTCACGTGCCAATCATTTGCCAATTTCCCGCAAAGGCCAACTACGGATTAGGCTGCCAAGGGCTAGTGGGGGATGAGCGCGATTGAACGGGGTTAGGAAGTAGCATTGGTAGTGCCATAAGCACAGCATGGCTTATCCAGTGGGGCCTTCTCCACCCCTGGCGTGTTAGCCCTGCGGCATATGGCGTCAGCGTTGCTCAACAGGTTTGTTGCTTAACCTTCAGGCTCTAATTTTGGTGGTTTGCTCTTCTCCAGTAACATTGCCGACATACTAAGACTATTGCTCCTCATATTTTGACTGTTTCTAGCACTATCTCAGTGGGAAGTAGACCCGTAGCAGTCCAGTTCGCGATGGCGGCAGGCGGTTATTCCACTCGCAATGCAGTAGAGGATATCTGGGGCGAGCGGATGCCCTACGAGCATGACTGGCCTTCCAGATGCGATGAATACCGCACAGATGTCCCGGATCATTGGGTGCAAAGTGCTTGCGTGATGTGCAGGTACGGTATCGAAGGGGTTCCCCATGGGACTGGTCTAACGTATGCATTCTACAGCAATGGCTGCGGCCTCGACATTGGCGTTAAGGATGGGAAAATGGTCGCCGTTCGTGGTCAGGTGGGTGACAGAGTTAATCACGGTCGGCTGGGGCCCAAAGGACTATATGCGTAAGTTAGAAAAAGACTGTATTGGCCATGGCTGGACAGGACGTGCCTTTAGCTAAATGAGAGCAGGTGGAAGTCCCTGCAACATCCGGATCGCTTAAAATATCCAATGGTTCGTCGTCGTGGAAAGTTGGAGCGCTCAACTTGGGAAAGCGCAATGAAGCTGATTGTCGAGCGCATGCATGCGATTCAACGACGATTGACGAACCATGGCATCGGCTTCTACACGACTGGCCAGCTCTTCCTAGAGGAGTACTATGCTTTGGCCCTCCTGGGCAAAGCCGGATTGAAAACTCTCCATATGTAAGAAAGCCGGTTCACCATGTCCCTTGAAAGGTCTAAATCCATCTGCTAGGGATGGCAATACTCGGCTTTGCACGGCAACTGCCGCCGCATCGATGCGTGAAAGTTTCGGATCTGATGGCCAACCAGGCTCATACAACGACATCGACTATGCAGATTGCATTATGCTTGTGGGGCATAATATGAGCGCGACTCAGACGGTCTTATGGAGCAGGATTCTTGACAGATTAGCAGGGCCCATACCTCCTACACTGATTGTGATTGATCCGCGGAAAACAAACTCGGCGAAAGAAGCACATCTCCATCTCGCGCCCAATATTGGCACGAACTTGGCGCTTCTGAATGGCATCCAACATTTGCTGTTCAAGAAAGGCTACGTTGACCACGGTTACGTCGCGAATCATACAGTTGGCGTGGATGAGCTCAGGGAGGTGGTCGAGGAGTATACACCAGAGATGACCTCAAGTATCGCGGGCGTTCCTGCGGAGGACGTTATCCGTTGCGCCGATATGCTCGGAAAATCTAAAGCCTTGCTTTCAACATGCCTTCAAGGCGTATACCAATCAAACCAAGCGACAGCATCAGCATGCCAAGTCAACAACATCAACCTGCTTCTCGGCCATATAGGGAAGCCAGGTGCCGGGGTGCTTCAAATGAATGGCCAGCCGACCGCGCAGAATAACCGCGAAGCCGGTTGTGATGGCGAGTACCCCGGCTTCCGGAACTTCAGTAACGAAGCACACATGATGGAACTGGCTGGCCTATGGAACATTGACCACAAAGTTCTACCTCACTGGGGTGAACCAACACATATCGAAAACATGCTCAAGTTCATCAAGCAAGGCTCGATGGAGATGATGTGGATTAGTGGAACGAATCCTATGGTCAGCCTACCGAACCTGCCTATGGTCCGGGACCTCTTGACAAAAGAGGAACTCTTTGTCGTAGTCCAAGACATCTTCCCGACCGAGACAACAGCGATTGCAGACGTTGTTTTGCCGGTTGCCGCATGGGGAGAGAAGACCGGCTGTTTCACAAATGCTGATAGAACGGTCCACTTATCCCTGAAAGCGGTTAACCCACCTGGTGAAGCTAAATCCGATTTTGATATCTTTTGCGACCTCTCCAGACGCATGGATTTCCGAGACAGGGACGGCAAGCCTTTGATACCTTGGACCGACCCGTCTGAAGCCTTCGAGGCTTGGAAGAGAGTGTCTAAAGGAAGGCCCTGCGATTACTCTGGTATAACCTACGAGAAATTGCGAGGTGTATCTGGCATTCAGTGGCCGTGCAATGAGGAGTATCCCATCGGAAAAGAGAGACTGTTCGACGATGGCAAATTCTTCACAGACATAGATTACTGCCAGAGCTTTACACATGATCTGGAGACTGGAGTCCCATTGAACAAGGGTCAATACAAGAATCTCAACCCCGCAGGCCGAGCTATTCTGAAGGCATGCCACTATGTACCCGAGACGGAACCTGTCAATGAAGATTACCCGTATCATCTCTCGACGGGGAGACTGACGCGCACCATTTCCATACGCGCACGAAGACTGGCAGGACCAAAGAATTGCAGGACCTAGAGCCCGAGCCTTTTATTCAAGTATCGGAGCATGATGCGAAGGAGCTGGGTGTGACCGAGGGCGAGGTCGTGCTCGTTGAGTCCAGGCGTGGAAAGGTTGAAGTTCCGGTGCGAGTCGACAAGATTGTCGAGAAGCAGGTTTTCCTTCCATTCCATTACGGCTATTTTGATAGTAAAGATGGCCGAGCCCGAGCAGCAAATGAGCTAACGAGAGGTAGGATGGTAGAGATGGCTACCAGTCCAGGCTATCATTTGAAAACTCTGCTAATTCTATATAGAACAGTGGGACGTGGTTTCCAAGCAACCCATGTTCAAATCTGGCGCGGTACGCATAATCAAAATCCCGCCACAGCAAAACGATGTCGGAGAAGTCAAGATCCACGCTAGAGTTCCCATGGACGAGACGGCACAGCGGATTGAGAGGAAAACCCGTCATTTGGTCGAGAGCGGTCAAGTCCATGATGAGGAGCACCGCGAGCGATTCCTAGAATACTGGCTGGGAGACACCTTCTCGTCTATCGAAACCCTGCTCGATATCTGCGACCATGTCATCCCGCGAGTGCAGGGTGCGGATGCGGAGATGAGCAGTGCAGTGGGAATCGTACACAGGATCACACAATCTTGCCTTCGCAAGCTGAAACCGATTACGGACAAATATACCACCGATCTGAAATTTGGGCATGAAATATCGGTGGCGTTGAAGAACATGCTATTTCCGGACACCATCACTGGCGGACTTTCAGGCTCGCCTGCGTACGACTGCTTGGTCGCCCTGCAAGGGTTCGCTCTCTTTGTAGCCCATATAGAGGCTCGTGCTATTGCGCTAGTGCCATCAAGCCAGGCGATTTGGGACCCTCAGTTCATGGACGCGATCAAGCATGTTCTTAAACAGTGCGATAGAATGAAAGCACTGGTGGAGCACCAAATGAAGAGTAGAGCACCACAGACGCTGTTGGTACCATCGCGGCATGCAGTGGGACTGAGGGAGAAGTTTGAGAAGCGGATGAAATTAGGAAATGAATTGCAAGAGAGCAAAGAGGATGGCGCATAAGGAGGGCTCGGAAAGCAGCATTTACCTCGTCGGTGTAGTGGATAGAAAAGTGATAATTTGTTCACCTTTAGTTTTCGTTGCAGTTCGTCTACTGTATTTGCAGGCGCAAATGACACCCTTAAAATCTCTTCTTCCTGCCGACGCACAGAAAAATTGGCAGCTCAACAACAAAATGAGTCTAGACTACGTAAGGTAAATTTATCGAAAGCAAAGGAGACTAGCACATCACAGCAAAGGCCGTATTAGGAACAAGTCCTTTACTGAAGCCAATGGAGCACACGCTTTAGCGGTCGTCTTACGGTGGGTGTACACAATGGCAAGTTAGGTACTGAATATTGAGCACGGATAATTCCGTGGTATGTTGCAAAACCGGATACTCTGACGTCAGATGATAGCATGACCTATTGTTATGCCTACTCAGAATGGATTCTCGTCATCTAAGACAAATCTAACGGTCGTCTGAAAAAGTGGTCCTTGCAAAGGCAGCATGCATTTTCGTCCACTCCTGCTGGCAGGAGGTCAGTCGTCGCGGATGGGGACAAGAAAGGAACTTCTACGCCTCCCGAGTGGGAATGTGATGTTCGTGCATTTGCTTCAGATGTTGCACGAGGTCTTTCCCGAACTGAATGTGTTTTACATGTCAACCAAGAGCAGAGATACTCTGAACGAGTTGCTTAGCACGGGTCACATTGTTAGAATAGGTGAGAGAGTCGCGAAATTGGCAGACAAGGGAGCCATCGAAATTCAATTCCTCTTCGATTCAGACACCCTTTCACCAGCCGTCCATGGTGGAGGTGAAGACATCGGCCCTGCTGCTGGGTTGATTGCAGCACATTGTGCTGACCCCGCGGCCAGTTGGCTGGTCGTTGCCTGTGACTTTCCTCTGCTTGAGGTGTCCGCCTTGCGTCAGTTGTTGGAGGAGTTTCGTGGGCCGCTTGCTTGCTACCGGAATTGCAGGGGATTTGTGGAGCCACTACTGGCAATATGGTCCCCTGAGGCACTAGAGCAACTACAAGGCAATGCGATGCAGGGCAAGTACGGTCCGCGCTTCGTTACTGAGCAAGTCAATGCCCAAACGATTCTACCGGCGCAAAACAGATGGTTGTTCAACGCGAATACGACCGAAGAATGGCGCGAGGCATTAAGATTGCTCATGCCGTCTTCAAGCAATGGAAATCCTGAGGAAGAAACAGGTTCGAAGTAATAACTTGGATATGTAGTTAATTAAGTCTACTGAGGCATCAAGACGATGTCCACTATGTCGCCGCGGCGTAATTCCGTCTGTTCTCTGTGGATATGGATCCAACAGTCAGAATCAAGAAATGGTCTGATCTTGCCAGGACTATGATCTCGGATCAGCTCAACTTTGAGCCTGGGTTGCCATTTGTTTGTAATTTTTCCGGCGCGAAATATATCTATGTCCGACGGAAAACGGGCAACGCAGCTAGATTCACCAGAACGGGCGTCGTTCTCTTTCGTGTTTTGTTCCGGATTCACAATCATGGCAGAAGCAATCCCATGCAGTGGCTGACACAAAAGTGTTTGCAGGTAAGGAATTACCAGAAACTGGACACAGGTAGCTGCAGCTATTGGGTTGCCCGGTAGACCGAAGACTGCGGTATTCGAGCGTGACCCGAGTCCTGCTGTGAGGCTGGAAAGTGTTTCTCCTGATAGACTGAGCGTAGCAAAAAGCGTAGGATGGCCCGGCCGCATCGCCACTTTATGCAAGGGTATGTGTGCACCAAGCTCTTCCAGAGTATTTCGAACAAAGTCGCGCTTGCCAGCTGATGCTGCGCCGGTAAAAATGACGATATCGTATGATTTGTGTCGGAGGCATTGGGACACCTTACGGGCAACGTCGACAGCAGCCCCGTCCTCGATCGGTGCAAGAAAATCCACTTGGTATCCGAGACTTTCCAGAACGGTCTTGATATACGGTCGATTAACGTCTGGGATTCTTTGGGCCTCTGAACAGGTCAAGTCTAGGTCGGCCAGCTCTGAACCAGTTGAGAAAAGGCCAATCTGCGGGGCTCGCAGCACTGTTAGAGCTTCACAGCCTACAGATGCCAGCGCCATGATATGCTGCGGTCGGACGACCACATGTTGCCCGATGACTAGCGTGCCGACCTGGAAATCTTCCGCTGCCAGTCGCTTATTTTGGTGCGGCTTCGCAGGCCTGAATAACTGCACGTAAGTTTGACCGCAGTTTGCACCTTGAACGACTTTCGTATCTTCGAGTCGCACACAGCAGTCGAAGGGCTTTCCTGAACTGACACTGGGGAAACGTGCGCCAGTCGCGATCCCCACGCACGGATGTATGCCATCTTCCGAGTCTCCTGCCACGGTCACTGGACAATCTCCTGCCGCAATATCCCCCTTCAGTCTGAATATTACCGGGGCTGCCTCGGACGCATTGCTTGTTGCATCCGAGTTCAGTGCGTAGCCATCCATGGCAGAGGTATCCCACCTCGGTGTGAAGTCGCGGCTATAATATGCATTTTTGGTTATGCGTCCAACTGCAGTTCCCAATGAAACTGTTTCTTCAGCCGCCTGAAAGCGGTTGGAGTTCTCCCGAGCTTGGCTGCAGATTATTTGAATTGCTTTGTCGTATGAAGTGCTCATCTTCAGGAACGTGTATCATGCCGTGGGCATGCGGCGGTCTTTTACTTGTGTAAATCCACCAGATGATATTGACCGCTGACTAGGAGACGCTGACAATGCCAGTGGCAGCGGTTCACATCACCTTGAGAATTAATGTATCAGTACGCTATCAGACTGGAATATGAATATCGCTCAGACATCCAAATTTGTTAAACTTCTCAGCGACAGCGAAACAATGCCAAGTTTGACGTCAGGCGAATGAACTCTGTTGAGGGTGGAGGGGGAGGGCAAAGCCGGAGAAATACTTCCGCCACCACTAGCGAAATCCCAATTTGGAGTTAACCGATGCCTTCTTGCAAGCCATTGTAATAGTCTTCTCTGCACCAACCTCGAGAAACTAAGACACCGTCTCTGGCATCGATCTCCACTCCCAAATAGTTGGTATATTCGATTCGACTGAAGGATTGATGCAAACTCTCAGCAAATCTCACCGAGGACCCGCAGCCATGATCTTCCGTAGTCTATTCAGAGTCTCATTTCTGCAACCTCAATGCAATTTACGCCAGCTCCGCAGCTATATTAGTTGCCGAACATTGAGTTACTAATATATACCAATATGTCAACTCGTGGCTTTACTCACTACCCAAGAGGAAAGAAGCCCGACATCTCTAAAGATTGGCATTCTATCGTCAGCTCAAATCAATCCCCCACTATGTGTGTTGAGTCTCCAAACACTACTACGGCCCCTAACTACTTTATAGCTATTCATCCCACGGGGACACAGTCTAATGTAATGCTATACTATCGCATCCTGGACGAAGACAGAGCGCGAAATATTATAAAGAAGTATAAATATCGTATATTATACGGAACTTATTAAGCACTATATTATGAACTAGGTTACTTAAAGGGTCGCCAAGGGACAAGGCGCTCACATCTAAAGGGGAAGGTTAGCCAATAGAGAACGAGGCTACGTTACGTAACTAGGACTTCCTAGAAAGGAAATATTAAGACTATATCTGTCACGGGTTGAACCCGTAGGATGTCTTGGTAAGAACCAGCGACGTCTAGATTCGACCGTACAGTTGTACAGCCGAACGATGTCACGTGATATTAATGGATATCTTGGCGAGCGACGCTAAGACCAAACCAGCGATGCCTAGATTCGACCGTACAGTTGTACAGCCGGACGATATCACGTGACACCAATAGTTGCTTAGGATACCGGGCGACCCACCTCAGGAGATTATATCTCCGTGTGGACAGCGGCAGGACTTCTTTCTCTCTTCCCTTTAGCTTAACGTCCTTGTTAGACAGGTCCCATAGTAGTTGAACAAGCTCCTATTGAAACCCTCACAATATCTTTATATTCCTATAAAGTATAGATATATAGAAATATAGGGGACGAGCTAGTATTATATATATTGTATTGGGGCTCGAGGTGCTTAGTTATGAGAGAAGAGAAAAGGGGCCTTGGCATGGAAGAACAAGCAAGTGAGGAGATAAGCAGACAAGGCAAGCAACAGAACAAGCAAGCACGAAGGGAACAAGGAGTGACGCACACATAGGAGCGTGCGCCGAGTATCAAACAGCAGTCATGAGAGTATAATTTGTAGAATTGATGGCATTTTCCTTCTACGAGTTCAGCTGTATAACTGTACAGTCTAAATCCTAGTGGTAGTGACCTTAGAGAACGAGGCTACAATAGTTTTATACACGTCTAGTACGAGAAGTCTTGAAAGGATAGTCCTTTGGCGGACTTAAGACTATAGAGATTACAGCGTTTCCGTCCCTTTGCTGACACAGGTGAGTAAAGAGTTTGATTCTATACGAGGCGACCATAGTATTAGTTTTGGTGTTGGTTGGTCCTTTTCCTACGGTCCTGGAAGAGAAGGAACCCCTAGTAACGCAGCCCTACCCCTTATCCAACCTGTAGGATAGGCGAGAATATATGCCGATTCGACCTCTATACAATATATACTTATTCCCCTAGATAGAGTAGTTTATAGTTAACTTTATTAGTAATCCTATACCTACATTTAGGGTTACCCGAATAAGAATAGTTCCCTTCGATCTCTATTACGTTATACCTCTCTAATTACCCGCTTATTAAGGAACCTACCTTAGTTAGTACTACTTAGCGGTTTAGATCACTAAGTAATTATAAAGACTGTAGTCTACTATATCGCTTCGACGTATCTAAACTAGCTCTAAGAGCTATTCGAACGCTATCTGAAGCGGACCCGAGAGCGCTTAGGCGCTAGTCTAGTACGTACATAGGATACTACATAGTCTGACGAGTCCCTCGGACCGTCTTAGGAATGACTATGTCCCCTTCCCATCACAAGGAGAAGCCGTTCTCTTGCCGACAATGCAATAACACCTAGTCTCGTAGAGATCTTCTGAGACGCCACGAGAAGAAGGACCACTAGCAAGGCGAATTGCAAAGAGAACTAGACTAAAGCTCAACCTCCCAGCCGGGCACGGATCGATGCCATTGGACGGCTCTAGACATCAGTTACCTGTCGGCTGTATGGTCATGCCAGTGATGCAAAATCACGGCACAGCTCTGTGGGTGCTAACATTTGCCTAGATCAGGATGACACTTCTCCATCTACAGCTGGCTTTGTCACCGCTTAGCTGCCGAGCCAAGATATTGGGTTCCAGAACGAAAAAGTCTCCGCTATGGCCTTCAGGACAGATGCAGTCCTTCGCCTACGATCCATATGCTCCCATGCAAACAATATGTCATGTCGTCGGATCTAGTTCGGCCGGATGACAAGTCAGGATCCAGCAAACTCGACGACCTCGACCTAGATGGCATTCGTGACTTGTTCTTTCCCACCACTAATCCACTTCCTCTCACAAAATTGACAGAATACACTAACTCTGCAATGCCAGATATACAGGTGGGTAAATCGTCGATATTATCTCGTCCTGGATCGCCTCCGCAAGCTACGTTGGCTTGGAACCTATCAGACAGTTTTTCTCAGATGATGTCTTGAGAAGTTTGGATGTCTCGAGAGAGTATCAACGGTTTATATAGGAACGTGTAACTGAGGTATCGGTATTCAGCCTTCCCCACCACAACACTCTTTCTCGTTTTGTGCAAACATACTTTCGAACATTTCTTCGTCATCAGCCCCTACTTCATGAAGCAACGTGGCGACCAGACGCAGCTCCTGTGCCCTTAAAAATCCCATAGTGAAGCTTCCTCCTGAGATTTGAATTTTCACGTGCCATATCGTGGTATCTGCATTACTTCAAAGATCTTGTTTTCTGGCAGTCATGCTCCAGCAGCGATGTAGGATTCTCTCAGTGCCGGCAGCGTTTTATTCAAGCATTGAGAAGGTGGCAAGTCGTATGGGAAAGTAAACCAAAGGCCTCTTTTTTCCCCAACCACCCAGCTAGACCTATACTCTTCAATTATACCGCAATTCTGAGGATAGCATAAATCCGACTTGTAGCCGACTTTACCCACTGCGAGCTATGTTTGCCTGGACCGACGATGTGGACGAGATCGGTCGGAAACTTGAAGAGATGGAACCAATTCGCCGCAACTCGTACAAGACAAGGGCAGTCTTGTATGCCTGCCTTGCCCTCAAGGTTCCTGTAAACTTAGGATTTGAGGTGACAGCAAAAACCAAGTCCTGGATCTGGAGTGTACAGCACGCCTTGAGCTATTTTGAATGTGCTCTTCTCTTATCAAAGATATTGCCCAGGATGGGAGGAGTTCTTACATATTATGCCGTAAAAGTCGCAAACTCAATTCACACCCCTTCATGAACATATATACAGTCAACAATCAGCAAAACGATATTGACGAGCTGGCTGACAGCCTCTTTCAGTTGATCGACTGGCATGAAATCGGATGTCTTAACGCAATCTGTTCAAGGAGCAATATATTCAGCCCACTGAAAGCGGTGCAATTAGTGACGTCGTCTCCAGTTTCGCTGCATGAAAGAAATTGGGCGAGGTCGAAAGGCGAGTAACTACCAGATCCTGCTAGAGCCTTATTTACTTAGAAGCAGTAATGACACTTTCTTCGCTCAGCGTGCATCAATAGAAATCGATGAATACTTGGAGGTGAATGAAAAATTCCTCCCAGGAAGGCTACGGCTAGATTTTGACAGAAGTATAGGTGAAGAGCATGACGTTCTCGATAGATATATGAACAACCGTTCTCGCTGTCACAGACCAGAGCCGTCACTAAATATATCTGCCTCACGATTATGAGATGTATAGGGCACCAGGAGTGTAACTAGTCACTATGCAAAGCAGCTCTTGATTATGGAGTTCTTCGTGTATAGCTTCCAAGCAATATTATGTCAAGCCCTTAACTAGATGTCCCGTAGAGATGACGAAACGTCGACGGCAGCCTTCGTGCGCCTGATCTGCTCGCACATCAACTGACTACATCATATCGCCGCAGCTTGTGCCGGTGGGGTTGCTGCACAAGGCTACCTCGATTGCTGCACGGAAGGCATTGACTATGGAGCCATGTGAGTCCACTTGTGTAGCAAGTAAAATCGCTTGTGTCATGAATGCTGGCATTTCCCAAGCCCAATTTGGAGCACCTGAGGGATCACCGCCAACTTGTGCCGGATCGTTGTATTCTCGAAGAATACCTGTACATGGAATTTTTGGGTCCTGGGTTTGTGCGTAGGGCATGGTATTGACTACCTCAAGCTTGCAGGGGAAGCCTGGAGTGTTGCTGATTCCATTCTCGAGGGTTGATTTAATGGTTGAGAATTTGGCATCATAGTTAGGGTCAAGCCCAGCCAGGCACATAAAAATGGGTTTATCTGAGGCGTTGCACCCATTCGCAGGGAACCAGTTATAACTCGTGTTAGTCGACCCATATTCATGCAAGAACAACATTGTGGTGCCTGGCGCGTGGAAGATGTCTACCAGCGCTGGTGGATTGAATCCAAGTCCATATCTGTGATGTTAGTCTGTTTCTGCGGAAAGGGGATGGACTATTCTCACGGTGCATAAGTTTGGTGCAGCGGCGGCATGTACCAAGAAACGTGGAAGGCTTTACAAGGATCGTAGTCGTGAAGATTACCACACAGACTATCCTGGAATCCTCCACAAGGACGCAGCCCAAAAATGTTCAGCCCCAGGTCAGGGGCAAAAAAATCACCGAGATCTCCCGTGAAAGTATCACAGCCTCCCGCGTGTATCACAAGCCACTTCTTGGTGGTGCGTGCTGTTGAAGGAACGTTGTAGACGGCATAATCGCAGTCCATCCTCTTCCAACCGTCAAGTGTTGTCACATCCAAGCCGTGGCAAGTGGAGTCTGAAGTAAGTGAGTTATTGCATAGGGGAGGCGACCCGGTGAAGCAGTCCCTGTTGGGAATTGTTGCAGATACGTAGCCTAATGACCAATAGAGCGCGTAAATCGCACGTAGAGCCTTTTTCATAGCGAAGCGCAAGCCGTCGGGTGGGGATCTAGGTATGAGAGATGAATCCTGAGGTTGCGAATCATCAGCGCTTGCCATGTGTAGTACCAGTGAATAGTACTTATGGGCAAGATTGCCTCTGTCCGTCCTTTCAGCAGAGCGTGTCGAGCGGGTGGAAAGGGAACGTGCCTCTCAAAGCCCTACCATAGAGCTTTTCAGTAGCCGAGCTAGCGAGAGCTGAGCAGCGGCTCCGATGCGAAACCCAATAGATATCGCTCAATAAAGTTCTATTTTAGCTTGGCATGTCAGACCCAGTTGAGCAGCTTCATTTTCCAGTCTTAAGTACGCCACAGAGCTCTGTGCTTTTCACACTTGCCCAAAAGCGAGACTCGGAGCTGAAAATTGCCAACCTCAACGTTTCAGATCCCAATCATTTGCTCAGGTAGAGTTGAAGCTTGGAGCCAGGGGAGGAGATCTGGATTTCGAGGTCCCCTTGATAGTTTTAACATATAGCATCCACAATTGTGACTAAGCCCATTGGTGTGAAGCTGTGAAACCGGAAATGCCGCCATGGATTTCAATTGATGCTTAGTTGGAGGGTTGTCGCCGCTTCCCACAGCCACAAGAACCGTGTTTCACCCTTTGAGGCAGGGCGGCACATCTATATTTTCTTCTGATTCAGAATCCACGAGCCCTTTCATGGACACTAGTACAGTTTATGTCGTCAATCCAACCGCAGAACATACGCGTACTGTAACATCGATAAATGCGTATCATTCTCATGATGCCGAGGCATTAGGCCAAGGCTGGGCATGCAGGGTCGTAGGCGTTCATGTATCATAAGCATTATAGACAAGCAAGTAGAGAATGGATAAGACAGCAGCACACTCTCATTGAGCGCGCAGCGGTGTTCATGAGACAAGGAATGACCAACAGCACAGAGAATGAGTGTACGAGTATAGTTGCGCAGTCATATCCCAGCGAGGGATACGTACCCTGAGGCCTTGCGGTATGGTTGACTTATTCGATTGTTGAGTGCAAGTGCTATTACCTACGCCAACGCCCTCTCTATCTCGATCCGATCCCTTTCGCTTCCGGCCCCCTTTCGACCTGGTTTCAATAGGGCAGGATTATTTCATTGAGGAGAAGATAGCGAACGAGGATACTGCAAGGCCTTAGGCTCTTCCAAGCTATCAGAGAAATCCAGCAGTGAAACATTACCAACACGGGATGGAGAGATGCGTATTCTAGGAGGATGTGTCAAGACTACTGTCCTCGGTGGTACTAAGCAAGGTGCTGCTGTGGGATTGTGAATACTATTTCGCGCTTTCGTGGAAGCAAGCTGCTGGCTTCCATTTCCCTCTAGCATAGAGGCATCTTTGCTAAAAGATCAGAGACAATCCATGAATCTCCACCGGAGCCTCCAACTTGCCTGAAATTGAAGATGGCATTTCGCTTCGTAGAGACGTCCGGTGGTGGGATGCCAATACTGAGATTCGGTCCAAGGTGCACTCACTCCTCGGCCCGAGATCAACCAACCGCGAATCAACGCAACGTACCAGATGACGGGGAACGCACGGAGCCTCTGGGGTGTGGTAAGATCGGCACAGTTTCAATCTCGTTCTATTTTGTTAGTCTAGGATGTCGATGCCTCATCTGAACCTAGGGTATAATCCATTTCACACCGCTCGTGATAAGTCCTGCCATTACGTTTCGGATATCTGCTCGAACATGATGCTATGAACACTTTCATCCGTATCTGATAATCAAAGTCGCAAGAATCTGATCTCTTTCGATCAACATCAATCAATTGTTCCAAATGGCATTTTTTCACTCCATCAACATAGCAATCGCTGGGTTCACCCTAGTTCTGGTCTGGTGGTTGCACAAGGTCCGAGGTTTTGAATTTATGTCCTGATCTACACAAATTAACATCCTATATCAGGTAGTCTATGCATTGTGCCTTTCGCCATTGCGGAAAATCCCTGGCCCATTTCTTGCCAAATTGACACCGTTGTGGTTAAGATGGTTAGACCTCAAGGGCAACCGAACGTCAACTATTCACCGACTACATCAAGAATACGGAGCCACTGTCTTGGTTGGGCCAAATGAGATATCCTGCTCGGATGTCTCAAATGTTCGAGACCTCTATGGTCAGCAAACGAACTTCTTGAAGGCTCCGGTCTATGAATCAATGACTCTGCCGCCAAATGGAATTTTCAGCATGAGAGATAAAGTGCAACACAGCAAGAGAAGGAAACTGCTGAGCCATGCGTTTTCCCAATCCAATTTATATGAGTGCGAGCCACTTATTCACAAGCAAATTGAAAAGCTTATCACAGTGCTCCAGAGCCGGATTGGAAAACCTACAGATATGCTCAATTGGTTCAGGCTCACAGCATTTGATGTTGTTGGTACGGGTGCTGAAAGCTCCTTCAGTTTCTGAAACTGACTACCTTGTAGGAGAACTTTTCCTCGGGCAATCATTTGGCGGCCTTGAATCGGGAGAAACACCTCAGTTTCTCAGTGATATTGAGTTGTTCTTCATCCTTGCTGACATACAGTGGAATTATCCTTGGCTTGCAATCGCCCTCTCCTGGGTACCATTGAAGTCAGTCCAGTATTTCCTGGGAGCGATGCAAAGACTTGCGGACGTAAGTTTTCACATCGCCTTTATGAAAATGGACTCTACCCCTGTCTGACTACGGAGACTAGTATGGCGCAAAAGCATTTAACAGCTATGTCGGACTATATGGACGAGAATCTGGGCGCAAAGACCTCTTGACGAAGATTCTATCAGTGAAAGCTGAGACCGGGGAAAGTCAACTCGGCGACAGAGAAACATCGATCGAGATTGGAAACCTCGTCTTCGCTGGCACAGGTGTGTCTTTTTAGTCGTCATACACTCAATCGAGGGGACTAACCGCAGTAGATACTACCAGCACTACTCTGACTTTCCTGTTCTGGGAGCTAGCAAAACATCAGGCATGGCAAGCTAAGCTTCGGACGGAGGTTCGAGCTCATTGTGGCAACTCTCCAACTTTCCAAGAAGTTCAAGATCTACCTATACTAGAGGCAGTTATCGATGAAGCTCTAAGGTTACACCCGGCGGCTCCAGCAAGTCTGCCCAGAGAAACACCCACAGGTGGTCGAGAACTCAATGGGTTTTTTATTCCCGAAAAGGTGCGATTTAGTCGTCACTCATGTACTGTCTATTTCAAACTAACATCGCTAGACAATCGCGTCTATGCAATGCTACACGACGCATAGAGATCCCGTTGCCTTTCCAGATCCCGAAGCTTTCAAGCCGGAGAGGTGGATGGAAGGGAATGATGTTACAACCGAGATGAAAGAGCTTTTTATGCCATTCTCCAAAGGATCGAGAGCATGCATAGGAAAGAATCTTGCAATGATGGAGTTGAAGCTGATCACCGCTCGGTTGATCAAGCAGTTCAAGTGTACTGTAGCACCTGTCACTACTGAGGACTCGATGGCAACTATGGACCACTTTCTGCTGATACCTGTTGGAGGGAAATGCGAGCTGATCTTTGAAGTGGCCTGATAAGCCGAGAGCTTTGTTTGAGATATAAAGAAGTGAATGGACAGGTTTAGTAACGTATACAGACGTAATCGTTTCGAACCACCAAGTAAAAGTTTATTTTTAAGCAACCGAGATGATAAGGCTTCATCTATCACTGCCCCCATAGCATAACCTAGCCCAAGACGACAAATCCTAGAGATATGGATAGATGGTACGGTAGGCATGGTCTCTATTCTCCCCTTGCCACAACTCTCTGCCTTGACTATCGGCCAGTTACTGAATCAACAGAATGAAGTTCACTTCGGGGTTTTCTGCCTACCACACCGATATCGACTTCGGCCCGAAATGGAAAGTGATCACCCACATCCTGAACGAAGTCTCGGTTCCAAGTTCGAGACCCTCCGAACATGGAGAGCGAGTGCTCGGAACTACACACAAATGGAACTCTTGACAGTGATCCAGACTCTCGGTCCCTCCACAAAACACGTCGGTGCCAGGAGTTGACCAGGAGTCTGCGGGGTTAATCTGGAGCTTGTCCCGGGGCCAGGGCTGTGGAGCATGGCTATCTCGGGTACTTAGCGGCCATGCTATTGTATGTAGGGACAATCCAGGGGACTATTATATAGCACTGGTGAAGATCCTGGAATGTTTGAAGTATTCAAAACCCTCAATTTTCTTTCTCTCTCTGCATGCTAAGTCCCCCTTCTCCAGGAGTATAGCACTATGGGAGAAGTCATCGCTACGCACGTTGAGGCGACGGTTAATCCACAGCATGGACACACCTATTGGAACCACTTGAAGACGTCTTTATTAGTATTGGTATGATGACGGACCCTTACATTCTTCCAAAGTGGTACTAACAGACCCCAAGGCGGTTGCTGGTACATACTTTGGGCAACTTGTTTTACTTGTTGGTGGAGGCCTGCTGTCCCACAGCATCGCTGCCGTCGTCGGAGGAGCATCGCTCACAGCATGGCCAACCGCCGTCCTCGGGATCTTGGTCGCAGCACTTGGGCCTCCGGTGTCCCAAGCCGCCGACTTCTGGGGTAGAAAGTGGTTTCTTATCGTCCTCACGGCCTCAGGGTGTGTGGGGTCTATTATCGTCTCCAGATCGAGCTCAATGGGAATGGCCATAGCTGGTTTCACCATCGCAGGTCTCTCATGCGTTTCGCAGCCACTCCTTCACGCTGTCGTGTCAGAAGTCCTCCCAAGGAAATATCGATCATGGGCTCAAGCTAGCGTTAACGTATCGGTATGCTTCGGTGCCATCTTTGGTCTCCTTGTTGGAGGTGCCTTGGTTCAAAACAACAACAATGCGTTCCGCATCTATTTTTATATATCCGCTGGGATATTCGCTCTCTCGGCCGCAGCTTGTACATTTCTCTATAATCCACCTCCACGAGAAACGCAGAAGGGAACTGTAAGGAGTAAAATTCAAAAGCTTGACTGGGTTGGCTTTGCCATGGTCGGCTCAGGCGTCACTTTACTCTGCTTAGGCCTGTCCTGGGCACAGAATCCGTATCCTTGGACCAATTCACACGTATTAGCTCCGTTCCTAACGGGTGTTGCTATCCTCCTGGGACTTGTCGCGTATGAGTGGAAAGTCAAGAAAGACGGCCTCTTTCACCACCGCTTATTTCAGCATCGAAACTTCGCCCTCGCTCTTGGATGCATCTATGTCGAGGGGCATTGTGCCTTTGCTGCCAATTACTTTGTGCCGTTCCAACTCACCACATTATATCCGTCGATGGGCTCCTTTCGGGTTGGTGTCTGCTATAGCGTCTCCTACTTTGCTTTCACTTTCTTTGCATTGGCGACAGGCCTCTACATTTGGAAGTCAAAAACTGTGCGGATTCCGACAATAGCTGGGTTTGTGGCATTTATTCTCTTCTTCATTCTTGCCGCTACAGCACAGGAAAGCACCCCACAGGCCAACTTTTGGGGCTACATGATATTCTTAGGCGCGGGGCTTGGGCTGTTGTTGACGACTCTTGTCGTCGCCGCTCAACTGTCGACACCTCCAGAGCTTATCGCGATGGCTTCCGGATTAGTACTCTCTGTCAGGAGTCTTGGAGCTTCAACAGGGCTGGTGATATATCAAGCTGTGTTCAGCCATGGGATCTCAAAGAATTTGTTTCCCAAGGTAGCTGGGGTGACTATTCCTCTTGGTCTGCCGGAAGGATCACTAGGGCCATTGCTGGGAGCTCTCACCTCGGGAAATATGAATGAGCTACCAAAGGTGCCCGGAGTGACCCCAGAGATCATAGAAGCCGCAGCTCTGGCCGTCAAAGAAACATACAGGCTTGCTTTCAGCTACGTCTGGGCCACCGCGGCAGCGTTCACGACAGTAGCTTTAATTGGTAAGTTTGACGGTTGTCTGTATCTACTCCTTGTTCGAAGAGCTAACAAAAGCAAGCGGCAATATTCCTACGCAACCCTAGCAACCAGTTCACGCAAGAGATTGATGCACCTCTCGATATCACTGAAGGAGCTGGTGTGCAGGAATATCGAGACAAGTCTGTTGCGGAGTAATTAGACGTCAAATGCATCAATCAATGACAGGACTTCCAAACATTGCAAAAGGCAATCATGATGCATCTATACCCGATATCTAGTGCCCGTCCTTTGGAACAATTCGTTGTGTCCGCGGCGTTAGCCCCTCTAGACCTTGTAGTGCTGCTTTTACTCAACATTGCATAAGGCCTGATAGAGTTCTCAAATTTCCTGAAGAGCCAAATCTGCCAGCGCCAGAAGCACCATGATTGTCTCCGCTGGCAAATCTTCGCGTTCATCTCTACGGTGATTTAAATATTTGGCTGGGCGGAAGACAATGTTTTGGGCTTGGTCATTAAGGAATGATCCTCTCTGGGTCGCCTCGCGATCTATCCAACCACTCGAAGTAGGATTGCCAAGAATCACAGTGAAGGAATCTTGCAGGTAGGCTTCGTAGTTGGTGGGAAGGAGCTTTGGGAATTTTGGCATCATCTTGGGATGGGCAATGCATCTTGAGGTAAATCTATCGTTACGACCCTATAACAAGTACGAAACGGAGGACTATTATACGAACCTCAAGGCATCACTCTGAATCTTCACGTAGAGAAACAGAAATGAAAACGCAACCTAAGTTAGAGCTCTAACAGAATGGTCGAAACAATAGTATTGACAGCAGAGCGCGAGTTCCTTGGTGTATTTTCATGGGCGGTGAGGAATTCTAGATGGATTTGAACGCCAAATTCTTAGTCTAGAACAAATGTCAATATTCTCTTTGCTACTCTTCACAGTTCCTCCTTCGGATTTCAGGCTCCCGAAGTGTCAAAATGAATGCCTTTACCAGACCATTGACGCCTAGGCAAAGGACAGGATCTCAAAATCTGCTCATGTTTGTTTTGACCTCTTCTCGTGCTCAATTGTCTTACCAAACAAGCCTTTGCGCAAATTCCGATGCTCCTTCACGGGGGGACTCTTTGTGGGTTTGGTCATATATCTGTTCGGTACGGCAATGATGCTCGAAAACAGCATTGCCGGAAGACTTGAGAGGAACATCAAATATTGCATTGGAACAACAATGAACGCAGACACCCAATTGAGCAGAGTCGATGCATAGTTTGTTGATTGACGATCGGCATTACGCTGGACAGCAGCGGCAAGCGCAACCACGTCCTGCAGGCGAGCTTCCAAGTCCTGAAGTCTTGCCTCTATTTGTACAGACGAGATAGCTGTTCGTTTTTCATAGCGACGCATCGCTCTGTTGAGAGCATCGAGTTCAGGTTGGATCAATTTCTTCACCTCACCAGTCGCCAAAATAGAAGCCTTAGCAGCAAGAGCTTCACCGCTTTCAGAGTCCTGGGTTCCAGAGCTAGCGATTCTATCAGCCACATGAACTTCTAGCGCTTCCAATCGATGCGTAATGTCAAGGACCTGTTGCGTATCCGCTTGCCTTGTTTCCGAAAGGACATCAGCATTGACGCGCCTCTGCAAGAAAAACGTTCTTCTTTGAATCAGTTTGATCAAATGAGCTAGTGGTCGCACTTCAGCAACTAAGAGGAATATGGTAAGATTATAGTTGGATACCAATCCCTCAGAAGGACGAGTGAGTTGCGACCTGATCGCATGCAAGAGCCAGGCAGCCAACAAAGGGCAGGCAAAGCAACCGAACAATGCCATCATTTCATGAAGACGCAGCTCCCTTTGAGCAGAAGCAGCATCGACATTCTGCATTTGGGGAAGTCTCAGACTTGGTCTGGGGCTGGCTTTCGTTGGAGATGTTGTCTCTGGGAGAGCAGGATTAGTGGAAGACTCGTCAAACTCTTCGTGTTCTTCGATAGGCGAAATTGCGGATGGCGAGATGGGTTCGAGTATGATAGAACTTTGTGCGGCGCGGTACCAATCCCTGCTTTTGGTGAGATCGGAACTCGGGAGTGAAGTAAATCTTGCCAGCCAGAACTTACCATGGTGATCTAAGGGCCCAGTTCATGAATATGGCTGCCAATGCCAGCAGAGTAACATCAGTAACGAAAGCACTGCCATTCTTGAAGAATACACCACCAACGGCAGGAAACAATGCCAGTGCAAGTGGCAAGGAATGCCAATGAGAAGCGTCATCCTGATCTTGAAAATCTTTTTCTCCTCTGGCTCTAGGTAAGAATATGTCGTCGGTGGATGAGCGCAATGATTTGCGCGTTTCAGACAGAGTCTCAGAAAGGAATGAACTCCGCCTTCGATTTAATTGTGCATATCCATCAGCAAAGGCTGCGGATCTCCCAAGAGGCCGTTGTCTGAGGCCATGAGGAGAGGGACTGATATGACGCCCGGACTGGGTCGAGGGGGCTATGGTGGAAGATGTTTTCTCTGTGCTCATCGCTACGATCTGGAGGCTGATGTCCTTTTCGAAGTGCCCTGGAGTGACTTCACGTTGTCCAAAGAACTGGCTTTCTCAATGCCCTAGCTAAAGCGTCAGATCACGGGCATTTGACATCTCAGACCAATACACAGGAACAGTGATAGCGAGTGAAAGAGCGTGCCTGAACAAAACGAAGAGACGATGCGAGATGGTCGTGGAGGGAACTGGGATCATATGCTAGGCGAAGAAGAGAGTATGAGCGATGATGGCATGGATCCGTGGAGTTCGGGGTGGAACCATCGCCACCGCTCGGAACGGAATAACTTTTATAAAGGAGACGTCAACCTCGGCAGGCATGACCCCCTTTCCGCTTAGAAGTTGCAAGAGCCAGTTACATCTCCTAGGAGTCCTATCTCGATGCTGCCAACAACCTGTCAAGCCCACACGCGTCAGTGCTCAATTTCAGGCAATAACATTCAGAATCGTGCGCATGTGAAAGGCAATCACTAACCATGGGACCAACATCGTCATCATTCTGCAGATTCTCGCCCTTCGGCGCCAGGTCGCGAAGATAGTGTCATCAAGCCGCCTAGAGAGATGCCAGCCTCGAGGCTTTGCCTTCCGGGTTTATGTCTCCATCTAACCTACATGATAAACCATCCCCAGCTATGCGCACCCGGCGGGCTCTGGGCTAACGAAAACCCTTATTGAGACCCGTTTCGAGCAAAATGTCTTTGCCATCCCTAGAAAACCTAGGTTGAAAACCTGCCTTGTGAGTCTCCTCCTCGCAATGATGTATGCACTCGATTTGATCCTATGCTCCTTTGATCTGTTCGTACCAAATATACCTCAATTCTCCCACGAAGCTCTCGAGCTCGGCTGAAAGGGAAAGCTTTGGGTTGAAAGTTTATCAAAGAGGGCGTTAAGGAGACTATTGCATGATGCGCATGGATATCCTAGTTGCCGCGCTTGCCTTTGCAAGCTGTGTATTGTCACTCCTCCCTCTCGTGGCCCACATACGAAACACCAGCTTTGCAGCGATAGTTCTGATCCTAGCAACCATGGTCCTGAACCTACAGACATTTGTCAACGCTTTGATTTGGCCAGCCAAAGACCTGGAAGCTAGTTGGGACGGTCGAATTCTCTGCGATATCGAAATCAAACTTTGGATTGGGCTGAGCATGGCAGTCGTTGGTGCCATTACCAGTATCCTACGCCAGACAGCGATTATTCTGGACACCACCAACATAACTTTAAGTCCAAGTCTCAAAGAGCTCAGACGCAAGGCTATCTTTGAAGGCACATTCTGCGTTGCCATACCAGTTATTATGATGCCAGCGCAATATATAGTGCAACCTGAAAGATACTGGATCCTCCCAGTTGTTGGGTGTACGGCTTCATTCGACTCAAGTTGGATGACTGTTTTTCTGATGTGGATGCCACCAACAGTTGTATCCATCACAGGCTCTATCTACTGCGGTTTAGTCATACTTCGAATGCAGAAGCAAAGAAAGGAAAATGGTTCAGCCCTAGCCTTGCCAGGTGTGGCTACAACATCAGGCTCACATTTCACACGATTGTCAAGTTTAGCTCTCACTCTGTTTCTGTTTTGCTTCCCTCTGGGCATCTACGGCTTAGTCCTAGCTTCGCTTAAGCCAGGGCATCCGTTCAGCTGGAAATTTATTCATGGGCCGGATTGGAAGGGTAAAATTTACAAAATTTCTGGAGCTCCTTCAATTCCAATTGATCGTTGGCTGCAAATTGGGATAGGCTTCCTGTGCTTTGCGTTCTTTGGTGTCGGGACCGAGACAATTGAGGCCTATCGGTCTCGAATGAGATGGATGCGACAGGGGATGCGGACACTCGTTTCTCGTGGTACAACACGTGAACGCCATGGGATCTGAAGGACCGGAGGCATGACGAGGCTGTGGAGAGAGCTACATCAGATATCGCCTGCAACGCTCTTGAGCCTCGGCGGGACAAATTGTTTGCTGTACTAGAATAATGGGCCGATCATTTAAACTATACAACACGATTGTGGCGATTGACCGGCAAATCCAAATCCAAATTCAGGAGTGGTGAAACTACATGTGGAAGAACATAGTCCTAGTTGTCCAAGGTTTTCAAGCCTGCGCCCGACCGCTCTTTTCTCGTTCAATTACAATAATTGTGCACACCGATTTGTTTTCGGTACATGAGGCTTCTCAAACCAGAAGATAGGTATCAACCACTGGTTGCTTCACTATCCTCTTCTCTTGGCTGCCTTTTCAAAACCTCGATCCTGGTCTGGACGATAGTCAACGCACTCTGCTTCTTGCCTTCTGCATCATCGAATGTACGCATGCTGGCATCACCCTCGAGGTAAACCAGTGTTCTGAGGATACCCGTTAGTGCGACGGTTTGAGGCAGGCGAAGGAGAAGACATTTTACAGCCTTACCCTTTGCTCAATCCCAAGACGAAATCTCTTTGAGGGCCATCTACAAAGCTGCTGACACGAAACCATGAAGTTTGTCTGTTATCTTTTGGTCCATAGCTAGTACCAATGGCGTAGCGGACAAGTTGAGTCCCTTTCGTTGTCTCTGTGAGCTCTGGGTCGGCGCCCAGGCGACCAACTAGAGTCAAGCGTGCCAATCGGGAGGCTCGGGAGGTAGAAAACGCCCGCGATGAGATTGTAGGGACTTTGGAGGACATTTGCCTTGTAAGCAACGACATGGTGGTGGTGATGAGTGCTTGAGGGTGGCTGGGAGAGAAGCAAGTGGCGGCCGCGCGCAAAGAGAGGTCCCGGCGTTGGACTTGGAGTGGAGGGCACTGATTGAGCGGGAGGAGGCGACACGGTTTATGTGCAGAATTGGCGAAGAGGTTTGTAGGCTGTGGTAGAGAACAAGTATAGACTGCTCCCATCTGCGATCATGTACACGCGATTTTGGGGCAACGCGATGAACCCAATGGGACTAGCCCAAAAGGGAAACTTTCTCGTCTGACAACACATATACCCTGATATTTGATTATAGTGGGCATATTCATACGTCAGACGCATTCAGGCTAGCTAAAGTGCTTGCAGCTTCGCCTCCCCTTTCTCGCCTTCCCAACGTGAGTCACTCTCAACGCGACCTGACAGCCTTCAATTACACGGTAGTTCACCATACAATCAAAGCGTTGCGACGCGTCGTCTTCTAAACGAGATGCTGCAAAGTCCGCCGATAAGGAACTCTCTTCCGTCAGGATTACTCCCTGCACCAGCTACCACTTCTCCCAGTTCGGAGCTACCTGCAAGCTCTACGAAGATTGGCTCAAACAGCACTCTGTGGACCGCATTTGCGAGCGGTTGCACACTACTAACGCTTTCTTTAAAGTCCTCGCCACAATATCCTCGATGTACATCGGTGCCTCGCAGGATCAAAAGTCTTTGTGTCTATTCAGCTGGAGTGAAATAATGAACTGCTTCCAGAAATAGCTACAACACCGTTGTTTCTTATAGGTGAGCTCTGGATCCTCTTGCGTGCCCCTTGAGCGCAAGTCTAGCATCAAGTTCTTCCTACCTAGATCAACGTTCCCTTTTTCTCCATGTCTCCCCTGTCTCCGCGAAACGAGCAAGAGCCCACAACACTAGCATCAAAATTGACGTCCAAAAAGCCTGTCGCAAAACCCGAGATGGCCCCAATCGCTTGGGTTTTCATCGCAATATTTTCGGCCGTACTGGTCATCATTGCGCTTGTACATCTCTATGGTTTGAGATTGAAGTACGAGAAGAAAAGGACCCAACGAAAAGCAGAGAACGAAAGCATTTTTGGTGCTACCATGACGAATCCAATCACTGCCAGAAAAAGTTTTGAAAACCATCAACATGCCTGAGAAACATCTGACGCTTGCCCAACGCTCGCTTCAAACTAGGAAGCGGCGGCTGTTTTCTTTGTTCTCTCCTTCCAGTATCTTCAGAACAAGCGTGAAAGGATACAAATTTCTTTGTTTCAACCTTAGAGATTCGGGAAAATTGAGGTTTGGGTTCCTCAATTTCCACTGATCCTCATCCTCCATGCGTCTCCTTGCCATGATGATCAGCTGCTATACTCCTGCACGCCTTCATCACTAATTCTCATTCTCGTTGTTCTTTGAGGACAGCATGATCCCAACAGCGGCGCTTATAGTCCTTGCTATCGTGGGGGTAATCTGCACCGTCACGATGATGATTGCAATCTGGCACTCGGTCTCGAGCAGCCTGAATCCTCCAGAACCGAGAAACGATGAGGAGCAAAAGGTTGAACTTTCCTCAAACGAGAGCACCGCTCGTCTGACAATTGTTACTCAAGCACGTTCACAAGCACCTGAAGCCGAATCTCCTCCACCGCTTGCGGCAGGAGAGATTCACCCAAGATCAACGATCCCCTCGACCAAGAGTCCAAAAAAGACAGATAGCATGAACGAAATTATCGATATTTACAGCAGTAGAGGAAACAACGGTGCTGCCCCTGCAAAATTGGCACCACCCAGGAGTACGACATTTGCAGAGGCTAAATCCAAATGGGCATATTTTGGACTAGTTGAAGATCAATATGCACTTTGAGCATCTGGTCCACAGAAGCTCATCGTGTTCTGATGGGTGTCCCCAGATGGCGTTAACCATCAAGGACGTATACTTTTTATCGCAATGAGATCTCACGGAAGGATCAAACATGGGACGGCTAGCTCAGCGATCTAGTTTTATCTTATTTGCACCGCGCGGGTCAATATATATGTGGCTACTACCAGTTTCGCTAGGTATATCAATGAGACCGAGCTCCTAAATAGCATCGATAGGTGGCTAGCACCCATAGCACCCAGCGTAGCACCCAGCGATGGGTGAGCGGCGAGCGGGTCGTAGAATACTGCTGACTAAATGTTCAATCCGCTGAATCACGTGCGTTCCAAGCACTCGTACCCCTGGATTGACCGTAGCTCTGTGGCCCCTCAGCCTCATCGCTTTGATCGAAACGGTCCCTCGATTTCTGGGGTTTTCAGCGTGAGTACAGTAAAGAATATCTCCCAAATGCTATCGCATGCCCAAAGCAGTTCCATCTGCAGCCACTCAAGCCGTGCTGACGCTACGGGTCTCCCTTAACATGCTTCTTTGTCTGTTCAAGCTTGCAGGCAGGTCTGTTCGCCTCTCCCATTGCATGCCGTGCGAGCAACAGAGTTGCAGCCGGCCCCGCGAGTTCGATGCCTCTTCGTCCATCACGCAGCAGCGACTACACTGTCGGCTGGATCTCGGCCATTCAGACGGAGTATGTAGTTGCCTGCGAGCTACTTGATGAAGAATATGACCCATTGCCGCTCAACTGGGAAAATGATAATAATGTGTACACTTTCGGACGGATCTCCTCGCATTTGGTTGTGTTGGCATGCTTGCCAAAGGGAAAATATGGCCTCACGTCTGCGACTTCGGTGGCTAAAGATATGCTTCGCAGTTTTCCATCCCTCCGATTTGGGCTTATGGTGGGCATCGGAGGCGGTGCCCCGTCGTCTAAGCATGACATCAGGCTCGGGGATGTGGTAGTGAGTACTCCTGTGGGAAGCTCTGGCGGTGTAATCCACTACGAGTTCGGTAAAGCTATTCAGAACAAGGCCTTTTTGCGAACAGGCAGTCTCAGTCCCAGTCCCCCACTTCTTCTAGCTGCTATCCATCAACTCAGTTCCCTTCATGAGCGTCGTGGCCACCAGATTTTGAAGACTATTGACGATTTGGTCGATGGTAACAGCAGGCTCCAGAAATATCGACGCCCAGCTCTTGAAGCAGATGTGCTGTATAGGGCAACTTTCACTCATGCGGATGAAGGCAAAAGCTGTAAGGACATATGTAACCCCGATATCGCGGAAACAGTCCTCCGTGTGGTTCGAGGGCCGGATCACGACGATCCAGCCATTCATTATGGACTAATTGCCTCTGCCGATCGCTTAATGCGAGATGCACAAGTAAGAGACGCACTTGCTGAGGCGGAGGACGTCTTGTGTTTCGAAATGGAAGCTGCAGGTCTCATGGACAGTTTTCCCTGTGCTGTGATACGCGGTATCTGCGATTATGCTGATACACACAAGAACGACGTTTGGCAAGGCTATGCGGCTGCAACAGCGGCTGCATACGCAAGAGAACTACTAGTTACGATTCCGTCCGGTCCACATGTGGATGCTCCAGTACCCAAGAGCTCCACACACCCTGCACGTAAGTATATTCCGTGGACCGAACCTCACAATTCTTTAGCAAAGAATCGAGCAGAAGGTACAAGAGGCTAGGCTAAAGGTCAGCAGTTGTCATTACGCCTTCGAAGATCCTCTTCACAGTTCCGTTTGGACGTGATCCCCTATTTGTTTCTCGAACTTCGATCTTCAAAGCAGTCGAAGACGGACTCAGGGAAAATCAGAGGGCAGTCCTGTATGGACTTGGAGGAACAGGGTAGGCTGCAACTTTACGTGCTCAGTATTTTCTGGCTCAGATTTCTCTAGGAAGTCTCAGATCGCCATAGAATTTGCACATCTGTATCATAGAGAGCACCCAGAAAGCCATGTTCTATGGATATACGCCGCTACGCACAGCAGGTTCACACAATCCTGCCAAAAGATAACATCTTGGTTACGATTGCCAGGAAGTGAAGATGCAACAAAGGATATGTGCAGTCTTTTAGCTCGGTGGTTAGATGATGAAGAAAACGGGCCATGGCTATTGGTGCTTGATGGCGCCGATGACGATGATACTATTCTCGGTCAACATACACCCAATCCAGCGCCAGTCGAACCAGTAATCGACTTTCTCCCTCGACTGCTATCCCCCACTCGTCAGCTTCTATTCACGACCAGAAGTCGAGACATTGCCGACTCACTTGTCGCGGCAGGCACGCCTATTCAGGTCGGACCATTCTCAGCGGAAGAAGCCCAGCTGCTTCTCACACGAAAGCTGGAGAACGAGATTACCATCCCTTCTGATGGCTCTGGAGATAAGTTGTTAGAACTGCTGGGATACGTGCCACTCGCCATCACGCAAGCTGCCGCATTTATAAGGCGCAATGGCGGTCACTTTAGGCAATACTTGGATGCATTCGAACACAGCGCCAGCGACAGAAATCTTCAACTAAGCGTTGAGCTTCAGGATCACCGTCGTGAGCGTGGACTACCCAACTCGATCTTCCGTACATGGAAGCTCTCTTTTGATCAAATCCAGCAACAGGATCCAGAAGCCGCAGACCTTCTCTCATTGATGTCTTTGTTGGATGGACAGTCGATTCCAGAAGAATTGATCAGAGACCCGCGAAGCAGTGAAATGGCGCGACGTTACAGCTTCGGAACCATTTTCAGCTACTCACTTGCTAACCAAAGCCGAAACAACACGTTGAGCATGCATCCACTTGTGCAGATGTCGGTGAGGTACTGGCTAGAATGCGAGGACCGAATGGATGAGTTTGTGCAAAAGGTGGTCGAGTTATTGGCTTCGAATTTTCCAACAGTTCAGTACGAGAATCGAGCGGTATGTCAGTCGTTGCGGCCTCAGGCGGTCACTGCTCTGCAATATCAGGCGAGCTGTGATGGTTTTGGGGCACAATTGCTTCATAAACTGGCGTGGTTTGAGCTAGACTCTGGATACTTGGAGCAAGCCGAGAGTCATGTCAGAAAATCATACGATGCTAGACAACGGATTTTGGGCGAGGGGTCATTAGAAACACTGAGCACTCTCTCCCTTTATGCGACAATCCTTCAAGCTCGAGGAAAGTATGTGGCGGCTCAGGACATGCAGGAGCGGGCGTTAGATAGTCGACGTGAAATACTTGGATCTGATCACCCCCACACCATCCGAACTATGAATAACCTGGCCACAATATTGCGAGACCGAGGGAAGTACGATACGGCTGAAGAACTTCATCGCAAAGCTTTGGCCGCTCGTGAGAAACTTCTTGGTCATACCCATCCAGACACCCTGATCAGTGTGAATAACCTTGCGCTATTACTACGGGATCAAGGTAAGTATGAGGCTGCTGAGGAGCTCCACCGCCGAGCTCTTGAGGGTCAAAAGGAAACGCTGGGTCCGCGGCACCCAAGCACATTGACCAAGTTACACAATCTCGCACTGATTCTCACTGACCAAGGCAAATACCAGAATGCTGAGCAGTTGCACAGAGAGGCACTGAAGGGCAGGGAGGAAGCTTTAGGCCTCAACCACCCAGACACCTTGAAGAGTCTCAACAACTTGGGCACGGTGTTGGCCAACCAAGGGAAGTTTGATGAGGCTGAGGAGGTATCGCGCAGAGCATTGATGGGTCGTGAAAAGTCTGTGGGTCCAGATCATCCAGACACGTTGAAAAGCCTGAATAATCTGGCCAACGTGCTGGTCAGTCAGGACATGTTTCAAGAGGCTGAGAAGCTGCAGAAAGCTGCCTTGGAAGGGCGTGAACGGGTGCTCGGTATGAGCCATCCAGACACTTTGAGAAGTGTTCGTGATATGGCGTTCATGGATCGACTAGCCGGGCGTCTCGAAGAGTCGGCAAAGAAATATGAACGAGCGTTGGAAGGTTTCCGACTTGTCCTGGGCGAATCCCACCCAGCTACGAGGAACTGTACACAGCAACATGAGAGGTTGAAGGCCGACTTGGAGGATAGTGATACCCTCGAAATACAAGCTGTGGGCAGAAAGAAGCGGAAAGTGTACAGGAGAAGGGCTCGAAAAGCAGCAAACGACTAAAGTTCCATCTTAAGTCTGAATCTACAACGCCGCCTTTACACTGCCGACCATATGCCTCGGCCCGCCACTCAATACTCATGGCATCAGGGCAAGGCTTATTTCACCACAACTAGAAATTAGGGCTTACAATGAGAAGAAGAAAAGATCTGTTGGTTGACAGGGGATTCTTTTGTTATTTTGAGGTGTTCAATTCGCTGAGCTAGTCTACTTGCTCGTGACTCAATTCGCATGCAAAGCCACTGGCCACGACGCTTCGCCGGCTGAGGTTTCACAAAAGTATCGACGCCAAAATCCTTTCTTGAAGCCAGTCTGCGAAGTCGTTGAGGGGTTAAATCCAGCCAGGTGGCACCTGAGGGTGACCATGACGATTTACAACACCGAGACTGACATCGTCGACATGGGCAATTTTGCTGCGAACTCGGTCGGGAATTCCTACGTCAGCTCGGCCAGTGTTGACGGTTTGAACCTGTGTGCCCTCGTCATCGAGCTTTTGCTTGAGATTCTTCTTGGGTACAGGTTGGAGAGCGAAAGAGACGTCGCTGTTAGGTACATGGCTCTGCTCAGGCGTCAGTATGCGATCTTGTGGGTTCGCGTATACATTGTGTTCTGCAGCATGATGCAGGCGCACAGGCGATACAGCGTCGAACTGTGTGTGCTGCTGCGATGTCTCCTCAGATGCCATACATAGGTCCTTGAAGGTAGCCTCCTTGCGCAGATCCTCCATGAACGATTCCGGCGCTCCGTACGTCCCGTCCTCCTTGAGTGTCGCACGCTCGAATATCCCTGCCTTGTTGCGGTAGACGTTAGGGAGCACTTTGTTGCCACGGGGATCTCTTTGGATCACAGTTGGCTGTGCTACTGATTTCTGTTTGGCCAGCGCTTCCGCCGCCGCCAGGTTCGTCCAGTAGTCGCTGTTACCTTGGTCCGCCTTTCGCTGTGAGCGGCAGTTCCTGCTGCGTCGGAACTTGACTATGATGATCGACACACATGGCAGGAATAGGAGGATCACTCCCAGAAAGATAAACAGGGCAATCGCCGATTTGGCGCTGTTTGGTTTACCGACTTCAGGCATCGTGAATTTCAATAGCCTTTTGTTTTTGTTTTTGTTAGGACCTGAGTTCTAGGTCTAGTGTCTCTTCAATTGAAGTTTGCTGGGTTTTGAGGGGTTAAGAACGTGTGAGAATGAGTGTGGTGTCGCCACATTTGAGGCTAAAATACGGCAACTTAAGTATGAGGAGGGTGAGGCAACACCTCCATTCTTTCTTGCATTACTTTGTCACAAAGACTGAGGAGGCCAGTTTCTCTCTGACTTTTTGGTGATAAGGAGATCTGCTGATTCTGTGGCTTTGTGGCTTTGTGGCTTTGTCCACGTGGATAGGAGAAAGAATGCTTTAGCATTGTGTGAGAACCTCCTTGTTAGATTGAAGGTCGATTTCTCAATCATTTAGGGTGGGAATCAAAGTGTACATACTAACGCACCACTTAGTAAGCTTCATTTCATTCATTACTCTGCTGTGCAGCGGCCCAAGGACAGTCAGTGGCTTTGTGGGAACGAAGCATCCTACATCTTGCAGCGACAACTTCAGAGGGTAAGCTCGACATGGTTAATTGACCCACAAGGCTTGTCAAATCATGATTGGAGCACCAAGGGCCACCGTCATCACGCTATTCATGGCGCATATCAGTGCACACATTGTTCAATGTGAGAAGGGTGCACAGCCTTGTGCTGGGAACGGCTCGACAAGGCTGTGAGTTATGCTCCACCGAACTCCTGCTGACCACTGCCAGTGCACACAGTACCACAACAGAGAGCACGACAAACACCTTTACCACCACTATCAGCAGCACTACTCCTAATTGGCCCGCGACCAGCACCAGTGCGAATCCATGCCCGGCTTTCCAGATTGTAGCTAGCGGTTCAACACCGGTGCCCGACGATACCACACCCGTCGGACTCCGTGAGGAGACTGTTTGCTAGCCGTGGACTGGATTATCCTGGTTCGTCGAATAAAAAAGAGCAGCACCGCGAAAGGGCGAACGATGAGATGAAAGAAAGTGAGGAGAATTGAGATATCGAATTGGTTTAGGTAATGCGCAATTGATATCCCTGGGAAGAGATTTTGGAGGATGAATTAGTAGGATAATGAATTGTACTTTATTAAACATGCAACTCTCCCTTTTAAATGGCGTGGCTAGTAAAAGCATCTAATCCTTGCGACTGTTAGGTGCGGCTCCGGACATGCTCGATGTTGAGCTCCCCTTTTCATCGCAGAATAAGCATCCTGGTAACATCGAGGTCGAAAGGGTTCTCCCCAGTGGTGAAAATGTAAGTTTGGGTTTTAGCGAGCCGCAAGGTCAAATCCCCTTTTCTCCGCCGCATTTACATCCGCTGGGCCACATCGCTTTCGAACCCACAGCCTTGCACCCCAACGATGAAAATTGGTGGCCATGCCGTCCGCATTGTTCCCCACGGGCGTAAGCTACTTCTGTGAAGGCAAAGCCGTCTCGACATCCTTTTCTACATTCTCCGACTCTTTCTTCTCCTTGGCATCGTCTAGTCCATACTCGGTGTCAAGTTCTGTCCTTAGCTTGATCTGCCTCTCGAAGAATACCAGGAGGAAGCTCACGCCCGAGAAGACAACGGCCAGCTGCCAGACCAATTTCAGTGAATCCGAGTAGACGTCAATCAATTGGTCTTCGGTGGCTTTCCCGAACGATTGGACGAATTGTTTTGTCGCGTATTGGTAGGCATGGCCGCTCGAGAGGATCTGACGTACCGCAGGGTCATCAATGCGATGTGACAATTTGTCAAAACGATTGTTGAAGATGGCGGCGGGGATAGCGACGCCCCAGATGCTACCGAATGAACGGACAAATGACCAGGTTGCGGTTGCTGCTGCTTGGTCTCTTTCCTTGAGCCCAGCCTGGCATGCCGGTAAGAGCGTATTGAGAACAAATCCTGAACCACCCGCAGCAACGAGTTGATACACAACCCATTCTACCGTGGTGGTTTTTCGATCTTGCATGGTCATCAAACCTAGGCCGAGTGTGCATACGCCAAGTCCAAAGAGATGAAGTGGTTTGTATTTCCCGAATTTGCTCAGCAAGAGGACCGCCACAATCGCTGCCGGGAGCGCAATAACGATCAATGGAATGAATTGTACGCCGGCCTTTGACGGACTAGAGAGGAGGACTGCTTGGAAGTAGACTGGTAAGAAGAACATGATCCAGTATAATAGTGCAGAATTCAGGAATGTAACAGCAAACACAGTCGACGACGTTCTGTTGCCGAAGAGACGAGGCGGAACAACGGGTTCAATGGGCCATGAAGTCCTCTCGAAGGCCATGAACAGTGAAAGTCCAATCAGTCCCACGATCAGAGAGACAAGGATTCTCCAGTTGGTCCAGGGATATTTCGTCCCCGCATAAGTCAGTGCATAGAGTACTGATACAGTCGAGCTAATGAGCATGATGTTGCCCACGTAGTCAATCCGCTTGATTTTCTCAAGGAAGGACATCTCTTTGTTGTACTTGACATTAAGAAAGAGCAGAATCAGAATCATGGCAAGAACACCGATAGGGAGATTCAGATAGAAGACCTATGAAGCAGACGTTAGCCCAAACAACAGACCAAGCGCTTTAGCACGGCTTGCCCATCTCCAGGTGGTGGAGTCAACAATGGCGCCTCCAACATATGGCCCTAGACGCTGGAGTCATCATCTTGTTGAAATGAATATGCAGGGAGAAATATACCAATAGCAAGACCAACAAAATAAACAGTGAGCACGATAGCTATGTAATTTCCCCTCTCTTTCAAAGGAACAAGATCGGAGATGATGACATCAATGATCATCTGCAACTCTCTCGTTAGCCTGGCCCTGACTCCTCGAAACATGTAGATTTAATCTGGCGAATCGAAGCGAATACTCTCTTTCAATGAAGGCGAGACTCACATTGATACCGCCAGCGCCCATTCCTTGTACTGCTCGACCTGCGATAAGCGTTGCGCCATTTTGGGCGCCACCGCAGACACCACTTCCGAGAGTGAATAAAGCAACGATTATGAGCGTGACCTTCCGCCTGCCAAAGATGTTCGCAACCTGGCCGAAGAAAGGTTGGACTGCAGCGCTGTACGGAAGATCAGCATATACATCTATGTATGAGGTGCCGTGGAAGGGCACGAAGTGCCACTTACCCAGTAAGGAAGAAGACATTTGTGATCCAGATATAGTTCTCTCCAAGTCCAAGATCCTCAACCATTACGGACAGAGAAGTAACGACCACCGTGTTCTCCAACGAAGACAGAATGCCAATGACAGACAGAGTTCCAATGATTGTCCAGAAACGCCAGCCTCGCTTGGCAGGCTTTTCATGTATATCATCTGATTCAGCAATACTATGCTCCTTCTCTTTCACTGAATCGGTTTCTCTTGCTGCGTCTTGGTGAACGCCGACTCGAACAAAGCTGTCATCCGGGGTTTTCGCAAGGGTGTGAGGCCGTTCACTGCTTTCGAGACCCATCTCTTAGTGCCGAAAGAAACAAATCCTTAGCGTCTTGGGCAACCACTGCTATCAAGCCGAGAATGATGCGAACAGGAGAGGGCAGACGACATGGCACCTTTCAGAAAAAACCATCCAAATTAATAGCACTATGAGTTTTAAAGATATTAGGCAGGCGGGTACTGTGCTACTCGATTTTTGCAAATATTATTATCGGAGCTGGTTGAATAAACCAGTTGCTGTGACTCCTCGGAAGGTTTTAGCATGCTCTCACATTTTGAAAACCTTCCGATCCACAGAACATTAGGGACACAAAGAATACGTGTTTGCCTTCCGAGGTATCACTTCGGTTGAAATTGGCTAGAGAGTCACCGACGACGCCGACAGATCAATTAAACACTCAGATCACACTTAAGTCTGCGACCCTAAAACGGCCCAAGTGCTGATGTATTCTTTCCGAGATGTATTCTTTCCGAACAGACGGCCCATGGATCGTCAAACCCCAAAGTCCATCCCTGAATCGAAATTTGCACTAAACGTCTCCGTCGCGACAGTCGACTCCTCAAGCTGGAGGCAAACATGGCCCCTACACAATGCACGTATTTCCCTCGCCAGTGTCTTCAGGGAATTTCGACCGACAGCTTTGTCCTTGACCATTTGTGTCGAACGCCCTGCTGTGGCGGCTTCTTGTTTTAACATCGTTTTCAGCAGTTCCATGTGTCCACTTGTGGATGTGGCAATGCCATTACGCTCTGCTGCTGCAATGGCGGTAATTCCCTTCTCGGCACGCCAGAAAAGGTCCAAAACGACGTGCATGAAAACCGTTATCTGAATAGAACGGTTCATACCGAGTGGATAGCCGGCTAGGTCTAGGCCTGGGAGTAGAGGTGGCAAGTCTTTGTATTGAGGCACAACTTTCTTTTTAGACGCAACCTGAAGAGATAGCCGGATCCTATTGAAAGCGGTTCTGTGCAGCCGGATCAGAGAAACATAGCAGGTAGTAAGTGCCAGAATGGTAGGATAGTCTATTAATGGTCCATTCGCCGTACCAGTATTTCTTGCGGTCTTTTCCGAGTTGAAAGAGGCGTCGTTGTCAAGGTCAGCCTGGCAGCCATCTGTATCATGTTGTATAAATGTTCGTTCCTCGAAATCAACATCGGAATCATTAGAGCCCATCTCATCCTCATTAGAAGCATCGAAAGATGAGGTTAGGCGAGGGGCAGAAGTGATTGGGGAGAACATCAGGAAGTAGCTTATGATTTTTGCAAACTCTTGCAAGAAATTGAGCATAGTTTTGACACCGAGATTGCTACCCGGATGGTGTGAATGCAGCGACTGGTGTTGAGAATGGAGACTCCGTCGTCCTGACGGATCAACCTTGCAACAATCACCGTACACAAGTTTATCAATCACAGATAAATGCTGGAAAAGGGTCGAGTTGAGTTCTGCAAGTGTCTTCAGATGATACGACCTGTCTCTGCTAATCAACAGATGCGGCTGAAGACCTTTTCTGGACCAATGGTCGGTCACACCATCAGTATAAAGATCCAACTCTGATGTGGGCATATCAGAGACAATGTTTTGGCGTGTCCCATCCCAAAAAGTACTAGAAAGTTCTTTGTTCGCGGTGGGGAGTGTATGGCTGAAAGAGAAGTCTTCAGCCGTAAATGATGCGAACATTGAGTCATCAAAGATATCAAATTGCATGGCTGATTCTTCAAATGGCACGGAAAGCGTTGTGACAGTTGTCGAAAGAGGTGTCGGGTCATCATTCTGTAGAGGTGTATTCTCAAAACCCCAGAGCTGGTCGGGCTTCCTTGATTTGATTTGTTTTCGTTGTTGCTGGCGAGACGGTCTCCCTGATGGTCGCGGTGCACTTGTTGAACACTCAGTATTTGACTTCACACAACGGCTACATTTGCCAGTGCCACTCGATGTTGTGGCCTGGTCGCACTTGAGCTTTTGATTCCGGCATCTATCGCAGGCGGAGCGCACTTTGGGGTCAGTTGATCGCACATGATGCTCTCGGTCATTCAGCTCCATGGTTTCCATTCGGATAAACTAGGCGTTCGATGGACTGAGGTTCAATTTGTGGTAGGTAGCTAGTTGACCTGCTTCAAAGCCACGACATGGTCAACTGAGTGTAGGGTGGAGCATTAAGCCTAGTTTCTACTCTGTCAGCGCTAGGAGAAACGGCAGGGGACTTGAAGAGATGGATATTCATTTGTCCTGCTGCCTAGAAATACATAGACGGGTCACCCTTTGAGCGATCCAGAGACTAAGCCGACAATCGGACTCGTCAAAGGGACAAGGCTGTCTATCATTTGGTCTTAGAAGCTATCGTTAAATAGTCGGAGTCCTGAACAGTTGGAAAAGGGAGAAGACTGTGAAGGAAATATCTCCTTTAAACAAAGCTCAACCGCACGGCAGATGCGATCTCATAATGTAATCAACATGAATGTCCATTCAAACAGATTCTTTGCGATGGCTCTTGTCGCGCTGCCTTGAACTAAGAGATTGGGTGGAAGTTATGAAATCGCTTAATTTCAGGATGTCACACCACGAAAGCCTTTCCTGTGTACAGCGATGAACCTATCAGTTGACTTCTTTCATCTCGCGCGCGAAGAATCCGCCCCCTGGTTGTGTTATGTAGTGATAATTCACAAACGACCATTGATGGTGACCTGAGGACAACCGCAACCCCTGCCAGGGTCTCATCGCAGTGCGGGGTTGACATTTCTCCGATGCCCGTGCGGTATATCCCTTGTCACCAGTCTCTGACGATCCGTTCATTATTATATTAACGACATCACATCACCTAGAGCCTTGTAGGTGGAGTGGGTCTCAAGACCGGACGTGCAACTAGCACTTACAATTGGTATGACTCTGATCAACTCCGGTTCAGCATGACCACCGCTGTAGACACACCATACCTCGACGCTCTGCAGAGGGATGGATTCGTCAAGATCCCGCAACTTCTGTCGCCACAACTGTTGCTGGCCATGAGAGCGGCATGCCAATATTCAACCGAAAGAGCACGTGCGGGTGAGTGGCCATACGTACGAACCGTCCCAAAGCAATATCCCCCTTGGCAGGAGTGGAAGGAGGGTGACAATATTTGGGGTGTACAACATCTGCTTCACCCAGATATGAATGTCCGTGATACATTTGCGGAGGTTTATTTCTCAGACGAGGTGCTTTCGGTGGTAAAGGAGCTGGTCGGTCTCAGGCAAGATCCTGCTGGCGATGACAAGCTAGTCATGGAGTTGTTCAATCTCCTCGTGAGCCCAGCGGAAAAGACGGACTTTGAACTTTGTTGGCATCGAGATGATATTCGCCCAGACGTCACAGCAGAGGAAGAGGCACAACAGCTTAAGGACAAAAGCCCCCAAGGTCAGCAATTACACGCACAATACAACATCGCGCTTTTCGATGACGCTTCACTTATCGTGGTACCCGGCAGCCATTGCAGAATCAGAACTGAGACTGAACGCAATGCGCCACCTTATGAGTCCAATCTCCCCGATCAGCTGGTGGTGGAGTTAAACGCTGGCGACGCGGTCTTTTATGACAGCAATATCCTTCACCGGGGGACATACAAAGGGATTGATACTCGAGAGACGCTGGGTCGCATGACACTGCATGGATCCGTTGGGTTAGCGGGACATGGAACCGAAAGGGCGAGACAGGTATTGCAGCATGCCGTTGGACGGTGGGTCGATCGGGCACAGTTTCAGCTTCAAGGTCCCAAGGGCGACAGAGCTGAGGCAATGAGGGCTAGGCTCGTCGCCATGGGGAAGGGTGAGGATGTAGGGTATTCCCTTGTGGGTTGAGACCAAGATATAATAGGGGCCGCAAAGGCACACTAGACTCTGAAGGCCACCAAGCTGATGCCTATCTCCATGACAGTGCATTCAAGGCGGACGTCGAGAATCCGGCAATCGTTTTACGCAGGGAAGCGCTGTTAGATCCAGGAGATAAGACGAGATCTTCGCACTGCTGGCTAGCGTCCGTAGCGCAACCAGCCAACCAGCGTCTTGATGCGGTCGGTAGGAGTCAGTTCAGGCAGCAAGATGTGAAGGGAGGGAGATGCGAATATAGGAGCAGCAGCACTGGTGACATTTTAGTGTATACTAGCGGGACTCTTTAGCGTGCTTCAAGCCTTGGCATCAACCACGGCATCGGTGACTACAGAATACATCGATGCAAGATGCCGTGGTCACTTGGTTCACCAACCCCGCCAGTCCCCCCGATCTTCCATACGCCCAGTTCGCTACATGACGCATTGTAGACGAATGTTAGAATCTTGAACCCGGTGTGAAATCGTCCTTTGCACCGATCCACTACACTTCTCACCATGGCTGCTGATCTCTCCGCGCCGAAGCTCAACCCAGACAGTCACATTCTCCTGGTAATACCCTCATTTCATACCTGTTCTTGTTTGATGATGTGCTAAACTTTGCCACCGTAGGACCAACCACTCCTGCGATTACCCCATGAACTCGTCCGCCGAAACTTTCGGAATACCCAGCGCTACGTCGAGCGAGAAAGAGACCAGATCCTGCCTGCTCTCAAAGATACGGCCAACGCTGCTCTCAGTTCTTCCCAGACCCCGGACCAGACTCTGGCATCCCTGGATGCCATGATACAGAGAATGCAGAATTTCAAACGCAAGCTGGAGAAACTACATGTCGAGGAAGAAGCCCTGCACGATGACTCGGCGAAACGCATTAAACATCTGCAAGACCTTTATGAAATACCATCTTTGACAGACGTCCAATACGAAAAGTGGTCAAGAACACGGCTTGACAGGTTAATGGTTGACTACCTCTTGCGGTCGGGCTACTCCAAGTCAGCGTCTACCCTGGCCGAGTCCAAGCAAATATCCCATCTCATCGACCTGGATACGTTCGTGACATGCCACAAGATCGCCTCCTCTCTCAACCGGGGCGAGACGAAGGAAGCACTAGCCTGGATCAACGAGAACAAGAGTTCGTTGAAGAAGCTCGTCACGGCCCCATACAAGACCACCAACTTAGAGTTCGAGCTCCGACTACAACAATATATCGAACTCGTGCGGGCAGGCACCACGGTCAAGAAACTCGAGGCCATGATGCACGCCCAACAGCACCTCACAGTACACACGGCATCTCGCTCCGAGCTGATCATGCAAGCAGCCGGCCTTCTCGCTCAAGCACCTGACACAGACGCCGAACCCTACCGAGCGCTTTTGTCCCCTTCTCGATGGCACGACCTATCCAATTTATTCATCGAAACCCACCACACTCTACTCACCCTACCCGTACAGCCACTCCTACATGTCGCTCTGTCAGCAGGTCTCTCCGCTCTAAAGACTCCTGCCTGCCACAGCGCCTACAATCCTGCCAGCTCATCCACGCCAGGTCACGCACGGATCGCCTCCAATACCTCGCTCTGTCCCATCTGCAGCATGGAACTCAACGATCTCGCTCGAAACGTCCCCTACGCACATCATACCACAAGTTCAGTGGAGCCAGACCCCGTGGTCTTACCCAACGGGCGCATCTACGGTCGCGAGCGGCTCGAGGAGCTGCAGCGAAAGCTGGCCATGGCAGGATTGAGTGGAGACGCCGGGATCAGCGACCTGCAGATCGGTAAGGAAGGTGAAGTCCGCGATCCCACAACAGGCGAAAGCTTCACTTGGGACGAAGTGCGGAAAGTCTACATCATGTAGTAGTCTAACGAGAATTGGGCTTTACAAGAGGGCTCATTCTTCCTACCTATCTCCCTCGTCTCTTCCAGGTCGCCATCTCCAGTGTGCTGAGCAATCATCACTCACCTTAGCCGTGACCCAGTCTCATGAGCGACACGGTAGCTTATGTCCGTCAGAGCCCGCCCATTCAGCCAACTAGTTTACCCAGCCCTATATTTACATATATGCATCTCTTATATATACATATATGCATCTCACACAGCGATCAAACGAGACCCACGACGCGATTCTATGACTAGTAGCAGCCAAATGAAAAAGGGGGAACTAAGAGGTTTTAGAGCAGATTCCCAATTTATAACCATTATTCATTTTCATTCTGATTTGCGCCGGTTGAGTCAGAGAACGTCGAGGAGCATGTGTAGGATCGTGAACACGTCTCCATCTCGTCTCGCCAGTGTACCACCCCCTCCTCAGTACACTACCTACTACTAATAGTTAGTACCAAGCCCCGGACCGCCGTATGCAGCAGGGGAAAAAGGAGCGTTCGGAGTATCGTACCCGGCTCAACAGTCAATGAGAGGGGATCGCACAGGGCAATACATTTCACCATTTATCCTGCCTAACCTAACCCCGCCTGCCCAAGAGAGAGGTTCATGCTAGGCGGATTGAAATTACTCAACAACCACATTAAAAGACCGATCAGCCTTTAAAAGCATGCGCTAGATTCCAGATTCATTGTCTTTATTTTGGTGCAACGCGTTGACCTTTGGGCCCTTTCCTCTCTGGATGTGAGCAGCAATTTGCTGTTGAAGACGGGGCATACAAAGGAAAGGTGCCGCAGGCGCCAGCAATGCAAGTGAGAAGTTTACGATGCTCCGGTTTTGGTCGGTGTTTGGGCGGCAGGGGCTGAAGCCGCGCCGCTTCGTCTCGCCGACCCCCTGAGGCTCATGCTCATACTGATGCCACGGTGCATATGGCCTGAGTTTGAGCCATGACGGTGAGCATGTGTCAACGTTGAGACGTCGTGCTTGCCTGAACGTTTTGGATTAGTCACAGAAGCATATGATAAATAAGTTGGCTTACCATCACAACAAGCCCGCACATTCTCCAGGCCTCCAAAGCCAACTTGTTCCTGTTTCAACATCTCTCTTCGTAGTTCTTCTGCTGAGTCTTTACGGCCATCACCGACGACACTAGCATCGTAAATGCTAGTACCTTCACTAGAAGCCCCACCAGGAGTAGTAAACGCTTCACTGGCACGCGGAGTCCTTCCTGTGACTGACCCAATCATACGTGAGAATCGACTAACGCTGCTTGCCCTCACAGTGCGGTCTCCATCACCATCTTGGGCCTGATCAGCACGACTTCTCCGAACCACGGAGCTGGGTGCTGTGCGACTTGCTGTAGAATCATGTGGAGTACGCGTAGCGCTGCTGCTAACAGCGACACCAGGAGCAAGATTCTGCCCAGGGACCACTGATCCACGAGTCGTCCGTGAGTTGTAGCTAGAAAGGCTCATGCGACTTCCATCTCTTGCAAGAGAAGCTCTATAGCCAGCTCCATTGACACTAAACTCATTCACGTCATCTCGTGTTATCTCATTTCCTCCAGCAGTATAGCGCTCGCCATTTTGTTCTTCATTGCGCACTAGCAGATACTTCAAAGCATTGCACCACGTCTCATGTCTCTGGCCAGTACTTGCGGTGAACCTTACCCGTCGACCAGGTGTCACGACTTCAATACTTTTGCGGTGCAAACCAGGCGGCATAGGGTTGTCATCATTAATTACCTGGACACTTTCAATTAAAACGCTCTTTGCCCTCATTTCATTTCTGCCGGCTGTTTGAGGATCTTGATCGGACCAATAAAGGGTCTTGGTATATGGATGAACCCAGAAATATCTGCGATGGCGTGTCTCTGACATTTCAGCGCGACCTGCTTTACGAGTGTACTTCCACAAGAATTCGCCGATCATCGTTTGGGTGATAGCCTGGATGATCTTCGGGTCAGTACCAAAGTTATGTGGTGACACTTGTGGATTTCCTGGCAGGTTGAAGCGGACATCGACCTCTGAGGCAAATGATGACACTGATGAACGGCGGGACATCTGTGAGGCAACAGTTCCACGATTGTAACGGCCAACGTTAGAGCTTCGTACCGTGTTGCTATCGCGAGTGGGTGATCGAATAGAATCGCCAGGTGTCTTCGGACGACGCATGGCTGAGGCTGGGAAAGCAGGTGGGCCCATGATGGTGGTAGCTTGATTGGACTGGTTCATTTCGCGTGTTGGCGAAGCCACTCTGCTGCTTGCTTTTGCAATAGCTTCCATGTGATCGGCCGGCAAGGGTGGATGATTCGAGTTTGCGCTTGATAACCTCTGGCTCGATGCACTCGAGGGGCGTTTAATTGGTGGTGAAGGGAAGGAGAAGGCGGAAACCGTGTCGCGGTCCAGCCCTTCTGTCGAGATAGGAGCCAATTCTCGAGGCCTAGTAACTTCAGTAGGTGGCGGAAGGCGCATGGGCAGATCTTGCAAGACTGGGATCATTGCTCTAGTCTTCGTTTGCAAAGCCTTCTCAATCTCTTCAGCAGTAAGCAGCGTTTGTGATGCTTGGTCGCTGCTGGAGACGAGAGCTGGGATAGCGTTCTGGGAATCTTTCTCAGACTCTAGGGGTTTCATGTTTTTGGTAGGTACGGAATTGCCTGAGACATCGCTGAGTGGTTTTCTCTGCCTAATATCGGATCGTATGGCAGGCTGCTCTTGCTCACTAGTCTCATCTTCCATGATTGCTGGAGCTTTCGACTCGTTTGATTTGTCAACCCCAGGAACAGCAGCCGTAGAAGCCAGCAGGCCGGTCACCCCGACTTTCTGTGCAGTGCTGGGACGGCTAGGGCTGTCCTCGACTTGCGTTGACATAGATGTGATCGCGTTTGCCTTGGGCTCGCTTGGTGTTTGCACTGGCTTTGTCACCTGAGACTGGATGGAAGAGAATGTGAGGCGCTCGGGTGATGGTGGTGTGGGCTGAGGAGCCCTTTCTGGCGAAAGCGGTTCCGTGCCGTGCATTAACAAATTGGAATAGCCCAATGGTCGAGGAATTTGTGCAGTGACAGTCCGCTCAAGCTCACCCTGCGTTGGTTCTGGACTCTGAGCTTCATCCCAAACAGTCTTTGGAGGGGTAATGAAGGCTGCATTCCTAAGTGGACTCTCCTGCAGATTTCGTTGAGGAGTATATTGTGTTCCATTATCGATGTGTTTGATAGGGGAACTTGGAAGTGTGGGGGGCAGAGGGAAGTCGATGGGCGATAGTGAAGCAGGAGTTGTGATGCGCTCAGGTGAAGGTGGTGCGCTCGTGCCTCTCTCCTCTGTTGACACGGCCACAGCCACCGCTTGGGAGGAAGGTGTTGTTTCAGGCTGCCATGGTTCCGTCATTGTGCCAGAGTCAACCAGAACGACCCTTTCCCGGCTCAACAGCGATGGGCCAAGAGTGCTCTGCCTGCTCGGAGTGAAGGCAGGAAGGCCTGGTGTAGACGTAGCAGAAGCAATGCTAGATCTGCCGGGAGTCCCGAAGTTTGAGCCTCCCTCATATCCACCAAGTTCTGCGAAGAGGCTCTGTTCAGGAGCAGGGGGGCTACGCTCGCTGGTTACAGTTGCGGGTGAATCTGCGGAAACTCCTTCAGAGTACAGCTGTGTAGGAGTGTTCTCCGTTGAAGCTCTCGATTGGCGGCCGAAGGATTGTCGGCCATTTCTCAGACGGAATTTATGCGTTTGAGTCACAACAGGAGTTTTCAAGTCTTCTTCATCCTCTTCTCCGGCCGACGTAGAAGCAGTACTGACGTAAGACTGCCTATCACCCATCGCTCTGAAAGAGAGTGATGGTCTCGGCCCTTTGGGCGCTTTGACCCGGTGAGATAGAGAAGAGGTTTCCTCGGTCTCAGTCAAGTCATCCGTGCTATCGCCTGCAAGACTCTCGGCACCTGTCTGGAAGTCTTCACTTTCCGTGGTGTGGCGCTCATCTGCAGTTTCAAAGGCGCCTTCATTCTCGGTTGCAGTATGATATGCATCGCTAACATCTGTAACGCGTCCTTCAGCTTGAGTAGGAACTGCGAGAAATCGCTGAGTAGAAGGATGTGTGGGAGTGTCAGCGACATGATCTTCCCAGTCGTCATCGTCAAACTCTACATCGGTTCGAGTTCTCCTGCCGCCACCGAGCATGTTAGGATGAGGCGGCTTCTTGAAGGTCTCAGATTTGGTCTTCTGTCGCTTGCTACTACTTCCCAAGCTTCCATCGCCACGGCGTTGCTCAAGTTCGTCCCTAGCATCCTGCAACATGCGCTTGAGTTCGATTTTCTCGGTTTTTTCGCGATGAATGTTATTCTTGAGGTTTTGGATCATCCTGTGCGCGTGGTGTAATGAGCTTCGGAGGGTTTCTGATTCCAAGCCTCCATGACGGGGTGTTGCCTTTGTCGGGGATGGCGGGGGAGAATCCTCGGGAGCTTCAACATCTCGGAAATCCTCGTCGTGCTCGTTGCCAATGATATTCTCTGCGTCTGGGTCGTGACCGCGCAGCCTTGCGGCGACAGCATGAGCCAGCTCTTGGTTTTGTGCCGTCAGCTCGTCAAGTTTACTCTGCAGTGCGCCTCGTTCGCTCTCGCCCACATCAATACTTCGCTTCAAGGTGTGGAGTTCAGTATCGTGTGCCTTCTTCGCGGCTGCGTGATCTTCTGCCAACTTCTCGTGCTGTAAGCGAAGCTCGTCCATCTCTGTTTGGGATCGAGTCTTCTCAGCGAGGGCGAGAGCGAGACTTGCTCTCAGCTTCTTCTCTCGCTCATTGGCCTCGCGAGCAGACGCCATTAATTCATGTGACTGCGTCTCCAGATTCCAATTTTCGTCCTTATATTTTTGTTCATTCTCGTCATGGGCCCTGAGTCGCTGAGTAAAAACCAAAGACTCTCGTTCGAGTCGATCCCTGTCTGCGTTTGCTTGCTTGAGAAGATCATCTCGTTCGGCGACAGCACTTTGTAGTTGGCGGACCTGTGCGAGCAGAGATGTGCTGATGTCAGCAGCAAACTGTAAGTCTCCAGCGCGATTGCTCGGCTGGTTTCTCTGTCGTCTGCTGGGGGCTGTGACCTTGGTTGGTGAGGCAGTAGCTTGACTTGACAGAGTCGAGGGTTCCGCTCCCGGCTTTTCCTCTCCACTGACAGCTCTCGACTTGGGGCCCAGCAAAGCTCTTGCAATCTCCTTCCCAACATCATTGTGTTCTCTCTCCAAATCTGCCAGTCTGCGCCTTAACTCGGGAGAAATTTCAGCATCACCTTGCTGTTGATCTACTTCGAGGAGTTTTTCTTGTAAATCTGCCTGTTGTTGCAGCAGCGACTGGCCGAGCTTCTGTGTATCATGCAGACGGCGCTCTGTTTCAATAATGTGGGCTTCCAAACTGCGTTTGACCTGGGAGGGCGATGTGCTGGCTCCCAAGGTGATTGCATCTGGATCGACAAGAGCAGAATAGCGGTGGGCATGTGAGGCGTGCTCTGGGGGGGTATGGTCGACGAACGGATCTATCATACCGCTCGTTGACGCGTGGAGACCATTGTTTATGGAGTGATCTCCTCCTTCCAGCACCGCGGTAGCCATAGCGGTGGAGAGAGGAAGGGAAGTGAGAGTCGTTTAAGAGGTGAGACGAACCTCAAGTTGTTTACGGATGTCAATGTGTCTGTGCGGTGGCGGAAATCATTATCCTCGAGGGATCGACTGGCATGGACAGTTGAGGCGTTCGGAATTAAGATTAATGTAGGCGCAAAGAGGGCTATTGCGGCTTGATAATGAGCGGAAGTGGTTGACCAGCGTGAACCAGCGATGTCAACAAGACAAAATGAAGACTTGGGTAAGGAAGCAGAACTGATTGGCGGGAGTAGGGTTGTTGACGCGTTTGGACTAGGGAACTGTTGTAGGAGGAGGAGGCAGTTCGGACTAGCTCGAAGTAGGGAATAATACTCGGTAAGGGTGGAGCTGAGAATGAATCATAGGAGTACAGAGTACAGTACAGAGGAGAAATGGGGATAGCTAAGTAGTCGAGGGTTCCAGCTTCCAAGGGTTGGTGGGTGAAGCCCGGGTTAAGCCCTGGTTAAGCCCTGGATGGCCCCTGGTTGAGGTTGAGGCCTGGGAGGAAAACAGGTTCTGTCGAGATACGTGGAGGGAGCCACTGCCAACCATACTCCCACAACTGCCAGAGTGAAACAAACCATCTGGAAATTAACAAGAATAACAAGTCGGATCCTTGAGCAGGTGCCTAGCCATCAGTAGTACTCGCAGTACTCCGCACTGGTGACAACACTCCGTAGCCCTCGGTATTATTGCATGAATTGATCATCGATGCAGCCATGCCATTCCTGTTGATTTTTGCCTGCAGCGGCTCTCTCCTCTTACGTGCGTCTTTCTTGCGTTAGTCCTCCGCATCGGAAGTGAAAAGAGGGGGCAGGCTTGAATTTCATTTTGACCGGGGAATTGGGCTGCAGGAATCGATTGGCATAAAGAGGCGCTGGCGCTCTTCATCGACATTGAAAAGTAAGTAAAAAGTGCTAACTATACAATACGTACACACTTCAGTGCGTTGGTCTATTAACATGGGACATAACCCACATCGGTCTTCACCATATTTACAATTCTGGTGGTGTCGAGGCATCAATATCCAATACCGACTTTGTTCCCTGAGCATGGGCAGCGTGTTGGCATTCCAATGAACTGGATGGTCATCAATATCGAAGAGGATCCTCCGGCTCGAATTTAGTCTCGCGTCACGATTATGTAGTGTCAATTCCTATGACCATCTTCGATCTGAGCTTTCTTTTTCTCGTAGCCCACCAATTCTTTCAAGGTCCAGAGACTGGAATCGGTCGGCATCTTCCTTTTGGTATGGTGGAAGGATGTCGCGGTTCAATGGCTCCATTCCAACGCTACCTGAATCAGTAATATGGACCACCACAACACGGCCCTTTTGACTGCTGCCAGGCTTTTCGTCTTCATCGGGAAATGTAATGTGGATTTCAGGAACCGCTGTAGTAGATGGGTTGCCAGAATTGTGTATGAGATTCATCTTTTCATCATAGACAAAGACTGATTCGTTCTTGCGACCAGTATTGAAGTTGCTTATAGACGCTGATCGGTGATGAGATACTTGGTGATATGTAGGCAATACAGCCGCTTCTCTCGCGAGCCGCTTGCGACGCATTGCAAAGAAGGCTAATGAACTGAGAACTGCTAATAGCAGAAGTGTGAAGAAGACAAAACCAAGGTGATTCATCTCGAAGGTAGGAAGATTGTCATCAGTGGAAGGTCCAGTAACACGGGGAGTTTCGTCGTTTAATTCAGACATGACAACGGCTTTGCGGCGATCGTATGCGTCGGGGCGTCCTTCTAGGACGCGTGGCCGATTATAGATTCCCTGGGTGAAGCTGATGCTGGAAGGGTCGGAGATCGGAGGGTTGATCGAGCGATGAACCTGCAGATAGGATCTGGGGGCCGTAGACCTTAGACCTCGAAAGCGCGCCTTGAATACGTGGTGTCTGCAGAAGGTGGCAGAAAAGGCGAGGTGCATGCGTTTTCAAATGGGCTTGGGATTGATAGTGAGGACGCGTTCCAAAGTCCGAGCTGCAGTCTACACACAGTCGTTGCACCGGGCGTTTGCTGTGTTAGTGGATAGACGGGGGAGGTGGCTGGTCGGGGGGCGAATGAATGAACGAATGGACGGCTCGAGTTCAGCAAAAGAGTGAAGCTGAACACTGCCTGGATGCAGAAGAATGAATTGAAGTGTGGGTGTGTGAGTGATGAGGAGGCCGAAGAAGAGAGAATAGAAGACGGACGAAAGAAGTGGTCAATCGACGATGCTTGTAAGGACTCAGTAGAGTGCAATTAGGGAGTTGCGATGGAGTGGGCACCGGGGCCTCACGGCCAACTGCTCAACGGGTGGCTTGAGGTGGCTTCCAGGCTGGATGGCACCGCAGGAAGCATCAAATTGGCGCCGAGCGAGTCCTCCGTGCTACGGATCCTCGATCCCAGTACCTACTAAGCACCGATACGGAGTACTTCAAAGACAGTCAAAGTGCCTCTTTCGCATGTTCACGCGATGGCAGGCATCTTGGCCAGTCAGAGGCCTCCAGTCAGCAAGCCAGCAAGGCTCTGGCGCTGAATTGCCCTGCCGCTCCACACACCCATCTTGGGGCACTGCCAATCACCATGACTATTTTCTCGGGGCGCCTTAATTCCACCAATAGACCGACGTATGGCGGCCAGGGGCCATCGGCATGTCGGAGGTTGTCTCTCCACATGTTGTGACTTGGTTGCACTGAGGTGGATGCTTCCAACGGAAATGCATCAACAAACAAATTCAAGTTCTGATTGCCCAGTACTCCGAGCACAATTTTTTCCGGTTTATTTGTTCTTGCGAGAGCCAGTATAGACCTAACTAACCCCGTTTATTCATATTTGCCGCGCAATCCAGAGGAATACAATTTCCCATTTACACTCAATCCAGACTTTATTTTGTGGACGTGGAAATAAGAATACCGAGTATTAATGCAGACTGTACATAATTTAACGAGTAACTAGACTTTTTGGACAGAGTAATTGCTCGTATGAGTAGAGACATACCCGCAATATGGTCGCCAGTTTGAATCTCTTCGTTCCTCATGTCACGTGTCCCAATGAATTTTCAAAGTTTGTGAATATGAGTCTTCTAATTATGTAGTTTGGCGCCTATGATTGTAATAAGAGGTACGCTAATCTGCTCGCCGATAAACGATGAAGTCACGTGTGCATCTATTTCAGGTGGGCCACGGTGTTTCGGAACACCCCCAACTGCTATTGGGAAGGAGATTATATATTTATTATCTTGCCGTATGTATGTACTCCAAATTCACGTGTTCGTGTGGGTGTGCGAGTGCGAGTGCGTGACTAGGATGGGCAGGGCAAAAGCAGGCCTGGGCATTCATTGTTCGCCAGCAAAACCATCAGCTAAACGAATTCCAAAAAGGACTCGCCACGTCACTCCTTCAACTTGTCAAGAGACTCGAGGGGATTGTACACCGGTCAGCGAGTCGAGTAGCGGTAAAACACAAGGACAGGTGAAGGTGCTGATCCCTTCAAGTTACTCACAGATCACGCTCTGAGCCACATTGAAGTACCGAGTACGGGATCACATTGTGCTCCGGATTGACATGTGGGGGTGGATTTCTCATAGTCAGCTTGATGTTCTATGCTGTATGTACGGAGTACCGTGCATTGATATTATCATTGCAATAATGGTCGTAAACCTGACAGCAGGACTCGGGGTCTGGGTTGCGCAAAAGCGATAGAATGAAATCTTGAGGATGAGAAAAAGCCCATCCGTACTTCCGCACTGACTCTGGTGCCTACGAGTGCCTAGGTAGGTGCGCAGTTCTCGTACCTTTTCCACATACTCCGTATACGGTCACTGCAAGCCACACCAAGCCTACAAACCCAGCTCCGAGGCCCCTTGTCCAGCGATGTTTGACACCTGGGGGTTCCCGAACGGGCGCGACTATTCGGGTCTGGTGGGCGCAGTCTTGACCTATCTGGACCTATCTGACCTATCCTTGGGTCTGGCGACAGCCTAACGAGCCACCTGGCGTTCGACTCCAAGCCTGGGAGATCCTGAAACAGAGCCGGACTCCACCAAGCTTGTTCGTCGATCCGGGGTCTGTGGTAGTGGTGCTTGGACTTGGGTCTGTGAAGCCTGAATGCCTCTAACTTTCTTAGTCACAACCTGATTCTGGGTCCTTCTGCTGCCTGCGCCGCGCATCATCCACCGTCAAATGAACCATCCGCTATCCGCCATCATCATCCCATATCTGATATATCATCTTTTTTCGGGCCTTGCCTTGCCCTCGCTCCATACTTGTGTCTCTTCCTTCGTGTAACCCGTTGCACTCTACTTCTTCTTGTGTTCTTACCAGAACCAGTTCTGTTTGTCTCTTGTCTTCCTTTCTCCGCCAGTCGCCCCGTCGCCCGTCAACCAAACTCGCCCGACTCCACTCTCATCATTTCTCACCCTCGCCCTCTCCCTCCCTCTCCCTCACCGCAAACCGACTTGTCTGGCCGCCGCACCCCCCACCACATTACACAAACCCGACGACTCTTGCATTCCACAACCATCCCTTGCTCCATGCGCAATTCGCGGTCGAGGCGCATATCTGCTGGCAGATGTTCTCTCCCTTCCCTGCTGCCCTCACTTCGACCCATCCTGCCGCTACCCGCCTCCTGCGCAATCAGGCTAGGGTCATGATTCTCATTTGCCCTGCGGCTGCCTGCTGAGATTGTACCATCGCTTTGCTGGCGAACGAAGGGATACATGACGCTGCCAAACCTTGCTTCTCGCTGAACATATCCTCTCCCTCTTTAATTTCTCGCTCTCCTTCCATCCTCAGTTCATCTCGCGACGGCGTCTTTTAATTCCCCCAGGTGTACAGCATCGCCCATATAACCTCGAGTACACACTATTAGTATGTCTCCCCTCAACTCGTTATGTGTGACATGCCACTGATTGCTTGGGCAAATTCCAGTTGATACATACATTTATCCTTCATCCATCACAGACGACTTGCACCTTGTCTCTGATCCTGGCGGCATTGCTGCGAGGATTACTCTCTGGAAGTCTTTCTGTCAATTCTGTTCACTGAAAGTATATTGGACCGAGGCCATGGAGGGCGGAACTTCGCTGGACAGTGTAAGTGACCTTGGGACGGTTCTGTTGAGGCTCTATTTAACCATCACCAATCCACAGAGCCGAAATGGCCGGGTCTCTGTATTCGAGCGTACTTCTTCATCAAGGCCATCCTTGGGCGTCCCTACAGACTTCGAACTTACAAAGACTGCTTGGAACTCAGCCAGTCGACTATGGGGGCCTGGCGCTTCATTCAGAGATGCGGTACCAGAGGAGGAGCCCAAAAGACGTAGGTCCCTTGGGCTATCTTCAGAAAACAGATCATCTGATACTTTTGCAGCCTCGCCAGCTCGTCAAATTTCGTCGGCCGGGTTCGGGCAGGCGAGAAACATGACCAACTCGGTTCTGTCGCCAACCGAGCCCACTGACGAAAACAACATCCATCCCAAGATGCCCTGGAATTCCATGTCGGCGAATGTCGGATTCGTGTCACGGCCAAAAGGACAGCCTCTGTCGCCCACAAAATATGGCTTGAATCAAGGTTCAGACCCGTTCAGACCCCCCAACAGCATGGCTGAGCGTTCGACCCTGCTCGATGGTAGTCATCCTGATATTGAAGATGGATCAAATGACATACAGGAGTCTTTTTCCCGCACTCACCGCTCTCTTACCTCATCCGCCCGCCCTATACTATCACCAACACGTGCCACCAACCACGAGCAGCGTCCATTCGAACACCAGGCTCTTAACAACAGTTCCATAAAACACATTGGCAATGATCCATTTGGTTCCGGCCAGCGATTTGAGAACGGGCACCATCATCCAGCCAATGATAACACCATGGCCAACGGCACTGGTATGGTTGCAGGGATTGGCAACATTTTCCAATCCGCAAGACCTGGATATCCTCATCATTCATCCAACATCCCCAATTCTTACCAGGCCCTCTCTCCGCCCTTCCCAACCTCCAACGGCCGTGTCTTGCCCACCACCCAACGACCAGATTCTTACTCTCCCTCGACACATGAGTTTACCGAGAGTCCTCCGTCTCTGGTCCCAACCAGCTTCAATCAAGCTCAAGACCATACCGGGTCAGTTCCGGCCCGCCGGAGTTCAATGTATCAGCAACCATATCGAGACAGCAATGGCGCAGAGCTTCGAGCTCTGGTCCAGCCAAGCATCCAATTTCCTGGTATGGAATCGACATTCCAAACAACCCAAGGTCATCTGAATAAGGCGAATACTTCTCGACTGGATCCTCTTGCTACTCCTCATCATGCTGGCATGCCATATGGAGGTCGCGGAGCTCTGTCGCCAATGGCAAATGAATACCGAAGTAATTTCCATAGCCCGTACTACTCCGCTGCCGCCACCCCGCCAACTGGACCCGAGTCAATTCGTAGCACCCCAGCCAGTGGTGCTTCCAGCAGGACGTCCCACAACGACCAAATGTTACTCGATCAAAAGCTACGCAATCTTGAAGTATATCACTATGATCAGAACCCGTCGACGATGACTTCATTACAGCAACAGTTGCATCATGTTCATCAGTATGACCTTTCAGGCCATGGCCTTGCTGTGCGTCTAAATCCACAAGCTCATCCATATGGTGGCTTGAATTATCCACAGCTCAGCAATTACCCAGCGGCCCCTCGATTTCAAGGTCGAGAGCCCGACCATCAAGCTGTTCGAAGTCCCATCTTGGAAGATTTCAGGATGAATAGCAAGACCAACAAGCGACTCGAACTCAAGGACATCTACAACCATGTGGTAGAGTTCAGTGGTGATCAACACGGCTCTCGGTTCATTCAGCAAAAGCTGGAAACGGCCAACAGCGATGAAAAGGAGCAAGTCTTCAAGGAGATTCAACCGAACCTTCTTCAGCTAATGACGGATGTTTTTGGCAACTATGTGATTCAGAAGATGTTTGAACATGGCAATCAATCGCAGAAGAAGGTGTTAGCCAACCAGATGAAGGGCCATGTCTGGACTTTGTCAATGCAAATGTACGGATGTCGCGTGGTACAGAAAGCTTTTGAATATGTGTTGACCGACCAGCAAGCCAGTTTGGTGAAAGAACTTGACGGACCAAATTCTCAAATCTTGAAAATTGTGCGGGATCAAAACGGCAACCATGTGGTTCAAAAGGCAATCGAACGGATTCCCGGAGAACATATCCAATTTATTGTGGATGCGCATCGAGGGCAGATGATGAAGATGTCAACGCACCAATATGGATGTCGGGTGGTGCAGCGGATGCTAGAACATTGTCAACCTAAGGTGAAGCGAGTGATACTGGATGAACTTCTCCAGAACATTCAACCACTGATCCTTGACTCATACGGCAACTATGTTGTTCAGCACATTATTCAGAGCGGCGAGCCACAAGACCGACGCTTCGTTGTGAATATTGTTATCAAACAGCTCCTCGTCTTCTCGAAACACAAGTTTGCCAGTAACATTGTGGAGAAAAGCATTGATTTCGCGGATCAAGATCAACGGATTGAGATATTGCGACAGTTAACGACACCAGACGAAATGGGATCAACCCCAGTGCTTGGGCTGATGAGGGATCAGTTTGGCAACTACGTACTGCGTAAGTATATGAAGATGCTGTCCAAATGGGATTTGTTGCTAACGAGGAACTGTAGAAAAAGTTCATGCCCAACTAGTAGGGGCCGAGCTCGTTGGGCTGGAAGCTGATATGAAGCAGAACTATCCTCTTCTCAAGCGAACTAGCTACGGCAAGCAAGTTGGAGCGATTGAAAAGCTGTTGTTTGGAGGCAATGGACGGTCGACTGCTAGTACGAGTAGTCATGGTTCAGAGCTCCCGAGCACCACCAATAGCAGTACTACCGACAGCCCAGACACTCCGACCCGTCCATCGGAAGGAAAATAGTCGCTCCTGGCTAGAGCTGGAGTGGCAATCTGCCCAATATCGAAGTGGTTGTGTACATGGGGAGGTTTGGTCACCGCTGAATTTATACACGAAATAATTTATGATCGACGACCTTTTCGACCGAACAGGAGCATGAGGTCCCTGTGGATTGGGGATAGGCAAATAGAAATGCCTGAATGCATTGTGTTTGGTATATGTGATCTGGTTGTATTGTTTAAGTTTTCAACTCACGGACGGCGTTTGAGGAATGGGAATGGGAATGGGAATGAACGTGGGACAAATTTCGGGATCATCAGGAAGAAGCTGGATGCCCCATGGGATGCTGGCAACTGTTCATGAAATGAAAGGATAAATATGCTTGACGAGCAACGACTTGTGGATACCCCCGATTGGAATCTGGATGAGCGATTAAAGCAAAGACAAAGGGGCGAAAAGGCATGGTACATATTATTCAACAAACAGGCGGCCCTGTTTCATCGGTGTCAGGGAATTCATGTTCATTGTTCATTGGCTTCTGAACGAGCTGGATCATTACAGAATATAGTATTGAGCCAAGCGGGGAGCGAATCTTTGGTAGTCAATGGAAGCGGGAAACATCTTGGAAGTGTCTGCACAGCACTTCCTCCTATGAGAAGGATGCAGGATGAATATGAGCCTGAGCACCCAAGGATGATGATGGGTACTACATACTCGGCACTGCTACTATACACCGAGTCAGGACTATGTATGTGCTGTAGCTCGTTTTGGACTTTGTATGGTGACGCGAGGTGCCAACTGACCGCAAGCTGGAGCTGGAGCTGGAGCTGGAGCTTGAGATTCAGCTTCAGCTTCAACTCCAGCTGATAACGCCGAGGAAACAAGACAAGGTGCACCCAGCGGCAAAAAAGAACTCCGTACGTTGGCAACCTACGCGAAAGTGACAGTAGATTTTCGGTTCGGAATCAGGCGGCACAAGAGTACACCCTCGAGCCCCGGTGCAATACCAATTTGAATCCTTCTGCGGGGCAAAATGCAAGAGCAGAGATTGCGAGCCATGACCAGAGTTTTCATGCTACAGGCCGTTCGGTGTTTGGAAACGGTTGTCTGGGGTTTGTTGAACTTGGTGGTGGTTCTTGGGTCCAAAAAAAGAAACCCTAACAAACGGCCTGCGGAAGCAGGCAGGGCAGGTGGCTTAGGCATCGACCAGGTACCTCGCACCTAAGCCTGAGGCAGGTGTACCTGAATAAAAGCCCCCAAGTTTAGGTGCGGACTTACGAGTACTCGTACCACTGTGTGTGGATAGTGTCAAGGCCAAGGGCGAGGAGGAGGGTGTGCTTTAGGTAGGTGTCTAGGGTAGCCTTGGCCCCTTCGGCCCTGGACTGGGTGCTCGTGCTCGTGTACGGAGTACTCTTTCTGGTCTTCGTCGACCGTCGAACCTGTCAGAGGTCGACTTGCCCGAATGAATGAGTACGAGCCAGAGTATAGTACTCCATACCTCGTCTAATATTGTGGTGATGGAATCAGAATGGGAAGCCGGGCCTTTCCATGCCACCTGCGTCTTGTGCGGGAAACTTGCATATCTACTGTTATGGTTATTTTGATGGTCGTGGACACTTTGACTACACAGGAGAAGGTTTGAACACCTATGTACTGTGATTGTAATCTTCATGATAGTTTGGTGGGAGGTGGACGGTGGAGCTTTGGTTTAGGCACGTACCCAGACATCTAGGAGCCCCAGATGCCTTCTCGTATGTGCAAGTGAGGCCCGTCCGGAATACTGCAACAACGGTACTACTACTGGCTAACTGGTACTATCTCAGTCGTGCATGAATGATGCCATGGTTCATTCCCATTTCAGCCATTCCCTTCGATCTCGCAAATTGCCACACAAACAGAGATCGACTGATCGTCGGTATCAGCGCGCATCTGACAGTCTAGACGTTTCTTAGGTAAACACTTCCTTCACACAGTTTCTGTACTTTATTCGTGGCTCTAGTTTCCTATTGCGTGCCCTGCCCTGGACCATGCGTGGACCATGGCTATATCCCGGGACGTCGTGGTCAGCCCTTCAGTATGTACATGGGCCCCGGCACCACTATTGCCTCTGTAATATCGCTTGCTGACGCTGCTGGAATTGAACAGATCAATTGAGTCGGGGGTGTTTCAGGCCCACCGCACCTCCCGCGTCTGCTTTGGGTTTGGATGAAGTACCTTGATGATCCTCCCAGCAGGACCCAGCAGGCCGTTCTACACTAATTCCCCTAAATAACAGGCCGGTTTGAACCAACGCCTCGCGACAACATCACCGTCTCTTCCACCCCGTCCACTTTCGGTATAGCTCGCCTTGGGCCGTTGTCCCTTGGACCCGTACCGGCTAACCCTCTCCATCCTGGTATGCCTTAGCACTGCTGGTACCTGCTGGTACCTGCAGCTCCCGCCCCTGTGGCTTGAAGCCTCCTTAGCCGTCGTCATGGGTCTATCCAAACCCAAAAATCCTTCCGAAATCAAACCCACGCAGGCGAAAACGGCATGGTCCTCGCTCTCCTCCATCATGCATTTTCTGGTCCTAGTCCTTCGAGTTGCGCGTTCACAAGTTATTCTTGCTTTCGCTAAGTCCCGTGCCCTGACCGTCCTTTCTCGACAGGAAATGCTCCCACAGAACACGACGTCTCTCGCACGCGACCTTCTGATCACCGCGTCTTGTCTCGACTGTTGAAGGAGCCATCTACGAGCTGTCGACCTTGACACTCCACTACCCCCAGAGACGGACAAGATGGCGACGATAATGGCACCGGTCGAGTTGCCTACAGGCCGAAGATCCTATCTGAACACAGCCCCTCTACCTGATATTCACGACCCGAACTGGATACCTATACTGGATGGAGCATCTTTCAAACCTCCCTCTCCCTCGGTCGAGAAAGAGCTTTCGCCATACCAAAATGCTTCCTTCCCTCCTTCAGCATCGTTTTCCCTGTTTCCTGGCCAGGCAACCTCTCCCAAACTGCGGCAAGGCGTCTCTCACAACTACTCCAAGAGCTCACTGGCTCCCGAAAGCGTAGCTTCGGAATCGAGATCTCAAAGCCCTCAAGAAACCGTCGAACCGGTTCCTCCGATCAGCGATGCCGTACGGCTGACACATCCCGAAAGATCGGGACATCATCGACGTCCTACATCAATGGGGGGGGCTTCCATCGAAGAAAAGATTTCGGTCCGGACAGAAACTCCTGGGGACATGGTCCCGAGCGCTGCTAGCACCGACGGTACATCAAGTGTGGTGGAAGATCAGACCCCTAGCAACCCGGAAACCACCGGTTCAGAGGAGGCCATGATCAGTCCCTCATCACGGTCTTCCATGGCATCTTCACGAAAGGGCCCAGTGTTCCCTCCAACCTCCAAGTACAATCGCAAACCTGTCTTGTCAATGGCTGGCTCTATAGCCCCATCCATGAGCCGACCTTCTTTCATACCAAGTCTCCCCCAAACTCCTGCAGAATCACCTCGCCTAGGACCTTCCGTACCAATTATGCCAGCAGCAAACCCGATAACACAGCTTCCACCTTCTCCCAGGCTAATCCCATTGGAACCCCCTCCACCTCCACCACCCCCTCCACCACCACAACCAGAATCTACCACTCCTAAGCTTCAGGCCATGAAATCGACAGCTTCGGAAAGACGCCAGCGAGCTTTACACTCGCATCCATCTAACATTTCACTCCGATCGCGGCGCAACTCAAGTTCAGACGATGCGGAAATCATTGTCAAACCACCTTCAGTGCGCCATAAACCTCGCAAGTCAACCGACTCTCGCCCAACCACTCCCCGATCGACAATCTATGATTCGCAGACTCCCACTCCAGCTCCTACTGCACCATTACCCCAGCTACCTCCTCAAGCACGAAGACCATCGACACATGTCAGTGAGTCGCGAAGGTCGCCTCAATTGCCCTCAGCTGAAAACCCCGTTCCTTCCATGCACGCCTTCAAACCTTCACAACATTCAGAATTGGCATCATTCATGACCACTGAGAACACTGTGGTATTCCGAAGATTTGACGAAGTCCACGTTCAACTTCTCCTCTGTCTGCAAGACGAGATTGCACAACTGGAGAAGGAGCTCTTGGAACTAGAAAACCCAAATGCTTCTGGCACCGCTTCCGAGAAGCTCCTGAAAAGATCGAGGGTACTGCGGGAGTTGAGGAAAGTCGTTGCGGAGTATGGTGAGTAACTTACAGCTCGAAGTTTGCTCCTGGAACTGTGCTGATATATCAACAGATAATATGCTTTCGACCTGGAACAAGATGAAAGAGATGAGCGTGGACGAAAAGACCAGTGGAGACTTGAAACAGTGGCTTGAGAAACCACGAGAGGGTTCTGAATCTGGCCTGGGCATCGAGGTGCAGCAAGACCTAGCCTGGGCTCAGAGCACCAAGGACCTGAGCAGCATCTCACTCAAAAGAGAAATGGCGAGAGCCGTGGAGGAGACGCCGACGGAAAATAGAACACCAAGTATTAAAGAGAACGAAGGGAATGCCAGCAATCGTGGCGGCGGCGGCGGAGGCTTTTTAGCCCTCTTTGGATGCGCCAGCAAGAGGAAGTAATGATTGATGTACGACTATCAGAGCATGCATACGACAACTTTTTTCTCTCTCGATCTTGATCCATACTTGAATGTTGTGTTATTTGTTCTACGCTGGCGATCAAGGGTATAAAAGCCATCATTTGGATACCACATTGGCTACGATCTGGTGCACTAGGCTCGAGGATAAAAGAATGGCGGGGTATGGGATATGGGATATTGCGTTTACTACTTTTGAAAACGGCCGACTCAGGCATGGGACAACATGGGGATCTCGCCATGTGAGCGGACGGGAGTACGAGCTGTTGTGATCAACTATGGGATGCAAAACTCCCTTGACTATCCGATAGCACTTTCCAAGAAAGGGGAGAAGTTGATGTATGTATAGACAGACTTACTAAACCACTGACTAACTGGTATCATATAACTATTAGATACGATCAACCATAAAGCATAACAACTTTGACTAACCGTTCGCCCAAGCGCTGGATATTCCAAGTTCAACTAAGATATCCGCCATGAGCCGCTTAGATGGTACCTTGCATAAGCACAAAGTGTGGCACACGAATCGTTCCCTTGATGAAGCTAGATCATGATACTATAGGTCGAGTACTGTTGATTGCTTGGACTTGCTGCTTGGAGATCTGCTGCTTGGTGGTCCGGAGAAAAGGCGGCAGGCGGAGGTACTTTATTCCAGCCGTCCCTGGTAGCCCTCCCCGGATTTAAGTTAGCCTCCTTAGGCTCCTCACGTGCCAACGAATACGAGTTGTGTTGTCGCGGCTCGCAGCTGAAAAAGAATCCGGAGTTGAACTTGCACATCGTCACGTTTTCATTAGTCACAGTAAAAGGGACCTCTTCTCGTTCCTCGGTCCCCTCTTCTTTCCTTTTCCAACTCTTCATTAACATCGTACGGATTCATTATTTTGGTTTCCTTTCGGACACCGAGACCATCGTGGACTTCTGACGCAGGAACATAGGCAGGACAGACAGGCAAACGACAGAGCGAAGCAAAACCTGGCTTCTCTGCTTTTTTCGGTGGCAACCGTCGGGGCGGTGACGTGGTTGTGATTTTTGGGCAACGGGCATCCCTTTTCCCCATTTTCTTTGTCTCCCTTCGGTCTTTCTCAGCCATGTTTCCACCACAGCAAGGCACGTCACTCGACATCGAAGCTCTCTCGGGGATCTGCGGCTCGATCTCCATTGCGTGTTGGGTGGTCGTGTTCTCGCCTCAGATCATCGAGAACTTCCGACGAGGATCGGCGGAAGGTCTCTCGATTGTGTTTCTTGTCATCTGGCTTGCGGGAGATGTCTTCAATATCCTCGGCGCCATCCTTCAGGGCGTTCTGCCGACCATGACCATCTTGGCGGTCTATTATACACTGGCGGACATTGTGTTGATGGTTCAGGTGTTTTACTATCGAGGGTTCACGTTGACGGACAATGTGGGCACGACGAGTCAGTCAGATGGCGACGCGGAGACGAGGCCTCTGCTGCACAGTGGCTCCGTGACTCAGCCGCCCTCGAGGGATGAGGACGATCGATCTCGATCGATCAGTTCATTGCAACGGCATCTGTCTGTCGATGGGACACATCTGTCTCCCGTGACGCCCCTGCTCGACGCCCCAAAACCCAGCGATCCGCCCGCCGTCAAGAATATCAAACCTACCACTACGCTCCAAACCATCATTTTCAACTGCTTCGCAATCCTCCTTGTCTGCGCCGCCGGCGTGTTTGGCTGGTGGATCACGGCTCATAAAGTCCACCGTGGCCACCACTCAGTAAAAGGTGAAGAGCCAGAACCACTGGAATTCGACACTTTGGGGCAGACTTTTGGCTATCTATGTGCTGTTCTCTATCTCGGATCTAGAGTGCCACAGCTCCTCCTAAACTACAAACGGAAAAGTACAGAAGGCGTCTCGCTCTTGTTTTTTCTGTTTGCCTGTATTGGAAACTTGACATATGTCATGTCAATTTTTGCTTATTCGCCGATTTGTCGGAAACAGGGGCATTGTGAGCCGGGGGAATCTGGGGCTGTCTACGCGAGGTATATTGCAGTCAATGCTAGTTGGATCGCGGGTAGTTTGGGAACTTTGTTTTTGGACATGGCGATTTTTGTGCAGTTTTTCTTGTACCAGAAGGCGGACGAGAGTGATGATGAATATGAGGATTAAAAAACCGAAAGAGGACTTGGTCGACGACCGAACAGATCACGCCGAATTTCAAGAGACTTCCGAGCCGAAGGGTCTACGCCCTTTTCATCAGGTAGCGGTCATCCACTGCGTTTGGGCAGGACACATGCTCTCCACTCAGGCTCGCCGCCGGCCCCAGGCTTCGAAAACAGCAGCAACCCACGTTTCATCATCAGTTTAGAAGACCTCTTAAAAGCCATTTCAGCAGGGTTGCGTCTACGGAGTTTGACCATCAAATCTGGGTTTTTGAGAACGATACTACTCGATAACTTCCCTTCATCTGTGACAATAGACCCTGACAATTTAAAAAAGGTCCTGGAGCTCCGGCCTCCACGCCCTTCACTTGGGAATCCGGATTAATCGACCACGCTGTTCGACCTCTTGATAAAAGCACGTGAGAATTATCTTGTGAACATATGGGTATTGTAGGCGTCGAAGGAAACAAGAGCATGAGAGCAAAAGCAAAATTCAGAGTGATTTCAGTCTCACGACACCAAAGAGGATTAAATTGTAATTATGTCCAGGCGTTTTCACTGGAAAAGGTTGCTGTAGCGGAAACGCTCAATGGAAGGAAGGTAAAGGCCCCTTATCTCCAGGCGCAAAAAATCCGGTGACGGCACGCACAAGGCACACCATCTTAAATCAGGTACAACACGAAAGAGAATGCATCTATGATACATATATCAGTATTCTTGAGGATAACCATGAAAACAATTTCATGTAACGAGGGTCGCCTGCGCCCATCTCATTCATGTTCACCCTTCAAGTTGGCCAATTTCAACATGCCACCACAAGAACTTCCAGATCCAGCGCTCGGACCCGGTGGTTGTCTCGCCAACGACCCAACCACACCCGTTGACGTCATAATGAAAACAAACCCGAAATATTGAGCCCGCTTCTAGACCACCAGATATTGGATATTTTCCGAATCTCAGCAGGGGTATTTACGGGTACAGACACAGACACTGCTACTAGTAGTAGTACTACAACTGAGGCGACCACGAGTAGTTCCCAGGCATCTTTCAATCTTCTCGTTACCGACCCCGGCAACCATAATGCACGGACACTCCTGCCTTTCCTCGTCAGATCGCCCTTTTACCTAATTATCCTATCCACCTCTGGAATTCAAGACCCTTGAGGCTTTGACTCTTCCAACCAACCTCTACTAGTACTGCACTGTACGAGTGCATCACACTTGAGCCTCACCTTTAAATCAGCAAGTTCAACAACAATTCTATTGGAAACAATTGTATCTTCGCATCGCACAACAGATCCCAAACCCCCGAAATCAAAACGATGTCACCTAGCAAAGCCACCAACGCACTCTGCGAACGCTCACCAAACACCTCCTCGCCATCACCAACCAAATCGCAGTCTCCCGAGAAAGCAATTAAAACTCAAAGCGGCGTCAACATGAATGAGAAGCCAATCCCGCGATTCGACCTGAACACAAACACCACCATCGGCCGTGACACCCGGGCAACAACCACATACATCAGCCCCAGTGATGCCATCCGGAGCCCGACCACGAAGAAACTAAGTGAGATAAAGGGGAAGAGATTCCAGTATGTTTCCTCTATTCTGCCTTCATTTCGTTCAAGCCGATGCTTGACATGCTCGTCCTCGTTCTTGTCTTTGTTCATTATACTAACCGACCTCCCCAATGTAGAAACGCAAAACCACAGAATCTCTTCGCCAAGACGCTGGCGATGCAAGGTCTCAAGAAGGCGCAGGTGCAGGAGCCAGACGGCGGTGATGGGGATGCCAAGGTTGCCTGAGCAGATGGCTGGTCACGACTGAGAAGAATTTAAAAAAAAATTTAAAATCGACCAGGACCCGAGAAAAACCCCAAAAATCCCCCCAAGAAAAAAATAATGATTCTGAACAGGAAGTAGGCGCCTTGTCTCGACTCCTCTAGAAAGGTTGGAGGAGGGTTTCTTCTTGGGATTCGATTGGAAGCATTGTCCTTTCTGGGTGTTTTCATTTTGTGGCTTATAGGATTCCCCCATGAACGCTTGAGACTGGATTAAGGACGCGGAAGCCCGGGGGAGGGAGGGAGGGAGGTGTTCCGGCGAGATGTAAATGAGAAAAGAAATTGGCTCTTCGCTTCTTATGTTATGTTATAATGATGGACGGGCCCTGGCTCTCTCTCAGGTGCAGGCCTTTTCTTCCCTGCCTGGACCTTCTTGTGTTGGGATATGACCTTTGTGGCATATATACATATTACCTATCCAAATGCTTATGGTAGAGCAGAGCACCTGACTTGCCTCTCTTACATCTCCCTGGGTCTATTCCGCCCCATCACTGCGGTCGAGACAGTAGCCCAGAATAGGCAACGCGAGAGCAACAGAAGAATTGAAAAAAAAAATAGTGACGCGATTGACTCCTGAGGTTTGCTCGATCGCTCGCTCGTTGGTAGTTTCAGTAGTATTGACAGACACAACAACAACATGTAGACAATTCGCAACACCACTAGGTGGTCAGAGAGGTAGATTGGGAGGGCTGGTGAACCACTGTACCCCACGGGAGTTTCGAACATAGCTATACATAATTGTCCACGGGAAACTGAGTTCCACCAGTTAACGCAAGATTGATTAGTCCGGCATGAATAACCCACAGCATGAGGAATCTAACAGTGATGAGTAACAGACACCAAGTGACACATCTCGATTCAGAGAAAGACAATTTGGATCTTCACTACGTAGTTTCTCCGTTGTCTTCGTTGAGGGAAAAGGCCCGTTTAACTTGATTTGATTTGATTAAGCTGCTTGTTGCCCACATAGCTGGTGCGGTGCAGCCTTTGATAAAAGGCCGACTTCCTTCCCCCTGAGGTCGTTCAGGCATGCGTTGTTGCCTTTCTCTTCCTGGGGGATATCTATCTATACACGGTATGCCGCCTCCCGTTCGCCGTGAAATCAATCCTTGTGGCACCCCATTCGGCGCCGTCGCTTGCTAATCCTTGAAAACATGAACATGACAATCATTACCGGTAGAAGGAAGAGGTCTATGTAGGATAAACTGTATCGAAAACGATGAAAGACGATCATTTGACAAGTTCAGGTTGTTTTCTTGAGAGGTCGTGAGAATTCCGATTTGGAGGGACCCCAGAGGTTGAGAGTCCTGGTTGGGCAGTCCCGCGAGCTTAATGAGCGGCAAATCTGCTCCTGGCACGGAGCGTTGCGCCAAACTTCCACAAGGCCCAGATGCCGATGATGCCACCGACGGTCAGACCGGCGAGGAGTGACACACCTTCCCCAACACCAAGATTGTGGAACAAGGGGCGGGAGAAGTGGATGGCGCCCGCGGCAACAGAGGATCTGGCAAAGTCGTTGCCGGCGAACAGGGAGGCGGCGTATTGTGGGTAGGTGAGTGGGATGTAGATGAAAAGACACTGGAAGAGGATGAAGATGCCGATGGTGAAGATGACAACACCGAGGGTTGGTACGATCCAGTGGATCTTGGGAGACGAGTTGCCAGTCCACGCGAACAGAAACAGTCCGATGGGCAGCAGGAACGTGGCGGGAAGAGCCGGGATGAGACGTCGCTCTGGCTCGCCGAGTCCCTTGGTCTTGATTTCCGGCTCGAAGACGTAGCGCAAGTAGTAGACGTAGAGAACGATGGCGATGCTGACGCCCACGGAGATTGAAAGGAAGATTAGACCGATTTCTCCTGCGTTCATGCCGTATCCATGAGTGGCCGAGCGAGGGCCATTTCCATATGCGTAGACCAAGGGGAAGACCTCGAAGAACGAGTAGAAGATGGCGTACATCAATGCAGTGTACACGCTGGTGAAGAGAATGGCCGGGTCGAGAAACATGATTTGAATGGGACGCCAGAGATTGCCGATGACGACCTCATTGACAGTCAACTTCTCCTGGTCAATCTCGGATTGAGACTTGAGGTTTGCCATGCCGGTGAGCTTTCGTAGACGGGCCGCACGGCGCAGAAGAATGTTGGAGGCGGAGGTTTCAGGCAGGAGAAACAAGAGGGAGATATAGACTGGGGCAGAGAGCCAAACAATCTCCCAAAGCGACCAGTGCCAGTTCTCCGCGGGCACGGAAAAGCCTGAGATGATGGGACCCAAGGCAGGACCTGCATGATGAAATTGTCAGTTTCCGACTTATCTAGAAATACTATGGGGTGGGGGAGGGGGAACTCACCTGCAGTAGCAAATGCAGCCCACCCGGTGAGGAAGTATGGGAGCTTTATGAGGGAGTACAGATCTCCAATGGACGCACCACCGGTTGCGAGGCACGGGCTACCGAAGAACCCCTGCAAGAAACGGAGGACTATCAAAGCCGGGAAATTGTTCACCACGGCTGTTGGGATGGATATAATGACGAAGATGCCCAAGGTGACCATATAAGGCGGATTTCGCCCAATAACGGGGATTTCAGAGAGCGGTGCGAAGATCAGGGGTCCAAGACCGTAGCCCAAAACGTACATTGACAAGCCCAGGGCAGCCACGTTCTCGGAGACACCCATCTGTTCAACAACGTACGGGATGGAAGGAGTGTAGATTGCAGATCCCATGTACACAGCAAGCGTGTAGAGATAGATCTGTAACACCACCAAGCCTTTCTTCCGCATGGTCCAATTCTGCGGGTTCTCTGGATCGTCGGTAGTGTACCAATCAACCAGAATGGTACCGTCAGAGGTGATTTCCGGAGCGATTGGCCGACTGGCCTGGTTCTTTAGGGACTCTTGCCGAGTGGCATTGGTGTATGCTTGCTCGAGATCTGCGCGGGTATTGACCTGACTCATTTCAGGTCTTGTCATGATTTTCGAGAGCGTTCGATCGGAGAGCGCAACGGATTCTCGATCCACAGCTGTCTGGGCTGTTGTGAGAGCATTGGGATCACTCGGAGGTTCTTCCAGTTTCTGTTCCAAAGCCTCTGGAGAAGCCACACTTGAAGCACCGGACCCTATCGATTTTGAGCCTTGATATGAACTGGGACATTGAAAGTCGGCTTTTTCCTCTGGGTACTGTAGGTATTTGTTACGGGTGACGAATCGAATGATTTGGCCCACAGGGGCATCTCGCAATAGGCCAGACATGTCTGAGTCAATGCGAGAAGATGGTATGCTGTGCTAATCTGCAGGAGTGATTCAAGACTGTGGACTGTAGAAGGGTGAGAAAGTGTGCGAATCACAATACACCAATCAAGATGGAAGCTTGAAGTGAACACGAGAACGAAGCGAGAGGGAGGGATGTATCATATTTATCTGAGAGTCAATCTATATACTTTACCTGACCACAGTGTTGATGACTCCATGTGGTTACCATGTATCGACGGTCAAAAAGGCTGAGCGTACCGTACCACGGGAGAAGACTCTCGAACCAAAAAACAACAACATGAATTCCTGAATAATCAGGTGGGGCTTCGGGCCAATGTCCATCAAAAAGCAACCGGGGTTGGAAGTTAAACATGGGTAGCACGCCAGTGTGTGATGGACCGACGGCTGGACGAAACGGCGTTAATGAGATAAGCATGCGCAGGTTGTGGGTGTCTGTGCTGGAGTTGGAAAGAAGATGTGATGGGAAAAGGTTAAATTCACTCGCTTCGTCCGAATAACGTACGGATACGAGTGAATATCCCCGAGAAGACCATGAGGGAACATGCAAAGGACAAATGACAAATGACTAAATGAGGGTTGATGGAGGATGGCGGATGAGAGAGAGTCGATGACGAAATTGAAGCACCCGAGCCGATGACGACAGCCAAGGCCACGGCGTGTTGGATGTATCCGTGTGGAAGGAAGGAAGGAAGGAAGACTTATCATTATCTCCATGGCCCCCACCCCACCTTCCACTTTGGTCAATGAAACCCTTTCCTTCGGCCTTGGCGAGACTCACTCACTCGAGATTCTTGAGGCTTTTTTGGATCGAAGTACATAAGGTTATTTCCACTGTCAAGTCCGTTGTGCATATCCATATTCAAAGAGCGATACTACGTATTCGAGGCGAGGCAGGTGGAATAACACATCATCAATCTCACCTTTCCCATGGTATAATTACAGTAGCATAATAGTATGCTGAAATTACCAAACATGGTAATAAACATCTTCGGTCTGTAATCTCGAGCAAGACGTGCTCTGTACATTCCTGGATTTCTACCTGGATTTCTACCACCTCCTACTCAACCTAGAGTTTTGACTGGAAGACCAACCACGTCGTATCGAGAGAGGCTTCTGCGACCGGAGGGTTCAGTAATCCTGGTCTGTCCATGAGACGGCTGATCAATTCAACCAATGGCTAGAGGAAGCGGTCGATTACGAAAGCGTAGGCCCACTAAAACGAGGCGTCATGCCGTTTGACTCAGCAAACGAGCCGAGACTGCATCAAGCCTTGCCCCTAAATCCTGAAAAAGCTGTCATGTACTGGGTATGTCCTGGGTATCTTCTCAGCTCTCAAGCTTCGCACAGTGGCTTACATACAATCGCTCTAGCGGGAAGTCAGCGGGAAATACGAGGTGGTGGATCCCAGAATCACATAACAACCGTCCTGAATCCCTTCATGATTGTCAGATAGCCCATGCCTCCACATCGTCTCCTGCATGGATGAAAGGCTCATCAACTTGTTTGATCCCTAGATCCCCGCAGAGTACGCATTGCTCAGCAACTACCCCGTCTAGCTCTGCCACAAGCTTCTGTCGCTGTGGTCCAATGCTCAATCCCTGATTCACCTCGGTCTGAAGATCCTTGATACGTTTTCGTTTGGCGCTGCCCGAATTCTCGAGGACTCGTTTACCCAGACAGTCACTGTGGAAGGCATGCTGACAGGGAAAGACGAAAAACTGTCGGCTCAACACTGGCAGTGTACAAATCCAACATCGTTCGCCTGATTCCACAATCGCATATCGATGGTCCAGGGCAGCAATTTCGGCCTTGATCTGTTCCGCCGTGTGCTGAGAAATGTCCATCTCTTGCTTCAGGTTATCGATGTGCCGGGAGTACTCCTCCAACGCCTCGCAGATCTCTTCTTTAAAATCATCAATGACCACAAAATCTGGAAAGAAGGGGATGAGATCCTCGATCTTGAGCAATTCGCATTGTTTCAAGAAATTAATCGCTTCCTTGATTGATGATGCCTCCTTGATCTTCTTCTCTGCAATCAACAGCCACAGTCGTTTTCTGACCTGGTCATTCCCTTCCAGTCGATCAGCAACAATTGCTGCCAGGTCAATATCATCGTGTTGAAGGGCAAGTTCCACAGCCTGTTGATACTGTCCCATTGTACTATATATATGCACACAGGATTGGACTCGATTGTGCTGAATGCAGAGTCGCAGAGCGAAATCTGCATCGTATAAAGGAGGACTTGGTTGACTTTCAAGATATCCGAGCAGCGCAGTCTCCGAACCTGATGGATGTGATGCCATGATCGATATCAGCGTGTTGTGGACTGAAGCTGGGACGCTGAAGTCATTTGTGACAACATAGTTCAGATATCGCACTGCCTGATTCTGAGGTAGGGGCACGCTTGCGGTCTCGTTGTAAGTCAAAAGAGCAGGAATCATTTTCTGCGCATCGATATTACTTCTCCTCATCAGGATTTCCACCAATCCTGTCGCAACGTGGGACATGAGCACGTTGCTATACCGATAAAAGGTCTCTGGATTGCTTTGCTTGTTAAGCACTGACAGTGCCTCGTTCCATTGTTCTCGTTGCACCCAATATGATAGCACAAAGTCATAGTCGGTGATGCTATTGGCAAAGAAAAGGAGTTCTTCCTCTCTGTCGTGACTCGAAATAACTTCGTACGTTGTTTTGGCGTCAAGGTCTGCTTTGTGTTTGGTAATAAATTCTTGAAATCCTTTTTGTGTCTTTTCCAAGTCACGCTGAGCTCCGCCTGCGTCGGTGTTCTCAATGAGCTCTGCCTTGGTTGCAACCATGTCGTCAAGAGCGTTCAGCTTAGCAATAAACATTTGCACAAGCCAGGTTGCTATCATGACTCTCTGCATGTATGATGATTTCCTGTATGACCCCAGCTTGGTCATCAAATATGTCCTGAGCGCATCTTCTTGTGCATTGTCGATCAAGGATAAGCAAACTTCTTCAAAAGCTTTACTACTCTTTCCCCATATGCTTGCTGCTTCGAGATACTGTCCTTTACTCGACAAATAGTCTCCCGAAGCAGTGGCCACCGAGTCTTTCTGTGCTGCATCTTTTGCATATTTGAGTGCTGCGTCATAATCTTGATTTTTGAGCATAGCTTTCCAGACATCTCGATCTTCGTTGTTAGCAACAACTTCAAATATCTCCTGATTGGTGAATAGCCAGAAGGTGTTCTTCTTCTGATCTGCAACGAGCCCAAGGGCGCTTTGACCTGATTCTAGGACAGCTTGGTCATAAACGACACTCCCGTCGAGCCTGTTGACCGCAATGATTCGGCCTTCAGCGAGAGCGAGTACATGCCATTGTGATAGTATTACAGATGCAACTGGGTCTTGGATCAGCTTGCGTCCACCACGAGCAGATATCGTCTCTGGGAAAATAGACCGAGGATGGAGTGTGGCTTCGCTGAAGATCTTGGAGCCGAGGTTGGAAGTGGTCGGAGATGTGAGAAGTTTGCCGGTCAAGACACCTTGAGAGTAGAGCCATGCGAAGCTTCGATCGGAGCTAGAACTCGAGTCTGCTGTTTCCGGAGACACTGAGAACGAGGATGGGGCTGTAGCGGCAGCACCACTAGCGGTATGTGTTACAGGGGCCTCTTTCGAGAACAGGTCGGCATAAATGGAAGCTGAGCCTTCTCGTCCTCTACCACCTGTTTTACCTATCCAATGACATAATCTTGAGTGCGATGCGATGATGACCCTCCTCAGACCGGCTCTACCATCTACAGTCTCAGCCCACAGCCCTGTCACAGATCCATCTGGAAGTTTCCAAACCTGGGCGGAATATCTCTCTTCTCGTCGATAAAATTCGGACGCGGGTTCAATATATGTCTCGTAGATATTCCCATCGATCGCCCCGACCAGTATTTCTCGTGTCGAGGCCGTGGGTTGCGAGGGATTCCAGGCAACTGATTCAATAGACACGCCTTTTAATCTTGACAACGCCCTTGGCGTCTTTGACTGACTATGGAGATAGAAATTCTCGCCCAAAGTCGTACTGATGATAAGATGGGATGCCGAAGGGTCAAGGAACATGCGCCGTATCAGACCGACTTCGCTTGTCTTCTTGGGTAGGTCAACATCTGTTTCCTCAAGTCAGCGCCCAGTCGATGATCAACAGAACAGGCTGTACGGACCGTCAATATCAGAGGGGCTCTCCAGATCAATACGGAGAATGCGCCCAGTAGCAAGGGCCAGTATTAGGACGTTATTTGCAACCTGAGCAGCGACAAAGTCGGATGCGATGTTGAACTGCAATTGGACTCGTTCGACGTTGAAGATGGGGAGGGAGGTCTCGACACCGCGATGGGCAAGGCCCGGTGCCACATAGCCTTCATCAAGATCTAGCGCCATGAGCGCGGCTTCTTTGGGGGGGTTCAATTCATCTTGCTCGCAGATGTGTTTGTTTGCTCTTACGCAGGCAGTAGCACTGGCTCGAATACACTTGGAGCACTTCGAGAGTCTCGCTAGGGACGTTCACGGGCCACTGGTACCCGTAGCAATCGAGGCTGGCTGCGTCATCGGCACGTGACTTTGGATTCCTTGGCAAGAGCCTCTCTGGAGTCACCACAGAGTACAGGGTCAGCGAATTCGCATGGACAGTCGTAACTGTCCGGTGCACATGAGAGCTTGATCACGCGAGCGGTACTCTTCGCGTTCAACGATCAAGAAGTAAGCAGCAATGCCTTGAAGCACGCAAGAGTGAGTCACCTGGCGTAGTCATCGCTTAAGTGCCTTCAACAGTGCGCTTTAGGGTGGTGACCAGCACGCAGCAGAGACACGCTTCACAATAACCCCGTAATCAGGAGTTACCGATCTGGCAAGGATACCCTGCTTGAAACAAGACTTGACCACCTCCTCAGGCTCCCCGAACATGCAGGAACAAGCATCGCTCAACGAGCACAAAATCAATTGAACGATTTGCCCAAGGAGCAACCCTGCTCAGCGGCAAGGTAAATCCTCAATTTCGTACTTTTTGCTACATTTTTCAAATACATCCTTGATACAGAGTTTGGGTATGTTTGTGTCACCGAAATCCAATCGAGTATGTTCCCCTCGGGCCCCGGTTTTTCCCGAACAGAGCAAATACAATGAAACAGGGTGATATCAATCTCGAAGCAAACACCTCCTCACCATTGAGCCTCTGGCAACATGAGACGACCCTTTCTCTCTCGCATCCATTTCTCGTCCCGAAACTTGAGCAACGATCGTTTGTTCTTGCCCCTACTTCTTCACACTCTGTTGCCTCTCCTTATTTCCCCCCATTCTCGACCCCGTCGACAAATTCAAGCGCCTCCTCGGCAATCTCGTCGGTGACGCCGGGCAGCGTGACATCAGGGAGGTACTTGCTGTGAGATTCACGGTGGGTGGCGGGCCCGTCCATGAACTTATGAGCCTTATCTGCTAGGTCGTCGGATAAACCGGGGCCTGTGCCCTTTGATGTTCGCGCGAAGTCGCGAGCCAGTCTGGCCGCGTCGTCCGTGACTCCCGTAGAGGACCGGCGTATTGTGCCGGACATGAACTCGTGTGCTGATGCGACTGCGTCATCTGAGATGCCGCTGCTGGACCGCCGATGCCCACCGGCGACACCAGCTCCAGGAGCAGCGGATGAAGGAGTTGCTTCTTTATTCATTGTTTCCGGTGGATGGGGAGAGGAGATGTCTTGTAGTGGAGTTTTTCCTCAACGCAATTGGTTTTAGTGACGGTTACCTTCTCAGCAGTGAAGTCTTTCTCGATGGAATGGATCAAGAAGGTCATATTAGACTCGCGGGGCAAGAGAGGTGGGAACCTGTAGCTATGGTCGCGTGCTCACACCACAATCACCCCTCCTCGCCGTGCCTGAGAGGGGTCTCGTTTGATCAGTCAACTCATACTTTGCTTGGAGGCGGGGTTGTCTCAATTGCTATAGGTGTGTGCAAGGGTCCGTATTTTCACTGCGGAAACTGAGCGGCATGACGTGTGCGAAGGGCAACAAAGAATCCCGTTTTGTGAAGAGGCATTTTTGGTTACACCAGGAGAAGACATAGAGGGCTTCGACGGGTTTGAGGATGTCTGTACTAAGATCTGCTTGCTTGTGTCGTGCGGTGGATGTAGTCTTCCGTCCAATATCTGCCAAAAGCTTTGCAGGGCCTTGGCCTTTTCGAGGGGTTGCTCAATAAGATCCACAGCTTTCAGTTGGGTACAGTACTACCTCATATCAAATGAAGAATGCTTATATTTTCATCTCTCTGCACCTTGAGGGTACTCTCAGCCCGAGTCGACCGCGGGGTTGTGAGAAAAAGGGGGTAAAGGATTGGGTTTCCCATCAGTTCCACAGAGTGCCTCGGGAGGTTCAAGGACATCGGCAGTGAGGTAACCACATGTTTGAAGGATTTCACCTCTCAGCCAGCCAGCGGCCTGTGGGCCGGACCACGCTGTGCCATCTGCCAGCTCGAGTATTATGGCTTTTTGGGGAAGGACCCTCCATCTACTATATATCAATGAGTCAACGACCGATATTATTTGTTACCACCCGAAGCCCCGGGATGCCACCCTCCCTGTTCCAGTATTACCATCATTGCCATGATGATCAAATCCAAAGTTGAATTCGAAATCCGGTATTGCGAGGAAATCCTGTAAGACCTGTCTCTCAGGGTGATTGATCGTCTCATGCGAGGACATAAGCATACTGTCCAGACCGAAGAAAGCAGACTCAGCAGCTGAATGCAAGGTCCCAAGACCGCCAGTCATGTCGGGGTCGGTGGTGTTGGGAACGGCAAAGTTCAGAGCCCCTGCCGCTCCTCCTCCATGGTCGCTCGCGCTGTCGATCGACCAGTTATGATGAGAGATATGAGGTTGGGGCTGGCGATAGCTACTGGGGCTGATGGTAGGTTCTTTCGCGGCTACAGGCATGCTGGTGTTCTGCATCCTGTGGGTTGTAGCAGTAGCAGTGGATGTGGTAGCAGTACCTCCACCCTTGAGCATAGCCTGCCAATTCTTGAATCTGTCGTATCCTGACACAGTACTCATACCTTCTGGCGATACATTGTCGACGTGGGGTTTCGTCGTCGCAGCGAAAAATTGCAAACGTGCAAGTGCATGTTCGAGTGCTTCGATAAGTGAGACCTCGGCTCTCGCAGAGGCTCCGCTTGCAGACATCTCTCGTATCATCGATAGACCCATCTGCAGCGACTCTCTGAACCGATCCGTTTGGTTGTAGATGCAATAAGCAATGAGGACCAAGAGTGAGGCTCGGCAGGAGCTGTACTCGATATATGAGGCTCTGGCGAGGCCCACCCCGTCTCGCAATTTCCTGCACACCGCGATTGCTTCCTGGGCCGCTTGGACACAATCGTCGATAAGTGTCGTTCTCCGTGACACCTTCCTGTCTGTTTCGCCAGTAGCGGTATTTGAAGTGGCGTTGCTGTCCTTCCTCGACATTGAAGTCGGAGTGCTTCCAGGGGCATGACGACTGAACAAAAATGGCCGTCCGACAAACATACGTACTAGACAGTATTCTAGTCTCAAGTGCATTCTTGGTCGAAAGCTAGTCGAACGGATTGAACTTGATTCACCATGAGCTCCTGGCGGCAGATTTTCGAACCATTTCGCCAGCGATTCTTTCATTGTAATCAAGCGGGAGAGAATTCCTTGCAACTCGTTTTTCTGGCATTTCCGCAGCAATTGCATTTCATTGAAGAAGTTCTCAAGTTTGTGTAGTAAGTGGACGGATGCTACCATGTATGGGATATTGGAGCTTGGTCCGGCCTGAATCATGTCAGCTCGGTCTTTGGGCAGATCAGCGTCGACATCCGATCGGAGGACAGAGATTGGCCTTCCATGAAAAATCCCAATCTTCTTTTCAACCACATACAACGTCCACCATACACGGTTCTTCGTCTCAATAGTGATTTCGTCAATCGCCTTGCCCGGGTATTTCCGGTGCATTCCATTCACGATCGCCAGTTTAATAGCGAGGTTGTAATAGGTGTAAGCCAGGCCCGAAGCGTCAAGAGGGTTGCAATAAAGTCCAAGAAGAAGACATGCTTGTACACTCTCGAGGGAGGAAATTTGAATAACTTCAGGCAGGAGTTTTGCTGCCTGTTCGAAAAACATCGTGCCAACCTCATCCTCCGAGAAGCTCATCCCTCCTGGGTTTGCCGGGCCAGACGGATTGAGCGATTCGAGGTACGCATACTGTGTGCCGATGGCAAATGTCGCCAGTGCGATACTGACCTTGCCAGCATCTTTGGCGGCCAATTGGTTCGGATTAGTGTAAAAGACATTCAAGACATCCAAAAGCCAAGCCCGATCAACGTAGAAGTAGTTGGACTCCGCATGGCGGAAGAAAACGTGGACGAGGAACTCTGCTATATCTCTGGGTGGGCAGCAGGCGAGTGCAGCAGAAAGACTGTGGGAGCTTGATAGGAGAGGCTCTGCTCGCCAGAATTCAGACACTCGTTCCGCATTCGGAGCGTCTGGGTTGGCACTGCCCATCCAGTCCTCCACATGTCGTTTGATCCGTTGGGAGAAATTCCAATATGAAAACTCGCCCGAATAGTGAGTGACGTTACCCTCAACCGGGCGGATCTCAACATCGTCATCCGCTAGAACTGGATGTCCCTCGCCTTCAGCTTCCGAAGTCGTGGATTTGTTGCTGGATGTCTCCAGCAAATTCTCTGATATGCGCCGCAAGTTCGCAGTATCAAGATCAAGCCCGGGAAGCTTGTGTCGTAAAATTCGTTCCAGGTAGCGAGCGCGATCTTTCAGTTCGTTTCCCTGATAGCTAGGAGTTGTGGGTCTTTTAAGTAGAGGACTATATTAGAATAAACAAAGCATCAGGACCCCTTTTCCTTACCGGGTAGAACCTGGCCCATCTTGAGATATTGGCTCAGCTTTCACGCCCTTGAATTCGCAAGTTCGTCGGAAATGGGTACACCTTCGACACGGGATGCCTCCTTCGCATTTTTCCTTGACTCTGCGGCAGCCGTCACAACTGAGAATTCAAATTTATTAGCTGGAATAGATTGGAAGTCTGAGGGATAAGAGCCTACGCTCGAATAGCACGCTTCCGTTCATCATCCGCTACTTTCCTTCGCTTCGTTTTCCGGCCACTGGCAGGGGAATCTTGCCCGTAAAGATCTTCCTTCGGGCGGCCTCGCTCAGCAGAGTCCTCTTTCATCTTGGTTGCATCGCAATCTGGGAACGATCAGAGTTCACAATGGGGCTAAAGCGATCTCGCCCTTCCATGAATCCGTCACCTTGACGATGGACAAAGGTCGAAAAGAAGCTCCAAATATCGGGATGCGGACTTAGGCACGCTGAGCCGAGGGACGCTTCAAGCTGAGTATTGTGCGCCGCGCAATATAGAGTGCCAAATTATTAAAAATTCAAGTCAATCGTGCTCGCGACAACGATCTTCACGATGGAGGACTCTGGTATCGATAGGCGATCCAGAACAGTCGGAAAATCTGTGGATCCAGAGTTTCCGGAAAGTCCCATTTTGTACACCATTCGAGTCGCTGAAGGCGATCGACGGAGTATCCCGTCTTGTCTTTCTTGTCACAGCCAAGCGGGTTGTCAAACTCAATATGGACTGTGAACGCATCGTTCAAGCTCTTATCCCATCATCCGACAGGTCACTGCAGCTGCAGCTAATTTCACATCGGATAAGCTTACAGAAATACGTCGCATACTTCGCACATGCAAGTGCGTGATGGCTTCAAGCTCATATTCTATCAAGGCGACTACGAGTAAGGGTTGCTACGTTATCGGGTGCAACTGCACAATGCTCATGGCCATTGTTGTCGGAACAAACCGGCGCCATCCAATCCATATATGTAACATACATACGTACCTACCTTTCGAGAGATACTTGGTACCGAAAGGAACCACTTGTTGCCCAGCAGAATAGCAAGCTCGGCACCCAGCTGGCTGTCATTTCGCTTCACTATCCCATGCAAGCAGGACTGTTGTTGCTTATTACCTTCGTCGTCGGCGTGGTGCTCATTTGATAACTTATTATATTGCTTCCTGTTTTCTTGAGATTGCAAGCCTTTCATTCAACGTTCCATTGTGGCATTGTAGAAAAGTAGATCGACATTGGTGATGGCGAGAGGATAGAGCGGCATTTGTGGACTGATAGAGTACCAACTGGCCACAATTAGATGCTTTCTCGTGGTGGCAACGGTCGTTCTGCGCCTGCCACAGTCCAACACATGTCTTGCCCTGGCCTGCAAATAACATGAGCGATCGGGTATCGAGCGATACCGCATGGTCGGGGAGCTGGTGCCCAAAGGCTCCAAGTCGAAAGATATTTTCAGAGTGTAGTGAGATCTGAGAGCAGCATCGTTCCAGCGTGGCCATGTTTGACCAGCGTTCGATGGTTGGAGGTTCAGTATGGTGGCACCGCCTCTCAGTTGAGGATCTCCTGAACGTAGCTGCCACTGATGCTGTGGTGATTGTCCGAACGCGTATAGATAAGGCGTAGCTTGCGAGAGTTTTAGGTATGGTAGTAAGCGTTCATGACTCGGTCGCTTCATGGGAAGGTCTCCCATTCAAAGAATATTGGAATCGGCCACTTATTATCGGCCAAATCGAGATCTGCTCGTGATATTCTGGTAGTATCCGTCAATTCAAAGAGCTTACCAAGATGCCTCACTACGCAGTATAGGAGATTATGGAGTTAATGGGATTTCCTGCAGCACTTGTGTGGGGGAACCAATGAGAATCGTATAGATCCATCTAATCCTCGACGGACGCAACCATGAACTGGGTGGGGCCTCGTCATCAACAGAACTTTTAATCCAGAATTGCTTTCCAAAGAGCCGTTCGGAGTAATGAGATTGACTCAGGTTCATCTCGATACTCATGAGGCTTGCCTTTGCCAAATCCCGGAGATTCGGAATTCTATGAAATTCTGTGGATTAGTCATTCAGGGCAACTCCCAGAAAAGGAAGGTTTGCCCTAACATTTTCCCGTCACTCCACTATGTACGAACACTGCATACTGGTACCGCCCGCTGATACTTCACGCCTCAATCTACGAGTGTGTTCCTTTCGCCAATTCCCGGGGTCAGTACGAGAGGAAACCTCGACGGCGCGTCTTCACCCGCGACGATGCCGTCCTCATGCAAAGAGATCAGTAAATGGTACCCTATCTCGACGCTCTCAAACCTCCCATACTAACCACCACCCACCTCTCACAGGGGCCGCGCTCGCCGCATGTCTACAGAATACGGACTGCATAATGGTCGACCGACACACACCCGTCGAATGCCTATCGTCGCCGCTGCTCGAGACCCTCCCGATGCAATGCCAGCAGCTAAAACGTGGCTTCCGCGACTGCAAACGCGGCATGGTCGACATGAGGAAACGGTTCCGAGGCAATGCCCCGATCTCGAATAGTCTCGAGCTCGAAGGTGGTGGGAGCGCTGGTGGGAAAGGCGGTCAACTGTACGGTGGAACACCAGCCTTCGATGTCGTGGAGAAGATGAAGAAAGAGCAGCGTGGCGAGGTGGAGGGTTTGGGCTTCGATGAGAGTAAGACGAGGGGATTGTGATGTCCCAGGAATTGAGAAGAAAAGGAGGTCAGCTTATTTTGTGGCCGCTCATGGTTGCGTTGTCTCTGCTTATCGGAGAGCTTCAGCTGGAGTCTCATCGCGCCCTCTTTGGGTGGATCGCGGCAATGTTTGACGAGAACAAGAAGTTTTCCGCCGTGTTTGGGGCAATCAAGAGCCTTATGAAACCCTCGGCTCAAACGACCAGTCCTGGATCGCAAGACAGAGCTCATACAGAAACAGAAATCCTCGGCCGGCAAGCTCTGCGCCCACTATTGCCTCGCAATAGAACGGGTCTGGTATCGTTATTGCACCAAGTCATAGTGGATACGGCCGCAAGGCTGTGGCATTGCCAAACTGCACAGCCAACGATCCCCGGCGGCCGGCATTTGGCCTTTGTCTGACCACAATACTTGGGCGCCATGAGCAACACTTACCATCAAAGCAATGACTTGAATACTGTGTGGCCTAATGTGGTGAAAAGGACTGTGCATATGTAACCCTACTCTTGTACCATACAAACTACAACAAATAAATCACAAATTCAAGAGACACAATTCCCTAGAACGTTTCTATTCCGCTTTTTGTATCGCCGGCCTATGCTAGCAAACCTACGCCAGCCCATAAAGTACATTTTCATGGAAATGCGAAGCTCCAAGCTTCTATCTCGAGCCATGTGTGTAATTCCTTGTAGACTGACAAGTTTCTTTTATTTAGCAGGAGCACTGACGCTCAATTTCCGCCGCCTCTCGCTATCGTGCTTGGGCGGTTCAGAATATAACCAAAGGACGACAAAGACCAAAAAGCCCGCAATGACACTCCACAAGCCTGCAATCCAAGGCCAGGCACCGCTAATCGCCCAGGATCGTGGCCACTCGTCGTGTGCGAAATGGCGTACGGTAACTTGTCGCTTCTCTTCGATGCTGGTTAACCACGGTCGCTTGTAATTGACTTTAAAGGCGAAGATACCGTGCTGATCAGGCGTGGTGAAGCTGGTCGAGTAGATTGTGCTGTTGGTGGAGATAGTGGAAGGGGATAGTGGGATACGCTGGAAAGGGGAGAGCATGCTGAACTCAAGTTGAAGGGCATCGGCGGAAGATGGGAGAGTAAAGGGCGCCCAGTGTGTGTGGGACCATTGGGCGATCTCGATATTGAAATTCTAGGTGGAATTGTCAGTAGGCCAAATTGTGCATGGAGACGAAGAGGAAGGCCAACATACCACATCGGTCTTGATTCGGTAGATCTCGGGGTTTGAATCACCAATTTGGGTGGGGTTTTGCTCTGTCTTGCTGGATGGAGAGATTTGATGGTGGCTAATCTCCAGTACCTTCAAGACTCCAACTTCCTTGAACACCCATTCTGTCAATTGCTTTGCGAACTCTCTGTTTACAATCTTGACACTCTTGCCGTCTGGGGTCTTGACCGACGCATCGAACCACTTATCCTGCAGCGATTCGAGGGATCCTAGCACAACAAAACGTGCAGAGTTACGGGCTTGAAGTGCGGATATCAGTGATAATTGAGAGCCAGTCGCGTACACATCTTCAACGCTTTCCGCATCTTCCTTGGGATTGTATGCGTATGCTGTCACGGGGGCTTTCAAGATTGGCGCAACGAGTGGGTTTGTATTTCCGAGTGTTTGTCCGACGGTCTGGGGAAGGGCCAACAGCCCGCTTCCACCGAAGAAGTCTACCACATCCGGCCTCGAGGGGCTTGGTCTGCCAACTAGTAGGACGTCGTGTTTCTCGGCTGCAGATACAGTGTCATAATTGAAATGATCAACAACAACGGAGCTCTTGTCTGTTGGGAGTGTAATGTCGAATTCCAACAGTAGAGAGGAGATTGCGGAGGGAGTGCCTGCTTCAGAGGAAAGGGCTAGCAAGACGTTCCCGCCTGCATTGACGTAGTCGAGGAGAAGTTTAGGTGTTAAAGATGGGCCGTAACCTTGCCGGGTGTCAGCATGAGAGGCGTGGAGGACGCAGGGGAATTCAGACCTTTTGACTTGGGAGGTGTCAGGAGCACATGCTCGAATGCTAAGTCACCATGTCGAAACAGCGACAATTGGTCGTTCCGTGGGGACTCGAAGGACAACTTGAAATCTCGCGCTGTTATAACATCTGTCAGTCGATGCAAAATCCACCAACAATTGTAAGCATACCTTCTAAATCCGCCCAGAACTTTGAATAAAGACCCTTCTGAGATTCATCCTCCAGTACTACTAGCAGCCTGTTTCCCACAGCGCTCCTGGATGAGACAACCCGCAAAAATACCAGTAGCAAGACACATAACGAAGAGAAAACCCGCATCTTGAATGGAGCGGCCATATGGCTGGAGGGGATAGGTTCACAGAGGAACACTCATTGGCGTTGACAGCAACAGAGTTCAAGAAATGTTCCGCAGTGCTCACATCTGGGACTCTCGCTGTTACTCCGCAGAGGAGAGGAGACGTGGTCAAGTACGGTGTTGCCAAGACTGCAAACCGGAGGAATATTAATCCCAAGGCTGAGCAAGATATCTGGATCTCATTGGAGTATTTGGACCCCGGTTTCTTTGACAAAGGCTGTGATTGTCGAGATGCCTTCTCATCAATCATTGAAGCAAACCTACGAAACATCAGCCAACTTTGGAGGTGTACGCTAGCTTTCAAGTCGACGTGTGGCCTGTGGAGGAGAGATCATCCTCGCAGCCTTGCATGAGAGAACGTTTCCTCCACCGTAACGCCAAGGTGTCTGCTCCTGCCCAATCGCAGCGTTGATGTTGGAGCTTAACATCGCCAGTCGATGCTGCGCTGAGTGACTTCGAAGTTCGAACGCAGGAAGGAGGAGGTTCCCAGACCTAGACAGCCAAAGACGAATTGAAGCCAAGCCGACCTGCTGACATCTCCCTTTTAAACCGACCTTCCGTTCTCAGATTATCCTCGTTCCCTTGACGAGTCACGACACTTGCCGAGACCAAGCAACACCCAAACGCCAGCACTTCCTCCCCCTCCACCCCCCAAACAAAATACTCTACCTGAGAAAAGATGTCCGGCGTACCACAAAGATTCTGGGGCTCGCCGATACGGTACCTACGCTGGGCGGCGCACGAGAAGCCGGCAATCTTCTGGAGCTGCGTGCTCGGCGGACTAACACCGTTCACGTTCATAGTGATTCCACCGTTGAGAAGATGGGCTGGTGACGAGGAGCCGCCGAGAATACCCCTGACATATCCTAGTGAGTACTACTTGTTACACTGTACTTGGGGCCTTGATTGCGAAAAGTTTAGGAAGGTGCGGAATGCCAGCCATCTATGGTTTGATAGGTGTAGACGAGCATTCTAAGGCCGTACATATACTTCGCATCAAGCAGTCCTTGGTTGTCTTGGATACGTGGTAGCCTGCTGACAGACTTCTTGTTACAGTTCCCAAGGGCCCCAGAAAGATCCCAGAGGGTTTCGATGACCCCAAGTGAATCAAACGAATGCGAATCTCGCAACCTCAAAAGTCACTAAAGTCCGGAATTAGGTCCAGGGTACGGATGATAGCAAATGAGGCGTGATCAGCTTTTCGGGAGAGACTGGCCTCCTGGGGAGATGCTCCGACGCGAGCAGAGCGCACTTTTGATGGGGCGATGATGTCTCACACACCTTCTCACCACTTGTAAATACAACATAAAAGAAGAAATCGAAACAAAAAGACAAAATATTTACACACTGGTCTTGGTTGTGACGTTTTGCATTTGAGTGACCTCTCTCTCCATTATTAAGTTCAGTGACTGGCTGACTATGTTAAGCTACTGACCATACCGTCTGATGGTGCTTTTTGCTATGTACAGTGCTTCGGCCCCGCCTCTCTCATAAGGGAATGAAGAGAAAAGAAACGAAACGAAACGAAAAAGGTGTCATGAATCATCCGGATCACTCCTAAGATCTCTGCCTCAGATGTTATGCCATCCATGTATGAACCACCCGACCCGACGAACCGGAACGTATGATATGATACGTGCTTGGATCACTCAGCTTGCCAAAGCCCCACAGACAGGTAGGTATTCTCGATGCTGATCCTTGCCAATGGATTATTCCTTATCCAAAATAGGTACGAGAAATCCTCGTCTGAGAAAAAAAAAGAGTGCAACACCGCTCGAGGAAACCCTTACCAAAGGTCTCCTAAGACGCTCTATGCTAACAATGCTTAGAACGCCCACTAAAGCAGTGCTAGAAATGAGAAAAAAAGCCCGGTTTTGAAGGGGGGGTGTGACTTCAGATGAGGCCACTGACGTCGATGTCGCTTTCGACGCCATCTGTCATTTCCTGGTCGCCCTCGGCATCCTCGTCGACAGGCACATCCATGGCACGTTGTTGATCAGTACCGTTGCCATAGTCTGGATTACCGTCGTCGCGATCGACTTCTGCTCGAGTTCGCTTCCGAGCAAACCGAAGAAGTCGAGGATCGAGGGTTGGATCTTCGGCTTCGGCGGCTTCGGCGGCGGTGGCAGTGGCAGCAGTAGTGCGCTTGGTGGTTGTCTTTTTTCTGATATTGGCATTGGCATTGGCATTGTTCCGGACACCCGCATCAAAATCAACATTATCCTCACCCTCCTCATCGTCATTGCCAAAGTCAATGGGGTGCTCCTTGTTTCGCTTCTTGGCGGCGGTTGCTTTGGCTCGAACGACATTCTCTCGCCCTAGAGTATCATACAACTCATCGAGCTGGTTAGGCTTCGACTCGTCGGGGTTATACCACGGGAAATCCTCCTTGTTGATCTCGGTACAAGTCAACCAATCAATATCGAACTCATCTCTCTTGAGATGAGTACGCTGGACCACGAGCGGAGCAACGAAGGGCTTGATATTTTCCTTGAGAACACCCATGTTGGCTTCGAGGACGTGGCATGCTTTGATGCTCATGGGGAAGTAGCGGTGGAACTCTTGGAAGTCCAAGTGCGTGAGGTATGACTGGCCACCCTCGGCGAGTGCGCAGTAGAAGTTGAGGCCACCGTCCGGGGCACGGCGAGTGCGGTCGTCAGAAATACATTGTGCGAACCATTGGCGGAAGAACGAGATGGACATCCACATGTAGATGTCGTTGGAATAGGATGGGCGACCGGGCTTGTCGGCGGCGGTGCGGTGTAAGAAGCCTGGATAGTGGCTGAGGATGCGAAGCTCGATTGCCTCCTTCTGAATGGAGAGCTCGGTGGCTTTGCGTTCGAGGACTTTACGGATGTCTTTACGGATGTGTCCCTTCTCGTCGTCGTTCATGTTGGCCCATTGTCCCACAAGGTGGCAAGCAGCCTCACAAAAGATGGAAGGAGAACGGACACGGCAGCCAAGTTCGACCCAGACGGGAGGGTTGCCCAGAATGGAGGTCCACAAGACGGTGTCTTGGCGGAGGAGTGCGAGGTCGACGGCGTCGCAGACAATCTTGAGGGAGTCGATGCATTCAGCACGATCAATTAGGGAAATGACACCGGAGAGGACAGAGGCGAGATTTGAGTCGTCGAAAGCAGGCGGGCGGTTATAGAAGAGACCGAAAAGCCAATCCCAGGCTTTGTTGTCATTGTTGTCAACCTTGCCATTGACCAAGTCAGGAGGAAGCTGCGGGAGGGCATTCTGCGCACGACCTGAATCGCTAATGTCCTTTGTTGTTCATGTCAATTGTGCTGTTCACCTTTTTCGTGACCCGAATGTCAAAGGGTCACTCACGATACGGACAAAACGGCCAACCGTGCCACTCGTGGTCCCGGGGAGCCACTCGAAGCGATAGGCTGGTGCATTATCACGGCGAGCCTGTGCGTTCAGACACGCTCCGGGTTGTTTGGCAATCGCGTTCTTGAAATATGTCGAATGACTTTCCAGAATCTGATGGTGCAGGCGGTACATTTGGGTTGTCGAGATGATGACAAGGACGTCACCGTCGATGAACTTGGGGAACTCTGATTTCTCAGAGGCCGCCATGATGAAGACAGGCAATGACGCGCAGCGAAGGAAGAGTCAGCTTTGGGCGAGGTTGCCACAGAGGTGTACACCGACAGTGGCTAGGTAGAAACAAAAGTCGAGGTCAAGATGAAATTCAGCAAGGTAAGACAAAAGGGTATGGACAATTGAGTGAAGCTTCTATTAGCCGCTACGCGCTGCCCATCCATTTCTGAAGTGACGATGAGCTGCCTCACAAGGTGCTTAGTGACGGAACCATGTGACCAGATGGTCACCTTTTCGAGGTTTGGACGCACACACCGTACAGGACGAACTCGTCGCTACAGCTGTGACTGTAGGCATGGGTAACCGTCATGACAATCGAGCAGATCACGGGTCACCTCACCACCACGGTCTCATCAGTCCGGACTTAGTATTCGCTCTGGCGTCAACCCTCCCTTTAATTGTCTGTTGACAATGCTTCAATTTTCTGCAATTCATTATGCCGATGCTTGCCATTACATGTGGATACTCGGCATGTATTGGAGATCAGATTCACGAGGGTCAGCATGTCCAGAGCTGTATGTCACCTTCAGCGACAGACCAGATACGTTCACGACAAGTACAAGTCAAAAGGGATGGCACAGTTGTCGACCAGTCAAACGACCGGTACACGAATACGATATGATGAGACCAAAGGGAACGATCCCTGAGTGAAGGGGGCTTGAGTGTTTGTTCTTGACCGAGAGGACTCCGAGCCATAATCCCCAATGAATGCGACGGGCACTGGTCTAGTTCCGGGTGCTACAAGGGAGTATCTGTTGGTGGGTGCTCGACCAAAGACAGCCCAACAAGAGGTAACAATCAGATTTCCAGTGTCCAGTGTCGGGGAAGATTATGAAAGGAGTCAATCGATAATCCCCAATCCTAGAAGAAACGAGCCAGGTTCAGATGTACACGAGATGTCAACATGATCGAACAAGTGACCGAGGATATATGTATATGATGTCTCATTAGTAATGCTCACAATTTCCATTTCCGATCCGTTCGAAACTGATATCACCTTCAAGGCGCCAATCCAATGCTAGGTACAAAATCCTTTCCAATCCGTATGACCGGCATCGCAGAAATGGTATATAAAGGCTCAAAGAAGAATCCGTTTTGTGTTATACCATACTCCAAAAGGTCTTGCAAAACCCAGGGAACAAGGTGGCCTGCCCAACAACAGGGTTTGATCGCCGAATGTCATGGAGACATAATAAGCAATGCGAAACGCACGAGGAGAGCCTGAGTTCTCATGGAAATCATAAATCATGGCCTCATCAGGAGTGATGTAACAATCCGGCTATATCCCGTGGAAGAAGTGTTTGATATGGAGCCACGACAGTACTTGAGTCAGGGAGGGATCGAATCCAGGAAAACAGTGTGCCTTTAGTATGCGCGAAGCCGCGCCAGCTAAAGGGGGATGATTCTGTTATCTTTCGGTGATCCAGGGAAAAGAGCACGGTGCAACGTCGGGAATGGCACTACACATCATCAAAGGTCATGTAGAAGATGAAACAAAAATCATCTGCCATGCCTACGAGAGGAGTCAGGATAGCCTGGGGGGTAAGCGCCCAGTATTTCTCCTCTTCTGTCCGGATAATTGGCCGGTATTGATGCAGAGACAGGTGGTGCTGATCTTGATGTAGTATACGGGGGTGGAATGTAACCTCCTTGTGTGGTTCGACTTATCGATGGGGGCGTAGAATTGCCAGGAAACGTCCTAGGTTCTCGTTCCGAGGGGTAATAGCCTCCTGGCTGGGAAATGGGTGGATAGCCTGGTTGACTTGATGTTATTGAATATGCAGCGGAATAGCCTGGATCCGGAGCATATGCAGAAGTGACAGGGATAGGAGGGCGAGCATTGGGAACCATCCGTGGGTCAATATCCCGATGCCTTGGTGGCGGACGGTCATAATCATCATCAAGGTCCATGTCTCCTGGATATCGGCGCTCTCTGTCCTGGCGCGCTTGCATCTCGGCATATGAACCTACACGATCCTTAGATCGAGTTGTTTGGCTGTCGCTCACGGGCGTACCTTGCGAACGGCCCTGGCGGGTCCTTCTTTCTCGCTCACGTTGCCATTTGATCGTATCCTCACGCAAAGATTGCTCCATTGCCTGTAGAGTCCACATCAGTCTTTGCATCCCCAGTCATGAAAATGATAAGCCATACCGTCGTGAAGGGGCGATAGGCCTTGACCCAGAACCCAGCTCGTCCCTACACGGACGAGTTAGCACAATACACTTACCGCCGGGAGCCTGTGGTGCAGCATACTTGTTCATTACGACCTGGGCGACAAGTGGCATCCTGACCAAGGTATTTGCAAATTTCGTGCTGGATGACTTCTCGTTCAATGCCTTCCCCTGGGCAAAAATGTTCCGTGTAATGTGGACTGGGCCTGCCAAGGTCACGATCCAGAGCCATAGGAGTATCCATTTGAGGTCGAATTCTTTGAGGAGCGTCATCATAACGATCATCACGAGCATAGGGAGATCTGCCAATGGGCCTCACTTCGCGATAGAGCTCTCCGGTAGTAGGGTCCCGGACTAAGACAACACCAGCTTCAGGATCAGTGCTACGTCCATCGATCAGACGAGGATCAGGTCGAGGGTCGAGACGGACAGCCGCGTTTGCCCTGGGGTCTGCCCGGATGTCCATACGGTTGTCCAGCCTGGGGTCCAAACGGGAATCCAAACGGGTGTCCATTCGGGTGTCCATACGGGTGTCCATGGCATCAGTCATACGAGAGTCTCTGTCGTCTATTGCTCTTCTCTCTCTTGTAGGTTCAGTCCGATGGTCTCTGGTCTCACGCTCTCGATTGTCCCTACGAGTAGAGTGGCCAGTGTCTCTGCGGCGACTGGAATAGTCTGGGTCGTCAGGATAGCGCGACATGACGGGCGAGAGAGATATTAAATGGGTTGGGGGGAAAGCGTGGAACAAGTCCTGGTCAGGTCGGGCAGCAAGCGATGGTCAACAACAAATGGGAAAGAAATAGTCAGAGGCAAAGTCGCAGATAAGCGGCAAGGTTTGAGCTGGCTTTGCGTCCCGTAAGAGCCTAAGGCAAGCTGCAAGACCCAGGAGGAAGCGGACCACCAGGAAGATGTTGGTCCAGGAAAACGGATGGATTGCAGTCCAGTGGGTTCAGGAGAGATGATCCTCGGATGGGATTGAAGTGCAAGAGTTGTGGTAGTGAACCAAGGATGATGAGAAGGATAACCCAGGAGGCGAAGGGACAAGAAACTCAAGAGCCAGGCCAAGTGGGCGTGGGCGTGGGCGTGGGCGCAGGCAACGAGCGCTTTGGGCTGAATCGAAGCTGCACAGTTGATTGAAGCGAGAGATAGCCGCCAATCAAACAGAGTAATGCAACTCTTGGACCTGGTATTTTCGATCCACTTGACGCTGGGGATGATGCAGCACCGGTACCTCTCTGGATATGTCTTTCTTAGTGCTGTGTGCCTAATTCGAAGGGGGTGTTCGGAAGTACCTAACGTGCGACAAAGAGGAGGAGTGTACTGGAAGAAGGAGGGGGAGGGGAGGGATGAGGGATGGAAGGACAAGAAGATCTCGAAGGGATTTGCAGTTGACTAAAGGGTTGGGCCTAGTCCTGAGACGGGGGAACCGTTGCCCAAGTGGATTGTGGGAGTGGGATGATCCAGTCTAGCCGCCTGATCGCCAATGTCCGCTTTTGCAGAGGAGGGAAGGTGGGATTTCTAGCTCAGCTATGGTACAGTAGGAGGCGTGAGTTGAGGATCCGAGGATAAGAGGATACGAGTAAGACGATGGAGAACGGGGCGGACAGGTCGATGGGGGACGGGATTGCTCAGTCCTCCGTAGTGCTGGCGAGCGAGTGAACGGGTGGGCGAGGCGAGGAGGTGAGGAGGTGAGGGAGTAACTACTACTGTACTACTCTGCTACAGAGTGGAGGCTGAAGGGCTGTGTAAGACGCACAGGACCACCGAGGGCCACAGGGCCAGAGCCCAAAGGGCCGGAAGGTCTGCCCGGGGCATGTTTCTATGATGCATCTCAGCTGCCAATAATGCCCACTGCTGGCTGTGTGGCTACAGGTTACAGAATGTGCTGGTGATGGTGATGGTGCTGGCGCTGCGGGATGCGGCTGCAAACTGCGTCCTCCATCGTGCAGAGTTTTTTCCTCCACCTGACCTGTGCTTGGTTATTGCACACCTGCCTACTCGTACTCGTACGGGTACTCGTCATGCCAGTGTGCGTCCATCCATCCATGAAACTCGTGACTGATCACTGGTAAGGTTGTGTGTCGATGCTGCCTAAATTCCCTGCTTCCGCCCTGCCACTGCCCGTGTCTCTTTCGCTTCTTAGAAAGGATGCTGGTTCCTCCTTCTGGTCAAACACAAACACAAACACGCACAAATGCCCCTCAACAAATTGGTGAAGTACCAGTACCTGGCTGGACCGGTTCAGTCACACCAGAACAGAATGCAGCAAATTATACAGACGACTACTGGGTGAGTGGCCTTCTGATCACGCCTGTCCCCAATCCGAGAGCCTAGAGACAATTAGCACGATAAGCCCTTCCTGGCTCTGAGCGCGCAATCACCGAAAGGCTATCGCTAGAGGCGACTGCCCTACAGAAATGCCTACATTGGCGGGACCTTTTCACCTCGTACGAGTAGGTTGCTTCATTGGCTTTTTACTCGTAGCTTTGGAGTCATCTAAATGCCAGTCCCTATCTATCCATCATTCACCAGGTTTTGGTGGCGATGATGATGAATGCGTGACTGCGCTGGAGCCTCTCACCAGGCACCAATTCTTACCGGTCGACAGTAAACTACTGAGCACTCCATAGTCCCCAAGCAGGCCAACCCCCGGGAAGAAATCCTGGATGACCCGTCGTCTTAGGCACCAATCGTTCATCTAGACACAGTGACGCCCCAACAGCGTGGGTGCAACCGAGACACAGAGCCCAATGGAAAGTCAGTCGCACACATCTCCGACCAATTATTCCAGGTTGGGCATCAAGAAACGTGGCGGCTTGCCTTCGCGTGTCAGTTCCTTCCCACAGCGGCCCGTCCTTGACTCCCTTACCACTCTCCCTTGTAGCCAAGAGATGAAGCCCGCCGCCATCATTTCTCCAGTTTATTGGGCATCAACTTGTTCTCAGTGGACGTCGATACATTCCAGGTGACACATCACACTGTTGCTCATCCTCTACGAGGCACATCCTACCAGTACTACGAAGCACTGCACTCACCAGGTAGACCCAGTCTGACGACACTGGCCCCCTCCGGGCCGAACGCCTTGACCCGTATTGAGGCACCAAGATCAACCAGCAGTCTCACCTTTCAAGCAGATACGGAACTCAATTTCATTATCCACATTCCCTCAATCACGTTCGAAAACATGGCGCAACGCATCTCAAGTTCGTGAGCCACTCGAACATTATCATGCCATGGCATCCTATATTTCGGGCAAAACCTGGATCCAATCCCGGTCTCACAAACACGGGCAGAGGCTATCACTGAGTGCTGGTGACAGCAAGGCATGTGCTGCCCTTGTCTGACTATGCACTTTGACCTTCCGTGATAGCGGATCAAGGTGGCATGTTGTCGACGGGACCAATAGTCCCCTTCAGCATGCTTCCCTGCCGATCTTCTCATCCTGCGTCTGCCGAATGCGACGCCATGGACACTTCCAACCTAGATTGCATTTGCTGGGTGCAGGCACAGGACCGACAATCAATCACAACTTGGCCTCTCCTTTGGCGGTGAAGGGTTTGATTCTGAACCCAGTTCGGGGGAAATGCACGCGTACTTCTTTCCCTTCAGATCCAACGCTCAGGACGGCTTCATCCTCACTGAGTCCTACCAGGCGTCCCTCATCATGATGCCGAGAGCCCGAATCCAGAGGGTATACCTCCACCAGTGCTCCTTCCTGTAGTCCCAGCGGATCCGCCTGGTCGATTCCTAGGTCTTTCTCTACATAGGAAGCGCTGAAAATTCGTTGAGCTGCAGCATCGCCTTTTAGTGCGGCGGGCTTTGGCGCCTCCGCCTTCGCCTTCTGTAGCACGCCGTTAAATCTCTTTATCCATGCGAACACCTTGGGATATTGCTTCTCAGAAATCAACTCCCGGGGAAGTGCTCCCTTGAGGCCATTGAGCCAATCAAAAGTCCAGATAGCTGGTTCATATTGCATTAGTCTTCATCTGTAGTCTCGACCTGCAGCGTACTTCCTGCTCACCTTCAATATCAGCCAGTGTGGGCCCGTTGGTCTTGAGCACCCAATCACGTCCGTCGGCCATCAATGTCGACTCAAGGAATTGAAAGCCACTCCTGATGGAGGCTAACGCCTCTGGTCGATTTGCATCGATTCCTTCCTTGCTCCACGGTCGGCTCGTCAGATCCTCTCTATCTTTCACGAAACGAGGATCATTCAACAACGGCATGCTGCTGGGGATGAGCTGCGACGCTCGGTTGAACACGCCGGATTCGACCGCCCAGATCTCAAGAAACTTCTGGATGGCTTTCTCCTCGGGGGTAGAAGCTCCGAGGGTGCTGTTCGGAAATAACTCCTCCAGCTTGCGGAGGATAAGTCGAGAGTCACAATACACATCGCGACCGATGGCTAGCAGGGGGATGCGGCGATAGTTGATTCTCAATGCCTTGACATCGGGTCGTGGAAGTATTGGTGCTTGTTTCTGATTGCAAGATCAGCATTATGCGAGACTCGCCCATCACGTCACTTTCAGGAACTCACGCATTCAGCATAGTCAATCCCACGAAGCGCCAGGTACCAGAGCACTCGTCGCGCATATGGAGAGAATGAATAATGATAGAGGACGATGCCGTTGTTTGGACCGTCCATGATGCTCTCAAGGAAGGATTTGCCTTGGCAGTTGCAGATATCAGATCTTGTTTTCTTTAATAAAGGAACAAATGGTTCCTAGTTCACAAGTCCAAAAACGATGTAGAGAATGATGCTGCTAGGTTAAATTCACGCTCGTTCTTCCCTATTATCAGCAGGAGCTCGAACATTTGGATTGGGGACCTCGGCATCTTGTTCGTGCGGGGGTCCACTATGTTACTGGTCGAACAACTTCGCAGCTTCACAGCGTAGACAGTAGCATTGGGCCCACGTGATTACCAAGCCTACAGTGCCATGGCTCCGGGAGCGTAGAGGAGACATCTCCTGCTCCTATCACAAATCCGTTGACCCTCTCTAGCCGGTACTACCACAGCGACTTTTGACTTGAAATCCGTTTCTAACTTGATACGATGATATGAGCACAAAGGTCACTGGTCATAGTGCGAAATCTTTTCGAAATTTCCAAGTGCGAAAACTCGAGTGCTGCATTACCATGGCGTCTACCTAGAATGGCCAGGCACGCCTTAGGAACAGAGATCACTCCACAGAAATCATTCGTATCAGTTTCTTCAGCATCAACGTTGTCCGTTGAAATTGGATATGGCCAACCAGAGGGGAAAGTTGACAATCCTGAAAGGAGTTCAGGCACGAGCTTCTCCCTACTAGCAAGGTCCCTGCTCGACTCATGCTATGAATTACCTGCGCGGTGCTGGAGCAACAAAGCTCTCAGAATACTCCTATGCTACCCATTTACGACATTTCTGTAATCCGGAAGCTTCTCATGACAGATTTCTAGGCGAGTTCCATCATCCTCATAAGCTTACACGGCCACAAGATTGCTTCGGCATCACAACCTAATGGCAGGGCATATCGTGACACCACCTATCTGTTGGCATAACCATGAGGCCAACAGTATCTCCCAAGCACACGATCATTGAGATACCGAATGTTCCGACCAAGAACCCATGTCATGTATTACTAATGCTTGATCACTTAACTGCACAGAACTCCGATAAGTTTGGTTTCTACTCTTTCGAATTTGCAGCCGACGGTCCATGAGAGGACCGAGCACCAGATCAGGAGGAACAAAGTGGTGAGCAGATGATGGACAACATCGAGGGCAAATCATAGGATGTTGATGGAAAAGACTGACATTTGCGTGGAAAGTGGTCGACATTGGAATTTATAGAAATCAAACTTAAGAGATATGATATACCGTCGCCAAATACAACAATTATGGTCAACGGGCAGTAAGTTTTCCAAGACTGCTTACTGTTTGCCCGCACGCGTGTTCAAATTTGAAAAGGGTCAGTGCCACGAAGGGTGACATTGAGGTACAAGATAAACATTAGTCAAAGCATGTCTCAATCTCGTACCTCGACATTGAAACTATTTGACCAGTACGTGGCACTGACACCGGGCCGGTGGAGGGCGTAAACAGCGTGAATGCCGGAGGAGGCCTTCCTGAATTGGGACGAGGGCGTTGAGATTGATCCAGATTGTGTGAGATGGTTTGAGATAGGCGGGCGAAAAGTGGAGAGTTGGAGCTGCGTTGTTCTCCGCATTTGGTGGCCATCCCGCCCTTCCACGCCTCGCCAAATGTATAATCACCGACTGCATTGAGACATCCATCCCGTACATTTTCGACTGTCTTTGACTTTTCAGACAGCGTGGGAGGTTCGTTCACATCCTGCTACGGTGTTTGAGTCGTTCTTGCTTTGAGTAAGTAAACAGGGTGGTCCTATCCATCACTTGAACCTTGCCTCATCCATTCGTAGCTTTCGTGTTGCTGTGTATCGAAGCCTGAACAGCATGGCTTCCTTTCTTCGGACTGCGAGCAGCCTGCGCTCGGCGACTCGCCTTGCTGCGCCCTCGACATATTCGTTGAAGTCGATTCAAACCCGGACTCTCGCGTCCGCGACCAACAGTCGCGCAGCTGCCACGGCCACCGCTCATTCTCTCGAGGCCTCCACTGGCGAGGCACCTTTCTTCGCCGACGAGCCAGTCGGACCCAATGTGATCACCGCGATCCCAGGACCCAAGAGCAAGAAGGCGGTTGAAGAACTACACAAAGTCTTTGATACCCGCAGCTTGAACATGATGGCAAACTATCAACACAGTTATGGCAATTACATTGCAGACTTGGATGGAAACGTCCTGCTTGACGTCTATGCGCAGATTGCTTCTATCCCTGTGGGCTACAGCAATCCCGCATTGTTGCTAGCTGCGACCTCACCTGAAATGGCCTCTGCACTTATCAATCGACCTGCACTCGGAAACTTCCCTCAGCACGACTGGGCAGCCATTCTCGAGACCGGCATCTTGCGGGCGGCACCCAAAGGGCTAAACCAAGTGTTCACTGCCATGGCGGGTTCTGATGCCAACGAGACCGCATACAAGGCCGCATTCATGTGGAAGGCCCAGCAACGCCGTGGTGGTCCAGAGGTCGAATTCACCGAGGAAGAACTGTCGTCCACCATGACCAACCAAAGCCCTGGCTCCCCCAACTTCTCCATCATGGCTTTCAAGACCGCGTTCCACGGCCGTCTTTTTGGAACACTGTCCACCACTCGCAGCAAGGCCATCCATAAACTCGATATCCCCGCGTTTGACTGGCCGCAAGCCTCGTTCCCGTCTCTAAAATATCCGCTCGACCAATTCGCAGCAGAGAATGCGGCTGAGGAGGAGCGATGCCTGGAGGAGGCAGAGGACATCATCAAGAACTACCACAACCCTGTGGCAGCCGTGGTGGTTGAGCCAATTCAGTCTGAAGGCGGTGATAACCATGCAAGCCCAGCATTCTTCCAAGGCCTGCGGGAGATCACTCGCCGCCACAATGTGCTCTTGATCGTTGACGAGGTGCAGACCGGCGTGGGTGCCACTGGCAAATTCTGGGCCCACGATCACTGGAATCTGCAAGATCCCCCTGACATGGTCACATTCTCGAAAAAGGCACAAACTGCAGGTTATTACTTTGGCAACCCAGAGCTCCGCCCCAACAAACCTTATCGTCAATTCAACACGTGGATGGGAGATCCAGCGCGTGCGCTCTTGTTCCGAGCTATCATCAACGAGATTGAAAGACTAAACTTGGTGGAGAACACAGCTCAAGTTGGCGATTATCTCTATGCTGGTCTAGAGAGACTAGGCCAAAAGTACCCCGAGCACTTCCAAAACCTCCGTGGGAAAGGACAGGGCACTTTTATTGCCTTTGACAACCCCAAGCGTGATCAATTCCTAGCCAAGGCCAAGACCTTCGGCATCAATATTGGTGGCAGTGGTGCCACTGCGGTCAGATTGCGACCCATGCTGATCTTCCAGAAACACCATACAGATATCCTTCTCGACGCGCTGGAGAAGCTTGTCAAAACTCTATAAATGCTCTTTGCTGGTGGGATGGCGGTTTGCCTGTTGGCGCTGTGGTGAACCCGGACCTGTTCCATGAAAAGTCAAGCTGGTGGTGACTCATGCTTTCGTCCATAGTTGAGCTTTTGCTCCTTGGAATGGACGCCTTTGTATAGTTCATCAGATATCCCTGTAGCAAAATAATCAAAGTTTGCTTGACTCGTTTCCGCAGTATTCAGGTATGCATTTCCATCGCATAACTTGTGCCCCGTGGATCTTGGGGCTGCATGCACCAATCTTCCCGAATGAAAATATAGGATCCTCCATGTCTCAAGCAGCCACGTCATCTTCCAAGGAGCTTCCATCCCTCGGTATATACTTGATTCCATTGTCCTCGAGCGACTCGAGAATCTCCCTCGGCAGTGTTCCGACAACCTTGGTAGCGTAGATTCCGGGCTCATACTCGGTTAACCTCTGCCACTTTGCAACCCACGACGTCTTAGGATCACCCATTGCAATCAGCCCCTCGAAGACTTGAGATGTGCATTCTTGGATCGCGTCTTGTGAATTCTTCAGTCCTAGAATCGCTTCGCAGTTGGGGCAGCCGGTGCGGTAGAAATCCTACGAAGACGAGTCAGTCTATGTTTGGGGGGGCATGGTGAGTGTAATGGCGCTTACATTGTATGCTAGCACTACTGAGCAGACCATGCATGCGCGGGCATTGCGACCTATCGCGGATGCCATCGTGGCCGTAATTCGTGCAGGCAGATTTGCTTGGGGGATGGGGTGGAAGAAGTTTTGTAAGAGAGTCTTGCAGGAAACGGGCTTATGCGTAACGTTGACGTTGGGTAAAAGAACAGAAACGCATAGCAGTAACACCGGAAGAAGCGAAGGAGGTTGCCTTTTGAGGTTTGATGAAAAACGAACGCTGTTTGCTCTGGTCAATAAGGTTTCGGCAGATCTACAATTAGCGCGGATATCGTCTCCGCAATCGGGCTTGGCAAATCAGGCAAATGAACCGGCGGCCCTGCCAAAGAGCAGCACGCAAAAAGCCCAAGGTTGGAGAAAAAAAGTGGTTCCTCGAGGCTCGAGAACTTTCCGCAATAATCCTCCAGTCTCAAGCAGCCTCGACGTACAGTTCCAACAGCTTTCCTCACACGTGCCTACAAATCACGTTATGTTTCGATAACAATTGTCGAGATACTCGCCTCTGTCACCTGTGCCCTTTTCCCTGTGAAACCGCCGCCTGCTTGTCTCACCTTCGTCCAGACACAAAATGGCAGAGGCCGCAGACAGAACTGCCGCCACCGCACTCAAACAGAAGGGCAACAAAGCGTTTGCAGAGCATGACTGGCCCACTGCGATTGAGTTTTACACCAAGGCCATAGAAAAGTACGATCGCGACCCCTCCTTCTTCTGCAATCGGGCGCAGGCAAACATCAAGCTTGAGGCATATGGATATGCCATCGCAGATGCTACCTCAGCCATTGAACTCGATAAGGACTATGTAAAGGTCAGTCGTGCTGTACATATACCTGTTAGTTTCATTACTGGTCGAGCTGACGCCGCGCTGTACTCAGGCATACTGGAGACGAGCCATCGCGAACACGGCCATCCTCAATTCCCAAGATGCAGTACGAGATTTCAAGACGGTGGTTAGGAAAGAACCGAACAACAAGGACGCAAAGCTCAAGCTAGCAGAATGTGAGAAACTGGTTAAAAAGATCGCTTTCCTCAAGGCAATTGAAGTCGGAGACCCGCCTTCCGCGTTTGAAGGCCTAGACATCGACTCGATGGAGGTTGACCAGGCATACGATGGAGTGCGATTAAAAGAAGAAATGACGCAGGAGTTTATCGACGACATGATAGAGCGCTTCAAGAACGGCAAGAAGATCCACAAGAAATATGTGTTCCAAATCGTCAAGGCGGTGCGAGATATCGTCTACGATGAGCCCACGATGGTTGAGATGGAGGTTGACCCCGATACGCAATTGACGGTTTGTGGAGATACGCACGGACAGTATTTTGACCTGTTGGAGATCTTCCGGCTCAACGGGTTCCCGACTGAGAAGCATGCGTACCTGTTCAACGGCGACTTTGTGGATCGTGGATCGTGGTCAACGGAGATCGCCCTGCTCCTCTATGCCTACAAGTGGTTGCGGCCCAAGCAGTTTTTCCTCAACCGGGGCAATCACGAGACGGATGACATGAATAGAGTTTATGGGTTCGAAGGCGAGTGCAAGGCGAAATACAACGAGAAGACGTTCAAGCTGTTTTCCGAGTCGTTCTCAGCTCTGCCGTTGGCTACCCTGATCGGCAAGAAGTACCTGGTCCTCCACGGAGGCTTGTTCTCGGACGATAAGACTACTCTGGATGACATCCGCAAACTCGATCGACATGTGCAGCGACAGCCCGGCCAGCAAGGATTGATGATGGAGATGCTATGGACCGATCCCCAGACTGAGCCTGGTCGAGGACCTAGTAAGAGAGGGGTTGGCCTGCAATTTGGTCCCGATGTGACGAAGCGGTTCTGTGAGAACAATGGGCTCGAAGCCGTCATTCGAAGCCATGAAGTCAGAATGGATGGTTATGAGGTCGAACATGATGGCAGATGCATTACTGGTACGTTGACGCAGCCTTGACTGACATTCGGAGGGACCCATGACTGACATAATACCAGTGTTCTCGGCTCCCAAATACTGTGACACGACGGAGAACAAGGGCGCATACATCAATGTCGGACCTGAGTTGAAGCTTGATTACCACCAATTCGAGGCAGTGCCGCATCCCGACATCAAGCCTATGGTAAGAAATATACTGAGAGAATTTTTGACCGGCAAATGACTGACTCCTTCGCAGGCCTATGCACAGAGTTCTCTAATGTCGATGATGTAGTGGCGGACCCCAATACTCCTTTGAGCCTAGATTCCACGGTGGATTGCTCCCCTCACATTATTATCGTCGTTGATGCCAAAATGGGCGGTGGAAATGGAATCCATGGTCAATGACAACAGAGGGTCGAGCGCAAGAGATCCAAGCAACAATGGCAAGTTAGAAGTTTACCTGAATGGCATGTGTTTTATATTACTACTTTGTCAGGGCATCGTTTGGCATGGCGCGGTGAGATCATTTGGAAGCGAACGAAGATGGATGGACAAGGGATGATTGCTGATCAGTAGACACCCTGTATGTGTATGAAAGCCTAGCGACATCAGATACTCTTGGTATTAGGTGACAAAAACGATATCAAGTTGGTATATACCTAGGTAGATACTTACAGTACCGAATAATTGTACTAGTAGTCGGCAACGCATATCGAGCAGCCTTTCATGCCTGTCGCAGGACCTCGTGGACGTGGAGTTGATATCCCACGTGCCCTTCCTTGCGAGGCTGTGGCACGGCTGCTCATTATTGTGGCCGTGCAAGTCTTCAACGCCACACCCAACGGGGGATTGCTTTCCATCTGTTCGCTGGAGCGTGTGATCACCTCCTGTCTGCATTGTCACACTCGCCGGCCTGAGGTCGCTAAACTTTGCTGGCAACCGCCGATTTGTTTAGAGCACGCAGTGAGCCGTCCTCGCCTACAGGCTGAAACCCAGCCCTTGTGCCTTGTTCCTAGGCCCCTTAGGGCACCTGCATCTCAGCCTACCGAACACAGGCCGAGGGGCCCAGAAGCCCTCCTTGGCGGGGGCCGACCTGCCCTACCAGGGCCCGATACAGCTTGTGCTTGGGTGGCTACCAGTCGACTTATCAGTAGCCTTACAGGGTTTTGTTAACTAACACCTAAACCTATCCAACGACAGACCGCGTGTTGTCTGCTGTTGTTTCTATTGCCCTGCCTGAGGCTTTCTGCTGTCACGTGGGTGGCTATTATTGTCAGAAGTTGGTAGTGTCGGTGTGCGCCCCTGGCACCTGACTCAGTGCCTCGTGACTGTGTGAGTGAATGGAACGTCGTAGTCAAGGAGCCCGGTTGCTCCTTCTCTCCACGCCTACGGCCAACGTCAGCTACTCCTCCCCTCCGCCAGCCCGCCTAGTCCTAACTGGGTCGTAGAGTGTCAGCCAAAGTGTCCTGGCCTCGAAACTCCATTCAAACCTCAACCCTCGACCGTCAACCCCACGGTAAACCCAATATCAATCATCATCCTTATCGTATTCAGTCATCATCACCGCCATCCCTCAAACGCACCACAGCTCTTTTTTTCGACGATCAGTGTTGATTTATGGCTTTGGTCTTTGGCTGGATTCACGAAACTTGAGTCATCCGGTCTTGACTCTTCACCCCATGAACTAGCATTGAAGCCAATCCGTTTGCCTTTTCAGCCTGACGGAACACACCACGAGTCCCCGACTGCCCACAACGTTTTCACTTATCAACTATTGCATGATATCCTCGTCACCAATGTTGCTGCCTCGGAGGTTTCTGCTTTCAACCATCTGATCTGACTCGGCAGTCACTGTGTCCCTCACCAACAATCATCCACGCTCTGCGCAATCCGTATCTCGGATCAGTGTTCCGCGGGCACCGCAAATCAACTGTTGGCCTTACATACTCGGCCTGAGGCAGCATGGATCGGGTTTGTAATACCGAACCCGCCCAGCAGCTGGGCGCTTTGACCTCGAAATCATCCTCGAGGCTCCGGTTAAGTGGTGATTGGTCTCGAGTCAACTTAGCAAATTCCGATACTCCAACCTTGAGTACGCGCCTGGTGGACCGGAAGGAATCATCTCAGGTAGATGTCTCAGGACAGTCCTCAGATGTTGTTCCTCCGTCAAAACCACGCATTTCAACCACCATTGCCGCTCCAGTGCTTGTCAAACCTGAATTACAACCCATCTCAATTTCTCCATCCTTAGTCCCTCCCACAAGGTCACGGACAAAACCAATCACAGCACTGCACCAGCAGACTCCTTTCCTTTCAATTCTGCCCCATGACATCCACTACGTCCTCGCCATCAAATACCTCGACTTTGACACCCTTCTCGCACTACGCCAGACATGCACAACTATGTTCGATTTGCTAAATGCCGATCTTGTCCACAGAGTTCGCTCAGAATTCGTGCAGAAGTCTCTGGATCTCGAAATGAAACGATTCCGCGACTATCGCACCATCTACCCCCGCCAACGCCTTGGGGCCCTGTGGGATCTCCTCTATGCCGCCTTCGATTTTAGGCTGATTGAGCGTCCCGCGAAAGAACTACGTTGCTATGGCTGTCTCGAGGTGAAGCCGTTATGGTGCTTCGTCGAGCGCATGAGTAATAAAGGCACTGGGCTCGGTGCCAAGTCTGCGCGCGACCGGCTCTGCAAGAATTGCATGCGCCGCTATCGCGATGTGGAAGGTCAATGGTGGAAGGAGAATTGGGTCAAGAAGAGTGACACAGTAAGGAAAGCCAGTCGCCTGACACGGGTGAAGCGTTGGGCTCTGGAGGGCAAGAGCCTCTTAAACCCTGCAGAGGAGATTGGCGTGTGCTCTTGCTGTGGTAGCGGCACATTTGAACTATGGTGGGGCTGCGTAGCATGTTTCGAGCTAGAAGAGAAACGACGCAGGGAAGAGGACTTGATAGAATATGACGGTGTTGGGAGGAAAATCATCAACGTGGTGGAGTCCTGGCGGGCAAGGAAGGAAGCGAAACGAAGATCTCAACAATCTCTTAGGGATCGGAGGTCTCAACGATGGTGGATGCCCGCCAAGAATCTCAAGTTTCACTGGGAAGGTGGCGTAGCCGAACGCAAGGCCGCATTGCTCGAGTGGAAGGACAATAAGAGTCAGAAGATGTCTGGAGTTGGATACTCGAAACAAACCTTTGGAGCAAGCCGAAGCTTGGAAGACCAAGACCGGAAACCTCGATGGCGAGCTATTGAACAAACCCCACTGCCTAAGAGCCGTCGTGAAGCGAGGTGCTCAAGCTGTTGGGTTCCGAACTGCCCGCGAAGAACGTATATCTTAGGTCTGGCATACGAGCGGCCCTTACCACGCGAGCGCTGGTGCAGTGGATGCCAGCAGGATTTTGACAACCGATATGCCAAGAAAAGAGATATGAAACGACGTAGGAGATCGCTCAATCGTGACGCGGAAGGCATTTTCAGCGCCTCTTGGGACGATGGTCTCGGGAATCTCTTTGACGAGACTTGAACGACTTTATTCTCACAGACGAAAGAGTAGGGCAGAGATGCTAGAGGAAGGGTGGAAGAGGGACATGACTGACCATTCTGAACGATCTCTCGAATGTTTTCACCATCTTCTCCGCCATGTATCATATTGACAACTACATTAACGGCCACAATTTCTTTCTTCTCTTTCCTTTTCTACTATCTGGCTTTCCATTATCTCTACACGACACTGGATAGGTAACGATGATGGGATTTTGTGGCATTTTTATGATGAAGTACGCCCGTGCCACTTTCACGACGGTGGACGGTAGGATGTAACAGAATGGAGGTGTCTCGAATGACAATACAATTGAAG